CCCGGTAGCACCGCCTCTAGACGCAGCCCGCAAAAGCTACAGTTACGGCCGCCTAAACCCCATTGTGGTCTCTGGCCTGCTTCACCTGGTAACTGCTTATTCTTACCCACGCAATGGCCTTCTTTGTGGGCCAACCGACACACGTCCATAATGGCCGAATCAAGCCACGTCCCTCAGGGGCAGCAACAGCAAGCTGCTTTTGTGGGTGCAGCGGTGGATTTTTTGTCAAGTTGAAACCAAACCTGAAACCACCATCGTGAATGCTGAAACCACCATCGCCAAAACCAAATCCAAATCCAAATCCAAAACCAAATCCATAAATCAAGTGCAAATTCCTTTGGCAATTGCCCTGCCTGATGACAAGAATTCATTGTTTCGGCCCGGACAATGTCGCTGCAGATACTCGGACTAAGCATTCATCAGGGCAACAATTGCCAGCAAGTTGCACGATGTAAACCACGACAATGGGACCGTGGCTGCAAACCCGGGCCCTGGGCCGAAGCTTCTCCACAAAGCTGCAAGAAATCGTGCCATGGCTCCCCAAAGGCTCCACAATGGACCCTCTGGATGAGGAGCCACTTACGGGTGCCAAGCCTGGGGCGATTTCCATGGAAGCTGGCGCCACGGCGATCGGTCGTTTGGGATGTGTAATTTGGCCGGGGCAGCGACGCGTTGCAACCGTTTTTTTGGACTGGTGGAGGCTGTTTTTTTTTTTTTTGAGGCTTGTCCGGGCTACAAGTCTAGAAGGCCCAAAGTGATGAATCTGCAAGTTTAGCAATTTCCATTGGCCGGTTGTCTGCTTTTGCTGTTGTCTTCTGCTATTTCCTTTTGCTGTTGTCTACCTTACTCTTTTGTTCTTGTCTGCTTTCGTTTTTCTTGTTTCTGCGTCGTTTCCGATTCCGCTTTTATTATCCCTAATCGTATCCCTAATCGTATCCCCAATCGTATCCCCAATCGTATCCCCAATCGTATCCCCAATCGTATCCCTAAGCGTATCCGAATCGTATCCCACTCCATAATCCAACTATGTCGCTCTGGAGGCTTGGAAACACTTTACAGGCGCTAAGCATCCCCCTTCTGTTTTTCGACTTTTCAAATCTCAATTTTCTCTCCATCCTCTCCATCCTCTCCATCCTCTCCAATTCCCAATCTCCAATTCCCAATCTCCAATTCCCAATCTCCAATTAGCCTCCACCTTTTCTCGAAGACCAAAGCGAGGCCTGAAAAGCCCACAATGGACTCTCATCACTGTGCCAAAGGTTCCGTCAGACAAGCTACAGCTGCCTAGACAATTGAGCCACAAGCCAAAAAGAAACCAGCCGGCGCCTAAACGCCCCTCGTTACGTGCCCGGGGCTTATCGTGGTGGTTCGACGGTTTCGTTTTTGCGTCTGTAGGACCGCTTATCCACGCCAAATAAGCTTTGACGTATTTAGAAGACGCTTGTGCACCGCATGGTCTTCTAGGCGTGTGGTCGACAAGGCATTTGCGCTTTGGGTTGCCGGAGGCTGGCTGCTTTTTTGCAGTGGATGTGGGAAATTGGTGGGATTTGAAAGTGGCATCCACCTGAGCCTCTGCGGATATCTTTTCGTGGGTTTTTCGGCATTTGTCTTGGACTGTTGTCGATTTTGAGCTTGTCGATTTGAACTTGTCAATTGACATGCCCTTCATGGACTACTGTCACCAGATTCAAATTGCACCGTCATTCTGGGCACCATCATTCTGGGACCGTCACTCTGGGCAATCTGGGCATCAATTAGCCACTTTCCGGGATACGTGGTTTTTGTGTTCTGTCGATTTTGTGACTTCCTAGCCACCTTGTCGCTTCACTATACTACTACTCGTTTTGTCACCACCTACCTCTTACGTCACCCCGTCCGCTTCTGCTTGGTCGTCTTGCTTCCTTTTGCATATCCCCCTGTCAACCTGATTGCCGAATATTCATCCAATTCAAGCTACACCTTCTCTACCGACCCCAAAACCAGCCAACATTTCATCATCCAAAACCAGCCAATGTTTCATCATCCAAAACCAGCCAATGTTTCATCATCCAATCAACCAAATCCCACAAATTCACCAACCTCTACCGATTTTTCCAAAACGGTAACCTGCCACGTCCTGCCCGGTGGCACATTCCACTGACCTCTCGGCTTTGGCACAATTGAACGACATCTGCCAATACCACAGCACCCAATCCGACCAACCAAAAACGCCAGAAACGCCAATTCCTCGTTTCACAAACCGTGCTCGTAATTGGTCATCTGAAACGCCCAAAACAGCCTCCATACATATAGTGTGTGCCTTGGAAGCAAAAGCCTGAGCAGAAGGTTCGCTGCATCAGGGACAGAAACGAAAAGATCGGAGGGCAAGTGGAGGCGGAGCAGGCGGCTGCAAAATCTGCACCGGAGGCGAGGGGGGCGGTTTCATTTTTTAGGCACTGGTGGCCGATCCCACGCTTCGAGCGTTCGGGGCCATGTACCTCAAACCCCGACTAGGCTCCTGGGCCACTGCGCTGGCCTTTGGGGGCGCATGCCTTGCATTGTTCGCACGCGCTGTTCATGCGCCTCGCCCGCATTGCATTGCAGCGTCGAAGCTCGACCAATGCTCGTCTTAGGCATGTGAAGATCGGCCTATCTCCATCTACTCAGATCGATCGGACCCCCCATTGCTTCTATTCCATGTGACAGTTGCACCGCGGGCATCTTCAGCCTTCCTGGCAAAGCCTCCTCAAAGTTTGTTCCTTGCGGCGCGGTCTAAGAATGTTCTCTCAATTTTTTTGAGAGACTTGCCGTTTTGAGACGTGCCGTTTTGAGAGACGTGCCATTTTGAGAGACTTGGGAGGCAGGCGGAGCTGCACCACGCCTGACCATTTTAGCCAACTTTCCGCTGCAGGGGCACAGTTGCTCCATCTCAATTAATATTTCTTTAAAAATATTCCATCTCCACCTTAGTATCCGCACGATGACCACACCGTTGGCCTTCCTGATTCGGTGCGTATGTGGTGCTTGTGCGTTGGCATTGCGTTGCGATCGTCACTTGCAGAAGCTTAATTCTCGACGCTAAATGTGCGGGCGGCGTTACTGTAAAGTTAAAGCCGTTGCGCAAACCTAATTCCGGAACCTAAGCAAAAACGGTGATCTTCCAGGGCTCGAATTCCTTGAAGGAGCGCTGGAGTATGTTATCTTGTTGCTTAAAACGTAGATGCAAACGGACGCCTTGGGTGTCTTTTGTTACAATGGACTGCTCACAATAGGATCCATTGACGAACGATCAGCTTCTTGCAGTCATCCATAGTGCTGGAACGGCGGTGCTGGAATTCCGCTAGTTTGGCGATCGTTTTTTTCTTATCTAAACGTGGGTTTTTGCCTGTTTGGGCGGTTCTCTCCAGAATGTGCCATCCAGCCACCAGCCTCCATTCAATGTCTCCCATACCGTTGGCTTCTTGTCTACTATGTGTCACGTGACACTACCGGTTCCTGCGTCCGTTTGTCCGTCTAACCGGTTTGGTCCTGTCCCATTCTTCGTGACATTTTTCCGAAAGAATCACAAAACCAACAAAGACAGTGATCGCTTTCTTGCAGATTTCGTTTTTATCAAGAATGGACTTGTGCGTTTACGGTTGGGGTCCGTTCACGATTTGCACAAATACGGAAGACAATCCTTTTAGGTAGCTTTCATCGTAGACGTATCTCTTTGTGAACCAGCTGTAAGACAGGTATTCTCAGGAGGATCTTTTTATCATCAACTCTAAGTGATCAGCCCCTATTGTTATTTGCCAAAATCTTCGATGATATTCTTCTCTTGCAGACACAGCCTGACCAGGGTCATCCTTCTAATTGATCCTTCCGTTCTTCCTCTCCGGTCATCCTCCGTGGTCGGTTTTTCCGGGCTGGACCTGGGTGCTCACATTTTCGGAACCGAGCATGGAGTTGCACCCATCGGTGCGAGCTCGGATTCTATTGCACCCTGAATGGCTAAAATTCATCGGAGCCGGCGTCGGTCGCAAAGTAAATTACCTTCGGCTTTCTTTTAATAATTATCGCCACCTTCGTAGCCATCGTACGATGGCTCGATTTTCATGGTCCCAGGGTCTCGCCCTTTCGTCCGAGTGACTCACCTAGTGTGACCCATCTTGGGCGTCCCAAACCTGTACATAGGCGATGTTTTCTCAGTCTTCGTTTCTTTTTTGCCTTTAGCGCGCCTCGGACTTTCTGCCGTGCCACGGCGAAAAGGATGCTGAAAATAAGTATATAAAGCTACCTTTTCCCTTGCATTTTCTTCTCCACACAGCAATATAAATCACATACAAATATGAATCAGGTTCAAACACCCCCAACACAAAAGATGACGGCCGAGCAGAAGGAGGCAGAGATCATGAAGGAGATCAGAAGCAACACCACCAAGTTCGAGCCTCGTTACGAGGGCACCTTTTTTGGTGACTTTTTTGGCATCGCTTTCAAGAAAACCAACTAATTGACAAAACTCGGATCCGGATGATAATAGACTAATAGATTAACGTGTAATGACAACGCTGTAGATGGAGTACCTCCCACTGACCGTAGCCATTGGCAGTAATTGACCAGCAATTACTGGGATTTCTGTTTGTCCTCGAGAATTACTTTTTGGCACCAGTTCGAAAGAATTTCCACTCCCGTGCGGCGAGCGGGGCAAGAGGGGTAATTTTCGCAGCCACCTTGAACAGCATAGCGGTCTTTTGAGTGCTCGAGATGAGACACGTCCTGAAGTAGATTGAATTCAATATGGTATTCATAAAATGCCTTCCGTTTTCTCTTCCCTTTCTTTTCTGAATTATCAACGAACCTAGCCATGTCCCGTGGCGCCATCTATCGAACCATCAAGGCATCCAACTTTGATTTACCAAGACGCGCTATGCACGAGAAAATAACGCTGCTTGCTTGCTTTAGGTATTCGGCGAACCAAAAACAACTAATGCCGTAGAATCCTGTTTGCAATTGCCCTATCATAGCAATTACAGATTGGCTCAATCCCCCACACGGACCCGCCCCTCGAACCAACGGTCAATCTCATCCCGAGGTTCTGCAGTGCCAGTGTACTCGAAAATGCACTTGTTGATCCTCACGTAACGCAACAGTTTCTGTGTTTCACCATACAAAAAAGCAACGTGCTGAACCTTAAACCATTCATCGTAGACATTAGGATGAACGGCGCCAAGTGCCATATGTGGTGCACCACCTGCTCGAGTTCCAAAAACATCCAAAATCTCAAGGCTGTTGAGGCTCCGCAAAAGCAGTAAGAACTCCTCCACCCCATGACTCGAATCGCTGGGATTGAGTCTGAGTGCAAGAAGCTGACGTAGCTTTTGAATGCCGTGGATCAATGCCGTTGGTGTCGGTTGGGCCACATCACAGAAGGAGTTCTCCTCACGAAGTTCAACCAGAAGCTTGGTGAGTTTCGTCTGTTCCAGCAACCTCAGCGCATAGTCACTGTAGAGTTCTTCAAGGTCAACATGCTGCGCTTTGATCTCATTCATCCTGATCACCAAATCAAGCTCGAGAAGATTAGGGCAGCTTCCAAGCACCATTGGCACGCTGTCTCTTCTGGTCTCTCTGTAATCTAGATTCAAATGGGTAAGACCCGTCAATAGAGGTGCTAATGTGCCCAAAAAGCCAGGCAGCGTTTCTTCTAGCTGGGCCTGGTGATACTCTGAAACATTCTTGAGTTCCAAACGGCGAAGACGTGTGAGGTCTGTGGCACTCGCCAAAAGCTGTGCATCCTTCTCGCATACCAAGAAGTCGTTAAGACAGAGTTCTGAAAGCGATAAGCTGACATGTTGAAGTTTGCTCTTTTTGAAGACTGCTTGAAGGGTACCTAGTTCGTATTCTCTAGCCTGAGAGGCAAAGAGGCCCTCTCGTGCAGCCGTTTCCCATAGAGCGGTGTCGAGTTCTCTTGGTGATGGCAATACTGCGTTTGTGTCTTTGTCAAAGCGGGACAAACGAAGACTGTGGAGGTTTCTTTCGACAGCATTGGCATCAGCGCATACAAGCAAGCTATCGATGATCTTGACGAGTCTGCTCTGGTTGTAGAAGGGCCGAATATGGAAATCCTTGAGGTTGTTGAAGCGGAAATACGGGCAATCTGAGGTCAATTCCCCCAAGTAGTTCGAGAACTTAATATTCAAATCAAGCTGTTGCACCAGTTCCTGGCTGGGTAGCCGTTTGAGGTACTCTAGCTTGAAGTTATCCAGAAGCCACGACAAAGAGTGGAGGCGCTCCAATCTCAGGAAGAAGCTGAGAAGCTGCTCGTTTACGCTGATATCGTAGATGTTCGTGGAGTCCGGAAGGCTGACTACCAGAATGACGTGAATGGGGAATTGTTGGTTGTAGCGCTGAATGAGCTTTTTGAAGGAGTACAGCAGTTTGATGTATGTGGACGACAAGTCGTACTCCTTGCTGAATTCTGTGTAGTTTGCATCCACAATGATCGTATGGTACAATCTTGGTAGACAAGCAGCCGCTAGTTCCTTGCATGTCAATGCCAAATTGAGCGTATCGTGTTGGTTCAAGTAAACCGCCACCAAAGAGCGGATTTCGTGGGGTAAGCCGTCTAGAATAGAAGACGAAGGCGGCAGAAGGGAGGGCGTGAAGCTTTTTGTAGGTGTATGGTGGGGTTCAATGGGGTTTTTTGAGTAACCTACTGGGACGTCAAGTAGAAAGGCCATTCTGGGGTGGGTTTTGATGGACTGCAATTGAGATGGTACTGTGGTTTCAGTTACGATTTTGATAATCTGGATAGGTGAGGGTGGTAGTTTAACAGATGAAGTCAGTGGTCAGGAGACCTGATTGACGTAAAACGGTTATGGAAAATGGACCAGAATAGTACCTTGGCGTGGTTGATATATCACAGATGTCTCCTTAGAGCCTGTAATCATCCAGTGAATATGGATTGTGAGCTTTTGGAGGTTCAAGCCGATTTTAGAAGGGGTTCAATGCTCTCCTGATGGGGTTCGGAGTAACCTGTAAGGCACCAATGATCAAGCTTAATCGGTAGCGTTATCAATAAACGGATAAACGTAGGAGCTGTCTGAGATGCGTATTGTTTGAAATCTCTTATTGAATGATTCAAGACTTGATGTGTGGCTCAGTGACGATATAGAATACGCGATAAGCGCGGAGAGATAAGCTTTACTATGTGGAGTATCGAAATACGGGGTAGTTTGACCTGTAGGGATTGAGGAGAAGGGAGGTGGCGAAATTGACAGAGTTGGTACAAGAAAGGTGTATTTTTCGTGTGACGGTGTTTTTGGAGGTGTATTTCGAGATTTCGATTTTTGGGACACCTTTGTTGTTTGTGTGTTCTGAGTGTGTCAGCTTTTCGCAGCCAAAAAGTGAAGACTCACTGGTGGTCTACAGAAATGAGAAGTTGACCAATTGGGCAATTGGAGAAACTGATTGATACAGAGAGAAAGTTGAAAAGAATGAGCTTTTGGTGGAAAATGGGCCACTTTCCTGGGATCAATGGAAATCGCTTAGTTCACAGGTGTGGTCAAGTGGTGCTAGTCTGGAAGCTGATAAGATGGTTTTTTCTCTATGTAAAAGTAAATAGGGTTTTCCATTTAATCAGATGAATTTAACGGAAAAAAAAAAAAAAAATTGTGGATAATGGCCACTTCTCCGGAGATCAATGGAAAAATTGGCCTCCTAGGACTTTATCGAGAGCTCATTATCAGTGGAATCTCGAATTGAAGACCACAATGCAAATGGAAAAAGCGTTCAAAACATCAAAAAGGAGTGGCGCAGAATCAAGAACACTGATATTCGATTGGCGTTTGACCGAGCATGTTTGGTCCAAAGGGCATCTTGCTTGATACCTTACTTAGCACAGTAGTGAGAAAGATACCTATTTCTTCAGCCGCGCAACAGTTACGGTCGTACCGCCTAGAGATCAATTTGTTTCCATTCTGTTGTAGATTTGAATTTTCTGTTTCATCGTTAGAGTCAGGCACCACTACCAGACCTTACCATAGGTTCTATTCCACATACCAATAGCCTACTTCGTGCATTTCGTCCAAAGCTTCTCACCTTTTCAACACAGTCCATAACAAATCACTACATTTTGTGTCTTTCTTTCTACTTCTCTATTTCTTAGGGAGAATGACAATTGAGTGTCAATTGAAGCTACACCACCCACATTGAATGGCTGCGAAAAGTCAGAATACACCAACCTGTGCTTTCATCAAAGCCGCCAAAGCCCAGACCAAAGCCGAACGGAGTCAAAAAGGCAACAACAATTCCACGATCACGCATTTTCAGATAATCGCATTTTCAGATAATAAAAAAAGGAAGCCCAAGGAGAGCTCCAATTCGCAGTGTGACCACCAACTACCCCATCACCCCCTCCTTCATCCCACCAAAAAATCAACACTTCTCCAACAAAAAAACAGCAGAACTCTTTCTAACGACATTAGAGTCTTGAAGTCCCGAAACCCAGAAATAACAATCCAGCAGAACGCATCCCCGGATCTGGGTGAACTTCCTGCACGCGAACCAACATCAACCACCAACTTCCAACTCACCAAACCAGCGCCATGGCCGAAGCAGACATAGACCGGTTGGCCGAGAAGGTGGCGCATCTTCTGACGAAACTCGTCACGGAGGTGGCCAAATCGCTGGAGCTCGAGGAGACCATTTTGCAGGTGAAGCGGGAAAACTCCGTCTTGAAGAGCCAGGTGGGTGAGTTGACTCTGGATGCTCTGCGGGCGAAAACGGCGGAATCGGAGTTGGCGCAGCTCAGGCAGAGGCTCGGACAAACGGAAGAGGAGAAGAAGGTGGCCGAGGAGAAAAACAAGCAGCTCGAGGGCGAGGTGGAGGACTTGACGGCCTCCTTGTTCAATGAAGCGAACGAGATGGTGTCGAATGCGTCGAGAGAGACCTACAACTTCAAGGTGAAGAACCGCAAGCTTTACGAGGAGATTGACGAGAAAAACGCCATCATAGACAGTCTCCAGGCGCAACTCCAGGACCTCAAGGGCCTTTTCATGAAGTTGGAGGATCAACAGAGATCCCTGAGACACGGCACGCCGCAATTGGAACACGGCTTTGACGAGAAGCCCACAGACAATGTCGTGGACGACTACGGCTATCTCATGTCGCAGCTCATCCATGCTCCCAGGGTCAGGGCGATCCGTTTCGACCTCAACCACTACCAGCACGACTTCAAGGCGTTTGTGTTCCAGCTCATCAAGCCGGACTTTGTGTTTGACTTGGCCTCGTTGAAGACGTTGAAGTATTTCCGGAAAATATGGCACGAGGAGATCGAGCCGGCCTTGGGAACGATCCCCAGTGTGTCCAACAACTTCCTTAATAGGTTCTCCAAGGGCAAGACGTTCTGGACGTTGCTTGCTGAAGGTAAGGCCATTATCGAGCCCGTGAGCGGCGTCAACGAGACATTCAAATTGAACTACAGAGGCGTCAAAACTGGTGATGAGAAGCCCGTGGCCATGAAGGAACCCTGTGCTTTTTGTGGAGAGACCAAGGGCGACAGACTCGAACACGCCCGCTTGTACATGCTCAAATTGTACGGCCCAGCGTCAGAAACGTCCATAACCGGCGACTCGTCCACCACAATCATCAGCGGAGAGGTCCACGAAGTGATTGGCACGTACCCACTCTGCAACTTCTGCTTGGTCAAGCTCCGGGCGATCTGTGAGTTCTTTGCCAAGCTCAGGCTTGTGCATGCCAACGTCTACAAACTCCAGCAAAACAGCACATTTGACGATCTTGCGTTTGTCTCGCAGTTCAAGTTCCAGAACTACGACCGTCACACCCACACTGTGGACAGGAAAATCTCCAGCAACGACGAGGCTATCCTTATAAAACTCTATTACTTGTTGCTCACGGTCCGGGCCAAGATCTTCTGGAGCAAGGTCGGTTTCTGGGATACCGAGGAGGACTCTGAAACCGTCACCATCGAAGAGGCCCACATTGATATTTTCCAGAGAATGGTGAAGGAGAACAGCGCTTTTGGCGTGGACAGAGCAGAGCCCATTGAGAGGCCACAAAGCGTCAACGGCGACAACAGCAGAAAGTCGGACGCCACAGATACAGAAAAGGAGACGGAGACGTCGAAGACGACACAGGAGACGACACAGGATACTGCTCAGGCTGAAGACACCGAGAAGAAGGTTGAGAAAGAAGGTAATGAGGATTCGGACGAGGGCGACTTTGCAGACGCAGAGACATTCGAGCAGCCGTTGCAGAGACGCAAGAGCAAGTCCAAGGAGTTCAAGAAGAAGATTGACCAGGGATTGGCCTCCACGATGGAGATGTTGAAGGAGAGCATTGACGAGGACGAAAAGAAGAAGGGGAACTAGTCAATGACACCATTGGATTGGCTGAAATCACAGGTGAAGAAAGCCAGGAACCATAGCTGGTCAGGCTACGTCCATTCACTCTTTTAGGGCGAGCCAGCGTTACAGAACAGCGGCACATACTACGGCCTTATCGGCTACATGAATACACTAATCGACAGAAACCGGATATGTAGGGATTGCAGCAGGAGCAGGTGTGTTGGTGATGTTTGTTGTTTTTGATCTCCCGGTATACCCTGCCTGTTCCATGGGTAATATATGGAACTCCGAACTTTCCGAGACGCTTAATATGCCTTTGACGATATGCAAACCTACAAACCCGTGTATTCTGAAAACCCCCAAAACGATAAAATCAGTCTTCAGCTTGAAATTCCAATCTCAATTCCGCCACAGCTTTTCCTATTATGAACCGTTTGTTTGTGTCTGAGAGGCCTATTGTGTTTGCAGCCATTCTATTCGCGACCCAGCCAGCCAGCTTATTATGAAAAGTTGGTGTATTTTGAATTAAAGAAATGGTCGTCAAATTTTGAATGAATTAGCATTTGTGGAATGGAATTGAATGGATTCACATTTGCGACAAGTTTCGAGGCTTTGCCAGGGTGAAATTTGTGCAGATTGCTCATGATTGAAGATTGTGGTTTCTAGAATCGAAAACACCGGAATTATACATATGCTTTCTGGCTTTTTGCCGAATGATCAAACTACCGAGGAGCCAATACCTTAGCTTGTTGCTAATTTTCAGTCTGGCATTTTCACCTTATCGTCAGTGCTCATACTGACTCGACATCCGTACCACAAACTTCAATTCCCAAATCACCCTCAAATCGACAAACCCTTTATTTCAAAAACCCCAATTCAATTTCCAAAATATCAGATTCTGCTTCATGGTGGAGGTATATATAGACCTTGCATCGAAGACAGCGGCCTGTGTGCAGGTCTGTTACACGGTTCCCAACCATAACAGTGGTGTGATCTCCACGACATTTGAACGATATTGAAAAACAGCTGAAACTAGCTATTTCTTAAAAACCACCTTTTCAATGCCTCGCCCAAATCACGCTTCACTATACCCGCCCCTCTTTTTCTGACACCTCTGGAACCACCAGCCCCGCCCTCCATGCAGGTCTGTAACAAGGACTCTCCATGGATTCCAAAAAATCCTTTTCTTTTCTAAACCACCTACTTCTTTTTCTTTTCCATTTGAATCAGATCCACAATCGCAAAACCCCTCCCCAATCGGCAAAACTTCTCCCAATACCAACAACATTGACCCAGCCACACCAGAACCCGTACACCGACACGTCCTACACCATCTACACGTACATACCTCAACACACATACACCGTTTTCTCCCGTTTTCCAAATACCAGCGGATGTCCCGAAAACGAATAGACCCGTACCACTCGTCCGTACACGGTGAGGACGTCGAGAAGGCCAACCTGGCATATTACGCTCCGCTCAAAGGCAGAAACCTGGTGACTCTGCCTCAACAACCTAGCCGAATGGGGCTGGGCCTTTTCCGCCGTAAGAAGGAGCCTCTCGACGACGAGCTGGACGCTAACTCCGTTATATCCGCCACCCTGGGCGGCTCCAATCCGTCCAAACGCCACGGCTCCATGGCCAGTTTTGGTCTGTCCGGCTCTCAAGGCCACAGCACGCTGAATATCGTTCCCGGACCCCAGGTAACCAGCTCCAGCCACTCCCGCTCGGGCTCCATCTACCTGTTTAACACGTCAGCAAACCCGTATGACCACGTTACGGAACGCCTGGCTCGCCAGGAAAAGACGGCTCCTCCCCAGCCGACACAACAACCGACGCTGAGGGCGCCTCTGTTTGCTCTTTCTCGAAAGGCCACGGGGCTGTCGCTTTTCTCCAGGCCGTCGCTCAGCACAAGCACTACAAACGACGAGGCGGCCACGGACCTGCTCCGAAAGCCGCAGAACCCGGTCGAGATCGAGCGCATGTTCAGGGACTTGATGGAGAAACGAGACTTCCGCTCGCTCCCACAGCTGGCACGCCAGGAGATGCTCAATTACTCTGTTGACAAGAAGTGGATGCTTGTGCAGCAGGACGCCTTGCACGAGCACAGCAAGCTGGCGCTGAAACTGAAGGCCCTGCCCGAGTACTACACACGGAAGCTTATCGCCAAGACGATTTCCCTGGACGAGCTCGAGAACTTGTGGGTGTCGCTTCGAACGGAGCCTATAGACTGGGTCCGTGAGTTCATCTACGACTTCCAGGGCGATGTGGCCCTCTCGCTGTACCTCATCAAGACCCACGACCAAATGGGCGGCATGGACATTGACGACATCCAGGACGATATCTTTACCAGGGAGTTCAACACCCTCAAGTGTCTCAAGTGCATGATGAACCAGAAGTTGGGCGCCGAAAGAGCAAAAACGGACGACCTGCTCTACATCAACGCCATCACCGGCTCCCTCTTATCCCCTCGCATTGCTACTCGACGTATCGCCGCCGAGTCTCTCACATTCATGATCGTCTACTACTGTCGTGTTGGCGGCGATCACAACAAATACCACAAGGTGCTCCGCTCGCTCGACGGCCTTCAACTGAAGCCTTACTACGAGTTCGTTGTTGCTGCCAATGCATCCTCCAAGAAAACCTTGCAGCGAAAGCCTCCTCCAGACGAAAATACCCATCGCTTCGAGCTCTGGCTCCGTCTTGTCGATAGAACCATCGAAGGCCGTGGTAAGTACAAGAACTCGTTGGTAGGAGCCAGCGAGGAACTTAAATACCAGTTTTCCGTCAACGGCTCCACCGTGGGCGGCCCATCGCATGTCGAAAACCAGCTTATGGAGTACTGCTTGGGCACCATGCTTCTCATTAATACCATTGTCGAATATGGCTTGGACTTCCGTGTGAGGATCCACCTTCGAACCCAATTCACAGCAGCGGGAATTGACCAGCTCATGGGTAAATTCCTGGATCTTGGCTACGACAGTTTGGTGAAGCAGGTCCAGAAGTACAGGGAGATGGCAGATGCCGACGAGATGGAACTCAAGACGAAGCAACAGATTGATGAGGATCTTGATTTCAACAATCCCGTCGACTTGGTCCGCTCTCTTTGGACGAACGTCCAGAATAGCGAGGCTCAAGGGCATTTCTTGAGCGCCATGCAGCATATTTATCTTAATCAAACCGAGAAGAAGGACGATTCCGAGGAGGTGACTCGAAGCTTGCGTCTTCTTGATGGTCTTATCCAAAACGTCACTGGTGCGCATACGTCAAACGACGATTCTGCTGTTGGTATCGCTATCAACCGATTGTACGCGGGCTTGAGTACAGATGACATGTACCGTAAAGCTATCAACGAGGTTAAGTTGTACAAGAAAATTGCTGAAGAAGCCACAGCAGAGAGAGACGAGATGTCAAAGCAGCTCTCCATTGGATCGGAAGGTCTCATTGCCAACATGTCGAATGATCTCAAGGAGCAAGAGCTCGTGCTTAGGCGAACCCGTCGCATGAACGAGGAGCTTGAAGAAGAGTTGGAAGACTTGAAGCGTAAGCATTTACGTGAGAAGCAAGAGCAGGAGGTTGAAATGCGTGAGCTTCTCATCATGCTCAACAGTGCTCAGATTGACTCGAAGAAGGACAAGGGCAAGACAACTGTGCTGGTGCAAACAAGCAACGAGAAGCTCATCAAGAAGTTACAGAAGCAGATTTCAAGGAAGAAGAACGAATTCAGAATGGATAATAAGCAGCTTGGAACCCTGGTGGAACCAAGCTCTCGTTTGCGTGCCTTGAGAGAGCAGATGGCTGACATCGAGAACCTAGCAAGGGAGTTGGAAATGACAGATTTCGAAACATACTCCTTGCCGAAGGAAGAGCCTGCCGAGCCAGAACCTGAGCCAGTACCTGAGCCAGTACCTGAGCCAGAGCCTGCAACGCCTGAGCCAGAAGTGCTCCCACCTGTTCCCCAAGGCCCTAAGCGTTCCGTCCGTGAGGATGATCTTGAAAAGTTGGAGAAACTTAGAAAGAAACTTGCATCATTGCAGAGTGAGTCTAATGATATCATGAAGTTCAACAACAAGTCCTTGTTCTCCAAGCAGAAGTTTCTCGCCATGGAACGTTTGCGTGAGCTTGAAACGAACTTTGCCGATTTCAACATTGATTTTGATATTAGTGAAGAAGAGGCTGCCCTTCTTGGTATGATGGATGCCAGTGTCAAGTCCAAGATCCAGGAAGAGCTCGATCTGGTCAAGAAGCTCAACACCGATCTTCGTGCCCAACTTGCTGCGATCAATGACATCAAGCTGCCATCCAAGGCTTCCTCTGCTAGTACATCTCCCGATACACTTCTGAAGATCGAGGCCAAGTATGCTCAGGGCAAGGTAGTTGTTGACGGTGCCGACCGCGCTGTCAAGGGCACAAACTCACCTGCGAAGGACTATAAGGCGAACAGAAAGTCTACCATCAGCACCCTTGATCCTAAGTTTTTGAACGAGTTGAGCTCTAAAGTCAAGCAGGCTGAGGCTATCAGCTCTGCACCAGCTTCGGATGAAGAGAAGTTCGAGGACTCTGTCGACAAAGAGCAAGCTCCATCGGAGGCACCTAAAGCTACTGGTGCACCACCTCCACCACCACCTCCACCTCCGCCTCTTCCACCAGTTCTTGGAGGAGCACCACCACCACCTCCACCACCTTTACCACCAAGCTTGAATGGTGGTCCACCACCCCCTCCTCCACCACCTCCTCCACCTCTTGGAGGCGCATTCGGAGGAGCCCCACCACCACCAGCCCCACCATTGCCATCTGGATCAACAAGAAGCGCATCCCCATCTCCTGCTCCACAAACTGCTCATCCATTCGATATGTATCCAAGACCAAAGAAGAAGTTGAAGCAATTGCATTGGGAGAAATTCGAAAATGGCGAGAACAACGCCAACTCATTCTGGCATGAATCTCAACTGCAGAATATTGCCTCTGAGTTGATGGACAAGGGTGTATTGGACGAGATCGAGACAATTTTCGCCGCTAAGGAAATCAAGAAGTTGGCGACAAAGAAGAAGGAAGATGTCAACAAAGTCACATTCTTGGCCCGTGACATTGCTCAGCAGTTCGGTATCAATTTGCATTCATTCAATAATTTGTCTGACGAAGAGGTTGTCGACAAGATTTTGAGATGTGACAAAGAAACGTTGACAAACCCTGCGATTTTGGAATTCCTTGGTAAGGATGAGATCACCGAGGTATCCAATAGTTTGGCACGTAACCTTGAGCCATACCTGACTGACTACACGTCTGATGAGATCTCCAAGCCAGAGAAAGACCCTAGCGAGTTACAGAGACCAGACAGACTTTACCTTGAGTTGATTTACAACCTACAGCATTACTGGAAGTCAAGAGTCAGATCCTTGAAGACAATTGCCAATTACGAAAAGGATTATGAAGACTTGGTCACCAAGCTTCGGGCTCTTGACGAAGCCGTGGAGAAGATCAAGCATTCCAAGGAATTGAGAAGCGTCTTTGATATCATTTTGGCTGTTGGTAACTACATGAATGACACCTCTAAGCAAGCTAAGGGTTTCAAGTTGAGCTCTTTGCAGCGTTTGGGTTTCGTGAAGGATGAGAAGAATAGTATGTCCTTCTTGCACTACGTCGAGAAGACAGTGAGAACACTCTATCCTGAGCTCATGACATTCATGGAGGACCTTGCCCTTTGTGTGCCAGTTGCAAAGTTTTCCATCGAGAACATCTCAAGTGATTGCAGGGAATATGGACAGGCCATCAAGAATGTTCAGAGTTCCATTGACATTGGTAACTTGAGCGACGTTTCCAAGTTCCATCCTAAGGACCGTATTCTCAAGGTTGTTACGCCGTCGTTGGCAAGAGCCAAGAAGAAGGCAGACTTGTTGCAAGACCAAGCCAACTACACGCTCAAGGAGTTTGAGACTTTGATGAAGTATTTCGGCGAGGACCCCAACGACAGTTTCGTGAGGAACTCGTTCTTCAGTAAGTTCACGAGTTTCTTGGCTGAATTCAAGAAGGCCCAACGTGAAAACTTGAAGCGTGAGGAGGAATTGAGAATCTACGAGCAGAGAAAGAAGCTCTTGGAGAACACCTCAAAGCAGGCGAAGGCCAAGAAGGAGAGTGGATCTGAGGACGAGGACGAAAACGTCATGGATTCGCTTCTCGAGAAACTCAAGGCCGCTGGTCCTCAAAAGGGAGAACCATCGTCTGCTCGTAAGAGGGCGCTCATGAAGAAGCACTTGATGGAGAACTTGAAGAAGCTGGGTGGTGAATCCGAATCCAGAGAGAGTTCACCTAGCCGTGGTGACTCCACTACAGACTTGTCCAGTGTCGAGGAGCCTGAAAATGGCACTGCCTCTGGTGACAAGGATGTGGGATCAAGAGCTAGAAACTTGCTTCAAGAATTGAGAAAGGCAGAAAGTGGTGAGAAGACCAGCAGTGCCGCAGCATACAGACAACAAAGACAGCGTCGTCGACAATTACTGACGGTGGGCGAGGTTGACGTTTCTGTGGATTCGTCCACAAAACTGAGTCCTGAACCACCCAAAGAAGAAGACAAGGGCGAAAGCAAAGAAGAGGCCTGAGACATTACATTACATAGCATTACGATTTAACGAGATATCCATTATAGCGAGATGCTAGAGGAGGCTATTCTCTTGAGGTCCTCCAAATCGTAGTCTATGAGGTCTTTGGAAGGACTGTTACCGAAAAATGGCTTGTAAATTCCCTGAAACGCCTTTCCGGTCAATTTGTACAAAAATGGACGCTCTAGCCTTTCGTACAATACGTCAAAGTTAGCGCCATGGGGTATTTTGTCTTCATCAGCGAGCTTCTGGCAAATTTGTTGCAATTCTGGCGATCCAATAACGATTCTGTCAAAAGCTACAACATCTCCAGTAACGCCCACACTAAGCATATGAAGCCTATCAGATTCTGCCCAAGGTCCCTGAGCCAGTGTTTTGAATACTCTGGGAATCAGGTGCGTTTTAAAAAGGCCGTCTCTTTTTCTGACGCCTCTAGGTGTGAGTTCATGGATTGTCGAGAAAAGCTTGTCAGCGATGAAGATGGAATCATCAATTTTGACGTGATTGGCTAGCGATTTAGGCGCCTTGTCGCTCATGACAAGCTTAAGCTCTTCGTTATGGTAGGAGTCGCCTGAGTCGTATGTAAATTCAAAAACAGAGTCCATTTTGGTGCTCACAATAAGCCGACCGTCCGGTTCTGATGTCATTGAGGCAATGTCGCTCGAGAGCGTCTGAATGGTATTAACGGGGCGTAACTTGCGATCAGCCAAGAGATATGATGTTGTGTAGATGCTGTTTCCTGATGCAAAAAAGATTGTCAGGCCAATTTGTTCAATGCAAGTGACAGGCCCGTCACGGGAAATGGAGTATAACTCTGTAACTTTAATACCAACGGTCGAGTTGCTCAAGGGAAATTTCGAGTAGTCGAGAATCTTGATGGAGCCCTTGCTGACATTTGTTGAACAACCCACAATGAGCTTTTTCGAAACTCTATCATTTCTCTCAACATGCCATTGGAAAGCACAGATCGGAAACTCTGATGGATCGAAGATTGCAGTCTCTCTTTGCTCTCCCAGCTTCACATCGATTTCCACGCTAGCAAGAATTCGAAGGGTCTTTCTGTCACCAAAACGAAGTCGAGACTGGGGGTCCTTTGACTTGCACAAGAGAACAAACACATTGATGTTTTCAAGATAAAGAAGCTTCTTGGCTGCTTCTCCAATCGTGATTTGTTTCACCAATGGAGCCCTCCGACACGTAATTGAAGCAGTAGTGACACCGTCGTCTCTCACAAGTGCAAGCTTGTGAAGGCCTGGCTTTTCCAGACTCACATGTGCCACCAGAGTGATCGCATGGCTAATCTTCTCATCAAATGCTGCTTTCGTGGGAAGGTCGGAATCTTCAAAGTCAAAAAGCCATATGTTACGGAGCGTCACAAGAACTTGACTTTCCTCAAGGTGGGTGAAGCTGATCGGGGTGGTTCCTAGCCGAAGATCTTGGACGAGAAGGAACGCATTTTCTAGCTTGAAACGGAAGCAGTAGCCGGTGAAAGTTCCTACCAAAAGCTCCCTTCGGTTTTTGAGCCATAAAAAGGCACTGGGAACAAGCAAGTCTCTCGGAAACCTGTCCTTATGAGTGGCCTGCTCTCCAAGATCAATGACCTGCTTTTCAGAAGAGAAACCACCACTGGCGGTGAAAGGCCAGATAATGACTTTTTCTTCTAAGGTCCCCAAGAAAAGCACTCCATTACCATTGCCATCTTCGGTTGCAAACATGGTACTAATGTCCACATCTATATCCAAGGAAAATACTGTCTCCAAACAGGCCTCCGGATTAACAGAGCCATTCATATCCGGTGCATTCACCTCCACGACTTCAAGATTAACTTTATTGGCCTGTTCCACTATCATAAAGAGAAAACCAGCCGCCTGTGAGACTTGATGGATCATTTTGTCTTCAAGCCTGCTGGTAAAGCAATTCTCTAAACTTGAGAAAGTCACGCTTGTGGCAGTAAATTGGAGGAGAAGGGGTTCTTTAAAAGGAATCAACTCCACAAACAAAGTCGGCTCCTCAGTAAAGATGGCAGGATCCTCGATTTCGGTGAACATATCCCCATTATTGGAGCCAGAATCATCGCTGGACTCCTCTTGCTCTAGTTCAAGAAGCCTGGTCTCAAAAGGTAGTGATGCAAACAAGAGCTTTCTTGAATCTGGAAGGAGTACGAAATGTATTTTTGTCGTCTTTCGAAGCGCATCATAGGACTTGCACTCTTTCTTCAATGGGTAAGCTATGCTGAGGTTTGCCAACTTACTTCTCTTTCCCGCACCGGAGACAGCCCAGAGTTCTTGGGAAGCGTAAGGGATCTGGGTTCTTGTCTTGTAAGCATCAATGATACAAATATCGACCAACGGGGCCCAATTTTTGTAATCCTGGATTTGCAGGGCATCTGAATAGGGTATTTTATCTGCCGACTCTAAATCATGAAGAAGCTCGGGTATATGCAAATGTCTGGCACTGCCGGCGTCGTTCGAGTAGCGTAGGTTATAGCCACTGGAAGCACGATGGAGTGTGAATGTGGTTATGGCGTCTGCGACACGCAAAATGGGTTTATAGGTCAAACTCGAGTTGTCACCGGATACAACAACTGAGTAAATGACGCCAGAGTCGGAAGCAAGGAAAATCTCGTCTTCAATGCCATCTGACTCTGGTAATGCAAAGGAGGTGGGGAAGGAACCGGCATAGTTGAATCTAGCAAATGTGTAGTCTGCCAGGATCACATTGTGAGCGGTGACCACGACGAATTCGGCTGGGAAAATGAACAAGAAGCTGCTATTTCTTGCCAAGGGTATCACAAATATGGGAAGACCGAAATCATGAGTGAGCGGAAGCGTCAGTCTTCTGGAACCGTCTGAAAAGGATTCGGAAACATACCACTGGAATAAGTTGATCTCCAAGCGGTTCATTGGGCTGTAGGAGAGCGTCATCAATTGTAAAAGATTCTCTTCGGTTGCGTCACCAGGAGATCGACCAAAACAGACATGCAAGATGTTTCCTTCAAGGGGCACATTGTGGTGGGGCAGAAGCTCCAAACCCAACTCTGTGCTGTTGCACATGTAGATTCTGAAGACGTTGGCAGCCAGGGCTGAAACCACTGCTAGTCCATTATTGTGAGCAGCTAGAATGGCTCCAGAAGTCTCCATATCGAAGCCAGAGTCCGTAGCGGGAGATGTGGTCTTCCACCACTGCACCACAAACGGTTTATATATGAATGTTTGATCGTCAGGTGGTTTCTGGTCGTGTAGACTTGTTTCTGAGGCGTATTTTGGCATGTAGTAGAGACGAACTAGTAGAAGAAAGCCCAGTTTGAGTGAAACCAATAGCGAGTCCTCAGCCTTTTCACCGCCTGGTATAAGAACGGCATCTCGTAGAGCCGAGGAGAAAGGAAACTCAATCCCATTGATGCTGAGCGAACCCAATTTCACAATAACGCTGACAGGCACAATCTGAGAAGCTCTCTGAGCCAGGCCACTTTCTTCTGCTTTCCACAAGATCTCTCCATCGTCGTCTTCACTCATATCGTCTCCAAAGAAAGAGTCAGCTTCAGGTGGATGAAGCAGCTGTTCCCTTTCGTCATTGATGCTTCGAGACGGAAGCCCCGTCCAGGGTTTGTGGATGTCGACTTTGAAATGTGGAAGAAAACGGAGGATTAGTGGGGAGTGGAGGAGCGTCTCCTTGGTGAAGACAGTTTCTGGTTTTGGAGGAGGATCCTCCACAAGCCACGCTAGCGGGTCTGGCTCTGTAGAAGGTTCCAAGTCCATGACAGGCTATATTTTTGTTGATTTGAACACCGTGGTGGGTTGAGGGTATGGAAGGAGGTTGAGATATCCAGGAGATTTGATGATCCAGGGTTCCAGTTCTATGGATCTGGATGGGAATATTCGGTGAGTTAAATCCTGGTTTTCGACAAGAATCAAGCTCTTCTGTATAAGAAGGAAAGACGGAACCCCCAGGAGAAGTGTCTGTCCAATTGGCGGTATGGCACGTCTATGGTATACGTGATGTGGATCGATATCTGGATATTGGAAGGGTCAATTCCAGAAAATTGGAGAATCCTTCAATTTATGAGTAGCAATGACAAAATGTGGGTGGGGTCCTCCGCAGGCACGGTGTAGATAGTTTTGATGTGGGGTTCTGGGAAATGAGGATGGAGTAGGTAGTAGTTGATGTCAGTGCGCATCCGGCTGATATCCAGAGAATGGCTGCAGTGGAGATTCATTTGAATTTACAATTTGATCGAAGGGAAAATAACTTAGAAAGAGAGAGGAAAGAGATTCAATAATTTGAGGATTCGAAAAAAAGTGTGGTGGTTGTTTCAGGTACGGCTGATGGGCCATTTTGCACCCATTTCTCAGTCTCCACAGTATTGAGACCAGTCAGCATTGGGGATGTTCAGATAAGAAACAGAATTGAAAGAGTGTAATTTATTAATATTTGGTAACTTTGGACGCATCTGAAGAGATTTTGAAAAAAATGCCAGAAAGTGCCGAAATATCGTGTTCAATGCTGGAGTCCATATGAAGCATGTCTGTAGTTATGCCCAAGGTTTATGTCATTAAGGCAACTTTAATGCACTTATATAGAGCTGATTAAGGCTTTTTTCATCCTAGGAAATGTCAATTGAAAGCATATCGGTGTATCCTACCATCTCACTCTCCTCATACCCACCTCACACCCCAAAGGAAAAGCCCAACTATCCATTTTAACAAAAAACCTTCTCATCAATCTTAAACTCTCATGACAGCTTCTCATTGAATGATAAAGAAGGACCCCACAAAGTACAATTTGATGCCCATCAGCTAACCTTTCAACCATCTCTAGAAGGACGAAAATAGCTGGTCATAATTACGAACTCAAATCGACCTATTTATGAAGTTTTTGGAAACCATAATTTCCTGGAATCTTCATTTTGTCAACCAAACCTCAACGTTCTTCCATTCCTCTCACATGTTCTCACCACTACGATACCATTACACCCAACCTAAATGTATCTCCAGTATTGCAACAGACTTGTGTTTTATAAAGAGTGGAAATAGTTTGTTGTATTCTTCTATTACATCTTGTACATATGGAAAATCTCCAAAAAAGTGCCGAGATGTCACGATAGTAATGCTAGGGTCCATATGAAGCATACATGAAGCATATACCCCATAGTACGGAAGCCACGAATAAATACGAAGTATAAAGAAGAAAAAAAACCCAAACGAAGTGTAAAGATCTAAGGTTTTTGAAAAGAAATGCTGAAATTGTCCAGTGTGAGATATTTCATGGCGGCACAGCTTATCCTACCATCTCACTCTCCTCAGACCATAAAGGTGCCTTCAGAAGCAAGCAGACATAATCCTTAATTAGGCAATGGGATTTTGTAAAGGGATTAAATGTCTCTAGTTCCCCATTCACAATATATGAATACTTTCAATTCCAGCTTACCTCGACCATCTCCACAATACAAGAAGACGACCAGTCAATATGAGGTAAATATGGATAAGAAGCACAACGAAATCAGTGACATTACTTTTACTTTGGCATTTTTTTGAGGCACTTGAAGGGATTTCGAAAAAAGTGACAGTAGTGCCGAAATCCCATGTTCGATGCTGGAGTCCATATGGCGCTTATCTGTGAAAGCTATATCCAAGGTATTATTCGATTTAGGTAGCATATGATGCACTTATTATTAAATAGAATCAAATCCTTTTCCTTTTTTGATCCTAGGATATTTCAATTGAAAGCATATCAGTGTATCCCATCCTGAAATCTCACTCTTTCCTCAAATCTAATTTACACCCCAAGGTGTCTTCAAAAGCCTGAATATCTTCACTTGATAAAAGACTCCTTTTCTTTAGATAAAGAGGAAGGAAAATTCATCTATTATTCCATAACCATAAGCTTTGAATACTGTCCATCCTACCAGCTTATCCTTCTATGGTACTACAAGGACAATAATGCCTACTCAAGACAAATTTGACATCTTGCCTAAATAATCAATGCATCCATCTAATCAAATTCATACGTTTATCTGTTAAACATCAACCCATCCAACTACCTCCACTTTTAACATATTCTCACATATTCTCACCACTACGATAATACCATCACCAAACCACCAATAAGTGTCCATCATTTCAATTTCCTGTCTTTCATGATGAGACAAATTGCTGTGTTTTATTAGATCGCACTTTTCCACAATTGCAATATTTGGATAGTGATTATCTCACCAGCTTCTCTTTAGTTCTCCACCTCTACAGTCCCACAAGGTCATGGAAGCCAATTACTATAAATTCAGAAACATCTTCCCAAAAAAAAAAAAAAAAAAAAAAAAAAAAACAAGGAACACGCTTCATATCTGGATCATACTTAAATCACTTTCTGTCCAAATTCCCCCACTTCACCATCCTCATTCCACCCCACCTCAACCACACCATCAACCACACCAATAACTCCACCACCCCACCAAAACCTGCCCAATTGCGAAAACCCAATCAATTTCAAAAAAATACCCAACTTCAAAAACCACCCCAAAAAAATAAATTCCATATGTCGCCCACTATATAAACCTCCCTCGGGACGCCCCCAAAATTTCTCAAACTCATACCACTTCTTTTCCTCATGCCCAAACTCACCCTGACTTGGGCGCTCCTTTTCTTCTTTTTCCTTGCCGCCGCCCTCTACGGCTTCGAGCTGCACGCGTTTGTGGCCTCCTTTGCCCTCCTTCCAGAAGCCCTTCCATGGCAATACGTCCTTCTCTGGAGCTCGGTGGCCCTTGGAGCCGCCAGTATGTGAAGACCCGTAGATAAACAAAAAAATGCTGCTACTAACCAGAGTCTCGTGTTTTGGAACATCCCTTTTGGTGGATTTTGGCGGTTCTGTCGCTGCCGTCCAACTTGGTTTTGTCGTTTGGACCGCTGCTTCCGTGGGTCTTGTTTTTGTCGAAAACATCTTCCTTTTGATGGCGGGCCGGGCCTTGGTGGGTGCCGGGGCCGGGATGGCTCTGGCCGGAGGGCTTGTTTACGCGTCTCAGATGGCCAAGTTCCGTGGTTTTGCTGTTCTGGCCGCTTTTGTCGGTGGTGTTTGTGGCAAAATGGTGGGACGAGGCTTTCTGGCGATTTTGGAGAAAAAGGCTACGGAAAAGTGGCAAATAAAGGCGCCGCTTGTGGTTCAAGCCGTCTGGGCGGCGCTTTTGGCCCTTCTGGGCTTCTTTTTCCCAGAATACCCGCCCTGGCTTCAATGGAGAGGGTTTCTTGAAAGAGCCAACGAAACACGCTACGCGTTGGCGCCACGGGCTTTTCCCGAAAACGGCCGTTCTTGCTCGTGGAAACAGCTTTTGGAAAACCACAAATTGAGCCTTCTGAGGGCGGTTCTTTGTCAGATCTGGATCCACTTGACCGGCGTGTCTATGATGGTGTTTTGTCTTCCCGTGCTTCTTCCGCTGTTCCAGCGTGGCGGGTTCGGCGACGTGGCGTTTTTTGCCGTTCACGGTCTTATGGCGGGGGCAGCGGTGCTAGCGGTTCCAGTAAGTCAGTGGGGTTCACGGCGGTTCTTTTTGATGTACGGCTACGGGCTTCTTGGAGCGACGTTTTCGGCGCTTTTCGGGCTCTTTATGCATTTTGGGCAGACTAGCAACGGAGAAATCTTGAATGTTGTTCTTCCTCCTAAAATTGCCTCCTGGGGGTTGGCGGTGTTCTTTTTTGTGTTCACCGTGGATGCCCTTTATATCTCGCCATTGGCTGCCCAGTACACCGTGGAGGTGCTTCCCAGAGAGGCGTATTCTAAGGGCATTTGCATTTCTATGGCGTTTTCGTGGCTTTTCTATGGAGCTTCTATGTTTGGCGTGCCGTTGGTATTTCGGGTTCTTCAGGAATGGGCGTTTCTCGTTCTCGGATTGAGCTGCTTTGCTGGGGCGCTTCTTTTGGCTTTCTTCCCATGCAAGAAGGAGGAAGAGGTCTGGGAGACAGAAATTTCGACGCCTGTGGCTGCTCCTTTGAAACCTAAGACGTCACTCCATGCCCTGGAGGTACCGGAAGATCCTCCGCTTGTCTTCACTAAACGCAGCTCAGAGTTTCCTACTTTTGGCAAGCACGTCGCTAAATTGCTCCCAGCTCACCAGAGACTGCTGGAAACAAGCGACCCTGTCCCCTCCAAGGAATTGCCGTTGGTGACTGCCAGGCAGTGTTCAGAAAACGAGTCCTCCAATGCCCAATCCACGGTGATTCTTCAAACCGCCAAAGCCCACCAGAGCGTAAAGCTGCAGCTTGGCTCGCATTTAAACGGCTTGTGGTCAGCCAGTGAGGTTGAGTTTAGGAGACTGGAGGAGCCTGGCATGGATCGTGGTGGATTGAAGGAGGAGTTTGAAGGCCCAGGTCTATTTGGCGAGGCAGAGCAGCCCGTAGCGCTTTTTGGAAGAAGGCTGGGCAAAAGGGGGCTTCTAAATGCCAATACTACGTCCTCCTAGGAAGGCGTTTGTTTATGATTGATATGATTGATATGAATATATGGTTTATGTGTGAAGTGTATTGGGATGGGTGCATTTTGGAGGCTTCAGACACTGCTTCAGACTACTTATGACGAGATTCAAAAGCTTTTAATTATTATCCATACAATCTATTTCACGGAGTTCAATTGGCTGCATGGATAAATGGCTTCCTGAGGTTACTTATTGAGTCTCACTTCTCAATGGCCTATGGATCAAGCGTTCTAGTCAAAATAAATAAGTGAAAAATTTAGATATCCCTGAAAAGCTAAAATCATATAAAAATTGAACCAGTTGCTCGGGGATTACTGAAAATCATATACGATTAGCATCATCTCATGTTGATCTAAGGTCTACCACAGACCCACTCCTTTTCCACGCAATACCTCCCCACCAACATAAACACATATTTAATTTTCTTGAATGATTAAGTTGAAGCAAAAATCGAAAAAAATTAAAAAAAATCAAATTCCTTCGAAACTCCATAATCCGGATCGACCCACCCGAACCCTCCATGTCCTCCACCTGCACTCCTGCGACATCAACAACCACCTACTTCTTTATCAAAATGTCCCACAACTACTCCCAGGTGGGCCAGCACGACGTTCCTGACTTGATTGAACAGGACGGTATGTACCGCTAGAAAATTCCCGTTTCAACGGTGTTTTCGGATTTTCGCTAACCCCAGATTTCGCCCCTCCACCTCAAAATCAACAGACTCCTCTACAACCAGATGTTGTAAAGCCACAGGTGCCTGAAGCTGCCAGCAGTATGTTTCAGGTGAGGTTTTACAGTGGCTATTTTGATATAAATACCGAGGAATTCTTTGCTAAGATCAGACTTGCCTTGGATCCGTTCCAGAAAGCGTCCGTGTTGGCTAGTCAGAATGAGGATGAAACCACGGAATTGTACGGCGCCATTTGGGTCACCGCCACCCTTATTTTCCTTGTTTTCGTGTCTTCAACGGGCGCCAACATCGTGTCCCATTGGCTCTATTTGGGTGACGAAAATGGCGGAAAGTACGAATACGACTTTGACCGCTTGACCGTGTCCATGTCACTTTTCTACGGCTACATTGCGCTTGTTCCACTTACATTGTACGCTGTGACCACGTGGTGGTTGAAGTTTGCCGATAGACTCTCGTTGACCCGCTTGGTGTCCATTTACGGCTACGCTAACGTGCTCTGGGTGCCACTTACAGTGATCAACTTTGTTCTTGTGGTGTTCGTGAGCAGCAAGAACCACAAGGTGCTCTTGAATGTGTTTGAGTGGGTTTCTGTGTTGCTCAGCGGCGTCGTGACCGGCCTTAGTATCATCTTGAAGGTAAAACCGGTGATCCTCAAGAACTCCTTGGATCTTGCCGAGGGCAACGTCGAGCAAGGAACAAAGAACCATCATGTGTTGGTGCTCGCGCTCTGCGTTGTCCATTTGGTCTTTACGATATTGGTCAAGATCTCGTTCTTTGGTATAAACTAAGCTACGTCAGTTGAGATACCTATGATGGAGAACACGGCGGGGCCTCTTGCGCCGACCAGCAATGCAAATATGGTACTGGATCCAGGGAATCTCGTCAACCTCGCTCAAATTGACCCGTAGGTACGGGTTGACATGGAGAAAACGCCCAATGAGATCGCCCGCAATCCCTTCCAAATGCCGTGAGCTGGGATAAGCTCCGGCGAGGATCTTCTCGCTGTAAGTTGCCCCGTCAGATGCAAGGAACGGCCTTTTGCCCGTGATGAGTCTGTAACACACCACGCCGAATGACCAGATATCGGTTTTGTACGTATATGGCTGTGACAGAATCATCTCAGGCGACATCCAGCCCCGTGTGCCTCCATACCCCGTATTGGCTTCATGCGGGTTCATGGCTACGGCAATTCCGAAATCGCCAATTTTAACGACCCCATTGGACAGCAAGAAAATGTTGCTTTCCTTGATGTCACGGTGAATCACACCTTGGTTATGGATGTGGTCAAGCCCCAGAGCGATTTGGCTGATGTACCACGCTGCTAGAGACTGGTCAATTCGGTAGTGAGGCGCCAGCTTGATCTGATCCCGCAAAGTGCCGCCGCCATAGAACTGCTGGACAATGTTTAAATGCGTCGGCGTGCAATAGAGACCCAAAACCACAGCCACATTTTTGTGTGACATGAGCGATTGGAGCTCGGGCTCGGCAAGAAGCTTCAGGAGTTTCTTTTTGCCCAAAGGTATCACCTTGATGGCACACACCCGACTGGTAACGAGATTGCGAGCCTTGTGGACCTGGCCATATCCGCCCAGGCCAATTTGGCAAATGAGCCTGTAATCTTCGGGAGATTCCGTATTTAGAAAACTAAGACCCGGTTCAGGACTCGGAGGACGGCTGCGACTACAAGGAGCTGGAGGTGGAGAGACGGAGGAGGTTTGCGAGTTCAATTCTTCGTTTAAAGCCTCGTTCAAGCCCATGATCAGGCTCTGAAGATTGCCTGAAGAAGGAAACAATGGAGAGATACCTCTTGCGCTGTCCATAGTGTGGCCAGTGAAAAGAAGTGTTGTAGAAGCCTGTCACAAAGACAAGCGCGGTTCCAATGGAGGGTCCTCAGATGTTAAAGATTGTGATAGCGAAGCTTTCCGAGATGTTGGATGGAGAAAGTTTTACTAGAAGGTATTGGGGTGACTCGAGGATACTGCCTCTGTTGTGGTACGTTTTACAGTCGTTCGGAGCAATTTTGCAGCCATTTCAGGTTGGGAAGAATCGGACCAATAGAGACCGTTTTTGGGCAGAATGGCTTTCTTTGACATCGAAATGTCAAAACACTCTTCAATACACCAAAAAACAACCCAAAATTCCGTCCTTTGCAGGAGCCTACTTCAACCTACGCTCATGGTGAAGCCCTAAGGACGTGCGCGGACCAGACCATCGCGACTATATAAAGCAAAGATTTCCATTTTTCTCACCACATTCAAACCACATCTGCAGATCTGTGGAAAGTGGCGAATCAAAAGTATGTTTCTCATATAGGGGCGAAGATTATTTGCATTTTACCAATTGTTCCGACTGAATGTTCCGGGTTGACAACCGCATTATCGTTAAGTTTCAGCCTTGTATGAGCCCACCAATTTCCCAAACTTGATACTAATCATCAGTGTATGTTTAACCTCAGTTGTTTTCATGACGAAACTCGTGACCGGGCGGACATAACGCTCCACTGGCCCCTCTTTGTACAATTAGGGAGGAGTCACGTTTCTGTGTACATTTTTTTGAAGCGTTGGTCAGTGGGAGTTGATGATAGGTCTTTTTCTGACTCGATTCCAATCTTGGGAAGGTACTAACCGTAGAAGCATGCTCTGATTTGCCGCTTTTCACACGTCTGCCGATGTGTGGCTCATGCTAGCCAGAATGATGATGTTCATATTCACACTGTACTAGGGCTCTGCCTCGCTGACTACAAAAACCAAAAAACTGATTTAATGACTCTGACATGGCAGCTTGCAGCATACTTGACTTACTGGGGGTTTGTTCTTTTGATGGACGGTCTCCTGGCTCTCTTCACCTTTTACGTTGCGCTTGATTGGTTAGTGATTTCGGATTTCTTTCTGAATCGCCAGAATCGCCAAACAACCTTTCAAGCTAAACATCAAAAAGTCTATCCTTCCTCGATTTCCACCCTTCCTGGTTACATCCAACTCCATGCCCTTCTCACTAAGTGGTCTGACTTTGGCTGCGAAAAGAGTATACCGCTTCTTTCTCGCCACCGAGCTGCCACAAAACCAAAAACACCTCACCAGAAACTCTCAAGCCTTCTCACCTACCCCATCTGCAAAAATCCCCAATTATCCACCTCTGAAGTGCCGATTTCGATAGCCTGAAAACCATCTTTCCTGCACACAAGCACATCAACCTCTGCTACCGCTTTTGTCATTTTCAAGAACTAAGCTACAATTCGTTTCTTCAAGCTACACACATACAGGCGTTTTAGCAGCGTGTTTTCTGCATTTGCATTCCTCACATGCCACTAATACTTCGGCGGCTCGGCCCGCTAAGGCTCATGAGGCTCAATCTTCGACATTTTTCACTCCTACCGAATCTACGATGTACGCTACTATCCACTTCCAGGCCGCCCAGACACGGCCAATTTGTCAGAAACGCATCTTCCGTGGCTCAAACCGCCACATCGTCAAAAAAAGAGCTCAAAATCCCGCAATCTGAGCGTGTAATCCAGGACCTAGATCTCCAGAACCGCTACATCGATCAACTACGAAATACGCTGTCTTTTACCAACGAGGATTTGACTGCAATCAGTGAATTGTTTACCCAGGCCGTGGAGCTAGCCTCCAGCGACTTATCAGAAGAAGCGTACCGTTTTGTGGTGCGTCTATGGCTTGCTGTTTTCAAAGAACGCAGAGGAGGGCCTAACCTCGAGAAAATCTTGCTCCGATCCAGGGCAAGGTGGCCAATCTTTGCATCAACAATTTGGACTACAAGCTGTACCTTGAATGCACCGCTGTGCTTCCAAAAACGCCGTTGTGGGCAGATACGGTGGCTCAAACTCTACAGTTTCTGCTTCTGAACAAAGGCGAGCTTCAGTTCAGCAGCCCCAGCATCACCGGATACCTCCGTGGGCTTGAAAGCAAGGAGAATAAAAGGAGGATGTTGGCGTCGTTTCTCCGGAAAGCGCTTCTTTATTCCCCACTGCACCACGATTTCCCCAGAATCCTCACTGCATTTGTCAAATTCGCCAACGACGTCGGCGACGGCGATCTCCTTTTGATAGAACCGGAACACGCCGTTTACCGCAAGGCACTCAGCATTTTGAGCAGGCCCAGAGGCTCCTCCTCGGTGGCCAGCCATATTCATTTAATCGAGGGAGTTCTTTTGAGAAGCGAATACGGCAACAAAACCGGCTTGTCCAATCTTCTCACCACGCTTCTGCTGGCCACAGTCAGCAAAAGACCGTCTATCGCCTTGGAGTACTTCAAATTCAAGGAAAACTTGAGTCTGGGCTCGTATAAGGTGAACGAGTATCTCACAGAAAACGACCTTCTGACGGCCATGTGGGCGCTTTTCCTCAGCAGCAAGTACCAGGAGTGCTTGGAGCTTTACCTGAAATACCCTGGTCTTCATGGCGAGGAACAAATCGACATTTTTCTCCGAATCAGCGAAAAAACGAAAGACTGGCTGCATTTGCAAAAACAGTTTGAAGACATGTACGGCCAGGGCGATCTCCCGTACGTTCAGCATTACGCCATTGTCATGAACGCCTTGGCTTCTATCAAAGTGGTTAAGGAGGTCGACGAGCTCTATGACCAGCTTCTCCAGAGAAACTTGACTCCAACTTGTGAAATCCACGCGGCAGTGATAAAGAGCCGTATGGCCGTCAAGGACTACGACGGGGCTCAGGCGAAGTTTGAGGATTTTCTTGAAAAATACGAAAATGGCGCTGTGGCAGAAGGAAGCGTTGCAAGGGTCCATGCGTTGATTTTCGATCTCCATCTCCACACAAGCAGCCTTCCCGATTTGATGAATGCACTTCAGCAGGTCATAAAACGTCAGAAAACAAGCTCTGTGCCGTTGATCGACACGAAGCTTCTTTGTGATGTTATCAGCGCCGTTGGAGCTAATTATGGTGTTCGTGAGTTGGACCAGCTCTGGGAGATTGCTGAGCGATTTTCCATGAAAACGGAGGAAGTATATGAAAAAACCATCAATGCACTCACGAGGTTTGGCGAGTACGAAAAAGCCGATGCGCTTACTTTTGAAGCACAATTGGATTCCCTTGTTCCGTTCACAAGCTCACTTATCGCTAAAGCTCAACTCAAGAACTTAAGAAGTTGGTACAATGCGTCCACGGACCGGGATTTCAAGCCGTTTTTGGCTGCCAAAACAATGACAGTCTTGCGGCGTCTAGACCAGGGCAAAATGTCGTTGAAGAATAAGCCCAATTTGCTCACTGAGGCCATAAAGTTTGAATTGTCTTTGAACAGAAGAAAAACGGCCAGAACGTACTTGGACCAGGCGAAATCCTTGGAATCAGCCACCGAACAGCACTACCTCCCATTTTTGAAGTACTACTGCCAGGCCGGATCCTACAAAGGTGCCAGTACTGTTTTGGAGCTTTACCGAGAAATGGCGGCTGAAAAGATCGAAATGACGTCTAAGACGTATGTCTACTTGATCAGGGCGTTGATTGAAATCGACAGAGCCAACTCCGATAACTACAACAATTCCTACAAGTTGTTGGAGTCTGTTTTTGAGCTTTATGGGTTATCGATGTTTGAACATCTCAAGCCTTTGAGAGCTTCTGGTGGAGATATGCACCGTCATGCCGAGAATCTTTTGAAAATCGTCACCACTTATGTTACAGCCACCTCAAGCCTGATTCACCTGAACATGGATCTTGTGGTGCACTTTCTCAACCAAATGAGAGACAGACTTGGCGATCGAATCCCGCTTCGTTTCAGATTGGCGATTTTCAAGGAAATGGGTATTCTTTACCGTTTGGGTGGCGACAACATCACGGCCAAGAAGATGATCTTGAATGCTCTTGAAGAGCTCAACGACATTGCAGATAATTATAGAAAAAGTGTCTCAAGTGACTGCTTCCCTGCTCAATTACCAAAGCTTCTTCAATTGGATTACAGGCAGATTGTTGAGGTTTTGCTTCCGGTGTTCCGTGAGCTTAAAACCCCTCCAGACGAATACGAAAAGCTAGCCTTATCGTTGTTGGATCGCAATGTTCACTTAGCAGGTCCATTGTTCCGTCCAATCATCGAGCATATCATGAAAGGCGAACCCAGTGAAACCAAGGTCAGAGCAATTCTCGATATCTGTGAACGTTTTCTTGTGTCAGGAACCTGGGTCACTGCCAACATTGAAAAAAAGCAGCAGTACGTCTACAAATTGTTCATTCTCTTTCTCACCAGACGGATGCCCGAGAAGAGAATCCTCGAAAACTACAGCATATTCAACAAGTACTACAACGTCCAAAGCATAGAAGAATTGCGGAAGGATTTCAAAAACACCACTAATTACGCCGGGGAGTTGCAACAGGCTTTAGACGAATATGGCCGTCTCACCACTTTCAGATGGAAAATCCCCCAGCTTCTCAAGGACCCCCACAAGTTTTTCCTTCCTGGACGAAGCATCTCCTCCAAAAACGTCATGGACCCCAAAATGACCGCAAAGTTATACGCATTTGTCGGAAAGTACAGTGAAGACGACCGGACCAAAGCATTCAAACTTTACGAGGACTTCCCAGACACCATGGAGTACCTCTTGTATTATGGACAGGCCAGAACACGGCTCCAAGCATTCAGAAACGAAATCGACGAGATCCAACCGCCTCTGGCTTCGTCGGAAAACGAGGGAAGAAAATACAGAAGGTTCCGGACGTACCGTGTATTACGGAAGTCGATGAAGCTTCTCTCACGGTAAGTATCCCCAAGTTTTCCCCACGTCGCTACAGTGACACCACCATTCGCATGCTGTGTCGGCTCGCTAGCTGCTGATGCAACCTCATGTATATAGACGCAATGCTAGTTACTCGGACTTTTTCTTGGGCTTCTTCACCTCTGGGAACGTGAAGGTCAGCTCCGTAGTGGTGCTTCCGTAAAGCAAGGGCCCGACCCAGGGCTGGATGTTCCACTCCAACCGAAGAGTAGCGTCTCTGCCTCTAAAAGAACGCTCCACGTCCCAAACAGAGTACTTTGATCTCTGGTTCTTCAAGTGCAAAACCGCGTCCTCGGGCGACGTGATGATCTTGTCCAGTACGTGACCTTGTTGGAGGCCTTGTCGGTCTTTCCCTCGTATTCTGCTGTCAAGTAGACAAACACCTGTTTCGTGTTCCAGTTGAAAAGAGAGGTCAAGTCGGCGTCCAAGTCAAACTGGATCTTGGAATTCTCCTTTGGTTTGCCACCCACGGCGCCGTATGCAAACAGGTTCTTCAAGGAAGCGTTGGCCTTGATGTTGGATATCAGGGACGTGTCGATACTCCAGACATCGTCTTTGAAGAGCTGGAGAATTGAGAGGAACACGACCAAGGCAGCAGCAACAGCTGAAGCCGTCAACGACTGGTTGACCACGGCCTGGCCTCGGGAAAGAAGACTGAACATGTGGTTGATAATTGAGTTGGTGAGGTGGTGAGTTTTCTGTTGAGGGAGGGACGGTGTATGCAGGTCAATTTTTGCAGCCACTACCAGCGGCACAAGTTCTCTTCAATTTGAAGTGGGTTTTGGAACTTGGTGTTTTCAGTGTCGTTGGAGTGTTAAAAGGTTGACATTAAAAGCAATTGGCCGCTTTCAGAGTGGCTAAAGCCCAGCCACAGTTACAGTAATACCTCTGGATCCATCAACCAACGACACAAGGATTGCAATGATCACCAACAACAGTTCTATAGTTCAAAACCTCTTTATCTTTTCTCAATTAACAAGTTATCTTTTCCCGATTGACAAGTTCCGCGTCTCAGCCTCCGGATCCAAAAACCACTTCCTCCCATCAACTTCAACCCTCACCTAATTTCCAACCTTCTGGAGATACTCCTGGTGGAGTTTCTCCTGCTGCTGCTGTTGCTTCGTCAACTTCTTACGCATGCTTTTGGTGACCTCCTCGCCAGCAGCCGTTTTCGTAGGAAGGCCCTGCTCGTCCCACTCAGAGTACAAACTGGTGTCCTTGAAAAGATCCTGTGGAGGCACCTTGGCCTTTTCGAGTCTCTCCTGTTCCTTTTTGGCGTTGGCGGCAGCCTGCTCCTGCTTTTTCTTCTCCTTTTGGAGCGCCTGCTCCTTCTTGAGTTCTTGCTGTTTGAGGAACTCGGCTCTTTCCTGCTCGTTGAGGAACTTCACCAAAGCTCCACCGTTGGGCCTGTCGTCGAGGGAAATGCCGAGGTTGATGAGGTCAGCACGTAAGGCGTCGGAAGCTTGCAAGATAGCAGAAGATTCAGCCTTGTTTTTGGCCAATTCACGAACGGTGTCTCTGAACTGCGAAAGCGCTTTGACGTATGGCATGGCGATTTCCTCAGAAGAACCACCAGATCCGCTTTCAACGCCGTCTTCCCAGCCCAAACCGTCGGATCTGGCAGGGAAACCGAGAATATCGAGGATTTTCACGATCCACTTGGTGATCGCAAGCACAGGCTCAAGACGCAACTCGTTTTCGCCCGTCACCGTCGATTGAATGTAGGTGTTGGTTTTGGAGACCAATTCCTGAACAACTCTGAGCACAATGGGCGTCGAGAGGTTATCGCAGAAAGCAGCGTGAGCGTCATTTTGGGCCTGAGCCAAATCAGCCAAAAGCGCCTTTTCCACGTCTCCGAGTCTCTTGGAAACATACTGGCCCTGCGAGACGGCGTGTCTATAATCGGAGTTCAACGCACGGACGTTGGTGAAGAACTTCAGCAAAGTCAGCTCGTAGGCCCTAACCTCGCTGATCAAGGCGTCCTTGAAATCAATGGGCTTGTCCCAGTTGCCAAAGGCGAAAACAAGCCTGAGTTGTCTGGCAGAATGGGTTTCCAAAGCCTCTTCTATGGTGATGAAGTTTTTCAACGATTTGGACATCTTCTGGCCCTGGATGTGCAAATGGCCATTGTGCATGAAATAGTTGATCCACTGCTTGTTGTTGAAGCAGGCTTCCGACTGGGCAAGCTCGTTGTCGTGGTGGGGGAAACACAAGTCGACTCCTCCGCTGTGAATATCAATAACTTCACCCAAAATGTCCGAAGCCATCACAGAACACTCAATGTGCCATCCTGGCCTACCGGGACCCCATTTCGAGTCCCACGCAGGCTCACCGGGCTTGGAAGCTTTCCACAAGGCAAAATCCGCAGGCAGTTTCTTGGAAGTGCCGTCTAGAGACAAGGAGCCTTCTCCATCGTTGATAAGCTCCAACAGACCCTTGTTCCAGGGTTGCAATTTGGCGTAATCGTGGTTGGGATCGTTTTCAAAACGCACCGTGTCGAAATACACCGAACCGTCCTTTGTGGCGTACGCAAAACCGTTGCTGATGATCCTCTCCACAAATGCTATAATGTCAGGAACATACTCGCTCACACGGGTAGTGACGGTGGGCTGGAGCACATTGAGCCTGTCCATGTCCTGGTTGAACTTGTTTTCCCAGAAAGCAGGCAACTTCCTGAAGATCTCCGGGTCTGTGACTGTGGAACCGTATTTTTTGTCCAAACTGGGCACCAGAACGTCTTTCACGGCCGCCAAAAAACGCTTAACATCCGTTTCCGGCTTGAAAATCGCCTGGTGGGCCTCACGGGCCGCCTTGGCGTACATGGGAAGCTTGGGCTGCTCGACAGCCAATTCCTGAAGATTCAAGGAATCAAGCCATGCCACCAAACCAGGCAACTCGGCATCAAAACCAGCAAGGTTCTTCGCCACATACTCCTTCAAGTAGGTCTTGGCGTGTTCTAGAAGCACCTCGTCCACCTCCTTGTACTGAGCCTCCATCTGCTCAAACAAATACTCGTGACGTGCAGCCACAATGATCTTATCATCAATATCAGTCACATTCTGGACAAACTCCACGTTGTAGCCAAAGTAGTCCTGCAAGATACGACGACAAATGTCGCTGCACACGTAGTTTCTTGCGTGGCCCATGTGGGCGTGGTTGTACACGGTGGGACCACAGCAGTACCACGTTATCTGGTTGTGGTTCAAAGGCACAAAGGTCTCCTTGTTCCTGGTGAGGGAGTTGTAGAGCTTCAAGGCTGGCTTTTCGCCTGCAGGTACTTTGGGAGGGTACCAATGCGGCTGGGTGACTTTTCTTGCTGCTGTGGTGGTACTCATGGCTAGACGAGAGAAGAGTTTTCTGACCATGGGTTGGAAAATCTCTTGATGGGGAGGATGTACGCCGGGTCACGTGATGGCGACACGAAAAGGGGAGTTTCCACGGGGGTGGCCCAATATTTTTGCTTTGGAGAAGAAGGGGTGAAAGGGTTTGAGGGAATTGGGGAAATGGCTTGGAAGAGGGGTGTGATTTTGTGTGTTGTGGTGCTTCAATGGTGCATTCGCGTAGTGCTCAGTTAGTGGTGGATTTGATAGAAGGCTTAAGGACACGGTCCTCGAGAAATTGACAGTGAATTAGGGAGCTTTTGTGGTTTAAAGGTGATAGAAAGGGCTTGGACCGGTGGGGTTCCTTTTGTTTGGGGTTTGGTGGTGATGGTAAGATGGTAATATGGCTGCGAAACCAGTGGGTAGACCAGGATTGGGGATTGAGATGTGAAGATTCAAGAGGAGGAATTGTAAACAGCAGATGGAGAGGACAGGTTGACTCTTCCAAAATCACTTGCTTCTGGGAAGCCACATAGAGACTATATGTGTCACCTTCCTTGATAGTCAATAAAAGGAAGAGTGTGAATGGTCTTTGAATCATGACGAATGGAAGGGAAAAAGTAGACAAATATTCGTGAGTTCAGTGTTTAGGAATGGGCTGTGGTAGATCTGGAAGCTTTCTTAAGATGTAGACCTCCATCACATTCATGTGAGATAAGGCATCTTTAGCTTAAGCAATCCCAGTCAAAACCACCAAAAGCAAATGCCAGCTCATTGTCGAGCTAATGTAGCAAATCAGTGTTTTAAAGGTTCTTTCTGGATAGAAGGTAAATGGTAACAGTCTATGGCATACCCCTACCTCTCTTCTAGACCAGTAATACAGAGATCGGCAAGAGACGGCCAACCTAACGCATCTTGCTGATGCTATTATCGAACAATTGGATATATTGAAACCCCTCTTCACCTTCAAATCATTCAAATCATACAGATTCAAAATCTCTACAGTCGATGCCAGGCATCAGCAATCCTTGATGTTAATATCGCTGGAAAGTCAGAAAAAAAGGTTGTTTGCATGTCGAGACAGACCCATAATGAAACTAGGCGTGTTTCGGTGCCTGCCCCACTCAAACGCAAATTATATCATCATCCTCCAACATACTGTTGATTGTGGAGTTTTCGATGGATCAGCGCGTGCTTATATACTGCCAGCAGGTGCACGGGTTTTGCCCTGAATTGACCATTTCGGCAAAGAAAGAGACTAAAGAGGTCCGCAGAAAGTTGCATTGAGGAGAGGAGCCTGAAGGAGGGGCCCTTTCTTAGTAAATTCGAATTCCAAGTTTGAGGGCTCCAGCCCTAACGCGCCACGTGATCAAACCACCCCAGCTCAAGCGCTCACCACCGCGGCAGCTTAAGTATGGTGACTGTCTAACCTGCAGTACGGAAACCTCTCACAGTGAGCAGCCTCCAGTACAGTGCAGCGAGATGGTGAGAAAAAGCGCATTATCTGCAGTACCATCCACAGGCAGTGAGGGTTGGAAAAAAAAAAATTTTATGCTGGAAAAGAAGCTTTCTTAGATTCTCCAACTTTTTCCACACACGAATCATGTCTACCACCGTGAAAACCGCCAACTGGAGATACGTCGAGTCCGGCCGTATTGTGTTGATTGACAGCTCCAAATTGGCCACCATCGTTGAGATCATCGACCAGAAGAGAGTATGTAACCTCCGTCGAAAATGCCCATTTTCCCAGATATCGAGAAGCCAAACACACCACCGTGTTCTCCGAACGAAGACGAACACAACGGTGCTATTTCCATCGCCAAACTCCCATTCCACGTCAAGATACCCCGAGATCCCGTAATCCATCAAATCCACTTGAATACCCCCTTCCGATATCAACAACCCCCTAAACAATATACTAACTGCCAGGTCTTGATTGACGGTCCCGCTGTTGAGAGACAGGCCATCCCTTTGAACAAGGTTGTGTTGACCCCCTTGTGTTGGAGAGATTGCCAAGAGGTTCCAGAACCGCCACCGTTAACAAGAAGTGGGCTGCTGCCGACATCGACGGCAAGTGGGCTGCCACCTCTTGGGCCAAGAAGTTGGCCGTCAGACAGAGAAGAGCCAACCTTTCTGACTTTGAGAGATTCCAGGTTATGGTGTTGAGAAAGCAGAAGAGATTGGCCGTCTCTAAGATCGCTGCCAAGGCTTAAACATATATAATACACGGTAATTGCAGAGGCTAGAGCACGGCTCTTGTGTAGTAGGTGGGTGTAAAGAGATCTGACCTAAGGTGAGATACCTAGTTTGGTGTATATTGAGTCAGTCTAGGGTTTTGATTTTTAGTGGGATTTGTCAAAAGGGAAGGAATAAGATTTTGAGCTGACTTGTTTCAAAGACTTTGAATTGTTGGTGTGGAGAGGATGTGGTGCTTGTTAGTATGGAAAGGTATAGAGTGAAAAATTCACCATCAGACACCTTCCAACAATGTCTTCCCGTAAATGCTTCAAGAACAATGGAATATGAATAAATGGCCCACACCTCCATGTCTTTTCTCATACTTAATCATATCACCACTTGTCACCCCAGTTCCTTATCCACCAAAGTCATTAAAAGAACCACGCCCTCGATCCTACAAAAAACTCACTATCAACACTAATGTTCTATTTACACGTTCTCACGAACTGAAATGCACAGCGCCCGCCGCTATGTTCATGTGATGGCAGGGTGTCTGTCAATCAGTATCGTGGTGGGGATCCCGAAAGTACGAGATAACCAACGGTTAACCCTTTCTTTCAACGGACCCTTTCTAATTTTTCAGTCTCTGAAAATTGAAAGTGAATAATTCAAAATTGCAAAAGCGGTGAATCCGAAATTGCAAAAGCGGTGAATCCAAAATTGCAAAAGCGATTTGGAAACCACCATCTTCACCTCAATTCCCACAAACCCTTCACAACTCAATTTCCAAAGCATCCCAAATGCTTCGGCATTGTCCCTCGGGCTTACTTCTTCTTTCTCTCCTTTTCAGCCTCCGCAATCAACTCCCTCTGCAACTGTGGCGAGGTCTGGGCGTACTTCAAAAACTCCATCGTGAACTCTCCCTTACCCTGGGTCATGGCTCTCAAACTCGAGGAGAAACCAAACATGGAGTGCAAGGAGCACTCGGCCGTCAAGGTCACTTCATCCTGAGTATTGGCCGTTTCGGTGATGATTCCGCCCAACTTGTTGATCAAACCCACAACTGGACCTTGAGACTCAATTGGCGCAGTGACTTCCACAGACATAATGGGCTCCATGATCACAGGGTTACAGTTGAGGAAAGCCTGCTTGAAAGCACCGTAAGTAGCCAAGCGGAAAGCCAATTCAGAAGAATCCACCACGTGAGTCTGACCATCGTTGATGTGCATTCCAACACCCATGACCCTGTGGCCAATCAAAGGACCCTTTTCCAAGCAGTCGTCGAAGGCCTTGACACAGGCAGCAAGGTATTTTTCGGAGATCTTGCCGCCCACAACGTGGTGAGTGCATTCGTTCTTGGTACCCAAGGGCTTCATGTCTCCCATGATACGACCGTACTGACCGGCACCTCCAGACTGTTTTTTGTGGGTGTAGTCGTAGGTCGTTGGTGTGGTGATGGTCTCTCTGTAGGTGACCTGTGGCTTTCCGGTAACACAGTCCACGCCGTACTCTCTTCTCATTCTCTCAACGTAAATCTCAAGGTGGAGCTCGCCCATTCCGGAGATAATGGTCTCCTTGGAGTCGGCGTCGAAATGCACACGGAACGTGGGGTCCTCTTTCTGGAACCTGTTGATGGCCTTGGAGAACTGGGCGGTTTCTTTGCCCTTGGGAGTCAAGGAAAGCGAAATGACCGCTTCAGGCACAAACATGGAACTCATGGTGATGTGGCGGTCCAGATTCTGCCCGATAAAGGTGTCTCCAGAAGCACAGTCCACGCCGAAGGTGGCACAGATCTCTCCCGCTCCAACCTCGTCCACATCCTCCATATCGTTGGAATGCATTCTGACCAAACGGGAAACCTTGACTCTCTTGCCGGACTTCAAGTGGTTGATGAAGGCGCCCTTCTTGAGACGGCCCTGGTAAACACGAATGTACGTGAGCTGTCCGTAACGGCCCTCCTCAAGCTTGAAAGCCAAACCAACAAAAGCCTCCGCAGAAGAAGGAACAAGGTTGATGGGCTGCTCCTCGCCGTCCACAAGCTCAAGACCCGTGTTGAGCACCTCGTTGGGCTGGGGAAGGTAGTCCACCACGGCGTCCAAAACAGACTGAATACCCTTATTGGCCAAAGCAGAGCCCATAAGCACGGGGGTGAATTTTCTGGCAATTGTGGCACGGCGGATCGCCTGCTTGATCTGCTCCGTCAGCGGCTCCTCGCCTTCAAGGTACAAGTCGGCGATTTCCTCGTCCACGTCCGCCAAGGTCTCGATCAAGGTGGCTCTCTTTTCCTCCACCAAATCAGCCAAATCCGCTGGAACCTCGGTCTCGCGGATTATCTCGCCCTGCGAGCCCTCGTAGTAGAGCGCCACCCTGTCGATGATGTTCACAGCACCCTTGAGCTCCTCCTCGGCGCCAATGGGCACCTGGATCGCCGCAGCCGGGGTCTTCAACTTGGCGTTGATCTGCTCAATCGCCCGCCACGGGTTGGCGCCCATTCTGTCCATTTTGTTGATGAACGTGACACGTGGCACGTTGTACCGGCGCATCTGGCGGTCCACCGTGACCGTCTGGGACTGGACTCCCGAAACAGCACAAACCACCAAAACCGCTCCGTCCAAAACACGCAACGCACGCTCCACCTCGATGGTGAAGTCAATGTGGCCCGGCGTGTCGATCAAGTTGAAGTGGTACGGCTTGTTGTCCTTGTCCCACGAGCAGTACGTGGCAGCAGACTGGATGGTGATGCCCTTTTCTCTTTCCAAGTCCATGTGGTCCATTTTCGCCCCCACGGCGTCCTTGCCTCTGACCTCGTGGATCGCCTTGATCCGGCCCGTGTAGAAAAGAACACGCTCCGTGAAGGTGGTTTTGCCCGAGTCGATGTGGGCAGAAATACCAATGTTTCTGAGTCTGGAGGACGATGCGATGTCTCTCTCGGGAAGGTTCTTGTTGATCTCGTCAAGAACGGCTTTTTCCTGTTCGTACGTTTGGGGAATCGTCTTGAGCTCGTTGAGACGCTGGGGCCACGTGCTGAAACGACACGCAGCCTGGCGGCGACAGGCGCTTCCGAGACTTCGAAGGAACATGTTGTTGGTGAAAAATTGTCGCGATAATTGGAGAAGTGAGATGGAGGTGGGGTGGGTTACAAATGGGGGAGGGTTTCAGAGAGGGGGAGCTAAAGATTGAAAGCGATGAGCGAATGAGGGGTTTTATAACTTTTTTTTATGGAGATGGGGTTGATAAGGTGGTATCGTATGGTGATGGAGTGTACCTCATAATTTTTCACTGGTGCGAGATAGGCCAGTCTGGGTGATTTCTTTGAAACTTTTCTACTGTGAGCCGTATGTTTGTCATTTCTTTTGAATATTCACTTTGTAGCTCTTTGCCTTTTCTTTTTGGTCTCACTTTGTGGAACTGACTATGAGTGGTTTGGTGGTTCACCAACTACCAGGATGAAGATTTCACGAAAAAAGACTCTTCAGCGCAACTGGATGTTCTGACTGATGAAAGGTTCGACAAAAAGAGACGAAAACATTGGGAATTGATGATTCCGTGGTATCTTTGTTTGTGAGCTGCAGGTGCTTTAATTGGGCTACGAACAGAGATGTATAGAAGTCTCGTCATCGTTTTATATCATCAATTTCAACTGCTATGGTCTTTGCTGAAGTGCTCTCCCGGGAATGACTGGATGGGGCGTTTGGTTTGGATGAGTTCACCACCTTCAAAATTACATTGATACAAAAGGAATTCGCCAAAACTTCTGAAGAAAAGAAAAAATGTTTGCTAAACTTCACCGAGTGTTTGAACACGCTTTGGTTTTAATTGTATGACTCGTGAAGATGCCCCAGTTGAGGTATAATGTCGCGAGCAGTCATACCTGAGGTGAATTCATGAACCCTTCATTTGATCACTTTCAAGGATTTCGATTTTTCCACTAAGAGAGTTCGAATTTGAAGCGAAAAGATTGTGAAAGCGTTGCAGTTCAGTGGAAACCAACCCACCTTTCGAATCCAAGCAGAAATTAGATATTAAATGCTCATCGCTTTGTTGAGTGAGTTTTTCCCAGTTTTTAAAAAAGTCAAAACTTCATGACCTTAGGAAATAACTACTGGGGTGTCCATGCTGCTACGAAGCATTATATGCTTCTCGTGGTGCCCCATGGCACCACAATCAATATGATCACCGCACTACCTACAATCCCCCAGGATCCCCAAATCACGGCTGGAAAATGCCGCCTAGTTCCCTCGACTTACGAGGGTGGTGCCGACCGGCTCCTCGCATGCTAGACCCGTAGGCCACCTGTTAAAGCCGCTCGTCGCAGGTGACGGTGGTGGAATGTCGCGGTAGAAGGGGGTGTCACGTGGAGGGAACTACAGACTTCGTCAAGCAGGCCATTCCCCATTGGGCGATCAGGCCTACCAATCGGGCCCTTCAAATGCACGGGCAGACGCCGGGCTTTGACTGTGCTGATCTACGGGCTGTGTGTCGCCGTGAGACACCAATGTCTCGTTGAGTCATGTGCGTAGAGGCACGTGACCAAGTCAAGGCAGCATCTTCTCCGCATTCGATGGAAGCTTCGCTTAAAGGGGCACCTTTGTTATGCACCCACCGATGCACATGCATCACCATACATTCCCCGATTAGGCAAAGGCTCACACTGTACGCCTATTCGAGCCATGATCTCTAACCCATCTAAGCGAAAAAGGATTCAATCCTACAGTCATGAGAGTATCTGGGCAAATTCCCCATTTCGACTCTGCAAGAGGTTTCTAACCGAGCTCGTAAAAACCTAGCAAACCCGCCCTAAGCCTCTGGTTTTTCTTTTTCTTTTTTTGCAACCACAGTGTGGATAGACTTTTGGCAATTGGCCCATTGAACAAGAATTATTGTGTCGTATATTTTAAAAAAAAGTACATGTTTTTACCGAAACGAGAAATGGCCCCTATGTCACCCAAAGCGGGCAGGTCCACAATCAACTAACACAAAGATGAATGTTCAATAATAGCCGAAACACAGGGAGTATTTTTAAATTCCACCAAAGCGTTTTTCACGATGTCGAGGTTGCTGGTGTTATATTCTTCGTACTTGTGTGCCCCGATTTTTCGTAATGTCGTGCCACAACAAGCATTCCATTCTAGAAATAAACTTCTGGCTAAAAATATCCGATCCCTGAAGAGCACTACTCAATTGATTAAAGAGGCTTGGTAAAGAACCTCTCTCGCTTGTAACAATGGATCCACAAATCTCTACAGTTCTCTTGTCCAATCATAAATTACTACCTAGGCCGAATTAACTGCGTCGAAGAAAACCAAAGGGTATGTGCTCACCAGGAGCCTAGTAGAGTCTTCTCTGCACCATGGTGGTGGGCACAGATCTCTTAGCATTGGCAGAAGCCGTCTCGGTACCGGATTTGCCAGAAGCATTGTCAATGTCAGACACGGAGGCCTCGCCGTTCTGGATCTTCTTACCCAAGAAGTTGGCAATGTCCTTGGCAAAGGATGGGCCGTGCTCAGAAATGAAGTTAAGACCAGCCTGCAAGATACCGTTGTCCTTGGACCAGTTGAAGATGTCTTTGGCGACAACGACACCGTTCTTCAAGGCAGACGTCAAGAAGGAGATGGAAGCCTGAGGGTCGGCAAGAGCCTTCTTCACCAAGTTCTGGACAATGCCAGTCTGTCTGATGGCGTCGACGACGGTCTGGGCAACGGAAACAAGGTCACGCTTGTCGTAGTACACGTCAGGGTTGAAGTTGTGCACCTCTGGGAGCGCCTCTCTCTTGTCGTTGTTGCTGTTGTCTCTGTTGGCAAGGAAAGTTTTCAAAAGGTTCAAGCCAGAAGAGAAGACGGCCTTGGCCACGTTGAACAAGGCAGATCTCAACTCCTCGCTGTTCCAGATGTCCGAGAAGATCGTCTGGAGCAAACCAGACTGCCACACGGCCTTGATCAAAGCGGGGCCATGGGCAATGGCGCCTCTGACGGCGGATTTGATCAAGTCACCCAAGACACTCTTGAGCTGATCGTCCTTGGTGAGAATTTGCCACACATCGCCAATGATGCCCGAGTTGGAAAGAGCAGAAAGCAAGTCGCCAAGCAAGTTGTCGGCTCTCTTGGAGAGCTCGTGGATCTCGCCGTCGTCCTCAGACAAGGAACGCTTGTGGTTCAAGGAGGCGATTTCATCCAAAATCAGCAAAGCCTGACCGACATCCTCCTTCTTGACCAAAGAGTGGGTGAATTCGGTGTTGTCAATGGAGGTTGGGGCGGCAGAAGCGAAGGAAGCTGAGGCCAAGATGGCCAAAAGAGTAGGGGTGGAGTATTTCATGATAGACGGGGCGATGTGAGGTGGGAACAAAAAACAAAAAAAGGCGAGGGATCCTGCTGCTTAAGTACCTGTGGAAAGTGGGGACGATCTGCGGGCGGTTTCTGCCGGGTGTTTCAGAAGAGGATAAAAGGGTATGGGCGGTTGGAGATTTTGCAGCACTTCCCGAAGCGGTAAAATGAGGTGCGTGGAGGTGCGCCATGGCCTGTATATAACCAAATGGACAATCCGCGCGTATGGGATTTTGGCACCGCCTGTGTGCAGTCCGCATTGTACCTTCCGCATCGGGCAAACATCAGCCGTGGCCAGGCACGACACAAGAATAGCCAAGCAGTAACCGGTGTCGAGACGGCACGAGGTGACGGCACCAAAGGGTTTATTGTGGTGCACGGGTTTTGTGTTTATTATGGGGATTCAATTATAGGGGCCTTCTTTGCGGCTATCCGAAAGGAGGGGCCCGCCAAAAAACCCCAGGGTGCCAAGAGCCGCAGCATTGTTCGATTTCCAACAGACGGGAAATCTCGTCACAAAAGGCAAGCGAGGCGAAACCTCCATAGTGATTTTGCTGGATCGAGAAGTCGCTCGTTTTGCGTGTTTCCCTTTTGGTCAGCCTCACGGTCTCAATGTCGTTTTTGCTGTGGTGTGGCTAATCGCCCAAAGAAGCAACGATCGTGAAAAAGGAATACCCGGCTTAGAAACGGCGACAGATTGTGATATTAGAGAGGTGATATTTTAAGAGGTTTAGAGATGGAAAATCAATGAATGAAAAAAATCAATAAATGAAAAAAAGTAGAGAACCGGCAGAAGGTACCAATTGATGGAAAGGAGGTGCCAGAATTGGAAGAAATGGCCGCACGGCACTATTGCCTTTTGCAGATGGACCAGATGCATGATGGAGGTGACAGAGATGATAGACGGTGAAATGTCGTTCTTTTAATAGAAGGGTGTAGGGAATTTAGGGAATTTGAATTTGAGAAGAAATTTCCAAAAGTGCTCAGATCAGCTGTTTCGGATTCGACGCTGGTGGCTTGCGAGATGAGGGCATTTTTTCCATTCCTAAAATGTCCATGGTGAAAGAGGGGCCTTCAGTCGCTAATCTAGGCGAATTGCGCTAATCATCAAAACCTCCTTTCGGGATATGGCCCATGTGACGACGGTTATGGTGCCTGTGGACGATCGTTTTGGAAATTCAGACGTACGGCGCTGGTTGGTCGTTTGGTAAGGTCTGGTGTGGATTTTGTGATTGCTTTTTTGGGAAAAGAGCTGATGGCTTTGATGGAGATTTTTCTGATTGGGTGGTTGGTTTTGTATGGTCTCCTTTGAGATGTCTTATGAGATGCGTTGACGGTGAAGCTTAATATCCAACCATGGAGGATTGACGATTGAGAAGAATGGGTCGATGGAATTTATGAGGCTTCTTGTGAAAGCTTGATTTTAAAAGCTTTGGGCCAGAAAGGACTCAATTCCAAGCCTCGTGGTCAAGCCACCCAAAGCCACTGTAATATTGCTACTTTATCCGGATGTGATGCCGGTGAAGATTTGTTTGTTCTTTTTGGAACGATCGATATGGTTGCTCTTGGAAATAAGATCTGATTTTGTCCTAGTCCTATCCATGGTCAATTTTCACCTTTCTACTCAATTGAGCTCGTCAGCTATACCCGTTGAACATCCATAAATTCACAATGTAATCAGCTAGGGGCCAAACCCTAAGGATTTCCTATCCAATCCATCCAGAATCTCCCCAAAGCATACCTTAAACTCCTACTACCTAAATCCTCTTCAATTGGACCCCACTAAACTCTCATCCACCTCCTTCTAACCATCCATTTACTCTAACCGTCCCAACCAATCCTAACCGCCTCCTATTACCCTTCATACCCTCTAAAACCTCCACAACCTCCACATGTATCCATGACAACATCACGTTGTGTGCCCTTGCATCGGATCTTGAACCCCGATCGATATTCGTATTTGCACCCACAAAAACCTCTCCCCAATTCGCCTAAACTAACCGAAAACGACTATCCTGAGCTGCTGGCTTCCAGAATCATAACCAAAATGCAATTCCATCTCGTATATCCCAAAAAGGAGATGCGATGGAATATAACGCCTTTTGCAACTCAATACCAGTCAACCCTGCCATATCCTCTTGCTTCCTTTGGTTTTTTTTTCCTTTCCCAATAACCAACCACCGTACCTGGAAGGCTGCTTTAATATGGGGCATGTTACTCGAACAAAGCTGCTCTGGTCAAAAAAGGCATCAATTCTGCTTGGCAAAAAGCGGAACAACCGACATCTATGACACTTCGGTCTTGGCTGTATTGTTCCGTGATGGGTTCACGCTGAGGGCCACTAGTTCGATTTTTTTGTTGTCACGATGGTGTTTTGGGAAATTGACCTAGTTCCGTTTTGGGTAGTTGTGTTGATACGATAAGTCTAAGCGATGCAGCCATCGAACGATGGTTTTGGAAAGCGAGACCAATGGAGGTTATGGAGTTTGATTGCTGTTGATGGTTTGGGGTATGTGTTTTTGGTTTCAGAATTGGAGGGAGCTGTTTCAAGGCCAATATTGAAGCGGTCGGACTTGTTTCATAATAACCGCCTTGTCACTCTGAATGTCTCGTCAAATTCAACTACAACATGTGAAACACTATTGTTGACGGGCCAATAGTAGCTTGGTAAGTGCAGTGAATGTTCCATGTGGGATTCTGATAAAAGAGCCTCCAGCGCCTTTAAAGCGGGATGGTCCCAGAAATTTGGAAGACTGTTCTAAGTTGCATTTTGCTGCCATGTTCAAGTTCTCCAAGAAAATGACCAAGGTGGACTCGAAGATCGATGATATCCACAACAGCTTGAGTGTGAGGTACAAGACTCTCTGGTTTAAGACACTCTTGAGGTCTGGGATTCTGAAAGCCTTTGACGATGGGTTAGCAGCCACAGGAAAGCCAGCAAAATAGGGACATTTAGATCTCGAGGCATCGGTTCATGCTTTGCTCTGTCAAAGTTGGTTCATGATCAGATCTCATTTGGCTCATATGATAGGCCCATAGTCACTCATTCAGGATGAATAGAGCCATTTGCTATTTCCAAAAAGCTCTTATCCTCAACCCCTATAAATTGAAGGAACCGTTGTTATGGCTCTTTCTTTGGTAAATTGAGTGAGGAGTCCATCTCGACAAATACCAGTGAACAAAATTCAAGGACGCTTCTTCCAAATCCACAAAATATCCAATTCTTGCCACTTCCAAATAGGATTCAGTGGAGCACCTCTGCTTCACTTAACTACAGTGGTGTCTGCACCAGACAACAGAGGCTTTGACACCATTCCAACCGCAACTACTCAAACAGCAAGGGCTCTTTTCAAAGGGGCTTTCTGAAAATACAAATGTCACAGAATGCTTCGTTTGCAAGATTTGCGGATCTTCCACGGCACATTCCACATTCTAGAAGAGGAATTGGCCCAGCAGAATGAGCCAATGCCGGAGATGTGGATGTATGAGGTGATGATTTTTGATTCTTTTTAGGTCAAATACGCTGTGGTGGGATTGCATGTTTCTTGGGAAGAAAATTCACTTTGAGGTTCTGAAAAATTTACAGTGGTTAGCTCCTTCAGATCTTTCTATTCTAGATCTTTTTGTTTCCTTCTTATCAAACAACTAATCCAAGCCACGGCTCAATTTGGTTGTCAGGATGCGTGGCAGCTTATACTGCCTATGCCGTGTGAAGAGGTATGTGAACCAGGTATGCACTAGGTATGCACTTACGATGCTGTCAATCGGGCTCGAAGCGGGCCGCTTCGGCATTTATAGTAAATTTGGAAAAACACAGAAAATGAAGGATCAGGTTCCCCGAAGCCCATTCTCTGTCCATTTCTTAAAGTACGTCATTGCTTGACCATGCCAGCATTAAATTTTTCTTTCAAGCATTTTTGCCCACAGCTTCTCTAAGACGGTTGATTTCTTCCTCAAGCTCATTAAACCTCCTCTTTGCCAGTTTATTCTCGTAGACTCTGGCTTCACGTTCTGCTTTCCACCTAGCTGTGAGCTCCTCAAGCCTGAGGTCGTATTCAGGACTGCCATCTCCTTTTTCATTTTGTCTTGAAAGCTTGTCATTTTGCTCTTCTAGTTGCACAATTCTCTTGCTAAGTTGATCAATGTGCTGCTCGTTTTCTTTCGCTCTCTGCTCTTTTTTGAGCAAAAGAGTGATATGGTCGTCAACAGAAAGATCAGCTGCCTTAGCAAAGTACTGAAACAACATCCTATGACATTCAAGTAGATCCGAAATCACATCGTCAGAATAGTCGAGAATCGATGCATCACTTTTAGTGAGGAAGTCCTTAATCGTTCTAATCTTCTCAATGGGCTCATTGATAGAACTATCGTCAACCAAGCGATCAAATGTATCAGCAAGTTTGTTAAGCTGATCTATGTCAAACTGATAAAGCTGGTGGAACCTGGCTTTGGCGTCCTCATCAATGGTGGGCTGCGCAATCTCATCGTCAAGGTGAGCATCTTGCAATTTCTCAGTGAGAATGTCAATGTTGCCTTGTAGCTTACTCTTCACCTGATTGAGTTCTTCAACCTGGTAAGAGAGTCTGGTCTTCTCTGACTGAAGCTTCCGTTGCTTCTCAACAGCTGTGTTTAGGCTGATCTTAACATCCTCTAGCTCAGATACCCGATCTCGAAGCGCTAGCTGTTCCTTCTTCCTATTATTGAGCTGTGTTGTTAGAGATGTGATGGTTGAGCTCATGTTTTGTTTCGTCAGCTTAAGCTCCATCTTCAACTCTTCATGCAAGCGGAAAAGGTCATCGTATTCCTGGCGAAGATCATCAAGCTTCCTACTCTCCGAGTTAGCGTAGGTATTATCCACCACGGAGCTTTGTCTGCTGGAGTCTTCACGCTGGTTGATTTGCCTTTGGAGATCATCAATCATAGCCTCGTATTTGTTGAACCTGGCCTCGACATCTTTGCCAAATTTGTGGGGTGTGACATCCACAGCTTCCTGAAGCTCCTCGACCTTGAGCTCAAGATCACTGTATTTGGCCTTCCATGAGGCGATCTCCTCGGTTTGTTGGCCTAGAAGCTTTTCAGTCAGTCGTGCTTCGGTTTCGTAAACCTTTATCTTCTCTTCAAGATCTGCCACTTCCTGACGTGAGCTCTCGGAGTCTATAAGGGATCGAAGCAAGGGGACCGCCAGGTTTATGTAAGATGCAGAATCATGATGCTGGACTAACTTCTCTGGAATACCAGAAGCCAGAAGAAGCTTCGATATCTCGTCCTTCAAGTCCTCGAAAGAATTGTGCAACTGATCGGCCCTCTGGTCTGCTTGACGCCATTTTACCTGACTTTCCTCTAGGTTAGCGTACAAGTCTTCCACCAAGGTCGACATCTCCTCGTTTTCCTGTCGAAGTTTCGCCACAGTCAGCTCTCTCTCCTCCCATGTTTCGTGGAAATCAGTGATGTCCTCGGCATCAATCTGCTTCTTGTCGATCAAGTCTTGGAGAAACTTGTCGTAGAGCTTCAACTGAATCTTGCAGTCTGTGAGCTGCTTCACCAAGTCTTCATGCTTTTGTGTCGAGGAAGAATCAGCCACGGTTCCCAAATTAGACCTGTTGAAAGCCAGGGCTTTTCTGATAGAGCTGATGCTTCTCTCTCCATTCGTCAGAAGCCACAGCAGGAGCTTTCTTGCGTTTTGAGTAAACTTCCCGTCATCGAGATCAATGGCCAAGTCAAATTGGGCCTTTGTGTCGTTCATAAATGATGAGTTCTGGAAATCTTGACTATTCATATCCTGGCTGGAACGTGTTGAACTCTGAAAGCTCACCTCAGCTTTAGGTGGTGACACAAAAGGTGACAGTGTTGGTCTGTTTGGGGAGCCTCGAGAAAACAGTTTTGAGAACGACTTCCTCACAACACTCTCGTTTGCAGCATCGTCGGAGTCGTCAAACTCAGATTCGTCTTCTGTTTGGTTACTTGGTGCAGCTGATCTGGAAGGATCCGTAAGAAACGAACTCAGCTGGGTCAGCGGCACCAGCGACTCAAGCGCTCGGTTGCTATTGGCTAGAAAGCCAGATTTGGCCTCTTCTGCTAGGCTAGTCATAGCAGCTTTTGTGTGAAGTTGTAGCAAACGGGTAGTGGTTGTAGCGTGGTGATGTTTACTTTTCGCACCCATATACCCAAATACCCCAGACCAGGCATCGGGAAGGACGTAAGGTGATTATTGGCAGGTCCAGAAGGAAAAACAGTAAAGGGGCTTTCTAGATGAGTAGCTCTGGAAAAACTCTTCAAAATAGTGAGAGTTTTGCGTTTTTATCTAAAACTTTGCATGGTATTCAGCATGAACGCAATGGCATGTTTCGCAGCCAATATTAGCACTCCGATACACCAATTATATGGAAGAAGCATAAAGGAAGTCATGTTGGATCATCTCATAATGCCAATCCTTGATTTCCGTCATCATCATTGCAAATTGTAACCCATAATAGCCTCACTCTAGCCGAAACCACTTCTTCCAAATCGGCTAGCAACTCCCCTCTCTCGCTATTTCTACACTTCCGCTCGTCATTACATTTAATCATTCTACACTAGCTGGCCATCTCGGTGTCCTCGTCCTCGTCGTCCTCGTCGTCCTCCTTGGCAAACTTGACCGCCTCCTCAAACAAGTCCTCGGGCACAAACTGGTGCAACCCATTAGTCTCCTCCGTCAGACACCACGACATCTCCAACTCGAAATCCTTGTCCTTGTTGTCCTCGTGGGCCTGGTATATGATTCTGGCGGCATGCTTAGCAGCCTCTCTCACTGTCAAGTTTTCGAAGTCCAATTTCTCCAACTCAGACTTGGCAGTTTGTCTGCCCTTTCCTGTGGCAGCTCCCGTGTAGCCCCAGTAGGTTCCACTGGGCTCAATCATGTACAAGTGGGGTCCGTTATCGTCAACACCACCCAAAATCGAAACCACGCCAAACGGACGCACAGAGTTGTAACACGTGTAGTTCTGGACGTAGATACCCAAACGGTCCATCAAATGGGGCACACTGACAGGGGTCTTATATATGTTCTTGAAGGATTCAGCCTCATCACGGCCTCTGTTCACGAAATGACGTCCATCCGGTAACAACCCAGAGTAGGCCACACCAATGTGTCTATCTATGGTCTGGATTCTCTTGTTTTTGCCTGGAACAAGCAACTTGGAGTTGACAATCTTCTCCACCGCCAACACTATGCCGTCTTTGGCCTTGATGCCTATGGAAGTACCTCCGTTCTCCACTGCCTTCATGGCGTACTCCACCTGGAAGTTTCTGCCATCAGGAGAGAAGACCGAGTTTGAAAGGTCGTAGCCGGTTCCGATGGAGGTCTGGATGTTAGTGGTTTTACAGGTTTGGCTTGTTCAATTGACATACCATGTTATCGTTGAAGTGTAGAGATCGCCACTGTCGATATTTGAGAACTTGGTGCCAGAGAGGTCATGTGACCCACTAGGGTGGTGCTTTCAAAACAGGGTATTGGGCTGAATGAATGGGAAAACTTCTTGGGGGGTATAAACAAGAGAAGACAGAAAAGTCATTTTTGTTCTTTTTCGTTGTGGCTGTAGTATTGTACCATGGTGTTCTGGGTTGAGGGTGCTCAAGCAAGGTTGAGATTTACCAAGCCACCGCTGGGGAGGTCAAGACGATATCTAAAATAATCAAAAATAATTTACAGTAATATATCGAGGTTTTTTTGCACCAGAATTTAACTCTTATGCTTTTTGCATTCTATCAAATGTACGGTGCCGTAGCCAATCAATGGCTGCAACTGTACACTTTCACACTATCAAAACGTATCGCTGAATGTAGCTGACAGAAGTCAGCCTTATTCCTTGGTGGTTTCGAAAGAGGTCACGTTTATCAACAGCAAGTCACCATTGTTACAATTCTGACCCGCCCATCTTGGCTATATCAATCTTACCATAGACAGTCGCATTAGCCTCAAGAACTCGTAATCAACTTCACCAAGTTCCAAAACTAACAAACCCCTTTTCCTCCTTTCATGTGTACCCCCTTTCCCTGAACCAAAAAAGACCAAGCCTCCCCACCAAATTCCGCCGTTACCGTGAATCTGACGCACCCTCGGACTACTCCATACCGAATCGCACATTTTCATCTCCATCACCATGTGGCAGTTCAAATGGCCCTGGCTCGGCGTGGCCGTATGTACTCAAATCGCTACATTTACGAAACTTTCTAACCACAGATTCCACTGCTTCTTATTCTGGGCATCGGCACAGGCTCGTTGTTCTTTGTCTTTAGACACCATATGACATCAGAAGGTCAGCTCGCGTACTTCGGCCTTATGGTGGCCGTTGGGTTCTCCTATTTTCTAGCGGTGGTCACTTCGCCAGGAAAACCACCAAAGGACTATAAACCACAGAAAAACCAATGGAAGGTTTGGTGCAACAAGTGCAATCTTTACAAACCTCCTAGAACCCATCACTGCAAACAGTGTCAGACGTGTGTTTTGGCAATGGACCACCACTGTCCGTGGACAAACAACTGTGTTGGTCATGGGAACATGCCCCATTTCATGAGATTCTTGTTTTGGGTCCTTGGAGGAACGGGATACACGTTTTACTTGCTTTCACTTAGAGCCCTCGAGTTCTACGAGGACCGCGATCTCCCAGCGTACCTTGTGGACCGTTCCGAGCTTGCCGCGGTTATCATTCTTCTTTTGGTCGATGGCTTCGTCTTCTTTGCCATTTCCATTTTGGCTCTTCGGTGTGTTTTCCATATCGCCAGCGGAAAGACCCAGATTGAGGTATGGGAGATGGAGCGGATCGAGGCCCAGTTCCATACCGAGCGTCTCTGGTACCAGATCAGGAAGAATTACAAGGAAGTTCACGGCGAGGAGCTTCCCGAACTCACTTCATGGAACATCAGTGCACGTTACTACGACGGCGATCCTTTGGAGGTTGACGAGGACGTTCCATTGAGAGAGCTCGGGCAGGAGGCCGAGGAGGCCGAAGCGTCGCTTATTCCCGAGGCCTTCACTCCCGACGACGTTATCTTCCCTTACGATCTTGGCTTTTTCAAAAACTTTGTCAACGCATTGGGCTACCCATGGAGTTTCATTCTCTTCTGGGGCCTGCCTCGAGGAAACGGCTACGAATTTGAGTGCAATGACGACGACGACCAATTGAATCTTCCTTGGCCTCCAGATGGAGGTTCTACAGACTTTGTGGCTAGGGAATACACCGATGACGAATTGCGTGAGTTGGGTAACCCAACACTTATCAAGAAGCATTTGGACCCTCGCAGCCGCATGCCTCGGAGCGAGTGGACCAACGACATGGGCGAGACGCTTCAGGACTTCGGTGTGGACGTTGACGGAGAGGACGATTTACAATTGGAGAAGGGCTCAATTGGAGACTGTGAAGAAGAAAGCGAAGCGGGAAACACCATCAATGCGGCCGAAGTGGGACGCACGTAATTTACGGGTTTGGTAGTGCAAAAAGAGAGTCTGTTCAAGGTTGCAAACTGTGGAGTCATTGTGCAAACAGAAGAACGCAACAGCGGTGCAGCTTGACGTGTTCTCGCGCAAGCGAAAATACTAATTGAGAGAGAGACCTGAGGGCAGCCACCTACCTCGAAAACACCACAACACCATAACACGAGCATGTAAGGTGAGTGAATTCCTCGTGGAAATCACGTAATTCGAGCATGACGCTTTTCTTTCAATTTTATCGCTTTTTCTTGGGCATTGCTGAAGGATGCTGGGTGCACTTGAGTGCGTTAATAAAGTGATGGCACGTGAGTGCGGGTGATTTGGACAGAATGGCTGCGAATTCTCCAGCCTGCGGTATAAAAACGCTGGTCGGTCCCATTGCTTCATTATCCAACCATGACTGAAAAAACCACCTTGAGATTGGGCTCCGTCGCCCCAGACTTCACTGCCGAGACCTCCAACGGCTCAATTTCTTTCCACGACTTCATTGGTGACTCCTGGGCCATTCTCTTCTCCCACCCAGACGACTTCACCCCAGTGTGTACCACCGAGTTGGGTGCTTTCGCCAAGTTGCAGCCTGAGTTTGAGAAGAGAAACACCAAGCTCATTGGTTTGTCTGCCAACGGTACCGAATCCCACAAGGCTTGGATCAAGGACATTGATGAGATCACTGGCTCCCAGTTGACTTTCCCAATCATTGCCGACCCAGAGAGAAAGGTTGCTCACGCCTACGACATGATTGACTACCAGGATGCCACCAACATTGACAACAAGGGTGTTCAGTTCACCATCAGATCCGTGTTCATCATTGACCCATCCAAGAAGATCAGATTGATCTTGTCCTACCCTGCTTCTACCGGTAGAAACACCGCCGAGGTGTTGAGAGTCTTGGACTCTTTGCAGACTGGTGACAAGCACAGAGTCACCACCCCTATCAACTGGGTTCCAGGTGACGATGTCATTGTCCACCCAACTGTGTCCAACGAGGAGGCCAAGACCTTGTTCCCTAAGTTCCGTATCATCAAGCCATACTTGCGTTTGACCCCATTGGAGAAGCAGTAAGTGCTATTGACTAGCCCTCTGTATAGATAATACGTATTTTGATTGCAGTGTAGAGCTGGGACGTAATTGATGTGACGATCGCGCCACAGTTTTTCGTCCCCAGAAGAAGGCTTTGGACTCATTGACATGGTACATAAGCTGTAGGAAGGTTTAGCCGTGCTTCCATTGATGCCTTTGGGAATATCTCCCCGCATTGAGTTTACGGCATCTCTATAGCACTAGCTCGATGGTCCTATAATAGTATTGCATGAGTCCACAAAGCAATAGACTAAAAATGGGACGAATTTCTTTTGAATGCTGAATCAAAATCTAGAAGAAAACCATCGTGTCCGATTTATGCTTCTTTTTTGTCACGCCAAGTCAAAAGCTGTTGTATGCTTCAGTGCTTCAGACTACTGATAAGAGTGGCTGCGAAAACCACAACCTCTAAGTGTAGCTATCATGAGGCAAAGAAAGGCGAAGCTATTTAAGGAAACCGTTCCACTCAATGATTAAAACCAGATTGATTAGAAGAGTTCTACACCTTGTCTTACGTTAATTATCTTGTCGGTATCCTTGGCCGGACTACAAAGCTCCTATACAACCTAGAAGACACTCATCAAGGCAAGTTGAACCAGACCAGGGCAATTGCCCAAAATTACTTTCTCTTCCTTTTGACCGAATAAAATATTTCCTCTTTTCCTGAATGATCACAGTCATCCCAACATATGCCCTGTTCCTTCCTCTCAATCCCAGTACTGAGCATTTTCGCACATCAACATCACCACTCCACTCTCATCAACTGAACCAACAAGCCATGAGGTCCACATTGCGGCGCTGCCTGCTCCCACTCCGGAAAACAGGCTCTTTTAGGAAACTGCTCCGTCCTCTAGCGCTGGTCGCCCTACAATTACCAAAACCGCTTCCTTTGCCTTCAGGTCTTCACTGTATAAATGGGCTACCCCAAGGGCTGGTTGCTTTCCTGGAGAAAAACGACTTTGATCCCGAGGAGCAGGAAAGAAAGGCCAACTTGGGTGCTCTAGTCGACGAAATGCGCCTGCTTGTGCCCGGAATGGTTCATGAAACGCTTCCAAAAAGCATAGTGCTGCCCGATATAATGCTACGGATCTGCCCTTCACATTTCGACCAGATGAACGCTTTCTTACCGAATATAAAGGGGCACGTTTCGTATTACGCCACCTGCAAAGCACTCCAGTTGTTCATGACGTCGGTAGTCGTGAACCCTAATGTTCAACTTCACATCCAGAGCTTACGAACCACCACCGCCTCAGACTTGCCTTGCGTTTACCCACACTCACAGAAGATCATAGTGAGATGGACAACCTGTCCAGAAGGCTGTACTCACCTAAGAAGAAAGGTCAATGGTAGCCACAAAACAGGAGATGCTAAGCTAGGCAGCCACCGATGGTCCAGAATCGACACTGACAAGTTTGTAGATGCTCAGGAGAACCCATACAACTGGCTGCTTTCTTCATCGTTGGCTGGTCTCACCAAAGGCATTATCGGGCTCAAAAAAGAGGAGGAGGATTTGGAGAGGGTGGTGCTGGGCATCTTTATCTTCGAACTTAACACAAAAAACGATCATATCGTCGCACATACCATTGAGGATATGGATGTTATCGAGCGCAGGGAACTGCAAGGCGTTGATGGCAAACTACGTGTGTGCTAGGCTTCAAAGACCGTGACGGCTACTTTGTATATAGAACCATCTCATCGTATATAGCATTCAAATGAGACCAAAGAATTTGGATCGCTTCTCCTCCTCTTCTCCTACCAAGAGAAGAGCTCGTCTAGCCAAATATGAGGCTCGCTCATGTTTGCCGAAGGGCCTGCCTTCAAATTTCGAAACAGAATCCCAAAATGCCTCACTGTTCTTGTCGCTGTCAACTTGGAATCTATCTTTGGTTTGTAGAACACCGAGAAGGTTTGTTGTGAGTGCAAGCTGTCTGTTCATCAACGTTCTGTTTTCCAGCAAATCGAGCATGATCTTAAACTGGACAAGCAAAAGCATTGAGAGAAGAAGGCTTCCCACGGTAGCAAAAATGCCAAGCGGTGAAGTGAATGAAAAAGAGACCTTCTCCTTCTTTTTCTTTTGCTTGACCACTTTCGGTTGTGGTGCCACTCCCTCCTCCTTCTCCGCCGCTTCGACATCAGCCTTAAGCGCTGGTGGGCCAGAAGCGAGGAAGGTGTGGTCCGAAATCTCCTTGTGTAACAGTTCTATTAGATCCTTTGCAGCGGCTGCTTGTGCAGATTGCGTCAGGTTTTCAACCATCTTCTTGATCCAGGAGGAGCCGGTCCACTTGACGTGGTATGCTATGCGGACTCTCGTGGTATTGGCCTCACCCCACGTGAAGTAGTATCTTGTCCTCACAGTGAATGCTCCTCCAGAAGGCACATCTGGAGTAGACGTCACAGAAAGTAGCACAACATAGTCTGCAAAATTGAGATGCTCAATGATTTCACTCACGATACATCGCGTGGACTTGGGACCAATCGAGTAGCCCAAAGCTCTTTTGTAGACATACTTCCTCTCCAACTTTGTGGGATCGTCTTCCATGGGATGGTAGTCGTCGTACTTTGTGATTTCTGAGGCATCATGAGTCTCGAGGAACTTCGAGTGGAAGCTTGTATCGTTACTTCCAAACAAGATATCAAAAACCGTTCCCATAGGAGCCGATATTGTGGCCTGGCAAATCTCACTCTCGAGATCGCTATCTTCGAAAGTTTTGCTCACGCTAGTTGGGTGGTGTGTTTCTGGACCCATGTTCTTGTAAGAACTGTCAGGTTTCAAGCGCTGAATTTTTGTCGACACTATTTCTGATTCTTGTGACGGGGCATCATCATCTAAGCTTTGTTCCGTTTCAGGAGAGTCGAGCGGTGTCTCCGAGTTGCTATAATCGCTCTCCTCGTCACTCTCAGATTCTGAACTCGACAGCGCATTAATTTCGCCATTTCGAATCTCTGGAGCGTCATCCTCGTCTATAGAATTGATGTAAGAGTCTATCTTTCCCTCCGTGCTGGAGGAAGGGTTATCCTTTGATTTGATGGGCAAGGGTGGAGAGGAGTCAAGCTCGGATTGTTCTTTGCCTGTGGATGCCAGCCACACTGTCCTAAGAAAGTCGTATGTCGAGTCTCGGGAAAGGAAACTGGCAAAGTTGTGCTTTGCCTCCTTGGTCTCGATGGAAATGCCGTTGGGAAAGAGACCCGCAGTCGACTTCTTGTCAATGCGCTGAATATCTTCAAACGGCACAATGAGACTGGTGACCCAGCCCAACAAGTTCGAATTGAAGCAAAGCGAGTGTTCGGTGACGTATAGTCTTCCTTGTAGCAAAATCTCTCTGCTCAAGGCACAGGCAAAGTCGTCCAAGAGCCGGTCAGTCAAGTCAAGACTTCGAAAAAGCTGGTGAAAGTCCACATTTCTTTTCATCGTAGCGTACCTGTAGTGTGTGTCCTTGTACTTGTCAGCCACGTACAACTTCGGATCGAACTTGTCTCTCTCTAGCTCGTTCTGCTGGTCGACAAATGCCGGCCCGAGACCTTCGGACACGGTCTTCTTATGGCCCTTTCGGTAGGCAATAATTTTGGGTGATGCGGCGAAATCGCCTGAGCTTTCTAGTGCCGCTGCCGCTGCCATTTCGCTGAGCTGAGCGCTCTGGGAGTCCTGCTCCTGCTGTTTCTGCCATATTTTGATAGAATTGCTGAGATCTGTTTTCGGCGTTAGCGGCGGGCTAGAAGAGCCGTCGGCCAAGGCGTTGGTGGAGCCCTCCTTCGACATGACTGAGCTGGCATCTTTCTTCGTTGTGTGGGGATCAGCAGGCACTGCTTTTGGCATGAACCCGCTTCCCTTGCCGATGGACGCTGAAGACGGGCCCGGCAGACTGGCTGACACGGAACGAAACAGCATGATATCCGCTTTGTTTGTGGAATTTTTGGGTAGTTTCCGTCCCTCTGGCAGTTCAGGCCCGGGTTTATGGCCATCACTGACAGACCCGTCGGGACTATCCTCACCTCCTTCGCCCTCTAGAGGTAAAAGTTCAGTAGAAGGCGGAAACGAGTAGGACCATGCATCGTCATCTTCTTCCATGGCGGTTAGTGAGAAGAATCGTAGTACGTGGTATAATGGACTGAATCAGAGGTGAGTCCGTATCATTGTGCAGACCGCCTAGACAGAGCGAATGACGTTTTCTTGGGTGCGATTCACTTGACTACCACAAGTGAAGTACTACCACTAATGGTGACTACCACAGTGAAGTACCACCACTAATGGTGTTCTACAAAAAAACTCGTCGGACTGTTTATTCAACAAACAGGTAGTCCTATGCAAATTAAATACCTCAACCAAAGCCTGTAGTATAAAAAGAAAAGGCATGAGCAGAATTGAAGGGCCCTGCTAGTCGTTCATGACCATGGCAGGAAAAGAGCGCCACAAAGCAGCTTACTGGTTCTCGGGACGCAACTTTCTCACCTCCTTGCCGACCTTCCAGATCTCCATGTTTCTGATGGTCTCCAACTCCTCCTCCAATCTCTCTCTGTAGTCGGGGGCACCGTTGAAGTCCAAGGATCTCTGGGTCTCGGTACCGTTTCTCACAGACTCGTACAAGTCGCTGAAGACTGGCTTCAAGGCATCCTTGAATCTTGGGTACCAGTCAAGAGCACCTCTTCTGGCGGTGGTGGAGCAGGCGTCGTACATGTAGTCCATACCGTACTTACCAATCAATGGGTAAAGAGACTGGGTGGCCTCCTCAACGGTCTCGTTGAAAGCCTCAGATGGGGAGTGGCCGTTCTCTCTCAACACCTCGTACTGGGCCAAGAACATACCGTGGATACCGCCCATAAGACAGCCTCTCTCACCGTAAAGGTCAGAGTTCACCTCTCTCTCGAAAGTGGTCTGGTAAACGTAACCGGAACCAATGGCAACAGCCATGGCAATGGCCTTCTCCTCGGCCTTACCGGTCACGTCGTTCCACACGGCGTAAGAGGAGTTGATACCTCTGCCCTCGAGGAACAAGGATCTGACGGTTCTACCGGAACCCTTTGGAGCAGCCAAGATGACATCAACGTCGGATGGTGGCTCAACCTTGGTCAAGTCCTTGAAGACTGGGGAGAAGCCGTGCGAGAAGTACAAGGTCTTGCCCTCGGTGATCAAGGGCTTGAGCTCGGGCCAGGTCTCGGACTGGGCAGCGTCAGACAACAAGTTCATGATGTAGGTACCCTTGCCAATGGCCTCCTTGACGTCGAACAAGTTCTCGCCTGGAACCCAGCCGTCCTCAATGGCGGCCTTCCAAGAGGCACCGTCCTTTCTGACACCAATGATGACGTTGAGACCGTTGTCTCTCAAGTTCAAACCCTGGCCGTAACCCTGAGAGCCGTAACCAATCAAGGCCAAGGTGTCGTCCTTGAAGTACTCCAACAATTTCTCTCTTGGCCAGTCGGCACGCTCGTGGACAATTTCCTCAGTGCCACCAAAGTTGATGGTTTTGAGGCCACGGGTGGCCATTGGGGCGGTTCTGACAGCAGTCTTGGTGGTGGCTCTGGTAGCCAAAGCAGCAAGAGATCTCTTGGCGGCCATCTGCTTAGCAGCGGCACCGGTGGCCTGGCGGGCCATGCGCATGGAAGCGTTTCTGAAAGACATGATCAGTAAAAAAGTTCTTGTTGGTGGGAAAAAAAAGTCCTGGGATTGGGCGCTCTTTATATGTCGACGAGGCCTGGACAGTGAAAAACTTTCCTCCCCGGTGCAGGCCCGGTTCCGGCCCCGCAGTACCGCAACGCAGCGGACGCATTTTACAATCGTGCTTCGCCAATTGGAGGATGTCAATGTGTCATGTCGTGTATTTTCTGATTTCTGAATGAGGTTTTATGAATTATGAATGTGTTTGACATCTCTTCAAACACCGCTGGGCCGCGTCTATTACTCATGCTTTGGCTGCAGGCTTGTAACCCGGATGTCCGGTGATTTTGTGTGACTTTTCAGGTGTTGATGAATTGAGGTAATGGTGATGGTGGTGATCTGAAGCAGAGAAGGTTTTCCCAATTGTTTGTCTTTTAGTATGAAAGTTGCTTGAATGAGTAGGCTGGATCCGAGGATGCATGCGAATGATTCACAGAGCGAGGCGATGATATCTTAATTACAAGCATATGCTTGACTTTTTCTAAAAAAGAACGGTTTTGATATCATAAGTGGTTCTCAAGTGTCCATATCATTACTTTATGTTTCAATTATTTCAGCTTTCTACATTGTGAAGGCACTTCGTGTCTATGCTCTTAAACGTCTAGATCAGAATTCTTTGCAAACTACAATCACGGCTCAAGCGTATTACGCCGCATCTTAATAAAAGAGCTCTAGTGATCACTTCGAGTTTTAAATCACTTCAAGTTTAAAAAGAATATGACTCTTTCACGTGGACCCTGGCAGTCATTGTTCAATGCGTTGATAGGAATCATCACTTGCACCTGTCAAATCCTCTGAACTGATTTTTCACTTATAAACCCATCAATGCAGATAAGCCCCGCCTCGAAACCAAAACCGCAGTATTCAGAATATGAATATATTCATCAGCTCCGCTACCGCAAACGGCCCGATTAGGCATGAGTCACCTGGACCGGACCAGGTTCTGTGCATTATCAGCGGACCGGTACCGCGCCGGTTGTGTGGGGTCTACGCGCTGTTTTTGATTCATCATTCATTAGGGCTTCGTTACTGTCATAAATGCCTTATACCATCACCTCCTTCTCCACTATGCGAATGTTCCTGCCATCCTCATCCACTGCCTTGTTGCTCTCTTCGATTGGCATTGGAGTCACGCTCTTAGTGCTCAAGCTGGAAAACAACTTGTTGAACTCAGTGTCGTCTAGCTCATCCTCCAAGTCGTACCACAGCTTGGGCTGGTACGTCGACTCCACGAGCGACGGCACAGGAATGCTATGCTGCTTGACCAGCGGAACCTCGACCGCAGCCACCGCCTGGGTGCTCATGTAGGTCTCGCTGGCCTTAGTATCCTTCTCTTCGATCTCCTCTTCTTCCTCATTGTACTCCGTTCTCTTGGTAGAATTGGTGAAGCCATCCATATCAAAGAGGTCCTCTATGCCATCGTCTTCGAGGTCATAAAGCTCGTCTTCCTCCCACACGGTCAAGCCATACTTCCAATTCTCCTCAAGATCATTAATAAAAGCTTCGAGGTCTCTGCGCTCGATCTTGCGCACGTAGCTATCAATATCTTCGTCAACACCACCCACCTTCAAGAGGCGGGTGAAGATTCGAAAGCAGTTCTCGTTCATCGACGGGTAAATGTCGTACAACACCTCGGGTTTGTTGTACAACACGAAGTTCTTAAAGTTGAAGTCACTCTCTAACGACTTCTTAACTGACTTGTTCTTGCGACGGAAAGTGTCAGCCGAGCCCCAGACGTCGTCGTTTGCACGAACAGGCTTGAAGGGACTCGTGCCGAACACAGCCGTCAAAAGCGTCACGCCAAAGGACCAGTAGTCTGTGTAGCGACAGTCGATCTTGTAGGACGACTCTGCGAGAGCACTGTTGGCAAAGCACTCAGGCGCCATGTACTTCTCTGTGCCGACGTTGAAGTCGCTCAGAAGACGAGAACGTGAAGCCAACCCCCAGTCACAGATCTTGACGGATCCGTCCAGGGTAAACAAGATGTTCTCCGGCTTCAAGTCCCGGTGGTAGATGCCCTTGGAGTGGGCGTAGGACAAGCCCAGGTACATTTCCCTGGCCAACTTCCATACGTCCACGGCACGCGGGTGGGACGCCAGCTCGGCGTGGATCACATCGTACATATCGCCGTTCTCGCAGTACTCGAGCACCAAAACAATGTACTCGTCGGTTTCAAAGTGGTCCACGAGCTGGCAGATGTAGGGGTTCTCCGTTCCCAACAGCTTGAGAATGGCGGTTTCGTGGCGGGCCATTCTGGCCACCTCTTTGCTAGACTTGAGCATGGCCTTCAATGCGACCTTGGTTCCTGTCCTGACGTCATCAGCTAGGGTCACCTTTCCGAAGGAGCCCTTCTGGATGTTGGACACGAAGCGATACGCATCGTTGAGGAGGCCCTGCTGGGCTTCATAAGCGCTATGGGTGGTCATGGTGGAAGAAGTCGATTTATGAACAGGAAAGTGTGCTGGGTATTAACAAGGGAAGGGGCACCTATGAACAAGTGTATCGATGAATGACGTAGTTGGATTTGATTGAGTGAAGGGCTGTAGTGTGATTGATTGATTGATGATTTTGTGATGGATTCGAGGAATCCGATCTTGCCAGCAAGACGATATATATGTGGAGGGGAAGTGTAGGTGAATAAGTGCGGGTGCGATGCTATATATCTGGGGTGGAAGATAGGAGAAAAGTGTGGAACCGGGAATGCAGATTAGTCACAAGAGTGCGGATCTGGACCGATAACGGCTCCACCGTTGGGTCAGCAAATAGACGAAAAGAATAAGAGTTTTGATACTTTTGAAAATGTTGTGTTTTTTCTGATCTCCCAAAAATCAAAAACCGCTACGTGTTTCCCAGTTGTTTGCCCTTTCGGCATGGATCGGAATATTGCATTTCGGTGGGCTGACTGTGGGGCAGATAAGCTGGTCTAGTGCGCCTACACCGGTCCGCTTTTTGGGTCTCAGTACACAACATTCTGGGTGCTTCCACCGGGTTCCACGACGTCTTGTTTTTTCATGTGGTGTAGTTTTTCGTTTTTTGGAGAGTTTCAAAAATAGCTATTCTTCAAAAATAGTCGATCTTTTGGGGCGGTTCTTCGAGAATCCATGGCCTTCCTCCCCTCCTCAATCTCATCTGAATGCGCTACCGGTATGGCTCAGAAGCCACAGGGGTGCTTGCCACAGCGCCACGGAGGTCATGAAACGGTCGACTGGGCCAAAAAGGTGAAATTACAGAAAATCAAAAAAATCGATCGGAGCTTGGCCTTTTGTGCTCGCACCTTAGGCTGTGGTGCTTCTTCGCTGCATGCTGGCTTACAGTGAATCGCCGTAGGACGGAGGTGAAGAGGTGAAAAAGAAACAAAATGAGCAATCCAGCCAATCGCTTTGTTTGCTTGAAAACGTGTCCAGGGATTCCCAGGTCATGTCTTTGTTTGATCCAGCTTTCCTCATTGTCTGGCTAAGGGCTGGCTAAGGGCTTATCAGTGCATCGGCCTGTGAAGTTTGGCGATCCGCATAGAGCATCTGCTAACGGTGCCAGGTGGTGGTTCATTTATGGCTACGTCTTTTTTTATTTTCTATTATCATTATGACAAGTTCCCCTTTACCCCTTTTTGGCTCGATTGTTTGAATCGCTTGTTTGGCTCCTTCGACACGGATCATCCGAGCCGCGTACGAACGTTAGGAGGTGGCTTGGGGAAATCGCTTATCGCATTTTGCACCCAAACAGATAAGTGGATCTGGCGGTGGGGACCAGGAATCCGGGAGGTTATTTGAAAAGTGGTGGTTTTTGGATTTCTTTCCAACATCTTGTGTTTATAACTTGCCCAGATTGTGTTTTTTGGTGCACCGCTTATTCCTTCTGTTGGGCCAAGGTGGACTGATTCTGATGCACGGGCATTTGGGATCGCTCGGTGACGAAAAGCCTATATTTCGAAGGTTACCCAAAATATAGACCAAAGAATTGATTGAACTCTTGATTCAGCCAAAGTATCGAGTTTTCGATTTTCTAAGCTACTCTGTATTCACAGCCTCTCTCTAAAAACTCCGTTGCGCAGAAAAAAGCTGGAAGCATGACTCCTACAAAATATCTCAAACTTAGACCACCACGTAAATCTACGTCACTTTTAGCCATTCTACAGTCAAAAAATAACACAATTGTCCATTGACACCACTAAAATACAAACATTAGGCCTTCAACAACGCCTCGATCTTGGGCTCCAACGACTTGGGCTTGGCAAGCGACGAGAAACGCTCCACTACATTGCCCTCCTTGTCAATCAAAAACTTCTCAAAGTTCCACTTGATTCTCGAGAGGCCCAAAAGACCGCTCTTCTGCTCCTTCAACCACTTGTAGACAGGGTCAGCGTTGTCGCCGTTAACCTCAATCTTCTTGAGCACTGGGAACGACACACCGTAATTGAGCTGACAGAAAGATGCAATCTCCTCGGAACTGCCGGGCTCTTGACCACCAAACTGGTTACATGGGAAACCGATGAACTGAACGTCCTTTTCGGCGTACTTCTTGTTCAATTCCTCCAACTCCTTGTACTGTGGAGTGAAGCCGCACTTGGAGGCGACATTGACAATAACAACGACCTTGCCTTTCAAGTCGGAGAAAGGGAATGGCTCGTCTCTGGCATCCAATGGTTTGAAATCGTAAAACTTAGACATTATTCGAGAATTAATATAGCGCACTCGAGTAGAAATGATGGTGGCAAGATTGGCTTATTTATCCTGAGCGCTTCGCTTCCATTGTAGGGATGAGTAAGCGTGACCTCACCGCACGTGCATGGGGGCCCCACGCAAGTTTAGCCTTGGAAGCTTGACTGCTGAATCCGGGATTTTCAAAAAAATAGTAATCAGTGATTCATTAAGCTCGTTTGTTCATTGCAGATACACTTAAACACATGCTATAGCTGCAGTTGTGCGTTTACGAGTAGTTCTTCCCTGCAGCACTTAGTGAAGGAAGTACTCTCCCACAAGACCAATGGCACTAACGACGAATGCAGCACTGGACACAGCGAAAGCAGTCTTGTAAGAATTGCGTTCTGTCTCCAAGTGGTTGAGGTACTCCTTCTTGCTCAACGCCTCTTCGACCTCCTGCTCAATGGCTGAGGTGGTTGGCTGGATGTCGGTTGCTGGCTGCTCTGGCGAGTTTGGCGTGCTGCTAGCAGGCGTAGTAGTGCTAGACAGCGAGTCGCTCACATGGATGTATGATTTGTCCAAGGGGCTGTCGTCACTAGAGCGCACAGGTGCAACGGGTTGCTCGGACTTTTTCTTCTCTACAATCTTCTTCTGGAGACAAGCACGCTTGACGATCTTCACGTCGGCGCCCAATGTCTGTAAGTGGTACAGGGCTGCCGCCAAGGGGGCGCCCAAAGCACAGTACAAAAGATATGGGTGTCTGCCAGATGGAGGCGAGTACTTGTATGCTGTGGAGAACAAATAGGCCGACAAGGTCGCCAAAAGGATGTTTGCAGTTCCAGAAACAACCACATTCTGCATCACCAGCCTCAACACTGATGCAGCGGCTGTGGAGGAGATCGAAACCTGGTTGTTGATCTTACTGATCAAATCAGGGATCTTTTTATACGACTGAAATGCCAAGTTGCCGCTCAAAAGCCCCAAGGAAGAGGCCCCAACGACCTTAATCACGGTAATGCAGGTTCCCATCTTGGTGTTGTGGGTGGAATTGTAAGGGGATGAAGCCAGGGGGGTGACGCTGTAACTTTGAGGAGACGATAAACGAAAAAACTGTTTAAATAGTCTTTGTTAAAACGGCACTGGAATAGATATAACCGCTATTTATGGATTTACTGTCTTTCCAACAAGCAGTGTGAAGCAAAAGCAAATAAGATATCGAGGGGTGGGTTTGCCTCCACCGCGAAGATGAGGGTGGTGGTGCACGGGTGTAGATATGGCACCCCAGATAGAGTCCGACCGGGGCAGTCATCTCTGTGGTGGGAGAAAGAGTCAGCGAACGAATTGAATAAGCTGTATGTGAATAAATTAACTTCGTTTAAGATTGTTGATGGAAAAATGGTGAGTTCTGGTCCCAAGAGGCGAAGAATGACCAGAGTGTAGAAGGCACCTTATTAAGCCGATTTGCTTTTGTCTGTACATGATATCTCAAGCGGTCACCAGCTTCGAGACTAAGACGAAGGTTCGAGCATGCTAAAAAGGGCAGCTGCAAGTAATGCAATGCCTCTTCCACAAAACCAAGCGTATAGGTGTGTGTTCTGTTCAGTGTTGAGCGATTGGTAGCTTCCGATCCGATCCGGTCCGATCAGAACATCCAGCTTTTCCGAAAAGCTCGTTAATATCCCGAAAAGCTCTTTTAATTCTTTGTAACTGCCACGAAGCTAATAGAAGACGTGACAGTGGATAGCAGAACCAACTGTTGCCTTAACTGTTCAGATCAACGGAATCTCCTTATCGCCTCTACCTCAAGTACTCTGGAAGCTTCAGCGGCTCGACTTCAACCGTCAGCACGTCAAAACTCTCTATGAGAAGCTCCACCAAGATCCTTCCGCCACGAGCACCCGCAAAACGACGATATTCCTCCGAAACACTAGCCAAGTTCCATCCTTGCAATCTTCTTAAACAACCAATCACAGCGCCCGTCCTATGACGGCCCATTCCACAACAAACTAAAAGAGGGTAATTCTCTTTATTACACACGAGCTCCAAGGCGTTCTTAATCGTCCTTTCGTCCAACAGGTCCCACGGGTTGATGTTGGAGTAATTGTAGTCGTTGATCATGCCGACAAACTCTATATTGATATTCTGACGAGAGCAGTAGTCCAAAAACTCCTCTGCTGGTTCTTCACTAGCGAGCCATATGATCGTTTTCAAGTTCAACTCCTGTAAAAAGGATTGGTTTATCACCAGCGGTTGGCCAGACCGATATAGCTGTTTTTCCACAGGGCAAAAGTTTAATGGCGGGATAATTCGCAGCACTGGCGCCGTGGTTATGCGCTTAGGCTGTAAAGGATCAACAGGGTGGTCTTCCAGGGCTATTTGGGACATGCAAAGATTGGTAGGTATGGATTGGAGGATCCCAAGACTCGGCTCGTATTGAGGCGGGTCACGTGGGGAGGAAGCAAAAATCGGGGTAGGTCAACGGGGGTGGGAAATTTACATAAAATATTTATTTTATCGAAGAGGTTGAGGTGGAAGTTTCTGGCTGGACTGGGGAGGTATTGTGTAATGGTGGTTGATGGGTGGAAGGTGGGCGTAGTTAATGACAGCATCCTGGGTATAAGGTGAGGCATGGAATAACCTATTGCAATGGCAAGGGAGTTGACAAGAAGTGGATCAAAATGAGAGATTTAATTGATATCCGATGGTTTCTATGTTGTTTCAGGACATTTCTCGTTTGGACTATGAAAAAAGGTGGAGTTGGTGGTGCAAGGCGAAACTGAACACTAACATGCGTAAGCAATTCTTGTGCAATTGCTCATTGATTTCACTAATAAATTGTGAAAACTGTTCCCGACATTGCAATTCGCTATAAGCACTGTAGTCCTCTGCCTTGCATTAGCAGCCATGTAAACCCTGTCTTTCGGATATTCGAAGACTTAAGATGCCCAGATAATCCCATGTCTGTTTCGCCCTTTTTGGCCCTGAATTAGAAATACTATTTTATAGATAAGTCATCCTCTTGAGAACCATGAAGAGGCCTTTACTAATGTAGAAGATTACAGTGTCCTGACTGGTCAAGCACTATCATGGACATACCTAAACAGCAAATCAAGTGCCACTTCTTCAAAAAAATTTCATACCAGGAGCTTAATGGAGCATATTTATCAAAACTATCCTATCCTCTTCTCAGCACTTTCACCGTCTCTACACGTCTATGATACCTCCACCATACAACTTTTCGCAGCCACCTCAACCTTTCAGCACCCTCCAACAACAACCATTCAACAATTACGATATAAAAAACAACCCAAATATACCTTATGTTCAGCCAGTCCAAATTAACAATTCTATTAAAACCATCCTCCCTTTAACCACCTCCCACTTAAACAACCCCCCCCCCCCCCCATTCTCGTGCACCGCACTACCTTCTCACTTAACACGCTGGGACCGTGTTCTTCAAAAACCACCATGGCCAAAAAGGACGGATCCAAAAAGGCGGCTGCAGCGGCCCAGGCGGCGGTTGCAGCTAATGCCAAAACAGACGATGAGATCGTCACAAAATCAAAACAAAGCTCGGTGCTGGGCTCTGTGAATGACGTGGTTGGTGCTGTTCAGGCAACCTACAAGGACTACCTCGAGACGTTAACGCCTCGCCTCAAGTTGATCGACACGTTTTTGGTGTTTTTGGTTGCCGCGGGCGTGTTGCAGTTTGTGTATGTTCTTTTGGTGGGAAACTTCCCCTTCAATGCCTTTTTGGGTGGGTTTATCTCGTGTGTGGGTCAGTTTGTGCTTACGGTGAGCTTGCGTTTGCAGTATGCCACTGCCGACAAGGACCGTGCTAGCAGTGTGTTCAAGGCGATATCGCCCGAGGTGGCGTTTGGCGAGTACATTTTTGCCTCGTTGATTTTGCACTTTATCGTGTTCCACTTCATCAACTAAATAGAGATAAACGGATATGTGAGATAGTGTAGGGGCTGGAGGAAGAGGGGGTTTATGAGCGATTGGCTAAAGGCACATTGATGACATCTGGTTAAAGTGGGATCTCAAATTTTTCCAAACGGAGCTATACTCTTTTTCAAGATCTATATGCTGTTGGATAGATCTGACGATCACCAGCCCAATCTTTCGACCGAATCGTGTCAATTGAAGCCCTCATTAGTTACCGGAGCATAAAGCTCAAATCTAACTGCTACACTCAAGCCTTTCACTCAATGTATATTGCAAAGAAACTCACACGAGCGGAAGGACGACAAATCCACCATGCCTCCGGCTCGCAGATGAACTTTTATTATTAATACACTTGCCTCGTCAGTCGTACGGCACAGCCGTTTACACAATCACACAGCAGCCGCTCTTTTCCTTGGGCTGCTGCGCCTGGGACAGGCTCTGGGCGGTTCTCCTCTCAGAGGCGGCCGCTGGTTTGCTGGGCTGCGCAGGCTTGCTGTCTTCAGCCTTGGACGCCTGGACAGCGTCGGTGTTAGCTGGCGTGGAGTCGTCAGCAGCCTCTGGGGCTGCAGCAGGCTCAGCTGGTGGACTGGCGGGAGCGGTCTTTTCGTTGATGGAGCGCACCAACCCGTAGAAGGCCTCCTCGACGTTGATTCTCTGCTTGGCCGACGTCTCTAAGAAGGGGCAGTTCAAGGCCTTGGCGAACTCGGCACCTTCCTCGTAGCTCACCTGTCTCTCAATCTCCAAATCGGACTTGTTGCCGACAATCAACACGGGCACATTGTCGGAGTCCTTGACACGCTGGATCTGCTCGTAGAAGGTCTGTAATTCCTCAATGGAGTTTCTAGAGTTGATCGCGTACACCAACAAGAAACCCTCGCCGGTTCTCATGTACTGCTCTCTCATGGCCAGGTACTCCTCCTGGCCGGCGGTGTCCAAGATATCCAACACCACCTGCTCGTTGTCGACCGTGCACTGCTTACGGTACGAGTCCTCGATGGTAGGGTCGTATTCATCCACAAAGTGGGACTGGATAAGCTGGATGGTAAGAGCCGATTTTCCGACACCACCGCCGCCGACAACGACCAACTTGTATTCTTTTACCATGACGAAATGCTGCTTGTGGAGTTTGCGCAAGAAGAAACGATTGACTTCCTGATAATAATGCCTTTGTTCCAGGTGGTTTAAATCCCGATCCTATGTTGGCGCACCATGGGAAAAAAATGCTACAGAGGTACGGGTGTGCTGTCGTTGGTCTGTAAGCCCGCGAGCCATTCCAAGCTTATTGCTGTGGAGCAAAACCACATTGTAGCTGTAATGAAGGCATTGCTCAACGAAAATGCTGCAAATTCGCCTTCTCCTGACCATTACCTGACAATATTGAGGGGCAATTCTTCTGGGCCCCTATCCAAATGGAGAAAGGTTCACACGCCTGGCGCCTTTTTCTCCCTGCACGGCACATGCATGGACCAAAGCCAAGAGCAGACCATTTTAAGATACCAGCCTCTTGAAGGTAATCGACGAGATCTGGGAGCAATATCCGGCCGATAAGCCAAGTTTTGGAAGTCAATCATAGTAGATTTCGCAGTTGTCGAGGTCCGTTTGGCCCCACAAAAATGCTTGGATAGTGGTTTTTGGAGAAGTACATAGACGCCTCAGACGCCCAAAGTTGACGACGGAGGTGGGGCTGGTTGTGGCTTGTTTGCCGAGCCGTGGCATAAACTTTACCGTTAACGCTTTGAAAACCGTGGACACGGCGTTCTCTATCGCGATAACAACGCCAGGGTGTGACCATTTCGCAGCCAAATCGCCCAAACTTTCCATGCGGCTTTTCAGCACAGCCAAGGACATGCGTGGAAGAGTCATCTGTGGGGATGGTAGGTGGAGGAGGGGTGATGTTCCAGAAATGAGGCGTAATCGTGCGGTGGAGCAGACAGTGGGTTTCTAGGTTGGTTGCAACGAAAGTGGGCTCACGAGGTTTCGTGTAACACGCCACAGGAGGTACGTCACTGAATGGTTAATGGTCGTTGAAATGTTGCCGATACGGTGTATTGAAAAATCTGGGCGGTTTGGTTCTGAGCTGTTCTGCCAAGGTAGGTGTAGATTGAAGGGCGATAGGGTAGTAAGACGATGAGGAGATAGGATTCATGGAACTGTTCGTGCGGGATTGATGCATCAGTTGGCCAGGGACATGTCCAATGGATAATTTCCCGTCCAATTGATGCTCACCGAATCTCACTTTCATCCGAAACTTCCATCTGGGCACTGGCTTCAATTGGAGCTCTTGAGCCTCAAAATTTCCAACACTTATCCCACGCTCCGTCAGACTCCACCCCCTCATGCCCTCTGTGGCTTCCGCTTCATCTTCGCCAAACACTCGTCACAATACCACTTACCCTTGGGTGGGTTCTTGAATCCAATACACGGCAAGTGGAACCATTCTCTCTTACAGGTCTCTCCGTCGCAACCCACCATCTCGCCAAACGAAACCTGGTCACAGTAGCAGTAGGTAGGCTCGCCCGAAGGACCCAGGCCCTCGTCGTCGCCTCGTCTAGGCTTGTTTCCTGCTCTCTTCTTCTCTGGAGGTACCAGACTCTTATCGTCCTGCGCTCTGCGCTTTTTGGACCCCACGCCGTTACCGTTGACAGAAACAGACTCCAAGGGCGTCGTCTCGCGACCATTGCCTCTGCGTCTCTTGCCGTTATCTTCATCGTCGTCCTTATTTGCTTTTCTGGCTGCAAGAGCCTCTCTACGAGACTCCAGACGCTGCGATTGGGCCAGTTTGGCTGCTTCGGCGGCCGCGGCGGGATCCTGAACCATAGCCCTGTGGTTCAATGGCCCTAGCCTCACCAGCTCGGGGATCTCGTTGTTGCCAATGATCACCTTGTAGTCGTTGTTGATTCTGTACATGTGCTTGGCCATCACGTCGGCGGCCACCGAGGTCACATGCATCTTCTCTTCCAAACACGGAATGACCTCGAAGACCCGCTTGCGGATCCGTCCGAGCCGTTGTGTCTTGTCTTCTCTACTAAGACCATCCTGAGCTCCGTCCTTGTGGAGATCTTCAATGTAGCTGGCGACTTGTCTGTTGATGGCCGGAATCGAGTTAATGCACTTGGCGTCGATCTCCTTGAGCAAGGTCATGTACTTGACCAAATCCATGGGCATGGCTTCCAAAGCGTCCAGGATATCGTTCAATCCTGGGAGAAGCTCATTGGCGTTTGTGATGTTGCGTGGTTTCTGCTTGAACAGGTTGAAGTACTTTCCTGCACCCTGCTCGGCCTTGGCCTTGTTCACTAGTCTCTGTGACTTTTGTCTGGCCGGAAGATCGTGGTGCATGGTTGGAGGTTGATTGAGAAGAGCCCCGGCTTTTCAGCATCACCAAGGTCGTGCGCTGCCCAAAACACGTTTGGGTTGGGATAGAAGCAGGGGAAGGCAAGACATTGGTATTTTTTATATTTTTGACGTAGTCGCTTGAGGGGCATTTGGGTGTTGGCTTGTTTTGTGGTTGCTTTGTTGGCGCATTGACGAGCAGTTGTGTGAGGAAAGGGAAGGTGGTAGATGTAAGTGATTCGAGATAAACTGGTGTTATTTTAAGATTGCGATTATCGCCCTATTATTTTTCACTTCGTTACGGTACGAAAGAGGATCCTTGGTGTGGTATCAAATTGGAGTGGAGCTTTAAATTAGTACATGGCTGCGAAATAAGTGCTTCTATGGTATGGTAAATGGCTGCGAAAGGAGTGGGATGGTCAACCCACCATACATCATGACCTCGGGAATCACCTTAATTTCAGAGTGTCTCAGAGAGACGAAATCAACCTGAAGCTAACGACATTCTGTAATGTCTAGTCAATCCCAGCCAATGGGACCAAAGTGCACCTCTTCTTTATACCAGTATGGATCCTAATACGGACGCATACCTTCCAAGAACTACACTATAGCCAGCACAATCAAAAGATCCTCCCAATTTGGACTCACCAAATAGTGGCTGAAGTACATCCACTTGCATCCCGAAAATGCGATCTTCATAGCAGGCTTTCTCCACCGTTGCATGCCGAATGTATGTTTAGCTTCAAGCTTGATGCTTTGAGAGATGTTTTTTGACTTTAAGCTGGCATTCACCAAACAATGCCCTGTCGATAAGGTTTCATGGTCGTCAATCGGGACAGCTGCGGCAACAGTGAAGCGTTTTTTAGACAAGCTAAAAACGTTTGGCTACTAGGTTCAGCCAGCCAAACTATGGACAATGGCTGCAAATAGGTATAACCTCTGACGACATTTTAATGCCTGCAAGGACAAACGACATCAAATAAGCTCCCAACGAGAAGCCAATCTGCACATCCAATAATCCCCATTGGATCCCGCCAATTCTTCAAATCATAGACTATCTCCAGTACCACCTCAGGGATTCTTATCGGAGGAGCTGCATATGCAAGTGATGCAGGAGACACATTGACACATGGTTAAGATACCCACACTGGCGAGGGCACGGCACAAGTCCGAAATACACACTCCCGCGATCTTCGGCATCCACATCACCCCCAGTGAGCCACATTCCGATTGTATGGCGTTTAAACGGTGGCACGTGACCGGTCACGTGCGCAGACACGCGGCTCGTCACCAGAATGACACAATTAATTGCAAAATGTCACGTGCCCTACAGCACACTAGCAGCCTTAGCATTCAAGAAACATGAAATTTGACTGGCCTATGCCTTAGAATTTGCTTCTTTCGCTGTTGCTGTGGCTGTTTTTGTGACATATACCGCACATTTCATTTTTCACCGCCCGTTCGGCTTCGCCACTTACTACACCCGGTGCTTCCGTGAAAAACCAACTCCGAACTCGAAGGCCAGGAGGCAAACAGCAAAAAACTGAAAACAACAAACTCGGTTTCTGGGGATTTCGGAGAATTTACCTCCCCCACCGCATTATCAAATATAGTGCCCCTTTCGTGCTGCTGCAGGGCCAAACCCACGCTGCGAGCCACAGTTCCTACCATATAACCTGTCCCAGCAGCAAAGTATATGCCTCTCGAGCGACCAGATCTTTATTTATTACTTAGTTCACTATGAGCTTTTCCATGTTTGGCGAGGACTCCCCACGCAGCATCCAGCTGCCGGATAATTATCTAGTGGGAAGAAATAGTCCTGTGGTGGTGGAGCAGAATGTCAGTTATACCAGGGGAAATCCTACTCATGGGGTTCAGCAGAGTCTGCTTCCGCTGGATCCACGCAGACTACCGAGCAGATTCCGAAATAACAGCGAAGCTAGGGAAAACGGGAACGGAAACGGGAATGGAAATGATGAGGATGCAAGATTTCTTCGTTTGGCCCATGAGGCCTTAGTAGCTTCCACGGCCAAGCTGGATATGCTTGTGGATCCGACGATCGAGGATCTTTTAACGAGACTTCAATATGCGCTGCTGCCCCACGGGAACCCGATAAAACGGTCTCAGAACATCACAGCTAACGAAAATGGTCAACTTATGATTCAGAACTTCTACGATGGGTTCCCCAACATGAGCAACGATATCTTCACGGGCACGCACAACCACCCGCTGAATTCTAATAACTCAGGCTGGAACTTCCTTCTAGACGAAGAAAAGAAGAAAAGTGAGATCAAACAAGAGGCCGAGGAAGAAGAGGATAAGGTTCCGGCGCTAGACAGAAAAAACAAGCTTCAAAGAAAGTTCCCGTGCCCGGATTGCGATATGCTGTTCCGGAGAAGCAGCGATCTCAAGCGCCATGGAAAACAGCACTTGGAAATCCCAGCCAATATCTGTCCTTCTTGTGGCAAAGGCTTTGCTCGAAGAGATGCTCTTAAACGGCACCAGGGCACGCTTACATGTAAGAGAAACGAGCTCAAGGGCTTGTACGAGAAGAACTTGACATATCTACGAGAGCAGCAGCAGGATAAGCGATAAGTTGGGAGAATTGAGGATGCGTAAGTCACGTCAAGTGCTTGTTTCACGTCAAGTGCTTGTTTCACGTCAAGGTGGGCTTGTTTCACGATTGCCTGCGGACAATGCGTTTTTCGAAAGGCGCTAAAGATTCCGTGGAAGCATTGCTTGAACGCAAAATCAAGTGTGGCTCACTTTGGATTCTGGTGCGGTGGGATTTGTGGCAGCGGGACTTTCGGTCCTGAAGCGAATTGAAAGATTTCAGAGAAGCAAAAGGAGAAGTCATTGTTGGGTGATGGATCACATAATACCCTGGGGTTGTTGCGAGACCGCCACAGTAACAACTTCGAGATTGTGAGTTCCAGAGATGCAACGGTGATGCCAAAGCTAATTCAGCAAATTCACCAAACTCTCAATTACCAATCCAATTGAGGTGAAGGGAATTGGGCGTTGTCCTACGTTTATCGGCTCTTCAGGTTCCTACAAATGCCCGTCGCCTGGCTCAGATCCGGCGATGGAGTTGCTAAACCTTTTAGCCAGATAAGCTCATTGTAAAGATCACTGCAAAATTCACACTTGGCGTCTCCACCCGGCTTCACCCGATCAGATCCAAGAGAAGATCGGCTATAGGCTGCTCGGCGATAGGCCACGCTGCAAAGTATAAAATAATCCACCATCCCCACCTGCAAGTCGTAAAATCACATCTCGATCAAAACCCAGGATTCATCCACGGGTGACAGGGTCTATTTTCATAGGCGGTTGCTTTGTAGGGTTAGTGCACTTTTCGCAGCCAATTAACGTTATCGGACGAATGGAAGCGGGCCCATCCAACGGTTCGGGAGGTTGTTCCGAGCAACAGCAAGGACTAAGGACAGAATAACAAAGCACAAGAAAAAAAAAAAAAAAAAAAAAAAGAAGGAAAAACGTAACAGCAGCGCTTCCCCTCCGCCGTTGGGGCACGTCACATGGCATGTCACTCACACGACACCGAGGCCGACTGGCGGTTGTTCCGTTTTCGCTGCGTTGAAAAAAAAAAAAAAAAGAGCCAAAATCACACTCGCGCAACGTCATTATACGCCCGGATAAACCACCAGGGAGTATCCATCTAACCAAGTTTTTTTAAAGAGTAGTGAAAAATCTGTTGGCTTCACTGAACAGAGCGGCCCGAATTGCCCCCTAGCTCCTTTTCCCCATCTTTTTTCCTATCCTTTTCCCCCTTTTAGACCACATTCGTGGACCCTCCCTCTGACTTCCTCGGTGCACTGGACCACGGCTTTTCACTTGGCAAACCCTCCACATTCACCTGTGCACCTGTGTTCCTGAAGGGCCCCAGGTCACGCTGACCCCAGAAACACCCCGGAAACGGCCCCAGAAATCCACCTTCAAAAGGGTCGCCGTCGGTGCTACCCAACCACAACCCAAAAGGCAACCCAAAAAGCGTCCCCTCAGTCACGGGCCCGGCGTCAGGTGGTGGTTTTTCCAGAACAATGTGGATTTTTTTTTCTTCTTCCAGGGTTTGTTAGTATCGCCTGTATTGTGTAGTGACGTCTAGGCGGGCCATGCTGTATTTCGCAGCCATCCCTGGGACCCCAGGCGGTGGAGACCAAAGCAAATGAAACCAGTTAAAAAAAAATAAAGAAAACGGTGGGAAATCCCCGTTTATATACTGCCTCTCCTTACTCCACCCTTAAAAGTTTAACACTTTTCTTCTTTTTGGATGGTCCCTCCTGCCGCCTCCGTTGTGCCGAGGTCGGTACAGATTCCATGGAGCCCGGTGAGTTTCTGTTTTCCCGCGCGGCACTACTTAAACGGCTGCCTTGCCGGAAAAATCGCACCTTATCATCATGTCTACTCCAGCTCAGAGATTGCAGCATCTTGCTCAGATTATTGGTTCCAGAACCCTGGCCGAGAGCCTGTTGCTGCCTCCTTCGCCTTTCAAGATCGCCGTCATCGGCTCCGGCAACTGGGGCACCACCATTGCCAAAATCTTGGCTGAAAACGCTGCCGCCAGACCTCACTTGTTCAAGCACTTTGTCGACATGTGGGTGTTTGAGGAGAAGGTGGACGGCAGAAACTTGACCGAGATCATCAACACCGACCACGAGAACGTGCGCTACCTCCCTGGCGTCAAGCTTCCCAAGAACTTGAGGCTCTTCCTGATGTCGCCAAGGTGGCCGAGGATGCTGATCTCTTGGTGTTCAACTTGCCCCACCAGTTCTTGCCCAAGGTGTGCAAGCAGTTGAAGGGCAAGGTCAAGCCCACCTGCCGTGCCATCTCGTGCCTCAAGGGTCTCGAGGTGACCCCTGAGGGTTGTAAATTGTTGAGTACCGTCATCACCGAGGAGTTGGGTCTTGCCTGCGGTGCTCTTTCCGGCGCCAACTTGGCCCCTGAGATCGCCAGAGGCAAGTGGTCCGAGACCACCGTCGCATACACCATCCCCAAGGACTTCCGTGGCGCTGGCTATGATATCGACCTCAACGTGCTCAAGGTCGCTTTCCACAGACCATACTTCCACGTGAACGTTGTTCAGGACGTGGCGGGTGTTTCTGTGGCTGGTGCCTTGAAGAACATTGTCGCTTTGGCCGTCGGCTTCGTCGAGGGCTTGGGCTGGGGTGACAATGCCAAGGCTGCCATCATGAGAGTCGGCCTTTTGGAGACCATCCAGTTTTCCCAGACTTTCTTCCCTCAATCCGAGTCTGGCACCTTCACCAAGGAGTCCGCTGGTGTTGCTGACTTGATCACCACATGCTCTGGAGGTAGAAACGTCAAGGTGGGTCGCTACATGGCTGAAACCGGTGACTCTGCTGAGGTTGCTGAGAAGAAGTTGTTGAACGGCCAGTCCTCCAGGGTATCATCACCGCCCGTGAGGTGCACGAGTTGTTGACCAATGTGAACAAGACCGGCGAGTTCCCCTTGTTCGAGGCAACCTACCAAATCATCTACGGTACCGAGAGTATCGAGAACTTGCCCAAGTTGTTGGAGACTTGCGACTAGATAGATAGAGAGGAGCTCTGCTCCGGGTAATTTATATAAGAATGATAGAAGACGAAACAGGAAGTTTGGTGGAGTAGGGAATATTTGGGAATTTTGGGTATTGGGTTCGGTTGTACCCCAAATTTTTCACCCCACATTTTATTGCACATTATGTGCGGCTTTGGGTGCGAATATATGAACTCCATCATCTGACCCTCGTATATATTCTACAGAATATTATCAATAATTTATATTTTTTACGGCTCCTCATGCCGCCTGCTCCCTCTGGTCCTCCCCTTTTCTGTCTTTGGCCGCTTGTTCCTGAACTTAAGCAAGAACTTCTCCATGAAGCTGCCGGTGAAATCCTTGAGTTTTTTCACTTTAGCCTTGTCGAGCTCCTTGGGTGGTGCCGTTTCCTTTTTGGCCTCTTTGCTGGCGAGAATTTTCACCAAGTCTCTGGCACAGCCCTTGACGTTCTCGTGCCCGATTTCGGCCTCGTGCTTTTTAATCATGTTGGGGATGTAACGGGCCAAGGTTTTCGTCCAAAGTGCCTCCACAGACTCCTTGGTGAGCGGTGTTTTGGACTTGGAGTAGGCCATCTCCAACTTTCTTCTTCTTTGCTTGATTTTTTCGAGTTTGTCTCGTTTGGCCTGCTCCGCAAGCCTCTTCTTCTCCTCGGCCTCCTGCTGCGATTGTTGAATAAGATCTTGGAGCATCTTCTCTCTTTGACGAATCTCGTTGTACTGCTCTTCCTTGAGCTTTTGTAGTTTGCTTTCTTCAGACGAGTAGTCGTCGTCTCGCTGCATGGGTTTGCCGTTTTTCTGTTTAGGCTTGCCAGTTTGCTGCTGCTGAGGCTGTTGCTTGACTTTACTCTGCTTAGGACCCTTGGGAATAGAAGGGCCTTTTGGCACAGAATTCGTGGGTCTCTCCCATTTCGAAATACCCAACTCAGAGTGATAATAATATGGTGTGTTGGTGTTGGGGTCGACAGCTTGCTGCCACCCAGGAGGCAATTCCTCCTCCTCTACTTCACTGTGAGGCAGCTCATGAGTAGTAGGTTCTGTGACATCCTCGTATCCCCAGGTAGGAGATGCCAGACGGCCAGCTCTTCCATACAATGGAGACATGGACCCTCTGGCGACATTTTCGTTCTTTCCTGTGTTGCTCCTGTTCTTGGGATTCTGTATGCCATTTCCAACTTGCTCCAGTCCGCAAGAAGCTCAGATCCGGTTTCTCTGATTTCATCATTCAGCGTATCCGCCACGATCTTCTTCACCACATCCTCAATCTGAGACAGCTCGATTTTGTTTCTTGTCATTGAGGGCCATCTCTTCAAGATCTGGAGCACCTTTTCGGTCAAGTCGTCCTCATCAGAGGAGTGGTCCTTCAAAACCTGTGAAAGCGTCTTGTAACCGTGAAGACGCACAATGATGGAATTGAGCTTAGCATCTTCCGTCAAATACACACGGTCGATGATCTTGGCAATGATGTTACGATCCTCTGCTTTCATCAACGCAGCCATAGCCTTGTTGACGTCGTGCTCGTTCAATCCCTCAACTTCTAGACTCTTCACAAAGTCTTCATTGATGATGGCATCTGGGTCCTGCTGAGCAAGACGAGCCTGCTTATTACGCTTCAACCAGGCCTTTTCTTGAGCTCTGGTCACACCCAAAGCTTCGGAAATGCCTTCAGGAAGAAGAAGTGCAGCATCCGTCTGCGTCTTTCCTCCCATCCAGCCGAGACAGTTGGAAGAGCCACAATAACAAGGCTGCAGCTGGGCACCATAACGGTCAACGTTATAATCGAACGTGATTTCCTCGCCTTCTTTGATCAGACGCTTAGCGAAAATACCCATTCTCAATTTGTCGCCAACGACCCACTTATCAACATAAGCGTTGGGGAACAAGAATGGTTGCAGAATCTGGCTAAGGATCCCCTGTCGGTGGCATCAATGAAGGCATCTTTGGTGAGCATCATAAAGTAGAAATGGCGTAGTTTCCTGGTGTCGTAATCGATCATCCTCTGTCTGAACGTCTCTTCGTCCACAACTTCGCCAATATACTCGTAAACAAAAGCACCCTCTGAGATTGGCTGCTCAGCGACCAATCCATAGCCTTTTTTCTCTGTTTGGATCACCTTGACATCACAGTACTGCTTTTTCTGAAATCGCTGGTTCTGGCAGTCTTTGCCACAGAGACACAGTTTGTTTGTACATTCAACAGACGTGATTCTGTTGATACAGTGGCTGTGTTCGCCACATGCCATGTTCATTTCCTTTTCATCATCCCAGTCTTCTGAACAATCACATGCCATGAGCTCCTTCAGGCCTATGCTTCCTAGGCTTCTTGATAGATACGAGCATTCCTGAATTTCTAGGAATTTCGACTTGGCCTCTTCTGTTTTGTCTTCGGCATCTTTGAAGAGCAGCGGCGTCAGCTCTTTGGACATGACGTATGCTGGGTGTGACTGGATTTGAATGAATGAATGGAAACAGAAAGGAAAGGTGTTTAATTAGCAATCCAGCAGAAAAGAAATGGGGAAATGTGGTTTTTAAATAGATCTGCTGTTCGGACAGTTGTATAGCCGGTTTTTCTTTTCCTGTTTTTCTCCAGTTTTCCAGTTCGCGCTTTTGGATACATAATTCTCGAGGCGAGCTTGGATCACCAATAGGGAGTATCACGAGAGAACATCGAGTTTCGTGGTGGTTTCATTTTATTACATCATTAGATCCAAATAGTTTGCTAGTAGCATGTTTTCGGCGATCACATAGGCTCCAAGGCAGAGAGCATCATAACATGGAGGATAATCAACGGTCGTGATCGACCCGCTTTTCTCATTTAGTCGAAGAACCACCTACTGAAGGAGGTTCCCAACTGTCGCAAACAACGCAAAGTTCAAGTCTTTCATGGTTTCATCCGAGGCGCTCTCGTTGTTGCAAGCGTTGATCTTCGCAACTACTTCCGTCAATCGATCAAGAAGCAGCTCTATTTTGTTTATCTGATCTCTATCACCGCTGTTTCGATGCGGCGTAAATACCTTCCTGATGGTAGTTTTATAGCTAGTGCCTTTGTTGGACTCGTTGCTTCCGTTATTGTTCTCGAAGCCATGGAAGTACGACGAGGTCGGAGAATGTGAAGACACTGGGGGCGTGGTATGGCCATGGCTGAAAGCTGGCGATGGTGCCATCCAGCCAGATGCCGTGGACGACGACCTCGACTTGCCCTTATCTCCTATATTCATTTCAATCACCTTGATCTCTCTCGCACGTAAACTGATCATCACCGACCTTGTTGTGACTCTAGAGTAGCCGCAGTCATTATGGTAGAAAAGCAAGTCATTCTTCATAGCACCCATTACCTGGGTCTCGATCTTCAGACTTATTGGGCACAGCTGCATGGTGTACTCTGGTCTAAACTCCTCGACGAATGCGACATTCGGAAGCAACGTCTTCTGCTTGTACACTTTCTCGTCGTTGTGAGCCTCATACTTTACTTCCATCGTGTTGCTGTTGACGCTTTCATACTTGAAATTGGCATTGACGACGTTTTCACACTTCTTGCGAATAGTGTCTCTGTTTGCGTCAAGTAGACTATTGGCACGGTCATTGGCAAGTGGTACCACCATCGAGCATCTCGATCTTTTGAGATTAAGGGATGGAAACTCAGTTGGATGCTGTGATTTACCACTATCATTGGATGTGAGATTGTGTAGATCAAGCATAGACTGGGCCCTTGAGAGCTTCGCCCGGCCTCTTCCAGTAGATGTTGTGGCAGCGTCCCATTGGAAATCTTCTTGTTCAACTGCGGGGGAAGGCGAATTGAGCGAATGATAAGATGGTCTTTTGCTTAGATCTGGAATGTGACATGGGTCATGGGTATCGTTAGCATGATGATTAGGCTCTTGAAGATTATGCTGCCCTGCAGCAAACGAGTTTCGCCATTTATCGAGAAATGACGATCCAAACTTCGAAAATGAATAGTTTGAGGCGCTTGAAGAGAGTGACGAGTTAAGCGACGATGAAAGGTGTGCCATGGATGATGAAGTTGACATAGCTGGCTTGCCGTGAATGGGTATATGCTGTGTAGTTGAGTACGACATTTCCAACAGAGGCTTCTCCACAAATGAAACACTCGCCGCTGGGCCAGACTTGCCTGGTACTTCCCAACCTTTCTGGGAAGAAACCAGGACAGACAAGGAGTCATCTGACGAATCTGCGATGCTGTCACGAGTTGGATGGCCCTTCTTGATTGGAATCGGCTGTGCCATTGGCGTACTGCCTATTTCAGGAGTACGAGAGAGTTCTCTGATGGAGGCGGTTTCTGGAATAGAGCCAGGAGTGGCCGACGGATCCAGAAATGGCGTTGTCACACGTTTGGGCTTCTCTGCTGCGCTGTGGCTGTGATTATAAAACGTTTCTTGAGAAGAAGGGGAGGTGTAATGCTCCACTTCCGCTTCATTGGGATCAACGTGCTGCAAGCTTTTCTTGTAGTCATCGTCGCTGATGCATGCCTCGAATTGGGCATCGGGTATAAGTCCATTAAGAATAAATATAAGCTTTTTGGCCACCATTGAGTTGCCTGTTACAACCAAGACTCTGGTGAGTTCCTTGGTGCCATTGGTTTCTGCGCTGTCAGACCTTTGGGATAACGAGTCTCTTAAAGAATGCAAGAGGGCAAACAAGCTGGCCAAAAAGGTGTTGGAGGGCGTTCCTTCGACTTCGTTGTGAACACCATGGGAATGTAGGTGGTGGGTATGCAGATAGTTGTGGAAATGTGAGTTTGATGCAAAGTTGGGGTGGTTGTTTTGTACAATGTTCCGTCCGTCCTTGAACTCTAGCCAGTTGATCACTTCCAATGCCCAGTTGACCAACAAGGCTTTGAAATGAGAGCCTGTGTGGACGGAGGAGTACCGCATGATACTGTTTGAGTTGATCAAGCGTGGGGTGTTGTAGTTGAAGTGGATTAAGCGGTAGAGCTTGTGGAGCTGGCGTGGGAGGTCTGAGTCGGCCTGGAGAAGCTCTGAGGGAAATGATACTCTGCGATTGGCGATGTAAGGACACATGCCGTTGACCGTGGAGTACTTGATCAACATCAAGAGTTTCTTCGTGACCATTGTCTGCAAGGAAACGAGGTACTGCGACAAGGCCTCCCAGTTCTGGAGCACCACTTCGTCAACCGACTGGTCCAGCGAGTAGGGTATCACAATGCCGATGGCGAAGCGGCTGTTGACGGTGTATTTCGACACGCCTAAGGAAGGCAGATCAGGCGAGGACGACGCAGGCGTGGCCATTGACAGCGGGAAGGCGTAGGTGGTTTCCTTGATCGGGTAGGTTGGCTTAGGCAGCCAGCTGGGGTCATCCTCGGTCAGCGACTCGCCCATGGCGCCTCCGGTATCCGGAATCAGAAACAACTTTGTCACCAACACCGCCGAGAAGGATCCGTGCACGGAATTAAACTGGGGCAAGAGGTGCACTTTGGTAGCAGTGTGCGTTTCCGACGAAGGAAGGCCTCTTCCGAACATGTACTCATTGAGCTCCGAAACATTATGGAGCAATTTCGACGTGAGGATGTTCTTGGACGAGTGGTTGCGGGAAAACAGCAAGTTCGAAAGCGTCTGGGACAAGTCCTGGCTCGGAGAAGCCGGAGTACTGGTCTCCTGAGACCGAGGTCGTGAAGGCAGCGGCGCCTCCAGTTGATGGGCAGAGCTGGGGTTCGAACCAAGGTCCTGGCGGTCTGCGGAATCAAAAAGCACCTGTTTTGCCCGCAAGTTCCCGCCGTCCTGGGCCACAACTAACCGAAACCGCCTTCTGCTGAACTGGTGGGGCCGGATTTGCCCGAGCCTCAGCAGCCCATACAAAATCTCCCTTGTGTACGAGTCGTCATGAGAATTAGCCGATGCAGGGGTCTTGGGAGCCCCCTGAGGCGGATTGTGTGGTAAAGGTCCAGGCAGCTGTTGCTGCTTAAAGAGACGTCCTAGCATGGTGAGCCATTCTGGAAAGGGGAGATTTGGACGAAAATGGTAAAAAAAGGGGTTTTCCGGGGAAGGAAATGCAGGAACGTGGGATGTAGACGTGATGTCTCAGAAAAAGGTGTAGTAGGGTACGTAGATATCTGCCCAATCGGGACGCCTAGTAGTAGGTTCCTGTGCAGGACGTGGTATCATGGGTGGGTTCAGAGGGTCAGCCAGATTGGGCAATTCCGAGAGGAGGCCTATTTATTGAAAGTTGGGGATATGGGGTTTTGGTGACTTGTAAATTCTATAAAGTTTTCTGGCGTTATAGGTTAAACGGGGACCCATGGTCACGCGACCGTTACGAGCCGTTGAGATAAGCGGCTTTTCCAAGACTTTTTCGTCTGGGGTAATCCAGAGCACGTTTCCGATAGGTGACTAATAAATAGAATCTCGAAATTAGCCTCGAAATCTTCGCTGGTGATGTCATTGGTGTTATGCTCGAGAAAGAAAATTTCTGTTTCTGGTGACGTCTCTAGTTTTGCAGCCAGCCGCAGCCATCTAAGACATGAGGCCTTTTTAACCGCAGAAAGACGTATGGGCGGTGACATTTGCGCTTCCATACGGACCAGAACAGCACGGTGACCTCATCCCTGCGGCTTGATCTGTCCTGGAACATGCTGCAGATGCAAGAGATGCTTGAGGCTGGTGAGTATCTGTGAAGCCTTTGAGGTAATGAAGAAGGCATGAATCTGGTCATTCAGGGGACATGGAGGCAATGCCATTGTGGCTGGTGTCCGATTTTAAGGCTTTGGAATCGGACAGAGATCTGGGGATTTTCACGAATTCATCAAAAAAGAGAATGGATCGTTGCCTGGATGCCCAGTTTTAAAATGTAGTCGGAATTTGGCACAATCGTCTATACTGAAACAACAATCCAGGTTACTCCCCTCACGCATGTCTTACATCTAGCGAGGAATCTTCACTCTATTCAAGCGTTGATCAGCTCCATTTTTAAAAACCAGACGCCTATATTTGGAGAGCATGCTCCAAAGCGTTCAAGAACACATTGGCATGCGAAGGCTCAAACACCAAAGAGGGCCTCAAACGAACAGACCTCTCGCCACATCCTCCAATGTTCACACCAGCAGCACGCATCTTCAACAACAACTCGTTTCTATGAGTAGGACTCTCACAGTCCCAAGCAATGAAAGTACCAAAGTTCTCGCCTCTCAAGTTGAGAATCTTGTCCTCGTACTTCTCGGCAAGCCCCTCGAGCTCCTTGTAGAGGTAGTCACCGGTAGTAGCGGTTCTTTCCACCAAATTGTTCTTCTGAACCTCCTGGTAGATGGCCTTGGCAAGAATAGCCTTGGATGGGTCGCCACACCACGTGTTGAATTGTCTATAGGGCTGAGAAGGCTGCAAGTTGGGGTCTGAGAAGTAGAATCCGGCAGCCTGGAACTTCTTGGAAAAAGTCACCATGTCTGGAGGGTCCTGGAGGTTCCAGTGTTCATGGGCCCAGAACTTGCCCAGGGCACCCACACCGGTCTGGACCTCGTCGACAATCATGAGGATCTCGTGTTTTCTGGTGAGCTGTCTCAAGCCGTGGAAGAAAGCAGGCGATGCGTGGTTGTCTCCACCTTCAGACTGAACTGGCTCCACGATGATAGCGGCAATGTAGCCTGGAGGGTGGCTTGTGACGATTTCCTCGAATTCAGCCAAACAGCGCTCCTCCTCGGCAGCGTTTTCCCTGACGTGGTCCTTCAATGGGTACTTGAGCTGGGGGAAAGGTGCCACAGGCCAGTCGAATGCAGGGATATCCAACTTGTGAAGGGCCTTGGAGCGTGTGGTGGAAAGAGAGCCAAAAAGACGGCCGTGGAAGCCCTTTTCAAAGGACAAAATGGCTTTGTCTGGCGAACCAGGTGCCTTGTTGAGCATCACAGAGCGCAACTCCTCGTCGGTGAAATCCATGGCTCCACGTGCTCTGGCAGCCTGGTACATGAACGCCGCCTTGTAGGCAGTTTCATTAGCACACGAGCCGGAAAGCGCCGTCCACACCTTGGTCATTCCTGGCGGAGCAGCGGCCAAAATACCCTCCTCGAGAATACCCGCGTAGTCGAGCTGAGGAAAACACGCCAACGCGGGTCTGTTGACCAAAGCGGAGGCCATTTCGGGCGACGTGGCCGCGGCGTAAAGCTCCGGGTTGTTGTAACCCAAGGGAATCGACGAAATCTGACAGTACACGTCAAGCAACTTGTTGCCGTCTGCATCAGCAATGTAGTTCCCCACGGAGTTGTAGAAGTCTGTGACAAAGTACGCGGCTCTGTTGTCGAAAACCGATCCCAAGTGTTCGTTTGCCGCCAACAGCTTGGGTCCTGGAACCGACTCGGTGATCAAGGAGGGACCCTTTGGCTCGTTGGGGTAGTATTTTGCAGCCACGGAAACCGAGCCGCCAGGTGTTTCTGGCGCGTGTGTAGCGGCGCTGGCGTGGCCCCGCACGCTTCTGACAGCAGCACGTGTCACGTTTCTAAGCATTGTGGCAGTTTTGAAGGAGAAATCGTTGGAGATTAGAGGTTGCTAAAGGGAGGTTTATATAGCGCTGATAAGGACCTGCACACAAGGCGGTGAGGCGTCGTGGTTAGCGGGGGTCGAAAATGGGCCACCGATTCCGAGCGGACGAGGGATCCCGAAGGGCTGTTTTTTGAGTAGAAAAAAAGAGAAACTCGGGATTTCGGCTCCGTTTGGGAGGCAGTTTGGAAATCACGCATATTTCCGAAAAAAAGTTGTTTTATTTCAGGCAAAACCGGTGGATCTCGGTTAGCGAGAAAGTGGTACGGCTGAGCTGCGCTAAGAAGTGGGCTGTTTTGGCTTTGACTCTGACGGGCAAAGACTTGCCAAACTTGGAACAAAAAGATATGAACAAGTTCAAATACACATTTATTTCATTTGCTATATATACAGTTTTGTTGGCGGCTATATTCTACAACTACTCCAGTCCACTATGTGTCCACTGTCGGCTGGCTATGTGCTAGATTCCGATGGCTGCAAATGCCCAAACGGGAAAGACGAGCAGCCACGAAAATCAGTCCTATTTGAATTCTTGACTTTATCCAGTACCATACCTCTACTTTTTTTTTGGAACAATTTACGAAAATGGGCCGCTCCCGGGGCTTTTCACCTTTCTGCTCCCCTCCCCATTGTCCTCCATGATAACCATGTCTTATGTAGGTAGGTCTAGATGGTTTTGGAACACCGCTGGAAAGACGCTTGTTGATCTAAGTTTTCAAAAAAACCTTTGTCACAATGTATGTCTCGGGCTACACTAGAAATGTCCGTAGCGGTGCGTGGTGACGAGCTATGGCCGCATTTCAACAATGGTTTGATTGTCGATGCACAGCTAAGGGGAGGCACAAGCGTTGCATGTCAGATCAGGTAGGCTAGGCTTTGGCGTGCATTGTAGGGTTCACCCTGAGGTCATTTGTGGAATTTCGAGACTTTCCACAGGCTGTTGAGATTTGGCACTTGCTAGGATCAGAAATTGGGAAATTTTCAGTGATTCTTGTTTTACACTTCAGCTTTTTTTTTTTTTTTTTTTTTTTTTTTTCTTCGTGCTCCTGTCATGCGGAGATCTAAAGCGGCGCTCAGAAAAGGCCGTCCTTCCATTACCTACGCAAATTGTCTGTAATTCTGTTTTCTGCTGAAGCTCTTTGTTCACACCAATCTGAGATCTGCCTTCGAGCAAGACGATTCTCCAAATTTCCTGCAAATATAGCACTTTTGGAATTGATTCAGTTGGATATGCTCCAAGTCTCAATTAGCTTACCGCAGTAACGTAGCTTTCCCTTATGATCAATGTAAGGATGATCTGGTTCCTCTTTTATGGCATTGACCAAGTCTCCCATGTATTTAGACGTATCGGAGACAGGCTCCATGGCTTCAGAGAAATGTTATTTTACTCTCAAGGTGGACATTTTGTTTCTCATGTAGTTTCTCATCGCATGAAAAGCTGAACGACAGCAGTAAGCTGGGAGCTGGAAATTCTGAACTTTGAAGAAGGCTTTTTTGTTTTATTAAAAGCTTCACAATTTCTTCTGAACCATATTCCGTAGCTCAACAATCTAGCAGGCCGTTTTTCTCAGGTGCATTGAATAGGTGAATGTCACCAACGACCAGCTAACTAAACAATTTACCTGACGATAACTAAAGGTATAATTTTAGAAAGCGAAGCTACTACTGAAATGACTATTAAGAGCTCTCCAGCGCCTCTTTTGGAAAATATACCGAATATTTCTCGCTAACTGTAACATGTACATCTACAGAAGAATGACGCTAGATGCTCTTACATCACGTAAATGCCGGTTTTTAATGCAAGGCACTGTGGCCGAAGGGCATGGGACATGATTGCTTCATAAGGCTTTTCGAGGCAGGCGTACGAAGTGCATGCTTCATGAGAAGCACGGCCGGTTTCGAAAGCATAAGTTTTGAAAAGCTCAAGAAATGAAAAGCTCCAGAGATGAAAATTGTCAAGGACGAAAAAGAAAGAAGAAGAATGTTGAACATTCTTCTTTTTGGAATAACCTTTTCTTCCAAAATCTCAGAACTCCTGCCAAAAAATGTTCTTCATCAAAAGGTCAACATCTCTTCTGTCATACATTTTGAACCACGTAAGAAAAACACCACATCTTTTCTTTTCTTCTGTTTTGTTTCCTCTTCTTTATGTTCCAGCGCATAAACATTTCTTCGAGGCAGCGTCCACTTGTCTGTCGATCCGCCATTCTTTTTCTCAATGGATCCGTCGCTTCACAAATGAGGCTCACTTAAACAATCACGTTGATGATGCTTCACGTTTTCTATGCCTGATACTCCATGCAAAGTTGGCTGCAAAAAGCTGCAAACGCCCTCGAAGCCCGCTCGTCATGCTACCCATTGGAATATTCGTCTTTCTCATAAACCATGAAGCTACGACTTTGCTGTTGCACGGTTCTAGTGTGGCTTTGCCAACACAGTAAACCAAACCAGGAGTACTGGAATCGAAGACAAAAAAAGACAAGCATTTTGGGTTTGTTGGCAGAAGTGAGGTGAGTAGAGGAAACGATTATTGACGAGCCTGTGGGGAACATCCGGAATCCCAGCAAAATACATCGAAAAAAAGACTGAATATGGTCATTTAAATTATGATTCTTTTGTTGCTCATGGAGCTTTTCTTTTTTTGCCGATCACCTCCACCGGCGGATTCGACCTTTTTAATTTTCATCATCTCCACATGTCATGATGGCTGCAAAAGGCGCAGTGAGGTCCCCATTCATCAAACCACCAAACCTAGCAGCACAAACCGCGCACCTGGCAAACCATAATCAGCTTTGATCCAAAAATGAAGATATTCTCCAAAACTGCAAAATCACACCCAACCGATCACTTCGGATCCATGGTTGGTGGTTGTGGCTGAGGCGGGTGCAGGACGGCAATATCAGCGTCACTATCGCAACCAACTACTACTCTACTTTTTCCAATGCCTGAGGACGGACACATCAAAAAGTTCATCAACAAGATCAGCGGCCAGCCGGAACTGTACTCCCGCAAGGCACGCTACACGTTCGGCAAGACCTTGGGCGCCGGCCTGTTTGGAATTGTTCGTTATGCTAGAGATAACCAGACGGGCGAGGACGTGGCGGTCAAGATCATTTTGAAGAAGGCGCTCAAGAGCAAGGAGCACGAGCAGTTCATTGTGGACGAGCTTTCCTTGCTCCAGGAGCTCAAGCACCCACACATTGTTGGTTTTAGAGATTGGTTTGAGTCCAAGGACAAGTTCTACTTGGTGACTCAATTGGCTACAGGCGGTGAGTTGTTCGATAGGATTGTGCAGCAGGGTCGGTTTACGGAACGTGACGCGTCCGTGGTGGTGATCCAGATGCTTGAGGCGCTCAAGTACTTGCACGATAGGAATATCGTCCACAGGGATATCAAGCCTGAGAATGTGTTGTACCTCAACGAGGACGCCGATTCCGACGTTGTGCTTGCGGATTTCGGTATCGCCAAGAAGCTCCAGGACCCGAAGGAAAAGCTCATGTCGTCGGCTGGCTCTTTCGGGTACGCTGCGCCAGAAGTCATCACCGGAACAGGTCACGGAAAGCCGTGCGATATCTGGTCCTTGGGTGTGGTCACCTACACCATCTTGTGTGGCTACTCGCCCTTCAGAGCCGAAAACGTGCAAGACTTTATCGCCGAGGTCAGGCACAACAACGCCGTGGTGTTCCACGCGGACTACTGGAGGTCTGTTTCGAAAGATGCACGTAGATTTATCATCAAGGCGCTCCAGTACGACCCGGAGCGCCGTGCCACGGCCGACTCGCTCTTGGAGGACCCCTGGCTCGTCAGCGCCAAGCAGCACAGCGAGGCCGATTTGTTGCCCAACTTGAAGCAGAACTTCGACGCCAAGGGCAAGTTCCGCCAGGCGATCGAGGTGGTCAAGTTGGCCAACCGCATCAAGAAGCTCAAGGACTTGCAGACCGAGGAGGACGACGACCCCAACGAAATCAATCTTTTCGGCGACGGCGGGTCTGTCGTCAGCGACAGCGAGCTTCCAGACACCAAGCTGGGCGAGGCCCACGACAGTGAGGTGAAGAACAAGAGCGGAGGCCTTTTCAACTGGAAGAAGATTAGCGAATCGCTTGCCGAGGCTGAGGGCAAAAAGCCCAAGGACGAGGATAAGTCGGCGCTCACGTCGAGCGCATTCATCCAGTTGGTCCAGGCAGCGACAGAAAACAAGGAACGAGTCACGGAGTACCAGAAGCGAGAAGACGAGGCCAAGTAGACAGGCCCCGGCTCCGAGAGAAAACCCGGTCGTTTTGGAAAATAGAGAAAATCACAATACATGCATGCGGAGCTGGCGATTGCTTTCTCTACTTTTGTGATTTCGGCCATGTTACACAAGCCTTGTAACAACCCCTCGGTGCACAGCTTCAAAAGGTGAAACCCCTAACGCCAGAATCGGGTTCAGGGATGTGTTGTGAACGATGCATTTCACGTGAGACAGCTTTTGAACCCTGCCAGAGCAGTTTAGCCGGGGTTGCATGGTTTAGGTGAGACAGCGTCAAGCAGGGTGCGCTAAGCAGAGACAGTTGAAGAGTGCCGCTACTATTTCAGAAAAAAGTCCAGACTCCCGGCATAATCGGGGAGTTCGACTCGTGGGAGGAGAAGGCCTAGCTTTTTTTTTTTTTCAGTTTTGAGCCTCGAAATTTACTGAGGCCCACGGAACAAGCGCTATTAACCTGGTTAGGCACTGCGTCTGTGGGCCACCTTTAATTTTAAGGTTTCCCTTTGTCCCATGCGGTATTTGGTGATCATCGTTCGGCGGCTGCAATGGGATGATACCACCCTGACCTCGATTCAGGAAATAACGGTTTCGGTTTGAGGCTGGTGAAGCTGTAGCGCCCTACATGGATAACTTCCGCCAATGTCCCGATTTGAAAAAATGGGCCAGCGGCAAATTTGCAGGGCAGGCGCCTCGGGATTCCTCTGGCTTCCGTTTCGTGTCTTACCCAGCCACGGCGGGTCTTGGACAGGTGCTGGTCGGCTAAAGAGAACGCAAAGTGTGTTTTGCTGCACGGCGGCTCAACCCAGCCTGCAAAAGAGCCCTGTTACTTGCCACCGTTTAGAGAAATATTCGGGAGGAGGTGTAGAGGGGTTAAGACGATTTGAAGCATGGTGGTTATGGCCAAAATCCGTGGTGTTTCACTGTCGCTCTTCGCCTAAGCGTTTGCTCAATGCATGTCGAGGATGTCATTTGGAGCACAGACACACCAAGGCCAAAGCATTGGATGCTAAACGGGAAAAAAAAATGCTTAAGGGTCACTGCCGAGTTTGGAAGTGTGGCTGGAAGGCAGAGAGTTGGGTGCTGATCTTGATGGGGACGAAGGGCTATAAAGCTTAATTGTGCTTCTACGGTTTTTAGTCTTTTTTTGATTTCTTTTCAAATCGTGCAAGCCGCCGGGTTTCCGATTTCCAAGGCGGTCTTGTCTCAAACCTACGGGAAGCTCCCAAGCACCGAAGTGAGACACTGGGATTTAGACGCCGATTGCACATTCGACGCACAGTGGGTACTTGTGGATTCACGGTGAGGTGACGAGGATCCCCCGGAACTCCGGCCAGAATAGGCCCATTTTGTCGCCTCCGGGATCTCGCTATGTATGACTGTTTCATACGTAATTTTTGCTCAGAGGCTGCGAGTAATTAGCTGATTTGGGTGGATTGGGTTTGGATGGGAGTTTCGGTTAAGTGATGCACCAGATGCGTGCAACAAGCGGAAGAGCAATTACGGTACAGTGAATGAAATGGGTTTCAGTGGGTTCAATGAAATGGAGCTTTTTTTGTGGTGGTTTTGGTGGTTTTGGTGGTTTTGGTGGTTCTGGTTTTCGAAGTTGTGGTAGTGAGATCGTAGTCTCACACTGGCCAGTATGGCACCAGCACCAAAATCGACTAACAAAAAGTGCCACCGTCGATTCTAACTTAATAGTTTAACCTTCACCCGAATGAAGTACGCTAAGTAGTATTTTTCAATTCTTCCATCTCTTCTAGTCTATCTTCTAGTCTCTATCTCTATCTTCTAGTCTCTATCTTCTAGTCTCTATCTTCTAGTCTCTATCTTCTATTCTCTATCTTCTAGTCTCTATCTTCTATTCTCTATCTTCTGGTCTCTATCTTCTATTCTCTATCTTCTGGTCTCTATCTTCTAGTCTCTATCTTCTATTCTCTATCTTCCAGTCTTTACCTCTATCTTCCTGAATTTCTCTCTTCTGGTCTCTATCTCCATAATTTCCTCTCATCTACACTTCGCTGTCATTAGCCGTGAAATTAGTCTATAAACCGTACCGTGCCAGAGGCCCAAGTCGTAATCAATCAAAACCAGTCGTAACAGGCAGAACCAGTCGTAGGCTCACAAGCCCACGTTCAACATCTCCGTCAGAAGACCCAAGTTGAGTGCATCGTTGAGATCCGAAGCATCGGGCTCCACCTTCAAGAAATCCTCGTCCAAGCCGCCAGTGAGGTCGGTGCCGGCACCGCCAAACACATCGGTACTGTAGCTGCTGGCGGCACCAGTAAAGTCCGCCATGTCGCCAAAGGGCATTTCTTGCATTTCCGGAGCAACGCCGGGAGGCGCCATGCTGTCGTCAAAGTGGTAGCCCAAGGAGCCCTCAGCGTGCTCGGGCATGGTCGCCAACTGCGGCATCGCCAACGAGTCTTCGGGGTAGTAGTTGGGCTTCAGATGGGAGAAAAGCGAGTAAGGCCTCTCGACACCGCCAGCGGCGCCGCCACTCACGTAGCCCTTCTGTGGCACTTGTGCCGCCATGGTCAAGTCTGTGTCGCTAAACGCTCTGGAGGCACTGAAGTCGGTGGGGTTGCCAAACTCCGTCTCGTCGAGCGAAAAGGCAGGATTCACCATCGTAGGCGGCATGTGGGGCGTCTGGTACTGGGTGGTGAGCTGTCTCTTGGGCAGCGGCGTCACTTCGGGCGTCTGTTCCTTGAAGTCGGATCTGGCTCTCTTGCGGGAAACAGGCAGTTCCACAGAGGAAACCGACGACGCCGCCAGCTTGTCTCGGAGCAGGAGGCTCAGGCTCAGGCTCAGGGCGGAATTGAGCCCCGAGGGTCTCTCGTCGTGGAGATACTCCCAGCACATGTCGCCGTAGGTTTTGGGGGTCATGCCGGTAACGGACTTGAACACACGGTGAAAGTGCCAGGCGGAAAGCTTGGATTTGGCGGCAAGCTCCTTGAAGCCGAGAACGCCGCCTCTTCTCTTTCTCTTCTTCTTGCCGGAATCGGAGGATCCGTCATCCAGAGCAGGCGAGTTGGCGCTCGAAGGCAGTGGGTTCATGATGGAAACGGCAGCTGCAAGCGCCAAGTGGCGGCAGGCGAGATCCACAAGACGGTAGTGTTCCAGGTTGTTTTTGGACACGGTGCCCACAGGCTGTCTCAAGTCCTTCTCGTCCTTTTCGTCCAAAGCAGGGAGCGAGAAGCCAATCAGGGCATTGACGTCGTTGACCGTCTGGATAAGGAGCTTCACGTCAATGTGAGGAGTGGTAGTAGGGTCGCAGTGTTCACAAGGAAGGTAGCCGAGGTCCATGGCTTGTTGGCACTCGTCAACAAACTCAATCTCCAGCTTCAATTCTGAGACAGGGTAGGCGTCGCAGTCGGGGCGGCAGAACCTCTTGTATGTCTTGTTGCAGACAAGGAAGGAGTTTGCGGCAAAGGGATCCAGAAACTGGTAGGCCTTCCACTTGGCGGACTCAGAAGAATATACCATGGTAGTAGGGGGAATGGTCGGGGAGAGTGTGGTAGGAGATGGGCACTTAAGATAGACACTAGGAATAGATGGGAGTCCAAGGGGGTTCGAAGTGTCGATATGGTTCTTGAGGCTGAGGAGAAAAAAAGGTGCAATGGGGATTGGGGCGGTATTTATATATTGGGTAGCGGGAGCTCCAAATGTGGGACAAGGAAAACTGTAGCTGCGGGAGGACGTGCATGGCTGCTGCGTGCATGCATGCGTATGGATGCGTGCATACGTATGTACGCATGGTGAGCATCTCCAGAGGGCCTGCAGCGCGGCTGTGATGGCGGGATGCATGAGCTGCCCAGGGCCCGCTGGGGGTTTCTCCAAATACGACAATGACACTCGTTGCAAGTGCCCCACTACGTCCCCAAGTACGGTCTGCAAAACTTTTAGGAATGCCTCACTTTGGACTTCATATGAGGCGGGTCGCACACGGGTGACCCCGGGAGGGAGGGGGGGTGCTGTGCCATCATGCTACATGCAGGACGCCTCTCCTTCTGCCTGGAAACATGCGAGGTGCACCTTCTGCATATATTGTGGCATCTCAAAAGTCTCTCACACTCGCTGCACGTCGGGCGGCCTGCACAGGCCCCACAGCCAACATAACCTCCCAGCGTAAACTCCACGCCCTTACCTCTCCATAGCAGGAACGGGGTCTTTTCCGCGTGCAGCCGATAAATAAGCTGTGGCCATGCTTTCCCCCAAATCCGGGCCGTCCAGCCGCATCCGCCTCAAAAAGCCCTCCCGCCCATGCTCCACATCCCGCCATTGTCCGGTGCCCGATCCGCCCTGGCCTGTCCTCCCCCATTGTCCTCTTGAAATTGGCTGCAAATACGCCTTCTCCCCACCAGTTTGCAACTTGTCTCACCTATTCTTACCCTCTCGCCCTCGCCCTGTTTTTCTCCGCCCAGTATCCCGCCAGCGTCATCGCAATGACATATAGCCGACTTGCAGCCATGGCATGTTCCACTCTTGCATGCTCGCCTCGTGGCTGGTGATGCACTGTCTCACGTACGTGTCTAAATTTTGCACGGATCCCCGTTTGTCTTACATGGATTTGGCGGTGGCGACGCATGAAGGGCACTTTCAGGTGCTTGACAGACGAGCCGTAGGCGGCAATACTTACACAGCTACCTTTTTCATTTGTTGAGACGCATGTTTTAGGCGGCTACTCTTTTCGGTTAACCTGTACTACAGACTTGTGGCTAGGGCCGATGGGCGCTAAGGGGAAACATAGGGTGAGACATAGTATGTATTGAAGGGAAGGCTGAAAGTGGACTCTGCCAAAAACGCCCGCAGGGTCCGGGGAACCCGACAGTTAAACTTTCAGGGTTTCGGGAGGTGTTGACGGCGTGGCTACAGAGACAGGATTCGGAAATAGGGTGCTGCTCAAACGGCTAAATGGCCCCCCAACCCGCCACAAGCAAGCAGTGCTATAGGCGCCCAACGAGCTAGAGCCGCTCTGCGGTGAAACAGCAGGAAGGAGTGCCCAGGAAGCCTTCTCCATTTGGTTGGTTTCCAAACTACCAATTTTTCGGTGTCCGCCCGAGTTGTAGGTGGATTGGTGATGGTGAGGCGGGAGGGGCACGTACATATCTCACTGTCAGTGAGGGCAGAGGCTTGTGGCGGCCACTGCACCTGTGACGAAATTCCCACGCACCCTGCCATCGTGCATGGGGCTTGTGGCTTGTGGAATGTGGCTATGTTTATCCGGCCGCACGCCTGCGTCGCTCCTCTTACGTGAAAGAATGGCGTGTACTGCATATAGGCCGCTGCCCCAGCATGCTTCCATCTCCATTTGTATTGTCTGTGGCGGGTGCCTAGCGGCGGCTTTTCGCTATCGGCTGTGGCGGATGGCTTCAGTAGTACAGGGCTAACTACTCGATCCGGAGTGGCACCGTGGAGCCGCATGTCTCAGATCTGCTACAACATCTCCAACGCACTCCAGCTCGAGATAACGGTCCCACCTCGTACATTGAAAACCCTCAACTCACTTGCGGTGATTCCCTCCGCAAAACACCCTCCAGGCCAGCCAGTGACGCAATTAGCCACACGGCCCGGTGGAGCGGTACAAGCGCTTATTTGTCCAGCCCAGCCTAGGCCCTCAGGGTGCGGCACAAATCGGGAAAACCCTGCCTCCACGAGGCAAGCTCAACGGCTTTAGCCATCGCTGCGTCACCACCGAGTCGTCGCTTTTAGCACTTGCCACAGCGCACTTGCCACAGGCGCTGCCCAATTGAGCAGCCGAGTCGGCTATGACGTAGTGGAGGAAACAAAAGCGACGTAATGGCAACAGAAATGACAAACGGCGTCTTTTCGATGACGCCAGCGGCCCGGCGCCGTGGCTAGCGGGTTTCACTGCCTGCCGTTTGTGGCGCCTGTATCGAAACCAGGGCTGGTTTGTAGTAAGGCTTCTGCCTGATGAGCTGGGGACGGATTACTTGTGGCTGTGAAGACATGGTTCACCGGGAGGCTCAAGCTGCCATAGGAAGACGAATTTTTGCTGGGCCACATGTGGCGGGTGGGACCAACTTATATACGTTTGGCGCCTCCTGTGGCCTGGTTTCTATTTGGTCCGGCGTCTCGGAACACCGCCGGAGTCCGAGGGAGTCCGTGCCGCCCACCGGAAGCCAAACGAAGCTTTGGTTACTTTTGGTTTTTGCTTTGTTACTTTTAATTAAGTTAATATTTGATTAAATGGTGGTGGAGGAGGCCTGGGGTAGTGGCTGCAAATTGAGGATGGAGGTGGCTTGGTTGCGACGTGGCGCCCGGTTCGCTTTCTACATCTACAGTAGCGAATGTGTAGAAACCGGCTTGCAACGACATACTTCACAATGGGCGGACCACTTGTGAGATAAAACGACTTTCTGCATCGGACTGATAAATGGCCCCGACTCTGTATCGGACTGATGGCCACGACTTTTCTGTATTGGACTGACGGCCACGACTTCTCTGTATCGGACTGATGGCCACGACCTTCTGATAACGTGACCGCTTGAGGCTGGTGAAGGTTGATTAATAATCACACTATCAAGGCCATGTGGTGTGGCTAGGGTCCTGGGGAAGAGGCCGGAACCCCGAGGCACCGGGGCCCCGGAAGTGATTATTTTTTAGGTACGCCCACGACACAAAGAGATCGAATGAGATGTATGCGCATACATGGGCCTCGGAGTTCCGAAACGTCGTGGAAGACGAGCGCAGGGCGTGCATGAGGGGAGGCCGGTTTTGATAGAATCTTGCCTCAATAATAAGGATCCCACATCAATGGGGTGTGTGTGGCTTATTGCATCATCGAATTCGATAGAAAAGCGTTCAGCCTCCATGTGAAATTGTCTCCTCCCGCTGGTCACACCCTTGAGAGCGTGCGTCATGCCGAGCTGTGTCATCATGCACTCCCGCTGCAGTCCTCAAGCAACCGTAAGCGACACCCGGCCGCATCAATAGCTTAGAAGCTGGATCCTGAGTTCCCTGCATGATCGATGGTTATTACTCGCCATCTGTTACGGTGCTATGTTGAGCGCCTAAAGAGAAATATTTTCTTAGGCTTCTCGGCTTCGTCGAAAATAACGGTTCCCGCGCATTCCAGTGGAATTCCGCATTTTCTTGTTTGGTCGAATTTCAGCACGTCATCGTCGCAACGCCTTTTCCGACCCTGCCCACTTTTCCGACTTCCGATATGGCTCCAAGTGGTATTATCTATGGCATTGTCCAAGCCCGCAGATTTGGCACATTTCCTATTGTCACTGTGGTTACTTATGCGCGTGCATGCAACTGAAACGTAAGGCCGCTTACATCCCATTGATGCGGCCGGAGTGGTTTCAATGGGCATTTCTTGTGTCCATTGTCAGGGTGGGTGTGTATATGCAGGTCGCTCTTTCGGCCAAAATTTCGCTAACTCCTAGAAAAAAAAAAAAGTTTACTCCATTCTGCAGTATGTTCTAGAAAAGTATCGAAGATAAGAGAAAGAAACTCGACGTGGGTAAAAATCAAGCTGCTCACTGTCACATTTGATGTTCCACATGCAAGGGCTTATGTTTCACTGGATGCAAGTGAAAACCATCGGGCCACTTTATCAAGCTTATCCTCAAGCAGGCATCTTTAGGCGGTAGGGTGGTTAGCACGATACCGGGTATTCTAGCTCGAAAGGGATTGGTTCCTAAGACAATGCAGTTTCGGGGTACTAAGCACTCAATTGCAGCATCAATGGAGGGAGTATACAGCTGGATAGGCGTTGTTTTACAGCTCCGACTTGGCAGACGCAATTGGGTGAAGTAGTCGGTGGTGTATTCTTCGAAGAGTCTATAGAGGTGTAGCTGTAGCGATTTGGAGGTAGGGTGTAATGCTTAATTGGGAAATGTTGGGGTGGGCTCAAAAGACATCCAATCAAAGCTCAATCTTTCAACGTTTCTTTTTTCTGAAACTTTCTTCTAGAAGGTTGTCAGACCACTTCTCAATCAAAGGCTCCACCACACATAGCCAATGCTCCTATCCAAAAACAACAATGTAGACTCGAGCCACACAGACCAGTTTGCTTCTTCAGCAAACCTTATCTCCATCGTAGTTGTCGTGGGCTATCCATTGTGGATTGATCTGGAACAAGCTAAGGTAATGAGATACCACCTGTTTGTTTGGGTCTCCTCCAGCACAGTAACCGAAATGGACTTTAAATCTACAATCAACAAATCCGAGACATTTGCATCCCCATTGACTCGCCCCTCTCGTTGACTGGACCTCTAAAGTCATCGCTACTCACCCTCCCATGTGGACATCGCCCAAATAACTCTCCCATGTGGACACCGCCCAAAAATAAAAAATCACGGCACTGCCGGCGGTTCAAAACCCTATTGTCGCTGTTTGTTCTGCCGGAAACGCCTCCTTCTCTTACACCTCCCGAAACCTTCCTGGGCTCGGGCGATCCGCCTCAAATGTGCTTCCAAATATCCTATTGCAGTGAAGTCATGCAATGGCACCATGCGACTACGAACCCTTCCTCCCCATCTGAGAAAAAGTTGCCCCACCGGTCCTGCCCCGGGCGGCGTCTTTGTCGTTTTGCATCCTCGTTACAGAATCCGGAATTCCGGGCATTGTTCCCAGAAGGCTTCATCCATGGGGCGGCACCGAAACATATCCACGGGAGCGGCGAGGCGGCCGCCGGTGATTTTTGGGGATTCAAGGCGGTCAAACATTCGGTAAAAAGAGGGTTTCTGTAGGGTTGCCCAAGTGTAAACGACAAAGTGGGCGATTTTGCACAAGTGAGAAATTGTCTACAACTACTTCAACTGAGGTGGTTCTGGAAAAGGAGGGAAAAATTCCAGGAATGCAGAATTTTATTTTCCAGGCCTAGACTGGAGCCCCAAGCCCTGGTAGGATTGGTGACGTTACCATTGGCAATGTGTGGACCATGACGTCGAGGATTCCCCATTTTTCTTGCAAGAATAATAGAAAATTTTTTTGCCAACAACCAGCCACTCTCGTGATGTCCGGGCACGCCAGGGAATACTCGGGGCTTGGTAGCGCTGAGTGAGTTCTTCCAAGATATTCTTCATTTGGTCTCTGGGTGGTGATGGTTTTGTGAGTTTCAAAACAACCAATACTTCATTGGCCCAGCGCCACTGTGGATTACTAGGCACCAAAGTTACGGGATCATTACTACGGTCACTAGTTCCAGAATCCATCAGCCTGAATTGCGCCACAACAGGAAGAGGCTTCCGTTGGTGCTCTACTTGGGCCGTTGGAACTCACACTCAAACTTGAAGATTTATGAACCAATCAGGAAGAGCCTTTCAAACCAAGGAAGAGCCTTTCAAACCAAGGAAGAGCCTTTCAAACCAAGGAAGAGCTTTTCAAACCAAGGAAGAGCTTTTCAAACCAAGGAAGAGCTTTTCAGAATATGGAGAAACGGCAATTGAAGTGCCCCAGTGGTCACTACCACAGACACCTACAAACGGGGTTTTGTCAGTGACGCTTCAAGACGTCAATCGAGGCTAAAAAACACCTGACATTACCAAACAAGACATACCAGGATAGCTCATCGAAATGTGCCTCTTCATAGCCACCCATGCAAACAGACCGACTGGACCATTGAAATCCACATCTTCCTCTATCTAATACGGGTGACTCCCCGTGTACAAGCCAACTCGACATACATCCACCCGATTCGACATACATCCACCCTCCCGGTCCATATGACCAGACCATCGGCCGTGACGTCCGCCGATAAGCCTACTCAGCCTACAAAACGGAAAAACACCAATTTCCGAAAACGCAACGCTGGCTGTGTCCCCAAAAGTGGAGGATAGCTTGCAGCTACAGATATTAGCATTCTTCACTTGCAGACCAGCGGGGTTTCTCCATACTCCATACTTTCAAAATATCATGGATAGGAGAACCTTTCCCATGTGACCAGGGATCTACCCACCGTTTCACCTAAAGATCGACGGATTACGCCATACCGCTTGTGGCCACATGGTGCAAGCAGATCTTCAAGATCGGGACCACTAGTCGGATCGACACCAAAAGCTTCGCTGGATCTTTTCTTCTTCCGGTGTAATACCGGAATCTCCCTAAAGTTACCCGATGCATATACACTAGTTCAGCAATAAGCCTCGGCGTGGCCCAAAGGGTAAGATAAGGGCGGGTTGACGAAAAGAGGAAAATGCAGAGCGTATAACACGCTGGAGGGTTTTTACATTTGGCTCCCCAAGGAATACCGACGGTGTCGAAACAAAAATAGATGCGGCTCTCCTGCAATAGGCGCCCAAGCTGTCAATAGAGTTTAATTTCTCAGGTAGTCGTGTGGGGAAGTCTCACTGACGTCACAAAAAGTTCTGGATTTTTCCATACCATTATATAAGCTTTCCTGGACCATCACTCCATGATAATGCAGTTCAGGGTTCAGGGTTCAGGGTTCATTCAGGATTCTGCTGGAAAGAAGCATGGAAGTTTGGTTTGCAGAGGAATTGCAGGGCGCATTCGCCACAAGTGGCGCAGGCTGCACGCATCTGTATATGCATGCACCTGTGCGTGTAGACAGCGTACTTGTGGCTAATTCAGGGGAGGGCGGCACGCTTAGGCCTGTACTTGTGGCTGGGGCCCTGCCGCGCTTACATGCCTCGGAAGTGCGTACTAATTTTGGGGTATGTAGGGTGGGCCCTGTGCTTGTGTGAAACGTCATTTCTTGGGGCGTATTTATTTATTTTTTTTGACGAAGAAACAGTGGAGCCTTGGAACGCCAGTTTTGTGCAGGATGGAAGATTCTTTCCACGGGGAACGGAGTCGATTCACCGCACGACACCCGGGAACTTTTCCTTCACGAGAACATCCGTACACCACCCCTCCACCAAAAGGTCGGCGCCGGACCGGCTCGGAAGTCGGGAATCGGGAAGGTGAGCAAATTGTTGGTCACGTGATGTGTCACGTGTGTTCCACTTTGTGGTCTATGTGCAGTACTGCAGCTCCAACCAACCCGCCATTTACAGCGCCCAGTGCCAGAAAATGCATCAATTTCCTCAGAAACCCCATTTTTACCCCCTACAGTGCCCTAAATCTGCCGATCGGCTTCTTTCGCCCCGAAACCCCAACGGTTACACTTTGTACCACGAGCATTGGCTATAGCGAGGCGCCGCATGCAGGTTCCAAGAAGCTCCAACACATAGAACCCCATTTCTTCACCAAAAAACCCCCAGATTCTCATGTCTTTTGAACCCCGGCATGCCGGTCACGGCCACGGCAACCACTTTGCCAATGTCAAGTACGGTCACATCATCTTTGGCATCTCGGTGGCCTACGCCCTCTATGTCTCTGTGGCTCGTTACCTATATCTAAGGAAATGGAACAAGCAGGCTAAAGCACCCACGGGGTTGGTGAGATCCGCCGCTTACGGCAACTTGTGGGTCAGCGTGGTGTTCTGGACGTTTCTCATTCTTTTTCTTTCGTTCATCAACGTCGAAAACCTCGCCCTGATGTGGATCATTGTCATCAAGCGCTTGGGTAGAGTAGGCTACTGCTTGGTTCCCTTGGATGCGGTTCTAGCGCTCCGGCCTGCGTGCCTCGGGCCCCATGCGCTGTATTTGGAGCATTTGGCGTTGCACAAGTGGCTTTCCAGGGTCATTGTGGTGGCTACCACGGCTCATGGAATCGGATACTGGGTCAAGTGGATCATTGAGCTGCGGTTCTGGGCGCAAAACGTCAAGTACAAGAACTTCCTTGGCGTGGTGCCGTTTTTGATGTCAGTGCTTCTTTTGGCCGTTTCGATCAGACCGGCTAGACGGAAGATATATGCGTTTTTTTATATCTGGCACAACGCCACGGTTTTTGCATTCACCTTCTTCATGCTCTGGCACGCCAGGCCGGGTGTCACCGACGTGCTAATTTTCAGTTTCTGCATCTACGGACTTCAGGTTTTCTTGCGGATCAAGTTCACCCATCGTTTGGAGAAAATGACCATCGTGGACCCGGAAGACTCCCAGTTGCGTTTGGTGAAACTCCAAAAACCGGCAAACTACCCTGCAGAATGGATCCCGGGCTCCCACCTCCGTATGTCCTGGAAAATCACCAATTGGAAGTACTGGGTGTACCCTACGCACCCGTATTCGATCGGATCCTTGCCTGGTGATCCCACGATAGATTTGGTGATCAAGAAAGGGTTCCGTTTTGAGATGTTCTCGTCATTGGAGTACTCAATCTCGCTGCCGTACTGTTCTGTGCCTCCACCGCTCTACCAGACCGCCGACAATGTCCACGTTATCTGTGGTGGTTCTGGTATCTCCTTGGGTGTGCCTATCTATCGCTATCTCAAACAGAACTCCTCAGTTATCACGAATATGACGTGGTGTGTGAGGAACGACAACGACGTTTTTGTGCTTCCCAGCACGATGGACCCTATCGACGTTTACGTCACAAAAGCTGAGACTACGCTTTTTGTCAATAATAACCAAGAGGAGGACCACGGCCTTTTGAACAAAGACGTGGAGCTTGAACTGTTAGATGGCTCGGGCACCTCCAGCCCGCCAGAACTGGCTGTGAATTTCAAAAAAGGACGGCCGATCTTTGACGAGATCTTTGCCCATTTTGGCGATACTGCCGAACCAGACAACAAGTGGATCGTGGTTTGTGGACCTAGTGCATTAATTGAGGCTGTGAAGAAGTGGGGCAAGGTCAACCATGTGCATGTTTTCGAGGAGTTGTACGATATGTAAATAAAGTAATGGACTGGTTGCAAAAAAATCACGTCCATTTTTTCGAGGAGCTGTACGATATGTAAATAAAGTAATGGATGGTTGCAAAAGGCAAAAAAAAAAACGAAGCTCGCACTCAGGTTCGAACTAAGGACCAACAGATTTGCAATCTGCTGCGCTACCACTGCGCCATACGAGCTTTCTTACAGGCAGGAGGACGCAGGAGCTATATGTTCAGGCTTCAGACGTTTTTTACTAAAACGTGGAATCTCCAATTTTCGAGGATACCATGATAAACCTCATACTTTCAGAAATCTGAAGTTCAAATTTGAGCCCCCCAGACCCCCTGAATCCCAAGTTATTCCCATTATCACCAAACGGGTTCGCACTATCAGACCACCCTTGCTAACTACTACAAATCCAACCACACCAGCAATGTCGGTTCTCGAACCGTCCATACCTCCTGCACAGCTACATGCCGTGCCTTCACCGTCAAAGCTCACCTTCCAAGACCTACATATGCTCCAGGATGTTCTGCTGGCGTATAAACTGCCCCTAGCTGTTATAGCGCATGTGGATCTCAATGCCTTCTATGCTCAATGTGAACAGATACGCCTTGGAAAGACCATCGATGACCCTGTGGTGTGTGCACAGTGGCAGTCTCTAATTGCTGTTTCCTATGCTGCCAGGAAATTCGGCATAGGACGTATGGATACTTTGCAATCTGCTTTGGAGAAATGTCCAGGTCTAGTGGTAGGCCATGCTGCTGTATTCAAGAAAGGAGACTCCCATTGGCAGTATCTCAAAGAAGCTCCCGACCAGGGAGTGCACAAGGTGTCGTTGGATCCTTATCGGAGAGAACTGAGGAAGATCTTCAAGGTGCTACTGCGTGAGTGTGATTCTGCTGAAAAGGCCAGTGTGGACGAGTGTTACTTGGACTTGAGCCGCATGGTGCTACAAGAAGCGAGGAGCCGGTTTCCCGTTTTGGATAGCGTTTTCGAGAATTCCAAGATGCAAGAGGCTCTACCGTCAGTTCCTGGTTTGGACGACCCAGGATATGAAGGATTAGCCTGGCTGGGGAGGATTTACGAGACTGAAACAGAGGCCAAGGCTGCAGAGCTTGACTTGCCGCAGGAGTCGTCCAAAAGAGATAATTGTGCTGTTCCTCCAGAAATCAACGACTGGGATGATCTCTTTATGCTCATTGGAAGCAAACACCTCTGCAGAATCCGCCGCTGTGTGTACGATGAGCTTTCTTTCACGACATCCGGGGGCTTGTCGTCTACCAAAACTATCGCCAAGTTGGCTGGTGGTTTCAACAAACCTGACTTTCAAACAATCATACGACCTTCTGCAATCTACAGTTTTCTCAAGAACTTCGAATTGGCAGATTTCACCCTCATGGGCGGCAAAACCGGCGAAGTCATCGTTGAAAAGCTCGGAGTTCCTCCAGAACAGAACAGTATCACCTACATCAGAGACAACTACACTCTACCTGAGATCCGTCAGACCATGCCATCCGATGAACTGCTTATGGCGAAGGTCTATGAGCTCGTGAGGGGCATACATCACCAAGAAATGAAACCACGAACGGTAGTAAAATCCATGATGTCGAGAAAGAACTTCCTACCGAGAAGGCCTGTCAAAACCTTAGCTGACGCCTTCGACTGGATCAAGGTCTACATCGGTGACTTGTACGGCCGCTTGATTGAGCTTGACGACGAAAATATGAACTTGTCCATGCTGCAGGGTGATGGCAAAAATCAACGGTATATTTATAGGCCCCGTACGGCCAGTGTTCAAATCACCACGCAGCTGTGGCTGAAGCATTCCAGGCAAACTTCGTTCCCAGTTTTGAAAAGTCTAGATAAGTTGCGGCATTCCATGGAAACGACGGGATTCAGATTGCTTGCCGAGCTTTTGGATGGCACCAAGGCAGCAGAGATGAATCCGCTGATCAATTTCAAAGAGCTTCGGCTCAACGACAAGCATGATCTCTCCAAAATAGAGATTCCCTCTTTGGCAAATATGGGTTTTGTCATCACTAACTTTGTGAAAACCTCCGATGCCAATTTGATCGATTCATACGGTGGATCCGGAGCTGCTGAAATACCCACGCAAGAGGCAATAAGGCAGGCCTTCGAAAAGGCCGAGGAATATAAGCCAAAACCTCCCCCACCGCCGCCTCCACCGAAAGTGAAAAAGAAGACTGACCTATCCTATGTCAAGAAGCTCTTTGAGGATTATCACAAGGAACTGGAGCACAAGGAGGTTGAGCCTCCGAAACCCGTGAAAGCCGTCTCTGAATTTAAGGAGGATAAGGAGTACGTCAAAAAGCTATTCAATGACTACAAACAAGCTAGTCCAGTTCCCATCCAAGAGGCCGTTTCAATTCAAAAAGCTGTTTCGAAAACCCCCTCTCGATCTGCATCGCCTGAGTCCGAGCAACCCAAAAAGCAGTCCGACCCGCTTCTCAAGGAGCTTATCAAAAACAGATTTTGCTCTCTTTGTGGTACTGCTGTGGAGGACGTATTCGAACATAAGGACTATCATGTCGCTATGGAGCTTTCTCTGAAACTTAACGGAGACCAACCTGCGGCGCCGGCGCCAATGGTCAAGACTCCACTGGTATCACCAAAAAAGCCGAAATCCAAAGGAAAGAAGAAACAAAAGCTTGATAAGGGTCAGACCCGGTTGCCTTTCTGAGGTGCGATTTGCAGTCACTGCTATGGGGTTACACCACATCAAAAAAGATTCACTTCTCACAAATTCCTACTTTTGCATTTACGAATTACCTAATATCCCTAATTTCTAATTACAATATTGACGATGTCCAGACAATTCTGTGATCTCCAGATCTGGGGTCTACTCCACTCAACCATTTACCTGCAGTCCACTCAGTTCTCAGACCTCGGAAGATTTATCGAGCATCCAGATTCAATCACTACTACTTAATTCCAGAAATGTCCAAGGCGAACGAAAACGCCTTGCCGTTCGCCGACGCGGCAACAATAGGTATGTGGATTTGAAAATGATTTTCATTCGGGGGTTCTGAATTTCCGTTTTTTGAGTGTGGGGTACTAACATCATAGTAAGGGCAAACCAGAAGGATAGCTATTTTGAAAACCTGCTCCGGTCACAGGTAACCGATGCTTTACACATATTCAAAGGACAGAAGTTTGTCAACATACATCCTGAAGAAATCGGAGTGGCAACAAAGCTGCTCTATTTCCTCTTGACTACCCTTATCGGTGCCAGAACCTTGGGTGAGGAGTACGTGGATCTTGTCTACGTCAACAGAACAGGTAAAAGACTCCCCAAGTTGTTGCCCAGGGTGGGCTTTATTTTGCTGTATGCATTGTTGCCCTATGTGGTGACGAAGATCATCAAGAAGCTAAAATCTAGGTGGGGCTCGGAAGACTCAAAGAACGAACCCTGGTACAAGCAGCTACTCACGTCATATCCAAAGCTCTTGGATACTATCATCAATGTGCATGTGGCGGTCTTCTACTTTGAAGGTTCGTTCTACTCCATCTCCAAGCGTATCTTTGGTCTTCGGTACGTTTTCGGTCACAACAAGGACCCCAAGAAGCTTCAGAATACAGGAAACTACTCTGCTTTAGGTGTTATTATCTTGCTTCAGTTCGCCATCAAGCTTCTCATAAAACTCAAGGAGTACACTGACGAAAACAGCAAATCAGAGGAGGAAAAGAATCTCGCTAAAGCAGATGCTGAATCCCACGACAACTTCAAAAGAGTGCAGCAGCTAGAGAGTTTGAGACAGCATTTTGACGACGACATGGACGAAAAGATCAACATTGATTTGAATGACCCTAAGCAATTGCCTTACCTCCCAGAGAGTGCAAGAAGCTGCATGCTTTGCCTCTCGCCTATGGTCAATCCGTGTGCCGCCAATTGTGGTCATATGTTCTGCTGGGATTGCATTGTCGACTGGACTCGTCAGCATCCGGAATGCCCGCTTTGCAGGCAGGTTTGCCTTGAGCAGAACCTCTTGCCGTTGCGGTGAGCTCGCCCTAATGGAGTTTTGAGATAAGCCTTCAACTGTCTTGATTCTTCGTCTTAATTATGCGCCGCCCAGGACACTGGGTATAATTGGATTTGCCTTGTTAGGCCATTGTGCTCATCTTATCGTTGACGCCCTACGGTGGACAAAACCTGTGCTGCATGGGCTTGACAGGGCATTTACCCTCATATGATGGACAATTATATCTTCAATGGAGACTAGATAACGAAAGATGTCTTTTAGCTCAAGGATCTCAAGGAACTCAAGCATACCTACACAATGATAGTTCTCACTCTGAGTTGGCGACACGGATTACGTCCTACAGGAAATAGTATCTATCACGTTCACATGAACTCTCTTGGCGATTGAGTCGTAGAGTAAGCAATGTGCATCGTTTTATTGCTTCAGAAAAATAGGCTACTTATATGATTTTTGACGATGGTCATAAGCCGTCTGCCTTCTCTACTGAAGCTCTTGTCTCACCATTCCCTTCGCACACATTGAGTTGCTTCAATCGCTATATTCAAACATGGCTTTTATAAATACCTTCTGTTCACCAAATTTAAAGGAAATATTCATTTACTTGACCCTCCAAGCTACAATAAATCACGATTTCTTGCAGCCATTTGGTTCCTCCTGCATACACCCCCATGAACATCAACAGATCAAAAACCAAAGCGCTCAACCAAAAATATCACGAAAATCCACCATGAGTTTTCCGCTTGAGCACTCGCGAGGTTACGAGCAGGAACGTGTTGAGTTCACCGTGGGTGACGACACGTACCTGAATACGTATAAACCTCAAAAAAAGCTGTGGACGCTGGTCCCAAAAAGGATACTAGGAGGAGTCGCTGAGGATCTTTCGGATTTGATCGTCACACACAAAAAATTCACGCTATTGGTGGCGGTTTTTCTATTCCTTTCGTTTTTTACACTGATGCCTTACGTGCCACATTTGTTTAATCAGGGAGATCCCAAGGTAGTGATCATATTGGCTGCCAATGAGGGTGGAGGTGTTTTCAAGTGGAAAGGCCCTCAGGAATGGTCAGTCGAGCGTTCGCTGATTGCTAATAAAAAGGCATATGCCAAGAGACACGGCTATGGTCTCACTATCAAGGACATGACGCTGAAGAAGCGTTATTCTCATGAATGGAGAGAACTGTGGGAAAAGGTGGATTTGATGAAACAGGCCATGCGCCAGTTTCCCAACACTGAGTGGTTCTGGTGGATTGATTTGCATACCTACATCATGGAGCCCCACAAGTCGTTGGAGCTGCACTTGCTTGACCGCTTGGACAATGTGACTTACCGTACGTTGGACACGTTCAACCCTATCAATTTGAAGGTGCCCTTGCCGTACGTCGACTACACGGCGCCTGTGGATATGGTGATCACGCAAGACTGTGGTGGCTTTAATTTGGGCTCTTTCCTCATGAGACGTTCAGAATGGTCCGACATGCTTCTAGATATTTGGTGGGACCCAGCCATGTACGAGCAGATGCACATGCAATGGGAACACAAGGAACAAGACTCGTTGGAGACGCTATATGAGACTCAGCCGTGGATTCGTGAGCGTGTTGGCTTCGTCCCGTTGAGGGCTATCAATGCATTTCCTCCAGGAGCCTGTGCCGACAAGGCGGACGATCCTCAATATTTTTACCACCGTGGCGATTTCCTCATCAACATGGCTGGTTGTGAGTTTGGAAGAGACTGCTGGGGTGAAATGGAGCACTACAAGGCGCTCCTGCGGAAGCTACAGAAGTGGTGGAGAATCTGGTAACTTCTGCTAAGGCCCATGAATGGATATTATAGAGTTCAATGGCCTTGAAATATATTCAATGCAATGGATTAAGACAAACTGTGTCTCTGATGAGAATTTTGAAAAAAAAAATCACAGCAATTATGAAATGGTGGATCATGCCGACAAGCCCGATATTGTGCTTTACCTCCTGAGACCGACTATAGCGGGGATTTAAGGTTAAGTCGAGGTACCTCTAATTTCGGTTATGAAGCGAAGGGCTTCGAGTGGCATTGTTCTGGAAGTTCGACGGCCCTACGACTTTGTCAAAGTGCATTGCCGTGCATTTTCTATTGTCATGCAGCACATAACCTTGTGGTTTTGAGGTGGTTTGGAGCATCTTTACTTGAGCGCGATGCAATGCCCGGTTGTGAATCATGAACGCCCAGTCTATCGTAAACGCAAATTCTGTTCATTGGCGATCGGAATGCATTGTATCCAAAGTTAAGGCGTTGCTGTTGCCCAGATCGTTTCTTTTACCGGCTTTTCTTGTTATTTCGATCTGATAGGTATTTGGATTCATTCTTCTTGCATCGGCCTTACGGTTGCGATGAGGTCAAGAGCTCAGCGATTCGATGTTAATTGCTTTCGTTTGCAATGCTGCAAATCCGATGGTCATGCTTGATCAAGGCGGGCCGATCCTCTTAAAGTGACGGACCGATCCTCTTAACGCGACGGGCCGTTGGCTGATGATGCGACGAGCTTGTCTGTCGAAACTTGGCTGAGCTGCGTTCTTGGCTTGTTGCACACTCTGCACAGGTTTTACACTATTTCAGATGACCTTTTTTGAAGCATGGCGTGCATCGTTTCGACCCTAGAGGTTGTAAGGCTGTCAAGGTGGCGGGCATGTGAAACGTGCTTCAGGAGGTGATCGAACGGGAAGCTATGGACATTTTGTGTTGTGTTACATGATGCTGTGTCAGTTGAAAGTGGCAGACACTGTCGAGCGCATCGCTTTTATTGAGAAGATGAGTATTTTGCTGATGCTACGATGGAAGCTCCTTTTTTTGGTCGTCTCTCGGCCTTCATCGCTCGAAAGGAAAACTCCAATTCATGACTTGAACGCTCGGGATATTTGTTGTTTTACTTCCTGATAAGGTTAATTCCCTGGAATGCATCTTCGTCTTAGAAACCTTTCTTAAGGTAGATTCACAAAGAGGATGTTGCAGTCGAGCTCAAAAGGCGAAGAACCCTCTGCTTTTGACAAACCTGTTGATGTCTCACTCAGATGTGTTGAGTAACTGCCACGCCATACAACCTCCAACCACGCCCCTCAAAAATATCACCCCACAACAGAACATAATCGGCTGATTTGCGTTCATCGAAAACTAAATCCAAATTTCAATCCCCATGCTCGTGATTTTTCCACCCCTCTGGTTTCTGCATCAACACGGTTGCAACTCAGCCGCGCCTCGCATATAGATACATCAACACGGCCAAGCCGAGAACCCACAATTTGCGGCTTTCACCCACGAATCACAACTAATAAACCCCGTTCTTACTGCCCTAAAATAATCTAATATTCAAAATAGTAAGCCGTGTTCTCCAAACTACAAACCCGGTGTGGTCACGTGACCTCGCACGGTCTTTTCACGTCAAACTCCTCCAGTCAAAACCAACAACCACCATCCAATGTCCAATTTCTGGTTCAAAGACGACGCCTTCCAAGGCCCGGGCAGCAGGGAGACAATGACATGGTAGGTCCCATCTTTGACGAGCCGCTTCCGGGCGCCAACAACATGGCACCACAAAACCACCAAAAACAACCTCAAAGCCAGCACGAGGCCAATTTGTTTGCACAAGGCGACCAGGGTCTCGGGGATTTTGGAATGAACCAGGGAAACCCGGGCATGGACGGGAAACTGCCGCAGATGTTCATGCGGAATAACGAAATGATGGAGGGTAACGGTAACTCGTCGCAATTGGATAGACAGAAGCAAGAGCAGCTTTTAAAAATGAGACAGCAGATCATGCACCAGCAGATGGTCCAGAACCAGCAAAAGGCTCAGCATCGCCAGCAGCCCGAGTTGGCCGGGGCCCGAAGCCTGTCTGGTATGAACAGTGAAGGTCAGTTCCAGGGCAACTTTCCTGGGAATATGGGCCAGAACGTCGGGCAGAACGTGAATCAGAACGTGAATCAGAACTTGAATCAGAACTTCGGCGGCTTCCCCGGCTCTGGACCCGGCATGGCGCCTCAGGGAGCCCAGAACATGCAATTCATGGGTAACCAGATGAACCAGATGGGTAGAGCTTCGCCTGCCATGAACCAGCAGAAACCGGGCAACAACCAGGGCTTGGGCCCGAGCTTGGACGGCAAAATGAGCGCAAACCAGAATCTCTCGCAAAACGTCAGTCGGGAGAGCTTGGAAGCTCAGGGCCCAATGGGTTTCCAGAACCAGGCTCCGAAGAACTTCATGGGCCAGGCTCCAGGAGGTACTCCGGGTGCTGAGAGCTTCCCGGGAAACGCCCAGGGCAACCCCAACGCTCCAAAACTTACACAGTCCCAATTTGCTCTGTTGCAGTATGAGCTGTTGCAAATGACGCTTTCAGACTTCATGAACCGCCGTGGTACACCCATCACGCAGCCTCCCATGGTAAACAACAAGAAGATCAACTTGCTCATACTCCACTTGTTGACGAGAAAAATCGGAGGCGCCCAGGTCGTGCTCAGACACCTCCAGACGTTGAACCAGCCTTCACCGCAAATCACCGACTGGACTAACTTGTGCAAAAAGTTGGGTCTACTTGAAGGCATCGATGTGCTGAGTAACCTAATGGCCAAGCAACAGATCGAAAAGCTGGTTGGTACCGTCTATTTGCAGTATATTCTTCCGTATGAGCAGCACGACCTGACAGAGGAAGGACGCAAGGAGCTCCAAGCCCGTCGTGTGCAATTCCAGAGACAGCTATACATGCGCTTCCAGCAACAGCAGCAACAACTTCAAAGACAGCAGGGTCAACAGCCCCAGAATCAGGCCGCCAACCAAAACCTACTGCAGAGACCTCAGCAGCTCCAGGAAGAGCAGATGAAGCAACAAGAGAGAAACCTGCCTAATGTTAATCAATTCCAGGGCCCACCTGCCCAATCTCCTCACACCGGGTCTATGCCCACCCCAGGTATTCCTCAATCCGGCAGAATCTCTCAGCCTGTGGATGTCACCCAGCCATCGCCCGGTCCTGGTGCTATGCTGAGAAAGCAGTCGCAAGTTGGCAGGTCGAATCAAGGCTCGCCTGCTGTTCTTCAATCTCCCTATCTTCAACAACAAGGCCTCTCTCGCTCTGGAAGTGTGACGCAGCGCCTGGCCTCAGCCCAGCTGAGATATGAAGCTTCTGGAACACCAAGAAGACTGGTGGTTGCTGAGCCAGCGCCTGAAGTCGTCAGCGGTGACCCCAACACTATCAAGAAATACGTTCCTGTCAAGGAAAGTACCGATACCTACGGAGCTGTCACTCTCAAGAGTGTGTCTGATATCTCAGCGGAGATAGAGCTTACAAAGCCGGTGTTCTTGTTTGCGCCAGAATTGGGCTCCTTGAATATCCACGCGCTTACAATGTCCCTCAAGAACTACTCGGTGACGAACCCAGGTGAGATTTACTCGGCGTTGAACACATTGCTTGTGACTACCACCGACGCTAACTGTCAATTCAAAGTCTCCGATAGCCCTGAGCTTCTAGATGCGTTGACTAGTGTGGGTCACAAGGTGTTGAGTCAGGTTACTAAGACGGCTGGAAAGCCCGAGATGTATGAGGATGTGAAGGCTCAGGCTAAAGGCCCAATAGACTCCATCTTTGAGAAGTACGTGAAAGCAGGCGAAATGCAGGGAGAGGATATTGTCTACAATGTCGATTCCTTGACTGCCGAGTTGGTGGAGGACGAGGACTCAGACATCGAGGTTGATGATGTCTTCTCTCCAGAGCAACATGAGTCAGAGCTGCCAGAAGTCACCAACGAGTCCACCGATTACAGTGACTTCAATGTCCCTGATTTCCTCACGGGTTTGCTCGCCTTCAGAGAAGAGAATAAGCACTACTTCAGCAAGATTCAAACAAAAAGTGCCACCGACGAACAGATTTTCCTCGTGGATTTGTTGATCACGGTGACAATGACCTTGAGAAACCTCTCCTTCACTGGTGACAGCAGAGCTCTCATGGCCTCAAACGCTTCATACCGTGAGTTGATCTTCAAAACAATCAAGGCTGTCTTTGTCCACCCAGACTATTTTGTTTTCCAAAGAAAGAGGTTCTGCTTGCTTAAAGACTCTCTTGTGATGTTGGACCAGATCGCATTCCACATGGAACTTGGCAACCTTGAAGAGGCATTTTTGACATTTTTGCTTGTCAGTGCCTTTGCGCCAAAGCTTAATGAATTTGAGGATCAGCCAGGCAAGAGTTGCTTGATTCCTGCTGCTCAGATCGATGTTCACACGTACTTGCCATATGGAGTTGACGCATTTGCTAAGCTCTTGGTCAGGGAACCAAAAAGCAGAGCTTATATTCAAGCCGTGTTGACTGGCTCCCTTAATGTGATCTCGTCGTCAGATCACCCCAGTGCTAGTTCAGTGGTTGTTACTCCTGAGGATCATCACGAAGCTAAGAAGATGGTCATGGCTTACTTCAAGGGCGATGAGCAAGCGCTCAAATCGGGAACGTTGATTACAAGGGCATTCAAACTTATGATGAGTATTGTGCCTTTCACAGTGAGCGGTATCGAATTCACCAGATTTGCTTTGCAGCGCTCTTCCACAACCTTACAAGCGCTTTTTGGCGCCAAACTTATCATTGATTTAATTCCGTCGGATGAAGTGAACTCACAACTCAACAGGCTCCCCCTTTGGTGGTTAGCCGACAACGTACAGCTGCTCATGTTTAATTTTACCAAAAACACTCTCTCGCTTATCACGGAATCGGTCAAGTTCCCGAGACAAACCCAAGAGCACAAAATTCTTTCATGCGTCGGAACTAGGTCCCTTAAGGTGGTGAACAGCCTTCTTGGGAATGCCGCAAATATCAAGAGAGCGTTAGACGATGGAGAGATTCAGGACGCTACGGAGAGGGAAAATATTGAGAATGCTTTGGTCAAGTTGAAGGCACTTTACAGGGTTCAACCAGAGAGTGAATTCGTTCTTAATACGCTTTTAGCAGCCTCGATCGATCCAGACGTTGCGCAGGAAGTGGTAAGACTTCATGGATTACTTGACCAATTCCAGTAAACAACCTATCAAGACATTATAGATAAGCGGCAACCCCCAAGCAATGATAAGCCAAATAAGGCTGTCAAAGAGGGCCGAGCGCACAACGGACTATCTTCAACGGAATAATTGATTTAGAGTTGCACCCGTACACCTACTATCAACGAAGGACTCTGCTGCTCAATATGGTAATGGCTCGCGGCGCCGATAAGAATGGCTGCAAATCCGACTAATATATATATACGCCCGCCCACGGGTCAGACCAATCTCCAACGTCTGAATTGATACATTCTCACAACATCAAAAATGGCTACAGCTCAAGTTTCCAAGCCTGCTCCTCCTCCTATGGACGATCCAAAGGAGTCTCTTTTGCCTGGTGAACACACTCTTCCTGCCTCTTGGTGGACCTCCGATAAGGTTTTTGAATTGGAGAAGAGAGCCATTTTCAACAAATCCTGGTTGTTCTGTATCCACGAATCCAGATTCAAGAAGCCTGGCGACTACTACACCTTCAACTTTACCGGCGTCAACTTTTTCATTATCAAGTCCAAGACCGACGGTAAAGTGAGAGCTTTCCACAATGTCTGCCGTCACCGTGCCTACCCAGTTGTTCAAAAGGGGAAGGGTTCTTCTACTGTTGTTGGTTGCAAATACCACGGCTGGTCATATAACTCTGATGGTCAATTGACTAAGGCTCCAAATTTCGACAATGTTGAGGGCTTTAAAAAGTCTGAAAACTCCTTGTTCCCCATCAAGACCCACGTCACTCCACAGGGCCTTGTTTTCGTGAACTTCTGCCAGGACCCTGAGCAGTTCATGGAATTTGAAGAATTCTTTGAGGGTGTCACCGAGGAGATGAACGAGTTCGATTTCACCGACTACGAATACCACATGTCCTACGAGTTGGACGGCGACTTCAACTGGAAAACCTTGATGGACGGCTACCAAGAATGCTACCACTGTCCTACTGCCCACCCAGGCTTGAACGCCGCCTTCAGAATGGAAACATATAAGGTTGTTCCAAAAAACAGATACTGCCGCCACTATGCCGAGATTGTCAGAAACGAGCCCAAACAAGAAAAGGCTCCTGAGAGCTCTGGCTGGTTTAACTTTGGAGGTAAGAAGGCTGCTCCCCCTAAAAAGGAAGAAAAGAAGAACGTTGGTGGTGAGTTCAACGGCTTGTGGGTGTACTTGTACCCATCCAACGGTATCAACTGCTACTCTCCAGCCTGGTACTCTATCCGTGTTCTTCCCATCAGTGCCACTCAAACGAAATTGCAGTACGACATCTACACCAAAAAAGGCCTTCCCGAGGACGAGAAGGTGCAGTTTGTGGACTTCTTGCAGTTGGTCGAATTGGAGGACTTCCAGTTGTGTCAATTGACGCAGAAGAACTTGAACCAGGGTATCTATTCCTCTGGTTTCTTGCACCCACAGAAAGAAAGAGGTGTGTTGCACTACCAGGGTCTCGTGAGAGACATGGTGAAGGACCACTTTGCTCTTGAAGAAAAGAGAGGCGGATTGGTGAACCCTGCATTTTTGGGCGGCTCCACCAATGAGAGCGTCAGAGAATTGGAGGCTCTTTGCAACAGGCTCGAGTGTGAGAGCGGCGGCAAGGAGGTCGAGTGGTGATGAAGTACGAAGGCGCAGGTTTGCTGGTTGGATCTGCCGAACAGGGAAATAGTTGTTTGTGTTTAGAATTGAATGATACTTGATGAAGATGGAGAGTAGGGCGTTTCGGTGTTGTATTGACTGAACAAAAATATAGGAGGAATGCGTGTTTTTACTATCGTTCTGTGGAAATCTCTAGATTCTGTGAACGCTTTGAATCAGCCAAAGATCGAAAACTTACTTCTAGATCTAGAATCACGCTGACACATCACTAAAGTCGGATATTTCTTTGGATGGATATGCGATTTTTATGCAATACAATAGTTCTAGTCAATTGAGAGCAACGTGCAGAAGTTAATCGAATTTCTTTCTATTCTACTAAGTTTTTCAGAACAGAGCTGCCTACTACCGTGGGTTTCAACTTTGCATACATCACACACCAAACGTCACAAAAATAAATGCCCTACCCAAAAATCAAAAACTTTCTCCACCCTCAAAATTCGAAGACCGTAAATATCCCTCAACCTTACAAAAACCCTCTTAAAAGAAAAAACAGAATTAACCAGCTCCCCTCCTTTGCATCCTCGTAAGCATCACCCTGAACCGCCCATTGTTGTCTGCACATTTGATTTGACACAATTGACACAGCGCAGTCGATCAGACAATCAACTAAAAAATTCAAGCCCCATACAAAAACCCCTTTGAACGTTTTTCTATAAAAATCCATCAATTCCCGCAACTTCCCGAGATCTCTGAATCGTGGGACCATATTTTTTCGCAGCCATTCCTACACGGTCTTCCGTGATGAGTAAGCGGATCCAGCGATATTTAGAATTTTTTTTAGCATGGTAAAGAATAAAATGATAGTTTTTTGAAAAAAAGGTTTTTCCCGGTAAAATCAGCCCTAAATCCGCCTTATCGGTTGCACCCGCCCTTGTGTCAATTATCACAGGCTCTGTTTGGTCGTGCGCGGTTCAAAATATGGGGGTCTGGAGTGACGTTTTGCCTCGGGTGTGGAGATCACCACCGAGGCGATTTTTCTATAAAAACCACCCAAGCTGTCTTTTTTTTTTTCTAGAATCGGTCAAAACCAAGATTTATTAAAAGTCAGCTAGCGTTCCGGAAACCCCCGCTGTATATTTATTTTCCAAACCGAAACATCTTTACTAATCAAGAATGTCCTTTTTCGGTGGAGCTGACTGTTCGGTCAACGGCAACGCTGTGGCCCAGCTCAACAAGCATACTCAACAAGACCGTTCTCTCCAGAGACAGACAAACCAACCTGGCCAGGTTTCGAACCAGGGTTTCAAAAATGACAAGATGATGAACCAGAGAGACTTGGAGCAGTTCATGGGAAGCGGATCGCCTTCGCCACTGCCTTTCCAGTTCCAGCCCATGCGTCACGAACTCAACCGAATCCAGAGTCTGCTGCAGCCCTCTGCGGCGGCAAACCAGCAAAACTGGCTCAACGAGTTCAACGCTCAAAGTCAGCCGGTTCAGCACCACAGCCAGTCTACAGGCACCGTCCCAGAACCTTGAACAACACACAGTGGGCTTCTGAATTCGGCCAGGCCCCTCAGGCTCAGCACCAGCAGAACCACATGCAGCAGAATAGAATGCCCATGATGAACTACAGACCCATGATGGGTATGGGCATGAACCTGATGGGTTCGAGTCTGATGCAACAGCAGCACCAGCAGCAACAGCCTCAGGCTGAAACCGCAGATGCTTCCGTGGACTGGGACAACCAGTTTAAGGAGATCGAGCAGCTCAGTGCTGATGCCTCGGCTGCTGAAGAAGTGGCTGCCGAGAAGGAGGATGTGGAGGCCGAGCCTGTGATTGACGACAAGTACCAGGCCACATTTCAGGAAGTGTGGGACCTGTTGAACCTGGACTCGATTGAGAACGACTTCATTTCCCAGCAATACGAGGAGTTCAAGAACTCCCAGGGCGAGACCTACCCTCCCAGTATGTCACAGTGGGAGAGAGACTTTGCCAAGTACGCCTCCACCAGAGCCCACTTTGGTGATTACAAGTTTGAGTCGAACGAGCAAAACCAGTTTTTGGACTTGCCGCAAACTGAGGATCCTTATCAGATTGGTCTCCAGTTGATGGAGAATGGCGCCAAGTTGTCCGAGGCTGCATTGGCCTTCGAGGCCGCCATCAGCCGTGACCTGAGCCACGTTCAGGCCTGGCTCAAGCTTGGTGAGGTGCAGACTCAGAACGAGAAGGAGGTGGCTGGCATCACCGCTCTCGAGAAGTGTCTCGAGTTGAACCCAGAAAACTCCGAGGCCTTGATGACCTTGGCCATCTCTTACATCAACGAAGGCTACGACAACGCCGCCTTTGCCACCTTGGAGCGTTGGATCGCTACCACATACCCCGACATTGCCGAACAGGCTCGCCAGGAGAACCCAACTATCTCCGACGAGGACAGATTCACCTTGCACAAGCGTGTGACTGAATTGTTCATCAAGGCTGCTCAGTTGTCGCCCGAACAGGCCAACATGAACGCTGATGTTCAGATGGGTCTTGGTGTGCTTTTCTATGCCAACGAGGACTTTGACAAGACCATCGACTGCTTCAAGGCGGCTCTTTCAATCAGACCAGACGACCCAGTCTTGTGGAACAGATTGGGAGCCTCTTTGGCTAACTCAAACCGCTCCGAGGAAGCTGTGAATGCATACTTCAAGGCTTTGGAGCTTAGACCCACGTTTGTGCGTGCTAGATACAACTTGGGTGTTTCGTGCATCAACATCAGCTGCTACAAGGAGGCAGCAGAGCACTTGCTCAGTGGTTTGGCGATGCACCAGGTGGAAGGACAGGAGTCGACGCTTAGTCACAACCAGTCGTCGTCGTTGATGGAGACGTTGAAAAGAGCGTTCATTGCCATGGACAGAAGAGATTTGGTTGAGCTCGTCAAGCCAGGTATGGACTTGGAACAGTTCAGGGCGAGTTCAGCTTCTAGTGAAGTAGGTAGTAAATAATGCATGATATCAGGATGGACTTGTAGGGTCGGTTGGAGGCTGCTCAGCATGGCTAAAGCAATTTCATTGCCGTAAGTTTATCACAAGATTCAATGTAACGCAGAAAAGGACGCCGATATTGAAAAGTTGTAATTAAATAAAATCCCGTGGAAAATGACTTCCAAAAACCTCTGATTTCATTTTCCAGAGGCGAGGTGCTCATGGGTTTTACTCATCTTTCGCAGCCTGGCCACGAGAGCTTACCAGTATCAAGCAATGGCATGGTACATAATAGAATTCGAATCACCAAGAAATAAGAAGACATTTCATTTGGGAAAAAAAATATTTCAATGTCTGGAATTTGAGTAGGTTGCCTAAATTCATAAATCGGGCATCAACGGCGATGATGTAATACCCTTACAGAATCCGATTCGTCAATCACCTAGCCACCTCTCTCCCATCAAAATACAAAAACCAAGTCTTCTCTTACTCATTGAAAATTCAATTCCAATATAAATGGCCATCACTGCCTTATTCAACCCACCATGGAAAACCCCCAGCACCATCCTGTGAATACCACCCCACATGGACCCACATGGCCTACGCAATCACCAAAATCCACAACGACACCTTTATCCTCTTCAAGTAATTCTTTTTTTATTATAATTTCCAAAACCTATCATCACTCCCTCCACCACCGCCCTCCCCTCTATCCAACGGTCTCATCGCTGACGCTCATCTGGCTGCGAAACGCCCAAGTCTCCAAAACCTCCCAAATCCACGCCAAAAACACCCCGTGAAAACCCCACCAAATCTGCCCAACCCAATTCCATTCCCCTCCGCCAATCAAATTCCCCTAAATTCCCCTGCCAACCCCCTTCCCACCATCTCTCCAAACCTCGATGACTCAGAGGCCGCGCATATCTTATCTATCTTGGCTGAAAAATACCCACAACTTCAACCACCATGACGTTTCCCGTGCTCCCACTAGCAGCCACGGCCGACGACGCTGCTGCGTTTGCGGTCACTGGAAAAACGCTTGTGCCGTTTTCCGCCGTGAAACCTGAAAAATACCTTCTTGCCCGTTTTCCTTCCTCGGTTACGGTGTCGGTGGATGCCTCCAATGACGCTGTTTCTGCCGACGAGGCGATTGCCTTGTTGAACGTGGGCATTTCGCAGATTTTCGTTGATTTCGACCGCTTTGCCGCCTTGGTCGCCGCCGGCGTGCCTCCAGCCCGTCTTGCGGTGGAATCGTCTGCTCCAGAGGTGCTCCAGCTGAAAGCTGCTCTCGTTGTCAAGGAGCCTTTGGACAAGGACACGCTTAAGAGTTTCAGCAACAGCGGCAACAGAGAGGTCTTCTACAGAGGCGCCGTGGACCAGAACAGCGCCCAGACCTTGGCCGCTCAGGGCTACACTTTGGTGCTTCCTACTTCTCAGTTGACGGTGGCCCCAGAAGACCCCGCCCAAATCTCCATTTCGTCCGTTTTTGTCGCCACCTTGACCACAGACAGACCCGACGGGCTCTACACTACGCTTGTCACGACCCCTGCGCCGCTGTATACGGCTTTGGGAGTGGTATACTCCTCTCAGGCTTCCATCAAGGCCGCTATAGCTGAGGGTCAGGGTGTATACCAGTCCAGAAAAAGACCAGACGAGTTGTGGTACAAGGGCAAGACGTCTGGCGCCACACAGAAGCTCGTCAAGTTGGAAAAAGACTGCGACAACGACGTGGTGAAGTTTGTGGTGGAGCCTAGATCGGGCTACGGTTTCTGCCACTTGGAAACCAACTACACATGTTTCCAGGACGGTGAGCTCCGGGAGCTGGCAGACTCGAGCGGTGTGGGTTTGGCCAAATTGGACGCCACTTTGGCCCAGAGAAAGGCCAATGCTCCTGAAGGCTCCTACACCAAGAGGCTCTTCAACGACGATAAGTTGTTGGTTGCCAAGATGAAGGAGGAGTTGGACGAGCTCATTGAGGCTGGCGAGAAGAAGGATAAGAACGAAGTGGCGTGGGAGGCTGCTGATTTGTTCTACTTCGCCATGACCTGGGCTGTCAAGCACGGTGTCTCTTTGGCTGAGATCGAGAGAAACTTGGACATCAAGCTGATGAAGGTGACGAGAAGAAAGGGCGACGCCAAGCCCCAGTATGTGGACGAGCCTGCGGCGAAGAAGAGAAGGACGGAAACGGAGGAGGAGGTGCCATCTTACAAAATGAACATCGTCAAGGCCTCCGAGGCCTCTTCTGAGGAAATCACCCAGGCTTTGACCAGACCCAACCAGAAGACGTCGGATATCATGAAGTTGGTGCTTCCGATCGTGGAAAACGTGCAGAAAAATGGCGACAAGGCCTTGGTGGAGCTCACGGCCAAATTCGACGGTGTGGAGTTGAAGGAGCCTGTTCTCAAGGCACCTTTCCCAGCAGAACTCATGGACATTTCTGCCGACATGAAGGAGGCCATCGACTTGTCGATGCTGAACATTGAAAAATTCCACAAGGCCCAGCTCCCCAAGGAAGAGGTCATGACCGTGGAAACCGCTCCTGGTGTGTACTGCTCTCGTTTTGCCAAACCCATTGAAAACGTCGGTTTGTACGTTCCTGGCGGTACCGCTGTGTTACCCTCTACGGCCATGATGTTGGGAACCCCCGCTAAAGTCGCCGGCTGCAAAAACATCATCCTTGCATCTCCTCCACTGCGTGCTACTGGAAAATTGACCCCAGAGGTCGTCTACGTTGCCCACAAGCTCGGTGCTTCTGCTATTGTCATGGCTGGAGGCGCCCAGGCCGTCACAGCATTGGCTTACGGTACGGAGTCCGTGGTGAAGTGTGACAAGATTTTGGGTCCAGGTAACCAGTTTGTCACTGCTGCCAAGATGCATGTTCAAAACGACACTCAGGCGCTTTGTTCGATCGACATGCCGGCTGGTCCGTCGGAGGTGCTTGTTATTGCTGACGAGCACGCCGATGCTGACTTTGTCGCTTCTGATTTGTTGTCCCAGGCTGAGCACGGTGTGGACTCTCAGGTGATTCTTCTTGGTGTTGGTTTGAGTGACGCTAAGCTCGCTTCTTTTGAAGAGGCTGTTGCCAGACAGGCGGAGGTGCTCCCCAGAAAGGAAATTGTGGCCAAGTGTTTGGCCCACTCCACCACTTTGCTAGTTGAGACTTATGAGGAGGCCTTCAGATTGAGCAACCAGTACGCACCAGAGCACTTGATTTTGCAGATCGAAAACCCAGAGTCTTTTGTTCCTGGCCAGATCGAAAACGCCGGTTCCGTGTTTGTCGGTGGGTTGTCGCCTGAATCCTGTGGTGACTACTCCAGTGGAACCAACCACACATTGCCCACATACGGTTACGCCAGACAGTACTCTGGAGTGAACACGGCGACATTCCAAAAATTCATCACGTCACAGAACGTCACCGAGGAGGGTTTGAAGAGCATAGGCAAGGCTGTGATGACGCTAGCTGCCGTGGAGGGCTTGGAGGCCCACAGAAACGCTGTTCAGGTGAGAATGGACAAGCTTGGCTTGCACTAGGATTGCGGTACATATTATGTGAATAGAAAAGTATCAGATTGAGTTAGGCGGGGTGTAGTGGGGAGGTGTTGGATAGGCTATGTGATGATCGATTGAGGAAGGGTGTTGGATACTTCAATGAAACGTTAGGCTGACGCTTTGCGGTGTCAATTAATAAAGAGATGAGAATCCATGAAGAGATCCAAAAGAAAAAGAGATGAATTAGACGAGTGAATGGAATCCAATTGAGGTGTCATTTGGATAGCAGAATTCAACCATGCCATTAAAGAACGACTACAATATAAACAAAAAGTCTGAGATGTCTTGATTATCAGTACCAGCTTATTCGCTTCTGTGCACCAAATTACTCTTTTCTGTTCAACTTTCATTTTTCATCAATATTTCATATCCAGCACTGAACTTCCATTTTTCATCAATATTTCATATCTAACACTGAACTTCCATTTTTCATCAATATCTCATATCTAACACTGAACTTTCATTACGAGTACACTCTCCACCTCCACTAACTCCTCATCCAAGATTGCTCACCTACAAGCCCCACTCTAGATTCCTTATATTGTCATAATGCTACAGACACACTGCCTCAGAGCTTGCCACGGTTCTTCTCCTTCTTCTCCGCCTCGTACACAGCATTCTCGTACCTGATGTACCCAACAAGACATGGCGAGTCAAGGTATGGGAGGATCTGGCACCCAAAGAAGCCTGCAAGGTCATTCTCAAAGTCAATCCAGAAGTACAAGCTCGCCAAGCCAGCCCAGTAGATCGAGCCCTTGGGCCGGCCAGTGGGCAAGTCATTCATGTTGTACGCTGTGCCTGTGAGGGTGAAGTTGTCTGGAACAAAGTCGGAGGGAGCCTCGCCGGTCATGGCTGTATCGAGCTCCACATGGACTCCTTCAGGTAAATGAGCCTTGATGGCGTATTCTACTGTCTCTTGCTTCAAGATCCGGGCACCGGTCTCCACACAGAGACCCTTGTTGAGCCAGATTCTCATGAATTGCAAGAAATCGCCCACAGTGCCAAAACAGCCCTGGCCACCCATGTCAATGCTGGGTTTATGAGGAACAGGCTTCTTCTTCAACACACGCAACGAGCCGTCGTCACGACGCATACTCACAGGAACCAAGGCGTCCTCGTTCTCGATACGGAAGGTGAACGAGGAGAGGCCCGCTGGGTCAAAGATGTTCTTCTGGAGGTAGTCAGAAAACTTCATTTTCGTAGCAGCCTCCACCACCAAACCCAACCAGTCCAGCGAATGACCATAGCGCCACAGCGTGCCTGGCTCAAACACCAAGGGCATCACGTCGGTGGAGAACATGCGTAACGAAGGAGTAGCGCCGGTGTGTTCTCTGTGCTTGTTCATGACAATGTTGAAGTAGTCCGGGTCGGTGAACATGTAGGCAAACCCCGCTGTGTGGAGAAGCAAGTGGCGGACGGTGACGTCGTTTTCGGGTTTCCTTGGTGGCGTCTTGAACTCGCCTGTTTCGTCGTCCACCTGGCCTGGATCTATGAGGCCGATTTCACCGATCATGGGGAGGTACTTTTTGGCTGGAGCGTCCAAATCAATGACCCCCTGCTCGTATAACTGTAACACAGCCATCGCCGTGATGGTCTTGGTGCAGCTGAAGAAAGCAAGTCTTGTGTCGGTGGTGACGGGGTCCAACTTATCGAACCGCTTGACGCCTTTTGCAGCAAGGTACTTTGTTTTTTTGGAATCCGTGTAGCCGGCAACAAGGCCGTTGATGTCCAGAAGCAGGTTTCCATCGTGGGGGAGCACGAGCTCCTCGAGGAGGTTGTCCACCTGGTTCATGAAGAAGAAGTAGTAGGTCGGAGGAATTCACACGTGAAAGGCCGATAAATCTGGGGTAGCCCAAAAAGACGGTGTCTGGGTGAAATAAGGAAGGGAGAGTTTTTGGGAAAACGGGTCCTCGGAATACGAACAATTGGTCGTTTTGAGGCGATTTCGGGAATTTTACGTGTTTTGGTAAAGTTGGTGTGATTTTTCAACTGAGCCAGTGTGGGGTTAGGCTGGATTTGGGCGCACGGTATGGGAGATAAGGTGGGCGGTTTTAAAACAGAACTAATTCCGAGGGCGAGAGGATAGAGATTTTTGCATTGTGTGGGAGGGCCTCTTTTGTGATTTGCTTAAGGTTTGAATCTCGGGGATTTCGTGGGTTTCGTAGTTTTCGGATTTTTCATTTTTTCACCGGCCCGGAAGACTGGCACTGAGGGGAGCATGAGATGCTGAAAAGTGCAGTGTGAAAATTGGAGGTGAAAGTCAATTGTGAATTTTGAAGGTATGGAAGGGTAGTTTTAAAATCCAGCAACTTCACGCTCCAAAAGGACGGTTACCTTATCGTACGTAATCTCCGGATGTGGATGTGCTTCCTCTTCCGCTTTGGGGAATGGTCTCACGACCGAGGGTGGCCAAGTTCATAAACTTGTTTCAATTTAGTACTGCTTTGTATTGCTGAGTAATAGGCGTTTTGCCAAATGGATGATGTGAGTGTTTTGAGTGGGCAGATGGTGGATATCAGGCTCATTACAGGAATCTAAGTAGGGGTAGTCACAAGGAACTGTCTTCTGCTTTTTAAACAATACTCGGAATTTTGAAATTGGCAAAAATAGCTTTCTTTAATTGGAAGAGTAGTGTCCTCGATCTCTCAATCCTGGGCTTGAAGGCATACCGACTGTTGCAGACTTCCATTAGTTAAGTTGTAAAAAGTAAAAAAAACGATACCACAAAAGCCTGGGGATAACGATTCATGTCATTTACAAATTACTGACTCATGGCAAGAAACTTCTTCATCCAAAGTTTCCCAATTTTGATGCTGATCTCGGCAGCCAGCTAGCCGAGTATCAATACGTATTCTCTATTTGCTACTGGAAATCTTGCTACTATCTTCTTAGTAATTTCTACGCTTCCGAGCTCCGCTTTGTCAATCCTCTCACATCAATAAGAACCTATTTCAAGAAAGCCCACTCCCATAATTTGAGGAAATCCATCAACTATGCCCCCAAAGGATGAAGCAGCATATCATCACTAACCTCACAATTCAAGTCGATGATTCAAAACCGTTGGCTTGCAAACCTTCTCTCGAGGCTTAGCCGAGACTAAATCAGAATCCAACACATTCATCGTTATGGGCGTTATGGAGCATGCTCTTCATTTGCAGTAACCACCAGCCGAAAGCATTTCTCCATTGGTCGACATCTGATCGTGCAGTGGCAACTGCAAGGAACAGCGCTGGATCTTTTTGTAACCTTATGCTCATGTGATTGGCGTACTTGAACATCGACCTTCAATTCCGAATTTTCACTCATTCAACGAAATAGAATAATTGTAGATGACAAGCCCGCTTTACACTAAATGCTTCTCGGATTAATCCTATAGCAGCATTTCCCAAAACTTCAGCGGACTCGAATTGGGCGATAGCCGAGGCGTCCGCTCAGCGGCTATACCGTCGATAAGGCGGTTTCATATCACGGATATGAGCTAGCGGCTGATTTCCGGTGAAAATTGAAAAACAAAAAATCATGAAAACGAGAAGTTCTCGTCAAATGCACCCCCGTCAAAGCGCAAAAGCTTATCGCTAGCGCAATGCATTGTGGTTCCACATATCACAATGGTAGTTACCCAAAACCGCCTGTGCCATGCTTAGCAGCTGCATCGTGTAGTCAAGAAGCAGGTCCAGACAGCCGACGAGATTGCTTCTTCCGGCGGAAATCGATAACGTCTTTATCAGTCGATGTTCTTCCCATATATATACTGATCAGCATCATCACCACAGAAGCTCAAGCATGATCGACTACTCCGTGGTGCCGGGCACCGGGTTCTTGGTCGACAGCCAAAAGGACAAAATCCACGAAGTCATCCTCATCCCCACGCCATCCGATGACCCTAACGATCCACTAAACTGGTCACCCAACAGAAAGAGACTCCACATGTTCTGCCTTGTCCTTTACACATTTGCCGTAGGAATCCCAGCAACGTGTATTTATTCCATATTGCCTGAGATCTCCAAAGGCACAGGCATCAGCTTGGGAGACCTCAATGCCGGCACTGGGTACTCGTTCTTGTTCATGGGTTTGGGCAATATCATATTTCAGCCTTTGGCTTTGCAAATTGGCAAACGGCCAACTTACCTTATTTCTTGCCTTGGTGGACCATTTTTCAATTTGTGGCAGCCCTACGTCACCTCCAACGGTGAGTGGATAGCGTCCAAGATTCTTTCTGGTCTCTTTAATTCACCCATTGAGGCCTTACCGGAACTTTCCATTTCCGAAGTTTATTTTGAGCACGAGAGAGCCACATACATGGGAATCTACGCCGTGGCGCTCTATGCCTCCAATTATATTGCACCTTTGGTGGCTGGTTTCATCAGCCAGAACCTGGCTGGTATTGCTGAAGGCGGATGGAGATGGGTCATTTTCTGGTCGATCATTTTCGCCAGTGTCAGCTTTGTTTTTCTTTTCTTCTTCATGGAGGAGACGACGTACGAAAGAAAGCTCAAGGTGGCCAAGGACGAGTCTGGAGAAACCTTGGCTGTGGTGACTTCTGGTGGTCAATGGGAGAAAACGAAGCCTGTGGTTACTGTGAACTCGCCTGTGGTTACTGTGAACTCCAAATCATCTCTGTCTGATAAAGAGCTTTTGCAAGCGGTTACAAATATCGGAAACCAGGCGGAATTGGTCTCGGTGGATAATGCTCCAGAGTATCAGCCCACGAAAACGTTTATCCAGAAACTCTCCCTCACACTGGGTATCACGAAAAAGTTCCTCATGTGGGAGTTCATCAAAACCACCATTTACATGTTCCGCTACCCCATTGTGCTTTGGTCAGGTTTTCTTTATGGCTCCACGCTTATTTGGTACACTGTGCTTAATGCAACTTCAGCTATGGTCCTCAGTGCTCCACCATACAACTTTTCCAGTGCCATGTGTGGATTGGCATATGCTTCTCCGTGTGTTTTCACAGTGCTTCTATACTTTTACGCCGGCTGGGTCGTCGACTGGTTGAAGGTGAAAATCGCCAGAAAAAGAGGCGGAATCTCTGAAGCTGAAGATCGTCTTTGGGCTTTGATTCTTTATATGATTTTGGGCCCTAGCTGCCTTATATTATGGGGAGTTGGCGCCTATCACGGCATCCACTGGTTTGGTGTTATTATAGGCTTTGGAGTCACAGCTGGTTTGTGTATCCTTGGTACTGTCAATGCCGTTACCTATGTTGTTGATTGTTATCATGAAGTTTCTGGTGAAGCAATTGCAGCGGTCGTGATTATCAGAAATTGTATGAGTTTTGCCGTCAGCTACGGTATTACGCCGTGGGTTGAAAACCAGGGGTTGCAAAACACCTTTATTGCTGCTGCTTTCATCTGCTTGTTCTGTATTGGAACATTCTTTGTCATGATGGCAACCGGCAAGTACTGGAGATCCAGAACGGGTTCTCTGTACTGGGCTTTGGTCGAAAAAAGGAGAGGTATGGGTATCTACCACTAGAGTATCAATAGAACGTATACCGTCCACAGTCCGTAGTATTAGCACTAAATCTTGGAGCCAGCCACAAAGTTGGTGCCCTGGGCTATCGACAGTTGCAAGCCGCCCAATGCCACCTTGACCAACTCCTTTTCGCCGTCGGTGACCTTGAACTTCAATGGGTCCTCGAAGGACAGAATCTCGCCAGCAAGCAAGTGCACAGGCACAGAGAAGAAGCTCACGTTGTTCAACTGGCTTTGCAAGTCGTCGCCGTCTCTCAAGCCTGGCAAGTATACGTAGGCCGAGTCGGGGACCTTGACGGAGAAGCCTGGGCCGGAGATAGAGTCCAAGATGGACTCGGCAAATCTGTAACCGGCGTAAGCCATCGACAACGTGGCCGAACCAGCACCGTTCTTGGCCTTCACAACCTCGTCACCACCAAACTGAACACGGTGAACGAACTCCTTGTATTGCAGAGCAGAGAGCTTGTCGACCTTGGCGCCAATGGCTGGGTCAATGTGGGTCAAGGGCACAATGGTGTCACCAGAGTGGCCACCAATGACGGAGATCTTGCCCTTCAATGACTCGGGCTTCTCGCCAATGAGGCCGCCCAAAAACGTTTCCGCTCTGACGGAGTCGAGCGTGGTGACACCGAAAAGCTTCTTGGGGTTGAACACGCCCAACTTCTTCAACACCTCGGCGGCAATTGGCACGGTGGCATTAACAGGGTTCGAAATGATCAAGATCGCAGCGTTGGGACACGTTCTGCCGATGTTGGCAACCAAATCTCTCACGATGGAGGCGTTGATGTTGAACAAGTCAGCTCTGGTCATGCCTGGCTTTCTGGGCACACCGGCGGGGATGACCACCACGTCAGAACCCTTCAAGGCTTCCACGACAGCAGTCTTGTCCTCCTTGTTAGCCGGCTGGTGGCCAGTAACAACCGCAGGGGTGTTGATATGGCTCAAGTCGGCAGCCACACCTCTGGCATTGACGATATCGTATAGCGACAACTCCGTCACACGGGTGTTCAATTTGAGCAAAAGGGAAAGAGGCTGGCCGATACCTCCGGCAGCACCACAAACGGTAACCTTAGTCATAATCTAGTAGGGATAGGTTGTCGAGGATTATCTGGGGTAGTAGGTCGTTATATAGTGTTCGCGGCCCGGGCTCGTCACATGGCCTGCACTCCCCTCACCTGGGACCGAGGAGCTGCCAGCCGTTCCTACGGGGCATACCATTAAAAGGAATGGTGTTAGAAAAGAAGAGGGATTTGAGGTTTTTAAAAAGTGCGAGATCCTTTGGTATTTATGGGTTTTTCAGGAAGGGGGTGTTGGATGTGGCTGCGAAAACGCTCCGGGAATCTAGGAAGGCAGGGTTCTATCAATATAAGAAAACGTGCAGTCCCTGGAGTTTCAATAAGCCAAAGAACAAGTTAATGTTTGCATCTTTTTTTTATTTTCTTTTTATTCCTTTGTTTCGGAAGGTCTCGATAAAGATCGGTGTAGAGAGGGGGTACATCATGGCGGAAAAATCGGGAGATTTAGCTTGACCTATAACGGTTATTGTGAGTGGGGTTGGAACCGAGCGGAATGGTCGAGTATGAAGTCAGGTTAACAAAGGTGAAGCATTGATTTTTGAACATTTTGTGAAAACGTCAATCCAATTTGTGAAAAGGTGAATACAATATTCTGTAGTCTAGTATTGGTAAGTGTGGTTCAGGTATTGCCGGGTGAAAAATTATGGCGGCGGGGTGAACAACTTACTGGACTGGCTTTTCGTGGAAGAGCGATGACGTCATGAATTGGATTCTCTCTATATAGACTTTTATTAAGACTCCAAAAAAACACAGGGTTGTTGAATCAGCTGAAGTGACGTTGATAATATGTATAACCTTAAAATTTGTATCGACTGGTAAACTGAGAAAGGTTCTCGTTCAGAGTAAGTTATCGCGAAAGGTCAATTTACACCCAATTCTTCTGTTCATAGAATTACAGACAGCTCAAGTTGGAAGTCGATTGGTTTGCAAGACTCGTCTTATCGCTAATGCTTCTTCAAATAGGCAAGCCTCTTCACATTGTCAAAAGGTCAAAATAGCGAGTTTGAACTTCCATCTTCGAGATCAAATCACACTTCTGAAAGGGTTGCTACCGAGTGAGAGGTCTGCTAAATCTATGACTTCCCCTAAAAATCCTTCAAATGAATTGACTATCCGGATCAATTGGCATGTCGTCACTTCCATTCAACAGCCCCATCTTGTCTGAACTTTTTTGAAATGTCTCTACTTTTACCTCAATTCGAATCTTCATCACTTTTTTGGCTCAAGATCAACCTGCAAAAGCCTCATAAGTGTGTTCTAATATTATGCCTATATCGGAGAGTAAGACACCGAGGCAGCCGCGTCTGTTCAGACGCGAACTTTTCCAAAGTGCCCCATCAATTTTCCGCCGCAATATATAAAGAGACAATTTTTTCTCATATACCCAAATAATACTATCCAAATAATACAAAATCCAATTTCAACCACCAAAAAATCTCTCCCCAGACTCCATACCCCAATCCCTCTCTGCCCTTGCACCTGCACGCACCGCATTGGGATTAATTACGCGCGTCGCGAGAAAAACGTTACTACCTTTCTTCAACCACATCCACTTTCTTTCAAAAACTCCTAAACCATGTCATCTCCGCCAGTGAGTCCTTCTATGGAAGACTCTTCGCCTCCAGCTCTGACGCCTGTGAGACCCTCCAATGGAGACTCCACCCAGGCCCTGGGCTCCTACCTGAATCTGGCTTCCCAAAACCAGCCGCTAGAGCTGGCTTCGTCGCCACTTTTCTACGACCATTCCTCCGATCCCAATCGCTCCTCGGACTCGAGAAAGGTCTCTTCCCCGCTTCCATACACCTCGTCTAGTCGTGGAGGTGCTCCTCTGAGTTCGAGAATTCGTTCAGATGCTCTTACTTCGGACGTTGACAGAATTGTGAGGAGGCCAATCAGATCCGACTTGTTCGGTGACGCCTCTCCTAGAAGAAGAATGTTTGACGGTGCTCAGCTCTCGAGTGAACGGAGTAATCAGCTCGGCTCGCAGGTGGGCTCGTCGCAATTGGGCTCGTCGCAATTGGGCTCTTCGCAGCCAAACCATGAAGATTCGGCTGAACCAGTCAGAGTTATTTGGGGTACAAACGTGTCGATCCAAGATTGCACCAACGCGTTCAGAGACTTCCTCATGCTGTTCAAGATGAAGTGCCGCAAGGTGGCTGACGGCGAGCCTGTTTACCCAGAGGACTCGGAGCTCTACTATGTGGGCCAGCTTAATAATATGAGAGACTTGGGCACCACCAATTTGAACTTGGATGCCGCTAACTTGAAAGCCTACAAAGGAACGAACAGGCTCTACTACCAGCTCATCAACTACCCCCAGGAAGTGATTCCAATCATGGACCAGACCGTCAAGGACTGCCTTGTTTCGCTTTTTCTGGACTCCTCTGCCGTGCCAACCTCCATTGACGATATCGAAACCAACATTTACACCATCAGACCGTACAACATCAATGCTGTTCCTCGTGGTATGCGTGAATTGAACCCAAATGATATCGACAAGTTGGTTAGCGTCAAGGGATTGGTGTTGCGGGCCAGTGCCATTATTCCCGACATGAAGGTCGCTTTTTTCAAGTGTAATGCTTGTGACCACACTATCGCCGTGGAAATCGACCGTGGTGTTATCTCCGAGCCTACAAAGTGTCCTAGACAGGTTTGTGGTCAGGTCAACTCCATGTCCCTCGTTCACAACCGTTCCTCCTTCGCTGATAAGCAGGTTATCAAATTGCAGGAGACTCCAGACTTGGTTCCAGACGGACAAACTCCACACTCCATCAATTTGTGTGTTTACGATGAGCTCGTGGACACATGTCGTGCTGGTGACCGTGTGGAAGTGTGTGGTATTTTCAGATCTTTGGCTGTTCGTGTCAATGCCCGTCAAAGAGCATTGAAGAACTTGTACAAGACATACTTGGATGTCGTCCACATCAAAAAGATCGACAACAAGAAGTTGGGCGTGGACCCTTCGACCATGCTGCAGAGAGCTACTGACACCAACGAGGTTGAACAGGTGAGGCATTTGAGTGCTGAGGACATCGACCGAGTGAAGGAGATTTCTCAAAGGGACGATTTGTACGAAGTGTTGGCCCGCTCTTTGGCTCCATCTATTTACGAGATGGACGATGTCAAAAAGGGTATCTTGCTTCAGCTTTTCGGTGGTGCCAATAAGACTTTCCAAAAGGGTGGTAGATACAGAGGTGATATCAACATTTTGCTTTGTGGTGATCCTTCCACATCCAAGTCCCAGCTCTTGCAATATGTACACAAGATCTCCCCAAGAGGTATCTACACCTCTGGTAAGGGTTCTTCTGCAGTCGGTTTGACAGCTTACATCACTAGAGACATTGATACTAAACAGCTCGTCTTGGAGTCTGGTGCTCTTGTGCTTTCTGATGGAGGTGTGTGTTGTATTGATGAGTTCGACAAGATGAGTGATGCCACCAGATCAGTGTTGCACGAAGTCATGGAGCAGCAGACTATCTCTATTGCCAAGGCTGGTATCATTACGACATTGAATGCCAGAACCTCGATCTTGGCTTCAGCTAACCCCATCAACTCTCGTTATGACCCTAACTTACCTGTCACCAGCAACATTGACTTGCCTCCTCCATTGTTGTCCCGTTTTGACCTTGTGTACTTGATTTTGGACAAGGTCGACGAGTCCATCGACAGACAATTGGCTCGTCACATCACCGACATGTATTTGGAAGATGTTCCAGAGACTGTGTCCGCCAAGACGGTGCTTCCTGTTGAAACCCTCAGTATCTACATTCAGTATGCTAAGGAGAACATCAACCCACAGATTACCAGCGAGAGTAAGGCCGAGTTGGTGAGAGCCTATGTCGATATGAGAAAGCTTGGTGATGATGCCCGCTCTTCTGAAAAGAGAATCACCGCTACCACCAGACAACTCGAGTCTATGGTGCGTTTGGCCGAGGCCCATGCTAAAATGAGATTGAGCCCTACCGTTGACCTCATTGACGTGAAGGAAGCTGTGCGTTTGATCAAGTCGGCCATCAAAGATTATGCCACGGATCCTATTACGGGCAGAATAGATATGGACATGGTGCAAACCGGCACAACGACCGCCCAGAGAAGAATGCAAGAGGACTTGGCTAACGAGGTGCTCGGCTTGCTTGACGACAGCAACAACCAGCAACTCCGGTTCACGGAGCTTGTGACCAAGCTTAATGAGAAGCTGAGTATCAGAATCGAGAACAGCGATCTCAACGAGTGTATCAGAAGGTTACAGCTGGAGGGCAAGGTTGTGGAGACTGGTGATGCGCAAAGAAGAAGTATCAGGAAGTTGGCAGTTGTCTAGAATGGGTTCATAATTAGTATTGGGTAATGTATTTGTATCAGAGTGGATTTGTAGACCTGGGAGGTTGATAAGTCTGAATGCTAAAAGGTCGAGCCTACAGTCAGCTCCATTCGTATCACGTTTACTTTGCTATATATCCTAACGGTCTGACCGTTACTCAAGTATCACTCACTCACCACCTCGATTATATGTACATGTGAGTCCATCAAAGGAACTTTGCCGATTGTGGTTTTTCTGCAACACCCTCACTTGGGATCTCCTGTCCCTCCTTCTTTTCCCCTGTTGACTCCTCCACTGGCTCATCGGCCATCCGAAGGATCTCCTCAAACTGCTCATCCATCTCCACATCAGTCACCGAATTGTACTTATGCCTCGTGATGGCGTTAGCAATCTTTAGCTCCTGAGCAACGTCAACAGGCTCTCTTCTGCGAACCTTCCCCGTGACATCCTCCAAGATTCTGAACTTCGCCTCGTAGGCACCTTTCAAGGCTTCAAGCTCCTTACGTCCTCTAGTGGCCTCAACCACCACAGAACCAAACACCAAAGTAAGAAATAGCGATTTGAACACCAGCGGCAGAAGCAGATCACGCCACGTGGGCCGTGCGCGTGGCTGCACTGTGGTATACGCCCTCCTGAACATTCCGATGTAAGAAGGTGTAGTAGGAATTAAAAGTGTTGATGTCGCGCTGAGGAATCAACACCTTACTTCACTTTAAAGTTCCCACTTTCCGCTTCCACCTCACTCCACCTTAGTTCATAATGAACCCGCCGAAAGTGGCGTCCATAGTCACCGTGGCCGTTTTGCTGCTTCTGCTTCTCAACGCCATGCTCAAGTACTATACCTACTTTCTGCTCATAGTGGCTGCTCATAAGGATGAGCCCACCCTGGACTCTGAGGTTCCTCACCCTCATGATCTATACGTGCCTTTTCTCACGTTTATTCCTACTCGTCTGCCCGTGGCGCTTCGGCCCTGGGTACTTCTTACAGCATCGTTCATTGAGGAAAGCTTCATAGGTCTTGCCTTGGCCGCAGCTTCTATATTCTATTTGGGCTGGTACTTGGAAGCCCGTTGGGGCGCTAGGGCATTTGCAAAGTTTGTTCTTATAGCTGTTCTTGCATGCAACATGGCCCTTTACTTCTGGTACGCCACCAAAAACGCTTTTGGCCAGCTGTCCTCGGTGCCTCCTGTGGTGTCTTCCACGACGCCAATTGTCATGGCCTGCTTGGTTGCCGTCAAGCAGAGAATTGCAAATCACTACATCATTTTATACAAAAACTTGTTGCGGATCAAGGTGACGTTCGTGCCTTTCAGCTGGTACGTTCTCTTGGTGTTGGCCGGTCTCATTTGGCCAGACTGGCATATCTTGCATTGTGAGGCATTGGCCGCCTTCGCCATCTCTTGGACTTACTTGCGCTTTTTCAAAGATGGCGCCAACGAACGCCAGTCCTACTTGATTCCGTTTTCTATAAAAACTCCGCATGTGGAGGCTCCCCTGGCCTCCCCAACCAACCTCAAGTTCGACGAGAACCTACCGAAGGGAGACAGATCCGACCTGTTTGCGCTCTCGACATTCTTCCCCAGCTACCTTGGTCTCTTGGTTAAAAAGCTCAGTGACACTGTGTTTAACTTTGCCGTGCGCCAGGGTTTGCTCAATGCCAAAGACTTTGTTGGTCACGACGAGGACGACGAGCCTCATGTCGGTGGTATGAACTCCAAGCTCTTTAGTTTATCCCGTCTCAAAGGCGCAGAGAATGTCGGTATGGTGCCTGCTGGTGACAGATTTAAAAGCTTCTTTGGCATGAATCCTCAGGACGAGTCCAGCGACAGCATCAAGTTGTCAATGGACAAGAGAAGAAAACTTGCCATTCGGCAATTGGAATAGTCGACCGCTGTTGGTGACATTTGCATTAGTTCTATAAGGAGCTCGAAGCTCGTTGTAAATACGGAAAAAACCTACTTCAGCTTTAGTTTGATGACCCCAAGGAGGCTTTCTGGCCTGTCGTACCACTCTTCGGTCAATTCTGACACTTCAAAGCACTCCGAAACGTTAGTCATAAGCTGCCTCACGTACTCCTTATCCTTGAGCTCTAGCCACTCTCTCATGGCCAAAAGATACCATGCTGCGCTTTTACGGAACCGCGTAAGCCCAACAAGAGCATTGGGCTTGTTTGCATAGAGCTTTTGCTCGTTGACATACAAGTCCTCCTCCGTGTCCTCCTTTTCGTCAGCTATTTCCTGTGTGTCCTCTTTCACCTCACGTTTGGGGAGAGTCTCATGCTTTTCACTTAAGAGCCATTTAAATTCGCCAGGAACTAAATGATTACGACTCGAGGAATAACCGAGTCTTTCGTAAAGCAAGGCCCTTATTACCTGAGGATTTTCCCCAGATGATGCAAGGTGAGAATCGATCTCGCCCATACACTTAAGATAGTAGTTCTCTATTAAGTCACCAAACCACCAGGGAATATTGAACATCATCCCCATGCTGAGAAGTAGTTCGGCAACCACCAAGTAGGCCCTGATGGCGTACGTTTTGACGTTGAGTCGTGACTTGAATGTATAGGAAAGATTGTCAATGTATGGCTCAATGATGTCATGACGGATTTTTCGTAAGGTATTCTTATCGGGTGCTTGTGGTGGAGTGTCTGAGGCAAGCGGCTGGGTCTGTGTCAATAGAAGCGAAATGATGCACATTCCTTGTGTGGATGCAACATAAACCCATGCCTTGTCGTTGATGTAGTCCTTCTTGATGAGGTCATATGTGGAATATGCGTACTTAAAGTCTTTGAGAATGAGTGACCAATCGGCAAGCTTTCTTATCGCTTGTTCGGAACTGGACCTGTGGTAATAGTTCTCTTTGTGATTGAACTGGCTCTTTTCGGTCTGATTGAGATCACTGGAGCTGTTGTTGTTAAATAGTTTTCGTGACACTGAGAAAAATCTGCCCGTAATGGACTTTTTAGGCGCCAATATCAGGTCGCCCCAAACACGGAGCTTAGCTTCCATGTGGGGAATCAAGTGACGGTTAATGAATTCATGGCATCGGCTCTTGAGCACTGTATCTAGGGCTTTTGGAAGCGTGAGGTGTGTGTCGCTATCTGTTAACTCCTTTGAATGCTGCAATTGAACGCTTTGAACCTCCTCCTCGATGGTGGCGCTCTCCAACTTAGAAATCTTCACATATGCCGTGTCGTTTGAGGCTACCATCAGAAGTGGCACTGCAGTTGACGAAACGGAAAGGTTCGTCTGAAGCTTGGTTTGGTATGCATTGACGTCCTGCTCCAGGACCATCTGGGAGTCGTACACCACAAAGATGTGAATCAAAAGGTCAGATATCTGAAAGTACTTTGGGAAATTGTAGTTGCGGAAGTCCACAATCAACTTTCTGATCGTGTCCAAGGTATCAGTGTGGTAATCAATAACGAAGATTTGAGACACTGGGTGATTCAATGTGTCAAACAGGACGATCTGGTTGGAAGAGATTACCATGCGGAAGAGCTCAAGGTAGAGCTTGTCATGCGGCCTTGCAGATATTGAAGTTGGCTGGTTCAGGTTCTTGAGTAGTAGCTCCAAGCTGGATATGCTGAATAGACTCTTGAGCTTCTCTGGAGACGAGCTAGCATCATGCACCATCATTAGTTCTGGAAGCGAGGGCTCAAACCGCACAGGAAACAGGCTATATGTTCTTGTTATCAATGAGGAGTTGGTGATCTTGAACCGCTGGTTTGGCACTGAGTACCTGGCATTATTGCCATATGGCTTGAATACCTGGAGAACCGATAACAGGTCATTGAGGCATTGTCGCTGGAAAAGCACATCTGCGTTGTGGGTGGATTGTACCGAGACAAGCGGCAGGAAATTATGCTGAAGTAAGAGCTGTCTGACCGTAGTGGGGTCAGTTCCAGCAGGAAATAGCATTGCTTTGGGAGGAATCCCAGAGAGCGGTTGATATACGGTTCGGCCTCCGTACACCACGAAGCCGGCGTCACCAAAAAAGGCAGGAAATAAGAGATTAGTGGTTTATTGGTTGTATGGTAAATTTTTTTCATAATTGTTGAAAGATGCTGCTAGAAAGTTGGATCTTGTGAGAGTTGTGGAAGTGTAGGTGGGTTGACTGGGTTGGGAGGAGGCTAGACTGGTGCACGGCTAATTCTACAAAGGTGTAAAGAAAAAAAAGGAGGGCACATTGCTGATCTTTAATCAAGCAAAAAACATCTTTTATTGTTCATTTCCGTAGAAGTCGAAATGGGTTCAGTTGCTGTGAGTCGGCTTCTTTGTTAGGTGGTCAATGGCTGCGAAAACCCCATAAACGAGGAAGTGACGAAAATCGGCACAATGGGCTCAATAGGGAATCTGTCGTATTTCATAGGTCAATTGACTAGTAAATACGCTGGATGATGGACTTTTGGGTGAATCGACTGGGTTTTGGATTTTTGGGAAGGTTCTTACTTTTTGTCACTTCAAGGTGTATACGCTACTGTATTGTAAAACCAAAACCTTATGGTGTAATTTGATTGTTCTTCAAACTGCTTTCTACCTCATACTCTGCTAAGAGCTAATAAGTAAGCTTTCAAACGCCTTTATCGACAGTATTTTGATAGATGGACAATTGGATGCGTCAATTCATACTGGTACCTTGATTCCAGAACACATCTCCAGCAACGGAGCGACTGTTCTCGAACATCCAAAGTTCCGAACGGCGAGCTTTTCGAAATTAGAGTAAATCCATTGATTTACCTTAGTTTTTCCTTATTTAGCTTCTACAGCCGTGTCAGTGTATCTATCCACCTCACTGCAATGTCACACCCACCGAACTCCACCCACCGAGACCGTAGATTCACATTCTTTACTTCTTTCCAACTTCGCCCCAAGGGTCCCGCCTTGAAGTTACCCAAGTATGTGCCGCAGCGTAGCTTCGTGTATCGGCGCTAAGCCAGAATGGTGGACCATTCCGTGCCGAAACCAGCCAATGCGGTGTCGTTTTCCAGCGAGACGGAAGGAAGGAGAATTTGAAGAGAATTTAAAGGGAAGAGAAAAACCGAAATTGTCGACCCGCCTTCAGTGCTTCACCTGAGAATCATTCGGACTCAGTCTAACATTTCGCAGCCACAGCCGCTCGCATTGAAATAGACCATACAGTTAGAGAGACCCCAAAGTGCTAAATGCACGGTCTAAAAGAAAAAGTAGGATTGACGTTATTCTTCTTCAAAATTGAAAAATAAGTTTTGGCACCCTTCAAAAAATCGAAAACCACCCTGTTGACCTCAGGAGAGGCTAAACCTCCGGGTGCACAATGGCACAATGCTTGGTACACGGCGCGGCCTTCCACATACATGAAACGGCACTTGCAGGAGCGCCCCGGCTGGACCTTATTCCTTGAAGGTTCACAAAATCCAATTGCTCAAACACATCATATAGTACAAGTTTTTTTTTTTCGATTTAATGTAACCTTCGAGGGCCTGGTTATACTGCTTAACGCTACTGGTAGTCGCCTCCTGCATACACCCACAGCACCTCGTGTATCGCTGCCTCGGCCTGCGGCATGTTTACATTTTCGCCCAAAATGGCGGACCTGATCCTCGTCAATTCCCACCAGCCGTTCATTGCAAAATTTTATTTTTCCTTTACAAGCCCTCCATTAGATACCTCAAAAAACCACCTGACAAAAAATTGAGGCATTCCTCACTGACACCGGCTGCGAAGCGTCGTAACCTACATATTTTTTCTCACCGCGACATCAGTGGTTTTTTTAGCATCAACATCTTTTCGCTCACAAGGAAGACCCCCCATTCTCTCGTTATGAAAATCCTACCGGTGCTTGTCTCCTTAGCCGCAGCGTTCGAGCTGATCTCCTTGCCAAATATCCACTTTCTGGACCTGGGCGGCGCCATCGGCTTCTTGGGCTCCTTTGACGCCTTGTCCTTCTACTCATACCAAAATGCCTCCTCCAATCTCCTTCCTTCCACAGGGCTGTCGTCCATATACCTTCGAAATATCACCGACAATGCAAATATGAAAATCGGCACCATCGACGGAGGCCTGGTGTCGGAAATTCTGCCTGTGGGGTCCGACAGCGTGCTCCTCACAGGCACATTCACGTCCTTTAATAACGAGTCATACACCCCTCCCATCATATACAACCTCACCAGCCGCGAGGTTTCCAGCATATTTTCTGAGTCCAACAACCAGAAACGAGACACTCTCGACAGCGGCTCCGTCAAGGTCACATATGTCGACAAGGACCTAATCTACATGGGCGGTGACTTTGAGTTCAACAACACCAGAGGCGCCGCTGTGTACGACACAGCCTCTAAAAAGCTCAAGCTGCTTCCATTCAAGGGATTCGGCAACGACTCGGTGGTCAACTCCATCAGCAAAATCGATGGCGAGTCAAAAGATGACGGCTCCATCATATTCGGCGGCTCCTTCGACACCTTGGGCCTCCCCGAACTATTAACACTTAATATGTCGACAAACAGCTCGCATTACAACCACTCTAATTCCACAAATGTGTCGCTAATATCAGCAGAGCAAAAAATCTCTCTAAAGCATGGTGAATTCACCTCCATCAACTCCGACAGTGATCCCAAAGGCATAATATGCCCGGACTCAGGCAGCAATTGGAGAGTACAGCCTAACAGCGGCGGCCAATGGTCTGTTCAACTACCGTCCGCCATGGCAGGCCTCAGTCCCACCAAGGTGAGGCTCTATTTACCTGATGATGGTGAGAACGGTATAAAGACGTTCCGTATCTACACGTATCCAAACAACGGTATCATGAACCTTACCTATGTCAACCCAGAGACCAACGAGCTAGCGTATTGCGACGCTTCTTGTCCCTTGCCCAAATCCAGCGACCTCCAGCTGCTTGTCGATGACAACAAGGACAATGGTGAGGACATGATGGATGATGATGACGACATCTTCGTGAATGAAGATGGTTCATTCTCCATGTATTATGACAGCTCCACAAAGGCCAAGAACCTTGGTTACGGAAGTAACTATATGGAGTTTGCCCTTGTGAATGATATTAGCATCGACAGAGTTGGCTTAACCGTCATTGACTGGTTTGGCAACTATGGTGAGCTTGCTGGGTTTGAGCTCTACACCAATGCTATCAGTGTTTACGGAAACGACACACTCAATGACTCTAACTGTGGTTCAGAAGAGCTGATGTCTCGTAACTCCGCTGAGATTCAGAGCGGAGACTGGCAGTCCGTACGCTCCTTAGTGGACTCCGTCACCGACACAGACTATCTCGTATCAGTTGGAAATGACAATGCCGGCATCACCCTTTACCCAAACATCTCGTATGATGGTGAATATTCGCTCCTTTTATATACCCCAGGATGCCAGGCTGACAACTCATGCGATAAGAGATCAATTGTTAATGTGACTGTCTTAGACACCGAACTGACTGCTTTGGAGAGCAAGTTGATTTATCAAAACAACTACAATGACAAATTTGACTACCTTTTCTTTGGTCACATGAATGGATCTTCTAATGACGATGGCAGAAACAGAATCAGCATCGAATTTCATGATGCTATCGATTCATCTGTCACAGACCCATGGATGGTTGTTGATCGCGCTGTGGCGAATATCGTTTCCCTCGATAGTTACAGTCAAAAGAATCACACAAACCGTACCTCTCTTGAGGAACGAAGAAAGCATGACCTCCAGCACATATACCTCAATGGTTTGTTTGAATACTCGTTGGCAAATTTCTCGCTGTTTTCAGAAGACCTTGTCTACTCTAAGCTGAACAATGAGACTATTATCAAGAGGACTAACCGTTTTGTGGGCAACTCATCGATAAATGAAATCAGCGGAAAGCTTGAGAAAAAGTCAACTGTGGACCAAATGCTTCTTCAGAGTTCTTCATTGCTCCTCCTTGGTGAATTCAGCTCAGACAATATCACACTCCCAAACGGCAACCTCTTGACTTTTGAGATTGACGAGTACAACCTGACTCTGAACCTGACTGAAGCAACTTTGAAAGACAAGAGGTTTGTTAAAAGGGATGACGAGACAATTTCAGGCGCAACCTTCAACTCGTCCATTTCAAAACTTGAGGACGTGGAAGGTGGATTCGTTGCACTTGGTGCTTTTTCAGCTGAGGCTGACGATGATGATTTCAAGAATCTTCTGGATGGTAACAGCTCCACATCGTCGTTCAATAATTTTGCCATTCGCTCTGGAAGCGATTGGCTATCTTTCGGCAACTCGTATATCGACGCGGAGTTTGATCAATTTGTCAATTTTACCTTCGACGGATCAGAACTCTTCGTATTCTCGGCGGATGAGAACAACTATCGAGTATGGGATACGACTGACAGCCGTTTCTTAGATAGAAATGACTTGAATGTCACGACGGCCGCAAGTCTTTCCCAAAAGGAGCAGCAAGTTTTCGGTGGAACTTTCTTCAACTTGATGGACTATTACGGTGCAAATGAGGCATTTGTTACAAACAATTCTCATGTGAACAGCTATGGACTCAATATCACTAGAGGAGAGATTTACAGATCATTTTACGCCAACTCCACTTTCAGTGTATTGGGTGGTAAATTTGATGTCAACAACACAAGAAGAAATATTGCATTCGTGAAAGATAACCAGACTTTTACAATTGATGACTCAAACTGGGGCGAGCAAACTCTGATTGACTATCTTTATGTGGATTCTGATGTCGATTATTTGTTTATTGGAACAAATGGAAGCGTTGAAGCTCAGGGTACCAACGCAACAGGTCTTGTGTTGCTCCATTTGGCAAACCAGTCATTCTCATCAGTTCAACCGGCCGATCTTTCAAGTAACCTGGGCCAAATCCAGGTCAATGCAATGGCCTTCTATGATGATGACGAAAAGTTACTCGTCGGCGGCCGCTTCGACAATGCTGGCTCATTGGAATGCGAAGCGGTTTGCCTTTACGATGTCGCAAACACACGTTGGGAGAGCCCATCGAGTGACGGAATTGCTGGTACTGTTACTGATGCGAAATTCTTCGACACTGATACGGTTCTTCTCAGTGGAAACCTCACGGTGAACGACACAAGTGTCACGTTTGCAATTTTCGATTTCTCATCTGGTCAATTCACTTCGGCGCCTTCAAATCTCGCAGACATTGGTGAATCTAATGACTATGTTCGCAAGTTCATCATCAATGAGCGAAGCAGCAAGAAGTTGGAGAGTAGGATGACCGCTTACGGTGACAACTTCTTGAAAGCATTCAACGGGTCTCTGTGGTCAGACATCACAAACGGTATCGACATCAATGATCAAACCAGCTTCACTGATATGAAGTTGCTCCTGCTCCTGTCCAAAAACAAATCCAGACTGCAAGCTTACTTTGACAACGACAAGATACTTCTTGTATCTGGCTTGTTCAACCTTACTGAGTACGGTCTCGTCAACGCTGCATTCTTTGATGGCAGCCTGTGGACTCCTTACGTTTACACACTGGTGCACGGAAATGAAGCAGGTGTAATTCAACTGTTGCTTGTCAAGGATACCTATTCATTCCGTTCCTCTAAAGACTTGAAGACGAGTTCCAAAAACCTTTCGAAGGGTCAAGTGGTTGGTGTGTCATTGGCGTGTGCTATTGGGTCCACCGCCCTTATAGGTTTACTCTACCTCATCCCAATGATGTATCTCTTCAAGAAGTCGGACAAGGAAGAGAGAATGAGTCAAAGAATCCATGAAGATGAAATGATGAACGTTGTGAATCCCGAGGAGTTATTCCACGAGATTGATTTACAAAGGAACAATTAATAGAGAGTCGCAAATACTATGCATTAATGAGCCGTATTGTGGTGTAGATTCGTCTGGTGCTTTTCACAGATAGAGCGGAATGCACTTTTATCGCCTCAATTTAAGTTGAGAACCCGCAATTTAACAAATATGAAAGAGGATCAAACATTGATAATTAGAGCTCCAGGGGCCGCCAATCAATTTCTGGAGAAGAGAGAGTTTTATATAACTAAAGTTTATACAGGTATCATGTAAAATGTCTAACAAATCGCAAGAAAAGTGTTCACTTTTAACTGCATATATTGAGTGCACTCTATATGTATACTATACGATGCGGTGGCTCAATGGCAGAGCTTTTGATTCCAAATCAAAGGGTTGCAGGTTCGATTCCTGTCCGTGTCATTTTTTTTTTTTGGATGTTGATTTCACTTTCGTATTCGAGTTCTCTTATTTTATACATCAGACCATTCAAGCGTCTTCGTTCTATCCCTTTAGTTGCGCTATATAGAAATAAGTTAATCTTCCGCTCTGCGCGAGGACCGGTCTTCGTCAGATTGGTCGTCGATGTCAAAGAGCCTCTCATCCGCTTCGACATCTTCATCCGCTGGAGGCTCATCAGCGTAATCAGTGAACTCCTCAGGGTCTTCCTGGACGTCAAAGTTCACATCATCCGCATTCTCCAACTCATCTTCGTAGCTATTATCAAAGTTACCAAACAATTCATCTTCATCATCAGGAACACGGACATAACTTCGGCGACCTGGACGGCGACCGAAAAGTGCCAGCGAGATTCTCTCGAACATAGCTTTGTCGATCTTTCTGATAGTTTTGAGTGCAGCCACCGTACCGGCGACAGCTACTATTCCTCCTTTGACAATTTTGTTGACAACGACATCAACAGCGTTGTCTTCGATGGGTTGGAAATCATCATCGTCATCTAGTCTGATTTGACCGAGCCTCTCAAAACCACCGTTACGACGGATTCCTCTCTCGTAAACAAACCATGAGGCAAATAGGAAGGCAGCGATAAAGATGACGATGGGAGCGAAGATTACTCCCAAAATTCTTCCACCACCGAGACCGATGCCATAATACCTGTTATATTCCTCCTCGTGACCAGGACATGGGCTAGTATCAAGCGAGTCGAAACCTTTTCCACCAACGCACAGAGAGAGCGGAATCTTCCTGTAACCTGTGGGCTCGAAATACTGGAAACCGCCTTCTTTCTCACACATCTCTTTCATTCTGTCAGCAGGAGACAAGCCGTCAACTAACTTGCATGTGCCGTCACTGTCTCTGTAATAATTGTAGTCACACTCGTAATCGGCCCTAGTGCACTTACAATTTCTGAGCAGTTTCACACCATCCTTCAAAGGTGCCGCACCAATGAAGCAATCCGTAGTAGTCTTTTTACGACGCAAGTACTTCACTTCACGTCCGAAGAAGCAGTTGTCCTTGGACGAAGGACGTTTTGGACCCCAAAACTCGAAATCACCTTTATCTGGATTATCCAAATCGAGCTCGCATTGTCTGTTGAAATACTTGGTGAAGTCGATCGAAAAGGAGTAGGTCGTATGGAGATCCCTCTTTTCACTTGCAAAGATGACAAATTTAAGCGCTGTGTCACTTTGAACAGTCGCCAAGTCGAGCACAACGACGTTCTTATCGGTGAACTTGAATTCTTGCCACGTTTCTCCGCTATCAGTGGAATAGGTAAGAGTGTTTGTTTCCTTCAATTGGTCAACTAGAAGCAAAACAGTTCCTTGATCTCCAAATTCCCACATGTGCTGACCCTTCACAACTTCCTTCCAAGTGAGGCCGGCATCATACGACATAAAAGTAGCGAGATCGTTTTCTCCCAAGTACTCTCCCACATTACCGACGCCAAAGAGAACTCCGACAGCCGAAGAAGAGCCATAGGTGTCAGTAAAATCAGGTCGTTCCGTAAAGCTCTGCAAGTGTAACGAACACTTCTCAATCTTCAGACCCGAACATTTGTACTTCTGTCCCGCACTATCGACATTAGGTGGGGCCAAGTAGTACCACTGACTACCATCGTTGAAGGAGATGTTAGTCTTGAGTTTTTTCTTCTCATCCTTTCCAGGATTGCTGACAGTGTTGGCAATGATAATTCCTTCTAAGGCTTGAAGTCTATCATAGTCAACAAAACCAAATTTGCCTCTGTTAACGTTTTCTAAGGAAAGAATGTATGATGTTCCATTAGAATTGGATTTAAGAATAGAACCCACTTCCCTATCATTCCTATCATCTGTAGTAACGTGCATGAAGATTGATTCGTCAGCAGAATCTAGGATATTGTAGGCAGTTTGGGCTTCCACCTTGAAATCTTTGGGGAACAAGGAGTCAGCGAATGTAGAGCCGTCCATAGTGACTTTGGCACGCATTTCCTTCATATCGTCGAGGATTGTAGCAACGATCAAGTAGTTCTTTTTGAGGGCATAAGAAGCAACATTATCGAATAATACTTTTGAGTCCTGGAAGAATGTCGTCGAGCTAAGAAGTTGGGATTTCTCTCCTGATGTGAGACAGTAGATCAAGTTTTCATCCGTAGCATTATTCAATGAGACATAATCGCAAAACTTTACTCCACTCTTGAGTTTACGGAAAGTGTCACCCGTGTCCTTGGTATAATATGCTGTTATCTCACAGCTGGGGTTTCCTTGTGGATCACAACCATCGGTGCCGTACCATATGAACTGTGAGGAGTCTTCGGGATGGAAGGATGGACGGAAACCACGTGTGGGGACGAGTCTGCTTGGGGCCTCAAGCTTTTTGAAAGAATTTCCACCATCAAGGGATAAGTAGAAAATATCGTTGTTGGTCACCAAGAGAGCAGTGCCCGGAACGCTTCCAGTTGTGAATGAGATGATCTTTTCATAGGCGGGAACTTTAGTGTATGTTTTGCCACCATTATTGGAGGCATAAATAACATCATTCGACGTTCTGACAAGAAGATTTTCACGAGTTTCATCTTCGGTCTTGACGTAGGCGTATTGCTCGAGACGACCTTCAAAGTCATTTGGTATACTTTCCAATTTCTTTTCCAGTGGCTTATCCACATCCACGTAGTCCTTGCACTTGAATTCTTCTTCTGAAATAAATTTCTGATTGCCAGGTTTACAAAGATTTCCGGCCATGAGTTGCTTATCGGGAAGCTTCACCGTCTTTGACTTCTTACCAGAACATGCCTCCTTGATTTTCACATCATTTGGAACGCACGCACCTTTCGATGAAAGCTGGAAATATTTCGAGCATTCGAAGTCAGCATCAGTGCACTCGCATGGCTCTTCCTTGACCTTTATATCTTCGAATAACTTGCTGACATAACATTTGGCTTCAGGCTTTCTCCTCATAATGCTCTCTTTGTGGCCGTAAACACACAAAGGATTATCATCGACGACACGAGCGTACACTTGCTCAAGGTCTTTCTCCTTACATTTTTTACCGCCGTAAACATCAGAAAGATCAAGCAGATAGAAAACTTCTTCATCCTCATTTCCATTCTTTGGTCCAGTAACAAGGAATTTTCTGCTCAGACCATCAACAGTCGTGATGAGGAATTGTGGCCAGATAGTTGTGTCAAAATTCTTTTCTTCCCATGTGAGACCTTGATCAATTGAGTAATAGTATCTCTTTGTACCAGGCTGAGTAGGGTCCTTCTTGTTCAAAAGCGGTACAGCTATAATGACATTACCCTGATCACCGAAAGAGAACAAACAACCGACGTCAAGAGCTTTCTTCCAGGAGACACCTCCGTCCCTTGAAATGTACGTCTTTACTTCCAGGAAATCAGGCGAAATCTCACCAGCATTTCCAATTCCGAGTACTATGTTAGCCGTTGGCCCAGTAGTACTATAACCCTCACCATCAAATGTCGTAGTATCGAACAAATTTAAGGAACATCCTTTCTCGATCTTACAGCTCTCATCATCAAGAACTCTCAATGGCTCCCACTCCTTACCATCATTGAGCGTAATTTTACTCGAAATGGTATAAGGGGGCATGCCTGGAGGACCAGGAAAGAGGCCCTGGTCCGGTGAGTCGACCCTTCTGAGTTCGGCAGAGAAGTACATACCGTCAAAGTTCTCTATCTTCACCGGACTTGTGAAACTGACCTTATCCGCGATCTGCTCGAAGTTAATACCTTGAGAATCTGATCTGAAGACGGTATTGTGAGGAATTGCTATATCGTTCATCAGCATCACCAGCACAAAAAGGGCCAGCTTAGACGAAGGCAAAAACTTGATAGCACCTCTATTTGTTTCAAAATTGAAATTGGACTTATCGAAAGTTTCACCATCCTTAGACACGTAGAGCGTAACCTGGGCCGAGGGCTTATACATGTCTTGCAGCACTGTGACGACCATGAAGGAAGAGTCGATACGGACATCAAGAATACGACCTCTTTGAAACCCTGAATCATCCAAGATTTGCTCGGACGACTTGAAAAAGTCCTTACTCTTGACGATGCTGGATTTCATCACATGCCCAAAAGAGTTGTGAGTGTTGGTGGCACATATGATGGTTTTCAGGTCACCTTTAAAGTCAAAGTCCTTGTTCTGTTTAGCGAAAGTACACAGATCAGATTCTATTGGAAGTCTCTGGATCAGCTTGAGCCCGTTGGCGGAGTAGAAGAAGACTCTCTTGCATTGGTGATGCTTTTTTGAGCAGTCGGTCACCTCAAATAACACCAAGTTCTTGTCATCGATGTTGAAATGCACAATTGGCTCTCGCATCAATTCAATTGCGTGCCCTTCTGTCTTGAACTCGAACAGCTTCCACGTCTTTCCTTTATCATTGGTGTAGAACTGTTTCGTAGTTCCCGAAAAGGCAAGGGCCCTATCTTTGAAATTTGGATCAGCGTGGAACTTCTTGGTTTCCACATCACTTAGCTGTTTCCATTTGACGCCGTCGTCATACGAACCCCAGATACCGTCGCCTCTGGCAGCCACTATGTGGGACGAATCGTCAAAATAAAGCATGTCTCTTGTGAAGCCCTTGAAGGTACTTTTGGCGACCTTCGGCTCATATGAAGCCACTAGGCTCGCTGTTGCTAACCAGAGCAACAAAAAGAACTGCATGACACTGAACAGTAGAGTAGTATCTGAGTTGGTGATAGTAGTGCTTGGGGTATACAGGACCGGCGCAGTGGACAGATAGGAGAGGATTAGTAGCCATTGGTGTTTTTGTGGTATTTTTGGGAAGGAAGGGATTTAGTGCTTTTAGTTTGTCGAATTTACACAAGTCAATTTTAAAAGGCAAAATTTAGTTGATATTTTGTTGCAGGCTTATTGGTCCCGTGGGGTGAGACTCAGTGAGGAATACAGATAAGGATAACAGGTGGCAAGGACCTCTACAATAGCCATTGGGACGGTAGATTGAAATGACTGTTTTTTTAGTATTGAATAGTTTTGGACCCGGTAAATGGCGAAGGGAGAGAGATCGGAGATTTCGGGTTCTTGATCACTCTAAGCCGTACAAGGCGTATGCGCCTATCTTATGGGCCAGATATTACTCAATCGTCCGCTTTGAATACTGTGATTTTGCTTACTCACAGCTTTCTTGGGAATAATGCCTTGTCGCTTACATTTGCAGATGTATCAACCTATCTGCCTTGCGGTGAGACTGGACCAAATCTCGATATAAGTCAGAGAAGCTAGTGCGCTGCTCCGTCGATCAAGTTTTGCTTTCTGAAGCATTAAATACTCAGAATTCACTTGGTCCACTAGTGTGTGGGCCACGTGGGGGCCTTCAGCCCTCCCATTTCAACTGAGTTCTTGAGCTATCATGGCCCAGCATCACCAGTCCTCTCTTTCCAACGATGAGGATGACGAGTTAATTCTCTTTTATCTGTCTGTTAGCACCACACCCTTTCATTTCAAGCACTATTCAACGTCTAGCGCTAGCTAAGTTGCGCTAATCAAGTGAATCACAAGTCAGCTAAGTCGGAGGTCACAAGCTGGCCAAGGTACGGGCTCGAGTTCTTGACCTTAATAGAAGCATTGGCATCGTATTCCAGCCCGAGGTGATCGCTGAGTGCAAAGTTGAAGCTGGCCAAACTGGTGACAAACACATCCTTGTCTTCAGGCACGATTCTGATCACAGCGTCGAGCGCCGGCGGTTTCTGCTGTTTAGCTAGAATGTCGTAATGTCTAGCTTCGCCAACAATGCCGTATAGTTCCGCTAGAGCTTTGTTTATGAGGGTTCGCCATGTGAGGAGGTCGATATTGAGCTCGTTGTAAAGCTGGGGTCTGGTTTGTTCAAGCGCCGGATCGCATGTTCTGGAGTTAGCATTATGTTCAACAACTAGCTTGAAGCTATTTTCACATACACTGAGAGATGGAGGTACTCCCACTGTGGGGGAATTTCGGAAGCCATGGAGGTGGTTTTGGTGAGTGCAGGAGATGAGTATGGGGTAACTGGGTCAGAGATTGACCAAAGTGGCATGATGTGATTTTGACAGTTTAGAGGGATTTTGGAGTGTAGCGGTTGTTAAGGGCATGAAATGATTGTAATGGAAGTATTTTGATTGTATTTGTGAGTGGTTGGTGGTAGGGTGTGGTTGACCTAATGGGTGCAAAATGCGGACCTAGTGGTCGATCTAATAGGTACCTTCGGAAGAACATTTATGCCCATGGACAAAATAAGTTCTGCTTGATTTGTATACATATATGAGATAATTGAAGAGTTGGTTTCACCTAAATGGCACTCAGTTCTCTGGTACCTTCTCATGGGTTAAAGACCGCCTACAAACCAAGAGGGTCCCGAGACAAGATGATCAGTTTCTCTTTATAATAAAATTGACCCATTATCTCTTAGATCTAGCTTCAACCATTGCTTTCCTGCCCAATCCTTAAAATCCATTTATTCAGTATACCCTATGTTCTTTCCAGCCTCAATATTCACTGAATCACTGAGGCGGAAGCTGGAATTGAATGCTATCACTGGAGGACTCCGATACCATATCAGCAGAAGACTGCTCCTTTGACGAACCAGCCGGCGGTTTCCTCATGTAGGGCTCAAAAAATTCCGTGTATTTGTATTGGTAGTTGGAGTCTCCAGGAAGCGGTGAGGGTGATTTTCTTTCATAACCCCTGTATCGATTTCTCTCTTCAATTGGAAACGGAAGAGGCACAGAACCTTTCGGAAGACGCTGTCCGGGCTTCAATCTGATTATTCTTGATCCTGGAGGAAACAAATCCGGGTACATATAGTGTGGGTTACAATGAGAAGACGGATGGAAGTAACTCAAAAAAGGGCTTTCATCGACGGGAACCTTGTACTCATGACGAAGTAGTTTTAGTTCGACAGCTGTGTACGTGATTTTGGTGTTCATGATGAAGAAACACAGAAATGGGTGCAAACGGAAATGGGTGCAAAAAAGAGGCCAAATCGAAAAAATAACGACAACTGCAGGATTCGAACCTGCGCGGGCAAAACCCAAAAGATTTCAAGTCTTTCTCCTTAACCGCTCGGACAAGTTGTCGTCCTTACTGGGAGAAGTTGCCAATTAGTATAAGTTCATTGAAGTTTCAGCATTTTTGAATTTGGTGATTAAAGTCTGTCAATCAATAATTTGGAATATAACATGTTGATCTGCAGATTTTAAGCTTCTTAGGGCCTCTGTGGGCCTCAAAAATGCGATTTTCAGTCGCGCAAGGAAAAAAAGCTATCATTGAAAGAGTATTGTGAACCTACTACTCTTCTTTTCAGCTCTCTATGTGTCTAGTGATGGAGAGGTTTGACAATCTGCTTTCCTAAAACTCGGTTCTGGAGCAGATGGGGAAGTCTAAGTGACATGCCCACTGTTCAAGGTGAATTGCTAAGAAGTCTGAACAGAATGGCAACACTTTTCAAGCTGAAGACATACAATCTACGACTTCCATCAAATCGGTTGAGCTGCAAGTTGAAAGTAGGCAGATTCTATATCACCCGCTACCAGAGGAGATGCTGTGTCCAAGAAACAAAGTTTCTCGTACTCAGAGAGACATGGCTAAGCAAAGTTTTCTAGAAGATAGGAAGATGTGAATTAACTTGTCGCTTCCGATTTTAGTGGTCTCCATGCGCTACCTTGAAAGTGCCCGCAGTGGTACGAATGCATTTTGCAGCCATTCGCCATGTCTCACACTTCCAAGGAAGATCCACGAAAACCACAAAAACTGAAAGCGGACTTATCAATCACCAGATTCCCAAAGACTGATCAGAAAATCAGAGAACCTCTTCTTCTCCATTGATCAACCCACCCATCGCCTTATCAACATCGCGCGCTCATTCATCTCTACTACAATCAGATCCACAGATGAGTACATGGCAAGAGGCCCAGGACGACCAGGGCCGAACGTACTACTACAATGTTACCACTCACGAGACCTCCTGGGAAAAGCCTGCTGAACCCCTGAGCCTGGGATCGTGGAAAGCCTATAAAACAGAGGATGGAAGAGACTACTACCATAATGAGGAAACTGGGGAAACGACCTGGGAACGGCCCAGTGGGTTTGGCGAGCAGGGGGATGTCAATATGGAAGAGGAAGAGGAGAAACCACCGCAGGAAGAAGAGCTTTCGGAGTTAGATAAGGAATTGCAAACACAGAAGGTGGACTCTGGCGATTTGGAGAAGTACAAGGATGTGCTGGAAGAGGAAGCTCAGGAACTTTACTTTGGCATGTTGAAAGAGAATAATGTCGATTCCACGTGGTCGTTCGAGAAGGTGATTCTGACGTTTGTGAAGAATCCAGCCTACTGGGCTGTCCGAGACCCTCTGAAGAGGAAGCAATTGTACGACGAGTTTCTCGTGAACAAGCTACAGCTCGAAGCTCAAAACAAAACGCAGGCTATAGAAAATGCCAAAAGCAACTTCACGCTGGTTTTGGTGGAGTACCGTGACCAGGGCAAGCTTCATAAACACTCTAGGTGGGTCACATTGAAGGACACATTGATCAAGGAGGAGAATCCGATATTCAAACACTCTGTGCTTGGAGATGGCCAGCTAAGGTCCATTTTCAACGATTTCGTGAAAGAGCTCGCAGAGGAGGAGGAGCTGAAGCTTGAAAAGAGAAAGAGCGAAGCATTGGCTGAACTAGAAACGTACCTTAACCAAGTGGTCCAGAGTCTCGATACGAGTACACTCACATGGGAAAAGCTCAATTCCATGCTACAAAATGACTCTCGTTTCAAAGCCAACAAGCACTTTGCAGTTCTAGATCAACTCGACATTCTCGAACTATACATGGCCAAAGTGTATCCAAAAATCGAGAACGACATCAAGACGCAAATCACCAAGGCAGAAAAAGCCAACTACAGAGCTGACCGTAAGGCTCGTGAGGCGTTCAAGAAGCTTTTGGTTAAACAGGTCAAAATCAATGCAGGCACCTTGTTCAAAGATGTGCTACCGCAGTTCGAGGATGAGGACGCTTTCATAGAACTCTGTGGCCGTAACGGATCCACACCACTTGAACTTTTCTGGGACATTGTGGACGAAAAGAGTCAGGATTTGAAGGTGAAGAAGGATCTCGTGGAAGCGGTTTTGCGTGAATCCAAGATTGACTATGACGAAGTTCTCAGTTCGAAGGAGACATTTGTTGATACGCTTACAAATATCAAAGACGACCGTCTTTCTGCCTTTGATTTGACTGATGTGCTGGAGGACGGTGAGGTGCTGGTAATCTATAGCCAGCTTGTGCACGCTCAAACCATCCTAGCTCAAAAAGCGAGAACGGAATTCGAAAAACTGATAGCAAACAGAGCCCACGACTTGGCTAATTGGCTACAACAGAATCTCGCGGATATCAGCATACTAGTGGTTGCAGAGGAGGAAGTGGACGAGGACAAGACGATCATTTACAAAAAGGGCGACAAATACAGTCTAAAGAAGCATCTCGATGACTTGCAGCAATGGTCAGACGAGCTAAGTAAAACCCCCGTTTTTCAAAAAGCAGAGTCAACCGCATCAAAGGTCTACAAGAACCACCCAGCCAAGAAAGCGGCACTCCTCGGTAAGTTGGTGAAAGAGAGCATCACTGACCTCGTGGCCAAACTCAACCAAAAGCTGGACAGAAAGAGGCCTGCACCAGAACCAGAAAGTGATGCGAAAAAACAGCGACCGGAAGAAAAAAAACCTGTTTTCATCAATTATTAACCCGGTCTTGTCTTCTTCCCACGATAGTAGTGCACATAACCGCTCACTATCAAGACAAGTTCTCCGTTGTATCGCTGTTCTCAAGCACCACCCAAAATGGTATGTCAATTGAAACACATTGATTCGATATGTTACTAACGCCAGTCTCAATCGTTGAAACCTTACTTGACTGCGGTGAGAACATCGTTGACTGCAGCGATCTGTTTGGAGGATTTTTCCTCTCAGCTCGTTGAGAGACACAACCGTCCGGAAATTGAGGTCGACAACAGCCACAACCCAGAGCTCATTCTTAATCCCGTGACGATTTGCAGAAACGAGAACGAGAAGATCTTGATTGAGCCTTCCATCAACTCTGTGAGAGTGTCCATCAAAATTAAGCAAGCAGATGAGATTGAGCAGATCTTGGTGCACCAGTTCACCCGTTTCTTGACACAGAGAGCCGAGAACTTCTTCATCTTGAGGCGAGTGCCTATCAAGGGTTACGACATCTCGTTTTTGATCACAAACTTCCACACTGAACAGATGTTGAAGGACAAGTTGGTGGACTTCATCATTGAGTTCATGGAGGAGGTTGACAAGGAGATCAGTGAAATGAAGTTGTTCTTGAACGCTCGTGCCAGAGTCATTGCCGAAAGCTATTTGACTCCCTTTGACTAGAAAAGTAAGGTTTTGAAAACCTCTATAATAACGAAGACATAGTACGAAATAACGTGTAGTAATACATAGTAGAGCAGGAAGTGAAGGAGGGATGCAGAGAAGCCGTCGGGTAGGGGATCCACAAGATTACTTGCGGTTGGTCAATGGTGAACGGGTCACTGCTGGACTGTCGCCTTTTGAAGAGGCTCCCTCAACATGACTTGCAACCTCAGAAACATGGCTAGTTGAGCTCTGTCTGCGATCAGACTCTCCACCACCGGTTCCTGGGCTGTTGTTACCCAACATGGATCTCTGCTGTGTCATGGCGTCTTTCGGGACATTCCTTGCGAATGCTGTGGGGAATTGTTGATGTGACTGCCTCTAGATATGGAATTGTTGGCACTGAAGCCAGGGGTGTTGAATGCCTGTGGCGAATCGTAGGGTGAAGCCACGACGGGACCAGACTGTCTGTGCTGCTGGGCTGAACTTGGCCTGATCATGCCGTTACCAAAGTTGGCTTCTCTACCACCCTTCTGGAATTGTTGATTAGGAACGTTGAAACGGCCAGCCTGTTGAGGCTGGCGATGGTTTTGAATGGATCCGTTGACGTTACCGTCCACGGATGTTGCTTGTGAGGCAGGTGAACCGCTGTACTGAGAATTGTCAGCTCCCCTAGTGGGGTTCCGCATCTGCTGCTCGTAGAGCTTATTATAGTCGATGGTAGGTACTTGAGGGACCATGCCTGGTTGGTCCTGGGAATCACTGAGCAAACCTGGGATATGCTTGAGAACTAAGTCGAGCTGGTCGAGTGCATCGCCCACTTGAACAAAGCCCTTGGAGGAGATCTTGAGGATCCATCTGTAATTGAATATCTGGTCCTTGTAGAAGTCGGCCTCCTCTTTTGTAGGCGCTGAAACGAACAAGAGGGCGGCAAATGTGCCGATCAAGGTGAAGTTCGCAGATGATGATGAGTGCCAAAAGGAGTGAATATGTTCCGGTTTGAGGTCCCTCACAAACTCGATCGACGCCAAAAGTCGTGTTTTGGCCGCTGTTCTGCAAACATCGACAAGTTCTTTGGGAACTGGTTTATTGTTGACTGTCATCTCATGCATGGTGGTGATTATCTTCCTGTGGAGTGTGAGCTCAGTGGCGAAGTAAGATAATTGCAAGTATCCATTGGGACAAAGCTTGCGGGGCTGAACAGAAGTCATTTGAAGCTCGATTGGAAGAGAGTGATACCACGTTCTTAACTTCAATTGAATGGGCTTAGCAATCTGGAGAACCTCATTGATATCAACAATGTCCTTCATGGCTTTCATGGAATAAAGGGATTTGAGAATTCCTGATAGAATCTGCGAGAGGCGGACTAAATTCATGAAGTTCTTCTTTCCGTTGTTGATATCGGAAGAGCCCTCCTTGAGATCGCCGTCGCCAGCCTTTTCAGGGAAGTCTTCCTCCTTGAGCTCCAGAACCACCCAGTCATCTTCGCTGATATGAGAAGGTCTAGAATTTTTCAAGGACAACCACTTGTCTTCCATAAAGACTGCCCAAGCTAGACGCTTCCTCAAGCCTCTCTCCCATTTCGGTAGTTTCCACTTATCGCAGTCGAGAGCAAGACCAAGTTCTTCAGACATGGCCACAACCTGGGCGCAAAGCACCCAGTCATTGTAGTCCAGATCGGAGAAGGACGAGTTTAACGAGGCGCTCGCATTGGCCACAGAATCTTGGCTGTTGTTGCTGGCGCCATTGGCTTCTCTGAAAATGTGCTTGCACTGAAGCAAGAGAAGACCTGCCTGGACAGCACTGAGTTTAGGGCGTTTGAGAATTTCGAGCATGAAGTTGTTGAGCGCAATTTTGAGCATCATGTCGAGATTTGGTTTGGCGAAGCGGTTCAACTGCGGATCATAGTCCCACCATTGAATAGCCAAGGCGTACACTGCCGCTAACAAAGGAGCGCTGAACTCCCTGTGGGTTCTCGAGTACTTCTCCAAGAAAACCTTTTTATGCAAAATGGGGTACGAAGGGTGGATTATGCGGAAGTAGAGGTCGATCAAGATCTGGCCGTGTGGAGCCACGAACTTCTCGATTGCATCGACATCGTTCGACATGTTTTGGTAAGAATTCGACGACTGATCGTCTTTCAAGATAAACTGGGTTTTGTCGCCGACCCTGCGTAGCGAGATCGTGTCGCTCAAGTTGACCTGCTCAACACGATTGGCCTTTCTCGGGTTAGCAGCCTCTTCCTCGCCCGGCTTCTTCTGCGACAAGATCACATCCAATAAACTGTTGTCGAACAAATAAGATGTGGGTCCGATGTAGAAAGACAGCCTGGGGAACTGGAGTGACAAGGTCTTCTTGAGAAGGGAGTTGTTCATCAGGGAGTAGTCTTGCACGGGCTGAACGTCTCTGATGGAGACATTAGGGGCACGATGTTCATGCCGTAGCCGTTGTTCCGTGCGTACTGATCTGGCGTGGAGACCCTGCTTTTCTGTTCCTCCTGGAGCTTTTTCCGCTTGTTGGGCTCATCGGAGTCCTGTCGAGGCGGCAGGTTGTACGTACACGTAATGGACTTGGATTCACACTGGACGCAGTTATTAGCGCCTGGAGCAATCACACATTTCGTTTTCCTCCGGCGGCAGTGGTCACAAGGTCTGCTGCGAGACTTGTTGGCCTTGGTCCCTCCGGTTTCTGAGGCGGCACGTACTGGTTGTGGATATCCATATTGGGCACGGGGATCTGGCCCGGAAGAGGCACCATGTTCAGCCCGCCGTGGAAGTCAAACGCCAGAAGCACCTCGGAGTTGGCGTCTAGGATCAAGTTCAGGTCCCAGTTGACATCGAGATATTCGGCGCTATTTTCGTCTAGGTGGCCGTTGGGCAAGCCTGCTGTGTTGGAGAGCTCCAGGGTATGGTCGGGCGGCTCTGCGTGCGATAGCCTGTCCTCTGAGTTCATTGGCGGTGATTACTGATTCTGAAACAGTGGCAGATGAGGTGGGATTCTTGATGAACAGTGGAGGTTTTGGGGAAAAAAGTAGATGTCTGGGAAAAAAGACAAAAAGGCGACTGCGTGGACTTTAAGTATGCCAGCTGGACAGCTCTGCTAGTTCCAGGATCCTGGTCTGCCGTGGTCTTAAGGTGAGGTTGTATTATCGATATGATAACCAGGGGGCGCACACGACCATCCAGGAGAGGAACGGTGAAGATCTGAAACACGGTTGGGTGAAAATGGCAAGAGAGGGAGGGAGTTATGGGAAGTTTGATGTTTTTTGAATTTATGGGATTTCGGGCTTTTTGGGATTTGGTTGATGGGGTTGAATGCAGCCATCGGAGGGATGTGACAGACGGGGGTGAAAAGTTGACTTTTCCGAGAAGAAGAAATGATAGGACGGGGGACGATGGAGAGTAAAAAAAGATGATTGAAAGGTGATGAAAAAAGTTAGTCTTCTAGATGAGTTTGAGCTGTGTTTGATGGTACGGTTCCTCTTTCGCAGCCAGTCCTAGAATAGACAATGCAAGGTCACACGGGAGAGATAGGGGGTTTGAAAAACTTAAACTGTTGCACAAAAGCTGGGTTTGAAAAACTTTAAAACTTTTCCACAAAAGCTGGGTTTAAAGGAACATGCCGTTTCTTTTTGTTTTATACCCCTCGTCTGGGGGTTGTCATGGATGAACACTAAGGGCATCGCCATGAGGCGCAGACCCCCAGAGTCCGTAGAAGTGCATTATCTTCATCAGCCGTGCTCTGATCCAGAAAGTGAGAATGATGAAAAAAGAAGCAGAATTTGTAGGAAATTCGGTAGAAGTATGGTGAGAAGTTTAAGAGACTAGACGATGATTGTGGATACATCGTGAGTGTGAAATTTCGAAGGCGATGAGGTTCCGTGTATTTCCGTCGGCTTGGCAAAATAATGGCTAAGGGCTCGACTGAGTATTTTATAGTTATGGGGAAAACACGCAAGTTCTTATGAGCTGATAGGGATGGTGACTGCCCTATTGTAGTAAGGCTGCATGAAGCAGATAAGCGGATGCACCAATCAGATTAGCAGATACGCCTTGTGGACTAGTCCATAGCAGGATGGATTCTTTTGGCTCTTGACTCAATAGGAGGCTAAAGTGGATTTTACTCGGAGTTTTCTTTGTTTGCTCAAACAATGATCCATATCCTCATTTCCCCATGGATACCAATGAGAGCGCCCATCTCCCCAAGGTCACAATTACACTCCTTAAAATTCCAGACTTTTCCTCTCAATCCAACGCTTCTCCATCTTGCAAACTTTCGGCTCGTACCTCGGCGTTCTTGGCAGTCTCGGTTTGTAGCCTTGCACCGTTGATAACCAGGCGGCGCAGGATATTGTGCTTTTGGCCCCTGACAGCCCCAGATGCCAAGACGCTCCGTGCATGGAGAGCTTGGTAGGTTGCTGTTGAATGGATGGTTGGTTGTGGAGGTGGAGGTTTCAAGTATTTGAGGAGAGCGGCAATGAAGCAATGAATTACAGAAAACGTAGCAATGGGACATTCAGGGATGCAAAAGTGGTCCTGTAAGGGTGTCAAAGGAACCTGATGTGAGGGGCTGTAGGCTTTCTAGTATTGGTTGCAAAATACCTGGGTATCACAATGTACAGCTCTGAACTGTGACAAAGGAGACTTGACCTCATAATGAGAAGAGAAGTGATAGTAACAATTGATAGTCTTTAGAAATAAAATCCTGTTCTGCTTATCTGTGTGTCCTTTTATCTCTGACTTGGGATGCCGAGAGCACTTCTGAGACATCACTATGGAACTAAAACAAAAAGCACAATTTATTGCTTCAAAACTCCAGTCGGCAATTGAAACAGCTGCATTGAAAACAAAATTGAAACCAGTTTCGCTACTCCTGTCCTGGATCTCGAGATCAACCTGGATCGTTACTGAGATGTGGCTGCAAACAGCACCAATACAGCTTCCAGACAACCTCCCAACCAAAACCACGAAAATCAACTTTCGAACCCCTAGTAGTAAAATTATCGAAAAACTGAAAACCAAATAACCCAAATCCCACACCTCCCACCTCAAATTCTTAAATGTGCCATCACCCTGGGGTACCCGGCCAGGGGCTGGTTGCGAAAAGTATATAAACCCCAGCACTTCCCACATTCTTTTCCCCTACATACCACTTTTTCTTTCTGGCCCATAGCACTTCTGGCCCCGTAACCCACACCTCTACTTACCACTTCTAGCCATGTCCAACATCTTTGCTTCTGCCATCGCTACCGACGAGCCCATCGATCTCTTTGAACGCAAGGACGGAGAGACCGGTGTACCCAACGGCGTTTCCAAGGACCTGCCACTCCAGACAAACTCGTTCTACTCCAACTTGCTTGTGGAGAATCAGGACTGTGCCGTCTGGACCCACCCCTACAGCGTCTGGAACAACAAGAAGGATAAGCGCTTTGGTCTTGGATTGTACCTTGCCAGAACCTCCGACAGGGTGTTTGGCGAAGGCGATCCTGCCGAGTACTTTACCCATCCTGTTGGCGAACAAAAGCTCGTGCTTTCCTCTTCTGACTTTAAGGAGGAGCCTGAGTTCTCGTTGAGAGACTTGTCCAAATTTGCAGCCACTGCTCGGTTTTCGTCCAAGTCAGAGAAGGACTGTCACCTCGACTGTCCTTTGGTCCAGGGCATGGGATTTGTTACTGGCGTCTACAGCAACTGTATTCCAAAAATTAGCTCGAGTGTCGGCTTCAAGTCCATCGATGGTGACAAGAGTCCTCGTCTGGGTACCCAGAAGTACAAGATTGAACTCGAGGATGGCACCCAGTGGTTCTTGTACGTCACCCTCTCCAACGAGGACTCTGTAAAGTTGGCTTTGAAGGGCAAGAACGACATTATTGCCGAAAAGTCCGTTGACGGTGTGTTCCAGCTCTGCTTTGCTTCGGATGTTGATTCTAAGCACTACGACTCAGCAGCAGGCTGTTACGCCAAAAACGCCAGTATCGAGGCTTCCGCTGACGGCTACAAGTGTTCTTACTCTTTGAAGCTCGACACCGAGGGCAAGCTGAACAGCAACTCTGCTCTTTTCTTTGCCTTGCCTCACCATGTTGCAGCTTTTGACTCAGACACAAAGAACAAGGCCACATCGCTCAAATTGCCCACCACCACCAAGGGCGAGGCCGTTGGCGTTCTTCTGAACAAAATCACCATGGAGGAGAAATTGACCATGAAGGATGTGGCGTGGGATCCAGCCACCACTATTGAAGGTAAGAAGGCCAATTTCTCTGATAATGCTCTCAAGGCTATCAAGGCTGCAGCACAGGAGGAAGCCGACAAGGACGTCAGTACCGAGCTGGACGGCGATTCTATGTATTTTAGCGGCAAGATCCTCGCCAAGTACGCCATTGTGCTTTCGGTGTGTCACAATGTGTTAAAGGATGATGGGCTCACCGACAAGTTGTTGCAGAAGATGAAGGACGCCTTGGACCGCTTCAAGTCCAACAAGCAGAAGTATCCTCTTTTCTACGATACCGCTTTCAAGGGTATTGTGTCGCTGGCGACGGAAAACGAGGACTTTGGCAATGGCCATTACAACGATCACCATTTCCATTGGGGCTACCACATTCAAGCTGCCGCCATTACTGCGTTTGTTGACCAGGAGCGTGGGGCAGGTGGATTGACGAGGTGAAGCCCTGGGTGACGTCGTTGGTGAGGGACATTGCCAATCCTTCTTCTGACGATAAGCACTTCCCTGTGTTCCGTGCTTTTGACTTTTACAATGGTCACAGCTGGGCCAAGGGTCTTTATGCTTCTGCAGACGGCAAGGACGAAGAGAGCTCGTCTGAAGACTACAACCACGCCTATGCGCTCAAGCTCTGGGGTAAAGTGGTGAAGGATGAGAACATCGAGAGAAGAGCAGACCTCATGTTGGCGATCATGAGCAGATCCATGAACAGCTACTTTTTGATGGCAGACGACAACAAGGTGCAGCCTCTGAAGTTTATTGGCAACAAGGTCACTGGTATCCTTTTCGAGAACAAGGCCCACCACACCACCTACTTTGGCACCAACGAGGAGTACATTCAGGGTATCCACATGATCCCCATCAGTCCTGTTTCGTCGTTCATCAGAAAGCCCGGGTTTGTCAAGCAGGAGTGGGAGCAGAAGCTCAAGAACCTTGTGGGTAACTTGGACGACGGCTGGAAAGGCATTTTGATGTTGAATGCTGCCTTGTTTGATCCAGATACGGCCTGGAAGTTTTTCAGCTCGTCTGACTTCAACAAGAAGCATTTGGACGACGGTCAGTCCAAGACATGGTCGTTGGCCTACTGTGCCGGAGTCGGGACATCTTCGTAAGTACTAATCACTGAGCCTTGTGTTTTCTCAGGCTCGGTGTAAAATGGGTGCAAATTGAATGCGAAAAATGTGTAGTAACATCAACACTTCGATGGATGGGGAAACGCCGCCTAGACATTGGAGATATTCAGGACGATGCTGATATCTACGATCGGCTTGTGATCCGGCAGAAGCAGAAGACCAAGAGGCCGAAGAAGCAGGAGGATCCTTATGACGATACTGAGAGGGTTCAGCTTCATGAGAGACTAGAGAGGGTTCAGAACAAGGGGAGGGAGAAGAAGGAAAGGAAGAAGGTGGAGCCCATTGACGATGCCGAAGATCGTCCAGCATTGGTTGAATCCGCAGAATTGGCCAATGAAAGGCTGGTGTACTCAATTCCCAATGTGAAAAGCAGGTGCCGTGAGATGCTAGACAAATACGAGGATTTGGAGCTACACCTTTTGTTTGCGGATAAGCTGGTGAATGACGAGTTCAGGCGGTACCTAGGGCTAGTGGCTTCGGATTCACACGAAGATCCTGGCCTTTCCAAGATTCGAGAAGCCCTCTTCGTGAAGGTACTCAAGGACAGTATAGCCAAGCAAGATGCGAAAAAGAGCATGAAAGAGAGGTTTGTGGAGAGGTACAGCAGCCGGGAGGAGGCAATTGAGGAGAAGCGAGATCCAAGGAGTATTCGGAGGACGGCCAAAAAGTTCAAAGTGCCTCCCAGCCTAAAACAGCTTCTTGAGGGTAAGCCCGGTTAACCTGGGCTCCGTATGCTATTAATTATGCAGTGGTGGAATTCACCCACCTAGGTCGTCCACGGTATCCTGAAGAGCCGGTCCTGGACGTTGTTCCAGAACCCCCGGTCATAGACATTCACCAAATCGTGCTCCACCAGTGAGATCTTCCGTAGGGTGTATTTGGGCTCCTCTTCAGCAGTCAACAAAATGCTCTCGTCGTCTAGAGCAAGATAAGCTTTGGTATAGTCGCCCTTCCGGTCAATCATGGTGGCCTGTTCGGCAAATTGCTCGAGCTCTACAATATAAAACAAGACGCCAAGACGCACAAGGTGCTCGATTTCGCCCCACTTGTCGGCCTCGCTGGTGGTGACGCCCAAGTACAAGTAACGAATGTGCAACACGGTGAATACTGAAGTGATGGGCACGAAAATGGCTGTAAGAATGGCCAAAATGCCCGCTATGCGATTTTGGTCGGTGGTACTCGTGATAAGCTTCCACCAGCCGAGCTGCAGATACTGTTGCTTCTGAGCCTGAAGCATCCAGAAACAGAGAGCACCTCCGTAAGCCATCAAGTTGACGTTCAGAATGAGGTAGGCACAGAACCAGCGGTAGTTCCGGAGGCCAATGCAATTGTTCACCCAGAGGCAGTGGTGATCGTATAAAAGAACACACTTGTGGCACGTGGAGCAGTGTTTCGATCTAGCCGGTTTGGGCAAGTTGCAAGTGAAGCACTGTTTATCGAAGAAGATGAGACCGTTTGGCCGGAATATTGTCGTGGCCTGGTGAACGTTTGATGCAGTGACTCTACCAGGATCCACAAACGTCACCAATGCCGTTGACGCTCCCAAAGCTGCAATAGACACAGCGATCCAGAAGTTGTACAGGATGGAGTTCTTGATCAGAACCGGGAGTTGTCCATACACATTGGCGAAGAACAAATTCACACAGAAACAAATAATCCCCACATAAAATAGCGGAATCAGCCACCGCAAAACCAGCCCGACTATAGGATTCCCAGTGGTGAAGCCGACCACCCAATGAGCAGCGTTCCCATTGGCCCGGTTCACCGCCTTATATAGACGATGTAGCCAGGTTCCTCTGAACCGAGGCTGGTCTCCAAAAAGAAGCACCGCCACAAGCGTCCCAAAAACGATTATTAGCGTGCCCAAGAGAAACATCAACTAGTTGGTCTTCGCATCCGTACATATATGGATTGTCAACACTTCTGCGCGGTTACTACTACTACTACCTACCACTACTACGTCACCACTATGACCGTAAACGACGACATTGTCTCCCAGCGAGACCTTGTACGGCACGTGCTTGAGGCCGTGCCATTTGGCAAGAACGAACAAAGACCCAGTTTCCTCGATGTGTACAATATTTCCACAGAAGACATGGCAGCGTTAGACTTCTCTGAAGCAGCATGGGACCTGCGTTTCCCAATTCAGGTGAATAAGCTTTTGAAATTGGGAATCTCTTTTGGAAACCTTCTCAAGATGCTTGAAAACGAACAGAAAGCTCTGGAGGCTAAGGAGGCTCGTGACGCACAAATGGCTAAAAAGGCTCCTACCCAAACAGTGGACCCGTTCAGCGACGACTACGACGGCTTGAAGGGGAATAAAGTACAGGTATACCATATCCGCTTCGCCCAGAATTTGTTCCACATTCTCAAAAACTTCGACATTGGCACTTCCCCATATTCTGCCCAAAAGACCAAACTAACGCCCGTGGATAGTGACCAAACCTCGGCTAATGGCTCCCAAAACAGTCTGAACGGCGTCAATGCTTCACCTATAAAGCTCAGCTCGCGTCAGTTGCTTATCGAGAAGCTCGAAATTAACATCCGTCTTGACGCGTTGTTCACCTACAAAGTCGTGCTTCTCCTCCTCCTCCAGATCTACGACATCCTCGAACTGCTGCTACGAGAGTTGCCCGAGGCGCCTGAGAAAGGCGGCACGCGTGATGGCGACACTTCTTCTCTATTATCGTATACATCGCTTAACCTGAGTGGTACGCCCAACTCAGAGTTTGTGCTGTCCACAGACGACTATGTGCGTCTCACCAAGGCGATTTTACACCGTGTTGACGCTGGCATCGTGAGTCCTTTCGTGCAGACCTTGGTGACCGAGCTCGTGGACACTAATGTTGCTGGTGCTTTCCAGACTCTCATCACCAACATCTAATTATGGAAAGTACCAATTGGCAAACCTCCTCCAGAGCACATGTGCTGTGCGCCGCCCTAGAAGCTTTCCCACAAGCGGCACTATGACAAAATTGACGAGTCCCTCGATCTGCTTGATAGACTCTTCCCACTGCTCTTGCGCCGTGAGGTAGTATTCCGAATCCAGCTCGGAATAGTAATCGATGTCCGTGTCATCTTCATGGGGCTCTGTTTGAGCGAGATCGGCAAGATCCAGGGTGTCTATTAGCGTGGGATAGGACATGAGTGGTTGTTGAGGTAGTGGTTCGGTTTTGACCACTGAGGAAGGTGCAGGAGACAGCGACCAGGAGACACCCGTTCAAGGTGGATCTCCTCCAAGGCGGTGTACCATAAAAAGAATGAAGGAAGAGCAGCATGGGCAAACAATTACAATGTCGAGTTTATGGGTACACTGATTTTTGCGTATCCACAATTCGACCACGGAGAGGTTTGCCGCATGTTGCCGGTGTGGCTGCAACACTAATCACAAAGAACGCCAGCATTCACGAGAGCAAAGACTCTACAAAGTTCAAAACCCTCTCTTTGCTTTCAGAATGCTTTTGCTATGTTGTTTATGCCGGTTGGGCCATGGGGCCTTGTACTTACTATGTATTATGACATACACGACTATGACGAGCCGTGGAGGGCCCGCCTCCACGTAGGCGGCACATTGTGCCAATCAAACCCAAAACTTACAAAATATAGTACCAATTCATTTCCCATTTTGGTTGGTCTGGTTTCACTCAGTATGGTGATGATCATCGCGATGCGAAAAATTGGTATGCTTCGTTTGATCCCCAGATTCCTCCGCAAAATGGCCATCAACGTCGAGGACTACAACGTGATCAAGGAGGGCAAAGCCCTGGTTCTTGTGCCGAAGCAGGAGACGGTTTTCTACAACCACATCCAGCAATTCAACAGAGATCTCTCTGTTATGGCAGTGAGAGCTTGGTTGGACCAGCATAATGAGACCAGGCTGAAGAAGAGAAAGATTGACGAGAACGGAGAAACCAAGGCTGTCGAAGACAAGAAGTTTGTTCGTATTCTCGAAGCTCTCTCAGCCTCAGGGCTCAGAGCATTACGGTACGGTCATGAAGTGCCCCAAGTATCCAAAATCATCGCCAACGACTTGCTTCCAGCTGCTGTTGAATCCATCAACCGTTCGGCCGAGTACAATGACCTTCTGAAGTTGGTCCAGGGCCACGAAGGCGACGCTATAGCGTACATGGGCTCGATCCCTGAAAAAGACAGATTCCATGCTGTGGACTTGGATCCATACGGAACAGCAGCGCCATTCTTGGAAAACGCCGTGAGAGCCGTATTGGACGACGGTTTGCTCATGGTCACATGCACGGATGCTGGTGTTCTCGCTGGTAACGGGTACCCAGAGAAGTGCTATGCTTTATACGGAGGTAGTAACTTCGGCAACACCAGCTTTGGTCTGGACACCAACCACGAGGCTGGTCTTCGACTTATGCTTTCCACCATTGCCAGCGTGGCCGCTAAGCACAAAAAAGCCATTGAGCCTGTGCTCAGTTTGAGCATCGACTACTACTTCAGAGTGTTCGTGAGAGTCAAGACCAGTCCAGCCAAGGTCAAGCAATTGGCCTCGACCATGATGATGATCCACCATTGCATTGGCTGTGGCTACCGTGTTGAGCAGAGAATGGGCCGCAACACAGGAGGTAAGTTTCAAACCCCAAAGGCAGCTTCTGTGGGTCCTAATTGTCCATGCTGCAACAGTCCTTTCCACGTTGCTGGGCCTATGTGGGGAGGCAACCTCCACAATCACGAGTTTATCGATAAGGTGCTAGAAATCAATTCCAGTGCAGACAAGCAGGTGTACGGCACCACTGAGCGTATCAAGGGTATGCTCATGTTAGCCAAGCAGGAGCTCGAGACGCCGTTCTATTTCAGTCTAGGCCGTCTACCCAGCTTATTTAGAGCATCCACGATCCCAATTACAGAATTCACTCGTGCTGTGGGCAATTTGGGCCACGATGTGTCGCTCACGCATGCCAAAGCCAATGCCATCAAGACCACCGCTCCGTGGGAAGACATTCTTTTAATTGCGGCCAGGTGGCTACGTAAGGGCAACGAAAAGAGACTCGAGGAGCTCAAGGCCAGCTTGGACAATGCCAAAAACGAGGAAAAGAGGAAACAGAAGGAGGAGACCATCAAGCAGCTTGAAGCCAACCCCAACGGCAGCTCGAGTCTCAGCGAGACGCTGGCAGGGTACAGAGCGCTCCAGAAGCTTGAAGATGACAAGAGAGAGGTCGATTTTGACACCAACAACGAGGTGAGCGATAAGATCCACAGGCTCCGGAAAATCAAGATGTTGCGGTACCAGGAGAGCCCGGCCAACTGGGGTCCCAAGGCACGTCCTGGCAAGAAGCAAAAGACAGACAAGCAGGAAGACAAGAAGGAGGAGGAGGAAAAAGAGTAGGCTTTATCTTGACAAACGTTATGTGTCAACGCATGCACCGTGCAGATGGGGCTTAGACGAGGTGTGTTTGGAAGTATTCTCCCCGGCGTCCACTTGATGAATGATCGATAAAAGAAAATAAAAGCGGCCACAGATCAGGCGATATATGGATGGAAGATAAGGAGGGACAATTTGAAGATGGTTGATGTAGAGAAGTTGGATATTCCGTTGGACCTTGGTTGCTGCATTACCAAAGGTGCATCAGCAATTAGAAGCCTGAGCATTTGTAGATCGGCATCAGCAGTAGTCCTGATGCAATGAAATCTAGAAGCGGATTTGGCGAAGTCGGGATAATACCACTACAGCAGCTGAACCGGAAAAACGGCGAATTCTTCAAACGGCCATTTTCGAAACATCAAAGCCGAAACACCGAGCCGCCGAAACACCAAGCCGCCGGAACACAATGCCGCCGAAACACCAAGCCGCCGAATCATCAAAGCCGTAAAAGCCGCTAAAGCCCACTACCACGCCCCGATCCTTCAGTTGCGGTCCTCGCTCACCCACTTTCAGACAAGCGCTGCACCTCCAGTGTCTCAGTTGAAAAAAGTCGATAAAGCTGGAAATCCAATTTTTTATTTTTTTTCTTTTCCACCTTTTCAGTACTTTCGCCGTCAATGGCACTTTCACCTCACTTACAGACGCCCATTGTTCCCAGCCATTGTAACTGCCTCATCGTTCCCCGGACTCAGCCTACTTCACTGCACGGCGCGTACTTCGGGGCCATCGGCTCAAAACGAAGCCCACGAAATGCCAATAATTCCACCAAAAAAGCAGCGGATCATGGTCATTTAAATAGTGTTCCGATCGGGTCCCGGCGGAATAAGCCTGCGTCTTGACACATCGGGTGGGGCCTTCCTCGCAGATATTTTCCTCTGTTGCGCTCTGATGCTTGTCATCGTACATAAGCTTCAACAGCCGCAATCTTTCTTCCACAACATCTCCAATAACATCTCTTCTTTTTCATGAAGTGGCTGGTGTTAGCTTTGGCGTGTGCCGTTCCGGCGTTTGCAAAGTCCCCGACTGACCTGTATGCCCCAGGCGAAATCGACTGTCCTTCTGGCAGTCTTGTGAGAGGATCCCAGAACATCAGTGAATGGGAGGCCGATTGGATCGAAGAACGCAACAAAATCACCGACAACAACCTCCGGTACTTCCTCAGTGAGCTGAACATGACCGACTTTGACGCGGACGAGTTCTTGTCCAACACCACCGACGGCAGATCCATCAAGATCGGTGTGGCCTTTTCCGGTGGTGGTTACAGAGCCATGTTGGCTGGTGCTGGTGAAATGGCGGCTTTGGACAACAGAACCAGAGGTGCCAACGAAAAGGGTTTGGGCGGTTTGCTCCAGGCGTCCACCTACCTCACGGGTTTGTCGGGAGGTAACTGGTTGGTGGGTACCATTGTGGTGAACAACTTCACCTCGGTCCAGGACATCATTGATGAAAACGAGCTCTGGAACTTGAAGCACTCCATCGTCAACATGGGCGGTTGGAACCCCATCAAGATTTACAACTATTATAAGGACTTGGGCGACACCGTGGGTGATAAGCAGGATGCTGGCTATGAAACGTCCTTGACGGATACATGGGCCAGAGCCTTGTCCCACCAGTTTTTCACCGAGGACTCTGGCTACGGCGCCTCTTTGTTGTGGTCTGATATCCAGGATATGAACGCCTTCTCCAACCACGAAATGCCTTTCCCTATTGTTGTTGCCAACGGTAGAACTCCAGGCACCGAGGTGATCTCCGCCAACTCCACCGTTTTCGAAGTGAGTCCTTATGAAATCGGTTCCTGGGATCCTTCATTGCAGTCCTTCTACCAGACAAAGTACCTTGGAACCAAAGCCAAGGAAGGTGAGAACAACGGTACTTGTGTGGGTGGATATGACAATGCCGGTTTCATCATGGGCACTTCCTCCTCCTTGTTCAACCAATTCGTTCTTCAGATCAACACGACTTCTTTATCCAGCGCGATCAAGTCGCTTGTCAGCTCGCTTCTCAAAAAGGTCTCCCACGAGGAGGATGACATTGCTGTCTATCAACCAAACCCCTTCTACGACGTCAGCAATGCCACCTACAGAAGCATTGTCAAGAATGACACTTTGTACTTGGTGGACGGTGGAGAGGATGGCCAGAACGTGCCATTGTACCCACTCATTCAGCCTGTCCGTGACGTGGATGTCATTTTCGCTTATGACAATTCTGCAGACACTGACGCCTCGTGGCCTGCTGGTCTTTCGTTGATCAAGACGTATGAGAGACAGTTTGAGAAACAAGGTAACGGCTCTATCTTCCCATACGTTCCTGACTCGAATTCCTTCATTAACCTTAACCTCACAGCCCGTCCAGCATTTTTTGGCTGTGATGCTAAAAACTTGACTTCGTTGCTTGACGATGACATGGAAGAGGACGACATCTACAAGTCGCCTTTGATTGTGTACACCGCTAACAGACCTTTCACATACTATTCCAACAGAAGCACATTCAAGCTTTCTTATGAGCAGGCTGAAAAAGTTGGCATGATCAAGAACGGTTTTGAAGTGGCCTCCCGTTTGAACTCCTCTCTTGACGATGAGTGGAGAGCTTGTGTGGGTTGTGCCATCATTAGAAGAGAGCAAGAGAGACAGGGCATTGAGCAGCTGGACCAGTGCAAAGAGTGTTTCCAGCAATACTGTTGGGACGGATCTTTGGACGACCGTCAACCTTACGTCAACTTCACCACCGAAGGTACCACGAACGGAACCGAGGATAACGGCAACAGAACCGTCAGTGGAGCTGTCTCTCTTTTCGCAGCCAATGGTGGCAGCTTCGAATGGCTCAAGCCTGTGGGCTATGCCGTTCTTGTGGCCCTTGCGTTCTCCATCAATATCTAGACGATTAGAGCCACATCATTGATTAGAACCCCATTTTTGATTAGAACCCCATTAATATCGAATAGAATCAGTAGACAATAAAACTTTGCAGCCATAGAGTGTAGGCTTCAAATGTATCAAACGGAGGGCTTTGATTAGAGCTCCGAGAATCCGATATTTTCACCGAGACCAGAGCAAGCATCCTGCTTAGGTCCGGTGATTCTTTCGTCACCTATGGTGCAGAATGGTAAGTAGAATCACATTCACCACTTCACCATCCCAACCAATGAAAACGAACCAAAGCGGACCAAATGGACCCAAAATGAACCACCAAAATTAATTGCCAAATTCACCAAAACTACTGGGGCAACCTACCAGCATTATGGGAAATCGCAACTACCACCCAGGATCTACACCAATTACAACCCAGCAAGTGTGACCCACGAGGACCACTTACTCAAAACTTTTGCCCCGACGATCACCAGCCCAACTTGCAGGCTCTACTGGGATCTGGGCGATCAGATCGAAGCCTCCAATTGTTTCCATACCTCAGATACTCACTCTTTAGATGGGAGGCTTGAAAGGTTGCTATTTTCAGCAACACGGCAATGATATCAGAGAACGTCTACAATGAAGGATATCGAGTGGACCACACTTTCATTACGAAAGCTTGCTCATCTCCACATGCACAGACCCGAGGAGTTTTGCACCCTTTAGCTACCCGTCTGTATCTGACTCCACCCTGCTGCTTTTGACTTCTCCGAAAACAACTCCACCCCACTGCGCTGCGGCAAAAAGAGACCAATTTGAATTCAGCCTAGGACCAAAGCTGTAGAGCACATGTAGTGGAAGAATTTATCATACGTTTTTAAAAATTCGATACGCATTAATCAGAAATGAAGAAAAGAAACCGGGTGGGTCGGGCGATTGACAGATGCAGGGCACATAACCGGCTGCGCCGAAAAGTGACTTTTTTGCGGCATGGCTGGGAAAAAAGCTTAAAGGCAGAAGTGTCAAAGCTACCATAAAAGCCTAGAGAATTCGATCGAGCAGCTACTATACAAACTGGATTTGCAAGTAAAAAATGTACAGGGGCACGGCGACCAGCCTCCTGGGGCTGAGCCCGACTTTGCATCTATAATTAACATTTTGTAGTTGGACTGTAGATTTACAGAGGCAGTGCTAAGCGTCAGGTGACAGAGGGCTCACGTGGGTGGGGTCAAGAAGCGTCAGGTTGGAATTCCGGTTGCAAAAATAGGAGGCTGCCGGAAAATCTCATGACAGGGGACGTGCACACAGTCGAGCATTGTTAAAATAGTAAGGCGCCTGCATAGGAGCCCACGTTGCACAAGGAGCAAATTTCGAAATGAAGGCGTCTCGAGCACGCTGCAGGACTCGGTGAAGAGATTTTCGAGCCACAGCTTAGGTTCCGAGCCTTCCAGTAAACACAGACTGGAGTTTCTACACTAACAAACTATTGCCGATTATCCATTAAAAGCTCTATTATTAAATTAACTTAACCCACTTACAACAACATGGCGACACCAGCGGCGGCGGCGGCACCGAAGACACCAGCACCGAAAGCCTGGGCAGCACCAGAGTCTGGAGAGCCGTTGGAACCGTTAGAACCGTTCTTGGAAGAGTTGGTGCTGTTGGAACTGTTAGAAGAGTTAGCAGCGGAGACGGCGGTAGCGGCGGTCAAAGCGATGACAACAGTGGAGAATTGCATTGTAGTTGTGATGAAGAGGAAAAAGAAGAAACCGGGGGATGGGCTCGGGTATTTATAATGAACAGGGCAGGCGCTGTCTGCAGTCCATGTGGTATTGAGGCGGGAGGAACCAGCAGGATGTTGACAGAGGCGGCCACGGTCTATGTGCAGGGCTGCAGATGTTGCAGGAGGCGCAGACGCAAAGTGCTACGCCCTGGGGCCACGAAAAAAAAAAGAAAAAAGAAAGAAGAAAAGAGTGCGATGGAAAAAAAAAAAAAAAATTAGCATACCTTGCTGCAGGGTGCCATAGCGTGGCCGTCACGGTCGCCCAAAGGAGAAAAAAAATTCCAAAGCGGTTAGCGTATCGGCGGCAGACTAGCAACGCCACAAAGCAACCCACCAAGCCAACCCGAAAAAAAAAAGTGAAAAAACAAAAAAAAAAAACAAGAAGCGGCAAAGCCTGAAAGTAAGTTAAACGGCCCATCTGCCGCCTCGTCAAGATGAAACTTCATTCTTTCTTTCGACATTTCCCTATTTCGTCGTCGCCAGCACCGTCACATAAGAAAAGGCACCACTTCACGAAATGCACCTCCGCCTGTTTGGCTGCGAAATGAACCTCCACCATGCGCACATCTCTGAGTCAGACAACCGTGGCTCTGCGAAGCCAATGACGCATTTTCACACCGAACCCGAAAATAGACCAGCAGTGGAGGGCATGGAAGATGCACTTTCGAGGATTCCAGGGGACACCTTGGGGGGCGTATTAGGGGAACACATTAGGGGAACTTTTCGCTGAATGTGTCATGCGCCGGCATTGCACCTTCCACAAAAGTTCAACCCACCTGAGATTGAGGAAGCTGGTTTTCGATGAGATTGAGGAAGCTGGTTTTCGATGAGATTGAAGAAAGCTGGTTTTATTTACCCTCCCCTTGTGAATTCCCTTCTTTTTCTAAATCTCCTCGAAATTTCTCTAACCTCCCTCTTCTAATCTCTCCTTCCCACACCCGCCGTATCTGGTAACCGCCGGGCCTCAGCTCCAAGCCCGTCGCTACTATCTAAGCAGATAGCGCTATTCCAGCAGCCCACCACTGCTGCTTCTACAGAGTAACTTCAGTCACGCCCGGCACAATATGGCACCCCTGTGGCCTCCGGACGTTTTGTGGCATTTCCAGCACCACTGCGTTATCAGCACTGAGTTGAAATTACGCTGAGCCCGAAGTTACGCTGAGCCCGAAATTACGCTTTCGCCTGTTTTTATTTCACCCTATGGGCCTCATTGGTCAGCCCCACGGAACAGCCCCGCCGTGCCCCTGAGGGCTTAACTCGACACCCAGCGCCAATAAGAGCCTACCGTGGTATCTGCCGCCGAGCAGGATGAAGGTTGCTGCACCAAAAGGTCAGCTTTACGGACCAGGCGGAGCAGGCGGAGCAGAAAAAAGAAAACGGTATACAAAAAACTTTGGAAATAACTATTCCTTCTTGGTTTGCCATGTTCCCACTTTTTTTTTGGTTTGCTTATCTGGGCGGCCACGCTGGGCGGTTATACGCCAAATCCAAGGATAGCACCACCGCGTTCACGCACCGTGTCTGAGTTGCAGCCATTTTTTTCTCAGTTTTTGGGCACCACGGTGATTTTTACCTCTTCAGGTAAGGTGGGGCTCCGGAAAAAAAACTGAGCGGTTCCTCCACCTCCACTGTAATTAAGGCATCGAAGCTGCGGGAGCCCCACGCGGCCTTGTTTCTTGGTATTTTTTTCGTTTTTTTTTTTTCTTATCAAAGTCGCTTCTCTGATTCGTCGCAACCGTCCGCTCATTATCCTGCTCTTGGCTCTACGGGATCTTGCAGCCAAGCCAGCAACGTCCGGGCCTCCAGAGCAAGAGATTTTCCGAAAGTGCCGACATCGCCTCCGGATAAACTGGAATTGGCGATTCAGATTTCGAGGCCATAGCAAGCATATTTGATCCGGATTGGGACGTTTTACGGTGGGGTTCCCGAAGTGGTCAGATCAAAGCCATGTTTGTAGATGGAGGTCGTTAAGCCACCAACCAGCCGTTTTAAGTTCTTGGGTTGGTCTTCGATCAGAAGAGATTATTTTGAGATGTAGTTGTGGGCGTTTTGCACAATTGACTCTGGGTATCCTTTGCCAAGGCAGTAAACTGGTAGTTCACGGACGCCTTGATCTGATGGCTCACTTGAGCATAGGGACCAGAAGTGGCTTGACCAGAAGTGGCTTGACCAAAAGTTGTTCCGTTAACTCACACGACGGTATTTGGCCAAATACGAAATTACAGTTGCAGCAGGTCGCTTATGGGGGATTCTCTGGCAGCGATTGCTCAACGTTCTGAAGTTGTGATTAAACACAAAACGGTGCCGCTTTCTGCAAGCTCAAGGGGCGGGTTTGAGGAAAAGCAGATGAGAAAATAGTGGTGGTCTCGAGATTGTAGTTAGTGTCATGTTGCTGGTTGCTTGAGAGTGGTAGTACTTCATCATCATCATCATCGACATGAGCCGAACATCTCATTGAACCATGCATTCCGGCTGCCTTTCGGCTGCAATTCAGCTGCCATTCAGGCTACAATTTATCGAGTTCAATGCTAATGAATCTAAAAATCCCGGGACTTATAGTATAATAGCCATCTATCAATGGCCTCCGCCTAAGGCTAGCCCACACCGATTCCTAACACCCCTATCACCCACCCAAAATTCTCGATTTACCTAAATTCCAAATTCACCAAATCTGTATAAATCCCGTGAATATCCCAAATCTGTATAAATCCCGTGAATACCCCAAATCTTTGTCCCATCCCAAACCCCCATCACTCCACACCCCCATAGTCTATTTACCAAACGCGAAACTCAAAACAATATGCTCCAGCGTCAAAAGCTAGCCACACTCCATGGCCTCGCTCTACATTGTGGATATCCGGCAATCGGCAATAAAACGGCCCGTGTGAAGGCCATCGAAGAGCTGTGCTTTTCTGTAAACACTCAACCACTCAACATCTTGTCTATAGACATAGGCATCAAGAACTTCTCATATGCTAAGCTTCTGTACGCGGGGGTTCCGGCGAAGCTGATCGGTTTGTTCGACTGGAATCACGTAAATTTGCATAATCGGTTTGGTCTACCGGAAGCCAATTCGTCTACACTGCTTCTGAAGTCGTACATGGCCCAGTTGGCTGTTCTGGTGGTGGATCAGATCTTATTGGGCGAATGGGTTCCTTCGTTGATACTTATGGAGAGTCAGAGAACGCGTTCAAATACGAATCTGGCAACTTTGCCCAATGTCTTGTTGAACTATACTTTGGAACACATGATATACGCTGCGTTTGCAGCCAGACAGCATACCCATCCAGCCTTCAAGGATGTGCCCATTGTGGCCACAAACTCCACAAAGATGGTGAATTTTTGGATCAATCGTTTCGTGAATAAAGACAAGAGGATGACTGCAACATTCTCCAAGAAGCTACGAGCTGGTCTCTTATTCGGCTGGCTTTCAGATGCGAAAAGTTCGCCAATCGATCTTTCCGAACTATCATCGAGGCTTCCAGACGACTTTGCCAGCTTCAGCTACCGAAAGAAGGTCTCAGCGTTTTTGGACTCATTTTCGTTCGAGACGCTGCCAGGGAAGGCCGACGATTTGGTCGACTGTCTCTTATACAACATAGCCTCTTACCAGCAGCTCCGACACCACCTTGAATTGCAACCGTACATCAAAGAGGAAAAAGATGTCGAAGAGCTCGTTCATCGCTGGGACGAGTCCCATATCGCTTACGTCAAACCTGTGGTTGATGAGTTCGATCTTGAGTTCAGACCAGAGTATGCCTCATGATCACCATCTGCATTTGCATAATATACACCAACGCTCATTACTTGTCTTTTCTTTGTAGATGATCAGATGATAGATTGTGCTCCTTCGTTGACGGGACTGATTCTTTGGTGGATCTCGTTGGCAACGTCCGACGGCGTATCCTCAGATAACTCGAACATAAGGTCATCATCATTCTTGTCGGACTTAGTCCTCTTTTCTTTCTCTCTCTCGACGGATCCACGTCTGAGATCCTTTGCCTTGACTGTTTCGTTATCTTCGTCTTGCTCGTCGAGCTCATTAGTGTCATCTTGATCGTTCAGATCACCATCGTCGTCGTCGTCATCGTCGTCGTCGTCATCATCATCATCATCATCGTCATCATCATCGTCTTCGTCGTCATCGTCGTCGTCATCGTCATCATTGTTATTATTATTGTCGTCGTCATCTCCATCGTCATCTTCATCCTCGTCCTGCTCCTCCAAAGTCACATCAAGACCTTCCGAATTTCGTTCGGCAAGAACTTGCTTGATTCTAACTCGGAGTCTCTCGACGATATCAATCCACTCACGCATACCACCCATGCCGATGTCACCACACACCAAAACCTTTTCAACTGGCTTCAAAATCTCCATTCCAAAGCCATCATCTGTGGTAGTGATCATCTTGAGCTGCTTAGCTGTCATGGGATGGGTATACATGAAAGTGTTCATAGCAGGAGCAACCAAAATGGGTTTTTTGGTTGCACTTGAGCCAGAGATGGCACCGGTAGGGCCCCAAGATCTGATGATCGACGTCAACAAATTGTCGGAGATACCGTTGGCGATCTTCGCTAGCGTGTTGGCACTCAACGGTGCAATCAACATGATGTCGGCCCATTTACGGAGCTCGTTATGCAAAATCATCTTGTCGTAGTGATTCTTTGACTTTTTAGATGGTGCTTCATAGGTGGATGCAGTTGTAGTGGTATTTGAGTTATTCCACTCAGTGAAATTGGCCCACTCGTCATCGTCTCTCCAAATCTTCACCTCGTTGTGGATCTTCAAACCCTTGAGGAAGTGACCTGCTGCTTTCGTGACCACAAGCTGGATGGAAAGTTTTTGCGTGCCAAATATCTGGAAGAGTTTGTCAATGATCAAAGGCACTTTAATAGTAGCAACACTTCCAGTGCAACCAAGAAGAATATGAAACTTTCTGTCATCTTCCTTGGTCAAATACTCTTGGAATGGAACAGGTGGACCAACAGGAGAAGCCACCACCGTCTTGTTAGACCGCTTGGTGGCTGAATTCTTTCTTTGAAGCGCACCGCTAATTCTGATTGGCACAGCACCTGATTCCGAGTGATGAGCTTGTGGGCCTGGCGAACGACTACCTGACCTCATGCTTGAGCGAGAGCCAAAGTAAGAAGGTCTAGATGGAGGGGGCGACGGCGTGCCTCTGCCATCCAGGTTAGCCGAAACAGGAGAGTCGTTGCGGGACGATCCGAGAGACTGATGCAGTAAATTCAGTGGGTGAGTTGCTAGAGCCGGGTGGGGGTTGGAGAAGTTCTGAGCGTTGTCTGCGTCATGGACTTCACGATTCGTATGGAGCTTTTGGAACTGATTCACGAGCTGTTGCTGCTGCTGGTCAGCATAGTTCTGATGCTGTTGAAGTTGATGAGTGCTGAGGGCAGAGCTGTTTCTGCTGAGGGCCGCTGGGAGACCGTCGCCTCTCAAAGAAGCTTTTCTTGAAGGCGGGTTTCCGGAGTTGATGCTGTTCACTGTAGGAAGCTTTTGCTGCAGTGTCAAGTTGGAGGTCAGAGGCTGCGACGAGATGGTGAATCTTCTTGATCTGTCGGAACCATACTGATCCGAAAAGGAAACCAGGTGGTTTCGAGACCTTGGGTCAAAAACACCACCGGGATTCGTGCTGCCCAATCGTAAAAGCGGCGGCTGTGGAACTGGCGTCTGAGCTTCAGGAGACGGAAGACCCTGGTGAGACGCTGTGTAAGGGGAATGGCAATTCGAGCCGTTTTGTGGCGAAAACAGCAGATGTGTAGGCAGCATCGTGCCGTAGCCTCCCTGATGCAGCCTCTGTGAAGCAGCATGAGATGGCGTTGTTTCTTGCAGAGCATTGTGAGCATTTAGCGATGATTCAAGCTGGGAATGGAACGGGAAATGAGACTCTCTGGTCAGCATATGGAGTTCGCCAGGCGAGGAGACCAGAGACGACAGAGGCAGCGATGTTTGGGAGGCCCAGTGGTTTCTGGGTTGGGGTCTATTGGGTTGAGTTTCATGAACATGGTAGGTGGAGGTGTCGATGTTGGGCAATTTTTCGTGTTTCTCGGGATTAGAGCCGGGCCCGTCTTTGGGGTAATCCATGGTGGCCAGGGCTTTTCTGGTAGTGGAGTGGAATAGAGGAGGTTGCTGGGGAGAGTTGCTGACACTGATTTTGTGAGGAGGAAAAAAGCGCACTTGGTGAGGGAAAGAGCAGTGGTGAAAAAGGGCAAACAAGAAAAAAAAAAAAAAAAAAAAAAAAAAAAAAGGAACACCGAAAGGAGTTATGGAGTCATGAACTTGCGGCCTGGTTTGGGTGGCAATTTGCTTGAATAGTTGAATTCAGGAGGTGGTTCTAACACCGGCTTATTCAGCACCTAGCAAGCTGGTGCTCAGTGATCTATGGCCAATGGGCAGAAGGGAAATCAAAAAAAGGTTTGGATTCTCAGGCATTTCGGTGTGACGAAAAAAAGTCTTTTAAAGTTTACAACACTACAATGGCCTTCTCAAGATCCTCGCTCCTTGGCTGCGAAACAGAGTAAAGTTAAATTCATGAACCACGAACTCCAGAAAGTCGCAACCCCTGGGTCCTCTGGTAACCGTACCGTAATTTGCCCAGACCACCGCAAAGCAACATAGTACAAGCGTATGCTTGTGGGCCTAAATATGGTATACATCAGATCCTCATCCGATCGTCTAACTAGTCCACCGCGGCTTTAACGGAACAATGCACATAGATATTGATTCAGATATGGTTTCCAGGTGAAGTTGGCCGGGTTTTGACCGATCTGAGTCAAGTGCTTAATTTGGAAATTCAATTTTGAATACTCTGAATCAGCGTTCTGGTTCGGTTGCAAAATGCCGCTGAGCCGCAGGGCCGTTAATTCATGCTGGTGCCAGAATTCCCATTGGGTATTCTGCAATGATTCAAAACAGCCGGATTTGCGAGGTAGACGGCTTTAGGCATGGCTTAACTGTGGCTCTCTGTGAGCATGCACCTCTAGGCACTATAGCGCAATTCGGGAGGATATGGAAACAAAACGATCTGAATTGAAGTAATCTTTTATTGGGGCGGCTTTATTTATGTTGCTGTGGTGAGCTCATATTATCTTAGGCACAGAGATTCGGGTATGAGAGTAGCGTGAGCCTAACAGCATAATCACGGCATGTGCAGCATAATGGTGCGTTACATGTCCATGCTGGTGTTTATTCAATGCACTTTCGGAAGGAATATTTATTTGCATCAAGAAAATGTATTGGCCTATGTTTGGAGTGAACATCGTTAAAGCGTCTACACATGGCTATGAGTGCAGAACGCATTCCCTCAATAACACTACCACAAAACTCTAACAAAGTGTACCTCAATCCTCAATCCTCAATTTCTCAATTCCTCAATTCCCTTATTTATGTAATTCTCCGAATTACTTAAGCTTCCAAAACCTCCTGGTCAATCTCCACCCACCCTCTCCCATAGTGGAGTGCCCTCCCTCCAACTGGGCGCGAAAAAAGACAACCAACAGCCTAACCTCAACCACTCCATGAATCTCCGTCAACAATTGACACAGTTCCTCACGTTGGCCTACGTGTTCACGTCGGCTTTCGTCATGTGGAAGGGCCTCAGTGTATTTGCCAACTCCCACTCGCCGATCGTGGTGGTGTTGTCGGGTTCCATGGAACCTGCGTTCCAAAGAGGTGATATCTTGTTCTTGTGGAACAGAGACAGCCAGGCGAAGGTGGGCGATGTGGTGGTCTACGAAATCAAGGGCCACTCCATTCCAATCGTCCACCGTGTCCTCAACGAGCACCACAACGACGAAAAGCAGCTTTTGCTAACCAAGGGTGACAACAACGCATTGAACGACTTGTCGCTTTACGCCAAAAAGCAGGCCTACTTGAATCAGAAGGAGGACCTCGTGGGCACCGTCAAGGCGTACGTGCCTAAGCTCGGGTACGCCACGATTTTGATCACCGAGAACAAGTATGTGAAGTTCACGCTTCTTGGGCTCATGGGCATATCCGCTGTTCTCAGCGGCGAGTAGTAGCATAGATATACGATGAATTGAAGCTTCTGTAGGGGTGGTTGGATTGTGGTTTGACGTGAAAGAGTGTTACATGTGCTGCATTAGGATTTCCACCAGTGCCTATAGAGATGGATGTGCAGATGCCTAGTACATATGGGCACTTAGTGTTTAACAAGATGTGACATCCCAGCAGTAAACTGGCACAGGATTCGATTGGTCGTCGAAATTGACAAAAAGTTGGCTTAAGTGGGGAACTTCACTTGAACAGTAGCCGACATGTGCTGTTTCACTCTTATCGTGGTAAACGCGAGATAAGAGATATTGGACTTGCAGCCATCTAAACGGAAAAAACCCTCAAGCCATGAAACGACAAGTTCACAACCAAAGATTGGAATAATTCCCAACTCACATATTCGAATGCCGATTTGGCCTATTCTGCCAAATGAAGCCATCTTTGAACCTCTAGCCAAATCAACAGCCACCTTTTTGATCAACCAATCCCTTAAACCTAGCCCGCCTGGACCAGACCAAGTCCGACTCGAAACCGGTATGCCCCTTGAAAAACACTATAAAGTTAGCGCCATGCAGCCCGACCCATCAGATCTCAACCCTGCCAATATCCAGCGCCAAGAGATCCATGAGTACCAAAATCGATTACTTAAAAGTAGCGCTTCCAGCGAAATCTTCAAAATTTGGAAAATCCGCCAAATTCGGAACACCGGCTTGGGCGGCTGACTTGAAAGCTTATCTCATGGGAGTCTGACGCATCGGTGGTACCCATGATGGTGCAGTGCGATTTGCAGCCACTGTTCACATGCCTCACCTGAGGCTAGGATGAGCTGATGAAAGTGCCCCAACGTCGAAATGCAAAAATTTCGTAAAGATCAGAAATGTCACACTAGCGCTTTGTAAAATCCCATTTTTGGGTGGGCATCTCCTCGGGTGAGCTTATTTGGCCGTGCCATGTTGCAATGAGCATTTGTTTCTTATTCCAACGGCCGACAGATGCGAACAATGGACTAAAAAAAAGTATGGCGCTTTGATCACCCCGAACCACGGGGACTCGATTCGACATGGTTAGACATTTTTTCAAAAATCAAAAAATACCACCTTCAAAAAGAGCCACGGTTTCGGCGCCAAAGTCGTGTTTATTTTTCCGATCCACCGCGTCCGGACCACTTGGGCTCCCCAGACAGAAGAAAAGAGCGCATGCATGGTCCCGATGTCGGCATCCACACCAGATATAAATCCAAGCCCTGCACTCCTGATAATTCTGTGCTTTGATCTGGTTCTTCTTTTGGACTTTGGGCTGTTTTTCTTTATAGACTCCTCCAGAAATGCCTTTTACAGACCTCCCCAGCGAGATCATCCACATGGTCCTCTCCCAGAAGTGCCTAGGTACCGAGGAGCTCCAGCCGTTCCTTCGTTGCAAGAGAACCTCCACAGCTGCCTACCACAGACTCCTATCGGGGAGAAACATCAGCATTACGTGCCTGGACAAGCACGTGGACATGGCCGACCACTTCGATTTTGGCTTTTACGGGGTATCATCTACTTCAGACGTGGGGACCTTGCAATGCCACTTGCACCACTGCCTCAAACCAGCCAGACTGAGACTCGGGGCTCTCAAGAGGTCTTCAAAAATCACGCTAAACATGCGTTTTGACGGCACCTCCGTTGCCCTCCTCAGAAACTTGACCCACCTAGCATCGCACTTGGCTCACTCAAGCCCCAAGGAGCTCCACTTGCATGTCACATTGGCCTACGAGGGCAACGAACCATCCAAATCCATTTTCTCCGTCCTCAAGTGTCTAGCTGCTATCCCCCACTGCTCCAGCCACCTCAAGTTGTGCCTCCAGGCCCACCACCTTCTGTTTTTCGCAGCCAATATGTCTGAGCTTGACTTGACGAGTTTGAACGTGAAGACCCATGGGGAGTTTGCAGAACTGAAGGAGCCGGTCTCCTTCGATGTCAGCGGTATCTCCAAACTCAAAATTATGTCCAATTACGCCATTCCAAATTTGTCGTTCACTGGCTGCGAAAACTCGGCTCTCCAGACATTGGAGTTCCACCTCCCTATCTCAGCTCACTCCCAGTGGATCGAAGAAAACCAGCTCAAAAATCTTCAATTCTTGGAAGATCTTCGGATTTTCTCCGTCAACGACTGCCACTCCTTACAGGTCTTGTTGTCCGGAACATATACCCTCCCTCATTTACTCAACTTGTACATATCCTTTACTGAGCTGATTCACGATATCGACTGCTTTGATTTCGATACCTTTGCTCCATCCTTGGACTTTTTATTTATCCAGGACCGCCGCTCAACCAAGACATGCAACAAAGTGTGCAAGTACACTGTATAGACTAATTACACACCGTGAGCACCCTCACCGAGATGTAGAATCAATAGCCGCCAACAAAAAGAAAAATAACACACTAGGAGAAAAAAGAAATGCCTTCAGCCAGATTCGAACTGACGATCTCCTCATTACTAGTGAGGTGCCTTACCAACTTGGCCATAAAGGCAGCTCGAAACGACCTCGGTGAGGGTCGAACTCACGATCTTAAGATTAACAGTCTTACGCCTTAGCCAACTTGGCCACGAAGTCTTTCAAGTTGTATGACAGAACCGCGCAAACAGCTATATAAAGCCATTTACATGTTATATGCAGGTGCCCAAATTCGTCTAGACCTTCAGTTTGACCACAGACCTCTAGAAATTGCATCAATGAACATATTAAGGGGCTAATATGTAGAGAGTTGTTCTTCCTAGCATCCACTTAATTGATTAATTAGGTTTCGACAAATTTGTCCAGAAGCACAACCGATCAAAAGGTGGGATAAATTTTGGAAAAGCCTTTACAAGGAAGAATGGCTCAAACACAATGACTTCGGAGCTATTCACCATTTCAACTTCGGATCATATGTGCCAATACATGACAGAGAAAGCTCAGAACAAGAAAAATTACTTGTGTTTAAATCAACAGCTGCTGAATGAAATGCTCTCACACATATACAACGAGTGTGCGGTGTCACGATTCTGGTGGCAAAGAGTGGGGTTTACAAATGAAATGAATCTCAGAGAGATGCTAGCCCCTGAAGACACCTCCTTTGACAATATTCGCAACTTGAACTGATTTGTTAAGGTGGTGAAACTGGATTAGTGGTTGTGTTTCTATAGCGATATAGTTTTCGGCTTCGAGTAGAGGGAAATTCTCTGTCAGAAGTGTCCGGCTAATACATTCTATTAAAAATATAATGGTTTTCAGATCCTGAATGTCTCGAGCGATTTATCTCATATCCTCCAATCAACTGAATTCATCTACTTGGTTCCGTACCCTACCTTGTTGACTATATAATGCTTAGACTAGATGGCTTCAATTCTGGCAGTGTATGAGTTTGTGCAGCCGACGTTTCTGACCAACACTCTCTTGGTATCCTTCAGCTTTGCACTAACGAACCCGATACCAGTTGGATTACCTTCACTTAAATTGAACGTTCCAGTTGTTATAAATCCAATGAGCTCTTCGAGCTGCGGTTCCTTAGCCTTGCCTTCGGGGATTTCGTAGATTCTGGCAGAGTCCCTGATGATACCCTTGCCGGTCAAGGTCACTCTTCTTTGGACAACAGGCAAGGATGGGAACTTCGAGACATCAGGCTTGAACGTGCCCTCAACAATCGCTTTGTGGGTGGGGTCATTTTTCTTGTACCACGTTATTGGAAGCTCGCTCATCTTCATGGGTTTTCCTGAACTCTTCCATTCTTCCCTAACTGCTTCGATAACCGTGAGAACGTCATTTCTGTCAAGAATTTTTCTGAATCTAGCGTCTGTGAATTCTCCAAAAGGATGCTTTCTAATGAAGTCCTTCTCGATAAGAGGGTATGTGAATGTCCACTTCCTAAGGAAGTACCAGTCACCTCCTGCTAATTCAAGACCTTGTTCCATTGGAATTGGCTTTCTTTTGCTGGGCGGCATCTTGCTTCTCTTGATGTAGTACGCCTCCTGTAATGCTTCGTTGTGCTTGTAGCCTTCCGGAAGTAAAGGAAAGTCATGTGGAAATGTTGGTCTTCCTTGCTCAAAGTTAATTTGATGCTCTTGACGAAGTCCACCCGTTTTGACACCAGGAATTTGGACGAGCTTGCTCCAGAGAGGCTGAATCCAGAACCATGGAGCTAACACAGCCCACGTCTGATTAGCACCTTTGGTGATAAGCAATGGGATTTCACTGCTATTCTGAATCCTTTGGGAAAATGGGTCTGCGCGATCAAACTCTCGTCCAATCTGTTTGATTGAAAACATATCCTTGTAGGAATCTGTTCTTCTTTGGCTTTGAAGAAGGCCCGTTATCGCATCAATGTCTATGAACAGTTGCTTCAGGGCAATGACCAGAAGAAGGTCTCTGTTGTTTCTGGGAGGTTGTGGAGGAGTAATTGGCCGTTTCCAGCATCTAGGATCCTCAACGTAAAATGCAAATGTAGTGCCCTCGGGTATGAGAGCAGAGTCGTTGGAGTTGCTAAAGAGCAACCAGTTCAGTGATGTAGTGTCTTTTGCACCTTTTAAATGAATGGTTTTGCTGAGTATCTGGAGAGCTGTAGGGCCCGTCAATTGTAAACTACCAATGGCGTAACGGCAGTCGGTCACGGTTGCTTTTAAAGCTTTGGCGAAATTGACTAAGTGATTGAAAACCTGCTCATAGACAGAGGGGTGAACCCGTAAGAGGAGCAGTTTATCATGGACAATGACCATGCCTGGGCAAATCTTTTGGTTGGCTGCAAAGATCCACCCAGAGTAGGCTTTCTCGCCTTTTAAAAGCCATTGAGGCACTGGCGAGTTGTATTTGGTCAATTCCAGTAAGACAGCTTCGATCCCCGTTATATCCACACAATCGATCACCATCTCACCGTAGTAGGAAGTGTCAAAGAGTACAGTTCCCTGTTTAGCGGCTCGACTGGTAGCTCTGAAACATTTCTGGTTCGGGCTAAAGGGAATTTGGAACCCCCATTTTTTCATCATATGGAACCGCTTGGCATGCCATATATGCGTAGGTTGCCATGTATACGTTTTCTGGCGACTTCCATACTTCACGTTTCCCAGAGGTTTAGGCGCTAATGTGCCAGTAGAGCAGTTATCAACTGCACCGACAATATTATTCAACGGCTTGAGCTTCTTTCGTTGTAAATCAGTCAACTGAACGTTAAGCTCTTTGAGCCTCTGGGGTATAGTTTTCCCAGTGTTTGCCGCTGCAATTCCTCGAAGCTTTTTAATTTTCGAGGCCACCAATAGAAGCTTCTTCTGTTGTTTAAGTCTGTACCTTTCTCGGCCTCGAGGCTGTTTTTCCTTTGGAGGAACGCCATTGATGGTGCTCTGCATCTCTCTCAATGCCTTGTTCCTCATTCTCTTGGGTACTCTCTTCACGTTATGCGAGGCCGTTCTTCGACGAAGTGTCCTGGGAAGACTCTGGAAAACTCGGTTAGACGAGGCATATTTGGTGTTCAATTGACTGTGTTCGAATGCTTTGATCTCATACTCTCTTGATGAAAGGAACTCTGGAATACTAAGGATACCGTCGTTGAAACTTGGATCGACTATCTCTGTCCTAATAGCCCTGCTGTTGTAAAGCTTCGCTTTTCGAGCGTTTACAGGGGTTTTGGTGGCATCTCCTATGGTACAGATATTTGGAAATTCGAGATACTATAGATATTCTCATCGCGCGCAGTATTCACTGATTTCTATGAACAGTTAAAGACGAGCCACACACGCTAGATAAATAGTCATTTCCAAAAATTTCAATTTACGACTTATTGAGTTAAAGCTACAACATTTGGTACCGGAAGCTGGATTAAAATACTTTTATATGATATGACGTAAAGTTAGGCTTAGTCTTCCACTCTGCTGCCTGAATATGCTGATGCTCAAGTTAATAGTACGAAACGCTGTAGAGCGTGGGTAAGTGAACATGGTCGAGCTGCCATTGCGCTAGGATCTTCATGATCTCGTCTTCCATTATAACAGGATACTGGTCCTCGTCGCCCTCGTTGATCTTTCTCTGTTTCTCCTTCTCTCTATACTCATGAATCATCTTGACCAATTTGACAATGCCTTTACCACCGATTTTGGCGTTCTCGTTATCGTCTTTAATGTCCACATTGATCACATGGACTACCAGGCGAACGTCTTTCTCTTCAGCCTCTTCGGGCTTGTTGTTCATTCTCATCATGAGGTCCTCAAGCACGGAATCAAAGCACCTCTCCTCACAAGTAATGACAAGATCAAACTTTCCCGATGCTGCATTGGCGTGCCATTTTTCTGGTGCTTTCTTGACTTGTCTGTTTCTGTCCAACATGGATATTAAGCCGTTTGCCTCATACATCTTTCTATAGTCCTGTGATATCAAATCCTGGTAGATTCTCTCATATGGCGTACCAAATTCGTAAACATTGGGTTTGTCTATTGAAGGTCCTGGAAGTTTCACTGAAGAACCCGTTCCGAATGAGCTGACATCGAATCCGGCGTCTCGAAGTTGTTTATGAGATTCCATGGATCTATTGTTATTAGATGCACAGACCGTGCATATTCTCATAGTGTCGGTAGCCATGAGGGTGTAAAATGTGTTATGATTATTTCTAAGTAAGTAGTATGCTAGACCAATTGGTCTGTTGGTGATGCTAGATACACCTCGAGTAGGGCGTGTGTGCACTACCCAACAGCCACTGCCTTCTGGGACCCTGTTTTGAGCATCATAAATAATAGTTTGAGAGCCGGGCCTGCCGGTATTCCCCTCATTACATTAATTCTCATCCTCTAATACTGTGACTTTCGAAGGACCCTCGACAATGTCGTATTTCGCAGCCATGGAGTGCGATGTATCTTCAGCTCCCTCCTCCTCTGAACCGAAATCGTCCCCGATATCGACAAAATCACTGAGATCACCCGCATTTTCACCCTTTCTGTCAGTCTCGGTGCTACGCTCATGGGTAGAATGCGATACGGACCTTCTCGCAGGGGCACGGTCGTGGAAATGAACGATCTTGTTTCGTCCTTGTAGTTCGGTCTTAAGTGACTGATAGTCATCGTACGATTCAACCAAAAGTCCCACAACCATAGAGGGATCAAGTCCTGATATAGGCACAGTGTTGCACGAGAGCGGCTTGTAAGAACCGTTGGTCTCGTCTACCTGCTGCGAAGAGTGGGGATCCAAGTAAAGAAGCAGTTCACCTTGGTAGCCAAAAAAGTAGTAGCTTGAAGAAGGCTTGCCTCCTGAAATACCCATGGAATTCGTTAACGACAAAAGCTGGAAAAGACTTGGGTAGTAGATCGAGTTGATGGTCTCTATACCGAGACGGATTGGGAACAAGAGAAGAAGCGGACTCATCTCTTTTAGGGCGGTCTTTATCTCGTCATCATGGAGGTCACAGCTCTCGCAAATCATGACATTCAAGCGAGGCACAACCGAGACAGTCGAACCGGAATTCTCATTAGCCTTGGTACAAAGACGTTTAATAGACAAAGATGCGGCACTAGGTCCAAACCACTGCCCTGGTTTCACCTTCAAAGGCAGATGAGACGCCACCCCAACAAAATTATGCAACGAAAAGGGGCTGCTGTAGGAGTCCTGGAACAAGGCAACCACCTGGCTATTGATGGCCAGCCAATCTGGCGTATTACCCTCGGCAATAGCGGCCCGTACTAACACCGTCTGAAGCGTATTAGCTAGTAAACACTGGGCCGTTCTGATCATGCATCCCCAGCCCACGTCTGACTTGAAGCTGTTGTTATCGAAGAAGCCCGTAAAGGCACCATGGGGGTTCACACCGTGGACTATCATCGAGCCTAAAAAGGAAAGTGGACTAGGCCCGTCCAAGGATCGAGGGATAGGTTCGAACCCCGTTCTATAAGTAAACCAGAGCCTGCGTTGGATTGCATGCTCAATCTCCGGCAGAGTTAGATTGCCCGTATAAGAGGTCCCCATGATGACTACGGGGCCGTTAATCTCATCTTCCAGTAGTTCTGGCGATCTGAGTCTCTGCCAGAACTGGGCTAATGCATTTTGGAACGTGTTGGGCTGATCGGATGTGGTGGTTTGTGATTCTGTGGCTGCTTGTGGATTTGTTGCATTTTGAGCAATACCGACATCCTTGCCGAGGCCCGAGACATTTACTTCTGATTCACGTGAGGACGTAGTGGCGTTCTCCTCCAGATGGTCGAGTGACATCGAAACGTGGAGGAAGAAGGTATTGATGATAATAGAGCTGGCTGCGGGAGTGCACGCTTGCCATGCCCTTATCGTTATCAACACCAGGGTCGTTGGGAATGCAATAAATTTTTTTGTATTTTTTAAATGATTAGTATTAATTGATTTTTAAGAGAAGGCGTGGTTTTGTTGGCTGTTTGGTATTCTGACGCTGTTAGTCTGTGGTGGTGGTACTTATCAACCTATACTAGCGAGTGGCGGTGAGCGCTTTATGACCCCCCTACTATCGTTTTATGATATTTTTGAATCTGTAGTGTGAATAATTGGAGGACGTTAATCAATTTTCGAAAGGTCAGATTTTTGGATTAGTGGTGCAGAGTATTTACACACTGCCACCGACATAGCATACTACTAACAAAGTCACTCATCAGCACAATTAATAGAGATTGTGTTAGACATCTTTACCCAGGGGTTCTTTTGTAATTTTTGTTGTCCACTTTGTGTGATGCATTTTAATCGTTAACTGTTGGTGGTCACATTAGGTCATGAACTCGATAAAGTTTACTGGACCTAGCTTGACAACCCATTCAACTCAGATACTTAGTGTCAAAAATGAAACGGTCGAATAATTCTTCAAAAACTTGTCGACCTTCGATGTCGGAACGACTGACCTTTGGGGACCAACGTCCCGGTTTTAGCCATACACCTGAAGCCTGGTGGCTCTGATGAAACACACTTTCTCCTTGTATCCAGCTGCATGTCGAAACTACAAGCGCAATTCTCCAAACCTCGTGCAATTGAAGCCCTGCTTTAGGGAGTTCCGTGTGCGGTTTCGAGCCAATTGGTCCGGTCTCCAAACATACATTCTGCGTGGTAGCCTAACCATTGTGGTACATGGAAGATTTTAAGGGTCAAGGTACCGTGGCTCTTGATCCTCGAGAAGGTCCGGCCAATGGAACAGAAGTAGGAAAAGGGATGTACTGTTTTAGATGGTAGGAAAAAGGATCGAATCTAGATTCGAGCTGAAATCGATGGATATAAGGCAATTGCATGAACCTTAGAAGTCAATTATATCCACGGTGTAGTAAGAAGATTTTAGGCGAGATTCATTTGGAGTAACGACGACCGAAGTTTTAGATTTTATTTAGATCTTTTCAAAAATGAACCTTTTCGACTGTGGAATTGGTTCCAGCCTCTACCTTCAGCTCAGCGACTAAACTGCAGAAACCACATACATCGATGTGACCTCATCGATCCAGGGTCCCCACCTCGAAGTACCATGAACCCGAAATCTACAATTTCAAAGGCAAAACCTACTCAACTACTCCAAACTTTTTTATGCAATTAATCAATTCTTTTACTTTTTTTTAAAAAAAATCCATTTTCTGCCCTTCCACGCTCATGTACCAGCCTCTTGTGGCAGGGAATAATTGCTGCGCGAATACTACATATCGCTATAGTAGAGCCTCTGAGTCCGATAGTGCTACTCTTTTCTACATTACATGCCACGCAAAAAAGGAAATTTCAAGGGAAACGCCCGTGGGGGATCGCTGAGAGGTGGTCGTGGGGGATCTCGTGGAGGCGGCCGTGGAGGAACTAACTACGGCCGCTTCTATCTCAGTAAGTCTGCCAAAAGGAAAGGCAGAGGCAAATTGAATCCCAGATCCCTGGGTGGCTACGAGGACCCTGAACTCATGGACCTCGGCGCAGACGAATATATGCCAGTGGTTGATCTAGAGCCTCCGGCGCCACTGTCGATGAAAGCTCTTTCTAGAAGACCTAACAGATCCATGGTGGAGGAGGCTAGATACACCGATAGACACCTGGGCCAGACTATGAAGGAGCCGCTTCGAAACAAGCCTTTGGTGTTTGTGAAGTCTGTGGAAGTGTACGATCCAAGCAAGTTTACGGTGGACCGTCTTTTGAAGAAGGAACCTTTTGAGATCACCCAGGAACTCGAGCTGCTTAGGGTCGATGACAAGGAGGAGAATGGTGGCGTTGACGAGGACGTGTCAAGCGAGTCTGAAGCTACAGAAGCATCCAGCGAAGATCGTGAATCTGGCGACGAAACTGCCAAGGAGGAGTTATCTGAAAGTGCTAAAGAGAGCGATGGCGAAACGGAAGCAGAGAAGGAGGCACGTTCCTCTGACGACTGCCAGGAACAGGCAACCATCGATGTGGAAATGCATCTGGAATCTGACGACGAGACGACCTCGGTGGAGGCCTCGGACCCGGACGATGATGAGCCCTCCTTCGTTATCGACGATCAAGGTGACGAAACGATATCTGCCCTCTACAGCGCACCAAAGGCTTCTACGAGTGAGGTGATCCAGGAGGCCCGTCTCAGAATGCCCACGTCGGAACCAGATCTGCTCAACGTCGATCTCGCTGACCCCGTGGCCCATCTTGAGCACGATCCATACTTCTCAGTTGGTAAGGTTCTTCTTCGCACAGAGATTGACGAAGATGGCTCTCTTGCAGCTTCCATACCTCGTGGCAACGTCGACAGGAGCGGCACAGGGTTCAAGGAGCTCGACAGCGACTACTATGAGGAATATTCAGACTCTGATTCAGAAGGTGCTTTCGAGGACTACTTGGCTCAAATCATGGGTGCCAATGATGCCCATGACGACTACGACAGCATGAGTGAGGATGGCGCCAACGGAGTGTACTTGAGTGAAGACGATGGTCTCGATGGAGTTCATGTTTCTGATGAAGATGGCCTTGAAGGAGATGACGACGGTCTTGATGACATCTTATCTTTCGCACAAAACCAGCAAAAGAGCTTTGCTGACATTGATGTACCTCCAACAAAGACGCTTCGCGCCAAGGGCCGTACCAAGAAGCTCAGACTCGAATTTGAGGAGGCTGTCGATGCCGAGCTTCGTGAGTCACTCCTCGAGCAATTCCAGTACCAAAAGACATCAAGGCGAGAGAAAAAGCTACGCAAGAAGGAGAGACTCAAGAACGAGGGTCTTGAGAAGAAGGACCTCTTTGTCAAGTATGACTACTCCCTACACATCCAAGACATTAAAATGGAGTTTGAGGATTTCTTGCAAGATGCTGAAAGGGAGAACATGAGCTTCCCGCCCTTGGATCCACATGGTAACAAGACAGTTAACAAACTCGCAAAGCACTACAACATGAAGTGCACAAGGTGTGGAAACGGCCGCCACATTTTCATGAAAATAAGCAAGGCTCGCAAGACTTTCCACTACCTTCCCGACTACAATCTGATAAATTACGTTATGAAGCAACGCCCGATCTTCAAGAGGTCTGACGTCAAGAAACGGACCAGAGAGGAGATTGAAGAGGCCGATGAAAAGGCAAGTGGCAGACGCGGCCCCAAGAACAGAGCGTACGTTAAGGAAGGTGACGTTGTTGGTGGTGAAGCTCCTGAAATTGCCCAGAACAACATTGGTAGACAGTTGCTTGAGAAGTTGGGTTGGGTTAAAGGTGAAGGTCTTGGTGCTCATGGAAACAAGGGTATCAGTGTTCCTCTCATGGCTACAGTGAAGAAGTCCAAGACTGGTTTGAAGTGATGACGGTGGTTGATGCATTATATAAATATAGACATAGAATTTACGACTCCACGACCTTATTTACCCTTCTTCTTAGACTTCTTCTTAGACTTCTTTGCGGTAGCATGGCCCGAATCTTCGATATGCTTGAAGAGCTGATTTCTTGATGCAAATGGTTCGTCACAGACCCCACAAATCTCTGAGGCAACCTTTGGAGCCTCTGGAATGGGCTCTTGTCTCGTTGGCTCCTCCGACTTCTGTTTCTTCTTCTTTTTAGTCTTTTTCTTGCCTGTATCCCAGTCGTCCTCGTCGTCATCTATCTTCATTCCATTAGCGAGCTGAGCAAGCTCATCATCAAGGTTCTGAGTTTTCGCAGAACGTCTTGACTTTGATTTCTTCTTGGGTTTGAGTTCTTCCTCCTCGTCCTCGCTTTCTTCACTATTGATTTCGTCGTCCACTTGTAAGTCGTTGAGATCCGTCTCCATTTTTGGTTCTTCAGACTCGACCACAACCGCCTCAGAAACCTCCTGGTCGATTTCATCATTTATATCCTCCGATGACTCAAAGTCACCCCCATTATCAAAACCCAACTCAACCCCCTCTCGAAGCAATTCTTCTCTGAGCTCTTGCACAGCCTGCTTGTGCTTCTTCGAGCGCTCGTGGGCATCCATTTGGTTCTGAGATTTGAACGTTTTATTACATGCCACGCAGTCGAATAAGTTCTCGTTGGCGTCTGCAAATTCGTCAAACTCGCTATCAGTAGTGGTATCACTGCCCAACTCGTATTCTGCTTTGAGCAACTCTTCAAGCTCATCTAGCTCCTCACTGCTGAACTTCTGCCAGTCCTGAACCTCAAAGTCATTCATCTCTGCGAGCTGCTGGATGCGCTGCTGCTTGGCTTGTTTCTCTAGATTCTCTCGCTCTTGCTTCTTTCTGGATACTTCAAACTTCTCCACACCCTTCTTAACACGAGGATCTCTTTTCTTGACAAATGTGACAAAACGCCTGACGGTCTCGTTGTACTCCTTTCTGGCGTTGTCCCGAGACTTCTTGTTTTCCTTCTCCATGAGCCTTCTTGTCTTTCTATCAGGAGCAGCCGAATACCGGTACTGGTCCATCCAGGAGAACGATTTGACCGTCAGAAAGCCACCCCATGTGCTGTAGAACTTCCTCACAGAACTGGCGTAGTCTGCGTGGGAGTTCCCGAATCTAGGAAACAAGAGGACAGATTCATCCAAGGCAGCCACATTGGGAGAGTCATCCATGTATTTCAGATGGCTGGAGAGCTGCTGGTATTTAGCATGAGCGACTTCTTCGGAGGCCAATCTTTCAAAAACTCTAGAGGCAACACTGTAGAATCCAGCTAGGGAATCATCTATCCTCAGGAAGAAAGATGGATTGAAGTATCGTAGAAGCTCCTGGACGGAGATGCTGGGAATGACCATTTCAGGGACGTAGTCATCGTCAAACTCGTCGTCATCTCGAAGAATCTGTGACTTGTGACTATCGTACCATGCTCTTTCTTGGGGATCTGAGAGAACCTCATATGCTGCTCTAACCAAGGCAAATCTGGCATTTGCTCCTTCCACATCGTGAGGATTTTTATCTGGATGCAACTGGAGGGCTTTTTTCCGGTAAGCCTTCTTTAACTCATTTTCGGTCGCCGTCAGTTCCACCTGTAGAAGCTCATAGTAGCATGTCTTCATGGTGGTGATGAGGCTGGATTTCGTTTATCTACACTTCGCGCTGGATTTTGCAACCACCGGTTACACCTTGGGTTTCCGAAATAATATTTTTTATTTTCCTCTTTCTCTATTTACCAGCCTTTGGAATGATAGTCGTCGTTGTCATCCTCAAACATCAATCTTTCCTGGCCCCCAAATAAATCCTCCTCGCTGATCACCCGCTCAGGTAGCGGCACTTTCCCAAGTCTGTGGTCTATGAGAAGTGAGTCCTTGAGGGAGCCACTCACTTCGACTGAAGGCTCGAAAGTTTTGGTAGGGATCGACAGAGTCTTCACAGACTTGCTCAACATTGGTGGCTCCTCCGATTCCTCTGGCAATGGAGCCGAGGTTCCAGAAGTGGCGGACTTGTCACTGACAGAGTCCTTCAGAGCCTTCAAGCTGTCGTTGGAAACGGTTCTGTGGCCGCCTGGTCTAAGTCTGCGGTCGTGTTTGGACTGGCCAAAGAGCGACGTGAGACTGAGGGAACTCTTAGAGAGGAAGTTCTTGAGAGAGCTGCCGTGAGGGTGAACGTTGGAGTATTTGCTCAAGCTGGATGATATGGTACACTCGCAGTTCTCGCAAGACTTCGGAGCAGAGGCTTCGCTGATGCTGAGGCTGCTGAGGTTTGTGGTCGAGTTGGCGTTCACCATGAAGTTCAGAAGACCAACACTGGAGGTCTGCTTGGCGAATAGAGCACCTGAACTATCTTTGGCGTTTGCGTCCGTGGCAGAATCCTCCTCCTCAACAAAAAGAACAGGCGAACGCTGCGACAGCTTGGAGATATCGGAGTAGGATGCATACCGCTTGGAGAACATGATAGATGGACGGAGTAGCTGCTTCTTATCCTTGGTATTCGAAGAGGCACTGGCGTTAGCCTTGTCGATGGTGATGACGCCCGTAGTGGAGGACCTCTTGAGCACGGGTTTAGGCGCTGCAAGAGACTCCTCATTGAGAGAAGTGGGCTTCTCAGCCATGGAGTTCAAGAACAAGCCAGACAAAAGCGACCGAGGTTTTGCGAGGGGCGATGGCTTCACGGTCTCTGTAGACAAATCAGCAGCATCGCCTGGCGACGAGCGGGCACCTGGAACAGGCATGGGCGTCACCTTGGCGAAAGTGAGTGGTTTGGTGGGCAGACCCTGGAGGTTCTTCTCGTCCTCGGACGATATTGAGATCCACTCGCTCTCGTTATCAGACTTCATGGAGCGGCTCAGCTTGGACACTGTGGACGGCTGGCGCACACGAAGCTCATGCAAATCGTCTCTTTCCTCGTCTTCAGAAAGCTCAGAGGAAGAAACACTGGATACGTCATCTGGAGAAGCTCTGCGGAGGTTCTGGGCCGAGAAGAGCGAATCCTGGCGCTGAAATGGCGCCTTTAGCTGGCTTAGCGGCGGAGCTAGGTCAGCTTTTGTTTCCTCTGGCTGGCCCTCGACTTTTGGAGAAGATGTGTTTGCCTGAAGCGAGCTCGAGATCTCGTGAGTCGTCGCCAGCGTGTGGCCTGTGCCGCCTGAGGGGAACGCCAGCGTTCTGCTATCACTGCTGGAGCGTGCTGGGGAGGGTGTGTTTTCGATGAAGAAGATGTTCTTCTTTGGATCTGGCGGAGTGACTTTCGGCGCCAGCTGGTCCAGCTGCAGCAGGGTCAGCTCCAAGTAGCGTGAGCTACACGGTCCAGAAGGACGAGGAAGCCGTTGCCGTCGACACGACTCGGAACGACTATGGTCCGAGTTGGTATGCAGCAGGCTGAGGCCATGGTAGTTGTGGTAGTCATCGTCTTCGGACAAATCAGAGGTGTCGTCGCCAGAATCGGAATAGTTTTTCGGCTCCTTCAGGAACAAGGACGGGCGGCTGGGCGCCTCGGAGGCGTATATCGTGGGAGCCTTGTGGGAGTCTTTGGACCGATGGGGAAGCGGCGCTTCCGGGAGAGCCATGGCGAACTTCAGCCTGACACGTTCACAAAAAAACCGTTCGTTGAGAAGACGCCAGTGGCGGTTGGCAGCACGGGTGGGTTCACCAGAAACACTGGGCTGGGAGGAATGGGCGTTTTTCCAAAGCTTAAATAACAGTAAGTGGTCTGGGGCGTCAGACGGGAGATCAACGGCAGGCAACGAGGGACAGGGCGTGCACAAGGAGGCCATATAGCCGTTGAGTTTTTCGAAAAAAGGGGCCTTATCAAGAAAATCGAGATGCTGGCGCTGGCTGGGAAGAAATGCCAGTGGAGAATTTTCACAACCACACCAGTGGGCAGCTTGCAGTATCAGTGAGTGATCACCAGGCTGCCTGTATCTCCCCCACGTGAGCCTCCATCAGCACACCAAGCCATGATTTTTTAGGTTTGACGGGTTGGGCGATTTGGTAGTTGCTACGAGAGAAAAGCAGGTTTAACAGTTTTTGAAAATTTTGGGTTTTTTGGCGGTTTTGATGGACATGTTTCGTTCTCGATGGGGTCAGGCGGGCTTCGGGATTCGCGCTATCGCTATCATGACGGGTGAATGACCTTGGCTGCCTCCGCTGCTCCTATGTTACGGGTGTTTTGGGCGGCGCACGACGGACCGGTTTTTAACGGTTTGAAGATTTTGGGAATTCGGTGATTTTACAAATTTGGCATTTTTAGACTTGCAGTGAAGAGAGGGATTTTTACGATGTGGCGGTCTGCGGCGTGGGCGGGTGGATCTGAAAAATTTCTCTAGCAATGCGATGGCCCAGTGAGCCCATCGGTCATGAAGAAGGCGATGCGCCGATGGCTTGTAGTGTTTTCACGTGATAACAGAAGATTTCTTGAAAAGAGGTGGTTTCTTGGTGTTTTTGGTTTGGAGGTTTTTGGAGAGGGTTTGGTTACGGGTGCCTTGCGAATGGTTGCAAATGTGTCAATGTGAGGGAGACATGGTCCAGTGGTGGCCCAACTTCGATCGCACGATATGTGTAAAATTTTCTCATTTATGAATCTCTTTCAAATCGCTTTGATCTCTGTATCCCTGCACCGGCTTTGCTTCGCTTTGTTCTGCTTGTCTAGATCTGTCTACTCTTCTTCCTCCTAATCTAATGCAACCGCTGAGGCTCAGGTTGCGAGTTTTGCACCCACGACACAGGGTCCTGCCAAGCGGATCAACCAATGAAACAAGCGAATTCTAATCAGTTTTCAACAATTGGCATCCTTTAGAGCCACTTCGACTTCAAAAACCCCAATTTCGTGGAAAAGTCTTAAACCTCCTTCTGCCCCTCTTTGTGTGACGATCGCTAAGCGAGAAAATCGAAGCTTTTAGGCGCCGGGACATGGATCCAGGCTTCGCACTTCGTGTTGCCATACTAATTCGAAGCATTTTTCAAAGTTCGATTCACGATTCTATAAGCTTCGTTCTCGGAAAGAACCGGAACGCAAATTGCAACAATAGCGATGGTGACAATGGGGACCACGGGACGAACGTTGGCGACTGCAAAGCGGAGAAGAAGCTAAAAACGCTGGTTATGAAAGTAGCATGATTCAGGTGGGACAGGTGTTTCACTTGCTAATCATCTGGTTATCATGTGCTGGGTTGGCTTAACGGGAAGAGTGTCACCGTTTGCTTCAATTGACAATTACGAGAACGATAGAGAAACAGTAGATTCATAAATTTCAAATCACTCACAAACCACCACAGATCTGCTTCTTTTTTCAGCACCTGTCCTTCTATTTCTCGTCACTGGCCTGCACCTTTAAATAGCTCCAGTGTGTGCCTGACCCTATGACCTCAGTCACAAGAACACGCTTGCTATCCCGGTCCACGAAAACATAAAAAGTAGGTAATTTTCGGGAATGATCCAAAAAGTAGACAATTCCCAAAATCCAGATTCTCGAGCCCAGCGTCCTCGACCTGCCTTTTCCGGAGTTACCCATGGCTGCAAACTAGCCACAACTGCGCCGCACATGCACCACCCGAAAGCAAGCAAACTCAATGGAACCAGCGATCTCCACAATGGCGGGAGCGTTTCGGCCCAAAATTGGCCAAATCACTCAATTGACTCAGTTTAACAAAACGGCGGATTTGCAGCCTTTTATATCCCAAGGTGGCGCCACAATTGGCAGTAGACACCCCCACCTTGCGGTGCGCAAGTCTACCTTAGCAACCATAGGGCCCCTCAGGCAAAAAAGCCGTGCCCTCCAGTGATTCTATGCCTGAGTATAAATAGGACCCGATTCCCGGACCGACCAGCCATCAGCTTTTTGCTAAACAACTTTCCGTAAAACATGTCCAAGAAATTGCTCGCAGGTTTGGTCGTCGTGGGCGGCGGCGTGTGGTACTACGACCAGAACATCCACCCCATCTTCTCCAATGACGAGAAGTTGAAGCACCAGGTCACTCAGGCCAAGAAGGATGCTACTCCAAACGAAGACACCAACAGGGAGCTCCGCAAGCTAGACAACAAGGCGCGTGACTTTGGTTCCCAATTGAAGCAGACCGCTTCCAAGTCCACTGAGGATGTCCGCCACAAGGCCGACTCCACCCTCGACTCGGTCAAGGACCTGGACTTGTACAAGAAGTGGTCCAAGAAGTTGGATCTGTACGGCGACGACGTGAAGCTTGCTTCCGAGGAGATTGAGAAGAAGCCTGTTGGTCACCGTGTAGCTGCCAAGTACATTGACTGGGTCAACTCGTTGGGCCAGACTGAGGACGAGAAGTTGAAGGAATTGGCCAGCTCCAACCCTCGCAGACAGCACGAGATTCGGGACGAATTGAACCGCTCCAACCAGACGTGGGGCGAGTGGTGGTCCGGCAAGAAGGACAAGCTCGACGACAAGGCTGAACAGGCCAAGAAGGACGCTGAGCAGAAGAAGGACCTGTGGTTCAACTGGGGCCAGGAGAAGAAGGACGAGGCCCGTGATAAGGCTGAGCAAGCTAAGAAAGATGCTGAAAACAAGAAGGACTCCTGGTTGAACTGGGGCCAGGACAAGACGGATGAGGCTCGCAACAAGGCCGAGCAGGCTAAGAAGGACGCCGAGAACAAGAAAGACTCTTGGTTGAACTGGGGTCTGGACAAGAAGGACGAGGTGGAGAAGGACGCTAAGGACGCCAAAAAGGACCTCAACCTGACCTGGGACAAGCAGAGCAAGGAGTGGTCTGAGAGCCTCGAAGCTGGAAAGCAGAGAGCCTTGGACGAGTACTACCGTGCTAAGAAGAACGTCGAAGACTTGACCAAGAAGGCCAGCGAGAAGACCTCCAGCGCCCTCGGTAACGACAACAAGAGCCCTGAGGTGAACCCTGACGACCGTTACTTGACCAAGGCCAAGGACGACCTCCAGAACGCTTTCAACAACTTGAGCAAGTACGGTGGTGACTTGGTCGACCAGGCCGACAAGGCCATCCGTGGCGGCAAATAAGCCCCCGGCTAGATGCCATAATTAGTAACAATGTTCATGTAAAGCGAGAGTGTAGATGTATTTGCTTCTATGTACGTGCTGATCATCGCGAATCGCAACTACTATGATTCCATCACTGTGTCTTCGACAGGTCTACAAAAGCGTACCTAGACTATATAATATACCCAATGAGTTGCTTAAAGCAGAATCGCTAGGTCTGGTTCCCACTCACGAGCTAGTTTCAAAGCTAGGTCTCGTTCAATACCCAAAAGCCGGTCTAGTACATTGGCTACCTTCTGGAAATGCCATCAGACAGAAACTTGAAGGGCTTATAAGGAATAAAATGAATGGCACAGGAGCAGAAGAAGTTTCTCTTTCTGCCATTTCCCATTCGGCTCTCTGGGAGCAAACAGGCCGTTGGGGAGGTCATGAACTCTTCAAGTTGAAGGACTCCACAGGTTCACACTACTGTTTAGTTCCGACTTGCGAGGAGGAAATCACCCATTTAGTGAAACAGGGACTTAAATCATACAAAGATTTGCCGGTGACGTACTACCAAATCAACACGAAGTTCAGGGATGAAAAGAGACCTCGTTCAGGGCTACTCAGAGGAAGGGAGTTTGTCATGAAGGACGCATACTCCTTCGACTTGACCGAGGAAGAGGCATTGGAGTCTTACAATAAAATGATTGAGGCGTATGCTTCTGTTTTCAAGAAACTCAGGGTGCCGTTTGTCAAGGCTGAGGCTGATTCTGGCGATATTGGTGGTTCGCTTTCTCACGAATGGCACTACGTTCATGCTTCTGGCGAGGATACACTCTTTACGTGCCTGGAATGTGGCAATGTGCTGAATGTCGAGAGGACATTGTCGTATCCTCATGAGGAGCAGCAACACGACGACGTCAGAGTTAAATACTTCACCACTGACGATGAAAAAACACTAGTGTGTGCTTACTACCCTGGCTCTAGGGAACTTCAACCGCTGTTTTTGACCGAAGAAATTCCTGACATTGACCTCAGTGGAAGGCTCAGTGAGGAAGAGGTGTTGGCGTTGTTCAAGGACGAAGATACCTTGATCAACAAGAAGATCGTGCGTATCATGGACCTGAGGCTCAACCTGCGCCTGAACTTCCCTGACTTCCCTATTAACTTCATCAACCGCTCTTTGATCACCACATTGGCGGACGTTCCTATTGTGGCTGCCGAAGAAGGCGAGTTGTGCCATAAATGCGAGGAAGGCTCATTGACCTCAAAAAGAGCCATAGAGGTCGGTCACACCTTCTACCTTGGCAACAAGTACTCCAAAGCATTAGAGTGCCAAGTGGAGGTACCAGTGGATGGGGCCATGAAGAAGCAGGATGTTCTCATGGGGTGCTACGGAATTGGCATCTCCCGAATCATTGCAGCCATTGCTGAAATCAACAGAGACAGCAAGGGTCTCCGCTGGCCTGCGGCAATTGCTCCATGGGAGCTCACCGTTATCAATTTAAAAGAAGACAGCAGCGATTTCCTTGCTGCGTCTTTTGAAGGCCTCGATTGGAAAGTCGACGCCAGACCCAAGATCGGCTTGGGCCGCAAGATCAAGGATTCACAGATGATGGGCATTCCGCTCGTGGCCGTCGTTGGCAAAAAATGGCCATTAATAGAGATTGAGGAGCGTGGCAAAAGAGTGGCTCTGGAAGCCACCAAGGCGCTCTACGATCAAAAGACGTTCGAATGGGAGCTCACGGGAGACCTCGATTCGGACACTACAGTCAAACATCTCGTGCACAGCGACCACGCTGGCGCCGTTGTGAGAGCTATTCTCACGGACATGTAAATACTAAGCATCAGATTGTTATACAGATTAGGAGAAGAACTTGCCGGAGATCTTGGCGAAAACGTGCAAGATGATGACGGAGAAGATGAAACCGACAGCCAAAAAGAGCACAACCAAAGGGTCGACTCTCAAGCCCTGGGCCTCGTCGGTGAAAAGCTTCAACATCGTGGCGGAGGAGCCTCCAGCACCAGCAGCTCTAGTGGACAAGGGCTGGTCCTTGGACTCCTTAGCCTTTTTGCTGGCGGCGTTCTTTCTCTTAGCGGCACTTCTCAAGCCACCGGGGCCACTGCAGAAGAAGAAGACTGTTGTTAGTTTTGGAAATTAATAGATGGTGGGGAGTTCACATACCATTTTGTAGTTAGTAGGTACGAGTAATTTTCGGTGTTGAGAGATCGTTGGCGTGTAGAGTATTGCATGCAGGACGTGAAGGTTCTCCAGTTCAGAAACCCAGAGAAATCGGTCAATGTAGGGGTGGTGATATTTTTAAAGATGATGATTCTTCAAATTGGGGGCTATTCTGTGCCGATATGACTTTTGTTTTGTAGGTGCTTTGAAGGCGGGGTAGAAACAGGAACTGTGACCTCACCAGTCGTCAGGTGGGAGGCAATAAAGTGAGGCGTATTAACAAATATGGCTTAGTTACGGAGGGGTGTTTAATTGGGAGGTAGTAAGAGCTTTGTGACTCTTCTCAAAACCATGAAGTTGAAAGTCACTGTCAGTCTTTGAAATATGGATCCTCACAATCATAAAAAGTCTAGACCGCTTCTCGTTGCCACAGTGGTCGGATGAGTAAGAGAAGTCAGGTAAACAAACATAAAGACACAATGGAAAAATCAAGAGGAGGACAATTAGACTTTTCAAAGGCTTTGTCGCATGGTCCATATTAGGTTACGAGGTTTGTGGTTGCGAAACCGAAGAATATGCATCAGAAGGGAGTACCAAAACGCCTCCTGCAAACTACCATTGAAAAACTCAAAATATCAAAAGCTCAACCAAGCCCAAAATCAAAATCTACACATTTGCTAAAACTCCCCTCAAACGGTGCACCAGAAACACGGTGCCCTGTTAGACGAGCCGCACTATGCACAGAACCTGTCTATGATAAGCGAGAGAGCGGTGTTTGACACGGACATTCTCGACGAAAAGGTCCTGTTTTTTGCCGAAAAAGTCCTGGTTGAAGGTACTGGAAGCAAAGCTTCCCGAATGTTGCAAATTCGGACGAATCACGGCGGATCCACGATTTTTCAAAAAAGCGGGCCTCTCCAATCCGTCGGCAGCAGCGACGTAGAAATCACAAATTTCTGCACCCTTCTTCCTAGCTCCAAATCTCAATCAATCATCCAAAAATCCCTCTCAAAATCGCCTTGGTGGACCACTTTTTCACCCCCGGTTGTGCCTGCAATGTGCTGTAGCCTGGCTGCGAAAGCTCCTCCAATCACCAGCAAGGTAACTAAGCAGCCTCACGACGGCCTGAAAAGATGAAAATTTTTATAAGATTTGTCCCGAAAACCAAATCCACCGTTTTGGCTGTTCCCCCTACGCTGTGATCCACCACATTCCGGTGCTCCCTTGTTTCTTCCAGTATACGCCTCTGCGTCTAGCTGAGAAGAGAATATCCCCCATCAGTTCCCCCACCTTTGCCCCCAAATCCCCCACGTCGAGACAAGACAAATAAAATGCTTTCACTTTTCCAAAAATCAAATCTCCCTTCAATTCGGAGAACATGGGCACCAGCCACGGCGTTGGTCTTGGGTGTCGTCACGTGCCGCGCCCTTCACTTCTGCATTTACTGCGTTTTGTCTGGCTGTCCGCCTGCCAACCTCATTAAATTTTCTCACCCAAATCACTACTTGGTCTTCTTATTTCCAGAACGCCATACCACTTTTCCCATAAATCTTCAGCACAGGCCGTCGCAAACAGCCTCCTGATCATCCCCCACGTTCCCCCACACACCCCACCTTCACTTCTTTCAGACACTTCGCCTGTCTGACTTGCTAGTTGATCTTTGACAGCTCCAAGCAGCACCAGCAAAGTACACGTTATCGTCACTGTCAGCTCTCCGATTCGCCACTAGCACGGGCCACATGGACTTGAGAAACCTCTCCTCCACGCCTAACCAGTTGGACTCGGTCATGCAACGCAGACCTTCGCTTTCGTCTTTATCCTCCGCATCAGGGTACGCCCTGCTGAGCTACGCCGGCGCTGCCGCTGGTACTGGCCAGACTGGCAACGTGCCTGGCGTGAATCATATGCCCCAGCCGCCCCTGGAGAACCACACCCCTCAGATGGCCCTGTTAAAGCTCAGCGGTGACCAGGGTACGAGAATGTACTCTGGCATCCTGAGCAACCTGCTGAGCACCAACTTGGCCTCTGGATCGGGCATTCCGCCAGCCTCGATGGTCAGTAATGTTGTTCCTTGGGTGGAGCAGCAGAAGCAGCAGCAGTCCTTGACGATGAACTTGGACAGCGGTAAGAAAAACAGAAAAGAGGAGCCCGACGCCTCTCCCAACATCGCCCCCATGACCACCACGTCCGCCAACGCCTCTACTATGGAGGATGATGACGACGAGTTGATCCCCACCGCCATCGTGATCAAGAACATTCCTTTTGCGATCAAGAAAGAGCAGTTGTTGGACGTGATGACCAAGCTTAACTTGCCCTTGCCTTACGCTTTCAACTACCACTTTGACAACGGCGTTTTCCGTGGTTTGGCGTTTGCCAACTTCACATCCACTGACGAGACGTCGATGGTGGTGAACCAGTTGAACGGCCGTGAGATCGGAGGAAGAAAGTTGAGAGTCGAATACAAAAAGATGTTGCCCGCTCAGGAGAGAGAAAGAATCGAGCGGGAAAAGAGAGAGAAACGCGGCCAGTTGGAGGAGCAGCATCGCTCCACATCCAACGCCTCTTTGGCCTCTCTCATCAGTGCTGCTTCTACTACTGCAGCCACCAAGAACCTCAGTGTGAACGGTGCCCAGTACAACTCTCAGACTGAGCGTTTGTTGATGCATTTCCCTCTGGGCAACACCAACATGCCCCCACCACCGGTGGAACTCAACTTCAACGACCCAGACGTGCTTGAGTTGTACTCCCAGTTGCTCACCTACAGAGACGACAACTCCAAGCTCATCTTCGAGTTGGCTTTCCCCGCTAATATCTCATTACAGCACCGCAAGGTGTTTTCCCTCTTGTGCTCCTACCTTAATTTGTTGGAGCTTTACGACAACGGCTTGATCATCATCCGCAGAAAGCCGGGCCAGCAGACTATTCAACAGCGCCAACAACAGAGCGCTACATTCAACCCTCATCTCCACCATCAACAGCAGGGTCAGGCACCAGCAGCCACCACCCCACAGCACGCACAACCCCAACTGCAACAGCAGCAGCCACAACAACAGCAGCAACAACAGCAATCCGGGCAGCAGGGCCAGACCAATGGTGCCGGCCACCCCCACTCCAACTCGATGATGAACATCAACCAGTTGCCTGCTTTGCTTAACGGGTACCCCAGCAACTTGCAAACCCCCAACCCACATGCACCCGAGTTGTTGAGGTCCCAATCCCAGCTGGCTTTGCCCTTGACTAGACTTAGACAACTGAGCTCCACTCCTGTTCAGCAGCAGTACTCTCAGTACCTGTCTGGAGGTATTCCTGGTCACAAGAATGCCGGTTCTTCGCAGGGCAATGCCAAATACCAGTCATTTGTGGGCTACGGCGGCGCTCCATCTGGAAACCAAAATCAGGTGTCGCAGCTCAGTACGCCCAACTCCAGCAGCGCCGCTGCGTTGTTGAGATCCTCCAACAACCGGTCTTTTGTCGATGTCAGAAGCACCCCTCCGCTTACTGGAGCCATGCCATCCCAGTCCGACTCGCCCACCCCGCAGCACCCTTCGACCCATGGTACTCATATTTACCAGGGTCAGCAGGGCCAGAACTTCTTTGGCCAAGGAGCCCAGATCAGTCAGCCAGGTACGCCATTGGGCAATGCTGATTTGAACAACCGCTTTGCTCCGTTTGGCCAGCATGCGCATCTCAACGGAAGCTTTAGCTCTTTGCAACCAACATCCGCCAACAGCGAGGAGTTTTCGCTTGGAGGTGATAACATGGCCTCGAAGTTGAACGGGTTGACATTGGGCAACGGCTACGAGCAGAGCAAAAGCAGCGGCAGCGGGATCTGGGGGCCCAAGAAGTAAAGTACTTCACGAAACTTATAGAACGCCATGAGACACAAACAAAAAGACGACATGACGAGGCGTGGGCCCACGCCGAAACGAGCGATGTTTTATGTTTAATGCACTTAATGAACCACAGGGCGGCTGTCCCCAGACAGCTGTTCTATTTATTGACAAGAGGTGTAGCACCCGTACTTACTCTTCATATATACTTTTAATGACGTATTTTACACATTTTTATGTATGGTCCACTGCTAATATTAAACAAGCGGGGCTAGAAGGGTGGCTGCAAACCAGACACCGGGGTGGTCCCGAGTCACGTGATAAGACGACGTTCCGGAGCCCTACTTAGCCTTATCATGAAATTATACCAAAAAAACCAATTCCAAATTGCCCTCCGTCTTTTTTCATCTGATAATGGAACTTTTTGTATGGCAGCCGGGGGCTCGGTGTGTAGTGCGAGAAAAGTGAGAAAAAAAAGAAAAGCAAAAGCATCGATTGTGAGGCACCTCGAAAAGATAAAAATCCACCGTCCACCCCCCACCACCACCAACACCTCCACACCATGGGCCAGATACTTTCCCAGCCAGAAACAGAGAAACACTCCGAGAAAGACAGCGACAAGTACGTGGCTTACGGCTTGAGCTGCATGCAAGGATGGAGAATCAACATGGAAGACGCCCATGCCACGATTATGAATTTGAAGCGTCAAGAAGGGGACAGCGGCGATGAACACGCAGCTTTTTTCGGTGTTTACGATGGACACGGAGGAGAAAAAGCCGCCATTTTCACGGGTCTCCGTTTGCACGAGTTGGTGGTACTGACCGACGCCTTCAAGGAGAAGGACTACGTGAACGCCTTGAAAGACGGCTTTTTGCTGTGTGACCAGGCCATCTTGCAAGATTACGAAACACGCAACGACGAGTCCGGCTGTGCCGCTACTTCCGCCATCGTCACCCCTCGCCATATCTACTGTGCCAACGCCGGTGACTCCAGAACCGTCATGTCGCTGAACGGATACGCCAAGGCGCTCAGTTACGACCACAAGCCTTTCAACGAGGGCGAGAAGGCGCGTATTTGCGCTGCTGGTGGCTTCGTTGACGTCGGCCGTGTCAACGGTAACTTGGCTTTGTCCAGGGGCATTGGTGACTTTATGTTCAAGAAGAACGACGAGTTGCCTGCCGAGGAGCAGATCGTCACCTGCTACCCCGATGTTATTCACCACGAGATTGACCACGCCAAGGACGAGTTTGTCATTTTGGCCTGCGACGGTATCTGGGACTGCCTAAGCTCTCAGAACTGTGTCGAGTGTGTCAGAAGAGGTTTGTACGAGAGAAAGCCACTCACGCAAATTTGTGAGGAGATCATGGAGCTCTGTTGTGCCCCAACCTCTGACGGCCTGGGCATCGGCTGTGACAACATGTCCATTCTCATTGTCGCCCTCTTGGACCACACCAACAACGAGAGCTTGGACCAGTGGTACGACCGTGTTATCGCCAAGATCGAGAAGCAGCAGGAGACTGTCAAGGCCAACCCTGACTCTGCCGAGGCCGCCAACTACGAGTACGGCCCAATTTCCCCACCTTACAACGACTTGTACAAGGAGATCTTTGGTGAGTTCTACGAGATTGGCCAGCAGGCCAACAACGACACACGCGGTGGCGCCGGCCGTGACTCCATGTTCGGCCAATCCATGTTCGGGAACATGGGTATGCGCAACGGTAAATCTGCTGACGATGATGACCTTGACAGCAACGACGACGAAGAGAATGCCAACTCGGGCCCTGCGGGTCCTGCCACTTCCGCCAGCGACGGCCTCAACAACGGTGCTATTTCCTTGCAGAAGTTGTTGTCCAGCAACGTGATCACCAACGAGAACGGTGTGATCTACTTGGACACCTCCTCCGCACAGTCCTTGTTGGCCTCGTTCGGTATGCCCACCGGCGAGCAACTGGATGAAAACGGATCTGATGAGGACGACAACGTGCACGAAAAGCATATTGAGGAGGTCGACGAGAGCGAGTCCGAGACCCTGAGCAAGACCAACGAGTAGATGAGACGACAAGTCGCTACACGATGACATGACACGACCAGTTATTTTTCCCCTTGGTGCCAGCTTCATAATCGTTTTATTTTCTGTACCCGGTACGTCCATGTATCACTACGTCGCCGAAATTGCAAGGCCACTTTTCTTCCATTCTATTTCTCAAATACTGGTGGCCCATGATTACTAGAACCTGTCAAATAGGGTGATTGCTTTGTATATTTAATGATAACGTCTAATTATATTGAGTAGGCGATAAAAGATCGTCAGTGTAATGAGCGTGTGATAACGATTCAATGGCTGTATCCGAGTAGCTCATTGAAGTGCTATAGAGATTCCAAGACTTTCGGAAATTCGAAAACGGAAAGAAGAATCACAAGCCGTGGAGTAACAGCGCAATGCACTATCTCGCTTACGCATATCGCAGGCCCTTGCATGGTCAATACTTGTGAATTAGCCGAAGAGATAAAGTTGTCAAAAATCTATTCAGTGTATAATAGCGGTCTTATTTGAATCAGTTGGATCTTCAGGTGTATCATACCTCTTCTGGCATTATTATAATCATTCAATAACGAAGACCATCACTTCAAAAGCAACAGAAAGAATGAAGCTTCAAGAACTTTTGAAAATATTTCACATAGTAGAGAAAGATCGTTTTAGTGAGACCAATTGAACTGTCTGCAAAGTAAGGTACCTCAGTGGAAGGCTTCCCTGCAGTGAACCACGAACGCTATGCATAAGAGGGACTCTAAACATACACTGAAAAAGACCATAAAACGCATACTTCCCAAAAGGATTGTCAAATAGACTTTCCGTAGACATTCCCCATATGGATGGTTTCCGTAAAGCCAAACTAGAAAACTCTTCCTTAAGTTCAAATTTCCAACAAACACGAAAATAACCAAAGTGCACTCGAGCTTCCTGCAAGACCACCTTCATCTTTCCAACGGTCTACCATGTATGTTTTCGCAGCCAGATCAATACGCAGCCATATCAATTCTGCAACAGCACCACCAAAACATCAACAGAACCAGCAAACTAAAAAAAAAAAACTAGCTAGTCCAAACAAAATGGAAAAGGTACCTTTTCAATAAACGAGAATATTTTTCCACTTTCAAGAAAGCCAAACCCTATTTTTCTGTTGACTCTCCTCCACCAGTGCCTCACTAAACGCGTAGAAACCACTGGGGGATTTTCTGCAGTACACAGCGCTAGACAAGATCTCACGAGCCATCTCTGAATAACACTCCCACGACAACCCATCCACCCTTATTTTTCAAATCCACCTTTTACTAGATCTTCTGGGCTCTCACATCTTTATGGCCGCCGCCCGTCCCGATGTCCTCGCACCAGCAGAAATTGCTTGATCAGCTCAAGATCACAAACAACAAGATCTATGAGCATTTACCGACGGAGAGACGACGTCCTTCTCTGAGACCGCTACCGAGAAGACGAGAACAGAGGGTTTTGCCGCTGCTACGACAAGAGTCCTTTTTCAGTGGTCTCGAATTCCCCAAACCGAGAAAACAAGGCCGCCCTAGGTTGTACCTGGCCACGGTGATTGAGCTGACAGAATCCTCGTTTGTTGTCAAAATCAAATACAATGTGCGTAATCGCAAGGCGCAGAAGCTTCTTGGGGCTGGCTCCAGGACGCCTGTGGTGGAGGAATTGTCTGCATCGAGAACAACTCGCTCGTTGAATCAGAAGAACCGTCAGGTCAATGGGTCCAGCCTAAAACCGGCGAGAGTCGTGGAGAAACGACTGAGAACACCGAAAATCAGCGTTACACCTGAAATTCCAGAACTTGACGAAACCGAAATCAAAATACGCAAGAAAGTTGCTTCTCCAGTGCCTCGGACCCAGGAGTTGCCCTATAAGGGTGTTCTCCCGTTTCCCGATTGTACTATCAATGAAACTGACCCCACTGCGGAAGATCGAACCTTGTTTGATCGATTTTTGGCTGAAGGTAATCAGCGCAGAAAACAGGCCGAAGCAGAGATCTTCCAGGACTCTGCTACTGAGGACCGCAGCGTGGGGCTCCTCAAGTCTCAGATACAGAAGATCCAGTTCCGTGATTATGTTATCGATACCTGGTACTCGTCGCCGTACCCTGAAGAGTACTCTCGTCTGAAAATCCTATACATCTGTGAGCATTGTCTCAAGTATATGAGATCTCCTGTCTCATTCGAGAGACACCAGCTCAAGAACTGTAACCTGTCCAACTCGCATCCACCTGGTGTGGAAATTTACAGAGATACAGAGAGCAGAGTGGCTGTATGGGAGGTTGACGGAAGAAAAAATATCGAGTACTGCCAGAACTTGTGTCTCCTCGCTAAATTGTTCCTCAACTCAAAAACATTGTACTATGATGTCGAGCCGTTCACCTTCTACGTGTTGACCGAGCTTGACGAAAAAGATCCATCCATGTACCATTTCGTGGGGTACTTTTCCAAAGAGAAGCTTAATAACTCAGACTACAATGTCAGCTGTATTCTCACCTTACCCATCTACCAGAGAAAAGGATATGGAAACTTCCTCATAGACTTCAGTTACCTCTTGTCCAGAAACGAATTCAAATTTGGCACCCCTGAAAAGCCCCTTAGTGACCTTGGTCTTCTCAGTTACCGCAACTATTGGAAGATCACTGTGGCCCACACCCTCAAGCTGATATATGACGAGTATTTGAAGGAGGGTAGAAAGATTGTGCTTTCACTTGAAATTTTGTCAAAGCTCACAGGAATGATTCCGTCTGACGTGGTTGTGGGTCTCGAACAACTTGAGGGCCTCATCAAGAATCCCTGCACTGGAGAGTACGCTATAGCCCTTAACTTGCCAAAGATAGAGGAAGTGGTGAACAAGTTTGCACTGAAGAATTACGTCACATTAAAGCCAGAGTTGATCTTATGGAAGCCAATGATCTTTGGACCCTCAGGAGGTATCAACTCTGCTCCGGCTACTTTAGCACAAGCACCTCCAATTGAACAACTGCTCAGTACCACAGGACAGCCCATTGTGCCACTCAATAACAGTATTTCCATGATATCAGACTTCATGAAAGATGACATCAATAATCCTTTCTCGTACGAAGAGGAAGCTCAAAGAGAAATCGAGCATTACTCCAAGGAGCTCCCAGAGGAAGAACCCTCAAAATTCAATATTAATGTGGACGAGTTTGTGGTGTGTCATCCAGAGTTCGAGAACGGAATTCCCATCAGGCAAGCAAACGCTGGTAATGAGAAGGCCGTCAAGGAAGCAGTCGAGGAGCTTGACATATCGGATGAGGAAGAGCTGAGTGGGGAAGAAAGCGCAAAAGATCCTGGGTTTGACACCGCTTCTGAGGCAGCCTTGGAGGATGAGGATATGGATGAAGAACCTGTTAATGACGATGGCTTTGAGGAGGAGGAAGAGGCTGACGAAGCGGCAGAGGATGATAGTGAAGTTGAAGAGGAGGAAGAGGAGGAAGAGGAGGAAGAAGTGATCAGGCCCAGGTCCAACGGAAGGGTGCTGCGTTCGTTGCGTGGCCAGCTGAATGGCGATGTCTATGATGACCCTTCAGACATTGAAATCCTCAGTGATCCGGAAGACTACCAAGCAACTCCCGAATCTTCGCCAATCAAACCGAAATTACGCCCCACGTCACAGAGAGAACCAGCCACTCCACGCAGAACATCTGCCCGTTTTGCACGCACCGGCACCAAAATCCCAATCACACCTGATCAAACACGCCGGCTTAGGCTGGCAATACAGAATAGCATCAGCAAAATTGCATCGGCCGACACCGTCGGCACACTACGTCGTTCTTCACGCAGAAGATGATGTGTATAATAGTGTCTAATAAAATGTATTATAGGTTGAAAAGAGTGCATGAGTTTTCGTAGACAGTGTCAATGAAGCCCATGATCTCCTCGTCCGTTTTTAGTTCGTAGAGAGAGGCCATAATGCAAGCGACGTGGCCCACAAAGACTGGTTCATTTCTGGATTTCATTAATGGGTAAGCGAATTCGCCAACTTTGGTAGATGGAGCCTCACCTAGATTTTCGAGTCTCTTTTGCGTGGCCTCGGTATGTTTGTAGTAGTTTTCTTTCTTGATCGAAGGATAAGGCAAGAAATCATCAAGCTTTGGCTGTTGCTGTTTTTTGCCTGGTGGCGGCGTCGAAACGTCTGGGACTGGAATCTCAGGGTAGAATAAATTAGGGTAAGGTTTCAAGAACTTGTGAGACGCATGGCTCTTTCTGATTTCGCACCACGGAGCGTCCGTTTCTATAAGAAGACGGTCCATTGGGATCTCTTTGGCGACCGCCAAGTTCTCCTCTGTTTTCAAGGAACATCCGTTGATGCCAATGAAAAAGCCTAGGTTGAGAAGGTTCTGGAGCTCGTCAGTAGATCCAGTGAAAGAGTGGACCACTCCAGTAACGCCGTTTTTCTCGACAAACGGGCGAATAATATCCACAAAATCGTCACAGGCCGCCCGCATATGGAGAAATAATGGGAGCTTTTGCTTCAAAGATACAGCGACCTCCAACTGTCTTTTGAACATTGATTTCTGCTGCTCCACAGTCGAATAATGAAGACGGTCGTAGTCCAAGCCAATTTCACCAAACGCCTTAATGAGACCTCTAGCATGACCGTCCTCAGCGATCTTCTTCAACTCTTCCATCTTGCTCTCTGTAGACTCCAAAGGATCAGCATTTTCCAATGATCCGTAGAACTCCTGAGCAACCGTACAAGGGTGAACACCCACAGTCAGGCCAAAACTTCCCTTGTGCTTTTCCACCAAATCCAAGTGCTCTGTGCTTTCAGCTACCGAGGAAGCAGTGATGAGCATCTTCCTCACATTGAAATCGAAGGCTCTCTCGATAACCTGCTCCACGTCGGCCGGGTGCTTTGGATTGGTGGATCCGTTGTAGCACCCCTGGAACATGGCATCGGAAAAGTTCACGCCAATGTCGAAATACCGTGGTTTCCAGTGCACCATACTTAGTCTTCTCATAAGTAGTAGCTTTTCGCACCCACGATTATCAACAACCATGAGTCTTGAAGATGTGCTCAAAGCGCAGGAGCTGGACTTGGCAAGAGAAGCCGAGGTGGTCAGGGTGCTCAATTGTGCTGAAGGAGACTACTTTGCCGTTTTGCAAATCAACCCGTTGCATGAGCCCAGCAGCATAGATACCAGGGTGAAGAAAGCATTCAGAAGGAAGTCATTGTTGATTCACCCAGACAAGGTGAAACATCCAGAGGCTTCCAAGGCTTTTGATTTGTTAAAAAAGGCAGAGTCGGTATTGAACGATCAGGAGAGCAAAGAAAGGGAGGGTTTGGTTGGAGTATATGAGACCATAGCCAACAGTCTAGATATAGACGTCATTGAAGACTTTGACAGTAAGGAGAATGGCCTAATACGGGAGAAGGTGGCTCAGACTCTAGAGCATCAAAAGAAGGACAGAGAGGTGGAGCGATTGTACCAACAAAGAGAAGAAGCTCAGAAGAACGAAGAAGTCAAGAATGCTGCCAATGATCGAGAACTACGAAAGAAATGGGAAAACCGCTGGGAGAACGACAGAGACACCAGGGTGGAACTGTGGAGAAAGTACAAGGTGGAAAAGAAGAAAAAGAAGAAGCCCAAGAAGGTGCTTGTCTAACGGCTACAAGGTAGATAGTGCTAATGAATATCTTTTGCGAACATCTAGTGAACGTTAAGTTATTTTCGTTTATGGTACGTGGCGTCATACTTAATGCAATCGCAACGCTTATTTGGACTCGGCAGCCAACTTCTCGGCCTTGGCAACAGCGTCCTCGATGCCACCAACCATGTAGAAAGCGTTCTCGGGCAAGTGGTCGTACTTACCGTCCAAGACCTCCTTGAAGGATCTGACGGTCTCCTCCAATCTCACCAACTTACCGGAGATACCAGTGAAAACCTCGGCGACAGCGAATGGCTGGGACAAGAATCTCTGGATCTTTCTGGCTCTCTCGACGGTCAACTTGTCGGACTCGGACAACTCATCCATACCCAAAATGGCAATGATATCCTGCAAGGACTTGTAGGCCTGCAAGGTCTGCTGGACACCGGTAGCAACATCGTAGTGCTCCTTACCGACAACAGAGGCATCCAACAATCTAGACTTGGAGTCCAATGGGTCGACAGCAGGGTAGATACCCAACTCGGAAATACCTCTAGACAACACAGTGGTGGCATCCAAGTGAGCGAAAGTGGTAGCTGGGGCAGGGTCAGTCAAGTCATCGGCTGGGACGTAGACAGCCTGGACAGAGGTGACGGAACCCTTCTTGGTGGTGGTAATTCTCTCTTGCAAAGTACCCATATCGGTGGCCAAGGTTGGCTGGTAACCGACAGCAGATGGAATACGACCCAACAAGGCGGACACCTCGGAACCAGCCTGAGTGAATCTGAAAATGTTGTCAACGAACAACAACACATCCTGACCTTCTTCGTCTCTGAAGTATTCAGCAATGGTCAAACCGGTCAAAGCAACTCTAGCTCTGGCTCCTGGTGGCTCGTTCATCTGACCGAAAACCAAGGCGACCTTGGAGTCACCCTCGAAGTTGATGACACCGGTCTCCTGCATTTCACGGTACAAATCGTTACCCTCTCTGGTTCTCTCACCGACACCGGTGAAAACGGAGAAACCACCGTGGGCCTTGGCAATGTTGTTAATCAACTCCTGGATAAACACGGTCTTACCGACACCGGCACCACCGAACAAACCAATCTTACCACCTCTGGCGTAAGGGGCCAACAAGTCGACAACCTTAATACCAGTCTCCAAAACCTCAGCAGAAGTAGACTGCTCAACAAAGGATGGTGGGTCAGTGTGGATAGGGTTTCTCTTCTTGGACTTGATTGGTCCTCTCTCGTCAATTGGCTCACCAATAACGTTGATGATACGGCCCAAGGTCTCACGGCCAACAGGCACGGAGATAGGAGCACCAGTGTCGGTGACAGATTCGCCTCTGACCAAACCGTCAGTACCGTCCATAGCAATGGTTCTGACGGTGTTCTCACCCAAATGCTGGGCAACCTCCAAGACCAAGTCCTGGTCGCCGTTCTTCAACTTCAAAGCGTTGAAAATGGCTGGCAAGTTACCATCATCGAAGTGGACGTCAACGACGGCACCAATGACGGCTCTGTGTTGTTAGTAATTGAAATGCTACTTGTTGGCGGGAGTGCCGAGACTGGTGAAAAAAGCGCGAAGCTCGCACCTGATTGGTCGGTGACCACGACAACTAGTGGACCGAGCTCTGGAGAAGCTTGGGCAGCTCAGGGGAATGCATTGGGAGTATTGGCGGTGATTTTGGCGCTGAGGATTGATGTTCCCGGCATGATCGGGAAAAGCCGGGTCTAGCGGACGCTTTGAAAAAATCGGATACCGGTCGACGAAGTCGACGAGCCGACAATGAAAATGCCTCCGATTGCATCAATTGGCCTCAGTGGACCCTTAGAATAGGCCTTGTGGCGCTTTGAAGCTGTTCCAGACGAGCTAACAATCATTTTCAGTGGGAAGTTGTTGATGGTCGATCTGGACAGAAGCCGACGAAGAATCGGGCAATCGCTGCCAAACCAGCATTGGCTGGAGCCCAGTTCATGTGGTGATCAATGGGAAAGCTCTCCCGCTCTTTGGAGCTCGTCTGCGTCCATTGAGCTTGACTTTCCATGATCCCACGCCATCAAAGAAAACCGCTCCACAAACCGCCAATCTTCAAACCACAAACACACACGCCACCCCCTGTCGTGTCAATTCACCCCGTCTCTCTTCACTGTGTCTTCTCCACACTCCTCTACCGATCCACTGGATCGTCCATTATACATACCTAACCTTACCACTGCCAGCGGCAGCGGTGGCCAAGGACCGGTTGAACATGAAGTTTCTCTTAGCAGCGGTGAAAGCGCTGCGCGACGCGGTGGAGAACATTCTTGGAAGAACCATCGTAGATTGTTGAACCTGTTTGATGTTTCACGCTAAAGAAAAGAGAAGGAAAAAGAGCGTCCACGGTGGAGTTATATGGTTTTTTCGCACTGTCGCACACCACAGGTGCTCCATACCGGTCGGCGGACATGGGTGCGGTAGGCCTGACCAATGAGAGGAGGTTCTGGCTTTCCGGCCGCGAAGCTGTTTTTCATTGGGCGGGTGCGGGTTACCCGGACGGCTGGTGGAGGTGATACTTTGGAGGTGGAGGCTTGGGCGTGGGCAATTGAGGTCTGGGAGAGGGATATTTGTGAATTTCGGGTGAAATTGAGGGGGCCCCTTTTTTTCTGGTTCAAGGGGCCATGTAGCGCCGGATTGGTGGACCCGAGTTGGACCGAGAGGGACCTACAAGGTGGTGGTGAAAAAGTGGATTTACAGTGGGGAGGGAAGTTTGTAGAATTTGAGCTACCTCTTATGAATTCATGAAAAATTAATTTTCCTTTCCGCTGCCTTGTGACTTGGCTGTGTGGCTTCCGTGGAATGGCTTTCCAGTTTGGCTGCGAAAAACGAGATCGGAACAGCTGCATGAGGCCTCCCGGGTGTTCAGTTATTGGGGTGACGACATTGAAATTTTTTGCAAATTGAGGAGTTTTCTTCTGCTGGGCCTTTTAGTCGTCTGATTGACTCTTTTTTCTTCTTTAGCTAATGAGTTGACTGGATGATGCTTGGCTTCCTCGGTTCAATCATAACAGTACTAGATCATATGTATGCGGATTCATGTCTCAAGGAACATGATACAAAATGGGCATTGATACAGAATATTGAATTACGACGCTAGAATGATCAATTTCATTGGAAGGTACAGAGATGTAAAGTTATTCACTGACTTTTTAATCTCAATAGCTCCCATGATCTGGCTTCCCAATACGCAACTACACTTTGACCAATATCGTATACTTCATTCCTTCATTCCAAATTGAATACTATACCACCTCCGTCTTCACTGTCGTATCAGCTGGCACAGCTACATCTCGAGCCTTCACACCTCCCATCTTCACTTCGTAATATCTTTGCTTGGCAGCAGTCAAGATCTGATCCATTTCTTCAAAAGACTTTTCAAACACCACGAGAGATCCCCGGGGTGCTTTCTTTCCACGCTCTCCGCAAACCAGAACGCAGCATTCGAGACACAACTTGACATTGTCCAAGCGATTGAGCTGCTTGAATAAACTGTTGTATTGAACTTTCTTCATCTGGCTCATGTCTTTGTGCTCAACCACCTCGGTTTCCTCCTTGACTGTCTCAGGCAGCTGACTCTTTTGCAGGATTCTTGAGGAATGCCTTCTTCTTTTGACTCCGGATGCCTCTTCTTCGTCGGCCTTTCTCTTTGCCTGCTTTATGAGTTTGTCGAATTCTTCATTGTATGGCACCTTTTCTTGAAGCTCCCCTAGCTTGCCTGCGGAAATCGTAGACGCAACGAAATTAGCCTTCTCGTCATCGTTAAGCTCCTGGAGTTTATTAGGCGAAGCTTCTCGCGTAAGGAGATCTTTCACCTCTAGCGTGTGAGCCTCCTTCTTCTTTCTGCCTCCATACCATTTACCAAAACGGTGTGCCTGGTTATTTATGTTGCAGTATTGGTACGAAGCGTATGTCCGGCAAACATCACATAATACATCGTCTTCTTCGTCAAGATCAGCGACCCTTCTAGTGCTGACTTCTGGACCTGGGGTGAGTGGGGTGGAGTTGAGGTTCTTCTTTCCTTTCTTCTTGGCCTTGGCTGCCAGGAATCTCTCCTTATCTAGATCGCTCACCAAGCTCATATTTCTTCCCATGATTCTTTCGTAACATCTAATGGACTGCTCCACAAGCTTCATGCGGTCCATCGTGATATCCTTATCTCCTCGGATAAACTTGCTCAAGATATTTTCCACCAATTGACAATGGTCAAAAACATTCTCCTTCTTGATTGATCTGTAATCTTGAATAGACTTCTCCCCTAGCTCTAGCCATGAATCCATGGTAAAGTTGACTGCCTCGTTGAAGTTAAAGCCGCTGTTAAATCCAGCATGGTAAACTCTGGGGAATGTCACCACAAACTCATTGGGTCCTTGGTCAGCATAAACGCAAGGAATGCCCTTTTCAGCAAGCTCACTTGGGGATATCAAAGTGACAAGCTGATGTAGCAAGTCAGGCTGCCTCTGGAAAAGATCTGGTGCAGATTTCTTCATGATCAGCTCGAAAGCGTCAGCATGGCTGCTAGGAAATCCATACCATTTCTTCACATTACCGAAATGGCAGTAGTTGGCGGACAAGGTATAATGGTCCTCCACGTGCCAGCAGAATGTAGAAAGGAGCGAACCAACATAGATCCATGGAACGGTCATTCCAGAGATACTGCTGTTGATATAGTTGAGCAAGGACCCTTCAGCAAATGGAAGCTTGGTCAAATTCCAAGGATCATTGATATAGCGAGAGGAGTCGGCATTTGGGTCGTATGGTGATTGTGGTACCTCAGGGGTGGGGAAACCACTGATTTCTCCAGGTTTGAGATTGTGGATGTCGGCGCCATACTTGACTTTGATGTCGGAGTTTTCCGCCTCCACCAAACTCCAAAAAATTCGTTCAATGTCGTCCAACAGAAGAGGTTTTCCCTCGGTTTGATACTGTGAAAGGAACTTGTCCTCGAATTGTTTGCACTGTCCCACAAAATCCCAAATGCTGTACTTGATTTCGGGTCTTTCCTCAAAACCATAGGCTCCGTTACCCACTAAGCATCTATCGCAGTACCACGATCCCAGCGGAATCTCCTCAAGTGGCGGCTGAAGACACTTCATGTGATAAGGGTTGTTGCAGTGATCACATAATAAGGTCAGAGTCGGAGAATGGTTCTTGCGGCAAACGAGACAAGCACCTTCATCCTCTGGGTCACTTTCTGGAAAGTCAAAGTTCCCCTTGTTGGTAGAGAGGTACTCGGCGTACTGCTTGACATTGTACTGCCACTGATCCACCAAGATTCGGGATTCGGCGTTAAGCCCGAACAAGAGGTTCAACTTTGCCAAATCATCTTTCGAAATATTGTCAAAATCCGGGGATTCCCCATGTTTATTGAGCACGGCCAAGTACAAGTCGTAGAAGTAGAGCTTCTTCTCTCCTGCCCTGAACCACTGCTTCAACTCGCTGCGGCGCATCATTCTGTAGAATCTATTCATATTATCGGTGAAGAATTTTCTGCTTCTTGTCGTTATTCCCAAATCACTGAGCTTTTGAATTCTCGTGTGGAATGTGAAGTTTGGCGATAAGGAGAACGGCGGTCTCCAACCAGAGGGAGGCACGATTTTCAACAAGCCATATTTTTCACCCAAGGCCCGCACGTCAGGGCTAGATAAGTACTGAATAGGACTTTTGAATTCAGCATCGTTGGGTCTGAGAACAGGACAAGGCTGGAGAAGGGACTTGTTGAAGGTCATCCTGGTGGCTGCAAAGGGCCTGTGGCGGTATATAAAATTCGGTAAAAAGTGGCTGGTTATAAAAGTATAGCCCTAAATTGTATTTTCAGATAGTTTTCGGTGTTCAGAACAGCGTGGTTGTGTGGTTTGCCCAAGCGATCTGAAAAGCTTCGTTGAGAACACTCTTGCCTTTTTCAGAAGGCAGATTACTTTTTTGCGTCACCTTGCAGGAGATCTCAATATATGAGACACTCTTTTTTAAATTTTTTGATGAGCTGTTTGAAAAACTGAGCGAAATCAAAAAGCTGATTAGGTCGTGGTGAAGCTTAATTTGTGAAGAAGTGCAAGGGTAATGTCCCGAAATCCGGTCCAGGACTGTCTGGGCCGATTCCGGTGTGCAGACAATCCTCACCCTGGGTCATACGACTGACCTTCATAACTATAATTTTACAATGAATTTGGTATTGTTGTGATCCTGAAGATCCAGGGATTACAGTGGTATAATTTTCATGCCCATATTCTGTCTCTAGCGTAAGTTCACTCACCATTCAGCTTCTCCACGTTCGCGGCTCCACATACACTACAATTTCCAACTACACCTTGCTTTTCAGATCATGGCCATTCAAGACGGATATACCCTTTTGGTGCTCGGCGCCGGCGTCATGGGCACCGCTGTTACTGCGGCTGTTACCGATTCGAAAATGAAGCCATTCCCAGGAAAAGTGATCTTGTGCTCTCAGCTGGAGAAGTCTGAAAAACGTCTCAAGAGCCAGTTCACCCAGGACTTTGTCGAGGTTATTGTCGATGTGGAGAAGAAAAAGAAGGCAATTGAGACTGCTGATGTTGTTCTTTTGGGCTGTAAGCCTTTCCACTTCGAGGCGGTCCATGCCCAGGTCAAAGACAACCTCAAGCACAACCCATTGGTCATTTCCCTCTTGGCTGGTGTCACAATTGACAACTTGTCCATTTTCTCCGATAAAATTGCCAGAGTGATGACCAACACTCCTGCCCAATTTGGCGCTGGAATGGCTGCTGTGGCTCTTTCTGAGAAAGCCAGTGAGTACAAGCAGTTCGTCAACGATTTCGCTGGATGTGTGGGAGCTGCGCTGGAAATCCCTGAAAAGAACATGGATGCCGCTACAGCTCTTATTGGCTCTGGTCCTGCCATGTGCTTGCTCATGATGGAGGCATTGTACGATGGAGGTGTCAGAATGGGTCTTACTCACGATGTCGCCAAAACTGCTGCTGCTAAAGTCATGGAAGGCACTGCCAAGATGGCTCTTGAAACCGGTGAGCATCCTGCTGTGTTGAAGAGCAAGGTTTGTACTCCTGCTGGTACCACCATCGGTGGTTTGTTGAAGTTGGAAGATGCCGGTGTGAGAGGTTCCATTGCCAGAGCTGTCGAAGAGGCGGCCAACATCTCTGCTTCATTTGCCAAAAAGTAAGCTCTGCAAAATACATGAGCCGAGCCTCCTGCTTTCCCTACATGGGTTAATGCAAATGGGTATTATGTACATACTGAATCTCTAGCAATCTCTCGTGCCCTTAATGTTTGAACATCTTCATGAACAGACCCATGTCCTCGGGCGAGATCTTGATGCCAGCTTCGTCAAAGGCGTCCTTCAACTTGGAAATAAGCGCTCTGACCTCCTTATCAGCAAAGAGTCTCATAACCTGGGTCATAGATGGAGGCTCTTGTGGGTTGAAACCTTTCTTAACGATGATCTCCTGAAACTGATTCAACAATTCTCTGATGTGTGGGTGTTGCTGGACCTTGCTGACCACGTCTTGGACCTTGAGGACGTCGTCATCAGGCAAATCGTTCTCATTAGACGAAGAGGCGAATCTGACAGACTGAGTTCTTGGCAACGATCTCAAAGAAACCGGTCTCAAAGCATTTTGCCTAAAAGCCAATCTGGCGGCTGGTCTGGCCACGTTTCTAAATGCCAAATTTGAAACCCTTGAAAGCATTTCTATGATGTACAGCTGATCTATAGTGAGCAATGGCTGGTTGCAACTACTTGTAGTAGTGGGTTGTGCACGACCGCGACCCGCACTATTCTTCGAAAAAAACTATCTCGCTTTACCAGCGCCTAAAAACACTACCATCAGAAACCATGTCTCACGAAGGTCAGGAAGAATTGTTGGACTACTCTGACTCCGAGGAGATCGCCGTTCAGCCATCCGCGGCTACCACCGAGGGCGATGCCTCCAACAACAAGAGCTCCGACAAAAAGGGCTCCTACGTTGGTATCCACGCCACTGGTTTCAGAGACTTTCTTTTGAAGCCAGAGTTGTTGAGAGCCATTGGTGACTGTGGTTTCGAACACCCCTCCGAAGGTTCGTATATTCTATCAGCGAGCTGAGGACGAAGCCGGTCAAACCTAGACTTATGAGTGTCATTTGAACATGAATGGCCACTTCCCACCCCATCAGTGCCATGTGGCGTGCATTACGAATTCACTTCGATTTGGATAAATAAGCAACCAAGGTGATCGGCTTTGCCCGCAGCGCAACGCGTCTTAAACAAATTTCCCCCACTAACATCCAGTTCAGCAGGTCTGTATCCCCAGTCTATCTTGGGCACTGACGTCTTGTGTCAGGCCAAGTCTGGTTTGGGTAAGACTGCCGTTTTCGTCTTGTCGACTTTGCAGCAGTTGGACCCAGTTCCAGGTGAGATCTCTACCTTGGTCATCTGTCACACCAGAGAGTTGGCTTACCAGATCCGTAACGAGTACGCTCGTTTCGCCAAGTACATGCCTGATGTCAAGACCGAGGTCTTCTACGGTGGTACCCCTATCGCCAGAGACTTGGAGAAGTTGAAGAACAAGGAGACTTGTCCCCACATTGTCGTCGCTACCCCAGGTAGATTGCACGCCCTTGTCGAGGAGAAGGGTATTCGTTTGAACAACGTCAAGTCCTTCGTCATTGACGAGTGTGACAAGGTCTTGGACTCCTTGGACATGAGAAGAGACGTCCAGGACATCTTCAGAAACACTCCTCACCAGAAACAGGTGATGATGTTCTCTGCTACTTTGTCCCAGGAGATCCGTCCCGTCTGTAAGAAGTTCATGCAGAGCCCCTTGGAAATCTACGTTGACGACGAGGCCAAGTTGACCTTGCACGGTTTGCAGCAGTACTACATCAAGTTGGCTGAGAACGAGAAGAACAAGAAGTTGTCTGACTTGTTGGACTCTTTGGAGTTCAACCAGGTCATCATCTTCGTCAAGTCCACCTCTAGAGCCAACGAGTTGAACAAGTTGTTGTGTGCCTGTAACTTCCCCTCGATCGCCGTCCACTCTGCCATGAAGCAGGACGAGAGAATCGCCAGATACAAGTCCTTCAAGGAGTTCAACAAGCGTATTTGTGTCACCACTGATGTTTTCGGTAGAGGTATCGATATCGAGAGAATCAACTTGGCCATCAACTACGACTTGCCAAACGAGGCTGACCAGTACTTGCACAGAGTCGGTAGAGCCGGCAGATTCGGTACCAAGGGTTTGGCTGTTTCTTTCGTCTCCAGCAAGGAGGACGAGGAGGTCTTGGAGAAGATCCAGTCCAGATTCGACGTCAAGATTTCTGACTTCCCCGAGGAAGGCGTTGACCCTTCCACTTACATGAACACCTAAGCTGGCACGACAAGCCCCAAAAAGTCTGTATTATCTATAGCTAAAGAATAAAATGAAATGGTTTTCACGCTTTGTAGCGCATGCACACGGTGTCGACGATTCGAAATACCTCTCGTAGATCTGATTTGGGTATAGGAAACCACTCGACGTGCACCTTATATTCGCTCAGTGTCTCTTCCTTGCGTTTGAAGAATTTCAGAAGACGACTACTTCCTTTTTCCTCCTCTTTTGCTTTGTCAATGCATCCCTGGCAGTAAACCGTACCACCGCCGTATCGTTGTTTAAGAAAGCCGTGAATTTCCTGTTCAGCTTGCCAAACGCTTCTCCCAGCGTAAAAGCCTTTGTCCGATGGCTGGAACGTGTGATAAAGATACTTATCTTTTCTGATGCTGAGCCTTTTGAGCTTCTCCACCAAAGTGAGATCCTTTCCCTCGCTACCTGGGTGTAGACACACTAGCTTGTGGTTGCACTGTTTCTCCCATTGCAGAAGTCTCAAGTCGACAGTTTTCGTGGTCATGCCGACTTTGACAAACATGTATTCCAGGTGCTTCGGGGAGAAGTTCACCCATTGTCCTTTCTTCTCCAGCTCGAGGTTTCTCGTCTTGAAGAAGTCCCCACCATCTCTGGTCATGAGCGATGCAAGTGTGAAAATATAGATGAAGCCCGGTTTGTGTATCACATCTTTCCCAGGCCCTCTTTTCTGAGGGGACCTTGATTTCACGGGCAGTCCTCCGTACGGCGTTGCTTTTGCCAGCGTAACCACAATTCTATTTGGCGTCGATGCCCTCAGCTTTTGTGGGGAACCTTTCGGCGTGTATGCTCCATTCGAGCCTGATTGACCTATATGGTAGTGGCAGTAAGCACCGTCTTTCACCATGATCTTACATCGTAGGCCCAGCTTAGCCGTGCCGTTGCATTGTTGGCTGGACATGGAGTGGTTTCTTCAGATCAACGCGTAGTGAAGATCCTGTAGAGATGAGCCGTGGTAGGCCACAATGGGCTTCGAAGACATGGAGTTGCAGATTCGAAAGTGGAGAAAATATTTTTTTAATGTGAAATGATCACTCTTGTTCCTGTGAATCAGCGTTCTTATATTGATTTTCAATTTTTTTCATGAGTAACGTTGGTAGCACTCAACTCTAGATCCCACGCATTTTGTGGTTTTTCAGTTGCAGTTACCGAATCGAGCGATATTCGAAGATACCAATGAGCCTGAAAAATTCGAAATTCTGCAGCTATGGCGTTAAAACAAGCGCAAGCCAGAATTGGGAGCCAATTGTGATTGTACAAAAAAATCAAACCCAATTGACCTGGGTTTCGGAGTCGACTCCGTGGGACCCTGGAGCCACAGACAGGGTACGTACCACACTCGACATTCCCAGAAGCAAAATTCCGCTATTGTCTCCAGAGCCACAACCAACTAAAAGTCAGTTGAACACCCTAACTGGCTTTTGATTAATCCTCTAAGAAAATTGTCACCCAGATGTCAATACTACTATGCTGCACGTCCCTGCGGCTCAAGGCTAATGCATTGGGTGCAAATATCCCATCTGGACCAGCCACAAAGCCCCACTGATGCTTTGACGAGACATCGATTTGAATCATTTTACGAAAAAAGCACTTTTTCTCCTACCGTCCAGAACAATGTCCAGTTTCGAAGCCCCCATTGGCTCTTGCCGAAATGTCGCCGAGCCCGATCGCTCTTCTTCCCTCCATGCAATATACCACACACCCAAACCTAACAAATGAAATAATCAGTACGAAACTTCCATAACCGACCAAAATTACCGTGTCTCTAAAACGCAAATTATTTTTTTCACGTTGGAGCCACCTTGAGCGCCACAGTGTGGCGGGACAATGCACCAAGGTATCGGTCCCAGACAATACCGCCTCACGTGCATTTGCATATTTGGGCCCGGCCCACTATATAACCAGCCGTTTCCCCGATAATTTTCAGCAAAAACCATGCCTTCTCATTTTGACACGCTTCAGTTGCACGCTGGCCAGGAGGTCGAGAAACCTCACGGCGCCAGAGCACCCCCTATCTACGCCACAACCTCCTACGTCTTTGACGACTCTAAGCATGGAGCCCAGTTGTTCGGTCTCGAGACCCCCGGCTACATCTACTCTCGTATCATGAACCCTACCAACGATGTTTTCGAAAAGAGAATTGCTGCGTTGGAGGGTGGTATTGCCGCTTTGGCAGTGGCCTCTGGCCAGGCTGCCCAGTTCATCACCATTGGCGGTTTGGCCCATGCTGGTGACAATATCGTCTCCACCTCGTACTTGTACGGTGGCACCTACAACCAGTTCAAGGTTGCTTTCAAGCGTTTGGGCATTGAGACGCGGTTCGTCAATGGCGACTCTCCGAGGACTTTGCCAAGTTGATTGACGACAAGACCAAGGCTATCTACGTCGAGTCGATCGGTAACCCCAAGTACAATGTTCCTGACTTTGAAAAGATCATTAAGATCGCCCATGACAACGGCGTGCCTGTCGTGGTGGACAACACCTTTGGCGCTGGCGGCTATTTGGTGAGTCCCATCAAGTTGGGTGCTGACATTGTGGTGCACTCCGCTACCAAGTGGATTGGCGGACACGGTACCACCATTGGCGGTGTCATTGTCGACTCCGGTAAGTTCCCTTGGAAGCAGTATCCCGAGAAGTTTCCTCAATTCTCCAAACCCAGCGAGGGCTACCACGGTTTGGTGTTGAACGACGCCTTGGGCGAGGCTGCCTTCATTGGCCACGCCAGAATTGAGTTGTTGAGAGACTTGGGTCCAGCTTTGAACCCATTCGGCTCCTTCCTTTTGCTCCAGGGCTTGGAGACATTGTCCTTGCGTATCGAGAGACAGTCCCAGAACGCCTTGAAGCTTTCGCAGTGGTTGGAGAAGTCTCCTCACGTCAAGTGGGTCTCCTACGTTGGCTTGCCTTCCCACGAGAGCCACGAGTTGGCCAAGAAGTACTTTAACACCGAGCACTACGGTGGTGTTTTGGCCTTGGGTGTCAAGGACTTGGACAAGAAGGTCGAGGACCCATTCCAGGAGGCAGCCGCCCAGGTTGTGGACAACTTGGAGGTCGCTTCTAACTTGGCCAATGTTGGTGACTCCAAGACTTTGGTGATTGCTCCATACTACACTACTCATCAGCAATTGAGCGAGGAGGAGAAGGCCAGCTCTGGTGTCACCAAGGAATTGATCAGAGTCTCGATCGGTACCGAGTTCATTGACGATATAATTGCCGACTTTGAACAGTCGTTCAAGAAGGTGTACGGTTAGACTATGTATGACCATGTGAGGATACAATAAATCCCTGTCAAGAGCGTATGGAACGCAAGAAGGACAGTTGTAATTCCAAGACTCCAATGCAATCCGTAGTCACGTAAGTATGCCTCGATGAAAGGCGAGCCCACTCCATGTCCAAAGAGAAGTATAAGCAAAAGGACAAAGAGAGATCCCTGGAGTATGAGGCTCATTACCTCAAAGACTCTTCTTGCGTTTCCGTTGAAAATAAAAGAAAGCAAGTCCATGAGAACAACTGCAAGAAAATTAAAGGCAGCCACGAGCCACAATGTCTGGATTGCAAGGGAAAGCTCACTAATCTTTTCCAACTGGAGCATCACCAGGACCTTGCTGGAGTCCAAGTTTGCCGAATCTTCAGATTGTTGAATTTGTCTGATGACTCGATTGATTTCTTTAATTGCAGCCTGGTATAGTTCTTGAGTGTTTTCGCCAAACTCTTGTGGATTTTCAACTTCTCCAATCAACCCAACCTGAGTTCCTATGTCGAGCACAAGCATACTGGGAATATCCATACCTCGACCTCTATAACAGTCGAAATCCGAATCCGAATCTTTGAATCGACACATTCCCATTGGACTGAAGGTGTAGATGCATTTTTCGACAGGCCAATCGTGAGGAATGGTCGATTTGGTACTACCACCAAGATCCTCTGAGAAGTACGCAAAAAGCTGGAGACCATCGTTGGCAATCATAGTCCAAGAAGCAGATCCTTCATCAACTTCTAGCTTATTTATAGCGGTAGTATAGGGAGATGGAAATAGACTCCCAAGGAATAAAAGAGATCCAGCAATGAGCCATATCCAGAAGACCACTTGATGAGAGATAGTTGTGTTTTGAGGAATAAAATAGCCATTGCCTCGAGCGGGCCGATCCACTATTGCAAGCTCTTCAAGATCATCTTCCTCTTTCATTTGCAAAAAAAAACTAGTGTATTAGTGAAATATCGATTTGTGTCAGTATATATGCGAGGTATGCGAATAAGTCCCTAGCTCCAATGAGTGTCTAAGACTGTCTAAACGATTTTGTTTATAAATTGATTGTTATCGAGCAACTGCATCTCCTGCTCATCTAGAACAGAGATGTTGTCGACTGATCGTTCATAGCTGTTGTTAGCATCTGGGATCAACATGTTTTGGTGAGGCTGAGATTGGAGGCCTCCGCCTGTGTTACTTCTAGAGTGGTTAGGTGTGTTCAATTTGTTGAGAGTCGATGCCCGAGACAATGACCCACCTTCAGCAACACCAGGTAGCGTTTGTGGATACTGGTGGTTCGAAAAGTGATTCTCTCCGTAAAGAAGATCATGTGTGGTTGACTTCTCCGGAATCCAGTTCCGGTGAGGCGTTTTTTTAGACTTTGAGCTGTCCTTGCGTCTGCCAGAAAACTTGCGGGTGATTGTAGCACCTAGCTTTCGAAGCTCAGTTTCAGTGTGGACATGGCTGCTCAGCTCAGCCCTTTCGGGTTCAAATGTCTGTTCGCGGACCTCGTAGTCATCGGGCGATGCAAATGGTCCGTTGTCGTGGTAGCTAGTGCTTTCCACTGAGGTGGATCTAGGAGGATGGTCATGGTCATTTTCAAAGTTTGCTGCATCATCGAAGAGTCGAGAAATAGACTTCTTCGTCTTGTTACGCTTGAGCTGTCTCGAGACCTGATATGGCTTGACGACGTAGGCGCCGTCGTTATCGTTTGGATCGTCTCTATAGTGGTATGTGATCTCGTCGTCAGAATTGTAGCCATCATCCGTAGGGTTTGAGCACCATAAAGGCAAGGCCCACAGAAGCATCGTGAGCACGGAGAAGGCGAACGTGCACCATAAGAGAGCCTGGAAAACATCTCCCAAGATCATCTTCACACCGTAGCTGGACATTCCCTTTGCAATCTCCTTCTTCATAGATCGTAGTTCGTTTATGGCAATAGAGGAAGCCACGATCATGATTATACCAGCAGCAACAGCTAGAAGCGCCAACCCGTTCATTGTGATAGTGGGAATAGACGATAGGTCCTTGGCGCCGCCTCTGTTGCTGTATAGGACAAGACCGTAAACGATAATGGCCGCCTGGGCCAAAACCTGGAATATCATGACTGGCTTGAGAACTCCAAAACGCTTGTTACGCGCTTCTAATCGATGGGAGTATTCATCGTCCTTCTTGTAACTCGACTCGTACGCGTAAGCCAAAATGATATCAAGGCCAGCCTCCAGCATGATAGCTCTGTAATCAAAGATACCGATACCGTCGTACGACTGGCAGTCCTCCGTGATGTTACCCTTCACGTGGGTGACATAGTCATAGGAGATCATGCAAAATTCATTAGCACCAAGCAAAATGTACTGGGCAGCGTCCTCCACCTGTTTCTCTGTGTATTGTGTGAGGATATGGATTTCGGAATCCGTGAGTTCGTTGTCAACAGGCAACAAGTCCTGATTTAAGGTGCCTGTGGATGAAATGGAGCTTCTTAACGACTTGTACAAACCCAACGCCACATCTAAATGGGCACAGTTGATACGTGCCAAATAGGTGGATTCGATATCGGAGGATGCAATCAAGTAGGCGATACCAAAAGCGATGGTCAAAAGCGACGTTCCCAAACGAAAGAACTGAAGGATTCGTTGTTGGATCGATAGGTTATGGAAAGGCCGGGATACCAGACTTTTTAAGCTTCGAAAGAAGCCCATGATGGATGTCGTTCACCAGCACGTGAACTGTGTTTTTCTATAGCCCTGGTAAAGAGCGTTTATGTGGTTTCTGGTGGTGAGAAGCGCTTAGTAGGCTTGAGGTTCTCGAAGCGAGGAAATGCAGTCCTGTGAGATGATAAGAATAGAACACACCTGAAGAGAGGTCTACAGGGGTAGATTCTTTTGGTGGGTCAGTCCAAAATAATCCTGATTATAGATCGATTCGGGAAAAATTTCATCTATTAATTATTTCGTGGGGGCCCGGGTTTCGGAGCTGTGGCATCGCATGTACTGCTCCAAGTAGGAGGCTCACATATGGGTGCATTCTTGGCAGCTGGCGATGAGAATCGTGTTTGATTGTCTGATTTGACGCAAATAGAAGACATTGTAGTTGGAAAGGGTGAAAAAACCGTCTCAGGGGAATCACCTTCTTTAGACTTTGAGATGCATACGTCAGCCTCACGGAGCATGAATTACACAAAATGGAGCCAGGCGGAGCAGAGAGGTGGTGAAGGTTTAAGAAAATGAATGAATTGCAGACTTTTATAAGTTTTGATTACATTTTTGTTTATACTTTGGGAGGAAGGCTGGCTTGGATGTTGCAGCACTATGCGTGTGGCTTAGGTGTATAGTAAGAGTCTGCCAACGGACCAGTTGGCTTCTAATCGAAATAGTTGGTCTTTGCTTCCTAGGTAACGTAATCAGCATGAATTCTGTTTATTGAATTCTTGGAAGATTGCACCAAGGAATTGCACCGAAGATTGCAAACACATTTTCAAGACTTGAACAGAATCAGCTCTCAGCCACATTCAACGGAGAACACGTTGTAGATACTTGAAACTTTCAAAGAGTTATTCGTGAAAGCCAAAAATAGAACAGAAACACTTAAAGGAACTACGATGAAAAACCTGAATTAGTAGTCTCTGGTTCCTTCGCTCCTAAGACTCCACCACACTCGGCAACACGCCTACGACAAAACTTACGTCAAAAATCTATCTTTATTACCTTTTTAACTTGTTCATTCGTGAATCATATAAAGCAACCGGTGCCACTAAAACTCCTCGTCGAACTTCAACTGGCCGTATGTGCTGTTGTACTGTTCCAAAGAGGGCTTGTTGGTACCGAAAAGACGAGGCTCGTCCTCCTCGAAACCTCTCTTACCATTGCCCTGCAATGGCATCGTTTGGAGTGGCATCGAAGCGCCCCATTCGGAGACATTGGAGCCTGACTGGAAGGTCGAACCCTGATTCGTCAATGGAGGTGGCATATCCATGTTGTTAGGAAGAGGCACTCTGTTGAAAGTACGTTGAGGCATGCCACGGTCGTAAGAAGCCTCGTGGGAAACAGAGTAGCCATCAGCGACCAGCTTTCTGATTCTCATGCCGATGGTAGCCAACGAGGCGATGTCTGGGTTTTCATGCTGAGGCTGGAAGCCCTGAGTCTGTGAGCGTTTCGTAGGATGTTCCATAGTCATGAGAATGAAGGGATTGTTTTTGTTTATATGGGTTGAACGAGGTGTATCAGATGACAGGGGTGAAGTCGAGATCACTTTTTTTCTCCTTCCTAAACGGTGTAAATGAGCACACGTTATGTGGAGGACGCATCATGGGCCCAGGTGTAAGTGGACCGATTCATAAGAGGAGAGGTTTTTGATGCGTTTGAGTTGACTGGGGAATTTGGCTTTCTGAAGTACTAAAATTGAGAAATTATGAGTTTCATGATGTGTTGATGTTCGTGGTGCCAGGTCAATGACGTGCTTTCGCAGCCACCGATAAGGTGAGGCTCATATCGGAGGAGTTACATGAACGGCTCAAGCCTTTGGGGATTGAATTTTTGATTTTTGAAGAGATCACGGGCTTCTGGAATTTGATCAAGTGTATTGCTAGAGGAGTTTCAAAATCGTGCAAAGGTTGACTGGTAATGTTTCAGATGGCGCAGCATGCAAGTGAAGCATTGAGGTTTGTGGATTTGAGATTCTGCCATGAGAGGTGTCGAGGCGATGCAATCTTAGAAAAAGACTTTTTATGGTAAGAGAAAACAGCCCTACGTTTTTCTCGATAGTTGAATTCATATATATGACAACTTTTATCTCGAATTGGTTGTGGGTAGAGGTCTGATTCAGCACGTAAAGGGTACGAAGAAGAGATTTACTCAACGATTCGAGACAAGAAATATCAAAAAAGCGGATTAGAATCTAAGTGGTCTGCAGCGATATTCCTCTAGGGCGTGTGACCTAGACTGTCTTCACAATCAAACAATATTTACCACAGTGACTACCGAAGTGATGACTTTTTGAGGACCCTACTACAAAACCTCAATTAACGTTGTACATCCTTCAACTAAAGCAATCAATTGAGGCATGGCTACGCCAAATTCACGACAATTATCCGAAGGTCATGATGCTTAGCGCCAAGCCCAGCAGCATTCCACAAACGTGGACAGGTAATTCTTCAAAAAGCAAAAAAAGCAACAATACTTCAAATCGATTCGAATATCGACATGCAGATCGAGATCAATGGAGGCGTCTCCCTTCAGATCGGCTCATTCCTGTCAGTAAAACCATATTCCGCTTTCGGATTTCGCAGCCATTCAGCAATACCCAAACGATCTTCAAAGGACCAATTTCCAGTGATCAAAAAGTATTCAAATCACACTTGATTCACCCTCGCTTTCTGAAAACACTCGCTACAGAAAACCCAGACTTGCCTGCCCCTCATAGATCCAGCCCATGTGGTATGGGGCGCATCTTGCTCGGAGTACCACGCAGCGATAACCACCAATACCAGATCTCCAATCATCCAGCATTGATTAAACTTGAAAAGCACCCACACACCACAGACACTCCCACCCCTCTTCCAAAAAGCCAAAACTCAAATTGCCCCAAATCACCACCCAATACGCTTTTTCCAAAAATCCCTCCTCGGGGCTCGCCTTGAGTTGCACCTAGGGGACGGCGATTTCTTGCCGGAGCGATCATGGTTCCCCAGGCGCGCCCAGAACGGCAACCCACGCCGCGCAGTGCACCTATAGGCAAGATAGAGCGATGGAGAACAGTATAAAGGCAAGCCGAATCCCCAGACTTTTTCCCGCAAACCAAAATGTCTATTTCTTCAGCAACAGCCAAGCAGTACGAGGAGGAGTACTCCGCCCACAACTACCACCCTCTCCCCGTGGTCTTCCACAAGGCCAAAGGTGCGCATGTGTGGGACCCTGAGGGTAAAGAGTACTTGGACTTCCTTTCTGCCTACTCTGCTGTCAACCAGGGCCATTGCCACCCCAAGATCACCGAGGCTTTGGTGGAGCAGGCCAACACGTTGACCTTGTGCTCGAGAGCCTTCTCGTCCGACGTGTTTGGCCAGTTCGCCAAGTACATCACCGAGTTCTTCAACTACGAGATGGTGTTGCCCATGAACACCGGTGCCGAGGCCGTCGAGACCGCCCTCAAGTTGGCCAGAAGATGGGGTTACGTCAAGAAGGGCATCAAGGAAGACGAGGCCATTGTCTTGTCCGCTGTCGACAACTTCCACGGCAGAACCTTGGGTGTGATCTCCATGTCCACCGACTCCGAGGCCACCACCAACTTTGGTCCTTACCTCAATGGGGTGGGTCCTCAAATCCCAGGCGAGCCACGTGGCACCTTGTTGAGATACGGTGTCATTGAGGACGTCGAGAAGGCTTTCAACAACGCTGGCGACAAGATCGCTGCCATCTTGTTGGAGCCTATCCAGGGTGAGGCTGGTATCGTGGTACCTCCTGCCGACTACTTCACCAGAGTGCAAGAGCTTTGCAAAAAGCACAATGTCTTGTTGATCTGCGATGAGATCCAGACCGGTGTTGCCAGGACCGGTAAGATGTTGTGCTACGAGCACTACGAGAACGTCAAGCCTGACGTTATTCTCTTGGGTAAGGCCATTTCCGGTGGTGTCTACCCCGTTTCTGCTGTTTTGTCCTCCAAAGACATCATGCTGACCATCACACCTGGCTCCCACGGCTCCACATACGGTGGTAACCCATTGGCTTGTCGTGTGGCCATGGCTGCTTTGCAGGTTGTCAAGGACGAGAACTTGATTGAGAGAGCCAACACCTTGGGCTCCCTCTTGCGCCAAAAGTTGGAGAGCTTGCAGTCCGAGGCTGGCGGCATCATCTCCGAAGTCAGAGGCAAGGGCTTAATGTCTGCCATTGTCATTGACGAGGCTAAGACCAACGGCAGGACCGCTTGGGACCTCTGCTTGCTCATGAAGGACGAGGGCGTTTTGGCCAAGCCTACCCACGACAACATCATCCGTTTGGCTCCTCCTTTGGTCATCTCCGAGGAGGACTTGCTCAAGGGTGTGGCCGGCATTAAGGCTGCCTTGGCCAAGTTGCCAAATGCGCCAAAGGCTGCTCATTAAATAAGATATGTAAAATTACCGGTGGCTGCTAAACCATGGATGTAATGCCAAATGCTATATAGAGCTAATGCTACCTCATTAAATTAACGTTCTTCGTCACTAGCATCTCTTTCGTGCGAGAGTTGTCCCAATGCAGCTAGTCTTCTTTTCTTTTCAACCTCGGTCTCTTCATCCTCCAGCTCGTTGTACTCATCAGTGTCGCACGGCTCTTCTTCCTTGAGGACGACATGATTACTGTCCACACCAGTCTCAGCCTCAATAAGACCACTGAGTTTGCGTTGCATCGAGTTGTTGAATTTTTCTTCATCGTGGTGTGGCGATTCTTCATGGGGGATCACAACTTTCTCAGACTCTCCAACGGGAAGAGGAGAGTCAAGAGCCGATTCTCTGGCTGCATTTGCATCAGCTGGTGACGGTTCTTTGTTTTTGATACCCACAAGAGACAAAGCCTTGTTGACGATGGAACCCAGTCTTGCTCTGGTGGTTTGCTTGTTTGGATTGACGTGCTTGTTGACTCTGTAACGTCTGACGACTTCACCGTCGGAGTTTTCAATAACGATTAAATTATCAACCTGGTGAGCAAAGAATTTCTTGCCTCCATCTTTCTTGACGAACGCCTTCTTTTTACGACTCATTGTTCTTGTTATTTTCTTGCCAATGGATTCACCACTCTTGGAAGAAAGTCCCAGGTTGTGGGACGTGGCTGAGAACTGCGACATATGGCGTCTCAATGAATTCATGGAATGGATACTGACATTTTCTGCATTCGATGGTGTCTCCTGGCATTGTTCAAGAGCTCTCATTGGAAGGCTTTGTATGATTTCACCTTCCTGATCCTCTACTATGATATGGTTGCCCTCCTTATAAATAGCGGCGGGAATTTGGTCAGTGTCTGGATCAAGGTCCTCAAGAGGCTTACCTGAATCGACAGCGATTTTGTTTCTGACCTCTTTCAATGTCTCTTCATTGATATCATTGTCAATGTTCTCGTTCTTCTCAGCAAACGTAGAAGAGGTATCGCCAGAATCGCCACCATCGCTTTTGGTGGGTCCTTGGGAATGTGATTTGCCCAACTGCAAAACCTCAGTTTGAGGACGATGTCTTCCATCGTCGGTGGTTTTGCTCTCACGCTTATTGTGCTTCTTCTGCATTCTCTTCCTCCTAGCGCCTCCAGAAGGTCTAACTTTGGCTCCAGTTTGAGAAGAGGCTGTGTCTTCTGGTTTGAGATCAGGATGGGCCGTGTCGATACTGTGCAAGGAGTAGGAAGTAGTAGTTCTGTCGAGCTTCTGCAAACGAGACATCCAGGAAGGACCTTGATCATGAGTATTGGTTGTGGTCATTGTGATTGCCATTCTGTTCAAACGTTTGCCTAGAGTCAAGACGGCCACCGAGGAGCCATGAACAATGATCGAGGTGATAACGATGAAGCAGACGATAGGCCAGATACATTTGATGAGCTGGTAATGGGGAATGTTTCATCGGTGAGGTTTGCCAATGGGGTCTCCTCATTAGTGTAGTGAGCTTCCAAGTCACCTCTAGCAAGAATGGCGGCGAAAATGGCACCCACACCGATAGGGCCAAAGTGGCCACAGAACAAAGCTTCTCTCCATGTCTTGACATCAGGAGTGAACGGCTTCAAGGCGAGCACGGCTGGAATTCGTCTAAGGAAGATGATGACGAACGCAAGAATGATCAAGCGCCAAACGTCAAGACCGAGATCACTGTTGTTGAAATCAGGCCAAGGGACGATAGCACCAAAGTAAACGAAGAAAGACAAGTTGAGAAGCAAGTCAATGACGGTCGAAACATGCGACTCTTCAGTTTTTCTAGCGAATTCACCGTTCCAGCCGAACGCTGTGCCGGCAGCAAACGAAACCAAAAGATCGTCAACACCAAGCATAGAGCCGACACCGGCAGACACGAAGGCGAGGAAGACGAAAAGCGCCAAAAAGGACTCTCTATCGATAAGATCCTTGTTTTCAGCAAATGCCACCGCCTTTCTTAAAGAGTATCCGAGAAAGACACCCAAAACAACGCCGAAGCAACACTCCCAGAAGATTGTAAGTGTAAACCAGTCCTTGACAACCTCTCTAGCGTGATTTGCCTGAGTGACCAAGTTGAGCGCAAGGAAAATAAACGGAAAAGCCATACCATCGTTACAGCCCGACTCGGCCGTAAGCAAGTTACGTAAATGTCCAGGAACTCTCTCTGCGAACTTACCCTTACCAACGACAGCAGCAGCCAAGACAGGATCAGTAGCAGTCACACAAGCCGCCACCAAAAGACCATCAGCAAAGTTGAAATGCGGTATAAGGGCCCAAATAAAAAGACCAACAACCAACCAGCCACAAGTCATGACAGGTAGCAAGAAGATGGTGACACTGAGCCAGTGTTTCTTCATGTATTTTCTAGGAAGTTCGACCGCCACAGCGACAATCTGGATACACAAGACAATTCTGCATATCTCCAAGGTCAAATGGTCGGAATTCGTCCAGTTGATCGGGTCTAGCCAGTTTAGACAGTGAGGTCCGAAGATCAAGCCGGCGATAGTCGCCACGGTGGCTTCACCAATGTACAACCGTTCCTTGACAAAGAGAGACGCTAGCGAGAAGAGCGTACTGAAGATTCCAACACATGCGTAAGCAATATGAGACTGTTCAATCTGGGGTTAGTAAAAATATGGCACATAAACGGAAAAACGGGACCGACATACCTCTAGCTGGGACCACATTGGTGTACATTTGTTATCGGAAAGACGGTTTTCGTGATGATGTGTGGTAGGGGAGTATGCAGGCCGCCAAGAAACGAACAAAGCTAGAGAAGCCGAATGACAGGTATTTGACGTCTGGGGTTGCAGGTGTACTATTTGAAAGATGCTAATCGAGGAGATTTTTTTTTTTTTTTTTTGGAAACTTTTACTTGTTTTCTTATCAGACGGTTCAATCGGCCTAGGGGTAGTCCGGGGTGATGCATCAGGCAGGCTTAGGTAAGCGCTTATCTAACAATAGATGGTATCGTTTACTTTAGTCCACACAATGGGTATCAAAATCGAGGCGTTACAGCGGTCTATGTGAAGTGTGACTCCTGATCCGAAGACGATCTTTTGTTATTGGCGAGAGATAGAGGTGGAGAATGGAGGGGAATGTACGGGAAGCACGCAAGCAAGGCTGAGGATGTCTCACAGTGAGGTCACCGTACAGAGGGTGCCAATGGAACACTAAAATGGGATGGCAAGTTTTGAGTCGCTTTAAGGAAATTGAATATCTCTCATTTGTGGGTCTGTGATTGGCCGGCGCTTAAATGGTGGGAAGTTGAGGAGGCAAGCAAGCTTGTGCTGGTTTGTAGCACTAACGGTGTTGGTAGGGAAGAATGAACACAAAAGCTTCCGGTGCGACGGTTTGGGAATATTGTTTTTTTTGAATGGGATAGAAAAAATTGGGTTGTTTTGACCTTGCTAGGTACAAGGTGTTCCTTGGAGGAATGGTCACTGTACGTCTCTTTGTTGTAAAACTGTGATGGAAGACACAAGCTGAAGTCAAACGTTGATGAATTTTTTACCTGGTTTCCATTTAAGTTCTACTCCTCATCTAAGCCATCCAGATCTTCCATTTTCATCTTTCCAAAAATAATTCATACATTGACCCTACGCCAACACTTGAGGCATTGTGGGCTAAGTGGCTGCGAAACGGCTGCAACGAAGGTTCACTTGCTTACACCAACACAATACCAAACATCTACCACTTCCTTCCTTGTATCAAAAATTCATGATCTACCCCAACTTATCAAGATCATCCTCGCATGACAAAAATGACTTTGATCTGCCAAACCGTTGGGGTGGTACAGGAGGCACTGGTGTACACGATACTCAGTTGGATCCACAGTTCTATTCTCATCAACTCCACTAATAGATATAGATCTGGGCTAAACCTATACCACAAAGTCAAAAGACCCACTCATAGAAAAACCAGCCCGCCATGACAATAGAAGGAATGTGGATCATCGGCTACGGCCTGCTCATCTTCAAACCTCCTCCACTTTACGACTTCAGAGTCACTGGAACTCTTAAAGGCTACATTCGTCGATTCTGGCAGTCCTCCTCGGACCACAGAGGCACTCCAGAAAGCCCAGGCAGAGTGGCTACTCTCATGTCATTGCAAGACCTCAAAGACCACTCCAGATTCCACAATGACTTGTACACATATGAGCTCAACCCAAAGGTTGGTGAGCTGAATATCGCTACGGAGTCAGTGGCTAATCTTCCCAGCGAGGCTTTGGCGAACAACATTCATGATGTGAAGCACAAAATCGACGAACTTGAGGAGGACGACTTGAAGGTCTGGGGTGTGGCATACTACGTTCCACCGGAACATGTGGAAGAAATGAAAGCGTACCTTGACGTCCGGGAAAAGAATGGATACACGCTCCACAAGGTGAGGTTCCACGTCCACAGTGTTCCCAACGAGGCCGAGGCGGTGGTGAGCAAAATACCAAGAAACCAGGACGGAGACTTATTTATCGAGTCCTTCATCTACATCGGGACTATCGACAATGAGGCGTTTGTTGGTCCTGAAACCGTCCAGGATACTGCTGCGGTTATCAAGAAGAGCAAAGGCCCCAGCGGTCTCAATTTCGAGTATTTGAGCAAACTCACAGAGGCTGTCCATGCTCTTGATCCGCAACTGAGGTCGCGAGACTTCTACCTCGAAGATCTAGTAGCCCTTGCAGCACCCCAACAATAAAATATACTAATAGAGCATATTGAAAAAAAAAAAAATTAAAATGTAAAAAGAAATCTCCCGGGGGTGAGTCGAACACCCGATCTCAAGATTACAATCACATTACAGTCTCGCGCCTTAGCCAGCTTGGCCACCGAGAGGATTTCTGAAAGGCAATGAATGCAGGTTTATTATATCGTCTTTTATAAAAGCAGTATGTATGCAGGATAACATATACAGGAAGCTCAGTATTCGAATATCAGGAGCTGTAGAGCTTTCTTTCTTTGGGGTTCGAAAACGAAACTAGAAAAAAGGATTACAACATCAGTGGAAGTTGTATAAGGGGCAATTGAGCAGATTTCACCTAAGAAAAGAGATGAAAGTAATACAATAATGTCTGGTCCCATTTCATGGGACGCAGTCGCGACCTTCAATCAGATGAGTCACTTGATAATAAAGAAAGTGGCAAAGACCTACTACCCCAATTGAGCATCGGTGGCAAACATTGTGAGTCAAGTGAAATGAACTGTTCAATCAATCGTCTATATATTTCAGGAGAGTCTACCTCTTCATTACCATAGACCATGATTGTCCCATCTGTAAATTCCTTAAGTCCCACTTACGATCACTTCACTGTGGCAGATGAAGAGCTCAAGGTGATGCCTGTGGATGAGATGCAGAAAGCTATAAGTCGGATTTGCATTTCAAGCAGAGCTGTTGTGAAGATGTCGAAGACAAAGGATGAGACCAACTTCTTGCTTCATGGAAGCCAGGAAGGCGTGAAGAAGGCCAGGACACTCATCAAGCAGAAGTTTCGAAGCAAATCTCAGATCACATTTGATATTCCCTCAAGATCACGACGTGCTGTAGTTGGAACAAAGGGAAGCACAGTGAGAGCCATCAAAAGAAAGAACAATGTTGACATCAAAATTGACCGCAGGCGCTTGTGTAAACCATTCGATTTAGAGAAATATCATGATGGTGATCAGCTTGCGATTTTCAAACAAGACCCGTCGGGTGATGTTCGTTATGTCGCTTCGGTGGAAGTGAAGGTGATGGGCAGCCAAGTGGATTGTATGGCAGCAAAAAAACAAATTTTGGAAGTTGCACTGCTACAAGTTGTCGAGTTTTGTCACTTCCCGCACGGATTATATCGTTACGAAGCGAGAAAAAGGGCCGAGGAGTGCTTCAATGATGTATCCATTTTTACTGGCTATTCACCAATTGATACGTTAGCAGTGGAAGGCCACAAGGATACAGTGTATGAAGTTATGAAGCTTCTTCGCTCCTTTGCCGATCTCGAATGTGACTCGATAGTAATTCCTACTGCATTGAGGTACACCGGTTTCATGAGCTCTCTCCAGAATGTTGAAACAGAAGATTTAAAAGAAAATGAAAAGAAGGCCGAAACGAAAATAATAATCAAGGGCCAAAGAGCGGATGTAACGACGGCTTGTCAGATGATTGTTGAACACATTGCAAAATATTTTTCTCATAGACTCATGTTGATAGATCTTCACGGTGGTAACATTGAACATGTTAGGAGAGTGTTGTCGTTGTATCAAGTAAGGGAACGGGCCAAAAGGTTATTGAACGAGAATTCTGTTTTTGGTGAGTATCCAGAGAAAGATTTTCACAACGTTGAATACATCGAGGTGTTTGGACTCCAAGAAAAGGATGTGATGCTTTCTATCAGTCAAGTAGAATGTATCATTGAATCGTTGAAGCCCAGTGACCTTTACCTCTGCTTTGATAGAAATCTCATCTGGAATCTACAGCTTCCAAATGATATTAGAAGTAAGTTGTGGGAAAGTCTTCCTGAACCATGGCGGGAGAAGGCGGTATTTAATGTGGGAAAAGATTTTTTGGCATTACATCGCAGGCATTTGGTATGCCAACACGCTCTCTTTTACAGGCAGCTACCGGAATCGGATTTCAGATCATTTTTGGAGGCATTAAGGCGGGAAGTAGAAAGCAGATCGAAAGTTGTTTTAAATGTCCCTTCAATTACACAGCCGCTTCTCAAGGTGAGCTACCTAACAGATGGATGCAAAATGGAGTTCCATTGTGACGGGGATGAAGATTGCAAGGACATGATAACGTTGTTTGACGAAACTGAGCGGGTGGAGAAGACCGTCACTCTCATCAACCAGATTTTGCAGTGCGAGAAAGAGCAGCAGGTATACACCGTGGTATTCGAAATTCCGTCTTTGTTGGTTTATGATCTCAAGAGTTACTACTATTTGTCTGATTTCAAGGAAAAGTATGGCATAAAACCGCACATAGTTAGGAAGGATGGACAACCCAATAAGCCAACTTGGCTGACGAGCACCTCGGACGTGTCTATTGTCACACTTACGGGTAACCGGGTCTATGTTGATGCCCTCAAATGTGAGATTGAAGAGAAGGTCAGGAAATTCATCCCCTACATGTTCACAGAGGTGTGTGATATCGATGAAAGTTTCTTTGCTCGAGTCAGTGGAAGGGATTTTTCCAACATGCTGGAATTGGAACGGCTGCACAAAGTGAAAACCAGCTTAGGAACAGCCGTGTTGACATATGGCTACCTTTTTAACGATTCGAGTGGCTCTTTCGATGATCATCATCGTGTTCAGATAATGGGAGGATCGAGTACACTGGTAATCCAGGCTAAGGAGAGTCTCCTGAGACTTTTGGAAACAATCAAAAAGTCCACTGAAACAGCTACATTTCGAGTACCGAAAGTACTACGTTACGACATTCGAAATCAACTAGATATGTCGAGATATGATAAGAAATGTTCGGGAGTTGATTGCGAGTTTCGAGATGACGAAGCAGATGGCTTCATCACGCTAGATCTTCATGGGTGTCAGCCCGACCTCAGGAACGCGGTGGAAAGAACAAATAGCGTGATAACAGAGCATATAGAGAAGGAAAAAGACAAAACATAACCAAAACACCGTAATCAAACTGTAAAACACAAACGAAGGGTGGCAGGCATGACAATCTGGTCATCAACCAGCAAAATGCCATAGTGCTACAATCACTTCCCAAAATCCATTCCATTCAACCACACTATGTTACACAAAATTAACCCCTTGGGTTGATCGCCGTACAAGCAGATAGTATCTGACTAGCAACGCGGTCGATCTCCGTTTGAACTTGCCCAAACTTACCCTCAGATGCAGCATCACGAACCATTGGGAAACTATTCCAATGATACTTCAAAGAATCGTCAGTAGAAGGTGCATCAAATGGTGCTCCGTAGAGGTAGTTAGCGTACCCAATTCTCGGGCGCTGAGCATCATTACTGAGGAAGTATGAGTCAAATAACACCATATTTTGATTCATCAGACGTCTGGTGGCTGCAAACACTGGTGGCTCCATAGAGCTTGCGTCGATAAAGTTCTTCCATTCATTCTGCTGAACTCGTAACAGGTGTGCGTCACGCAGGAGTTTGCCGATTGCCTGCTTCAAATTGTCGAAGGTAATCTTCGTATTGACCGGAGAAGGGTATGCATTTATCTGATCCGCAACGTACTGTTCGAGGTCCTTCTCATGATCAGCCAATTGCCGGGCAAGCATTTCAAAGTCGAAGGGGATCATTGGATTCTCAACAAGCTCGAGTCCAACTCTAGCAATCACCTCGACTAATTGCTTATGCTTTTTCACTCCAGGATCAAACTTCTTATCGGTGAATGCTTTAAAGTTATCGACGCATGTTCCTTCGACGAACTCCTCACCCTTGAATGATATATCCATCGCTGGCATATTGATCTCATTTATGAAAGGAATGTAGTTTCTCTCCTCCAACATGCTGTATTCGATGTCGTCTTTGCCATTATTTTGAGCCTTATAAAGATCGTAAAGAGTGCCAAGAGAATCACCCTTCTGAGACTCTGTGAGGTGCACCTTCTTCATAGCGTCTTTGACAATGTTTTGAATAACAGGGTGCGCCTGGATGGACAAGGTGTCTCCAGAGACCAAGCCGTTTATATCGACGTAGGTGTAGCCTTCACTCATGAGCGAGTCTTTACGAGTTTCCACCCACTTAGCACTGCCAGCGAGGTTATTCTCTGTTCCATCAAATGACACAAAATACAATGACCTGGCTGGAGTCCAGTTGTACTTTCTTTGAAGGCCAGAGAAAATCTTAACCAATTCAAGCAATGCGGCGGTGCCGCTAGCGGAAGACATGGTTCCGTAGCATGAAGAATCACGGGCGGCTCCAAAAAGGACACCCTTTTCAGGTTGTTCGCGGCCGGGTATGTGACCAACAATGTTCCAAATTGGATGGTTGATGCGTTCCGTATTTTTAACTTGAAGCTTGATCTTGGGGTTCTTGTCGATGCTACCGGAAAAGTAACCATCGCCGAAGTCAACACCTTTGTCTTTGAGCTTGCTTACAAAGGCCATACCATCCTTCCAGCTAACGGGGATGGAGGGAATCTTGGCAGTCGCTTCTGAATGCTCCCAGTCGGTGTTGGAGAAATACGTAGCGTGTTTCGACCAGCCTGGCCTGAGAACATCACCGGCGCTGTACCTCCAGAGACCGACATTCGTCTTTTTGATAGCATCCTCCTCAACTTCGCCTGCAAACAGCACCTTTGGTGAGATAAATACCACAGCCTTCACGCCTAGTTGGTGCGCAGCATAGACCTTATTTGCCTCAGGAGTGACACCTCCGTGCTTGACGATAAGCACAGTGTTTTTAAGGTCGATCTTAGCGTCCACTATTTTTTGCAAATCTTCAGCATCGCCGAAATTTCCAAAGATGAAGGGGGCCTCAATCTCACCGTCCAGACTAGGTGAGTTTGGGTTGAATGCCATGAGTTGCTCGTGTCCGCTCTGCGGACCCAAGGACGCCCTGATAGACCCGTCGGCCAACCTGACGTACGAGTCACCAGTGGGGAAATTAAGAAACGTCTCGAGCTCGTGGAAGTCCACGTTGTTGATGCCATTATTGTGGAAGTAGCTTTCGACGTACCGAGCCAAGGCCAAATCGCCCATGGTGCCGGCCATGTGGGGCATCGAGCTGAGGTACTCCAAGTTCTCTTGGAGCGTTTTGCCCTCGATGTAATGAGCCAAGGTGTCGCCTAGCTTATCTGTGTCGTAGAAGTGGCCGGAAGAGAAGGCGCCTCCGGAGGTGCCGTTGATTCCCTCGGTGTCCTCATTTTCCGTAATGACAAAGATCAACGTCACCACAAAAAGCACATAGAGCAACCGCTTGACCACCAAGGGGTTCCCGAGCTTGAGCAACTGCAGCTCATACAGCCTCTTGAAGAAACTGTATCCTTCAGCTACGGGCTTCATGCAGCGGACCATCGGATCCACAACCTTGTCTCTGAAGGTGAATGCACAACGTTTGCTGACAAACACGAACCGTTTGATCACGCTGTCACGTTTGACCGGCTCGTAAATTTCGTCGTCATCAATCTCAAACTGTTCAATCGGTGGCACCAGGCTACCTGAGCCCAGCGCAAACGCCGTCTCGTCTTCCTCCTCGTGAACATACGCAGGCGGAAGTACCGGCATATCGTCCACCCTTTCGTAAGACATGAGTTTTTGTTGATGTCAAGGAAAGAAGGAAGGTAGTAGGTTGGGAGATAGTGGAGGGTTGATGGTGCGAAAGTGTAGGCGCAGGTCGGAAGAGGAGATACCGGTTTTCTGGGGGAGCGGTCTAGGAAATAGGGGCGGGGGGACGAGGGAAGAGGGTTTTTGAAGTTGAAGTTTTGAGGTGGCGATTCCTCTATTTATATGTGTTTTCGAGGTGGCTGAGGGCGGTTCGTTGTGGGCTGTACCGAGGGTATAACTGATTCGCAGCCAGTAAGGTGGAGGGTATGAAGAGGCGGTGATGAAAACAATTTCGATGATTATTTAGAGATTTGTTGGATTTATCGAGTTTGAAATTAGAGAAGTTCGGGCTTTTTGGGGTTTAGAGGAATGGTGAGATATATGGTGAATGACCAGAGACCGGGGCATAGTACTGATTGTGGTGCGTCGTATTTAGTAGATGGTTCTTATTTCCTCGATATGATGAGCATAATTGCAAATTCCTTGAATTCAGATATTTTCTGTATGGTTCTTTTGTCACGTTGCAATGTTGTAAAATCAACAGATTCTGTTCAGTATGTTGGCATGTTTTAGCACCACGACAGTAGGATGTCTAGCCAAGCCAAGACTAGCGGCATTTTGCACCTTTATAGCCGGGAACCCGGGCCTCCTTTTTAAAGAGCATTCAAATTGAAGACGACTCCTGCTGTTTCGCAGGTTTCCCGATTTTATTTTCTAAAGTTTTATTTTGTAAAGTTAAATATTGTACGAAAATACTCACTAGGCTGGAATGGCTGCAAACCTATGCAACTGCGAACGAGCAGATACCCAGTTTGGAACAATGGGCACTTAGCAGTAGGAAAGAGGAGACAGAATTTCAAAAATTCAGCCCAAAGAGATAAGATCCCGAAAATAGTTCGTATATTAAGGGAATCATCTCAGGCTTTGATAGAGTCTAGGAGTATGAGCAATTATGGGACTACAGGTGCCACAGCCACTACTTAGCCGATACCACGAAGATCATGAACACCGACAAATCCTCACTCATTCGGTCATCAGAGCATCTACTTAAAAACTCTCTAAATCAGTATCACGAAGAGCACCTGAATCGGGATCTGACTCAGCAAATTGCGACTGATAGCGCTCACTATGGAATCCCCACCACGTCCACTATTTCCATACACCACGATAACTTTTCCACCAAGGTTCAAAAATCCTCAGCCATCCCCTTGATATAAATACCGCCCTTCCCCAAAAATCCAAAAAAACCCACCCCATGGCAATCGGCCTTTGACCTCCAACTCCCTCCCTCGTGGACTCCTGCACCTGCTGCTACTGCCCTTCGCAACCGACTCGAATCAGCTACTCTTCTTGTGCCTCGGCATAACATGAATACTGGGCTGTTATGAGCGACTCCAATTCACATAAAGCCCCGAATGGCCAAGGTTCAGGTGACCATGGTCACGGGCATCGCCATTCTCGAAGACAGAATGGCAACGACTACAAAGCCTTAAACAACGACATTCTGCCTATGGAACGCCAGGCCCGGCTGGGGAAGAAGGTGAATGCCAATCTGCGGAAAAACCAGATCTCCATAAACCACTTGTTGGACTTCCAGCTGTATAGAGACCTGCCTGAGTACCAGAAGCTGCAGAGACCTAGACAGAGGAGACGGAGCTCTAATGGGCCTAAAAAACAGCACTTGTTTCTCCACGGCATGAGATTTATCAACGTGAATTACAAGTTTGTGTTGGACTACAGGAAAAACTATAACGTGCAACAGATTGACCCGAATGTGCCCGTGGACACAGACGATATTCTCCGTATCATAGTACCCAAGGGCAATGCATGTCCGATTTGTCTTCTGGAGGACTTGACCGCTCCGCGGATGATCACGTCGTGTGGCCATATTTTGTGCTTGACGTGCTTGCTATCGCTTTTGGAAAGCGAGGTTCCGGCTCTGATGAAGAAGGAGAGCAAGGTGATTGTGGAGAAGTACAAGGACTGTCCGTTGTGTGGGTCCATCATCCGGCAGAAGGACGTGAAACCAGTGAAGATCGATAACGTGGATGAGCGGTTCGAGGTGCCCAAGATTAAGGACGAGGTGGTGCTTACATTGATGAGCAGACAGCCTCACCGGGTATTTCCGTTACCACGTAACTTTGAAGAGCTTCAGGAAACCATTGATACATTCCCGTGGGCAGCACAACAGGATCCAGATCTAAGCCAGTATCTGCGGTTCTTCAAGGGCGACCTAGCATACCTCGTCAGTATGTACGAGGCTGAAAGGGAGCAGATCAAGGCCGCATATGAGGAGGAGAAGGAACTTTACCAGGACGACGGAAAGTACATGCGAATGGCACTCAAAAACATTGACGACGATCTTGCTCTTTGGTCGTCCAAATTCAATACAGACCTCCCTGAAAACGCAAAGGCACACCAGGCCAACAAGTCGAACGGGCATGGCAGTACTTTTTACTATTACCAGACAGGTTTCAAGTCTTCAACAGTGTACGTGCTTTCGCCTCTTGATATCAAGGTGTTGAAGTCGAGCTACAACAACGACTACGCACAGCTACCAAGCTCGCTAATAGCACAAGTTGAAAATATCAGGTACGAGGAGCTTAGCGCCGAGACGGCTCTCACCAAGTACAAGTACCTACTGCATTTGCCCCAGGGCACAAGTATCGGATTCCTCGAGTGCAAGTGGCAGAATAACGAGTATATCAGCAAAGAGACGTGGAACACCTTCAAGGGCGATCTCACGAAACGAAGCAAGCAGTCGAGCAAGAAGTTCCACCTGGAGGAGTCCAAGAGACGCCGTGCGCTCAACGACGAAGAGAGACGTACCAGGGAATTCTTCAATCGTGAAAACAATCCACACGAGGAACACGACTGGATGCCTCCTGCCAACTTTGGCAGTCTCAGTATTTCCGATTACCGTGACCTTCCAGCGCTCAGTGCCGAGTCTCAGGATCTCGAAAGCTCCCCGGAGGAGCAGGAACAGCAAGAAGCTCAACGGTTGCAAAGAACCGTGTGGGGCACCAGTATTCCACATTCTGAAATCCAGAGTCTTGAAGGCGAGGAATCCTGGGACGCCGAGGAGATGATCCGTAAAGCAAGGGAGGAGATGGAGAGACAGGAGGCCAGTGACACGGGCAAGAAGAAAAAGAAGAAGAAGAAGCTTATCTTACTTTCTTCCACATAGACATAGACAGCATACCCGGAGTGCAATGCATCGAAACTGCAAAGTCTTCGATATACGCTACTACGATTGAAGAGACAATAAATAAACATATTTTGGGCGGTTCCTAAATTTTTTGGGTCTATAGAAATTGTCAGTGTAGGAAAGTCTGTGGTCTCCATATGGAGGTCTGGACACATCGCGAAGTAGTAACTACACCATGTCCAGTGGAAAGAAGGTGAACCTCAAGTATGTAACGCCCATTCTTCTCTGAAACGTTATTCTAACTGCATCAGTTCGGTCACGGAGCTCAGGAATGCTCTTGAAGAGCAGCTTCCGGTTGTTTTTGGCCACTTTGGCTTTGAACAGTCCTTCACCTTGATAGATATCAAACTCGGGCTCGGCTGCATAACCGTGGCGATTGCCGGTTTCCTTTTCTGGTTGGACAAGAATTACCCCTTCAAAGACACATACTACGTCATTGCCGGCGCCGTCGGCTTATATTTCCTTGTGAGCTGTGTTTTGCTCTACTTCACCTCGGGCCCAGGATACAAGAACAACAAGTACGCGGGCACCAAGAAGCAGGACAGAATCGTCTTGTACGGATGGACGACCAAGTACGATCCAATTTACAACGTCAAGGTGGTGCTCAATGGCAACGAGCAGGGCGCCGTGACCAAGGAGATCCCGTTCAACAAGGTGTTTGACCAGTTTGGCTACTTCAACCAGGAAGCCGCCGTGCGTGAGTTTGGCGACTTGGTCGAGAAGAAGAGCCAGTAGTGTATAGCTAAGAATCCGAAAGTTTATCGTCCATCTGGGAGAACCAGCGGCAGAGGTCCTGGAGAAAGAGCGGGAGGACCTTGACCACTGGGAGCCAATTGGCGTAGAAAGGCGAGCAGAATACGCCTTTTTCCCCCACATTGGCTTTTTGTAGAATTTGCCTTGCCAACTGGATATGGTTGACAAGCGGCGCAAAGAAGGTCCGGCTTGGGGTGACGTCTTTGAACATGTCTGTGGTCAACTGACCGGGTGCTACCAAAAGTAGACGAATGTTCGGTAGGCTGGCGATCTCTCTGGAGAAGCTTTCGTGAATTTGGAAAATAGCAGCTTTGGAAGCAGCGTAAACGGACCCGTTCTTAGGAGCCAATGCCGCCAAAATGGACGAGACCGAAACCACATAGAGCTGCAGGTGTTTGTAGTGTCTGATGTGATGGGAAACGATTCTTCGGAGCGCCGTGATTTGGGCAAATGTGTTGACGTTGAAGGTATGGCGAATGTCGCTGTCGCTCAGATTCAAAAGACTGCCGCTGTTTCTGACTCCAGCGTTGTTGATGAGTACTGAGACATGCTCATGTCTAGCATCTAGAGCGTGCAAAACGCCCGTCAACGTGTAATTGAGGTCGTGTTCTCTTGACACGTCGCATCTGTGAAACTCCAACGGCGCCAGACCAAACTCAAACTCGGGTTTCCGAACATCTAGCACAATCACCTTTCCTACCTTGTACTCAAAAAGCAACTGCTTGACCAACTCAAGGCCAAGTCCCAGAGACCCTCCGGTGATCAAAACCACGTCGTTCTGGCCAAGCGAAACCCATTCCAGCGGGAGCTTGTAGGCCTGGCCATACACAGCCAAGGCGTCTATGGTGAAGAGGAGGATGTACCCTAGGACGTAGACCCAGTGGAATCCGCTAAAAATGCTGGGGTTAGTGGGATTGGGAGGAGCAGACGGAAATCACGTACCTAAATAGGAAAAGAAGCGGGTATAGAAGCCAATGGAGCCGCACCGCCTCGTGCACTAGCGTGTCCACTGTCATTTGGTTGTTTCTTGTGGCTGCGAAAGTGTTGATGCGATATGGAGGTGTAGGATAAGTCTGGGCGTGGGAGGGGCATACTTAAATGGTTCATAAAATTTTAGGATTTGAGGTAAGAAATTTATACTTGCTTTTTTATTTGATGATCTGGCCAGGTTATTTTTTTTTCCAGCTACTCTGCTGAAAAGCTGGGTTTCCAGTCAGACGAGTTTTTCAGTGCACTGAAATTTAGAAGGTTAGTAGCCTGGAGCTCTGGTGGAGTAACGCCAAAACAGGTAGACTACAAAATTAAGAAAAAACAGTATTTATTTGAAATTCTATGCCATTGGCTTTAAATCTAATAGTGAATGACGTCATTCACCTGCTTAGTCTCTTGCAGTTACCTCCCTCGATTCAATATACCCACCCATTCGACTCCGACTCTAAGCTCCTACTCCCATTTCCCAATTTATGCTATCACGATCCCATTTCTATAAACTTACCCTTGTTTCTTCGAAGCAACATCGAACTCGTACCCACGAGCAATTCCCGAGGTACCCTCCTCCGCAATAGCTCCGCTTTCGTCATAGTCACTTTCACTATCGTCCTCCTGGTCTCTGAAGTCACTTCCAAGACCTGTCCATGCTCTCTGCTGAAGATGAGTGGCTGAAGTCAGAACGGTGTTTCTAAGCGCAACAGCCAGCGAAAGCTTCTGGACAAGAGCTGTGGAATCCGTTTCCGAGGTTTTTCCCTTCTGAGAGATCTGAAGATGCTGGAGCTTCCGAAGTGGCTTCGAAGCGCTGGTGAATTGTCCCGTGACAGGATCAAAAACAGGAGCATCATCGTCAGAGTCGTCTTCTTCAGCCTTCTCCTCTGGTTCCTCCCCGAGTTCACCCAAAATGCTCTTGAAGTCGGTGACCCACTTGCCTGTCCACGACAATTCGTCGCTCAATGCTAGCAATAATTCATATGGGGTAACAATGGCCTTGAAGTACTCGTTGTTCTGGTCCACGATGATACCTTGATGGTCACATCCGAGAACACACCAAAGGTCAATGGCTTCGAAGTTTGCCAACTTGGCAACATTAGGCTTACCAACCACAAATATGTAATGCTTCTTACCCGCCTCCTTGAGCTTCTTGCCCATTCCATTGATCAATTCTCTCGTGTTGCTCAATGAAAGCGTATTCACGAGAATGCCAATAGTTCCGGCAGTACGAGCCATGTGCATGTATCTGTAACGACGCATGAGGTTGGGGTATGGACCCTGGGAGATGGTGTTTTCTGTAGGGTCAAATAGCGTCACCAGCAGGAACTTGGTGGTGAGTTGGAGGAGACGAGGCGTCTCGGGAGCAGTTATATGGAAAAGCTCGTACTCTCCGAGGATGCTTTCCTCATCCTCTATGCCGTGGAATACTCTGTTGAGAGCCCGAAGTTGGCTTTCTTTACCCTCCAAGGGCTGGTATCCTAGAATAGGCGAAGAGCTTTCCACGTCAGCCACAACCAAGTCTGAGTAATCTTCAAGCTTCTTCTTTGCCTCATGCAAAATGTAGGTGTGTGGGGCATCGGCCATCAAAACAATCTTGGTATCGGTTTCAGGGAACCGCTCACGGAACAGCTTCACCAATTCGTCTGAATCAACAAATGGCTTACCGAATACGTATGCACAGGGGAGTTTGCTAACAGCGTTCAAACAGGCGTCACCAAAATGTATGAGGAGATCCGACTTGACATGTTCAGCAGCAACTTCGTCTACACAGCATGATGAGTACGAAGTGTCTGCGAGAATCCACAACTTCTGGCCCTCACTAGGAGATGTAGTGTTGTCTTTGCAGCATGATGATTCGCCACAGCTTGTTGAACAGCTTTCTGATTCCTTGAGATTAAGGGCTGCCTCAGTGAGACCTAGCTTCCTTTGTAGCTGTTGAGCCACAGCAGCAGCGTCACAGACCAACGAATCAGGAAATTGAAGAGTGGCTCTTTTGTATTTTGGTTCGTCCCCTTCCTTTTGCTCGAGGAATGCCGCCACCTCATCGAGGTTGTAGTAATCATGGATCTTGTCAAGATAGTTCTCCCCCGGCTGGAGATGGAGATGAGTTCTCTTGATCTCAGTTTTGTCTATTTTCGCATAGCTAAACGTCTGTTCGTCCTGGGCAGTCGAGAGCGCCGGCGCTACGAGCTCGGCCAGAGGCATGGTGGGATATTGCTGGGTCTGATGAGATACTTTTTTCAAGCAGAGCATCACTTCGCACTCCACACTCGTACAATATCAACACCCTCACTCAGCCCACCCAGCAGGCATAGGCCTGTAGGCGGCCACAGAACCCTGCGTGATATTGCCGATTTCGTATTCTCCTCTCTTGACGATCTTGACACTGCCCACATTCTGCTCGGCTACATAGATCTTCTCTCCCACCTTGTCAATCACAACAGAGGTATGGTCGGGGTCTCCAGCGGTCTGCGTAGACCCAGTAGCTTTGTTTTCAAACTTGGCACTGTTGAACTGGAGTATGTCACCACGGCGTACCTCGTCAAGTTGTGGACGCATCATCATAGGGCCGTTGGGGGTTCCATGCACTTCAAGTATAGGGAGTCCGTGATGGTAGTATGTGGAAACGAAGGCCTGGTTGCCACATCCTTGCTCCAACGCAAACTTGGCAAGATCCCAACACTCACCACGACCAACTTGTTGACCTTCATGGTGAAGTGAGTAGCCTGCCACGTTCTCACCATACTGTTGACTGTAGGCAACAAGATCAGCATGTTGAGGAACTCTGGTGTCGATTGGAGAGGGCATGTAGTGATCGATAGCCACATTGGCCAGACTGATGTCCTCATTGACCCAGGTGAACTTATACTTGATTTTTGAAAGGTCCTTGAGACGAACGTTCAACTCCCTGGTCGATGTCTTCTTCATACCACCAGGCCCGCCCTGGGTCGAGTACATGAATGAGGTGGAGTAGTTAAGACCTTCAAGGGATTTGGGGAGCAGCATGGGCTTGTCCGTTGCCATATACCATCCCGTGCCCATCTCAAGATCAAGTTGCGGGGGACCAGAAGGCACAGGAGCCGGTTGAGCAGAAGCTGGTTGACTGGAGGCAGCTTGTGGAGGCAATGGAGCAGCTTTCCTATCATAATTACGTTTAGGCGGCACGGGTGCCTCAGGTTGTGCAGCGGGAGCAGGAGGAGTAGGCTGGGCGGGCTGAGCTTGTTGGACTGCCGCCTGACTTCCCTGTGGTACAATTGGCACTATAGGAGGCTGATTAGCTTGGGAGGCGTCAGACAAAGAAGAGTTCGTTGGTTTTGGGGGAATTGCATTGGATGGCGGAAGACCACGAGAAACCGGACCATCGCTTGAATTAGATTGCACTGACTCTCTTCGTGGTAAAACTGGAGGAGCAGGTTTAGGAGCCGGAGTGGGTCTTGAAGCTTCCTTTTCTGTCGTTGGTTTTGGTGCCACTGGCGGTTTTGGTGCAACAGCCGGTTTTGGAGCAACCTCTGGCTTAGGAGCTATTTCTGGCTTAGGAGCCACCTCTGGTTTTGATGCAATCTCTGGCTTTGGCGCAATCTCTGGTTTGGCCAGCGCAGGCTTCAGCTGAAACGATGGTTTTGCAGGCTTTGGTGGCTTCACTGGCTTAGCAGGTTTTGGAGGTGGAACCTTCTTTGATGGGATTGCAGCTTCGGGTTGCGTTTCACCACCGCTTTTCAAACGAGCAATCTCTGCCGCAAAATTGGGAGCACCAGATGGGGCGGCAGTTGGAGCAGGAGCCGCTGGTGTGTCCTCTTCCTGCTCAGCAAGGGTATATGGTGGTGGAGGTGAATTGGCCCGTGGGGCCTCTCTTGTGGGAAGACTAGGAGGAATAGAAGACGCTGAATTCTCGGTGTGAAGCGTTGGCTTTGTCGCCGGTTTTGGAGGAGGAGCCTTGGTTGGTTTATTTGCTGCAACGGAACCCGTGTCCGTTGATCTGTGAGGCAACTGAGGTGGAGGACCAGTAGCGGGTGTCAGGTTTGAAACCGGAACCTGAGGTGGAGCTGGAACCTGAGGTGGTGGTTGCACCTGTGGTGGAGGCTGGGGTGGCATTACCAGAGCAGGCTTGGGTTTTGTTCGTGGCGGAGGCGCCTGTCCTTCTTTCCTCATTGGCGGAGGAGGAGCGAACAGCGTAGGATCTGGGGCCGTGCTCTGATATCTTTTGATAGAACCAGGCTGAGATGGTGCATCTGGCGATTTGGCAGACTCCCTGGAGGGAAGCGAAGCATGCAGACTGGCAGGCGACCTTGGTGTGACAGGAACCGAGCCTCCGTTTCTTCCCTTGTGGATAGGCGGAGGAGCGAACTGAGAGAGATCGTTGTCTCCTCTGAACATGGACACTTTTTTCAGCTCGCCCGTGGAGTCAGAAGAGATTGCCTCTTGAGCTGGTGGCTGCTGAACCTGCGGAACTTGCTGGATCAGAGAAGATGTCGAGTTTTCTCTCGGTGGAGGAGGCGGAGCTCCTCTTTGCTCTGCTCCTGGCGCCTGCGAGTAGGCTGGTGTGGTTGCCGGAGCCTGTGAGTACGAGGGCGTGGTACCTGGAGCTTGAGCATAGGAAGGGGTGGTACCAGGAGCCTGCTGATAGCTTGGAGGGGCGCCCAGTTGCTGATCTTGAGCAGGAGCTTGAGCAGGCTGGTACGGTTGTGGCTGAAACGACTGTGGTTGGTACGGTTGGGGTTGATACGGCTGAGGCTGATAAGGCTGCTGTTGCTGCTGTTGCTGTGGAGGCTGTTGATAACCCTGTTGCTGATAACCCTCTTGCGGTTGTTGAGGAGGCTGGTAGCCCTGTTGAGCGTTCGGTTGGTATTGCTGCTGGGGCTGAGGAGGTAGCTGGGGCTGGCTTTGCTGGCTCAGTTGGCTATCATACAGAGGCCTCTGAGCTGGAGCAGGGTATTTCGATTTCTCTCCTGCCTTAGGCACGTCGTAAGCTCCAACGTTTCTTTTAACTGGGCCAGGCAAGGCAGCTAGCTTCTCCTTGTCAGGAGGCGTGTATTCATAGTGAGCACTGGGTCCAGCTTCGGACTCGGTCTCTCCAGGTGGAGGTAATCCTTTTCTTTTCGCTTCATTCTTCTTATACGTGTCGTAGCCGGCTTTAGACACTGCTTTCGTGCCACGTCCAATTCCTCGGGCGGTGGCCGACCCAAATGCCTTAAAAGAGTCTTTATTATTGTCCAGAACGACATTGTCTGGTTTGGAGCGGTTTTGTTGATGTAGTAGGAGGCGGTACAGATCGTGGATTTCGTGATCGCGCATACCAGTTGGCTGCGGCAGAGGCTCAGGAAGGGTCTAGGTGGGGAGTATATTTAGCCGACGATGGGGATCAAAGGATAACTGAGAACGCTGCCGACTGCAAGTCCGAAGGTTAAAAACACAGTGGCGAAGCCGCCCGCTGCTTCCTTCTCCTCGTCGGTCGAGCAGTTGTCACCGATAACCATGAAGCACGAGGTGCACAATTGGCCATTGGAGAGGCCAAAAAGAAACTGTAGCAATATGTACCAGGAGTCCGACGAGATGAGTGGCGTTGAGCTACCGGGTGGATGTTGCAGGTCAAGAACAACGGGATGAAGACCACTCGGGCCACAGCGTAGACGATCAAGCGGTTCGGGTCTTTTACGAGGAAGGCCGAATTGGCCATGCCGCAAAGCACACGGCCAGCGAGATCGCCGATGTTCCAGATGAGGAAGACGACGGGATGTAGATGCTTTTTTTAAAAAAGAGGTTCTCGGAGTTCTCCCGAACTGATGTCACCGTGGATGCGAAAACAGGGAACACCAAAGTGATGCAGAAGGTGAGGAAAATCGTCATCACAATGAGCTTGAGCTTTTGCCACAACAAGCCGAAGGGGACGTGCTTCTTTGGCGTGATGTTGATGGGTGCTTCCTCCTCGCCCTCTTCCACGGCAACGTAAGCATAGGCATTCTTATAGCGATTGGCCAAACCAAGCATGAAAACGGCGAGAAAAGCCACGAGGCAGGCGCTCAAGAAGTACAAGGTAAGTCCTGCGTTCCGAGACTTGTGTGGGTGTGTTTCCTCTAGTTTGTCCTTGCCAGTTAACAAGATGGAGCAAATGAGGGCAAGCGGCGGAGGGCACCGGCGATGGCCTGTCCGACCATTACACCGTTGGTGTATATGCTTCCAAGCACATTTGCGGAGGCCAAGGCGCCGTTTTGGGCCAAACTGGAGGCCATAGCACTGAGCAAAACCGTGAGCATGAGGAGGGCAAAGAACGTATAATCTTTCATGAAGATGAAGAACTCGGCAAAACACGTCAATGCCAAAAACGCAAAGATCGCCACCGTCACGACCATGCCGACGAATATACGTTTATGGTAGTTCACGCCTTCCTGCTTCTGCGACAAGTAGTAGGAGAACAACATCGTCGTGATTGTTGACACCGACATGAACGTTGATGAGAATGCTTTTGAAAGTCCCGGCGTATCGCTGAATCTGTCTCCATAGTAAGCAGAAGCCGACAAGTAGCAGTTCCACGGCCAAAGTAGCGCTACACCTATCATGGTATAAGCGGCATAAGTCAACGTTGAAAGGCGTAACTGCACTTTTGAATTAAATCTAAAAACCACCGCATCATGGGTGCGAGCACGGTCGTCCTGTTCTGACATGTGCTCTAGTTCGAATTCTTCTGTCAATATATGTCAAAAGAAGAGTAGTACTCTTCGCGTCTTATCAATACAGACGCTGTGATATGTCAATGGTTGATGCGCGATAAGCTGTGTGCCCTACTACTGAAGACTGTTCTTCTGCACTTGATGGAGTGTTTTGTGTGGTGGGTATAGGAAGGCTCTGTTGGATTAATTTCCTTTTGTTTCATTTCCTGATGAACATTGGTGAATGCGGCTTGAAATTGTGACACTATGGCAGTTTGGGGTTCCATGATGGGGTAGCTCATGAACTCCAAGCTGTAGAGGGACCATCGTGGGATTATAAAATTAAGCTTTCTTTGGAAACAGAATTGTAACTCTTCTGCTATCACTCTCAGTTATACAGAAAAACACCTTTCAAGCAGTGAACGCTATTAACATGGATGGTGTGCTACTTAGTACCCTCTTCATCAGCTCTGGTTCTACTCCAGCATCCAAACCACATTTCGCCGATTTAGGATTTAATGAAATCATATATAATGTAGAAGGTGGAGGACTATCCACGAAAGCTTCGGAAAGTTCCATTCATTAAGACGTTAGAATAGGGTCACCTGGTTCCCAAACAACCAATCAGACAATCAATGCAACTCATGACGGAAGTGAAACTGTTTATCACTTCTGATTTCTGGGAGCCAAAGGAGTTGCTTCGATGAACTCTCTACAACTTTCGCCACACCTCATCGAATGCTAAAAGCTGTTGCACCCAAGTATCAATACCGAAAGCTAGACAAATAGGTGAAGTTGTATTGGGAATGAAGTATGTGGTGGTGATCCTCTTAGTAAACGCACCAAGATATAGATTCAAGCACAGAATTGAACCTTGGACAAAACAGATGAGCCCTGCCATCGCAGCCCTATTGTATCATTTATATGCTTCGAAGGTGGCTATCCAGTTAGGAGCCACTCTACTGGGCCGCTTCTCAAGTCTAGACTGATGTTTGAAATAATAATTGGAGACCTCAGCTGTATTTCGGTAAGGGAGAAGCCAGCACTAATAATGGTACAACAAAAATCTGACATTGATCGAGTGAATCTTACTGTTCTAGAGAGTATCTTGTCTGAACAACCGAGGGCTGCGAACTATGTGGTATCTTTTGACTTACCAGAACAATTTCAGTCTCGATATAGCTTCTATTATGTACTATATCACTAAGGATCAATAAGGAGGGGCTTTGTTAATTTACGAGCTATTCAGAGAAATAGTCGTGATTGAGGATCTGAAAGACTCACAGTATCACACACCATCACTGGATACCACTGCAGACCCTACCATTACAGCGCTCTTAGACCATTCACACTAAGATCTCTTTAATTGTTTAAAAGTTCACTCTACCTTGGCTTTTCTATTACCATAGTTTTAATCCAACGTAATCCAAAAGGACTAAGGACCCTTCTTCTCAAGATACTGGTATATCATGCAACAATACCTTTCGACCTACATATACCATGTGGTAGACTTTCGCTACACATTCGCTTGCATGAAGATATTAGGCTGGCTAACAGATTGCCACATATCAAGAATTGAATGACACTATAGCATTGAAACAAGAGTTTCGAACACCGTATTGGTTACTTAATAGAGGGATGGTTCAGTAAATGTGCACTATGGCGAGGAAACCAATTATTATTTATGCAAGGGACCTGCAGCTCGGCGACACACATAAAATCGCTTTTGAGCCACCTGGTTCTCCAAAGGTCATGTCAGCAATCTCCAGAAGCCATAAATAAAGCATGATTGTAAAATCTTTTGACAAATAATACTTAAAGTCAAGTTAATCATCATTGAGGAACGAACTGAACGATGAGACACGCAGCCTCGCGAAAAAGATCTTGCGTCAAACATGCATGTCGGAGCGTCAACCGACAATAAGCTTGCAAACTGCCATACATACGGGTCACAGGGGTTCACAAAATGTCGTGACAAAAGGAGGCTTCGGCCTATTCCTTAAGGTCCCAAAAAATTTGGAAGTTTCTCGGCTATTGGCGGAATTGCCCTCCACAATGTTTATCACACCCTTTAGAATGCGGTTCAACCAAAGGGTCCGAGGCAATAGAAGAGACCAAAGTCTTTTAAAGTTTAAAACCTGAATAAACATGAAAGTTCGTGATTGTAGTATCAGTCTTGAGACGATTCAGAAGCAATTAGCTCAGGACAACGTCGTAGCTCGTGTTAGCTTCTCGTCTCTCTTGTATCACCACATAGAGGAAGGAGCCAGTAAAGCAACTTCGTTGATGTGATATAAACATTCAACAAGAGCTCTTGTCTTATTACCTTCTTAGGATCTCAAGTTGCTTTCCTGGGCGATGTAGAACTTCAACTCATGGACTCAAAGTGGCGCGTATAAAAGCTGCAAAAACAGAACTCTTCTTTCTCTTCTACCTACCACTTCTTTTTTTCTTGTGTGAGTAACTTACACCTCCAACCTCTAACCTGGCTTCTACCTTTGAGTAGTTGGCAGCATCTCTAATTACATCAAACAGCAGGTGTCTTTCGTAAAGATCTAACTTTTAAAATGGAAGGACAAGACCCTCCAAATAGCCCTCAATCTGCGCATGGTTCTACGGCAAGATACTCACGAGGAACAAGCGACAGAGCTAGTGAAAGCGTCGTGCCGTCTTCTTCACAACACGATCAGCCAAACGGGCCGGCTACGCCAGTCACTAGGCCTACTAGAAGGTTAAAGAAGAAGTATAGGACCATTCTCCGTTGTATCGGCATTTTACTTCTTATCATATTCTTGGTACTCGGCTTTTGGACTCAGTTCCGGGCCACGGACGAGAAAATGGTCTCTCGAAAGCTGTTTGAGGTCTATTGCTACGGGCCTTCGATTAGCGAATGCGGTTCTCAACCAATGGTCATTGCTGAAAAGTACAAGGAGAAGATTTGTAACGTGAGCAATAAGGAAACCTTCTGTAACAATCACACAAGCCATGTTTTTCAGGATTATGACTCGGAATTGACTAGAGAAAGTGATAAATGTGCTATCGAAGGTCTTTTCAAAACTTTCGAGGAAAGTCAAGAGCTTGAAGCAGTGTTCATTCCACACACAGTGTTTAACGATCGTCTTGCCATAAGTTGGCGCAATCTTCAGAGCAAGGATGATCGTAATCCCCAAGAAGTTCTCAATGCGAGACCCTGTCAAGAGCAACGCAATTTGGATCGAGAATGCTACAATGCACAATTTTTCGTTTACAAACATTTCTGCCTACTGAATGCTTCAGATGCCTCCGACTCTTCCGACGTATCAGTCACTTTCTTCACCTTGGCTTTCATGATTTTGGGTATCATGATCAACAGAATGGGTGCTCCATGGGCGAATAGACTTATGTTTCTGTTCTTCACAGTGGTAACTTTGTTGGCGGGTATTGTCATTGGGTTCGCCCTTGCGCTGATGGACGAGAAACTGAAACTCTGGATTGTGGAGAAAGTTTTGTTCGCCCTACTTGTTGCATTGGTGCCTTCACTTCTAGCTGTATGGGACAAATGCGGCGAATTCTTGGAGGAAACATACCCGGAATTGTTTGAGGCTGATGTGCCCGAGTAGGCGCGCCAGATCTCCTCAACCAGTAGGTTCCCTCGATTCGAGAACTTGAAAGTTGATTTATGTGCGAGAACTTGGGTTCTGTCGCGCCTCGTCTGGTCTCAAAGTTTAGCAGCTTAGTGGAGATGCTCACCCTTTTTATATGTTATGCGATGTCAATACTATTCAATACTAGCAGAAGTAGAGCCATTTCCATACTCTGGCTTCAAGTCAATGGAGAAGTCACCTTAGTGCAATTGAATAAACGGTGTCTCATCGAATCCGAGTAGAAGTTGAGTACCCATAGTAAAGATCAAATGATTTGCTCCACAAAGATCAGAGAAAACAAGAGAAGTCTGTAAAAGTATCCGCTAGTAGCTTTATGCCCCTACGCATATGCAATGAGTGACACGGCACCATGAAGAAAATTTAATGCAATCTGAAATTATGCGCTTGTTATTTTTTACTGGGTATTTATCTCCTCACCGATACTTCATGGGTTGGATTTGACGGCACACCTTTATCAAGTTACTCCTCGAGGATGAAAACGTTTCTTTTACTTGTCGATGTTTATTTGAATTTGCTAATAGCCTCATGGTTCCGAAAACCATGTAGTTCACACCTTGTTATACCCGGAGAGATACGTGCATTTGACCTCAAAGATGAGGCCTACCTTACATTGCAGGACTAGGAATTGGATAATTGATCATCTCCCGTGAAGATTGCTCACGAAAATAATTCTGGCAGCATTTTTAGCCCTCGTCGGGACTCGTTGAAAATACCCCAAACTCAACACTTGCTTTGGTTTCGAAGACCATAGACAAAATGGATCTTTTCAAGGCATTCAGCGGAAAAACATCAAGACAAACCCCAGAGAAGAGGGGTCCAGTTAAGTTGGACACATATTTCCAAATCAAGAGTTTTGGAACTGATTTTAAACGTTTCGAGGCGGATTTCTCCACGGTGGTAGAGCAGAACCCTTATTCATTCAGAACAAAAGGTGTAAACATCTTGGGAGAGTTACACCAGGTGACAGAAATCCGCCTAGTTGCTGAAGAAGCCAGCTCTTATGACCCTGAGCAAAAAATCATTATCGAAAATGCTCGACAGAAACACGGCGTGACATCGTTCGGGGCAGGCCCCCATCCGGAGCGAAATAGGGTCATGTTTCAAGTCTATCACACATATGTCACCTTCAACTGGACAAACGTCGAAATGCCCAATCCCGCAGTAGGAACTTGCCTTTATGTGGTGGGGAAGGAACGGGTATTTTTTCCCGGCCCGAAGTTCCCAATGTCCCATCTGCTCCGTGGCGAAGGCTCGGAATTTGACATGAGTTCAGTTCACAAAATCACTGATGATGTTTCTCTTGAACTCAATGCCGAGTTCTTTCACCAACCGTGGTTTCTTCAGATGTTGCATCATCGCATAGTACTTCCTGGGATGTCGATACCTGAATTCCTATCACTATCACTCCATCTAGTAGGCGATACAAAGACGGACGATAGATTTATGGAGCCCTTTCACATTTCACAAGTATGCATCGAGCTCCAGGAGTTTGTCAGCGTGCGGAAATATGTTTGTTCGTTTGAGGATGTTCGTACCATGGTAGTCAGCAATACCAGTCCGAACGAATTGGCCAGTCTTGCACATCAAGAAGTCGTCGTCCCACCTGAATGCTATGACTGCAAGCTACCGGAGATTGGCCCCACTTTTTTTACTAATGGTTTCACGAGAAGCTATGGCTTGAAGATCACGATGAAGTTGGTTCACAAGAGCATCCCCGGTATACTTGCGTCCACATTCCTTGAGTTGAATGTGGCAGAAAAGAAAGAGGAACGCATAAACTTTGAAGAATGTCCGGGCCTGGAAGTTTCGGATATCTACTATGATATTGCGCCTCCTTTGAGTCAAGAGGCGCTAGAGAAACACATGGCAAATAATCAAGATCAGTTGCGAAGTTTCAGTGATGACTTTGATCAATACCTGCTCCTGTCCCATCGGAATGGTTCAGCGGGATGCCTTTTGTTTTTCATTGAATCTTCCCGTAGTACTTGCTCGAATCTCGACTCGACAGACTCAAACGGCTTCATTGGATATTTCAAGAAATCGCTAAGGTTATATTATGCAAAGCTAGCGTGCAAAGCATATTTTGGTGGTATATACCAATGTGGGCGGGGAGAAAAACAAAGCAATCCAGTTCCTGGAGGAGATGTGAGTAATTCAAAGAAGCCTTACGCAATGGGTTGCCTAATGGTGGGAAATGATGTTGTCGAAGCAATCCCCCCTGAACAGTTTCATCGACGTGTAAGGGCCTTGGATATTATAGCATTATTGGGAGATGAGAAGGTTCCTCTTGCTTCGCGTATCGTAATGCCTGACGATAAAGTTTCCAAGTCTTTTGGGTTTGATGCAATTGCAAAACCCGGAATGAAGTTGTCTGACATTATCAGTTTCACTTATATTCTTCCGCAAAGTTTCCAAGCCGCTTCTCGCGAGAATCAAGTGGAAGATTACAGCATGAACTTCACGTATGTTGAAGTATGCCTCTTTTCAATCGAAAGATCAGGGTTTACTATTTTGAAAAGCAAGAAGGTGTTGCTTGAGAAAACTAAATTGCCATCGATACGATGGAGTGAGTTCAAGGAGAGCGTACCTGGTAGTCTCTCTGCCTGTGCTTTTATTCTACCAGAAGAGACCTTTGATGCGGTAATTCCCCTTGATCTACAGCCTTCTAAAGTAAGCTTCCGATATTCTCGACAATTCTTTATCGAAGTATGGGTGTATCTCACTGTTAATGGAAAGGAACATGGCAGGCTGCGGAAATTTAACTTGTTTATTGCCAAGTAAGAAGTGCAATGGCAATCAAACGCTTGTCATTCCACCCGAAACAAGACTTATAAAGCGAATTCCTCATAACCTTGACTGGTGTGGTCTCAGTGTGGCTTTGTTGAACAGTCTTGGGCATTTTTATCAAACGCTGATTTCTTTTCCGTTTTCCACCACTCTTATTCCCTTTCTATGTAGTGCTGGCTGCAACATCGAAGAGATAAAGGTGGTTACACGTAGATCAACCATGACTGTGGTTTCTGCATGTCAGATCGAGTCCCCCATGGTAACAGCTCAAGGCTCTGTCCTAACTTCATTTCTCCAATATGTGTAGTTCATGTGACGGTCAGACGAATACTACACAGTCAACAGCTCAGGTAATCCTCCCATTATATGCTACTATTTACAGGTGTCTAAAGGGACACAGGGACATCGTTTCTGGGGTCGAGAACCCACTTACGCAAAATGTTCTTCACCGTGTGTGGCTTCAAGTCGGTGCTTTTGCCCATCTTCTCCAAGATCTCCTTCCTTTGGCCTTCGAACGAGCTGCTCATCAACTTTTCAAGAATGACGTGGATATTGGCTAGTCTGTTGTCGATCGTGCTGAGGTCCCTGGCAGCATTATTGATTGAAAGTGGCACCACTTGTTCGGTGGATGGCCACAGCGTAATGTTGTACCTTCTCTTGATTTCGTCGATCGACTTGAGGTAAGATTCCCTCTCGCCCTCAGGCACCTTGGAGAAGGCCTTGGTCAAGGAATCTAGCTGTTTCAAATCCTCAATCTTTTTGATATCTTCTTCAAACACCGCTCTTCTGTCGTTGAGCTCATCTCTCTTTTTCTGCTCCTCAGCATACACTTTCTTCTTGGCCAACTCCTGGTACTTGGCGAACTGCTGACCCTTATTGATCTTGATTTCCGCAATGGCGAAATACTTTCTTTCGGTCATCTTGGGAATAGACTCGATTCTGACGATATCGCCTTCTTTGCAGAGATCTCCCTCGTCGTGGACGAGGTAGTCCTTTCTTTTGAGCACCTCCTTGTGGACCCTCTTATCGTAACCCTTGGCCTGAACACGGACCTTCACGGTCTTGCTCATTTTACCTTGGGACACGACCAATCCCACGAAATTTTGCCTGGCCATGGTTTTTACTTGGTGTAGGTTGGAGTACCTGAGCTGAAAAAATCTACACTGCGGCGTGCGCGAACCATAAATATCTACATGCCCGTAGCTCACCTCAAGGTGGGAAGAACCAGGGTGATTTTCTCCACCAAGGTGACATTTTCCTCCTCCGTGCCGATTGACAACCTCAAGGCGCCGGTGCAGTTAAGCTCCTTGCCCCTGAACCGCACCACCACGCCGTTCTCAACCGCCAACGTATTGTACAATTTCGCAGCCACCTCGTTAGAGGGTGTGCCGGTAGAGTCGAGAATCTGTATGAGCAAGAAGTTGGCATCCAAGCCGCCGATGTTTTTGCCGATTCCGTCGATTTTCGAAAGCGTCTCCAAAAGCTTTGCTCTCTCCTCCTTGATTTTCTTGACGTAGCCCTGCATCACCTTGAGCCCGTCCTCTGCTTGAGTGGACCGCACCGCTACTGCGGAGGTCAAGGACAGAATGTTGTATGGGTACTTCATGGCGTTGAGGAAGCGGGAAAGGCCAGGGGTTGCAAACGTGATACCAAGTCTGACACCCGCAAGACCGAAAGATTTGGAAAGCGTCTGGAGAACCACCAAGTTGGGGAACTGGTTCACCAAGGTGGATACAGACTGGGAGGTGTTTGGAGCAGTGGGGTCAACAAAATCGATGTAGGCTTCGTCCACAACCACCAAACCGTTCCACGACTCCTGGGCTCTTTTGAGCAAATCTACAATCAATTTGCAGTCGATGAGCTTGGCGGTCGGATTGCCTGGCGACGTTATGTAGATGAGCTTGATAGAAGGGTCTGCGGTCAATTTCGCCAAAATGGCCTCCACGTCGATCTGGAAGTCTGGCGTCGTCAATGGCACCGTAGCCATCTCAACGTCATTGACGGTGGCGCAAATCAGGTACATTCCGTACGTGGGCGGACACACCAAAAGCTTGTCCTTACCAGGCGTGCAAACGCACCTCAACAACATGTCTATGCTCTCATCTGAACCCACACCGAGACAGAGGTTGTCGGCCTCGATTTTCCTGGTGGAGCTCTCCACGAGCTGATTGGGTGCCGAGTTTCTGAAATTGGCGATCTGCTGCTTCAACTCCAACTGGTGAGGGTCTGGGTATCTGTTGAGCTCCAAGGCCAGTTCCCAGGTGGAGATGTTGCTGAGGGCTGGGCCGTGGGTGTTTTCGTTGGCGTCCAACAAGACGCCTTCTTTGAAGTCATCACGTGCACATCTGTAGGGCTCCAAGGTGCGGATATTGGGGCGAATGAGTGTTTCGAGGTTGAAAGACATGATGGTGATAAGTGGTTATCGCGAAAAAGTGGCTGCGAAATCTATGAGTCAGGCGCCAAGGCAGGGCGGTGATGTTGATGGTGCACTGGTCGATTGCCTTGAAGGGTTTTGGAGAGTTGGATTTTGAAAATGGGCTATATTTATGAATGGCTTGGTTTTGTTGATTTTTGGATTTCTGTTGGAAGTTGCATGTGCGGTAGATAAGGCAAGGCTGATCGGACAGGACCCTGGATATTGGTAGGATTCTAGCAACGCAGAGAAATTGTGAAAACACGGAGGTGGGGAAACTCCTCAAACCTACATTTTGTTCAGTTCCAAGGCACTAAATATCAATTCTTGTTCAAACCTCTCGCCTACTTTATGGATCTTCTCACCATACCCCCGCTCAGAACATCCTCTCGAAATCATCACTACCCGATAACGGCGAAAACACATCCTCCTCTGCCGTACCACCAGCGGGCCTATGAAGCTTGTTCAGACCCTCAGAAGGAGAAAGAAACCTCACCTTAAGCCCTTTGGTCCGCTTCTTCCCAGCGCTATACTCAGCTTGAGCTTACCTTTGAGCATATGCATTCTTCTTTTGGCGTTTCTCCATTCACCCCATTTAGTACGTGGCTTAAGCTCCTCATCGGAGGATCTCAAGGCCTCGTGCTTATACCCGTTCCATTCGGCCGGAAGAGTAGAGTACTCGATTTTGGCAGCGGACATGTCCTCGACGTCTGTAATCGAAGGGAAGTCCTCAAGGGTTGGCTGGTGGTTGTATGGCAGAAATACAGACGCCTCTAGCCGATCGGTGGACATTTGGCTTCGGATGAAAAGAGCAGCGAGACTTCTGCTAGTGAGCGATCGAGATCTGGAGGGTCTGAAGTTGCTGAGCTTTTGAGGAAGAGTGGCTGCGTTGGATACTTTTGGGGAACCGCTGGAGTCGTCGTGGGTTGCCGAGTCTTTCGCCCCAACAGCTGTTTCAGTGTGAGGCTCATTGTGGTCAAAAACGTCATCTGTAGTGACTTTCGTGACTTTTCTCTCTGACCATGTGCCAAATCTCATGGTAACGACCCTTCTGAACCAGTGGTTCCGTTCGGTTTTGGGCTCGTCCTCTGCCTTCATCTTGACTTTCGGCAATGGCTTTGGAGTCGTAGAAGTTATGCTTTTCAGTTCCTCTTTTTCAGTATCCTCTTCCTTGTCCAGTTCGTGATCGCTCTTTGGGTTGAGATCCATAGGAAGCTCCTCATCATCTTTGAGTTCGTAAGAGTCAAAAAATTTCATCAAATGGGCTAGCGACAGAGCCAGAAGGCTTTCTGTCGATCCAGGGTCTACTAGGTTCAAGGGTGGTTGAACCACTGCTGCCATATTGGTGATTGTGAACAGAAGAGAAATGGTTGCAAAAAGAGCACTTCGCAGGAAAGGATCCAAATGAGCCAATATACACTTTGAGAAACGTTGGAGCCTGAAAATGACATAGAAAGGCTTTCATCTGATAAATGCACGGTTTCACTGTTATATGTTGATATTATGTTAATCGGCTTCTTTTGATACATACTAGGCTGGGGAGTACCTCCCAACTACTTTCGGAAATATCGTACCTTCAAGCCACCAATGGACAACTTTTCAAACAATGAACTTACTTCCGTCATTCTTGATACCTAAACGACAATAAACCATCTCCTGACTAAATTTGATTTGACCATCCTCCTTCTCTACTGGCCTGGTGACAATTGTGCACCCGTGCACCAGGTGCTCACCTACACCTGTCGAAAAGCTTCACTATCAACTACACCATGGAGTTCGATATTAGATATGACCCTAAAACCAAGGGGGTTGTGTTGGCCGAGGAACCTCAGGAGGTAATTCCTGCCCTCAACCTCGAGCTTGAACAGCTCAGCACGCTCACAACCGAGCTTATTGGCATAAACGACCCATATCCTCCAAAACCCACTGGAGAGTCCTTCAACAAGGATTTGTCCAAAATGATCAAAAAGCTCTATGAAGGCGGTGTCCAGAGCTTCAAGCAGGAGAAGTTTGTGGACCTGGCCAAGCAGTTCACCATCGCCATTGAGGTGATCAACAGAAGAAACAAGTTTGAGGTGTTCCTGGCCACTTTGCAGGAGCTCAGTCTCCTCTTGATGAGCAGAGCTGACGCTTACCTCAAGTGCAAGGAGTATTTGAAGGCTTTCAACGACGCTGACATGTTGATAGGCATGATGATGACGACTCCAGAGAACTTTTTGCGTAGAGGCGTGGCCAACTACTTCTTGGGCAACTACGAAGACGCCAGAGCAGACTACCAGCGTGGCCTTGCATTTGACGAAGACAACGAGAGGCTCATTACCGAGTTGGACATCTGCTTGGACAAGATCCTTGAGGAGAATGGTGACTACCTTTGATCTGCATCAAACATCCCCTCAATCTGGCAAGAAAGAGACCCATGCAAGGTTTTCAAATCAGATGACCCTATGGATGCTGGGCGAGGTATATTTTTACTATTTCCCGCCGTGTACAATAGAACTCCCTATATTTTTCATGTAGTCGAGCTTATCTCGATTCGCACCACATCATATAAACAACTCACATAAACAGGACCAAATAGCCTTGGTTCACGACAATGCTGGTTCGTTCCACCGACGTGATCGTGGTGTCTTCGGACGACGAGAACAACAATGAAAGCTTTCCTGAAACTCTACCGGAGAAAAACAGCATACCTCGTCAGATCAGCTCCACTTCTCAGGAGCCTAATAAATGGTGGGAGCTGCTTAGCCAATACGATAACGAGGGCAAAAGTCATGATGATAGTGCTCTAGAGACGAGAGGAACCAAGAGAAAGGAACCTGATACCCGTGATGCACCAGTAGGAGGTTATGCAAGTGGAGAGTCCTCAGGGGAAGAGAGGAAGTCGAAGTACTTCAACCCACATAGACATCAGGTGGCGCTTGAGCTGGACACAGACTCCGTCATTGTCATTTTATCCAGTGACGAAGAAGGCGATCTGTCCGTGGCAGGTGCTGATTACTCAGGTGAGAAGGAATCTCCAGTTCAGAATCCCTCGCCAGTCTTCCATGATAGAGTTCCATCGCCCAGCGTGGGTAGCTCCCCTCTTTTGAAACAAGCCGAACAGATTCAGCAAAATGGCCGATCTCATAATATAGAACAAGAGCAGGTGGAGCAGCAGGTGCCAAGTTTACAGCAGTTTAACGGTGTACAGCATAGCGCTAATTTAGAGCAGAATCACATCTCCGAACCCACACAGGCTACCGTGGAGGATAACAGCATGGAGGACTCCGACGACGAAATTGCAGTTCTCAGTAAGGAAGAAGCAGAAAGGATGGGTAAGTTCAAGGCCACGACGTTTGAACAGCCCCCAGTGCAGCGACCTAACGATTTGAATCTGGCCTACCAAAATGCTCTCGCAAATACCTCATTCAACCAGCCAGTGCCACTGGTGCAAGCATTTACTCCTCAAGTATACTCACTGGATCCCCTAGAAGCACAACAAGACGCCAAAGCTGCAGAGTACTTCCTTGCTCAGCAAATGCCACAGCTTGAGACACACTCAATGAGCTTGGATGCCCAAATATCGAGGTTTAAGAATATAAGAGACTCGTATTTGAGGCACATGAGTGAGGCCAGAAATAGTATGGCGGCACTTTCGTTGGATGATACCGATCGCAGAGCAGACTTGATCAGAGAACTCAACTCGTCGCTTCAGGAGGCAAACATTGCAATCGAGCGGGCAAAGAAGATCAGAAGGTATAAGAACATCTTGCTTGATGTCATGGCCTACAAGAGAAGAACGATGCACATCAATCCTCGCCAGCATCCGAGCCAAGGTCCCCAAGGATCCTTCTTCAACTATTCCGTTCCCCCATCTCACGCGCCGCCTAATATTCATGCGCCACATTTGCCAGCTTATAGACCAGGTGTTCAAACGCAGAACATTTACGAGGACACTGTTCATCTTCAGGAGCTTTTGAAAGATGTGGGTAATGAGGAGAAGATCGAGGGCATGGCTCTGACACCTTCTGAGCTAAGTGTGCAATTGTTAGATCACCAGAGACGTGGATTACATTGGCTCCTTAAACGTGAAAAGGAGGAACAAGGTAGCATTCTTGCGGACGATATGGGTCTTGGAAAAACAGTTCAGACCATCGCACTTTTGATGGCGAACCCACCATCAGCAGAGGACCAGGATCGGAAAACTACTCTTATCGTGGGACCCGTTTCCCTTTTACGACAGTGGAACGCTGAACTCAGGGCTAAGATTAACATGGAGCACAAACAGAAGGTTGCCTTTTTCCACGGTACTGACAAAAAGAAAATCAACACATTCAAAAAGTTGCAAAGGTATGACGTTGTTTTGGTATCTTACACAACTCTAGCGTCCGAGTTCAAGCAGCATTATGCCCAAGTATTGGAGGAGGCAATGTTATCCCATGGCCAAAATGTCATCCCAGATGCTAACCTGGGAGGAACAGTGTATGCCTCTCCATTTTTCTCTCGTGACGCTAAGTTTTATAGAGTGGTTCTTGATGAAGCGCAGTACATCAAGAATAAGGTCTCGCAAACTTCCAAGGCCACAGCTCTTGTCAAATCGAAGCATCGTCTCTGCTTGACAGGTACGCCAATGCAGAATAGTGTGGACGAGCTATACCCCATTCTTCGATTCCTTAGAACAAGACCCTACAATGACGAAGTGAAATTCAAACGTGATATTGCAGTGCCTATGCGGTCTAATGCAAATGAGGCGGATGAGTACGACAGAAACGTTTCAATGAAAAAGTTGAGAGCAATTCTTCTGGCAATTATGCTTCGCCGGACGAAGGATTCCAAAGTCGATGGTAAGCCTCTCATGGTATTGCCCAAGAAAACTGTCAAGAAGGTTGTCATTAGTATGGATGCAGAAGAGGCTAAAGAATACAAGGACCTCGAGTCTGGAATTCAGAAGAAGGCAGAGCGGCTTCTTAACTCTAAACACAAGAATTCACACAGCAATATTCTTACGTTGCTTTTGAGGTTGAGGCAGATGTGTATTCACGACATCTTAGTTCAAGTTGGAGAGTTAAATGCGGCGGAGAATAAGGAAGGGTATGGCGGAGTTCAAAATTGGAAGACAATGTATGCCCTTTCCCAGAATTTTCCCGAACATGTGAGGCATAGGATCGCAGAAGATTTGAGAAAGAGTGATAGAGTAATGCCCGTTGATCCCGACGATTTTGATGAAGGCAGCACACAGTTGACTTGTCCTATGTGTCTTGACGTTGTCGACGAAACAGCAATTGTTCTACTACATCCATGTGGACACATGATTTGTGATGGCTGTGTTGGAAATTTCTTCGAGCAAGACGCTAATGACGATGGTACAGTGTCATGTACGATTTGCCGGCAACCCGTCTCTGAGAAGTCTTTGGTGAGCTATAAAATCTATGACCAAATCGTCAACGAAGACCTCAGCTTCGACGACTTGAAAGCACAGTACGGCCTGGGAAAGGCGAAGAAGACTACAACGACTGAGAAGATTAATAAGATTATACATGACAATGGTGGGTTTACCTTGTCAGCAAAACTTCAGAAGACGCTCGATCTTATACGAGATGTGGTCAAATCTTCGGACGATGAGAAGATCATTGTCTTTTCTCACTTCACTGGAACTTTTGATCTCTTGGCGAAAGCTCTTCAAGACAGTCACATTGAACACTTGCGCTATGATGGAACCATGAACATTGATTTAAAAAATACGACGATCAAACGGTTTTATCAAGGGAGCGAAAGAGTCTTGCTTATATCACTTAAGGCAGGTAATGTCGGTTTGACTTTGACTTGTGCGTCGCACGTCATTATCATGGACCCCTTCTGGAATCCTTTTGTGGAAGACCAGGCCATGGATAGAGCCCATCGTTTCGGTCAACAGCGACCTGTTAACGTTTATAAGTTGCTTGTGACAGACACAGTGGAGGACAGAATTGTCAACTTGCAGGACAGAAAGAAGGAGCTCGTGAATTCGGCACTCGACAGTACAGAGTTGAAGAAGAGCAGTGCTCTTGGAAGACAGGAGTTGGGTTACTTGTTCGGCTTGAACAATATGGGCCCAGTCAGGACTTAAACTTCTTCAATTTGGCCAAATTCCTGGCCCAGTCTTCTTGCGCTATAAGTGAAGGCTCCTTGACGCAAAGTTCCCAAGTGATGAGACTTTCGAAATCAAGACCGTACTTGGAGAGCGATCTGCATAAGTATATAACTTGCAAGATGACGCCGTCCCTCAAGCTGTTCAACTCCACCTCGTCAGCAGTATTTTCGCCTTCTTGGACCTTTGGAAGATGCGTGCGGAGCTCCTCGACCATCAAATACACCAATTTCTTTATGTACATGTGCAACAAGAGCTTGTCGTCGTTAGTGTCGGACTTTAGACCCGTTGATAAAAAGATGGCGTGATAGATTGATAGCGAATTGTAGAGATGCTCACGGTAGATCTCAATGTAGCGCTTGAGGTACGTGAGTTTCTTTAATTTCAAAAGCGGTTGAAGGCTGGCAACCTCGTTCATGATGAACTTGAACCTCGAGTTGAGATAAATCAATTTGAGCGTCTTGTTGCCAGAGATCGTTTGGTCATTTTCGTCTTCTTCAGAAGTCACAAGATTTGGTCTGTTCAAAATCTGGAAGATCTTCAAGATGTTGGACTGCTTCAAGTTCGTATTAAGGAGCTTTATGAGGCCCCTCACCATGAGCTTCAACTCGTTATCAACCTGGGTTTGTAATTGTTTGAAGGTTTTCAGGTTAGGAAACTTCACGGTTAGCATCTTGACCAGTGTCAGGATTTCCAATGCCTCCTGGTAGTTACCCTGCATTATGCAAAGGCCACAGAGAGTTGGGAGTTCATATATATCAAGGATCGAGTCCATGTTATGCAAAATGGAGTTGTTTGCTGAGATAGCCTGACTGACTTTCTTGACCGCCTTGTTATCAACAGCTATTTTGTTTTCAAACCCCTGTTTCATAGCGGCAATGTTCTTGTTCAAGTCCTCACCAATGGTGTTATGAACGAGCTTGACATCCTCTGTAACACCAACAATCAAGTCTCGGTTTTCGTTTGCGATAGTTGCCAATTGAAGCTCGATCTGACGCAGCTGGTGGTCGAGCTCGGCAATCTCCTCCACTAGGTTCTTTCCCTTGGTTTCAGTGGAAGATGTGAACATCTCAGTGGATAGTAGCTCCGAATTGACCAAAAGCTCCTCAAGGTACTGCTGTGTATCTTTCTTGAGCTCTGGGTCTTTTTCAAGCATCCCAGCAAGCCCTGGATCAAGCCCATCCTTGAGGGTGTCGAGAAGAATCGACGACATGGTTCTTGGGTTGTGGTATGTGGATGTAGCGCGCTGATAGTGGTGGTATACTAAGAAGGGTTGATTTGGTGAGGTACACGAGTGAAAAGAAAGGGGTAGAAAGGGATTCGAAATGATGAGGTACAAAGTAATTGAGTTTCTTATAATGTTAAGTTCTGTCGAATTTTAATGGAATTGACGAAATGTAGAACGTGTCGAATAAGCTGGAGTGCAGGTAGTTATAGGAGGGACCCATGAAGTGAATGATACTGAAGCATACTTAGTGTGATGGCCTCTGTTTTTTCGGAGAAGTTCAACAAATTGCATTCCTGAATGATAAAAAATTTCAATTTAGCAATTGACAATGATTGGGGAGAGTAACAGGCGGAATACCACTTTCACTCACATTTGCAACCATTACCGTAAGATTTCGATTTTGCCATCAATCGACAAATCACATAATCAAATGCCTAAACCAAATGCACGCCAACCCAAAAATTTCAAAAAAATATCAGTTTATGCCCATTGAGGTCGGAAGGCTGAAGGGGCCAATTTAAGGTCCTGCATATAGCCTTGATACTACCCACACATCAATCTGTCCTCACCTCCAGCAAACGTCAACCATGGAGGGTCTCTTTTTCAACATCGACTACGGGTATGTGGAAGGTGTGGTACGTGGGTACAGAAACGGTCTTTTGACACAGTCCCAGTACGTCAACTTGACACAATGTGACTCTCTTCAGGACTTGAAATTGCAGTTATCTGCTACCGACTACGGCAACTTCTTATCGAACTACGGCGGGCCGCTTTCGACCTCAGTGATGCAGGAGAGGCTTCTGGGCAAATTGTACCAGCAGTTTCAGTACTTGAGAAGCCAGAGTGCTGGTACCTTGACCAAATTTTTGGATTTCATCTGCTACGGCTACATGATTGACAATGTCTCCTTGATGATCACAGGCACGCTTCACGAGAGAGACTGTCAGGACATCTTGCCCAAGTGCCATCCTTTGGGCTGGTTCGAGACATTGCCCACTTTGTCCATTGCCACGGATATCGAGTCGTTGTACGACACTGTGTTGATTGACACGCCCTTGGCTCCTTTCTTCAAGGACTGTTTGACGATCAACGACCTTGATGACTTGAACATTGAGATCATCAGAAACAGATTGTACAGAAACTACCTCGAGGCTTTTGTTGAGTTTGTCCAGAACGAGCTCACTGGCCCTGATCAGGAGATCATGACACGCTTGTTGAACTTTGAGGCCGACAAGAGAGTCATCAACATTGCATTGAACTCTTTGAACAACCCAGACTTGACCCCTGAGGACAAGCTCTCGTTGTTCCCCTCGTACGGTCAGTTGTACCCCACATACCACAACCAGCTCTCCACCGCCGAGGACGTGGAGCAGGTGAAGAACATAGTTGAGCTGATTGGCGAGTACAAGGAGTTGTTTGGAGACGCTCTGAGCAGCGGATCCAAGAACATCGAGGACTGGTTCTACTGGTTGGAGATGCAATACAACAAACAGGCGTTCACGCAGCAGTTCACCTTGCTGACGGTGTGGGCCTGGTTGCGTTCCAAGGAGCAGGAGGTGAGAAACATTACGTGGATCGCCGAATGTATCGCTCAGAACCAGAAGAACAGAATCGATAACTACATTGCGGTCTACTAAGGGCCCCAATTGACGCTTGGTCTTCCAGCTCGACTTGACCTGATGCATACTACCGTGTAAGTTGCAATCAGATTGCCTATGGTGAGTTTCACCCTTTTCACCCCTCATAATAACTAACGACTAGAACCTCTTTCAGCAGCACGTCTGTTTCAATAAAATGTTAGCGCGCACCCTGCTACTACTTCTATTCTACTACTCCAGATGTCCCAGCTATTTCTACCGTCTTCGCCAGAACCAGGCCTAGAGTCTACTCAGAATCAAAATATCACATTCTCCGCATCTACATCCCATGTGGGTCATATCGCAGATCTACTAAATACTGTCACCTCCATCAGCTCCCATGCGTTGATGATCATCTCAGATAACGGCATTGTAGTGTTTAGTGAGTACAACCACATCACCAATGTCCAGTTGACGATAGATCTGAGTTTGTTTCTGTCATACACCTTGCATCTGGATCAACATTCAGACGGACCCAAGGAACTACGATTGGGTGTTGATATTCAGTTGATTGCAGATTCATTTACAGCTGCCGCGTCTACATTGGCACCCAAATTCAAAAATTCAGCATCTAAGCCGGAGACTGTTCTTTGCTATATTAAGTATGGAGGAGAAGGCCACCCATTGGTGATTGAGTTTGAAGATAGACTCATGAGCGAGAAGATCGAGTTCGCTACTTTCTACCTTGACATGGACTATCCGTACGATAAGACGGAGGAAAGTGGAGACTTACTTGTTCGTCATGATATGGTTCAATTTGAACTTATCGTCAAGAGCGACCTCCTTACGGTCCTTCTCCAAGACTTGCAGCATATCAATACCGAGAACTTGTACATCTACGTCTCCAACGACGGATCCAACAAACGGGAGACCAATCAGCTCAATTTCATTTCAAGCGGTGCCATTGGGTATCTGAAGCTTTTGTTTCCAAGCGCCAAGACGATGATGGAAAAACTAGAGATTTTCAAGGTGGAGAATGGAACCATGGAGCCTACCAAAGACTCGGTGCTCTCATGCTTCTCCTTCTCACCGTTTATCAAGATATTCAAGGCAGTTAAGCTCCTGTCCAAGTGCAAAATCATGAAGGACGTATCTGGTATACTATCCTTGCAACTCCTTTGCAAACATCCTGGAGTGGCCAACTACCCTGGCTCCCTTATTACATTCAATATTATAGAGAAAGCATTGGTGGGCGACGAGTTCGAACAGCTGAACGCCGCCGACGTCAACGGTGTTTTTGATGACAATCATTATCATTACGTTGAAAACTATGACCAGTTGGTGACTGAAGACGTAAGAGTGGCTGAACCATCGAGGGTCCCAGCACAGGCAACTGTGGAGCCACCAGAGCTCAGCACTCTTTCGTATGCATCTTTCAAAAAGCCTCTGCGGACCGAAACACCGTCAGGGCAAGCATCAAAACGGCAAAAGCCGTCTCGGGAAGAGGACGACCATGATGTGTCGGTCCACGGGCCCGTAGAAATTCCAATCTTCTTATAAATAGGTAATCTTGAACGCCATTCTGAAGGTATCCTGCAATTTCTGGAACACATTGATCCGTCTTGTGCGGATGAAGCGCTGAGCAATGAGACTGGCGATGAATATGATCACTAGAACCGGGTAGTTCTTCTCGCAGAACCTTCTCGTCAAGCGCATTAGGTACTCGAGACGATGACGAAGTTGTTGAATGCTACTGTTGCCGCTGCTAGGGGGCTCCTGCTTCGTCTCTCAAGCTCCTCGGTGCTCTCATGCTCTCTCTTGATCTGCTTCAAGGACTTGTACTTCAAACTGGCATTTTCCTGCTCAGCTTTCTTTTCGGCTTTCTCATCGGCGAGACGTTGGGCCTCCTGGGCTTCACGCTCCTTGGCCTGCTTGTCCCGAAGCTTCTTTTCCTGCTTCTTAACTTCCTGCAACTCCTTGATGCGGTTTCTGCCCTTCTCGGTGTCAACCAAGGGGTTAGAATCGACAAGCTCTTTGGCTTTGGAGAATTCATCTGCATCAGGCAAAACGTTGAAAATGTACATGTCCACAAGGCGCCTCAAGTACTTATCGTTGGAAGCCCCCAGGAAATCGAGAAGCGAGTACAAGTTGTCAAACTGCTTGACCAAGAGGCGCTCATCGCCCTGCTTTATCTCATTCTGACACAGGTAGTTCACAAGAAACACTTGGTATAGCAATTCGGAAGGCACCTTGGCCACGCTGCCGTAGATCTCGTAGAGGGAGTCGAGGAACTGGCTCAGTCTGAGCTTGCCAATCAACTCCTTCTTTTCCTTGCGAGGAAGCTGGAACGTCCCGTCTTTCGAATTCAACAAAAGACCGAGCTCCGTCAAGTACAATGTCACGATCTTGACGAACACGTCCTCCAGGATAGCACCCTTGGCGAATGTTCTGTAGGCAACCGAGTGTAACTTGGATATGATCTGATAGGATTTCTCAAAGTCCTTGTTCATGAAGAACTTGACCGCCAACTTATAGTCGTTGAGGATAACCGACTGTGGCGCCGACGATTCAGATAAGGATTCCATGGTTCTTGTTGAAGAGTAGTTACTCCACAGTACTGTGCACAGTCGACGCTGTCAGATGCGCACTAGCCTCGGTTGGCTGCAAACCCGAAAGTCTTATGACTGATTTTCTCAAACTAGTTTTGGTATTCGTCCTCGTAGACAGGAGGGGTCCAGCCTTTTTTCAAATAGTACTTTTCACGTCCAAAGTAGAAAACGGCGCCGATAAGAAGGCACCCTGTTCCAACCACCGGGAAGCACCAGTATGGAATAGTAGAGTTGACTGTACCCTTGGGAGGGGGAAAGAAGGGCAAAATAGCCAAAAAGACATTGGCAACAAGGAATAGAATAACACACACCCACGACGCCGAAAACGACTTGTGCTTGGTGGTGAGGTGGGAGTGGCTCAGAATGAGGTCGTTGAACTCAGTGAAGCCCGATTCCTGTTCTTGCGGGTTGTATGATTGAATGGATGTGCTGTCCAAGTCGGTATCTGCGGAGGTGGAGACCTCCAGGGGCAACCCTTCGCCGTCTATAATTTCCAAGTCTTCGATGTAGCGCATTCTGCCCCATCCCTCCTTCTCGGCATTGAGCTTTAGGTATACAAGCCCACCTGTGATGGCCACATTGATCCACGTCCCGGGATATATGTACAAGTTGACGACGAATTCGTAGACGTCTGCGCTGGGCGGGCCCACAAGAATCACCACGGTGACGAACCAATGCAAGATAAGAGAGTAGTTGAGGTTTTCGAACGTTTTGGAGAACGGGAGGTAATTGTTGCGTGCAAGCTCCTGGTTGACAATGGAGTGGGCAAACGACACCACCATGACGTTTCCAAGGGTCAGCAAGGCGATCATGAGCGGGAGCATTTTGGAGGTGACAGACTCTCCAAACACTTTGTTGAAGAAAATGCCGGCAACAAGCACACCGCTGTTCAAAAGCTCCTCCTTGGGAATCACAATGAGGTAGCTGATGATCACCAAGAAGTAGAGAATGGTCACGAGGAGAACGGCCATGGGAGCAGCGATAGTAAGAACATGGTAAGGGTCTGCGATCTCAGAAAGCACGTAATTGGCATTTTCCCAGCCCTTGAACGAGTACACAATTTCAAGAAGAGCCACTGAAATCGAGTAGAAGTTGCTCAGAAGACCCGTATGCAAATTCTGAGCTGGGGGAGCCTCCGGAATGCCAATGACGTCTATAGCCACAAGGGAGCCAATGGCGATGATAAGCATCAAGATCACGATTTTGAACATGCCCAAGAAATTGAAAAGCAGCGTGGCCTGGTTCGGGAACTGGATGTGAAGCCAGATGCACCCGGTGATGCAAACCACACCGATAAGCTTAGAAGTCCAGTCGTCATCGCCCACCTGGTTTCCCGAAACAGCGTACCAGATGTATTTTCCGAATGCAAAGGAATTGCCCGAGCTGAAGCCCAAGAAAACCATCTGAAATGCGTAAACACAGCCCGCAAGGCCCTTGGGCAGCTTGAACACCCTCAACAAGTAGTTCTTTTCACCACCGTTCTGCAAAGGGAGATTGAGCGCAAACTCTAAATATATAAGGAGTCCGCTGAAGATAATGAACGCCCCAAGCACCCACAAGCCAAGGTACAACGGCACGTTGCCGTCGCAGTACTTGAAGATGATGGAAGGCGTGCTGAAGAGGCCCGTTCCGATCATCTTATTGGTGATGAGCGAAACGCAAGAGATAGTTCCCAATTTTTGGGTCTTGCGCCGCTCGGAACGGGGAAGACGGAGGTACTGTTCCAGTCCGGTCAGCACCAGCGGAATCAACGTTGGCATGGTAACTGTGGATGGTTGTGGTGGTTTTCGCAGCTATTCTTGCAGATGCAGACACAGGGCTGGTGGGTGATGATGGGGAAGGGTGGAGTTTTTGAAAATTGGAAGGTGGGAGAGAAATTGGGGCTTGGAGAGGTGAAGTTTGAAATTTTGGTTAGAAAATTGAATTGTGTTGGTTGTTTGTGGGTTGTGGTGTCTGCTACAAATGGCTGCAACATTCGCACCGGGCAAGTTGGATCGAGGTTGTCAGGTAGGAGTAGATGAAGATTTTATCGTCGCATGTTTATCCTGTTTCTATGACATAACAAAAAAACGAAATAAATTGTCATATTAGCAATGGAGGCAAGATCTTCTAAATGGGCACTATGACTGGTCTAGTGGAATGCTTGGGATTCTCAGTAGAGTATGCTCATGTCTTGTTATTTCGAGAAGTAAGATGTTTATGTGGAGGCGGATTCGTAGTAAGAAATGAATGATAGCGATCATGCGGAGTTTGAAACCGAATAGCACTGGCAGGATGAATATTGACATACTCAGCCGCATTGCTTCAGGCCAGAAGATCAGTGGAAACACACATGAGCAGTTTGACATTCACAACGTGAGCTTCGGCACCAGTGTACCATGTAAAGCTATACATCTTATAGGCCAGGTTTGTTGTATTTGGTTTCTCAGCACTGTCTGTCTTGTCAACTTGAGTAGAAGTCTTTCCAAGTGGCAAGTTATTCACCAGAACCAGCTTTGAAGTCTCGTTGGCATTCGATTGTTTGTTCTGCCCATATCTGTGATCTTCAATTTTGGGTCTCTTGTTGTTGCTAGCCTTCAGGTAACCCGATCTATCTGGGATTCTCAAAATCTTCCAAGCCAACTCCTTCACCGTCCGTTCAATTGACGTCTGAGATTTGGAGATGCACTGAAACAACCGAGTGAATCGAGGAAATCGGAGAATTTGATAAATCGAGAAGGCAGTATTCTGGGAAATCAACCGTTTTTAACCTCGGCTCCACTTTCATCGAATTATTGGTTCATATCAGACATTCATGGCCATTTCTCTAAACTATTAAACCTGGACTACTCTGATTCGCTACAAGGGTCGAAATCTACTTCTCATAAAAGCTTCCTCTGCTCTGGCCAGATTAGAAAACTTTTCACCCTGCCAATCGATCCTGTCTTCTACCTCTCGTTGGAGCTTACAACGAGCCAACATGCTTGTCTAAGCTCAAGGCTGTGGCTGTTGAAAACAGACTGCTGCTCTGTAGCCCCAATGTAACATGGATTCAGATGCTTTAAAATGTATGCTGACGGTGCTTTGCATGTCGACTTTGGAATGGAATACGGGAAATAATCTTGGTGATTCATTTAGTATTCACGGCGTTGATTGCGCCATAAAGTTGAGTCAACACTGTTTGCTTTGAACTGGTTTATGATTGATAGATTCGTTTTTTAAACAAAAAATACGCCAGCTTCACCATGAGTTCAAGAGCTTCTGTTAAAAAATGTTTCTTCCTTTGAATATTTTTAAAATTAAGAAAATGGTTTGGACTCTGCCAGTAGTCACCCCTATTCGAGTGGAGTGACGCCCAACTTTTGCTAAATTAAGTGGCAACAAAACGGGATGTAAACAAAGTGCACTTCTTCCGCCACCGCCCTTTCAAAATCATATTCTAAATGAAATGTAAATTTATAAAAAAAAAATCTGTCGACTTACGGGAACAGTCTTGGTAAAACCTTATTACAATCTCTTGTTGATGCTCTATTATGTTTATTAATTAACGAGTGACAATGCCAAAGACATCGGGTCCCAAATTGTTGCCCTTGGTGACGTGATTCACAGCCACGGCTATTTCACAACGATCAAGCGCCCGGGCCTCAAGCTTGTTGTGGTAAAGTTGGCTAACATCGTCCTTTTCGTGAAGCCTGTCCTGGACTGAAGGTTGGATGAGGATTGCCAGCAACCTCATGAACTCGAGCTCCAGAAGGGGCTCGGGGCGACCTTCGTCGGACATTTTTATGTATGTAGTTTGGCCCTCGAGTCCTCTTTTTCCGGAAACGTGTGGAACACTGAGGATCTTGCCCAAGTGAGATTCCACCTTGTCGCCCACAACTTGGAAGAAAGTGGGGCCCTTGGCGGTGGCAAGGCAGTGAGAGAACTTGTGGTTCATGGAGGGGAAATTCACGTTGAGCAGGAGAGACAGCGTGAGGGTGGGCTCCACTTCCTCCACGAGCTCGACGATTTTTCTGTTGATGTACTGGACGTTTCTGGCAACAGGGTTGGCCTTGAAGGAGTCCTCGTACTTGGCCTCCTCGACATTAAAGTACCTCTCGTCGCCGTAATAAATATGGTCGTGGTCCTCGCTGGAAACGGAGATCACAGGGAAGCTCTTCAGCTGAGCCAAAAGAGCCAATGCCTCGGCCTGGTTTTCCATTTGTTCGAGGTCCTCCACCACAATGTCTTGTTTAGAATTAGCAGATGTCAAGTGGAGGCCCTCGTTGGGTCCCACAATGACCAAATCAGGAGTAAACGTGGGGAGGTGGTTGGGGAGGATGTCGGAAAAAGCGACCGAAAGAGCCTCGAGAGGCTGAGCATCGACATACCAAAAGTTGGGGTTGAGTGGATCCTGGCCGTAAGCGCCTTCCTGAACGATGTCCTGTTGTTGAAAAGCCTCGTCGAATTTGTCGGACTCCCTCTGGGAGATGGTATTGCGGACCCCACGGGGCACCGTATTGAGCTTTTTGATGTTCTTGTGGTATATCTGCTGTGCTGGCAGGAGGTGGTTGAAGTCGCCTCCTTGTGGGGCGCCCACGACGATTTGTCTTTTCTCCAGCTCCACCGTGGAGTATTCAGTGTTTGGGTTCAACGAGGCCACCACCTTAACATTATGGCCGTCTTCTCTGAGAGCCCATTCCAAGTACCGAGGGCCCTTGGCGACCCACGAGTCTGTGGTTGTGATGAGGATGTTGGCGGCAAGAACCACCGGTAGTAAAAAAAGCTTCATGCTGTTTCAAAAAGCTAAATTGAAGGGCACGGCCTGCTTTATAAAGGGCATTTGATTAATAGCGTTTTTGCATCCACATGGGGCGCCGGGAGTGCATGCAGAGCGCACGTTGTGGATGGCGTATGCAAGCGCCCCAGGCTTCGACAATAAGCGAATTATTAGCCCACATGGGTAGACAGCTTTTCGTGCGCATGATGGTGTCAAAAGACAGAGAGCGCAAATTGGCAGATTTTGGTGAAGTTTTGGAGAAGTTTTGGAGGAAGTTTGAGAGAGTGGGATTTTGAAGATTTTTGAAAAAAATTCTGCTTATGCCGCCGCAGGCTCGCTTCCACATACGTCTGCTGACGGTTTGGGAAGTGCAGCACCGGTTATGTAGCTTTTGCAACAAGGCGTACGGCAGTCGTGGTGGAAAGTGATAAAAAAAATGGATTCCGAGGACTTCGAGAATATCGAAGTAACACGAGATATTTCTATTTTGGGTGGTTTTTATTTTTGGCCAGGGTCTTCAATCATGGCACTCTTCCCTTTCAGGTTCCATATTTGACTTGTTGCGGCTGCCGCTTGCGCCTTCTTTGCCTCTTGAACCACGTCAAGATATAAATAATCCAGTCAGAAGATGCGTCTATTCCGGTAATTGGCTGACAGTTGACTAGAAATGGTGGGCTTACTCATTTTTTGTTTGTTATGGCAAGCTCCTGATTACTATGGCTCACCAGTCTGGACGGTCGGTCATGTTTGATAACACACGAACGGCGTACAGCTAATCCAAAAAAAAAAAAAATAAAATAAAAATAAAAATAAAAACAAATTCATTCAACCGCCTCGTACAAGCCAAAGTCCCCATTCGCCGTTGCCTGCGCCTGGTGCCAAACGCCTTTTCAAGCCTATTCCGAAAAAGGCATGTTTAGCGATCTCGACAAATGCAACAACAACCTTATTTCCCAGCGGAAACCCTAAACCTAACGCTGTCGCAACGACGACGTCAATCAACTGGCGAAAAGGCCGCACAGGTGAAGGGCGGCTAAATGGTCTTTTTGACGCAGCAAATGAAAGAAGCTCAGGGTTCAACCATGGCCTTCTCTAGCGCTGTGCGCCATGTACTTGCACGCCCATTACACAATAAAAGGACAATTCCGGTCCGGGCGGCTGCTTTGACAGGTAGGGGGTGATTTTTGAAAAGTGTAAATTTTTAGTTGGTGGGTCTGATTCTTCTGCGTTGTGTGCGATGACAAGGCGTCGTTTTATGGAAGCTTTTGCAGTGCTTTGAGTCACTTGAGTGTCAAATGACAGCTCCTGAAAGTTGAGATAGCAATATTGTATTTTTTCGTTTTTTGAAAAATTCCGTAAGCTAAAAAGAAACTTCTTCGCCCTTCAAATTCTTCAAAGGCCGGGGCCTCGTTCACTTCAAGTGCAATAATGGTGATATTCATGGATTTTGGAGTTTTCAAATCAAAATCTAGCGATGACCCAGTTTTGCTTTGTGCATTTTGGGGTCTTTTTGATGAGGAATAGGGGTCGGAGGCCATCATAAAGAAGAAGCGGGACAATATTAAGGTGAACTTCGTTCACAGGACAATGATTAATACTGTTGTTTTGAGAGAGACTCTGACTGGTGACTACAGTGTGTGGAGCATATTCTCAATATAAGCTCTCAAACTGAGCTTAATTCCTGTCTCGGTCTTGTCATTGTTAATTTTGAGATACTTTTTAGCGACCCCTAGATCTTTCACTTTGTTGACAGCAACTTTCACTTCCTCCAAAGCTTTCTCACATTCACTGGCAAGTAAAATATCATCAACATATAATGCAAGGTAGGTGGTCTTCCCTTTCTTATTCATAACATAACATGAATCATAAGTACTCCTCGTGAAATCGATAGACGTGAGAAACTTGTCAATATTCTTATTCCACACATATATCACCCAAGGGGCTAATTTACATTTTACAGTTACATAACCGGTGAAATCATAACCGGTGAAATGGTTGCACAGGGCTTCAGCACCGGGCTCCAGACCTTCCCAATAGAGAGTTTTGTGGCCATTGTTAAGCATAGAGTGTACGTCTTGATAACTCGTGCGATACTGACAAAGAGAACCAAGCAAATTCAACTTTAAACGGCTTCCTATTCGACTTAATTGAACACTTTGCTGCTACCACACAACAGCAAGCGACGTAGTTATGCGAGAACAAGTGCTTCGAACACCCACCGAAGCCACAGATAGCAGTGTTCATATGCTGACTTTCGTTTATCCTTGACAATACTTGTATGACTGGAGTATCAGCAACAAATCAGCAAGAGCAATTGAGCAAACAAACTGAAATTTATCAATTTTCTGCTCTACTTATCCTCCAGCTACCATTAAGACCATCCTGGAGATATCGTCCATACACTAGACAAAAGCTGCGCTATGACGAAAATCTCGGAGATAGCGAAGATCCGATAACCCAGGATTTCTTCATACGGTTACTTACACAGCTGGCTGTGAAAGCCAAATGGCAGCATCTGAAAACCATCACTCGCTTGAACCTCATGCTACTATAGCATCTCCACACTTCATTGTGTGAACCTCGGTTCAGACATGTTAGCTCCGGAGGCCGGAGTTTCAACGCAAACAGTCGTCTGGGGAGATCTAAAGCCATTTTTTTTAACTTTGCTAGGTAAAGACCCTCAAGAAATCATTTTTTGAGTTCGGCCCCAGGTTTATTGATGTTGTGCTGAAAGGCTGATCTGTATGGCTTGTGGAGCCTCCTCAACAGCCCAAACCCGCCAAATACGAACCATTCCAACCGAAAAGTAAACTTTTCCATCGAAACAACATCAATCAATCCAAAACATAAAACCATCTTGCAAACTTTAAATCCACTTTGCAGCCATTTCGTCACACTCAATGTATGCGCTGCAAGATCTCAGTAACTTTTTTTCCGGCTCCGATACATGATAAGCACCCACTCTGCATGTGACAGAAAGTATAAAACACCACCAGTCTGCCATTGAAACCCACAAAATGCCCTACGCTTTAGTTTCAGGAGCTTCCTCGGGAATCGGCTATCACTTGGCCTTGATCTTGGCCCAAAGGGCTTTAAGGTGTATGGTGGAGCACCAGAACACACGCTTAAGTTGATGGAGCCATTGAAAAAACACGGAGTGGTTCCTTTTGCTTTGGACATCAGAAAACCAGAAAGCGTTCAGGACGCCGTGAAGTTCTTCAGGGAGCACTCTGGCAGTGACTCCTTGGACATTTTGTACAACAATGCTGGAATTGCTGATGGCGGTCCAGGTTACGACTTTGACGACCAGGCCATGTTGGACATATACGCCGTCAATGTCACGGGCCATGTGTTGATGACCAAGTACTTTTCGCCTTTCGTCATCCAGGCCAAGGGAGCCATTGTGTTCACGGCGTCTGTGGCTGGTATAGTTCCTCTTTGCTGGACCTCTCTTTACTGCAGCACCAAGGCCGCCATTGACGCCTACGCCAAGGGCATTCGTGTGGAACTCGAGCCATACGGAGTTCGTGTTTACTCTGTGATTACCGGTGGTATCGATACGGACATTGCTAAGGCCAAGAAGGGAGACATTTCCAAGAGGATTGCTGATTTGCCTTTCCACGTCGAAGGTCTTGAGGAAAGTGTTCGTGCTAGTGCCGATATGACCAAGGGCGGTACCAAGCCTAACGATTACGCCAGAAGGGTCTTGAACAAGGTGCTTGCTAAGCACAGAGGATTCAATATCTACGAGGGTCACCGTGCTGGTCTTCTCAGGTTTGTGCTGCGTTGGCTCCCGCTCTGGTTGCAGTATTTCATTCTTGGGTCATTCTTCAAACAGAGAAAGCCTTTGGCTGAGCTCAGGAAGCGTTATAAGTAGGTTTAATGATATGGTAGGTCAATGAGTTGTGGGTAGAGAGTTGGTGGTGGAGGGAGTGATCAAGGGCAATGAATGTCGAAAGTGGAGTTGACTGAATTCAAGATGACTTGAACACCTTGTGAACGCATTTCTGATCTCAGGGAAGGTTACGACAGAAAGCTTGGGCTACCTCACGACTAGTAACTAAAACTAAGTAACGACATGTAACTAGGCAAACCAGGCAGTACATATAAAGAGAAGTTATCCAATAGAAAACTTATCAGGCTGTGATCATGGACAGCTATAGTCATTAGCCTACATTACCAGAGAAACCAATCCCCCTACCAGAGATACCAATCTCCCTAAACTAGAGCAGATCTCGCAAATCCTCTAAATAACCAATCTATTCTCGACACCCAGGTAACAAGATCCCATCGCCATACTCCATCTTCCCTGTCAGAAAATGAAAATTCAACTGAACCCTGGTCTCCTCCCTACAATGAGTATGGAACCCCGTCAGACCCAGGGGTACCCACCAACCCCCAATTACTCTATTTTTCTTGAAAGTACCCCCAAATCACAATTCACCACACATATTTCAAAAAACGCAACCCTCTAATATTTTTTCCAGGTTCTTCCCATAATGGCCTGTAGTGTGACCTTTGCGCCCTTGCCCAGCAAAATCACCAGGCAGGCTCAAGGCCAAACCGAGGCCACCAATGACAGCTCGGAACGCTCCAAAAGGGGCCCTTTTTTGAAAAACACCAATATATAAAAAAAGCACGAATCGACCGAAAACCAAAAATCAATTTATTTTTCTCCGACCCTCTGGATGCCCATCCCTAGGCTATATCTACCGCTGCATGCCTGGCTGTGCGCATTATCAACACCTTTCTACTACCGTCTTTCTTATAAATCGCCGATGGTGCCTTCACCCCCGGGGAAATACACAAAGCTTGAGCAGCTGGAGTCGGATCTGGATGCAGAGGATAACCAAAACAAGCCGCTAGTGGGCCTGGAAAACGCCGAATCTTCTCTGGTGACAGAATACGAGGATGCCGGTTCGCCCCCAGGTTCGCCTATATTCGTGCAAGATGCAGCGGAAGGCAGTTCGGCAAATCTAAGAGAACCTGAAACAGAGCCCTCCCGGTCGTCCGATTTGGAGGAGCAGCGGCTGCCGGACCACGTCCGCTTGTCTCCATCGCAGAGGTTCAAGAATGTCTTACACTACATGTTTCCCGTCAAGCAGACATACCAGAGACTCAATAACGGTTTGACCACCGGACGCCTTCAGGCCAACGTGCCGGGTCGCTTTGTCGGCCAGGGAACCGACGGTGTGTTCAGAAACCTCATGGCCAAGCCTGATACCCAGGCGGAGCTCAACACTCAAGAACAGCACCCACCCACATACGACGAGGCTGCTGCAGACAGCACGCCCGAATACTGGGAAACCACGATGATCAGCCCCATGTACGAAAACGAAGTGTTTGTCCAGGGCTTGCCGGTGGGCAACTTGGCCAACTTCGTATGGAACGCCCTTGTCACTGTGGCTTTCCAGCTCGTGGGCTTCATTCTTTGCTACCTCCTCCACACGTCGCACGCTGCCAAGCAGGGCACCAGAGCCGGCTTGGGCCTCATGATCCTTATGTTTGGCTGGGACAGAATTCCCTCCAACTTTGGCCGCGCCGACCAGATCCCGGTCCGCTACGAGCCTGAAGACCCTAATATGATAGATATCACAAAGTCGCTGTCGATCAAGGCCGGCAGCAAAGTGGACGAGTTCCACCTGTCGCTTTTCAACAAGCTGGACTTTGCCAAGTTGGAGAACACCAAGACGCCCTACTTTGCATACGGGCTCATAGCATTCGGCATTTTCATCATGCTCAAGGCGCTGTTTGACTACTTCAAAGTAAAGCAGAAAGAGAGACGCATCTTGGCTCCACAGGGTCTGTCGGAGGTCAACACCACAACCGAACCAGCGAATTCCCAGGAGGAGTGAACCTCCCAAGCTATACTGTAGTGAGGCACTCCGAGCTGGTCTCGTTCCCGCAGCCGTTCTTTACATACGTATAACACTAATGCATCGCTGCCTGGCAGCTAATAAATTACTATTTATGGGGTTTTCTTTTCTTTTTAGTTCAAGAGCACCAACATCTTTTCGTAGATGGTGAACACAATGCCTCCACTCAACATCAAACGGCCCAATCTCGGCGTGGCTCCTTTCCAGAAAGTGAGCAAGCCCTCGTCCTTGAATATTCTGACAAAGCAGTTCATCGTCGACGTATAGAGCTTGCCAGCGTCCAACGACTGCATTCTCGTCTTCACTGTATCTATAGGCATGGTGGTGTAGACTGTGACAGTTCCTGCGATAGCGCCGACAGCAAAGGTGGCTGCAGACGACAACGGTTCGTTGGCATGAGTGTTGGTAGCTTGTTGGACCATGGTCTTGATTGCATTGTAGGAACCAAGACGAACAGCAGAATTGGCACCTTGTCTCATGGACACGGGCACAACACCAGCGTACATGCCCTTGAAACCCAAGTCTCTAACCAACTTGACGGTTCCTGAGAGCAAACCAGTCTGGTACTTGGGCTTGGCTGCCTGCTTATCGTCGATCAATGCGGTCTTGATGGCCTCGAATGGAGTGACTGCAACCACAGACTCCAACAAACCAGCACCCAAACCTGCAAGAACACCTCTTGGTCCAGAGAGCTTGCCGTTCTTGTCTGATAAGAGCGCCTTGATGGAATCGAAACCAAGGAAACGAACAGAGGCCTTAGCGGTGTTACCCACAATGAAAGCAGGACAACCCACGTACAAAGCGCCAACGCCTTGGGTTTTGGCAACGTTGGCGATTAAAACCAATGGATTCCTGGACGCCGTGGATGACTTGCTCACAAGCTGTAGTCTGGTCTTAGCGAACTCGAATGGGTAGGTTACCACACCCTCGACAGCACCAGCGGTACCGCCTGCAACAAAAGATTTGAAAGGATCGACTTGCTGCGGTTAGTTGGAGATCGTCATATTTTTCTCGATCAACATACCTTTTTATCGGATGCCATTGTGGAAGAAGGCCGGTATCGGACAAATTTTCGTTCGCAGTCAACGTTAACTTGAGAAAATTATATGGGGTCTCAATGCGACTGGTGCGGCGCATAAGCGGCGGCTGCGAAATGCCCACTATTACTCATTCTGTGATGATATCCAGATATGATAAGGGATAGCTGGTGTTAAGGCTGGAGGTCATTTGTAAAATGCTGTGTTTAGTTGGAGGAACAAGGTTCAACAAGACTGTGTATTCAACAGAACGTTTCCATCCTGGGATTGTGTGGGAGAGTCCAGTTGAGACCGAGGTTGTGAAAAGTGCTCCTTTGATGAGTTCAGAGCCTCAGTAATGCTTAGATGTTTCGATCATCTAAGGCACTAAAAAGGCTTGTAGCTGCAGTTTCTATGAATCCGCAGACGTTTGATGCCCATCACACATCCTCAAAGTCAAACTCATCGTCGTCCTCATCTTCCTCATCCTCTTCGGCCTCTCTTTCAGCCAAGTCAGCATAGTATGCTGCAAGCACATCCTGTGCGTCCTTCTCTTTCTTAGCAGCAGCCTCAACAGGTGGAGAGGCAGAACCAGCACCGTTTTCTGTCTTGACCTCAGGCTCCTCCTTGATCTCAGTCTTGGCCTCTTCATCGCCATTCAAGTCTTTCTGGCCAACAGTGGATGCCGAGTGCCACGAGGGCAAGGCGTTTTGCTCCAACTTCTGTCTTCTCTCCTCCTTTTCTTGTTGCTCTCTTTCGTAGTTCTCGTCGGAAGCGGTAATCGAAACATGCAAAGTGGCGTTGGCCTTGGAAGCGGCGTTTTGTAAGGATTGCGACATCTGGCCCTTTTTACCAGACCCACGGCCAGACAAGTTGTACAAAGCAGCAGAGCCGGACTGTGCTGGAATGGCCTTGGTGAGCGCAATCTCAAAGTTGTTGTCCTCAATGTTGGAGTTGTCGATTTTCTTCAAGTAGCTGATGATGGGGTCTATTTGGATCATGAGCTTCTCAAGTCTTTCCTGTTTGACGCTGGCCTTGAGGGAGGAGTCGTCCTCGACCAATACTCCCGAACACTGGTCACAAATAAACGACGACTTATCATCGCTCAATAATGAAATCGCATCAAGCTGAGATACCTTTCTTCCGCATCTAGGGCACAAGTACCCGTGAGGATTGCCAAAAGAGGACATCTCATCCTTGATGGTGGACACTATTGAGTGCACTTTCCACTTGATGGCATCGATGGCCTCGGTGATGTGGATGTAGTAGTATGTTCTGTTTGCTAGTCTCTGTTGATAGTTCTCTTCCTTCTGCACGTGCGTCAGAAGAAGTCTGTCCTCTACCAACCTGGCGCAGTAGGCTCTGAGTTCTTTTCGAGGAATGCCCAAAAGATGGATCAAGTCATCTTCCGAAAGAACCGAATGTAGCATGACGGCATCGGCGACGAGAATGCATGGCCGGGAATGGAAGGCACGCACGACAAAGCGGATAAGCGACCTGGTGATGTCGTCCATAAGGAGTGTGGTGGAGTTGAAGAGACTTGATCATTTGCTGTATGTAGGCGCTTTGACGAGCGTCCACTGGGATGGGTTTAGTGGGAAAAAGAGGGTTTTTGGGCAGTGGAGGGGGTTTTAGGGGATGCTTTTTTTTGAATTTTGGCAATTTGTGGAATTTTGGGGTGTTTGAGGGAACGGTCGATTTGTGGTGGTGGATGGTGGTTTTGCGTTGTTCATGAGAATGGCTGCGAAAAGTGAGAATTGAGAAACCTTGTGGAAAAGGAGGTGTGAGTAAGTAAATTTTTTAAAGGATTGGTATATTGAATAAAAGGTGACCAGGAATTGGATTTAAGGGATAAAGAATGATAAATATGCTATATAGTGTGGAATATGCTATACGGTATATGTACGAGGTCAGGTCAAGGTTGTGTTAGCCAAAGTATGATATGGACTACTCTGATGGCTGGTCCTTCATGTCAACAAATTGACCATAGATTGAGAGATTTTAGTTACATTATACCTATAGACTAAGTGTCTACCTGGGAAGACCAATCAATTTTACAAACTGAAATCAACAAGTCTATGGATCACATAGAAACCACCTAAGCGACACAGCCAGTGGGACCACGACTACAAGAACGACTCAGTCCTGCGAAGTACTTCCAAGCACAGCATTGCTGCTGTTGCGCCTTTCCAGCTATTATTTCCAAGAAATTCGCCAAAGTTGCCAAATCCATATCTCCATCTTCAATCGAAAACAAGAGGTGACGAAAACGCATCTACACCATCCCACCATCGCCTGCTCCTCCCCATACACCTTCTCCCAGCTTTCTCATCACAAGACCCCTCGACAATCAAGTACCCCTTGTCGTGAAATACGCATTGCCAGATCACAATAAACTTTCTTCACAATACCAAGAAAGCACATCAATGTGAGAAGAATACAGTGTCGCTGGCGTTTCAGAAACCCAAATAGATAACACCATCTGCCTGAGTCTACACGGCCTCACAGCGCTTAAGTTCACGTCTATCTCCCAGCAGCAGCAAGCAAGCAAAACGGTATACCACAAAATGACAGAATCGTTTCGCAGCCTTCCACACATAAATGAATTAGCCCAATCGATAACCCCTCAGTCAAGCCATAACCTCAAAGCCTGTTTTCGGAAGCTTCCCCGGCCTCGCACCCCAAAATCACAGATTCTGTTGATTCCTGATTTGTCAAAAGTTCCCGAACCATTTCTTCATTCCGTGGCACCCGCCACACATGGCTGCAACTTGCTTATCTGAGACACGCCTTTAAGGCGGGACGCAACGTGATTGGACAAAAGTGCTCCTTCAAGATGCCCAATCTGCCTGAACAAAGAGACGCCAACGTTGTGGGAACATTCCACGAGGCTGCCAATTCGGGCCGATCTAGGCCAGGGGACTGAACAAAGTGACTGAAATTTTCAACAACCCCTTTTTAACGATAGAACAAAACTTGTCTACCATATTCAGTTTCCAAATTCCCTTCCTTTCTTCTGTTCCTAGGGGCTCCCGCCTCATGGCTGCAAAGTTGCTGGGACGCAGAGGAGTTCTTCGCTGCAATCCCCTTCGCTGTGTGCAGTGCGACGCGCTTTATCGTACATGTCCCCCGATTGTCTGGCCACGCTCCCACTGCTTCACGCCGCGCTTCAGCGCAGGGATTGATAGACAAAGACGGCATATAGCGCGTCTGTGTGCACGCCACGCGCCCTCCCGCAAGCCGCACGAACCCAGACCGCGTTTTGCTCTTTTCTAACGGCCCACCTCTTCGCTTCCTTATATCCTACCTTACTTCCAGCATTCGTGCCACATCCAAGAAAAGCTTTGTTATTAACATACCCACATTCAACCAAAAGGAATCATCATATCATCACCATCCTTTGCTTGGGCGCCCACTACGATCCCCATATCTCCCAGTGCTTCCGCTGACCTCCCTTCTGAACAACTCACCAACCTCCCATCCCCTACCTTCAACACTTAGCCCTCCGCAATCACGCCGGCAATCCTGTTCCCTGAGATGTCTAGAAGACCCCTTCACAAACACAGCGTGAACGTGCTCACCGATACTCCAAAGGCACACTCCAAGATCACCACACCCCCTAGATCGGTCCACCTCAAAAGGAACCACACTGTTCTTGAAACGCCTGTCCGCCCAGATTCCCATACCCAGGGCTTGTCCATGAATAACGTGCTTTTGCTGCCGGCGTTTTCGTCGCCTCAGCCGCCACAACCACCCATTTTTGACCACCAACTGCTGCTGTCTCTGTTAGCAACGTCCGATGCCAGCAACACGTCTTTGGCGCCACCTCCACCGTTTGCTTCCACGTTCCCACAGAGCCAGAATTCGTTTGGAAGCTCGTTTGGCAGTGTTTTCGAAGGCCCAGCGCCGCCAGCTCCAAAGAAGAAACTGAGGCCCAAGAAGCCCAGAAGAGAGGCCGCCGACACGTGTTTTTCCATCGATAGCCATGAAAAACCTCCATATTCGTATGCCACGCTCATAGGTATGTCCATTCTTTCCCACCCAGCCAAGCAGCTCACGCTTTCCCAGATCTACACCTGGATCTCTGAAACCTTCAAGTACTACCGCCGTGAGGACGTAGGCTGGCAGAACTCCATCCGTCACAACTTGTCGCTTAATAAGGCCTTCGTCAAAGGTATGAAGTCCAAGGACGGCAAGGGCCACTTCTGGTGCATCAAGCCCGAGTGCGAGGACCTCTTCCTCAAGGCCAAGAACAACAAGAAGAGTTCTTACCACGAGGTGATGGACCAATTGGCCGTGGCACGTCGCCGCAACTCAGTGGCCTCGATCCCTCTGTCGCCCACTGCCGAAGAAGACAGGCGGAAGAACGAGGAACCGGCCGCTAAGAGGCTCAAGACCGAAGACCCACCCTCCAACTCGCCTTTGGAGAACAACCTCCTCAGGACTCCGGTGGTGAAGGCCCAGCAGGATCAGGACAAGCCTATCTTGGCCGAGAAGCACATGGCCTTCACGTCTAGCTTCAGCTGCAACCTGAACTTCGAGCTTCTGCCCGCCCACCCAATGGAAACTGGACCGCTCCTCGAGCCTCTCACACCAGCAGCCATCACCAACGTTGTACTCCAGCAGACTGGCTCTGCCTCGAACGTGCAGCTTCCGTCCATCACTCTCAACAGAGTGGCTCCCCCACATATTCCCCAGCTACAGCCTTCCATGCAAAACACCACCACTCCTCGAACCGCTGGCTCGGCTCGTACACCCATTGCAGCCATCAAGACGCCTCTTCGGACGTTGAAGACGCCTCTGGGCAGCACCTTGGTCCGCAAACTCTGGCAGTCTCCTTCCTACCTCGAAGAGTTCTATCACTCGCCTTTCGGAACCGGCAGAGCATTGCTTAACTCATACGATGACGACGACATGCTCATGCGAGCATTTGACAGCCCAGCCACGTCGCGAGACGGCCGGGTGAATCTCATCAACGAGTTGAAGCGTGCTGACGACGATGAAAAACGTGCCGAGGCGCCTTCGAGCGATGCCACCGATATTGATGGCGATGACGAGTAACGAGCTGCATACTATAGGTAATTGGGTTAATTTTGGGTCTAGCGCAGGCGGGCGCTATGTTTGATTTTGAAATGTTGATTTGTGTATTATTACTCCTTGTCAGTGCTGGCGCATCCCTGGCACCCGCAGGTGATGCAGCCTTCGGATTCCCTCTGCTCTTCCTTGAGCTGGTTCCGTGGCACTCGGCATATACACGTGCTGCCGTGGTTCTTTTCTTTCGCTATAATACAGTTGACGCAGCACAAACGTTCGTAGCCTTGCTTTTTCCACTTGGCGATCAAGTCGGCATTGACGTATTTCTGTCGAAGCAAGTAGTCGTAGAGTTCCTTGGATATGAGCTTTCTTTCGTAGTACATGCTGTAGACATAGCGGCTTATCTGGTGGTTGAGCTTTAGTATGGGCCATAGGGAGGAGTGTTTTGTTTCTGTTTTGAGGGCCTTGCGCTCGGCCTCCTTGAGTTTCACTTGTAGTTTTTCAATTGTGGGTTTGACTTTTTCATAGTCCTCGGGGACCTTTTTCGTCTTGACTTTTGGCATGTTGTTGTTTGGAGATGAGATGTTGATAAGAAGCGCGATGAGTGCAAAAAAATAACGACATCAGCAGGATTCGAACCTGCGCGGGCAGAGCCCAATGCATAGCTCGAGAAGTTCGAGTGCATCGCCTTAACCACTCGGCCACAATGCCTAGAATCGCAGAATTTACTGCGCAGGCTGTAGAGATGAACTAAAATGAACTGAGTTTCTATTCTCATTTTCGCTCAAAAATTGGCAAAACTTCGACAAAACCCTTTTTAGTAAAATTGATAGCCAAATCTTATGATAAACCGGTTGCTAAAGCTGTTGGACCACCTTAAACCACCCAACGACAAGAGTAACACCGGATCAAAGAGACTAGGATGAGGAGAGAGCTGATCTTCCAATAAGCACCATAAAAGTCATAAGCGGCCCTGATTTGCATTGTCTGACCAACCTACCGCTTTTGCGTGCTTTTACGATCACAAGGGTCCCACCAACCGCATAAATCTTGAATAGAAGCACAATGGACACAGCATCCAACAAAGCCGGCAGTGCAAAAATGTCGTCGAAATCAAGAAACCGGAGACCAAGACTTCTGGCACAGGCTTGTGTGGGACACATTCGGCAGCGTAACCAAGCAATTGAGTGATCCATAGAAGCACAGCCTTGAAGTCCGAAGGAGGTTGGGTAGGAAAAAGTGGACAGCATTGACCAAGACGGACGCTCAAGGCGGTAGTATCAAAAGCGACAAAGACAGACCGAAGAGTCAAAGAAAAACTGAAGACTCGAAAATCGTGGTCTACGCCAGGCCGTTCCCATAACACCGAGCTCCACGGCAATTGAAAAGTTGCTGAAAGCCATCCAATGAGCTCTTTTCCGGCCGTTGCTTCTGGACAATCAGACAATGCCGATTGTTCATGGAAGCTACACAGCCTGTCACTCCGTATGTCACCACCGATGGGAACACAATAGCACGGTGGACAAAGCAGGGATCACAAAATCAAGAAAAATGGATTTGAGGAAATCAATGGGGCCTCAGGGTGAGCTGAGCCCTGGAGGTTATGGCTGCGAAACAAGCCCAGACCAAGCCGCCGCCGCCAAAGCCGAAATGCACCGTATATCTGAAGGACAACTTCGAAACAAACAATAAGGCTAGCGAAAACCCATGTCGAAATGACAACCTACAATGCTCTTTCATGTGCACGGCGCCTCAATGGTCGTTTCATCCGGCCCCAGCCAGCTCGGCAACCGTACTTTTTGTATCTGTCATTTTGCAAATCCTTCCTCTGTTTTGCAAATCGAATCAGGTGGTGCCAAAAAGTGCCATTTTCCCCGTGCCGAATCGGGCCCTGTGCCTTCCTGTTTTGCTCCGATCCCAGTGGCTGCGAATACGATCGTCAGCCTAGCCACCTTCTCTGGCAGATGCAAACCGCAACAGCAATTGAAGATTTGCAGATGTCGTCGAAGTTCCTGGCGATCCTATGGAGTGGTGCTTTCCTGGCGGTTCAGATACGGCCGTGGCTTGGGAAGAAGTCTTTGGAGTTGTTTTTGAGAACATCTCTGGGGTCTGTTACTGTACTTCTGGGACTGTTCAGCCTCTGATTTTCGATAGACGGGCTCGAGGTCGGAGCGCCGATTCATGTGGACGGAAGATGTTTTTTGATTTTGCCTGTGTCGGCTGTGCAATGAATTTGGGCCGTGAGCTGATGGTACAGCATTGATCGTCAGGCGACCATGAACGGTTTTCGAGCCGAAAAAAGGAAAGAAAGAGATTTTCAAGATGAACTAGGCAAAGAATAGTGCAATTATGGAGGTTGAGAGGTTGGAAATCAAAACCCGATTTCGTACGACTGGACCGCCTCGGCAATACACGGCGGACCAGGTGCTGTTTACTTTGGCAATTCGCCCTACGCCTCAGGCGGTGCCCGGTTCGCTACAACTTGACGTAAAGGCCCCAAAAAGATGCCCCAAAAGGCGAGTCCAAAAGGTGCCCCAAGCCTAGAAAATGGACCGCATTGTGAGCCAAACAGTAAACAACACGGTGGGTCAAAACCAAACACACCACAAGCAAAACAGCCAAAGCCGAACGGAGATCTAGATCGCTGAGCAGGCGAAGTGAGTCAGTCTAGTCAACAACCAATGCACTGGAAATGGCCACAGTGGTGGGTATGCTGATTCGATCGACCAGTGCATGCCCGGTGCCCATGCCCAGTGCCAATGCCCAATGCCCGTGCCCGGTGCCCGATGCTCATTTTACAGTACCCCCATGATGCCACTCTCAAAATGGCGAAATGGAAATTGGCAAAATAAAAATTGGCAGAATGGCTTTATGCAAAATGGAAAATGGCAGAATGGCTTTATGCCAGTTGGCAACTCGCCCCACGGCGCAAGCCTTGATCTAGATCGCCTCGTAAAAAAACCGCCCGCCATCGAGCCACAAACCCAGCGGTTCCCTCCGCCGTCCATTCAAGCCCTCCTACGCCCTCCCATGCCCTCCTACGCCTCGCTTTGTGCCCAGTTTTCGCCTCTTGCGTGCTGAATCTCTTGCGTGTTCGCGGTTTGCAGCCATTCAAGAAATTCTTCGCCGAGGCCGCGGAGCGATTAGCGAGCCATTGAGAAATTGGCGAGCGAAAATGAGAAATGGCTGTGAAAGTGGGAGCACATTCTCAGTCGCCAGTACCAGTGCCACAAACAAATTGACTATTTCAGTTCACTGAAAACTCCCAATGCATGGGCCCCTGCACTGCTCCATTTCTTCATTTCTTCTTTACCCCTGGCTGCTGCACACTTTTGGCGTCTTTTTCCCGATTCATCAAATACCTTCCACAGGCTGGGCGGCAGATTTGTCCGCGATACGGTTTGGCCCTGGCATTTGAAAAATCCTTCCTTGGCCTACGCGCCTTGAATCTTCAATGGTGAGGCGCGGAACACGAAAATGCAAAAAACGTTTGACCGTGACGCAGACGACATTTTTGCTGGCCAGGGGCCGCAAAACCCTAATTAATTCAATTTCGGGAAATCAATGCTCTTTGTGTGCCGTGGTTACGTCCTTGTAGCCCGTGCTGCTTATGTATACCGATGTGTGGTGGTTCATGGTATACCGCGTAGGCGACAGGCTTAGAAGCACGGTTGGCCCGGCCGGGCGACCAGACGAGATCTAGCTCAGTTTGGCTAGATCCAGCCCACACAATGATTGCAATGCTTTTGCAGTTGGCAAAAACAAGTGTAAAAGATAAAAAAATAACGACATCAGCAGGATTCGAACCTGCGCGGGCAGAGCCCAATGCATAACTCGAAAAGTTCGAGTGCATCGCCTTAACCACTCGGCCACAATGCCATATACAAGGAAATCGTGAGTACGGGTAATATATATGAGGCAGTTTGGACGAGACTCAAAAAGTGCAAATTTCGAAATATTGAATGGTTAGTTGGACTAGTGAAGAACAACTTGTGCGGCCGAGAGCTCGCTAGCGCCAAAATTGGGCGAGATACGAATTTTTCAAGATTTTGGAAAATCCAAGGAAGCCTGATTCCCCAAGGTCCAAACCCCAATGGCTAGTTTTAAGCTGTTTAGGTAAACAGTAAACAACCAATACCCAGCCAAACGAAGCTGGCGCCATTCGGCACCAGATTGACGCTTTTGACTTTCGTAAATCAAACCTTGCACCATGAGCTCCAATTCACCGATAACAGCACAATCATCAACAACACCAGCCTCCCCTCTCTCCCGCAAGAAGCTATTCCACAAAGTTTAATCACTGGAAAACTCTCCAAAACTGGTCTGTGAGGATATCGTTTCCTATCCCATCAGGGTCCAAGGCTTATCATCAAGCCAACGGCACCGTGAGTTTCAGGTGCCCTTCCCGAATTGTGGCCTTGGCTGCCGTTTTTGAAAATAAGAAAAATACAGCCATTACGAAAATGTCGGTCGGGTGGTCAAGGCGGGCCCGTGGGCAAATTAGCCTCTCTACTTTTAGCCTTTGACTAGCCAAGTGCAGCGGCATCTTTTCAAATAGGAAAGCCCAACAGAGGGCCGAAAATAGAGCTTTAGGGGGCTAAAACAGCACAAACATTCGGGCCAGATCGGGCTGGACGGACTTGGAAAACATGGCAATCATCAAGAGTCAGAGTGCAAGTTTGAATGAAAGGGCACAAAACCCCAAACGGCCTTCTTCGGTTCTCGAACCCGACGCTCCGGCCGAGCTCTTGACCATCGACAGCAACAAAAGTGGAAGGCACCGAAGGACCTGGTCCAAACCAGAACATGAAATTTCAAAAAATAAAGCGAGAGTCAATTTAGGATTTGCAAGACATGTACGGTCTTTTGTCCAGGCACCGGGGAACATTAGGGGAACCACGGAACAGAGTTTGAGACCCCTGGCCGTGGTTAGGAGAAATACGGTTGCACAATGGCTCGTCATAATTCGTAATGGTTATGGAATCGGCACCCTGGAGGAACCAGCAACAAAGGGCACCCCTTTTCCACAAAAACCCACTTTCTAAAAATATCGCCTGGCTCGTTGAGGCCTCTAAAAATGTCTACACCCTATCCTTGCTGCCAACCCTGATGGCCGGGGTACTGGGGTCCGAGAAGGCGAGTGGCATGATAGTAGCTGTCGGGAAGCGGAGTTCCAGGCTCTAAGCCTGGACACATTTAGCAACGAGAAGACTGTTTTTGTAACGAACCAAGCAACAAGCAAAGATCCCAGTAATAATAAGCAAAGACACCCAGTAATGTATCTCGCAGCAAATAGGTCTGCTGGGCGCCTAAGCAGCGGTTAAACCGACATTAGAGCGAATGTCGATAAGAACGAGAAACACATTGTAGAATTGTCGAAACTCCGTTTTGGCGTTTGTTGTGATCAACTCTTTTTCTCCAGATCTTGACAGCTTAGCGTATTGTCCTTGGGGGTTGCCAAGGTTTCGCAGCCAATGGGCGGAAACAGAGTAGGAACGGAATGAGCTCGATTGAGCCTTGCTCCATCTCAACAGAACAGAAGATCGTGCAATCCAAGCCCCCTATACGCTGCCCGGCTGTTTACGAGATCAGCAGGCCAAAACATCAAATCCGCAAGAACCAAAAAAAGGATGCCGATTGCAAAAGCCATCCCAAGCCCTGGGCTCGCCCTGGGCTCGATGCCTGGACATTTCAATAGGGGCGTTTGCAAATGGACAGAAAAAATTACGATTGTTGAGGTGCTTTGAGAATTTCTACGCCTGGCTCTGTACGACTTCAAGGCTCGGCAGGGGCTTATACTGGTTGCGGTTGCAAATGGCTATTTTTGACGCTGTTTCGATCTGATGGATGCCAGGCCACTGTTTTCATTTCGCACCGTGCCTGCCTTGGCGTTAGGCAACCGATTCGCAGCCAGCAGGCACGGCCAACAAGCGGCAGAGCTGCGCCTCCTTGGTTCTTATAACTAAAAAAATAAAAAACACCAATACATGAAATTTCATCAATTCGGCAAATTCTGTTCCGCCTGAAAAACCGAGATGTGCAATGTTCACGGGAACTAGGCACCCCTGCCCAAAGCCCCATGTCGCAGCCTCTGCAGGGTGACACGCAGCAAACTGGTCACCTACACTACAATGCGCCTGCACACAGGACCACTGCAGCCCGCACGGCCCACAGCTTGCATGCTGCAAACGCGATCCCACACACACTCCATCCGAATAGCTGCAAAACCGGCCTTCCACTAACTTCTCCCTCCATTATATAAACCCTCCTCCTGCCCCTTTCTTGGGGCTTTTTTTTTATCTCATCAAAACACATCCATTCGCTTTATCATGAAGTTTTCTTCGCTCATCTCTGCAGCTGCCCTCACCTCGGCCGCTATCGCTAAAGATGTTTCCTGCCGTGTCAATGGCCAGGAGGTCGCCCAGGTTGACTTGGACACCGGTGACTGTCCTTTCTCCATCCCAAGCGAGCTTCCTGTGACCTTCAGATTCGACGCTGAGGATGACTACGAGGTTGACGCCTACTACGTCCAGGCTGAGCAGAAGTACTGGAACGACATTGAGAACGCCGGTAGAACCGTTGACGTTCCTGCTAAGGAGTTGTACGGCAAGGAGGCCACCGACTTGTACCACGTTCACGCTGAGGAGTCTCCATCCTCCAACTCTACTGCCGCCTTGAGAAGAAGATTCAACGCCCAGATCTTGCAGGCCAGAGACGAGAAGGATGACCTTATTGCCTCTATCAAGAACCAGGACGGTGAGTCTTCCTCTGTCACTGTTGAGGTTGTCGACATTGACGCCCCAACCACCAGCCCAGCTCCATCTGAATCCACTGCCACTGAGACCAACACCGAGACTACCCTCATCACCGTCACCTCTTGCGAGGACGACAAGTGCCACGAGACCACCGCTTCTGCTACCTGGGGTCCAACCACCACTACTGTTGACGGTACCAAGACTGTCTACACCACCTGGTGCCCTGTTGTCACTGAGACTAACACCCACACCACCATTGTGACTGTCACTTCTTGCGAGGACGACAAGTGCCACGAGACCACCGCTTCTGCTACCTGGGGTCCAACCACCACTACTGTTGACGGTACCAAGACTGTCTACACCACCTGGTGCCCTGTTGTCACTGAGACTAACACCCACACCACCATTGTGACTGTCACTTCTTGCGAGGACGACAAGTGCCACGAGACCACCGCTTCTGCCACCTGGGGTCCAACCACCACTACTGTCGACGGTACCAAGACTGTCTACACCACCTGGTGCCCTGTTGTCACTGAAACTAACACCCACACCACCGTCGTGACTGTCACCTCTTGCGAGGACGACAAGTGCCACGAGACCACTGCTCCAGCCACCTGGGGTCCAACTACCACCACTGTCTCTGGTGAGAAGACCATTTACACTACCTGGTGCCCAGTTGAGAGTGCTCCAGCTGAGACTCCAGCTGAGCCAGCTCCAACCACCAAGGCCGGTGAGACCACCCCAGCTCCAGAGCAGCCAGCTCCATCTGCTCCAGCTCCATCTGGCGAGGCTCCAGCTCCAGCTCCATCTGGTGAGGCTCCAGCTCCAGCTCCATCTGGCGAGGCTCCAGCTCCAGCTCCATCTGGTGAGGCCCCAGCTCCAGCTCCATCTGGCGAGGCTCCAGCTCCAGCTCCATCTGGTGAGGCCCAGCTCCAGCTCCATCTGGCGGTGAGGCTCCAGCTCCATCTGGTGAGGCCCCAGCTCCAGCTCCATCTGGCGGTGAGGCCCCAGCTCCATCTGGTGAGGCCCCAGCTCCAACTGACGAGGCTCCTGCTCCAGGTGAATCCACTGTGGCTGGTCCATCTACTTTGGTGTCTACTCCTGGTGGCGCTGCTCCAACCGAGTCTGCCATCTCCTCCTACGAGGGTGCTGGTGCCGCTGTCAAGGGCTCTTTGCTCGCTTTGGCTGCCATCCCTCTTGCTTACGTCTTGTAAGTAGGCTGACGAGTTCTCATTTCTTTTGCATTAACGCTGACAAGTGTCGGTGAGACATGCCCTTTTCCAGGCTTCACTTTTTATTACGGTTTTCACACATTTTTTCCCCTTTGCCTTTGAGCAGGTTAGCTCATTTACTTTCGGCGAATCTGAACCCCAAAATTCATCCGGAACATTTAATTTCCCCCTTCTAATACACCAATCGGAAAACTTTCCTCGTAGTCGTATCGGTACGCTTGCTACCGTTTGCAGCCACCAGGGCTCGCAACTGTGCGCGATTTTCTGCACCAGCACTGCAGCAATGGTCTGAGTAGGAGACGGGTGTCGTGCGTGACTCATAAATCCACCCACGGGGCTCGGCTTTTCTTGTCCATAGCCAGTGGCTGAGAAATATGCGGATGTTTGAGCGTCTTGGTTTCGGCGGTTTTGTAGAAGCATTTCGGCTAAAATGACCCCAAATTCCGAACGCATGCAACAATGCAAGCAAGTCCGTTAAGGCCCATTGTTCAGTAGGCATTGGCATAACAAGGCGAGGCAGAAATGGCCTGATAGTAAGGTTTGGCACTTTTCAACAATCACGAAAAATAGCGTCTTATCGAATTACTTGGGGATGCACGATAACGAAACGAAAATAAACAGATGTCGAAGAAAAACGGTGACAATGGAATTTTGGGTGTAGCTTAGGGGCTGTGTTTCTTGGATTTATGCGCTATCGGAGTTGCACCACCATGGTCAAGGTAAGATTTGTTCAAAAAAAGCATGAAGGCAAAAACTAATAAACAATAACTTCACAATAAAATCAACCTTCAATAGACGATCAACCTATTATTCGGCTAACCCCTTGTGGCTCGCTGGTGGGGACTGGACAATCGAAAGGGGCCTATAGGACAATGGGAGATATGATCCGAAGAATGATCGGTAATTTAAGGTACGCAATTTAGTGCTGCTTTAGTTTTACCCCTTAGCCAATAGTGAATAGCGATCACGGAGATATTGAAACCTGGTGTGGCTTTGCTCTGAAGGAGCGACACTCGTATTGTGAATCTCACAATGATACCGCTTTCGTGCCGTGGATGGAGGAGGTGAATTCCAGCGATCTGCTAATTGGCATTATTAAATACTTTATAGTGGACACCTCCTTTTTAGCGGACGGTTTCGGCAGGCTATTGTCCCTGGAATAAGCGGCTGAGACGACGCAGACCTCATGGCAGCGATCACCATTCTCGTAATTTGGTTTTAGATTTTCATTTAAAATTAGACTGGGATTTGGGGAGAGTCAAGGCAGTTGCACAATTGAGGTATCCGATAGTTCTATGATAGTTGAGGCACCACGGATCGTGATTTTATTAAATTTTTAACAATCTAGAAGCTTTAAAGCCGGTACTTTGACCAGTATACCCACTAAATGACAGCTGTTTCATGAGAGGACGATAGAAGGATCTGAGCCGCCTTCACTTGGCCCATTCTTGTCCACATTCGTCTCAATCCTCGACGCTTTTGGAGAATGATGCTAATATTAGAAACGACTAATATAACTCAAAACGCTTTTAAAACGACGAGACAGCCTGGACCTTCGTCAATCGGCCTTTTTCATAGGGTTCTCTGGACTGGGTGCAAGCGACCGGCACACAAGCCGGTTTTGAGACAAACGGCTGCAAATAAGGTGTTTGATATTCTGTCAATACTGCATACAACCGTTTGAGAATGGTGAAGCAGCCGATATTTTTTGCAGCCATTTAATTCTCATCTCCCATTGGGAGGTTGATGTTTCAAAATGAGGATTTGAAACTACCGCCCAGAGGTATAAGTAGCCCTTGCTTTTCTTGGATTTTTAACCCAAGAACCATGCTTCCTCTTACACTTCTTCTAACCTTGGCTGCCGCCGAGTACATCACTGAGACCAAAGTTAGAACGCACATCACCACATTGACATCTTGTGCTAACAATGGTTGCAACAATGGGGAGGGACCCCCTGAGGAAGTTATAACCATCACCAGTACTCATGTTGACTGGGAGACCACCACCTGGTGTCCAGAGTCCGAGACTACTGAGGAACCAGTACTTGAGACTTCTGTTGAGGAGCCACCTACTGAAACTCAACCTGATACTCCACCCGAAGTGACAACTGAGTGTGACACTACACCTAACGAGCCTACAATTGAAACTACCACTGAGCCATGCGATGTCTGTGAAACTCCAGAGACAAACACTGAACCATGCGATGGTTGTGAACAGCCTGATACATACACTGAAACCACTTCGTGTGAGACGCCAATTGAGACGCCAGAGACTGAGACTACTTCTTGCGAGACGACTGAGACGCCTAGTGAGACCGTCGAGACTGAGACACCTGTTGAGACAGGTGAGACTGGTACCACTTCGTGCGAGACTGAGACGTTTGAGACTGAGAGTTTTGAAACTGAGACTTTCGAAACTGGCACCACTTCATGTGACACCGAGACTTTTGAAACAATCTCCAGCAGTTTCAGCACTGAAATCACTTCTGAAACAACTGACGAGACCACCTCCGAGAGCACCTCTGAGACAACTCTGACTTTTGAAACTTCCGAGTCGAGTTCCACTGAGACTGAAGTCACATCTTCCATTGAGATTCCTTCATCTCATGGTATTCCAGAGACTTCTTCAGCTCCAGAGACATCTGAGTCTTCTTCCGAGTCTTCTACAACCGAGTCTTCAACTTCCGAGTCTTCCACATCAGAGTCATCTTCGACTTCTGAGTCGTCTTCAACAGAGTCGTCTTCAACCTCTGAGTCTTCTTCAAACCCTGGCACATATTCTTCACCCGAGACTTCGTCGGAGCAGACATCTTCAGTGCCTGCAACTTCCTCCAAGCCTGAAACCTCGTCTGAGCCTGAGACCTCGTCTGAGCCTGAGACCTCCTCCAAACCTGAAACGTCATCCGAATCTACCACCTCATCTTCATCATCGTCAACCTCAACTTCGGTGCAGCCAGTTCCATCGACTTCGACTGTGCCTCCTGTTACAATCACCCTGACCATCCCATGTCAGGAGTGTGACGGCGGAATCACTGTTTCAACATTCACCAGCTCGGTTCCCCCTCCAGAACCCAACACTGTCGTTACTACCGAAACCGAGTCCTGTCTGACCGATGTTCCAGAAACTGAAACCACTCCTGAAACCACTCCAAAATCTTCGAAGCCTCTGACTTCCACCGAGACTACCCCAGCTGAATCGAAGCCAACCCCCGAAGAGTCCACTCCTGCTGAATCTCAACCAGCTCCTGAAGAATCTACTCCAGTTGAATCTCAACCAGTACCTGAAGAATCTACACCAGCTGAAACCACACCAAAGCTGAAGACAACTTCCAACACCACTCCAAAGGCTTCCACTCCAGCTGAGCCAACTCCTGAGACTAGTTCCTCCAAGACCAAACCTGAAACCTCAACGAAGCCCAAGGAAACCCCAGCCGAGTCTACCCCAGTGGAATCTCAGCCAGCCGAGTCAACCTCAGAGAATCCAAAGACCCCTGGTACTACTTCTGAAACACCCGCTGAGACAACACCTGCTGAGACATCCCCAGAAATGCCTTCCCCAGAAACTCCAGAGACTCCCGCTGAAACAACTCCACAAGAAACCACCCCAGCTGAAACCACCCCAGCTGAAACCACCCCAGCTGAAACCACCCCAGCTGAAACCACTCCTAGGAACGAAACTCCAGAAACACCACAGTCTGAAACCCCAGAGACAAACCACACCCCAGACGAACCAACCACATCCTTGACTACCAGCATCACACTGACCCACTACGTTCCCAACGAGACTGGCCATTCTGAAACTGGCAATACCGAAAAACCAAACACCTCCACTTACTCTGAGCCTCAACCTGATGCCACTGAAACACCTACTACCCAAAAATCGTCTTCGTTGAAGGGAGAGGTGACCACATCTGATTCTTTCACCCCATCCACATTGACAAGTGCTCCAGTTCCTAGCTGCTCTGGAGAAAACTGTTGCACTGGAGCAGACTGTGAAACAACTGTTTCTGTTCAAACTTCAATCACTCAGTCAGAGGGTCCAAGCATTTCTTCATGGGAAGGTGCTGCTTCTGGAAAATCCTTTTCCTTGATGGCCGTTGCCGCCTGGGTTTTCCTTCTTTAACTTTAATTCCTGATTGTGCATTCGTTTTATAATCAGTGTTCGCTTTTCGTTTAAATATATGATCTAGAGACGAGCAAGTAGAGATTCACAAAAGTCATACAATAATTAGGCAAATTATCGGTATCATCACGAAAAGCCTTACCATCATAACTACCCCAAATCAAGCTAGAATCATACATTCTTGTCACTCTACTTTCTACACCAAAACTTCATCTGTATGTTGAATACACTGATCTAATAAATAGTCTAGTACACCTCCAAGATGTAACGACCGTCCTCCTTCATGTCCTCCACGACCTTGGCCACATCCTTGATTTCTTGACCGGCCTTTTCAGCACCATGCTTGACAATATCCTCCAAACAGGCAGTGATATCAGGAACAGGCCAGGTTGGACCACAAAGGTAGAACGAACCCTCCTTCTTAACAATGGCATCGGTCAAATCCTCAATGGAGCTTCTGATCTTGTCTTGAATATAAATCTTCTGAGGCTGGTCACGAGAGAAAGCAGCACCAATGTGGGTCAAAATGCCCGCATCCTTATAGGCCTCCCAGAGCTCACCGTAAAGATACTCCTCCTTCTTGTGTCTGGAACCCATGTACAAGTAGATTTCACCAATCTTGTGGCCCTGCTCCTGCTGCCAGATCTTCTCCTCAATGAAGGCCTTGAACGGAGCCAAACCAGTACCCAAACCGGACATGACAATAGGCTGCTCAGGCAACTTAGGCAATTTCATGACAGAAGGCTTGACGCTGACCACCAATTCATCACCGATTCTGAGATCAGACAAAAACTTGGAACAGTGACCATAACGGGTTCTGCCCTTGCTGTCGACCCAGTCAACCACCACAATCAAAAGATGAACCGAGTTGGGGTGCATCTTCTGAGAAGAAGCAATGGAGTACTCTCTTCTCTTCAAAGGAGCAATGATCTTGACCAAATCCTCAAAAGCAGGTCTGGCAGACTTGAACTCCTCAAGAATGTCAACGTAACTAGCAAAGTCGACTTCCTGTCTCTTCTTCAATTCCTCGGCACCAGCACCGCTGGCCAAGTTCTCCAAAGCAGCCTTCTCCTTTTCTTCAGTGGCATAAGGAGCCAAAGATTCGTAGAAACGCTTGGGTGGTTTACCCAAAAAGTCCACATTGTCGGTCAAGGCCTGTCTAGCAGATCTGATCTCCAACAACGAAGAGTCGTCCTTGTTGGTCACCTCAACCAAAGAGTCACCGTCCACACCGTAGAACTCCAAGAAAGACTCGACCTGGTCGGCGTTGTTTCTGCCGTGAATACCCAAAGCCTCACCAATCTCGTACTTCAAGCCGGTGCCGGTGACATCAAACTCAATGTGGAAGATGTTTCTCGAGTATTCAGAAGGAGTCAATCTCTTGTTTTCCTGGACCTTGACGACGAAGTTCTTGACTGGAAGGTCAGGTCTCAAGTCCTTGGTCACACCATAAGCCTCAGGGAAAGCAAGCTTAACAGCGGCATCCAGCTTACCCTTGTGGAAGTTGTCTTCAGCACCAGTGTCTTCAGCTCTAGGGTTAGGGAAGAAGGAAGATTCTGTTGGGAAGAAAGGCAAAGGTTCTGGCTCCTCTTCGGCCTCAGCTTCCTTTTCAGACTTGGTGTCGCCGTTGTGGTCTTCCTTTTCGGCCTTTTCGTCAACCTTCTCGGTTTCAATTTGCGCTTCTGGAACAACTTCCTCAAGATCGACCCACTCCTCTGGAATTTCAACTTCCTTCAAAGCGTTCTTCTCGTCCACAGTAGCAACGAACTTGTCCAAAACGGCAGCCAAAAGCTCGAAATCGTTGCCGTTAGCCTGCAACAACTTGTTGACGATGAAACCGTCCAATTCAGGCAAAGCTGCTCTCCAGAAAGCCACCTGGGTCAAGAAGTCAGCAGAAAAGCCCTTGGTGGAGTCACTGACAGCGTCCAACTCCTCAATCAACGAAAAGTCAATAACAGTCAATGAGGAGCGAGATTTGGCCAAGGTGCGCTTGAAGTCAAGAGGCAACTTCTCCACAAAGTCCTGTTCGATATTGTTGTTGATCTTCTTGTGGTTGGCCAAGACGATTTTAGCACCTGGCTTGGCGGTAGCCAAAATGTCGTAGTGGTTCAAGATGGAGACGTCCTCGATCAACACAACATCGGCAGCATCCACCGAAGTCGAAACAGTGCTGTTTTTGGCAGCGCTGACCACCTGAGCCTGAGCAATTCCGCCTGCAACAGAAGTGTCGTACTTGTTTCTGTACGAAACAGTCTTGGAGTCATCCAACGACAATGAAAGCGCCAACTTGCTGCAAGTCTCCACAATGTCGCTGTTGTCACGAGTCCAGAACAAGAAGGAGCCTTCAGGAGAGGTGTTGGCGGTGATGTTAGCTGGAGGAGCAGTAGGCTGAGAAGCCAAAACAACAGCAGGGTCCACAGAAGCGTATTCGGAAATAACCTTCAAAGTTGGAATAGGAGCCCAGACAAAGTTGGCAGGGTGAACAAACTCCTCAACAGAAACAGATCCAAAACGGCCTCCAAGGAACAAAGCAGCAGCAACATCAGCCTTCAAAGTAGAGCCATTTTCAGCCGAAACAACCACAACCTTACGAGCCGAGGAAGGCACAGAAGCGACAAACTGCTCCTGGTTAAATGGGAAAGGCACTCTGACCTTCACCAAACCGACAGGAGCGGAGGTGGAAGCCTTGGAAATGACACCAGAAAGCTCTGAAGCCTCGTTGGCGCCAAAAGCGACAAAAACGGTTTCTGGGTTGGCGTGGCCCTCGTACTCAAAAGGCTTCAAGTTGGTGCCGGCGACCTTGTTGAAAACCTCAAAAGCAGTGGAAACAGCCTGGTCCAAGGAAAGCTCATTGGCAGCCAAAGAAGAAACCAACTGCTGGTACAAACGGCCCACGTCGGCAACAGACAAAATGTCCTCGTACTTGGCAAACAAGCGGGCGAATTCAGGACCGTCAAAAACGTGCAAAGAAGGGCTCTTGAGCAAAGCAGCCAAAAAGTGGGAAAGCACCGTGGTGTACTGCAACTCCAAAGCCGAGTGGGCATCCACAGGGCCAATCACAGGGAAGCCGAGGTTACGGGCCACAGCCAAGGGAGTGGCGTAGTTGGAGACCAAAGAGCTGGTTGTTTCATCAAAGTCGATAGCTGAAACGTTCAAGCTCAAGGGCAATTTTGCAGCCACAGCCAAGGTAGGCTGCATGTATGGCAAAGCGTTGGCGCCCAAAACGGCCGTGTGGGGGCCAGTCAGAGAAACGTTGCTAGCAGCGTATCCCAAAATAGCATTGGCCGAACCAGCTCTGGGCTCGAATCTGTGGAATGGAGGAACAACACCCACAGCATTCTGTCTCTTGAAGTGCAGAGCCCAAAGCTGCAAATGAGCATCGACCAAGTTGGCAGCGCCCACGGTCTCGTACGAGAAAATGGTGCTGGACAAGGCGTACACAGCCTGGGAAATGATGGTGGCAGGGGAGGTGTAAGCAGTGTTCTTCAACAAGTGAGGATCAACCGAGGCACCAAAAGGGTTGGCCTTGACGACGTGGGAGGACGCGGCAGACGCGTCGGAGGCCGGGGAAGGCGACTTGGTCCCGTTGGGGATCGCGTGGGGGCTCATAAAGAAATGGGTAGTTTTGAGTCTTGAAGTTTTAAATGGAATGGAGCTGATGGGCTGGAAAATTATGGGCGGTCACGTGATATGATGTATTGCACGTGATCTTATCGCTCATAAATGGCTGCGAAAAAAGAAAATCCGGGGGTCGAGGGGCGTCGACAGAGCCTCGACAGAGCCTCGACAGAGGGGTGGATAAGATTTAAAGTGAAGGGATTTGCTTAATTGTATGAGAAATAGCGAATTTTGTGGATTTTCAAGATTTTTGGACTGCACTTTTTTTTTAAACTTCGTTTTGATTTGGCATGGGTCAGCCGTGTGAAAGCAGGTGACTAGAACCAGTTTCAACATGAAAGATAGCAGATACAGCCAGAGATGGTAGGATGGAGAGCTTGTCGGAAATTTCACCCAATCAGAGCTAGACGCTGTTATTTGAAGAGGAGGGGCGGTTTTTCGTAGTTTCGACCAACCAAGTCTCACGACTTGTCTCCTCATCCTCGTGAAACCTCGGCATTACGAAACATTGTATGAAGAGCACCAAACACTTGATCTCTATAGCTTTCTTCAGGTTTTTTCCTGCAATCTCTCCAAACATTATACGGATCCCGTGCCTTGATCTTCCTGAAGCGGGTTCTTAAGTAGCGCCGACAAAGTTTATGAACTTTCTTTACTGTTGCAAATGATGGAAAATGCGTTTTGGAGTCAAAAGTTGCCAAAAAACTCCTCCAATCTCTAAACCACATTTTTATTGTTTCAGCTTTGCCCACGACTAATCAATGACTAATCTCAATCGATTGCCCACTCGTAGCTCAAAAAATACGTCCAGTTGCTTTACCTCCATTTGCCGAAGATCGAGCATTTCACTAACCTTATATTCAAACCTTGTTTGTCCTCGAGCCGCACGGTTTGACATATCTGACATCGAGCCGCAAGCAACCGACGGCAGAAACGGCAAGTTAAAAGGCGAATCAAAAATCCTAATCTATCCAAATACAAAGTCCGAAAGTGATTTCACAAATTCCTTGAACCACCAGATCCTGGCTTTCACTATATACGCACTCATCTCGCAAGCGCGGAATTCTGGGGTAATTTAGTCCATCAAACGGCACCACCAATCAATAAGAACGATACCAACAACTTTTTCACAATAAGGAGCAACTTTGCAGACGTTTTTCTGCACACTTTTCAAAAATCTCGAATGTCACAAAAACCCTCTATTCGGCTGGGTAAGTCCGATAAGTACCGCACTGCATCTATATCGGCCCGGACTGTGGCTGCATACTTAAACTGACGAAATCCACCAGATCAAAACCACCATGTTTTCTCGAGCGTTCCGAGGATCCCGTGCTAGTTTACGGCACTTTTCCACAAAACCGCCTCCAAAAAAATCCCTCCAATGGACGGCAGGCATTCTCCTCTTCTCTAGCGGCCTTGCTGCTGGAGGCTACTTTGCTGGAAGACACCAGAAGAAAGAACAAGTTTCGATCCAGGACTTGCTGGCGTCCACAACGCCACTTAGCTCCGTGGAAACTCCGAAATACGCCAACGACGACGAGTTTGCCGCTGCCCTCAAGGAGATAACCAAGATCGTCGGAAAGAAGAACGTCACCTACGATAAGGATGTACTTGTGGCACACAACGACTCATCCTACAGCACCCACCACCCACCTGAGCCTGAAACACAAAGACCCAGCATCGTCATTTACCCCTCTTCGACCCAGGAGGTGTCGGATGTTTTGAAGGTGGCCCACAAATACAGGGTTCCTGTTGTTGCAAATTCCGGTTTGACTTCCTTGGAGGGCCACAACATGCACACACGAGGCCCCAATTCGATTTCTCTTGCATTTGGCAATCTCAATGAGGTGTTGGAATTCCACCCTGATGACCTTGACGTCGTGGTCCAGCCCGGTGTGGGCTGGCAAGATCTCGATGACTACTTGCTTGATCTGGAAGACGGAAAACACTTGATGTTTGGTCCTGACCCGGGTATGGGAGCGGCAATTGCAGGTATGGTTGGTACTTCTGCCAGTGGAACTAACGCCTACAGGTACGGTACCATGAAAGAGAATGTGGTGAACTTGACCGTGGTACTTGCAGATGGCACTGTAGTGAAGACTCGCCAGAGACCGAAGAAGTCCAGTGCCGGCTACGACTTGACACATATCTTTATCGGCTCCGAGGGCACGTTGGGCATAATCACCGAAATCACAGTAAAACTTCAGCCTAGACCCAAGGAGGAGCTTGTGTGTATTGCATCGTTCCCTACGATCAAGGACGCTGCTTCCACGGCACAGAGCATTATCAATAAGTCGGGCATCCAGGTCAATGCGTTGGAGTTGTTGAACGAGACGACCACGTCTTTCGTAAACGCAGCAGGCACACTGTCGAAGAAGTTCTTGGAGAAACCCACTTTGCTTGTTAAGGTCGGTGGTGTTTCTGCAAACACAGTTAACGAGCAGCTTGAGGTTGTCAACAGAATTTCTGAAGAGAATAATGTGATTCAGTTTGAGCGTTCCCAGAACAAAGAGGAGAACGGTGTTTTGTGGACCGCTAGAAGACAGGGACTCTGGCTGACACTAGACTATGGCTCTAAAGTTTTGGCCGATCCAAACGACGTTAATGTTTGGACAACCGATGTTGCTGTTCCTGTTTCGAAGTTAGCCCAAGTGGTTGACGAGACCAACGAGGATTTGACAAACTCCATTTTCAAAGGCAAGTTCTCTGTCATGGGCCATGTCGGCGACGGAAATTGCCACTTCTTGATTCTCTACAACACTCCCGACTATATGGAGTGCAAGAAATACGTTGACAGAATGGTGGACCGTGCTATTAAGTACGGCGGAACTTGTACTGGAGAGCATGGCGTTGGTGTTGGTAAAAGAGCATACTTGGAGGCAGAATTGGGCAAGAACGCTGTTGACTTGATGAGACATTTGAAGTATTCATTAGATCCAAGGGCTATTCTCAACCCTGATAAGGTGGTCCAGATCGATCCTCACGACAAGCTTGACGAGCAGCTCAACTCTGGTCATGTTCATGAGGTGCAAAAGTGCTGCTAGACGAACCACCAAATAGCTTATAGATAGTATAGTTAGTCTAAGCAGTGCAAAAACAAGGGGTAGAAAAAAAAATACTTTTGATGTGAGGCTGCTGCCTTGGTGGATTGTATAAACTTGACTATCCGATAGAGATTATACAACTGAAGTATGAGTATGCTCAAGTACATAAAACTAACAGAAGGTATGAAAGAGCCTTTTCAAAAAAATGGCTCACTGTTAATTTCGAGATTTACGTTCTTTACTTTTGCCTATACTTTTACTTCTAGATCCACTAAGACCACCTGCCTAGTGCACCTACTACACTGTGCGAATTATCACCACTTTCACCTACAACTCAACATGAGCGATCTGGGCCTGCAAACACCAAGCGACAACACTGAGGCGCAACAGCTCCTGTATATTACCACCAAAGACCACTCTTTCAAGCAACATGCCAACAAGCCCCGTGGCACAAAACGTTACAAAACTTCAAAGCAGTTGATCACCGACGAGATTCGGTACCTTCAAAGCAAGAAGCTTGAAATCGACACGCCCACGTGGACGTCGATCGTTGCACCTCCCAGTTTGAAGCCCCAAAAGCATTACTGTGATATCACTGGTCTTGAAGGTAAATACAAGAGCCCAGCAAACGCGTTACGGTTTCATAACGTTGAGATATACCAGGAGGTGATCAAGCACATGCCGCCGGGCGTTGATCAGGAATACTTGAGTTTGAGAGGCGCCAACGTTGTGCTCAAGTAGTGAGGTTGACTGAGGGAGATGAGAAGGGTTTGGGATGATCCGTCTATTCCTGGTTCGTTGAAGAAGGATGTGATCGGAAGCGAGAGGTGAGCTAGGAGTCATTGAAATTACAAGCAGGCGTAAGGGTGAATGAAAGAGAAGCGGTTGAACGGGTAGGCTGCGAGCTGTTGATTTGGAAGTTCAATTACGCAAGTTTTGGAACTAGAGATTGATTGTAGGTGACGCCTGCGTTTAATGAAGTTACCGCTCAAGGAAGTGGGCATTACTTTTGGAGCAGTATGTTAGGTCACCGCAGTGCTTTGATATGTGAGCCGAATGATTTAAAGTGCATCGGCTAGGGCAAGAATTATATGAATGGTTATTTAAGAGGTGGAAACAGTTATATTTACGCCAATTTGAGAGGCCATTTTGTTGACGACAAATGATGAAAGCAAACCGGCGTGAAGACACTCAGAACTGGTCAGTTGATGCAACAGCGACCAGTATGTCCAACAGCTGTTTCAGTGCTACTTCACCACGGAAATCCCAGCCGATCGTATAGGTTTGTCGTGCAGCCAACTCACTCTGCAGCATACGGTGCTGGCTGTGAAGATACAGATCCAAACAGGTACCGCAGATCAACAAGTGATGAGCAGAAACTATTACCGATCCAGCCCCTAAGCCTAAGGTGAAACTCCTGAATTGCTATGTGGCGGTATTTCCCACAAACTTTCCGCCACATCATACCACAACCCTGCACGCATAATGGTGGTGCCCTGGCTACTAACTATGTAGATCCCCTGCTGTCCAACAGCACTGACATTCGACAGCACTGACAATACTGAAAACTAAAGGCCAAACCTCAAACCCAATGCCTACCTGAGTCCCCATCCACCCACTCCAAAAACTCCAGAAAATCCAATCCATTTGTGTACTTACTGAACCCTTTCCATCCATGCCCAGCCTTTTCAGCCCAATGGAGCTAGCCGCTCATCTGGAACACACTTCCCCAATCCATGTGACTAGATGGTTTCTCGCACCCATGCAGCCAATGACAATGAAAACATATTCGTCCGGGCCGGCTAGGCTCCGCATCGGAATCGCCTAATTTGCACACTGTGCTTCGGGCCGAGAAACGCCGTACCGAACAAAAAGCACCATTTTTTTAATTTGCTTTGTTCTTGAAACTCCACCTTGGCCCTGGGGATTTAGCCAACTGGTCTTGGAGCAACGGGGTTTTTTGGCAGATATCCGCCGATATGTCCATGGGGCCAATGGGAGCCTGGGTGTTTGATTTCATGACCCGAGCGGCTGAAACATCACCACTTCTGCGGTTAGACCGGTACCGCCAAGACCGCATTGTTATCTATTTCATCTTGCAGGGTGTAGCGGTTCCCAATTTTTCAGGAGGAGAAGAGCAAAAGTAAAAAAAAAATTTCAGGGTTATGAGAGCTTTCTCCAATTTTTTGGTCATTGCGCCCTGGGGTTTGGAGTAATTTGGCATCGTTTGAACCGTATCTATGAATCGATGAGCCCGTCATCGCTAACCTATACACCTAGCCGGCCTTCAAAGCACCGCTGCTATTCAGAAATGGCTAGCCGCATGCAACGCTTGCTATGCTAATAAAAAAAAAAAATACCATTCCGTTTCTCCCCCGTTTACGGAGCAACCGGCTTGGCTGGAAAAGCATCCACAATGGCCTTGACACCACTGTCAAACCGCTTCGTCTGCAAAACATCCTCTCCCTTTTCCAAATCCGTGAACGGATTGCAGATCTGCCGCAAGTAGACCTTGTACAACTTGGAAAACACCTCCTTCAAGTCGGCCAGCAATGGCTCACCTTCTCCCACACCCACAACGATCTTCAACCCGTTGTTCGTCTCCATCCCGTAGACCATCACTTCATCTTGAATGAACAAAAGTAGAATGCCATCGTGGCTTTGCGGTTGCTGCTGCTCCCTGAGATTCAAGGACATGGGCAGCAGAAACACGTCTAGCGCCATATGGGAAAGAAAGTTGTATTTCAAAAAACGGTTGGCATCGTCTTTGCCCAAGGAGTCGCCCACATCGAACAGCTGAATGTATAAGGGCTTGTCGTCCCGGGAAATCAAGGAAACAAAGTTAATTTTGGCCATGGCGGGTTTTAGCCAAGCTTCTGTGACTTTTCGCGCTGTGTGGTTGGTAGGACTTCTCCATACTTCGGACTCACATCTGAGGTGTCCTCTACCATGACCGACGTTTCTTCTGAAAACAGGAAAGTCGACGAGTTTTTGCAAACTTTGGACAAGCTTTCACAGGAGAGGTTGATGGACGACCAGAAAAGACAGTGGCAGTTGGAGCGGGACATCGAGGGTCTTAGTAACGAAAGTCCCAAGCGGCCCTCTTTGAGCTCCAGGGCTTCCTCGGCAGGACACGATATCAAGGAATTGGTGTTCAACAGAACCTCCAGTGCACGTAACAAGTTCCAGGACAAGTGGAAAAACAGAGAAAAATCGCTGGAGTATGCCTCGGACGAAGAGTTCGATGAGGACGGCTACCAGCTTCCTTACAGGCCCAGAACCAACAGAAGACAGTCTCGCAGGGCTGCTAATAAGGACATGGAGATCGAGCTTCCTCGGAGAAACAGCTCCTTGACTCATCTTTCTGACGAGGACATGGACCTTGACTTTGGTCTCAAGAGGCCTGTAGCGAGAAAGACGTCATCGTTGAAATCGTGGGTTTCCAAGGAGTCTGAGGAAAGCATTGAGAGTCCTAGGACACCCAAGGGGGAGCGTCCTGGCTTTATGAAGTCGATGAAGGGCTCTTTTTCAGACATGCGTGGGTCCATCTCAGAGATGAATGTGAAGGGTTCGCTTTCAGACATGAAGGGATCGTTTAGCGAGTTGAAGAAGAAGAAGTCCTTTTCGGAGATGAAGGGCACGCTCAAGAAAAAGAGCTCTTTCACGGAAATGAAGGGCTCCTTCACTGACATGGAGCGCAGAATCAGACGCAGAGGTGTCAGCGAAGAAGGCAGGGAGTCAGACGACTCCAGGGAGACCAAGGAGAAGAAGATCAGCAAGAAGGAGGCCAGAAGACAGGCTCGTATCTTGAACCTCGAGGACCGTACCAATGTGTGGAGAGCGGATGAGTCTGAAGAGGAGGAGGAGGTACCCAAATGGAAGGCAATGGCCAGAGCCCAGAGGCAAGACAACTCTTGGATTGCCGAGGAGGACGAAGAGGACTCGGAAGAGTCGGAAGCTGAAATGCCCACCAGGTCTGTCAGGGAGTATCTTCACAGCCGTCAGATGTCTGAGGACTCTGAATTGGAGATGCCCACAAGGGCAAGAAACGGAAGACTCAACCGGGTGATTTCGGAGGACTCCGAGGTTGAATTGCCTACTAGAGGCTCACGAAACGGACGTTTGAACCGCCAGATCTCCCAGGACTCTTCTGAGGTGGAGTTGCCTACCAGATTTTCCAGGAGTGCGCGTCAGAACCAGATATCTGAGGAATCCGAGGAATCTGAGGTGGAGTTGCCTTCAAGAACTTTCAAAGACACTCGCAAGAAACAGGCTGTATGGACAGCTGACGACTCAGACGAAGATCCCATGTCAAAACCACCCAAGCCTGCTAAGCCAGCCAAGCCTGTGAAGCCTGTAAAGGCTTTCAAGCTAGAGGAAAAGGAAGAGCCCAAGGAAGCAAAGAAGCCTTGGTCGAAGCCAGAAGCACCCAGACCACGGGCAGTTTCTTCCACGTCATCCTTTAGCAGTGCCACATCTGCTCCCAAACCAAAACCAGCTTTCAGCAAACCTGAGCCTAAGACGTTCGCTAAACCAGAGCCAAAGGTAGAGAAGCCAGAGCCAAAGAGCTTTGCCAAACCGGAGAAGCCCGAAAAGCCAGCTGTCAAGAGCGTCCCTCCAAAACCAGCCAAACTTTCCTCCAAAGCATACGAAGAGAAGGACTCGCAGGAGCTCAAGGACCGTATACTGAAGCTTTCTCCTACAAAGGCAAGCGCCCCTGCCAAACCAGCTAAACTCTCCACCAAGGAGTACGAGGAGAAGGATTCACAGGAGCTCAAGGACCAGCTTGAAAAGCTCGCTAACAAAAAGCAGCCGCCAGCAAAGCCAGCGAAGCTCTCTAAACCTGCCTTCAAAGACGGCGAGGTAGAGGCAATTGGGGCCTTGCATTCTCTTAAACCAGCCAAACCGGCTGCGTTGAAGACCGCCCCAAAGCCTGAGGCGTTGCAGAAATTTTCATCGATGAAAGCAGAAAAGACCGCTCCCAAGAACTTCCAAGCCGAATTATCTGGTATACTTCGCTCCAGCACCGAACCCTCGTTGCAGAAGGGTCCCACGAACGCCTCCTCTGTCTCATTGACTGAATCGAAACCTCCCACGACGACCCTCAAAAAATCATCGACCGAGCCTACACTGAGCCAGATTTCGCATATCACCAAATCTAGATCCAAGGGCCCTAAGAGAAGGTTGCCCAAGTCCGCATCGCTTACGAGCTCACTGACTTCCGAAAAGTCTGAATCGGAATCTGATCCAGAGCCTAAGTCCAAACCTGAGCCCAAGCCTGAGCCTATGGCAGCCGAGAAACCAAAGGGTAAGGTGCCTCCTGCTAAGCCTGCGAAGAAGCCGCCACCAATCAAGGCCAAAAAGCCAGACATTCTCGCCAAGCCACGTACCGTTAGCGGCGAACTATTTATCTAATTCACCAAAACCAGCCTATCCTGAGTACGAGTTTTGCAACCGTTGAGCCTGGTTTCCTGTACATACCCTCCTACTGGTATTGCTCGGCACCCTACCAAACTTTTGTGTGCGCGGGAATCATCTGCTCTTCATTCCTCCCAATCACCATGAGCAATATCTATGACATCTTGACCTCCGACAATGGCGGTTTTTCTAATACTATAACAAAATGTATCGATTATCTTGAACAGCATGTTCCTGGATACGCCTCTAGGTCCTCGTGGCTGGCGTATTTCAACGACATAGCTTCCACCAGCAGAGAAGAACTCATTGACGACTTTTCCAACTTGAGGGTGACTCCAGCCACAACTACGGTTGTTTTGACGACATTCTTGACGATTTTGGTCGCCAGTAAGCTTTTAGGTGGTTCGCCTCCTCCTAAAGAAACAAAAAAACCAAAGAAGAAGAAGAAGAGTAAGGCCCAGATTGCCAACGCTCAAATTCAGACCATTTTGGACAATGTGGAGGAAACATACGTGGCTCAAATAGATGACTACATTGAGAACTTTGGCCAATTGAGCAAGGACAAGAAGGAAAACACTTACAATTACATTCAGGAAATGTTGTTGAAGGAGCTTTTGAAGCTAGACGGTATTGATATTGCAGGCAACGAGGTGTTGCGTGACAACAGAAAGAAGGTGATTCGCTTCATTCAGGAGCACCAGTCCAGATTGGATCAGTTCAAAAAGGACAACCAAACTAGCTAGAACTCGTGGCTGGCGGCTAACTTGGCACGCCGAACCGCGGTGGCCCAGTCGGATGATCTGGGAAAATAAATGTCTTTAATTGTTTCTTTTCTCCCAACCAGAGGGCGTGCTGTGTGTGGTCTAAAAGATCAAAGCCTGTCTGTGGATGAACCAACACAGATAAGGAGCCGTGGTGCTGGACGAACCAGCTGAGGATTTTGCCAAACACATCCACTCGGGCAACGTCCACCTCCCAAAACAAGTCGTAGTGGGGCCCAATGGCCTTCTCCACCTTCAATTGCTTTACTATAATTGAGCCCTCTGCGGCCTCCTGGGGAAGTCCACCAAGATCTTGTTCTTGAGGGCGTGTGCCTCTTCTGAAGTTGCCTCATCGTAGTAGACGTGGAAGTCCCAGAATGTGACTGGAGCCGTCCACGTTAAATCAGGGTACTTCGGCCTGGTGGCCACCTCGGGATCGTCCTTGTTCAAATGTGTCAAGTATTCCATGTAGTGATAAGGTGATACTGATAGTTTTTCGCACCCAGAGAGCCACACAAGTGTGGCTCACCCAAATTGAAACCTCAGAAAGCTAATTGTGGACAATCAAGACGGACCATAGTATGACTCAGCTCTCTCTCTATTTGGTGGCGTTTTCGGCCTCGGACTTGGCCTCGGCTTCGGCATCCTCAGGTGTCTTCTTCTTTCTCTTCTGAGACGCCTGGGCGACGATCTCTTCGTACATCCTGGCCTCTTCGTCCTCAAGCTCTGTCCTGGTCATTCCGCTGAAAACCTCGCCAACAATTCTAAGTGCCTTGGCTCTTGCAACCCTCTTCTCTAGTGGCACCTCTTCATCGTAGAGTATGTTGTCACATACACCACCGGCAGTGCCCTGGATCTCGAGCTTTGAACCAGCCCAGGCCAAAGCCAACACTTTACCCACAAGGTAGTTTTGCATCTCAGCAATTTCCTCTGGGGTGTGCTTATCAGGAACCTTCTCCTCCTTAGAGGTCTCTGTGACAGTGCCGGCCTTCTCCTTCTCCTCCTGAAGCAGCTGGAGCTTTTCCTCTAACTCCTCCTTCTCCTTGCGGACCTTCTCCTGCTCCTCTGTGGTGGTGGCTGCGGCCTCGGCCTCCTTCTTAGCATGGTACTCATTGTCCTCTTGCATTTTGGCAAACTCCTCGAAAGTCAGCTGGGCCTCCAACGCCGTGGAAACGGTCTTGAAAGTGTCTCTGACCACACTGCCTTTCTCCTTGACGGACCACCAGAGCCCACCAATGCTGCCCAAAAACGTCTGTTTCTTCAAAAAGATCTTGGACCGTGTTTTGTAGATCGACCCAAGGGTATGCAAAATCTGCAAGCCAAACGACTCCATCTTGAGCGACTCGGCCTCGTACTTGAGCTTCTGTCTGAACGAGTCGGCCACGTCATCGGCCATGTCTGTTTCAGTGAACAAGGAGAGCTTATCGACCAATTTCTTGGAGAGTTCGCCTCTCATCTCGGCCCTCTTGACGTTGCACTCTTCCTCGAACTTCTCAAGCTCCTCCTTGCGGCGTTTCTCTTCCTCCTCCTTGTGCTTCTTCTCTCTCTCCTCCACAGTCAAATTCGAGTCCTCATGCTCAAGGTACAACTTGTTCGTTCTCTCGTTGATGTCCGAAATGGCGTCAGTCTCCTTGGCCTGCTCCTTCTCTTTTTCTTCATCAGCGAAGCCATGGAGCTCGGCAGACTTCTCCACCTCCTGTAACAAGCTCAACTCGCCAATCCAGTCCTTGAACGCCTCTCCACCGAAAACCATAGTGAAGAACTCCAGCGGGTCCTCGAAACCCTCCAGAGGAATCAGCTCCTGCTTTCCAAACTTGTCATACTTTTCTCTCAATCTGTCGTCCAGCAAAACCTGGTACGCTTCTCCAACTTCTTGGAAACGTTCTGCTGCGGTAGGGTCGTCAGGGTTCTTGTCCGGATGCAAACGAATCGCCGCTTTTCTGTATGCTTTTTTGATATCGAGCGCTGTGGCCGAGGGCGGAAGCCCTAACAAGTCGTAGTACGCTGTGTCGGCGACCATATTGTGGATTCTAAAATGTGGTGGTCAATGAGCTAGATGATGTGGGTGCGAATCGCTGCCTGTGAATGCTGAAGTACCGAAGATTGTGAGGGTAAAGGGCAGAATGACAAAAAAACGGGAGGATTTTTGAAAGAGGCTGTTTTTGGTAATTTGACGGGATGGAAATCGTGAAAAGTCGCTTTGGTCGTGTGACCAGGCCAATCAGAGTGGTCCCGTTTGTCTGATGCCAAGGGCACATTATGGTAATGTTCAGTATCGTCAGCGTGACCGCCCAGAATGCCAAATATCAAATCATAGAGGAATTGAGCAATTAAAGATTTCTAGTCAAAGGTTTTGATTTTTGAATCGAGATAGTCTACTTTTCTGCCTGATATGTCTATAATACGTGAGTGTTGGGTCGTGGTTCTGTGTGGCAAACCGTGAGCAAACGGCGGTGTAACAATGGGAAACAGAAAAGTGGCTTTTAGAGGAACTTCTAGGAGTAAAACAATATAGAAAATAGTACGGAAAATTTAGGTTGGTCAACCCATCAAATACCTTTTTGACATTTCGCAGCCATTAATCGACAAATGCAGTTACCTCTTTTTTCCCAGGACACTTCACTTCCACCGCCTACATTGTCACCTCTTATTTACATGAATTGATATATGCCATCTTATGCCGAGTAGTACACCTTCCTCAAGTCGACAATCTTCTTGCCTCTGCCGGCAGCCAACTCCTCAATAGGTCTCTCCTTGGTCAAAGCCTCAAAGAAGCCCTTCACCGTGTTCATTCTGTTTCTGGATCTGGTGATCTTTCCTCTGAGATCCTTGATACCAGCAGCCTCACAAACCTCGAAAAGCACTGGGTTCACTCTGAGACCGAAACCAGCTGGAGCAGACTTTAACGATAATCTGACGGCGTGGTACTTGTAGTCAATCTCACCAATAATTGTTCTGTCTTCGTAACGGGCGATAGGCTGAAGGTTCTTCACGGCATTGAAGAAACCCTTCTCCAAAGCAGTCTTCACACCTTGTCTAGATTTACCCTCACCCATACCCACCATACCGTTCTTGTCACCGACAATGGTCATGGCGTAGAAGTTTGGAATTTTACCCTTCAGCGTCTGCAAAGACACTCTTTTGATGAGAACATTGACAACATGCAAACGACGGATGTAGTCTTTGTTGTAGCCGGTTAAAAGAGCCACTTTTTCGATTCTGGCGGCACGGAAGTTTTGCTGTGGGCTCAGCTTCTTCTTCTCATCAACCTGGAAACGCAACTTCAAGTCGGAGGTATCTGGGTTGGCTTCTCTAGGAATATTAGCGTATGGAGTCATTCCGACACCCTGGTTTGGATACATGATGGGCTCATCGAACTTAGGGTCGGTTTCCGTGTATGTCTTGCTGGCTTCTGGAGCAACTTTAGAACGTTCACCCTTTCCGGCCTTTTTCATTTCAATATATGTCTGTGGATCGACCAAGGACTCTGTGATTTTGAGACTCTGTAGCATCTCGGGAGTGTAGAACTTGGTAAGGTATTCATTGGATTTGGCTTTTTGAAGACTCGTAACAGAGCTCGAAAAGAGCCTTATAGGAGCTCTTTCTAGCCCTAGGCGGGTGAAAGACGTCCTGAGCATGGATGGTAGCTTGATGGTAGTTGAAATTTTTTGTTCCTCACAAAATGTCGAGGTGGACTGCAGACAGCACCTACACCCAGGGCCAGAGGTTGCAAGAAATAAATTAAAAGTAAGGTTATTTATCCTTCTTGTCCAGAAGACTGAATTCGGCAATGTGTTCCGTGCTCGAGAGATTGGCACCACTCTGTGGCGAGAATTGTGGTGTCAGTCGCAACAGTTCCTGGCGCTCCACTTTCTGCTGCAAATCCATCATCTCTGACTTGAGACGGTTCACTTCCTTCTCGAACCGCTTGCCAAAGACCTCAATGTAGTAAGTGGCGCCGTTGTAAGCTGACCACACGAAAATAAAGGCCACGAATCCTCCGCATGCATGCTTGTACTTGAACCAAATCGGGCACGGAAGCATTGTGAGCATCTGATATCCGAACTGGATCAAAGTGAAAGCGGCAATTTGCATCCATGTGTAGGGAAGGCCGTTGACAAAACGGCCCAATGTGCTATCACCATTCTTATGCTTGAGATACGTGAAGGACGTAACTTTACCCTTGGCGATCTGGGACCGTTTACGCACAGTGATGAAGTAATGGTAGCACACCTGCCAGATGGTGTAGTAGATTGACGTCCACACAAGGCCGTTGGCGAAGTTCCATTTTTCGATGTTTGCAATGCCGGGGTATCTTTCAGCAATGTAGGCTTCTGGGAGCTCGTGTACAAGCACGAACATTGTAATTGGAGGCATGATGTGAATAAAAGAGCTTGTGGTTTTCTCGATCGAGTGCAACACAAGCGAGTTGCGCCAGGTGATTACGGCAAAGCAAAGCGTTCCCAACGTCAATGAGAAGCATGAGATGAAGAGCGATTCGCTTTGCGGAAACACCCAGATAAATAGCACCACCAAGAGGTTGACGTAGTAGCACAAGTCCGCAAGGTAGTACTGGAACGACAACTTAAAGTAGGTGTAGAAACGAATAGGCATTAGGGAGCAGAAGAGCACCGTGTGGAAAACGGGAAAGTACTTTGGGTACTTGCCAATGATGAAACCTGCTGCAGCGACCAAAGCAACGGCAGCAGCGTAAAAGCCCTTTTCCGTCAGAGAGCTCTGCAAGCTCTCGTGCATCTTAGTGTCAAATTTCGTCAATTTGGCATGGAGAGACTCCTGGTACTTGGCCAACTCCTGCGAGGTGAACTTCCTGTTTCCCTTTCCGTCCGGGGTGAACTTCTTGAAGGTCTGTCTGGTCTTGTCCTTCATATCCTTGAGACGTTTCTTCGTAGATCCACTGACCTGGTCAAAGCCATTGCCGAAATCAAAGTCCGGCATCACCAAGAGCTTGGACAAATCAATGAAGGACACCAGGGAATCCAGGCGTACTAGCTTGCCTGAGCTCACCAGACTCCGATCGTCTAGCTCGGCCTCCTCCTCAATATCATCTATAGCAGAGCTGTCCAACTCGTTTTTCTTGTTCAAGTTGTCCACAGACAAAGGCTCGGCACCCGGTGCCTCTGCTGTGTTTTGGATAGCCATACCGCAAGTAGTTGATAGTTGTTGCGCGCGAGTCAGCAAGATAAGAGGAGGTGGGGGATGACTCGGAAGGCAATATGAGCAAACGGGAAGAAAAAGCACTACAGGAGGAGAAAAGAAAAAAAAGCATGTTTTATTTGTTTTGAGTGTGGAGGTGGCACGTTGGTGTGCACGTGTGGGTGCAAACGGTATCATTGTCGCTTGACAGGTGTGACAGCTGTGGTGCAGACATGGGTAAACAGAGATGAGGGATTTTTATTGGAGTTTTCTGGAAAGAAATTGGTTTTTATTTGCCTTGGGTAGATTCTCTTTCGTTTTTGGCTTTTTTCTGTTTTTATAGGTCGCCGTGTTTCTGTGGTTTCACGGTTTGTGTCATGACAAGCTGCGTGGTCTGCGTTTTGCAGCAGTGGAACCGAGATTGTTGGTGATTGCGAACCACAACAACGTGAAGAACAATGGCAATCTGGTCACGCTAAACCGTGGTTTTCTTTGCAGATCGAGAGAAGCAGCGAGACTTTCCTTATAGGAAATAAAAAAAAAAAAAAAAAAAAAAAGCATGAGGAATTTGTTTGGAGAAAGAGGTGTTTCGTTGCTCGGGTCGAAATTATGCATATATTGCGACGTCAGGGATGTAGGGGATGGTGGCAGTGTTTGGGAAGATCCTGCAAATATGAGGAAATGTATTTGGAGGTGAAGGGAAGAAAGGAAGATGTGGAAGGTGGCTTTATTTGTTCGTTGAGACAAGCTTGTCGGTGTATTCCGGTGGGCCATAGAGTCAAGTAGAGGTCAAATAAGTCCAAGTCAACGAGGACATGGAGTTGTCTTACAATTTAGAAATCAAAACTGGCTTTGGAAAATTTGAATCTGGAAAAACCTTCATATATGGGGGATTCGTATTCGTGCTACAATGCATGGTGTGCTCCGAATGGCTGCAAACTCTGCATTTGGAGCCTAATGATATGAGATGCACCAGGGTTCCATTTATGAAGCTACAAAGTAGAATATGAAAACAGATGGCAGTGAAGTAAATTGGAAAGGTCTTTAAATTAGTATATGGTATAGCTTCAAGATTCTGTCGGGTCCGCATACACGGCCTAACTATGGTAGACACATTTCAGAACAAAAACACCGCTACTGAATTTTGTGCTCTTCAGAGGGATCGAAAGATTAGTTTCAAAAATCGTTTCATCCAATCAACTTCCAAAAGAACCAATTACACCACCACCTCTCCATCGACCTGGGGTACATCCATGCTCATCGCGAAAAAGCTCCATCGCATACACTATGGCTGAGGAGACCAAGAAGGAAAAGAGAGAGCGGAAGGAGAAGAAGAAGCAGTTGAAGGAGAAGAAGGAGGAGGCTGCTGAAGAAGCAAAGAAGGAGGAAGTCAAAGATGAGTCTCCGGCTGCTGAAGACGACGAAGCTGCTGCTGATGAGCTCGAAATCGATTTGAGTGCTGGTGTGCCACTTTCCAAGAAACAGCAGAGATTGTTGAAAAAGGGCAAGTTGAATGTGGAAAAGCTCGCCAAGAAGCACCCTACACCCAAGAGAGCCGACGAGGAGGAGACACCCAAGTCTAGCAAATCGCCCTTTGGTGTGTGGATTGGAAATCTCTCTTTCGACACCACCAGAGATGACCTTGTCAGATTCATTGTGGGCAAGTCCCAGACTTTCGGAGACGACTTGGTGAAGATCTCCGAGGAGGACATCTCGAGGGTCAACCTCCCGAAGAAAAACGGCAAGATCAAGGGTTTCGCATATGTGGATCTTCCCAGCCAGAAGCATGTGGACAGCGTGGTGCTGCTTAGTGAAGCCAACCTCAACGGCAGAAACTTGCTTATCAAGAACTCTACATCATTCGAGGGCCGTCCCGAGGGCGATGGCCAGAAGGCGCTTTCCAAGAACCCACCTCTGAGAATTCTCTTTGTGGGTAACCTTTCGTTTGACACCGCCGAAAGCGATTTGGAGGAGCACTTCAGACACTGCGGTGACATCGTGAAGATCAGAATGGCCACCTTTGAAGACTCCGGCAAGTGCAAGGGTTTTGCATTCATTGACTTCAAAGACGAGGAAGGCCCCACCACGGCTCTTAAATCCAAGTTGGCCAAGAAACTCATAAATCGTCCCTTGAGACTCGAATATGGTGAAGACAGATCGAAGAGAACTCCAAACAGAGTCCGTGAACAGGTTCAGGAGGGTGAGATCAAGGAGGCAGCACCTGTGGAGAGACAAGAAAGACCAGCATTCAGAGAGAGGACCGAAGAGACACCAAGACCTAAAAAGAGAACATTCAACGATACACCAGTTCCAGGAAAGAGACTTAAGTCCTCTGTGGCTCTTGCAAGTGCACAGAGAGCCTCTGCAGCCATTGTTCCTTCTCAGGGTAAGAAGACCACCTTTGATTAGGAGGATAGCATTTTACGAAGTAAGGGTCATTGATTGCTGTGGATAGGACGGTTGTGATTAAAACGTATAGACAAATGCAGGGAAACTAATGTATTACTGGGACTTTGAGCTGCTCTCGTATTAGGTGACATAGTTTATCAAACGCTCAAATTTTTCACAGCACGAGACTGTGAGAGTTTCCAATCCACATAAATATAGTGAACAAAGCAATGTAAAAGCATGTAACTGCTGAAACGGCACCCAAAATCTCTATGTAATCTGAGTGGACAAATGGCTTGACTGGCTCTCCAGACCTCTGCAAATCGAGCCTGGACTTCAAATAAAGATGAACAAAAGCAGCAACCAATAACACCTCTATGAGTCTTCGGATGGAAGACGAGATCATTTCAACCCGTTTTGGTTTCTCCGGAGGGTACTGGATGGCATGTACGACATTGAGTATGGGATTTTGAATTTGTAGAAGGATAAAAGTAAAATTCCAGACACGTATATGCCAATTGTCATCTTCATTTATTAATCTTCCAAGAACCAAAGTCGCAAGGATTGCCGTAGCTAGCTGTTTGAGCTGACCAATTTCGCTCACTGTGTGTGGAGAATTATCAGCAAGCACCATGACAAACCCACCCGATTTTAGTCTTCAACAGTATTTTCGTCACTTGAAGGAGGCTGCCTTGGCTTTTGAAACTCTAGTTCAAGTTCCTCCTCTGTGTTGCAGAATGAAATCAATCAGTCTTGTGGCTCAATTGAGTTGATGTTCCCATATGCATGCAATGTGGACCACAGGGTGCAATTTTTCAACAAAAGTGACCGTGGAATTTGGCATCAGCGGCCAGTCAAGTAAATATTTGCATTTCCAGGGTACGTATGTTGTTGGCCTCAATTGCCGCTGAGCTTTTGTTTACAACTGTTTTACATGGTCGTAGGAGCTACTCAGCAGCTCAAGACTTCAAGCCCGTATATATACAATTATCGACGAACTTTGTGTTTCACAACTTTGGTTCTTCTGTGGAGTTCAGGAGTTGCTGTTGCTACAGCGGGACCGGTAAGTATCATTGGATGGAGAAGCCAAGGTCCTCAAGGTAGGGCATCTGCTTCCATGGAACGATTAACAGAATCTTCCAACTCACTTGAACGCTTTTCCTCCTCGATTCCATCAACCGGTAAGCTTTGCATCTGAGAGTCGAACTGGCCTCTTCCAGTTGCCCACAAAGCGAACCGAATAATGAGGTACTCATAGCCTAGGGCAGACGATATGATTGCCACAACTTCAAACACATCCCACTTCAGTTTTGGAGCCACGAGAACATCGTGAAGTACAGCCATACGCCACTTATACGTAATTGACAAGAAGTCATGTACCAAAAAGCTCGTCGTACATGTAAGTACGAAACAAAAGGAAGCATCTATGCCATGGTTTAAAAAAAGACGATCTCCCTTTCGTTTGCTTTCCATTGCTAATACCACTGCCAGCAGTATGTGGGAGCTTTGATATAAGCTCACCACAAATGTCCATCCCCGTCTGATGAAGAGATCATCGAGAAGAACAGGACCTGGTTCCGTTTCAGGCAGCACAAAGTAGCAGTAGAGGACCGTGAGTCCAACACAAAGGCCTGCCAGCGATAGAGGCAGAGACCTGTTGCTTTTTTGTGTTTGTGGCATGAAGAAACAAGTAGTTGTCAGAAGTTGCACTTTGTCAACGCACGATCGAAGAATGGCATCTGGTTGCGAGCATATGCCACGACGGGACCTGCCTATTTCGCTTTGTTTGATGGGGGTTTATTGCAAATCGGTAGGTCGAGATTTAGGCCGTCCATTGACTTGAACCGGGCGTTATTGAGGATAATTGAAGTTTAGTCTCTTCCACACATTTCCGGTGTATGCCATGCGGCCACAGTTCACCACAATCCATCAAAAGCAACAATTTCCAGAGCAACAAATCACCAAAGCGCCAAATCACCCAGAAAACAAAACCACCTTTATCTCCAGATAAACCCGAAAAATGCCTTTTTCAGTGGCTAAATCCTCCCCTCCATAGTCGAGATGCGCATGATAAGTCCGGGGTATTTTCAGCCGCAGAATCCAGCAGCTCCGTAGTCCACAGAAACTACACACATACAAAATATACTCGTGGTGCCACTATATCAGAAAAACTACAAAAAGCCCAATTTATCCCTCCGCTAGCGTGCCCTGCAAAACGGCCAAATATCCGTAAAATGTGGAAATTCCTAAGCTCTGCCTCGCTAATTCATTCCTCATCTTGCGCCCTAATCAAACCTTCCCTTACATCACTGCACCGATCACGCCAAACAGACCCCTCCTCAATGGGCAGTTCCGCATCCAAAGCACCCCCGCATGCCCCTCCACACTATAAGAAGAGCAGGGTCCCCGGGGAAAACGAGAAGTTAAAAAAATTGCACCGCCTCCGATGCTCCTCTCGTCTATACGCTTTTCGGCCCGCACTGGGCCCGTTTGCAGCCATTCCTTCGTTCGCTTCAAGACCTCCATTCCTTGGTCCCAGAAAGCCGTTGTATACGAAACACACGGTGGACCGTTGCTCTACAGAGACGTGCCGGTTCCAAAACCCAAACCCAACGAGTTGCTTGTGAACGTCAAGTACTCGGGTGTGTGCCACTCGGACTTGCACCTCTACAAGGGCGAGTGGCCGCTCAATGTGAAATTGCCCTTGATAGGAGGCCACGAAGGCGCCGGAGAGGTGGTGGCTATGGGAGAGGCGGTCAAGGGGTGGAAGATTGGCGACTTGGCTGGTGTCAAGTGGCTCAATTCCTCCTGCCAGCTGTGTGAATTCTGTGTTTCTGGCCACGAGCCAGTGTGTCCTTCTCAGGTCATTTCAGGATGCCACCAGGACGGCACCTTCCAGCAGTACACCGTGGCTGACGCTATCCAGGCTGCCAAGATCCCTCAAGGCACGGATTTGGCGGAGGTGGCTCCCATTCTCTGTGCTGGACTCACAGCATACAAGGCACTCAAGAGAACCGAGGCCAGACCAGGCAATTGGATCGCTGTCGTGGGTGCTGGCGGTGGTTTGGGCAGTTTGGCTGTTCAGTACGCTAAGGCCATGGGTTTCATGGTGTTGGGCATTGACGGCGGCAAGGACAAGACTCAATGGGCCAAGTCGTTGGGTGCACATGAAGTGGTGGATTTCACCATGGTACCCGATTTGCCCAAAACAGTCGTTGGCATCACTGGAGGCGGCGCTCATGGCGTGGTAAATGTTTCTGCGTCACTGGCAGCTCTTCAGCAGTCGTTCTTTTACGTGAGACCTACGGGAACTGTGGTTTTGGTGGGTATCCCCGGAAAATCCACCGTCGAATTACCTGTGCTTCCCACCGTTGGCAGAAATTTGAAGATTGTCGGGTCCTTGGTGGGAAACAGGAAGGACACACAAGAGGCAGTTGAGTTTTTCACCAGAGGGTTGGTGCAACTGCCTGTCAAGGTGGCTGGCTTGAGCGAGTTGCCTAGGATTTTCGAGGAAATGGAGAAGGGGATTATCATGGGCAGGTATTCTGTCGATACGTCGAGATAAGGACTCGACGAGGTGTTAGGCGTTAGTGGAGGATTTACGAATAAACGAGATACGAGACATTGCGTAGTGCTACATCCGAAGACGTGAATAATAATTAAACATGTTATATCAGTACAAATGAAATCAGTCCATCGTAACTTTTGGCAATGCATCGGACATGGCAATGGCTGATTCGGTAGAAAAATAGCAAAGCGTCATAGTGCTTACTGTATGAGCTCCTTGTTCTTTTGGAGCAACTTCAAGGCCTCGTCCTCCGCAACCTCAAGGTATCTTGGGTTGCCCTTGTTTCTCTCAAACTCCTCGTCAGAAACCTCCTCGTACACAGAGTACAACTCGGTCGAGCCAGAAGAAACGTCAGCTCCACTGTCCTGGTTAAGGAGACCCTTGCTGTTCTGCTGGGAAGCAGCCTCTTCAGTGACTGCACCGCCAGAGGCACCACCGGTCAAGGCCTTGCTGGACTCACCGGCTTCGTTTTCCTTGTTACCACCAAAGAGCGTCTTGAGTCTTCTCTTGGTCGAGCCCAGCTTCTTTACCTTAGGTCTAGAAGCATCCTCTGCATCCTTGGAGGTGGATGCCTCCTTAGAGCCACCGAGGTTAGGAGCAGAGCTGCCAAAAGTCTTGTCGTCAGACTTGGAGCTAGAACCAACAGCAGCGCCAGCAGCACCACCGCCAAGAGCGCCCAAGGCACCTCCAGCAAGAAGGCCACCCTTACTCTTCTTCTCCTTCTCGGGCTTCTCCTCCTCATTGGATGGAAGAGGCTGACCGCTTGTGGAGACTTCCTTGTTCTGAGGAACAATGGCGGAGTTCACGCCCGAGTCGTGCTTGGGAGTGGCATTCTCAGAAGTGACAGCAGCTTTGGAACCAGCGGCCTTGCTACCGTCAGCAGTGGCCTGACCAGCAGCACTACCGCTAGCAGCTGCGGCCGCGGCGGCACTAGCGTTGGCGTTGCTCTGCTCTTCCTGGGCTCTCTTTCTCTCTTCCTCGAGCTTCTCCCTCTCTTCGTTGAGAAGACGCTGCTCTTCTTCCTGCTTCTCCTGCTGAATTCTTTTCTCCTCGTCAGCCTTCTTCTTCTCCTCCTCCAAGCGGATTCTCTCTTCCTCGAGCTCCTTCTTGTATCTCTCGGTCGCGGCAGCCTCCTTGGCCTCCAAACGCTGTTGCTCGTGCTCTCTGTGCGTTTTTTCAGCCATGGCCCTCTTCTCCTGCTCCCACTTGGCGGTCTCCTGCTTGGCGTCTCCGAGTCTCTTGGTTCTGGACTTCTTGTCGTCCTTCAACTCGTTCAACTTCAGGATGTGGGCAGCAAGAACACCGCCCAAGACGCCGAGCTCACCAGCCAAGGTGGCATGTCTGGCTCTCTTGTCGTCGAGCTCCTTGTTGCTGTCCTCGATCTTCTTGTTCAAGTCAGCTCTGGTGCCGTCATGCTGGGAAATAATGGCAAGCTGACCAGTGTGCTTTTCCTTCAAGTCGTCCAAAGCGCTGGAACGCTCGTTCAACTTCTCGGTCAACTCCTCGAGCTTCTTGGCCAATTCGGGGTTCTTCTCCTCCAACTCGGCCTTCTTCTCCTTCAATTCCTCAATCTCGGTGGCTGTAGTCTCCTGGTTCGTCTTGGACTCCTCCAACTCCTGCTTCTTGGTCTCGGTCAATTCCTCATGGTTCTTGATCAAAGTCTCCTTGTCGGTCTCGTGCTGCTCAACAGCCTTCTCCTCACGCTCCTGGAAGTCGGTCTTTGCGGTTTCGATTTCCTCGTGGGTCTGCTTTTCGAAACGCTCGGCTTCAGTGTGAGCAGCCTGGATCTGGTTCTCCAAACCTTGGAGCTTCTGCTCAATCTGCGAGTCGAAAGTGGCTCTCGTTTTGGCCACCTTCTCCTGATGCTTGCTGAAGTCCTTGTCGAGCTTGCCCTGGTGCTTGGAAACCTTGCTGTCGTACTCCTTCTGTTTAGTGATGTCGTCCTCCTTCTTGGACTTGTTCACCTCCTCGTTGATGGTGGCAATGACGGGAGCAACACGCTTAGAGGCAATTTCCAACAATTGGGCCTGTGTCAAACGCAAACCACTGCCCAATTCGACAACCTTGTTAGGGTCGTCCAAGCTCTTGGCCACAGAGCCAATGGCATCAGCGTTCAACTGCTGGTACTTGTTCAACAACACAGGCTTGTCCTTCAACCTGTCCAAAACCTCCTGGTTGGGCAACTCGACAGACTCGTACTTGGCTCCGTTGGGAACGTCAACCTCAACTGGGTTCTCCTTGACCTTCTCGACAATGTCGTCGTCACCTTCAGTGGTACCTTCAGCGAGGTCCTCGGCCATGAGCTCCTTGACAGCAGAGTGCTCATTGTCGGCAGCTTCCTCGCTTTCCTTGGCTTCCTCGCTGTGCTTAGCAGCAACGTCCTTGCTAGTGGCCTCCTTGTTGGAGCTTTCGGGAGCAAGAGGCTCGATTTTGGCATCTGCCACAGCAGCCTCAGGAGCGGCACCGACGGTCTCCTTTTCGGTCTTTTCGGTTTCCTCCTCGGCAGCCTTCTCCTCGGTTTCTGGCTCAGCCTCGGTGGCCTTCTTGAAAGTCTCTGGAACCAATGGCTCAATCTTGGACTCATCAACCACAGCGGTGTCTTCCTCTGCGGCAGCATGGATCTCTTCACTAAGGTCATTGGCTAATTCCTCCTTCTCGGCGTCCTCGAGGTCAACAGCGCCATCGGCCTCATCTTCGGCCTCCTTGGATGCCAGTTCCTCCTTCTCTTTCTTCTCTTCGGCCTCCTTGGCCTTCTTCTCCTTCTTCAATCTCTCCTTCTCCTTCTTCTCGGCAAGCTCCTTCTCTCTCTTCTGGGCATCCAAGGTCGGGTGCAGGGCGAACTTCTTGGGCACCTTGACCTGGGAAACGGAGTTCAGGTCCTTGAATTCCTGGTAGACGTTTTTCTTACTGGCTGAGCTCCTGAAGGGGGATGACCAGGAGGAAGCGGAAGTTAATTTCTTCAACATGGAGGGCTGCGGTTTACCGCCGATGACGTATTCCTCGCTCTGCTTCAGTTCCACTTCTGACATGGCAATTGTGTTTGAGGAGGAAGAATTGATGGTGGTTTGGGGCAGCAAGTGGTGAAGAAAATTGGGGGTATGTCCCACCGGCCGGAAGTGGCGTGCACGTGACCCGCGCTAACAAAAGCTCACCATTTCCGAGGGCAAAGTCGGGCAATGACGCTATGGTGCGGGTCGGTGATTGCTGGTATGCAACCCAGTCACTTCTCTTTCTATGTTTTCTTCCGCCCATTATGGAAACCGCAATGCGCCGTCTCTTCCACAGCACCCACTGTGCAGGATGGAACATTTTCTGCTGCACTGTTCCGTGGCCCTCCAACCAGGGACATCCAATTTTTGAAATTTGAGTTTTGGAATATGAGAGTTAAAGGAGGAGGGTTGGAAATTTCAAAAAATAATGGAAAAAATTGACGCCAAGGCGGTCGAGCCGTACATGCTCAACAGGTTATCTGCTATCGGTGCGACGCACTCGTGGCTAAGGCCCACTTTGGCGTAATAAGTCACTTACATGGGTTGTTTATTTTTACGTTTTCTTCGAACCTTTTTTGCCCTTTTACCAACTCAAGTAGCGTTTCTCAAAAATAGACTTCCGGTACTCGACAGATAAACTCCAGGCTGAGGCGCATCCATTGTGTTTACCGAGGGAAGCCTTCTGGAATGTATTACGTAATGAGGCGGAAACGATGAATTCAAACGCTGATTCAGCGACACAATACAGCTCAAATCACATGAATTCAAGTAGTTACAAAAAACGGTCATTTCAAAAAATGCAAATGCAATCCTATGCTGGTCCAGGTCGAGGATCATGCAAGAGGCCCGCATTAAACCGGTCGCTGTAGCTGTCAAAGCCACGCTCGTGTTCCATCCAGCACCTGAGAAGAATGTCGATTGAGCTGGACAATAACAATGAGAAAGCGTTCATCGAAAAAAGTGGACGAGTCCGGATTCGAACCGGAGACCTTTCGCATGCTAAGCGAACGCGCTACCAACTACGCCACACGCCCTTGAAGAAATGGTCCCTAGCAGGATCGAACTGCTGATCTTGGCGTTATTAGCACCACGCCTTAACCAACTGGGCCAAGGGACCATTTGTGGTAATGTGAGAACGGAGGTGTTGTATGTCGCGCATTTGGTTGGTGATAGCAAAATCGCGAAACTTTCATAATTTGATGAGCTTCTTATATTTAGTTTTTCCGGAGAAGTTTGCTGACTGAATTTGAGACCCGGAGTGACCATATTGACAGAGATATCGGTATTTAAGGAATCTGGGTGTTTGAGTGCCACTTTCCATTATATCTGTTGTCATCGTACGCTTTGACATCCAGAGATGGATACTGATTGTTCGACAGGGTCATGGAACTCGTAATCACCCATTCTAAGCTGTTTCCAGGGACGTTTGTACGTTGTGGCTTCGACATTTCCTTTGACTCAGCGTAAGGAGCACAACTCGGTCTGGATCACAAATGACACATATCAAAAGAATTTAACTTTAACTTGGACGGAGACGTCAAGTGAAGGTAGATCTACTACTAATTGACACTGAGGTCAGTCTCTGTGGCCTAGAATGTCTCGACACACTGTTAACCCCCATGCTTTCTTTACCAAGGATGCCAGCGTTCGGAATTGAAAAATGTCGATATCATACTACCTTCACCCATTGTCATTATTCCAACTCGCCAATTTCGATCACCAGTCGGCAGCCATCCGGAATACACCTCATCAATGATATGAAATAACGCAGAGACATTACGGTAATGCATCATTCATAAATTCAATGCCGCAATTGCAGGATCTCGATTCAATTGGCTTCCTTCATTACCGCTAAAAAGCCGTTTCGGGAGCCATCCGTAAATGTACCACCCCAGACAATACCCCAAACGCACCCGGAGACTACCGGGTTCTCGGACTTAACGCCGAGCTTCACCCTCAAACACCCACAATAAGACAATAGTTCCGAAATTCTTCGCCAGAGTCACAAAACCGCCAAAAATCCAACCCTTGCTTTCTGGGCCCCTGAGGCTAATCATGAGACGGTTGATTGGCGCTATTCTATGCAAAATAGCCAGCCCTCTACTGGCTGCGAAATGCCCCTTGTATGTTCCCCACAGAGCACGTTTTCGGGACACTGAACAGATTCATCTGATTCTTCAGCATTAACTGAAGGAAAATATAATCGAATCCTCTTCTTTTCCTCTTTCCCTTCACATATCCATCACTCAGACCTTGACCCCGGCAGATCTTCTGTGCGCACTGATAGCCGAAGTAAAAAAAGAAGTACATCTCAGACATTTCGGTGAACTAGCTCCTGGGCTACCATTTGTTTAAAAACATACCACTCCATCATTTGCTAGCATAGCACACCAATCCGCCAATCCTGAACGCTAATTGCCATTTTCTGACCAACCTGTTCATGGAATGACGACCTTTCTACCCACTTCCAGTGCCTGCCACTCGTTGCAGCTACCACCGACAGAGAAAGATGACAGACTCAACTTGAACGTGCGGACAGGTTCCGCTCTGATTCTTCACAATTCTTTGGTCTTTACTTTTGGAGGTCTCACGGTGGGGCTAGATTTGGCCGACAAGATTGATGCAAAGCATATCCTGAACACCTTCCTACTGAAACTTGGACCCAACAAGCTGAAAAAGATCCGCAAGTACCTTTCAGGAGAGCTTTTCTACTTGGATTTGCTTTCGAAGACATGGCTGCGCGTGCTGCTTCCCGAACAGTCGCTTAGACCGAAACCTCGTCTATTTCACGAAATGGCCAAGGGGAACAACTGCATTTATATTTTTGGGGGTCTAGTATTTCCCGATGATGGTGACGAGCTGACCGACGAAATGGCCAGTCGCTTGGTGCCTTGTAACGATCTCTGGCAGTTCGACTTGCGTTCCAAGTCCTGGTCTAGGCTCCATGATGGGCTTGAAGTCTCGGTAGGCGTACCTCTGCCTCGTTACTGTCACAAGATGACGCTAATAAATACGCTTCATTTTGCGAGAAAAAAGGATCACTGCGGTTTGATTATCGCCGGTGGACAGGGCGCAGACTCACGGCCTTTGTATGACAATTTCGCTTACGACCTTGTGGAGAAGAAGTATGTGGATGCTGGCAATCCACTCTTTTTCAGTGCATCGTCTGGAGACAAACAAAAAGATAAGGATAGTGGGCTACTGCAGTTCGACTCTGTTAGCAAAGACAAGAACGTCAATGTGAATTACCTAAACAGTGTCATTGTCAATTTCTCTGAGGAGGTTGAACACCACCATCATCACCTTCATCGTCATACACACGGCCATAGCGAGCGAAGAGAATCTGAAAATCACGGCCCCATCGTCCAAGACATATCAACCGCGGAGGAAGAATCCATCATCCTATACTCCCCAACGACAGATTTGCTGGACAATCCAGACGTCAACCCTTTACTTTCCTTTAGGATCGGCAAGCGTATCTGTCGGGGTAAGGTGATGCCACTTCACAATCAACGGAACAACGAATCCTCCTTCAGTGAGCAAAAAGCTAACATACTACGCCGAACCGTCCCTCATAATCTCAGCTTCCCCACAGGAGGTCTTTTTGGCCAAAATCTTGTCATTGTTGGTTTCTTGCCTAATGATCTTGATATCTCGATCTTCATCTACAACAAGCCCACAGGCAAGTGGTCTCGTCTCAACATATTCTGTCACCACGACTACGGCTCCCACAGGTTTTGGGGTGGCTTTGCATGGACTTCTCATCACAAGGTTGTGCTTCTAGGTAATTACGTGACATCCAGGACGACCAGTAGCGTTCGCTACTTTTCATCCATGATCACGGTCAGCTTGCCTGTCACCAACATACTTGCATCTTTCGAGATGGCGGGTAGTCATTTCCATGGTCCAGATGGTAAGAAGTATCTCACCATGGAAACAAGCTCAGCCGAAGATTTTGCCTCTGCGAGCTCTTCAGCCGAAGATACGTCATCACTAAGCGAGCTTGAAGATGATGATATTCCCGACTTCAATCCAGCCAGAAAGTTCTCGACGATGTCGTCCAAGAGTGACAGCAAGGCACCTGTTAATAACAGAAGTTTCAACGAGTACGTCCACTATGCTGCACCCAAGGTGAATTACACTAAAATCAGATCCGTTTTCCCACCTGCTGCGATCACGCTAGGCAGAAGTGCCTTTGATAGGTATGGTGACATGATGTCTGATTTGGAGTTGATTTCCATTAGCGGCGATAGAATCCCAATCTCCATGACTGTCTTGAGAGAAAGATGGGGCAAGTACTTTATCGATCTTCTTGCCAAAGCATACGTTGGTGCTGTTGACAAATTTGAGTTCGACCAATTGCAAAGCGAAACCTCACAAAAACTAAGAGCTTCCAGAAGCAGTGGCGGAAGTCTGGAATCCAGGAGTACTAGACACGGTGCATCTAGTGATGATATCTCAAGTAATGAACCACTTGCTGACAGACCAGAAAAAACGTTTCATGTATCTATTCCATCGGTGAAGCCATCACAAAAGGAACCCCCACAGTTCAGACTTCCGTTCCAGGAAGCTTCCTCGACAACTTCTTTAGGGTCAAAGGATACAGGGTCAATTGATCCACACAAAAAGGTTGCAGAGCGCAAGGCGTCTGTCTCTTCCTATTCATCGACAAACTCACTCCTTGCCTCGCAGTTGCAAGATATTCCTCCCCAATTGCCAATGCCCAATGAACCATTGCCTGCTGTTCCTGCTACACCCACAACATTTAAGCCTGGATCGAGAAAGAATTCAACTGATGCGACTTCCCCTCGTGCCTCGCTTCTTCATACTTTAACAGTCTTGAGAAATATACCATCCCATGGTGGTAAGTCGCCAAGAGCTTCTCCATTTGCGTCCCCTCGAGGTTCGGTGTCTGCCTCCCTGGATCAGCAAAATACAGAAATTTCTGTTCCAACCATGAGCAAGACAACTTCTCTCAATAAGGTTCAAGATGATACCTTGAGAATGCCAAGCGACACTATTGACTTTGCATCGGAAAGACGTGCGTCCTCTTCCACGAGAGCATCGTCGAATTCAGACTCGCTGATGAAAAAGAATTCTCTGGCAACTCTCACAGCTGAAACACCAGCAACTGCCAGAAGTGTGCATGAAGAGACGTTTGAAGACGAAGATACCGAGGGACATCATCACCATGCCTTGTTGGACTTTGACAACAATGATGCCGAGTCATTCAAGATGGAGCCCTCTTTGATCCCAAGAAAGCTCTACATTCCATTTTGTACGAGCTCGCTTAAGGCTTTTGCTGAGTATATGTATACTGGGCAGGTTGGCAACAAGTGGACATTGAGACCTTGCCTTCTTGATTGTATGCTTATCGCCAGATATTTCAAAGTGCCTTTGCTTTACGATTTAATCAGTGAAGTGTTGTACGGCATCATTGGAAGAAAAGAAGCTCACATTATCAAAGAAGGAAAACGTCTCAAGAAGAAGTACTTTGAATGCTTCCAAGATCTCGGAAGACATGTTGACCTGAACCTCAAACTTCCAATTGATGAGTACGAGGGTTTCATGGACACTGTTGATGACGGATATTTGGATATTGCATTGTTGAGAAAGTCTTCCAGTCTTCACAAAGCTAGTGTCTCGAGTCAAGGTAGCAAAAAGCGGAACACATCGACACAAGCAAGCATTCCAGAGGAGAAGACTAATTTCAACGATGGGGATTACTTCCAATCGAGAAGTAGACGTTTGGGATCTGAAGAGCCAAAGTCGCCAAAGTCAGGCCAACTTGAGCCTTCAGAGCTGACACCAGTCGAAGACTCCAAGTCTGAAGGAGATGAGGACGAAGATATCTATCAGAGTGATATCCACTTCCTTGATTTCAGCGATGACAGGAACTTTGGCGTAAACCCTAGGTCTAAGTCTGTCTTTGATCGTCTGGCCTACGACTCGGTTACGTATTTGACAACCGAGGGCGACGACGAAGAGAAGGAAAAATCGCTTCTGACAACCTTGGAGGTGCTTGTTTCGCCTGATTCACCACCACCGAGTGACTACGTGATTGACCTTATTCACGGTATAGCCTCTGTGTGCACCGATGTCAAGCTCATGTTGCGTGCTCTCAATGTGAAACATATGTCAAAGGCATTGAAGCAGACAGAGCAGGACTACGAGAAGCTTGCACGTTTAGCACGCCAAGCACAGACCTCCGAGGATGACACCCAGCTGCAATTGACTGTATCTCAGCCAGGTTCTGGAAGACCCTCCGTTGCCACATTGAGACCTGCTTCGGGTTCCGGTAATGTAACACCATTTAAGCGTACGCCTACAGCCGAGTTAAGTGAACTGGGTCCTTCCAACGCCCAGCCACAAACCATGAGGTCATCCACCTCTCTCAATACGACGACTTCTGCGTTCAAGTTTACGCCGCTCAAGTCCAGTACAACGGGTGGAAGGACAAACTCAAAGAGTCTGCTTGAGGACAACAAGGACTTGGACAAGCGTATTGCGCAGATCATCAGGCAAGAAGAGAAGACTAAGCAAAAAGCCGCTAAGGAAGAGAAACAGAGAGCTGTCAAAGAAGAAAAACGTGCCGCCAAGGAAGCCAAGCGTGTCGAGAGGGAGAAGGTCGAGAAAAAGGAGCGAGAGCTGTTATCGCAGGTGACGCTGAAGCATGCGGCTACACCGCTTGAGAGGAACAGCACCGAGCCGCAGAATTTCTACTCGTCCAGAACCCGTGACGACGATGCTGCATCTCAGTACTCCAAGCCATCGATTGCCTCGACCTCCAAGGAAAAGAAGGGTGGCTTCATGCTGCGTATTGGACACAAATTCAGACATCCTGAGCCGCCCAAACAGGCTGATTCCAATGACAGCGATGTGAGAAGCATTTCCACCACCCGATCGTCCAGCAGCCAAACTTCCGGCAGCAGCAAGAAGTCGAGTCGTCGGACAGGTTTTTTCGGACTACGCAAGAGAAACTAACCGTCATATAGCAAATGCTGCAACTACACACCATGTAGGTGACGCGATGGTTGATGCTGCACAAAAAGAAGGTTGCCTCACTAAAGCGGTGACATTTGCCTCCAGAACAAGGAGATCCATTGTTGAGCGTTTTGTGCAAACTGTGACATCCCGAGGTCAATCCATATCACAAAAAATCGTGGATTATTCTTCTCGAGGCATCCTCGATGAGAGACCAGACTTGATCAAGAAGCCTCTTCTGAGCCACAAACGCTAGTCTAAAAATCCATACTGTGGTTGCGCCGCACCTAAATCTAGCGCAATTTGCAACCACCGCAAGTCACCACAGCAACAGCAACTGGACCACCACGGAGCTCCGCTCATAACCTGTTTTACAAAGCGGTATAAATTGATCCCGGATTCGAGAAAGTTTTCGGACTAACCAAAAATTATGGCCCCATCTCTCGACAAAACTTCCTTCCCATTGAACGACGGCACCAAGATCCCAGCTATTGCCTTGGGTACTTGGAGAACCGAGAACAAGGACGCTATCAATGCCGTCAAGATTGCTTTGCAGAACGGCTACAAGCACATTGACACTGCCTCCATCTACGGTAACGAAGAAGGCGTTGGCCAAGGTATCAAGGAGTCTGGTGTTAAGAGAGAGAACATCTACCTCACCACCAAGTTGTGGAATACCGAACATGTCAACCCAGAGGCTGCCTTGGACAAGTCCTTGGAGAGGTTGGGCACTGACTACGTTGACTTGTACTTGATCCACTGGCCTGTCAGCATTGAAGAGGAGAGAGCTGCCAAGGCCGAGGACTACGACTTTATCCAGACCTACAAGGCCTTGCAGCCATTGGTCAAGACCGGCAAGGTCAGATCCATTGGTATTTCCAACTTCACCAAGGAGAGAGTCCAGAAGTTGTTGGCTGACAAGGATGTCACCGTCAAGCCAGTCGTTAACCAGATCGAGGCTCACCCATTGTTGGTCCAGCCTGAATTGACCGACTACTTGGCTTCTGAGAACATTTTGGTCGAGGCCTACTCGCCATTGGGTTCCGATGGCTCTCCTGTGCTCAACAACCCAGTTGTGAACGAGCTTGCTAGGAAGTACGGTGCCACCTCTGCTCAGATTCTTGTCTCCTGGGGTGTGCAGAGAAAGACTGTGGTTTTGCCAAAGTCTGTGCACGATCAAAGAATCATCGACAACCACAAGACCGTTGAGTTCTCCAAGGAAGACTTTGAGAAGTTGACCAACTTGAGCGGCAAGTACGGTGTCCACAGAACCAACAATGTTCCATGGAATGTTTTTAACTAGAATGATTAAAGTTACGACCTAGACCAATGAAGTGAAAGATTGAATTGGAACTGTAGATTTTCTTGCTAGAACGAAGTATAGAACGATGTTCTTGAGAGAGATGCTTCAGTAAAGGTTGATGAAGAAAGAATGAAGAATAGCAGTCCATTTTCGTCTCTCAATAAATTTTCACTTCACAAAATAGACTTTGTTCTTTGCGCAAGGAATTGGGTTTAGTGCAGAATTCGAGTAAACACAAGTCAAGACTACTCAAATGCAAAACTCCGCAGTGCTCATACCATTACTAAGTTCAACGTACGACCTTCGTTTGCCCAATGATATTAGACACCGCAAGATGTGTAAGAACCCGTGATTTTCTTTATTTACTGAGTTTACAGAACTTCCCACACTTCAAGTGCCGCTTTAGTTCTCAATCGGAGCCTGGAATAATTGCGGGGCATTCTTGAGTCTTTCCGGCCGAAGCTGCAGGTGGTGCGTTTTTACGAGCCATGAATATCACGATTATTCTTGTCCTTTTCGCCAACGAATACTACTTCTTTTTTTCCCCCATTCCTTGAAATGCCGCAGAATAATACCGAAGTTAACAAAGAGCTCGTCGAGTGGGCCTATGCCAACCTCCTGAACTTGCCCAGAGGCGAGCAGTACGAAAGGATGATTCTGGGTGTTACCTACGATTGCATGAACAAAGAGCTCTGGATGGCTAGAAACCTCAGCACGGAAATGGCACTTGATTACGCCAACATCCGCATGAAAGATTACGACTACGATCTCGAAAAATACTACGCTGCTCGTTATGAATACTTGGGAAAGCTCTTTGGAAAGGTCGAGCCTGATCTTGTCCTAGAGGCACCTTTCTACGTGGACTACGGCTGCAATACCAAGTTCGGCAAGAAGAACTACTTCAACTTCAACATTACCCTCTTGGATTGCACCCTCATTACTTTTGGCGATAACGTGATGACAGGCCCTAACGTGACTTTCACCACGGCTACCCATCCCACTGACCCCACATTGAGAAAAAAGGGCGACGAGTATGCGTTCCCCATTACAGTTGGAAGCAACGTGTGGTTTGGAAGCAACATTGTGGTCTTGCCTGGCGTGACCATTGGTGATGGTTCTGTCATTGGAGCTGGTAGTGTGGTAACGAAGGATGTTCCTGCCAACACTGTGGTGGTGGGCAACCCTGCCAGGGTGATCAAGAAGTTGACGCCCGAGGACAACATCGAGGAGCTCAAGGACGAGTTGAAGTAGGAGCTGCATTCGTGTGTCATTGTATAGAAAGCATCTGCATCAACAGTTAGGCATTGTAGTGAAGAGGATGGTGAATTACCGTAGCTGATCGAAGCGGAGGTTCCAGAAGCCTCAATTGGCAAATGTATGATGCCATTGAGGTTGCCATTATTGTTTAGTGGACGATCCATTTAGTATTGGTTTGACTATGGTACGATGGGCTCTACGATCAGGCACTGTTATGTTTGAGGTGTCATACTTTAGTGGTTGTAGAATAACAAATACTCGGACATAACTCAATCAATGACCTCAAGACGACATTCCAGGGTTTCGATGATTATATTCTATCTGCCATGTACCATGTTCTTGTGATACACCTTCCTACAGTGCACCACAGCAGAACCACCGATAATCACCACAAACCTAAACGCTCTGGATCAAATCTAAACAAATACTTCTTTAAGAAACTCGCCAACCTTCCCAATGAACCCTCTTCATGTTTTGCAATTCACCTTGTGCAACACCACCGCCTTCCAGGCTGACCCGAACCTGCATTCTCCAACCTCACTACTACACCTTTCTTTATTCACCACAACATGTCCAATTACCAAAGCGGCCCAGACCCGCTGGACTTTATTATTCCAGATGAAGCTGCACCCCAGCCTGCTCCTTCACAACCTGCCAGCTCCGGGTTCTCCTGGGCACCAAAAGTTGACCTTTCCTCGGCCTTCAGTCCGTTTATAAAATCACCCCAGTTCCAACAAAACAACACAATCCGTGAACGTCAGTACTCCGGTGGCGACACTTTGGACGAACCCGTGTGGCACACTTTGAAACGTGACTTGCTCCAGATCGGCCGCCGTTTGGCTGTTGTTGTCTGGCCTGCTCAGCTTAAACAATTGGCATACAAGAACCAGCAGAACTTGCTTAATTTTGCCCTGAACAACGGCGTTAGACTTCCTTCACTGCTTTCACATGCTACGCTGGTTCCAGAGGACGATGAAGACTCTCAGGGCCTGGACGACGTGGCCGTTCTAGACTGGGACTTGTGGGACCCTTGACATTTTCATTGGCCTACTCAGTCACCATGGGCCTTTTGGCGCCAAAACTGCAGACCAACGTTGTTTTCTCGGGAACATTTTCTTTTACGTGGCTCTTCTACTTGGTTGTGGGCTTGAACATCCAGCTTTTGGGCGGCACGATCTCCTTTTTGTCGGCAATCTCAGCTACAGGGTACAGCATGTTCCCATTGGTAGTTGGAGCACTCGTCAATGGTCTCCTTATCAAGTGGCGCTTGATCCGTTTGATCATTATGTTCATTCTTAACGCCTGGAGCGTGTATGCTGCCCAGATGAGCCTACGGTGCCTGGGAGTGCTTCCTGGAAGAGTCTTTTTGGCAATCTACCCGGTGGCCTTGATGTATGCTGTTCTTAGTTGGCTTGTTGTTATTACATAGTCTATGAAAGTAACAGGATGAATGCTAGAACCACGAGACAGCTGATGTGCGGGAGGCTGGAGGCCAGATTATGCTGCTCGGGTTGAGATGTGTTGTTGCGAGCTCCAGAGCTCGAAGAGGCCACTGCCACCAGGGATGCCTTGGAAGTTGTGCTACTCAGAGTAGCCGACAGGCTCTTGGTCAGACTCAGGCTTTTGGTCAGACTCAGACTCAGACTCAGACTCAGACTTGACTTCGAAGCTGCTTCCACCAGGTAGCCTTCTACCCTTGGGGCGAGGCCCACACGGCTGTGCTCGAGATCAAAAATCGTATAGAACTCACTGAGGAAACTGGCGCCGAGAATCCAGTTGTCCAAGTCCATGCCTTGCACTTTCGATGCACAGTACCCTTGGAGAACCGTCAGCTCGTATGCCAGAGCCTTGATGTTGCCCACAGGGAGGCTGAAGCTGTGGTTGTCAATGACGAAAGATACATTGCCTGTGGCATTGCACCTGAATGCAAAGTTTCCCTCTGAATCACCAATGTAGTCTGAGCCGAAGATGGCCTCATGGAAAGCGGTGGCGTCTTTCATGGGGAGAGCCATGCCCGTAGTGCCCGTGTCGATGATGGCACTTCTGCAGCCGTTGATGACGCTTTTCTTGTTGGAATGCACTTTGGTGATGTTCAACATCCAGAACAGCTGGTCGTTGGTGAGCACGTCACAGTATTTGATATCGGAAGTTGCCAATTCCGTAGAGTATTTTGTGGCGTCCTTGCCTGCGATAAACAAGCCGCCTAGCGTTGCGTTGGACATTGCTCCATCAAGCACAATGGCGAATTGCATGGCGTCAATGTCGCCAGAGTAGTAGAGCTGGTGAAGCATGTTGGATTTCTCCAGATCGTCGTAGCGGGCCTGGACGCCGAGAATGCCGCTTAGACTGAAATTTTCAAAAAAATCAGGCGCCGTCAGTGCCAATCCGAAGGAGTAGTTGGTGAGTTTGAGCAGGTCACCTAGAACGAACTCGAGGTCGTTTTCAGCCGCATTGACCATCTCGCCGTTGACGTGGCTGCCCGAGTATGAAAGGGAAAATGACTTTGAGGTTTTGACGGGATCGGAGTATTTGACACCGTTGGAACAGGCGCTGCTGGTACACGATTCGTTCATGATCCACGAAATGCCGCTGCCAGTGTCCAAAAGAAGCGGAAACTTGCTCTTCCCCTTTTCGCCGCCGATTTGCAGATCTAGATAGTAAATGGACCTGGCCTTGTCGGTCTTCAACGGAAGCACCGTATCGCTAAACTGAATGGAAGCCTTCAGCGACTGCTGGATCTCCTGGACCTTGTGGATCTCCACAAGAGGCTGGGCGTGCCTGCCTGTCAGGGAGACCGCCTTGTCCATGCCTGGAACACGGAAATCGGCCACTGGAGCGAGAGCTAGCGCTGTGGGGAGAAGTGTCCAGAGAAGCATGGTGGTGAAGGTAAGGTGAAAAATGAGATCAAGACGGGACACGCCAGATCGCGGTTGGGAAGTGAACTGGAACGAAAGGAAGGGAAAAATGCCGAAGAAACGGGGGAAAGTGAAGAATCCGCTGGGTCTTATAAAAAAAAAAAAGAATGTACTACAAAACTTGGTCGCCGTATATGGCGTGGTTGAGGGGCTGGGTCTCTGGCTGCGAGTCAATGGCGCATTGTGTTTGTTTTTGTCTCGCGTAGCGAGGCGGTGGAGCCGCATTCAACGTTCTGCGAGAGGGCCAGGCGTTTATGGTAGTATAGCGGCGGGAAGAAAAAGAGAATTTGGGGTTTTGAATTTCGGAATGCAACGGGGTTTTATAGTGTTTTTCAGATCCTGACTTTTTGCGTTTTGGACGTTGCGGGCTTTTCGATCAGCGTCTTCTGGTCGTCTAGCTGAGCCGTCTGGGTGCGAATTTGGCGCCCAACTAGACCAATCGAGAAAACCCAGCATTGTCCGAACCCCACGGCCAAAAATAGCCTGATCCGGTAGGCTTCGGTGGTTTGAACTTTCTAGTATTCAATCTTTAATCTTTATGGTTTTTAAGAAAAGTCAACCGCCGATTGACTGGTGGTCCCGCACTTCCTGGGGTCTGCGGCGTTCTCACCTACTACGGCTGCAACGGGAATTCGAGGCTGGGCTTCGCTCGGCAATTGCACTTCGACTCGCGAACAAAGATACAATAAACATTTTTGGAACTGATATATAAACAAAAAAACATTGAAAATATCGGAAACACGACCGTCCTAAACTCGTTTCTGGCCCGCTGCCCTGCGATTCTAGAAGACGCTCGGAATAGTAAACACGGTTTTGTGACACTGTGCCTACAGCCGACCCGAGGGCCACTAACCTCTGCTGCCGCCTTGATGTTCTAGAAGATCGTGCAGTGGATGGCCCTAGGTTTGGAGGATTTCTGAATCAATTCAGGATACGGATTGGCGTCATGGTAAGGTCGTTCTCGTATTTCGCTGCCTAGATACTGGTTGATCAGGGTGCAAATCCCATGCTGATCTGTTGTGGTATTGGCTCCACGTGGAGAGAGAGTTAATGGAAACTAGGCTGTGGATCTACAATAATGCCCCAATGAACTACGTTGTTTCCAGGGGAGCTGTGGCGTTGACAGAGGTCCTCATTTTCATAAACTGTTTTTGCATTGCTTTAGATGAGGCTTTGATTCGAAGCCATTAACTGCTATACTGACGAAATTTTCACTATTTGGGGGTGCGAACTTTGAACCGCTATATCTCGCGAACCAGCGGTGCTACACCGATTTTGAGCACACCATCGTGATCGCCACCACGCAATCTCCACAATGAGGCTATTTTCGAAAACTTTCATTCTGGTCAAGTATGGCCATGCCGAATAACTCAAACGGGTGTCGTAGATCATATGATTTTCTTTTGCGTTGGACTAGTCGGTTAGCTCAAGCGCCGAGCGAGGGTTCGACTCCCTCAGCAGAATAGACATTTTATGATGAACAACATGGATGTGAACAATCTCTGAGTGGCCATAAGGTCGCATAGATTAAAACACCTGCCTTCCTACTGAGAATGTTATTTTTTTTTTGATTATTCTTGTTGCTTGTATTATTACACGATGCCAAATGATATGATTAGTTCCTCACAGTCTAGGTGCTCTGCTTCCGCCGCTTCTCTCTCTCCATGGCAGCGATCTTCTTCAAGTCGTCTTCACTGGGCTCGTAGATGTGCCAGATGGTGTAGTGCGGTAAGCCTCCCACGCGGAAGCCCATCTGCTTGGCCATCTTGCCAAACGCCTCGGTCTCAGCATGATTCAAAAATGTAAACGCAGGGAAGTGGACGCCCTGGCGGAAGATCTTGGCCTTGGCGAGAATGGACACACCGCCAACACCGTCCAAGTCAAGCACTTCGTTGGGATTACCATTGGCGTCTCGGAGATAGGCCAAATGTACACGCCACGTTGGGTACTCGGCGTACCCTTCAACAATGACATCATCCTCGTCAAGCTTCTTGGCTAACTCAAGTGCCGGCTCTGACTCAACCCACGAGTTGAGATCGTACGGTTGTTCGTTGCCCAAGAACCCGGGCAATGGTCTCCAAATGTTAGGCACCATCACGTCATAGTCGAACTTCATCAAGTCTTGGATCACAGATCCAGGGCAGGTTTCGATATCAACGTCTCTCCAGTACACCCATGAGTGGTGAGCTCTCAAGGCGCTGGCAGTAAGCCAATTTCTTGCCCGGCCCATCAACTTTCTACGGATACCCTGCACCTTCACGGCGTGTCTATCACTGAAGCCCTGGCCAATCACCTGGCCAAAGTCCTTAACGTAAATGGAAACAGACCGGAATGGCGTTCTATAGCCCTTGTGCCATGTCTCAGGCGAGTTGTACGCCTTGCGCACATTCTCCATATAACCCTGGTCCATGTAGTTCTCATACAAGTCGTTGGTGCCCCGAACAAGGTTGTTGCGTTTGTTCTGCTCTGCAGCTAGAAGCTCGTCGGCCAACGTGCCGTTCTGCAATGAAATGGAGTACTTGAAGACGGATTCCAACGTGGTGTCACCAGGAGAGCAGTCAGAAACCAAAAATGCAATGTCAATCAACGAGTGGTCGTAGGTCAAGTTCATGATGTTTTGGAAGGCCATGGGCAACACATGCTCGGCGTTTCTGAGGGCATCAAAAACAACACCACCTCATTGTGAGCCTCCCCTGCGGTAGTGCCCTGGTAGTCGTTCAAGTCGTGGATGTGAACGGTGTCTTTATAAATCTGCTCGGCCTCTTCGGTGGTGGAGGCATCTTCTGGCTCGACCTTGTGGACGCCATCTTTGGTCACCTTGTATAGGTCGTAATCCTCGGTCAAGACGGCCTTTTCTTGAATGGAAGGGTTGAATCCATTGTTTCTCTGGAAAAACGTCCACACCAATAGTAGGGCAACTGCCCCTATGAGGAGGCCTCGGAGCATTCCCTCGAGGGTCGTCTGGGCCGGAATCGGTTATTGTGGCTGCGGGTTAGAATTCTCCATTAACGAAAATCACAATCAACATACATTGGAAGGTCTGATGCCTTGTCCTTGAAAACCATGGCGTGTGAGACCTGAGTGAGACGTAGACTGGCGAGCCAAACAAACGAAAAGTTTAGAAATAGCAGCCAGATGTCGGGCACTGTCTGCAGGATCCCTTGCGCAATAAAGCCCCCGTCTGAAACCACTACACCACTTCTTGGAGCCCATTCTCTTCCGGCTTAAACCAGTGCTTCTTAAGTGTGTCCCAGCATGCTCTGGCAAGCTTCAGGGCCGCCTCCTCGCTTCCGTTCGACCGACCCTCAATGTACACCTTGAGCTTGGGCTCGGTTCCGGACCCTCTGCAAGTGAAGCGCACCTGCTCGCTAGAGTGCGGTGGTTGCAAAACGGCTGTAATCATCTGAGACAGTGGGTCTACGGGGAGAATCGGAACATGGTCTGGGGTGGACAGCTCATAACCGATAGTCAAATCTCTCCATTCGGTGACGTTAAAATCGCCAAGAGTGGATGGAGCGTCACCCGGGAATGAGTCCCGAATTGCCTGAAAGATACCCGGTGTCTTCAGGGTGTCGAGCTTGTAGTAGCCATTGCACTCCTTGAACCAGCCGTACTTCTGGTAGATCAGCTCCAACTTTTCAATTGGGTCCTGCTTGCCGTCGCCAAACCACTCCTCGTAGAGTTGAAGCCACATCACGGCCGCGGAAATCCCGTCCTTGTCATTCACCACACTGAACATGTACCCGATTGCCTCCTCATAGCCAAACGGCACAAGTTTCCCGGCCTTTTTGAGGTCAATGGCTTTGTTGCCGATCCACTTGAAGCCAGTCAAGGTGTCCTGGAAATGGCATCCGGTTTTTTCGGCCAATGAGCGCAAAAGCTGGGATGACACTGTGGAGTTGAGGAGCCATGTCTCACTCAAATCAGCTTTGCTGGTACGCTCCTCAACGACATAGGCAGCAAACAAAATACCGATTTCGTTACCGGTAAGTTGCTGCCACTTGCCGTTTTTGCGTTTAATGGCCACACTGAAACGATCGGCGTCTGGGTCGTTTGCAACCACAAGCGATAAGCCCTGAGCCTCAGCGCGGGCTATAGCCAAATCTAAAGCACCCTTTTCTTCGGGGTTAGGGAAAGGCACCGAGGGGAATTTGGGGTCGGGGAACGCCTGCTCAGGAACAACATCCACGTCGGTCTGCTTGGCGTGGAATTTCTTGAAGATCCTCGAGAACATCTCAAGACCCACTCCGTGCATTGGGGTATAGACAAACTTGTAGGAAAGCGATGATTTCCGAATAAGCTGCTCCGTGGCGGCCTCCACGTATTTAGCAGAGAGCTCTTCCTTCACAAGCACAAGCTTGCCCTCCTTCAAGCCCTTCTCGAAGTTACCCTTGACATCCCATACTCCGCGGTCTTTCCACGGTTCGAGATTCTCGTCAATGCTCTTAGCAATGCCAGCATCGTGAGGTGGGATAATCTGGCAGCCGTTTCCATAGTAAACCTTGTATCCGTTATCCTTAGCAGGGTTGTGAGAAGCGGTAACCATCACACCTGCTGATGCTTTATAGAAGTCTATGCCAAAAGGGACCATAGGCGTGTGAACGTACGCCTTGTCGCCCTCTCTAGTTTCTGGGTCAGATTCGTCAGAAAGACTCTCTGCTGTTCCCAAATAGTAAACGGTAAATCCGCTAGCCAAAGCTACACTGGCGGTGATTTCAGCGTATCTCTGCGAATGGAAGCGGTGATCGTAACCAACGACCAAAGAAGGGTTTTCCGTCTTTGACAAATACGAAACAAGACCCTGGGATGCTTGCAAGATGGTCACGTCGTTCATGTGGGCAAAACCCAGCTCCATTGACGAACGGAGCCCTGCAGTTCCAAAAGCGATTCTCTTTCCGAGTTTTCCATCCAACTCCTTGTACTTCTGCTGTTCTTGCAAAGTTTGGATTTCTTGACGTGACAGCTCATTGGATCCACGGCAAGCCACTGGGCCACCAATCCGTCAATCTTCTTTCTTTGTTCTTCGGTGTACATTGTAGTATTTCCCAGAAGTTTCGATGCGATGCGCACCTGCAAGAAGCGGTACGAGGTTGACAATATGAGCTGATCGGAGTTGCAAAACATGGAGTATTTATATTAAAGAGGAATGAATGGAAATATACTTTTGTTGAGCAGCGATGATAGGGCTGTCGGCTTGCGGCCAGTAAAGCGGGAACATGTGCTGAATGACACTGTCTTTTGAATTGATACAACGTTACTGCAGCCTCTGAGCCACTCATCCCGCTATTGACTTCACGTCCTGTTTGAGATCAGGAAACCTAGAAGTTATAGTACAAGATAGCTAAGAATCCATAGAAACAAATCATGGGCCGCTTCCAGAGGGTCTGCTATCTTCGGACATGTCCTTACATTAATCATGACCGGGTTGGCGAAGAACAATTCTTCGTATCGTATAGGACGACAAGGCAAGGTATGTGGCAATGCCGTTGTCGTCGTCCACGTATTCAATCAGATGCACGGGGTTTGTGGAATTCAACTTGAGAGTATCAACATCCCACTTCTTCGCCTTCTTATCGTAGGTACTGAAGAAGATCGCCCCTTCGGCTCTCGCAGATACTGCAAGCACTTGAGAAGACTTATCTATAGCAAACTCCACTCTATCGCTGTACTCGAATTGCTGCACCAATGAGTTTTTGCGTAGATCGAACAATTGTACAACACCTTTGCCAGACTCATTGGAACCGACAAAAAGCCAATATCCGTTGTAGGCGAATTGAATCTTATTGACCCGTGGGTACTTTGTGTTGATGCTGGCGACCCTTTCGTTCGTAACAATGTCATAAATCAAAACCTGACCAGGATGGCTAGTGCCAATTGCTAGTAGTCTGCCATCAACATGAAGGGCCTGAAACGTCATTTTAAATGGGACTCTTTCAGACTTGTAGACCGGACGATTGTGGCTGAATACGGTCCAGTAGTCTGGCGAGAACCCAATCGACACTGCGACCGACGGATGGGCGACGATTTTGTGGATCTCGCCCGCCTTGTGGTTAAGAGGCTTTGGTGGAGCTCCGTTGACAGACTGAATGTAGATCGTGCTGTTGTTGCATGCGGCCAAGATCTGGTCTCCTCTGCCAGTGAAGCAGATATTCATAATAGGGGCTCTCTTATGCATCACTTTACCCTCAGGGTAAATGAAGATGGAGTTCTGGCCGAATACGGCAGCCTTGCCTGTAGACCCAACAGGAAGCAGCCCAAAAGGACGCTTTATTTCGTGATCCGTTTCGGTGGTGAAAACTTCCCAGTTTCTGGCATTCAGAACATCCACCGTGACCTTGTTGTTCTTGTGTTCCCTGAAAAGTCGTTCAGCGGCCTCCAAAATGTTCTGAGCAACTTCCTCGGGCAACTCCCTGGTTGAAATACGTCTCTCCAACGGCACTTCTTCAGACAGCCTCGACTCTGTCGTCCTTGAATCTGCTGACTCCTCTGTCTTCTCTTCAACTCCATCACTCAGTTTCTCTTCCACGGGTGGATCGCTCTTTGCAAACGACTGTGAAAGCTCAGTCAACGCCTCACGTGCTTCGTCCCTCTCCTTGAGCGCCTTGTTAGCTACTCTCACTGCAGCATCGTACTGATACAAGGAAGCGCTAAGCTCTTGTCTAGTGTTGTTGAGCTCCTTACGCAAAGTGAATGTCTCAAGAGCCAATGCATCCCACTCGTTCTGAAAAGCCTGCAACATGGTAGGAATTGAGTTGAAAGCGGCGGGTCTGGGTGGAACTATGACTGGATCTTTATTTTGAATCACGATGAGTTCCTCTGCTGTGAGAGCCTCTTCGCTGATGGGATCTTTCCCAGTTGTGGATATGTACAGCTCTATGAGTCTTTTTTCGAAAATGCATCCGCTTTTGGGCGACACGACCGGCTCCTGGGCCTCCTCGCCTGAAAGGGAGCAGAGCATGATGAAGTTGAAAAGATGCGAATTCGCACAGTAGTAGCTGAGGCATCAACACTTGAGCTTGCGGCAACTGCAGTGCCATAACGGGGAAAGTGATAAAAATAATTTTTCGAGATAATTTATTCAATTTGAAATTTGTCTGATTGTTTCGATTCTTTGGGAAAAGTGATGGGCTCCAGAACAGTTTTGCAAGAAGGTGTGGGATAGTGAGCTGATAACTTATGCGAATCTGAGTCAGAATCCACCCTTGAAGATTATTCAAAGAGGAACTTCTGACTGTTAACCTGAGGCTGTCGATGGGATTGGAAAATATATTCAACTCTTTTTGTTTCAATTTGCATGCATTTGATTTTCTGTTTCGTGTGTGAAAAATGGCTGCGAATAACCAATTATTAGCAAAATGTAAACCTCAATGCACGATGACAAAACAGTTCAGTTTTTCAACATCTCCACGAATCGATTTCTAGTAAAGCCAATTTAGAAAATCAAGCTGCTTCTGCGTGAAATGAACGAGTTCACCAGACTTCTACCCATTACTATCCTACAATAATCAAGTCCAAATCATGCCGCATAAAATAAATCTGACAGCTACGCTGCCTAACAAAGGTGACCCTAGTGATACCCCTTGTGTTCGTAAGCCATTGGTGGCTCTTGCACTCTCTTGTATGAGCGTCTGGTTCCTGAGAAACAGCCGCAACAGTAGCCAACGGCTGCGAAAACAATTGCCAAAAATGATGCCACCATGGCAGACCATGCAAACGCATAATATTGCACCGACAAAAACGACTTCAAGCCAAAATCGTCGATCTCATCGTTCACCTCAGACCTCACAAACATGTAGGCACCAGTACTCAAACCGGCGCCAAGAAGTATGCAAATGAAGAAGAGCAACATGAGCATGAAGTTTAGGCATGAAAGACAGCTGTTGTTGGGTGAGCAACAAAGACCAACAGACTGGAAAATAAAGGAAATAAATGCCAAACCTGTACCAGCAATAAGCATGGCCAAAGCTGCCTTCGTGACGTTGTTGAGCAAAGTGAGTTTGTCCTTCAAGTCACCGGGTAAATTGAGGTCCTCGTAGTCCACAGATGCAATGATCGCAAGGAGTTGAGCCTTGATGGTGTTGGAGAGCTCTTGAGGAAGACCGTTGAAACCGTCCACAGAGTTGGTAACAGCGTTAGTCATTTCACGCTTGACAAGGTCCAAAGGGTCGAACTTGAAGCCAGGCTTGGGAGAGCTACACCAGACAAACTTCACATCGTCCTTGTTGAAGTTATCACCAAATTTACCCAAGTTGTCAAGGAGCTCATCGGTACCATTCACGCCGTTCATGTAACCTCTGCAGTAGCCCCAGTAACTGACACTGTAGTAGTCAGCCAATCCCAAGTCACGGTAATCCAATTCAGAAACAACACTCTCAATGTCGATACCATCAGCGAGACCAGCTGCAATGGTTGCCAAGGAATCAGGGATGGAGGCACTAGCTGCCAATTCAGAGATCTTACTGGCAATTTCGGCGGTATTCACGTCCTTCGTGGCAGATGCAGCCTGTGCAGTGAGACTGTCAACATTGATGCCACCCACGGCTGAAGTAATATCACCGCCAGCATTGCCGAGTGCCGACTCAATGTCGCCAACAACGTCTCTCTTGGGGAAAGCAGTCACGAGGGATTCAGTGGCAGTAGGCGTTGGCTTGACATCCACGTATCTAGGCATCTTCGCAAAGTCTCTCTTCAGGTTAGCACCAGCAAAAAGCTTACCCACATCTAGACCGGTTATTTGGACGCCGATCAAGTAGTTCTCAGTAAGATGGCTCTGGTTCTTGTAGGAGCCCACGATGGCCCACGGGCATAGCACAATAGACGCTATGGTAAAGAATAACACCAAACAACGGAAAAACATGGTCGCTTAGATTGATTGATGAAGAAACTCAGCAAACAGCATCTTATATAAACGCTGCTGGGGAGATGCAGACCTGCACAAATAGACCGCGTGCTCAGCGTACACAAATGATTTAAGCTGGATCGGCGAGGCGCGGGGGATGCAAATTGGGATCACAGCGTCATCTCGCTTGCGATCTACCAACGGCTTAGTTGCGACTAACCTTAATAAGGGGAAATTTTCATGAACCTTTTTTTTTTTCGTTGAACATGTCGGTGAACCTTCGACTGTTTGATTTCTGTTCCTGTTCATTGTTGCAATTTTTCTGGATCTAGCCGCGCCGACCATTATTCGTTGCTAGTCTGGGGGCTGGCTGAGTGCGAGTGTGTTGACATGCTGACAAAAATAGAAACTCGGCGCAAAATGGCTGTTCATCATCACCAACACAACTAAGGACCCTCAGCCTGCAACTGTGCTTAACCGGGGCCGAGCCTTCGGTTCAGCCCTGTACCGTTGCAGCTGTTATTAGCTCTGGCCCCTATTTTTAAATTCTTGGTAAATGGAAAACCCCCCATTGTGTAGCGTGCTCGTCTAGCAGAAAGCTTTGATTGTTCCTCTATTCATCAAGATTATCGAGTTCATCCAAAAGCTCTTTCTCGAGCTCGTCGATGTTGTCACCGTCCTCTTCCGTCTTGCGTTTTTTGTGATCACCGTTACTATAGTCATCACTTGCGTCTTCGTTATCACTGTCATTGTCCTCTGGCGCCTTGCGCTTATTCGAATAGAGACTCTTAACGAAAGACATACCTGCGCCATTGCCGCCGTTGTTGGCTGCTTCCATGCCGCCCAGAATTTCGTCCCCCTCAGCCTCGAAGTCGTCCCCTTCTTCATCATCATCACTGATTCCAGCCAAGAAATCATCAACTTCCGCGTCAGCCTCGTTGAAATCGTAGTCATCGATCGAAGATAACGAGCCCTGGCGTGGTCTCGAATCGGCTGCGGCGCTGCGAGCCTGATCTCTTTCCTGTTGTGACCCTAATGCTGTCTGGTATTTCGTGACATCGTTCTCTGAAACATACCAATCCTGCTCGGGAAGCTCTATCAAGTAGTCACTCTCAGCCACAGGCTTCCACAGGCTGAGGCATGCAAAGAGCCAATCTGGGTTGACCACTTTAACTCCGGGAACGGTTTTTTTAGCAATTCGGACTTTTAGTGTGAGTCCGGTCTTCATGTATGAGGCATTGGGGTCACGACAAACAACGTGAGTTATTTCTGGTAACACTTCGTTCACAACCTTCATACCGAATTGGCGACACCAAATGACGATATCAGCGTTGTTCATGTTCATACCCAACGGTAGAATGCCTGAAAGTAAGACAACCACTCCATTCAAGCAGTCAAGTTTTAGCCGCGGTATTATCGTGGTAAGATCAGGGCGACCGAGTGCCTGATTCTGTTGAAAGCTATCAAATGCTTTATAGTACTGCTCGTGAATATAGTCCAATGCTTTTTCGAGGGTGATAAGTTCGGCGTCGTCGTCGTACAAAATGTGTTCTTCCTCCTCTTCCTTATCGGGCTCGGAGTTGTCCTCATGATCGTGTGCTATTTTGTCCATTTTGTGTTGAAGTTTCGCCAATGGCCTGTCATGTTGTTGTTGTTCAAGGTTTTGTGTACGTGATATCAGCTGTTCGAGAAGCAAATTTTTGTTGTTCTCACCTCCGCCTAATTCGACTAGACGATCCACTGGTGAGGAGCTCTCCGAATCTGAATCGTGCGAGTCTGAGTCGCCGGTCTCGTCTGGCGATGAGGATCTTGAGTTCGGCGTGGCCGAGCTTTCCAGACCATTTTTGCCAACATCTGTTGGTTGGTCCTCTTCTTCTTTTGGCTGGCTGCTTCCAGGTTCACTGTCACTGCCGTCATCCATTTCACTGTCTTGTGTTGAGTTCTGGAGGCGATCGTCGATTTCGGCTGGTTTGTTGTCTTTCTTGTCGTCGCCCATGGCCTCTTCGAGTCGAGCAAGGCTCTTTCTGTTTTTTGTGGGACCCACAAGCTGCCCATTTTTCTTTGGCAAAAAGCTGGAGTTGATATCGCCAATGCCAACGAAGAAATCGTACGGAACAACCTTGATAAGGTTAGGGTCCCATTGCCATACATCGCCTCTATCGTCAATAATCACCACCATCAGCTGATCAACAGGGAAAAGTCGTTTAAGGTTTTTATGCGTTAATGAGCCGCTCTCGTCACGACTCAAAATGCGGTCGCCAAAATAGATGCCCTTGGGATCGATAATGGAGGCGATAGCTAAGGCGTAGTTTCTCGTAGCCATTGTGTAGATATGAAGCTCGTAGCGTTCAGCAACATTGGCCAAGAACTCCTTGAGTCCAGGCCGCAACTTGACGTAGTACCAGCATTTCGTGGGTCCTGGTCGGGGCCCATCCAGCCTGGAGGCACAATTGGCTCTTCTTCAAGGCAGAATGACTGCACGTCCTTGACAAAGGGGTAGTTAGGATTCTGGGGTCTTTTTGCCATTCGCCCACAGTGGGGTCCACCGTAGCATGGATCACGGTCTGGTCAAGGTCAACCACCAAAATGAGCTTCTTCTCCTTAGCCAACCGTTCAGTCGCGTTATGTTCGATCTTGGTCGCCTCGTCATAACTGATACGAAGCCCCGTGTTATCATGAGACATGGCTATCGTGGCCCTATCTTCGTAATTGTAGCCAGTGTAGTCCTTCTCGTCTTCCACGGCTTTTCCACAGAGAGCACACAAACCACCGTATTGCACGTCATGGGTGCAAGGTTCACGGATCGAACACACTTCAATGCCGCTGTGAGTGATTTCCTCGCCCACATGAACATCCATCAGGGTGATTTCGCCCTCTATAGGGCTCTCAAACAGACCGATTCTCTCCACACGGATTTTCGGTGGATTTTCTTCTTTCGAATTGGGGTCCTCCTGGTAATCCCAGTACCTATACTTGAGCAAAACAGCATATCGAGACACGATTTCGCCAGGTCGACAGGCAATCGCCGTCACGGTCACTGGGAACGGTGCAGATGCTGGAAGCGATACCGAGGTCATTGAAGGAGCGGTATTTCTCGTTATCAGCAATAAATGAGTTTGGGCTTAAACTATATTATGGTCAGGATGCCTGTTTTCATGGACGTGGCCGGAAGTTGTCAATTTGCAAAATTAGCTGTTAGCTTGAGCTGGGTATCTTGTGTTTGTGCTGCCATTGTGTATGGGTGCACGGGTTTCCTCCCGAAGACCAGGCAAGGCCATTGTGTTACAGCAACCATTTAAGAGGTGTTAGAAGAGTAGGTGTTTAGGAATTGAAGGGTAAGAGGAATTTGTGAAATTTTTTTATTTCGTGTTGATGAGGCGTTTTTGGTGCTGGTGGTGTAGATGCTGGCTGAGACATGAGAGGACACCAAAGGCTTCAAGAAGGAAGCAACAAAAAGGTGCAGTTGAATTGTAGAAGCATTGCGGACTAAAGAGGACTATATGGACTTTGAAGAAGATTTAGATTAATTTGATACAGTCGTTGGGCGCAACGTGATGACTGGAATGTGGCTGCGTTTCGCAACCGTTTCAGGAATAGTAGGGTCCATGGTGGAGAACGGAGTTTTCACAAGGCATTGTGAAAGTAGAAGTGTGACTATTTGATGGAGCTTTCAGAATTTGTCTTAAGGATAAGAAAGGTGGATTTGATGGGTCTTCGGGAATCAGAACTTACTGACCAAGTAAAAGCGCATAATCATCAGTTATGAGCAGATCTGGAAATCGCTTGCTACTAATACAGTGTTGAATACCTATCGCTCATCTGGTAATAGACACCCACATCAATTGCTTGATCTCATGCTTGGTATTATGCTATTTACATGTCGATCATGTCGTCTTCCTCGGACTCCTCAGAGACCTCGGGTGGGAAATTCATCTCGAACGTAGTCGTCGTAGCGGGTTCTTGTGGCTGCGTGATGTTGTTGTTATTGTTGTTGTCGAAATTGAGGTTGCCCACATTGGTGTCTTCGTCACTGTCGCTGTCGCTCAGCTCGAAGCCATCCATTCCATCGTCAAAAGGAATTGGTGCTGGCAAATTCGAGTTCTCGTTCAATGCGTTGTCAAGCTCATTTTCAAGATCTCCCACGTCATCTTCGGCCTCTTTCATATCGAAATCACCCTCGCCCTTTTGCTCTGCAGCTTCACTGATAGGTTGAGCAGTCTGGTCGCTACTGCTGGATGGCCTTTTGCCCGCAACGTCGGTTCTGTTCTCCACGAGTTTGAAGTCATCACCAAAATCGAGCTCACCAACATCATCCTCCTCCTCACTCTCGTCCAGCACATTGGCGTTGGGGTTGAATGCAAAGCCGAATTCGAAAGACCCGGCATTCTTCTCCTGCTCTTTCTCTTGTCTGGCTCTCTCCTCAAGCAACTCGGCGATCTTAGCACGCTTCTTTTCATGAGCTTCCTTGGTCGCCTTGACGACTCGCTTTAGGCTCTTTTGTAGGAACAGCTCGTAGAATGCATTGTCTTCGGCTGTAGGCAAAGCCGTGGCATATGGCGAATACTTCTTTTCGCGCTTCAAGAGAATATCATCTTCTCTCTTCTTTCTATGTGCTGCAAGCTTCTTGGCTGCTCTTTCCTTGGCTGCCTTCCGCCTCATAGCGTAGTCCACGAAATCAAAGCGTTTGGAACTTGTAGGGGGTTTGGGTTCTTCAGGAGCAGGCTGACCTTCATCTTCCTTGGGCTTCTCTTTTGTTTCACTCGCCTCTGCATTTGCCTCTTGAGGTGACTCCACATCAGTTGCATGGCCCTCCCCAGAAACGCTCATGATATCCTCGTCATCTGAATCCAATTCTGAAAGCACAGCCTCCTCTGGCACCTCGCGGTCAATGAGCTTGTACAAGGACCCCTCGTTGAGTCTCAGCTCTTCCACTAACTTAAGCTTGATCTGCTTGAGTTCAGTAATGGTCTTCATATAGTTACCCGTGTTTTGGTATGTGTAGTCCGGCGGAAGCGTGGGAAAATAGTCAGGAATATATGATGGCCTCAGCAGCTGTCTTGGGATTAAGGAGGCCACCTCATGCTGGTCGTTGGCGTGGAACACTGCGGATGGATCGTTTTTATCTAGATGGAACTCTTCAGCGTAGAAGTCATCCAAAAGCTGATTGGCTTGTCTGTCCAAAGTGTTCTTATGCAATTTAGTCGCCTCAGGCAACACCCGGCATCGCTCGTACTCCAGGTACAAAGAACCAGGGCTAATACAGTTATTGTGGAAACAAATATCCAAATCATGAACTCCAGGTCTCTTGTGTCTCTGCACTTCCGTGTACTTGTGAAGCAGCCCTATTAGTTTATGCAAGTATTCCGAAGCCAAGTTCCCCAATTCGTCTATGAACTCTTCTGAAAACTGGGGCTTTGCTTTATGAGTGGTGACAATCAAACCAGCAAACTTCCGTAGCTGAAAGTCCATTGGTTCTATGCAAGCAGTTTTATCGTCGTGGGGAGCAGTGAGATGCAGTAGATGGCCCAAGTGGCGCTTATCTGGTTCCACATAGTCGCTTTTTAGACTTTCCTTGATAATACGAGCTCTTTCCTTATCGAACTTCTTTTTCTCTTGTGCTTCTTTTTCTATTGAATCTCGACGGCCTGCGTTCCGTGTTCTATGCGTGACATTCGTCGGCTCCTGTGGTTCTGGCGATTCTGCCATTATGGTGTTGTGGAGGAAGTAGCTTGAGAGTTTGTATTGGTGATACTTCGGTGCGCGCACACACAGTACTACTAATATTTGGAAAGCCACTGGCTGTATACTTCGTGACGAAATTCGTAGATGTATCAAATTTAGCTATTCGTAGCCCATCCAGAGCATTGCTGGCGGTGAGGCTTCACTAAGGAGGGACACTGGGTTAGTACGCAGAGGCAATTGGTGCAACATTGTAAGGGGAGCACTTAGAATCCACCCGACAACAAGTACTCAATCGCTCCCTGGACACTGCCACCACTTCTCCTGAGCGCAGCGACGTTCTGGTCAAAGTCAAAGAAGCCCATGTCGTTGAGCTGTCTCAACTGAGCCTCGTAACGCTCCTCTGGAGGTCTGTCGTCACGAGGAGGAGCAGCACCAGCACCAGCACCGGCGCCAGCACCACCGAACATGCTGAAAGGATCAGCAGGCATGCCGTTAGGGAAAAGAGATGCAAGTGGGTTGGCACCCACACCTGGAGTCTGACCTGGAGTCGAGCCTTGGCCTTCAGTCTGGCCCAGCGTCTGACTCTCACCACCCTCGTTGACAGTAGGGTTGGCGCCTGGCGCAGGGAAAGCCAGAGCAGCGCCCTCGGCACCGCCGCCTTGCATGTTTCTGAGGTTCATCATGCTGCGCATGGTTTCCGGGTTGGTGATCATTTCACGGAACATCGGCAGCTGGAGCATCGTCCGGACCTGGGGCCCCATGGCACGGAGCTGTGGGTTCTGGTTGATCATAAAGTCCAACATCTGCGGGTTCAGCAAGAGCGAGTTCATCTGCTCTTGGAACATCGGGCTGCTCATCATTTCCAGCATCTGATCTGGGTCTGGCATCTGTCCCATGCCGCCGTCGGGGCCAAACATGGAAGCCGAAGGAAGCTGTGTGTAGCCAGCGTACCTGGCGCCGGTCAAGTCAGCCAATGGGTTGAACGAACCCTGACCAGCAGCAATGTTGGAAGGCACATTCTGAGGAGAGGTGGATCTCTCTGATTCGGCAGCAGGCTGGGTCGAAGAAGCAGCAGCTGGTTTTGGTGCCGACAGCTTGACCATATGAACAGCGTGGCCGTTTTGGATCTTGTAGGAAGCCACGGTTTCCTCGTCCTTGAGGACCTTACCAGAGTAGATCAAACGCTGTCTTTCCGGAGGCACATCAGCCTGGACGGAGATAAGAGCCTTGAGGTCGGCGATGGAAGCAGAGGTCTCCACGGAAATCTCGTACTTCTTGTCGCCCGACGACTTGACGTTGATGGTGATTTCAGACATGGTGGTTGAGATTAGGTGAGATCAAGAGATATAGGGCGGGTGTGCGGGTTTCCATACCCTTCCATAGAGGTTCCACGGGGTGATCTTGGGGGATTTAAAAAAAGAACAAAATGGGTTAGAAGAAGTGGAAGAAGTGGATTTGGGGTCTATTTATATGTTTCTTAAGGAGGTGGCGTGGCTATATCCGGGGTTCTAGGGTCCGTGGGGCGGTTGCAAAATGCGAAAGACTTAGGTGGAGAGGACAGGCAGGTGTTTCATGACCGTGATTTTACGGAAATGACTTTTTATCGATATATGAATTTATTAGTTTTTTAAATTGGCTGTTGTAAACAATGTTCATTTCAATTGATCTGGAGTTGAAACCAGGGATGAATGTAGTATGGTGTGGACCAGCGGTCATGGAGGTCGAGAAATCACCGAATTATCCGACACTTTGCAAAGTACATTCCAGATTTCTTTAAATTTCGAGTCTGAATTTGAATACCACAACTTGGCCTATCCTGGCCCACAATAGGATTGCGCTCCGAAGTTTGCCACTGTCAGATTATGTAATCGTGACATAATGCCGCTGAATGTGAATTGTGGAGCACTTCTAGGGAGAGTATTGACAAGTAGATTTTGGAACATTTGGACGAACTTAAAGCAGCTTAACGGCTCTCAGGCTGAAAGTGTTAGATTGAATTGTGGAGTGGTCATCATAAACTGAATGCATCCCATCTAGCTGTCTCACTTTCGAGTCCAAACTGAATAGGTTGTAACAGACCAAGTGAAGAGATCTTCCAAGCTAGATTGAAACACACCTTTAGATTGAAGGAGTTGTAAATTCTAACGAACGTTTAAGCTAAAGTGCACTGGCTATCAAATCGACCACTAGAAGACTATTCCATTCGTGCTCACCTAGAGATATTCATACGTATCACTTCAGCAAAGCTGCAAAACCAACAAAACCTCACTCCTACCACTCTCCTACTCCTACAACTCATTTTAAAAATCTCTCAATTGAAACATGGGTCGAGAACACCGTTCTCTATGCAAAGAGCGCTGTGCGCTATATTAAAGCCCTGCGGTTGTCTGTGGCAAGGCGACTAATCAATAGTCAATCTCCTAGAATGCTGATAAAATTACCTGAAGTATGGTCACGAAGGGTCATGCGAAGGGCACACCTGTGAATGCAAATCTGAAAAGTCAAGGAAGCATCTCCTCCAATGATGCTTAGTGAAGTAGCTGTAATTGAGCGCCTCCACTGCACCCAATTTCAACCAACTCACTTCACCTCGACCTTCCAGCCGCAGTCCAAACAGCTGTATGCCTTTTCGTCGCCAAAGTCTGCTTTGCCCTTCGTCTGCATCAACAGCCACTCACCTTTGGCTGGAATCTTCTTACACTTTTTGTTCAAGCAACGGGCCAGCGTCTTCTTGTAGCGAAGGCCGCACGAGTTGCACAATTGGCCCTCCTTGATCGACCACGATGGTCTCCAGCATGGCGACTGGTCAGATCCACAGGAAATGCATACTCTGGCAGCCTGCTGGCCATGGCGAGGAGGCAGTCTCATGAGCTCCGAACGAGACTTGTCCTTGACCGAGGGTGGGGTGATGGGAATGAACTTTGTCTTTTGCTTCTTCTTCGGACTCGAGGGCTCGTTTTCCGTGAAGGAGTTTTCTGGGGTGAAGGGAACGGTATTCACGGTAGCCACAGGCGGTCTGTATTCTGGCTGGTAGTAGCTGGCGCCAGCGCCAGCGGGGCGAGAAAGCTGGATAAGCGATTGGGCCAATTCAAGATATTCCGGGTACCGTTCCACGTCGTTCATGTATGTCTTGTTGAGGTAGGTGTAGTTTGACTCGTAGGGAAAGTTGATTTTGCGCTCGGCGAGGGTGGGCAAGGACTTGCTGATTCTGGAGTCAAAATGGGGTTTCACGCCCAGGGAAAGCTCACTGATGGGTGGGAGTTTGACTGGCTCTTTTTGGGTGTTGGGCTGTGTCGCAGTAGTAGCTGCAGTGTCGTTTTTCGCAGCCATTTTCAAACCAGCACCTCCATCCACAGGCCTATTATGAGCATGGGCCTCAAGGTAGCTGTATGAATTGAGAAAAGACGGTTTGGCTCTGATCAGATCCAAAAGCCCGTAGCGCCAGTTTTCGTCGTGCGGCTTGTATGTGTCGAAGTAGTCGAGCAGCACTGTGGGCACAATGGGGTCCTTCGCTCTTTCCAAAGCAGTGGAAAGGCTGGGAAGCGACACTCTTTGCGGTGTTTGTTTAAAAAGAGCGGCGCTTGGAAGCACGGCGGTGGCAGGAGCCGATGGCGGCGAAGGTGGAGCCGTTCTGGACCGTTTGGTCAGTTCATGCTGGGGCTCCGAGTCAGCGCCCAAGTCGCTGTGGGAGCGTTTTTTCGAGTAGTTCAGCAGAAGGCCAGGCGGCGTGAGCAGGCGGAGCTTGAGCAGGTTGAGCATGGGGCTCCTGGGGTAATTCAGGTCGAACATGGGGTGCACCACGCTCATGGGTGATGCAGATATTAGCGAGATGGACCGGCCGATTTAAGGCAGGACAGAACCACGGGGTGGGACAAGGGGGTTGGGATCACAGGTGGGTTGGTGTGATCACAAAAGGGTATGGGTTGGTGTGATCAAGGGTATTGGTGACCGAGTAGCTGCGATTGGGTAGCTTTAATGGTGATGAATGACGGTGTGATCAACGGTGTGATCAATGGGTAGTCAATGGGTAGTCAATGGGTAGTCAATGGGAATGCCTAGTAGCTGAGTGGTCAATGGGAATGCCTAGTAGCTGGTCAATGGATTGTAGCTGAGTGATCAATATATGTAAAGCTAAGTGATCAATGGATGTTGGTGACCAATGGATGTTGAGTGACCAATAGATGTTGGTGACCAATGGATTGTAGCTTCGTGATAATGGATTTGAGTGACCAACTGGTGGTTGAATGCTAGGGTATAAGCGAAAGGAAGGAGTGGGTTTTTCTTCAAGAGAACAAGATGGCTGCGAAAAGCGTGGAGGTGCAGCGGATCCGGCGCCTTAAATCAGGCTGGAGGGCAGATCAACGTCAGATCAAGGGGAGCGGCCGGATTGGGAAAAAAGTGCAGCGAAGAAACCCAGAAGGTTGCCGGAACGCAGGCTAGATGGCCGGAAACAGAAGAAACGCTGGCGAAAGGGCAGGACGCTGGACGCAAGCGGCAGTGGGTGCTGGCTGAAAAAGACTGTTTTTGTGCAATTGACGCTGGCGTTTATGCTGGCTATATATGAGGATGCGGCCGTGGGAGTATTTTTTGGCCAGGGCAACGCAGCATGGCCCGATTCAGCGGTAGGCTCGCTGAATGCGGAAGGTGGTCCCAGCCAGATGCAGCGACGGCGCGGGAGCGTGCTGCTTTCAGGTGAGACGAGGTGGCCTGTATGCAGGACCCGAGAACGGTTGCAAAAATGGAGGCCCTCTCAGACGAGGCTTCCTGGGGAGGTGTGGTTATGGGAATTGGAGGATGGGGAGGAATCGGAGTCTACGGCTATGGCAGTGGATGCTGGATCCCCTGCACATAAGCAATTGGCTAGCCAATTGCCAGAACCCCTTTCCTCTTGTCCACCTCTCGTCCCCTTCCTCCTCTTTGCTGCCCTGGCTGGCTGGATCACGTCACCAGGCACAGATCAGATCGCTTCTCTGGATCCATTCCACAAGCAGTACGCACGGCTCCTGAACTGGCCAGCGTCCTTATCTCATAAAGCCAAATGCGGAATGGAGGCTATTTTTGATCTGGCCCCAAATTCCCCGTTTTTTGTCAATTCCCTTGTTTTCGTTAATTCCCCGGTTTTGGTTAATTCCCCGTTTTTAGTCAATTCCATCCTTTTACGTCCTTCCCAATCCGATCGCCCCAATCCCTTTTGGGCTAGCAAGGGTGAGGCTGGTTCAGGAGCTCTTGCAGCCAGATCGCGAGTATCCCATTTGGTTCGTTGCTGGCACGCCTTCACACACACTGTAATTTCTACACTTTTCACTACTTCATTCAAAAGCCTTCAGTTTAATATTCTATTTTCTAATCCTTCTTCTCGTCGGCCTTCTCCTCGGCCTTATTTGTGGCGGCACCAGCTCCAAGGCCTCCGGCTACTCCTCCAACAATGTGGCTCACCTGACCTCCTCCAACAGCGTCAGCAACCTTGTTTCCGCCGATTGATCCGACAAGTCCAACTCCAATATCCTTAGCTGTGCGTGCTGCGTCACTCATAATGTGCTTGTTGCAAATCTGCTAGGGGGGCCACTTGGGCTTTTTATAGCTGGACCTTGGTTGCTGTCCTGCGCACCGATAAGATGGAAGCTTCTTTGCTACGATGACGTGCTGCCTGTGAAAGGCACAGCCGCTCCGACGATGCAGCCGTGAGGATGCCCGTGGATGTCGTCTTGTGGCTCCTCGGGTATTGAATTAGGCTTGCTGTGGATTTGCGTAGTTTGTGGCGCCTGAGCTTGTAGTCAATTGTGGATTGCGGTGGAGGTTTTTGGTTTTGTGACGTTTGGGAGATAGGGGAATTGATTCGCTTGCAGCCGAGGACAATCGGTGTCAGGCTGGTGGCTGTGGTCCTGGCTCTGGTTGTTGCATGTGTAGGTAGAAGTAGTCTGGTCAGGTTAAGCAGCTGAGGCGTTGCTAACTGCAATTGAAGCAACAGCGAAGCATGTACATGCGTTCACTTTGACCAATGTAGCTGGCTGAAGTAGGCTGTATCTCTTGGAAAGCATTGCAAGAACTGTTGAGTTCGGTGATAGGGTTTGCCATACACGAGGCCTTTTGAGCCATGAGTCATACCAGCCACCCCAAGTGCCTCGGATATTTTCTCCATAAGCCAGCCCCGAGCCGTGGCCAAATTGACTTCTATATGGGCATTGGATCCACCTTTGGTTCGTCCTTTCCTCGAACACTCGATAAGTGCGCCGATTCACAACACAAATGTGCACTTTTGAATTTCTCAAAATTCTTTTCAGCGCATGAGCCTCTTTGAAGATAAATTCGAAACTCCTCTTCATTCAAAGGCCCTTTATCTATGGTTCCATGTATAGCCAGTGTGTTATATGCAGCACCTTAGATAAACACCCACTCAAAACAAGCCATGATCGTGCCAAATAACAAACTCAGGTAATCACTTGTAATAAATGAATCTCTCAATTTCCCTCAACTCCGAACTTTTTTTCATACTTCCCGGCGTGGACGGTTCCATCAAGATATCATCGTACACACCTGCAGTACACTACCCCATCAAGAATTTCCACTCTATCACACAACCACAATGAACTTAGCAGCCAACTCACAGCAAGATCCAAGTATGTATTGTGAATCCCGTGGCGTTCCAGGCCATCTAACCATCCAGCACAACCCATAGAGCCTTTTTTGAAAAGCCTTTTGGCGTCTTTTGACCTTCTGTATTTCCCAAGCGGGCCTAGTGCTCAACCACAATTCCCCAACGTCGAGGCCTATGCTACCCAATTTGGCAAACAGCTAAAACCCGCCTGTGCTATAATATTTGACGGTCACCCGTTGATACCTCAGGCACCTGCTAACGATGCTCGGTTGGAGTTCCAGAAGAAATGGCTTGGATGCCCATTAACCTCACACCAAATGAGCTCCTACGACGCCCATCTAATCCCTGGCACAGGCTTGTATTCCGTTACTGTGAACGGCAAAGTGCGTTTTGACGAAGGAGGCAAATCCAGGCTAGGGGAGTCGGCTGATCTTGTACAGACGCCCAATGGCCCTGCCAAACCAAGACCCATTTGGGGTTCCTGGTACGGTTTCAACATGAACATGGTGATCGATGAGGCCGTGGTCCGCGGGTCCGAGGCCGAGCTCATCAACAGTTTCAACTATAGAATCACGTACAAGCCCGACGACAGCATAATTAGCATTTAAGACAACTAGATCTCATTTTCGGCAACGTAGTCATTGAGTAGCTGTCCCAAGTACCGGTCAGAGTAGAACTCGACTTCTGGGAAGGGGTAGCCAAGCTGCTCAAACACCTCCTTGACGTTGGGGGTGATGAAATCGTAGAAAACTACATCCACTGGTGCCTTACGACCGTTGTGCTTGAGCTCCACGCTTTGCACGACATTGGGGATTGGGTAGTTGATCACGGCCTTGTGGACAGTGTCATCACCCTTGTTGCCAAAGTCATCGTACGTGACGTAACCTTTGGTGAGCTTCTCGACATGGAGGTCTAAATCATCGTACTGCGACAAGTCCATGACCTGCTGATCACGCTTCTGGAAAGCCTTTGGAGTCTGATGAGGAGGAGCTAAGGGTTCCTTGCTAGCTGCAGCCATGATGTAGCCTCCCTGGTTCAACTTGGGGGTAATTTGGACCGCAATATACTTGGGAACCGTCACCTTGACCCATTTATTCTGGAAAGGCGATACAATGTAATGTGTGTCCAAAGTGTATGGGCCCTTGTACAAATCGTACCGCACGGATCCAGTGTTGATAAGGATAAGTCTCTCCTGGCTCGTTTCCACACCCTTCTCTGCCTCAAGTGTGGGAAGCACCTTTTTGGCAAGCAACCTGAACAAATTCTTTGGGTGTGACACGGGAACGTAGTCCATGTAATAGTTGGAATTGTTCACGTAGCCAATGACATCATCAAGACCCAAGTCCTTCCTTGCCAGCGCTATCAAGGACTTAACGTGGTTGCCTTTCTTAGTGTCGAAAGCCTCAACAGACTTGCCGGAGTGGTACCGGAACAGGTCTGTGTTGAAGTCAATGTAACGTCTAGAGTAAACCTCAGAGGCCTCGTTGCCTGTGGCGTTCAAATTGACCCCGAGGAAGCCCACAGTCTCACAGAATCTGCCACTCTGAAGAGCCACCAGCTTCTCGTCGTAAACCACAAAATCACGAATATGGCTGTGGCCACCGAAGTACTCTATCTTTGTCTCTGGATAATGAACCCTAAGCTCGGCGTGCAAAAGCGCCAATTCGTTCCAGTCCCGGTCCACAGGCACATGGGTCACCACCACAACGGTGTCCACCTCTTCGGCAGGAAACTTGTCGAGGATCTCCTGGAACCAGTCCTTCTCAATCACCTCGGAAATTGGCGTGACCTTGGTCTTTTCATTGTACCTGGCAAAATCAAACATAAACCCGAGTGCAAGCACCCTGGTGCCCTTGACCTCTGTCTTCCAGTACCTGTACTTGTTTCCAATTGGCACCCACTTTTCGCCGTCAAGGTACTCCACATTTGTGCTCACGTACTTCTCTCCGTAGTGCTTCGCCACAATTTCGTATTCCTGCTGGGAATTCTCTGCTAGATAGAGCTCATGATTGCCCAAAGTCAAAAGATCGTAGTCCTGTTCTATGAATATCGGAAGCGAGCGGGCGCCATTGGGACTGGTGATGTCCAGAAGCCCATTGCCATCGTGACGGTCTCCGCTGTCCACAAGAAGCAAATCCTGGCCGTTCTGTCGGGCCTTTTGTTTAAGGTGGTGTGCAAATGAGACAAAGTCACCCCAGTCTCCGGAGTAAGTTTTCTGGTTCAAGTGGCCCAGGTACCAGCCGTGTGTGTCTGTGGTGTGGAGAAAGTTGAGATCTCCAAAGGCGAGGTCTCTGAAGGTGGCAAGAGCGGCACCTATAAAGAAGAAGGTAGCTCTCATGGTTATCGATATAGATAAGCGCGAAAGCGTTGATAGTGGAGTGGGGGAGGGACTGTGTTAATACTGCCTACTTTGGCATTTTTTGTTTTGTAAGCTATCAGACAAGAATTCCCCCTCATTTACAAATTTTCTTGTAACTCAAGAATTGCAATTGGTGATTTCATGTATCAATGCAATCTTCACTACTGTGGCTGCGAATGGCTGCAAACCAGGTGGTTGTCATGTCAAGACAGATCTGGGTTTTCGTAAAACGACTATTTTAGTAATTTTTCCAAAGAGCACCAATCGACTCATTCGTCGTACTTTGCGGAGCTCCACTTTCGCTTCATGAACTCTATGGTGACCCATTGTGCCTCATCTGAAGCACTCCTCCCCTTTACTCGAAAGACACTTGCAGCCAAACCTGGCCAATTCGATCTTCTCTACAACTCTCTTAAAAATGTGTTCAGTATCAGATACTTACAATTACAAACCCAGCTGGGCTCTTCTTCTGTCACGCTCCTCGGTGATAGACAACTTGATACCCTTGCCCTTTGGCAAAGAGATGTGGGACTTGCCAGCCTCGTCACCAATGACGAAGACGTTAGTCAATCTGGTGACGAAAGTGTTCTCCAAAGCGTCCTTGATGTGGACCAAGTCGAAACCACCCTCGTGCTTCTCTCTGTGGGTAATAACACCAACTCTACCCATGTTCTTACCACCAGTGACCATGACCAACTTACCAGTGTCGAACTTGATGAACTCGGTGATCTTACCGGTGGCCAAGTCGATCTTGACGGTGTCGTTAGCTCTGATCAATGGGTCTGGGTATCTGATGGTTCTACCGTCGTGGGTGACAACGTATGGAACACCTCTCTTACCCAAAGCGATCTTCCTGACCTTACCGAGCTTGTAGGAAGCCTCCTCAGCGGTGATTCTGTGGACAGTGAATCTACCCTTGACATCGTACACCAATCTGAAGTTCTCGTTGGTGGCCTCCAAGGTGATGACATCCATGAAACCAGCTGGGTAGGTGGAGTCGGTTCTGACCTTACCGTCAACCTTAACGTGCTCTTGCATCAAGATAGCCTTGACCTCTCTGCCGTTCAAAGCGTACTTCAATCTGTTTCTCAAGAAAACGATCAAAGGCAAGCACTCTCTCAACTTGTGAGGGCCGGCGGAGGCTCTTGGGGCGTAGGTGCCGGACAATTTGTCCAACATCCAGTGGGATGGGGCCGCCAATCTCTTAAGGTGCTTCTTAGGTCCTCTAGCCATGATGTGGTTGTGGTATAGTGAGAAAAAGATTTGATACTTTTTTTTTTCAGTCTTGTGCGCAGCGGGCTCGAGCCCTATCACGTGTGTTGTGTACGCAGTCACACTCCCCGAGCTGTCACACCACTACCGTTCCAGGATAATAGAGCGTTTGGGAATAAACTTCAATGTGTAGTTTAGTACAATATATCAGTAACCCATATAAATTTTGATCAACCTCTGGTTATTGAAGTGTTTCATTATGTCCTCCTCCCGGTGCTTATATGTAGGCTTTTGGATGCCTGGACCACTTCATGATCAGGGCCATTTCTTGATATTAGGAGAATTTATTGATGAGTGATATGATTAATGGATTGGTTCAATAAGGCATTTGACTTTCTCCTCTTAATATGTTGTTTGTGGAAGTAATAAGGATTATGCGTGTCTCACTCTTTGGTCTCAGATACACCAGCATCAGTAAACTCAATAATGAACATAAAGCATATTTTAAGAGTCGATATTCTAAGCTTTCGAATTAGATGTTACTTCAAAGGCTCACTTTTTGTTAACTACTGCGTCTACCGTTTACCTATTCCCACCCTTTTCATTATCAGGAAGACATCTCCGTCTTGTCGTATTGCCGATTCGTATGTAATGCTCACCAAAACCATTTCTTGCCTCCCTTCTGCTTCAACTCCGAATCCACAGCCCTGTTCTGCAACGTCAACTCGTGGAACTGCTCTTCAAGTTCGGCAAATCTCTCGGTCTCCTTCGCATTCTCCGTCAAGAGATCCTGAATCTTCGAGTCCACGTCCTGCGGGAGCGACGAGCTCAGCTGTTCGACCTTCGCCTCAAGCTCTTTGATGTCTTTTTCTAGCGAGATCGCTTGTGCTTCTAGGTCCTCGATGTCACCGTAGACATCTGGCAACACAACCTTGGTGTTCACCAACTCCTGCACCACACTCATGTGGTCCTTGTTGATGGTGTAGAACTCTGTTTCGAGTTGCTTGATCTCGTAGCGTAACTGACCATTCTTCGTTCTGTACTCCTCGATCTCCTTGGTTCTGGCTGCATCTTTCTCGCATAGAAGCTCGAACTCCAGCTTGTATCTGTTGATGTCGGCAGGTGAGACCTCTACAAGCATGGCATCCTTAACAAATGCATCAAGCTTGTAGTAGTTGGCCCCGCTCTTGGTAGTGGACTTGCGGCCCAAAAGCGAAAAACGCTTGTTTTCCGGTTTTTCTGTCGACGCCACGAATTCGTCGCTGACATAAATATTAAAAAGATTGAGCTTCAAAAATTCGAGAAGGGCGTCGAAGTTGAGTCGAAGGAGGTTGCTTTCGTTTCTCAACATTAAGTTCACCGCCAAGCGGAGCACGGCCTCGATACCCTGTGTGATCACCATATCAAAGATTCTCAACACCACGTCCAACGGAAATTTATAGCTGAAGAATGTGAGGAACCATTGGGAGGCATACATCGACAGGCGGATGCCCTGGCGCACCAAGTGGTTGTATAATAGCGGCAGGCACTGTTCGAGCAAACGGTCGAACTGGTGGAGCAAGAGATGAAGGCCCTGCATTTCCGGGCAGAAGAGCTCCCGAAGACCGTAGTCCTTCATCAATGTGACAAGCAAGCAGAAGCACTCGGCCTCGTTCATGTTCATCACTAACGGTACCACTATGAACACCATACCCTGAGTGTACCCGACGTCAGGGTCAAAAAGCGAATAGACTTTGATCACGTTGAACAACTCGTCGGCCTTGTTGGCGGCGTTGACGTTTGTGAAGAAAGATGTACGAGACAAGTCTCTCTTGATGGCTCTCTCGTGCACGGAGGTTTCGTTCTTCAAATGGAAGTAGAGCTCCTCAAGCTGGAGGTTCTTGGAGCGGCTCACGAGCTGCCAGATGATGCCACGAAACTCCTTGGGGATCCCGTCCGCCACGGCCCGCTGCACCGTCTGGGGTTCGTCTTTGACCAATTCATCATAGTCCTCTACAACCCTGCCCCAAAACTCCCAATCGATATCGACACCACCCATAAGCTCGGGCGCTGAACCAATCGTGGCCTTGATGCCATTGAACGTGTTTTTGATGCTCTGGCGGCCCAGCTCGATCGCAGAACGTGCTGCTTCGTCTTTGGAGTCGAATTTGATACTAATCTCGTTTTGCCTTGCTGCAAGCAACGACGAAGGCGCTTCGGACGGTGGAGCCGCAGATCTGGGTATACCTGTTTCCACTGCTGTCCTTATCCCGTCCCTGGAAGGCAATTCGTTTGAAGTCTCCTCGGTTACCTGTTCTTTGGGCTCCTCGATATTTTCCTTCTTGGGGCTCTCTGGAAAAGCTCCTGGCGGAACAGACGCCTCCTTGACCTCTTCTTCCGGTTCCTCCGGGGCATGACGCTCCTGAGTATCGGTGAATTCGTCTTCATCCTCGTCGTTGTCCTTTTGAGACCCAGAACCATCTTGAGATTCCGTCAGGGAAAGCTCCTGATTGGTCGCCGCGGGCAGATTTTCGGCATTGGCGGCGCCATTTTCGGCCTGACTTCTCTGCGTCTTCTTCTTTCCCTTTTTCCCCATGAATAGTGGTTGGTTATCAAGAGAGGATTAGATTCTGTGCAGCAGGACCAAGGTGTATCGCTCGGCGTGCCAGGTGCAGGACATTTGCACCCAAACGGGTGGGTCTACAAAGTTAGTGAATATATCTCGTGATTTCATTCTCTCGTAACTCGTACTCGTAATCTCTCAGTTTGCTTACACGGCCCACTCGTGTTCTTCCACGATGTGCACCAGCGACAGCGGCGGCACAGGCTCGAGACGGACTATCCTTTGCAGCAGCTGCAGCGACAAGATATCCTGAGAGCTGGCGGTGCTGCCCAGCGATAGCAGCGGCAGGGGCATGTCGGAGGCGCTGAGGAACCAACTGGTGGTTTCTGAAGGGACCGACTCTCCATACGAGAACTCCAGCCCGGCATCACTCTCGGAGCTGCTGCCAGCAGAGGCTCCCTCGTGGATGACGCCGCCAACGACGTTCTTTTCCACCAAAAGCGTCTCGAGACGCTCTCTGTCGCAGTTGGGGAAGAACACGCGGATCACGCCCTCGTCCTGGACGACTTCTACCGGCAACTCGCCCAACTCACTCAAACGAGCCAAGTCACGCTGTACTTCGGCGAGCTTCTCTCTAAAACGGGCCAAATTGTCCATCATCTCGTCCACCACGTCGGTGGTCAACACGGTCTTGTCGGGGACGGAGAGCCTGGGGGCATAGCGAAAGTCGACGTAGACGCCAGAAACAGCCGGCTCGATCTCCTCGGTGGCCCAGCTGCCCAAGCGCTTGACCAAGTCGTGGTAGTGTGGGGAGCCCTGGATGCTTGTCTTCAACACCGCAGGAACGGCTCTGGAAATGTCTACAGTCAGGTACTCGGACTGCTGCACTGCTGGCTCCTTGCGTTTGAAAAGCTCAGCCACAGCACTCTGGATGCCCTTGTTCCAGCGCTGGTCCTCTTCCTCCTCGAACGCCTGGCAGAAATCCTTGTGTGCCAACTGCGTCAAGGAGGGGATCTTGTAAAGCTTAGAGGCCTTCAGGGAGTAGCTTCTTTGAGCAAAGTTCTGGGAAACAAGACCGGTGCCCACTTTGCGGCCGCTAAACGGACAGAAGCCCGAGAAGAAGCGGAACTGGCCCTTGCACGCCCGAGCCCGGAAGCCACGGCCCATGGTCCACTTGTCAAAAAGGCTCCAGCCAAACTGGTGGTTTGTTCCAAAAAACGTCAGGTAGCCTCTGTTCTGCTGAAACTGACCAATCACGTTCATCCGGCGGAAGCCCTTGGATCTGGGCACCACCACGGGGATTCTAGCAGGAGCCCTCTGGCCCCATTCTTGGCCCAAGTTCTCCTGGAGCTCCTCAAGCGCCTGTCTGAGTCTCTTGTGAATATTCCTCTTCAAGGCGGCGAGGTTTTTCAACGCAGACATGGCATACCAATAAATAGAAGGTTTTGTTTGGGAAGCAAAGTGAAAAAAGAAGGGAAGGTGGTTTTTCCTGGTGTTGCTGAAGAAAAGTGTGGATGTGGTTAGGGTCGTTTGGGTAGAGATGGCTGTTTTCGCACGACTCACTCACCCTTGCTAGCCCGAGCCGGATACCCCGCGGTTCGGTTTTAGGACGGAGGAGGCCAGGAGGGAGAGAAGATTTATTTATTTAAAAATTTTGGGTTTTCGATTATTTTTTCAAATCGACTTTTTAAATATGCTGCTTTTGGTTGGTTTTTTTTGTTGTGGGCCTGCTCTGTAAGACCTGACGTAATGCTCACGGCGACTCAACTTCCATGCTGTTTACCATTCAAGCCCGTGAAAACGGCTGCGGCAGATCCGCTACGCCGTGGTGTCCGGGTTTTTTCAGGGAAACTTCACCAGAATTTCCCGATTTTTTAATTCTCCCTTTTCTACTACTTCCTTTTCCTGCTTTTCTCTGGCGTCTTGTGGTGCTGGGTTCCCGCTGGTGGGTCTGGATTCGCTGCCATTCCCGGGGTGCGCGGATTGAGAACCGGCTGGGTTCGGAGCAGGAAGGAATGACAGAACAATAAAACGTGAATGGCGAGGTGGAGAAGGGTTCTTTTTGGCTTTAGGGTTCTTTTTCGGTCGCCAAGGTTTCAAGGGTCCTGGTGGGGTTTTCTTTATTGGCCCCGTGGACACTGGGAGTTCTTGGTGGTCAGGCTGAGTGAGGGATTTAGCATATGGTGCATTGACAGCTGGTAGAGCAAATCGGGAGGGTTTAGCCAATCCGCTTTGGTCTGGTGATTTTGGATGTTTCTGGACTAGTGATTTTGGACTAGTGTTTCTGGACTAGTGATTTCTGAAGTAGTGATTTCTGGATTAGTCGCTTTTTGACTAAGCAAATGATGTATAGTTGGATTGGAGGAGTCTCTGGGTCTGTATGGCATGTGGTAGTATACTCGTTGCACTTACAGCTCCCCATGAAAGTAGATCAATTTTTTCCTCTATGTCAAGCTATCTGCCTAAGAAGGCCTATTCAAAGACTAAGCGAATGCTTTTTTTTTTTTTTTTTTTGTTAAATTCATCTGATTAAATGGAAAACCCTATCTAATTTTACTTTGATTACCTGCTTGTGTCCAATGGATCTGATGAGTCTGCATCGGCCAAAACTCGTACACTTCAAAAAGCCAATCACCACTTCTCAAAACCACTTTCATTTTGTTCATTATCATTTCCTCTTAAAGCTTCATCCGGACCCTATCTCCTTACATTAATTCTACATGTCCCATTCATAATATGTCAATGCACTGGCTAATATTATACATTACGCGAGACGCACGCTGGTTTCCAGAAAGATCGCAAAACGTCACCCACCTACAAAAACACAAAATCGTCGTGAATATAAATAAGCTAAATATCATTGGACGCTTGTCTTCAATAAGATCAAATAGGTAGTAGATCATTTGGATCATCGAGAAACGGGCTGGATTGAACACATTTGACTCGTCGTCCACATAATGAAAATCTACTTCGCATAAATCGCCAATTAACCTACCTAGAAAATACTTCTTCTACATTGTGCTCAGCTTGCCTGCGCTACAAATCTCTTCATATGGATCGTGTATTGTCGTGATGGAGTGGGTCGTTAGATGCTAGAAGTCGGTGATGACTTCGTTGAAGATGGAGGTGTATTCTGGGGAGAAAGGGCTGAGGCGTTGTTTCTTTAAGCTGGGCTCTGGGAAGGCCTCGGCGTCGTAATCGTAGTTCTCGATCGAGTTCAATGAGAGCAACGACGAAGGTGACGTCAACGAGGGTCCCAGCGTGCTGTCTCTGTCTCTGTCTGAAGGTTGCTTCTTAGGCGAAGTGGGGATATTATTAAGCATGAAGTCGTCGATGATCTCCTGCTTGATCTTTACCTTGTCCCATGACTCCTCCTCGGACTCGTTGCACTCAGCATGGGAGAAGACAGAGTTGGGCGACTGGGCAGTCGACTCGTTCTTGAGGTTTCTTAGTTCTTCGACGTAGTTTGGATTGTCCATGAGCAGATCAATGCTCACATGAGATGGTAACATGATCCGAAGCATTTCAGTGACCTTGTCCAACTTATTTTCAACCTCGGTGAGGTAACGTCTCGTGAGAGGCAGCCTGACCGTCCTGGGCAGGTACAGACAGCACCATCCGTGTTGCTTACACTTGGAGCACTTTGGGTATTCTTTGGAACACTTGAGTTTGCGTTTGCGGCACGAATCACACGCCTGTTCGATGGTGCTTTCGTCAGCAGTCTCGGACTTGCACTCCGAATCGGCAGGTGTATCGTGGGCTTCATTAGACTTTGGATATGAATTGATAGTGCTGCGGGCGTATGGTTCTGAGCCTGTGAGGGCTTCGGTTCTGGAAAATAGTTCGTTTTTGGAGAGTGGCTCTAGCTTCACTGAATTTGATGTGTTGGCCATGATATTCCAGTTGCTGACCGATGGGGTATTAGGGAAGAAAACAGGTATTGGCTCGGGGGTGGGCCAATGAAGGGGAAAACTTTGGATAAAAAGGGGTAGCAGAGGAAGGAAAAGTGTTTTTCAGTCGGCCAATTTTTCTCGTTCCGCTTGAGAGGGGTAATGAATGTCTGGATTGAGTTTTGGATAGCCCCTCTTGCATGCAGGAGCAAGCTGCAACCCGCCTACGGAACAACCCACGAGTACCTCTTCGTTGCATAGGGGATCTGATTCAAGACACTAAGCCACACTGGGACAATCAATCAGCTAAGGCATCGCTGAGCGGCGCTTTGATTGTTTCGTAATTATTAAAAAGAAATGCAGTTTGGCCGTTTCTCCATCGGCCGTGGGTTGCCCAACAACACAATGACGTTGACGTGCTCTTCGATGACTCCGCTGTGTATGCAGGCGACCATGGAAGCCGTTGGTCGCTACTTTGCAGCAGGGACGAGCGGGTTATGGTGTCTTGCTCGCGATAACAAATCAAAAAGCGCGATGGCCAATGAAAAAGTAGCTGTGCAGATGTTGTGGTGCTCGGCGGGGCTCATTCGGCGCGGGTGGGGCTGTCGGCGGGACGAATGTGCAAGTCCGAGCCGGAACAATTCTCAGCGCTTTTAATTGTTCCGAGCGAAAATTTGCTGGGACCTGGACGAAGCCACATACAGTGCTTGGCGAGAAAGCACATTCCGTTTTTGGATCTCGGTATGCACTGCGAGGGCAGGCCGTATAGACGTAATTGGTCCCATTCATGCGTTCTGCCTGCGGGAAATTATGGTGCAATTTTGCATCTCGCCCTTCGTGATTTTTTTTAGAACCTCAAGGCGTTCGGGATCAACACATAAATGACTCACCTCGGCAAGGGGCTTAAGCACACACGGCCAAATAAAGTGGCTTTGCTGCGTACCCAATATTTAGGAATGCTTCATGTAGCTGCCGGCAACTAGAATCGTCCTTTAATTATATGGGCATCAGCCTGATTAGGCCAGGGTTTGAACCGTTGTTATTCTTCTTGTGTCCCTGACTCTTGGAACCACCTCTCCCTGTCTTGTGCCTCTTCTGGGATGGACCCTTATGTGATTGGGACCGCTTTTTCTGAGTAGGTGGAAAATACTGTGATGTGTGCTCACTGATTGTGCTGTTTCCTTGTGTACTCTGAGAGGGGTAATCCGGGGAGGCCTTTTTCCGTTCTCTGGCCAAGGCGCCCAAAGTCTTTTTGAAATACTGGAAATACGGCGCTTGGTCCTTGCTGATGTTATCAAGTTTTCCAAAGTCCCGAGCGTTTGTAGGAAGCTTGATTGCCATTTCTTTGAGCGCGTCGTCTCCGAGAAGGTAGTTTGGCCTGGCAAACCTGAGCTCTTGCAGCTTTTGATGACGGATTTTCCGAAGCTCGCCAAAAGCCCGCTCCACAGCATCCTCATTATTGGCATTGATCTGACCGTTGAATGTCTGCCTTGGAAGCGTGATCTTCGTTTTGGAAGCCTGGTAGAGATTCTCTTTTTCCTGCTCTTGATTTCTCATTTCACGGGCACTTACGAATGAATCTTGGTAACGGAAAGTGTTGAGACCATTGCCATTACCGGATGCAACGAGTCTGGTCCTTTCACCCTTCTTTGCCGAGTCTGCTTGCGCGAAACTAAGCTTGATTCGCTTCGATCCGTTCATCAAGGGCCTGGCATTAGGCCCGAGCTTGACATATGAAGAAGCAAAACCACCTTTCATAACCTGGTATTCTAAAAGACAACCTTCGCTTTGCAAGTGGAAGAAGATTCTCTCAATTGCACCTCTATCAAGCCCGTTTCCGAGACCATGGTACTGACTTTCGTGGTGGCCCATTTTCAAAATCTTTCCACTTCTAGAGCCCCTGTAAACGTCTTGACAGTGAATCGTTGTAACCTTGTCCAGCTGAATCTCTTGAACGAGCTTGACGATATTTTGGCAGTGTTCTGTAACATCCTTCACGACGGCTACAGTGTCACTGCAGCAGTTATCACACTTCTTGTTGCACTTTTTCGGATCAAACTCCTCGTTGAAGAAATGCAACACCTGCTTTCTGCGGCAATCCGACTTGTTCTCGCAATATTGCACAACCTGCTTCAATTTTGATAAGTGCGATTCCCTAGCTTCCTCTTCAAGCTTGTCGTCTCTCTGGATCAAACTCTGAAGACTTCGAGCGTCTTTATATGAATAGAACATGATACATTCACTCTCTTCACCATCTCTTCCAGCACGACCAGTCTCCTGGTAATATCCCTCCAAGGAACGTGGAATATACATGTGAATGACAAACCGAACATCCGGCTTATCAATACCCATTCCAAAAGCAATTGTAGCGCAGATCAATTGCAACTCATCGTGCTGCCATTTTGTTTGTACGTCGAATCTCTCATTGGGGTCCATGCCAGCATGGTAGAACATTGAGCGTATTCCATATTCATTAAGTTTCTGCGAAGTAGTCTCACAAGACTGCTTGGAGTGACAATAGATAATTCCTGTCTGTCCCCGCCTGTTTTGCATAATGTAGTCCCGGATCCATTCGTAGAGGTTAGATGGTTTGCTCTTCACCTCGTAGAAGAGATTTGTTCTGTTGAAACTCTGTTTTAGCAAAACGGGATTAGACATGCGGAGATGGTGGACAATATCTAGTCTCACCTTTTCGTTAGCGGTCGCTGTAAGTGCCATGACAGGGACTGTAGGGTACTGCTGCTTGAACATACTCATGCCTTTGTAGTCGGGTCTAAAGTCATGTCCCCAGGAACTGACACAATGCGCCTCATCCACCACGACTCTAGCAAGCATATCGTTTTCATAAAGCTTGGTGAGTACCTTCTGCACACGTACGGAGTTGTTGACCATCTCAGGCGACAAATAAACGAGATCGAGCTGACCTGAGGTGAGAGACTTGAAAGTAGCATTCCTCTCTTCACTAGAGCCCTTGGAACTGATCATCCCAGCACGAATGTTTTTGTCAAGCAAATGTTGGACCTGATCTTGCATCAAAGAGATTAATGGTGAAATGACAAGCGTCGTGCCCTTTGATTTTCCATTTCTCACGAGCGCTGGAAGCTGATAACAAAGGGACTTACCACCTCCAGTTGGGATCAATACGAAGACGTCTTTGCCGTTGAGAGTGGAACAAACAACCTCCAATTGGTTGGGACGGAAGCTTTTGAGCTTGAAGGTTTTCTCTAAAACATCGTAGACTTCGTTAATAAACTTCTCAGATCCAGGAAGCACCGTTCTCTCAGATTGGCTCAGCTTTCCGACGGATTTGGAGAGCTGAAGCAATTCGTCATCATCGTCACTGAAATCCTCATCACTAATAACGACTTGATTGGGCTCTACTTTGATTCTGGTATGAGATAACTCATTGAGCGCTGCCATATCTTCATCATCCATATCATCCTCCGATGGAATTTCGACAATCTCATCACGAGCCTCATTGAGCTGCGTGGTGAAGTCCATGGGGTTGGCTTCCTCCTCTTCGTCACTAACCTCAACTAGGTCAATCTGATTGTCCTCATCGGTTTTCTCTCCCGGTTGCGTGTTGTATTTGAGGCCGTATCTTTCAGCAACGTCCTGGGACAACTTGATATTCGCCAACTCGTCGTCCATATCGTTTCCTTCAGGCAGGCGTGGGGCACTGTCCTCGATCTCACTTTCGTCCTGGTCAGAATCAGCCTGTGTAGCTCGAGGACTAACATAGGTGTCGTCAATCGATTCAACATCATCTACAGCAATGAAGCCACTGAGATCTGTGTCTCTGTCGTCAGCCTGAGAAGATCTCAAACCGTCCATGTACTCTTCACCAAAGTCGTCCTCCATGTCGTCTTCATCCACGAACATAGACTGGCGAGGTGGTTCTCCATTTTCTTTTTGTCGACGAGTTTCCATGATGATCTGGCGAGCCTCTTCCTTGTTTCTTTCAAACTCGTTATCCTGAGGGCGGCTCTTTGCGTAGGCGAGAAGGGCGAGAAGTTGAACGGAGAAGTAGGAACCTCTGGCTGTCTTGGGGGCTGTGGTTCAGGCGAAAAGGGAATTTGAACATGATTTTCAGCTCTTGGAAGCGGCTGTGACGACTGAAGTGGCGAATCGACGCGGATGCTTGAAGGAATACCGAGGTTTGGTTGAGGTGCCTCAGAGAAGCTAGAAAGCTTCGACAAGTCGTCTTCATTCGGGAGCGGATCAAGAAACGTGAAACCCGCCCTCATACGCAGCTGCTGAGCATCTAGGGCGCTGAATTTGTTTGCAAAGTTCTTGGAAACCCACTGGTTTTTGGCGTCGAGAGAAAGCGATGTGCTCTCGTTGACTGAGTGCCTCTTCACCAACAAGTTGATCTTTTCCTCACAGAGCCGTATATACGCCTGGAGCTTTTCGACGTCGTTATCGGGTTTCGACACAGCTTTAAGCTTCACCGGCTCCGGCTGGACGGGTTTCGGCTGCACTCTCGGTAGTTGATCTAGCGTAGTCTGTGGTTTAACCTTAAGAGGCGGGAGTGCCTTTGTATCTATAAGTTTGAGCAGCTCAGAATCACTGAAATCGGACAAATCGTCGAGCTGGTTGAGCTGGGTGGAGGCCATATGCGGGCCTGGTGCTGGATCGTTGTTTCTGGATTGTAGGCCATAAGATGTAGATGTTTGAAGGCTGTTAGTTGTAGATGCTGCTTTCGGTAGACTAGGTCTGGAATCTGGAATAGACTGAAAGTTTGTCTTCTCTTTAGGCAAAGCAGTCCCGTTTTGGGAGTTTCCGTTGCTTTCAGGGACCCGATCAGCTCCTTGAGGACCTCTCGGTAGAGCTTGGAAAGGCATTTTGAAAGCTCCATCTCTTCGATTTTCCAGTCCCTGGCGTTCTAGAATCTGGACATGCCACGGCGGCGGGATCTGCGGCTGCGACGCGTCTACCCACGTTCGTAGCTCCTTGAGGTTGTTTAAAATCGCCATGGTTATGGGTGGTGTTTACGCGATGTTTGATATTTGATATGCGCGTGCGATGTGTTGATGGGTGGGATTTGTGATTTTATGAGACTGAAAAATGATGCTTTTTGGGGTACCGGGTGAAGGATTAAAGGTGTTTCGGTAGAATGGATGGTTTGTGGATTTGGAGTTGTGGGTTGTTTGGGTGAGAGATGTAAAATGGCTGCGAAAAAGGTGGTTGAGGTATATGGAGACGCATTGGTGGCGAATGAAGCAATATTAGAGATCAAAAAACAAAAAAAAAACAAAAGATCCGTATATCTTTCAAAATGGGGTAAAAGATGGAAGTATTGAAAGAGCTGAAATGCGGGTGAAGCGGATGTGTTGGTTGCATATATCATACATTCTGTAGTATTCCAGAGTGCACTGATGAAGACTATGACTTAGCAGTTCATTTTCTTTTTTGGTAGAATACTTCAATTTGGATCACTTATAGTTACAGCTGAATGCTGCACGAAATCGGAAGGCAGCCTACTGTATGTGGATGGCACTTTTCGGAGGAATCAAGCGAAGCTCTCACCATAACGGTCAACAAGAAGAGTTACTAAAGCCCTACTTGGTTCTATCTGAGATCTACCAAGAGAATCTTGAAACACGGTTTCTTGAACTACTCCCCATACAAGCCCAGACTCCAGAGTCCAGGGAGAAAGTTTCATAGACAGAGTTCAATCAACGCTTCCACAGAGTTGAATATGGCGAGAGTGAAATATGAGCGTCTCAAAGAAAGTGATATTCAGGACGACGAACGATATCTTGGGGAGGAGCGTGATGTGCAAAGGGACTATGAGAGGGAATCTCCTATTTGTGAATTGGGTATAGAGTGTTTTTTTGAACTGCTTATTTTGTCCAAGTAGAATAAAAACGACAACAAGTATTGCTTGTTGTGAGTTTCGATGTGGAAACGCAGATCACCCCTTTCAAACATCCTCATGTTCTCCTTTTGAATAATCTTAAGCAATGCCTTGGGAGTCGGGTTAAGCACTCCATTCTTTGAGAGAATGTGAATAGACTTTTCAACTGACACCACATACATAGAGACCTCCGCTGGACACCCAATACCAATTGGTATTTAAATCCATATCGGCGGAAGATGCCAGGCTTCTACAATTAGTATTTATACCGAGAAGGCAGAGAAGTCTGCCTTCATGTCAACTGTCACCTCCACCCAGCCAAGACCGATCCCACCACCTTGATCTCAGATCCAGCCGTCAGCATGTCAAAGGCAAATCCAAACCTTTCACTATTCTTCCGTGGAGCAAATCTCGTGATGGAGGGGAAACCCACTGGCCGACCAGCACATGAAAGCAAGGAAGGAGAGAACCGAGGGCGGCGAATCAGCCGATTCTGCGAATCAGCCTATGTGGTCAGCAATTGTGGTTTTTCCATGGCACCAGGATCCGACCACTTGTGGCTTGACATGTCAGAAATCAGACAATCGAGGGTCCACAATGGCATGTGAAAGCGGCGCCAGATCTTTGAGATAACCGGTGGAGGGAGAGCAGAGGCAACTTTCATTCTACTTTTCTTTCTTTTATTTTTTCACTTTTTTTAGAAGAAGAGATGGCTCAAAGGAAAAGGAGTTAGGGGAGATGGAAAACGGCGCTGCAAGGTGGGGTTTAGCGGGATCTTATTTTGTTGAGAGAGTCTAGTGTGCCTAACGCCGGTGCCGCGTGGGTGCAAAACACCAAAGACTGTGGACTCTAGAGTGTTATTTTCGTATTTTTGAAAATCAATGAATTGTAGTAGGAGAGTCTCATGGCAGACCGTGGTTTCTCCGGCAAAGCCCTGTGGCTTGGGATACAAACGGCAGAAAATGGGCATATGGAAAGCGAATATCGGCACAGCCAAGGAACTAGACGACTTCCGGTCAGTTTCGGTCGAGCAAGAGAACGGTATGCTGGTCTAGGAAAATTCCACTCAAGACGTGGAAGTCTAATTCAATGCACAGACGCAGCAGCAAGAAATAAACGAGCAACGGCATAACAAAGCTACACAAAGCCGGACCCCCAAGTTACATTATCACAATACGCCCATGGAATATCAAAAATACATCAAAGTTCCATGGCTTCCATGGCCTCCAGAAATGCAACATCGATTATCTAGGGCCTTCCACGGGCAGGCTACAGCGAGAAAACGTCATTTTCCAAAGTTGGGCTGCGGAGTCCGCGGGGTGGGAGGGTTTGGGGCGGTGAGAGAAGCCGGAAAAAGTCCGGAGGAAGTCGGAACACAAGAAAGTGGAAAAACCAGCCAATGGCCGCCGCCGGGCATTACCCCCGGTGCCGCAATCGAAAACGAGATTTCGATGGTGAAAATAATGGATTTTTTTTTTTCATAGCATTGTTTGGTGGTAGGGGTGGAGAATGCTGAGGTGAATGGAGGAGAAACAAGTCGCAGTCAATGAGGCAGGTGTCAACGGTGGCTGCGCAGAGGGGAATAGAGAGAGGGGGAAGCGGAGACGGTGTGAAAGTGGAAAGTTTTTTTTTAATTTGTAGTTGGAGGTATATTGGCTCTGTAGGTGTTTGGAGGGGTAAGGGTTTTAGGGGAGGGTTGGGGCAGGGTTTGCCGAGGGTGGGAATATGTGGTGGACGAGGGTGGGCCGGTGTCCGGCGATGCCCTCGGGTGGGGAGTGGAAGGTTTTGAAAAAAAGGTCGGTGGGCGATTTGTAACCGGGGTTTGGGCAGACCCTCGGAACTGGCAGGGGACCCTCGGAATTGGCAGGCTGTGTATGGTGATTTTTCGTCGCCGGCTCCGGTCGGAAATGGGCGGCGGTTGGGTGATTTTGGACTGTGTGCAGGACAACCAGCTTTAAAAGCGAGTGAGCATCAGGTGGAGACCGCCCTCGGCAGGGCCTCGGTGCCACCCTCGACCGCACCCCCGGAACACCAAACACATAGCGTCCCCTCGGTGGCGCCACTTCCCCGAATCGCATTCATATCCGACTCGCCGGATTATTTCTGCGCATGGCCTTACTATTAAACCCCATCGTCCCCCAGCCTCAGGTGCCGTTTTCTCCACCTCATCCTTCCACCCCCGGATTTCCCACCCCATCCCTACTATTAATTTCTACCGCTGCCCACCCCCGGCTCCCCTCGTCCATAGCCTACCTTCCCCCCGGTCTTCCCCTCGGATTAACTCAGGCCTTCTCCTCTCTTTGTTCAGGACTCCTCACTTGGTGCATACAGCCATCTATATATTTTGCACCCATTTCCACACGCCTTGACAATCCAAACCCGCTTTTTCCACAATAATGACCACCTTCCAAAGTCACTTCCAGTTCGGCCCGCTTCCGGACCACAAAAAGCAAACTTACACAGGCCAGGCCCTTCTGGACCCTCTGGCCTCAGACTCAGAAGACCTCTTGCCTGACTTATGGCTGGAACCTCCCAAAAACCCCGTCCCTGTTTCCTACTCCACATGGAACGAGCCCAATTGGCAAACCCTGATGATGAGAGACGCCTCCTTGGAATACGCCCAGCTGCTTCTCCCCCACTCTCTATTGGCGCCTTTAACCGAAGAAAACCTCGAAAGACAAGACACCAGAAACAGAGAAAGAGAACCCCGTACGTTCAGACAAGAGCGTGTGCCCAGTCTACTGAAGGAGTCCAAGTCGTCTTCGGTCAAGTCGGACGACAGGAAGTCCTCTCCCCGCCAAAAACACATCAACACCCAGCTCTACAAGACAGAATTGTGTGTTTCGTACATGAAGATGGGCGTGTGTCCCTACGGGAACAAGTGCCAGTTTGCTCATGGCCAGGAGGACTTGAAAACGGTGGAACGGCCTGCCAACTGGCGCCTGAAGCCCTGTGCAAATTGGGCCAAGTACGGTCTGTGCCGCTATGGCAAGCGCTGTTGCTTCAAGCACGGCGACTAGCTTTTATTTATTTCACGACTCACGATAAAAATGGTAATATATGCGGGACCAGCGGCGCCGCTGGTCCAGATAGACAATCACTGTAGGGCAAGTCCATGAACCAGTATTGCTGAGGCTGCTTTTCTGGAATCTCTCAGTGCCATACGACTGTTCTGCGGCATTACATCCCCGGAAATGGAAATTTGCTCATCATGGAATATCGCTCATCACACGGGTGGAATATCACTCGGAGAATATCACTCGGGGAATATCACCGGAGAATATCGCTCGGAGCGGAATTGGGTGGTTCAAAGTCGTCTGCTTTCGTTGTTGGGCGATTCCATAAATAGTGCGGTTTTGCGTGGAATACGTCATTTTGGTGATTCCGGACCAGGTGGGGCAATCTGGGAAGTCACCTGGAGTCACAGTCACCGCTGGCTGCAAATTAGCGCAAACCGATGCTGAGGGTCTCACCTGGGAAAATGCAGTTTGAAAGGCAAGAAGGCAACACAATGTCAGCCAAGGCAGATTGCAGTGCATTCAGAAACATCCGCCTACACCTGCTTCTTCAAAGTTGGCGAACCCCACCACATTCTCCACCATTCTCAACAACCAAGGTACCACCACCTCTCAACCTCCCCACTTTTCCAAAACTCTTTCTTGTCTCTCTCGCTCTAATGCCTCGGCTACTTCCCCGCTGTCGTCAGATGGTCCTCGTACACTTGTAGATCCCAACGGCGATCAACCGTGATACAGATTTACACCACCGTCAGATGGAGGATCCCCACTTTCGGCATGAATCACAACAGTTTTCGGAGGTAAGGTCCGTGGTTTTGAAAAGTGGTGATGTCTTTGTCGCTCCAGCAGAAACCTCTTTTCATATGAAAGCAACTGGTTGGATGGAGCTTGTGCCGGAACGGCTCCGGTTTGAAGCCACAGGGATCGTCAACTTGAGCTTCTATCGGCTTGGCACAACGGTGGAAGATATGACAGTTGTAGAGGCATTTCTGGCGGGCTCGTTGACGGGATCAATAATATCCATGGGGTACGCCACAGATAGCAAAGTGAGCGAAAGTCTTCGAATCTCTTGATCTCAAGACGGGCCGGTGTGCCATTGAAATGGGTCAAGGATAGGCAGACAAGCTTGAATCTACTGAGATTCAGAATGGGCTCTCGCCTTAAATAGGCTAGTAGCCATATAACCGCTGCAACTCATTGAATCACATGTAATCGACACATGAAGATGGATAACATGGTAGTTGATAATATGGAGATTGTAGGACACACACTGCATTGTATCAAAAATGGTTGCAACTCATGCCCCACAGTTTGAGGATAAACAAAACTTGCAACATTGCGCTCCCATTGTCAGCATTCACAAGTCAACCTAGAGACGCAAAACTCTCTCCTCACTTTTATTTCCAAAACAGCGAGCAAAAGACATTCATGAACCCATAGGTACCAAGTCTCAGATATGACGTCAAACACCTTTTGACATGCTCGCTTATCGCTGCAGTACCGTTTAAAGGTCAACAACTCTTTCTTCATGGGTGGTCTGATCAACGGGAAAAACACTGCACAGTTTGTCCCAAAATTTTATAAAGACGATTCCAAACTTCGGCGATTTGTGCACTATATTGTGTGTGTGTTGTTGCCGGTTCTGTTCCTTCTAGTGTTGGCAGAGAATGAGCAGCCTTTCTATGGCACAAAGGACAGGAACGAGCTCAAAATGCTAGGAATGTTTCTCTATTCATTGCTCAGTTGGAGAGTCAGCAATAAGTTTGGAATCCGAAATTCTGCCTTACTCGGTCTGTTTTTCTGGTCAGGACTCGTCTTAGCAAGGTTTGCATTATGTAAGACAGGCGTGAGATTCATGGACCCTGCCCTCTCGCTATTAACCGTTCTACTCAAGCAAACAACTTTGATCTCCTTGGGGCGCCTTACATTCTGGCACGTCCCTCACCTTCACTTTTTGGTATGGTTTTATGGGCTCTCACATTACCCCAAATGGGGCAACAAGTACCTTCTAGATGTATTTGGCCAGAATCTGCTACTTCCGTGGTTCTGCGGAGTCTTTTGGTTCGATCTTTTGTTTTGGCTTAAACCTGATTGGATCCAGCCGGTGAAGGAAGGCCATTTCTAGGACTAAGCTCTTGATGACAAGATGTTCACACAAAGGCCCCAATTACAGACTTCTGACCCAGACCTATAATTGTCATTGCATCCGCTGTGTGTCTTCGCAATTATCCTTGGCTCACCGTTATTGACACCTCGACTCATGGTGAAGCCTGATACACCGCACACTGCACGAATATAATCCGCAATCACTGCACCTCGAATATCCCAGCAAATTACCGCAGATACAACAGATCTTGGCTTTCGGCTTAATTACCCTCTCGCCCACACGTCTTTTCTTCGAACTTCCCTGTAGTAGCTCATCGTTCTGTTCAGCAAAGGAGAAATTCACGCCGAGAATCGTGTTGATCGATATAAGGTTCTTCTCTTCCTCAAAGTACGAGTTCAAGTTTCTCCTGGCTGCGAGAATCTTCTTGGTCGAGGGGGTATTACCCAAGCGGACCTTCTTTCCTCCCGAGGGCCCCGTGTGTATACTTGTGTATCCAAAAGTTTTTGGAATCTCGAAGTTGGAGTTTGGAGTCTCCTTAGAAAGCTCTCCCAACCTCTTCACAATGAGTTTCTCGAGTTGAAGCTGCTGCAGCGACTTGAAGTTACCACTGGTAATCGTTCCGTTGCTGTAGTTTGCCTGTGTTTGAGCATTTAGAAGATCCGTCAAGTTATAGTTCACTTTTGGACGGTTCTTTGTGTTTCTGTTTACATCCTCGGCAGCGTTGGGATCATAGTGTTTTGCTGCAGGCCGTGCCAGTAGGTTGATCAGCGACAGGAAATATATAGTCAGGCTGTTTTTATCGTTTTGTTTGGGGACCTCTTCTACCAACATGTTGGTTTCTTAGTATACTGAGGTCTGGTTGATGTATGGTGTGTGGTGCACGGGTGTCTACAGATTAGTCCAGGCAAGTGGCCTGAATCAAGACGTATTTGGTGGTTCTATTTTATCTTTTTTCTTGTTTTTTGCTTTTCAAAAGTTCCGGACTCAGAAGTTGTTTGAAGCAGAGGAGAAGTTCAAGTGCTGATTTACTCAGAACTACTCACTTATCAACCTAACCTCAAGGTGTACTAAGGTGTACCAATAGCAGCCAAGAACTGTATTGAAAAGATAATCAGGCAAATTCATATTAAATTCTAGGCCTTTGGTTTTGCTTTCTTGAGCGGAGTGAGAGAAAAAATTAGAGATGCGGTAACCTTATCGATGTGCTCTGAGTTTGACGAGACTGTTCAAATAGATCTGATGGACTAATCCAACTTTCCCGAGACTTTCGGATAAAACGGGCAATTCTTGGTAAGTCTACCCCTCTAGGAAAGAACCAAGCTAAACTACCCTTGATCACGAAGATACTCACTTAAGGTACCTTTGTCTTGACCTCACAGACACTACCACAAAACAGCGTTTCTGCTTTCGAGAGAATTGTATGATCTGTAAATCGCTTTCGGGAGACTCACCAGAGAACTCGCCAAAAGCAATAGTACAACTCCTTCCTCGAGTTTCACACCCCTAGGTGACTTGTACAAGCTGATGTAGAGCACCACTGAAGTACTAGAGCACTCCAACCAAGCGTTCAGAACTCGAATCACGATAGAATATAATGACAGGAATAAATGAATATCCCAAATCACCAATCATCATCCGAAATGGCCGCCCCACCGCCCCCTACAAATCCAGTCTTACACCCACCAGGCAAACCCAGTGGCTCATATCAAAACAGCCTCTGACCATACGTCACTTTGTGTGTGGTGAGTGGCCGTGACGTTGTCCACAGCGCCCGGTATCGAGTAGCGGCGAGCCGCATTGCTGCAACGGAGGTAGCCTATCTTCATCGACTGTTATAGTTGATGGAGAAGAAAAGCAGCGGATTTTCGCATCTATATACCAGTTGCCTGGGGCGGGTAACCTCCATCACCAGCCACCGAAGCCCTGGCCCAATTTGCAATTAAATAGAAAAAGGCTGCTTTTGTACTTTGTAAAAAATCTCCCTTCAAATTGATTTTTCTCCCCTGTCGCTTTCCTCTCGGTGTGTGTGTGAAACTCTCACCTCAATTTTTCACCTCAAAACCACTTCTTCATCTATGGCCGTTCCAGAGGCACAAAACTCCGTCGGTTTGGACGATCTCCGGGAAAACGGCCCGGTAATTCTCGCCGACTCCCTCACTAGCAGAAGGCTTCCGGCCCTCAGGCTCGTTTCTCGCCTTCTAAAAGACAAGGACAGTGGGCTTCTTGAAGACAAGAGTCTTCTTCAATCTTTGGCCACGCTGGTCCTCAAGAGCTACAACTACTACCAGGACGCTGCGCTGAGGACGGCGGCCACGGAGGTGCTTGAACTGTTGGCGAATCTCGATTCTGCCTACGCCAAAGCCTCCCACAAGTTTATATCCAATGTTGCGGGAAAACTGGGCAATTTGGCCTTGACCGACCTTGTGTCCTTGTTGGCGTGGACGTGCATGCTTCTTGCCACCGACCTGAAGGCGGCAGGGTCCGAATTGACCGCTTTGGCGTCGACACATGCGGTTCTTTTGGGCAGTATTGCTGGTGTTCAAAGAAAGGGCACACACACGAAAAGAGTGCTTGATTCGGCGCTAGCCCAGTCGAAGAATACGTTGATCAAGGTGCTTTTGCTGGGTGAACCGGCTTTGGTGGAGCATCTCGCTCAGAAGGTGATTTCGGACCTGATAGACCCTTCTGCTGCTACGCTATACTTGGCGGTATTGGCTGAAGCCGTTCACGACCTCCAACCGACCCATCCAGCTTACATTGCACGCTTGAAGGAATCACCTGCAAACGGCAAGGTGGTGGACTTTTTCCTGGAAAAGGTGCTTTTAGCGAAAACGGCCCCTCAGTCGTTTTCCATTGCCTACTTCACCAAATGGTACATTGGAGAGATTCTCTCTGCGGACGTCTTCACGCAGAAAATCCTCCCTAATCTCGAGAAGGCCATTCTTCGTTCATCGGAAATCGGTTTCTGTCACCTCGTTGAACCTCTCTTTTCCACACCCACAGAAGCCACCGATTTGAGTACCGTTTTTGCATCTTCCAAGCTTCTTGGCCACACGCTCAGCGGTGTGAAATCCACTAAGGAGCACGTCAGAGATAAAGCAGCCGAAGCATTGGCGTTGATTTTCAAAAACGCCTTGCCTCATGTTTCTCTTGCTGATTCGGGAAAAATCGTCGATGAAGTGATCAAGGCATTCAAGGGCACTACCAATGCCGAGGCCAAGGTGCTTTTTGCAAAGAGCTTGGGTGATTTGCGTGTGCCTGAAGAGCAAAACGGGAAGCTTTTCGATGCCCTTCTTCCGTTGGTTGCAAAAGAGCTGAACGAGAATATCCTCGCTGCTTTGAACACCGTTTTGATTGGAAACTACGTCTTTGCCTTGCGTAACAAGCAGAATCCTTCAGAGAAGGTGCTGGCTCAGATCAAAACAGGCTTGGCCAGTCCAAAGCTCAATTTGAGAAAGATCTGGGCGGTTTCTTTGGGAGACGCTCTTTATAGAGATCAGGAGGAGAACGAAGCCGTGGTGCTGTTTTTCGAGTCTCTTCTTCCCGAATTGACCAAATCTCTTCAAGAGGCTGTTCTGTCGCCGCTTTTGACCGTTTCCAACAAGGGCATTGCCTGTGCATATGTCGCTATAGCGATTAGTCGTCGTTTCAAGGACCAGATCCAGCTTGACGAGGAGAAGCTTTTCAAAAAACCGCTTGAAGATTCCCCGACAGCTTTTCCATTCTCGTGAGCTCCAAGGTGCTTGCCAAGCTCAAGGGCGTTGAACAAAAATGGTCACTTCGTGCACTTATAGCATCTTTTGAGCACACAGAAGAGAAGAACGTGAAGTTTGGCTCTGCGCTTATTTTCTTTGCCATTTCTGCCAATGTGGCTTTCGACGTTCGTATTGAGGCCTTGGAGAGTCTCCGTGCTTTGATGAACAAGAGCGGTGAGAAAGCCAGTGACATTGTCATTCCTGCTCTTCAAGAAACCTTGAAATCTGCCGAGGAGAACTCTCAGGAAGTCGCCGAATTAAACCTCGATTTGAAGCACCTCGCCCAGGTCCTCAACGTTTTGGTTCAACAGATCAACCCCGATTTGTCAATCAAGAACCTCATCCAAGTCATAATCGCCGCACACCACCCCAAGATCCCAGTCAAGGAACAGTGGATCGGAGTCGCCTTGAGAGCTTCTCTTGATCCTGGTCGTGTGGTGGAATCTCACGCTGACGAAGTCCTCGACCACCTTCTTAATACCCTTTCTACTGCTCCTATTGGAGGAGATATTTTTAATGCTGCAAAGAAGGCCTTTGTCACTGTCGGATTCGTCAATCCTGAGGTGACGGCGCCAAAGATTGCCGATATCCTTGAAACTGATTTGGATACGGCTACTCTAGATGAGTATGATGCTACCGCTATCAAGATCTGGAAAGCAGAGGAGGGCGAGGTTGTTGTGGATGTTTTGAACGATGGTAAGCAAAAACCAGCCGACAAAAACAGCAAGGACTACGAAACAAGGAAATGGGAGGAAAACCTCAAGAAGGAGCTTGCCCAGAAGAAAGGTGCCAAAAAGCTCACCAGAGAAGAACAGCAGCTTGTCAAGGAGCAGTTGGCTAAAGAACTGGAAATCCGCAAGAATGTGGAGGCCAGAGTTCGTATCTACACTAGAGCACTCCACATTGTTCAAGAGCTCACGAGTGGTTCTGACGTTTTGACGTCTGGAGGTACCCGCTGGTACTTGAACGCTGTAAACGGCATTTTGAGTGTTGTCAAGCATCCCTTGGCGGTGGACATTTTTGGCGATTTCGCTATTAAAGTATTTATTGACGGATCCAGGTTGATCAACAACAGACTCGGGGTTTTGAAGGAAATGACCGGTGTGGCTGTTTTGAGAGTTCACGACGTCCAGGGTATTCCAGAGAACTATTTGGAATTGTCTTTGATTGAATTGTTGAGCAAGGTGTTGTTCAGAATCAAGATCTTGGCCGACGACTGGTTTGACAAAACCTCCTTCATTTACGTTTTGCCAATGCTTACCCAGATCCTCGTCCAGGGCCGTGAATTGGCTCTCAAGAACTCCAAAAAGCGTACGGTTACATCTGAGTTCGAGGAAGAGGACCCTCAGGAGGAACAGCTTCTTTTGACTGTCGATATCATTTCCACTTTGGCTCAGTGTTTCAGCGACGAGACCATCACAAGAGACACCATTTTGAACTCGTTGCTTTCGTTGATGAAGATCCCAACGAAGGCCAAGTTGGCAAAGGAGTGTTTCTTGACCATCTGCCAGCACATTTCGATCTCGCTTTCAAAAGCTGATATTGACCTTTTTTTGAGCAGCATCATCACCCCAGATGTTTTTGTTAAGCACGCCATTTTGCAAGGTATCGATTCTGAGTTCGATTTGAGCGACGACTTGAGCTACTCCAATGAGCTTTGGATTGCTACCCACGATAATGACGCTGCTGTTGCAGAATTGGCTGCAACCATCTGGGACGATAACAAGTTTGAGCTTGTGGACGATGCTGTCAACAGACTTTTGAAGTTCTTTGGTCACGAGGACGCTGGTATGCGTTTGACGGTCGCCAAGGCCACGGCTTCTGCTGTTGCTTTCTTGAAACCCAAGGTTTCAGATGTTTTCGATACCGCCTTGGAGTTGTTGATCACCTTGTTCTATGAAACGGAAAATCCACCACCACCGCCTCTTGACAAGTTCGGTCTTCCAATTACCAACCACGCAAGCCAGAAGGATGCATGGGAGGACAGATCGACCGTTGCATTGGCCTTGAAGGAATTGGCTCCTATGTTTGAATCCAAGGAGTCTGTTGAAAAATTGTTCTTCTTTTTGGTTGACAGGGAGACTTTGGGCGACAAGGAGAGTCTCGTTGGACAGGAGCTTCTTGAGGCCGGTGTGGCTGTTCTTGAACATCACGGACGTACCCACGTTGAGCTGTTGATTCCGATTTTCGAGAAATGTCTTTCCCAAAAGGACGAAGGTTCCAAGAAACAGGACCGTATCAAAGAAAGTGTCATTATTCTTTACGGTACTCTTGGCAGATACCTTGATTCGCTGGACGACCGTTTGCGTATCATTGTGGAGAGACTTCTTTCTACTTTGGACACACCCTCCGAGGACGTTCAGTACGCTGTTTCTGAGTGTATTGCTCCTCTTGTCAAGTCCATCGAATCCAAGTTGCAAGACCACCTTGACACGCTTTTTGAGAAGCTCTGGAGAGGCCAAAACCTCGCCATCAGACAAGGTGCAGCTTACGGTATTGCTGGTTTGGTGAAAGGTGCTGGAATCCGTTCTTTGTTCAGCAACGACGTCATGAGAAACATCATGTCTGCTGCTGAAGACAAGAAGGGTGAGCGTATGAGAGAAGGTGTTTCATTTGCATTGGACTGTTTGTCCCAGAGTTTGGGTGCCAGATTTGAGCCATACGTTATTGAAGCACTTCCAATTATCTTGAAGTCTTTGGGTGATTCTAGTGCTGCAGTTCGTGAGGCTACCGATATGGCTGCAAGACAGATCATGAAGAGCTCCACCAGTTACGGTGTCAAGAAGATGATTCCGCTCACCATCTCCCACATGGACGACATTGCATGGAGAACCAAGAAGGGCTCTGTGGAGTTGCTTGGTTCCATGGCGTACCTTGATCCCACCCAATTGTCTGCATCTTTGTCGACGATTGTGCCCGAAATTGTGGCTGTTTTGAACGATTCCCACAAGGAGGTCAGAAAAGCAGCCGAACAGGCGTTGAAGCGTTTCGGAGAGGTCATCAGAAACCCCGAGATCCAGGCCATTGTGCCCGATTTGATCAACGCCATCGGCGATCCTACCAAGTACACCGATCTGGCTCTCGACAAATTGATCAAGACCCAGTTTGTGCATTACATCGACGGTCCTTCTCTTGCGCTTATTATCCACGTTATCCACCGAGGCATGAAGGACCGCTCTGCCTCCACCAAGAAGAAGTCGTGCCAGATTGTCGGAAACATGGCTATTTTGGTCGACAGCAAGGACCTTCTTCCTTACTTGGGCAGCCTTGTGGCTGAGTTGGAGATCGCCATGGTCGACCCAGTTCCTGCTACCAGATCCACCGGTGCCAGAGCTTTGGGTTCTTTGGTTGAAAAGCTCGGAGAGGAGCAGTTCCCAGATTTGATTCCTCGTCTTGTGGACACCTTGAAGGACCAAACCAAGACCGGCGACCGTTTGGGATCTGCCCAGGCGCTTGCAGAGGTGATTTGCGGTCTTGGACTTGCGAAATTGGACGAAATGCTTCCCGACATTTTGAAACAGGCCTCTTCGCCATACTCCCACGTTCGTGCTGGTTTCTTGCCGTTGTTGTTGTTCTTGCCAGTTTGTTTCGGCTCCCAGTTTGCGCCTTACTTGAGCAGCATCATTCCACCGATTTTGGCTGGTTTGGCAGACACCGACGAGGAAATCAGAGACACCGCTTTGAAGGCGGGCCGTTTGATTGTCAAGAACTACGCCAACAAGGCCATCGACTTGTTGCTTCCCGAATTGGAACTTGGTCTTGCCGATTCCTCCTACAGAATCCGTCTCTCCTCGCTCGAGCTTACCGCAGACTTGTTGTTCCAGGTTACCGGTATTTCTGGTAAAAACGAGCTCACCGAGGAGCAGAGCTCTGTCAACCGTAACCTCGTGGAGGTGCTTGGCCAAGAACGTCGTGACCGTATTTTGGCTGCTCTTTTCGTGTGTCGTTCCGACGTTACAGGTGTGGTTCGTGCTGCTGCTATCGATACCTGGAAGGCCTTGGTGGCCAACACGCCTCGTACGGTGAAGGAGATCATTCCAAGCTTGACACAGATTATCGTCAGAAGATGTGCCTCGAGCGACGAAACCCACAGAGTTATCGCTGCCACTACACTTGGAGAGGTTGTTCGCAGAGTGGGTGCAAATGCTTTGAACCAATTGTTGCCCAGTTTGGAAGAATCGCTTGTTTCTGGCGATACCGACGCCAAACAGGGTATTTGCATTGCTCTTACGGAATTGATCAATTCTGCTTCCGAGGATGCCTTGCAGAACCACCAGGACGTTTTCATCAGAATTGTGCGTGCATCCTTGGTGGACCTGTCTCCAGAAGTCAGAAAAGCCGCTGCTCTGGCCTTCGAGGCTCTTCAGAACCATTTGGGCAAAGTCGTCATCGACGAGGTCTTGCCAAACTTGTTGCACCTTTTGGAATCCAAGGAGGACTCCGAAAACGCTCTCTTGGCTTTGCAGGATATCATGGAGACCAAGGCGGACATTATTTTCCCGATTTTGATCCCCACCTTGTTGAGCCCACCAATCGATGTTTCCAAGGTCAAGGCGCTTTCCTCTCTTGCTTCCGTTGCTGGCCATGCCTTGTACTCTCGTTTGGGCTCCATCGTCAACACCTTGTTGCAGGCTGTGATCGATGCCAAAAAGAACGGATCTCCAGAGGAACAGGAGCAGGTCAAGGACTCTTTCGACAAGATTTTGCTTTCCATCGAAGACGACGAAGGCGTCCATCCAATCATGCAACAGTTGATGTCGTTGGTGAAACACCAGGATGCCGACAAGAGAGCTGCTATTTGCGAGCGTCTCGGTCCATTCTTCTCCAACACCAACCTCGACTACTCCATCTACGTGCCTGACATGGTCACCCAGTTCATTCTTTCTTTGGGCGATAAGGAGCCTGAGGTTGTGGCTGGTACTTTTGAAGCTTTGAGCGCTTTGGTCAAGGCCCAGGATAAATCGATGCTTGAAAAATTGGTCAAACCTGCCCACCAGTCCTTGTCGATTGCCGGCGTCAGAGGCGAAGAATTGGCTGGTTTGGCCTTGCCTAGGGGCCCCAGCTGTGTGTTGCCAATTTTCTCTCACGGCTTGATGTACGGAAATGCTGAACAGAGAGAAATGTCTGCCTTGTCGATTGCCGAGATCATTCTGAGAACGCCTGCTGCCAACTTGAAGCCTTTTGCAACCACCATCACCGGTCCTTTGATTCGTGTCATTGGAGAAAGAGTTTCTGCCGACATCAAGCTGGCGATTTTGACCGCCTTGACGAACTTGTTGGAGAAGATTCCGCAGTTCTTGAGACCGTTCATCCCCCAGCTTCAGAGAACTTTTGTCAGATCCTTGAGCGACGTCTCCAACGACAAATTGAGACTTGGAGCTGTCAATGCATTGGGCGTTTTGATCGGTTTCCAGCCCCGTGTGGACCCCTTGGTCACCGAATTGGTCCAGGGTACCAAGAACGCCGAGGACCAGGGCATCAAGACCGCCATATTGAAGGCCTTGTTCCAGGTTGTGGTTAAAGGTGGTAAGAATATGAGCGAAGCTTCGAAATCGTCCGTTATGGCATTGGTCGAAGAGGAGATCAACACCGTCAGCGACAAGTCAGCGGTGGCTTATGCCCGTCTTCTTGGTTCGCTTTCTCAGATCTTGTCTACTGAGGAGGCCTCCAACATCTTGCTGTCCAAGATCTTGAACAAGCGCCACGACAGCGAGGAGATGAAGTTTGCCGTTTTGTCCATCAACTCGTTTTTGAGAGACTCGCCCAAGCACATTTTCGAAACCGGCATGGTCGAAGAGATTGTGCACTTTATTGGTGAGTGCTCAGACAACACTGTTCCATACATCAGCGACAATGCTGTGATTGCCATGGGTAAGCTTTTGTTGCTTCATGGCGAGGTGGCTTCTCCTAAACAGGCTGGCGATGAAAAAGCATCTTCTCCATTTGAACTTCCCGAGGCTTCTATCAAAAAGTTGATTTTCCAGTTGTGCAAGTGTGCGCTCAAACCAGAGCTGAACTCGCCAGATTCCAGAAGATTGTCATTGGTTGTTTCGCGTACCGTGGCCCGTTTCAAGCTCCAGCAGCTTGTTCTTCCTCATCTCAACGAAATTGGCCCTGCTGTTTTCGCCTGTTTGAGAGACGGTATTATTCCTATCAGACTTGCCGCTGAAAAGGCATATTTGGCTGTTTTCAACTTAATCGAAGACGCCGAAATGAAGGCGTTCAACGACTGGTTTGCCGAGGCTTCCAAGGGCCCTATCACCACGGTTGTTGGTACTACTATCCAACCTAGATCCATTGGAGACTACACCAAGAGAGTTGCTTCTAGATTGGCCACTGTGGAAAGAGAAAGATTGCAGGATGGTGGAGACGACGAGGCCTTGTTCAGTGATCGCTTCGAGGATGAAAACGAGGTTTGGGCCGTTGGAGGAAATTAGATATTGTGCTGGATAGAACCGCAGCAAAAGCGCATAGCGCAAAAGTAAATACATCACTTGATAACGTTCCATAAGTAAAATCCATTAGTCAATTTTTTTATTAAGCCAATCCTTTGCGTCATGTTCGTATGGCACACTAGTGTACAGCGGACCTGGCGGGCCTGAAACAAGTCTATAATGCAACCGAGCGATGGCCTTACCATCATGTATTCCCGTATAATGAAAAACCCACATTACTCCTCCAACACCCGCTTGAGCTCGTCTGACGAGCCGGATGAAAACTGCTGATATGTCGTTCTCAACGGCTTGCTTTCTTTCATCGACAAGTTTGACGGCAAGTCAAGCTTGAGGCTCCGCAATGGGGGCAAATGGGTCACCGAAGGCTGGTCCACTTGCATGGGAGACTCGCCCGATTCGCCTGACGCCAGAGCCGTGGACGACGGAGGCGTGGTGTTCATCTGTCTGATGGCAACCGGGTTGGATGTTTGTCTCTCAAGCATCGACGAGGTCGAGTTGTTGGAGACGTTGCTGTGGTGGCCCATCGCGGGCGTCATGAAGAAAGACGACAAGTTGGTGGAAGAGTTGTTGGCGGAGATAATGGGGGTGTTGGCTGTGGAGAGGCCGAGGACAGGAGAGTTGGGCAAGGTGAAGTTCCCCGTGGGAGAACTGGCCCTGCTCTTCTTGAGTCTGGACTGGACATAGTCCAAGTCGGAGTCCTCCATGATGTGGTTTCTCGAGGGCGTCGGCTGGTGCACTTGGGACTTGTTGAGCGGGGTCATCTTCTGGAGAGCCAGAAGTGTATTAAGATGCGATTTGGGCGCCTTGGATAGCGTCGTGTAGCTGTTGCTGTTGGTAGGCCCGGCGTTAAGAGCCACGCTGGAGAGGTACTGAAGGCTGTTGGACGAGGAGGATGCGTTGAAGCCGAACTTGGGGACCTTGCCTGAGTTGAAGTAGTCTGTGAGAGATGGGAGCGAGCGAGAGTTGGGCGGCACCTCCTCGCCCACGGAAGGAGGTTGTGAGTAGGAGAATTTCTCCAAGGACTTGAGCTCCTCAGTGGCTGCGGAGGCCAAAAGGTCGATGTTCATCGTGGAGCGCAGCTGTCTTGGACGGGGTCTTATTCTTGCAGGGGTGATTTTGGGGGATATTTTGGGCGAGGAAAGGTCGGGTTTGGGAGGCTCCATTTCGGCTTTGGCGGGTGGAGACACGGCCTGGGTGGCGCTGGAGCCGTTAGCAGGCTGGGAAGTTGGAGGAGTGGAGCCCAGGGCGGTCTGAGAAGATGAGGCACCTTGGGCACTTGGCAGAGCCTGGAAAGCGTGGGATCCGTTCGGGAGACTTGGCTGGCTCAGTGGACCGCTTACTGGAGAGGCATCCCGCTTGACAGGCGACTCTTTCTGGCCGTTTTGCGGAGACAGAGGGGTCTGGACCTGGGTTGTCTGGACGGGCACCTGGGCAAACTGCAACTCCGGGCTCGAGGCCAGGGACGATTTGCTGAGGTTCTTGTTGCGTCTGGAGTTCGGGTTGGTGTGGATACGCAGGTGTCTGGTCAACTCGTCGGATCTCGAAAACTTCTTATTGCACCCTGGAAACAGACACAGGTGGGGCTTCTCGCCCGTGTGTGTACGGATATGTCTTGTTTGGTGCTCTAGACGGTGAAAGGCCTTGTCACACATGGGACAGCGGTAGGGCCTCAGGGTCGGGTCCTTTTTCTTTTCTGGCTTCAAGGACATCATGAGAAAAGGTGGGGGGTGCCCTATAGCAGGAAGATGGGGAAGAAGGGTAAGGGAGAAACCTGGAACGTGTGGTTTTTGAGGAACCCTTGATTTTTTGATATTTAAAGGCCACAGGCGGTAGAACGGTGGTGTTCTAGGAAAAGGTGGTGGTTCTTTGAGATCTGGGGCGGTGCCGTTCCCCCGCACCGGACGAGTAGAGCAGAGCAGAGGCAGAAAACGGTGCACCTAGGACGACGAGGCCAGGACCACGGGAACGGCTGGGGGTAAAAAGACCAAAAAGGGGCCAAAAAATACCGGGGGATCGTGCTCTATTTATATTCTTTTAGTTTTAAAAAAGAAACGAGATATGGTGGTTTTACGGTGCCCTGGCGAAAGCGCTCTGTGCCCTAGCTTCCCCAGGTTAACGAGCATTCTATTTTACCTCAGTGCCGTGGAAGCCCCGAGCAGAGCCCGAGCGCAGGCCCCAGAAAAAAGGCACAGGCAAAAAAAACAAAGATTCCACAGCGAAAACGAAAAGGAATTTGGATTTTGCAGATTTTCTGATTTTTTTGATAAACCCATTTTTCACGTTTTTGGTGTTTTTATCCATATTTAGCTTCCTCCCCGGAGAGACTCTGCGTTTTGTGTCGTGGAATAAGCTAACTTTCTGCCTCACGCCGGCCCTACAAATAGGCGCCGAGCCACAACGGCCGTCTCTCTTCCACCCGCACCGAAGGCATTGTGAGGATTCTTCAGAAATGAATTTTTTTAAGAATATAATTCAAATCGTGAAGATGAAGTTTTAGTTTTTTTCGGATTTGGAAACCCCACGTCTTCGATCTCGTGTGATAGCCGCGACGTGGAGCAAGCAATCTTCGTCTGTGGGGATATGTTTCTCTTTTGCCTCATCCTGGCCGACTCGGCCAGTGGTAGTCTGAGCCAGGCGCTTCTGGACTTTTCTTGTTTTGAGGAATCCAATGTAATTTTAAAATTACACCCAAAATCAATAAATTGAAATTCTTGAAATCCAATTCGTTTACTGCTATGGCTGCACTGGACGCCATTCTCCCGCCAGGAGAGGGCTTGTGGGTTACGGAAGGTGGAGAATAACGTACCATGCTTCAAACCGCGACCTCGGAAGGTTTTTCCGAGATAAGTGAAAAGATAAAGATTGGCTTTCCCCCAATTCAATGCGGTAATCCAGATTCAAAAATATTAAGAAACCTCATGTCTTCCCTTCCGTGGACACCTTCCAGCCACACCGCGTAGATACCCCAGATTCTCCAACTCCACTTTCTCCCCGACCCGCCAGGCCGAAAATTGCCCCAGCTACATTCCGTAGCCGTGGTTAACATCTTGGTTTTTTAGGTTTCAAGCAACCACAATCAATCTCCGTGGTGTTGCTTATCGGAGATTCCGAAATCCTCCGGCCACTACCACTACTACTACCACCGCACAACCCGACTTTCCCCGGCACACTTCACCAAAATCACACTCTCCAAACCAGGTCCGGTTCTCCGCAGGATAGATTGCTGCAAACGCCTCAGGGGCACGGATTCCACAGTAACTTTAACCGCAGGCGAGATTGCACAGCGGTTTTGTGGAAACACGGGACGGCTGAATGGGTGGCATTTGATATTGCACCTTCAGGGATGAAGCTTAGCGTCCATGTGGATTTTGCACCCATGGGGTGGGATCCGTGGAATGCAGAACGTGAAAGTTTGCGGCATTGTTCAGTGACAGGATTGGTATTGTTGTGGCACGGGGAGTGGATTTAGTGCTGTCTGTGAGGTGGGGACATAGCAGGGTTCTAGGCCTATCCACGGATTGTGTTGTGGTGATGTTGTAGGACATGGTAGGGCAGTTGTGTGGGGGTGACGATTTGTAGTAGTGGTGAGGGAGGGAGCAGATTGATGGATTATTGTGATTGAAAACATGTGAAGAAGAATTCAGGATACCGTGGGTCCAATTGACTGTGTTTTGGTTGTTTCGTAATGGGGTGGAGGTGTTGTTCTGAGACATCCACAGTATGGCTGCGAAACAGTGAGTAAGATACCACCCACCAACCATTGGAGAGATATGGTACTTGGTGGGGTTTCCAATCTTTTGAATGATGCAAATTGTCATTATTTCCAGATCTGCCTTCTTTTAAAGCCTATGTGGTTTGGGCAACTCTGAACCGTCTGATTACACACCAGGCCTATCCCTCATCAACAATCCAACACTCCACATATCCAGCACCAGATATCAAATATTCAAACCGATAGTATTAATTTTCTCAATTCAACCTATGCATCAGGATTCTGAGGTTTCCTGCCCTTTCGTAATCCCGTGGTGAGTACTCTCCAACCACCTCCATCAACTGCTCAAACGGTGCAACAACATCAACACCATCCCCAACCCAGTGCGACTGACTCCATAAAAAATAACCCCTCTCTTCTAAATCACCTGGAATCTCCTTTATTTATATCGCTCCCGGAGGGTCTCCTGCGTGGGGTGGCAGGGGCCTTCCCGATATGGTCGAATTTCACCTCGAGCCCAAGTATATAAGAACAGCATGCCCGCCCTTTTCCTCTCCATACATGCTTTTTCTTCTTTTTGCCACCGCCGCTCTTGCTGCTAGAGTATGCCCCACCCTGTAGCTGCCCCTGCTGCCCTAACACTAGGTTAACCCGGAGTTCGAGGACTGTACCGACTGTCTGGTGATCACCACTGCTGAGTCTTTGGCAGGTACCATCACCTATACTGGTCCGACGGAGGTTCCAGAAACCACAAGTCTGAAAACCCGTCAATCGACAACTCACGATGAAACGACTTCTGCTGAAACGACTCAGGATGCACCTACCCAGGCGGAACCGACCACTGATCAGGCTCCTGAGACACCAGTGACCCAAGCTCCTGCTACGACTTCAACAACAGCTACTTGGCTGGACTCTGGTCCAATTACAGAGGCACCCTTGTCGTCTGATTGGATCGTTTCCACCATCACCGTTATTGTTCCCCTGAGTTCTGTGGAAACAGTCACCCAGTGTCATCCAAGTGTCGTTCTGAAGACAGAGGTGGTGACCTTATCCACCACGTCTTCGGTAACCAATCTTCACACTGAAGAGGCACCTGATGCTTGCACTGCTGTTGTCAAGAGGGGCTTTGATTTCAGAAACGGCTCATACACCAAAGTCACTCAGAGCTGTTCAGGCACGGCTCATGCGACGGTGAAAGCTGCGGTCACTGTGGTGGTCTCCCTGTGGCTTGAGACGCTGGTTGAAGTTTCAACCACGTCTTCTTGCGAGGAAGCTGCCAGTACCATCACAGGTTCCGAGGTGATAACTACCGAGACAACCCTCACTGTTCCCAACCCCAGTGGCCCTGGAGTACCACCAAAGGAGAGTTCAAGTAACGAAGAACTGACTGGAACGCATGTCACTCCTAAATCCCCAGGTCAACTGACCCCTGTTTCCCTGGAATTCGCTGAATCTGTTACATCTGAATCTGGTACACCTTCTTGTGCCGCTACCACTGTCACCGTCACGGAGCCTGGAATATGTGCTTTTGCCAACGGTGTCGATCTACCAGTACCAAGCATTGCAACTCTGCTTTTTGCCACCTTCTTCCTTTTAGCCTTCTTCTAATCCGTTCTTTCGATCAGCCTCAGTGAGGCCCTTTTTTGCAGCCATTTCAGCCGCACGCACCCGGAAATTATATAAACCCAGAGATCGCACTCTTTGGGATTCTACCAACACCACTTTTTCTTTCGAATAAATTTCTTTAATTACTGTAAGCATTCACCATGCCATACTCTATTAACCCTAAACCCGAGCCCTTGCGCTCGTGGAACGCCAACGCCATCAACGTCCAGAACTCCTCTAGTGTGAAACCGTCAAAACTCTCCTCGTCTCTAGCAGAGTTGACACCAAGAAGGAGGACTCCAAGACCACGCCTGTTTTTGATGACTCAGAAGCTAAAGAGCTGGAGGGATCCAAGAATTCCAAGGGCAAACCATCCGCCTGTGTCTTCGTGGCAAGTCTTCTTTACACCAAGTCTGACGTGGAGTTGTGTAAGTCGGTCACGGACCACTTTGAGCAGTTTGGAAAGATCGTCAACGTCAAGGTCTTGAGAGACTACTCGGGTCGTCCATACGCGTTTGTTCAATACGACAACGACGTGGACTCGAAGAACGCCATTGCTCAGAGTCACAACACAGTTCTCGATGGTCGTGTCATCCGCTGTGAAGCCGCCAAGGTCAACAGAACCATCTTCATCACCACCTTCAGCTCTATCAGCAAGAATACCGTAATGGATACGCTCAAGGAGTTCGGCGAGACGGAGCTTGTTGTTGCTAGTGATCAGCACGGCAAGATCAAGCACGCTACTTTAGACGAGGAATGCCGTTTCTGGTTTGCCAAGTTCTCTTACCGTGACGACGCCATCAGAGCTTTTGCCAGCTTGACCGATGACACCGCTTATCATGTCGAATGGGCCAAGAACATCGAGGATCAGTGCACGAATGGCAGGTTCGACAAGTACACGGTCTTCGTTGGCCTGTTGAGCCGTCTCGCTACCCACAACGACTTGGAACGTCATTTTCAGAGACACGGTGCTGTCAAGTCTGTTTCGGTGATCCACAAGACGCTGGCGTCGTATGGATTTGTCACCTTTGAGGAGGAGGCCTCCGCTGCCAGTGCCGTTGCTAAGGATAACCACACCATGTTCATGGACAGAAACATCAACGTCCAGTACCGGGAGTTGAGCAACTACCCCAAGATGATCTTGTCCTCTGACATGCCTGTGGTGTTGGCACCCCCTCCGGTCAATAGTAAGTTCAAGGCTGCTGCCAGAGCCAAGCACGAGAACGAACCCCACGAGAGACCGAGAGCTCCCAGAAGGAGTTTCTCCGGTGGCCTAGACCTGGCCTTCAGAGCCAGAAGAACGTCGCTGTACACCCAATACAGGGACTACAACAGCAACTGGTCGGGTGCCGCAGATAGCTACAGATCGTGGCCCAGATCCAGATTTGGCACCGGCGGGCCCGATGCCGAATATCAAGACGACGGATCCCGCTACTACGTTGTCAGCCCCAGCGGGCGGAAATAGGTCTGCACCGCTCACTGTTGTTTAATGAATCATGTATCTTCCAAACCTGGAGCCGCGATAGTGCGTAGTACTGATATCACCTACTTTCAAAGGCACAATGCACAGCTGCACCCTCCACAAATTGGCCCAGAGTGCCTCTCCAGATAACAGCAAAACAATTAGCTACAGATTGAGTCAAGAGAAGCTTTCGCAGCTCAGTGATATCAGGCTCAAGTCGCTATATGACAGGAAACCAGACTACGCAGCGATCAGCAGTCAACCATGGAAGAATCTGCCCAAGTACTTCAAGAACGTGCTTATATCAGCATTGGCTCTTGTAAAAATGAGCATACATGCCAAGCTGGGCGGTTCAATTGAAATCATGGGCATGCTTACAGGCAAAATCATCGGAACATCCATCATCGTCATGGATGTGTACTCACTACCTGTGGAAGGCACGGAAACACGAGTAAATGCCCAAAACGAAGCTTACGAATACATGGTTCAGTACCTTGATCTTATGAACTCGGCGGGCCGAGAGGAGCACATTGTGGGCTGGTACCACTCGCATCCAGGCTACGGATGCTGGCTCAGTGGAATCGATGTTGCCACCCAAAGTCTAAATCAAAACTTCCAAGACCCCTATTTGGCCATTGTTGTGGATCCCGTGCAGCTGTCGAACCAGGGCAAAATAGAGATTGGAGCGTTCAGAACGTTGCCCATGGAGTACGAATCCAGAGAGGGCTCCAAGGGCAAGAATGTGAATACTCGATCGAAGGAGAAGATGAAGGATTTCGGTATCCATGCTGATCAGTACTATGCTCTTGACATTGAGTTGTTCAAGAGCAGAAGCGACGAAGAGTGCATCAATATGATCTTGAACAAGTCCTGGGCAGCCAACCTATTCTACTCAGAAAGTGCATTGCAAGAGTACGACAGAAGACTAATAGATAGAGTCAAGCAGCTCATGAGCGAGTTGAATTTTGCTCGTGAGGTGAAAGAGCCAAGGGTGTTTAAGCATTCGTTCGAAGCATTGGTCAATCGGCCTGTGAAAGAAGATTTACATTTGCGTCATTTGCGAGAAAGGTTGCTGTGTGGAGCTAGTCAAGGAGAGAGCGATGAGGAGGTAGTAGATGACGAAGGCGATGTTGATGGAGAGAATGACGAGGATGATGATGATGATGATGACGACGACGATGATGACGAGGATGACGGCGATAATGAAGACGACGACGAAGAGCAGGCCTCCAAGACTGCCAGTGATAGAGATGAAGCAGGTGACGACGAAGGCCAGATGGAAACGGAGGAGGAGCAAAGCATGGACGGGGAGCCTCTCGAAATCGGTAACGCCAAAAAGCGCTTGCACAGCACCGATGATAGCCGAACCAGTATTAGAGAAGGCGAGCGTCAGCAGTCGTCCACTCACAAGCGTCTTGCTACTGGCGATGTTTACATGAAGTTGAGCAACGAGCTCAAGGCGAAGACGCAGAAAGCACACAGCAAGTTGCGAGAGGACGAGCGTCAGGTCGCTGCGGTGGGCCATTCCGAGTTACTTCTGATGCTCGTGAAGCGGGCCCAGAGGAAGGTCTTCGGGTGAGGTGGGAGAGGTTTCTTTAGAAGAGATCAAGAGATGAGAGAGCCTTAGGGAGGTGAGCCCGATAGAGCTCATGAGCTGGCAGGTAGTACAAACTATATTTACTTCAGGTCGTCAAAGCGTCATTTGATCGGCGTTGGAGGTCAAGAGTCTCAAGGGCCGCTCTTGTGCAAGCCGTCTACTGGTCCACGGACCAGCCCCATCGAAACCACACGCGTACGGCTCAAAACCTCAAAGATCCAAAAATGACCACTCTCTTTCCAAATCGCCTCACATCATATTGGTGCCCGACCAGGACCCAACCCCCAAGGTCCCTCAGGGTCTAGGCTCATGCCTCGATGAGTCTTGTACATGTCCCACGACACCGAGGCCCTATACCACCGTCACACATTGGCACTCCAGAAATAAGCCCTCCAGCATTAGCCTGTCCCAAATCGTCAAAAGTGAAGCTTACGTTTCACGAAAGCTATTCAAAATATGTAGTGCACCTCTTTGCCCCTCTTGTCGTTTGTCACGTCACCACAGTCCATGTCTCATTGTCCATTTGTCTCAAAATGGGTGCAAAACGCACCCCAGCCCAGCCACCGCTCATCACCACGAAAAACCGCAAAACCTCCTTGCAAATATAAAAAGGCCGAAATCCGGCGCCAAAACCACCGCTGATTTTTTGAAATCCACCCTCTCGACCCCGCCGGGCCCCAAAACCACCCGTTTTCCCATCGCCTGGGGCATCGCGGTTGCTTGTTCCTGTGCCGACAGGGCACTTTTTATGGCGTTTTTCGCAGCGAGCAACACCCACAAGCACCGATTTGGAAGACATCACCAGGCACAAAATGTCCAACCCGTTGGTCGACCGCATCTTGGGCAACCCGCTCACGTTTGTTGCCGCCAAAGCGCCCGAGAAAGACGCCGAAAAGGAGAAAAACCCGGCCTACATTGTGCTTGGATCCAAGAAGAGTGTGCCATCGCAGGAAACACCGGTGATGAAGCCGAAGCGGACCATCAAGGTTCAGCCGCGTTCCATGGCCGATGCTATAGCCGCCTACACGGGGAGAAAGTACTTGACCAAGAAGGAGAAGAAGGAGAAGAAGGAGAAGGAGAAGGCTGAGAAGGTGGTGGAGAGCTCAGACGAGTCGCACTACGAGCTGGCTTCTGAGTTCCAAACAGACAGTTCGTTCCAGGGGTTCCGCAGTGAGGAGGATGTTGAGAAGCTGGAGGTCGAGGCTGACGAGAAGCTGGAGGTCGATGCTGACGAGAAGCTGGAGGTGGAGAAGTCCGTTGAGCCGGAGGAAGATGAGCTGGATGGGTCCTACAATGGCGAGTCTGAAGAAGAGGAAGAGTCGGAGTCAGAATCTGACGATGAAGAGGGGAAGAAGATGGTGGCGAAGGCGAGCCAGATCACATCGACAACGACTCCGAGAAGGAGTCGGATGCTGAGGCCTCCGACGGTGCTCCTGAGGATATGGCTCAGTTGAAAAGAGACCTTCTAGCAGATGCCCGCAAAACGCCTCCAACGTCGCCAGACCTCCCGGCTAAGGAAACTGAGTCCAAGAAACAGCCAATCACGTTGGCCAAACACCCCAAGGGCCACTACAACATCACGGAAACAGCACTTGACCGCGGTCTGAATGGATCCACCAGAATCGTCAAGAACTGGACGAAGAAGTTCCAGGGAAAGCACCCCGTGGGTCTCCTCAACTTTGGCGTCACATGCTACATGAACCTGGCCATCCAGCTGATGGTCCACATTCCAGCGGTCCAGCACTACCTTCTAGAAGTGCTCGAAGGGAAGCACGAGCTTCCCAATAGAAGCGTCACCAACACGGTGGCCGAGCTCTCCAGCCGAATGTGGGGATTTTCCTCCGGTCACGGCAAGGGCCCTCGTAAATTCGTGAACCCCAAAAAGGTCATCCAGAGGCTCTTTGACATCAACTGCATGATGAGCGAATGGCAGCAGGAAGACTCCCACGAGTACTTCATGAGCTTGATGTCGAGGTTCCAGGAGGACTCTACGCCCAAAGGCCGCAAATTAAACGAGTCCATTATTTATGATATCTTCGGAGGCCTACTACAACAGGAAGTCACCTGTCGCGAGTGTAACACCGTCAGCACCACCAAACAGGAATTCTACGACTTGTCGTTGGGACTTAACAAGAAAAGACGCAGTCTGGAAACGGAGGAGGTGCCCTGTGGCCGCTACTCCATCGAGAAGAGCATAAACGACTACTTTTCCACGGAAACAATCAAAAAGGACAAGGTTGACGAGTCCTCAGGCTACCACTGTGAAAAGTGCAAAAAGCGGACTGTTGCTACCAAAAAGTCCATGATTGAGCGCAGTCCAGAGACACTCATGGTCCACTTGAAGCGTTTCAAGTTCAACGGCCTGTCTTCCTCCAAGGTCAAGCAAGCCATCGTTTACCCCGGTTATCTCGACTTGGCCCTTACACAATGACTCAGGAGTCCACAAAGTACCAGCTCATATCAGTCATTGTCCACGAAGGCAGGTCTATCCTGTCGGGCCACTATATCTGCCACTGTCTTCAGCCAGATGGTCTGTGGTCCACGTATGACGATGAGTATATTAACAAGTTGGACGAACGCAAGGCCTTGACAGATCCCTCAGCATACTGTTTAATTTACACGAAGCTCACGCCAAAGGACGAAAGCAGCAGCGAGGAGAAGAAGAGAAAGAGCCATAGAGGAACACCGGCAGCCAAGAGAGCCAAACACTAGCATAATAGCATATTCGGGTAATGAGAGACGGAGAAGATGGATAGCGCTGTAGGGGTATTGGGGCAGTTGAAGAGGCAGTTGTAAAGGCCATTGTAGAAGTATCTAGTAGAATGGGGTTCAAAGATGTGTAAAATTCGGAACATTCATTTGCATTAATTAACACAATGGAAAATAAAGAAATGCCCGTCTGAATGATGTGTAATGTAATTGTCCTCTTCGATTTATGTATCTTCATTGGCGGTTTAGATATGTAATGCGGTGTTTCACCTGGACCACTATCAGGGCACAACTACAAGCCTAGACTACCTACGCCATTCAATATTTACCATTTAATAATCACTAAACCAAACCTAAAAACCAAACAATGTATAGAGAAGAGAAAGGTGTGGACGAGAGGGTTAGGCATCGACAAACACATTAGGGTCCTCGTCATGCTCGTCAAAGTCGTCCTTGACCGCCAGAAAGTGCAGCGAACGGGAGCCCGGTACTAGCCGAGCCAGTTCGATCTTGATATTAACCGTGCCAAACTTAAACTCGTCCGAGCGTCTTCTACGAAAGGAATCAACCAGTGACTCGTCGTCCACCAGAGACGCCACACTGTTGGCACTAGACCGGCGGCGGCGCAGCAGACGTGCCTGCTGGAGAAGCGATGCTGTCAGCAGGAGGTTGGGCACCTCTCTGATGAAGGCTCTCTCCACCACGTATTTGCCCTCCTTGTATGCCTCTGCGTACGCTGCCAGCTTCTTGTAAAACCAGCCCAAACGGGTCCGGCACTGGGAGCAGCGGATGTCGTTGACAATGTAGACGCCTGTTCGGAACTGCTTTTCCTGGTCGGGTCCGTCGGGCTGGACGTTAATGAGCTTGTCCACCAAGTAGGCGTGGCCAGAGGCCCCTGTGAACTGGTCAGAGATAACCAAGTTGGAAAGACAGAGGTGCGCCAGGCATTCGTTGCATACAAATATCTTGTTGTTCTTTGAGTCGTAGGAGGTGTTTTCAAAGAACTCGGTGGTCTTCAACCCCATGGTGGTAGTGGGGTTGAACCGTCGGAGGAATTGGGGTGTGTGTGAGGGGACCTCTAGTCGGGGACTATGAGGAGCAGACAAGTACGGGGTTGGGTACTTGGTACTGGGGTTCAAAATGTGGCAGTTACCGGGTGGGCCACTAAAATTGCACAGTATGATAGCCACGGAGTCCGATAACCAGGGTCTGATAAGGAATCAGGGGGTTAATCTGGGGTATATGAGTCGAGCGTGGGTGAGCTTTGACTCGCTGTCGGGTGGGTATTAAGGAAAAAAGCAGAAAAAGAAGTAGTATGAAGATTCCTAAATAGGCCGAATTGCAATGGCAGTGGTAGGGGGCCCAAGTGCAGAGGCATAAGCACGCACCTAGGAGTCATGTCGTAGTCAGGCGCTCCCAAAAATATATAAGCCCCGGCGGTCCCACATTGAGAAAAATGTTTGAAACATTTTTTCCTTTCCTCTCTATTCTTATATATTACCTCGAATTGTAGTTTTCCCGGGGCTTTCTGGCCCTGGGGGATGGGAAACTGTGGTGGGCTGGTCCGTCATAAGATTCCCCAAAGCGGCCTGGCCTGAGACAAAGAGGAGACATGGCACAAAGTCTTAGCAAACGCTAACAGTGCTACAGCAGGGTAAATTTACAAAAAGTCTCTGGCAGGAAATTAGCCTTTCTATTTGCCACCGGCCACGAAAATCACAACAGACAAATTGCCTTTTTTGATGCAATCGCTATGACATTTTGACTAGAGCACATTGCGGGATGTCGCGGTTGCGAAACGGGGCCAACGGTCTGGCTGATATCGCACAGCGGTTATACGGAAACAGTAGCCCTGGAGACCTGGGTTGCCCTTTCACCGCATAGTGCGTTTTACGGAATTTGAGATTTTTGAAAAAATGCGTTTTTCACTATTTGCTTCAATGTCACCGCCGATCTGGTGAAGCCTATTGGTCGCAGGGTCTCACGTTGCTCCGCAGGTGTACATTCTGGGCTCATTGTGCTACATGGTGCAAATGCGTATGTACATGGTCTATTTAGGGAAGCAGAGCTTCCAGTGAAGGCCGATCGTTGACGGCCGCTCCTAAAGGAGCCGAGGTCGAGATTCAGACAGGCTTTTTTTGTGCTGATCATCACGTTACCGGTCGGGGTAGCCCCGAACATCACGTAGCATGAACACCCCTGGAGGGGCAGACGGTGGCAATCACCACCGGTAGTAGGATTGCACCTTGAAGTTGAGTGGCTCGTTGTTCAACAACAGCCTTGGCTTGGCTGCCAACTGTTTCTGCTCCTTCTCCCACGCAAGCCTCTGCTTGGTCTGGCCGCCTTTGAGAATGGCTTTGAGGTGGACCAGCGGATGGTGGATGATACCGGTTCTACCACGACCTTTGATGTCAGGTCTCTTTCTCCAGTCACCGTCGGAGCCGACCCAGAGCGCCTGGATGAAGGCCTCGTCTTCGTTGATGCCCTGCTCCTTGGCCTGTTCAAGTCCACGCTTGAGCAACTTCTCCAACTCTGTAGACATCTTCTTGGGGTTGAAATGCAACTGGTTTATAGCGGTTTTGACGTTGTAGCCACGCACAAAACGGTTCACCACGGTGGCCTTCTTCATGGACGACTTGATGCGGTAGGACTGAATGTACACGGTGGGTTCGAGAATGTCAATCTCTTCGGCCGTGAGCTTCACCTTGTAAGCTTTGTCGCCGTCCTGAACAACGGTGTCGTTCTTGAAGAACCCGTTCTGCTCCACATTCAACTCATAGAGTCTTCTCTTAAGCGGGCTCACAAACTTGTCGCTCCTGAGCTGCGTTTCTCTGGCCTCCTTGAGGTAGTATTCTTGCAATTTGGTATCATCCTTAGGGGCGACGGTTCCGTCGACTCCTTCGCTCGGTTCCTCTTTCTTCTGAGGCACTTCCTGTTCCTTCCTGGTGATTTCACCAAACAAACTGCCCTGGGCAAGCTTTGAGTTAGTGAAATGAAGTGATCTGAAAATATGCGATTGTGGCGACCTACTGCTGTTGGTCCGTAGCACGGGGCTGGTTCTGGCGACCCACCCAAGCTGTCTGAACATGGTGAATCGGTTTCTATGTATGGTGAGGTTAGTCCCAGAAGACTTTTTCGCTGGATGTAGCGGTCTGCACACGACCTGGAATCGAAGGCAGAGAAGAGGACCTTATGATAGAAGGGGATGATGCTGGTCTTTTAGAAACTTGATTAGTTCTTGAATCCCTTTGAAATTTTTTCTTCAAATTTGGAGCTGTTCGTTTTGAGTGGGTGTTCATGGAAGGCACCTCAGACCGTACCTCGAATATCTACAAATGATCCAGGTAGTATTAATATCAGCCGAAAAGGTGAAAAAATCAACCTCCTCAACAAATCAAATCTCCTTTTGTCTGTATGTGTCTGTATTATGCTGTATTTACTCGTCGTCGTAACCCTTCAAGTTCTTGTCTCTAGCCCTCGTTGGCAAAGGGTAAACCAATGGAATGGGCTCGTGGTTGTCGTAAAGAAACTTCTGTCTCAAAGGCGTGGCCAACAACAAGATAGGCGCCAGGACTCCCAAAAGCACGGAAAAGAAGAAGTGTGGTTTGGTATGAGCGTGGTAGCGGGCCCACTAGGATGTTAGTATAAACTGGAAATAAGATGAGGCTTGGAAGCACAGCGATGCTTCGAGAAAAGCACATACTCTAATAGGCTGCTTGTAGTAGACGGGGTACTCGCCCCAGACTTTGTCAGTAACACCCATGGTTCTTTGAGGTTACTGTTTTATGAATGAGAAATCGCTTATTGGTTGGTTCTGGTGTATGGGTGTACACAGAGGTCAACCTGATGGCCCATCAAGTTGGAGGAACCTTGGCAGTTAGAAGGAGATTTTTATGTTATTGCCGATTTCATTCTGTCTAGAGAAGCTGATTATGACAAACGGAATAGCATAGTTTGGTGTTTCTGGAATTGTCAATTGTGTGATATAACTGTACTTTCGCAGCCAAAGCTATGAAACATACAGATTCCTGTTCTGACAATTTATAACAAATATATGATGTAAGAAACTTTCCCATAATTTATAACGTGATCTTACACCCAAAAACTTTTGAGTATACAACAATGCCAATGAACGGATGGCCTTAATTAATGACATAACTACTCTAACATACAACTCAGCTGCTTCGTATATATGTACATGTAGTGGCATTTTAATGCCTATGCAACCTCTCTTTTTTCATTTAATTCAAAAACTCATCTACCTACAATCCCTTCCATTACACTGATTTCGTCAATTGTCCTACTTACTTTCGCAAATCATCTATTGCTCAGGCAGTTCTCTTCTTAGCCTTGCTCTTGGCCTTGGAGCGAGTCTCCACACCAGTGGAGGCGGCCTCTGGCTGAATCTCGGCCTCCTTGGCCTCAGCAGCTTCCTTCTCCAAAAACTCTCTCTTGATCTTCTCATCGTACCACTCAGCGTAGTACAAGCCAGCCTGAAGGATGAGAACACCCAGCAAGGCAATCACAATCAAGAATTGCGAAGCAGCCATCACATTGATACCGGTATTCTGGTCAACCTCACCCCATTCACCGGTGATACAACTGTTGACACCGATTCTCAAGTTGGTCAAGTAAATCACGATACCCACCATCATCAAACCCAAGGTACCGTACTCAAAGTACTTGGAGTCGTCCAGTGGCTTGTACAACTTGATGAAACATCCCGAGAGACCCAAGAACATCACAAAGTGAAGAATATGGTGAATTCTCATGGGGGCGTTGGCCCAATTGGAGTAATGAGCTAACGATCTGGTGAAACCCTCAGCATCGTACTTCCACAAGGTGTTGTAGTCGTAGGCGGAGTTAGAGTAAACAACACCGAGACCGAAGGAGGTGGCGGCAATAATGAGGCCCGTACCAACGGGAACTAAGTCTTTGTAAGCCATGGTTATGGAGATGTAGCTGACGAAATATTCTTGGTGGTGAGGATGTGGGCAAAAGTGCACCCGTACACCACAAGCGGCACTCCACCAAAGTCTTGGAGAAAAAGCAGATAAGGCAATTGGTGGGTGGATGGTGAAGATTTTTGGATTTTTTGAGGGAGTTTTTGTTTGGATGATTGTATTTTTTTTGTGTATGGGCTTTTTGGGTTGGACATTGAAGAACTGTCAGGCGCTCCACTTCCCAGTGATAAAGACTAGGCGAACATGAAGGATTTCTGTGGCAATTGGCGAATCTATGAAGTTACGAATTTTTCACAAGGACTCAAAAGAATTCGACTTTTAGCATCTTTTGGCTCAATTGAGTATACCTCTAGGATGTTTGATGGTGAGTGATATGCCTTGGTGCCTCGAGATGTCTTGGCCTGATGCCTTGGCACCACAGTTTAGCGTGGCATTACAGTTGGAAGCCAGTGAGTTCGTAACGGCATTTAGTTACACCAGTAAAGGTTTCAACGAGCTCTCGTAGTACTCTAAGTCCTTTTACAAATCCAAGTACAGCTTGCAATAGCAAATTGGATTGCATTGTTTGGATCATCTCTCAAACTCCCAAGACATCCTTCACAGCCTATCATCGATACCAAAGTGAAAGTCCAAGAGGATACACACCAGCCTCGTCTAGTGTTGCAACCTTAGCGGAATACACCTCTTCCATAGCTACACCTTTATCTCCTCAGAGCTTATGATTCTCCAATTCCTCAAAGTTCAAGCCTTCCACAGATGAGCACCTAAGGACCAGCCGGGACGGTGAGCAGCAAGTGTGCCAGATGCAAGTCGCTGCAGCTAAACGATCTAAAAAACTACGGACTTGGTGAGCCCATAAAGCTGAAATTTCTTTAAAAAGTCAAAAACTCTTCTGTATCTGGAGCAACACTCCCATCGCTTTTTGTCCTGCTCTCTCCGGGTAATCACCCCAAAATAGACGAGGCTGGATGGCCCCATCGCTGCGATAGACGAGATCCATCGAGCCAGCCGCCAGGAACACATCTCATGTAAAAGCCATCTCGGGAAACCCCGTGCCACAACACCCATTTCCCAAAATTTCTTAAAAACTTTCAACAAGTGGATTCTGCCTCCTCCGAAATTTATACCCTTTTCGTCGTTTTAGTCGCCTCTATTGTCTAGCGCCTCGACTAACTACACCTTTTCGCGCACTTCAAATACATCACCAAGTGAACATGAGAGGCATCAAGGCAGTCGTGGTAGGCGACGGTGGCGTCGGTAAGACCTGTCTTCTTATCTCGTACACGACAAACACATTTCCGAATGACTACATTCCAACCGTTTTTGATAATTACCTGGCGCTGGTGATGATCGATGGAGAACCGATAAAACTCGGTTTATGGGACACAGCAGGCCAGGCCGAGTACGACCGGTTGAGGCCGCTCTCGTACCCCCAGACGGAGATCTTCTTGTGCTGCTTCTCGGTCGTGAGCCCCGACTCGTTCCAAAACGTCAAGGCAAAGTGGGTTCCTGAGATCTTGCACCATTCTCCCAAAGACATCCTTATCGTGCTTGTGGGCACCAAGGCCGACTTGAGAGAGGACTTGCACTTGCTTGACGAGTTGGCCGCCAAGAAGCAGAAACCCGTGACTACAGAACAGGCCGAGAAGTTGGCCAGAGACGTTGGTGCCGTGAAGTACATTGAGTGCTCTGCTGCGACGCAGCAAGGCGTGCTGGACCTTTTTGACTACCTGATTAGAGCCGTTTTGAACCCGCCGCTGCAGGCGCCTCCAGCCAAGGAGGCCCCGGCACGGCCGCAGCAGCTCTGACCCTAGAAACCGGCAAGAAACGCAAGGTGCGCAAGGCCAAAAAGTGTGCCATTTTGTAAACTACTACTTTTCGTTTCGCTGGCGGGGCTGTGTTGTATTATTTAGAGCCCTTAGTTGGGGCTATTAATTGCAGATGCTTATACTCGACTGCGCTGTCGGTCTACTTGAGGAGGGCAGCTCTGGCTGGATGCATGGCTGGCTGGCCTGGTGCTGGCGCCGGTGCTCCGGCCTCCTTGGCCTCCTTCTTGGCTTCGGCAGCCTGTTTTTTGATTCTTTCTCTGCGCTCCTCCTCTAGTTTTTCATTCTTCTCCTTCAACTTCTGCGTTCTGGCGTCAGAGTTACCTCCTCCTCCAACAGTAAGCTCGACATTGATCTTTCTGTTCCGCAACGTCGACTTGTGCATACGAAGAGCATGCTCCATCTTGCTCTGGATCTCGCTGTTGTCGTTGTCGAACTCCAAAAAGGCAATACCCTTTTCTTTACGGATCCTGATCCGGTCAGGATTGGCATTCTTGAAATGGGCCACCAACTCGGCCTGCTGGATGTCGTAGGGAAGATTCCCCACAAAAAGAAGAAAACGGGGCCCGGTGCCGCCGTTGACACCTTTACCCTTTTTGCCTCTTCTGGTTTTCCTCTTCTTCTTGGGCTGTTCTGGGTCTTCAGCTTTCCTCTTCAAGTCATTTTCCAGACTCTGCTCTTTTGTCTCGGTTTCCTTTTCTTTTCTTTCTTTCTTCTCGGCAACCTCAGCTTCTCTATCCTCCTTGGATTTCCTGAACAAAAGCGCCTTTTGCTTCTTTTTGCTCACCTTCTCTTCTCCCATGGTGTAGTCGATGCCCATCGCATTACCCACAGGCTGCGCACATCAACACACTGCTTAGATCCGGGTGATTCTTGGAAGCTACATTTATCAAAGTACAATTAACGTCTTTTTGGTCTATGGAAAAAGAACCGGTTGAACAGCCTGACCGTGGACCAACGCGGCCGCTGGTCCCGGACTCTAAACAACAAGGACAAGAGGGCAATGAAGTATCCCCTGTCAGAAGATGCAGATCCAACAACACAGAGGAGATGATTTCCACCGCCAAACGCCTCAAGCAGGGCAACTCTGAAACCGAGCAGGAACAGGCACGCCGTGGCAGGTCCAAGGAGCGGATTCCTGTAGCTCAGGTGGGCTCTTCTGGAGAGATCTCCCTAATGGGATGGGAGGTCAAGAAGGCCAACGGACAGAAAATTGTCATTCCCAAGCGGCGATGACTTTTTCGTCAAACACTATATTTATCATCAACAATTCATCACTTTTGCGTCTCCTTGTAGAGGTCCTCGTACATACCCTTGAGGTTATTGTATGCACCAGACACCTTTTCAAGCTTCTCCTCGAGCTCCTTGACCTTGGCCAGGTCGTCGTTCTTGGACTTTTCCTTCAGCTTCTCCTGGTCCTTCATTTCTTCTCTGTAATAATACTCCTGCTCTTCTAACTCCTCGAACCACTCATCCACCGTCTGCTTCTCCTCCACCACACCTGGAATTTGCATCGTGATAACATGATCCTCTGGCTTGCCCGAAAAGACGACCCTCTTGAGCGGCTGCAAAAGACGATGCTTCTTGTCGAACGACTGGTGGGTTTTGAGAAGTGCTTCCGAGTGGGTTTCCACATGGAGGTATGCAATGGGTGACTTGCACGGCGTGAACGCCTTGATCACCTGCTTGGTGACAACGTCGCTGACGAAAACCTGGCCGGCCGTGTCACTGGATATTATGCTTGTGCCGTCGAGAGATGTGACGAGTCTTGTAGGATGGTTGGCGCCATTTTGATGAAACACAAATGTTTCCCTGTGTTCTGGGTCTTCGGCAACCGTAATGACCTTTCCTGAGCCGCCTACTGCCTCAAGCGTATTGCTGATTTTGTTCACCACGTAGAGTGGAACCATGCGGATGGTGCCGTCAGAAAGACCAGCATAGAATGCTCTATCGGCGCCGTCTCTGGCGATACACTCGACGGGCGACGAAAAGACAAAAGCGGAAAGCATCTTCTTGGAAACAACACTGTACAATCTCACGGTCGAGTCCTTAGACGAGGTGTAGATCTTGACATCGTGTGGTGTAGGCGCATCAGAAACAGCGATATCTGTGATGGCCAACGTGTGGTCACTGAACGTTGCAAGCGGCTTGGCGTTCTCCTCGTCAAACGAAACCAAATCGGCTGTTCTCCAGACCATGACCCTCGAATCCAAACCTCCAGTGAAGCAGAAGGTGCTGTTTTTGGAAAACCTAATCACAGAGATCCCCTGGTAATGAGCGTCTTTCACGCAGAGCAAGTTGCCCAGCGCCAATTCCCAGATGTACAATTTGCCTGTGCTCGAGCCTGCCGCTAGCAACCACGGAATGTGCTGTTTGGGCTTGTTAAAGACTACCCCATCGTTTGCACCTCTGACCTCTGGATGCTCCGCCAATGCCAAACACAGCATGTTTTCCGGAACCGGAAACTTCTGATCCACACTTTCCTTACCCCAGGAGTAACAACTAATGAGCGCCTTGTCCTTGCCAGCCACAAAGAGTCTTTCTCCAGGACCCATACCGGTCAAAGCAGCACCGTTCATCGGGCAGTCTGCGTTTCTGAACGAGGCGTATGTGCTGGACTTGTGCACAGAGGAAGCCGCTGCAAGCGACTCCTTCAGGTGCTTGTCGTCCGGGCTGCCATGTGTCACGTAAAAGGCCACTTCGTCCATGAAAAGAGAGTTGGTGATGTCGATCTGCACAGTGCGATGAGATGGAGATGGACCCGGAGGTAGATGAGATGAGATGACAGAGGGTTATGGAGGGTAGTTGATGGAAAAAACTAATTTTGGGTATTAAACGGAGTGGTGATTTGAAGCTCTCTTTTTTGGAACTTGGGTTCGTGAATAACGTGGGTGTGTTGGTATGCTGCTTGGGATTATTTGGCTGCGAAATGCCAGAGGATGGGTTGAGTGAATAGAAAGTATTAATGTGAGGAAAAGAATAGAGAACGGAGAGTAGATATTTTACAGCTCTTGTGAGTGATATCCTGAAAGTCATCAAGAAGCATCTTATTTACAAATTTTAGGAGTATGAGTGGAATATGGGATGCACCATCTGGTGTGTCCTAGATGGTGGCAGATACTGATGGGAACGGAGCCATAGGTGACAATTGATCCATGAGGTATTCTGAAATTTTTCTCAAAATTGAAGATGATGTTACCTTCTGAGACTTTCTTGCATTCATGAACACTGACGTTCAGGTCCTCATTCACTTCGATTTGGAGGACACGATATGAGATGCACATACTTTCATGATCAGCTGAAGATGGGAAGCTAGCAAATTGCAATTAAGTAAAATTTGGAATTATTTTTGTCCCTACAACGAAACCTTCGCCATCGTAGAGCCCACTTGTTCCGAATTTCCATATCCTATCTTGGGCAAAGATAACCAGACGACCGTACACTAACGTCTTCACAACACAGCATTCCAATTATATTATGCAATCTTCATAACAAAATTCCTTGAACATGCCTCCTCAATTTCGTCAGTATGACGCGTCGTATGCCATAAAGCGTCAACCATGGACGTGGGCAATACTTGACTTCAAAGGCGAGGTTTTAATACGAACTCACAACTGTTTCCCAAATTTCACAAATACTAAAGATCAACAACACTCCAGGAGCATTTCCCTAAAATTTACCATTATATCCACTCGCTCAGGGTCCATCTCTATTTGGCTGCAAAACGGCCTGCTCACCATACCACCACATCTCCAACCCATCAATCTAAAACCACAGAACCTTAACACACGTCAAATCTGTACCAATTACCTTCTCCCAAACATCACATCCCTAAAACCACCAGAAACACCCAATTTTCCATCACTTTCCACAATTTAGCCGCCCGGCTGAAACACCCGTTCACCATCCACCTCTTCGAGCCTTTTGGCCTTCGTCTTCCTAAAGCCAACCACACTATGCCTATTGATATCGTCTCCACCGCCGTGTTTGACGGTCCCCAGGCCATTCCTGGATGGAACTACTTGACCACTTACGGCCCAGCGGTTGCTGTGGCTGCTGCTACAAAATACTACTTCTCTGGTGCCTCCAACACGTTCAAGAGAGAATTGCATGGAAATGTCTACATCATCACAGGCGGTACTTCGGGCCTCGGAGCAGAGCTCGCGTACGAGCTAGCCAACAAAGGAGCCCAGCTTATTTTGTTGTCCAGATCCACAGATGATGCCTGGACGGTCGAGTTCATTGAGGATCTCAGAGACAAGACCAACAACTTCATGATCTACGCCGAGCACTGTGACTTGAACTCGCTTCACCTGGTTCGTCTTTTCGCCACAAAATGGCTTGACAATCAGCCACCCCGCCGTTTGGACGGTGTCATCTGCTGTGCTGCTGACTGTGTTCCTAGAGGAAGAGACAGACAGGTTTCCGTAGACGGCGTCGAGACCCAGCTTGCCGTGAACTACTTGGCACACTACCATTTGCTTACGCTTCTTAAGCCTTCTCTCCATGTTCAGCCGCCAGATCGTGACGTGAGAGTCGTTTTAACTACATGTACCTCCCAGGCAGCAGGTCTGGTAGATAAAGATGATCTCCTTTGGGATTTCCGCCAGTACCCGGTAAATTCGCCTTGGAAGGTGTTTGGAACGTCCAAGCTTCTATTGGGAATGTTAGGCCGTTCGTTCCAGCGCCAGTTGAACAGCTACGATAGAAAAGACAAAGCGCCCTGTAATGTCAAGGTGAGCATTGTGAACCCGGGCATCATGAGGTCGCCATCGACCCGCCGTTTCATCTCCATGGGCACGATCTGGGGGTTGTTCTTGTACGTCCTTTTGTTCCCTATTTGGTACATTTTCTTCAAGGATACCGTCCAGGGCGTGCAGTCGCTTCTTTTTGCCATTTACGCTCCTATGTTGGGCGCCCAGGATGGCGGAAATATCATTCAGGAGTGCAAGATTTTGACCAAGACTAGGCCTGAATTGACGGACGAGGTGTTGCAGGATGAAGTGTTTGCAAAGACCGCCGAGCACATTCAACAATTGGAGAAGCTGTCTGCCATTGAGAGGAAGAAGCAGGAGAAGAAGCTCGGAATTGACAAGAAGAAAGCCGAGGCCGAGCAGAAGAAGAAAGAGGATGCCCACGAGAAGCCGCAGACGGAGGAGGAGTTGCAGTACAAGTTGGATGCTATCCGTAAGAGCATGGGCATTCTGTCGCAGCTGGGTGAAATGCCGCTTTTCCCTGAGGAGGGTGTAGATGCAGCAAAGAAGAACTATGCTCCTAAGTCTACTGGAAGCAAGCCAAAGGGCAAGGCCAGAAAGAGATGAAGAGCTTAAGTTGAGACATTGCGGCGGTTACACAAAGTTTTAAGGCTGCAAGGTTGGATGCCCTCGGCAACAATGCGACCGTGTCGAAAGGAACAACAGCCGCATCCATAACAACTCGTAATTGTGCTCAAGGTGATGGCTGCAAAATGTCTCCTTTTCGCCATCGTGGGGCCCACTTCATAAACCCTAACTCCACTCGGCGCAACTGAACCTAGTTAATGACCGAAGGGCCTAGAGGTGCCACCCTGCATGGCTTGGCTATCTCCTCGAGAAGCTTTTGTGGTTGGGAAGGCATTGTGAGTACCCCACAAAACGGAGACGGTCATGATGAGTAGGTGGGTGCGAAAAGTGACTCTGTCGCTCGGAAGATGCCGCTCCGGAGCCGAGAGGCCGATTATTCTCTTTTCTATATTGACTATTTTGTGATCTGACTGAGGCAGGCAGCCACAAGGCATGCATTGCCAAAGCTGCCCGGCGGCTTTTTTATTTATCTCAATTTCCCGGTCCCGCTGGCTTCGGCGCAAATACCGCTACTGCGCGGCTCTGGTTGCCATTGTGGCCCCTAACTGTGTGGCTGCGGAACGGTTTCAAGACCGGCATTGGCGGGTACCGAAAAAAATAAGGGAAGGAAAAAAAAAAACATAAAGATTGCAAACCCAAACAAAACAAAAATCACCCTCGCCCGCCTCCCACAGCCTTTTCTGCTCCCGCGGCCACCCGCCTCTTATCTCGATTTGCGCCCAATAGCAGCAAAGCAGATAGCACCAAAGCAACCCTTGACACATTTGGCGCGAAATCGCTACCCACGACAATAGGCACACAAACCACGGAAGCATTTCGGCTACTGTGTCTGATCACGTGCCACTTATCTCTCATCTGCTCACACATCAGTGGCCGGCGTTTCCCACACCTACTCACCGTTGGTCCCATCAACAAACTGCTTGTAACAAATACAGCCATACTACCTTCTGTTCTTGTCATAACCACTTTATAATAGATTCATGACGGACAGTAAACCCGGGCCGAGCCAGGCCAAACACCCGCAACAGGCGGTCAGTTCGTTGACTAAGCTCTTGAGCGAATCGAACTCCAATGTGGCTTCGAAAAACGCATCCCTGACCAGTTTAAACCTGCCTGGCTTCCTGGATACGAAAATATCCCCTTCGCCTGGAATGCACAACACCAGTTCCGACGATAGCGGCATTCAGATCAATGCGCTGACCAAGTTGAAGCACAATGGCGTTGTGGGCGGTAACAGCATTCTGCCTCGTCAAAACGCCGCCCCCGTGGCCCAAGCTGTGGGATCAGGCTCCTCTCCAGTGGTGGTCAATGGCGGTTTTGATCTGACCCAACAAGGACGTGATATCCCGTTTGGACGTTCATTTGGCTCCAAAGATCAGCCCATACGACCACCGACAGATTGCAAGAGTCCCCGTGTCAACCGAACCAACTCGGTCTCGCATACTTCATTTTTCGCCACGGGAGGCTACGGCTCAGAGAGTTTATCGTCGTCGATTCCATATGGCGCACCTGGTGGTCGTGGAAACAGCGTGGCTAGCACGGAACACGCCGCCAATTCTTACAAAGGAAACGGTTTTGCCAATGGCTCTTCCAATCTTTCCAAGGCATTGCGCAACGACAGCGCTTCCTCGGAGTCCTCAGACCATGTGCCTAACTTGCCAAACGGACAGCCCATCCTGTCGATCCACATTTCGTCCCCTCAGGTCAATTCAATGACCATCGAGCCACGTTTTGTCATTTCCAAACAGAGAGTTGCACAGGCTCAAGCTCAGGCCCAGGCCCAGGCTCAGGCAGCTTCTTTGTCCAGCTCAGGACGCCAGGGTTCTCAGCTGGGTCTTTCATTTTTCTTCTCGTCGAAGAACAAGGGCAATCTGCAAGGCAAGGGATCCTCCACAGATCTTGGCTCGTTCTACAACAACCCAACTCCAATCAACGAACACGCTGCAATGGGCACGTCTCCATCCAGTCTTTCATCTGCGGACTCTGCTAACATGTACAGCTCGTCCAAGCATAGCTCCATGGCCAACCTTAAAAGGTTCTTCAAGAAGGGCCAGTCTCCATCCCAACCCATCCCAGTTGGCAAAATGTCCACTTCCATGCGCTCAACTCACTCCGGCAGTGTTCCAGCATCTGGCTCTTTTGCTTCTGCTTACCCCAGCCAGTCAGGCGGATCTAATGTGTCCGAGTCTTCCTACTCGCAATCTCCAGTGACTGGTTTCGCTGTTGGTTCTTCTTCCGTCAGCAGAACTCCATCAATGGTTCGTGACAGAAGAGGATCCATCAATGGCCTCACCAACTCACAGTCACAACAGTTGCCATTCTCAAAGAGATACAGTAAATACGGAGAGAACCTTGGTGCTGGTGCCGGAGGGTCTGTCAGACTTGTGAGCCGTTTAGCTGATAAAAAGACTTTTGCCGTGAAGGAGTTCAGACAGAAGTATCAGAACGAGACAAAGCGTGATTACGCCAAAAAGATCACTAGTGAGTATTGCATTGGTTCGACCTTGAAACACCCTAATATCATTGAAACTGTGGAAATTTGTTACGAGAATGAGAGAATACTCCAGGTCATGGAGTACTGTGATTTTGATCTTTTTGCTATTGTGATGTCCAACAAGATGTCTCGCGAAGAGATCAACTGCTGCTTCAAGCAGATCCTATCGGGTATCAATTACTTTCATTCCATGGGTTTAGCACACAGAGACTTGAAGCTTGATAACTGTGTTGTGGATGCCCGTGGTATTGTAAAGATTATTGACTTCGGCTCCGCAGTGGTGTTCTCGTACCCATTTTCAAAAACGTTAATCGAGGCTCTGGGTGTTGTGGGCTCTGATCCCTACCTTGCTCCAGAGGTATGTGTCTTCAACAAGTACGATCCTAGACCAGTGGACGTTTGGTCCGTGGCTATCATCTTCTGTTGCATGATGCTCAAAAAGTTCCCTTGGAAGGTCCCAAAGATGATCGACAACAGCTTCAAGCTTTTCGCTACTCGTGAAGAGGGCAAGTCGTTGAGCGAGATGCTTGTTAGAACGCCAGACAATTTCAGCATGCCTGAGCTTGGCGCCGTGATAGATGAGGTTGATGCCGGTGATATCTTAGAATCTCCAACAACCGACGGCAAGCTGGGCGAAGGCATGTCTCACACATCTAGCGAGACTGGTCTCGGGCGTCTTTTACTTGCATTGCCTGAAGACTGCCGTCCTTTGATAGGACGCATGGTTGAGTTGGCGCCAGCTTGCCGTATCTCTATTGAAGAATGTTTCCAAGACGACTGGCTCAACAGCATCGGCATGTGCACAGTTGAAGAGCGCGTTAACAACGACGGTCTGTTTGATTACCAGGTGTTCAAGGGTAGTGACCACGAGCACACCACCGTGGATCAGTCCAAGGCCCACATAGCGGCGTTTGACAAAAACAAAAAGAAGTAGCATTCACCGCCTGTCATATAGTATAGAGAATTTGCATTATTTGAAGTATTGTATTCATTGAGCCAGTTGCAAGGGGAATTTCGTTTTCTGCTGGAGAAGACATGAAACGATTGTGAAGTTCAGCTTCCGACCCTCGTTGGAATCACTGACTTATTGCTATTCGGTGGATTATCAAATCATACCCAACACTCTCCCTACAGTTCCCTCGTCATTTCGTGTATTTACAGGTCTATCATACATTATGGCTCGACACGGACGCCGATGGCCTCGGCAGTCAGAATAATGCCTCCGCATATCTGCTGCAACGAGAGGTCCTTGTGTCTTTCGTCGGTCTTCTTGATCTTGGCGATCTCATATATATGCTTCAACGAAAGCGTCTCTCCAACAAACTCGTGGGTGGCTCTTCCGGAGCCCTTTTCGGCCTTAGCGGCCTTCATAAGGAGCCACGACGTAGGAGGCAGCTTCATTTCGAATGTGAAGGTTCTGTTTGGCTTGATCGTCATGAGAATTGGGATGGGGTTCCTGGAGCGTAGTGGGCGGATCTGGCGTTGAATTCTTTGCAAAAATCGATGGCCTTGACACCCTTGGAGCCCAAAGCGGGACCCACCGGTGGAGCCGGTGCCGCCTGTCCGGCGCCCACGATCAACTTGACGAATACGTTTTTGGCAGACATGACGATGTAGGTGAAAAAAAAACTGGTGCGCCGCGAAGTAGTAGGTAATTCCTGGGGGACCATAGAGGAAAGGGAAATAGGGAGAAAAGGTCACTTACAAATAAAAAGTGTCATCAGACGGGATTGAACATTCATGGATTGGTTGGTTTTGAAGAAAGTTCTGTTGTACTTCCTGTTGGGGGTAGGTGTGGGTATGATGAGGTCTCAATAGGCAAGTCTCAAGCTGTGGGTGTCTCCACTACTGTAGTGAACTCAGTGTGAGAAAGAAGATTCGGAAAACAAAACAAGATCCATCAGCAAATAGTTTCAAGTATTTCGTTTACCATAATTACTAAGGACTCTTATTTTGGGTGTTTGAGGTGACAGAGAGGATGTATCCTAGAAGAGTGAGATTTGCATCCATTGCATCAAACACCTTCTTCACAGCAAATTACTAAAAACGTCCTTTTCTGAAAACTCAAGTATCATTTGAATGTCATCAAAAGGAAAAATACTTGTGAAACCGCCGAGCTTTCTATACTGCAATCTTCTATGATGCGTTAGTGTGAGCTCATTGAGAGTACACTAGCAATGTCGTGAGCGACAACACTCTTTCCACCAGCGATACTTCTAAGCCCTACTGCTCACTCATGGCTTTTTTTCAAAGATCGTCTTCTCTGGCCAATCAAACTGCTCCATCCAAAACTCCCTTTTATCAAAGCCCGACAAAATGGGGGAGGCTTTTATGGCTTCCCCGGTAAACAATTCAAGCCCCTCCACACGTGCTACGGCAAAGTTTCGTCTCCTCTATTCGTCTTCGTATCTTATCTGAGGCCCACAATGCAATCTATTGTTAGAATTGGGAGCTCCTGGAATTTGACTTCTCTGGAAAGTGAAAAAAAAAAAAAATACAACGTTTATGAGCCACAAACAAACAAATGTCGATCATCTTTAAAATAAACAATTACTAAAATATTATGGAGAACAAAACGGTATTACCCAAATGACTTCTGTATGCTAAATTTCCTCGAAAAACCTCAGTCGAGAATTGTTGCTATAGTTCTCCTCATCCAATAGAGGAGCATGATTGTGTGCTTGGAAGAACATATCATCGTCTTCAAACTCAGACAGTTGTTCTCGTACATGCGTAGAACCCATCAGGGCATATTTTTGGTCGTAATCATACGAATCTTCGGGCATGGTGTCCATCCGATTCACGTCAGAGTTCATGCGTGAATGTCCCGGTCCTCTGTTACTAGCAGAACTCAGATTGAGCCCGCCCGTTCCATCGTTCGAGTTCCCGCCGGTTGCAGTTCCGCTACCGTGGAAGATGGAGTCTAGGTTATTACTGTTCGAGACACCGCGGTATGCAAAGTCGTCCGAAGTATCGTGGGCAGCGTTATTATGGCCGCCGACTCCGCCCCCAAGGAACGGGTCAGACAGGGCAGCTCTAGACTCTAGGTGTTTTTCAAGATCGTTGTAGGAATCGACAGTCGCCGCACCAGCAGCGCCACCGGCACCGATGCCAAAGAGCTTCTTGAATCCAGACTTCTCGTTAGAGTCGCCGGAAGTGTCGTCGGCAAAATCTGGAGAGTGGTTCGTGACTCTTGAGCGACGCTTCTTGAGGAACAAGAAGAGCACAACAAGCGAACCAATCAAAATAGTACCACCAATCGAGCCCACAAGGCCTCCAATAAGTTTAGCGTTGCGCTGTGACGTACCTCCACCAGAGCCGCTGTTGTCCGCAGACGTAGGCACGGCGACTAAAGAGGTGATGGTCGTGTCTGGGAGGACACTAACTGTAGAGTAGTAGCCAGCGTACTCAGACGACTCGGACGTAAACAGCGTAATAGAATGCAGGGCAGACGATGTCACTGAGGATGAAGACGATGAAGACTCAGGCTCCGAGGTGGTTTCGCTGGAGCTCAGGCTCGAACTCAGACTCAGACTCGAACTCAGACTCAGACTCGAGCTCAGGCTCAGACTCAGGCTCGAGCTCAGACTCAGACTCAGGCTCGAGCTCAGACTCAAACTCAGGCTCAGGCCCAGGCTCGAGCTCAGGCTAGACGACAGCGAGGATTCACTAGACGACTCAGATGAGCTCGAAGACAGTGACGAGCTTGACAGGCTCGTGCTCTCTGTAGTGGTCTCACTGGTGCTGGAGGGGAAAAACGAGCTCGACTCGCTCCAGCTGGTGCTGGGCTCCTCAGACGAGGAGGGTTCCTCTGAGTATGTGGAAGATGCAAAAAATGACGAAGATGAAGTGGGGCCAGAGCTCAGGGGAGGTTTCCAGGACGATGAGGGCTCCGTTGACGGGATAAACAGAGACGTCTCAGACGAGCTCTCAAACGTGGGCTCTGACGAAGACGAAGGGAGCGTCAGGGACGACGATTCCTGTGTCGACAGCAGGGGCGTGCTCAGCAGCAGAGACTCCAGCAGCGTGGTGTATGACGACATTGTCAGCTCAGGAGGATCAGATGACGACGGGCTAGACCACGAGGACGAGGAAGGAGGCAATGTGGGCGGAGCCAGGGAAGACAGTGTGAGGGACGACAACGTGGGAGACGAAAATGACAGGGATAGCGTCGGCAGAGACGACAGTGTGATGGGTGATGAGGAGGAAGTTGGAATTTCCAGCAGGGTGGTGTCAAAAGACGAAGATGTGGATGGAGTAGGCTCAGAGTGCACTGAGGACATTGTCAGCAGGAGCGAGGTGCTATAATTATCTGAGTGCGAACGAGACCCTGGGGTGGTGGACAGGGAAAAAAAGCCCAGTGAGGACGTGGGCGAGGACGCAAATGAGCCCAGGGAAGAAGTCTGAGGAACCGAAATGCTGGCAGATTGGGAGGACCTGGCGGACAGGAGAGACCCGGAAGACTGCTGAAAAGTCGATGAGGACGACGAAGAAATGGAAGATGGAGATGGAGACAGCGATGGCGTAGTCGTAGGCGGGAACGTCGGACCCAGCAGGAACGATTGAGTGGTCAGGGCGGTCTGGTTGAGGTCGGAGGAAACGTCTCTCTGAAAAATAACGATATTGTCCTTGCGCGGACGAAGGGCAGTATTTGTTCCATCGCCTGGCGGCGGGAAGGGGGCACTAAATATAACAGACCGGGGCATTCGTTTGGCGCGCGGCGGGAACAAGAAGAAGAGCAGAGCAGAGCAGCCTGGCCAGACTGAGCAGGGAGGCCTTGAAAGGGTCTGGTCGGGGCCCGTGAGGTGGAGGGAACGGACTGGAAAAACCGGAGACTCAGGATTTCAAGCAGGGGGATCGCCGCCTGATATAATCCCTGCCAGCGCTTACGACTCGCAGCGCCTTGAGGTAACCGGCGTGCCTGTGCGATGGTTGCTAGTGTCTCGGAATAGTGAGATGGACGGACCAAACACAGGAAAAATATCCACAAAACCACCGAGATGGCTTTGGCGACACGCAGCTGCCTGGGTACAAGGAATCAGGGATCCAGGGGGTTTCTGGCTTTGTGCTTACGCCACGGCGGCTTGGTCTGCGGGCGGCAAGAACTTAAATAATGGGGCAGTTCGACTTTGGATATAGCCTTCTTAAAAAATTTTCTCCTGTAATTTCCATTCTCCTCAACGTGGGGTTTTGCTCGGCTGCATCTCTGGGCTTCTTCTTCATCCCTGCTTGGATGCAAATTACTCGCAGCACATCTGCGTGCCGGTTTGCTTCGTGGCAGCAGTGCGCACGGCTTAGGCGCCAGAAAGCCTCCTACGGTGCTTAAGCGACATTTTGTGGGCCAAACGGGCCCGGACAAGAATCCCAAAAATAGGCGGGTTTTGGATCCCAATGAGATCAGTGGGCATGCCCGATTGCAGATGACCGCCGCTGGGGGTCCATTAATGATGTCATCCCCTATTGTCTGGTTTCTATGCAGCCTTGTTGCAACGCTTCCATGCATGGTGTGCCCTTCATGTCTGTAGAGCTTGGAATCCTTTTCCACTGATCACTCCAAGCCAATCGCCGCTGTTTCGCCAGCACACATTATTCACCTCTAACTCCTCAGTGTATGCCATTGCCGGCGTGTCCACCACAGTACCCACCTCCTTGTTGCCGCTCGTGAGATCCCACACAAGCGCCTGACAGTCGTCACCTGCCGTGGCAAGCCAGTTGGTGCTGGGGTGCCATTGTATAGTATTTACCGCCGCCTGACTCATACCACCGAACAGGCAATCCAATTTCACCACAGGAAGCCCGGGCATCCGCATATCTATCACAAGCACCTGATTCAGGTTGACGCCAACGGTAGCCAAGTAGTTCTGATCGACGTTGGACGTCAGGAGCTTGAGCAACGCTTGCGGGTTGTAGTGGGCCTGGGCGGTTGCGGGCACGGAAGATGCTAAAGGTGGGGCTCGTGTGGGCTCATAGATGATGGTGGAATGCTCCAATGACCGGAGGTCAAACACTCGCATAGATCCATCGTTACTGACGCTGGCAAAGACGTTCGTTGATTCGTGGAGAAACTTCACGTCAAACACCTCCAGATCATGCGCTATTAGCTGCGTCTTGACGTGTGCTGTGTCTCTGTCTTTGCCGAGTGAATGCGAGCGATTGAGGTCCCACACGGTGCATGTGGTATCCACGCTGGAGGTGATAATCATAGAGGGGTCCGCTTTGTTCCAGTCGAATGACGTCACGGGCGGGAAAGTGTTTATATCCTGAACGTCCCCATTGGCCAGGTTGGCTGTGGAGTTGTTCGCTAGAAGATGGGTCTGCACTAAGGGGAACCTTCCGTCCATCTTGAGCTTATCGGGGTCCTGTTCCACCTTATACAATCTAAGAACTTCTGACGACGCTCCGAGTCGAAGCACGCCCAGACTGGCCATCAGGGGGTCCCACTGGACATTGGTGAGTGGGTACTCCACAGCTGTTTCGGCGACATTGGTCCAATCAAAAGCTCCTCCTGCGCACGAGGGCAGATCTTTCGTTCTCAGCTCCTCAGAGCTCGAGCTAGTGTCCAGTACTGTAGGAGAACCAATCCCTGGATCCTCAGGGTCCTCCTTGTTGTTGTATAGCAGTCCGTGCACGACTTGGACTCGATTCAGGTAGCCTTCTCTAAAGGAACTTAAAACAACCCAATCGTTCGTGGGATCAGTGGACACCCAATCTGCGCAGAACAAGGGGTGTTGTGATGAGTAGTACGAGGCTCGAATGTTACCATTATCCTGGACGGCCTGTTCGTCAGGGTAGTTGGGATAAGCAAAACGGGATTGGTTTTGTCTGGGTGAAATTGGATACAGAGTGTAGGATCCTTGTTGAGACAATCCCGAAAGGGAGCTGCGCTTTGGTCTGAGTTGCTGCCAGTCCATTGTGAATTGGAATAGGCAATGGGATTGAGCTTTTGGAGTTGGTGAGTTGATGAAGCCTGATATCGTGGAGGTGGCCCAGTGTGCAGGTCGGATACAACCTACCCTTTCTGTGGAAAGAGGAAAGAGCTGTTTAAAGACGGGGAGATGGGATAATAAATTTCTATCAAAAGACAGTTTTCTGTTGTTATGTCTCTGATATTTACGGTTTTGGAGGATTCGTGTTCAATGCGGCTATGGACTCTCTCCAGAAGAGTCAGCGACTTGTATGCATCTCAAGGTTTAAACTACTGTGGACATTGAAGATCTAATGAAACTTTGTTTTTCGGTTTTTTGATACTATCATCTGAGACATTTGTCTGCAACGGTACCCCCAAAAAGTAGTTGCCCAATATCGTCTGATGCACGGCGGCTGTTTCGGAAGTCCATGAACCGTAGAAGCTTGGATTCATTCCAAGACGAGAGAAAACCGAGATTGACGATTTCAGGAACGAATAGTTAAAAAAGATCTGAGCTGAAGATAAACACAATGCTGGATCTGGTTTCGGGATGCACAAACCCTATGTAGCAAGGCGCCTAAACGGACATATACGGAATCGGATAAACTTGGAATTTTGGGAGATAGTCGAGGCAGAAGCGCAACCACAAGAATTGTGATTTACAGAAAAGATTGCCGATTTGCTTTGTCGATCAATGTCTCTGGTTTATCTTTTTGGACATAGATCTTTTGAGAGGTTGGGGCCAGTGACCTCGTCAAAATCTGATTTAACGAATGCATTGTACGAAAATGCTCTCGATTCCTTTGTCGGGAGTTTCTTCAATTAAGCTGAGAAGCATATTTTGCCTTGCATGCTTTGAAGATCAACGACATTGCCAATCCTTAAGCCACCATGTTTCACATATGAAGAAGGATTCTGGAATACCGCAAGGCTGAAATCATTCTTATTCGATTGTCGTAAGCCTCCTGGATTCTAGTGAAATTCGCTGATCGTAATCAAGAAATCCATGATTCAATTGCCATGAATCTTCTCCATGAATAAAGTTCATAAATGCCTTGATTTTGCTGTAACCAATTACAAGTAACCAAATAGCTTCAAACCACCGATGTCACCTACATTTCCGTCCCTATTACACTCTATTGTGATCTATTGTACAAACTAGTTTTCGTTGGCAACCTCCTCGACAGATGGACAGGTGCAGAGCAAGTTCATGTCACCAAAGGCATCGTCCAAACGGGCCACCGTAGGCCAGCATTTCTGTGTCTTCAAGAAAGGCAATGGGTAAGCAGCCTGCTCTCTGGTGTAGCCACGAGCCTCCCACTCCTCCTGGGGTGTGGAAACAATGTCGGCAAGAGAGTGAGGAGCATTCTTCAAAACCTGGCCGTGGGACTCGCCCTTGGCGTAAGCGTCAATCTCCTTTCTGATCAGCAACATGGACTCAACAAAACGGTCAAGCTCCTCCAAGTTCTCAGACTCGGTGGGCTCGATCATAAGAGTGCCGGCAACTGGGAAAGACATGGTAGGAGCATGGAAGCCGTAGTCCTGCAAACGCTTAGCAACGTCAATGGCCTCGACACCAACGCTCTTGAATTCACGCAAGTCGATGATGAACTCGTGAGCACAGTGCTTGGTGCCCTGTTCCTTGGTGGCTCTGGGGTCCACGAACAACACCTCGAACTGGTCCTTCAACCGGTGAAGCATGTAGTTGGCGTTGAGCATGGCAAGAGCGGAAGCGTAAGGAAGACCCTTGGAGCCAAGCATCTTGATGTACGAGTAGGAAACTGGAATGACAGCAGCAGAACCGAATGGAGCAGAGTTCACAGCCTGGATAGACTCAGCTGTGGCGTGGGGGGTGTCCACAAAGTGGTGCTTTGGCAAGTATGGAACAAGTCTTTCAGCAACACAGACAGGACCCTGACCTGGACCACCACCACCGTGGGACAAGGCAAAAGTCTTGTGGATGTTCAAGTGACACACATCAGCACCCAAGTCGCCTGGAGAGGTAAGACCAACCTGTGCGTTCATGTTGGCACCATCCAAGTAGACCAAACCACCGTGCGAATGAACAGTGTCAATGGCCTCTCTGACACCAGGCTCAAACAAACCGTAGGTGGATGGGTAGGTGATCATGATAGAGCAGAGGTTATCCTTGTGCTTCTCGGCCTTGTCCTTGAGGTCGGCAATGTCGATGGAACCGTTATCAAGACACTTGACGGGGACCACCTTGAGACCACACATGGCAGCACTGGCAGGGTTGGTGCCGTGGGCAGAAACAGGAATCAAACAGATGTTACGTTTTTCGTAGTCGCCGTTGGCCTTGTGGTACTGGCGGATCAACGAAAGACCAGTGTATTCGCCTTGGGCACCGGAGTTGGGCATCAAGGTGGTGGCTGCGAAACCGGTGATGTCGTTCAAATCGTGCTCAAACTCGGAAATCAACTCCTTGTAGCCCTGGGCCTGGTCGGTAGGTGCAAAGGGGTGGATCAAGGCGAAACCCGGCATCGACAAGCTCTGCATTTCAACAGTAGCGTTCAACTTCATGGTGCACGAGCCCAATGGGATCATGGAGTTGGCCAACGACAAGTCCTTGGACTGCAACAAGTGGAGGTATCTCAACATGGCGGTTTCAGAGTGGTGCTGGTTGAAAACCTCGTTGGGGAGGATCTCGTCGGTTCTGAGAAGGCTCTGTGGAATCTCTGGGAGGTTCTCGGGAAGCTGAGCTGGCTTACCTGTGAAAAGAGCCACCAAACCCTCGAGGTCGCTCTTGGTGACGGTCTCGTCCAAAGCAATGGAAACAGACGACTCGCCAGCCTTGAAAAGGTTGATGTTGTACTTGTCCAAGGCCTCCTTCAACAAGGCATCGGCACTGCCATTGACCTCCACAGACAAAGTGTCGAACCACGAGTCGTTGAGAAGCTTGTGTGGAGAGGATTTGATAGCCTCAGCAAGAACAGTGGTGTAGCCGTACACACGAGAAGCAATGTTCTTGAGACCAGCAGGTCCATGGTACACAGCGTACATGGCAGCCATGTTAGCCAAAAGAGCCTGGGCAGTACAAATGTTGGAAGTAGCCTTCTCTCTCTTGATGTGCTGCTCACGGGTCTGCAAAGCCAATCTGAGAGCAGGCTTGTTGAGTCTGTCCTTGGAAACACCGACAATTCTGCCTGGCACCTTTCTGGAGAACTTCTGTGTGGTTGCAAAGAAAGCAGCGTGTGGACCACCGTAGCCGAATGGAACACCGAATCTCTGGGAGTTACCCAAGGCGATGTCGGCACCAAACTCTGCTGGAGGCTTCAACACCGTCAAGGCAAGAAGGTCAGTAGCCATGGCGAAAAGGCCCTTGTTCTTGTGGACAATTTCACCGATCTTGGAGAAGTTGTGAAGAGAACCATCGGTGGCCGGGTACTGGACCAAAGCACCACAGACCTCCAGGCCAATCTTCTCAAGCTGAGCAACACCCTCCTCGGTGGTCAATGGAAGCACCACAACCTCAACACCGAGGTTGTTGGCACGAGACTCAATCACGTCCAAGGACTGGGGGTGCAATTTCGAGTCCACAACGTACTTTCTCTTTTTCGAACGCAGGTTCACAAAAGACATGGCCATGGCCTCAGCAGCAGCAGTACCTTCATCCAAAAGCGAAGCATTAGCGATATCCAAGCCCGTCAAGGACGAAACCATGGTCTGGTAGTTGAGCAAAGACTCCAAACGGCCCTGAGAGATTTCAGGCTGGTATGGAGTGTAGGAGGTGTACCACTCAGGCAGCTCCAAGAGATTACGCTGGATCACTGGAGGAACGATGGTACCGTGGTAGCCCTTACCAATGAAAGACTTGGCAATTCGGTTTTTGCCTGCAAGATCGTGCAAGTGCTTGAGCATCTGCTGCTCAGTGTAACCCTCCTGGGGCAGCACCTTCAAGGGTCTCTTCACCAAAACGTGTGGGGGAATCAGAGCAGTGAGAAACTCGTCCATGTCCTTGTACCCAAGCGACTTGAGCATGTGGGCAACATTGTCTGGGGTGGGACCAAAGTGTCTTCTTGCAAAAGTGTCCAACTCGCCATACGTTGGACCTTCTTTGGCTGGATTGTGCACCTGCTGGTAGTTGGCACTCAGGGTGTTAGCCGTAGCAAGAGATCTGCTGATATAGGCGGCCACGGGTGCTCTGGGAGCGGCTCTGAGGCGGAGCTGGAGCGGTCTGGCTGCACGTACCACGGCTCTGGCTCTAAACATGCTGAATTTGTCGAAATCTGAATTCTGGGAAGTAGCCGTTTATATACCTCTGGGCCGAGCAGAGTCAGGCGCGGCGGTGACTCCGACACATACCACCGGGCACCCACCGAGGCGATTTTCTGATTTAATAGAGAAGGGTATAAGTGAAGAGGATGTGAGTTCTTTATTGGATTCGTTTGATCTCTGATTTTTGTTGTTGTTGATGGGTTTTCCAGTGTAGCAGTGCTGCCGCAGTCAGGATGGGTCAGTGAGGCAGCTGCAGCTGTTTTTCTCCAAGAGTCGATGACTTTGTGGTACGTCAACGAATTGTAAAAAAACTTTGGGTAGAATTGAAATCAGGAGCTCAAGCCGTCTACGAATCAATACATCAAATCAAAATTTTACGTGCTTCCCATCACAAATCACTGGCACTTCCTCGATGAACCCTGAAAAATCGCATCCATCAGAGTCCAAATCGACCTAACCGAGTCCAACCGGTAGCGCCGCTTCTGAACAAACTGCATTTTCTCAAAGAAGCCATTTTTCTTTTTCTTCCCACTTCACTACTGAAATCTAATTTCCTAGATCGCGTGATTCAATAAGCTCAGTGCTTGACTCCATTGCATTGTCCCAACGCCTGGCCTGTGAAAAATCCCGGGGCATCGCGATCGTTTTTTCTTATCTCAAGCCTCGGCTGGGGAATTTCTTTTTTAGTATACAGAGTCAGAACTCAGAAATTCGAAGTTTTGTCGATAAAACTAAATATGCTTCGAGATTTGCCATCTTGATCAATCATTTGTATGATAGGGTTCCCTATGAGTCCTTAGCTCTAAAATATGGGGTAATCTGCGGCTGACTCTCTCATATCTCCCATATCACATATAAGCCGAACGGTAAACCGTCGCCTATCGATCTCTACGATTCTACAACTCTTCAAGCTAAATTATAATATTTCAATGACACTCAGTTGAAACTAGCTTATTTCTTAGCAGCCTTCTGGGCAGCCTTGGTGACCTTACCAGCCTTGTCGGACTTCTCGACAGCCTTGATGACACCGACAGCAACAGTCTGTCTCATGTCTCTGACAGCGAATCTACCCAATGGTGGGTAGTCGGTGAAAGGCTCAACACACATTGGCTTGGATGGAACCATCTTAACAATGGCAGCGTCACCAGACTTGATGAACTTAGGCTCCTCCTCCAACTTCTTACCGGTTCTTCTGTCGATCTTCTCAATCAAGGTGTCGAACTTACAGGCAATGTGGGCAGTGTGACAGTCCAACACTGGAGAGTAACCAGAAGAGATCTGACCAGGGTGGTTCAAGACAATAACCTGGGCGGTGAAAGACTCAGCACCCTTTGGTGGGTCGTTCTTGGAGTCACCACAGACGTTACCTCTTCTGATCTCCTTAACGGAAACGTTCTTGACGTTGAAACCAACGTTGTCACCTGGGACACCCTCAGCCAACTGCTCGTGGTGCATCTCAACAGACTTGACCTCAGTGGTGACACCAGCTGGGGCGAAGGTAACAACCATACCGGCCTTGATGACACCGGTCTCAACTCTACCGACTGGCACAGTTCCGATACCACCGATCTTGTAGACATCCTGCAATGGCAATCTCAATGGCTTGTCGGTTGGTCTGGTTGGTGGGTCAATGGCGTCAATGGCCTCCAACAAGGTCTTACCGGTGGACTTACCGGCCTTGGTCTCCTTCTCCCAACCCTTGTACCAGTCACAGTTGGTAGAAGCCAAGATCATGTTGTCACCGTTCCAACCAGAGATTGGCACGAATGGAACAGTCTTAGGGTTGTAACCAACCTTCTTGACGAAGTTAGAGGTCTCCTTGACAATCTCATCGTATCTGTTCTTGTCCCACTTGACGGAGTCCATCTTGTTGATAGCAACAATCAACTGCTTGACACCCAAGGTGTAAGCAAGCAAAGCGTGCTCTCTGGTCTGACCATCCTTGGAGATACCAGCCTCGAACTCACCAACACCACCAGCGATAATCAAGATAGCACAGTCAGCCTGGGAAGTACCAGTGATCATGTTCTTGATGAAATCTCTGTGACCTGGAGCGTCAATGACGGTGACGTGGTACTTAGGGGTCTCGAACTTCCACAAAGCAATGTCGATAGTGATACCTCTCTCACGCTCAGCCTTCAATTTGTCCAAAACCCAAGCGTACTTGAAAGAACCCTTACCCAACTCGGCGGCCTCCTTCTCGAACTTCTCGATGGTTCTCTTGTCGATACCACCACACTTGTAAATCAAGTGACCGGTGGTGGTGGACTTACCAGAGTCGACGTGACCAATGACAACCAAGTTAACGTGCTGCTTCTCTTTACCCATTTTTGTTTTAGTGAGGTGATACAGAAAAAGATCAAAAGGGGGAAATTTTTTTCCAGAGTGCGCCTTATATATGAGCGCTGATGGCGGTAGCAGTAAGGTGGGAAAATTTTTGCGGCGCCGGGTAACCCCTCATTGGGACTGTCTTTACGCTACGTGCTGCGATTTACTACATTCTATAGGACCGTTTTGCTGAAAAGTTTAACCCAATATAAGCTTTTTTGTTATTAACCATTTTACACCGAATCAAACTTGAAAACAGCTAGGTAAGGTTACCGTTATCAGCAAGCCAGGAAACCACCCGGGTGGGGACACGTGCCAGATGGTGCGGGCGCGAGCCCTGATGCCTTCACTGGTATCATTGCCAACATTAGGCAAGGGCTGTTAAGTTATGTAACCATGTATTATGACTTAGCATGCAAGGTCAATGCTCCAGAGACTAGCCCGTGCCACCTCTGGGAACATAGGTATAATCATTGTGCAGGTCGCTGCCATGCAATCAGTGGCTGCAAACCCTACTGTTCGAAAGCACTTTCTCTCTGCCCAGTCTGGTAGTTCTTTCTGAACATGTCCTGGTTTGGTTGAAGATGTGGTTGCGATGATGGTGTGGATGACGTGGTGTTGACTGACGGGAGGTGAGAGCTCTCAATCGACAGTCTGGTAGTAGACGTGGATGAGCGTCTTCTGTGGTTTCTAGCCGTCTGAGGATCGATCTTGATGCCTGACTTGTGCTGGGCAAATAAACCCAAGATGTCAGTCAATGTAACAACACCCACGAGCTTGCCGGGGCGTCCACTTTCGGGTTGGATGCCTTCATTTGAGAGAGCAGCCTCAACCGTACTTGGAGGTCCAGAAGCAGAACCTAGATGGGAACCTCTGTTCTCCACAATCCATAATCTGTGTGACTCTGTAGCAACCAACTTAGCAATTACGCGGCCCAAAGAGCTCTGCTGACTGACGTGAAAAATGGGGAATTGATCTTGGCCACGCTCAATGCCTTTTTGGGACAAGTTGTAGGAGATGAAATTGGTGACTGGCTTAAATAACAAGTGTGAGTTCTTGGTTGAAGAGACGTTTTTCACGTCGACAATGGAAATGTTACCCACTAAGGACTTGTTCTTGTCAATGACCGCAAGGGAAGAGACTCTTTCGTCGAACATTTTCTGCAATGCTTCAATCAAAGGCTGATCGCCCTGAATTGTTATAGGTGCTGTAGAGCCGATCTTCAAGTCCTGCAAGGACGAATTGAGTAAGAATTCAAGTGATGGGAAGCGTCTGGCGTTCTCCCAAAGGAAACGAATTGTTCTTCTCTGAGAAAGGATACCGGTGATTTTGTTAGCACTATCGACAATTGCAACACGATGAACACCGTTTCCAAAAGCCTCTACCGCTCTGAATAATGATTCTCCGTCCTTGAGTCTCACAAAGGGTGTTTTAGGGTGCAATCTCACGATGAAGTCCACAGGGACCTCCTCGCCTTTCTTGGCCTTAGCCACTAACTGGTGGAGCTTCTCGTGCTTCTGGGCTGGTGTCAAGGCATGGGGGTCGCCATGCTCGTCGGGAATGTCATCTACACACAAGTCGCTGATGGCGATCTTGTTCATGATCATCAATAGGTAGGTGTTCAAGTCCAGGTAGTCGAATGACAAGCAATTGGACAAGTCCGAGGAGTCTGCCGTGCACAGCACAGGCAAGGAGGTCAAATTGTGTGAAATCAAGGTCTCAAAGGCCTTCTGGACGGAGTATGTTCTGTTGATGGCCACGAGCTTGTTGGACTCGGCCAAGTCGGCCAAGATCACATCAGGCCAATCGTTACGAGCCGCTCCGCCGGCCTGAAACACTGACAGGGCTCTGGAAGATACAGAGGTGTTTCTGGACAAGGAGAACTCGTCAACCAGCGCCAGGTGGCCATCCTGAGGAAGCGGTGGTGGCGACAGCAACATCTCCACAATGGAGTGTTTTCTGGATACCGAGCCACTGGATGCGTGACCGGCCAAGGGCTGGTGGAGCTGCTGGTTAGCCTGGTGAGGCGACAGGGGCGATCTTTGGAAGGACATTGAGTATGGAGAGGGACGACCTTGGATTCTTTCGTATGAGGGTTATGACCACAAGCGGGGTCAATTATAGAACGGGAATAATGGCGTTCAGCTTTCAAGACGATGTTCTGTTCTCAAAGGGTGGTTGCTGAAGGAGGTTTGAGTGACTAGTTGCTAGCGTCAAACCTACAGACTCAGCGGAGTATTTGAGCTGTTTGCGTTATCAATGAAGGATGCCTGAACAAAGGATGGCGTTGGTTCAATTGAAAACGAGTTTTGTATGGAGAATTGTCGTGGTTGTTTGGAAAGATGGGGAAGTGAGAACGTGAGAAAAGTCACTGGAGGCAAACCGGTGAGGCTACTATCGCTGAGGGTGAGAAACCCAATACACAAATTTAAGCCTTGTGCGGGGCCAGTGGTCTGAGCAGCGAGCTGAAAAAAAAAAAAGGAGAGTTGGAGGGAGAATAAAAAAAAAAGAAGAATTTGTAGAAATAGTCATCGGAAAATGGCCACCTTTGGAGGCGTCGGGGTTGAGTTCCGGCCCAAACCGCTGAAATTGGATCTGTTCCCGATTCCAAGAATCCAAGAATCCAAGACCTAAATCTGCCTGGGCCGGGCTTTTCCAATGTAGGTCAGTGCTGGCTGCGAAAGCGATGCGGCTACCCAAATGGTGCCATTTTCGCCAACTTTTGACGTTTGAGCCGAGGGCGACGGAGCTTGGCGAATCGATCGAAAAATGGCAAATTTCGGATTTTTCAGCCTTGGTTCCTGTCGCTTGGTGTGCTTCCTCGGAGGCTCACTGGTACGGAGGGGTCGACGAAGCCCCTATTTCGGGGGGTTCAGGGATCCTGGGAGCAAAGACTATTCGTATGGTGTGACGAATTTTGATTTTGTGACCGAAAAGCTTGAGCTTTTCAGAGCTCCAGGGATTCAGCATGGCGGCGATTCATGGGTGTTGTGAAACTTTGGGCGTAGGTGCATGTCGCATCATCTGATTCATGACATGTAGCCGTTGCCGAGCAATAGTAAGCGTGGGCACTTTTTTGGATTACCTGGGTTGACGTAATTGGCTCGAGCTGAAAACCTGTGACCATTTATCCGGGGTGGGTCTGGGGAAACGATGTTGGGAATGTGGCATGTTCATGTCACCCGATTTGCACCCAGGGCCTCGATGAGCAAATTAGGCAGGATGGGTTTTAAAGTTTAGTGCATTTTTGGTCTATACGAGGCTGGGAAATTGGGAAATTTTGGTAGTGGGTGTTTTGGGTGGGGCATTGCTGCTCTCGGGTCGTCTCTTATAACATTCCTAATTGGTCGGCACCCTATTGGATGGCCCCGTGGTCCAGCAGGGTTGAATGAGAAAGCGGACTTTTTCAATGGACTCCGCTTTAGAGAGCAAAACGCAAAGATCAACAACCACAATAGTGCCACAGCCGTTTGGCCCTGGGCCAACAGAAAACGACTTTTTCTCTCGATTTGGCATCAATTGGGCTCAATGGGTCAATTTCGTTGATTTCCGACCCCCTCTTCCTCTTCTTCCTTGTCACCTCTACTCAACCACCGCCTATCTAAACCATCATCAACTCCACCTCCTTAACTCCACACCTCGATCAGTTCCGAGAATTGCGCATGGCGCCTGCAACGTTACCGCTTTTTCGTCTTTGTTGAAACCTTTCCCAGATCTGATTAGACCACCCTGCGTCTCCATTATCCAGCCGTCCGAGAGCGAGCCATTCACAGCGCCGACAATATCAGCAAGGAATTCAACGAAAAGAATATCTTCGAAAAGCTGTAGAAAAAATGTAAAAAAAGTTAGGAGACCAATTCATGAGATGACCATCGGAGTGGTCCCGAAATCAGGACCCTGGCCTCGGAGCGATGGTTGCGAACCGGAAGAGTCCGGTTGCTGCTTGAGCCTCTGATAATGCGCCACTGCGAGGGTCCGTCCAGACGGGCAAAAAAGGCAATTTTCCAAATCCATTGCTAAATGGGCTACCAAGAAAATCAATCGAAAAACAAAAAAAAGTGGGAATCCTTGCCACCGATGGCCAATGCCACCTCGTCATCCCATCTCGAGATCTCGCGAACATCTGAATATTTCATGGGCCTTCCGCGACCTAATCAGCCATAGCCTAGATCCCGTCCCCTAATTCAAATTACATCCCTTCTAGACTACATCTTTACCAATTACATTTCTAGACTTCAAAAAAGCATCAAAGTCCAAAAAGCAAAGGCTCTGCCGGTCAGGGGCAGGACAAGGTCGCCCCAATCAGCCCCTACACACTCGCTTTGTGTTCCTGCCTGGGGCTACAGCCTCGGACCGTTTGTTACTCTGCACAAGGAGGTCCGAGGCACCTATTCCGCAATAGAGCGAGATGCGTATCACTAGGTGTGGTGCCTTCTGATGCAATTGCTCTTCAATTGCTTTTCAGCGTTTGCAATTCATCAGAAACTCGTCTCCTTGTCCACAGCCCTTCATGCTCTTATCTGACTCTGTCACCTTATCGGATGCGCGGCCCAACAATTAGCGCCACAGCCAAATCCTGCCCGACTTTTTCGATTATGCATAGTCCAGGAATACAAACCAGCCTGGGCCTCGGAAATCCTCCCTTGTTGCAAAATCATTGTAGATCGCAAAACTCAGCCTTTTCTTTCTTGTCGTCCTAATTGGCGCACGGTCTATCCACAGATTTCTGGAGTTCCTGTCAACGCACATGGACGCAGCGCTACATAGGGGACCTATTTGTGATGCAATATTATAGAGCATCCCACGGGGCAACCGGAGAATCACTGGGGCCATCTGGCATAAAAAGAGGCTTCTTCACGCAAAAGAAACCCATTCCTTCAACTTCCGCTCGTCCAGCCATTTGTCCTGAACCTCGTCCAGGAGCGGCCTGCTTTACCCAAAAAACGTATCTTTCACACCTGCGGCCTGCAGACAATCCCGATTATTGTTCGCAGGCGCTTTTTCTTTTTCCGCCTGCTCGCACCCATTTAAAGGCTCTTAGCTGCCCCCTAAATTTCACATCCACGTACCTCTAAGCTAAATCTAACTCAATCATGGCTGATCAGTTGGATGCCGTGGACATCACGTCGCTTAATGCTCTCGCTGCAGGCACTAACAAGAAAACCCCAAGAATCGTCGCCGCCGGTTTGGGCGGTAAGTTGATGGGTACCAAGTCCTTGGTCAATGTTACTGCCGAGCAGCTTGCCTCCGATTCCAAGACTTTCTACGAGAAGGACGAGGCCGAGCGTAAGAAATGGTCCAAGCAGCAGCATATCTCGGACAAGCCATGGACTTTGTCCAACTGGCACGAGCACATCAACTGGTTGAACTTTGCCTTGGTGGTGGCCATCCCAGCCTTTGGCATGTGGTCCGCCTACACCGCTCCTCCCCAGTTGAAGACCGTGGCTCTTGCCCTTGTCTTGTACTGCTTTTCCGGTATTTCTATCACCGCCGGTTACCATCGTTTGTACTCGCACAAGGCCTACGACGCCCACTGGGCTCCTAGAGCTTTCTTTGCCTTCTTTGGTGCCGGTGCCGTTCAGGGTTCCATCAAGTGGTGGGGCCACTCTCACAGAGTTCACCACAGATACACCGACACAAACAGAGACCCATATGACGCTCGTCAAGGTTTCTGGTACTCCCACATGGGCTGGATGTTGACCAAGGCTAACCCAAAGAACAGAGCCAGAGCTGACATCTCCGACTTGACTCTGGACCCTATCGTCGTTTTCCAGCATCGTCACTACCTTATGGTCATGCTCGCTGCCGCTGTCGGTTTGCCAACCTTGGTTGCCGGTCTCGGTTGGGGCGACTTCTACGGTGGCTTCGTCTACGCCGGTATTCTCAAGTACTTCTTCATTCAGCAGGTTACCTTCTGTGTCAACTCCTTGGCTCACTGGATTGGTACCCAACCTTTTGATGATAGAAGAACCCCTAGAGACCACGTCTTGACCGCTTTCGTCACCTTCGGTGAGGGCTACCACAACTTCCACCACGAGTTCCCATCTGACTACAGAAACGCTTTGAAGTGGTACCAGTACGACCCAACCAAGTTGACCATCTTGGCTCTTTCCAAGCTTGGCCTTGCATGGAACCTCAAGACTTTCTCTCAGAATGCCATTGAGCAAGGTTTGTTCCAGCAGCAGCAGAAGAAGCTCAACAAGATGAAGGCTCAGTTGAACTGGGGTGCCGAGGTTTCTCAATTGCCTGTCTGGGACATGGCACACTTTAACGAGATTGCCAAGAAGGAGGGTCTTCTCATTATTTCGGGCATTGTTCACAACGTTAAGAACTTTATCAAGGAACACCCAGGTGGCCAGGCTTTGGTCAGAGCTTCTCTCGGGAAGGACGCTACCAAGGCTTTCAACGGCCATGTCTACGCCCACTCCAACGCCGCTCACAACTTGTTGGCTACCATGAGAGTTGCCGTTATCAAGGACACTGAGGTCAACGGCAACACATTTGACTTGCAAGAAGAGATGCTTGCTAAGAAGGAGACGTAGATCTCCATGGGCGTTATATGATACACTAGGACATATATAGGGTTGAATTAAGGAATAAGATATTATAGATGTAGATGGCATGATGGGCGGGAAAATGCATATCTCAGAATGGGGCTACCGATGATCACTCATGCTGAAGATCTGGGGATGTGAAGGAACGAGTGATGAACAAATCTTCTTAATGATGGAAGAAGATCACTTGTATATGCCTATTCCTCTTTTAGGTCCCCAGCATGATGGTAATTTTCACTCATTTCATCCACAATATGCCGATGTCCCCGTGCACTAGTACCAACCATAATGTACCCCAGCCAATCACAACAATGCAATATCCCACATTCTTCCGATCTCAATGACTCAAATAAAATGCACCCGCTTACAGCCGTCAGTGTAACACCACACATCAGGTTATTTCCTAAAAGCCTGATCTACAGCAGTGTGGAAAATGGTTCGATCGGTGCGACCCGAAAAAGTCCGCCCGAGCATAGAAGCTTCCACGCAGACCCTCGAGAGCTACACAAAATGAAATGATAGTATTCGAGGATTTTGAAATTTTTTTTGTAATTCTGTGATAGTGCAAGAGGTATGTGGTGTTTTTTGCCTTAAATTTTGAATTATGAGCCTACTTTCCCCTGTGTGTCTTTCCCAAACCTAGAGTGCCGCCTAGCCTTGTCAGGAGATTTGCTGGCACGGCTGCAGCTCTGTGGTGCGATTTTTTGCACCCAATATGACCACTTCCTGGCACCACCAGCCCAGGATCCCAGTATATAAATGCCATAAACTTTCTGAATAATTCATCTTCATCAATAACAAAAACAACAATAATCACAACAATAATGCTTCCAAGAACCTCCATGCTTCAAAACTACATGAGACGTGTCCCAGCAGTTATACAATGGGGAATCGGTGTTGGTTTCTTCTTGGGCTGGCCCCATGTCGTTATTGGCTACTCCAACAGGGCCCACAATGTTCCAAAGTTGAACGCCGCCTACCTTTAGACTATTTATGCATGTACAATAATTTACGATAGAATGATGACAAAGTTGTAGATGGGGGGACAAAGTTGTAGATGGGGGGCCCAAGTTGAAGGGTCATGACTTAATTCATCGTTGCACGTTGGGCAACTTGGCTCTTACGATTTGACATTCGTTTTGATGTGGGACCATGGTTGAACGCGGAGAATCGGTGCATTAATAGGTCGCAGCTGCCTTACTATATTGCAAGAGTCCTCCCGGTGCCAAAATCTCCACAATTCAATAGCTGTGAAAGTTGGACAGTCAACTTCTTCTAATGTAAGTCGCCTAATGGATGAACATTTTGATTCTTGCAAAACCACCGTCGTCCCATTTTTCTACGCTAACACAGTTCACACTATAGCCCGATTCTCGCGAGAAATACGGAAACTTTCCCAACTTACTCCACTGGCTGCGAATCGTCAAACTTCACCACTCTCCTTGAAAAAACCATCCGATCCATAAAAAATTAACTCTAAAACCCTCTCCCCACATTTCACAATACTAATCCACTAAAACCCCTGACTCCTAACCCCCCTCAACTACCCCGGATCTAATGTAGCCACCTTTCTCGGCGGCAGAGGCCTGCATTGAGCCACGTTCCCAGCTACTACCACCAAGAACCATATTCAAAGTACACCCAGCAAGCAATGTCCAAGCCATTCCAGCCAATCAGTGAGGTCCTCAAAGATAAACACAAGGAGCAGTCGTTCGACGACATCTACGGCGAACCTGAGAACTTCCTTGAAGTCGAAGTATGTATCCACTTGTGAGTATAGTCCAGCTCGTCTAACACCAGGTTCGTAATCCACAGACACACTACAGCAAGGACCCCTACACCGACTACGAGATAGTGTGCCGAACAAACATTCCAGCGTTCAAAAAGAGACAATCTAGGGTTCGTAGACGGTACAGTGACTTTGTCGCTTTCCGGAAGATTCTCGACCTGGAAACGCTGAGAGTAGTTATCCCACCTTTGCCTGGTAAGATTCTTCTCAGCCTGAATCGTTTCAACGACGTCAATATAGAGAACAGAAGGCAAGGCCTCGAGAAGTTCTTGAGGGTTGTCAGTGGGCACCCTATACTTCAAACCAAGTCTACAACCCTACGTGACTTCATGCAAAACGACCGCTGGGAGCCACGGTACCCTCTCGAGCCACGTGAGCTTCTTTCGTAAAGTTGAAACTCAAACAGATCGGTGACTTCCAGGGTATAACCTGAGAGGTGTCGGATGGGGGGTATATAAAGCCTGAAACCCCAGCTGGCAGGAACCATACACTTTCTGCCCCTGGAACTCCCCACAAAAGGCCCCAAAAGGGCCAATGGCACCGGTGTTTGACCATTGTTACCGCAGGTATCCCAACAACTAGGCTATGCTATCTCGGCCATAACTTGGGTTTTTGACATTTTGTACCCCTAAGAGGGTGAGCAGGGCGACTCGGTGTTAAGCTCACACGGTGCTCGCTGTTTGAACCACCCTCAGCCACGAGCCGACGCCAGCATGGTAATTACGCATTTCGGGAAGCTCCTTGAATCGTTTTGACTTTAATCGTCTGCTTCGCTGTTAGTCAGTTTAACACCTGCGGGGGCTCGGTATTAGGCTTCTCGCAGCCAATCCCCCTCCATGCTGAAATTCGGGCTTCCACCATGTGGAGTGGTCCTGAGGCTTACTGGAGGAGCTCGGCGTTATGCACCTACATGTCTCCTCCGTGTCGCTGTAATCTATGTTTCAGCTCAAAGCCCGAGACCGGACCTTCGAGTACCCCACAAACCTCGAACTATAAGAGACCCTTCGATTCTCGACATTCAAGTCCATCACCAAACAATCAAATCAGTCAATCGCAATGTCTGTCCCAAAAACCCAAAAAGCTGTTATCTTCGAGACCAACGGTGGTCCTTTGCAGTACAAGGACATCCCAGTCCCAACCCCCAAGCCAACTGAGTTGTTGATCAACGTTAAATACTCCGGTGTCTGCCACACCGACTTGCACGCCTGGCAGGGTGACTGGCCATTGCCAACGAAGTTGCCATTGGTAGGTGGCCACGAGGGCGCTGGTGTCGTCGTTGCAATGGGTGACAACGTCAAGGGATGGGAGATTGGTGACTACGCCGGTATCAAGTGGTTGAACTCTTCTTGTAACTCTTGTGAGTTCTGTCAGACTACTAACGAGTCCAACTGTGCTTCTGCTGACTTGTCTGGTTACACCCATGATGGTTCTTTCCAGCAGTATGCTACCGCCGATGCCATCCACGCTGCCCATATCCCCAAGGGCACCGACTTGGCTACCGCTGCTCCAATTTTGTGTGCTGGTATCACTGTCTACAAGGCTTTGAAGACCGCCAACTTGAGGGCTGGCCAGTGGGTCGCCATTTCCGGTGCCGCAGGCGGCTTGGGTTCGTTGGCTATTCAGTACGCTAAGGCCATGGGTTACAGAGTCTTGGGTATCGATGGTGGTGAAGGAAAGGAGGACTTTGCCAAGGGCTTGGGTGCCGAAGCTTTTGTGGACTTCACCAAGGTCAAGGATGTTCCTGCTGAGGTTGTGAAGATCACCAACGGTGGTCCTCACGGTGTGATCAACGTCTCGGTCTCTGAAGCCGCTATGCAGCAGTCTGTCGAGTACGTCAGATCCACAGGTACCGTTGTGCTTGTTGGTTTGCCAGCTGGTGCCAAGGTGGCTGCCTCTGTTTTCGACTCGGTTGTCAAGTCCGTCAGCATCAAGGGCTCTTACGTGGGTAACAGAGCTGACTCCGCTGAGGCCATTGATTTCTTCTCCAGAGGTTTGATCAAGTGCCCCATCAAGGTGGTTGGCTTGTCCGAGTTGGCAAGCATCTACGAGTTGATGAAGGCTGGTAAGATCTTGGGTAGGTACGTCGTTGACACCTCCAAGTAAGCAGGCTTGCTTGTCCGTTATGACAGTGTATTAAAATTACAGAACAGTTTATTTAATAAGCTTGTAGAAATCTAGCGAGAAGTGAATGTAAATAATTTGTGTTGCCTGTCCTGGCAAACCCTATCAACCAGGCGCCTTATCAGATTGATCAGTGCGTCGCGAACTACTTGATATCTTCATAGTCAATATTTATTTCACACAATCTATATGGCTTAGAAAGCGCGGTTCAATGGAGAAAGGATTGGCTTACCCTTCCAGAACTGGACAGTCTTAGCAGCTCTGTCGGCAATACCCTCTGGGGTGAACTCGAAGAACTTGTAAAGATCGTCACCCTTACCAGAAGCACCGAATCTGTTGATACCAAACTGCTCGTGAGAGTACTTAGACCAACCGAAGGTGGACAAGACCTCAACGGACAAGATTGGGACACCATCTGGCAACACAGACAACTGGTAGTCTCTGGTCTGCTGGTCAAAGGTGTGGAAGTCAGCGACGGAGACAACGCTGGTCTTGATGTTAGCCTCAGCCAACTTCTTGGCAGCGTCAATAGAGATGGAAACCTCGGAACCAGAAGAGACAATGATCAAGTCTGGGTTCTCAGCGGCGTGGATGGTGTAAGCACCCTTGGAGGCCTTCTCGATAGAAGAGCCAGCCAACTGAGGCAAGTTCTGTCTGGTCAAAGCCAAGACGTGAGGAGTGGAGGTGGACTCGATGGCGCTCTTGTAAGCAGCAGACACCTCGTTACCGTCAGCTGGTCTCCAGACAGAGATGTTTGGAGTAGCTCTCAACCAAGCCAAGGTCTCGATAGGCTGGTGAGTAGGACCGTCCTCACCCAAACCAATGGAGTCGTGGGTAGCGACCCAGGTGACTGGGAGGTGGGACAAGGCAGCCAATCTGACGGCACCAGCAGCGTAGGAAACGAAGTTCAAGAAAGTACCACCGTAGTTCTTGTAGTTGGCACCGTAAGCGGCAATACCGTTCATGATGGCACCCATACCGTGCTCTCTGACACCGTATCTGATGTAACGACCAGAGTAGTCACCCAAGCCGGTGTTTGGAGGCTGGAAGTCGACAGAGTCGGCACCTCTGGTCAAGTTGGAACCGGTCAAGTCAGCGGAACCACCAATGATCTCAGGGACAATTGGCAAGATGGCGTTCAAGACGTTCTCGGACAACTTTCTGGTGGCCAAAGGCTTGTCGTCAGCAGTGTAGGTTGGCAAAGCGTCAGCCCAGTTCTCTGGCAACTTGTTGTCAAATCTTCTCTGGACTTCAGCACCCTCCTTAGGGTACTTCTTCTTGTAGGTTTCAAGTTTGGCTTGCCACTCTCTGTAGATCTTCTGGTTCTCGCCAACGTGCTTCTGGTAGTGCTCGTAGACCTCGGTTGGGACAACGAAGGACTTCTCTGGGTCGAAGCCCATTCCCTCCTTCAACTGCTTGACATCGTCAGCCTTCAATGGAGCACCGTGGACAGAACCGGTACCGGCCTGCTTGGAACCGAAACCAATGGTGGTGGTCAATCTCACCAAAGTTGGCTTGTCAGCCTTCTTGGCCTCCTCAATGGCGTCCTTGACGGCACCCAAGTCGGTGTCACCGTGAGGAATCTCAATGATGTGCCAGCCGTAAGCCTTGTATCTCTCGGTGACGTTCTCAGTGAAGGCACAGTTGGTGTTACCATCAATAGAGATGTGGTTGTCGTCCCAGAAAGCAATCAAGTTGTTCAATTGCAAGTGGCCGGCGAGGGAAGAAGACTCGGAGGCAACACCCTCCTGAAGACAACCGTCACCCAAGAAAGCGTAGGTGTACGAGTCAGCCAAGGCGAGGTCGTCCTTGTTGTAAGTAGCAGCAAACTGCTTCTGGGCAATGGCCAAACCAACAGCGTTGGAGATACCCTGACCCAAAGGACCAGTGGTGACCTCAACACCTGGAACATCGTGGGTCTCTGGGTGACCTGGGGTCTTAGAGTTCAACTGTCTAAACTGCTTCAAGTCGTCAATGGACATGTCGAAGCCGTACAAGTGCAACAAGGAGTAAAGCAAGGCACAGGCGTGACCGTTGGAAAGCACAAATCTGTCTCTGTTGGCCCAGTGAGGGTTCTTTGGGTCAAACTTCATTTGCTGCCACAAAGCGTGGGCAACTGGGCCAAACCCAAGGGGCACCGGGGTGACCGGAGTTGGCCTTGGAGACGGCGTCAACAGAGAGAAGACGGATGGTGGAGATACACAATTGGTCAATGTCAGTCATCACGTGGAATTAGTGTTGATTTAAAAAAATGGAGAGTTCGAACTTCGGTGCGAGTAGTGGGATTTTTATATTGGGCATGGGCGACGGCTTTGCTACGAGGGTAACCGGGGGTGCACCGGGGGTGAAAGAGCAGTACACCGGTGGTAGCGAGCCGGTTGTTCTACGGTGTGGACCACAGGAGGACTGTTTTGGCAAATCAAGGCTTTCTATGATGGTATTGGAGCTGACCGAAAAAGAATCCACGGTAAATTCTACTAATTCAGCTTGACACATGCGGATTCGGTGAAGCGGGTCGTTGAGCGACGTTGGAAAAGACCTGTACACCAGCTTACATTATAGCGATCAGGCCTCGAATGATCCGGACAAAATTGCAGTTTTGTAGTCGTCTAAGGGTATCTGGAGAATCAGCGAGCTTTAAGGAACCCAAATCTGAAAAGAATATCTGGATACCGCCCATTTTGGTGGATCAAGCCGTTCCGCTGAAAACTGTTGGATTTACACTACCTGCAGTACGCCTTTGGGTGTCTCAGGTACTCCCTCTGAAAGAGCACCGAAAGAGGCCCTCGTTCTTGCACTTAAGAACCCCAATTCCTCGAAAACCCTCGATATGACGTTGGACAAGGCCTGGCCAAGGCTAGGGGCCTTTCACGTGATCCACCCATCTGATTGTCTCTCTGGCCTGAATGCACGCTGACTAAGTATCGTGGGTGCTAGACGACCGGGCCGGTGCGCACCGGTGGTATCTACCCTCGGAAGTCCGACGACACTGGAGAACCGTGGGGGATTCGGGGGAAACGTAAAATCGATCAAATTTTTAGATTACGGTGGTTAGTGAAGTGCCAGATTTCCTGCAGATAGAGATGTTCGTGTTTCGGACTTGGCCAGCCCATGGCGATCGCATCTGCGCCAAAGTGGATCGATGATCTGATAGCAAGTATAGACATGTAAGTTGGAAGCAATGCAGCGTGGGTCAAAATCGAACCTTCGGGAAGGTGTTCTAGTGAAAAAGGGTCCTGGAATGAAAAACGCGAGATGTAGGGCGAAGGTCGAGAGGGACAATAATTAGATTAGGACACCATTCAAGGTACACTAATCTAGTTGCACAAGCAGGATTTCATAATTCGAGTTGTGTGATTTAGATTTTGTGTTGAGAGTGCCTTGAAGTTGAAACGTAGGGAGACGCCTTTTGGTGTGTACTAAGGTGGTCGACATGCGTCCGGCAGATTTGGCTGCAAAATGTGGATATAGTTGAGATATGTGAAGAACACGATTTAATTGCTGCATTTAGAGGACATTGAATTGTTCTGTTTTAGGCTATGAGTGAGGTGAATTTAATGATGTCTTGAGGACTTCAGATCGACATTTTTTTTTAGATGAAGCTTTCTCAAACTCTAATTAACAAAACCATTCGGATTTTCCGAAAGGGCCGAGTGGATTGGAATAAAAAGACTAAAAACATTTCACTTTTTAAGTTGTTTGAAATCTTTTGATGAATATGTTAACACGTCAAACTGTTGGGGTTGCTAATTTCCGTTCTGAGTAATTCTCTCCAATTAATAAGATGAATAGTAATTAGGTGATCAAGACTCATTGATTCACGTTAGATATTCTCGCTTGAGAAAATTTAGTTCACAATCCGCTACAACGCAGTCACTATCATAATGTTATGCTTTATCAGTACATGCATGGTCCTCATACTTGGGGACCTTTTCCAATGTCCAAGATGAACGAGCCAGCGCTCAGGTCATCCTGCTCGAGGTCGCCGTCGATCAATATTTGTGGTGGTGCCACCACCTGACCCTCGGGTCGCCTCACACTTGTAGCTCGGTTAATCTCGCCAATGTCCAGATCTACATCCAGATCGACGTCGCTATCGCTGTTGTGGTCTAGCGTGTTCGTCAGCTCGTTCACGACCCGCGTGTTGGTAACGATGGAGTCCTTGTTGGAGTTCCACGTTGTGTTATGCTCCTCCTCGTCTTCTTCTTCTTCCTCATCACCTTCCTCTATTCGAGCAACATTAACGAGCTTCGGTTGCGCTCTGATGGCCGTCATGGTCGCCAGTTTCAGCTGACCTGTTCTTTCAGCAATGATGGACGCATTCTCAATGGTGTTTATGTCGGAGAATATCGAGTCAGACTCATAGGAATATATCGAGCGAGTGTTGTTCTTAGTAGGTCTCACCGTGACACCTGGAATGTATGCCACAGGTAAAATGTTGGATGCGTTGGTGGTTGAGATGGTGGTTGCAATAGAGTTTCTCTTCGATGAGTCGTTGTCTCCATATGGCAGCAAGTTTCTGTTCTGGGCCTGGCCTCTGGCACGGCCTCTCGCCAGGGCACCACCACGACGAGCGTATCTTGCTTGAGGACGCATAAAAGATTCATATGAGGAAACTCTGTGGTTCTTTTTGAGGGAGTTGTTGGAGTCCGTTCTTCTGGCTTGGGGTCTAACTGGCCTTGCTGCTGCAGCACCTTCCATTTCTCCACTGGATAAAGTGTTACGTGGTGAGCGAGTATCCAGATCTTCAATATCTGTCTTGTAATCATCCATGGCCAAGTCGTCCTCCAACATAGGGTGTTTCTTGCGGTACACCTTCTTGTAGTACCACAAGCCACCTAGTATTAGCGCTAGCACCACCACACCGCCAACAACACCTCCCACGATACCACCCACAGGCGTTCCTCCGCCAGATGACAGCCTGGAGCTGTCCACACAGACATTTTTGGGGCACTGGTCACATGTTCGTGATATCTGATGACATACCTGGTTGGCGGGACACGATGGACAAGGGTCTATGCTGGATGGACACACCAAACAGCCGTCCGAACCTGTCAGGCTCGACTTATCGGTTGATGTAGCACGTGGTCTTAGGGACATCAGGGTGTATTCGAGATGATGCCCTTGGGGAAACTTATATATGGTTTCTCTGATTCTGAGGTGTCAGAATCCAGGGCGTTTTGATGCTTTATTTGTTTATGCCCTGAAGCAAGCTTTAGAGCGGGATTTGAGTTTAGCTTTGGAGGCGTCGTTTCGTGCCTATACTTTCTGTCAGATCTGAGAGGCCCGTGGATCGTATTTCCGACGGGTTAAGTTCAGTTCAACAGATCTGGAGATTTGCAGGATCCCGATATGAAAAAATTGAAAACGGGGTTTGTCACGAACAGTGGGTTTCACGACGACGTCTCGAAAGAAACTTGGAGTAGGAGACGACTTTTTCTCACTTTTGATCTTCCTTTCTCCAGGCAGCTTGGCTAAGCCGCTTCTCACTGATCTAGATTCAGGTGAGGCAGAAGGGGGACAGAAAAAAAAAAAAAAAAAAAGAATTAAGAATTCAAATGTCAAGACTTATGAAAAAAACCGGGATCTCAAAACGTCGAATTTGTGGCTTTTTATAGAAATTTTTCTAAGATATCCGTTTTCGTTTTGCGGCTTCCGGTCCTAGGCACGGTTTTGTGCCATGCCCATCCCTTGAGTTCAAATGGTCCAAGTGCCCCCACTAGTACCTGTTAAAGAACGAAATGTAAAGTCCACAGCCGAAAAATAAAGGATTAAGCCTTGCAGTTACCAAACCGTATCAATTTTGTTACTGAAGGATTGAATTTTTGAAAAACCGTTCTGAATTGACTTGTGCTAAAAATACTCAAGCGGCTTTATAACAATAACACGCTCGTCGACCGCATACCAGCTTTTTTACCGGTATTTTCAGGAACACATTTATACAGTCGTCTGCTTCACGCGTCCCATACTTCTACACTTTATCTCTGTATTACCTGTATTCTTCGTAAACGTTGCCGTTCGCTATGCACGTCATGAATCACCCTTCTTCGATGCTCTCCTAAAACGTCTCCTGCAACTCCTTCTTGAAGCTAAAGTTGTCTTTGCGGCGGATCAACCAGCTGCTCTGGTAGTCAAAGTACTTGTAGCTTTCACCACGCTCCACTTCCTCGCCTGGAGCCAAAGACACAGAACGGCTCTTGGCCTTCTCGTCTTTCGAAAACCACTGCTTCGTTTCCGAGTTGAACACCCAGCCTCGCCTGCTCAACTCGCGAGCAGCGTTGTACTTCGCAAGATCGTCCTGGCCCTCGCTGTAGTAGAAACAGAAAAATAGCGTGTCGTTGTCGAACTTGGACATGATTTTAGCCGAGTTGAGCTCAAACATAGGTTCCTGAGGGTAGTCCACCGACAGCGGATGCACGTTCTGTGGGTTATATTGACGAGGCCTCTCTGCATCAGAGGAATCGGGACAATTGAGCAAGGAAGACTCCAAGAGTTGGCTGATCGCCAGGAACGGCAATGGGTTCGCTAATCTGTTCTGTGCAATGGCATTCACCCGCGAGGCTGCCTCGCTCATGTACTTTGACTCTTGCGTGAGTGCTGCTGGCAACGAAGGCAGAGCTTCAGATGGTGCTCTTGCAGTGGATCCAGCAGTCGAGGTGGCGACATTAGACAAAGCTGGCGACCCCTGGTTGTTCATGGCACCAGAGAGCACAGCAGCGGCTGTGAGACCAGAGGCTGGAGCCGCTGGAGCACTAGCCTGAGATGTAATAACCCTCTTTTTAAGCTCCTCAGCACTGGTTTTGGGTGCACTAGCCAGAGGAGCTGGGCTGCCCGACTTGGAGGACCCAAGACCTGGAGGAGGAGCACGTGCCAGCGCAAGAGCAGCAGCGGAAGGACCAGAACCAGTGGGTGGCTTGGCTGGCGCTGTGAGAGGCTGCGTATGGCTCAGTGATGCGGTAGTAGCAGAGGAGGAACTAGGTGCAGACACTGGCGCAGGAGGAGCTGCCAGAGAATGACTGTTTTCCTTCTTTGCCGGGCTCCTCGGCTGAGGCTCCTTTGGAGTTTCCTTCTCCTTGGGCTTTTCGATCTTTTCCACCTTTTCAGGCTCCTTCTCCTCCTGGGCAGTGGTTGGGAGTGAAGCGGCAGGGAAGCTTTCAGGACCCTCTTCAAGTTCTAGTGCCTCATAAAACTCATCATACTCAATGAAATCGGGCGCCTGGTTGTTCTCCACATAATAGTCTAAGTCGTCCTTGATATCGTCTATCCTTTCGGGCTTTAGCTGCTCGTTGGTCAAGTTATGAAGCACCAGTTCGAGCTTACCAATATGCATGTTGTTTCTGTCGATCTTCTGGTTCAAGTCGTCGATCGCCAGTTGGGCGTTGCCCAGCTTCTTCTTACCAGAGAACGTACTTAGCTCTCCACTTAAAAGTTCGTTTTGTCTGGCCAACTCTTCAAGAACGTCAGTCACGTAACGCGAAGCCTCGTTCTTCTTTGCCTCATCCACATCAGAAGCCCCGAGTTTCGTTTGCATTTCCAAACCTTCGTTTGAGAATTGCTTCATTTTGCTCACTCTCTCCACCTCTTTGAATCGTTCCATAGCGTTCTCAATCTTGCTTCGGCTATCCTGTAATAGGTTCTTATCGAGCTTGACAGAACTGTCACCTAGCCATTGCTTCACCTGGTCACGGGAACGTTGTAACTTCTTGATTTCTTTCCTCAAGTCACCTTCGAGTCTCTCTTTCTGACTCGCATTGTCGGTAGCGGAAATTTTGTCATGAATGTCGTCAAATATCTGCAATCCTTCGACAATTTTCTTTTGGAGCTTGTCGCACTCCTGTTGTAGTTTTCTAGAACTCATGGTGTGCTAGAATGAAGCGGTCAAACCTCGCTAGTGGACATTTGATGTCTTGGGTATCGCACGACCACATTATAGACCCAGATTTCTTCCATATCTTTCGTAGACCTTGGATTCTATAATCATATCTCTTTAAGAAATAAAATTCATTGTTTAGTTTTAAAACTGGCTTTATTGGTTACTGTAGATTTCTCGTTGAGGACGTACAACACGTCTCTTGCTACTCTAAACCGATTCAAACACGCAACTTTTTCTATTTCCATAATCTAATCTCAGATCTTGTTCTTTTCTCCAATTTCCTGTTTCAAGAACTCTTCAGAAAAGTGTGAGATCTGTCTAAAGTTGACTTCGAAGCCTTCTCTACCGCCATAGTATGGGTCCAGCACGATAGTCTTGAACTGGGGGTCAGTCTTCCACTCACCAAACAAAGCTACACGTGCTTTGCTGTCAGAGGGTTTCATGAACATCAAGTCCTCTTTGTTTGACTCGTCCATGCCGATCACATAGTCGAATTTGGCGAAATCTCTAACTGAAATTTGCTGCCCAGAGTGATTCACAGGAACTCCATTCTTACGACACGTGGCAGCTGATCTGGAGTCTGGACTGTCGCCGACGTGCCAGCCGCTGGTTCCATACGAGTCAATGAGTTTAAAGTGGTCACTGTAGCCAAGTTCTTTGACTTTGTGCTTGAAGACAGCCTCAGCCATAGGCGAACGGCAGCTAAATGTTAGTCAATGTTGGACTGATTTTTTGGTTTTGTGGAATTGAAACATACATGTTGCCGAGACACACGAAGGCGACGGAGATTTTCTTGTCGGACCCCATAAGCAAGTAGTTGAAGAACGGTGATAGTCTGAGATAGTGTGCTGTATGTGTGCAGGTGATTCGATTTGCAGCATAAGCTGTGATGTATTTCAAGGTAAGGCTAGTTAGGTCCTGTCATATGAAGGATTTCAGAATTAGATGCTAATTGTCTTCATACATTGTTGGCCGGTGCCGTGGCTGGTGCATCTCAATAATAGTAATGAGAATCTCTAAACAGTATCAATAGTATCGGAACACTACAATTTTTAATTAATCTCATTGATCATATCGATTATACATTTAAATATCCTACCTCCTTGTAACAGTCATTTTATTATTCCAATATCTAGCACCACCAATTACACCTTGGTCTGCTGCAACCCAGTAAGCCATTGCTTCCAATCATCAAAGTCAACCGGCTCGTACATGTACCGGTCAAAGTCTTCCGTCTTGACTTTCTTAGTATCTGCGTCGTCAAACAACATATCAATGTCGTCAGGCTCCTCACGCTCTCGTTTCTTGGAATTTGAGGCTTCCTGTTCCTTCTTGATAGCATCTCTCTCGACCAATTTGGCACACTCCTCCAACACTTCCATGTTGGTAAGCTCTTTAATAAAATCAACTTGGCGAAAAGCAGAGGTGATAGCCTCAGGCTTCACATTGCAGGTCCACTCGACCGAGTTGGGAGAAAGAGGAGACTTAGTGTTGTCCGTATTAGCAGCCTTAGTACCGTTTGTACCTTCAGCCTTGTCCGTTTCGAGAAGATTAGACAATGCGGCGAAGAAGAACTGCTCGGGGTTTGTCTTCGAGAGCTCCCTTCTAGAATCCAACTTGGAGTCGACTTGGTTTCCACCAAATACATCTCCAACATTTGGCTCCTTACCCATCACGTTGTTGCCCTTGTTATCACTATGAGGAGAGACATCAGTCGGCGTGCCCTTATTGCTGTTGCTTTGAATGACTTGAGGCGTTGGCATGCTATTAGGGGTCTTGATGGCATTAGCCAATGTAGCTGGCGTTGGTGCTGAGTTTCCTGGAGTAGGCATTGTACCGGCAGCTTTTGTGGATTTTCTTCTTCCAGCGGCGCCACTAGTGCTAGTCTTCTTTGCAGGTTTTGCAGCCGCCTTAGGAGCCGTTTGTGTTTGCATCTGCGGCGAAGTGTTCTGCGCAACAGGCATAGGAGAGATATTGGCACCTCTCTGCTGAGCATTAACAGCCTTCAGCCAGTCTGGCTGGCCCTGAGCGATTTGGCCATAAGTGGCATTACGTGCAAACTGCTGTTGCGTCTGTTGTTGCGGGACTCTTTGATTAGCCATCTGCTGCTGCGCTTGAGGAACTGGCTGCTGAGGTGGCTGCTGAGGTGGCTGCTGATGCTGCTGTTGAGGACTCATGTTCTGACCCATAGGCATTTGACCCATACCTGGAGGACCAAAGTTTTGATGGGCGCTTTGAGGCACATTTTGAGGCATGAAACGTTGGTCACCCTGTTGCATAGGTTGCATGGCAGAGAGAGGACGCTGATTCGGAACTTGAGCTGCTGGTTGGTTCATAGCAGGGCGCTGCTGAGCAGGAGACATCTGATTAGTTGTCTGGTCCAACTTTTGAGGTTGCTGCTGTTGCTGCTGCTGCCTGCGAGCTGCAAGCTCTTTCTTGACCGAATCAAAGTATCTCTGGAAGTACTGGACCACCTTCTCAAGCAATTCTGGACGAGCAAGGTAGAGACCCTTCTGGAAACCTTCGATGATATTCTTGGTCATGAACTTCATCTGTATTAGCTTCTTGGTTCCATTGAGGTCTCGGTGTAAAACGTAGTAGTATGTGAGGACATGGTCAACAGTACCATACTGCTGGCTTATCTTCGTCATGAGCTCCTTGAAACGGAACTTGTCAGAGTCAGTTAAGGTATTCGAATGATTGCTGAGATTGTGGTTGTCACTGCGTGCTACCTCATCAAAAAGAGATTTCAACTTCATCTTCATCTCGTCAGTGATGGGAGGAACACCCATTGGCCTTCTAGCCTGGTTCTGCTGTCCTGCCATGTTACCCATGTTGGCCTGAGATCCCTGCATTGGCGCCTTCTGCTGCATTACAGGAGAGAACATCGTCTGGTTAGCACCCTGGTTCATCATTTGCGAAGCGTTTGGCTGTTGCATGTTACCCATCATAGGAGACTGCTGAGGTTGACCCATACCCTGCTGCATTCCTCCCATTGGCTGCTGCTGAGACTGAGGAGGTTGTTGCTGCTGGTTCTGATTGAGCTGCTGTTGTTGCTGGTACTGCTGCTGAGGGAACCCGCCCTGGTTCACGTTGCCCATTTGCATCAGCAGCTGCTGAGGGGTGCGCTGTGGATGTTGCGGAGCCATATTCATTTGACCAGCAGCCTTGTTTGCCTTTGCCTGTTCGTTCTTGAACGCATTAGCCTTCAGATGGTAGATGAACTTGCGGATGAAGTTTTGCTTGCCAGCGTTGTCCAAATTGGGGGGAATCTTGCCTTCTTGTTGAGCCCTGCTCAAGTAGGCAAGCGCATCAGCCTGGTAGTCCATCATGTCCTGAGGGGTGATCTGAAAATTGGGCATCTTCATGGGAGCAGCCTGCTGCTGACCACCAGCCTGGTTGGCCATGCCCAAGTTGTTGTTACTCTGAACCTGCTGGTTTTGCTGCTGCAGTTGTTGTTGCTGCTGCTGCTGGTTTTGCTGCTTCATCATAGAACTCTGCTGGTTCTGCTGCTGCTGGTTCTGCTGAGACTGAGGCCTTTGCATTCCCATATTGAGCTGCATGTTCTGGCCACCTTGAGGTTTGTTGTTCTTGAACGCTGGCTGCTGTTGCTGCTGTTGCTGCATGCGTTGGTTTTGCATGTTCATCTGGCCCTGGGACTGTCTGTTGTTCATGCCATTCATGTTGTTCATGCTGTTGATGTTCTGGTCGGCGTTCTGCCCGCCGTTAGAGCTCACACGGCGCTGAGCAAGTCTGTGCTGGTGCTGCTGCATGACTATCAGAAGATGGGCGTTGTGAATCTCCTTGATCGCAGGCACACTGGCAGGCGGAATCGCCTTGTTCTGAGCAAGCTCGAAAATCCGTGCCCAGGTGTTGACGTTCGGGGCAAGTTGGGGATCTTGTTGAGGAGAGGAGGTGGGATGGGTACGTTTTTGATCATGGTGCTGAGCTGCTGCATCTGTTGGGACGTCAAGCTGGGTCTTCCACCTGTAGCGTTGTTCCCAGAAGGAGCCGAAGCCGGGCCGAGGAGGCAGCAGATCCGGTGTTCGTCGCCGAGGCCTGGGAACCCACGCTGTTGTTCTGCATCCCCATCTGGGAGCTTGGCCGGGACATGCCCTGGTTCATCATGCCGTTCCTCATCATCTGGTTCTGAGGGAAAAAGTTCATGTCGTTGTTCATGCCCATGCCCATCTGGGCCTGCTGAGCTTGCTGGGCCTGTTGAGCCTGCTGGGCCTGCTGGGCCTGTTGAGCTTGAGCCTGTTTGGCCTGCTGCTGTCTAGCCTGGAAAGCCTGTCTGTTGATGGCCTGGTTGCCCTGATTCGTCTGATTCGGGAGCTGGCTCTGGGGCTGCTGGCCCAGATTGCGCAAGGAGCCTCTCATCTGGTGGACCTTCTGCTTGATGGCCGTGAGATACTCGTCCCTAGAAGCGGCCTTCAGGAAAACGTACTTCTCGAACTCATGGGCCAGTTTGGAGGCTCCGGCCTCGTTGTAGTTAGCGCCTTGTAAATCCCTGAGCGTTTGCATAACGATCAGAATGACTTTCTGTCTTTCGTCTGGATTCTGCTCCAGGTGCCACGTGCCGCCCATCGGCGCTGCCATGTTGTTCATGATGCTGGCCCGAGTTTAGCAAGGGTTAGAAAAAATGGATTCGCACTGGCGGTTCAGGTGTAGCAGGTCTGCGGATGCAGAGGTGGGCGGGGGTAACAAAGCCAGGGGGTGGATTTGGCGAAAATGGGATAATTGTGTTCGGGGTGAGGCGAATTTTACGAAAAACAAGTTGGATTTTCAGAATTCCAAATGTGTCTTCTTTTCTACTGGGGGGTGGGTTGCGGGCGGAGCGGAGGTCCAGGTGTGCCCCACTATCTGCCTACCGGGCTTGCACCCATTGACAACCGGACGGGGTGACCAGGGGGGAATTTAATAAAAAAAGACAGAAAAAGAGATTATAAAAGAGGCAGGTTTTGCAAGATTTTGGGAAAACTTCTTGCAGTTTCTCTGGATCGTTGGTGGACCCTGGTACTCGGACTGCCTTGGGTGCAGCGTCATTCTCCACTTCTCCTGCCGTTTTTGATCGCCGAGCAGAGGAGTGACACACACGAATTTTGAAATAACCACAATATTACATTTTCCTGGCCTCCTCTAAAACATATCTCCTTCTTGATTTTCGTTTCAATCGGTTGCGTTTTCTCGAGATGGCCCGGGGACCCAGATCAGCAGCCGTGCTCTGACGCACGATTTTGCAACCGGCCTCGGACGACCATGGCACCATAGGACTGCGGCGTCGAGAATGCTGGGCAGAAAACAAACAAAAAAAAAAAAAAAAAAAAAAAAAAACAGCTTAGTCGAGTCAAAAAGAAAAACTTAACTTGAACTTCCATTTATTTGAAAATCAGCGAAATCGGCGCCCTTTCTCTGGACTGGCATTCCGCTCGCATTCTCGCCTACTTCAACGGGCCATTTCTCATCAAAACGAATCAAGCTTTTTTCTCGCCGGCCTCCGCGAAATTACCCTACCATTTGGCTTCACGCTGCCCCATTGGTTCATTCGGCCGAGCCTGCCTCATCCGCCCAAATGTGCCACCTACATCTCCGGGAACCTGGTCTTCCTATTTGAGCAGGGGACTTGTCGAGCATCCATTGTTGGTGGACAATAGCGCGGCATGGTGTTTCTTGGGTATGGCTGCGAAACGGAGCGGAACCGGGGAGGGCGAGGTGGTTTCAAGTCGACTTTTGTTGCACTTTTGAGAAAACTTTTGAAAATAGAGTTTGCAAATTCATGGTTGAAGAGCTTTTGAAAATCCCCCAATTGTGACCACTGCCTGGCGGGTTGCCTAATGTGGCGTCAATGGCGCATGGCTGCCTCACTTGATTGTGCGTCTCTCGTTTGCACGCATTTGACGTAGACTCAGCCAGCTAAACGATACATTTAGCCTATTGGAACAAAAACGCCGGAATTTCTCGAATTCTTCTTCCAAAACAACTTGTTATTTTTCTATGTTACTGCCCCACCTGCCGGCCTCTAGATCGGCCCTCCCCACCATTGTCTGCTCTCCCCAACGCCTCGAGACCTGTTCTATATTTATCAATCTCTAAATCCTATACAGCCAGAGGCCAATGTCCGTTTTTTAAACAGTGGCAAAGGTTCTCTTCACCGCACGCTTCTCTTCATGCTCTCTCTGCTCAGCCTCATCAATAAACTCTGTCTCGTGCTCAAGCTTCCACTGGTTGCGTTTGAACACCAACCCTTGCGTATTGTAACCAAGCTGGTTCGACGCCGTGGCCAATTCGCCTCGAAGCTGCTCCTTCACCTTCAAAAGATGCGTCTTGATCTTTGGATCACGCTGATTTGTGAGCTCTTTGGAGTTGGTCCTCACCACGAAAAAGAGCACCTTGCAGATCAACTGGAGGTTCACAAGGTTCTTCGTGATGTTGTCCTTGTTGGTCCAGATCTCAATGAAACGGAGAAGCTTGAGAACGTAGGAGAACGGCATCACAAGAAGCGCATCTTCGATCTGGGCTGCTCTGATCTTGGTCATGGTGTTGAGCACATACTCGCTTCCAGTGACACCAAAGGCAAGCAAGATGGAGTGGGGCGTGGGTTTTTGTGGGTTCATCACACCGGGCTTCTTGGATTTGAATTGCTGCAATTGCAACTCGTATGCCTCGGTAGCGTCCAAATCCTCAATACCGATATCTAGAGCCTCCATGAGCTTTTCACCAGCCTTGAGAGTTTCCGTCGTTTGCTTGGTCACCTGCTCAACACCATCACCCTCCTCTTCATCGTCGTCTTCAGCTTTTCCACCTTTCGTATCCACGGCCTCCAAAGAGTCCAAAACCTCATTCTCGTAAAGCTCGTCCATCTCCTTCTCACGCTCTTCTTCCAAGAACACCTGGTCGTTCGTGGCACTCCATATTCTGATGGAATGGTCATGTGAAGTGGAAACGACAAATGTACCGCTTCGACTGACACAGAGAGCCCATACTTCGCTCTGGTGAGCAGGAAGCTTCTGAATACACTGGAACTTGTCACCATCCCAGTACTTGATCATACCGTCCTTGCCGGACGAGAAAAAGTTGTGACTTTCTGGAATGAAACGAACGTTCATGATGGAGTCCTGATGACCAAAGATGGAGCGGTGGCAGTCACCAAAGTCCAAACCCCAGATCTTGATGTTCTTGTCTGCGGAGGAAGTGATGATAATTTTGCTGTCATGCGAGATATCGATGGAAAGCACAGGCAACTTGTGGCCGTAAAGAGTGAGGAACAATTTCAAAGAGTCCATAAACACAACTTGAACGTTGTTGTTCAACAACGAAACGGCAAGTAAACGAGAGTCTGGTGAAACTCTCACACACAAAACCTCCTCTGGCAATTCAAGTGTCTGGGTATGTTGGAGCTTCAATGTGGAGACAGTGTTACCCGTACCAGCGACCAACTCCTGGCTGACCTTGATGTTCCAGAACTTCACTGTCTTATCGTTTCCTCCCGTAATTAATGTCTTCCCGTCTGGCGTGAGGTCCATAGACCAGATAGCCGAGCGGTTATCGTCGGCTTTTCCGTTCACAACCACAGATTGGTTCTCATGGGCTCTTTCGACTCTGTCTATTAATGATGAGGATGCGAGATCGTAGAGCTCAAGATCACCGTTCTTGTACCCAACAACAACCAATGTGCCACCAGGAAGGAACTTACAGCACAAGGCGTAGCCGCTTTCAAGCGTGAATGTACGTAAAACGTTTTCTGTTTTGGCGTTCCAGATCTTGAGTTCGCCATTTGAGGCGGTAGCCAAAAGACGGTTATCTTCAGAAAGATCCATGGCCCTGATGTCAGTTCGGTGACCCTGATGGTCAATGGCATGAACCTTGACGGAGTGGAGCTCCCCGACCTGAGCTTTCCTGATCTGCTCAGGGAGCGCAATGCTATGATATTCGATGCTGTTGTTTGTCAATGATATAAGTAAGTCCATCTTCTTTCTGGAGGACTGGACCCACACGCACGACTTGATTTTGGAGATTGTTCTGACCGTGGTCAAGGGCGTGATGAGCATGCTGATTTCAGATTCACGGAGGGACTGAAGGATTTCGTCCTCGTCAAGGCCTTTTCCGGTGAGACGCTTGGTTCTCTTGGCGATACCCTTTTTGATTTCTTCAGCAGACCGTATTCTGTAGATCTCCGTCGTTCTGTCGGCATTCTGGAGATAGAAAACCTCGTAGGCGCTGGAAGAGTCTTTGATGGTTGTGAACTCAATATTGGTGCATCTGCCTTTGCTCTGCTTTTCAAACTCGCCCTTACTGGTGATTTTTTGGCCGTCTTCCTTGGATAAGTCCAATTCCCAGACCTTCACCTGGTCTTTGCTGCCGCATGTTATGAGCATGTCCTGGAGAGAATTGAGGCCAAGAGACCAACATTCTCCAGAGTGGGCCAAGTGGGTTTCCACACACTGTCTTGAAGATGTGTCCCACAATTTAACTAAACCGTCCTTGGACACAGAAACAATGTAGTCTTCGAACTCGTCGTCCTGTTTTTTCTCGGGTTCTCGCTCAAGAATGAAATGCCGGTAATCTGACTCTTGTGGCCCTTCAACTTGAACAAGCCTTCTTCACCAACCAAATCCCACATAATAATGGAGGAGTCAGCCGAGCCTGAAATGACTCTTGTTCCCGTTCTGTCAAATTGCAAAACGCTGATGGATGAGCGATGGCCAGAAAAGGTCACCATGACGGAACCTGAAGTCAAGTCCCATACCTTGATACTACCATCACTGTGTCCAGCTGCTATAATATTTGTGGGTTCGTGGAAGGCCAAAGCGACAACAGTGGCTGGTGGAGAAGATGTAGGGGCATTCGAAGCACCTGGAGTCAAACCATCTTTCAATCTGGTCATGAGTTCTCCGGTTTTGATGTCCCAAATCAAGATCTCTTCTAGACCTCCCAGTACAGCACGTCCCACGGACTTTGACGACTGGGTAGGGGCAGGCGGGAGCCATAACGTATTGGATGTGCCGCCAATGACACCAAAGCAGGCATCCTGCTCGTAACGGTCGTAGGATTTGACCATTTTGGGTATGTGCTTTTTGAGATGAGGTCTCTATAGTTTTTCAGAACTAGTGAGGACCCGATGAGGCACGTGATCTCTGGCGATGGGCACTCATTTATAGGACCTACAGAGTCGAAGGAGGGTTGAGATCTTATTTTTCTGATTATAAGTGATGAATATTTTTATGCTGTTGTTTAGGATTTGCTTTCAGATGCTTCTTGTAGGTGTGAGCCCCAATGGTAGTGATTTGCTTCAGCAAAGTGGGAAATATTGTGATACAAAACCCACGGAATAATGAAGTTTGCAATTATTTAAGAAGCTCACAAATCTTCAATCAATTCTTTTTTACTTCCCAGTCTGAAACCTTTTTCCTAAGTTTGTAACTGATGCCCTCTGAAGATCTCGACCATGGCTGCGAAAAAATGCACATCTACGCATTCCATACTGTTAATTCTGATAATACTGGTAGCTTTGTTTTCTATAAAACATTTTCTAAAGAATTAAAAGTGCCGCGAGACCAGCGACCGTCATACTTCCAAGCTCCATCATCACGGGAGCGCTTCCCCCCTTGGATGAACTACCACTTTCAGAAGCAGTCTCACTTGCAGATTCAGAGGAAGAAGTTTGATCAGCAGTCAATGTAGAGGATTCGACCGTGTTGGAGGTTCCTTTGTCGTCAGTCTTGAAGGCTGCTCCAGAAACGGCAGAGCCGATGCTCAGCTGAGGCGTGTCTTCGATGTCCCCTGTCCAGCAGTATCTCTCGAAACACCTCTGACATTCCACTGATTGCTTCTTGCCGAGACGCTCCTGTTGTCTACGGATGATTGCACATCCAACACAAGTAGGCCACTCTCTATCTTCACTGAAGTTTCCTCTGGACGAAACCTCGAAACCGTTCTGAATGAGATTGAGTTTCTCATCGTGGTCGTAGCTCATATCATAAGTACTGGTATTCGTCTCATGAGAGTAAGGACTATTAGGAATGTAGATGACCAATGGAACGTCGGTGACATTGTACTCAGAGTCATGCCATGCGACCAAGTCAGACAAGTTTCTGGCATCACAGCCAAAGAACACTGGTCTTTCATTGAGACCACCTCTGAGGAACTCCTGACTGGAGGGGACGAATGGGAATGGAGTACCATGGCCCTGCTTGGCAAATTGTCTTTGGAAAGTGTGAACAAAGGATGTACCGTTAGGCCAGTTAAGGTCAGTGTCAGCGGAATTGTCAAACCCGAAGATCACATCAACGTTTCTGGTTTTTTGAATAAGTGGGTAGAGAGGCACATTTTGCTGATCCTCACCACCGTCAACTAAATGCAAGCTGGAGTCATTCAAGATCTCGTCGGAGTTACCGTACTCGGATAAATAGAAGGGATTAGGTTCGTGCACGGCAATGTCGACTTCATTCTTCAGCAAAGGCAGCAAGATCATTTGAATAATTCTCTTGAGCGCCCAATTAATGTCGGAGTTTGGTAAACGAAGAAGACCTTGGTTGAAAAGGGACGACAGGGTACCCATCATGAATCCGGCATTGTCAAAATGGGATATACACTCTGAGGTGTTGGGCTTGCCGCCCTCGAGCTTGGTTCCCATATACTTAAGGTTAACAAAACTGCGGACACTAGGATCCCACGTACCCAACTCGTTAGGGGAAATCTCGTAGACGGTGGAGTTCTCGTTGATGATTATCGTGTTGGGGTTACGTCCGTTTGCGACAATAATTGGGTAAGGCATCAGATGGTTCTTGTAGCTATCCCTCTCTTGGATACCAGACCAGGTCATGTTTTCACCACCTCTTGGGACGTCATCCTCGTTGAAAAATTGCATGGACAAAGCACGGCCCCAGACGTCAGTGAGAGAAGTAGCGAAGCCAAAGTCGGATTTTCTGTCCAACGCTTCACGAAGGGCATTGTAGTAACGGATGTTACGAATCACATTCAAACCGTTAGGGTTGAAAATCGAATCGGAAAGGTCCCAGATGCCGCTATCCTCCTCAAGAATATCACCCACAGAGATCCAGTCATTGAGAATAAGCGTACCCAAAAGCCAACTTCCACCGGAAAGACCAGTCAAGTAGGTAGAACTCTGTAGAAGACCGCCAAGTCCTCGCAGTTCAGACTCCTTGTACCTGTTGTCGAGCGCCAAAAGCTGGCCTGCTCCACAAAGCATGGCTCTGTAGCCGCCTCCACTGAAGGCCAAGCCGATGGAGATATTGTGGGTATCCTTGTTGCTGTCGATAAAGTCCTGGGCATCGAAATCATGAAGCTGAGCAACATTCTCGAGAAAATCAACCAAGTTCTCGTTGGTGATTGCCTGACGGTTCAGAATGTACTTTGACTCTGCCTCGTTAAGCAGAGATGCGTTTCTGACAATATCGTAGTCGGGACACAGCGTTTGTTTGGGTGCATACTCGAGACCACCGCCTGTGCTTGTTTCTGTTGTGGCCACACCAAAAGTCGATGTGGAAGACTCCTCAGTGGTTGTTTCTGAAGATGAGCTGGATGAGCTCGAAGATGAGCTGGAGCTGGAGGAAGTAGATGATGATGTGCTGCTCTCTGAGGAGCTCACAGAGGAAGACTCATCCGAATCGCCAAAGGGCCAGATGGCTTGGGCAGTCGCTAGAAGCGCTATAGTGTAAGCCAAACGCATTAAGGTGTTGAAAGCTGATGTTCGACCGGTTTTATAAACCAGGCCCAGTCCAAATCCAGTAAAAAGCGATGTTGCTGCTGCGGCGAGGGCTATTTATACAGCATAGACGGTGGCTGCGAAATGTTCCCCAGATTCGGAAGTTTTCTTGTTTGGAATTACCCATCGCACAGCCAGGGCCCAAGCGCAAGAAATATTTGTCAATGAGGAATTTGCGGCCACAATGTGAAAACACGGCTGAGCTCGTTTACGCTATTTTTCGAAAAGCCCCGAACTCCTTTTTTACGTACTTTTTTCTGCGTGGTTTAACTATCGTGCGAGCTTCCCACCCCGCTGTAGATTGCTGATTTTTTCATTTTTCAGTCCTTTTTCTCCATATTCACCAACACTGCTTGCTCCATTACCAAAATCCCGCGCATTTTGGCTCCATTTTTGTAGATCGATTAGGCGGTTTGCGCTCCCGAAATAGGCTCTAAGGGTCTCGAGGCTTGAGTTGTTGCTGGTGATGCAAATAGACGCCGTGCAGTCAGCTTGTGTGGATATAGTGTTTGTAGGCTGTTGCTGTCTCAGATCAAGGAGCAAGCAGGGGATCGAGGTCTACGTGCCATATACGAGATTTAGCAAGGTTAGTGGGAAGGACTACCGGATACATGCATGAGGAGGTTTGGAGTGGGTGGGTTGGCTATTAGCTTCATGGACTTGGGTGTAGTGTAACAATAGGCTCCGCCTTCTCTTTCGGGCATACGGCCTTCCGACGGTGTTTTTCCAGCTGAGTTTCTGGTGGGGCGCAAACAATGCGTTTGAGTCTTGTCTAGTCTGTAAATACCTCTTGGCTTACCGATTCTGAAGTAATCCTCACAATTGGCAATTTCATATTGCTAGTCGTAAAATGGTTTTTGGTAAAGACAATTCTTTAATTGGATGATAGGGGCAGTTTGAGGCGTCGAAGTGCTGCTAGGTAAGTTGGGGCATTGTTGGACGTAGGGTTCGATACGAGTCTGGATTTGTGAAAGAGCGGAATATTAGATTGCGTGCATCTCGTGGATTTTGTGAATTTCCGTTATTCTAATTGCAATTGCAATTCTCCAAAGGTTCAATTGCTTGTATGTGAAACCAGTTGTGAGGTCCTCAATCATTAAAAGTAGTATCTACTCCAACCTACAGGCTTCGCCGCTCGCTTATCTACAATGACGTCAGTGTGGTATACACATCTATTGCAACACATATACGCTTTTTTTCTTCTTTTCTCTTTTTCAACAACAATTTTTTTCTTAGTGTTTTCTGTTTGCATTTTGTCTGAAATCAATCTAGTTCAGAGAGGTGATAGTCATCATGACATGTCGTCACTCTATTATCGTATACATCATATGGTTGCAAGGTCTATATGCGAACCAACGCTGGTTCTCCTTTGGCGGACTGGGTCCTTCCATATGGCAATGCAAGCCTCTCGGGCTGTCTATCTATTGTACAGCATGAGTAAAATTACTCCTCCATAGCAACGTCCTCGGCAGGCTCAGCAGCCTCATCGGCGGACTCAATGGTAATGGCAATCTTGTCGGTGTCCTGGTTAACCTCAACACCTTCGTTTGGGAGGATCATCTCCAACTCACCGTTAGCCAAGAACTTGGCCTGGATCTCGTCAGCCTTGATGATCTTGTCGAAGACAAAGTGCTTCTCGAACTGGATCTCCTGGTTCTGGAAATCCTTGATAAGGTCCTGTGCATCCTCGACGACCTCCTCATCAGAGTCAGACTCAGACTCGGAGGAGCTTGAAGAGGAAGAGGAGGAATCGGAATCGGAATCGGAATCGGATGATTCAGAGTCAGAGGAGTCGGACTCAGAGCTCGAGCTCCAGCTCCAGCTCTGAGTCAGCACTCTCGTATTCCTCATCTTCTTCATCCTCATCGTTCTCAGCAGCCTCAGCAACCTTGGCCTCTGGCTCCTCAGCTTCAAGAGCCTCGGCTATTTTGTCAACCTCGGAAACCTCTTCTTCGACGTCAGACTCCTCAGACTCTTCGCCAGTAAAGCTAAACTTTCCCGTGATCACCAACTCGTTCTTGGCCTTGGAAAAGTCGATCTTGAGGTCCTCCTTGATCAAGGATGGCAACCTGAGGTTTAACTTGTAGGTGTTGTCGTCAAGCTCAAGAACCTCGCAGTCCTTGGAGTCTTTAAGGTCTTTGGTCAAGTCAATCACGTCAAATTCGTCATCCAGGTCGTTAGCCAAGAGGTATTTCTGCTCAGGCTGGTAAAGTGCCAACTCCTCATCGGTAGAGTCGTTGTCGCTGTCGTAACGGTCTGGCAAGTCGAATCTATGCCTGTAGATTGTGATGCCTTCGTCGTCGGAAGAGTCCGAGTCTGAGCTGTCGGAGTCGGACAAGTACTCGTCCACGGCAATGTCGTCGTCAGAGGATTCATCGTCAGAAGAGTCGTAGTCGGAACCAACTTCGAAGAAGACGTCGTCGTCCGAGTCGCTCAGCAAGTCGGAAACATCCTCTTCGTCGCTGGAGTCGAGCTCGTCAGCAAAAGTTTGTCTGACATCCTCCAACTCATCACCAGTGTCGATTTCAAGGTCGGTAACGCTGTCATCGTCAGCCTCACCAGACAAAAGGTAGAGAGTCTTTTGGAGGTCCTCAATTTCAGAATCGAGCTCAACGTCAATTTCGCTGTCGTCGTCGGAGGCCTCAGAAACCTCAGAGCTCAAGTCAGAGTCGGAAGACTCGGAGTCCAGGTCGTAGTAACGGACCAAGTCATCGTTGACGTCTCTGAGAGCACCCTCAGCTTCCATGTAGTTCAAGGCGTCCTCGGCCAAGATGTCGTTGATGTCGACAACATCGTCGTTGGCGATGATGAAAACTTCTTCTTTGCCATCGGACTCAGACTCGGTGTCAAAGTCAGACTCATCGTCGTAGACGACATCTGCGTATTCGTTGTCGGAGTTGTCGTCAAGGCCGAATTCGTACACCTCGTCCTCAGGAGAAACGTCGTATTCGCTTCCACTCTCCTCCTCCTCTTCGGTCTCTGGTTCTTCGATGTAGACCTTGGAGTTAGAAGGCTGTGGGTAGTGGTAGCCAGAATATCTTCTGCCTCTGTGGCCCCTGTGGTGGGGTCTGGCCGGTCTGCTGCGACCGGCAGCTCTGTGTGATTTTCTGTTGTATCTTGGTTTGTAATACATTTGGCTAAAAAACGTGGATCTGAAAAATTGAGAAACGGTGCAGCTCTTATAGCTGAAAAAATTGCTGTGGTAGATATGCGATGAGGCGTGCGGCGCATGCGTTTGCCGCTTTGAGCGCGACGTCCAGACATCTCAAGCGAGAACACCCGTACACCACATACATCGAATCTTCCCTCACTCTCGGCGCTCTTCCATGGTGTTCCAGCAGAAGCTATCGTACATGAAAAATGTACTGGACTTGGAATTTTTCATGTATGAGGAGGGGTGTAGCTATATTTAGTGGAATGTTGAGACAAGAGTTCTGCATGGGAAGTGGGGTCTAATAACGCTTGGCTGCAAACTAGTCGCTAATGGAAAGGACAATAGGGGAACAGGAAGATGAAAGGAGGGTAATGAAATGAGGTAAGATTAATACAATTAGCAGGTTAGCGTTTGAAGTTGTGAAGCACGGTGGACTAAATGTGACCATCAATTGCCACAACTCTTGGCTTTCAGAATGGTACAATTTAGCAAGGTTTCTATGGACAATTTAGAAACAAGTTAGGTTTTATGAAGAGGGAATAAGGTTTGGTTTTTCAGAGATTGAATACTTTTCCATTAAACTAGGCAGTTATTCTTTGTACTGCGAAAGATGCCACTGTCCCAAATACTAGGGTAGAGTTCTAGGCCGAGATGAGCTCAGATTCCTCAGCTCACTAAATATATCTTGTACGCATCTCATGCGGTTTGCCACTATGTTACTGTTGCAGCCGCTCGATGAGCCCGTCAACAAAAAAGACTTGAAGTTTTTTTATATGAAAGACTTAGAGACGTTTCAGCTTATTTTCATGGAACGGTGTTTAGGGGTTCCAGGCATCTAGCGGCGACTTCGGCATTTGAACTTTATTTTACTGTACAGCACTTACTGGTACATATCTTCATGGCGTTGAGTTTCGGAACCATGGCAAGATTTCGCGACACAAACGACTATGGCTGGGTTAGAATACAGATTCCTTATAGTCAGGCTTCATAATTTTTTTCCAAGTTAGCTTATTCTTGAAAGGGACGAAGACAGCCCTTGCATCTAACCTGGCTGCAAAATGTCGCAAGCATGCATGAAGAGAAGAGGTTACCCGGCCAGCGACCTCCAGACTATATAAGGAGCGCGCACCCTGCCACCCAAACTTTTCGAATTAAATCTCTTTGCCATTTGGCTTAGATCAAGTGTAGTATCTGTTCTTCTCAGTGTAACAGCTGAGACGTCATCATTGATGACAAAACAATATTTTGTGATTTTTGGAAAATTCGGGGTCGGGCCTGTTGGGCTTGCTCACACCTGGCCCCACAGTGTCGTTACCATTGCACTACTCGGTTCCTGACGCATCTCTTTAAGCAGTTTCTGTGAGTTCATAGAAGCGGTTTAAAGAGAGAAGTTTGGGTATTGGCTGGCCCAAGCTTGGATTATACAGCCAGGGGTGAGACAACCCGACTTGAGTGATACGACTGGCGACAAGATGAGAGGAAGTTTGGCAAATAGGATCCCTAGTCCCGAGTCTCCCTTTAACAAATACTAGGAGATCCGTCTCTGATGTAAGTGTGCTCTTCGATCTTACTCTCGAACAACTAGTGAGGCTGATCTACAAGCCATGTCTCGACTGAAGTCAGGGTCTACCTTCGTTAACTTAGGAACTCGAACAAAAGCCTCCGTATATCCTCTATTAACTCGAATCCATCACATTTCATAAATCACTCTTCTCCACCTCATCTTCCATATTCAATCACCGGTCTTGGTGATTTCCTATCTCGTCCACCATCACGGTGCGCACTGGGCTATTATCTGACCTACTACTCAAATCACCAGATCTGTATACCCACACCATGCCTGAATCCTCGGCGGCCTCGAAGCTGTCGCAAGGATCCTCATATAAACCAGGCTTATTTCCTTCCCTACGACTGCGACATCATCGTTATTCTCAGGAAACCAGATCTGCTGACACAAATATGAAACATGACGCCCCAAGCGAAATGGAACTGTCGATGGATATGGGCAGTCCTCACGAGCTATTTCAGGCTCAGCCACAGAGCTATACCTCTATGGAGTTTACTGACCAGGACGACGAGGTCGATCTCGGGTCTCCTGAATCTGGGGTAAGTCTCAGTGATACCATTCTAGATAAGATGACAAAACTACGACAGCAAGCGAGTACAGAGTACGTGGCCAAGGATCCAAAAAACAAGAAGTTCAAGTACCTCGACATGTACGAGGATATTGCTCGGGCTGGTCCCCAGGATAGCGCATCTGTGTTTGAGCTTTCCGCTCTAGATGACTTCTCCCAGTATGTGAAAAGGGCAGAGCTCAACGATTACATTCTGCAGCAACTCCGACAGAACAAGCTCAAGCAGGATGAGAACATGCTCTCGATCGTGCAGCCGTCCGATCTAGAGAATAATTTTTACTCGTTTGGAAATGACGAGTCTACCAGCACACCTCTGAAGGTAGGCTTCAAGTTTAAGGCGCCATGGAATAATAATACCGACAGAGAGAAGAGAATCCAGAATGACTCTGACGTTTCCGAGCTACGGGTCGCAGGCGACAACTTGGAAACTAGCTCTAGTGGTGAACATAGTGGGCGCTTTCTTGAGCGTAAGCTCGAAGTACGACACTTACAGATGATATCTTTTGGAGGCACCCTTGGAGTTGGGTTGTTTTTGAACTGCGGCAAGGCTTTCACGATCGCAGGCGGCTTTGGTACTACTCTTGCTTTCATCATAGTTGGAGTGATAGTGCTAGCCACACTTGTGAGCTTTTGTGAGATGGTCACTTTTGTTTCCGTCGTCGACGGTGTTTCCGGATTGAACTCCCGTTTCGTGGATGAGGCGTTTGGCTTCACCACAGGGTGGCTATATTTCCTTAGTTTCGCCTTAGGGCTAGCAGGTGAGGTAGTGGCAGCCGTGATTCTACTAAGCTACTTCCCTGATTTGGAGATTACTCAAAGTAGGGGCTCTACCGTGGGCTTTGTCACACTCTTCTTGCTATTCTGCTTGTTGAGTAACTTATTCGATGTCAGGGTGTTTGGCGAGATCGAGTACTGGTCGAGTGTGATTAAGATGGTGGTGACCCTCATTATGATTATCGTAATGATTGTGATCAACCGTGGCGGGCTTGGAAATCACGGCACCGTTGGCTTCACTTATTGGGACCGACTGGCGTCAGATTGGGAACACAATTTGATATTTGGTCTCTTTCGTCCAACATTCGACCTACAAGACGATGGAATGTCGGCCGAAACAGAGGGTATAGGAGGCGACCTTGGTCGTTTCATGTCACTCTTGACCGCAATCGTCATTGCAGCGTACTCCTATAGTGGCACAGAGATTGTGTGTATCGCTGCCTGTGAGGCAAAGAACCCAAGAAAGGCATTGCCTTCGGCTACGAGAAGAGTTTTCTGGAGAATCCTCATTTTCTACGTCATTGCTGTTTTTGTTGTCTCGCTAAACATTTACGCCGGTGATCCCAGATTCTTGCGTTACTACTCAGGCACGACTGGCGTCAACCCCAATACTTTTGACGATAATTACGCTGTGCGTTACGTTGGTGGTAACAACTGCCATTTGCCATCGCAGGTTATTGGAGGTGTTGCCAACGGCTCACAAAGTCCATGGACCGTGGCCTTCCAGAGTGTGGGACTCTGCAACTGGAGTGCCGTTCAAAACGGCTTCTTGGTATTCTTTGCCTTATCGTGCGGAAACGCTCAGTTGTACGTTTCCTCCAGAACCGTCTACTCATTAGCCCTCCAACGTAAGGCCCCCGCAATTTTGATGAATTGCAACCGCTTCGGTATCCCTTACTATGCGGTGCTTCTATCCTTTGTCTTTGGTCTCCTCGCCTACACCTGTGTGTCAGAGCTGGCAACGCTAGTTTTCCAGAACCTCACCAGCGTCATCTCCTCATCGGGTGTCTTTGTCTGGTTTGCAATCTGCCTTTCATTCATCAGATTCTACTACGGCTTACGAAAGCGCCCCGACATAATCGACAGGAATGACAAGTCTTACCCATACAAGTCGCCCCTTCAGCCGTACAGTGCGATTGTGGGGCTTATAGGGTCTGCCGTGATTCTCCTAGCCATGGGATACGTGGTTTTTCTTGACGGACAATGGGATGTCATGTTCTTTTTCTCGAGTTACGGCACCCTTATTCTCGTGGCCGTGCTTTATCTTGGCTACAAGGTCATTAAGGGTACGCGCATTCTCAGCTTGGAAGCACTCGACTACGACTCCGGCAGAAGGGAGCACGACATCTACATTTGGGACGGAGGAAAGGAGCATGATGTCCGCAACTACAAAGAGTGGCCCCGTCGCGTGCTTAGCCATTTGGCTTAAGGCCGCAATTATTCAAAAGCGGTAATGCTCGATTTGGTGCCTGAGAGTGGTGCAGGCCTGGGCCGCTTTTTCTCACCTCGTCTAGCCTCATTGAAGCCTGAAACTACTTCCACCTCCATTTCTATATAAGCGGTCTACTTTTTCCTCGGCCCCTTAATTTAGAACAATTCAATAAACAATGTCGTGGACTCCAACCGAGGAGTTTTTCCACGGTCGTATTATCAAACCGTTTCTCCCCTTTGATAAGCACCCCAACTTGAAAAATGACAATTTCCGTAACTTGTACCCTGGTGATGAAGTTTTCGTTTTTGAAACCAAGCAATCAAAATGGGCTCGTGGTTATTCCTTGACCAGACCTTTCCCCAGTGACTTCACCATCACTTCTGTCAACTTGGACGAATTGCCTGGTCTCAACAGAAAGATCGTGGTGTTCCCTTTGAAGTACATGAAGGTGGTTGAACGTGTGCCTTTGAACATGATCAATGCCGCTGATGACTTCAATAATGTCCATCAGAGCAACAACATGGCTCCTACTTTGAGAGAAACCGAACAGTATGTCGAAACTGCCACCAGTGATCCAGGAGACATCGCTAATGGTGCCAATGGAGGCAGAAAGGTTCAACCTCCTCCCTTGCCATTTGAAACATTCACTTTTGCCAACGACTTGGTCGAGGAGATCACATACACTTTGAACTTGCTCACCTCCCACCTCTATGCCATGTACTCGATTGGTGAGTTCCGTTTGTTCCAGAAACTCACCCAGCTTTACCACGACTTGGATGAAATCAGAGTGAAATTGACCCATGGCGATTTGACCCGCAATGAGGTCCAGTTCACTGAGGAAACTGCTAACCATTTGTTGAGCTCCATCCCCAAGCAGCTCTCCTCCAAAGCCGCTAGAATCAACGACAAGTCTTATGATTTGGACAACAAGGGCACTGACGTCAATGGGTACAAGGCCATCTTGGCTAGAGATGCATTTACGGGTGATTTGTTGGATTCAAGGAACTCCAATCCATCGATCATGGCTCTCTACCAGCAGTTGTGTGCTTTGCTTCCTAAGTTCCCAATCAACGCTCATAACAAGCGGGACGAGTACATCCTCGATGCTACTCCAAATAAGAAACTTACTCACGGAAGTCCCTCCCACATTTTGGTTGACTTCAAGTCGGTGAGTGGCTCTTCTCAGTACCAGCCTCCAGGATTCGCTGGAATGATTGCGTACATGTACGTGAGAAACACCCAGAGAAGATTGACAGAGGCATTCGCTGTTCATACAGACACTGTCGATGAGTTGGTTTTCGTGGAGAAGATCAGTGCCGCTTTGTTTAGAAACATCCCCGCTAGTGAGGTGGAAAACAACAGGGTCTACTTGGTCGCTGTTTTAGTCGAGCAGCTTGACTTGCAGATCAACGATGCAAGCGCCAAGATCGAGCGGATCAATAAGGGAGTTGCTGCTGGTGTTACCGACATCACCAGAATTTTCTCGAGAAATCTGGGCTCTTTGACTTCTGGCGAATCGCACCAGTTCTCCATCAACTTGTTTGGTTCTCATATTTCCCATAAGAGAACCGTTGATACCTCCAGAATTGATAACAACGGTTGGGGTGAGTTGGTCGACAGAATTATCAAGGGCTCCAACCATGGTATTGCCGTGAACCCAAGAGCTGAGAAGTTGGTCGTGACTGTCAAGGAGTTCAGACACCAGCTTACTGACGATTCGCCTGATGAGGAGAATTTCCACTCCACTAAGGTCGATGCTTCGATGAAGACAGCTCCAATCGCCAAGATCAAACCTATTTTCTACGATCCTCTTGCTGAGAACTATGAGCGTATCTACCTCAAAATGGGCAAGGTTACTCTACTCAACCCATTGAACAGAGACGATTTATTGACTTTCGAAGTCAGTGCTCCCAACAACGATTCCATTACTTTTGCCAAGGCCTCGAACCAGATCGAGAAGCCAAAGTGGCAGTTTGTGTCTGTCTGTACTCACGAGGTTATTGGTGAGATTGTCAAAGTCAATGGTATCTCATTCAAGAACTCGACTCGCAAGCCCACCAAACTGGACTCACTCCACCTCGCCTTTTACATCAACGGTGTTTTGGCTGGTCATGCCGACATCATGTACAAATCTGGTAACCGCTTAGTGGAGTTCAACAAGCCAAGTGCCCAGGTCGTGGATGTCGTTTCGTTTTCCACCAAGAAGACACTTGCCCAGCTTGAAATTCACACCACATACATCGGTAAGGTCTTCAACACCGAAATCGCCATTGACAACTTGTTCCAAAACAATCGTTTCTTTGTTGGTACTCAGGCGGGTTTGAACGATCTCACCCAAACTTTGCTTGACTTCTGTAAGTTGGACATTGCTTCGTTGGTCAAGTTTTTCGCTGAATCCATGACTCGTTTGTTTGAAATCATTGACAAATGTTTGTCTGCCAACGATGGGCTCAACTACGAAATCGTCTTGAACACCACCTTCAAGGCTTTGGTGCATTTGCTCGACACCAACTTCGGTAAGCGTGATCAGTACTTATTCATGTTCGACACTTTCTTGGAGGACTACAAGAAGTCTACAAAACTCGGTCTTTTCTTGTTGGACAAGATGGCAGAAGTATTCAGCCTTGCTGAGTCCAACTGGAATGCGATGTCAAGATCTGTTTGTCGTATCCTTGTTTTGCTCACCAGATTGGCACTTGACCCTGTTTCCGAGGTCTCTGATAAGACAAAGTATTTGGAGGATATCAACAAGCTTTTTGTTAGTGCATCTCGCTTCCTTCAACTCCAAAACCCAGCCCTCATCAATGATCAGATTTTGGTGATGGAGTTGGTGGATTTCGTCATGGCTTACGAGACCGACTTTGAAGATTTCAAATTGTTGGCATTGGTCGTCAGATTTATCGACTCCATCAGCTTCAGAGGGCTCGGTGTTGATGATGAAAGCATCAACCAGAAGAAGACAACTGCCATCCTCAAGGACCATCGTTTCGTGATGACCAAATTGCTCGTCATTTACAGACTTTTCAGCAGCAAGGTGTCTCGTGACATCAACCATTTCCTGTTCTTGGTTTCTCGTTCAGTTACTTGGTGTATGGAAATCTTCCTCGGCCCAATTGACGTGGACGCCTCCAGACTTGCTTGTTCTATCATGAACTGTGTCTGTACCTTGGTGTATTCAAATCTCGATAATGACGATGTCAAGCAAGTTGCTTTGACCTTGTCGAAGTTCATCTTCCCCTTGGCCAGAACCTTCATTCGTTTCAACAAGTTTACCAGAAGTCATAGCTATTTCGAGCCAAAGAAGGCTTTCACTGCACTCTTCCCCTCAACCTACCCATTCAAAGAGATTTTCCTTGACAGTGTTGTACCTGAGGAGGTTGTGGTTGAGATTCTTGTGGAGTTAGCTGCAATCATCTGCTTTGTTTGTCAGATCGAGAAGACCGTGACATGCGACGAGCGTTTCAACCACTTCATGAGTTTAGAAGACGATTCCTTCTTTGACTCTTCCAAGTACTTGTCAAAGAATGGCTGGAACGAAAACGTCCTCACCGTTTTGCAGGCTATTGCTCTTATGAGACAAGGCAAATTCTTCCCTGAGGACAAATGGCTCTCATTGTATGGTACCATTGCAGAGAGCAGTTTGCTGTGCTTGGAAATGCTCAAACCTTTGATGGTGGCCAGTGCCATTCCAAGTATTGAAACTCCCGAGCAGTTTGATAGATCAATCTGGGGTAGTTATCTCAAGGCCTTGTTGAAATTGGCTACTTTGCAACCAGTTTCTATCGAGCATTTGTCCACCATTCCAAGAAAAGCTTGTCACCAGATCACTGGCGATATGAGAGACAGAATTGCTGATATCACCAACGAGGTTTGGGATGCCTTGGCCTGGAATGCAACAGAAGGTGACGTGGTGAGGTTCAACCTTACTAAATTTGGTGGATACCAGGTTGAGTTCATCAACAGTGACTACGGAGTGTTGCAAGACTTGATGCTTTTCGCTTTGCAAAGAAATCAAGCTTGTCAGATCGTGAGTATCAAGATGTTGTGGTCCATTTTGGTTTCTGAGCATGTCTTGAGTAACTCCATTGTCGATGTCGAAAAGGAGTGCTTGACAGGGTTGTACAATATCTACAACAGAAACGCTTACAAGCCAGGTGTTCCTGAACAGACAAGTCTAATTGAGAGAATGAAAACTACCATCCGTTTGGATCGTGAGGACGTTGCATACCCTATAGTGGTGAAGTTCATCTCCAATATCTCCGGCTTCATTGCTGTCTTGAATGACTTCAGCACTGTTCCTGTGGGTGCAGAGTTTGAGGACGACCGTACATTCCACAAGTTGAACATCAATGCTTACTTGAAACAGGCCAACAGACCCGAATTGTTCCACTCTTTCATCAACCAGATGTACGAAGACAACCTCAGAAGGAAGGACTACGTGCAAGCTGCATTGAGTTTGGAGCTTTTGTCTTCGACTTATAGTTGGGACCACTACCTGATTCAGCCTCCATCTTACAGGCCCAAGTTCCCAGAACAGTCTTCTTTTGATCGTAAGGAGAGTATTGTGAAATTGATTGCTCACAACTACGTAAAGGGTAACAGTTTGGAAAGAGCCATTGACACCTACAACGAGCTTCTTGCCGCTTACAATGAACACACTTATGATTTGAAGAGTTTTGCTTTTGTTCACAACAAGTTGGCTAAGCTTTACTTGGATTTGGAGGCCTCTGATAAATTGAGTCCTTCTTACTTTAGAGTCGCTTTCATTGGTGCCGGATTCCCTGCCAATATCAGAGGTAAGGATCAGATTTTGGAAGGCAAGCCATTCGAGCATATCACTTCTGTTCACGAGAGAATGTTGAAGATGTACCCTGGTGCCAGAATCATTACCGATGACGAGCAAGCCCGTGAACTCAGAAGCAAAAACCAGACCGGAAGATACTTGCACATTAACGTCGTGGAGCCTGTTTACGAGATTTCGGACAAGTTGCTCAATACATCTATCGGTGTGAGACAGTATGTCAGGAACAAGAACTTGAGGTACTTCTCTTCGCTCAAAAAACTCAGTGGAGCTACTTCTCTTTTTGACTTATGGACTGAGGAAATCACCTACGAAACAAGTGTCTCGTTCCCCACTTTGATGAACAGAAGTGACATCAGGGACTCGAAGGTGGTGAGATTGTCGCCTTTGGACAACGCCATCAGATCTATCATGACAAAGAACGACGACATGCTGCAGTTGGAGAGCATGATCAACATTGCTATTAAAGAGAAGGTCGATTACCACTCCTTGTTGAGTGATTTGAGCAGACACTTGGCTGGTACTGTTGATGCACCAGTTAATGGTGGTGTGGGTCAGTACAGAGCATTTTTCGAGGATCCTCGTTACGCTGGCAAGCCTCAATTTGCAGACAGTGTGAGACTCTTGCGTAATGCTTTCAACGACTTGACCATGGTCTTGAGTAGATGTTTGCACCTCCACGGAGTGTTGATCCTGCCCACCTTGAGGGCCTCTCAGACTGCATTGGTGGAGTCGTTCAAGCTGAACTTTAAGGACGAGATTGCCGCCTTGAAAATTAACACGAACTACGAGTCCCAAAGTTACGATTTTTCGAGCAACACGCACACTAGAGACCGCCAAGTCTCGGACAGACAGGGAACTTCGTCTACGAACGGATCTACCTTACAGCGTTCTGTGAGCAGACTGTCGAGGCTGTCTTCCACGCCATCCAACTCCACCGACCCCAGTCTTCTGAACAGTTTCTCTTCGAGTCAAACTGGCCCCAAGCAAAAAAGAACTGCTCTTAACTGGAGAAATGTTGCCCACTAAAGAAGGTTGATTTGGTGGTTTGTGGGTGGTGATGCACGGATGTTATGCGGAATCTCACAGCTAAAAATTTACTTCTCGCCTACATTACAAATTACTAAACAACCTCATTTGTCATGTTCAAGTTTGCCGCTCGTGCCATCCGTGCCCCTGTCATGAGAGCCCCTGTCTCTGTGGCTCCAACTTTCAGAGCCATGCAGCCAATCCGTTTTTACGCTGCTGCCCCATCACCAAGGAGGAGGTCACCACCAGAGCATTTGAGGCATTGAAGACCGTTGCTGCTCTTCAGGAATCCAACATCAACATCGAGTCCGACTTTCAGAAGGACTTGGGCTTGGACTCCTTGGACACTGTCGAGGCTCTCGTTGCCTTGGAGGAGGAGTTCGACATTGAGATCCCAGACAAGATCTCGGACGAGATCAAGACCGTGGGCCAGGCTGTCAACTACATCTTCGAGGAAGAGCAGAAGTTGTAAGATGGCGTCGCTGTAAATATAAATGTCACAAGAAAGGAAGCGTTTTTGTAGAGTGGCCGTATAGGTCTACAGTGTGAGCTGTCTCATCAAGGAATGCGGAGCAAGATGAACGGCTCGGCTAATATCAAATGATTGGAGGAACAGGAGCTTCCGTACTGTTTCTACTTAACTTCTCTTTCTCCGTGTCGTGGCCGATTTGGCTTGTCTGACCTTGATTTGACTGTTGCGGATTTTAGACAAGACGATGTGCTTTTCTCCGCAATTTCAAAAACCACAGTATTGGATCGATTCTCTCAAATTTCACTTGAAATCTATTACCCTTATCTAAATTTTGATCATTTTGCCACCTAAAGTGGCCCGTCCCGTGTAATGTCTATCTAGTAGCATGTCATTGGTCAGTGAGGTGCAGGTACCGATCTACCCACCAAGGAAGAATCTTCGATTATCATGGAACAAATTCCTGGTGATCATTGTGGAACGAAATAAGCCTAATCGAGCTTTTCGATTTACTTGCTCCAAATTTCACTAGTCCCAGGAGATATTTGACAATGTCAACTCAGTTACCATAGTAGCCACCGACCAGACCTCTTAATAAAGGGTTTCAATAGATCAAGCTTATGGACGTAGAGATGCTTTTGTGGTTAAAATAATCTATATTATGATGATGTTGCATTTCAATAAAACGAATGGAGACTAGCCGTCTGTAGTAAGGTCTTGCATGTAGGCCAGTTCACTAACAGTCTTAGAGTTCAACCTTCAACATTCAAGAATCAAATTTAAGTGAATGGGTTGTGTCATCAAAGTATTCCATAAGCGAAGTCAAAGACATTCGTCCAATAATTATAATAGTTCAATTGTTAAGAGAAAGCAACCCGCAACCGGGTGAACGGTGTATATTTCACCACACAAGCCATCATAAGAATAGATCTTTTTTCACTGAATTACCATATAATGCAGTAGCCTATACCGTTATGCTATCGACTCCTGAAACTTTTTTATCGTAGAACGAAAGAATTGAACTCTCCAATTGTGTAGGAAAGACCCATGGTGATACGCACTCCTTGCATTCCTCACTTCAACACCATCACCACATCAACATGACCAATTCAGAAGAGGAGGAACAGAGAGCACTTAGTGACCAAACCGAGGCTTTGTATCTTTCACACACCGATGAAGAACATGACAATTCTGAACCCGAGGAAGAAGACAATGGTGCAGTGGAGTATCCGGGTACTGTTCTTCCGGATCCAGACCCACAAAGCATTGAAAATGATGCCGATTTGGCGGCAGACTATGCTTCGGATTCGGAATACTTGGACTTGATTCACCTCAAGATCACCAGTTTGGAGGATTTGAACTTGGGCCGTTTCAAGAAGTTGGAGTCTCTTTGCTTACGTCAGAACTTGATCACCTCAACAGGTGCTGTTGGTGAATTGCCTCCCGAAACCATGGAAGAATTGGATTTCTATGACAACAGAATCAATCACATCAGCAGTAAGGTGAACCAGCTTGTCAATCTCAAGAACTTGGACTTTTCGTTCAACAAGATCAAGAACATCAAGAACATTGACAAGTTAACAAAGCTCGAGAACCTATACTTCGTTCAGAACAAAATTAAGGAGATCAAGGGAATCGAGACGTTGCAAAATTTGAAAAACTTGGAGTTGGGTGGCAACAAGGTTGAGCAAATCAACGAGACGCTTCTCAAAATGCCCTCCATTGAGCAGCTCTGGTTGGGTAAAAACCGCATTCCAAAGTTCCAGAACCTCGACAGTCTCGTCAACTTGCGTGTGTTGTCGATCCAGTCTAACAGAATCACGAAATTAGAAGGCTTAGACAAATTGGTCAATTTGGAGGAGCTCTACGTATCACACAACGGCATTGAAAAGATCGAGAATTTGGAGAATAACACTAAATTAACAGTGTTAGATGTGACATCCAACAGGCTCGAGAAACTCGAAAACTTGTCCCATCTCAAGAATCTTACTGATTTTTGGTGCTCGTACAACAAAATCAGCTCATTCGATGAGGTCCACAGAGAATTGGGCAATTTGCCTGAACTCGACACCGTCTACTTTGAGGGTAACCCATTGCAGACCAGCAACCCTACGGCATACAGAAGAAAACTCAGACTTAATTTGGGTGAAAGTATCACGAAAATTGACGCTACCTACGTGAAGAGCTAGAAAGTTTTTTCGAAAATACAAGCAGGATCTAGAGAATTCTCCATTCAGGAGCATCTGATCACGATAAGGTTATGGATTCTGTCGGACCTGCATACACTGTGGCTGCACAATCGCTAGATGGTTCTGGTTGGTTCTAATGTGGAGTACGACCCTGGCAACAATATGACCATACCCTGATTCAAGGGGTTTTCGAGACCCGGCGAGAAAGTTCTGGAGAAATCTTGTGGTGGCTTCATCGAACCATGAGGCCCGAATCTCAACTATATAAGGCCCATGACTTTTAGCCCTTCTACCACCAGACAATTACAGATCCACAATGTTCAGATACGTGCCATTTATTTCCAACGACCCATTCTTCGACGACTTCTTTGGCTTCCAGGACAGACCTCATCACCACAGGCGTCCCAGAAGAGCCATCAACTACGATGCCGATTCAGGCGACTCCCAGCTCACCAGCTTCAGAGGATACCCTCAGACCGTGAGTAAGTGGTATGACGACTTTGGTGACTTGAGAGACTTGGGCGATGTGTTGAAGTTGAAGGAGGAGCCCGACAGATATTTGGTGAAGGTGCGGGACGCCAATGCATCAACCAAGGACTTGCAGGTGAACTACCACAAGAAGGAGAACCAATTGGAGGTTACCATCTCGCACAACCAGGAGAGCACTGAGGGTAGCCACAGCTACACTTCGCTGTCTACGTCCACAAGCAGAGTTGGATTTGAAAAGGCTGTGGACTTTGAGAAGATCACCGCCGACGTAGGCTCTGAAGGAGTGATCATCACTGTTCCAAAGACCGAGCGTGACGAGGACAATGTCTACAAGATTGACATTGGACGGTCCGGTGAGCAGGGCAAGATCGAGAAGGACAAGGAGTCTGACGCCTGAGTGAATTACTGGCCTGAGTGAATTACTGGCCTGAGTGGTCAGGTCTTGTCTAATTGAGTGTATAGGTAATGCACTGGATGGTTACAATAGGTGTAGTTTGGAGATGGAGGGTAGAGCACTGGTGATGAATACAGGGTGTAGCCACAGAACATGAAAACCAAGAGCAATAAAATTTGGAGATCTCGTCAAGGTGACGGAGTCAAGTGCAACGCGATCGGCCCAAGACAATGGAATGGTAGTGTCCGGAGTTGCATTGTGCAAGCGATTGTGGTGTCGATGATATTTAGAGTTTTTCACAGGCGATGAAATCATAACACTTTTCGCAGCCAAGTCAGCCCACAGCGGGTACCCCGGAAGGGAATATTTTGAAAACAGAAGAGATTTGAAGAATACAGGAGATTTAAATAATTGAAGAGATCGAAGAATTGAAGGTATTGAAGAATTTGAAGATCTTAAGATTACGATGTATCAAAAGTTGACCCTCGTTTAGGTGTCGGACGTAACGATCTACATGGCTTTGTGAACGGACCGAGCCGTAGCATCCACGGCACCAGAGCAATGAACGAAATTCGAATTATTTCGTATCAGCTAAAAAAGCAAATCACAAAACCAATAGGCCCGTTTGTCCACGTGAGGAATTCCCTTGCAAGGCTGTCATGCTGGCTGTGATACTGGCATTCTCTATACACCAGCCAGTAGACCCCTCCGAGGGCCCACCCTTGCAATTCGACCTCCCAAGCCACCCCAAATTCAGAGAGTCACCAATCGCATTGAATCGTATTTTTATTTTTTTCTTCTATTTCCTTTTTCGTCTTTTCCCTCTTGCTTTTTGCTTTTTTACCTTTCGTAAGCCTGGCGGTTGGCGCATGCCTGTGGGCTGATGCGGCCGAGGCGTAAGCTCCAACGGTGCTAGTGCCCCTCCTATGCGCACCGTTACCTCGGCTCAAGCAGCTGTGAAAACAGCAAAACCAGCGCACCACAAAACGGAGATTTCTTGATTTTGGAGGTTTTTCTATGTTTTTAGGGAAATCCTTGATAATTTAATTCTCAATTCTGTCTTCATAAATGCTATACCCGTTGGGTCCCGGGGATCTGAAAATCCGGGGATCTGAAATATGGAGCACCTGTTTGGCTGGCTGCGAAAAGCACCCCAGACCACGCACAACAGGCTCCTCCGCCGAAGAAAAAACGGACTTCAGAGTAAAATCAAAAAGAAACTCCACCTTTTGTCTTTGTGTCTTGGATGACTCTGATCACGTCTGGTCGCCTTTCGGACCTCGGTGCTCAACTCCGCTAAGGCGCACCTATGACAGCCAAGCGGCTTCCTGTCAGATATCGATAATACCGTGAGATTTTGCTTATTGAGAGTTGAAGTGAACTTCGTTGCTTTCCCAATTTCACCTGGGCTCCATGACCTAATTGTGACTAAAATAATGGTATTTTGCTAAATCCGGAGCACGTCTTCATGTCCACTACGCAATAGTGTGGGGGAAAACGCTTTCACATGTCTCCTGCACGCGCAGCACCATGTGAAGCAGCTGGGGATATATAGACTAGCACTTTTCCCAGCACTTGCAATACATCAGTTTTTATCATGTCTACTGACGCCTACGCTAAAGTCACCGGAAAGGTCGACTACTCCAATGCTCCAGATCCAAAGAGCCTCATCCAGAAGGAGAGAGACTCTGCTCAGTTCGATGTGGACCAGATGAACTACTTCTTGGAGGGCTCCGAGGAAAGAGCCCTTGAGGTGAGAAAGTTCATCCACCAGATGGAAACCGACCCCATCTTGGCTGCTTCTCCCCACGACTACGACGCCACCAAGGCCGAGCACCGTGAGAACACCTTGAAGAAGATCAATCGTTTGACCAGATACATTGAGGTGGAGACCTTTGACTCTTTTGAGAGAAGAATGTCTATTATCTCCTTGATGGACCCACAGTTCCACACCAGAATCGGTGTCCACTTTGGTTTGTTCGTCGGCTGTGTCAGAGGCACTGGTACCGCCGACCAGTTGGGCTACTGGATTTTGAAGAAGGAGTCCGCTTACGTCAAGAACATCTACGGTTGTTTCGGTATGACCGAGTTGGCCCACGGTTCCAACGTTGCTGGTTTGGAGACCACCGCCACTTTTGACGAGGAGAACGACGAGTTCATTGTCAACACCCCTCACCTTGGTGCCACCAAGTGGTGGATTGGTGGTGCTGCTCACTCTGCTACTCACTGTTCCGTCTACGCCAGATTGATTGTCAAGGGCAAGGACTACGGTGTCAAGACCTTCGTTGTGCCATTGAGAGACTCTGAGCACAACTTGATGCCTGGTGTCGCCATTGGTGACATTGGTGCCAAGATGGGTAGAGACGGTATCGACAATGGTTGGATCCAGTTCTCTCACGTCAGAATCCCAAGATACTTTATGTTGCAGAAGTACACCAAGGTTTCTGAGGACGGTGAGGTCACTGAGCCTCCTCTCAACCAGTTGTCCTACGGTGCCCTTTTGACCGGTAGAGTTGCTATGGTCAAGGACGCTTTCAGATGGTCTTCCAGATTCGTCACCATTGCCCTCAGATACGCTGTTGGCAGAAAGCAGTTCAAGGCCGCTTTGGCCAAGGACTCCGATGGCGAGTCCCAGTTGTTGGACTACCCATTGCACCAGCGTCGTTTGATCCCATTGTTGGCTATGGCTTACGCTTTCTCCAACGGTGCCAACGTGTTGCAAGAGCAGGCTGACACTTCCAACGACCAGTTGGACGAGGCTGTGCAGAACGAGGACAAGGCTCTCTTGGACGCTGGTGTCGAGGCCATGAAGTCCCTCTTTATCGCTTCTGGTTCCTTGAAGTCGACCGCCACCTGGTTGACCTTGAACACCATCGACCAGTGCAGGCAGGCTTGCGGTGGTCACGGTTACTCTTCTTACTCTGGTTTCGGTAAGGGTTTCAACGACTTCGCCGTCCAGTGTACCTGGGAAGGTGACAACAACATCTTGGGTATGTCTGTTGGTAAGCAGTTGGTGAAGAAGTACTCCGGTATCACCAAGGATGGCGAGAAGGCCTCTGGTATCCTCGAGTTCTTGGGTAACTACAAGAAGTACCTTGGCAAGGAGCCAGTCTTGCAGGCTGAGGACTTGAAGAACCCAAGAACTATCTTGAAGGCCATTGAGGTCACTCTCATCAGAGCCTCTGCTAGAGCCAACGACATTGTTGACCAGAAGGGTGGTGACACCGACTTCATTGGTTCTGACCTCGTTGTCTTGTCCAAGTTGTTGGCTCACTTCTTCTTGTACAAGTCCTTCCTCGATAAGATCGACTCTATCAAGGACCAGCCAGAGTTGTACAAGGTCTTGGACGTTTTGGCCCAGTTGTACGGTGCCTCTATTGTTTTGGAGGGCTTCTCCGGTACCTTCTTGACCTACTCTGTTGCCACTACTGAGGCTATTGCTCACAACTCCACCGACCACATCGCTGAGTTGTGCTCCAGAGTCAGACCACACGTCATTCCTTTGACCGACTCCTTCATGATGTCCGATATGTTGATCAACTCTGCCATTGGTAACTACGACGGTGACATCTACAAGAACTACTTCAAGATTGTCAACACCAACAACCCACCACAGGTTACCAAGCCACCATATGCCCCAGCCTTGCAGGGTATGTTGAACAGATCTTCTTTGGAGGAGAGACAGAGATTCGAGTACGACGACGAGGCGCTCGACATCTTGGCCGGCAATGCCTAATATTATTTGTATTTATGAGACATGCAGAGCAATGTGATGAAAAAACACGGAAGTTAAACGTAGATGCACTATTTATTGAAGATTACTGTCTTCAGCCTTGTAATTATCCAAAACGATTCTGTAAATGAAGGATGGGGCGAAACCGCCGATATTCGTGATGTAAATGTCGATGTGCTCTGGAGGAACATAGTCCGCCAATGGGTTGGTTACCACATCGACATTTTCAAGAAGATTGTAGTCATCATAGTCGAGCACTTTTCCAGAGTTGCCCACGTCAATGAGATCTTCTCTGTTAAATGGGTACCTAGGGGAGATCTTGAACAAACCAGCCACAGCGAAAACTGGAGTCTTATGCTCTTTTGCACATTCAACCACATTAGCCACACCAGCATTGGACAAGGAGCCACCGTTGGCATACACGGCATTGGCTCCAAGAATGACCTTGCCGACTCTGGACATAACAGCAAATACCGTGCTATCGGGTATAAGAACGGCCTCAATCTTATTTTCAGCTAGCGTCTTGACGAACTTCTGTGCGTCAGTCAAATCGTTAGGGTAGCTTTCGGTGACCAATACCGTGAATTTTCTCTTATTTCTGGCCTTGATCAAAAACTGCAACACAGTGTCGGATGTGGGAGTAGCACATAGCAAGGTTTCGTTTTCGTGAATGAGGTCAGAGGCCATGGACTCGAGTTCCTCCTTGACATTGGAGATTTCGTCCACGAGATCCTTTATACCTTGGATAATGATCGAACGCATATCACTCAGCTGCTTTTTGGTGTGTGGCTGGTTACGTTTCGTGCTGTTCTGGTTTGTAGAAAGTAAGCTGAACATGGAGCTCATCATGGGGGTGTTGTCAGTGGTTTCAGTTTCGATTTCGTCTCTTATCAACGCAAGCACCCTTCTCACAATGTTTCCAGCAATCACATCGGTTGGTCTGGCGTTCTCAAGAATAATTCCCACCTTTCTAATCACGGCAATCAAGTCGTAAGGGTTGGTCCATCTGACGGCTGAAATGACCCTCATGAGCATATGGGCGACTTCCAAAGCCACGGCCTTATCATCTAGGATTTGTCTTCTTTTTATTTGTGAAACGAGAGGATCCACAATCGCCAGGATCTCTGGCGTCACCAGCGTAGTCATAATGGTAAGTTGTAGATGAGTAACTTTTTCGCACCCTACCATCTCCAGTAGTATCATACAGCTACACTAAACAGCACTTCAACGATTAATTGAACTTTGTCTTCTTTTGAATGTAATAATCCTTTTCGATTCTATTCTTAAGCTGCTTTTATTTACCGTATTTTTTTCTTGTCTAGCGATTTCACCACCACCACATCTCTAATCCTGATACTACTACTCACCTGGACACAGGACTCACATCAACACCATGCCCTCATATAACGAATACCTCCATGAGTCCCTGAGACTCCTATATGAGTACCTGCTGAACTTCAAAGTATCAATTGACCTAATCCAGAAGCTTGCACAACATCTTAGACTCGATACTTTCGTGGATTCAGAGGTAACTGACCCAGAAACAAACCAGCTGGTGAAGAGGCTCTCCATAGCAGGATCCTTGTTATTGGTCGACATTGACTTCAAAGATCAAAATACGGTAACTAAAGTTTCGCTAGCTTCGGGAAACCATCTGACCAGCGCTGTCAGCACAGCTCTGTCCCACCTGGAGGAGAAGTCTGTGATTTCCACAACCAAGATCGACAACACCACTGTCGTCAGGGTGAACTTCTTGGACGAAAACGTATTGTCATTTCTCAATGTCAGAGGTGAAGGTGACAGGTCGGTCGCTGAAAAGATACTCAAAGAAAACCTTATTGGTCCTAGACTTGGGCACTTTCCACTCAATCTTAAATACTTGGCCAATCTCGACCGTTTGTCTCCCCCGGAGGGCGACTTGGTCTTGTATTTGGACAACATAGCCAAGTACTTGGAGGTGATACACATGCAAGAGTGCAAGTTGAATCCTGACGATGATGGTGTCAAGTCTGGTCAAACCAGTTTACTAGGCAAATTGTTGTATAACGACGTGGACTCGCGTCAACTAGGCGTATTTCTTCAATTTTGGAAAACCCACAACAAGTTTCCTGAGAGCGAAAGGAGCTACTTCAAGCCCAAGACATATGTGGGCCGCCTCAGTGTAATTGAATCGGCGAACCCAGCACGAGACTACCTCAAGGAAGCCACCAAGGCTCTTTGGGAGCCAAAGGATAAAGATGGAAATTTTCTCGAGTACAAGATCACTTTCGACGATGACAAGCATTTGCCTAAAGGTGTCCCCGTGAGTGGACATAATACACGCAATTGGCTGCTCCAATTCGGCCTCAACCAAGCGGTATACCTACCGAGAGAAATCGTGGACTATTTGGATTTCGATGCTGTTGAAGAGGCAGAGGAACCTGCTTTGAAGGAAGTCTTCGGCAAAATCGAAAAGTTCGGATCGGTGGACTTTGCTCTTGAATCTGGTCCACTTGTTCTGCTTGATCTCAGCTCATACTCGAGCTTCGTGCCTGTTTCTGCCTTCACTCTTTCGAGCTTGAACAGTATCTCCAAATTGTTGCCCTCCCTTAGAAACTTCATCTTGCTAACTTCCTGGGTTGAGAGTGTGGTGAAGCAGCCAGAATGTCAAGTTGTGGGTTCAACTGAGACAGATACAAAGAAGCAGAAAGATCACCCAGCGCTCACAGAGGAAGAGCTTCTTGGCCTCAATACAATGTCAGAGAGCAATAACTATGTCGGTGTGCAAGTTCTAGACTCCAACACGAATACAGATTTAGAGGACTTTGTCAAGCAGGAGGATGAAGACGAGAACATGGACAAGGACAATGTTGAGAGTAGTGCTGTGACTCCTGTTCCCCAAGAGCCATATCTCAGGATTTACCTTGACGATATATCTTTCTCAAGTAAGGATATCGACTTGCAGTTTGCTGTTTCAACTAGGACATCTTCTGGAAGCACATTTGATGCGGGATTCAAGCTCCAAAATGGTGCATTTATAAAGGAAGATTACTCTGAAAAGCCACTGGCCAAACGCTTTATCAACGCTCTTGAGCTCAGCGAGGATCTCCTACTTGCCCTGAAGGTTGTGAACTAATTTTCAATAGTCCTTCATGAATTTATGGAAAGAGCAATAATGAAATGAACTGAAAAGACACTACAAAACCTCTTACCGTAGAATGCATAGGCATTAATTTTCTGACATGGGCACTGGGTGCCATTACGTATATACATCAGCTTAGAGCTTGACACCAATGTGGATGCTGGCGACACCGAAAGTCAAGTTCTCGTAGCCCTTGTCGGGAACGTAGAAGCCGGCTTTCTCTATCATGCTGCTAAAGTCCTCCTGCTTGGGGAAACGGCGGATACTCTCCACCAAGTACTGATACGAGTCTCTGTCGTCAGCGATCAACTGGCCCATCAAAGGCAACATGCTAAAGGAGTACGCCTGGTAAGCGTAGTCAATGACAGGGTTGTCGACGTGGGAAAACTCGAGACAAGCGAAGATTCCGCCTGGTCTCAACACACGGTAGGCAGTGTCCAAACCAGCCTGGATGTTGGTGAAGTTTCTGATACCAAAAGCGATAGTGTACACATCCTTGGAGTTGTCTGGGATGGCGTCCATGAGCTCTCCGTTCTGCTCGATGAAAGAGACTCTTCCGGAGCCGTCGTTCCATTTCGACTTGTTGAAACGCAACTGACCCTCGGCCAACATTTCTGGGTTGATGTCAGCAACGGTCATGGTCGACTGCACATCGTTAAAGTTCTTTTCGGCGTGGTCCAACAAGCCAAAAGCAATATCACCAGTGCCGCCAGCCACATCTAAAAAGTCTAGAGGCCTCAGGGCTCCTGGTCTCATGCCAGCGTCCAACCTGTTGATGAAGTGGTGCTTCCACAATCTGTGCACTCCGAAAGACATGGCGTCGTTCATCACGTCGTACTTGGCAGCCACGGACGAAAACACATTTCTGACCATCAGTTCCTTGTCGTCCTTGTTGATAGTCTTGAAACCAAAGTGGGTGGTCTTGTCCTCGGGCGTTGAGTACGAGCGGCTGGCAAAAAGCATTCTGCCGCTCAGCAATTTAAGAAGCCCGCTGGACGGCCTGATACGAGTAAGCATGGGATTCAAGGAAGAGGTGTAGTAGACGTTGATGGTATGCAAATTCGCTCGCTTAGCCCTGCAGGGGACCCACCACAATGGAGTAGATTAAGGTCTACAAACATATGATTTCAGCATGTATTGAGATGTTTTTATTGAATTTTGAATTAATTTACTGAAATTTTAATTGAAGTTGATTTGGTCGTTTTATGAGTGGATGTGTGGACGGACTTAACGCTTATATCCGTTGCTTCCTACTACGGTTTCGCAGCCATCAACACATGCTGCAAGAGTATTGGCTACCGAGATGTCCATGCCTAGATTTTGTAATCATTTCCCGTAAACGGCTTGGATCTTTGTCTTTTCCATCATCCGCATCTTCTTCTTCTTCTTCTATTTCTTTCTCTATTCCGTGATCAGACTAACCTCACCACCCCAACTACATCTATCCTACCTCTACCAATGTCTTATTATTAAATATCGTCTAGGCCTGGACGATTCTCACAGTGTTGGAGTGACCAGAACCTCTGGTCCAGCCCTGCACGGTGACAATGGCGTCGCCCTTCTTGATGATACCCAAGTCAACGGCGTCGGCAACGGCCCATCTCAATCTGTTTTCGACGTCCTCCTGCCAGTTCTCAACCTTTGGCTTGTCGTACACGAATGGGTAGACACCTCTGTAAAGGTGGGAGTATCTGGCGGATCTTGGGTTTCTGGTCACCATCATAATTGGCACATTAGGCTTGTACTTGGAGACCAATCTACAGGTGGTACCACTGGTGGACAAGACAACAATGGCCTTAGCGTCCTGCTCGTAGGCAGCGGAGACAGCAGCAATGGCACAGGTCTCGGTGGTGGCGGTAGGCTTGACGGCCAACGTTCTGAGCTCGTTGAACAATGGCAAGTAGGAGATGGCCTTCTCAGCAATGATAGCAGTGTTGTGCATCATGGACACGGCCTCGAATGGGTAGTTACCCTTGGCGGTCTCACCAGACAACATGACACAGTCAGCACCGTCCAAAATGGCGTTACCAACATCGGAAACCTCAGCTCTGGTTGGTCTTGGGTTGTAGGTCATGGACTCCAACATCTGGGTGGCACAGATGACAGGCTTAGCGGCCAAGTTACACTTGGCAATCAACTGCTTCTGCACAACGAACACCTGAGGAGCTGGGATCTCGATACCCAAGTCACCTCTGGCAACCATGACACCGTCGGTCTCGGTCAAGATGTCGTCGAAGTTGTTCACACCTTGCTGGTTCTCGATCTTGGCGATGATCTGAATGTCCTTACCTTCCTCGCCCAAGACCTTTCTAATCTCTCTGATGTCATCACCAGATCTGATGAAAGAAGCGAAGACCATGTGGACACCGTTCTTGACACCGAACTTGATGTCGCCAACGTCCTTCTCGGAAAGAGCTGGCAAGTCAACGTCAGTGCCTGGCAAGTTGACACCCTTGTGGGAGCAGATCTTACCGGAGTTGACGGACTTGACCTTCAAGGTCTTCTCGTCAACAACCTCGAGCACCTCGAAGGACAAGACACCGTCGTCAACGAAAATAATCTTACCCTTGGAGATCACCTTGGTGATGTTCTTGTAGTCAATGTACATGATCTTGTCGTCAGACTTCTTGAGGTATTCCTCGTCGGTGGTGAAGATCATCTCGTGGTTAGCTGGGATAGGGTAGTCCTTCTCATCGACAGTGGTACCGGTTCTGATCTCAGGACCCTTGGTGTCCAAGGCAATGGCCAAAGGACGGCCCCTATAGAGCTCCTCAGACTTTCTAGCGTTGTCAATGACACTCTGGTGGTACTCGTGGGAGCCGTGGGAGAAGTTCATTCTGACAATGTTAAGGCCAGCCTTTCTCAACTTCACCATCACCTCGGCGTTGTTGGTCTTTGGGCCAATGGTGCCCACGATGGACGAACGACGCAAAACCTTGTCTGGGGTTTCGGTGGTATTCAACTGGGTCAACCAATGTAAAGCGGCGTTGGACATGTTTGGGAGAAAATTGAGGTGGGAAATCGAGTGAGAATTTGCGTATATATATCTCATCCGGTTGACAATCGGCCGGAGTCCTGCACCCTGCCGGAGTACCCTCCGCAGGAGAACTTCCGTTCTAGTGCCGCTTCCTGGTGACGTATTTCGCTGATTTTTACATTTTTGTGCTCGTGGAAGAATGCTCTACAATATATGAGAAGATGGTGCAATTCGACTCGTTTTTGCGCCGACGTGTCGCCTCATCTGACGTCGAGGTCAGATGATTCGCAACAGATAAGCGGAGCCATGCAACAAGGTGACCCTCATCGCATGACGCGGTGAAGCCGACTGATGCCATGTTGCAAGCTTCTGTTTTGTGTTTATGGAGACTTGGGAGATTTTGGTGACTAACGGCTCGTAGTTGGGGAAAAACGGTACTTTATGCGCTTAGGCGGGCCAGCGGGCCGGAATTGGCGATGAGCGTGTTTTGGAAAATTTCGAGAGGGGGAATACCGAGCTCGTGGATAGTGCGTCATCGGTTCGACCGGTCCGTTTTTGGAACTTGAAGTTTGAGATTAATTGAATTATAGCATTTCTCCAAATTCCCACCGAGGAAGCAAAAGCAAAGATAAAAAGACTCTTGCTCGATTGGCTTCCCAGTGCTTCTGACCGCGGCGTCCAGAGCACAATGGATTGTTTGTAATTGGCCACATGGGACTATCAAAAGAGGCGGCTCAAATGTTTGGATTATAGTGAATGATTTGAAGAGTTGAAATTGTCTTGTTGATAGGGAAACTGGTCGACTTTGTCAGTTGCTTGATTCAGCTTCCCTCTTTGCTCTCATTGGGTGCAAATTGATGACGAGGAACCCACCATACAAGCTAACCATCACTTCGACCAATTGGCGATTGATATTGTATTTTCGATCCGCTTCAAAAACCAAATTTTGGCCGAAGCAAGAAACAAATCGAAAAAAAGTCGAAAAACACGAGTTGCTGGATCCCCAGTCACCTCTCTACTCTCACGCATTTCGCCACCAATCTCCATACCCTTATAACCCACCCGAAACAAAAGTCACAATCACGCCCAATTCAAAACCTCTCAATTTTTTTCCAAATCACAAAACCCCAACAGTCCTGAAAAAGGTTCCTTCGTTTTCCCCCACCTTTTGCACCTCTCACCTTCGTGCACACCAATATCAACTAGTCCACTCATGGTTCTTCCGATAGTTGTAGGGTTGGGCGTCACGGTCGTGGCGCTTACCACAAGGGCAGCCATTGCCACTGCACAACGCTATCTGCGTCTTCTGCCCCAGATGATCGCAACGCTAAATAACATCAGACTAGAGAGATCGAACGAAACTCATCTACGAGATTCAGGCGCCAAAGCTCAACACATTCGCTACCTTCGAGGGAGGTTCAACAACACTGGATTCAGCGATAAGATGACGGAGAACGAGGCGCTTTTAGTGCTCGGCATCGAGGCCAACGAGATATCCAAGTTGGATAGGAACCTCTTGCGTCTGAGGTATAGAAAGCTCATGGTGATGAACCACCCAGACAAGAACGGGTCACAGTACATTTCGCAGAAGATCAATGAGGCCAAGGACGTGCTTGAAAAGAGCTATTTACTAAAAAAGTGATCTATGTATGGCCGTGCCCGTTGCCGTTGATGGTGATGGTCCCGTTTTCTAGACCGTCCACATCGTGGCCGTTAGCACGCAACTCGTCGAGAAGCTGCTGAGGAATACCCTGTCCATCCTGTTGCGGCTGGTTGTCCGTTTCTTGGGCTTTCTTCTTGCCGCCCTCGAAGTTCTCCTTCACTCTCAAGTAGTGGTTGAGCTCGTCAGCACTCACAGAGGGCACAAGCTCGCTGAGCGATTTTTCGAAATCTTGCATCGTCACAAGCACGTTGATATCGGCAGGAGTGGCCACATTGTCGAACCACCATCTGCTCGACACTTCCTCCTTCTTGTCGGCAACACGCTGCTCGTTAAACGTCTTGAGCTTCGCATCAACCTCGTTCGCCGTTCTCGTCATAGCATTCAACATAGAGTCACTGCACAACGCATAGAAATCAGCACCTGTCAAGGTGAACGAACACTTCTCGGCGATCTTGGCCAAGTCGACTTCGTCGCTGAGCTTGAACTTTCTCGTCAAGGCTTCCAAGATCTTGGTTTGCTTGTCGTCGGTGTCGGAAATACCCAAGTACAACATCTTGTCGAATCTACCTGGTCTCAAAAGAGCCTCGTCCAACAAATCGGGTCTGTTGGTAGCACCGACAACGAAAACGCCGTCTCCATTGCTTTCACCTCCGCTCATACCGTCAAGCTCGGCCAAAAGCTGAGAAACAATTCTGTCCATAACTCCACCAGAGTCACCCTGGTTACCTCTCTTGGGTGCCACGGAATCCAACTCATCGAAGAAAATGACACAAGGTTTAGCGTCTCTAGCTTTCTGGAAAACACGACGCACGTTGGCTTCCGATTCACCAATGTACATATTCAATAACTCTGGACCCTTCACACTGAAGAAGTTCAACGAGAAATTTGTAGCAATGGCCTTGGCCAATAATGTTTTACCGGTACCAGGAGGGCCGTAGAACAAGATACCACTTCTCTTTTTGAGGCCATTACTGAAGAGCTCTGGATGCTTCAATGGCATATCGATGGTATCCAAAATTTCACCCTTCACTGTGTCCAAACCACCAATGTCCTCCCACTTGACGTTCGGAATTCTTGGAGCGCCGATAGAGTCACTGAACTGGTTTCTAGCTTCATTGATAGCCTTGTCAAAGTCTTCTGGGGTGAGTTGAACAAGACCACCATTGGCAATCTTGACGATCTTTTCAAAGCTGATTCCAGCATCCTTTGCCTGTGCCATTAGTCTTTTGATGGCCAACTGCTTAGACTTTCTGACAATCGAGTTCAAGTCCCTAGGTGTCAAACCAGCAGACAGTAATGCTAATGATTGGTAGCTCACATCGGAACGCTTGGCAAACTTCAAGCTAAAGATGTCAAGACGTCCTTCAAACTCAACTTTGTCTTCGAAGGCTTGTGGTAAAGCTTCAGTATTGAGCGCTTTGGTTTCTTTATCGAGCAAGTATCTGAAAATCTGGCGTCTTTCTTGTTCATCAGGAACTGAAACGTCAATTTGGAACTTGACAATTTGCGTGAAACTTTCGCTCAATTTATCAATGTCGTTACAACTTGCCACAAGGGCCATGTTCTCGTACTTGTCCAAAAAGTCCTTCAAAGTCTGAACAACTCTCAAAGACAACGATGTTGAGCTGCTGGCTCTTTGTTCGTTGGGGTCCGTTTGGACACACAAATTCTCAATGTGTTTGATGTATAGAATATGGAAGCAGTTTGAATTAGCAGCTTCAAGTTGACCATTGAGGTACTTCTCGATACGACCGGACAAAAGACCCACTGACTTCAATTCAGCACCAGGCTTAACAAAGTCGAATGCATCAAGCTCAATGAGGTTGAGGCCCATATTGAGGGCTAAACTTCTCACCATGGTCGTCTTGCCAAGACCTCTTGACATGGAGTTCAATAGAATCGTCGTCTTGAGGCGAATGTTAGACTTGGAGTCAACAGTCGTTTGTAAGATTTTTTGAAACTCCTCGGCATATTTGAAGTGAGATGGAGCAGCTTCAATAGCTTCCGTGAAGTTGAAAAGTGGTGGAAGTTGGAGGTAGGACAGGAAGTCATTGAATGCATTTTTTGGTGCTCTCAAAAATTCCACTCCAGATGAAGTGAGAGCAGTCTGGCTAGGGTCAATACGGAATTGGCCTTGAATGTCTTCGTTATCAGCTCCACTGACTTCGAGAACCTTGAACCATGCAACAGCATCAGGATTCCCTGAAAGTGGAACGCTTGGGTAGTTCGACTGTTCGTCCTCTCCTTGGCCGTTGTTCTGTTGTTGCTGGGCGGAAACGTCAAAAATCGTCTTTGCAAGCACGGTATCGATACAAACTGGAATTACATCGCCTTGACGAACGATCTTAACACATGAATGAAACTTGTTTTTGAGCTCACTTAAAAAGCTTTGCTGGTACGTTCTGTCGGTGGTGATTGGAGATGCAATTCTTGAGATCGTGGCGGTTTTGGCGATAGGGAACGCATCTGTGAAGGTATTGTTCTTCGACTGATAAGGTTTCAATGTCACCTCAGTGCCTTCGTCCACTTCAAGATTCACCAAAAGTAATGGAGATAAATAAATTGTGCCCGGCTGGAAGGACTTGTTTGGCTCCAAGACTGTGAAAACCTTGATGGTAGTTTCGAGATTGCCCACACAAAGAGACGCTAAGTCGCCATTGAAGAGCGGAAAGCCAATTTTGGAGAGATCGTCGGTGCTGAGATATGCGTACAAGTCGGGGTCTTCACGGGCAAAGAAAGACGGAAGATCGTTGATGGAGATCTTTTCCGGCAACGGAAGGACTTTCAATGGGTACTTTGACTCAAAGTCGTCACTGGAATTCAAATGCATGCTCTTGGAAAGATATTGGGAAACATCGAAGTCGTCTTCAATTTCTTCTTGTGAAACTTCCTCGACCTTGGGCTGTTCAACAGGCTTCTTCACGAAGATAAGCTCCGTGTTGGCGTCGACCTTACCCTGGAAAAACGGTTCACAAAGCTTGACTGTACCATTAATCGCTCTCACAGCACTGTTTATGGAAACGACAGCGCCATTGCTGGCGGTCCATTGGTCCACAAAGTTCTCCTTCACGATCAGAGAAGGTGTGTTTTGCAAAACATGGAAAACTCCGTCTGGAACCTCCACGTAGGCCTTTGTAAGCAATGGAATAGAGTCCGCGTCGATAGACTGAATCACACATCCATTCACAGTAATGTTATTTCCGAATTTCACCAAGTTCGAGTGGTTGGTGATCGTCACCGAAGAAGACGTTGGAGACTCGTTATCTATAAGCGAGACACGGTGAACAACAAACTCATTAAAGTAGTCTGGTACGCCGATGAACTTAATGAGCACGAACTTGGGCTCCTTGTCGTTCATGGGCACATCTTTCTGGGTATTGGGGAAAAGTCTGACAAAAAGCTCGAAGGATAAAGCGACCTGATCTGTTTGTAAAAGGGTGGGATCATTGATCACATGCACATTGGCAACAGTAGCGATGGAAGGGTCTTTTGACTCCACCGACAGAGGCATTATGGTAGGTGGAGATCAAGCTGGAGATTGAGTTGGACCTACCGAGGCCTCGTCTGGGGAAGCTGGTGGGCTGTATGCAGTCGACATCTTTCACAGTGAGTCAACCGGAGCTATGACGTTGGGTTTATTTTGGAAATTTTATGAAGGAGAGTTTATGGAGGCTTGAGACTGTGAGTTATCTTGAATGGACGTTTGATTGGTGCATTTAGTTGTTTTGGTTTTTATTTGTTCATGGATTCGGTTAATTGGCTGCGAAAAGTGGGCATGAGATTTGGTACTCCGATGAATCAGGGTGGGGGATGAAAAGTAAAAAAATCTGAAAAACGTCTAATTCAAAAAATCAAGCGATTGGTCGATGGAAACGAAATTTATCGCTAACGGTGAAATACAGTTTGCCCTATTTGCATAAAAGAAAAAAAAAAAAAAAAAGCTAGTGGCTCAGAGATCTTTCAAAAGATGGCTGCAATGTCGTTTGATGAAATTGACTTAATCCTTCCAAAAAGGATATTGTTGACCAACACACTCAAGCATGTAGACAGTAAGCTCAAACTCAGGCTGATACACAACTTACTTCAATAAAAAAAAAAAACCGAAATCATGGAAAAGCTATCTAGAGTCTCAAGTTTGATCAGATCGGGTTCATCTGTGTAGAAGAATATGGAAAGCTTCTACTAGCCAGAGTTGTCAATGATATTGCAGTTGTTATTGATTTATCAATAAAGACACTAGATCTACGAATGTTGTCGAAAATTTTATTGATGATCATTCCATGGTTTCCCTCTGTTATCTGGTTCGCCAAAGGTTACCCGCACATACGGTAGATGTGCGAAAGCAGAGCTGAGAACATCTTTTTACTTCTACAATCAACTTCACCAAAGCGTATGTAAACTCGAACAACTGACGTCCTGATGAAAACTTCTTTTTTCGTTTACCAACTTTGAGCATTCTCGAGGAGCAGCCGTTTTGGCAGCACTACGCCTCACTTGCAATGACCTGGTATTTTGTCATAGTTACACTGAACTCAGTATTTCCAACGATATACTAACAATTAGGCACATGCAAAGACACCCTTTTCGTTACACCTTCGTAGAATCTAATATTTTACTGTCGTAGGGAACGAACCATTCTTGTGATGGCATTCCCAGGTTTGCACTTCACCTTTTCTCCACATCTAATCTTCCAATCCCATTACTTCTCTACTGCATTTCTACTGAACTGTCGGAGACTAATTCGTTATTATACACGATACAAAACTCAGTCAGTTTTATGTATTATGAGAAGTTAAAGATGATAATTATAGAACCTAGCCTGTCTAAGCCTCATCCTCTTCAACAACAACGGTCTGCAAGCCCTTGGTGGTTGGGACAATGACTGGCTCAACGAAGGCGAACATAGCCTCCTTGGCGTCCTCCTCGTCGTTTCTCTTTCTAGAGATTCTCAATCTCATTCTGTAGTCGACACCCTGGATACCTCTCTTCCACAAGTGGGTGTTCAATTTAGGATCTAATCTGACATCGGTGGTACCCATGTGCTTGCTGGCGAACTTTCTGATCTCCTTGACAGCCTTTGGAGCTCTCTTCTTGAAGTGGACACCGTGCAACTGTTGGTTAGTATAGGTTCAATATAACATTTCGACTGACATGACCCGTCCCTTTCGTAGGTGGTGGTGGATAAAATATTGCCGTGGTTTCCATGGCGAATAGTAAATTCTGGTGGAAAGATTCATGGGAATGTATTCATGGGAAAACTCATGGATAGGAACAGTTCAAAAGGATTGGAGGATGGGGCAGTCAGGGAATAATATTCAATGGGATGGTAGGGATTCACATACTCTCTTGTGCAAGTTAATGGTGTATTCACGAGTAACAACGTCCTGCAAAGCCATTTTAACGAAGATGTCTGAAGTGGTTGGGATTCAAAAGGCCTCAGTATTAAAATTTTCAGGATTTTTTCGCAGAGAGACGTGCTGAGCTCAAATTTGTTAGTGCGGTACTGAGCACTCCAGCAGCCTCACTATGAGAGCTCCGTTGGGTGTTATATGCAGACAACCCTTTATCTGAGACTGGAGCGTGTGCGTAGAGCGGTGTTTTCTGGTCACGTGTACTGTCAAATTTGAGGGCAAAAGCCCTAGACGTATAGCGGCCACCAGAGTGATAACACTGCAATTGTAGTGATAAGTCAATTCCAAACAGGATCCCAACTTACTCAATGCCGTAAACTTTATGAATGTAGTTGCCCCATTGCGACATCACCTTGCTGTGGAAATCGCCCAAACGAGAGTCGTTAGGCTCTGCTTTTGCAACCAATCTTTTGGACCCATCGACAGCCTCGAATTCAGCTTCAAGCAGATTTCCGAGTTGAAACGACGCTAATGTACAGCAAGTAATTCTTCCTGTGAGCTTGCCATCCTTCACAAGCTCTATAATTCTTTCAAACGTGACTTCCTCGTCAGGACCAATTGAGGGAGCCAAACCATCGCTCACCATAGGTGAATACGTCTTGAGAACATTAACAAAGCATTCGACAGTGAACTCATCAAGATTGGTGTACCTCTGGCGCAAATCGTCTCGATCAAGCCAGGATGCATCTTCTGATTGGAGAACTAACATATGCGCCAACACTATCATCAACGAGACGTTGGAAGCATAGTGTCTATATTCCTTTGAGATCTTGTCCTGTCTAGCTGCAAGATCTGTTTCTAAAGACTTGAGAAACGAAAGTAGCGTGTAGAAGTTTCTTGTGATGGTCAGCACCATGATTATCTCGTAACTGAGACTCACCAAATTACGTTGAATCTCGGCCTCTTCGCCAGGGTTCCCCTTGAGCCGAAGCTGGTAACACAACTTGTACAACTCATTTACCAATGATAAATTGGGAGCCAGCTTTAGTCTGAGAATAAGCAGAAGTAGCGGAAAGCCAATGGCTCCATCGTTATTCTTCGGAAGCGGGTATATTATACCTGGAGCTGCCTGCACTGCAGGAGATCCAGACCGCCGGCTTGCCGTAGAATCAGCACGTCCTAAAGGTGGTTTAGGTGGGGTCTGTGGAGGAGGAGCGTTTGGATTTTCTAGCAAGTACAATGCATTATTCAAATTAAGCGCTTCTTTCTTTGCAACACCCAACTGGTTTTCAAACATAAGGAGAACTAGACGAAGCTCCCAAAGGGTCAATGCCTCGTCCCTGCTTGGGTTGGTGGACCTTAGGAGGTGGTATGTCAAATCGAGAAGCTTTCCATTTGTCAAATCTTTAAGTGATTCCGAATCTAGACTAGGGGTTTCAGCATTTGGAGTACTATCAGGCCTTTTTATAAATAAGGCCTCGTCAACGAGAGCAGACATGATAATGTAGGTGGTGGTCGAGTTAGATGATAATGCGCACTGGGGTACATCCACCTTATCAACTAGCATTGATTCCTACCTGAACAATCTCCACGAAAAATAACTATCTTTCTATGCTATGAACAATTCCAATAGCACCTCCGAACCTCCTTCTCATAGGGATCTTTTGATCCAGGCTAAGCAGCAACAAAAGCAGGATCTTGTGGAATCCACCAGGCTATCGGAAGCACTAGTGAAAACAGTGAATGCCATAGTCCGGGCGAACCTGGTGGCTAATAATCCCAACTGTCCGCCTCTTCTAGATAAGATTACCACAATTCACGACCTCGATCGGGAAATCGACCGCCAATTGAAGAAGGATATCTCAGTCAACTATGAAAAGCTTGTCTTGGCTAAGGAAAAGCTAGGTCGAGAGATTGCGAGGACTAAAAGGGCTTTGGATAAGCATCAAGAGTCCAAGGTGGATTTGCTACAAAGACGAGCCGAGCAGCTGGACCAGGAACTACGAATTCTTGAGAATACACTTCTGTTGATCAAGAGCCAACGATAGACTGGGAACTGGGCCCATAACGCTTATAAATCATAATTATACGAATTGACGAAATTGAAGCTGGTAGTCATGTATTATCTTTTCTGTATTAATCGTTGGATCAGTGTGCTACAGCGGATGCCAATTAACCGTGATTAGTATAAAGCTGTTCACTAACCCTGTTGCACAATGCAACTATGCTCTGTTCATGCTAGTCGAAAAGTTCTATGGAGCCTAGGGCAAGCCTTCGGCGGCACGAGTCCATCTCTCTTCCTTCTTCCATCCCTCGTTCACCACTTCAACCAAATCCTCCAAGTTGAGACGCTTGTCGTCTTTCAAGGTGCGGCCCTTGTCCACCAAGTTGGTGTATATGCGTGGATAGAGCTCCTTTGGAATGTGCTTGATCGAGGCTTCCTCACGTCTCTGGTTGACTTTCTCGGCAATAGCCTGTTCGGAGACCCGGCCATAGGAGAGCCATTTGCTCCTTCTGTACTCCCACAAGATCTCCCGATACTCAGGGTTTGCTGTTCAAGCTGGCTGGTGCGTGTGTCTGTGGAGGAGTCGGAGTTGTACTGTGAGGTGGCACGCACCTGGTTGATGAGGTCGTCCTTGAGCTTCACCATGTTCATGTCGGTGAACATGAGACGATCAATATCCTCAATATCCTGCTCGCTGTTGGCAGCCGTGGGGTTTTCTAGCTGATGCATCTCAAACACCTTGTTAAGATCTTTGTACTTTTTGTAGTCTCGAAGGAACTGCTCCTCGGCGTCGGTGAGTTGACGGCCAACCTTGGATAAACGGTCAATGTCTAAAGGCCCGCTTTCCTCGAAAAGCTCAGCTACTTCCTCGTCTTCGGAGTGGGTGTCGTGTGAGATATCTCTGAGGCGATATAGGAGCCCCGACCACTCAGAACCGATCTTCTTGAAAAAACCAGAAACTTTTTTCGATCCTTTTTTCAGCGCTGCGTTCGACGAGGTTCTCAGTGGATTGGCCAGCGGCGTCTTCGAGAGGGCTGGAGGGGTTCGTAGTTTGGATGGCGAGGAGCTGAGCTGGGGCGAAGACAGTTTGCTCAGAATCATGCCTGGGATTACTATGCTGGGGAATAAAAACGTTCTAGAGTTGAACGCTGTGTCTAAATGAATATCCCAGGACTGGTGCGAATCGTATTCTTATAAAAGAAGGTGGTCTGGAGCGTCAAATGGCGTAATGAGTCGCCCTAGTGATGGATTTCTTTTTTGGGGCAGGACGTGAGTGTAACACACACTCTGTACCGGTGCTCGGCCTGGGTCTGCAGAACTTTGTGATCATTTTTGTTTTTGCTCAGGTGCCTGACAGCCTCACCCCTCACTGTAAATGGCAGAAGACCTAACAACTAGAGACAAAAAATGAACAATAAACAATGGCACAGCCTAGCAAACAGAAAATGAGGTTTGTTTTTGTTCACGGTGAACGAGGTATTTTGGATCTGTGGAAATGCCGGAACCGCTATCATGCTGAAAATGCTAAACCCCTGCAATCTTCTTTTCTGGGCCACATGACTTTAGCCAAGCGAGAATGTTGCATACAGCGCCTCATCTGACTTTATCGTCGGAACACCATGGTTGCAAAAATCTTAGGGGCGGATCTCCCGACGAGCGAAAATTCTTGACCTGGAGAAGCTGCACGGCTGCAAGTTGATTAAAATCCGGTGATGGTCCAACCTAGCCGAGTGACATACCTGCCTAGTGAGATTTTTCCTCTGCGGAATTCTTATCGTTACCAAGCTTTGTGAATTTAGTCTTAAGCTTTCGATAACACTTGGAGTCAAATCGCCACCCTCGACCGTTCTCAACAATGACTTTTTGTGCTTCTCTATCGCCCTCGAATTCTCGCTGTGCTCTCTTGCGTATAGACTTATCCCCTGCGAATGCATTGTACGTCTCCCATTTTACACCCCACACGCCGATAGATAAACCGCTATGCGGTTCGTCTCCAAGCCATGACCTAGAATTTAGACCATTTTTGTAGTAACCGTAATACTGTTTTAAGGTCGGAAGTATGAGAAGTGTCACGGAAATGTCTAGAAGATCAACTCCGTCTCCGTCTTTGTGGACAACAATAGGTTTAATTACTTCCAGCTTGGTCCACTTGGGGTTGGTATCTGAGAGATCAGCGTTGTTATCAAAAACGCCAAGGTGCTTGAGCACGGCAAGTATGTCTGAGTCGTCTGTATATATGCCGCCAGCTCCGCCCCAAAGCTCTCTCTTGCGTTGGACCTTTTCACTGTTGCAGTTCTCGAGGAACTCCTTGATGAACTTGTAGGGTATCTTGATTTCAACAAAGCAGTTGATAGCCGCCTCTGTAAGTGGAGGAAGAGTAGGGATGTACTCTGGGTCAACAGAGCGATAACGCTCGCCGTACCTTTCAACATATTTCTGCTGTATGTCACGAAGATGCTGCTTATCGTGCTCATCGATTTGCAAATTCTCGAATTGTAGGGTCTCCCACGTCGTTGTGGGGTTGTATATTATGGAGCCAATGTGCCTTCTCTTGGGAAACACATCTCTCAAAAGCTCCTCAAGAGGGCCCTTGTCAAGCACGTATGGAATAACTTTTTCCTTTTTTGCAACCACTGCTTGGGGCACATCTTCATCCTTCTTCTCTGCAGCGCCATTTGCAGCAGGGCCATTTGCAGCAGGGCCATTTTCAGCTTCAGCTTCTTCAGCCGCCTTTGGTTGCGTTTGTGGGGTTTGAGGACTCGAGTGGCGGTGGTGATGGTGGTGATGGTGATGATGATGGCCATGTGCGCCTCCACTAACTCTGCGGACGTGATGATGATGGTGGGGGTTGTTAGCGTGCTGTGGGTCTAACGAACGATGCACGTGCGCTTGCTTCTCTGCATTGGTACTTCCTGGACTATTCGTGGTTCCAGGGGTCACGGACTGAGAATTGTTGTGTTGTCCAATTTCGTGGGCTTTGGTATCGTCATGGCTGGTGGTGTTCCTGATGCTGAAATGTGGTGGTCCACAGGATTGACTCCAGCAGACATAGGCCTGCTGATAGGCTGATGTGGGGGTTGTTGAGCGTGACCTTCGGTACTTGGACGTGGTACTTCTTGCGACCCTATTGGCAGAAAGCCCTCTTTTTGGTTGGATAAAAACGCAATCGATGGAAGCTTGATGCCTCCACTCGGCTTAACGCCATACTTCTCCTCGTGACTCAGAGTCGGCGGTGTGGAATTGGACATTGTAGACGTGTCTCTGGAATTTTGCTTGATGGAAATTGTGTTATCCTTATGGGATGGGGCTTAATTGAGTCTACTTCTAGAAACGTTGGGGAAGCGACAATGTTTTGTTCAAAATTGTATGGCACTTTTTCCCTTGCATGCACACCCGTTGCGATAATGGCCTCAAGCCGGAGTACTTCTTAGTCGCGATCCTTTTGATAACACTTATAGTGAGATATCTTGTCATCGGGGTCAATGCATATCAAATTTTTCTTGATTGAGTCATGGCAAATATCGCAACTTTCCTCTTTGCTCGCAATCTTGTAGGACTTCGCTTTCTCCTTCTGAAGCTCATATTGCACCTTCACAGATCCTACCTTGTATAGCTGACTTGTGATCCTCTTGTTCATGAGATCAGTGTCCACCAGGATCAAGTTTTCGCCTATGAAGGTTTCGAGGTTTCGTAATGGGAAGGAACTTGGCAAAGTAAGAAGTGTCCTGGTCATTGACATTTTCTTTCCTTGCGTTGTTAAGAGCTGGGTAATTGAGTCAATGTTCTCCTCGTAATGCAATAACAAATCCTCGAGAAGCTTGTGTAAGAGATCCTGACCGGCTTGATGCTGACCTGCGTCATAAAGGTCGGCACAATATTCGATTGCACCATTTAAATCAGTGAGCTGGTTGTACAAGACGTCCACAGATTTTTGATGCTCACCGAGTCGTTTGTAGATAAATATTGTGAAGCGAAGAAAATTGTCTTGACTTGTTGGAATATTCTTCAAAACTGTCCATGGCTCATAGTCAATAGAATTCTTCAAGAAATCGTAAAGTTTTTTGTAGTTCTCATCTTGAACAAACTCCTCGTCAGATAATTCGAGAGCCTTCAATTTTTTGAGGTAAAACAAGCACAATTTGGTCGAAAACGTGGACCGTTGTCTCGTACGGCCAGCGGATTGAAGAACATCGGTTTCGGAAAGAAGCCATTCAAGATAACGAATAGCCAAGTCGTCGTTTTTAATGGCATTCTTGAAAAATTCAAATACTTTCGTGGTGTCGTAACTTTCACACTCGTAGGTCTCATTCATAAATATCGCAGCAGCCCGCTGTATCATCTCACTTTCATCACTTAACAAAACCCACTCCGCATACTTGCAAATTAAGTCTAGCTTGCTGTTGTCAAGCTTTTGGAAGTAGCTGATTGTGAGGTCAGGAGATCTGAAGTACTCGTCGTATTCATGAGATTGTGAGGTTTCATCATGTGCGAGTTTATAGAGCATCTCGAGTGCCTCTTCATGAAGAGATCTTCCATAGTAAAAATCTAGAAGCTCACGAATGAAGACATGCGACTCCTTGGTATGACTGTGTAAATCCTTGAGAAGATAATGATTGACCACATTCGATTCACACTTATTATTTGGCAAACGAAGAAGGGGTCCGAGAAGCATTGGCTTTGTATAAAAGTAGCAAAGGAAAAGGGTGGTATCAATGTAGATGGCGTCCTTCTTTATCTCCTCCCACATTTGGTCTTCCTTAAGGCTTGGATCGAGGTCGAGTGGAGACAAGTCCACGCTTTTCCAGGGCATCGTAGGCATCATATCGTTGGATCCCAAAAATATGGAGTATATTCTTCTCTGATCTGTCAAGAAAACAATAAGATCGCTAACTGCTTTGCTGAATTTTCGAACCTTGGGGGACTTCAGGTCATCGAGGCTTACACCTGATGCAAGTCCCGTATGATGTGGTTTGTCTGGAGAATCCTCACCTTCAGTGGCGTTGTCGGATGCTGTGCTTGCAATGATGTCCTGCTTCGTATTCTCGAGCTCTTGGATGCTGACACGACGAACCGGATTAACGAACCCGGAAGATGACTTGGTCTCAAAAGAATCATCCGGGGTTGTCTCTTTTAGCTCACTTATCTGGAATTCGCCATTTATGAAGTCAGGAAAGAGCTTGAGAACTTCTTTGTACGAAAGGATCCATTCGGAGCCAATGCCAATTAATGCGTCATGATACCGCCCGTACAGCTCAAACAAAACTTGTGCCTTCTCAGTGTATAGGTTTCGAAGGAACAAAAGCTTATACTTGTCGGTTGAGGACTCGAACAGCCCCAAGGGAAAGAACAAACTGTCGTCGTTGTCAAGACTATTCACCAAAGTTAAAGCCCTCTCTAGACCTATCAACCGTAAATCACTGTGAAGCTCCTTCAGGCCTCTTGCACTTGAATTAGATCCTCGAATTGTCAAAAACTGGTTGAGCTGTTTGCGAATGGGATTAATTCTGAACTGAAATACATTGGTGCCCGCACCAATGATGACGACATCCTCGAAAACCGTGAGGCTGATATTGTAGTTGTTCATGTGATGATGGAAGACTTGGATAACTGCTCCACTAGCGATGTCAACAATCTCGAGCTTTTTGCTGTAAAGTACTAGCAAGTAGCATGGTAGGAGAAACGCAACATCCACAGGTACCGTCAGGAGTCTCACATCAGAGGACCCCAATGCATATTTGTCATCTTCAAATTGAAGAGTTCCAACCTGAGAGTCACGTATGACCAATGAGTTTGAGTTTTTGGGGTCCAAGATCCATACCTGGGGCCCAGTGCTAGATATGCCAAAGTAGCTAAATGAGGTTGTTTGTGACAAGCTGTTGATTCCCGAGCTCTCTGTGGATATGCTTTTGAGATTAAACGTGTCTAGCTCGAGACACATGAAGGAGTTGGTGAGTCCCAAGACGATCTTGTCGCCATGTTGGCCACCAATGGAACGTAGCTTGTCCTTAAGGCTGAGTTCTTTAATGAGAATGAAATCAAAGATATTTCTCGACTTCTGCTTAATCTGGTATATGTTCAAGCGTTTCTTGGTGCCCACCAAGACTAGCCTGTTGTCTCTGGTCTCCACATACTTGAACTGGTTGAAGTTCTTCAGTTCCAGGAAGGTATGGATCAAATTGAGGTGGGCGCCGACCCATTCAAAGGCATTGAGTGTATCTGAGGAGCCCGCAAAAAGCACATCTCTCGAGCCATCCTTGTAAAGCGGCACTAGTCGTAAGACGGTGATTGGAGACTGAGAGCCATTGACGTTTCGAAACGTTTTCTCGGTGCTGTACCACAGGGACGAATCGTTATCGTGAAAAAGGCCCTTTATGTCGGTAAATGAACGAAAGCTTCGCATGGAGCGAGCAGGAGTCTTGACTGCCTCTGGATTGTCGCTGACTCTCATGATGGTGATGTCGCCATTGCTGAACCCAATGAATAGTTTTTCATTCTGGAAATGAAGCGCCGTAACCTTGGCGTTTCCGCTAAGATTGAGCCGATTGAACGGCGCCATTATGTCCACGTTCATGGCGATAGGCTGGTTGTAGGTGAGATGTAGAAGTAACTATAGCGCGCTCGATGGTACTACACGATTTCTTGATATCTGCCTTATACTATAGATACAAAGTTGACGACACCAGAGCAGTATTTCACAAGCTCGTCGAGTTTGGCTCCCTTTTGCTGGTTGATCTGACCCCATTTCTCGAGTGCCTCGTGCAACTGTTCTTCTTTGCCATTGGCATAGATAACGTCTCCATGGTGCTTGAGGAAAAGACCAAAGATAGCCTGGAGCACATCGTAGTCGCTGTTGAGCTGCATGGCCTGGTTGAGAGCCTCGACAAAACTGGTCATTTCGTCCAATGGAGGAAACGAATTGAGCGATCTGATCTCGAGGTCAATGAGTGAAGGAGCAGCATTGACCAGGAAGTCAATGAACTGAGTGTAGTCTTCGGACTCGCCGCCGATTCTGAGAAGTTTGGTGAACTCAGACTCGAAATTGTGCTCTCCGTTCTCCTTGAGGGCTCTGAGTTTGGACTCTTCGGTTGTAGCATTACCGTTGGTCAGACTCTTGAGACCATTCTCTGCAACAACAGCACGGTCACCCACAACTTCACCGCCCAAAGACAAGAAAAATGGCGCCTGCTCGGGCTTCTTGGGCGCTTCCTTGGGCTTGTTTCTCTTTTTGATGATGTCAAGATGCAAAATGTTCAGGTACTTGTTTCTGTCGCCCACATGCAACGTCAAGAGATCCTGGTTGATCTGGTCAACGGAACGGTAGGTGGTATGGACGTCGTTGTCGTCTTCGGCAGGTTTATCAAGAGCACCTTCAATAAGAGAAGCTCCACCTTCACCAGACACGTTAGGCAAAAGCGCTGTGCTGAATTCGTCGTCCTCCATCTGTCTAGTGGAAACCGGGTGGAACTGGGCTCTGTTCGTCCAAAGGGAGATACCGTTGCTGGAGACGTGGGTGGTAGCCAAAAAGTCACCAATTGGTGAAAACTTGACACTGGTAGCCACGTTGGGGAGACGAATTCCGTCAATGCAGCCTCCAGTGGGAATATCCCAGGTACGCAAGGTGCCGTCAAGCGAAACACTCACAATCCACCTGCCGTCAGGCGAAAAATCAAGATCGGTTATTCTGTTGTTGTGCCCAATGAGCACTCTGGCGACTTTCTGGGTGACCACATCGATCACCACAATGCTCAAGTCATCAAGAGCACAGGCTACCAAGTCGGAGCCCTTGTGGTAGATCATGGTGGTGATGGGGAGTCGAGCTGAAGCTTTCCAAGGAACTTGGACTCGGAAAAATTGTAGAAACCAATCACACCGTCAAGACCACTGCTGACCATTTTTCTGTTCATGCCGTCGATGGCCAAACCAGTCACAGCCTTGTTCTTGTGCAACATGTACTTCTTTCGAAGAAGACCAGATTGCAAGTTGTAAGCGCCAATTCCACCGTTGGAAGAACCCACCAAGGCGAAATTACCACAGTGGGAAACACACACAGCTTTCGCAATACCACCATCAACAGTAGCGAGCTCATGACGTCCCATACGCTTATGCTTTGAGTCCCAGGTTCTGGCGAAATTCTCGTTTTTGTGAGCCGTCACCATGTTCTCCCAGTCTCCTTCTCTGGCGACCGACATGGCCAAAGCGGTGATCTCAGGAACCTTTTCACGCATAGAAGCAACAGGACCACCTTTCTTCTTGGAATCAGTCTTGGGTGGTCTTTGGGAAACCTCCTGTGCCTGGGCATCCTTCCTCATGGAGAAGCACCACAACGACCGGTCCTTGGATGCAGAGTAAATGAAATGGGACTTGTCCTCGTTGGGGAAAACCATAGCCACTGGAGGAGCAGAATGGCCACCACGAGAACGCAAATGACGGGGAGGTGAAACCACAGAGCTGTTGGTTGTTGAAAGCGGAGGGTCGAAAACGAGCTCTTTGAGCTGGTTGTCTCCACCGTTGGTCACGACAATTGGCTGACCGTTCAAGAACTTGGCATTAGCTACACCGCCCGTGGCTTCAGCATGGGCGTTTCTCGAAACGTGGACTCTGGCCTTTTTGACCAAGTCGTGGAAGTAAAGATCTCCGTTGCTCAATGCAGCCACAAGGTGGTGGGATCCATCGGTACGGAAGGAAATGGAGTTGACCTTTGCAGCCACATCTGCGGGAGAAGCAACGATTCTCTCGCCGAGAATAGTGCCTTTCTTCAAGTTGTAGAGGAAAATTCCTCCCGAGCCAGTACCCAATGCAATGATGTCAAGAGCTGGTGCAAACTCGATGGCAGAGAGGTTCTCACCAAACTGGTCTGGGGGAGACTTGTAGATGGTTTTTCCAGTTCTAATGTTGATGAGATGGATGCCGCTGGTGGTGGCCACGACAATTTTGTTAAGGTATGTCGGTGGATGGACCACACCCACAATGTCACCGGCAAACTTGGTGTTGATGCTCTTGATGGTGGTGTAATGCTCGGTGGGGATCTTGGATCCCAGTGGCTTCTTGAACACATCAATGGACCCGTTGGTCGAGACCACAACGAGGTAATCGCCAAATACCAAAAGACGGCTGATCGTGGCAGCTGCCTGTCCTGGAACCTTTACTTCAGCTTCCAAGCGGCCTCTCTTATAGATACCCACCGAGTTGCCAGAAGCAGCGTAAACATAGTGGAAGTGGGCAGCCAAAGCCAGGATTTTGCCAGGAGTCTGTGAGTGGGAAACAAAAAGCAAATGCAACGTGGCGGCGTCGTAGATCTGGAACGAACGGCCCACAGAGGTGACAATATAGAAAGTTGCACCTAAAGTACCCACTGCAAAGGGCACTTCATTGGAGACATTGCCGAGGGCTCTGAAGGGGCTGAAGATCTTCGAAGGCTTCGAGACCTTCTGCTGGGGCTGGACCTTCTGCTTTTTTGCAGTGTATTTCGCCATGCCTCTGGAGGTTGAAGGTGTATCTGAAAAAGTCGATGAGGTGCTGCGTACAATGAGAAGAGGTGCCAGGACCCTGCAAGGGTATGGAGGCCAGAGGGGAGAAAATCAGATTTTTTGAAATGATTTACTAACTAACTGGATTCTAATTTCGATGTAAATTAAAGTTTGTTTTTTTGATCCCTTGTGGTACCTGGTTGGTGGGACCCCACTGTGCATATACTACATCTGAGAGCTCACCAGTACTAACCATCTTATCATGACAGAAGACGATAAGCGTGATATTGACGCTTCCACAGAGCCTGTGGCAAAAAAGGCACGCACAGATAACTACGACAAAGGCCTTGCGCCTATCAAGCCGGAGTTTGTGGTGGAAAGTGTCAAAGTGGAAGAGGCTTACGATGATGAGGAAGCTGAAGGTGGAGACAGAGGCCAACAGGAAGGCTCCAAGCGCTCGAAAAAGAAGCGTGGACAAAACAAAAAGAGAGATCTTAAGCAGCAGAAGGAGGATGTACGTTTGTGCTCGAGTTTGGTGGATCCTCTGGACCCCAAAGAGTGCAAATTTGGACCAGACAAGTGTAGGAACACTCACGACGTGACATACTATCTTCTGACGAAACCAGACGACATCGAGGGCAAATGTCCCGTTCAAGTGGCTATCGGTTACTGCCCTGCTGGTTTGAAGTGCCGTTGGTTGAGCAGCCACTACAACAAAGATACAAATGAGCTTCTCAAGGAGGAACCCAAGACAGACAACTACGAGCTCAACAAGATCTCTGCGGACCACCGGATGGACCTTCAGAAGCATCGCTACATTTTTGAAAAAGCCGACGCCTACAACAAGTACTTGGACTCGTTGGTCAAGAACGATGCCAATGCAAAGAAGCAGGAGGAGGTTAAGGACAATGCTGCTTCATACGTTGAGCCTCCTTTCAAGCCAGCCGAGAAAAAGAGACTCAACTTTGACAGAGCCAAGATCGTGTCGCCACTCACCACGGTAGGAAACCTTCCATACCGTCGTTTGATGAAGACTCTTGGTGCAGACGTCACCTACAGTGAAATGGCGCTTTCACTTCCTCTTCTTCAGGGCACCAAGCCAGAATGGGCCTTGCCTAAAGCGCATGTTTCTGAATACCCCGGTTTTGGTGTTCAGCTTGCTGCCAATCACCACCAACAAGCCTCCAAGGCTGCTGAGGCCGTATACAACGAGGCCTCTCATGTTTCCGAACTCAACTTGAACTGTGGCTGCCCTATTGACCTCCTCTACCGCCAGGGCCAGGGATCGGCGCTTTTGGACCAACCAGCCAAGCTTGTTCGTATTCTCAACGGTATGAATGCTTGTTCTGGCGATATTCCAGTCACATTCAAAATCAGAACAGGAACCAAAGACAATAAAAACACCGCAATCTCCTTGGTCAACAGAGTGTTGACCGAGACCGACGTCGCTGCAGTGACGTTGCATGGCCGCTCAAGACAGCAAAGATACACCAGAGAGGCCGATTGGGGCTACGTCGGCGAGGTTGCAAGATCGGTGAAGGAGTTGAATGAAAAGAAGCAGGAAAATAAGGATTTGACGGATACTCAACCAACATGGTTTATCGGAAACGGCGACTGCTTTACCCATGAACAATGGTACGAGGCTGTGAACACCGAAGGCATTGATTCTGTAATGGTTGCAAGAGGTGCACTTATCAAGCCCTGGATTTTCGAGGAGATTGAAGCTCAGCAGTACCTTGATAAACTGGCCACAGAGCGTCTTGAGCATCTTCGTACTTTTGCCAACTTTGCCGTGGAACACTGGGGCTCCGATGAGTACGGTATTGAGGTTGCTAGACGTTTCCTTTGTGAGTTCATTGGCTTCACACACAGATACATCCCCGTGGGGATTTTGGAGAAACTCCCGCCAAAGTTGAACCAAAGACCACCAAAGTGGCGTGGCAGAAACGAATTGGAGACGCTTCTTGGATCCACTGACTACAAGGACTGGATCAAGATTACAGAGATGTTCCTTGGAAAAGCCTCGCCAAATTTTCAATTCGTGCCTAAGCACAAGAGCAACTCATACTAAGTTGGGAAAGAGGTCATAGGGCCGTATATAATAACACACGACACTTCATCTACAATTTGGGCACTTGTACAGTGTGCATTCTTAAATAATAGCTATCTACTCCTTTTTGAACCCGGTGACAGAGGCGACAGTGGCATCGTCGGTGTTGGCTTCAATGGTGGAAGCACCAGTGGTCTTGGCCTGGGAAGCAGAGTCGTAGTCCTTGGACAAGTCCTCAGCCTGGGAAGCAGAGTCGTAATCCTTGGACAAACCCTCGGCCTGCTCCTTCAAGGTGGAAAGCTCCTCCTCCTTGGCAGCCAACTCCTTCTTCAACTCCAGAATCTCCTCGCTGTCGCCTTCGGTTGGCGCAATGTCGCCATGCTCTTTGTTGTAGTCGTCCAACTTGTCCTTGGTGAACACCAACTCAGCCACCAAGGAGTAGGCTCTGGTGGTGAGGAGCGTCAAGAACAAGGCGAAACCGCAGAGGTACATGTTTCTCTGGGCGTAGAACTTTCTGGCCTGGACCTCTGATCTGTCAATCATGCCACGTTCAGAGCCGGGCCCACTCAAGTCGGTGGTGACGGTGTACACTCTGTTCACCGAGTCGATAAAAAGAACAGCCACAAAGCCAAAGATGCACTTCGTGATGATTTGGACGTGCTCAGAAGTGAAGGGCTTGGAAACGGTGGCCAAAACAGTTCTTCTCACTGTTCTGGGGAAAGGCAACGACAAGATGGTGAAGAAAACCATCTCCACCACGAGCAAGCCAAACACCAAGCTGTAGTATAATGCCATGATTGTATTAACAAAGAGGAGAAAAAAAAAAGGCAGAGTGACGTGCTTTTATGTGCTGCTGTGCCTGGTAGCAATGACGAGGGCTAGCAAGGCGATTCTGCAGGAGAAGTGCCGCGAGGTGTGCAATCTCAGACGGGGCCCAGGGGCGGATGCGAGTATCGAAAATCTGTCAAATGCATTGAGTCTCTTAGTAGCCTAGCGACACCTTAAGGGTAAACGTCACCAAAAAGGGCAATGTGATAAAGAGAATTGAGTATTGCGCAATGAGGCAAATGGCCAAGCAGTCCATCTGGAGGTGCTCTGGCGAGTTTGGATCAGTGTAGAACGCAGTAAAGTAGACCAAGGCAGTGGCATTGGGCAAGCCAAATTCCAAAACCGACACAAATCTTACAAGCTTGTCTTCTTCAAACCAGCCAGCCTTGTAGAGACCAGTAGTGAAGCCCACGCCGAAAATGGGTATGATAATCAATCTGGCGGCGGTCACCATGAGAGCGGTTTTCCAGAAACCAGGCACAATCTGGTTCACCTTGAGTCGAGCAATTGTGGCCCCTAGAAGAAGAAGACCAAGGGGCACAGATGCTGCACCGACATAACTGGCAAGGTCCATGAAGAACGATAATGGCGGCATCTCGTCTGGTGCATGAGGCATGTAAAAGCTACTCTTGACGAAAAGCGCCTTGAGCGGTGGAGACAATGCAATGATGAGCGACACAATCAACGAAACCGAATTTGGCGCCTTGAAGTTGACGATCGTATTGAGGAAGTACTTCCAATAGCGTCTTCTACGCGAGACTGGTTTCGTTTCGTCATCAGCCTTTTCATTTCTTTCTAGCGGAGCCACATCTATACCAACGTCGCTAGTGGCCGAATGCTGGCTTCTCGCCTCGTTGCTTTTGAGCCTGTCAAACTCACTGTATTCGTGAATAACGTCTTCAACGTCCTGTGACTTGGCTCTTCTCAAGTCCGCTGAACGAGAAGGTGTCTGATGCAAAGAGTAGTAATTAGTGGTGCCGGAGGTGTTGGTGCCCCGGCGCTGTCTCATTGACGAATCCATGGATTCATAATCCTGGGAAACTGCTGAGTGGCCCTCAGCGTCTCGTTGCATGAGGAACTCATTGTGCTGGCGGTATTCCAGCGGATCTCTTGAAATGTCAGGACGCTTGTCCTCAGAACTATAGGTGCTATCGCTTCCAGCACTTCCAGAATGCTGCTCCTTAGCGTGCGGCGTGGAAGCCACTGAATGTAGTTGGCTGGTGTCGATCTCCTCTTCTTCGTCTTGGGGTTTGTCTAGCTCGTCTCTAAAGTCGTACCTGACCAAGCGGAACAAGCCTAGCGAGAACTGGTAGAACACCTGGGAGGCAAGGAAAATACAGACGTATGCCACGCCCTTGTCACCTTCTTCCGCTGTAAAAAGCGACCCTGTTTTGGAAAGGGTTTGTAGATATGCGATGGGGAGATCCGAGATATTGGGGAACAACCCCACAGAAATCAAACCGCCAAACCAGCGTTTGGGCGACTTGCATGTGTAATAAATCGCTAGCGACAGCAAGGCTCCCACAGAGAACAAGATGGTACCTTCAAAGAAGATGATACCAATGTTCTTGATGTCCGAGTATTTGAGATTCGTAATCACATTGTTGAAAATCAAACAAGGCATGATGGCCGTGACAATAGCGTCCGAGATATCACGGCATGTCGTCACTGTGAGGATATTCCGTCGAGCTAGGTAGAATCCTATGGCGATGATGAAGTAGATCTTGAAGATGGGCTTTACCGAGGCATAGATGATCATGCCAAGAGGAGCACCCATTTTGTTGTCATTCACTGGAGCTCAGGGGAGGAATAAATATGGGTATGGGCTGGAAAAAGCCGTTGAGCAGTCCTCTTTATATAACGTCTATATGTGAAAAGAAAAGTTGTGGGTTGGAGATCGGTGCATGGCTCCTCAGCTGAGTGCAGTTCCTAGCAGGTGGAAGCGAGTCGCTAAGACAAAAAAAACTACAATCTAGCCGGGTCCACCATCATTTTGGGGGTGATTTTTGGATCCGTTGGCCGTATATTATTATCCCTCTGTTGGATATTGGCTTTGGTGAGATTTGTTAATTTTCTTGCAAAAAAACATTTTTCCGTTGGTTTACCTGAGCCGTGCAAAAGTGTCAAATTCGCAATATAAAGCGGCTTGTCTCAAAGATAGACACTTGCGCATCCACCACTGAAACTGAAAAATAATTACTTACATTTGGCAACATCACTGGCGTAACTGCAAACAGAAGCCGTTGAAAAATTCGCAGATCTACACATGGTTGCTCAAGATGTTCATTAAATGGTCCCTAGGGACAATGGCACACAGGCCGGGGTATGAAAAAAAGACGTACTGTCGAAGAGAAGCAAATCCGGTCGTAAAACAAGTAAAGTGTAGCTTGCGGAGTAAACTGTGAAGAAACGAATCGTTAGCAGCGCTTGAGGGGGTGTTGAATGCGATATGCCAGGCTAACTCCGAGGGGAATGTGGTGGTTCGGGTTAACCATGTGCTGGAAATGTAGCGCTGCTTTGCAGGAGGTAGCATGGGGGAGTCTCACTCCACGGGAGTTTGCTCCCTGCCTAGTTCTATCGAATCAGTATTGTAGAATCGATGCTTGAAGAAGTCAATCCCTATGGTCGTAGATGCAAGGTCAACCGCATCTATCCATGGTGAACTGCCTCATTGATGAGATACCCCCCGCTATGACAGAAACTCCTTGATGGTGGGAGAGCGCCCATGGCTATATGTCACCACGTTCGTAATCTCCTGGATCTCAACCTCATCAAGCTCATCCAAGAAGATCTCAAGATCATCTTCATCCTTCAAGCTCAAGGAAGGCATTTCTGGCGAAGAGCAGGCGGAAAAGATGGAGTCCTTGGGAGATCCGTACTCGTGGTCGGAGGAATCATGAACTCTGAAATTCAGCGCTTGCAGCAGCACTTCATCGTCACTATCGTGGTAGGCCAAAGAAGCCTTCTCTAATATGGGTCTGGCAGCTGAACGCTGTGGCACTTGCATGTCTTCAGGAACGGTTTCGAGGAACTGGAGACACAGCTCGTAGTCTTGAAAGGAGGCCATGAGGTAGTCTAATTTCTGGAATAGCGCAGTCCAAAAGGGGCTGGTTGATTTATAGCTCCTGGGCTGGGAGGCTGGCTGCGAATCTTGTTCCTGCGTAGGAGCCAGCCACATGCATGGGACCCCCATACTGGAGCAGCGCGAGCTGCGTCAAATAGCTACTTACACTTCCTATTTAGGCAATAGCTGTCAAGCTGACACTGCTGCAAAACCGTGATGAAGTCCCTGACCGCAAAGCGAGGCAATGCATGTTGGCCGATCGCCATTAAGGGGGTCCCTTTGAATCGTGTTTTTCCCAATGGCGGAAAAGCTTGTTGTAACTTTGAAGTTTGTACGGATTGCTTAAGGGGTCCCAGAGGCTTAGGAGCAACTACTATGGGGTACCATACTCCGCGCAGTGCTCATACTACTGCTATGTTGGGACATGACAATGCCCGCGAGTGGTACGCGTCGCGTCCATTGCGGAATGGGTTCCGACTACATTGTTGTGGGTAGCTGATACATGCCCGTGGGCGTTGGATTCCATGGTAGCCACTCGATTGCCGCCGTGGAGGCAGCAGCAAACTGGTGTGTCTCTATATTACATTAGTTCTTGGTCTTTTTCTTGGGTGGACGCTCGTCAACGTCACCCATTGCTTCGTCCGACTCGGAGGCGGAGGCGTTCGAGTCAAACTCCTCTGCAACGTCGGAATCGGATCCAGAGCCAAAGTCTCCGTCCTCGTCACTCTCGTCGTCGCCGGCGCTGCCCATATCCACATCCGCATCGTCGTCGTCGTCATCCTCTTCGTTCATAGCTTTAGCCAACATGGCTTTAGCCAACATGGCTTTAGCCATCTTCTCCTCATTCTTCACACGCAAGCCCTTCTCCAGGCAGAATCTCTCCACCGACTCCTGCTCCTCCTTGTCAATGTTGGCAAAAACATGCGAGGGGCCTGAGCCTCTCAAGTTGACTTCCAAGTCAAACGTACGCGAGGCTGAAACTCCTCCGCCTGTACGTGACATGGTGACGTTGCTCACCTCAGAGTAAGGAATGTACACTGTAGGCTTTGTGACAAACAAGAAACACCGGTCCAATGGGTACAAGTAGCCCTCGGACGCCTTCAAAGAGCATGCAACACCGGCTTGCATGAAACGAGACTGGAACGAGCCGGGCACAATCAAGCGGCGCTCCATCAAGCCTTTCAAGCAGTGGGCCATCACCAAGTGCGTCTGTGTGTCGTACTTCTTCTTCAAACGGTCCTTGTACTTGGACTCGTACACATCGTCCGCCAAATTCAATTCCAATTCAGTCTCCTCCTCTCTTGAGAATTGCAACACCAAAAATGGGTACTTGGTTTGACCCTGTCTCAATGGCGGATCGATCTGCAAGACTATCAAGTGGTGTACGTCATCGGGCTTAGGCAACGAGAAAATTCTCTCGATCTGCTTGTACTGGATCTTGTAGTCGTACGTCTTACCACGCAATCTCAAAGACGTGGCGTACATGTCGATATCGTAACGGCCTCTTGGGGTCAAGAACAACACATCGCTGAACGAGACAATGGCCTCGCCGGCAACCTGGCCGATGTCTGCCTTGTCCTTGAGCTGGTCGTAGAAGACAGAGGCAGCGCTGACCTCTTCGGTCTCTTCCTGCTGCTGCTTCTCGCCATTTTCACCTTCCACAGTCTTGGTCGTCTCGTTTTCAACGACGCCAGGGATGTAGAATCTCATTTCCACCAATTCGTCACCGGCCTTACTGTCGTTGCCCAAGTTGAACTCCACCGCGACCTCGTTCTTACCCGTCAAGTTCGAGTTTGTGATTTCCGAGTATGGAAGCTCAAAAGAAGGCTTGTTGTTGACCTGGAACACCAACTCGTTTCTGGCCAAGTCGGTCTGGCCCCAGTTCCATCCTCTCAACGAGTGTTCCTTGTGCTCCAACGCAATCAGGAAGTTCCTTTGTAGCTCCTGCTTCATTTTGGCGAAATCCTCCTGGTCAAAGCCGTCGAGCGAAACCACACCCTGGTTTTTCGTCTGCACCCTCAATTCGTAGCCTCTGGAGCCTCTCGACCAGTGAACAGTGAGGATCTCTTCAGAGGGCAAAAGAAAAGGCTGGTTGTTGGCCGCATCGCCCAGCTGGGCTGCCTTCCAACCAAGACCAGAGTCAGCAATACGCATCCGCCCCGTCAACCGGGACTGGTTGAGGTAGATTTTTTCAAAGTCTGTGTTGACCATGGTAGCGTTGAAGAGAACAGATTTGCCTCAGGTTAAAACGCGTTTCTCTGTGTAGGACGAGTGGTGGGAGGGTGCGAGAGAGTGACGAATATGGCATGGTGATTGTTGAAATGGTACTTTAGTTGATTTCGAAATCATTTGAAATGGGCTACATTCCTTCTGATTGGATTTTTTAGCAACTCTGGGCGGAAAGAGATGATTGCTGTATATGGTGTTCATCATGAAATGGTTGCAAATCGCATCGAGCAGAGGAGTAGTACCGTACATTCTTTGGTCGATGGGCGTTGATGGAACTAGTTAGTTTTCAGCAGACTTCAGATTGATGAAGTGAAGGATGAATACTTTCTTCTGAAATTCGTCAGTTCTGTGTAGATCCATGGATGCACGGTGATTGACAACCACCGACAGTAGATCCCTATACATTCGCCAGCAATAATTGTTTCATACTAGAAGCAAAAAATTCTGTATGCCCTAAGATAAAGAATTCATTACATGAAACTGACTTTGGAAGAATTGACTATTGCATCTCTTTGACCCACCTAAGCTGAGTCACCTATGTACCCACACATCAACGCCTAGAGTTGTTCCCATGAAGAGACAAATACAAGCGAAACCAAAAATCAAAGATCTCCTTCAACCAGCTTGGCTCATCTCTGAACCCTTGTCGCCAAGGCCCAACCTACACTTAGCTCTAACTGCGGCGGTTGCAAATCAACATACCCACTCACCTCTACCACCGTCTACACCCAAAACATTCCCAAAAGCCCAAAACTGCCATAATCACTCAACTGCCGTTTCCATCAAACATGTATACATTCCTCATCTCGTATCCACCATGTAAAAGCCCACTTGGCCTCGCCGGAACCGGAGTGAGTCAATAGGTGCGACTACACACAACGGAAAATTTCCACCATCATTCTTCTTCAACATGGTTAAAGCAGGTGTTTTGGGCGCCACAGGATCTGTGGGCCAGCGTTTCATCTTGTTATTGGCTGAGCACCCTGAATTCGAAATTCACGCTTTGGGTGCTTCGGCTCGTTCTGCTGGAAAACCTTACAGAGACGCAGTTACCTGGAAACAGACTGCCTTGTTGCCAGAAGTGGCTAGAGGTATTGTCGTTGAGGAGTGCAAACCCGAAGGGAAATTCGCCGAATGTGACATTGTCTTCTCCGGCTTGGACTCGGACTACGCTGGCGAGATCGAGAAGGCTTTTGTCAATGCTGGTTTGGCCGTGATCTCCAACGCTAAGAACTACAGAAGAGAGCCCGAGGTGCCTTTGGTTGTGCCTATCGTCAACCCTGAGCACTTGTCGGTTGTCGAGAAGAAGGTTGCCGATGCCAAGAAGCAGGGCAAGAAGGAGGGCTTCCTTGTGTGTATCTCCAACTGCTCCACTGCTGGTTTGGTCGCTCCATTGAAGCCTTTGGTGGAGAAGTACGGCCCCATTGACGCCTTGACCTCCACCACGTTGCAGGCGATTTCTGGTGCTGGTTTCTCGCCAGGTGTTTCTGGAATCGACGTCTTGGACAACATTGTCCCATACATTGGCGGTGAGGAGGACAAGATGGAGTGGGAAACCAGAAAGATCTTGGGCCACCCCAACGCCGACAACACTGCCGTTGAGCTCTTGGACGAGGAGAAAATGAAGGTCAGTGCTCAGTGCAACAGAGTCGCTGTCAGTGACGGCCACACCGAGTGTATTTCCCTCAGATTCGCCAACAGACCTGCTCCATCGGTCGAGGACATCAAGAAGACCATGAGAGACTACGTCTGTGACGCCGCCAAGTTGGGATGTGCCTCTGCGCCAAAACAGACCATCCACGTTTTGGAGGAGCAGGACAGACCACAGCCTCGTTTGGACAGGGACAGAGACGCCGGTTACGGTGTTTCCGTGGGCCGTGTTAGAGCCGACCCTGTGTTGGACTTTAAGATGGTTGTGTTGTCCCACAACACCGTCATTGGTGCCGCCGGTGCTGGTATCTTGATTGCCGAGATTTTGAAGGCCAAGAACGTTATTTAACGGTTTGACCGATGTACATATACCCAATCCATGATTTAGGAAGGAGATTGTAGGGGGAAAAATTAATAAAAAGTGGCACGAAAAGGTGATACGACTATCCGACTTTGTATTAGGTGAAAAGTTTGGAGCTTGCGGTATTTGATGTAAGTTGTATATGAAAGGTACTGAAAGCAACAAATTTAATATACAAAGTTAGTGTCTTCGATACCAAAATAAATCCATCATTCAATTTGATATTGTAAAATAGCATCCATTTCATACGGCTCGGTGTGCCCCACAATAAGCTCACAGTGCCATATATTTCCAATCATCACCTATAAGAACCTAACAAAACCATTCACTTTTTTTACCAATTCCTCCAACGCAATTTTTATCCCGCCATTATCATATATATATATAAATACCATTCATCTTCCCGGCCACCCCTCTACCTCACCTCCACCCTACCATTCGCACCTTCATATCAACTACATACCAACTACATGGACCTACTGGGTTACCTCCTACCCGTCGATCTCAGTGCCATTGACGACCACGTTTTCGAACTCCACGTGACACACCGCCCTCCAGACGCCCAGACCCTCGGCTACGTAGACAAATCGACAGACAAACTACACCTCTCTTTGGCTAATGGAGATGAGGTAACCATCCAGCAAAGCCGATCGTCACTTTCAGGACAGGCGCTGAGTACAGGCTTTGTGTGCTGGCAGCTGGCAAGGTACTTGGTGGACTGGCTTTTGGACGAAAGTTGTCCGATTTCTGGATTTTTCAGAACCCCAGATACCAAGGTGCTAGAACTAGGCGCTGGAGTCAGTGCGTTGTTGGCAGCCGTGCTTGGGCCAAAGTGCAAAAAATACGTCGCCACCGACCAAAAACCAATACTCAAGCTTATGAGGCTGAATTTCGAGGAAAATGTGGTTTCCAGACGCTGGACCTCCAGAACGCTAGAATGGCTGCAAACTGGGAAAGCGAGCGATACCACCATCGACATTGTGGAGCTCGACTGGGAGAAACACGACCTCCATGAGGTTTTCGATATTTTGGACGGATATCCGGATTTGGTGATCGCCACAGACACAATTTACAACGAGTACCTTGTGCCGTTTTTTGTAGAGACGCTAGCAGCACTGATGGGTCCTGCCTCCAAGGCCCTAGTAACTGTTCAGTTGCGAGATGAGAGTATCACCACTAGGTTTGTGGAGCAGTTGGCAGCACACAACCTCAGCGTGTACACCATTGAGGACCAATACCTCCCGAGAGCCTTGTTGGCCGGCTTTGCCGTGTACTATATCACCAAATAAACGACCGTATAAGCGTGTCACGTGACCACGCACGTGACCATCACCATATCACCGCAGAACTACTCAATCCACATACAACGAACCATCCATGTCTGCTCCACAAGGTGGTGTTCAGACGGCCCGTACTGCTGGTCCAAACCAGTCAGGGTACGATCCCAAACGTGGACGCAAAAAGCCTCCCAGCAATGGCCAGTCCAGGAAGCCAGGCCGGCCTAGCAACCAGAATGTGTACATTAGACCCAAAAGCTCCAGGAATGACGGAGGCAAAACCACGTATAGACGGCCACGTGATGGTCAGAGGGCCGCTTCAGGACCTTCTAGCTCCCATGGTCCGCCAGATCAGGTGAAGTCCGAACAGAGCCTGATTTTCAGCCAAGGCCAGAACCAAAACCCAGGTCTACTGCGACGCCTACGAGGCCATAAGCCGCATGTATACGTGAAGCCTACGCCGAATAACGAAAAATCTGATAATGGCGAGCTAGGCTCTTTGTTTGACGATCCATCAAGCTACGGGTTTCTGGCTCAGTCTAAGAGTAGAGCCAAACGGCCCGTGCCCAGATTCATGCTTTCCCAACCCAGAATGTTGATTACGCCCGAGTTTAAGCCCAATGAGTGGGACAAACAAAACCAGGAGAAAATGCTCGAAATGGAGGCGTCCAACGCTGGAAGAGACTACCAAGGCATATATGAGGACTTCCAAAAAATGCGAGACGCAGAGCGGAAGAAGATGGAAGAATTGGGACTAGTGGACGCTGAAAACACCACAAAAGACTTGAACGAGGCCATTGTGTTTCAGGGAACCTGCCTCGACATGTGTCCTGTCTTCGAAAGGGTCCGTCGAGCACTAGAGAACAACGTGAAGTCGCTTGAAAAAGATCCAGTTACAAACAAGATCTCTCGAGAGAGGGCCGTCAAAGCATTTTCACGTCCCGCTGCGGGCCAACCACCTCTGATGCCTTCAGACGTGAGACCACCACATGTTCTTCAAAAAACACTAGACTACATTACAGAGAACGTCCTAGAGCAACTTCCCGAAGCACACTCATTTATTTGGGATAGAACTAGATCTATAAGACAGGACTTCATTTATCAAAACTTTTATGGCCCCGAGGCCATTGATTGCAATGAGCGAATCGTCCGTATTCACTTGCTTTCCTTACACATCATGGCAGGTAGCGACGTGGAGTATTCACAGCAACAAGAGCTTGAACAACTCAACAAAGCTCTTCAAACTCTTACTGAGATTTATCAGGACGTCAGAAATCATGGCGGTCTTTGCCCCAACGAGGCAGAATTTAGAGCATATCAGTTAATCAGCCACTTTAGAGATCCTGAGTTGGAAAGAGAGGTCCAGACGCTACCGGACGAAATCCTTAAGTCAAAGCAAGTTCAACTAGCCCTCCGACTTCGAACACTAATGTCACAAAATAATGTCATTGAAAGAGGGTACTCTAATTCAGTCGGAGCTCTCAACTTCTTCGTCGAGTTCTTCCGTCTAGTCCACCATCCCGAAACGCCCTTCCTCCTTGCATGCTTACTTGAGACTCACTTCAACGAGTACCGGTTCTACGCTCTCAAATCCATGACCAGAGCTTATCACACAAAAGGCCGTGCATTCTTGGCCACCTCGCTTCAAGAAATGCTTGGCTTCGACTCGATTGCAGAACTAGTATCTTTCGTGGAGTATTACGAGGTCGACACGTTTTATGAAGAAGATAATCTTCTAGTCGACTTGTTCAACAAGGAGAAATTAGAAACGAAGTATAAACTCAATTGCTACAACGACAAGCCAAAACTTGCTCAAGCTTATTCCGAACAACTAAATGTCAAATCAAAGGGTCTCAGATACAAGGATTTTGTCAACTCTGGTCTCTCCAATGCTGATTTGCAGCTCAAGAGAACTACACAACCCATCATCGCCCTGGTTCCCAAAAAGCCCATCAAAGCATCTCAAGCATCCAAGGCAGCCGATTCGATGACATCAGTATTTGGTACATTTGGCCTGGAGCCCGCCAAAGACTTATCTCAGACATCAGCCAATAACCAGACCCCTTCACTGTTTACTTTTGGACTGGCACCATCATCTTCTCAATTTGGGCAGCCTGCGCAGCCATCCAAGGGCTTTGGCGGTTTTGGCCTGAGCTCAGGCTTTGGATCTGGTTTCAGTCTGACACCGCAAAGTACGCTGAATGTTGGCTCCTTGAACCTCGAGGACTTTTTGAAATCACAAAATGGATCGGCTCCGAAGACTGACACTAAACAACAACCCACTAGTGCTTTTGGACAAGCCCCAGCTAAAGTGGATACCCCAGCCGAAGCTCCCAAAGCATCTATTACACCCAAGGAGCCACTTATCAAATCTGAAGAGCCCGTTGCAACAGATAAGGCTGCACCCAAAGTCACATTTGGCGCTGCTGTCAGCTATCCTTTTGACTCAACAGCGCAACCAAATAAAGACTTGGGGTTCCAGCCAAAGGTTGTTGATTTGAAGGAGGAGAAAGCGCCAGCTTTGAGCTCTACGCCATCGCTCCCGGCTTTAACGAAACCATCACCCTCTACAGAGCCAGCACCACCAAAGTTTGAGCCCAAACCGGCCCCTGCGTTGCCGGTGGTCTCTACACCATCGAAGATTACGGATCTGAAGAACTATCCCAAGGCAGTACAGGCCACATTCGATGACATCCTTGCCCATGTCGTCGACGAAGAACTCCACAAGATGCTTCCCCGAATCATAAAGTACGAAAATAGAGCCACTGAGAGGCAAAAGTTGATTGGAGGCCTCGCGGACGAATTATACAAGGCATTTTTGGACGAGGTTACATATGAGTCAGCTTTGAGAGCCCAAGCTGATAATTTCCTGAAGAAACTAGCCGTTAAGAAAACCCTTCAAGCTTTGCGTTCAAGCTATGAGAAAAAGAAGGCCAGCAATAGTCAAAGAAAACAAAAGCTTCAGGAGCTTCAATCGATTTCCTTCAAAAGGCCATTGCTTAAGAGAGTCTCACTGTCGAGCTCGATGGATGGACTGTTTAGAAAGAGAGTACATCATTCTCCAAGAAACGAGAGCTTTCAACACATGAGTGAGAAGCAACTGGCTATCGAGGATCTTTGGAAACCGATCAATCTTGACAAATTCGTCGATACATGTGCTTCTAACATCAAAGCACCCAATACCATAGACATCAAATGCTTGATGATTGTCGAGGATTGGGCTTTGGCATACTCAAAATGGTTAAACACGAAATTCAACTTGCTGGTCTCCGAAGACGGCCAGTTCTACAGGAACACCGTGACCAACAGCAAAATAAAGCTCGAGATCGAGAGTTTGCCCAGCGGTAATGTCCTCAAAGAGAGTTCATTTAACCATAGTGCCTTCTTGGTTTTTGAATGTGGCCTTGCTGACCAGAAACAGGCAGAACGGTACGGGAGCTTGCAGGCCAAGCTCGAGCGAGACGGAAACATTCTTCACAAACTCTTCCAAATATGCAACCGTTATTGCCTTTACAAGGTGCAAGTTCTTTTAGTACTTTGGGACACACAAGGTGTGAGATTGGGACCTCAAGAGGTCAAACAGCTAATGCGTCTCGAGGAGATTCCTAAAGACATTGTGCAAGATTTGGTTCTCTGCGACATGTCGTCTAGCGAGGAAAGTGTTTCGGAGACTCTTAACAAGAGAATGGTAAGGATGAGCGAGCGTTTCAAGGGTAAGCTTACTGCTCGTGGAATCAAGAAGAAGGCCAAGCTAGAGGCCGAAATGGAAAGGAGGAAACGGAAGGAGGAAGAAGAGTCCAGAAGGATGAGGACCACTGAGGAAGCCGAGACCACTTTAAGAGCCAAGGAAGCAGAGGCACTTAAACGGTCAGAACAAAGCCGACAGATGGGCTATCTCAACAAACACATCAATAATCTGATGGACTTGAGCAATGCATCGTTCCGTACTGCCGCCAACACGACCCGTGGGTTCAACACAACTTTTGGGAACAACACCATGCTCAATCTTAACAATTCCTTCTTGAATCATGACACCACCAAGGATATGTCCGTGCTCGGTTCGTTTGGCCCCAATGTGAGCGTTTTGGAGGAGAGCACACCGTTCGGATCTCCCGGAGGCAGAAATTCCCGTGGTCCGAAAAAGGTTGATGAGCTTCGGGAACTCACAGCGTCGATCCGGGCCCGTTACAAAAAATCAGGCTGATGTACTTATCACAGGTGGAGATTTTGCAGCCACGGGAGCAGACCTGCACACTGGGGGTTGTGAGTACTGAGCAGGTAAGTGAGGTAAGCGAGTGAGAAAGTGAACAAATATCGGCTCCTGGCTATTCCGAACCACCCTTCCACACCACAAAACCACCAAGAAAAAGCCGGGAAATGGACTATTTCAAAGACGCTGCAAAGAACTTCTCTTTGTACGATGCCAAGGCGTACGTCCGTAAAGCTCAGAATGGTATGTAGCAATAATGATACTCAAACCAAATCAGTACTAACCACAGTCGCCATGAACCTTTCAGAAATGGAGGCCAAGGTCCGTGAGGCTACCAACAACGAGCCTTGGGGTGCCTCAACCACATTGATGGCCCAGATCGCCGCCGGCACTTACAATTACAGGGAAAGAGAAGAGATTCTCAGCTTTGTCTTTAGAAGATTCACTGAAAAGGCTGCCAACGAATGGAGGCAAATCTACAAGTCTTTACAATTGTTGGACTACCTTGTGAAGAACGGATCTGAGCGGATTGTCGACGACGTGCGGGCCAACTTGTCGTTGATCCAGATGTTGAAGTCGTTCCACTACATTGACTCCAAGGGTCGTGACCAGGGCATCAATGTGCGTAACCGTTCCAAGAACCTTGTTACTTTCTTGAACGACGACGCTTTGATTCGTTCCGAGCGTAAAAAGGCAAGAGCCAATCAGAAGAAGTTTGGCGGTGTGTCCTCTGCTGCTTTTGGCGGTGCTTCTTCCATCACTACAGGCTACGGCCAGGAAGACAGTGACTTCACTTCCAGAGTGTACGGTGACGGTGGCGTTTTTGGTGCTCGTTACGATGATCCGGCCGACGAATATAGAAACGGCAGCTCAGGAAACGACAACTACGAGGAATACGACGTGGAGGCCACTTCTTCCAACCCTGGCCGCTCCAAGAGCACCACCAGCTCTTCGAAGGTGAATGCCACTGCCAAGAAAGCCGCTCCCGAGCCTGATCTTTTGGGCGACTTGGTAAACTTTGACGATGACGCTGGCACCAGCGCTCAGGCTTCCAGCACGGCTGCTCCTGCTGCTGCCGCTGACGACGACGATGATGATGATTTCGACGACTTCCAGGCTGCTCCATCTCTGAACAACACCGGCAGTCTCCTGAACAACTTGGCCAGTCTCTACGTTTCACAACCAGCTGCTGGCCTGAGGCAGCCTTCACAAACGTATCAGCAGCCAACCTACACGCCTGCCAGCAGCAATTCTTTCGGCGGTGCTGTTCTGACGGGCCCCGCCAAGCCTGCTGCCAACAACGATGCTTTCTCGTCGCTCTTCTCCAGCGCTAAGACTAAAACCACACACAAGCCTGCTGCCAAGGTGAGCCAACCGAAGGAGCAGGACGATGACTTTTTTGGTTCTCTGAGCAGCCAGCCAGCGCAGCCCAGCCAACCCAGCAAGCCCGCCAGTAACGGAAACAACAATGGCGAGATTGATTTGTTGAGCTTTTAATCTACGAACACTGCTGCCAGGACGCTCTCCTGGTCATCCGAAAATGTGAACATGTATATTCGTGTCAGGCTGTTAAGTGATATTCAGGACCATACGGGCGCCACTCGTTGATGTAGCGTTCGAGCATATAGTTATTAAGGTTGTTAATCGTATGAGAGGGAGGTGTAGTAGTTGGTGAGTCAAAATAGTAAAAGGAACAGAAGAAACTACAAAACGAGGTTTCCCACCACAATCTCCACAAAGATACCTATTTTACTTGCTTTCCAAAAAATCTTTACTTTCCATCTCTCCACATATCTCCAACTTCTCACCGGTGCGAAATTCTCCACTACCACCACCATGTTCAGAAACTCCATCAGAAACTTCGCCTCCACTTCCAGAGCCTTTGGCAAAAAGGTCTTCCTCACTCCATCCATCGATGGCGTCAAGCAAAACCCCATCAAATTCGAGTTGTACGACGATGTGGTGCCAAAGACCGCTGAGAACTTCAGAGCTCTCTGTACTGGTGAAAAGGGTTTCGGTTACGCCGGTTCTATCTTCCACAGAGTGATTCCAAACTTCATGTTGCAGGGCGGTGACTTCGAGACCGGCAAGGGTTACGGTGGAAAGTCCATCTACGGTGCCAAGTTTGCCGATGAGAACTTCACCAAGAAGCACACCAAGCCAGGTTTGCTTTCCATGGCCAATGCTGGTCCTAACACCAACGGCTCCCAGTTTTTCATCACCACCGTTCCTTGCCCATGGTTGGACGGCGCTCACGTTGTTTTCGGTGAGGTCATTGAGGGTATGGACGTTGTCAAGGCCATTGAGGCTGAGGGCTCTGGATCTGGTCAGACCAGATCGGCCATTGTGGTTGAGGAGTCTGGCGAGCTTGAGTAAGCGGTCACGCCGCCCATTGAGTGTATAGTTTAAGCCGGACGTTTAGAAAGGTGTAGATGGGGTAGGTTGAAAGTGAGAGATTTCCAAGCACATAGAGGGTGGGTATGACTGAAGAGGTCATTGAAGCTGAAGCTTTTGCAATCATAAACTTGAATTTGAAGGTTTGCAATTATAGGTAGGTTTATGGGCGCTTTGGGAAGTGCTGTTCACTGGAATGGTATATTGAGTCATGATAAGTAGACGGCATTGACCTGGCTAATTGATGGACTCAACAAGACTTTGAGAATAAATAAAGATAGAGAGCCAAATTACTGCATTCTTGAATCAGGAAGGGAAACTCAAGCGTCCTTTGGTTATTTTTCAATTAACATAGAAGAAAGATGGGCTTCCGAGTCAGTATATTCATTGCATCAGAAGCCGAGCAACGTCAACAACGTAAATACGGAAAGAATGGTTCAACCCTCTTCAATAGCTCTAGTCCCTTCATAGGGGCCTCTACACGTCCTTCCTACTTTTATCATGCATTTAGTACACCGATGGCTTAGATAGTCACCATCTCGTCCTTCTCTACCTTTGGAATCAAGTCCTTGGGCAACTTCTTCTTCAACTCAGACAAGCGATCGTAGTCGCCAGCCAAGATGCGTGCCACGACCAAGTCGTCTCTGTCTCTAAGCTCTCTCTCAGACTTGCCCTCGTTGGACAAGAACTCCTTGGCCTTGGCGGTGTCGCCGTGGAAGTACTCCTCCATGGCTCTCAAGCGCAACTCCTTCTCAGCCCACTCGGGACCGTCTTGCTCCCTCTTCTTCTGCTGCGCTGTGTACTTGGAGTATAAGAGGTATATGAAGGCTGGCAACACAATGTAGAAGTAAGGCACCTCCCAGCCCTCGGCCTTCTCTGTCTCACGGACGATTCTCCATTTTAGCTCACCTGTGGTCTCGTCCTTGTATGGGATCTTGTCGATGATCTTACCCGCGTCCTTGGTGACGAACTGGAAGTTCTTCAAGTCCTGCGAGTTGTCCTTGAACAACTCCAACTGTTCTTTGGGGATTCCTGGAAGAAGGAAGTTCCACTCCAGGTAGTTTCTCTGGTAGTACAAGTTTTGCAAGTCAGCAATGGTCTTGAATTCAGAATCGCTGGGCACTCTGGGCGTTCCGTCTGGGTTACTGTATATCTTTGTAACGGATGGCAACGAGTCCAACTTGGACCTGATGTCCTGCTCAAGGGCAAAGTTGAACTTCTGGGGCTTGTACTTGAACAAGGCGCCGAAGGGCACGCTGAAGTTGAATCTGACCATGAGGTTGAGTGGTGGTAAAGCGTTTTTATGAGGTTTTCATTGGGTGAGGGTCGCTGCATGTGCAGGACGCTTCGCTTCAGCTATGGAATTCTACAAATGGGTCAAAGTGTTTTTTGGGTGGGTATGAAAGAAAAAAAAAAAATCAGGATTTTGCTTCCTTTTTTCAAGTTATGGCCTTGCTCGAACCTGCGATAGTATGTTTACTGATGGCTTACGCGACAGCAGTATCGAGATGAGGAGTAACGAGGCCATCGACTCGTCTATTTCTGCTTCCTTTGATTTAAACTTCGTCACACTGGAAGCTGAAGGTTTTTAGTTTGTTCTTACAATGTTGTATTCTTATTGGTATGGTTGTTGTAGGAGAAGGAGTCGAAGGGATAGGATAAATGGCTGCGAAATTCTCCTAATGATGGGTACATAGTAAAGACTGGTGCATCTTGGCTTTCTTCTTAGCTCTGGATTAGACTTTTCTGCTAGGAATACTTGGTACCAGAGGTAAGGATTTGAGAATAGATAAAGCTCTACCCAGATGTTGTTGATATATACGGTTGCAATGGAGGCATAAATATGGTTGCAAATGTATGGGTAGTACTTCTGGTACCAGAAGGGCAGTTTTCTAAATTTGACAAGTCTCTGATAATAAACAAAAATTTCTGATGGTGTCAAAAAGGACAATTCTTGAAGTGGTCGAATCTTTTGGCTTGCAAGGGAAATTAAGTACTGTCATTCGAAAGAAAGATCTACACAATCATCGTCCTCGTTCACATCGTCAAATTAATCCTAGCTGGCTATCCACACCAGCCCTGCTTCATCCCTATCACTCTATAAAAAATCAACTTCATCCATCACACCTTTGTCGACCCAAACCCACCAAAACCCATTGTTCTGGCCATCTCTGAATCCTCCATCTCGGATCCCACCTTCCTACGCTTCCTCTTCTCCCTTTTCTTGTTAGCACGTCTCTCCATGAACGCAGCACGCTTCTTTACCCTCTCTTGCATCGACTCTCGACCTTTTGAGGCTGCAGCTTCTCGTAGTTTCTGTGATACAAGTGTCTCGATCGTCTGAGCGACTTCTTCAGGTGAAGCATGCCTGAAGCCTCCAGAGACTTCTTCAACTTCAGATCCTTCAGCTCGCGCTAGATCTTGAGCCTTTTTGATGTGTTGCGGCAGATTTATGTGGTCCACAAGTGCCAATGTATCACGGAAAGAAAGATCGCAAATGGGACAAACGAAACCAAATCGTTTCCGTCCACTCGATGGATCGGCAATCAAAGTACGCTTTTTGACCAGGGAGACCGTCTCCTGGAAAAGATCGGCTCGATGTTTGAGGCGATCAGACCCTAGTCTTTGAGCTGCTGCCTTGGCCTCTTCAGACACATCTTGCTTTTTTCCCTTTTTGGCTTCTGCCTCGTAAGCCTCAACATTCCACAGTTTGCGACCATACTGGTCCTTCGACGTCTTCTCCATGCCCGATGGCAGATGATATCAAGTAAGGTGGTGTAGGAAAGTGTTGATATTGGTGCGCATGCTACTACTCATGGTGAAAGATATAACATCCATGCTAGGGCTGAAGGTGGCTAAGCCACTGGCCAAACCACGTGTCAATGTGAAGAGTGCAGAGAGGAGTTTGGGCAGTTTGGCCAAATCGTTTCCTTCTAGGTGGAAGGTGGAGGGGTCTCATTGTATCACCAACTTTCCCCAGAAAACCGCGTTTGCTGAATATGTGAGGAAACACCAGGACCCCAAAAGCCTCAAATTGGCGTGTTTTGATCTAGACGGGACACTCGTAAACACTAAGTCTGGATCTAAGTTTGCTCGAGGGCCTGGTGACTGGTACTGGTTTGACAATGCTAAGGCTAAGGTAACGGAGGAGATTGAGAAGGGTACGATATTTGTGATCTTTACAAATCAGGGTGGCGTCATTGCCACTCAGGGTGAACCGTCAAAATCTTACACAAACTTGAAGGAGAGAATCAACCAGGTAGTGGCTTCTTTGGGCCCGATACTGGATAATGCCATAGTGGTTGCAGCACCAAAAAGGCCAAAGGGGAAGCAAAAAGTGATTAGCTCTGAAGAGAAACATAACCGTATGCGAAAGCCAGCCATTGGCATGTGGGAGAGGGTAGAGGAGTACCTCAATAATGTGTTTGATGAATGCGCCATAGATAAGGAGAAGTCCTTCTACGTGGGGGACGCAGCTGGAAGAGAGTTGGACTTTCTGGACTCCGACAAGGCATTTGCAGAGGCTGTGGGTATCCCGTTTCTTACTCCAGAGGAGTTCTTCAAGTGACATTGCTATTTACATGGGCTTGACGTCTATTCGTCCTTGAACTTTTGAACCTTTTTGACGATGTCGAAATATCCGACAACGTTATTGACTTTTCTAAGCAGCTCGGCATCTAAGTTGTTTTTGAGCACTTCCTCGTTGTCAGGCACTAGACAAGAGTGGATGTCTGACACATCGTTTTCAAATTTGATCGCCTCATCGGTCGATTGTGGGTAATTGAGCAACACAATATCGGTATCGTATTGGCCCTTAGTGGTGTTCATGAAGAGGTTGACCTCATTCTTCACCAATGCGGTGAGCAAGCCTTTGGGAACCAGTCTACCTGAGGCCCTGATATCTTCAATGAGGTACGAGTACTTTCCTTCCAGCTCGACCTCCTTGTCCATCAACTCAGAAGGGTTGATAACCTTGACCTCTCTGCCCTGAAGCTTCTCCTTCAAGGTGTCTGCGATCGACTTTGAAGTGCTAAAGGGTACCGCATAGAAGGCATACTGGTCCTGCTTGTCGGGACCAATCAACTTCATTCTTCTGCGCAAACCGGTCCTCTTTTCGTATTCCTCGAACTCACGCTCTGAGAACGAGGTCTGAGGCTTCTTGTTCTTGTCCATTCTTTGCGTGCAATAATGCAAAAGACCGTACGATGCGAGTACCACCACGAAAAGGTACCTCAACTTAGGGCCCTGGTCTGGCAGATGAGGCTTACGGGCAGTAGCATAGAGCCTCGAGGGCAAAAATGCCGATCTGGCCGAAACCCTAGGAACAGAAACCAAAGACCGAAACATAGAATGGTTGCAACTTATTGTCGCACCATCTTTGGAGAGCAGATTCAGTACCAAGGTGCGCACGTGACCACGATCTGAATTTTTCTCCAGCTACTTCAGTGAAAAAGAGCTCTACATTACAAGCATGTCGTTGTCCAGCCTAGCCAACTTCTGTGCCCATTTAAAAAACTGCACGAACGTGAATATTGGCCTTACGTCAGTGCCTTTATCTAGGTTGCATTTGCAGGTTGCCCTCAACTTATACAAGGAAGGCTTCCTCTCGTCTATACAAAGAGGCTCAACAGTTGGACCAGATGAAAAGCCCGTCGATGTCACCCTGACAACATAGCGACCCGCCGTTTGTGGTTGGGCATAAAATACAGAAACAATCTTCCAGTTATCAGAGATCTTTCATTGGTTTCCAAGCCAGGCAGAAAGGTCAACTTGAGTACAACTGAGGTCAAGGCCTTGGCCTCTGGTTTCCCTGTCAGATTCATCAAACCACTCCAACCTGCTGAGTGTATATTCCTAAGAACAGAAGACAACGAGGTTGTGGAGATCCAGGAGGCTGCAAAGAGAGACTTACAAGGATTGGCCTTGTGCAGAGTCAAATAATCATGTAAATAGACAACATTGTGCATTAGTATTCATAGCTCATCAAACCACTCTAAGCTAGAGCGCCACTTTGGGTGGAATTCCCAGTGTAGTCCAGCCAGTCATGTCCACTTGCCAATTCTTCCACATCATGAGGCGCTCTTTGAAATCAGCAGTCTCTGTGGAGAACATGGCAATTGCTTTTTGCTCTTCCGTAGCGTACTCGTTGGGGAAATCAGAAATTTGCGACAAGGAGACGTCATCACCTTGGAAGGCGGAGAAGTCGAAAATGGAGTCATCGGGCTTGTCATTGGACTTCGAGTCAGCGTTGTTCAATGCAACCTCTTCATCATGCAATGGTCCCAAGTCAATATTGTCAAACTTGTTATTGAGATCCTGCTGCTGGGAGGCTTCCTGACTTGTGGGGTGACTGGGTACCCCATCTTGCACCTCTAAGTTGAGGTCAACGGCTTCTGGTTGAGTATTTTGCTGGGTTGGCAATGGAGCTTCGGAGGCCTTGGGCTCGGATTCAGGCTGGAGTGGCTCAACTTCGACGTCTTCAAGATCTGCCGAGAGAGCGGCATCGAGCTTCGCTTCCTTTTCCTTAGCAAGCTCCTTTTCGGCCTGTTCCTTATCCGCTCTTTCCTGTTCAGCTCTCTCCTGTTCAGCTCTCTCCTGTTCAGCTCTCTCCTGTTCAGCTCTCTCCTGTTCAGCTCTCTCCTGTTCAGCTCTCTCCTGTTCAGCTCTCTCCTGTTCAGCTCTCTCCTGTTCAGCTCTCTCCTGTTCAGCTCTCTCCTGTTCAGCTCTCTCCTGTTCAGCTCTCTCCTGTTCAGCTCTCTCCTGTTCAGCTCTCTCCTGTTCAGCTCTCTCCTGTTCAGCTCTCTCCTGTTCAGCTCTCTCCTGTTCAGCTCTCTCCTGTTCAGCTCTCTCCTGTTCAGCTCTCTCCTTCTCGGCTCTCTCCTTCTCAGCTTCCTCCTTCTCAGCTTCCTCCTTCTCTAATCTTTCCAGTTCGGCTTTTTCTTGCTCGATTCTTTCTTGTTCGGCCTTTTCGTCCGCGAGTCTCTCTTGTTCAGCCTTCTCCTCCTCAATTCTCTTCTGTTCGGCTCTCTCCTTCTCCTCCTGTTCAATTCTCTCTTGCTCAGCCTTTTCCTGTTCCGCCTTTTCTTGCTCTAGCCTCTCCTGTTCAAGGCGCTCCTGTTCTTGACGTTGTGCCTCCGCTTTTTCCTCCTCGGCCTTCTCGGTAGCGATTTTTTCCTGTTCGGCCTTCTCAGCCTCTATGCGTTGCTGTTCTGCTTGTTCCTGCTCGAGCTTCTCCTGCTCGATTCTTTCTTGCTCAGCCTTCTCCTCTGTCTGTTGACGTTCAGCGGCCTCCTTTTCAGCTCTCTCCTTTTCGATTCGTTCTTCTTCGGCCTTTTCTTGCTCGGCCTTTTCCTCAGCCGCCTTCTCCTCTCTGAGTCTTTCCTCTTCAATCCTTTCCTGTTCAGCACGCTCCTTTTCTAGTTGTTCTTGTTGAGCTCTTTCTTCCTCTGCTTTCTTGCGTTCAGCTTCTTCTTGTTCAGCCTTTTCTTGTTCGGCCTTTTCTTCTTCTGCTTTCTTGCGTTCAGCTTCTTCTTGCTCGGCCCTTTCTTGTTCAGCCTTTTCTTGTTCAGCCTTTTCTTGTTCAGCCTTCTCCTGATCGGCCTTTTCTTGTTCAGCCTTTTCTTGTTCAGCCTTCTCCTGATCGGCCTTCTCCTGCTCGCTCCTCTCGGCCTCAGCTAAGTCTGCTTGCGTTTCAGCTTCCTTGTCCTTCTCTGTTTCCTCGTCCTGAGCAGGGTCAATTGGGCCTAAATCGAGATCGTCTAACTTGATCAGAACATCATCAGTCGTAGGCTTTTCGTCTTCTAAAGGTACATCTTCAAGGTTGAGGTCTTCAGCCTCAGGTTCAGCAGCCTCAGGCTCAGCAGCAAGCTCCTTCGGTTTGCTCTCGTGAACCTCCTGGGCTTCATGTCCAGTGGCTTCAGGCTCCGCGTTGAAGTCTTCTGTGTCATCTATAGGACCAAGGTCCAACTCGTCAAGATCAGGCTTTCCTTCGTCGGCTGGTTTGCTTTCCACTTCTTCCAAAGCTTTATCGTTAGCCGTTTCAGGAATATCAGATGGTGCCTCTGTGCTGACCCTGCCAACGATCGACAGAACAATGTCCAGAAGACCGGCGTCGATTTTCTTATCGAAGTCTTCGAAATCTTTTTGGTCCGCCTCCAGGTGGCTAGAAAACAGCCTAAGAACCTCGGATCGACTGGTTGAACGGATGGGTGTACCAGTGGCCTGACCGTATGTGGTATCGGCGTTGAGATCATCCTCGTCGTCATCAAGCAAATCGTCATCAAGTAAATCGTCGAACTTGCTCCTCAGCAGACGCGTCTCCTCTGGCTTGCCCGCTTTGAGATTCTCTATATTCTGTTCGAGGGCCTTGATTTGTTCCTTGAGGTCCATGTTTGTGAGCTTCAAGTCGGTGTTCTCTTCTTTGAGCTTGTCAATTGTTGCTCTCTGTTCTTCTATGGTGCTGTGCAACTGGTAGTTTTCGGCCAATTTGGCCTTGGTGGCTGTATCGGGCAGTCTGGCATTAGCACCGACTTGTTCTGGATTTGGCGTTGTTGGCTTTTTCATTTTCTTCCTCGCCTCCTCAAACTTCTTCCGTGCGGCCGCAAGCCTGGCCTCTCTATCTATGGTGCTTTCAGATCCTGTTTCAGACATTGCTATTGTCAATAGTTGGTGGTGTGGGTGCAAATCACTCGCTGGTGTATCTGGACACGATGGTAGTGCGATGCACATAAATGGTGTGGTGGCCAGTGGCTAAAATGACGCTCTCTAGAGGGACTTTTTCGAATTCAGACAGTATTTGGCGTCTTGAAGTTTAAAGTTACGGGAGTTTCGACTAATCCCAAAAGGAAAAATAGGAAGTGAAGCACAGGGGAAGTTCATTGCGATCAGAGTGACATACGTTTGGTAAGTAGGCTGTGTATCAGAGATATCTTCGAATTAATGAAGAAAATAGTTAGCCAGTGGCGCCTTAAAGTACACTATTCTGAGAAAATCATAGCACATAGGACAATCTGCCCACTCTCAAAACCCTCATCTCACTAGCCGAATTTGAGGCCACCGACAAATCTACTCCCACCTTAATTTTTCAACTTTTTCAAATTAAACTTTCAAATAATTGCACTTCAAAATAAATTGGGCACGGCTCAAACCACCCCGGCTCCATCCCGGCTCCGCCCAGGCTACCTACCCGATGCATCTAAGCGAACCACAAAAGCCTTTGCAACCCCTGAATGGCCTGATTGGACCTCTTGCCTTGACAATCGTTCGAAAGCGCAAACGGGACCTCCAGGGTATGTCGAAGCGGATATACGGCTCGCTAGTTACTTTGGTCCGTGCCACAAAACGACAAGAACGCCCAATGAAAATAAGCTTTGCCTGATAAATTGCAGTTGGCTCAAGAGATTGACAATGATAGGCAGATGCGGCTAGCATACCAGGGTTGCTGGATCTACAAGGACCCCGCGGCCGCAGTTGTTCCGAGGCTTCTGCATTGGGTCAGAGTCAATTGTTTTAGGAAGGCTGGTTTGCAAAATATGACGATAAAAGTGACATAGAGTGGATGCAAAAGAAGGTTGAAAAAACGGCCATGCAGAAGAGGTGATCAGCAAGTATAGCCTGGCGGGTGCCAAGGGTCTGTGGCTTTGATTCTTAAGCGAACAGTCCAAGCAAGCCTCGAATTCCAGGGTCTGGTTACAAAAAAAATGCAGCCTAGTCTATGGATTTGTAGTAGCGACGCACGAGATTATACAATTGTGCGGCACGAATTCACCGGGTGTGCAGAAGAGAAGCACAAAAGAGCAGAAAAAATGTACGAAAAGCGCACAAAAACAGGATATCAAAATCTGCGCTGGTGGATGCACTCAGAGGGGGATCCCATCAATGCAGCGATCCGTGAGAAGCAACACTTGTATTTTTCAGCAGCCAAAATCCCAGTCCTCATCTCTTCACGCAATTCCATAAACTACCAAATTTTCCTCAGCTCATCGCTCGATAGCCACCTTGCACAAATGCCTTGCAGCCGCCGGTCTAAGGCCGTTTAAAAAACGCTCCACCACATTGCCGATATGCTGAATAGCCACCCTGCTGTAAACCACCAGGGTACGCACCACAGCCAATTAGAGCGGTGTTGAATGCGTATCGTGAAGCCCTGCTGCCATTGTGAAATGTGCAGAAAAATTTCTCTGCGAAATACCCTCAAAGGATGCCAAGAGCCAAGACCCGATCTTCAGTTTTTTGACAGCTTTGACAGCTTTGACAGCTTTGACAGCTATTGATGCGAGAAGAAGCGAGGGTGAAGTTGCTGGGATTTCTGTTATTGCCGCTGAACCGTCGCTTCTGTTTGCTGGCGGTGGCTAACTATGGTATGCACGGCGGGACGGCAGCACCGTGGTGGTTCTGAGGAAAAGGGCGATTTGCATTTTTGCCCTTCTTTTTTTTTTTTTTTTGTGTGTGTGGAAAAAGGCCCGCCGCAAGGCTCTGCTGCAGACTGCCATTGTGCAACTTGTAGCAGCCAGGTCCGCTCGAGACATAAAAAGGTCCCTCTCCCTGACTGTTGTGGCAGATTATTGCACTTTTTTCAGGATGGACTCGGTTGTGGCTAGCGTCGTGGAAAACCTCCACAAGAGAGACGAATGCGGTGAGAACGAGTACAGCGGCATGCTTGGTGCCCGTATCTCCTCGGTGTTCGTGGTGTTGGTGGCCTCCACCTTCGGTGCCGTCTTCCCAATTCTTTCTTCCAAATACTCCTTCATCAGATTGCCCAGCTGGTGCTTCTTCATCGCCAAGTTCTTCGGTTCCGGTGTCATTATCGCTACTGCCTTCATCCACTTGTTGGAGCCTGCTGCCGACGCCTTGGGCGATGACTGCTTGGGCGATGGCTGGACAATCTACCCATACGCCTACGGTATCTGTCTCGTGACGCTTTTCATCATTTTCTTTATGGAATTGTTGGCTTTCAGGTACGTCGACAAGAAGCTCGAGTCTCGTGACGGCGGCCACTCCCACTCTCACTTTGGTGACACTTCTGCCTACGTCAAGGACAAGAAGAATGCCGAGTCCGATGAGGAGGCCAAGCTCAGCTCCACCGAAGAAAACCCATACCCTAAGCACTTTGCTCACGCCAACAGCCATGTGGATGACGATGACTCCAAGGACGACTTGGAGAACTTCTACGGTAAATTGTTGGCCATCTTCGTCTTGGAGTTTGGTATCATTTTCCACTCCGTTTTCGTTGGTTTGGCCCTTGCCACCGCCGACAACGAGTTCAAGACCTTATACCCTGTCATTGTGTTCCACCAGCTCTTTGAGGGCTTGGGTTTGGGTACCAGAATCGCCGCTACCCCATGGCCTCAGGGCAAGAGATGGACTCCTTGGTTGTTGGCCATTGCCTACGGCCTCTGTACGCCAATTGCCATTGCCATTGGTCTTGGTGTGAGAAACAGCTACTCTGAGGAGCACCGTACTGCCTTGATTGTCAACGGTATTTTCGACTCCATCTCCGCTGGTATCTTGCTCTACACCGGTCTTGTGGAGTTGATGGCCCACGAGTTCTTGTTCACTGACGACTTCAAGGGTGACGCTGGTTTCAAGCGCATGATTGTTGCTTATGCTATCATGTGTGTGGGTGCCGGTTTGATGGCATTGTTGGGTAGATGGGCCTAATTTCTGCACTCCCGTCTTTCTTTAATTCATATGTTGCGTTTAATAGATTGATCATTGATCAGTTGACTTAGAGATGTAGAGGCATTGATTTGTTGTAATGAGAGAATTTTAGCTTTTGATGGGCTCAACCATAGCTGGTAATTTGATTGGTTTCTAAAAGCATCCAATCGCTAAAATGATCGACTAAACCGCTCATCCACAAAAGAAAAGACCGCCTTATAATACTGTGTAACTCCGCTTGAGCAAACGGCATCCTCATAGTCATCTCTGTCTAGCGCCTATTGATCAGCAGACACATGACTGAATATTCTTCATCTATATTTGTTATTTTCTTCTTATCTAAATACGCTTCTATATTATTCTTATCTACTTTAACTGCTATCTTACTCTTTGGTGGTACTGGTATTGTTTTAGGTTTAAAAGCCAACTTCTTTGCTTTCACTTATATTTGAGTTTGAGCTACTTCAGCAACCTATCTGTGGCACGATTGTCGTTTTACTTGGCATGAAAAATTCTTTTGCACCATCTTACATCTTTGATAGATATTTCCGGCGAAAAGTCTCGATTCTTGCTCTATTCTGCCTATTTCGTCAGACCGGCCCAAAGCGGGTGCACAAAAAAAATTCTGAAAAACTCTCAAAGTAACCCAATGAATCCAAGTCCCAGAACATAAAAATACCTTCGCCCCTGCTACCTTCCTTATTCAATCAATTCGACCCTCCCCGGCCAATTTTTATGGTGGTACTGCACATAGTCGCTCTCAGAAATGTTCTACCGGGAGAGACAACTAAACCAGTCGGGCCCTATCTATCATACACAGTCCACCCTACAACTGGAATAACTTAAAAATATGGCTGACGTTTCCCCACAACCTCCGGCCGCAACTCCTAACGATTATATCGAGTCTCTCTCTGCAGAGCAGATCGAACACGATCAGAGAATTGGTATCAAAGCTATTCGGTTATTTTTGCAGAGCAAGACGTCCTACGATGTGTTGCCCGTTTCGTACCGTTTGATTGTCTTGGACACGTCCTTGTTGGTTAAAAAATCCTTGAACATCTTGCTACAAAACAATATTGTCAGTGCTCCTTTGTGGAGTAACAAGACGTCCCGTTTCGCTGGTTTATTGACCCTGAGCGACTTCATCAACGTTATTCAGTACTACTTCCAGTTTCCCGAGAAGTTTGAGTTAGTCGACCAGTTGACCCTCGATGGGTTGCGTGATATAGAGAAGGACATTGGTGTGGCTCCCATCGAGACCGTCTACATTCACCCTTTCAAGTCCTTGTATGAGGCATGTGTGAAGATGTTGGAATCCAAGGCTAGAAGAATTCCCTTGATCGACGAGGACGAAAAGACTCATCGTGAGATTGTGGTGTCTGTGTTGACCCAGTACAGAATCTTGAAGTTCGTGGCGTTGAACTGCAAGGAAACCAAGATGTTGTTGAAGCCTCTCCGTGACATTTCCAACTTGAGCCAGCCCAAGGATATCAGCACCTGTACCATGAACACCCCTGTGATTGAGGTGATTCACCTCTTGTCGCACAATTCTGTTTCTTCGATTCCCATCGTCGACGAGCACGACAAATTGATCAATGTCTACGAAGCCGTTGACGTTTTGGCACTTGTCAAGGCGGGCATGTACACAGATTTGGACTTGAGCGTGGGCGAGGCCTTGCTTCGGAGACCAGAGGACTTCGAAGGTGTCCACACGTGTACCCAAAACGACAGACTCAGTACCATCATGGACACCATCCGCAAGCTGAGACTTCATAGATTGTTTGTTGTGGACGACGACTGCAAGGTGGTCAGTGTGATTACGTTGAGCGATATCTTGGACTATTTGCTCTTCGGAGAGGATTAGACGGTAGAGCGTGAGGTTTGGCCAAAGATGGGAGCCACGCAATAGAGGCTCCTTAGAGTTTTGGCTGCGCGTATGGGGTTGTCGGCGTTGTGAGCCACAAAGCGGAGAATTGTTGGAGCGGAACTGATCCTTCCGGAGATTCAGACCAATGGCGGTCTCGGAGCCGAGCACGATGATGATCCTACTATAAGATTCAGGTTTTCTGTGCTTGGAGCCGAAGGAAGTTTTTTCTCTCCTCGGCGGCTCGATAAGCATTGCCGGATTAGGGTGCTAAACCCGAGCCACCGCGCATTCGATGATATAGATTTCGCAATCGGAGAGCCGATGCGACACCACTGAAAAAAGAGTCAGTGCCATTAATAAGCACCCTGCAGCAGGAGGTGGGAACTTGCTTTTCTACCCTCCACAGCTTCTTTACAGGATATTCACCTTTTGATTCCCCTTCGAAACTCTATCCTTCAGGCCATCATAGCACCACATCCACAGGTCTCTTAGTATCTCAATTGCTGGTCCATGGACAGCCCCACCATCAAAAGCCTGCTGCCTGACCTGGTCCAGGAAGCCGAGGAAGATGGCAACGCAGGCTTACAACAAAGACTCCATTGGAATGAGAAGGTGGATCTTCCTCAGGTGACCTTGAAGTCCACCCTTGTGGGTTTGCTTATCGGAACGGTGGTGCTCATATCAAACTTTCAGTTTGGGCTCCAAACAGGCTGGGTTTCTATGATGTCGCTCCCGTCGGCATTACTTGGATTTACGATATTCAGGTGCTCGCCAATGGCCAAGCGGTTTACGGATGTGGAAAATGTTTATATCCAAAGTGTGGCTGTTGCAGTCGGCACTGGTCCTTTGGCTTATGGTTTGGTTGGTATAGTGCCAGCCATAGAGAAATTCCTTACTGAAGAGGAGAGCGGAACAGGTTCAAAAATAGTTCTTTCGCTTTCCCAGTTGATGGTCTGGTCGCTAGGGTTGGCGCTTTTTGGCGTCTTCTTTGCTGTACCACTCCGGAAGCAAGTCATCATCAAGGAAAAGCTCCCATTTCCTTCAGGCAGTGCCACGGCAACGCTTATTCTGGTTTTGCATGGTACTGAGTTATACAGCGAAAAGAAGGAGCCAGAGGAAACAGACGCTACAGACTCTGACTCTTCAATAGAGTACCCCCACGGAGGTGTCATCAGACCTTCCGACTCCAATGGCATCAAGCTCGCTCTGACAGAGGAAACATACAACACAAACATCAGATTTCTCGTCATCACATTCATTGTCTCGGCATTCTACACTCTAGCATCCTACTTTGTCCCTGTGCTCAAGATGCTCCCGATCTTTGGTCACAAACTTTCAAATGTGTACCAATGGAACTTCCAGCCTTCTCCTGCTTACATTGGTCAAGGCATCATCATGGGACTCCCGTCAGTTTCATACATGTTATTCGGAGCAATTTTAGGCTGGGGAGTCCTTGCACCAATGTCTAAATATCTTGGTTGGGCTCCGGGGCCAATTGATGATTGGGTAACAGGCGGACAAGGCTGGATTCTTTGGTTGAGTTTGAGTGTCATGATTGCCGACTCGTTGGTATCATTTGCCGTGGTGACATACAAATCGTTGCATTCTGGAGTGTCTAGCTTGATTGTTCGTTCTTCCTCAGAAGTACACCAACGTTTGCTAGGCGGCTCTTCCACAAACTACAGTTCTTTGGAAGCTGAGAGCGATGCTGTTTCAGAGCAAAGCTCCTTCACCGATCTTCTGCCTGAGCATTTAATTAGCAACAAGGTAACAGTCGTTGGTGTTATCGTTTCCTCCATAATATGCATGTGGGCTATCAATTTCGTTTTTGGCTCTCTCGTTCCTCATTACGCCACGTTCATTGCCATTGTATTGGCTCTCTTTTTCTCCATTCTCGGCGTTCGTGCCTTGGGAGAAACTGACCTCAATCCTGTCAGTGGAATCGGAAAACTATCACAGCTTATCTTCGCCACAATCATTCCTCATAACCATCCAGCACGCATTCTCATCAATCTCATCGCAGGAGGTATAGCTGAAGCTGGCGCTCAACAGGCTGGTGATTTAATGCAAGATCTCAAAACAGGACATTTACTTGGTGCTTCACCAAAAGCTCAATTCACCGCCCAGTTGATTGGCACGATCTACTCGGTGTTTGTGAGCTCCATCATGTACAAGGTGTACAACTCAGTCTATGAAATTCCTAGCCAGATGTTCAGAATACCTACTGCGGTGGTCTGGATCGATTGTTCCAGGCTTGTCACAGGAGAGGGTCTTCCGCCTCATGCCTTCGAATTTTGTGTGCTTTTTGCCGTCGTTTTCGGTATCATTTCCGCTGTGAAGAATATCGTTCCCTCCAGTCACAAATACCACAAATATTTGGTGTACTTGCCAAATGGAGTGGCGGTTGGAATCGGGATTTACAACACCCCAAACTTCACATTGGCTAGGTTCCTTGGTGGACTTATCGCTTATGTCTGGATGCAGCGTGCTGGTAAACGTAAGGACGAGAAGGTGAAGATGGTCATTTTCAGCAGTGGACTTGTTCTTGGAGAGGGTTTACTCAGTGGGTTTACAATGTTGTTGACAAGCTTGAGAGTGCCCCATCTTTAGGTGATATTGTACAAACAAGGGTAGAAGGGTGATTTATAGACAGAGATAATGTATGGTTGTTCCGATGCACTCGTTCAGGTTTCATTTACTGAACACCGTTTCTCTCCTTGTCAGCACTAATGCGCTGATTTATAAGGAAAATAGCCGTTTGAATGGCGTTGTATGAGCCCGTCAAGGTTAACTTTCTCACGTTAGTTACACCCTTGCCGCCACCTAGAAGTAAAGTCTGGTTCTGGTCGGGCTCAATTTTAACGTAGGTACAGCCACTGGTCTCTCTGATCTGCTTAATGTTGTTGCCTCCTTTGCCGATAACAGAACCGATGTTGGAGTTGGCAACGTAGACATCCTCGTTGTATTTCTCAGGAGTTTGACTGATTTGAGTTGGCATTTGGGTAATCACGTCGCCAACAATGGTGTTGCCGTGTTCATCGGTGAAAGAGTTCTGAGGGGGAATATTCATAGGAGGAGCAGCCATTTGTGGTTGAGACATGTGTGGTTGAGGCTGGGGAGAGCTGAATTCAGGTCTAACAGAGGGTTGGAACATCATCTGGAAGTTGTAAGGTTTGGCCGTCTGTTGGTAGGCGGCCTTTGGATCAGTGACACCAGGAATGCCTGTCAATCCTTGCAATGGCGACATGTTTTGAGGAGCACCCATGAAAGGCATCTGAGGGGGTTGTTGAGGTGCTATAGCCATGTTTTGGAGAGGGTTTGCTGTGGGCATCTGGTGGCGATAGTTTGCAGGGTTGTAAAGCACAATTTTGTGCTTTTTGAGGACATCCTTATGTTCCAAAAGCACCTGAGAGATATAGTAGACGGCGATGTGGATAGCATCACCCACACCGTTGACCGCAAGGACACGGTCGGTAGAGTAAGGCAAGGGCTGTTCAGCAGCCTTGAGCTTGGCGGCCGAGTTCTCCTCAATTTCTCTGAATTTGCTTCCAGATTTGCCAATGACGTATCCCACCAACGGGTGTGGGATTAAGAGTCTCAAGTTATACTGTTTACTCATGATAGAGGCAGGCTCGTCCTCGGGCTCCTCTAAGATGACCCTAGTGATAAGACCAAACGCTCTGGCCACATTCTCAGCCGAGCCCTTGACAGAGACAATTCTTTCCGGGACGTTCTTTAAGTTTTCGCTGACATTGATTCTCACGTTAGCCTTCTCTCGAAGATGAGTAATTGTCTCGCCCTTTTTGCCCACAATAACACCGGCTTCCTTGACAGGACAATACATGCGAAGAGAAACGGTGGTAGCATCTTCTTTCTCCCGGTAGACAGGTTTCAGTGCCGAACTGGCCAGGTCGTATTCCGCAGGCTCAGAGGAAATTAGCGTGTTATCGGTCCAGGCAGCGGCAGAAGGAGGCACCTCTTTTTTACTGGTCACGTCTTCAGAGGAAGTAGAAGTGTCTTTGTCAGAGGAAACATTGTCACTGAGAGTAGGCGCCGTTTGGGACTGTTCTTCTTTTTTTTCGGACTCCTCCAACTGCTCGCTATCAAGAGCGACTCTTTTGTTGATTTGGTCACCTTCCGCGGACAGCGGTTCGACCTCTTCGTTTTTTCTTTTGAGGATGTTTGACATTCAGAGATAACTTATTTCGGAGGACAAGAGGAAGAAGTTGATGGGGGTACAAGTTTGTACTCGCTTTTTTTTTTTTGTATCATTCTTCGCATGCAGTCGGTAACACCCCGACACCCCATTCCGTCCGAATAAAGAAATAATTACGAGTTGTAATTGGTTGATTTTGATACAGATATTAATTGAGCTTCCACTAATTACATTCCTGTTAGAATTGCCGTCCGATTTTGTTGTGCAGATCGGTGGCAATGGCTGTGGTTCGACAAGAGTTTCAGATGGCTGCAACATGACGCGAAGGTCCAAGGGGCTCAATTGAGCGGCAAAGTTTGTTTTGTCTGTCCAAGTCACGGAGTTAGCGAATCTTGACTTCGTGAGTTCCTGAATTTGGCCATTTCGCAGATTGATTGAGTAGGACTATGGTGGCGACACATCGTGATGGATCCTCGTCTATGCGCATTGGAGTTGACGATGGGGATGGGCAATTGGCAGGTAAAACAACCGTTTTCTAGTTTCGAGTGTAAATTATCAAGTGAATTGATAACTGGTTTCAAGAACACCAGAGACTTCTTCGAACCTTTAGGATAGTATGGCAGATATACCTTCTAAGCCTTCCCAATCGGTGGCGGATGACTCCGCTCAGAGGCAAAAGCGGGAACATAAAACTCCTGCAAAGCTGTAGCATAGATTCTACCCAATTTCCTGAATTCCCTCTTACTTTCCCTTCTGCTGAAGCTGCCACTGGCGCTGGCGCTCGAGCTCTTTGGCACGCTGGTATTGGACATCTCTCTTGGCATCCATACGACCCAAAAATTCCTGCTTGTCAAGGTAACCGGCCTTATTGTGAAGAGCCAAATCGTCCTGGATCTTCTCCTCGTCAACATAACTGGCCCAGTCAAGACGAGACTTTTCAAGCGTCGTGAGCTTGTTCTTCTTATCTCCTTTGAGGAACTTGTCAATAAGCGATGGTCTCTTGAGCTTGATCATGAGTGGCACTTGCTCGTCTGTTCCCTTTATCGTACGCACAACAGTGACAAACAGCTTCTTCTGACCTTCACCTTCGCCTCCTATCGTTATACCACTTGCAGAATTAAGATACGCTTTGGCCTCAGCAGAATCTGCCTGCACCATTTTCAGCTCCGTGACCAACTTGCCTGCAAAAGTGTAGGAGGTCTCAATTCTCACCATTCTAGTTTCGTGGGGTCTGTGGGCTCTTCGGGTTTCTTCTCCTCCACAACAGCATCCTTGTCTATAAGCGTAGTCCAATCAGTTTCGTCTTTGCCACTCTTCAAAGATTCAAAGATAGCATTCACGTCTACCCTCAGCTCGTCTTGTAGTAGACCACTGGGGTCTATTCTTCGCTTCTTACCACCGCCAAGCTCCTCCTCGTATCTTTGTGTTCGCGTTCTTACTTGACTGACGCCTGTGTTGATAGCCGAGTAGTCTGGTTCGTGTTCGTTGTCTGAGTTATCACTTTCCTGGTCTTCGTCCTGTTGTTTCTTTTCTGGGTCATAGTCCTCGTCCTCTTCCTCGACATAGTCCTCTTCTTCGTTTTCCAGATTTCCTTCAGCTGTATTTTTCTTGTCTAGCTGGGTTGCCGGCTCGGCAGGTGCCGCTGGGGCTTCTTTACGGGCCATTAGATAGTAGTTGTTGTTGTGCTGAGACTGTGCGCAGGTATATCAACAGAAGTAGGTGATCGTAGTGTAAGGATGTACACTTTTAGGGTATTGTGCTGGATCGAATTGGGATAGTCGCCCCTAGATAATGAGTAGTGAAATTCATGTTCTTTCACTTGTGATTTAGGGTGGTACTTGCGATGTAGTCGAATGGAAGGGTGGCTTTATCGAAACTCAGAGTACTTGCCGATGTTTCTGAATTATCCATCCCCGCATTATAAAGGTATGGATTGGGCCCTGAAGAAATTTGCTATTTTTTTGTAACATTCTCTTTTTCGTTTCCTACTATCATTGTCAAAGGCCTCGATGGCTAGACTACGTCTTCATTTTTTCGCAGCCATTTACTACATGGACCAAAAAGAGAAACACGACAATCTCCACATAAATACGAAAAGTCTATAACACGAGCAGCAATTAACGATAGACCTTTTTCCCATCTTCAACATTCTCCTGAATGAAAATTTGACTAGCGACCACTAAGCCTATACACCAGAAGCACCATGGGTTAACCTGAACCCTGTGGACCGAACGGCACCAGCAATAATCTTTCACATTTTATCGATGCTTTTCTTCTTGACATCCAGCATGAAATTGATTGAATTGAATGACAGTGTCTCGATGGCGAACTTATTTTGTCATTGACACTCAAATGCTTCATCATCGATCCAACCTAGCCCAATCCATCGTCCTATCAGACATTTGGAGAACCAATAACCGAACGCCACCTACAAAAACCCAAACTGACAATCATCTTCCCAAATGCCATCATCAAATAGCCTCAATTCATCCGGCAATGGACGGCCAAGAATCATCAACTTATGGTCTAGGCGAGCCTCACCAGATATAATCCACGATTTGCACCCAAATCACCAACTCAACCACCACCTTGCCACTCAACTGCAAAATAAAATTCCAACGACTCTATCCGAAGATCACCAGAAATCTCCGCTATTAACCGAAATCCACCCACCCCATTCCACAAACTTCGCCATTCTTCCATGCCACTCGCCTCTGTGGCTCTACCCTGCACAGGTTAAAAGACCAACACTATGGAGAAGTAACTACCACTTTTCTTCCCATGCTGACCCTTCTTGCAGACTCCGAGGCACCCATCATCGTGCTCTCGGCTAAAAAGCACTTTGAACAATTGCCCACCAATGAGGCTAAACTCTATGCCCATTATCTTTCCAGAGCTTCCCACTGGGGTTCAAGAGCTGTCTTGAGATCTGTGTCTCCAGAGAGTGAGGCCATTTTTGATTTGGTCTTGGGCTTGCACGTGGCATTGGGACTGCCAGAATCCAACGAGAAGTACCAGGAGGTTTTGAAGCCTGTTGCAGCCGAATCGGTGACCCACTACCTCGAGTACGCTTCCCAGTTCTTGGGCAACTTGGGTAACTTCAAGTCCTTCGGTGACAGCAAATTCGTTCCTAAGGTTCTGGAATCCGACTTCACCGCTATCGTCAAGGCTGCTGGCAAACAGGAGCTCGTGGACTTGTACGAGACCGTCAAGGAGGCTATCTACTCGACTAACCCCGCATTGTTGGGTTGGCCTGAAAAGGGCCAATTGTCCAACTACTACCCTAACAGTGCTTCTGTCATCACCAAGGACGAGATCGAGGCCATCAATGCCGCCTTGGCTGACCGTTCCATCATGCCTGAGAACACCAGAGTGACCAAGAAGTCCGATAAGGAATTTGTGGTTCTCGTGGCCAGTGCTTTGACCGACAACACCGTGGACTACTACCCTAAGGAGGCCATTGAGCTCGCTCTGGGTGCTCGCGTTACGATCCAGTTCGGTGACCACTCCAAGGAGTTTGCTGAGATCATCAAGAACATCAGGGCGGCTGGAAAGTACGCCGCCAACGACACACAGAAGAAGATGATTGAGTACTACGCTCAATCGTTTGAAACCGGCTCCATGAAGGCCCACAAGGACTCGCAGATCCAGTGGGTCAAGGACTTGGGTCCTCTGGTCGAGTCCAACATCGGCTTCATTGAGACCTACAGAGACCCCTCGGGTGTTCGTGGTGAGTGGGAAGGTTTGGTGGCCATGGTGAACCAGGACAGAACGGCCAAGTTTGCCACTTTGGTCGAAAACGCCGGTACCTTGATTCCATACTTGCCTTGGGACCACTTCTACGAGAAGGACACTTTTGTGCCTCCAGACTTCACCTCCTTAGAGGTGTTGACCTTCTCCGGATCTGGTGTTCCAGCCGGTATCAACATTCCTAACTACGACGACGTCAGATTGAATGTTGGTTTCAAGAACGTCTCCTTGGGTAATGTGTTGAGCGCCAACCCCAAAAAGCCAAAGAAGGAAGAGGTGATCAGCTTTGTCTCGGCTTCTTTGCAGGAGAAGTTCCGCAAGTGGAGAGACGACTCTTTTGAAGTCCAGGTGGGCTTGCATGAGTTGTTGGGCCACGGTACAGGTAAATTGTTACAGGAGACTTCTCCAGGCCAGTTCAACTTTGACAAGGCTGCCCATCCCGAGCTTTCCACCTACTACAAGCCCAGCGAGACGTGGGGTTCTTTGTTCGGCACCACAGCTGGCTCTTTCGAAGAGTGCCGTGCCGAATTGGTCGCCTTGTACCTTATCTTGTTCAAGCCACTTGAGGTTTTGCCAATTTTCGGCATCACGGACGCCCAGGACCAAAAGGACGTCAAGCTTATCGCTACGCTCTTGATGGCCCGTGCTGGTGTTATTGGTCTCGAGTTCTGGGACCCCGAATCGAAGAAGTGGGGACAGCCTCACATGCAAGCCCGTTTCGGTATTTTCAAGAGCTTGCACAAGGCCGGTGTCGTGTCGCTCAAGTACGACGACAAGGAGACGTTCGACGACTTGGAGATCGTGGTGGACGAGTCCAAGTTGGACAAGGAAGCCGTGGAGGCACTCGGAGACTTCTTGCACAAGTTGCACGTTTTCAAGTGCTCCGCCAACGTCAAGGAAGGTGTGGCTTTCTACAGCGACATCACAGGTGTTACCGAAGACTACGCCAAATACAGGGACGTCGTACTCAAAAAGAAGCAGCCTCGTAAACAGCTCATCCAGGCCAACACGTTCTTGAACAGTGACGGCAGCATCGAGGTCCGCGAGTACGAGGAGTCGGAGGTCGGCATGATCCAGTCGTTCGTTGACCGTGCCATTTAATACAGCATCCTACAGTCTATAGTATACAACGAGTATTGCGGATTCGCAACATCGGCTCCGGTGTGAATAGTATGTATGGCTGAACTTCACGCACTGAAAAACGACCACTACAACCCCATGCTCCAACTAGGGTTGCGGCCGTATCTTACCCAGCCCATTCTGATAAGGGGGCTCATACTGGCTGGCCAGATTCACAAAGCATTAAAACTACAGTCTAATCAGATCAACATCCACAGAAGTTTCCATAGACTCACTCCCTTTCAGCATTCTTCATATGCGCCTACCAGAATATTCAATGAACGTGGTTTCCAGAACCCAAGCATACAAAACAGATGGTATTCTCAGAAGGAGAGAAACCAGGAGTTGCTAGAAAGCTTGGCTTCAAGCCCGTCGGTGAAGCTGCATCTTGAAATAGCACAGCTTCGCAAGAAACAGATTAGAGCCGAGGAGAAGGAGCAGATGAAGAACAACAAGATCGATTTCCGCAAGAACATGAAAACGATAGCCCGAATCTTGAAATTGGGAAGACCCGACCTCAAGCTTTTCTTCTACGCATTGGGTTTCATTCTCTTTGCCGTTTTATACCCAACAACCTCGGTTAAGCTTGTGGGAGCTGCTATAGACGCCTTCAATGCTGGCAATAAGGACGCCGATGGCGATTTGGTCATTTGGGGCTATAAATATTCCACGGTGTTTTCAGTCATGGTTCCATTTATGTGTGTGAGTGCAGCATGCTTCTGGGCTCGTATTTGGGTACTTAAAGTGCTAGGTGAGAGGCTTGTGGCTAGGCTTCGACTTCGTGTGATGAAGCACTTGTTGAGACACGATTCTGCGTTTTTCGATAACGACAAGCACAAGGCGGGCGACTTGATTTCCAGACTTTCCAGTGATGCATATGTGGTTTCCAGGTCGATCACAAGCAATCTCCCGGACGGCTTGAAGAACTTGCTTTTCGGGTTCATCAGTTCGTACATGATGTTCACAATCAATCCGCTTTTATTTGGCGTCATGTTGTTGATCTCGCCTCCCATTACCTTCGGTTCTGTGTGGTATGGTGAAAAGATCCGATCGTTATCTACTAGACTTCAAAATGCTACCGCAGGTCTCACCAAAGTCAGCGAAGAAACCCTCAACTCGGTGAAACTTATCCAAGCTTTTACTGGTGAACAGAAGGAATTGACAAAGTACTCCACTCAACTCAGAAACGTCGTCAATGTTGCAAGAAGAGAGGCCTTGGCTCAGTCGAACTATGCCGTCTCGATCTATTCCCTCTACCATTCCGGCTACTTGTCATGTATTGCGTTGGGTGTTTACTTGATCATCAACGGTCAGATGACCACTGGTGACGTTGTGGCTTTCACCATGTACTCAGAGTTGTTCAACCTGGCACTTTACAGTCTCACCACGACGTACATGGAGCTCATGAAGGGTTCAGGTGCCGGTATCAAGCTTTTTGAGTTGATTGACCACGACAACGACGTTCCAGCAATCCAGGGTGATAAGCTTCCTCCACACTTGAACAACAGCATCGAGTTCAAGGACGTGGTATTCAGCTACCCAACAAGACCTAACGACCTTATTTTTGACGGCTGCTCATTCACAGTGCCTGCTTCTTCCAGTACCTGTTTTGTTGCACCTTCGGGCTGCGGAAAGTCCACCGTTGCAACGCTTCTTCTTAGATCTTACAACCTCAACAACGGTGAGATCCTCATTGGTGGACGCAACATCAACGACTTCCAAGTACGTGAGCTCAGACGCGAGGTTATCGGTATTGTACAGCAAGAGCCTATTCTTCTTTCAGGAACCATTCTTGAGAACATTGTCTACGGCTTAACGCCTAACCAGATCAGCAAATTAACGATGGATGATATCGAGGAGGTATGCAAGCAAGCGAACTGTCATGACTTCATTGTGGCTTTCCCTGATGGCTATGATACGATGATTGGGTCCAGAGGAGCATCTCTTTCTGGAGGCCAAAAGCAGAGAATTGCTATTGCCCGTGCTTTAGTCAAGAGGCCCTCAATTCTCATTCTAGACGAAGCCACCTCTGCTCTTGACTCCAAGCTGGAGAGTCTCATCAATGAAACACTCAAGGACTTGACCTCGCAAGGTAAGATGACCATTATCTCCATTGCCCACAGACTCTCGACGATCTCAAAGTCGGAGAACGTTATTGTTCTTGGAAAGCACGGCAAGGTGGTGGAGCAGGGTCGCTTTGTTGAGCTTTTCAGCAACCCCTCCTCTGAATTGTCCAAGCTCTTGGACGAGTCGTCTTTCAAAGAGTACGAAGACCACATGACGGAGGACGAGGTTGAGGAGCAGGATAGAAAGGACCACGAAAGTGAGATGATCGAAAAGAGACAGAAGGAAGGGTCCGAGGTGGACATCATCCGGTCGTTGATCGACGACTTGCCTTACGACATCCGTGTGCAGCTCATTGGCCAGTTCTCCAAGGAGCTCGAGGATGAGAAGAAGACGATAACCTCTGAAACGTCGATGCGTCCGGGCCAGGAGACGTCTTAGCTTGTACATAGATATTTATTCCATAGATCAGGATCGAATGAGATGTAGGCCCAAAGTCAATACACGGAATTAACGGATGAAAGCCATTTGAAAGAAATGTGATCTTGATTTGAATGACCCATTGGGTTCATGAAAGCTGTTACAGGTTCACCGATTCGGACGAGACAGGTGGTCCATCATGAAATCTGCCCAGACCCGCCCATTGACTACAATTGATTCATCTTTGTTTCATGGCATTGCCTATATTCTCATAATTGACATTACTTGTTTCCGTGCAAGGCCTTTGGCTCAGAGGCCACGCCGTTCTCGAACTTGGAGACCTTGACATCGGAGTTGCCTCTTCTCTCGGCAGCAACACGCAAGTCGCTCTTCAACGAGTTTCTAACAGTCTTGGCAGCAATGGCCATGGCTCTGTTCAAGGAAATACCGGCTTGCTTGTAGGCAGACATGACGATAAGGTGGAAAGTAGGTTGTGGTAGTTGGTTTTCGGTCGGTCGCGGTGAGGTTTTTCATTGGTGATGACGTTTACGCAGGACCGCTCTTGCGTTCTCTAACGGTGCTCACCCAGTTGAGGAAAAAGGTGAACAAGGCTGGCTGAATTCGGTTTTTTGGATCCGTCGACCATTCGAGTAACGTTTGCGAGTAGACTTCCACGATTTTTTTCAAGTACGACTCGTCGAGTCCCACCAAGCTCTTGGCTATAGTGATGCTGCACTGTCCGCAGGACTGGCCATGGGCCTGGTTGGAGGAATACTTACCAGCCTGCTGCTGAAGCCAGCCAATTTCATTGAGGAATCGTTTTTTGTAGGCTTCGACGTCGTCGAAATGCGCTTCTAGGTCCTCTTTGCCAACCTTGGCTTTTGTCACTCTCGTCTTCAAGATCTTGTGCGCCTTAACTCCAAGCTCCTTGTCCTTGGTGGTGTTGATAAGAAGCACCAACGGACGGAGCAAGTGGAGGTTGTAGGGAGAATGTGGCTGGACTTTGGAGAATGCTTCGATGAGATCGAGAACTCGGCTTTTGAAGAGCATGATCAGCTGTTTGGCCTGTGCAGCCTGGGCCTTTTTGTTATTGGTGGTGTTGGCCGAAAGAAGGTCTCTTCTCTCTTTGAAGATTCTCGCAAGCTGGTCGTCCATGGCCATCATCTCCTCGTCATCCATCAGATCGGACGAAACGTCCGAGTCAGCCTCAAATGAATCAATCTCGTCGAATTTGACTTCTCCTGATTCGGCCGTAGGAACACCAAGGGCCTTGGCAAGCTTGATGGTGGTTTCCTTTTCGACCTTGGCCGTCAGATCAAGCACATCGCTTTCGCTGTCGCTTGCCTCTTCCTCTTCACTCTCTTCCTCGCTTTCTTCTCCGTCCTCCTCCTCAAACTCGTCTTCTCCTTCGAAGAGATCACGCAGACCTTCCTCGTTTTCCTTGGTCTTGAGGACGTCAAAAAGGAGCTCAAGACACTCTTCGTCCGCCAAAATCTTACCCTCGTGGTTCTTAGCACACAAAAGCGACTCCCACACGAACTGTGAGAGCTTCTTCATCAACAGCGAGTTCTTCAGAAGGAAAGACAAGATGATCTCGGTCAACACAACTTGGATCTTCAAGCCTTCCTCCTGCTTCGTGAGGAAATCCTCGTAGCACATTTGCAATTCCTGCAAGACGTTGACGGCCTCCGCTTCTCCAGAAAGCAACTGTAGAATCACCATCGAGAATAGAAGCTCAAAGCAGTAGTTGGCATCGCTGGCAGAGTCATCCTTGACATGGCTCTTGATGGTGTCTAGAAGATCCAAAGCCTGGCTACGGACCAACGATAACTCTTCTGTGAGCTCAAGACGAGGCTCCAAGTTGCCGCTTTTTTCAAGCTTGCCAATGTACTTGACACAGTATAACGACCACGAGTGGCCCTTTCTCTTTTGGCTGATTACTCCAGAAAGGAACGAATTAAGTCTATCCTGTGCAAGGTGGCTCACATTACCAGAGACGCTCTTGGTCTTGTCCTTGCCTTGGAAGAAAGCATGCTGAATGAGGAACTCGAAGTTTCTCTCGATGAATCTGTTGTCGGTAAACTGGAATCTCTTCGTGCTGCGCTGCAACAAAAGGAGCTTATCAAGCACCCATTTGAGCACATTGTCGTGGGACTTCTTTTTGCTTTCCTCGTCCTTGGGTTCAACCTGCTTGTCTAGCGTCTTGTTGAACAAGTCTATGAGAACGTTCTTGATGTCAACAGCAAGGGTCTCAGCTCGGCTGGACGGTATGCTGTCGATGTTTTCGATGTAGCTCAAAACACCTACAAGCGAGTCGGTGACCTTGGACTTGGTGACATTGTCAAAAGCCCAGTTTCCGCCATACTCCTCGCTGATGATGCACTTGAGAGTAGGCACAACCTTGGCCACGTCGCTCTTGGTGACCTCTATGATGGTGTTGAGCACCTTCGTAGCGAGCTTGTTGAGAACCCTGTTATTCTGAGAGGAATGGTTCATGAGGCAGCGCATGAGGTTGGGAGTGAAAAGCGCCTCAACCAAGGAAGCAGGCACCTGCTTGAAGAATAGAATAAATATCTCAAGGCCCCAATACTTTCTTTCCGTGGAGGCCTTCTCGGCAAATAGCGTCTCGTCAATAGCCACTCTCCAGAACTCTTTGAGATGGATGGACTCGTCCTCGGTCTTTGCCTTCTTTTTCTGCTTCGGCGAGGCGTGCTTCTTTCTCTTTTTGCCATTGGAAGCCTCGTCTTCCCCTTCTTCATCATCACCTTGAGCAAAATGCTTCACTAGAAGGTCCCATACAAAAGGAATCTGAGGGTTCCACGAGCCCTTTTGTTTCTGTCCGTTTTTACCCTTCTCCTCAGCGTCCACAGGCTCAGCATCCTTGAGAACGACAGCCAAATTGGGCAAATTGCCTTTGCTGAGGGGATCGCCGTTTTTCCATCCAGAACCCACCTTGGCTGCGGTCTGAGAACGCAAAGGCTGAGGAATCGTCAAGTACACGGCAAGACCCTCCACGGTAAGCGTAAGATGGTGGTCCTCGACACACTGCAAAATGTGGACAAGACCGTTTTTGTCAAAAAGGTCAGACAGCAAGTATGCAGCCACGAACTGGCACAAGGTGAACATGACAGTTTCCCGCAACCAGGGTTTCGTGCCGGCCAACTCGACCAAGCTCTTGACGTACTTATCCAAAATCTCCTGGCTGCTCACCTTAGTGTCAAAAAGCACCCTGGAGTTGAGCAAAGCCTGGAAACCGAAAAGTCGTCCAAACAAGACAGACCTGAGTTCAGCACCTTTCATGCCACCCAGAATCTGAGAAACCGACACGAGCTTCTCCACAAAGCCAACAATGGAGAGCTCATGGTCTTTTTTCAAAATAAGTTCCCGAACCAACTCTGTCAAGGCCATGGAGAAGCCATAACGGGCCGTCTGTCTCAGAGTGGTGAGGCCCTTGACGAGTCTGTTCAAGGCGTAATCCCATTCTGAGGTTGCATTGGCCGCCTGGAGCTCACCCAAAAGGGCAGTTGCCGCCTGGATCCGTTCCTCCGGCAAGTCGCTGCTCAAGCGGTAGTAGTGGTCTTTCAGCACCATGAAGTGTTGATGGTATCTTTTTCGCGATGCGATGCCCAAGCTGATGAGGTAGGCGGTGGGTGGGCCAAAGACGGCGGGACAACAATTTTGATTTTATATAGTCGTTTGTTTTGTTGGAGAGAATTGGAGAGAATTTGAAATTGTTTGTTTTTTTGTGGGTGACCCTGGTGGTGATGGCCTCTTGATGCTGTATGGCTATGGCTGCAAACTGCGGTGTAGATTTACGGATTGACGAGAGCAATTAGTCCAGTACAACCTGGCGATTGATCAGTACAATCAGTATCCTTTTGAAACATAACCCGAAGTGTTATTTTCGGAAATACCTGCTCTTGTAATGTTTAAAGAAAACTCTGGAGAAGCACGGGTATTGAGATACTGGTTTACCTACCATGATAATGGAAGACATGACAGGATATACCCAGCCATTGCATTCCACGTTGAGGCTCTCGACGAAAGCTAATGGCTTAAAAGTGCAACCAACTTTAGCGTCTCATCTTGTCATCTACATCACGAAATCTACACTCTACTACCACATTGGCCACGGACTCTGACGAACCACACAACCTGCAACTCCACCATCTTTGTTATCCCGCAACAATGTTGAATTAATGCTATCTACATGGCACAGCCATCCGGACCATATGTTGAATGGTCAGTCTAAAATGCTCCAGCCTCTACCCTTAAGCGCTGTAAGTCTGCTTAGGGAATGGGAAAGTTGGGCCCACCTGCTGGATGGACAAGGAAGCAGCCCACTGGCCAACCTTGACGGACTCCTCCAAGGACTTCTCCTCAACCAAAGAGGCCAAGAATCCAGCAGCAAAGGCATCTCCAGCACCGTTGGTGTCCACCACAGAACCCTCCTGCAAGGGTCTGACAGGGTACTCCTTGACGTCGAAGGAGTCGGCCTCGGCGTTGTAGGTGACGGTAACGGTGGGCTCAGTGCCGTGGGTGAAAGTGACGACTCTCAGTCTCTTGGAGTTGGCCTTGGGCAACTTGGCGACAGCCTTGGCAATGGCCACAATGTCATCCTTGATGTCGGCAAGGTCGTGAGACTCGGCGTAGGCAGCAGCCTCGGACTCGTTGGCAATCACGTAGTCCACGTAAGGAAGAGAACGGTCCAATGGGTCCTTGAAGAACTGGGGATGAAAGGAGCAGAGAAGTTCAAGGAAAACACCTTGTTGTTCTCGGCAGCGTGCTTACCAAGCAACTCAATGGCCTCGGGCGACACGGTCAAGTGGAAGCCTCCAATGTAGAAGTACTTGGCCTGTTCAACCAAGGCCCAGTTTTCTGGCTTCTGCAAGTGAGCAGCCTTGAAGTGGTTGGCAGCAGCCAAGTCGGTGACCAACGAACGGTGGTGACCACTGATCAAAGCAGCACACTTACCGGTAGCGTGGTCCTCCTGGACCTGGTACTCGGTTCTCAAGCCGTACTGCTCGTTGGCTTCGTGCAACTGCTTGGCGTAGACGTCCTTACCGACAGAGCCGAAGTAGACCACAGACTTGGGTGGCAAGATGTACTGGGCGCCTCTGGCGGCGTTTTGAGCAGCACCTCCAGCGACCAACTTCAAGGACTTGTTGTTCAAGGCCTCGTTGTAGATGGGCAAGTGTTTCTCGTCGGCGAGAATGGCATCGTCAGCCTTAAGGTCGTATTTAGCAAGATATTCAGCGTCGACGTCGACCTGCAAATCCAAAAGGGGGTTACCGAGACAAACCAAAGGGTACAGCATTGTAGTAGTTGTTGGTGGGTGAAAAAAACGCAGCGTGAGAAATCTCATGGGTTTGAGGGTCCGCATAGAGGGTCCCACGATGGGCATGTTGGGTGGGTGAATTTGAATTGATAAGGATAAGTTTTTTAAGGCTTTTCAAAGGCTGTGATTTCAGGATGTGAGGGTTGGCTTGACTTTGGGGAGTCGGTTATGGAGGGGAGGTGTGGCTGCAAAGTATACGAGCTTCCTATATACCGCCGGTCAGGAGACCACTGGGGTGACCGGGCCGGGCGTGAGCGTTTCTGGATTTTTATCCAATCATGATTTGAGTTTGATTTGGGGATTTGGGATTTGTGTGGGTGTGGTTGGGAAGTACTGGAGGAGGGAGCCCACGAGGGAGCCGGAGACTGAGAAGGTGGACGATGGAGTTGTTTTGTGAGGGGTCAATTGGAGGGTGGGTGGGAATCTTTTTGGTATTTGATCAAAAGGTGGCCCAAATTTGTGCTATTGGGTGGTGGTATCTGGTAGTTTGTTGAATGAGTTGTAGAGGTTACATGATTGTTGAGGTTACCTCGTTGTATGGAAGGTCACCAAGCGATACGGAGAGGTACGGGAAATGATGACTCTAGGGCATTGAGAAGTAGCAGTTCCTCTTGCCATTTATTTTTGCACCTTTCGCTCTTTTCATGCTCTTCTGGCTTGGAGAACTTCGATAGCAGGTACCACTGGTTTGGAGTCTGAGAATCTTGACTACACCAATAGCCCTGTGATTGAAGATTGACTTACAACCTCGTTATTTTTCTTCAAGATTGAAAGCTGAGTCTGCTACGATTAGGCAAGCCATTGAATGCTTTGGATAGTATGATATTCTAGCCTATGGATATAGCACCGGTCTACCTCAGATGTATCTCATCCATCATCAAGAGAGTTCTTAGTACAAGAACAAACGGACAGGTTTTAAACTTGAACTTGGTTTGAAAAGTCTTCATGTTTGAAAAGTCTTCTAGTTTGACCGATGTATCTACCCCTCCGTTGGTTTGATGTCTTACGGACTTAAAGGATGACTACTTACTACCGAATCTCCACCACAAGAAATCCGCCAAAATCAATCCTTTTCAGCCTTTTTCATCATTATCATAATTAACGAAATTGAATCGTCAAAACCCACACCTCCTTGAAGCCTCCCATTGGAAAGGTGGAGCCTCCCATTGGAAAGGTGAAGCCTCACTGACCACTTGAGAAGATGCCTATTGTGGTAACACCACGAACAATGGATCGAGATCGGCTGTAAAACAGCGGTTCAGTCGATCGATCGTCGTAAAAAACCGCCGAATCAAAAACCCCCACAACAGCCCATTTTTCACCTCCTCTATAAATAGCGGACATACCAGTTTTGATGCCGAGCAACGGCTATCTTCTCACTGGACCCACCAAATTTTAATCACAATGGCGTCGAGCCGAGGAGCTTCAAAAACCATCGTAATTCGAAAAATGGCCTTATTCACAAAACCACTCACCCTTCATTGGCCCCTGGGTGCACCAACCTTTTACCTTCTGCAACCTCGTAAACTCGCATGTATCTCCGGCTTCTAACCCCAGCACCAAACCTCTGCATTATCGGTAGCCCCTGATTTCAACTATTCTTCTAAAAACCCCCACCTTCAATTTAAACCAAATTGCCCTAAAATTCCAATACAACCTCATCCTACCAATTGCCGAACCTTCCATGCTGGTTCATGCAAGGTTAACGGCTGCGAAACATTGACAGCTTCATGATAGACCACCACAACCACCTCCAATCGGCTTTGTTCTGATCCGTTTATATCCAAATCTAAATCTGTCGATTACTGCAGTCCTGATCACTTTTTCCCCCCCACCATCCCGCAAATCAACTCCATCAACACTTTGGGCTAGGGGTACCTCCACATGCGTTCTGCAGAAAGAAGTCCCAACACTCAACACCATGTTCGTTCTTTATGAAGACCCACTAGCTTGGGCTAGACCGTTCCCTACAAACCCTTCCACGCCTCTCCAGGCTCATTGGCATGAAGTGCTCGGTCTGTTTTTATTCTACTGTGCCATTCAGGCTGTATCTCCCTGGGTTTCCACCGCGTTGGTTGGAAAATCTTACACTGGCTTGAACCACAAGACAAAGCTCAACTTTGACATACACGTGGTCTCAATGGTCCAGTGCATCATCCTGGTGGTCACCTTGGTGCCAGCCTGGGGAAATGAGCATTTCCAGAACCGTGCAACGGACCCTTATGCGTCCATCTTTGGCTACAACGCCTACTCTGGTTTTGTGCTGGCCATTACCATTGGCTACTTCGTCTGGGACTTGATCGTATGCTTGTTGTACATTCGCCTCTTTGGCGCTGGTTTCCTCTTGCATGCTTTTGCTGCCTTGTACGTGTTCACCGTGGCCCTCGTGAAACCATATTGCATGCCGTGGATGCCGGCCTTCTTGCTTTTTGAGTTGAGCACTCCTTTCGTCAACGTCAACTGGTTCTCCTCCAGGCTCCCGGCCGGCACTGTCCCCGATAAGGTTGTTCTCGTGAACGGCGTTCTCTTGCTTGTCACCTTCTTCCTGGTCAGAATCCTCTGGGGCTTCTACGCCGTCGGGCTCGTGGCCTACGACATGTACCGCGTGGCACACATGGCGTCTGTTTTCTGGCCCATTTCGATTCTCGTGCTCAACTTCTCCTTGGACGTTTTGAACGTGTACTGGTTCATGAAGATGGTGGCCATTGCGAAGAAGAAGGCCAAGGGCGCCAAGACGCGGCCAGTGGTCAAGGAGGCCGCTAAATACGAGTGATGGTCAGAATCTGGCATCTCTTGTTCTCATAGAAAGTAACCGGGACGCTGAAGTGCCGATTTGTCGACCAACGAGGAAGCACGATTTCCTCGTGGAGTGACTCGAGAAAGTGCTCGAAGTAAGGAGCACCTAATGAATGAACTGTGATAATTGACCTCGCTGGGCTACTTTGGTTGCAGCTGGTGATGGTGTCTCGATTTGCACCCAATCAAACAGACCCATCCACCACCAACTTTTGCCCAAAAAAACCCATTTCCTAGTAGTACCACCGCAAAACCCTCTCATCATCGAACCTCTATAAATATTTTTTGGTTTGCCCCATTCCACGCTGAAATCACAAGGATGGTCTGCTCTGATACAGCCTGGTCGTGCGCGCACCGCCTCGCTCCTATGATCCTCTCCTCCACGTTAACTTCAATACACATCTGTTTTCAGGGGACCCTTTCCATATCTAGACCATAACCGCTACCAGCGCTTTCCTACAGCATTCAGCCTCACTTTCGCATAGACCCCGCTAACTAGAAAGACAGATTACCCCCACATCATGAATAACGAATACGACTACTTGTTCAAGTTGTTATTGATTGGCGACTCCGGTGTCGGTAAGTCATGTTTATTGTTGCGTTTTGCCGACAACACCTACACGCAAGACTACATCTCCACCATCGGCGTGGACTTTAAGATCAGAACGATTGAGCTCGATGGCAAAACCATCAAGTTGCAGATCTGGGATACCGCGGGTCAGGAGCGTTTCAGAACCATCACCTCTTCCTACTACCGTGGCGCACACGGTATCATCATTGTGTACGATGTCACCGACCAGGAATCGTTCAACAACGTCAAGCAGTGGTTGCAGGAGATTGACCGTTACGCCACCGGCGGTGTCATGAAGTTGTTGGTGGGCAACAAGGCCGACATGAGCGACAAGAAGGTGGTGGAGTACACGGCCGCCAAGGAGTTTGCCGAGGCGTTGGACATTCCTTTCTTGGAGACGTCGGCGTTGTCGTCTTCGAACGTCGAGCAGGCCTTCTATACCATGGCCAGGCAGATCAAGGCCCAGATGACCAGCAATGCCGGTGCTGGCCAGGGCGGTGCCAACAACAACAAACTGAACGTCAACTTGCGTGGTCAGTCCTTGACCAACAACCAGTCCAACCTGTGCTGTTGAGCAGGTTACACACTCACATCTCACCTTTGTTTCCAGGCTGTGGAGCCTCGTGAATAGCGTTTATGCTTAATATCTAGGATCAAGTGTAGGGCATCTACGGAGTTTAAGTATCATAATTTTAAAGGCCTTCTAAATAACGTATGTGGACCCGCATTGGATGGCCGCCTAGCGGAACACATAGACGTAGTATTGCACGTACAAGTTACCGTTAGGGTCCTTAACAAAACGGCCCTTACCAATCAAGTTCTCCTTGACGGCCCACTTGTACTTGTCCAGGACATCACCGTCAAAGTGGATTCTAGGGTTGCTGGTCACGTAAGCATCCTCAAATGAAGACCCATCGCTCTTTCCAGAAAGAACAGCCACGGTAGGCTCGGTCAATTGGATGATACCTTCGTAAGTGATGTACACACCAGCACCTTCGGGTGTTTTACCGTACAACTTGCAGTCCAACGAGTTATAGCCGTCTCTGTGGTTTGTAGTAATATCATCAAAACCAGAAATGTCCTTCACCTCGAGCTCAAAGCCGTACTTGTTCTTGACTGTCTCAATGTAACCCTCAGCGACTCTAGCCAAGGTCAATGACTTGTCTTTGGCAGAATCCGAGAAAACTGGCGAGGGAGCTGGATTCAACTTCAAGTTGACAAGAAAAACAGGCTCCAACTCGGGAGTCTTGGGCAATGAAGGTGTAACTGAAGGGTCCATGGAAAAAGAAGTAGTGGTTGTGTGCGATAATGCGGAGGTCAGGAGACCCGGTGATAAGGTAGGCAGGTGACGCAGGATCAAGAGTCCAGAAGGGAGTTGGAGGGAAGAAGTGGTTTGGTTGGGTTTTGTGTAATTGGTGGATTTAGAATATTGTGGAAATTAGTTGTTGAAAGGTGAAGTGGTGGAGAACGTGGTCAGGCTTTCGCAGCCATTAGTATAGGTGGAGGGTGATGGTCAGAAGTAAGCGAAAAGTTGTTGGGGAAGCTCAATGGGCGGTGATACTGTTCGGTTTGGTGATTTCAACGGATTCGGAGGCTTTTGGGCTGGGAGGTTTAACGAAAGCACCAGATTGGGCTCCATAGGTGAGCTTAGTCAGCACGGTTAGGATGGTTTGGCTATAAAGAGGCAAAGACTGTGCTTGATATTGAAATATTAACATTTCCTGAGGTTTTGTAAGAGACGGGAGAAGGAAGTATTGCTTGCTAGGACGCTTACTTGATCGATACAAATGGCATTGAATGAGTCGCAGTGGAAGTCTTACACTTCGGTGTCACCAACTTTGTGCCTCAAAATGAAGCATTATGAGGATTTTGGAAAATATCCGAGTCTTCAGCAAGCAAAATTTTGCATAAATGAGTGCCTCTGCTATCGACCAGTCGGTCCATGAGCAGATGTGCAATTGAGCATACGCCTTGATTCATTTAGTTGCTTTCAGGCACAAGTTGGGTAACTTGCAGCATCAAGCCCAAGCTGTTTTCGATAGCCCAACTTCTTTTTTCGAAGAAAGCTTCTGCATGGCTCTGTTCTCATCAAGCTCAATCTGATGCATTCTTGTGGTGCAGGGTTCATGACGTACTTTCACCAAGGAAGCGATATACCAGAACTCACGTGGCCTAAGTAAGTTGCCATGTAATTTCACACGACGAAAATATCGATTGACATGTTCCCAAGCGTTTAGATTGCTATTAATTCACTGTTTGTGCCCCACTAATGGAGTATTCCACACAATGAGACCGCGCATGAACAAGCATATTTGGGGTGCAGCCCACATCCATCGGTTTTCAAATATCCAAGCGAATTTGACAAATTCGGCTCGAGGAATTAATTTCAATGCAAAATTTAATCATTATTTATCATCTACTTTTCTTCCTACGCCTCCCTCGTTGCACAATCATCGGCTTGTTCAATGCGCTAGTGATCAGCCTCACTTTTGACGTCTTACATGGACGCGACAATAAGCACCACAGCTCTATTCGAGTAGCCCAATCACACCATCCAAAAAGAGACAGACCAGATATTATTCACATCAAAGTAATCAATATCTAAAAGTAAGTCGATTGGATGAAAACATGCCACAGACTTCTCGCTCACGCTTTTGTCAAAAGACGCTTATCTACAACTGGCAACTGGAGCCGCACTCAAGTATAGCATTCGGATCAGCTGTGGCCACTTCTGTACGGCTGTAGATAAGTGCGAATAAACAAAATATTCCCAACACTTCTTCTTTTAGTCTGAGCTGCTTTCGTTATTATGTCACTCCTTGCTAGCCCATACACTTTGCCAGACCAGAAGGAAACCGAATTGGGCATTGTGGCCCAGTGGTGGACCAAGAACCTGTTTCCTCAATCGCTTGATGAAATTGACTTGAAGGATTTCTTCGAGGTGAAGAACGTCCAAGATCGTGGCGAGTACTACGATAAACCAAAGGACACCACTGGTGTGATTCTTGTCAGTTCCAAGAAATTGTCAGTTGTGGCTGGATGGAGAAATGAGAAGCACGAGGGTCCATACCAGGTGTACTCTGAGCAAGAGAAGGACACAATTGCATTCCATTTTGTTGGAGATACCAAGGTTGTTTTTCTCGGGTGGATCTAAGCGTAGCCTATCACGATTGTGTCGTCGTTTTCGATATGTATACCCGAACAAAAGTTGGTTCTGTACCTCTTTTGTATGGTTTGATCAATCATACCAAACTTCTATAGATCCAATACAAAAATGTTCCGCTTGGCTTCTATTTCCATATTTCTCGTTGTAATTTCCCTCGAGAAGCTTCAAATACATAGTGGTATTCAAATGTTCGACTAGGTGTTGATTTAGCTGATTACAATCCATTGGGCTGGCTTCTCAAATGTGTTTCTGATGTTCGTTGGTTATGATCATTAGTTGTACCGCATGCCCGACTTTCTTCAAGTTGAAACTTTGTGCTTCTGTTACAGCTTAGCGACAAAGCTAGAATGAAAGCCGACCTATTATTCGAAAGCCCTGAATTTCATGCCAAAATAGCTACATGTTGGGATCGTTATATTAGGGCAAGTGCTGCTTGAAAACCATCTAATCGATGTGAATCGAAAATTTCTTTGAACCCACGCTCCTAGAACAAATTCCAGACAAAGTAATTGCACCTCACCAACATCTTTCAAATTTGGCGAAGTGGTCTTTTTGGTGTACTCACCTATACCAGTCTTGCTTGCCAGTCTACCACTGCGACACCTACAAGATTCCATACCCTTACACAAGCCAATCACCTCAATCACAAACGAAAGCAAAAAATTGACTACTTCGAAATAACGAAATCAGAAAATACTTCATATTCATATAATTATCTCTGGAAAATCTGGCCCTACCATGGTCCACTGTGTGGAGCCTGGTGGAGCTGCGCACACCCTTGCACCGTAGTGGCAATATCATATCGCCAGAATCTACCACCAATCCAACGTATCAACGCAATCCCAACATCCACAATGACCGCCGACGTTGACATGGCCGACGCCTCCGTGGTGGCTGCCTCCAAAGTACAGGATCCTAAAGAAGAAGAGCCCACGCCTGTCAGCTTAACTGAAGAAATCGAGCTGGCATTTGGCCTGCTTCAGAAAGCAGCTGCCAACTTCGACAACAGATATGTTTCCAAGGTGCACCGTGACTTGGGCGGCTTGAGACGCAGAATTGTCGAGGACCCCAATACATTGGCGCTGGTTATTGCTAAAACGCTTCCAGTGGAGCACCAGTCCAGAGACACACTCTTGAGCCAGTTACCAAAGACACAAGTCGACGCTCCCACGTCGGGCGATGTGCTTCCTGAAATCAATGTTTTCATGCACCTTCTTGTCCAGCTCTACCTTCTCGATACACACGAATTGGACCGTTTGGACGAGTTCAACAAACATGTCATTGCCTTGTTGGCCTCCTACAACCGCAGAACCTTGGACTTTGCCCTGGTCAAGGTGTGGTTCTACATTGCCCGCACACACGAGTTGAGAGGCGACTTGTACCTGATCAGACCGGCGCTTTTGGCGGCTCTCAGAACAGCCACCTTGAGACACGACGACGAAACCACCGCCATGGTGATCAACTTGTTGTTGCGCAACTACTTACTCACGCACGAGATCTCACAGGCGGCTAACTTGTGTGAAAAGGTCGTCTTCCCCACGAATGCTGCTAACGCTCTCACCGCCAGATATTACTACTACTTGCTGAGGATCAACACCATTCAATTGGACTACTCGCAAGCACACGAGTGTGTGGTGGCTGCTATCAGAAAAGCTCCTCAGACGCAATTGGCTACCGGCTTCTTGCAGGCAGCCACCAAATTGAACATCATCATTGAATTGTTGATGGGTGACATCCCAGAGTTGAAGGTTTTCAAATCGACGTCAGGTAACCTTGAGCCATACTTCCAGGTGACGAAGGCTGTGCGTCTCGGTGACTTAAAGCTCTTCGGAGAGGTGTTGAACAAGTATGAGGCCGTTTTCGTCAAGGACGACAACTTCACGTTGGTGTCGCGGTTGCGTCAGAATGTCATCAAGACCGGTATTAGAGTGATCTCACTCTCGTACTCCAAGATTTCCTTGAGAGACATCTGCATCAAGTTGCACCTTGATTCAGAGGAGGCTACCGAATACATTGTCTCCAAGGCAATCAGAGACGGAGTGATAGAAGCCAGTCTCAATCACGAACAGAGCTACATGAAGAGCAAGGAATTGTTGGACGTATACTCCACCAAGTTGCCCCAGGAGGACTTTGACCAGAGAATCCGCTTCTGCTTGTCTTTGCATAATGACTCTGTCAAAGCCATGCGGTACCCCTCCGACGACAGCAAGACCGAGTTGGCCAAGAACAACTTGGAGTCCAGAGACGACGAGATGGGTTTATTGCAGGCAATCGAGGACGGTGACTTGGACGACTTCATGGAGTAGGCTACATAGATCATCAAAATAATAGCGTACGCAGCCTGTAGATACTATCAACACATTTCGCACCCAACTGATTACCTACTACCACTCTCAACAACACCATGCCTGAGCCTGAAAACGTGACTCTTCGGTTTGACCAGGATGTCTACGGGACAGCGGAAGATCCGTTCATGCAAGATGAAGAAAAGATTCCGATTTCCGAGCTAATTCCACGTATATTACTAGAAAGACAGTCTTTTCTCAATGTGACTGAAGAACAACTCGAGGAAGAAATCGCCAACAAGGGATCCAATGACGAGGCAGCAGAAGATCATGAAGCTACCGATGCTGAAGATACCGAGACAGCTACTCAGCTTTTTCAAAAACAGAAGTTTGAACTTCTAGGGCACATCAACTTTGCCATGAACGAGACCTCACTTTCGTTAGACTTCATTTCCCTTCTAATGTCAGCCGTGAAACCCAGCATCACAAAGTCGACGATATCGCCGCATCTTAGCAAAGTGGCTCCTTTGGGATCCTTGAATTCAGACAGATTGAACCAGGATGCTGATGCTCAAGAACAGAAGAATGCAAAGGAAACAAAAAGATCCAAGGCAGAGAGCATCGGCCTTGGCTGGAAATATCAATCGCTCAATCACATCAAGACGCTATTCCAGTCAGCCGGTGAGCTGTTGCGCCAACAAGTTGATATTGAGCACAACTACTGGAACATGGTTAACCAGGTATTGGCTCATGACGAGGTGCTATTCAGAGTCAGAGACCCATTGACGGGGAACCGTGCAATTGGTGTAAAGTATGGATATGGAGACTCTGGTCTGAGCTACTTTGACCAGGGCTTGGCTGTGCTTCGTAAAGATGAACTGACAGGAGAACTTACATTTAGCCCAATCATGACGGGTAACCACAAGCTTAGTCTCAAGTCGAACAAATACACTCGAGTGAGGATATTAAGCAAGTTTGATGACGATTTTGTGTTGACCGGTCAGTCTGTGTTTGAAAAGAGCGTGTTGGAGGAGAAGAGCCAGCACAGAGTGATCAATGATATTGAGAAGGCCCGGTACTTTCTTTTTGAGGATGACCTCTTGTATCATCTCATTAGGGAGGCCAAGTATCTCATCAACTATAACGTTTCAATTATCTCGAATAAGGTGATTATTGAGATCCACGATCTGGTGATCGAGATCGAGTCTGTTATCTTTGACGAGAGCAATGAAGAGGAGCTTGAAAATGCATACCAAAACATCAACAAGGAATCTTCGAAGAATAACGAAAAAGCACAAGCAATCTTGACCTTCCTTAAACTCATGTTGTGCTGCTACTACAAGTACAACCTCGAATTGAAGCAGAAGATTCCCACCTCATTCACCAAGTGGAAGCAAAACAACTCGCATCCGTTGATCCTCCGTCCGCTCATAGGACACATCAGGCATGAGATCAACGTCAGGAACATGCACACAATCATAAACAAGATCTACAAAAAGCTCAATCTGGAGGAGTTCTCGTATGAGATAATCGAGGACAAGTACCTCAACCTCCGCAAGGGTAGTCCTGTCAAGAACCCTTTCCAAAAAGCTGTGGAGAAGCCACTTTCGAAATTCAAGGTTATTCTACAAAAACTCAAGACCAAAGAGCACCTCTTGGTCGAGCTTGATGTTACGGCTGGAGACATTTTCGTCAATTTGATCATGAATTTGACTGTTTCTAAATATGCCAACATCGAGGACCTTCAACAAAACCAGCTGGGCACAAACGTGCTCCAGTTGTCATTTACGGACATTTTTGAGATCGAAGAGAGCTTGAACTGGACCGTTCTTAACTTTGTCCTGAGCTAAAGAGGCACGACTTGCGCGTCGGCGGTCTTTCTGAGCTCTTCACCGTGCTCCGCAAGATAAGTCTTGACACGCGTGTACTTTTCGGTCTTCAAGTTGTTGTAGATCAAGAAGTTGAGCCAGATTTCCAAAAATGCAAAAGTGAAGACGAGGTTGTTGGCAACCAACCCGTAGTTGGAAGAAATGCAGAAAGCGCCCAAGACGAAGTTGAACATCAAACGCACGGGCACGAGATTTTCGAAATAGGGGATGTTCTCCGACAAGAGGGGAACCAAGTCACTCAAGGCGTAGCTTGAGAGGAACACGGCAATGAGACCGAAAAGTGGGTTGGTCGTGGTCACCTGGATGGTAGGCAAACGCATAGCCTGGCCCAAAAGAATGGAAAAGTTGGCGTTGGTGAGAGCCAAGGGGTTCTTGATGAGCATGAAAGCCAACCATAGCAAGAAGGCTATGCGGATGTATAGCACGATGTTGGCGGTCAAAAATTGCATGGCAAGGAAGAGTAGTATGTGAGTTGCGATGCGTCGCGAACTCTAAGTACGCGAGGAGGAGCTGACCTAATGTAAGCGATTTGGTAATAATTTTTTGTTGTAGGTAAGAAATGAAATGGTGAATGAAGATTGATGAGTGATTTATGTTTCGTTGGTGTATTGGGATGTTTTGTGATTTATAAGCTGACTAATGTTCGTGAGATATGGGCGGTGTCGCAGAACTGAGGCAAATTGTCAGAAACACTGACCGCTTTTAAACTGAAACCATAAGAAAGAAATATAAAAACCACTGAAGTACCAATCTCAAGATTAAGTTGGATGAGGATTATCCTCAACACGAAAAAAAAAAAAAAAAAAAAAAAAAAAAGGAGATAAAGCTATTCCTGGTGCTTCGATCACTTCTCCGGTGAAGGGCATCATAATGAGAATATGTGGTACTCGGGCACCAGATCCTTGAAGGATAGTGTTTTGATCTCACATAATACTGCAATGTAGTTTCCATATATGCTGGGTACCACACTGCGGCCTCCCTTTGTGTCCTTGACTCGCGATTTGCAGCCATTCTAGTTAACCCCCAACTACCCATCTTTTCCTTGAACCCACAGAATCTTCAGGGTCATTTACAAAAAGCATCTCTCATTTTCATAAATCCAAATAATCAACATCCTTTTCTCCCAGTATGGTTTTCGTTTCTCTCATGAAATGGTTCCGCTCCAAGCTTGGATCCAAGAGCACTGACGACAATACAGACGTCATTTCAAGCAACGAACGAAATACTGATGGTGGTGGATATGAGGCTGCCAAAGAGCCAGGAAGCAGTACCAGCCTCGGAGGTGCTATCCGAAAATCCAAGGCTTCGTCTACTCCGTCAAGGCTTCTTTCCGATATGGACGTTGCTTTCGGTACCCGCTTAGGGTGACCAGCCGGCAGCGCCTTTAATATCTAGAATCAAAGTAGTTTAGTTCATTGAATAGATACCGAACCCACCAGGCTGTAGGATATTTCTGATCACTTGTTGATCCATGGCTCATGCCCGTATGTCTCCATACTATGTCGCATTTTGCACCCATTCACTTCTGGCGACGTAACACCAAGCTTGAATACGGATTTACTTCAAAGTATCATTTGGAGGTAGTTTTGTATATTTGTCAATTAAGTTGAACCCAAAAGGTTCGGATGGCCCTACGTTCCACGTCTAGGCAGGTATCCGCCAACATACGGGCACAACTATACAACTACAAACGGCCAATTCTCGCTCCAAAAAAGCCAATCATACAATTCACTCAACCTTCATCAACCAGAATATCAATTTCGCTCAAATTCCCACCACAATATCCCCAATTTGCTGATCTCCACTTACCAGCCTTTGGAGCCTCCTGCGTGGAGCCTCGCGACCACGTCAAAGTGTTTAGCGTTTCTATAACCAATACCTACTCCTTAAAAAACCACCAATGCACTTCTTCAAAGCCGCTTCGTGGCTTCCGCTTCTAGCAGGCGCCTTGTCATACACCATCAAGTCGGGCCTGGTTTCCGTAAATGGCAATAAGGCCTTTGACATTGAGCCCAAATCCGACACTGTCCATAGAGTTACCCTCGATTCTGTCAGAGACAAGTTGGCACTCACTGTCGAGCTCAAGGGTGCTCAAACCCAGCCTCACCAGTTGAACTATGTCTTCTCCAACGATGCCGGTTTGGACCACGCCATTTTCCCAAAATTCGATGCTAAAAAACAGACCGTGTCGCTGCTGCTTCTCGTGAACAAGATTCCAGCTGCTTTGCTCCAGGACCGTGTTTTCGTTTATCTTGTTGCTGCCAGTGAGCAGAAAAAGGGCAACTTGTACACTTTGGTCGGTGAGCTTATCCCCACTGAGGCGTTGCAGTCATCTGTCAACTACGAGGCACCAGATAGACTCGGAGCCCAGCCTGAGATCCACCACATTTTCAACGAGGACCCCAAGACCGTCAACCCTGTTGTACCTCTTGCGTTCAGCGGCGTGGCAATTGCCCTTTTCCTCGGCTTGGTGGGCGCCTGGTTCTCTGTCGTGGGCAACTCGTTGTTTGTGGCCAACCAGGGTATTCCATTCAAGGGCGGGTTCCTCACTACGCTTGCTCTTTTTGAGTTTACCTTCTTCCGCTACTACTTGTCTGCGTCGATCTTCACCACGATCTTCTCTGTGGCAGCCCTCACTGCCCCTGCTCTTATCTTTGGCGCCAGAGCCTTGAAGTTCTTGACCAAGCAGCGTACCATTGTCGAGGCATCCACATAAGTTATGTATAGAAAAGTTCAGTTAGCTGCTGTTGTAGCCCTTGGGTTTGGTTGGTCACTGAGATGCCGAAAATTATGTTGATCTATGAAAGATGCCGAAAATTATGTTGCTCTATGAAAGATGCTGAAAATATGATGCATTGAATATTTCAAATTGCGGTGCCGTTGACCTTCCGGTTCAGGCCATTGATGATATCCCCATCAATTACTAATTGAATGTAAGTGTCTGATGCTGCCTCCATGTTATAAAACAGCCCTCTGCTCACCCACCTAGAGCACCCTCCAACACCCTCTCTATCGTTCATTCATTCTCTACATCACTCGTCCACAAAGGTATTCTGTACCCAGCGCAGGTTTAAAAACGACTGTCCATCCTCGCCCATCAACCCGTGGCTGCTCAGACTCACCGCAAAGATCTTGCCCTTGATCAACCCCATTGGCACACACCCCAAGGTCCTCAGATCCACAGATAAGTTCAAATTGTCTCCTGTCACCCACACGTGGCCCTCGGGACCCTAATGTACCGATTGTAGCCGTCGTTCAGCACCTGGTCCGCAGGCAGATACGCCAATTCAGAAGACTTAGACGGATCCACAAGCACAACGTCCCCTGGCATCCCCAGAACCCGCTTACAAACACGAGCTTTTGGATCTGTGGGTTTGGCCATCACCACCACGTCGCCCATCTGTACACCACGTCCTAGACGGTAGCGCTTCAGTTCATGGACAAAGTCTCCACGAGAAGCTATGGTATTGAGCATGGACTCGCCTCGAGTTTCTGTGTATTCGTAGATGTGGACGTGTGTGAAGTGGAGGAAGGCTAGGGCCCGTAGGGCCCACAGTAGGGTGTTGTATGTGTAGCGGAGGGTGGACATGGGAGATGTGAGTAGTAGTTGATGGTGCGATTGAGGATTGATGAGGGTGGATGGGGGAGGGAGAAATTGTAGGTGGAAGGTTGCCAAAAGTCGGTAAAAGAGAGTTTTGAAATGATCGATTTTGGTTTTAAGTTGTTGGTTATAGTTGCCGGCGAGGAGATGGCTATGTTGGAGAGATGGTCAACTGGTGGATGCAAGGGTCCTTCATAGGTGAGACAATGGAGTTGAGATTGGCAACGACACAATCCGGAGAATTTGATTTATTTCATTGATTGATCAAGCTTAGACAACAGTTATCATTTATCCGATTTTCTTTGGTTATTAGGCTACTTAGGATATCATTGTATCATAAGAACCAATAGTGTCATAAATGGCTGCGAAATTCTTCACCAGCTATTAATGAGGTAATTGTGGATAATCTCTCGGTACCCGTTTGACAATTACTCATAGGCTCCCACCCTTAACTTAAATGCTCCACGTCAAATTAATCGATGGAACGAAAACACCTATTTCTTATAACTTCACCGGCAACCTGCCCCACCACTACACTATCACCCTCCTGTCTCGTTTATTATGACGATGCTATGTACGGCTGGATCAAGCCCACTCAGGCGTAGGCTCGGAACGACGGCCTCCACGGCCGCCACGGCCTCTGCCGCCTCTACCTCTGCCACGGCCTCTACCACGCCAGTTGCCTCTCCCACGAGAACCCTCCTGGCCGAATGTATCCATATTGAGCGAACGCTCCTCGTTCCAGCGCATGTTGCCACGCTCTGTGTTTGAGGACGAGATGGTGTCGAAAAACGACGAGCTCTTGTCATACTTGGGCTTCTGGTCGCCGGCGCTCTTCTTTTCAAATCTGGCATTGGCCTTTTCAAAGTCAAACTCGCCCGACTGCTCCTCGGGCTCCGGCCTGTCGACAGGCTTAGGGCTCTTTTCCTTGGTGGTGGCGCTAGGCTCCGGCTTGGTTCTAGAAGCTGGAGTAGGAGAAGGTTTCGATTCAGGAGCCTTTTCGGTCTTGGATTCCGAGGAGCCAGTAGGAGCAGCTTGTTGCTGCTGCGCCACGCCACCAGGGCCACTTGGAGCCTGAGAAGGAGCTCCTGTAGGACCAGCCTGCATTCCTTGAGTAGGAACAGCAGGATAAGTTGCACCAGTGTAAGGCTGAGGCTTGACGTCGTCGATGGCCTCGTCCAAAACGGTCAAGTCCCTGACGTCTGTACCTCTGAAAACCACGAAGTCGTAAATATCAGCACCGGGCATGACCTCCATGTGGGCCAAACCTTGGGCAGCCATTCTGCCTTCAGTGCCAAAAGGACGCACCAGCTTCAAGGAAACGGTGGCATCCTCGCCATTGATGTTTTCCAAGATACCAACATAACGAAGGTTCTTGTTGGAAATCAACGAAATGGTTTTGCCAATGTACTGGGACATAGCAAACTGGTATTTGCACTGGTCTGAGATCTGGAGTAGGTGTAGGTTGATGGTCCGCTGCGCACCCGTACACCCCAGACTACATCCACCATCACCAACCTCTCAAATATACATATACAGCTAGAGGAATTCTTCACCATGTCCACTGAAGAGCCCTCTGCGTTGGAGACTGCTGAGCAGCGTGCAGAAGAGAACTTTCTCCAGAATGATGATGACAAGGAGCTTCCTGATACGGTTGGTGAGGAAAACATAGAAGACGACCAGGACCCACAAAACGATGTTTCTGGAGTCGACGAGGCCCAGCCGGAGCCCCAGTTCGATCCCGAGCTTCCTCAGGAGGAGCGTCAGGAGTACGACGACGAAGACATCTACAGCATGCAGAGCCACAAGAATGCTCTGGGCGAACAGACGAAAAAGAAGAATATCAGAAGAACCGCCAAAGACGAGCTGGCCACGCCGGCACCCGAGGCCCTGTTTCCTGCTACATACGAGGAGGATGACGGTATCGACTACCTGAACGAGGATCCTGCGGCCAGAAGACGCCGTTTGTTGGAGGAGAAGATGGACCAGGCGGTGAAAAACAAGACAGTGAGAAGAAAGAAGGCCGACGAGGACGACTTGGAGCGCATGCAAGACGACAGGATTGATTTCTTGAAGAACAAGATGATTGAGGCTGCTAACCTCGACGTGGAAAAGAACTCCAACGGGCAGATTGCCACGGAAAAGCTCAAGCTTCTAAGAGAGGTGATTGACACCATGAGCAAGGCCGACTTGGCCATTTCCATTTTGGACAACAACCTTCTTGAGGCCGTGCGTTTGTGGCTTGAGCCCTTGCCTGACGCCTCCATGCCTGCCTATCAGATCCAGAAAGAGTTGATACACTCCCTCACAACTTTGCCTATCAAGACCGACCACTTGGTCGCTTCTGGCATTGGTAAGGTTTTGGTTTTTTACCAGCGCAGTAAGCGTACAGAGCCCACATTAAAGAAGATCGTCGATCGTTTGATCGGCGACTGGACCAGACCCATTCTCAACAAGTCAGACTCATACAAGGATAGAACCATCCGTTTCCACGACTACAACAAGCTGCGCTTCCTGAACCAGTTGCAGCTGAAGAAGCGTTCCAAGCAGATCGAGCCCAAGTCGCTTTACGAGCAGCAGGCTGAGCGCAGAAACAGAGCCGCCATTCCAAGTGCTAGAACCACCGCGTACAAGATCGCTCCAAGAGTGGATCCTAGCTTATTGGCCAGACAGGGTAGGGGTGGCACTGACGAGCGTTTCACCAGAATCAACCGTAAGATGACCAACTCGCGTAAGAAGCTGGTCAAGAAAAGCGGACCTTCCATTGAGGGCAAGAACCTCTCCATGTAATATAAAAAATGTCATCGTTAGTCAAAACTACACTGTAGTGGTGATGTGGAAGAATGTTGTTAGAGGCAGTTTTTCTTCAAGTGTATCAGAGATCATAGTTTGGGGCTCCTTAAGTATGTGACTTGCAGCTGGTATATCACAGGAGCTCTTACCAAAACGGTAGATCCTTATCAATATGGTGCATTAAAAGACCCAAGATAAAGGCCCACTTCTATTGATTGCATCCCATAGTCACCGTTTCAGATCATCATTATTTATGGTATTCAGACCAATGTGGCAGGTTTTCAATATGTGATGGTTCTGAGTATCCAGTCCAGGGCTTCACTGCTATGATCCACGCCTCACATAGAAACGTTCATATAAATCACAAAGCTCTACATAATAAGATGACCTTCATAATTGAGAAGTTTGGCAAACCACATCAAAAAAAATTTTTTTTATCAAGATGTTGGAGTTTTAAGGGTTTCATAGATAAGACTGTGGACTGTGTTGCACACTGGTCAATTTCAACATTGGAAAAATAAACCCCATAATCTGTCCATCAAACTCTTGCATTTCAATAGTATCCTAACTGAGGCTAACTTAAGGGGTTTTTGTTGAACAACTAGGGTAGGATCATAGTGATGGACCATCTCCATCAAGTACACCCCACCGTCGATCTGTGAAAAATTGCCAACAAGTAGTGAAATTTACAGCTGGCTCTACATCGCCAACCCCAACAGCAAAACTGCTCGGCGGCCCGTCGGAACGTTATTATTTTATTGATATGACACATGAGGCAAGGAGCTTACGATCTTGGCTTCTCCTTCTTCTCCTTCCACAAAGCCAACAAGGAGACACCAGAAACCTTGACAACCTTGAATCTGACACCTGGGATATCACCCTTAGCCTTACCTCTTCTACCGAAACCGGCCAACAAGACCTCGTCGTTCTCGTCGACGAAGTTCAAACAACCGTCATTTGGCACGAAAGCGGTGACCTTCTTACCGTTCTTGATCAATTGCACTCTGACACACTTTCTAATAGCGGAGTTTGGCTGCTTGGACTCAATACCGATCTTCTCCAACACAATACCCTTGGCGTGGGAAGAACCACCGAATGGAGACGACTTGAAAGCGGTACCCAACAATCTGGACTTGTAAGCCTGGTCAGCCCATCTGTTGTTACGTCTGTGAACTCTCAACTTTCTGGCCGAGTTAAGACCTCTTGGTTTACCGTTACCCATGTTTGAAGAAGTTGTATGAGAAGGGAAGTTCTGAAGTGAAGGTGAAGATTTTTGGTGGGTAATTTTTTCTCGCGAGCGCATCACGTGAGCTCGCTACGGAAGTGCGATGCCCAGGGGGCCCCAGTGTTCACGTGAGACCGCGAGTCTACAGGGCTCTAGCCCTGCGAACCCCCTGCCAACCTCCCACAATTCTGGCATGGCAGGTTTTGGGAGGTTTTTTGTTGAATTTATGGTTCGTTTAATAGAAAAGGAAGTGGATTTGAATATGTGGTTACGTAGTACAAGGGGACCCTGTTTGTGACTGCTGTGGTCTACCGAGGACATAGTGGAAGAGCGAGGAGGTTGGTCTAGTACGAAACGAAATCAGTTTATCGGTATCGTATAATTGAAAGTGGTTTAATTTACACCTTATTGGGAAGGCGCTTCAAATGGTTGAAATTGAGGTGGGCTAGTTTTGATTGATATGAAGGAGATTTTAGTGCCTTCTACGTCTCTTGTACTGGGCTATGCCAGGCACCCAAAATGCATACCAGAAGCATACAGTTCTTGACCTCATTTCAAATGATGTGCTTATTCAGAAATTTGATGATGTTGTATCGTCTGGGGAGGCACCGTCATGACTGGATGTAAGAACTGGGTGCAAAATGAGAAGTGAAATTTCACTATCTAACATGCTATCAAAGCTCTGAGCAGCCTATAGAATACTGTAAGGAAAATTCTCATACTATCATCATGAGGGATCTGACCATTATTTATTTTGTTGTAGTTGTCTCGATCTTTGCAAATTGGGCTCTTCCCTTGTAGAAGAGGTTCACAACTGTTCTCTCACACTTATGATGAAAAGTTTAGAAACAGGGCCATCAAACTACCAAAATGTCTCTAGAGGCTTTACTTTCCATTATTCTCGCTTCATTATAGATTTCATGGCATTGCTTTTCGGAATACCCGTGCCGAGTCTGGAACCATATGCGGCTTTGAAGCTACAAGACCACAATAGTGCCTAAGCGAGATAAGCTTTGCAGCTTCTATATAGTCCTGACAAATTCTAAGGAATTTCACTGGAAGCCAAATAATTGAATTTGTCATTGAGCTATTCTTTTCTTCTTTAGCTTTATCACCTATACTGTTCTAATACATGGAGACCCTGCAATGCATGCACAGTCTAATCTCAAAATATTCTATTGACGTATTGACACCTTTGATTGTCTCACACTATGTGGGGATTGACAACATCAATATGGTAATAAATCAGCTCAAAGCGTTCATTCAATTTTGTGTAGTTGAAATGGCCAAGCTGGCCGTAGAATTATTTATCGCCCGGAGATAGCGTATTACAATGACAGGTTCATACGGGTTTTCCATACTTAACAATATATTTCACATTCCCAATCTTTCCTGGGTCTACACAAATCCTCTATAAGTAGGTTATTCCTATGTGACTTGAAGCAGAACGCTAGAGACAACACTTCCCGGTTCGTTCTCATTCGACGATCCTGCGCCCGTTCTATACTGTAACAAATGAATATAATGTCTTGCAGCTTATTTGAGAGCAGCTCTAGCCAAAAGCTTTGTCTTTCTGGACTTGAGCGCTTTCAAAAGCAACAAAAAGAGCATGTCGAGCTGGTCCTTGAACATGAATAACAAACCCTGCACGATAACACCCTTGAGCAACTGAGGTGCCACACCCTTGTATAAGCCTCTAAGCTTTTCAGTCTTCCACAAGTGGCTCAATGCCTGTATGAAGCTGTCGAACTTGATGTCTTCCTCCTCCTCGTGTTTTTGCAAGATGATCTTGCCGTTCTTGCCCTCGGGAGCTTTTTGCAGCTTCTTTTGAAGCATGGCCTTGGAGACAATGAGTGGTTGCGTGGCAAGCGTGGCCATGGACTTGGCCAACATACCCAAGCTGAAGGATTCCAAGGGACCCAAGAACTGCTTGTTGTTGTAGAGCACCTGCTTCAAACGCTCGTACGAGCCGTATGTTATACTTGGGTTGATGCACAACACTAAGGAGACGCTCAAACCTCTCCAGAAGCCAACAATGCCGTCATGGACGTAGATCTCCTTGGCCAACTGGAACAACGTACGGTGGTGCTTGTCGGTTTGCTGCTGCGTGGTGATGACACCGATAGGCATTGTGAAGAGCTGGGAAATAGCGGCAGCCAAGGCACCCAAGAACAACTCGATTGGTGTGGAGTGTTTGGCATTGACACCCTTCTTGGTCAATTCACCGTACACCCTCTTGACGATGGAGTACCAGTAAAAGTAGGAGAAGTTCTGAGCCGCCGTGCCCAAAATGGACGAAAGAAGACCGTGGTACCATCCCAAAACGCCCTTCTTCTCGTAGATCTTCTTCAACACATCGGCGGTGTTTTTGTATTTGAGGCCATTGTTGTTGGCCTTTTGCTTGAAAACAGAATCCTCACCCTGCGATGCGGAGCTGCTGAAGCCCGCGTCGGTCTCTTCACCGGCCTTCTTGTCATGTTTCTTCACTTGTGTTTGAATGATGGTTTTGCTCAAATCCAAAGGATAAACCAAGGTATTGGCAATCACAGAGGCCATGGCGCCGGAGGCAGCCTTCTCGAGGGGTGAAAGGGACATGGTGTAGGGATTTTCTAGAAAAGACCTGGAGCCCTAATAAATAAATAAAAGTGGTAGCAAAATAGCGCTGCTGAGTGCGCCAATGAGGAGGTTATATGAGGCTGCGGACCCCGGTTTCTTTTTTCGTTCCTGCCGAGGATATCGCATTCCCCACATGGCAGCTACCGGACCCCTCCTTTGGCAGGCGGCGGCACAGAGCGTTTTTTGAAACCATTTAATAAAATACGGCTTTAAAGCCAGCTCTTGTGATTTCGCCAATGCAATTTTTTTTTCAAAAACGAAGACCATTTGAGCCTGCTAGGCTGCTTCTCTTCTGTGATCACGTGACCTAAACTCTGGGTGCAAATCGCATTGGCACATTCTGGCGTGTGCGCGATAACATGCACATTTGGTCCGTGGTTGCAAAAGAACGGTTTATTTAGCGAGAGGTTGGCGTTTGCCGAAGTTGTTGAATCCTGATTGGTTCAATTTCCCTTGAAAAACCCGTACATCCATTTATTTTTCCCCAGGCGGGGAGCGGCTCTTGCCCAGCGGAGCTTCTGTCTGGTTTAGGCACCAGTCGCCGCTTGAACGGAACGATCAAATCACAGTATCACCTAAACGGCCTCCAAAGAAAATGTCTTCTAAAACCGGCTGCAGCCAATCATGTCACCCGAAATGCATCGATAATTTGCTGCAGTTCCTGTGCTTGCTTGTTTTGGTTGAGTGCCTTGGCTTTTCGAGACATATGATTTTTCCGAATTTTGGGTTGCTTGTGCACAGCGGCTGCTGCAACTGAGACACCACAATAGACGAGTAGCCGAGCCGCTGAACGGTGACATCATCAACGTTTATTTTGTCAAGCCAATACCACCAAGGTGAATTCAACGGTTTTTTGATTTTGGGGATTTTTGGGATACTCCAAAAATTATTTTCATCGGGCCTTGGAATCGTGAAGGTGGGCCCATATGATTTCAGTAATTTTCACAAGACAGTCAAGACAGCGCTCACAGATGGGCAAATCTCATGAGGCATTTTGATTGGAGACTCAAATTTGGCCATGCTAGCTGCGTTTTCTCCATCTCGGCTGATTTTGAGTTTATTTCTTTTCCGTAGATCCTCAGCCTTGATCCTCGGAAGGCATCTCGAGATAAGGTTAGCCGGAGATAAGCTGTGGACATGGCTTGGTTGATAGGAAGAAAGATATTGGTTGAAGGAGTGAATCTGGAATTTGCTCGGAGTATCGGATTTAAGTTATCCAGTAATTGAGGTTCGGTATTTGGTCGATTCTGATGGCACCACTTAATGGCTGCAATAGTGGACTCTATAACAAAGCGAAACATCCGAACTATGATAACCAAGTTATGAACAACAAGCTTATGCTGTTTAATTGTGAGGGCCGTAGATTTGCAGTTTTTAATTATGACTAACCTCTCTGATGAATAGATAACAGGATTCGCTGCAGGGTCCTACTCTAACATATCCATAGGTTAGGTTCGGAAGAGATAAGCAGAAAAAAAAAAAACAGGAAACGAGATCTTGCTAATGGCTTAACATCCGCTTGTCTCTTCTAATCTGAATGTCCCCGATGGACCATAAAACAGCTTCCTCAGGTGGCCCACTCCACAACGTTCCTATCGGTATCACACACAAGTAGACTGTTTGCCCTTGCATCAAAACTCTTGATTCGCCCCTCTCCCCTCTTCAACTCCACAACCACACCCTCCTTGAGCAAATCAACTCCTCTCACCACTCCATCTTCTCCAAACACCCAAAGTCCACTTCCATCAGATCTCCAACTGATAAGTGCCTGACTGTATTTGTCTTGCGGTGACATGGTGTTAATGTTTGTGATGATCTGATTTCGACGAACACTATCGCCGTCTTTGCCAAATTCCTTAAGCGAAACAAGCACCAATCGCATGTAGGGCTCATGAGAGGTACCTACTGCAACCAAAGGAATGGGTCCACCGTTGTAAATTTTAACAGCATGAGGCGAGAATCCAGCAGCAGTGAACTCGGCATCGTTAAGGGCGATTTTGAACGAAAGGTCCAATTTGGTGTCGTTGATAGTGAGTACGTCCATGAGAGTCATTTCTGACTTTCCAACCACAACCACAAGCTGGTCCTGGTAAAGGCATGCGTCCATACACAAGCCTCTATTGGGGAGCTGGTATGGCGTAAAGGCCTCCTCAATACTGTTTTCTTTCATTTCGTACACCTTGACCAAGAAGTCCCAACCCATGGTCACCAAGTAGTTCTTGTCATTCCATTGGACAGGCACGATTTCAGTGATTAACTTGGTGTGAATTTGCTGTTCATAAGTTATTTCAAATTTGGCTTCCTCGTCAAGGCGGCCCATGTAGAGCTTTCCGTTCATACCACATAGAAGTATGGATGAACCAACCACCTTGATGTTTCTCACGACAGTGCCGATGACTCGAGGATTCACAGAAACAACAGTATTCTTGGCCAAATCAGAAACTATCAGGTCCATCTTTGCGGTTGCAAAAAGGCCATAAGTGGTCCCTTTTGTTTCATAGAGTGCACTTGCAACCACCAAATCTCCAACACCAGCTATGTCTCGTGGCGTGTTGGGGTAAGGAGCCAGCCATTCTTTGAATTGGTTCTTCTTGAGTGTTTTAAGCTCCTCGCTAAGCAAGACTTCATGCAGACTTTGTGGTTTTTCCTCAATGCTGATGTACTTGAGTCTGTCGGTGATGATATCGTGGAGGTCTTCTTCGTGAGGCAATTGTGGAGAAATTGGCTTCCCGTGTTCGTTCTCAAAGGTCTTGAGAGTCTCTAGGTACCCCTCCTTTTTGAGGAAATGGGCCACGAACTGATGTACAGACATGGCTTGTTGGATCAAGTAGTACCGATTTGGTGATAACTGCACGTGATGCAATTTTCAAGTCGACCAGAGTTGACATTGGGATTTTTAATTTTGATGTGTTTTACGATATTTTCAAATGATTAAGAGTTTGTTGTTTGTAAGATCTATATTTATTGTGTGTGTATGCTTTGTGGAGTAAAATACTAGTGGTGCAATGCCTCAGGATCCATACAATACAGTGAAGCATTGACACCAAGCTGATGAAATACAAGCGAATGATTCTAATTCTGTAGATGCTATTGGAATGCTATTAAAAAAATGCTATGCTATGTGTGACTGGGCAAGGGAAGATCAAACTTCTTGCACATCTCTTCTGTCTGTGGATTAGGCCAGTACTGAAGAGGTGGTCTTTCGTCCTCAAGCATACTGGGGGCCACGCGTTCAAAATTCAAAGGCACCTCAAGATCCCGACCTGTGTACTCATTTGCAGCCTCAAGGACCTTCTCTTCAAGCTCCTCCACGAACTTCACTCCACTGTGGCCTGAATCGAGTATGATTTGTGGATCTAAATCCAGCCACTGATCGAGGTTATCTTTAATAAACGACTCAATAGTTCGCTGCGCTGCCAAAGCTTGCGGATCGTAAAAGAGCAGCTTGGAGTCTGTCGATGGGTGCAGTCTTGGCTCCACATCCACGTAGTCTAGGAACGCCCTTCGAGGAAGACACTTGTCTAGCGCCAAAAACGACGTTTTCCGGGTCACCTTGCGGAGCTTCTTGGGCGCCGTGTCATCCATATCTAGCTCTATCTCGTTGCTATCACCATCCATGTCGAGGCTGATTTCACTATCGTTACTGCGTTCTTCACTTTCCTTGACTTCCTTCTCGAACTGAGCCGTGAATTTCACGTGTAGATGCAGCGAGAACCAATGAGGTGGGACAAGCTTCTCCAAAGCCGCTCTAGCAGCTGGAGAGCCCAATTTGCCTGACTGCATGTCCTCTTTGAAGAACTTCTTCTTCCTGAGGAGCCCCCTTTCATCGCCATATTGCCAGATCCCCTTTGGCCAATCATGACTAAGGACAATGTCGCTTTTGCCGCTCAAAAGCAATTTAAGGAGGTTCTTGGGCTTGACGTGATACGCCAGTCGAAGCGATCCTGGATTATAAGGAAGCAGGTAATTTTCCGTCCGCTTTCTGTAGAAGGTCAGGCCGTTCCAGATGCCCAGTATCCCGGATATACGGATCCCTTTATACCAGACACTTCCAAATTCTCCCAAGTAGTAGATATTTGGTGCAACCCATCCGCCGTACTGGAGTTCTCGGAGGTAGGAGGAACACTCGTGATTGCCACCAATGAAAATAGTAAGAACAGGGGCCTTTTTCTTGCCAGAATAGTAATCAGCAAAATCACCAAGCTGCTTGTATTTTGGAGGAACGCTGATTGTGTCCAAGTCAGTGATGTTTCTGAGAGCCTGGAAATCACCACATATTATGAGAATCTCAACACCAGGCTTGAGGCTCTTATATATAGCGTCTAGCGCTCCATGACCACACCCTTCCACGGCCACATGTACCATGAAATGTAAAAGAGTGGGTTGTTGTAGATGTTGGTGTGGTGAGACAGTAGGAGCGCTAACTACAGGACATCGCAGTATGGGGATCTATCGATACATATAGACGACACGCTTAAAACTTAAAGACGTGATCCTTGTTGTAGCCCAATTCAGCCAAGACACCAGTGACCTCGCCCTGGTCGGTTGGAGACACCTTCATACCCGAGAGGGCCTTGTACATTGGTGGAGGACCACACACAAAGATCTTGGAGTCCTTGGATGGAGGAGGCAAGTGGTCCTTCAAGAAGTCCTTGCCAATGTAACCGGTGTTGCCTTCCCAGCCATCCTCAGCCTTGTCAACAAAGTAGTGGATCTGGACCTGGTCCTTGTGCTTGGCGGCAATCTCGTCAATCTCCTTCTTCAACAAGATGTCAGGAACGCTGGTTGAGGCGTAGTACAAGTCAACCTTGGTCTTGTCCTCTGGGTTTCTGGCGATCTCGCTGAGCAAGTGGTACAATGGGGTGATACCGGATCCGCCGCCAATCAAAGAGATCTTCTCAAACTGGTTGGGGTCCCACTTCCACTTGACAACAGGGCCCTTGAAAGCAACGGTGTCATCGGGCTTCAAGTTCCATAAGTGCTTGGAGAACTTACCGTTCTCGTAAGTCTTGATAACAAAGTCAATGGTGCCCTTCTGGTCGGAGTCAGAGATTGGGGTGTATGGTCTGATGACGTTGTTACCCTTTTCGGTCACGTACTTTGCCATCAAACAGGAGGCGGTGATCAAACCGGAGGTGTGCTCGGGGTCCTTGAGCTCAAACACGTAGTGTCTGGAGTCGTGGGAGACCTGACGGGCCTCCTTCAACTTCAAGTCGATCCATTCGTCGCCACCGGTGAAGGTCTTACCGGTATCGTTCAAGATAGGGTTGGACAAACGGTAGGCCAAACCAACAGCACCAATGGCACCGGCAGCGCCAATAAGCGGCCACAAGTTTCTGGATTGTAATCTAGCGAGCATTTTAGGAGTAATTGCCTGTGGGGAAATAATCGAGGGGGGTAGAATGGTGGCGCGGAGCTCTCTTTTATATGAGCAATGAGCGTTTCTGAGCAAGAGAGTAAGTGAAAAGACGATAGGTGGAGGGTTCGGGACCTGCACATGCGGGGGCCACCAGGCAATTGTGGGCAGTCTGCCTGAGGCATATTCCGCGCCACACACGGGTCTAAACCCCAGGCCTCAAGAAAAAAAGAATATGGAATCTCGTTGCAGCGGAAGTACCCCTATTTATACTGGGGTCGGGCGACTCGCAGGGGGTGTTTCTAGAGAAGTACAAATACCGCCCGAATCCCCCATGCTTCGTTTTTTGAAATAGGGGACCGGACTCGTAGCAACTCTACTCCGGCACCAAACAGGCCGGTGCACTATCAGCAACCGAGCGTACGACCCACTACGTCAGTTGACTTGTTTGTGTCAGTTAGTCTTTTCCTTAGTAATGTTTAAAGGAAAATCACAGCGGGAATTGCTCCAGGTGGCCAGAACCATCATCCAGCCATTGAAGCCAAATTACCATAAGGGCCAGGCAGGCAAGATCGCCGTGTTTGGTGGTTGTGAGGACTACACGGGTGCACCTTTCTTTCTGGCCCATTCGGCTGCTTTGGTGGGTGCTGACTTGAGCCATGTTGTCTGTGAAAAGCAGGCTGCTCCGGTGATCAAGGGCTATTCGCCAGACTTGATGATCCACCCTTATTTGTACGATTTGGAGAATGCAGACCTTCGCCAGTGGATCTCGCCCGAGATTATCGACAAGCTCAAGAAGAAACCGCTAGAGGAGGTCCTCAATGCCAAGGACGAGCTCGACAAGATTGTGGAATCGCATGTCTTGCCCAAAATCTCGGGGCTTATGCTGAGAGTCGACATGTTCGTGGTTGGTCCTGGTTTTGGCAGAGACCCGCTTATGCTCAAGACCTTGATCCGCGTCATTGAAGAAATTAAGGTCGTGAATAAGCCCGTCATTTTGGACGCCGATCTGCTCTACTTGGTATCGGTTCGCCCTAATCTTGTAAAGGGCTACTCCAAGGCTGTTCTCACGCCCAACGTGGTGGAATTCGGCCGCATCTGCCAGGGTCTTGCAATTGATAACACAGACGATGTTGATTGTGCCAAGCGAGTCCTGAAGGCTTTGGGCCATGTCACTTTGATCAAAAAGGGTGCCCAGGAGGTGATTGTTCGTAACGAGAGCCACATAGTCAACGAGATGCCGGGCTCCCTTAGGCGTGTCGGTGGCCAGGGAGACACTTTAACGGGTGCCTTGGCCACATTGCTTACTTGGGCTGAGCACTACAAATCTGGCTTTTGGGATGGTTCAGGCAAGATTGACGAGGACGAAGCTGTGTTGCTTGCCTGTTTCGCTGCTTGTTCTGTGGTCCGTGTGGCCAGCTCCAAGGCTTTCTATAAGTACAAGAGAGCGATGCAGGCCCTGAATGTCCACGAGTACTTGGGGGAGGCATTTGAAGAGTTGTTTGGAGCCTAGTGGACAATGAGTCTTCACGTTTTCGATGTTAATGAACAAAGACATTCTTGCGCCTGGTGGTCTGTCAACATAAGTCACCTGGAACTACGTTAGCTGCTGGCGGCTTGAGGGTCCATCAGACATGAACTTAGGTGTCGGAAGAGGTGAATGCTGTGGAGCAGGAGAGCCAATTCACCACAGGTTTGGTTTCTACAGCTTTGAACCTGAAGCGCCCTAGTTGAGCAGATATCGCCCGCATCCCTGGAATCTCTTCACAAATGGAACCCGACACCAGTCATCTGTCTGTTTACATCGTTAACCATTCCTGGTGCAGTGGTCGTGACACCAGCAGCTTGTTCAAATATGGCAATTGCACGCAAACAACTTGGGTAACTCAAGCGCAAGAACTTTTTTCGTCTCGTTATACCTATTTTGGTCTCATGGAATAGGGCCAAAAAAGGCAACAATAAAGTCAAATGAGATACTAGATAAGCTGACCGTGAATGGTATCATGGTCACATCAGCGTGTTGGTGTTTCCTCAACGAGCAAGAGAAGGCAGTATAAGATGGAGGCATAACCCCTACTTTGGCGACCTCGTCAGTCAATATTGGCAATGGAAGGCGATCATCTTTTCTTTCTCAAGAACAACGAAGACCAACGCTACCTTGAGAAAGAGGTGACAACAATGTTGGAGGCTGATCCATCAACATTTCGTGGTCATGACTCCAGCTCCTTTAAGGTTGGTGATATTGTCTGGACTATGACGGCTTTGCAGCTACCCAGGGGCTCTGTGAGGTACTCAAAGAATCTGCTTGCCGTAGAAGGTGCTCGTAAGAGAGAAGGCATGCTGGTCTTGGGCTCCGGGCCCAATTTCAAAGATGGTCGATGCAGACTTGTCTACTCTTTCATACATCCGTGGCAACTTGCAGTCGATCCATTTGGGGTACTCAAGAAGTCAGCATTTGTCTCGAAATTGGAATCTCATGGCTCTATCTTTGGCTTTCGTTGTCTTCGAGTGGGCGATTTAAGGATCCCACACGAGCCCGGCGTCCGAAACATACATACAAATGCGTTTTATGGATGTTCAGCAAACCAAGTCTTATCAAACTGTCCTGCGGAAGAATTGGGAACGAAGGCTGCCATAAATGGAAGGCTTCACTTTTTTTTGCCCCAAGACAACCGCAGTGTCTACCCATACATCATTGTGGCGCCTTGCACAAAAGTTCTGGATTTTTTGGTGCCTACATTACGCACAGACATGCCCCTGTTTTGCAACTGTCTAACAGGCTTGACGGTGAATCGCATCAAGGTTACTCTTAAGGAGTACACTTCTTGCAAAGTAAAACAAGGGTCTAGTCTCGACATCGAAACGGAAGTGCGTAGCATCGTTTTACAAGATAAGTCTTACATGACAAGATTGACTGGTCTGATTTCGAGAAGCGGGATGGCTTCATCATTGCGACTCCCCAAAGAGCCTGTACTGTTGCTGGCTTCCTAATCTAGGACCTACATTCTTTTCCGACAATTGCACCCGTACCTACGCTATAAGGTTTTCCATTTCGGTAGAATGTACGAACCAAAGATGTTCTTCAGAATTCTGGGCTGAAATAAAGATTAATGTCGCAGTTGAGGACCATAATTCTAGCTTGCGACTTCGTCAGCCACAATTGAAGAAAGTTCAAGATATGGTGTTTTTCGATGAATGTCCATGGTCGCCGTCTGTATTGCAGGATGTTAGACGGAGTGTGGCGAAGAAGATAATTATTTCCAAGCCTGCTTACTTAGAGCACCATACATGCTCCTACTTTCTAAACAATAAGCTTCATACTTGCATTTCGATATCTTCTCGCAAGCTCAGACCGCCAAAGAAAGCTGAGCAAAACTCTAGGCGGAGGAATGATGAGAAACTCATCAAGAGTCTCACAGATGGTGGTTTTTCCAGTGAAGGAAGTCACACTGTATCTAACTCCAGCGAGATTCAGCTTTTGAAATCACCGTTTTTGTCTCTTCAGCAAACTTGATGAATTGAACAATTACCAACCCACTTTCGGCAATCTTCATCTAAGCGCAATGTTATCAGGAGATTATGGTCAATTTGTTCCCGGAAGTAATCTCAAGAATGCACTCACCGTCTACATATTAGGCCCGCAGGTCCCGACTTTATTACTAAGGGCAATATCCATGATGATAGTCATGAAGAGTACTAGAGTGACACTGCAGAGTCATTCCGAACCCGAGGAGAAAGTATTCGAATTAAAAACGACACGTCTTAAGGAACCTTTGATACTCGATGAGATCGACAGAAGTGTGGACAGTGAGCTTACGGGGGTGGACGGAAAAAGGAAGTGTGTCACAATCAGAATACCGGCTCATGTAACATCAGCCTCGATTCCTAAGCTTTTGCCGTCTGTGCTCTCCAAAAGTTTACATAAGGAGTATTTTATAGTTGTGAAAGTGGAGTTGGAGAGGCAAAACGGTCAAAATATTCGCCTTGGCTTTTTCCTTCCCATCCATCCGACGCCCTCCAGGATTTTCTGAGATTGAATCTGAAAACTAGGAGAGTTGTTTTACATGATGGGTTGATCAGAAATACGCATGTAGCCTCTCATGATATGAAGCATACTTGCCTTTGAAATGCTCGGAAGTCAAACTGCAAGGCACAATTTTCATGGACTATGTCATTTGTCCTTCTCTTCGATGTTTAAAATTGTAAATACTATAGGCGGGTTCAAACCCAGATGAATCTGATATATACTGAAAAACCCAAGCATCTACAGAATTGTAATATGTAGCACCTTTAGGTATCCAGAGAGGCATTTACTCAATTTGTTGAAGGTAGATATCGAAGTATCAAGTGCCCTTTGTTCGAACGATGTACACATTTCAAACATGGAATTTAGTAAGCTTTGGATTTAATGTGACTTTGATTATCAAGATGTTTCATTTTTAATTTAAAGTAAAACTAGAAGAAAATCTACATCAAAGTCTTCCAGATAGACCCTTCACGTATGTCCGAAAGTTTTGCACCCAACCCGTTGTGCCGGATAAGACCACAGCATGCGGATCTACGGATGCGGGGCAGAGCAGACTAAAACCAGCAAGTCCCATCCGGTTATCCGAAACACTCTCATAACTAAAAGCAAGCCCTAAATAGTCTCGAAACACCGATCCATCTTTCTACCTCCGGCCAAAAGGCCCAAGGGGCTCCTTATGATTTTTGACCACCCTGCCTGCACACAAGTTCGTTAATGCCGCCATCACCCCGCGCTTCAAGATCGTGATATCATCCTCGGAACAACTATATAAGGCTCCGATTCCACACGAGTTTTTGAAACAACCACTTTTTATTTATTACCATGGACGCCAGCTGTGGGCCCTCAAGCGCCCTTTCACAGCTTTCAAAACACACCCAGCGTGACACCTCTCTCCAGCATGGATTGGTGAACAGAAACGAAAATCAGCAGCACCGACCAGGATTCAGAAACCAGCCGGGCTTCGACGCCCTGCTCAACCAGGAGTTTCAGAACTTCAGCGGTCGGACCAGCGGAGCGCCAGCTTTCCAGGACCAGTTTGCTGGAGCAGGCCCTATACATCCACAGCAACACCAGCAGCATCGTCAACCCAATCAGAGACAGCAGAATCGGTGGATCCAGGACTTCAACGGGCTCTCCTTAGAGAACAAACCTATGAACGCTCAAAGCGGGCAAGGCCAGCAGGGCAAGTCTGATTGGCACAGACAGTTTATGAACCAGATGAACAATCAGCCCCAGGTTCAGCAAAACAGAGCCAACTACCAAATGGGACAGATGGGCCAGATGGGCCACATGAACCAGATGGGCCAATACAGGTACCAGGGAATGCAGAACATGCAGCCTCAGAACGAAAAAGCCCAGGTTGAGGCAGATCTTGTTGGAGACAGCGAGGCGCTTGATTCTCATTTTGACCAGCTCGAGAAGGAGCTAGCGATGGAGGAGCAGGTAGACTCCGAGGAGGCGCTGATTAAAGAAATCGACAAGGAGCAGTTTGTTCAGGCTGCCAAGGAGGTGCAGAAGTCGATGAGAGGTGAGAACAACCTCAGGCTGGAGGAGACTACGCTGAAGTTTGAGGAGCTGAACTTCTTGAAACTCATGAACAACATCTCAGACCGCAAGGTGGAATTGTCCAGAGAGGGCGATAAACTTGTGGAGGCTGCGTCAGGTGAGGATATCAGACAGCACTTGAGCGATCCTCTCAAGTACGAGAAAGATCCAAACTACCACCAGCAAGAACACGAGCCTCTGGTACATGGTGGATATTCAGGAATGCCGCTCCGCCCTGATGCCGTGCCCGAGGTGACCAAGGAATCGGAAAATGTCCAAAGCCATCTACCAGACCCCTTGGCCCACATCAAGGATGGTCTGCTTCCGGACAACTTGAGTGCTTTGCAAGCTGCCAAAATCATTTCTGGCGGTCAGGTCACGGGAAATACATGGATGGAGGACGAGTCGTGGCTTGGAATTCCAGGAGGCCCAGGAGTTGACAGCGGCAACAGCTCCAGTGGGAACAGTATAATGGAACCTCACTGGCAGGAGGTGTACGACGATTACCGCCACGATGATGACTACCATTGAGAGGAATGAGGCAACAACGATGGCCACGTTTGATAGAGGCGATTCGGTTGTCATGTCACGAATAAACGACTGTGCATACTTGGTTTGTAGGTTGAGAGATGGTGGATCCTGCGGTGGTTGACCAATTGTGAATTGGAAAAGTGTTCAGGAGATCACAGTGCTTACCATAAAGCAAGAATTCCGAGTTTCGATAAATAAGAATCTAATTTCAGCTAACGTTAATCATAGTGAACGAGAAGATCAGATATTTTAGGTTTCTGCATTCCTGAGCCATCAAGATGCAAATCAGACCGCTACAGCCAGGGCCGGCCGTGGCTTATACAAAAAATAAAAGTACGACAAAAACGAAAACCCTCCAATTCACCAAATCTTCACCCTGTAAGTCACAAGACTCTAAAATTCTAAAATTCACCTTTTTCATCCACCTCATCGAATACATCATACTCGTTCCTTTTGCAACCAATCCTGTTGTGTCGATCTCTCCTGCGTACGTCACTGGACACTAAGTTATGAAACAGGTTACGAGGAATGCCCAGGCCACTATGGGCCCAACAATGGGTGAAAAAAAGGAAAACTATTTAGTCCAGACTGCATACACGGAGCCCAACGGTCGGGCGATGCTGCAGATCTTGAAACGAGATACCAAAGCAACATTCACAAGACAATTCAACATTTGCCAACATTGAAGGGTCCCTTCGTTTCAGATCTAAAGGGGAAGAAGATACACGAGCCTGCACAGAAGACGGACCACAGCAGTCCATCGACGTACAGCTTAGAGGTGTTACTTATGCGGCCTGCAGGATACACATTTCTTTTTCTGCTTCTTACTGGACAGTTCCCTCCGACAAACGTAATGGTACCGCCATTACGTAGATAGTGGGGATCCAGAATGCCCGAAAACGCTGCCAGGTAGGGCAGTTTAGCAAGTAAAGATGGTAGAGGAGTTCGGAAAAACCATGGCGAGATCAGCCTCGGGCCAATGGAGATATTTCGGACTTTCTTGACAGCATCACCGAATAATCAGCATGCCCTCTGTGGACCAACCCCTCCTGCGGAATCACTGTCGGAGGTCCAGGCCTGCGCGTTTCTTTTTACCACATCCACCACTGCCTTTCTTTCTTTTTCGTGATGTAATCACACATTGCTCAAGGCATCGCCGGCGCCGTCCTGCAGAATACATGGGCTGGGTTATTCCGGCCGCCGTTTCTTTTTCTTGACATATATAACTCCCCATTTCCTGCCCAATTGATTCGAATTTTTATCATCACAAACATCATGACTGCTCCATACCCAATCCCAAAGCCATTCAGAATCTGCATTATCGGTTCCGGTAACTGGGGTACCGCCGTGGCCAAGCTTGTGGCCGAGAACACCGCTGAGAAGCCTGAAATTTTTGAACCAAAGGTGAACATGTGGGTGTTTGAGGAAGAAATCGAGGGCAAGAAGTTGACTGAAATCATCAACTCCGAGCACGAGAACGTCAAGTACCTCCCAGGCGTTAAGTTGCCAGAGAACCTCGTTGCCAACCCAGACATCGTCTCCACTGTTGAGGATGCTGATCTCTTGGTTTTCAACATTCCTCACCAGTTCCTTCCAAAGACCTGCAAGCAGCTTATTGGAAAGGTGAAGCCCACCGCCAGAGCCATCTCCTGTCTTAAGGGTTTGGAGGTTGACGCCAATGGCTGCAAGTTGTTGTCTCAGTCCATCACCGACACCTTGGGCATCTACTGTGGTGTCCTTTCTGGTGCCAACATTGCCAACGAGGTTGCCAGAGGCAGATGGTCCGAGACTTCCATTGCCTACAACCAGCCAGACGACTTCCGTGGCGAAGGTAAGGACATTGACGAGTACGTCTTGAAGGAGGCTTTCCACAGAACCTACTTCCACGTCAGAGTGATCAAGGATGTCATTGGTGCCTCTATCGCTGGTGCTTTGAAGAATGTCGTCGCCTGTGCCGCTGGTTTCGTCGAGGGCGCCGGCTGGGGTGACAATGCCAAGTCTGCCATCATGAGAATTGGTCTTGCTGAGACCATCCGTTTCTCTTCTTACTGGGAGAAGTTCCACATCCAGGGTCTTTCCGCACCAAACCCCTCTACCTTCACTCAGGAGTCTGCCGGTGTCGCTGACCTTATCACTACCTGCTCTGGTGGCAGAAACGTCAAGGTTGCTCGTTACATGATCGAGAACAAGGTGGACGCTTGGGAAGCCGAGAAGAAGTTGCTCAACGGCCAATCTTCTCAGGGTATCATCACCGCCAAGGAGGTGCACGAGCTTTTGGTGAACTACAAGCTCCAGCACGAGTTCCCATTGTTCGAGGCCACCTACAACGTCATCTACGAGAACGCTGACATCAACGAGTGGCCTGTTCTCTTGGAGCAGGACGCCTAATCCAGCATTGTATACTAGTCACAGATAAAATAAATTATAGAGATTGAAAGCAGTGTAGACAAGTGTTGAATGAAAGATATGATATAGACTTCACCCCTTTTTAGTGCGTTTAGTGTTACATCTTGACGAGCCGGGCATTTGCCAATATTCCAGGTAAACCAAACTATACGATTTCTAGAAAGTGTCCGCTAACGGATATCAGTATGATAAAAGGATAACCTGCTTCTACAATTATCAACAGCTATAGACTGTCAAATCACCGGGTCATCACTTCCCTAGTTTTTTCGGTTTACAAAACGCAAGGGTACATGAAGGTTAGTGGATAACCGTCATTGTGAAAAAAAAGTGCACTTGAAACAATATACCTTTAAATACATTTGAAAGCGACAGATCTGAAGATTGCACTTTTTCAGACGAGATTCCCGTTTTCAGCAGAATCCATGAAACACCCGTCGCTTCATTCGACTAATAATCCAAGCTTGAGAGGTCCCAAACTAACATGTGACCTGATGCCCCAAACAAAGAATCTGTGTCATGAGTTTGACAAATACTAAATCATATCTCGCGAGGCCTTCAGTAGATCTCAATTCGCTATCAATCAACCCAGGCAACCATCTCCACCCACAACAATTCCTGATCTCCACAAAAACACGAAATCCACAAAAATACGAATCACTTAATTTCTCTTAGTCGAACCACAAACCCCCATCATCCTCCCCGGATCATCCCACGCCGATCTGCCTCAGCCGTGCATTGCGATCTGATTTCGCAGCCATTCCCTCCATCCATCAATACACCTTTCCACACAAAAACCCCAGATCTCCGTCCCTGCCCAAAATCCCCCAACATTTCCCCTCCTCCCGGCCGCCAGTTCCCCCCACGGTTCAAATTCCCACCGTTTCCCCGTCCATGTGATTTTCACGTGTCGCCCACACATGCCGGTTCGACCGACTCACTTGCAACTTTCTCCACAAAACCACCCCAGATGACCGACACAGACGTGCTAGCCCACCTCCGAGCATACAAAACGCAGAACTACCTGCTGGGGCCCGTCAGCGTGTGGCACCGCGTTCCGGTCGTCCGAAGAGCCCTGGTTTTCATCCTTCTTTTCATCGGTCTGGTTGGTGAGCTTCGGGTTGTTTTGACCAAGCGGTCTCTGAAACTCCGGACGTTTCCAGGCCACATTTCGCTTCCGGGCGGCAAGGCAGATACAGGCTTGGAGCTGCCGTGGCAGGTGAGTCGCCGTGAAATGAGTGAAGAAATCGGCCTCAGCGAAGACAACGACTTCCTAGAGAGCAACTACGGTTTCACCATCGAACACATCAACGAGATGCCGTGCTACCTTCTGCGGACGATCCTGGCCGTCAGGCCGTGCATTGGGTTCATGAAATTCAAGGAAAACGGCCGCAGTAGGGAGGAATTGTTGGAAAGACTCAAGCTTAGGGTCAATCCGGGAGAGAGCTCGTCCATCTTTAGTTGTCCGCTTCGTGACTTTCTTTACCCTGCCGTGGAGGAGACCGCCCAGGAGGCGCTCGAAAGAACCCACCATTTGATCAAATGGGCCGGGATCCCATGGCATTTGCGCTCATACACTTTTCCTCAATTGAACATTAAGGAGGCCGCGTGGCTCCAGGGCTTCAAGGATATCTCTGCTTCGGAGGAGGAGTGTTCGGCTGACGAGGACGCCAAGCTGGCCCAGACGCCTCCACCTACGCCTCGAAAGAAACAGAAAAAGGACTTAACGTCCTGGGGCCAGCTTGGATCTCGTATGGACGAGGAAACCAACACGAAAATCTACGACGTGTGGGGGCTCACGGCAAATATCCTCCATGACTTGGCAGAAGTCGTCTACCTTAGCCATTCTGTGAATGGCAGGCAGCTTGGAGAAGAGGAGCTCATACACAGTTTGTGGAAGCACGGGCAGCTCAAGGGCAAGGTACGTTCCGAGCAGGAGGCTGCATTGATTTCACTGACGCCTACAGATAAGGTTTCATTTAGCGATGTGATGCCCCGGTCCGAGTTTCTTCGTCTCAAGCGGTTGTACAAGATATAGGCCGGGAGTCGAAGGACGCGAACAGGAGAAGATTTGGGTGTATGCTAAAATTGAGGCTCCTTTGATCTTAATGGGACGACAAGGGGCCTGCTGCATTGAAGATGGCATTATCAGCACCTGCTTCATGTTTCTTTAATAGGTCTACGCATCTGAGTGAGATCCTTGACGTCTCACCGCTGACCTGGTCAACCGACGATCTCCAACATTCTCTTCAACTTTCCAACATCTCAAAAGCTCATATCACAACCCTCTCACATCTAACTAGAATACATATGGCATGGATGCAAATGTAGTGCGCACTGTACACAGCTGCATCATTATCACCACTTTTCATGAATCAAGATCAAGACGACCTTGTGATCCAGCTTCTAGAGCGTCTAGATCGCTACGAAAAACTAGCCAATGACACCTTCCGTGTGAACTTCATCACCGGCATGCAGCATCTCAGCAGAGCCAACTTCAACAGTGAAAACAGGAAGTATGGCATGGATTCGCTTGATCGAAGGCCATATGATGCCTGTAAGGTGGTGGAGGGCAATGGTAGTTTTAAGCTTAGGGACAGGTTGAAGGAATTGAAAGAGAAGAAAAAGCTGGATCTGGAGAAGGAGAAGCTGGAGCCGGAAAAGGAGAATACGCTGGAGGACCCGGCTCTCAGACAGAGGAAGAAAGATCCAGCCAAAGGCGAGAAATCCGAGCCAAAAAGCAAAAAAGAAGGTGTTTCAGAAAAAAGCATCGATCCTCCGTCCCTCCGAGACCCAATCTACCAATTTGGCGTCCTAGTTCCCTACCAATTGCGTAATGCTCAATCGTCCTTCAACGACTCCTTGACAGACATTGTCAACATGGTGAACCTCCGGCAGGAACTCACCGAATTGATACAAAAAATCGAATCTACAGAAGCCTCGGGCAACGCCTCGGCCTCTACCTAATATCTATAGTGCATGCATTACCATTATTCGCTGAACAAGTCGCTATCGTTTTCGTAATCGCTGGGGTTGATTTCAGGAGCATCCGAGTCGCTGGCCTCGCTGCCGCTGTCTTCACCATCAGCATCGCCCGGTGCAGATTCGCCGTTCTTTCTGGCCAACTTTCTAGCCTTTTTGGCTTCCTTCTTGGCCAATTTCGCCTCAACGTTGGCTTTCTGCTCCTTTCTTCTCTCGGCCTTTTCTTGCTGTCTCTGCTGGTGCCTCTTCTCCAATTCAGCCTCCTCCTTCTTCGTCTTGCTGATTCTGGAATGGTATATCGTCTTGCCGCCGATCATGGAGTCTTCGATCTTGACGAGGTTCATGTTGATACGAGGGCCCAACTCGGTGAGCTTGATGGCTCTTTTTCTTGTCGTGGTGACGTCGCCATCGGAATTGGCGGAAATGCCAGCTTTCTTCACGAGATTGTTCTGTTCGTTCTTCACCTCAACAACGGCATCATCCTCCACTTCACTGTCTGAGGTCTGGCCGCCCACGGCGTAGGGGTCCAAGATCAAATCGGAGATGTCCTGTGCTTTTGTCATGATCGGGAGTTTCTTGTGTGTCTGGTGGGAGTTGATCAACTTCTTGATGTTTCTGCTTTCCTCCACCATCTTGGTGTCGATGGCGTAGTGTCTCAATTCGATTTCACCGTCTTCCTTTTTGCTGATGAGGAGAACTCTCTTGATTGTGTTGACCTTCGTCGTCTGTGGCTGAATGGGCGGGAAAAGGTTCTGCAATATGGTGATCATCAACTTCTCGTGGTTTTCAGCATCATTGACTTTTTTGAACCCGTTCATCACAAGCAAAGGGGGCTCGTGGAAGGCAGCAGAGTCTCGGCCCACAGACTTGGGGTGTTTCAATATTCTCTGAACATCCTTGACCAAAGCATAAGAGTTCACCTTGAATTGAAGACAGGGACCCTTGGGCATCTTGCCGATTCTCAAGGAGACGTTTCCAGAACTTTCCGACTGTTTGAACACAAAAAGGTCCGAAACACCCAAAGGCCCGGACATCACCATAAAGTCCTTGAGCTTGTTGGCTTTTCTTTCTCGCAAACTGATGGCGGTATGTGGTTGCATCACAAATCTGAAGTCCTTTACTAGCTGAGTTAGGGCGTGATTTTTAAGCGAAGTGCCTAGCGAAAGCACCATCGAGCGGGGAATCTTGGCCAACTCTTCAGCCGAGGGAGGCTGGTGAGTTCTTCTTTTCGTTCTTCTCTTGGCCATGCTGAAAAGTGATTTCTAGTGGGGGTTAGTCTGGAAAATAGGAAGCCATCGCGATGATAGTGAACACACCCGTACACCAGCTTACCTCAGGTCATTGAACCCTCCGCCATTTTGGTCAATTTTGCCTGGATTTGGCTGTGATTTGGGCGGTAGGATAATTGGACGCTGAAGTGGCCGAATCTGTTGTTTTTATTCCTACAAGACCCCTGCGTGGCTCAATATCTGAAGGGATGGTTTTGTCCCACCTGCAGTCCGCGCCGATAAACATCGATGCTCTGCTCAAATCAAAAACCAACCATGGCGATAAAAACCCAGCAGAAAAAGAAGGAGAAGTTTACAGCCAAGAACAAGGATGCTCTTGCGCTTGCAGAGAAAATCAAGGAAAATGCCTTGAAACAGAAACTTGCCCAGAAAAAGCAGGCTGCCAAAGACAACGCCATCAAGCCAGAAGCCACCGAGGTTTCTATTTCCGACAGCTCCAAAAAGTTCGAAACCTTCAGCGAACTCAAGCTTATCCCCGAGCTTCTTGAGCTGATCCAGCAGATGAAATTCACAAAGCCCACGCCGATCCAGGCCGAGGCGATTCCTCATGCTTTGGAAGGAAAGGATCTCATTGGTCTTGCCGTTACAGGATCAGGTAAAACAGCAGCTTTTGCCATCCCCATCTTGCAGTCGCTTTACAACGACCTGTATCCATACTACGGTCTTGTTTTGGCGCCCACGAGAGAGTTGGCGTATCAGATCAAGGAGACCTTTGATGCTCTAGGAGCAGCCATGGGAGTCAGAACCTGCTGTGTTGTGGGTGGTATGGATATGATGGACCAGGCGAGAGACTTGATGAGAAAACCACATATTATTGTGGCGACCCCGGGTAGAATCGTGGACCACTTGGAAAACACCAAGGGTTTTTCGTTGAGAAGGCTTAAATACTTGGTTATGGATGAGGCCGACCGTTTGTTGGACCTTGATTTCGGGCCCGAACTCGACAAAATCTTGCGTGTGATCCCCAGAGAAAGAAACACATACCTTTTCTCGGCCACGATGACGGGAAAGATTGAAAAGTTGCAGAGAGCCTCGCTCCGGAACCCAGTGAGAATCGCCGTTTCTTCGAAATACCAAACCGCCGATAACCTTGTCCAGCTGATGATGCTTGTCAGTGACGGCTACAAAAACACATACTTGATCCACCTCCTCAACGAGTTCATGGGCAAGCTGATCATCATTTTCACCAGAACATGTGCCCACTCTCAGAGAACCGCCCTACTAGCCAGAATCCTCGGATTTTCTGCCGTTCCCTTGCATGGCCAGCTCACACAGTCCCAGCGTTTGGGCTCGTTGAACAAGTTCAAATCCGGAAAAGCCAACATTTTGGTCGCTACCGATGTGGCAGCCAGAGGTTTGGATATTCCATCTGTGGATGTGGTGATCAACTACGACATTCCCACGGACTCCAAGGCCTACATTCACAGAGTTGGTAGAACCGCTCGTGCCGGTCGTTCTGGTAAATCCATCTCGTTGGTGACGCAGTACGATTTGGAGATGTACCTCAGAATCGAGGCTGTTCTTGAAAAGAAGCTTCCGAAGGACCCATCTCCATCCAGGGACGTCTTGGATGCTTTACATGTGCATGTGGACAGGGCCACTGCCGAGGCCATCAGACAGACAAAGGACTTCCACGACAAGAGAGGCAAGAAGAAGTCGAGAGACGATGCCGACAGGGAGGAGAAGTAGAGATATCAGAGGCATGAAACTGAGGATTGGAAGGGAACACCCGCCACCTCGAAAGCATATAGTCTAATTCATAAATGTGGTGAATTGAGCTGTTATGGTGAGTGTAAATGTGACACAGTGATGCCCCATGTTGATATTCTTAATCGAAGAGTAGTGCCGTATTCTTAGATCGAACAGTGATACCGGAAGGCGGGAAGGTAATTTCCTATCTCAATTGTCCAAAACTCAATTTGCCAATCGGCCCTACACATCGTTCTCTAATAAAATTAAAATATACCCGTAAGAAGTGAACCCTCCGTCGTAAGTCGTGGTCGTAACCTAAATCTGTATCTGCGCTGTCTGTCAGTGGTGCTGGAAATGCACAGGGCACTCGCCGTAGCCCTTCTTGTTGAACCAGTCCTTGATGCACTTGTAGTGGAATACACAGAGGCACTCAAGGCGGCCCACTTTATCGCCTGGCCGTAGCTCTTCGAGACAAATGACACACTCCTCTTCAAAGTCCTCCTTCTCCTTGAGCTCCAGCGTGACCAGCCCCACGGGAGGCTCTTTTTGCAGCTCCTGCTCCTTCTGCAGCTCATCGATAAACTCGTAGGTGGGCTGTGGAAGAGGCGGGACATGGTACACCAACATCCTGTTTCTGACGTTCAGCAGCAGGGCGTTGTGCGGCAGCAGGAGCCGCTGGTGGGAGCCGCTGAAGTCGAACCGCACGAGGCAGTCGCTGATGTGGAACTCCTTGTACTGCTCGTACTCGGAATGGGAGGTGTCTCTGTGCTCGTGGCGTGTTTTCTTGACATACGCCTTGAGGAGATTGGTCCCGCAAATAGGACACAAGTTCTCGTCGTTGTTCTCCAGACCAACCAAATCGCCCAAAGGTGGGCTCTCCTGGCGCTGAACAGGCACTGTGGCACTCTGAGTAGTCGTTTCCTCATCCTGTGGCTGTTCTGGCGGTGGCTCAAACAAAGCCCTCCGGATCATCTGGATCTCCTCAACACACTCGTCGCATGTTTTGTAAAAATCGCCATCCGCCCGCACCAGCCCCGAAGGCGTAAGAACCCTGGACCCTGGGAACCACTTGACTTTCTGGCTGGAACACAGGTTGCAGACCACACGGCCACATTTTCTGCAGTGGTGGCGGCGGTTGAAGATGGTGAAGTTTGTGTCACACACGACACACGCCGTGACGGCGCTGTCGGGCTGCCACGAGGTCAGGGACATGGGAAAAAGATGTTGATGATGGAGTTTCCTGGGGCTCCGCCTATGGGGGTGTGGTCTCGTGAGCGGTCACGTGGAGGTCGCGTGACTCCGAAACCCGACTTTTCGGGTTTGCCCGAGACCCTTTGGGTTTTTTGTTTTGGAATGTGTAGTTTGCTTTTTTTGGAGGTTGAAGGTTTGGTTTGGCACGGTCTGATTGGTTCGCTGACGGGTGCGTTGTGAAAGTTCAGGAGGTGTTTGATAGGGTCTCGCGAGGCTGATAAGGCGAAGTAGGAGCCTTGCATGAGCACGTAATCGGGTAGGTTTTGCTTTTTTGACACAGTGGGGTGACCAGCAGAAGGAAGGTTCTACTTGATCGACGATTTTTTTAAAAAAATCGGCAACTCGAAAAATTTGTAAAATCCACCAATCTGGTAAGTCTCCTGACTATTGAGTCACACGAGGAAAGGCCTACAGCACTGCCTCGACTGACCCACAAACCTGGGAAGCTGCTCACCTCAGGTGTTTCAAAGTCCAAAAATAAACTCCAGCCTGGGTATAACCTTTAAGCTTTCATTCTTCGAAAGCTAGACGATATGGAACAATACACCCTTACCGAGCCGACCAGCCAATCACCAAAACTCGTCCATTGTTTTCAGTGATCCAACTATCACCAACATTGAACCACGCCAAAATCCCCTGAAACATATAATTATCTCCGCTGGTCATCGTGTACCCCAACGGAACCTCCCTCCTCTCACATTTCTTATCTCTGCGCATCTCTTATCAGTTGCAGCCATTTCCTCAAAGCATGCAAAACACCAGATTTCGTCGAAAACACAAAACCCAAAAATACCCGCTACAGCTCTCGCCAGGACCCTCTAGATCGCCCCTTCGGGAAAGTACCGGTGCCGCTAAACCGCCTAATAAACCGCCTTGCGTCTCCAATTCCGTGCTTAATCGCTTATCTCGCAGATAAATACCCAGCCATGTCCATCGTTCCACACCATGGAGAAAAAAGACAATCAAACCGTGGAGGAGGCGCTGGTCGGCCTGGGACAGGTGGACTTCCACGAATTGCACATTGAAAAATTTGGCCTGACCAAACGAAAACTCACTGCTCGCCATGTGCTGCTTATGATTATAGGCCAGCTGATCGGCACGGGACTTTTTGTGGGTGTGAAGACGCCGTTGATGACGTCGGGATCTTTATCGTTGTTTCTTGGTTTTTTCGTTTGGGCGGCCTCCATGATATGGCCGTTGATGTTGGCTACTGGGGAAATGTGCTCGTATCTTCCAGTTAGAGGAACCTTTTTGCATTTTGCTGCCCGCTGGCTCGATCCAGCTTTGGGATTTGCCGTCACCATGATGTACTTGTACACGACATTGATGTTCATTTGCGTGGAAGCGGTGGCTTTTGCTTCTGTGGCTGGATACTGGACCGACCTCAATCCTGCTGTTTTTGTTACAATTTGTCTTGTAACAATACTCTTTTTCAACGTTTTTGGGGTCAATTGGTACGGCGAGGTGGAGTTTTGTCTGTCGATGTTGAAGGTGCTTCTCATTGTAGGGCTCATGTTCTTTGGACTTATCACCATGTGTGGAGGTAATCCCAGAGGAGACGCCTACGGATTTCGAAACTGGAACGAAGGGGGCTTTTCAAGGAGTACCTTGTTCCCGGAGCCACAGGGAAATTTCTTGGTTTCTGGAACGTCATGATCTTTGCTGCTTTCTCCTGTGGTGGTCCCGATATGCTAGGTATGATATCTGGCGAGATTTCGCAGCCACGGCTGAATATCGCTATGGCTGCCAAAAGGACGTATGTTCGAATTTTCCTTTTCTACGTTGGAGGCATTTTCTTCATGAACAGCATGTGTGCTTCCAATAACCCGGACCTTATAGCTGCCAGTGAATCTGGAAAAGGCGGTGCTACTGCTTCTCCTTGGGTGATAGGTATAAAATCCGTAGGAGTTCACGGTCTTGACTCTGTTGTAAATGTCGTGGTTATGACGTCGGCCTGGTCTTGTGGAAATGGTTTCACATATGGTGCAGCTAGATCTGCCTATTCTGCTGCTTTGGCTGGTTACATTCCAAAGGTTTTTTCATACTGCCTCAAAAGCGGATGCCCTATAGTTGCAGTTCTTTTCGCCATGGCTATAGGATGTCTTTCGTATATGACGTCGTCACAAGCATCGGCTACTGTTCTTGACTGGTTCATCAATTTAGCAACTACCGGTTTGCTTTGTACTTTTGCAGTCATGTGGATGTGCTACTTCAAGTTCAGGAAAGCTGTGAAAAAGCAACAGTGTGATTTTGAAGACCCCAAGTACTACAAGGTCAGCAGTCTTTTGCACCCATACGTGACATACTGGGCTGCCTTCCTCAACGGCATTGTGCTTTTCTTCAACGGTTTCTGGATCTTTTTTCCTGACCAGTTCAGTGTGGCCAATTTGTTCACATCCTATTTTGCTCCTGTGTTCTTTGTGGTCTTGTTTGTCTTCTGGAAGTTCTGGAAAAAGACCCACTGGCGGACTGACGAGGAAGCAGATATCACTTCAGGGAAGGAAGAGATTGATGATGAAGAGGAAGCCGAGGCTCACGAGTTGGCTCTTAAGCCTAGACGAAAAGGTGTTTATTGGAGAATTTGGTACAAGTTTGCAGATTTCTGTTTTAGTTAAGTCTGGGATCAGTAGGAATGGAATAATGATAGAACGTGTATTCAATGCGGAGTGGATGAAGTCATAGGATGAAGCGTGATGACTAAGGAAAGCTTCTTAATGTTTGAATTTTCTTTTTGATAATAATGGGCTTCCGGTGTTCTTGAGCATGTTGCCGGTGATCAGCGTCCAGAATGCGTTACTGGTGAGCAACGAGGGTACATCAGGACTCACATTCAAAAAGCCACGAAGACTTAAAGTACCCAAGCAGATGAAGAATAGAGCTGCCACCCCTTTGTACCCATATCCTGTTGGACTTTGGCCAATTTTGCAATCGTCCTGCATATACAGCAACTCACTAGACGAGCGGAACTGTTCAAAAACACACACCAGCCACCTTCCTAGACATGTCTGACCGTCTCACACAGCTACAGATCTGTCTAGACCAGCTTGTGGCGCAGTTCAATGCCACCGTGAACTACGTCAACACGCAGGGAGATTTGGCTCCACTCGATGAAGACAAGACCTCAGTGATCAACTTGGCTGCTAATGCCCCACTTCCAGGAACAAGGAAGGAGGCAGCCACAGAACAGGCTAGTCAGGCTGCAAACTCTGAAGCAAGTGGCGCAACGTCGCGTCCAAAGCCATCATTCGACAGCGTCATCAATGAATTGTCCACAGACATCATACTCAAGTCTCGTCAAATAAGCATGCTTATAGACTCGCTACCGGGTATCGGCACGCTTCCAGAGACGCAGCTTAAGATCATCGGAGACCTAGTGGATGAGCTAGATGAGGTTGAAAAAGAACGTGAGGGCAAGATCAAGGAGAAGGACGAATTGCTCAAGTGGTGTGAGGAGCTCATAGTGGATGTATCACACGGCATCTTCAAAACAAGAACGTGAACTTATGCGTGATATGCTGTGCAATCAAAATCCCAACCAGGGAACCATGTTGCGGCCTCACATTGTGCCCTCGTCCAGCTCAGGCCATAGATCAATGGGAAGAAGGTCACAAAACAATAAAGCGAAGCGAGCGCTATTAACGCCAAGATGATAGCGCCAGTCACACGCTTCTTGCTCATCTGGTACTCTGCAAATTGGCCGATGGCCAAGACCATAAAAAACACACTAGTGAGGTAGTGGTGGCTGTACAACTGCCTGTCCATTTGGAAATATGGAAAATAGTTCAAACTCCAGCCAAGGAGGAAGCTGGCGGTCGAATAATAGTACACTGTCGTTGGTACGGCTTCCACGGGGATGTGGAACGGGTTCAAGTGCTTGAGCACATAGAAACCGAACTTAATAGAAAACGACACAATCAAGAAGATGCCCAAGTAGTGAATGGCGATATTGCCAATGGAGTAGACGTTGCTACCGGGTTCGTCCGATAATGTTTTGTCGGCGCTGCCACTTGTGAAGAATGCAATGCCTTTAGTGACAAAGGGCCATTCATAAGGAAGAGTAGCATACTTGTGTGGCTTGACAAATGCCTTGTTGAGTCTCCACATGGCGTTGTGATACTCAAGCAACTTTTCATAAAGCAGCATCTTTGGAAGCTTGACGCGAGGGTATTTCTCTGTATCCTTGTCAATAATAGGATGGCTGTTGTGTTCAATGTACCAAAGGGTGTTTGGCATGGTAGGCTCGTTCACGCAAAAGACCTGGTACTGATGGAATGCCCAGTCTGGGAGCCTCGTGTCGTGACCCATAAGCACACAGTTGGTGCCTCTGTGAACCAACTGGAACACAGACTCTGTAGCTCTCAATTTGATGTTAGGCAACTGGTTTTCAGCATGAGGCTTGCGACCAACGATCTTGACCTTCCACTCGTAAGCGCTTTCTTGAGTGTCTGTTCTGTTGCCTTTACAGGAGACCTCGTTGGAGTAGTCGTGCTCAGAGTTTGGTGGTCTCATGTTGTTGGCACGCAAGTACTTGTGGGTGAATTTGTGGTATAACTTGACGTGGTCGCCGTTCTTGATAGGGCGGAATCTTGTGTCAAACTTACCATCATAGTTGGTTCCAGTAGTCTCAATGACCCATTCGTTGTTGGCATCGAAGTCGTAATCGTACATCGTCACCTGCTGCTCTCCAGTACCAGTTTTGTAGGTAAAATTGTGGGAGTGCAAGTACAGGTTGAGACGGTGGTGCTTGAGGGTGATTGTGCTGCCGTAGGACACATCCACAGCCGTTTCCTTCATGGCACTGGCGTCAATGAACTGGGCTTTAAAACGAGGACTGACCAACCCGGCATCAGTACCGCCTCTGGGCAACAAAATGAAATGGAGGGAGAAGATTCCACAGTAGATTGTCAACGGAACAAGCAAAAAAGCCACAAGACGGCTGAAGATGTGTTTCAAGAACTGTTTCACCAGGACCTCGAGATCACCAGAAATGAGGTAGATCTGATACGCTGACAAAGCACCCACCCACGCAAGAGTGAATAAGCCTGTGAGCTTCACAGACGTGGCAAGTCCGAGCAGCAATCCCGTGAGGAACAAATACCTATACCAGTTCTTCGAGAACGGGATGGAAACCTCAAACAGCTTGTAGAAGTAAACGGTCGCCGCCACAAACGCCACAAGCTGGCTATCAAGCATAATGTAGCGGGACTGGGTGGCCAAAGAGTTCTCGACAAGCACCAAGAAGGCACCAAAGAAAGCCACAAACGGTCTGCAGCATGTAGACCTCAAGATGCCGTAAGTAAGCAAAACAGTGATCATTCCAGCGACAGCAGAAACGGCTCTCATGGCCACGTAAGGCACATTTTCATCAAACGCGTCGCCGATATTCTCAAACTCGAACTCTCCGTCCCAATTGAACAAAACGGCCACGGCGTAGAAGATAAGTTTTCCGAGTGGCGGGTGGACATCCACGAAAAACTCTCCGTGAAAGTACTTTCTTGCAAAACCACCAAAATGCACCTCGTCAAAGACAACCTGAGACGGAGAAGGAAGCCTGTAGAACCTCAAGACAAACGCCAAAGCAGCGATAAGAAAGATGTAGAAGTGGTCGAGCTTGGAGCTCTTCACCGCGGCTAGCACCTGCTCAGGTACCGCTGACGAGTAGAAGACCCGTTTTTTGCCGGGCTTGTAGCCTGGGGGTACTTTTTCCTGCATGCCTGCTTCTGTCAATTGAAGTGGAGGTGTACTTGTTCAGGTGGACCAGGCGCGGTGTATCCAGGCGGTGCAGGAATATCACCAGTGCTCTGAAGGGTACCCATTGCAAATGACTTTAATGAAAGATAGTCTCCTTTTTTAAAATATGGCAAAGTTCTTCTTTTATTCTATTTTCAAAGAATCCGGTACAAGTTTATTCGGGGAAAGTGTGTCAGGTTTCCGTATGTGGGGACTTGTAGTATGATATTGTGAGCTAATTGGGTGCTCCTTTAGAAGCCAGAGAGTGGGTTATGTACTGATTCTCGAGAAGTGGACTAATAAAAGTGAGATTTGAAAGAAAGCGAGCTATCTTGCCAGTTTAACTAGACTTTCTCTACTTAGACATCTCAAACGCCCAATATATCGCATCCCATAACCCAGAACATAAGCGACAAGTGCAATTGAATGAACCAAACTAAATATCCTTTTCATTCAGAAAACCTATCAGTCAGCAAAGCTCCCATTTCTTCCAAAATAAGATTTTCACATCCGCCCCACCTACACGTTTAAACCAATTTCCTAGTAACCTATGTAGAGTCCACCCTGGCGCTCTTCAAGCTCCAGCGCTATAAAAGAAACATACTCGGATCCCGGGTCCCAGCCGAGCTTGGCCGTTAACCGCACAAACCGTAAATTAGGTAAACGCTCTTCGGAAAGCGCCAACGCCAAGTCCACAGGGTCCACCTTGTCGTTAGTGCCGAGCATGCCGCTGCTGCTGATGAAGAGACGCCGCAAGGGTCTTTTGAATGTAAGGGGAGGCAACAACTCGTCGTCGAAAAAGCTCTGCAGAAGATAGTCAACTGTCACCTCGAGGGTCTGCAAGTTGGGACAATAAATAAAAACGGTATCGAGAGAATTGGCCTGGAGGCCAGGCATGGGGAACTGGATGCGGAGCGACTTGAGGTTTCCGCCGAGTTTCATAAGGAGATGCTGGAAACCCAGGTGGGCCACTTTGGGGCAATGAGCAAACTCCATGTGTTTGATGGACAGCGGGAAATCCGACTGGATGAGAAAGTCGTCGGAGATGCCGCCCGAGACCCGGAGAAACTCAAGCTTGGGAGGCCAGCTGATGCTTGAGTAGTTTTCGATTTCCAAGGACGACCTTGGGAACAGAAGGTGGGTGAGCTGTTTGAGGTCGCGGATCGAGTGGAAGAGTTCTTCGAGATTGAGCGTTTCGGAGACCAAGCGGAGGTCCAAAATACGCAAGTGTTCACAGCTCCGTAGCGCTATTAGCGGGCCGAGGCCAAAACTGGTCTGTGGCGCTGTGAAGGCTTCAAGAAAGGGCCGAGACCGTTTGAGGAGTTTAGCCACAAAGGCGTTCTTGCCCAGCTGGTTCACCGACGACAAGTCCAAATCTCGAATATAGCTGCCGATGGTGTTTTTCCCAGAAATCGTGTCGACAAACTGGAAAAAGTTGTTTCCGTTGAGCACAGGCCGTCTATACACCAACGGCAAGGTGATGGCATAGAAAAGCTTCAGCAAGCGGAGAAACCGAGGCTTCAATCTGTTCTGGTACAAGAGAATCTCCAAGATGTGCACGATGATCTCCACCGGTAGCGAAAGCCCAGCTCGTCTGGATTCCGCTTCCTTCTTGGCTTCCGCTTCCTTGACTCCTTGTCTGTACTCGTCAGAACTGCTGTACAAGCACCAAAAAAGCACATCGACTTTTTCAAACTGCAGCCGAGGCCACACCTTGCCCTGGGGTCGCTTGTCCTCGGTCAAAACGAAAACCTCGCTGATGTTCCCGTTCGTCTTCCTCAGAAAGTCCTCCCAGGAAGCAAACCCACTAGGCGTGGGGGTCTGTTCCTCTTCTTCTTCATCCGAGTCCTTCGCCGTGAAACTCAGCCGATACACATATTTTCGGTACGGGGGACGGATCTTTTTAGCCCTTCTTTTGTTGGCCATTTTAGGGCCAGTAGATGATGGTGAGTGTGATGCCGGCACACACGGCTGCAAACTGGGTCGGAGAGAAGAAGGTGTGGAAGAATGGAGAAAAGTTTTCCTGGGGAGTGGGGGTATTTATAGTTTTTGGATTTGCAGGGATTGTTGAAAAAGGGGGTTTTTGAAGTGGTTCAAGGGTTTTGTGGGTGAAGCTTTTGGTGGATGAGCTCCAGCTTAGTAATGGTGATGCGCAACAGAGATGAGATTACGTATGCCTGAGAAATAATAAATAAATGGATTTTTGTAAGACTATTGAGGTTACTTGAATTATTGTGATTATAAAGAAAACCTTGGAGATTGGCATTACTGGGATGTGGCTTATCGTATATAGTGCTCGCTTATGTATGGGGCTTCGAGCCCGCAGCAACACACTACCACTATAATCCAATATGGCAATCTTAGTTTAAAGAATTACAAAAAAGAGAACTCCTTGGTACTACCATCTTGTCACTCATCGGTCGCATATTATTATCTCCTTACATATCGATGTTCCATGGCATTCTCCTAACGCCATTGGCTCACAAAACCTCAACAGGGCTAGGATTCGAACGTGCTGAATCCTCAATCTCCACCTGAAGGAGCTTCAAGAACTTCCTTAGCAACTTCAACGTCACGCGGTCACGAAGAAGGGGAAGTGAGTGTGACATCCGGTAATCGTAGAAGCTGATGTTCTTGTAGTTAGAGTCGCTCATGAACTTCACAAGAAGTCTGGCTGGCGCCACGATGGTGATCTTGAAGATCACAATAGGAATGAAAAGCGTGAGCGAGATATAGAGCTGTGTTGCCATGATAGGAAGCCTGAACAACATAAACACCATTCTGAAGGTCAACCACAAGGGCGTAAGCACGAACACATTGGCAAGAAACCACACGCTAAAAAGCTCCAGCATATCCATCTGGCGAGCAGTCTCAGCGTAGTGCCATGCTGATTCGTAGCAGCTCTCCTTGAGATTAGTTAATTTCGAACGCACCTCGCTCCAGTCGTCTTGGACCCTCTGCTTGTGGGAGTCGGTGATTCTCTCCATACGGCTGAGAGCTTCGTCGGAGTCGTGGGAACGAAAAACCTTGAGCGGCAGCACTGGCAGCGACGGGGTCAGGGGCAGTGGAGTACTCATATCTTTGAGATGCAATTCTCTGAATTGCTGGCGGGTAAGGGAGGGATTGGACTCGGGGATGGTGATACCTGTCACACTTACTCTGCCTGGGTTTTTCTTCAGCGCTGGCTCCTCGAATGGCTGTTCCAAGGTCTTATTTAATGGCTCCGTCTTGGCTTTAGCCACCATCAACTCTTCCTTCAACGAGCGCTTGACTGGCTCCTCGACGATACTCTCTTGAGTCTGCTCTTGGTCCTCGACAATTGGCGAAAGGGTACCCTGAGAGTCGTCCTTCCTTCTGAAGCTTGTGCCTGTTAGGGGAAACGGGGTAAACGAGACAGACTTTGGCTTTTCCAGCTTTGGGACCTTCTTCGCATCGCTGAAGCACGACTTGGGCTTCATAGCTTGCGTCTCTGGAATCATTACTAGACGGGAGGACCTTTTGGGCTTTGTGGCTGGCTTGGAAGGGGTCCTATTAGCAGCCGTCTTGGCCTTCATGTTGAGCTTCTTTGGCGTGAAAGGCGACTCCACCTTTGAAAGCTCCTCCTTTTGCTGCTTTGGGCTCATTGTGGGTAGTTCCACGGGCGACTCCAGGCAAAACATATCGATGTAGTAGGAAAGGTTGTTTTCGGTGACACAGCTCTCAGAAGTGGTTGTTTTTGCAAACGTGATGGAGGCCTTGAGGGAGTCCAAGTATTGCAGCGCAAGCTTGAAGAAGCTCCACACAACATAGAGAAGAATTGTAGGGTTGGAGAAGACCTGTGAGTTGTAGATATCCGAGGAGATCAAGTAGTTTCTTGTGATCCACATCAACGCAGCGCCAGCAACGGTACCACCAATACCGCCGAGCCAGGCAAACTGCTCAAGTCTGATGAGTCTCTGCGCCACCACCAAGTTACTCACAAAAATCCTTCTGTTGAGCGCCATCTCCGGTAGGAAGAAGGTCTGGCCGATTTCGATCTTCACCAGATTCACGAAATTCAACAAGCTTGTTCTCACCTGCTTCAAGTGTCTGACCCAGCGTTCGGGCCAGTTGGAGAAGAAACGGACAACCCACGCCACAAGCACCAAAGTGACAAGATCTGAAAGAAGCGTGGGCATGTGGACCTTTTCGCTGCAGATCACCGACGCAAAAGACGGGGCTAGAATCATGGCCATGGTGATGGTGTCGTAAGGGTGCCTTGTTTTGGGGAAGTTGTGCAGAAGCATATCCATGAACAGCTCCTCTGAGCTGTAGTCTGCCATTGAGGAGGGCAGCATCTGAGGATCGTAAACTGGGTATGAGCGAATGGAATGTGCCTAGAATAGAATTCGGCGTAGTAAAGCAGGGGGGTCAATTAAGTCAACGTGTCAAATCAGCCAACAGTTGATAGTATTGAATCCTGAGGAAGAAGACCAGGTAGGGATGGAAGGGAGACCCGATCTAGCCGTGTCTGATTCTGGATTTGGAAAAATCAGGGTTCGCCAGGAGACGTGTTGCAAAGTGCTGGAAATTCCGAGAAAAACCCACCAGAAAAACCGAAAAATCAGCTTTTCTCGGAAAGAACGAAATGAAGTAAAATTTAAAAAATGGGAGTTCCAGGATGGCCTGGGTCCTGGGTCTTATAGGCTGCGGCGCTGCTGCAGGGCGCCCTTGGCGAGGATCTTTGATCTAGACAGGGCTGCAGGGCCAGCCGCATTTGGACCGATTCCCGGGGGCCATTTGCAAAACATGATTCCAAAAAATTGACAAAATAGCGTTACTCATTGGATCTTTCTGATTATGGCAATGTAAATTTTATGTCCTGAAGCCCTCTGTAGCCCGAGATACGGGGCCTCTCTTTTTGCATCCACGGTACCAAGGCAGCACACCCGTACACCCGAAACAGCACCAAAGCAGACCTTCACCAGAGGGGAACCACGATAACCATATTCTGTCAGGTACTACTTTTCTTTTTCGTTTCTCCAACCTCTGTTTATCTTCCCTTCTGGGTGCACGGCTTTTCAAGAAAATCATCCGAGGCTAAGTCATTGTTTTTGATCCATGCGGCAAGACAGCTACTGATTAGACACTTATTTCAGACAGCTTCCTAGAAGGGAACACCCTGAGGCTTTCATCCGGGCTTGCCCGGTACGCCGTGATGCCACATCAAAAACATAATATTTTCAGATCAACAAATCACATCTGTGGATTCCGTTAAGCCGAGCCTGATGTGGAAGCCTCATCTCCACTCGTACTTTGCTTCAGTTGCAGCCAAATCAGCCCACAATGCCATGTCGAAAAAACCCATACAAACTGACAAAATCCAGTGATGATGTTCTCCTCAGTTGCCTTGTCAACGGCCTCGGCGCGGCGGCTCGGCTGAAACAGGGAATCGAGGTGCTTTTCTGGAGAAGCGTGTTTTGGCCAGACCGCGATGTTGATGTTCGACACGGTCTGAATTGGAAAAGGCAGGAAGATTTTGGTAAGCGATTGAAGTTTCGTTAAAGCGATTGAAATTGGTTGAAGTGAAAAAACAAAAAAAAAAAAAAAAAAATCACCATGTTTTAGCTTTGAAGCCCTTCCCGATCGAGAAGGCAGATCACCGTCTTTGTTGATCTGCTTTTGAGACGCACGGTCTGGTACAACCGGGCATTGTTTTTCGGAGACCCGCCAGGCCGAATATGGATTCCACGCGGAGACGGGTTTTTAAGGTTTCGGGAAGCTGGCAAAAATTCCATTTTTGTGTTTACGGGGCGCCGTGGACCAATCAGGCAACAAAACGGGTGTTTGGTTTGGCTGCGAATTGGCTATTTCAGCACGGCTTAGGTGTTCTGGCTGCAAAGTGATTGTTTTGAGTTTTTCTCGATTGTCAAGGACTTCGGGGTGGAAGCTTCGGAGAGGCGTATTGTGATCTGGCGCCCGGAATCGTCCTTGGCTCTTTTGCCTAAAGAGATGCCATGCATGCGGGTTTTAAGCTTCGGTTGTTTCGCTATTGATCCGTGTTGATTGTATAAAGTGGCTTTGGACGGGGATGGGATCGGTGGATTGTGCCAGGGGTAGATCAATGGTACATGTTGTGGGGGTGTTGGTGCATTAAACCAGGGATATTGTTTTGGGTGGATCGGATCGCAAAGTTTAAACTGTGTTTGTGGATTTCCGTCGCTAGGGATTTACGAGAGGTTGATCGGGTTTCTCTGTGTTTGTTTTGTGCTATTGTTTTAGGGTATCGACTGGAGCACGACGCTGGGAAGAATGGTTTAGCTTCTAGCCTTCGCTACTACTTGATGGGTGGAGAAAAATCAAAGGACTGACAGATCTATAGACTGAAACCAAATTGAGAGAGCTTCAATTGCAAAGATTAAAGGCTAAGGGAAATGTTCCGGCTGCCATTGGACCAATGAACCTACCTTAATCCCATATCCATTCCGCTCGTGTGAGGTTACCCTCCTGACCTGCTACTATGATCAAGACTACCAAAAAATCTTTTCTTTTTCCTTCAGTCTCTACAAAAATGCTGACTAGACCACGCAGCAGCAGAGGCTTCCAGAACCCTCCAGCTCTCTCGAGAAACTGCTCCCTGTCTTAAGGTCTTGTGAGCTTCCTGCAAGGTCCCATATGCGTCTCACCTGCCGGCCAATCAAAAATCGCCATTTTCCTTCACTTTCAAACACACGTCACGCATCGACCAATTCTCCCGTCTAGCCCTCCGAAATCGATCCCTCTAGAAGCATCTGCCTATTTAAAACAGCCGTTTTGCAGCCGTTTCTAAGGAAGTCCGCGCACCCGCGGTCGTGCGGTGGCCAAGATCAAGGAAGAGATAATGAAAAAAAAAAAAAATTGGGGCGAACTCAGCTATAAAAACTAGAACATACCCTAATTTTCAGCAAACACCATGGTTTTAGTTCAGGACTTGTTGCACCCAAACCCAGCCTCTGAGGCTCAGAAGCATAAGAAGAAGACCCTTGTTCAGGGCCCCAAATCCTACTTTATGGACGTCAAGTGTCCAGGCTGTTTGAACATCACCACCGTTTTCTCCCACGCCCAGACCGCTGTTACTTGTGACGGCTGCTCTTCTGTGTTGTGCACTCCTACCGGTGGTAAGGCCAAGTTGACCGACGGCTGCTCTTTCAGAAGAAAGTAAGCGCTTAAGAGTTAGCATTGTACAATAGAGGGAGCCTGCCGGGCGGTAAGGCGTTGTATAGTTCACTTCATATACGATTCAGGAAACAATCTGTAGGTTGAATTCGAAGGGCTTACCGACATCACGCTATCAACCCTTGGTCTATAGTTCATTTTATATTCGATTCAGAAGATTGTCTGTAATTTGAATCCTTGACCCTTGGTCTATAGCTCATTTTATATACGATTCAGGAGGTTTTTAGTCGTAAACGTTAGGTAGGTTCCCTACATCATCGTATCCCTAACCCTTGGTCTATTTACAGTATGTATGCTATTTGTCAAAATCATGACGCTTGGTTTGCTGGCGGTACTTCTTGGTCGAGGTGAACTTGGCAGCATAGATGTTGTTGAGTGTCGCTGGGTCCATCTCGCTGTCGTCCTCAAGAAGCGCCGGGTCTTTGACTGTCATCTTCTTCCACTCCTTCTTTCTCTTCTCCTTAAGAACAATGTTCCGCTGCAGCTTGGCCATCGACTTCAATCTGGCCATGCCCTCCTCTGAAAATCTCGATTTCACGCTCACGGTCTTCTTGCCCAAAGGCCACAAGTCTCCCTGGCGGGCTTTACGAGCATCGTGGTAGGTCTGCTTACCTGAGCTTTTGGGAACCTGCCAGGTCTCGATATTGCCTGACGCGGCACAGACGTCGAGCTTGACGTTTTTCTTAATTTTGCTGGGGAAACTGATCAAACGGGCCAGGTGGCAGGACCTTCTTCCACACTGGAAGAATGCTCTCTGTCCGACTCGATTTTCTTGATGGAGGCCTCGTCATTGGGGGAACGCTGCATGATAAGGTAGGAGTAGTCAGCCAGCTCGGTATTGTTTCCACCGGGTCTGCCGCTTCCTTCCATGGCCTTGCGCTCCGTCTTCAGCAATTTCGATTTATCCCACAGCGACGCCAATTTCTTACCTTTCTTGAGCTCCATGGTGAATTTTGGCCTCTCCACCACGTTGTTGAATGAACAGAAGGAGAAACGGTGCTTGTGGTTGCGGACCTTGTACAAGTACGGGTCGCCCAATTGAAGAGGACACTTTCCATGGTGGGGGCATGGAGCCACGACGCTCAAGTGGTAGTCAACACCATCGTAGCTGGGTTTATGTGACTCCAGAGGGTCCAAAACCTCCACTTCTTCTTCGTCCTCAAATTTGAGATCATCTTCGCTGAGCTCTCCGTATTTGCTGTTTAAGTGCTCTTCGAGATCTTCGTCCTCGATTCCCTTCTCCTCGGCCTGGATCTTCCTGAGAAGCTCCTCTTCCATCTTGATGTGTTCCTCGGTGATAAGCTGATCCTCAGCCCTGAGCTTTTGTGGTTTCGGCTTGGAGCCACGGATGTACGGTCTGGGAATCTTGCCCTTTTCGTCGGTGTAGTTCTCAGGACGGAGCATGACTTGCCTGGCTCTGGCGATAATCTCAAATCCAAGCGGGTTGCCTCTTTCCACAAGCACGAGATGTCCACCCGGATTGAGCAAAGCTAACACCATCTCAATGTTCACATCAACGTCTCTAGGGAAGCTGTGCTCACGAGTGAGGAGAGCCTGATTCACAATAATCAAGTCGTACTTGCTCTCCGAAGAAAGCGAGTCACGAATGTTCGTTTTAACGTCAATCTTTCGGGTATCGACGGCGCCAACGTAATCCTTCGCCTTCTTTCCAGAAGCCGTAGCCTGAGCCTCTACCTCGCAAGGCTGACGAGAGAGAATGATCTTGGCTCTTCTCTTCATTTCAGAATTACGGCGCCCAACGATGTAAGCATCCTTCACAGAAGGCTTGAAGTCCTGACCCATAAGCTCATTCAAGGCCACCATGCCAGTGGCAGGCCCGTAGCCGATGTCCAAGACAGAATCGGGGTTGAAGGTGTCAACCCGTTTTTGAAGCTCCACAAGGACTTTCCTCACGTTGGCGTAATCCTGGAGAAACAACGCTGCAATGTAAGCGTCACTGTCGAGCCCTGAAACGGGCGCCCGCTGGATCTGCTCCTTCTCCAATGCTTGGTATATCTCTGCTGCTCTTTCTCTGATCAAAGAAGGCACCCTCAAACTCAAGATATTGTTGTTGATTGTCTTGGCGATCTCCGGCGGAAGCTTCACCACTGAGTGGTCACTCTTTCCTTGCAAAGTAAGAGGATCTAGTCTGGCCTCCTCTGCATTATTACCTCTAATGTAGCTTCCATCTGGGTTTCTGTAGTCTGAGGTCTGTGGGTCGTGGAGGTGTCTGACGTAGCCCGAATGGATATCTTCGATTTCGCCTTCCTCCTTCCTTGGCTCCGAACGCACCACTTGCCCAAACAGCTCGCTGTGGCGTTTCTGGTTGAAAGGTAGGATCAGGTCTTCTTGCGATGAGATGGACAGAAGGTTGTAGTTGTCGTCGTGGAAGGCCAGCATTCCTGTATGCTTGAAGCGAAGAAGACAGGGCCGCCTTAGGGCCGTAGCCGTTCGACGTACTAGCATTTTGGGTGGTTTATGGTGGCGTTGATGGAGATGGAGTTGTAGGTGATAGAGATGCCGCTCGTGATGCTGGTCACGTGACTGGAGTTTGAAGGCCTATCAGAGCCGAGGAGTTTGTCAAGTGGAGGGGAGGCAGGTGTTTGGGATTTAGGGGTGGGAGGTCGAAAGCGGAGGTGATCGAGAATCTATGTTTGTTTGGATTTTTGGGTGTTTGGTTTATTTGTGGTTTTGGTGAATTTCGCAGCCAATGCGTGAGAGTGTGGAAGCAGCGTGAAGCTGGCAGTATTATGAGGTAATTGGAGCAGAGGGCATTATGAAAATTCAAAAGGAACACTTACTGGATTTTCGAGGCGAGAGAGCAGAAAATATAAGGAACAGATTATGGATGTTTGTAGAGTTCAAGACCACATCAAGAGAAGCTCCTAGTCCAAAACCAGCTCAGAAACTCAACAGCACTTGACAGCATTCTTGAATTTCGGGAAACACACGTCAATGCATAGCAATACCTTTTGCTTCAATCAAATCTCAATTGAGAGCTAGTATGTCACAATAATCGAATACTCGTAGGAATCGAATACAGCTTACTAACCACTCTTTCGCAGCCATTGTTCACTGACCCATTCACCTGTCAGTATGGCCCATTCCTTTACGCCAACTGTACATAGCTCCTACCGCCATAGAACATAGCATTGAAAAGCAATTTCAAAAGGTGAAAATCATTTTGTGGACCCCGCCGATGGGCCCGAACCTAGCACATTGATCACCTTTCGCAACTTACCTTTCCCATAGATTCGCCATTGAAAAGAACACCAGTGGATTTCCAGCATTTGTAACATCAGATAGCTAGTTTCCGATTTAAGCGAAAAAAGAAAACTCTTCAAATTTACTCTGCTTCCCACTTGCCCACCTCACTCACACCTACAGACCGATTCGCAGCAAACTTACCCAAACATACCCACCGGATTCCCACCATAAATCCAAAAACCGGTCAATCCTATACTATTACCAATTGTTCACTCTTCAATTCTCAAAAAGTTCCCTCCACCTTCTTTCAAAACCCCCCTTTCCCAAAAGTCCAATTCCACCTCCTACCGACCAGTGAGAATCCGGCAGAAAATCAACACCAACTACAACTCCACCCTCCATGCTGTCTCGAGCCATTGGTGCCCTTGTGGGTCTTGCTGCGGTCTACAGCGCTAAACCAGCATACCTCAATGACACAAAAAGATCGTTTTACGAAGACGAGCAGTCCGTGTACCCTGTGCCTGGAACCATCACACCAGCTGAGTCTCAGAACTTGGGCCAGCAGTACGTTATGGAAGGCGTCACTGTGCGGACGACCGGAAGCGTTCAAAGCGTGATTAAAAGCGCCAGAGAGGCCGTCGTCGGCACCTTCACATGTTTCGAATCATGGCTCAATAACAGCAAGTCCAGGTACATCGAACTGGAGAGATCGGTCACCGACACCTTCTCGAGCTTGCACGACAAGAAGGAGGACCTCCTTCCCAACTCGATCTACATTGCTGTGGCGGCCTTGTCGGGCAATATTTTCGCCAGAAATAGAGGCATTGTCGCCAGAGCTCTTGCACCCACGATACTCGGCTTGGCCTCCTTCAAGTACTTCCTTCCTCACACCTTCACCAACACCGTTGGGTTGCTCTGGAGAGTCGAACAGAGGACCTTGCCCGAGGTGGCGCAGCAGCAGGCGCTGGCTTACAACGCTGCTGAAGACTGGGTCAAGGACGCTGGAAAGTCTGCTGTTCTGGGCCAGGAAAAGCTCTCGCTGGGCGTGGACTCGGCCAGAAGGAGATTGGCCCATGCTGCTGGATTGGAGCTTGAGCAGGACGTCACGAAGAAGGTGCCCGAGAAGAGGGATTGAGTGGATGGATGGCTAGAAGCTGGGGAGAAACCTCCCACTACATATACGGCCCGAGGCCAATAGAATGAAGAATGAAGAATGAAAATGACGAATGAGTAGCTGTTGATGGATAGTTGTTGAAAAGGGAGTTAAGCGGGGATTGATAGGGTAGTTGGTGACTGACTTGGAGAAGAAGTGGATCAACGGAGGGCACATACTGATGGGGTGCTTCAGAAAACATGAAAGTCGTTAGAAGCATCAGTAAAGATAAAACATGAGCATTTTCATGAACTTGCATATGGGCTGTTTTGGGTGTTGCCCTAGACGCTGGAGTCCGACTCACCGAGACTGCCTTAACGTCAAATGTACACTTTCTCCCCACACACACTTCTCTTAATCAAACTATTTAGCACGATATCCATTTTTCTTAAATCCAATAAAGAAAAATTAAATCAAGAAAGTTGAATAAATCGAGTTTTTTTTGTTTTTCAGGGTTTCGTGGACCCTGACTGCTCCGAAAGATGCGCCTTAAAGACCGACTCCCGCGTGCAAAGCCTTCAAACTAAAATAATAAACTGCCAAAGCACTAGTATATTGGATAAAGGGTTACCCGCCGGTCAGATCGCGTCTATAAATAAGGGCTGATCTACACGCGTTACATACTTTTAGAAACCACTTCTTTTCTTATCATGCTTGTTCTATTCCAGCACATCAATCCCTCTAGAAAATATGAAAGGTCCACCACAGGCTTTAAGTCCGTGATTGCCGTCTTTACTTATGTCTGTTGGGTTACTACATTGTCTATGATCCTTGCAATCTATGCTCTCAAACAGAGACCAGGAAATAATTTCCTGGAATTGATCGACGCCATTCCGGCGAATGTAAGTGTACACTACTCTATTTCTACCACCAACCTGTCGGATGTTTTTGTCGTGGTCAACGGCCCAGAATTTGGCGAATACTTACGTGAAAACTTGGTCGTGAATGGTAACCCACTGGTTTCACATACTCAAATTGGCAATCAAACATACCAAACTATGGTCTTTGAGGCAGTGAGCGTAAAACACTGGAAGCTTTCGGGTTTGGTTACTTTTGTGATACTGAGCCTTCTATGGTATGCTTTATGTCACTTGCATCAATAGAAGCGGACATGCCATGTTTCTCTCGTTGGCAGCTAGAGTCCACGAATTGGGGTTTTGGATGGCATGTTTCGTCATGATGATGGCCCATTACAAGTACGACACTTTGCGCCTCTTGATACCTTACATTGCGTTTTGGGTTTACCTGCTTTTCATGTGGGTCTTTTTCGAGAGAGCGGTGGGGTATACCTATTCAAATGCCCCAGAATTAAATTATACAGCCGAATGTCCAAGCGAAGGGGAAGACAAGGAGAATGAAGTGGGCGGTGAAGATGGAAATAGTGTCATCGCTCAAACCGACGGAGAGGAAGTTGATGAAGTCATCTTCCCAGACGAGATAGAAGGAGCTGGAGAGAACCTCGATTCAAAAGTATTCTAAAAATGGGGAAAAGGGTGTCAATCTTCCTTCAGAATTTGTCTCTGTGCCTCAGACGAAACCATATAGAGCTGTCCAGTACGAGCGGTTTACTGCTGTGGGCGAACTTGTCGATAACTTCAACAACTATCACCAAATTCTGGGGGTAAGTGACGCACCAAAGGCCCAATATAGCAGCAGCTTTTCAGCCCTCAAAGAATTTGGGTAAAGGGCCAAGCAAAGAGGAAGAATCTGTTGCCATACCTCATGTTACTGCTTCCCATGATACTGCCAACTTGGGTTAGCGAAATGGTGTTTTCCTTTAGCTTTGTCCGAGCCAGGCTAATTTTTATTTTTATATATCTTTCATATTGTTTACCGGTGTTGTTACTCATGCCATTACGTAGGGGGCTTCATTGAAGAGTAGCATATAATATAGAACAGCTTTTGGCAACGGTGATATCTCACTTAATGAGGATTTGAATATGGGAAAAGATCACGAGAAGTCAAGTTATACTTCCATTTCGGTACTCATGGTTGTGCTCCTAAGATATGTTAGGCATGACTGAGTAGAGCTACTGAAAGTGGTGATAGTCTTAAAAAAAAGAAAACTTTCAATGTAAACTGAAGAACTCTTTTAATGAACGATTCTTGAGTAAGCGGATGGAATCTAACACAGGCAAGCAACAGACTTTATCTCAATCGAAGAACAGGTCAGCCTCTTCGAGGGTTTCTGAAATTTACAAAAATAAAATCTTTCGTCTTTTATTCGACGACATTTTGGAACAATAAGCTATGTATACTGGTGGGCATGAATGACGAGCTACCTCTTTCTGCATCATTCTACATAATCGCCTACGGCGAGTTTTATTATATTATGAGAAAATTACCTATTTTCAGAGGGTCAATGGGAAATGCCGACTAGAATCTTTCACTTCATCGAGGAGGAGTTCAATCAACGGACAGTTGAAGAAACTTTATCTAGGCTTATCACCAAGAAGCCGTCTCATTATGTTTCACATCAGGTAAACAAGGTTACATGTGAAAACAGCAAAATGTGGAATGTGACGGCGCTTCATCTAAATTGTGTTACCAAAATGAGGGGTGAAGAGCTGAAGGATTCTTTTATAAAGCAAGCGAGGCGTAAGGACGGAGTTCTGGTGTTCGGCTCAGGTCCCAATTTACAAGATGGTACTTGCAGAGTCATAGAGTCAGTTTTCAAGAGAAATCAACTCGAGTTGAGCCATATTGAGTCACATATCAAAAACAGCTTTTGTGGGAGAGTGGAGATGGGAAATTCAACTTATGCCGCTAGGTGCCTCAAAGTCGGGAGTTCAATATTCCAGTATACTCCTGCTTTTGAATGCAAAGCATTCACTGAATATTACAACAGCGATGCTCAAGCCATGTAAGAAAAGACAATCGACACAGAGGACAGCTCGATCATCAGAGGAAAGCTTGAAGTGAGAAAGGTCCCGCTCAATGATATTGGAGCATTTGAAAAATACAATTTGGTATCGCCAAGGCTGAATGTCAAAAACTACTTTTCTTTCAGGCTTGTACAGTTGAAACCTTCATGGTGTGGGTGTATGCTGAGTGTTATGGCTACACGAGTGAAGGTTACTGCAATAGAGACCACAGAATGCAAAATTCCCTTCAATGAAGAGTACAAATACCAGGAAGAAGTCCGAGAAGTCATTCTCAAAGACGAAAGAGTCAACATTGTGATCAATGAAATGGACTTGAGAGGAGACGACAGACACTTTGAATTAGATCCTTCTTTGTATTCGTGCACACTTCCTAACCTAGGCGTGACGTTCTTCTCTAGGAATTGCAGCAGAACGTATGCTCTCAGGTTCAGTATAACGCTAATGTGTCTTGAGCAGAAATGTACCTCCACCTTTGACGTTACCATGAATGTGGTAGTACCATTGGAGGAGCAGGAGAAGAAAGAGAAGGCGATAAACCGTCTTGTCAAAAAAGAAGACCGAATTGTTATGAAACGGTTCCAGAAAAGTGAGGTAACAGTCCAGGAGATCAGCAAATGGACGGATAGGCAAAAGGCAATTGAAGGTAAGCGAGCTCTAACTTCCTATATTTGTGCCATCTCTGGTAAAGATTACATTCTTGGAGTGCTAACAGTTTCCCGATTCGGGCCAGTATCTGAAAAACAAAGGCTGCTTAGCCCTTCGAATAGTGGCATGGACCCTGATGACTTTGATGTTGACTACACTGACGCTATCCTTTTCAGTGACAGCGGAGGTTTTTCCGTTCCGGAAATGTGGATATGAAGATCGCAAGATCACCGTTTTTGAAGCCTAACCTTGTGGGAGGTCCCAATGCACTAAACAGTTCCAGCAAGTCTACCTACTGGCTACAAATTTGTAATATCTCCTTTTCAGAAGAAGCTTTGAAAGACTGCTTCCATATCTGGCTCCACCTGGAGCTGTGTGCATCAAGGGTTTATGCCAAGAATTTGAAGATTTTGCTCTTCACTAAAACATACATAGCCGAAGCAACAACCCTCTTTGTGAGTGACATTACACTACCAGAGGTAAAGTATGTGCCGTTTAAAGACTTTACGCTTAACTTATCGAGCAGATGTGCTAAATTCCCTAAAGAGGTTTTTGAGGGCAAGCTGCCTCCATTCGAACCTACTGTTGTGACAAGCCAATGCGTGAGAACAACCATAATTTGGATCCGGCTTGAGGTCAAAACGTTCTTTTCTGCTGCAGAAACCGTTGAATTAATCGAAGAATTGGTCGTTCCCGGTGACTACGAAGCTTTGGTTGAAAGCTCCCTGCTTCCACCGTACGTGGAGGAGGATAGGTCAATTAGGAAGTAGGGTTTCTTTAGTTTTGTTGGTTTTTGACGTTGTGGGATATTCTAGCACCTTGAGCGTTTCATAGTCAAACCCTTCTATACTTTCAGCTTCAGTGATTAAACTTTTTTGAGTCCATAGAAGAATGGAAGAGATTGAGGATCAAGAGTTTTTTCTTGTGAAGAGATTTGAATGTGGATCATACCTGGATCCACCAAACGCACGTATGTACTTATAACAGTTGAACCCAATGGGTGAATCATCTTTAATATTTGAGTGAGTCGGCGTTTCAAGGTGAATTAATAATTTTCTGAAGGCCGGATTTCTCGACCTCATATTTTTAATCAGGCGTGAACGACAAGATGGAAATTATTTTCCAAGTGAACCGATGGGCATGTATGACCTCGTCATTCTACAAAACGCCGAAGCATATTATATTCGAGATTGCCCACGTAGAGAAAAGCATTTGGCAATTGAAGTATTTAAAGAGCAGATATCACAAGGAACTGCCATCAGAAAATGTCGACAAAAGTCCTCCACTTCATCGAAAAAGATAAGAATCAAAGAAATGTCGAAAAGACAATATCGGAACTAATCAACAAGGAGCCATCAAATTATGTTTCGCATGATGTGAGCTCTTTCACTGAAAGTTCACACACTTGGAATGTGACCAGGCTTCAACTTAAGAATGTCACTAATATTGAGGCGACAGAACAGAAAGACTCCGATATCGAGAAGGTGAGGCAGAAGGAAGGTATTCTGGTTTTTGGATCAGGCCCCAACTTAAATGACGGTACTGGCAGAGTTATATTTACTGCTGTAAAACGGAATCAGCTAAAATTAAGCCACCTCGAGGCATTGATGAGCGGGTATTTCCAAAGTGAGAGTAACAGGTTCAATTCAACCTACTCAGACAGGTGCTTCAGCGTTGGAGGAGAGTTATTTCACTATGCTCCCGGTTTTGAGACCGATTCAGCATTCCAATGTCACAGAAGCCACGCACATTGGCTAGGAACTCACTCAATAGATCGAGATGAAAATGGCTCGGCGGTTCGAGGAACACTCAAAGTTTCCAAGTTCGGTCTTTATGGTTCCACTGAACGCAACTTGATACTACCAGAAAGGAATCTCAATAACGATTTTGAAATTGAACTTCATCAGTTGAAACCCTCATGGTGTGGGTGTATGCTGGATGTTATGGTTTCTCGTGTCAAGATTACTGCTGTAGAGACTACAGAATGCATTATTCCGCTTGATGAAGGATACGGATATGAAGGGGACATCCGAGAAGCAACTCTTCAGGACAAAGAATTCCAGACTGAAATCAAGAGATCTGACATGAAAGGAGATCACGACGACAGATATTTCAAGTTGCCTTTTGCTCACTACGATTGCAGCCTTCCAAACTTGGGGGCGACGTTTTTCTCCAAGAATTGCAGCAGAACTTACGCTCTCAGGTTCAGTGTAACGCTTATGTGTCTTGAAAAGAAGTGCACCTCCACCTTCAATGTCACATTGAATATAGTGGTAGGATTGAAGGAGTTTGAAAAGCTGAAGGCGGTGGAGAATGGTCTCTTTAAGAAAAGGGATTATTTATATATCCAGAACTTTCCAAAAACGGAGGCAGTAGCTCAGGACATTGACGAATGGGTAAGAAAGAAAGCGCTAGCCATTGGCAAGCTCACTCTTAACTCCCATATATGTGCCATTCCAGGAGAAGAGGTCATTTTTGGAATCATCACAGTTTCTCAATTTTGTCATGATATCCAAAACGATCACTCCTCCAGTCTCATAATAGAAGAGGACGAGGACAATGCTGTCGATCCGGCTGTTGATTACACCGACGCTATTGTGTACTCCAACCATTCTTTCCGTTTCCGCTCCAAGAATCTTGAAATGAAACTCAAAAGATCTCATTGTTATAGTCCTGGCGTGGTGCAGTATATGGGACGATATCAACCGGATGGGACCAAATTCGGACTTGGATGGAAGGCAAACAGCATGGTACTGGATGAACCGCTATGGACCAGTGACTCCTGGCTTTGCCTGGATGATCAAAAAAAAAGAACGGTTTATGTCAAGAAGATAAACATTTCGTTTGTTGAAAGAACACAGCGAAATGAAGGCGAGAGCCGCTCTCAAAAAGTGAAAACCCAAACATTGGTAGACAAAAAGTATGGAAGATTTCAAGGCGTGCCACTTCATATAAAAAAGGGGAGTGCTGAACTTCCAAAAGAGTTGCTCGATGGCGTATGGCCCCAATTCAATCCTACTGTTGCGACAAATCTGTTCTCTAGAGAAAATGCTCTTGAAATCCGACTTGAAATCAAGACATCCTTTGCCACCACGGAATACGTCGGACTCAGAATAGAGTACTTTATTTATGGAAACTACGATGCTTTGGTTGAGAGCTCGTCCCTTCCACCTTACCATGAGGAGGACGAGAAGCAGTTGACCGAGAAGGAAGGGTCCAAGTAGTGTTTGATTTATTTTGAATGCTTTCAGAAGTAGTTTCTGTTTCAATTATCCCTTGGGTGTAGAGATGAGGGACCAACCGAGTCTCAGTCGTTTGTTCAGAGATTTCCACTGAAGACCTTCACAAGTCATTGTTTTATCGCATGTCTAGGCTGGGCTTCTAGTCTGATGTATAAAATCAAAGAGGAAGAAAATGCTCCAATGGTCCATATATGGCAGAATGGGCATCCACATAGTGCTGGCAGAAGTGTCCGTCATCCACTAACAAGCTGTTGTAGTTTGGCGATGGAGTCAATGTTGGAATCTCTGAACTTCAAACGAAACGCCCTGGATATTTGTAGGTCTTGGTATTGAATCGTTCTGAGTTTTGCATGACGACCCCAAGTACACTCACAGTTTTTGCCGGATTGGCATGAACATTATGAGTTGGAGGGTTCATGGAGCATGGGAGAGTTCATGAAGCATGGGAGAGTTCATGAAGCATGGGAGAGTTCATGAAGCATGGGAGAGTTCATGAAGCATGTTTGGAGAAACAAGCAGCAAGTCGTTTTGTTGGAATGTGTCTGAGATGTTTAGAAGCTCCCCAAATGAAGAAGTTACGCTTCTGAGGCTCAGGTCGGAATCCCTTGGTGGTCTTCTACGTTGATCGGTTCTCAAGGGTCCCCCTTGGGTAATCCAATCCTGGTCGGGTAGCACCCAATTTCCTCCTGTTTCACTATAGTTTCTATTACTTGGTAAAGTAATGCAAAGTCACTGAAGCTGTAGATGCAGCATCTCTCAATTGCTAGCATCGTTCCCCTAGTGGCCTTGTAAGTGAAGGTAGGGCTATAGGGGCCGGAACTTGACAAACATGCTGACGGAAAACCCTCCTTTCAGTTTACTTTGATAATTGCAAAGACAATGAGAAAAAAACAAAAACCCCTTGCCTTTTTCTGCCCGCTCTCCAACCTCACTTCTCAAGACTTCTGTGGTGCGGCTTTTTGCAGCCATTTCTACTACACCACTTTTTTCCAGAAACCGCCAAATTTTCGAAAATCATGGACGAAGACTTCCTGGCGCCGGCGCCCGGCTGGACGTTCCGGCTTCCGTGGCGCCGCAAGGTGTCTGCCGCCGACGTGGCGAAACTCCAGGCAAAAACCAACAAGCGGTCCAGAAAGCTCCACAGAGCGCTAGATAAACAGAAAGCAGCTCTTCAGGCGTGGGGTGCGTCGCTTTCGGACGAAAACAGAGACATGATCTTCCACTACGTTCGTCTTGTGGACCAGCTCGGCGATGTTTTGAAGTTTGACGGTCCTTCTGACGCCATGGAGGGTGTTGCAGCCAGAGAAGCGAAAAGAGAGGAGCTTGTGGCGAAAGACCAGAAACTAGTGAAGCAAAGGGCACATGTGGCTGTGAAGTACGGGCCCAAGTGCACCCAGGCGTTGGAATTGGGCGAGGAAATCAAGGAAAACAGGTCCCGAATCGCCCTGTCTCTGGAGCAGCTAGCTGAGGCTATAGGAGTGGAACTTCGAGAAGCGTTGGGGCAGTATCTGGGGAGAATGAAGGTTGCGGTAGGACGGGTTGGAAATGCAGCAGAAAGGTTGGCAAATGGCGATGATAGTGGAGAATTGGAGTGCAAGTTTGGGGTAAGTGAAGTGAAGGTTCCTGAGGAGGAGAAGGCTGAAGAAACCTCTATTGAGGAGGTTGCCGAAGTTGAAGAGGAAGCTGAAAAATTTGAGGATATCCCAAAAGCCAAGGACCAGCCGTGGGCGAGAATGCCTTCCATGTTTGCACGAGCTCTGACGATAGTTGGAAAGAAGGTGAGGAAAGGCGAGTTGGAAAAGAAGATCTTGAAACCTGAGGATACAAAGTATCCATACCCTTCTGATCCCAAGGAAATCAAGGCCCTTTTGGGCAAACAAGCCTTGGAAAGGAAGGAAAATCGGGCTCAGATGCCCTTGAGGATGGCATCCAGATTGGAAGCTGAAAAGATCGGAAAAACTGAACTCCAGAACGAATGGGCAAACGTCGACAACGATATCGACGAAAAACTACAAGGCCGAGGCACAGGCGCCAACGGCACCGTCCACCGCATGTGGAACGGCTGGTGATCGGGTCGTCTATAATACATGCTATTTTATCTACATCAGATCCTTGAAGATCTTCTTGCCAATCTCGTACGACGAGATCATGATGGCACACAGCGGGGCGATTTTCATCACACGGGGGCCGAACCCGCTGTACAACGCTCCCAAGCCTTCGTTGCGGTAGATCTGCTGGAGGAACAGGAACATCAGTGGTTTCGTCAGCGGCTTTCTTTGCTCCGTGGCAATTTGAAGTCGAGTCTTGCCCACGTCAAAAGGGTTCGTGAATGCTGCAGCGACTACTCCACCCATCGAGCCCAGCAAGAAACTGGTGGTGAACACCTTCCAGTCATCCTGGTGAGAGGCAGCAAAATCAACCTCCATAGCTCCACCAATACGGTCCTTGAAGAGCTCGTAGCACAGCCAGTAGATGCCCGAGAAGGGCACGTCTCTCCAGAGCGTGATCTTCAAACCAGTGAACATCGAGCCAATGCCGCGGGTCTTGAACGACAGGCTTAAGTCTTTGAGCAAATTCTTTAAGATCTGGGAGCGTGGCTGGTCGTTGCGGACCTCGTGTGGAATGGACTGGAGTCTGGTCTTGAGCAACTCGACAGGAGCCACCACCGTTGCAGCCATGGTTCTGGCAAAGGAACCGCAGAGTAGCGGATTCAACATTTCTCCCTTGAAGGGCAGTCTGTCACGGATGTACTCATAGCCTGTGAAGTATATGATATTAGAAGGAATGGCCATGAATAGCGTCAAGCTGAGTCCTCGCCAAAGAGTGGTGATACCCTCGTTTCGGCTAATCACGGACATGCCTTGAAACGTCGAGGTGATCTTGGGACACACCTCCGCCGCCTCACAGTAGTGGCCCGTGACCCAAAAAACGCCTGGAGGTTGTAGCGCCGCTGCTGTTCGTGATAGCGTAGATGCAGCGGAGCTGAAAGATGCTTTAGATGCTGATGGTGGCGGCTTCATAGCCACCTTGGGAGTGGATTGAGAGCAGCACAGGAAACCTTGCATGACTTCCTGCTGCTGGACTCTGATTCTAACAACGTCAAAGGGCGTCACCACTAGAGACGTGATAAAGGAGCCCAGACACGCTGATAGCATTCGCTGAACGGCGGTGATGTCGCTGTTTGTTGGAGGCCCGGGCGTTTTCGGAAGTGCTCCGGGCGAATGGAGGTGCAAGTCTTCATCTTCGATGGCAGCCGCTAGTTCCAGGGATAGCGACATGAGCTAGGAAGTGGCGAGACAGGCTGCTGTTAGAAGCAAGCAGGGTTACTTTTTCAAGCGTGAGATTGGGTGCGGACTGCAGATAACTTGACAGCACCCAAAGCAACCACTCGTGGGCAATGGAATCAACAAGCTTTGTGGCAGAATATGGTTGATGTTAGCTTTTTCAAAAATTTGCGTTGCCTGGGAGATCTTCTAGGATATGTTTCCAGAATCGGGAGCAATCCCGCGCCGCCGTTGTCACGATTTTGCCATTGTGCGAATCGGACTAATGGTTGCAAATCTAGCCGGGACTAATCTTCCATGGAAGCGTTTTGGTGATATCACCAATTTAGTACTCCTCCACAATGTCGCTGCACTGGTACACATTAATATTGCCATCCTGGTTGTAGTTGGTGGCAATCATCATTCTGTGGGGATGGAAAGCGACATTTGACAAGTAGTTCAGAGTCCGGTTGGCTAAGTAGTGGTCATGTGGGTTCTTGAGCGTGTGTATCATGTCACCACTAGTGGTCCAGATGTCAACCAGCTTGGAAGCCGTGGTGATGATAGGAGCATGCTCGTGAACATCCATGCATCTGATATTGCGTTCATCGCTGGTGAATGTGAGCACTGGCTCTGATAAGCGAATATCAAAGAGATTCACGTATCCGTCAGAGGATCCACTAACGAGTTCTCGGAAACCACCTCTTTGCATGTGCACGTTTCGGACTGATCCACGGCCCATATCCTTGATTGCGCCTCTTCCATTCTGCCAGACCTTAACCATAGATTCTCTAGCATCAAGCCTTCTATCGTACACCCTCAAACTGCCATCGTCAAACCCTGCCACGAATATGTTGCCTGCAACTTGATCCGAGGTAAGGGAAGTGATGGACGATGAAGATCTCGCGGGAATATCGATGGTACAAAGTTCTCTGGGAGCATCCCATACTCGGATGATTTTGACATCTCCACTCACCAAAAGCGAGCCTCTAGACTGCTGCCACTCACTAATGAGACCGGAACTCTTGGAGGTCAAAAGAAGATCTGTCAAAGCTCTCCAGGCTGTCACAAGCTCGACATCTCTGGCTTCTTGATCAAGGTGGAAGTTCTTGTACATCTTGATCACACCATCCGACGAGCCTGTCATGACCAACGGTTCGTCGTCCTCGTTGATGAACTTGATATCGGTAATCTTTGTGCCAAAGGGATTGCTGTTGGAGAACTTCGTAACCATCTCCTTATTCTCCCAGTTCCACACGGAGACGTTATCCTTTTCGTCCGAAGCAACAAGAAGTTTTTCGAATTGCATGAACTTGATGAGTTTAGGCTGAGATTTGTTGTTCAAAACAGTGAGCTCCCTGTTCCAGTCGCCACGAATAGCCATCATCTTTTGAGGCTGGGTTTCCTGAATGGTGCTCTCGTTTCTGTTTCTTCTCCAAAGCCTCTTCATATACTCTTTTGAACCAGGCTCATCGATCTCTGTCTTCGACATCTGGGGCTCTTGGAAATATTCACAGCTATAGTCAAAGAACCCAGACTCATCAGGAAGTTCAGGCTCTTTTTCAAAGTCTCTTGCAACATATCTTGGTGTCTTAGGTCTGTAGTTTGAGCCATACTGACTAATAGCTGGCCCAGGCTTCAAAATTCTAGTGAAGTTATTAAGTTCTGTATCGTCATTGATGTGGAAGCTTCTGAACAATTTGGAAATGCTCAAGTTCTTGAGCTTGGAGGAAATGGACAGCGAGTCCAGTGCATCATCGGCAGCAGAGCCTCTGTTCATGTTTCCATGCGAGATAGCTCTCGTCTTCAAAGATGAGCCATCAATTGTCAATGCGTTCTTTCTATTGAGAACTGAACCACTGGATGCTTGTCTACGAACACCATCGCTTCCTTGCAAGAGCATGGGTGTACGATTAACGATAGGCTGCACAGGCTTTAAGTTGTCAGAGATGCTGATGGTAGACTTGCTCAACAAGTAGTCTTGCATTTCTTTGACAAGTTCACCGAGCTCGCTTTCTCCAAGATTAACCATGACTGAGTCAATGAGAGTTTCGGCAAGCTGCTTCACTTCGAGATGTGGATCTTCAGACAAGATCAAAAGTGCTTTCCAGATGGAACTGAAGATGGAGCCATAGGCAGGTGACTTTTTGCGGAACTCATGCAAATTGTTTGGGTTGTCAATAAGAACAATCTCCTCCTCAAGTTGGTTGAAGGCCACAACCATGAAAAACTTATTGTATACCTTGATGAAACGATTGATGAAGAAGACAATCTCCTTGCGGACAATAGTAGATCCATCGCCCATAAGGCGTAAAATGACATTAGCCAACTTGAGGTCTTGCTGGCGTAACTCGTCCAGTCTCAAATCAGCGTTCATGCCATTGCCTTGATTAGCGTTTTTCTTTGGCAGTTCATTGGACAGTTCGTTCGGGTCAGTCAAGAATGTAGTAAGTGCAATGATGATAGAAGTTCTCACCTCTGGGATCGGATCATTAATCAAAGTGAGGAACTTTGCGAGATAGCCATCTTTATAGATAATCCATCTTCCGTCCTTGTACTTGTACCAAAGTTGCGAAAGAAGTAAGCAACACCACTGTCTGAGTAATGGGTTCTCACTCAGTTGCAAAAATTTGAGACAGTTGCTGACAAGCTCGATAGAGAAGCACAAACGCTGGCCGTTTCTGAAATCTTTAATGAAAAGCGTCAAGATGAACGCACTCATGGCCTTGTGATCGTCATTGACCATGACTGAAGTGGCGCCTCCATTTGCACCGTTCATGTTTCCTCCTGGAGCACCAGGAGCACCAATAGAGTTCAGTGGACTGGAGTTGAGAATGAGGTAAAAGTAATTGTAGCCTTTGTCTTTGCAGAGTTCTTGCTGCGTGTTCTTGTAGTCAATGGCCATGATTCTGGTCCAGATGAAAATAAGAACAGGCTTCAATTCCTGCGCTGGACTCTGAAGTAATTTGAGCACGTATGGAAAAATACCAATAGAAAGAGACAAGTAGACTGCCCAAGGTCCTAAATCGAGGAACTTTGAGAGCAATATTAACGCCCTCAAACGGTGGACCTGGGAGAGCAAGACTTGAAGCACGATAGGTAGCTGCTCGGGTGGATTCTTTGTAGATGGCCCTTCGTATTTCAACCAAATGTCAAATGCTGTTAATTGCTGTTCGAAAAAGGTGGAGTGCTGGTAGTTTGAGAGCATCTGGCGCTGGTTTGGAAGCGGCTGTTGTTGATTTTGCTGTTGAGACAAGGATATGCTGGCACGGCTGCCGTTTGAGTTTCCGTTTGAAGTCGACTGTGGGGTGACATTGTTCTGTGGAACTGGAGGTGGTGGCGGCGTGGGAACCGTGTATGAGTACGGATCGGGATTATTGTTCTTGATCAACTGGGCGAAAACCTGGTCGATGGCCAAGTCCCAGGAGTTCCACATGGAGTGGAAACGCACCGACTCGGGTAAAGGCGGATCACTGATGGGATTGCAGTTGAAATGTGGCATGACTCTCTTGGCCAAAAGGAAGTTTCTGAAGAGTGCAGCCACCATGAGGTCCTGACGGAAGAGTTTCTTGAAAATCGGCCTCGAGAGCGAGGTCCATGCTATTGTGTCTGTGATGGCGGTGAAGATCCAGTTGAGCTCACCCAATGGCGTTCTTCTGTCTGTGAGTTTGCCAGGGATGATCACGTTGCCGTTGCTGTTGCGTGGGAGCATCAGATAGTACGAGTCCTTGAGCGGCAGCTGCATGATGAACCACTTGATGGAGATGTCAATTGGACACGTCAAGCAGCCGGTGAACAAGTCTGCGGGCAATTCAGGGCTCATGGGGAGCGTTTCGTTGGACTTGCATGCTGCCAATTGGATCGAATCGAGGTATGATGATGTAGGTGAGGGAGCACTCAAATCGTGGTTGCCCTCGTTGTCGTCGTCGATACGTTTCTGGACGAACTTCTTGAAATTGTGCACAATGTTTCCAGCGGAGTTGCAGTCGTACACAAAAATAACCGGCGCCCCGAGCCACGTTTGTAGGTCGTACAAGGAAATGGGGATATACTGGGTGTAACCACGGTTAAAGACCCAGATTTCGCCGCTGGCGGTAGGCTGAGGAACGCCGTGGCCGTTGTAGTGAAACAAGATGCGTTCGTCCTTGGCGTTTCGCCGGAGCGTGTTACAAAAACGCTTCACATCCTCCACACACGGATCCAACAGCTGTTTGTAGCGAGTTCTCAAGGAAAGCGTCTCGTACTGGCTCTGTAGGTTCTTTCCAATCGCCTCGATCGCCTTCTTTGTATCGGGAAACGCCGAAGGGTCACACCACGCCTCGAGCTTGGCACACGGGTATGTTTTCATGATATCTGGAGGATCCACGCCCAAGTTCAAACAAAGCACCAAAACGGCACTGATGGTTTTCTGGCGTTCCTTCATGACTTTCCAGTCGCGGATCGGCTGGTGGTTCTTGGCGTACTCCGGAAGCCGTTTCATTTCCTCCGTGACAGGATTCCCGTTGGTGTTATGGCGCTTATCGTCAAAGTATATGTAAAACGTGTTCGCTAGCAGCAGGAGAAACTGCTCGGAATTGTAGTCCTCGTCGAAACCATGGCGCATTTTCGAATTTAGCGGCTGTAGCGGCCGGGGTCCGTAGTATACGAGGGACATGCTAGATAAGATAGTAGTAGGTGGGATGGTGATGTTGGGAAGGTGCAGGATGGGAGGGTGGAGTGGTAAAGGGGGGCAGGATTGGATAAATGGGGTGGGTTTTGGATTTTGGGGATTTGGAGGCGTTTTTCTTCTTTCTGGTTTTTGGAATTTTGGGTTTGGGCTGGAGGAGTGGGGTGGTGGATGGATGGGTGGTTTGTTCAATGGCTGCGAAAGTGGTCTTGCGACTGGGATAAGGATGGATGTTTTGGAATCGTCTGGGGTGGATACTTTTCTTTTGAATATGGTGGTAGGACTGAAAGGAATGAAATACTGAAAAGGAAGCTGGATATGTTTTGTTGATGTTTGTTGAGGTGGGGCTTTTGGAATCTTCGGGGTATGTGGAGGATATGGGATACTGGGAGACTGTGATATTCAGGTGGGCGGTGTCATATTTTTTGTGTAGGCAATTATATGGCGTATTGTGGTGGCGATGTCTGTTGGTGTGGTGGTTTAGCATCTGCTTTGGTGTGGACTTTGAAGTGGGCTCTTTCGGACCACCAGGAAGAAATGTGGTGGATTGAGTTTCAGAAAAGTGGGACTTCTGCTTTCTTTTATAGGTGAAACAGGTAAAGCCAGGTCATCTACCGGGCAGCCGGGTCATTCATTTTACATAATATTCGTGGTACATCCAAAGGGTAACTCCAGTGCTGGAGTTTCCGATATGGTAAACTGATGGATGACGAGGTGAAATACCAAAACATCAAAGGTTGAATTTTGGGTATTGGGCAGTTTCTCGTGCTTGGGGAAAGCTTCAAAAGATTGCATACCAATTCGTCCATGGTAATGTAACATTCGTCTATGGTAATGTAGCTGCTACGTACCCTACCGAGACTTTGAAAAGCAAAACGTATACTCACGTATTTGGCTAATTGATCGAACGAAGAGTGCAATTTATTCATTTTCCCTCTATAGAGCTTCGATTGCGGTATTTAGTTTGGTTGGTGCACCCTTGAGTTGTGATTTCGCAGCCATCTTAGGAACCATTGAACATGACAAGTAGTACAAACTGAAGGAAGAGAAAGAACTCTATAGTTTCCATCAATTTAGGACTGCAGTCTCTTTAATTATTGTATCACTAGCTTAAACAAATCAGTTTCATCTCTAAGCCACTACCACCCATCGAACCGACACCAACGCTTTTCGTGTAAAGGAAAGTCAACAAACAAAATCCACATTTACGAAACTGAAGAAAAAGTCTCAACCCTCCAAACTGCTCTACTCCATTTCATTGACTCCACTGACCACCTCCACCACCTCTTCTGGTGGTGATGCACTGGTGCAGGAAAATCAACAACTCCATGTCTTCAGGTAGTGGAACGGACTCCAGCGGATCGGGCCTGGGTTCGGAGTCAGGCAGCTCGTCCGAGTCAGAAAACGACGCCCAGGCCTTTTTGAAACCTGTTTTTGTAAAGAAAACCCACAAACTGAAGGCTCCTCAGACAAGCAGTGGAAACGTCCTAGCCAAAGCCGAATTCCAGCAGAACCTCGAGGCGAAAGAAGCCAAGGTGGTGAGTTTCGATGGGGTTGACGATACAGACGACGTTGACCCCGAAGGCGAGTTTGAGGCGTGGAAAGCACGTGAAAGAGCCAGAAAGGCAAGAGACTCCAAGGTTGATGATGAAGAGGAGGTGGACGGAAAAGGCGGGGTATTCTACCGTGGTGTTGGCGAGGAGCTTCTTAATAGAGAGGAGGGGGAAGTAGAGGGAGACCATTCCAGGCCCCTCAGGTACAAGGCTCACTAAGCGGTTAATGCTGATAACGGGTATTCGAACAGAAGATCAGAAAGAATGACAATTTGAAGATGGCTATGAATGAAGGCAGCTAAACGTTAAGCTCGTCAATGGTATGACGAAGAAGCTTAGGGGCGTTTAGTATGGATAACTGGCAGGATCTGTACTCTCGATGTGGAGGAAAGGCCAGTTGTGAGGTATCGATTATCACAGAAGCGGACAGAAAAGCTCCTCAGTGTCATTTGAAGTCATCTTTGGTGGAGTCCTCAAAATGCTTAAAAAAGCAGACGCTTGTTGCAATTGGGGAAGCATGGCTGATGGGATAGCTGGATGAGCCAGCTTCTGGGTTGTCTATGAGGAGAGCAATTCTAAGAGCAAAGCGTCAGTGTACCCTGTTTCGCCTATCATTGTCTTCAACCTGCCAAAATTAACAAGCGTTTCTACCATTTGGTCATCGTCCAGCTATGTCCACCAATCCACTCAAACTCCAAGAAAGCACCGTCGATCAAGCAAACAACCCAAAAAACATCCCTTCTCCGCCTTGCATTCCTCCACTTCTGCCAGTCCCATGACCTCCAGAATGTCGCCAGGGCGTTGACTTACATCACCTTATCGTCAGCAAATAAGCGTTCATCACGACGATCGACCGTCGATCCCGATAACAGGCAAACGCAGCCAGCACAGCCCACAATGCCCTTACACAAACTCATCTACACATCCTTCCATGACATTTTCATTGCTATGCTAAATACGGTCCAGGATATCGCTGGACAGGCCTGTGAAACCACAGACATGAATGGGCAATGCTAGCAGGCCCGAGAAATGAACACTTCCTTCGAAGAAATGATGGCAAGGCATCCGCTGGACTGTACGCCTCCGGGGAAGAATGGAGTTAGCACTCCAGCAGCTTGGCGTTCACCAAAACACCCTGCCAGCTGTAGTACTTGCTCATGTTCACGTGGTGCTTCTTGGCCGTGCCGCTTTCGTACATCAGGCACCCGTACAAACTGGCGTATGGAGGCGTGTAAAGGTGTAGACTCACGGCAAAGTCGCTGGTTTCGTTCGAGATCTTATGGAGGCCAATGTCGTCGGAAATGTACCCCACCTCGTCACGGCCCAACTTGCTCACCAGTCTGGGCTTCATTTCACCCTCGTGGTCGGGAACGTCATATAGCGATTCCGTCAACTCGCCCTTGAGAATCTTCATGCAACAGTGGGCATTGGCGTGGTCGTGAATAGCACTACCTTTGCCGGGCGACCAGACCAAAATAAGGAGGTTGGCGTTGCCGTTGATGTTCAAAATGCCGTTTCTGGTGTAACCTTTGGTGGCATCACTCAAGGCGTACTTGCCCCAGTGGGCTTCCTTGGAGTGGTACTTTTCCATGATGGCTTTGATTTCATTCACATCGATATCGTCCAGAGCAAGGCCCTTGGACGTGCCAAGGACAGATTTGAGTTCGGCAATGAGATCGCCGAATTCGTTATCTAGAACCAAGTTGTCTTCTCCTTCTTCTTCCTTGTTGCCGAAGGTGGGCACTGGTTTGTGGAGGAGGGGCAGAGGCGATGGGGAATGTTGACACTGAGCATACTGTGGCTGGCGATAGTAAAAATGTGGATGGCACAAAGGAAGTGGGAGGACTATCGAGGGGTATTTATATAGTCGGATTCTGGGCCTATCTGACACAAAAAGCATGGCCATGTACGGTTTCTCCCATGCATAAGGTGGTATACACGATAGAGACTTGTGATAGGGCCAGGGCCGCTCACCTGCCGCATTAGGCATGTATACTGCACACACACGGCCCGCGCGGGACCGCTGCGGTGGCTAATCGGCGCCTTCTACGTTCGGCAGGCGTGGGAAAAGCGCGCGACATTGCGCCCTTATAATGAGCAAATGTCGCAGCGGGGCTCGGCTCCTTCCGAATGAGGACCAAGGCCGACGTGTCTCCTCCCGCCACCGCCCCGACAATACCCTTATTTTTTATGTAGAGTCGTGACGTTGCATCAAGCGAGCCGTTATTGTGAGCGTTTGACGGGCTGCGGCGCTCAAATACTAGCGTCTGTAAAAAGCTGTAACTGCTTAATGGTGAGTGATGCCGCTAATAATAAAAATGTCTCCCTGTACCAGGGGTAAGCTCTTAGCGGAAGTCCATGGTTTTTTTTAAACCCGGGTACTTGGCACTGATGAGTGTCGCAAAAACACGCCTGTTGTCCATCCAGCTTTCTTGGAATAAAGGCTTAACCGTGGAGATAATGGAGATAATTCGTGACCTCCAGCAAGAAACACGCTAAGCCGCTAAGCGAGTGATGGGTGTCTTTGCATCCAAGCCTTCTTATTGGCGGACTCGGGATGGAAGGATGGTACAGGGAATGACGAAAGAGAGCAAGAATCATAACAAAGTACGTGAAACGATGGATTTTTGAATATTAATTGATACTTGTCTTGCCGCACAACCAAGAAATGTGGGGACGATTTGTAGCCATTGGGTTGATTAATTGAATTGCAAGAAGAAGTCGACCAAGACACACATCGGTCATATATACTCGCTGAAACCCAGCAACATAAATCTCATGTGAATCCCAGCAACAAGAATTTGAATTTTGCGAAATCAAGAACTAGCTTATCTTAGCTTCAACCGAGGACCGAATTATATCCAATGAAAGACACTCCATGCTTCTATCCAATGGAAGGAACTGTCCATACTCACTCAAAGCTCTCCTTTTCTACTAAGCTGGTTTTTGGATTTCTCCCAAATCGGAAAACACCACTGGCCCTGGAACCTTAAACGTCTATTTCATGCAAAAACCAACGCATTTAGGGGCTCGATGTTTGAATGCCCTTTGCGGTTTTCGTATTTAAACTTCCCATTGTGCTGACGCCAGCACAGCCCAAATTCCATGTTGCTTTGCTGAAACCTGATTTTAGCTTCCACGCTGTGTTTGCTATCTTCTTTCGTTATCTGTTGCAACCATTATTGCGCTTTCCCCAGTTCTAGATAAGCAGACCCGAAGCAGCCGTTTCACTGATAAGCCAGGGCCGTTGAATCTATCCCAATATAAGCAATGTCACCATTATTCGTCCATGACTTTCAAGTGCTTCCGTCTGCTTGACCCAAAAATAAACTTCCCTTATACAACTATATCAATACCCCTGCACTAATCAATCACCCCACTGACTCTGACCGCTTGCTCCTGCCCTTCCACCCCACAACCTCACCCTGAGCCGATGTCGTTGCTGCATTGTGTCGATCGAAAAATAGCTCAACCTGTCAAGGCCGTCGGGTCTCCTCATGCCCGCCGCTCCACGGGCATAAGGGTGCGTTTGTCGGGGCGCCGTATCGGCACCTTCCTAATGCGGTAACACGTGTGGTCACATCCGTCCAGTCTGGACCGCACCGACCCCCGTACCCTCGGAATCGCCAGGCGGTACCTTCCTAATCCAGAAGGCGCGGGCGGCCCTCCTCATGTGTGGCGTCACGCCTCTTCTCGCACTGAAACATTTTGACTCGGTTACTCATCTTTTAAATACCTCCTCGTACGATGTACAACCTATAGACCGACACATTTTAAAAAAAACCACACAAATGTCAACATCCTTACCTCCTCGTCGGCCTCCCGCCCGGACCATGGAAGCGTCGTCTTCCGAATCCACCTATACGGAAGCCCGTCCACCGCAACCTGAAACCAACAAACTTCGACACTTTTGCAAAAACGCCAAAACCTTCCTTGTGGACGAGTTCCACCCAGTGTTTTTCGCCCCCGTTATGGGCACCTCCATTTCAGCAAACATCTTGTACTCCTTTGCCTTCCCAGCAAGATGGCTCCAGATCTGTGCCTATATCATGGGGACTATTGCTTTGATCATTTTCATTTTTGCTTGCATTCTGTTTATCTGGGCCCTTCTTCAAAGAAAAGGCTTATGGAACCGTCTTCACAGAGATCCCAAGGTGGCGCCTTTCGTGGGTGTCATGGTGATGGGTTACACAGCCTTGATGATGTTCCTACACTCTATAACCAGAGAATCGTGGGCCTGGGGTCTCTGGGTGCTCTGGTGGATCGCCGGAGCGCTTTCCGTTTATTCCGCTTTTGTCACGGTGTTTCTTTCGCTTTTGGCCAAACACAGAAACTTGAAAGACCTGGTCGACTACAGGGACATTTCTTTCACATACCTTTTGCCCGTGGTGACGCTTACAGTGGCGGCTCTGATGGGCGGAAACATTGCTGAGGATTTGTCCAGCACCCAGGCCAAAATCATCACGGCGGTGGTTTCTTTTCTCATGTGGGCCATTGCCGTTTTCTCTGCATCCATCATCACCACAGTGGTGTATTGGCGTCTTTTCACACACAAGATTCCTGGCACAGCAGCGGTGTTTACTTTATTTCTTCCCATTGGTTTCCTTGGTCAGGGCGCCTACGGTATTCTTATTTTCGGCAAGAACTGCGTCAACTTGATCATGGAGAACCACGAGCTGGTGCTTCTGCTGCCATACACCACATTTATCCACGAAAGCGCCCAAAAAATGGAAAATGTCGGCAACGTCGCCACGATGCTATCTGTCTCCATCATGGTCTGCACCACCGCCGCTGCCATGTTCCTTATCGCTTTTGGCTACTTTGCAACCTTTGTCGCTGTGGCATCCACACTTTCGAAAACCCGGCCTTTCGCCAAAAAACCAAATCTTGAATGCGTCCGTGACAGCAAGTCGCCCGCCATGCGGTACTTTGACGGGTTGCTCCGTTTTAACCGTGGTTTCTGGTCCATGACTTTCCCTTTGGGCACTATGGCCCAGGCTAACGTAGAGCTTTGGCGATTGTTTAATGGTCTCAAGGCGTTCCGCTACATTTCGGCAATCTACTCCGTGACGCTTCTCGGCATCACCATTGGGTGTCTTTTTGGCATTTGCGTGCGGGCGATCCAGATGGTGATGGCTTCGGCGAAAACCAACTCCAAAGAGTCTGTATAAGCAGACACATAATATCCGGCGCTTTCAACAAAGTCCGGTACAGCCTACGGCTACGAGATACGATGATCAAGCATTCAACATGATAATAGAGATGCTCCGCAGAGTGTTTTGAAAATAGGGCGAGCTGCTTGCTCCCCGTATATAGCATAATCGAGCATACATCGAAGAAGCGCAAACACAAAAGCGTGGTTTTTTTCCAAATTTAATCAACTCTATGCTTTCTTCTCTGGCGTCCACAGTGCCGATATCTCGAGAAGGCCTCTTGGATGGAATCAATGATTCGCTTTATTCAAGCGTTTCAGATGATGTAAGATATTGTGGAGGTGCAAAAGTTGATGAGAGAGAGAACAGAATCTTCCATTACGAGGAGGTTGACATGCATTGCACGACTCCTGAAACTGACCAGGAGCTTCTAGAAATCTTTGGATCTTCTGGCTGTTCTTCAGTGATTGCATATGGAGAAGAGGAGTTGAAGGATGAGATGGTAACTCACGTTATAAGGCGAAAAAGCAAGACAACAAGACTAGACACTATGGAATCTGATACAATTGGTAGCCCTCTTTGGTCTGAAGTACTAAAAGAGAAGACTAAAAGCCTGGATAGTCTGAAACTTACTCTTCCAATAATGGCTGCAAAATCTGTGACCTCCAAAGATGAAGATGTTAAGAAATCAAAGGCCACCAAAGCACCAGGTCCAAAAATACTAGTCAGCCTGACGAGTCTAAAAGCTTCAAAACAACCGCCTAGACGACCTCCTATTCCAGTGGCTCCCAACGGTGCATGGATTGAGGTGAAGAAGAAGTCTCATACTAGGACTAGTGCTTCCACACAAAGAGCGCCAAACCCACAGGCCATCTTATTATCGATTCCAAATCCACCTCCATTAAGAATAAGCAGGGCAGCACCACCCGAACCAAAAACCGAAATCGTGAAACCTAAAGCACCTAGGTCTCCCAAACCCAAGGCTGCCAAGATTCGCGACGGGCCTTATGAGCCGCGCACGACCATCACCAATGTATTCGATGAAATTCCCATCCAACCTCGACCCAAACAGCCATTTTTTTCCGCTACACGAGTCCCTCAATCCCTCTTCCTCGCCACTCTTGCCTGCCTCACAATAGCGCCCTGCCTTTAGTCTGGATCAAAAATAGCATCGTTTCGGTCACGTGACCGTACTACTCCAGACACAAGACAGCGAAATATAACCACACTTCGAGATCAGCACCTACACCTCCGTCTTTTAGGCCAAATTATACGTTCATGTCACTTTCTGTAGTCGTGCCTGACCCAGCCATTCTGGATACGGCCGACCTTGAAACGCTACACAATGCACTCAAAAAGTGCCGAAGAAGAAAGATCCTTTTTTCTGGAGAAATCGTCGAAGGCTACGTGTTGTACCGTTCTGCCACGGCCCAGGCACCCAAAAATGTACAAGTTTCATATTCTTTTGAAGCATTGACGGACCAGGGGCTAAAACCAGAGAGTCTGGATCCAGACGAGGTCACCGAAGTCAGAGCTGAATTGGTCGCTCAAGGAGCATCTACAGCCAATGAAAACGAGAATATCACGATATGGAAGTTTGCCACCGGCGTGGCCAGTCCTCGCCTGAAGATCGGCAAGCCTGTCACGTTCACAGCTTCCATGATAGATCCCTCGGTTCCAACAAACGGCCATGTTAGAGCGGAATCTGAAACTTCTGAGGAGTCAAAGGGGGAAAACACGCCTCAGGAAGTGATTGAGGAGCATAAAGACGCGTACGGGCCCAGCACGCTCAAGGCATCTGAAACGCTTGCCCTTCAATTGGCACTCATGATGAAACTCAAGTCGACTAAGCCAGGCGGTCGAAACGATATCCTCCTCAGCTCCCTCAGCATTGAAGCCTCCGAGGATCTCCTCAATTTCGCCTGTGAACGCCGTTTGAACAATTTGCTGTTCACGATATTGAATCTTGCAGTGGACTTGCCCAACGGAACAGTCACGAAACTCTCTTCCATGGAAACGCCAGCACGTTTCGGCGTCCACGACGTCACCTCCATCACTTACAGACTCATAAACAGCATAGACAGCCAGCTTAAGAACGAGCAGCCTGAAACCACCCAGCCTTTGCATATCACCCTAGACATCGAGATCACCAATGGAAAAGACAAAATCGGCTCCAAGATCTCCAGCACATGGACTCCCATCCTCGATTTTGGTCTCATGGCACCGCCAATCAGCAACTCACTCAAGTCTTCGTCTAACATCTCCCACTCTCAGATGCAACTGCAGTTCCAGACCCCACAGCGTCTGCGTTCGTCTCAGAGTCTCCACAAAAAAGCATATCTCAGCACGCCAACATTCAACACTCTGCCCAGCGTTCCCTACATCAATGCGCCTGGAACGCCCAATACCAAATCAACATTCGCTATTCCCCAGAGGGTGAAACTGCCAAATCCGGCTCCAGGCAGGACGCAACTGACAAACGCTCTTTCACAGGTTTCTCAGAGCCAGCCCACATTGAAGACGATGAAGAGAAACTACCGCTCGTTCATTCCTCAGCCTCCCATGGCTTCATCTGCGGTCACAGTGAACCTCACGACAACAAACAACACCTCCCTCTCGGGATTACGCCTTACTTTTCTTGGCAAACTTGACGTTGAGCTCGGTAAGATCGCCACTTTAAGCATCCAGGCTGTCAACCTTTCACAGCGTACTTTGCATCTCCTGTTGATCGTCAAGAACCCACTAAAGCTCAATCCAGTATATCCAAACAACTACGCCGCTGCCAGTAGCGTATCGTCTTCCAACGTTTTGGGCACTAAGGAAGCAAGCCGGCAAAAGGTGCTCGTGCATAATCGTCAACAGCTCTACCACCAGTACCATCAAAACAAACTCGAGACATGTGGTGTCATCATGTTAACCAACGATGTCCGCCTCGGTCCCGTAGAGCCCAACGCTGTTTTTGAATCTGAATTCGACATAATCGGCATATCAAAGGGTGTGTTCAACCTCCAGGGTCTTAAGATATTCGATGTCACCACGGGCGACGGAATCGACTTTGGAAAGCTAATGGAAGTCTTTGTGACCTAGACAGATATCATACAACAATGGATAGAAACATGGGCATTCATTCATCTAGATCGCTTAATCTAACTACATTCCTCACCGTGGTATACGCAAGGAACAATGCAGAGACGTGGACATGGGCATTGAACAAATACGGCCAATGCGTCGCCACGTCCAGCGAACCATACTCCACATGAAACTTGGAAGTGAAAGCAGTGTCGAAGAGGTGGTATGTGAACCACGAATTACACACCTGTGCTGCAGGGGTCAAGAAGGCAAACGAGTCGTTGATCAAAGTACTGTGCTCCCAATTATGGTATTGAAGACCGCTGAGAGCATAGAAGAGGGTCAAAAAGATAAAGCGGCGGTGGCGAGCATTGACAGATGCCAGGAGAAGAAGGACCCTCCAATCGTTGGCTTCATTGGAGCCCACATCACACCAAGGTGTAGTCAGTGGGCCAAAGAGTAAGGCATCCAGGGCTAATGGCCCATAGCTTATAGGCTTTGAGGTAAAATGGGCAATTTGTTCGGGCATTCTGTTCCAGGTCATGGTGTGTTGTGCAACATGTCTAGCCCATTGGGTAGTTTCTTCCAAGGGAGTCTTCTTGAGACATGTCCAAAGCGTGTTGAGGCCTTGGCGGCAAGCTCGCCTTGTCGAGGTCCATAAATTGGTTCTTTTTTGGATTGGCTTTTGCATTTTTTATTCTAGTGGTATCTAGTTTGTTGTTGTTGGAGAGAAAGGGAGGGTTCTCATTTTGCAGCCCAAACGCACCGACTACCAAAGCGTAAATCGACAATGAAAGAGCACCACCAACAATCGTGTAGAGAAAAGACAACAGCGACGTAATCATAAGAGCCGTATTCAAATAAGTTAATTAAAAAAAAGTAGAAAAAAAGAAGGGGCGAGCTGGGAATTGAACCCAGGGCCTCTCGCATGTTTGTCTTTCGATCTGGTGAACCAGATCGTCGCCCAAAGCGAGAATCATACCACTAGACCACACGCCCTTATTGGAGGTGAAAGAGGGGCAGCTAATATATGAAGCATAAAGGTCTTTTGATCCTTTCAGATAAGTAAACTTTTTTTTTGCTAAGTATAAACTTCCGTTTTAAAGTTATACAGTAGTATATGTCGCTTTGCCCAAATCGCGAACCTCAGTGAGATATGAGTGATCAAAGTTTCGCGTGATGATCAACGCAATAAGGTCTGCCTGACAATTTCAATTGAGTCAATTCAAGACGGGTAGGTAAACTATTTGTCAAAGTAATCAAGTATTAAGCGATTCCGGATTCAGACTACTTCTACAGCACCTATTTTGTGTTTTCTCAACACCACCCTTGAAGAGCGGTAGTAAGCAAAAAGCACTCAGATGCCCATTTCTTGGTTTGAAAACTATTAGCAAATGCCTTCAGTGCTGTATTTCTGTGGTCATGGAAAAGTGAATTTACATTTCTTATTCTTCATGATCGTCCCGAAGCTTACGATCAGTGTTACTGACACTTCTAAGGCATCCCACATTACGCCACTTGTTTTCAAGCTTCAAATCTTCAACAGCTTACAGCTATCAATTTAAATAGAGAATTCAAGGTTTAAGAAGGCTGTAAGACAGGTATGTCCTATGGGTCGATAAACACGGCGAAACGTTCGGGAAACTGGCCTGAGTCTCGTGAATTTCAGAATATTAACATCTTATTGGAGGTTGTTTCTATGAAAATATAGTTTTCTTCTAATAAAATCAGCTAAAAAAGAAGTGAAGCCCATTCTGAGACAAGCGACTGGAGGTGAACTGCCGAGCATGTTTGACGTCTCGTTGATCTATCACAGAGATCATGACGAAAATCAATAAACCGTGAAAATCTTTTGATGTCTATCCTGAAGTCATTCTGTAACAACAGCACTATAATAGTTTTCCAATAGTTGACAGACATTCCCACCATTAAGACCAATATGGGCGGGCGTTTGCAGCCATTCAATTCCACCATTTGCCACCGCCGCTCAAAATACAAATAGACGATCTTGGAACCTTCCGCATGAAAGAAGCCAAATTTCATAATACCACTTTCAATGCCACATTAGCCTCACCACCGAAGATCCACCAGAAATGTGGTCGAAGCTACAAATTCTCGATATCAAAATCGAAAGAAATCACCAATTTTTCAATTTTCCCAACTTCATCAAATCCATTCAAATCTTCACAAAAGTCCATTCAAAACTTCCAATTTTTCCTTCACTTTACCAACCCACTCTGCCACTATAGTGCACACAGGTGACTCGCTAACGCTGGACAGACACTGGTATGCAGCGAACGGCACCGTGCCGTATACGTGGGAGGCCGTCTTGTGTGCAGGACATTTCCAAACGACATGACAATTCCGGCGCTTTTAAAGCCGCTGGCGCCTCAATGGCCCTCAGATTCGCATTCTCCACCCCACTTAACTTGGATCACCCCTTTTTCCCGCAGAATTCCGACCCGCCTGCGCCCCACCATTGCATCACCTGTCGCACTATATAAAGCCCAGGTTCCCCAGAAATTCCAACCACTCCAAAAATGACAGACCTCCAGGAAATCGCCGCCAAGTTGCCCCTTCCCAAATGGACCCAGACACCAGAAGAAATCCTCCAGGAAGCAAAGGCCTTCATTGCTGAAGATGTGGCTTTTCACGATAAGATAGCCGCCATTGAGGAGCCTACAGTGGAGAACGTGTTGATTCCAACTACCCGTTATGAAAACGCCCTGTACTTTCCCGTAAACAAACTCACGTTTTACCAGTACGTGTCGCCCGATAAGGCCGTCAGAGACGCCTCTACGGAAGCAGAAAACTTGTTGGACCAGAACTCCATTGAGCAGAACCTGAGAATCGAGGTGTTCAGGGTCTACAACAAGTTGTGGGAGCAGATCAAGGACACGGATGTGGTGGACCCAGAAACGTTGAAGTTTTTGGAAAAGACCGTCAAGTACTACAAGAGAAACGGCTTGGACTTGCCAGAGGACAAGAGAGAGGAGGTCAAGAAGCTCAAGTTGAGATTGGCTGATCTCCAGACCAAGTTCTCCAAGAACACCAACGAGGAAAACGGCCACTTGGCTTTTACCTTGGAGGAGCTTGAAGGCGTGCCTGCGTCGATCGTGGAGCAGTTCGAAAAGACCACCCAGGACGGCGTGGAAAAGTACAAGGTCACCTTCAAGTACCCAGACATCTTGCCCGTGTTGAAGTACGCCAAGAAGGAGGAGACCAGAAAGTTGGCCTACATCGAAAACCAGAACAAGGTGCCTGAAAACGCCCCTATTTTGCGTGAAATCATCGAAATCAGATTCAAGCTCGCCAAGCTCTTGGGCTACGAGACCTACTCCGAGTTTGTGCTTGAGGAGAGATTAGCCAAGAACCAAAAGACCGTCTTGTCGTTTTTGGACGACTTGAAGGAGAAATTGAGCCCATTGGGCAAGAAGGAGCTCCAGAAGATGAAGGAGTTCAAGACCAAGCTGTTGGAAGCTCAAGGCTCTCCTGCCCAGGATGCCTACTACGCCTGGGACCACAGCTACTACAACAACTTGCTCTTGGAGCAGGAGCACCAGGTGGATCACCAGAAAATCTCCGAATACTTCCCATTGGACCAGACCATCGAGAAGATGCTTGGATTCTACGAGACCTTGTTTGATGTGAAGTTTGTCAGCGTCGACAACCTGGACAAGCTGACCGTGTGGCACGAGGATGTCCGCAAGTTTGCCTTGTTCTCCAACATCAAGTACAACGAGACCAAGAACGAGTTCAGAGGCTGGATCTTCTTTGACCTCCACCCCAGAGAAGGAAAATACACACATGCCGCTGAGTTTGAGCTCGAGGCTGGCTACGAAAAATACGACGGCTCCAGACAAACGCCATTCTGCTCCTTAGTGTGCAACTTCACCAAACCCCAAAAGGAGAAGCCATCCTTGTTGAAGCACGATGAGGTGACCACCTTCTTCCACGAATTGGGTCACGGTGTCCACTCGCTTTTGTCCAAAACCAAACACGTTCGTTTCCACGGTACCCACGTTCCAAGAGACTTTGTGGAGTGTCCCTCGCAAATGCTTGAATTCTGGACCTGGTCCCCCAATGAGCTCAAGACCTTGTCTGCTCACTACCAAACCAAGGAGCCTCTTGCTGAAGACCTTCTTGACAAATTGATCAAATCGAAGCATGTCAACACTGGTTTGGCCAACTTGCGCCAGATGCACTTTGCTCTTTTTGACATGAAACTCCACACCATCGCTGATGAACAAGGCATTGAATCGGTTGACCTTGACAAGTTGTGGAACGAATTGAGAGAAGAGCTTACCCAAATGAGCGGAGGCGGTCTTACCAGCAGAGGTTACGCCACTTTTGGCCACATTGCTGGTGGTTATGAGAGTGGTTATTATGGCTACTTGTACTCCCAAGTTTTCGCAACCGACATCTACTACACTCACTTCAAGTCGGACCCAATGAACGTGGAGAGAGGCTTACAGTACAGAGACACCATTCTTAAAAACGGTGATTCCAAGGAGGTTTTGGATATTTTGAAGGAGTTGCTTGGTAGAGAGCCCAACTCGGAGGCTTTCATGACCGAGATCTTGGGCTCCGCCTAACAGTAAAAGTATGATTGATTTACGGCCATTCTGGCCTAATAATATGATCACGACGTTCACAAATGTAGGCACTACAATGCTGCTTTCTCAATGCTGAATTCAATTACTTACAAATTGCCGTGGCATGCTGAATTCATTTACTTACAAATTGCCGTGGCATGCTGAATTCACCCGGTCATTATTTCTCCTCAGTGACAGTCTCAAAAGGAGTGAGCAGGGAAGTACCCTCGGTCCATGAAACACCGTCGTAGGTGATGGCCTTGACGGCCTTGACAATGTCGTCAAGAGAACCTCTCACCTGCTTGGTGGAGTCTCTCTCTCTCAAAGTAACGGAACCGTCCTTGACAGTGTCAAAGTCAATGGTGATACCGAAAGGAGTACCCAACTCGTCGTTTCTAGCATATCTCTTACCGATGGAAGCGGAAGAGTCGTCCACCTTGAATGGAACCTGGGCCTTTCTCAAGGCAGAGGTGATCTTACCAACAAGTGGAGTCAAGTCAGCGTGGGAAGACAATGGCACCACCAAGACCTTGGTAGGAGCCACCAAAGGAGGCAACGACAAAACAGATCTGTCCTTGTCCTCGGGTCTAGCCCAGAAGCTGTGCTCAAAGATGGAATAGATGATACGGCCAAGACCGAAAGAAGGCTCAATGACGTTAGGAGTGAATTCACGAACGTGCTCGGTTCTCTCGACTCTCTCGATCTTGACAAGCTCGGCTGGAACCTCAACCTGGCCAACATTAGGCACATCAGCGGAAATCTTACCGGTGTCAGCCAACTCCTTGGCCAAGTCCTCCAACTCACACTGGGTTCTGTCGGTCAAGAACTTGGTGACGGCACCAGCGTCCTTTCTGAACTTGGGACCGAACTTCTTCTTGTCAATGTCGACCTCGAAGTTGTTGACGGTACGAGGCTGGTCCAATGGCTTTCTGACCACGAGCTTCTCGTTGGTTCTGGCAGAGTGAACAGACAAATCGTAGGCAGAACGGTCAGCACAACCAACACACTCCACCCAACCGTAGGAGGTCTCCAACTCAGCATCCCAGCAGTCGGAGGCGTAGTGAGCCATCTCGTTCGACAAGTGCTGTCTGAATCTGCATCTGTTGGAGTCCACACCGATCTTAATGAGGAACTGGTAGATTCTGGCAATGAAGTAACCCAAGGTCTCGTTGTCGACCATACCGGTGGAAACAGCCTCGCCAATGGTCTTCTCGACCAAAGTGTTGGAACCAGCCTCCTGGACGTCCTTAGGCAAGAACTTCAACTTCAAGTCCTTGACCTCGGCAAAACGGGGGTGGCTCTTGTCCTCGGGGTCGACAAAGTGCTCAATCTCGGCCATCAAGAACTCTCTGACTCTCAACAAACCAGCACGAGGGAGATCTCGTTACGGAAGGACTTGCCAATGGCAGCAGAGGCAAAAGGCATCTTCTCGTTGTTGAACTCCAACAACTTGGCAAAGTTCAAGAACTGGCCCTGAGCGGTCTCGGGACGGAGGTAGCCCTTCAACTGACCAGAGGGACCAATGGCAGTGTCGAACATAAGGTTGAACTCCACAGGAGGCTCCAACTTACCGCCGGTGGCAGGGTTGGTGATGTCGTGCTTGGTGATCAAGTCGCCCAATTCGGGCCGGAGAAACCGTCAATCTGGTTCAAAACAGACTCGTACTCGGCCACAACCGCATCCTCCAACTTGACGTTCTTGATCTCCTTGACCTTCTTCTTTCTCTTCTTGTCGTCCTTCTCCTCGACCTGCTGGCCACGGGCGGCCTTGTCGCCCTTCAAACGGGCCTCCAAAACCTCCTCCACCAAGTGGTCGGCTCTAAAGATCTCACCAGTCTTCAAGTCCTTACACATCCAGTCGGTGAACTTGTCCACATGGCCGGAGGTCTTCAACACCTCGTACGGCGTCAACATGGTGGTGTCGACCTCCAACATGTCCTCCTCCAATATAAAGTGTTTTCTCCACGTGTCCACGATGTTGGCCTGGAAACCACACCCTGGAGGACCGTAGTCATAGAGACCACTGACACCTCCGTAGATCTCGAAGGCGGGGCGAAAAAGAAACGTCTCTTCAACACCTGCTCCAAGGCGTCTCTGGAAAATGGCACAGCCGCTTTGCTTGACATGGCTGCTCGCTGAATGAAGTTTTTGATGAACAGAATGGTAGTGGTGGGAGTTAGGTTTTTTTATCTCTTTGGAGGTCGGGTCACGTGAGTCATCGGAGTGGGTTGGAAAATTCCAATGACTCAGGTGGAGGAAATGAATTGAGTGGGGGTGATTAAGGAGAAGAGTTTTTGTTTTTGTGTGGCTTTCTGTTGTTTGAGTTCTGTTGGCGTGGGGTCATTGAAGGTGTCGTAAAGATGTGTCAGTGCGTCGGTGAAATTTCACCTTGGACATGGTGAAAAATGGGTTTTTGGGAAATTTTGAAAATACGGGTAATTGAAATTTGTGAACTTTCGATGAGGTGATTGGAGGCCAAGTATCAGGCTTCGGTGAGTGGATTCGACCTTGATGGTGTCTGCTTACATACTACTGAGAAATGAGGTTTAAGAGTCATCTGGAAAAATGAGTATGCTTGTCACATTCTTAAATACTTAGCTTAGATTCATAATCATCGAGAAGAACATTCATTTTCGTATTAGATCTTTAATTTGATAATCGATAAAAAAATTCATCTTTTTTGAAGGTATTCATCTGCAATGTCCAATTTGCAACCACTACTCAGGTACTACAATCAGCTGCGAAAGCCTCAAATTGCCAAACAACCGTACACTTTAATGAAATAATGTGGAATTTTGAAAATGTTGAAAATGTTGGAACCACCACACCGTGACTCACCAAAATCAGATGAATTTAACAAAAAAAAAAAAAGGATGTTCCAGTGACTCAGTCGAAAATGTGGGGAAAGTGGTCAGATCATTGGAGGCACGGCTGTGACACCATTTCAAAAAAGCCCAGAATTCAGCTCAAAGAGGAAGAAAAGTTCAACTTCGACTTTTCGTCAAATTTGACAAATACCTCATTAATTGAAACCGCTTTGGTGACCAAACCCACTCCCCTCTCTACTGATCCAGATCTCGTAAATCTCAGATTGCAGCCATTGCATACCGAAGAAAGTCCGACCGTTAACGGAATTGAACCAGTTTGCAAAATTCCACAAGATTCAAAGTACAGAATCTGCAGCTTCTAACCATGTCGCATTACCACCAGGGCTTCTACTAATTCTGCGTTATTTGATCGTATTGTTAAATATGCATGGAGAGCGAGTCCGGCGCTACTCCGGCGTGGAAGTCTATAATCTAGGCGGTTTTCTTGCTTTCGGCAGGCTCGTAGGTCAAGTCGCCGGTGCCAAAGATTCTCGACTTGATGAAGTAATGCACTTGCGAAAATGGGTATGTCGTGGGGTTCTGGTCGCCATCAGTGTACCATGAGTTGCAGCCTCCGAACGGCGATCCGAAAACCGCAGTGGAAAGCTGCTTCTGTGTCCTTTCAAACCACTCGTAGTAAGCAGAGCGGCTGCAGATGACAGACTTGGATTTGCCATCCACAATAGGCTTTGCGACTTTTCCAACCCAGGCAACGGCATTCTCAATGGCTGAAACCACAGAGGAATGACCTGTAGCCGAGTTGGGGCCGGCAAAGAAGAAGAAGTTGGGCTGGTCTCTCACCATGTGGGTCTTGTATGCACTGACACCCTCCTTCTTCCAGAGGGCCTGGACGTTGATGCCGTTTCTTCCTGTCACGCTAACACCGTTGTAGAAAGACTTGGGGACAGAGTAACCGGTACAGGCGACAATGACATCCGCTTTAGCCTTGGTGCCGTCCTTGAAGTAGACAGTGTCCTCGGTGATGTGGTCAATGCCGGAGTCGTTGAGCTCGATTCTCGGGTTTCTGAGCAGCGGAATGTACTTGTAGTCAAAAATGAGTCTCTTGCAGCCAAGCTTAAAGTCTGGGATAATCTTGTCGTAGTACTCGGGAGCGTACTTACGGACATAACGCTTGCACAGCCATTGGTTCGCGGCTCTAAGGAGTCTGGCAAATGGACCGTCGCCCTGGAACAATGGGTATCTCAACTCTGCAAACAAAGCGACAATCCAACGCAAAAGAACGAGTCCAAATCTCCAGCGTTTGAGGAAATTGTAGGCAGTATGAAGGAATGGTGGAGGTGGAGGAGAGATCCAGTGCTTTGATCTGAACACTTGTGTCACCTGGGCTGCATCACACTCGTCAACCAAAGCTGGCACAACCTGGGCAGCTGAGGAGCCGTTACCCACAACCACAATGTTTTTGCCCTTGATTTCAACAGAGTGGTCCCAAAGCGCAGAATGCATGTAGTGTCCCTTGAAATTTTCCAAACCTGGTGCTTTAAGCTGGTTAGGGTAGACCAAACCTCCGCTGCATGCAAGCAAGATCTGACAGGTGTGTTCGAATCTCTGGCCCAGCTTGATGTGGGAGCCTTTGAGCAACCAGGTGCCACTCTCCTCTTGCCAGATGGCGTCGTTCACCACAACACCCAATTGCGACTGTTTCCGGAGACCCCACTTTTCCACAACATTCAAAAGATATTCCTCCATTTCGTACTGTGGGGGTCTCAAGGTAGACCAGTTATCATTGAGCTCGGCGAAAATCGAGTACCACAATGCTGGGATATCGGAGGCACATCCGGGGTACGTATTGGCCCACCAGGTTCCACCCCACTCCTCGTGCTTATCAAAGACGGTAAAATCGTCCGTCTTCCACTTCTTCTTGCACATCAAGGAAGCGGCGATACCACCAAAACCGGCGCCGATAATACCAACTTTAGATTTGGTGTGTTGCACGGGTTTAGAGGTATCCTCGTAGAAACTCACGTCTGGACCTAACACAGCATTAGTGTCTTCGACCTTGGCTCTGTACGGAGAAGGGTCCTTGTGACTGAGACGTTGGTTGTGCAAAAGCGACATATTGATATTTCAGTTGACAATGAAAAAAAAAAAATGTAGAATTCTCCGAGCCTTTGCCTTATATATCTTCTCGACCCACTTGCACATGATAGAGTTCAAAGCGTACCAATGTTGGCGCCGCGGTGACTGGCAACCCGGTGCAGGAGGCGTTGCGGGGAGCTCACATGAATTTGACAGGTTCGAACAGAAAACTCTGGGTAAGGTTCAGGAACAAGCGGATTTAGTGGAAAAAGAAGGACTCAAGATAAGGATTTGTAAGGCAGCAGCTTCAAGCTTTTGATGGTTGTAAGTAGCTCATTATTCTCCAAGCCGCACTGCTCAGTGGTCAAGAACGTTTTCACGGGAGTCACCGCATTGTCTATGATGCACCGTTGACTTAACCCCAATCCGGAGCAAATTGTGGTTCGCATGAACCTGATTGTAAACCCGTTTTGGAAACTTAGACTACAGCCCCTTATGCCTAACTCCACTATTGTAGCCTTCGCAACATCCGAGGGCTTTTTTGCGTCCTTGTGGTGCTTCGGACATGTAAAGCAAAATTCGGAGTTAATATGCTAGTATCTCCATCGGTTTTTCTCGAGCACGATGCATCGAGGCTTGGTTGGTGAACAAATTCAGATGTAGCGGAAAACGCAAAAAGTACAAGCATTCTCGAGGCAAGGTTGCAAAGAAAGCTCTCGCCAAATCTCGGGTCGTATTGTTTCCCCTCAATCTGTCATCGTGCATCATCGGACAGATTGGCTGATGTTTGCAGAAGTTGCATCTTTCTCGCACATGCAAACTGTTTCTCCGAAAAACGTTTCAACCCCGGAAAGTTAATTATTGCCGGGGCAATGCCAGGTGAAATCGGGATGTCTGCAGTTTGTGTGGCAGTCTCAATGTGATGCGTTGTTTCACTATGGGGCGTATCAACGTGAAGTGCATCACCACCGTTACGATCGGCAAATGTAGGCAGATCTGTCTAAGCTAGGCTGCATTGATGCGAATGTTTCAGTCTCACCTATCAAGCTTATCGTATTTGCAAGAAGTGCCTGAAATGTTAAATTGTCAAAAGCTTGGCTAGCTCTGCTTCGTATCTTCAAGCATCAGCTCCTCGTCGTAGTCGTAGTCGTCCTCAGCTTCTACAAAGTACTTGGCTGCTAATACAACAAGAGTCACCACACAGGTGATGCCAAAGACACGATCGAACCATGTATCAAGAAACTCCGTCTCCGTGTCTGCCTCACCCTGCGGGGTCAAGGAAAGAAGCTTGTTCATCTGTCGACTGAGTTCAGGCGGGAGGTTCGATTTGATCATTTGTGCAGTGGCCACAATGTAAATGGCAAGAAATTCACTGACCAACAAGTGCTTGAGCCAGGTCTTTGTTTGGGCTGTCAAATTCGTGCTAGCCGCCGGTAACACTCTAGTAAGCGTTTTCACAGTCACCAAGACGTTTTGAAACGAACAGGCAAAAAGTGACCCCGACAAGAAAAAGCTCACCTGGTTGACAAGCTGCTGCTCTGGGATAGGAAGCTGCGTGAAGGTCGTCTGGATAAGCTTAGCAATGGTAATAGCCAACGCGTCCTTCGTCTTCATGCTCTCCAGCTGCCAAAAGTACCGCGATGGGATCCTGATGAAAAGCACACTAAGCACACGGTAGACACAGTAGAATGAGAAGAGGAACGAGAACGTTGACGCCACTTTTTCAATGCCCTTTTGAAGCGGCGCTCTCTCCTTGGTACGCACGAACTTGTCCACGTTTTTAGCCACATCGTCGTAAATCAGTTCCTTGAGCAGCTTGAGCGAGTCGATCTCGAGCGTCAACTCCTGATCTTCGGGTTTTTGGCGAGTGAATGCTGAAAGACTGGCGAAGCTCAGCACCTTGTTGAAGAGCTTCTTGCCGGATCCTCTTAGACCTTTCAACAGACGAACTCCCTCCTGTTCCACCTCATTGTAGGCGGAGCCGCTGTTCTTAGATAACACATTTTCAAGCTCTTGCTGGCGTTTCCGCAAAAGCATCTTCGTGTTGTTGTACGATTGAATGTGGTCATTGACAGAAACCTCATTGATGACTTTACGTTCTGATCTCTTTTCCCGGGCACGTTCCCAGAACCACCTGAACGGCGTCAGCGTACTACCAACTCCAGAAAGCACAGCAGTAAACGTCACTCCCGCAAGCACAATGTCGCTGGAGATGTGTTGCATGAACGACCTCAGATCCTTGTATCCTGGCTCTTCAAGAGCATGAGCCAACGAGCCCACACGGCCCAAAATCATGAACCAGGCCCCACAGAGAAGCACCGTAAGCCCCCATTTGAACAAGGCACCGGGCTTGTTTGTGTTCAATGGAGGAGAAAGGTCCTGGGTCACATATAGACTGATGATAAGAAGCGGCTGCACAATTGCCACAAGAACGACAAGCAACCGAATGGACCATTGGAACAAGGCCGGGTCCAATTCAATAAAATCGGTCATCTGCACCATGAGTGCAAATGTGAGTTCTAGCGAAATGGCAATCACTATGGAGAACAACGCTCCAGCTGTTCTGTGGACGTACTTCTGCCGAGCAAAAGCGTCATGTTTGTGTGTGTAGACTTCGCCATCTTCATCATCCACGTCCACGTGCAAAAGCTTACACCCGTGTTTGTAGTTGACCTTCTCGATCCTCTCGTTGATCCTGGCCTTGTTCTTGTACAGATTGAGATGGGAGTTTCTGATGAGCTCGTGGTTGAATATGAATTTGTAGATCCACGCCGAAAGAAGCGGTAGTGCCACGCCAAACGGCGCTAGCTCAAATAGCCCCACGATACCGATCATGGTGGAAGGTGTAACAAGTGGTGGTACGTTGAGAGTTGATACTGGTGTGCAGGTGGGACCCTGGGGTGCCTTGGACCGTAGGCTTTTTTGTGGAATGCGGGGCGTGGAGGGGCGTTTCAGTTGGTTTTTGAGGTTTGGGTGGGTGAAAAGTGATTTGGCTGTTTTGGGTTGGGTAATTTCTGGATGGGGATGGAAATCGGTAGGTGTTGGTTTGTACTGGTTTCAGAGAGGAACGAGGTCGAGGTGGGTGATGAAATGGATGGCGGGAAAAGATTGGGGTGGGATTTCAAAGAAAAAGGGGGATGAGGTTCATCTTGACGTTTGGATTAAAAAGACTAGTTATAATGGGAAGTTTGCTCAAGTTGTCCAGCAGTGTGTAGTTGCAGTTAATGGCTGCGAAACGGGTGCAAGTCAACCTAGTGAGGCAGGTCAACAAACTAGCCATTATTTACTGCAGCTGGAATGTAAGATTTTTTTTCTCTAATGAGAAGGAGATCTTATTTGACGGCTTGTTGAAAACTAACGAAGTTAATTGAGAGATCAACAGGTGTATGGTCGTCGTTGATGGCTGCGAAATGCGTATAGATCCCATGAAAGTTGAACCTCACAGACCAGCCCGTAGTACAGAGACAGAAAGCTTTTCAGCTGGCTTTACCAAAGAATCATGATAAAAAGAAAAATAACATCATTTTGGAGAATCGGCTAAAATAGGCCATGGGTGTCTGCCCATACTGAGGGACCCACTTCGATTTTCCTGCATACTACAACATCAACGAAAAACGAAAAATCCTGGAACCACTCTTCACCTTCAGTTCTCCTACAAAACACCGCCCAAAATGCCGCAAATGCGTCTTAGTGCCGAAAAGAGGATGAGGAAGCACCTCCTCGAGCAGCTCAAAGCTCGTAAGGTCCTCGGTGCCCGCATCGCTCAGGGATACAAGACAAAGAAGGATTTACAAGAGTTGAACTTGGCTCCCCAGGTTTTCATGTTCAAGAACCTCTTTCTGGGCCAGGTCATGTACTCTCAGGTGCCAGCGTACCATCAAGATCAAATCAACGCTCTGTTCACCCGTCCCAACTGGGAAAACAGAAAACCAGCTAGAAGAAACGACCACTGGAGACTTATGGCTGTGGCCTCTTTTGCCAACTACGAGTACGCCGTCGCCGCTTACAACGGTTTGTTAAAATTGAGACAAGTCAGAGATGTCCACAAGGCCAGCGAGGCCAAGCTGATGAGAAGAAAGAACGAGGACGGAAACACATGGTACTCTGGCCAGTACAGACCGACCCACCAGCAGGAAGCTGCTGCCGACTTGGCACACGTTATTGATGAATTCGAGTTGGAAAACACAAAGATCGCCTGGGAGAATATCTGGAGAAAAGGAGACGACTCGCACTGGAGAATGGACTTGATTGAACACGACACCTTGCCTGCGTTCACGCCCAAGTTCCAGAGTGTGGTGCTTGACGAGATGAGAAAGAAGGGCCTTGATTTTGTCAAGGAGTTGAGGAGCACGGCCGCTGAGGCCCCACAGGCCACCGAGGCCCAGGCTGACGCCACAGCATAGACTTGTATATATTAAAGACAGCATTAGGAGGGGAAGTGTAGGGGCGGATCAAGGGTGTTGTTGGAGGTGGATTATGCCTGTTCGGTTGTGATATTCGACCGGTTTTGGGACTTTGGTTGATTACTTTGGTGTGAAAATCAATCTGTTACCACTGTTTTATAAGGGTGAGGTAATCTGGTAAGAGACAACAATCCGAACACGACTTTTGTTAGGAAGCCGTTGGGAACGATTGATACACGCTTAACAGCAAGCATGTCAAATATCAAACATGGATGGGGAAGAGCTAGTTTCCTGATTTGAGGAAGGACACTAAGTGATACACGGAAATTCACGGTTTCTTAGATATCAGACAAGAGAAACGCTTTGGGGAATTTTCTGTTAACCTAAAATCAGTTCACGAAAAACTCTACCTATGTTCAAGTATTTGAGTGCTTAAGTCCTCTTAGTTCAGAAATTGAGGAATTTAAGTCCAATTGTTTATTCGTAATTTACTATGGGTGCATCCGAGCATCCTAACATCTTTATAGACTTCCTAGAGAGTTCAATTCAACAACAGTGACTGTCACATCAGGTGAAAGGATGAAATAGAATAGGTAAGCTTTTTCAAATTGTGGCCGCTCTCACCGAAGTAAAAATCTCATACTTCAGCTAAAGCTGATGAAAACCGTGGGTTGATAAAAAGGTAAGACAATATAGCTTCACGTAATTGGCCCTCATTTACATTAATATACCTTTACAATGTGTTCACATAATGTACACTTGGAAGCTTTATAATATCGGACCTGCCACGAACGAAAATGACATTTTGGACAGATTCTTGAAGCATTATAGGTATGAGAGGAGTGGTAAGGTGAAGGCTACATATACCCTTGCTGTGGATATTCCGATCTCCTCGACTTTTGAGAGATTGTTGTGGTACTATATCCGCCAAAATCTCAGAGCATAATGATGTTTGCGAAATGTATGGGCTACCCTCTCTACCTGAATGTCGGGCCATTTTATAAACATCCATTAAAACACATACAGTAATTTCAAATTCCTTTCTTGTCAGATCCACAATCACCGATCAATAACACCAATATCCACAGAAGCACAAAACGAAAAGCTCGAGCCACTTTTTTCCGACTAGGCTCACAGTCCAATTAGACGCCTCTCAGTGCTAATTATGCGCTCCATGTAAACTACCGACACGCACACAAAAGCGGGCGTAAATTAAGGAACCACCGACCCGCTCCACACCGCTCCACAGATCCATACTTCATGGAGGGTATCTTTCAATGGCAAAGACTAACTAATTAAAAGACGAGAAATAGAAAGTTTTGAATTTGTTAGGAAAAACGAAACGAAAAAAATCCTTCGAATTCATGACTTCCTCAAACCAGGGGACCTCCGGTTTTTCGTTTTCGCAGCCTGCCACAGTGAGCCACGGCTGGGGCGGGTTTTCGCAACCGCTGCTTCAACTGTGGCTCCCACCACACCGACACCACGCCAAAACACCGAAACAGCGGGTCATCAGGGCAACCTTGCACGGTATAGTCAATGATTCTGTGCAAATTGCAGCCTTCCGGCCGCCCCGGCGCAAATGGAAGGGGTGTTCCGCCCGGAAAAGTCGAAATAAAACCCGTGCACCTCAGACACCCCGAAGGTTCGGCTGCAGCGCCGGGCGCCCAGTTGCCTAACCAGGTGACCTCCGCTGCCGACCGCTCGGGCCCGCCGCCGCACTTTTTTGCCCATTTTATATATAAGCCCTTGCGAAGAGAAAAGGTGACAGAAAAAGCGGATTTCATCGAAAAAAGCGTTAACACGGCCCACAGCTTTTGGATCTGAAACAAAAGGAAATATTTTCCCTGACTTGTGGCAGAGTCAAACAGAGTCAAATTATCATCTTCATTCTTCAAACCGGCCCTTAGCTGACCTTCTGTTCCACGGAATCACCTGGCATTCGAAGACATCGGTCACAGCCTCTGCTATTCATATCTTCAACAAGCGGATTCTGAAATCTGGCTTGGTCATCTTAACCAACCAGAAATCAACTTCACATTCTGAATTCCCGGAGGTCAGATCTCCAAAATCATAGATCCACCGGCTGAATCCCAAACATGGACTACTACTACCGCCGGCTGATGGGCAACGGCACCGTCACGTCCAAGTTCCGTATTTCCAGCACCTCGGACGAAAAACCCCGCCTTGCCGCTTCCAAGGTGGCTCCAGTTGAAAACGGCGCAACCCACCACCCTTCAAACTGTGTTCGCTGCTACAAACTCAAGAAAAAGTGCTCGAGAACGTACCCAAAGTGTCTTTACTGCACCAAGGCGGGCTCTGAATGCGAGTACATCGATCGCAAGGTCAAGAAGCCATGCGTAGAGAAAGCTGCGGTTCCAAAGTCGGTCTCGATCGCTCTGTTGGTGCACTCTGAAGAGACCGAGCAGCCTTTTGAGAATATCGAGCTACCGCCCACGGAACAGCTGGCTTCCAAAAGTGCCATCGCAAAGAAATTCAACAACAGGGCCATCTCCAGACAGCCCTCTGCGGGTCCTCCGAACTTGCTGGACGAGTTTTTGGTGGTGAAGCCTATAGAGGACGAACTGCTTCCGCTGGCGTTCGTGCGGGCCTATTTCGCCAGTTACTCGTGGAGATACCCCGTGGTGGACCAGCGGGCTTTCAACCAGTCCTTTGAGGCCATTTCCTTCAACACAGAGACCTTGGTGCCGCTAGACGTGTACTTGGTCATGGCCGTCGGATGCATTGTTTTTGACTGCAACCACGGCACCTCTCATTACAACACCATCTTCAGCGACAAGATGATCGAGTCCATCGTGGATATCATAACATACGACCCGGAAACGGATACTCAGTCCTCCACGCTTCTAGTGCTTCTCTGCATCTACGCCGTCAACGCAAGCAACAGAGACTTGGCCTGGAGCATTTTGGGTTTCCTCAACCGCAGCATCATCTACAAAACCGACTTTCTCGGCACCTCTACGGGCTTTTCCAAGAACGTCTTCTGGGCTGTCCACAATCTCGACAGAGAACTCAGCTTGATGCTCAATAAGCCCAGTCAGTTTGTACCTGTTTCCATCATCAGACAGAGCACAGACTTCTCAGACATTGAGAGCGACGAGAACTTGGCCACACTTATGACCAAAGCCGTGGAGCTTCACAAATTGCAAGATCGTGTCTTGTCCCTCAAACTTGGTTTGCAAGCCAATGACAAGGATGCCCTTCGGCAGTTGTCGTCTGACTTGGAGTCTTGGAGGGTGTCAGTACTGCTGGTGGTTCACAGTGAGTATGCCGACCTGCCTTTGCTCACCAGAGTGATTGGCGTGGTTCACTTGGACTACTACTACTTGCTCATTGAGATTGACCAGCTTTCGTCGACTGAGTCGTTCCAGTTTACGCTTCAGTTCCTTTCGAACTCGTTCAGCTTGTTGCTCAACGAACTGTCCAGCAACAAGGACGTTTCGGGCATTTCGCTCTACCTGTTCTTCTGGTTCCTGAAGTTCTTCAAGGTGATTGACTACAACTTGAACTCGCTCTTGAAGACGTTGCACAACAAGGAGGTCCCCAGAAGCGACGTGAGCCTACGTCTCAGTGACTTTAATGGAAACTTGCAGTTGATTGTCAACCTCCTCAAGTACTTGCTTAATAGCTCTCAGAGCCCCGCGCAGTACAAGCCAAGGATGACGAGCTGGGTACAGCGTCTCACGCTTCTTAACATCAAGCTCATGGGTAGTGATATCCTCAGTGCGTCTGAGGAGCAGTACAACGACTTGCTTGCCAAGGTCGACAGCATCTTGAGCGAGTAATTTATAGATAATGAGAAACGATTCACGGGGTTAAGTTGTATGTTTTGGAGGAAAAGTAGTGAGTGTTTTTGTTACTGCTCATTGTTGTTAAGGAAGGGATGAGTGAGACGTTTCGGCACACATAAAATTTTAGAATCAAATAAGGGCACTGCCTCGTACTATAGAGCCTTGTTAATGTCATGAAGCCTAAAGGTAAAACGTAAAACAAGTCGTTCAGGCTATGGACACTTCTAGCGAGATTATAGATGACTTTATGGATATTCTTCCTAATAAGCAATTTTCAATGTAAAATTACACATCCATATGATAGAGAAAAATATTCCAAGCTACTGATACATTTAACATGGAGTCGTAAGTCTTTCGTGGCTCAACATTAGCAGGTAAACATACTGATTATCTCGCACAATGTATTTTGTTAGTGAGATGTTACACTTTTACACCCGTATCTCAGAACGTCAAAGCTGTTTTTTTCGCATAACCTAGACAATTTTGTATGGGAGCACCAAAACGAGCGTAATACTGTGAAGTACTGACCCAAATGGGCCTTCAAGCCATGGAGGCAGCGTATTCTTCTAACATCAAATGTAACAAAAAAACTAAAAATCTGAAACATTTAAACAGTCTTGAATAAGAAAAAGAGAATTCAACGTAGAATAATCGTAAAAAAAGAAGGCCTAGCTCATGCTCCATTATTCGTTCTACACTGCAATTACACCTATGAATAAGATACCACCAATGATTCAAATGCTTGCTCAAGAATAAATAACTTGCTTTTTGAACAAAAATCAAGTATTGGAAAAATCATCCTCACCCCTATGCCAAATGATTGGCAGCCTGTCCCACTCTAACACCTAGTACCTCGACCACAGCATCCACCCTTCCATTCACCCACCATCTATACACCGCTTTTACGTCGTTTACACCTCATGCTCTCCACCAATCCCATACTACAATACTTTCCTACAATACCGTCAACTTCACAACTCTATCAACTCTAATTATCCCACACTACGAGAAGGACAAGGCACCTCCAACGGCAGCAGCGACAACAGCGAAAAATGGCACGATTTTGCCGGATCCAGAGTCGCTGTGGTACCATGGGCTGGGCCCGGTTCCGTTGGTGCCGTTGGCAGAGGTGGACTCAGCAGCCACAGTGGTGTGCTCAAGCGTCCTGGTGGAGTAGTAGTATTCGCTGGCGGTGGAGTTGATCAACAACACATCGCTCAAGAAGGTCGAGGAGTAAAGAGGCGCATCGGTGGCGCTGGGGATTCCGTCGCTGATGGTGACAATGTGGGACCCTTCCTTCTCTCTCTTTTCCTCACCGGCAGCCTGGGCCAAGGCGATTTCGTACTTGTCAAAGTCGAAAACGGCGTAGGCGCTTTTGAGGAAGACGTCGCCCAAAATGGCACTCTTGTTGCCGCCGTCAAGAACACCCAAGAAGCAGCCCTCGCTTTTGTCGTCCAAATCGATGGGGTACACCAAGTCCTTGAAGGGCACCTTGATGTCGATACCGCTGAACCTGAACTTGACCTCGTCGTTGGACTCGAGCCAGTCACACGAGACGTTGTACTGGGAGGCCTCTTCCCAGAAAACGCCACCAGCTTTCTCCACAAGCGGGTCGATATAGGTCTGGGGCAAGTAGGCCAAGGTGGTGCCGGTATCGAGAAGTGCAACCACATCCTGGTCCACCTTGAAGCCGTCACCGTGGATCCCGTTCAAGAGGACGTTGGTTCTGAGGGGATGCTGGACGCCCAAAGCATAGTATTCGTTGATAATGGGCAACTTGGTCAATGGGCCTTCAAACCTCGAAGTGTCGTAGCCTCCAAAAAGAACCTCACCCTTGGAAGCGTTGTTCTTGCCCAACCACACGGCATAGGCGTTGGCCTTGGTGATGTCCAAGCTCTTGAGACGCAATGGCAAGTTTTCGTACTCGTAGGACCTGTTGGGGTGACGAATGCTCACGGTACCTTCAAGACCAGGCAAGCCGATACCCAAAACACCAATGGAGGAGTCTGTGTATGGAGCCACGCCGAAAGAAAGGTCCTCGACCTCCTGGCCAGCAATTTCAACGTCGTCGTTGGCCCAGTAGCCTAGAGCATACGAGCTGTCGCCGTACAAGACATAGAAGGGCTGCTCGGTCTTGTTAGGGTGGAAGGTGTCCGACGAGTCTGTTGCAAACGAGCCGTAGGCCGTGCAAGCCTCGGTGGCGTAGTAGTAGTTGGTGGCGTTTTCGCCCAAGGAAACCACAGGGTTGTTTGCCAGTTCGAAGGAGACGATTGAGGAGAACTGGGGAATCAACGAGTCGGCTCCGGAAATGAAGCCAGTGTAGATTTCGTCTGAAGTTGGAGTGGGGGCTTTGGATTCCTCCTCCTCCTCAACGTCTCTCTTGTAACCGAACAATTGGGACTCGGAACATGGAGATGTAGCAAACCAGAGGTCTGACGAGCCGGTATCCCCCAATACCTGCACCTCCTGCTTACCTGAACCAACTTTCAACGTGGTCAAGTAAAAGTAGGCCTCGTTCGAAATGGGCACGTCCAAAGTGTCGTCTCTCTTCTGCCTGGCTGGAATCCGGTGCTGCTGTGCAAACTGCTGTGCTTCCTTGCCTCTGAGGATGTCAAAGTCAAGCAAAACGGTGGCCTGGGCTATGCCAACCAACACGGGAAGAAGGTAGGCGAACTTCATGTGAGGTGAAAAAGCAGAAAAAATGGGCTATTTTATATCTTTTTGGAGTGGCTGGTTATGCCGCATGGCAGAACGGCACGGCTTATCTTATGGCAGTTTGGCAGCCGTGTGCATGGAGCAGCTCGCTTAAGTCACTTGAGCTGCATGAACCTGTCAACACAGAGGTGGTGAAACAGACACACCGTAGTTTTCTGGACCCCAAAAATAACACAAACAAAGCAAGTTGATTCAGGATTCATGAAGAAAGCATTTTATTAGTGGGCGTCGCTTCGCCTCCCCTGCAATTGGGGCATTCTGTAGTGAGCGTCGGGAACGGAAATGCAATCACATCCCAAAACAGAAGGGCCACAGTTGGTGCATTAGTGCCTCACATAATTCCGAAAACCTTTCAGGGGTCACAATAGCCGAATACCCGGAACGGCTCACCACCTTTGTGGACGTGATAAGGCCCAAGGCGGTAATGTGTTTTGGGCGTCTAATGCAACTTTTCACCTTGCGTATTCGCTCAGGCACATGTCGGGGATGATGGATCTGGGCGATCACACGGTAACATTAAATGCATGAGATATTTGGCAGTTGGCAGTTGGCGATTGATGGTGTGGTTTGGATTTTGTGCTACGTGGGGTTCTTTTGGGTGGCTGGTTTCTGTGGATGAGTTTAGGATTGACGCTGTGGACTGGTTGGTGAAGATGAAGGCGTTATGGTCAAAACAGTCGAAATAGGGAATCTTTACCAAATTTTTTTAACAATCATTCAACTAAGAAAACTCCCTCCCAACAATACCTATATAGTTTTAAGACCGTCGTAATGAAGCCCATATGTTATCAACAAAAGCTGAGTGGTTCCTAGGAACCGCGACATTTCTCCAAGACAACTCAAGGAGTCTCTAGGCCCCTGCTGAATTTTCAATAGTTCAGAAGAGAAGTCTTTTTAATGCCCTCCAGAGCCTGTTATAGAGGCATCTCCAAAGGTCCAAAAAGTAAAGAATTTTAAAAGTGAAATCATCGCTGTTGGTCCAATTTGTCACCTCATCTCCCCCACACTTTCTCACAGCACCAACCACCACTGCAAATCTGCACGGAACCCAAAATACACATTTTCCAATTCAAGATCCCCAAATCAGAATCCAACCACATCATCCACACCCACTTGCCAAAACCCCTAGAAGTCAAAACTCCTAGAAGTCAAAACCCCAGTCCACCTACCCCATCTACTATTGTCCTGGATCGCGAAAAAAAAAAGCCAGAGACCTACCACTCTTCTTCATGGGCACAGAAACTCCACTTCTCGCGCTCTGTCTGGTGCTATACTGGCTCTCCGGGGGCCGTCCGACGCTTGTGGCGGCGGCGTGGTTTGCCCTTTTTGTCCACAAAAAGCAAAAACAAGAATCACCAATCACAACGCCCGTGAAGTCATCTCGCATCATGGAGGTCGACTTCACCAACGCTTTCCCTGAAACCAAAACAGAGTTCCCTAAGGCCGTGCCGCTTAAAAAGAGAACACGGAAAACAAGAACCGCCAAGGTGTTCAAGAAAAAAGAAACCAAGGTGTCCCACCTCACCACCTCCTCAGTGCACCTTGAAAAGTGCCCCATCTACATCTTCTACACCACCTTGACGGGGCTGTCGCTCCGGGTGGCAAAAGCATTGCACGAGAAGGTGGCGGCCATCGACGGAGTCGAGGTTCCTCCCCGCTTGCTTTCGCTCGACGACGACGTGGACGATTTGGAGGAGTACTTCTTGAGAACGCCGGAATCCGAAAACCCGCCCATCTACCTTTTGGTGCTCCCGTCGTACGAAACCGACTCGCCCATCGACTACTTCTTGGAACACCTCACCGAGACGTACCAGGATTTCCGTGTGGACAAGTACCCGTTGCGGGGTTTGGCGGGATTTGCCGTGCTAGGCTTGGGAGATCTGGAGTCATGGGGAGGTGCTCAGTTCTGCTACCAGGCGAAAAGCGCAGATAAGTGGCTTGGCAAGTTGGGCGCCCGCCGGCTTTTCCCTGTTGGCGAGGTTTGCATGAAACACGAGGGAGAACCCAAAACCCAGGACTGGATCAACGGGTTTGCAGAGCTTTTGGTCGATGAACAGCCGTTTTTGTATGAGGATGACCCTTCTGCTTTTGACAGCGATGCCAGCGGCGACGAGGCCGAGGCCGAGGAAGAAAAAGACGTTGTGGACGTGGAAGACATGGGTGCCATCATCAGGGCATCCAAGAACAAGGAGATCCTTGAGCCCAAGCAGATGGTGGCCCAGGACTCGCCAACGTACAAGTCGCTCACCAAACAGGGCTACACCATCGTGGGATCCCACCTGGGAGTCAAGATCTGCCGTTGGACCAAATCTGCCATGCGTGGACGAGGCCTGTGCTACAAGTTTGCCTTCTACGGAATCCGGTCCCACTTGTGCATGGAAACGACACCCTCGCTTGCGTGCTCCAACAAGTGTGTTTTCTGCTGGAGACACGGAACCAACCCTGTGGCGAAGCTGAACTGGCGATGGGAGGTGGATCCTCCCGAGAAGGTGCTTTCCGGAGCGCTCGAGGGCCACTACAAGAAAATCAAGCAAATGAGAGGCGTGCCGGGCATCCAGATCGACCGTTTCCAAGAAGCGTTCCAGGTGAGACACTGTGCGCTTTCCCTTGTGGGAGAACCCATTTTTTACCCACACATCAACGAGTTTGTTGGGATGCTTCACGAGCAGCACATCTCGTCGTTCTTGGTGTGCAACGCCCAGCATCCAGACCCGTTGGCCCGACTTGCCAAAGTGACGCAATTGTACGTGAGTATAGATGCTCCGACGAAAACCGACCTCAAGAAAGTCGACCGTCCGTTGAACTCGGACTTCTGGGAGCGGCTCATGCTGTGCTTGGACATTGTCAGAACCATCCAAAGCCACCAGCGTACCGTTTTCCGTCTCACCTTGGTCAAGGGCTTCAACATGACGGAAGTCGAAAGCTACGCCGACATGGTTGAACGTGCCATGCCTTCCCAAATCGAGGTGAAGGGTGCCACCTTCTGCGGAAGCTCCACGGGCAACGGCAACCCGCTCACAATGCAAAACATCCCGTTCTTGGAGGAGTGCAGAGACTTTTGTCGCCAGATCACGGCAGAGCTTCAGAGAAGAGGCCTTCAGTACGAGTTGGCTGCTGAACACTCCCACTCGTGCTGCATCTTGATCGCCCACACCAAGTTCAAGATCAACGACGTGTGGCACACACACATCGACTACAAGAGGTTCTTCGAGTTGCTAGAAAGCGGCGAGGACTTCTGTGACTTGGACTACATTTGCGAGACTCCTGCTTGGGCCGTGTGGGGTGCTGAAGAGGGAGGCTTCAACCCGAAGGACACAAGGTACGACAGAAAGGCTGAGAAGCTCAAGAAAAAGCAGGCTAGAGACGAGGCTGCTGCCAAAGCTTTACAGGCGAAAAAGGGCGAGTCCATCAAGGCCGCCAGCGAGTTTGCTGAGCACACACGCGAGCTATTTGTTTCATAGAAGAGTTCCCCCCCCCCTCAAAGCAGAGCTCCTTCCCCAAAGAAAAAAAAGCCAGACCAGCCTGGGCTCCAGGTTGCGTCAAATGGCGTATCGTTCGAGCTTGTTAAGCTCAATGGACAGGCTTGTCTCAGTCTGAGGCCGGCGAGATAGAGACCTCACTGTGCGACTCTTTTTGCAGCCACAAGCACATCATCCTTCTTGACAAAAAGAGTCTTGACAGAATGAGTCAACTGGTGGACCTCGATCCCAATCTTCTCGTTATGCCGAGACCCTCACCTAACCGCGATCAAGAACTTTCGGAAAACCAGATTGATATCAGAGATGGCCTACGGTTTTACCACTGGGTCATGAACAGCAGGACTGCTTGGGCTTGCCCGAGATATGTTCTGGGCGTTCATGAATGTATTACAGGCATCAGCAAAGAGCCGCTTGACAAGATAGTTTCGCCATGGGGTTTAATGCATTCCAAACAGTTCGATTACTCTGCTCACCTCGACCTGTTGAGACCGCAAAATCCCAAGATACATCGGAACGTTACAGCTATCGACCGAGGAAGATTTAAAAAAGAAGAAAGTTATTGCTTATCACCATCGTATGCAATGCTTTTGGATGATTGCTTGCTTGATTATGTGGATCTGCTTAAAGAGCTTGAGGATACCGTTGAGCCCGCACTAGAGAAGTTGAAACTGGTGTTCAATCGTGGGTATGGCGTACACGAAGTCAACATTATTGTATCTGATCACTCGTTGGTGTCTGAAACGCCGATACCGTCCTTAGGCGATCTTTCTCCTTTGAAGGATTTTGACGAAAAAGTCAGAGCGATACTGTATGTGCTGACAAGACTCTTGGTTGGCAAAGTTCACAGGCTCATCGTGTCTGAATTACATGGTTTGTCTCAGGAGCAGTGGATTATGTTCAAAACGATCGAATCTAATATTACCTCGGAATTTGAGCCGGCTGACTTTGAATGGGTTACTCTCGAAGACGAGCTCATGCGGAAAATCGATTCATACTTCGATGTTATTGATTTGGATAAAGAAGATGAAGCTTTCCGCGAAGCCTGGGGTGAATTTCTTAAAAATCTCTACGGTGATGACTTGACCTTTGCCAAGGCCCTCCGCCATGAGTTTGTTCGGTTGGCAAGGAATTTAATGGACAGAATAGCACGTATGATTGCTAAACTGTCGAAATCCTTCAATGAAATACTGCTTACCTATTTCGACAAACACATGCACAAAGAGTATGATATCACGGAGTTGTAATCGTGGCTGTTATAGGTGTCAATATTTCGAAATCTTAACAAAGGTAGATGTTCATAGAATTGAGCATGATCGCCAACGAAGGTGAAGTACATATTTTGGTTGTCGTTTCATGGTGCTTTCCCTTCCTGCGGGTATTTAACCGTAACCCAATGCGCACTATTTCTACCTGAGACGTTTTATATTAACTCTTCCAAGCAAGCTGCCACCACGCAGTAGGGAATGAATTCTCTCAGCCATACTGTTTGCAACTGCATAACTTGTTAAATCAAAACCGCTACATCTCCGTCAAAAGTTTTTGTTCAAATACAAGCACTAACCACCCTCCAAAAGATGCTTCTTCAATGGGTCGGCAGAAGCGAAGGTGTGTTCAATCAGATATCATGAAATACTCACCTCCAAGATATCGTGACACCAGGGGGATATAAATACCATTTGGTCGTGATGGAGTCGCCCCAGGTACCCCAAAACTTCATAGACTCTTTTGAAGTGAGCCCTGAGTAATGTGAGAGACTCTGGTGTGCGGCACTCCGGTCCCTGAAACCAAAAGTCCCCCTCATACAAGTTGCTATACCACAGATCGCCAAACTGCACTTTGTTGTAAGCAGCTTGAAGCTTAAGCAACTCCCGGGCAAGTTGCTCATTACAAGCCCATATCTTTTTATGCAAACGTCGAAACTCGAGAGAATTGGAACAATACTCTAGAAGAGGTTTCTCGGTTTGAAAATAACGTATGCCGTTGCAGAGAACTTCGACATTGATGCAGATGTAGTGGAACATAAAATATCTTTCGTCTCCACGAAGATCATGCCAAAACTCAAATGAGAAGTCTGTCCACAGGGTCATTATGAGGTCTTGACAAGCATGTGCTCTGTTTCCGAACTCTTGAAGTCGATACAAAAGCATGCGTTTACTCATGAAACTCCATTGTTTCCAACAGAATGGAACTTCCAAACGAACATCATCTAGGTGTTCCACGCTTTCGTGAACAGGTGCAAATCGCGCTTCGCTCAGCCGGTAACCATCGAACATTCAAAAGAGGAGAAGAACGACACTAATGTATTAATCTGAAGGTAACTTTCCAAGCACAAACCGCCTCTTATATATTGCGTGACACAGATTTATTATTTGGTATCGCCGTGCACCACGCAGCTGAAATCAAATATAAAGGGCTCGCTCCTCCGTTCTTGTGTCACCAAAGATGCCGTTGAGACCAAGAGATAGTTTAAGAAAAGAACAAGCCCGGTACTACATTTTTCTTCTTATGCTAAGTATGCCGGGCCCGCGCTCGTCCGTGGTTCCTCCTTGGACGAGAAAAACAGCAAGATCTCCATCAAGGTATTGGTTCGATATGTTCTCGATAAATAGCGATCACCTCCTTCCAGCTGTGCACCTACGCAACACTCTCTCGGTCCTCTGCATTTTCCTTCGAGAGATCGAGGCGATATACAGCAGGATCAGGCAATTGATTCTAAAAGAAAGTTGCTCACACCATGAAGCCATGGTGTGGTTCAGGGGGCTCAGTTTCGATTCGTATAATGTTTTCCAAATCTTGATAACAGTGCTAACAGTTCACTCACACCAAGGTATTTTTTTGCGAGAAAGGAGGGAGGTGCTGCAACTTGGTGTGGAGTTTTCACCTATCGTGAAAAGATTTGTAGCCTACACAAAAAAACTCGAGCTGGGTAGGCCTGTTAAACGGCTTCCTGTCATCAGACCGACCATTGAAAGGATCATTTTTCGCATACTCTTGGTGATGAGGCTTGTGGAGCGCAATTACTGGCCACTCTCGCCATATCCTTCATTATATTAGGGAAGGTTGCGACAATTTACTTAAATTCTACTTGTTTCACACATTAGGGCACGAGGCTCTTAGCATGACGGAAGTTCGTCGCTCAGGTTGCAGCTTCAGCACAGGTAAAACGCAACATGGCTCGACGAAGCGGCCCCCGCAGATTGGTAAAAATATTTCTGAAGATTATTTGAAATAGTCAGGTTATGTAATTTTTGTTAACAGAAGATGCTTGCTCTCTTTGTTGTCAGCGCTTGTGTATTGACCATGAAGTCGGCATTTACGGTCTGCTTCTATAATCTTCAATTTTGGATCAAGAGCCTCAATATAGAAGTACAGAAGTAATGCTGTTGGGATCCCCGCATCAGAAGGCTTTATCCTCTAATCCCAGGGTCACATAACCGCCTCCGCCAGTGGGAAGACTAAATGTGAAGGATCTATTTCAACAGAATGGGCATGCTTCTTGTTCGTCAGGTCCGTTTCAAAAAATTTATTTATGATTTTTGTTAAACCGCTTCTGGCCCTTGTATAGGTAAAGGAAGCCTTGATTGTTCTGAGCCTTCTTGGATGTGATGATTTATTTTAAGAAAATTATTGAATAAGAATTAAAATAAAATAAACATCTTTCACGATGAAAGCCGTAGATTGCCAGTGTTGATTGCTCATCGCTGCAATATAAATTGGTACTCTTCAGCACCACTAGTTTTTGAACAATTATGGAGTGGAGGCCATTTGAATATCTTACGAAAGAGTACAAAGTACTGAAGTTTCGAGTAAAGGAGGACGAAGAACGGCTAGTAGCTCTGGCGTTGAGCCTCTCTCAAGAGACGTTTCCTGACGAGTGGTGGAGCCACTCTCTGCTACAAGACTCACATGTCTTGCTCATAGAGCAAATGAGAAAGCTTATGGTACAGGTGGAAGCTCTTAAGGATCGAATTTATTATTACAACTATAGAAGTAGGCCACTGCTCGAACGATGGAAACGGTCTAGAGTTATAGACGCCATGAAGCATACAAAAGCAAACGTGAAAATCATATGCACTGGCATAGAACTGCTTGTTGAAAGCCTGAAACACAACCGACACATTCTACGTGAGCTTGAAACTTTGAAACAGCGATCAATTTTCTTGAACAAACTTGTCGATAAAAGGTTAGTAGGTTTCGAGTTTGATAGCGACGACAAATGGGCGCTAAAGTTAGGAATTCTGTTTAGCGAAATTACACAGCGTTTGGTTGAGATTAAAGAGCTACTTCGTCGACCCATTTTGACGGTTGCCCGACTCTGTGAAGACATGGTTTCCGATGGATCGAAAGAGTGTATCCTTTATAGGCCCTCAGATCTGACGTACTGGGTGGAAGAGGGCGTTTTCTTTCTCAAAGAGATCTTTAAAGGCCGTGGGAGAAGAACAGCCGAGGCTTGAAAAGTATATTTAGAAGTTATATTGATGAAGTTTGCTGCAGTGTTTTGAATATGGCTTTACTAGCCACAGAGTGTAAGATGTAGAAATTGTGTGGTGGCAGACCCGCAAAGAACATTATTATTATGTGGTGGTATTTTAATAAGCAGATAATTTGACCCCTCGTATGACCACGGCTCATGACTTGCTCGAACACAATTGTGCATTAAATAGCGAAAAGTAGCCTCTTGAAACTCGGTAAAATGCCCCCCAAACGGACATCCTCACAAAAGCCAAGAGCACGAAAAGCAAAAAAGGTATGCGAAGAGGAAGACGCAAACGATGGATTTTACATTGATGGCAAAGAGTGCATCACTGCCAATCCGTTGGTTAAGCTTCAACAGGAGCTTGAGTGGATCGCCATCAGTGCCACTGCTATTCAGCTTCATTACAACAAGTTCAAGTGGAAAATGAGTGACAGTTCGATCCCGAGAGACGAGGTGGTGAAAGCCTGCCAGGGTATCTGTGTGGACCTTTTCCTGGTTTTCAAAAAGGCCTTGATACTTTCGGAAAAGTATGAGGATACGGTGGTGGTGAAACAGTTGCGAGAGCTATCTCGGGATGCCGTCGAGTTGGACCAGCCCATACGAAGATTTAAGAAGTATGCTGAAACACAGGACGAAGATTTCGAGAAGGAGTCCATTCACGACTTCAAGACAATACTCGATGCGTTTATGTTTCGTGTGAACATTATCAGGAGACATATTCTGCGGGATTACTGGTTTCTCAAGCCACGTCCGAGATTGTATTGAGCTGCCTCAAACTTGAAGCCTTTAGTTTATAGTAGCATTGGCAAATAGATTGTGTTTATACTTCGGAGGCATGTGAACGGGTTGATCCAGGCTTTGTTGGAAGAACTCATTCTTTCTGGCGTCCTCTTTATCTGATAATCGATAAAAGAAAAACTGACCGTAGTCGTCCAAGCAGGGTTTGGAATTATGACAACGGCAGCTTGAACGTAGTCACATGGCATTCGAAGGGGCTACCCTCATAGTTCAATGGTTTACCATGAAGGTGGACTACATTTCTTAAGAGTGGGATTGAAATTTTGCAATTTCACGTTGCAAGTACACGCATTTAGCTAGCAGGATAACTCCCCACTAGCTAGCAATTTATGTAAAAGCACCATTAAAAAAAAGTTTGCTGTTGTTTCTCAAAGGTAAGTAGTACTTCTCGGTAGCTCCCAGACCAGTGAGTTCCTGAAACCCACACAGAAACCCACCATCCTCAAACTAACCAATTCAAGGTTACCAGCCAAAAGAAGACCAGCTAATTGAACCCATCTACACAGAAAATCTGGCTCGTTGAAAAATTCCAATTGACCCACCTGGATCACTCCACCTCTTCCACCGAAAGTGAGCGCGAAGTTACTGAAAACACCATGTTGAAGATAGCCTTCCTCCACCCAGATCTCGGCATTGGAGGCGCCGAGAGGCTTGTGGTTGATGCCGCCGTCGGGCTACAGAACATGGGTCACCACGTGCAAATCTACACGTCCCACTGTGACAAAACACATTGTTTTGACGAGGTCTCCTCTGGAGAACTCAAGGTCAAACTGTGGGGGGACTTCTTGCCCACGCAGATTCTCCAAAAGTTCCATATCTTGTTTGCCATCCTCAGGCAGTTGTTCTTGGTGATGATGCTTGTGGTGTCTGGGGAGATCTGCCAGTACGACTATTTCATTGTGGATCAGCTTTCGTTCGCTGTGCCGTTTCTCTCTATTTTCTCCAGAGATCTGGCCAAGGTGTTGTTCTACTGCCATTTTCCCGACCAGATGCTTGTCAGAAAAGGCGGCCTACTCAAGAAATTGTACAGGGTGCCCTTTGATGCAGTGGAAGAATGGACCACTGGTGTCAGTGACCAGATCCTGGTGAACTCGCTGTTCACAAAGTCGATCTTCCACAAGACATTCACCCACTTGGACCACATTGACCCAAACGTTATTTACCCGTGCATCGTGAAGACAGAATCCGTGGACGCGGACGCAGAAGCCGAGCTCAAGGGCTTTCTCAAGAACAACCGTTTTTTCCTTTCGCTTAACCGTTTTGAAAGGCTTAAGAACTTGCCCTTGGCCATCAATGCCTATGCTAAGTTGAAGAAGGAGAGCAGCGATCTTCCTAAACTTATCGTTGCCGGCGGCTTTGATCCCAGAGTCGCTGAAAACGTGCAGCATCTAAGAGAGCTTGAGGACTTATGTGACTCCTTGGGCCTCAAGCACAACACTTTCAGAGGCAGGCTTGTCATGATGCCAACGTCCGTCGAGGTGCTTTTCATGCCCTCGGTGAAGAATACCCTTAAGAATGCAATGCTCAAGAACACCGACTTGCTTCTCTACACACCAACATTTGAGCATTTTGGCATCGTGCCTGTTGAAAGCATGTTGAATAGAACGCCGGTATTAGCCATCAACTACGGCGGACCTCTCGAATCCATTGTCAACTATGACGGAACTAACCTAGACGAAGCGACAGGCTACAACCGCCCAAACGACGTGGACGAATGGGCAAGTGTTATGGCTGGAGTCGCCTCCGGCAAAGAAACCGCCAACTTGCAGAAAATGGGCGAAAATGGCTACAAAAGAGCTACGACCTTGTTCAGCAGAGAGGAAATGAGCGAGGCCTTTTACCAAGGCTTGCTCAATGCATCTAAATCGACCGCCGACAAGGGCGCTTTATATAATGTGCTTGCTGCCTGGAAAGTGTGGCTTGTGGCAGTCGTGGTTGCACTTGTTGGTGCTTTCTATGGGTTATTTGTTTGAGGGTTTTTGAAAATCGACTTGACCAGCTTCCAGAACTCCATCTTCTGTGCTGGGCGTTCAATTACCTGGTAGTGGCTACCAGAGCCATATCCTCCTCTAGACAGCTCAAAAAGACCAAGCATGGAGCTGCCTGCACCACTATCAGCTGGGTTGATACGTCTGATGCTGTTCTGTCGTTCGACCCACTCATCAACCAATGCAGTAATGTTACGAACAACCGTATCGAACAGAAGGTCAATCTCCTTCTCGACGGTCAACTTCCATTTGTGCAAACTGGTGGAGGGGCATTGTAGGTTATAATTGCGAATGCCTTTGTTCAAATCCGCCACTTTCGCTGTGATGTACGACTGGTTGGCGTTGAGAAAGGCTGGAAGGTACAAGTCTTTGGATAGTTCAGCACTATCAGGGCCCACGACAGGGAGAAGATCGGTTTTCAGCGAGCCATGCTTCTTCAGTAGACGAGAGATGATCACGTTGAACCACTTTTTTTGCATCTCGAGACGGAACACTTGCTTTTCCCTCTCTACTCCTTGCTGACTGTCGATCCACGGCGGAAGGCATTCCTGTGAATTTAGAATCTCAATAACGAAGAAATTTGTGTCTGTGCTATTGGCTAATCTCTGGCGATCCAAGGGCTTTCCTCTTACGGAGTCCATATCTGGAGTGTTGAACTTTCCGCTTTTGTGGTCTATTTTGGCGTTGATTCGGGCATCTGCCAACGTCGCAATCATTCCTAGTGTTGCTCGTGGCGAATTTGCATCGATGAACATTGATGGTCCCATCAATCGCTCCTTGTACATCTCCCGAAACTCGTCCTTCTCTTTTTCTTCGGGTGTCTTGAATTTCGAAACCTTATAATCCAAGCTGGACTCCCTGGCATTAGCAACTCGTTCTTTTGTGGGAACGGGTGGCGTGATGATTGTCTTTTGCATAGGCATGGCTTTTGCCTTTGGTGCACTATCCACTAGCATACGAAGTGCCGTGTCTCCTACCCTCTCTGTTCCTTTCCATGGCGGATTGGTTATGGTATCGGCGAGTTCACGAGCTTCTTTTGTTCGAAGAAGATTCTCACTCTTCACATACGCCAACTCCTTCTGGTACTTTTGCTGATACTGTTTTTCAGCACTGTCCTTGGAATACTGGGCATAGAGTTGTCGAAGCTTTGGGTCCTGATCTATGATTGAGGAGGGTGCAGATGTGATTTTTTCATCGAGAATTTGCTGGAATCGCTCCGCAAGAGCTGATTTGGAGTTGTATCTGGAAAAGACCCTTGCAGCCATGGAGGCGTAATGCCTAGGACCGATAAGCGATGTTGATACCGGCGCGTGACACACGGCACGTGCTGACACCCAGTGTTGAAAGTCTGCCAATTACTTCGGATTTTGACTTTGGAATCAGATTGTGAATGGTGAATGGTGAATGGTGAGTTGTGAAAATGGGAGAACTTGGCTGATTTCGGCTGTCTGATGCACTTTTTCCATTGCCAAGGACTGGGCACCGAGAGCTGAAAAAGCCTAAGCGACCAGAGGTGCCATACCGAATTCACCGATTAAAATCGAAATTTCCTTAGTTTTAAAAACCCGATTGGCCTGGAAAATTACGCTGAGGTCTTCGGATTTATTGCCCTTTGCGATGACGTCCTCGGGTTGCCGCATCGAATGCTGCGAAACCGAACGGTGAAGATGGACGAACTGCAACACTGCCTCGGTACAGTTTCCGGTCAGTTTTTCAAAACCACGAATTGCATCGAAACTGACATACACTGCATCATCGTGAACACTGCCAATCTTCGTTTTTCACTTTCCACCTCTCCATCTCATCGCTTCACCATCCACGAGATCACCACATCTCAACTTCCCTCAAAACCGTCCCAGTTCTCCAAAACTCAAATTCCAATTTCCAAAAAACCCCCCAATTGACCACTCCATGGCCCCTAACCACCAAATAGGGGCTCACATAAGCGAGTAGGCAGTAAACGCGATGCACCTCGGGAAACTGCGGACCGACCAACTCTCCACGTGATGCCACGGCTGCCGAAATACCCAAAGCCGTTCATCCAGAGACTCATCGTCTACATTTCACCCGTTCTATCGCCGTTTTACTCCGGGAGTCTCTTTGTCCAGCCTGCACACAGCTGCTCCGTCTCTACCGCTTATCTACCGCGCCGAAATAGTCCAACGGCCCATCCGACTACATAATAGAAACGAAAAGCAGGTCTATCTTTTCCTGGATTTTCTTCATTTCCTAGACCTCCTGGTTGCCCGACTGCATAGGTGAAGACATCCTTCGGTATCAGCGCGCTCATTTTCAACTCCGAGCATATCCATATCCACTCTTCTCAGGAACCATGAAGTGGACATCTCAATGGACCGTGGCTGCCTTGAGTACCATGATGGTGTTTTCGGCAGCACAGCCTCGTTCAGGCACTTCTCCCAATATTGCCCTTGACGACGAAAACAACGAGATCCTGTCCTATAAGGCTGCTCCTAGACTAGGGGTACAGCCATTGGAGTCCGAGGACAACGAACCAAAAGGCACCGTGCCTTCAGAAAACGCCGAAGAGCACAACGACAACATGTCCAGCTTCTACATGGCGGTGTCGATGATCGCTGTGAGTGAAATTGGCGACAAGACGTTCCTCATTGCGGCACTCATGGCAATGAAAAACCTGAAACTCGTCGTGTTCTCCTCGGCCTTCTCCTCCTTGGCGGTCATGACCGTGCTCTCGGGCATCGTGGGCCACGCGTTGCCCACCCTTATCTCGCAGAGGGTCACGCAGTTTTTGGCCTCGGTGCTTTTTGTGATCTTCGGTGTCAAGTTGTTGAGGGAGGGTCTTGCCATGTCCAAGGAAGCCGGCGTGGACGAGGAGCTTGCAGAGGTGGAGGAAGAACTCGCCTCGTCTCACATGAACCTCCAGATGGACAGTTTGGAGGGCGGAGGCGACAACATAGAGCCTGTGAAGAGCAGCCCGAAGAAGTGGTACCAGGAGTTTGGCCTTCAGCTTGAGAACTTGGCTTCTTTCATTCTTTCGCCAGTTTGGATCCAGGTTTTTGTCATGACCTTCCTTGGTGAGTGGGGTGACCGGTCCCAGATTGCCACCATTGCCATGGCTGCTGGTCTGGAATACTGGTTCGTCATTTTGGGTGCTGTGGTGGGCCACGGCTTTTGCACGGCTGCTGCATGTATCGGCGGCCAGCTCTTGGCCACGAGAATCTCCATGAGAAACGTCACTTTGGGTGGTTCGGCTGCCTTTTTTGTCTTTGCCGTGATGTACTTCTACGACTTCTATACCCATCCGGAGACGGCAGGCGAGGCGGCCTAGTGGCAAGTAGATGAAGGTGTATTTATAGATAGGGGAGGGTGAACACAGGCGGGGGAATGGTGTTGCCTGCGATGTTTGACTTTGGCGGTGTATTTAAGTGATCTCGAAGAGGTCTATATAGTTTGAGTGCCGTCTCATAATGCATTGAATGGAATGCGTTGAATGGAATGCATGAATGCTTGACTGTCCGGTGTAGCAACGACAATTTTGAAGGTTATGGATATGCTTTCATTGGAATGGGGACCTAATTGACTGAGCCCGATCGCAGTCCAACCTTGATCAAAGCACTTTGGACAACCCACTTCTTAAAGTTCATTAAACGCCTTATTGTAGGACACCCCGGCTCATGAAGCGGAGCACCACGTTAGGTGACATGGGCGTCTTTCCTCCGCTGATCTCACTTGCAAGCTTCTCCTTCTCCTCCTCGGCATCCTTCCGAGCCTTCTCGCTCTTCTGACCCTCTTCGGTCTCCATAAACTCCAACTCCTTCTCCGAATGGAACCCCTCAAACGTAAACTCGTCCTCAAGCTCCTTCACCTTCGCATAGCACCACTCAGCGAAATCGTCGTCTGTGTGAATGGGCAACTTGAACAGCTCGCTCTCGGCAATTGCAGCGTCAATCCACTCGTCCACCTCTGGAAGCGGCTTTTTTCGAAGCAACGTGGTCACTAGCCCCTCCTGTTGTGTGGTAGGAAAAGAAGGAAGTGGATACACGTTCGTGGCCTTGAGAACCTCGTCATTCGAGTCCAATCTCGCCGCTATCGTCTGGAGCTGCGTGATTAGAACTTGAAACTGCAGCTGTAGGTTCAGATAAGACGGGAGCTTCACTTTGGCAGGGTTGCGGTTGTGGAGGTTGATTTGGTCTGCTAGTTTCCGAAGCAGCTGGTGCACCTGGCTGAGTCTGTTTCTGATGAGTTCTAGGGCCTCAGCGGGAATCTGCGAGTTGACTTGGGGCTGGGGCTGGGCCGCTGTTGTGGCTGTTTTTGTAGTTTGTTCATGGTTTGGTTTGGAAAGATGGAGTAGTTGGTAGTGTTGATGTAGGAGTGCGAAGGGTAGTTATATGGTGGATTGAAGGTGCTGAGCGATAAGGGAGTACTTCATTAATCCGATGGGTTTTAAAGGCAATTTCGTGAATATGATGCTTGAAAGTCCTGCTTTGAACTTGTCCTTCGGTTCACGGTGAGTTTATGGCCAATGTATGGGTGGTGAACTTCTGGACTAATGGCTGCGAAATCGTTTAGAAGGCTGGTGCTGGTCAACAGAAATGGATCTCTTAATTATGTATTCGACTTTTTTGAATGATCTTCATTTTATCGCCAATAACTTAGTTTCTAAGGTGAAGTTGTGTTTGGAGGTGGAGGGGACAGAATTATTGAAGCTGTAGGTTATATTCTACCTTCTAACACTATGCTAATGAGCATTGTACCGATCAGAATGGTGAGACCCTACCGTCCTTTCAAAGACACATTTCAAAAACATTTACTTCACGTTCTTTAAAGACTCAGAATTTCTAAAATCCGAATTCTATCTCAGCTTCCTGTCAGCCTCCCCAAACTGCAGATTCCCAGAAACTCACTCGCCTGCACTGTCTCATCTACAATTTGCACCCATTACGCGCAATCCATCTACATTAACCTCCATCAACGTCTCAACTTCTCCCACTAATTACCCCATCCACCCAAAACTCCCCTCATCTAGACCCACCACAGCATGATCCGGTCAAACTACAGCTTGGCCAAGGAGGTGCGGCAGAACGAGGTCAAACTGAAGCAGAAGATCCAGCAGAGACAGAAACACCAGCATAAGCTCGATAAGCTCACGAAAATCGACCCGATACGGCTCTACTTCCAGATTGAACGGCTTGAGAAGGACAAGAATGATGAAAAACGATTGAAGCTGCTCAAAGAGGACTGGCAGTTTATAAGAAAGAACAAGCTCCATAGTGATAAGCTAGATGGCTTCTTGGACCAGCAGAAGCAAAAGAAAGCAAAACAGGAGAAGGACCAAAGGCGACTTTGGGGAAAAGACAGCATATACTTCAACCCGGAATTGAACCCTCTAGGTAAGGTTCCGTTGGATGAACAAGGTAACCGATATCCCAATTTGACTGGTCCTCTACGCCAGAAAACAAGATACGCTCCGGATCCTTTAATTAAGGAATTGGGCATAAGAATGCCCGAGGGCGATCCTCCCCAATTTTATAAAAGCCCTCAGAACATCAAGGTTGAAAAGCCTCCAGAGCCTGAGAAGAAAACACCGCCTAAACCGAAACCAAAACCGAAACCGGTTGTTCCTAGTAACCTCGATAATGACAGTGAAGACGGGTATAGTTCGGAGTCAGACGATGACCACACTTCCAAAAGACTACGAGTCGAGTGAAGACGTCCATGCATGAAAAATATATACAAGCTAAGTTATGCCAGGGTCCTCAAGACCGTTACCCACCCTAATCCTAAACCAAACAACATCGTAAAACTAGCTCAGCGACAAGAAGCGCACAACAAGCTCCCAGGTGCCGAACATGATGATCGAATTGGGCACCGTCCGGAGCAAGTGTGGAGTCAAGCCTCCGTACATACTGACAAATCCTTCTTCCTTGATGATCAAGCGGAAACACTGGACAAGCCCGGTATACTTGGGCTTTCCTGTGGCCTCCAAAGGAGCCTGTCTCAATCTAGTACGAACAACTTCATGTGGGTATGTCATGAGGGAAGCGAAGAATTTGGCTGCACCGGCAGCGCCTGAACGAGCACACCACTCGTAAATGTGGTCGCTCGTGCTCTTTTTTGACTGGTCGAGACCGTGTCTCTCCAAGGACTTGCGATTCAAGAACAGCTTCATCTGTTCGTACAAGACCCATTGTATAGTGGACTCAATACCACCGAGATAGGATGCACTCAAACCCTTGTATAAACTGGTGAATCCCTCTGTTTTGAGGATGTATCGAAGGCAATCCCACGAGTTCTTGTAGTGCTTGCCTTTTGTCTTGTCAAGTTGTAGTCTAGTCTTGATCATCCAGATTGGGTTGGTTGCTGTCGACGTGACAAAGCCAGCGTTGATACCGGCAACAAGATGGATCCAGGTCGCTTCGTTGCCGTTATTGAAGTTCTTGGAAACCAACTCCTTGGTAGCGCCATAGGTGAAAAAGTTGATGGACCTTGCAGGAATCACACCAACCAAGTTTGGACCCAATCCTCTGAAAAGTGCTCTGCCACCCTCGTTTTTGTATATCTGACCAATAACGCCACATGTCTCGGAGAAGTGCTGTGCTCCCTTGATCAAAGGATTGCTAGATTTAGGCGCCTTGTTGTAGCTTTGGTTGTACACATCAGATTGAAGTCTGGTCTTCACCACGTCTAGGGGACACGTAGCGATGGCACCGACCATACCGCCAATACCGCCGGCAACAAAGTGGACCCATTTGGGTGAAGATTTCGTGACATCGAGGGACTTGGTCTGCTTTGCATCCAACGACTCGGGGGCTCTTGTTGTGCTTGATTTCTCGTCTGAAACAAGATACCCGAAAGAGGTCTGCGCTTCAGTGCCGAGCTTTTCGATTGCCCGCTCCTCCTTCTCGTTCATGCTCGAATGCTTGCGGGTTGCTTGTTCGAGCCTATCTATGTGTGTCAAAGATTTTTTCTAGCATTAACTTGCACATCCTGCAGAATAGATCAGACCCGCTGCTCGCATCGCCATCTCCATCGCATCTCGCTTGGAGTACCCCTCTACCCCTCAGGCATCAATGAAACGGTGATCTTCAATATTCCATCTGAAAATAAATTGATCATCATCTTTCACCATTGGGCGTATTCTCTAGCAAAAGTTCTTGATTATAGAGAGAGTCGCATATGAAGGTGCGTCCACTCAGAGCGAGCCTGTTGTAAGCGAGTCGCTTACTTAAGGGTCTTTATGAAGTTGTCAAGATTGTACTCATCCTCATACTGCGATTCGTCCCAGAGTTGAGTAAGTTCACCAACAGCTTCGGATGGAATTCCTCCACCAATCAAGTCATCCGGAACCTTCTTGTCCTTCTTGTCGTCACCGTTCTCAATCTTCGTAGCCTGCTCGTCAACGTCGAACAAATCCAACAACTGGTTCGTGTCCATCAGCGACAAACCAGCATTTTGCTGATTCACAATGGTAGAAGCGATGTTCATCTTGAATTTCTGCAAACCCATGATCTTCTCCTCTAAGGTTGCTTTAGTGATCAATCTGTACACATTCACAACTTTCTTCTGTCCAAGACGATGGGCACGGTCCATTGCTTGAAGATCATTCATAGGGTTCCAATCGTGCTCGACAAAAATAACAGTATCCGCACCGGTCAAGTTGAGACCCAAACCACCAACCTTGGTAGTCAAAAGCAAAACATCGATCGAGGGATCCTCATTAAATTTCCTGACAATCTTCTGTCTCTCTCTGGGATCAGTACGGCCATCAAGTCTCATGTAGGTTACAGAGGGCATGTGCTTCTTGAACAACTCCTCTTCAACAATGTCGACCATATCCTTAAGTTGACAGAAGATCAAAGCTCTGTGTTCAGAAATGACGCCCTCCGAAGAAACGAGCTGTTGCTGTTGTTGTATTTGCTTCTGCTTGCTCTTGCCTTTGGAGTTAAGGTATTCACTGTCGCCAGTTCCAATTCCACACTCGAGCAACAAATTCTTCAATGACTTCAACTTAGGTGCATGTTCAATGCTCTTGAGATCAGATTTTTTACTTGCCAAATAGCTCGCAACTTCAGCCGCCTGTGGATGATTAGGAGTGATCACTAAAGCAGGGTGATTGCACAACTTTCTCATATACTGCAACGCCTGGAAGATATGTGTCTTAGGTGGTTCGGTCGTAGGTTCCATAGGCTCGTCCTCCTTGGTCACCTCGTCCTTAACGACAGACTTCTGCTTCTTGGCGAACTCCTTGTAGAGTTTCTTTTGCAAGTCCGAAAGCTCACAGTAATAATCTTGAATAATCTTGGGCGGCAAGTCAGACAACACCTCTTCCTTCAAACGACGAAGCATGAAGGGGAGAACTTGCCTGTGGAGAGATTCGAGAGCCAAAGCTCCAGCCTCTTGCTCCTTCGAAGAAGTCTTGCTGTTTCGGCTGGCGGCGATAGGCTTGGCAAACTTCTCGATAAACACCTTCTCGACGCCCAAGAAACCAGGCATCAAGAAATCAAATAAAGACCACAATTCCAAGACGTTATTCTGGATCGGAGTTCCAGACAAAATAAGTCTATGCTCGGCATTGATTCTCTTCACGGATCTAGTCAACTTAGAAGAAGAGTTCTTGATGATGTGACCTTCGTCCAACACACAATAATTGTAGGAGTGACCCGAAATCACATCGATATCGTTACGACAAACATCGTAGGAAGTCACAACAATATCTGCGTCTGGAATCTTCGCCCGAAGATTGGCTCTCACGGATGGACCACCAGCATACACGACAACATTCATGAACTCGGCATATTGATTCATTTCCTGTTCCCAATGACCTGTCAAGGATGGGGGACACACGATCAACGATGGCAATCTTCTGAACTCTTCCGCTTGTGTCTCCTTGAACTTCTCAGCTCTCATATGATGATCAGAGGCAATTATGCAAATTGTCTGCAATGTCTTACCCAAGCCCATATCATCACACAAAATGCCATGCAAATGGTATTTGTTCAAGAACGCAAGCCAATTGACACCCTCCTGCTGATACTTACGCAAAGTTGCTTTAATAGCGACAGGAAGTTCGAATGGCTTGATCTTGGTGGGGTCCATCATTTGCAGGATAAATTCTCTTTCTCTGTCCCTGCCTTCTAAAAGGTCCTGTGGCATGTCTGGAGGGTCGGGAATACCAGCTTCCAATGGCACAAGCTTGATGATGGATGCAAATGTTGTACTGGCTAAGATTCTCACGTCATGGTCTGCATCACTCATTCTACCTAGAACAGGTACAATAAGGAACACAATGTATGGGAGGATGTCGGCTCCCATAGCATTTGAAACATGGTAAATGGCTTCAGTAGCACCTTGACGCTCACGGAAATTACCAGCATTGTTGAGCATGGGTATGATGTTACGGACCAAGAACGGAAACGCTTTCGCTGGCATGACCGAACAAATGGTAGCAAAACATTTGGCCGAGGAATAACGGAAGACACTCAACTCGTACTTCAATCCAGCAAGCAACCTGGGCATCTGATCTGCGATCTCGGGATAGAGTGACGAGCTCAATTTCGGAAGAACAGCTCTCAAGACACCCAATGCATCGACTATGCTCTGTCCCAAAGAATTGTCCTTTGACATCTCGTCCGCACTTGTTGTTTCCATAGAGCCAAGAGTACCAAAGAGAATCTCTTTAAATTTAGGAAGCTCATTGAAGATGTTCTCCTTGTAGATTTCGATAATCTCATCCAAGGCGAGCAAAGCACCGTTTCTCTTAATTCTAGCCTCATGAACAGCCTTCTCGTGCGCCGCAATATCAGCCGGATCTGTCTTGGCTTCTTCTTTCCGCAAAGAAAGTATGGCGTCTTTGAAAGATGAATTGTGAACAAACTCCGGAACTTCAGAAGTGTCAACACAAAGGAAGGAACAGAGATTTTTCAAAATCTTGTCAGCGGCTCCAACCTTCTTGATCTTCTTGAGCTCATCAATCAAAGCGGCAATTGAAATCGCGGATCTCTTTTGCAACAACTCAGTCTCCTCTTGTTTGGCACTGTCCATGAGGGATCTGATAATTGGATTGAGTTTCTTCAGAACACCAGTGAGTGCAAGAATGGCAGCTGCGTAAGCCGCATTGATGCTTGTCGTTCTTTGGCTCAAAGCAAGCTTGGCCTCACCCAAAGCGACTCTTATACGGTGCTTAGAATCTTCTAGGGCCAGGTTTGCCAGAATTTTGTATGAAGATGACAAAGCCTTAACAAGTTTTGGATAAGTCTCATCAAGTAACTTTTCAGCACTCTCAATCCCAAATGCACCTGGACCGGAACCGTTCTCGCCTTGCACAACGACAGGTAACTGTGGAACCTTGCTCTGTGAAAGTTTTCCGCTCGTGACAAAGACATCAAAGAGCTGAAGACACGAAGTTCGCACGCTTTTAAGTTTGGGGACTAGCTCGCGGAAGAATGGTACCTTCTCTGGAGTTGTGAGTGCCTCCAAAAATGTTGCAGAGAATTTCTCAGCAGTCTCTGTTAGAAGAGGCTTGTCATTCTTCTTGGAAGCGTTAGCGAACTCTTCTACCACAATCGCAGTGAAAAGACGTGGTGTGGCATGAGGCGAGGTGGTGTATATCAAGAGACTTTTGAAAGTCCTCTTGAGAACATCTTCATCTTCAAGAAGCGATATGGTTGAGCCGAGAGCTTTTGCAAGTGCGGTTCTAGTTGCAATGAAGGTGTCAAAGCCAACAAACATGACATCACCGTTATGGACTGGCGCATCGATGTTGATTTTGAGTTCATCAGATGTCGGAGTGAGTGTTTTCGTCTTCTCCTCAGTCTTTCTCTTACGGCCTCTCTTCGCTGGTTGAGGTGTTATTTCACCATTTGTAGGAGGTTCAAAAATGTCTGATTCTGAAGGAGAGTCACGGCGAGGTAATGGCTCAAAGGTTGCACCGGAGGGCTTTATAATGAGGCCTGTGTTGAGATGATAATTATGTCTGGCAATGCCAATGGGAGTCATGAGTAAAGCCATGATTGAATGCAAGTATGGGGCGATGTAAGTGTCAACCTTCTCGAGGTAAGAGTTATTAGGGATCTCGTGCAACATTCTGTAGTAAACTTGCTCCGAGAGCTTCAATACCTCCGAGTTCTGCTCCACGAGAAGATTCTGTAAAATCAAACGCATGGACTTAGAAGTGATCCAAAGCTTTGTGGATTGGTCCTCGATCGACAAGAACTCCAAAAGTGTTGTGAGTGTAGCTTTTCTAACGTTTGTGATTGAGTGTCTGAGGAAGGGGAAGAGTTTGGGTAGCAAGTTGTCGAATGAGTTTTCTGGATTTGCAGCCGCTTCGGATTGCATGATTTCGATAACTTCTTTGTGCGTGCAAAGCTTTGATAAAAGGTCCATAACCGAACCTATGGATGCAGACAAATCGTCCTCGAAGTTGGAAAGACAATCCCATACAACATCAAGTAGCGACTTAATCACGTCGGTGCCCTGCTTGACGAATTCAGCCGCGATTGGCGCAAGGGTCAACGCAGCTACAGATTGCACGTCATCTTCGCTTTCCTTAAGACAATGCAAAACCATGGATACTACCAGGTCTAATAATTCAGGCAGACGAAGAAGCACGTCGGTTCTGACACTCACAAAGTAACGAACACCGAGCATACCACCATGCTTAGCCTCCCAGAATTTCCTAGAATCCGGACCTAGACTGTCTTGGAACACGAGCGATTTGAGGCAGTGGAAAGTTTCCACAATGGATCTGTCATCTAGATGAAGCAACAAGGCTGCAAGTGTCTGTGCACCTGACTCTCTAACGGGAGCAACAACGGTGTCATTCACGAAATCGGCGAACCTATCGAGTGCAAAAAGCGTACAGAGTCTCACAGAAAGGTCTTCCAATGTAGCAGCATTGTTGGCGTCATTCTCAGCTCTCGATTTGCGCATGACTCGACCAGCACCTTTACCATGAACTCTAACAAGCTCACGAAGACCTAGGGCGGAACCATGTCTCACTTCCCACTTCTCGTCGAATAAGTCGTGTAGAAGCAATTCATAAACACCCTGGAATTGCCAAACAAGGCCAACAACCTTTGCATGCTGAGATAAAAGTGGTGATAGCTCTGGAGCTTTGCTCTCCATCACCAACTTGGAACCGCCCTGCTGGGAAGTCAAATCATATTGTGGGGAATCTTCGGTTTTGACATTACCGTCAACTTCGCCATGTTCAACGAGCTTGCGGGAAATGGATGACTGGGACAAGTCCACCGGAGCGTTCTTGTTGATGCTAGATTTGGCATTGGCCTTGGCTCTGCGCTTTTGCATAGCTTTGAGACGGGCACTGGCGGCAGCAGATTTGCCGCCTTCTGGTGGGGAGGGGAAGACTGTGTCAGGTTATTCACTTCCTCTTTGACTTCTGTCTTGATGCTGGGCGAGGAAACAACCGACCCTCTGGGGCTGTCATTTTCCTCTTCTTTGACTAACGTCTTGTGTTGCTTGAGTTTTTGGAGTAGTGTCTCATCATTCTTGCCAACAGCTGGCTTTTTAGGTTCGAACTCGGCGCCGCCGGATGCGAGAAGCTTCTTGCCTGACTTTAGAAGCTCGTGCAAGTTCCAGGACTCGAATTTGACCAAAGTCAGCAAGTTTTCGTCTAGTTTCTTCAATTCCTCGTCCTGCTCAAGCTTCACCTTTGGCTCAGAGCTTCGCGTGGCGTTGTTGGCGTCCTCGATGTGCTGCAATTGCTTTTCCTTCTCAATGGCCTCTTCTGAGTTGGGGTCCCACAATGGCGCATGGGCAACGATACCACCAAAGGCCTTGGCGGCAGCAATTCTAGTTTCCCATTTTTCAGCTTTCAAGAATGGGTACACCCGCCCCAATAAGCTGATGATCTCCTCTGGATGGCCCTTGGCCAAGTCTGATAGCTGGTCTGCAGCGGTGTTACGGATGTACGGCGTGGAGCCTGTTTCCAAGAGCACCACGAGACGATCCAAACGGGACATCTTTTATGGAATTTTATATGTATCTGTAGTTGTTTTGATATGGCAATGCCGTAGAGCCGCCGATGGTGTTTGGACTGGTGTACGGGTGTCTGACGGGTTTGAATGGCCTCAAGTGGATGTTTTTCTGGCGGCGCGGGCCCTTTTATACATCTGCCTTGCGCGCCAAGCGAGTCCCACTGCTTGACAGGCGCGCTGGGTCCCCAACAGCACCACAGCGTGTTGGCCAGGTGCAAAAAATAGAAGAATTCAAATAAGGCGGATATGCGTTTCTTATATAGTGGTGGAAGGCACGGTGCACGGGTTTGTATAAACTTGAAGGTGTGTCAAAAGAAACTCAGTTATTTATGGCTGCAAAGGCAGATGCGATTCACACGCAGCCTGCGGGCACCAGATCCACACGGCAAGGTGAATGAAAAAAGTGAACGGAATTCAGATGTTCTATTTTTCACTTTTGATGGCTTTTTTTGCTCTTTTTGTAAAAATGATGAAAATCAGTTTTGTGTTTTTGGGGTAGGTGGTACGGCTGGAGTCCTGTGAACCAGAGATGTCTAGCCCATAGTTGCAGATCGCCATGGAGAAAAGCCAAAACGTCAATTACCTACTTCTGAAGATGAAAGCGAGATTGTGTTTTCAAGAACTTCAATAGATTTCGATCATCGCTAACAAGTAGCATGCATCTTGCCTTGAGCAATTCTCACCATGTGTTGCAGCCATTCTGTGTTCCTCATTTAGCAACAACCATACTACCGGATACACCAAACAACAATAGCATCGGACAGAAAACACAAAACCTAGTTGAACAGACCTACTTGAACAAATACCACATCGAACAACCTCTTGATATAACGGTCCACCTACTGCCAACCATCCACCTGACTCCCCTCCACCACCTGACTCCACCTCCACCACCTTCACTACACCGCTGTTCCTTTTGTCTTCGTATTCACATTGCAATTACCTCTAGGCAAACTTCTTCTCCTTCGACGCCTTCAACTCCTGCCTCTTGGCCTTCACGTCGTCCTCAGTAGCATTGTACGACACCTGGTTGGCCTGGTTCATAGGGTTCTCAGGCGACTTCTGGAACTCCTTGAAGATCAAATGCTTCATCTGCTGCTGACGCAACCCTGGGTTCTCTTTCTTCACCTCAGGCAAACGGCGCTCCTCGTAAGCGGCATAAGCTGCCTTGACTCTTCTCTCAGGGTGTCTTTCGATATCCTTAGCAGCCACACCGCCGTCCCTTCCGGTCAATGACAACGCCTCCAAGGCACTGTCGATGCCAGAAGCACTGAGCTCGGGCTTGTCGCTGTTGAAATCAAGGAAATCGTCGATCTTGCCTGTTCTTCTGGCTGCAACTTTAGCAGCACCTCTCTGCTTGTCCTTCTGGCCCTTGGCAGGAAGAGCTGATTCTTCAGCAGCCAAAAGGGCATCACGTTCAGCCTTCTTACGAGCAGCTTCTTCCTTTTTGAACTGGGCATCCTCCTTCTTCTTGTTGCCCTTCTTGGAACCTTCGTCCCACTTGGAGGCCTCTTCGGCCTCGGCAGCTTCAAAAGCAGCCTGCTTTTTCTTGTTGGCGGCTTCGGCTTTTTTGGCGTTACCCGCCGCCTTCTTGGAATTCTCGCCTCCTTTCTTGGCCATGATGAAGATGTGGTTACTTTGATCGAGAAAGTTCGGAGCGATCTGTGTCGGTATGCCTCACGTGAGCCTCCGAACCGGACATCCACAGCCTTCGAGGTGTGGACCGATATTTTGGTTGTTTTGAGGGAATGGGGGGAAAGTTGAAATGAATGGAAGAGAATTAGAAAAATTGGTTATGTTGAATGGTGTGGGTAGGGTGGTTCGGTGGTAGCATTCTTGAGCCTTTTCGCAGCCACCTAGGTGAAGAATCCTGATGAACATGTGATGAAGCACTGAAACTTATGAGGTATTTATTTTTATTTTGATTCATACAGTGGGATTCACTCAATTAAGGTGGTCTAAGATCGCTTTCAAAGCATATGATATGAGTATCAAAGAGCATGGTGTGTCTGTTGAGATTGCGTTCACTGAACTAGCCTTACCAGTGCTAATCAGCAGACTGATTTCCATACTTTCGAGATGAGTTGACATGACTTTAGATTCGACCTTAAAATAATACGTACTTCTTGAGATTCATGGCGAGATTATGACTTTCATCCTTAATTTGTATGAAAATCAAGTAGATCAATCCAGCATCTTCGATTAAGCTTTCATGAAAATCTTCAGCTGAATTTTTTTTGCTGAAGACGTTGATTGAATGTCGCTTCGGGATCGGTGTCTCACTCACCTACTCCTCAGCTTTAAAAGCTATAAACCGAAATTATATAGTAAAAACCCTTCTCTCAGGTTACCAGATACCAAAGTGGCTATGACTTCTGAAATGCAAATCACCGGAATCTATATTCGACTTGATCAACAGTTTTGCTTCACCCCAAAAGACTACAGTCTACATTCGATTTGTTTTTTTAACATAGGCTCTTGAAGAACTAAATAAATAGCAATGGATCGCTCCATTCTCAAGATGTCTTTTTTTTTTGTTTTTTTGTTTTAGGTTTATGTTATGCAAAGTCCCAAGCGCTATAGTACAACTGGCCAAAGCCAGACTCAACTTTTTTGTTTGTCGTGATCATCGTAAGCGAACAGGGAACCGGAAAAAAAGAGCCAATGTGTAACTTTTTACTCCGATTTCTGTTTCTTGGCGGCTGGCTCAGCGTCAGCTTCAGCAGCCTCCAATTCAGGCACAGCCTTGCCGTTGGTGCCGTTAGATGGCTTCAACTGAGGCGTGCCCAACTCGTTGTGGAAGTCCTTGATGATGGAGTCCACATCGTCGATGTTCAACTGTCTCACGTCACCCAACAACTTGATCTTGTGAGTAACCTCCTTACACTGGTCGTCGGTGAGGTTCAAGTTCAACTGGTCCACTCTCAGCTTGATGGCGTTCCAACCGGTCAAGCGGTTAGCAAAGTGGATGTACCTCGTGAGACCAAAGTCGGATGGGTTCAAAATCTCGTACGTCGAAGGGTTGGCAAGAATGGCCTTGGCGTGGATACCGGCCTTGTGGGTGAAAGCACAGAAACCAGTGATTGGGTTGTTGAAAGGAATGTTCACCTGGACAGCGTCAGCAACAAGGTTCTCCAAGTCTCTGAGCTTGTGCAACTTGTACTTTCCAAGAACGTAATCTCTGTCGGCGGTGATCATACGAGCCATAAGGGCACCGAGCGGCGTAATACCGTTTCTCTCACCGATACCCAAAACAGAGACATCGATCAACTTGGCACCGGCCTCCAAGGCGGTGTAGGCGTTGGCAATGGCACAGCCGGTGTCGTTGTGGAAGTGGCACTCAATGTCACAAGAAACAACAGACTTCAACGTCTTGACAAGCTCGTAAACCTGTCTAGGGTTGGCACAGCCCACAGTGTCGGCAATACCAACTCTGTTGACACCGATCTTGTCGACGGTCTTGTAGATGTTCAAAAGGTCCACAATGTCGGATCTGAAGGAGTCCTCAGAAGAGAATCTGATCTCGATGCCCTTGGACTTGACAAACTCAATCACCTCAATGGCACTCTGAGCAATGTAGTTCATGTCCTTACCGTGAGAGTACTGTCTCAAGAACTGGGAGGTGCCGATAACAACATCAACACCGTCCACACCAGTCTCCACAGCGACTCTGGCATCGTCCATATGACAACGAATGTGGGTCAAAATCTTGGACTTCAAGCCCAACTTGCAAATAGCCTCACAGTCCCTTCTGGACTGCTCGGAAGCGACAGGCGAGGTCAACTCGATGTAGTCGACACCAAAGTCATCAAGAGCCTTGGCGATTTCAATCTTCTTTTCCGTGGTGAAAAAGGCATTGGCAAACTGCTCACCTTCACGCAAGGTGGATTCAATCACCTCGAACTTGTTCACGTTGGAGAGGTAGTCGTGAGGATTGGGGCCGTAAGGATTGGGCATAGACATGGTAAAAAGTTGGAGGAAATATGGAGAGAAAAAAAAAGTGAGGAACTTTTGTAGTTTATATAGGGTGAAAAATTTGTACGACATTTTGCTTTTTTTTTCTGTGCATGGTTGATTAGCCGTCGCCGCGGCTTAACTATGGGGAACTGAGTAATAGATAATGCGGTGGGTGGGGCCTGTGTGCAGGTCTGGAGCTGATAGTGCCGTTGCGTGAAGAATGAGTCAGCAAGGGGTCTAGGTTTTTTTCCCAATACGCGAGGAAAATGTACGATGAGGCCTGAATATTCAATATTAGGCTTATTTAAATTGATTTTAATTGATACATTTTTAAAATTTCCGGATCATGGTGCTTTTAAAGAAGTGCCTTTTCTATGAGTCATTGCGATAGCACATGGAGAGAAGGCAGTTCCGCGCGCCCGCTGGGTTTTGGTAGCGGCACGACTTTTCACCTTGAACATGGTAATCTATGGAGATGATGAGTCAAGAGGTGGTGAAAAGTCAATTTACTTAAAGCCATAACAATTATTTGGCTGCTTTAAATTAACTCGAAATATTTCTCATCAATAAAGCCATTCAATTTACTTTGGTGGTGCTTTCAATACAGCTATCTGTATACTAAGTGCGGTGTAGATGTATGCACTAATTCATGAGACAGAGCATATAGCCATATCAATGTCAGTTTTTGTCAATTGAACCAGTAAAAAAGCATGAGACTAACATTTAGAAAATCTTCTTATCATAAACATGTATTTATTAACAACAATGGAAAACGCCATGATTCTAGCTTGGATGGTGGTCTTCGTGAAGTTGAAGGATTCCGTAAGATCACGTGACAGATGACTACTACGAGCAACTCATTGGCCGCAGGCTCATCGGCCCGCGATGTAGGCTCGTTTCTGTGACTCACCAAAAATGCCATGACGTCTACGCGCTAGAAAGCTTAGTGATTCCGCCAGTTCTGGCGCTAATATACACGGAACGGTAAGTAAAAGTCCGGAGGCCTAGTGGCACCCGTACACCGGACATTTCGCCAATGTCGTAAAGCGCTCGTCTAGGACGCCTGAAAGTTGCACAGATCGATGCAAACCAGATCGATCTCCGGAGTCAGTTCTGCGGGAAAGCTTCGGTAAAGATGGCACTGGCATACTTCAATAAATGTTAAAGTAGTTGCCATAAAAAAGACGGAAACTCTCAATGCTAGATCTGACTTACTCAGAATTCGTTCCTTGCAGAGAAAAAAAAGTCGTAAACAAGACCTTAGTTGGTTTCTTTGACAACCATCTTGACGAAGCGATAAATCTCGGACTTCAATCTGAGAAGCTCGATGTTCTTGATGGCTAGCTTGCCGTTCAAGCGCTTCACAACCGTCTTAACGATGGTGTTGATCTCAGAATTAGCCAAGCCCGTGACACCACTCCAATTCTTACCAATTCTCTCTCTGGCTAGCGTCAACTTAAAACAGCCGACAATAAGCTTCTTGAGGCCGAATCCCATCTCTGTGTAATTGAGAAAGTTGTTCGACTGATTCAAGTACCGCAAAAGGTAGATGATGTCCATGTATCTGAACAAGTAAATAATACCCTTCATAAATAGCGGCAAAGTGAGTTGTAAGCGGCTTGTGAGGATTAGGAGAAATGTGTCCAAGGGCATCTCTGTTGGGTCGATCTTTCGAGCCGACTCGGGTGGGAACGAGTTGGTGATTTTCATCGCCACATACTTGACGGCAATTTTCATAAGTTGGGACCTTTCCGAGCGAAACTGAGCTTCGGATATTGTCAGCTTAGATTCTTCCTTCTCGGGTTCCTTTGTTTCTGGTTCGGGCTCAGGAATAGCTTCTTCTTTAAGCGACCGCTTCACCACCTCGGCAGCAGCCAGTGCTGGAGGCAGTTTGGCAGTAGGCCTAGGAAACTGGGTGGCATCCTTAGAAGAGTGGTGGCTTTCAGCCTCAGAGTCCTCCTCTTCATCATCAGACACTAAGGAAGGCACGTCAATAAAGTCCATAAGGCGGATTTCCTCGACCTTCTCATTGCTCTCCTCCTTTGTCTCGGCCATAGAAGTGGTGACAGAGGCACTAGGTGTGGGGAGCTGGTATTGAGGTCTGGAAGCACGAAGAAACGCCTCAGTGAAAGATTCGGTGGCGTTGGATGAGGCACCCTCTGGAGGCGCCATGTCGGGCAGAGGGCCCGAACCGGATTTCCGGTGCAAACGAGGCAGGTGGGACGGCACTTTGGAGTAGGTGTTTTCAGAAATGGTGACCATTGAAAACATACAAAATCGGGGGATTCGATGGTGGCACAGATTCGTTCAATGAATATTGGCCACGATGGTCGAGTATCAGTTACTAGTGGGAGTCAGTTGGGTTGAAACACGCGGAGCAAGCCTAGATCTCTGTTGAACTTTCGAAATATCTTGCTTTTGTTGAAAAGGGTAGATAGCTCGTGGCAGGTTTAATAATGCATGGTGGGGAGCTGTTGAATAAAACTTGGGGGAATGATAAGGATAATTAAAAAAAGTCGTCGATTTTCTAAACCTTGATGGTGCGGCTGGGGCGTGTTACCAACTAAAGAAGAAGATGGTAGATGAGTTTTCAGGGAGGATCTCGGTAGTAGTTTCACCGCGCTGATGAGTCAGTGGCTCGATCACGTGATCGTTTACGATTCTTCCATTTTCTCCACGGCCTGGGATCGTAGAGACAAGAAAATTATATCAGCGAGATGCTGAGGATCCATAGAAACTGTTTGTATTCTTAATAGTTGTATGTGATGTCTCTGTGGCGCGATCGTCACAGCCCTGACCGGCCGTGTCTCGGATTGACTCATTCGCACTCACTGTGGCCTACCGGAATCTCCCGATTGGGTGCAAATGAGAGACCAGTGTGGCGGTACACCCCGAGATCTATAGCATTATTCGAAGGTGGTCTAAGTCATTTTTTACTAAGAGGAAGACAAATTTTCAGAAAATAACTAAATGATCCCTAATTATAAATGCCACTGTGGCTCATAACGAATGTAAGGTTGCGGTGAGACGATTAGAATTGGTGCATGAGAGAATACTTACGACTTTGTGACCACAGTATATGAGGTGCTTGTGAAGAAGTTTTGATATTGCATACTTTTTTAAAGTTTTGTCGCATTTATGTATGGAGCATGACTCTTAAGGTCGCTCTTCGTAGAACAATCGAACAGGGAATATACCAACAAGAGACCAGGTTCGTTCACTGATGACGGCATCTCAAATGCTTCTCGTTTCAGTCAATTGAGGATTTACCGGTGGCGCACGCTGATGATCTCCATCATCGGTACTTATGAACGGCTATAACGTGCAAAGCTAGTCTTCAAATATAATGCTATATCTTTCTGGCGTCCAATTCAAGAATCATGGCGGCAGTAGCTTCAGCTCAAATTCCAAAATCCATGACTTTAGCCACCCATATTGTGGACAATCTGAGTTCTAGTGACACTTTTCAAGACCAGACGACCAAAGAAGAAGGTGCAAAATGAGGGTGAGCAAAATCGCTTGATGCAAGGGAAAGCCCCAAATGCCGTGTTTTCAAATTCAGAACATCTGAAAACTTTTTGAATTACTTCATTCGATAATTCCAAAAAAAAATCTGCCTTTTTAGAGACATGGAGGACAGGCAGATGAGACCGAGAACACCATCGATGGAATCTTTCAGCATGACGAAATGAGCTCCAGCTTGGTGATCTGCCTGGACATGCCATAGTCAAATCGCCTTTTGAGAGAAGTGAAATTACAAATCTCCAGTCCCTTGAAATAATGAGAAAGGGACATTACTTTCTCCAGCGATTTTCATGACGTGTGACCGAACTTCACAAAATAACCTGTAATATTCTCCACAAGGTAATTGGAAGAATGTCCACAGAGGGTAATCCTGATGTGACGGGCACCCTTATAAATCAGACGGCTCCTCGACAAGGTTCCCAAAGATTAAGCTATTGTGTAATGCAAAGCCTTCTATTTATAAGGAGAGCAGATAGACAGTATGAGGTCGAAAAGGTTGTCTCAGACATGCTTGCAAATGACCCCAGTCGGTACATTGGTCACAATATTGCAACAGCTTTCATAGGTGGTGCAGCCTGGACCGTGACTGACGTCAAAGTGCAAAATCTTCCCACGCTGGACGAATCTGAAGACCAGTTGGATTATGCTTACAAGTAATTTGACCGGTTTTTGCGACGTGAGGGTATCTCTGATTTGGGGACGGGGCCGAATCTCGAAGACGGAGCTTGTCGGCTTCTCTTTTCAAGAATGCGCCGTAGTGAAGCGAATCGCCCAGACCATTATTTCAACGCTCGGTTCGTTGAAAATGGATCAAAAGAATGTTGTTATTTCATAAACTGTATACGAGTACGGGACAAGCAGACCATTCTCCATTCCGGGATCTTCTTACCGTATCAGGTTGATGATACAGACAATTCAAGCACCAACCCCAGCTCACCTTTGCATGCTGATGATGAATACACCTCAATGGATGGTGAACTAAATTTTATCCATGATTATTCTCCACCCCATGGGGATGAACCGCTTTACGGCTATCCCATGCTTGATTTGTCGGACGCATTCAAGCTTTGCTTGTCCCTTCCTAAATCTTCATTTCGTGGCTCATCTGCCAGCATAAAAATTATTGGAGTGAAACTCACTCTTGCGGAGCTATTCAGATGCAAGATTCCTCTAGATTCTGATTTTGCTTTGGAAGAATTTACACGGACGCAAAGTTTGTCTGAACAATCATGTCACTTCTTATTGACAGCGCAAGACTCACAACAGCATTGGGGACGAGTATCATGGGTGATTCCAAACGAGCTATTGAATTGCATGCTTCCAGATTTAGGGCCCACATTCTCGTCTGATAATCTTCAGAGAGGTTATCTCATCGAGGCTCTGGTCAGCCTTCGATGCGACGATAATGGCTCCAGCTCAACCTTCAGAGCTCTGGTCCCACTAATAATGGCAATTAATGATAAGGGCAATGAAAAGAGCCTCATGGGAGTTCTCAATAGAAAACAACAAGATTTGGTGTTTTTTGATTCGACTCCCATGTCTCCTCTTGCATTGCAAAAAGGGAATGAATTTTCGGCAAAGAGACTACAAAATATCACAACTGGTCTCTTAAAGTACTACTCATGCAGCTTGTTATACAACGACTCGGTTGTCACGGTCACAACGATATCATTGTCCGTCAACGCAATAACTCGGACTAGAAAATCGAAGTTAAAGCTTCAGCGCCAGACCATCGCAGACTGTGAAAACGCCATTGTACAAACTCTGAGCGGACTTTCGTTAAAACCAGTTGCAGCAAACCTTCACCTTTGTTCTTCGCCAGACTTGATGCTCTTCACACCACCCATCGCTTCAGATGTGAAGCTCACAGAAAATCTGTACTCTTTCGCTCAGCTGGAGCTCATACAAGACCAATTATCTCCGGGAATGGCGTTCGAAGAGATGTTTCAGCTTTTCGTGGTATGTTACAAGGAGGTATATGAACCCCCAATCCTCAAAAAGGTCATTATAAAAATTATCGAAAAAACACTTCTGCCGAACGGCGGAGACTGGATTCTCGAAGAGAAGACTCTTGTTTTGAAATCAGATAAACTTTCAAGATCGTCTCAAGTTGAGTTAGAAAAAGTGAGAGTGGTAGACCAAGGTACTGAGTATGAAATTCCTTCCCTGGTTGTGCACTGATCATTCCAGCAATTGAGCCCACACTATACTCAGCATCGTTCCATAGGGAATATGTGTTTCGAGTGAAGGTGACAATTATCTACAACGGTTCAACCTCGAAGAAGCTAGTCTACTATATTCCCACTCCAGTCCTGATAGAGCCTCACAAAGAACTTTTTATGAATCCTCCAAAATACAACCCATCCACCCTTAAGTCTTGAGTGATGGTCGTATGTGACTCACAGTGTATTGAACATGTGCAAGGAAGCAACTGTCGCCAGGCTCGTGGCAAAGTGAAGCCCAAAAATTGATAGCGAGCAGCAAGCAAAACAAACAACATAAATTAGGCATATATAGATATAAAATATAGAAGTGAGATCACATTTAATGCGTGATTCATTTCGATGTGCTCCTCGCGGACAGAATTCAGATTAGAAAGCGTGGCCGAGCCATTGAGGGGACGAGTTCGAGACAGGTTAACTTGCTTCGCAAGTTGTGGGATGATCCACTCACTCGAGGAAACTGACGGCCCAACATAGAGTGTAATGGCTGGAATGAGAACCTGCTCAACTATGGTTAGGGGTTTAGTGGGGCAACGGTGGGACGAATCTCATTAACTCACAAGCGGGTAAGTTCAATACCCTGTCTTGCAATTCCGACGATATGATTGAAGCGACGATTGCCATAGAAATTCCAAAAAGCGTGAACAATAAACTCGAAGATGAGCACCAAGTTCAAGAGTGGGAGGCCCGTGCCAGTGACACGGAAGTCATATGCTGTAAATCCCACGACGGCAAAAGCTGCCAAAAGCTGGATAACGCAAGCTGCAAAGCCATAAGCTGGACCGAAGAAGATTGTGTGAACAAATTGCCAAAGAAAAGCTATTACCCACGCAAGAATTTGAAGAAAGATAGCTCCTACAATTGCCATCTTATTTCCATCGCTCAACGACAAGCTGTGTTGATGATAAAAGTAGAGAGGAAGCGCCAATAAAACACCAACGAAAAGAGCCCAAATGGGCCAAAGAATCCATTTCTCAACGAATTTTTCCACCTATGTAGCTCGGTCGTTCTGGTTCTCTCGGTGCCCACCATCTGTGACGATCTGGCTCTTTAGGGGCTCTTCATCTGTGACGCTCTGGTTCCTTAGGGTCTGTCCATGGCTGGAATCGGGTTTATTTTTGGTACCATTACCACCTTTTGGATTATCCTTCTCCAGGCTCTTTGTGAGATTTGAATCAGTTGCAGTTCTAGAAACTCTGCTAACCTTTTTCAGTCTGCCAAAGATGTTTCGAGTGGATTTCGGTACTTTTTTTGCAGCCAGGCTACTGTTAGCGGAGGATTGCTCATTATTGGGGCTTGTTTGTTGAGAAGGGCTGGATGACATTCTATAGACTCGCTAAAAGAAGAAAAGAGTGGTTTGGGAAAAAGTAAACAACCCAGTGACGGGTGGCAGGAAGGGGTGCTTTTTATACGGCTGTAAGGTTCATGTAGGTACTGCAGAATGAGCACGCCAGATCAGGGACCGTTGGAGCAGAATCCGGAGAAGGGAAGAAGCCAGATATAGCAGGGAGGGGTGGAATACTGGTTTAAGTCAATTTTCGGCTTTCGTCAGTGAAGGTTTTCAGCAATTGTGTTCCGTTTTTTGTAAATTGAAAATGGAGGTGGAGTCTTCTTGTCGTGGCAGCTGGAAGTGGTGTTCTGCTATAAGCATCCAAAAGACCATCATTCGAATGCCTTTCCAAATAAGGCATGAGCGTCTGATTTGCAATGCTTCCCTTAATTTTCGGATTTTATTAATCCACAAAAAGAAAAAAAAAAAAAAAAACTCCCTCCATTTCCACTAAAAGCGTAGTTTACCATCATACCTATTTTGTGCGATTCTATCCACACCAGAGCACAGGACATGAATACGAAGAGTTCCAAAAGCACCACCAAATAAATCAAGAAACCTCAATTTCCGAAAAACCTTTCAAAATCCCGATATCCCAAAGAACCATTTCTCCAACCCTCCCTACAAACTTCCCATAATTTTCCACCCCAATTTTTCTCCCACCTAAGCGTGGTACATCCAGTGCGAAGATATCAAATCCTCACCTCATGCGATTGCCCACAATGTCTAACCGAACCTACAAAGACGCCATTGCGGCGCTCAACAGCCTCCAGCTGAACTACGCCTCCATAGAAGCCCTCAAGCAGCAAAAGGACTTTCTGCCCAAACAGCGCTCCGAACTCTCCATTGCCGAGGTCTACGAGTACATCAGAAGATTGGGCTACAAGCCGGTGGAGTTTGACCGTTTGAACGTGGTGCACGTCACCGGCACCAAGGGAAAGGGCCTGACTTGTGCTTTTGTGGACTCCGTGCTCAGACAGTACAAGGGGGACCCTTGCTGAAGATTGGGCTCTTCACCAGCCCGCACCTCAAGTCGGTGAGAGAGAGAATCAGAATCGACGGCCAGCCGATCACGGAACAGAAGTTTACAAAGTACTTTTACGAAGTGTGGGACCGTCTTTCGACCACTACGTCGCTGCCTGAGGAGTTTCCGCTGTTGCAGCCTTCGGACACCGTGAAGCCCATGTACTTCAAGTACTTGACGGTGCTTTCGTTCCATGTTTTTATGTCTGAAGGCGTGGACACTGCTATTTACGAAGTGGGCGTTGGCGGACGCTACGACTCGACCAATGTCGTCCAGCACCCAACTGTCGCCGGCGTCACCTCTTTGGGAATCGACCATACCTTCATGTTGGGCAACACCATAGAGTCGATTACGTGGAACAAGGCAGGCATTTTCAAGCAGGGCTGTCCTGCCGTTGTTTCCGAGCAAACGGAGTTTCCCGATCTGATCAGCACCGTGAAGGAGGTGGCCGACGAGGTCGGCGTTTCGCTGTTTGAGATCGTGGACTCCTCGATCGTCCCCACCGATATCAAACTCGGCCTTGCGGGCGACTTCCAGCGCCAGAACGCCGCTGTGGCTGTGAAATTGGCAGACATCCACCTCCGGAAGCTTGGAGTGCCTGCCGCCGAGTTGCCTAACTGGAGCGATTCTTCCTTGCCAGACAAGTTCATCCAGGGCCTTGAAAACACCCGCTGGGACGGCCGTTGCCAAAAGCTCACGAACCAGGACGGCTTCGAAAATATCACCTGGTACATTGACGGCGCCCACACGCTAGAGTCGATCCACGTGGCGCTGAAGTGGTTTACGCAGAGCATCACCAAGCAGAAACAGCGGCCTGGTACCCCAAGAATCCTTTTGTTCAACCAGCAATCGAGAGAAAACGCCGGCGAGCTTCTTACCAAGCTCCACGAAAACCTCTCCGAAAACAATGTGAAGTTTGACCATGTCATTTTCACCACCAACATCACCTGGTCTGACGGAAGCTACAACAGCGACCTTGTCTCGCTCAACAACTCCAAGGAGCAGGTGGACAAGTTGGTGATCCAGAAGGAGTTGGCAGAGAAGTGGGCCGCTTTGGAAAAGGGCACGGCGCAGACGTCACGGAAACACATTTTCCCTAATATCGAAACGAGTCTCAACTTCATCAAGAGCTTGACCAACGACGACCACCACGTGGACGCTTTTGTGTGTGGGTCGTTGCACTTGGTGGGCGGGTTCCTAGCCGTGTTGGAAGGCGAAAGAGACTGATGCTATTTATTACACTAATTTCCTGTTGTATAGATTCTACAAAGACCCCATCCATTAATTGCCCAGGTTGTTGTTGACAATGTTGTCCTTGGCGTCACGCACAATCTCGTTGATGTTGTGCAACGAGTGTCTCCACTCCAGCAATGCCTTTTTCACCGTGTTCAAGTCCTGCGCAAGCTGCTGCTTGTCGCCAGCCAAAACGATTCTGTTTGCTCTCACCAAGTTGAAAGTCTGGTCCACCTGGTTCATTTTGCCCTCGATAACGCCAGCCTTGATCGAGTCGATCAACAACTTCTCGAATTCAGCCTGCGAGGCGGCTAGCTCGTTGGGGATGTCGCTGTATTTGAAGGCGTTCTTGCCGGCATTGTCGCTCTCGACAAAGAACCTCGTCAAAGCGAGAACCTTGGATTTGGCAACAACGGTGCTCGAGATCGACGAGGGAACGGCACTGATGAGCTCTCCCTTGGTGTACTTGTCGAAGATGCTCACCTGCTCGTCAGAGGCATGTTCTTTCAAGGCCTGGGCCACGTTGTTGTTAACCAAGAAGGTCACGTCAACGACAGAGGATGCCAAAGCGAAAGCAATCAATTTGTGGAGCTCGTCCAAGGAAAGTGGGTGCTGGGAGGTGAACTTCTTGATCAAGTGCAAGGACTCTAACGTATACTGCTTGTCCAAGGCAATGAACTGCCAGAAAATGCTCTTGATCTGGGCGTCCAGGGCACCGGCAGCGGCGAGCCACTGGACCAAGGAGCCGCCGATCGAGCTCTGGATCAATGCAAAGTCAATGTCTGTGTCGGTGACGATCTTCAAGATCAACTCGATGAAGTAGACCCTCGTGGCGCTCAGGGCAGGCAAGAAGTTGAAAAACGTGTTCAACACCGACAAGACGGTGGTGGGCTTGAGCGAGCGTCTGTCTCTCAACAGCGGTTTCTGGGCTGGCGTGGAGGCAATTAGGAGCTTGATCAACTCACCGTCCTTCTGCAAAAGCGTCTCAAACAGCTTCTGCTTCAACTCCAGCGTGAGGTAGGCGAGAAGGTAGAAAACAGGCTCAAACTCTCTGTCGGGCAATTTGGTCAAGATCTCTGGCTTGGCCACGGTCCAGATCTCGTTGGCTAACGCTTCTTTGTTGGAGATGCGTCCAACGGCGTCAAAGTGGGTTTTCAAGGCATCCAGGAAAGTGTTGTTCTGCTGGACCGCGTTGATGATCTGGGCGAACTCCTCGACAGAGTCCTTGATCTCGTTTTCAACGACAATAACGGAGGCCATGGCTTGTACGGGTTGAGTTGGAGTCTGATGCCTGCGTTTTTTCAGCGACTTTTTCTGGTCGTGTGGGAACCGACGAGGGTCCCGGACGGAGGTGTTTCGGATTGGGTGGTTCAAATTTTTTTGTGATTTTGTGGTGGTGGGGGAAGCTTTTACTGAATTTGAAATAATCTTTTGTTGTTTTTACTGAGGCCTTGAAGCCCAGGCGTGGAGTGGGTTTTCTCGATTTCGCAGCCATCGAGGTGCGATGGACCAGTGTGGTGGTGCTACCATGAGAGAATGTAGGAATTGATGATTTCGTGAATTTTGAAAATGTAGATTTTCTAGAATTGGAGGATTGGTCATGCAAGTGTTTCTTTTTGGGCCTGGCGATGGTCCAGGTGTCGAGACATGAAGGGTTACAAGTATCTGGTCCGAGGACTGGTAAAAGTGCAATCTAGTGCTTCACACCGGAGAGCATGGGTCTTGAAACCCAATCCCGTAACTGTAGTACCTAAGTGTTAGCTTGTGCTTGTTTTTCGTTGGCATTTTGTGACTTTAGCCATTGAAGTCGGACTTGGCAGAACACGGGCAGTGACTTCATGTCCCAGACTTCTAGTTCTAAAACCTAGCTTTCCCCATCGACGAAGTGAAGAAAACACCCGCTCCGTAGTCTATCGACACGTCGCTATGATCCATCTTCTTCTTCATCCTCCTCCGTAATAATGGCCTGTCTCTCGTATATTCTCGAGGGAGCCCCAGTCTCGTGTCTCCAGCGCTGATCACCAATAGACTGGTCTCCATTCGCCAGCCATTTGTTCTGAGAATTGTCAGGCTTCTTTGGATCCAATATATTCTTCACGGGCTTGACGACACCGCTCATGGTATTGAACTTCTTGAAAATTGGCGGTGATGGAGACCGACCTATACCGTTGCTGGGAATAGGCGTGACCGGCGCTGGGGTATGAACTCCAGGAGAAGGTGAAAGCTTGAATGTTTGACGAGGCCCTCTGAGCGAAGGGTGAGCTCCATTTCTGAAAAACGTCTGCTTCAGACGAGGCAGCAGCGGTCTATCAGTGAAGTAAGAGTTTTCTGTGAACTTTGATCTCAGTTCACTGTCGTCCGATGAGTTACTGGAAACCTGGGATAGCGAGTGTTTCTTGCTGCGGCCCTGCTGGCCAGTGGCCTGTGTGCTTGTGGTCATGATCAGTGTATCGGAAGCCATTCTGCTGGTAGAAGGCCGCTTCTTCTTCAGGTTCGTGGAAGTCGACGGCGTCATGCTTGATGAGTGAAGTTTGCTGTGCAATAGATCTTGCTGGGAATTGTTTACGGACAGATCGTAGATTCCATCATCGTCGTAATAATCTTCGTCCATGTCCGTGCCGTCCATCATCTCGAGTTCGGACTCAGACATGGGATACGGCTGGCTCAGTTGCGAGAACTGACTGATTTGTGAGACCATAGACTCTGGTCTCTGTCTTCTGCCGGACGATAAGATGCTATCATGGTTGAGTGAGTTGGTCGTCCTATCGGCAACTTCCCCTAAGGAAGATACAGTATTATTGGTATTGGACGTTTGGCTCGAGGCCTGGCGATGGTGACCCAAATCGTGCAAGATTTGAATCTCAGCGGGACCTTGGAGTTGGATTTCGTTGCCAGGTTGGTATGTGCCATTGTCTTCAGTTGTAGCAAGAGGATCCACACCTGTTCCATCTTCCTCGACAGCCCTAGGAGGGCTGTTAGAAGTCCGAGGCATCGCCTGCGTGCCTTCAGGAACGTGCTTATTGGGGATGTTGATTTCCAAGATTCCTGGATCTCCATCGCTTTGGTCCGCAGAAGGAGTCAAGTTGCTTGTATCGTCCTTGTCCTTTTGGCCCTTCTTCCAGAATTGAAGTTTGTTGAGAATCTTCTTACCCTTGCCCATCTGTTGATCATTCGAGGCTTGGTAGCTGAGGGTGGATCTTCGATCGTCTGGGGTGAAGGATACCTGCCGATGAATACGACCCGTTGTTTGCAAAGAACTGTCGTTTCCAACAGATCCAGGTGTCTGTGGTATCTGACTGGTCAGGGCATCCAGGGGTCTTCGAGAAAGTCTCTTATTGTAAGACGCCCTGGGGTTCAGTCTTCTATACTCCTCGGTGGACCGTCGTGAGATGCTGGCCTGGTCTGGGTTCACTCGATTGGAGTTGATGCTCAATGTGGAAATGATCTTTTCAAGAGGCTGCGTGCCTGAGTTCTGATCAGGAAGCGAAAGTGCACTGCGGACTCTCTTTCTGGACTTTTTGATCTGCCGCTTCGCCTCGGAATATCGCCTCCGCTTAAGCTTATATTTTTTCTTCTTAAACTCTCGCGTGAGTCCGAGCTCGTAAAATGCAGTTAGCGTGTTGGTGTGGCCCTGGAGGACCAGTGCCTGGAGAAGATCCGTGTCGATGTTGAGCTTTTCAAGTCGTTTCAAAAGCTCACGCTCGATCTTCGTTTGGAAGGGGACCTTATTCTGGCGGTAATGCTGGTTGATGGAAATGATGGACTCGGTGTCGTTGAAGGAGGAGTTTCTGCGCTCCAGATGCTCGTTGGTGAGGTCGATAATGAAGGACGAATTGAGGATCTCAGAGATGCTGGGCCTGGCGGCCGGGTCTTTGTTCAACATTTTTCGTATGAGCTCGACCACGGAAGGGTCGACGTTCTCCGTTCGTACAATGGGGTCGTCATTGACGATCCTGAGCTTGATCTGCATGTCGTCATCATCGTCAAACGGTAGTTCGCCGTACACCATGGCGTAGAGAATGACACCCATTGACCAGATGTCCACGGCAAAACCCGAATACTTTTCTGTTTTGAGCATTTCAGGCGCCATGTAGGCGGTGGTGCCACACACAGTGGACAAGAGCAGCCTCTTGTACGGATTGAACTCGCGGACAAAGCCGAAATCGGTCAATTTGACAATCAGCTTCCGCTTGTCTGCCAACAAGATGTTCTCCAACTTGAGGTCCCTGTGGGCCAAGTTCAACGAGTGCACGTACTTGATGCCACTGGCTATTTGGTAGAACAAGTTTCTGCACACCTCGATGTCCAAACGCCTGTTTTCGTAGATGTAGTAGAAAAGCTCCCCACCTTCACAGTACTCGAGCGCCATCCAGATGTGCAGCTCCGTTTTGACCACCTCGTACAACTTGACGATGTTCTTGTTCTTGAGCTGCTGGTGGTAGTAGATTTCCCTGACGATGTTCGGGTCGTCCAAGAGGCCGCATTTAAGCACGACATTGACGTTCAACAAGACGTGGCGAGCCAAGTACACTTTGCCAAAAGCGCCCTCGCCAATCTCCTCCACGATCTTGTAGTTCCCTATCTGCGACACCTCAGGCAGCGTCATGTTGAGGTAGAATTCGTTGAATTGGGCGGCTAGCTGAGCCGTATTGTTGTTTTCGTGCGCACGTGACGGAAGCGCCGACATCTCGCTGCGTTGTAAGAGGCCGAATCCGGGTTTTCTGGAGAAGTAGTAGTAGTAGTAGGAAAGTGGTGATGGTATACTGCAGGAACGCTGACCACACCGTTGGGGACAATTGCCGAGCCGGTACAGAGGGGATTTTGGGGGTGGTTTCGGTGGTGGATTTTTGATGATTTTTTTGGGAATTATGGAGATTTGGGTCGGTGGAGGTGTGGGTGTGTTTTGTGTTTTAAGTGTGGGTTCAGTGTAGGTGCATCAGGTGTGTGGATGAGATGGAAGGATTTAACCGATGGGGAAGTTGGCCCGATTGAATTACGAAAATTGGTATTTTAAGGCTTCTGTCCTACGGGACTTCCCAAAATGTTCTGTCATTTCTTCAAAAACCACATCCAGCTCGGCTGTGTTCAGGGTGGCTGGTTTCGCAGCCAGTAGACCCTTCATGCGGCGCAGACCGTGAAGGTGTTTTTCCGGAAACAATTGAATGGTGATGGAATTTTGGAGATTTGCTTACAAAAGGATTTAAAGCTGAAATTGCCGAGGAGGATGTATGGAGGTGTTTGGACGGTGTGTTTTGGTGTGTGGTGGTGGTACAGTGAAGTGGGGTGACATCGATGGGGAGTTTTTCAGGGAAGTGAAGAAAAGTGATCTAAGGGTGCCATTTGGACAATTCTGTGATGCTTATTTTCCAAACTTCAGAAATCTTGAAGGTGTGACAGGTTATGTCGTTCTCTAGCTCTGAGGTATACCCACCTACAATGTATCAACACACCACATTTCAATTTGACAGATCCGTGAAATTTCAGTTCATTGTGAATATTTACGATATTCATTTGACAGAAATGAAGTGCTCCCGGAGATATCACGCCTGTTGTTTGCTTTTGTGATATATTTTTCAGTGACCCTGTGTGGCAATTTGCAACCATTGATACGACACCGGAGCATCCCAAACCACATCCACACAGGCACCCCAAAACCTATCTAACCAACCACATTCCCTCGATATCAATCTCCAAACTCTCAAAATCTCATAACTCAAACCAATCAATTTTCAAACTTTGCAATGCCACAGTGATCCGGGGTCGCTTCTGTACCTCCATACACACCGTTGATGCTCATCACTACTACTGGCTTTCGAGAGATGCTCCTTGCTGCGCTACGCACGCGGCATATCACGGCGTTCCGATGCCACCATCGGCTTCTCCGACCCCTAAAACCCCTCCTGGCCCGTTTTCTCGCCTCCGCTAGCCCGTCTGCACCAGAAATACCGAAACCGAACCTCCACAAGAACCAGGAACCAATAGATCAGCTCCGGCAAATCACACAGTACTCGCTACATTCGTTGCGCCAGCGTCTTACGGATAAGAAGTTGACGTACCCTTTTGATGACCTCAATCACTGGTCGCCACAGATCATAGATCGCAACCTAGCTCGATTCCAGCAGAACATCTACAAGGAGTATGAGCTCTTTCTAGAAAGCCCGCTGAGGCTCGAGGAGGTGACCAACATTTCATTAGCAGACTACTTCAAGCCAAGGCTCGACAAAATAGCCCCGCTTATATACTCCATCCACCTCAACATGTACCCAGACGATCTTGCAAAGTTCAATGGGTACACAAAGAAGCTGGAGATCATCACAGATATACTCACGAATTTGCTAAGTCAGGATTACGCTGAGAGGCGTCTTGTGGAAGAGGGTCCAGAACATCGCCAATTATGGGACCTTCTGGCTCCTGCTGAATGGTACCCCAAAGCCAGGCGGATGAAAAGAAAGATCGTGATGCATGTGGGACCCACAAATTCCGGAAAAACCTACAATTCCCTTCAAGCTCTCTCCAAGGCAAAGCTGGGCTACTACGCTGGTCCGCTTCGTCTTTTAGCACGTGAGATCTACGAAAGATTCCAGGAACAGGGCATAAGCTGTAACCTCATCACGGGTGAAGAGGTTATTCCTTCTTTGGACGAGTTTGACAATGTCACAGAGCTCTCGTCAGGCACCATCGAGATGGTTCCCCTCAACAAGATCATGGACATTTGCATTATAGACGAGATCCAGATGCTTGCAGACCCTTTACGGGGTTCGGCATGGACGAATGCTGTTTTGGGTGTTCAGGCCAAAGAGCTTCATTTGTGTGGTGAGCCTAGTGCCGTTAATCTTGTAAAGGAGCTCGTGAAGAATACAGGTGATGAGCTACATGTGAAGGAGTACCAGCGCTTGGGTAAATTGACCGTTGAAAACAAACACCTCAACGATTTGAAGCGTCTTCGTCCTGGCGACTGCGTTATTGTATTTTCCAAAAGAAAGATTCTAGAGCTCAAGTGTGAAATCGAGAACAAGACAGATTTGAAGGTGGGGGTCATATACGGCGCTCTTCCTCCAGAAATCAGATCGAAGGAAGCCAGCTACTTCAACTCCGGCCAGTACGATGTTCTTGTCGCTTCTGATGCCGTTGGAATGGGTCTCAACTTGCGAATCAAGCGTATCGTGTTCGGGTCAATGATGAAGTTTGATGGCACGGAAATGGTGCCATTGTCTGTTTCAGCCACAAAGCAGATAGCAGGACGAGCGGGCCGGTATAGTGCCTCCGCTGGAGAGCTGGAGGGTTTCGTCTCGGCTCTACATGTGAGAGACATGAGGCTTCTCAAGAGCCAAATGAAGCAGGATCCAGAGGAGTTGCTGAAAGCCTGTGTTTGGCCTCCCAGGGAATTCTGGACCTACTACCTTTCTTCGTTTCGACACCCAGTGCCGTTATCGCAAGCCATCAAAAAGTTTGATGAACAGGCGTCCAAGTACAAGTTGGATGCGTACTTCTACATGGACTTCGAGCGTCAGCTCGAGCTTCTCGAGGCAGCCGTCAGCGGAGGCTTAGAGAAGCAAATCTCAATCGAAGACCAGGTCACGCTTATGGTGACGCCGGTCAATTTTAGAGGAGTTGGACCAGAGGTTGCCGAAACATGCATCAAGTTTTTCCAGGCCATTCTGAAGTGCGAGCCCAAAACCGTATTTGATTTTGACTTTTTGCATCTTTCTGTTCTTCGGCAAAGACCTTCAGTGGCTGGCTCACCGCAACAGATTCTAGATTGTCTTTCAGCTTTGGAAATCGACCACAAGTTGGTGCTCTGCTTCATGTGGTTGTGTCAGAGATGGCCGACCATTTTCGTCGACAAAGAAAGCGCTCACGAGATCAAAACTATGGTCGAAAAAAGAATAAGCGAAGAGCTCGTGTGTCTCAGAAAAGTATCCAAAGGAAACACCAGACAGCTCTGGATGCAAAAAGACGACCTGCGTTCCCCAAACGCAGACATGTCGCGGGGCAATACAACAGTTCCCGCGATCGGAAAAACCTAGGTGGGGCACATCGCGGGGCCGATCTCCGAATAACACCCACTAGCATCGGAGAACTGTTTTGGAGGACGCCTATCGGGACTCGTCACCCGAAATGCCCGAAAACGGCCAGTTCCAGCGCTCCTGAGCCACCGGAATCGGCCATTTCTTGGGTATCCTGTACATAGTCCACAGAGTCCCCCACGTCCCAACACTTTCTCCAGAATCTTCAACCACCTCCCACTAATTGCTGTCCAACACATCCATGAGTACCGTTATCGTCGTCGGCGGACCTGCCGGAACAGGAAAAACTACCGTGGCGGAGCTTCTCTCCAAGCACTTCAACGACTGTCCTTTTGTTGAAGGCGATGCTTTGCACCCACAAGCCAACATCGACAAGATGTCTGCGGGCCAGCCTCTTACCGACGATGACAGATGGGGTTGGCTTCAGAACTTGAGTGAAGCCGCTGCTCAGAAGGCCGTCGAGTCTCCACAGAAGGTGTGCATTGCCTCTTGTTCGATGTTGAAGAAGGTGTACAGAGACCACATCAAGAAGAGTGCCCACCACGTCGATCCGCTGTTGAAGTTCAAGTTTGTTTTCCTCTGGACGACATACGAAGAGTTGATGCAGAGAGTCAGCAGTCGGGCGGGTCACTTCATGAAGCTGGACATGGTGCGTTCTCAGTATGACATTATGGAGGTTCCCAAGGACGAGGAGCTTATCGCTAATGGCGGGGACTCCTTGGATGTGGACACTTCTGGCAGGACGCCGCAGGAGATCACCAGCGGAGTGATTGCAGACATTGGCATTTAAGATAATAAAAGTTTAGATTTGGTGATGAAGTGGTTGTAGATGCATTGGCGCTAGCGGGTGGAAGTGACTTGACGTTTAAGAATGTATTCAAGTGCTTCAAAGGAATTGCCTAGGCGGTCCATCTGCCACATCTCTCAGTATGCTGTATTTGGCAAAACGTCTGGTCGAGATCACACCTTGCATAAGACCGCCTTATCTCTAAGTTCGACACGGTGATAAGAATTGTCAAAACACATCATTGTATCTACCAAGAGAAATGTACAGATCCAGCCGTGAATCGTGTGTTTTGTTTGTCAGAACATTGAGCAGCACACAATGGCGATGAGCACACAATAGCCATTGTGGACCTTGGATCACAGCCGCGTGGATTGTGTGGATGTCAACAAGTGGTCAATGTGGTTCTAGGGGTGGCTTGTTTGGGTATTTTGGGTGAAGTTTTGCAGGGTGGCTAAGGCCATTTCTGGAAGTCTAGAAAGAAAGTGGCCCTGGCAGATTACGCAATTCAGTATGAAATCCTGAAAGAGGTTCTTTTTGGGAGATCCTAGTAGAGGTTCATTTCACTTTGAGCCCAAATGGGCGAGCTCGAAACAAAATTTTCAATTGAATGGGTGTGTCAGGTTTACAGGGTCAAGAACACTAAAAACAGTACCACAATTGCCAACCACTATTCCACAGTTCCCTGAGATAGATCTACTTCAAATACATGCATTCTCCCAACAATCCGACCAATGAGGCTACTCCTGAACCAGATGTGGCCTCCATAAACTTTAAGCTCGTGGAAGCCCCGTTGATCAGTAGAACCCCAATTTCGACATGTCCAATACACAGCAAACCAGCTCTCCAATCCAGAGGATCCGATTACTCTTACCCAATCTCAAACTACAGTATTCATTTTCAAAACTGTTCCCCAGCTTCGTTTTCCAACTTCGTCCTCCCCAGCAACTCCCACTTACGCCGGTTTGCAGCCAACCTAAGCCGAGACCAGACTTCCCGGTGGGGCGAGCAACAAACAGCACCAGACGTTCCAAAAGGGGCCTTTTCAAAATCAAAAAATTCAAATCCGCTCAGTAGTGCCTTTTCGCAGCCAGACGTCAGCCAAGCCCGCCATTAGGCCATTCCACATTGGAGCAGCCAAGCCCAGCGAGCTGAAAAAAGGCAGTACCCAGCGGTACCAGGCAACACACCAAAACGAAACCCAGCACGAATTTGCCAAAACCAACTAAATCAACCAAAGCCTGAAAAACACAAATAAAAAAACCAGCTTTCAAAAAACGTATCAGTTTTAAAAAAAAACGCAATCCAAAAAATCCAATCGAGGCCATCAGCCCCGGCCTTTTACCCGTTTCGCAGCCGGCGAGCACTACCGAGGCTTCGTAGCTCCATCGCAACCAGAGGTCAAACCCCCAGTCCGAGTACCACTTGCACCACTCAGACCGCCCCTGGCCTTCCCTCCCACGCGGCTGCATTTTCGAAGCAGTCTTCCGACGGCATTTTTCAAAGAGCCTAAATCTCAAACCCTTCTTTAAAACCCACTCCTTCAATCCTTCAATCACCCACTTCCACCACACCACCACCTTCATGACTAAACAACGAAAGGTGGCGGTGATCACGGCAGGCAACTCCGGCGTCGGGTGGCACACCGCCCACGAGCTCTACGTCCAGGGCTACGTGGTCTACCTAGCTGGTCGTTCCAAAATGCGTTGTATGAAGCTGATCCACGAGATCGAGACCGTGGCAGACAGCCTGGGCGGAGAGCTCCATTTTCTCGAGTTGGACTTGGCTCTGTTGGACCTGGTGCTTGCGGCGGCTACGGCGCTCAAATCCATGGAATCCCATTTGGACGTGTTGGTCAACAACGCTGGGGTGATGGGTCTTTCGCCGGCCACCACCCCGATCTGTTTGAACTACAGCTCCAGACAAACTACGTGCTGCAGTTTTTGCTCACCACAAAGCTCTTGCCGTTGCTTGAACGTGCCGCCGACATGGACCCGGACGGTGACCCTCCCCGAGTGCTCTACCTCTCCTCCGTGGGCCACCGCTTGGCCTTCCGCTACTTCAACCTCGGCCTGACCTTCGACTACCACCCGGACGCCATCTTCACGTGGTTCCGCTATGCCATGGCGAAAACCGCCGGGATCCACTTTATGAAAATGCTCGCCTTGAGAAACCCCAGAATCCTCTGTGTGTCCGTGCAGCCGGGCTTCGTCATGAACACAAACTACTTCAGCTACTGGACCCGCTTACCCATCATTGGCATTTTGTTCTGGTGCTTCTTCCAGCTTTTCGGCTACTTCTTCGGTGTCACTGTTGAGCAGGGCGCCGATGCCTTGGTCGCTGGCGCCTTGGACCCGCAATTGACCTTGGAGGAGCACAGCGGCGCCACTTTGGGCAAGGACGGCAAGAAGGTTTCCTGCTCGAGTGTTGCCGGCAACATGGACTATGCTGCACGTTCCTGGATCTGGACCATCCACCAGTTGGGCAAGCGGCACATTGACCTCTAGGTTTGTTCTGCTGCATTTTAATTACAAAACTACGTTTCACCTCCATCAACGACTAACGGTCGTTAATTTGGCTTCTGGCCGACGGTCGTTAACTTGGCTTCTGGCCTCCGACTAGCTTCATGCTACCATGATACCATCCACCTTTCCATTCCATCACATTTATTTTAATTTCTGCATTCCCATAATAAATTCAGCTCACCAAATTTCAGTCTACCAAATGTATTATTTTTTTCTTTATTGTTGGCTATACCCACATCATCAACTGATCTATTGGGCACGCCCGGAATATATAGAACTTGAATAGACTAAGTACATCACAACTTGGAGTCGTGGTCAACGCGCTCAATGACAATGGCAGAAGCACCACCGCCACCGTTACACACACCGGCAACACCGATCTTGCCGCCCTCTTGGTTCAACACAGAAAGCAAGGTGACGATGATTCTGGCACCAGAACAGCCCAATGGGTGACCCAAGGCAACAGCACCACCGTAAACGTTCATCTTGTTGTGAGGAAGGTTGCAAATCTTAGCGTTGGCCAAACCAACAACGGAGAAGGCCTCGTTGACCTCGTAGAAGTCAACCTCGTCCTGGCTGACGGAGGCGTGCTTCAAGGCCTTTGGCACAGCCAAAGATGGAGCCACAGTGAAGTCAATAGGCGTTCTGGCGGCCTCGCCCCAGCCTCTGATCTTGGCCAATGGGGTCAAGCCCAACTCCTTCAACTTGGCCTCGGAGACCAACACCAAAGCGGCACCACCGTCGTTCAACTTGGAGGCGTTAGGGGCGGTCACGGTACCGTTCTCCTTCTGGAACACGGTTCTGGCGGACTTCAAACGGTCCTCGTTGAGGTTGGCAGGCTCCTCGTCCTCAGACACAACCTTGTCTGGCTTACCTCTGAAGCCCTTGATGGTGACTGGGGCGATCTCACTCTTGAACTTGCCGTTGGTAGTGGCAGCCTGGGCACGGTGGTAGGAGGCCAAGGCAAACGCGTCCTGGTCGTCTCTGGTGATGTCGTAGTCCTTGGCACACTTCTCGGCAGCCACACCCATCAACTTCTGGTCGTACACGTCCAACAAACCGTCCTTCTGGACACCGTCCACCATCGCAGTGTCACCGTAACGGGCACCGCCACGGGCCAGTGGAACGTAGTATGGCGTGTTCGACATGGACTCGGCGCCACCAGCAACCACAATGTCGGCGGTTCCGGTCAAGATGGTCTGTGCACCCAAGATGACAGCCTTCATGCCCGAGGCACAAACCTTGTTGATGGTCGACGCCACCACGGACTCAGAAAGACCAGCTTTCAAGGCAACCTGACGGGCGGGAGCCTGGCCAACGTTGGCCTGCAAGACACCACCAAAGATGATCTCTTCAACCTGGTCTGGCTTAATCTGGGGCACTTTTTCCAAAGCAGCCTTGACGGCGTGGGCACCCAAGTCTGGGTAGGTGAGCGAGCTCAACTGGCCCTGGAACGAGCCGATCGGCGTTCTGGAGGAAGCGACAATGTACACTGACATGATGTAAAAGAAAGTGGTTGGTGGTTGATGGTTTTTCGCGAGACGCTTTATACCGCGCTATACGAGGTGGTTCCGAGGTTGAGGGGAGGTGGGGAAGCCGGGTATTATACGTAGATTTGGGTGGCAATTGTGAAATAAAATGATAGGGAAGTAGGGAATTGGATATGGTTGATCATATTTCCGGGCCCAAGTGTTCGGTATTGGTGGATCTCTTATTGGACATGGAGAAGTGGGTATGCAGTATGGTCCAACGGCCCACAACGGGAGGTGTCTAGTTTACGGGTAATTTACGATATCAATGTAATTTGGGATGGTAGTAAATGAATGAATTGGTGATGATTGTTTGTCTGTAACGATTTATGGTTTTGGGTATGGTGGTTGTTTCATACGTGGGAGGCTTGTGCAGCTCGAGGTGAAATTTGTCATGTCGGTGAAAAATTGAAGATAACGGGGGAAAGTGTATTTGAGGAGATACGTTGATTGTTTTTTTAAGGTTTTAGACAACATTTGCTGAAATTTTTCTCGTGGAGGGCCTACATGAAAAGCTAAGGCTTGATCCCACATTCCAATTGTACAAGAAGCTAGGATGCTTAGGGGGATAAGGTATTCGTAAAAGCTTATTTGGCTGGATCCCATAAAGCTTTCTATTAGTTGTGCTAGACAAAGTACATGTCCACTTATACCATTTTGAGTTTGAGGTCATCGTATCACTATGGTCTGATGGTGCAATGGGCATCAAACATGATTCGAAGCACCAATCGAAGTGATTGCTGATTTCTATGGATTGTCTCACTAAACGCATGGGTTTATCCATTCTGAATCTAATCGAACATTGTGCTTTGCTGCTATGGCTCATTGGCTGCAAATGCTTCATAAGCTTGTAAGCATTCAAACCCATGAATAGACCGGTCAATTGTTTCAGAAAACTGTTCATTTTCGATTTGATGGTCAAAAACTAGACATTTTTTCTCTCAGAGTTGTCCAACTTTTGCATTCTTGATATGGTTCAGCCGTGTCCCACTTTGCTAGACCTTTACTATGCGAAAGCACCTACACCATCTACAACACCACCAACAGCAACGACTGAATCACCGAACTCCATTCTACCTTCAACTTACAAATAATAACACAAACATTTTCCCAGAATTTCTATCACCCATCTCCGTCAAAGGCCAAATTTCATTCACGTGACTGCCGGCTTATCACTTGCTTCCTCGTTCCAACTACACCTTCTTCACTTCTTCTCCATGTTGCCTATAAGACGCCTTGCAGCGTTCCCGAAACCACATACGCGTCTCTCGTACGCGTGGATCCACAACTCTGCCCCGCGTATGCTTTTCAACAAACAGCCTACCCCACAAACTCCGGCTCCAGAAAACAAGAAGCAAATCGATCATAAGGCCTTTGATAAACACCCTATTTTGAGCAAAGTTCCCAGATTTTTGAGACCTTGGACAACACAATTCATACACGCTCCAGTCTCTCATGTGACTGCTTTTCTTGTGCTTCATGAACTCACTGCCATAGTGCCCTTGGTGGGTATATGGTACATGCTTCATTCGTACCATGACTTGCTTATGGTGTCCTCATTAGACTTGCCTTCTTGGGCCATCGAAAAGGGAACTAAAATTATAGATCTGGCTATGGAGTCATTTGATTGGGGAACTACTCGTTGAATGAAAAGGTTCAAATCATCATGGAAGGTGCTTACGCTTATGTTATAGTGAAGGCGCTTTTCCCAGTCAGACTAGCTTTCAGTCTATTGGGAATGCCATGGTTTGCAAAATGGTTTGTTTTGCCAATCACCAGATTGTTTTCTAGAAAACGCAAAACTCCTACTCCACCAGTGGAGGCACCAAAGGCACCAACTCAGCACAAGGTGAAGAAGATAGAGAAACCAAGACTATAATCTACAACGGCCAAAGGCGTTCAACTTTTTTAGCATTCATCATGACAACATAAGCAAAATTAGACATTAGATGTCAGTATGTGTAGCGAGCAGCGCAACGTTTACTCTAATGTGACCTCCATCTCTGCGGGGCTCATTGGCACAAACGAGTCCAAGCTGTTTCCCCTCGTGATCTTCAATCTATCCAATGCATGCTTGGGAACCAACACCAGATTCAAGGAAGGCTCCACGGACATCTCACGGTCATCAAAATCAAACAACTCCGGCAAGTCGCGCACATCAGGCTGATTAGAATACAATTGGTAGTTGGCGTTATTCTGATGTGGGTGGTGCGAGGAGTTGCTGTAGATTTGTTGGCTGAACAATTTCCTGTAATTAGGCAACTTTGTGTTGTCATCCCTCAACTCGTCAAAGTAAGGGTCGGCCAAGGCCTCAATGCACGAGATTCTATCGACAGGAGAGTACTCCAAAATCTTCATTATGAACTGAACACAGTCGTTGGGGTTCTTCCTGAAGATCTTCGACAAAGGCACAGGCTTGATCAGTGGGAATTTGTACTCGGTATAATTTGGGTTCATATTCTTGATCTGTTCTCTTGTGGGCGTGCCCAAAATCTTAATGATTTCAACCAATTGGTCAACACCAGACTCACCAGGGAATAAGGGCTGGCCAAAGATTAATTCGGCCATGACACATCCTGCAGACCAGACGTCGATCTTGGTAGTGTAGTTGGTTGCGCCAAAAATTAACTCTGGAGCTCTGTAGTACCTAGAACAAATGTATGACACGTTGGGTTCCAGAGGGTTGAGGATTTTGGCCGAGCCAAAATCACACAATTTGAGCACACCAGTCTCTGGATCAATCAACAAGTTTTGGGGTTTGATGTCTCTGTGACAAATGCCCTGGGAGTGTATGTAGTTCAAGGCCCTGAACATTTGGTAAGTGTATAACTTCACTTCCAAAGAGGGCATGCTAAGTCTTTTGGAAACATAGTAATGCGATGCTTTGTATAATGTCTCGGGGACAAATTCCAAGATCAAGTTCAAGAACAACTCGTTTTTGTCATTGTTGGTGTAGAAGTAGTACCTCAAGTCAACGACATTACGGTGATGCACCAACTTCATGATTTGAAGCTCTCTGTTTTTGAATCGCTTATCCTGCAAGACCTGCTTGATGGCAGCAATCTCATTGGACGGTAAGAGCTGAGTCTGAAACACCACACCAAAGGACCCGTGGCCTACCATCTGGGACTTGGTGTACTGAATTGACTCGAGCTTCCCCGTCAGACCGTTGTTAACATTCTCAGTTATGACTTCTATTTTGGACATGTTAGTATGTGTGACACTTTGTCGAGAGGGACGGGAGAAACGAGATCACTTTGGACTGGGGAACTGGGAGCAAATGGAGGCGGAGCCGTGGTAATTGAATGAGTGAAGTGCTCTTTGGTCGAAAAGGACACGTTTCAAGCAGTGAGATCACAGGTGGTAGAGAGCCTATGTTGGCCTATCGTGAAGAACAGAGCGGAGACGTCAATCGTGAGTGGATATGGGTATTTGACCCCAGGATGCGTGCCGACCACTAAACTTCGGAAATAACACTGATGCGGGTCCAAACGAGGTTCAATTCGTGCTGGACTTGACTTTTCTCTTCTATGGATCCGTAAATCACAAAGGGTAAACCCCAGAAAAAACAAGGCCTTGAATACTCGCGGGTGTTGCGACCAGGTTTAGGTCACGCAGCAAATTTGGGCGCGCACGACTTTCTGCCACGATCGACTTCACCATCGATAGACTTCTCCCAGGGTGGGGTTGCCGCGGTGCACGACATCCTGCGGGGCTGACGTAGTCTCGCCGCAGGGATAACAAGGGGAGAACTGGGCCAGATAGCAAATCACGTGTCGCAAACTGCCACGTGTGCCTTTCTCTGAAGCTTTTTTCCACAATTAGGCCCTAACGTCTCCGACATTGAATCCTAGCGGAAACACCCGATCAGCTCAGCGGAACAAGCTGCTGCAGCAGCACCCTTTCCTGCACTGGACCGTCGCTCTTTAGCCAGCTTTGCAATGCGCCCTTATTCATCTTTCCTGCATGGAAATCGTGATGATGCCGGTCTGCAAAACCCCGCAAAGGAAACACTCGAATATTGATCACGAGAAGCGGCACCGTCGGCAAGTGGATCTTAGGCGAGAAGTTGTCATTATCGTCAACTTCAATGAGGCTTCACCAACAAGTCTCATGGCACCAATACGCGACCGAGACCACTTATGCTGCCCTGCATATGTGTGGGGAAGAGATGCTTCTCCACAAGTTACGAAGGATTTTGCAACGCAAGCCATTGGTGGTTTCAGGCTCGCTATTTGATCAGCCAAATTTCGCCAATTCTACGTGCTCGTAAAAATGCTGCACCCTGTGCGGCATCCTGCCCGAGCCTGAAAGCGAGTATGCCCTATAGTGGCCAACCTGGCCGACCCACCGCGTTTGGTAATTCTGCTTCCCCACCTTGCAATTTCTTCGATTTCGGTTCCTTGATTTGGTTATGATTGTTGGTCCCTGTGGTTTCCCTTTGTGCTTCAACTGCGAATGACATAACTCTACGTCTCTGTTCTGTGATCTCAATGTGGAGTGGGCTGGGGAATTCTTAGGTATGTGGAATTTGTAATTGTGGGAAGTTCTCTGGCATTGGATTGTCTCGATCTGGGATTGCGGATGGATCTGGTTTCTCTGGAAATGATGGATCTGGATTCTCTGGAAATGATGGATCTGGATTCTGGAAGGATCTCTATCTCTCTCTCTTATCTCTCAAGTATACGTACCAATTTGTTCGCTCATCCTGCGAGCTGATTCGGAATTCTTCATCAACCCGGTCTTTGCGCCCCGGTTGAATGTCATTAGCAGCCGTGTCTGGTCATACGACTGGGTCCGCTGGAGGTCTGTGCTGTCTTGAGCGACGGTGTGCCTGTGGGGCATGATCATGTCACGAAGCTTCAGCGAGAATGTCAGCTTGCGAGGCTTCTCCAACGTCTGCACCGAGTTCTGGCGGGGTTTCACGCCGCTGTGGACCGAATTCTCTCTCGCCTTGGACGCTATGGAGTTGACTCTGGATTTGGGCTCGTGTTCAGAAACCAACGTGCTCTGGTCGCCAAAGGGGTTGTTGAAGCGGAACCCGTCCGTGTTGGCGTTCCCGTTGGCGTGGGCAGTGCCGTTAGCATTGCCGTTGGAAGGCTCCACCTTGGCTGGAGCACCCATGGGACCCAGATTCTGCGTGCTTCCGGAGTTCCCCGTCGCCACCGAGTCTTGCCTGCCTCTGGGCTGGTTCTGAATGATGGGTAGCGTTGTGTCCACGACGGTGGAGCCGTTCTTCTTCAAGTCTCTGCGCTCCTTCTGCTCTTTCCGGAGCTCTTTCCGCTCCTTACGGTCCTCCTTGCGGTCGTCCCGGCGCTCCTCACGGCGGGCCCGCCTCTCCTCCCTGCGTGCCTTGCGGTCCTTCTTCTCCATCTTCTCCTTGACGGTCATTTCGCCTGTCTCCACGTCAATCTCGGTAACGAACGTCTTTTTCGTGCCCGGGTTCTTGAACCCTTGAGGTGCTTGTTGGCCTTCAGATACACGGGCTTGTCGCCAATCATCTCCTTGATCTCGGGCGTCAGGTAGTCATAGTTGTTGAGGAACTTGGGGTAGTACTTGAAACAGCCAAACTTGCGCTCCAACTCGTCGTAGTCCAAGCACTTGATGAAGTCCTCGTCCGTGGGCGAGTCCAGCGCGGTGTTGCTGGAAACGTGGAGTTTTCCTATGCCTTTAAGAAGGGTAGTCATTTGGCACGGTTACAGAGGTTGGAGGCGGGGCAGGGCCTTTTATAGTCGGTTACGCTTTCTGGCAGGCAGGCAGGTGGGGAAGCCTCAGGCCTGACGGATGAGTACACCAGAAAAAATACGAGACAAAGTATAACCCGGTGTGGCCTGTTGCGTGGTTTTCATAAATTTTGAAAACAATACTTTTTTAAAAAATTCTAAAAGTTGTTGAATTTATTTACTTCTTCTAGAGAGACTGCTGTTGTTTTGCTCTGCGGCTTTGCGTTTCGCAGGTCCAGCAGCAACGGCTATATATTTTGGAATGCGCTGCCTGGATCTAGGTAGAGGTTGTGAGATGCTGATAGTGGGGGTATGTTTTCGAGATTTTCCACTTTTTGAAAAACTTTTTTTAAACTACTTCCTCTTCTTCATCCTCACCCTGCCATCACAGCCTTTCCATTGTTCAGCTGGTCGCAATTCTCGGCTTGTTTGTACCGTTGTCTCATTATCGAGAGGGTCTGAGGGGAACGAAGCAGCCGAGCCGTCTTCTTCTCTTATGTAGATGAACAATCATTTTGGAGCAGATTCTTCAGAACAGATTTCTCCAAAATAGTCTTCTTCGGCTTCTTTTAACAAATATCGCCAGCTCAGTGGAAAATGAAAACGGCCCGACCACCCGAATGCCGTTCGGTCCATTGTTCTCAACGGCTGACCAAAAATACAAGTATACATGAAAACGGAGCAAAAAGGCTTTTTGTGCTTTAGCGAGACGTCGTGGTTGCTTTTGCCTCAGGTCCTGGTGCCGTTGAAAACCGGCTTGTTCTAGAAAACGGCAGAAAGCCAAAAAGGCTTAGTTTCCAACAATGCTCTACAGACATAGGCTAGAGTTTGACGAATGAAAGTTCCTAGATGAGCTTTTGCCTGGAGATGGTCCAGGGTGAGTTTTGCGGCGGCGGTTCAAGAAAATATTCGTATTCTGGGCCGCCGCAGCGCCGCAACGTCGATGCTTTGATCTTTTTATTTTACATCCTCGTTTGAGCTTGAAAGTTTGAAAATCACCTTTGGCTTCGTTAATCCAAGGGTGGGTGCGGGTGAGGTAATGGCGCTTAGATCGGCTTACGTAGCGTGGATCCGGTTATCCGCCGGAGAAAGCGCAAAACAGCCACCCGGACGGCGCCTTTGTTTCAGAGATAAGAACAAGAAGTGCTTTGGAATTGCAAGATGTAACATTTGGGAATCTTGAAATCTGTTCTGGTGTCTTTTGGTTGGCTGGGTGGTTGGAGTTTGACAGGGACTCTCTGCACCCTCGCGTTTGCAGCCATTCACGAAGGACATATTGCGGATTGGTCGGAAAGTGCTTTAGTGACACCACTGAAGGGTCGGCAAAGGGGGAAGCCGATTTCAAAATAATTAGCACTATTTCCCTCCTCTCTCGTTCTATAACTCATCTCGGTACTTTTTTGCTCAATTCAGCAGAAACACCTCCCTTCTGGGGCGGCATCGCAACATTGCTATGGAGACCCCGGAAAACCGTTGAACCTGTAGATGTTCCCTCCTCGATCTGGAAATAGCCGACCTGCTTCTCTGCTGTATCCGGTCATCACTGGACCGTTGAGGGCTGTGCTTTTCAGGTCATCCGTCTAGATGTCTGGGGTACATTGTTTCGGTTAGAGAGGTATTTTGTGTGGTTCTGAACTCAAGCTGCTGGAAATCCAGAAGGACGATTGGCTCTAGGGTCTCTGTTTAGGCCCAGTGCCTCTAGAATACAGAGACCGCTTAAAGCTGGCGGTCAAATGGAACATCTGCCGTAGACACTTTATTTTCTTCGGTTATTAAGTTGATCGATTGAATCGGCTTCGGGCCCGAATGCGACTGGCAATGTGCATTGGCCTGAAGTACCTGGCTGGAATGACCAATGAAGACAGGGAATTTTGAGAAAATAAGAGTTGCCGGTGTAAATAAACCAACCATCCAATCATACTTTGACACATCAGCTTTAGCGTGGCGGTACAAAGGAAAGCTTGTAGCCTAGCCCTCCTTATTCGACTTTGGCAAAACCCGTTGGCTTCGATTGGGCCAACAAGCGTGATGAACCAGGTGAACACGTCAGCGGTGAGTTGACGTTTCTGCTAGGGAAGCACTTGCCATGTCAAACTTTCCTCATTTGGTACGAAGGGTCATGCAATGAATTTCGAAACGGCCAAGTGGTCACGACAGACACGTAGGAATCGTTTAAATTGAGAATCTCTTATTTCGAAAAGTAGTAAAACACCCCCTTTCGATGAAGCTCCCAAGTCAGAGAGCTGCTCCGGCTGAGAGCCCACCACAGAAGTTGACCACAATCTTCCAGTTTCGTAACTTTAGAAGAGATTTCACCCGTCAGTTAGATGACATAGTCGGTGCTCTAAACGAGCAGGTCTTCTCGTTCCGAACAATAGGCTTGTTGCTTCAAGGTGAGCATCACCAAGTCACAGAGTTCGTTGTGAAGACCCCAGACTTGGCTGACGATCCTGACCTGAAGCTTCATGTTGAAAAAGCTCGTACAAGAAACGGTGTAACCAGCTTTGGGGCAGGGCCGAATTTTGCAAACAACATGCTTGTTTTTGAAGTGCTTCATACATACCACAAATTTGACTGGTCGAACCTCGAGATGCCTATGCCAATAGTAGGGAGATGCGCCTTGGCTGTCGGAGAAGAGAGGCAGATTTTCCCAGGTCCAAAGTTCCCTATGTCGCATCAGCTCTATGGATTTGGGTCTGAATTGGAGAAGGGCTCAACTCATTATCATGCACTGAGCGGTGGAAGTTTTAAATTTGAAGCACACTTTGAGCAAGTCCCGTGGATCCGTCAAGAGCCTTACTCTCGTATTGTGCTTCCCGGGATGTATGTACCAAGCTTCCTTTTCTTGAGTGTAAAGGTTGCCCATCGTCGTATTCTTGATATGTTGCTCGAGGAGCCTTTACACTTGACCAATGTCCGTGTGGAGTTTCAAGAATTCAGTTGCGTACCTAACAAGTACCTTCAATCGACAGAAGTCCGGAGCAAGGTGCTAGTCGACAAGAAAATATCCATGGAGATCTTCCGAGTTAACAGGTTACTCACACTACCCGATAACTTCTATGATTGTGTGATTCCAAAAGTGGGCCCACGTTTTTCACTGAAGGCTTCATTAGAACATACGGGTTGAAAATCACAGTAGCACTTTCCCACAAAAGTGGTCCCAGCTTCAATGCTTCTGCGTTTGTCGAGCTCAATGTGGCACAGGAGAAGTATGAAAGAATCCATGAGAAGGACATATTCAACCCACGCTATATGGGAACTGACGGAATCGAAACTTGTTATGGCACGCATAGCTCGTTGAAGCCTTTCCAAACATCTGAACCAACTGACGATAGCTTGTCATCCTTCAGCCGTCTAAATGCAGATGAAGCTACCGGAAAGTTCCAACGATACTGCTTCCTGATGCACAACAACCGCGAGAAAGGATGCTTCTTACTATCGGCCGATATCATGAAGGGACCGAAATTCGCTGATAGCAGAAGTGAACCAAAAAGTGACTTTCTTCAAAGTTCGTTGAAGTTACAGAAGTGGCTCGGAAGCCCCACATGGTTACCAAGTCGGAAATGTCTCTGCTCTGGCTTGGCAACCAGGAGGATTACTCTGCCCACTTTTGGAGCTGGTTCCAGCCGCTTCATACCCCTTACTGCTCCTTGTTTAGTAGTTAATGGTCAAGTCATTGAAGCGAACTCACCGAGAGCTTTCACGCAGCTGATCAGGTCATACCCGTACCCATCATGTCCTTTGGGTGAAGAAGGGATCCCACTTTCGATAGTAGTGTCGCTGAATGGGCGTACTTTATATCACCGATCGAGAGAAGAAACTTTTTTATGCGCTACTCCGGGGATGGAGCTAGATAAGTTTGCCGTCTGTAAGTTCATTGTGGCACGGCCCTTCAAGGATGCTAGCCGGTATCAAAAAGTAGAGGACACGGGCATTCGTTTGGAACACATCAGAATCACATTATTGGAGGAAAGATATGAAAATGGCAAGAAATTTGAGGAAAGTACACCCTTGCTAGACGGCCACTTCCCGTGCACGATAAGATGGAGCGAGTTTCAGGATGCTGTTATCGGTAGTCCAGAAGCTCGTACAAGGTCAATACCTCCAGGTTTTCTCGACTGCAGAATTCCAATCGACACAAAGCCTTCTCTCTTTTGTTTCAAGAAGGGCCTTGCTCGCTGGCATGAGTTGGATTGCAGCTTTGTTGTGTCTAATCTGGGGCGTAGATACACCCTTCATTGCAGACATCAACTTTATATCACGCAAGAAACGGGTACGTCATTGATCTGAATCACTGTGTTCCCTTCTTGGGAAGACATGCCGCCAAAGGACATCCATAGATGAGAATCAAGTTTGATATTTCAGTTCATCCAGTGCAGTTTGAGGAAGGGCTCACAGTACTTGGTCTGGCTCATGAGGGTCAGAGCGTAGAATGTGTGAAAGATTCACAGGCCCATGGTCGACCTGTATTTCAATTATCCTCTTAACCATGCTTTCATAAAGAGCACGGGTTTCATTGACTTGTCAACCCAGAAGTTGAGGCATTGCTTGATGAAGCTGGATGTATGATCGCCAAGGTGGCCCCACGCAAGCCGTCGGTCAAAGCAAGAGCTGTCAGGTACCCAATTCGATCAAGGCTTTCTCTCACGGAACCTTAGATCAAGAACTAGCCTATCGTCGTCGAGATCGATCTGCTGCGCTGTGTGAGAACAGATAACTAGGTCCAATTCGGTTTTGAAGTTTCGATGCGGCTCTGGATTAAGTATTTGTACGAATCCCGAAAGCTTTTTACATTTCAAGAGGCGTTATTCCATTAACTCGACTGAGTGTATCGTTTTTAGTGCTCGCAAGGTCCGGGCTATTTGTATGAGTGACTCGCGAAATGGTTGCAAAAACCACTTTGAACTACTTTCCCCGTACGCCCAGAGCCAACTTTCGACTTTAGAAGCTCAAATTTCATTTTTAGCCTCTACTAGTTGAACATTGACGACGAGCGAACAAATCGAACGTACCAAATAAGCACCCCAAGCTTTACGACAAGTTTTAGCCGTAGGCCTTTCATTTGTGGAACCCACGAAGATCAAGAATGAGCCCACCGAACCCAGAAGCCACAGGAGGCTTTTTTGGGTCGATTAGAAATCAAGCGACGAACCTCTTCTCTCAACTGAATCCCACGTCAGACCCGGCAGTGGAGTTGCACTCTCAATTGAATTCCACGTCAGACCTGGCGGAGGAGTTACACTCTCAATTGAGTACAAGCGACAATCCTCTTTGGGATTTTGTGGTCTTACGAAAGAAACAAATTCAACAAAGCGGCATCAGGCTCGAGGGAAATATGGAGCTTGCTTTATTGGTTAAAGTAGAGGATTCCTTATGGTCGGGAGATTTCCTTGGGGGCGATCATCCTGTCAAGGAGTATCTCCTTAACGTCGACAGCCCTGAGATTCTTCCAGAGACTCGTGACGCTCTTAAGCTAAAAGTCATATTGGAGGAAAAAGCCCAGAGAGATCAGCCTGGTAGGTATTATTTGAAGTGGCTTCAAGCAAGATGCTTGCGAGAGACACGCTTTGCCACTACTTCAAGCCAGTCTTACCCTACAACGCTGGCGCAGATCGATGAAACCCTCCAGCAGATACCGGTTGATAGAGTTACGAGAATATCCGATCCAAATGACCCGGCACACCTCTTTTGCAGGGCCCATCGGATGCGGCTCAAAGCAGCGAAGGATAAGAGGTGCAAGCCAGAACTTGATCACCTCGAGCAGTTGCTCAAAATCGAGCTTATCCGGCTTCGTGAACGCGTCCCACCTTGCTGTTTAGGTTTGGCAGCGGGCTTTAAATTGGCTTCAGCACTTAAGGGATACAAATCCCAGGGGATCCAATCTCTTTTCTCGGGAGGATGTGCATTTACTCTTGCAAAAGCCTCCGTTGCATCGTGGAGAAAAGCCAACGAGGCTCGCCGTGGAGAGAGAAGTATCTCGAATCTTGAGGCTCTGTGTCTGGCATTTGCAGCCGCGGCTGGTGTCAGTTCGGCTGGAGTGCGAATGTCAGACAGTGGTCAGGAAACTGCTGGTCTGATTGCTGCACTTGTCTTAGACATAGCGCTGCAACTAGGTCTACTAGGATGGTTCTAATTTGGCGGCAAATCTGAGTGAGCCTTTGATCTGTCGGCTGTGGCTTGTCACGGTTTCGAGAGATCTGGTAACAAGTCCGTTAATGTCACACACGGAGCTTGGGCGCCACACCTTTATAGGTCTTAATACATCTGCCAAACAACGGCGCACCAGTAGGCTCCAGCTCATCTGCCATCCATTGAAGCATTCAGCCCGTGCAAAGCAAGAGTCTGGAGACGTGAAAGTGTGATTTCAACCGTTATTCAACGACCGCTTGTAAAGAACTTCCACTTCCGGCGCTGCGAGATACTCCAGACCGACATTCACGAAGGACACATCACGGATTGGTCGGGGTTGGTGTAGTGACACCAGGCTTAAGGGTCGGTAGAGGGGGGAGGCCTTTTTCAAAGTAATAAAAAATAAATTCCCTTCCTCTCGTTCTTAACTAATCTCCGTACTTTATTTTTGTCGGTTATTATGTTCATCGATTGAACTCTTGAAAATCGGGCCAGACATTTTTTTATTTTTTTTTCATAATAGAATGTATTAGCAGGGCACTTCTAACAGATTATTCCCCTCCATTTGGAGCCAAAACTATATCGCTATAGAAACACAACCCACTAATCAAGCACCCAAATGTCTTTCTCCTACCAGAAAGGCGCGACAGACTTCATCCTGAACTTCAGGCCCTGATCCGTCTAGAGGAAGGCATTTGTTTGATGGTATTGTCTCATCCCCACACGTCACCTACCCATTGGCAGAATCTGCCGTATGGTTTTCTTCATCTCCCGAATCAGAAAGACGGACAATTGTCCCCCTTCTGCTTCAGTTCGTCGTCAGACAAGTGGTAATATGCGTTGAAAGTGGACTGAAGTTCCCGACTAGAAACACCAATGAAGACAGGGAGTTGTGAGAAAATATTTATTGCCAGCTTGAATAAACCAACCGTCCAATCGTACTTTGACACATCAGCTCTAGCCTGGTGGTGTTGACGAAAGCTGGTAGCCTAGCCCTCCTTTTTGAGTTTGACAAAACTTGTTGACCTCGGGCCAACACGTATGCGGAAACCAGATAAACACATAACTGGTGTGTGGCGTTTCTGCTAGGGATGCACTTGCCATGTCAAACTTTCCTCATTTGGTACGAAGGGTCATGCAATGAATTACAAAACGGCCAAGTGGTCACGACAGAAACGTAGGAATCCTATTTATTGGATATCCTGCCGCTCTCAAAAGTTAGTTACAGCAAAACACCCCCTTTCGATGAAGCTCCCAAGTCGCAGAGGTGCTCAGACTAAGAGCCCACCACAGAAGTTGACCACGATCTTCCAGTTTCGTAACTTTAGAAGAAATTTCCATCGTCAGTTAGATGACATAGTCGGTGCTCTAAACGAGCAGGTCTTCTCGTTCCGAACAATAGGTTTGTTGCTTCAAGGTGAGCATCACCAAGTCACAGAGTTCGTTGTGAAGACCCCAGACTTGGCTGACGATCCTGACCTGAAGCTTCATGTTGAAAAAGCTCGTACAAGAAACGGTGTAACCAGCTTTGGGGCAGGGCCGAATTTTGCAAACAACATGCTTGTTTTTGAAGTGCTTCATACATACCACACATTTGACTGGTCGGACCTGGAGATGCCTATGCCAATAGTAGGGAGATGCTTTTTAGTGGCCGGGGAAGACAAGCGGGTTTTCCCAGGTCCAAAGTTCCCAATGTCGCATCAGCTCTATGGATTTGAGTCAGAATTGGAGATGGGCTCAACTCATGATGTTGCCCCGAACGGAAAAAGACTTGAATTCAGAGCGGAGTTTGAGCAACCGTCATGGATTCTTCAGGAGGCCTACCACCGTATTGTTGTTCCCGGGATGCACGTACCTAGCTTTCTCCCCTTAACTTTACGCATTGTCGATGAGCGTTGTTCGGATGACAGGCTCAAGGAGCCTTTCCACTTGACGACAATCCGGGTCGAGTTACAAGAGTTCAGCTGCGTACCTAGCAAATGCCTTCAATCGACAGAAGTCCGGAGTCAGGTGTTGCTCGAGAAGAAATTGTTCCAGGAGATCAGCATGCTAAACAGACATATCACGATACCCGTCGCAATGTATGACTGTGTGATTCCAGAAGTGGGCCCCACGTTTTTCACGGAAGGCTTCATTAGAACCTACGGGTTGAAAATCACAGTAGCACTTTCCCACAAAAGTGGTCCCAGCTTCAATGCTTCTGCGTTTGTCGAGCTCAATGTGGCACAGGAGAAGTATGAAAGAATACATGAGAAAGACATATTCAACCCACGCAGTTTAGGAACTGAAGGAACCGAATCTTATGCCCAATATTTCCGTGTGAAGCTTTTGCAAAAGTTTGGTCCCACTGACGATAGTTTGTTAACCTTTAGCCGGCAACATGCAGATGAATCATCAGGGAAGTTCCAACGATACTCCTTTCTGTTGCACAACAATGGCGTAGAAGGATGCTTCGTGATACTGTACGATGTGATGAAGAAAACGAGGATTAGCAGAGGTAAACCAAAAACCAAACATTGTCAAACTGCCTCGTTGAAGATACGGCAGTGGCTCCGAAGCCCCACATGGAAACCAAGTGGCTTCTCTGGTTGGACAACCAGGGTTATTGATCTGCCCACCTTTGGAACTAATTTCAAGTCCGGTAAACCCCATGTTGCTACTTGTCTAGTAGTTAATGGTCAGGTCATTGAAGCAAACACTCCGAGGGACCTCATGCAAGAAACCAGATCGCCGTACCCAACATCTCCTTTTAGTACAGAAAGAATTCCACTCTCGATGGTAGTGTCACAGAAACAATCGATGGTCGGATCAAGTGACGGAACCGCTAGTCCAGGAATGAAGCTAGATGAAATTGTCCGATGCACATTTATGGTGGCGCAGGGCTTTAAAGACGCGAGCCAATATATCCGAAAAGTAAAGGACACAACCATTACTTTATTACGCATCGAAATCTGGTTGACGGAAGCAACGTATAAAGATGGCGAGTATTTCAAGAATGAAACAATCTTGCTAGATGAGCGCCGCCTACGGTTCATAGATTGGAGCGACTTTCAGGATGCCGTTGCCGGTAGTCCAAATGCTCGTGCTATGACATTACCTCCAGGTTTCCTCGACTGCAGAATTCCAATTGACACAAAGCCTTTCGTCTTTGGCCCAAAAAGCTTTTGTCGATCGCATGTCTTAAACGGCAGGTTTATTGTTCGCCATCTGCTGTGTATCTACAGCTTAGAATGGAGCCTAAACCTTCACATCACGAGGCGAGATCGAGTCGGGCATTGATGTGTATCTGTCTGTTACCAGGGAATACAAGCCGTCAAAGGACATCCAGAGAAGAGAATCTAATTTGAGATTTCTGTTCTTTCCATAGTAAGTGCAGTCTGGCTGTCCTAACTTGAGGTCTGAAGTATCCAACGGTGTTAACACAGCGTCAGGTTGGGTCCACTCCAGTATAAGCTACATTCACACATTGTAGAGATGTGCGAAAATAGCGTCTGATGGAACCCAGATGACAGTTACGTTTCGTCTATCACGATGAAAAGGAGGAAGTGAATTGTGATGTGTCCTCTTCTTTCATCAATCCACAGCACTGCCGGTTATGAGCCCTGTTACCACTTCGATAGCTGTGTTGGGGTTAACAGTCTCGTGCGTATGAGCGATAGCCGTGCCCCACAATTTCCACCATCTAACCAATATCGACACAATCACCATCAATACCCCAAATCCCACAAGCATCCCTCTTTTGCATAATGCCATCAAGAAACCGAAGAAAAAACTTTTGCCATTCTGGTCCGCCACGTGCATCATTGTCTACACCGCATCCAGGTGGTATAGACCTAAAAACTGTAGATCAGTCATTTGGGCACTTTTCGAAAACCCAGAAACCACAAAAAATCTGACCAGTAGAGCACTTTCCCAACCCCACAATCCCGTAAATCTCGATCGGACGATCCATTTTACCCCGGTTTCCCACCTCAAGCCACCTTTTCTTCACCTTGCAGTTACTACCAACACCATCGCGAGAAGCGGCTGCAAGAAAACACAAAATGGCCGTAGTTGCCGAGATAAGCACTCCGATCTCCGTACCCTTATTGGCGTGCGTATCTATTCACGGCAGTTTACAGCGATCCGCTATCCCACAAAAGAAACCCATTCTGCCAAGAAGACCTGTCTCTACTCGAGAGCCAAGAGATGCGAAAGCATCATCGAATACGGTTCCAGCGCAACTGATAAAAAAAAGCCTTGAGAGGCAAGAAGGCTTTCCGATTTTCCTGTAGACTATCACAGGACACCCCGCTGGACCAAACGAGAGCGCATAATCGTGGAACTGGGGTTGGTGATGTTTGGTGATAGTAGAGGCATCCAAGGTCCACCACCACGGCCCCAGGGATGTGATTTATCCCCAGGGATGGCTCAGCTTTTTTCCACAGTGCATGCTTTGTTCGGCATTGGAGATGCCCCGCCAGTGTGTCTGATCGGTATTGTTGCTGGGCGCCATTTCTTATTCACTTTTCTTAGGCCCTGTTATCAACCCACCTCTCGCTTCAGTGCCCCACCTTCACGACAAACGCCGTGCAGCCTTAGTTGTAGATATATAATGGCCGTGCCGCCAGCTGGCCCATATTCTGTAGATTTCACTTAAACCATGAACAAATCGCCAACGTCTTCCATACTTAGGACTCCCTCTGACAGCAAGGAGAAGCCCATGGCGCTGGTGGACTTCCTCGAGAAGGGTGAGGGGGAACTTATTCTGAACGAGGGCTCGCCTTTTGGAGAGGCTGGTTTTGTTGATGATCGTGAAAACGAGCTTAAGAAAGGTTTGAAAAACAGGCATGTCCAGTTGATCGCCTTGGGTGGTGCCATTGGTACTGGGTTGTTTTTGGGCTCAGGCCAGGTTTTGTACACCACGGGCCCTGGTCCCTTGTGGATTTCGTACATCGTCATGTCGGCTGTGGTGTGGTTTGTCATGAACATGTTGGCTGAAATGGCGGCATTCTTGCCCGTGCCAGGTGCTGGTTCTCAGCAGTTTATCAACGATTTCACCGATCCTTCCATCGGTTTTGCCCTTGGTTACAACTACTGGTACGGTTTTTCCATTTTGGTTGCAACCGAAACCGTCGCTGCTGCCATGTTGATCCAATACTGGACCACCGACGTCCACATTGCCATCTGGATTTCCATTTTGCTTGCTATGATGCTTCTTTTGAACGTGTTGCCAGTGCAGTTTTTCGGAGAGGCCGAGTTCTTCTTTGCCAGTATCAAGATTTTTGCAATCACGGGCTTGATCATTGTGGGTATCGTCTTGTTCTTTGGAGGTGGACCCACCAACGACATGCTTGGATTCCGTCACTGGGCTGATGGAAATGCTTTTCATGAGCACTTGGTCGGCGGAAGCACCGGCCGTTTCTTGGCTACCTGGACCGCTATCGTCAGAGCCGGTTACTCCTTCATCATGAGTCCTGAGTTGATTGTGGCCTGTTCTGGTGAAGTAGTCAGACCTCGTCGTATTATCCCAAGATGTGCCAACCAGTTTATCTACCGTTTGGCCTTCTTCTATATCATCGGTTCCTTGGTGATTGGTATCATTGCCGATTCCAGAAGTGAGAGACTCATGGGAGAAAGCGGAGATGCCTCTGCCTCGCCCTTCGTGGTGGGTATCCAAAATGCCGGTATTCCAGTCTTGAACCACATCATCAACGCCGTGATCTTGACTTCTGCCGCCTCTGCCGGAAACTCCTTCTTCTATGCGGGCTCTAGAACCCTCTACTCGCTTGCCAAGAAGGGTTTGGCTCCCAAGATTTTCGCCAGAGTCAACAGATTCGGTGTGCCCATCAACTGTGTTCTTGTTGTTTTCGCCGTGGGCTGTTTGGCATACTTGAACGTCTCCAGTTCGTCCTCTGAGGTGTTTGCCTGGTTTTCCAACATCTCCACCATTTCAGGTTACATTTCCTGGACCACCGCTGCATTTGCCTACACCAGATGGAGAAAGGCCATCAAGGCGAGGGGTCTTGAGGGCAGAGTGCCATACAAGACGCCATTCCAGCCATACGGAGCGTACTTTGTGATGGGCTTTGTGATCTTGATCACCCTCACCAACGGATACGCTGTGTTCTTCGACTTCAACGTTGCTGACTTCATCGCCGCCTACATCACCTTTCCCATTGTTCTTGGCCTCTACGTCGGCCACAGATTGTACTCTTACTTCTGGGTGGGCCGCAAGAGATGGCTCAATCCTTTGGACGAGTTTGACTTCACCAAGTTGGAGATGGTGGAGGATGAGGAGAGAAATTACCACAATCCTATCCCCAGAAATGTGTGGGAAAAGGTCCTTTTCAAGATTTTCTAGATGCCACGAGCCACGAGCCACGAAATAGTAAACGATTCATTAAGCAAGCTGTAGCATGTAGCCTCGGGTTGTCTCTCAATGCCCCGCAAATATTATTGAGCCCCTTGCTATGTGGTCCCATTATCTGGCACCTGAGCATGAAGGGAAGTTCTCGGCGACGCATATTGTGGGGTGTTGTTGGGACATTTCCGTGAAAAATGCTTCTGAATTGGCACTGGCTTCTAAATTAGGGATGCCGGGTATAGAAGTTTTATTGCTGTTGGCAAGCGTCATTTTGCATTTGAGTTGGAGGGGAGTTGGCAGATTCATGCTATGCTTTTGAACAGCAGACCTTTTAAAGAAATCAAATCGAAGAGTGCCACCAGTATGCTGTTCCATTGGCGCTTAAATCGCCTTGAAGGTGCATGCTTCTCCAGCTTTCTTGGTGGTCGTCTCATGCCTTAAATTCCGTAACTTGTAGACTCCGTCAAGACTCTTTGTTTTCTCTACACCTTTCTGAAAAGGCTTTATGCTTTGGGTAGCCAGTCTGAGGAACAGTATTGGTCTCGAAGCTAGATTCTGCCCCTATTTCCTTCAATCCCCGTTCCTCATAAGCGCATCCTCCGTTCGAAGCACCCTGTTATCGTACCTCGTCAAACCGCTGAACAACGCCTGAACATCCGGATCTCTACACCGAGGCAACAACTCCCTCACTGCCTTTCTCGGGTACTCGTCATACCTGAACTTCACAAAGTGGTACTCCTCGCTGGCCATCTTGGCCCAGTACAACTCGCTCAGCTGGTCTGTCACCGTTGGAGTTCCAAAGTTTTTGAACAACCCTCGAAGCAAAACAAAATCGTTGAGTTCCGGCATTTCTTCTCTCTCGTCTTCATCAACCACGCAATTCACCGGCTTCCCATCCTTGGAGTACAAGTACAGCACGAGTATGCCCAACAGCCAGAGGTCGACCTCATACGAGTAGTCAGTGACGCCAAAACAGAGCTCTGGCGGCTTGTACCAGCCTGTAGCGATATCTCCGACTTTCTCGTTCCACGGTTCCAGCGCCGGCGGGGTGTCCACAGGGTACGATATGCCAAAATCACCCAAGACTGGTTTGAAGCCATCGCTGATGAACACATTGGCTGGTTTGATGTCACGGTGGATGATGTGATTTTCGTGAAGGAATTGAACAGCCTCGGCTAGGCCAAACAGAATTCTTCGACACGCGTCTAAGTCTAGCGTGTTCTGCTCCTGGAACTTGTTCTTGGATGGATCCTCCAAGTTAAACTTCATTTTCCGTTTCATGCTCTGCTGCACCAACGAGACCAAATCTGTTTCGTAGAAGGGCATCACAAGTACGTCATCTTCACCATTGGGCTCCTTGTAAGCGTCTATAAATGGCACAATGTGTGGGTTCTTCTTCTCACTGAGATCTCGTAGAATCTTCACTTCTCTTCTGAAATCGTGTGGTTTTCTTACAAAATCAAGATCCACCACCTTAAGAGCCACACGTGTACCTTCAGGCAGTTGTCCTTCATAGACGTCACATGCTGGACCCAGGTACACCTGTTTGATCCGCTTATACATAGATGGAGTAGAAGGTGCGCGAGATCTTGTAACAGTTGATATAGAAGGACGTTGAGGGTGGCATCACGAAATAAATAAAAATTTGAAAGAAAGAATTACAAAGAGAGAGTAGAGAAAAGAAAATTCATGCAACTTTGATTATTATGTTCGGAGTTGTGTCTCTGTGATGTCGTGAGCTGAGATGAGCTGGTCTGTGGAGGCTTTCTGTCTTTGCAGCCATTGCGGGTCTAGCGTGAGAGCGGTACAATAGGGCAATTCTGACTGACTTAGTTTCGGAAATTGGGAATCTGCTGTGCTTCAATTGTTAAATGCTGATCTGGTAGATATTGCTGTTAGCTGGTAGGGTGGAAGCATCCTCTGAAGTTGGACCAATAAACGGACTAAGAATGGTGAATGAATGCTTCCTCCGAGTCAGCTGCTTACTTCTCCAGAAGCCTCGGTAACCACCGGCTTCTATTTCATCTTCTCGGCTCCTGAAACCTGATTTCATCATTTTATCGAAACCAAGACTGGGGAACATCCTCCCACAACCAGCTAAGCACATCTCCTCCTCACCCCCTGCAGAATCCCTATCCCCTCTGCCTCTTCCGCGACGCTCCGTCGTCGTAGTGTCTCTTGTTGTTGAAATTGTTGTTCTGTGCGGTGATGTCGATATCGTCCGTAAAGATCCTACGCTTTGGATACTTCACATTCAAACCCTCAAATGCATTCTCCTTGACTAAAGGCGCCTCAAGGAAATACGGATGCACAAGCGCCCCATCGGCGGATACTCTCGTGACAGGGTCGTAATGAAGCAAGTCTCGTAGCAACGTCAAACAGCCCTTGCTCTTCCCGCCAATCATCTTGTACCAGTTGCTGAGATTGGGCGGGTATGTGGCCCCCTTTTGGAGGAAATGCTGCTGGAATGCGTAGTAGTCGGGATACTTCGGGAGACTGGGCCACTGCTCTACTGTGGGAGTGCCCAAGATCTCAAAGATTTTCTGGAGCTGGTTCTTCTGGAACGGAATCAGCTTTTTGTTGCTCATGTCGAACTTTGCCTCTTCACCTTTAAAGATTGGTCTGAGCGAAAGCAATTCGGCCAAAATGCAGCCCACAGCCCAGAGATCTATAGCTGGAGTGTAGTGTCTAGTACCAAGGAGAAGCTCGGGGGCCCTATACCAGATAGTGACCACGACCTTGTCGCCAGTGTACAAGCTCTGTAGCGGATTGTTGAACTTTCTGGCGAGACCAAGATCGCCGATTTTCACCACTCCGTCGCTGGAGACCATGATATTCGCCGGTTTGAGGTCTCGATGGAAAACCCAGTTTTTGTGGAGAAACGTCACGCCATTAAGCACCTGCCAGATCAACGACTTGACCGTGGTTTCGGGAATCGGCTTCACGTCCGGATGCAGATGGTAGTGGATGATCTGGAGCAAGTCGTGCTCGAAAAACTCAAACACCATGTAGATGGACTTGCTTTCGAGCATGATTTCCATGAGCTTGGTGATGTTCTTGTGGTTGAGCTCTCGACACAATGACATTTCTCGGATCGCCGACTGGGAGATTCCCGTATAAGCACCGCCCTCGTTGTTAGCACCCAAGGCATGGGCCATGCTGGAGTGGTTATCCAGCTTGAATTTCTTGATCGCAAAAAGCCTATGATCTTCCACTGTCTCCTGTTTTTCAAACTGCCGGCCCATCTCCCCTAGATCATCGGAGCTGCTGTTCTTTCCCACCTTCAGCTTCGCCTTGTAGACCTTTCCGTAAGTTCCGGCGGCAATGTACCCGATAACGGTGTAGTTTGAAAGCACGGAGTTTCGGCTCAAGTCCTTTCGGTGCCTGTAGGGTCCTAGCGTCAAAATGGAGTTCAGAGCCATCATGGTAGGCTGAGGTAGCTGCATGGAAGCCGTGGAAGTGGGGCATTGGGTACGTTGTTGGTGGAGTAGTACGGCTGTGGGAAGTTTTGGCCTGCACCGGGCCTGTTTAAGCGGGACACGCCGTGGGGGTACATAAAATGTGGAGTTTTTTGGAGATTTTGGGTTTCGTTGATGGAGGAGCAGCTTTCTGATATCGCTGTGCTGCACAGTACTGGCTGCGAAAGCGGTGACTTTTGGAAGAAACCGGGTGGATGGTGGTCTGGGTACCTATAATTTTTTTGATGAAGGGGAGCTTTTGGAGAGTTGTTGGTGAATTTGCAAATTTGCTGAAATTTGGGTTGAGCGGTTTTGGTGGTGTGTTGATAAGATAGCAAGGCTGCGCAGAGCGATAGTAGATGGCACAATGAGCCAGTGGAGGTGTAGTGATATAGATGTGAATTGAGAAAATCTATCGATGAATTAAATTTACTGGTTTGTTTAAACAATCGGTATATTGACAAATCGAGGAAGGTGGATCTAGTTCGGCTGATGGGCTTCCATGCCCCATTAGTAGAAAGTCAAGATCTCAAAGCATGACACACAGTCCCACTGATTACCGACTTTGATCACGAAGATAACTCGCCTTTTGGAGTTTCGCTGGACTTTTATCAATTCACCAATATTCATCAATAAATGAAGATAGTCGATTTACCATCCTTCCATTTGTAATTTGTTCATCGTGCTTTGGATTTCGCAGCCATTTAGTAAGTGCGGTTGATTCTGAGGCAAGTGGTGTGAAAGAGAGAGTTTACGGTTCACATAGAGATTGGAAATAATCACAGATCAAGGTTAAACATGAAAACAACGATATAACTGGCTGCCTCTTTTACTCTAGAGTAACTCACATAACCTCACCAAAAGGCGCATGATCTGTACTGGTCGAGTCGAGTGGCAGTGGTACTGATCAATACCTTTAAAACAAAATCAAACATAAAAAAATGGAACGCCCCATATGCGCACCAGGAGCTCGTTTGATTACCTAGCTTCTGGTACAACATTTGATGGTGTTGCTTTTGACGAAGCTGCTTCTGCTATCGCTGCTTCTGCTACGGCTGCTTCTGCTGCTTCTCTTGCTGCTTCTGCCTTTCGTGCTTCTTCTACTGCAATTGCTGCTTTGCGTGCCGCTATGCGTGCCGCTTCTGCTGCTGCCATGCGTCTCGCTTCTTCTGCTCTTCTCTCTCTCACTTGCCTCACTTGCCTCTCTCTATCTTTCCTTTCCTCCCTTACTTCTGCTTGAAGAAGTCTTACTAAATACCCGCAACCTGTGGTGAAAGCTCCCATGAATGCACCACCGATATTAGAGAGCTCTTTTTCTGCAAGCCACCTTGGCAGAAATGCATCTGGAGTTTGCCTCTGAAGGCATCCTCCTGTGATAAAGCATACGAAGAAAACGAGGGCGTAGAAGCCGAGCAAGATGCTCAAGGATTGTTTATCCGCCATCAACAAGACAATTCCCTGCAACCAGATCACAAGAAAGGCCCAAGCGTTCAATTTGGAAGAGTCCAATTGTTCCAACTTTTCTTTTTTGTGCTTCATTGACGCGTCACATCTCCGAGAATGCTCTGAACTTCCCCAACCTTGCTCACGAATCTGTTTCTTCATCCGTTTGTCAAACTTATTGAAAGAACAAACAGGAAAGCTTTGAGGAAAAATTTTCCGTTTAGTCTCCATAACAGACAGCATCTTGTCAAAATTCTCCTCGACCATGGTGAAGTACTTATCCCAACTTTTGATCGTGTCGGAATTGCAAATATTGTTTGCAGTAGTATCATGTAAGAGCTTCTCGCCTTCACTCCTTATCCAGTCGAAATCTAAATCAATTTCAGGAAGTACAATTGGCTTGTAAAAGTGTAAGTGTTCCGGCGGCGAAGTGGGTTGGTATTCCTGAAAAATGGAGTTGATGTCGTCTATAGTATCGGAGTAGTATGAAAGGAGTTTATTGTAAGTAAAAGAATTCATAGACCTCCATTCTTCGTCTGCTTTGATGGAAGTATAAGCATCGTAAACAAACCCGCTCGAGGTAAGGTATCCCACAAGACCGATTGCAATAACCACGATATTCAAAATGATGATATGGGTTGATTTTTGTTTCATGAACTCAATGAACAGCATCGTACTGGATCTCGACTTTTTGGTTGAGGAAATGTGAAAAAGACGTGTAGTTGTCGTTTTCGTGGCCCCCCTGGAAAGGCGCTTTTTGCAGCCAGTTTCAGATCTGCCTCAGGAGCACCCCTAAACCAGCCATGTCTAAACAAGCACTTATGTACTTCTTTTAATTAAAACTGAAACGTTTGTTAAAGCTTTTTTTCCGATGGCATGTCTGTGGTATTTATTTGTTGCAGAATTGGTGTGGTTGGCCTTTGAAGACGAGCTGGTTCATGGTTTTTGTGCATCACTTCTGAGGAAGCACCCAAACAAGTCAATAAGGCTGTGGGTGAAATTTGAAAGAATCTTCAACGTTTAAAACGTCCAATACTCTCTAAGGTAGCGTTTCAGGGGACAGGCTTCTGTGCTTTGGAGCTCACCTCTAAAGTTTGGTTCCTATGAGAAAGTTGCTTTACAGATCGAAGGCCAACACCGAGAAATTTAACACCACTTAGCAAGATGAAATACTACATTATGCTCCCATATGTCCTTCTAACTTTAATCTTGTTCCTTCTTCGCTTCCCCAGAAACACCATCTCCTCATTCATCCCACTACCGATGATGGCAGCCTGGCATAGCTTTTCCACAATTCTCATAAACTGTGAATTTTGCTGACTCAGAAACTTGTAGCTTCGAGGTCCAGGTGAATGTGTAGTTGCGTCCAAACGAAGAAAAGAACAATGTTCCTTTCAACGCGGTGTTGCGGTTGTAAGACACTTCCATTAGAAACAGCTTCTCATCCTTTGGAATGCTGATATCAAAGACATGAGCAGGGATGGAAATGGCACGAGCATGAGGACTGCCGGGAACCACATCGTGAAATGACCTCCACAGGAAGTTACACCCCTTTTTGTTTTTGAGATTCTTACTGAGCAAAAGTGTCTTTCTCGAGTGATTACAATATTTGTGACATTCACAGTTGATACGATCAATTTCGATCCGCTGTAGTTGAAAGACAATGTCTCGCTTCAAGCCATTTCTTTTGGCCTCCTCAAAGCTTATCGGAAGCACAAACTTGATATCAAACACATCATATAGTTTCGTTCCTGGGGTCGCAAGAAATGTATCGTTCCATCTACACTGCCTTTCAAAGCAACCACCAGCAGGCCGGCCAAGACAAACTGCTAGAGGGAATTGCTCGTCCTCTATGGTGTAAAAAGAAACGCAGGATGCTCTTTTGAATCTTCCAAAATCGATATTCGAGAGGTTTCCAGCAACCTGTTTGCCGTGCATCATACACACTGCAAGATAGGGTTTTTGAGTAGTTGAGCTTTCGCCGCCGTGGATGGGCCGGTCTATCATTTTCACGGCAAGGTGGGTCGCTTTTCCAGTTTCCGCCTTAAAGCAATCATTGCGTTCAATCTTCTCTCTTGGCTTCCAACCTGCCGACGCTTCCATACCCAAGTACAATACCGCCCGAGTACCACATTGCCATGATCGAAGCAGATATCCAGAGAGTTCTGGCTTGCTGATATATTTGCGATATGTCTCCAAAATGCCTTTCATCTCGGTATTAAGCTCAAAGCTTCTCATGGAGTAGCGTTCTGGAACTTCGGCCCTTAGCCCAAGATACCTTTCGTCGTTGGTAGCATCGCTTTGCTTGATACGCTCAGCCTTCACCTCCGCCATATTCAACTCGAAAAACGACTCCAAAGCGATTTTGGGGTGGCTTTTGCTGCAGAGTGTGATGTGCGTTCTCAAGCCATAGCTTCTTGTGAACCCTTGGCATGAGAAACTGGGACCCACCTCGGGTAATTCACAGTCGTACATTTTCTTTGGAATTTTGAAGGGCGTTTCAGAGGCACGTACAAAGTGATACATCTCCTTCTCAAGCAATGTCTTGTTCCTCACTTCCTTGTAAAACTTCCCATGCCTCCACACACAAGTGAATTCCTGAAGCTCAATCACCATTCTCGAGAGAATGAAGGACACAGAATTCAGATCCATTTGAAGCTGTAGAAGGAGAATGTCTGGAATGGCCGTTCCGGGAGTCACAATTCGATGATACTCTCTTTGGGTGAACCAAGAGGGCTTTGCATAGTCAGCCTTGAGAGTTACAGAAACATCTTTACTGATGCTGTACTTCGATTCAGCAGGAAACTCAGACCCGACTCCAAAAAGCAGGTGAGTCATCGGGAACTTTGGGCCTAGGAGTATCTCCCTTTCGTCTCCCATTGCTATGAAGCAGCCACCAATAATCGGCATGGGCATTTCATAAGAACACCAGTCAAATGTGATGAAAGTTTGACGAACTTCAAAAACGGCTTTTAAGTTTTCCGCATGTGGGCCCGAACCAAACGATGCAACCCCGTTCTCGAGTCGTGCTTCCTTTAAAACTCCACCTAAATCAAGGTGCTCTTCGGATGCCACAAAATGTAGCTCTGTGACTTTTACAAAATTGTCGTGGATTTTGCAACAAACCTCTTGAAACGTATACCATGGCCCATTCAATTCGCTTCCAAACTCACTTGCTATTCGCCGACCGTCCCCTCCCAAGTTTTGGAAGACAAATGCAGTGTCTAGTTTCAACGGAAGGTGTGTCTTTTCGGTCTTTTCGGTCTTTTCAGTCTCTTCAGACTTTTCGGTCCCTTTTCGAAACTTCTTGAATTTCTGGATAAACCTTTTCATCAGCAGGCAAAGAACAGAGCTAAACTATCGAGTTCATGCGATAATGGCACATCACAGCGGATATGAAGCAATATCTGTAAAAGGTGAGTGAAACCAGAGGGGTCATTCAAAAACTATTCAAAAATATCTGTGTTGTACAAGCTGTGCCTTCCTCTTCGGGAGGTTCCAGGGTGTTCGATGGTCGTCTATAGAGGTTGGTACCCAATAATTCTGAAACTTCTGCTTTTACTAACAGGCATTTTGTAGAGGACAAAAGGAAAAGAGGAAAGAGAAAGCAAAGTCTACGTTCTGCCTTCTTTCTTCTTCATGGAAACCCCTATCTAATTCTACATGGAGAAAAAACCATCGTATCAGCTTCCAGGCCTTGATTGAATGGAATGGAACAGATCTGTTGAACTACTTCAAGGGATACTGACTGAAAATACCTTCAGATAACAACAATTTATCTTGCATGGATCTCAGGCTTCATTAATTCAATTTAAATGCCGTTTTAATGGGGGTAGCAAAACCCCATCAAAAACACAAATGGCCAGTACATATTGAGGAGAACCTGGCTCACAAACCAACCTGACAGGTACTTTTCATCAGCCAGCAAGAGTATCCCCAGAGTTGCTGCCAAGAAACAAGCAAACATAATCAAGACGTAGAGGCCAGCCAACGCACAAGCTCGTGCTTTGCTCTGGCTACAAAACATGATAACAAACATCATGCCCATTGGAAGAAATAGGAGGCCAAAGAACTCAAGAAGTTGGCTGTTCTCATATTGCTTTTTCCTGGACTCAAGGGAACTGTCCAAGGCATCTGTGCATCTTCTTGTGTAGACCCTGGTTTTTACTTGTTGGAACACTTTGTGGTTGTTTAGCCAGGAGATCTGGTCAAGTAGTTGCTTCTCCAATGGAGCATCGCCATTTTTGGCTAATTCTAAATGCTTTGTTCTCAAAGGACCCACTTTTTGATCAACATAATGCTCAATCTTCCATGAGAAATCCCACTGGCGTCTCTGCATTTCCAAACCACAAAAGTTGTCTTCAGATACGTTGCTCTCGAAACGCTGGTTCTCGGCCCAAAGTGTCTTCTGAATGTAAAAATAGACCTCTTTGGAATACCCAGATGACAGAATGTCATGGGCGTCATTCGCCAAGTGGTTTTGGGAAACATCCAAATGGATATCCTGGATCATGCTGAGCGTTTCGTTCAGAACACCGTGCCCCTCGGGTAGAGTAATTGATATGTTTTCAAGGACTCTGCCTTCCATCCCAAGTTCTTGGAAATGGTATGGTAAGACTTGTAGGCGAACCCACTGGGGATCATGTAAGTTGCAAAGCATGCCCCCACCACAAGAGCTTTGTGTAAAAACCTCATTCCGACTAGTTGTTACTTTTTATTTGTTTAATGGGATTCACTGGGTCAACGCTTTCTGGGTATTGAAGTGTGGAAGGAGAGAATGACTGGTGTGTTTGTGACCTATTGAGAAAGTGGAGTTTTTGCAACCATTCCAAAGCTGAGCACGAGCATGATTTACTCCAAAGGAGGCAAGTAGTAGACAAATGATATAGTGGGTTTTCCTACGATTGGCCGAAAGGTTGGGTTATTTGGAATCTGCCTTACTTAGCGGATTTGCCATTTTGAAATGCTTCAGCTGGAGCCTCAATGTGAGCATTGGTGAAGGAGACTTACCGTCAGGTCATACAAGAGAAACAAAGCACACAAGTCAAATGTCGAAGATGTAAATGAAAAGACCATTTTACTGGAGACAGAGAGATCTTTCTTGGAATGACGGCGTACATCGAAATAGGTTGTAGTGTTCTCATGTCTCACTAGAGTTTCTGGAAACTCAGTCTCTTGAACACTACTAACCATGGATCGCCTCTGCCAGTTAATTTTGCCCTTAAGTTCATCCAAGTGGCCCAATACAACCACTGGCTACACTCACATCCAAAGCAATCGTAATTATCGTAAAGTCTAAATTGCCACAGCATATTGTCGGATGCCACTGTTGGGCCTCGACACTCATCGCTGTTTGTCGCCTTTCATGGAATAGAAAACATACTCCTTTGATCTACCGACCAGGGCCTGGAGACCCTCGTCAGCATGTATTAGTTCTGATCGGCATTGTCTGGCCATCGAAAGAACCTCCGCCTTTCCGACGCCTTTATAAAAATCCGCATGAGCCATATCCCATGTAAGCACCACCGGGGCACTCCGCTTATCAGTGGTCCTGCTTTTGTTTGCCGGCCCAGTCCAGTGTTTCTCTGAAATTGCTGTGGCTAAAGAAAACCGTTCTCAGCATTCCTCCCTAATTCCCATACTCCCTGTCGTCGTCCTTACCCTCGAGCTCGCCTCTGATGGCCTCCATCTTTCTGGTCTGCTCCTTCCACTCCTTCTCCTCGGCGCTCTTGTCGGTGTCCTTGGCGAACAACGAGTCCTCGGGTCTTCTGTACGAGCGGCCCAAACGGTCCCACAAGGTCGTGAACTGACCGTAGTTGTAGTTGAAGTACAAGTGGTGCACTGTGTGGCAAGCGGTTCCGTTCACCACAGGGTCGTTCAGCATGTACTGGCCATCGTGGATCATGACGGTCCAGAAGTTCACGAACGTGAACAAAAGGAGGTACGACACCTTGTGCAAGGGGAACACCAATGGATAGAGGTGGTATGGCAACGACTGGAACCAGCCGTCAACAGGGTGGAAGGCGTGGGATGCAAAAGGCGTGCACACGATCCACTTGTGATGAGGCTTGTGCAACTTCTTGTAGACAGAGGGCCAGTGGAGCCATCTGTGGATGAAGTAGATACCGCAGTCTGTGAAAAGAATAAAGGAGGGGAATTGCAAGAAGATGGCCTTCCAGCCGCCTGTGGATTCGTTGACGGAGAAGTACAACTTCGAGAAGCCGTTGAGCTCGGCCAAGAAGAAGGGCACCGTGAGGAGCACCATCACTGGGATAGCCGTGGTGGCTCTGTAGATCTCCAACGACACCTGGTTCTTCAAGTAACGAGGGTGGTTGAAGATCTTCTTGTCAAACACGAAAAAGTACGAAAGGGACGCCACGGAAAAGTACAAGATCCATCCAAACACAGCCGTAATAACAAAGATGGATAAGAACTCACGCACCAAGTTGCTTCTCAGAAGCATCGACGCGTGGGTATACTCGTCAAAATCGAAAAACTGAGGAAAGTGACCATAAACCTCGTCTTTTCTCTGGAGTTTACCCGCCATGGAGGCCAAGTAGGTCACAGGAGCTGGGATGCCATGGGTAGTGGTTGCGTTTTTGGAACCAAAATGGCTATTGAAGTACTGAGCCACGGCACCGTCCTTAGGCAAGGCCTTGGCGTAGAGCTTATCAAGGACAAAGGAGTCTGCGATTTCCAACACGAGATCCATTGGGATTTTAGCGAACTTTTGAAGAAAAGCGTGGTTTATAAGTACTCAGGCCTGGCGGGTATATGGGTGCGTTTTCTCGTTTAGAAACGAGCTAAACGAGCATCGTCCGACTCGGTGGTGGCTGCTTGTGTGCAGGTCCCGAGATGCCCCAGGTTGACCTGAAATTCCCGGCTCCCACGGGGGAGGGCAACGATTCAGATGGAGCCCTGGTTTATTTAGGCGTTGTTGGGTAGCATCCGTCGGAATTGGGTGCACATTTCTCCGGCAGACGTCGGCCCGGGTGGATTCCGAAAAATCGTCTGGTCACGTGCGTTTGTCCACGTGACCTGTCAGCCCACTATCTCTGCCATCTCTGGGCCCATTCCGGCGTGTACGAGGCGTGGCCCGATGCGACCTTCACTGTAGACATCTAATTAATAATCGGACACCCGTACACCATGAAATCCGTTGCCATGCGTACACAAAGCACCTTGATCTGGCGCCATGCGCTGACAGGGAGATTCGTATACGGAGAATTTAGTTTATTTTGGGTCCATTAAATATTTGATATTTTATAGAGATTAAGAGAAGAAGGTAAAGGATGTTTGCTGGTTTAATTTGAGAAATTCGACTAGTTGATTGTAGGTTCTTCCTCGTTCATATCAACTCACCAATGCACAGCAATTATTGGTTTGAGACACAAAGCGGTGGAACCGGAGGTGGCAACTTTTTAGATTTCGAAAAGTCACTTCGGCAGATGATGAAATCGCCGTTATGCCCCTGACTTGACCTTCCTGATTGGGAAGGCGTGTTCGTTTGGTTGCAAAATGGCCTGTTTCTGCAAAGCCAATGAAGAAGCACAGAATGGAAACCAGAGCAGCTCAGGTGACCGTTTGGGAGTAGTGGGAGGCTTTAGGTGAAATGGGGAAGTTTTGATTGGACGGTTTTTGACGATTTAGTGGGTGTTTGCAAGAATGCATGAGGAATCGGTATAGGTAGTAGGCTGAGAATCGCAGGTATTGCAATGTCCGTGGTTTGTTGAATTAGAAATTAGCTCGTGCGTTTAGTTGTTTTGTGCTTTTCGGCATTTCTTATTTCGTGGATTCAAAAGTTCAGTCTCGGTGTGGTCCGAGATTAGAACCCTATCACTGCAATCTCTGATGGTAGTATCTCTTTCGATAAGCCTGAACCAAGATGATGTGTTCCTCGCTTTCCAAATTATATTCAGTTTTCTCCTTAGATTCGTGAATTTGAACATTTTTCTTCTTTTCCCCTTATTCATAAAAATACCTTGTGCACTAGCCTCCGTCAAGTACTACCTGAGTGCTTCTTAACCGAGCTGCAAGTTCCCCTGACTCTCCTTAACGACAAGCATTTAGCCCAAGAAGTCTAGAAATACATGAGCTGTTTCAGAATTACTTTGATATTTTCGGTTGGTGAAATCTCGCTTAATTCACCTCAAGCGTATCTTTGATCCATGTAGTGCTCATCAGCTGAGAAAATCGTATTTATCCACTTTTAGAGGGCACTTTTAGTCTCATCGGTGAATCTTCAGGCTTTACATCTCCAGGCTTTACTGTCAGCCTCACTTAACCCACTTCTGAAAGCAAGCTCTACAATACATTCATCGATCATTATGATGTCATTAATACACACGATTCCATAGTAAAGAATCCCAAATAAACGTTAAGAAGAAAGTCAATAATGCAAGGTGGACCGGCTCTATGTGGGGGTCGCCGGTCCGTTGAACGACACAGGCTGGGTGCCTGCCGTGCAGATTTATGCAATTAATGAAAGCCGAGCGGTCAGCTTCCACGAGGGAGCCTGTGGCTCGTTTAAATAGCATTGGTGGCTGGAGCGGTGCCAGGGGACCCGTTCAGCGGCCGCTGGTTGATTTTTTCGTAGTTGATGCTTTTCAAGATGTCTCTGCCGCCCTTGGCGATCAAGATCTGGGCGAGCTGCTCGCCAATCTCCTCGGCTTCGGCTTTGTTGGAAACGAAGCCCTTGACCTCGCCTTCCACGTACTCCTCGCCGTTGGGGCTGACAATGATGCTTTTGAAGTCGAGCTGCTGGGTTTCCTCGTCGTATTTCGTGCTGACGCCCAAAGGAACAGAACAGCCACCTTCCAAGATACGCATTAGCGATCTCTCGGCGGTACAGCGGAGGGCGGAAGGCTTGTGCTCCAATTTGCTCAAAACTTGCTGGACAACCAAGTCGTCTCTTCTGATTTCCACGCCCAAAGCGCCCTGGCCCACAGCGTGGTACATTTCGGGAGCATCCAAGGCCACGTCTATGCGGTGTTCCAAGCCGAGACGGATCAAGCCGGCGGCTGCCAAAAGGAGACATTCATAGGGGCTCTCTGGGTCGTCGAGTTTGGACAAACGGGTGTAGATGTTGCCTCTGACGTCCTGGAAGCGCAAGTGGGGGTAGTTTTTCAAGAGCTGGGCGGAACGGCGGACAGAAGAGGTTCCAACAACGGCGCCCTTGGGCAAGTCGCTGAGGCTCTTGTAAGGAGAGCCCTTCTTCATGACAAGGGCATCACGGGGGTCTTCTCTCTCCAAGATGCAACCCAACTCAAACTCGTCGGGCAAGTTGGTGGGCATGTCCTTCAAGGAGTGGACAATCAAGTCCAATTTGGGGTATTCGTCGACGGGCTCCAAAAGCAAGATTTCGAGCTCCTTCGTCCACAACAGCTTTCCGCCAAAAGAGTAAAGCGGCTTGTTTTGGATCTTGTCGCCCAACGTCAGAAGCGCCAAAACCAGGCAGTTCAAGTGGTGGTGGTGACGTTCGATCTCGGCCTTGACGATCTCCAGCTGGATTACCGCCAACTTGGACTTTCTGCCACCAATCTGGATATGGTTATTGGGCACGTCGAGCATGGGCATATTCTCTGGGCCGGTGTTGTGAGGCATGGACGATGTTTTGATGGTGATTTTGGAGAAAAAGGAATATTGTGGGCTGGGTGGTGGGTGGTGCTCTTTTTTTTTTTTTTTTTTTCTATGAAGTCGGTGCTTCTTTTCTCATGTGAGAGCGAGGGAAGAGGGTGCTTAAATAGAAGAAAACGATCGTCTGGCGCGGGGGGAATGGGCCACTAGGAAGGCAGATATTACTGATGAGCACATCCACATGAGCCAGGGTGGAAACACACCACAGGCACGGAAAAAGAAATAAAAGTGGGAGAGTATAAGAGGGGCCGGTTTTCCATCACACTTTTGTAGTTTTTAGATTTCTACGTCGTCCCGGTTGGTGTTTTGGGTCGGTGGTACGAATGGGTGCAACATGTGAGAGGGTGCGAATCGGCCCAGGCATCTCAGCCAGTGGGGCGGCTTTGAAAAACAATAAAGGGGGAGGAAAAGGCGATATTTTCTTTTAGATGATGTTTTACCTTCTTTAAAGTTGTTGATCTTTGGTACTAGGTGTGACGGCTACGGAGTTTCTCCGCTGCTTATCTCCAGCTTGGCAGGTGGCTGCAAACATGTGAGTGAGCCTGAATAAGCGATTCGGCCTGGACACACAGTAAGACAGACAGGCATTAAGGCATGTTTTAGCAAATCGCAGTCATTCAAAACTGAACTTCAGCCATAGAGCTTTTTTTCACATTCACACTCTTCGAATCCCCCCCCCTCGTAGATCAACGCCCCGGCGCCATCTGTCAGATCAAAATGAGCCCTCTCCATTCGCCAAACTGCTAGGGCGTGGACACAAGTGCCCCAATAGGCATATTTGCGCGAGACAACGCAGAGGCTCTTAAAGTTGACAGAAAAGCAATGTGCAGCCATTCGTAGCGGGATTTGGCGTGGTGAGGCGGTTTCTGAAATTCGTTTGAAATTTTGTGGATTGCATTGTTGGTGGTGTTTGTGGATTGCACTTTTGGGTTGGTGCCATTGGTGGAGGAGTACATCCTCGGCTGCGAAATGTCAAGGCATTCATCCAATGGAAAACTTCAATGACTTTGAAATAAACGGCCTGGCTTTCAGGCTCCGAAACTTTATTAAATCTACAAATTTAGTTTGGAGGGTAGCCTTATGGAGCATGCTGCCTGCTCTAAGTGGCTTGCTCCGAGACCGGATCGTGAGGTACCGAACTTAATCTTCTAAATGCTAACTATGCTAAGAGCAAATTATGCTGAGAGCTAAATGTGCTAAGAGCAAATTATGAGAGCAAATTATGCTGAAGCAACTTTTGGTCAATTCCTAAAAAATCATCGTCAAAGCGTACTTCCTCGTTGCTCGTTGCGATAAACTACCTCAGTGCGTGTTGTAGCCAGTCAAGATGAGCATAGATAATGGACGTAAGAGGATGACCGTACTGTGTAAAGCGGTGACGTCGGCTTCCATGGCAGCGTCATGGAGTTTTGTGAGATTTGTATGGCCTTTTTGCCGCAGCCTTTCTTATCTCCATTGATTCTAACTTTCACTGAAAAAGAGGCCTTATGGTGCTTTACCACCACGGCCAACCCAAATTTTCAAATTCCAATTCCCTCCAGCTTTCCCCCTCCAGCCACAAAACATCATTCCACTTCGTCACTCCATTCCACGGTTTTTTGTGCTTCACCCGGTGGCTTTGATACCCTTTTGGGCGCTTTGAGCAATAGCCGAACCCGGTCTCACTGGAGCCATTCGCAGCCATTTGCTAGATTACACACACTGAGCGTTCCAGACGGACGGCACGGAATGAATGAAAAGGGGACGATTTTCAGGAGCATTCCTTTTTTGGTGATTTCTAGAAGCACGTGTGATGCAGATAATTGTTGGTCCTGCCATTGCCTTATCATTGAGAGTCTTATAGTAGATCGCATAGTAGGCCTTGTCGGCCTCTTCACCTTATCACCGCACGGTCTTCAATCCGCCAATACCCCCTCTCCAATGCTATATTATTATATCGTGCCAAACAGACTCCTCGACATATCGCTGTCGTCGCTGTTGTCGCTGTTATCAGGATCACTCTCGCAACTCAAGGCCTCAGTTAGATCGTACATCTCTTCTCCACCGCTTTTGTACTCCAGACTGACCCGGCGGTCGCCTCCGTATATCATCGCCTCGAGCTGGTTGAGCTTGTCCATCACAGCAGCCAAATCGGCCTTTTGCAGCCGCTTCTTGGGCCTGCTCTCTCCGCTGACTCCTCTGCTTCTCACTCTGCGCCGTTTCTTGCCGTAGTTGCCGTACCGTTTGCCTAGGAAATCTTCAAGGAACGCCAGATCCTCCGAGGCGTTACGCAATCCTCCTAAAGTGTTGATCGAGTACTTTGGAATGAGATGCCGTGGGATTGAGGTGGCATGGGTACGGTTGTCGTCCTGGGCGCCAAATATTACAGCGTTGGATGCATGCGATATGTTCCTTCCAGCTCCATTAGTGTTCTGGGGCATGGCAAAATGTGATCCTCTCCTCGAATTCATCCGAAGTGTGCTCACATCTGAATCATCATCGTGAGCCTGTCCAGCCATAACCATATCGCTGTCTGCGTAGAAGTCATCCTCTTTACTCAAGAAAGTGAAATGCTTGAGATCCTTTTGTTGCTTCTGCAAAAGCCGCTTGTTGTCCTTGACAAGAATCTCATACAAATAGATCATGCTGATGGTGGGCATCTTGAAGACACTCACGATTCCGTTGAACACAATCAAAAACGGCGACCTCTGTGGGTCTTTCGAATAATTCAACTTGCCCCATTTGAGGTAGATAATGAGGTTGGTGGTCTTGATGTATTCAAACTCCTCCTTGTTCTTGAGTGTCACTTCCGTGAAGACGTTACTAAGCACAATGGCAAGAATGGTTGCCACGATGAACTGCACTAAGAACAAGTAGGCAAGCTGAACAACCCTGCCCAAGTTGTTGTATCTGTTCCAGTTGTCCCACACAGCTGGGGTGAAGCCGAAGAATAGCTTCAACATGCTAAATGCAACCTCGTACACGGTCAAGTCTATTGTGAGACTAATGAAGCACAAGAAGAAACCGAAGATGAGCGACACGAAGAGCGAGAACATGGCTATCATGTAAAGAGACATCTTCTTGAACGACAAGATCATCATATTGAAGAACTCGTAGTTGTTGAACACCGAAAGCATCCTTGGGAAAAGCAAGATGGGGATCAAGCTGAAAAAGTTATAGTAGACTGTAGCATCTATTTTCCCAAGGCCAAGTAGTACCCGAAGCACGAAAGAAACGTCAATGAGCGCCACTATCAACAAGTCAAAGTAAGTCCACACGATCTTCTTGAGGAACTTGAACTCGATATGGAGGAGCTTCTGGAGGTTGTCAAAGTTGAAACTGAGCGCAACTGACCAGAACAAAAACGAGAACAACTTGCTGAATACCGTCTCGCCAACCTCAACCGTCCAATGTTCCTTGTGTCGAAGAACAAGGATAAAGAAGAGGAGCGTGAGGAATGCATATTTGAGGTTGATCACGATGGACTGGTACTTCGGTACAATGTGGGACCTGAACACCACCTTTTTCAACGTGACCTTGTTGTACTTGTAATCGACGATGTTCTTCTCAGACTCCTGCTCCTCTGGAACAGTCGGAAGCTCAAAGTCATTCTTCTTTTGTGCGTTTGATCCACCCAAGATACCAAGCCAGCTGTTCTCCTGACCACCTGCCTGCTCCATGATAATGAGCTCTCCGTTGTAGATCCGCTCCATGATGTGAACGATAACCGGCTGAGACAAGAACTTCTTGGATTTGGTGAGAATAGAAAGCTCGAGCGTGTTGAAGCTGTCCAAGTGCTTCGTGTCTTTCAAGATCTGGTTTTCTTCGTGGCCATGCCGAAGTCCCATTGGATTGACAAACAACAAGTTGATGCGGCTGTCTGAGCGGTATTCTCGAAGCATTCTGATTGCCAAAACTTCACAGATATTGGCCTTGGTCAGGAGCAAATCGTACATGACGAAGTTGCTCTCCATCTGGATCATGAACTCGTACCGTAGAAGCAAAAGCACGTATATAAGGCTCGACGACAATGCATTAGGGCCCTGGGAGCCCAAACCCTGAGTTTCTGATTGCACTGAGCCGTAAGAGACTGGAGCAAACTGTGGGGTATCAAAGATGTCAAATTGAGCGCCAGAGACCTGGCCATTAAACACCGCTTGCAAAGAAGAAAGTTTGGCGATCTCCACCAACCTCTGCACTATAGGCTTTATCAAAGCTGTTCTGATCTCGGGCGTCCTCATCTGCTCATATTTCAAACTAAGCACCACCTTCTTGTGGATGAGCTTCTGCACCTGGAAGTACAAGTACTTGAACTCTAGGTAGCGGTATTTGGACTTTCCCGCCTTGTCCAACGCCAAAGACTGAAACCTTGGCCCCGTAGGTACCCTGTTTCGAGACATGGCTCTTTAAAAATGGTCTGTTGAGTAGGTGTCTCTCCGGAATCGGTGTCAATAGACGACAGGGTGCATCAGTTTTTCGCACCCAATTTGACAAAAGGTAAATATACCTGATCGCGGGGTCTCTTCGCTTGCTGCAAGCTATAAGCACTCCGAAAAAAACAAACCCTGATAGCCTAAAAAATAACCGTTATCTCACCGTTATCTCAGCGTACATACCGGTTCACGAAATTGTAAGCCTTGTTGCCGTTTTCCTCTCCTAGCATTTCGTGGAGGTCTTTTTTGCTGAGGGACACAAATTCCTTGATGTTTCTGATCCTCAGGATCACCGTAGTGTAGTTGACATTGTTTATGCCTGGGATGCTTTGGAGAAGATCAATGGCGTCGTCATTATACATGGGAGGTCCTTCGCTGGTAGAAATAGCAGGATTGACGCCTTTGGCAAGCGCTTCCTCCACATCGGGCTCGTGTTGACTAGCCTTTAGTTCTAGGAAGATCTGAGCAGTTTCGTAAGGCGAAGATGACCAGATCACTTTGAGCTTGGGGAAGGAAATGAGGAGCTCGGTGATTTTCAGCTGGATCTCTTTTTTGGAGATTTTGCTGGCGATCGGGTTGGTCGCCTTGAATCCCGGCGGACGAATCTCGGCGAAGGGCTCAAACGAAAAGGACTTGTTTTCGTCGAACTCAATCAAAAGCGTGGGAAGCTCGTAGTGACGGAACATCTGCTCACATTGCTGGTACAAACGTCCGCTTTTAAACGAGCCAATCAAATCGGGAATCGACTTTCTCTCCACACAAATCTTTGGCGATACCACATAGTCTCCCACCGTGAGCATGCACGGAATGACCTGGATACCCACTCTATAAAGCAAGTTCGGAAGCGACGAGCGAAATTCTCGAGAATCGACAATTACTCTCATCTCGTCCTCCTCCGTACGGAATTTGGCGCCTCCCGCTATTCTGGTGTTCACCACCTGGGGCTTTCGAAGGTGGAACTTCCAGTTCTCTTGCTCTCCAGCAAAACGCTTGCCCAAATTGGCTTTTTCTCTGATGAGACTGGTGAATGCCAGCTTCTCCTTTCTGATTCTCATCAAGTGTGTTTGCTCCTCGACAGAAGTGCCGTAGTACATGAAATACGTCTTGGGCTCAACATTGGCGTTTGTGGCATGGTAAACCTCCACACGCCTGATGAATGCTAGGTCTGGCTCGTACATAATGATGTACAGTGGGCATAATTCCTGGAGCAATGTCTCGTTCGTCTTGTCGCTGTAGGTCTCGATGATGACTTGATTGTACTTCTCGATATGTTCCAAATCAATGGCTGCTGTTCTTATGTGTGGAGACTCAGCCTCAGCGTAAAAGTTTCTGAATGTGTCCTCGGCAGTTTCATCCTGTTCCTTCTCCTCCACCAACTCCGGCTCCTCAAGCTCGTCATTGCTATCGTACTCCTCTTTGACATCCTGCTCCAAACGATCGACAATATCCTGCTCTAGGTCCACTGGACCGGCGGTTTTTTCATAGTCGCTTCCAGAGTGCAATCTTGCCACATTTGCAACCGCAGCTGCTCCACGAGTTCTTCTTCTCTTGCTTCGAGGAACGTTATTGCCCCTAGTGAATGTCTTACTGGTGTTGAGCTTTTCGTCAGCGGCAGAGTCCGGGGTGCCTTCTCGGCTGTCCTCATTGGCCTTCTCGACCAACTCAGTGTTGAGCCTTTTGGTCAACGAAATAAGCTCCTTCCACTGAAGATACTCTCGAAGCTTGCTCACCATGTAACCTTTGCACGAGAACATTTTACGCTCCGTGGGCTCGTGAACCTTCTTTTTTGCCTTTGACAAGATGGAGCTCAATTGCTGGGCGGTTTTCAGTGACGAACACATAATCAAAATTGGTCCCTCCGTTTTTGTGTTGTCGAAAGACCGTTCATGAATAATGTCATCCACAAGCAACACCAACTGTTCCCACTTCGGAAGCTCCTCCAAATTGTAGACCTCTGTTTTTTCTCTGGATACCTCAGCGGCCTCCTGGCCCTCTTCGGCAGCTTCTGTAGCCACAGTGACTCTTCCTAAAGCACGCTCTTTAGCATATGACGTGATTGTTGTGCCTTCGTCCATCATAAGCCAGGGACTCATGGTGGTGGCGTTCATGGTGCCTGCTCCTGAAGATCGGATGTTCGTATCCACAATTCCCTGAACACGCTGGTAAAACAAAAGCGAATCGTCTCGAAGGAGACTGGCCAAGAGCTCCTTGAGTGTTCCCAAATCGTAAACGAGCTGCTTGGATGTCCACGATATTCTGTGCCATTGAGACTCAAGCGAGAGTCTCACTCGTGTGACGAAATCGGTATCATGCAAGTTTTCCACATCCCAGTATTCTGTGTCTAGCGTGGGGTTGTGTCTCTTGAGCTCTTGAAGACAGGCGGTCAAACACGACAATATTGCCGTTTGGATCTTGGCCATTCTTTTAGATAGCTTGACGTTGATCTCAGTCACTGTGCTTCTCATCTTCTGCTTGGACGACCTGAGCATCAACAGGGAAGTCACCTCGACGTGGAAACGAGGCCAGAGAAACACATTGCTCATTCTGAGGTACTTGAGCTTGCTTGCCAAAGGCGTGAACCCTGTGAACGATTCAGGCTCGTCCGATATGGCCTTGACAAAACCCCAGTCGTTCTGGTCCCTGTACAAGTTGATAATAAACGAATCGTTCAGCGTTTCCCTGATTTTTTCAGCGTGGAGCACGAAGAACCCCGTAATGTCCAGCGGCTTGAGAATACCAGAAAGGATATCCACAACCAAGATTCTCGAACTAATACTGAGGACGCCTCCCTTCATGTACATGTCACGGCGCTTATTCGTATTAGCGAGATCCGAGCCTCCGACGACCCGAAGCGCCGGCTCCAATTCGTTCTCTGTATCGTTTCCCGCTACCGCATTCAACCATCGTAGTTCCACCAAAAGGTCGTTTAACTTGACGATCTCCTCCTCGCCAGCGCCGAGCAAAATGACCAAACTCTTCTTTTTCGTGACCGTTTTGCCTCGTTCTAGCGTCACCGATGGCAGACTGAGCGCATAGAGCAAATTGGCAGTTATCACCTCACACCCTAGCCCTCTTCCTAGAATTAAAAGACCGTCTTTTGCCAACATGTTCTCCACAATCTCCTGATAAAATCCCAAAGGAAGCAGGCAGCACACCTCTCTGGACTCGTAGATCGCAGTCACCTCTGCCTTTTCCTCTCTTACCACAGGTATAGAGCCCTCTTCATCCTGGGCCATTGCCCTAGCGTAATGAGCTCTGGTGCGTTCTTCGGAGATCTCCGGCTGGTTTTCAGGCTCCACATACTCGGCTTCTATCTCTTCTGCCTTATCGTTCTGATGCTCTAGTTCTGAGACAATGTGGTCTGGATCTTCCTGCTCATCTGGGACAAAGAGGGTCTCTGATTTATCGTCATATTCCTCGTCCTCGGGCACAAACAACAGCGACATGTGAATGCTATTTTCAAAAATGGAGCAATCCCTGGCCCAATTGCTATATCAATTGGCCTCCAAAGGTGTAGTTGCGGGTGCACTGATTTGGTGATATCTCCCGCATTATCACCAACTCCTACTACATGGTGGACCTACTACATGGTGGAATTCAGAGTTGCCGATTACGCCAGTAAAGGCGAGGCTGTGCTACCGCGGGACGTGACGTGTTTTATCGTGTTTATTGAAGACGTGTCTGAATCGAAAGAAAAAGCCTTGGAGGAATGGAAATACTACCATAACCCGAATAGAGCCCCGTTTGAACGGATGGAGCACGTGAGCCGACCGGTGATCTACGGGATTGACTTGGATGAATCGCCCGAGGAGGTCAACAGAAAGATGTCTGCATCGGCAACTTTCAAGCTCACGCTCAAAGACTCCCACGATAACTACTTCTACGGCATCGAGGTCGAAAAGCTACCTTTTCTTCATCCACAGGCGTCCCACACAGGCACACCGCTACCGATACCGCTAGGGGGCAAGCTCTCGGTGAAAGCCGGCACCAAAGTGTATAACGGAGTGGTGTGTCTCACGGCACGCCATTGCAACTATTTGGGACACGACGAGAGTCTGCCGCTAGTGCAGCAGCTCAATGCCGGCGTCGTGGAAAAGTACATAGATATAATGGAGCGGCAGCTCAGCGGGGGCTGAATCAGAGCTTGTGTGTGTGTAGTCAGTCGCTGAGCAAAGTGGTCCACAAGACGAACTCGTCGGTGAAGTTGTGGTGCACCAAGCTGACCAAGTAGTACGAGTTGTAGATGTCGTTCAACAACTGGAACGAGGCGCTGTCTTTCCTGTAGCAGCGGGCCCACTCGAGCCACAACAAAAAGGCCTCTTCGTTCCACGCCCTGAACGACTCATAGTCTATGATGGTGGGCTGCAACACCTCTTTCAGAGGGAAAACGCCCCAGGTGACCGCCAGCTTGGAGTTGCTATTTTTGCCGATGCTGAGCGGCAAGTTCAGCGAAATGTGGCCGCTGGCGTCGCCACAGTAGTATGTGATGGTCTTGTCGTCAACCTGAGATGCAAGACGGGGCAACAAGTCGTCGTGCCACTGTTTTTTGGGAATGAAGAACTCCACAAACGATTTCTGGAAAATGTGCCCGTTTGATGGACCCCAGCCCAAGATCTTGTCACGGGACGAACAGTTGTTGACGGCTGGCTGCGACGCCAAGGTGAACCAGCCTCTTTCGTTGAGCTCAAAGAGCTCCTCCTGGATCAATGCGGTTTCGGGCGAAAGCTCGCTGTCTGCCCAAGGCAAAACGTTAATTTTGTTTGAGAGGTAGTCGACGAAAATCTTGGTGATATCGCTGACGCTCTTGGGCTCGCCCCAGGTCTCCTCGACCTCTTTGTTTGAATGAAGCTTCAAGTTGGGACCGTAACCGTCAATTTCACCGTAGGCGGGCGAATTGGAATCACCAAAACGACCGTTGGTGAATTCATCCCACGTGGCGTCTTTGCCCAAAGCACCTTTGCCTGTGGAAATATCAACAATTGCCTTGGGGTCCTTCGAGAGCGCTTTGGAAACCAACGCTCTCTTGGCTTCTGCAGTGCCAGGCACAGCCACCAGGTTCTCATTGACAGAGGACTTTCTTCTGCCGTTCTTCTGTGGCACCACAGGCAAATCGTCATCGGAATCGGAAGCTATGGCGTCGTCGTGCTGCACCAGCTGATTGTGAGGAATCATGTTCTGCAACACCGGCAGCCTGTTGATGATGGAGGCCACGGCTTTCTCCAAGTTGAGCGTGTAGAAGTGGTAGCCACGGACGCGTCCGTTTGTTCTGGCGTCGATTTCCAGAATCATCTTGGTCAAAACGTCCAAACCGATCACCTTGACCATATCGTCGTCGTTGGCATGGGCGTTCAAGTCTTCCAAAATGGTCTTGGGCACGCTGGCGTGCGAGAGACGGGTGGATCTGATGAAAACCCGGTACGTGGTGATGGGCATAAGACCGGGTATTAGCACAATGTTCTTCAACTGGGGTGTTTCCTGGAGCAACTGCTCGTACGCCACAAACTTGTCCACGTCAAAGAAGAGCTGAGTGACCACGTAATCAGCACCAGCCTCCACCTTCTCTATCAAGTACGGCAAGTCCTTGCGAGGATCCTGGTCCAGAGCATCCGCACCCTCAACATGGCCTTCTGGGTATCCAGCCACACCAATGCAAAAGTAGTCGCCGTGCTGTTCTCTGATGTACCTCACCAAGTCCACGGCGTTGTTGAAGTCACAGTTTGGCGTCCAGTACTCCTCGGCTCTAGGAGGATCGCCTCGTAAGGCCAAGATGTTCTTGATACCAGCCTCCCTGGCTCTCTTCAACGCATCCTCGATGATCTCCTTGTTGGTGTTTGTACACGTCAAGTGCAACACGGTGGTCACGCCGAGCTCCTTCTGGCATGTGGCGGCCAAGTCCAACGACTTTTCAGAAGTGGATCCTCCAGCACCCCAAGTGATGGTAAGAAAGAGCGGATTGAGCGCCATCATACGAGACAAACGGGCAAGGAGGTTTCGGAAACCGGCATCTGTTTTCGGCGGGAAAAACTCAAACGAGCAGAACCGTTCCCCAGGCTGGAGTGCCTGGATTTTGTTAAGAACGGTGGACATGTTGGTGGAGGATGTAGATGAGTGCGAGTGACTCTGATGCAGCAACGGTGGGGAGGAGGCAGGCCAGTGACGATAATGATGAAGGCGTTCCTCAAATTTTATATTGATATTTTCCTGGAGTTTAGGATTCAACTTTGCTACTCCTCTATTATTTGATTTTTGGGATGGCGTGGATGGTTAATTTGGTGAGTTGTACTGGCCGTTTGCACCCCATACTGAGGACTACAGCAGTGTCTGTATTGTGTTCTAGCTTTGGTTGAAGAAAGCGGATTTACGGTAGACAGAGTGTACATCGACATTATTGATGAAGTTTGAAATATTTGTCATTGAATAGAGATTTTGTTGCTTCGTCTGGATAGGTGTACAATGGTGTGGTCTATGGGTTGGTGAGCGCTGACTCTTTTCGCTCCATAGTGAATGTGATTCTTCACAAAACGGTCGTTTTGAAGGGCAATTGATGGAAATGTATGGAGCTGCTTTTTGATAATTCAGTCTATTGATTGATTTGAAAAATTTCGGTAAATCGGCGACTTTTGGTGTGGCCGTTTGCAGCCATTCATGTGGAAGTGCACGGGCAAGATAAGAGGTGGACCACGATCAGATGCGGAAGAGCCTCGTTGACCAATCAGACTATATATAAAAATGATTCGCCTTTTAGAATTTGTTGAATAAATTTTTAAGACGCTCCCATTGAACTTCCCGATTTTTCAGCTTTAGAGTGTGGACGCTACCTCATGTCTCATGGTATCACGTCATCAGCATAGACCACTCACAAAGTGAAACTCAAATGTGCTGAAATATGAAGGCTTTCACGGTCAAGCTCATTTCCAATATGGAAGAAATGTAGAGAGGTAAATTCAGAAAGAAGCTATTCTGAAAAAAGGTCAATAGCACTTGGCCATTTGCACCCATTCGGTGATGCATGTTTTGAAGGGTATACCATACTATTTTTCGAGAAAAGAAAGAATGTGAAGTGGCTGACTTAAAACAGATAGACCTAATACAATTGGAATCCCCGTTCAGAGCAGCTCCAGTAAACCCTGCCATATCACTGCTCAAGATACATACTCGCCCTCTAACCCCCAAACCCAACCTACGAATCCCTTCAATAAATTGTATTCTACACAGCAGACCTTGGCAGCGGCATGGCCGCATCAGACGGCGCTGTACTCGCCTCTGTTGTTGTTCCTCGTGAACTTCTCAATGATCTCCTTAATAAATACCGGCAAGCCACGCAAAAGGTCCACAAAGTTCTCCAACACCTCCTTCAATGCAGACTGGAAGTCAATCGAATTGCCCTTGTTGTACTGGAACCATGCTCCGCCAATGATGTAGATGCTGAGGAAAAGCACCATGAAGATGAAAATCCACGTAAACCAGCCCCACGACTCGCCGGTGTCAACGCGTCCGCCGTCATTGGGCTTCCTTCCCGCCTTGGCGCAAGCCTTGTCGGTCTTTAAAGTGGCCAGGAGAAGATTGTTCTCCCAACGGGTCTCAAACTCCTTCTGGGCGTCCTTGGCATCCACACACTTGAAGAACAAGTTGGCATTGAGCTTCTGGTCGCTCCACTCCACATCGTGGTACTCCACGGCAAAACCGTCCTTGCCGTCTTCTCCCAAAGTCTTGACAACCGTAGAAGGAGTGAACTTGAATTCGAAAATCTCGGTCAACAAGCTCTTGCCTTCGTTTTTCACGGTGGTCTTTCCGCATACATCAGAGTCAGGCGAGCAGCTCTGCACCAGTCCGAGGTCTTCACAGACGCCAATCAGCCACTCGATGGTGGACTCAGAGGGAGGCGTTTTCTTGGTTATGGAGGACGTGTAGACGCCTTTCAAGCCGTTGAGATCGTATGGCTGGAGCTCCTTGACGGAGCAGTCGAATGCACGTGCCTGGACTGCAAAAAGAGCAGCTATTAGCACCGAAAGCAACCAGTTCATGATACAATCCGTAGTAGGATCGACAGAAAAGATATCGCTCAGTGTAGATAGAGAGTGGTGCACGGATGTAAACCTTTACAGGGATCTTCTTACCGTTCCACGGATCGGATGTAGTTGAGGGCGGGTAAATTGTGGAATTACGTCTTTCGTATGGTGAATTTGATGGTTTGTTCGATTGGTGTGAGTATGAATGTTTTTGGGTAAGTGCGTCAAATTCGACAATCATCGACAAGCATGAGACATTGAGAGGAACCCGACAAAACAGAATGTCCTTCATGATGAGTATCAGTGTACTAGAAGGTTTCAAAAGTTCTCACTTACATCCGCCTTTTGAGCACAATTGCCAATAACAAGTTGGTAAATGGTTATTGCAATTCGCATAGGTAGAAGCACTTGGCACCTGCAGCTTTGAACGTGGAGTCTACCTTATGCATCAACCTGTCAACTCGATTTGAAATTTTTCCGACAACAAAAACAGCTCAGATGGAAAATCGAACATGCCAATTCAATTCCCAATTTCTGCAAAATCAACATTTTTAAAATGCCCCAATCGCTTGTGCTCTTTGGTGTGGCTGTAAATGAGACAACCGCGTCGCTTACGCACAGGCATCTTCATCTGCAGCAACACAGACAGATCAAACTCCTCCGTTTTCCATGAACTCTCCTAAAAAACACCTTTCTCCGCCGCAAGTGCTGAAGTCGATTTCCCCAATCAGGCGAAGCGGATCGCCATACAGAAGAAGACAAATTGCTCAATTGGAGCAGGGCTTCCGAGACAAGAGACAAAAGACCCTGGAACCACAGTCCAGTCCAACAAAACGCAGCGTCACGTTTTCTGACGCCCCTAGACTATCAACTTCGGCTACGGACGATTCTCCGCTGACACAGGAGGTTCTTGCCCATATGGCCAATGCCCTCGATAAAGTAGCGACCACCTTCTCAGAAACGGCATCTCAGCTTAGAGACACTAAAAGCACGCAAAACAGGACACTCGAGGAGCTAGCGCAGCTCCGTAGCATTGTGGAAAAGCTTCTGAAGGATGTGGAGAGACTTGTTGAGAAAGAGGAGAGCCGCAAGTCTTAGAAGTCGATGCTCTTGGTTGTTTGTTTATCTTCTTCACCAGCCTCATCCTCAACGGGAATGCCCCATTCCTCAATTTCAAATCTCTTACGACCGTTTTTAAACGCAAATTCTCCATTGCGGATCATCATATAGCCTTTGGCGGAGAGCACAGGGACCTTGATGACATGAACAAAACCGTGCTGGATCTTGGAGGGCTCGTTTTTGTATGCCTTCTCGATGAGCTGCTCCAAATCACGATTGAACGGCTCAAGCTGAACCACGCCGTCTGCTAGCTGTTCAAAAAACGTTGTTACAACGCCGTCTCTGGGGTAAAGGTCTAGTGGTAAAGAAGCTACCAAGGCCAAGTTCTGCAGGAACTGCTTGACAAGCGACCGCAAGGAATGGAAGAATGGGATGATGAATGTAGATGCTGAGGCCTGTGGCGGGTAGAGCGATGGGTTGAGGAAATTGGGCATGACCACTCGGACAACCTTTGCAGGCAGATTTCTGATTTGCGTCTCGACGATGCTCTTGATTTGCGAGATGATGGTCCGGAAGTCACTCAGCAACGGCACAAATGACATTTCTTGAGGATTGGGGCCAGGAACAAGGCGAAGCGTGATGTCAAACTGGGTATTATAATGCTCAAGGGTGGAGTTGGTTTGATTCTCGTCTGGAAGGTTCTGCTGCTTCAAGCCGTATCTCCAGGCGATCTTCAAGTCTTTGTCTGCCATGTTCAGCACACTGACTTTCGAGGAGTCCGACGCGATTCTGGCCTTCTTCTGCTCTTTGCTGCTGCCCTTGTACTCACCAGGCAAATTGTTTGCCCAGGTCTGTGGGGCCCCCACGACGATGACATGACTATGGACTTTGTCCTTCTCTATACGATTGTGCATGATACCCTGGGTAGCGAAAGCTCGTAGCAAAACGGACGAAAAGTCTGTGGTTCCTGATTCCTCAATGAGAAGGGTAGATCCCAATGGAAGACCTTGGTGGAGCATGATCTTGTCAAGATCAGCAGTACCTGTGGAAACCGTAGGTTCTGAATTTGCAGCTGACGGTCTCACACCAGGGTTTTCGGCGACTATGTCGATCGTATCTGGCTTCTTGGGTTTTGCAACCTGAGGAATCTGACCAATTGGAGCACCTGGAGGCACACGGCCACCGAGGGGTGCTCTTCCTGGAACTAGAGGATTACCTCTATTTATACCACGGTTCGGAATGAGTGGCTCTGATCTTTTACGAAAGGACATCTGGAGAGTTGAAGATCTGATAATGCTGATGAGCCTGATGAGGCCAATGTATGTGGTGCACGGGTGTATTTGGAGGGTAGTCAGGATAGACTGGATTGTTGGTTAGTCAGAGTCGATAAGTTTTGTGGGAAGGTTATTCAATTTCTGATATTTGGTTGTTTGTTTGAAAATAGAGAAGAAGCTTAGTTTTGGTTTTGTACTAGAAAGATCAACGAGTGGATAGCAGCATCCAAGGACTTAGTGCCGTATTTGACCTCCAGTAATATTTGAAGAAGAAACAAAATGACAATCATATTTTGGATCCCAAACATGACATAATCTGTTGCTGGTCTGATTGTTAAAAATTGAAATATGGGCCAACCTCGGGAGCTTGCTCTTCATCCACCATGTTTGTTACTAACAATGTGATACTAACTGTTTGATGAATGCTAAAATAGATGAAACAAGCTCCTTTTTAAGATTATCGAATCTCTCGAATAAAATGATAATCATTTTCGATTTTTATGGTGGTTGCAAAATCACCATACGTAATTACTGCCATAAATCGCACTGCATTGTCAAAAAAGGACTCTAGGCTTTGAAAATAAACATTTTGTAAAAACATCAAAAAACAACAAGAAGTCGTCTTTCCCAGCTTTGCCACTCTTTTACAAACTGTTCATTCCCCTTTCGTCTCCCGTCCTCTGGAAGAGACAGACTTCTCTCAATGGCTGCAAAACGATCAGTGAGCGGTAACGCCATAGAACAACCAACTCACCAATCATTCAAACCTCCACATTTCCAGCAAAACTAAAATGCCGCTAGCAACGTTGAAGTCATCCAATCCAAAACAATTCAATATTTAATAAAGTCTCCCTCCACCCTTTGACCCAAACCTCCACTACTCCACTATTCCTGCCTCCGCGCTGTTGATCATCAACTACTACAACTTACTACAACTTCCTATGGGTGCCCTAGTTTCGCTACCGCTAGCAGGTGCGCTGACCCTCGCTTCGTGCTGTGGAGCAGCAGCATGTTCTGCATTTTGTTCTCTGATAGGTGGAACTTTCACGTCGGCGATTATGACCAGAATAACATATGGCCTTTTGCTCATGCTCAACTCGATCATTTCGTGGATTGCCCTTTCGCCGTTCATTGTGCACAGGCTCGAAAAGGCCACGTTTGGCTTTATCAATAACCGCTGTGGTCCCGACGGGAAACAGTGCATCAGTTTCAGTTCAGTCTACAGAATCAACTTGGCTCTAGGCCTGTTGCACCTTATATTGGCGGCACTTTTGGTGAACGTGCGGTCCACCCTGAACCCGCGGGCGGTGATCCAGAACGGGTGCTGGAAAATCAAGATTTTTGCGTGGATTCTGTTTATCTTCATCAATTTTGTGCTCATCCCCGACTCGTTCTTTGTCTTTTACGGCAACCACATTGCCATCATCTTCTCCACGATCTTTTTGGGCATTGGCTTGGTGTTGCTTGTGGATTTCGCCCACGCCTGGGCTGAGAAGTGTTTAGAGAAAATTGAGCTTGAAGAGCTTACAGGTGAGGACGAGTACAATGCTGGTTTGTGGAAGAAGCTCCTTATCGGTGGCACCTTGAGCATGTACGTGGCCAGCTTGGTGTTGACCATCGTCATGTACGTGTTTTTCGCCATGAAGGGCTGCAGCATGAACCAGGCTGCTATCACCATCAACCTTATTCTTTCGTTGATCATTTCGGGCATGTCGGTGAACCAGAGCATCCAGGAGCTGAACCCCAACGCCGGCTTGGCCCAGGCGTCCATGGTGGTGTTCTACTGCACCTACTTGGTGCTCAGTGCCGTGGTGTCCGAGCCAGACGACAAGATGTGCAATCCGCTCGTGCGTTCTAAGGGTACCAGAACCTTGAGCGTTGTTCTTGGTGCCTTGTTCACCTTTGTGGCATTGGCATACACCACGACCAGAGCAGCCAACGCTTCGTTTTTCGACACTGAAGGCGGTGTTTCTGAAAGCCATGTCTCGTCACAGCCCTCCGAGAGGAACCAGATGAGATACGAGGCGATCCAGCAGGCTGTCAACGAGGGATCTCTCCCGAAAGCGCACTTCAGCAGGTCGACTTGTATGACGAAGACAGCGGTGTGCACGGTCCTGGCGACGAAAAGAACCTGGTCAAATACAACTACACTTTGTTCCACATCATCTTCTTCTTGGCCACGCAGTACGTGGCTACTTTGCTTACGGTGAACGTCAAGCAAGACGATGTGGGCGACTTTATTCCTGTGGGCAGAACGTACTTTGCCAGCTGGATCAAGATCATCAGTTCGTGGGTGTGCTACGTGCTCTATGGCTGGAGTCTCATGGCGCCCATGGTGTGGCCAGACCGGTTTAATGTTGTTCTGCTATAATTAATGCTAATGATATGGATGGTGTTAGTGTAGGCCGAAGAATGAGTTGTTTAATTAGGGTATGATTCAATTGGACATTAATGGAAATGTGAGCTGCACTCTAACCGAATGCAGCGTAAGCTTTAGTAAAACGCAGCAATTCACTTCTTTTCAACAAAATGGACAAGAGTTGCTAGAAAGGTTGAAAGGGTAATTTAATATCTGAAGTCAATACTATCGTTAAACAGTCAAGTGGAAGTCTGATAGCAGTGAGATCTGAATACACATTCACCGAGATGATCAACAAAATCTGGGGCCCTAAGAAGACCTCAATTCGTGAATGATCACAAATATCCAAAAACAATCATAATTCCAATTCAAAATTCGTGCCGAGGTTCCGAGAATTGGACCACCCTGATTTTGCAGCCATTGCAGCCATATTCGCAGCTGGTCCAATAACTCCACGGCAAAACACCAAGCAATATCGAAACCAAACTTTAGGTTGTCATCATCTTTAAACAAATCCTGCTAACCAAACCTCATTAATAAAAATCCTTTCACCCCTTCGATTCAAATCCTCTCGAGGGACCGGCCCTGGACTCGGGCCTGCACATTCCCCCACGCTTCCACACGATTGGTTCACCGCGTGAAAAAAGTCAACTTCTTGAACAAACCACCAACATCCACCATGTCCGCCATCGTTTCCAAGGCCACCGGTCTTTTCAACAGCGCTGTCGCCAAGTCCACCCAGCTCGCCAACTGCGCCGTCTACTGGGGTAAGGTCGGTGCCGAGGTCGGCAAGATTGTCTACAAACAGGAGGGTCTTGCTCCTCCTTCCCAGGCCCAGTTCAAGCAGGTTTACAACAACTTTGTTAAGTTCTTGCAGACTCCTTCCGAGCAGAAGGCTGCTTTGGAGGCCGTGACCAAGTTCCAGCCAAACAAGCAGAACTTGTCTCAGTTAGGTATCTACTCCATCCACGTTTTGGCTTTCTTCTCTGTGGGAGAGATCATTGGCAGAAGATCCTTGTTTGGCTACCCTGTTGCTCACGCCGAGCACCACTGAGCCTGCCCGCTGCTCTTTTGCATTCTGTATAATTGGGTTTTCCTAGACGGTAATATATTCAAGACCACATGATCTGTAGGTCCAGTGTGATGTAATGTAAGTTTAAGAAGTAGCGGTTGAAGAAGTGAAGGTGAAGGTTTGGGAGATTAGAATTAAGGTTTCCTCAAGTTCTGACATTGTGGTAATAGGATGTTGATATTTACCAAGTTGCACAACCTCAAGCTTCTTCTTCAACCTCACATCTTCAAACTCAATACTCCAATACTATTCACCCGGATATCACTTTCTCGTTGAAGCTTCATGAATGTCTCCTTGAATTATCATGAATAAAACCCAATTCTGGCTCATGGTCCGAATCATCTGTCTAGCTCAATTACATATCCTATGCCCTCTACAGGTTCACTGTTCCTTCCGTCTATTAATCCTTATTCGTCTATTCCGTAAGACCTAGCTCGTGGCCTCCTTCCGCCTCTTCGAAGCAGCAATCATCTCCTGCCGCTGCTTCCTCTTCTGCTTCACCACCTTGGGCACCGTACTGATGGCATCTCTTTCAGCCTGCTTCGATTTGATCTTGCGCTTATCGTGATACGACAAACGGCTCATGTTCTCCATCCAGTCGCTGTAGCCGTCCGTGCAGCCCGACTGCTTCATGACATTCACAATTGGCTTCACAATGGCCGAGTCTTCTTTGGTGAAAAACGTCACGGCCTTACCCTTGTTGGTACCACGACCAGTTCTACCGATCCTGTGGACATAAGCCTGAGCTGACTGAGGAACATCGTAGTTAATGACGAGATTGACACCTTTGAAATCCACACCTCTAGCCAAAACATCGGTGGTGATGAGCACCCAAATGTCACCGTTCTTGAACCGTTTGATCACCTCGTCTCGCTGCTTGGGCGTTCTCTCGGCATGGATAACATCAACATTGAGCTTGTCGTAGAGCAATTCGTGGAACAAGGCCTTGGCACGTGTGATGCTTTGCAAGAAGATAATCACAGGCGGTTTAAACTCACCTTTCTGGAGCATTTCACGAATGGCAACAAGCTTACCGTCTTCGCTGCCTGTGAAGACCAATTTTTGCTCAATGTTCAGCGAAGCCGCTTCCTTGTGGCCCACAATGACTCTCACGGGATCTCTCATGATGGAGTTGGCCAATTCTTCCACACCGGCTGGAATAGTAGCAGAGAAGATGGAACGGCGCAACTTTGGGTTGGTCATGTTGGCCAAAAGCGCATCGGTCTGCTCCACAAAACCCTTGTCGAAAAGCCTATCGGCCTCATCGATCACCAACTGCTCCACAGAGGTCAAATCGACAAAACCGTTCTTGACCACGTCCAAAAGACGCAAAGGCGTGGACACGATGATGGCGTATTTGGTCGAAGGCACAATGCCGTCCTGGAACCGGCTGGCCATTTGTCTGGAGAGAATGGCACTGGGGAGGTTCTTGTGACCTTTAGTGAGAGTCTGGAGCTGTTGAAAGATCTGCGACGCCAACTCGTTCGTGGGCGCAATGACGAGACCTCTGATTTTGCTGTTTTTAGCTGGAGCGTTCTCCAAAAGCGTCTGGATCATGGGGATCAAAAATGCAAGGGTCTTACCGGAACCAGTGGGAGCACATCCAATGAGGTCTCTGTCGTTGAGAGCCACGGGGATGCCTTCACACTGGATGGGCGTGGGTTCCACAAACTCGGCGTCTAGAAGATTATGCAAAAGTCTCTTGTTGATCTGGAAACGGGAAACTAGATCCTCAAAGGACCCAATGGGAAGAGGAACATCATGACCAGTGACCTTGGAACCTGCGGATCGACGGAACTTCTGGGCGTCTTCTGCTGACGCTATGACCGCCTTGGGAGGCTCTTCTTCCTCCTGCACCTCCTCCTTGGTCTCTTCCTTATGCTTGTGGCTCTTTGTTCTGAAGAAATCGGTTTCTCTATCGATATCGTCCAGAGACGCTTTTTCCGTCGTCTTGGGCTTCCTTTTGTCCGAAAAGTCCGCCGTGGCCGCCTTGCTGTTCTTAAGCGCCGCCCCTCGGCTCAAAATACGGAAAATATCCATCTTTTCCTCAAAATAACCTGGACTATCTAGTACCACTCAGTGCGGGATGGGCATCTCTCTATAGTGAGCGCGACCTGCACACAAGCCAGCCTCAACCTGGTAGTAAGTCGCTCGAAAAATTTAATCACCAGAAATCAACCGACACCTTAGAACCATGTTGGTGGACAGACTAGCACACGGCCAGCTCCGAGCCATGAGCCAGTCACGTGGCAGGATTCTCCATGCCCGCTCCATCTATCTTCACACAGGCCCCCGCGTGGCAGGTCTCCGCAGAGACCCCAAGGAGGCTTTCAAGACCCACCAGGGCGTCGAATACGGTTCTGAAGAGGCCACCAGCACCATCAAGCAATTTCTAGCCAATTACAGCATTCCAGAGGAAATGGCCCGCCAGGTGCTCACGCACAAGTCGTTCGGTAACGGTATCAAGGCGTACAATGAAAAACTCGTCGTTATGGGCCTGAAGGTGCTCAATCTCTTCTTGGCCAAGCATGTCATTGAGCAGCCCACGGAAAACGAAAACGCCATCAACGGCAAGAACCTTGATGTCTTGGGCACCCGTGTCTCCAAGGAGCTCGGAAGCAAAACCGCCCTTGGTGTTTTCGCCAAACAGCACAACCTCAACCAGACGATGTTCTGGAAACTGCACAACCACCATCTTCTGTTTGAAGCCAGTGGCGAAATGAAGATCAGCGCCCACGTCATGTATGCGCTTGTAGGAGCTGTGGCGTTCGTCCACGGCAAGAAAATGGCCGAGCAGTTTGTCCGTGAGAAGCTCTTGACGGGCGAGAAGCTGCTTGAGGCCGTCACGGCGCAGTTGCTCCAGGAGAACCGCGTCTAGTCATGTAAATAGCCGAGGGGTAATATAGGATACAGAAGAGGTGAGTAGGCTGAGTTGCCTAGACAATAGGTAAGTGGGTAACATAATTCAGTGGATTGTTACAGGATGCACATTTATACTGGTTGAAAGCTACGGAAGGTGACGACTCTGAAGCCGTGATATTGAAAGTCCAGACCTTCTTGAGACTGATAAGTTATCTAGAATTTTCATTTACTCAAGAGCAGCGTGTTTTGAACTGGAAATTCTATAGATGACTTCAGGAAGCTTGGATTAGGTGCTTTTTAAAGAGCTATTAGGTTATTCCTTGAGATGCTACGGGTCCAACAATGTCGCCATAATTTCGTTTTTTCAAACCACATTTGGAAATATGAAGTTTTGCCTATAATCAGAAAGTTGTGACAGATTGCATGAGAGATATCAAGAGCAAAGGCATTATGAAAACCACAGAAGTATGAAGGATATAGATGGAACCAACAGTCTATTTCAAAGCGTAATGCCAATTATTCCACATTACATGCGGTTCTAATTTGGTTTGGAAGGCAGGTTCATTCCAACAGAGTGTTCAAGATCTATCGATCTGCCCTAACACTTATTCGATTACCTCAAACAAGAAACTTCTATATCTCTTCAGTGAGCCTGATGTAAGCGAACATCTTTAATCGACTTTAGAGAACTAATATCGTAGTACCATTTCCTGATACCAAGAATTACATTGCCGTTGTCACCTGGTTGACAAAATGTCAGCCGATTTAGCCAAACCTGCAAAGTCACCGTTACATCTCTTCAACACCAAAACACCGAAAGTGAGACATTCGATTTTCCAGTCCGTGGACTCTTGGCTCTTGTCTCAGATCAAGAAGAGCAGTGCACATGGCTGAACCGAAGAAACTGAGAATTTTGCAAATTTACAGAAACTGAAAAATAAGCGTTTCGAATGGAAATTGAAAAACCTGAGTTTGCAAAATCCTCCGTATACAAACGGTACATTCTCTCGTGGTCTGTTTTTCCTAACTGCCTCGCTTCTGCGGGGGTGCATGTGAAAGCCTGGGCATCCACGGTCCCCGTGGGTAGACCGTCTAAAACGGTGAATTCAAATGACACCACAAAACAAACACCACCACTGTGATCTCCTAATTTGTAGCATCACAACAATATAAATTTCAACCCAAACCGCCTCCAAACACCCCATTACACCCCCCATATCCTCCACAACATCAACACCGCCAACCGCGAATATATATATACTCCAGTCTACCCCAGATTCTTCTCCAGACCTCCATACCCTATTTATTGCCATGTCTGACAGCGACGAAATTGCCCATGCTATTGCCGGTGCCGGTGGCGGTGCCCTCCTGATGATCGTCACGTATCCTTTGGTGACTTTATCTACGTTGGCCCAGACCACCAAAAAAAAGAAGGAAGAGGACTCCAGTAAGACATCTTCCGTGGAAGCCACCAAGCAGATCTTGAAGGAAAAGGGCATCCTAGGGCTCTACCTGGGTCTCGAGCTGGCCTTGTATGGTATCACGCTCTCCCAGTTCATCTACTACTACTTTTACGAGTTGACACTGAATGTGTTTTTGAAGGCCAACAAGGCAGCGCAGCTCAAAAGAAGGGGTCTCTCGACGTTCCAGTCGATCATCACCGGTGCTATTGCCGGTGCCATCACTGTGATTGGCACAAACCCATTCTGGGTCGCCAACACCAGAATGATGACCAAGGCCAAGGAGCACGGCAAGCTGAGCGGATCCACCGTCAAGGCCATCTTAGAGATTGTCGAGCAGGACGGCTTGGGTACGCTTTTCGCCGGTGTGTTCCCTGCGTTGGTGTTGGTGATCAACCCTATCATCCAGTACACCATTTTTGAGCAGATCAAGAACGTCATTATCGCTGCCAACGGCATCAAGTCGTTCACTGGCGCCAAGGCGTTCTTCATTGGTGCGTTCGGTAAGCTCGTGGCCACCACGTTGACCTACCCATACATCACGTTGAAGTCGAGAATGCACGTGAAGAAGAAGCAGTTGGAGAACAACGACGACAAGGAGGTGAAGCTCTCGATGGTGCAGGAGATCCAGAAGATCGTCAGTGACGAGGGCTTGGAGGGTTTGTACCGTGGCTTGGGCATCAAGTTGTTCCAGTCCATCACCACCGCCGCTTTCTTGTTCTACTTCAAGGAGGAGTTGTTGTCGGGTTCCGTCAAGCTTGTGCTGATTCTCCGTGGCACCCAGGTTAGAAAGTCCCTTCGTTAGTCTGTAAATAGACGATATAGTTAGACACGATGTTGCAGATTGAAACTAGGTGTAGAGGATAGTCTGGCATTGGATTATGGGAGTCTGATTGATACTTCCATCTCATAACCGAAAAATCAATCATTTGCAATTCACAGATGAAAGTTTAATTCAAGGTTCGGAATGTCAAATGCCGATGGAACCGATAATAGAGCTGTGAAGGCGGCCTTCCGCTATTTTACGGTTTACATGCGTTGCATCGTATTCACAAAACTGCAGAAGTCCGTTACTTGAATTTGCCGAATTCTCCGAAATGCAAGGAATAAGCTCAAGAAGACTTGGCGTTATAAGTAGTCAACGGAGAGGGAGGTGCATGTTTCAATAAGTGCAGAATATGATTACCAAATCAAAGAGGATTTAGAGCTGTTAGAACCAAAGCTTTTTTTTTTATTTCACAACTGAAAGTCTTCATTTTATAGATAACCTTCAGTAGGGCATTGCTATCTCAAAGTTCCATTCCTTATCAATTCTCCCATCCAATACTCGAGGCCTTAAAACACACAAACGCTCTTGGCCAATTACAACTTAAACCCCGTTTTGCTAAAGCTGCATTGCGCTTGAACGGCGCTAGCTTGTCGTCAAGCCGGCTGCGTTTCAGAACCCCAAGTCTATATTGCAGTTCAGATGAACCCATCAACATTCAATCTCTTGATCGAAGGAAAAAAGGACTGAAAAGTAAAAAAACCCTGAATTAGACAAAACCTTCAAATCACCAAATACCCCAAAAAAGCCTCCCACAAACTGTCGATTGCTTTTCGGCTCCCTGCGGTGAGGTTCCGTCGAACGGCATCGTGCCGTAGACCCTTGACGTTCGGTGCATGCAGCCGCCACCCGTTATCTCCGGAAACCTGAAAATCCAAAATCTTCAAACCACTTTTTCAAAAATCATGTTAAAATTTTTAAATGAATCTCCCTTTGGCACTTGTCCAACTTCCTAAAGCCAAGTCTTGGGGGAGGGTGGTTGCGAATTTCCGGTAGCCTCGCCTGGGCACTCGGGAAGCACCCCACCAAAAAACACCAATTCACACCGCACGCTTAAACAAACAGCAGATTCGCATTCTCCAGACGCAGCGGAATCGATCCATGCAATTTCCGCCAAAATCGGCCACACTTTGCCCTGCCCCCACTGTCCCCCACCATCGCCATCTATACAGTGACGGAATCATCCATCTTCAACACCGATACTTAAACTGATGCCCGCCCATGTCCTCTGACACAAAGGCCCCGGCCACGCCACCACATAAAAACGATTCAGAACGACCCGCTCGTCCGAAATCCCCCATTCCCATTTCGCCTTCGGCTTCTCCAGCGTCTCCATCCCAAATGCTGGAAACGCCTCTGCAAGTACCATCTCCAGAACCTGGACCCCGTCCGGTGGCAAGAAGAGCGTGTTTATCATGCCGAGAGAAGAAAATCAAGTGTGACGGCGAACTTATGCCTGTTTCGCTGGGCCTGGACGGCCCCACTTGTCTGAATTGCCGTATGGTCGGTATACCCTGTGTTTTCGTCCAAAGCAACCGTGGCGGACGGCGCCGTAAAAGGCTGCTGGTGGACTCTGGCACGGACTATGACGATAGAAGAAGAGGGCCACCTTCTAGTCTCCTGCCTCGGCTTCACAGGCCAATGATGGAGCCTGATACTCCTTCAACCATGGGTGACTTCTACCAGGGCCTCCGATCGCCTAGTTTCGGCCCGCCAGACCCGAAAAGACGCCCCAAGGACGACCACAAACACCACCATCACCACTACCACCACCACCACGGTCCTCGTGGCTTCTTTCCATACGGACCTCCAAGACACCACCACCATCCAAAACACGGCCACTACTGGCCTCCTCCACCGCCGCCACCGCCTCCTTATCATCACCACCACCGCCCTCCACCCCCAATGGCGCCGTACCCGCCTTATTTTTACTACCCGCCAGGTCCTCCACCTCCAGGTCCCCCACCTCCTCGGAAACCAGACGACGGCGAAAGACGAGAGCTGTACGGGTACTATCCGCCGTTTCCGCCAGGTCCTCCACCTCCTCCACCTGGTCATTTTGGCTTTCCACCACCCCCACATTTCTACGGCCATCCGTTCTACGATGAGCCCAAGAGAGAGGAAGTGTCTCCAGACAGCGAGTCTCTGGACACCGAGGAACCCAAGAAGGGGCCTTTTTCTGCTGGCGATTTGAAACGCCACGAGCTTCCGGTCTGGCCCGTTTTGAGCGACATTTTGGCCTACTACTACCGGGTCTGCCACCCCAACGACCAGCTCCTTCCGTCAAAATCCGTATTTCTTCAGCTGCTCTTCCTCAGAAATGACGCTGCTCTTCTCCACGCCGTCATTGCCAGGGTTTGCGCTCTCGGCAAGTGGAGCATCGACAGAAAGGAGGAAACCTGGGTCGAACGGACCCACAAGTACATGGATACCTTGGACGACCACGGCATGCTAGTGTGCTATACGTTGTTGCGGAAAACACCAAGCGTGCGTTCTGATCCAGCGCAGTTGAGCGACGTAAAGGCCAAATTTGCCGAGATTGTCGATTCCAACAAGTACATGGAGCTTTTGTCCACCAGCGTCAACATGAACAGACGGAAACGCATGGACAGGGAGATGAAGGTCCGTGCGATTTGGAGCTTCTGGATAGACAATGCAGTGGCCTCCGAGGAGTATGTGGGTGTGTTTGACGATGCTGAAAAGGCCAAGTTCCCGCTTCCGGTTGCCAATGAAAGTTATGCCAGGGGCGAGATTGCGCCAAGTTCATGGGAGGATTTCAACAACGGCAAGCTCAACGATTTCACCTCGCTCATACGTGCAGCCATGGCCTTGAACAAATCCAGAAAGGAGCCAATTGTCGACGCGAGCTTGGAGTCTTTCCTTAAGGTCTACTACACCCTTCAGGAGGACAGAATCGTGTTGAATCCGCACATGGCGCTGGCTCGATGCCTCTACAGCCAGGCACAGATTGAGCTAAAGAAGAAGTTGCCCGTGGAGAAACAAGACATGAAAGATGAGCATTGGAAGCTGCTAGCGGAAGTTTCCAAGCACGTCGGGGAAATTTGTGAAGTTGTTGAAGTTGCTCGTGGGTACGGAAGCCATCCGATTGTTTTTGGGCTGTCCCAGGATTGGACAGGCTCTGTGGCCCAGGGAAGAGACGGTTGGCGAAGAGTAAGCAGTGTGGTTATATCTTCCGCCGAGGCCGCTTCGGAAGCTCTAACAAAGGTGATCTTTTTGTTGGAAAGCACCACGCGGGTCGAGCCCGAGCTCGATTCGCATCTATTACGGAAACACAGCCAGACGCTCCTGCGTTTTCTCCGTTTCTGTGAACCGGTATCGCCATCTGCATCGCCGTTGGTCAAAGATGAAGAGTCTACATGAGGCTAGTTAGTAATGTTTAATGAATTGGGTAATATGTGATCTGGGGACGTTCGATGTAGATGTAATTAGGGGGTAAGATTTAACAAAACTGCATTTTAGATCTCAAGGGCATTCAGCGTCGGTACAGCTTGAAAGCTTTTTTTCCATGCAGCTAAGCCGCATTTTTGACAGGTTGACATCTGCAGCAGAGTAGAGGTATCCCGTGCAACTCATTAAATCATGTCTTTATTGATCTTTAGAATCTTCCACTTCCTTCATCGCCCCTGACTCATAAGAGGGTGGCTCTGTAGGTTCACTATTCAAGGAATTGTAATCGCCCAGGACTTTCACAACTGTTTCTGCTACGATATATTCCGTTGCAGCCATGAAAGAAGCAAGGTTTAACTTCACCACAACTCGAGATTGCCTCAGAAATGCTCGCCCGAAAATCGTGCTTTTTAGCGAAAACGACTTGTCTTTCCAAAATTCTGCTGGGATGGTAACTTTTCCTTCTTTTAGCGAGAGTTTACCGGTAAAACCCTTGAACGGTCTGTCTTCCACAAGGTTGACTTTCCGCTCTGATGCAAAATGTTCTCCGTCAAACGTCTGGATCTCCTCAACGACCTCTATTGAAAGTCTTTTCAAGTACACCTTTTTTGACTTCTTTGCCAGATGAATAACAATAGACCAGTCACGCCCAAAACCATCTGGACTCAGTATTTTCGTAGTGCAAATTTCTGCCCAAAAATTGTCACCGAAAGGCCTGTAATCTCCTGAATCGCTGTTCTCACACAAACTCAAGAAGTCCGAGATTTCCATACAGTCAAACCAGTTTGAGGAGATGAGACGGAAACTACTATCGAAGATGAGGACGTCGGTGAAGTCAGCACTCTTTGGGTTGATCTCGCCACTAATGGCTTCTTTCTCAATGTTCCCTTTTTTTTCAGCAGGCCCATATCTGGACATCACGATAATGGCAACAAGTCGATCTGGATACCCGACGACTGAAGATTGATAAGTCAAGATCTTGTCGCTGTTGAGGGAAGCCACTTTGTTGAGAATACACTGATTGATGTCTTGTATGGCTGACCCAGACCTAGGAAACCTCTCGAGAAAAACATAGTCCTGCTCTTTGCACAACCTTTCTCCGTCAATATTGTATTTTGTGTTTTCCTCTTCTGGCACTGTGATTCTGGTAAGGCCGGTAAAAGTAGAAGTGCAACCTTCTGGGCATTCGAAGGAGACCAGAAATTCAAGAGCATATGTTCTGCAAAAGTTATCGGAAAAAAAAGTGGCACCCAAGTCAGGAAGATTGCAAGCGTAGCAATCGTAGTCGAGATAAAAGCGTCTACGCCCAGTTTTGACATTCACCCACGCATCTTCGAACGACTTATCAAAAAACACTTTCCTCTCAATCGACTCGTACACGTACTTGTGTTCAATTGGTTTAACGCAGGTAGTGGTTTCAACTAAAGTGATTTTTACTCTTGTTAGTTTGATAGCCAGTAAGCATTGACACCAACCGGGCTTGAACTGATCGAATTTGAGCAGAAATCTGTCATTTATGCTTTGTTTTGGTAGGATGATGGTCCTGAAAGGATCTTCGTGTGGGTCACTCCGATAGACGATGCCCATTCTTCCTCGGATACTGCCAGGAGAAGTCTGATCTAATGTGATAGACTTCTTCGAATATTCTTTTTCATAGACTTCTGCTGCCGCTAATTTATTAAAGCCATAATGAAGGTGGATCCGATTTTTTCCAACTCTGAGACAAGGTGTAATGGAGCAACGGTTCTGTCGTTCATGATACAGAGAGTTTTTCCCCGCTTCAAGGTGGCTGTATTGAAGTTGTCTCCTTTTCACAACCGAATATACAATTCTTGGGCACCCATCGTTGAAATTGGGAACTGATCCAAGAACCAGAAGACCTTCCTTTTTCCTGGCTGATGTGATGTTTTGTAACTCTGATTCCAGGGCTTCGCTCTTGGTCAAATTCTTGATTCGAAGCAAAGTGAAATACCACGTTGCGGAGCCGATCTTGATGGAATTAACTTCGTGGGAGACGTAATCGGATGGATTTGCCTGGATTAATTGAGAGATGCTCTTTTCAACGTCTTCCTGGCCTTTGTCTTTTTCGATGAGAGGAATTACCAAATTCATTTCAATGGAGTAAGAAGCATTTGTTCAAATAAAGGGGGAAGCTTAGTAGAAAATTGGTCTAAGCTGGTCATTCGATTCCTGTGAGCCATGTGTATACTACACTTTCCGTTCTCGTCGATGGATGGTATTCCAATAGGCTCTCGGAAATAATTTCCTGAATGAATAATACTTTTTTTTTTTTTTTTTTTTTTGCCAGAATGCTGCTTTATTTGATAATATTTGTGTTCAACTGAAACGCACGGTAGAAGAAATCACCTCAGATTATCGAGTTCCGTTTCCCATTTGAAAGTAGGCTAATGGCGAAGAAACCAAAATAATGGGGAGCTTCTCGGCTCAATCTTAACCGAGATCAAAATTTCCAATAATGCTTCAAATTGACACATAGATTCCTCTGGTTTTATTCATTGTAGAATCCTCTCCTCACTATATGATCAGCACACATCATGCTCAGCCAGGAAGATTAGATCTTGTTCGCTCTACCCAGAAATAGATTTCAAAGTTGTTCTACTTTGATCCGTCTATTTGGTGAATGGTTGAGATGTCACCTTAAGGCTGATCAACCAACATAGTCATTTCAGAGAACCGCCACCTACAATCAACCATGTATCTGCTCCAGCGACATAACGTAAAGAACGGCGCTTGAAAATGCAAACTTCAATTGTTTTTTAAACAAAAGGGAAAAAAAAAAAACAACTTCAAAAGTGACCCACTATCACAGACTCGTATTGGCTGCGAAAGGGTCCCATTCACGTGGGGTCCACCAAATCACCCAACAGCCCCTTCCACCAAATAAAAAACTATAAATACGACCCTCTGCCGCCTCAAATCGAAATCCATTAAAAAAAAAGTCAAAAACACTAATCTCCCCCCCCTTGTCGTACCCAGACCTCACATGGACCGCTCATTCTCACCTTGCTCACCATGTCCTACTACCAACCCATGATCAACGTTTTCCGCCCACAACTCACACAAAACCTCCCGGCGTACCGGTACGAGACGCTGGAAAGCCTCACACGTGACGTCCACATCAAGGCCATTCACTCCCACAATGACTACTGGAGAAAAAGACCGCTTTTGGATGCCTTGCTGTGGGGTGTAGTCAGTGTGGAAGGAGACATCTGGCACTTTGAAAAGGGGTACACTGTCAGCGACACGGTCACGGAGACCACCCAGGAATTCAAAAAAGACGAGATCTACGTCGGCCACAACCAGGTGTACCTTGAGCTGAGAAACACCTTGAACGCTTTGTATTTGGATCCGTTGTACTACTTCTTGGACGGCGCCAATAAGAAGTTTTCCGAGCCGATTTTGGAGAAAACGGACTCCAAGTTTTCTGTGTTCTACGACGCCCCGGAGGTGCCGTTGTTGTTCTGGTTGGACTTGAAGACCGAGGGCCACGAGCTCTACTCTAAATTGAAGCCGTACCTCGAGAAATTCATTGAAAAGGACTACTTGGCTCACTACAATGGCGAACACGTGGCAGGTCCGGTGGTGCTTACGTTGACGGGAGACGTGCCTTGGGACGTGATTGACCAGGAATCGGTCTCTGGGGAGAACCGCTATGTCTACGCTGATTGTCCCTTGCAGAAGTTCATGGAAGCCTCTGCCGATGATTGGACACGCTACGAACGTTCCTGTAAAATCGCCAGTGCTTCTCTTGAACAATTGCTCGGAAAGGATCTCTATACCCTGGCTGTTCGTGGTTCGTTGACCAAGGAGCACCAGAAGAAGCTCAAGGGGTACTTTGACAAGGCGCACGAGCATGGCCTCAAGACGAGGATCTGGGGCGGTGTGGATTGGCCGATCTACGTGAGAAACTCCCACTGGAGGACGCTTTGGGAGCTTGGCTGTGATTTGATCAATGCTGATGATTTGCGTGCCGCAGCCACGTTGTTCTGAGGCGTCGTTTGGGAGAAAGTACGGTTTTGAGAACCAAGAGAACGACGTTAGGGAGTGACGTCAAAAAATTGAATTGCAAAAGATGGTGGTATGACCATGGCTCGCTAGATGTGGGTCAATTCAATCTGTGGTTCAGCAGATAATATACATTTGAGTTCAGGGTCGAATGAAGGCTCAAAAGACTTTTGTGAATATGGTTTACTGGCCAGTGTAAGATATCTGTTCAGTTGGTGCTTGTAAGCGCCATTGCAATTGAAGGAACAGGACAAGGTGTATAGCGATGAACCCAAATGGGCTTTTTGCTATTTCAGATTGAGACACTTTTAGGCAACCTTTCCTTTAATAAAGCTTCTGGTGTCATGATAATTAACATTTTCCAAACTACATATGCCCACACATGATTCTTCGTTTTGTCTATTCGTCTATGGATGTCTATCACCACCAGGAATCCCGGCTGTATAATAAATAGTCTGTCGCCAGTCTCTAGAAATTGGTCTTGAGGTACTCGTAGACGTAAAAAATGACGGCGTTGGCTGGAATCGAACGGATCAATGTGATGGATAGACCGTTGTAAAAGTTGGTGATGCCGCCTTTTCTGGACATCAACGCCGCCACCGCCTGGCTGATTTTGAGTTTTTCCAGCGCTGGCAGCGTCACATCGTGAGTCTGGATCATCAGCTTGACAGTGTCGACTGGAAAAATGGATAAATTGAACATGAACCCAGCAGCGGCGCCCGAAAGCAAGCAATTTGTGTTTTCAGCCGCTGGATACGTCTTTTTAAGTGCAACTAGCGATTCTTCGTACGTGGCAAACCACACGGCGGTTCCGGCCATTTCTCGAAGAAGTGTAGAACCTAGACCATGCCAGAGTCCAAAAAGACCCTCGTTCTGCATGATTCTGGCCACGACGGACCCGTACGACGCCGTTTTCGAATGCGTGTGTAAATTCAGAACCTGCAATTTGCATTTGACAAGCTCCACGGGGGTCAAAACGAAAGAAGCAGCAAAACCTGAAAAAGCACCTGAAGCACACACCGCAGGAAGACCGTTGCGTTCCCAATTGGTCGTTTTCTTGACGATCTCCTGGCCGTACTGGAATGCAGAAAAAAGCACAGCGTTTTCCATGCAAGCTCCAACCATTGGAGCTCGGATGCCCTTGTAGAAGCCGTTGATGAGACCTTCGTTTCGAAAAGTCGACCCCACAACCTGCAACGTCAGGAGCCTGCTGGAAGCCAGTTGTAGCCTCACTTTCACCGTGTCAAACGGAAACTCTATAAGCTTTCCCACACACCCAGCGGCTGCTCCAAACGCCACTTCCTTAGCAGGATCTACCATGGTGAGGATTCAAGGGTGGGGAGGAGGAGGGAAAGGTCAAGATAGGATTTTCACAAGGGGAGGGAGGAGCTAGATACAGGAATATGTTTGGTTTTTCAGGGGATTTCCGGCCTGGGTGGTTCTTGTGGCTGTTGGTGATGTAGTTGTAGGTGACTCAGAGATGAGTATTTCGCAGATGAGATGGCGGGGTGGATGTGGGGTGGACCGGGGGAGGAAGAATGTGAAAAAGGAGAATTGAATTGCTGTTTGGTGAGTTTGAAGATTTATAGAATTTTTAGTATAGGTGGTTTTGTTGGCCTGTTTCGTTTGGCAGAATGGTGTGTTCTGTTGCAGCCAATCTGACGCACTACAATAAGCGGTACGGTAGAGGTTTCACAACTATGCTTTCCAGTCTATACTAGACTTTGCAGTATTCAAATGTATTTTGCAATTGTTAAGAAGGTAGTTTGCTTGAAATTAACAAAAGTCATATCTAGTAGTACGAGGCACCATAGCTAGCGTATCTAACGGTCTGGTAGTTCATTAGTTCATATATTGCACGAACCCGATAGCTTAAGACTCCATATTCACGGACATTTTCCAAAACCATGCCATTTCCTAGTCTTCAGTGTAAGTGACCAACTACTACATCACTTCATCTAACCTCCACAGCACCTACAACGCCGTTCTCTTATACTAGTATTACTATATGACAGCCTATCTCAATGGGATGAATCTGGAAGAAGCGTTACCGGCTCTACCGTGTCTGACTGGGGTGTAGGTGATGGAGAACTCACCCAAGTAGTGGCCAACCATCTCTGGCTTGATCTCAACGGTGTTGAAAACCTTACCGTTGTAGACACCAACCAAGGAGCCAATCATCTCTGGAACAACAATCATGTTTCTCAAGTGGGTCTTGACGACAGCTGGCTTCTCGTTAGCTGGGGCAGCCAACTTGGCGGCTCTCAACTTGGTGATGAAACCCATTGGCTTGGCACCCAAGCCTCTGGAGAATCTTCTTCTGACTCTGGCGCCGCAGAGCTTGGTGAACTCGTCAGTGTCCATCTTCAAAAGCTGCTCAAGGTCAACGCCCTTGAAGGAGAAGGTCTTGAAGGTTCTCTTCCTGGTGTCTGTTGGGTTAGTATTGAGTTGGGATTAAGGTTGGAGGCAGATGGACGGGGACTAAAAGGCATTCGTTTGAAGTTATTGAATGAGGTGGGATGATCGTTATGGTCGCTATTGTAGAAATTTGAGTTTTGGGTGGAATTCAATGTGATTCAACATAACTTCGTTGGATGGAAATAACTCGAGATATATGGGGCCTTTTTGAACGGGGGCTTCGAGGACGTATTTGGAGTGGTGACGGGATTTCATATCATGCTCATCTGCCTGGCGTGGGTGGGTACATACTAGTCTCAGCCATGGTTGTGTGGTTGTAACAGAAGAAAAATCTAGGATTATGGATGAAAATTTTTGTCTGGCAGGGAGTGTATGGGGCTGCAGCGGTGCGGGAGTTGGAGTCACGTGAGCCACACAGGTTAACTAGCGGTTTGGCGCGGCTGGAGCCCTAGACGAGAGTATGTGATGCAATCACGTGACCCAGTGACGTTCTTTTGAAAAATTACCGTCCCACCACCCCCAGGCATGTGGACGTTCCTGGTGTAAACAAAGCCAAATTGCCTTTTTATTGGCTCAAAACTAGTCTACCCGCCAATTTTGAGCCCAATTGAAGGAGGTTTAGTGGGTTTTGACGGAGGGTTTGGGGAGCCCAATAAACACGGTCACGTGACCGCCAATTTTCCAACACCCTTCAAAGGCGACTCCAGGGCCGTGGGACTTTCTATTTCGTCAAATATACCAATTAAAGCACCCTTACAAGCAAAATAAACACCGTAATAGCCCTACTGGGTCGACTAGGGGTGCAGCTGGTGGGGCATCTTGGGCCCGGAGGTACAGGTGTCTATATATGCGAAAAAAATCTTCATACTCAATCTCCATCCAAAGGATAGTCTGCACTTTTCCGCTTAAACTGATTATTCTGTAATGAAGTACCTCGCTGCTTACCTTTTGTTGGTCCAGGGCGGTAACGCCAACCCCTCCGCTTCTGACATCTCCGCTCTCTTGGAGACCGTTGGTGCTGAGGCTGATGAGTCCAAAATCTCCACCTTGTTGTCCGAGTTGGATGGCAAGTCTGTCGAGGAGTTGATCGCCGAGGGCAACACCAAGTTGGCTTCCGTGCCTTCCGCTGGCGCTGCTGCCGCTTCTGGCTCCGCTGCCGCTGCTGGCGGTGCTGACGAGGCTGCTGCTGAGGAGAAGAAGGAGGAAGAGGCCAAGGAGGAGTCTGACGACGACATGGGCTTCGGTTTGTTCGACTAAGTTAATAGCCGCGTTTAATAGACTGCTCATCTTCGAGATTTGTAGGTGTAATCGATGGGAGGTGAATTTTGTTGGGGGTTCATCTGGTGAGATGAGAATGGAGAGACGATGTTCGTGATTTGATGATCGATTAGTCCTTATTAGCTTGATGAGGTGATGAGGTGATAATATGGCCTGAGTAGCTTTCGTGTTATGGGCTGGGCTTGACTGTTTATTTCACTTCACGGTGTGGATGGATCTAACTGCGCAGTACTTAGTAGAAGGTGTGAAAAATCGGGAAGTAAAGACGTTTTTCGATAACACAGTATTAGCGTGGAATTTGAAAACTACTTAAGCTTCCTCTGCATTATGTTAAATATTGAAGGTTTTGCTGGTTCGAGTATGGGTCCACTATTGGGTTTCCCTATGGCTGAAGCGGTTTAGAAGTCTAGTAAGGAGAAGCCAGGTTTTAGTGATCGGGATAATCTCTTAAATTTTTAGAAAGCCTATCTGCTTGAAGCTTTTCAATTAAGCCTTGTAAAAACGATGAAAAACTTATTCAAAAGCTGGCTTAATGGCTAACCGAGAAGAGAGTGCTTCAGTTTTGCATTTGCGACTTTTACTTACTAGCATCAAGCTATAATAAATATCTGGTGTCAAAACCCCACTTCGAGCAGGCGGTAGTGAATCTTTGAGTACTATGTTGAACGCACTTGGAGCACACTACATGTGAGCTTTGGTATCTGATTATGGAGCCCAACTGAGCTCCTCTTATTAAATTGCAACCCACAATTACATAACACACCGGTGAATCAATCAATGAAACTTTTCGTAAGTCGGCTGACCGGCAAGCCAGATGCGCTATGTTGGATGTGCTATCCTCGATGCATGTCTCACCTTAAAGGTTGATCATACCAAACGGCCACAAATTGGAGCGGATCTTTTCATTTAGACAATGCAACAACCTGATGCTAATGGAGACAGTATTATATATGTGTTCTGTCTGGTCCAAAAAGCCGCTTCATGGTCTGTAATCAATAGGAATTCTTGCCCCGTAACCTATTGCCCCATAGACTACCAAATTGGTCTTTTCCACTCATTTAAATGGCCCTCTTCGACTCTTTTCTCTCTCATAACCAAACTCACTTCCTCGTCAAAACTCACCCCCTCGCCCCTCAGCTCTGCGAAGTGGCATACTCAAGCTTCTCCACAAGAATCCGAAACCGCGTAATCTGTGCTTCGAGCCCGTCCTTGTCCAGAAAGTCCGCCTCTCGTAGCGTCTCGGTCTTTTTCGCCAACATCTCCAAATACTCGTTTTTCTGCTGCTGGTATATGAGCGCTTGGCTTTGTTGTATAAGCTGTTCTCGAAGATCCGTGTACCTCTGTCGGAGCTCCTCGTTGGACTCTTTGCGGGAGGCCACGTCCTCCTTGATTTCCTCTTGGACTGCCTTGGCGTACTCCTTTTCAAGCTTCTTCCTCAGAATTCTCTCGACTCTGGCTTCATCATCCACAATCAAACCTTCCTGATCCCTTTCGTCTTCGTCCATTGCAGCCTCCTCTACCTCCTCCTCCTCCTCCTCATCGTTCTCTTTAGCATCCAAAGCAAATAGGTAAGCTGGCTCCGGGAGAACCTCGGCCAATTCTTGTAACTTACTCACTCGTTCATTGATCGATAGTCCTCCTTGGGATTCTGGAATAATTACAGGCTGAACAAGCTGCTGGACCCTCTGCAACTGCTCATTCACCTTTGAAAGCTTATCGTGCTCGTTTTTGATGATCTGTTGCACGAGCTGGTGCACAACCTGTTTGCTGAATCTGTGCTTGTTTTGCCTTTTGATATGTAGATTCACCTTGAGAAGGCCGTTTTTTACCTTTTCTTCGGGGATCCCGTACTTGTCCATCACGCGCCGCACCTCGTTGGTGATCTCGACGGGCTGGCTGACTTTGCTGATTTGCTCCTCGACAATTCGCTTGATCTCAAGGTAGGACATAATGGTTGCAAAATAGAAAACAGAGCGGGTTGATGTAGGGCACATCCGTACACCAGACAAGGTCACCCACCAAAAGCCCTCTTCCCGTTCCTACATTCATCTTCAAACTGTCTTTCTGCTATAATGGAAGTGCAAAAAATTGCTTGACCCCACTGCCTCCTGCTTATCGTGGGAACTCCTCGACTAAAACGGTCATCGTCAAAAATGGTCACGTGACCTCACATACTAAAAGCAAGCCAGGGTTTCTTATCACACCACAATGGACCTTCTTACCAACGTATCACGGCCCATCTACGACCCGATTCGGGACGGAGCCGGCTACAGAGCCGGAACCCGGATAGCTAGGGTGCAGTTGCTCGTGGCGTTGTTCCTCGGGCTTTCGGCTTTTCTTATCTTTTGTATACTACGAAAGAAGTACCCCAGGATCTATGTGGCTAACTTCAACCGAATCAACCAAAACTACGTCCACAGCCACCTGCGGCAGAACTTGCCGCCGCTTTCACAAAATCTGCTTTTTGGCTGGGTGCCTATTGTTTTTAAGATAAGCGAGAGCCAGGTGCTAGAACATGCTGGTTTAGACGCTGTTGTGTTTCTTGGTTTCTTCAAAACGTGTATCACGATTCTCGCCACGTGTGTTGTTTTTGCTGTGACGGTGATTCTGCCTGTCAGATATAAGTACACTGGCCGGATGGACCTTCCAGATCCAGACGACGATGATGATCGTAATTCTACCCTGATAAGGCTGGCTGGGTTTCATGCTAACCTTGTGGAGCTCCTTAAGCATAAGAAACCTGATCACGAGCCCATTTTGTGGATGTACACGCTTTTCACGTATGTCTTTACCGGGCTTGTCATTTACTTACTCCACAAGCAGACCTTAAGAATCATCGATATGAGACAGAGATACCTCGGTAAGCAGAGTTCGATCACAGACCGCACGATCAAGCTTTCTGGAATCCTGCCTCTGTTGCGTGAGGAAGAGGCGTTGAAAAGACATATCAACCTGCTTGGTGTGGGAGAGGTTCACGATGTGGTGGTGGTGAAGGAGTGGAATGCACTCAACTCGTTGATCAAGATGCGCCGCAAGGTTATGAGACACCTTGAGATGGCCTGGGTGGAGTATCTTGAGACAAACGGCTTGAATAACACCACAGATGTCATGACCTCCAGGATACGACCTTCGATTGGCGATCTGTTCAATCTCCACCAGCCTCTGGGTACAGCATTTACAGACGAGGAAGAGGGCTCCAACGAAGTGCAAAGCGATGCAGCTTCAGCTACCTCCTCACCATCCATTATCGATCAGATTTCTGAGCACATTGACGATCACGATGCTCTTGAAGGAAGCGCCAGTCAGCTTCCCCTTCTCAACGACGATGCCGCTAAGAGACCTAAAATGAGAAAAGGATGGCTCGGCCTCTTTGGGCCCGAAGTCGACTGTATCAGCTACTACACCAACCAGCTTGAGATCATCGATAAGGAAATCAAACGCTACAGACTCCGCGAGTTTCCTCCTAGTTCCACGGCCTTCATCACAATGCGCTCTGTGGCTCAGGCCCAGATGCTAGCTCAGGCTGTGCTTGACCCCAAGGTGAATCACTTAATCACGAGCTTGGCTCCTGCTCCTCACGATATCATCTGGGAGAACCTTTGCTTAACAAGAAAGGAGCGTAATACGAGGATCTTCTTTGTCATGGTTTTCATCGGTCTTGTTTCGGTGCTTTTGGTGTTCCCCGTGAAGTTCTTATCCAATTTCTTGAACGTTAAGACGATCTCAAAAATCGCCCCAAAACTCGGTGAATTCCTCAAGGACCACAAATGGGCCGAATACCTCATCACGGGTATTTTACCACCCTATGTCTTTACCATCTTCAACATCGTCATGCCTTACTTCTACATTTGGGTCACCAAAAGGCAGGGCTACACTTCACACGGTGACGAAGAATTATCCATCGTGTCCAAAAACTTTTTCTACATCTTCGTGAATTTGTTCCTTGTGTTCACACTTTTTGGAACAGCTATAATCAGCGACACTGCCCAACTTGCCTACCAGTTGGCCTACTCGCTTCAAAAGTTGAGTTTGTTTTATGTGGACTTGATTATTCTTCAGGGTATTGGTATCTTCCCGTATAAATTGCTTCTTTTGGGAAACCTTCTCAAGTACCCAATCGGCAACATATTCTGGTGCAAGACCCCAAGGGACTATCTCGATCTTTACAAGCCACCAGTCTTTAATTTTGGGTTGCAGTTGCCACAGCCCATCCTTGTATTAATTATTACGATTACCTACTCGGTGATCTCGACCAAGATCCTCACCGCAGGATTGATTTACTTCATTATTGGCTACTTTGTCTTCAAGTACCAGTTGCTCTATGCATGCGTCCATCCGCCTCATAACACCGGTAAGGTCTGGCCTTTGGTGGTGAGAAGGCTGATTTTGGGCCTTTTGATTTTCCATACCACCATGTTTGGTACCCTTGCATCGCAAAAGGCTTTTGTCTGTGCAACGTTCATGATTCCATTGGCCATATTCACCTTGTTTGTGCTTTGGAACTTCCACAAGCACTACATTCCATTGTCTTCTTTCATCGCCTTGAGAGCCATCGAAAACAACCAGTTGCCTTTCCACGGTGACGAAGAGGAAGATCTTGTGGGCGATAATGATCTGGGAAGGGGCCAAACCCTTGACGAGCGCAGAGAGTTTTCTCAGACGTACGAGTATCCTGATTTGATCAACGACCTCGATGGTCCTATTATCGCATTGGAGAATAATCAGATTCTTGTGATCGGGCCCGATGGACACACGGCCAAGAAGCCCATTCCTGAATTTTAGTCGACAAAGAGTAATTTGATCGTCTTGGCCTGTTCCTGCCAAAGTACAAGCTCGCCAACAAACAACTGTGTGAATGTTGAGTCGCTGAAAGTTGCAAGCAAAAGGCTGATTGCAAACTTCCGAAACAAGATCAGCAAAATGGATGCGCCAACGACAATGGCTGATGTCAGCAAGTAAGACGATCCAATGTTCATTCGGAGCGCTTCAATGGTATTGATCAAGCCTAAGATATCAACCACGGATGATGCCACAGTGTGATTATCGTAAGGCCATATCAACATGATGATAGGAATGCATTTGATGGACAAGGACATGAAAACAGTCAGCAAGAGTACAGCCACAAGGTAACCCCGTTGAAACCTCGGCGGTAGGTTATTATTGGGCTCTCTTCCCCAGCCTATGAAGAACCTGAAGCACTTGTCTATAAGCACACAGAGCACAACACGCTCGGCCAATTGCTGGTATATGAAAAACAAGTATTGAAGCGGAACTGGTTTCTGCAAAATACGTGCCACTATGATACTATGTGTCTCATGCTTTTCCTCGTATGCCCAATTGAGGTACACCTCGAAGAGGATCGTGAGGGCAGCATAGCGCAAAAGCAGCTTGTACCTTTCAAAAAAGGGGATACTGTCTTTGTTGGAAAAAATGGAGCTTTCCACGACATTGTATGCCAAATGTCGGTATGCTTGGGGTTTGAGGAGGAGCACATCCAAGAAGAGTATGACATAATCGAACTCTATGTACTTGTCCGCTAGGTTTCCGCATTCAGGACAGACAGTCATCTGGATGTACTTGCTTTTAAACTCGGTGAAGAGCAGCTTGATGTTTGGGTTTGCGCATTCCACACAAATCATGCCATGGCTGGAAAGTTCTACTGTGTGAGTTGCACGCCTGGAGATGTTGATAATGTGAGGTGTACGGGTGCAGGCGTGGCTGCAACTGCCCATGTACGGTTATGTAAATTAATTATTATATGCTTAAAATGGCCTAGTGGCCTATGCTAATGACAGATTTGTTGCGGAGGTGGTATTTCAGGGACCTTGCCTAGAGTGAAAGCAGGTTCGTCGTATGCATCTGGGTAAGGTTCAGTAGTGCTGTTTGCCTGTGATGTGGTTGAGGGCTGATTACTTGAAAAACCGCCAAATCCTGAATTGGTTTGCGTTGGTGCCTGGGTTCCAGCCGCAGGCTGTGGAGCGAATGGATTTTGTGCTGGTTGAACTGCCGCCTGGCCAAACGGCGAGGTCGTATTTGGTGCACTTTGACCAAATGCAGATTGAGTTTGTGCTTGTCCGCCGAAGGCACTGGGTTGAGAGCTTCCAAAAGCCGATTTACCAAAACCAGAGGGTTCTGGAGTCTTTGCTGCTCCAAATGCGCTGTTTGTATTGGTCTGGCCAAAAGCGCTTTGACCAAATGCTGAACCTGACTGATTGGATGTGCTGGACTGACCAAAGCCTGAGCCTGTGTTACTTGTGTTGCCTGTGTTAGAGCTGCCGAATGCCAGTTGGCCGAAGCCCGACTGTCCAGATGACAGACCAAATCCTGATTTGCCAAACCCTGGCTGTCCAAAACCCGACTGACCAAACCCTGCTTGTCCGAAGCCTGCCTGACCAAAGCCCGCTTGACCAAATCCAGAATTCAGCTGGGCGGGTTTGTTTTGTGTAGTAGCTTGGCTGCCAAATGCTCCAGTTCCTGATGTACTTTGTGATCCGAAAGCTCCTCCACCTGATGTATTCTGTGACCCAAAAGCACCGCTTCCGCCTGTATTTTGAGAACCAAAGGCGCCGCTTCCGCCTGTGTTTTGAGAGCCGAACGCACCACTTCCTCCCGTAGTTTGGGAACCGAAAGCGCCTCCCTTATTCTGAGATCCGAACGCTCCTCCAGTGCTTTGTGATCCAAAGGCTCCACCAGACAGTCCCAGAGAGCCAAACGCTGAATTACCAAATGCCGAAGTCTTATTATCTGTGTTGCCAAATCCTGATTGGCCGAATGCTGAAGGTTGTTGGCCAAAACCGCTTTGGCCAAACGCAGAAGGCTGGCTGTTTTGTGAGCCAAACGCTGAGTTCTGAGTGTTCTGTCCACCAAAAGCCGAGTTTTGGGTATTTTGCTGTCCAAAAGCCGATGGTTGTGTATTTTGCTGTCCAAAGGCAGATGTGCTTTGTGAACCAAAGGCCCCACCTGTGTTGCCAAATGGCGAGGAGCCGAAGCCAGGGGAGCCGAAGCCTCCAGAGTTACCGAAACCGGACCCGCCAAAACCAGCGTTGTTCTGTAAATCGTTAATACTCTGCTCTAAAGTCTTGGGGATAAACGGCTTGATCAGTTCTTTTCGTGTCGCTCCGACTTGCTGGTACCTTGCGGCGAGGCTGTCCTTGGATTTGATTTCGTTGACGCAATACTCCATATCCCTTTGCCTCAATTCCAAGTTTTTGTCGTAAGCCTGCAAACTATTGTTGGCGACTGCCTCCATGTACTGTAGTCTGAGCTCTTCAGGCGACATATCCCTGCCTTCGATCAAACTATTGGCCGTAAACTCATTGACACCGTATGTTGTCAAAGTAGGCTTGAACTGGAAATACGGGAGTTCACTGAGATCAGTTTGGATGGTTCTGGCCAAGTCATTTGGGTTTCTGTCTTGGAAGGCTTTTAAAGCCGGATTGGTCGGTTGCGAGCCGAAAAGCAGTTGGCCTGACGGATGAAGAAACTTGCACGAGTTCCCAAAACGGCAATTACCCTGTTGAAAGAATTTGCATACCTGTTTAGGTGGCATTATGGGAAGTAACCTGAATGAGGAAGTGCTGGAGAAACAAGCGTTGATGATGCGTCTCACACCAGTACCTCCTTAAATGGCTGCAAATGTCCGAAGCGGTAGAGGAAGGCGACCTGAATATATTTGGTCCAGATTTTTTAAGAAATTAAACTTTCTTAAATTTGTTTTGGCTTCATTGTCGTCTTCTCATTTTGTCATGGATTGACTAATGCAAAGTGTTAGAAATGATGTAGTTTAAATCACGAAGAATCTCCCCAATGAACGTAATCTCCCAGTATCACAACCCCCTGTTCGTTCTGATAAAGGTATCAGTAATGACGTGCCCTTTCTGGTTACTCTCCATAAACGCCTCTTTGTAAAGCGGTAAAAGCTGAGATATAACTCCCACTTTTGTGATCTCTCCCCTCGAAATCTTCTGCAAGAATCCCTCCATAGCCCTTCGCAAAAACGGCTTCAGCAAGGAGATTCTGTCAATAAGAATAGCGTCAAAAGCCTCAATGAGCGAGATTCCAAGCGACGTGGGAATAAATGTCTCCGTTTTCCCAATCTTTCTTCGTGTGATGTAATTTCTTTGAATAATCTTTTCGACATGATCGGCAATTGTAGCATCAGTGCCGATCCCGTTAGCGTCCATGAGTGCAATAAGCTCTGCTTCTGTCATGTAATTAGGTGGACTGGTTTTTCCCTCTTTGACCTTGCAGCTTGAAGGCTGCACCTCCTGGCCTTCGGTGAACGAAGGAAGTTGAGCCAGTGATTTCCAGTCTGAGTATGGGTATACGTCCAAGAAGTTACGCTCGGTTACTTGGAGCCCCAGAGCGGTGAAACGCTCCAGACGCCATTGAAGATCGATCTTTGTTTGGAGGCCTCGGGCGTCGTCAGAACAACATGCCAAAAACCGCCGGACCACAAACTCGTAGACCTTCTTTTGATCAGGCCTCAATACGTCTAGCGATGCAAATTTGACCGGATAAATAGGCGGATGTGCTTTATCATCGTGTTTGCCACCCCTAGGAGCTCTAAAAGCACCCTGAACGATATTTGTAGCCTGGGAACCCCATAACGGGCTTTGGGTCTGTTTTGAGATGTAGCTTTGAAGATCAAGCTCAGCAGGAAAGCGGTCTGTTTCCGTACGTGGGTATGATATGAAACCTGCTGTATAAAGCAGTTCTGCAGCATCTAGCGCCGCCTTGGCCAGCATCCGGAAGTAACGTGAGCAGCATTTCTGGAGGTCCACGGTAGTCAATGGAAGCGGTTTATAGTGGGAGGTTGGTTTCGTGTTGACACCGACGATCCTGGGTTTGTCAGGACCCTCTAGAAGCTGGGCGTATAGCACATAAGCGAACATCTTATCGAAAAGATGGTTCCTGGCCCACGAGAAATTCACCTTCTGTCCGTCTTTCGTAACAATCAATTCAATTGACCAAAACGGTTCAGGCCGAAACTTCCGTACACGAATGTACCGGTCCACGACAAAACTTAATGTCGGAAACTGACACGTCCCGTACGACACCACCTCCTTGTCGCCCACTAGCCTCTTGCTTTTGTAGATATTGGTGAGAAAACGGGTAAACAGCGTACCCACACGTAAATCGAATTCCGTACGGCATTCCACGGCCTCCACGAGCCGCATGTCCAACAGCTTCGGGTTTCTGGCTGCTTGAACCACATGAGAAGGCTCCAAGTGGGAGAATTGTGCTCTCCAGGTCGTTTCCAACGTTATCCTTCGGTTGGCTCCCAGCGCCACTTTCATGATTTCCCACCCAATATACTCTCCTTCTCGATCACAATCCGTCCAGATCATGAGTCTGTCGGCACCTCGAGCCTCCTTGACGATATTCTTATGGATTCCAGCTCTCTGATCGCTATCTGAAGGAGGTTTTGTCAAAAACGGAGCGTCAAAAAGCCTTCCTGGCGGGCATTTCCCCCACCCGTATTCAGGCCCAAAATCCGTGCTCAACACGTGGCCCGCCACGGCTGTCATGGTGACTTCACACGAGCCCAAGCCAGGAAAGTTGTAGGTGAAGTCGTAGTTCTTGACGTATTTATACAAGCTGTTTCGAGGCCTGACGCGTCCACCAGATAAAACGTTGGCGACCTCCTTGGCGATGGAGTTCTTTTCCGCCACACAGAGCACCCGCATTGCATAAATCGGGTCTGGTGGTTCTTTTCTGTTGTAGTAAGCTGGATTATCAACATCCTGCACGCGCTGTAGATGCCTTCCTACCACTCCATCTACTTCTCCTGTGATATTCTACAAATACACTTATGAAAGACTTTGATGCCAAATTGGGCACGCTTTTGAAGTGGCTTAGCGCCAATACTGCGCTGTCGCTTGTTTCGCCGAAAATCACCGTGAAAAATACCCCTGATTCCGGTAGAGGCCTCTACGCCACAGGCCGAATCGGGTCTCTGGAGGAAATTGTGAATGTACCCCACCTGCTTTTGCTCAATTTCACCACGGCACTTGCACACGTGTCGAAATTTGCAGGTTTCGCTTTGTCAGAGCCGCATTATGCCAAAATCAACGTCCCCAAGACTCCGCAAGATCAAATCACCCAGATCTACCAAAAACTCACGCTAGACGGCATTTTGGCGCTTCTGTCGTTCCAGTTCTTGAGCGCGTACATTGTGCTTGAAAAACGGCGTGGAACAAACTCTTTCTGGAAACCGTTTTTGGATATGCTTCCTGAGCTAGAGGAGCTCTCCTTGGCTCCAGTGGTATGGACGGTGCTTCAATCGCCTGGCCACGAGGATCTCACGAGACATTTGCCCAGATCCACAAGAAAACACTCAGAAAGAGTCGTCAAGCGTTTCGAGACGGACTACGCCACAGTTAATGCATTTTTAGACCTCACCCTAGACAAAGTCGAGTTCCTTTGGGCCTGGATGTGTATCAATTCCCGTTGCTTGTACATGGAGATGCCACAGAAAAAGGACTCGAGCGACAATTTCACTTTAGCGCCCTATGTGGATTTCCTAAACCACCTGGGAAACGACGAATGTGGAATAAAGATAGACACCCATGGATTCCATGTTCTCACTTCATCAGTTTACACGCCTGGCATGGAATTATACTTCAGCTACGGGCCCCACTCCAACGAGTTTCTTTTATGTGAGTACAGTTTCACAATTCCACAAAACCGGTGGAACTACATCGACGTTTCTGACTATATTACACCCCTTCTTCGGCCCCAGCATGTCGCTTTCCTCAAGGAGGCAGGCTACTACGCAGATTACACCATCAACGATATGGGAATGTCGTTCAGAACAGAAATAGCTCTAGCCACTTTGCAAGAATCCGATCCGGCTCAATCCAGAAAGCTCCAGGCTTTTGTGGATGGGATTTCTGATGGTACAGTGTACCAGCTCAAGAGCCATGTGCTTTTGAAGCACATCCTTACGAAGATCGTGGGAGACTGTGATAAGAAATTGGCGATAGACACGGAGGATCTGAGGATAAAGGCCATTTCTGTGCTTTACAGCGACACGAAAGCTATAGCAGAGAGGACCATAGAGGAAATTGGCGGATAAAGTTGCTCATAATTTAGTATGGATCTACATCGCTCACCTCCATGCTCGTATCACGTTGTTCATGCTATTTACACTTCCCCACCAGCATTATATATCATCGAGGGCAGACTTTTCGATTCCACGCTCGATCGATACCTTGTTCTTCACCATCAGCACCAACAACTTGTTCGTCAGGGTAGGAATGCCGTGCTTTTTTCCAAGACCGACAATATAACCGTTGATGCCGTCAATCTCAGTCTTGTTCATGTGTCTAACGTCCTCTCTCATCGAGGAGCTGTTTTGCGATGTCGCCTTGCAAACCTCCAAAACGGTGTTTATGAGTCTATCTGGATCTAACCGCATTCTAGCGCCGTCAATGTCCTCAATCTGAGCACCAAACTCGGCTTGAAAACACTGAACGGCCTCTTTCGTCACCTTTTTCATCATTGGGATAACCTGAGCGCCGTAAAGAAGATCACCATTGAAACAATCTAGCAAGGCGGTGAGTGGGTTGATGCAAGCGTTCACTACCAATTTCTCCATCTGCGTGATAAGCATAGCGTTCAGAGAAACGTAGCTGGCATTGAGACCAGAGCTCTTCAAGAGATCCTGGATCATTTCGGGTGTTTCGGAGTTTTTCGTGAACTTTGGCGCTATAGTGAGTTTTCCCATTCCAACATGGTTCACCTGGTTCGGCGTCAGTTTGTATGCTCCGTGCGTCGAGATGGCCTCGTATATGGAAGGCATGTTTCCAGAGTACGCCCAAAAAGTGCTTTTGAGCTTCTCGGCCATGCCCATGCCGTTTTGCAATATTAGCACGTTCAGGGTCTCGTTCAAAAACGGAATGTATGGACCGAGAGCGGTGACGGTGGAATGCGATTTTGTGGAAATGACGAGGTTCTCTATCGGACCGTTCACAGACGGTAGCGGCGCCAATTCGCCCTTGATGGTTTGAGCTGTAGTCTCCACAGACTCGTTGTGAGGCCTCACTAAGGTGATTTTCGATCCTGCCGAAAGATACAGCCCTAGACGCTGCTTCGACTTGAAAAGCAACACCGGGTCTTTTCCTAATCGGGCTAACTCATGCGCCACAAGCAGCCCCATGGCCCCTGCACCGAGGATCTTGGTTGCCATGGTTGGTAGTAGTAGACTTTTCCGGATGAGCATCAACAGTTGATGCAGTCCCCACCGAAGTCTACCCTAGATAACACAAGTGGGCAAACAGAGGCAGGTGCAGATTTCAAAATAAAAACCTGGAATTTAAAAATCTGTCATTTTGGATAATTCAACCGTTTATTATACTTTCTGGTGTTGGTGCCACGTGACTTCACCTACAACTCCACACCCCGGATTCTCACTTTGGTTTCTCACCATACCATGCTTGTTATCGGACTCACTGGCGGAATTGCTAGCGGCAAGTCCACTGTATCCAAAGAGTTTGCCGAAAATGGAGTTCCTATTATAGACGCTGACGTCATTGCTCGTCAGGTTGTGGAGCCTGGCAGAAAGGCTTACGAACAAGTTGTGGCTGCTTTCAGTGACGATGTGACTGGATTGGTCGACCCCACAGACGCTTCGCTCAATCGGCCCGCTTTGGGAAAGGCTGTTTTTGGAAAACCAGAAAAACTCAAGATTTTGAACAAAATTGTCCATGGTGCCGTCAAGAAGGAGATGGTCTGGCAGCTTGCTAAGGCCTATGCGGGTGGTCACAAGATGGTCATTTTGGACGTGCCGCTTTTGTTTGAATCTGGTATTCACAGCATTTGCGGTGCCACAGTGACGGTGTTTACAGAAAAAGAAAGGCAGCTCAAGCGTCTTTTGGAGAGAAACCCTGAACTCTCTGAGGAAGACGCCCGCAACAGAATTGAAAGCCAGCTTTCCAATGAAATTAGAAACTATAGAGCCGATATTGTGTTGGACAATAACGGAAGCGTGGGTCAGCTCAAGGAGAACGTCAAGTCTGTCCTTGCTGAGCTTTCACCCAATTGGATCTGGCATTACGCGGACTTGATTCCTCCAATTGGCTTTGCCCTGGCCATATTGACAATGGCTCTTCGTGCTGGCCGTGACTATTACAAGGGAACTATTCCACCCAAGAAGGATAACTAAGCTCTCCAGTACTGTGCCAAACTGTGAAGGGCGTCAATGACAACCGGCAAGAAAGCGTTGACGCTGTCGATGATGAGGTTCTGGAAATGAAGAATCGCCAGCTCCTCGGTCATCTCCAAGGCAAACTTCTCCTCGACCTTCTCCACCGCACGTTTTGGATCGATCTGGATATCAGGTATATTCGCATTCAACATCAACTGGAAGAGATTCAAAATCAAGTTGCTGTTTCTTCTGAGCGTCGTGTACGTGATGAAGCAGTAGTTCTTGAAGATGTTGAAGTTCTCGTGGGTCATTCCGCCCATTCCGTCAACCACTTGGATAGGAAGCTTCATCAATGGTGGGAAAGGCTTGGGGTCTCTACCGAGAATATAGCCAAAATCGGCGTGCCAAAATTTGCCGTTGGGTGAAAGAAGCAAATTATCCAAGTGTCGATCGCCCACACCGAGAAGATAGGTAATAACACAATAACCAGCGCATGACTTCACGTAGTTGTCCATGAGAGTTGGCGAAATGCCTAAATCACTGGAAACAGCATGTTCCTGATCTTGCAGGGGTATGCTATTTTTCTTTTTCCCGAGAACACTCTGTGATTCCGGTTCTTCGTGGTGTAACATTCTGCTGTGAAGTTGGAGGTACCGAAGAATACCATTTGCTGTAGTGGCACTTTGGCTAGGAGCAGCATTGTCATATGTTGCAGATAAAACCGCATCTAGCGTTTCATTGGGCACAAACTGAATGAGACCAGCGACTGGGCTTGTTGCCAAAATCTTGTATGGAGTGAGCTTCAAGTCCAAATTCTCGTTCTTCAAAAGCTGGTCCATGAGGTTGATGATCTGGATGACCAATTGATCCTGACGCAAGTCGTCTCCAATCTTGAACATGAGCAGGTACTTTCCATACTTGTGTTTCTTGGTTCCCCCGAAGATTTGGGAGGAATGCGATGACAACAGGCGTTCCTTGAAGTTGGTTATTGTTTTGAAGGTAATTTTAAGTGGTGCCAAAGAAGACTTGAAAACGGAAGACTCTTCTGGATGGCATCCACAAATGATGACGGATGGATCGAGTGGAAGTGGGAAAGGGTCAGGAAACAGAAGCATTTCATTCAGAGGGTCTGCAAGGTACTCTCTGAGGAACTGGACCTTCTTTGCTGTTGCCTCATTTCTCTTGAATGTTGTTCGAATCTTCTCCACCAAGCTGGTGAGCTTCTTAATAAACGCAATCTGCCTTTTCAAATACTTATACTGTGGCAGTTTGGTCTTTTGACAGAAGGACCTGAGCTTTTCAATATACGTGTTGAGCACAACTCCGTAAATTGCACCATTGACAGCTTTCGACTGAGGAACAACCTCTCCCCCATTGAGCTGGTCCTCATTTTCAACCTTCACATACCAGTAAAAGAAGTTTCCGAGAATACCATTTTCCACTGACCGTTGGAGCAAAAATTTGGCTAGCGGTGCCTTCTCCAAATTAGGGTTTTCTTCAATGACCTCGTACTTGAGTGCCTGAACGAGTTGGAGAAGGTACAACAAAAGCTCATCTGCTGAGGCCAATTTGAGTCTGTCCACTGCAAACTCACGTAGTTTCATGGCCGATTTAAAAATCTTTTCGATTTTTTGCTCCTCTGCTGTGTTGATATCCCTGCTGGTTCCAGAGGTGTCAACCAAACGACGTCTAAGAGCCGCTGTAAGGTTATGAGGATTGAACTGGTTGCTGAGAAGCTCTAGAGCGTCGCCCATATCGATCTTTTCAACGCTCCAGTATGGCAAAATCTCCTTCATTGCATGGTCAAGCTCCTGCTCGTTTTCCCAGTTGAAGCATTTGAAGAATTTGGTCAAGAACTGGCGCTGACTCTGTAGGGGACCTGATATTTGCGATTCGTCGCCCAGATTTTTTGAGAAGTAGTACCTGTACTTCCAAAGAATGCGTTTCTCGTTATCGGCCAAAATGGCGCTCAGTGGTTTTCTCAAGATCTTGCCCAACTCGTCACGGTCCTGCGGTGACGGCTTGACCTCCTTATCTAGCAAGGAGTTGTTGTTGACGCTGGTGGAGAGAATGTTGAATTTTTTCTCAATTGGATCAAGTGGTGCTCTGCGAGTCATGCTTCCTCCTGATTGCCCAGGGACTCCAGCACTTCCAGGAACCGAGGCCTCGCCAGTAGTGTTGAAATTGTGGAGAGTCAGAAAATCAAAGTCAGGGTCGTATAATTTCCGTGGCGTCAAGTCCACAGACGTGAGAACCATGGCACCTGCGTTCTCGGTACCCAATTGCGTCTTGTCAAAATCAGCCTGGGGTAGCATTTCCATGGTAGGAAGCTCATAGGTGATGTCCAGGAATACAATTGGAAGGGAGAAGTTCGGAAGCTCCACGAAAAGATGGTATGGTGCGTCGCCGGGACACGTTTCCTGCTGTTTGAGCTTTTCTGCAATCGGAAGCAGGAGAGAATCTAGCCATGGTTCCTTCTTGAGAGCGCCGTTTTCGTAATTGATCATTCTATCTTCGAGCGGTGTGGTGCAAAATTCGGTTTTATAGTTGACAGCGGGAGAATCCTTGTTAATCGGAACCTTGTAGGTGCCCTTCCTGAGGGACCCGTTTTCATGGTTAAACAAAGAGAGTCTACCTTCCGCAAAGTGGACCGGTTTTGTCTGGACAATCTCAAAAAGCTCAAATCTCAAGTATGCGCTGTAGTCGAGCTGGCTGTAGAGAATCGGGAGCTTCATCACAGCATCCCAGATCCGCCTATTACCCAGAAACTGCCTATACGGCGTCTGGACTGGAGGAATTATGCGATTGTTGTTTCCATCGAGCACCTCCACTTTCACAAACAAGTCTGAGCTTGCCAGGATCTTGGAAAGCACCTGGAAGAGGTCCGGGTTTTTGTATTTTGCGGAGCTGGAGGCGGGTTTGAACTTGTGGGTTGTTTCTAGGGAGCGGATTTTCACGAAAAGGGGGATCAGGAGGTGCTTGGAAAGCCCGAAAGTGGCAGTGTTGGTCGACAGGAGCAGCAGAAGTCCTGCATCTGGCGCCTCCACGGTCTGGGCGCCTCCCTGTGACATTGGGTTAAAGAAGTGGGTGTAGTTGAGATAGTGATAATACTGCACGGATGTAGTTGCAGCCATTCTGGGGACAATTACAAGAGTTGTGATGTTTAGGTAAAAAGACATGGAATCGGTTTATTGTTGTTTGCAATTTATTTTGTCTCCTATGGGAGTTCTGCACATCTAGGGAAAAGTTTAGAAATTGTATAAGCGCTATGACCAAAGAGCGTCTGTGGATCAAGACTTATTTAGTACTATTTCTGAAGTAATTTGACTGAGGTAATCTTAGAACGATCTTAGGTTGGAAAAAAGCCCTGATATTGGATTCAAATGTGTTGTCTGAATTGATCGAATGTGGGTTCATTAAGCTCGTGATTCTGTAATAGAATCAACACCATTCAAATTTACGAAACTTATTAGCAATTGATTTTGAAAACTGTCAATTTTTGACTTATTAAACCTCTAGCTGCCCTTTTTTGACTGGTGAGTCACTGACACTTACAGTTGTCAAAGCAAATACCAGCACTCCATCAGTATAACTGTCCTTTAATTTTATCAAAATCATAGCTAAATATTTCGCCATCCCTACAGCTGCCACTACCAATCCTTATCCTTCCTTGTATATGCTTATTTACTTTTATGCTTCACCGGCACCTCCCAATATATGCTTATTTACGTTATGCCTCAGACGTAACCCCGGGCGTTCTGGCCAAACCAAGTGTACTGGTTTTCCTTCGGCGGCAGCGCCAGGTCGTCATCATCTTCTCCTTCTGATGAACCATCGGCAGAGTCCAGGTCCAAGTTGTAGAACATGGAGGGCGTCTTTTTGAGGCCAATGGGGCGTTGAAGACCAGATGGTTTGGTAGGGTTTGTGTTGCCGTTGCTGGTGGTTCTGGCCGTCCCATTCAAACCCTTATGGGCTCTGATGCCCGAAATACTGCCATTGGCACTTCCGTTAGCGCTGCTGTTGATGCTGTTATCTGTGCTGTTTTCGCCGTTTTCACGCTCGAACTTCTGGTTAAGCACGGACGGAATGAGCTTGACGGAGTTGCCCCTGGCACGGTTGGGGACCACAGGGGAGCCCAGAAGAACCCGTTTTGGCGTGACGTCCCGTTTCTCCTGGTTGAACGAGAGCGAGAATTTGTGGACTTCCGAATCCGACAGCTCGTCTGAGGAGTTCTCCTTGATCTTGCCGAAACTGGGCGTCTGGGCCCTCTTTCTCTGCAACGATCTGATCCGCAGAAGTCTGCTGATGACTTCGCCCATATTACTGGAATGCTGGCTTCCGTCACCATCGAGATCAGAAAAATCTCTAGGTGACAAGGAGCCACCAGAGAGTACCAGGGGCCCCATCCCCTGTTCTGACAGCGAGTTGTTGTGTGAATATGCATTGCGCTGCAACAGAGCAAGGTTGACGTGGGAGTTGACTTTGGAGTTCAAGAAATGCACGGGGATATCGGACGCCAGCGAGTACCGGAGCTTGAAAGGGCGCTGGATCTCGTCGTTGGAATTAAGCTTGACGAGATCAATGACAGAATTTGTACGTGTGGGCTCCGAGTTTGGCGAAACTTCGGGCGAAATGGGATGCGTGGGTGGGTTGGAGAGGTCAAAAGCCTTCTTGAACGCCTCGTCGTTCATCACCTTGAGCTTGAACTCGGATTTGACCTGGAATTTGTTCGAATCCAGGGCGTTCCAGTTGCGTGCCGTGGGACACAAGAGGTTTTTGGCCAAGTTGGGTCTTTGCACGTTATTGGCGGAGTTTTCAACCCTGAACGAGGGCCGAGGCGCCAGCAGCTCCTGGTTGGGCAATTTCAAGCCGCCAAAGCCAATGGCGGGGTACTGCTTGTTTTCGTCTAGCTCGTTCTTCTTGATGAAATTCAGCTTGTAGACGACGATGTCATTTTCGAGGTTTAGCGTGGAGTCGATGTCCTCGTAATGCAAGAGCTGTAAGCAGTCACGCTTGAGGGTCCAGACGTCGTTCTCCCTCCTGGCGTAGTTGATTGTGGATTCCGGGATCTCCTCGAAGATCGGGTGGTTGATGAAGTAAGACATGAAGTGGTTGATCAGGTAGCCGTGGCCAACGACAATGACCAAGTCTTCGTTGTTCACATGCACGGGTTTGTCGTAGGTGGCCATGAGCTTCTTGAAGTACGTTTTGCAGCGGTCAGCGTAGTCCCTATAACTGAGACCAGGCTCATTCCAGGGCCCTAGCGTTGTGGTGGGACGGAAGTTCAGCACACACCGCCTGTTCTCCAAGATCTTCACGTTGGGCGTGTACATGTCGTACGCTTCGCTCAGCTCCGTGTAAGGAGGGGTGTTCTTCATTCTGTCGTGGAGCCATTCCAGTAGGGCAAAATCACAGAGCATGTTGAACTTGAGGCGTGTTTCAGGCACCTCTTTTTGAAGCGCCAGCACCACCAAATCCGCCGTCTGGCAGCACCGCAAGTAAGGCAGGAAATGCACATACACGTTGCGTTTTGGTTTCAGAAACTGACACACTTGTGCTATGTCACGAGCCACCCTTGAGGCTTCACCCACAGCAGATACCGAAACCGAGGGATCGTAGGGTTTGTAGTCATGGTAAAGGGGAGGATTATTTAAGGAGGCATGGTCTGCCCGCGTTGCGTGGCGAAGGAAGACTAGCTCCATGGAAAAAGGGTGAGTTTGTGGAGGAGTTATAGTTTGAAGAGTGATGTAATGGAGAGGTCCGGGAGCAGGCAGAGCGCTGTGTGCAGGACAAAATGGTCCCTCCTCAAAATCTCTGTTTTTTTTCTACGCTGGGGGGCTTACCGGGCTTCGGTGGGGTACGCGTGTGTGGAGACGGGTCAGGGCTGTAGTGCTGATGTAGAGGGATTGAGTCTGGAGCTGCGGGGTTCGGGATTTGGTGAGATTTTGCAAAAACACGAAATTGTGGATTTTCTCTGAATCGGGCCTGTCGATTGGGAAAAAAACTAAATGGGCATGATTGCCATCTCCGAAACTACATTACTTGCCTTTTGTGAGCGGATCTGGGCCGGCTTTTGTGGAAATCAATGGGGCATTTCTGCTGACCAAGCCACGACATTTTAGAGAGATATAATGTCGCGTCTTGTTTTTGCTTATATCTTGGGCGCTACAGGGGCTACAAAAAAACGAATTACACCGCTGAAATCAGAAGATTTCGCTCTATCAAGTGGTGTAGTCCATTTGTATGCAGCGTCGCTGGGTGCCGAAATTCCGGGTCCCTAGAACGACATCGTCTTCTCACCGTTGTGGTTCCTTCACATTTGCCTCTTTCATGTGCAGCCGTTGCGCTACACGTCAAATATGCGCTTTCACGTTCTCGATATTTTCGGCACACCTTGACCGGCCCGTAAAGCCAGATTTTGAAAAAAGCTATAAATTCAATTCCTCAAACTACGTTTCAACTAAAAAACAGCTTCCACTAGGTTGCTGGTGGCTGGGGGTAAAAAAAGCTCCCTCGGTTTCCGCCCCTCTCCTGCATATAAGCCACCAAAAAGATGCTCACACAAAGCCCCATCAGTGCTTCACTGCAACAGGAACAGGCCATATCACCTGATAAAGTCTCCTGATAGCGCGTCACCCGGGACCGCCCGGATCAGAAAATCTGGCCTATTTTTAGAAATTCCTTTAAATACTAATACTTTTCATCCACCGATGAGCAAGAGCTGTCAAATGACCATCCTGTATGCCTCGCCACGTCATTGTAGGCAGTGGGAGAATGTGGGAACAAGCGATCGCGGGGATTATGTGCAGGACCCCACTATTTGTAGTTGCAAAACATTAAGTAATTTCCTTCACACACCGTCAGTAACAAGTCAATTTTAGCCGACAGGGGACCCTAACACGTAGACCATTAGTAGACCTAGTGTGATTCCTGTACATAGAACCGGTTTTTCCCCAGCAATCAGCCTCCTAGCGCTTGCTACTACTTTGTGGGGAAAAAACACAGCTCTACACAGTGCTTGATTTGATCGATCTGATGAAATTTCATCTTGCTGTGGGGTGCAGCAGGTTTACGTTTGCTGAGGCTGCTTAGTGAGTGGATATATTTTCTCAAAACGGAAGGAGTTTCGGTGATTGCGATGACGTCAGACTTTTTCACCGTGGAGAATTGCTGAAAAACAACACATCACTCTTCAGGCACCACGTCTTAAACGCATGTAAGTCTTATCGCCAAAAACTGGAGATACTTGGGGGTGGCTTATATATTTGCTGTTGCTGGTCTGAGTCTGAATCAGGTCTTGTAGGAAACCTGTGCACCAGGTGAAGCTAGTGGGAGTTTATCTGATTGGCGCAATCAGAGAAAGTTTAGGTTAGGTCTCATTGCATTGAACTGCTCCCAAAAGCAAGTTATTAAACCTTATTCGACATGTCGATTTAAATTTGTCACGTGAAGTGTCACGTGACCGATCAACACTTTTGTGAGACCTCTTCCTCTTATCAATGCACAAGATGAACCACGATCTTTCTGCAGAACAAGTCCAGATCCTCAAAACCCAGTGTCTCCAAGGTATGCATTATCCCTATTCTTCTCCAAAATCATTCTAACCGCAGCACGTGACTTCTCTTACTCCCCATACTCCAAGTTTCGGTAAGTACCGCATCACACCACCCAAAAACACGTACTAACTCCAGCGTTGGATGTGCCATTCTCACGAAAAAAGGCTCCATAGTCACCGGTGCCAATGTTGAAAATGCCCTGTATGGTGCAGGCATTTGTGCTGAACGAACAGCCATCACCAGATGCATAATGGAAGGTTCTAAGGAGCTTCAAGCTATAGCAATTCTGGGTGATTCCGCCGAGCCAATCAGTCCTTGTGGAATTTGCCGTCAATTCATTCGAGAATTTGCTCCGAAGGTGCCTATTTTTATGTTTTCGGGAAAGAATGATGATATGGTGTGCAAGACCTTGGAGGAGCTTCTTCCCATGAGTTTTGGACCTGAGCAGTTACAGTAGGCGGGAGAGATTTGAAATTGCATGATGGTTGAAGGGAGGAGACATTGAGCGGGGTGATTATAGATCAAGAAGAATTGATGGTAGGCTCGATCGTCAGGTGGTGTTCAGGAGATTGTGCGGAGACTAGGGTGCAATTCGGGAAAGAAAGCATTTAAATATTGAAGTGCTTACGGCTGCTATCTCGGGAAATTGCATAAGTGGAGAATCTCGGATCTTTGTTGGTCGAGACAGATAGTCTTTTAGTGCCTAGGTATACCATGATTTGAAGGGCCCTTAAAATCTTGAGTCGTGAAGCTCAAGGCATAATTGGCGCATCTGGCGGGCTACTAACCCTGTTGAACAGGACCTTCTAATTTGATTTGACGGTATCGTATCGAATTCAAAGAACGACTCTGGCAGCCAAATGAGACGGAATCTTCAGCTCACAATCAAGATTTAACCCCGCAAAATTAGTCTCGTTGATACCACCTGCTGAAAACTTTTTACCTTGCTTCAACCTATTGCTTTCATGGAAAACACGCTTCTGCATGAAGAGATCTGGTGGCTGCAAAACCATAAAGTCGCCCCAATCCATAAAACCCCGATATTTGGAAATTTCGAAGTTTTCCAGCTCCGAAAAAAAAAAATCAAAAAGTCGTCATCCCTACAAATTTAAGCATATCATCGTCCTTCAAGAAACTCCGGATTCCTAGCTCCACACCCGTGCACCATCACCAACTTCCTCACGAGATGAGTTTTTCACCACCGAATTTCCCCAGAACTTCTAGAAACCACTCATAATGGCCGTTTGTGCAGCACCTACATGTGGTAACGAAACGGAGTCACAGCTCAAATGCCCTGTTTGTCTTAAGGGCCTGGTGGAGTCAGTTTTTTGCAACCAGACATGTTTCAGAGCCGGCTGGGCCGTTCACAAAGCCGTCCATCCAGCCGAGGACGGAAAGGAATTTGATCCTTTTCCAAACTTTACTTATACTGGTCCGTTGAGACCAGCGTACCCATTGCTGCCTCGGAGACCAGTGCTCAAGGATATCAAAAAGCCCGATTACGCTCAGCATGGAAAACCAATCAGCGAGATGAAAAACGACAGAACAGGCAAAATCACCATCTTGCAGGAGCACGAAATCAACAAAATGCGCAAGGTGGGCAAGATCTCGAGGGCTATTATTGACAAGGTTGCATCTCACATCAAGCCCGGTGTCACTACTGACGAGCTTGACGCCATTTTGCATAAGGAGTGTTTGGCCAGGGGAGCATACCCATCTCCTCTCAATTACTACAACTTCCCCAAGTCCGTGTGCACGTCTGTGAACGAAGTCATTTGTCACGGTATTCCTGACCAGCGTAAACTTGAAGACGGAGACATTCTCAACTTGGACGTTACGATATACTTGTACGGCTACCACTCGGATCTTAATGAAACCTACTATGTGGGTGACAAAGCCAAGTGCGACCCTGACACCGTCAGATTGGTGGAAACTACAAGAGAAGCGTTGGACTTGGCAATTGCCAAGGTTAAGCCAGGTTTGATTTTCCGTGAGTTGGGATCGGTGATTGAGGAGCATGCTACCAAAAACGGCTGTTCTGTTGTCAGAACCTACTGTGGCCACGGTATCAACTCGTTGTTCCACTGTCAGCCTAACATTCCACATTACGCCAAAAACAAGGCTATCGGTATTGCCAAGCCAGGCATGGTTTTCACCATTGAGCCCATGCTTTGCCTTGGCACGCATAGGGACTTGACCTGGCCCGACGGATGGACGGCTGCTACCCAGGACGGTAAATATTCTGCTCAATTCGAGCACATGTTGTTGGTTACAGAAGATGGATGCGAGGTTTTGACTGCCAGAAACGACGACTCGCCAGGTGGTGCGGTGAAGAGGATATAATGGGGTGTTTAGATATGCACGATGATAGACGACGAGAAGTAGTGTTTTAATTTGTAAAAAAAAAAAGGAATATGGGCACTTTTGGGTGCAAAAATGGACGAGTCCGGATTCGAACCGGAGACCTTTCGCATGCTAAGCGAACGCGCTACCAACTACGCCACACGCCCAGTGTACACAATTGAGCACGCAGGTTTAATAAGTTCGTTACCTACAGAAGGCTATTTTTTGACATTTTGAGGTCAAAATTAGCTCATTTTTGACTTTGTATGTTCATTAGGCTGAATTGTAGCTTTCAACTCCAAAAAAAAAATTCTCAAGGAGCTAGAGCGTTTTTAATATCGTACCACTCTATCTTCCTACAAATGGCACGTAGATTAGCCAAAATCATCTTGCAAAGACATTGTGAGTGCCCAAACAAGCTACAGTTTATTCTCAAGCAATTAAGAGTGTTCTAATGTAGAATAATCCCTAGATTCGCTGAAAAGCATCTGCGGTGTGACTGACCATAGAACAAACTCGACCATAATTTGGCACATCCTGAAACAGTACAATGCCTAGTTACGTTTTTCGAATCGAAGGTTTGGTTTGACACTGTGGAAAATTACTGGTAATAGTGCAATACGACCTCAAACTAATGCATGCATTTTCAATCACTATAACCCTCCATGAGCTGTCTCCACTGAACAGCTGAAAACTTCTAAAGCGTCCTCTTAATTTAATAATCGATAAAAAAAATTTCATGTGAAGTTCATCGTTGATAGAAACCTTCCAGGTGTACATGTTGAAGGGTTCACTTAGACATTTTGAGAAATCCACCGCAAGTAACTCCACTATCCTTCATGCACCACGGTCGTAAATTCACGTCTCTGAACAAGAAATTTTAGCCCGTGCCCCTTTTTCGGACGTGACGCAAGGAAATAATATCAAAAATATTATGGCCATGTCGACGTCAAATGCATCGAGAATGGTGTGGTGCAGGATTTTGCAGCCGTCAATATACCCCACAGACCTCACCTGTCTTTACATTGTAAGAGACTCTCATGTGTCATAAGACCTTACCGTCAAGCGACCAACAAGGGAAAATGGCATATGCACTTCTGCTAATAAAACGAAAAGATTAAGGCTTTCAATAATAATGGTAAAATTTTTAAAAAACTATTTATAACTTCCATTCCTGAAAAAAAGGCATTCTGGGCACCCCTTGAAGTGACTTCTCCTCCTAGAGCCCTGCCGAATCCGATAGTGCGGAGCGGCATTTTATATGCACTCCTTTAAATCTCCGAAGTATAAATCCGCGCGTTTTCCCTGATTTGAAAAGTTGGGGGTTCTTGGTTGATTCCCCCCTGGCATCAGGTGACAAAATGCAAAGCAAGATCACCGGTATGCTAATTGGCCGATTGGCCTAACGTGGCCCCCAGTGGCAAAAATCGCCTGCTAACCCAGATAAAACCCAGAATCGCCTGCTATGGCGCAAATCTTCAGGGCTCATAACCTCCAAATAAAGTCCCCAGCGGCAAACACAAGAAATAAATTCATCAGAATTGAATGTTTTAACAAAAGTCCCGGCTTAGGGCATCAACGAGCAAATCGTGTTGACTGTACAACAACATGTCCACGAAGCTTAAAATTGTCAGAAATACCTCGAGATAGCCAATTGATCTAGTGAATCGATTCGTCCGTGGTACAAATTTACCAAAACACAGAGAGAATGGTTTACCTCCTGTTTGCTAACACAAAGATAACATACTACCAAGAATCCTCAAAGAAGGTCGTCGTGGAAGTGTCTAACCAACAGCTTTTTGAAAAGGTCGGTTTCTACATATAGTTTTTTTTCCTTTCAATATAGTGTAACTTCCAAACTCGCTGTAGACAATTGTAGAATGCGAAGGCCTTATGGTTCAGCTAAGACAGCATTCTGATGATTTAGGCTGTTCAGAATTATTTTCTCTTCGATATCATTCAAGTCAATGTTGGTAGATCTTAATTGTAACAGCGATTATCGAGAGTTCACTGGTTGAAGTTGTTCAAGTTGCAAACAAACGAATTTCCAGAATATCTTGAGAAAGTTAGTAGATCATCGTGATTTTACAGTTCAGGAGTGGTATTGTTCAATTTGAGCGAAAACCACAAAGACATTAAAAAATCATGGGAGGTATAAACTGAAAATTTGACGCTCTTAATGCCTTGAATCACAACCAAAATAGTTAGTCTTCGAATTTCGGGAAGAAAATTTGCCTAATATATCAATCTACAGAACAGTCTTCTGGTTGCAAATTGTATGGGTGCGAATCAATAGGTATGACGATCTGAAACCACTTTTCACCAAATGTCATTCAGGTGTTTTTTCTCATCCAAGATAAAGAGCTTCGAATTCAGATCTAAATAAATTGCGTCACCGTTTTTTAGAATAATGGTTCAACTAACATGTTTTAGAAACTTGTGAACATTTATCTCACCAGCGCAAGTACATCACAGAAAGCCATGTAGAGGCTGAACGAAGCGATTACTTTCATACTCTTTTTTTTTTTTTTTTTTTCTTAATTATAAGGATATCTCGGAATAGAAATATCCTCGTTGCTCTACCCATATCCAAATCACGACCATCCTTCGACAAGCCCAATGCCCCACATACCTTTACGACAAAGGAAAAACCCCAAAACTTGAACCTAAATATCGCAAAGAAAGCATTTTCCCCTTCACCTCCCCAATCAATTCCTTTCCATCAATGCAATTCTAAACCCTTCCATGGACCCTGGGACACGTCCTGCACACACCACACACCATCACCACCAACAACCCCTTCAACGACGCCGTCAATTCCCATAAATTTTTTATTAGACCAAATAATTCAATCCTTTGAGGCCAACTACCCTCCCGGCAAAACTTCTCTGCCCCCGCTTCATTCCAAAACTAGGACCCACCTCGGTCACGTGCGCACCATAAGAAAAAAAATCACCACCGAACAGAAACCACCACCATGTCTTCGTCGATCCAGCTCCTCAACCCGAAGGCCGAGTCCTTGAGACGCCTGCAGGCACTCCAGGTGAACATCGCCGCCGCCCAGGGCCTCCAGCAGGTTTTGGCGTCCAACTTGGGCCCCAAAGGCACCCTAAAGTTGCTTGTGGATGGATCAGGTAACCTCAAGTTGACCAAAGACGGAAAGGTTTTGCTTACGGAAATGCAGATCCAACACCCCACGGCGGTCATGATTGCACGTGCCGCTACCGCCCAGGACGAGATCACCGGTGACGGAACGTCCACTGTGGTGTTGTTGGTGGGTGAATTGTTGAAACAGGCTGAGAGGTTTATCTCTGAGGGAGTGCACCCTCGTGTGCTTGTGGATGGATTTGAAATCGCCAGAGAGGCTTCTTTGAAGTACTTGGACAGCTTCAAGACCACGCCCGAGCTGTTTGACAGGGAGTTTTTGTTGCAGGTTGCCAAATCGCTGGTGGCTACGAAAGTGACTTCTGACATCACTGATGTGTTGGCGCCGATCGTGACGGACTCTGTTTTGGCCGTCTCCGGCGACGACGTGGCCAGAAACAACTTGGACCTCCACATGGTCGAGATCATGACGATGCAGCACGGACACGCCAGAGACACCTCTTTCATCAAGGGACTTGTTTTGGACCACGGCGCCCGCCACCCGGACATGCCCCGTGTGGTGAACAACGCGTACGTGTTGATTTTGAACGTGTCGTTGGAGTACGAGAAGACGGAGGTGAACTCTGGCTTTTTTTACTCGACGGCTGAACAGAGAGAGAAATTGGTGGCTTCCGAGCGTCAGTTCGTGGACGCCAAGCTCAAGAAGATCGTGGACTTGAAGAACGAGGTATGTGGCTTGAACGGCGACGCCGGCTTTGTCATCATCAACCAGAAGGGTATCGACCCCATGTCGTTGGACGTTTTGGCAAAGAACAACATTCTTGCCTTGCGTCGTGCCAAGAGAAGAAACATGGAGCGTTTGCAATTGATCGTGGGCGGAGAGGCCCAGAATTCCGTCGACGACTTGTCGCCAGAGATCTTGGGTCGTGCTGGTAGGGTCTACGAAGAGAGTATTGGAGAGGACAAATTCACCCACATCACCGAGTGCCCTGAATCCAGATCTGCCACGATTCTCATCAAGGGCTCTGCTGCTCACGAGTTGCAGCAGACCAAGGACGCTGTTCGTGACGGTTTAAGAGCTGTTGCCAATGTGATCAAGGACGAGTCCATTGTGCCAGGTGGAGGCGCCTACTTTATGAGCTGCAACCAGCACCTTCTTGCCAGCGAGACGGGTATCCTTAGAGGCCGCAACAAGCCTGGTATCCAGGCGTTTGCCGAGGCGCTTTTGGTTGTACCCAAGACGTTGAGCTCCAACGCCGGTTTGGACTCGTTGGAGACCATTTCCTCTTGCCAGGATGAAATTGCCGAAGGCCACCAGGTCGGCATCGACCTCACGTCGGGCGAGCCCATGGACCCAGCGCTTGAAGGCGTGTGGGACTCGTTCAGAGTGTTGAGAAACGCCATTTCGTCCGCTACAGGCATCGCATCCAATCTTTTGTTATGTGACGAGCTTTTGAAGGCGGGTAAGTCGTCGTTGAAGGGCCAGGGCGGTGGTGGTCTGCCCCAGGGAATGCCACAAGGAATGCCTCAAGGAATGCCTCAAGGAATGCCCCAGGGGATGCCCCAAGGGATGCCTATGATGTAGTGACGAATATGGGAATGTATATATAGAGCCGACTAATACCACTGGCACGAAGGCTTTGTAGAGATGCGGGAAGCACCCGATCGGGACATGCGCTGAACAAGCGTGGTGTTAGTTTCGTCCAGGCATGCTCTAGACTTTTACAATTGTGCTTCTTGAAAGCAGGGAAAATGCAATCTTTGCAGAGAAGGAAACAGGCTTGGCCTACATTGACGGGAATACCTTTTCAAGAGGTTTTTCGTTGCATGTGCAGCTTCGGGATCTGAAAGGGGATCTGTAGATCGGCGGCTAAAGTTGCAGAGACCGTGTTGGACGTTGAGATACGGTGTCGTAGTGGAGGTGTTTCGGGCAAAAATTGTGTTTCGGGCAATTTTGTGTTTTGAATTTCGTGGAGGTTGTCGAATCCGAATGCCTTGGCAAACGGCGACCAGGAAGGCCGCTTACGAAAAAAAAAAAAAAAAAAAAAAAAAAATGCCCCGGCACATGTAAGCCACCTTGGAGGATCTGAAATATGTAGGGTTCGTATGATCATCTTGAGAAGCACAACACACCAGCGCCGCTACAAACAACAACTGTGGACCAAACCGAATTCGGTGATTAGCCCAGCAATTCGTTTCACTTCCCGTGCTCCACAGCAGGAGGTGTGTTCGAAAGCCCCGTAAACGTCAAAGCAGCGAACATGCACGGAGGGCTAAATGGGCCCAACATCGACCACCTTTTTTTCCCCGAGTCCAAATAGTGTTTCTGCACCCGCCGCCCCACGTCATCGGAAACCGTGAATTTCATCCAGCGTTCCGGCACTGGGTCTGTATAGCCGATGACATCACGGCGGCTTGAGTGAGGAATGACTACGGATGCATTGCAGCCGTGCGATCCGAAAGCTTTCAAGGCGAGGAATTTACGAGGACGGGATTGTGCCGGGACAAGAGCCGTGGTTCCGTAAATGAGAAGTTGGAAATGTAGGGGTGGTGATTTTGCTGCTTGTAGCCCGAACCAGGGGGCGGTTTCACTGAAAACGTGCCTCCAAAGCGCCGTATATGCGAAAAATTGGCGTGCTTTGGCACAGCAGAAAGGGTGCAAATGCATTTTCGAGGCGCCGAAACAAAACATGCGTTTTAGTCCCCCGACATAACACGAGCAACGCCAGGGTCCACCGGCCAGGAGGTCGATTCGAAGAGGCTGTTCGAGGGTTGAGCGGCTTTTAAAGAGACTTTGAGAGCGGCTTTTAGAGAGACTTTGAGAGATCTCAAGATGGTAAGATGGGAGGAAGGATTTGCGCTGGGACAATTTGGGCAGTGACCGGCTCATGGCAGTGACGCTAATGGCCAAGAGACGGCGGACAAGATACGAGTAAGTTTCAGCGTAGCAGGTTCTCGAGGGTTTTAGACGATTTGGGCAGCATCGAGGGAAGAAGCTTTCGAGAAGAGAAGCTTTCGACAGAAGGAGCTTTAGCCTCTGAAAATAAACGCCAGCAATGTACCCAAAATAACACCTCCGTGCTGAGCCACATGCAAAGCAAAAAGTCACAGTCGGAGACCCTTGTGTGACGCAAATTAGCCCCACGATCTAGAAAATATTTTGCTCTTCCAGCCCCAAAGTGGCTAATGCCAGAGAAGGAAAAATAGCGTGCGAGATTACCACTGCCCGGTCTCCATTGTTCTATTGTTCCAGCTTAGCCGGTGCCTGCGTCAGCTAAAACGTGCTAAGTCAGCTTTTCTGCTTCTGCGCCACTTACAATGGACGGAAAAACCCTCCGTTGGAGGGGAACTTTCGCAGACACTAGGTGGAGAAGACGGGCTAAAACAATGGGGCATTATAAGAAGAACAATGGGCTGGAAAATCCCGAGTCGCTAGATTTTCGACGCCCCAAAAGACGCCCTTACTCTCGGGATGACCTCATCGAAGAAGCACACCCAATCCCACGGTTGCGAGTTTCCACATGCTAGTAGTGAAGGCGTGACGCTCGGCTTCAATTCCAAAAAATCCAAACCTTATTCGCTTAGATCTGCGTGGAAGCTTCCCGACAGTCATTGTTCTGCTACTATGACGCCCGATAGAGGCAGACGGGTTCAACCTACCGCTGCGGAGGATGACCCGGTGGCGGGGCACTGTGGCGCATAGAATTTTTCCGGGCGGTCCGCTGAAAACAATACAAGATTTCTTGCTATCTCTATGGCTGCAAAAAGAGGGAAAAAAAGGCCGCCCTGGTCTGCGGGGCCCTGGGAAGGCGGGCATTATTTCCCAAATCCTATGTTGCCAGTGCCTTGCGGCTCAATAGCCGATATAACCCATTTTACGTCAGTCGCAAGGCCCTCTTTGTGTTTTTCACACGGGTTGGCGGGTTTCGGAGATATGTTCGGGAGGACTTCAGCGAAGCGGCGTCGTATGTGAGGTAATTTCGACGTTGAACGTGCTGCGGCTCTGGAGCTAAGGTCTTGCGAACCAAATAGCGCATATTGGGGGTTCCTATGAGAGGCCCACCTCAGGTTTATCCGCGCACTACGGTCCAGTTTATCCGCCGGTGCCGCGCCTCCTCGCTTTGAGGGGCATGGGTGCATGGTACATGGCATGGCGCACGACATACATTGTTTGCCACTTGCCATGGACTCCCAGCCACACAAACATCGCGTTGGGTGTTATCTTGAAAGGCAATACTGGGTGGGTAAACTCAATAACAGCTCGGGGCAGACCCGTGCACCCCGTCGGGGTTCCTTCTCCTCACACAACCCAAAACTTTTTTTTTTTTTTTTTTGGTGAGGTGAATATCTCCGGCCCGACACCTATTGTTACCTGGAACTTAGAGGCCCTGATTTTTTCGTTGCAAACTTCACGAGCTGGGCCTCCATGGCCCTTACTAAAAAAACCCACCATTTCTCCAAAAACCCACCATTTCTCCAAAAAAAAAAACCACCTCTTCTCCAAAAACCCACCTTTCCCTCCGCCACTTCCTCGTTCATAGATTTACGAGTTTTCGCCCAGCAGAGCTCACGTCCTCGAAGATAGATGTATGGCTTTTCGCCCAGCGGCCCGCAGTGCGATCTGCAGCAGGCGAGCGAATCGAGGCACCGAAGCTACCAAGCGAGCAGGCGGGCCGCCGTGAAACAAACAAAAAAAGATTTGGGTTCAGTCGGTGGAAAAAATAAGTCAGTAAGTCGACGGAATGTTAATTCAAAATGAATAGTGATATTGGGGCGGCCCTAATGAAACGTTGGTGTCTCCTCGGTGGACAGTCTCCCACGCCTGCCAGGCCCCTACCAGTCTTGTGCCAGACGCTTCAGCATGCCTTGCTTTAGGCTGCCTTGCACAAGCACCAACAGACGCCCCGCTGAGTAAATGCCTCAAGCGAGAGGCTGCTCAAAAACTCAAACTTCTTTTTTTTTTTTTTTTTTTTTTTTTTTTTCCCGTTGAGGTGCCCGGCCCAAACCATCCTTGGGTTTCTGTCAGATCACCGTCTAACTCCCATATGGCCTTTGAAGCGAGTTCTGCTTTTCCGCGAGACCCTGCTACGATTCGTAACCTGAGATGGCACATGGCGTGAGTGTCCTCGTTCTGGGTTTTGACAGCAAATACGGCCTATTCCTGCCTGTGCCTGACACTTAGCACCTCGCACAGATACTGCGGGAATGGGGGGCCCTGCGGGCCGCCTCTGCAGGAAATAGCAACTTCAACCGCCCTACTCACCTGGCGCTGGAAATCACCTGCTTCTATGGTTGTAAGCACCTGGCCACCCTTACTAAGCTTATGGCTCCGTGGGTCCATGTGATGTGCTCAGACAGCGTCGATATGTTGGTACTGCACACAAGGCGACGCACCGCACCCTCACCACGCACGATCGTATGCACCTCTCGCTGCGGGCCTGCGCAGAAAAGCGATCACAAAGGCCGCACGAAAGAAACCTGCAATGTCAGATGCACGCGCACCTGCAAACGCACAAGCACCCTTTTCTTTCACAATAAACAGACCCACCTGAAGGAAGGAAAGGTGGCTGCACTCCACCACTCTCACCATATAAGGAGCCGATTTCCACTTATCTTCATCCATAACTCCTCACCATGAAGCTCTCCAAAAAGGCCTTGGCTAACAAGGTCAACTCCGTGCGTCCTTACAAATCGCGCACCAAGAGACCCTGCGACTTCTGCCGCCGGAGGAAAACATGTTGTATCATCGAAAAGTCCACCCCCTGTTTGGCGTGTGTTCAGTTCAACAAGGGCAATTGCACTTTTGTCTCGGGTCCCTTGAAAAGGGTCAAGAGGAGTGACGCCAAGGAGGTGCCCGTGGTGGACTCCAAGGAGCCTGCTGCTCCTTTGCTTCCGGGCTACGACTACCACGACCACGACCACGACCATAACCACGACCAGACCCCCTCGGCCTCGGCCCCATCCTCCACTTCCACCCAGGCCCTCCAGCCGCCCCTTCAGAGCACCCCCAGTGCGCTCCAGAGCAGCTTCGAGGCCAGTCTCAGCGGGATGCAAAGCTCCACCGCCGCACTAGGCTACGGATATGACTCGCTTCCGGGGCCGAACGCCTTCCACAGTCCACACCCGCTCTCCAACAGCTCCAACCTGGGTCAGCTGTCGCCTCACACACCAGCATACAGCTTCCAGACGAAATGGGGCTCGGGGGACAACGCTCAAGGCATAGTGGTGAATGGGCCACCGGAGCTGCGGCAGCTGATGCTGAGCAACTCGAGCCTGCTAAGCAACATGAGCACGGTGAGTGCCTTGAGCATGGGCACGTACCAGGCTACATATGACGATGCCACCACCACGACGTTCCCTGGTTACACGGGGCTGACGGGGTGGACAGACACTAGCGACTACGACTCATTTGTCATGGAGCAGATGCCGGAGGAGCTCAAGCGAGACTACCAGACGCTGGTGCTGGGCGAGGTGTCTGGCTCTTTGATGGCGCCTGTGCAGGTGCTGGCGTATGACCACTACGCAGAGGCGTATACTGACTCTCTTGTTCAGATGGAGTAGCTGAGTCTGTGGTGGAGGAGACTGCCAGGGAAACCTTGCTCGATGCACTCAGGCATATACGCATAGCCGTCAGGTGGAGGAACCGCACGGACTGCAGACAGGGCTACGGGTCCTGCTGCGGGTGACGCACGGCACACTGAGAAAAAAAAGGCCCACCCAAGGGGATATCCTCGAAAGGGCATGCTTTACTTACCCAGCAGTAATGCAGGTTGGCCCTGGCTCATGGTATCCTGACGCTTGCCCCACTACATCACCTTCCCTGCCTTGTTCGTAACCATGTCGCACGCCCCTCACGGTATGAGTAATGTCGAGCCTGCTATTGGAGGATCTCATTGGAAGATCCCCTGGGGCTCCGCAGGCCAGCTCTTATCCAAGCCCCTGCTCCACTTGTTGCTTTTTTAGTGCGATGCAGCGCTGGCCAACACGACGCTCTTGCTCTGTGCGCGACCTGACTACGAAGAGGCTACGACGGTTGTCTAGTCTGTCATGGCAGGTTCCCGAGACAAGTGGGCCCCTTGTTCACAAGATGTTCGCTGCACCATTTTCGCTGCATACCCGGCATTGTTCGCTGAATCTGAGGGGTCGACCCAGTCAGACTTTTGGGCCCTGACTGGGTTAGCTGCAGAGCATGCTATTGTCAAGATCCGCTGTGCGTCATCGGCGGCGCAGACGTGGCTCCAGCCTCGTGGCCCTGTGCAGGCAGCGAATGCACTGCCACCTTCGTAAATCTGGTGGATTAGCGAACTGCTCATACTTATGGCCATGGAAGAATCTTGATACCCAGGGCTGCTGAACGAAGGCTGCAGACGCTAGTCTACTTTTGTGTGCCTAAGTCTTGGCCCATTTTGACGAACTGGGCTCCAAACCGGTTTTGTGTATCATGGTCCGCATTGGGCGTCTTCCAGCCCAATCCGGGGACTAGCCACAGCATGTGCCCCTAAACCAGCGAAGGGCTTGGTGGTGAGCTTCGCCCCAAACAGAGATAAGATTTAGCGAGTCCTTGAAGGGAAATACGAGCCAAAGCAGGTCTTTGGGCGAAAATGTTTCATTTCTTGCAAACTGGTCTCTTCTCTGTCACTCTAGACCACGGTGGAGGTGTGGCCTCTGCCGCTTTTTGTTGAAATAGATACCTTTGCACGGGCGCTGCCCGTCTTTTCATTCTTCGTGCTACTTTTTTAATCACATAAAAATTAATCATAATACTTGGATGTACTTGTCGTCTGGTGGGCTCAGCCATGGGTGATTGTGCATTGCATTGTCATTCCACACTTTATTACCTCCCTAACACAGATAGGTCCTCTTAATTTAATAACCGATAAAAAAAAAGGATAGATAATTAATTCAATTCAAAATCGACCCACAATATCAAGTCCTGCTTCCTCGGCAGCAGCAAACTTGACGTAACAAGCCTTTCTTCGGTTTGGTCATCACTTCATAATCAACATTCCTCGCTGGGCTGCCTAGCAAGTGCTTAAAATAAAAACCAGGCTTGCGGTACAGCACATTCCAGCTGCCAATCAGACGAAAGCCTCTGTTTTATTTTCCTCGACAACAACAAATAAAAGCAATTTCCCAACAAGCTAGAATTCAGCTTCTTTGGTAGTGGCAGCATCTGCACTGAATCCTCAATTGTACTTGTCAAACCAGTCACAGATCAACTCCGTCACCTTGGTAGGGTCTTCTCTGTGCATGAAATGGCCAAGTCCAGACAACAATTGCACCTTCACCTTGGGCTTTGAAGCCAAGAGCTGGGCCTCCAAGTCGTACAATTCCGAAACCATGCAATTGTCCTTGTCACCGCCCAAAATCAAGGTGGGCACTTTTTCGAAATCCACAATCCACTTGCGCTCCTTGATGATGCTGGGTCTGAAGAGATTACGGTAGTAGGCGGTGGCGGAATCGAGAACACCGGGTTCAGCAAGCGTTTTTCTCACAGAGTCGATCTGCTTGCTGAAATCCCAATTGGGCGACCAGTACTTCCAGAGCTCGTCCAAATAACCCGGCACCAGCAAGTCTCCAAACTTGTGGCGGTACAAAAACGCATATTGCATGGTGAAGAAGTACGACAGGCAGTAGATCTGGCGAGGAGCGTACCAGAGATAGTGCCATGGTCTGAGGTTGGCAAGGTACGGAATGGCCATGGTGGCGGCCGAGGTGATAAGCTCCGGGTATAAGGAAGCGGTTTTGAAGGTGACGATGGCGCCCCAGTCGTGGCCCACCAAGTGGACAGGCACCTCCTTGTTAGGCACAATCAGTAAAATCCATGCTCTCAAGTCTCCAGCCAAATCAGACATCTTGTACTCGGTGTCTGGGCCCTGGGACGAGGCCTCGTAGCCCCTCATTACGGGCGCAATCAACAAGACCTTCGTTTTGTAGTGCTGGGCGACAATTGGCGTGACATTCTCGTATCCTTCGTTGTTGTCTGGAAAACCGTGTAAGAAGAAGATGACTCTTTCGAAGCTGCGGGGGTTTGTGATCTCCAGCTGCGGGTGGGAGCTCCAGGCTGAAAAAGTTCTGTTTGCGTGTTGAAGGGTGATTTTCGCCATGTTGGTGGTTTTGGTGTGGCAGTTCCGGTGAATTGGCGTGTTTTAAGTATCGCTCCGGGGCATGTGATAGTGCGGTTCTAGATACACTGCGGATATAAGCTGGAGATAGGCGGTGAGGTATGCCAGGGGGACATTTAAAAAGTGTTTTTGGGGGTGACTGTGAATTTGGAATTGGCGTTGGAAAAGCCGTTTGGGGTTCTTTGGGTTGGTGGATCTCTAGATTACGGCATGCTCGCGGTGGAGAATTGCGGATGGGGGATTAAGCGAGAATTGAAATTTAGGGAATTGGGCGATGGGGCTTTTGATACGGCGGATGGACTAGGTGGATCCGCCTAGTAGCCGTTGGTAGCCGTTGGTTGCCGTTGGCAGGTGCCGGTTTGACAGGAAACGGCAACTCCACAACGGCGGTCGATCGTAGGGGCCTCGAGGACATGAAAATGGAGGTTTTTGGTTTTTCGACTTCTGGAAATTCTCCGTTATTTATAGTGAAGCCAATTGGCAGGGCTGGGTTTGCAGCCATCGGACCTGTCAAAAGTAGCTGCTGCAAGTCTAAAACATCTGCACATGTGCGGGGGCTCTGGAGATAACTGGATTGATGAAAATCAGCTGTCAGGTGGTGTGAAATAGTTGTTGAAAATGATGCATTTGGTGAGAATTGGATTGAGAGCTGTTTTGCCTTGATTGGCTGTTTGGTTATCGTTGACGATGTTACCGCATTGACGAAGATACGTATGGAGACTTCTTACGACAAGCTTTGGTCAATTGAACAAGAATAGCCGTTTGGATCGGGGTGCACTTCTGCTTTGATAAACATAGCCCAAGAGCATTTTTGCCCAAACTTACCCACCAATACACCGTTTTCATTCTCCGTGGTCTAGGGTGATGAGCAGGTATTCGTCGAAATATCGAACCTTTCAGACGCCATAGTAAGCCAACCAAAATTTTCAACTGTTCTATTTGGGTTCAAGCCTGATGCTATGATTCCACCACTAGTGGTAACAAAAACTTATCTCAGTAGTACTTTAAATCAACACATCCAGAGTATTAAGACAATTCTCCTGCCAAAACCAGTCACGCAGAAAACCAGGTCTGGGACAACGCAGACAGAGAATAGTTTAATCCTCTCACACCACCATCTAGTCCTCTTATTACATCCTCCTTCAAGGAGTCCACCCATCCGTATGTTCAATTAAACGGCTGAATCGGAAACATGTCAACAAACGCCAAAACCCAAAACCCTTCCACCCATCCCTTCCCGGCTTTCCTGAGACCCTCATGCGGAAAGCTGTCAACAGAATGCTCCACGACCGTTTTGCAGCAAGTCATGTTCCGGACCGGAACCGATGCCTCAACGGCTTATTTAGACCGAGCCGAATGGCCCAATCTGCCTGATAAGCTCTGAGTGATGCCTCAGGTCCATGCAGCGGGGGCTAAATGGGCCTGATTGTTGACGGATGGCCAGGCCTGGGGAATCTAACAAGAGGATGGAAAATTCAAGGCATTAAGTATTCCGGGGCTTGGCTTTCGGAGATCCCAGTGCTCCTTCAAAGATTTTGAATACATAATGTTTTGCTGATTTCAATGGTCCGACATCTTTCCGAAATACCTCATCGAGCCGGCTATTCTACGGCTGAGGATCTAGAGCTGGAGTGCCCCACTGAAAAAAAAAAATGCCCCACCGAGCAACAGCAGCATGACGTCAGCACCCGAGGCAACCGAGCACTGAAAAATTTCTGGCAATTTTGAAAAATCCGTGCGGCCACTCCGAGGATCCCCATATTAAATCCAGCATTGTTTCAGGGCTCTAGGCCGGAGTTTTCCATGGTTGCAAACGTCAAAAGGCCTCATGCACCTTGGTGCCGACTCTACCGACCATGCATGTCCAGCTAAACACCAAAACAAGAGGTTTCATTGGACGATGGGGATTTCCGCTCAACGATACAGTTTCCCGGTTTCCATTGATTTTTTCAATTCCACTTTGAAATCCATTGGGGGATTTGCGGTGGAATTTTTCCGGTTTCCCAAAACACTCCGGTGCCAGCGACGCCGGCCGGAAAAATCCGGCGCGCAGCCAGCAGAGAGATAATTTACCTTTTGCAGAAGCAGCTACAAAATTGACGATTTTGCCGAGATTGCCTTACTGAGGAGCCGTGCGGGAAAGCGCCGAGGCGGCTGACATTTCGAGCTTTTTTCCTTTTTGGCAAGGCAAACGAGTGTGGGTGACTCCGATCGCCGTTGACGAAACCCGTACACCAGGACTTAATGCTGCTCATTGGAAAACACCCGTGCACCACGCAACGTCGCCGGGGCCGAGGCTCCCGTAGACGGTGTCCAAGCGGGGAGGAGGATAATCTCAAAGAATAGTGGGCTTCGTGGCTACACTCCTTTACAGTTATGGTGTTAATTTGCTACAGTTTGACCGCAAATTACCGAAGGGACAAGGAGAAATGGAGAAGGAAAATGAGGCGGCCTGCATGGAGTGCGGCCAAAATGAGGTTTGTATAAACATGCAGAGCCCGAAAAAAATAGCGCACTGAATATATATCAACCCCGGGTGCTCGCTTTCTCAGGAGTTTTTTCTCACAACTTTCTTCCTCAAATCCAGAAATGCTTCCACCAGGTGTCATTCTTGTCTTCGTGTTGGTCGGTTTGGCCGCCATCGCCATCTTCGCCGTGATCCTTCAGAAGAAGCTCAAGGCTAAGAAGTCCAACCAGAGATTCTAAGCCAGTTTCTCGTGTCTGCCCACCCACTAGCTATCGCCATTGCTTTGACATGACCGCCAATTCCCTATGGACCATGATACCCTCTTTGCCCTGTGAAATTTCGTGCCGCCTTTTCCGCCCCTGTGGCATAATGATTAATTAAGAACCACGAATTGAGTCTGCGGAGATGGGGGGCCTTTTTGGGGGCACCGTTTTGCCCTCTACGATTGGCTGGTTTTTCCGAGCGGGTGTATGGCGGTGGGCCCGGGCCAGACACACCTATAATACGAACACATTGTCTATTACACCACCAAATTTTTTTATATCACTTGTTTTTTTATTTTATACGACGGGAAATTTTTTTACTTTAATATATCGGGAATCGCAAAGTGCTACTTGTAGACGAGCCAAGAGCTCAGGAGTATGTGGGGACAAAGGGTCTGTCACGATTGTGGAGATGCCAAGTCTGATCTGAAGGGGTCCTTCAGCCGTAGCGGTATTGTTCGATGGTTTGTTCTTGACGGTTCGTGGAATTAGCAAACGGAGAGGTGGTTATAGTGGAGAGAGGTTTCTAAGTATTGGAGGAGGCTATTAGGGAGTGTAGATTCTCAGTAGGTTCATTTGGATTTGTTGTTTTTTGTTTTTGAAATTTGAAGTTTGTCTAGTTGGGTGCCACAGTTGGTGTTTTACGAATATGAGTGAGGTGTTGCAAAATTGGTGCAAAAGGCAGAACCTTCAATATGGCAAAGCACAAAGAAAAATCTATATAAATGAACCGAATCAGAAGAGCTTTATGATGAAGAAAAAGAAAAGCACATTTAGTTTTTTAAATACGCTATGGGTGGACACTGACGGAGTACCTCAGTGGATTCCGGACCCTGAGTATCACCATAAAATAGACGACCATCGATGACCGAACTGAAATCTCGCCATCAGCCAAACTCAAATGACAAATGAATCAACTGTTTCAGTTATTCCAGAATCCCCCACTCAAAGTCAATTTCCAGTACCCAGCTGCATGACCTACAACCTAATATCAGCCCTAAGAGCCATCCACACACTGAGAGTCAAACTCCAAATACAAAACACAAGACATCGAAACACCGAAATCTCAACCCTTACCGAACCAATCTCATCAAACCTCCCCTTCAAAAAATCCATTTCATTCACCTCCACCTACATACCTCACATCAACTCTTATCTGTGCGAACTACATGCCCTCAGAATCCAAGAAGGTGTCTCGACAGGGCTGTCTCAGCTGCAAGCGACTAAAGATCAAAGTACGTTTTATCCACATTCTCTGACAATTCCACTAACTCCAGTGCAACGAGGCCAGGCCAACCTGTGAGTACTGCTCCCACCGAGGAAGACGATGTGTGTATCCAGATAACTTTCAGACCGCTGTGAACGGACCGCTTCTGAAGGTGGCATCTTCGGATTTGATGTCACTGAATGGTACAGAGGAGTATCACGACGAAGCATTTGGTCAACACCGCAAGTTCACCTTTGACATCATTCTCAGCTCCACAGCCAATATCCTAGGCCTCCTGCGATTCGAACTACGAGTGCTTCGCTTCTTCAACGACATGTGTGTTCCATTCCTAACCTACAATGTCAACAAACGACACAGCATCGTGTGGGAGGTTGTCGTACCCCAGTACGTGACATCCTCACCTTCCATCAGACTGGCCATACTAGCCATGGGATGCCTCAATATCATGCCAATTTTGGGCATGGAACGGCTAATTCAGGAAAATATGGACCCTGCAGAGGTGGCCAAAACGCTCGAGGCCAGCAGCGATACGTTCGAAGTGCAGCGGCTTTTTGCTGATGACTACATGATGGACCAGGGCGACGACATCAACCTTTTTCGCCATGCTTCGGAATTTTTTACCCATGCTGTTAGCGGAACCCACGAGGCGGTCCAGCAGCTTCTGGATCCCAATCTTTCTCGCCAGAAAAGAGCCGAAAGTCTCAGCAATGCTACAATCACCAGTTACCTCATGTACAGCTTTATAGGGCTACATCCGTGGAAAATGCTTCCGCTAGTGCACTTTCCCGAGCCTGGCGAGGAGCCCAAGCCTGATATGCTTAGTATTGCCGCGGGCATGAAAACGTTGATTGTGGGGAATTTGGATGAGCTAAGAGCCTCCGATATAGGCGAGCTTTTCTTCATGGACGAGTTGCAGTTTGTGTTTCGGCAGAAAGTCAAGCTTGTGGAGGACATTAGCAACCAGCTTAATGAGCATCTTCAGAAGTACAGTTTCTTGCAAATCGACCTGACGGTGAGCTCGTTCATTGGAGACATGAAGGAAGCACTTCTGTTGTTCGATAAGGCGTGCTCCATCTCAGTCAAGTTCAATTACCCCGTTTTCCTATACAAATGGCTCCCGATGGTGGGACCACAGCTCATTCCACATGTCAGAGCAAAAGAGCCGTTCGCCATGCACTTCTTATACGTCTACGCCATTCTTTGTATATACTTCAAGTTCTGGTGCTTTGAGCAAAACGTTTGGAAAGACTATGTTGTGTGGTTCAGAGACAACTACACCTTGTGTGAGTTTGACGAAAGGCTATACCAGTACGTTGTCGTTGGGAGACGCTACATCGAAAACGAGAACTACATGGATCTTCGAAACTTCGACGTGTGGTCCAAGAGGTTTGACCACGTAAGCAACGTTTCGTCCTACGAGCTGACGGCTACATCCACTAATGGTGATTTGAATTCCTGGAGCGATGCTGATTTCAAAGGAGCAAGTCCATTGGACCAATTGGGCAGTAACTTTGTTACTCCAAGTGAATCTGAAAGCTGGAGCGGTGGTTCTTTTATACCAAAACCTTTTGAGCCTAACTCTAGCTCTGGCTTTTTTGACTGAGTCCACTTGAGCCTCAAGAGCCGTTTTGGGTGATGTCAAGCAGCGTTGGTTCGAGACCCAGGAGGTTGAGGCCAAACAAATGCCGGGAATTGCAATCATCAACACTTTACCTCAAAACAAACCATTCAATTCACTCATTCATTATACATAGCTAATCTACGTCAGGGCTCGGTTAAATCGGCACCGAATCCCGTGATATCGGGCCGCTAATTACCTGTGCCAAGCAAACGGATCCTGATCCGATGCTACACGATTTAAAATACATAATTCATTAAACGGTATAAAAAAGCTGGCTGCGAGCGGGATTAGCCAGATCGGGGAGATCTAACGGGGAAGCTTACATGCGTAACGGGCGTAGCTTATATGCGTAACGTGAGAAAGCTGTCTCTGGAGCAGCGTAGCATCTGAGCCAGCGGGGGCGGTGGTCCAAGTCCTGGGGAAATCAAACAGCAGCAGACGGACCGGATTTCGGAAAGCCTCGTGTTTTTCGGCGATCTCGTCAAACGAAGGGCGGAACCTGCAACTCAGCATTTCCCATGCAGCTTCGTCCGAGCTACGCCAATCCACAGTCAGAATTAAGTCACCGGTTAGGGGCCACTTGCTTACTTGGTGTATCCCTTAGGAGGCTCCAGTGGAGGAGCATACTCTGGAGGAGCTGGAGGGGCGTCTGAGCTGCCGGCCTGCTGGTAGTTCTGGTTGAAGTCGTTGCTGTAGCCCTGGCCACCGCCGTAGCCCTGGTTGTTGAAGCCCTGGTCCATTCCGCCGCCACCGTATCCAGCCTGGTAGCCTTGCTGGTATCCACCGTCGTAACCACCCTGTGGCTGAGGAGGAGGAGGTGGGGGAACACCGCCGCCGTAATTGCCCTGCTGGAAGTTGTTAGGGGCGTAGTTCTCCTTGTAGTAAGGCTGGTTGGAAACAACATTGTTTTTTCTTCTTCTCTTCATGCAACAGAAGGCAAAGAGAATGATGAGGAAGACGGGTATGAGGATGAGCCAGAGAAGCCATCTCCACCTGCTCCAGCCGGTGTTTCTATTGTAGTTGTTATAGTAGTAGGCACGTTTCGCTAAATCGAGATTCATGGTGTCGAGGAAGAAAGTGGTAGGTAATTTATAAATTCCTGGAGGGAAGCTCTTGGCACAGGACCAGTATCGTACTGCATACAGCACCCACGAGATCTATCATACCCTGGCTGAGCCGTGCCCCTCCCTGTAGGACCCATGACTTGCTGCATGGTCTTTGGCTTTGGATTTTGTAAGTTGATATTAAAAAGAGGTTTATGACATTTAGTAAAGTATTACAATTTTGAATAAATTAAAAGAAAATGTAATTTTTGTTTGGGTGCAGCGAAAACTTCGCCGCATTGGCCGGTGTGTATGACGTCAAAGCAAGGCTCGAGAAGGCTTGTGAATGAAAAAATTGAGAAGTGTTTACACTGGAATTTGCTATTGTCGATGGATTTGCCGATTTACGGAGCCCGCCAGTTGGGCTCGGGAGACGCAATATAACGAATTCTGAAGTTTCCAGGTATTTAGAAAAATATGCATTTTTCGACGTCCCCTTTCTCAGAAGTCTATTTACACCGTTACACATCAGCCGTACTTCGTTGCGGCGGTTGCTGAATGATGCATTCCTGAAAGCAGGCATTTCGAGCCGAAAAGATGAATTTTGACAGCAAGATAAAATAACCTCTCTCTTCACATTTCGCTCACCCGAGGCAATCTATTAGGCTAGTATGTACGAGCCTCGGTGAGCTTGTGAAAAGGCCTCTCCTCAATTGTTCAAATTGCTCAAGCAACAAACACCCGTTCTGCCGGAGTCTGGACCTGAACGGTGGCTGCATCGAAGGATCGATGCTTTTGTGCTTTACACCTCCTCGCTTTCGTCCAAATCCTCATCGTACTCGTCCAATTGGAACGCCAACACCGACGTCAAAATGGCAATCACTGTGAGGATATTCCACGAAACCTGAGCCACGCCTCTTTTGTCGAAAAACGACATAAGACCTCCCCAGACCAATGGCGCCACACATCTGGCCAAAGCAGAGGCACTGATCGAGGTGGCATTGACAAAAGCACGATGCTTGGGAGTTGTGGCACGGTAAACCAAAATCACCATCTGAGGAAACGAGAGAGCAGCTGCAAACGTCTGCACCGAGGCACAGGTGTAGATGCCTGCTGTGGAGAACCAAGAAGGAAAGCTGCTCAGAGCTTCAGGCTTGGTATACACTAGGTACGGAAGCAAAAAGTAGCAAAATGGGAAAAGAAGCGATGCTAGGCGGAAAACATCGATGTTCCGCATGAACCTGTCAAGCATGGGGAAGACGACAATGATGATAAAACAGCCGGCAAAGCCCGTGGTGGAAAGCAAGAAGCCAATGTCGCTTGTTTCCCACGATAATCCGCCCTTCATGTGCCATGGGAACTGGAGCAGATCTGGCTGGAATCGACCAGCTAGAAATACTGGCAAAAACTCAGAATGCACAAGACAGTGGAAAGAGACACAGAAATAGGCGAGAATGGTGCCACGGACCTTGTTGCTGAGGATGTTCTTGTCGGCAAACGCTTTGAAAATGTTCTTTGTTTCGTCAATGACAGATTGGTTGGTGGTAGTTCTGGCGAGCGAGTTGTTGGAATAACGACGAACAATGGCAAGCGACGATCTTCTGGTCAAAGGCTGGTAATCGGAATTGATGGACTCGTCGTCGTCGTTGTCGTCAATTACGTCATCGTCCACGGATTCATAGATATCTCTGGGGTTCAATGGGGTGGTTTCTGTGGGCTCGTTTCTCAGAGTCTTGGCCACAGAACGAGCCAGAGGCGTCAACCCAATGGAAGTGAGGATCCAGTCTCCGATGGCCAAGCCGTAATCGTGCTTCTTTTTCGCCTGTGGCTGCGTTTCCTCCAAAAAGAGAAAACCAACAATGAAGCTAAACATCAAAAGTCCTGCAACGACGATATTCGACATGGCGTACGGGTGCTTCGAAACAAAGCGGTCGTAGGCACCGGAAGCGTCCACTTCTGACGTCATTTTCGGTCTTGTCAAGTATTTGGACCCGCCGATAGCTGGACCTAGAACGCAGCCTACGTTCCATAGAAGCGGAAGACACGAAAACGCCATTGACTGGTGCCTTCTCTCGGTGACCAACTCGCCCACCATGGTCTGCAAAACAGGCACGTTTCCGTTCAAAGCGCCCATTAGCGAACGGGCGGTGATGGCCATGTAGAAGTTTGTGGAAAAGCCGAAAATCAAAAGCGACACCATTGTGCCGCATAAGCCGAGGAGAAGCACCGGTTTTCGGCCAATCCGATCGGAAAGCCGGCCCCAGTGGATGCAGCAGAGGAACTGGGCAAATGCAAAAGAGGCTCCCATGTAGCCAGTGTACTTTGATATTTCTGTGGGGTCATCCACGATGTTGAAGTCTCGGATCATGAAATAGACATAGGGAAACAAGGACGTAAAGGCTATGGGTTCGGAAAATCGGATCAAACACACAATCACCATCTGGCGAAAGGGAAACCCTTTGGTCAGTTCTCTGGACATGACTATAGTCTAGATAAGATTGCAGTAACGATAAGCTCGAGGGTGGAGGAATCAAGGGAGTGTGTGGGGAAAAGTGGGAAAGACTTTTTGGATTTCAGTGGTTCCCAAAATGCAAATGTTGTAAAAAAAGGTCCGATGGAATGAGATGAGTAAAACGGAACTTTCAAACAGTCGAGAAGAGCCCCGCTGTGACTAAACTGTGCCTGACGCGATCCTGCACACAGGGCACCAAACGTCAATATGGCACAATCGGCGCGCGAATTAACACACAGGGCAATATATTGGCTGCAAAAACCGCCACACCTTTTTCTTAGTCCTCGTAGTCACGCATAGCAAACAGCTGGAAAAGCCCGAAAAGCGCCAATCCGGACATCAGCCACCAGTTAAGCCACCCGATCTGCCAGTTATCTCCGAGCGTCATAAGCCACCCGAATACGATGGGGCCTATGCATCTTGCAAGGGCCAACATGCTCATAGTTAAGGAATTGACATAAGCACGGTGCTGTTTGGCAGCGGCTCGGTGGTTTAGAAGCATGACCTGGGGCATTCCGGTAGCGGAGGCAAGGGTTTTTAAGGATGTGAGTCCGTAGAGGATGATGGGGGTTAGCCATTCTGGGAAAGCAGCATTGTACTTGTTTTGGGTGAAAAGAGCCAACGGCACTGCTGCGTAGACGATGGGGAAGAACAGAAGGGAGAGACGGAACCCCTCGATAGTGCCGAGGCGGCGGTCGATCCATGGGAAAATGATCAAAACAATCAACATGCCCATGATACCCGTAGACGAGAACAAGGTGCCGATGTAGCTGGAATCCAAGCCGAAACCGCCCACAATGCGGAAAGGAAAGTGCAATTTGTCCTTCTGGAAACGGCCTGCCAAAAACACAGGGAGAAACTCGTTGTAGGCGATGCTGTGCAAGGAGATGATGCAATTTGACAAAATGACAGTAATGACCTGAGGCGTAAGTGCTCTGGGCTCTCTTCTTGGAATGTACGACAGCGCCAGCGAGTAGCGACGAACAATGGCGTTCGACATTGTGCGAGACGTTTTTCTGGAAAGGTAAGGTTCGATGACCTCGCCTTCCTCGACGATTTCCTGAACGGCATTGTCGATGTTGTCGCTGAGAGAGTCGCTGGAGTCAAGCAAGGGCGTGTTTTCAGAAGGTCTCTGACTGCTGGCGGAGGTTTCATTGTGGTCTTCTGCAACAGCCAAAGAAGATCTCAGATTCTGTCTGGACAGGAAAGGCAGGATTCCCAGGCCTGTGGAGCCGGCTCTTTCCCTCTGAATGCCTTGTTGTTGGATTTGCTCTGGAGAGAACTGCTCAGGGTCTGAGTAGCCGCTGTGCCAGGGTCTGAGGGGCCTTTTCCTGCCAAAAACGAAGTACAAGATGGAGTCGCCGATTTCCAAGCCGATATCGCGTCTTTTGCAGACATCCTCGTTTGTCTCCTCGAGGAAGAGGAAGCCCACGATCAAGCTGAACCAGAGAAAGCCGCAGACGACGATGTTTGAAAGCGCATAGGGGTGCTTTGAGCGGAATTTGTCGATTCCTTTGGCGAATGACGAGGAAAGCAAGGAGGACGGCGTGGCGTCCACCGACTTTTCATACGGCGAATGCGGACTGGGTCTGGTCAAAAGGTACGATCCACCGACCAAAGGGCCAATGACAGAACCAAAGTTGAAAAGCAACGGAAGGGTGCTGAACCCCAATGCCTGGTGCTTTCTTTCCACACAAATCTCGCCAATCATCGTTCTCAAAACAGCAATGTTGCCGTTCAAGCAGCCCGCAAGGCTCCGGGCGCCCAATGCCATGTAGTAGTTTGTGCTGAAGCCAAAAAGCAAAAGCGATAAGGACGTGCCGAAAAGGCCAAAAAGCAAGACGGGTTTTCTGCCGACCCTGTTCAGCGCCTTGCCCCACTGGACGGCACAGAGAAACTGGCAGAAGGCAAAACTCAGCGCCAAGTAGCCCAGGTACTTGGAGATCTCCTGTTCTGTGGGAGCTATCTGGAAATCTCGAATCATGAAGTAAAGATACGGGAAAAGCGACGTGAAGGCTAGGGGCTCGGAGAAACGGATGAGCGACACCACTAGCATCTGGCGCACGGGGAAACCCGCAAGCTGTTCACGGAAAGTTAGGGCCATGGAAAGAAAAGTGGGTAGATGATGGAAGATTTGGGGTGAGATGAATCTTATTGATGTGTGTGTCCTGCACACGCCGCACCACTATCGCCGAGCCGCCGAGAACAAACGATACCATTAAGTGGGTATTTATGGTGGGGTCTAATAAATGAAAAGTACGTTATGACATTTTTGAACATTCAGTATGGTAGACGTTCTAGCACTTTGCTGAAAATTCCCAATGCCTCCTTCATATAAATCAACCACTACCGCCTCGGATGGCTTCGGGTGTCGGTTCAGGTCCGAGATGCGATAGATATGGGTGCAATTTTTTGAATCTGGGTTCGTCAGGCTTAGGTCCACGTGGGCGGGCTTTGTCGATGGCGAGCAAATGCTCAGCCGTATGTCTTGGCACGGTCGGCGTGTTCTTTGTGAAAATTGACACATTTTTCTGGCACCTTTTTTTGACACATTTTGCGTATCGACGGGTGTATTTCCACTTTTGGGTTAAGTACCGCGATCGTGCCGAAACGGATGTCTGCTCGGAGGTGGGAGATGGAGGTAGTTTAAAATTTTATCGGTGTCGGTTTTCCCAAAAGAGAAAACCGATTTAGGGCTGTCGATTGTTATTCGATGGGCGTCTGTGGGTGCAATATTGAGAAATTCTAATGTGTGATGGTGCTTTTGCAACCAGCCACCAAAGAATAGACGTCTCGAGGAATATATCATTTAAAGCTCAATATGGTATTCTTGAATTGTACTACCATATATGCAAGGGACCAACTGGTACTGAAACAGTCGTGTGAGATCAGCATGAATGGTTCCTCACTGGCTGCAAAGCTATCAAGTAGTCTCTCAGGGCATCGAATATATATGAGGACAGTACATTGATGTATTAATGATGTTCTAAAGAATAATACGTCCAAAAAGCTGGGAGCGTACCTGAAATGATAGTGAGTATGGTATAGGGTGAGATTCGTTACCTTCGAGTTGAAGTGCTCATTACAGTCAACTTGCCATTTACGTAGAAGACTCAGAGAACTCTCATGTTTCGAAACATTCCATCTGATCAAAGGTGAAACGTCTAACTTTCAGTCAACAAAATCTAGCTCAAAGTAACCTGTCCCTCTGGGTCTGCATCATGTTTCCAACTACAACGGTGACTACATCCCTTCCTTACCATTCCACTACGTCTCCGATCTTAAGAGAATTAGTCAAACTATCCCGATACCGCAATTGTCCTATCTGGCACGCTCTGATGGCCATTATTCAGCGAAACCAGCGAGCACCTCAAACCTTCAACAAGCAGTTCAAGCCCCTTAGTCGTCCAACACCACAATTGCCTCCCTTCAAAACCAATGTAAATGCCCAATCGTATCACATCAAAATTCTAATCATCGTATCATCAAAACTCTAATCATATCGCAAGATCTTCAGTGCCTGCCAGGTACGCGAAAAGCGTCAGCGGAAAATGCACTGCGTCTGCAGATCGCCATAACCGAGATAGATAGCCAACCATACACTTCACTAATTTCGCCAAAAACCAAAAACCAATAAAATCTTCCATCCTCTTGACACATTGGCTCCGCCGAATGCCCAGAAATATCCAGGCACAGACATCCACGTGCCTGACTCCTGAAAAACCACACCCCTCCTTGCCTCACCGTATTTAGTGCTAACATCGTCACAAGTCAATGTTTACTGGTCACTCCCTTGAAACGGTCCCGAGACGGGGAATGCCTAGACCAGCGCGACCAAGCCCCACGGCTGAGCACTTGTTTTTCGATTCTGGAGTCACAAAAAGTGAGAAATCCAAACTCTCTCATTTTCTCTCTCATCTCTCAACCACATGGAGATGCTTAAAAAATATCGTGGTGCGTGGTCTCTCAATCGCTTATGTCTCGTGGCTTGCACCTGTGTTTTTGGTCCACGCTTTATGCGCCGCGCCGCATCCAAAAATAGACGCACCGTTGGGCCCGAAACGTTCGAACGGTTCCCGAGAGGGGACCACCCAGCCGATCTCCGCAGAATTTTACCTACGTATTTAAAGACGCTGAATCTTCTACTGTACTAAATTTCACCATCATAGGCCTGGCCTACCCCCCTAAATCACCGCCGTTTCATATCACATCACGTGACCAACACACTCCGGTGCAGCGAGGCGAAGAAAAAAAACCTCCTCTACCTTGCCTCTTCAGCCTCCGGCAAGCCTATATCCCCCGGCGTCAGTCTTTCTTTAACCCCCACGCCTGACCTGAATCCCCTGCAAATTCCCTATCGATTCGTGTTTTCCCCGTCAAAATAGCCCATCGCATTGTCATGATCCGCCCATTGATCTACCTGTTGGTAGTGTTGACGGGATTATTCCTTATATTCCACGAACCCACGGCCGCTAAGGCCAAGGTGGTGGCTCGTTCGGTGACGCCTCGTGCCGAAATCGAAAAAAGAGACTCTTCTCTGTTGCCCTGGTGGAGTAGCACCGGTTCAAGCTCAGACTCTACATCCTCAGAACCTCTGAGTTCCGTGACCTCGAGCTCTGTGACGTCCTCGTCCGCCAGCTCGTCTTTTTCGTCATCGTCATTGTCATCGTCCTCGTTCTCGTGGCCTTCCTCCACGTCGTCGTCATCGTCGTCTTCGTCGTTCTCACCTACTTCATCTTCGTCATCATCAACAACAGAAGAATGGCCCACCACGTCCAGCTCGTCTGCTGAAACAACGACATCCGACTCGCCCACGACATCTTCCACGCCCGAATGGTGGGAAACGACGTCCCTGGAAGACCCAAGCAGCACAATGTGGGAGAGTCCGGAAACAACATCCGATTCTGAAACAAGCTCGTCTGAAACAAGCTCGTCTGAAACACCCACTACAACGTCCATGGACTCCGACACGTCCTCCTCCAGCACGCGTCTGGAGCTCACCGACACCAACCAGCGCCGTACCACGACGTTTGACTCTGTTCAAAACGGGTCTACGGTGATTGTGACTCAGACGTCGATTTACACCTCCAGCGGCGATTCCACCGCCAGCGCTACTAATAGGGAAAGCGACAGCGGCGGCGGATTGAGTCATACTAACAAGATCGTCGTTGGTGTGGTTGTCGGAGTCGGAGGAGCTATTCTTCTTGCTATTGCAGCGCTCGTGTTTTTGATCAAAAAGAGAGGAAGCAGAGGCCGTGAGAGTGGATGGACTTTCTGGAGAAAGGGAGAAAAGGGAGATGGCGACGATTTCTTCGATGGCGAGTTGGGTGTTCGTGATCGTAACATCAACCAAGGACTGAACTTCTAGAGGTGCCCTAATAGTGATAGGACTTCTAGAAGACCATTCCCCGAAAGCTTCCTTTGAGAGTTTCGGCGCATCCGAGACCTACGTGTTACGATTTAAACGACCAGATGCACTGGAGATAAGCTCCAAGCTCTGGAGATAGGCTTTAGAGACAAGAGCAATTGAACCAATCAACGTCGCCTGGCGCCTCGAAGCACAAAACAACAGTCGTGTTATTCACGTTGCATTAATTCGGGATACCCGCTTCGAGGCCCGAAACCCGCCTTGAGCTTTTACACTCCAAGCTTCCTCAAACCTACACCCCGTCTAGCCAGCACCCACGCCAAGCTGCCTAATTCGCCCAGTCAATACAACCACTTGGCCGCAACCTGGCCACCTGGCTTCTTGCTTTACTTTGCCGCAGGATTCACTTCCAGACCACCATTTGGACGATTTCACGCAGACCACAGCAACGTACCTTTATGGAATCAGAAAAGCAGCACGAGCCCTGCTTCATGCCGGTGTTGCGCCACAAGGTCGGCCGGTATGCCCAAATGTTAGATCCGAGGGATGCTGCGGTGGTGGAATGTCGTTTTCTTGTTTGGCGCTTAAATGCGTGGCAAGTGTCGATGGTGTTTTGCGGCGTAGCAACAGCCCTGGGGAGCCTCGTGTGGCTGATTTCAGCGAGATAGACGAAAAGGACAGGGCTCGGGAACGTACGTGTGCTTTGATGGGCATTGTTGGGCTGGCGATGAGGCGCTGAGGCCCGAAATCGCAAAAAAAACGCCTTATTTTGCAGAATTTGCAATGAGGCTAGTGTGTTGGGCACCGACTGTGAAAAGAGCTTCGGAATGGGGGCTTTACGTGCCGAAGCGCAAGCGAAAGTGTATGTATTGGTGCATTTGTGTTAGTGGTGCATCTAGGTTTATTGGTGAGCTGCTTATACTAGCGACTAGCGCCGACCCAGTGCATCCAGAACTTCTAGAACTGAAAGATTCTGGACTACCAAATAAAGAGACGTACTGAAGATGGTATTTGTAGCAATCGAGCCTTTGGTAAAGAAGGAGGGGTAGGCAAGCATGAAGGACCAGCAATAGACAGATGGGGTGCCTGCAAAAAAAAAAAAAAAAAGCTGCAGGGATAAAAGTGCCGGTAAAAGTAGGTGTAAAACATGGAATGGGAAATATTCGGCAGTTGCAGAAATACGAGTGTGGCTAGTGCGCGGTGCCGCAGAGAGGGACCATTGTGGCTAGTGCGCGGTGCCGCAGAGAGGGACCATTGTGGCTAGTGCGCGGTGCCGCAGAGGACCGTTGTGGCTAGTGCGCGAAGCGAGCGATCTGACAGGTGAGACATGAAGACAGATTGTGGCTAGTGCGCGGTACAGCGTGGCGAGTGCAGATCGCAGACGGACCATACAGAAACAATAGCAGAGAAGAAACAGCCGAAGCAAGGGGACACACCCATGGTTTTGAGAGGCAGGAGATTGACATTGACGAAAAAAACAAAAACACATCTCACTAGCCACAGCAAGCGAAGGGGGCCCTGCCGGATGCAGCCGGGGTATGAGCAATTGCTCAGTGGCCAGTGAAAAAAGCGATAAGACAAACCCGACACTAGGTGCCGCCACTAAGTGCCGGTGCTGCCGTATACAGGCTAGCCATACAGCAACAAAGCGAGATGGAATAAAATCTGTTGTTGAGCATAAGCGATGCGGCATGATAGGGCTCTTTGGAAGGGCACATTTTTACAAGATATGTGGTTTATACGAATACACCAATGGACGCTGTAGATCTGTGACATGTGGAACAATGGGGAGGGGGCCTAGCATGGGCAGCAAGCTTACGCAAAGGTGAGACATCAAGCCTGCACCGATGTGTGGTGACGACATGGAGCTGCGTCAACATGGCGCGACCGTACTAGCCACCTCAGCTCGCCATAATCGACAAGAATTTGTGGAATTTGCTATAAGAGCCGAAGGGCGGCCTTCGGTGAAGTACCTCGGAAAAAGAGGAAGCCAAATTGGAAAAGCTGCCCACACAGGAAAAAAAATTACTCGAGATGCCTGGCAAAAGCAGCAAGTAAGTACTAGCAGGGAAGTGGCGGTGTCTGCAGCCCATAGGCGCGACTTTTTTTTGCTGGTTAGCCCGATGCGCAGAAGCGTCGTTTATGCTGGGGCCATTGTCTTTATTTTGTTTCGTCAATTGCAGTAGTTTTTTTGTGCGTGGGAAGTGTCGCTCGTGTGGGGCGGAGTTCCATTTCGGAATTCAGTGAGACAGAAATATGCACGAAGAGACATGTCTCGGTGCGGTTAGTTAGTTGCTGGGGGGATTAAAAAATAAAAGCTGCGTCGTGAGGACGGTGTGTCGTGGGGCCGCAGGAGGGTCGCTTCGCGCGCGCTGCCTGTTTCAGCTATGTGCAGGAGCGTCTTATAACGCCATGCATGTCTCAGAAAAAATGGCCTCCATACAGAGGGAGAGCCCATCCTGCTTCCAGCACCGTCGTTTTTTGGATTGTACAGAAACCAAATGGCATGTCAAACAACCGACTGACATAAGCACCTGGCTTTTCTGGTCCTGCTGCATTCTAGATTTTTTGTGGCGTATCCTTTAAATACCTTTCTTGCTCCGCACGGACCTTTCCCACACATCACTATTTTCCTTGGGACCAATCCTTTAGACTTTGCTAGACCCTCCTTCCACTAGTCAATCCTCCAGTCAATCCACCGATTCAGTTTCACCGATTCAGTTTCACCGATTGTCAATCCACCAACCAAGTCATCCATCAACTCCAAGTTCAACCACAACTCGGTTCCCCAGAACCACACTTCAATCCACATCCTCCTCTCAGTCTCTGCAAGCAGTTTCTGTATAGTTGCTAGAAGGCTCTTTTCCCCATTCTCCCTAGCCTAAGGCTCCACATGCCCCTACAAAATGCTAGGCATCCTAGATCTCCTTAATTCTGAGGACGCCAGCGAGGCCACCATGAGCCAGCCTCCTCCTCCCGACCAGCTGATGCCGGGGTCCGAGGAACTGAGCAAGCTGGGCTCCAAGCTGCCGCTGACGCTGGACTCCATCTCCTCTGGATCGTCCAAACTGTACCGGGTGCTGAAACTGCTACCCCGGCTGAAAGTGCATCCGCTGCTTTTGAAAGCACGCAAGCTCGTGGACATTGCCCTAAGACACAAGTCGGGCTCCAAGCGGCAGGGCAACTTCACCCCAGAGCTGGGCTCTTCCAAACTCCATCTCAAGCTGTTGGAGGCGGGCCTCCGTGTACGGCTTCTATTGTGCCCTTCTGTGTACGAGTTGTTTCGCCAGCTTACGCCGCATACTGCTGGAAGGAACACTGTGGTTCACGTTGCGTTTGACAACGAGAAGCAGCTTCTCACGGGGAAGGACATTTCCCTGGAGCTCAAAGACGATCGTTTAGGGCGTGGTCGGAAGGCCGCAAAACATTCCAATGGATCTAATGGATCTAATGGATCTCCCAACGGCCACAATGGCAATGGCAATGGCAGCTTTCACTACGACTGGCCAGACACAAGGCTGAACCTGACGTCGTCCAACGGCCTGGCCTTCTCGTTGGAAAACGGCACCGCCAGAAACGACTCCAGCGTGCCGCCAGACGACATGGATTCCAAGAATTCCGACTCCGGCGACAACCAAAGCGACTCCTCCTCCAACGGCTACGCGGGCTACGCCGACTACTCCAACCCGTCCGACTACTCTCATTTGCTTGGGAAGCACCTGCTTGGGCCTCGCAAGGCCATTCTGAAGCGGGTGCGTCTCATCGACAACAACTTGGTCAATTTGGCGGGCGTGTCGTCAAAGGTGCTCAAATCGTTCCAGGTTGACAAGGAGCACCGTGGGCCTACGACGCCTGTTTCCGAGGGCATCGAAAGCGACGATTCCAGACCAGGCATGGTGACGACGTTCAACAACCTCGATACCGCTGTGATGTCGCTTTTCGGCACCAAAACCTACTCGCTTGTCAGAGTGACTCGTTCGTCTTCCAATACCAGCGACGGCTCTGTTTTGCTCAAGCTCGAATGCGCCAAACCCGGCGATACCAGGCTTGTGGACGACAGAGAGTTCATGGAAGACATGGTTGCTTCGCTTGGACGCGAGGGCCAGACGCCAAACAACCTTTTCATCAAAAAAGTGGTGGCCAGGCCGCGTTACAAGAGCGACATGAAAATCTACATTGTGCCCACGGACAAAAAAACGTCCTTGTACGTGGACCGTAGGGTGTTTGAGCGTGATCTCATCAACGGCGTTATAGAGATGGATTGCCCCACCGACCGGTACATCTACACCACTTTCCCTGTCGACGACATCATCCAAGACGTGCGCAACATGCTCAACCGAAGCAACGAGCTTTCGGAGCCTGAAAGCTCAGAGCAGGTCGCCAACCACATGACCAGCACGTCGCTCAGCACCAACAACCTCCAGAAATGGAACATCCCCATGAACGACATGGAGCTGCTGGTGCTGCTGCCTAGTTCGCTGTCGCTTCCTCTGTTGATGTCCAATACTAACCTGTCGGGCTCCAGCGGCTCGGTTAGTCTGGGAAGCGACCCCAGCTCGGATTCGACCCCGAACGCTGCAGACCGTGCCAAACTTACGTTGCTGAGTATCCCCAATGCCAAGATGGAGCTGATAGAAGAGCCGGAGGATCTCAAGTTTGACACGTCGTATGTGGCGTAGTGCTGGGGGTTTTTGAAAAACGATCAATCATATGTGATGTCCCTTATTCATGTTTGCTTTTGGGTTGGTATTTAATTGGGTACGGCGTGCTATACATTTAACGACTATAGACAAGTGTAGACCCTGTGGTTGCTACAAGTAAACAAAGTAGCTTTCCACAATAAACAGCATTTAAAATAAGCTCAACCACTCTTTTAACAACTTCTACACCTTTCTCAATACAACGACTTAAAGTAGCGTTCCACAATAAATTGCATCTAAAATAAGCTAAACCACTTATCAAATCTTCTACGTCTCCCTCAATAAATCGTCCTATTTTACACATTCAAAGACACATTCTCGGTGGTGATCATGCTCTTGTAAGGCTCCAAGGCCTCGGCAACGGTCTTCTTGACAAACTTTTCAGTTTGCTGAGGAGCACGGCCCACAAAAGTGGATGGGTCCAACAAGCTGTCCAACTGCTCCCAGATTGGCTCGAAGTACTTGGTCTTTCTGACTCTGTCGATCAAGTCGTTACGGCCACCCTCCTGTTTAACCTGAGCAGAAGCCTCGTGGGACAACACTCTGATTTCCTCGTGGCAGTCTTGTCTGGAAGCGCCCTTCTCGACCATGGCCATGATGATGTTTTCGGTGGCCATGAATGGCAACTCCTCCAGGATTCTTCTCTCAATCACCTTAGGGTAAACCACAAGACCGGAGGTGATGTTGTTGAGGGTCGACAACAAAATGTCGGCGGTCAAGAAAGCAGAAGGAAGCGAGATTCTACGGATGGCAGAGTCGTCCAAGGTTCTCTCGAACCACTGCACGGAAGCAGTCTGGATAGCGTCGTTCAACAAACCACCCAAGTGTCTGGACAAAGAACAAACTCTCTCACATCTCATAGGGTTTCTCTTGTAGGCCATGGCAGAAGAACCGATCTGGGACTTCTCAAATGGCTCCTCGACCTCCTTCAAGTTGGCCAAAAGTCTGATGTCGGTAGCGAACTTGTGGGTGGTAGCACCCAAAGAGGCCAATGGGCTCAAGACGTCAATGTCGATTTTTCTGGAGTAGGTCTGGCCAGTGACAGGGTAGACGTGCTCAAATCCGAGAAGCTTGACAACAGTCTCGTCCAATTCCTCAACCTTGTCGTGGTCACCGTGGAAAAGCGACAAGAAGGAAGCCTGAGTACCAGTGGTACCCTTGACACCTCTAAGACCCAAGTCGTTTCTGGCTCTGACCATGTTACGCAAATCCCACAACAACTCCTGGATCCACAAGGTGGCTCTCTTACCCACGGTGGTGAGCTGGGCAGGCTGGAAATGGGTCCATCCCAAAACTGGCAAGTCCTTGTACTCCAAGGCGAACTTGGACAAACGGTCAATGACGTTAACCAACTTGGGGATCAACACGTCGTAGGCGTCTCTGAGGAAAATGAGGTCGGCGTTGTCGGTGACGAAACAGGAAGTAGCACCCAAGTGGATGATACCCGCAGCAGCGGGGCACGTTTCACCGAAAACGTGAACATGGGCCATCACGTCGTGTCTGACCTTGGCCTCCTCAACAGAGGCAGCCTTGATCTCGTCGTCGGTGATCTCCAAGTGCTTCTTCATCTGCTCAATGGCCTCGTCGGTGATGACGCTAAGACCAACCTGCTTCTCAGCGATGGCCAAGTTCAACCAGAGTTTTCTCCAAGTGGAGAAACGGTTTCTCAAGGAGAAGATCTTGGACATCTCCTCAGATGCATATCTGGAGGAGAGGGGCGTGGAGTACTTGTCGTTGGCGCTCATTGTTGGAATTGATGGAGTAGCACTGGTGAAAAATCGATGGGGTGATTAGGCTAATACCAATGTCGCGCTTTATCGAGATGTCGCACCAGATAAGGGTTTGGAGGCTGGCGATATCTTGGAAAAAACGGGGAATGGGGATTTGAATTTTGATGCTCTTTGAGAGTTTGGATGTTGGTTTGGCAATTGCGATCGTTAGGAAGGGACAACGTGCCATTGAGTTGAAAACGTGCGCTCTCCATACAAATTTCGAAGGTACCTGAGGGAACACACATAGCTTCAAAATTAACAGAAATATCACCAGCGATCAATTGGGGTGACCGCTTTACGGCACTATTTTTACCTGCAATTGATTTCGTCAGGTTGGTCAGCTAAACCAGTGATAGAACGCGCGACATTTTTGCAAGCGATAATAATCACCGCAGCAAGACTGACTCGGCCCTGACTGCGCTCACCAAGATACCACCAAACAAATCCAATTGAAAAATGGTGCAAACCCAATTATACCCAGTTTTAAGAGGCACATTTTTGGGACCATTTTAATTCTTTCGACATTTTTTACTTTGGTCTGGACCAAGATGTCGGTTGACGCCCCAAACCTCGCTTACTGATCCAGGGTGCTGTGGTCTGGTCCGTCGAACGGGACCATAAAATTTGGACTCGTTTTTGAAAAATTGTTGGTGAGTTCGGATATAATTGAATTTTTTGGTGGATTGTTTACGCCGGGATTCGGAGTGGGAAGTGGATGGATTTGGGTGTCTCGTCGTCGTCGGTGGTGAAGACGGCCTGATTGAGATTGTCAAACTCGGCCGGCAAAGAAGTTCAAAGTTACTTAATTTTTTCGGATCAGGAATCAATCATTTTCCTTCAGAAGCTTTTACGTTTAGTATATGACAGATCCGATCCCTCAGCCAACCGAGAAGTTGCAGCTCTTCCATGCATGGAAGATTCCGATCCTGGACAAACCCTAAACATTTCGGTGGTCAAGGTACCGTTGACTAGAACATTTTGTCCTAATCAAGAACCACCGAATGTTTGACCTTGTAGCAAGAGGTTTCCCTCAAAGAACAGTTTCTCGTTGCTCGTCAGATATTGAAGCTTGATGGATAGAAATACACAGGCAATTTAGACACCGTAGAGATAATCCAATAGCAATTGAACAAGCTGTGATGTCGTACTCTTGATACCAATACCCAGCCGGTCACCACGCTGTATCCACTGGGTGCCATCCATTGGTCGGGTTTAAGATTGATCAGATTGCCATAGCATGCCAGAGGTTGCCAGATCCAGGCAAAATAGCTCGAATTATCAGAGCCGAGAGAGAAATCCCTCACTCAGACAGAATCTCGAGACTAGGTCGTCCTGAAGTGCTTCAGCATGCTTGTCCTGAACCAAGAGTGTCTTTAATACAGCGATGGCTCCAATCAGGAGCCCATAACATCAAGATATGGGGTAAACATGAATATAGAAGATTGAAGTCACCCAACTCACATTCACATAATTTCTTCCAAGGCGTCAACCTCACAGAAACACGTCCCTTACGCGTAGATCTCGGTGAAGCATATCTTCACCAAACAAGCTCACAATCAACCAAATCCAACAGTTATTTCACAACATCTCCATTAATCTCTCAAAGTTCTTCCATCGTGAATGCAAATAGCGAACTTTTAACTCCTCAGTCACGCCTTACTCCTCCTCTTCAGAGTGCAACTCCTCAGGCCTGTCTCTCTCCAATTCCTCCAACTCCTGGTTCCTCAATTGCATCAGATAAACCGCCGTTTTGAACAACGTGTAAACAAGCCCAATCTTTCTCTCTAAGTTTCTCATGTTTCCTAGAAGGGCATCTGCTGGAACGGCGGCTCCTTCCGAGGCTGTTTTCTGTCTGTTCAAGCTGGCGATTTCCGAGGCCAATTTGTTCAATTTGACCGCTAGTAGCTGGTACTGCAGGAGAAGCTCTTTTTCAAGCAGCAGGAGATCTGTGAATGTAGAGTAGTCTGTGGTTAGGGTATCTTTCATGGTATTGTTGTTTACTGGGCACGTGAGACAAATCATGAAGTTGTGGGAGGGCTTCAGACCCGTACACCATGTATATTTCGGCTGTGAGTCTGGGACAAGCAGTTTTTGCGAAAACACCCGTGCACCACGTCGCACTTGGCGGGATTCGCACTTGGACCGGAGTTCCGGCAGGACGGGTTTCGGGGTCGTCCGAAATAGGCTTCCTACGGGATTCCGAGGGCGAAATGTCGTCGCACCCGCATGATGCCCCTTGTTTAGCCCCTCATACCGCTGCACGGCGGGGTACTTCCACAACGGATGACCCCTCCAACATGCAGAATACAATGTGATTTTATGTAATGGTTGGGCGCCAGGAGGCTAGTGAATAAAGCTTGTGGCTAGGGCACCATGGCTGGCCAGATGGAACAACATCACGTTATTGTGGCGTGTGGAGCTTGTGGCGAAGAATCTGAGACATTTTCCTCGACCGAAAAGGTATATGAATATGTTGTTTTTATGGGTTGGTTGGAATAATTGGCGTTTTCTCGTTACGGTTTGGGTGCTAAATCTGCTGCTTAGGGTGGCTAGGGCGTGCTGCAAATGGCTGCAAATGTGAGACATGCGGGCTCTCAAAACCGCATGTTTGAGATTTTGAAAAGATGGAAAATGACAGCTTGCAGCGACATTACGGCATAGCAACCCTGGCCATATAAAAACTCGTAGTCGATTTAACCATCCACCAGCTTCTTCTCGTAAATGCCCTTCCCTGCGTCACCGTTGAATGTCGTGTGACAAAGCAACGGCAACGGTTCCGCTATTGTCCATGTCTGGTCCACATCTGACATGCTTGGTCTACATACATGTCGTCGAGGTGACAGGCTTTACAACAAAAAAATGTGCTTCTTCGGGAACAGGGTTAATCTGTGCATCACCTCCCACAGCCTGGATAGCAAGTGGTGCGTTTTTCGATGACTCCCAAATTGCCGGTCAGACGCATGGAAAAGTATAAGGAGAGAAGAAGTGCACTGGTGACTCTGAGATTCTTTTATCTTTTGCCCTGGTCGTTTGTAGGTGTCTCGGGTTTAGCTATACTGTGTGATCTAGGTAGTGGCATGAAGCTGTTGGAGTAAGCAGGTCACCTGGATGTGCAATATGTGAGACATGACGTAGAAAGTACTTTCTGTAATGAAATGTGCAATGTCAAGATATTTCATCTAGTGGAGAGGTTTCTTGGAATCTACTGTCTTTATACAAATGAGGCGTCTTGGTGAGTATTGTTCAGTAAATTTGAATGGCCGGAAACCCAGGACAAACAAGCTCAAATAGCTCAAGCACCAGCTATTATACTCAGCTTAGAACTCTCCTTTCTAGCTTTCACTCCTTCAAATTTAGTGCTTTGAAATAGATTCGCCTGTCCCGAGGATGTTGAACTTAGGCAACTATCACCTAGAAGATACCTTTCATCATACCAGCGTCATCAGAAATCCAGTTTAGGTACCTCTGTTCCACAATAATACAGAATAGCAAAATCGTTATATGTTTCGTCGGCTTCTCCGTATAACAGCACTCACTCGCTCCATCGTACCAGACAAAGCAACTGACTTATAATCCCCTAAGCAAAAAGAGAAAGTCCACTCCGTTTCTCTTCTTAATTTATAAGATCCGTTTCGTTTTGCCATGACATGTAGCAATGTCAAAATATTTCATCTAGTTGAGAGGCTACTTGCATAGTCCACTGTCATCATACCGACGGGGCGTATTGTTGAGTACTCAATGCCCAAAAACTCATAACTAACAAGCTCAGATAGACCGATAGATGTACCTCCAGACTCTTTATTCTACCTCTCATTTCAATGAAGCGCTTCGATACTGCTTTGTTTGTACCGAGGATGTTGAACGTGAACAGCTATCATCAGTAGAGGATATCTTTCATACCAAGACGTCAATCTAAAGAATACTTCTGCTCCAAGTCAACCCAAAATGAAAGTAATACCGATATGTTTTGGTCTGATTTGTTAGGATGCTCGGATGCATCCATAGTAAAATACGAATAACACTCAGATATACCTTCCTCAACTTCTAAACTAAGAGGACTAAAAGCTGAACATAGATAGAGGTTACCGTGTTTTTTGCACTAACAGGAAATACTCTAAAGTGGTTCTTTAGGCTGACATCTGAGAAATCGTGAATTCCCCGTTATACCATGTATCACCTAGTGTCCTTCTTCAAATCAGGAAACTGGCTCTGGCGGGGACTTCCTCGTCTATGTTTGATATATGAAGCGCTTGGTGTTTAGCGTGTATCAAACGTTCCCTACGTGTTTCTTAATTATTTTCCATACAACAGCATTGTCGTATACCCATTCAGCAAGACAGTGCACAGCAACTGAGATCCAACTCCAAAAAGCCAATTAAAAGAAAATGGAGTCTATTACACGTCCTAGTTCATGAGATCCGTTTTGCTCCCAGTTAATTACTTTTCCTAATTACACCATCACATCGATTTCCAAAAAGACCCGCATGGTTGCTTCAGCCGTGCATCACAAAACCCACCAACCTGCCTGCCAAAGCCAAAATCCTTTTTTGGAAATCCTTAAAACCCAAAACTTTCTCCAGAACATCCCCAAAAACCAAATCCAAAACCTCCAGCTCAGCAATCCTGATTGGCGAAAAATGGGCAACATTCCGAAAATCTCATGCAGATTTGCACCCACCAATGGAGGCCAAAAACCGCCAAAATCAACAGACATTCCATCGAAAAAGGGGCAAATCAGCAAAACTGATGGAAAACCCCAATTTCCATGATAGAAATCTTCCATTGACTTATTTCCTCCCTTACCCCTTGTTCATCTGCCAGTGAAGATTCCGTCACAGTGAGGCAGTGACAGCATTCTGCAGGTTCCACCTTCATCAACTTCAACCTCGTTGATTCCAACACCGTTTTCCAAATCCAGCGCATACACTGGATCCGCTGCTCTGATTGGCTGAATTCCCGTCGTTCTAGCTACATTTACGCCGTCAGCGCCAAAACCTGAAATCTCCAGCTCTCCAGGTGCAAAATTCCCACCTAGCAACCATGTCTGAGCACCAAAACAGAACAACAAACAGAACCGTGGACGCCAAGTACCGCAAAAGACGCCTTGTCAAGAAACCCGGCTCGACGTCAAAAACCAAGTTTCTTGTCTGGTTGAGCGGCCACTCCGTGTGTGTCCTTTTTGGAACCATCACCTTGTTTTTCCAGGCCTTGTGGCTTCCTAACGTCTACTACATCAACTCCATCGCCTACAGACTCTGTCTTTTGGGTGCCACCACGGCGTTTTTGGCCACCTTGTCCCACAAGTTCGGTCTCCACTACTTGCCACCAATCACTACGCTTTTGGCTCAGCACAACTTCCAGTACCTCAACTTGGCCATCATGTACTCCTTCACCTTCAAGTCCGTGTTCAAGATCGTGCCTTTGTACTTGATTTCCATCTTGCAGTTGTGTGAACACTTCAAGGTGGGTGCTGTGCAGAAACACGCCGATTCCATTGCGTCGATTATCGGTTTCGACGAGATCTTCTTGATCTTCTACCTTTTCGTCAGAACCTTGGCCTTCAGGTCCACCTCTGGCTACCAGTTGGCCATCCTTTTGATGTTCTTGTGGTTGCGTATTTTGTTCGACCCCGACACCGCCAAGATGTTCTCGTATGTCGTGGACAAGGCCGACGCCAAGGTATCCAACATCAAGCACGAGAAGGTCAACAAGGTGTGGACCAAGATCAAGCGTTTCCTTGAAGAGAAGCAGTCCTCGAACTTCATTTGAGCGCAGGAAATTTTGTACGATAAGATTTGTAAGATGTGAAGGTGTAGTTGGAGGAGAAATTTAGATATTTTGTTCGATTGAGATTCTTTTATTGTAGTGAATTCGAGGAAGTATGATGCTGAGTCAGTGGGAGGAGCTACAATGCAAGTGACGAATACTTACTTGATCTATTGAATGTTCAGTGATTAGTAGATATACTAAGATTTGTCCTCAAGAGGAATGTGTACAAATAAACCAACTGATCATTCTATGTTCAAATATATGGGTCTCCTCAACTGTAGGTAATCATTCTTGAGGATAAGCTATTCTATTATGAGGTTTGGCATTCATACCATCATTAATAGTGTTGATGTTTACGGTGCTACATGGCAATACTTCGAGTGTTGGTGATTTTCGATAATAGAGACTGACCCATTTCATCTTTTAGCTCGAGACGTAAATTTTATTGCCAATCCACAAGTGCTTATCTACTAACAATCGAATGGTGACGAACTACACATAATTCAGTTCTGCTGGTACCAAGAAACACTTTTGCAATTTTGTCTGGCAACTACAAAACTCAATTTGATCAACAAAGATGTGATTTTTGCCAGTGTCCACGAATTTACTGATGGTGTGGTTCGTACTTACTGCTATGTATGTCACGCAAGACTGAGGTGTTGATACTTCATACTTCTTTTAAAAAACCAACTCAACCCCTACAGAGTCTCCGCTATAGACTTCTTTGAGTGCACAAAGCCACAGAGTCTGCGTCATGGCTATTATTCATATCTTACAAGGCATTGAGCTCGATATGGATAGTCTGGGCAAACCAGCATCTCAAGAATACGATACCTCTAAATGTTCATGGCATTCAACCACTTCTTTTTTTCATAATCCAGAGAACCAAAACCTCCTCAGATGTTCGTTATAGCCGCTAGCTTGTTGGTTCTCAATGCCATCTCAATTGCAGTCGTCTTTGGCAAACTCCCACTTCCAACCTCCTACATCTATCCAACGGACCCTAACTTAGACTGGATGGATGTGATCAATCGGTTCATCCAAATGCTCGAGACCTGGGAAAACGGCTCTACAGAAGGGGTCTACTCATACCTTCCTCAGAATCTACCTGTTGGAAATGTGTGCTACTCGTTCTACCCGTGGGGAATGAAAAAGTACGATAAACATCTGAAAGAAGAGGTAATCTACAAAGACTACGGCCACCGTATAATGCCCGTTCTAGTACGAGATGTGATATCACAATTTCCTCAAGCTAAGAAAACCGACAGCGTCCATACTTGGGAAATGGTGGCTCAAAACACCATAAATCTGACAAAAAGAAGTATCAGAAATATGTCACATTTCGACAGGGAGAGATACTCCGAAATGGATCGGGAAAATGCCCAGAGACTCCTTCGTATTCAGTACTGCTCTACTGACACAGCAGCACGACACAAGCAATTCTTTTACTACCACTATGCAATTGCTTTCCTTGGATACTTTTTGAGCTTTTTCATACAGTCAGGTGGCTGGCAAGCCGTCTTGTGGATAGCACATAATATAACCGCTATCATGGTATTTTTCCGGATTCACGACGATATGGAGGGTTATTACACGATTTTGCAGAATAACGACATAGCATGTACTTACGGGCCTTTCTTCTGGCTCCATCTTGTTCTTATGTTTTGGGGCTGGATCTGGTTGTATATTTCCTTTTTTTTGTTGAGTGTGGCCAAGTAAAGATATTTAAGGAGAGCGATTCAGAAATTTATAGTCTGATATGCGCTTTGGGGTAAGGAGATGAGGGTGTTATGTGATTCCATTTGAAAAATAATTGGAACTTTGCCTCACTCAATACAACCGTCTTCCAAAAATAAGCCGTTCAATTTGTAACGAAAACAGCGTAGAAAATACTTCTGGATCACATGCCTTGAAATCAAAGTATGTAATGTATGAAACTGACGTTTTGAGTAGCTTCCACGTCTCGACGTCTCCATAAACACCAGCCCTGTATTTCTGCACTCATGGCCCCGATGTGACAAGTTCTCTGAAACAGTCAAACGTCTCCACCGCCAAAGATTTGAGAAAAAAAATACAAAACTTCAAACTTTTCATTTGTTTAGGTCAGCCAAGTGGGATGTTGTTTCTGGCCTATAGACTGGTTCAACCCACTTTTCTTCTTTCTTTATTTTTCTCACATTTGCATTTCTGCTTATGTTCTTTTCTTCTTTTAATTCTAGTCCTCCTTTATGCTGATAAAATATACTTTTTGGTTTTTATCATGATCTCAAGTACATCATTTAGGTCTACATAATTATTCATTATCCTCTACCCGTTTTGGTGATCCAACATACATCAAACTGCAAAATGAGCTATGGAATTGACCCGCCTAGATGAAATTGACCTACCTCAAGTTTCAGAATTATGTAATATAACAAATTGAGTTCTGATTAGCCTTCATGTCTCAACTTCTCAAGAAACACCTACCCTGTATATCCACACACAACGCCCCAATCCAAGCAATTCCTCTCCTACAATCATAAACCCCTATTCCCACTACGCTACTCAAATAAAATATAAAAATATTGACGGAAATCGGTTGCAAGTCCGGTCGGACCGACCGTGGTGTACGGGTCTTGACCAACACATAGCTCACTCCAGATCTCCAAATCTCAACTACATCCTTCACCACAGTAGAGAGAAGCTCCTGTGCACCATGCTGCAGCCTATAGTATATCAATTGGGACACGAGCCCATCAAGGACCACTGCTTTGCTCCTGGATACGAGCTTTTGGCCGTCACCAAGGACAACACCGTGGAGTTGTACCAGACTCAGGTGAACTCCAAAACCAAGCCCCAGCTTATCACGACTTTGAAAGGTCACGACAAGACCGTCACTTCCGTGGACATCTCGCCTGACGGAACCAAGATCTTGACCTGCTCCCAGGACAGAAACGCCCTTGTGTGGGAATGGAACGATCAGGCTGGAGACTTCAAACCCACCTTGGTGCTTTTGAGAATCAACAGAGCCGCCACCGTGTGCAAGTGGTCTCCCAACGGAGACAAGTTTGCTGTTGGCTCGGCCGACCGGATCATTGCCGTCTGCTACTACGAAGCCGAGAACGACTGGTGGGTGTCCAAGCACTTGAAGAAGCCGCTCAAGTCCACCATCACCAGCTTGCTGTGGCACCCCAACAACGTGTTGTTGGCGCTGGGCTCCACCGACGGCCACGTGCGTGTTTTCTCGGGCTACATCAAGGGCGTCGACGAGAAGCCTGAGCCTTCCGTCTGGGGCTCCAAGTTGCCTTTCCAGACGCTTGTGGGCGACTTCTCCAACGAAACAGGTGCTTGGGTCCACGACGTGACCTTCAACAAGGACGGCCAGGGCGAGTCTTTGGCGTATGTTACCCACGATGGCTCAATTTCGGTGGTTTACCCTGGCGGAGAGGGCCAGCCTCCAGCTGCCTTCATCACCATCAAGACCAACTACTTGCCATTCAAGTCGCTCCTCTACTCGGGCAACAGAATCATTGTGGGCGGCCACAACTGTAACTTGATTGTGTTTGAGGGTGACCAAAACGGCTGGCACGAGGCTTTCCACGTTGAGAAGCAGAAGGACTTGATCCACGATGTGCCTGCTGTGGAGGAGGAGCAGGAGATCTCGAGTCACGACGCTCTCAACATGTTCAAGCAATTGGACTTGAAGGGTAAGGCCAGCCGTCCTAACGAGAAGGGCAGCGGCAAGGCTTTGAGCACGATCAACCAGAACACCATCGCCAGCATCAAGTGGTACGAGGGCGGCAAGGTCTCCACCTCTGGTATCGACGGCAAGATCGTGATCTTCTCGGTCTAGCCACGTCTTTAGTAAAACGATAGACATAGTAAAGTGTAGAGTAGTCACAGGGCTACGAATGGAAGGCGGGCTCCAAGGGTGTCTGTCAGAAATTGAGCTTTGGTATTGGGTTATCTTCAGGAATGTTTGGTTCAGAAGCAGAACTGAAAATATGGTTTTTCATCATGTAGACACCTTGCCTTGGAAACCGAAGGTTTCGCCTGAAACCGGCGCCTTCCAACACTACTAATAAGAAGAGCAAATCAACTGGATGTTAGAAGAGATCCAAAAATGACAAGTCAGCTGGTGATGCATGTTTTTCCGAGGCTCAGGGTTCGCCAGGAAGTATGTTGTGTAAACAATCATCAGTATAATGTCTCAAGAGCGACATACCTTTGGTTAGCACGAGTCAACAGGGAAAAGCCGAAATCATAAACGAAGAATTCCTATTTGTACTGTTTTGTCCTGCATGTACCCTCAGTTAAAATAAAAGTTTGTTAATCATTTCGGCGTCTTGGAAGAAGACATACCTTTGGTGATGGTGTAGCGAGATGGCAGAAAAAAGTGTTTTATGTGTCGGGGCGGGTAACCGCGAAAGACGTGCAGGGCTGGTGTATGAGGGTGCAAAGTTGATGCATTTGTAGGGTTGATATTTTGTGGGATTTTTTTGGTTTTTATTTTTATTGATGATGAAGAAAGGATTTTTGAACTCGGTAAGTTTTTTTAGTTTCTGTGTGTTTGTGGGCGTAGAAAAGTGGCTTCATGTTTGGCTGCGAAAGATGGAAGTATGGTAGGGCATTAGGCGACCAACGAAATCTGATATCTATTTTAATTCGTATTTTGAAAACCTGTTTTCTAAAAGACTCGTAGATAGAAGGCTGTGACCATTTAAAAAGATGCAAAAATTTGTTTAACCGATGGAGATCAAAAGCTAACCCTAAAGCAGAATGTGAACTTCTAGCTCCAGGTGATTTGTATAACAGTGAATGTCCTAATAAAGCATGTTTTTCGGAATGGAAATAGGTAAAGAATTTGAGAGATGGCAGTCTAGAACTAGTGGCGACACAGGAGTACGATTTAGTTCACAGGTGTGGTCAAGTGGAGCTAGTCTGGAAGCTGATAAGTTGGTTTTTTCTCTACGTAGATCTAAATAGGGTTTTCCATTTAATCAGATGAATTTAACTAAAAACAATTGTGACAAAAAGGAAGTAAGACAGGAGCGCCTGGAGCTACGGGATTTTTGTCTACTTGGGGATACGCATATCGAAGAATTGAGAAATGTTGACCTTGATGCTTGTGTTAGTGTGACTATTGGAACTATTAATAAAGATTAAAATAAACTTGAATGGAAATATTCGCTGGTGATGATGTATTTTACTAAAATGTTCCACGTCATTTCGCTTCATGACATTCCTCTAACCTCGAACTTCAATGCATGTGAGGTCATCATCAAAGCCATCCTTCAAAGCAAGTTAGGGCCGGTTGGTTGAAAGTTAACGACTTTTCGGAATGACCGGTACTCACTTGTACATTGGTAAGCAGAGAACCTCTTCCAATGTGTTGAGGTGATTACCTCTCAATCTATCACAATTCTTCATTCTGTTCTATTAGTCTCCGTTACTTCTGACCCTCAACGGGACTTGAAGTAGGTGATTCAAGCCGTCTGATAGAACTACTGATCTGATAATTTCCTGCAAACATCCATTTGCTACCTTCAACGATTGCCATTCAATTGCACAAGAATATTGTCGGACGATATCGTGCAATATAATCGCCCTGCCGCTACATCCATTCTAACGACTCTTCTACAATCCAAATATCTCAAAAAGGAGTTTTGATAGCCCACATCAGTCCTGCTCCCCAGTAACTGCCGAGTCACTCCTCTGCGTATCACAAAGTGCTTAAACTCTCGTATATATGCTCCCCGAAATCATACATTTTTATGGCCTTTCTTCCCCAGTACAAGCCCTTTATCACTACAGCCCAACTAGCCAACTCGCCAAAACTAACCAAAATCACCAACTCTCATATTACTCTCCAACAATACCTCCATCCCACCAATGAAAACCTGCTTATATCCCACTCGGCCAGCCCATTTCACCGTCTCTGTCTCCGTCCACAAATCTCAAAACCAATTTCCAAAAACAAATTTCCAAATTTCCAAAATCCCTCCAAATCTGCAAAATCCCTCCATTTCACCCCATGCATCCGCAAATAATATCCTCATATCCTCCCGCTCTCATGGCATATAGTTGCGGCGAGCAGCAGCCACCCGCTTAAGCGAGATAAGCGAATCTTCCCCACAGGCCAAAAACGCAAACCCAGACGTAAAATAATTCTCAAACAGGCACGGCTAGAAAAACTATAAATACGGCACGTCCTCCGACCATTAAATTTTTTAAAATCTGCCAGCAATCTCCCGCCCCAACCGCACCGGTCCCTGCGCAGACAGGCATACGGCTCACAGTGCACATCGCATTGACAGAAGCTACCCACCACCTCCATTTCCAATGCCCATACTGAAGCTGGACCTGCTGCCTGTGCTCAAACGGCAGGCGGGCGGTCGAGACGTGGCCGCTGGCCAATCAGAAACCGCTCCTTTGCTCCGGGCGCTGCCGGAAACTCTGTACTTTGGGCCCCGTTCAGCAAGCAGAGAAAGACGCCTCAATCATCCCAAAACAACCCTGGAGTTCGGCCGCCGGGGTCTGGGCTGCCTGTTCTCAATAACCGCCGCATGCTGGTTTCTGCATTGGAGCTCCACAAAGCCGGCCGGAGCCAGCCAAACATGCCGTTTTTCCAGAGACTTCTTTCTTCGGGTTACACGGTGCTGAATCCGATGGGTTCCTCCCACGACTTGGCCAGTTTTGCCTTTTCCGACACGGGCTCTGTCGGACTGGCGGATGTGGAAAACGACGACTACGAAAGACCGTTTCGCCGCATGAGTGTGCTCAATGAAATGAGACCTGAGAAGCTCATTGGAGACTGGCTGCCTTTGGCAGACTGGAAAGCCGGCTATGTGGACCCGAAATCCGCCAAAAGCAAGCTCCGCAAGTTCTACTCCGACCAGAACGAGCTCATTAAGCGTTTCTCCGAAATCGACAATTTCTTGGACTACGGCAAAATCCACTTGAACATGTTGAATACCTATACTGACCCGAAGAACCCCAGCAAGCTTTCACAGCTTGACGAGGAGCCGGAGCCGACGCTGGAGGCCATGGAACAGTCCAATTCAAAATCCAGACTCAATGCTGAACCCGGTAATATCAGGGAAGGCGGCCAGTTTCTCGGCTACAATGAGGAACAGTCCTCTCAAAGCGTGCTTGTGGCTATTTTGGTCAATTTCGCCGTCAACACCGTGCTTTTGATTGGAAAAATCATCATTTCGCTCTTGACAAACTCCCTTTCCGTGATCGCCTCGTTGGTCGATTCCGTGCTTGACTTCCTTTCCACCTTCATCATCTACATCGCCAACAGGCTCTCCAACAACAAGAACTGGCAATCTCAGATCTTGTATCCTATTGGCCGAACGAAGCTCGAGCCGTTGGGAATCCTCATTTTCTCGGTGATCATTATCATCTCTTTTTTCCAAGTTGGCCTTGAATCCTTCAAGAAGCTCTTTCTCAGTAAACCTGAAGAAAGGGTAATTGTGGAAATCGGCATCGATGCAATTGCTATCATGCTTGCCACCATCGGTGCTAAAATCATCTGCTGGGCTTGGTGTATATCCTCGAAGTCCAGTTCAGTCCAGGCTTTGGCACAAGACGCCATGACAGATGTGATTTTCAACACCGTCTCTTTGATCATGCCTACTATTGGTCACTATGCTGGAATCTGGTGGGCAGATCCGCTTGGTGCCCTCATTCTTTCCGTCTACATCATCATCAGCTGGGGATATACAGCATTTGAGCATATTGATAACTTGACAGGCGCCGTGGCCAGTGCCACTGATTATAAAGTGGTTTTGTACTTGGCGTATCGTTTTGCTGAGTGTATCAAGCAAATCACCGCCCTCAAGGTGTACCATGTTGGTGACAATTTGAATGTGGAGATCGACGTTGTCTTTGACACAGAAAATTACAACTTGAGCTTCAAAGACGCCCACGATATCGCCGAGGCGCTTCAGTACGCCATCGAGAGCTTGCCCATGGTTGAGCGTGCTTTCGTCCATATCGATTACATGGAGGGCAACTTCAAGGGCCATCTCACGTAAGATGCCTTAGCTCAGCTCAATGGGAAATTCCTGTTGCATTATGCCGACAAGGCTGTCTCGGTAATTGGTGAGCAAGTCGTCGGTGTTGTCCTGGCAGATTCTTGTCAACTTCTCCACGAGCTGCTTCGACTTGACTAGCGCATCTTTCCATGTCGATTCCTTGAGCTCATTTTGATCATTTTGGTCATTCAAATAGTGAAGCTTATCGTGTGCTTTGAGATGGCTGAGGCCCTTGAGCAATACAACGCAACCAAAATAGAAGAAAAAGTGGATTTGGTCCGACAAGTACGCGTAGTACGAGTCGTTCTGGATCTTTATAGAAAAATCAACAAGGTAGTAGGCGCTCGAGACGATCTGACTTATGCACTTTCTGTCGCAGTCTGTGAGTGACGTCAATAATCTGTCTTGAATACTCGCTGGTGATGGTGGTTGACGCTTAGAAGCCCCCACCTTCTCTTGCGTGTAGCTGAGATGCACAAGTATGAGGCAAAATGAGAGTGTGGACTCAACAAACGAGATCGCAGGTTGGGAGAATAAGTATTCCCATTGCTCGTACCATCCTTTGATCTCTTCCTTCACGCCTTTGAAAGCAAGCTCTACTTGCTCCGGATCGTTTGCCAGTGCTCCATTGCAGCTGAGTTGAATATAGTTGTAAGTGATCAACAATATGCCAATTTCACTTACCATTCGGCCATCGAAGTTTGTAGCGCTGGGTAGGCTTAGGGCGAGGTTGCAATGGCTAAGTCTGATCTGATCGACAATGCACATCCTTCCACTGAAAATACAACTTGCCAAGTGATTGAGAATGAGGTGGTTGTAGATGCGGTACATCGTGAGAGTCTGGTATTCGGTAGAATCGAATTGGTTAAAAAGGAATGTAAAGTTAGGCGTTTCGTCTTCTGCCCTGTGGAGCAATATTCCGAAGTTGGATTTGGAAATGAATGTTGTTAGTGCGGTGCCTGAAAGGCTCCATGAGTCCATATTGAGTTCTTTAATGCTGACTTCATCATCAAGAAGAGGGTCATCATCGACGGTGCTGCACGCTATTGAGGACAAGGACATCGAGTAGATTGAGAGAATAACCATGGCTTGAAGGTCTTCGATATCGCCCTTTGAGTCGCCACATCCCTGGAAACAAGCGACTTTGAGAAGTGTTTTGTTGAGGTCCCGAAGCAAATGCTGGATTAACAATTTGTATGTGATTTTCTTTCTGCGGTGGCTATCAACGTCACCGGGGTTCGGCTTGCCATTGAGGGAGTATCTCAACGACAAACAGCAGCACGTAGTTATCAAAAGAGAAGACTTTTTCCTGACGCTGTCTATCAAATCCTCCGTAGACATATCGCTGGGAAACAGAACCCATCTTCCGTAATTGCTCCTGAAGTCATTCATAAGGTCAATTACCTCAAGTTTGGTGAGAACGCCAGCATCTATGATGTCACCTTCGCTCAGCACAATTGCAGGTTGGCCATGTGAAGCTCTGAGTTTGAGAAGGTTCAGTACTGGCCTCGACACAGATCCTGGGTTGTCTGCCAACAAACTGAATGGGGATGTCTCAAAGCCTTTTGAAGGGCCTAGAATGATATGTGGAGGCTCTTCTTCAGCCTGTTGCGGCACGTCCGTTGCAAGGGCCTCTGTCACCGAATCCTGGATCACCTGGGGTGTGACAGGGAAGGTCTGTGAAGTGGGATGGTCTTTCATCGTCGATGCTGCATCAAGGAGCAACTTCACGTCACTGTTCAAAATGGACTGCGATTGGGTTGCTCCATTCTGCGCCTGGAGAAGCTCCAAAATCCTGGTCACAGACCCGCATAAGAAGTCGAGTTTCTTGGACGAGGTATGATCCGTATCGACCCTAGAAATGTAATGATCATTATTCCCAGGTATAACCTCCACGGTTTGGTCCCCGCTCAAGTGCTCAGGCACTCCATTGACGATTTTCACTCCGGGATTTGCCGATCTATAAGCTGTCTCGAAGGAGCATTGGATGCCCACACTGAGACACCGCAAACAGCAAATGGCAGCAGGAGAACTTCTGAAACACCTGGTTTTTTGTTTTCGACAATAGTCACATGCCCTGTACGCTCTTGTCGGTTGGATTGGTCTTCCGTTCGATTTTTCATGATCCGCGGGAGCTTCCGCGGGAGTATCATTGAGAATATCATTCGGCGAGTTCTTCCCCCTCTTAGCTCCCAGACTAGCCAGCGATGTTGATGATCGCTTCATTGGCACGTTGCAAAGGAGGAAAAATGGACCTTTGGATGATGCGCTGGTGCTTGTGGGTGTTTCTTATCTTTGTCTTATCTCGGTAAGTACAGGAACATTAGTTTGGCAGTAAGGCGTCGTCGTGATAAGACGGAATCCTGGGATAATACGGTCCGGAAACCACAAAAACGTAAACGCCACAGTGACCAAGCCACATGGGTATAGCATTGAAAGGATGTGTAATTATGCTGCTGTGTTGGTTGCAGCCATATCCTCCGAGAAACCCCTCAGTATGCCTGATACACTCGTCTCGAGGCATTGTCGAGTGAATGACCCCCAGTCTTTGATATTTGTCATGAATAAAGTCAATACAAGTGCTTCAACGTTCAGAGTGTAACGCTTGAACAACCAAAGCTATCCTTATAATCAGCCGCTACCTTCGATGTTCAAGGCCGTATCAGTAGCTGAGTTCACAGTTACTGATGTTCATACTAATAACTCTTGCAAGCTACGAGTGTCTCACACTCTCCTATGTTCTCGAAAGGCTGGCTTCTTCCCTCAACATCACACGATCTTGTAGCATACCTCATTCTCGTCCTCCCTCACTATCAACCCTACCAGCGTTAGCCGGGCACCCTTGTTGATTCCCATGTGGTCAAAGTCAATCATACCTGTGTAGTTCACCTTACCTGCCTTGGTTGTAGAGGAGTTGCTCAAGTGGAACAGACCCAGAAACACGATATTGTAGTCTTTGTCGGAAGTAATCACTCTCTTTGGCTTCATGTCAATTGAAGTAACCTCGTGAACACGCCCACTAGACTTTTCGGAGGTTTTCTTCATCGCATCGTTGGGATCTAGCCTATCTAGCTTGAACCCAAAGGCTGTAAGTGCCTTATCGATATCGCCCCACCAGGGAAGCGGAGATATCGCCCAGCGCCACGCAAGATGAGTTTTGCCGTCGGATTTGGTTATCGTGATCTTGGGTCCGTGAATCGTGGGGTGTTCAGTCTCGATCCAGCTATCAAAGAAGTCCAGATCTTCCGTTTTAAGCAAAAGCGGAATGCCAAACGTGTCCCTCACAATCTTCAGGCGGAAAAGCTCGTCCAAAACCAGAAACTGGACGTTTTGCAGATGTAGGTCATCCGTGAAGTTGGGGATGCTCTCCACATACTCGTGGAACTCGGGATCAAAGTACTTGAGGTACAGCGGGAAGCCAAATCTGCGGTCCCAGGGCCAATTGAAGCTGAGCCAAAGGGGCAAAAAGGCACACTGTGACGCGTTGTCCAGTTCGTTCAGCGATACCTTGTAGACCTTGGATCCTAGGTATACAAGCATTGTAAGGGAACTGGACGCTGCCACAAGGAGCACGACCGTCAAGAAGCTATTTTGTGGCTTTTTCATCGTTCCTTTGCCATTGAGGATGCCGGGATTCTCTTGGAGTGTCTTTTTGACGAGGTTCTGTTTCATCATTCGTTCGTACTGGGACATTTTGGGGTGTTTTAGGACGAAAGATCTTTGAAAAAGGATTGTACTATTTGGATTCAAGCGGTTTCTGAAGCTATATAGGCCTATCGGTAGCTTTAGGGCCCTTTGTGTGGATATCATGGTGGATGTGTAAAGAAGGATATGAGGTGATGTCTGGGGAATATGCGCACCATGATACTGGTTATGGCGGGGTGGTCCATACACTTAGGAACCGGTGGATTGATTACTTACAATTAAGGTTGGAGATAAAGTGCGATAAGGTGGAAAATTGTTGGTTGTGTAAAATACAGTTATTGCTTTTCGTCACGGCCAATTGGTTTGGAATCGTGTCGGGGAAGTAGGCTAGTGCAGTCGTTTCCACTAGTCGGTGTACATTGATCCCAATTGTCTTGAATGTCTTGAATGACGTGTCATAACGAATTTGTTTCAATTGTCTTGGAGCGATTGAAATCCAGAGTTTGGAAGAATTTGGTGCCTTTGGGTTGGTCGATCGCTGCACCCATTTCCCTCGAGTGTCTTTGGTGGGTCTCATTCTAAAAACCAATTAATTCAAAATTTGCTCAATAGCTTCGTGTAGCTTCAAATGTCTGGCTTATGTGTAATACAAAGCAGGCTGGAGTCTTGCCATCAGCGGCCCTTCTATCCCCACAGTGAATACAAGTAAAATTCAACCAACATTCATCCTCATCAAAAGATGATTCTCTCTTTGAGCTCCGTTCTTCTTGTTTCAGCGTCAATGACCTCAATCGGCTAAACTCTCTCCGCTACTCATCAATGTCAGCCCAGTTGGTCGACTTGTCCTCCATCAGCTCAAACATCTGCCTCACCTCCTCCTTGATCTTGCGCTCCTTCTCTGCCTGCTCGGCCTTGAGCTTCTCCTGTTTCTGTTTCTCCTCCAAAAGCTTCTTCTGCTTGGGCGTCATATACTTGCCCTTTGGTTCTTGAGACTCCTTGGCTGGTTTTGGCTCCTTAGGTCTGGACTTCTGCTCCTTGTGATCTTTGTGTTTCGACTCTCTAGGGCCCTTGGGCGTCTTTTCCGCCTTTGGTTCCTCGGCAGGAGCTCCTATTCTCATCGCTAGAGACTTGGCAGCATCTGTCATGGGTCCTTTTTCATAGAGCTTATCCTCAAACAAATCCTCTTCTTCTTCGTCCGAAACGTCTTCCCAGTGTTCCTCCTGCTGGCCTTCGTGATCCTCACGTTCCTCGTGATTCCTGGAGTTTTGAGCACCTCTCTGTTGTCTAGGAGCATCACGATGAGTATCCCTGTTTCTGTTTCTTTTCGATCTCCTTTTCGGTTCATCCTTGACGCCGAGTCTGTCACCAAAGGATTTTGCCAAATCCAGCATTTCACCCGTTTCAGAGCTCTGTGGCGGCGTGGGAACTTGTGCTTCGTTTCTCTTCTTCAGCTTTGGTTTGAGCTCTTTCTTGGGTTCTTCAGGCTCTGCAGATGCCCATTTTGATAAAACGGATGTGGCAGGTTTTGGCGATGATTTCTTGGTTTCTGGAGTCGCTTGCTTGATTTCTGGCTCCTCGGCTGCCGCAGCCCATTTCGATTGAAGCCCCGGCATCGTGGTTTATTAGTACTTTAGAATGCGCACCTATATGGTGGACTATCAACAAGTCTGAATGTGGACAGAAAGTGGATGAGGCCTTGGAGTGATGTAATGATTGAATTTTCGGAAGAGTAGTATTGGCTATTTTGAGTCTGCGTGCTGGTCTGGGGATTCCAGAAATTGTTTTGGTACATCGGGGTCTCTAGTAGCATTAAGCACATGGATCTCGGTATCCTCAGCTTCGATGAATGGTGTGAGCGGATCAAAGGAATTCTGATGCATTCTGTCTCTTTCAATTTGCGCTAAAGCCATTTCAGCTTTTCGGCTTTTCAGGCTTTCATTACCGTGCATCTGCTGTTTCATCAAATACTGGAATAGATGCCATTGATGATAAGCAAGACTTCTTCATAGAGTCTGTCTCCTGTTGATATTCGAGGCTTCGCTTGAAAGCTAATTGGGTCTCATTAAGCAGCAGAAACAAATAGTGGTAGGTGAAAGATTCTGCGTTTTCCATGTGCATCAATTGTGTCTGTTGACGAACGTTGACGCGAGCGGGCTTGGCTTCCTTAGGTTTTGATGACGTATTTTTATAAAAATCCGTACTTACCAAAACTACTAGTGCTTAAATGGCGATTTTGGCTATCTTTTGATGCATATGAAAAGACGAATACCAGTCTGAATCAGACCAAACCAACAAATCAGAACAAACCAACAAATCAGACCAATCATGCTTCCACTAAAGCTGAGTCAGTGCTTCAAAGCGTTAGACAACCTCTCGGCACAAACTCTATACCTTATGTGAATCATTTACGATCAACTACGGTGAACTGCGATAGATTAAGCAGATCAATAACCGATTCAAAGTAGGCAACTATCCAGAATCCAATTTTCCAATTTTCTTCAAATCTCACGACTTCTGACTCGTTAACCCGTTGGCTCCTGACACTTCCACATGTCCATGGACTTTCACGATGCACCGGCTCAACGGCCCGGTACCGGCTAAGCGCATATGCCCTGGAAATCTTGTGTCAGCATGCGCGAACGAGACCGCAAGGCTGGACAATCTGGAGATTTGATTGAAAATGGATTTCTCAAGATTTCGGGAATTTAGGGTTTCATAGAAAATAGGCGTTTTTCGTTTGTTTGAAGCTATCCGGATCGGAGGTCGGTGCAGCGCAATTTAACAATGAGCATGCCAAGGGCATAGGCTGAACTTTCAGTTACCACGAAGTCTAGCCGGGTGAGGCTGATCGATGAATTGACCGAGAGGTGATTAAAGAGGGATTTGACAGAATTTCAAGATCTCCATGAATCTGAATTAATATTTCTCGTAAAAGTGAAAAAGAAATAATGGACTGGCGCCGGGCGGTTTGTGGCTGCAACTTTCAGGAACCATTACCGAAGCATGTGGGCCTTACGATCCGGCCATCCCAGTCCCAAACCTCTGAACCAGCTTTTCCAAGCTCAATTCTTTCAAAATCTCTGTCAACGCTAAAATTCAAAAACAAAAACTTATTCAAATTTCTGTTTTTCTTTTCCTTAATCTACCCCCTCCACCTCAGACCCTGATTAGCAACCTCCAATCGGCCTCCCTAGATCCTCCGCTATTGGCCCAATTCACTCAATCCCAGAAAATCACCCAAAAGACGCCCCAAACTTTCCACTAAACCTACTCCGACGCCGACCGAAAAGCACAGTTTCTAAAACGCCATTACTAATCTGATGTAGTTGCTGCGACCACAAAGACCCCGGGCCAGCTGGCCACGCTTAGTCACAATAGATAAACCAAGCCCAGATTCGTAATCTCCGGAAAAATCTGACCAACACGGACCCTCTAAATCTCCATAAATAAGCAGTCTGTGCCACCCGTCAGGAGGTGGTGACATGGACCTCAGCTGACCGCGAGAAAACCAACTTTTCCTCTTCCACATACCACATCTTCTTTATGTCCCAATACTCCAACTTCAACCTTTCTTCCGAATTGCCCGCCTGGAAGCGCCTCGAGTCTGTGTACGAGCAGGTCGGCAAGACCCTCAAGGTCAAGGACGAGTTTGCCCATGATCCTGAGAGATTTGCCAAGTTCTCTGAAACCTTCAAGAACTTCGACGGCCTGGAGATTCTCTTTGACTTCTCCAAGAACATCATCAACGACGAGGTCAAGAAGGACCTTGTGGCCTTGGCCAAGGAGGCTGGCGTGGAGCACCTCAGAGACGAGATGTTCAAGGGCTCCAAGATCAACGAAACCGAGGACAGAGCCGTGTACCACGTTGCCTTGAGAAACAGAAAGCTCAAGGAGATGAAGGTGGATGGCGAGAACACCGCTCCGGAGGTTGACTCCGTGCTCAAGCACATGAAGGAGTTCTCTGACGATATCCGTTCTGGTAAGTGGACCGGATTCACCGGCAAGGCCATTACTGACGTGGTGAACATTGGTATTGGTGGCTCCGACTTGGGTCCTGTGATGGTCACCGAGGCATTGAAGGCCTACTCCCAGGAGGGCTTGAACGTGCACTTTGTGTCCAACATTGACGGCACCCACTTGGCCGAGACCTTGAAGGGCTTGAGCCAGGAGACCACCTTGTTCTTGATTGCCTCCAAGACTTTTACTACTGCTGAGACCACCACCAACGCCAACTCCGCCAAGGCTTGGTTTTTGGAGAAGGCCCAGCAGAACGACATTGCTAAGCACTTTGCTGCTCTTTCCACCAACGCCGAGCAGGTGGCCAAGTTCGGTATCGACACCAAGAACATGTTTGGTTTTGAGAGCTGGGTCGGAGGCCGTTACTCCGTCTGGTCGGCCATTGGCTTGTCTGTGGCCATCTACATTGGTTTCGACAACTTCAACGACTTCTTGAAGGGTGCCGAGGCTTTCGACGAGCACTTCACCTCCACTCCATTGGAACACAACGTCGCTGTCCTCGGTGGTCTTTTGTCCGTGTGGTACAACAACTTCTTCGGCGCCCAGACCCACTTGGTTGCTCCTTTCGACCAGTACATGCACAGATTCCCAGCCTACCTCCAGCAGTTGTCCATGGAGTCCAACGGTAAGTCTGTCACCAGAGGTAACTCCTTTACCAACTACCAGACCGGCACCATCTTGTTTGGCGAGCCTGCCACCAATGCCCAGCACTCTTTCTTCCAGTTGGTGCACCAGGGTACGAAATTGATCCCAGCGGACTTTATTCTCGCTGCTCAGTCCCACAACCCAATTGAGAACAACTTGCACCAGCGCATGTTGGCCTCTAACTTCTTTGCTCAGTCTGAGGCTTTGATGGTGGGTAAGGACGAGAACCAGGTGCAAAAGGAAGGTGCCACTGGCGGTTTGGTGCCTCACAAGGTCTTCTCTGGTAACAGACCCACCACCTCCATCTTGGCCCAGAAAATCACCCCAGCTGCTTTGGGTGCTTTGATTGCCTACTATGAGCACGTCACTTTCGTCGAGGGTGCCATCTGGAACATCAACTCGTTCGACCAGTGGGGTGTTGAGTTGGGTAAGGTGTTGGCCAAGGCCATTGGCAAGGAGTTGGACGAGTCCGGAGACGTTTCTGACCACGATCCATCCACCAACGGCTTGATCAACCAGTTCAAGAAGTGGAGCTCGTGACTATCCAAGCCACGGTTGTAGGACCATGTGTGCTTTCGTGTTAGAATAAATGATATGATGTATTGTGAGATCTGGTGTAGTGGAGAGGTTGTTGTAGTGAAACATGCCATTTTAAGAAGGTTCTTTGTGGCAGATACGAATATAGTTGTATCTTCAAGAGGGTTCAAGATGATAGCTATATATGTACTTTGGTGTCATTTTATACCGCAAAGCAAAATCTGCAGATAGTCAATTACCAGTGGTACGATAAGATATTTCTTATTTTCAAGCATTTTATGCTAAATTATGTACTGTCATCTAATACTTCAGTCTGCTTATCAGCACGGCTGAATTGCTGCAAATGATATACACCGCCGACCTACAATTCCAAAGCCAACAAAATCTTATTTTGAAGTCTTTTTGTACTCTTAAGAGTCAGCAAAGAGAAGAAAGTTAAAAAAAAAAAAAAAAAAAAAAAAAAAAAAAAAAAAAAAAAAAAAAAAAAAGTCCGTTTTCTCTCACCTCTTCTTCACATCCTCATCTCAGTACTCAATGGCTGCAACCGATGAGTCTCATAATACACCAAGAGCCATCCACCACCACAAGCAAAAACACCATAAACAACAAAAATACATCAAAAGCCCCATAATTGCCAAAAACATGAATCCTCGAATCCAAAAAATTCACTTCACATCTTCCCTTTGAATTCCTGGACTCCACCCACCTCTATCACCAGAGCCTCTCATCTGCAGGCACAACCAGTCTTTTTCCATGGCATCAGAAGAAATCGACATCCCACGGCCGCCAGAGGGCGACGACGGCTTGGAAAACCCCATGAGGGCGATCGTCGTGGTCAATTCGCCCGACGTGCCGGAAGGCGAAATGGAAGAACGCATGCTTGACTGTGTTCAGACGTTCGATGAGGTGGACCAGTTTTTCGACAAATTCGATGAGGAGGTTGCTGTGCCCAACGAGTCCCACATCAAGTACGAGGTTGGCAGCGACGGGCTTGTGGTGATTATCGTGGATCTGCGGAAACTCAAGGATTCGGTGTTGGCGTTCATCGACAAGTTTGCAGCTGAGGTTGGAGATAACGCTAGAGACGATCCCGAGGAGACGGCGCCCAAGAGAGCCAAGAAGTGATGTACAGTAGAATAAACGGAACAGGAAGATGGTGTAGGGTGGGTGGGGGAAGTGTGATAGAGGCACTAGTGATTATGGTGATGATGGTGAGGATGAGGTGGTTGTTGATGGTACGAAGGAGTGGTGAATTGGGTAGGGTTGTTGATACTTGTGAAGAAGGAATGTCGAAATATGGAGGTCCGAAACAGAGTACTTGTGCTGACTTCTCGTGTGTTGGTGTTGCACATGTTTTGCTCATTGGACTGCCTAATATGAAATTATCAATCACCATCAAGTTGATGAGTTTAAGGTTTCGGCTCTGAACCGACAATAAATCGAAAGGCCTTCGTATTTCTGGAATCCGAGGTCAGGTGTGCAAATTGTTGATGGTTTGTTCAGTGGGGCAATTTGAGTCCTCTCATGGTCATAATTGATGCCCCAGGAAAGCTGAAAAGCTTAATATCTCTTGACTCTCCTTCGGATATCGAAAAACTTTCAAAAGTTATGGGGAACTTATACAACCATATAGCGGCTGTCATGCTGATTGTCAAATTACACTAGCTCTTCAACCACCGCACCTCACGATTGCCCTGATATGATACCCATCCTGACACCCCATTCAATTGACCACAAAGGTATCCACTTCTAGTATCGATAATTGAAATAATAGCCTGTTCCCTATTTTACTATCTTTGCTTCACCTTCAATAAACTACACTTTACTTCTACCTGCCTACCGGTCCGTTTCTCGGGGTACTACCATACACTAAATCCCACACCCGACTTCACGAAAATCTCCAAAATACAATCTGCATAAATATCCACCATATTCCAAATATCCCAATTTCCATCCCCAAAACCACAAATCCTACCACCGTAAACCAACCTCCTCCGGGGTGTGGACCTCGAGACCTGCACACTCGCGACCCTAAGTAGTGAGGTATCAACTACTCCAGATAGAACTACACCATAATGGAGGACTGGAGAAGAATCGATATCGACGCCCTCGAACCGGAAAACCACCTTTCCAAGGAGGACCTTGTGCCGGACTTGCCTGCTGTTTCTTACCAGGACATCGAGGCCGTTTCCAAACAGGTGAAGCAGCAGTTGTCGCTGGGTCAGTTCGTGCCAGCTTTGCAATTGGCTTTGGACAATCCTCCTTATGTTGCCGACGAGGCCACCAAGAACTTGCACGCAGAGACCGTGTTTGAGGTGCTTGTGTCGATCAAAAACAACAACAACGTGAATGAGTTCAGCAATATCGTCAAGCAGTTGGACCTGGACCAGCAGGACAACTTGGTGAAGTACTTGTACAAGAACATGAACACGACGTACGGCGCCAAGCAGGGCGGATTGTTGTTGAACTGGTTTGAGAAGACCGTGGATGTGACTGGCTTGGGCCCTGTTGTGCGTTTCTTCACCGACAGAAGAACCGTGTAATGAAAAGTATAGACCAATGAACGACTTCGTATGGCTCAGTGTAGGTGCTTCTGCTTTGGAATGGGGATTCAATAGGACTTCAAACTCTCAGGGCAATTCGAATATTGATAGAGAGAATATGTTTGTATAATACCTCGTTGAAGCTATCGTACTAGTACTATCAATTGTAGGCTCTGGCAAACCCCAGATTGCAGCTTCTTTCCTTTCATTTATCACCTACTTCATTTCAATGCCTGTGATGCTTACTCGTCATATTATCAATTAGGGTATCTAGTTACATCATGGCTGGGTATTTCGTTATCATGCCGTTACTTTGAGCGGCTCATTAAGAGAATGCCTCTTGTTCTGTTCTCTGTTGGTATTAGCCTCCTTGAGAGGACTGCTTTGGATTTCGTTTTTCCTCTTCTCCTTGAGATACGTCTTGTAATCGGTATCCTCATGAATTACAGGACGGAACAAACTGGGCACGGTCTGCTCATTTAAAAGCTTTTTGTACTTTTGCTTGTAATCCGTAACCTTGGTTCGAAGGCGGTTCTCCTCCTCATGAGACAGGGTCCTGAGTTCCTGGAGATTGCAGTCGAGATGTTCACATTTAGATTTGTATTTCTCGAGTTCCTTGACTTTTTCTTCAAGTTCTGAAATTCGGCTCTTTTGGGCTGCTTCGGTTGACTCCATGGTTTTTATGTCACTAGCCAAAGTCTCGTTCCGACCTTTCCACTTTTTGATCAGATTCAGGGCTTTCTCGTACTTCTTTTCAAGATGTTCGTTATCGATTCGCAAGTTTTTGATCTTCTTTTTTAAGAACTCGTGGTTTTCCTTGTGTGATTCTTCTTGCTTCTTCATCTCGTCTTTGAGGGTATCGTAGGACAGCTGAAGCTCGGCTAGTTCAACAGCTGAGCTTATGGAATCCTGAGAAATCTCTTCAAAACCATCACCCACACGTTTGAAAATTACTCCTTCTTTAGGTAGCTTTTCCTCGAAAAGTCTGTAATTCTCTTTTTCTTCCTGAAGCATCTTGTCCAGTGACTTAAGCCTGCTTTGAAGGCCGGCAACTTCCTCATCTCTCTCAAGCTTTACCTTCTTTATATCTTCTTCAAGCTCCACAACCCGGCTATTCTTATCCTCAATCTGCTTGTTCAACTCATCGCCTTTCTGACTGAGAAGGGCAATCTGCTCTTGGATTTGTTTCTGAAGCTGTTCGTTTTCATCAGTCTTGGCTTTAAAACTCTGTTCTGCTGCTTCCATCTCCGTTTTAATTTTTTGTGCCGTTTCTTCAGATTGCACTCTGGCAGAATTAGCGGTTATGATTTCCTCTGCCTTCTTCAGTAAATCCAGTTCTAAATCGCTCTTTCCCAGACGAAGCAAACTCAGTTCTTCTGCGGCTTCTTCAAACAACTGCTTGAATCTGGCAATCTGCTCCTTTAAAGGAACAGTCGCTAGCCGTGCTTTTTTAACCTCGTCTTTCAAGCCATTCACCTCTTCTTGGATCTGGCCTACTTTCTCGTCTCTCTTCTGCCTCTCCTTTTCCTTCTTCTCCGCCTTTGTATCGTCCTTCTGAGCCTGCCGTAACTTTTGCATGAAAGTCGGCTCGTTAGTGGAAACCGAAGGTTTGGCATTCTGAGCTTTGGATGCTGGCATCTTGGGAATATTGAGTTTGGGCTGCTTCAAGGGCTGTTTAGATGGTACCATCGATGGCCTCTTTACAGCTCTCTTCTTTGGACTCAATGACGCTGCAGTAGTTCTAGCATACAGCGGTAGAGCTTGAGGTTTTGTGGTAGCCATTTTCGGTTTCTCATTCATTCTGAATCCCTTCACCACATCAGCAATATTGTTCAACGAGGACTTGATCAAAGCCTTGTCTCCCGTTTTGTCCAAATGCAACACAAACTTCAACTTCAGCAGACTGTGGTCGTTGAAGATCATGTTGGTGACGAGGTTGGAAGATCTCTTGTTGCTGGTTCTGTTAAGCAAAGCCTGTGTGATGGAAGAAACGTTCAGATTAGCAAAAGAGTTTGAAGTGGCGGCATTGGCTTCGAACTTCTCGTTCCCCATCATATCAAGGATAGTAAGGTTTCCACACTCTGCCTTCAATGTCACTAGCATACAAGAACGACTCGAATGGGCGTTTGTCTTTGTCGAGGCGGTATTCCTCAAGGAAAGCACTTTTTTGATATTCTCCTCTGAGCACGGGCACCTCTTGAGCTGCTTTTCCACGGGCATGTGACTCAAGTACAGCTTTCTGGTCTTGTTATCTAGTAAGTCCACAAAGAAGGTGTTGCAGCTGACCTCACAGGCTGACATCTGGCCATTGAGGGCACTGAAGATGTTTAAATACTTTTTCAAAGTTGTCGTTTTGCCGCTTCCCGTTGGCCCTAGCAAAACCCATATTTCGTTGCCACATCTCTCGAGATCTGTGGCCTGGTCCTGAATGGCTGCAAATGAATACACCTTTCCAGCATAGGCGACTTCTGTAGACGACTTTTCTTCAAATGCAGGCTTTTTCAGTTTATCCAGCGTCCATGTCGTCAAAACGATCGGAATCATGGTTTGGCCCGGTGTGTGTTTCGAATCTGTTGATAACAGTTGTGTAGTGCAGTGTTTACGATTGAGACGGATTTGGTAATATAAGCGGCTCGTCTACACGGCTGGAAAAAAGCCTCTGGAGAAACGGTGTTTCGAAAAGAAATAAGATATCTTCTGTGAATTGGTTAACACGATACAGGCGATTTTCAGGAAAAGGAGTCTGTTCTTTAGTGGACTTGCTTGAAGCCGCAAGGTGAGGCTGGAGCCCCACCTCTCACTGAGTATGGGTAGTATCCAGAGGCGGTTTTCATGAGCATTTTTGAGATTCAGATAGTCTTGTAAAAGTTTTAAAGCCTGGATAAGAGAGATGTAAGAAGAAACCTGTAATTGGCATTGCTGACGTTTCCATTAGCTCAGACACTGGACTGGATGGTTGCGAAAAGTGGTATGTGGGGCTCAAATGTTGAGAAATTTAGAGAAACCTATCATATTCTTCAAATACACTCAGATCTTGCTTCTCCGAAGAAGCCGAAGGAAAACTGCAAAACTTTAAAGAATTGCCCCACTACTTTGTTTGGGGTAAATAGAGGAAGATGGAATAGCCGCAGTGCTGGCTGTATGTCTTGGTATCAGTGCCCCAAGGGTGCTTAACAAGAAATACCAGGTCAAGTTCATCTTGCCGAAGATCCTAACCCATAACCCATCTCTCAAAAGGTGTTTCCTAATTTTTGAAAAGTTTCCCCAAATTTTGCACCACTGATTCTCTGTGGCGTCAGCCTCATCACGCGTATACTACTACCATCCCTGGTAGTCCGACCCGGTGAACCACCATTGAGCAATCTAGACTCAATAACCCAATCACCAAAAACAATTTCTTAAAATTCTGAAACTTCTTCGTATCCCAACGCTAAACTGCCAAAAACATTACTAAGCTGCCCCACCGTGCCCCCACATTCCGGAAGAGTGTCGCACCGGCCCGTGAGGCATTGACCTATAACGCCGTTTGAAACAATACATTTAGACTCAGGGATTCGAAAGAATTTGAGAAGAGTTGTAGATTGATGGATTACCGAGAACAGCGTAGGGATTGAGGCGTTCCGTTCATGGCGTGATGAGAAACCCTAGCTTCCACCCAAAACAGCAAAATCAGAAATGAATGCAATGTCCTCGTAGAATCGCCAGATTTCGCCACCATACTAAGCCATTGAGTTTCTTCGACCACAGTGTGACTCACAATGGCTCAAACCATCTTCCCATTGGATAAAGCCGTAGACTTCAATTGACTTCCACCCAGCTAAAAACAAAACATAAAGTCGGTTTCATCAAATATCCACTTCAATCACTCCAATTGCCAAGGAATACCAGCATCTCTTCCTAAATGTTTAAGGTTTTTAGCGTGGGCCGGAAGGAGTCTCGGTCCTGCCCCCACAGTGGGGTTGCCCCTCGCCTCACTATAAAAGGAGCCCGTACCCCGGACAATTGCTCCTAACAAAAAAAATACCCGCTATGGCTACAATCACTTTGAACGACGGAAACAAAATGCCCCAGGTCGGCTTCGGCTGCTGGAAGGTCGACAAGGAGACCTGCGCCGACCAGATCTTCAACGCCATTGAGGTTGGCTACCGTCTTTTCGACAATGCTCAGGACTACGGCAACGAGAAGGAGGTTGGTCAAGGTATCAACCGTGCCTTGGACGAGGGCATTGTTGCCCGTGACGAGCTTTTCATTGTGTCCAAGTTGTGGAACACCAACCACGCTCCAGAGCACGTTGAGGAGGCTGTTGACAACGTCTTGAGTGACTTGAAGCTCGACTACTTGGACCTTTGGTTGATCCACTTCCCCGTGGCCCTCAAGTACGTGCCTCCTTCCGAAAAGTACCCTGCCGGTCTCACAGGCCTCAAGGACGACAAATTGCGTTACGAGGACGTGCCTATCTTGGAGACCTGGAAGGCCATGGAGGCTCTCGTCAAGAAGGGCAAGGTCAAGTCGATCGGTATCTCCAACTTCACCGGTGCCTTGATTGAGGACTTGCTCAGAGGCGCCGAAATCCCTCCTGCCGTGTTGCAGATCGAGCACCACCCATACTTGCAGCAGAAGAGATTGGTGGAGTGGGTCCAGTCCAAGGGCATTGCCATCACCGCCTACTCCTCCTTTGGCCCCCAGTCGTTCCTTGAGTTGAACCACAAGGGCGCCCTCAAGATTTCCGGTTTGTTCGAGCACGAGGACGTTGCTGGCATCGCCAAGAAGCACGACAAAACCCCAGCCCAGGTATTGTTGAGATGGGCCACTCAGAGAGGCATTGCCGTGATTCCAAAGTCCAACAAGACCGAGCGTTTGGTGCAGAACTTGGGTGTCAACGACTTTACGCTTGCTGAGGAGGAGCTTGCCACTATTGCCAAGTTGGACATTGGCTTGCGTTTCAACGACCCATGGGACTGGGACAAGATTCCTCTCTTCGTGTAGACGATGTATGAAAATTAATAGAACGTTTTTACACAGCCAGCCTAGGTGTTCTCTACAATGTAATCTGTAGCTACTCCATTCATAGTAAATCACTCCTTAACTTTCTCATAATCATCCCCAAATATGGCAGTTATGCCTTCTTTTCTGTCAATGACGCTCAAATAGCGTCCAATACAGCCTTACGGCCCAAATTCAACAACTTCAATCTCGACACAAAGTCGTCCCGGTTGATGTAAGCTCCACACAATCTTCTCTTTCCTGTAAACTCGGTTCTCGAGTGGAAACAGCGCCAATTGTCGAAAATCAAGCACTGGCCTGGCTTCAATTGGTAGAACGTTTCGTTTTCTGGGGAGCTGATAATCTTGTACCACAGTCTAATGGCCTTGTAGAACTTAGGCACATCTTCTGGATTCTCCCAATTGTCCATACACGAACGGTCGCTCTGGTTCCAACGAACCTGGAGAAGCTTCCCTTGGTGGTCGAGCTTGAAAACTGGCTGTGGAAGGTCTGGCTGAATACAGACCTTCTCTTCACCTGCCGAGTGAGCGGGAACTGGGATTCTGGTCAAGATCTCGAAACTCTCAGGATCCTCCTTCTTCAATTGCTCGGCACACTGGAAAGCGTCCACCAATGAAGTAGTTCCGCCTTCTCCGTCGTGGAACAAAAGATGGAACAACTGGAGACCAGGGGTGTCGGACCAGTAGGTTCCATCGGTGTGGGACAGAATGTCGAAGTTCGTGTAGGCGGTATCCTTCTTGGTCAAGTCGGAGGTAAAGTCCCAGAATCCGCCGTAGTGGGTGGGACGGATGTACATGAGCTTCTCACACAACATCTCCGTGTCTTCAGGCGTCACGGGCACATGGTCGATCAAGGTGAAGCCGTACTTCCAGATCTTGAGGCACCAGTCCTTGATGGCGGCCTCGCCGTCGGTGGCATCGTCGGACGCCATGATCGCGCCGTAATCAACACGTGGCATGTTGTTCTCGATGTCCTTGGTCTTCCAGTACTCCATCTTCAACACGTCCTTCTCGCCCTGGACCTTATTCTCCAAAGGTACGATTCTGGGGTTGTACGCGTGGAGACGCAACCAGTCGAGCTCGTATCTGGACTTGTGGCCGTTCTGGCTCCACACAATGTCAAATCCATCGTTGTACTTGCACTCGTCCGGACGGATGTTCTCGTCGATGGTGGCCGAGTTCAACAACCTCTGCTTGGTGATATCGTAGAAACAGTCCGTGCAATGGCAGTTGTCCCTGAGCCACACGTAGTGGAAGGCCGTGGCAGTGCCGTCGATGTCCACGGTGAGGGCGTTTTCAGAAAGGGAGAAATCTTTAGTCATGGGGAAAAAAGTGGGGGATGGCTTGCCTTTATATATTCGAAAATCCGGGGAAGCGCGGAATTTTGCAGGGCCCTTTTGCAGCCATTGAGCTGCACCTCTGCTGATTATTTTCAGCCACTCTAAGCGAGATCCACACTTTGCATCCAAATGGAGAAAATACTTTAATTTAAAGTTTTTACAATCTTCTTTCTTCATAATATAGGTGGACCCTTGACGTGACGCAGGGCGCCATGCCGGTATAGCGGCTTCGGTGGGGCGATGAAATCGCCGCATGGACTATAGATTAGTCCCATAGGCTGGAGATAGCTTGATTTTTGAAATTTGAACAGAGATAGAAGTGGCTAAATGTGGAAATGGGCACGTATGGAGGATTTAAATATGAGGGGAGGAATGATGGCACGGTCGGCTACTACTGGATTGGGAGGGAGGTGGGTGCAAGGTGGAAATAAGCTTTGGCTCAAGGCTTCGGTTTGTTCGTTATCGAAATGAATTCAAAATCTGAAAACAGTAAGTGTAGATTTTCCGTCGTTCTTGGAGTAGAGTCTACCACCTTTATCAAGTAATGGTATACTCCGTTTGCAGATCGTTCTTTGTAAGTCTTCAGAGATCACCTCTACAAAGAGTATCAGGCTTTACGTTCAAACATTCACCTTGATACAGGCAGGCATCTGTTATGTGGTTCAGAAGCTAGTGTATGATACGACGCACCGTTTCTGAGATACGTTCATGGAGTCATTAGCTTTAACTGATACGTGAGGATATTCTTCCACTTTCAAGACGTTATTTTTTCCACGGATCTTGCTTGGTATGTGGCATTTTCTCGAGATGATGAATGCTGGCAATTGAATGGCACTTTCGTAGATATGTATATGCGAGGTTCTGCTGCTTATGGCTGCAAAATAGTGGCAGCGCCAATGCGATAACCAGAAAGAAGACCACACTGTACACTATAGAAGGTCATTACCAATCAGCTTCATGACAGCTTCTCGATTGCCTTTCGGGGCTATTAACTCCAGTGGTGGAGGGTATTATAAAACACAAGCGAGCCATCATACATGCGAAGGTGAAATATCCAAAGGTTGCAAATTTCCAGTCACCAGACCGAAACCTTACAAATCTAATACGAGGTTATTCAAAAGATTCAGAGGGAACATAGGATTTCAGTCATTAGCAGAGTTCGATCATCCTCCATGGCATAGCTCTTATCTCACCTCACTACCCCAACTTTGGAACACTGAGCAATCAGAGAACTCGGTACACCTCCAATCATAAAGCTCCTTCCCCTTGATCAACATATCGCCAAACTCCACCCTCCCTCTTTCTCCCTCAAATCCCTATCCTCCATCGCCCGTGACCGTTTCGCTAAATCCAGGTACCATTGTTGGTCCCATTGACCGTTATCACATGAAGCCACGGAGAAGTGCCCTTGATTCCGGACAAAAACGAACCCACAAAATCAACCAAAACTTCAAATTTCAAATATCTTTAAGTCTCCCTTCCGAACTATCCCGTTCCGCCGATGCCGCTGCAACATTCCTATCAGCTCCACCTGCCTTATCAGCTGATTTGCACCCAAATGGCGATCCACCAGGCACCCACCGGGCACCCACAAACACAGCACAAAAACAGCAGCCATCTTTAAAGAATCATCAAATTCCAAAAAGGTGCAAAAAGATAAAAAATACCCTCGCCGTTTGAATCAACTAGCCCAACTTTCAGCATGTGGGCTCCCTGGCCTGCATTCACCCCAGGGTCAATGTCTCACCAACTCCAACCCAACCACACCATGCTGACGTCTTTTGAACGCGGCGTATCCAAAGAATGGGTGGATTTCCACCAGATGGCGCCGAGCATATATAAGGAGGACGGTCCGCTCAGCGAAACCGTGAAAAATTTGAAGTCCAAGGCGGTCCAGGAGGCGGTGGAGGCTCACAACTGGAACTCGGTCAAGGAGTACTGCCGAACCCTGGACGGGCTTGTTTCCAATGGGTTACGAAAAAAGGTCTGGCCGGCGCTTCTAGGCGCTCTGGACGTGTCGCTGCATCTCCAGACTTTGGACCACTTGAACACAAATGATCTTCAGGAACACAAGGACGAGGACCAGGTGCTATTGGACGTCAAGAGACTGTTTACCGTGACGTGTATGGCGCCACAGGGGACCGAGGACCTTGAGGAGTTGCGCCGGCGGCTTTTTGGGCTTGTTGTGAGGGTCTTGAGGAAATACCCCCTGTTGAACTACTACCAGGGTTTCCACGATATCGCCAGTGTGGTGCTCCTTGTGTGCTACGAAAACGGCCGTTTTGACGAGACTACCGCCACGGCGATTTTGGAAAGACTCACCGTGCTCCACCTCCGTGACTTCATGCTTCCAAACATCGACCTCACCGTGAACCACTTGAAGGTTGTGGCGGCGCTTCTAGAGGAAACAGACCCGGTCTTGTTCCAGATCGCCTCCGTGTCGTCCCAGCTGTTCCAGATCACAAACGGCCTGTACTACGACTACAAGTTCATCGAGCCGCTCCTGCTGATTTTGACCATCTTCAGCCACGACATCACCGATGCAGCACTTCTACTTCCCGTGTGGGACTTTGTGCTCAGCTACAACTCCGTGGCGGCCTCCTTATACATTTACGCCGCTGCCTTAATCCAATTCAAGAAAGACATCATGACCAAACTAGACCTCGACGACGACACGAACGCTATGTACCTTATTGACCCGGCCCAGGCGCATGCTGCGCTCAGTGCCTCCAATTTGTTTACTGATATCTCCGCTGAGGACCTTCTGCGGATCTTGGGCAGGGCCCGCAAGTTGATCGAGAAGCATCCGATGCTGGCATTTGCCAATAAAGAGAAAACCATCGATTCGTGGTTCGCCCGCTTCAACAAGGACTCTGTTCTTGTGACCTCCTCCAGCTTGGAGAAACAACAGAACATGGAACATCTTTTTGATGCCGACGAGTTGGCAAAGATCTTGCAACTCCAGCACGAACAGCAACAGGCGGAAAGCAAACACGCTAGTGACATTCTTGCCGACGAAATAGAACAGAGCGCCTTGACGGACTCTATTGCATCCACCGATGACGACATCAACTCTACGAGAATGAACCTGCTTTCGTCATCCTTGTCCAGCTTCAGCGCAGCCTCCAACTCTCTCAACAACACCTTGGTGAACAAGTCGTCGATGTTGTTCAAGAAGATGTTCAGCCACTCAAGCGACAGCATCAACGACGAAAGCTCCGTTGCCAAGCGCAGCAAGAAGAGAGCTTTACGCCTGAACATCTACAAGGTAAGTGTGAGCGTTGGTTTTGTTGGATTTTTGATTCACTGCTTGCTACGCCACAGCGAAATTACATTAAGAAACTACCCACTTGGGCCCTTTGGCCTGTTCAACTCCATTAGTGCGTCCGTGGAGTCGTTTCTTCCCGACACCATTGCAACAGTCCGCCATGGCTTTCGGGAAGTTGCAGGTGGTATCACCTCGAAATTTGGCGAAGCGCTCAACGCTGGCATTGACGTTACCCACATCGGAATAGGTACCTTGCGTGATTCCATCTATATCGTGCGCAGATGAACCTTGCATTTTTTATTATTGTCCCTCATAGTCGATCGAATACACAAGCACCGCATCAGCATAGGATGCCTGGCCCCAGCCTCGGCTGCCACTTGTGCTTATCATGAAACGGCCGGTATCGTCCACATATAAATTACTCAACATTCCGCCGTGGTGGCCAGGAATGACGAAGAAAGGTGTAGCTCTCTTTTTCAGCACGGTTGTTTCCTGGGCAAACTCGTTGTAGAGACCCAAATTGTAAAGACGGATGTTGTCGTTCGAGCCACATAGAAGGAAGTTGTCATTAGGCATTACGGCAAGGGCAGAAACAGGGCCGGAAATCTTGGGGAACTGGAGTGTTTTGGATACATTTGGCACCGCTGTAGAGCCAGTGCCCAGTTTATGTGGCATCCGCAATGAAAGCTCTTCAACGGTACTGTTTCTCCTACCCACGTAAATCTTGTCACCGTCATTAGACCATGCCGAGGTCATACACCAGGGTGGTACTCCCTCAGGAACGCCAATTCGAAGAGTAGCAGTGGATGTAGATACACGAGCATCCCAGATGTTCACGGTACCGTCGATATTGGAGCTCATGAAGATGGAGTCAGAGGTGACCACCTTATTTTTGCCCTTTGTCTCTGGTTTCGACTTGGCTGCTGCTGCCTCATCATCGTCCTTGTCTCTCTCCTCATCGCTGTCGCCGAATAACGAATCCACATCACTATTGTCGTTTTTTGCTTCCGTTCCGTCCACTTCAAACGTAATGTCTGTTAGTCCCAACGGCCTGTACTGGATGGTGGAGATCTGACCGGTGCTGCCCTGGTATAAATTGACCACCTTGCCTGTGTTCAAATCCCATTCCCTGATGGTCTTGTCCCACGAGCCCGAGAGAAACCTGTTCTGCTCAAAGTTGAGCCGGAGCACGGAGATGGTGTCCAGATGGCCGTTTGCCGTGGAATGTTGAGCCTGTTTTTGGCTGTTGTGAGGGAAGTAGTGGTGAATGGCTCCCTCGTTGTAGATCATTGTGTAAAGGGAAATGCCGCCCGACAGCAAGCCCGAAAGACACCAGTAGCCGTTTCTCTCGACATCTAGAGCATATACGGGATTGACCTTGGGTTCGTATGAAATGGCACCTGAGGTGAAGTCTGAGGGTTTGATTTTGGGATTGCCGTCCATGATTTGCTGTTTCGTCTGCGGCTGCTCGTTTTCCCAGTACGAGCCAATGACACCTGCCTTGGTGATGCTGTCCATTAAATTGTGCTTCTGAGCAACCGTAAGCGGCAGTTTTCCCTCTATGGATGCAGTGAAGTCGTACTTTCTGATGAACCCGTCCTCACCGCCGGTCAAGAGCCACTTGGGACCCTCGGAAACTGCAAAGGAATGACACTGGTTCGCGTATGGACACGCCACCATCGGCGAAATATCAAGGTAATTGGCTTTCTTCATGCCTTCTAGAGCCCTCTGTCTTATACTGACGGCGTCGTTGGGAACAGAGGCGCCATTGGCCTCCTCCAGCCCATTGCTTTCCTTATTGGCCGAATCCTCCTCGCTGTTTCCGTTTTGTTCGTCTTTTTTCTCTGCTTCTCTATTATTGTCATTGGCGTCTTGAGACTTTTGTTCTTTGTGTTTGTCGTCGTCATCGCCATCTTCTCCGTCTTCATCTTCTTCATCGTCGTCATTTCCCTCTTCCTCATCATTTCCGTCGTCGTCGTTGTTCCCCTCCTCGTTGTCGTTCTCGTCATTTTCGTCGTTTTCGTTATTATCACCATTCTCGTCTTCATCTTCGTTCTGGTCGTTCTGGTCCACGTCCATGCCATAGCTATCGTTTTCCTCCTCTGCATCTAGCATATCCTCGTCGTTATCCCCGACATTGAAGAGATCATCGTCCATGGACATTGGAGCTGATGGTGGTGGTAGTTGACAAGCGTAGAGGTGTGCAGGATGTTGATGTAGTAGGTCCAGAGGGTACCGATGTGGAAGAAGTGGTTACTTCTATTTTGGAAATAAAGATTATGGAAGTTTGAAAATTGTTCCAAAGGGACTATCTTCCCGTCTTTTGTAGTTTGAATTGCGACTTGTGTTCCAGGTTTGACATACATGGATGGTGGAGGCTGCTACGGAGTACTTGAGACATAACTATTAATCGGAGCAGAAGCATACCAACGATTCTTTCAATCTATATGTTGAAGCATTTTAGCACGTCATGTTCTAAATGGGTATTTTTGGGTTGGCGCTTTGGTGAGCTATTCAATCTGCAATGAATAGTGTCCTTCTACTTCCTGAGTATGACAGGCATCCCTCCCGTGATTTTATAAAATTAGAAGACAATTCAGTCTTTTCACAAGTCTCTACTCTCAAGTCCATTTTGATTCTCAAATACTGAACTAGCACCCATTGTCTAATGGAATGGCTGCGAAATGGATGCAACGGTGAACTTCTGAGAAAACACATATACTTCTGCGTCCAATTGCACTCGATACATCCTTAACGTCACTTCGAACGCATCATAACACGAAAGCTTTGTTTTCGTTCCGGAGGATTCAAAGTGAGTTGGACTTTGAGAAATGGCCAACCGTAATACCCAATCAATGGAAGCTTAATACATATAACACAGCCATTCCTACCGCTTAGCAATCAGTGGCTTCGGAAACTTCCGCTACTCCAATTTTAATATGCCCCTATTCAATCGAACATTCAGTCATAGAGATCACAACTCTTTACCAATGCACCCCAGTGGTACCAAGGTCACACAAACCACCCCTGATCCGCCAACAATCTTTACGGGCTTTCCTGAAGATCAGATATCCTTCGATTATCCCTTCACCCCCTTCACTCTCCACTCTCAACTCACTCTACACATCCGTGGGAAACTACTGTATTCGTATACACTTACTCGTAGATCCAGGAGAACAAGGCAGGCTTGTACTCAACCAACTCCTCCTTCTTGAACCACAAGCCAATCTCCTTCTGGGCAGACTCAACAGAGTCGGAACCGTGGCAGACGTTTCTACCCATGTCAAGGGCGTAGTCACCTCTGATGGTGCCTGGAGCAGAGGCCAATGGGTTGGTGGCACCCAAGATGGCTCTACCCTGCTTGACAACGTCCTTACCTTCCCAAACGGTGGCCAAAACTGGACCGGAAAGCATGTAAGACAACAAGGATGGGAAGAAAGGCTTGGACTGGAGGTCGTCGTAGTGCTCTCTCAACAAGGACTCGGAAGGCTGGCAAAGCTTGATGCCGACCAACTTGAAGCCTCTGTTCTCGAATCTACCGAGGATCTTGTTGGTGAGGCCTCTCTGGACGCCGTCGGGCTTAATGGCAATGAAGGTTCTTTCGTCAGACATGGTGGTTGTGGGTGAAAAAAAAAATTTTCCAGCCTGGCGAGAAGAAGTAGATAGGGCGTGCACGTGACGAAAGCGGGTATCCGGCGGTAGACTTGTGGTCAACGGTAATAGATTGATATAGAGGATGACTTGAGGTCAATTTTGGGTTGGAATGATTGAAGGTGGATTTTTGGGTGTGGTGGTGGAGGTTGGTTTGGGGTATCTTCGCATACCCAATCATCGAATCACATGGAGGATGGAGTTTGAAGAATTGCCTTGCTTCTGTGGCAATTGGAAATTATGCACTTACGAAGATGGCAAGAAGATGGCCTGGTCATTGAATTTCTCTTCTGACGTTTTTGTTTGGTTGGATCGTAGCACTTATGGAACGAGGCGTAAGGCAACCCACGTGGATTCGGTGGTCAAGTGAACTGGCCTCTTTCAATTGTCAATTGAAGTTGGTTTGTGATATCTGTCCTTGAATAGGCGAGAACTTGCTTCATGGCTGTTGAGGAGGCCGATTACGGCTTGGTTCATCAAGATCAATGGCTGCGAAAAGCCAACAATGGCCTGGGATTACCATAGTGACAGGATAGTATCCGGTGAATGTGACAGCTTTCTTCAAGTTAAAAGACATGAGCTCATCAATTCCGATTCTGTATCCTTATAGCTTTCGACATCTTCTTATAAGTAAAAGGTTTGAAGCTCATCAATTCCGATTCTGTGTCCTTATAGCTCTATGTCGTTAGTTCGTTCTACCTGTCTCTCATTTGAATTATATCCACGAGGTAAGACGACTGAATTGCCTCCAACCCCGGGTAAACTGAACTTGTTCTTGAAATTTTCCTTTTATTTGCTTTAAAGTGCCTGCTCTACCTCCAGTTCCATGAATGCTTTAGTGTGGATGGGTAGTCCGGTCTTGGAATCACATATGCTCCAGACAGTCTGTCTCGAAACTTCTCCTCGAGATCAATGGTGCTGGATTATATCAGAAATCTCAAAATACAGTCTCCAAAGTGCATCTTATTTAGCATTCCCTATTGAATTCACCGGGATCATCTTCAACCAGTTACCCTCTGTACCTCACCAGATCCACCATCGACCCCATTATCTAAAATCACCCAATTCTCACAATCCAATTCCCTCGATAAGTAAAATAGTCAGTATCCTCATTCATTATTTTTATTCTTTGATTTCTCTATTTATATTTTTCTCAGTGCCATGTTGATCTGGTTGTTCCTCCACACCTCCATCTCACTGTTTACATCGCGAACAAACAACATCAACTACATGTCTGTTTCCAACTTCAGCTCCCCTACAGCGCAAAAAAGGGGACCATCCACGCCGCTCACGCCGGCAAAGTACAACAAAAGACAGTATACTCAAAAAACACCCAACAAAACGCCGAAAGAGCTTCTTCAGATCCCAGCTTCAGAGTACCAGAGAGAGCTCCTCCAATGCAAATACAGCTTGTGGCTCACGCAGAGGAAACTCGAGGAGGAGAAGGAAATCACAAAGTTCTTGGAATTAGAAAAAGACGCTATGGACCCGGCTTGCCCCGAGTTGCCTGGAAGTACTGGCTGATCTTGGAGTCCTTATCGAAGTAGTGACCATCACGAGCATTGTCCCAGTCTAGCTGTCTTTTGGCAATCCGCTCCTTCTCTTCTTCCCTGGATCCACGCTCCTCGAGATCGTCCCTAAGCCAATGGAGCACCAAGGGGTGTAGCGATTGGGCGAGAGCCACCTTGATGCGGTCTATAACTCCAGCAGACTTCTTCACCTCCACCTCGTCGATCTCCAGAGAAAAGTCAATCTTGCCCACGTCAACGTCGTCTGTCTTCTTCCCCGCATTGAGATGGATCACACGGTCACACCAATTCTTTCCGAGCCCGTCGAAGATATGGGTGGCATAGATCACACAGCAGTTGCGCTCCTTGCACTCTCTCTTCAAGAAATTGAGCAAGTTCTGGCGCACAATGACATCCAAATCGACCGTCACTTCGTCCAACAAAAGCAATTTCCATGGCTTGAGGAGCCCCATCACCAATTGCACTCGTCTGCGCTCTCCGTCACTGATAGCACACATGGACCAGTCTGGGTCCAAATCCATGATCTGTATGAGCTCGTCACGTCTTTCCCTGAACGCTTCGCCGCCAATTGACAGAATGAGAAGCTTGACGGGGATGTCACGCCGAACGACCTCGTTGTTGGCCCACTCGGTGCCCAAGTACGAGATGTAGTTGTTGATGTCGGAATTGTGCTGCTCGTGGCGGGTGGACGAAAACTCAAAGGGGTCAAAACCTCCGAGTCTGAGTTTCCCTTGCTTGACAAGCGTCTTACCAGCAAGGATCTTGAGTAGAGTCGACTTGCCTGCTCCATTGGGTCCGACCAAAAGATTGGTTGTTCCCCATGGGATTTGCAAATTGATGTCTTCCAATCCGCATTTTTTGTTATTAAAAACGTATGTAAGGTTCGATGTCTCCACAGCGAACGTCGAAGTCATCTGGATCTATATCGTATCGATAAACTTGTAGCCATCTCAAGTGACGCCATGTCAGATGCCGACCACCGTGCAGGCACTGCACCATTTTTTGCAACCAAAGGCAATCTAGTATTGCAACTCCTCGAGCCACTTGAAAACGTCACTTCTCGTAGGTTCGTTTCTGATACCGTTGAACAAATCGCGAGCAGCTTCTAAGAATTCGGCGTGCTCCACATTGAACTTTCTCAAGTACGTCTTGAGCAATCCTCTGTATTCGTAGAAGAGCCATTGCAAGTCGATCTTGGCCATCAAGGCCGAATCGCTCTTTTGCTCCTCGTCGAAATCCTTTGTTATTTCAATTTCATCGGTTTCAGGACTTGCAAGTTCGAGCTTATCCACTGTAGAATTCAAGTTCTCGACAATCTTGCCAAACAACATAAGAATCACATCCTTGAAACCGTCTCCCTTAGCACTAGTGCTCAACACACGATTAATGGACTCCATACACGAGACATTACTGATGATGAGGTTGTTCTCAAAGTCCAAGGCTTTCTTGATAAGGAACGAGGGGTTGAGTATACCAAACTCTATGAGGTACTCCAAGATGAGGAAAGCCACTTGCGGCTGGTGAACCCAAATTCTCAAGATAGAGTCAACAATCCATTCTTGTCTTTCCTGGAATTGCTCTGGAGTCAATTCCAACTCAGGGAACGAGAAGTCGGTACCACTAGCCTTGTAGTCTTCTTCGGTAACAGTCTGTCCGCTAATGTACTTCAACTTGGCGATGTCTCTGTTGATGATACTCACCACAGAGTAGATGGATCTCGAGCCAATGTAGGCATACGTTTGGAAGAGCAAGTTGACCAAGATCCGCTCGGCATCAACATGCACCACAGACGACTTGATAGCCTCGATTGTCTCCTTAATCATGTCGAAGAACTGTTCATTAGATCTCCAGTTGGCAATGATGAAATCATAAAGCTTGTTGGCAACCTCGTGAAGAGGAAGTTGTGGGTTGGAGAATTCATAGATAAGCTCCTCCTGGGGTGACAACATCAACTTATCTCTTGTCTCGTCCTTGCGCTGGTAGATGGTCTCCGTAACAATCTTCTTCAACTCCTCATTGTTGCCGCCATACAACTCGTAATCGTAGTTGATGACAAAGTTCAAAGCGTTGGGGAAAAGAGAAATGTCAAGGTATTTGTAGAACTCTTCAAGAGCCAAGAGTTTGTTGTCGCCGATGTCGTCCTGCTGCATCGTGACAAAACTATCCTTGATTCTTGCCTTGTTGGAAAGACGAATCTCCTTAGCAATCAAATTCTTGATGAATGTCTTTTTGGGGTGGTATTGGAGGTTGTCGTAGAGCTGCGAATCAGCGACCCACTCGTCCCATTTCCAGCTAAAGTCGAAGTTAGAGATCTGTGTAGTCATCCAGTCCATATACCTAATCTTCAACTCGTAGTCTAGGGTTTCCAAGTTCTTGTAGAAAAATCTAATGGCTCTACCAAAAACAGGCGCAATAGACTCTGGACTCTCCTGACAGCACGAGATCAAAACTGTGTAGTAGTAGATCTCGTAATGGAGAGGCTTGGGAAGCTGGAAAATCATTGTAAGGATACTCTCAACAGCAACATCCTCGACTTTCCAGGTTGAAAGTGGAGGCACGTTTTCACCTGCCTCATTGTCTTTCGCAATCATTGAAAGCTGATCGACTGAAGAGCCAGGAGGGCTGAACAAGTCTCTCGAGCAGAACAAGTCCAAAATGGACAACTGAATCGAAGCCTCCTTTTGGTTGAAGGACATGTTTGTCAAGATGTCAAAGGCAATATCCTTGAAAAACAAGCCAAAGTAGGATTCAATCGATGGCACGGTCTCGAAGTCCGTGGTGGTGTTGTACACCTGGAATAGAAGCCTAGGGTGCTGGAACCAGAGGCTATCGATCAAACCGTCAGGCTTGTAGGCGTTGATCTCGTCAATCGATGGAATCGACAATTGTGGCAAAGCATGTTTCACAAGCTCGTGGGAGATTTCATTGGAGTCCAACGCTTCCTTGATGATAGGCTCCATCAAGTCGGCATAGTCGAGGAAAAGAGCACCTTTAAAGCCATCCCAATTTTTCTCTGGTTTCTGCAACGCGGTGATTGCAGGCAAGATCAACGTGATGAGCTTTCTAGGCTTGTATGGCAATTCCTCAATGAAGTTCTTGTGCTTGGAGTCAAATGGCTCAAGAACAGAGACCGAGCGTTCGTTCTCCTCGACGATCTTAAACTGAGCGGCCAATTCAACAATCTCGTTGGCCTCCGCAACAGTCTCCTCAGAGAAGTCGTTGGCAAGAAGGTATGGTGTTGCAATCAACACATTGTAGAAGATCTCTTCAGCAAGACCGTTTCTCTTGTCGCCAGACGCGTTCTGCAACTCAATGGCCGTGTTCAAAAGCTGTTTCAACAAGTTCAGCACGGCCTTGTCGGCGATAATTGGGTTCAAAGCACCCAAAAACTTGAACACAGACTTCAAGTCGTTGAAAACACCAGCATCTTCAGCCTGTTTCTCCTCACGAGTCTCCACCTCCATCAGCAGCTCCCTGAGCTTGTCTAGTAGGCTCTGGGCCTTGGCATGGAAGTACTCAATGACGTACTTGGCCACCAAGAAGTTCTTAGCGTTACACACGAAAATAAGCACAGTCAAGGCGGTGATCTTCTGGGGCTGCTCAATGACCACAGCGTACAAGGTTGCCAAAACGGCCTCTCTCAACTTGTCGATTTTCTCAAACTCGGCCACAATCGGGTTGGAAATGTACGAGATATCGTCCACCTGGGTAGCCAAGTTACTGTTTTCACCGATTCTCCTGATGTCTTTGCAGATATCCAGGATCAACCCGACCGTGGGGTCCACGTGTTGCTTTTTGGAAGGATCATCGTATTCGTAGCCTCCTGCAGGTCCGTCGGGCCCCTCGAAGTCGTCTCTGGTTCTCTTGTTGGGGTTGTCCATGAGTAGTTGATGATGAGAGAGTGTGCAGGCGATGAAGAGTGGAGGTGGTTTGACTGTTTTTGACTATGGTGAAAAATTTTGCAAGTGGTGCGTTTTATGCCTGAGGCGATCAAGGGGGTATTTAGATTGATAAATTTGAGATCCCTTTTCGAAGCTGGTTTAGAGTGTTGATGGTGGTTTGCAATTGCTGCGAAATGCTGGCTGCGTTTTGCAAATGTATGGTGAGAAGTGAAAGAGCCAGTAGTTTTAAAAACATTGACCTTCGATTATAAAAGACACAACTTGTTGATTTGGTGAAGAGGGCTGTGTTACTTTTGATTTTAATTTGTTTTTTTGTTTAAGAAAGTGTCCGTACTGAAATGGCTGCAACAATGGTATTAAGAGTGTTGAAGGTGAGAGACAGAGGCCTCAACAGATGGAACCAAAAGCCAGAGAAATTGACAAGATTCTCTTCATTGTGGATCAATTCAAATCAGCAAGTAAAATCAGCAGAAACGACTCATATATTTTCGTGATGCAATGCACCAGAGTGTCACCAGAATTACCCTACTTGATAAGTTGCATCATTACATACTAAGCACCACACCATCTCTCAACAGACACACCAGAAAACTTCCAAAACACAAACTTCAATGAAACCTCCCCAAACCAACCAAACCAACCTTCCCCAAATCTCCATGCCAAATTGCTTGACCAAATCGCTCAGCCAGATTGCAAATCGAACCACTTACTCCACAACGCATAGCGCACATTAGCGCTTCTTTCGCAGCCATCCACAGCGAACCACACTCTTCTTCATGGGCATCAAAACGCTCCTTGAAAAACACCGCCTTGTGCTCGACGACGCCCTCGGCACCCAGCTTGAAGAAATCATCCCGCCGTCGTCGCCAATGTACGTGAAAGGCTCTCCGTTGTGGTCCACGGAGGTGCTTCTAGGAGACCCTCTGATCATCGAACAGGTCCACTTGAGCTACCTCGAGAAGGGCGCCGACGTGGTGATCACGTCTACCTACCAGGCGTCGCAGAAGACGTTGGAAAAGCACAGAAACATGGATTTGGAGGGGTCGAAAAGCGTATGGAGTAAGGCGGTGGAAACAGCCAAACGCGCCATATCCAAGGTGGATGGAACACGGTATGTGGCGGGATCCGTAGGTCCTTATGGGGCGTTTTTGGCCAATGGGGCCGAGTACAGTGGAGACTACGGCGATGTGGGTGTGGCTGATTTGGTCAAGTATCACCAGGAGCAGGTTGCGTTTTTCGTGGAGAACGGGGACACCGATTTGGTGGCGTTCGAGACAATTCCGTCTTTTGACGAGGTCAAGGCCGTGTTCAGTCTCATGGCGGAACCACACTCGTCTAAAGAGTTCTACGTTTGCTTCTCATGCAAAAACAGCACCACCCTCGCTGACGGCACGGACTTGAAAGAGGTGATTGCTTTCGTGCTTGAGCAAAAAGAAAAACACGCCTCTATAAAAGAAAATCTTATCGGCGTGGGCTGCAATTGCGTGGATTTCGAGTTGGTTTCTGGATTCGCAGCATACGTGAGCAATGCCTCCAGCAACTCATTGTACTTGGTTGTTTACCCCAATCTTGGCTTCAGCAACGACATGTCTGACGTCAGCCAATACGGCTTCAAGTCCGATACAGAAAAATGGCGGCTGGCTTTGGAGGAGTGGTGTGGTATTGAAACTATCAGACTTATCGGAAGCTGTTGCAGCACAGGACCTAAAGAAATAGCAGCAGCCAGGGCGGTAGTGGACGCGGTGAATCATTGATCGTTTTTGTGGGTTATAGAGGATAGACTACATGCTAGGCTAGGAAGCAATTCATCGGTAAAAGCATATGGACAGGGATTAAAAATTAGCGGGCAGGGCCCATGAATAAATAGCACAGAAGTTGCGATCGAAAGACAACCATAAATCAAACTTTTCGTGCACCGCCGTGCAACCAACATGTACATCGGCTTCCGAAACCGGTCGTAAATCGTAAAGGGCGTTGGTTTATGCAAGGGAAGAAGTAGTAAGTGAGACCTTTTTGCTCTGGAGCCAGTCCTTGAATGCAAAGACCGACATGATCCAGGCCATGAGAAGGGTGACAACTCCGAGCGTCACGTTCAACGTGAACATTGGCGTGTATCCGTAGTACTCGAACGTGTGAACCACTGGATCACACGACTCCATGAAAATAGTGCCGCCGCACATCAAGGCGAAACTCACCACCAACTCCGTCATGGGGCTCAGTGGACGAGTCAACGACTTGCTGTTCACGGGAGTCACCATCTGAAGAACGTAGGTGAGGAGTCTGAAGGCACAGCCAACAACGAACAAGTTGCCCCACTGGGTGTGAATTGCAGTAGACAACTCCAGGGCCTGTTCGTGCTTGGACATGAGCACACCAGTCCAGTAGATGGTCAAGATGGGGAATGGGTTTGGAGAGAAGCCTGGCATCGCCTTGGCGACGCGAGCAACATCTTTTGAGTCAGCAACGAGCGCCATGTGCTCGGTTGCTTTCTGAAACCTGTAGCTGCTGAGCTTCTTCTCCACCAAAACACCACAAAGACCGCATCCGATGAAAATGAACGCGATGGAGGCGTGCTGCAAATCCTTAGCAGACCACTCGCCGCCTGGATTGGCCAAGTGCTCCAAGAAGATGTTGGTGGAGCCGTAGAAGAGAATCAAGGAGGACTCGACAAACTCCATCGACCAGAGGCCAATGGGCTGCCATTTGAACCAGCCTTGGTAAGCCTTCTTGGCGGAAACAAACGTGTGGTTCCAGGCCCAGCCCTTCTCACGGAAAGCACCGCAGTAGCGGGACAAGGAGAGCATGCCCAAGCTGAAGAACACACCGCCCTTGATGAAATGAGCCAACAAGTTGAATACAGCTCTGTCAGTACCGTAGACAGCGTAGGTGGCCACGGCGACTCCCGCGTACACGAGGAAGTAGAAAAACAGCATCCAATTGAGCACGGCGGTCAAGACGGTGGCCGTTCTGCCAAAGGCCGTCACCACACGCTGGAAGAGCGGGAAGCGGACCACAAACGAAGTCACGAAACCTGGCTTGTTGATCATGGAGCCATTGGAGGTCAAGTGGCCGTTGGCGAGGCCTGGAGTCAAGTCATCGAGCTCAAAGGAGTCCAGATGAGAGTCTCTCAAGGTCAGAGCTGGCGAGTCGAGAGACGCGGTATCGTCGTCGTCATCCACGGCCTCGTACGCGTGAGTTTCGATGTCTAAAGAGGAGTAAGCCTTGGAAATGAGCGCCACGGCCCAATGGACAATGGTGCCCACAAAGAGAATGGCACACATCGGGTGGAACGCGTTTCCCGGGTAGAGGTCCTTGATGGAGCCCGCAAAGACCCAGTAGTTGATCACAGAGATCACGATAGCAGCCGCATGGAGCGTCAAGGCCGGGAAGTAGAGCCGCGAGCCCGTGTTCCAGAACACTAGCACCAATGGGTACAAGAGCATGTATGACAGGGTCCACAAGGCGATATGCGTGTAGAGGGCGCCTCTGTGGGAAGAAGGCGTGTTGAAGTATGTTTCTGTGGAGTAGTTCTCCCAGAACAAGCGCTCCTCCGGCTTGAGATCCGTATCGAGGATGGGCATGCCGTGATGATGGTGCGCCACATGTGGCGTAGGCACCAAGGAAGGCGTGGATTCTAGCGGCGTAGGAGCCATATCAGTGTGGGGATGGAGGTGTTCGTCATTGGCGGCCACAGCCAGGGCAAGAAACGCTAGAAGAGCTAACCGCATGGCAGATTGAGTACCAATTGAAGCAAACAGATGTTTCAGAAAGCAAGGCTGCTCGGATGGGAAATAGGCCGGTTATATAGCGATGGAGCGCAACCAGGAGTGTATGATCGAGCCAGAGGTTCCGGACATCATACCGTCCTCGATGCCGAGCACAATGCTAGGCATGCTGTAAACAGCCTTTTTGTCTGAGGTCATCACAATCGACCCCACCCGCGGCGGGCGGAAGGCAAACACGAGTTATGAGTAGATTTCCCGAAACGAAACAAACTTTTGGTTTCCCAATTTTTGTGGATCCACCGTGCCCTGAGCCGTTTGGTGAGCGCGCCGGAGGTTTCGGATCCAGATTGTGGGCCGACTGAGACCGGCATGCTCAGCAAGCATACATACTTTAGCCTCCAGCCTCGCGTAGGCTTAACACAGGAGGAAGCGAATTTTCCGACTTGATTTCCGAGGCGCTACGCTTGGCACAACAAGTGTCAAGAAATCCAAAATCTTTGCTATCGGATGGTCATAGTTGAGCAGTTTTTAAAAAAACCTCGGCTCCCGCGCCCTCGATGCCGAGGTTGTGGCGAATGCTTGGGTGCAAATCAATCAGGGCAAATTTGCTCACTCGCGTACTGCCCAAAGCTCACCGGGCCCTGCCCATAATAGGATTATCCCCGAAGCGTGACGGCCTCCCTCCCGCAACACCATCACCGTTTCTAGTTTGTTCGTTACGCTTTCTGCAAACCATAAGCAATTTGCTCATTTCGGACAAAATCGTTCCACACCTTGCTTTGTCAGCATGCATGCCTTCACCTGCTGCTGCTGTCGCAGATTAGTACTTTCGCAGGGCTGCTATGACATCCTTAATTCTTTTTAGCTCCATGCATTGTCGATCAACGTCAGTGGTGTCTTGCACCTGCCCATTTCTGGCATAAACGGGGTGCTTGTCTTTGTAAGTACAAACGGAATAGTCGATCCCGACGGCGTACTCATACACCTTCTCTTTTCGTAAAAAACCCCTTCCTAAAAATTTCGATCCTTTGTCTTGTCGCATTATGCAATGTTCTGTCTGAGCGGCGTGAGCTAAATCTCTCAAGCCGACTGCCCTCAATCTAGTCTCACCGACACCGTTGCCTTGCATACAGCTCGCAGACGGGCCTCTTCTATTCTGAAACATCCCGTTCCTCCCGGTTCTTCGGCACCAACTCCAATCTGGTTGTTTTTGGAAATTTGAAGTATGTAATTTAATCCCGTTAAAGTTCGCTGTTGAGAACCCTTGACGCTTTTTAAGTGACTAGCCGCACCGCCTATAATGCGTTCTTTCTCGTAAGATAGTCGAATCTCGAGTATGTGTAACCAATGAAAGGAAGATCCTCCTTGATGTTCTTGAGGTCGCCCTGCTGCATCTGCTGCTGCTTGTGGGCCCGGGTCATTGCGGGACTGTCGGGCACATTCTCCAATTCGTCCGTGGGGAAGAACCTCGTGTCTGTGATCGATTTAAGCTTGGGGATGAACGGCGCATCCACACGACGAATAGTTTCCCAGTCGACACCCCGGAAGAAAGGATGCTGCTTGATCTCTTCGGCTCCACCGTGACGACCCAAACGACGGTCACTAGACGTCAAGAGACGACGAATCAAGTCCTCCGCTTCAGCCAGTAGATGGATATCCTCTGGAATCACCATCAGCTCCTGCCAATTGATAATCTTACGGTAGGTCTCGTGCGGTGTCTCAGAGCAGAAAGGAGGCCAGCCGATGAGACACTCGAACATGATCGCTCCAAGCGACCACCAGTCACATTCTTGTCCGTATCCCTGGTGGATGAAGATCTCTGGTGCAATGTAGTCTGGTGTACCGACGGTGGAGTATGCCATGAGTCTTCTGCTCTTTCTCCAGGTCTGCATCTGCTGTCTGTTGCTCATAGTCAAGTGGATGGCATCCACCATCATCGAATTGCGCTGCGTTTGGGCTTTTCCAGGCACCTGCAACATCGAGTTGTGCTTTGCATCCTCCTTCTCCAAAAGCTTCTTGTAGTACTTGGAGTCGTGGGTCTTGTGGAAACCAGTAGACAAACCAAAATCAGAGAGCTTCACGTGGCCCCGCTTGTCAATCAAGATGTTGTCAGGCTTGACATCACGGTGGATGAAACCCAATTTGTGGATCGCCTCAATGGCCAAAACACACTCGGCCATGTAGAAACGAGTAATGTCTTCGGTAAAAATCTGCCAGCGGATCAACATCGTCATCAAATCGCCTCCAGGAAGGAACTCCATAATCAAGTAAAGGTTCACGTGGTCCTGGAAAGAGTAGTACAACGACACAACCCATGGCGAGTCACTGCCGGCCAAAACGTCTCTTTCAGCCTTCACGTGAGCCAACTGGTCCTTTTTGTACATCTCAGACTTCAAAAGCGTCTTCATGGCGTAGATCTTACCGGTATCCTTCTTTTGGACCAAACGAACCTCACCGAAAGCTCCCTTACCGATCACCTTGACGGTGATAAAGTCTTCCAAGGATAACTTGGTTCTTCTAAGGCGCAAAAACTGGGACTCTTTCTTGCCCAAGTTTTGCAATTGTCTATTCTTTCTCTCCTCACTCAGTCCTGCTTCCTCCGCCATCAACTTGTTTTCCAAATCCAATCTTCTTTGGTTTCTCTCGATCGCATGGCTCACAGACATCTGGTAGTAGTTTTCGAGCCTGAGCTTCATAGCAGCCGCCTTGTCCTGAGTGATTTTGCTCATGACATCGGGGTTTCTGTTGAAATAAACATAGTTCTTGTTTCTTTCCCGGTCAGCTTGTGGCAGATGAGTTACTTGAGAAGGAGGAGTTCTTGGAGTGTCGGATTTTCTGTACTGAGTCTGAGGTTGCTGCAACAGCGGCGGCTGCTGAACATGGATCTGAGCACGCTGTTGCACTGGCGACTGTTGAAGTTTCTGTTTTGGAGGTGACGATGCCAAATTTCCCACTGATGCGTTGTTTTGAGCAAAGCTCAACGGGTCGTTGAGCGAGTTGGTCACGGAGTTGGAGGCGCTTATTTCCGACAAGTTCGTGTTGGACGAGTTGTTCAATGCTGTGATGCCCGCAGGAGGCTGGAAGACTCCCAGAGATGCAGAATCCACCAGCTGAAGGTTTCTCTCTGGAATAGTGTCAAAGTGGTTTCCGTTGGAAAACGTTGGCAGCATCTGCACAGGCTGCTGGCCATAAGCGTTGTACTGGGCCTGCTGGAGCACGGGCTGCTGGTAGAACTGGGTGTACCGGTTAGAGCCTCCATCTTGTCTAGCAGCAGTATTGTCCACAAACGCCAGCGTGTCCTCATCCATGAAGGAGTCCTCGTGGTACTCCTGATGCTGCTGATTCTGGAACGCCAAATTGGGGATTTGTTGGCTATGTAGCTGGGCTTGAGGGTTTGTTTGTTGTTGGTACGAAGGACCCTGGTTGATCTGGCCCTGGCCACGCCCAGAAGCGTGATCTGCTCGTACCTGGCCCATGTAGTCGTAGTTGTAGTTCATAGTCACGAGATTTTGTGGCTTTTTGTGGGACTTTTGAGCTGGATTTGGTGTTTTTCAGAAGCGAGTGTTGCCGGGGAGAAGCTGATCTGCGTGATCTGGATGGCAGAAGGGATGATTTGAAATACCTGATTCACCTAAGCTGCAAAAACGTGCTTTTAATCTGAAAAATATGTCCAAACCGGGAATTCTATGGATCTGGGTGTGTCTATCAGTGCTGTGTTTGAAAACATTCTCAGTCTCGTCGTGGCTGATGGGAACGACACCCGTACACCACAGTCGAAAATAGGGGAAACGGCGGCCGGAGTCTCCAGAAAAAGCCGATTCCATGGAGAAGATTTTCTGGATTTTACGAATTACAACTTGTTATCATCGAATCTCTCCAAAAATGAAGCTTATACTTGCTTTCGTCTACCGTGCCTGAACGCGGTATCAAACCGTGCGCACAGATAGTGGTTGATCCAAGAGAGACCGTAAAAAACGCCTAATTGGGAGACGACGATTGGTCCGGAGTTTTTAAACTTTGTGCATTTCTTTCAAGGAAGTTTTCGTTTGAATTTTTTTTTTTAAAAGTTTGGGAAATTTTGGCTTTTCCAGCGAGCAGGGCATCGACATACTGGCCCATTGTGGATGTAATATCGTTACTGTTTAGGGTATGGACAAAGCGTGCCGAGAAGATGAATGGGGGTTGTGGCAGTGACGACATTTGAATTTGACGATCCAGGAGTGGGTGAAAGAAAAGGAGATTTGTGAAGTTTTGTGGAAGTTTCATGGATTAGGTAGAGACGATTTTCATTGTAGGTTTCATGGAGAGTAGGTGCTGGCAATTATTGCAACTTCAACGCAGCAAGATGATATTCGAGTTTTTTGGTAGTACTTGAAGTCGTTCAGGAATTCAGACAGCTTTATGTAATTTGACGAAAAATCTGTTGATTATCTTCTTCAATATGGAGTGGCTTTCTGTGATGAACAGTGGTACTGACATTAATGGTACCAAGATGTAACATAAACATAAGCATTCTATGTTTCTTGATTATCTTCGACATAAGAAGGTAAGTAAGCTTGAAATATTATCCAGTAGCGACTTTGGCACCAGGGTAATGAACTGGTTCAACAATCTACATCTCATTGCAGCCAATCATACATTCAAGATCCCAGCTAATTCGAAGCTTCAAGACCAAACAGTTCTGAAACTGAAGTGAATGCACCTCTCTTTGGATATCAATTTCAGAAAGCCTTAAAATCACCCACTATACCTAAGCTCGATGACCCTTCTCTGGTATAGGCGTTCAAGTCAACCTTCCAGTAAATCATAAAAGATTTGTCCAACCAATATCTTTTCTTTCTCAGTCGACGGCCTCTCATCCAAAACCTCATCACCTACATGCACCGTTCCCGGCACCTACAAGCGTCTCAAGAATAACTATATTATGAGTCTTCGTAAAGTACAAAAAAGCCAGCGGCCGCTTAGAACTGCAAGGCCTGGCCCTTCTGCTTCTTGTCACCACCCAACTCGAAGTGCTTACATCTCTTCAAAGCCAACTGGGCCTTGGTCTTGCAAACAACACACTCCAATCTCAAGACAACCTTCTTGGTGGTCTTGGCCTTCTTGTGGAAAACGGGCTTGGTCTGACCACCGTAACCGGACTGCTTACGGTCGTATCTTCTCTTACCCTGGGCGAACAAGGAAGCCTTACCGGCCTTGTACTGGGTGACCTTGTGCTGGGTGTGCTTCTTGCAGTCCTTACCCTTGCAGTAGGTCTTTCTGGTCTTTGGAACGTTAACTGGTTGTTAGTACTGGACGGGAGTTTCAAGGAGAGCCGGTGGACGGGAGCATTTTGAGTTTGTAGCGAAAACGGTCAACTTCGATGGGTTCATGATTCATTAAATGGACGGGCTGGGGGCTCCGGTGGAGTATTTTTGACGGGTAAAAAAGGGGACGGGTTGGAATGACGAGTGGATTATCATGGTGGGCTCTGCTCCTTCGTTCGGTGTGTTTTGAACATACCCATTGTGACTAGAGTTGTAGGTGTATGAAAGGTAGAAAAATTTTCTAGTTTTTTCAGAGTGTAGTTAGCGCGAGCAGTGGAGGTGTTGGAGTGCTGGGTGTGTGCAGGATGCTCTCTACTGAGGTTGTGCGCACCGTTAGGGTTTGAGCCCTAAGACCGTGGAGCCCACCAGTGGGTGGCAAACCATGGAAGTAGGCAAAGTTTTGAAGCAAACATGAATACAGTGCTAATGAAATAGGGAGAGAAATAGGTGAACAGGTGTGGTGCATCAAGGTGTAGAATGTGGTGCATGCTAGTGGCTGTCCTGAAAAGGGTGTAGTGAACTCACATTGTAGATAAAAAGTAAAATAAGTCTGATTGGCAATTTGATTACGGAAGCAGCTTGGAATATGATATTGACTTCTTTGACTTTTTTGTTGTGCAAGAGAAAGTGTGGGTTCAGTTGAAGGTTGGTAGTACACTGAGAATTCAGCATACAGCTACACCATATCCAAATGGTGATGAATAGAAAAGCAATACATTCTCCCATATTCGTGGAGTTTAAGATTATTTGTGTCATTTGGTGACCAAAATCGAAACTCCAATTAAATGGGGTCTTTATTCATCGTAATACTTACTATGAAAGCTGAGAGTGACGGAGCCAACTATAGAAAGCATTCAAGTTGAGAAGTCGAAAAAGATCGAGATTGAAATTGCTCAACCGAACATTTAATCTGCCTTTTAAGTGGCCCTCCTACTAATCTTAGCCATCTACACTTAGCCATCTACACTTAGCCTTCTGCTTATCCTTCTGCTTATCCTTCTGCTTATCATTCTGCTTAACCTTTCAGCAGCATTAAGCCCTCGTTAGCCTACTTCGCCTCAGCGAACCTACAACCTTCTTCATAAACATACATTAAAACAACAGGGTATAGAATTAGACGGTGATGGTGGAGGTGAGGGTGCTTGTGGAAGTCACCGTTTCCGTGGACGTGGTGTCGTAGTACTCGTAGTCCACCACACACACACCATCGTTGACTGCCGTCAGAACAGAGTCAAGCAGGTAGCCTGACTCCAGAGAAGCAGAAGCGTCGTCTGCGGTTTCCACGGACTCCTCAGAAGCAGAGGTGGATGTGGATGGAGCCGGCGTCGTGGGCGACTGGGTGGAAGGAGCAGCCGAGGTTTCAGGAGCCTGAGTCTCCTGGGGTTGAGATTCCTGAGGTTGAGTCTCCTGGGCGGTTTCTTCAGGGGTTTGAGTTTCTTCAGGCTGGGTTTCCTGAGGAGTAGAAGTCTCAGCGTCTTGAGCCTGAGTTTCAGGTCCAGCTGGAGCTTCCACCTCGGAGCTCCCCACACTTACGAAAGTATGGGGCTGGCCAAAAATCGTCAGGGTGTATGTCGATGTGTACCTGGTTGTGGTGGTGGTTCTTGTGTTGGTCAGCCAGTCGGTGAGGGTAGAAACGGTACCTTCCACGACATTGGTGTTTGTGACGGTGTTGTCGACGGTTTTGGTCACCTTGACGACTTTAGCCGCCTGAGTGAGCGTAAGGAGGGACGCGAGGGAGTAAAGAACGTGGAGTTGCATTTGAAAGAAAGACTGGGGTGAGTTGTAAGGAAGGACTGGGGTGGGGGATAAGTGGGTTTGGAGATTCGCTTCGCTCAGGCGCGCTGTGGATGAGTTATTGCTTTTTGGGGGTTATGGGAAAAGTGGATGAGAGCTGGAATTCGGAGGGGTGGGTTGGTCTTTATAAGGCTGGCGGTGGTTGCAAAAAGTCCTATGCGGGTTTTGATGGTGGACTGCACACAGCCCAACGGGTGCAGCCCGCTTGCAGCATCGAAGGCTGGCTGCTTCCCAGAACAAAGCGGCCCAGCCAGCAAAGAACCCCGTAACAGGCATCAAAACAGATACTTGTAGTAAAAGTATGCACTTTAGACCCTGCGGCTCGGTAGCGCCGGAGAATGGCGCTTTTAGTGTACTGACACCGGCGTCTTCTGTGCAGTACCGCTGGCAGCAAAGCCCGAAGAAGGCAAGTCGACCGAGAATTAGGCAAGGTTCGAATCTCGCCTATTACTTTATCCAGCGAGCAGTCCAGCAGTTTAGATTTTTCTGGAGGCATTCCGTAACGTCACATTGCGTAAGCACATGTTTCCTTCGGAACGTCACATTCTATAAAGTTGCCTCAGCCGCACCCTTAGAGCCAGAGAGCTGGTTAGCAATGCTATGGGATGGATTGTTTGGAAGTTTTGGAATGTTTGGCTTAGGCGGAAAAGCGAAGAGGAGAAGGTTTTTGAAATAGAGGGGTCAAACGGTGTAAGTGATGTGGAGTAGGAGGAAGGAGAAGTGCTATGAGGAGATAGTAACATAATTCACGCAGTGACATCAAGGTCACTGCAGTTTTCGTATTTCCTCGATTTTTGATAATTCAATCAAAAGAGGGGCGGGCTTGCCCGCCTCGAGGCTTGATGGGTAGGTTTCTGAGCCTCACCATACTGCTTGTCATAGTGCTTGTCATAGTGCTTGTCATAGTGCTTGTCATAGTGCTTGTCATAGTGCTTGCTTTGACCGAAAACCCACCAATTGAGCCTCACAAGAATGCTCCACGAAATTGCGAATTCACAACCCACAGCCAGCACGAGGCTTCCTTGTTCTTCGTCGTTCTTTACGAATCTTCTGCTCTGTCGGCTGAGTTACCTTTTCATGCTGGATCACTTGCCAAGGAGCTGCCGGTATGATCCAGCTTCGTATCTCTAGCTTGGAGGCCAGGAATGCGGCAATGGCTGTTACGTTAGAAAGTTGAGTAACATGGTTGGGTAACAGAGTTGGTAGCGATACCTTCAAGCCTAAAGCCAAATAGGCTAACAGCGTAGCGAAACGCAAACCCGCTGGATTTTTAATTTTTCGAACAGACTGACTTAGGTGATGTGGCTGGCAGTTGTATTGATGTAATTGGTCGTTCACTTCCATGTGGTGGTCGTCATGATAGGTCAGTGTGTACTACACCATTTTCAACAACCCAATGATGCAACCAGCGCAAGCAAACCAGCGTTCTAACATTTCTTTACTCTGAATATTCTCCAAAGATTCTAAAACAAATAGTCAGCTGGCGCTCGGCTTCTGCTTCACTTTTGATTTCGCAACCATCGAGCCAAGACCTCGAGGTCCATTGTACCAAGCAATGCCGAGGCCAGATCAGCCAGAAATCAGGCAGTTCAGTACCAAAAATTATCTCGAGTCAGCTTTTAGCCAGTTACGAGCCTGCGGCGTGGAGATCAAAAAGGTCCCCATTGAGATGGAGTGGGTAACACGGGAGGTATGCTAAGACGAAGAGAGTTATGAAAAGGGGGGATGTAGATTGTCATTCTTCACCAATTGAGCTTCAAAGCACTTTTGAGAGAAATAGGGATCATATGACGGGCCGACAGTTTAATAGTTTGACTAAAAGTATTCAATATCTGTGATGTTACATTACTCATGATGATGAAATCTTGAACCTACTTCGCCATCGCATTGCTGTAGGGAAACGCCTCGTTTCTCATCCATTGTCAATTTCTTGAAATCAAACGAAAAACAGTCACATCGTGTTTTACTATGTAACCCTCAGGTGGAGCCACTGTGGACCCTTACTTTCTGCAAGTACCCGTGGGTATTTCGAAATCCACAAAAACAGCAAAAAGCTCTTCAGGTCATCGAACAAGCATTTCTCCAAAATCTTCTTTCCCTTTTCTTTTTTCAAATTGCAATTTTTCACCTCTATCGTCTACACCCTCCTTGACTAACACGGGGCTGCCCCGGTACAGTACGTTTTGCAACCGAGCATCCCGGTAGACGCACTTTCACAAACCGGTCGTGTAATTGGGGTTTTTCTGCAAATTGAACTTTTAAAACATATCAGGAATTCTTGAATATTCAAAAAGAAGTAGCTTCTTAAATCCAAATGTGAAAGTCGAAGGCGTGCCGCTATCCACAGCAACCGTTGATATGGCAATCACGTGACCTCGTCGCCCACTTCCGGTCACTATCAACACCACTACCGGTCCCTACCCCCGGTTCTCCAACTAATCAAAAACAAACACCCCCACTGAATGAGCTACTATAACGCCTCCAACGCTCATTTGGCGTTTCCGTCGTACCCCAGCAGGGGCTCCAGCGGAACATGAGCGGATTGAATACGCTTTCGGGCTCTGTGCCCCAACTTCACCAACAATACAGAAACCATCTTCCACAGCAGCTTCAGACCGGTCAGAACTCCACGGCGCCAGGCGCCAACCAGCCAAATCCGCAAACGGCAAATTCAGAGAGCCTGCCCGCAGAAAGCCAGGACGGGGCGAAAGCGGACAAAAACACCGATCCTGAGCTTGACGATGACAAACTCTCCAAACGAGAAAGAAAGAACAGACCGGGCCAGAAGTTTGGAGCCAAGAAGAAGCTGTGGGTGTGGACGTGGTTTGTTCAGGATCTGCGTGACCCTAATGTCGCTGTGTGTGATTACTGTGGCAAAATCATCACCAGACAGCCTTCAGATAAAGGCCTGCCCAAGAAGCTCAGTGAACACTTGAAAACACACAAGCTTCTGCGAGATCTGATCAACACGCTGCGGTCCGTGCCTGTGGACGGCAACGGCATCACTTACAGTCCCAGCGGGCTTCTGATGCCGAATTACAAGAACTACCAGAACCAGAACCAGAATAACCAGGGTCTGGGGCTGAGTAACCAGAATATGAGCAATCCGCAATTGGGTAGCATGCTCCAGCACTCTTTGCAGAATCAGAGCTTGGAGAATGACGATATGCCGCAACCCAAGCCTACGAAATACAGAAGAACAGGACCCATGAATGGAGTCCAGGGTGTGGGCAGCGTTCCTACAAGCAACAGCCAGGGACTGAGCAGAATTAACTCAATAAGCGGGGTCAACGTGGACGAAAGATTGATGAATAATAGTCACCAGGGCCAAAACCACACCCAGAACCAGAGCCAGCTTGCTAGAAATACCGCTCTGGGCAGTCCAGTGCAGTATGGAAGGCGGTACATTCTGCCCAATTTCGATAATGCACCGTACTCCGCTGGAAAGTTCCATAAGCACCTTCTTCATTTCCTTGCGGACAACAAGTTGTCCATTCGCTTACTTAAACTGCACTCGTTCCAGCAGCTTATCTACGACTTGCGTCCCGACCTGATTACGGATCTCCTTGAGCTTACGGGGTTGTACCTGTCGTTTGTGGAGGTGTCCCGGGTGGATACGGATCCTGAGGCTCAGGAGGGTCACCAGACGTCGTTGGCGGAGACGAATGTGGTGAACACGCTAGCGCAGAATTTGCCACGGGGAGATTAGGGGATAGATTGTATATTAGGGCCAAATTGGCTGAATTAATTGTATCAGTATGGGAAGGTAGGGTGTAGGTTGAATCAGATCCCTTGACGATTCTGATGGAGGATTGAACTTGAATGGTTTCGTGGGGTGAAGGTTATTGGTGGGTTATGGCGAATTAGGAGTAGAAGAAGAAGAGGCTTTTGTAGAAAATTTGACATCAGACATAACTTAAATATATGAGTATGAGATGCACTTAGAGTATAATTAGTCTGACAAGCCGGGAGTGTTTCAACCGAAATTAGCCGATGATAAAGCTAAGAAGTTAATCCAAATCCTTTACTTAATTGATCAACCTTTGTGCAACCATTTCTGTCACCCTGAAGGTTGTGCCATGTACTTCACTAGTTCATCAACTGTCGCCTACTTAGGTTACAATGGGCTCTGCAATTTTACTGATCCTGCCATAAAATCAAAAAGAGCACTTTTCTGGAAAATAGTCCCAGCTTTTCAACGCTGCCGCAGAGCTTATGTCAGCTTTTAACGTTGTTCGACATTTTGGCTGCAAACAATGCAGTGAACATGATGGGCAGAGTATAAAATAGAAACATGATTCGAATCTTACGTCCTTCTTCTTAAGAACAATACAGAATTTATGAATTTGTAATTTAAAGAAGTGCTTTTCAACATCCACGAGATCGACCATTGTAGCATACCCATTGTTCGCACAATGGATCACAGAGCTTCTTGAACCCAGATCAACACACAGACATCCACCTTTCATATCCATTACCCAGCTCAGCAAACCATATTCAGAAAAGAAAACAAGAAAAGCACCAGCTTCAAATAAATCTCCACCTCCGAAATTTTGGGCCTTCCCCACCCTATCAAATATCGGTGCGCACTCCGGCTAAAACATTATCAACACTTTCTTCCTCCAACTACATGCTGTTGCTACCGCTAGTGGCGGCCGTGGACGCCTTTCCGTACACTCCTACGGACTACTACACGCTTCTCGGCCACGAGGGCCTGCCTTTGGGAAACGTGGCGCCTCACGCTGTTGAAAATCTCGAAAATCAGTATTTGACCGTGGATCACACTGCAAAGACCGTGTCGATGTCGCCGTCGCTCGACACTTTTGAAAAAAGAAACGAGGCTGTGGCAAAAATGGCCCAGACGTGGCGCCACAGGGATCCAATTGTGGCAAAAGGCTGGCGTGACGAACTCTATGTGGTCTACAATCCGTCTACAAAACCGTACTTTCTCATTGAAAGAGCGTTTTCGAGCATTCTAGGGGTCGTCACGTACGGCGTCCACATCAACGGGATTGTGAAAACCGCCGAAGGAGTCAAAATGTGGGTTCCTAGGAGATCCCAGACCAAGGCGACATACCCAGGCAAACTAGACAACACCATAGCGGGCGGCGTCGCCCATCCGTTGGGACTTTGGGAAAATGTCATCAAGGAGTGCTACGAGGAGGGCGGTTTGGAGCGGGAATTCGTGGAGCTGAGGATCTCCTCGGCTGGGGTTGTGTCGTATTTGTGTCTACCGTATGGCCCCGGAGGCCACGCTCAGCCGGAAGTCGAGTATATCTACGATTTGGTTTTTGACTCGGAGGACCAGAAGCCGTCGCCTGTGGATGGCGAGGCCGAGGATTTCAGGTTGATGGGTTTGGACGAGGTGCTTGAGCGGATGAAGGCTGGTGAGTTCAAGCCCAATTGCACGTTGGTGATAATCGACTTTTTGATCAGACACGGCGTGATCACGCCCGAGACGGAGCCCAACTACTTGGAGATCGTGCAGCGTATCCACCGGAGGTTTCCTTTTGCCACGATGAACTAGGGGGCTTTGGGGTGACAGATTGTGACAAGCATTATGCTTACTAAGTTAGGGTCACAATTGAGTATTTGAGTCCCTCAGTGACTGCAAGCCTTTATCTGAAGATATTTTTCACGCTGTCCATGACATCTTATTCCCATTGTCCATGACAATTTGGTGCAAGAAGACAGTGCATGGTTCAAGCATGGTTCTACGCCGGTGTCTTAGGCTATGAGGCCACAGGATTCACAAGGAAGAGTTTGAAAGAGACAGGTTGAAAAATGACGATTTCAATGAAACAATGCAGACAAATGTATATACCCCAATGGTCAAATAGAACAAAATAGAGGATTGCATCTAGACGACAGCCCAGTGCTGAAATACTTAAAAAAACAGCCTTTACATGCTATTGATTAAACGCTTCAACTCATGACCGAAAAGATTTGCCTCGGCTCATATCTCGATTCTCGGTTTCCCAGCATCACCATATCTCCCTCGGCTATCTATACCTCACCATATCTCCCTCGGCTATCTATACCTCACCAAATCCATCATCTGAACCAAGACCCCCAATTCCACCAATTCAACATAAATCTCCAAAACACCAAAACACAGTCACATCAAATTGCAAAAAGAAAACAAAATCAAGACAGTGTCCAAAAAGCTCCCCAAAGATCACCTTATCGACTCCAACCTGTCCGGCACATACCCTCCATCTATCACCTACACCTTCTTATCATGGCGTGGCGATATCTCCCCGTGTGCATTCGGCTCGTCCTGCAACGGCCCGAAACGCCGTCCCAGAGCTACCTGGGCATCTACTTGTACAATTCTGCCGAAAAACAGAGACATTTCTGCATTCTGGTTCTTCACATGTCTCCAGAGGAACTCGACAAATACAAGCTTTACGTCTCGTGCAAGCCGCTAATGCAGAATAACGAGGTCCGCTGGTGCCAGGGGTTTCTTGGGAAAACGGCGTCGGTCTTGTCCGAAAAGGACCCGTTGAAGGAGTACCTTGAATATGCCATGAAGAACGGCTTCAACTTGATCCCGCTAGATACTCATGTGGGGAACCTGCTTCAGGCATTGAACGTGGCGGTTATGCATTGCCGAGCGATCCACGAGGAGATTCCTGACGAACACTTTCACGATTTTACCGTGGACAAGGCGGCAGAACTATCGCTGATTTCGGTCAGATCGCTGCCTTTCAACTTCACAGGACCAGCGCTCTTTACGGATTTTGTTTCTACAGGACACGTCAACGCTGTGATCAGAGACTCTAGCGGCGTGGGACGGGGCTTTCTTAGCGACATGAAGTACCTTGAAAACATGTGTGGAGCCTTGGTCAATTCTGCATCTGGAGGAGCCGTGGGGCTTCTAATAGGCAATTTAAGGAAGCTCAACGGCGACGGTGATTTGATGGTTATAGCGCCGTGGGACAGGCTCCTTCTACTGCTTGGAATTGATGATGTGGACTCGAAAACGGCGTTCCCAAAAAAGACAGAAACTGCCCTGTCAGCAACGACAAAATCACATCCTGTCCTTCCCCTCGCTATCTCCCAGCACGGCCACCCGTTTTCGTGGGGCTCCTGTGTCAAGCTCAAAAAGGATACCTTGGTGACCAACTACCACGTTATCAAACCCTTCATACGGCTGGATTCGGTTGTTTGCAGCATAGTCTTGGGTAAGGACCATTCGCTTGTTTTGGAGAGCAGAGACAGCGTGGTGGTGCCGTTCGTGGATCTAGATTTAGCGTTCATCCACTTGTCGGAGAAAAACCAGCTTGCCTTGGACCACATCAAATGTGCACCTATCGGCTTTGCATCTGAACAGAATATCGCCGATGAGGTGTTTACGGTTGGGCACGGGCTTCTCCTTAATGACAGTTTTCTCGACCCCATCGTGTCCAAAGGCCATCTCTGTTCGGTGACAAATCACAATCCGTACAGATCTGAGTATCCCCAAATTCCGTGCATGCTAGTGGCGTCTTCCCAGTGCTGGAATGGTTCTTCTGGAGGCGGAATTTTTGATTCAAAAGGACGTCTTATTGGCATCGTAAGCAGCAATGCCCAGGTCTTTGTTCCTTCGGTTTCTGGACTACAATATGAGGATATCAAATCAGAGAAGGTACCGCTGTTCTGCTTGTGCATCCCTCTGGAGCTTGTTTTCGAATGCTACAAGAGCAAGGTAGACGAAACAAGAAAAGACAATACCATTATGCTCAGCGACGAAGTGGTGAAAACATGGAACCTCGAGAGCTCGCATGTCAACATCTTCGAAAGAGAAGCAAAGCTTTAGTCGTGCGTTCATTACTATATGGATCACTTCATGCCCTCGGGCTTAGCGTGGTCTTTCACGGCGGCATAAATAGGAGGAAGCACATATGTGCTGGAGGGCGGAACCGGTGGGGAGTTCATAGGCTGTGCCAATGGCTTCTGTACTCTAGGGCCAGCTGGAGACAGAAAGTTGAGCTTGGTGACCCCTTGAAGAGGTGCAAGCAGCGACGAAGGCGACATTTGCGTCGAATACAACGGCTGGGGCGAACCGGCGTCGTTTTCGGGCTTGTTCATCAAGACGTAATTAGTGGAACTGCCTCTGTGAGATGGCACGGGCGGTGGGAAAGTGGATGAAAGGGATGAGCGATTGGAAGGAGTGGAATCCATGGAGCCGATGGACTTGGATCTTCTGTTGCGAATAAGGATGGACTCGTTGGCCACGTACAAGTCGCCGAGCGAGATGCTGTCGTTATTCAAGGCCAACACCACCAAGTCGTTGAGAAAACGGTTCAAGTTCATGCGCAAGTTGTGCAAGTTGGCGCTCTTGTTGATGAAGTTGAACCAGGTGTCGCAGATCTTGGTGAGCTCCTCGAATACTTGCAAATAAAACTCGGTTGAGGCAAACGCTGGCGTGGAGGCACAGTTGCTGTTGATCATGTAGAACAAGCACGAAAGCACGTTGCTCTTTCTCACCACCTCCTCGGCTTCAGCAGCAGATCTTTTGGTGATGAGAGTGACCATGACCTTGACAATGGTGATGTACCACTCCAAAATCAAGTTGTTCAAGTTGGCGAGATCGACAATGCTGAGGTTCTTGATTTGGAAAGGTGGCTCAACGTTGTTCAAACGAAGGAAGTTGTACTGGAAGATAAGCGGGAAACTGATGATGCCCAAGTTTTCGTATGAGTTCATGGAGGGAGGAGGAGTTTGCAGCTCAAAAGTGAAAAATCCAAGCAAGCTGTTGCCAAAGTTCTGGAACGACAGCATCAAGTTCTCCCGCATGAAGTTGTTGAAGCTGAAGGGAGCGTTGAACTCTCTCAAGGTCAAAAGAAGCATATTCCAGTGGTGAGGCTCGCTGATTTTGAAGACATGAGCTTGCAAAAGCTCCTCGTATGTTGGAGCAGCGCCCAAGATCAATTTCGAACGGAAAACATTGAAAACATCCATCGAAGTATCCGGAGCCGACAAGACCATCGACTTGTTGGCAAGCACTATGGCGTTATGCAAGGAATTGAGCAGATCGAAAAGCCACAAGGATTTGTTGAAGATAAGGTTGTTGACTTCGTTGGAAAGCGTGCAAATCACAACTTCAAGCAAAAGCGGGTCCTGGAGCGGCAACAGCTGAATCAGGTACGCCTTGACTGCCTGAGCCAAGGTGACGGGAGAATCTCTGTGCAATTTTGAAGCCAAGAACCACGAATAAAACTTTGGAGGCGCCTCGTTGGCCTTGTACTTCAGCACAAGCACGTAGATGGACCAGAAAAGCTCGAGATTTTGAGAAACCAACTCTGCGTCGCTGGGCAGACTGGCAAGGTTTTGCAAGATAATGTGAGCCAGGTCCTCGAGGTACGACACCATGAGGTCGTTGTTGAAGAAGCGCAAATAAATATACGTGAGCAAAAACAAGTTTTTGAGCACGTCACACTGTGCTGGCAAGGAGGAGTGAGCCGAATTGAGCTTATCCACCACGATATTCCACAGTTTATTGATAAAACTCGTGGCGAGCTCTTCTGGGTCGTAATCCTTCAGAGGCATGGAAAGCGCCCCGACCGCCAAAATCGAATAAACCTGGCCCAAGCGGAAATCTGACAAGGACTGGCCGGAGATGCTGTGGAGCTGGTCAATGAGCAGAGCTAGCGAATTGGCGAAAATGGCATATCTCTCCAGCGAAAGCACAGAGTGGCCCACAAGAAACATATCGTGGCACGGGTACCGGGTGTCTGCCGAGTCGTACACATTCGACAAGTTTTTGGATATGGAAAGAAGGTGGAGTGGGTCCTGGGATGTTTGGGTATGCAGAAGTCGTAAAGATGTCAAGGGAGCCGCCGATCCGGGCAGAAGCGTGGGAGCACTTTGCGGCGCCGGCGCCGGCGCCGGCCCTGTGGGAGTAACATGGACATCCTGATTGGGTGATCGGAGTTCTACCGCTTTAGCTGGAGCATGGACTAAAGGAGGAGCTAAAGGAGGAGGATGGGTGATTTTCCCGTTGAGCGGCTCGGGCGGCTCGTCTTCTTTGAGGGAGTCTCTCTTTTCACGTTTTGAGCGGGACACAAGCTTGATGTTGTGCACTGTCCGGCAGTGCCTTTGGAGGAGGTCTCTTCTGACGAACGCTGAGGTGCAATAGAGGCAGTGGAAGGGTTTTTCGTTTGTGTGGGAGCGTTCGTGGCGTTGTTTGTGTTCCAGCCGGGTGAAGGCACGTGCACAAAAGGCACAGACGTATTTCTTAGCGGCGGGCATGCCAGACAGACCTAGTTAAGGGATTTTGATGATGATTGGGTGGATGGGGGAGGTGTTGGTGGGGCGTTGGGGTGGTTTTGTGGGAAAAAAAAGGTGGGGGCGGGGGCGGGGCAACGGATATTCGGAAGGTGGGGTAGCGCTTATCCGGGATGGCGTGGTCTAGTAATACAGTGGGATGTTTGGGGCACCTGGCCTTTTTGTAGTAGCGATTCAGACATCAGCGGGAGGAGGGCGTTATATGGGCTGGGGAATGTCAAATTACGACCGGCAGCTGTGGGTTGTATGCAGTACATGAATAGACTCTGATCTCAGCTGGTGCTGCATGGTGTGCATATGCGTTTGGGGTAGTTCGCATCGTCATGGCGGGGCAGGCCAAGTCTCTCTCAGAGGCAGCTAAAGCTGGGGAGGTACGGGTTTTTCAGGCAGCTAAAGCTGGGAGGTACGGGTGTTTCGTCCCCCTAATAGGCAGCTGCCCCGGCGTGCGCCGCGGGGTGGGTGGCTACTCCGTTGGTCCGTATGCAAGATGCTTTCTGGGGTGCATTGACAAGCGAATGTGGGGGTCCCCAGCGGGGCCACTCGGCGGGGCCGGTTCCATGACTCTGCTTAGTATTATGTTTCACGAAAGGCAAGCTACAACTTTTTTCAAAATGGCCTCGTCTTTTCTTGTCGCCTTGGCGCTGCATGACACAAGAAAACCACCGCCGATAAGAAAATGGAGGAACGCGGCGCAATGAAGGTGAGGCACATGGGATAATAGCAAGTGGGGTGGTGGGTGAGATGTGGTTCCAGTCAACGAGCAACAACGCAATCTTCAATGCAACCAGCGTGGTGGGGCCCCTTTTAGTTCTGAGGGGCAGCGGGAAAAGAACGAGAAAAGGGAGAATGTGCAAAAGAAAGAGAAAATGGAGAATGTGGAATTGCTCACGATGATTCAAGAGATGGGCTTTTGGTGAAGGTGAAAAACTTGCTGTCAAGATTTAGTTGCTCCAATGCATCCTTCTGAATGTTTTTATGTAGTGTTCCCTAAACCACTTTGTAGTTTTTTTAAACATCTCTATAAATAAAAGGCATGTTCTGGTTCTCCTGCCGCTTGTGGATGTGTTTGTCCGCTGACTCTGGTGGGGCGCATCGTGTGAGTTCGTAAACGGCTTACAGCGCCGTTCGAACGGAATTGCGTTTTCCAGAACCCAGTTTGCAAGTTTCAGGCGAAGTTCAGAATTTCAGGATATCTTTTGCAATTGCTCAATTTTCTTTTTTTATTGTCTCGTCGACTCAGCCTGGCACCTTCGGTCCGGCCTAGAAAATCAAAAATACACAATCGGGTTTTTCTAGGCTGGGGCTCGGAATTCGCCGCCGAGGCCCGAGGTTTCGGTTCCAGGTCGGGCTCGGAGCTGGAGATATCACGGTTTATTCGTATCCGGTGGGTGCACCACGTCAATTGGGGTCCAGATCGGGGCAAGCGGCGATTGGAGCCAATCAAGAACACGACATTGAAAAAAAAAAAAAAGTACTGAAAAACTGAAGATCTGAAAAACTGAAAAACTTAAAAGCTGTTTCGAGGTGGTCTGCTTGGAACGGCGGGGGTGGTCCTGCCTGGGGCGTCGAACCATCCGATTATGGTGATAGGGGAAGGTTTTCGATTTTGGCATTTGACGATACTTCACGCTAAGGCCATCTGCACCATCAGGCTGTTTTGCGCATCTGCCGTGGTGCAAATACCCTCCGGGCCCGGGTCCCTGCAAGACCATGCAACGCCCCAACGGTGGAACCAATCTTCCATTTTTTTGAATAAGTGCTAAAATCTATCCAAGATCTCAACTCTCTCTAGGCCTAGTGCCCCGCTGTCACACACAATGGACAATGGCCAATAACCGAGAACAGCCGAGACACTGGGAAGGCCGGGCATCCGTCGGACCGTTGTGGTGTACGGGTTTTTCAGCCCACCTCTCTCGCAAAAATCTTTCTGGGGTGTCAGCGGCGCACCTAAGCCACCCCCGGAACAGCGGGGCTGCCTCTCTTTTTGCTCCTTGCATGTGACCCCCACGACCCCCATCCCACACCATTATCTGGAAGCTGCCGCCCCTACCGCTTCCAACGGAGTTTGTAGATTTTGCATTGTTTGGTTTTTCTGTAGAAGGCTGCCTGAGCCGCTCGCCCGCAGCTCGTAAATCAGCGGAGATCCTTCCCCACCCCGCAGTGCCCCTCCATGGCTGCAAAGGCCCAGAAAACGGAGAATGGATTAGCAAAAAACCACCCGATCTGGGCTTTCCATTTACGAGCTCCCCTGGGTCGGGTCCCTGACAGGCGTTGTGCATTTGGCTATCAAACTTTCTGATCTCCTGACCAAAAGTGGTATCATGCTGCTGCTGGGATGTCTCCATTGTCTGGAGGTTACCGTTAGTGGGAAAGATCCATTGTTCTGCAGCGATGACTCGAGGAACAAGGGGCTTACGGTCAGCTTTGGGGGGATCGTATCTGTAGAGATGGAAAAGTGTGATGGAGGGAGCGTTGTCAGGGGATGAACGGGGGAAAGGAAATAGCTTGGAAATGAAGGTATACGACGTGGAGGGAAAGCAAAGGGTGGTTTTTGAACAATCGGCTTGGAGATAATGATGGAGCGCAAATGACTCACTTTGTGGCTTCGGTGGGAGCATTTAGCGTGATCGAATGGGGTAAAGAGGGATTCTGAGGGGTGGAAGCGTGGAGGGGGGGACGTTCTGGAAGAAGCTGATTGATAAGCTGAAGCTGGGGGTGAATTTGGTGGGGTGAAGCTGGGGGTGAAGTTGTCGGGGTGAATTTGTCGGGGTGAATTTGTCGGGTGAGGTTTGCTGATCCGTTGAAAATTACCGAATCCATGGAAGTTGAGGTTGGGTACGTTTTCCATTACTCTTCGATAAATGGATTTTTTTTTTTTTTTTTTTTTTTTTTTTTTCTAAAAAGCACGTTTGTTTCAATATTTCAGGACTGCTTGCTCTTGCTTCTGAAACCGTCCCGGCTGGAGTTTCTCATCCCCACAGTCTCGGAATGGCGCTTTCGAAGAAGCAACTCAACGTGTCAAGCGCAATTCGGAGTGTTTGGCACCGACCGTGACGTCAACCGAGCGATTTCTATTTTTGTAGAGCCCGGATGTTGTGGAGGTGTGGGTGGTTTCAGTGGTTTCCTGGTTGTCTTGAGAAGGTGATATTTGTAGAATAGAGAACCTGAAACGTAGACAGCCAATAAGTGGCATCCAGTTTAGCTGATCATTGCTTTGCTGGCTCTTGCCTTTACTTCAGTTTGTGGTATTTCGAAGTTTGCTCGACCGTGTTTTGGATTAAGGTTTCAACTATACCCGTTCGATTGCACCCCTAAAATCAAAGGAAGCACAACGTAACGTACTCTCAAATTTGCCTTGCAGGCCATCTTCCAGTGATTTTTAATTGCAAGACCATTCCAAAATTACTGACCATTCCAAAATTACTTCCACCATGTCAGTCCCTTAAAGAAGCAGATTCAGTGATAGACCATCACCATTTTGAAGCTGGCTCATTCAAGGGATATCCAATTTCAAACACTAGATTTGGCGATTTTCGAGATGCTCCTTTTTAGTCTGACAAATATAGATGTCTTCGAACCTATACCTAGGCCAGTCCGCCCATTACAGTATCCGATATCCGTCCTCCTTAACATAAAGAAGGTAAACACAGCCAGCACAACCACATCACCTTCTGTTCCAGCTGTTCATTAACGGCCGAATTCAGAGATCTGATTAAGAAGAAGCAGTATTCCAGCCATCCACACCACTTCCACAGACGACTCTTCTCCTTTGGATAATATTCCCCAAATCCCTATTGGCCACTACCCTACACCTACACCTTTTTAGCAGATCTCTATTAAAAAAAAGACCTGAGCAAGATTTCATTTTCGGCTGGTTTGAGAGATCCGATTTGAAAGAAGCTTTTCAAGGATTCTGGCGATATTCATCCACAACCTGCCCTTCAGAAATCAACCCAAGCTCCTCCTCCTCGAAACAACAGCAACCCCCAAAACAGCTATGCCTCTACAATTGCACCACCTTCGCCCTTTAAACCCATCTCTATCAAAAACGACCTAACGCAAATCTCTATAAGAAACAGTGAGCGAAGCCACAGGCTCGATGGGCTCCACCTTGCCTTCATTGGCCTCCTTGACCCTCTCCTCATGCTCGTACTCCAAATTATTCCATTCATCCTCACGCTGGTTGTAGTGGTTGAACAACAACCAGAAGATGATGCCAGAAAGAAAACAGGCCACAGCCAAACCGGTGTAATTCCACACCATCTTGGGGTTTCTGGAAACAGGCGAAAGGGCAATGCCTAGCGCCGATCCGAACGCATTCTGGACAAGGAAAATCGACATAATGAATGACTTCATCAGCACGGGCGCCTTGGTATAAGCGTATTCCAATCCGGTGATGGAGGCGAGAATCTCAGACATGCCCATCAAGAAATAAGCTGGTGTTTGAAGGGCAATGTGGATATTGTTGGGCACGTTTTTGTACTCTGGGGCACAGCCCATCGGGTCGTCGTAGCAGGGACCAGCCTGGTAGATAAAATGTTGCAAAACAGCAGCGTAAACCATGGAAGCAGTGCCGAACATGAACCCCCAGAAAATCTTGGTGATGGCTCTGAACGGCGTGAATCTTCTGATGAAGGGGTACACGAAACGCTCGCAAATGGGGATGAAGATGATGATGGTGATGGGGTTGATGGCCTGCAAAACGTCGTTGGGGAGTTTATGTGTATCCATATCGCCAGCCATGGAAACGAAGTTATTCGACATTTGGCCGTATGTCAACCAGTAAACGGGGTAGAAGAAGAACACTTTACAAGCGTAGAAAGCTCTCTGGACCTCGCTGACGAAAAGATCGTCCCATGGAAAGTTCTTCTCAGGATGAACGGATGGTCTTGCGGCATCGAAATTGAGTTTCGTCAAGGCCACAAAAGCACACTTGAACGTTCTGGCAATGACCTTGTCGCCAACGGGGACCTTGACATAGGCGTTTTTGCCAAACAAGAGCGCCAAAAGCACCACGGCAAAAAAGCAGAGGGGAAGAAGGAATGCAGCCCAAAAGTCCACCTCTTTTTCCAACGACGAGGTTGCAATGATCGAAAGCGAGCCGATGTTGATCATGAGGTAGAAAAGCATAAACACGTTCTGGACGGTGATGTTCGAGTCCACAATGACCTTTTCGCCGGACTTGAGTGTCTTGGTGTGTGGTCTGAATTTGGGCACCTGGTCTGCGATCAACGGTGAAACATTCGACTTGACACCGCCGGTTCCAATTCCAATAATAACCACCGCAATGACGAAACCGGCCGTGGCGCCGTCCTTGGGAATCGACGGGAGCGACGTGATGAACAAAATGAAGATTCCCACAATGTAGACCACAGAGAAAATGCAGATGGTGAGGTACTTTCCAAAGTACGTATCGGCGACCCAGGCGCCGAAAATGGGCGTCACGTAGCACCAAAACTGCCAGAAGTACGACAATGCCGTGGCTCCATGCTGGTCCAAGCCCAAACGGCCGTGTGGTGTATCGTCCGGGAGATTTTGCATGTAATTCTGAAACGGCGTCAGCAAACCGTAGTAGGAGAACCGTTCTGCCAACTCCACAAGCGCCACAAGCCAGCAAGAAAGCGGAATATTGAGGGACACCCTTCTTAGCGATTTCATTTCGTCTGAAGTGGGCTCATTGCCGTCTGAAGTGGACGGAAACGAGCTGAGCTCTTCTTTCTGCGAGCTGAGCTCCTCCTTGGGCGCCGTTTTTTCGTCGACGATGGTGATTTCAGCCATGGCAGCGGGAATTAGAAATAAGACGAATTTTTGAAAAAAGCCGGGCTCTGGCCGCTATTTATGCTTATCTACGGCGCTGAGCGCCACAATGGCTGCGAAATATTGCACGGCTGCAGCTTTGGCACGATTAGATAAACACCTCGAAAGTGGCCGGGCGAGCTGAAAAGTGGTTTTCAGGGATTAATTTTTGGAGAGTTTTGGAAAATAATGGTTTTTGAAATTCTGGCTGAACGTGCTCAGATGGCCTCGACGCAATGAGAGCCACACTTGGGCTAACTCGTCTAAGCTCAAGTCCATTGTTGAAGTTTTTCACTTTCTTTTTTCATTTCCTATTCCCTCCCTTCCCATTCGGACCTCCCACCGAACGCCGTGGATGGCTCCAGGGCAACTCGATTCACAATTCCTCTGCAAAGCGGTTATATCGTGTGGCATGGTGTGGTTGGAAAGGTGAACTTGAGGGTTTTTCTCATTAATGAAGAACTTTAGCCGGAAACGACGTTCCTAGACTTCACGAATTTCAATCCATTCTGCAAAGATCGATGTGTACTACCTAATCAGTAAAACGGCCTGGATAACACAATGCAGAGGGCACTAAGCACGTTGGAAATGCCAAGCCAAGCAATACCGTTCCGCTGTCATCGCCCGTCACGATGCCCCACTGTGCTTTCGTTTTACTTTAATTTCGGCTGATTGGCAGATCTTTGTGACTCTGCATTTCCAGGACCATCCACTAATTCAGAAAACAAAACCAAGGGTGGGCCAAGAGCCGCACGAATTGTGGATTTTGATCCCTGCTTGCGCTATCAGGCCAATTTCGGTGATGCAAGGGTTCTTAAACACGAAAGGCGGAACCCTCGGGATCTGGATGGGTAGATGCTGCTGAGATCGACATGTACAATTGCTCTGGGGCGGTGGTTTAGAGCTCGAAAAAGGGTGTTATCAGACGTTCTGTGCTATGATAAGTTGAGTTGCAGGGTGGTTTGTAGGGTGGTACTGTGTTAGCGGTAGTTTGAGTCAATGATACGGCAATTAAAAAGCTCAATAGGTCTTGAAACGTCAATAAGGTTGGAGTGGGTTCTTCTTTTTAACTGATGTCTCCTCATTAAAGTAACATACTATATCTCCATAGAAACAACCTCCAGTAAGATCTGAATATTCTCAATTCGAGATCCCCCGGTCACCTTCCCCGATAATCGACCCATAGGACATACCTGTCTTACCGCCTTCCTCAACTGACGTATCAGAAGGGGCGGAAAGTTGGGGCCTTCTTCCCTCGATTCACGGTTCTTTGAATAAGTAGTTTTCTCCGTCTTAGCAAATCTATTTAGTTTGCAAAGAGGTTCAAGTGTGTGTTTTCTTGGAGCTAGCATGCTATTGAGCTGCATCAGTTTCTCGAAGTCAGTACGTTCCCACCTTCAACGAATTAATGACCTCGTGGTGGAAGGTGTGGATACCAGTAGGCCAGGGTATGTACAGTTTACTTCTTACAGAAAGTTTATTCCTTTTGCTGAAGCATTGCTCTTCTTGCAAAATTTGCAATCTCGAACGACACTTGCTTATTTTCACTCCAAAATACCCGCCGTTCTATATGGCCTTTTGCTCACAAGACCAGAAAGGTTTATCAACTTGGAGGCTCAAAAACCTCGTACTCTCGAAACCTGAATGGGCCAACCCCGTGAAGTATCCCAAATTCCAATTTCAAAGTATTTCCCGTCTCTTTCTCCACACCCTCCATTGTCATCTTCCATTTCGCAGCCATTAACGCTCACAAGACCCTAAAAGTAACAAGCCAGATCGCCCGCCCATCCACCATCAAACTTATTTATACTCGAACACAAAGATTAAATAAACCCTCGATAACGAAAATCACAATCTTATAAGAAGCCACCCTGAATAACGGCCCCCCTCCAAAACGCATACGGCATCACCAACCTGCACAGACACCCACCACTTCCCAAGACAAACCACTTCTTTTTGCCTTAGCGAATGCTTCGGCGGGCCGATAGCGAAGAGAGTCTTCTGACGCTCATCTCAGCCGCTCAGCTGAGCCACAACCGTGAGTTCTCCCACGCCTCCGGCGATGAAAGCTCCATTTGGCTGGCTGGTTCCGAAGAAACATATTCCATCGGATCCCTTCCGCTTTTCGGATCCCGGGTCCTGACGTACACGAGAATCCGAGAACTTCCGATTTTGGCCGGCACGATGAAGCTGGAGCTTGCGTGTTTTCTCTCGACCAGCTGTGTCAGGGAAAACAAGCCTCCTTTGCTTACGTTGCATTCGAACAAGTTCCACTTTTTGGCCAGAAACGCCCCGCTTTTGACGATCTTCAGAGACGGCGCCGACTTCTGCAAAGTCTACTTCAAAATCATCTCCAACAACTTGACTTGCTATGTGTTGATCTTCGACCAGGGCGAGAAACTCTTCCTTTTCAACAACGCCTTGAAGCCCTGTCTGGACACGGTGTACAAGGGCACCAAGATCCGGATCTACGGAGCTTCGGGTGCCGCTTCAACGTACGGAAACGGCCACATCAAGGCGTTTGCGCTTTCGGACAGTTCACCCATATTGGCAGATGGGCTTATACAGCCAGAGCCGGATGCCACGATCAAGGACATCAAGATCCGCTTTTCCGAACACAGTGCGCTTTACGATGCTGTGACGAAGCAGCGGAAGACCCAGGTGTCCCAGATTCTCGGCCTGGGTGAGCCTTTGGTGAATTACCCAGTTGCCAGTTTTCTAGATCTCGGGAAACAGAAGGTGGATGGGATCAAGCTCGACGGGGCCATTCGAATCTTTGAGACGAATTTTGGAGAAGATGGGGATGTCAGTCGTGATACGCTTGTGCTTTCGGCGATGATGATGGTTTTGACCGAGCAGGAGGTCCGGAAGATGAGAGGTAACAACAAGCCGTCCTATGTGAGGCCTCCAGAGCACGGAGGTTGAGGGAAGAAAAATTTTGATGAAGAGAAATTTGCTTATTTGCTCTGGGCGATCATTGAGGAGAATGCTTAGGGCAATTGGTTCAAACGAAAAGGAGCATGAAGCTTTCGACAAGGTAGCGGTTTCTTTTAGTTTGAGACAGCAGAATCTGTCGCTAAGGAATATCAAGAAAAGTTGAAGTTTGATGTCGGTGGTGATTTTCACTTTTCAACCTGTACGAGTGGTCTTCTAGCACAGGTAACTATTATCAAAATGTGGTGCCTGCTTCCGGTGGACCAAAAAAAAACCTTCAGGGCTACTGATTTGGCTATATTGAAGCCATATTCATGACTTTATGTGAGGAGTGTTATCCAAAGACCCAAGAATTCGATTTTGGAAGTCTATTTTATAGATGAGTGTATTAATGAAATATTTGCAACGAAATGGGTGTCAAAGCTCATCCGATTACACTAAAAGCTCTCCAGCTGTTTCCTGGAGTTAATACTACCATACCAATGTAAAGCTTTTTGAAAATCGTGAAAGAACACGATTTTGAGGCCCGAAGAAAGCCTCATTTTTATGCTATATAGACTACCCAGCATTTGGTTTACCCACGAAATCCTCTCGGTGGCCAAGCTGGCTAAGGCGCGAGACTGTAATGTGATTGTAATCTTGAGATCGGGTGTTCGACTCACCCCCGGGAGATTTTGCTAGCCTTTATGGCCAAGTTGGTAAGGCACCTCACTAGTAATGAGGAGATCGTCAGTTCGAATCTGGCTGAAGGCATTATTTTTGCTTCTATCATCCTTTATACTACTCTGGATCAAACCGGAAACATTTTTATTAATCATAAAACCATCAGCTGGAGGCAGCCTTCACAGCGAGCAACTCAACCTCCTCACGCATGGTGAAGGTCAAAAGCTCGTCTCTCTCATTCGAGTCAAGGAACTCGTGTGAAACAACAAAGACGTCACCTGCTAAGGCGGAGTCATGCTTCACTTCACCTGAAATCTCGTCAAAATCTCTGAAGTACGAAACGGTAAGCTTCACATCGGGTCCGCTCGATTTAATGTATTCGTCAAACTGCTCCTCTAAGTCTTTTGTCCCTCCCATGCTGGAATTCACATAAATGTGCACGTTCTTGTGGACCTTGGCCAATTGGGCTACCAAGTAAAGACTGAGCAAGTCGGTGGAACTCAACAAATTATCATGGTCTAGAATCATTCTCACGGTGGACTGGCGGTCGGTTCTTGTAGGCTCGGTGGTAAGCAAAATGGCCATATGGCACTCGCAATTATCGTAAAGGTAGCGGTAGGACATATCGAAGTCATTCTCCTCCTCCGTCAACTCAAGAACACTCTTGACCGTGTAAGACGTAAGAAGCAAGTTAGCAGGGCCTGTGATGTGGTCACTGATAGCAGCAGCGTAGTTTCTCTGAGGCGCCAAGATGGACTTTGACGAGAAGTGCACATCCAACATGGAGCTGAAGGCCTTGACAATGGCAAGGATGGAGTGAGAATTCGTCAAATCCGTAGGAGACGATTCTGCAACCTCTGGAGCAGCACTGGAAGCCTCAAGCAAATGGGACGTTCTAGAAGTGAAAGCACGCAAGTGAATGGCCTTGACGCCGTAGTCGAAATCGTCGAAGGTCAAGTCCTTCAAAAGGGCAAGCACGTGTGGCAAGGTGTCGATCTTCCTAAGAAGAAGAAGGATATCGGAGATTTTGAAACGGCTTAAGTTGCTCATGGACAAGTCGGAAAGAGAACCCAACAACTCGCCCTCGGAATCGACATCCTTCTTGAGTGCACCTCTATGGCGGGCCACCAGCTCTCTGTAGCTCACGGGGTACGAGAGCAAGGTCAATGGGGTGGTCAAAAATGTCGTCACAAGGGTCATGACAATGAACATGGAGTAGACTCTTCTGGAGATGATGTTGGCGTTCAAACCGACATTCAACACGACAATCTCCACAATACCCTTACACGACATCAACACACCGACAGTGAGGGACTCTCTCCAAAAAAGGCCGTTGAGTTTGGCGGCAAGAAGACCACCAGAGACCTTACCAATCATGGCCAACGCAATCACACCAATGCAGTAAGCCCAGTCGATGCCTCTGTCCAAATCGCCCAAATTGACGTTCAAACCAGCCAACGCAAAGTAAATTGGAATCATCACAATGTGCACCATATCCTCTAGCTTCTCTGTAATCTTGATCACATAGCCGTTATCTCGGGGCACCAAAACACCCACCATGAAGGCGCCGAAAATAGGATGCACGCCAATGGCATCAGTATAGAAGGAAGACGTGAACACCATGGCGATAATGATCACCATCAGCAACTGAGAAGGCTCGCCTGTAGCCAACTCGTTGGTGAATCTTCTGAGGTACCATCTGAGCGCCAATCTGACCGGAAAGGCCAAAAAGATAAACCATGCGAGCGTCAAAAGCAAGATGTAAAGCGTGTTAATGCCGTTATCGGCGTTACTCAACGTGACGACCAAGGCAAGCAAAATCCAGCCCGTCAAGTCGTTCATGATACCTGCAGCCAAAACAATGGTGCCCACCCGATCTCCAATCAAGTTCAACTCGACGAGAATACGGGCCAAAACGGGGAAAGCCGTGATACACAAGGCCACGGCCACGAAAACCATGTATGTGGTGAATTGGATGCTCTGCATGCCTGGATCGTCTCTGTACTCGTTATACAAGCCCACGGCAATGGCACATCCGAGACCAAAGGGAATGGCCATGTTGATGAGCCCCACCGAAACCGCCACCTTGAAGTTTTTCTTGATGTAGTGGAGATCGACCTCCAAGCCGACAATGAACAAGAACAAGATGATACCCACGTTGGCGATCAAGGTCATGCCTGGAATCAGCTCGTCGGGGAAACAGGTATCTGAGAAATTGGGTATTCTGCCCAAAACGGTCGGTCCTAGCAAGATTCCCGCCACAACCTCCGCGATAACCTTGGGTTGTTGTAACCTTCTCATGGGCCAGTGAAGAAGCTGGCAAAGAAACAAAATGAACACCGCCTGGAAAAGAAAAAGCGTGTAAGGCGACAGCGGCACGTATTCCAACGGATTGCGGCCCAGCACGATGCCGGCCACCGACGATGTGGACACCATATGGGTTGAGGTGATAAGGAAAAGTGGTTGTTAATAGCCTGTATTTGCCAAGCCGAAAATGCGGAGACCCCAGCTTATATAGTGGAAGAGGGCAGGATGGTTTTCACGGGGGATGACCAGAAGGGGTGGAATTAAGAAAATCTTAGAAGGAGTGGTTTGAGTAATTGACTGGTTGTCGGGGTGTGGTTGTAGAGAAGTGAGATGTGAGATGGAAATTGAATGGTGCGTAGTTACACAAAGCCGGTGTGCAGAGGAACCGCCAGGGGCCAGGATCCGACAACGACCAGGATCCGTTATTACACTTTTTATTGTGAAAGTCAGCTAATTCAAATTTGAATGTTTGCTGAATGAAGAAAATAGCTTTTGCCTGGCCCGCTGGTTGCAAATGCCAGCTCATGTTGATCCTCCCCTCTTCGCGTGCATGTCGTCATAGCGTGTTTTAGGCTTGAGCATCTCCATGATTGGCTGTATTAGGGTTCAGTCGCTTTTGGAAAAACCACTTCCGTGTCTCCGGCTCGGCAATTCCAGACCCCAGATTTGCAGTTCATCTTTGAAGTCGTTTTTGAAGTTTCATTTTTGAAGTTTCATCTCGAAGTTTCATCTTCAAACATCTTCGAAGTTTCATCTTGAAGTTTCATCCAGTCACTCTGCTACGGCTGAATCGCGGTGATGGTCTTGCACTCTCGACTCCTGCGATTGTCTTTTAGACTTTGCCTTGGTCAGTGACCCGTAGCGGGGGCAGCCAAAGGCACTTTCTGGTTTTTGTTTTTTATTGCATGATGAGCTTTTAATGTTTTGTTTTTATTTCTTGTTGTTTTTATTTTTGGGCCGTCGGTGGTACCCCTCCAATCGCCTTATCAGTGGCATCTTATCAGGTGGCTGCGAATCATGCGCAGCTCTAAAAATACGACACATTACGAGGCGGTGAGGGAGGAGGGTGAAAGCATTTACATCTTTTTGAGGAAAAACTAAGAAAACGCTCTTTTCTCTGGTATTAGGGCGGCTGCGGATGTATTGGATAATGGTGTTTAGATATGGGATGACAGGGTACGGTGATTCAGCCATCAGGAAGGACAGTTTGAGTAGGTTCCAGCAAATTCACATTCTAACTGGCAAGTAGATGCCTTCCAATTCAATTATCAAGATATAAGACCTGGAGGTGAATATTGGGGAGTTTTGAGGGCATTGGTGATGTTAGCACTAAGATAGATATACATTCATCGCGGTAACGCCACGAAGAGGTGCAACTAAATCCTATGGATATCGGTTTTTGGAGTCTCTAATCAGACGAAAGCTATCTGAATTCAAACTGTAGCCCCGGAGTTGAGGAAATAGACCATTTCCAAATCACCACCCACCATGCACAACCACCCCACCTACCAAATCCCGCAATTGTCAAAACCTTTAGTAAGCTACTTTTACGACAAATGCATAAGCGAATGCACCAAAACTCACCCCAATCTACCGTCATCACCACACCTTCTAGAAGGTTCTGCATGTTTCTGCGGGCTTCTGCATGACACCCGCAGCTCCAGAAGCTTCCATGCCAGAATGGCTGCAAACTTCGAGAAGCTTCGGCATTTATCACCACAAACTATATAAGAACTGGCTCTTGCCCCAGATCTACAAAATCATCATCCAATGTTTACCGTCTCCAGATCCCCACTTTACGACTTCGACACCTTGTTCCATACTTTGGACTCGGTCAATCAGTACCAGCAGCAGCAGCTTTTGCAGCAGCAGTATGAGGCCCTGAGACCCAAGATAGTCAAGAAGGTGGAAACCGAAGACAAATACCAGATCCAGATCTTCAAGAAGCAGGGCAACTTCAACCTGTACGAAGTCAAGGTTTTGAGAAACGCCGCCTACCGCAGCAGTTTGATCAACCTTGTCATTGAATCCAGAAGAGACGACTTCCGCAGAGTGTTCCAGTTCAACTTGAACGACATCGAAGTTGGCGATATCGACTGGGAATACTTCCAAGACGACAATGTCTTGGTGTTGAACGTGCCCAAGAAGGTGAAGTACTGTGCTGACGACTATGTGAACACTTTACTTGCCAGTATGCTTGGAGCTCAAGCATGTGCACCATGTGGACATGAAAGAAAGCATAAGCACAGAAGCCACAGAAAGCTGAAGAATGAAAGAGCCGAGGCTGCCGCTAGAGCTGAGGCTGAAAAAGCTGAAAAGGCTAGAATTGAGGCTGCCAAGGCCGAAGCTGCCAGAATCGAGGCTGCTCAAATAGAGGCTGCTAGAATTGAAGCCGCTAGAATTGAAGCTGCAAAGGCGGAGGCTGCCAGGAAGGCTGAGGCTGAAAGAAAGGCCAGGGCTGAAGAGGCTAGACGTCTTGAGAAGGCCAGAAAGGAGGAAGAAAAGGCTCAGAGGGTTGCTCAGGAGAAAGCCAGAAGATTAGCTGAGGTCCGTGCCAGAAAGGAACAGGCCAAGAAGGAAAAGGCCAGATCTTCTGAGGAGGAGGCCAGAAAGGAGCAGTTGCAAAAGCAGCAGGAGTTCCTCCAGTCCCTCTTTGGAGGTTTCTTCCCTGGTGCTGTTTTCCGTGAGCCTCAAGCTGCAACCCAGGTTCCAACCGAGAAGACTCCACAAAAGCAGGCTAAGCAGGCTGTTTACGAATCTGAAGTGCCAAGTGAGCCACTCACCGATAGCGAGCCGGAATCGGAAACAGAGTCGATTCATTCCGATGATTCTACTGATTCAAGGGCCTCGTTGAAGAGAAGCGGAGAAGATCTTTCTAGTGGAGTCGACAAGCTTCATAGACACCCATCCTTGGAAGAAGTCGAGGATGAAGAGTTCGTCATGTTCAGAAAGAAGTTTGGCGAGCAGTAAGCCGTTTTGACAATGGCATTCACATAATGGCATTTTGACAATCGCATAATAAGATAATAGCATAGACAATGCATGAAGAAATTAATCATAAGCACATGTAGATATTGCTCAGCTTCCTTGTATGAACGCTGAAGTGAACAAATTTAGTGAAGAAGAGGATTTGTTCAACTAACATAGCCTCAACCTTCCTGACGTAAATGTATTGTAGCCTACGAACGCCAAGTGCAATGACTGGCAAATACCAAAGAGTCAATGGAATATGCAATTGATTCATTGTTCAGCTCCGAATTAATTGAAAGCAATAACTGTTCGATATCTCTAGTACGTTCATAGTGTTATCCTGCTCGGCTTAGCAACTTGCTTATCGATTTGATCTACATCAACATTTGAAGGAGCAAATCAATATCTGACCCATTTCGACGATTCGCTTGATATCCCAATCACAAGAAAATGTTCAGGCAGATTTAAATTACTGGCTGTCAAGAGCCGCACACAAACGTCAACAGTATTCTCAACGTTCATCATGAGGCTGACTACCGCAAGGGTGCATTAATTATGCAGCAACCTCGCTTAACCACATATTCGGACACCATTCGGTCTTTTTTTTTTTTTTCTTTTTTGTTAGAAGAGGTGGCCCGTTGCTGTTTTCTAAAAACCTCTGCATCCTATTTCCACCTTCGATGGTCAATGGCCCTGGATCCCTCCGAGACCGGTCTTCTGCAGTCTTTTCTAAATCAACAACTACACTTTCTGCAACAAGTTCATTCATCATGGAAGAATCAAGACAAACTGATGCTCGTCCAGAAGCTACCCAACCAGTCAACAACCATGACGTCAATCTCCCAGCTATCCTTTCCCTAAGCACAATTGTATCGCTAGTCCGGCTTTTCCAGCCATTCATGCTAGAATTGCAGAGCTCACAAAACTACTATCGCCTTGTGAGTTTCGTCTGGTGGACTCTGCTTTTTTGTTGTGCTGGATACCTTTTGGGCAGAACCTACGGCTGTGTTTCTGTTTGCAAGGCTGGTTCTTTCTTGGTTGCCCTTGCGTCTATATACGATTCACTTGAAGCTCCATACGCCCACCTTATCAGCCCGGTTTTGATCCAAATGGGAACATCTCTTTCGTTTACGACGTCATTCCATAGCTTTTTGTTATTCAAACCGAGACGTTTTGGTGACTTATTCGCTTCTGGTTTGATAGCCGTGGGTTTGCTTTTGAGCTTTGGTGCCGCACGGTACTCCCATGTGCCCTGGGTGATCTCTCTTCAGGGTACTTGTTTTGCCATTTGTGCAATTGCTGTGCCTCAAGTTGTTCCAGACGCTCGTGAGGAAGTGACTGTCGGTAAGAAGGAGGATTAATTGGGTGCAGATGTGCTAGACTCTCGAAATGGCGTCAATGGCTGGCACACACGGTTCTCGTTCTGAGTATAGAATGAGGGTTATTCTAGAGTGGCTATTATTTGAATCTCAGGCGGATTCTAAGTACATATAAAGAACGGTCTTGTCAACTTATCCTTATCTTGGTGGGTTAGATGCAGCCTGTTCTCTTATTATAGTTCAGGATCCTGACGTCTGTTTTCTCGAGTATCTGAAATATAATAAAACTTCATTTAATGAAATTTCTCCATCGACAGCACAATCAAGTAGTAGGTTCCGCACAATTGCATACTTCGTTTGACAGCCCCAGACGTGCATTAAACCGTGCGTTCACAATAGCACCACACACATAAGCCGAGTCTTTCTAAGCCGATCTCTGCAGCGACATTTTGCTTTATTTTAAGCAAATTCAAATAACGCTGTAACACAAAAGCACCTTTCGTCTAGAGATCCACCCCCGACTGTCCCGATCTGGTGCTGGTCTCGTAATTCCATCCTTCTGCAGTACTTTCGTAAATTCATTTTGTTATTCTTGAAGTCCATGGAGAAGACAGCAGAAGAGCCTTTAAATGTCCCACCTTCCAGAAAAGCCTTGGGTGTTTCAGATAAGCACAAACTGTGGATTGTCGTTCTTCTCCTAATATGCAATGTCCTAGCCGAGGTGGCTCTTCTTCAGCCCTACCTCCTAGAGCTTCAAAAAGCAGCAGAATTGTCAAACTCAAATTCGCTTTTTTTGTGGTTTTTTCTCTACGGCATGTGTGGCTGCTGCTTGGGTAATCAGTACGGTTTTCTGGTTATTTCCAGTGTGGGATTGCTCCTTACGGTGTTTTGGGCTGTTTCTGAGGGACTTGAGAACTCCAATTGTGACTTGCTCTTGAAGCCGAATTTACGTACTTTAGGAGCCTCGTTTGTATTTTCCAATTGCAAGTTCGCCTACGACATCTTCAAGTCCACATCTGTTGGAGGCTATCTATACGGTGGTTCGTATCTTATCGGTCTAGTACTAGCCATTGGTGCTACAAAAGTCAAGGATATTCCCTGGATCTACGTCTTCTTTAGCACCTTCTGCTTTGCTGCCTCCATAGCTGTATTTTTCACCGTTCCCAACCACCGACTCCTGCTGAAACCGCCCTCGGTGGTGAAAAAGTCAATTGGGGTTTTGGTATTGGTATTTTTGCAGCTTTTCTGGAGTATTTTTCTTTGGATGAGCAGGATATTGTTTATTATGCCAGAGGGGTTGGTACAGCTGCTGCAGCCCTTGGATGTGTTTGGTGGGTGGCTCAGTAGGTTGAGAATACCATATGTTCGTGATAGCAGAACTTCAAATCAAGAGACAGTCTGAAATTATCGAATTGAGCTATCTTAATTTAGCCGCTAACTATGAAATTTTAGTTCTAACAATACCCTCCGAATCGAACTGCTTCGTAGAAACACCCGTCCGTGAACAAAAGGCTTCGATTGTATCAAATTCAGTCCAATTTTCCAACAAGTGCCATCTCAAGGCCGTCTACCTGTAGTACATAAACATCAGTCAAAAGTCAATTTTCCCTGTAACACTTCCAAAAATCAACTTCCACATCCTGGTTCCCACCTTATCACCGCACTTACTCTATAGCAGCAATGCAGACGAATCACAAAAGGAAACGTCATCTGGACCAGCCATTTGCCTCTCAAATCTTGCTTTTTCCTAAATCCCCCAAAACCTACCAATTCCAAAGAATTCTCAATTTTTTACCCCCGAAGTCCACTTCACAATTTTTCACAAGGCCCTCACCGCACCTACATTTCTCATCCGATACCCTCACCACAGAATATCACCAATATCGCACCACTACTACTTCCACCACTTCTAGATTCCCATCTACAACACGCAATTGACGGCCCATCCTTGTCAATTAAACCGTTTTCGTGAACTCAAAAACAACCAAATTCCATTTATTAAGATTTCCTCACCATGTCCAGATCAATAGCTGTGTTTGGAGGCAACGGGTTCCTCGGACGCAAGATCTGTGAAGTGGGCGTCCGCTTGGGATGGTCGGTCACGTCTCTTTCCCGTCTGGGAAAAGCTCCAAAACCTGCTTCCCTTTCTGAACACCTGTGGATCTCCAATGTCAATTGGGTCTCGGCTGACCTCTTCAATGCTGAATCATACAAACAGCATGTGGCGGGAAAGAACGCCGTGGTGCACTCCGTGGGCATGCTTTTCGAGAATTCTGACTATAAACAAGCGATCAACTCGAACTTCAGCTTCTTGAACGACGTCCTGAGGCTTGCTGGCATGTTGAAGGGCCCTAACCCGCTTACTAGAAACCACAACCAGACATATGAGGCGGTTCAGAGAGACACCGCCGTGATGTTGGCAGACGCGTACTTGAAGGGCCTGAAGGAGGTCAAGGACCCTTCGTACGTGTACATTTCTGCCGAGATGAAACCGCCAATTGTGCCTGAGGGCTATTTGACTACTAAGCGTGAAGCCGAGTTTGAGCTTTCGTGTAAGCCAGGCCTCCGTTCTATCTTCCTTCGTCCAGGCGTCATGTACGACGAAAGCGCCCCTCTTCAAGAGAAAAGAAAGCTTTTCGGCAAGTTCTTGGGCTTGGGTTACACCTTAAAGGAAGGCATCTTGGGAGACAAGATCCCCATCTTCAACGAGCTCATACGGCCACCAGTGTCCACGGAAAAAGTGGCACTCACGCTCTACAAGAAACTCGAGGACCCGGAGGCCCAGGGCGTGGTGGGACTTGACGAAATAGTCAATTTCTAATGACGAGAGAAATCTCTAAATAATATATAAGGAAGCAGTGTCTCTTCGTCCGGCGGGGCAGCGGCTATATTAGACTGCAAAGGTGTAGCCGTTGATCATCTGATTTCTTCTTCTCAACAAGTATTTTCTGATCTCGTCGCCAATGAAAACGGTGCTGGTGAGAAAGACCAAGTGGACCAAGTCCGTGAAGGTCAAAGCTTCGGTTTGGAACACCGCTTGGAAGAAAGGAACGTAGATGGCACACATTTGGCCCAAAAGCGAACCAAGAACAGAAAGGTTGAACATGTTGTTCGTGAAACCGAGCTCAAAGACCAGTCTCGTGTAGTGGCGGCACGCCAACGCATTGAACATGTCGTACAACACGAAACACGTAAACGTCATGGTGGTGTCTCTGGCAGTGACCTGCCCGTCTTGCATCTCCTTGATGAAAATATACATGGTACCGATGATGATCATGATAGCGCTTTGTAACACCCGCTTGATCACCTGCTGGGTCAATATTTTTTCGTTTCTCTTTCTGGGTGGCTTGTTCATGATTTCAGGGTCCACGGGCTCCACACCCAACGACTGGGCTGGAGGTCCGTCCATCAAGATATTGATCCACAAGATCTGCATGGCGTTCAACGGGTTGGGCAAGCCAAAGAAGGTGGCCAAGGCGATAAGCGTCAAGGCGGCAATGGAGGTGGAGAGCTGGAAGGTGATGAAGTTTTGGATGTTGTAGAAAATGCCTTTTCCTTCTTCGATGGCATTCAAGATGGTGGAGAAGTCGTCGTCCGTAAGCACCATGTCGGCGGCTTCCTTGGCGACATCGGTACCGTTTCTACCCATGGCAATACCAATGTCGGCAAGTTTCAAAGCTGGAGCGTCGTTGACACCGTCACCGGTCATGGCCACAACGTCACCGCGTCTTTGCAACGCCTTGACAATGGTGACCTTATGCTCTGGGGTGGTTCTGGCGAAAACAGAGACATTGTGGATGGCGTTACTCAAACTCTCCTCGGACAATCTGTCCAACTGGTCACCGGTCAATACAGAGTCCTTGCCGGAGATGGGGATGCCGATCTGCTTGGCGATGTTGGTGGCAGTACTAGGAGAGTCACCGGTAATCATGATGACGTGAACTCCTCCTTTCATCAACTGGCTGATGGACTTGGCCACGTTGGGTCTTGGAGGGTCTTTCATGCCCACCAAGCCGCAGAAGGTCATGTCGGAGGTGATGGAGTGCTCTTTTTCAACGTCCAACTTGGAGTTGTTTCTGGCAAAGGCCAAGACTCGAAGACCCTCGGAAGACAAGGCCAGGGCTCTTTCGTGAATTTTGTCCTTCAAGGCGTCGGTCAACGGCTTGACGTTGCCCTGCTCGTCCAAGTACTTGTCCAGGTGTTTGAGAATGGCCTCGTTGGCGCCCTTGACAAACGTCTCAGAACGAGAAGTGTCGCCGCCATGGGCAGATACAGCCATGTACTTTCTATCAGAGGAAAAAGGAAGCTCGCTGTCACGCTCCTTGGTGCCACGGAGGTCGTCTAGGCCAAAGTGGGGCAAAGCTTCAAGCAAGGCGATATCGGAGGGGTTGCCCACGTAGGCCTCGTTATCGTTGGAGTAGCGGGCATTGTTGCAGATGTTGCCGACCTCAAGGACTTTCCTGATGTTGGGGGTCAACTTGTCGTGGAGGGTCTTGTCGTCCAATTTTTCCACAATCAAGTAGGGGCTGTTGAAGGAGCCCTGGAAGTCAAAGGCCCAGATTTTGGTGACGGTCATGTGGTTCTGGGTCAAGGTGCCCGTTTTGTCGGAGCAGATGACGTTGACGGAGCCCAAGGTCTCGACGGAGGGCAAGCGGCGCACGATGGCCTTTCTTTTGGCCATTCTGAGCACTCCAAGCGCCAAAGTGACCGTGACGATGATGGGCAAGCCCTCTGGAATGGCCGCCACGGCCAACGACACGGAGATCTGGAACATGTCCAACCACTCGCGGCCCTGGACGATTCCGAGCAAGCAGATGGTGCCAATCACAGCAAAACTGAACACAGACAAATCCTTGCCGAGTCTGTCCATGGCCTGCTGCAACGGGGTCTTGGGTTTCTCGATCTCCGACATCATCTCGAACACAGCGCCAAACTCCGTCCGGGAGCCCGTGGCCACGACGATTCCGGACCCGTGGCCGTCTCTGACCAACGTGCCCATGAACGCTATCGAGGAACGCTCCGTCACCGGGACGTCCTTTGTGACATCACCCGTATGATCCAGCGGCGAAATCGAACGGAGCGTCTTCTTCACGGGGCTCGTTTCGCCCGTCAAGTTGCTCTCGTCAATCGCCAAGTGCACAGCGTCCGTCAAACGCACATCTGCTGGAATCCGGTCGCCCTGACTAAAGTGCACCAAATCGCCCGGCACCAAGTGGGACGCCAACACCGTCAGCGTGTTGCCGTTACGTGTCAACTTGGCCTCGGCAGGCACCAAGCGGTTGAGCGCCTCAAGCGACTTCTCCAGGCGGTACTCTTGAACAAAACCCACCGTGACCACGATGGTGATGGCGAGCGAAATGGAGACGGCGTCGTCGACGTTGCCCATCCAAAACGAGATCACCGCCAGGCCGATCAAAAGCAAAATCAACGGGTCGTTGAACGCCTGCAAAAACTTCCACGCCACCAGCTCCTTCTCGCCCTGTTGGAGCTCGTTGTCTCCGTGAACCAGGCGCCTTACGAGGATGTCCTGGGTGCTGTGAAGGCCCTGGCGGGCGTCGGTGGCGAACTGGTTCAACACTTCGGCCACGTCGGTCTGCGCCCATCGCGCCAGCGGCGTCGTTCGCCCTTGTGGTTTTTCCATTAGGTGTTGATGGTGAGAAAGATAATGAAATATCTGTACTGCCTGGTAGGCGGCGGTGCGACTCGATGGGACGGTGTTGGGGTGTTTATGTCGGGGTGTAGGGGTGTTTCGGGCTTTTTGAAGAGTGTTTTGGAATCGGGGCGACGAGGCGGTTACGAATACGGCGTTGGTTTTGGATTTACTTGTACAGGGGGTTGATTACTGGGGGTTGTGCTGGTAACTGGGTAGGGTTGTTCGCACTGCGCAGGCAGGACGCCTGAGGTGCAGCGGCACTGAGTTGATTTGGGATTTTGGAGATTTTGAAAAAACGGTTGAAGAGGCGGCGACGTGAGGATTCCAGATCACCAATTAGAACCACGATCCATGCGTTGGTTCAGATTTCATAGCGGGCTCTGCCCCAGGGCGTGCACTTGGCATACCGGCCTGCGTGACGTGCCACGGGCCAAAACACGCTGCAGTGGGAATTTGAAAAATCCAAAACCACCACTGTATTCGTCGAGACCCGAGGATTCCAAAAATGCCCTCGGATCCGCCATACCTCCAATACTTGCAGACCTACACCGCCCCGCGTCGGTGTGGCCCTGTCTGCGCGCGGGCTTCTCTGCGCAGCGGACTCCAGGGCACCATTTCTTGCAGCTTCACAGGCCACTGCCCAAGCCCACCAGTGTCGTTTTTCGATCCAGAAAAACGGTCACATCCGGAGCGGCGCTGATTTTCAAAACCTCAAATCTCCAATTCCTCAATTCCTCAAATTCTCCATATTCCCTTGACGTCTCGGGTTCCTTCGCTGCAGACCCCCCACCAGGCGGTGCAGCACAGCGACTCTCACGCTCTGAAGTTACTGCAATTCGGCCTCCACGGCTCCAGATGCGTTTCTTGCTGATTACGGTGATTTCCAAGCAGGATTTCCAAGCAGGGTCATCGAAAAAGAGCCCTGGGGCGCTGCAGCGAGAATACCCAGTCCGAGCTGGCGAAGCCGACAGGGAAGGTTGAGGGAGGTTACTTTTTGAATTTGATTTCCAGCCGATTCGGAATTGTCTGCTGCAAAATGTCTGCAAAATGTCGGGTTTTGGTGATCCTTTCTCTGGAGGTGTCATTCATGCGGGCCTGCTGGTTTCTTTTTGCACCCACCGGTTGACAACACCTTCAAGGGGGAAATTTCACCGATTTGATTCACCGCTTTTTCCGGTTTCTTCACCGCTTTCCGTTTCCGTAATATCGTTGCCTGCCCGGCTCGGAAACACTTTTTTCCTCCTTGTTCCGTCGTTCTCTTGTGCTTTCTTGGACCTACCCGCACTGTATGGCTCAGCTCGCTAACGCCGAGAGACCCACAGACGGGTTTTTCCCCACGCCGCCGAAACACGCCAAAATTGGTACCGCTGTATTCGTCTCCTTTTTCTGATTTCAAATATGTCCTTTAAACTCCCGTAGCTCGTCTGCTCGTCGAGTTAACCCGGCATTTCGCGTCTTGGGGGCCCTGGAGGCGCAGTTTGGCGCTACACAGCGCAACGGGCCGTACGGCGCAAGAGCTCGCGTTGGACAAACCCGCCAACCGAGCAACCGTGACAATGGCTTTTTCGGCAGCAAAAGGTGGAAAATCACAAATCCGGAAAATCGCTAAAAATTTTTGCTAAGCGAGAAAATAAAAGTTTCCCAAAGCCCCGCCGCCAAAACCCGAGATGGAATAGATAAGCACATCTCCGAGGCTCCGAGGAAGCTGGATTTTTCACCTTCAAGCGGAAAGTGTAGGCGGAGTGGCCTGGCTTGGCACAAAATGACCCCTAATGGACGCGGCTGATACATGAGGCCGTTGATTCGATAGAGTTGTAGCGTTTGGTTTGAAGCCGCACAATATGGAAAGGACATTTGGTTTGGTGAAATCAAGGGATTCAGTTCTTTGGCTTTTTGGGTTATGTTTCTAGAACCCTGTATCATTCTTCTAGATCAGCCTTCTAGAAAACCTCCAGTCTTCACCTCGTATGCCTATCTTTCCTCACCTACTTGACCAAACCAGCATAGCACGCATGCGTAGACACCAAAAAACAAAAAAGTTGCCTGTAACTTTGCTGTACGTTGAAACGCCGGTTATGAGCCCAGGTGGGATTTCCATGACACCATGATTTGTCGAAGTTTAGAAGCACTGAAGGCTGGTGGGAGCTCTGTTGGTGCCTGGATCAATGAGCTCTGACATTGACAGCTTCCGGGCGCCAAGTCAGACTTAGCTAATTGGCAGAAATTCGAAAAACCAGCCGAATTGAAGCTGCGGCATTGGCTGTAGCGTTTGGTGCGTTTGGCTGCAATTGGCTGCAAATTACACCACCTTTTACGAATCATGTAGTGACTTTGTGGCTAATTCACAACCTCAAAGGCTGCTTTCGACAACCGGTTCATCACCGCAAGCCCATCGCCGGTCTCCTCCACGCCTTCGACCAAAATAAGCTCCACTCCCATCTCATCCACCTCTCGCAACATCTTAAACAAATTATGGGCCATTTCCGTGGCGCTGCTGCCCAAATTTCTCTCTGTAGCGCCTGTCAAACCAAGCTCTTCTGTACTGCCAAACTGACCTCCTCGAAGAAGCGCCATTTTCGAAGTTTCAACGGTATTTCTCTCTAGCCACTTTTTCACAGCAGCATTGCCGTCTTTGCAGCCCTCAAAAAGCACCACTTTCGCCGTGGGCAGGTAGTGTCTATATTTCATTCCTGGCGTCCTCACCACTTCTGTCTTACCAGCAGTTTTCTTCGCCATGACGATATTTTCCCATACACCGCCACATTTACGGATGTCCTCTGCAGAAACGCCACCTGGACGAAGCAACATAGGTGGATCCGAGAGACCATCCACCACCGTAGATTCAACTCCCACATCACAGGCTCCTCCATCGAGAATATACGGAATACGGCCATTGAGGTCGTGGAAAACGTGACTAGCCATAGTCGGGCTGGGTCTTGTGGATGCATTGGCTGAAGGAGCCGCCAAAGGAGTATCACTGTGTGCAATTAGAGCTCGGGCCACTGGATGTGATGGCATTCTGACTCCCACTGTATTCTGACCTGCTGTGGTCAAACTCAGCACAGGAGAACCTTCTTCCACGGGCAAAAGGATCGTCAAAGGGCCCGGCCAGAATCTTTCTATCAATTTTTCATAGACAGCCGGGATCTTATGCAGCTTAGGGAGAAGTATTCTTTCAATCTGTTCCTGACTGGATACATGCACTATGAGAGGGTTGTCTGCTGGTCTGTTTTTGGCAGCGTAAATGGCACGGACGCTCTCGTCACAAAGAGCAGATCCGCCGAGTCCATAGACGGTTTCTGTAGGGAAAGCCACCACATGACCTGGTTTCTGGACTTCTTGAGATGCAATTTCTAGGTTTTGTTTGGTGGTGGGATCGGAAATGTCCGGCATGTTGCCGCTGAAGGCAATCAGCGAGATGGAAACCGGTAGGATTTTGGTGGAAAGTGTCATTTTGAAAAATCTGTGGAGGTTTCTTTGCATCCAAAGATGACGATTAGATAAAGATCTGGAGACCAGGCATCGAGGTCATCTCGGCGTATGCAGGTCGCAGCGATTGGTAAGACTCATTTGACCAGACCGCTTCAGGGAATATGGAAAAAAAGTTTTTTGGAAATCGGGAATTTTCTATTTGCAATTGTCCTTTTGAGGATATTTGGATGAAAAATGGGTTCGATAAGAGTTGGTGGTGCAAAATTCCAGTGGGAGATCGTATCGATTACGTTAAACCTCAGGCATCCACGGTTCTGGTGACTCACTAGTCACTTTAAAACACAATGTTTTCAGTGAGAATCTTCTTTTCGTCATCATCGAGGGCTTCGTAGTACTGCTGGAAGTTGCCCAAGTTCTTGGAAACACATTCCTTGAAGAATTGAAGCAACATCTCCTTCACGGTCTGGTCTCCTACAGGAGCAGCATCGTCCTCTTCTTCGTTATCAGAATCCACATACGACTTCAACTTGTCGTACGTAGGGACTCCAATGTCGTCGAGATCTTCCCAATCGCCTGCATCGCCCTCGTCTCCTTCATCCTCTTGCTTGTCTAGATTGTAATCCTCGGCATTAGGCTGTTGACACTGAAATCCAAGCTCGTTGGCAAGTAACTTCAAGATCTTCACAGGAGCTGGAATCTGCGTGTACTTCTGTGGCATGGTCTTTGCCCTTGATCTGGTGATGATCAAGTCGCCTTCGTATGGGATAATGTCGCCATCGACAATCATAGAAGAAACACGAGTGTCGTTTATCGAGTATAATTTGCCCAACGCAAGAACATTCTGTTGGATCTTCTCGTAGCCTCTAGTAACCTCGAATGCACTGAACCAGATCGGTAAAACAGCCTCTAGGCCGCTGCGCTGCTGCTGAGTCTCCGGCATCACCACCTCAACTGCAGTAAGGGCATTGATCAAGTTTTCTGGCGAGGCGTTGAGCACAAGTTTACAGAAGACCATGATGAGGTTTTCGATCGTCACGACAGCCTTGGCAATAACCAATCTTCTTACAGTAGCCCGAGCAACTGATAGAAGAAGTCGTTGTCAAGATACGACTGGAAGTTTTCAAACAACGATGCAACGATGAGACCACAATTCATGGCTGCACTATCAGAGAGCTCTGGTGACAAGAACTTACCAGCGACAGCGACAAGGATATTCATACCAGACTCGTTGGTGGTGGTATCATTGTACTCCACGAAATATGTGGGTGCTTTCTGCAAGAGATTGTTAAACACTTCAGCAGCACTTTGAAGAATCTGGTCATCACTGGCTCTAAGTATGAGTTTTCTAAGAACAGGGAATGCAAAATCGAACACCTCCTTTGGAAACGTATTGGCCTGCTCAGTCTGGGAGGGAGCAGCCAGTAAGATGTTACCCAAAAGTTCGAGGGCCAAATTGAGGGTTGGTGAATACTCAACGGCTTCTGAGGAGGCCGCCTCGTCAATGATGCGGATCACAAATGGAAGCAGCCTGTCGCATACTTGAAGGTACTCGGTCATGGTGACTGACTTCAACAATGTCTCAAGACACTCGGCCGAATCTATCGTAAGCTGAATGTTGGCTGGATCTTTGAAAGCAGCCTGGATGATGATGTCTATTATGGAGTGGCTATCGCTGATCTTGAGATTAAATGCATTGCGTTGATCAACGTCGATAGCCACAGAGATGGCCTCCATTATGACTGGTGGGGTGTCTTCCTCGCTATCCTCAAGTAAACCGTAAGCGAGTTGAACAATCTGTCTCTGCAGCTCAGGTCCCATCAATGATAAGTCAAAATCAGGAACTTGTTTCCAGAAAGTAGCAGCAACTAGTGTACTTGCTTGCACGATCTTGTAATCATCGTCCGTCAAGGAAGCAGCAAACGCGTAGGTATTTTTAAACTGAGCAGCGCCAAAGTCATTCACCGAAAGCTTGTCGGCAAACTTCTCTATGAACTTCGGAAGAAGAATGAAGATTCTTGAGAGCAAGAGCGGGTGAGCCTTTGAGTCGATCAGTGCGTTGATGCTGGAAAGGTATTGTGACAAGGGGAGATCTGCTCCAATTGAGTCAGCCTGCTCGTTCAGGAAACACGATTCTGCAATTAATAAGTAAGCCTCGCGGGCTTTCCAGTCAAGTGACAGATCCACGGCCTGGGCTTTGATAAAATTGAACAACTGAGAGGCATCATTATCGCCGAGGTCCATGACGTAGTCTCTCACGGCATCCCTGACGGTAATAGCACCCAAAAGGCCAGTTATTTCAGTCACATAGAGATTGAAGTCAGCGAGGTACTCTTCGGCGTTTTCCTCCAGCAAAACAGAACATTGAACAATGCTGCGTGTGAGTTCTTCAAACACTTCAACGGGGAAATTCAGCGTGAGAGGAATGAACTCCTGGATAAGAGCCAATGTGGGCAAAAGCTCGGCAATGTTGTTTGTCAAGGCACGAGCAGGGTCGTCCAAATCCTCAGACTTCACGAAAGGAGCATTTTCACCATCCACACCGAAGACCTTGTAGGCATTAGAGGAGAACGTAAGGTCCTGAAGCAAGAGTCGAAGCACGTCTCTCACCACGTCTTTGCTGACGCGCTTTCTGTACGTGCTCAAGATGTTGGCAATCACCTTGTAAATGTGAGTTCTGAGGTAGATTTCAGCAAGATCCACAGAATTCGCCGTGGCAGCATTCAGCTGCTGTAGTAGCTGGCCAGTGAGAACAAACATCTGCGCTATGTGCTCAGTGACGGCTGACTTGCGTTCTGGCGATTCCACGGCCTCGGCACTCAGCAATGTATTGTAAACGGTGAGGTACAACTTAAGAGCACTGGTCTTGATAGAAGCAGGCAAGGATTCCTGGCTCAACAAGTTCGTAATATACGAAAGAAGCTGTGCACCGACGCCACCTTCCCAGAATTGCTCCTCCGTAATAAGATCATCGAACAAGTCGGTCAACACGGATAAACTGCCAATTACGGCCGTGTGGTTGGTCAAATCACGGGCCAAGTCGTACAAGCGAACAAACAAATCAGGCCATTCGTCCGGGTAGTCGGCAGCTGCAATTTGCACAATCACGTAAGCAGCACCGGATCTGATTTTGGAACTGGTGTCTGAAGAAACCAAGCGGATCAAGGATCCACGGATATCCTCCTTGAGTTTCTGGTCAATTGGTGGTCCCACAAACAGCGAAAACCCCATCGACCAGTATTTCGGCACCAATCGCTTCAAATGCAAAAGACACGCCTGTCTGATATCGATTCTGTCACTTCCAGAACACGCGCCTTGGATGAGCTCAAAAGCAACCTGATTGGCACTTTCATTGACTAATTTGTTGAATTGAAGCTCTGCTGCAGTACGCCTGTTATTATCTGGGCTGTTTTGGTCAGAGACCAATGCCAAGATAGCGTTGCTAGACATGGTAGTGAAGATCAAGAAGTTGTGGTTGTGAAGAGCGTGTTGAGGCGCGTGATGGCGTGCACGTGAGCACTGATCCGGGCAATGCCCACATTTTCTTCATTTTTCTTAAAAAGGGGTATTTGGATTCTTGGATTAATTGGGCAGTCTTGCTTAAGTGGATGGGGAAGATGTGGTGTGGATTTGTGGTTGCTCAGTGCGGTGAGGTAGTACAGGTGGTTCAGTTGACTGTTGAGTTACATAGTCATTATATTTAATTTTGATTAGAAACTCTATCGATCTATTTGAAATGACGTCTGGATGACAAAACAATGTCAGAACTGCTATCATCGGCTTGTCTGATATGGTTCAGTTGCCTGATCTATATGTATCTTTCGCAGCCATAATAGCCTACGAATGCATGGTGCAGATGCATGCTACAGTGATTTGAATAAATTTCATTCATCAGTCAATTAAGCTTGAATGTAAATGGATTGACCGTTGTTTTTGGCGATCTCATGAACTCATGGCTCTCACTCAGTGTGGACGAATTGGTAAGGAGTCCTTGAACGAAGACCCCTGAATACAAATTGGGCCTCAAGGTTTCCAAGGTCGTATTAAGGGGAATTTACATAGTCAGTAAGGAACCCTAGCCTGCGGACTTGGATAGGAGAGCTTAATTATGAGAAGCCTGAATCTCTAAGCCCGTTATTCAAGGATCCTTTCCAAGGCATAATTGGTAGACTAAACGAGAAATTGTAGCCAATAGTGTGAAACAACACTTTTGTTTTAAAGGTATTTCAAGTACAAAATGTCATTCGACAGTTCCTCATTTTCTGAGAGGCAGTGCTGGATTCTCAACACTTCAACAAGAAGATGCCAAAACTTGAGCCAACAAAATCATTACATATTCAAATCTTCCTGAAAATTAAACCCTCCAAATCAAGCAACATTTCCACTTTTCGTCGACCGAAGATCTCTCATAATTAACGTCACCTACCTTATCTCGCGTTTCGCAGCCACGGTTCGAGCCACAATTCAACAAACTTCTCATGTAATTGTGAAAGATCAAAAAAGATCAAATTTTTGAAGATCTGCAAAACCATCTTCACGCCCCAAAAACTCTCCGTAGTGGAGAAGCAGCCTTATCTTCAAACCGTGACTGGTCCCTGCATATTTCGCTCCACCTGTCAGGAAATCTCGAATATCAACTACTTCCCTAAAATGGACGCTATCAGTGGACAAGACCTCAACGGCGTTTTCAAAGGCGCCAACTTGGCTGTGGCTGCTCTTTCCGTATGTGATTCAGATCTTGATGAAAAAGCAATACTAACCCCAGGTTCTTTCGGGATTATCCCAGCTTTTCTCCGGCGTGTATGTATAACAGGATAGTCGAATTATTCGGGAACGCGTTGGAAATACGTGTCCAAACTCTGTCAGCATGATAAGTCATCATCCAGCTTTTCATCCATGTTACTAACTCCAGTCAATCGGTATGTTTTGGAAAATATGATCTCCTCCTCAATCCCACTAACCCCAGTTCATTATCGGTATCTATATCATCGGATTCGGTGCCGTCCTAGGTCTACTCGGTATGTCAATCAGATTCCATCTTCCCCTTCCCACTAACAGCAGAATTCCGTGTTCCCAGCGAGGCCTACACGTATGGCCTGTTCCTCTTTTCCTTTATCGGAAGAGGCGTTTGTATGTATCTTGTTCCGCCACTTTTGCCCCTCCTTCTAACCGCCAGTTTACACGCTTATCGGCGCCAGCATAAACGGAGCGCTGTGGTTCCGTCTCTTTGCCGGCATCTTGATCTTCGTCATTGGTTTGGTGTACATTGCCTTGGAGGCTGTGCCCAGCATCTCGCCACCAGAAAATATGAGCCCAGAGGGCATCTCCATCGGTGTCCAGGACGAAGACGTCGTTTAATAGAAAAAATCGTCTCAGGCCACCTGTAGATCCGTCTTTTGGAACCTTGTTGATAGTTATTGTCTGTGCGCTTAGACGCAGGACATGCAGATATCACCATTCTTGCTCTTTACACCCAAACTTTATCGCCAATTCACCTGTTTACATTGATTCCTTCATAACGGGCAATCGCCCGATCTATTGAAAACATCCCATACACATACTGATTTGCATCTTCCCATATTATCATCTTCCACAATGTCGCTGGAGTCAGGGGACTCCACCAAAGCTTCACTTACATCATTTACCATCCCCAGATCATCCTTTACAGCATTTAGGCTCCTGTACGCTCCTGCCCATGAAGCCGGCGAACTATCCAAAGTCATATATCTAGGAGCCATTCCAAAAGCATGGTACGGTGGAAAACAGTACGGGCTCGTAGCCAACACTGTGAAACGTGCCAAAAAGAAGATACGGCTGAAGTGGAAGGGGTCGTATAAGATTATAGACCATTCTATCAAGCTGAGTGTGACTCAAAATCTGTATTGGACGAACCAGCAGCACGAATGGACCGAGGAGAATCCAGATGATGCGTTTTCTGGTGATTTTCTAGATCCGTGCTTGAACGAGGAACTTCAAGAGATCGAGTTTCCAGATGAACATCCTCAAGATGACGATCTGGAGATACCTGGTGGCTTGAGCCCTGTGGCCTCTGCGGTTTCTGAGGAAGGACCTACCGTGGATTTTGATGACCACAACGAGCTTCTCTTTAATCAGGCATTCAACAATAGTGGCTCCGAGGGTCTGTTTGTTAGTGAGTACGACGGGCCTAGGCTCTTTTTACCACGTCACTCTTTTGTTGATGAAGAGAGGGATGCTGAAGATAATGATCATCTTGAAGGCTCAACGGTCCATGCCTCTGGAGAGAATCTCAAACCGATTTTGGTAGATTCGAAAACCCAGCATCTTCAGCCCCATCGTGTCACTTTCGACCCCAGCGCTCGTAGCTCCCGTGGGTCCAGCATGGCTTTTGCAACTCCAGTGCCTGAAAACGAAGCCAGGCGCCAGGAACTAGAAAACGAATATATCAAGGCGAAGAAAAAGCATCTTCAAAAATTGAAGAAAGTCGGCGGATTGGCCAAGAAAGGCGGCAGCAAAGCGAGAAGCAAGGGCGCAAGGGTCAAGCTGAAGGTCGCTCGGCGAATCATGAGCAAGTTTAAGCCAGGCCAGATTCTCAGGGTTGACAGAATGCTAGTTCAATTGCTGAAATGCGAGGATAACTTTCTGGAAATGCACTACAACGAGGAGCTGTTTGGAAAGCTCAGAATCACAGACCGCTGGAGAGAATATAACGTTGTGCTTCGAAAAGCAGACGACCTGCTGGCGCTTCTTGTTTTACAATTCTACGATCCTAAGAAGGGCGACAACTTTGACGAAAAGCCTCTTCACAAAATGAAACTATTGCCTGGAGCAAAGATCGGATTTTACAGTAACAACGACAAGACCATTAGTGTCACTGTGCCGAAGGAGTGGGGCGTGAGAATAGCGATCATGAACACGAAGTACGAAAGTGTTGCTTACAGATGGCTTTTTGTGGTCAACGGAATCCTAGAAGACGAGCAACCTTGTATTTTCAACGTCACCCTTCCAGGATTGCGTCAGGGTATCAGGATCCCCATGACCCCTACTGTCTTGAGAGATCTCAAGCAAACACAGCATAGCATAGAGGTATCGAGTTTAGACTTTGGCTACCATATCTCGCCCGGTGTTCTTCCGATGTACCTTCGAGACAAGATATATCGGAAGCTCAACCATGCTGCTCGCTTTGACGAATCGGTCAAGAACTGGCTAGCTGAGAACCCAGATCCTTGGTTCTGCTTTAAGTTCTATGATCGTTTAGAGTGGGCTCCGCCAAACAGCATGATATTTTACGTGATGCACAAGCTCATGCATCAAACTTACGAGTTACAGCTCCGCCAGGTCAGCAGACCACTTATCAGCGTAAATGATAAGAAAGGAGTGACGTGGATACGGCCGTATCCGGTAGAAGGCTATCTCGGTAGAGCCACCAACACAGCTGGTAAGGATCTCGCCAATATGACGCCGTACTACAAACTTGGGTATTTTTTCACGGTGGACCATATGTTCTTTTTCACGAAGCTTTTCGAAGGCCGTCCTCCTTCACCTAATAACGAATCCGATTGTCTACAGGTTGACGACGAAGATTTCCGTCAACTACCGTCCTTTTTTGTGAAAGACCCGTTTGAGGTCGATAAGCATGGCCACATTCCATGGCTCAATCAGCCGAATTTCGAGGCTCGAGACAAACACATAGTTGATGAGCTTGAGCGCAGAATAGGGCAAATCGCGAAAGCTGGTGGTGTGGTGGACCTTCTTCAGGTAAAGTCCATTGACCCTTATCCTTACGACCAATTGTACAATAAGCAGTTGTACTTTCATGCATTCTTCTGGCACGGTGTTGCAGAGGACTTAGAAGGAGAGGAATTTCTAGATTGTGTGTTCCAGATTGAACTCACTAATGGCACCAAGTTCCGGTTGATGGCTCACAATCAGACCATACGTGACGAATGGGTTGCTCGGCTTCGGGACATTGTCAGTTTCTATCGTATGCTTGAAGCATGCAGAATTGCCAAAGCCACAGAGATCAGAAAAGCGAACATGAAGAGACTTCAGTACAGCGAGTACGTGGACTCCAATTTTGTGAACGAGTACCACGGCTTTGAAAACGCTTATTCAGTTGCCAATGAGCAGATCTTTAATTTGAACGGTTTGGCAATGTCGCAGTGCATCTTGATGAGCGGGTACTTATTCATGAAGCACAAGAAGCATGCCAATTTCGGCTCGCTATACGTTGTTTTGATTCCTGGCTACCTCATTTTATTTTCCTTGGCTAGAAGGTCAAAGGCTACTGGGATGCTCAAGAGACGGCCTTGTTACGAGCACTACTTCACAATTCCTGTTTCGGAATGCTTCGTCTACCTGGGCAACCAGACTGTTTTTGATTTGATAGAGTACGACAGCGGAAATCAAGAGAAGATCTCTGGACACAACCAGCTTCCCAGAATATATCCCGATGGCTGGAAGCTGTGTGAAGAGGAATCACAGCTTTGTTTCACCCTTTGGTTCGGTCAAAAGAGAAAGCTTCGTCACCAGTTGGAGGTGGCCTCTAATCCAGGCTTGATCAAGATGATCAGGCTACTTGGGCTCACAGGAAAGAACATGGTTTTCATGGCCCGGTCCCGGCAATTGAGAGAGGCGTGGGTGAACCGTCTACTTCTCGAAATCAACCGGTTTTCCGGCGCCCTATAGTTATAGAACTTGCATTAATTATTACACGGGAGAACTAAAGAGAGTTCATGACTTTGTTGATGAGCTCGCAGTCCAGATCCTCGTCGGAGTCGGAGTCGGATTCCGGTTCTAAATCGATGATTTTCATCATTTCTGCCAACTTATCCAGAGAAGCATTGTGATGCTTGTTGATTTCGATTTCAGAACCAACTTTGGTGGACTCGTCGGAGGATGGCGAGTTTTTCTGTAGACGAAGTGGACTGGTGGGTCTGGATAATGGTGATATTTCGTCGGAATACACCTGGAGACCTCCATAATTAAGAGTGCCTCTTTCTGGGCTTCTTTCTGGAATTTCTGGTGTGAATTCCGAACAGGACTCCATGATAGGTGAAACTCTGGTTTTGGGTTTTTGGGGAACTGGCATTTCTATCGGTTTGGCGATATCTGGAAGTCTGATAGTGGACGAGAAGATATTGGGTGGAAAAATCATCAGGGTGTCTGAAATGGCGATTCCCCATTTTTCAATGATGGAGCTTGTTTCCGAATGTAACCTGACATTGAAGGAAACCCCAGGGCCCGAAACAGAAACCTGAAGAACCGACGGAATCGGTGTATTAATTATGGTTTCTTGAGATAAAGGCACCATCACGAACTGGGGAGGTTCGTTAGCAGACCAGACCACAAGGTAGTTGGTGAAAAGATAGACGTTTTTGAGCTCGAAAGCACCGTTTTTGTCCGTACTCACCAAAAGCTGGTCAGCCAATCTCAAACTTCCCAAAGAAACAAGCATAGAGAGATCAAACCCAGGAGCATGGTTGATCATGTGCTGAATAAACGCCAGTTTGAGCTCTTCTGGAGGAATGGAGCCGTGGACTGAAACTCTGACTGAAGCTGTGGCGGCCGTTTTGACACTAGTATTTGAAAAAAGCGAAGAGGGCCTGCTGGGCGGTTTTGTTTCGATTTTGAGCGGCACCTTGGGAACCGGTTTTGACTGAGGAAGAAGTTCCGGCAAACTTTCGGAAAACGAGGGCCGACCGGCAGCCTGGTTGTTGATTTTCGCTGGATCAAGGGTCCTCGGTTCGTCGAAACGGGTGAGTTTCATGGAAAGACGAAGATCGTCGTTCAAGTCGTCCAAAAACGCATTATTCGAAGGAACAGCCATGGGAGATTCGTGCTTTGCAGAACAAAGCGGGCCGTTGCAGTGTGGGAAAACAGCATTCATCATTTCTGCGATCGAGCTGGCTTTGCAGAGCTGTCTGTTCTGGAGCTTTTTCTCCAACTCATGATTCACTGCTGTTCTCAAACACTCCTCATGAACCCTGTCTCCACACAGAAGAGGCACGAGTTTTTCAAGGTAGAGCGTCGTTTCAAGCAGCTCCTCGCAGATGAAACAAGTATCGATTTCTGTCGTATTTGGCTGGCGATTGGCGGTTGCAAAATACGGTTTTACCCTAGGACCTGGCGATCGAGGACCCAACGAGTGCTCAAACAAAGGACTATCGGGATCCATACTCGCCCATTTGGCCCTTTGTGGCGGTGGCGGTGGAGGAAGCGTAAGGTCCCCCAAAGTTATATCTTTCTGGTCTGTAAGCGGAGTGAAATAGACATCATCGTACACATCAAGAGGTGTGAGAAAATCGGCATCTGGAGTAGTTGGGGTCCGTTCCGGTGTGGAGGGTGAGGCTGACAGCGACCTCAGCTTGTAAAGAGAGCGGAGTTTCACCTTCCACTTGACAGGGGTGGAGATTTTGGTCGGTGTGGCTGTTCTCGACATGGGTATTTCGTTGGATATCCAGCCGGAGGTGTTCAATATATAAGATTTGCAAGGATGTACAATATGAGACAGTCCTGAGCCGCTCACCGGAGAGCGGGCGTCTCAAGAAGGCATGGGCGGCGCATCAAGGTTGAAAAATATTAGGGGCACCGTAGGTTTCTGCAAGTGATATATGTGTTTCTGCACGGTTTAGAAGTGGGCTGCACGATTGCAATGGTCCCTGCACGGTTGAGATGGGAGATGCATATTTGAGAGAGCTGCTGCACATTTGAGAGAGCTGCTGCACATTTGACGCTAGGCTGGGAAAATCGCTGCAAGACTGAGAGAGTACGGCGAAGATGTATACCCAATGCATCCAAGACTTACAGAATCCCAAACACACAAAAATTGGCAGGAGGTATTTCCCCGATTTCCAGGAGGGACAGTTGAAAAATTTTTATAGAAAGATTGGCTATTTCAGTAGATTTTCATGTTCTCTTTATGCTACATTTCACTCTCTCAAGGCTCGTTTCGCCGAGTCACAATGCGGCTCGACCTCATGCACCTTCGTTTCATCTCTTCCATCTCATGCACTTCAGCAAAATGTGCCTTGCCCCTGAGTCTCGAGAACCCTTTATAAGCTTCTCTGCGTTTGAGCTTAATAGCTTAAATTCCATTGAGTCCATCTTAAATCATAGTTAATCCAAGACCAGATCTAAGATCGACAGCTAGTTCCTGGATCGACACAGCTTTTGCCGAGGATCCAATTACGAAGATTACGAGACAATGCAGCGTTTCGAGCACAAGGCCGAACGAGCCTCGCGCGGCTTTTTTGACCGACAGCCTTCGGAGAGATGGGCATGGATTTCACCTGTTTTGGGAAGTTCCATGTTTGTTTCTGTTTCCAGGGGCATCTCAGACGTCACTTTAACTCGCCGCAACAAAGAAAGTAGCGTCCCTAGTGTTCTGTTGATACTTGAAAAACGAAAATCTTTAAATGTTGATGATGTTTCACGTTTGAGGGGTGGCACGGCATGGTGGATCCTCGGCTAGAGCTCGGTGAAATTCAGCCGGGCTGGGATCTTCATGTAAATAATTAGACGTTTTGGATGTGCAGCCGTTGGGTGAGGATGCGAAACACTCGCCACATCCGGATATAGGTATTTTCGGGATTTTCGAGAATGGTTCCAGCGGCTTAAGAGAAGAAGAAGGTGAAGCTTTGGGGTAAGTTTTAAAGGATATGGCATTATGGTTTACTTATAAGAAGCGTTCAGCACTGAAGATATAGGTGTACCACGCATATACGAGATTGACAATTTCATGAAATGGAAATACTGAAATTTTGGTGATTTCGCTCTTTTCGTAATTCTGGCCTATTGGAATCCTGAAGTCTTCCACTCGAACTATGTGATGCAAGGAAGTGTTCCCCAGGTTGCACATGCTCGTGGCTTTCGATCAGATATTAAAAGACAATGGCAGTCTGGAATTGCACTTTGAGGAGATCTCCTATCGCTGTATCTGAGCCAATGGAGAAGCACGGAGATATTTAGCCGAAATCTCCGTTTCGATGGTCGGTCTATAGCTGTTCCCTTGGTGCTTCATCTACGAGTTCAATATGAAATTCGTTCAAGCTGCCTTCGAAAGATTTTGGAAATTTTTGGCCTCGAAGTATGAAGAATATCAGTTTTGTCAATCTGATGGCTTCCATCCATATGTCTTCATTATGCTATTGTGGTAGCGCTTAAGATGTCTTTGAAGGGTATTTCCACAGTTTCTTGAAACTGAGGCATTTCGTCAATTGAGCTTTTCATCTCAAGCAAAGACAATTCTAGGACCGTCTCAATAATCCCACCTTTTGCCCTAAACAGTGCTTATGGGATAAACACGGTCGTTCGGGAAACTGACCTGAGGGTTTTGTGTAATTGAGAATAATGAGATCTTATTGGAGGTAGTTTCGATAGAGATACAGCCCTTCTACTCTAATAGAGATATCAGTTAAAAAAAATCCAATGCCTAATTACTACACCACACCGACCACTTCATGGCTGCAAATGTCACTTCTCATGCACTCCCCAACCAAACGAAGCCTGTTCCCCGAAACAGCTCCCTTATTACCCTCAAGCCTCCCCGTATCATTTTTTTTTTTTTTTTTTAAGGCTTAGGCTTCCAGACCTTGGAATGTGGATAGTGCTGGCACTACACCCGTGCACCAGGAACCCTTAAGGTATCATCAAGTGCACCTACTACTCAATCTCAAACAACTGACCATGAGCAAAAATGACGACGTGATGGACTTCATCAACTCGCTTCCTGACCTGAATCTGGGCACCCCGGGCCCAAGCGATTCTGCAGGTGGCGACGATTTTTTGGAATTCCTCGATGAATTATCCGCTCACGAAAAGCTGAGTCCTTCTAGAGGAAAACTTGGACCTAAGAAAGAGAAAAAGGTTGAATCTGCTAAGAAAACTGCTGCTACTGCTAGTGAAACTTCAGAGAAGTCCGCTGATGCTGTTGCTCCAGATGCTCTAACGGAGAAAAATGCTGAAGTTGAGCTTCAGGAACAAATCGAAGAAGCTGCTAACATTGGAGACCCCATTGCCTCCTTGTCGCTGTGGTGGTCTTCCGAAGGATCCAAAAAGGCTCAATCCTTGTGGGGCTCCTTGACCTCCAATGCGTCCCAATTGGGCGAACAGACCTACCAATTGGCCTCCTCCACATCCCAGCAAATCAGCCATTCTAGACAGAAACTCTTGAACGAGAACCCGGCGTTGGACAACGACCAGGTGTCCCATATCACGTCCCGCTTGAACACCATTCTCAGCAGCGTCTCCCAGCAGATCAAGGAGGGTCTCATGGACAGAGAGGACGAGTTGTTGAACATCATGCTCGTGTACGATTTCTCCAACATGGACTACTTGGACAGCATTTGCGCCAGCAAGTTCAACAGAGTCATGTCGCAGGTTGAGGGCGGCATCAAGGTCACTGTGAGCAACTTCAACCATCGTCATGAACTGAGAGAAGGTTCGGGTCCCTACTACGACTTGGACATCTTCTTTGGCAAGATGATCGATGGTGAGAAATTGTGCTACGCCAACCTTGACTCCTCCATCAAGGACTACCTCAAAATTACCGAGTCCGAGAAGACAACCGAGCAGGATTTGAAAGAGGCAGAGGATACCATGACGGCGAGAGACGCCGATTTGGATATCAACAGCAGCAACGTTTTCATTGCCGTGCAGCCCATCAGCACGGGTACTGCCGAGAGATCCAAGGAGCAGGCTGAAAGGGAAACCACTTCCACAGCCCCAGTTCTCATTGACTCCACCAACGCTGAGTCTTTTGCATTTGCCTTGATCTTGAAGGACATCTCCAATAAGATCACCATCTCCACGAAATCCCAGCCGTTCCCCTTGAAGTGGGCTCGCTGGGTCGCTGGTGACCGTAGTGAAGTTGAAGAGTTCTTTGGTGGCGATGCTGACGAGGCTGTGGACCCCAGTGAGTGGGTCAAGGAGTGGCTCCAAGACGGTCTCTCGCTCAGTTTTGCCGTTTTGGCTCAGGAGTACGTCACTAAGAGAATGGGCATCTAAGGGTTTTTGAAATTAAACAAAGGCCGGCGTTTTGAATTTTTGATCCGGGCAATCGGCTGCAAATACCAGGTCGGCAATTTCATTCTCAGAAATGGTCATGGCCTCTGTTGCGGTTTCCATATCTGGCGGCAAAAGGAGATCGAGCAAAATGCTTGGAATAACATCGTTGCTCTTGGAGGCTACCTTCAAAAATAAAATTAAAAAAATAATCAGGCTCGGAAGCATTGGGTAAAGCCCAACGGCCTTTCACTACTGGAGCCTGTGTCAAGACTTCACAAACCAAGGCAAATAAACGAGATACGAATACGATTGTCAAATAGTAAAATCAAAAGATTACATCTTCATCTTCCTCTTATCGGCCTACATTCTCGATTTCCTATCCATCCCATTCTATTAATCTATAACGCCTTCACCCGACCTAGAAAAGATCGGCAAACTCGGCAATGTGAGGGTGCACGGCGCAAGCCATGGCGGCAGCCAGTGCCCGTGACGTGAAGGTGTCGGTGGCGACACGGTTGAAGTTGATCTCTGGAAGAGGGTCTTTCTCATGAGCCAGCACAGCAGAACCCTTGAGCTTCTCGGCTCCGTGCTTCACAATGTGCGTCAGGTTGTAGTTTGCAAAAACACGGTTCAAGCTCTCGTCGTCCACAGCAATCAATTGGTTGACCCAGTCGACTGCAAAAGGAGGCACCTTCTGTGCATTGTGGTTGGCCACCTTGTCGAGGTACATCTGCTCCAGCACAAGGTCAATGTCCGGCACAAACTGCTTGGTCTTGGAATTTCTGATCACTTCCCTGTCGCAGAAGGTGTGGTTCAGCAGAGCAAGGAGGCTAGGAAAGATACGCTCGAACCCGCGAGCGTTCTGTGGGTGGACATTGATGCACTTTTCGTGGATGAAATGGTACGTCAGGTACAGAGGCAATTGGTCTGTTCTGACATCCAAACGGTATTGTGTTGGTCTCTCCTGCAATCTCTTCAAGAGATGGTGGGAGTGTGGCAGCTTTGTGTTGTGGAAAAGTGTGATGGTTGGCTGCGAACCGGAGACGGAGCGGCTGGCAGAGCGGGCGAAACCAGTGAGGCGGGCGAGGTTCGAGAAGTTGAACATCTGTGTTTCTTGTGATAAGATAAAAAGATCAACTGAGGGAGGATATCGTTCCCTTTTATAATTGTGGTATACGATATGGGAGGGGTAAAGTGATGGGCGTGCCTGCACACAAAAGGGGGAGATAATCCGAAGCGACCCTATTTCGCAGCAGTTGGGCAGTCAAGAGTGAGAGTGTCAACTCAACATCCTGGCTGTGTGCAGGATCTGACTCTTATACGACACGTCTCCTTGGGAAATACCCCGCCCAGGCCACAGCCCACCAGCACAAAGTGGGCATTTTGGGGCACAATAGAATCAGGATCAAAGAAAAGCAAAATTAATATTAGCCTTTGAATTTCGCCCATTGTTCAAATTTCGCTGGAACCGCCTGGCCAGCTCCTGATTTTCGCTTTACATCTTGACGGCCTAGTGCGTCGGAGGGGCTGACTCCAGGCCGGCGGGCCGTTTTGGAATGGAGGGGCAAAAAAATTGTGAAGGTCGGAGTTGCACTTCCCGAAACGGACAGGTGTACGGGTTTTGCCTCAATTTCACCAATGCAATTGCAATGCCCTTGCCCCTGACGCTCCAATTGCCACTTTTTTTTGGCACCGCCTCACCTTCGGAGTTGCTCAGTGCGAGGCAAGCCTCGATTCGAGAAACCGATGGAAGATTTTAGGAATACTTTTGTGTCCTGCAGGTAAGCCCAAAACCGGCGCACCGTGGCTGGTTGCAAAAAACTCAGGCGGACGAAGTCAAAACATGCGGAGAACTCGGTTAGCCGTTCTTATCTTATCGGCTGCTCCGTAAACACGGCTGATCTGCGGAAGTGCTATCACGCCAGGTGGAGAAGATCACGATTTGGAGAATTGCAGATTTTGAGGATTCGAGTTTGGAGAATCCAAAAATTGGAGAACCTGATGGGGGGAGAATGGTCGTATAGACCGTTGGGGTAAAGCGGAGAGATGTGAATGTTCGCTGGCTGTTGCCAATTGGCCTGATGGGGTGTGGGAGGCCATGTAGTTAGGAAAGCGGGGTATTTGGGTATGGTTGTCCTTCAGATAGGGAGGAGAGATAGTGGCTCAACAGGTGATACCCCAATTGAGTGCTGGTTAACTCAATCGACGCCAAATTCATTGTATTGGCATTGGGGCTCAATTTTTTGTATCCTCCTCCTGAAAGCTCAAATTTTCCTCTTCCTTGACCCACGTTTTGGCTAATTCTTCCCTCTTCGGACTTTTGCCACTGCGAAGACAAAGCTCGGCGGCTAATGTCGGAAAAACTCAAATTCAGGGATAAGGGTCCGGCTCGGTCGGCCTCTCGTGGTCAATTATCGTGAAAATTAGTCGTTGGAATGAATGGGGTTCTAGACGGGCCGGTTCACACTCGTGGTGTGCATTGAACTGTGCCCAAAGTTCTTCCACTCAACTTGCTGTTGCTGAGCAACGTGCCACAATTTCAAATTTCTCCTCAATCACGTCGTGCCCTCTATCCACACGAAGGCAATATTTAAAAATCGTTCAAAACGTCCAAGGGCAAAAAATCGCCCTATTCTCGATATCGGCTCCCTCCTGTACCGCGGTGCACAACTAAGATAAGATAATGCGATCTCATGCACAGAAGGAGATAAGGTGAGGCTAGCAGGGTGATCTCGATGGTGACAGACAGATACCGGGATATTGGATTAGGGGGCGTTTTCAAAGTTAAAAGATCGAAATTGGTTTGGAACATTAGCAATTAAGAGTTGTTTATCAATACGGCCTCGAAAAATACTCTCGTTACCTCATGAGATAAGGCCTGATACGATAATCTTATCATCCATGATCTGGTACGATTTCAGTGGGCTGATTCTGCCCTATCGTTTCAGCTGCCACAATTGGTCAGCCAAAAAAATCTAACCCCTGAAGGCTCTCACCCTCTAGACCATCGTCCATTTGTGCTTCACCCAATCTGTCCCTCAGTCAACCATTTCTTTGTATTGTTTCTCTCAAACTTCGTATCCAAGGATCTCTCAACCCTCATACCCAAAGATCTCTCAAACCTCATACCCGAAGATCTCTGGACGCCTGTGGGTGAAAACAGGCAAGTCTCTTCTGATCTTTTCCACATACTCCAGGTCAATCTCTCCAACTACCAACTCGCTGTAGTCTTCACCGGCCCCTCTCTCCAAATACGTGTCACCTTTGGCCACAACTTCGCCCCATGGCCCGATAATCACCGACTGGCCGTAGCTGACCCGCACTTTCTTTCCTTCTCCAGATTCCTCGACATCAGCATAAACATCGTGCTCTCCACACTGAGCAGCCATGACCACGTAGCACTGTGAATCAATTGCACGTGCTTTTCCAAGCTCTAGCCAGTGCGCCTCGCCGGTTCTTGTTGTGAAAGCTGAAGGAAATGTGATGATGTTGGCACCGAGCTTTCTCAAACGGAGAGCCAACTCGCCAAACCGGATATCATAGCAGATGGCCAAACCAACGGAAAAGCCAGAATATTCACCGCTGTTGACGCCAAAAGGCTTCAATATCTCCTGGCCAGGCTCGACCGAATTCAGTTCCTTCAAGATCGGACCGTTGGGAATGTTGATATCAAAAAGATGGAGCTTCTGGTACGTGTGGACAATATCACCACGGTTATCGATCCAGAGCTGGTTATTCCTCACTTTCTTGCCGGCATTCTCCCCCACTGCTGGTTCATGGACCCCCACAGCTACGAAAATGCCCTTATCTTCAGCATCTCCAGAGGCAGCGTCGTGGATCTTCTTCACGTGGTTCTGCAAAACACTAATGAACTTTTCCTTGCTTTGTCCAGCCAATTGGACCGAGTGGGTGGCGTCTCTGGAGATATAATCGGCAGCTTCAGGAAGAAAAAGCACCTTGACGTTTTTGGCAACGGCCTGGTCGATCAATTTGGTAGCCACACGAGCATTGGCTGCTAGGCTGGAAGAGGAGCACATCTGGCCACAAGCGATTTTGAGTTTTGTGGCAGTCATTGTTGTTGTAGCAAGAAAACGACGGATGGAAAGAGACATGGAAGTTGATAAGGTGGGACACCCAGACACCAGAGAGTTGGGTGGATCTGGGTTAACGAAGCTGATATTTACAGAGGGTTTTGAAAAAAAAAAAAAGGTGGGTAATAGTTGTTTGAACGTGTTTGGACATGGACCAGCTGTTTTGATTTGCAGCCTTTTTGATGGCTGTTGTGTACCATTCATTAGTGTGGCTTCGACGTATTCCCTCACCAGTAGCTCTAATAGACCGTTTCCTTTTGAATCAAAGATAGTTAACTTTTTAAATACTTATAAATCGAGTAGGTAGCGGGTTTGCTGTTCTGCCTCCATTTAATAGTCAGTACTTCATTTGCAATGGCGATGGTATGTAGGCCTTTTTGAAGTGTTGAGAAACAGCCATCAATTGTACAAAACTAACAGCAATTTTGATGAGATCATCTATCTGTATTTTTTCAAGTCAGAGGATGCTACTCTGGATCCATTGAGTGGATCAGAAACGAGATCGTGAAGATACAGCGGGATACCCATTTCTAGAATGCATTGTGACCGTTTGAATATTGATCATAAGAGGCACATCCATAAACAGATGCTTCTATTCTCTGAAGGAATATCTATGAAGGGGTATTAAAGGCTACGGCCAATTTGCAATTGAGCGGGAAAAGTCAGTGGTATGACTTGACGATCACATCTTCAAAATTAACAACAGATCTCCACTTTCATGAATCAAGGAGCAGCCAAAACCGAGCAAAAAATGACCCAATCACAGCACAGCCAGGCTCTCTTATCGATGACCAAGTGAAACGATACCTCTCTCCAATCAACTCACAGACTCTAGGTCATCAGACTCAATGCCGTGGCTGGTTCCTTCAATCGAGCCTCCAATGAAATCAAACTTCTTATCAGCATACCCACGCAGCCTGGTCATCGTCTGCCACTTGCACATCCAGCAATTATGCATATCTCTGCCAACCCAGGCTTATCAAAGAAATATAGACCCACGTTTTCAACATTCCAGAATCACCAATTCCTTCCAACCGCCGTCAACTTTTCACATTTCCACACAGCCAGCCGAAAAGCCACAATCTCCTGAACCATTTCCTCAATGGCTAGTACAGCCGAGGGCGACAATGCTGTACCGCTAATCTCGAAAACCAACCCATGTGCCCGTAACACCCCTTTTTCAATTTGTCATCTTTGACCTTCTCTGCCCCCTTTTCGTTAATTTTTGCTTCATTTTCGCCAATTCCTCGTAGCCTGAGCGCAATTCCAAAAAACGGCTCCATAACCGCTGTACAGACCGTTTGATGGTTAGATAGCCGGCCTTGTAGCCCCGACGATTTCGCCAAGAGACCCTGTTCAGCCGGGCCCGAAGCACCGAAACACGAAGATGGAATCAACAGAAACAATCAGAAAAATCAAGATTTTCGAGAAATGCCGAATTGAAAAATTGAGATAACGCATTATTTCACTTTTTTCACTTTTCAGCAAAGAGCCACACGACTCCCTGGCCATGCCACGGAGCTAGCTGCATCTTTTCTTCTCTGTTTTGAAAAAAACCGTAAAGCATAAATCCACAAAGCCAGCCTTTTCAGGGGATCCGGGGGTTAACCTCCGCGGGAGGCTGATTATCCGAGCACATGCCAAAGTTGATCCGCCGGATAAACAGACACTGAAGGGGGCCCAGAAACACACAAGTCGGTGATTTTATTTGTCAATCTTTTGATATCGCTACTCTCTACTGGAACTGGCTCTGGGGCAAAGCTGGGGTGGTTATGGTGGGGTGAGGTTTGCTCATCCGGTCGTCCGAGCCGGTCACCCGAGCACAAGCTACAATCAACAATCTGTCTCTATGGTATCGTAATTCATCCTATGTATAATAATGCTAAACCTACGCCTTGTTCACTGGACCAGCAGTGAAGACATCCTCAGAGGAAAACACAGTGGGCTCGAATGGAGCCTCGTTCTGGTGCTTCACCTCCTCGCTAGCAAAGACATCATCGTTGGAAATCAAGTTCACGCCATTGTCGTGCTCATTAACATTGTTGAAGTTGATACATCTCTGTCTTGAAGAGAAGAATCTCAGCATCGGCTGCTGGGACTGGATCTGTGCTGGAACCCAACAGCGGGACACAGTTCTGAAGTTGGCAACTTTGAGGATCTGTCTGACCATTGCGTGTGATGTGTGGTGAATAGTGAAAAGTGTTTGTAAAAGTGAAAATTTATGAGGATGAAAGCTGGGGGGGAAGGGCTTCTTATATATGCTTCCCCGGATTCCGAGGATGCGAGCGTCCGGAGCGCCGCCGGACTTTCGGGAGCCTGAGTCACAGGAGAACGTCGTCCTGCATATAGGCGGCTAATTTCCAGAGCCACAAGCGTCGATTATCCAGTGGATGCGCGGCCCGGTGATTCATGGCATTATCAGGCGGTCTCTGTGTGCAGGACGCAAGCGAGTCACTGTCTTCTGACAGCCGCTTGTTCCTCCGTCCGTCCGGCCACTGGTGGTTACGGCCCACAAGCGTCCGCAATCAGTCCACCAAAAAAAAAAAAAAAAAAGCATTAAACTTTATGCCTATCAAAAAACCAATTGTCATGCCATCCCCTGGTGGAATTGCGCTTTGGCAATAGCACCCGTGGGCTTATCGCACGGATCCAGCCCAGTCTGATTGTGGCTTTCGGCCCTATCCATTTTTTTTTTTACGTTTTGTAGTTGGGCTTATCGTTGCTGTGGCACTGCTGCCGTGAGCAATTTGACGTTTGTCTGTGCACACGGGAGTTAACGTCCATGCACCTGCCAAGGTATCATTCGGCACTTGATTTCCATCGGAAGTGTATCACCATAGGGCTGGGTTGGAGGATAGAGAAGCGATTTGTGGGATAAGAAATTAAAATCAAAAAATCAAAAAACAATTGGGTGTCATTTGCCGAGTCATTTTCTGAAACGCCGTGCCAGGCTGAAGTGGTACCTGCTTCAAGCTAGGCATGAGAAAACAGGAGGTGACACAAAGCTGGAGCGGAAAGGTGGTGTAGCAGCCGTCCATGGCCAATCGGAAAATTTATCGACCGGAAGAATTTCGGCTATTGAGGTTATGGACGGCTGGAGTTGTCTTTTGAAGATGAAGCGCTTGTGTTGTTTCGGAGGATGGCTTAATTCTGTAGCATCGTGGTTCTGGGATTTGGGAGTTTCCTGGGATTCCAAAATTTCAGAAATCACTATAATTCAGAAAAGTGAGACACTTGTGACTGTAACGGTCTAGGTTCTAAGGAACGCATTGCTTAATTCAATGTGTATCCATTAACATCAGTCACACCACAAGCACTACATTCAATAGCATCAAGCCATAAGCAGAAACAAACAAGTATTTCCAGATCAAATCCACCGGGTCTGTCTCCTCCATTCCAATACAACTCCACAATCTCCCTAGAAAGCTCCATCGATATCCCCTTCGATCCCTACAGACTCCTCCTACTCAGGTACCCACCTCCACCCTCTCCGATACCTCCATTCTTCGTCCATTCTTCGAAATTCTACACCTCTAAACCTCCCTTCTCTCCACTTTTCCCCATCCTCTCCCGGCGATTCACGGATTCCCTGGCATTCCATCGAAATCCCCCTGAACCTCCTCAACCCTGGATCGAACCTCCTGGCGTTCCCCCAATTCCATCAGATTCCCCCAATTCTCCGAGATGTGATTGCAAAAAGTGAATTTTAGGCGGTACCCCGGACCGCGGATGCTTGTGAAATTTTCTCGGTATCGCCTAAGTCACACCATGCACTGGAGCCGCAACACACTCATACGTTTTGTAGCCAATCGGCGCTGCGGGAGGGAGGTTGAGAGGATTCTGGAAATTGTAGATTGAGAGGGAGATTCTGGTGAGTGTGTCGTGTGAGTCGGCTCGGACGAACGGATGTCGTAGAAGCAGTTCAAAATGGACTATATGCTAGTATAGGCTGGAGTAATTTTTTATCGAGAATGGTCCATCTGAAGCAGATTCATGAAGGGTCGCTAGACTCACGCCATTGAGCTGTGGTCGTTTTCCAATGTACCTATGCCTTTGAATCCATAGAAAGAACATCGAGCATCAGAACGTCAAATCCCACGACAATTGGCCACGTATAGCTTCTTCAAAATGGTCTGTTTAATACGTTTTCTCTTAACGTTGAAGTTGTATTGATAGACGTGAGAGCTTCTACAAGGTTAGGATGTCGTTGGATGGACTGGATCACCTTTGTTTCATCTTCTTTGGTTCACCCGTTTTTAATTATCCCTACTACAACTTTCAATAGCCCGATCGGCTGAATATCAAATCCCGTCACACCTTGTCTTCTAGATGTGCCAATGGCTGTTGGCTGCCGACGAACTCTTGACGATAACACATTCAGCCTACGATATTCGAATTCAAGCCTCTCATTACTCACTAATCTATCCTCTTAGCTAGACTGCTCTCTGTTGATCCATCGACGGTCAATATATAACTGCCAACAACACAAGGAGGCATACCAAAAGTTTGGTTTTTCCAAACGTCATCTTCACTCCATCATTGAAAAAAGCGTCAGCAGCAAATCCGCATCTGTACCCGTCCACAGCGTCATATCCGGTTATGTTCATAATGGGGTCCAATTCTCTAAGGAGGAGCCGCCTTCAATAAAGACTATTTCTTTAGCCACCACTACACGGCCTTTAATAGATATCTGAATGTACTTTTATAATAGATTTGAAAAAAAAATCGAAGCCGTTCGTCAAGATAGTGAGCTGTTATCGCTGATAAGCATTGCACTCTCAGAGTATAGTGTGAGAACAATAGATTTGTGATTTAAGAAATGATCAGGTTGGAGTCTTGAGTTCTGGAATAGATATCTTTCATCGCAAAAAACCTCGACGATTTAGGATCAAAACATGCATGGAACAATGATAATCATGAATTAAGCAAGTGTACGACGCTGATAAGAACTTCTTACAAGAAGCCTGAGTGAATAGAATGAAATTGACTGAAGTTCTATAAACTGAATGGTTGAGCTTTGGTCCGCTGTTAGTCTGAAATAAATCCAATCAAGTGATGCTACTAGATATCTCGAGCCGCATGCCCAACACTACCTTGAGGTTAAAGTCCTTTCGAACCATTTTCCAGAATTGCTTCTTTCTGCCACTTTCTTCATTCAACACACGATAATAATTGTGGCAATGACTCTTCAAAATACACCAATGTCGACGACAGCCAATAACGCCATAAAGCATACAAGGTACTTTACCAACCCAAACTCGACAATATCTCCTCCTCCTGATTTCAACCTGGCCTGACCAGCTTCAAATCCACACTTGTACACATCCAAGGCAGAGAAGTTTGACGAATTACCGAAGTATGTTTCGTTGCCGCATTGCAATACAATGCCATCCAGCGTGTGGATTATTCCTCGACCCCGATGCCTTTGAGGGAGTCAATTGAGTTCATATCTAAGGGTTTAGGGTAGACAGATGATTTCTGACTCTGAAGTGGGTTTTGATTTTTACCAATTGGCCTTTCTGGTCAAGCGCTTGATAAGTAGATATAGACACTTATATCTATCAGTGCCACATTTCCGCCTTACTTCTGATAGGCTCCAATGAATGCCAAGTGATTTTATCGATGCGTTTCAGTGTTTTTCAAAGTGCCACACTATCTAGGAAAGATAGCCGTGCATTGATGCGCCAAGCAAAAAAGTACAAAGGCTGCCATGCAAGAATCCTCGCAAAGCCTATGATTTGATAGCCTTATACGGCGAGAAGGAGTAGCTTCATGCATTTGTTGATGTGCCTTACGACTAAGTGGACTGGTAAAACATTGGGGATTTTGGCAATGGATCACTGGGTTGCCGAATAGGGTAGCTTTATTCCGCTCGTGGTGATGATGAATTGAAAACTAAAGGGAGTGAGCTTCTAGGGCATGTTAGTTTATTTTGGTTGTGAGCTGCTAATCAGTTTATCTCACGTTGGGAAAGTGGACGTTGTAGATCTCAGAAGTAAGATTTCATAGATAACGCAGGTTCCTGCACTATCTACTGGAAAGCCAATCGTAGATAGGATGTCAAGCAAGGCACTTTTGTGATATCGATAAAAATGACTTTGAAAGCATGATATCCTTTTGATAAAGGATTTTGATATGATAGTCTTAGATTTTGTTTCAACTCGAACTGAGTGCCGTAAGAGAAAGTAGTGAGTTTAGCTCGTGGTGCATGATCTCGTGGGGAGCCGTCCATTCAAAACTTTAAGTTTTTCTAGTTCCTTTCTGTTTTTTATGATTTGGTATTTATCTCTCTTGCTATGTAGATCTCCAATTGTCTAGAAGTCCCATTGCTTCTGGTATCTATCTGACTTAGTCATCCCCCAACGATAAGCTTGGCAGATGGCTTCCCATTCCTTCTAAAGAGTTTTAGTGTTTGTACATGATTAACAGCGTAAACAGTCCATTCGTCAAGCAGAAGTTTGGAAATTCTACATAATATGTCTCTGGAATGATCTTGCCAATATGGGATGAAGTTGTTGGAGTCAAAGGACAGCCATATTCACAATTCAAGCGCTCATCACGCCATGAGTCAAGCTGTGGTTTTATTCCAAACTGTTTTGTTGGGGTAATGATGAGGATTTACTGAAACCCATTTCATGATACCAGTCGATGCTAGTCTCATCTGGGAAAGCTACCTCAAAACTCCATACGATTTCAATTGATGTCATGAAGTTAATGGGAACTCGATCATGACTAGCCTGCCATCGTTGGCCTCATTCAACAATATAATCTTTCAATGGAAACAAATTCTTAGCCGCGTTTACCACTTAACCCGGAGATGTCAAAGAAAGCATTTACTCTAAGCAAATTTGAATGATAGTACAAGTAATTCTTGTTCATCCAAACCCCATGCAATGTCGTCATCTTTACAAAGCTTCAATGATCAAACACCATACATCAATTGCCGTCCCGCCATCTACCATCTACAATTATACACCTCATTTCAACCATAAACCTCATTTCAAAAACTCCGAGAGTTAAGCCCTCCGTCCCCTCCTTATCGTGGGTGCAAAAAGTGAAAAGTCACTATACTCTGTCAGACCGCGGAAGCCTGTGAAAAATACCCAGTCAAAATCACACTATGCAACAAAACCGCGCCATAGATACGAGTAATTTGCAGCCAATCGGCACAGCGGGTGGGAATGCTGCTGACAGCAAGGCAATTGAAATTTGGCATTTTTGGACTGGTGGTAGGCGGAGGCGTGAGGTTCCTCGGTCGAACGGATGTCGCGATAGACTTGATTTTCAGTTCAGGCCCAAGGTGGGGATTTCCCATATAGCCAAAAAAGTGGCATTTCCTCCTCGATGTAAAGGTCCATCCCTCCAGAACTACTAGTAAATCAATTTTTCCAGAATTGCCAGACGGATACAATTTATTAAAACCAGGTAAGCAAAGGTGCATCTTCCGTTACTGCGCATTGAGTCACCACAAAAGAATCCCAGCAAACCACACCAAGAACATCAAAATGGTCATACGGAAGACTTCAAAACATACTTCTAACTAGATTCCTTTACTTTACCCCATTAGAATAAACTTTCGAGGGATGTGGAAGGAGTGGGGAGTGGTATTAGCTCGCCAGGTAGGTCACGTGACCTGCACCCCGTGATCTCCGCAGCCCCGGTTTTCTGGGGTAACCTTCAAAATCAAAACCACCAACATGGGAACAGCCTGGGAACTCACCCAGGCGCTCAGGGAGAAGATATATCTCTATGCCAGCTACCCCCAGACGTCGATTCTGATCCGGCAGATGGTCCAGTTTGGTCCGTCGCCCCTGCCCGGGTCCATCTTTCTTGCTTCTCAATTCATTGTGGAAGAACTCCCCATCCGATTGGCCTTGAAGGTCAAGGATTTGGAAAACGCCCCCTTGGGCCTCTCCAAGCAGCCTTCCACCATCAAAGTCAAGAACTGGTACGCCCAGTCTTTCGAGGAACTCACGCTGCTTCCGAAACCAAAAGTCGACGACAAACTCAGGGAGCTTCTACAGTCCAACAACAACGGTCACGCCCGGCTGGTCGGCGAGGCTAGGGACACGTCAGAGATTGGTGAAACGCTGAACTTGGCGCAGCAGCAGCTGAACAATGTGGCGGTCAACAACGTCTTCTCCGACGATGGCATAGTCGTAAGACACCATCCACAACATTCGCTGACTGAAGCCCGGCTGACGAAGCTGAGGCTGGAAGCGCCCACTTTTGGCAAGACATATTTCACTCCTTGTCCCATGAACATTGTGTGGCCGAAGGAGGTGTACGACTACAACAAGGCGGTGCACGATGCACTCAGCAAAATCAAGAAACGGCACGATGCCACGGTGGCCACGATGGCACAGGGTGTGCTGGAGTGGAAAACGGAACATAAGATTGTGAGTGTAAACCTGGCGATCCAGACGTTTTTGGACCGTTTCTACATGCTGAGAATTGGAATCCGTATGCTTATTGGGCAGCACATAGCGTTGAACATGCTGCAGCAGCTGCCGACGAAACAGAGGCTCAATACGTTTTTGAACGGCAGCAACGGGAATCAGGGTAACGCCAAAAACGGCAGAAACAACTACGTCGGTGTCATTTGCACGGATTGCAATGTTAAGGAAATCGCCGAGGATGCAGCTGAAACAGCCAAATACATCTGTGAGGAGCACTACGGGCTCTTTGAGGCGCCCGAGATCCAGCTCATTGTGCCCCAGGACCTGATCAGTTTCATGTACGTGCCGGGCCATTTGATCCACATTTTGTTTGAGGTGCTCAAAAACTCTATTAGAGCCACCATTGAATTCCACACGCCTCGGTTGAAGGAGCAGTTGTTGGCAGAAAACCCGAAAATGAAGGAGAGCGACATTGACCTCAACGACTTGAAGTTCCCGCCCACAAAGGTTATCATCAGCGAGGGCTACGAGGACATTGCCATCAAGATCTCTGACGAAGGTGGAGGTATTGCCCGTTCAGAGATTCCGTTGATCTGGACGTATTTGTACACGACCGTGGACAAGACACCCGTGTTGGACTCGGACGGAAACAACCAGACAAGCTTCAGAGCGCCCATGGCTGGTTTTGGCTACGGTTTGCCCATCTCCCGTTTGTACGCTCAGTACTTTGGCGGCGACTTGAAGTTGATCTCCATGGAGGGCTACGGTACCGATGTGTATATTCATTTGAACCGGTTGAGCAGCTCGCTGGAGCCTTTGCCATAGCCCTGCTTCATCCACAGCGCGAGTCGTCGTGGCATAGATTCAATAAAGAGAAGGATACACGAGTGTAGAGTTTAAGCGATACCATGATAACGTATGTCCTGGCCAAAAGTAGAGATAATTGGCTCATTAAAAGAGCATTGATTGGTCCCTCTGTTCTCGAAGGTATGTGGTTGATCTAGCAGTCTTGAAGGACCAAGTCGATTCGATTTTACCACTGCTCCGCCACACTAAATAACCAGATTTCACGCCGAACTCGTGATCTTGTCCCAACTCAATCAACCCCGGAAAAACCTCACTCCTGCCCCGCCTTTTGCAGCCTTCTATAAGGTAGGGCGCGTGGGGGACCGAGGAAGTGAGCCGCACGGCCTCCGAGGTAACTAGACCGTGCTAATTGTGCAAGTGTGACTAAGAAATATGTACCCCAGACCCACGGATCTGGATGTTGGTCATCTGGGTGCAAAGCCTCCTTCGAAAGAGCTTGTGGATGGATGGCAGAGGTCATGCTCTCATGGGTAGATTTTGGCCCAATCGATGAAGGATATTCATTTCTACATTTCTAAGAAGTCTCTCATTATTTATTGTTCAAGTGTCAAATTAATTTCCTTTCTTCCATTCTGTGGTTGTGTGACGTCACTTCCTTCGGACTTTATCCGATCACAGTGCATTGTCTTTCGGATTGAGGGTGTCAATAAGTAGATCAGCCAATGGCCGATATCCAATTATTTAGATTCTCTTTATGATAATTTCCATACTCTGAATAATTGAGCAAATGCAAAAATTCCAATTTCTGTTCAAGCTCAAAGGCATGGAGGGCCGTTAGTGTGAAGATTTACTCTGCTGGAGCTTTCCAAACTCCAGTGATTCCTTACAAAGCTTTCTAGTCCAGATTGATCCTAATATTTTTCGAATTCACCGGCACAACAAGCGACTAAATCACTTTTCACGGTACTTTGTCGTAGCGTTGTGGTTTCACGTTTAAACTATACTTCACCTACGACATCGAAGCCTCCGTATTTCGTCCCAACGAACGATTCCAAAACTCCATCAAAACCACAAATCACCAAAAACTCCAAATCGATGCTTACCCCCACAATGTCGGAGTTCTGAACCATACTCCAGGGCTACAGTGCATCGGCAATTGATCACCGACTGCAGCTAAACCCTAGGTCAACGAACATTTCCACTACTAGTCGGCTGAAGGCACCATTTTTTACCATCAACCAATCGAAACATTTTCATTTCCATTCACATCCACAAACTTCTCCTATCTTCTCTTTTCTTTTTTTTCCACAGCTCCTTCCACACCTACCTCGGTCTAACCTGACCGCGGAGATACACCCCCATTTATCTCCACCACCCCAGACCTCCAAACCACCAAAACACAAAAAACCACAACCATCCACCCAAAATCCACCAAATCCAACACTACTAAATATCCACCCCTATCTGCCTCCCCCAAAGCGCAAATATAAACGAGGTCCCTCTACCAGGCCACGTGACTACCCCACTGCGACATCAACAGTCACAGGAAAAAAAACCACCAACTAACCTTATCTATTCATGTCAGCCCCAAGAACTAAACCTTGGGAGGTCTCTCTGGGCACCCTGGCTGCTGCCGCTTCGGACCCTGTCTCGGCCGGATCCGTGACAGCTCCCAGCTCCGACCTTACAGCGGCTCAGGATATCCCTGACAGACCTTCGTCTTTAACGAACCCAACAGGTCTTGATTCCATGGCTTCTCTGGGCTACGGCTCTGGTATGGGCACCTCCCGCTACGGCTCAGGCCTAGGGCTGTCGATGTACGGTTCAGGCTACGGCTCGTCGATGTATGGTGGCGGTGGTTTGGGCTCTTCTATGTACGGAGGTGGCCTAGGGTCATCCATGTACGGTGGCTACGGCGGCTACGGATCGTCCATGTACGGTGGCTACGGTGGCTACGGCTCTGGCTACGGGTCGGGAATGTACGGCTCAGGAATGGGCTACGGCAACGGCATGTATGGCCAAAACGGCATGAACGGGCCTGGCGCCATCGCTGAGGGAACACAGGCCACCTTCCAGCTTATAGAGTCGATCATCGGCGCCGTGGGCGGCTTTGCCCAGATGCTAGAGGCCACATACATGGCGACCCACTCGTCGTTCTTCACCATGATCTCGCTAGCGGAGCAGTTTGGCAACCTCAAGAACGCCTTGGGCTCGCTTTTGGGCATTTTTGCGCTCATCAAGTTTGCAAAGAAAATCTTTTACAAAATCACCGGCCGTGTCTACGACCACGGCATCTCCGCCAAGGAGTTCTCTAAGTTTGAGAACAAACAGAAGAAGTTGGAGGAGAACTTCAGAAGATCTCAGCTGGGCCAGAAGTCTTCCCGCATCTCCTTCAAGCCTTTGCTCTTGTTCTTGGCTGCCTCCATCGGTTTCCCCTACCTTCTCAGCAAGGCCATCCAAAAGCTCAACCAGCAAAACCAGCAAGCACAGCAGCGAAGACTCCAGGAGCAGGGCATGGCTGCAGGTGGCCGTCAGCCCCTCGACCCGGAGTCCTTGGAGTTCGCCAAGGCCTTGTACGAGTTCAACCCTGAAAACCCTAACATTGAAATCGAGCTCAAGCCCAAGGAGCTCGTCGCCATCTTGTCCAAATTGGACCCCTTGGGCAACGAGAGCAAGTGGTGGAAGGTCCGTCTGCGGTCCGGTAAGGTTGGCTACGTGCCACTGAACTACTTGAGCATCATTGAGCGGAGAACGCCTCCCAAGCGGGTAGAAGCGGCTCCCTCCCCCATGCCTGAGGCGGCAAAGTCAGACAAACTCGTGGACGAGTTTCAGAAATTCCAGGCCTAGGCAGACAGGAAAAAACAGGTGAAGAAGGTGAAGACACGTTGTAAGGCCTCATTGAGGCTCGGGTAGTGCATTATGGGAATTGGCCCAGCGAATAGTGCAGTAATATTTATGAGGATTTGGAATATATTTTCAGTACGAATGTTCAAAGTAGAGTAAGGTCGAACAGATTTTGTGACGTGATGCAATTTCAATCTATGGGAGCCAACTTCACCAGTAGCAAGCTTTGTTACCCTCTTCCATAGCTCCTCCCAATTCTACATCCTCGGATTGCCATTCTTACAAGCTCTGGATCAAACAAATATGAATGCATTACTTCTACATAGCTCGTCAGCCCTGTATCAAACATGGTATGAATGCATCACTTTTACACAGCGTCGTCAGGACGGTTCTGCTCAGACTCAACTTTAGAGCCCTTGTCTTGGAGGTTGTCGTAACCAGCGGTATTGGCATTGACCTTAGCCTTGGCCTGGGCCTCTTCATTGACATCAGAGGCACGTTCCTTAGCCTCAGAAGCTGCCTCCTTAGCCTTGCCAGCGGCAGCCTCAGCCTTCTCGACGCCATCAGCCAAAACATCACCGGTCTTTTGGTTCACCTTCCCGGCAGCCAGCTTGATGTTCTCACCAGTAGGGGCAACCTTCTCGGTTTGCTCGATGGTACCAGCCAAAAACTCACCGGTCTTCTTGTTGGCCTTTTCTAAAACATCTTTGGCGGTGTCAACCACGGATTTTCTCGAGGCTAGCGAGACAGTAAAGGCACGAGAGGCCATCGTCTGTCTTGGGATAGCAGCAGTGCGCGAGAGGTAGGTCAATTGACGAAACATATTGAAGATTAGTAAGAAAAGTTAATAGAACGAGGGGACAAGGCGCTTATAAATGGCGGCCTTTGTCCCAGCAAGCAATAGTCGCTGGCGCCTATAGGTCATCCGGTTGCTCTCCAGCATGCACACTAGGTGAAGTCGCCAGGGGCCTGGCTGATCATAAAGTCACGGGATTTCAAGAAGCGAACAACGATATTTGGAAGCCACCAGCCGAAAAGTCTACCTTCGCCGCCCGTGCGAGAAATAGGCACCAAGATGGTGCTGGTGGTGGGTGCGTAGGCCTTGCTCTTGGTGGCCAGACCTGCGATGTCTGATTTCGCGGTGGCTGCAAAAACAGGCAACTGGCCAAATTTTAGATCCACCACCAGGTGCGCTGCACCTGCCACAATGTCGCCCAAAGCGAGAACATTCTCGAATCCTTTTACAACTAGGCGCTCGTCCGTCACTACAAACCCCTTTTCGTCCTTGACCTCGTCGGGCAAAAACTCCAGGCTCGGAGTGTAATGCGTGGTGTTCAACACCACATCAAAGGTACGCAGCAGGCCATCCTCAAACTCCACAGTGGGCCCACCGGGTCCCGGCACAATGCGCTCGTACCGCACCTGGACCACCTCGACGCCCAAATTAGCAAGTTTCGCTTGCGCGCCCGGGAGATTAAATCTGTCTAACGGCGCCAGGGCGGAATACAATACAACCTTTTTGCCGTAATCGTGAGCGATTTCTCCGGCGCACTCCACGCCCGTGGGACCAGCCCCTAAAATGCCCACTGTTTCGGCCCTTTTGATTTTCTCGCTCCACTCCCGAATGGCGCCAACGGCCTCCTGGGCCAGCCCATTCACCTTGAAGCCCAAATCGCCACTGCGGCTGCCTGTGGCCACCACCAAGTAGTCGTAGCTGAGGGTCTGTTCGGTTTCGCCCCGAACGTCCACTTCGTTTTGGTCAAGACGGGCCGCCACCGCAGCAGCCTGGACGAACTTGGCACCGTGCTTTTTGGCGTATTCCTCCAACGGGAAGAGTGTCTTGTCAATGAGATCTGGCTCTACAAGGAGACGAGGCGCAGCACAGTTGAAGTACGCGTGGGACAGCGACAGCACGAGGGTGACATCGATACCTTCTTTGCGGAGGATCTTGGTAGCGTTGCAGCCTGCAAACAGGCCTCCAAGAACGATAACGTGGGGCATCAGTAGAAGGTGAGTAGTTCAAGTGGAGCGGATCTGGCGCGGTTATATACGCGCAGGTCTAACGCCGCCACCGATGGATGGGCCATTTGTTTTTCATTTTTTTTATTTTCATTAAATTATCTTAACTGGTGGATTCTGGGTGATTCCCGAAGGGCTTCCCTGATGTTGATTTGTTGTAGGATGGTAATGGTTTGGTTCAATGGCCACAGTGGATGGTTGTGTGATTTCCGTATGAGCCGTTGGATTAACGGGGTACGAGAAAACGGAGTGTAGGAAAGCACTAGGAGTTAAAGCACGGTGGCAAGAAATAGCTTTTATGTGTTTTAACTAACTTTCGTATTCGGCTTTGGGCGTTCTATGGTGGATATAAGCAGACCTTCAACGTCTTTGCAACATTGTGAATCTTCCATCAAAGAACTCAAATCGAATCGACTCAATTCTCATTTCGTGGAAGGTTTGCTTGCTGAATTCGCCACCGTGGTTCTCTTTTTGTGTGCTGTCGTGTGAGTTAAGCTGTTATCGATGAGTGAGGCTTATGGTCTAAGCGGCTGCAAAGCGGCTGCAAGGCGTAAAACCGAGCTTTTCCGCAACTGAGGGGAATCAAAGGCTAGAGGGTTTTTCTTTTTTGTGTTTGGCTGGGAAGAGCCTGAGTCTGAATTTCAATTGCTATTTTTTATTTTGACAATTTGTATAGTCAAGAAAAGTCGGTTGTGTTCTGCTGTTTTATGACGCATTTGGAGGTAGGTTGAGAATTGTTGATACCAAATTGGGTAGCATAAAATCGGGATATAGCTCCACACACATAGAGTTTATAGAAGTATGACCAGGGGTGTGAAAGCGTTTATTACACTTATTTAGGTGCATCAAAAACAGTTTTCGGATGTGGTACTGTGCATGGACACGATGGACACACATAGACTCCGCTTTAAACATAAATTAGGTAATTCAAAGTACGACTATTTGCCTTCATACGCTGAGTACTTGATAAAATGAAGAGAAGGTTCTCTAGATCTTTGTCCTGCGGTCAAGTACGTCTTTCCATGGTCTTTTAAGACCAAACCTGCATATAAACTGACTGCAAAATGCAAAATGATAACGGCTTCAATCCTTGATGAAGTCTTATAGAGGGTTTTCAAATAAACTAGATGCCTAAAATTAAGGGTATAAAAGCAATGAAGGATTTATCACAGCTTTGCAATAGCTCACTAAAGAGATGCTTGAGCTAATTCTGTGAGAAATCAGTTTGAGCGAGTTTCGCGGGGAGAAAGTAAAATTTGGAGAGCAATAAAACTACTGAAAGTACCAAATTAGCAAAGTTTGAACATCTATTAATTTTAGTCTATATATTAAACTGGCTTGCTGATCAATTCAACAACGGTTTCGTGGTCTAGTTGGTTATGGCATCTGCTTAACACGCAGAACGTCCCCAGTTCGATCCTGGGCGAAATCATTTTTTTGCAGGATCTTGTCCCTTGGAATTTTTTTTTTATTCATGCTAAATCTATGCTACTTGCGAGCCTTGCGGACAAGACCCGTTAAGTTGTTCACGGCCGGACGTTTAGCCGTGAGAGTGTTCACTGGAATTGCTGTTTCCTTTGCAGCCACCTGCCTTGTACCGACTATTCTCTCCGGTTCATATTCCAAACCACTCTGTTTGAATACCTCGGGAAGCCCCAGCGTAATCATTGTCGAGACGTCAGGAGCGGCGTAGTCTTCGCTTTTTACGAAATCGACAATCTTCTTGTACTGTTTGTGGGAGACGCTGAGGCCTGGCATTTTGGATGATCCAACTGCAACAGGATCAACATTTTCACAGCCAATGATGCCCACGACATTGCCAAGTCGAAACTCCTGACGAAAGCCGAGTTCATCCCAGAACAGAGCGACATTGACCGACCTGTAGCGTCCCTCAACTACCAAGTGTTCTAGGAAACGGCCCTTTGGGTCATCTGGAAACAAGGGAATTTCACGAATTGCAGATGCCTTCTTATCAAATATGTGGCCGCGAGACCACCGTTTTGGAAGGTAGCGAGATACTGCCGCCGGTTCAGCGCCAGGAAGATCGGCTGTACATTTCCAGGCCTCAGGAAGCACATTTTCTAGAATTTGCACCCACCACGAGAAAAGAGCGTTTCCGTCGGCAAGATGCTTGCCTTTGTTTTGCTCTGAATTTGGAAAGATGTACGCGTTAGCAGCACGCGTAAAGAGAGAGATCTTTGTGATGTACTTTTCTGGAGTTACGGGAACATGGGCTTGTTTCTTTTCTTGTGGTTCTGGGTTTCTTATCTTCGCCGCGAGGTCCCGCAAAGCATTGACCGTAGGATATGGTGACAAGTTTTTATCAGACGAGTCGTCTTTGGACTCTTTAGCGGGTTTATGCCATGCAACCGGTTCAGCCAAATAGGACCCAGGGCTTATCGCAAGAACCCGATTCACGAGTTCACAGACCACCGCTTTTGCTGAAACCCTCTTACCAAGACCTGTCGTGTCGGCCTTTGGAATAAATATGTGCTGGACAAGCTGCTCTTCAAAGGACAAGTAGACGTAGACTTCGAGAGCGAGGACCGGGTTGCTGCTTGATTTCTCGGACAAAAGGAAAAAATGCTTGATTTTGAGCGTCGGGGGACGTTCCACAGACATGGCGAGTGGTTTCGTCTGGAACGCCCGACAGCGTAGGTGGGTAAGAGTGTACTCTCCCAGAAGGGCTTCCAGAAGCATGCTTTGGGGGAGGGGGGTGATTCAAGAGAAGTGTGGGTGGGTTTGGATAAAAAGCAGGTGATTTCTAGCCTAAATCGGCAAGGATTTGTCCCAATTGGGTGTGCAGAGGCTGGAGCGTCTGGTGGTGGTTTTCTTCCCTCTGGTTGCAAATGTTGATGTTGAGAACGCGCCATGTAGGAGACCTACAGAGGAAGTGAAAAATTAGAGGGGAGTCGCTGATGAAAATTTTATGATGAAAATTGTCTACATGGCTATTTTTGAGTTGAGGCTCATCAAAAATTAACAATTTTGCCGATGACGGGAAAAGGGGTATTTGACATTGAGTGACCTATGTGGTATGAGGGTTGATAACATATCGTTTTATGAGGCAGTAGAATTAAAGATATTTTGAACGACTGGAACGAAATTTCACTGATATTTTCAACGGCTGGAACGAAGAAAAACGGGGGGATTTCACTCATTGCAAGTGTTGAAAACCGGTATGCGAGAATAGATCAAAATGAAGAGATCCTAAGCAAATACTGCCAAAAGAAGTCATTATCGCGAGATATGATCACACTTCCGTGGACTTATCAAAGGAAGAAAGAGAAAAAAGAGATCGCCCTTAGCCCTCAATATTGACCTTCTCAAATGAGCACGCTCATCAGAATGACGTCTAAGCTTTCATAAAAGAAGCACCGAATAAACCGAATTAACTACCAAACGGACCACTGGAGGTCATCTATTACACTCAGTGCCTTCTAAATTCACGCCCTTTGTTCGTCCGAATCTGCTCTGGAATCTTCCAAGCCCACTGAAGCTCCACCAATAGGAACCACGAATCATTTGGTTCAATCGCCTCCTCCCAATCACTCTTAGGGTCACCAATTTCACCTGTTCATCTCATTGCAACCTTCCCAGATTAGTACCCCTTGTTGCCTAACAACCCACGTCATTGCCGTACGCAAGCAACAGCCTTACTGCGTCAATACACCACCAGGAGCCACCAGTGCCTAAAACAAACATTTATTAAAAGACAAAAACCACCAGCTCGCTTGTCTCCAAGAACCCCGGGATTGACCAAATCAGTACTTCTAATTTTAATCCCCATTTACGAAACTAGCCGTTTTAGTGCAAACGGCTGCACACGATTGCTGCAAAACGGAGTGCCGAGTGGCCGGACGTACCCCACCAGCTCCACACCAACAATGAAACTGCAGCCACCGATGAAACCTAATTGAACAGGCAAAACCCCGACTTCTCCAAAGCAAAATTTTCCAAACTCTCCAAAGCAAAATCTTCCCAAAGTCTCCAAAGCAGAATCTTCCCAGTCTCTAAAGCAGAATCTTCCAAACTCTCTAAGCAAAATCTTCTCTAAGGCAAACCTCAAATACACAGACAAACGCTAGGTTGCAGAGCGTGGGCATTTGGGTCTGGCGTTTTTCATCTGGTATGCCGTCGGTGCCTCACTGCAACATTCTTCTCAGTAGACGCCAGTCCACAATCCACAACCCACAAACCACAAACTCCAATCCACCAACCCACAAACTCCAATCCACAAAGTCCAAAAGCGCCAAACTCCCAAGTGCAAACTCCATCCAAAACTCTGACCGATCTCCGTTATCTTATCTTGCCGCCATGGTCCACCTTCTTTTTCAGGCACCAGCGCTTATCGCGCTAGAATTTGCACCCACCTAGAGCCACCTAGGGTCAATTGGAGGAGACAGTGGCCACAAGAAAGCAGCAACTGGGAGGGGTCCCCGCTCGACACAATGAAGAAAAAGAAAAAAAAAAGAACAATTCGCCTCTGACTTTCTTTTCTTCAAAAACACACCCTTTTTCCCTCGATCTGCTTCGTTTGGTGGGCCTCCGCTTGCGGTGGTTTCCAGAAATCTGCCACTCGGCGCCGTTATCTGGCGGGAACTGGCGCTGCGATAAGCACCAAAACAGGCAGGTCGTGGGGGAATGCGCCGCTGCGGAATGGCGCCGTGCGGGGGAGACGAAGCTTTTTTGGAAAATAAGCCAGTGAAGAACGAAAGTGAATTAGATAATCTCAGTTAATCAGTGGATTTTACTTTACGCTCTTTGTCTTTGTTCACTTCTCTGGTAGGTAGTTCTGCCGCACTGGGCATGTAGATAGCGAGATACGGCAATCGGCGCGAGAGATATGGATTTTTCACTTTGCCTAACTGTCCACCAAGCGATTCCACCGTCCACACCACTTCCCAAAACAACCTTCGTCCCACCTAAAACTCCAATCTTCAACCTCCTCTTTGTTAAGGCCTGCTATTTTTTTTTTTTACCCCTTTGTGCTTTTCTTGTCCGCTAGCGGCATGCGCACCAAGCTTCCCGAGCGGGAACCCATCGCCAAATCAGCAACGCATCCCCAGATTGTGCAAGCTGGGCTAAAACCATGCCGTTTATAACACACCGCTTTCCCATCGCTACCCCCCCACCCTAACCATGTCCGACCCTGAGGTCCACCCCGTCACCTCCCAAGTCAGAGTCGATGATTTGCACATCCAGTCGGTCATGTCCAACAAGGACATTGTCTTGAACATCGACCACGCTGTCGAGGCCGACGAGGCCATGATCTTGGCCTTGGGCTACAAGCAGGAGTTCAAGCGTGAGTTCACGGGGCTCTCCGTGTTTGCCGTGAGTTTCTCCGTCTTGGGGCTTCTACCTTCCGTCGCTGCCACTTTCGAGTATCAACAAATGGTGGTGGGCTGTTCGCCTGTGCCGTGGCTTTTGGCCATTTTGGGCGTCACCGCCGTGGCCTACTCCATGGCCGAGGTGGCCTCGGCGTTCCCCACCTCCGCTGGAACCCCGTACGCTGTGTCCCAGCTAGCGCCCAAGAAATGGGCCCCGTTTTTGACCTGGGTCACTTGTTTCTCCAACTGGATGTGTCAGATCACCGCCGCCCCCAGTTGCAACTACAGCGGCGCCTCCATGATCCTCGCCTTGGCCTCCTTTGGCTCCGAATACGTGCCTGAACGCTGGCACGTCTACCTCTTGACTACCGCCATCAATGTTGTCCACGCTGTCTTGTCGAGCATGCCCACCAAGTACTTGGCCTGGTTCAACAACATGAGCACCACCGTCAACATGCTTTTTTTGGCCGTTGTGTTTGTCATTATCTTTGCTGCCAACGATAGACTCGGCATGTACAACGGCGACGTTGCCAAGTTCAACCCCAACGGCATGGCCTGGGGGTTCGATAACCAGACCGACTTCCCCACCGGCGTGGCCGTTTTGGTGTCTTTTATGGGTGTCATCTGGGCCATGTCCGGCTACGACTCCCCGTTCCATTTGGCAGAGGAGTGCTCCAACGCCGCAGTGGCGGCTCCTAGAGCCATCTGCTTGACCTCCACGATCGGCGGTGGCATTGGCTTTATTTTCATGATTGCCATTGCTTACACCGTGGTGGACGTGGACCAGATTTCCGAGGATCCTTTGCAACTAGGCCAGCCGTTTGTCACCTACCTCACCCAGTTTCTCCCCCGTGCCTGTGTTGTTGCTTGTACAGCCTTGACCATCGTCTCGTCCTTCTTCATGGGCTGCTCGTGCATGATGGCAGCCTCCCGTGTCACCTACGCCTACTCCAGAGACCGTCTTTTCCCGCTCTCGCAATACTGGAAAATCGTGAGCCCTTGGACCCACACTCCCATCAACGCCGTGTGGATCAACATGTTCTTGGGCCAGCTTTTCTTGCTTCTTTTGTTTGGCGGCGAAACAGCCATTGGCGCTATTTTCTCTGTGGGTGGTATTTCGGCCATCATCTCCTTCATCATGCCCACCATCTTGAAGCTCACCTATTCCAGAAAAACCTTCCGCCCCGGTCCCTGGAACTTGGGCTGCATGTCCTTCCCTGTGGGCATTGTTGCTATTGCATTCGTCATCACCATGATTCCGTTCTTGTGCTTCCCAACTTCGGCTGGTCTGAACCTTACCCCCGACGCCATGAACTGGACCGTGCTTGTGTTTTTCGGGCCCATGCTTGTATTTATCATCTGGTTTGCCGTGGACGCCCATAAGTGGTACATTGGTCCCAGACCTAATGTCGACGAGTACATCAACCAACTGGATTCAGAGAATGTGGAGATTTACAACGGCGTCAAGCGCCAGTCCTCTGGCAGCACCGACGACAGAAAATCCTGAGCAGGTATCAGGAACGTGTATGTTTATAGAGTTCATTGATTTGGGTTATGAGAGAATGTAGGGACAGGAAGTGTTGACTTAATTAGACTGTTCACTGCCTGAGGACCACCATGTATACTCAAGCGTGATTGGGTAAAAGCTGTTTGGAGCCATTGAGTAACGCATAAGTGTAATAGCTTCTCAACAATCGAAGCAAAGTCTTAATAATATTCAAATAGGTTGGTAGAAAGCTGGAGCATTCCTCAAGCACAATCTGAAAATCTGCCCAAAAATCAAAAGAACGCTTATCATCTCGGTGAACTCGGCAAATTTGGAGAAGACTTAATTTCAAAGTCATTTCCCTGATGAAATTAGGCGCCTTCATGTAAAGGGACAAAGCGCTGGCGGCTGTTGTTTGGCAACTTTAGCGCACGATTCAACCTTCCTGTTTCGTCAAAGCCCGGATAAGATAAAGCAAAGGAGGAGACCGAAGCGTGAAACGCTTTGAACTAATTGGGAATTTTATCGGCTGCCCAGTTTCATGAATTGATAACCACTATTACCGGGTTGCCGGTTTCCACCCTGATGAGAGGGTTTAATGAAGATCCACCACTTTTTTGAAAAGGGAGAAATTGAAGCCACAAAATTCTTTCTAGTTTTTGCTCTTCTTTACGAAAAATGCTTTTAAGGGAATTTGCCATGGGGTGGCATTCAACTGGAGCTCTTGTTCTGGAAATTTTGTAAATCATGAACCAGAGGATATTTCATAATAATCTTTCCGCCATTGAAAGGAAAGTGCTCTGGCGTTTTGATCGTCGGCTTTCCAAATAAGCAAGCACAAGAGAAGGCAAAACAGGGGGTAGGTTTCAGCCACAAGACCCACAAGGTGACGAAATTTCAACAAATAGTGAACCTGAGATTCTGCTACTTCGTCTACTCCACCGACCCGTCCTGATATCAAAAATTTCAAAACAATAACCACGTTATTGAAAACAGCGGCCTGGTAACCGGAGTATTCTTGCCGTTTCAAGTGTCATCTTGATGATATGCTACTGTGAAAGAAAACCTCTTTATTCTTCGAAAAGTGAAGGTCACGACAAAACCTCAAGGCAAAAAGTACTTGCTATATATTTTTATATAATATACGGCTCACCGAAAAGGTCGTTAGAATCCTCCTGTGGTGCTGATAATATCAGCTTCCCTTCGGTAGGAGCTCCACTGGCACATCTAGACCCGTACACCCACAGTATACTGTAGTAGCTCCAACTTCATTTCTCTCCTCCACGACAGAAACTGCTACTCTTTCATAAATCACGCTTTCACAATCAACCCTCTTCATATTTCTATGTTGGTGCCCATATGACAGCTGGCACAGTGCAAGGATCATCTCTTCTTCCGATTACAATGCGTGACGTGAAATACTGGTACGGCAAATTCAATTAATCATGAATTTATTATCAAGTTATGCTTCGTATTATAAAAGGCATGATTGCCCATGATTTTGTTACACGAATCTGGATATTCAAAACTGACAAATGCAATCGTTACGTTCTTTACTCAGGCCCCTTTCTGAAGAAAAGGTTGAAAAAGTCACTCTCCCAGTGAAGTTGGACACCGTTTTCAGCTTCAAAAACTTGGGCTCAGACTATCAAAAGGTGTTGGCAGAAATGGAAAGGTTACTGGACACTAATGCATACACATTTCTGGCCAATTGCTACAAGATAAACGATGAATATCACCAGGTGAATGAGCTTCAGCTTATCAGTTCTGATCTCAATACCCCTGAACGAAAGGTACACCTAGAGAATGCCCGTTTGGCCAATGGCGTCACCGCATTTGGATCGGGCCCGGATCCTACTATTCCCAAGGTTCTATTTGAGGTTTGTCGGACATATATCACTCACGATTGGTCCAGTCATGAGTTGCCAATGCCAACCGTGGCTACTTGCTTTTTAACAAGTGGAGTCAAAAAACAACATTTTCCTGGTCCCAAATTTCCCATGTCTCATCGTCTCGCGGGGTTCGGCTCTGAAATGAACATGGAGTCAGTGAGTGCGATTGACGAGGATATGCCAATCAAGCTTCGGGCGGAATTTATGCCTTTTCCTCACTTTAGACAAGATTTGTGTCATCGTATCGTGCTTCCTGGTATGTGTGTATCCGACTTTTTATCCTTGGACTTTCGAGCTACGGGATTGGTCGACGACAGGCTCGAGGAGCCGTTTATTATAACTGAAGTTCGGATCGAGTTACAGGAGTTCACGAGCACACATAATCATGAGGCGGCTTTCCAAGATGTCCGGACAAAAACGCTTCTCGAGAGTAAGCCGTTTGAGTCAATCATGCTTTCAAAAAGGCCGCTGAGAATTCTGGCAAAGATGTACTCCTGTGAATTACCTATGGTAGGTCCGACCTTCTTCGCAAATGATCTCACTAGAAGCTACGGCTTGAAAGCAACTTTTAAGCTCAGCCACGATAAAATTGGAAAAGTCACTTCTACGGTATTTGTCGAATTGAACATGGCTCAAGAGAAATCTGAACGCAGAAGAGATGAGGATTTTGATTATTTGCGGTATTATGGAAGTTCATATCCCTCTTCACACTGGACTCAAGTGGGGGTTGCATCTAGCAAGAACGATATTAAACACTTAGTCTCATCATACAGTCACATCTTCGCTAATTATCAAACGTACTTCGAGCAATATCTGCTTCTGCTATTCACAAATGGAAATAAGAAGTGTATTCTTTTTGCACCGCGGTTTGCAACAAATTTTGCTCCGCCCAGTTTCACATCCGTTTTGAAGAGACAAGCTAGATTGCTTTTGAGCTACTCGCTTTCTTTTAGCAAGACTCAGGATAAGGTAAGTTTGCTACCGAGGGTTACGGATCTGCCTGTTCCCGGCGGTGATGCATCCAATTCAGGAATGCCTTTTGCATCCAACTGCTTGATGGTAGGCGATCAAATTGTGCAATCTTTCTCGACTTGTCGTGTGGTTCGGGATAAAAGATCACCTCGAGATTGTATTTTTGAAATGGGGGTACCGAGTATGCCAGTCTCTCTTCGTCTCACCCTCACGGAGAATCGAAGATTTTCTCAAGCTAAGGAATGGGCATTGGCGACAATGGTGAGACCCGGAATGGAACTATCTGAATTCATGGATTTCAGCTTCATTGTTCCTCAAAGTTATGACGAAGCGAGTCATGATATGCCGATGGACGATATGAAAATCGTGATAGAAGAGATTGAGATCACGCTCGTTGAGGAAATGCGCTCATTCAAGAGAGATAGGAAGTTTCTGTTGTTCAAGAAAAGTGACCACTTTCCTTCGATTCAGTGGGGAGATTTCGAGGATGTTATCGACGGCAGTACAAGTGCTCGAAGTCTTCGACTACCTCGAGAAATTCTTGAGGGTGAAGTTCCTCTTGAGATAGAAACTTCGCTTGATCATTCGGAATATGAGTCCCCAAGGGCACATACGTTGCACTCTCGTGTAAAAGTACGTACAGGTGTGAAAATTCACACTCTCAAGTGGAGTCACTGGCTCTATGTTGTTTGAGGGAAGGGGGCAGGACGCAGCTATACTGGCTGAGAAATATCAAGTTACATCGGTCTTGAACTCCTCTTAGGCCCTTTTAAATTGTGTATTTGTTGAATAACTGACTCCAAGGGTATATGACCACCTTACCGTCGTGATTAATTCAATAGTGTCGTAGGCACTTGCCCCTTAGGTGAATAAAATAACCAAGACTTGCATATGGGGACGCGGGTCGCTTAGTTTCCTTTGTTCCGGAGATCGGTTGCATCGAGGCTTATTATATGCAGACACCAAATTTCGTTAATCGGTCAAAAAGAGACTCCGTTAGTCAATTGTATTATTTAGATAGGCGCCTGAGGGCTAAACAGTCGAGGACATAAATAGTAGCTACCTCAGAATACATGTATATTTCGAAAGGGGTTGGTAATCCCTATCATGCAAGGGGTGCGGCTGCGTGCATGAGGGTTCCTTCGCCCTCACCAGCCGAAGGGCTTGTTTCAGGTGTACTTAATCGAGCAGAACCCCAAGTGTCTTTTGATTCCATATTTATGGACTCTAAACTCAGGTACTCTAGTAATACTCTAGTAGTGAGCCATGAGATGTCAGAATGACGTGAACTTTAGCATAAGAGATCCTGTGCCAGTGACGCAAGACACACTTTTAGCGCTACTCATCGAATGTCCAGTTCTGCCGATACACGGGGTAATACCGAGAACCAACCCAAAATAATATTTTTCATGAACATGTGAATGGAGGGCTTGCGGGAACTAGGTTTTTTCGATTGGACTTATCTCGTCTCCTAGAACTCTTTAAAGGAACTGTTTCCAATTAGTTCAATCAGTACTAGTACTTTTCTTATGATACTTGGACAGAACTTTGAAATTATCGGCACCTTGTTGCCAATTTTAAGCCGCAATTGGCGTGTGGGGTGAAAAGGATTTTGGAACCTTCCCCGAACTTGGGTGAAACAAGTTACGCAAATCTGTCACCCCTCCACATTTGGTAAATGACTTTTTCGGTATTTCCGTGGAGCCCCACTATCGGGCAAATCTGGCTGCAAGTATTTATAGGCCCGCTTTCTCGCCACTAATTTCAATTTTTGTTCACCATTACAGCCTGATCGAAAAGCCATCAACCTCAATTCCCTTATCCTAGATCCTGCAATGTCGAGTCAAATCAATTCCACACTGAACCAAGAAAAACGAGAGAAGAAGAAGAGCGATGTATCGACAATGCTGAAGATTTGTGTATTTGTGGCATTGCTTTTGGCATTGGCAACCGTTGTCGTGTTTGTTGATCGAATTGGCGAATTGAATTACAAGCGGCTTGAGGCCATGCGTCAATTTGAAGAATCTTATGATGGGCTTCTTGCCACACTTCCTCCTGACTGCGACATAAGCTTAGAAGAGCTCGAGAAAGAGAAAAAGGCTGGAGAAAATTACCAAATATTGAACTGCCATCTCAAAAGCTTGACCAAGAAGCTCGCAAAGGATTCGGAGGACTTTAAACACTCTTTCCACGAAATTAAACGTGCGTTTGACGACCTCTGTGGAGCGCCTCCAGTTGCAAACCCAATTGGCTTCGATAATTTCATCACCCAGTGAGGCACTTTCCCGTCTTACAAAAGTTATACTGGACGAGAATAATTTCAAAAAAGAAAGCGCCAATACGGAGAGGTCATCAACTATTGCTGAGAACTTGAGATCCAGTTTTATTGACCGACATGCACTTCCATGTGTCGTACTTCAAAAAGATGCATCGAAGTTAAGCGATATCTTTTGTGCCTACTCGCTGTGAAACTCACTACAGTGCCAAGTACACCGAACAAATGTGTGTACCTATGCCCTTAGATGTCAATCTGTTGCCAATATCGATAGCAGTTTTGCGAGTACACTCAATTAACAGCTGTGTGCTGTACGTCAATTCGTTTCACCACTGGGTTTCACAAGTGGAATCGTTGTTTTGATTTGTTATTATAAAAAGAAGAAAGAGAAATAAAAAAAAAAAAAAAAAAAAAAAAAAAAAAGATTGCTTTTATATTATTTGAATACAGCTTGTTTTTGAAGTATTACCCACTCTCTCAAAAGTTGTCTATCTTCTCTCCTTAATCCTAACCATATTTAGGCCATTCATTTCACCTAGCACCTATTTGATTCTAAGCCAGTAAATCAATCTCCTTTTTGTTTCTAGGGGTGGCTTTCCGAGATATCTCAGTCTTTTAGCATACAGCTCAACCAGCCAATCAACATTTAGATGGGAGGGCATTTCATCTCTAGACTGGAACAAAAACGATTTCGTTATTATTGCAGTATTACCAATCATGCTTATTACGTGAATATCGTGCTTCCAATTCTGGTGGACCAAGTGTTTTCGATTGTGAATCTCCTCACACACTCAGTAGTATGTAAGGTACTAGTATTGAATAGATCAAAGTAAATCTCCAAATCAGAAGGCCTACCCTTCCCCTCTAATAAGACTGATGAGACAGATATGCTATGGCATACTCCTTACAGACGCCAATCTTTGAATGTGTCCCCTAGTTAAGAGAACACCAGTGAGATAGATATCTAACTTCGATGAGCTGGTGTAAACAAACATTCACTTTTGAATGGACTTCTTCAGGCTTCTTCAGGAGAAGTACTTACCGATTACATTAATCACATCCGTCGACGCTCCTCCTTGAAGTTTTCCCATTTTTCACTACAGACGAGTTCAACCATTTTTCAGCAAAACCCCAAAGAATTCAATGACAGAGAAGCAAACAAACTACCCATGATGAAAAAACACCCGTTTAAACCCCAAACGACACAAATTGCTCCAAATTGCCGCCGGATCAGGAAAACCGATTTGATCTCCGTGTCTTCTCGAAGAACCCCACAAAACCCGATACAAACCCAAACCGAGAGCAATTCCAAAACTTCACAAATCACAAAAAACACCAAAAACTAAACCTCCCCCAATTTCTTCATTTTTCCACTTTTCACTTTTTTTTCCTCTTCTCTTCTCCTGTCTCATCCCTAGTGCATCGCTCTTCGCAGCTCCCCATGGTTCACCAGCACCACCCGAATCCACACGGCCAGGGTGGCAAAAACTATATAAATCGAGTATTTCCTCCTCTTCTTCCTCACTTCCATTTTTTCTCTTTTCTCCCCATCGTCGCCCGCCCCGTCCCTCTCGGAACCCCCCGCCTTGCTACCATGTGGTCCAGTGCGCAATTAACGTCTTCTGACCTCAAGCCTCCGATCAGAGCCACTCTACCCCAAGGGATATCAACACAACCCACGCCGTGCTGCTCACCCACGCCCTTCCCAGGCAGTACCACTTTCCCAGAATTGGCAGATTCATCAACACATCGTCCCTTCACCAGCTTCGAGGAGGAATGATCCACCAGTACATGGCGCCGTGGGTGCCTACTTTCACATCGGCACTAGAGGCGGAAGCAGCGGCCAGAGACCACAAGCCGCCATTCACCACGTTCCAGTTTGCCACTGTTGATAAAGACGGGTTCCCGAAAAACAGAACGTTGGTCCACAGAGGCAGTCTTTTCGACAACAGCGACAACAACGTGATGATCTTTTGCACGGACAGGCGGATGGACAAGTACGACGAGCTCTTGGCCAACGACAAGTTCGAGGCCGTTTTCTGGTTCGAGAAGATCCGCAAACAGTTTAGGTTCCGTGGCCACGCCAGGCTTCTCGACCAGGAACACCGTCCCATTGTGGATGTTACCAGCATTCAGCCCCGCAACATCATTCTGCTGAGCCACAACAACCTGAGCGATTCCGAGGAGGAAGACGACGGCGATAGCGGTGCTTTGGAAATGTCCGTGGCCAGTCCGCAAAAGAGCCAGAACGGCGGTTCCGTCAGTCCGCAGCTGGTGCCCTTGAGCTACCCGCTCTTGTCGCCCTTGGCGTGTCAGAAACTCGCCCACGAACAGAAAAACCTCGCCGTTTCGTACCCCAACTTGCAAGAGCTCTCCCACGTGGAGTTTGTCGCCCCTACCAACGAGGACTGGGACCAGGAATTGCAGCGTGTGTGGAACGATCTCTCCAAGGGCCTCAAGCTGTCTTTCCGCCGCCCGGCGCCCAGATCGATGTTGGACGAGTCGAAGCAGAATACCATCGACAAGATTAACAGGGGCGTTGACGGCAAGGGAGAGGACAGCGGCCTCAAGAATTTTGCCGTGGTGGCGATGTTCGTGGAGACGGTTGACTACTACGAGCAAGAGAAGGACAGGCGCTACATTTACCAGAAGGACAGCTCGCATTTGTGGAGCGAGGAGGAGGTTTGTCCGTAGACGCCAATAGATTTGTAGATAGGGGGCAGGCGGGAGGAGCCGTCCCAATAAAGGAAGTAAACGAGGGTTTGTAGGGCGGGGACCTGGAGAGGTGGAAGGGATTGGTTGTTGTGGAAAAGTGAGGCCTAGGCGATTAGGGCCTAAAGTTATTGAAGTGGAGTTTTGGCTTCGAGTGCCTGAGAGCATTTTCAGGAATGGATGTCAAAGTATACTTAAGGCAATAAGGCAATGATCCAGGCAAGGCCGCCAACGAAAGAATGAAATCTTCTTTTTCCTTCTTTTCTGGGGAAAAGCAATAAGAGAATTCATGGTTGCAAAAAGCTTATTCGTGCATGTTTTATTAAACCTCACTTCACCGAAGGCAATGTCTTATTTGATGTCGCTGAGTGAAATGTACATGTTTCAGGGAGACGCCCAATTCACGAAATAGTCTCAATTTCAAATGACTTTTCCACAACGGAGAGATGTCAACTTCCAGTTTGGTGAAAATCGTTAATCGGATCTGCACGAACCAGCCTCGATTCTCCTCTGTTAGACCCACCAGAATCTCCACAAGACCACGAGAAAATCGAAAATACAAAAACCCGGAAGCTTCCTCAAATCCACCATTTCCATAATTTCAATTTTTTCTTTCCGTATCACCCACTTTTTGCAATCCGGAGCTCGGAGTAGGCGTGTCTCAGAAATGAGCCTCGCATGGGCTGCAGAATGCGCCCCAACGGCTTTTGCAACCGTTCGGGAAGCCCGAGATTGTCCGTGATTTCGAGGAAAAAGCGGCAAATTCGAGGCAATGGCACCTTTCAACGGAATTCCTCATACAAACGCCGCCCCGGCTCGGAAAAATCACATTTGCCTCGAAAAAAAAACAACCTTTGCTACTTTTCGGTTGTGCGTGTGACCGGAACCCACTAGCGCCGAAGCTTCAACAGAAACAAAACAACACCCCATGAAGGACCGTGAATATCCAAACTTTAACCGATTCTTTAAAAAGTACTTCGCTTCGTTTCACCAAAAATCAAAAATTCCACATCCTCTCACCTCTTCATCTTTTGTAAAGCGCGGCGCGGTGGACCCCTACTTGTTATGCTTCCTTCACGCACCTTGTTTGTTTTTATCCCTACTACTTGCTTTTCCCATGGCCAAAAAGTCCCAACCCGTTGCCACCAAGGCAACTTATAAAGGTACGGAAAAAACAACAATTTTCAAACACCTCTTCTAACAGCAGATATGATTGTCTCCGCAATCGCCTCCTTGAAGGAAAGAGCAGGCTCTTCGTATGTATCACCTCCACACTTTCTCAAAACAATCAACTAACAACAGCCGCCAGGCGATCAAGAAATTCGTGCTTGACAACTTCCCTATTAAGGCGCCAAACTTTGACTCCTTGTTCAACGTGGCGTTGAGAAAGGGCGTTGAAAGCGGCGATTTTACTCAGCCCAAGGGCCCCTCAGGCCCCGTGAAGCTTGTCAAGAAGGACTCATCCTCAAAGACCACCACCTCCAAGGTTTCCAAGCCCACGAAGGCCAAGGCACCTACCAAGGCTGCCAAGGTCGTCAAGGCCCCCAAGACCACCAAGACGTCCAAGACCACCAAGGTCGCAAAGACCCCTAAGGCCACCAAGACCAAGGCCGCCCCAAAGACTACCAAAACAACCAAACCTGCCAAAACCACCAAGCCCACCAAGTCCACCAAGACTGACAAAGCCGAGCCAAAGACCAAGGCGACCAAAAAGACAGCCAAACCTGCTGCCGGAAAGGTCACTAAGCCCAAGAAGGCCGCTAAGACCCCCACCAAGGCCGCCAAGGCTCCCACCAAAGCTGCTAAGGCCTCCAAGGCAGCACCAAAGACCGCTTCCAAGGCGAAACCAGCCACCAAGGCCAAGGCCACCGCGAAGACTCCCGTCAAGGCCGCTTCCAAGGCCAAACCCGCTGCCAAACCAGCCGCAAAGGCTAAGGCTGCACCAAAGACCGCTAAGAGCACCAAAACGGCCAGATCGGCGCCCAAGCTGGCGTCCAGGGCACCCCGGTCTCGCGTCGTGGCAGCCGCCGCCTAGATTGACATTCCCTATGCGCGCTTTTTGTACATTAGTTTCTGATACGTTGTAATTTTAGTTGATTGTTGTGTTAATGAATGCTGAACCATGATAATCCTGCACTGCGCGTACACCCTCTTCTACTACCTACCACTACTTCTTCCATGTCCCGTCCAAAAATCTCCCTTATTGTTGCTGCTCTCCAGCCTTCTATGGGCATTGGTGCTAAAGGAAAGCTTCCATGGCGCCTTAAACAAGAAATGAAGTATTTCAAGGACGTTACCACCAAGGCTAAAGAGGGATACGTGAACGCGGTCATTATGGGCAGAAAGACGTGGGATTCGATCCCCCAGAAGTTCAGACCTCTTCCTGGAAGAATCAATGTCATTTTGTCACGTTCCAATTCCAACGTGACCGACTCCGATGGCGTTTTCCACTTCAATTCCATCGACAGCGTGATGCTGCATTTCGAGAAGGAAGCCTACCGCGTCGGGGAGAAACAATTGGATAAGATATTTATCATTGGCGGGTCACAGGTTTACAATTCTGCGATTTTGGACCATAGGGTGGACAACTTGCTCGTGACTCATATAAACTATATTGGAGAAGAGGCGGAAAGACCCGACATGGACACTTTCTTGGACTGGGATCTCACAAAGTGGGCACAGCTGGACCACGCCGCTCTTCGTGATTTTGTTGATATTGACGTTCCTTCGGGTCCCCTCGAGGAAGGCTCCTACAGCTACACGTACACGATGTGGGAGAAACGTTAATTCATGCCAGACCTGCTGGACTACCTGATGTAGCTCTGGTTGAGCCGTGCAATCTGGTCGCAAACGACCCACCAGCAGTACTTCCGTCTGTAATCAGGGTTCTTTTTGCGCTGCAACATCTCGTCAAACAAGAAGAGCTCATAGAAAAGGCGGAGATTGGGCTGGATCACGACGTTGAACCGCCTCACACGCACGTACAAGTAACTTTCCAATACGTCCATGTGGAAGTACTTCATGATGGAGGCGATGGCCAACGACGCTGATCTCGAGACGCCAACCCGGCAATGCAATAGTGTTCTGGAAGACTTGTCATCTGGATCAACCAAAAGCTTGCGCTGGACGTGGTCTGGACACTCCAAGAGCAACGGCAACATCAGGTCCTTCCCGTCGTCCCGAACGTTGTAGATGTACACGATGGAGCGGACCTGAAACTGGAGCAAGTCCCGGACCCGTTCGGGAACAGCCACTTCATAGACCTTGGCTTTATCGTCGTTGAACAGGAAAATTGGCTTGATGACATTTTTGTCAAAGGGCCCTGCCTCGTGCTCGAATTTGCACCCCAAGAGGTGGAACCAGACGGGAAGCTTGTCTATGGAAATCAATCTGTTGATGCCGAGGGTCGCCAAGACGGTGATTGACGAGCTGTGGGCCGCCGAGCCGAGGAAAAGTGTATCGTGAATGTATGCTGGGAAATTCATATCCTTGCCTTCCTCGAACCAGTCGATTGGGCTAGGTTTTCTTCTGGGTATCTGCAAAATGTCCTTCACAGGCAACGAGAGTTGCAAGTGGGAGTTTTTGAGGCCGTTCTGCCGGAGCCAAAGTATGTAAGGCTCGAACTGCTTTAAAAATGTGAAATCCTCACGGTAGAGGTACAATTTGAATGCTGGTTTGCGGAAAATATTGAGTGCTGCTTCTTCAACAGAGTCAGATGTCCATAGCATCGACAAACTGAGAACCAAAAGAGAGAGACAAGTGAACCCGTCAAACGAGTACACGAACATCTTGCCTTTGCGTTTGAGTACTATGTTGTGGATGATCCTGAGCACGTTGACGTAGCTGATGATTTCTTTTGGAGATAGCTCGTCCGTGTGCTTTGCAATGGAGTCTGGGAACTCGAGAAAATAAGTCTCGTGTGACCGTCCGTCTTGCAAAGACTGGCTTATTTGACGAAGAGCTTCCAAAGACGGGAGCTTGGCGTTCTCGTGACAGTGGATATGCAATTTGAAGTCTTGTTCTCTGGAGGCCACAAGATGTTTGAAGTTGAACACATTGCCGATGTAGAAACGAGGGAACAACTCCTTGATGCCATTGAGCTGCCATATGAGCTGCTGCTCCATAACCTGCATTTTTTTCTGGTATGGTTCGTGGTAAAAAACGGAAGAATGGCCCCCTATCGAATAGGTGACTTCTTTTTCCAAATAAGGCGAGCATGCGGACCACTCGTTGGCTGGAAATTCAACAACATACACATTCTGGTGCTCCAGCTTGATGCTTGAAATCACCTTTGCCACATGAAAATTCGCCGAGCTGCTCATCTGGTTGTTATACACGAGGAAATGAGACATTGGTGCCATGAGTCGAGATTGCAAGTGGTAGTTTCTATTGAGGAGCTCTTGTGTTTCGGATGGGGGTTTTTCAAGCTGGTAAAAGTCGTCTAACTTTTGGAGCAGAGAGAACTCATAGTCCGTGCTATCCTCCTCTTTAAAGGTCGTTATGTCGCCGAGTTTTATGGTATTGACGAGACGGGGTTTGTCTGTTTCTGTGGAGTGGACCGTCATGAGGTTGAATGGGATTTGGGGTTTCTCGATGGAGAGGTCGTGGGGGAACACTTCTGGGATTACTTCCGGTGGGTTATTGAGCAAATCGAGGTCGGTTGCAGCGTTGAACTTCTCGTGAAAGTACACTCTTTGCTTGATCTGGCTCATTCCATGCAAATAAGGAAAAGTCGTTGTGGACGGCGCCAACGCGTTCGAGCCGCCGTAGAAGAAATCAAGCAACGTTGTGAGTTCAGCAGGAGACCCGATGAGGAAAATGCCGCTTTCGGTTTTTTGCAACGACTCATGGAAAGCGTCCAATGACGATAAAGCAGGCACCTGCGTTTCTGTGGAGGAAACCGAAGTTGGCGAAGCCGGTTCTCTTAAAGGCGAATCTGGAGTCTCGCCCAAAGGAGGCAGAGTGACCAAAAACTTATTATCGTCGCCCTGGAGGGTGGTATCTGAGCCCTTTCTAACCTGGCCCAGAACCACAGCCGTTAGTTCATCGGCAGGACCCCCACAAGCCGTGGCGGCCTTTGTATCTAAGTGCAAAGTGGATTTCGATTTCGCATGGGCTTGGAAAATAAAGTCTGGTGACATACAAGGAAAAACGGTTTTTTGGGTTTCGACGGGGATCCGGCTGAGTTTATATGGTTGCAACAGCAAGAGCAAAGTGGGTGCGAAATAGGTGCATACTATATTGCAGAAGGAAGCAAGCGAAGTGCGGCGGCAGTATAGAGAGGCTGGGTATAAGCAGACAATCTAGATGTCAGAAGACAAGGGATGTGGGGAGGGGGTTCGGAAAACAAGAAATTCAAAGAAATCGCCTATTATTGCTTGAAAATGGGGAGGTGGCCAAGTGTGGTTTCTTGCAGGGTCTGCGGCTCACTGCAGCAATTTGACAGCATTGTCTCACCTAGACCATGCGTTGGAGATAGGAGGCACAAACGGGCGGTTTTTGCAAGTTTTACAGCATGAGGATCAAGTAATCACCAAAACTCGACCTCCCTAATCCAATCACGTTTTGGCTGCAAAACAATAAAGCGTTAAAGCGCGCGAGAAGTTTAGGCTATGCGCCAGCATTAGACTTGACATTCCGACAAATCGGGGTGCCATTTGCACGAAAACGGAGTCGGCTTGAGCGATCGGCTACCCTCTCCTCCACTTCTCGAAAAACGGGGAATCTATTGTGGTTTAGGGAATCTGAGGAAAATCAGCTAAAACGTGGTGTTGCCGCCTGGTTACACGCCAGATTTCTTAATATGGCTAAATCTTGCCTCGGGCTCCAGACGAAGTTTCCCAATACGCGGTGTGCTTTTTTCGCCGTGGCGTGAGCTTCTGATTTAGCCTCGGGCTAGCCTGCCGTAAGCTTTAAGGTTTGATTTCTAGAATAGGCTACACGGTTTGGGGTTTTGAACGGCTGGTGCAAAAGTCTAAGCTGTGGAAGCAAACGTTATGGAAGCATACTTTTTAGGGCATGACTCTAGGGTCTTGTTCTTTAAAGTCTAAATGTAAAGGCCTAGATGCTGGTGATGCTGGTCGGATGCGAACCCTCGGACTCGGGCAGCTAAGCCAGATATCCACGAAACACGGTGGGACGGTATCTGTGGAATTCCCCTTTTGAAGATACATTTCATCGTCTGGGGCCGACATTCCTCGACGCCTTCGCTTTTTACGGGGTAATCATCGCCCAATGTGGAAATTCCATTATCACCAGCAGCATTCTCGCTAGACGAGGGCTTAGCCGGTGTTCTGGGGTAGCACATCACCAGCACATTACGACACAATAGCAGCAGCAGTCAGACCGCAGAAGTCAGAATAAGACTATGCGTAAATGACGTCGACGCGTGGTCAGTTGGCGGGTTTCCTTGGTCCCTTGGTGACTTTGTATAAAAGCGGATAAGTGAGATACGGCACGATGCTGGTGATTACTCAAACGGACCATCATTTGCTGAAAGCTCAAAACTTCAATTGAATCAAAACGGAACAAATCAAGAAAATCACCTCCCTCCCATCCTCCATGTGAAGCGTGTTCCACATGGTCCTGACGCAAAGTCACATACCGCCCAAGCCGCTCAAATGACGTAACCCGTAGGGAGCGTTATCTTGCCGCAGTCGTCGTAATTGCACGTTATCTAATTTATCCCAAAACGGCCCCCACGGTGGTCTCAAGCGCAACTTCAATGGACCCATTTCGCAGCCATAGTGTCCATCATTCCCATCCAGTTCCGGACACAATAGTCACAGACGCCCTTAAGAAGCAATTTCCATTATTGCGTTTTTCAAAGTTCCATGAATTCCCCTCGGTTCAATTCCCCTTGATTCAATGAAATCTCTTCTTTTTCATACCCTTCGATTTCCTGCCGTTCACTACCTCCTCCACCAAATGCACCACGCCTAATTCGCACCTACTACATCACCAAATCCACATCCACCACTTCCGCTTCCCATGCTTCCATCTCTTAGAAGGCTCCAGGCCACCCCAGCATACACACAGCTTCTTGCGCTGATCAAGGGCGATTTGAAAAAAGCCATGATCGCCAAAAACGACCTCCAGAAGAACACCATCAGACTGGTGCTTTCGACAGTCAAAAACAGCGAAATCGACGGCGCCAAGCAGACCGAATTTGAGTTGGCTCGTTCGCTCAACAAGATGATCAAGCAGAGAATCGACTCCTCTCATGCTTTCAAAACGCAGGGCCGTGACGATTTGGCTCTGGCTGAGGAGGAAGAAGCCGATATCATCAGAAAGTACGTGATTGCGTTGCCTGTGGCCAGCGAGGAGGAGATTCTGAAGAAGTTGAAGGTTCTTCTTGAGGAGTTGAAGCAGAAGGACGGGTCGACGAAGATCGGCAGTGTTTTCAAGGAGATCACCGAGGAGGTGGCCACCAACTGGGGCTCTTCTTCTGCCGTGATCAAGGCCATGGTCCCGGGGCTTTACAAGGAGGTTTTTGGGCAGAAGAAGTGAGGCCGTTTCAGCTTGATCATGCTTTACCGGGACTTTCTATCTTGTACATACTTAAGTTGAGCTGATCGGGTCATACGAGTGTAGAACGAGGATACACATAATGTCGTGACGATATTATAAAGACTATCTCTTATCTGTTATGCTATCCCTTGTCTGTTATGAGGTTTATTCAGTTAGACTGGTGGTCCCAATATGGAAGCAGCTGATCATGTATACTCTCGGCATCACATAGGCTCTAAGTGCTATGTGAGTCAGGACATACACCAGTACATTGACAGCCACTAGCCGAAAACCATGAACACCAAAGCTCCAAGACTATTTGCTCTTGGAAATTATTAATTATATTTCCATCCCCATAATTCCAAAATCTTCCCCTCCTCCTCTCGACCTACTACCACTATCGCGGTTGGGTGCAAAAAGACCACAACCATGAGGTTTCTTCTGCTCGTACAAGCGGCATGTGCCCAGGTGGTGGTTGTCACAACTACTGCTACGGTGTATCACACAGTGCATGCTTCGCCGTCTGTCGTTGGTGTTTCTGGGTTTTTTAACCTGACTACTCCGACTTCCACAATCCGCCAGAATGCTTCCAAGGTCCAGACATCCGCTTTTGCCGAGACATCCAGCCTGAACTTGCTGGTTTCTTACCAAAGTCCAATTAGCCCAGGCATGGTGCCAGAAATATCTCTGGCGACAGAAATACCGCTCTTCTTTGGACCCACTCTGTATCTCACAGACAGAAAGCATGAGTACCAGAGGCCTGGAAGGATGTTAGAAAAGAGCATGGAAGATAAGGGAGAGGTTCAAGGTACGGCAGTTGAAGAGATTGGAAAGCTTCTGGTGACCCTGAGTGGTGATGATGAAGAGGTTCCAACCACTCCAGCGATTACGCCAGCAATAAGTGCCCCAGAACCTTCTTCCACTGTTAGTACTGAGGCTTCCACAACCACAGAAACTAGATCTGGGTACCACGAGGAGAAACGAAAGATCCAAGATGTGATTGAGCGGTTATTGGGAAGAGGTAGCCACAACCAGTCCAAGTCCGTTGAGACTGAGCCAACACCACCAACCTCCATACCCAAGAAAACAAAAACTCATACTGTTTTTGTGGATGTCACAACGACGATGACGGCATTGGAGGGGTCGTTTTCGGAGAACAGGCTGGATGTGGGATCTGGTGGTACTATTTCGCAGCCATTGGTTAGCAGGGTCAGTACAACTGGTACAGAGGCGGTGACTACCTCAACTAAGGAGCACGAGGATGGCGGTTTTGAAGCTGTTCAACCTCAGCTGTCTTTGAGTATAGCTGGTACATCACCAGGATCGTTAGAAGTTACAACCACTCCCACCAATGAGGAGAACCAGCCAGGCCACAAAAAGTTGGAAGGTGGTTCCAAATCGAAGACTTCTGCAGCCACGGAAACAGCTTCAGCCTCGAATTCTGGCCCAACCGTGGCCCCTTCAACGGCTACTCCAGAGGAAATTGGACCCAGCTCTGCTGCTCTGGTTCACTCAAACAGCAGCCCAGAAAGGCCAATCTCGCCAGAAGTCGAAATCACGACTTTCACAATTACCCAGACCGCCATTGAAAGTCTGGCCATGGAGACTCTGGCCACCTCGTTGGTTGTTGCACCTGGAGTTGATGCAAGTGAGTCTGCCGAAAGCGATCTTTTCAGAATGCCCGTGGAGACTGAGACCCAAAAGCAGGCCAAATCTTCAGATTTAAGTTTTCACTCTGGCTTTCAAAACTCTGGAATCGGCTCAATTACCTTGTCTTCGCAAAGCCTGGTTCTCTCGTCCTCGTCCAAACCCACAGAACCAGTCAAGCCAAGCACCGCAAGCACCACCAATGAAGTCACAAAAGAGCCAATTTCAAGGAGTTCAGCGTCCTCAATTTCCACAATCATTAATAGCGGCGCTGCCTCGTTACCCCCTCCATCCACCTACTCAACCACCAACTCCACAAACGGCTCCACCACCAACTCAACAAAACGACCCATCAACTCCACAACCAACTCCACAACCAACTCCACAAGCACCTTCTCAAACTCCTTCCCAATCTCCCCCAACGCCTCCACCCCCAACGCCTCAACCACCCCATCCAATTCTACGAATGGTGCAACCACTACTCACCCATCACGACCTTCCAACTCCACCATCCCCGCCTCCGCTACAGCCCTAGTACTACCGCCTCGAAGCCGTCCGCCCATACAAACACACAGCGGCTCGGTGTCTGGATCTCCTTCCAAACAGCCGTGGTACCGGTCTCTATACATTGTGGTGCTCGGGATCGTGCTATGATGTGCACACTCTTGAGAAAAACTTTAACAACAAGCAATGTCGGAAGTAAGTAGCCGCCAAAAACACAGCCCAAAAAGAAATTGTACTAACGCCAGACCAAGAGAACCATCCGCATCACCACCCAGCAGACCATCATGAAGGATGTGCCGCCGGTGGAAAACTACCCCATGAGACAGTGGTCCATAGAGATCACCATGTTGAACGAACAAGGCGAGGAGATCACCGCCAGTATACTAGATAAGGTCACCTACACGTTGCACCCGACGTTTGCCAACCCGATTAGAACGCTCAAGCAGGCGCCTTTCCGTGTGGAGGAGCAAGGCTGGGGTGAGTTCGACATCCCCATTGCCGTGCACTTGGTGGGACTTCCTGGCAAGCAAGGCGAACGCAAATTCAGCCACGACTTGAATTTCTTGCAGGAGACGTACACCGTGGACCACCAGATACTGGTTCCTTTGAAGCTGGCGCAGTTGAACAAGCTATTGGCGGAGCTGGGTCCGGTTCCTGCCGACGACGGCAAGCGTAAAAACGAGTCTGACTTGTCGTCGAAGCTGAAGAAATTGAAGGGTGCCAACGGCGCCGCCACCAAGGGTGCTGTGGACTTGGAGAAACTCGCCAATGGCCTCACCAAGTTGAGCGAGGACGACTTGATTGTCATTGTGCAGATGGTCACCGACAACAGAACCAACGAGATGAATATCAAGAACGACGTGGACAACGGCGAGTTCACCATGGACTTGTTCACGTTGCCCGAGTCCTTGTTGAAGAGTTTGTGGGACTACGTGAAGAAGCACACTGGCGAGGCCTGAGCGGGTTTTTCTAGCTAGGGGGCCTCTGGAGCGAGCTTTGGGAGTTTTGCCCATCTACAGGTGTCTAGGCCTGGAGTCCTCTGTCTACACCCCGACATGATGGTCCGTCCGGTGGGGGCTGGGCGGCTATATACTAAAATGATACGACTGTGGAGGGAATGTAGGGGCGATGGAGGAAACTGATGCTTTTCATTCCTCCGAATCAACAGCTAAAATATATGCGATCAAGCTTTTTGTGATGAGTTTATCGTAATACGTGGGGCTCAGATGAGCTATAAGGCAATTAGCAACCATTTCTGCCAATTCTTCATCTCATCGATCTTTGATTATCAATCTTATACATTGACAATCTTCCTCCCCTACACTACTGGTCATACTCGTCGGATTGTATTATTTCTATCTTATCATGTAGACCACACCTTGATCATCAGGTCCCACGAGGCCGTTGCCAACCCCTCTCCATCAGCACTCACGGCTACTTGGGAAATTCTTCCACTGTGGCATCCGCTTCCCACGCCAATTGACTCTATTATCTCGTTCTTGAGTACGTCCCACGCAATACATCCATAGTCTGCGTAACATGCGTACAAGATCCGCTTCGACCTGCTCAAGTCCAACGACACTACGCCAGGCGTGTCGAAGTGAGAATGCAACGGGGTGGTGATGGTGGTTGTGTTCTTTGCGGGTGCAAATTGCGCCAGTAGCTCGAACCGTGCAAGTTCACACTCGGATCTCAAATCGAAAAGCTTGCAGATACCGTCATCGGCGCCAGCAACAAACGAGTTGCCATCTTGAAAGTCTGCAATGTCGTTCACGTCTGTTTTCAGTATGTTGCACGACATCACCGGGCCCTTTTCTCTGATATCCCACACCTTCACGAGACCATCGGCACCTGACGACATAAATGTGTTTTGCGCCGGCCTTGCCAGCATCAGTAGAACATCTCCAGTGTGACCCAAGAACTCGTGTGATCTGATCCCCCGCTGGGTGTCCCAAAGAGCGATCGTCATATCACCCGATGCCGTGAGGATCTTGTTCTCATCAATAAACTCACAGGCACTGACGTAGGCTGCATGAGCACCGGGGTCAGCCCTATACGGTTTGGAAAGCTCGGAAAGCTCGAATGAGCCAGGTTGTGAAGTAATAGGTTCACCGGGCTCAGGAATGTTCACCTTGTAAATCAGACACTTATTGTCCAACCCTGCCAGAGCCACCAATCTGCCGCTGGGTGAGTAAGCACAGCAAAGCACCCACGAGTTTTCAAGCGGGATAGCCTGAAGCTTCAACCCGGTGATGGCGTCCCATATGATCATGAAGCCGTCCTGACATGCCAGCACGATTCGGCGAGAACTATGATCCCATTTGACCTGGGCGATTTTGTCTCGATGGCCCTTCAATGTGTTGTAGAGCCTGAGATATCGTCTTGGGGGATTGGCTGCACATTTGTCAGCATTTCTGAAAGAGAGGCATCCTGGAGAGCCATGTACGCTTTCTGCAACTCGGAGTACAAGATCTGGGCATTCTGGCGAGCAACGGCGATCTTGCCGCCAATAACATCAGTCGTTACCGATGCCATAGCTTTTGCAACGAGGAAGAAACACTGGAGCGTATTTTATTGTTTGATGAGGAACAGACAGGTGAAGGCTGTCTCCGATTCTGATACACGACGGTGCATGCAACATGCAAAGGCTCGCAGGTACAGGGAGAAAAGTATTCTGTGCAAGGCTTGCAAGCACATATTCTGGAGATTCGAAACAAGGCTTCTCCAAGATACGGCTAAATGTTTGGGTAAGGATGCAAACTATCAACCGAATAGTCTCTCGAGTGTGCAGCTGGCGTGCATCGCGCAGGACGCATCATGCACGGTTGCATCCAAAGAGAGCTCTCAAAGCGGGTTTCATTTCCTTACAAAACAGGTCCTCGAGAACATAAGGTCATGCTGCTGCAGAAGAAGCACCTTTATAGGCTCTGGAGTTTCCGAGCCGTGACGCATGCTACGCTTCCTGATAGCCGGCGTACCTCGTTTCATTGGATTAACCATCGGTCGGCCTTGTCTGGTTCGGCATCGTATTTAAAACATTTTCCTTGCAGAAGATCGGTTGATCAAAAACCGCCTGCGTTGCCATTTGCCCGCCAAGCCGAAAACTCGTGACTTTTCGGGATCCATGCTCTCGGTTTCGCCGAACGAAAATGCTGGATGCCTGATATTATTTAGCTGTCAGAGCGACTGAGCCGCAGTCCTGAAACAGCCCTCACAGCTTTCTCTGTTTCTTGGGCTCTTTCTTGTCTCCATCTTCGGCTGTTCCCGCCCTTTTGCTAACAGCGGGAACTGGGGCCGCTGCAGTCTTTTTCAGTCTTGCATTCTTCGCCTTGAATTTGTCCTCTCTTTCGAGATCTCCGGTCACTTTTTGCAAATACGAAGGCACAGGAAGGCCCAGCTTAAGGAAGAACATTTTCCAGTTTCTGGCCTTGTCTTTGAGTTGCACTTGCGTACGGTTCTTAAGCGCCTCGTTGATTCGTCCACCTTGGCCAAAAAGCTCCAAAATCGTAGACCACGCTGGACCCTTCAACTCCAAAGCATGGCGAAGGGCCTTTTCTTCCTCGCGTGTCCATGGCCTTCGGCTCGTGAGTTTTCCCGACAGGCGGGGGTTGATACGAAGGTGGATCTGCTGTTCCAAAATCTCGCTAGGGAGAAGTGCAGATGTGATTTCGTTAATTTCAGGATTGCTTGCCTGATTGTCTTGCCCGCTTCCTGCTCCAATCTCATGGCCTTCTCTACTCTCGTAACCCTCGTGCGTAGGCGAACCTGCCTTGTTCTCAGCTGCACGGCTAGCTTCCTGTAGGGTCTGGTTGCTGTGGGGTGTAGCATGGGCTCGTTCTCTTGGAGCCAGCTTGCCTTTCTTGCCCCATATTAGGAAACCCATGTTCTTGGAGACGTAGTCGAAGAGGTCCTTCAAAAAGGCGAACCACTCGTATTCCTCACTGAGGTTGCCTTCGGCAGGATAGCTTAGAAGCGATTCTTTACGGGACTTGCACCTGTTGATAAAGTCGGTCTCTGTCGGCGTGAGCGTCTTGGTGCCCCTTTTCTTAAGCAAGATCTCCTCCATGTTGCTTGGCAAGATGTCTTCTAGGATTTCCTCGCTGGATCTCTCTGCAGCTTCAATGGCGGAAATGTAGGCTTGTGTCTTCAAATCAAGGTACAAGACAGCCTGTGGTTTGAGCAACTTACCGACCTTGTCCCCGATAACTGTGTTTACACCGCTCTGTAGGTTCATGTTGGAGGCAGTCATGTTTGACATAGAATTGGCAGGTTCAAGGTTGTTTGCGGGACAAAAGACATCCAAGAAGGACTCGTTGAGGAAGAAGAAACCGAGTTCGATGGTTCCCAAGGACGCAGCCAAGAAGGTCGCCAAGTTCACCTTTCGTAGCGTGGACTCGATACTCTGCTCTCTGTTCTTGAACATGCTGGGCGTGGTGTCGCCCTCCTTCCACATTCCAGGAGCCAAGTGTTCGACTGTAAGGAATGGGTCCTCTTCTGAATAAAGTCTCTTGGTGAATTCGAAAAGCGAGGCCAAGTCACGGAAAGCAGCACCCTGTGGGGTTTCTGGACTCGACGCAACTTCAATAATCTTCTGGTAAGGCCCTGTGACAAACACACGGAGAAGCTGCGTGGCCAAGTTGTCCAACACAGGTAGGGTGTTCACCAAAAGCTGGATTCTTGCGGGGAGGTAGTCGGGTGTAACGATAGGAAGGGGTAAAGCTGCAAGCTGGACATTTGTAAGAGACGCAGCTGGTGGTACCTGACTAGAAAGAGCGTTATATGCTGCCAAAGCAGTGTTTGTTGCAAGAAGCTCTGAGTTTGCAGGTATATGGGTGGGTTTGTCCAGTTTATCATCTGACGTAGCCTTCTTGAGTTCATCAGCTATTAGTTCCAAGTGGTGTTTTTCTGTCGAAGCGGAAAACACATCGTTTTGTGCCTCGTTGTTATCAGTGGGCTGCTCGGTCTCAGTATTCAGACTCTGTTCGTTATTTTCCGCTGCAGCCGACGCTTCATTTTCCGTCTGCTGGTCGCTGGTCTGTGCGTTTTCAGAATTCTCCTCCTGGGCATTTTCAGAAGCCTGGCCCTCTTGTCCCTGGTCCTCCTGAGCAGGCTGGTACTGCTGCCTCAGAAGCTCCATCTCATGTTCTGCAATGGCTCTTTGAATTTCCTGGTCAAAGCCATCCTCGTGGAGATCGTGCTTGGAGAGGTTTTCGTCCTCCGCTTCCACTTTAGGCTCAAGACTCATGCTTAATTATTGATTTGTGGTGCAGCAGATGTTTGTTTTCAATTTGTATACACTTCGCGATGGTCTGCGATGGTGTAGGTGCATCCAGGGAAGGTGATGCAGAACTGATAAAGGGCAGTGAGTATGCATTTATGGGGAATTGTGGTTTTTGGGGGCTGGTTGAGATTGACGGTTGTGGAAGGGGTTTTGTGGATTTTGGGGAATTTTCGTGTGGTGGAACCACCATTCAGGGTATGGTAGGCCCAAGTGTACTCCCAAAAGGTTCAAAATGAGGATGAAAAATGAGATACCGGCTATGAAGGGGTCTTTTTTTATACAATAAACAAATTTTAGGATTCGAAAATATTGCCAGTCTACTCCACTGTGAGCCGGATGTGGGATGATGGTGGGCCTCATATGCATGGAAAGAGCAGCATGCATGAAGAGAAGCTTCCTAGTGACCATTATCGTGTCCCTGAACATTCGTTTGAATTTTTCTTCAGAGTGTAGAGAGTTCTGTTTGTCTGAAAGTGGCATTAGCTCTATGTCATGGAAGACAACTACGTGATTGTCATCGATCATCGATCTCTGGGAGCCACAAGATCTCTAGTCCTACTCAAAGTATCATAGTCCTTCGGTCAAAGTTTCCAAATCTTCTAGTTGTTTTTTGGAGATCTCGAAGTCCCCGAATCTCCTATGAAGCCTAGGATATATTCGCCCATTATGAGCCATAAAGCCAGAGCCATAGAGCCATCGGACCAACTGACCCATTGTAGAAATCATGAAAACCTTGGAGTTCTAATTTTTTGAAGTATTTTCAAGAATCTCCAACTCTTTCTCATCACTAAAACGCTAGGACTCTATATCACCGTCTTTCCCTCCCCTCCTCATCTCCTCGCCATCCCCCACTACCAGCCTACTCCACACTCCACAGTACCTCCACAACATCTCCATATACTGATCCCAAAGAAAAATCAATTCAAAAGAAGTCTCCCCAAACCTATAAACTCAACATTCCTACACCTCGATGGCTCCCTGGAAAAACTAAAACAAGTAACAAGCGCCACACCCAGCATCACCAAGTCACCGTCCCACACCGCTAAACCGAAAATCACCACAAACGCCAAATCCCACAATGACCCCGGGCTCTTGGCTCCGAACTAAAAATGCTCAAACGGTGCTTTTTCAGGCCCCACAATCAAGAAATCGATCGACTCCGCTTCCTTCTCGGCTGATTCTCCAAAGTGCGCTACGGCTGCAAACCGCCAAGTCCGAACTTCACTTTGTTCAAAGAACAACGAGAGATGAAAGGAACGATTTTTTGATAAAATTGAATAAATCTATATCACCGAACCCTCGTCTACCCCCTGGTTACCTTCAGATCGGAAATCCACCCGGGTGGGTCGACCGCAAGGACTGTCCCGATTTGGCAACCTCATGGCGCACTCCCCGGACTTTCCCCAAGCAACTATATAAAGCAGGCGGATCCGTCGGTTTTTCGATATCATGTCGATTTCTGCTCAGTACTTCCCCAACGAGCCTGCTGCTCCCCAGGTCAAAACGGCCTTCCCCGGACCAAAATCCCAGGACGCCGTCAAGCTGCTTGGTCAGGTGTTCGATGCCAGACCCGTCTACTTTGTGGCTGACTACGAGAAGTCCAACGGTAACTACATTGTGGATGTCGACGGCAACACGTACTTGGACGTGTACGCCCAGATCGCGTCGATTCCATTGGGCTACAACAACCCTGCGTTGCAGGCGGTTGCAAAATCAGACAAGATGATCAGAGCCATCATCGACAGACCAGCCTTGGGCAACTTCCCCGGCAAGGACTCCGAGGAGATCATCAAGAGTTTGTTGGACGTGGCGCCAAAGGGCCAGGACAAGGTGTGGTCGGGTCTTTCTGGAGCCGACGCCAACGAATTGGCCTTCAAGGCGGCCTTCTTCTGGTACCAGCTGAGAAGAAGAGGCTTTAAGACGGAGTTCACTGCCGAGGAGAGCAAAACCGTCATGGACAACCAGCTGCCTGGTTCTCCTGATCTCGCTGTCTTGTCGTTTGAGCGTGCTTTCCACGGCCGTTTGTTCGCTACAGCTTCCACCACCAGATCCAAGCCTATCCACAAGTTGGACCTTCCATCCTTCAAGTGGCCCAAGGCCGAGTTCCCCACTTACAAGTACCCACTCGGCGAGCACACTAAAGACAACGAGGAGGAGGACAAGCGCTGTCTTGCCATTGTGGAGGAGAAGTTCCAGAAGGCTTCCGCTCCAATTGCTGCCGTCTTGGTGGAACCCATCCAGTCCGAAGGTGGCGACAACCACGCCTCCCAGGCGTTCCTCCAGGGCTTGAGAGACATCACCATCAAGCACGGAGCCCTCCTCATCATGGACGAGGTCCAGACCGGCGTGGGAGCCACTGGTAAGTTCTGGGCCCACGAGCATTTCAACATCTCGCCTGCTCCCGACATGGTGACGTTTTCCAAGAAGTTCCAGTCCGCAGGCTACTACTTCCACGACCCAGAGATTATCCCCAACGTTGCATACCGTCAGTTCAACACCTGGTGTGGAGACCCAGCCAGAATGTTGCTTGGAGGAGCCATTGGTGCCGAGGTGAAGAAGCACGATTTGCCTGCTGTGGTGGCCCGTGTCGGAGACTACTTGTACAAGAAGCTTGAAGGTTTGGCCCAGAAGTACCCAGACTTCATTCACAATCTCAGAGGTAAGGGCAGAGGCACCTTCATTGCGTGGTCGTTCAAGGAAGCCTCATTGAGAAACCAGTTTTTGAGCGACATCAAGAAGGAGGGTATCAACATGGGCGGCTGTTCCGAGGACTCTGTGCGTTTGAGACCCACCTTGGTGTTTGAGGAGAAGCACGCTGACATTCTTGTTGCTGCTATCGAGAAGGTGTTAGTCGGTTACTAAGTAATGCATGTATTATACGGGGGCGGAGTAGGAGCAGATTTTATCCACCATTTGGTCAATCGATGGATTGTATTTGGTGAAAAGATTATCTGAGTCAAGCTCATTGATGTAAAGAGGATCTCTAAGCGCATGGTTAACATACCCCCAACCATCTACATCAAAATCCAAAATGTGGGCGCCGAATTTAAACAGCATATGGATCATCCGATTCTCATGCCTCCAACGTCACATCAAATAAAACATCCACCTTTCCATCGTCCAATTAGATATGCTCTTGTGGGACCCCGGGTTGACTCGGTCCTAGCGCATTGGCTGCGAAATCCACCTCCACACGGCTGTCTCCGGGGTAATGACTCACTGGGTCAGATTTTCAGATATCCAAAACAAAAAAAGTATTGCTTTCATTTCTTAAATGCTCAACATGTATCGCCTTTTTCGCCTTTGGTCATTGTGGTCGACTTCTCGTCTTCGGCTAAATACCATAACCTCCACACCTCGGCACCGGCCAACTTAGGCCCCTCTAAAACCACCACCAAACACCGAAACCCCTCTAGCCTAAAACCCCACCTCTCCATAAAAACAATAAAAAACATAAATCCGACTTTGTCTCCCCACATTCAACACCTCACTTCCCCTCCATTCCTCCCAACCACTTGTTGATTCCCGCGGTGCGAAATATCAAATATCAACGCTAGACCAACTACTGCCTTGCTGGATGCTGCTGGACGCGTACGAGCGGTGCAAAAGCTTCATTAAGATCGAGCTGAACGCGTCGCTTCTAGCGGGCGGCGTGGCCGGCGCCATCAGCAGAACGATCGTTTCGCCTTTTGAAAGAGCCAAGATTCTCCTCCAACTCCAGGGTCCCGAGGCCCAGCACGCCTACAAAGGCATGTTTCCGACAATCTGGAAAATGTACAAGGACGAGGGCTGGCGAGGCTGGTTCAGGGGCAACACGCTCAACTGTGTGAGAATATTCCCGTACTCGGCGGTCCAGTTCGCTGTGTTTGAGGAGTGCAAGCTTCTTTTGTTGAAGTACAAGCCGCCAGGGCTGACTTTGACCGAGACGGACCGTTTGATTGCGGGTTCGGCGGGCGGAATTGCCTCTGTGGCGGCGACGTACCCGTTGGACTTGGTCAGAGCGAGAATCACCATCCAGACTGCCTCGTTGAATAAGCTCAACAAGGGCAGACTAGTCAAGGCGCCTGGCGTCTGGGACACACTTAAGGATGTCTATCGGAACGAGGGCGGCTTCTTCGCTTTGTACAAGGGTATTGTGCCCACGACTTTGGGTGTAGCACCGTATGTGGCTATAAACTTTGCCTTGTACGAGCACCTCAGAGACAAGATGGACGACTCCAAGCGGGACTTCAGCAATCCGCTCTGGAAACTAGGCGCCGGTGCATTCAGTAGTTTTGTGGGTGGCTTGTTGATCTACCCGTTGGATCTATTGAGAAAGCGGTACCAGGTTGCCAGTATGGCGGGAGGAGAGCTAGGGTTCCAATATAGAAGCGTCACGCACGCTTTGGTCAGCATCTTCAAAAACGAGGGCTTCTTTGGCGCCTACAAGGGTCTCACTGCTAATTTGTACAAGATCGTGCCATCCATGGCAGTCAGCTGGTTGTGCTACGACACCTTGAAAATGCATATCGCCAGGTGGTGAGTCACGGGAACTTGAGAATAATGCATCTTTGTATTATCCCTCCCAACAATCGTTCGGCCTCATGAAGCTGATAGCATTTTGAGGCTCTGATGGGAACATCTCCTGTTGGTGCTCGAGGGTAATTGCATCTGGTTCCGCTGGGCAGCTTCACAACCAATCTATTCATTGAGTCACGCATGACTGAGTTCATCCGTCATGGTACATATGCGCTTGTGGGACGTTCTATGTCTTTGGCTACTACTGGCTCTGGTCTGCAACTGCCACTTGCACAATGTATCTCAAACTGGTCAATCTAGACTCGCGAAAGATATGTTCATAATGCCAAGAATTATTGCCACCATCCACAAAGGCATAGGCTATTTCCCCTGGTCCCAAAGCTTAAGTTTGCGCCTCGCCTATGGACACTACTTACCGAGGCTCCAGCCGTGCGACACGGCTGCAACGCCATGTTATTGTTTCAACAATGGCCAACGGTTTTCTCGATTGTGTGCCACACGAGGCCTTCCCTTCTATCTTGAATTCCCCAAACCGCCAAAGCTCCCTCTCCATTGCTTCATCAGCCGAATAATCTCAGTGTCCCAGGTTTCGCAGCCATGCACAGAACATAGCACCGTGGGCAGAATGGGCCCATTTCGCACCCACCTTGGATCTGGCCCAAAGTCCTATTCTTTCACCCCATCGAACAAATATAGACTTAATTAGACAAAGGGAAATCTATTCAACCGAACCCTTTTTTGATAAAAAGCACAATCCCCGCCATTTGAAGGCGTCCTGGACCACAAAATGTGTGACGTCACGTGACCCCACACGCCCACCAACCAGCAGTCTCGTTTTTCCTGTCGAAAAGATCAAACTCTTCAACAACCCCATCATCCACCATGAGAGCCGCTCAGATCTTGTTGAACCAAGCTAAGAAGAACGCCCGTCCTTCCGTTCCTATTCCAGTGGAGATGTACCCATTGTTCGCCGCCTGTGGTGTGGCTGTGGTTTCCTTGGGTTACTTCACCTACAGACACTTTGCCTACGACAAGCAGCTCAGATTGTGGAAGAACGCCGACCTCTCGCGTGTCGACGAGGTCTTGAACAAGGCTGCTGAGGAGGAGAAGAGCAAGTCCGACGAGTAATGTCATATAGCATAATGAACACAAAGGGTACCAAATTGTAGGAGTATGCATTGAGTCTAGTGATGCGTGCCGCTGGCCTATTTACAGTTGGCGAATGTTCATGTAGTAGTTGGTGACCTCGCTGATCTCGTCAAGCTGCTGGATCATCTTGCCAAAGGCCTTTTCCTGGTCCTCTGGGAAGTCCACCTGGTTGAGGTCCTCCGCGTGAAAAATCGACTTGGAGTCTCGAAGCTTGTAGCCCCTGGAGGCCAAACTGTTGGAAACTGAGTTCAACTCGGAAGGGTCGGTGAGAATCCGGAAGAGCCTGGCTCCACCGTACTCGTCGTCCACGTCGTTGAAGTTTTCAACATCGTCCGCTCCAATGTCAATGGCCACCTCAAGCACATCATCTAGCTGCTCGTCCTCGTTGAGCGGCTCAAAGACAATCTCCCCCTTTCTCTGGAACAAGTACTGGCAAGGGCTCAAATTAGCGTTGAACTTGGTCATGGCGTGCTTGACACGGCCGATGGTTCTAGCCTTATTGTCGGTTTCTGCCTCGATGATGAATGCTGTTCCGTTAGGGCCCATGAACTCGTAGGTAGTCTGAGCTGCAGCGGAACCTTCTCCTGTCACCTCACCCGTTCCTCTCTTGATGGCGTTTTCGATGATCTTCTTTGTGACATTCATTTTCCTGGCCTTCTCCATCAACGTCTGGAGCTGGGCGTTACCTTCAGTGCCTCCACTCTTCACTGAAGCCTCGATACGGCTCGCAAGAAAGTGAGCCTCTTTGGATTTCTTAGCATCATTTTTCGCCTTATCGTGACGGATATTCTGCCACTTCAGGTGGCCAGCTAGAAGAGGTCTGCTGATATGGAGCCCTCTCTGGGGCACAGCCCTGGCAAGGCGTAGAAGAGACATGGTTGTTGAGACGCTGTGTCATGAAGATGTGTATATAGTCACGTGGAGTTTGGGCAGAGGTTGGTCAGAAGGGAAGGGAGGGGCACAAGTTTGGTCTACACGTGATTCTTGGGGTTTAATTATGGTGAATTTTTATTTTCAGCTTTGTACGACGGTGTGGTGATTTTCTGTGGTGGTTTGTAGTTTCTGCGATGGATGGTCTTTTCGCAGCCATTTTGAAAAACTGGTGATAGTAGGTGGAATCTGTGAAAGAATGGGTATTGATGGTGAGGAAATCTAAAGTTCTGATGAAATTGATAATATTGAGATAAAAGTGAATAAGAGCAAGTTTTTTCGTCTATGATTGTCAAGTTTCCTACGGTACTGGAGCGTGTACGGAAGTACCATGGCCAAGAGCCGAGTAGATCACGGCCGATTTGGTGGTATGATGAAATTTCACAATTTTCAGATTGTGTAACATCAATTGAGCTTCGGCTATCAAATCAGCCATGACTCACGGTGATCAGGCTGCACAGCTTCTAATTACTGGAGCGTTATCGGAAAAACTATAGGTGAAAAATTAGCCCATTCTCCGATAATCTATTACTATTGCTGTATCTGACGTTTGACTCGAGCAGTACACTGCCCAAGACCCACTCAAATAACAATTCTAAAACATGACCGACATGACGAAATAATTGGAAAGGGAATATAATAGATCAAACAATACACTTCATCTGTATTCATCATTCCATTAGTGACATCCCATTCACCCGTTGACCACCAACACCCTCAATTGGCTCAATGCCTCCTTTGTCTCCATTGGTAGCCCACAAAAAACCCTCTGAATATCACCTGTTGAAATATCTATACATTCCTCCGGCCCAACCATGACTTGCTCCACCATTCGCATTGGCTGCAAACAAACAGAACCACCACCAAACCGCCCACAACCACCACCCATTGACTTCAAAAAATCACCTCATCCAAATCAACCCCCTAAAAGCAATTCCCAAAACCGCTTCAATATATCCACCCCCGATAGCTGTCCCACCCGGGCCGGCTTATCTTGGTGCCTCGCACGACCGGCCATGTAATCAATGTGAGCATCAGAAGTACACCACTATCAATATGAGCGCCAACGAAGCTATGTCCAAGCGGTCGTTGCTCGCCGTGATCGCCGACGAGGACTCGGTCACGGGGTTGCTTTTGGCCGGCGTGGGCCAGGTATCCAATGAGCCCGGCAAGGAGTCCAATTTCCTCACGGTGGTGCCAGGGAAAACGTCTGTGGAGCAGGTGGAGGAGGCCTTTGACAGGTTTACCTCGGAGCGGGACGACATTGCCATTCTTTTGATCAACCAGCATATTGCCGACTTGATACGGTTCCGGGTGGACAGCTACACGAATGCGTTCCCTGCTATTCTAGAGATTCCTTCCAAGGACCACCCATACGACCCGGAGAAGGACTCTATTTTGAAGAAGGTCAGGCGGTTGTTCGGCGAGTGATCGTTCTGCTTCTTTCATTAGTAATATACATACATTTTGTACGCTATCCCGGCTACTTCTTTGACTTTCTCTTGTTCTTCTTCTTGCCAGGTCCGTTCTGCGGTCCGCTGCTTGGAGCGTCGTCCTCGAGGCTGATCTCGGTGGTCGCTGGCTCCTGTGTAGCCTCTGGCTCGGCCTCCTTGGCTTCTTCGGCTTCCTTGGGTTCTTCGGTCTCCTTGGCCTCTTCTTTCGCGAGGTCCTCAGCAAGGTTGGTGTGCTCAGCAACGCCAGACTCGGGATTGGCCTCGTTGAGGTCGACCTCAGACAACTCGCCTTGCGTCGTTGGCTCGACGGCCTTCACCTCTTCTGGTTGTGGGTCCTCAGCCTTTGGCTCCTCTAACTTTTCTTCAGCCTTGGACTCCTCTGCCTCTTCAGGCTTTTCGTCGGGCTGTTCCTCAGGCTTGACATCCTCCGTCTTAGCTTCTTCCGAAGCCTCCTCCAACTTGGAATCCTCTATCTTAGCAGACTCAGGCTCAGTGGCAGGCTCAGTGGCAGGCTCAGCAGCCTCTGGCTTCTCTGTATCTAGCGAAACTTCATTCTCTGCTGGCTTTTCCTCTGCGGCTTTATCAGCTTCTGGCACCTCAGGCTCTGCCTTGGGCTCTTCTGTGAGCTCCTCCTTAGACTCCTCCTTGGGTTCGTCACGGCTTTGGTCTGGCGATGGTGAGGTCACCCTAACAACTGGTGCTTCGGACTCACTGCCTTCGCTTGGAGCAGCTGCTTTAGTGGAAGCCTTCTTCCAGTAGTCTCTGCTCAAGATGTCCGGCAACAGACAATCCTTCACGTAGAAGTCTCTGACACCCACAATTCGTCTTTCTCTCTCACAAGCCTTCAACCACTCGGGCCGTATAATAGGAATGTTCATGTCGTTGGCCTTGACAAATTCTGGATTCTGCTTGTTCTCTCTCGTAGTGATAAAGTGTGTGGTATCGACCTTGACGGTTTCTTGAGCAGGGTGGTGAGCGCCCATGTTCTTCAAGGCAGCTTGTATGTCGTCAACATTAAATTGGTCATTAGGCGTAATGTCGCCCAAGCAGACTGTGATACCCGACAAGTCGGTCATTTTATGTGTAGTGACTTCCACCTCATCAGACTTGTAGACACCAGCGGTGGTGTCCAATCTCAAGTGGAACTTGAAGGACTGGTCAATGGGCAAGCCGGACAATTTCGTGGTTTTGTTGGTCAAAGCCTGAGGAATGGCACCGAGTTTCTTGCCGTCTCTGAACAAAACAAGGTTCTTAAGCGAAGCGGTGCCCAAGTCTAAGTCGTCCCATTCCAAGACACAGGAGGTCTGGGTAACGTTTTTTATTCTCAATTGAGGCGCCTTGGGCAAATTTTTGCCAAAGGTGTTGATGATTTCATCCTGGATCGCCTGGAACTGCTTCTTCTCCTCCAATTCAGTGTCCAAGTCTCGATCCACCTTGATCTTAACAATCGATCCAGCCTTGACTCCATTGGGAAGCAAAATTGTGGGGAACTCGATGAGGTGGTGGTCTTTAGTTAAAAGTAGCGCAAGAGAGGCGTCGAGTTTGCCTACTGTAAGCGACACTTCGACCATGGTGTGGGCTGTTGTTGATGTATATTTCGTATTAGTTTGGGCCCGTTTGAACACATTGTAGCTTCTCGATTGTGGGAGGCACGGGTGCAGTTTGGGTGCAAAAAAAGCGAGCGGTGGGCTGTATGGCTCAGTTGATGGGGATCCCCATGGCTCTCAAATCCTCCTCCACTTCGTCGTTGGTGGCCTTTCGGAGTATGAGCTCGTCGACTGAGTCTATATTTGGATCATCTCTGTGGATTCTGCCGGCAACAGCACATGGGATACCGTGGAACTCTGCGAGGCCATTGAGGATGCCAAGCTCCTCGTTGAGACTGTTGCGCTGTTCAACAAGCTCGTATAGCGTATTCTGTTTGATGGCCTTTTTGGACATGCCGGGGTTTTCCAAGTAGTATTCCATGGGCGAGCCGCCAGCGACAATGGGCCCGCTGAAGCCACGAGGCTCGTCCGAAGTCGGTATCGTGGGGAGGGCAGTGAAGTTGAAGTCAGGCACCAACTGGTCTAAGCTGTTGCGTTCCTTGTTGACCTTGTACCATAACAGCGTGGCCTCGGTGATCATGTCGTTCTTCATGTCCATGACGTTCTTCATGAAGTCCTGGTGGATCGCCGTGCGCAGAGCGATGGTCTCATTGTTGATGCACTTGAGGCTGTAATTGAGCGTGGCATTGGCGAGTCGTATGCTGTCCTGGTAAAACTCGTTAACCTTGAGATAAATCTGGAGAAGCTCTGGATGCAGCCCGTCAAGACAGAGCTGTAGCTCGTGTTCTAGCAAACCAAGCTTGTCCTGGTAGAGCTTGTCTCGGAGATGGGCAAAGTCAGTCTCTATAGAAATGAGCTCGTCCACTGCGAGCTTGCGGTGCTCGTCCATGTTGACGTCGTTCTCCTCTGCGATCTGCTGTTCCTTAGCACTGGCCTCATCGATCTTGTCAGCCTCTGCCTGCTCCGCATCCTCAGCGGCTTCTTCAGCCGCCTGATCATCTTCGTCTTCCTGCTTCTCGGCGTCCTCCTCCACGTCTGCCTCAGCTTCTAGCACACCGTTCTCTTCCTTGACAACGTCAGAGGCATTCTCCACCTCTTCTTCCTCCTTGATATCGGTGTCCTTGGCATCTTCAGCGTCTTCAGGATCCTCGTCCTCCTCCTTCTCGCCGTCAGCCTCGTCCTCGGCCTCGTTGTTGTCCTGTTCCAGGGCTTGGTCCTCCTCAGCCTCGGCCTCATCTTTGTTATTCCCGATATCAGGCACAGCGTCGTTCTCGTCAGCGTCAGACTTCACTTGAGTCAAATTTCCCGTCTCCTCCTCCACCTTCTTGGTGGCCGCCTCAGGCGACTGAGTCCCTGCCTCAGAGCCATTCTGTAACTTGCGCTGCTTCCTCGGTCTCTCGTCGCCATTGAGCTGAAGCGCGTCCTCGTGGCTGATGTCTTTAGGAAAGTTGTCGTCCAGATCGTCCAGATCGACCCCCTGGAGACGAGCCATTTCGGTGAGCTCCAGTAGAGCGTGCAAGTCCGAGACCTTGTCTCTCAGAGCGGCCTCGTCGTCTAGAAAATCCATCTTGTCCGTTTCGGCCTCGCTGCCGTCGTCGTCCAAGTCGCTTAACTCCGAACTCTCGTACGAATCCCGCCCCTTGTGTGCTAAAGACGTGATCTCAAACGCTGGTGGAGATGTTCCAATGTCGGTCAAGGGCAGGTCCTTGGTGTGCTGGGGCAGTCTCTGGGGCAGCAGCGGGTCCTGTGTAGAGTAGTCTGGATTTTCTGAGTCGGCCGTGTTGTTTGGCTTTTGACTGAGGTCGGGGATGCTGGATTGGAGAGGATGCTGTGGTTGGTTCTGGTCGGTGTCCAACTGGGGCATGCTGGCTCAGCGCAGAACGGGCGGTCTGCAGTGTACGGGTGGTGCAAGGGTTTTTCCTATAGCTCTTCTGTAGTCGACTTTGAAGAACGTGGGGACGTGGGATTAGCGTGGATGTTGATGTAGTTGGTGATCGTGACAAACAGTGATAGCTCGAGAAGGCGTACTGCAGAGCCAGCGCTGCCGTGGTGCACGGGTGTGGCACCAAGTGCCCCCACTTTCAGGCGTCCTAGGAAAGAGATAAGAGATTGGTATGTGGAAGCGTGATCTTGGATTTTCAGGAAATTGGAATGTGTTGTTGTTGAAGGATTGGTTCAATTGGGGAATTTGTTGATTTGGTGGTGAGTGTGGTGGAGGTGCTGTGGTTAATATAGTGTGAGTGAGTGGTGAGTCTGGAAATCGATCAAAAGTGTGATATTAGTTTGGGCATCGAAGGTCAGTACACCTTAAAGAAAAATATAAAGGTAGTTGCTTGACCTGATTGTCATTTGGTGAAGGTGTGGGTTGAGATAGTGAATGGCTGCGAAATGTCGGCTATTGCGTGGGGTATAGGCCGATCGGTGAAAAACATTGAATCCTGTCTGTGCAGCCTGATTTTGGCAACCATTTTCAGAATACTGTTAAATTTACGGTAAAAAGTTCATATTTCACATATGGCTATTACATTAATAGAAGGTGTGAGTGGGTCCAAATAGGCTGCAGACCAGGTCCTCTGAGGCCATCAAAGTACTCCATCGAGAACAAAAGAGACACTTTTAATTTCAATCAAGAAAACTCAAACAAAAAATACTCAAAAATCTGTATCGTTTATTCAATTTCATCGCGGTTCATCTATTTTGCATGGGACTCATGTCCACCTATCGACTACTGAACCATCCTTACACCCGTGCACCACGCAAAAATACTGTGATGAGATGCCCATCGTGGAGACCTCGTCTGATCTATACCTCCAAATCCACCAAATGTCGGCATTTTCCTCCCTTTTCTCGGGAGCGTCCAAGGACCAAACCGTGGAGTCCATGTTCGGCTCCTCGGCTGGTCCCGTTGACAGAGACTCCTTGAAAACTTCCAGAACCGTGATTGAGATTCCAGAAGAGCCTGAGATCAAGGAAAAGAAGGTGAAGAAGGAGAGAAAGGAGAAGAAGGACAAGAAGGAGAAAAAAGAGAAGAAGGATAAGAAGAGCAAGAAGGACGATGAGGAGGATGAGAATTTGGAGGCCAAGTACTACGAGAAGTTACTTGAGGAAGAGGAGAACGCCAAAAAGGAAGCTGTAGTGGCTGAAGAAGCCAGCGAAGAGGCAAGTAAAGAATCATCTGAAGACGCTGGAAAAGAAAGTGACGATTCCAGCAGCGATGAGGACGACGAGGAGACAGAAAAGCCCAAAAAGAGAGAACTGGGTGCCAAAACCGTGGACCTCAAGGAGGACGAACTAGATAAAGCCGAAAGGACGGTTTTCGTCGGTAACGTGCCCACCTCTGTCGTCACATCCAAGAGAACATACAAGCATTTCAAGCAGCTTTTCCAGCAGACCGGACCTATCCAGGCCATACGATTCAGATCGATTGCTTTTGACGAAGCCCTCCCCAGAAAACTAGCATTTGCCAAGAGAGCCTTGCATGATCTTAGAGACACTGTGAATGCTTACGTGGTGTTCAAACAGAAAGAAGCATCCAAGAAGGCCTGCAGCAGGCTCAATGCCACATTGTTCGAGCATCACCATCTTAGAGTTGACCATGTGGCTCACCCAGCCCCAAAGGACAACAAGAGAACCATTTTTGTTGGAAACTTGGATTTCGAGGAACAGGAAGAAAACTTGTGGAGGTACTTCAACAAGCACACTGGTGACGATGTCGAGTCTGTTCGTGTAGTGAGGGACTCCAAGACCAACCTCGGTAAAGGTTTCGCTCTTGTCCAATTCAAAGACACCCTTTCCGTGAACAAGGCGATTTTGCTCAACGACAAACCCATGGTGGTCAACCAGAAAGAGGCCGCTGAAGGTGACAAGAAGAAGAAACCAAGAAAGCTCCGTATTTCCAGAGCCAAGGCCAACGCTAAGCCATCTGCCATGTCACCAAACCACGTTGACAACCTCAGAAAGCACAAGAAGCCAAAGACGAAGCTTTCGGATGTCCAGAAGACCAAATTGGGTCGTGCTAGAACGCTTTTGGGTAAGTCTGACCGTAATTCTGCGGGCCAGATTGTTGTGGAAGGTGCTCGTGCCACCAAGGGTCAGAAAATTGCCGGTATCAAGGGTCTCAAAACCGCAAAGGGTAAGGTGAAGAAGCCTAGAATCACCGACAGATCGTTGCGTTTCAAGAAGGACCAGCAGGCCATGAAGGTTCTTGGAGACAAGGACAAGAAGAAGGCTTAGGCCTAGTGGATTTTCCTTAATTGACGAATTGGATCGAAGGAAAACGATTACTATAAGAACTTGGCTTGGAGGAAATTGCATAAGGTTCACTACTAGGTACCTTGAATCTGGTCTACTTTACGAAAGCTGCAAATCCGTGAATCTCGATTCGGAGGACTTCGGAGTCATTTCCCGAAGTTGTATCGTCTTACATAATGACTTTTGAAAGATGTCTTGAAACTCCGTGATTCTCCGTGGTTGGGTCCGTGTCTCAGATCCGCGGACCATGCCACACAGTGGAATGGCCATACTAACATTATAATCAAACAACGCATACTTAGCATGATTTCCGAGACTGTAGTATTAAAGAGATGATAAATTTTCTAATTGAAGCTAATTCAATGAAGAAGCCATGGATATGTCACAAATAGTCAAATGGTACTCCGCATAGATCTGCGATACATCAATGTCACCAGAACATGTCCCATAAACGGACATTTCAGGGTTCATTTGAATATCCTCTTTTCATTACTGTTTTCATCAGTTCTATTTCTTTCCTAATTCTGATTCTTGAATAGACGATCCACAGATGTGACAGTAGCCCCGAATTTCGCAGCCAATAGAACAAGAGATACAAGAGATGTCAAATCGTTTCGTATAAACTGAAATATCCTAAGCTTTGATCAAAAAAAGCAGAATTTTTAAAAAGTACTCAAAAACAACTTTCGCCACTCCCTGAATCTACCGTTGTCGGTCCGCTACCTCGCTGGTTATCATCCACAGTGTCTCTGCAGGGCGATAAGGGAGACTCGAGGTATAAATAAAGCGAACCCCCCAAATATACCGTGCACCAAGCTTTTTTCCAAAATGGGCTCCACCACTTCAAAGAACTATAAAGACGACGCCTCTGTGGAGATTGTCGACGAAAAGGCTGCCTACAAGGCTCCATCGGTCCGGGCTGACAGTGCCGCCGAGTACTTACAGACCTTGTCTTTGGACGTCTGTGACTACCTGAATGATCTCAACTCCTCCACTATCAAGCGCTGGGACGCTGATTTGCAACAGGACCCTAAGAACAGAATCGTCCAGAACGCGTTCTCTCAGCACACGCTCGCAGAGATCACCAAGAAGAGAAACGTTGACTTGACCTTGAACGACCGTCACCTCTTCAACGTGGAGGTCGACCCAATTGGACTGCCTTCATTTTTAGACAACCAGAAGTCCTCGGGTAGATGCTGGATTTTTGCTACTTCCAACGTGCTCAGGTCCAATATCATCAAGAGACAGAACTTGGACCCCAACGCGTTCCAGATCTCTCAGGCCTACCTCTACTTCTACGACAAGTTGGAGAAGGCCAACTACTTTTTAGAGAACATTATTGACACTGCCGACGAGCCACTCGACTCGCGTTTGACCCAATGGCTTATTGCTGGCTCTGTCAATGACGGTGGCCAGTGGGACATGATTTCCAACATTATCGACAAGTACGGAATTGTGCCAAATGAGGTGTTCCCCGACAATGCCAACGCTGCTGCTTCCAGCAGCTTGAACGCTATCTTGACCGACAAATTGAGAGAATACGCGTTGGTATTGAGAAAGTTGGTTGCAAGAAACACCCCCAAGAGAGCCGTGTTGGCTGCCAAGAACGGCTTCAACAAGCAGATCTACAACATCATTGCCCTTTTCTTGGGCTCTCCAGTGGGTCCAGATGATGAGTTCACCTGGGAGTACAAGGACAAGAACGGTAAGTTCTTCAGCGTTAAGACCACCGCCAAGGAGTTCTACAAGAAGTACGCCGCTTACAATGTCACCCAGCGCTTCTCGTTGCTTAACGATCCTCGTAACGAATACAACAAGTTGTACACCGTCGACCGTTTGAACAACGTGTACAACGGCAGACCAATTGAGTACGTGAATGTGGAGTTGTCTGCCATGAAGAAGGCCGTTATCGGTATGTTGAAGAACAACGAGCCTGTCTTCTTTGGCTGTGACGTTGGCAAGTTCTTTGACGGTGCACTGGGAATCATGGACACCAATTTGTTCGACTACGAGTTGGTTCTTGGTGCCGCTCCTAGATTGAGTAAGGAAGAGAGATTGAGAACTGGCTCGTCGCAGATGACCCACGCCATGGTGATCGCCGGTGTGCATTTGGACACTAACGGCAAACCTGTTAGATGGAAGGTTGAGAACTCCTGGGGCGATGCTGGCGGAGAAAAGGGCTGGTACTTGATGTCGGACGACTGGTTCGACGAGTATGTGTTCCAGGTGGTGACATCCAAGGCGTACGTTGAGCGTTCGCACTACGAGCTCTGGAAGAGCAAGGATTACAACTTGTTGCCATTCTACGACCCTATGGGCGCATTGGCTTAGTTAGATCAATTAATGAACAGTGAAGCGTTGATGAAATCGCAGTAGTAGTAGGTAGCGAGCCTAGTGTAGTTGGTGCAGTATTATGAGCCTACCTCACTTTTCAATACCACAGAGGCCAACAAAACCACATACAATGGCCGAAACGGCAAAGGCCAGATCCACAGCAGCATCTGCATTCTTGGCATTAGATGAAGAAAATCTCAATAATCAGTATGACCAGCTCCATGAGAGCTTCCAGAATGCTCTGTCTGTGTCTGCTTTACAGGACTTGATCCACCAGATCGACTCAGAAACAGCCGACATTGACTCAGATTTACAAAGGCTAGTGACTGTTGGATCGAAAAAACATACAGCCGAGATCTCGCTGTTGGAACTTTCCAGAGCAAAGCTCTCGGGAGCTATATCCAACTCCAACGACTTGACCAAGGTGTTTACATCAGCAAACGATTTAGGCCACCTGCTCACGTCTAAGATAAAAGCCTTAGATCAGGAGATTTCCAATGTGGATGCTACCTTGCTGTTTGTGGCAGACGTCCAACTGTTGAAGAACAACATCAACCAAACGCAGTATGCTATAGAAAAGGGAAACTGGGAGTTGGCAGCCAATTGCATCCATGTGATCAACCACAAGCTCAGTCCCAACTTGGTGAATGGTAGATTCGCCCTGGTGATGATCCCGCTGTCGGATATACCCGAGCTTCCGGCTCCTACAATCAAAAAATGGATAGAGCAGTTGACCATAGAGTTCCAGACACGGTTCAACGAGGCTGCCAAGGCGAGATCCGTGCCGGAGATCACGAAATACTTCCAGCTTTTCCCTCTAATAGACCAGGAGGAGGTCGGGCTCCAGTGCTACTCGAAGTTCATTTGTTCTATTATCACAGACACTTCAAGAACCTTGATCAACTCGGCCACTCAGGGCGAGTCCAGGCTGGGCATTTACGCATCTGTGACTAGCAATCTCTTTGAGAGCATTCTGACCATGCTCTCGCAGCACACGCCGTTGATCAACAAATACTACGGCACGTCATACCCTGATGCTGTGGTTTTTGTGGTTACCAGGATCCAAAGGGAGATTGACTCACAAATTGGCCTTATTGCTGATACATTTTACGACAACAACAGAGTCGAAAAGAAGCTCCACGATATCAAGCTTCATAAGTTCACTGAGCTCACACGCCGCTTTTCGGACCACTATCAGCAGAATGATCCTGAGGAGAACGAGGTGTTTGATCACGACATTGTGCCTCTCGTTGAGATCGGCGACTTGACACATGAACTATCAAGCATCCTCCATCACTGGTCGTTGTACTGCAAATTTGTGGCCGTCAAGTACTTCTCCAAAGGTGAAGAGGACCTCAAGCTTCCGACTTTGCTTAGTAACTCCAACTTCATGAAGAAGATCCACAACAAGCTCCTACCAGCATTCGAGGCACTTTTCACGTATTATTTCCGTCGTTCTTTTGAAAAAGCCGTCACCATCGAAGAGGTGCCATCGCTTGATTCATACTTGACCACTACCGCTGATTCCAAGTCTCCCGAGCAGCCGGCTGTTTCCTCGGTTGTCGAGGATCTAAGTTTGATTTTCAACAACTCGTTGAGAAACGTGTTGGAGTCCACCCAGCCTACAACGGTGAAACACTTCGTGGCCGAATGCGCCAAGGTTCTCCAAAACGACTTCTTGGGAGGCTTCATCCGCAAGGCTCTTCAGGAGAACCTGCCTCGCTACAACAAAACGCTTGCTCTACTTGCAGCTCAAGGAGCTGTGCCAAGTGGAACAGGTAGCCCTTCTGCATCTAGAGCAGGCACTCCAGCACCAGAATCCGTGAGTGGCTACCTTAAAGGTGCATCTTCTGCATTTGGAAACATCGTCGGCACAGGAAGCTCTATGGTAGGAGCCAGCGCTGTCGCGGCAGCTCACAATGAGCCCAAACTCACAAACTACGTCATTTATCTCAACACAGTTGCCACAGCCCAGGAGTTCTTCCGCCAGATTATCGTGAACCTCACTGTCAGAGACAAGCATTCCCTCAAGGGCAACTTTCCATTTGCAATTGACGAGGAGAAAATTAGAAACATTATCCAGGCCGAGTTATTGGAACCTCTCGTTTCCAGCACAAACAATGTTGTTAGACATTCGTTGCTCAACTTCTACAATCAATCTTTGAAAAATAAGGTTGCCACTATCGTTCACGAAACCTTCCCGGAAACAAGCGACACTCACTACATGGCATACTCTTCATCCATTCTAAATGACCCTTCGAACATGCTCAGGTTCAAGCAGTCTTGGGATGCCATGATCAGACCATACAAGCAAACGATGCACAAGACCTTAGTGTTCTACAAGTTGCTCCGACTCCTTGTAGTGAACCTCGCCAGCATGATCGAAAAGAAGTTGATGCTGGCGCTCAAGAAGTTCAAAATCAACGAGCTTGGTGCTTTAAAGCTCGATAAAGACGTTTCTTTCATTATCAACGAAGTCTGCGAGGATGACTACGAGCTCCGAGAGAAGTTTGTTCGTCTCACGCAGTTGGTGCTTCTTGTGGGAATGGACGAGGAGGAATACCAGCTCAATTCTTTCTCTAAAAATGACGAAGACGGTGAGGATGAGGAGGATGCCGGTATCAACTGGGTTTTGACGCCGCTCGAGAGGAAACAGATCCGTCGTTTCCGTGTCTGATCACATCTACAATTACATTAAATCAAAAGTTCATTAGACATTACTATACACAGATGGCTTGATGCAATAAATACCCTAGGTTGCCTGGGGAGGTGGTGGAGGTGGAGGAGGTCTTACAACGTCCGTGAGTGGCTGGTCATACGAGATCTTTTCGATTTCTCTCGTCTCACCCTTGACCAATTTCTTCACCTTGCTCTCTCTGGCCACATTGGGGTCGTATCTTGGATGACTGTAATCACATTCATAGCCCTTGGGGCAGAATCCAGTCACATAATGAGGACAGAGGATCTTTCTGACATGTCTATTGGGGCAATCCGGACCATCGGGACAGAAACCTTGCTCGTAAAGCGGGCACTCAGGGATTTTCTGTTGGGGATCGATATGCAAATATAAACACTCAGCGGTCTGAGTGCAGAAGCCGTTCTTTGAGTAGAAGAGACACTCGGGCATCTTTCTCAAGTTGTATTCGTGGAGAAACTCACAGTGGTCGTTTTTCTTGCAGAGACCACGGAGCCAGTGCTTGCACACGATCTTGTTATTGTACATTGATGGAACATGCTTGTTTGGACAGAAGGGACCCTCGGGCAAGAGTCTGGCTGATTTGGCTTGTAGAATTGGCAGACCGGTCTGTCTGGATCTAGACCGAAGGAGAACTCCTTCCGGAGAAAATCCTCAAACTTGAATCGTTTGTTTTTTGTGTCTGGGTGGATAACTGGGTCTAGTCTAAGCATGGTGATTGAGAATGATTAGAAATGTGGTGAAGAAGTAGGTGGTCAGGTCACGTGCGAGGATATGGAAGTCCACCGATTTCGACGTCTGGGGCCGGGAATTGGGTCCAAGTAAGAATGTGAAAAAAACTCATCACTTAAAAGGACTAATTTCTATATTTTTGCCCCGCTTGTTGTTGGTGGTTCCAAACTGATTGCTCATCTGGTGAGCATCACCAGTCAGTCTTACTAATACCTCAAACCAAAACCCGCAAAGTGGCCCCTTAAATCATTTCGTTCCTTCTCGTGATTCATCTAATAGCATTGGAATCCAGTTCAATCAATTTGTCCATGTCCCTCGTATATGCCTTTTCTTGCTAAAGCCTCAGCCGCAGAACGGCACCCCGACATCACCAGGTCCGAATCGGGAATACCCCCTCAGCCATCTCCATTATCCCCCATTATATCCAAAATTACGGCCCCCAGGGGTCATACGAAAAACACCAAGGCTGGGCACGTCAGGAGCCGCATCAGCTGATTTTAACGCATGGCGTATATATATCCAGCGATAATGGCTGCGAAAAATCCGGGGCATTTTTTCCACAACGATACACTTTCGGCTTTTATACCTCCGGCTTCCGGTTTTCCTTGTCGCCGTTTTCTTTTTCGTTTTGTGGGCACGTTCCTTGACTTACAGAGCCTCCATGTCCATGGTGACGGTTTCCATGAGACACTATGACGCTGTGGTGGTGGGGTCCGGTTTGGCTGGCCTTACTGCTACTCTTTCTTTGGCCCAGAAGGGCATGAAGGTGGCGCTTCTTGAAAAAACTGACAAATTGGGCGGAAACTCCATCAAGGCCTCTTCAGGCATCAATGGCGCCCAAACACGGTTCCAGGAACCAGGCGACCTGGTATCGCTTTTTGCTCAAGATACCATCAAGTCTGGCAAGGGCCTTTCCAATCCTCAATTGGTTGATGTGCTTTCGGAAAACTCAGCAGACGCCATCCACTGGCTTTCTGACGAATGTGGCGTTGATTTGAGCGATGTGGCGATGTTGGGTGGTCACTCTTTTGCTCGTACTCACAGAGGTAAAGGACCGCTTCCGCCTGGATTTGCCATTGTTTCGGCGTTGATCAAGAAAACCGAGGCGGCGAAGAATGTGGATGTTTTGAAACTGACCACGCTTCGGAGCTTCAGAATCCACTCGGATCTTGTGGCTGATGGCGTGGAAGTGGAAGATCCAGACCACAAGTTCACGCTTCTTTCGAAAAACATTGTCCTAGCCACCGGCGGCTTTTCTGCTGATTTTTCGTCCTCCAGTCTTCTCCAGCGGTACCGGCCCGATTTGGTACATCTTCCGCTGACAAATGGCCAACAGACCACTGGAGATGGCCAGAAACTCGCTGAAAAGCAGCTCAATGCCAGACTTATAGACATGGACGCCGTTCAGGTGCACCCTACTGGATTTATCCAATTGAAGGACGATCTGACCGTCGGCAGCAAATGGAAGTTTTTGTGTGGAGAGTTGATCCGAGGCATTGGAGGTGTGCTTCTTTCACCCAATACTGGTGCCCGTTTTGTGAATGAGCTTACTACGAGAGATAACGTTACTCATGGAGTTTTTGAGAGTTGTCAGAGCGACAGTAACATTGCGTTTTGTGTTGTTGCAGTCAGCGAAGAGGATTACCTCAAGGCTAAACCACACATTGATTTCTACATTTCTCAGAGCCTTATGTTCAAAGGAAGTGCTGAAGACGTTGCAAGCAGAGCAAAGCAGATCTCTTCTAAACCTATAGATCCAGAGAAATTGGCAGGCGGCCTTAAAGAGTATAATCTGGCAATTGGAAACGACAAGCTTGGAAGAACCAACTTTGGCAATCCATTTGGCGAAAACTTCTACTACGGCTTCGTTACACCGGTTCTTCATTTCACTATGGGCGGAGTGGCCATCAACGACCAAGCTCAGGTGATCACCGATTCAGGCGAGCCTATGCAAAATGTCTATGCTATTGGAGAGGTTAGTGGGGGTGTGCACGGCGCCAACAGGCTTGGAGGCAGCTCGTTGCTTGAGTGTGTGGTTTTTGGACGTAAAGTGGCCGAGAAGCTCGGCCCCAATTTGTAATTAATGCATCTATGACGAACGTAAACGGTGCAGCTTAGAAGGAGCGCTCCAAATTGATACCTTCCATTTTGCCCAAGGCCTCCAAATTCTCTTTGGAGAGTTCGTGGGCAGGAAATACTCCATCTAGATTGGGAGGGCTGCTTTGGAGAGGGTTGGGGAGATCTTTGGCTGCTGGAGGGATCTTGGATCTCCGCCGCTGCTCCTTCTCCTTCTTAGGGCGTTTTTTCTCTTCCGAGGGCCCTTCGACAAACTCCATCATGGCCAGTCTTCTTCTAACCCCCTCGTTGATCCAGAACTCGTTCCTGTAGAGCTCCCATCCCTCTCTGATATCCGTATTGAACGAACGAGGCATCAATGTCAATTTGACATCGGTAAGGCCAAACCGTGGCTGGCATTGCAGCTGTGCTGAGACCAAGAACACCTCAAGCCTGGAACTGGGGTTCTGGATCATCGAAGGGTAAACGGTGTGTAAGCTTCGTAGGCACATGGTGCACAAAAAAAGCCCCGCCTCTCGTATGAGGTCCACGGTGGAGTCAGTCATGGACGTTTTGATTTTCACCAAACGCAAATTAAGCTGGCGCAAGCCTTTGTTTGTGGAAGAAAGAAACTTCCTCGGGAGAACAATCGTCTTTTGGTATTCTCCCGACAAGTGGTAGAGCATCAACGTGACGGACAATGCCAAAAGCAGGAGTTGAAGCAGAACCCTGACGGAAGCGCTGTGTTCGTTGAAGTACAAGTGGTGGGATATCGAGGCTATAAGCGAGCAGAGAACGGCCAAGAACGTCAAGTATTTCCGTCTGAGCGCCCGTTGTTGCATGACCTGCTGACGGAGGCTTTCCTCGAGAATCAACAAATTCCTGAAAATCTTGCCCGCTGCTGGGGTCAGCGTATACCCGCTTCCAGGAAACTCAGACCGATGGGACCGCTCCAGAAACACATCTGAGTTTCTCAGCTTCCGTCTCAACCTCTTTTTCTGCTTCGGCAGCAGCCCAGGCAGACTGGACGGTGACCCTAGCACGGCTTTCTTTTTTCTCTTTACATCCTTCAAAGTCACCAGCTGTGTTTCCAGCTCAGAAGCGCTCAGGTAAACGTGGGCGCCGGCTTCTCTTGCGTCGCTTTCTGAGCCGTTGTCGGACGGTGCCAGCCATCTTTTTTCCATTTCGTTTTCACCCATTAACGAGCTTAGAGACGACGATCCGTGAACATGTGAGAGCCCTGGATCTTCCGAAAGCATGCTGTCGTCATCGGACCGAGGCGAGAGCTCAGGAGTATCCGACGACATTATGGTGTTTGTTCGAGTGTTTGCTGTCTTGTGGGCCTTGGTGAACCTGGGGTAATGTCAGATGTGCTAACTTATTTTTTTTGTGCGAATCCTGATAAGCACTGGTGATAGTCTGGTGGCAGTGTGCCTGGGGTGTTTTTTGGTATATAAGGTAGAATATAAGAAAGAAAGGTCTTGTCGAGTTTGAAGGTTTTGAAAAATTTTACGGTCTTCACAATCCGTGCCTGAACGACTGGGGTAGTCATCCCCTCAGCCTGAGGTATTTCCTAAAGGGTACATACTAGCAAGCCACAGAACGAGCAGGCTTATTCTGGCGATCTTCGATGAGCAAGGATACTGAGTTTTGAGCGGAGATCGAAGGGCTGAAAGGTACGTTTTTGAGGAAGGAGGAAAATTTCGGTATGTTTTTGGAGGATACTATGAATGCCGTTCTAGCACAGTGTCTGTCGCATTTACAGTGAGCAGACATCTTTAGCCCCAAAAACCGATTTCCAGCCACGGCAGATATTTAAAAAAGCTAGGGCGTAATAAGAGTTAAAGAAATTTTCGAAATTGACTTTCAAATCATGCACCATAGCCCGATCTGGCAGACTTCAACAGCCTGTGTCTTGATAATCCGGCAGAGAACCACAACTACTACCACCAGAGCCGTTCAGTAGTGGGAGGAGATCGTAATCAAGATTTTGATGGATCTCTGAGGTCATATTCAAGGAAAATTTTGGAGCCCATTCATGTATATTTGAGATCTAAGGAGGGTCCAGACAATGAAGCAGGTCTGCTATGGTTCGTCACGGCAAGAGCGAAAATCTACCACTTCAAATTATTCATGTGGATTTGGCTGGACAAATCGAACCCAAAGGTCACAATGGTGAACAATACTTAGTAATTGCCGTTGAGGGATATTCAGGAATGATCCATCTTGAAGACTTCCTTTAGATCAACTTGCTAAGGAGCCGACGCTTGGGTCAATTTACTTTTTACGGAAGTAGAAGCATAATCGTCGAGTACCTTATTCTTCCTGACTTCCCATTGACTATTGATCACTCCCTGATTCTTGGTTGAGCTTAAGCTGCCCTCTTGCTAAGGTGCTATCATATGGCGACAATTCTGGAATGTTTTCTTTAGTGATTCCGTGAAAGCCTTCAACCCACTTACCACATAACTTTTTCTCCAATTGGCGGGAGATTTAGCGTAAAGGTCCTGGTGTTGCAGATTCTCGAGGGACTTAAGTAGGTCTCATCAGAAGGCTCATTTGAGACGCTGAGAAAAATTAAACGGAAGATCTCCGAGTAATGTTGATAGACAATTGACACCAACGTCCACAATTCCTTTCAAAGCTTCTCGGGTTCAATTGGCTTCTGGATCTCATCAGATGGAATCGCTCGAGTCATCATTACTCAACTTTATATGGTAAACGCTTCACTAGGATTCTCAACTAACAATTTTCAAGAATAAGAACAAAATAGGAGATAGTCAAAAAAATTGAAAATTCTATTTTTCCACTTTTCCGCACAGTTTGGGAGCTTCTTTATCCTTGTTTCAGATGTCAGCCGCACCTCCACACTCCGAAAGATGCACCATAATGGCCGATTGACGCGTGTAATTACATTCAATAATCAAAAGAAATACAAAAGACCGGGTAACGTTCAGTCTGACGCGTCGCCTTACCCCCACCTGCGGAATATAAATACCAGACTATCCATTTTGTCGAGATATTAAACCAATACTTTTCTATTACCACCTTTCAATGTTGCGTGCTAGTTTTAATCCTTGGAGGAGATTTGAAAGATCTGAGGCTACCTTCTTTTTCTACCATGGAGCCTTTCTTCATAGCATCTTTGTCGTGGGACTTTGTGGGCATCTTGCCTACATTGCAATTCCACCTTCACCACTGGCCATCAGGGAGCCCTACGAGGTGTATTTAGGTGCCATTTCGAAGATTGTTTTGAAAGAGTTTTCACCCCATTTAGCCAATTCTACCGAATTTGATCTTAGAATCAAGGCTCCTATGGATTGGAGAGGCGTGTTTGAGAGCCTCGGTATCCCTGGCATTTCTGAAATCCTAGCCGATCCCATATATGAATATGTGGGAAGAGCAATTGCTATTTATGCCTATAGGGAAATGGAAAGTGCACCTTATTGGTATTCCATGTCTCAGTACGCCCTGAGAGTAGTACGCGTACTCCTACTCCTCATGCTTGATGATTTTATGCTCATGGCGGTTTACAACAACAGAAGCGGACATCTGAACTTTTTATCACTTGCGCATCTGCTACACTATTCTATTGCCTTGACGATGGTATTTGTGAGTGTCATGGCCAGCATTTGTCATCAGAACCTGCGTATCTTGCCATCCTACTTAGTCGTTGCAGTATACTCATATTTCATGAGTAACAATTTTTTGAATGCTGCAAATATAACGCGTTCAAACACCTCTAAACTTGAAGTCGACTCCCAATCGCAAGGTGCTACACAAAATGGACCCAGTGGGACAGATAAAATGAGAAAAATGTGCCCTAAATGTGCGAGGAAGACTAAAAAGGGGCCAGAAGATGTCAATGCAAACCGCATATGGCTAAAGAGACCACTGACGGCACCAGAGCCACGTTCCCCGAATGGCAGCGTATGGTCTCTTGCGAGTGCTACAAGGAGTTTCTCCGCGATCTCAAGCTCCAATCAAGAGCCTGAAATATTGTTCGTACCTAGGATCAATCAGAAATTGTGAGCATTGAATGCAAGAGGTTTGGGAAGCAACAACCATCGAAGGAGCATACCTCAATGAGTAGTCAGCGATATAGAGAGCCTCAAGAACTATGCTTTCGTTTCGAGAAAAGAGCAAAGCCATGCCTTCCATTAGGAAAAGTGAACTTTGAACCAGCTGCTCATTCACTCCGGAAATACCCAGACGAGGTATCACGGTATGATCTAGCCGGCCGATAACATGGGCGCTATGAAAGAGGCAAATTCATCTGAGAATTCGTTTGAGCAAGGTATTTGTGTTGATCAGAGAATTTTTGAGTACCTGCTTTAGAGCCACAACTCAAAGCATATACTTTCAAGGCTTTAATATCTAGAACGATTCATCTAGGCGCTGTCAAAGAATTCCCTATTCATGAATTCTTATCATCAGAAATTATAAAATCGACACCAGCACACAGCCTTTTTACTTGCGATGGGTCAGAGCCCTTTAATGTGGCCTCCACATAAAGTTTATAACATCTATGAAGTGTGCTAGAGTGGAGTGATGGCGCCACATCGGGGATTTTGATCCGTTCAACAGGATTGAAAAAGGTGCAGACCCTACTATCACCGATTATGGTACGAGTATTAGAGTCACGTTTCACCCTTCCTGAATCAAAAATGCTATGTTGCCTGTGATGAATAGCCTGACCAGCTTGTGTCAAATAAAGAATCTGCTCTGCGAGATAAAACTTGAACAAGGGAAAGTGTTTATGATTGAACGACTCAGGTATTCTCAAAGTAATTGCAATGTAAGGATTACAGATCATACCAGGATTGGCAACCGTTGTTCCTTTGTAATGCATTGTCATTTCTAATTGCTCGTCTTGTTCTTCGATGATGGGGGGACGGAAGTTTTCGAGAATCTTGAGACAATTTGGTACTTCGAATGATAAGTTAAGATTACTGTGAGAACCACTGTCTGTCTTCGGCCACCAATGGTCGTTGAAAAAAGTTAGTGAAAACTCCGTCCCGTCGTCTTCTCTGATTAGAACCTCTGAAAGCCAAAGCTCAATAACGTAAAATGTCGAAATGGCAAACAAGGTGTCTGCATCACTCACCACCGAAGTCTGGTAACCAAAGCAGCTTTTCATTATCTTTGCTTTCAGAAGAGTACTCTCCAGAATCTGATCTAAAGCATCTGGAGCCAAGGCGTATTTCTCAAAGTAGACCAAATCTTGCACCTTTGTGAATTCATTAGAAGCAGCGCCCGGCATTAAATCCGCTTCAGCCCCGATATCAATATTCAATGTTGTGGAGAGACGCTCTGAACAAGGAATATCCCACAAAGTGCATTCCACATCAAGGTCAATTCGAATCTGGTAGGTTCGACTGCGATAGTTGGAGTGAAAAGTTGGCCCAAGTTGTGGAAGATTGCAATTATAAAGAGAGGCAGGTGGATGCAAGACGTAACCCTCACCAGCGTTTTCGAATTGCCAGGCAGAGAAGTGATAAGTGATAACTGAGTCTTTCAAAACATGGGAGCGAGTCTTTTCAATGACTTCGATCACTCCACCCTTCTGTACTTTGAGACTAGTATGTTCCTCAAGTGTAACAATTACATGTGAGAGGAGAACAGCTGCATCACAGTTGCACAAAGCTGTACCTCTTCGTTGGAAGCCAACACTTAAAAAGTCCTTCAAGCTTGATCCACTCTTCACAAAGTTACACCGCAGAACTAGCCTGTACTCTTTTGGTGGAATGTAAGTTGCAATAGGCTCCATAGAAATAGAACTCTCACTGTTCTTAGTTTCACTGTCCTGGTGCTCTACGTCATCATAGTATTTTTCAGAAATTGTCCGAATTCCAAGATCAAGAGGAATTTTGGCTCCTCCAATTTGAAGACATCGTAAAGCAATCAAAGTCTCTTTACTCGAAGACTCAGGCACTGTTAATGGGTACATCTCAAGCTGCTTCAAGCGCATAAAAGAGCTCACTATTCGGCCCTGACCATCTTCAAAGTCTGGCGATTTACCCAACTCCGAAACATCATCCTCAACTATGGTCAGATCAAATGTGACGTTCAACTTTTTTAAGTTCAAAACACTTGCAGTCCATGCTCTGTGGTTGACCATAAAGGCGTGGGTCTCATGAGATATATAGTTGGTGGGGTTTCTTCTTATTTCTGCTTTTGCGGAAAGGTTTAATGTTCTTGTCCCGTCATCTGGCTCGATAAAGAACAAGTAGTTGGAATCCATCTTGATCTTCTTGTGTTTGGAATCTGGTGAATGATCGAGCGGAAGGACGTATTATATTCCTGGTTCACTGAAAATTCGCCGCAAGAAGAAATAATTACAGAGAGTATTGCTCGTCTCTGTGCTTAAAGGTCACGGAGTTGTAGTTGGGACAATACCTTCCCAAGTAACGCTTGAAGTTTATGTATTTCAACAAGTCCAATAAGGTCTGAAGTTTACAACGAGAGCTGTCATCCGTATATACCTAGGACAAAGCTTCTGGAAAAGAACTCTTGCTTCAATGGCTCCAAAATAATTATTTTATATTTGACTCTGCTTGCTTCTACTTGAACTTACAGCTGCCCTTTCTAGTCACATGAACGCAGATCAAAATATTCCGTTACGACGGGCATTTTGGTAAGGAGTACTCAAAATGTAGTCCATTTTCGCAGGCTCAGTGAGCAGACAAGGCCAGTAAAAGCAAATCACGTAATAATTTGGTTTCCTTACGAAGCGTACTATGTTAAGTTTCGCAGCCATTTGGTGAGATTGGATAATGTCGAGGAGGAGCAAAGAAGATGAGATATTTGGAAAGGACCAGATTGAAAGGCTAGTTGGTATTACTTTAGAAATTCTTAATTAAGCTGAGTCTTGCCTTATGTTGCCCTTGGGATCGATATAGCCCAACGCTTCGCTACTCAAGCAGCACTTCCGCAGCCATCCACATTGAGACCACCAGAATAATGAAACTCCATAATTCACGAAATTGATTCAATACTTCCAATCAACCATCCCCTTCCCTTTATCCACTCCCCACTATGAAAATACCACTCCGGAATAACTGGGACCAAGCGTGGTGTACGGAGCTGTATATGGCACTTACGCTGTCTTCAATTTGCAACATGTCTCTTAAAGAACAGAAGGAGCAGTTTGTGCTGAACCTCAATGGCGGACTGGTGGAAGAAATCTACTACGTCACAGGTGTGGCGCTAGCTGGCTACGTGGCACATGCAATCTTCAAAAAGTACCTTCTTCCAGGCCTCAATTGGGCCAGATCAGGGCCTCTTCTTTGTGCCATTGAGTTCTTCTTTGATGAACTTTTGCTTCTTCAGGCAATCACCGTCTACAGCTCCCAGGTTGACAAAATCTACCTCAACGCGTTGGGGCTTGCGTTTTTGATCTTCGTCTATGGAATGGTGAACAAGGGCTACAAGAAGACGCCTAAGAAACAGAAGTCTGAGGAATTCCTCCCAAAGAAATCCTTCATCACGGCCTACAGAGCCCACATGCTTGTGATTACAAATCTTGCTATTTTGGCTGTCGATTTTCACGCGTTTCCTCGTCGTTTTGCTAAGGTGGAGACGTGGGGAACCTCTTTGATGGATTTAGGCGTGGGATCTTTTGTGTTTTCCATGGGTCTTGCCAACTCACGCGCCGTGATTAAGAGAAAGTTGGTCTTGGGCCAAAAAGGTGTCAGTTACGGCAAGCTTTTGGTCGGAAACACCATCAAGGCTTTGCCAGTATTGGGATTAGGTGTAGCTCGTCTAGTGAGCGTGAAAACGTTGGGATACCAGGAACACGCTTCTGAGTACGGTATCCACTGGAACTTTTTTATGACCTTGGGCCTTTTGCCCATTGTGTTGGGTATCTTGGATCCCATCTTGAACTTGGTTCCTCGGTTCATCGTAGCATTGGCTATCGGGTGCCTCTACGAGTGGACCTTGAACAACACCGGTCTTCTTGCATTCATCTTAGACGACGATAACCGTTTTGAATCGCTTTTCGCAATGAACAAGGAAGGAATGTGGTCCTTCTGTGGGTACTTGAGTATCTTCATCTTTGGCCAGTCCTTTGGCTCCTTCGTTCTCACGTCTAAGCCTACGCCCAACAATCTCTGGGGCTCATACTCCAAGGGTAAAGGCATTCACCTTTTCACCGTCTCCACTACGGAGGGATTGTTCTTCATGAGTGTCATCACTCAAGGCCTCTTCTACGTCGCTAAGGAATCGTTTTCTACCGGTTCTATTTCCCGTCGTTTGGCTAACCTTCCCTACGTTCTTTGGGTCGTCAGCTATAACGCCGCGTTTTTGCTTGGCTACGATTTGGTGGAAAGACTAATTGGCCCATTGAGTCTGTCTGTGCTAGATTCAATCAACGCCAATGGCCTCGCTATATTCCTTTTGGCCAATTTACTCACTGGTTTGGTCAACATGACCATCAATACTTTGGAGCTTGCACAAAACTTCACGTATTTGCTTTTGATCGGATACGCTTTGGTGTGGACTTCAGTGGCGGTGTTGTTGCATAAAAAAAAGATATACATTAAGCTTTAGCTGCATGTTGATGGCTGCAAACGCGATAAGCAGTGGGTGATCTAGGCTCGTGGTGATGTGGACTCGGCTTCAAAACCGGCGTGACCTTCTTATCGAAATGATAACTTCAAAATAAAATACTCTCTTTGGAGTGCTTGCCGTGTTCGGTACGTTGCCCTGAATCCCTTGCTAATGCTTATACGATGAAGCTGCAGGACATGCTAAATGTGGCAGGGAGGCACAGACCCACACCCGTGCATCCTCATACACAACCATTTTACCGTCGTTCCCGTTGACCTACTGACCCACATCTTCTAAAACGCACACCATGGCACTGACGGCCCTGTGGACCTCATTTCTCAAATCCATCACATCTTTCAACGGCGACTTGTCTTCGTTGACAGCGCCTCCTTTCATCTTATCCCCCACATCCTTGGTCGAATATTCCCAGTACTGGGGTGAGCACCCTGACCTCTTGTTGGAGCCCAATTTCATCAGAGATGACACTTCCAAAGAGGCAGAGAAGGCAATGGCCGTCAAGAGAATGATTGCCGTTACCAAATGGTTTATCTCGACCTTGCGTTCGCAGTACTGCTCCAGAAACGAGAGCATGGGCACCGAGAAGAAGCCCTTGAACCCATTCTTGGGTGAGGTATTTGTGGGGTCATGGAAGGATGAGCTGGCAGAGCAGAAGTTCGGCGATACAGTGCTTTTGTCGGAGCAGGTGTCACACCACCCTCCTGTCACGGGATACGCTATCAACAACGAGAAGAACAATATTCTATTGCAGGGCTACAACGGCATTCGTGCCACCATCAGCACCGCCTCAATTAGCGTCAAGCAGTACGGCCACGCCATCTTGGAATACAAGGACCTCAACGAGACATACTTAATCACTTTGCCACCATTGCACATCGAAGGTCTCATCACCGCTGCTCCTTTCGTTGAATTGGAAGGCACTTCATACATTCAAAGCTCCAACGGCTACATTGCCGTCATTGAGTACTCTGGCCGTGGTTACTTTAGCGGTAAGAAGAACACCTACAAGGCCCGCATCTACTCAGACAGGCTTGCCAGCTCCGACAAGGAGAACGCTTTAATTACCATCAGCGGCCAGTGGTCGGGTAAGTCATACATTGCCAAGGGCAGCGAGAGGCCTTCGAGCAAGGGCGAGTTGTTCTACGATGCCTTGGCCAAGAAGCCAGAGCAGTTGACCGTCAAGCCTCTAGAGGAGCAGCATGACTTGGAGCTGAGAAAGGCATGGAAAAAGGTCGCAGACGCTATTCGTAAGAGCGACTACGACTTGATTCAGCAGGAGAAGTCGCTTATCGAGAACGAGCAACGAGAGTTGAGAAAGCAGGAGGCCGAGTCTGGCATCAAATGGGAGACCCGCTGGTTCGACTGCGTGGACCTCAAGGACGGTGCCGCTGGAGACGATCCGTTGTTGAGTCTTGGAAATGTTGCTAATCTCTCGGTGGACAATGTGCCATCGGGCACGCTCCGGGGGTCCAAGAAGGAGAACGGCGAGGCCAAGCACTGGCGCGTTAATTTGGACAAGTGGAAGAAGGATGAAGAGATACGAATCTAGAGATGCCGACGTCCGGCTTAATATATACGAATACGAGTTCCGATGAAGAGTGCTTGTGGTGGGGGGTGGCTACCAGCTGATGTAGAGGCTGGAGTAGGAGCTAGCTGGTATGTTGCTATAGTTCAAGATCAGCAATAAACAAGGGATTGAATGCTTTTCATATTTTGAAAATCAGCTCTGAATTTGTCCATTATCTCTTATCAGTAATCAGTGATGTATAGTGCGTTCGATACAGTGAGGCAGTAGGTGTGACGACAACAGAAAACAGGACGATATTGAAGCACATTGAGACAAATTATGAAAGTTTGAGAACGCATCCTGTTTGATTCTGATAATCTTATATAATTGTTATTGCTTCGTGGGGCCCTGTGGAGATTTCTGATAGCTTTGGTGCATCACGTGCCTGAAAATAGGGCTGAACCCTCTCACATGACTGGCGCTCACTGGAGAGGTAATGGTAGGGTTTGCTCATGCAGGACGCTCAGCCTGAAGATTATATGGGGAAGTGAGAGGGTAGATTACTATGAGAGGTTGCCCTCTGCAGTACCGCGAGAATTTTTCTACCAGGCGAAAAAGTTTTTGAAGATTTCTTTCTACCAACCTCAACCACCGTATAACACCATGGCTGAATCTCACAGATTGTACGTTAAGGGTAAGCACTTGTCCTACCAGCGTTCCAAGAACGTGAACCACCCAGGCACGTCGTTGATCCAGATCGAGGGTGTCGGCTCCACCCAGGACGCCAGATTCTACTTGGGTAAGAGAATTGCCTACGTCTACAGAGCCCAGAAGGAAATCAGAGGTTCCAAGATCAGAGTCATCTGGGGTAAGGTCACCAGAACCCACGGTAACAACGGTGTTGTCAGAGCCAACTTCAAGAGAAACTTGCCTCCCAAGACCTTCGGTGCCTCGGTGAGAATCATGTTGTACCCATCCAACATCTAAGGAGAGTTGAGGAACGTGGAACGAACTGCAAACTAGCCCTCGGGCGTGTATAAATCCATAATAAAGAAAAGAGGAATCCAGTGTAGCCTCGTCGGAGGTTGGACCCAGAGGCATAGTCCCGGGTTGCGTAGACCAGACCAGGAGTCACCTTGAGCATTTGAAAGAGTCGATGAAGATATTCTATGAGAGTCGGATAGAGCAGCTGATTTGTGACTGACATTGCCGGTTTGAATCTCCAGACACGGTCTCGGGCACATGACTGAGTCTCGAGATAGGCTCTTCATATAGAGTACGGTGACTCAGAGTGGTGCTCGAGGACTTCGTTTGGGGACATGGGTGATATGAAGTAGGGGTTCTTTGATGATTCGGAGAAAAATCAAAGTTTTTTTTGATCTCTTCGAAATTGAGCTCTTTGATGCCCCTAGATCGTGTACCACTATGCTCTCTATGTGGAGACCCAGCATACTACGCTCTTTCACATTTGTGGTGAACTTTTATTCTCGTTATGAGAACGCCTTTTAGTTTTTCTGAAGAATGAAGAAATCTTATGTTCTTGCCATCCCTTCTCTTAAGATGTTCGTTTTAGTTCACAGAGCTACTGTAATGGTACCCATCTCAGTTGCAGCTCGATTGCAAAACCGAGAAATTCATACTAACGAAAGCAAATTCGCTTTTTAGCTATCAGAAAAAACCTCATGCTTTTCTTGAGTTTCAATACTTCATTGCTGTTTTCTTAGTGGTAGTGATCAACTGGTTACGGTGGCTGCGAAATATCGAGAAGCACTACAGTTACCACAATGGCACACCACTAAGTGCCCAGCACAGAACTAACTCTATTTAAGTAAATGCTTTTCTAGGAAAAAAACCAAAGACATGTCACGATAATGGACAATTTAAAGTCATTCATCAGACCACAGAACTGACCGCTGGTGCTCATCTCCAGTAGCCACCATGAGCCATCCTATACCAACCCAACCCACCATCTCACAGCTTACCAATTTCAAATATTCAAAGAAGTTCACCAAACCCAAAACCTCCACTACCCATCTCCCCGTAAATCACCCACAACCTCCCCATACCAGTCCCTTTGGTGAAGCCACACGTGACCTCTATACCAGCCAAGCTATCCACGTATTCAGTCTCACCAAACCAGTTCTTGTTAATGGCAGATATACAGACCGAGGAAGGCATTCGTGCAGCAGAGGTCGAGGCTGGAGCCGAATTGCCAGCTCCAGAAGCACCTCCAGAAAATTCAGAATCCAAGGCTTCCTCAGACGTGGAGTCCAATGGAGCCAGCACAAACGGAACCAGTCTACTGGCTGAAGACCTAAAAGCCCAATTGGAACAGACACAAAAGGAAAGAGATGATGCCAAGCACCAGCTAGAGGGCATTATTGGCAAGCTTTCTGGGATGAAAACAATGTTTCAGAACTACAAGGCTGTACAGGGTGAGCTTGATGAGCTCAAGGAGCAAAGCACCAAATGGGATGAGGCCAAGGAGCAGCTTGAAACAGAGAATAAAAAGCTCGAAGAGTCGTTGAAGACCTTGAAAGAAGAGCTCTCGAACCTTAATGGAGAGTGTGATAGGCTCAGTACTCAGGATAGCGATTTACGAAGAGAGCTACAGGCCAAGGACCAGGAGCTCCAGGACGAGAAATACCGTCTAGAAATGGAGCTCAGACTGGCGCAAAAGTCGGCGTCTGGGCAAAAATCGGAGTATTCCGAGCTCAAGTTGGCGAAAGAGGAACTCGATATGGAGAACAGAAACCTCCGTTCGATCATCGACGAGTTGAAAACAAAGCTCGCCGACAAGGAGGAGGACATTCAGAAAAATGACAAAAGAGTAGAGGAATTGAAGGCTGATAATGAGAAGACGGAGGAGGCCCTTCGAGCGGAGGTGGCAGAGCTCAAAACGGAAGTTGAAAAGCATAAGAAGGCAACAGACACAGAAAAGGCTGCAAACGATAAGCTACAGGAGCAGCTAGACCAGACGAAGAAAGAGTTACAGCTGGCAACAAGCGAGGCATCGGAGGTGCTGACCCTTAAAGAAGAGATTCACAGCAAATCAATCATCATCGGCAAACTCAGGCACGAGGCGATCATTCTCAACGAGCACCTCACAAAGTCGCTCGGCATGCTTAAGCAACAGCTGAATAACGACGACAACACCATAGACAGAGAGCTCATCTCTAACGTGATTCTCAATTTCCTTCAGATCCCAAGAGGCGACGCCAAGAAGTTTGAGGCATTGCAGCTTATCAGTGTTCTTCTAGAATGGGACGAGCACCGTAAGGTGCAAGCTGGGCTTTCCAGTGGCTCTCACAAGAACAAGGAAGGGGAGAGCAGGACGAGGAACTTTGTATCCCTATGGACGGACTTTTTGGAAAAAGAATCGACCAAGGGAAACTCGGGTAAATAAGTAATGCATAGCGGAAGCAATTGGGGAGGTTGTAGTGGTGTATTGCATTTTTGAATGGTTCGCATAATTGTCGAAATGGTTGCAAAATTCTGTAAATTACATAAATATAGTGAAGATGTCAAACTTCGATTTTAGAAAACCACAGATTAAATATGATTACAGCAAAAATGAGAGAACCTCCATTCCAAAAGACAAGATTTTTTTTTAAACGATGGTGGAAAACATCACAAATATTAAATCGTTCGACAGGTTAGGTGCCAGAATGACCAGTTAAGCCATTGAACAATCAGGCAAGCTACTGAGTTGAAATGCCACGAAAACAATACTACGTTTTCTAAGTAGCCAACACTATAGTATACGGAAAATGACAGTAGATCAATGGTTAAAAAGGAATAGTTGCACATGTCCTGGCCATTATCATATTTCCTTGTTGCACCATATGTGCCCTCAATAGAGGAATTCAGCAATTGAAAAGATTCGGATATAACGACAAATCTTAAGTCCTTAATAACCTAGAAAAAAAGAGAAAATATATTTTGTTTTACCAGAATATCACAAATCACCCCTAACAACCTCTTGATCTCTTCAGGTGCGCGAAAAGAAACCAAGCGCGTACTACTTTCCAGAACATGGTGGACATTCGTCAGTTCTTCGGAGGTGACAAGAAGCCAGGCGTATGTCAATTGCAGCTGATTCTGTATATTTTGAAGTTATACTAACAACCAGGCTCCGAAAAAAAGGCCGGCTCCAAAAAGTCAGTCCCCTGACGAGGCACAGAAGAGAAGCAAGACAGAGGACGAGGGGAAGAGCAAGTTCTTTGAGGAGAAAAAGAGCCCTAAGGCGTCTCCAAAGAGGGTGAAGAAGGAAACACCGAAAGCATCGCCAAAGAAGAAGGAAACTCCAAAGGCATCACCCAAAAAGGCCACTCCTAGGAAAAAGGCCGAACCGACATACGTAAACCTTGATTCGGACGCCTCTGACTCCGAGGACGATTTCAAGCCTGATGGAGATGAGGAGGAAGATGACGATTTTGATGGTGGTGACTTTGATGACATGAAGGAGGAAGAGGAAGCCGAAGAGGATAATGACCTTAGCATCCAGGAGATCGAGCCTGAGCCTAAACCTGTAAAGAAGAGAGAGGCCCCAAGAAAGCTGCTGCCAAACCAAAGGCCAAGACAGAGCCTTCTGGAGATTCCGATATAGATACCGCTAAGATCTTGGCCCTGATTGCAGATGCACCATTGCCTGAAAGCGGTGATTCCGAGGAAAAGATGAATTACTTCCAATTGAAGAGCAAGCAACAGAACGTGGCTGCTCCTAGCGGCAACATCGAGCTTCCAGAGGCAGCACCTAACTGTTTGGGTGGTTTGACCATCGTCTTCACCGGTGTCTTGCCTAATCTTGATAGAGATGCAGCCGAGTCTGTGGCTAAAGAGTACGGTGGCCGTGTCACCAAAAGTATCCTGAAAAAAACGAGTCTTGTGGTTATTGGCGAGGAAGCAGGTCCCTCGAAGGTCAAGAAGATCAAGGACTTCGGCATCAAGACCATCACAGAACAGGGCTTCATAGAGCTTTTAAGCAAAATGCCTCCAGAAGGTGGCAGCGGAAAGGAAGCCCAGGCGGCCAAGCTCAAGAGAGAGCAAGAGGAAGAAAAGCTTGCAGAGGAGGCCAGAGAAGCTGAGAGGAAAGAAAAGTCCGAAGAAGAGCGCAGAAGAGCTCGTGCCGCTGAACAAGCCAAGCAGGCAAAGAAAGAGGGAAGACGTCCTCCATCACCAAAAAGAGAGATCCCCAACAGCGAGAAGTTGTGGACTGTCAAGTATGCACCAACTAATCTCGGCCAAATTTGCGGCAACAAGGGTAAAGTGGCTAAACTCAAGACGTGGTTGGAAAACTGGCACGATAACTTCAAGACGGACTTCAAGAAGCCCAAGAACGAGGGCGGCAACCTAAGAGCTGTCCTCATCTCGGGTCCACCGGGTATCGGAAAGACAACGGCTGCATCTCTCGTTGCTAAAGAGCTTGGCTATGACATTCTCGAAAAGAACGCTTCTGACGTCAGATCCAAGTCTTTGCTTAATCAGACAATTAAGAATGTCCTCTCTAACACATCTGTGGTCGGTTTTTTCAAAGGCAGAGACGCCGAGGTGCACAACAAGAACGAGAAGAAATTCTGTCTCATTATGGACGAGGTGGATGGTATGTCCAGTGGAGACCACGGTGGTGCTGGTGCTTTATCGGCCTTCTGTCGTATCACCAAGATGCCAATCATATTGATTTGTAACGACAAGACGCTTCCGAAGATGAGAACATTCGATAACACAGCTTTCAGCTTGAATTTCGTCAGACCCAGCGAAACAGAAGTCAGATCTAGGTTGATGACGATTGCCTTGAGAGAAGGTGTCAAATTGGAGCCCAGTGTGATTGGACAATTGGTACAGGCCACCGGTAACGACATTCGTCAAATGATCAATTTGTTGTCTACTGTCTCAAAGACGCAGAAGCAGATCAACCGTGGAAACTCTCAAGAGATTGCAAACAGTTGGAAGAAACACACAGCTCTCAAACCATTTGCTATAACCATGGAGCTTCTTGGCGGTGGCCAGCGCAAAACGCTTAATGACAAAATTGATTTGTATTTCAACGACATTGACTTCACTCCCTTGATGATACAGGAGAACTACCTCAACGCCAATCCTTCGGTATCTCCACAAGAGCGTTTGGAACGTGTCGCTGACGCTGCAGACAGCATTAGTGAATCAGACCGCATCAACAGTTTGATCCGCTCGAGTGAGCAGCAGTGGAGTTTGCTTCCATTCCACGCAGTCATGTCTTCCGTGATGCCCGCTGACAAAGTAAGAGGTTCCTTCGTTGGTCTGGCTCAATTCGCTGGCTGGTTGGGCAAAAACTCTTCCACCATGAAGGCCCAGCGTCTTCTCCAAGAATTGCACTACCACACCCGTTTACGTACATCCACAAGCAAGGATGAGCTTCGTCTTGACTACTTGCCGGCTTTTGAGGAGCGTCTCTCCAAGCCCTTGGTGAAGAATAGCGAAGAAGGCATCAGCGAGGTGATGGAGACCATGGACTACTACTACATGACCCGGAGTGACTTCGACAGTGTTTTCGATTTCGGCCTCAAAACCAAGGCAGCCAAGCAAGTAAATGAATTGCCAACAAAGGTCAAGTCAGCCTTTACCAGAAAGTACAATGCTGCGCAGCATCCTGTGGCCATCTACAAGACAGGTGACCTGACAAAGGGCCAACCTCGTAAACAGAAGGCTGACTTTGAGGATGTGGTCGAGGACGATACTATGAAGGATGACGAAGAGGAGGTTGTGGAAAGCGAGGGCATCGACAAGAAAGACAAGCTTATCAAGGAGGTGAAGCCGAGAAAGCGGGCTAAGCCGCAGGCAGCCAAAGGCGCCAAAAAGCAGAAGAAGAAATAAGAGGTGATGCTTTCCCGGCCCGCGTTCTTTTCTATTTCATTTTTTTTTCTAGAAAACTATGGTTACCGACTTTTTGACTTCAGTGTTGGTCTGCCTTTGTCTCATTGCCGGCTGGTGAGTATCTAATCTGGCGATGTGCTAGTACAGCCTCGAAGCCGCATTGCGCCCAGGCCTGTCAGCGAGACCCCATTGTTATTTCGATTGCTACGCTTTAAGCCATTTACCAAGAATGCCAGCCTCACGCAAACAAAAGAAAATGTCAATGGGCCGGATGACCTCCTGTCAAGGCGATTTGTTGTGGGCGTTTGAATCAGGCAGCCTGGAATAACATACCTCCGATGCATCCCTGCCATTCATGCGAGCACGCAGGAGATGGCCTCGGCTGGACTGGAAAACGTGAATTTTTTCAGAAATTCAAAAGTGTTACCGAATTGACCCAAATGGAGTAATTTCCAGCCACTGCATCCCTGCTGCTAACTCCGTATGTGCCGTTGCCTTAGTCCCTCCAGGCCTGAGTGGTGCAGGACAGGGGAAGAACGCGAAATTTTACTTGGGCCAAGTAAAGAATTCTGGTGAGCCTGACACATTCCTCAGTTCTTCCACCGCTGAGTCCTCTTCAGCATGTCGAACAGGAGCCCTTTATTTAACATACCTCCCAGTGGCAGCAATGGCAAACAGCCGCCGCTGCTTCTGATACCTTCCCCGGTTTCTATGAACCCCAAGGAGTTACCCCAGGGCCACCAGCACGGTGAGGCTCCGTTGCCGAATATACCGACCAAGAAGCTGGGGCCTCGTCGGAAGCCGCCCCCTATCGATTTTTCCAAGATCGACGGCTCCCACTCCTTCAGCCCTCTGAGTGACTCACCAGATCACCACGGGTTGCCATCGAGCATCACCACCAACGTCAACCTGACAGCTCGGATCAGCGAGGCTGTCAAGAACCACACAAATCAACAGCGTATTCCTCAGAACCAACAACCGCATGGCCTCCAGAGGCCGAAGTCAAAAAACATAGACGATCTCACGCCAGAGGACTGGAACCGTTTGGCCAACACGCAGCAGATCACAGAACTCGCTAAGCTTGGCGAGGGTAACGGCGGAAGCGTCTCCAAATGCCTGCTTCGAGGCGGGAGCCCGCTTTTTGCCCTCAAACTCATCAATGCCGATCCAAATCCGGATGTGCAGAAACAGATTATCCGAGAGCTCCAATACAATAGACTGTGCTCATCGCCTAACATCGTCAAATACTACGGTACTTTCATGGTAGAGGAGCAGCTGATGATTGGCATTGCAATGGAGTATATGGGTGGTCGGTCGTTGGACGCCATTTACCGCCGAGTCATCGAGATAGATCTGCTGAACCGCATCAACGAGAAAGTTTTGGGAAAAATCGCCGAATCCGTGCTCAGCGGCCTTAATTATTTACACAAACAGCGCATCATCCACCGTGACATCAAGCCGCTGAATATCCTCCTCGACAAGCATGGCAACGTGAAGATCTGTGATTTCGGCGTGTCTGGCGAGGTGGTCAACTCCCTCGCAAACACCTTTGTGGGAACGCAATACTACATGGCGCCAGAAAGAATCATGGGAAAGCCATACACGGTCTCATGCGACGTCTGGTCGCTCGGACTCACCCTCTTGGAAGTAGCGCTGGGCCGCTTTCCTTACCATATCGAGAGCGAGTCGTCTCTTGGACCCATCGAGCTCCTTTCGTTGATATTGGAGTACGAACCGCATTTAGAGGATGTTGTGGAGGAGGAGATTTTCTGGTCGGACTCCTTCAAGAACTTCATAGACTACTGTCTCCGGAAAGACCCTGAGCAGCGACCATCGCCTCTGCAGATGCTCAAGCATCCTTGGGTGGTGGGACAGCTGCAGATCAAGGTGAATATGGATAGGTTTGTGAAGCGACTTTGGGGGATGAATTGGATTAATGACATGGTGCCGCTCCGGCAGGGCATACACGAGTAATGACGAGGAACGTTTATACGAAAACAGGGTTCTCTTGGCAAGCGATGAAGATTTTAAGTGTAGGAGCTATCTTTTGGGATGAGGGTTACAATGTAGCAGCAATTGCTGAACTCGATCTATATGGTGGTATGGCCGGATGGGTTACTTGCAATGCAGCAGTGCTCACATCAATCTCTAGATTCTTTTTTGGAGAAGCCAGTGAAATCATAATGATTGGATAAAAAAGAGAAAGTTGATTATCATTCTGGAGTTCTTGTTAATGCCTATATCTAGGGTGCACCTATGTCCACCATATACCATGAACCTTGCTTTCACGAGCCGCTAGATTCAAATGCTTCAATTTGATATTGCTAAACTTTCATTGTAAACAACAAAATCAAAAATCACTGTGTATTTCTCCAATCCATCTTCCATATCATCCGCCATTTGCAACCGTTTCTGTGCCACACACGACCTCGCAGCCAATCACCACAGGAACTTTCCTCATTACCAGAACCAACTGAACCTATCACTTAGAAACATGCCAGTTCCTTTTGAAGGCTTGTTGCCATACGCCATCATGACGGCGTTCTTTGGCTTGGCCGGCCACGGTGTCGGTTTCATTAGATACTGGGACAACGGTTGGAAAAACGACCGTTGGGACTTGGATGCCTGGGACGAGAAAATGATGTCCAGAGACTTTCTTTTAACGGGAACAAAGCGAGGCCAGACCAGTGATGCTATTGCTCCAGAACACTTCAAGACTTCCCACATCATTGAGCAGACCTACTGGACCCCATACAAGGACCAGTTCTTCACTTTCAGAGAGAGAATGTACAGAGGTTACGTCTCTGGTTCGTGGGACTTCAGTTAAACATCGCATAATATACATCTATACGGGAGTTGTGAATTGTAGTCTATTCTAGTGTACACGGCTGGGCAAGCCAGCGGTAGCCAGCGTAGGCTGAAGTATGTAGACAGTTTGAGGCTAGCTCGAGTGGTAGTGAAGCTGGATTCGGAGTCGTGAATTTGGCTTAACGTTCTTATGAGGTGTGAAACATTTCCCATGTTATGGCCCACCTTATGGGAACGGTGTTAGTGACTGGTTTCCCATTCTAAATCAGAAATGGGCCAATGATCCGACACCTCACAACCTTTCAGATCCAGCATTTAAAAACCTTGCAACAAAAGGTAGAAGTTGCCATAGATTTATCATCCGCTAACTACCCAACAACCTAAAACGTTCCTTTTCAATGCAAACAATGACGCTTTAATGCTAAGGAGATCAGCACCACCTTCACTTGTAATGCCTGTAACTATGCTTCTCGACAATCTTGGGAGCATAACGTCTCTTTCTTCTGAGACCCAAAGCCTCGATCTTACCGCTGGCTTGGAGTCTATGCATCTGGTCGTAGAATGGGTTACCCTCGGGCTTGACGTTCTTCAAGTTTCCGCTCAACTCATCGGAAAGCTTCACTTCAAGAGGCTTGAAAATGACCTCGTTTCTTCCGTGACGTCTGTGCTTCTTCTGCTTGGGTGCCTTATTCTTGGAAGCCTCCTGCTTGGTCTCAACTTCCTTCTCGATATCCTCCAAACGCTGGAGCTCCTTCATTCTGACCCTAAGATCGTGAAGCTTGGTTTCAAGCTCACGCATCTTGGCGTTACGCTCCATCTTGTTTCTCTGGGTCTTGGTCTTCTTCTTCCACTTGGCTGGGGCATTGAGAGAGAGTCTGTACTTCTCCTCCTCAGGAACATCTTCCTCCTCCTCTTGAGGCTTGGTCTCTTCGTCCTCAGACTCGAAAACATCCTCCTTCATGTTTTCAATAAGAAACTGTATTCTCTTCTCGTGCTCGGCCATAGCCTGGCGTTGCATTTCCACACTGCTCTCAGCATCGAATTCTTTGTCGATCAACGCCTGCCACAGCTCAAGCGAAGGGTTGTACGACTTGCCTGCATCAACATCGTTCTCCACGGATCCCTTGGTTTTGTGTAGCGTGAGAGCAATAGGACCCTGCTGTGCTGTTTTAGGAACCTTGGAAGGTTTGGTAATGGAAACATATGCAGACTTCTTCAACTCGTCAGGCAATGCAGCCTCGTCATTTTCACCCCAAACGTCAACGTTGGCGCCCTTGACGAGTCCTTCCTTCTCGAGTCTTTTTTGGTGCTTCTCATCAGTGATCAGTCTTCCTCCCAACGCCATCAACTCCTTGACTTTGCTACCACTGACCCTCTTCTTCACAGAACGGGATCTGATAGGCTCAACCTTGGACTTGTTGGCCAAGATTTCAGTCATCTTGAGTTTCTTGGCCGTAGGGCCCTTGGAAGTTGATCCTTTGGTATCGATAACGAACTCATCTCGACCGTCTTCACCATGCAAAATCTCCCTGTCTCTTTTGGCGTCCAAGGATTCATTAATGTCTTCGACATCAATGTTTCTTCTCCATGCTCTTTTGCCTTTTCTAGAAGGCTGGGCCTTTGGCTTTGTTACTTTGGCCAGATTATCCATGGTGATGAGCTGAGATGGATCTATCTTTTTGAGATGCGCCTATGCACGCGACAATGTCGCAAGGCGTCAGGGAGGCCCAAACGGTGGATTTCAATTTACTGACTAATTGGGAGTTTTCCATGTTTAAAATGTGTTTTTGGTGCTAGCAATCAGTAGGGTCTAGCTTAACGGAAAAAATCGGAAAGAATTTAGGAAGGGTGGTGTGGACACTCGGCCGTGCGACGACATTTTTGCACCCATTATCTAACAGAGTGGGAAGACCCCAGATTTTAGGAAATCCTTCGAAATGATAATCTACAGACGACTACAGGCGAATTCGCTTACATCTGTCTAACCGTTTATAACACGCAACCGAGGAACCGGAGATAAATAGCGCACCCCATCCACCAAAACAGCGCTACATCGTAAAACTAGACGTGCTCATCCAGTCGGACAATCACAGATGGTTGCCTAAAGCGCAAAAGCTCTCCTCACTTAGTCTGCCCCAAAACCGGCTTCGTGTGCTTGTTTTCCTACTAAGTGAGGGGGACAATAGGACTGGTCGGTTGCGATTGTTGATCTCCGCATGTGAAAGCCCGGGGCTCCTTAGCACACAATGGAGAGACTGAGGGGTCTGCTGGTTTAGGGTAGACTAGAGCTTCGTCGAATTTGAATGCATGCGTAACGATTGACGTGATTGACAAACGGCGGCCTGAGTGTTGATAGTGAGATGCGGGGAGCCTCACCAGGTACTAGGTTTATGGATGAGGGTCAGTTGACGAGGGCCAGAGTGGGCGAAACGACACGCTGATATTCATTTGAATACTTGCTGGCACTTTGATTCCAATTCTGATGAGTCCAGGGGAGTTTCAATTAAGCGTTTCAGAAGTCTAACGCTCTCTATAGAAAAGCGTAGGTTGTAGACCACTAGCAGCTTCCCTTAGACATGAAAAGCCATGGAGACATCTTGCCATTAACGCTTCCCACCATTTGTCACTTTTCGACGTCAACCTCGATAGAATTTTTAATGTAAATTGGCAAATTCTAGCAATACAACCATCCTGTTCATGCCGTCTGCTTCTCTCCATGGCACACAGTAGTCCATACTTGATCTCAACGAAATAGAGCAAAATTCAAGTCCACCCAAACGCCTCCACTCGGAACGCTCTTTCCACCCATTTTCAAAACTCTCCTCCTATGCCGCCTTCGCCATGGCGACAACACGTCCCATCAACTCCATCTGGTCCATCTCACTGACTGCTCCACTTACACACACAAAACTAGGGCAGCCGCTCTTTTTCACAAGCACACGCACGAGTCTATGAGCCAAGTCGTGCACTAGCGTATCGGCACAGGCCTGCAACACGGCAGTATGAACATCTTCGTTTCTTCCAGGAACAGCGTAGACGTAGCAGCCAATCGGAGTGGGCGCCTGTTCGGTGACGTAGACGATATTGGGCTTTTTGGGCGCCTCGCCACGGATCATGCTGACAGTGTATTCGCCGCACGAGAGGGGCACTTCCTCGGAGATCATGGAGTAGTTGAGGAGTTGGTGATGGTTGATGTTGAGATGTGCAGGTTGGTGGAGGTGGTGATGGAAGTGGAAAGTGGTGGGGCAGATGCCACAGAAGGAGAAAGTGATGAAATTAGAGAATTGAGTGGATTGAGAGAATTGAAGGACTTACGGCTTTGGTGGATGGTTTGTGGAGATAAGGTGATGGGGTTGAGACCGGAGAGCACTGCTCGGAGGTAAGCCACCAATTTGCCCGAGTCGAGGGAAAGGAAAAATGAAACGATTTAGAAACTTCAGCGATTTGGAAATTTCAACGATTAAGAAATTTCAGAACGACCTCATTCTTTGCCGCCAACGGCAAATCACCATCCAGCCAATGGGCCTCTCACCTCCACCAACAATGAAGCGGCGCAAACAAAGGACAAGAAAACCGCCAGCGGCGGCGTGAGGCCAGCGGACGACGAGACCGTCTCAATTGAAGAATTCAAAGAAATATGGAAAAAATCAGATTTCAAAGAATGAAAAAAAAAAAGCGGATTTCGTTGCCTTGCTCCCCCCGGGTTCCCCAGATTCGGAGGGTCCTGGCCCTGGCTGGCGCCAATCTGGCGGTGCGGGTGCCTGTACCGAGGTCCAGCGTACCCAGAACGGGCCATTTTGCAGCCAAGGGCCATCAAACTCGGCCATTTCCGTGAATTGCCTTCGGCAAGTGCCAAATTCGTAATCTTCACGAAAATCCGAACAAAACGGTGTTTTCAAAATGCAAAAACACTGCCATATGACTTGTTTGTGGCCACCCCCACGACGTCATAACATCGCTTTAGCCCCGTCAGCATACGCATCTGGAGCACTGGGCGGCTGCAAAACGGTCCCCATCGCCGCCGATCGCAGCCAATCCAGAACCCACCAGCATCCATCAAAAACACCATACCCACCGTTTTCCCCCAAAACCACAAAAATCCACCGCCAAAACCGCCCCTCCCAATCCGCCAAAGCACCACCCGCCTCCACCGTGGGGGCGCCTGGCGTGCTTTGTCTTGGTCGAAAGATTGTTTTCGCTGCCCTAGGTGCAAGTTAGCCTCCAGGTGCGACCGACCCCTCGTGCTTGTGATTCTCGCTCTGGGGTATGCGCCAGACCTCATCCATTGTGTATGGCTTCTCCTCGAGGCCCTACCTTCGGGCACTGCTTCTTCGTGTAACTCTCTTTTTTTTTTTCTTCTCCAATGGACTTGGTGGACTCGCTCAACAGGCTAATTTTCCATCTTCCGCCCCAGGGCCTGCTGTCTGGCCTGGACAATTCCACCAGTGCCCTTCCAAGAGAGTACTTCCCATTGAAGCTTGTGGTGGACAGGGAAAACACGGGTCTGGCGGCGTGGAAGACGTTGAAACTGGAGCTTTCGAAAAACCGCTGGCGCTGGGCCGTGGCGGGAAACAAGGTCGACGTTTCGTTTCTGAATAAGCAGGCGGCCGATGCTGCCGTCGAATACATGCTAGAGAAGAAGTGGCGACTTTCGTTCGACTACTCCAAATTCGTGTCCCATCCGGGCACCTTGTTCGTGAAGAACTTGGCCCGCCTGGCCGTGCTGCAAGAAAAGCTCCACGAGTTCTTCAATGGGGTCTCGAGGTTTGCGCTGGTGGAGGACGTGAACATCATCACCCAGCCGTCGCTGGCGTCCTCGTCGTCTTCGCTTTCGCTGGCGTCGGGAGACCTGGAGGTCTCGGCCATCTTGAAGTTTGAAAACTACCTCGACGTTGACCACATTGTCGCTAATCTCCCGCTTGCAACCAACCCGTTCCACCCGTCGTTGCCCCTCTACGTGAACCGCTACGTCTCCAAAAGAGAACGGGCCATGTGCCCCGACGCTGCTGTCCCCGTGCCTGAAGACGCCATTCTCTACGATACGCTTGTGGTGGAGAATCTCGGCGATTTCTTCAGCAACAAGGTCAAGCTCGAGGAGCTCGAGCTCGTCATGGCCAAATTCGCCCTTTTCGGCTCCATTGAGTCCGTCTACTGGCCCTTGGCCCACGGCTCCGAGGACAGCCTCTCTTTCCGCAAAGTGGGCTTCATCAGCTTTGCTCACGAACGCAACCTCAACCAGGACATTCTCCGCTGCTTGTACTATCTCCGGGACTTGACCTACGACGAGTTCGACAAGTTCTCCGAGGACGCCGTCTACGACATCAAGAACGACATCAACGGGCCCCACAAGTACCCGGAACCGCTAGATACGCCCCGTCTTAGAGTCTCCATCGCACAGAGAAAGCACAACCACCATCTTTACGAAAGCGCAGAGTCCTTGTACGTGCACAACGAACCGGGCCTGCTTCGGATGAAAATATGTGATCCGCTGGCTGCTGAAGACCACGACGATGCTTTCCTCAACAAGTTCATGAAGGCCTCCAACTACCAGGAAACAAACGTGTACGTGAAGAACTTGCCCGTGCTATTCGAGAACGACGACGACCTCTGGGCGCTGTTCTGGAACCAGTTTGGTGTGGACGGTGTGAAAAGCGCCAAAATCATCAAGCCCCAGTTCTACTCGAAAAAGTCCGACGAGCTGCTTGGCCGCATAGGCTTTGTCTTCTACGAGGAGTTCAAAATGGCCCTCAGAGCTATCATTCTCACGAACAATAAGGTTGTCAACCTAGGCAACGGCCCCGGCATGGTTGTCCAGGCTTCCTTCGCTATCCAAAAACACAATAATCTGCTGGGCTCAGGCAAGCTGACCCTGTCCTCTCTCAGTCTGAACCTGAGCTACAATTACTACACTGACGGGTACGGAAAGCGGTACTCAGTGCCCATGAACGATCCAAGTTTCTACATGAACGAGCCACGACTTCCTAATGCCGCTCCATCTCCTGGAGCCCTGCCGTTTGTGCCTCCCGAACTGTACTATTTTTACCCGTACTACATGCCTATGGCAGCACCAGAGCCCGTGAAAGAAAAGGAAAATGGGCATTCACCCAAGCAAAAGCTGGGTCAGATCAACCCTAATGCTCCTCCGTTCCCAAACCCAATGGGTTACATGTACCACCCATACTACCAGATGCCGCTGCCCATGATGAACGGGCCGGGCCCGTACTTCAGCAATTACTCTATGAGGCAGGGGAAGAAGGGGGAACGTAAAAAGTCGTGAATTGTGGACAATCTATCTGTACTGATAAAAAAGGCTGGACCGTGTATCTGATTAATAAAGAGTAATCGTTAGGTGACATTCGTAGGAGCTGTAGCTAGAATTGAATATTCATTTCCACCAAATCAGAATAAGTCAGCTATTATCGTTGATCATGCTCCAGTGCATTAATAAGAAGTTCAAATTTGAGGGCAACGCCAGGCGACTACAAACCATATCCAATTACAACATCTCTATTAAACCATGATCGTTCGATCCCGTGTTATGCAATCCTGCCCTATTTACAATGAAGGTGGAGCTTCTTCTCTTCTGGCTGGCGAGATGGAAGCGGCCTGGAACTCTGGTGCCGGTTCGGCAGCAGCACCGGTCTCCTCCTCGTCCAGAACGTCAATCTGTCTCACCTCTTGAACCTCCTCAATGTAGTACTGTAACATACTCTCAATACCGTTCTTGAGCGTCACCGAAGACGAGTCACACGATCTACATGCGCCCTTAAGCTTCAAGTAAACAACTCCCGTGTCCTCCTCAAAGCTAGCAAATTCGATGTCGCCACCATCATCCTGGATGGCAGGTCTGATTCTCGTGAAGATGAGCTCTTTGATCATCAGGACAACTTCGTCATCTTCCTCGCTAAAACCAATATCGTTTGAGAGCTCGTCCGTTTCGTTGACCACGGGCAATCCGTTCGACAATGACTCGGTCAAGATGGAGAAGATCTCGGGTTTGAGGAGACTCCAGTCGGTGTCATCGCTGTGTTTTTCGATCGTGATGAAGTTCAGTCCCAACATGATAGACTTAATGCCGTCGACGCCAAAAAGCTTTACAGCAAGTGGCGAGCACGCGGCCTCTCTGCCACTAAGAAACTCTCTGGTCTCGTTCTCCTTGAGGATGTTCATGGAAGGAAGAAACTTCAATGCATTCTCATTAGGCGTTTCAGCTGTCTGGATGAAAAGTCTTCTTAGCTGACTGCTGATAGCCGGGCGTCTTAGCGCCAGTAGGCGCATACTAAGACCTCGTGAAAACATATGAAACGTGATTTGTAAGAAGAGTGGTTAATGAATTCAGTCAGCTGCTTAGTATGTAGAGCGGCAGCAGATGAAGCCTTGCGGATGAAAACCCGTGCATCCGGCGGATTTCGGAATCACGCTGTGCGTTTCTTTTTTGCAGCCAAAACGGTCGCGAGTCAAAGTCCGAGTCACCGTTACTCGCCAAAGAGGATCTTTTCAAACATCGAAGCTGCTTTTTCTTCAATCTTAGCTTCGTTTCCTTCACTGCTGATCGATTGATCAAGCTGAAGCTTGTTTTCTGCAAGCATCAAAATATTCTCGTCTATAGTGTGTTCTGAGATAAGCTTGGTCACGAGCACTTCACTTGTCTGACCAACACGATGAGCCCTGTCCTCCGCTTGCTTGTCGTCATGAGGGTTGAACGATTGGTCGAAGATGACGACATTGTTGGCGGCAACCAAGTTGATACCAAAACCTCCTGCTTTTGTAGAAAGTAAAAAGACAGGAATGGTATCGTCCTCGTAGAAACGGTCAATAATGTCTTGTCTGGTTTCAACGCTGGTCTGACCGTCAAGTCTAACGAACGTGATGTTGGAGAAGCTTAGAATCTTTTCGAGGATATCAAGCATTTGCGTGAACAACGAGAAGACGAGAACCTTCTTCTTCTCAACCACTTGTTTCAAGATCTTCAAAAGTTCAGCCACTTTTCCACTCTCAAACCATTTGGCCTCCTCTAGAATGTAAGATCCAAGCGACTTGGGGAACTTTTCACAAAGACCATTGAGCTCGTAGTCGCTCATTACCAGCATATCCTCAACAATGTAGTCCTTGTTAGCGGCAACATAGTCTGGCTCCTTCATGATTTTCGTAGCCATCTCCTCCAACATCTCGTCTTTATACTGTCTTCTGAATAAAAGAGGATGCATGGATGCCTTTCTCAACGACATCATGACGTTCGATGAAGACGCCGTTGGACTCGATCTAGCGGCATCAGCCTCTTTACCTGTAAGCTTCTTCCTTCTCTCTCTTTCGGCTCTGGCCTCCTTACCTTGGCGAATAAAACTGTCATAAATTTCTCTTTGAACAGTCGTCAATGGACACTTGACAACCTCATGGCTCTTTCCGGGAAGATATTTAAGCACCTGGGCCTTTTTTCTTCTCAAAACAAACGGAGTCATCATCGTTTTCGCCTTGTTGATGGCTTGCTGAGACATAAGTGGGTTGTAGTCGTCAGAGGTGGCATCCACACTGGCTTTCTTATTGAAAAGACCTTGCAAGTCCTCCCTCTTCTCAACAAACAAGTTTGGAAGCATGAAAGCCAAAAGAGATACAAGCTCCTTCAAGTTATTCTGCAACGGCGTTCCGGTAAGAAGCAATCTATAATTAGCCTTGAGTCTCATGAGCTTGTTGTATCTTTCACTGCTGGAGTTCTTCAACATGTGGCCCTCGTCGTAAACAATCATATCAAATTTGTGGTTCTTCAAGAACTTGAAATCTGGAGGCGAGCCGGTGGCCAAATTGTATGTTGTGACCAAGACATCGTATTCGGATTCGGCAAGCTCGTAACGTAAATCTTCACGTTCTGCTTGAGATCCGTAGTATGCCTGGACAACCAATGATGGACAGAATTTGTGGAACTCACGAAGCCAGTTCTCCAATGTTGATGAAGGCACCACCACAAGATGGGCGCTGCCTTTCTCGGAAGTGGCCTTCAAATGAGCCATGAATGCAATAACTTGACAGGTCTTACCCAAACCCATCTCGTCAGCGAGAATGCACGAAAGTCTATTTTGATAAAGCAAATTGAGCCAGTTAATGCCAACTTGCTGATATGTCTTGAGCTCCACTTCTTCAGCAAGAAGCGTAGGCTTATGCTTGATGTATGGCATGCTGCGGCCCTTGGCCCCAACATCGTCATCTTCTTCGTCCTTGGTTTCACCAGAAAGCTCAACCATGCTGAGTTCACCCTCACCAGTGACCTTGACACCCCATCTGTCCATTTGGCGGGAAATCAAGTTTCCGTAGTCAGAACACTTTTTGATCAAGGAGTCCACGGCCTTGTAGCCCTTAAGACTAAACTCTGTGCTCTCCACGATCTTGAGGCCTGTTGCCTTTCTCTGACCACCACGTCTTCTGACCTTTGTCTCTGGCTCTGGAGTGGCTTCGTCAAAACGGTCCTCGGAGATCTGGTAAATCGAATGGTACGGTCTTTTGGAAATCAAGAGTTCGGCGATCTTGGGCTGGATATTACAAATCTCAATAATATCCTCCTGTGGCGCATTATTGAGGAACTCCAAGATCTGACCGTCGATGGAGGTGAGGCCAGAGTTGAAGGCACTGTCGTTGTCCTCCTGCGACATATCATCACTGTAGTCCTCTTCCTCCTCGAGATCGGCGTCGCTGTCCACAACAACTGCCTGTTTGCTCTTCTTCCTGTTTTGTCTAATCTTCTGTTCTAGTTCGTCCAAATCATGGCCATTCTCAAAGGAAGGCTTGATTCTGGGCACATCTTCGTTGTGGCTGAAGGCAGCCGTCAAGGCGCCCGGCTTCAAAGAAGGACCCGGCGTCAGTTCAGCGGAAGAAGCCGAAAGTTCAGCGTTGTCGGCCCGAACAAGCCTTCTTCGTTTCTGAGGAGCCAGGCCAAACGATTTCTGAAACAAGTAGTCGATACGCGGCTGCTGGGCGGGCGCCTGGTTCTGCCTGTACTTCTCCAAAATCGACACCTTGGGTTTCTGGAGCTCGATCTTGGTGCTGGAGATATCTGGCTTGACCTCTGTGAGTTGGGGTCTCTTCTGTCTTGCCGTGCCTCTTTTCACCGGGGAGGCGTCCTCCTCCTCGTAGCCCTTGTGTTCCAAGACGGGCGTCTGATGTGGCATTTCCACGCGTACCTCCTTCTTCTCCTCCTCGGCTTTCCGCCTTTCTTCTATCTCTCTATCATGCTGGGCCAAACGGGCCGGTAAGTCTATATTGGCAGCGAGCCACAGCGAAATGTCTCGTAGGTTGCCCTTTCCTCTGACCATGCCCTTGAAGATCTCGATCTCCTGGAGGTAGTAGAAGCGCTTGGAGAGGATGGGCCAGAACTTGTGGGAGTAGAAGCGGTTCTTCATCTCCATGGTATGGGCATCGGGAGCCCTTGAGGCGTGGGAGGGCATGGGTTTTTCGTGTTTTTCGGGCAGCAGTTTCACGTTGATGGGCAGCAGCAGCGGCACCTGAATGGTCGCTTTGTTGGGGGTCTGTTCTGCCGTCATCAGTGGAGTTGTGAAGTTTTTCTCACTTCGCGTTGATCCACGAAGAGGTGGTGGGAGGATCTGGGGCGAGATGGGAGAAGCGCTTTGAGAAGAAGGATTTGGGGAGAAGTTGTTTTGAATTTTCAGAAAACGCCTTTTATTTTGTATTTTCCAGACTGAAGGCTGAAAACGGCACGGCTGGGTGGGTAGGTTGCTCGCGTTTTGCACCCATTCACAAGGCGTTAGGGCTCGGTACCGAGGGTATGGAGGGGAGATGCTAAAAGGTATCATGTTTTGTAACAGGTTTTGAAGACAAGGGAGGGAAACGTTTTGTCTTGAATTTTGAAAAAGTTCTTTTTGGTTTTTGAAAATTTGTGTTGGGTGATTGGTGGTATCGCCGTTTGCAGCCAGTGTGTACCGGGGTGGATGTACCATTTAGACGTTAACTACAAAAAATAAAAGCAGCTTTTGCATTCTTGAGTGAAATTTGCAGATCTGGAGACTAAGGATAAAAAGCCGTCAGGACGCTTGGGTGTCGAAATGGGAACCGTGGCATCAGATTCTGTCTCATGCAGCCGTAAATAGAAGGCTTCTTTGGCTGCTATACTAATCACAAAAATTATAAAGCCAAAAACTATGAAGCCAAAAACTATGAAGCCATTTTAATTGAGTCAAAAATGCTACCTTTAATTAGAAGATAGGTCTCGCTTTTCGGTTGCCGTCTCATCTATCACTATATCCTTGTAAGGCTGTGCAAAGCCGTATTGACTTCACGACGTAACTCTGAAAGAAATGTAATCAGAACCTTTATTTCGACTAATTAGGGAGAAGGTTATTCACGCTATTCCTAAAGGTACAAGTTGCCTAACAAACATCGCCCTTCTTAACATGAGTTAGGTTGTCGAGATGGTTACTGATATAGATAAACCGATACAGCCGCAGGCAATCCCGAGAGGAGATCGAAGAAGATCGATCTGTATCGGGTAATTTAGACTCAAATGTGTTTTTAAATCACACTCTTGAATCCTGTTTTAAATAGATGGAAACTATATGGTACGCATACTCTCCAAATACTACCGACTCTGAATGTACCCATCACCGATTAAAACCTTTTCTGCCAAAACCTAAAAATTCACAAAAAAGTCAGCCCAAAAAAAGCTAATCAAAATCAACGATCTGCCCTCGGACGCCTCTTCCATCATCTACTTCCCTACTCACCCAAATCCGGGGTACTTTTTCAGTGCGCAGCCATCTCCAACTATCATGAACATCCAACCAAACTACCAGATCCTAGCGTGCGGCTCAAATGGCAGCTTCCAGCTAGGCCTCGGAGATGATGAAGACCGCAATCAGCTAAATCACGTTGAAGCCGATTTTCCCCGTGCCAAACCGGTCCAATTCGCCTGTGGAGGAAACCACACACTAATACGTTTTGATGACGGACTGGTCATGGCTGCTGGCGGCAATGAATACAGCCAATGTGGCTTCAAGGGAGAAGACTTTGTGAAGCAGTTCAAAAAAGTGCCAGGATCTTGGCGGTTTGTTGCTGCCGGATGGGAATACTCGGTGTTTGTGGACTTTGAAGATAGGGTGTATACGTGTGGACACGGGCCTAAGGGCGAGCTAGGGCTTGGAGATAAGGTTGTTCTCGCCGACGAGTTGTTTGAGGTTAAGTTTGAGAAGAAGGCGAAGATTGTGGATGTTCAGTCCTCAATTAACCATGTGGTGGTGGTGACTGAGGAAGGGACATATGGCTGGGGAGCCTGTCGAAAGGGCCAATTGGGACATGTGACGAAATTGAATGATAGAGGGAAGCCCGTGGCGGGGTATTGGGAGCCGGAGAGGGTGGACCTACAAGGAATCGCTGCTTTGGGTCATGATCGAACAGTTCTACATGGCTCTCATGGCATCGAGATTTTGGGCAAGAATCCAGAGGTGATTGAAGCAGAAGCAAGTTCTGTAAAGGCAATGTGGTCTTCTGTGCACTGGACGGCTCCAAAAAATAACGGCATTGAGATATTCTCTCAAGGCAACAATCTGCATGGTCAGTTGTACAAGTTCAACGAGGAAGCCAAGATCGTTGATTACACCGTTGGATCTGAGCACGGACTTGTTCTACTAGAAGATGGCGGGGTTTGTGCCTGGGGATGGGGCGAACACGGTAACTGTGGGCCACCTAAGAAAGGTAAAGAGGAAGAGGTGACCTTTGACTATCTCAATGAAGTGTATGATGGCAAAGGCAAGGTTGTGTTTTTGGCCGCAGGATGTGCAACGACGTGGGTAGTTGTTGAAAAGGCAGGGGGAAGCTAGGTTTGTTATAGAGGTTCTTGGATGAGGGCTATGAAAAGACGAATGAGTGTAGATTTGAGCCAGCGTTGGAGCTTGTGAATTCGACTCAATTCGAGCCATCGGTATAACTTCACCTCTGGTCTTGATTATCGAATCTTTTTCAGATTTTCATGATAACGGTGATACATGGTGGATCACAGCGGCACAGTCTATACCGTCATTAATATGCTTGGACATGGTCATTTTCAAGAGTCAGCGTATTGTAATTACAACGAATTCCAGTAATCACTATAGTCTGACATTTGACCTTTTCGGCTTCTCTAAATTAAGGCTTCAGTTACAGAGCCTCACCCCATCACGACAAGCTAGTTCAAGCCTAATTCCAAAGATTATAAGACAACAAATGCAAGGGCAAAGAACGAAAGAAAAAGCTACAGAATAAAGGTCTCAGAAGGTTTCAAAAAGACTACCGTTGGTACTTCTACCATCACGGTCCAACCATGAAGCATCTTTTACACTTCCACCTCCACCCACCAACACCTACAAAACTACAAATGGCGAACTTCAAAATCTCAAGCTCTCCATCAAAACTTCAACCTTCAAGCCTTCCCACCCCTCCAGCCTCCCTAAACCGCCAGTATCACCACATGTCGCGAGGTATCTTTCCCATATTCATCTATGCCACGATAAACAGGCTCGAAGATGGAAAATATGTTCAACGCGTTGCTCTGGGACAAAAGTATCGGCGGTGCCCGTGGACGCGTGGCACCCCTTCTAGCTGTCCTAGTCCCAGAACCACGAAGATTCTGGAACTGGTTGGAATCAAAAGAATCTCATCGCGCTTTTCCTCCACCTTCGGTGCGGGTAACAGCAAGACTCTACTACACCTTCATCAAGAAAACCCTACGAGAAAAACACAACGAAAAAGATGTTTGGTGCAGTTTGCTCCGGGCGTCCGATCCAATTGGCCCAGCAGGTGGAGCCTACCAAGTATGTGCTCACGGTGGAGAACGCAGCCGCTATAAACCACGTAGCGGTGTTCTTGCTTCCCCAGACCGAGTTTACCGATCCCAACTTCACCGCCTTGGTGTATTTCCAGCTTCCCAAAAGCAGCGATTTCAAACTTCTCGGAGGCCTCAATCCGGTGAAACCTTCGGCGATCTTCAAGTTGAACAACACGAGTGGTCTGCTGACGTCCTACTTAGCTGACGATGATGCCATGAACGACGATGTGGCTGTTTCTGCCGACGCCACCATCAACATTGGCATTTCCATTGAGCCGACGCCGCAGGCAGAGCAGTTGTTGCTGGCGGAAAAGGAGAAAAGCGCTCTGGCGTTGGTTCCATCCAAGAAAGCGGCTCCTAAAGCACCCCTGGACATTGCCAATTTGGCCAACAGAATCGTCAAACACGCCTACAATTACCTCAGTGGGTTTGTGGATCCTGCTGGAAAGGTGCCCATGAAGGCGTTCGACACGTGGTGGGACAAGTTCAAGACGAGGCTCCAGACGAACCCCAATTTCCTTGAGGAGCTAGACTAGCCTCTAGATTAGAGCTTTTCTAGGGCAATTATGAAAAGCTGGAGGCGCAATCGATGCCAAGGCTTGTCTACGGGTAGATAAGCAGTTGAGCAAATGGACGGATGGAAATCTCATGTTGGAATTGAGTGATGCCATTACCATGGTGATTGAATCCGACTCGACAACCCATGACCGACGCCATAGACCAGGGGGATCAATTCGATCCTTAGACAATGAAATAATGAATAAAGATTAACCGGAAGCTCTTAGGAGATCTGCATGGCATCAACGTTGATACTAACGATCTCAGTTGTCTTGGCCTGATCTCGATCTCATCTGAAACAGGGTATTCAAGCCAACGTAGGCGTTCTCTCGTACAGCTCTCGGTAGTCGTAACTGCGTGGCTTAGGCACGAGGCGCTACACTCTACACCAAATTCTCAATTAAACTGTATTATTACTTTTCTTCATGCTTACAACAAGGCAAGGGCAACGACACCAGCAACACCGCCAGCGGCCATGTAGGAGCCGGAGCGGGCACCGGCATTGTCAGTAGAGGAGCTCGAGCCAGAGTTGGAGCCAGAGCTAGAGGCCGAGTTGGAGCCAGAGCCCGAGGCAGAACCAGAGCCAGAAGCGGAGCCGGAACCAGAGGACTTGGAGGCAGAGCCAGAGCCGGAGGACTTGGAGTCAGAGCCAGAGCCAGAGCCGGAGGACTTGGAGTCAGAGCCGGAGCCGGAGGACTTGGCGGCAGAGCCAGAGCCAGAGCCAGAAGCAGAGCCAGTGACCTTCAGCTGGGCAGATGCAATGCTGGACACAACGTTCGAGGCCGAGCCGCCAGCGGTGGCAGAACCCAAAAAGGCAGAAATAGCCGAGTCGTCGTCGGTTGGGATGGAGACAGAGCCGGTTTCAAGACCATTCTGGGTGAAGACGTCAGCGTGCTCAGAGGCAATGCTCTGGAGCTGGGCGTTGTAGGTGCCGTAGAAAGAGGCGATCCACGAGTTGTAAGCCTTGGTGTTGTCAGAGGCAATGGTCTCGGCGGCAGACAAAGCAGCAGCGACAGAAGGCTGGCCGTAGAAGGAGTTAAGAGCCGAGTAGTAAGCCAGGGCCAAGGAGCCGGTGTAAGAGGTCTCGGCGCCGCCAAGGACGTCAGGAGTGTTGGAGGCGGCGAGGGCAGCAGCGACGCAAGAAAGGAAAACGAGTTTTTGTTGCATTATGAAAGGTCAGCTGAGGAATACGAAAAGTGGGAAATCGCAGCGTTTTATATACTGCGGTGGGGAAGCGCGGCGGCCAATCTCACCGAAGACGTCTTGTGCGTCGAGTAAAAAGGGTTTTTGAGGAGAGGAGAATTTTTTTTTTTTTGGTACTACTCTTTTCTTCTCTACAACAGCACTCCAATTGACGATTTCTTCCCTGGGCTTTTTGTGAAATGGGCGTGGCTGCCACGCCTGGTGGCTCGGCTGTGGAGGTGTTATGCTCGAACCCGATTTGGAATTTTTCGTCTGTTAGGGCAAATGGCTCGCGCCTCGTTGCATCTGGTAACCAAGAAGGAGAAAGAGGCACGGTGCCATTGTGAATACTGAAAACTGGCGTCTGTTTTTTTTTACACGTCTATTGTTGGCAGGGTGTCTGTATTGTGAGTTTTTCTTGTCCCGGCACGGGACGAGTTGTGGTTTTCTCGTGGCTTTGCCGTCAAGGATCGTGATTTTGGCGCTCTGCGGGTGCTATTTATGGACCAGACCAAGTGGTACTAAACAAACGAACGACGCCAGGAGGTGCCTTTAGCCGCTTAAAATATGTTTTTCCTTTTGTGGCATTTTGCATGGGCCATTCTTCTTTTGATTTTTTGGGGCATTTTGCTATCCCTTTTTGTAGGGCGTTTGCTTCGGATTCTTGCTAGGTGGGGCCGTGCATGTGGCTGCAAACCTCAGAATGTCAAGGAGTGAGAATTCATGGCTTTTCTTGCAACTGCGCAGCCAGCGCCAAATTGGGGGAATTTAAAAAAAGGGGAAATCCTACAATTTGATTGGCCCATTAAATTCAAAATAAGCTTTCAGGGGAAAACCATGGCATCCCGAGGGTGTCTCACATCAGGCCACATGATAATGCCAGTCAGCTTCGCCATTCCATCCACATTTTCTTTTTCTCGCATCCTTGGCCCACTATTGTAAGAGAGCAGAGGGGAAGTCAGAGTGCAGTTTTGACAGCTTACCGACTTTGCAGCCCGTGAAGTCGGCTAGAAAGCGTGTTTCGAGTTGTCGCTTGTTCTACCAATTGTGCTCCTTTGTTTGGAAATGTCACTCGGTTGGATTCCCCTCAGCAGTTGAACGAATGCAAGGTACCGTTGCATTGTACTTTTGAAGCTCAATGGCATTCGTACTGTTGTTCTAGAGGATGTGATTTTAGAGAGATAGGATATTGTAGTTTAGCTGCTCTATTGGTCTTTTTGATGTTTGGTAAATGAAAATGGTATTCTTCCACATGTCTCAGATGTGCTCTTAAGAGACTTACACAGTCTGACCCCATTGGGGAATGAAACAAGCAACGGTACAAAAATGCCTCCTCGAGCTGTTCATCCTTCTATCTCTACCCAAAATGGGAATTCATTGGATAAGGCACAGTTGTCGTTCGGAAAAACGCAACCACATACCCTTGCTCCTTATCTCTACACCACAAACCCAAGTCAGACTTGACTATGGATTCTCGGGTCATCATTGCTGAAATAACGTCTGAGTTTTATGTTGGTGGCTATCACAAGAAAGTGCAATGTCGGCACCAAAAGATCAATAGCATAGAGCATGTTGAATCGCAATGTCATGTTGATGTAGAAGGCTAAAGTTCCAAGTGCTGTCAACCAAAGAAGCACTTTCTCAGCAACAATAAGATACCTGAAGGACGTTCTATTGTAGCAAAATCTGAAGTTCCAGCGATGTGCTTGCACAGTCAAAGTAAGCATGACAAGATGGCTTATGAGGATCTTGCTCAACAGGTAGAAGTCATACACTGGACCTAGGTCTCGACGGATATGCCAGAAATACGCCACTGCTGTTAAATGAAGCAATGTATAAACTGCCCATTTTGCAAATCCTGGGCAACGACGGCAAGTGCTGAAATTGTCTCCATGACTGCAACAAATCAAGTCAGTCTTCATCTCATCTACCGTAGGTTCTCGTAAATACCATTTAAGTATTCTTGCAATCTCACCCAGAAGCCCAAAAAACAAGAGAATAAGGCCAATTCTTTCGAGATATGTCATTTTTGGAAATGTTGGCGGCGAGAAATTTGAGGAACTCTCTGCATTTATATTCTGGTAGCGATTCCTAACAAGGAAAGCAGTGGCTGAAAATATTAAATGGTTGAGTATCAAACAAATTGCCGAAGAGAAGAGCAATACATATTTGAGAGGTAACTGGAGGCTCAACGGAATGGGAATCACCAAGACATAGGAGCTTTACAAGATCGAGATTCTGCAAGCTGCCTTCTTTCAATGAAACCCTCTTCTATGGAACCTTGATGTGTTGCGATTCTTAAATAAATAATAACGTACACGGCATGGAGTGTCTGGACTTTCTTTTGGATGACCTCCAGCATCGAATCTCTGCATGGTCTCCATGTTCTGCAACCTAAGGTCACCCAAGGCACGATGGCGTGTGCCGCTTTCATTTAACAATCACGAGCCCCAGAACTAGATTACATTACCTGGTGCAAAAGATCATTTTAAAAACCCATTTTCAAAACGAATGGCAGTCAGCCAACACTTGAAGACTACTTGCAATAGCTGAATCCGATCTGTCAATACAGTTCTTACTACGTTTGCAATGTCAGCGTCATGCCAGATATGGAGGTTAGATCGAAGAAAGCCAAATAAATGAGCAGCTGGTAATTTGTTACTCCAAAAGTGTAGAACCAAAGTAAATCTACCTTATGGGTGGGTTTGGAAAGAGGTAGGTTGACATTGTATGGATCTTCTGCGAGAAAGCTGTTAACTTATACCTGACCAACAAGGACCCGTCAGCTCCTAAAGATGCCAAAAAAATCAGACAGAATGTAACATAATTGGGCTCTTTGAATTTTGATGGCACGAGAGGTCATGAGGACACTGCTCCACAAACCTTCTGTGCATCAAAAAAGTCATTTAGGAAATTCATTGAAAAATACTAACCTGCTGTAACCTAAAGTAATCGAAAGCTCTATTGAGATTGAATTTGGATGACTGTGAAAATCAGCTGTGGGAACTTCTCAGGATCGATGAGCACACCTCTCACATCTTCGACATCGAAAACCCTTACGAAGGTAGCTCCTCAATTTCTTTTCACTTTTAATTTTTTCGTCCAAACCTTCCGTGAACCCAAGCATAACTGCCGTTTGTCCATACTCAATAGGCAGAAGAGATGCCCTCTTTTTAGATATCTCGTTATATTTGCTAGCAAGCATAAAAGACGATACGGCTCTCAAGAGAAGGTGACTTGCGGCAAAAAGGAGATCATACTTGTGCACCTCGGAATTCACCCTGCTGTCAAGAAAAAGGACAAAGGGAAAAACTATTAAGTATAACTGTAGGGTAGCATCAATTGCGAAGCCTGAGACATACTCTGGTTTGTTAAAAAACTGAGCAAAGGTAGCTCTATGATTGGCACAAATTAAATAAAATATAACCACATTAGTGACGATGAATTCAGCGAAATTGGCACTCACAGGCCCACGAGTCCAAGACACGAGAAGAAGATAGTTTAGCAGCAATAGATAGATAATCTTTTGGCAAATACAAGATAACACTAATTGTCTTTGATCAATCTGGTAATTTTGTAGACCAAGGCGGTAGAGGAGCAATTCATCCAGCTCGAGTAACTCAAAGGTAGGGTCTCTAAAAAGATGCTTCAATCCGTCTAGCAACTCTCCCAAAAGACCTGACAGTTTGAAAATGAGGAAATAGACAATCCAATTGAAAGGCGGTTCCAACCACATAACTTTGAAGAAGAGAATGAATATGAGGAATCTTATATATATTGCATTAATGCAAGCTCATGCCCGTGCAATGATCAGACCTTGTGAATTTTGCTCGCAAAAGATTCTCTCGTGTTTAACAAGATAGCACCGAATGGGTAATGAATTGTTAGAGAACTTTCGTTGAAAACAATCCTGGAAATCATGAACTTTCGTTAAAATGTATCCTGGTGATCATTAGAGAACATCCGTAAATATATATCCTGGGTCTCCTACAGGGCAGAATCATACAGAGTTTATTTTCATACGTTATTAAGACGCTCTAAAGCAAAGCAATAGCGGCAATGGCAACGAGACCACCAGCACCAAAGTATGGAGCAGAGGCACCGTTTCCTGTAGAGTCGGAGTTGGAGCCGGATCCCGAGTTACCGGACCCTGAGGAGGAGCCAGAGGTGGCAGCAGAACCAGATTTGGTGCCTGAGCCTGAGCCAGAAGCAGAACCTGAGCCAGAAGCAGAACCTGAGCCAGAACCACCAGAACCACCAGAAGTACGAGAGGCCGAGCCGGAGCCGGAACCGGAGGCAGAACCAGAACCAGAACCAGATCCACCGGAACCTCCCAGACCGCTAGCAGTGGCGGAGCCAGCAGAGCCGCTCTCGGCCTCAGTGACACCGTAAGTGTCCGACTCGGAGCCCAAGCCCAAGGTGGAAAAGTCGGCCAAAGAGGAGCCACCTGCGTACGATTGCATAATATCAGAGTTGCCCAAGATGCTCAGGACAGCAGCCAAAGCGGACGAGGCCGCGGTGCCCGTGGGATGGAGAAGCTGCTGTCGGACCACTCGTTCATGACAGACTTGTAAATGGCATCGCTGTTTTGCGTAAGGAATTCGAGGTCGCTGTTGTCGGAGCCACCGGAGAAGGTGCTTAGCTGGGCCATGATGGAGGAGTACTCGTCGTCGTAGTTGGCTCTCCTGTGAGGGGCGGCGGCAAGCGCTGGAGCGGCGAGGAACAAAGCAAGCATTTTTCCAGATGGCTGGAGAAACCCGGCGGACGCCTCTCCTTTTATACCCATTCAGCCGCCTTGGAGGCTTTTTCGCAGCCGGTGGGGCCCGTATGTGTGTTCCTGCGTAAACTTGACGGGGAACGGCAGCAACGCCCCTGTTATTGTGAAAGTGTCAAAGTTGCTTGCGGAGACCAAGCGGGATATTTTTCTTTTTCGGATATTTTTCTTTTCAGAAGCATGAAAAAGTTGTTTGTCTTGCGACGGAGAAAAGGGTGGTTTCGGCGTTTTGACACGCTGCAAGGAAGAATGCAAAGACGCTTAAGGTGCGACGCTCACGCCGTTCCTGAATATTCCCATTGAAAACGAGGATCCTTCAGCCCGCCATTGTGAGGCGTGCGATTGGAAAACAATTTAAAGTTGCCTTTTGAAACGGAAGTGAATTGGATTCTGGTGAATTGGATATTTTTGAATTGGGAATCATCGAGAAATAGCTTGTTCAGTTGAATTGGTCCCGTCCATTGAATGCCGCGAGAAAGTGTCACAGACCCAATCGAGCCCTGTTCTTTGTCGTCCTATTCGCCAATCGAGCCATCTCGTAAATTCAGAGCTCTAGCCCTGCCCTGGCAGGTCTATTTAAGTAGCGTGTTTTTCTCCTTTTCATAATTTCACACTTCTATTCTTTCCCACTCAAGCCACCTCAAGCCGTCCGATCGCCACGATCCTGAGGAAGCGAAAGGCTTAAGCGGGCAGGGCTGAAGGTCCCGGGTGATTGGACAGTACGGATCCGGACGGGTTTTGGCTGGATTGGGCACGTGGGAGGGGCTTCTCCCCGTCCAGCAGAGAAACCCTCAATCGAGTTGGATTTGGATTTTTTATTTTGATTTGATGCGGATGGATGAATGGCAATTGAGTGGAAAATTATGAGCGTCAAAGGTCACCGGTGAGAATGCAATTGGAAATGGAAAATCGCACGGAATCCGTGCAAAAGCCGAACATCTAGCGTTCTCGGGCGGCTTTTCAGTCCCACCTGTCTCCATTGTTCCGTCTTCGAAATGTGTCATCTGCCGATTGCGGGGCTGGTGGACATTGGGAACGAAAATTGTAAACAGATAGAGTGGCCGGTATTTAGATCAGAATTGCTGGGCAACGGTGCATTGGAGGTGGTAGCTTTCGGACAAACAACACTCAATTGCAGGCATGTTTGCTTCAGGATCTAGGGGTTTGCTTCTTTGGGGAATGAAACAACCAGATACAGTTGGCCTGCTATATTCTAACCCTTTGTGGGTGGAAGAAGTATATAGAGCCCAGCGGGATTTCGATGAACTGAAACGGACAGTTGTTGATGCAAATGCTTCAATCGATAAGAATCGTTTCGCTCTTTTTACATGGCTTCTGAATTGAAATTTGAGAAGACTAAATGATACAAGTTTTGAGCATATTAGATTCTGTTTTGTTGTTAGTCAATTCTGTATGAGCTGTCGAAAAAGACATTGGAAGTGTTTGGCATGAGTAATGTTTGAGGTTTTAGAGATCTAGGTGGTTTTCAATAAGAATTTTCCAATATTTGGAAGCATTGTTCGGATGATTGACATAAGCATTTCAGATGTTAAAGACGTTGTCGTACTAGATATAGCAGTGCAGCTATTTGAGCTTTTAAAGTCAAGAAGAGTGCTTGCATGCTTATTGGGTCATTCCATTATGAAGAACATAACGAGGTAGACTATGTCATATGTGTCATTCTGACCGACAAAGCGGCTTTTCTTTTTGATAGAAAGTAGTGTCCGTAAAAGGCTTGAAGACCTCTAAAAGGTGCTAGACCTTTTATTTTTCTAGCGAAATGTATTAGTCTATATGTAGCAGTTTCTCGCAAAAGCACCCGTTCTCTACTTGTGCAACAAAGAGGACTTGTTGATGAGGCATGGCAATCACCGTCAGAGATTCGAAACAGCAAGAAGTCACATACAGCAGGTGGAAGTCACGGAACTCACTCTGGATAAGCGGAAGCGTAAGGTTGAAAAAAGTATGCGGGTAGGGCCAATTGCAGCAAAACACCAGCCCCGAATGCTACACACTGACAAGCATCACTTTCAGAGTACATCCTAAGTGTGAAGCATAAAAACCCAGATGCGCTTGCGAGGCCCAAAAGAGCATATTGTGACCAGTGTTCAGCCCTTAGTCTTGCAGAAAGAATAAGGCCACTTCTGCACAGCGTTATAGCGAAGCCTGCCAAGAAGAGCGACACAAGGGGTGCACTGGACTGATAGTAGTATCCTCCTGTAAGTGGCTTGAACATTAAACCACAGAAACAGGCTGCGTTACCGGCAAGGCCAACGGGAGGAAGGAGACTCCACAAACGAGAGGGCTCAAACTTTCTCAACAATTTTTTAAGGTACCTGATTTCTGGCTCATAACGTACTTCATCAGACTTAAGGAGTTTTGTTAGAAGTTGGTTGCAACAATGGTGAGCTCTGGTGTTTCTCTTCAAGACCCTTGAAGTCTCATGATCCGGTAAGTTGCGAATAACCTCGTCAAGGTCCGGAATATGGACATTGGTCTTTGGGTCCACACCCCAATGTTCAGCCCAACGTGTCTCTCGCAACTGCTTCTTTGATCTCCATATCAAATAAAATTTGACAGGATCGTCGTATTGAAGCACCTCGTCCACAGACCGAGATATGTTGATCAGGGCAGTAATTCTTGTGTCAAGAATGTCTCGGTAGAACTGAGAACGTAAGAAAATCCGACCGGGAAGTTCGCCACCAAGAAACCACCCCCACCGTAAGTCTGCATCCATGTCTCGCAAGTAATGAAGTTCTCTGACTTCCATGTCAGTCATGTTGTCCCCGTTCTCTTCAAGCCTTTTGATGCGGTAGTACAAATAATCCCAAACGGGATCATCGCTGCGGAGAATAAGCAGATAGATCTCCTCATCGTAAGGCAGCTCGGGATTATTGATCGCAAAGTCGTATTCATTTGGATTACTCTTCTCAATACTCCATTCTTGGGTTGAGAGGGAGTTATTCGCCGTAGGCGCCCGAGAAAATGTACCATTGTTACCCCCAGTTGGCTTGACATCGACAGTTTGGAGTGCAACATTCCTATGTCTAGTCAATTTGGCTCCGTCCCTGCCACGAGCTGACAGCAGTGATGCTCCTTCTTCCGAAAGATCCCCTGAACATCCTCGCAATCTAATGGATTGAACATAATCAGATGAGAAACTGTCAGTCTCAAGTCTTCAAGTCCGGATTTTGGCAGCTGGCTCATTCGAATCTTTGTGTGCTTCACAAACAAAAGCGCTTGCAATACTCAACAATCAGAAGCTGAAACTCGATTTAAAACTCCTTATCGTCGAAAATTGCCTTTGTGCCTATGGTAGGAAATATCGAGCACTGAATGACCGTCAGTACTAAATGGGGAAAGTTCGACATGTCCTCTTGCGTGCAATGTAGATAATAAAGCGAAAACGCCAATGAAGTGATGCTCTGAAAATTGCTTTCATCACGTTTGCTACCCTTTCCTGAATTTTTATTGCTGATTTCTCTTTACCAGAGTAAAAGACCGTATCTCTGTAGAAACAACCTCCAATAAGATCTTATTATTCTCACACTTGGCTTCTAAATAAGCGTGTATGTTTAAACCCCTTCCAGGAGGAAGCTGGCCAAAAAGCCTCCCTTTGTATCATCGAACTCATGTTGATCGATGTCTAATCTTCAGATATAGTACGTAATATTGAGAAATATACCTTCAGAGTTCGTTCATCTTCAAGGTTATCACTTCTGTTTTTGTCGCTTATCAGTTTGCGTATTTTAGACCACTCGCTCAATGTATTACATTGTAATGGAGTTTAGGACCTGATATGAGTTCAATCGAAACACAATAAAGAGTTCCAACTTGGGGAGCCATCTAATCAATGAAGCTGAAAGTTCCAAGACTCTCTTTTTTTTTTTTTTTTTTTTTTTTTTTTTTTTTTTTTTTATTTGAACAAGTATTGATATTATGTAAGAACTGAAATGAGCTCGCTCGCGAGCATTAGGGAGACTTGCTTGCGTGCTCAGCTGTGAAACTTTATCTTAAACCTTTTCAATAGTGCTATTCTCAAGACGGTTAGACTCAACCATGTCTCTAACTACGTCCTCACCAAGTTTACCCATCATTTCATCAACATCGAAGATATCAGCGTTAGTCAGCTTGAACTTTCTAGCTGGAACTCCTTTTTCGAACAAATAGTCCAACTCTGCAAAAGTTCTGTTTTTGGTTTCTGGCATGTCCAAGTAACACCAAACACAAGCCAAGAAGGCAAAACCAGCCCAGAAGAAACCAGTCTTTGCTCTCCAGTTCCAAGCTGTTGGGTTTAACATGTAGGGCATGATGATGGCAATAATAATACCAGCAATATTGTAACAATTTCTAGCCAAGATAACAGTCTTGGTTCTCAAGTTAGCCGATGGCATCTCCGTCACCAAACAATAAGTGATTGGACCAACACCGGAGTCATAAACGAAAGTGAAAACCAAAAGCAAAGAGCCAACACCCCATGAAGTAGCATCACTAGGGAAGCAGCCGAGGATACCAGTGGTGAGTAAGATAATGAACTGCAATATCATACCAGTGAAGAATAATTCGTAACGACCAAGCTTCTGCGATGAGAACCAGGCGACCAAAGTTCCGATGATACCCAAAACGTACTGAATAATCGAGAACGTGAAAGACATATTCGTGGATAAACCTGCTTGCAAGTAGAAGTAAGTGGAATATCCCATGAAAGCGGAACCAGTGATATTTTGCATCAACCATGTAATACACGAAATTCTTGTTCTTCTAATATTCTTTCTCCTGAAGCAGTCCCTGAAAGACACACCAGCACTGATGGCCTCTTCCTCTTTAATCGTCAACTTTATTTTGTCCACCATTGCTTGCGACATGACCAGCTTGTCTCGCAAGTGTTCATTTTCAGTCAACAATCTTTCGAGCGAATGCTTTGCCTCATTGTATCTACCCTTTTTCACCAACCACCAAGGCGATTCGGGAGCGAAGTATACACCAATGGCGATGGGAAGAGGCCAGACCCACTGAAGGCCGAATGGGATTTTCCAGGAATCAGGAATATTAGAGTCGACAAGGCCTCTCAACACAGCAGAAGAGATCAACTGGCCAATGACCCAACAGACATTGACATAGGTCGTCAAGTACAAACGCAAGACAGTTGGACAAACCTCAGAAGCATAAGACAAAGTCATGGTCTGGAATGCACCCCATGGGAAACCAAGCAAAAGTTCACCGATAAGCAACATAGTAATATTTTGAGCGAAGAAAACGATAAAGATCAAACCAGTCACCAAAAGCAAAGACCAGATCAAAGTCTTTCTGTATCCCCATCTTTCAGAAACAATACCTGCGATGAACAAACCAAAGACTTGACCACAGTTGACAGCCATACTGAGACCAGTCTGCCACTGAGCAGGAATCTCCCATCTGTCACTCTCTGGATAGTATTCACCGAATGTTCTGACAAAATCGGGAAATGAATAAAACGAGTTGATAAGGTTGAGATCGTATCCCTCCATAATAATCGCGGAGGACAAAATCACAGACCACATAGCAGCCTTTGGGAAGGTCTTGATACCTTCCTTGAGAGACATACTTTTCTCCTTGCTATCATTCTCCTTAGCGTTGTTAGAGATATCCAAAAACTTGGCCATGTACTCTTGGCATAGACGTCCATAGACTCGGTTGATTCCCTCTCATCCTTGTCAGTGATCTGAGTCGTCAACTCAGGCTTCTTGACATCTTCAATGTGGTCAGTCATATTGAGTTAGATCAAATCTTGATAAAGATTGAAACAGCCAGAGGCGTCTTTGAATTTATACATCTTTAGCTGCTGCAATACCCATGACACAGGTAGAAAGCCGATGTGGGGCAACAAACGCCCCGCTAAGTGACCTGGAGCGCCAAGGCAGGGGCGACTATAGTGAGTCTGGGGTAGTCTATACGGCCAATGCTTTCTGACGCAAGAATACCGGAGAAATTCAACGCGGGCCCGCTTGAAGCCTTCACAAAGGACGGAAGAATGTAAGACAAAGCCAACAGCGGGCAAAACTTCAGGGCTTTCATTGTATGGTTGGACTCATTATGTTGAGTCAAGGTGTGTGTTATAAAATTGAATGCGATAGTCATCGAGGCTTGAGGCTTAGATTCTCGGAGAGTCTAAGGTTTACGAGCAGTGTGCGTGTGGCAATGACAGCCTCATAAAAATTGGCGAAAACACGGGGAAAGGGCCCAAGAACATAATATCGGAAACATTGGAAAGGCAATCTTTGAGATGTACCCGCCCGCGTTTCAAGCACAGAGAGATCCAATTATTACGGATTCTTGCGATTTCCCAATGCTTGGATCTTGGCGCGCCGTTCGGCCCGCGTCCCACTATCAACAGAAGCCAATTTGGAAATAATCGATGCCGGACTGCTGTCTCAGAGTGGGTTTTTCTTAATTTTACAAAATTCTTGCGAGATTTACGCAACTGATCACCCCACTCACTTCCATGATCCATTTGCAGCTTTTGAGAGCCGCAAAGTATGCAACCCTGCGATAAAATCTGCGGAAATTGATCCGGAGCGGTATCGGAGAAGTCAATGAGCGATTTCGTGAGATTGCTTGCCAAGTGCACTTCTCAACTCATCCCCACGCTAGTGAAATCTGAACAAAGGGAAATTTCTTCTCAATACGGCGCTAACACCTCTCTTCAATAGACTTCATGGAGGGTGCATGAAATGTGATAATGAAGGGGAGCTTTCGAATAGATCGTTCCTCGCCAAGACGGCATTTTCGTCCTGGGTTGAGATACCACTCAAGGCGTTCCACATCGCCTGAGAATATGCTCCGCCCAATTGCTTGAAAAACTGCGTAAATGAGGGATTTCGTCTGTGGGCCGAAGTTCTGAGCTTCCGAGACAGGAGCCGCTTATTTTTTCTATGTCTTCCTCGTCGAACAATTCTTGAATGGCGGCTGAAATCGGAAATTCGAGGGACAAGGGTCTTTCAACATGGGTGAAAAATGAAGAGATTTTTCTGGCCACCTTGTTGTGAACATCCATTGGTAGCGTAATATGATTTTTGAATTGATTGACAAGCATAAAGATCGAATTTAGACTTTCCGCCAAAATCGATTTGCTATATGATCCTGGCACGGCAAACACAAGCGAGTTGGCTATTTCGAGTAACTTGATGCACACTCCAGGCCCATTCGCCTCGGATGCCACAGCAGGAAGGTCCTTTGTTGACGCTAAGAAATCCCTGGCTATTTTTATGGGGGAAATCTTTTGCTAGGCAGTTGATTGATTGTTCCGACGTATATGTGAGTAGTCCGTTTTCAAATGTGATATGCCAGGCAATTGCTTGGATCCAAGAACGGAAAAGGTAAATGTTGAGCTTTTGCGAATCAGACGCCTTCGTTGATTGGTCGATCGAGCTGTGATTGGACTTCAAGAATACACTTGGTTATTTGGGCATGGTCGTGGTTTTGGAGATAGTCTCTGAATGCCTTGATTTTTTGGTTGACGCCTTTCATGGGAATTCAAAAAAGTGCTTATGAGGAACGGAACAGACCTCAATAATCTCAATAAACCCAACCAATAGACTCGAATAATCCTCGTTTTCGAGCAGGGGTAATGCAATCGTTGGATTAAGGATAACAGGCATCGCTTCCTCGAATGAAACAAACCGCCAGTGACAAGCAAGGTATAATAGATTTTTTGACAACGATGTTTTTCTGCCGCCGACTTGGTTTGGTGGGTGGTTTGGTCGTGAAAACCCAAAAGTTGTGACACCGGTATGGCTTCCCTCAAATGTATGATCGCCTGGCTAGTTCTGCCCTTGCGATTCGTGTAATGAGCGTAGAAGAAGAACGATGAAAGAAGAGTCTCGACGCTTGGATTACTTAAACAAGTACCTAGCCCGTTTGGCCTCATCAGCGTACTCTGTGTCCAGACAGCTGAAAGCATCATTGACGAGTCTGTCTTTAACCGAAACTTAGGTCATTTGAGTGGCTGTAGCAGCACAGACGGAGCACGCTAGACTGTAGTAAAAGACGTTTCTTTCTGTCAATCTGATCGAGCGTATGGATTCACTCATCAGATTGGAGTTTGTGATTTTCGAGATGATCTCTGCTACCGAGAGCACCGGCCAGTAGCCATAAAACCACTGTTAGACCTGAAGATACGCAATTAATCTAGAGATATTCTGGCCATATAATGGTCCATTATCTCAGTGTAAGACTCCTCCATAGGAATCGGTCTCGGAGTGTTCAAATCCTTTGTGCCTCCAGGCTGTGGGGTATTTGATATCTAAATGGTAAATCTCTTCGTATAGCGTGTCATCTTTATGCAAGGACAATGCTAATCTTCTCTGTATTGTTAAGATTGACAGATCAGTATCGCGAACGATAGTACCTTTTTTTTTTATCGATCCTTTAAGAGGGCGCCAGAAAAAAATAACTTCTTTCCAACAAAACCTATATAGTTATAAGCGTACAAGTTTCTTTATCGATTAAGAGGACGCCAGGCTCCACAATTGAGCTTCAAATACTCAAAAAAATGGTATAAACCCCAGAAAAGCCACCATTTCCACTTTTGTGCCGCACACTACCATAAACGAATATAACACACCCACAGCCTTTCCCTTCGAAATCCTCTCGGTGGCCAAGCTGGCTAAGGCGCGAGACTGTAATGTGATTGTAATCTTGAGATCGGGTGTTCGACTCACCCCCGGGAGATTTTTTTTTCCTGCGCAGGACATTTTTGCACCCATCGCATCGCATCTCTATCTGATTTCTTCAAGATAACCAACCACCCATGCCTTCTAGAAACCTGGTCAACAAACCAAAAAACAAAATCCACAGGGCCCACCACGCCCAGCAGCTCGGTAAGAAAAGAGCTGCACGTGCCGCCAGTATCCTTCCAACCAGATCTTCTCATGGCAGATTCAACACAGAAACCGTCCCCAGACCTTCTGACTCCAAGGCTGTAGCCTTGTACAACGGCAGCATGCCCCTTCCTTCTGGCGGTGTCACAACCAACACGCTCAGTAACAAAAGAGCCAGAAAGATCGAGAGAAACAGCAGATACATTGCTAAGAGAAACGAGCAGTTGAACATTGATCTTGAGGCCAAGAGAGAGATGGATATTGACATGGACGGAGTCAAAAAGAACAAGCACGAGAAGGAGCCAACCCAGTTGGACAAGGTCAAGCAGGCCCTCTGGGCGGTTGTTGAGGATACCGATGCTGTGGGTATGAACTTGAATGTGAGTGGTGAGGGCACCACCATTGGTGTTCAGGCTTTCTGAGTGGCATAGGCGTTTGAGTTTGACGTTTGGTTTTACGCAACGGGCCGGGGGCCCTGCTGTATAGGCAATGCATAGAATACGGAGATTGTTGTAGGTTTCACGGGGTAGATGGTTTACTATTTAGCCGATGATTTCAATACATGGATATTGATGATTTCATGATACCATGGATACCAATGAATTGCTGAATAAGCGTAGCTAGTTTTGGAACACTGTCGTTACTGGTCTCAAGTCATACTCAGGTGTTCTTACTCGTAGGATTATTTGAAGGCTGATCTCTTGATCCCTTGCTGAGGAATTCAATGCAATATTTACGATACTATGATCCTCTTACAAGGTAAATCCTGATCACCTTCTACGCCCTCTACTACGGGACACACTCCTCCGCCTCCGCTGTTTCATGCCATTGCAGGGATCCTCCCTAACCTATACCTCTACTTTTCCCTGAAATACCCACATAGGGCATCACGAGTACACGCCCCTCGCCTTCAAGCTCTTGTTCACCGTCTCCCTCATAAAGTCAATAAGCTCCACTGGATCCGGAGCCGTGAAGCACGACGTACCAGCTACAATGACATTGGCACCAGCCTCGGCAGCAGGCACCACGGTCTCTCTGCCCAAACCACCGTCAACCTGAATGTTCAATTGAGGGAACTTCTCTCTCAAGGCGTCTACCTTGGCCATCATGTTGGGCATGAACTTCTGACCACCGAAACCAGGCTCGACCGTCATGACCAACGCCATGTGCAACTCGTCGCCAAGCTCATACAAAACATCAACCTCCGTGCCCGGTTTCACCGCACAGGCGGGTTTCATGCCGTGTTCCTTGATTAACTTGATAAGGCCCTTGGGGTCCTTGGTAGACTCGTAGTGGAAAGTGTACTGGTCCCCGCCAGCCTTGGCAATCTCCGGCACCCATTTCTCCGGCTCGGAAACCATCATGTGGCAGTCGAAAAACGTCTTTTCGGCCTTTCTGGGGAACTCCTTCCTCAAAGAACTCACAATCGGAGGACCCAAGGAAATGTTGGGCACAAAGTGGCCGTCCATGACGTCGATGTGGAGCCAGTCGGCGCCAGAGTCGTACATTTTGTGGCAATTGCACCCCAAGTTGGCGAAATCGGACGCAAGGATCGAGGGGGCGATGATAGCTTTGACCATTTTGTAGTGGGAAGTCAAGGTGATCTCGGATAAGATATAGCAAGTATCGTGGTGCACGGGTGCAGAGGTGTCGAGGCGAGGCGGAACCGGGCAATTTGCGAAGGCAGGGTTGGGTTGATTTTGGGCACGGTGGGGGTGGGCTTTTTGAAAGTTGGATTTTTGGAATTTTCGGGGTGACATTATGAGGGTGAGAAGTTTTCCCGGTGATTTTCGGCCATTTTTGGCGATTTTGATGGACCCTAGGTAATGGGTGCAAATAGTGCGGTTTGACTCCGAAGTACAGAAGGCCTTGGCGTCTTGGCTGGGTGATAACAGACCGCGGCTACGGCGGGCAGGGGTGATGAAAGGAATTTGGATTTTTGAAAATAAAGAGATTTGGTAGAAATTATGCGTCATTGTAGGGACTGCTTTCTTCAGCTTTTGAGGTCCACCGCCCGCTGAATGAGATGTGTAGATGTCATATCTAGCTACTGATCTGCCTTGATTCAACTTTCTTTTTCCTTTTTCTTATATTGTTTTTGCTGAAGAATGTCTGTAATGGAAGGCACATGTCGAGGGTGTTTTGCCGTTCGGACTTGACAATTGATGATCAAGTTGAAATCACTTATCTCAAAACGGCAAAACTTGCATCAAGGTGCACCATTTCGCCAAATGTTCCCGAAAGCCTTCTCCATTGAAATTACTTCGTGATATCTTGGGCAAATAAGTGAACATGAAAAATTCAGAGAAGGCCATTGACATCGATGAAATGGTGCTAAAGAGGGATGAGAGAATCACCCTCATAGGGTTTGAGGTCCTTTTAGGCTTTTTTTTGATCCTAAACAATGTTTATGGATTTATCCGAGCTCTCTGCCATTTTCCAAAGGAAAATACCTTCCTTATCGCAACAACAATCTTTCATCTAGTTGATGTATGTATACCTTTACATTGATTTGAGCTAAGCTAACAACCAGATTTCTCCGATTCTATTTGTGCTGTTTTTAGCTATCTCTCGAAGACGCAAATATACGAAAGCGCTGTTGATTCTTGGTGTCTGTCAATTAGTACATTGGGTATTACTTGCTCTCGAGCTAGACGCAGTCAACGACGCCCAAATGTATGACAGAGTAAAGTTGCATCTTGATTTTTGCCAGTGTGATGTCATGTTGTTCTTCCTTTATCCAATTCTCCTTGGTTTCTTTTCAAGAATTACAAGACAACGGATGATGAAGAAGGTGATTGCGCAAGAGACACTGGCGGAGAAGGTAGCCTAGAAGACCCTTGAGACCTTTTAAAATGACGGTATTCTCATAAACGTTAGCCTTTTGAATCGAATTTGACCAGATAAGACATTTCTTGAGAGGAAGCGGCAAAGATATCATTGCTTTTTTAAGGGGTTAAAAATTAGCGATGGGGTGTGTTTAGTATTGAGCTTGTTGGAATTTAATTGAAATGTGAAGTAGAAAAGTCATGGGAAGTAAGAATTAAGTCGTCAAAAGCGAGCCCATTAAAGTGCAGATTCTGTTGAGTAAGGGACAAAGCTGCAAATACCAAACCATTGAAAGCATTTTAAACGATCCGTCTCGACACAGTGACCATTATGTACTTGAAATTCAACCCCAAGCAAATCAGTGAAGAATTCAACTCATCTCAATTGGAAGTGAACATATCCGAAGATTGAGACAATTTGGATATCTGGATACTTCTCTTACTGTTATCATAATGAACAAAATGTAGTCTGTACTTGCCTCAGCTTTCTTCTCCATTTCTCTGATTCCTGATATGGAATGCTCTGCACAGCTCGCCTTCAGTAGATGCCTTTTTGGGTAGGTGAACAGGATCTATAGAATATATCCCCATAAGTCATGAGTTCTCGGGAAGGCAACTCTACAAAGAGTCTTAAAAGTGAAAATATTCAGCTCGCTTACTTTAAAGGAACAGTATCTCCTATCCGTTTGCTCACGATATTACACCATGGATATGAATCTAGTACAGAACGAAACTGAAATTGATAGAAGCATCGATGACACTCCAAATCACCATAACAATGAGGTTCAAAAGAAAGGCCCTACCACCCACAGATTAATGAAAGACGTCATGGAAAACGCTATGGCTTCTGAAGTTTTTTTGGTTATATATGTGGTTGCGTATCACACTGTCAAGTCAGTTTTGCTTCTGACTAACTTCCCAAAAGAAAGTAAGTTTCTCATGGTAACTTTCCTAATTCACCTAGTCGATGTATGTATACTGTTTACGAGGTCAAAACTCGAACTCTACTAACTCCAGATTTCACTGCAAGCATATACGATAAAACTTGTTGTCTCTCGTGGACGCAGCTGGGATTTATTCAAGGCACTGGTGATTGTCATTGTTGATGAGACTCTTCACTGTATCTTACATCTCATCGAGATAAAACCAGCCTATCACTATAACGATAGTACAGAGAGGGTTGAGATTGTTCTCGCTCTTTTTGCTTTTCGCTTAGCAGGCTTGGTATTCTTTGGGTCACATTTGCTTGCACTCAGATCGTTTCTTAAAGACAGGGAGGGGATCTTGTTCCCAAATTCCGATTATCGGCCGGAACCGTTTACTGAGGAGATAGCCTTGTCGACTCTTCAAAAGGCTCATATCCCGAGATGAGTGTATTAGTGAGGCAGGAGCTTGAACCTAGTATAAGCAAGTGCTGCCTTTCCGAAAAAAGCCCATTCATTTTAAGTTTGGTGTTTCTGTCACAAAAGAGGTTGATGCTCTTTTTTGCTTAGGTCCAATTGGTATATAGTCCGGACGTGAGGCCAAAATGTATCATAAATAGGTAGAATATCTTGTCAATGTGGGATGGGGATAAATGAGCTGAAGCATAACACATTGCTTCACATTGAACTTCACTTTCAGATATAACAGGTGATACGAGAGGTGGTTGGAAGTAAGCTCAATTCGAAAAACGTTCATGACATATCTGCAGCTTTTCTTCTGCAACTATGTTACCGTCTAGACGCATTTATGACCAGTAGACACCATTGTTTCCGAGTTCGTCTCGACGTAGTATGACTAAAGGCATCTTTGGATAACCCAGTTCTCTAAAACGTTTAAAGATAAGGACATAATGCTGTAAGCACGACAAATCTCGAATCCCTGTCATCTCCGAGTTAGACCCAAATTTCGTAAAAGACGTCGCACCTTGGTCTGGAACGTATCTACCGCCCATATAAGCGCCCTGCAAAGAAGCATGCAAAGCCCAAGAAGGCAGGTCCATTTTTCAAGACAAACTTTAAATGGAAGGCAAATTTAAGTGAAGGACAAAAGAAAAATGGCAGCCTTAGTCCAAGCTATCCGTCCACTAGCAATGGCCCATCGCACTTGGTCAAGCCTTGGTCCAAAACCTCAGACCCAAAAACGAAAACCCACCTTCTAGAAGCCTTATTTTCCTTTGTCTCCGCTTCCACCAAACCCCCACACTTTATCCACATTCTTCCCCTTCCAAGATCTCGGCAGCAAGAGCGGAATCAAAGGGTCTCCCCACTTACCTAAAATAGCACCTCCATCGCGATCTCCGTTATCCTTCAAAAGCTGCAAATTCAACCGAAGAACCCTGAGACCCTGGCTCTGCCAAGTTGCGTTTGCTGCATAAGAAATTTGACAATTTACCGGCACGGTCGTGCTATCAGCCGATTCCGTACAAGCGCTTATCTCTTATCTCAAAACCTTTTGCACCCATTGTTCCCCGCTGAAGATTCTAAAAGGAAGGAATCCAGCAAACTCAAAATACGAGAACCACGCCTTTGTGAATTTGTCTTGGAACGAAGAAACCTCACTTCTGCGCCGTTCTTGCATTTTTCCACTTTTTTGTGGTACCCTCCTCATCAAAGATTTACCCGCTAAGCGGACTGCCTGTTGTGGAACCTGGAGCCGGCGCGATAGAGGACCCCACAAAACACCTCCACCAATATATATAAACCCAAAGATGCATTTTTTTTTTTTGTAGAGCATGTCGGATTTGGAAAAAGACTCCGCCAGCAGGACCTCGATGGTCCCGGGCACAGTCCATCTTTTGGACATGGCCGGCACGTTGAATGTGCAAAAAGTGCAAGACGGAAATCAGAACATCATTTTGCAGCCACAACCTCTGTCTGATGTGAACGATCCGTTGCGCTGGTCGAAGCGGAAAAAGAACCTCCAGTTTATTCTTCTATGGGTTTGGTCGGTTTTCTTGGCTATCACCGTCAACTGGGGCGGGCCATACTGGGGTGAATGGCAGGAGGACTTTGGGGTCAGTGCAGCTAGGCTCAATGTCTGCCAGGCGCTCAATTTCTTGTTTTTGGGTGTTGGATGTGTGATTTTGCAGCCGACGGCCATGAAGGTCGGCAGAAGAGGTGTGTACTTGGTTTGTACGGTTTTGGCGGTTGTGGGTAATGCCATGGCCATTCATGCGGATTCGGTGAGTTACATCATGGGCCTGATGTCCATCTGTGGATTTGCTGCTGCTCCCACCAACTCGCTTGTGGAAATTACATCCACGGATATATTCTTTGTTCACGAAAGAGCGACAAAGCTTTCCTGGCTTGTTTTTGCCATTTACTTTGGCAGTTATATTGGTCCCGTTGTGGCGGCGTATTTGCCCAGCTGGCAGTGGGCGTTTCAGCTCCAGGTGATCATTCTCTGTGTGCTTTTTGTCGTGCAGTTGTTCCTCATGGAGGATACCTCTTTCAGAAGAGAAGACAGTGAGACTGAAAAGGAGATCCTCGACCAGATCAAAACCAGAGAAACGGGATTCAGTTCCGAGCCTGGCGCCGGAAAAGTCCACCATATCCTTAGCCAGGAGGAGGCTGGCTATCTGGACTCAGATCCCCAAAACACCAAAAGAACGTACATCAAGAGAATGCAGCTTTTGGAGCTCGAGTACAACGACAAACGGCCATTTTGGAAAATCCTCACCAAGCCAATTTACACCGCCTGCTTTCCGGCTGTTTTCTGGCTGGGTATCGTCTATGGTGCCCAGATGATGTGGCTCTCTTTGCTCACCACCACCCAGTCCGATCTTTACACCACCTACTACGATTTTTCCACCTCCACCACGGGTCTCACCAATTTGGCAGCTCTTGGCGGCAGTTTGATCGGAATGATATACGGCGGGCCGTTTGTGGACTGGCTCACGGTCAAGTTGGCTCACCGCAACAACGGTATTCTAGAACCCGAGTTCAGACTCTGGGCCATGATTGGTCCAACGCTCTTCAACGCAGGCGGCCTTTTGGCATATTGCATGGGGCCTTTGAACGGAGACGCTTGGGCTGTTTCTGTTATTGTGGGTCAAGGGTTCCTTGGTTTTGCTATGGCAGCAGCTGGACCCATTTGCTTGACGTATGCCATTGACTGTTATACCGAGGCGGCGTCGGAAGCGCTTGTATTTATTCTTTTCATCCGTAACATGATCGGATGTGGCTTCACGTTTGCAATCCAGCCGTGGCTCAACAGAACCGGTTTGGCTACCACCACCTGGTTGATGTTCATGCTTTCGGTGGTGATCAACGGGAGCTTCTTGGTGTTTATTGTATTTGGCAAGGCGATCCGCCGCAGGACAAAGAACCTTTACGAGAAGGTGTCTGCGATGGAGTAAATAGGAATGATTGGTTAATAATTGGCGAGAATGAGTAGGTGTACAAGGGGCGGCAGTGGACAGGAAAGGAGAGTTCCATAGAAAGTGAAAAGTCCAGCTTTTGAAGAGTTTTGAGGCTGGATCAGGGATTATGAGCTTTCATGGGTTGTTTAAGACCTTTTATGGTGGTAATTAGACAGAAATGAAGGCCAACAATCGACAAATCTGATAAAAAGTGACTTTCCAACAGACTTTTGATCATCTCCGCAAAAATGATGAAAGTAAACTTTTGAAATTCTGAGCGCCAAATCATTTTGCTTCCACGACCGGTGGTGATGTTGCCGATTTTGCAACCATTCGCAGCACAGCCCACATACCCAAATTGCCAAAACAGAAACCCAGCAAAACCGGCAGCAACCATCAGCCTTCATCCCATTTAGATCCACAAATGAATAAAAAAAACTCCAATGCTAGCTCTCCTCCTTATCTGACCCACTACATGTCGTCTGAAGACTCGCCTGCATCTGGCCGAGCGAGTAGCCAACAGAGCAGCTACACCTCCAACTTCACCACCATGTCTGAAAACGAAGGAGCATCGTATAAGGAGCAAATCTTGGAGTGTGCTCGCCGTAACAATGTGGAGCTTTTCACCACCATCAAGCAGGAGGTCGAGCCAGACCAATTGGCGCTGCTCCTCAACTCCACCACAGAAATGATCACCAACAACTCCCCCTTACACATCGCCACCCTGCTTGGCAACTGGGAGTTCATAGACGCGGTGTTGGACGTGGAAGGCGTGGAGATCGATCCGTTGAACCGAGACGGCGACACGCCGTTGCACCTAGCGGTGAAGTTTGCTGGAGACGAGCCAGAGTACGGATACTTCATCATCGACAACTTGGTGGACGCCGGGTCCGACGCCAAGATCGTCGACAGGCACGGCTTGAAGCCGGTGAATTACGTCAGGGACAACGAGAAGCTCCGGAGCCTTTTGGAGAGTGCCGAGTACGGCTCCATGGTTCCTGAGGTGCCCGAGGAGCCTCTGGACGACGAGGGTTCTGCTTCGGACAGCGATTAGACGGGTATATAGTGCATGCATTAGAGAGCAAAGTTGTCTGGTGTAGTTCTGGTCCAGCCGAGGAGGCTGTGGAGGTGGTTCTTGAGGTCTTTCTGAGGGTTGCTATCTTTGAGGGCACAATAGGATTCCGGCAGGTCTCCAGTTGGAAAATTTATCTCTTGGAGTAAGGGCCTTGCTTTTTGTATTAGCTTCTGGTTGCAGAGGATGCTGGCGCCGTGGGGTTTGGGTGGCTTGTTTTTGATGAAACCGCCGTTTTTGGCTCCGTTCAGTAAGGCCTGGCTGATTTCGAGCGGAGGACAAATAACAAGGCTCAATGGCGACGGAACAGCCTTTTCTGACTTGTGAAACGTGTATGGGTCCTCGGTGTATAGCAATGGCTGGAGAGATACGCCGTTTTTCGGGTCAATTCTGCCAAAACAGCGGTCAAAGTCGGCCTGCTGGAACTTGGCTTCGGGAAGAGCAAGAAAATCAAGGTATATGGGCTCCACAAACGCCGAGTTGATCGAATTGAGGACCCCAGTCTCCTGCCTAAGACAAAGCTTATCGGAGCACGATTTCGATAGCGTCACCTTGCTGTCGGCTCTGCCTGGTTTGGTTCGAACCACGCCCAAAACATCGAAGCTTTCACGGCCTCTGTGGAGTCCCAGTTGTTCGATTTTGGTCTTTTTTGATGGAGGTTCCTCCCAGGCTTCTCTACCCTGTGCCACATAGCTCATAGACGCGTCGCCACACGGCGGTTCGCTGACATATAGGCAAAGCTTGAGGTCTTTCCTCAATCGGAACATCTTCTCTCCCCTCTCCAACAAAAGCATATCCTTTCCCTGCCTCTCATTCAACACATCCTCAGTCACCACATAGTTCAACATTCGAAGACAGAGGATCTCGGCGTGCATGTCGTGGACCATCCAGCCCTTCGAATACCTTCTTGTGTCGTCTGGTAGTGCCTTTACCCCAGTGGCAACAGAGATCACCTCGATCTTATCGCCTTCTAGTGTTACTAGACCTGCTAGTACTGTCCATTCGGGAACGCCATTGGCACGAATGACTGGTTTTCCAGCTTTGGCGGGCGCCTCGTTGAAATGCTTTACTACTGTAGCGGCAATTCTGTTAGCAAGCAGTGCATTGTGGTTCATTCGGTGAAGAACCGTGTGGTTAGTATTCGCACCCAAATGTGGAGTTGATGCGATGGAGATGAGGTGGGGCAACAGCGAACTTTTGGTTTTGTTTAGAAGGGATGGTATTTGATTTCGGTTTATGAGATATTTAGTAGATTGAAGAGTGGAGTTTTGTTGGGTAAGATGTCAGTGGTGGTGGTGGTGGTGATGGTGGTGGTAGTATGGGTTCTCAGTGGCTAGTAAGGTACTGGGTGAGAGGCAATACCAACACTGGACCTTCAACGGTGAACCCCAATGCCTATAGATATGACATCTCAATCACCCAAAACTGAGTCTTTTGTCGTTAAGAGCTATATTGGAACCCCCTAGTCCTCTTCAGGTGGCATTATGGCTTTACCATAGCGCTACACTTGGAAAACTCAATCTTGGATCCCCAAAAATGAACGAAACACTCTTGATATCTCGAAAGCAAGACTTCACAGCACGGTCAAATCCCCCTATTCCGCTCAAATTGGCCTCCTTGGCCGCCTACACCCCCCTCATCATACCGTGTATTTCGTATGGTCCGTCCAAGGCCCGCCTTGCTTCCATCGTCATCCCCTCAACCTCCCGTCTATACCAGGCCTATCTCTTCTTCCTGAGCACGGCTCCCATGATGCCAAGCCCAACGGCCAAAACGCCACCGGCCACTCCGAGCCCAATGAGCCCGTCCTCCGTGACCCGCTCGTCAATCGCCTTCTTCAACGCCTGGAATTGCGTGTTCTCAGGCTCCTTCTCCAAAAGCGTCTCGGCGTACCTTCTGGCGTTCGAGTACTCCCCGATCTTCACGCTCCCTAATGCCAAGTAGTACAACGACTCTCTCCTCATACGTGGCACGTCTCTGTAGAGAACAGTCAAAATGTCAATTCCTTGTTTTTGTTTTCTCGAGCTGTCCGTTTTAAGGAGTCCCCAGGCATAGTTGAACTGAGACTCCGGGGTCTGTGGGTCTTCGGATTCGAGCTGGTTTTTCAAAATCTCCAACTGCTCAGGCGCTATCACCTGTTTAATTTCCTCGAGAGCGGAGTAGTCTTTGCCAAACATTTTCTTTTTTTTATGGTGTGTTTGTTTTGTTTGAAGAAAAGAAGTAGTAGTGGCGGTTCTCAGTTTCCCTGTACAATTGCACCGATCTGGGGAAGTACGCAGGGTTCAGGGTTAGGAGAAAACGTGAACTGGAATGTGGACCGGGATGATTTTGAAACGGTAAAATTAAATAAACTTTGAAGTGTGGCCAAGAAAAGTTGGAATTTTGAACTGGCACGGAAATGAAAATGTTCAATAAGTTTGAAATTACGATTGGTCAATGGGTCCATTGAGTCTGGAGATTGGGTAGTGGGTGGATGTAGAGATGTGACTTAACAAAAAGCAAGATATCAGAATTCACTCATTTGCCGAAATATTGAATAAAAACCAATTGGTTAATTCTTCAACGATTAATAATGATAGTCGGACTATCCTGGGTATTGATATAGATGGGGAATTGGCTGCAACAAAGAGAATGAGCTTTCAAAATCACGAGTCAAAACATTTGGTATCTGCAATATCACCCATAAATTGACGCTACAACGTCTAGAATCATTTCCACGAAATTCAGCCAAAAGTTAAACCCTCAATACTATTCAATACAGACGTTTCCTGATCTACTTCCTATCATCCCTTTCCATTGCATTTAACAAAACTCACAGTAGTCTGCTTCAGGATCCTACTTGTTGATTTCACTCTCAACAACTATTTTGAAGAATTCTTCACGGTCCTCCAATGCCTCAGAGTACTCTTTCTCAGCAGCGAAATTATAATGCACCAAATCATCATCCAACAAACCAATGGCGGCTTTTCCACCATCACCTTGAGCAAAAAGATTGTTGTATTTCAAGAAACACATTTCATCTTCGCTATACTTCTCTGAGTTGATTATGTCATCATTGCCATAGACCATGCTCGACCAAAGGAGAACGACAATCGCCTGAACACAAAGCAGCATTTGAAAAATCATCATAAGCAGGAAAGCTTAGCAAGGGCAGTGGGCTCTATATCGTAGAATTAACAGAACCAATCGTCCCTATATAGCCTTGCTAGAATCATGAGTTGTATACTAGTTTCAGGGCATTCACTTATCAAGTAGAACTCCAGGATATACCTATTTTTCGAGACATGCATATTTTTCTCTGACTGGGAATTCACTTATAGTAGAACTCTTTAGACACTTAATTATCATGTCACTTTAACTGGACCTCATAGACCCTAAGAAGCAAAATCACCAAAGTCCATCCATCCCGTTCGCCTAGTAATCAAATAAAAAATCCATCCGCTTGTTGCCCTTGTCGCAGGTATCTGAAATGCTATGACCAATGATGCCTCTAGACATATTGCAAATGGCAGGGTCGGCTTCAATAGGTTGAGTTGAAGCCATAAGAAGGCACTGGCATAAAAATTTGTCATCATTTGGGTCTTCAAAAAGTACTGACCGCCCTGAATAGACTTAATACGTACAAAAGGTCAGGCCACACTGAAAACCTCTTGCAACTGAGGTGTGAAAAATTTCCACGATTTTGCAAGTGGGCTCTACAAATCATTAAGCACTAAAGGAGACAATCAAAATTGTGACTTTCATGGCTACGGTGACGAATATACCACAATCAAGGACCTGAGAATCTTGCAACTGACTTTTCAAACCCTCCTGCCTGAGATTTTGGACGAAGTAGCTTTCCTGCGTTGTGAAAATTTATTTTTGACTGCAAATGATAATTAATATTTTTTTTTTTATCTTTGTGGCTCCAAGTGGGTGTTCTTCGGTAACTAGGCCCGTACACCAATAATATAGTTTATCAACTCTGACTTGATTCTCTTTCTTCCCATAAAAAAAAAGCCACTTTTTGAAAAATTACGCTTACCCTCTACATATTTTTATGTTAGTGCCCAACTGAAACTGCCGGTACAGTACAAGGATCATCTCCTCTTCCTATTTCAATGCGTGACGTGAAATACCAGTACGGCAACTGCAATTCGTCATGAAATTATTATTAAGTTATGCTCCTAACTATAAAAGGCATGATATCCCATGATTTTGATACAAGATTCTTGCTTTTCAAAACTGACAAATGCAATCGTTACGTTCTTTACTCAAGCCCCGTTCTGAAGATAAGGTTGAAAAGGTCAATCCCCAGGTGAAGTTGGACACCGTTTTTAGCTTCAAAAACTTGGGGTCAGACCATCAAAAGATGTTGGCAGAAATGGAAAGGATACTGGAGATCGAGGCATGCTCATTTCTGGTCAATTGCCTCAAGATAAACGGCGAATATCACCAAGTGAGTGAGCTTCAGCTTATCAGTTCAGATTTCAACAGCCCTGAACGAAAGGTACATATAGAAAATGCCCGCTTGGCTAATGGCGTCACCACATTCGGATCGGGCCCGGATCCTACTATTCCCAGGGTTCTATTTGAGGTTTGTCGGACATTTATCACTTACGATTGGTCCAGACATGAGTTGCCAATGCCAGCCCTAGCTACTTGTTTTTTCACAACCGGAATCAGAAAACAATACATTCCTGGTCCCAAATTCCCTATGTCTCATCGGCTCAGGGGATTTGGCTCCGAAATGAACATGGAATCAGTGAGTGCGATTGACGAAGATATGTCAATCAAGCTTCGGGCGGAATTTAGACCTGTTCCTCACTTTAGACAAGATTTGTGTCATCGTATAGTGCTACCGGGAATGCGTGTATCGGACTTTTTATCCTTGGACTTTCGAGCTACGGGATCGGTTGAGCTCGACGACAGCTTCGAGGAGCCGTTCATTATAACTGACATTCGAATCGAGTTACAGGAGTTCACGAGTACACATAATCATGAGGAGGTTTTCCAAGATGTCCGGACAAAAATGCTTCTCGAGGGTAAGCCGTTTGAGTCAATCATGCTTTCAAAAAGGCCGCTGAGAATTCTGGCAAAGATGTACTCGTGTGAATTGCCTATGGTAGGTCCGACTTTCTTCACAAATGATCTCACTAGAAGCTATGGCTTGAAAGCAACTTTCAAGCTCAGCCACGATAAAATTGGAAAAGTCACTTCCACGGCATTTGTCGAATTGAACATGGCTCAAGAAAAGTCTGAACGTATAAGAGACGAGGATTATGAGCTCTCTAGGTACTATGAAGACACCGACTTAAGTTGGGATTGGCCATTTACTGGGGTTCCATCAAGTAAGAGGGATACTCAACGTTTACTTGCATCATACAGTCAGACCTTGGCTTATTATAAGACACACTTGAAGCGTTATATGCTTCTGTCATACTCAAAGGGTAGAAATACGGGCATGCTTTTCATAGTGCGGCTTGACAGAGGTGCTCCGCTCATTCCGAACTCGGCTTTGGTGAGTTATGTTAAATCTTGCTTGAACTACTCGCTTTCTATTTGGAGGAATCAAGTTAAGGCCAGTGTAGTATCGACGGTTACGGAACTGCCCGTTCCTGGTGGTGATGCATCCAATTCAGGAAAGCCATTCGCATCCAACTGCTTGATGGTAGGCGGTCAAGTTGTGCAATCTCTCTCGACGTGCTGTTTGGCGCGATTTAAGAGAGTACCAAGGGATTGTGTTTTTGCGTTAGGCGGCTCGGATATTCCAGTTTCTCTTTGTATCTCAGTCATGGAGAGTCAAAGATTTTCTCAAGCCAAAGAGTGGACGTTGGCGACGATAGTGAAACCCGGAATGAAGCTATCGGAATTCATGGAAATAAGCTTCACTGTTGCTCAAAGTTATGACGAAGCGAGTCATGATATGCCGATAGACGATATGAAAATCCTGATAGAATGGATTGAGATGACGCTCCTGGAGGAAAAGCATTCTTTGGAGAAGGAGAAGACAATCTTGTTGAGCTACAAAAGTGAGAAGTTTCCCTTGATTCGGTGGGATGGTTTTAAGGAAAGTGTCGATGGCAGTCCAAATGCTCGGAGATTTCGGTTACCTCGAGAAATTATTGTCGGTGAAATTCCCCTTGATGTCAAATCTTCGCTCACCGAGGATGAGCCTCAAAGGTTAAGAAAGTTGATGTCTCGTGTATCCTTACGATCAGGAGGGCAGACTTTCTGCTACCAGTGGGAATACCGGCTCTATGTGGTTTGAAGGAAGAGGGGCAGGAGGCACCTATACGGGTAGAATTACATCAAGTTGCGTCAGATTTGAGACACATTTTAGGCTCGTTCAAAGTTTGCATTCGTTGAGTTATTGATTTTGAGGTAATTTGCTCGCCTTACCGCTTCGGTTAATTCACTAGGTGACTAGTGTTACCGAGACTTGCATATGTTGACGCGGGTCGCTTAGTTTCCTTTGTTCCGGGGATCTGTTGCATCGAGGCTTGGTTATATGCAGATACCAAAGTCAACAATCTGCCAAAAAGTGACCTCGTCAGTCAATTGCATAATCCGATTGAGCGCCGAAGGGCTAAGAACTAGCATAGAAAGTACATTTTACAAATTCGATTTAAAGTTCAAAAGGGGTTGGCAATGCCTCCCATGTAAGGGGTGCGGCTTCATGCATGAGGCTTCCTTCGCCACACCAGCCGAAGGGCTAGTTTCAGGTATACCTGATTGAGCTGAATTTAAAGCGTATTTGGTCTCCACATATAAATGGATTCTCAATTACAGTTCCCTATAGATGAACCATGAGATATAAGAATAAGGTGAACTTTAGCATAGGAGATCTTGCGCCAGTGATGCACTTCTAGCGAAACTCATCGAATATCTATTTCTGCCGATACGAATTTTAAGGATAACCCCGAGAACCAACCCAAAATAATATTTTTCACGAACATGTGAATGGACGGTTTGTTAACCGAATTCTCCTCAATTGAATGTCTCTCGTCTCCTACAACTTTGTATGAAGCATATTTTCAGTTCGTTCCACCAGCACTAATACTATTCTGATGATATTTAGTCAAAACATCCATTTAGGTTAATAGGCAGCGTTTTGCCACTTTTAGCCGCAATTGGCGGGTGGGGTGAAAAAGTATTATGTAACCTTCCCCGAACTCGGGTGAAACAAGCTACCCAAATCTGTCACCTCTCCACTTTTGGTACATGACTTTTTTGTTATATCCGTGGATTCCCATTTTCGGGCAACTACGGCTGCAAGGAGCTCGAAGTACTTATAGACCCGCTTTCCCCTGCTGTCATTTTTCGTTCATCATCACCCCAGAAGCAGGTTCTTCAGTCTGGTTGAAAAGCTATCAAAATCAGATTCAGCTTGCCTCAATCTTTCATATCGAGGACTTCTTGAAGAAGCTCAACAAATCTAGGGAATACAAAGCTACAATCGGCACAAACCAGACTCCGCAATGGAAGACAGAGTTGCGCAGTTGGAGCACGAATTTATGTCTCATTTAAACATGTTCCAGTCCTCGTACGATAAAATATTAGCCGATCACTTCAAAATTTTACTTTGCGAGAATCACTGCAAAGAATTGCACGATGCCACTGAGGACTCAGCCGCTCTTATTGCAAATATGCTTTCCATTTTGCTTTCCTTATTGACCATTCCCGTTGCCATATACTGGGCAGGAGGAAGACGAGGCAAGCCTGCCGTTTTCGGCTCTCTCACTATCGCCGCTGCCATTTGCAGCACGATATTCCAGGTAGAGGATGAGCTTATCAGTATGCGGACCTACATTGTTAGCAGTACATCAGAGGCGCTTTTACCATTCTTCATAGTGCTCTTTGCGACCACATTCAAGAACCCGTGAAGGTGTAACATCTGGTCGGTCTCCTAGTCGCTGTTGTGGCGTCAGGGGCCCATATGCCTACGGAGCACTGGGCTATCAATTTGAGGTTTTACTATATAGACTGAGCGGTGTATAGGGTTTTCGGCGAATTGAAATATGACAAAAAAAAAAAAAAATTTAAATGAAATCAACTACCACAGAAACACTAGTAGCTCAATCACGCCGATGTACTATTGAATGCAAGTTTTAGGTACATTATAGCGACAATATATGTGTTTGGAGAAAAGCTTTGCTTTCAGATACATGGTATGGCTGGATAACCAAGGGAAACTTCATCACAGCGCCTTACACTCTCAACTGAAGCACCAAGAGTGCCATTCTTCCCTAGCAGTTCAGCTGAACTCTTCAGCAATTCCAGTTGTCACAAGTCGTTGTAATCAGTAGTTCTTGGAAAATTTGGCAATTGAAGAAAAGAGATGAATTTTTCGCTATCTTCCTTCGAGTGCACCGTTAACTGCCATTGACTAGCATCTATGTCCCCAACAATGGAAGCCCTTCGAAATCAAACTTTAACTGCAACATCGACGCTTGCGTCGAGCATTCTGAGTAACATCTAATCACTAAGATCGACCAATCCTCACTTCATTCGTGAAATCAGCCGGACAGTTTGACCCATATTACACCGGTTGAAAGAATCATATTTAGATAAACAAGTAGCCAAGTAAGGCACCCGAAATAATGCAGAACTATTTATACTGCTCAGAGGTTTGATATGGTTAGAGCGCTAATGTACGATACGGTGAGGGAACTGATATGAGTAGAATAACGGCTTGAAAGGGCCAAACTTCCCAAAAACCGTTCTTCCTATAAAGTCAAGACTATTTCAAAAACAACTTTTCATAGAAAAACTAATTATCGAACTCTGAAACCAACCCAATCATAGACTTCGCAGAAAAACCCATTTGCAGCCATTTACACCAGCACCATAAACCCACAAACTACCACTTCCACACCAAAAACCTTCAAAACTCCAATGCACCCACTATCAACCCTCCACCAAAACTCCAAATTCACCTGAAAAAACCAAACTTCATAAAGCACTTGAAACCCCCCACCATCCACATCCTCACCCGATCAACACCAACCGCGAAAAACTCACCAACCACCATGACTGAGAAAAACCCAGAACGCACAAAACCGTACCTGTTGCTCAACATATGGGGAGTCCTGTTGGCACTCAAAGCCTTGCTTCTGATTGGCTACCACTCCACGGACTTTGACGTCCACCGCAATTGGCTAGCCATCACCCACAACCTTCCAGTGGCTCAATGGTACCTTGAGAAAACGTCCCAGTGGACCTTGGACTACCCGCCGCTTTTCGCCTACTACGAGTGCTTTTTGCTGTACTTGGTGCCCAAACTCGTCCGGGACGACGGCGCCTTGGCAATTGTCGAAATGGGCTTGTACAGTCTCCCGACGGTCATCTTTCAGAGACTCAGCGTGGTTGTTTCAGAGGTGGTGTTGTTTTTGGCGTTGCAGTGGTACGTCAGCAGCACCAAGCTGAACCAGGCGGCCGCAAGGGCGTTTGTGGTGGCGCTGAGTTTGGTTTTATCGCCTGGTTTGTTGATTATCGACCATATCCACTTTCAGTATAATGGTGTGCTTTACGGCTTCTTGGTTCTTATGATCAATTGTGCCCGTTTGGAGAAGTTCTTGTGGTGTGGCTTCTGGTTCAGCGTTCTTCTTTGCTTCAAGCACATCTACTTGTACTTGGCACCAGCGGTGTTTGTGTACTTGCTCAGGGCATACTGCTTGAACTTGAACTACGACAGAAAGAAGAGCTTTGCCCATAACGCCGTGCGGTTGGTGAGATGGCGCAATTTGTTCAAATTGGGCTCGGTGGTTATTGGCGTGTTTACCGTCGCTTTTGGCCCTTTCATCTACTACCATGTCATTCCAGAGATGCTCGAGAGGCTCTTTCCGTTCAGCAGAGGCCTTACCCATGCGTACTGGGCGCCAAACGTATGGGCACTCTACTCCTTCCTTGACAGAGTGCTTATCCAGATTTACAAGAGGGTCCCGCTTTCCAGAATCCCACTTCAACGCATTCTTCAGTTCGACCCTTCCCTCCTCAACAACAAAAAGCTCCTTCTGTCCACAACCAGAGGTATTGTGGGCGACATTGAGTTCTTGGTTTTGCCTACAATCACACCACAGCTCACCTTCTTGCTCACCCTCTTCTACCAGGTCATGGCGCTCATTCCACTTTTCCTTCAGCCTACTTTTGAGAGATTCATTGGCGCTTTGACCTTGTGCGGCTACGCTTCTTTCCTTTTCGGCTGGCACGTTCACGAAAAAGCCGTGTTGATCATCATTTTCCCAATTTCCTTCCTCGTTACCAGAGACAAGCGTCTTTTGAGCAGCTTCAACCTCCTCGCTGCATGCGGTTACGTATCCTTGTTCCCGCTTATCTTCACCTGCGAGGAATGGCTCATCAAGGTGGTCTTCACGCTTCTCTGGTTCATCATCTTCTACTTCCACTTCAGGAAAGTGGTCCGTGTGCCTAGCCATTTAGCTCAGCAGTCAGGCTACATGGTTGAACGAGTCAGCAATCTCTATGTGTTGGGCCTTTTACCGGTGGTTTTTTTCACCAGCATGATCGACCTCTTCCAGCACAAATTCGAGATTCTTCGCCAGCTCGAGTTTCTCAAACTCATGATCTATAGCGTCTACTGCGGCTTCGGAGTTATCAGCTCGTGGAACACTTTCAATTGGCTATACTTTGTGGATGAGACAATCTGGGACCCTCTCAGCTAGGCGCGTATGCACGACGGCAGATAACGTCATTTTGACACCCTTCGGAAAAACCCCCGAAGACAGCAACCCTGGTAAATTGCCCAAACTAATCCGAAAAGAAAGAAGTGGAGTTTTTCCGAAGCTTATAGCATGACATGGCGTCTGTTGTACTTGGCCTCCGAACAATGACGGCGATCTCGGAGCGAGCTGGTCCTGGCCGTGGTGCATTGCATCGGTTGCTAAATAGCAATTGCTCTAGGCATGGTGTACAAACCTTATTTGCGCCGGATCATTTAAAAGGGCACCTTTTGCCCCTGATTGACAAAACCACTCAAAAATGCCCGAAACCATTTCCCTCGGAACATACTTGTTTGAAAGACTCCGCCAGGAGCCCATTGGCTTGAAGTCGATCTTCGGTGTCCCCGGAGACTTCAATTTGACTCTCCTTGATAAGATTGATGAGGTTGACGGCTTGAAGTGGCGTGGTTGTGCCAATGAGTTGAACGCTGCTTACGCCACTGACGGTTACTCTAGAGTCAAGGGTAACGCTAGCAGCACTGGTCTCGGATTCGGAGCTTTAGTCACCACTTTCGGTGTGGGTGAATTGTCAGCTCTCAATGGTGTGGCAGGTTCTTACGCTGAACACGTGGGCACGATCCACATTGTCGGTATTCCTTCGCTTGACTCCCAGAAGAAGCAATTGTTGTTGCACCACACCTTGGGCAATGGTGATTTCGCTGTTTTCGGCAACATGTCGAGAAACATCTCTCAGACTGAAGGTGTTCTTGATGACCCTGCTCACGCCCCTTACGTCATTGACAGAGTTATCAGAGAGGCCTATATTCACCAGAGACCCGGCTATTTGGCTTTCCCAGCCAACATGGTGGATGTTGAAGTGCCCAAAGAGCGTTTGAACGAGCCAATTGACTTGTCGATTCCTAAGAACGATCCTTCCGCCCAGGAGGAGGTTTTGGAGACCGTCTTGGACTTGATCAGCAAGGCAAAGAACCCTGTGGTGCTCATTGATGCTTGTTGCGCCAGACACGATGCCAGTAAGGAAGCTGCCGAGTTGATTAATGTCACGAACTTCAAGTACGCCACAACGCCTATGGCTAAGGGCACGAAAAACATTGATGAGAGTGGAAAACGTTTCACTGGTGTCTACGTGGGATCTTTGTCTTACGATGATGTGAAGGAATCGGTCGAGGAGTCTGATCTTGTTCTTTCTTTGGGAGCCTTGCTCAGTGACTTCAACACCGGTTCGTTCTCGTACTCGTTGAACAGAAACACCGTTGAGTTCCACTCGGACCACACCAAGATCAGAAATGCTTACTTCCCCAAGGTTGCCATGAAGGAAGTTCTTCAAGAGCTCGTGAAGCTGCCTAAGTTGAAGGAGGCCACTGCGACCTACAAGCCAGTGGATATTGTCAAGAACCCATTCGAGCACGAGGACCAGCCTGAAGGCTTGATCACCCAGAGATGGTTATGGCACCGTTTGTCCAAGTTCTTGAAGCCAAGAGACATTGTCATCACCGAGACCGGTACCGCTTCGTTTGGTATCATCCAGACCAAGTATCCAAAGGACGTTTTGGGTATCTCGCAGATTCTCTGGGGTTCTATTGGTTACACTGTTGGTTCGACGTTTGGTGCTACTGCAGCTGCTGAGGAAACCGACCCATCCAGAAGAGTCATCCTCTTTGTTGGTGATGGTTCCTTGCAGTTGACCGTTCAGGAAATCTCCTCCATGGTCAGAAACGGCTTGAAGCCTTACCTCTTTGTTTTGAACAACGACGGCTACACCATCGAGAAGTACATCCACGGTCCAGAAGCAGAGTACAACGACATCCAGCCATGGGACCACAAGCTGATTTTGCCCACCTTCGGAGCCAAAAACTACGAGGCTGTTACTGTGGGCAAGGCCAACGAGCTTGACGACCTTTTCAAAAACGAGGATTTTGCCAAGAACGACAAGATCAGACTCATTGAGGTTCTTCTTGACAGCAAGGATGCTCCACAAAACCTTGTGAAGCAGGCCGAGCTTTCCAGCAAGGCCAACTCGGGCTGATCTACATAGCAATAATTACGAAGCACGACGGCATTAGTGTAGTATATTACAGTTCGTGGGTCTTGGAGCTGAAGATGGAATCTGGGAAAAGCGCTTCCCAGTCTTCGTTGAAAAGATCTGAAGTCATGAGCACTGGGGGACCAAAGAACTCGACATTTGCCTCGTCCAAGGGAGGAAAATCGAGATCGTCGGAGTTTGTATCTGGGATGTTTGGAATTGGGTTGAAGGGATCGGGTTGTTGAAAAGGACTGGGGTGCTGTCTTTCTGAAGCATTGGATGTAGCGTCCGAGGAGGATTCCTCCATTTTGACCACCACGGGGTTTTCGCTGGGGTTCCTTTTGGGCACCTTCTTGCGGTCCGTTTTCGGCTTTTTGGGTCTTCTAGTGTCTGGGTTGAAATCGGGGTCGTGGCTAAACTGCAACAGAAGCTTGCCTCTGATTAATTTATGGGACTTTTCCGCCAATGCCCAGGTCTTGGAGCAGCCCACAAGCACATTGAGAAAATATATAAGCTTTTCCTTCTTGTCCTGGCCTAGCAGCTCTGAGGTGGTGGTCAAGAGAATCACCGAAATCGACAAAATGCTGCAGTAGACAATGAAGATGGAGGCTCTGCGGAGCCCGTGGGCTTTCTGAAACGTCTGGATGGCCAAGTAGATCTCGTCAATGGCGTTTGTGCACACGACAGCTGGCGAAAGGTGGTTTTTGTTTCTGATGTTTCGGGCTATACCCACAAAAGGACGGTTGAGACAAAGCACCAAGATGTAGTAGTAGTAGCGCACGCCGGAGACGGTGGGATTGTCGGAAGTTCTTTTCAAACTCTCCTGGTCCCAGTTGAGATCCGGCGGTAAGTTGTGTTTCCACTTCATGATCTGGTCGTTATAGGCGTACAACATGGAAAGACGAGAAACGAGATTGAGGTCGTCACCGTCGAGATCCTGGTGGTCTGGCCCGTGGTCGCCCTTTGTGAAAATATCGTTGAGCATGTTATCGGAAATGTTGATCAAGTTGATGATGTTCTTGAGCGGGTCCGAGATGTTGGTGACGTTATCGGGAACATACTTGTACTCTTTGATCCAGGCCAATTCAGGCAAATCCTCCGTTTCGGGAATCGTAGCGTCCGACAGCTTCAACAATGAAGGCCTCCCCAAAATAAGACTGATGAAGTGGTCAGCCATGTAGCACCCCCAGTAGATCCTGCTTCTGATCGCCACGTCTAGCTGTTTCAAGGCGCCTCTGTTTTTCAAAAACCACACCTCCGGATGGAGCTGGAAGCCCAAATCAAAACCCATCCGCATGGCGTTTCCTGAAAGCATCCAGCCGGTGGAGTTGTTTCCGTTGCAGATATCGTAGAAGGCCAAAAGAAGAAAGCTCTGCACGTGGGTGATGGACGGGTGCTCCAAGCTCAGAAGCAAGAGGCTCCGGGCCTCGTTGTAGAAGGACTTGGAGCGGTTATAAATAGTGTCGATTTCAGACATCCGGGCTCCTAGCGCACATATGCTGAGCACTAGCACAGGGGAGCAGTACAAGGTGTCTGGTTTCGGGTTGAAAAAGTCAATCAAAAACGCTTCTCGGAAAACGTACATGTTGTGGTCCGGGTACTGCCAGGTGAAAAAGAGCTTGAGGCAGTGGAGAATGTCTGGGGACTTGTTGAGCTGGTTTAAAACGGTGATGTTGTGGGTGCCCTTCTTGTCGCTTACAGGCTGCATCCGGTGGTCCTGGTCGTTGTCGTAGACGGACGTGGGGCCGTAAACGGGCCGGATTTTCGAGGCTGGCTGTGGTTCGATGGAAACCTTTTTTTCAGTTTCCTCCTCCGTCTTTTCGTCCTCGTCCGGTTCTTGCAAAACCAGATGCAACTCGCTGGCGTGGGCATCAAGGTAATTCTGCTTTTCCTGGGGCGTGGGAAGCGCCTCGAGTTTGTTGAAAAACGTCGACATCTGCTTGATCTTTCTTTCCAACTTGGAAACATACGTAGCGTTGGGCCGTTTCTTCCTCATGTCGCTTAAAACAATGCACTCGACGCCCAAACGGACGCAGCTGGAGCAAGGATGCTCTAGGTTGCATTTTACTTTCTTGAGACGGCATCTCTGGCACGAAAGCGGCATATCCTTCTTTTGAGAGACTTTTCGCTTAAGCAGGCTGCTGCCGGCGTCTGCATTAGACTGTGCGTTGACGGCACCGGGGTCATTGTTAACTATGCTGTGGGGGACGGATTTGGGATGGATCTGCAGCTCTGGCACCATATACGGTCGTATATCTGGTTATTGTCTGGCGTCAAGGTGCCCGTGATGATTTTCGCTCGGACTTTTCTCGGTATGTATTTCCCCACGAAAAGTGAGATGGCTGCGTGTATCCACCGAGGAGAACCAAAATGGCAGAGAAGGTGATATTTCGGTTTAAATCTATGAAAGAAAACAGGCGGAGTCTGGCTGTGCCTGGTAATAATAATTTTAAAGGTTTTGAAGGGCAGTTTGTGCCTGGATCGAAGCCGTGTGACTCACGGTGATTCAAGCGCATCTCCCACTGGTACTCAGACGACCGGCACCCTAGATCTGGAACAAGATTTGGCGTGTCGTGTAGATTACAACAATGATGCCCACGACGATCAACAGCCAATCGAAGGTTTTGACCAACGTGGCCCGCAAGCTCAGCGGCTGGTTTTTGAACGTTTTCAAGTGGATCATCGGTGGGTAGATGTAGACAAGCGGAATGCACGCAAAGCAGCCGTTGAAACTGACAAACTTCTCGATGTTCTCGGCATTGAGGTACGAGATCATCGAGATGAGCACCACGGCAAACGCCCGGAACACGTTTTTCAACCACTTGATGTGCGGGTTGTACTTTCCTGAGGTGCGGTACAACTTTCCTTCGTCACTGGTGGAGTTTCTCTGTTCCTCCAGCAAGAAAAGGCGGGAGTTGAAGATCACGGACTCGCCGATCTTGATGGCAGGGAAAAGCTGCAAAGGTCCCGAAAGGAAAACCGCCACAGAGTAGAGCACGAGGATCAGCTGCACGGAGACGTTGCCCTGAGGCAAGTTCAAGATGATGATGGAGCGGACCTGGTCGCCAAAAGCGGTGTAGCCGATGATTCCGACGGCCACAAAGAGCGAAGTGATGACGATCATACTCAGGGCCAAAACGTAGGGGAATTTCTCAGGACGGGCCATCGACGACTGGATCGGTAAGATAAGGCCAATTCCTTCGAACGACGTCACAGCAACACCGACCATCATGGACCAGTTTTTGGAGTCAAACTGGACGATATTGGGGCCCAACCCGTCCGTGGCCAACTTGTTGCCGGAAAAGTAAAAAATGATGATCAAGCCGATCACAATAAATATGGACGAGATGAGCGAGGTGAAGGAGAGCTTGGTCAAGTCACGAATAAGCACCAAGGGGATCAACAAGAGGCACTGGGCGACGACCACGGTGGACTTTTCGACCTCGACGTGGGCGACATTCTTCAAAAACGACGTCATGTTCTCGGATGTGAACAAAATGTACGTTGCAACGAAACCGATCTGAGAAATGAGAATCGACACCATGATGGAGTACTTTAGCGGCTTGCCGTATGTGATGTAGCCCAATTCACCGAATGACGACCGCTTGAACATCTCCTTGCTCTGTATCAACACGATGTAGCACAAGAACGTGAGGAATCCGAATCCAGACAAAGCAATGGTTGAGAAAAGAAGACCTCCGTTGCTGAAGGCTCCCGGAAGAAACAAAATACCCGAACCGACGAGCGCTTTGAACACCAAAAAGAAGGTTTTGGCCAGCGACGCCGTGCCCTTTTTCTCGGCCTTGCCCTTCTTTTTGCGGTGTCTTGGAGGAGGAATGCGTCTTTCCGCCAAAAGCAGCGATTCTTCGTCGAAAACCTCGGGGTAGTTGACGGAACTGGCGTCGTCGTCGGTCTCCTCCTCCTCGTCTTCATCAGCAAAGTCTTCACCGGCAAAATGGCCGTATATGCTCAAAAACTCCACAAAGTTCCTGGTCAAGAAGTTGGGCGGTCTCTTGTTCTTCTGCAAAGACTTGTTGATGATAAATTCTCTTCTGAAGCCGCCAGGCACGTTGATATCGCTGGCCATGGACTCCCTCCTCGAATCGGCGTCGAAATTCAGAAAAGACGAGCTTCTGGTGCGTCTATTATCGCCCGTATGGGAAGTATCCATTTGCTGGTACATGTAGCGGGCCACGTCGCCACCCTGCATTTTTAGCGTGTCTTCGTGGTTGACCAAGTGCTTGTTGACGGTTTTGAAGTCGATGTTGCCGCCGTGCAATAGGTTGTTGATCTGTTCATCGTAGGATTTCGAGTCCAGCTTTGCGGTGCCTTCTTCAGAGAGGTTTGGGTTCGAAGGATGCGATTTTAGCAGGTCTGCTGGCGGAGAACCAAAAGCCAGGTTTCCGCTGGCCGTGCCCAGCGTGGCGTTTTCTGGAACCCGGGGTGTATTTGAAGACATGGATGTCTGAATGACCTGGGTCTATGGGGGATTTATGGGATTGTAGAATTTGGGGTTTTCGCTTTGGACGAGGTGGGGTGGATGGACTTTGAGGGTGTTTGTTTCTTTGAAGAAGGTGGATTTGTCGATTTGGGACAAGTAGTTGAAAGATGTCACTTTGTGGGAGATTCGCAAGGATGTGGCTCGCTTATGCGCCGCATACAGAGAAGGCTCCAGTGGAATTTTCAGTGGGTTTTTGGAAAAAGCATATGCAAATATTTTGGGTTTTTGAAATTTGACTTTCAGGACTTTCGAAAAACGGTCTAGTTGACTCTGCCGTCAAAGCTATCGAGTCACGGAATGTGGAATGTGGTGAGATCGGAGGTGTGGTGATGCGTGGGGGATGGAGATTGGCTTTTTTTTTTTTTTTTTTTTTTTTTTTTTTTGTTTATCAGGGTTTTGGACGTTTTGGAGAATGGAATTTGTAGAATGCTGCTGGAAAGGTGGGTAGTATCGGTGACGTCATGGCGATGGCCTGGTTTGCAGCCATTGATGTGGATGATATGGTGCAGCACAAAGTCTTCGGCTTTTTGGATATCAAAGTGTGTCAAAGGTGTTGGTGGTGAAATTCTTGTTAAATTGTTCTTTTGGGGTTATTAGTGATCGGACAGTAGCTGTGGACAATGTAGTAGAGGTTATTGGCATAAACGTGGAATCTGAAAGATATACTTCGAAGTTCTGACACAGGATTCGACACTCGAGAACACCGTACAAGAGTTGAAAGGAGAATTGGGTCAGTTTTCTGTGCAAATAGCTACAAACGCTTGCTTGACGTACATTGAGCAACTGAGGATGGTAATTACCTACATTGACATTTTCTAGGGGATTCAGAATAATCGATCAATCAACATGTAAAGTGACAGAAATGCAAGTAAGGACAGAAAAATCACATTAGTATTGCCTAGTGTCTGTATGTTGAGCTGGCTTAACAGACCTTATGAAACCTTAACTACATGTAGACGATTTCCTAGGCCAGAGCACAGTGGAATTGGATTTATTCATGCAGAAAACAAGTCTGAAGTAAGGTAGGTTGGGTTATCACTATCAACTAGAGATACACCTCATTGGTCATTTAAGTGCATCTGATTGCACCCCAAGTAGCCACCTTCAAGTAACGTAGAAATGCCAGGTTACCCAGTTGAAGCTGCCTTTTCAAAGTTTTTGAAATACCTAGAAGGCTAGAAAATTCAAGTTCTGAAAAATCTGAAAAATCTGACAAATCTCAACCGCTACACAATCCTCTCATAGAGCATGCAACAGACCGCCCTGAAACTACACCCAACAACTCGTCAATACTCCATTCATCAAATCGAAAGTTAAATCCTCCCTTCACGACTCCACAATGAAAAAAAAAAAAAAAAATAAAAAAAAGTCAGGAAAGCACCAAAGACTACTCCATCAACACCTTATCGCTACGTGCGCTACCTGCACTACCTACCCCAGAGTCATGTCTGTGGATACACTGTTTCTAGACAAGGTCGAGGAACCACAGAACTTCAACAACAACGCTCCGTTTGACCTCCTTGTCAGCGACCTATTCCTCAAACTCGAAGCCACAAACCTGGAAAACAAGGGCCCTACGATACGGTCAGTGCCAAAAAGACGCTGATCATCGAGGACTTTGTGAAAACATGGCGAACCCACTTTGGCCCCAACATCTACCCGGCCGTCCGGCTCATCTTTCCCAATCGGGACGGCCGCAAGTACCATGTCAAGGACGTGGCGTTGACGAGACTCGTGAACAAGTTGCTCAAATTGCAACCTGGACTGAGCGACTACCAGACGATCAAAAACTGGAAAAAGCAGTTTCAGCTGAAGGCGAGTTTGGCGGGAAGTAATGAGCGAGGCCAATTGGGCGATTTGCCGTTGATAATAGCTCGGATCATGCTGCGGAGAAGAGACCTGAATGTGCCGGTGAAAAGTACGCTAAATGTGGACCAGGTGAACGAAGCGTTGGACCAGTTGGCGAGCAAAACACGTTCGGAGGAGCAGTTGGCGGTGCTCGAGCCGTTTGTGGAGAAATTGACCATCCCGAGATCCGCTGTGTGTTCCAGATGATCCTCAAGGAACTGATGCTTCTGTTTTTCGAGAGGGCGTTTTTCCAGGCGTGGCATCCGGACGCCTACAATTTGTTCAAGGTCTGCGAGGACATGAAGAAGATATTCTGGGTACTCCATGACCCGGAGGTCCGTTTGAAACCCACCCAGTTGTGTGTCCAGCCTTTGTACATGTTTGTGCCGCAAAGCTCCCACAAATTGGACATTTCCTACGACAGCTTGTGCAAGCGGATGACGGTGGGATTGCAAAAAGAAAATAAGGACCCCAAGTTGGTGCAGCTCTACAACCAGGAGAACATCGAGGGCCACTTTCTCATTGAGGAGAAAATCGACGGTGACAGAATGCTAATGCACATGGTGGACGGCAAGTTTCGCTGGCACACGAGACGAAGAAGAGACTACACTTTGGTTTACGGGGAAAACGTGCACATTGGCTCGTTGACGAAGCATTTGACCGACGCTTTTGACGAAAAAGTCCACAGTATAGTGCTCGACGGAGAAATGGTAGCCTGGAGCAAAGACAGAGAGATGATTTTGCCGTTTGGGACGCTCCGATCTGCAGCCATTCAGGAAGCCCTCAAGCAGTTTGACGTGATTGACGTTTATGAGGGAAACAACAGCTGGCCGTTTTTTCTCATTTTCGATATTCTCCATCTCAACGGCAGGGACCTCCTGGGGCTTCCGCTTTTTTACCGCAAGAACTTGATAAACAAGGTCGTCAAGGAGGTGCCCCACCGGCTCGAGATTCTCGAGTGGGTCAAGGCCAAATCGCCCACAGATATCAAGGCAAATATGCAGCGGATTGTTACCGAGCGAAACGAGGGCATCATGGTGAAATCCTTGCTTTCCAAGTACAGAGTGTACAGCCGGGAGCTGACCTGGATCAAGGTCAAGCCGGAGTATTTGGAGAATTTCGGCGAAAACCTCGATTTGGTCGTTATAGGCAAAATCGGCCGTGTCAAGACATCCTATATCTGTGGACTCAAGGATATCGAGGAGGACGGCTGCTACAAGCTGTTTTGCATGGTGGCCAACGGGTTTCTGAACGCTGTTTATCGGCAGATCGAAAGCAAATTGGTGAATTTCTGGAAGGACTATAATGTGCAAAAACCACCATCCACACTTATCCAATTCGGCACGAAAAAACCAGACTACTGGATCGACCCGGCCAACCTGATTGTGCTTGAAATCAAGGCAAGGTCTATTGAAGTGACTGCCGAAACGCCGTATGCCGCTGGGTCTACCCTCCACAATTTATGGTGTAGAGCTGTAAGGGAGGACAAGGAGTATGATGAATGTATCACGCTCCAGGACTACCAGGAGCTCAAGGCGAAATATGCACTGGACATTTATAAAAACCAGGACGTCAATCGGAACCACAAACGGCCTGGCGAAAACCTGATTGTGGAAAAGTACGAGAAGGTGAAAAAGCTCAAAATCTCTGCTGAGCTGAACGTTTTCCAAAACCTCCATTTGGTGATCGCCACAGACTACAGGAACCCGGACGAGCTGCAAAGCATGAGTGCCGAGGCCTTGAAACAGCTTGTTCGGCTGCACGGAGGCCGTTTGGCGCTCAATCCCAAAAAAGACGAGCTTTATGGCAAAAGCGTCGTGGTGATTGGCTCGAACCTCACGCCACGTCTCCAGCGGTGGCTTGAAGAAGGCTTCGACATTATTTCGCCAGCGTGGGTGATCGAGACCATCCGTGTCAAGCGGCTTTTGCCGATAGAACCGGGATTTATCGTCGGCAGCGAAAATCCAGAGCTCGTGCAAAGATCAGCACACAATGTGGACCAGTTTGGCGACAGCTACTTGGTGAGCGGCAACTGCCCAAAAGGACTTCTTCTACACCTTGCCGATCTCAACGTTCCGAGGAAGCTTGAGCCCGAGAGTTTCTCCAAATGCCGGCAGATCTTCCAGTCTGGTGAAGGCCCACGGTGGTATGGCCTTTTCAGCGGGTTGAGTTTTTATCTTTTGAAAATGCCCGCCAGCCTTGAACGCAGAATTACCCGTTTCGGCGGTGTCTGCGTTGACGACTGGCAAAAGTGCCACTACGTTGTCTGCCGTGAAGCACAGAAGCTGGACATCAAAACGATCAGCACGGCTATGGGCCGGGTATACGAGGAAGGACAAAGGCTTGCATTGTTCGTCCAGGAAGGCTTTGTCGGCGCCAGCATTGCCGCTGGAGTTATCGTTGATGACGCTGCCTACAGGGTTTAACGACGATCCAACGGCGATCTCTACATGACGAAGATCCAGGGTCTTGTCGGCTTTGGCAAATAGGCTTTAGAAAGCTTATTTCGTCAGAGGCTGCCGACAATGGGAATACCGCCGGGGTGCCACGATTAAGGTGTTAGTATTACAATGTGGAGGTGGGATTGAGAAAGTGGTGATGATATTGTCCGGCAGCGAAGCCTGGCACGCCTATTATAGTTCGGCTTTGGCACAAGCCACGCTGCACGAGAACACGGTCAAGAAAAGGAAGTGTTGTTCGAGAAGCCAAGGTGGCAGCCAAGGTGAAGCCAAGGTGGCAGCCAAGGTGAAGCCAAGGTGGCAGCCAAGGTGAAGCCAAGGTGGCAGCCAAGGTGAAGCCAAGGTGGAAACCAAGGTCTAAGAAAAGCAGGATTGTGGATTATGGAGGGCGGTGGGATACCTCGAGGTTGCGATAAGGGATGTGTGGATCTCTTTTTGAATAAGTCCGATTGACAATGGGCATGGCATGGATTTAAGATCTCTGTGAATTTAGAAGGGTGACTGGAATGGCTGCAAATGACCGGGTTGGTGTTTCTTCGGGTTCCCAAGGCTAATCGCCGACCGTGGCGAATTAGGTTCCTAAGCCCGAAGAAGGCACTGTCGAAGCTGCCCCTCCTCTGACTCACCATCTGACCACGGGTCAGTAACTCTTTTAGGAGACGGGGTTATCACACTTTTAGGTGTCCACGCATGTTCCCCAGCTTCCATACAGCCTCCGCGGTGCACCTCCGTGCCTGTGTGCATGACGCTGACCGCAGTGGAAGCTTGGTCACGTGCGGCTCCGATTTCGTTGCCGCAAAATGCAACCTTAAAGGCACCTATTGTGCTGAGAATGACTGCCGATGCTCCAGATTGGGGAAATAAGGTTAGTGTGTCATGCACGTGACGCCTATTTTTCAAGCAAGCCGGTGACATCACAACCCTCAGCGGGCCGATAAGACGTGGCCGTAGGTTTCGAGGCGGGGTTCTCCGCACGGTGGGGCTCTTACGCGTGAGGCGAAGAGAGAAAAAAAAAATTCGAATAAGTTTGGGCGGATATTGGTGTTGAAAGGTTTTTTCGATTAGTCAGAGGGTGTTCCAGATGGATCTTGGTTGCTGCTGATGTCACAAAGCATGGTCTGGAGATGTTCCATGGAATGTCGCGGCACCGGCAGGTTCGGAAAAACTCTTGGTGGGGGCTGGGGCAGCGCGACATTTGCCCAGCTTCCTCCGCAGCTTGTTTTTCCAGATCGCAGGAGACTGCGAGCGACTCTCACCCGACGGTGAGAGAGACGCCGCCATGCGCGGACTGCACACAGTTCTCCGTGGCAGCGCATGGTGCACATTGACGGTCCACCGGCGGGCTCACCGCTGTTGCACTAAACAACGCCAACTCCGCGGGAAGCGCTAGTGGCGAGACGAACACCCGTACACCAGCCACTAACGGGCGAGATTTAGTAATACACCGCCTACCCCAAGATCAATTCTTTGCTGAAGAGATTGTTTTTGCGTTTGCGGACCAAGGGGATTTTCGCCCACTCACAATTGCAATAATGAGATTGGCCCGTTGCTCCGCAACGTGAAGGCGTCCAAAACCCGAGGTACATATCGCATGCAGCGGGCCTCCTCCCATACCGCGGGTTGCATGGGTTGCATTTCCACTCTGCTGCGACGCAACCTCTCCAGGGCATGCAGGACCGGCGCTGGAATCCGCCGCAGCAGCTTCAATGCATGCCTCTTGCAGCTGTGAAATTCGCTGCCTGGAAACTGGGCACATGTATAAATGCAACCGGCTTTCCACATTCCCACTCTTCATACCATTACCTCAAAAACTCAAAAAACTTCATATTCTTGCATCCATGGACGACTGCTTCCTCCGCCCAGCCCCCGGCTGACCGAAAACATTGATTACATGTCCAAACGACCTATTCCGGAGCAGCACCTCTACACTTGCTGGAGACAAAACAACTCCATCGCCGTGAAAACAGCCCTCGACGACATTCTGTTAGCCATTCCTTCCTCCAACTCCAAAAGACTAGAAAACATCACCTGGCGCCGCTGGTACAAGGACCTCTGTGGTCTAGACGAAGTGGCACCTGCCGAAATCAACTGGGACAAGTCCCACGACATCACATGGCTCTATGGCCCAAGTACATCCTTGAGGTGGAGCCCGAGCCCCAGGCTCTGTTGACTCCTCACTTGAGCAAACTTGACTTCTCCATGGACAGCGACGCTGAGCTGGTTTCGTCTGTGCAGCTGGGAGCCAGTCTGATGAATTTCGACGACGAGTCACTGGTGGCTTCGTCTGTTTCTGAGCAGGATGATGACGACGACGACGATGATTGCCATTTTGGCCTCAAGCCTGCGCTCAAAAGACGTCCCAGCGAGTTTGCACCCGTCCCGGCCGGTTCCGGGACCAAGAAGGCGGTCAAGTTCAACTACATTGTCAACTCGCGGGAGTTTGTCAACGGGATTCTGTTTGACTACGATTTCTTGGACCCACTGTGCTTGTGAGGTCTGGGGTAGTTGCAGAAGACATTATACAAAAGTAGAGCATAGCATGCGCTGGGGTTGATTCCTCAGCCAAAGCATCATTAATAATATATTGGGGACCCGTCACGGGTCATGGTCATGAACTGTTAGTGTAGACGTTGATGTAGTTACGTTGAAGATTGCGTTTCTGGAGTGAAAGTTTTGGTGATGAAAATCTAGGAGGCCTGGGGCGCCGTGGAATAGCCGGATTGCAGAAAAAATCTATTTTAGAAACCACCCCCCTGTTGCTCGTCATTCTCGTTTGCCTTTTACCCGATTAGCTACCCAATCTAGACCGAGACGAACGAACAGAAAAGTACAGAAATCTAATCCAATCTCCATGGTTTACTTCCCAAATGGTCATTGTGGCATGTGAGTGTCCAGGGATCACAACTGGAAATAGGCACCGAAGCATTGGCAGGGACTATACGATGTTGTGCATCGAGACCATAGCCTGGTGGTGATTTTGGATTTGAACGATTTTAATTTAAAACTGATTTGTAAATCAAAATCGATAATCGGGGTCTTTTCTGCCCATCAATTCGTCGCTTTCCATTATAGCCAATCGGGCTCGTCTTACTTCTCTTCGGAGCCATTGGCTGTATCATTGCCTCAGCAACAATAGACTATCCCGGGACGACCTCCTACTAATGGAAGCCAACAGAAACCAAAATCACTCTTTCCTTCCGTTTTTGCCGTTTTCTCGAATATCACCAGTTCCTCAATTTCCAGTTCCTCAATTCCCAATTACCACTCCCCAATCGCCTCACCCATCAAACGTAGAATTCTCTCCGTACGTATCTCCGTAACTGTATCCCCACGGAAACGTATCTCTACAAAATCTGACGTGTCCGGCTTGGCTGGCGAAATTAGGTGCATCGTACGACGTTTGTCTTGGAGCCAAGACGTACGGTTTACATATACGGACTACAAGAACCGGGAGGAGGAGAATCGAGCGAGGAAAGAAGCAAAATCGAGAGGCGATTGTGAGACCATGCAGCGCCGATTGTGAAGAAACGGCGTTGGTGGAAAGGAGTGGGTGTTGATGGAGGGGAGGTGTGGAGGGGTGGTAGGACGGGTTTCGGGGAGCGGCTGGGTGTAGATTGAATGGGAAGGCCATTCTTGGAGAGTGATGATGAAGGATTTTCTTGCTTGACGTTCGGAGGATGTGTGGGCTGGTTACCGGTTGGATTAGTGGGAATCGGGGTTATAGGACGCTTCAGACGGATGAATGAAAACACCAAAACCGGCCCGTATTCTATGAATTGAGGAATTGGGCTCAATTAACGGCTTTTGACGGCTCCAGCGGTTTGTGGCATGGAAAATGGCCCACTGGGAGTTTTTCAGAAACTCTATAAAAAAAAAGTCGAACCACACCACCCCCAGGGTCAATTCGCCATCCCAGGAGACCCAAAGCAATTGCATTTAGCATTCATCCCATCCAGACCATCCAATTCATCCTCCAGTATCACCAGAACGTGGGAACCTCATTCTACCCTAGTGGCTCCATGCCACAATACCAAGATCCACAGAGATCCCATTCATCCAGCCAGCCAGAAATTACAATTCCTCAGATCCCATCCCTTCTAGATCCCATCCACTAAAGGCAAATTCCCTGCTCCCCCTTCCCCAATTCTCCAAATCCAGCGTGTTTTGCATTTTCCCTCTTTCAACCCGCCACCCGTGGACGCCGGGTCGGGTTTTTTGCAGCCAGACGGTCTGGACTCCGAAGGACCCGCGAAGACGATGCGGCGTCTAAACACACATAATCCGGCAGGTGCCATTGTGTGAGAGCCACGGCTCCCGCCCAGGGCCTTGTTCTCTTTTGTGGTAGTTCGTTTGTTATAGCCGCCCTTGCGGATGCCGGTGTGCCCGGGGGGGGGTAGGGCGAGGCGCTTATGTGCAGGCTATCTTTAAACCCGCTTTTCACATGGCGCGACGATACCAGCGATAGCATGTGTTTTGTCGATCGGAGGATGATGTATTTTTTGATATACATGGAGCGCAATGTGGGAGGATGATCTAAGTCCGGGGTAATGCGGTGACATGTGTCTGGGGTAGCGTGGGGATATTGCGTTTGGGGATTTATACGAATTGGGGGACCATGGGTAAATGGAGAGTGGGGGACGAAGCAGGTGAATTGTAATGGCTGCAAATTCCAGGTGGACTAAGAAGTTATTAGCTCTGGAAGGATAGAAGTTCCGGCGGTTGATGAAGAAATGTCATTTTTGTCAATTGGAGGGACGAGGAATGATGGGTGTGTATGTGCTGGGATGGAGATCAGTGGGCTGAGTTTTGGACAATGGCAGTAGTTGAGTAGACGAGGCCTATGGCTATGGGGCTAATTTTGAAGTGAATGAGAAGCCAAGGAGTATTAGGCACTGTAGGTAAATAGCCAGTCAGTGGAGTTTGAATCGTTGCTTTGATATGTGGAAGTACGATCAGGGCAGTAAGAGATTAGCGGATTGAAGGACCATGGGACTGATGGGTAGTGGTAGAGCGGGATCGATTGAGACAGCAGCTAACAAAAACACAGCAATTGAGTGATGAAAAGTTGGAGGGTTGTCGAATCAATGAGTCTGCTCCAGGATCAGGAAATTTTCAATATATCGAATCCAGCAGGACCAATGACCAAGTGCACCCCATCAATACAGCGGCTTGTAGCATCCTCTCATTTCATCATTCAACGAGCCTCCCAATTGACCCTTCCAATTGACCCTTTAGTCCCCGTCGTCAACACATCTTCTCAATTGACAACCAGGGCCCCAGACAAGCCTCCCCAAGGCTACCCCAGATTACGACAAACCGCTGCAAAAGACCACCTTCAGCCCTGCTTCAGCCCTACCTTTGCCGGTCTTCCATCTCCGCCCGCATAGCAATACTACCAAAAACCAACAGCCACCCACCAGAACCCACATCCACTCAAAGCCATTTCGAAACTTCCCCGACAGCAAGATTCTTCTCTTACGCCGCCGCGGGCAAGCCCCCTGAGTGGTCAGAGCACCTCTTTGCAACCAAAAGTATCGTGCGTCAGCGGGCGGTGTGCCACTTGACTCCGCTTGGGTTTCTTTTTTAGCAAGCGGGCCGGAGTCACACGGCGTATGACTCCTCAAAAAGAAAACCTTAACAAGAAACACGGCCCGCCGAGAGGTGTTGCTTTGCGGAGTTATGGGGTTGGTGTACCTTTGTCGTCTAGTAGGGTCATGGGAATCGGACGGATGGGTGCTGGGGTCAGATGGGGGGAGTGCCCGATACGGAGATATCTCCTTGTAGGGGGTCACGTGCTGCACATATCCGAATAAGGTTTTAGCTGACAATGACGGTCTCCTGGGCGCTCGGGCTATTTCCGAATGGCACAGTGGGTTTTCAATATGGCGAGTGAGCAGCATGCTGGACCTTCGCTTCGGTGGAGGCGCCGCACGCGCTGCAGACGTCAGTATAGGGCTTTAGGCACCGTGTGCAGTACCACTAGACCATGCTTTCCTGATTAGGCGCGATCCGCATAATCACACTTCCCGAATTATCCTCGGGTCCGGAAACGTCCGGAGCCAATAACGGGCCAGTCAATGGTTATGATGTCCAGGGTCTGACTCGGCGATAGGGCGTAGCCTTTTGAGAAGCGAATCAAAAGTTGGAAGCTTCTAGCTCAAAAATTTGGAGGTTTTTGTGCAGCATTGAGCCAAAGCACTAATCGTAACACCACCACAGTAGCAAATCCCTTCCCTTCAGGCCCTTCTGTACGACTAGGTCGAAGTCAAAGGAGGGGAGGCAGGTGCACATTTGCAGCCAGTGGCGGTAAAACCCAAAAGCAGAACCGCAAAGGTCCACTAAAGGTTCCCTAATATCCAGCCAGAACCCTGTCCAGATTACTCATCCAACAGAGTGACGCTGAAGCCAGACAGCTGTGCGGCCACTCCACGACATAAGCGATTTCGCATCTGTGAAGCGGCAATTGGACCAATGTTAGGTTAGTGAATAATTGGCTGGTTTTGTGGAATATCGGAATGCTGGAGGGGAAACTGTTTTGTGTAGACCTGGGCGACTCTTTTGATGAAGTCATCAATCATATTTTAAAGCTTTGGGTTTTGCCGCTGAGCGGTTCATTCTTCCGGGTTCTCGATATGTGGAAGACGGTGGACTTCAAGCCGTAGCAAGGTACCATTATAGTTGGAAGGGTTGAAAGCAAGGTAAAGATTGTAGGGTGACTGCGACGTAGAATCGGATAGCAGCCGTACAGGGTGCAATCTGGTGATCAATAGTTGGGGTGATAGCTGTGATCGGTACTTTTCGATGAACCGGAAAAGCTCAACAATACCTCAATTGAATTGACTCCAGCGTCTATTTCATTTTCTTCAATTGGTTCACCCTGTTTCTTCTCCTCTCTTTCCCTAAACTTTGGCGTAAACCACCACCCCTGCAGACCTCAATGGGTGCAAATGGATCATATCGCCCGAGCAACTACCAATTCTCGTGGAATTTCCAATCTCTTCTCTGGGACCCTAGAGACCTTGCTTCCTCACTGTGGCGGCTTAAGGTCCACGCGATCTAGAGCAACCCCTGGCAGAGCAATCAAAATGGACTAAGCTCGGCTGCAAAATGGGCAAACCGTACCGCCTGTCAGTGTTGAAATTTGAGATAATTTTGAGATATGCAATGGCAGGGAAAAAAGAGTAGCAAAATTTCAGAACCCCACCAAATCAATCGATTCAATTTTCATGTCATCTGGACCTCTCTCCTTTTACCAACTGCGCAGTCAAATAGTCATCGTGCGATGCGATACTTCTAGAAGTCAAAGGTTCCACAAACCTAGACGAAACTTAGCGTCAGCTGTATTGCTGGTGCCTTGTGCCTGTGAGGTTTTCCACATCAACTGTCTAAGGCATGCGCCCCGGCAATTCCAGCATGTCCTGCTCGTGCTCGTAATTTCAGTCCATCGTGTAACTTATTTTGCAATCTGAAATTGCACCACTTTCCATTGATCCAGAGCGGCTGTTAAGCGCAACCTAAAGCCATTTTGTGGCACGGCTGTGAAAATATTTTTGTTCTCACAGCCACTAACACCGAGCGAATTTCAGCCAAAACCCGGGGTTCATGTTTCTGGAAGTCCCCCCACGCTGAACACTGAAACTCGCTTCCCCGGATTTTCCCGCGGGGGCATTAGCCTCTGAATATTTCCTGAGGCTTAATGTTTCTATTCTCGGAATGCAGATTTCGGCAGGCCCGAATCGACAAGCGATCCACCGATCCGAATTTTCAATAACAATATATTCGAAAATCCGGATTTTCCCCTGAAAAAGGCACCCTGAACAGCGGCATTGTCGAGAGGGCCTGGGCCCATGGAGGTTGACAAAACTGTCTGCAGGACAGAAGCGCACATTGTATAGTGGATTTAGGCTTCACTCGCGGCTGCGCCGCATTTGTGTGCGGCAACAAAACGCCGCATCCAGTGGCGTGTATGCAGGTGTTTAAAACTACCACCTTGAACCCTCTCGGGGATAAGGACCATCTTTGGTGATGAATCCAAAAAAAAAAAAAAAAAAAAAAAAATGAAGCTTCTCACAAAATATCATTTTTCTGGAGAACCTCAACAGAAAGACTTTTCAAACTCCGCCTCGAAAAACGCAACTGTTTTGGCTCTGCTTCCGCTAACAATAGACCAGCCTCGACAAGACTTTGGCATCCAGCACTTGGCAGGTCCTTAGTCTCGGGAAAGCTTATCAATAATAGCAATGCCGAGCTCTCCAGCATTGTAGTGGATGGAGACGGACAAATGCACCGACTGACAAGAACTAGTACCAATTTGGAAGGTCAAACAAGCGGTAGCACAAAAATGGACATATTCACGAAAAGGTATCGTCTGACGCGATAAGGAATGTGGGATTTCGGAATCTTCCAGAGCGATCGAGGACGATCTTGTTTTCCGCCTTGTTTCTATATTTGCCACCGATGTGAGTGATCCACCTCTTGCTTCGGTTTGTGTTTAAGACGGCTGCAAATGGGATCCTTCATATTTTCGCATGCTGATCGCTTATTTTGCCTTTATCCATCAAGCGCCTTCCCGCCTCAAGGCGGTTTCACCGGTGCCGGCTGAGCCAAATCGTAGGAAGGCTTTGGTGAAAAATCCATAGATCACGCTCACCGTGCGCTTAGTTTCAGTATTTGCCATGTTAGATGCACACGATAGACCCGAGCCAGCTATTTTTGAAAAATATCATTAGAAAGTGCACGTAGAGTGACTTAACACCACCTGCGTCGAAGTATAACCTTATTTTGACGAAGGGTAATTTGCTGGCCAGGTCACTGCCATCAAGACTAAACTCGTACTCTACCCCACATTCTGGGTCTGTTTCAAAACATGTCAAGCAGGCGCGGAGAATCATTCTTTTTGCTTGAGCACATGCAAAACTTCAGCACTGAAATTTACCCCGTAGGCGCATTTGTGTGAATGCACAGCGGATGGGGAGCCATGTATGGCGGTTGAAATTATGGTCCATAAGTGGGACTAGAAGCTGGGGTAGAATGTTGGTGTACGGGTGGTTCGGGAGGTTACCCCATCCGGCGAGAAATGTCGCACACATTGCAGCATCCCGGAAAAACTAAAATGGGCGCTCAGAACGGCAGGCAACAGCGGGAAGCGAAAATTCCCCAGCCTCAGCACCGACCTACACAGATATTAATAACTGGGACAAGCCTCACGGAACCCTACCGTATCTGCCTTTTTGGGTAGCCGAAGCAGATCACCTCAAGCCATCAAGGAGTACCTCTCTGCTAAAATAAAAAAGATCCAAAGCGGCAAAACGGCCGATCGGTAAATACAACCTCAGCTTTACCATTTTCTTCATTTTCTTTCTTCCTCCTGTTGATTTAAGATCTATACTCTCAATGGTATCGGCATTCCCGGCTTGTGAGGCAATTTCTTGGTGAGCCGACGTTTTTTACCAGTATATGCGCCAACTTTGCTCGGCTGCGTGTGCACCGTAAATGCACCCTATTACGTGGACGATGTTGCAGAAGGAGGAACGTCCAAAGGAACACGGAAAACCAGCACAGAACGGGGAGAGCTTCAGTTGAAAATGAAGAAATTGGAATCAAAAGAGAAAGGGCAGAATTGATGGCCATTGTCGAACAGAGCGGGCGCGTTGCCCAATTGGGTGGCCTATTTTTGCACCCCTCCTTCTCCGAGGTTTTTTTCGGAGTGTTTCCGAGAAACTGCAGAACAGACAGTTACGGAGGCTGGTTGTTTGCAGCCAAGGTAGGGGGGATAACCGGATGATTTGGGGAAACGTAAGAAAGGATGAAGAATCCCGAAAGCACGTCCAGGGAGGGGAAAGGGAATGTTGATTTGTGTGCCTTTTCGGGATCCAATGGTTGTACCATTGATTCGTAGTCTCACCATTTGATCCAATCGTAAGGCAGCCTTATCTGGGTGTCGTTGAATCGCTATTGGATGATCATAAATGTTAAGCCTCCATGTTGTTGGGCGCGGTGTTGGGTTCGTCGCCGTCGGATCATTTCATAATCAGAACTCGATCTCTCCGACGTAACCTGAAAATCCCTCCAGCTCTTTGAAAAATAACTCGGAACAACGCTCAATGTTGTGAACCCTGCGTTGCATTTGCCTCGAGGCCGATATGTCCCTGCGAGTCCTCTGTTACGTCGCCGCAGTAAAACTACGGTGTGGCAAATGAGCCCTGCTCCATGACATCCTTTGTTTTCGAACAAGGCGTGTTTTTCGAAAATAATACAAGGATCCGAAATGGAACAGGTTGTGAGTTCTCCCGCCTTATGCGCTGCGCTTATGGCTGCGTTGTTTTCTGAAAAGTATCTCTCCTATCGGAGCATCGCCGATCAGAATCGTCGATCCATCGCGTATATGTAGAAGCAGAAGAACTGGTCCAACTGTGGTTTTGACGATGTCAAAATGAGTCGAGTCCTTGATGCGTCGAGTTTCAACGGGTAAACAACGTGGGGTTTCTTAATAGAAGGCGATCTTTGTCGTACGAGATGATAGACAGGCCACTGCGTTGATAGGACAACTGGGACCTGAGGTGAAATTGTTCAGTCTACAATGACAGCGAAGAACAGCGACATGGAAAATTCCTAGATCACTGCTGTCGTCTGTGGTTAGTAAAGGTGAAACATACTCTTGTATTATGTGCTCCCATACGTAGTCGAAGCACCCCTCTGGTGCCTTATCTGACGATGGGGGGATTGGCCCACTTCATCTGGGCTTCTATTCTTCTGCCTCCTGCTTCCAATCAGCCGCTGATCAGCCGTCTATAACTGCCTTGTAGAAGAGGCCTATAGTGGCCTGTTGAAGGTGGTCCTCATGGGTGATGTGGTGTCTTGTGACACACGGCAGAAGCTCCTTTGAGGGAAGCAAGGATAGCAAAGCTCCGTTATTTACCTAATTCGTGCGTACTGGCTCTTCTTTGGGCTGGTAGTGCTTGCAACACAACGGGTGATAACACTGATTGATGATCTGGTTCACCTCCAATGTGATGAACCTCACAACGCCAGTTAAGCATTGAATCAAGCGAAGTTCCTGAGTCCTAAGACCCCTCATGATCTGTAACCATAACCTCCCTGGCCTTGATTTGAATCAAGCCTTCAATCAAGTTTAGCAGCCAATTAACCCTTCTCCATCAAATAGATGATGGATGAGATCTTCTTATACCATGGGACGCTATCATTTCAGTAGTGAGTCTTCAGATACCAATTTTAGTGATTGATCTCTCGGAGCGCCTCAGAACGGCATGGTCCACGCGTTATTTCACTCAATCAACGTCATTCACTTAATCGTCAATAACAACATCGCCGAGTAGACGCCAAACGCGTCTCCAGCTCCACAATCCAGTCAATTCATCATTCTCTAAAGCACTGCCAGATCACTCCCTCCTGGCCTTTTCTGCCTCGGTCTGCTTCTCCACAGCCTTCTCTAGACCCTTCCTGAAGTCTCTCACACTCTTCACATTATTGATTCCACTCATGTTATCCAAAACAAACTGCTCGTGCAATTTCGTCAAATCTGCAAGCGGCTGCTTCAACCTCCGTACCGCAGTGGCTAGTTCTCCGTACACCTCGTCCTCCATAAGTAGTATCAAGTGTTGATGTTTCTAGCGCGCCTCTATCAACTACTATGGACTCACTAGACGATGATCTAGATGTGGGGATATTCCAGGTGGAGACGTCGTCGAAAAAGACAGATGGTCCTTGTCACCACAAAATGGACGCTGTGGCCTTGGCTACCTATATATACCCGACAAACTTGCCGATCCGTGACTACCAGTACAACATTGTGTATCGGTCCTTCTTTCACAATATCGTGGTGGCGCTACCGACAGGTCTAGGAAAGACGTTTATTGCAAGCACGGTGATGTTGAATTTTCTACGGTGGTTTCCGGAAGCCAAGGTGATCTTTATGGCTCCTACTAAACCTTTGGTGGCTCAGCAGATCAAGGCGTGCTGTGGAATCACGGGTATTCCGCCGGAAAAGGTGGCGATTTTGCTCGATAAGACGCGTCGCAACAGAGCAGCCATCTGGGACGAGAAACAGGTGTTTTTTACGACTCCGCAGGTTGTGGAAAACGATCTAGCAACCGGGATAGTCGATCCCAAGTCAGTGGTGCTTTTGGTCATCGACGAGGCCCACAGAGCCAAGGGCAATTACGCATACAACAACGTCGTGAAGTTTCTAGATCGGTTCAATAAGGCCTACAGAGTTTTGGCCTTGACAGCCACGCCAGCATCAGACGTTGAAGGTGTCCAGGAGATCGTGGATAACCTTCTGGTTTCGAAGATCGAGGTCAGGACAGAAAAGAGCATTGACATTTACAAGTACCTCAAACGGAAACTCATAGATCGAGTTACGGTCGGGCAGTCGGAAGAAATTCGCCATGCTGTGGATTTGCTAACGGAAGCAGTGAAGCCCATTCTCGAGCAGGCCAACCAGAGAAACATCTACGATGTGCGTGATCCCGCCTACATCAACGCCTTTACTGCCATGACCGCACAGAAGAAGATTGTGATGAACCGCCTGATTCCAGAGGGGCTCAAGTGGCTGAACTTCTTCATACTTCAGCTTCTAGCCGTCGTGGGTCAGGGCCTCCGGCGGTTGAACATATACGGAATACGTTCGTTTTACGCTTACTTCAAGGAGAAGTACACTGAGTTTACCACCAAGTTCAACAGCAAAAAGTCGAAGAACAATATGGCTGCAAAATTCTACTTCCACGAAAGCATCAAGAAGTTGGTGGACTTTTGTGAGAAATGCGTGTCCGACAAGCAGTTTCTCGGCCATCCAAAGCTTGAGATTGTCATCTCAGAACTTGAATCATTTTTTCAAAACACCTCTAATCAAGACTCTCGTGTGATTATTTTCACGGAGTTCAGAGAACTGGCACTCGATATAGTGAGGGCTATCGAGCAGCGTGACTCGACTTTGAAACCACACATCTTTATTGGTCAAGCCAAGGAAAGGGAGAAATTCGATGAGGAAAAGTTTGCTGCCAAAGGGAAGAAAAGCAAAAAGAAGGATGTCGAATCACAGCCGCCAAGCTCTTCGCAAAGACCGACCTCCTCAGAGGAAGCCCAAATGACCGGCATGAATCAGAAGGTTCAAAAAGAGCTTATTCGCAAATTCAAAGCTGGTGAATACAATATTCTTGTTGCCACTTCCATCGGTGAAGAGGGTCTTGATATTGGTGAGGTTGATCTAATTGTGTGCTACGATTCGACATCCTCACCTATCAAGAATATCCAAAGAATGGGAAGAACAGGCAGAAATAGAGATGGTAAAGTGCTTCTTCTATTCGCTGGTAATGAAGAGACCAAATTTGACAAAGCCATGGGCGGATACGAGTATATCCAGCAGCACATCATGAATGGAAATATGATCAACTTGCATGACCAACGACGCATCATCCCCACCGATTTAATCCTGTTGTGAATGAACAGTTCATCGAGATCCCAGACGAAAATGTCCAGATAAAGAATGAAGAGGATGAGGATGAGATTATCAAGATTGCCATGAAGTACATGAGTGGTACGAAAAAGAGCAAGTCAAAGGCGAAGTCGAAGAAGATAGAGAAGCGCTTTTTTATGCCCGATGACGTCGAGACAGGGTTCCAATCTGTGAGCGACATGCTCAAGAATCCTGAGGGTCCTTCCAAAAAGCGTCAAAAAGTGGAAGAGTCCGAAGATGAGCTCATCTCTGATGATATTCTTGCCAAGTCTAATGAATCAAGTTTTCAAAAAGTCTCATCTTCACCCGTCGTGGCTCCTCCTACCATTGCAAAGAAACTGAAGCAACCGACTCTTGAGACAGTTCCTGGACTTCCTCCAAAGCAAGCCACCAAACTGCCAGGGACAACCTTGGGGGTCAAAAAATGCCCTCCAAATGTCATAAACCAGTTGAAAGCTGCTCAAAGCCTGAAGCTGCCGGAGTCTCCAGCCACTGGCAAAGAGAACACTCCAGTTGAGGCCCATGTATCAGACGATGATTTTGACTTTGATGATGACGACGATGAAATTCTTGCACTTGCCGAACGCACCAGCTCCATGAATACGCAGCCGAAACCCTCTCAAGAGGTTTTATACCCCAACGACTTCCAGAACCAAGAAGGCATCCTCACATCCGAACAAACCTGTGACCTTTACATGTCGTACTACACTCCTGTGAATGCTTCAGACCTCGACAACATTTACGATCCACAAGACTCCCCAGCTTGTGATAGCATACGGCACAGCACCACCACTACTAATTTATTGCATTCTAAAGCATTCATGTCCAAGCTTTCGGACAAAGAAAGCAAGACACTCATACATACCTATCAATCTGCATCATCAGCAAATCACGAACTTCCAGACTTCGTTGACTTTGACTGATCCACCGTTCCACATACCATTCGTAGCCGTTTTGCAGCCATTATTGTGCATGCACGACCCGCAAATATATTACCCGGCCTTCGCGGCGCGAGTATATAAGCACCCAGGATCCTCCCACCGAGAAGTTCTTGTTCTTTATCTTTATGCAGGGGCATTACGTGTATCAGTGAGGATTCGTCCGAGATCATGTTTTTGCTGGTTGAAAACTATACCTGACAGCTCCCTGGTGGTCCTTCCTTGTGTCGTGACCGTCAGGGGAATTTTTGGAATGTTTTATCTCGGATGTCACCTCATCGAGGGCCACTCCCGCTTTTGTCTGTGTAATTGAGTTCAATTACTCAGGTAAAACGATCAAAAAAAAACACTTTTAGGCCTACGAGGTCGAGTAGACGCCTTGTGCCTCGCTCGATGCAACGTTTTCAAAATTGCATCTTGAGCTGGATGCCGAAGCAGGCTAGTTCTGCATCGCGTAAGGGGCCATAGCAAGCCCAGGGCTATCTTTGAGTGCGGTGACGTCGACAGAAGGTGGCGGCACTGTAATTATTGGCCCTGACAGTAGATTTTGTTGCTGTAGAGTAGGACCTTCTAAAGTATCCTGCATACACCAGCGTAGCGAAGAGCTCAACCGATCGGAGACTGAAGAATCCCACCACCACCTACTTTCATGTTCAAAAAATTCGGCAAGGAGGAGGTCCATTCGCGTTCTAACATCAAGTCCTCTGTTCAAAGAGGACTTAAATCCAACTTTGTTAACCACTTTGAGAAGGTCGAGCCGGTTATCGACGACATCATTCCCAAGAAGTCGCAAGTGATCTTGATCAAATGTGAACACAAGATCCAGTGCTACTCTGTTGACGACGAGATCGTCTTGTTCCAGCATTTCGACGATTTGGTCCCCCATTTGAAGGTGGTCCACAAATACCCTGAATTGTTCCCCAGAGTCCAAGTTGACAGAGGTGCTATCAAATTCGTCATGTCTGGTGCCAACGTCATGTGTCCAGGTTTGACTTCAGCCGGTGCTAAGTTGCCCGAGGAGAATCTCGAAGAAGGCACCGTCGTCACCATTTACGCCGAGGGCAAGGAGTCTGCTTTGGCGATAGGAAAATTGACAATGAGCACCGACGACATCAAGTCCAAGAACAAGGGCGTGGGTATTGAATTGTTGCATTATTTGGGTGATGGCTTGTGGCACTTTGACGCCAGCGTGTAAGCCAGGAGTTATAGAGGGAGTGGTTCGTAAAAAACGTGATGCTGGTTCTCTAGTCCAGCGCTGGCCAAAGTGGCCACATCGTCGTCCAAGTACGTCTTGGAACCGTGGAGGGCGTCGTTCGGATAATAGTAAAGACTGAACCGGTGTACGGGCACGCTAGTGTGTTTTGTAATGATACCTTTGAGGCGTAGAACTGAATTGGAGGGAACGAACGTTCTGGAAAAGAGTGTTCCTTGGGGCCCCTTGACAGTTATGACGTAGTGGTTTTTGGGGTGATGAGATTGAGTTGTGTCAGTTTGCTGAATGCTGTACTTCTCTTTGAGTTCGGACAATCTGGTGCTCAGGACCACTGTGCCCTTTTGAATTAAAGACACTAGGTAGATCTCAGAGCTTCTGATTTTGTCATCCAGCAAGGTGCTTCCATTAAGCTTTTTTATTCCCTTTCCTGAGGTCAGGCATCGAAGTCTTCCAATAAGCTGGGTCGTCATTTCGTCTACCTCCATGTTCTCAAACAAAGAGCACCCATCAATTCGGAGTTCTTCAAGCTCGGGAAATACCGTTGATATCAGCTCCACTTGAGCCCAGTCGCTGATTTTGTTTTCTCGAAGGTCCAACACCTTTGTTGGTAGGGTCATATGTGGAAGCGTTTCGATGGCATTATTGGCAAGAATGAGCTCTCTGGCTGGTATGTCAGGTACAGTTTGGAGGCGATTGAAGGACATATCAAGCAGATCGACATATTGTAGGGCTGCCTCAGGAACAGAAGCTAAATCATTACCTGCAACGCACAATTTTCGTATCTTCGGAAACAGTGCAAGAAACTGGTCTATCCTATCCTCCTCCAATCCACACGAAGCTGCAGAAACCGTCTCCACAGGTAATTGTCCCTCACCAAAAGTTGTGAAAACGTTACCATTCACATTCAACGACTCAAGCAGTGGCATTTTACTCACGATCTTGATCACCTCCTCAGTATTCACCAACAAGTTGTAGCTCAAATCGAGATACTTCGCCCCGCTGAGTTCAGGAATACCACTCAAGTCTCCGCAAAACGCCACGATCTGCTTATCAAGCGTAATTGACTCGAGCGTCTCTAGCTTTCCCCTCCTTTCATTGAGTTCTTCAAACCCCAAGGACTCCACCGTCTTCAGGCCAAATACAATCTCCTGCCCTAACGCTGTCACGTTTTCTTCTCCACAGTACGTCTCCCAAAGAGCATCCACAAACGACCTGCCCAATCGTAGTTTCTTATTGCTTGCCTTGACGAAAGACCCACTGAGAGGCACTTTAACTGAAAAGTAGAAAGTGTCTCCGACGGAGCCGCTGTTTTTCCCTCTTTGGGGATCGTCCCACTCAATTCCGTACGCCAAAGTCGCTGATCCCCACTGCGGGAGGTTCCCAATCCATCGTATGGTTCCAAAAGCGCCATCCAACTCGACCCGATCTTGAATGTTCACCATATCATGGGCTGGGACGGGATTGAGTTTTAGTGATTTCAGTTGAGATGTCGATTGGGAAGAACTATTGTTGCGGATTAACACTTGTTGTGCTTGTAGATCGGGTCTGGTGTGTTTGATGATTAGGATGAGTAGTAGACGCGAATTCAGTGATGAGATAAGGTGTGGTAGGTTCACCGTTTAGACTGACATGGACCATATCGGCGAGAAAGAACAAATAGTGATCATAAGCTTTTAGTTTTATACTTATTGGGCTCTATCAGCTAGATATAGGGAAGAATGACGTTGGCATGTCTTCTTGGGTATGGTGGTTTTGATGTAGATGGCTGCGAAATCTGGGGTCAGTGAGTTTTTCAGCATACCACTCAACCTACGCAATTGTTCACAATAAGAGAGTGCAATTGAATTTATTTCCTTTCCTCTAAACCGCCATCCTATAAAACATCTAGCCCATTTCAACTCCCTTCAGGTAACTACAATTCTACACCACTCGTTCAACCCACTCTCTGTGGAATGTAGCATTGTGGCAGTCCTAGCGACGCCTGTCAGTATGTAAAGAATGCATTAGTATGTGACCGTCGAGCCAGAGCCCTCAAGCCAGTCGAAGCCGACGCCGTTTGGCATCCACCAGCCTCATCAATCATAGTTAACCTCATCGTACAAATTCTCCAATTCCTCAGCTGTCAAGACCAAAGTTGTCTCCAAGCAAACCGTCAAGATCAAACTCCTTGGCCCATTCAGTAACAACCGTGGTCTGCTCAACCTTAGCAGGCTCTCTATCGCCTCTAGCGGCACTCTTAGGTCCCTCACTCTCCTTGTGTGCTTTGGAGGCATTAGGCAAAGTCCAGCCTGTGATTCTGCCGTCCCTCCAATCATTCAAAACGTTAAGAGCCGCCGACTCAATGTGTGGAACACCGCCCTTGGTCAATCTTCCTCTGGCCCTGGCCACATGGATCAAGAACTGCTTGGTGAACTCCTTCAAATCGCTCGATGGCAATGCTGGGATCTGGTAGTATGCCTTGAGGGCGTCGGCCATGGCATTGTCCTTGGACAAACGCTTGAGCAAAACCTCCACCACACCAGCAGGATCTCTGATGTTCTTCGGCGTCACCGCAGAAAGCAATGCAAGCTTGGCCTCCTGGGAAGCCTTTTTCAGCGAAACCTCGTCAGGGAATACGATACCGGGAGAGTCCAAAATCTTGAGTTTGTTGTCGATCTTCACCTCTCTCATGGTGGTGGTAACGCCAGGCATGTTGCCCACAGGACAGGCCTTCAGGTTTCCGTGTCTATTCGTCAATGCATTGATGATCGAGGACTTGCCGACGTTGGGGTAACCAATCACACCCACAACGATGGATCTCTTCAAGTTGGATTTCGTAGCGTAGCTCTTGAGGGCCTCCATGAGGTGCTTGGATGTCAATGCACTCGAGAGGTTCTTATTGTACATGTTGGCACCGGTGGCACCAGGGGAGGCCTTGACAGGCACGGTGGGGAAAAAGGTCTTCAAAAAGCTGACCCACTGGGACAAGACGTTGGTGGGCACAAGATCGACCTTGTTCAAAATGAAGATAAGACGTTTTCCTCCGCTCTGCAAAACAGCCTGCTCGACCTTCCGCAGCCTCGTGGCCTCGGGGTCTCTGGCGTCCAAAACGTAAAGAATCACGTCGGAGGCCTCCACCACAGCCTTGAAGATCTTGTCGTAGGCCTTTCTGGACTTCTCGATATCAGACTTGTCTTCGGTGTCAGACAATTCGTATTCAACGTCCTCGTCAGAGTCCACCATGCCATCCGAGTCTTCTCCTTCGTATTCACGAGCAGCCTGCTGGGCGGATTCCATCAATGCAGAAAGACCACCCTCTTCCTCAGGGTCCTCATCCTCATCCATGGCTTCTTCAACATCCTCACCTCTGGCCAAAGCGGCTTCACGTGCCTCTTGTCTCTTCAATTTAAGCTGCTCTCTTCTCTCCTTCTCCGCAAGCCTGTTTTGTTCTAGCTCGTTGATGATCTCCTCCTTGTATGGGAAACTGGCTGGGATACCTGGATCCTTGTTAGCTCTGGACTTCCAAGTAACGTCCTTCTTGGCCAACTTCTTATTCTTTCGGCGCTGGGCAGCCGCCTTCTTCTTGATACCCTCTCTCATACGAGTGGTCGTCCTTTTGGACGTTGGCTTCTTGACTCTCATGGCTGATAGGGAAGTGATGAGGTTGGTTTTTTTTTCCACCATATCAGTGCGATGCCATCAGGTACTGCAGGCTCCGCTACAACTGTGTCTCCGGCTTGGTCCAAATCTATAAGTTTTCATAAAGCAATTCTCTTTTCTTGTAGAAATGCCTCTTGTCATATATCAGCCTGGATGGCGGTGGCCGGGCGCGGACGTATGGCTGGTACGAGAAGTCCCTCATGTTCGCTTTGAGGTAGGAGGGCAGTGACTTGCGGGTAGTAACAAAAGGTTCCTCCCCATCAGAGTCCAGATCGGACTCTTCGTCCTCACTTTCACCTTCTGATTCGTAAGGATCGAACTCACCGGCGACTCTGATGGTGCTTTGGTCGGCAGTCGCTTCATCGATCAAACCCTGAATCACTGCCTTTGGTTTCTCCACGAAATGCTCCTTCACCTCGGCCTTCAAAACGCTTTTCGCCGTCTTGGCGTTCCGAATGAAAGAAGCCCACGCCGTGTCCATCCTTGCCACTGACTGTTTCTGTACAGCAGCCTCCTTAGTGGCCTCTGGCACAATCACAGGCACCGGCCTTGTAACCTCCTGAGCCTTGAATCTCCCAAGGGGCAAGGCAATGGCCAAAGTAACAAGCAAAAATAGTCTATAAAAGTTCATCAAAGCAGTTTCTGATAAAAAGTGATGTTTGTGGTGGCTGGAAATGGCTGCAAAACAAAGTGCGCACTAACCTGGCCTGCCCTTCATGGATCCAAGACTGGACACACGGTGAATCGAGTCTCTGCTCTCATTGCGGTGGCCATAAATCGGTCCTTTCTTTGGGTTCATGAATGGTTTGTTAAAAAACTCGACCTGATGTGGCGCTTCGTCTAAATCACCCAAGTTGATCGTGGATCTGGTCCTCAAGGAGGAACCATCACTAGGTACTGGCGATGAAGAGCTAAAGTGTCTGCCGCCTTCCAAGTCAATGTTAATGTCCTCTTGTTCCTGGAGCTTTATGTAGCTAAGCGCCGAGTTGAAGTAGCGCTGGAGCTCTGGTGGACTCTTATTCCTAGCAGCAGTGAGAACGCGAGTTACTGGTCCAGGAACACGAGTAGGTATGAACTTCTTGGCCGCTTTCAGGTATCCAAGTTTCCTGCCCATGAAGCCGAAAGCGACAAGTAGCAAGAAGAAGAATAAATAGAAGAGTGCGGACGAGTGGATGCCGTCGATGTCGCTGTCAAAGCCCGTCTTCAAAGACATGGCGCTTCCTGTAATGCCGACGGGTTCAGCGCCTTTCTTGTAGTCCACCTGAGACGACGCCACAAGAAGAGCCTTACCCAATGTCCATGAAAGCTCTTCTCCTTCGATGGAATCTGCCGATTTGAATGGTACATGAATTCCCTCAACCTCCTTCATCTCGCTGGTTTCTTTATCGTCCTGAGGCTCAACCTCCAATCCCAAACGGGGAAGACCGAATCCTTCGTGCAAGACATTGATCACCCAGGAAGCCTTGAAACAGGCGTCAAGCAAGAAAGGCTCCTTCAAGTTCAGGTACTCGCCGTTTTTAGAATTGGAGAGAATAGTGTCCCAGCTGCTCTCACAGTATTCTCTCACCTTGTCGTTGAAGCTGTGGAAGTTGTACTCGCCACCACTGTGGAAAATGTCGTTGGCCGTGTACCAGTATTCCGATACGCCCACAAACTTGTCCTTTTCGAAATTCATCTTTGGTGCGTGCATGCCGTTGAAAAGACAGGGCTCTTCGGTACACGGCATATGCTTCATAAGCAAAGGGTAGATTTCTCTGAGACACACCTCGTAGTTGCCCGTGCCCTTGATCACGTACTTCTTGTTGTTGTAAGTGTAATCAGGGATTTCGGCGCCATTGGGCAAACATGGATCATTGACCTTGTTCCCCGAATACTTCACATTCGACGACAAGAGAAGCGAGATCAAATGGTCCAAGTGACGCTTCCTGGCCTGGTTGGCACCAAAACCGAGCCACGTGCCCGTGAACACCCTCCAGTTCTGGAGATCACCGTTCTGGTTGCGTAGAATCACTTTGAACAAGTCCTCGTCGTGCTTGGCGATTTCGTCCTGGGCTGGCACAAACGCCACTTGTGTAGAAGCGCCACCCATGTCCATGAACCCCACCAGCTCGTGGTCCTGGGCCTGAAGATCGTAGTTGTCGAATTTGCCCATAAGGTAGTTCAAGGCCAACCAGCCATAAATGCCCTCCGTGGCACCGTCAATCACTTGCACATGCTCTGAACACGAGCCAATCTTAAAGTCTGTGTGTTTCTGAAGCGCCTTACACGTCTCAGAAAGAATCTTCTCCTGCTGTTGTTCAGGCAAAAGTCTCATGCCTGCTGTAGCCAACACGTAAACAGGCGTGTCGTGCCACTTGTCCTTCGGAATGACGCCCTCAGCAAACTTCATGAGCTTCTTGTAGTGCTGCTTCCAGATCTTGCCTGGTTTTTCTCCAAAAGTCGACGCCCCAGGCGTGATCTTATGGCTCCATCCTTGTTCTTGAGCGATCTTGGGAGGAGACCTCAAGGTTTCCTCCAGAGCCAGATCTTTCAAATGTCCGGGATCCTCCCACCTGTAGATCTGTGCCCGCAGTCCCAGCAGGCCCAGGTCCACGACGATGCCGTATTTGTAGTCGCCCATCAAGTGTTGATGTGGTTGTTAGCTGACTGTACAGGACTCTGAGTTGGAGTGATATTGGGCGGGTCTGGAAAGCAAGCTTTTGGCATGGGGATTTGAATTTCAGTCGAAGGAGAGAATTTTACGGGGATAGCGACGAATGGAATTGTAGATATCTTGAAATTGTCGTGTTTGAGTGGATTGAACTGAAATGTAGCAAGATGAGGTGAGGCTATAGATAGCAGCGATTGTCACTTTTAGAACACAAATTTGATTTTTGCTCAATATACTGATCTCACGTTTATTGATGGAGAAGTTGAACTCGACTGGATCAAATTTCGTTCAATCAAAGGACACACAGGGTGATCTTGATCAGCTCATGTTAGCGAAGTTTCCATGCTTCGCTTATCTGCGTTTTTCGCAGCCACTCAGCCATGCGGTAAAGGAAATGCAAATTATCTGCCCCACCAAGACAATACATAGATCTAGAAATTTAAGAAAATACAAAAGTCAAATTTCAAAATCTACTAAGATAATTGGGAAGTGCCCAAACCTCGGGATCCCACTTCATCAATCATCGTAACCTCCACCTGGACCGTCTACTTGCGTACTACTTTGGCACACCTCTGTTCTGCCTTAACGCCAAGACCGTCATCCCTTCGTCCAACAAACACTATTTTCTTGAATTCACTCAATTGGCTGAATGGAAAGTTATAGTTTTTTTTGGACTCAAACAGACATTCAGCCAGACACTCACTCATCACTAGCTCTTATCAACCTCTACAACTCACCTCACCTTCCAAAATCACCAACTCTGACCAACTCTACAAAAATTTTCAAAAACCTTCCACCTTCTTCCACGCCAATTAAAGTACAGCCACTGGCCATTTTCGTCTCACCTAGTGAACAATCCACACTGTACCACTATACCCCATACTTCGCACTTTCACCTCATCCACCACCATGATTGTTCTTCCTAACACACCGCCAACTCCGTTGCCGTGGAAGGTCGACACCCTGCTTATACTGCCTGACATCCAGGCCAAGCGTGCTTCACTATGCAACGCCTCAATCGCTTCCCACAGCGAAACCGTCCGCTATATTCTGGGGCTTTTGGAATACATCGAAAGCCTCTTTGAGCTGCTCAGTACAGACAGCCCAGAACGAAGCGTGCCCAGATATGCCTCCCGGGCCCTGGACCTCATATTAACTACAACGGTGCCATGGAAAAACGTCGAAAAGAAGGAGACAAAGAAGTTGTTCAAGTTGAACTCGAAGCCGGACTTATCATGGACACTAGCAGCAGAGATCCAGCTTGCCACCGTCAGCTTGGCCACGTCATACATTAAGTTGGGAGCAGAGCTTACCAACGAGTTGATCGAGACCGAATCGGGCCTGGAGCCGGAGAAGGAAATGGACGAGAAGTGGAAGCTGGTTTCCAACCATTACAAGAAGGCAATTGCATTCAGCTTGTTCGGTGGCCAATTCACCATGGGCAGCACCGACACGACAATTGACCCGCGTGTGTTTGTACTTATAGACAAGTGCAGCCAGATTGGGATCCAGATGTCGATTTTGTCGAAATTCTCGTGGCTCAACAGAAACTCATACAACCTGAACGAGACGTTTACGCTGAGCAACAACAACGTTTTGTGCCGTGTGGCTATTTTCGTGCTAGACGAGGTGATTTCTTGCATTAATTTGGTGAAGGAGTTGGCACAGAATGAAACCTCTTACTTCAGGCTCAACTACAACGGCTGGGATTCATATTTGAGTGTGGTACAGCAGTATGCCACTGCCTACGCTGGGCTCTTCTTGTCAATCGAGTACTACCAGAAAGAGAGCCTAGGCCAGGCCATTGGCCTTATAAACTTCTCCCTTCTATCGTTGCAAAGCAAGAGCATGGCAGATTTAAAACCCACAAGGAACAAGATCTTGAGTAAGTTCAAGACCAAGGTCGCCAGCAAGCGAAACGAGCAGTTTGTTCAGAATCTCAATTCCATCACGTCGCTACGTATCGACAAGTCGGTGTTTCTGGAGCTGTCTGGGCTTGTCCTCAAAGACCTCCAGCTTCTTTTTGACCAGCTCGTCCAGTGCCATTTAAAGTACACCAAGGAGAACGACAACTTGAAATTTGACGCTGTTTCAGATTGGAAAGACGTGCATGGCGATTCGAGATGGCCGTTTGGCAGCAAGATCCCCGTTTCAGCTGTGGAGCCATACTGTCCCAAGGTACTTCAACCAGATGAGCCCGACACCATCAAGCAGGGCTTTACGGGTCGTGGATCGTATTTCTAGACACAACAGGTTAGAGCTAGTAGATTAACATTTCGAATACTACAAACGTATGGGTAGGTACATGCATTGAATTGGACACAATTGACCGGGAAACGGACCCCAGCCGCAGCCACTACGATACCAGATCTATAGGAGGTGTATTATATTACGCCCGGGTGGTTATACAATAAACAGCCGGTTAAGAAAATCCAGCTGCTTACAACTTCTGCATAGCAGCAACATCGGTGGACTGGACGTGGTCCTCGTCCTCCTCGATGGAGACCTGCAAGTCGTCCAAGGAGACCTTGTCGTCCTCAATGACCAAGTTGATCTGCAACTTCTTGATACCGAAACCAACGGCGATCCACTGGTGAGCACCCCAGGTCAAACCGTCCATCTCGACAGACTTGACGTTGGCCAACAACTCGTCCAAGTCGGTCTCGTCATCCCATGGCTTGACCTCCAAGGTGACAATGGACTTGGCAGCAGGCTTAGGACCCTTAGCGGCCTTCTTGGCGGCGTACTGGGCCAATCTCTCCTGCTTCAACTTCTCAGCGTCCTCATCGACCTCCTCGTCATCGGAGCCGAAAAGGTCAACGTCGTCGTCGTCCTCAGCAGCAGCGGCACCGGCGGCGGCTGGGGCCTTACCAGCAGGCAAGGACTCGAACTCCTCAGTGAAAGAGGCAATGTGGTTGAACCATCTGGCGAACTCAGGGTACTGCTTCTGGAAAGCCTTGTAGACGGTCACGTCGGCCTGGGTGGCGGCGGAGCTGGGAAAGTTAGTAAAACAATTGCTTTTTGCTTCAGGGGCTTCGTGGGTCAGCTGTTTAGATTTAAATCTCCTGTGTCACTCATGCGGTGGGTCTTAAGCACCTCATAAACACGGACCAAAGATTGCGATCATCACCCTGCACGAGGAGAATATTAGGTTATGGGGAAACATACCCGTCGACGTAGGACTTGTCAGTCAAGAAGTCGTTCAAAGACTTGAGCGATTCGACCTTAGAGAAATCGGAGAAAGACATTGTGGTGGTGAAGAAAAAAATCTCTGCGGAAAAAATTTGTCTTCGCTGAGCACCCCGTTTGGTGCGCGCACGTCCTAGGGCTTGTGTCAGGAAGAGAATGATATGTGGTTTAGGGAGGGATTGGCGCCATTGGCGGGGTGGTTGTGTTGATTTGAGAGAGGAAGTTGGGATTTGTGATTTCATTAATTTTTGAAGTTTGCGGGAGGGGCATTGGATGGGATTTACGGTGTGGCTGCGAAAGCCCTAGCGATGATCCAGCGATCTGGACATGTGGGTGATGGAGATGATTTGGGGGAATTGGGCGGGCAAAAGAAAATGAGTTTTTGAAAATTGCTCATTCAAAGTATTAGACGGACTTTGCGGTGGGGCATGTCCCAATGGGCTGGTTTGGATGAGTACTAGATGGCCACTGGTGATTCGCTGGATATGCATCAGGCGATGTGGTTATGGATGTTCTGTCAATTTTCAGTGCCAGTTGCCAAATGCAGCAAGTCGTCGATTTGTTATCGTTTTTGGAACGCCAATTTCGACGTCAAGCCTTTACTTCACGACCTTCTGAAAGAACATATCAAATATAGAGGTGGGTCTTCGGAGTTGGCTGCGAATAAATGCACTCCGAACCACGTTGGCTGTCAAATGCAGATCCACAGAACACGTTCATGCAGTTGCAGGAATAGAAAGAGCGATTGGCTAAAGATAAGGAACTTGATGTTTTTTGTTTTTAAATACCCCATTCGTTACCATGTACTGGGAGTGAAGGAGGCCTTTCAGCTGCTACATGCACTGGTGGTTACGCGAAGACCATGCATGAAAACGCCTATTGTTTGTGATCTGGAAATCCAAGCACTCACAGAAGCTTAGGTGCAATCAGAGCTGCTTTTTCACACCGTTTTCTATCTAGCGAGTCATTTGTATTCATCCGCTCAATGAACCCAGATTCGAATTTATCAGGAGTCTCCTAGAAAACCCGTAATTCGGTATCCCATAGTAAATTCGTTCACTGCTCACTTTGAGGGAAAATCAGTGATTTATGATCCCTTGCACCTCATCAGTCCGCCCACTGGATGTCCCCAAAAGCTACATCAAACAACGAAAACCCATACCTTCCACCGTCTTTTTACCTCCCCCTACCTTTTTTTGTTAAACTCATCTGATATGGAAAACCTATTTAAATCTAGACAAAAAAACATCTTATCAGCTTCCAGACTAGCACCGCTTGACCACACCTGTGAACTAAGTCGTCCCCTGTGTCGCCACAAGGCCCTTCCACCACCTTTTTACATCTCTCTTGCCTCTTAATCTCAAATCTTCCTGTTTTCTTTAATCCCACCGATGTAAAAATTCAACCTCATTTGTTCCCGCCCTCCGCTTATAGTTACCGACATGCGCCAATTTTTCACTTCCACCGCACCATCACCTTAACCATACCAACCAGCCCAACTCACTCAAAACCCAAAAATCACCAAAACACCAATTTCCATCAAAATCCCGACCACAAAAAACCCAAACATCCTTATGTCCTGCCGCTTGAGCCGAATGTGGCGCTTAGGCTGCTTTGCATGAGGCGTCGACGCAATTTTGCAACCATTCTGCCGCAGGGTCCATGAGCCGTACGATACGAAGGCTTCTAAAAAAACGCAACAAGTCTTACATTTCCAGACGTTTTTCAAAAACATTCAAAAAACTTATTTTCATCTTCCACCTACTGCCCACCACTCGTGCTGTATATTCCTATCCTACCCAGTAGCTACTGCTATGCTTGGTCGTCACGAAACTTCCAGGGACCCTCGAAACTGGCGTAACAGCGGAACTCGTTGCCCAACTCGTTCTTGTGCTTGGGCAAGAAATCCGTGATTCTGGTCTCGGGGTACGTTTCTTTGATGATATCTCTCATTCTCTCTCCAGTTGACGAAATCAACTTGAACCGCTTATCTCCCGACTTCGTCAAAGAACCGTCGTCCTCCACAAGAAGGTTCCGCGCAGCCTGCGCCAGCTTCCTCTGGCACTGCTCTTCTAGAAATGGCGGATCAATGAGCAACCGATGGCACTTCTTCTTCAACGAAAGCGGCACATTGTCGGGGTGAGTATAGTCATAATGGTAGAAACGGCCTGGCGCCAATACAGAAAAACGCTGGTCGTACTCCAACAAATACACATGTTTGGTTGGAACTTCTTCAGGTTGCAACTTTCCAATCGCAGCATACACTGAAGGTGCCAGGGCAATGCACACCACTGTTTCCTCATCAGCCCCATGCAAAAGTGCCCTGGCTAAAGTAGCCGCAGTGTCGTCATCGTACCAAAACTGCAGAAGCTGCCAGTCTTCTTTGAAATCGTCGATGGTGGCTGCAGGCGTGGGCAGTTTTTCTTCATTTTCCGTGTCTTCCACTTCCTGTGCTACTTGCTGGTACAACTGCTCAAATTGCTTCTTGCGTTCCTCCTCCTCTTGTCTGAACAGCTGGAGAGCTGCGAGCGCATGTGCGGAAAGCTGGATAGGTTCGTCGTCCATGGCTATTTTCAAAAAATCTATTTTCCCCGGTCGACAATTTTTTGTCTTTTTCAGTAGCCCCACGAAGAGGGTGTGCGGAGCTCATAAGCACCTCGGCTAACACGGCTGCGCGGACAGATCCACCATCAACAAACCCACCTACTACTCGACATGTCGTTTGTTTGCACGCCGGGGCAATTGGTGGCTCACGTGATCGCCGCTTTGGCGGTGCTGGATCCGGTTCCGCTTTCCGGTTTGTGGGAATTGGCAAAATCGAAGTTGACTACTGATCTGGTGGATAATCTTCAGAAAAACGTTATATGGACTGCTCTCATGGCGGCGTCTCAGGGGCTTCTTATAGCCCGAGTGGGTTCCGCCGCAAGAGACGAAATTGCCCTTAGCTCATCCACAACATACGGAAATCTTCTCCTCCACGGAACCGAACTGGAGATCTTTGTGGAGGCTACAGAGAAGTGCCAGTTCAGGTACTTGGCTGGAACGGAAAACTACCACTCCTTGAAAACCAGTCTTGGTGATTTTCCCTTTCAGTTGCTTAGGGTGATTGCCAGACACGGTCACGAAGGTATCTTGAATCCCGATTTGGCAAGAGAGTCCGGCCAGGATGCCAGGTCCATCAGGGTTCGTCTCATCAAGCTCGAGCAGGCTGGTTTGATCGTCACAAAGCAGGTTTATGTTGATAAAAAGCACACTACGCATTCCTGGCATATCAAGTTTGCCCCTCCAGCAAGCAAGGAAGAAGCTGAGGAGGAACTAGAAGCTACAAGAGATGTGGCTAAGCTTAAGCGATTGATAGTGGATGCGCTTCAAAAGGCCCCCAACCAGCTTCGAGGCTTTTCCGATCTACGAAAGGAGCTCAAACTTGACGGATCTCAGCTGGTTCTGAAGTTCTTTCGTTCGGTGTGTATCAGACTCCATCAGGCAGGGTATGTTGAAAAGCTTAATGTGGAGCTTCCAGAAACGAAACAGCGACTTTACGCATTGAAATTTGTGAAACCGCTACCAATTGATGTGGATGACGTTGAAGTTGATGTTGACGAGGATGCAGAGGACGAATTTGACGAAGAGGATCAGCTGGATGAGATACGATCGCCGATATTCAACAAGGTGTTTCCACCATTCAATCAGTTCTACCAGCAAATCTATGATAGAGGCGATAAGGGTATCACGTCGGGTGAAATTGCCAAAACTCTTCTAGGTGTTTCTGACTACAGACCATATACTAGGTTATTTGAGACACTTCCGAGTTATTTGAGCAACGGCAAGGCTCTCAAGCCGTGCAAGAAGTATGCTGATCCATATGATGACTATACTGTGTCCAAGCTTTATGACAACGAGGGAAAGCTCAAGTTCTACAGGTACTTCGTCAAGCAGTTTTGCTCAGAAACAAAGCCTGCTCCTAAAAAGCCATCCAAGCCTAAGTTCTCAAAGGACAATATCGTTACTTTGAACAAAAAGCTTCACTCTACACTCGGCAAAACCTCCAACGAGGCTCTTCTCGAGAAGAAGAGAAGAGTCTTCCAGGTCTCTGACCAGCCACCACCTAAAAGAGTCAAGGTGGAGAAACCACGCAATGATGGACTCGACGACATCCAAATACTCGACGCACCTAGAAGCCGAAGGAGAACCGCCAAAGTCTCTTATAATGTGGATGATCAGCTTCTTGTGGAAGGAAACAATCTGGGTGATGACTACACGCCCCAAGAAGATGCCAAGTCTGAGCCCTCGTCTCCAGAACCTTCCCCAATTCAGGTTGCTCTGGCAGCGACTGAGATGGCGGATTCTTCTACACTGCTTTCCTCCACCACCCTTCCCCAATTTGTGTCCCAAAAGCCGGAAACTAAAAGAAAACGTGCCACCCCTCAAACTTACAAGGTAGAGGGCTCAGCAAGGTCTATCCAGAGACGTCAAATTTTGCTCGATATTATTCGTGGCGAGGGAGGTGCCACCTACAGCAGCTCGATATTGTGCAGAAAGATTGATGAACGAATGAACAGTTCCACTCTAACTGACGTGAAGACCTTGGCTCGTGATGTGATATACTGCTGCAAGAACAAAGATTTGGAGCTCCAAAAAGTCTCAATCGATATAGGCGGTCAGCCAGTGGAAAAGAAGCTTCTAGTTTTAACGAAGCCAGGAGAAAGGCCAACAGACGAACGGCTCGAAGAGTTGCGCCAGGCTTACGCAGAGCTGCACTCCCGGAAAGACAACAAAATCTTCCAAAAGAGACTAATCCAGCTGGATTTGCAGCTTTATGTCGAAAAGCCCAGTACGAAGAAAGTCAGCTCTGGCTCTCAAAGAAGAAAGGGCAAAAACCGTTTACAGGCCTTGGGAGACGAAGAGGGCAGTTTCGTCAAGGAGGAACCCACAGATGGTGTCAAGGAAGATGGCGATGTGCTTTCTAATCTTAAACGAACCAGGAGACCCAGAAAATTCAATGCTCCTGCTTCAGGAGACTCCTCTCAGGGATCCGGAAAGAGAGGCAGAAGAAACATCAAGATGGAGAAGTCGGAAGCACTCATGCTTTTCAGAGCGGTCGTTATTTCCAAAGCCTTCTCTCGTGAGGCTATAGACTTCGATCACATTGCTACGTTGTTTCCTGGAAAGGACGGACAAACCGTGAAGCAGAAATGGGGTACGGTGAGGCGTCTGTTTGGTGGAGCTGATGTCGTATCTCAGGGTGTCGTAACGTTTCAGCAAATGGTGATGCTGGGATTGAAGAAGGTTCGATTACTGAGGCTGAGCTCTCTCTGACCAATCTTGAATTCTTCCTTGAATACTGGCGTGAGTACGACACAAACTTTGACATGCCAGCATTCGATGAATATCCTCTTTACAACACTTTGGAGAGAAACAGCAAGGAGTATACGTTTGTCAAGGAAGAACCTCAAACATCTGCCCTTTTCGAAAAAATTGAGGATATTTCGATGCGCCAGAAGGAATCCATGCTCTCCCTGACCATATTCACAGAGGCACAAGAAGCGCCTATCAAGGAAAAGAAGCACGAAAGTCTTCGTTCCATCTTCAAATCGATATTCCTGTCTAGTGATGAGAAGCATTACACTCATTTCATCAACAAGTTATTGGAAGAGTATGGAGAACAAGCTATCAAGGAGGCTACAAACGGATTAACAAGCGACCGTGAGGTGCTACTTGTGTCCATCGATGATACATCCAAGTTCATTTTGGGAGAAAAGTTTAAGAATGCTCTTGTTAACAGGAACCTAACACCAAAGCTTTTCAACCGTGCAGCTGCTTTCAAAGAGGCCCTAGTTTCACTTTCTTCAGCTAACAAGGGTCTCATTTTGTCTCAAGGAGTTGTGCCCGGAGAGATGGTCACGATTCTTCAGTTGATCTCAAATTTCCAGCTCGACCTCGTCAGGGTCGATCGTGGATTGAAGTTTGACAGCTATGAATCTCGTCTTATCGATAAAGAGCAATTAGCTTGTGATCTTGTTTTGAGGTGTGATCCTTCTCAGGTCAGCCTTCAAGCACCCCAACCAGTCTCCATTCCTATCAAGGGTCCCTGTCAACCGATCTGGTTTGACTATAATGCCAATTTGAACAAGCCTTTGTGGATCAAGCTTATTACTACGATGCTCAACTATATCGTTTTTAGGCCTGGTGTCACTGATGAGTATCTTTTTGCGAAAACCAATGTCGTGCTCAGTGTGGAAAATTACAATTTCCTCATGAAATGGCTTTTGGAAACAGGCTGTATCAAGAAATTAGATCCAAAAGGTTATCTCCCCACGGACAAATGGCAGTACATTCTAGGGACTGGAGAGGCATAGATTTCGCAGCCATCGGTCCCAAAAAGGAAGTATGGTATCACATGCAGTACATTTCCATTTTTTTGTACGGGCTCTTCTCAACCCTATCAACAGGCATCTCGACCAGAATCACACTATGGGTTTGGCGGGTACCAAGGTGAAACAGCGTTTCGGGCTGGATCCAAGAAACACAAACTGGTCTAATGACACTGAGAAGTTTGGTCATAAGTATCTTGAAAAAATGGGCTGGAAGCCAGGCAAAGGTCTTGGGCTCGTTGACCATGCCATGACCTCCCACGTCAAAGTGTCTATCAAAACTGATAACGCTGGTCTAGGGTCTAAGCTTGCCAAGAAGAGGAAAAACGACGAGTTTGACAGCGGAGAGTGTGCTGGACTTGATGTTTTTCAGAGGATTTTGGGTCGTTTAAACGGCAAGGAAGAGCAGATCAACAACGAGTTGGAGAGACAAAGAAAGGAGAGCATTATCAACGGAAAGTGGGGCATGCATTTCGTCAAGGGTGACACTTTGAAATCCACCTGGGACGCCGAGTGTAAACAACTCATGCAAGGTGAGAAAAGAAAAGCCGAAGAAAGCGAAACTCCACGCAAGAAGGCCAAAAAGCTGGACGAAAAGAGCGAGAAGAAGTCCAAGAAAGAGAAGAAGTCTAAGAAGCTAGAAAAGGATGACGTGGCTGAGAAGAAGGACAAGAAGGATAAGAAGGACAAGTCCAAGAAAGACAAGTCCGAGAAAGACAAGTCTGAGAAAGACAAGTCTGAGAAGAAAGACAAGAAGGAGAAGTCCAAGAAGGAGAAGAAAAGCGACGACGAGTCTAAAAGCCTGAAGAAGGAGAAGAAATCCAAGGACAAGAAGGAAAAGTCCAAGAAGTCCAAGAAAGACAAATCTTCAGATGAGGAGGAGGTGACGCGAGACAGCATGCTCAAGCCCAGAGAAAAAGTCAAAGAAGAGATAGCTACCAGGCTTTCGGCAAGAGCCAAGTGGATTAGACAGAAACGTGCCTCCGTCATGGACGCCAAGGCGCTCAACGAGATCTTTATGATTGCCAACTAGGATAATGGAGTTAGAAAGGGATAGAATTACAACGGAAAGTCAAACGCAGTGTAGATTTTATTGATACCGTTAATGTTTACATAAAGAAAGTGCCGAAACCGCCCACGAAGCACATCACCAAGGCGCCAACAGCGAGAAGCTCGCCCTTCGAAATGAAGCGAGCGGAAATGCTACCCGAGCCCTTGCTGGAGGAGGAAGACGAGCCCGAGGAAGAAGACGAGCTACCGGAGCCAGAGCTGCTAGAGCCGGAAACGTGGGCAGCACCACTAGCACCAGAAGTAGAACCAGTCACCTGGGCATGGGCAGACACGGAGGAAATGAGAGCCTTACAAGAAGAGGCGGAGTCCTTGGTGCTGGCAAGAGAGGCGGAGCCATCGAAGTCACAAGCAGACTTGCTGTCCTTGTTCTCCTTGTAGTACTTGTTGAGAACGTAGGACAACTTCTCCTTGTTGGAACAGAAGGAGACAGCACCGTAGGTACCGTTAGTACCGTTGACGTTGATGGCAGAACAGTCGATACCGTTACCGCAAACCTCGCCGAACAAGTCACCGTAGTTCTTCTCCTTCACGTCGTCAGCAACAACACACTCCAAAGAGTCCTGGATACAGTCACAGATGTCCTGGTCTGGGGTTGGAGGCAAAGATGGGGAAGCCTTCCACGTCTTAGCATCGTTAGGAGGACATTTGAGGGTGGAAGAAGCATCGCTGCTCTCTTCAGAAGACTTGGCCAAAGAAGGAGAGATGCTGTTCATCTCGGCGGAGTAGTAAGAGTAGTCAGTCATGGTGGACACGGAGGAACCGTCAGTAGAGACAAGACCGTACTTGTTGGCCTCCTCGAAGTACATGTAGACGATACCACCGGACCAGACGTCGGTCATCTTGTCGCCGAAGATCGTGCCAATCTCGGTAAACTTTCTAGGACGAACCTCGTTACAACCGTACTCAGACATGAAAACAGGAATGGTCATGTTCTTGTACTGCTCAGTCTGGGTCTTGTAACCGGAGTCCAGGAAAGAAGAGTCACCACACCATTCGTACATGTTAACACCGAAAAAGTCAGCTCTGGCGTCAATGTCACCACAGGCAAAGTAGTCACCAATGGCGACACGGATCTCAGAGTCATCGTTGGAGGAGTAACCGACAGGGAACTTCCAGCCCTGGTCCTTAATGTAGGCCTTCATGTCTCTGACGGCGGCCTTGACGAAAGGAGAGGCGTCAGTGTTAGATCTGTTGTTGGTCACCTCGTTACCGGCAAAGAAACCCAAAACGTTGGTGTAGTTGGCAAACATGTCCACGACAGACGTGTATCTCTTGTACAAGTCGACGTTCCAGGCAGGGCTGTTTCTGTTGACGGACTCGGCAGGGGAAGAAAGATCAGCAATGATGTAGATGCCAGCGTCGGCAAAAGTCTTCATACACTCGTCGTGGTCCTTGGTAGGGTCCACGGCGTAAACTCTCAAAACGTTGGTATTGGCGTCACGGAGGTACTTGACGTCACGCTTACAGGCGTCACCGTCAGCAAGGGGGTCAACGTATTTATCTTGGGACTCACCGGTGGTGTTCATTGGGTTCTGCTGGTAAGCAACACCACGGATCAAAAACTGGGAACCATTGTTCGAATAGAAGAACTTGTTGCCGACGATCTCGATCTCGGGCAAGTCTTCAGCTGCAACGAGGGACAAGGCCCACAAGGCCAAAAGGGGAAGAAACCACATTATCGAGGATGGAGGTGGAGTTTGGATTTTGGAGGATCGGGCGGTCTTTATATACGCGACTCACAATGAAGGCAGTGGTCGGGGCTTTTGCAGCGGCTAACCGGTATGTCGCGCAGAGCGTGGCTGTGGGACAGTTATAGCATTGTCGGTTATTCCGTGGTTTTTTGGATGGTAGGATTAATTAGAGGATGGGGGTGGAGTAGGAGAGTTGGTGGTTTTTACTTAGTTGAAGATCTGAAAAGCTGGGCACCGTGGTGGTGCAGATTTGCAGCCAATGTGACACCTTGGCGAGGATTCTGGGCGGCAGGACAGACGCAGGGCTCAGGGGAACAGTATATAAGGGAAGAGAATCCAGCGGTTTTTTCCTCCAGCTTTTTTATTAAAAGAGGCTACTTCTACAGAGCGTGGCAGCCATCGGCGGGTTCACCATGGGGTGTTTCACGCTGGTGATTTGGCTGGACCGTGCGGCATGTATGGTGTGTTCTCTCGCACTAATTACTTCCGCGTCGAGGCAGCAAGAGAAGTGTTCTATATATGGAAGCAGCGCCGGGGAACAGCCAGTCCAAAACTAATTTGATGGTTCGTGTAGTTTTCGGGGTTTTGGGGTGGATTTTTTTAACTTTTCAAAAAATCAAGGTTTTCTCGAAATTGGCGTGGGTTCTTCGGCTGACATGGTGGGGTGGTGCAGCACGTAAGGGCCAGGGGCACCGCTGCGAAACGCCGTACCGCATGGCCAATGAGAGATCAGTGGAGGAGAGAGGCCCGTGAAACAGACGAAGCTATAAAGGAAAAAAAAAAAAAAAGGTGATTCTAAAAAAGCTAAACGAACAACGAATTTAGACAATGATGAAAAATTAAAATCCAAATCAATCGTCCCTTGTGTCGCCGAGATCGCCTTTCAATCAACGTCTTCAGCAAAAAAAAAAAAAAAATCGCAGATTCACGGTGACACGAAAATAACGTCGCCCGCTACACGAAAAGCACTTTACCAGAACGGGCGGAAGAGTTTTCCAGTGGGATGGGACAAAACCGCCTTGCGTAAGGCACCGACGCGGGCGCGAATAGCAACCGTTTGGGCCATTTTCTGGAAGAAACCGGTGGGCGGGTGATGGAAGGGAAATTCGGTTGATTTGGGTTGCAAATTTTGCGATCCTGGCCAGGGAGAGCCTTCCCAGCTGATTCGTGCTCTCTTTGTATTACTTTATTTTTTGTCTACTTTTTGTCTACTTGTTGTTCCTTCAGTTATATTTCGCTTTCCTTCACCATCCACCGTCTTTCTTTTTCACTACATTTTTTTCATTTCCTTGATCCCCCTCCAGATTCACGGTGGCCGATCTAGAATGGTCTGGGGCGGTGCGACATTGTCGTGGGCTTGCGGTGAGCCCCAGCAGCCGAATTTCCCGCTGCTGCGTCGACAAATCGTGAATACCCAAAGGCACCTGGACCTGTTGCTGCAAAATTGAAATAATTGAAAAAACGCTTGGTATGGCGGAACAACGAATGGTGACTTTCGTTTTCGCAGCTCAGCTCATTTCCAGCACTGCCTCCAAAGCCTTTGTTTGCCTACGGCGTGGTGGCTGAAGGTAAATAAACAGGCTTTTGCAGATTCGCGTAGTTGCTGGTTATCAGTGGCTGGGTTGGGTGAGTTTACGCGGTAGGCTTGGAGGGAGATAGGGAGATAGGCTTGAGATTTGTTCGATAGCCGTTGGGCGTTGTGGATAGAGGGCCAGCGGTTTTGTAGATTTTCGTGAGGCTGCAACAATAGGGTGACAAGTGAACAAGGGTGTTTGTTAGGATTCGAGGTATTTCGCAGCCATTGGGTGCGGTAGGCAGCTGGAGATAGTGGATGCAAAGTAAGACAAGTTTAGTGATGGAATATCGTTCATGAAATTGGTGACAATTGAAATACAAGTATTCAATTCGGAGAAATGAAGATAAAATGGGTTCTAGTAAAGAGCCCTTGGAGTATAGTACCTCGTCTCTTGTTAATTACCGCAGGCGAGGTAATGGGACCATCTACCCCAGAACAACAGAGTCGGAAAGATCAGCACCCGGAGGAGCCGTCCATTGATTCAAATCAACCTCTCAATTAAAGTTCTTTAAATGACCCGTTTACAAGCACGATAGACTAATCGATCGAACCTCTACCCAGTGGATTACCCAGTGAACGATTACCATAACTCACTACGTAACCGATCAAACAAATGGCTGTTGATCCAACCCAATCACTGAAAGCCAGTCTTAATACTATTTAAGCAACAGTTCCCTTACTTTTTATTTTTCCAGGAACTGCTCTCAATACTACACTCTCGACTCATTTGTGTCTATGTTCGCGGCCATTTTGCAGCCATTACTACTACCTCCTACTACCTCATCCACCATGTTGCCTCGACTTCTCTTGATTCCAGCTCTCGCCGCAGCGCTTGTGGCGCCAGAATACGGCTCGTACAAGAACCCCCACCCTAGACCTCTCCACAAGTGTGACAATTCCGACATCGCCATGTTGGCTGCTTGCTCCAACCAGGTGCTTGCACAATTGGACGACTGCAAAGCCAACGACTTGGCCTGTGAGTGCTGTGCTCTTCAGTCCATGGACCCAAAGTGCCATAATCTCTGTCCGGGGAATCCCAACGCCAACTTCCTCACTGTCTTGGTCAATGACTGTGCACCGTTGAACGACATCAACGCTTGCAACCTTCCGTTCAAGAAGAACGACGGAGCAGGAAGGCCAAAGACAGTCGTCGAGGACGAACCAGGCAACACCGTCTCGGTCAAGTCGCAGCTTCTGAAGCCGGCAAAGCAGCTCTATCAGGGAGACACTCTTTATTCGGCGTACCAGGACGACACAGAGTCAAGCTCCGAAGAAGAGGAGGAGGAGTACGAGCCTCCAGCCAACTTCCTGCGGCCCACCATCCACATCATCCAAAACCAGTCCAACGTAACCGGTATGTTCCTCGTCAAACACCATCACTTCCCTACTAACATCAGCATTATCAGGTGCCTCACGTATCACGTCGGTGGTTTCTGCCGTTCTAGGTGCAGCCCTGTTCTTCCTCGTCTAGCAAATGCACTATTTCTCCTCGTGAGTCTCGTAGATCCAGTCAAGAGTATGGCGAATGCCCTCCTCAAGCAGCACGGCCGGCTCGTAGCCAAGAAGCGTCTTGGCCTTGGTGATGTCGTGGTAACGAGTAGCACAGGTCACTCTGGCTCTAAAGGCAGTAAGACCAGGCTCCTTCTTCAACAAGCCAGAGAAGAACTGCGACAAGTAGCCCGCCAAGATCGCCACAGGCCGGCTCAAGACAATGTTGTACTTGTCAATGTGGCCGTCAGCCTTCCACACGGTTCTGGCCAAGGTCCAGAAGTACACTGGAGTGTCGTTGGTGATAAAGAAGGTCTCTCCGCCAATAAGCTCACGAGCCTTGGGGTCGAGAGCCTTCTCGGCGGCAATGACATGGGCGTCAGCCACGTTTCCGGCGTATGACCAGTCAAAGAGGTTGTTGTTGTCGCCCAATTGGAACTTACTCTGACCTAAACGAGCAGCGGTTCTGAGACCAGGCACCAATTGACGGTCGCCAGGGCCAAAAATACCAGCAGGACGCAAACACACGGTCACGAGGTCGGCGTCGTTGGCCTTCATCACGGCGGTTTCAGCAATAGCCTTGGTTTCGTTGTACCCATCCATGTGAACCTCCGGGTATGGCCACAGCTCGTTGGCGTTGTACACGTCCTGGCCGTTGAAGATGACACCAGCGGAAGACGTGTAGATCAAAGCTTTGACAGGTGTCCTTTTGGCCACTTTCAAGAGAGCCTGAGTACCCACCACATTGACCTTCTGGTATATCTCCTGACCTAGACCGTGCATTGGGGATGCTGAGTGAACGATGACTTCACATCCACTGGAAGAAATGGCTTTTTCGATATCTTCTTCAGACGTCAAATCACCCTGGTGGAAGGTGATCTTGCTTTTGTCGAAAGTGAAGTACTTTGAAAGATTGTCTGGGATTGGACGAATGTCAAAGACGTGGATAGCTGTGTTAGGACAATGGTCGTAAAACTGCTGTACAAGATGCAAGCCGAGGAAGCCGGCACCGCCTACCAACAAAACAGAATTCAATTTTGACATTTTCGATGTGGTAGTATTGATGGTGTAGTTTGATTTGGTGATTTTCGCGTATACGAAAGACGCCTACAGGTGGTGCTACTACATCGTTACTATAGACAAGACTCGCATAGTGCGTTAGAACTTGAAGAGCCCGCTGTACTCCTCGGCTTGGCTTCTGTCCTCTTCAGTGACATTTCCTGATTCCACCTCGGGAAATTTGAATTCTGGAACGCCAGATGACTGGCCGCCGTTTTTGCTGAGATTAGAGCTGCCGAAACTGAAGGCTGGCTTGTCCGTGGATGAGCCAAAATTGAAGCTTGGCTTGTCGCTCGAGGTGGAAGAGCCGAAGTTGAAGGCCGGCTTGCTCTCGGTGCTAGATCCAAAGTTGAAAGCTGGCTTGTCTTTGGATTCGCTCGTAGAACCAAAACTGAACGCGGGCTTGTCTTTCTTCTCAGAAGAGGCCTTGTCATCAGTCTGGGCGGAACTTCCAAAGCTGAACGCAGGCTTGTCGTCAGCTTTGCTGCCGAAATTGAAAGTGGGTTTATCATCGCTTTTGGCAGAGCTGCCGAAGCTGAAAGCTGGTTTATCACTGGTGTTCAGTGAGCTGCCGAAGCTGAAAGCAGGCTTATCTTTGGTTTCGGACTTACCAAAACTGAAAGCAGGCTTATCGTCAGCTTTCTTAGTGCTACCAAAGCTGAAAGCAGGCTTGTCATCAGCTTTCTTAGAGCCACCAAAACTGAAAGCGGGCTTTTCGTCTAGCTTGGACGAGCTGCCGAAATTGAATGCCGGTTTGTCCTTCGATTCCGAGCTTCCAAAACTGAAGGCTGGCTTCTCCGACAGCTTGTCCGACTCTTGTGCTGGTTCCTTCTTCTCGGTGCTACCAAAGCTGAAAGATGGTGCTTTCTTCTTGTCTCCCCCGAAGTTGAAAGCAGGAGCAGCCTTCTTCTCGCTACCTGCGCCCCCGAAGCTAAAGCTTGGCTTCTCTTTCTTTTCATCCTTGTCCTCATTAGCTTCATCCTTCTTGTCCTCTTTGCTTCCGAAACTGAAGGCAGGAGCATCCTTCTTCTCGGAGGAACCGAAATTGAACGCTGCTGGTTTACTCAGGGAACCGAACAACAGTTTGGCGTCAGAAGACCCGCTGCTGAACAATGGCTTTGAGCTCGAAGCTTCAGAGTTACCGAAGGTTGTCGAGGGTTTTCCCAGATCACTGTCTGCCGTCTTGCTTCCGAATGAAAAGGCTGGTTTCGAGGGAGCCTTGTCTTTATCCTCCTCCTTGGAGTCATTTTTACTCAAAAACGAGAAAACAGGCATGTCGCTCTTGTCATCCTTCTTTCCAAAAAGGGAGCTTGCCTCGCCAGTCTTGGAATTGTTAGTGCCGAAGGCTGTGATAGAATTGGATGATCCACCGAACGAAAACGCTGGCTTGTCTGTCTTGCTAGACTCAACGTCCTCTGCAGCTTCCTTTTCTTTAGCTTCTTCTTCCACGGCTTTGGCGCCGAAGTTAAATACAGGCTTTGAAGCAGCTTTCTCGGTTTTGCTGGAGGGAGCACTTGCTCCAATTCCGAAACCCTTTGACTCATTCCCTTCGTCGGCCTTCTTCTCAGTGCTGAAAAGAGACCCATCTTTTTTAGCTTCGTCAGACTTGGTGCCAAAAGAAAAAGCTGGCTTGACTTCCTTGAAAAGAGAGGAACTAGGCTTCTCCTCTGTAGAAGACTTGCCAAAGAGTCCATCCTCTTTCTTTTGTGTAGCAAATGACGGTGTCTGATTTTCTAGAGGCTTTTGGGTCTCTGCTTTGGACTCTCCGTTTGGTTCAGGCGTAGTTTCTGGGAAAGCGAATGTCAGACCTTTGCTCTCTGTTTCACGAGGCTTGAAGGCTGAGGAAGCGCCAAATAGAGAGGTTTGACCTTTTTTATCTGAGCCAGACGTACTGTCGGCTTTATTGGTAAAGGAGAATGCAGGCTTTTGGGAGTCAAAGAGGAAGCCATTAGCGTCGGGCTTGGCCTTCTCTTTGGAGGTTTCATCATCCTTACTTTCTGAGTCTTTAAGGTTGAATGAAAATGCAGGTGTCTTTTCAGCGGGTTTCGTTTCTGAAGGTTTGAAGGTAAACAAGGGATTGGTTGACTTACCGTTGGAGGCAGGCTCGGTAGTTTCTGGGGCCTTTTCAGTTTTCTCTGATGAGAATAACGATTCATTTGCCTTTTCTGGGGATTCAGCCAAGTCTTTGGCTTTGTTGAATGCGACTGTCTTGCTGATGTCATCCGCCGTACTGTAAGGTTTCGTAGTGCTGGTTTTGGCTGTTCTTCTTCTGTTCTTGGCATATGGGTTGTGAAGAGGTTTGTCGTTTGTGCTAACAGCAACATCATTTCCTCCTTTCTTTTGATTGTCCAAGACAGATAAAAGCGAGCTAGCTGTGCTGCTGATGCGCTTCGGCGTTTCGGCCTCTGGGATAGCGCCAGCAGAGGGCGTGATGTCGGCTTCAGTTGCGACTCTTCTCGCTTTCCGCTGACCAGGCGCCCGTATTCTCGTCTTGTACGGCGAGGGCAAGCCAGAAAATTGGTACACACGCTTCACTGGGGCGACTCTAGAGTTGTCACCAAAATTCTGGTACAGAGGTCTATAGTCAGGAGCGGCAAAAGTGGCATTTGCTCCGTCATACATGCTTGTGTTCTTCAACACTCGCTGATTGGAAAAGGTAGTGTTGTTATGCTGGGAGAAGGAAGGCTCTCTAGTTGGTGATTTGAGCACTGTGTGCTGCTCGTCGTTCAATGGCAATGTAGTGTTGGCTCTGGATTTTTCTAAAAGAGACATGACACCCTCATACTCAATCTGAGACAATGGCCTGTCGCCTTTTTCTTTAAAGAAGGAGGACAATACATCGTTGGCAGTCTGATCTGGATTCTGGTCCATGGACTGATTCGTTGTGGAAGCAGCGGCAAAGGATTCACTCAAAAGACGTGATGAATGAGCATTGGGCTGTGACACCGAGGGCTTTCTTGATGCCGTTCTGGAGGAAACCCTAGACGAAGAAGCAGAAGGGTTTCTCAGAGTCTCCTGCCATAGGGAGGAGCCCGAAATGTAACGTTTCATTTTCAGGAGCAAGCCTGCCTTGGAAGGATAAGGTAAGACCTTCTCGCGGCCACGATCCTGGTACGCTTTTAGAACCCTGCGGTTATCCATGTTTTAGGCAGCGATGTGTTTGGATTGAATTTAATTTTTTGAGATTTGAGTTTGGTCACGTGCCTCGGTTGGGAACAATTCATCAATTGCTGGTGGTATTGGAGATTGGAGGGTTGAAAAGGTATCTTGAATTAGATCTCTGCTGTCTGTTTTCGATGTTACTGCTTTTTTGGAATATTTTGAAATTGGTGAGTTTGTGATGTATTGACAGTTTTCGCAGTCAAAATGTGAATTGCGATGTTGCATCATACCCTCGCAAGATATGAGATTACAGGGATACTTGAAGGTAGCTACAATAAAACAGAAAAAGATTGAAACTTTCAAAAGCTCCAAATACTTGGTTTACTCAGTGAACTAGGGCATGCAATGAAATATGGGTACCTCTGCGAATCTCCGCAATCATAATATACGGCTGCAAAAGTGATGATTCAGGATCTAAAACGTAATGAATGCTGAACAGAATTCGAGCCAAGCCAAGGTATAAAGGTATTCAATGAAAGGGAAATCGAAACACCCAAGCTTTTCAAACAATTTCACTATTGTAGCATTTATCAGTATATGTGATGAATCAAGAGAAATTCGACCCGTATGGAATTTCAGCAAGGTAAATATAGCTCATGTAACTGAGAAGAAACGGTTCTCATGATAACTATCTTTAATGGCCCGCATTGCGAGATACACCCTGGTAACTTACATAAAGTAGTTGAATATACCCCAAATTCGACTGCTCTCAATCCATGCGAGTTCTACTCTTCAATTCTTAACCATTTATGTCAATTAATCCCCTGAGTCAAAGAATCCCAATTATCGAAGTAAATCCATTGTCTAGCGTAATCTTCAACTACGCAAGGTACTGCAGTGTACCGCGTTTTGCAACCATTTCGATACACCCATCCAACTGAGCCAAAGCATTTGAAAATCCCACAATTTTAAAAGTTAAACCATTTCCAAAGACAGTTTCTCTTCACATCCCCTTTTTCAATCAGAAAAATCCACTTGGTCCCATAATTCGCCCCATGGATGCGTCCCTTTGATACCACCGCGAGCCAAAACAGTGCTCCTGCATCACCTACCTACACCTTCTACTTCTTCTTTAACTCCACCATTTCATTCTAAATCCAGCCATGGACTCGGTCGCCGACTCAGACGCCGAGAATTCGCTTCCCATGTTGCTGGCAACAGCCATAGATACAGGCCTGCTACGGCGGGTCTTTGGCTTTTTGTCAGAGGAAACAAAGCACAGATTGAGAAGTGAAGCTGATGGCACTCCTTTTGAAGGTGTCTACGACACGTACGATATCCCGCTGCTGCCCGAAAGAATTGTCATACAAAGCTCCTCGCCTATGAAGGAGCAGCTGTTGATGGAAATCAACCCATTGGAACCAGTCCAGGAGGTGAATGAACCAGAGACTCCAGTGAGAGCTGGAAGGTCCCTACGAAAACGAACTTTTGCCAGTCGCCACCCGTACATTGCCGACCAGGCAGACTACTTGGGCATTTGCACCGTCGACAGCATCAACGAAATGTTCTCAGATAACGACGATTTGACGGTGGTGGCTCGAGCACTCAACCAGTTGTATCTCAAACGCAAGAAGCGGTATCCTGATGAGGAAAGGTACAAGGCCCGCAACTTTTACGCACATTTGGGCAAGTCCAAGGCTATGGCGTTGGCAGGCGATCCCGATGCCGAGACGATGGATCTCCAAGACGACCCTCTGTCTCTGCAGCTCAACTACGAACCAGATAATGCATCCGACGAAGAAGACCAGGAGATGATTCCTTACGAAGGCGTCGAGCATAGGCCTCCGCCGAAAGTTTATGATCTGGCTAGCGACAGCGAAAACGACATCGGTGGGTCCTTTAAACGAAGCCTAGACGAGCCAAGGGAGAGGGTCTACAAACTGAAGAAGAAGATGCGCCGCCAAGAGCAGCCCAGAAAGGGTCTAGCAGTGAGGAAAATGGGATCATCAGGGGTCAATCGCTCGCTCGAGCTGGAGCTCGGTCAGTTCGTCGACTCTCGTGAGACTTATGAAGAGTACACCCCGAACTACCAGTCCTTCTTCCAGCCTCAGATTACGTCGTTCACGCTGGACCTTTCTGAGCTAGTACGTTCGGAGAGCTCATCTGACTACGACAGTGACTCCGAGAACGAGCTTTTCTCTGACAACGCAGACACCACCAAGAGTTCAGATTTGATCGAACCTCCACAAACTTATCTCGATGACTTCGACCTTGGTGGCGGTGCCCAGGAGGCAGACCACATAAATCACCTTTTTGCATCGGGGAGAAAGAGCAAATCCCGCAAACACAAAACTCAATCGCGTCATTCAGTTCTGACCCTAAGGTTAAGGCATCATCAAGCACGACTCCGCATCAGCCTTCCTACTCTAGAGGCCCACGCTCCAAGCCAAGCACACATCGAAGTTCAACCAGCAGTTATGGGAGGCTCAACACACGCAAGTTCAGCAAACCCCCACAGCAAAGAAAGCCACTCCAACAGAGCAATAGGGCAAACTCACCCAGACCAACAAAACTGTACCATAGACCTGAGCTGATGAACAGAGCAAAGCAAAAGCAGAGCGTGTTGAGTGTCGATGTCGACTCGGATTCAGATAAAGAGAACCCTAAGAAGACTTCCAAACCGATTGCACGTTCGAAGAGTCGTCCTCTCAGAACTAAACACTTCCTTGCCACAACGGCATTTGAGGTCGAGAGTTTGACTAAATTCGTCAAACAGCATACTAGCGGTTTTGCCGTTCCATCAGCATATTTCAATCCTTCGAAATCCTCACTATTTTCAGATAATTTATTTGCATCCACGGATTCCATTTTAGCATACAATGATTTGCAGCGCATTCATACCATCGGAGATGGTTTCATATTCTTCCCACATAACGACACAGTGTCGTTCACTTTACTTGGCAAACACTATGTGTTTGGTCTATTCCAGCAAGAGTCCAGTTCTCATAACATCACCCGGCTCTTGACGCATTTGCGAAAGCTCGTGAGCTCAGTAAAAGCTCAACTAAATCCCTCCATTCGAACAGAGGTAAAGGATGCTACTCGGGCTTTGATTAAATGGCTTCTCATATTTCGACTTCCAATTCCAAGAGCCGCTTGGGGATTGATCGACGAATTACTCAACGACTTCACAAAACTTCAGACCAAAGAGATACGAAAGCACCAGACCTTCTTCTACGCTCATGTCCTTCTTGTTTACTATATCGCGTATCAATTAGAGAGAACTAATGGTGAAGGGGACTATCGGTCGCTTTTCTCAGAATTCGAAAAATATTGCATCGACTTCTGGTCTATCATATTCAAAACTTACGACTCCACTGATATTTCCTTGACCTTTAAAAGCGAGACGCCAACGGAATTATCTGAGTCACTTTGCATGATGTATTTTCTTTTTGGGAACAAGAAAGACATTTGGTGGCCAACAGTTTCTGAGGCCTTACAAGACTTAGATCCGCTTATGGACTCAAGTTTTGAGTCCATGAACATCGTTTACGCCTTGGCCTCAATGTGTCCCTCTAACAAGTTCAATTGGACTCCGTTCATCACTATCCTTAATAACTTCCAAGGCTCTTCTCATGCTGAAGATCATCATGACTTCATCGACATATGTGAGCTTATCCATAACAATCTCGAATGGCCATTGGAAGAAAAGTTGATTCTTACTTTGTACCTGTCATTTGCAAAAAGGAAGTTCACTAACTTCGAGAACGAGACATCAGTTCCCACCTCTATTGGCGTGATTTTGTCAAAACATGATATTCCACAGGATACGGTGTTTGAAAGGTTTTTGGGCTTCGTGTACACCTACATCTCTGACCTTTGTGAGAGGAAAGAGGTGAAACGGCTTATAACGAAGCTTGTAGCTTCGAGTCAGTACCACTACCAAAAGGGCCGCAAGTATCAGATTATGTTCATCAACAGACTTAACTTGATCTTGCTCCTATTTCAAATCTCAGATGTCGACCTTCGCAGTCCATTTTCCAGTCTCATTGATCAAATCATTGAATTCAAAGATATGTTCATCTACTCAAGAGCCGTTGATGCTTTTGATACTTTTGCTCAAGTATCAGAAAGGAAGAAAGTTGGCCTTCCGGTCACTGCTTTCCAGGCAATGTTGAACTCTTTCAGCGCCTCATATGATAGACTTCAGGGTATGCCGTCACTTCTCACCAGGCTCATTGACTGTGGCCTTAGGGTGATCGATATATCCAAAACACCACAGTCTTTGGCATTCTTGAGAGCCATCGAGATCAGTGTCATCCCCGACAGGTTACGAGGTCGAGTATTGGATCAAATGCTCTCATTCGCCGAGCTTTTGCGAGTCCACAAGGAGCAGGCTTCGGCTTCATCAGATCTGATTGACTCGCTCATCAGAACAGTTACTTCATTCTTGAGTGCTCAAATGAATCGCTTACCAGTAGCGGATTTGAGGCAGGATGAGATATTGGAGAATGTCATTGAGAAATCTATCCAGATTTGGATTCAGTTTGCTCATGCCAACAGTTCACAAAACTGGAATTTCATGATGCTTCAAAAGTTCTCATATCTCGGCAACAAGCTGCTGCGTGACAGGTTTGCGTTATACTTTTGCTGGGTTTATTTGAACCAGGGCGAGGTCAGTCATTCTGCAATATTTGAGATGGATAAGCTTTTCATCAAGGCGATGATATCGAGCAGATTGTCAAAATACAGCTCCTTGGTTTTCAGATCTTTGAGCAGAACAAGAGGATCTTTAACGGCATGCCGAAAGCTCGCCGCCCAACCTATGGTACTGGTACACGGACAGAAATATCAGATTCTTTCGAGTTTCATCAACCGTATCGCCAATTCCAATTCATTAGTGGTAGCAGAGAAGGCCTTGTTGATAACAGAGATGGTCAAAGAGATAGAGTGTGAGTTCAATGCTCACTATGACAATTTGCAAATCATAGAGTTCCTTCGCCGCATCATCAGTTTAGTCAGTGGAAATTGTCTCACTCTTGTTGAAGACATTGAAGAGTTCTGGAGCGTTTCAGAGAAGCTAGGTTTCCCCAGCAAGAGATTGCAATCGACATGGGCACAGGCAAGTAATGACGAGCGCATTCTGTTACTCAATGTTGAGTTCACCAATGCACTTAAGTTTGAGAAAGACTATGCTGAGGCTCTCGGCAAGTGGATAAGCCCAACTAACTCTCAACTTCTTTTCTCGGTTTTCGAGATTTATGTTGAGGCTGCTTCAAAGCATGATATGTACTGGGCTCATGTCTCTTTTCTCGTCAAATTCATTCATTTCCGACTTCACAATTGCATGCTTGACGTCGTGGATAGGCTGTTCAAGAAGTTACTACAAGTTGTTGCAAACGTTCCAAGCGTCGCCGCAATCGAGATAGACAGTAACTACGTCATGTATCAAATTGAGGCCGTCTCCATTTGCGCCGAAATCATGTTCGCCGGAGTGTACATCTATGACGGTTATGACGAACTTAATGAACATCTCGATAGTATCCGAAAATTCGAGGAACGCTTGCATGAACACGAGACCTTCAGCAAACTATTCACTGACATCAGCCTCAACCAGTTGAAGACTGGAGACACAGGTCCGTACTTACCACCGTACGAACACACACAAGCAGATTACGAAAGCGCATTAGAACCTTTGAATAATACTTTGAAAAAGCTCGAAGAGGTCTACGAAAGAAAGACGCCAGGTCTGGAGGTGACGGTCGTACCGGAGCCATTTGACATCACATTTTAGCATTACTAGCATTACATAGAATACAGGGGGTGCCAAGCACCCATAATAGGATCACTGAAGGCCTTGCTGACTCTTGATGAGCTCAATCTCAGCCTCCATCTTATCTTTACCCTTCTTGACCTCAAGCAAAGCCACACTGGCTCTAATGAGTTCGTCGTACTTGGCCATGGTCTTTCTCGTTGGCATGACAGGTTTCCAAGTGGTGCCACCAACAGTAGGAATATCAAGCTCCTGGAGTAACAGGTTGATGGACTTGAACACACTCTGTCTTTGCTGCAAACCAGGCAACCTGTGACTAGAGCGTAACATTACACCAGGAGTGAGACGTTCGTTAGCGTGGTAGTGCAATCCATAAGCTTCCTCCTCTTTGGGCGTAAGTCTTTTCGCAAGAAGCAGTTGAATGGCATTGGGCTCACCCTTAACGTGCTGTCCTGAGCTCTGTTGCTGTTTGAGCACTCCGGACAAGTACTGTTGTAGATGGGTTTGGAAGGCCTTATCTTTCTTGAAAGACGAGGATGCAGCCATGGGGATTGCAGGAGGAACAGGATCATTTGTGGAAGCCGCACGCTGTTGCAACTGTTTCTTCTTTTGGTGCTTGTCCATGATCATCAAGTTATTGTACAAGTTTGTGAGGCCCTGAGAGGACTGGTATTGCAGCACCAGCTGAGATGCTTGGGGCAGATCGAGCAATGTGAGCAAGTTTGAACGTTCCATAAGCATCTTTTTGGCTGCAAGCTCGAAACGACGAGCTTCAATGACCAACGACTCTTCCTCTGCAATCTCAGCTGGGGTTCTCTTGAGGAGGTTCTCAAGGTACTGTTTTCTATCGAGCTCTGCCAGCTTCGAAAAAGCATCCAACGACTCCAAAAGATGCGGATTTCCAGTTCCGCTGTCTTTGAGCGTTAGCGAGCTGATTCTGTAGAACTGTTCCTTCAAATCCTCCAACTTTCTGTCTCTGGCGGGGAAACGGTCGTAAACCACGGGCCACTTGAGTTCGAAAGTCTTGCAGAGCTCAAATAAAAGCTTCGTTTCCTCGTATGTCCACTCTCTTTCCGGCTCTTCTTGGGTCTCCACGGAAACCTCCTTGGACTCTTCCTTGGACTCTTCCTTGGACTCCTCCTTGTCCTTCTTGTCTTTGGATGCTGGCCCATTCAGATCGCTCTTTTCACTTTTATCCTCGTCCTCCTTCTTGATATTAGCTTCCTCCTTCGCCTTCTTTGCCTCCTCGGCTTTCTTGACCTCCTCTTTATGCTTTGCTTCTCTTTCCTCTCTCTCCTTCTTCTTCTGCTCGTTCTTGGCCTTCACCTCTTCCATGAACTTGTTGTACTTCTCCTCGTCCACAAGCTCGGGGATATCTATGCTGACAATAAACTTGTCAAAGAAGTATGGCTTGTTCTCACGTCCTTGTTCAAGAAGCTCTTTGCTACCTTTCTCCCAATGGTACAAGGTAGGGCCCCCTTCGCCTGCTTATTTGGGACAAAAGGCATCTTGGTCCATGGAGAAACCTTCATAAGCTTCCTGTCTTTAATCTTAGATCCAGGACCCATGGCCATATTCACTGGAGGTGTGTTTGGACCTAAAAGGTTATATAGCTCTCTGGCCATACCACCTTTTTGAGGTTGTGGCTGGGACTCAGTCTTTTGTTTCTTTTTAGGCTGAGTCGCCTCATCACGCTGAATGTTAAGCACATCCAAGATATCGTTGGCAGACATGATGAAAGGTGGTTGGTAGTTGATCTGAAAAGTGTTGATACTTGAGTTACCACCCTACTTGTGTACAGGACGTTTACTATGCATAGTGGAGCTTGTCGTTAATAAATATCTAGATATCGCCGGTACTGGACTCCACCCAGTCTGTCGTACCCATCTGTGTGAGTCTACTGAGTGCACGCGCAAATGCAAATTTCTCCTCGTCGTTGACGAACATGGATGCCTTCTTCGCTATCAGCTTGTCGAAGCCATGGCGCACCACCAACTCATCATCTTCGAAGGTCTCTTCGGCGCCTTTATTCTTTTGGCGCTGGTAAAGCTCAAAGTTATCTTTCTGGAGGTCTTCCGGCTCCACAAACAAATCCTTGAATGGCGCAGCAGCAGTGGTTGCCAAACAGTCATGCGCATCATACACGGCATCAAGGAACGTGATGAACCGACGCACCTCGTTTCTTGCCTCTATACTCAAGTAAGGAATGTCAGTGACAATAAATGCTTTGTACGTGTTGGCCAATGTCAAGTAGTCGCCTGCACTAAGGTTGTGGCCGCAGAGCTCTTCAAATGTGAACTGTGCAACATATGGATGCGAACTCTTTGGAACTATTAGCTTTCTGCCCCACACTGTAAGCTCCTCATTGATCTTGGCTTCTTCCATTTGATCGTCTCTATTGAAGTAATCGTACCATTGCAGGATATGCTTCCGGCATGCAGCCGCATTCACCTTACTGTGATACTTGACGCCTGGCTTAGGATAGTGGTAGACGGAGGAGACGGGGCGAGGCACTTTTCTATAATCGGTAGGCGAGTTTAAATAAATCACACGTGTTTGCTTCTTGATAAGCTGGATACACGGGACAAACGAGACTCTTTGGATACCGTTCAAGTACAAGTCATCAGGCGCTCTGTTGGACGTGGCAAACAAAATGACGCCATATTCGGGACTCATCAACAAGGTCATGAGCCTTCTGAGCAACATCGCGTCTGCAACGTCGGTAACCTGAAACTCGTCAAAACATAAGACTGTGGCTTGTTGGGAAATCTCGGCCGCCAACAAAGGAATGACATCTAGATCCATGTGTTTGTGTTCTATTTTGAGTTGGTGGGAGCGTTTGTGTAGATTTTGCATGAACTGGTGGAAGTGGAACCGTTTTTTCGCAAGGTGGTGGGGCACTGACAGGTAAAAAAGGTCCATGAGCATGGTTTTACCACATCCCACATCTCCCCACAAGTAAATTCCTTTAATATCGTTTTCAGGGATGTCTATAGTGCTTATTTCTTTCTTCTTGGAACCGAGGAACGAATCAAATATTTTGGCGATTCCTATTTTAGGTTTGAGACTCTCCACATCTGGATTCTCAATCTGGGGAGGTTCATAGCTTTCAAGCTTTTCATGCAATATCGACAAGCTCAGGATAATTTTTCTCTGGTATGGATCGTCTCGAAGCCTGTTTTGCTTCACTCGTAGGTCATACAACTCTATCGGCAGAGATCCTGAGTCGGAGGAAGTCGCTAAGAATCTGGGATTTCGAAAAGCACGTGCAACATGCTTGAGTAGCTGTGCTTGACAACGAGTCGTTTGTAATAGCATGGGAAGGCGGGAAAAAACGGGTAACTTAGTTTCTGGAGATACCAAGCGAGACTATGTAACCACGCTTGTCTGCAGTACCGAAGCACGCTGAGGTGTGGAGCAAGATGGTTGGCAGAGAAAAAAGGGCTCAGTCCTGTGACACATAAATGAGCCAGCAGGTGAGACGGCTCATGTACAGGACGTACACTTAGCTTTTTGCAACCATTGATTAACATATACAAAGAAGGAACGGAAATCAACGTGCACACTTTACTTTGTATCTGTCATCTCAAAAAGCAAGTCGTCATTGTCGAAGCCCATTTCTTCGTGCGTGCGGGAGCCCGTAGGGTCGGATTCCACTCTCCTCATGAAGTAGTCGCTTGCGTCTTCTTCCTCGTCATCAAAGACGTCTTCGTACTTGATTGGCCGTTTGGCACTATCATACACAGATGGAGTTGTAGATAAGCCTGTAACCTCTGGGCCCTCGGGTCTGTGCACAGCATGCGCCAATGTGCTGGTTGCGGTAGGCGAGGAGGCCAACCTTGTTCTGCCATAGTTTTGTGGAATTTGGGCACTGATTTGCAGCGCCTGTCTGCTTCTTGGCCTCAAATGGGAAATGCTGTGCTCCAGACTATGCAGCTCGAGCTTCGATGTGATCGACGGTAAGTGGTTGTCGTATGAGCTCGGAGATATGGAGGGGGAAGGCAGAGCTCTTGAATGTGAAGACTTGCGGCTGCTAGGACGGCTAATACCTCGCGAGGTGCTGTGATACGAACCACCTTGGTTATGCTGGAAAATGACGCTAGCATTTACCGAGTCGCTCAATTGCTGGTGCTGACCCTTCAACAGCTGGAACTTGCTCAAGGCGTCAATCAGCGAGTTGCTGTCGGTATGTCTGGAGTTTGTCTTCGACACAGTGCTGCTCAACCTGAGATCAGACTTACAGTCGATCATGCGAACGAAGGTGCTGATGTCGTCATCAAGGTAGAGACCACTGAGGGGTGCACCCGATGAGGTAGTCAGCTCCACACTAGCACCGTAGAGCGAAGCACCCGGCTCGTTGGCAACAGAGCTGCGGGCACTCGTGTTGCTGAATCTTCTGCTTTGGCGAGAGCCAAAAGATGACGAAAACCTGGGTGTTCCTGACAACTCGCTGAGGTCATCGTGTAGATGAGATCCATGCGACGACGAGATCGACCTAGGGAACACCGCACCAGGGTTATTACCATGAGAACCGGAAATAGCGACGGTTGGTGTGTTCGAAGATGAAGTGGAGCCTCTTGGGTTTCTCAACAATGCTGCGAGCGAGGCATTCGAACCGGACTTATTGCTGGTGATAGAGATCCTCCTCTCCATCGTTGAGCCAGCGACGCTTCCGGCAGCGCCAGATGCAAAAGAGATGTTACCGCTAGGAGGCGAGTTGCTGATAGAGCCAACCTTGAAAGGCTGGATGCTTGGTCTTTGCACGCTTGCAGCAGGCTGAGCGTACAGCACCTGCTTGACACGATTGGTGGAGGTTTTCGATGTGGGCGACGTATCGGTGTGATGTTCCGGCTGGTGCTCGGAAGTGCATGGCAGAATGGACTGCTTCGTGGTGTTTAATGCAAAGTTGGTGGGCTCCTTGGGCGCCTTGGCTTCCTCCTGGGAAACCAGCGCCGAGCGGGAGTCCGATGCAGAGTTAGATGGGGTGTCCGAGATGTGGGAGCGGTCAAGCAGTGCTGCCAACTTCTCCTGGTCAGTGTTCCAGAAGTGGTTGGAGAGCATCTCCTCGTTATCCTGGACAGTGAACCGATAGTGGTTTCTGTATGCCACCGACACCCTGAGGGAGCCTGCGGTGGTCTTGACGGGTTCGAACGACTTCTGCGTCATGTGTGATTCTGTAAGAAGCATCTGGTGGGGAATGATGGACTTGGACAAGCCTATGCGGCCCTTGGAGCTGATGGGCTGCTTCCCATCGATGATCTTGTTCATGAGCGCAAGACCCTTGCCAGACTGCTGGCAGAGTATCATGCGGAGCTTATAGGCGGGAAGAAGGCGGGCGTAGCCGTAGATCACACGAAGCAAGACAATTGCCTGCTTGTAGATAAGTGGGAGCTCGTCTGAGTCAGCATCGGAGCACACCGAGCGGTCAAACTCAATGAGCCAGCGCTCCACGACAACCTCCTGTTTCTTGAGACCGCCCTTGGCCACGGTCCACGAATTGCCCGTGTCGTCTTCCAACGCCACAGTTTCTCTTGGATCTAGCTGGCGCAAGTCCAAGTAGGTTTCTATAATCATCGGGTGGAGCTGGAGAGATCGGAAAAGGACTTCCAGAGTTTCATCTCGTCCTTGATCCAATCGTCGCCCGGCGACGCGATATTCAAATTGAACCACTTGTTGGTCTTGGACCTGCTGTCTGTGGTGTCGGAGGATCCATAGTCAAACACCGTCGGATCCGCAACCGATCGCGTTTGCAAGATGATCTGGGAGGTTTTGGTGAAGAAGTTCTGGATCACCTGGAGGAGCTTCGTGTTTTGCTGTTTCGGCGGCGCCTTGGTGGCTGCTACGGCCTTATCTGTCATGTCAGCTTATCGGGAGGGCTGGGTGTGCCACACTTGGAGGAACGTATAAATAATGGTATATGTTAGCGATATGGTGGATGAGTCACTGTGCTGGCGCCTCGGTGGCGAGTTTTTCTAGTTCAGGGAGTGGTAGCAGATGGGAGGTGTGGTAAGAGGCACGGGCCAGCAAGAGATGGTGTGGAGGAGGGGGAGGAGGAGGGGGCAGGAGGCAAGAAACAAACAGAATGCAACCTGATGAATGCGGTGTCCGGGTGTATCACGTGGTCCTCGGGGGCAATTATGCTGCTTCAATCGTGAGTCTTGATTGGATGGGTGTGTGGTTCCTCGTTTCCAAAAAATGCTGTGACACTGGGTGCTGCGTATCCTGGTATGGTGTTGCAGGACCTCGTAGTCCGGGGCTGTTTTGGTGCGGGACTGCACACAGGCCCAAGGGCCCTCAAAAGCAGCCTTGAAAAGATGTGTCACCATTTGCCTCCCGAGTCACTGCCTGTTTTTGCGCATTCTGCGACGTCACTCCCGACTGTTTTCGCAGCCACCGGGATCACATGTAGATAAGGGATCAGGACTTCCGGAACCAGTAGATTTTTTGTGACCCGTGCAGCGGCAGAAATCGACATTTTGGTGACATTTTGATGCAAATCGTCACGCTAAAAATTGGTAGTATGCGGGATCTGCTGAGCTGGATCTGATAAGCACAGGGTCCTGGATCTGGAAGTCACGCTGCCTACAGAGAGCAGTGACCGAGAATGTCAAGCCCGGATTGCCGACCATTTTTGGTAGTCACGTCAAGCCCCGGTTGGTCAGCCGTCACGCTGATGACGATGAACAGAGTCAAGCAAGTCGGAGTCAGACCTGGTGCGTACGAGGTAATAGGGGCCCTGACTTTTAAAACCACGAAGCCAATGTCAAACCAGTAGACATAGACAATTAGGCTTTAGCTTTTGAACATCTTCTCTGGCTGCAAATCACACCTAGCAGAGCGCCTGCCTGGCTCTCTCGTTATTCACACAAAGCAACAAAGCACGCTGTATCTCTCTTCTAGAACCCTTCTCCACGTAAGCCTCCGCCAAGTCAAACGCTGGTCTCTTGGATGTAGGCAAAAGCGCCGTGTCCAAGGCCATGGTCCGACTCAAGTTCTTCCACACGTTGAAGTCGCTGGGGAAAAGCATAGCGAACTTCTGCCACACACCTCTCTTTCTAACCTGCGTCTGCTCCACTTCCGCCAAAAGCTGCGGCACCATGCGGAACGAGTCAGCAATGAGCTCCTCAAGCGACAAGTTCGAGAGCTCCTCCTTGATAGGCTCGTAGTAGTCTTCGAGCTGGTCCACCACGGAAATAGCGCCCAAGGTGAGCACAACTAGAAGAGACGAGCCGTTTTCCTCGATGAAAGCGAAAAGCTGGTCCAAAGCGTCCTGCTTGGTCTCGGAGGTGCCGTATGCGTTGAGCACCTGTGCAATCAAAGTCACCATTCTCTGTGACTGGCCGTGTGTCTCAAGCACAATCTTGAGCTCCTCCATGGCCTCGTCAAACTGCCCATTGAAAAAGAACGACAATCCAATGACAATACGTGACGACAATTTCGCCTCTCTCACATCCTGCGTCTCTTCCTCCTCTTCCAAAACATCCAACGTCACCTGGGCATGGTCAATGGCGTCACCATAACTGGCCAATCCCAAATAAATTCTCGCCAACTGCGTCTTGGCCTTTGCGTACTCAACAAGAACAACCTCGCTCTCGGAGCTCTCGTACTTCTTCTCCAAGAGGTCACAGAGCCTCTTTCCGGACTCAATCGCCAAATTGTACGTGTGACAACGCTCACTCAAGAGGAGTGCCATTTTCAATCCAACCTCGTCGTTAGGATGGAACTTGAGGAAGGCCTGAATGGCAAAGTTGGCAATACTGAACTCCTGCGCAGCCTCGACATCCCTGGAGTCTTTGGCATTACCGATTCTAGCGTTCACAATCGACATGGCATAGCAGAGCTGAGCCAACGGCAATCTGCCATTGGAAATGATGTAAGCGTGAGTGAAAAGTCTCGACGCTGTCTGCTTATCGTCAAGAGCGTCAGCAGTCAAAGCGTTACCCAACCAGGACTTTGACTGATCAGGTGCAACCGATGTAGCTCTGTCGAATGCCTCTTGTGCGAGCTCAGAGTCACCATAACGCAAGTACAAAGCTGCCAAGTTGGTCCAAACTTGTGGGTCCTTGTTGTCAAGAACAGATGCTTTAATGTAGCAGTGTTGAGCAATCTCTGGGTTTCTGGAAACGAACGTGTTGCCAAGCGCCAACCAGAATTGAGCATTGCTGCCTTCAATCTTGATGGCGTCCTTGATGGACTGGATAGCCTTGTCAAGGATCTTTTCGTTACGCTCTTCAGCACAGTTGAATGCCTCAAGGTAAGCCACACCCAAGTTGAAAAGTGCAATCGACTTTTGGTACTTGTTGGCTTTGCTTGGAAGCACAGCTATGGCACTTTGAGCAACGAGAATACCAAGCAAACCAATGGCCTCCACAAACATTTCCTCTTCAAAAAGCTTCTGAGCTGCATCAACGGAAACAAGATCATCAGATGGCAACTGGACATGTTTCAATATGTCCACCACCTTTTGAATTGGGAATTCCTGGATGTCGGATTGAACATCGATTCTGATTTTGAGCGTGTTGTTGAGTGCTCTCCACAAATTCTGGGAAGTTTTGTTCACCGAAACAGCCCTGTGAATAGCATCCAAAGCACCATCAGAGACCTTCAAAGTTCTACCAGTGAAGCCTCCTAGCAAGAGTTGGGCACTGTAACCAATAGACTGTTCATAGATGGCATTGAGCAAGCACTCCTCTTCTGGTCTTGCCTCGAGGGCCTCATTCAAAATTTCAAGACCAGCACTGTAATCACCAATCTCACATGTTGCAACACCTAGCATGTACTTGAGCATCCAGGACTCAGGGTCCATTTTGCTGGTACGCTTGAACACCTTGATAGCAGCATCGATACGACCACAGTTGTAGTAGGCCTCACCAAGTCCAATCCAGCATTGTACATCCATTGCCTTCATACGAAGAGCAGTCTGGAACCACTCAATGGCTTTGGCGTCGTCTTGCCTGTTCAACGCAGAGCTTCCAAGAACTCTGTATGGCCAGGATTTATCAGGATCTTCGTAAAGTGCACTGGACAACATACGACGGCTCTTTTCCGACGTCACAACACGAGTACACAAGATGTCACTGACCTCCCACTCGTTCTTTTCGGCAAGCTCCGTCACGAGGTACTTTGCTGATGTGATTTCACCAACATCAAGCTCAAATGCACGGTAGAAGCATTTTTGGGCACGAGCTTTCTGGTTGTAGTGATCGTGGTATAAAACACCAAGCAATGTGTATGATGGTGCGTATGTTTTTGAATCTTTCAATGAGCTAATCAAAAGATCAAATGCTGCTTGTACGTTCGATTCACTAGAGGAGTCCTCCCAAAGGTGGCTCTTAGCAAGACGCCATTTGATAGCAGCCTTTGTCTCCAGCCCGTGTACAGAGACATCTTTTGAACTTCTAAGTGCATGCTGAAGAAGCTCTCTACCCTTCTCGTACTGCTTTTGCAACACAAGACACCAACCCAACTCCTTGAGTGCAGTTGCATCCTCAGGAAACTTTTCAAGAACCTTGGAGAGGGCTTCGTTGGCGCCATCAAGCTCCATCTTCTCCAACAATATAAGTCCTTTACCGATCATGGCCTGTGTGTTTTCGGCATCACCAATGAGGATCTTATCGTAGAGCTCCAAGGCCCTAGCAAAGTTCTTGGGTGCTTCATGGTATGTGTAGATTGTGGCAAGCAGACACAAAATGTCTCTTTTGCAGTTTACTAGTTCGATACCGTAGGTTCTTTGAAGTTCAGCAAGATGACGGATTGCAGTAGTGCATCGTTGAGAGCCAGAGTCATATTCCTGAAGATTGACAAAGTAGCTGCAGATAATACGGTGGGCCATCATGGAGTTCGTGGCCTTGGAATAACCCTCAAGCATCATCAGAAGGATCTCGGCAGGAGAAATGTCATTTCCGTTATCGTCTTCAACATCGTCATTATTCTCAGTGTTCTCACTATTTTCATCAGAGGCGTCCTTAGAAACATCCTTGAGTCCCAATTCCTTCTGTACCTTCTCGGTATTGAATGGTCCAAGATCACTCATCAAAAAGGCATACAAGAACACACCCAAGCCTTCCGTTCTAAACTTTTTGATAAAAGTAAGGACCTCGTTCTCGTCAAGATCTTCTATGGCCTTGGGGTCCTGGAGATCGAAATATAATGTCCATGCAAAAAGGTCGTTGGTGCCCAAAAGGACCATATCACCACACAACAGCTTGACTTCCTTCAAAAGGTCAGCTTTTTCCGGGGAGATCTTAAGCAAATTGTACAAGTACTTTAACAACTCAGCCTCGTATGACCTTCTAAGCTCGTCATCGTCACATACATCTAGGAATTGTCTGTAGAGATTGGGAAGATCTGAATCCAGACGAATGCTCCACTCAATGGCATGTAGCTTGGCCTGCTGCTGGACTGTGAGGTTTCTAGGCAATTTCATCTTTTCCTTCGCGAGTATGATTCTGGCCTGTTCGTCTTGGTTGTTTTTAGTGACAGTAATGAGCTTCTTGATCGATTCATCCTCTGTACCCACCGAGTTTCCTAAAAGCTCTCTAAGTGGCGTGCCTGGGAGAATTGCACGTAGGTATTTTTCATGCAATGCTGTATCTTCGTGGTATTTGTTGGCCTTCAAGTATGCATAAAGATCTTTGACGGCATCTCCAGTGGCGACGCCTTGTTCCACGAGTTTTTCAACATACTGGGTAAAGACCTCGAAAAATTTGTCAAAGTCCGCTTGTGATCTGACGCTTTGGAAGTAGCCTTTCCATCCAAGTAGTTGGTCATTGTCGAGATCTATGGCTTTCTGGAATGGCTTCATGGCCTTCTCAAAGTCGCCTAGAAGCTGGTACGACTTGCCCTTGAAGATATAGGCATAGTAGTTATTTTTGTCTTCCTCAAGGACTTCATCGGCATAGTAAATGGCATCTTCTGGGTCATTTCTTTCAATGGCTGCCTTGGCTGCCTTGAGCAGCTGTTTTACAGACATGGTGGTTTTGAATAGTAGCGGTTCTGGAGGAAATCGGCAGTAGTATGGAGGTCACGTGTACATGTTGAAAAAGTTCAAATTCTTGGGGTTGAACGTGGCTTCAAGTTCGAGATTTCAAAAGGAATGATTAATTTGATGATATCTTCATATGGTTGGTCTTTCTTATCAAGGTGTGTGGAAATCGTCTACCACTGGGTGCTTCGCAGTGAAGGTACTTACTGGTTTAAGCCATATAAACGGCCCATGTAAGAAGCTCAATTTTACCTTAATTTTGTCATTTGTAACCTGTCTCTGGTTAAAGCCAAAATGTATTATTCAAGATATGACGGTCTCTGAATGTGAAGATTGGCCGTTGTATGTACAGTTATAATGGCTGCGAATGCACAGTAAGTGAAGCTAAATGAAAGAGTTGGCAATCAAGAGCGAACATACTAGAGTGGGATTTTTGAAAACATTTTGCTTTAATTATGGAATGGGGTCCTCTTTATTTAATAATCGATAAAAAAAAAAATGGCAAATGACCATTTGCTTTGGGCCAAGCAGAATCACTGGGGTATACCTCAATCTCATGTTCAGCCAATTCTAGGCGCAGGCAAGATTACGAACAACAATGCAGACATAGCTATTCCAAAATATTAAACCCATGACTCCTTTAGAGAGACAATCCAATTTCATGGGGATCTTCGCTGCATTCCTGGACTAATGATCGCAAAGACCCCTGCGTCTTGCGGTATGGAAGCTCCATTGTGAGAGTTCAATTGTAAAAGAATCAAAACCAGTAGAGGTTGGCTGCATTGGGAAATTTAGTTATGCTTTCTATTCCAAAGGTTAATTGGCGCTTAACACATCAGCAAACTGAACCAGCGCTCCCTACCGGAACCAAACCTGAGGGCGCCATAGATACAAGTAATAAACCCCGGCATCATAAAAGAGCTCAAAGCAATTGGAATCATCTATCAACGATATTTTTGAAGATTTTGAAAAATTTCAGATCCTGGTCACGTGCGCCACACACAATAAGTAATACCACAACTATACTCACACTCTACTCTTCAAACCAGGCGAAAAAAAGAGGGGATTCCTTTATACCATCGTTTATTCCTAAAAATTGTCAGATCTTAATATGGAGACCCCCATACGTACCACTTTGGCTGAGTTTCCAAACCCACTCACGTGACCGACTCATCTCTGGCATCAAAGAATTTCTGCTACATACATTACCATCTCCAGGCATCCACGAAATCAACACATCAGACAAATCCATGGCTCCTGCATCGCTCCTGGAGGCAGCCAGAACCCAAAGTCCAGAGTCGTATCTCTACACGACCTTGGCCTCTTCCCATTTGGGTGAAACGTCGGCTATTGTGATTTCGGCCTTGATCTCATTTGGCAGATCAACCACCAAACAGATCGCCTCACGTACAAATCTTTCAGTGAAGCAGGTGAAAACGGCCGTTGTTTCGCTTGTCCAGCTTAATTGTGTGTTTTTCTGGACTGAGGGAAAGGAGGTGTACTATACATTTGATGATAGAGGAGTCCAGAGATTGTTGTTCGCAGGAGACATTGTGACTCGTATCAAGGTGGCCTACGGAGATGAATCAGCACAAATTATCCAGAATGTGCTTGAAAATGGCAGTCTCAATGTTAAAGAGTACTTGTCCACGTTTTCTGAGGAAGCCAAGTATGAGACATCTGACAGGCTTCTTAAGCTCTACAACGACGGCTGGTTGCATAGACTACAGCCCTATAACTACTACCCGCTAGAAGACGTGTGGAACATGCTCTTCCAGGAGACTCTCAAAAACACGCCTAGGACGGCCACAACCAGTGAGATCAAAAGGGTCGCTGAAGCCAAGGCGAAAACCAAAGTCAAGTTGAACGACTACCTTTCCAGAGGCACCGACCCCAAGGATGTTTTCACTGTCGAGGCTGGAATGCAGAAATTTCACCCTCTGGTGACCATCACCTTCAACCTCGCCAGGTACGAAAAGTACTTGCGCACAAGAGCCTTGGTTGACTTGGCCAATCTGCGATTTGGCCTTCTTACAAGCAAGGTCTACGAGGCGTGCTGCTCGTTGGTGGAGCAGAACTCGCCGGATTTGCATCAAACGTTTCTCCAGATCTCTGGGTTGATCAACGACCCGGAGGAGGAGAGGCTGTACATTAGTAGCATAGAGAACGGGCTCATTGACTCCAAGAGGACCGTTTTCAATCTCCGTGACGTGCCTCGAGCGTTGTCGGAGAATGTCGATTTGAGAAACTCCATTTTGACTCAGAACTTTCTCAAACCACCCAAGAGAGTCCACATGAACGGGTCCGCAGAAAGAACCAAAAAGATCAAGCTCGAGGACGGTACCGCACAGACAGTGGAGGTTGAGGACGAGGAAGAAGACGGCGGAGACTATGTTGCTGATAACTCCACCGCCAAATCACTCTCGCTTATTTCCGAGCACGTCAGACTACTAACATCCTCGGGAACCCCATTCCTCATGGAAGTTTCCCCGGGCTCCTACACCATTCCATACATGCAGCTTCACAAGCTTGTCAAACAGCATCACCTCAGCACGCTTGTGAAAACGACATTGGGCACCAATGCATTGAGGGTTCTCCGATGCATTATTCAGATGAAGTTGGTGGACGAAAAGGCCATCTCCAACTCGGTGTTGCTCAAGGAAAAGACAGTAAAGAACGAGCTCTACAAGCTCACCAACATGAATCTTTTGGAAATTCAGGAGGTGCCCCGTTCTGCCGACCGTGCCGCACTGAAGACCTTTTACTTGTTCCGTCACAAGCCTGTTCTGGCATACCGCTCGATCAGCGACGCTTTGGTGTATGACATGGCACAGGTTTTGACCAATGTGGCCCGGTTTAAGCTGGACAATAAAATTTTGCTTGACAAATGCGAAAGGGAAGACGTCAAGGGCCACGAAGAAGAGCTTCTTCTTGAAAGCGAGCTCAAGACGCTTCGCCAAGTTCAGCAGCGTGAGTTGGGCAATGTCGGGCGGCTTAACCGGGTCATGTGGCTCTACGTTGTCTTTGGCGTTCTATAAATAAACGAAGGTTGCCGCATGGCGTTTCTGTAGATCCGGCGAGGATGAAAAGGTTGATGAAGCAGTGGATCGCTCGTCGATTGCGTTTCTTAAGTTCGCCTTTTTGTTCTAGACGGGGCATGAAGAAACGTAGATTGCTGAAAGGATTTGATTTTCGAGATGTAGCTTGGTGGAAAATTTTTTCTTGTAAAGTAGTTTGATTGACCTATCATTGAACCAAAGCATCCAAATCAGTTTTCTTTTTTTTTTTTTTTTTTTTTTTTTTTTTTTTTTTTTTTTTTTTTTTTTCTCTTCTTCCAACTACATCACCCGACAATAAGACGTGAATTAAAAGGCCCGCAGGGCTCTCAAACTATGTAAAAGAAGCCTACTTGTCCGAGTCCTGGCCAGGGTTGACCAACTCGTACTCCAAAACTTTGAACGTTTTCCAGATGCCAAATGCAATGACAGAGCCCAAGAGGGGACCCACCCAGTAGATCCAGTGGTAGTCTGGGAATGAGCTAGCAGCAATGCATGGGCCGAAAGAACGGGCTGGGTTCAAACCGGCACCAGTGTAGTAAACGGCAATCAAGTGGCCCAAGAAAAGAGCAATGCCAATGACAAAAGGCGCCATAAACGTAGCCTTGGCCTTCTCGACAGCCAAAAACAATACCGTCAAGCACAAGAGCGCCGTAGCAAAAGCTTCAATAAACACACCTCTGGATCTGGAAGCACCGCCACCGAGTCCATTGGTAAAAGCAATCTCGCCTGGAGTCATGGCAGAAGCAGCGCCGGCAGCAGCCATTCCGGCAATCATCTGAGCAACAACCATCACCACACCTCTCACTGGAGGAACCGCTTTGGCCAAAACCAACGTCAAAGTCACCGCAGGGTTCAAGTTACCGCCCGAGACTCTGAAGAAAATGAACACCCCCACCATGACGCCAAAACCGAAACCAAACGAAATCATAAGCAACTGGCCTGGCGACGAGCCTTGGCCGGCCGCAGGAATGTCAGGCAGCTGGTTGGCAATCTGGGCAATGACAAACGCCGTCCACAAGAAGATGAAGGTGCCAAAGAACTCACCCAAAAACGCCACAACGTGCTTGATGAGCGAGTTGCCGGCTGGCTTGGCCGCAAGAGTAGGGTGCTGGACGTCAGGAACATTTTCCGAGCCCGTCTCGACAATGGTTTCGGCCTTCATGGCCTCGAGGTCGCTAGAGGAAGTCATTGATGGGGGTTTCCCGGCGAGGGGACCATGTCCATTTATAGTTGGCGCCAGGAAAAGAGCCAGGCGGTAAATACGGCTGCGTGACGCACCTGCAAAATGGTTTTCATGGCTTGCCAGGGTCTGGCGGATGGGTACTTGGAGGTGGAGCACGGCTGAGGGATCACCAAGTGAGCCTTTGGAGATTTTGCAACCATCGCCAGCGAGCCCCAAACTTCCAAATTTCCAAAACCACAAAATCGGTAAGCTGCCCAGTTGGCGAATCCCTTGGTTGCTCGGTCCCCAGGCTCCTCTGTGGTTTATCTCCATGTGCTGAAGGCTGCAGCGAACACAGCACCATCGCATACAATGCCGCTGCTGCATCCTAGGCCAGAGACCCCATCTGGCCCCATGGCCTGCAACGTGCTCTGAGCCCCGTTGGCACAAAAATATGAACAAGAGAGAAAAAATAAAAACCGCCAAAACCAGCAATAGCCTCTGCGGCCGCATTGCGGAGCCCATCCGAATGGCTGCAAAGTAGCCCCCAGTGCATAGGCTTTAGGGTTTGCCTAGCCCAGGCGGACAAGACAAGAGAAGACAGAGATGAAGACAAGAGATGAAGACCAGAGAGTTGATAAAGCTGGAGGACAAAGTAGAATCCGCAGAATCTCAATCGCTCGTCGGCCAGGGTTGGCGATCCGATCGCTTTAGCCCTTCCAGATCGTCGCGGCGGGTGGGTAGGCGCCAGGCCTGGGCGGCAGGAAAAGCGACAACCAGCCGCAACCCAGGCCCACCAGACCACCTAACCAGGCCACCCAGGGCACCCACGCCGATTTTCTGAAAATCCGATTGCCATGGCTTGGACCAAGGCGCCAGGCAAATTTGGCCAGGACACCCGTTCATTCCATTGTTCAGCCCACCTCTTGTATCTTCATCTCCCTGGGTTGCACCCGCGCCTACGCATGGAAGCTGCGAGCCACACCGGAGGCGGACTTCTCAATTCTACCGCTCCACGTCAAGCTGGCACTCTCCTTGGACCAATTGGCGAAAAGCAAGACTTTTTTTTTTATCGATCAAGATCCACAAAATCAATGGACTCGTTTCGTGGCCTGCCCGCTCCTCCGCCATGTGCCTCTGGCCTCGCAAAAAGGACCCTCGCTGAGGCTGACTATTGTGTGTTAGCCGCTGCGCTTTGTCGATGCGGCTGCGGAGCCGTGGGTGTGCTACCAAAAGCGACTTGGATTTGGGTTTTTGCCGCTGGCGGTGGGTGGTCCTGGGCGGGATCGGCGGATAAAGAATGGCGTGGCGGATGAGCTGGGGCTTTTTGGCGACTCAATTCGACCCAAGCCGGTTTTGTGCCATGGGGTTCGCTGCGTTCCTCGGTGGCTCAGAACAGGGATTTTTACGAGAGCCGCGCCGGCCGAGGCTGGCCACCGCTGGCCACCGCTGGCCACGAGCGCTGTCTGAGGAGAACCTCCGTGGACCTCGTTCTGGAATCTGCTTTTTTTGGTGCTTTTGTTTTTTGGTGCTTTTGCTTCAGTCGTTTCGTTTTATTCGTTTTGATTCATTTTTTGTTCTCTATTCACAACATAGACAATGTGGCTGGCACGGGCCTGAGCTGCCCCCGATTGCGTTTTTTCAGCGCCTGTCAAAACCGGACAGTAAATGAAAATCTCAGCAGCTGAATTTCGCCAATCCAGGAATGCGAGATAGGCACCTCCCGTCGATTTGCCTTGCTTGAAAATATCCCTTGCCCGGGCCCTGATCTGGTCCCGTTTTGCCTCTCTTTTGCCTCCGTTTTGCATTGATTTTATCCCCCACAGCAATTTTTCACAATTCTTCTAAACGATCTTCTCAACGATCCTCTGAAGGATCTTCTTGAAAAGTAAGAACATCCCCTCTCAGCCATTGTGGGTGCCTGATCGATCGCCAGATCGACTAGTCTGGAATTTGTCCGCCCGGAAAAGGCGCCAATGAGGATATGCCAGACCGCTTTTCTGTTTCAGCTGCTTCATTCCAGAACGATGCAGACAAGTCCGTTCTACCTCCGCCGCCTGCAACCCAGGGTATCTGATGCTGCACGCAATAAACCAATTTTTTGGTTGTTGACGAGTAGCAATGCATGGGCTGGTCCACAGGCAGATTTTGCAGAGGTCACTTTCTGCCAATCTTCGGTGTTCCGGGTCCTCAGCCACCGGTTTCCAAAAATAGGGCCGGGTCGGACTTTTCCAGAAACGCAATCGGGCTGTCTTTTCCGCTGCTTCATAAAATTCACTCAATTGCTTCAATGAAAAATTCATATGGTCATCCAAGCTCTTCCTTGTCTTCGGCTCCAATTGCACTGCTAAGTTGGCTAGGTCCAGACGCAATCACGGCTAAATGGGTTGCGCTGCTTCGCTGAGTGGCTAGTGTGCGGGGAGCCCAGCAATCGGGGAGTTTTGAAAATCTCGAAACGCTGGACTTGCTGCTTTTGCGTTTCCCGTTTGGTGAAGCTTATCAGGGACCATAACGGTTTCGCAGCCAACGGTGTATGCATATGCGTGGTTGTCCACTATGCACGTAGGGGGCCACAGGTAGCCACCACGGGGGGAGCCAAGACTTCAATTGAGCATTTTTGGGGGCTTTACATTTTCCACTTCTATCCCTTCATTGTAATGGCAATTTCCTCCGTTGCTACGTTCTTCGATGATGTTGGATTGCATATAGTCTGCACGCTGATGTCACGTTCATTGTCACGTGTGTCACGTGCTGGATCATATGACCCTTCACGATATGTCTCACTCGTTGCTACTCCATCAATTCCACAATCCATCTCCATGAAGAAAAACGGAAGGGCCCCCGTCCCCGGCCCAGACGACAGCTCCCTCCGGCATAGACACCTGCAATTGACAAATACCCTGTATCTAGAATCGTCTGCCGACAGGCTCCCGAACCAGCCAGATCCAGACCTGCTTGTGTCTTGGATCGATGGGTTGAAGAACAGAGTGGACGACACGCTTGAAAAGCAGCAGCAAGAGCTCCTGCAGCTACGTATTTCTGTGAAGAAGGAGGATTTGAAGGAGCGGTACCGCCACGAGGTTTTCCTGGCTCCATTCGATAAACTAGGTGAGCTTCTACAGCAACAAGGCGATGGAAAAGAAGAAGTCAGAGGAGATTCGCCGTATCCTGAAGAACAACAGGCTGGTTCTGGTGATGAGGAAAGTGAAGAATTGTCAGAAGCCCTAGAAGAGGAGGACGATGATGATATCGTTGAGGTGCTTACTGAGGAAGAAGAGCAACAGCCTGAGGAAAGTGAAGAAGAGGATGAGGATGAGGGGGAGGAAGAAGAAGAGGACGAGCATTCGGTCCACGAAAATGCCCATCACAGCGTTCCCCACGCTCTACATCCCGAATTGAGTCAGTTTGCTGAACAGGCTCTCGGTGCAGAAGAACCCTTTGAAGCCGAGGACTACTACGAAGATGAAGTTGATTTGGACATGGAGGACCACGACGGCGAGTTTGATGACGAGCTTGCTGAGGAAACTAATATGTTTGCTACGCCGAAGTACCAGCTTCGGGACGGCCGGCCTCGGCTTTCGGACTTCCCAGTTCAGCGAGAAGACGAGGACGAATCTGAGGAAGAATCTGAGGACGAATCTGAGGCAGAATCTGCTGAAAATCAGGAACTTGATCAAGCAAGCCCTGGCGACGAAGACGATGGCATCATTGTTCTCTCCAGTGACGAGGAACAAAAACAGTCTGAAGCCGAACCAGAGGTACCTACCTTCCAGCCTGCCAGTCGCCTTCAATACTCTGAATACCCCACCAACCACCTTGCAGACGAACCAGAGCATTACAGTGAAGTTGAGGGATCTGACGATGCTGCTCAAGTATCCGAACAGGAGTCTGAGCAGGAGTCTCGCTCTGAAAACTCGGAGGGCGAGTCAGAAGCTGAATCTGGCAACGAGTCAGATGGTGTTTCTGAAGCTGGTGGAAACGAGCAGACTGGCTTTGAATCGGACGACGAGCCGGCCGAAGACGATACCGTCGACTCTTCAAAATACTTTGCTACTGCTAATGATTCCTTAGACAACAACCATTTCGCTGGAATTGCATCAGAGGCATTGACCGAGCACGTATTGCTGGATCTGAAACACCCCTTGGACCGTATGCTAAGCGACTACCTTGCTGATGTCGAATCCGATGGCGGTGCCTTTAAGCCTAGCAGCCAGACAACTGAACCCATGCCGATTTTCGATCATAATCAAATTGAGACCCCTGCTCCAGAGAAGTTCGATTTGGGAACTCTGTCTGCTGACAAAAAGAGTGAAGATCCTAGCGAGGGCTCAATGGCTGATGCCGACACAGACAAGGTCGAGGAAACTCAAGAAAGTGATGTTCCCCCTCCCATGCCCAGCATTCCTGTTTTCCGAACCGTCACTCCAGACTCTCCCAACACTACACTTCAGCAACTCAAGGCCACAGAGAAGCGCTTTGGCATCAAGCTTGACGCCGTCAAAGACCTTGAAGCTGAGCTTGGCTTGCCACATTCTACATCTTCTGATAGTGAATCTGAGCCAGAAAACTTCGTCGATGCTCCAGCATACCAGCCACTTGAACTCTCCATTCAACCAGACAGCGATGCAGAAGAGTCTGAGGAAAAAGCAGACGATAATGTGGAAGTCAACATGGAAGAAGCACTCCAGTCGTTTATAGAGGAAGTGCAACTGAAGGATGACTCCAAGAACGATCACGATTTGCACAATCTTGGTCAATCCATTGACAATGTGTCCTCGCGTCTCGCCAATGAAGCTGTTGAAGCCTACCTTAAGAACGTTAAAGATCATGATGAACCTGAGGTAGACCCGATGGAAGTTGACAAAGAGGAAGAGCAAACCAATGATCGGCATCGTCTGCACGATAAGATTCCTAAAGTTACTGTCCATACACTGGACGTCAGAAGCACAGATACCCCATCTGATGACGAAAGCCAGGAGAACAACCGCACAAGACCTGGCTTCCATCTGCTCAAGCTTGACAGTAGAGATGGAAGCTTTCAGCAAGCCGACCAGCATAACGACACAGACGACTCTTTGTCATATGTTTCCGCAATTGAGACTGAAAATTCATCAACCCAGGCTTCACGTCAAGCTTCCTCCGTGAGCATCCAGCTGGTCAACAACAAAGAATTACCTTTTGAAGTTATCAAGAAGGCACAAAAAGATCCTCGTCATATTGTGCCCATTTCTGTGGACCAGGATGGTGAAAAGTACGAGATGGCACCTTGTCCTGTCCCTGGTGGATACAACGTTACGTTGAAGGAGGTCTCATCTTTAGATAACAAGGAGCCATCTATGGCTTCCCTGTCAAGTATCATCGTTCATCCACCTCAGGATTCTATTGCTAGTGCTGCAAGTACAGCTACTTCAATAACGAACAATAATGATCAAGAAGGAAGGCACCTTTTCGGAGCTGCTTCTGCCCATGCTGGCCATGGCAATAGCTCCGGTGATGACAAAGATACAGATCGAGCTAACGCCAATGCCTCTGCTGAAGCAGGCTCTCATGGAAAGGACCACGAAGCTCATGCAATTGCAGAAGCAGATGCAAACAAGTCTAAGGATGGAGAAGCAACTGCCACTGCTGAAGCTGAATCCAAATCTGGAGAAGGTAAAGCTGAAGTGACTGCCAAAGCTGACGCTAATTCTGGCGATGGCAAAGCTCGTGCTAAGGCAAATACAAAATCCGATGACCAAGGATCCAGTGCAAATGCAGAAGCTGATAGTAAATCAGAGAGTGATAGCAGTCTGGCAAAGGCAAGTTCTGGTGCTCACTCCAATGGTGATGATCTGCATGCTCAAGCCTCTGCTGAAGCTCAGTCCAAGAAAGGAAATGCTTCTGCTTCTGCTGAGGCCTCAAGCTCCAAGGATACGAAAGGTGAAGCTTCCCAGAAACCTGATGATGAGAAGTCTCAATCTTCGCCGCAAAAGAGGTATAGTATTCAGGGGGGCGACAAAGAACCTAATTACTTCCCAATCCACCAATCTCAGAAAGAAAAGGCTGGAAGTGATCCGTCTGAGCTGTCTTCCGATAACTCAGCCAACGTCCAACACCAACAGAATCCAGCTGACTATCAAAACCAGCCTGAAGAATCTGGTATTGAATCTGCAACGATTGATGAGGAAGCTTCTGATGATATGAAGCCCCATGGCGCGATTGAAGTCGATGGAGAAGCTTCGGATGGAATGGAAGGCTACGAAGATGCGGAATCTGGTGACCAACCAGACATTCAACAAGGTGATGCTGGAGGTGCGACAAGTCCCGAGCACGAGAAAGAAGAACCAGAGATTGAGCAGGATATTAAAGCCAATGTTAATGCTGAGACACTCGCAGATGTTGAGTCAGAAAACGAGATGGCTGATCTTGGGTCCGAGTCTGAGGATGTCGCTGAAGAAGGACCATTGATTATCGAGCCCGAGGTACCTGAACCCAGGTATGTTGTCTACGAAAGCGGTACAGTTATTGAGGGCGTACAGCCCGCCTCTCCGACATACATCGAGGAACCTGAAGTGGAGAGTACTAGTGATGAGCAAATATCCGAGGCTGTCGAGGATCTTGTCACAGAAATCTTCGCCCATCTTGATGATGATGCTGAGTCTCCTTCTGAAGTGATCGAACCTGAGGACACCGTTACTGGTGTCATTGAGGTGTTCGAGGAAACTACGGATGTGATCAGACCCACGTTGGTTGATGAGCTTGAGTCTAGCAGAAACACTCCTGAGCCAGTTGACACCACGGTTCTGGCTGAAGAGATCGAGGAACACAGGGGTTTGAAGAGACGCGGAGCCTCCATCTTGGCTGCTCCTGCGAAGAAGTTGAAGTCTGTTGCTGGAAAGCTCAACCCATTGCATTGGTTTACTTCCAGTGACAACTCTCGTCCAAGCTCTGCGGAATCTAATATTTCTGTTCCCGAACTTGACGAGGTGGAGGATGACAGCATGTCTGAAGATGCATCATACGATGAAACGACCTCTGATTATCTGGATGATGCCTCTATTGGTTCTGATGTCGAAAGCGAAGGAACTGTTGAGTCGGCAGAGCAAGGTTCGACAGACAACGTCGTTCAAGAAATCGAAAGCAATCATCCTGACGATAGCGTTTCTTTACCTGCTGGCCTTGAAGCTATCGAGCCTACCGCCATCGAAGTCACTAAAGCTTCCTGCAATGGTGAACCCCAAGAGGAAGATGAGTCTCGTGAAGCAACTGACAGTGCTCCTGGTTTCATTGATCAATTAGGCGACGCCATTATCGACGACGTTGCTGACAAAGAAACCGAGAAAGAAGAAGCAGACGATGAAGTTTCTGATGAAGCCACAAACGAAGTAGCCAATGAGATTGTCAATGACGCTGTCTTGGAAGCTTCTGAGGAAGTAGCCAAGCATGTGCTTGACGAGGCTGCTGAACCGGCCGAGGGCGACGAAAACGAGGATGCTGCTGACGATATCGCTGAGCAGATTGCAAAGCAAATTGATGAGGAAGTTGCTGACGACCTCATTGAAAAAGCTGCATCCAATGCTGCGGAGGCAGATGTTTTGGCTGATGACGAAGAGGAAATCGCCGAGAATATGGAGCAAGGATCGGGCGGTGACATCGAGATAGAAGAAGCAGATCCAAAGCCAAATGTTGATATCGATGAGTTCGAGGCTCCCACTGACACTGAGCAAGAAGCTGCTACTATTCCCTCACCACCTAAAAATTCTAGGCCTTGGAGCGCTGCCAGTCTAGAGTCCATGAGCCAGCTTGATGATTCAGTTCCGGCTCTTCCCCAATTCAATCTCATTAGACCAACTTTAGAACGCTTGGCTTCCGCCAATGACGAAGAAACACCTGCTCCTGAAGTTGTTGAAACTAAGGTAGAGGATGCGCCCGTGGAAGACATTGAAGAGCCTAGATCTCCCAAGAAAGATCCATCATCGGTGTCAGAGATTTTCAAGATTCTTGAGGAAAAGATCAACGAAAAGATCGAGAAAAGTCAAGAGTCAAAGGATGACCAAGCTCAAGAGTCAAAGGATGAACAAGTTCAAGAGCCTAAAGATGAGCAAGTTCAAGAGCCAAAAGATGAGCAAGTTCAAGAAGCTAAGGAGGAGCAAATCGAAGAGCCTATGGATGAGCTGCCGCTTGAGAAGGAAGAGAACATCGAAGAGCCAGTTGCTTCCCCAGTCAAGAAAAGAGGTCGTGGTCGTCCTCGTAAGAAGCCATTCGAGCGTGTGGTCAAGGAAGAAAAGCCCAAAAAGCATGTCAAACCTGGACGTCCTCGCAAGCAGAAGATCACTCAGGAGGAAATTGACGCCGCAAATGATGGACCTAGACGTGTCACCAGCGGTCTGAGGAGAAAGGATGATGCTGATGAAGAAGTTGCTCAAGATGAAGATGCTGCTGAGGAGAATGTTCAACCCGAAGCTGAGCCTGCTGAACAAAAAGAAGAGGAAGTGCAAAGAGAAGAGGAAGCCAATGAGGATGAAAAGGTTTCTGAGCCAGTGAAGCCCCAGGAACCTGTTGATGCCCCAGTTGATAGCAAACAAGACACTGAAGCGGCATCTGAAACGCAGCAGCCACCAGCTGAGCAGCCCTCAAGCATTGCCCTGAGAGTGAGAAGAAGAGCAGCAGCAGCCAAGCATGATGACGAAGATGTTGAGAAGGATGCTGAGGTACCTCAACCAGCACCGGAGGCTCCTCCATCTGAAGCTGCTGTTGAAAAGAAGCAAGATACACCAGCAGAAGAAGCTGCTAGTGAAAAGGAACCTGAGCAGCCAGCTCAAGAGCCTGAAGCACCAGCTGCCGAACCTCCAAAACGTCGTACTCGTGGACGCAAGAAAAAGGCTAAGCAGCTGCCCAAGCCTGAACCTGAAGAAGAGCCTCCTTTGAAGACTGAGGCTAAGGATGAGGAGCCTGCTGAGCCTGAACAAAAAGGCACTTTGCAGCCAGGGTTGGCCAAGAAGGTGAAAAAGGAAGAGGATGCTGAGCCCAAAGTTCGTGCACCAAGAACTAGACGCTCTACCAGGCAACAAAAGCCTCATGAAGAGCCCGTGCCCTCGTCTCCACCACACTCACCTAACCATCTCGCTCCTGGTTTTGAACCTGAACAGCATCTTTCACCAACAAAAAGACGTGGATCCAGAAAAATCCGTGCTGCTGCACAATCGTCACCTACAGCTGAATTCAGTCCTCCTATGCCTAGGCTGAGAACGGCTTCAGGAAGCAAATGGCAGCTCGACCTGTTAGACCACCCAGCGTTGAGAACTAGATCCAAATCTCCAATCAAGCGTACGATCCAGGAACTCTCGCTGGATATGGAGGAGGAGCAGCCCAAGCGCAGAAGACGTAACGTCAGAAAGCATGTTCAAGAAGTCGATGCAGAAGAAAAAGAAAGAGAGGAGGAAGGAAGAGGCAGACGCAGACGAAGGGACTAACGATAGATCTAACGAATGTAATAGAATAAATAACGGCTATGCTAAATGTTTCATGCCAAACTCGTAGGTGGTGAAAAACACCATATTTACAAGGAAGGAACGGAGCATGGAGATGCCCAAGCCTCTATAAATACGGGTGCCAAACACGATTTTCCTGGATTTCGTGGGCAACGACTCGGCGCCTCCCTGCTTGCGCAAGATATTAGTGACAATGTCTTTTTGGATCAACGACTTGGTGGTGTCAAATGGGAATACTGCAGACCAACAAAGCACACCAGACATTCCTCCGGCGATCATGATAGAAACTGGCGACGACTGCAGCGGGTCAGAATTAATTAAAGCATTAGTGGCCCATTTGATCGACTCGTACACGGCAAAGTACACACCCGAGCCCAAGGCGTCTCTAGCCAAATGGTACCTGTAACCGGAGTACAACCCCATAAAGCCCTCGTGCTTGACAATTGTCTTGAAAGTTTCGAATGTTCCCACGTGGGGCGACGCAGCTCGAGCCACGGCAGTTTCTGTGGCCTGTTTCAGCGCCAAAGTAGCAATTTGTGAGTAGACCTTGGTGAACTCAAACGGACAAGCAAAGATGGATACACCACAACCAGCAGCAGCACCGGCAGCAAAGCAAACGGGGAAATTACGAACAAACGGGTGACCCACGTAGTCGTCGTTTCGCCATCCGTAAAGCGCCTCGTAGCAGTACGGTTTGCTGGTAGTGAAGATGGTCACACTGAGGGACCTTACGAACGAAGTCAGAATCAACGGCGCCGTGATGCCCCTATAAAAACCCCTGACTCCTCGTTCCTCAAGGTCGAAAGCACGCAGTCCAGGTACGTGCTGAAACGTTTGTACGTCTGCATTCTGGTCTTGACCGTGTCAAACGGGAACCCTATCGTTGTGGAGAGAAACGACGTCAGGTAGGCCAAGATGGTGGACTTGTACGGGAGAAGCAGTTCCGGGAACACCCGGAGCGCTTTGGTGTGGTCAATGTCGCCGGTGATGGCGGGGATCGAGCCCCTGGGTTGTTTTTCTCCATGAACCAGCGTGGTGGTACGGCTTCGATGTGGTTGAAGCTGTCAAGCGATAACGGCCCATGCACTCCCGAGTCATCTGAGTCAGCCACCACGGTGGTCCTTGATTGGGTGGGCCGATAGCGGATGTTGGAGAATATGGATCGGGAGAGGTGATTTAATACCTCTTGAAAGGTTATTAATTTTGTGATTTACTTGCGTTGGTTAGTGGGAAGTTGGGTGGTGGAAAGGTGAGTCGCAGCTGGACCCAGGAGGTGAACAGTATTGTGAGGAGGGCTGGGTGGACCAAAGGGGTGATTCAATTGGCTTCTGTGGATGTTTCAATGAAGTTTTGCCCATGGATTTGCTTGTCCAGGGGGTATTGGGCTGGATTTCGTGTATCGCTTGGAAGCCCCAAGCCTAAGCCCTAGTTGCCCAGCATATGTTCTATATTTGCTTCAATACAATCTTCGACTTTTTGGCTTCGGATAAAAAAGTATGTCGCACCTGCAAATCAATTAAAAAACTTTTTGTTCCCATAGGTGTTCACATGCCATTTAGGTGGCATGGTTATATCACCAGACGCATCTCGATAAGGCATGGCAGATCTCGCTGCATCGCATATCAACCTACCCAGATATTTCTCAATTTATCTCAGTTTTCTAAATTCAGCCTTCATGAACTGGATGTAGCATTCTAGACAAATGAAGACCCTTGTTTCTTGTACCCTGGCGTCAGACGGATTCCATATTTGTCGCAAAAATGGTAGTTCAGATCATCAAATCTATGCTAATAGGGCAACGACTTCAGCGTTCCCATGAATTGAATCTTACTTTTGAAATGCACATTTGGACGGTCTCCCTGTGGAGCTCCATTCCACTTCGCATGACTCAATTCAGATATGAGCTCAACAAGCCGAATTTCATTATTTGGTTTTACTTAAATCCATTTCCCGTTTCTTCACTCGTCAATTTGACGGTCTTGATCTTTTTGTTTGTTTATACGGTGGCTTTCATCATTACCACCAGGTCCGGAAATGGCTGCAAACTTCTGAAAGAAACGATGCAACAAAACTCTACGATTGTAAATCTTAATTGAATTATGGCTTCACAGATAAATGTACCAATACGAATCTTACAGAGCCCGAAGAACTTCATAATCTGTCCACCCAGGCCTTATCCCCCAATACCATCCATCTGTGACATCAAAACCCGACACCGTCATTCAACCCAAACCGTACAGCCCGGACTGAAACAACCTCTCGAAATTCGCCCATTCCAATTCCCGCTACCATTTGATATTTTCGTCAATTCAACCATTTTTCAATTTTTATCATCACCAACCTCCCCTCCATCTTCCCTATCTAACCCGAAACCGCGCCTTTCTGCTGGATTCATAATTATCCACAAACCGCGCACTCTTCTAACACATCACCAAACCTCCACAGACCCTCCTTTCTCCACACAATGAACTTCTTACGAAGGAGGAAAAACAGCGAGGACGACGATGACGATCTTCAAGACATAGAGACCTCGCAGGTCCACAAACTGAGAAAACCCCCTAACACGGCGTTCCGACAACAGAGATTGAAAGCATGGCAGCCGATCCTCACTCCGAAAACAGTGATTCCGTTTTTGTTCTTGCTAGCGATCATATTTGCTCCCTTGGGTATTGCCATTATCTACTCCACCTATAATGTCCAGAAACTCGAGATCAACTACTCCAAATGTGGTGACGATGCACTGAACTCCTTCTCGTCGATCCCAGGTAAGTACACAGGGTACCACTTCCAGGGAACAAGCGATGGGCCTGACTTTAAATGGAAGTTGGAGACCGGCACGGACGCCCAGGGCGACGATACGCAAACATGTGTTGTTCAATTCAACTTGCCCAAAGATTTGGACCCTCCCATCTACCTTTTCTACAAGCTCACCAACTTCTACCAGAACCACCGTAAGTACGTGGAGTCGTACGACACGGCGCAGTTGCGTGGTGAAGCCGTGCTGGCAGGCGACTTGAACGGCAAGTGTGATCCGTTGAAGCTGAAGACGGTGGATGGTAACGAGAAGGCTGTGTACCCTTGTGGCCTTATAGCCAACTCCATGTTCAACGACACGTTCTCGAGCCCCGTGTTGCTCAACTCTAGAAGTGGAACCGATAACGAAACCTACGTCTTGTCCGAAACGGGCATCACATGGCAGTCAGACAAGGACCACCGTTACAAGAAGACCAAGTACGACCACAACGACATTGTTCCTCCGCCAAACTGGGCCAAGAGGTTCCCTGACGGCTACAACGAGTCCAACGTGCCAGACTTGCACGAGTGGGAGCACTTCCAGAACTGGATGCGTACAGCTGGTTTGCCTGAGTTCATGAAGTTGTATGGCAAGAACACGTCCGAGACGTTCTCCTCGGGCACATACGAAATGAGAATCGGCTTGAACTACCCGGTCTCGCTCTTCGGAGGCTCCAAGTCGCTCATCCTCACAACCAGCTCGGTGCTCGGAGGTCGTAATTTGAGTCTTGGAATCATCTACATCATCGTCGCTGTGATCTCCTTGGTTTGCGCCATTGCATTCTTCTTCCAGCACTTGATCAAACCAAGGAAGGTTGGCGACCACAACTTCTTGCAGCAAGACGGTGCTTTCCGTGAAGGCCCCCCTACTTCCTACAGGGAGCAGTTATAGTGAGTTTCACCCACACCAACCCTCCCCACAACGACAAAGTCACCAGATGTACAAGTGACGCGGTAAAACTAGTATACTAACGATAGAAGAGGTAAAAAACTGCACTTCCGTCCTCAAATTCGTAAACCCTTGTCTCTTCGGGACGTGCGCGGCTCAACACATCTACAACTCCAGCTTTTTAAAGGTGCGACTACACCTACCCATACAACTTTGATGAACGTAAATCCCCACCTTCATCACCTCCAGCAGCAGTACCTGCAGCAGGGTTCGCAAAGTGGACAATCTCCACAATTGCCACAGATGCTGATGCAGCAACAACACCAGATTCAGCAGCAAAGACAGCAGTTGCTTAACCAGCATCTTCAACAGCAGCTGCAAGGATCCTCCACGAATCCGCTTTTAGCTGCCTTGAACGGCGGTCAGAATCCCTCCATGGCTGCACCTGGCAACAACCAGAAAGTAAACCCACTTTTACAATTACAAATGCAACAGTTACAGCAACAACAACAGCCACAGAGAATGTTCAACAACCAACAACACATGCAACCCCAACTATCACAAGGCCAGCAGCCACAGCAGGTGCCAATAATCAAGGACGTGTGGAATTTCAATTTGGAATACGAGTTCAACAACCTCCGTACCTTCATTGATGACAAGACGTCCAAGGTGTTCATTTCTATCCATCAAGAGATCCCCGGTATCGTGGCCAGGCCCTTGGGCACTTTCAAGCTGTCGGCAGACTACCACTTCCAGTGCTTGAGATCAAACTCCGATATTTTAAACCTCATTCAGCTCTCTCTCTGTGCTGTGAAGATGCAAGACGACAAGATCAGTAACCTGGTCATATGGCAATTCAACTTTGCATACGACCTCACACAGGAGATGTTCAACGAAGAGCACCTTTTCATGTTATCTCAGACATCCCAGATCAACTTTGCCATGCACATGAGCCAGGGCATCTCACACTTTGCATTCGCCGAACTCATGATAGAGAGCGGACTTCTTTTAGATCCATCTATCAACTGGTTGAGCTACCACTCGGGCTACGACTTGGGCTTTTTGGTCTCTCTTCTCACTAACGACATCTTGCCTCACGACGAAAAGGAGTTCTTCTGGTGGTGCACCAAGTACTTCCCAAACTTCTTCGACTTGAAGCATATTGGCAATCAGCTCTTAAACGGCAACGCCAAGACTGGTGCAAACTCCAACACAAACAGTGAGATTGGCGGTTTGAGCAGTTCCACGTCAGCTGGAGCCGCTGGCGATATAAAAAAGGGCCTCACAGGAAACAACAAGCCATCGGTGGAGTACCTCGCTGAGGAATTGCACCTTCTTCCCATCTCACCACTCATTCGCCAATACTTTGCTTCAACGACAGCAGGGCAGTTTGCGGGCCACCAGCATCAGCAAATGACGTCGACACTTCATGCGTACTTGTTGATGGAGTGCTTCAAAGAGCTCTTCAGACAATTGGGCGGAGACTTTTCCGTATTTGAGAAATACAAAGGCTACCTTTTTGGTCTCGGTGATGCTACAGGGACCCTGGAGGACAAGGCCACAACGGCGGGTAAACAGTGGTGAATATCCAATCGATAGAACCGTAATGTCTATGTAAAACCCATCCAAATGATGCACGTATAGAACTAATGTACAATAAATTATTCTTTCTCTGGGGAGGGCTCCTCCTCTGCCTCTTCTGCCTCCTCCTTCTCTTCATCATCCTCTTCATCCAACTTGAGTCTCTTGGCAGACTCTTGAGCTTCCTTCTCGATCTCTCTTTCAGCTCTCTTTCTCTTGAACTCAGCCTTCTTGTCCTCACCGGTTCTCACCTCTTCATCCTTAGGGGGCTGAACGAACCATGGAATCTTTCCTCTGTTGAAATCATTCAAGACCTGTTTGGCAACAGCACCCTCGTCAGGCTCACCACCCTTCAACAATCTACCTTGTTTTCTGGCAATGAGCTCGATGAACTCCGTACTGGCCTTCTCTAGAAGCGAAGGGTCCTCCTCGTAATTACTCCAGCCCTTGATCTCGTAGGTTCTCTCCAAGTGCTTTCTCTCACACTTTTCAAGCATATCTGGGATATACTGCTCAGGATTGGTGACATGCTCGACTCTAACCACACCTCTGAACAAAATGTCAGATTCGGTGTCTCTGTTACTAGGAGGCACGATACCTGGACAGTCAATCAAGAAGATTCTCTTCATCAACGTGATGTACTGCCACACCTTGGTCTCGCCGGGAATGGGTGCAACCTGGCACACTTTCTTCTGGCGCAAGGTGTTGATAATGGAAGACTTACCGGTGTTAGGGTAGCCGATGAAACCGACAGAAACCTGCTTACGGTCCGAATGCAAAGTGGAGAACTGACGCAACAACTGGATCAAAGAACCCTTACCGAACGAGTTTTTGATCGAGGCGTGGAACGCCAATGTTGGATATGACTTGGACAAATGCTTGACCCAAGCAGCCTGGTTGTTAGTAACAGTCAACGAAAAAAGCATGATTGCAAGATAGAGGAAAGAGTGTCGGATTCTATACTACGGACAAGCTTATATGGGAGCAAAGCTCCAAGCAGGTCCAACTCAGAAGATTCCGAAATCTACCCTATGGCGCCGATAAAAACTATCAGCAGTGCAGACAAAACCATGGCCAAAACGGCCACAGTACCTTGAAACAAGGGTCTGCGGGCGGGTAGCATTGATCTTCCAAGGACGTAACAGGCAAATGTGTGAGTGGTCGAACAAGTCGGCACATTCACCCTGACAAAGGTCTTTGGGATAAAAAGATGGCTTGCAACCACGATGAAATAGTAAGTATACATACCGCTACCCATGTGGGCACGAGGTCACACTTGTTCAACACATAGATCAAGTGTTTGTGAGAACACTCCTCACGAATGTACTTCTCCACGCTCTCACAACGAGTGCCCAAGGGGTTTCTCGCATCAAGGACGTGGATGACGACATCGGAAGAGTCGATGACTTTGTAAAGTTCGTTCCAAATACGCTTGGACTGGCCCTTATGGAAAATGGCCTCCTTGGCAGTCTGAGTGAAGTCCTCAGAGTCCAAAAAAGAGCCACCCATAAGACCCAAGGTGGCGTTGAGCTCCTGCTTATCCTGGTAGGCCTTGGTGTCGTTTTCAGAAAGCTGAGCCAACTCCTCCAAAGAAGAAGCCGCCTGTAATCTAGGTTTCTTTCTCTGCTGCTTAGGACCAAAAGCGTGCTCGTACGACTCGGTCTCGAGGATCTTGGCCGTAGGAGAATCCGTCTGGTCCTTTTCGTCCAAGAGCGACATGGGCAACTTGTTTCTCTTCAAAAGCACAGAATACGTATCGTGCTTCTTGTCGCCCATGGCCTCTCTGAAGTGGGTCAAGGCATCCTGGGCAATGACTCTGGTGTTTCCAAACCACTTACGGTTAGGATCCACACGGGCATTGGGGACATCGGTGGACTGAAGGGCAGCAGCTTGGATGATTTCACCCTTGGCGTTTCTGACGGCTCTACCGGTCTTGTACATCAGCAAATGTCTGACTTTTTTGGCATCTTTGTAGAAGTTCTCGCCCTTGACACGAAGGTTCCCGTCACGGGTGTCGCCCTCCCGGACTCTTCTTTGTTTTTCCTTTTTTTGGGTTCCCATGGTGTAGAGAAGAAGAGATGAGATGAGTCGCTATTTTTTTTAGAGGTCCCGCACGTGACCCCCTGGCGATGGCCCAGGTGCTAAACGTGTGTGAATAGGGGGTAGGGTTGGTGAACTTTATTTTTATTTTTATGAAGTGTTTTTGGATAGGATAAGGTTATTGTTGGTTTTGAAGATTTGGTGATTGCTGTGTTTATTGGATTTTCGTAGGTCCAGGTGAAAAACGGATGGCTGCGAAATGCTATACTGGTAAGAAGAGCCGAACAAACATAAGACACCATATGTGATGGTAACCAAGCAGATTTGATTTAGTCACTTCTTTGAAATAGGCTGACTACATTCAGATGCATATTATGGGCATTGATGGGTAACCGAATGTTGGAAGACTGAAGCCTGGTTCGAATATCGAAGGCCAGTAGAATCGTATTGTAGTCGGCTAATTGAAGCAAGGTAGAGAAACAGAATATGAATGATACTAGAGAAAAACAACACAATAATACTTAGAAACAACAGAATGATAGAAAGCTGCCGAGATATTGTTGTATCCATATATCAATGAAGGCACTGAGAACGGCCTGTTGCACCACTAGGGCTCTATGAATACCACACATGACAGCCGCATGAACCCTTTGTAGACCACAGCACGGCAATCCTTTGCATAAGGGATTCATTGTAAAGAAAAGACGTATCTTTCGTTTTTCCAAAAGGAGCAAATTGGAATACTCCCTATGTCTAGACACATCACTGTCGCTACTTTCCCTATCATTCAGTATTTCAAGATCATTCAGTATTTCAAGATCATTCAGTATTTCAAGATCATTCACGTATTTCAAGATCATCCACAAATCTCAACTATCACAAACCCTGCAATCCTCCTACACCTAATCACCTACTCCATCCACAACCGTACCACATGGATCCCACCTAAGCCACTTTTCGCAGCCATAACGACTCCACCAGACCACAGCAACACCGTCAATGAGTCACCCATAAATCTAAAACTTAATTTGAAGCCGCAAACTTTGTACTTTTCATTGTTCACCCACTGTATTCGCCATACTTCCCCAACCCCCCACCCCAACGGTCTGCAACTTACACCCACCTCTTGTCTTAACCTTAAAGCTTCCAGTAGCCCTTCCCAAATCCTTAATACTTAAGGCGAAGAATCCCTATAGCAATTTTTCAAATCTCCAAAAATGGGCATCTTTCACCCTTTTCCTCACCCTCCAGCATACACGCATTACACAAGGTCCGTTCACCACGCAACAAAGACCGTCTTGGCAGAACAGCAGGGCGGAATGCTGTGGAAGATCGAAAAAGCAAAAACCTCTTTTCCCTAGTCATCTCAGCCAAATCCACAAGAAACCCGTCCGGACCCGAAACATCAACACTTTTGCGGTTGCGCCTGCACCCCAGAAATTGCACTCATGAGAAGAGTACAACACCATGACTTCGTTAGACTTCATTGACTCCTTCAGCCCGGCCCAGGAGCACTTTCTAAGGAAAGCTCTCTTGGAGAGCTGCGTGAAAAAGGAGCTTCATTGGCTCTCGGTGCCCAATTCGGTGCTGCTTTTGGGTCCTCCGTTCAGACTGATCAACCCTCCAAAGGGCATAGATATGCCTATTCTCAGGCATTTTTACTTGAACTACGTCAAGACGTTCCCCTTGATCGCCAGTAATCCCGAAATGGACCAGATTGAGTTCTGGCGAGACACCGTGCATCCGTTTGTGGACAGCTTCAACGAAAAGAGGATCCTGGACTCCATTGAAAGAAAGGAGCTGATCACCAAGCGCCACCAGATCAACACTCGGCTTCTGCTGTTGCTTATTCTATTCTACAACTCGATGATTGTGAGCGAAAAGGAGTTCCAGTACTTGGACAGCGACCACCTCAAGGATTCAGATAAGGGCAAGCTCGATAAGCTCAGCAGGAATCCGAATGCAGCACACCAGAGTTTTGATGCTTTCCAGGGCACGAGATCGCTCAAAGACTACGACCATATGGTTTACTCGAACAACATCAACGTGAACATTGTTGCTGTGGATTTGATTAATGTGGATGCAAACGCAGCCAAGGGAGGTTGGCTGCAATTATGGAAACCAGTGGAGCAGAAACGGAAGCTGCATTACCTTTTTGTGTTGCAGGTGACCACCAGAGAGGGTGCCAATGGAAGCTACACCTACACATCCCACTTCATCAGCAAACTGTACCTGGACTTCAAGAGACTCGAGACCGATCTCAAGAAAAAGTATCCTGGTTTGATGACCACCGACATTACGAAATTGCCCAGGAAATTGAAGCACGACGGGGGCCATGCTGACGACGATGACGGAGAAAGAGGCTCTCTGCTGGATAGTTCGAGGTCGCTGGCTTCCAAGGCTACAAAGGCCGATCTCAAGTACCAAAGGGAAAAGTTGCGTTTGGCCCTTCGTGGGTATATTGCCACGCTTTTGGCTAAACCGGAAATCGCCCACTGTGACGTTCTCCGTGCTTTTTTGAGCGACCCTAAACGCAACTTCCAGAAACTTCTGCCCTCACAGGAGGAGGACTATGCGCTGAGAATGGAGCTTGAAAAGCGCCGTCTCATGACACAGATTGAGTTTCAGGAGGAAACCGCCAAGTCCGTCTACGAGCTCTCGAAAAGATTTGAACAGTTCAAGGCAGAGCTTTTGGAGAAGCCCGAGCTGCTCAGTCAGATCTTTGAAGAGTTCAGTAAAACACAGTCGCTTGAGGAGGTTTCGCCGCTTCTACGGACCTTCTTCGAGTGGTGCAAGTTGGAAATAGCTGCCACTCTCTACCAGGTTTTCCTTTCACAGGACAACTCTAGTGAGTGGTTCAGAAAGTGCCTCAAGTTCCACAAGATGTTTCCCTACAGCGTGTGCTACGGCATCCTCAAGTACACCAACCCGGTGAAGGTGATGACACGCATGGTGGACGTTCTTCTTGTGAGCATGCCTACGGTAAGTGTTCCATGGGCATCGAGCGAAAAGAAAAAGGTGAACAACTTGCTTTCGATGATTTTCGTGATGTTGTTGGACGAGGATCTCCAGGACTACCTGAAGGAGCGGGCCAAGTTGCTTGAGGAGGCTCCTTTGAACGATCCAGCTTTCCAGCCTTTCATCGAACGTATCACCAGCTATGTTTCCTCGCACGATGTGGAGGTGGCTGACGAGATCAAGGAGGAGAGTTTGGCCAAGGATGAGCACCTTTTGATGACGATTTTCCAGACCAGCAAGCTCGAGCCGAAGCTTTCCGCCAGGGACATTGAAACATTCAAAAAAGTGGAAGCAGCGTATGTCAAATACCAGTCGATGGAAGAACACAAGCAGGCCGACGAAGCAGCGGCTTTTGTGGCTCTTCAGCAGCTCTGGCAGTTGGAGGTGCGTTCCCGAGACAAGGAGCTCATGAAGCAGCTCTGGAAAGAGCCCGAGTTGACGAAACTCATCAAGAAATTCCTCGTTGTTTTCTACAACCCGCTCATGACAGTGATGAAGCAATGCGGGATCCACACGGCGTTCCGAGACTTCCAGACCTTCATGGACGACCTCATGGCCGAGCTCAAGGAGCTTGACGAGGGCGGTATTTACTTCACGTCGCCAGTGGAGATCTTCAACCGGTTCAAGGCGCTTCTAAACAAACACGAGCGGTCCTTCTGGCGGATCCTCCGCGACCTCTACTTGAAAGACGACAAGAAGATTTTCCACGGGCTCATCACCTGGATCGAGAGTTTCCTAGTTGCGCTTCGCCGCAAGAACATTGCGCCCGAGCTGGTGATGGTGGATTTCGGCAAAATGGCGCCGCAAGAGCCGGTGGATCCTGGGCTTTTGGAAAAACAAGTAAACAACCGCATGGAAGCCACGATGGAAAAGAGGAGGATTATACGAGAGTACCTCGAGAAGCAAGCCCACAAAGATGAGGAAACAGAGGGCGTGAGCAAAGACCAAGCCGCGATTAATGCACGGTGGGAAAAACTCAACAACGGCGTGTTTGAGGTTGACAACGGCGGGCTTGGATTTGACGGCGAAGACTACGACGAGCTAGAACTCGCCAAATTGGGCGATCTTGAAAAAGGCGATCAGGAAGCGCAGCTTCTTCTCAGGGACCTTGCACGGTTTGACAAGGCCATGGATCAGAATGTGCTGGAGATTGAAAAAGTGGCGCCGTGCATGCATTTCCAGATCCACGAGATTTTGGACGCTCTCCCGATGGACCCCCGGCTTGAGCAAGCGACAAAGCGACTCTCCAAAAATTGATCCTGGCTTAGGCTCATGACAAAAGAAGGACAAGCAAGAAAACAAAAAAAATGACAAAAATACAACAACGGTTTGAGCCCGGTCCTGCTGGTTGGCGGAGGAACAATGGGGACGGGGGAGGTCAACCGCGACTGAATGCAGGACGGACGGTACAAATGCTCAGGCACCGTGCTTTTCCTTGGCCTAATCGCGAAGGTGATCGTGTGATCAGATAGCCTTCCACGCAGGAATGCAAAAAAATTTTCGGGAGCAATTCCAGGGGCAAAACATCCGCAAATGGGAATTTGGCAGCGAGAGAAGTTTCACAATGGCCAGGGCTCGCAAACTTGTCTTGACGCGGTTTTTTTTTTGCGGAACAATCCATGCATCGGCTGCGAACACTGCCCAATTGTGAGATTCGATGAGCAGGAACGGCGTCCGGGCGCAGACCCGTACACCTGCTGAGTTGGGGGAGATTTATTTTTGCAGCACCTTTGCAAAATCCAGCCACCCATCGAGTGGCGGGCCATCCAGTTCAAAAGCGGCTTAATATCCCGACCCCTGCTTCAATATGTCCAGGAGCGTGTCGTGTTAGGCACCTTTGCATCCAGTTCCGCTGTGTGTGCTGCTGCATTCTTCTGCGTGGCAGCCTCGCGACGGCATATGGCGGAGCCACTTCCGTAAAGATTCACATTTTGGCTTTTTCGTGTTGGGGGTCTTGAGCATTCTGTACTTAAAAAGCCCTTTTTCCGTGTCGAAGATCGCTCAAGCCAGGTTTGCTGGATTCGGATTAATCGCTCGCCACGTCCCACTCCCGTCTTCTGTATAAACTGTCCCTGTTTTGCTCCACCTGTTTCTCGTGTGCCTTGTGATTCCATCGTCATACTTTTTGTCATGTTGCAAGTTCTTTTGAACAAGATCAACTCTCACCGCAAGGCCGCCGTGGCCGTGCTTCTAGCGATGGTCTTGGTCAACTTGTTGATTGTCCTGCTGTCGAACTACTTTCTGGTGATTGAAATTCCCGATTTCCTCCAGGGCTCTTTTGAAAACAGAAAGAACATCTTGTTCCTGAAGGTCCGCAACAACCCTAAGAAATACTGGCTTTCTGATGCTGCCGAGCTCCACTACTTGGACGCCGACGTGCCTCTTGACCAGGTTTTGCCCACCGAGCAAAGTAAGACCGACAGCACTTTGTGGTATGATCCTCGCTTCACCCTTTCCGTGTATCTCAACGAATTGATTCATAACGACGGCAAGGAGGATATGCCCGTGTACCCTTTCCACTGGTCGGACTGGATTGACCTCACCGGCATGAACAAGTACTTTGTTGACCAGGATAGAATGACGTGCAACAAGCTCAAATCCAGAATCAGAGGTCGTCCCGACGTGCTGTACTTTTGCAAAGACAAGCACGAATTATCCGACGGCGACATTGAACGCATGGGCTGGACCTCTTTGGAGCAGGTTCCCGACGCTGTTATTTTTGCTCATTGCAAGCACGACCACAACACATACAACGACCACCGTTCCTACATGGCCAAGTCCTACGGCTTGACCAATCTCCCCAAGCCTTTGAAGGTAATTATTTTGAACAAAGAATCTGGCACCTACGAGTTTTACGTTGACCAGTCCAAGGGCCCCGAGCAGAGACTCAAAAACTCCGGCTTGATTGACCGCTTCCTCCGCCAGGCTTTGGGCACCTCCGCCCAGGCCGTGGCTAAAGCCGGCACCACATTTACCGTCAACCACTTGAAGCTCTACAACAAGTTGCTCAGCAAGGTCAAGCCTAAGATGTTGCCAAAGGACGACGACCCATACGGCGTCTACCACGTTACTCACAACAACAAGGGCGACTTGCCTTTGAATGCTGAAATCTTCCACTACGACAGATCCTCCGTTGATGACCAAATTAGACAGTACGAGGGCAGAAGCAACCTTTCTGTCATGGAGCAGAACTACTTGGCTGGTCTCCGTGAATGTGCCCCATACAACGATGAAACCGAGCTCACCTACTTCAAGGAACCCACTCTTAACACCAAGGAGTACCGTAACAAGGACAACGATGTTGGCTGGCATTACGACTGGCGTTTCTTCACCGATGCCCTTATGTATGACAAGGAGGGCTGGACTAGAGCTGAGCGTACCGTCAGAACCAACATCATCTTGGAACGTCTTTTGCGTAACTGGAGTCGTTTTGTTGAAGAGAAGGGTCTTGTTTCCTGGATCGAACACGGTCCCTTGTTGTCCTGGTACTGGGATGGTCTCATGTTCCCCTACGACAACGATATCGATGTGCAAATGCCTGTCATGGAATTGTTGAGATTGTCTAGAGACTACAACCAGACTTTGGTGCTTGAGGACCCTAGCGAAGGCTATGGAAAGTTCTTGATCGACATCGGTACCTACGTTCACAACAGAGGAATTTCCAAGAAGGAAAATCACATTGATGGCCGTTTCATTGACGTGGACTCAGGGATTTACATTGATATCACTGGTCTTGCCAAGTCTGAAGCATCTCTTCCTCAGGAGTACAAGGATAATCCTATTGTTGAGAAACTGGACGGCGACATGGAGGCTGAGGTGTACAATGACCGCAGAAAGCATTTCTATACACTCGAGCAATTGCAGCCTTTGCACTACTCCATGATCAGTGGTGTTCCAGTGTTCATTCCTCAAGAAATTGAGAACAGATTGAGGTTCTCTTACAAAAAGGGTTTGGAGGACTACGAGTTCAACGGCTGGCTCTTTGTGCCCAGCCTCGGCTTGTGGCTTCCTAAGGAGAAGGTGATTGAGGTGTTGGAAAAGAGTGAGTACACAAGAGAGGGTAAGGAAGAAAAAGAGCTTCTCATTGAGGCTACCAAGAACTTGACGGAGGAGCAGATCTTGAAACTTCTCCAAGATGACGACACTCTCGTGGAATACTTCTTCACCGTTGACTACACTGAATTCCACTCCAAGGAGATGGACTTTTTGTTTGACAAGAATGGAAAAGATAGCAAGAAGCTCCAGGTTGCCTCTGTTCGCAACAGATACAAGGAGTTGACCAAGAATATCAACATGCGCAGTCCGATGAGAAAGTGTCTCTTTGAGTACGAGAAGTACGACAGAATCAAGCACCACAGCGAGAATTAGTGCAACCCCAAAATCTTACTTTCGTTTTCATGCATGCTTTTCGAGGTCCTTCCCAGGGCTAGAGTTGCCTTCCCATTTCTTCTCCTTGCATAACCCATTGCTTCATTACTAGGTGTTTCCCCGGACCGCTCGGTCTTGTCCGAGCTTGCCGAATGCCACTGCAGGGTGGGTTCGTATTTTTACTTTTGTCATTCGCTTGAGTTGGATTCCCAACGTTTTTGCATAGGGCCTTTGAGCCAATACACTAGTATGGGATGATATACGTAGACTGTATAACCACTACACCCGTTTCTTTTTGGCAGACCTCCGTGCACCAGTCCGACTTCTACGAATGAATAAGTCGGTGAGAAGTCAAAAACCCGTGCACCGCAACTCACCCGGTCCAGCGCGGAAACAGGAGAAACACCCGTACACCATGCATTACCCACGCACTGTAGTGTCTTATTTCTTTTACAGGCCACATGCCAGACCCCTAATTGAAGATTTGATTGAATTAGAGCATCTTCATTTTCCTCATACACTTTGATTCATCGTGACCATGTCGGAAACAACTCTTCGCAAAAGAGTGGCAGGCGATTCCCACGATCGTGCCGGTCCTAGCCGTGCAACTTCCGGCACCAGCGAGCTACTATTGACCGAGATAGACAAGAATAAGGAATTTAGTACAACGGAGGAGCTTTTGATCGAAAAACTCGATATTTTCCTCAGCCTGATAGAACAGAGAATCGAGCGGTTCGAGCAGTACTTCAAGGTGATGGGATCTGAAGAAGCCGTGGAGGAAGAGGACGAAAATGAAAAGGATAAAGAAGCCAGAGAGGGCCGGTCCCGTAGAAACAGTCTGGCGCTGTTGAGCCTGATTCTGCTGATTCGTCAGATCTCTGTTTCCCATTTGAATCGGGTTTACGAGCAGTTGTACAAGGTGAAGGAGCTGGTTTTGGTGAATTCCTTCAGGAACGCCGAGTACTTGTACAAGACCTTGGACGACCAGTACAGCAGCATGTTTGGCCGTGAAGTAGAGGACTTTCTGGATTCCGAGATTACTACTCCAGGAGCAGGCTTCCCGGGTATGGCTCGCAAAGAAGCGCTTCAGAATAAGCTTATAGACACTTTGCACTATTTCGAGGAAAAATTGGCATACATTGACGGGTACCTTTCGGCTAAGGGGGGTGCTGTCGAGGAGGACGAAGCCTCCAGCGCTTTGAAGTTCTTCAACTTCAACAAAGCCTTGAAGCACCTGGACGACGGCTACTTGCACTACTACCAGCTTCCACTTGCGTGGAGAGAGAACAAATACATTATAGAAGGCTACCGTTTCACGATGGGCCATTGGGACATGGTCAAGCTGATGTTCCACTTTGACCACAACGAAACGGGCAACATATGGACTCACATGATCGGCTTTTTTGTCATCAGCTACTTGGCTGTCGTGCATTTCCCTCAGACCAGCGTCTACCAGGCCAACCTGCTTACTGACAACTGCATCATGTACTTATTTTTCGCTGCCAGTGCCAAATGTCTTATCAGTTCGATTCTCTGGCACACATACTCGTGTTTTGCTCACTTGCAGACAAGAGCCCGTTTTGCCTGTGTGGACTACACCGGTATCACCACTTTGATCACCTGCTCGGTGGTATCAGCCGAGTACTGTGCGATGTACCACATGCCCAAGCTCTTGACGTTTTTCGTAACATTATCGATCATTTGTGGTCTCGGCGGATTGGCGTTTAACTGGCTGCCTTACTTTGACAAGCCCGAGTGCCGCCATTTGCGTATTGGCTTCTTTGTCGGTTTGGCTGCCATGGGTGGCATGACATTCTTTTTCAAGTGGTACTACGAGGGTATTTACAGCTCGCTTTACTTTTACATGCCACTCTCATACAAGCTGTTTTTGTGGTACTGGATCGGTGTGCTATTCTACGCTGGCTTGATTCCAGAGAGATGGAGATACGATGTGATTGTGGATCACGAGGCTCCGTGTCGCCACACACACACCCCACTGGACGTATTGTCCGGATTTGAAAACTCCGGTAAGGAGGAGATTGAGGAGATTGAACAGGAGATGGAGAAGCTTGGGGAGTCTCAAGCGGAGTCGGCAGTCGCCGAGAATCAGACCATGTCGGTGATTCAGAAGCACTTCCCAGCTACCCCGACCAAAACGCCTTACCTGGGCGACTTCCTCTCGCTCTGGTGGGTGGACTACATCGGACTGAGTCACAACATGTGGCATATTTTTGTCGTTTGCGGCATTGTGGGCCACTACTTCAGTCTCATTGGCATGTTTGAGTTAATTGCACGATAAACGGATGGTACAGAAAAATACATGAACGGTATGGAACACCCCTTTACTAACACTACTGATTTTCTAGGATGCCGCAGGCTCGTAGTACAAATTATTACTAATCATGACTAGCGCCCCACAGAAAGGTGGAGGGGCATTTGGGATTGGAGAGGTCGGGGCAACTTGTCGGACATGGACTCCGTGGTTTCGACATTGTCCTTTTTCAAATAGCCCCACAGGCATTTGCATGGTCTCCCTCTGAGACATTATGGAGACCCCGTACCATTGAATGGTGATCTTCAGGGTTGATCTTCTGCATAAACCACGGTGGTGGTATGCTAGGCTTAGATGATAAGACAGACGCGAGAGCTTATCAGCCAGTTTCATGTTGGTGTTTCGTCTGCACCGTGAATGTTTCAGCCTGACTACAATTTCAGAGGAAAACCTCGGCAGTGGCTTTACCGCCTGAAAGCACGTCCCAGGCAATATCGGTCATAAATTATCGAAAAGACCGTGGCGCTATTTACACACTCCAAAACCCACAAGGAGCCCTGTGCTCCTCGAAGCATTTGGCCCCAGGACAAAGCATCTAACCATGCTTCCAAAAACAGCGATTTTCGACAAGTATAGCCCTTATCGAATGGCTCAAGCAGGCTTGGCTCAACACGAAAGTGCCATGTACGAGATATGTACGAAGTCGAGGTTGTGGGGAACTGGATTGACAAATAAGAGGAGTTACCTGATGGAATTTCGGCCCAGGGGCATGCTTTGTCGACGTACAGATAGCCGAAACGCTGGTTGTGGAGAAGGAAACACAAAAAAATAGCGTCGACACGGGCGTGGATGAGCCAATCGAGTTAAGCGATCGCCTTGTTGACGGCGTGAAGTAGCTGCAAATCGGATCTGCAAGGTTTTCGGTTTCTCGAGACAATAGATGCAAAAAGTGGCTCGGTGTGGCACCGAAATTGGTTTTGGTTTTCGGCGCGGGGCTGCGGGGGAGTGTAGCCCCAGGAAAAACTTTTGGCAGGAAAAAGAAACCCTGGCAGCAGGATTGACAGGATGCCCCGCGGAAAACGGTGAGTTTTCCCGAAAAACGGTACGGCCCTCCGCTGTTACAATGGATGGGGAGTTTCCAACTTGTGGATTGTTAAATTCACCCCCGGAACTCTCCAGCCTCCCTGGCCTCCATATTACCCTTGCCTCCATATTAGCGCTCCCTCCCTCCATATTAGCGCTCCCTCCATATTAGCTGTTTCCCTCCATATTAGAATCCTTCCCTCCATATTAGAAGTTTCCCTCCATATTAGCCATTTCCCTCCATATGCGCTTTGTGCCGCTTCCTTCAGCCCGGTCATACCGGGGGGAAACCGAACGCAGGGCGTTCCAGGCCTCTTTGTAACAGAGGGCTTTGGTGCTTATATTCCTGGAAAACACCTTTGGAAAGTTGATAAACTTCCCTGAAATTTTTGTTGAAAAACACGTTGATGTATTCATGCAGAACAAGGATATGTCTCAATGAGTCTTACCGGTGGGGTTATCTCCAAACAAAGGTGGAGATACAGCTTTGCAGAGCGGATTTTCCAACATTCGTTGTGCTTCTACTTTTACTTTTTTTTTTTTTTTTTTTTTTTTTTTGTTTTATTTTTCTTTTTTCACCGATTCCGTGTCTTGTTTCGTCTGAACGGCCAGCGTGAATTCTGCAAATCTGGACTACGTGGATCTGGGCTAAGGCGATTCTCGCGGGCACCCGCAACCTGGTCCTGGTTACCTTCCTTTTTCATGATTTCACGTTTTTTTTTTTTTTTTTTTTTTTATCAGACGTCTTTTTCTTTTCATGCACTGCCTGGCTGCTAAATTATCATCGTCGTCATTACACCTCGCTTTCCTCCGACACGACTTTTTGCCGCACGGCTGCCCTAGACGAAAATTCGCCAAGATGGATTTATCCTGTTTCGATGTATTTTGCTGTTTTGGTCCGGGGAGGTAAAATTCTCATGTGGAGGGGCAGCTTTTTTTTTTTTTTTTTTTTTTTTTTTCCAAGCTTTTCCCGTGCGAAAGACGTACCCAGCCTCTGACACGGTGATTTCTTAGCTACTCAGTAGCCTGGCTTTGTTAACTGTCCGGCTGGCTTGGCCCTGTCAAGACCCAAGGACAAGAGTTGTGTTTGACAGCTCTTGGGTTTTGACAGGTTGAATGATGGACTAGAAACGCTATTGGGATGGGAGTTTGATGTGCTTTACCCTCGGCGGATGCAAACTGCTACCCTCGGGTGTCCGAGGCAGGGATCCGGGCCCTCGGAACGCTCGCGCAGTATTTGTTTTTTTTTGGGAATCCGGAGCATAATTTGTCCGTAGACCCTGCACCTAGCCGCCTTTGCATCCCGCATCCTGCGGGTTCCCCACCACGTACGTCTGAAATAGACTGCGTTGTTTGCACTCCCGCCTGGCCAGCCAGGAGCCGTATGGGGCGAACGCCTGCCCCGCAGGCAACCCCGCGCCTCACCGGAAACTTGAAATGTCACCCCACGGCAACACTTCCGGATCGATCCTCACACATTCAGGGATTTTCAACAAACCTTTTCATAAATCCCTCATCAGTGGAAAAAAGTTTTCGTTCGCGCCTGCATGGAGCTCAGCAAAGGCGCCGCGGTGACATATTGCCTGGTTTCAAGTCCTGTACGGAAGCGCCACCAGGCGCTAGCGACCCACATGGACAAGACGTCATTTCGCTGCCAGAACTGCAGACGCGACCAGCAGGTCCAAACGCTCATACGCAGCTTTTCTTTTTTTTTTTTTTTTCTTTTTTGTACGCTCCCCCATGTTCCCGCCAAATGGAGTAATTCCAGCTTAAGCCCCAGGTATAAATACTCCGGCATTTCCTACCTTTCCCAGATCCTCAGCTAACCATGATCTTTTCTAGAACATCTACTTGGGGTCTCGAAGGTAGACCCTTGAGAGCCATGGTGACGGCTACCGCCACCATTGGTTTCTCTCTTTTCGGTTACAACCAAGGTATGATGTCTGGTATCATTACCGGTGAATATTTCAACAAAGAATTCCCTGCCACCATGGCCGGTGACAACTGGGCCGCCGCCGTTGGTGAGGATGAGGATATCCCAGAACCATCTGAGGCTGCGAAGTCTCACGCTTCTGTTATTCAGGGTGCTGTTACTGCTTGTTACGAATTGGGTTGTTTCTTCGGTGCCATCTTTGCCTTGATCAGAGGTGAGAGAATTGGCCGTAAGCCTATGGTTGTCGTCGGCTCCATCATCATTATCATTGGTACTATCATTTCCACTACCTCTTTCCACCACGCCTGGGGTCTTGGTCAATTCGTTATTGGACGTGTGATCACTGGTGTTGGTAACGGTTTTAACACTGCCACTATTCCAGTGTGGCAGTCTGAGATGTCTAGAGCCGAGAACAGAGGTAGATTGGTCAACTTGGAGGGTTCCGTTGTCGCTGTGGGTACTTTCATTGCCTACTGGTTGGACTTTGGATTCTCCTACATTGACTCCTCTGTCCAGTGGAGATTCCCCGTTGCTTTCCAGATCTTCTTCGCTGGAACCTTGTTTCTCGGTATTGTCGGTATGCCTGATTCTCCTAGATGGTTGATTTCCAAGGACAAGAAGGACGAGGCCTTGACTGTCTTGTCTAAGATGAAGGGTGTTTCTGTTGACCACGACGAGGTTTACGCTGAATTCACTTTCATCCAGGACTCCGTCACCAGATTCTCCAGAGCCCAGCTCGGCTTCAAGGACTTGTTCTCCGGTGGTAAGTCTCAGCACTTCCAGAGAATGGTTATCGGTGCTTCTACCCAGTTCTTCCAGCAGTTCACTGGTTGTAACGCTGCCATTTACTACTCCACTGTGCTTTTCGAGACCTACATTTTCCAGGGTCAGAGACGTTTGTCTTTGATTCTCGGTGGTGTTTTCGCTTCCGTCTACGCTTTGGCCACCATTCCATCTTTCTTCTTGATCGATACCTTCGGTAGAAGAAACTTGTTCTTGCTTGGTGCCTTGGGTCAGGGTATTTCCTTCACCATCTGTTTCGGTTGTTTGATTGACCCAACCCCAGAGAACTCCAAGGGTGCTGCTGTGGGTATTTACTTGTTTATTACCTTCTTTGCCTTCACCATCTTGCCATTGCCATGGATCTACCCACCAGAGATCAACCCATTGAGAACCAGAACCTTTGCCACTGCCATCTCCACCTGTACCAACTGGATCACCAACTTCGGTGTTGTCATGTTCACTCCAGTTTTCATGGATGCTTCCGCCTGGGGTGCCTACCTTTTCTTTGCCTTGATGAACTACTTGTTTGTCCCAGTCATTTTCTTCTTCTACCCTGAGACTGCCGGCAGAACTTTGGAGGAAATTGACATTATCTTCGCCAAGGCCCACACTGACGGCCGCCAGCCATGGAGAGTTGCCGCCACCATGCCTAAGCTTTCGCTTAAGGAGATTGAGGACCAGGGTAACCAGCTTGGCTTGTTCGACGAGGAGTTTGAGAAGGAGCACTTCGATGTTAAGGAGGATGTCACCTCCAACTCTTCTCAGGCCGAAGCCGAGGAGGGTGTGTTGAATGAGAACAAGGCTGCTAACCAGGTTTAGATGCCTTATAATAGAATTAATAAGATACCAAGTTTAGAGATTTACTTAGTTCAGAGATTTGTTTCTGTAGAAGCTTATGATTATTCAGCCGACGCCAGTTGACGGGTTGCAGCTGGTGGCTGCTACATTCTCTTTGTGCATCGCACGCCCCGCGCGGCTTAGGTCGGAATGCACGAGAACGGCGTTCGAAAGTGGCGCCATTTACACGTCTAGAGTTTGGCCGTACTGTGTGCAGGACCTGCATTTTTGGCGCCTCAGGCTGAAATGCTGATGCTGGTAGAAAAATCCCAAACGAAACAGCGCTGAGATTTGCAAATTCGAAAGCATAACGTCGATTTGCATGGATCGGCGCCGCCGAGTGCTGGTCCGAAACGCACGCTATTTCGTTAAACATTTCGAGGCGATTTTGCAGCATCATGATGTAAGTCCGGGCATGTACAGCGCATGGAAAGAACAAGAGCATTGCAATTACGTAACGGCGGAAAAGACATAATGACAATGTAGAAAAAAAAAAAAAAAAAAAAAAAAGGTAGAAGGGCAACAAACGGAACAATAGAAATCTAAGGCATGGCAGGGTCCGTAAAGCGCCGTGGCACTGCGATGTGCCGCCCAAAACCAAAGTTGCTCTTAAGTCACTGTACTGGCAGGATGTCCCAAAACGTGAAAATGGCAACATCCATGTTTCATTACTTCTGCAAAACTAAAGCGCCGATTTTAAGCCGCCTTGAAGCGAACCCTAAAATACCCGAGCAGCAAGCAAAAAAAAAAAACTGTTTCTTTGTTCTGCTCTGGTGTTGGGAGCACTTCCCGATTCTTTAGATTCTTGGAAATGAGCTGCAGCGTCACGGCCAAACTCTATTCGGTTTTGAGGAATTGCTATGCCAGCGGTGTTATCGGAGATTGAAAGAAGTTTCTAAAAGGCATGTTGTTTTGTAGATGAGTAATTATACTGTGGATAGTTTTATGTGTAGTCGGAGTCTTGAATGTAACGCCGAAATCGCCTCTTCAAAGCACCAAGTCACTCAGGGGGAAAACCCAATCGCTGAACCTTCTCAGCAAGCGTTCTGATAGGCGGTGAAGCGTTTATGCGGCAGTGGGAGTAAAGAAGGTTTGACTTGTGGGGATGCGATAAAAGCTAAATGGCGTTTGCATTACGCTAGCAATTTGATCGTTTCGGGTCACGGCGTCGTAATTAAAAAGCTTGATCGTGCCATGCGAAGAAAAGTGATCAGTTTTGTGATTGAGTTACGATGTGGCGGCGGATCTGGCGGAAAGAGGCGGGTCATTAAAGGTGCCTTGATAGGGTATCCTTGTTTGGCTGGAACCCGGAGCTTCGTCTAAGATGCATCAAATATCCGGGATTCAGACTTTCGACGGCTAGACGGTAACGAATGTAAACGGATCACAGTCGAAACTTTACTTTGAATTCCGACCCAGAATTAAACGACTTCCGACCGAAGTGGCACATAGCGCTTTCTGATTATGTTATCATCTCCAGTCTACGCTTCCATCAATAAGCATCACAAACATTGAATATGTAGACGGTGAGTGACCAGCACTCTATTCATAATGAGCTTCCTGACCATATGGTTGATGTGAGTTAACTTCGGAAATCCATACACTGGCATCGGCCTTTCACTGGCATCGGCATTTCACTGGCATCTAATGCTCCTGCCTACCCTATAGTTCCCATGCCCCAACGGATCCCGATCCGTAAAAACAATCACAGCTCTCTGTGGACGATGAGCCCAGTACCCGTTCCACCGGTACTTCGACCCAACTAGCATAAATGGCACCCAGTACATGAGTAGATTCAACTATCCAAAATCCATGATCTCTCCCTTTTGAATACCATCCTCGTCTTCCGCCTACTAGCTCCTTAAACGCATGCAATATAATGCATTTCAACGGTTCAACAAAATGGCCCCTCCTGATAAGCCTTAGGCCCGAGCTGTCAAGGCCTCGCTATCACCGAACCAGTGAGCCCGAGAATGACATCCATTGTTGCACCTAACCCCGAAACACAATCCACAACACCCAAGCCTACACGCTACACCGCCAGCCAGCTCGAACCACCAACTAAACGTATCTCGGGCCATTTTACAAATTATCACCCTCCCCACAATCCTCCGTTTCACTTGCAGAGCCCCTGGACCTGCACAGAACCGTACTGCCCGCTCGATTGGGTCCATCTCGGCGTTTGCCGCCCCGCGCCCTATCTCCAGATCTTCCCCAGATTCCACTCATTGGTCGGTCCTGTTTCACCTGTCGATCGTTGGCCCCGCATGAACGCAGGCCGATGCTGAACATTCTTTAAAATCTCGGCCATAAGCTTGTTCCTATCTCCATTACTTGTCTCACCCTTCTTTGTCAAGATCGTTACTTTGTCGACTTTTCTTCCGCATTGAATAATATTGAGACCCGAGCTTTTTCGACAGTCTCGGCAGGCCATCGTCTCATCTCCGAAACAACACTGCTTTTGGGAGTCAAGTGTCAAATAAGCTACTCCAAGGAAGAACCGGTTGAAATACACCAATCCCGAATTCAAACTCCTATTTATTGACTGCTGGCAGTCCCTTTCACCAAACCCAATCCAGCTCCAAAGCACAACTCAACCCTAAGACCATGGAGGTCGTGGAACAGAAGAAAACAAGACCCCAGGACGTCAAGGTCCTCGACGACGGCACGGTGATAAAACTCCAGAAAGCCCGCCAAAGACGTATCCTCAGTTGCGTCCACTGCCATCTGAAAAAAATCAAATGTTCCAGGGTTCAGCCCGTCTGCAACAACTGCTCGAAACACGGCATTCCATGCCAGTACTTTGTCAACGAAAGGGTTTCTCGAGGAGGCCGGAAAAAAGTGAAAACAGAGCCGGAAGATGTCCCCATGGGCAGCACGCTGTCGGAAACTAGTGAATCTGGCAAACTGACCAATTCAGCATCCCACGAACACAGGTCTTCTCGGTCCTCGGCGCTGGATTTCGACAAAGAGGAGCCCGAACCGAAGGATAAACCCGAAATGCAAGACTCCCCGATGACATACCTCCTAGGACCCTATTTCCTGAAAAACCAGCATCCAAGCCTTTCTCCCGATATGGTGACCCCAAACATCCTCCAGGCTCCTATAGTCAACCTGACAAGCAACAACATCACCAACAACTTTTTCGGAACCAACTACGCCAACAAGGGTCTGGAGGAGCAGCCGGAAGAATACGCATTCAACCTCAGCACTTTTGCATTTGCCAACGACATGCTTCTGAAAAACCTGCCTCTTACAGATAAAGCCAGTGAAGCCAGACCTGGAAGCGAATTACACAGCAGAGTCAATTCCAGCACCAACCTTGCCAACATGTACAAAACCGCCAATCCCAATGCCACCCCGGTTCCTGGTGCTACTCCTGGTGCCAATCCGCTCCTCAATGCTACCCCAGGTGCAAATCCCAATTCACTGAAAAACTTCCTTGACGGTCCTTCAGAGCCTATGGTGCCTGTGTCACAGAGAAACTCCCAGCCCAATAACCCAGGTCTCCATAATTCTCTCAACGCATACTCGTCGAATCCAGCTACTACGGTGAATTACCTCTATGGCACCAATACGTACTATTCCAACGATAACTTGCTTTCTGATCTAGTGACGCATTTGCCAAACTCCAGAGCACGGTCTTTCGAGCTTCTAGAACGCTACATGAATTCCGTGCACATTTTGCTTCCCATTATGGTGAATATCAACGAGTTTATCAAGGAACACGAGCGGTACTGGGACCTCTATGATCCATACAAAAATGGTCCTTCGTCGTCTCCAGAGTCTTCGTTGAATTCGGGCTCAGACAGCCCCGACGCTAAAGATTTCAACCTCCTTCAATTCTACACCCTTTACTTCCCCGTTCTTTACGCATCCACTATTTCTGAGTTTGAGGAGTACGACAATCTTCTATTGAACCAGGACATCAACAAGTACTTGAAGGGATTCAACAAAATCTGCCAGTACTATAATTACCCCCACGGCATCAAAACCATGCCTTTGCTTCTTGGAAATGTGATCATCCAGTCCACATCTCCAAACCCCTCGACAATGGAGATGTCACAGATTATCAGATACGCTAAGTTCTTGCAGTTGCACAAGGATCCGGTCATTTCCTTGCGTATTCAAGACTGGAAGGTGGTCAAGTTCAGAAGGCTTCTTTGGTGGGTGATATTTGGCTTGGATGCTTTGAGTAGTCACAATTTCTGCTTACCTCCCGTGTGCAAATTTGACGATTTCAATGTGGTGATGCCCGAGGACGAGGATCCCGCTTATGACGAGAACGGCGTGGTTATCAAGAAGACGTTGAACGTCACCATTCTTGCGTTGCTTGTCAAATTCAAGTTCGACAGAATCTTGAGTGAACTTGTCTACCAGCTTCACAATGGTCTTTCCACGAATATCACACCTGAAGAAACGGACGAAATCAAGCGCATGATTGTCAATCTTTTCCACTTCATCCACAAGTCCATCAACAAAATCACCAACTACTACCAAACCCGTCCGCCGAAGACAGTTCAGGAGATGAATTTGCTCAATTTCATCAAAAACCATTCATGGAGTTTTGTCGACAGGGCCTTCATGCTTCTTCACAAGAAGATATTGCTAAGAGACCCCGCTAGAGCTCCACATGAAGGGAAAATTGGCGACACAAAATACGAAAAAGCGCTTACTAAAGATCGAGAAACGGCCTTATCGCTCGGCAAGTATGAAGATACGTTTGGACGCATTCAGGAAGCCAACATCATCAGCAATTTCGACAGTTCCTCTATTTCCCAGCTTCGCTTCAACCAGCACGAGCTTTTCACCTATGAGAATCTCCACAACAACTTGATTCCGTCTATTTTGCACAACTTGAACGATTTCCTCAAGTACAACGATTTCATCAAATTCGGCAAGTTCAACTGGTACGTCAAGCGCACGATTCCGCTAGACTCCATTATCTTGCTATTCATCATCTTGTGCGTCAAGTTCAAGTACGAGTTCATGACAGTGAACGAATTGGTGATCTACGTGAAGCTCATCAACAAGGCGCTCTTCATTCTCAACAGGAAGTACTTCAAAAACGAAAAGTACAAGCGAATGCTCTCGTTGACCAACCTCACCTGGGAGTACATTCTCAAGAAGTACAACGTTATCAAGTTGGTGAGTGTGGTGAACGAGAACAACGCCGGCAGAATTGAGTTTTTCGACTACCAGGTCAGTGGCTACATGAACATGAGCGAGCTTTTCAACATTATGGATGTTCCCCAGCCAGCACTCATCAGCAACGGCGTCAACCTCGGAAGTATCCAGCACGAGGATTCCAGTACATTCGAGAAAGAAGCGGAGCTTGACAAGGAGGAATATCAACAACGCAAAGTCATGAACCAGAGTGTTTTCCTAAACAAAACCGATCCGTACGAGGGCAAGAGCATTGCGGAGATCCAGATCCAGCGTCACGAATTGCTGCAGTTGAACGAGAAGATCTACTACGATTTGCGGAACAACTTTGTGGATATCAACGACTACTGCACCTTCTACTCCTCGCTCGAAAATGTGCTCCACGAGCTCATGGACTATATCAACGAGACCACGAAAGACATTGCAATGTGACGTTGCAGAGGACGATAATGTCCAGGTATTGGCTAGATAGGTTACAGCATGGAACGTCACATGTGTCAGGCTAACGGCCAAGGCATGTCGGCTATTAGCAGTCACGAGAGTGAAACAATTGCAGCCACAATCTAAATCTCGGGTTCAGTTCCGCAAGGCTTGGTTGGTGTTTTCGGTGTTCTAGAACTGGGTGAAAAATCGCATCTGCTCGGCGTTTGGCTGCACCGCCTAGCCGACTAGTACAATGCAGTGAAGGGATTCTTGACGAAGGCGAATTTCGATTCCGTGGTTTTTGGTGTTTTTGTTTTGACATGGCCTATTTTTAGAGGCCCAGGCCCAGGGATCCTCAGCGGCACCAGGGGCATCGAGTATGTGGAAATGTCGATTCCGTTGCATCCAGCGCAGCCAATCCTCGCACCTCCAATTGGGCATTGTTCTGAACGAGGGATGGGCGGCGGAGATGCTTGCTATTTTGAAAAACACAGATTTTTATTCAAATTGCTTGTTCAATTCTTTGAATTTTGCTTGAACTTTTTTCAAATCGATCTTTACCTCACGGTGTTAGCCGCTCTTGCCGGACCTCGAGGCAGATAAGACAAGGCGCAGAACAATGCGGCCAGGGAACACAACCAGGCGGTGTTTAAGCCGCCAACGGTGGTTTGGTGAAAAAATTGCACCATAACATCGAATTTTTTTAGAAATCTTATTTATTGGTCTTTTTCAAAATTCAGGATCGCCCCAATTTTGCGGTTTTGTCCATTCCCATATTCCTCCATCGGCACGCGGCTGGATGCCTGGCGCGCATTAGAGTGGAGAGGAACAAAGGAAGGAACAAGGCGTGATCCTCAACTCCTTCTATCTTACGATTTAGTACTCTTGCTTCTTTCTCCAGCTTAAGCCCACCGTTCCCTAATATATCTGGAAATTGTGCAAAATATTCCAAATCAGCATCTGGTTCCTTGTGCCATTCAATTGATTACCCCACATTTCCACACATCCCTACTTTCCTTTCACTTCTTTGAAGCCAGCAATGTCAGGAGTAACAGAAGCCTTCGAGACACTTTCCGTGAAATCCGTCGAGCTGGACGAACGGGCATGGACGGCCCAATCAGAGGCCATCAATTCCGAAATCCAGGACATTTTGGTCGACGTGCTAGTGGTGTTTCTGCAGCTTCCAGACCTCAACACCGCCATGAGCTCGGTTGAGGCGTGGGCGGGTGCCTTTGAGCAGCTTTTCGAGCTTGTTCCGGGACTCAAACCGGTTTTTGAAATGGCCCCGCTGGACGACGCCGAATTGCACTTTGAAGGCAGACCTGGGCGCTTCTACCTGCCCATCGAGGAGGAGTACTTCCTCGCCACCTTCTTTCAGGATTTCTGGGACATGCTTGTCAGCACAGATAAGTTGGGCGACTTGGCCGCCGGAAGCACCTTGTCGGACCCTCGTGACGACCTGATAAATGTGTACGAGTACGTCAAGGAACGAAAGCAAGGTGCACCCAGAAGACGCTCCAGGAGGGAGAGTTCCTTCAAAGAGACGGTACTTCCTTTAAAAAAAGATTATGCCCTCAGCGATAACACCACTTCTGAGGCGCTTGAGAAGCACTTGTCGTCGATGTTGGATGCTGCCAAGAGCAGCGAGGCTCCGTACGACAAGCTCTTGGACACAGCACAGGCCATACATGCCAGCACCGACAGCCACGTTGGCAATTTTTTTTCGACTTTTAAAAGGCAGGAGTTCTCTGCATTGTATGCTGCCGTTCGTGGCACCCCTGCAGCACAGGGCTTGTTGGACGTTTTGACAAAGTACTACGTTGAGTACTTGGCCGAGCCCCACATGTTCAATGCACCAGATTTTGGCACTCTCGTGAAGGACCTTCAACGTGTACAGCTGCGTGAGGACGGCCGTTCGGCCTCGGTATCTAAATAATGGGTTGGTAAGTATTGTTACCCGGTGAGAGAATCTGTAGTGTAGTGGGCGTGCCATAGTATGTGATTATTACACAATGCAATTGACCCCATTGGCTCTGTTATGGTATCATGCTGGGTTCATTGATAGCCAGTTATGAAGAGTTTAATCGCCAGTGCACTCGAAGGGTATCAATGCTTTGGGCCCTCCTTAGTATGAAAGCTCAACTAATAAAATTTCACTTCCATATCAAGATATACCTGTTGAAAAATGAACCCTTTCCGTAACCTATCGTCTATACTATCGCCCAGTTTAGTTGTAGTGTGCACTAACAATCCACCCCCATTTGGCTATACCGATCTTAAGCCAATCAACAAAGTTTCAACTACGACAATAAAGTCAAATTAAACAACTAGCTCTATAAATCTCCACAATATCAGAGCCAAGACCCCCAACTCTTCAATGCCATTTTGCACCCATTCCTCCACATAACGCGAACATCAACAGCTACACCTACTCCAAATCAACCTCGATCCATATTCACCAAACCCCATGGAGGTCTACAGCTTGCTCATTCTCAACAAAGCAGGAGGTCTTATTTACCAAAGGGACCTCAGTAACAAACTTTCCAAACTTTCAGCCAACGATTATCTCGTTTTAGCAGGAACCCTTCATGGTGCACACGCCATAGCCACAAGACTCAAGCCAGATGGGTCCCGCTCGTCACATGACGACGCCCATTCCGTCAACAGCAATATTCTTGTATCTGGGAAAGCCCATTCGCCAAATGTCAACAAGCTGGGGCTCAGTAACATCGACACTGATATCTTCAGTTTGTACGTTTTCCAAACATTGACGGGAGTTAAGTTCATTATAGTGACGTCGCCAGTAAGAGCTGTCACCGCTCAGGCAGGCACGCCTTCTCCGCTGCAACGTCAAACCGAGGTTGCCAGTAATATCTACAAACAGTGCTACCTATACTACTGCGACTACGTGATGAAGGATCCGTTCTACTCCTTGGACATGCCGATCAAAAGCGTGATGTTTGAGCAGAAGGTGCAAACTCTTGCGGGAGCCAGGTAGTGTGAGGTCTTGAAGGTGGGACATTGACGAAAGTTTCATGATCTGCAGTCACGGGGTGTTAAGCCCGATATTCGCTTTGTGGCGTTAACTTAATGTCAAGTGGTCGTTGCCGTCCCTATGGTGCAACCCTGCAAAAGGGAAATATTGTCTTGGATCCATGATAGAGTTCGTCTTGCTCAGTCCAGCGGTCTCACCTATGCCACACATGTGTTACCTGTGTTGGCTGATGTAGTTGATCTACAATATCGTCGTATCGAAAGAATCAGCTTCACTTTCAGATTCGTCCATTTCCCCTCCAGGTAAGCCCAATCTGTTCCCAAGACGCGAGGAGTTTGTTCTTCTCCGTTTGCAACCAAACAGCCCCTTCTCGACCACGGCTTCCTCGATCCAGTCTCCTTAATTCTCGAGCTACGTTGAAATTGACAATCAGTAGGATTATTCAGAATATTGGATAACTCACTATATTGTCCCTTCTACTATCAAAGACTATCTGCCCCAGACGCTGGTCCAGTTCCCTATGCACAACCTCATCAAAAAATTCACTACACCTCCACAAGCATGTCTCTGTCTCCCAAAGAACAAAAGCCGCTGTTGGATACCAGAATAGGAAAGGACTCTCCTTTCACTTTTGGTCAGCGCTTTTTAACTGACGAAAACTCTGTGTTTGACCACAATGCCTGGGACCATGTTGAATGGGGTGACGAGCAGGTGAAGCAGGCTGAAGAGCTTATATCCAAGCAGTACGAGCTGCCAGTGAAGGATTTCGACAAAAATCTCTACAACTCCAACCCTGCCAAGTACTGGGACATTTTTTACCGCAACAACAAGGAGAACTTCTTCAAAGACAGAAAGTGGCTCCAGATTGAGTTTCCATCATTGTATGAGGTCACAGGACCTGATTACAAGAAGCCTGTCACAATATTGGAGGTCGGCTGTGGTGCCGGTAACACATTCTACCCAATTTTGAACCAGAATTCGAACCCTAATCTCAAGATCGTTGGCTGTGATTACCTGAAAGTGGCCGTTGATTTGGTCAAGAGTAACGAGAACTACGCGCCTAACAACGAGAAAGGTGTTGCATTTTCGTCGGTCTGGGACTTGGCCAACCCAGAGGGCACCCTCCCAGAGCATCTAGAGCCGAACTCTTGCGACATCATTATCATGGTGTTTGTCTTCTCAGCATTGCATCCCGACCAATGGAAACATGCAGTCAACAACCTCATGAAGGTGTTGAAGCCAGGCGGAGAGATTCTTTTCAGAGACTACGGACGCTACGATTTGGCTCAGGTGCGTTTCAAGAAGGGCCGTTTGCTCGATGATAACTTCTATATTCGTGGTGACGGTACCAGAGTGTACTTTTTCACCGAGGAAGAGCTCAGGCAGATTTTCTGCACGGAAGGTCCCTTTGTTGAAGAGAAGATCGCAACCGACAGACGTTTGCTTGTCAACAGAAAGAGGCAGCTCAAGATGTACAGAATATGGCTCCAGTCCGTGTTCCGTAAGCCGCTAACTGAAGGTGACAACAATGTATAAGAAGTTGTCGAGATGACGAAATGTGGACCATATTTTTAGAAGCAGCTCGTCAGCGAGGACCAGGGCGTCGACGCCGTGGATCACAGGAATAGCATTTAGCAGGCTTTTGGTGAAAAGCTGAGGAGCCCATTTTTGCAACAAGTCGTCCAAGGTAGTGGCCTTGCTGTTTTCCAGAGGAGCAATTGGCGCCTGGATCATAACTGGCGTTCCTGCAACGTAAACCTTCACCGGCACTCGCTGGATCAGCTGGCCTCGAGGATGAAGCTTTTTGGCGATACTGTGGAAACCGTTATAATCATGCAGCGCTATGGCCTTCCACAAGAACCTGGAATCGTCCTCGCTCAACGTCATCATGGCCTTGGCGTTGCCGTTCATCACGAACGTGGACTGTTTGAGCTGGTTCACCACCACCTGGGATAGCATTGAGGAGTAATCTATAGAGTCCTCGGATACGGAGAAGGGTATGATGTCGGTGCTAGGGTACGGCAGCTCCGGGCTGTCGAACCGTAATTGAAGCACCCATTCGTTCCGCTTCTCCGCAGCAGGAAGATACAATAAATCGTACAAAACACCCGCCGGTAGGTTCCACTTCAATGGCACGTCTTCATGTTCTAGCCATATAGGCGATTTAGTGAGGTCTGCTGAAACCACCGAATCAAAGTAATTTGCTATATCTGTGTAGTGCAATGGGAAGTATGCATTTCGGTGAATGTATAGAAGGAATTCTGTATCCTCATAGACGATCTTGACGTTGATCTGACCATCCCAGACAGACTGATGTAGGGACATGAGTTGGAAGGTGTGCAGGAGCCACCGATAGACGCTTTGTCAATATGCCATTTAGGAGGTGGATTATGGAAGTGGATTCGGGATTGCTTTTCCCGGAGATAAGCTTTCTGGAAAAGCTTCTGGCGTGCTTCTGGATATGTTTTTTTTGTGCTGGTGCAATGGTTCTTCGGGATGGCTGGTTGTGTGCTAGATAAGGAAGGTGGATCGTCAAGCCCCTGAAATACGTCGCTAAACGCAGGGATTGGCCGGGGAACAAACTTTCCGTTGTAAATTGATGTGCAATTATCTAAAAAAGTGGAATTGGGTTATTTAGTTGTTGGTGGTGTTTGGACATCTGGTGGGTGGTGGTATACTGGCTGCAAAATGTCGCAACCCACACTACTTAAAAACGACAAAGAATCCTAAAAGCTTAAAATACACATCTGCTGTCAAAACTGGTTATTTTCCTCATCGAATGGGAATGGAGAGTGGAATGATTTTCCGCCCGATTCCGCCTTCTGTGCGTCCCGATACCTTCTCGAATCCACAGCCAGCGTCTACACCCAACCAGCATGGAACTTGCACCAAGCAAGGAAAATGACTACGAACCTTGAATCACATAGTTTTGTTAGTGAACACCCTAATTCCATTTTGAGAGCTACAAGCGCCCTAGAGAACCGTCAAACCTGGATGACGTCAACGTAGAACAGCCTTAAGACATCTTCCCAAAGACTAATAGTCTTTCGGGACCCCTGGATATTATCCAAAAGAAAGAAACCTCCTTCCGTCAATTTCCTCTCCATGGCCACTGCCTCTCGGAATCATACACCTAAACCACCCAGATCATGGCTGAGGTTCCGAAACATACATGCAACGATCCGTCCAAGCCGTCAGTCTAAGCCATGTCAACGAATGTTCCCAAGCCCCAATCAGTAAATCACAAAGCCTTCAGATCGCCTCCAAGTCGCCTCCAAATCGAAACCCCTCCATCCTCATCGCCACTTCCAGAATTAAACTCTGGATGCTTGGCGCCTATGCTTGGCTGCAAACGAGAAAAAGCCCAGATATGGGTCCACCAGGCCAACAGCTGGGCTACATGGATGCGGCGGATGGGCCCAATTCGGAAACCTTCCTGGCGGCAACGTTCCAGAAACACTTTTCAGACGATCGTGGTGGAGGTTTCCCGATGCGGTGCAACCAGCCACCCGGGCATTTTTCACTCAACCACGATGTTCAAAACCCAGGCCACTTACAACCACTACTAAATTGGCCTCTTAATAATTGCTTTTGTGAGTTGTTGCCCCACCGTATCGTTGTTTTGACTTTTGTCTTTTTTGTGGGCTTGGCGGGCCCTTCATTGTAGCCGGTTTTCTGCCTTCTTCATCGCCGGCGCAGATGCACTCTTCCTATTCTTGTCAAACCAGCCTCCGACGGACCCTGCAACTATTTATCTTATCGCATCTGCCGCAGTGCTTTCTTGCTTGATCCACCTACCTTTTTTTCCAAATGGTCCCTTCTCTGCTTGTGGTACCCAAACAGCGCTCGTTTGCAGCCAAACAGTCAGATAGACGCCGCCTCAGTGATAGTTTCTATAGGAGGGACACGCCGAGGGCGGTTTCTGAAAGTCCTAGGAGTGACAATTCGAAGAAGGAGAATCTCCTTCAAAAGGACTTGAAACGGTCGCTGCGCTACAATGTGGATCTTTCATCGGCTGTGGCTTCCTATGTTCCTGGTCTGCTAGAACTAGAGGATATCCCGGTCTTGCCGGTCTACAATAGAGCTACAGGGAAATTTCGAGTGTTTTCCACGCCTACTTCTTCACATGAAGGCAGCCCTCGATCATCAAACAAATCTATAACCGAAGATCGCTCTTTCTCCAGCCAGTGCTCCGATAGACTGTCCCAGATGTTCGGTGGAGCTGCTCCTTTTGACGTCAATAACGGCCTAGGTGCTCCAGATCACAGCGGCCACGGCTCGATGCTTGGATCCGCTTTCCAGGAACCGCCATCGCAGGATTACGATATTTTGCACCCAAACCAGAGAAGAGCGTTTTCTGAAAACCACACCGCTCTGGAGCCCAGTTTCTACAGCCAGCCGCGTCACTCCTCCCAGACACTCAGCCTAGATCCAAGAAGAAAAACAGAACTTCCGCCTTTGCCACGAGATGCAGCAGACTCAGTGCTGAGTGGCAGTGGAAGTGAGCTTTTCTCCTCGGGATCCAACTCTGGCGAGTCCAGCCTGGAACCTGATTATACTCCTCGTCAGAGAAAGCCAGAACTTCTGTTTTTGGACGAAGTCAATGGAGGCTTTCTTGGGCATGTGGCCAGAAGGTCTGTTTCTACAATCAGTACATGCAAGACCTTGGAGCTGGGCTCGTTTATGGACGAGCCAGAGGTTGTTTCTGTAATGACTAATATGGACAGCATTGCCAGTGAAGGCTCCTTGTGGCAGGTTATGGATCACCAGGACGGTCCAGAACAGAGCCTCGTCACCCCAGAACAGTCCACCACTCAAAACCTGACTGACTCCCCAGCAACGCCTGAAATTCCCCAGACTCCGGAAAAATCTGCTTTTGTAGGTCAGAGTCTGCCATTCCTCCCCTTCAATTCTTCCACTCCCCAGTTAAACCCTTCGACACCCAAATCCAAAGAACTCCCACCAGTACCCACCAAAAGCCCAAAGTCCAACAAAAAAGTGGCGTTTTGCCTCGATCTGGGCGCCGAATACGACAAGTCCAGATTCATGATACCCAACGAGTACAAGCTCAAGCCGAAGAAGAAAAACGTCAAGCCGAGGGCTGTTTCGCAGCCAAACCCTGTTTTGCAGCCATTCTACCCTGCTTCCAAAAGACACTCCCAGCCTATTCCCGTGGCTGAAATGTCGGCTATTTCTTTACCGGCCCCACCCAAATCACAGCCAGTTTCCCCAAACAGACTGGCCGAAACTCAGCCCATTCCGTTTAGAACCAACGTTCGCATCCGGGGTGGTCTCTAGTTCACGACACCTTATGACGCATATACTGATAGATGAAATCAATGGGGAATTTGTAGAGATGTAGACGGATAGTACCGGCAAAGCCTGGAGGAAGACCAGCTAGGGTCGAAGCTGATGATTGTTAAATACGACAATGCCATCACATAGTGATATCCGATAGTCTGAACCCTCTTTATCGATCACAATCCAAATGCTATTTGTCAGAGACTTCTATGAATCCCTCTCAGACAGCTTAGATATATCATCTTTTCGTAGTTCTCTTGGTCTATCATTGCGTAATCATTCATTAACTATATCTCATTAACAGACATCTCTTTCCGTTGCACCACTACAACTTCACAATCAACTCATCATCAGGGTACAACTTGATCAAATCAGAAATCCCATACCTTTCGGCAACATCATCAGTAATGAACCTTCCTCCCAAATAGTGCACTTTTCCTGGAGCAGCAAAACGCTGAGCACAAGGCTTGGGAGCTGTCAAGCTGACAAGCACAGAAGCACCAATATCAACATCCTGAGGACCTTCATCAACATCCCATCCTGAAGGAATGTCCACGGCCACAATTGGGGCTATCTCCTCGTGTTTTGCAGCCAAATGGTCAATGAGCTCATTGAACGGTTCTCTGACTGGCGGCTTAAACGAAAAGCCAAAAAGTGAATCCACAATCACCTTCAATGACGGCTCAGCCGTGAGCTTCTTCACCTCCTCGATACTTTCAACCTCCTGAACACCCAAATGGCGCAATTGAGTAGTGAGTCTCTGGTATAGCTCCTTTTGGGGTCTCTTTGGGTAGTACACCACAGGCTCGTAATGACGCCATAACTTAAGGTGTCTTGCACACACGAGTCCATCGCCTCCGTTATTCCCAGGCCCAACAAGCACCAAAACCTTGGATCCCGATGTGGCCGGTTTGGGAGGATACTGTTTGTAGATTGCTTTGGCCACAGCTAGGCCTGCTAGCTCCATGAGTTGGTCAATTGAGTAGGCACCGGTTGACATGAGCTCCTGGTCGAGCTGGGCAGCCGCTTTAGCGGATAATGTCTTGAACATGGGTGGTTGAATGGTGAGTGGGATGGATGCTGGGGTTATATAGGCCCCCGGTGTTGTGTGCACACTCTTGCTATCAGGCCACGAAAGGGACGGACTAGTTTTTGAAATTTGAGTGAGATTGGGGAGTTTATGGAATGAGAGTGTATTTGGGTTGTTTTAGGGGGAAACGATTCGTGCTGAGTATGGAGGAATATGGGTGTAGATGGTGGCTGCGAAATGGCTGCAAACTGGGGTTATATGAGAGGCAGGACCGTTGCAGGTGAAGTAGGACAAATTGGGGTCTTTGCTGTGATTGGCTGGTTTCCCATATGCGTGTGATTTCAAGCGCCGGTCTTGTGCCTCCTTGAATTTGCATTTTTTGAATTTGAGACTGGGCTCCCTGTTATCCTTGCTTATTAGCGTACGAAGACAGTACCCAACGATTCCAGATTTGAATAAGTAGCGAATAGAACACCTGTGATATTCAAGTCAGTTAGTCACTTGATCCTTTGCTCTTTTTTCTTCTTCCTTCAACGTATCTGCTACTCATCCTACTCGTATTTAGCGTAATTACTGGCAGCTGCATGGAAGAACGCACAGTGCGTAAGTCAAGGCCTTTTGAAACCCACGATGTTTCACGTTTGTCGAGAACAAGCTATATGAAACTATAAAGTTGTTTTTGTCCTGGTTTTTGATTGTGTGTATTTCAACTTGGTCAAGCTAACCGGGTGTTCCATATTTAGAAACTCTGACAGCTATGAGGCTGAGCCGCGGATCCACCAACACAAAATACCATTCTATTGCAACCACCCGGCAGACGCAAATCATTATTTGATTCATCTCTAATTGAATAAAAAAGTACTATGTTCTCCTCGGCAGATCAGTCAGATCCTTCACCAACAGCTCCTGTTTGACACATGACTGCGAACCTCCTGCCATGGATCACAAACCTTCACCCCTAACCCAAACAAAAAAAAGGAAAAATCTTTCAAAACATAAATTCTTTTCATCGCTTCAAAAATCAATCTCTTTCATTCAAGAAACACCCTCCCCAATTCCGTGAATCCAACTGTGGACCACAACCTCCTCCTCCACACAGACTCGCGCCGAAAACACATATTTCAAAAAACAACACCAACCCACTATCATGGACTACAGCGACCTGGCCTCGATGACGCTGTCATCGCCGATGATCAACTACAGAAAAGACGCCAAAAAGGCGGTCAAGTTTCTGTTTATGGTGGCGGGCGAGTCCGGCACGGGAAAGTCCACTTTTGTCAACTGCTTGTTGAACAGAAAGGTGATGAACCATAAATACGAGGGAGTGGACGGTTCTGGCGACACAAAGACGTTGGCCTACACGTCTGCTCAAAACGTCAATTTGCCAAATGCCTCTATCTTGGCTACCAACGAGTTTGACGCGTCGGCGGCCCAAGAAGAACCAGGTATCGCCCTCACAGAAACCAAGGTGGAGATTGTCGACGACGACGGCATCCGCATGCAGCTAAATATCGTCGACACGCCTGGCTTCGGCGAGAACTTGAACAACGAAATGTGTTTTGTCGAGATTGAGAACTTCTTGAAGCAGCAGTTTGACTTGGTGTTGGCCGAGGAAACCAGAATCAAGAGAAACCCCCGTTTCGTCGACACCCGTGTGCACTGTCTCCTTTACTTCATTGTGCCTACGGGCCACGGCTTGCGTGATTTGGACATTGCCACCATGAAGCGCTTGTCCAAGTACGTGAACATCATCCCCGTCATTGGCAGAGCCGACTCCTTCACCTTGGAGGAGATCCAGCACTTCAAGCAGCAGATCAAGATCGACATTGAGCGCTTCAACGTGCCCGTTTTCCAGTTTGACAACTTTGTCAGCGAGTACGACGAGGACGAGGACTACGACTTGATCCAGGAGTGCAAGTACTTGACCCGCTTGCAGCCATTCGCCATAATAGCCTCTGAGCAGGACTTTGAAATCAAAGACACAAACACGGGCGAGACCAAGGTCATCAAGGCAAGACAATACCCATGGGGTCTTGTCGACGTGAACAACCCTAAATACTCTGACTTCCCCGTGTTGAAGTCGGTTCTCTTGGGCTCCCACTTGCAGGACTTGAAGGACTTGACCCACGATTTCTTGTACGAGACCTACAGAACCGAGAGATTGACCGGTGTTACCGGCAAGGGCATTGACGAAGACGAGGACGATACTTTCCACGACTCCACGGATGCTCCTCAGGGTGTCACCAACGCCGTTCCTTCCTTGTCGAACTTGGCCAAGTTGACCGATGAATCCGCCTTCAAGCTTGACCAGGACAAGGACGACGATTCCGACGACAACACTTCACTTTTGCTGAGCCTGTCAAAGAAGCCTCGCTCGATGCTCATAAACGAGGAAGCCCTGGCTGAATCGCCCAGAGTGAGAGGAAACGCGTCATTCACATCTTCGGTTTCGTCCGTGACCGGCGGCGAGAGGGAGAGCCAGTATAGCCACACTGACCGCTCAAACAACTCCTTCAAGAGAATGTCGATCGGGCCTCAGCGAAGCCAATTGAGACAAATCTCAGAGACGGTGCCTTACGTCATCAGACATGAGAGAATCTTGGAGAGGCAGCAGAAGCTTGAAGAGATGGAGCAAGCCAGTGCGAGAGAATTGGCAAACAGAGCTCAGACGCTAGAGCAGAGAGCTGCCGCCTTGAAGGCCAAAGAGAAGTTGCTTTTGCAAAAATTGGAGGCTTACAAGAAGAAACAATCTGCATCGGAAACGACATCGGTAAATACCGAGGGTGCCGATACGGAAAATGAAGAAACCCTGCAGAGCTTTGCCATCAGAAAGGACGAAACGCTCACGGATTTGCATCTGGTAGTTAGCCAACAGTGAGGACTGTTTCAGTACGTGGGATAAATACTGGCGTGGCTCGTGCGAAAACATGGGGCTGAAGAGAAGCGCGTCAAAACGGTGTGCAGCAATAAGCACAAAAGCAAGCAAGTGAGGCGTGATTGAACTATCACTTGTTGATTTGCCTGATCCAGGCAAACCTAAACTTTAGGAATGACCCGCTTTGAATCTCCAGCCAATGTCGATTCCCAGCCATCTTCCTCCCGTAAGCTTCTGATCCAGCTTTGCTGCCGCGAGGCCATGAAATCAACACTCAATAACTCCTCATACCCCAAGCATGACATGTGGACAATCAAAATAAGGTACGATCATTGAACCCGACTGTGTTACTATTTACTTTTTTCTCTACCTCTGTTGTCGTCGGCAGGCTTCCCCAGGCTTCCACTGATTTTGACCGCGCACGACCCCATAGTCTCTTTTTCGGCAGCGCCTTGTGACAAGAAGATCCTCACAACTAGCTCTTTCAGTCCTCCACCTAGCCCTCCAACCTTCTTGTTGTTGCTTACCAAGAAATGGATATCACAGGACTCTTGGACTCCGCCTTCTCTGGCGCCGACGCCAACACGCGTAATGAGGCGGAACGTCAATTGAGTGAGTTCGCCAACTCGTCTTTTGGCGAGTATATGGTGTATTTGGCGGATGTGTTGGTCAACGAGTCGGCCAAGCCGGAGATAAGAATGCTTTCTGCCTTGGGTATGAAGAATCAGTTGACTGCCAAGGACCCCAGAACGAGAGCCCAACAGCTGGCCAGATGGGTCCTGTTAGCCGGTGATGCGAAGCAGAAGATCAAGGAAAGCTCAGTCAAGACCTTGCTTGGTAACGATGAAAGAATGACCACGTCCGTGTCGCAATTGGTGTCGTCCATAGCGCTTATCGAGTTGCCTAGAAACGAATGGCCCGATTTGATTCCTACGATTATTGAACACACAAAGGCTGAGAACTCTGTTACTGTGAAGAGGGCCTGTTTGCTCACGATCGGCTACATCTGCGAGAGCGCTGATGCCAACGATCCCCAGATCCTCGCCCAGTCCAACGGTATCTTAATTGCCATTGTCCAGGGTGTCCAAGCCAACGAGCAGTCCACAAAGGTCCGTTTGACCGCGCTTAACGCCTTGATCAACTCCTTACAGTTTATCCTGTCCAACTTCAGCAGAGAAGGCGAGCGTAACTTCATCATGCAAGTCGTCTGTGAAGCCACTCAGGCCGACGATCTGGACCTCCAAGCTGCTGCTTTCGCCTGTCTTGCCAAGATCGTCGCCTTGTACTACAACTACATGTCGCTCTACATGGAGAAGGCACTCTACATTTTGTCCATGTCTGGAATGCAAAGCGAGGACCAGAACGTTGCATGTATGGCTATTGAATTCTGGTCTACGGTGTGTGAGGAGGAGTTCGAGATCGCTTTCAACCTTCATGAAGGCACGGAAACCCCACAGATGAACTCATATAACTTCGCCCTCTATGCCACCAAGGATGTCTTGCCTGTCTTGTTGAAGCTTTTGAAGAACCAAAACGAAGACCCTGAAGACGACGACTGGTCGGTGGCCATGGCTGCCGGTTCCTGTTTGCAGCTCTTCGCCCAGACTACAGGAATGTACGTTGTGGATCCAACGTTGCAGTTCTTTGCAGCCAACATCGGCCTGACCGAGTGGAGAGACCGTGAGGCCGCCATCATGGCCTTTGGTTCCATTTTGGAAGGCCCAGAAGTCGAACACCTCAAGCCAGCAATTCAAGAGGCTATCAAGCCAATTTTGAACTTGATTGGCGACCCAGTCTTGCAAGTGAAGGAAACATCGGCTTGGTGCTTGGGTAAGATTGCCGAAATAGCTCTCGGTGCTCTTGATCTTCAGAATGACTTGCAGCCGCTCCTTGAGGGCATGTTGCATGGCTTGAAAGACCACCCCAAGGTATCTGTCAACTGTTGTTGGACCTTGATCAACATCTTGGAGCAGCTCTGCAAAGAGGCTAACGAACAACAGACAAGTGTCATGTCCGTTTACTACGAAACCTTTGTTCCTGCTTTGGTTCAATTGACCGACAAGTCTGACAATGACTTCAACTCCAGAGCTTCTGCGTACGAGGCCTTGTCTGCATTCGTCAGCTACAGCGCATTCGACACCATGCCCATCATTCATAGCATCGCTTCTGAGGTTTTGAGCAGGCTAGAGGCCACCATCGCCATGCAGCAGCAAGCCACTTCTGCTGACGCTCGCTCACAGTTGGAAGAGTTGCAAATTAACATCTTGTCATTACTCACCAACATCATTAGAAGACTCAGCAACGAAGTGTTGAGCGCGGCTGACAATTTGATGACTCTTTTGATCAAGTTGTTGGAGGCTCAGGAACCTAACGCATTGATCGAAGAGGATATTTTCCTCGCCATCTCTGCTGTTGCATCGGCTGTGGGTCCAGAATTCATGAAGTACATGGACTCGTTTTTGCCATACTTGACCAAGGCCTTGCACAACATCGAGTCACCTACCTGTAACACCGCTGTGGGGCTTGTGGCTGACTTGGCTCAGTCGTTGGGTCCACAGATCACCAACTACTTGGACGGCTTGATGGATATCTTGGGCAGAAACTTGAACAACGAGAATGCCAAGCGCGATCTCAAGCCTGCCATCTTGTCCTGTTTTGGTGACATTGCCGGTGTTGTCGAAGCAGGATTCATGCCTTATATGGACGTTGTGGCGAACATCTGCACACAGCTCTCGACTGTTGTTCCCGAAGATAGCCTGTTTGAAACGTTGGACTACGTCAACTCGTTGAAAGAAGCTGTCTTGGACTGCTACGTCGGTATCGTGAGCAGTTTGAACCAGAAGCCCGAGTTGCTCTTCAGCTATCTTGGGCACATCTTCCAGTTGATTGAGCAAATTGCTGCCGACATCGAGTTACTGAACATCGAAAATACAGCCCGTTCAGCCGTGGGCTTATTGGGTGACATTGCAGCGATGTATCCAGACGGACAGTTGCGCAGCATGTACTCCCAAGACTGGGTTACGCAATTCATCAAGAAGACCCGAGCCAACCTCAGCTTCTCGCAGCTGACGAAGGACGCCGCCAGGTGGGCCAGAGACAGACAGAAAAGGCAAATCGCTTAAGGTCTGGTGGCCCCGCATCTCATCTCTCATTCTCTCATACTCTCATACCTCATCGTCATCTCTAATTCTTCATTCTCCTCATAAACTCTCTATATATACTCTCATGACAAACTTCACGGTCCTCGGGCTTGATGATTTAATGCATAGCATTCTCAATATACATCTTTAATACATATACTAGACCACATTTTTCAGTAGTCGCGCTATCATCAACTACATCATGGAATCAACCAGTTTAGAGTCCTCCATTCCTTTCGACCACACATACATTCTTTACGATCCCAATGACATAATATCAACCATATGTGTTCAGTTTTCACTTCTTCCAATCTACATCATGGTGTTTTACACCTCCTGGTTCCTTATCACTAGAGAGATCGAACCTGTCATTATAGTGGGAGGTCACCTAGTTGGAGAGGTAATGAACAAAATCGTCAAGCATATAGTGAAACAACCACGTCCTGATTTTCACAAGGACTTTGGCGCAGGTTCCTACGGACTCAGCTACGGAATGCCTTCTGCTCATTCTCAGTTCATGGGTCTTTTTGCAGCCTACTACATTTGCACGATTTTGATGAAAGTTCCCCTTCAGAAATGGCAGAAGGTGGTTGGATCGTTTCTTCTTTCCGTGTCAGCCCTTGGTGTGGCGTTTTCCAGAGTGTACTTGTTGTACCATACCGCAGAACAGGTCATAGTGGGAGTATTGCTTGGAGCCGTTTTGGGAACTGGTTTCTTTGTTGTGGCTTCTGTTTTCCGTGATATCGGAATAGTTGATTGGGTTCTTTCGTGGCGCATTGTTCGCTTCTTCTGGATCAAGGATCTGTACTATCATAGCTATCAGACCTTTGAGGAGGAATGGAAAGCCACGCAAACAAGGGCTCAAGCAGCTAGGCAGAAACAGGAGTGATCCTATTCAAAATAATCAAGCATGTTTGTTAGAGTGAGCAATTAGACAGACGTCCACCTTGGCGTTTGAAGGTAAAACACATTATCACGCTGTATAGTCATATATTATAGATAGCATATCCTTGTTGATATAGCCGCCATTGACAGAATCCCAAATATATCCAATAGAGAAGCTTAGTCGTGTGGAATGGCCTGCAATGCTTTGATAGAAGTGGATCCATGCCAATATCTCGTCCTACACCACTGCAACAGATGCTTAATAACTATCATTTAACTACATGTATTGACTGGCTAATGCCTCTATGCCTCTCCTTCTCCGTCTAGCCTCATACCCCTAAAAGTCGTCCCACTCATCGTCTTGGGAATCGGCCTTGACAACTGGCTTACGAGCAGCAGGTGCTGGTTGTGTTGGCTGTGCTTGCTGCTTTGGTTGGGGCGGCGTTGAGGTGCCGTTGAGGTGAGCGCTGCTTTCAGAATCGAGAAGAGTCTTACTCTCAGGCTTCTCGAATCCAAAGGCGTCCTGGACTTCCTGCTTCTCCTTGACGCTGAGACCAGCGAACAACAGATCAAGCGTGTTGTTGAGACCCTTGTCCTGAACGTCCTTGGTAAACGTGTTGAAGGTCTCGTGGCCGTACTTACCTGTTTCTTGCATTCTCTGGCCAAACTGAGCCATGGCTCTCTTGGCTTCGCTGCCCAAATCGCTTTCCTGAATGTTCTGGAAGCCTGGTTTAATGACAGACTCGTGCACCTCGTTGACGGACTTGGCCACCGTCAGCGAAAAGAGACCCCAGCCCTTGGTGAAGGTGCCGACGGGGTCTTCCTGGAACCTGTTGAGAGAGAAACCACTAAAAGAGCCCTTGTCGCCGTTGGAAGCGGGCTGAGGTGTGTTTCCAAACCCAGAATACTTGCCACCCTGAGAAGGAGGGAGGTTTTCTGGTCGTCTTTCGTTTTCAGACCCAAGCTGGGCAAAGTAGGCCTCATTCTTGGATCTATCGATCTGAGGAGCCTTGGTGGTGACTGGAGCCGCTGGGGCGCCCTTCTGGGGCAAAAACTCTCCCGAGTGGTCCTTTTCCTCGTACTCTCTTCCTTCCACAACACAGGTCAAGTAATCCTTGTAGTCAGCCGCGACGTAGTTGTCGAACTTGGACTTGGCAGGTAGGTCCAAGTCAAGGCCTCTTTCCTCGAAAAATTCTTTACATTTTTCGTTTCCACCCTTCTCCATACGCAACACCTCCTCCGGCTTGAACTGGTCCATCGTGATCGACCTCACAAACGAGATGTGAACACCCAAACCACGGTGGACACCAGCGCACTCTAGGCAAATGAAAATTCCGAATTTTGGCGATGCCCACTGAGGGTTGAAGGCGCCACAGTCAAAGCACTTCTTATTGGCGCCGTTTTTCTGCACAAGCAAGAGCTTGCGGCGCGTCTCTGGATCTATAGCCATGGTGTTTGAAGATGTAAGTTGGTGATTTGGTGATGTCGCACTGCCGTGCACCAGATAACGAAGAGGAGGAAGGCTGGTGTTGTGAAGATAGGAGATTTTGGAAAATGTGGGTTTTGCAAGATTTCCATGATTTTGAAGCTTTCATAAGAGGTCCAAACATTACTGATTTTATGTGTTATGTGGTGGTATCGTCGGACTTTTCAGGTGACACCTGCGTCCAGACAATGAGGAAATAGAATGTAAACAGTGATCTGGTGCACGGTGGGTTTTCTGATCAAGAGTGATTTTTGATTTTTTTGGATTTTGAACATGAAACAGTTTTGGCTTTAATGCAAAAGGTCTTCGGAGTTTGCGCATGGATGTCACATTACCACGTTTGTTCCGTGGAAAGATAGATACATGGCATGAGCTGAATGGCTACAGCAGCCGCACCAACCCACGATACAAGAAAATCCACACTAGGCCCGTATTCAAAGTTACAAATTGGAAAGAAGCAAAAAGAAAGTACTTTTTTTCTCTTAGCATAATCGTCGTCTCTCACTTTTAAAAAGTTCGAAATAATCAATTCTCTTTGAAAGCAGTGGCTGCCTTGTCTCTGTTGCAGCATCTTCCCTCACGGAGCCACATTGAATTCCACTGAACTTACTATGTGATTTGCCCCTCTTTGTGATTCTTTACTGAATATCACACCGAGGTTTTCAGATCCACTATTGCAATAATTTTTATCATTTCCCCACAAAAGTCACCGTTTGTAACGCTGGACTGCATCACCTTCCAAGTACCCTTTGTTCAATGCTCCGATCCTAGTTGCACTCGAAGTATACTTCACAGCTTCCAGTAACCCCTCTTATACCTCCTCGGCTACTTCTCTCAAAAACTACAGCCCCATCTACAGTCATTCATCAAGAAAACATTGTTGCTATACCTAGAGCTTCGTCAAGTTCTCGGAGTTCAATTTGGCAATCTCCTGAGGGTACAAGTGGTGGGAGCCTCTGGAGCCCATGTGCCACGAACCACCATCGACAACCTGAACAGTACCAGTCACGTAGTCAGCAGCAGGCGAGAACAAGTAGACAGTGGCATCGGCAACGTCCCTGACGGTACCGTATCTCTGGATTGGAATTGTCTTCTCGTAGCCGTTGGCCTCTCTCACCAAACGCTTGAATCCCTCAGTCTCGGCAATTGGACCAGGCGAGACACAGTTACTTCTGATACCCAAAGGACCCAATTCCACAGCCAAAGCGTTCGATAAAGCGTCCACACCAGCCTTGGCAGCACCAACGTGGGCCTGGAATGGAATACCGTAGTAATGCAACGTGGCACTGACGAAAAGGATCGAACCCTTGTTCTTTCTCAACTGGTCGAAACAAGCCTTGACGGTGTTGTATGAACCGAGCAAGTCAATGCCAACAACAGTAGCGAAAGCATTGGCTGACAAGTGGTTAAAGTCACACAAAAAGTTACCAGCGGCACCGGCAATGACATAGTCAATCTTGCCCAACTCTCTCACGGTCTTCTCCACTGCCTTGACAAGAGACTGCACCTGTCTAACGTCAGTACCAGCACAGCTCACCACCTTGGCGCCAGGACGCAATTGAGCCATCTCAGCAGCGGCCTTGTCAGTGTTGGCCTGGTTTCTGCCAACGATGGCAGCATCAGCTCCCAAAAGGATCAAGGCTTCGGCCTGACCACGGCAAATGGTGCCGGCACCACCAGTGACGAAGACAACCTTACCCTTGAAAAGGTCTGGTTTCCACACTGAAGTCTCAAGATATGATCTGTCCAATCCCATGATGCGTAATTGTTAAATTGGATGTCTGGTTAATGGTGGGGTCCCAAACCTGGGGTCTTATATACTCTCTCGCGCATGAAAAACCCAACTCGGTGAAGGAGATAACTATCTCCGTTATCATTTCACGTGTGTCAAATGCGGAACTTAGTGTCTCTTACAATGAAAACTCAAGTCTTGAGATCTCCGTCCTTCTTAATTCCGCTAAGGTAGTCTGACACCTTCGGCTTTTTCGAGCCCTTGTTGCCGTTGCAGCTGATTTTACCGTTACCGTTTTCGTTGGGTTCCTCGGATGCAATGCTTCGCTTGTGCGAGGGGTACTTGACAGGATCAAGCGGTGATAATTCCTGTGCACGAATATCGTTCTTTCCTTCGTTCTCAATTGGTGATTCAACGTTGTCCTTGTAGTTATCGTCAATGCTAGTCGCTGTTGGGTCTGCATGATTAAGCGCACTCTCCATCATCAGTATGAACTCGTTGCCGGTGGAAACGTAGTTAATCTTCTCGATGAAACCCTTGTGGTTCTCGTACAAGTTGGAAGCAAGGGCTTTGAAGTTACTCTCATGGCTTCTTCTGAGCAAGATCTCGAGAAGATCGAGACACAGCGAGTTCGCAAGGGTGTTGTTATGAGCCACAATCTCAAAGAAATCAATGAAGACACTCAACAAGTCTTTTTCTATGATATAACGCGTTAAGACGTCATCGTTGAGAATGATGAGCGTCTTGAAGCATCTGAGTGCGGCAAGTTTGAGTGTGATTTTTGTGTCCAAGCTTAATAGACGCAAGACCCCAACGAGAACATTGTTCAGGATGAAAAAGTCCCGACTTAGCGCAAGATCATGTTCTTGGAAGCAAAACGCAATTAAATCACAGAGGTGCTGGAAAAGCATCGGCTCCTTCGCTAACCGAGATTCTGCACTTGAAAAAAGCTCGGAATTTTGACTAGCGAGATAGATGAAGTCTTTAAACAAGACACTTGCGACGCGTTGATAAAATGTCTTGAAGAACCTTTGGTTGATTTCAATGATCTCCAGGTCAGGACGATTTGATCTGGCAATTGAAGGCTGCATAAACCCATCTTCATGTAAATCATCGTTAGTCGCCGTGCAAGTGAGTAGTGTTCGCAATGCTTCATAGGCTTGCATTTTGAGTCCCAAGCTCTTGTCTGTGAGAAGCAAATTGCACAACACCAAAGTGAAGGATGTGTCATTATATAGCTTGAGTCGAAGATTGGGTGCCAGAACTGGCTCTTCGCTTTCACATACTTCGTGATGACTAGCACTCAGTGGCGGATCAAGTTCATCGACTTGGTTATTGTCGTCATAGTGCGTACAATGGACAAGTGAAACGTCTTGCTCGATGACAGTAACAAGCATCTCAGTACCAATGCTCCGAATGACACTATCCAGGCCCTCCAATGCAAATTTTATCATCTTTATTAGACCAGCTTTGATTAGGGCAGTGAAGAATTCGGATTTCTGGGTAGATGGCTGACCCTTGGTGACGGAAACGTACTGATGAAGCATCTTCACGGCGTCACGGCATTTTTTGAGGTTTTCTGGTTTCGAAAGGTCCTGGTCATATAAAAGAAGGAGGCGGCCCAAGAAGTTGTCATTATCGTCTGGTTTGGAAAGATATGTGATGATGTCCATCTGGTTACCGTATATCATAGACGATAGCGTGTTTATGGTGGAGTCATCCATCCAGCGGGAGAGCACCACGTTCTTGAGATATGAAAGAATGAAGTCCTTGCGGAAGATGCTCATGTCCGAGCCAGATTCAGCGGCGGGGACGGGAACGTCGATCACCGACCTGAACTTCGATTCGTCGAGAAGGTACTCTCGGTGACACGCCTTGAACGATGGAAGATCGCGATCGTATTCAAGCAAACCCACAAGATCTAGAATAGACGACTCTGACGATAAGAGCTCCTCCATGAGAGCGTGATCGTTATATAGAAGGATGCACTTGGTGATGTCGCTCAATATATGAAGACTGCTAATGTCCTGATTCTTCTCTGCCTCCTGTTGTAGGCCGTATAGCTTGTGGATGTAGCCAGACTCGACGACATATTTCAGAATACACGCCCGCGTGTACTGAGAGTTGGCGCCTTGGTTGATGATATCCAGTATCTCATCCAAGGAGTCCAACGTCGGATCGTCTGGGGGGTACGACATCGGGCCGGTAATCAACTCGGTGATCTCTCGGGGCCCATCCCCCTGGGAATCGTACAATGTGGAGAGCACGTAATATAGCGAGATCATGGGACTCAAGCTCTCCTGTTGGACTCTGATGATGAAGTCACACAAGTCGGCGCAACCGTCGTTCTCCTGGAACGAAAGCGCCAAGTCCTTGCCTTCCAAGTCGGTCCACACGATAAGCGTCTCCTGTTGTCTTTGATATTGGATGGATCCTTCCAAGAACGACTTGAGGATGATCTCTTCTGAATCTAGCTCGTTGCGGACAATGAAGTACGGCTTCTTGGTCATGGTGTCAATCTCGCCCTTACAGTAGCCAGTCCCGTTATCTAGCCAGTCTTCTCCTTGAAGGAGATACACTTTCACGCGTCGGGGCGCCATGGCGGCGAAATTTCGAGATATGCTATTGTTTTCATCGTGAGGAAGTTCAGGAGAAGACGAATGCAGCCTTCTTTTATCGTGTTCAAGGCTGTCTTGCTTGGTATCTGGAGTTGGCGAATCGGCCTTGGAGCCGTTCGCGGCCGGTTCCGCGTCCGGAACGTCTGTCATCCTCGGAATATTGTTAAATTTATATGCTGTTTAAGAATGAAAAGCGGCGGTTGGATGTGGCGTTAGATAGTTTAGATATGCTGCTGTTGATGGTGTTGAAGGTGACTGCGTTGTGTATAGTGGGAACGTTATAGTCTGGTGCACGGGTGCAGTATCAGTTTGCGCAGGCGTTGGGACCGGACCATCCGACCCAGTCTGGGTGATCATTGGTAGGAGTATAAATAGTAAGCGATTTTCCCTCTAGAAGTCAAATATCCGAGTTTTTTTGAATGTTTGTGTGGTGGGCCTCGGTCATCGAGTGACGCTCCGAGGCTTGCACGAGGCTTTTGGAAACAGGGTCTTGGGCCCTGTCGACGCCCTAGAACGGGGCAGTTGCAAATCTGGAGTCTCAAAATGTGTGAGGAGCGTCTTTGCTCTGGATAGTTGTTTCTTAAAATTTAGTTGATTTTGGGTTGTTCAAATGAATGTTTCGGAGATTTTGGAATTGGCTGCAAAAGCTTTGGTCCCGGACCAATTGCTAGGCTAGCTAACCGAAGCGTCTCGGGGTATCTCGAGACACATATCGACATAGTCATGTTTTGAGGAAGAATTGACTAAACATTCATGAAATTATGGAAAATAGCTCTAACGATGAAAGCCTCGATCGTGACGTCATGCCGCCGTGGAAGGTTTGCGACTCTATAGTTAAGGCTTATCTGGGAACATGAACAATGGGATTTGACTCACCCAATTGACGATGGAGTAACCGATAGAACACGACTATTTCAGACTAGAATATTATCAATTTTTATGTTTTTATTTCGGTCACCATCATCAGATAATTACACCCACCCAGATACCTGACTTAGTGGTCTTGTGACCGAGGGAGCATCCACCAACATGAACTTGCACCAGCTTACTCTGTCAAATCACACAAATCACAAATTTTGAAAGCCACTTAATCTATTCATCGATTTATTCGTTTCTAAGTAAAGTCTTGTAAAACTGGCAGCAGGTCTATATACAATGGTTAGCGACACACAAGAGCAGCAGCAGTAAGGGATCTGCCCCATTCGGCCTGATCCACATCGTGAGTATCCTCGACTTCACCCCACTCCTCTGTTTGGAAAATCGTCTCGAGGTTACCGAGCTCGGTGATCTCATCAATGTCCTTGAAGTAGTACTCCAGCTCACTGGCCTTGTTGGGCTGGTAAATAGCTTTTTTGGTAGCTTCATCCGTAGCGTTAGATCTCAAAATCGTGACACCACAGAGGAACGACTTGGAAGTGAGAATGGCCTTCTCAAGAGCCACAAGGTCAAACAAGGGCAACTTATCAAGCCAGCCAAGCACAACAGCTCTGTCTTCAGCAGTCTGACTGTTTCCTCTAAGACCATCGGTCTCACAGTCCAAAGTCTGCAATTGCACTTTGTGGTTCTCGGATGGCAACAAGCCATTTTGGCGACCAAACTCGGTGAAGAAAGAGTTGTACTCCTCAATCAAGGCATTGTACAACTCCTTCTGTCTCTTTCTAAGCTTGCCGTCGTACTCGTCCTCAGTGGCAAAAATGAGACAGGTGTCCGTGTCCAAATACTTCAATAAGTCGTGTTTGACGTCCTGGAGATCGCCAATCTTGATCACCATGTTTGGGTCGGGCTTTTCCGTCTCAAACACGTTGCTCAAGTCAATAGCTCTCGAAGTCAACGACGTCAACGGCAAGTTCGTGGGCTTGATCTTCATGTCCAACAAATTGTCCCATTCGTTAGCCACGAGAAGCGCTAGTTGTTCTTTACGCTCTGGAATGGCGAGCTTGTTACCCAACGGCGTCTTAAGAGGCTTGTCGTCCAAGTTAACCACCCACTTTTTCAAGTCTTCATCGAAGGCAGCACTGGCTTTGTTCCAGAACCGCAGAAGCGTTTTTTCCAAACGGTTGGTCTCAGATCTGACATTATTCACATCACCGCCCACAGCTCTCGACGAAGTATATGGCACATCGGAGGCTTTTGTGGCAAGACGGGCAGCCGAAATACCAAAGGCCCTGCATCCAAGACCAATTCTGGCACCCACTGGTCGAACTGTTGCAAGCATGGTGTAGGTGAATTGGTGATGTCGCACTAAAATATATCTACACCTGGTTTTCCAATCCAACTACCACCAACAAAGTTCATCACATCAAATACAAAATATGTCGCTCGATCCTCAATCATTACAAAAGTTGCTCGTGGAGATGGACAACCAGCTCAATAAGTCCAGAGCAGAGTTGAACATGTGCAATGTCCAGCTAGAGAGAGTCAACCACAACGTCAAAATCATCGACTCCACTACCAGCAAATTGAGAAAACTCACCAACCCAGGAGACAATGTCTGGCAAGGTGTTGGTAAGGCATTCGTTGTGAGAGATGTCGACTCGTATGTGGACAAGATTGGCAAGGACAAGAAGGAGTTCCTTGAGACCCAGGACTCCTTGAAGAAGAAGCAGAACTATTTGGAGACTACGTTGGAGAAGACTGTTGACAACATGGCCCAGATCTCCGGGTTCAAGAAGTAATGGAGGTTGCTGCTGGAGATTTATTCCGATCATAATGCGGTGGGGTTCTTAATGACGATATAGACGAATATATACTACAGATGCAAATGAAACTAGTTTTTGAATCTTCATGAAGAACTAATGGTCACTTGGTGGGCTACTATGAATGCCCTGGGATCAAATAGAATGTTTTGTACTTCGGAATCTACACGGTTGGTGCCGTCATGTTCATTAGCAGTTAAATAGGTATCGAGGAATGACCCCGTGTTCATTTCAGTAAGAAAAGACAGCCTCAGCGGCTGCATTCCATCAACAACCTCCTCAGTCGCTATCCTCATCGATGCCCTCGTCGAGAATACGACGTTCCACATCGTCATCCTCATGCTTCCTCTTGTTCAGCATCTTCTCTGTGAGAAACACATTGAGCTGATCTTGAATCGTCGTCAACTGAGCACGAAGCGATCCCAAAGGTGTCTTCAGAGCAGGCGTAGGCTTGTCCCTGTCTTCACCTCCAGCACCGATCACGACATCTGAGATCTGGGTGGTCTTTCCGTCAGTGGTATGTAGACCCTCGCCAGGAAGAAAGTATGTGGGTTTAGGCTCGCCTGGAGCAGAGTACATAGCCGCAGGGACTAGTGTGGGCATACTGTGCTGATGGTTAACTTTCGAGATGGAGTATCAACCAAGTGCGAATGAGACCCCACCCATACAGTCGGATGCGAAAACCTAGGATAACCTCATACTGGGCCTAGTCGAAATCCTCGATGGGGATACGTTTAGCACTGTTGGAGTAGGCACTGAATTTGACTTCGATGATCTCGTCGGTGTTGAATTCCAAGGAGGGAATGTCATAGCACGAACAGGCCATTAAGTAGCCATGGAACACACGCAAGACGGTCTCATCGGCAATGATCAAGATATCTCCGCTCATACGCTCCATCTCAAGAATAAGTGGCTCGATCTTGATAGCCAAGTCGTGGTACAGCTCTGCTCTCGAGAATCTGTGGTGGTAAGGGTCCTTCAAGAACAGCTCGTACTCCAGTGGAAACTTCTCCTGGATCTCCTCGTCTGTCATACCAGCAACAATACCTGGGTTTCTCTGCGACAATTGAATTCTGTGACGTACGTTGACGTTCATTTCACGGAAGAATTGGCATGCCTCGACGGTTCTTCTCTTGACAGAGGTCCATACCACGAACGAGTCGTCATCAATACCATCAGCACCGGTAGGTGGATGTTTTTCCTCTGTGGACAAGGTCTTTCTCATACCAGCCACGTCCGTTGACGAGCTCTTGGGCGTGATAATATCTCTGCCCTTGGATGCAAGATGCTTAGTCAACGTCTTGGTCAAGTTTTTGGCATACTTGTACCCGGCATCATCCAACGGAGGATCCTTAGAGTAGTCCAAATCGTTCTTGTAACAACGAGCAAAGAAAACCGAGCCCAGCTTGATTCGCGAGTTCATCAAGAAGAACACCACCTTGTTGATCAAGTATCCGTAGTTGGAATTATGCAATTCAATGCGCTCGCCAAAGTTGATGATCTTGATGTACGATAAGTTTCTCTCCCGATCGGCGTTGTCCATCTCCTTGTAGTAAGGCGTAAGGCTCTCGATCCTGGAGGAGTAGTCCCTGTAGGCCTCCTCATAAGACCAGTTTTCGTAATCGGGCGAGGACTTGGCAGCAGTTTCCATGTTCTTCATCAATATCAGCTCGTCGGTGACAATGGACTCGATGAAAATGCACTGGATGTTTACGCTGGCGAATTTCTCCTGGAGTTGCTGTCTGTGCTCCGGCAAAGCGTTTACAGCATCGTATATGGCAACCTGGCCCTTGTCGTTCTTGAAGAAGTTCAAAATATCGTTCAAGCAGTCATCCACGGTCTTGTTCTTGAACGGATCCGGCATCTCGCCGTCTTTATCCGACATGTATAAGACCTGGTCCAAATCGTTGTAAGGCACCGTGGCCCTTCTGTAGTCGCCCAAGTGGAAACTGTGAGTCTTGACACCCAACCAACGTAAATAACGAGTCAAGGACACGGACAAGTGTGTTTTTCCCCGACCAGGAAGTCCCGCCAAAGCAATGCATATCTTACCAGCATGGAACAACCGGCCACTCTCGGTGGAATACAACTGGGCTGGCGAAATGTGGTACGGGTCTATCTGCTTATGGACTCCGTCGATTCCCGTCACGTCCAGAAGCCTTCTACCTGAGCTAAACGAGGCTGGTTGCTCGGTCAAGTTAGGTTTTGTATTGTTGTGAAACGACCATCTTTTTTTGGTTCTGCGGCCCGTTTGGGACGGGTTCCTCAGTAGCGGAGCTGAGCCGAAACCGTTGAAAAGTTCACTATCGTCCTCTTGAAACTGAGACATGTTAAATGTGGACGTTGAAGAAGACAGTAGTTCTGGGGCTCTGCGATTCTACCCCAGAGAGTTGTGTGTAGGACAAGGCGGATTGTTGTTGTATAAGGTGATGGCACGTTTTGGGATTTAGTAGATTTTGATTTTATTCAAAATCAACTGGTCGGAATCTTATTGTTATTCTTGATCGAAGTTGAGCGTGATGAATTATGGATCGACTTGGTGGTTTGAAGTCTCACTGAGATCTTGGCTTTTGGCTGCGAAAACGAAAGGATGGCAAGACCGAAAATCAAAGGATCGACCAACAAAAGATGAATAAAAGATTTTTGACAATGATTTTCTCTTCAGACAAAACTTTAAGCATGTGTCCTAATTTACGAGGTGTTACGAAAACAGTAGACATTGTGTATGGGTCATACAAACAAGACACCAATTGGGGTTATCCCGTAGGTCTTGGCGCCTAAGGGTAGAGTGATGTGGTTTACAAATATAAGGGGTGGTTTTGGTAACTACAAAATTTTAATTAATATTGGCTTTCCGACTATATGGCGTATCATCAGCAGTATCCGAATGTACCTCCACCTGACTACAAGGGTCCACCTGATCAAGGTTATCCGGGATACTACCAGCCACCTCCGGGACAGAATGTTGCTGTCAATCAACAGAGGGAAGATAATTATGAGGATTGGTTTTGGGGATGTTGGGCTGCCCTTTGTGGATTCTTGTCCTTCAGCTGGCTCTTCGGTTGAAGTGTCCAGGTGATTGATTTTGCAACATCAGAGGGATAATGTTCAGCATTTGAAGTTTTGATTTTATTTTGAAGAACTGAAGTGAAATTTGTCAAATATAGAATGGCCGGATGAGCATAGGGTCCACTATCGCAATGTCGATAACCTTTATAGCTCACGATAGTGGAGCTTAAGATCAGAAGCCCTGCCGTGAACGGGAGATAAGGATGACGAAGGGTGCTCTGCAAGAGTTGCACGTTGTAGGCTTTGTATCTTATCTGATCCTATGACTGACTAGCAGCTAGCAGCTGCTTCTATCATCGATGTCAACTATTCATAAATACAAGTCCACGTTTTGCAAATAATTCCTAATACTGATTGTGGATTCTATTGTCATTTCACTGGCGTGATTAATTGTCGGTTATTTGAACCAGATCAAAATTAATTGGTGTCAAATGAATCGGTGTCGCCCGACCATGTTCTGACAATACACCATAATTTTGCAACCAAATAGCCGTCGCAAAATACAACCTCGATTTAGTCAACTGCCAGCCCTCAGATAACTGCTCAAATAAACTTGGATTATAGATTGCATGATGCAAAAGTTTCATTAGACGACTTCATAACTAGACAACCATTCATCGATGATGGTGATCTCTTGCAATATGTGGTTTGCTCCAGACGAGCATTGATAATTAGCCCTCAAAACTCTACGACAAATGTTTCTTTCCAATGTGCTGTTTATTAAATTACAAGGGCTTACTCCAACTTACCACCTCTCTTCTCAATCAAGGCCTTTCTGGCGTCACTCAAGTACAACTTGTTGATGACAACCTTAGATGGGTGAATGTTGATTGGGATAGAAGCACCAGAGGACTTCTCCTTGGTCAACTTCTCGAGCTGGATGGCGAACTTCAATCTGTAGACAGAGCCGACCTTGCCCTCAGAGCCCTTCTTGGAACCTCTGACAACGACAACCTCGTCCTCCTTTCTGATTGGCAAAGAAGAGATGTTGTACTTCTCCTTCAACTCCTTGGACAAAGGAGCAGACATCAACACTCTTCTGGTGGCAGAGGAGGAGGCGAAGTGAGCCTTTCTAGCTTTGGAGCGAGAGGTAGAGACGTCTAACTGTTAGTATTGAATTCAAATTAAGCACATTCACCGGTACTTCTGAGATACGAATGATTTAGGGACAACGATCGTTGGACTGGTGGAATTTTTCATTTGTTGAATTGTCATTTGAAGGTGCTTTTGACGATGGAGATCTGGGGTTCTGGATATGCTATGGAGCTGGGAGGAAAGCTGGTAGATCAATCTGGGACATTCGATGCTCTAGTTATCGGTGGTGCTTGAAAACCCACATACCTTGACTGAACTTGGCCATTATTGATATGGGTTACAGATGAATCTATGAGAAAAAAAGACTCTTCACTGAGAAGTGGTAGAAAATTTTCGGGTGCGTATACTCTGCAGGACATCTGGGGCTGCTAGTGCGAGCGCTACCTTAAGCGCGCTAGGGTTTCAGCCCTAACCTATAAAAGGGTCCGAACCGGCACACTCAGCGGGGAGGAAATCGAGTTAAAATTAAAAAGGCGAGAAATCTAGTTTATAGCTGTAGGAGAGGAGCAAAAAAATTGGTTCGACTCGATGGGAAGACAAAAAGTAAGCCCACGGCAGGACTCGAACCCGCAATCACCATCTCCGGAGGATGGTACCTTAACCAATTAGGCCACGCGGGCAGGATCTAGACAAATGACACGCAAGTAAGCTAAACCGTGCATTTTGAAGCGCCTCAAGAAACGCGAAATCCACACAAATTTATCCCCAGTTTCTTCCTACTTTTCTTTCTCCGAATTCACCATCAAATCTGCCATATCCCAGCTGGCTCGGCCGGAATTCGAGGTCAAAGTTTGCGCACAATAAGAAGATCTCAAGTGCGACCCCAGAGCTGATTTCTCTCACCTCAATTACTACAATGATTGGCATCAGACCGCTTGCTCGGCTTTCCCAAAGGGGCCTCATCTTGAGATCCAGCCCATTGGCCAGATTGGTTTTGCCAAAGACTTCCATATCTCCAGCACAGCGCCTAGCATTGCCCTTATTTCCTAAAGTGGGAAGGGCCTATTCCACGAAAACGGCACCACCACCGCCACCACCTCCTCCAAAGTCCGACAAAAATGCCCGTGGTAAGGCAATTCTTTCCAGAATCACTAGATTCTTCACCTTTTCGGCCGCCACAGGCATGGTCATCGGTGCAGTAGCCGTTTCTGGTCTCGTCATATACCTCATTCTCCTGGAGCTTTTCTTGCCCTCTGGAGACACCAGAACGTTTAACAAAGCCTTGAAGGAGGTGGAGAAGAGCCCTGCTGCTCAACAGGCCCTTGGCTTCAAGCTGGGTGACAGACTTAAGGCCTTCGGTGAGACCGGAGGAGACAGATGGACCAGAAACAGACCACCACAGAGCATCAAGAAGCGTGGCCCCGATGGAAAGGACAGATTGGCTATGCGCTTCCACGTGGTGACGCCCAACGGCCGTCATGCCAGTGTGATTCTCGAGCAGATTGACAATTCGTGGTGGAGCTCGGAGTTCTCGTACATTGCTCTTGAGTTGTCCAACCGCAAGGTGGTGTATGTGATTGAGCCCAAATTTCTGCCTAAAAACTTTGCTCCTAGAGGTGCCGGCTTCGGCAAGGGCACGGGCTTTTTGGGCTTGAACTGGGGCCCCAAGAAGGACTAGCCATCGAGGTATATATAATTAACGAAGCATGAACGGGGATGTAGGTAGGAGTTAGCCGGAGGGCAGTCATAATTTTCCGGCAGTCAATTGCGGATTTGAAGAAGTTTGATTCATCTGATTTGTCTGACTAGGTTGACCATCGGAGTTTGTTGGATTTATCACTTGACACAAATTGTACCTGAGACAAGATTCCTTTTTTGTAGAGATCACTCGCATGCTCAAATGCAATAGACATTAATCAAAATGGTTCAGTCCCAGTCAATTCTTGTGCAAAAGGTTGTATTCTTCAGTAAATATATAATCCACCACACAGCTATCACTTCACCACCAGACGACCTTACCGGACTACCTCAGGAACTCTTGAATTCAGTACATATTGCTTTTTAAAATCCCTCGTTACATTTCCATATTTTCATCAATTTTGGCATTACTACTAGCTGCCCTCCTGGCTAGACCCGCCAGCCCATGTAAAAGATCGCCATCATGAGCTGAAGCCAACGGCCAAACATAAGAAGATTCCCCAAATCGTGGGGATCAGCCCGACCGGCCCGGTTCAAATGGTACTCCACGATGCTGTTGTTCCTAGGAATGGCATAGTTCAGTGGCTGCGAAATCGTACTCATGGGCTCTACAATCGACAGCGACAGAGTCAGCACCAGAGACGATTCTGGAGATGCCGAGTTTGGAGAGGCCGAGTTTGGAGAGGCGGTCTTTTTCAAACTTTTCCAAAAATCCAGTCCACAAGAACCCTCTTCTCTCTCCTTCGATTTGGCCATTTTCGAATCACAAGACCCTTCTGCCGTGAGAGCCCAGGCTAAACGGTCCTGGGGCGCGCACCCACTAAATCTGCCGTAGACTCCCCTGGCACCGTCTGCCTCGATCTCCGAGCAGTCGATGTTTTCACACACCAGCGCCAACAATTCCCTGTTTTGTGAAGACAATTCGAAACTTTCGTAGTCGCCGGGGCCCGTCGTCGGCACACACGTGACCGCCAGGCGCAAACACCCGCAAATCTCCGGGTCTGGCTGTGGTGGGAGCTGGGCCAGTGCGGGCCAGTCGGGGCAGGCCGGGGCGAATTTTTTCGCCCTACTTTCTGTTGCCTTGGGCCGCGCGGCAGTGAACCTGAGCCGGAGGGTATCGAATTCTGCCAGTTTTTGCAACCGGCCCTGGGACTCGTGCACCACGCCAAAATGGTTTTCGTTTTCGAAAAACTCGTAGGCGACGCCTCCCAGCCACACCCCGGTCATCTCCGGGCCGTACAACGAGTCTGTGTCCGTAAACGGCCGGGTCTCACCAGGTTGCACCCAAACTCGCTGAGGAACACCGGCACCGCCAGAACCGCGAATTCTTCAGTTCTCGCCCGGAGCCCACTGGCTGCAAATGAAGAGTACCCACACCATTCAAACATATTGATGCCGTAGAAATCCGCCGTGGTGTTTCCACATTGAAAATACCGTAAGCTGTTTTCTCGTGTTTCTGTATCGTCGTTGGCAGTGTATCCAATGGGTATTTGGCGGTACCCTTTTTGTTTCTGGTAGGCCTTGGTGTCGCGGATGGCAGCCTTTACAAACGCTGCTGCCAGGGCGTCTTGGACAGAAGTCACCACCTCGTTTCCCGCAATGAATCCAAGCACATTCTCATATTTACTCATATTGTCGACCACCTGGCGAAAGTGACCAAGAAGCTCGGTGTGCCACGAAGGGTCTTCCCTATTGATGGAGTGCTTGGGCTCCAGAAGATCCACCAAAACGTAGATGCCGTTTTTCGCCAAAGCATGCATACATATCTCGTGGTCCTGGTCTGGGTCCACCTGGTAAACACGAACGGTATTAACATTGAGTTCCTTGAGGAGCTCCACGTCGGGAAGACACTTGGAAGGATGGGCAAGCAGGTCAATGTATCCCTTGGGGATTTCCAGAAACGGCTCGTGTTCGTACCCTGGAATTTGCCGTTGGTATGCTATGCCTTTGATAAAGAACTGGGACCCGTTTTCATCGAAAAACTTGTTGGAAGAGATGTGGATGGGGCCTTGAGGCGGAGAGGCGGCTACGAGGTTGAAGAGACACGGAATGAGGGCCTGTGAGGCCCATTTGTAGAAAAGCATGTAGTGCAAAAGTGGTTTTTTGCAACCGCGAGCACAACTACCAAAGGGTTGATCCTAGTGTCTATTATTTACCTATTAATACAGTCGTTTCTGGCGCTGGCCAGTCAATTAAAAGAAGCCATACGGCCTAAAAGAGTCCCTGGAGCCGACGGAGCTGGCTCTTGCACTTGCACTCGATCATGTAGATGTCCAGACCAGGTCTCACCAACAACCCAGCCTTACCAATCTTCTCCATACGTTCATTCACCTTCTCTTCGCCAAACGACCACGAAATCTCCTTTGGCTCGTCGCCTCTGCCCTGGCTTTCCAAGATTAAATGGTACAGGCCATTGTCGACACTGCCGGCTGAATGGCACACACTCAAGGTGTACATGGCGAGGGTTTTCCATGACGACAACTCGTGGATCTTGTCGTAGGATTCCAACTGCTTGTGGAGTCTCACTGTCATGCGGTCGAGCAAAAGCATGTGGGAGGCTGCTTCTTGTTGTGGTTCTTGTGGCACCTGAGGACTCAAGCTGTTTTCTCTCGAATCCTCAAGATGGATACTGGTCAAGGTAGACGAAAGGGAAGGCTTGCTCATGAGCGAAGACATCAACGTGGAGTTGGACTCGGAAGGTGTGGTTCTGCTGGGCGACTTGCTGCACATCATGTCCACCATGTCCTCCAAGTTCTTCATGAGGTCGTTCATCAAGCCACCGTTCAAGCAGCGGATCATGATCAGCATCTTTTCGCCATCAATGGAGTTGGTGGCCTGGATCTCCAAATCCAAAGCAGACGACTTTCTGACGTGGGTGCTGTTGTCCAAGTTCATGATAAGGAGAGGCTTGTCGACGACTTCGTCGTACTCCTCGTCGTACTCCTCCTTGAAGGTAAGCAACCACGACCTGTGCATCTCGTAGTTTGTCACAATCTTGACGAAAAGGTTCTCGTTGGTGGTAAGCATCTCCCATTTGGCACACTTGTGCTTCCACTTAGAAACCTTCAACGTCTTTGGCGACGTGGGTGTGATATAGAAGTCAATTGTGCTTTCGGAATTGATAACATCCTTCAACGAGCCTGGAATCTTCAAAGGCTGCTCCGAGGTGTTGCTCGTCAAACTCGTGGACGAGTTGTTGTTGCTAACTGGAGCTGGCGTAGGAGGCTTGAAGAAGTAGGTGGATGTAGAAGAGGGCAATGCAAATGGGGGTGGCAATGTTCTTCTGAAAGTGCTGGAAGTGGCACTCAGAGGACCCGAGGAGGTCTCTGAATTCTTGGGTATATTGGACAAGTCAAGTGGTGGAGGCTTCTGGACCTGATGAGCCTCCTTCTGCTGCTCAAGCGTAGGTGTAGGCAACTCTTTCGATTTGTCGACGGGCTTTTTGATTCTGGGCTCTCTAGGCTTGTTTTGTGGCTTCGAAGTAGTTTTTGGAGCACTCTTCTGAGCAGGTTTTGTCTTCTTTGGTGGCGCCTGGCTGGGCTTCTCCTTTGCTGGAACCAGCTCAGCTGGCTTCTCGATAAGGGATTCCTTAGACTTGTTCTTCTTGAACAAGCTGGAGAGGAAGTTTTTCTTTGGTTTTCTCTCGCCAATCTCATTAACAGAGGCAAATGATGGATTGTAGTTCTTGCCAAATTCGTGGATGTTGATCGCAGAACCAGCTGCGTTTCGGTAAACAGTTGCCTGTGGAGGCGACACGGATTTGGGCTTTGGCTTAACGATCTCGAAAGAAGCTTCAAGCTCGTCATCATCGTCGCTGCTTATCACAGACTCCACATCATCAGCATGGCAGTATTCGGCCTTTGCAGAGCCGGGAACCACACTGTTCACGACATTCATGGTTTTGATGACCTCGCCGGTTGAAGTTCTCCCGCTTTGGAGCGTCTTTCTCATGATTTCAGCAGGCAGTTTGACTTCCTCGTCAGAGGTGTCCTCCGAAGGCGGCGTGAAAGAGGCAAAGCTGCCGTTATTAGGTGAATCTGCCGAATCTTCGTCGGAGCTCAGGCAAGAAATGCCCAAACCAGCGAGCTCAAGCTTGTCACTGGGGACGAACTTATTGTTGATCTGAGGTAGGATTTTGGAGAGCTTGCTGTGCCAGCGTTCCAAGGTCTCGGGCTTTCCAGAAATGGTGATGTTGTCCAGGGGAGCTTTCGAGAAGAAAGAGATGGCTTGCAACGAAAGGCCCTCTTTACCAAGACCAATAGCAACTTCGTTGATACGGAACGGAGGGTACATCAAAAGACGAGGATCGTCGTCGCCCTGGCGCTGAAGAACGGCCAACGCGTTGAAATTCGAGCCTGGAGAACGAGGAGCACCTGAGCTGCTTTTGAGATTTAGAAGGAGCAATTCCACCTGGGCCAGGCCGACGGACAAAGGCTCGTTTTTCGTTCTGTCGACAATCTCGTCGATAGTAAATGAACAGGATACCTTGTTTCCGCCAAAAGCCTGGACATTATCGAACGAGATCTTGTCCAAGTTACGAAGCTTCAAGTGCTCCGAGTAGCGGTCGAGCAAGCTGGTGATGTTGCATCTGAAAGAAGTCAATTTCTCCACAATGAACGGGTTTCTCAAGCTGGAGATGGCCAGGTCGATGAAGGCCGAGTAGCAGCCCACATGGAGCACCGGTTTCAGGAACTTAGCGTAGTCGTAGTCCTCTGGCAAAGGGAAACACAGCAAGTAGCGTTCAAACACCACAAGTGCATCCTCAAACCACACAATAAAGTTATTGACCAACGTCTTGAAGACCTCTTTTTCATCATTGGCCATTTCCTGGTCGCACTGCCTGAGCAAGGCCAAAAGGGCCAGGTTCTGGGTGCACAAGCCGCGAACCACCAGAGCTAGTTTAGCGTCGCTCAGAGACCGCCGGCTGGATCTCACCACGCTGAGGATCTCCACCAAGTTGTTGTTTTCCTCCAACTCACACTGGGTGAGGGCGGACACAATCGCAGACATGGGATGAAACGGGGATGTTTTGCTGGGGCGATTACGGGGATGTTTTGCTGGGGCGATTGGGGTAGGTGATCAGATTTGATCGGCGGCAGCGAAATTCAAAAGATAACCACGAAAGCTAATCGCAGCCAAGCCGGCTCCATCGCTCCTTATATTCAGCGCAGCCAGGGCCTACAGCACGGCGGCAGTAGCGCGACCCTGGGGCAGGACTGCTGCTTATTTCGCGTCCCAGGGGGTGCTAGCGAGGCGACAAAGCGTGGACAAACGGGGCCCCGTGTTTTTAAATAATTGCAGCAAGCGGGATTCATGGATTGTGAATTTTTGCGAATCCAACCATGTAATTTTTACTTTCATCGTAATTCCCTTTGACATGCTAACGACTTGGTCTCTCTCAGTGGTCTCGGTCTCGGGCCGCGAGGTAAACAGACACGAATCGCGGGCGTGATTTAAGCCCACTTGGGCGATAATGACCGCCGCAACGGGAGGTGCACCGCTTCCACAGGTGAGACCCTCATTTACCTGCCGTTTTCGACGCTAATTGTGCTTTTTTCGGGCGCCATGCAAACAGATCCACGGCGCCGTCGCCAAATAGACCGATGGGGCGTCTGAGACATTTGGGCGTCGGTAATGCACCCACAGCGTCTGGGCACATTTTCGTACCACCGCCTGCCCGAAACGGCTGCGGCATCACACGGTGGATCGTAGCAAACCGTTACGGGTGCGAAGCTGTGTTTGCAAATTTCCCCAATGGTGACAAGGCTGAGGATCTGGCGTGGAATTGGATTTGGCTGAGGGTGCATGGTGAGCCGAGGAAACCGAGTGCATTAAGGTTCGGTCCGGCATTAAAAAACTGCTTTTGAATAATCCGTTTGGCGGGTTGCTTAAGCCAGTATATTCTTCAGTTTAAACTCTGTGCTTAAAGGATCTAGCCAGAAGCTTCAATGCAAGTTGTGCGCTACCATTGTGGCACAGTATCGTGGTAAGGGAGATTTGATCCCATTATAGACACTCGTCCGACAATGCATTGAATCAGGCAAAATCAATGGCTAAGGTTATTCGGCTCTGTTCGACTCTCTGCAATTGTAAAAATTCCTCGTTTCTGACTCCTTCACCACACGTCCTTCTCGACGATCCAGTCAACCGCCTCGGGAAGACCCTCGCGTGTCATTCCAGAAACAGTCCGAATGGTATACTTATCAAACGGAACCTCACTGGACAACTGTAATGATTCTTCAACCAGTCTTTCCACTTCACTTTTTTCTTCATCCCCCATCAAATCAACCTTATTGATCAACACCACGAAGTACACTCCCGATAGCTGGTCCTGCTGAATCACCTTCTCTCGCAACTCCTTGTAAGACTCTTCTAGCTGATCCACGTTGGACCCGTCAATTACCCAGATGATGACGTCGGATCGATCAAAGTAATTGCTCCAGAATCCCCGAAGCAGGAGCTGTCCTCCAATGTCCCATGCGTTGATATTGTAGCCTTTCCATGGGAATGTGTGGATCAGGAATCCAGTCGTAGGAGCCACGTCTCGAGGATCCAGACCCATGAGGCTGCTGACTATAGTAGACTTTCCTGCGTTGTCGAGACCCAAGATGAGGACACGGATCTCGTGGTCCTTGAGCTTTTGTTTTCGTATTATCGATAGGAGGCCCATTTGGGGATTGTGGGATTGATTTAGGGAAATGGGGATAGGCTTAGTTTGGAATTGGGTGTTATTGCTTTCAGTATGCTTGAGTGGAGTCTATAATGTCACGATCTGTGAGATTTTCAATTGGAGTAGTAGTCTATCTGTTGACGTCTCAATGCGTCTGCGATGCGTATTATGCTTGATCTAGAGATGATGTAACGAGGACAATAGAAAAGCACCACTAAAGTCGAACTTTTTTCAAAAAATTGAAACCATTAATTTCTCCAGCAGTTCAGACGACACAAAGCAAAAAATCAGACAATTATGCCATATTCTGGTCCCTCTTTATCGCCCGAACCCCAACTGCTGCAATGAGGTCACTCTGTGCACCCGTGCACCAACGCTATTGCTGCCCCAGATTTCCAAATTGCCTTGCTTTAAGCTTCATGGGTCGAAAGCAAAAACAGGCGTCGATCCTCGAGTTTTCCTTCCAACAATCACGTACACAAACCCATGTGGATTTGACGGAGGACGAACCCATCATACCGAAAATTACCCCGGAGCCTATCCTATGTCCCGTATGCGCCACCACCATGGAACCGTGGGACATGGATTTTCGAATCAAGCATGTGGAGGAGTGCCTCACAATGAGCACCGTGAACGAAGAGGTGTCTCTGAAAACGGATGAGGTGAAGATCGAGAATTTAGAAGAGATAAAGATTGAAACTGAGCGGCTGCAAAATGGCACCAGCGATGAGGTGAAGGAGGAAGCACGAGAAAGACCTCCACTTCCTGAGAAAAGCTCGTCATCTAGAAAGAGAAAAGCTTCGCTTTCAGCCGTACAAAAAGACAGGCTTCGGTATGTCAACTCCAAGGAGGAGGTGCCAAAAAGACAAAGACTGAGGGTAGAACTGGAAGAATCACCTACAGAACTTCTCCCGTCTTCAAGGAAAACCCCCATTCCAGACTTGAAAGTCTTGACATTTTGGCCCGATTACGATAGAAAATACGAAATCTCCATGGACGCCTTCAGTTTCAAGCCGCACGACACGATTACCCAGTACTTCTTATCGCATTTCCATTCAGACCACTACGGAGGCATCACCAAGCGGTGGCCTCGTGAAAGAACGCTTGGTTCAAAAATCATATACTGCTCCACAATCACAGGTAAGCTACTAACAATCAAGTTCAAGATCGACCCGGAGTTCATTTATCCGATGGACCCTGATGTGCGGTATAAGGTGTATTCATATGAGGGACCCGAAGAAGCCCACCCTTCACAGGAGAAATCCCCAGGTATTTATACGACGCCGATTGACGCCAATCACTGCCCTGGAGCAGTCATTTTTCTATTCGAATCCGTCAATCTACGAGGCGAATCTACATACAAATTGCATTGTGGTGACTTCAGAGTGTGCCCGAAAATGGTCAACCATCCAGCACTACGACCTTTCCACATTGAGCTGAAACTGCCACTTAAATTGGAAAAGGTGTACCTCGACACGACGTACATGTCGCCAAAATACAATTTTCCAAAACAGGAGCTCATCTGTTCCAGTGTGGCAGATATGTTCTCAGACCTTGTGAGCGACGATAAGCTCTTTGGCGAGTGGTTCGGGACACAAGCACAGAGCCGAATCACCGACTTTCTCTTCCGAGGGGCACAGAAAAAAAAGAAGAAGTTTTTGATTTTGGTGGGCACCTACGTTATTGGAAAAGAGAAGCTCGCAATAGCCATATCCAAGAAGCTAGAGTGCCCCATCTACATCTCCAACATCAACAGCCGGGGCGACAAAAAAGATATCATCAGAGCTTACGGTGACACTTACCTCGACTCAGTCATCACAGACGACGATCTCGGCGACCACCCCAATGCCATTATCCATCTTGTTCCCATGAAAATCGTAGGTCAAGCACAGGAAATGGCCAATTATTTCAACCACAACGAGTATTTCAAGCATTTTGAGCGGTGTGTGGGGCTTCGGCCCACAGGCTGGACCTTTGAAAACCATGTTACCGACGACAATTTTGTTGATGCTGAAGACGAGGTGCCCATGTTAGAAGCCCAAGGTGTGAGTCTTGTATCTCTGGTAAGTGTGCTTTCGCTGAAACCCGCCTACTCATACAAACACGACGTTCTTCGGCAGAACCCTCCCGACAAAATTAAAAAAGGCAAAATCGACAGCTCTACGTGCAAAATATATTCCCTACCCTACAGTGAGCATCTGTCCTTCAGGGAGCTCTCATACTTTGTTGTATTTTTCAACATCGGCGAGGTCATCCCCACCGTAAATGCCGAAAACGACTGGAGTCTCACCCGAATGCAAAAAACAATTTACCAATGGGAAAAAATCCGTGAACTCAAGCGTTCAGACAGACCCATTTTCGAACTTCCTCCAGGGATGGTACTGGCTGCGAAAAGACTCTCATTGAGCCAGCTATAATTTCCTGCACCGCCGCAAGTCATACCGAATCACCTACTACTGCTTTTACACCATGGCTCTTCCTACGCTGTGGAGATCTACTGCCCGGTCTACACGTGCAGCTCTAGCCGCTTTGGTGGCTACGTCATCATTGGTGTTGTTGCTTAAAATACACTATGTGAACCAATTGGAAGAACCCACCAGCCTACATGCTATCAATGTTCCCTTCATCCAGTTGATCCCTAGACACGCTATCACGCACCCCTGGGTGTTTGTGACGGCGATTTTTGCAGAGATTTCCATCTTGCTGTTCTTGGTATCCGCAGTTGTGCTTTTTGCTGCCACAAACTACATCGAGAAGTTCTGGGGCCCTACGGAGGTGCTCAAGTTCATTGTCTTGGTCGGCTCCATCACAAACTTGACCACGGTGATGATTGCCATCGTGAGTAATATATTCAGAGAAGACGTGGGCGGCATGGACAAGCCATTGGGTGGCGGAATCTCGTACTTTTTCGGGTTCCTCGTGGTGCTCAAGCAAATCATTCCAGAGCACAATGTGATCTTGTTCCAGGGCCTCATCAACTTCCGCGTGAAACACGTTCCATTCATGCTTTTGGTGGCGGTAAGCTTGTGGTCGTTGATTGTCTCGAGATCCTTATACCCTGCCGTGCCCTCTGTGGTGTCCTTTTTCGTCTCATACAACTACTTGAGATTCTACCAGACCTTCTCGAGCGATCCACTTTTGCCAGTTACGTCGGTCAGCGGTGACCAGAGCAACGCCACCGTCACTAGCGGAGACGCGTCCGATGCCTTCCAGCTCGTGGAATTCTTCCCTCGCGCCATCAAAGCACCCGTGTCGGTGGTTGTAAACCTGATCTATGACGTGAGTGTGCTTTTGGGCATTGTGACGCCATTCAACGATGACGCTGTCGAACAGAGTAACTTGCGTGCCCAGAAGCTTTCTGAGCAGGTGAGCCAGGCTAACAGGCTGATTGCCAACTCTGTGGCTGAGAGAAGAAGGCAGGTTGCCCTTCAAGTGATCGAGGACCGCGTCGGTCTGACATAATACATTTATTGCATTCTTGAGTGCTACAGGGAGTTTCTTCCCTCGTCATACAAACATCGGGTTTTTTATACATTCCATTGCTTCAGCCGCTGTGCTTCATCGTAGAAGATTCCTACTAACCTCAAAGGATCGCTACCCTGCCAGATTTTCTTGGCCTGTCTTACCTCGAAGTCTCACTTTTGCAACATATAAGTGGAAACACATTGTACACTTTATGTCAATCACTAAAGAGCACAATTTCTTCAATTTTGATAGATCCCCAATCTACAATTGCTTTTTAAATTTTCATTTTTCTATATCTATCTTCCACCTAGGTGTCTGTTCTTTGTTGTGGTTTGTCCTGCACTCACCATCACCATATCTTCGCAAAACACCAACCTCGTTTTGATCCTTCCCATTCATGCTTACTCTCCGATTAAGGCCCAAGCTGAAGGCAAGCCAATCCAGCCCGTTTTTGCCTGAACCGGCAACTTTCAAATCCATCCGTCCGAGAACCAACAAATTCGGCATCCTCTTATTGGTCGCGATCGTTTTCTGGTTTTTCAACCCTTTCAGGTGGGTCACCTACCCATTTGCTCCTCCAGCTCCACGCTATCCAGCAGCATACCCTTACACATCAGAGCATGTCATCGAAACACCATCTAAATATATATACCCTGTGGTGGAAGACGTGCCAAAGCTTAAGGAGCTTGGAGCGAAAAACCTTGTGAGACAAGTGAGAGTCCAGGACGCTGAGGTCCCTGAATTGCAAAAAACGTTGTTGCAGTCGCTTAACGTGCTCGACGACAAGGATCCTGTTGTTCAAAAGCAAAAAGAGGAAGCGGAGAACGCCAAACTGGAGGAAGCCAGAGTCAAGAATGCCTTCAAGAATCACGACAAAAAGGTGTTCAAGCCAAAGTCTTTGAAGAACTATCCCAAGGCAGTCATCGTGACAGCAATCGACTTTGACCGTTATTCCGTGGACGCCATTACAAAAATCATCCAAAACAGAGTCGATTACGGCTATGCCCAAAATTACGGTGTGTACGTCAGGTGGGTGCAAGAATTTGTGCCGTTGATGAACTCCTTGAACTTTTTGACCGATAAAGAACGGTCAAAGTGGGTGCGTATCTACTGTCTTCGAGCCGCCATGTTTGCATTTCCCCACGCCGAATGGTTCTGGTATTTCGACCAGGACGGTCTCGTCATGAACCAAAAAGTTGACCTTATAGAGTATTTGGTCGACACCGAGTCCTTGAGAAAGAGCATGCTATTGGAGCAACCTGTCATCCCGCCTGATGGACTCATCAAAACTTACAAAAACGTACAGCCAAACAGGGTCAGACTCATTTTTACACAATCCGATAGAAAGATTGAGTCTAACTCTTTTATCGTCAAGAATGACTTCTTGGGCAAGGGTCTACTAGATACCTGGGGAGACCGCTTGTTCCTCAATTACAACAATTTCCCTTATGGCCCAGAATCGGCCATTACACATTTCTTGCAATGGCATCCCTTTGTCTTGAGCAGAACAGTCATTGTACCTGCTAGAACCATCAACTCCTTGCACAGCGAAAGCGCTTTAGATGATAAAGCACAGGATCAAATGCATTACTATTCCGGGGATTTGGTGGCTCAATGGTCTTCTTGTGAGACACCTCTCAAATGTGAGGAGGTCCTCAACGGTTATCACGCTTTGTTGAAAAAGGACGAGACCCAACCCAAAAATTAGCATTAATAGACGACTACTTATGAAATATAGCTACGCTGCTGTAAATTTTCGAATACAACTGTATAATTCAAACCAATATAAAATAATGAACAGACATACCAGCTTAGAAAGGCTTGGTAGTGTAGACGTTGGACGTCGTTGGAGTGTAACTCCAGAAAGTGATCTTGTTGTCACCAGTAGACCACCAAGAGGAGACTTTACCAGTGTCATTGTTCGAGACCTTTCTAGGCTGGAAGAGACCCTCGAAGGTACCGCTCATGTCAGACCCAAGACTGGAGTCGATTTGGCCACCAGCGACAGCTGGAGCAGCAATGATGATGACGAAGAGCACGAGAATGGCGAAGTACAAAGTACAGTACTTTCTGACAATTCTCTTTCTCAACTTAGCCTGCTTCAAGGAGTAGATAGGAGGTCTAATGAGTCTAGATGGCTTCAACCAGAACAACATAGTAGAGTGCCATCTGTCAATGAGTGGAACGCACAAGATTGGGAGCTGGATGAACAAGATCAAGTGAGCAAGGATGAAGTCACCGGCGAACTCAGACATCTCAATAATCTTAGCAACGAATTCTCTGGCTGGCTGAGTAGCAGCCATGTAACCCATACCAGTGTTGTACCACTTACCGGTCCAGAAGGCAGTGTTGGACTTGTCGTTCTTGAACTCTCTGGTCAAGAAGAGCAAGGTCAAGATCTTGAAGAGGACTCTCTGGATGTAGATCATGGTGATGATACCCAACAACATTCTAGCGAAGTTGAAGCCCTCCAAGACCCACATAACAATGAAGAAGACCAAGTGAACAATGACGGCAACACCGTGGGCAACACCTGCAATAACAGCACCAGTCTTCTTGCAGCACAATCCCAACAATGGACCAGCACAACAGGCCATAGCAAGACAGACACCCAAACAACCAGCGTCAATGGCAACTGGAGCAAGGGAACAAATGATAAGTCTGACAACAGAGTTGACTTGAATTGGGTCAGTAGAGTCTCTTCCGTCAACACTCCATCTGGTGACACCAGTCTGAGCGTTAATGAATGTGTAGGCGACAAAAAGACCAGCAGCGTAGAAGACACATGGCAAGAAGTCAGCCATGAAAACATTAGATCTGTGAGCTCTGGCAGCGTCACCAGCGGTTTTCTCAGAAATGTCACCAGTCAACTTTCTCTTGAAACCGGTCACTCTAGATCTGGTAAGCTTGACGTAACCAATCCAGGAGTTTCTGTGCCACTTGGTGTTACCACGAGACAACCATCTGATGAAGTCACGGTAGTCAATGAAGAAGTCCTCCCAAGCAAATTGATGTGGGTTGAAAACGAATGGAGAGAACATCAATGCAGACAAAGATGCCCAGAACCACAACAATGGCGCTTGCCAGTGAGCAACAGAACCGAACAAGATAATCAACATAGCTCTAGCACCCATGTAGATAGCAGAATCAGCAAATCTGGAGAACAAAATCGAGAACGGAATACGAGAGGTGGCGAAACCTCTACCGGTCGAGATATATCTGGCACCACCGACAGTCAAATCAGTAGACAAGGAGTTGGAGTAGATCATGGCAAGGAAAACTTCGAACATTGGAGACAAAGAAACGAAATGTCTGAAGAATCTTTGAGTAGCCTTCCAAAGACCTCTTTCAATCAACTCTTGAACAACCAAAGGAATAAACGAAATCCAGAAAACAATGAAAATCGACAAAGTATAACGTCTAATCCAGTCGATAGCAGGGTCCAAGTTGTAACATCCAATAGGGTACAACGGGTCAGTCACAGGAACGTTTCTGTCGTAGTCACACAAGATAGATTCGTGGGCCAAGGAGTTCAAGTTAGCCAAAACTAACATGAAAGTTTGCAAAGACAACTGAATGAACAAGTTATTGATATGGAAACCAGGGTGACCGTAGTAGAACGACAAGAATCTGTCCAAAGGCAATTGAGTAGACAAGTAGTAGTATTCTCTCGACAACATCTGCTCACCCATACCAGCACCAATCTTGGTGGTAAAGTTACAGATAGAACCGAAACCCATATCTCTACCCTTACCACACTGGTAGTATTCACAGTGCTTGATTCTACCACCTCTCAACATAGCAGTCATACCAGCGTAGATATCCTCGTTCAAGTGCAAACCCTTCTGAGCCTTAGAAACACCACCTCTTGTCAACATGAAAGTAGCGTTCAAGAAATCAGGGTGACCATAATGCAATTTACCGCCAATCTGAGCCAAAGTTCTCGCAAACAAGGTACCGAAAGTTTGTTCCTTACCAGCAGCAACATCACCCAAAACACCGGAGTTCTCGGAGAAAATGTACTCTCTGGCACCCAAGATGGCGACAGGAGCAGGCTTCTCATCGTTAGTGCTCTTCAAGTTAGGGGCGTAAGGGTTCACGTGCTCGACGTTCAATTCTTCGAACTCAGCCAAAACAGATCTAATCTTCAAACATTCTTCAAGGTAGTTGTCCTGGTTAGCATCAATCAACTGGATGTATTCACCTCTGTGGAAAATGATAGCGTGGTTCTGGTTATCAGACTTACCATCACCCAAAATTGGGTTACCGGACAATTGGATTCTGAACTTAGGACGACGTCTGCCGTTCTCCAACACCTCACAATGACCATCAATCAAAGCGGAGTAGACACGGGGTTCCTCATCTTCGTTCAAAGGTGGTTCTTCGTCCAAGTAAGCAATCTGCAAATCAGGGTAGGCTCTCAACAAGAACTCAGCATTTTCCATTTCATCCTCCTTGAACTTGGCCAATCTCTGCATGGAAACGACGAACTTGAACTTTCTTCTAGCCATCTTCTCCAAAGCCAACTCCAATCCCTCGGGGTCGCCACCGAAGTATTGGACCAATTCAGGGTTCTCGACACGGTACAACAACTTGATAGCTCTGGCGTAGTTCATGAAACCAGAGACAGTACGGTACAAGGTCTGAGACCTCAAAGAAGCCCAGATTCTTGTTCTCAAAGTGTACTCAGGAGCAGCAGACTTGAAACCAATACAGTAGAATGGCAAGTCGTCAATCTTAGCCTTCAAGCCATCCTCGTTCAGTCTCTCTTCGTCCTCAGCATTCTCGAAAGCAGCGGTTTCCTCAGCCAAAATCTTGGTGTCCTTCACGAAACAGTCCCACTCAACTGGGTGCAATTGCTTCAAGTATTCCAACAAAGTAACTCTAGAGAACTGGTCATCCTCTCTGATAATCTCTCTCAAAGACAACAAGATCTTTTCAGAGTAGTGAGGAGTGAAGACGGTGAAGGTAGGCATGTTGTCAACTGGCAAAGGCTCCAAAATTGGGGTAGCCAAAGACTGAGCGAAGAAACTGATACGTCTTTCGGCCTCGGAGTTTCTTGGGAAGAACTCCGTCTCAAAGTTGTTGTCATCCTGAGACACAAAGAAAGTTGGGGCTCTCAAGGTTCTCTTACCCTCAATCTCAGATGGAACCTGGTGGTACAACAACTTCTGGACGTGGTCAATAGCCAACAAGTGCTCTCTGTACATGGAAATCACAATAGCGTTCCAAACCTGGGAGATCAACACCTTTGGCTTGTACTTGATCTCCATCTCGGTGGTGGCCAAAATCTTGGAGTAGATTCTCTTTGGCAATCTGGTGAAAATGTTTCTCCATGGGGTCAAGATAGAGATACCCAAGTAGAACGAACGACCAATGGAAAACACACAGTTACAGATAATGTACCACATGTAGGTATCCAAGAAGAACAAGAACAAGTCGACAAGAAGCATCAAACCCAAGACAATCTTACCCTGCTGTTTACACAAGGTGTCACCGAACCAAACTTCACCGTTACATCTCATGTCCATAGTCGACAAATTTCTAATTGGGTCTCTCAAAGACAAGGTCAAGAAGAAATAAGATTCGGCCAACTTAGCAGCGAAGACGGTAACCCAAAGGAGGTAGGACATCCACATGTCCAAGCCTCTCAAGGAGTGAAAGTTTGCAGTGAAGATCTGAGATGCGACGTACTTTCTGGATCTTCTGTTCATGTAGGAGGTGAACAAACCACCCAAAGGCATGACAGCGAAGAACACCAAGGTAGCAATAGCAATGAAGAAACCAACGATAGAAACAGCATGAGCTGACTTGGAGATAGCAGACAAACCAGCCCAGTAGAATGAGTAAGCGAAAGGAACGATGTTGACGATCAAGATGATAATCAAAAACATTAAACGACGAGTCAAGTGCTGAGCACCGGCCCATTCTCTAGGAACGAACATCCATTCAAAAACAGTAGCCATAACCTCAATGAAAGAAGCAATCATACCACCCATGGCAGGGGCAGCCCATTGAGAAGATGCAGTTGGCTTGTTGTTAATAGTCTGAACGTAATGCTGAGTGTATAATGTAGGAGCGTTGTAGGCAGTGTACATCCAGTAGATGGTGACGTGAATAATCCAGATTCTGTTGAAGTTGGTGACGAGATGCAACCAGGTTCTAACTTCCTTGTAGGTCTTGAAGAAGACGTTTTGCCATTCCACCTCACCCAATCTCGTGAATCTCTCTTCCGCTGGGATATCGACCAAACGGGTACCGTCGTTGAAGATAATTCTGGAGATACCCTCTGGGTACCAGAACAACTGGTTGACATCATCGTAACCGATAACCTTGTTGTGGTCCTTCTCACGCTTGACGAATCTACCCTCGTAGATTTCATACACTTGAGATCTGATAAATCTGTAGATGGGGGTGATGATTCTGTTCAAGTAGTCACCCTCTGGAATTGGCTCTTGTCTCTGCTGACACTGAGGAGAGACCAAGTAATCCAGGGCGGTCTTGAAAAGGAAACAGATGAGCTCGGGAGTGAAACGGGCCTGGTTAGCCTCACCCCACAACAACAAGTAAAGAGCGATGTCTCTGACTCTCTCCTCGGGGCTGAGGACATTCATCTTGGCCTTCCATCTGATGTTGGCGGCTTCCATGGAGTAGTCACCCTCTAACTCATTGTTCAATGCGTCAATGTCCTGACCGTGCTCCTCGGCGGCCTTTCTGGCCTTCTTGGACTTCTTGCGAGCCTTTCTGGCCTTTCTACCGATCTTTCCAAGGTTCATGTTGGAGAAACCAATAGACTCGTCCAAATCTTGCTGAGAGGCGAAGTACCACTTTTTGTAGTTAGCGTTGTCACCACCAATGTAGTCAGCGTGCAAGGACAACAAAGCCTGGGCTGGAGACATACGGGAAGATCTGGAGTCCAACAAGGTCATGAAGTAGTCAAACATGTTTCTCATGGAGTCTCTCTGGAAACCAAACTTGTTAGCCAAGTCGATGAAAATGTCCTCGATGTGCTCGATCTTGATAGGAGCCTGAGGGTCAGCAGACCAAGCAGGGTAAGGCAAGTTCGAGGACAACTGGAACTGCGAAGGATCGTAGTTGGGGTTGGCACCGTAGATTGGAGTAGAGGCACCAGAAGATCTACCACCAGCATAACTCATCTGAGATGGGGTGTACTGAGCACCGTACTGGTCGTAGCCGGGGGTACCAGGAGCCTGGCCGCCGCCGTAGCTGAAATCAGAGAAGGCCTCTGGATCAGCGCTGTAGCCGGCAGCACCCTGTTGACCGTAGTTCTGGTAACCGTCCATGTCGTAGGGCTGCTGCTGGTACTGCTGGTTGGGGTCGTAGTACTCACCACCCTGTTCGTAGTGGACAGGCTGACCCATCTCATCATAGGCGGCCTGCTGGTAGTATTCACCACCCTGCTGACCACCTTGATCCTGAGTCGGGTCGTAGTAGTTGTGATTGTTATCGTAAGACATCTAGTCTGTTAGTAAGAGCGTTGGAACGCACGCCACTTTGCTATAACTGATGGGAAAAGCGAAAGACTGATGGGATCAGAAACAGTAACGAAAAACTCCTCAACGCGAGGGAGGCAGGAAATGCAGCGTCAGGAAACTTTTTTGACCGAGCCTTGAAAAAAAAAAAAAAAAAATAAAGCGATTCTTTTCCAAGTAACTTTAGGTTAAAAAATTATTCAACGCTGATTTCTGTTGAACTGTATCTGACGGCAATAAGTCAAAAAAGGGATGAAAAGAAAATTCTGGGTGGGACCGGATCGAGGAAATATGGGTTAAATTTAGAACCGCTGGGCGTAGCAATTAGATGTAAAGGGCGAGGAAGTGCTCGAATCAGGAAGGCAGGGAGCGGTGACTGTGTGCAGTGCTCAGGAGGCCCGGATCAAACGATGCCCACGAGGCCGGAATCGCGAGATATTCCGTGTGATGCCTGTAGTGGGAGGTTAAGATATGCGGTTAGCGAGCATCATTTCTTTTTCTCGGGAAGTTTTAGCAGCCTCATGGCGGTTTGTTTCTGAGGGGTCTGTGGGCCAGTCCAAATGCAAATCGCTTGGCCTGAATAGAGACTTGAGACAGGCAACATGCCGCGCAGAAGGGCCAAAGTGAAAAAAAAAAAAAAGAAAAGATGCAACGCCAACTGGTCTCACCCACGTGATCCAGGCTCAGCACCGGGTAAAGCCACAGGGCGAAGCGAGGCGAGAGCTGAGCTGCCCGATGAGGTAGGCCTGCGAGGCAATTTCACCACAACAAGCAGCGACCAGGGCACAATAACCTGGTCTTTGTCTCGCTGTCAGTGTTTACCTGATCCAGTATGCCAAGGGACGACCCAACGCACGAGTGTCAGGTGATGTGGTATCACGTGGGAGGCGCAGAAATCGTCTGCTTGGGCCAAGCTCCCAGGGATGGGTAGAATTGGATTTGATTTGGCTAGGGAAGATTCGGAGCGTTCGTTATGGGGATTGAAGCGGGATCAAGGGTGTTGTGGACGTGTTGTGGACGTGGATCAGCGGATCGGGCCCATAGCGGGAGTTTTCGAGCCGGGAAAAGACAGTAAGGGGCAAAGTGGCGGCGGATAAGCCGATGGAAGCATCGAGGAGATCAGAAAGTGACTCCATCAAGTAGAAACATACCTTTCGACAACAAGCAGCGGTGAAGAAGAAGAAGAAAAAGCGTAGGAACCGCAGCGTTCTGGATCAGGTAAGGCAGAGAGGACACGAGCCAGGCACGACCCTCGGGACGCGAACGCCAAAAATGCCAGAGAAGCGACCCGCCTGAGGCGGCATACAGCAATGACGGACGGTGCAAAAAAAAAAAAAAAGGAAGGAACGGAAGAAAGAATTATTTGAGATATTTTGGAATTGGAAATTATGGAGATTTAGAGAAGAAAAAAAAAAAAAAGTGAAAAGGATGACTTTTGGTTCACGCTTTTTCGTTTTTGCAATTTCCCTTTTCCTTCATTGGGCCAAACGGTGATCGGCAGTGCCTGTTTCGTGGTGGATTACGGGTGCCGGTGGGCCCGAAGGAAGTCCGCGCAGGGGTTGCTGTTTACCTGGCTGGCTGCGAAACCTCCAAGGACCCAAGGCGGCCAAAGAAAAAAAAAGAAGAGATCAAAAAGTTTGGGAAGAGATCAAGAAGTTTCTTAGGAAAACGTCAAAATCCCTCTTCTTATCACCCACAATGCCCCAGGTGTCACTTCAATGACGGCTGTGCCTAGCCCTGCGATTTCTTGGTGCTGAGGCAGACCATATTGTCCAACGTTTTTTCGCCATCCACCTCGACCCACCATCTGCGCTGTTTCACCTGACGAGCCAGAAAATAAAAAACTCTGTTTCCTACGCTTTTTTAACTTTTCCACAAAACTTGCCTATTTTTATCTCGCCCTCCCAACTCTTTGCCCAGAACTCATGCCCTGCGCCAGACAATCGCACGGGCTCGCACGGGCCACTAATAGTGGTCCTCGGCAGGAAAGCCTTGCTGCCTCGAGCGTAACACAAAACCCGCCGTGGAACGGGTAAAACACGTCCACGCAGGCTCCAAAGGACTATTGCTGTGGGAAATTGGGAATTTTGGTAGAGCGTTTGCATTCGAATATTTGACTCAATGTTTATTGGCGCTTGCTATGGGGCTTGTTCTGATAACGATGTCTTCCTGTGGCTTACGGATTACGCCTATTTTTCACCGACTGCGCAGCAAGGCGGAGCGTGGACAGTTGATTTTTGATGTGCGTCGGCATGAAGTATACGAAATTACGTGGGCTGTCGTTGGATCATGTAGAATTTGAATTCAGTTTTGAAACGCAATTTGAACACTTCGACGCTTGACGCTGAATCGTGATGCCATCTGGACATCGCTCGTCTAGTGAGAGGCTGTCAAGGATTGCCGACTGTCACATTATCGTCCGCCTCACTTAGGCGCCCTACTCAAGTGTCTCAGACCGTTGCTTTTCCGTAAACGGAAACTTTCCGATCACCTAGTCTGACAAAATATTCAGTAGTCACGAAAGGTGACAAATTTCACTATACACTAAATATTCGTTTTGTGTGACATATTATGCTTGATGTATTTTACTTTTCTCATCTCTTCGCATTGTGCACCAACGTGTGAATTTCGCAGCCATTTTTCAAACACAGCCATTCCATAAAACCCAACACCATCATAAAAAATCAAAAAATCATACTTCCCCAAAACTACTACATCTACACCACCTCTCAATCCTTCACAACACCTGAAGGCTGAATCCATTTCTAGGTACCCCTCGTCAATCTATTTTCTCTACTCCGTCCACCCCAAGTCGCTCAACTCCTTGCGGATATCGCCCTCCTTGTTGATCTTGCTCACCTGAGTGTCCTCTAACTGGTCGCCCAGCGCCTGCTTCATCTTCAACGTCTCGATCGCCCGGAGCTTCTTCAACAACAGACGGATCTTCTTCTCCTCCAACGAAACCACACCACCGACAACACCTGTATCAGGTGCTGGCGACGATGCTGCAGCAGACTCAGGAGCCGGACTCACACTGTCCTCGGCCTTCTTGGCCTCTCTCTTCTTTCTGTTCTTCGCAGCGGTCTTGCTCTCCTTCTGCTGTGGAGGAGCAGCACCAGGAACCATACCTGGCACCGTTTTCCTAGCACCGTTGCCAGCAGAGCCGAAACTGCTCTGCATTTCCTTCTGGTACAAAGACGTCGAGGTGGCAGCAGCACCGGAGTTTCTAGCATGTGGTGGTCTGTAGGCACCTGCTGGTTTGGCAGTAGCCAGACCACGAGAAGCGGCACGCTTGGCCAAATAGTCCTTGGCAGACTGCTGAGGCTCGGGACAGGCTTCTAGTTGTCTCAAACCTGGGAACTTGTCGAGTGGCTGAGGCTTCCAAGTGATGGAAAACAACTCAGGGTACTCTCTGAAGTACACCAACTGGCCGCTGGCATGCCACACCTTCAAGCCGTTGTCCACACGCAAACGGGGAGAAGTGGTGGCAGTCAAGATGAAACGACCGCAAGGTGACCACTCACACACGGAGGTGTTGGAGGCCTCAAACGTGCACACCTTGCTGAACTTGTTCTGACGGTCGTACACATCGACAGTACCTTGCAAGTTACCAAAGCCGGCAACGAGCACGAAGCGGCCATGAGGAGAATATATTATCGTGTTTCTAGGCGCAGTGGGCAATGAGTGGATGGAGTTGCCTCTGGCATCGAAAAATGTCGTCTCTGAGGGCATGTAGCCGTAACTCACGGCAAACTCTCTGGCCAGCGGCGACCAGGTGATGTCGTGAATAGGTCCCTCTCTCTTCAAGTCAATACGCTCGTACGAGCCGGCAATGCCCAATAAATACAAGTTGGTTTCGCCGTAGTACGACTTGTTGCTGGTATCATGGTCCGTGGAGGCCAATGCAAGCAAAGCCGTGCCCAAAGCGTTCCACTTCAACTGGCACTTCTCCGCCTTGAAAAACGTCTTGGAGCAGATGGGCTGGTTGAAAGAAGGCACGTTGTAGATGAGCACCTGGGCTGGCTTGCCGCCCTTTTCTGGGATGAAGATGGCCACGGCTGGGTTCTTGCCCGGGCTGATCTGGAAGTTCTGGAACGTGGCTCCCAGGTCCTGGAGCTTGAACTTGTACGTGGGCTTCTTGATGTCGAAGGCTTCGCTCACCTCGAAGAAGTGGATCTCCTTATTGTGGAAGTTCTTGGCCATGATCCGGCTGTCCTGGGTGAACTGTGGTTGCCATCCGCCCTGGTGCTTGTTGCTCCACGACGCCACCACCTTGTTGGCCTCGGAGTCAAAAACATGAATGTTATCGGACCACACGCCGCTTTCTCTGTCCACCAACACTGGTCTGGTCCAGATGGCCAAGAAGCGACCGTTGGGCGAAAAATGCAAATCGTACGCCTCCTTCACGTCCACCTCAGCCACAACCTCGTTGCTGGGCGTGCCGTCTTTCGTGGTGACAAGCACAATTTTGGATGGCTGGGTGTAGGCAAACACTTCGCCGTTGGGGCTGTAGAGGGCACATCTAACCTCAGCAGAAGGCTTGGGGAAGCCCTCCACCTCGGAGTAGTTTTCTATTAAGTCCACCGATTTCGGCTGGCGGCCTGGCGTTAGTAAGGAAAGGAGGGGCGAATTGGGCGGTACATACAGAAAAATTGGGTACTTTCAGACATGAGGTGTAGATGGTGTTGGAGCGTTGAGAAAAAAATGGCGGTCTGGTGTGCGGAACCCAGACCATCCACACCACAACCACCAGGCTAGGGAAAGTGGAAGGTGGAGTGCTTTAGTTAGATTGTGGAATTGTCAGGATTGACGTGGACTGGAATTATTTTGGATTTTTGAATTGGAGGTGGAAGAAGTGGGCTGGGTGGTTAGTCACATGTAGGTGCACTGGTAGGGCTCCAGTGGGGTTGATGGAGATTGTGAAAATGTATTTTGGCTGGAGTGTGAATAGTTGATGGATTGATGGAAGTTACTGTTTCTGTTTTCGTCAATGCTTTGCTGATGAGTATGATGTGGTACCTCAGTGGTAGTGGCATTAGATCAGTGGACAGTGAATGGGGATACATAGAGGTTATTGGTGAGTGCAGATTCTCATATTTTCTGACGAGTTTTGAAAAATTCATCAAAGCGAAATTTCATAAAGGGTTTGATGATACTGGCTTGTCGACGGTCATCTTCAGCATCCCTTTGTCATCGTCGATTCGACTGTTAGCCACCTAATCCCGACCAAGACCCACCATTTGTTCAAATTGCGGCTACATCCCCACTTTCGAGGTTCATTTAGCTCTTCTTGGATGATTTGTCTGAATTGAGACCCTTCTGTCGAGCATTGATACGAAGCAAAAGTGGTTGACCTGGGCTGGATAGAATTCCCAAACGTCACTACAACAAGTATTCTAAAATCAACATCATTGCTGCGCAAAACCGGACTTCACCTCACATTGTTGCATGCTCAATAAAACGTGAAGCACCCATGAGCAGCATCACAGTTTTCAGTTTGATTCAGCATCGTAGTCGAATTGAGGGCTCTACAATTTTCAAATTTTAAAATGATGATTACCACCTTATGAAGGGCTGTCTTTCAGTAACATCTCGAATCAATGCTTATCACAATAGATATGTGCTTCTTAAATCATAAGGCTTCATTCCAATGAAAGGTTATGTGGTATTCAGAAGGCTCGTGCGGCTGACGTTACAGAATGGGACAATAGCATGTGGTGAACAATGGCTGCATCACAAGCTCGATGAGCCAGCCATATATTTATGTAACGGGAATTCTAAAGAAACTGTCAATTTTCACATGGCGAGAAATCGTGATCTCAGTGATCTGCGGGTTTACGAGATCTGGCTTCTATCTATAGATGAGTTGAATGTGATCTTTGATTCAGGCTCATGTAATGAGTTCCCTCATTCCCTCATTCTCATCCTAATCATTCCAGATCATACCACCTTGCTACAATTGTGTTTCCGTAATATCAATTAGTTGGCGAGCTATCTATTGACAGTTCCGGAAATGCCCCACGCCATGCAGCGAACGGTTGTTCAAAGTTTGTTGGTTTTCAATGCATACATTTTGTTTTTCCTTTTTTTTTATAACTTTTTTTTTTTTTTTTTTTCTTTTATTTCTGATCGTTTGGACATTGTTAGGAACCATAACCCTTAGTGAACGGCTTCAGGTGCAGCAGCGAAACTCACATTGTGACCAGTCTCACCTGGAGCAACTTGATCAAGAGCAGCCTGATCTGGAATTGGCATTCCCTCTTGTGCATCACTATCGGCGCCCTCGGGAATATCCTCTGGGTATTCCTCCTCGGGAACCTCTGGTGGCACGTATCCAGGCAACTTGGTCGCTGCTTCAACAAAACCCCTGTTGTATGATTCTTGATACCATTCCAATGGATCACCTTGCGCAAGACCCTGCTCGGCTAATTGACCCATAGCGTAGAAGGCTTCGGGGAAACTGAACTCCTTGCACGCTCTGTCGACCCACATGAAGGCGCCCTGTGGGTCAGGATATGGTATATGCTTGCTCAGACCGTTTGTGCCGATCATAAACCATCTGCTAAGACCTAGCATTGCTTCAGGATGGCGCTTGAACTTCAACGGCGAGGTAGCCGCCTTGATGAACCATTGGATGGATTTGTTGGGGTTGTATTTTCTGTTCAAGTCACCGTTCTCGTAGATGTGTCCCAAACGAACCTGTGCCTGGAGACAATGAAGCCTAGCAGCTCTGTTGTAGTAGCTCAAACTCTTTGCGTAATTGACAGGAGCGATTTCTAAAGACTGCTTGACGAACTCGTCGTCCTGAGTCAAGTCACCAGGGTAGATGCCCTCGTAGATCTTTGCCAACTGGAACGAGGCCAAGCCGGAGATCTCCTCGAGCTCATCGCGGTCCTCGGGGCTCAACTTGATATCCTTAGAATCCATGTCAATGTCGGAAAGACTCTTTAAGTACTTGAAGAACTTGATCAGGCGCACCTTGGGTACCGTCAAGTAGATCAAGGCCACTTGGTAGATGGAGCGGTTGTAACCTAACTTAGCAGCCTGAGTGTAATGATATAATGCAGTGTCGAAGCTCTCCTCGGTTTGATCTTCCTCGAAGAGATTGGCCAACTTGTAGTGGGCACAATAAAAAAGTGGGTTGAGCTCCAAGCACTTGCGGAAGAAGCGGTCAGCCTCGTCCTTGTCCTGCTGAATGTTGAAATCTTGCTCGAACTTTGGCACAAAGTCATGCATGAGCAAGCAGCCATGGATGTAGCACACCTCAGCAAAGATACGACGGTCCTGAGGGGTGTGTTGCTCCACATCGAGCTCCTTCAACATCTTCTGCAAGTGAGTCACGGCCAGCTTGACAAACGTGAGCTTGTTCATAGCGGCCTGCTCCGATGGAATGCTATCACCCTTGATGTTGATGTAAGCATAGAGCTTGTAGTTCACGGCCTGGATCAACATCTTGGCCCAACGCAAACGGAAGTCGAAAGTCTTGTGGCCTGCGGCAATGGTCTGACGAAGGGCCACAAACTCATCAATCTTAGCGTTGATGGTGGGGTCCAGTGAGCGAGGGGGTGCCGGCTGCGGCGACACCGAGATCCTGCTGTGGCGTGGGTTTCCTCCGTACATTTGCATCTGCTGCTGGAGCTGCTGAAGTTGCTGGATCTGCTGCTGCATCTGATGGAGTTGGAAAGCAGCGGCACCGTCCGGCACGTTTTCATTGCTTGGATAGCCATAAGGCACATGCGAAGGCAGAGGAGGCATACTTCCTGGGAAGATGGGTGGAGGAGGACCAGGCATTGGAGGAACGAAATTGCTCTGGCGGCGCTCCTTGTGGCTGCGGCGAGACAAGGACCTCTGCTGCTCTGTCTGAGGAGCGATCCTAGTAGGCTTGCGGCCGACGCTGAAGTTCAGCTCGCTCTGCAACGAGTTGTATGACGAACGAGACGTGGTGGAGTCGTTACGAGATGGGGTTTCAGCAGGAGGAGCAGGAGGAGCAGGAGGGGCATCGTGTGCAGCTATGATGGCAGCATGAACACCGGGGTCCATTTCCTCGTCCGCCAGGTCCATGGTGCTGTTGAAGAGGTACTTGCCATAGTCGGAAATGGCCGAGTCTTCACGAGCAATGGCTTTGCCTGGCAGAGACTCCAGGAGGTCCAGAGCAGCCAGGTCGGTAGATGCAGACCAGGTGGAGCCGGTATTGATCGGAGGAGGCCTCTCGAACGCCTGGCTCGTCGAGCCCACCATGGAAGGCACTGGTGGGTCGTCCACCACAGCCTCTTCGTCGATTTCCGGACCTTCGGGCGCCACAACGTTCATGGACACCGCCCTGGGCGTAGGACGCTGTTCGGCGTGAGCGAGCGAAGGCACCAGCGACAGGCGGTTCAGCTTGAGCGTGGACATGCGGGAGTTTCTGACCAAACCGTTGCCTGCACCGTTGCCAGCGGCGCTAGCCAAGTTTGTGTAAGAGTGGTGCACGTTACTAGCCGAGGAGGAGCGGGAGTACGGGATGCTGGAGGAGTAGGCGCTGATGACGTTGTTGATGCCGGAGCTGGCGTTGCTGACGACATTGGCGTTTCCGGCCAAGTTGGCGTTGGAGCCCGTGCGGGGCCCCTTGTAGTTGGCCATGGCAGCGTAGTACTGCTTCCACTGGTCGTAGTATGGGTGTCTTTCGTCCTCCAGGCCCAGCGACGCATCCGCCAGCGACGCCAGCGTATACGAGTCGTCAGCGTAGGCGGCTGGAGCAGCGTACAGCATGGATGTGGAGGCCAGGTGGGACACACGGGACGGGCGGTTTGGAGCAGCCGGGCTGTTAGGCACGGTGGAAGACACCTGGCGGTTCTGGGCCAGCGGCGACTCTCTGCTTCTTGCCGGGGTCAAACGACCGCCGTTCTCGTGGAGGAGCTCCTGGGAGCCGAAGCCCTGGGACTGGCGGCGGGGGATCTGGGAGTAGCCCTCGGAGAAGTTCTGGGCGGGCTGGGGCATGGTGATCTGGGCGCCGTATGCGGATAAGCTGTTCAGGGACATTGAGCGGTGAGCCGGGGCGTGGGCTCCATGAGCTCCTGGGGCATGATGCAGTGGATGGTGTTGGTGGATCAGGTGCTGCTGGACCGTGGCTGGGTTCTGGGGAGGACTGTGGAACAGATGAGGCTGGAGCAGTCTGGGCTGGAGCAGGTGGCGGTTGAGCTGGGAAGCGGCCACGGGTTTCCTAGGTAGGAGGTCCAGATGGCGTTTTGTGTCCTGGGACAGGTGGGACAGCTGGGAGGCTGCCAGAGAGAACTCAGAGACGTCACCCAGGGAGTCCAGGTTCAGGGAGGACTTTGGCGCCGGGGCGGGCTGGGGAGCGGCCTTTTCGTCTGAGCGGAACTTCTTGAAGAGACCCATTGGAGAAGGCACTAGGCCGAAAGCGAATGAAGAAGAAGAAGGTGGTGCTGGAGGGTAAAGGCAAAAAATTCTAGTGCCTAATGGGGTGCAGGTCGGGCTGGGTCACAGGACAGGAGGCAGGCCTTGGAGGAGGGGGCTGTTTTTAGCAATTGGTAGTTTTTGGGGACGACGGAAGAAAGAGGTTGGGAGGAACAATATTTTTTTTTTTTATTTGCCCGTGGAAGCTCACAAAAGGCCGGAGGCTCAAGCAACCGTTGGTTTTTTTAGCAGTCTTAATTTGGAAGCGAGGGAAGAAAAACAGCCGCCCAGCGGTCGCAGGGCCCAAATCAGAAGAGGCACTGGGGCGCCTTCTTTGGCGCAAACGTAAACAGCACAGCCAACAAAGCAAGTGGGACAATAGGATCGGGCAGAAGAATGCCAGGGGCGACAGATGGAAAAGACGTAAATTACTAGGGCAAAAAAAAAAAAAAAAAAAAGAGGAATTGCTAACAGCACTGGCTATGCAACGGCGCTTCGCTGATGTGGCACTGTTAACGACGGCAGCGGCAGCGTACTTGCTGCTAATTTTGTCCCGGGCTGCCGAGCAATTGTGGGCCAGGAATTACGAGAAGGGCGGCTGCGACAGTGAGATGGCGAGGGGAGGCCAGGCACCGAAATGCACTGGAGCTTCGGTGATCTAATTGATTTTTTTGATCTCTCAAGACTTCAATTTCAAAAATCGACCTCGGCTTTCTTTTCCTTGCCAGCGGCCTTCGTCAACTCCCTCGTCAACTCCCTCGTTAACTCCCTCGTTAACTCCCGTTAAGTCCCCGTGCCTCCAGCAACCCGCGGTCTGAGACATCCCTTGATTTGCACCCAAAGCGCCCCAGGCGCCAGGAGCCAGGGAGCAACCGCCCCACTTGCTTCCATGCTGTCAAGTTTCTTCTCTCTAAGCCCCGTGATTTTGCCCCTGCGCGCCCACATGGGGAAACCCGCATGGGACAGGCCCCGGCGGGTTTTGCGTTTTTGCCATGGCTGGGTTGGCAACTTTTTTTGCATTTGTTGCTACCGGGCTTTTCTCTCCAAAATGCTCCTTTGTTTCTCGGCTTGACAGCTTCATGCGTCGCCGCGCAGCTCGCTACTTCATCTTGGTGGTCCGTGCATGAACCCACAATCAGCGCACTCACTGCAGGCGGATAGCCCATGATCTGGAGACTCCATAGCCATTGGCAGTGGTTTTGGACTTTGCGGATTTTTGGAATTTTGAACTTTTTGACTTTCTTGAATTTTGGTGAATTGGTTGGCCACAGCACCAGTTGAAAATGCAAAACAATACTCTATGAGCTCAGTGCCCCAACGCTGAGTGCACCACGATCCAAGCACGCCTGAATACCTCTGGGGCTGAATCGGAATGGTTGCTCAGATGGGATCATCTCGCATGGGCCCGATTCACAGCAAATCGCTTCCTCGCATATGAGATGCACCCATTTTCACCTCTGGCAATATTTTCTCCAGATTCTGTTCTGATCCCGGGTGGTATTTTTTTGCTTTTCCTCATTGAGTACGGGGCCCCCATCTGACGATCCGATCAGACACAGCCTAGGAACCAAGCCGCTCACGCACCTTCCAGTTAAGCTTTGTGCCCGGGCAAGGGGCCCCTCCAACTGGGCTTGGGCAGGTGAAATTGCCGGAAATGGTGGCCTCCGTCTTCTAGCCGAGTGGGGGAAATTGTACAATTTGTACTTTTCATCTGATAGGCCAGACACCGCAGTGGACCATGTACTTAAGCTTTCTGCCAGATCCAGCTACGCACAGATCCTATCCTCTACACATACATCCGGGCTTCTATCTATTAGGCGATTCAGAAGTCACTTGCCCCTCAATCACATATATTCCCAAAGTCGCTATGTATCCACTGAAATAAATTATCATTATGGCTGCGGCCGTTGCCGTTCACCATCCGGTTAATCTCCACCCGTGGTGGCGGCGGGCCCAAAGTCCAACCAGTTCCACGTTCCGTTCCTCGCGGGCTCGTCCAAAAGTATCTCGTCCGTCGCCTCAAGATGCGCCAACCCGGCGCCAGCGTCCGTGTCCATCGATGCAAAATCGACATGGCGCAGCGGCGAGTCGTCAGCACCAATTGTGAAGGAGTCCAGCTGGAAAAGGTTCATGTTGAGAAGCTTGTCCATCTCGTCCGGGCCATTCTCGATGTTGTTCTGCCCGTCGTGCGGTTGCTGGAAGTCTAGGAAAGTCTGCAAGTGGTCGTCGTAAGGCAGGGCAAACGCGTCCAGCGGCTTGGCGCTGAGCTGCTTGAAAAGACCGGTGTTGTTGTTGGAAATGACGTTATCGAGGGATTTGCGCCCACCGTTGTAGCGAGCATCGTAGGCGGCTCCGTAACGGGACACAGGCAGGGGCTGGCCGTGCTGGGCAGAAGCTGAGTTGTTGAGCGGGCGGAGGATGCCGTGGAGTTTGTAAAACAAGCCGCAGGCGTTGCAGAGGAGATCGCCCTGGTCGGTTTTACGCCAGAGCGGGGTGGTTCTCGTGTGGCAGTTTGTGCACTGCAACGCTGGTTTGGAGGAGGAGGAGGAGTCGTTTTTTGAGTTCACCAGCGGCGCCGGAGTGAGCGTCGTTTCCTGGGCAGAACTGGACGTGTAGTTTTGCAGAGGCGACTCCTTGGACGAGTCTTTGCCCCGGGGCTGCGTCAACTTGTAGTCTTGCTTGAGGGTCAGCTCGAGCAGGCTGATGTACGAGGAAAGGAACAGGCTGGGGTTTGCGTTGCTTTGTTTCTCCAACAGGGACAGAGGAGTGGCCTCCTGCTTTTGTGGGGAAGGCTGGTGATGATGCTGATTATGGTGATGCTGTTGTGTGGCCGATGGGATCAGTCTGGGCTCGTTTTTGGGCTCTTCCGAGGTCTCCTCCTGGGAGATACGGCGGATGTGGGCCACGTAGTCGAAATGGTCGTCCATGTCGATGGACTTTCTCTTGAAAGCAGGCTTCTCCACGCCACCTTGATGACGTTTCATGGCCTTCTGGTTCTGGATACGCCAGGCAATGTTGGAAACTCTCTTGTTGTGAGGAAGGTACGCCTTGTGGTGGTACATGGATAAGATCTTGAGGGACAGGTCGTCGGAGTCTTTGATGAGGTCAGCCACCGTTGGTTTTTGTTTCATGGCGGGAGAAGATGAATATATAATGGGGAAGTTGGGTGAATGAGGGGCTGCCGCGCAGGAGAGTACCGCATAGAGGACCTACCTCTGCATTGAGTCACCGGGGCAAGTCCTGAACAGCGGGGGATAATTGGGTTTTTGGAAACATTGTCTGATTCTACGGGTGTCTACGACCTTGGGGATCTAATTTTTTTCTTTTTCGTCCCCAGGAAACCCCGTTTTTGAGGGGACCCTCTGCTGCTGGTGGCTGCGAAACGAGGCGATCGGGGCCGCACCGAAAACACCGAACAATGGTGTGCCGTAGCGGCGAGAGATCTTAGGTACAGAGGCCCAAAGCAGGGGCCTTTGGCCGCGCCGGGTTTCCATAAAAATACGGATGAGTGAATTTTCACTTTGGTGCGGTCATTTGACATATGCCACAGGGCAAGCTGATCAGAAACGGCAGCTGATTAGAAACGGCAGCTGATTAGAATTGACGGCAGCTGATTAGCTGAAGCGATAGGGGTCGCCATTTGCAACTCGTCGACGCTTATTTTTCTTTTTTTTTTCTTTTTTGTTCGGTAATACTTGAATCTGTTGTGTGACGCTGCCTCGAGCGTCATGAACCCAAAACGACTGCGGCGGTCTGGGGTAAAATGCCTCAGCGGTGGGGTACAAGGCATTCGCAGGCCTTCCAATTGGACCAGTGTCACGGTAGTTTTGTGTAACCTCCCACGCAGGGCCCAAAGCATCATCAGCTTTCTGAACATCCACTTCTTCATCCACTTCTTCTTTTCCTTCTTTTTTCTTCTTCATTTCCCCATATTTGCTCAGATGGACCAGTTGCTTTTCAGTGCTATTTCCGGATCGCTACGTGCATTGGGTTCGCGGATCCATGTTACCCCGAGCCGTTTCGCAGCCATCTGGCCACTAGAAGCCCAGAGACTCCGGCTTTAGCTGAAACAATCACAATATGCAAAGAATGAGTTTGGAAGTTGGGTTCTTGCTTTTTGGATTAAGCTCCTTTACTTTCAAACAATGAATCTGAAACGTCGCCAGCCCGGGCGTCATTCCCGTCTCGTAAATGGACCCCACAGACGTATCTCATCTGCCCGTGATGCAATGCTCCAGCCACTGAAAAATATCGACGCCTCTGGAGATCCTTCCGCCTAAGCTGGACATCCTCCCGCCTCCGGCTACGTATTTCTCAGCAATGACTAAAAACAGAAATACAATGGATGACTAAGGAGTCCGGGAGGGGGCATGGAAAGCTTGGTTTTTTGCATGAAAGCTTGGTTTTTTTCACCGTAGGGTGAATTTTCACCTCCGTGTGGGGCCAACAATGTCAGCTCCATACTCAAAATCGGAGCATATCGTCCGACATGGGCCAAAATGCTTGGAGGCCAGATCAGCTTTTCCGATTAGCCACTTTCTTCGTTCTGGAGGACCCTGAACCTTATCCTGACACCTCCTCCTAAAGTCGCGAATGCACACCGCCCACATCTCATCTCATGGCTGATAAAGTAAGGGAAAACAACGAGTACCTTCGGAATAAGGAAAAGTATATAGGCGTTGGAAATGCCGATACGACGCGAGACGAGTTTTTCACAAATGTCCACAGAGACACGCTAGCGTCCATTGCCCAGCACGACAGCTTGTTGCAGTATAACGCTGTGGCGATGAATGAGCCGAAGCTTTTTGTGAAGCAGAGTTTGATAAAGAAGATGGTCCAGCCGCTACGGAGGGAGACGGAGGGGGGATCGAAGGAGGCGAAGGAGGGGTGACTTTGTTGATGGTTGGTTGGTTGATGAGGTTGGTCATGATTGAGGGTTGGGTGTGGTGGATAGCATTGAGAGTATGGTGATGCAGAATGATGGGTTGAGGGTGTTTGGCGCTGTTAAATGCAATAGCGCTCTAATTTGTATTGATTGTGCTGGGTGGTTTAGAATGGTACTCATACCAAACTATCCACAGCAAGGCAGCGACATCAAACCAGTATCAGAGCTAAACGGAGCGAAACATAATCCAAATTCACAATGGGCTCCATATCCACGAAGGTGACCTTGATCTACGCAGTCGTTCAATCATTATGTCACTTTGGACGTTTTGGGCAATTTGCATCGGTGATGTGGTTTCAACCAGCCAGTCCATTGGAAGTCAGATTGCAAGGCGCCAGGGGACCTCTCCTACAAACGGATAGCAGCCAATCGACAAAAATGGTTACCAAGCCATATTGACGGCAAACGATACAATGATGATCTTAGCATGACTAGGCTAAACGGATCATTTCCCATCAACAATTTTTTTTTAACGATTATCTACAGACCACATGGGCACGGCGTTGAAACACTTTCAATCGCCTTCCATGCTACCTGGAGCTCATCGCCGCCGCAATTACTAGAAACTAATCTCAAATGTTGCCGCCAAATGAGCTCAATGTCCCGCTTTTCCTCATTGGTCAAGCGCCCCTACACTGAAAAATTCCCCACCTACTCAATATGTAAGGGTCCTATGAGCCGAAGGATCACCTACACGAAACACCATTATTATCCAGCTTTTTGATTCATTCAAAATTCCTTTCGTTCAAATTTTTTCTGCTTCCCAGCGGGCCACGTTGTACGCTAATATAGTGTGCCAAGAAACGTCAAAGCGGCTTGACACTCGGGTGCGCAGGCGGATTCTTCATGTAATAGATAGATGTACAAAAATTTCACGGCTTCATGCAGGCGAGCCGTTTAAATACTTATCTCGAGGACGATTGCCTTTTCACCCATCTATTTGCTTTTTGGCACCGCCAGTGGTCTCTTTAAAAACTAAGAGTAGCCGCTTTTTCTTGTGCCTGATTTGAAAATAAAGTCTTCCTGCTCGTCCGCTAACTCAACCAAAAATGTGCCGTTTTCTCGTGAGAAAGTTGAAGTTCAAGGCGGTCAAGAACCGAGAAGAGTAAGCCACTCGTCCGAGCCTGAACCTTACAGGTTAGCTGCTGATGCAGTGGCGTCGTTGTTTTCTGTCGATGTCGAGTCTGGTCTCTCTTCATTGCAAGCTTCTGATTTGGCTGCAAAACATGGTCCCAACAACTTGGGCAACGAGGAGACCATCTCGTATGTTGCTATTTTGTGCCACCAGGTTTTCAATGCCATGGTTTTGGTTTTGATCATTTCGATGATCATTGCGTTGGCGATCCGAGACTGGATTTCCGGCGGTGTGATTGCTTTTGTCGTTTTTGTCAATGTCTTTGTGGGCTTTATCCAAGAGGTGAAGGCCGAAAAGACCATGGGCTCGTTGCGTAATTTGACCTCTGCTTCTGCTGTGGTGATTCGTGACGGCCAGACTTCGACAATCAACGCCGTTGATTTGGTTCCTGGTGATATTGTTGTGATAAAAGTCGGTGATACGATTCCTGCTGATTTGCGTTTGGTGGATGCCATGAACTTGGAAACTGACGAGGCCTTGCTTACAGGTGAGTCTCTTCCAGTGACAAAAAATCACCAAGACGTGTATGACGTTGAGGAACTGGTGCCTGTGGGAGATCGTCTCAACATGGCCTACTCCTCTTCAGTTGTTACCAAGGGTCGTGCTACAGGTATCACCGTGGCCACCGGATTACACACTGAAATTGGAAAAATCGCCTCTTCCTTGCAGTCGTCTGAAGACGATTTGATAGTCAAGAAGCGTCCAGGCGTATCGCTATTCACTTGCGTCTGGAGATCCACTTTCAACATTATCATGAACGTTCTTGGTACAAATGTGGGTACCCCATTGCAGCGCAAGTTGTCATGGTTGGCGATTATTCTCTTTTTTGTTGCCGTGGTCTTTGCAATCGTGGTGATGGCCACTCAAGAAATGGATGTCAATCGTTCAGTTGCCATCTACGCCATCTGCGTGGCTCTTTCTATGATTCCCTCGTCATTGATTGTCGTGCTTACCATCACAATGGCTATTGGTGCCCAGGTCATGGTCACGAAGAACGTTATCGTGAGAAAATTAGACTCTTTAGAAGCTCTTGGAGGTATCGACGATATTTGTTCCGATAAGACTGGTACCCTCACCATGGGCAAGATGATTGCCAGAAAGCTCTGGGTACCTTCGCTTGGTACATTTTCGGTAACAAACTCCACCGAGGTGTACAATCCAGAGGTTGGTGAAGTCAGCTTTGTCAACTTGTCTCCTAAGGAGATTAATGACATTGATGAGGAGCCAGAATACAAGCCTTTCAGCACCAAACAGTCGCTGTACTTGTTTTCAAGGTGGATGGACGCCGCTACTTTGGCCAACATTTCCTCCATCCAGCCTGTCGAAAAAGACGCTGGCACTGTTTGGGAAGGTCAGGGTGATGCGACCGAAATTGCCATCAATGTCTTCTGTACTCGTTTGGAGTCTACGAGACAAAAGCTCATTGGCGATAGATCACTAGAGCATTTTGCTGAATTTTCCTTCGACTCCTCCATCAAGAGAATGTCGTCTATTTACGGTAAATCCAGTGCTGACGCTATGATCTACACAAAGGGTGCAGTTGAAAGAATCTTGGATATTTGCGAGTTCAAGTACGGGTCAAACGACCAGGATTCAAAGGAAGCACTCACTGATGCTCACAAGAAGGAAATCGAGGAGGTGATGAATAATCTCTCCAGCGAGGGCCTCAGAGTGTTGGCTTTCGCTGAACGAAACGTCAATTGTACAAAGATCAACATCAACAACCGTGAGGAGGTTGAGACTGGATTGACGTTTTTGGGCTTGATTGGTATCTACGATCCACCTCGTCCTGAGACCAGGGGCTCTGTTAAACTATGCCACAAAGCAGGTATCAATGTCCATATGCTTACTGGTGATATGCTTGGAACTGCTCGAGCTATTGCCCAGGAAGTAGGAATTCTTCCTCACAACTTGTATCACTACTCCGATGATGTGATCAAGTCTATGTGTATGACCGCCACTGAGTTTGACAAGCTCAGCGATTTGGAGATCGACAATTTGCCTGTTCTTCCTTTGGTCATTGCCCGTTGTGCTCCACAGACAAAGGTGAGGATGATTGAAGCGTTGCACCGTCGTAACAAATTCTGTGCTATGACAGGTGACGGAGTCAACGATTCTCCTTCTTTGAAAAAGGCTGATGTCGGTATTGCCATGGGCATGAATGGCTCAGATGTGGCCAAAGATGCTTCCGACATTATTCTTACGGACGACAACTTTGCTTCCATTCTTCACGCCATCGAAGAGGGAAGAAGAATGTCGTCTAACATTCAAAAGTTCGTTTTGCAGTTGCTTGCTGAAAACGTCGCTCAGGCGCTTTACTTGATTGTGGGTTTGGCGTTCTTCGATAATTCGGGCTTCTCTGTTTTTCCTTTGTCTCCAGTTGAAACACTCTGGATTATCGTGGTGACATCCTGTTTCCCAGCTATGGGATTGGGTCAGGAGAAAGCAAGTGACGATATTTTGGATGTGCCGCCAAACAACAGAATCTTCACATCCGGCATGATCTTGGACATGTTTGTCTATGGTACTTGGATGGCGGCCTGTTGTATGGCTGTATTTGTCATTGTCGTCTACGGAAAAGGCAGTGGCGAATTGGGCTACAAGTGTAACGAAAATAGCGGCAGCAATTGTGATTTGGTCTTTGAGGGAAGATCAGCCGCTTTTTCGGCCTTCACTTGGTGTGCTTTGTTTTTGGCTTGGGAATGTATCCACATGAAGTTCTCCTTCTTCAACATGAGACCAGAGCTGGAGAACCCGTGGTACGCGACTTTGGGTGCTGATCTCTGGGACAATCAATTTTTGTTTTGGTCGGTGATTGGTGCTTTTGTTTCTGTTTTCCCTGTCATTTATATTCCGGTGATCAACGATAAAGTGTTTTTGCATGGACCCATTGGTTACGAATGGGGTGTTTCCATCGGATTCACAATTGTATTCTTCGCTGGTTGTGAGGTTTGGAAGTTTTGCAAGAGAAGGTATTATAAAAAGGCATCTCTGGATGGAAACTATCTCGAGAGCTTTGACCCCTTCCTGGCATATTCTTCTTTTGAGAAGGTATAAGTTTCGTTTGTCTGGTTTTTTTCATTCTCTTCGGAGGATTTTTTCCAGGTGAACTACTTCTGCATCTCTAGTTTCGTTTGCTTTTCATTATACATTCTATCAAAATATGTCATTTTCGTAGGGGCAGTTGAGACTGCTGTGTCCATCTCTTTCACAAAGCCCACACCAGTTCAGTCTACCGCTGCTAGGGTCCACTGGTTTTGGTGGTCTGTAAATCCCCAATGTCTCGTTCTTGACATAACTAACAGGCCCGGAATTTTCTTTGTCTTCTGAGGGATCTTCCGGTTTTGATTGAGTTTGCTGCAGACGTAGCTGGTCGAGTTGCTCAGCCAAGGCCTTCTTCTGTTCCTCTGCAGCGGCAAGTGCTCTATCTTTGTCCTCCATTGACTTTTGATGGAGCAGGTCAACCTCTTCGAGGGCGGTCTGTAGTTCACTAAGCTCCTCGAAGGTAGGGCGCATCTTGAGTTCGTGCTGTAGGTCTTCCACTTTTTTGGCTATTTCGTCTGGATCCAGAGAGTTGGTCTGTTTCGATTGGAGCTGCGAGGTTTCACGCCTCGACTGCTCAAGATCAGCCTCAAGCTTCTTGACACGCTCTTCCATGGTACTCAGTTCTTTTTTCAGCTCTTCTAGTTGCCGCTCAAGGTCTTCAATTTTCTCATTTGACTTTGAGTCCGAGACGTTCAAATCACGCACTTGCTTCAGTAGACCATCAACCTCTTTCAGTTTGAACTCTTCAAGCTCGCTTTCCAAATCGTGAATCCTAGCATCCCTTTCCTTCACTTTCTTCTGGCTGTCTTGAATGACAAACTCCAAGGATGCTACATCCTGCTGAAGACGATCAAGTGACTTTTCGAGCTCTTGTTTCTTTTCCTCGGCATCATCCCCAGATGCCAGACTCGCTTGCTCCTTGAGTTTGTTGTTCTCCTCTGTCAAGGCTGCAAGGCGCTTTTCAAGCTCTGCGGTTTTCTCGCCTTGCCCGTCTCCCCTGAGTTCCTGAATCTGCTGCTCGTAGAGCTCCTCTGCTTCTTGCTGAGCAGACATCATGAGTTGAAGACTCTCACGCCATTCCTCCCTGGCCTTGTCGTTATCAGCCTTTTGCTTCGCTATCTTCTGGTTTTTCTGTTCGAGTTCCTGCTCTAGATCACCCAAGACAGCCTGTAGTTCGTTCACCGTGTTCTGAAGACCGGCAAGAATGTTGTCTCTCTCCTGGAGATCTCTAGACTTGCTGCCTAGTATGGCCTTTAATTCGCTAATTTCCTTTCTAGCGGCATCAGCATCGTACAGCGTCCTAGTTCTGTCGAACAAGTCCCCCAGATCACTTCTTGATCCACCCACAGACCTCGTAACAGACTCTCCAGAGGTGACTCTTCTCTTTGAGAGTGTAATTGGCTGAGCTAATTGAGGACTCTGTGACAGCGACAGAGGCCTGCTGACCCTGGAGAGTGGTTTATGGGTTGGTGATGGTGTTCTGAGGTTATCTGGAAAACCATTCAGGGGTCGTATCGTATCTTCGTACCTAGGCAAACGGGCATTTGATGATCTAAGTCTCTCCCAGGGTATAAAAAGACCACTCATGGGCTGCTGAACCTCAAAATATTGTACCCCATCAACAGCACCACTGTTCTTACCTCTTGAAGCTGCTATAGGGCCTTGAAGCTCGATTCCACCAAAAACCCCAGATTTCCCCTCAATGGGCCCTATGTACTTAAGGACACCGAATCCTCTTGTCGTGCCAGGTACAGCGACCTTGGTTCCTAGAAGTTCGCTCATAAAGATGAGTATTTACCTTTGGTGATGTTTATTTACCTTCGCGCGCTATGTATGCACTAGATCAGAGTTCGTCTTGAACAACTCTAGAGGACGCAAGCTGCTTAGCCCACGCCCACTTGGTTTGTTGAAGGCTTTCGTTTGGAATGCTGCGCTGCACCTTTCCGTCCGTGATGAGCTTTGAGCCTTGTAGCTCGTTGATATCTTTTTCAATTTTGGTGATTTGCTTGAAGTAGAGATTGATTTTGGAGGTGATCTCATAAGTAGCCTCTTCAAGCCTTTCCACCAAGGAGGTGCCACCAGCATCTGATTTACGCTCAAGTAAGAGCGGAGTCAGCTTCTCGAGCACTTCAGCGTGTAAATTTTCCACTTTCTTCATCTTCTCGCGGAGACGTAGCTTGAGCATTTCGCCTCTGACCTCAAGAGGACGGTCTCTGATGTTCTCTGGAGTGAAGGATTTCTCGAATTTGGCGATTTGCAACACCAACCGCTCGCAAAGCTTTCTCGTTTCTTCGCTATCTTCCGCAACTTTCATCAAAGTCTCCATTTTCTTTTTGAGCTCACGAGCTGCTAAGACCGTGCTCTTTCCGTCCACAACCTTTGTGGAGGCCTCCTTCGTGATGGAACTAATAGCACCCAAACGCCTGTAATCTTCGGGGTCTTGGTCGTACTCAAGAGCCTTGATTCTGTCTTCCAAGTATTTCGCATTAAGCCTGAGAATCTTGCTCATGGCATCGGTGGTCTGCAACACCAAACGCATCTCTTTCTCCACAGGAGTACCCTTGTTTTCCTGTGATCCAAGATGGCCAAAGACTCGAAGCTCAACATCATTCAACGGAGGCGCATCGCTGACATCGTCCGATGGAGAGGAGGGTCTAGCGTCTTCGGCTTTGGCAGGCTGGCTTTGGTCGGCTGTTTTTTGAGAAGCAGAATGGTCCATCGTAGTTACTTCTGGTTTCTTCTTCTCCGTAAACGGCAGTGTGGATGGTATGTTCAATTCATTCGATGAAGTAGATGTAGATTGGCTACCCCGTGATGATGGTAGAGACTTGTTGTCTGGCGATGCATCCTTCTTCAACGAAGCTGGAACGGCGGCCGGCTGGCTCTTATCGATTCCAGGAGATGCTGGATTTTCTTTCTCGGATGAAACCTCGTCTTTTTCAAGCAGTTCGCTAGAACTTAAAACACCTTGAGAGGACTCACTAGAGGGGGCGCTTCTTCGCTTGGAAGGTTCTCTTTCAAACCATCGAAGTCTTTGAGCGGAGAGGACTTCTGTTCAGTGGTCTCGGTCAGTTCTTTCTTCAAGACATCGAAGGGTGAGGATTTCTTTGGTATTTCACTCTTTGATGGAGCTTCATCGTCAACTCCACTTGACAACTCCTCCTCTTGTGTCTTCTCAGGACTCTTCAAGGATGCAAAAGGTGAAGTCTTGTCTGATGACTGAGAACCAAACATGGCAGGCTTTTCTTGAGGTCCCTCGCTCTGAGACGAGAGACCAGGTTTGATGAAGCCGCTAAAAGGTGATTGTTTATCATTGCTTGAATCCTTGGGAGCATTGAAGCCACCAAATGGTGAGGATTTATTCGTCTCTTCCTTAGGCTCTGCCTGACTGGATTGTCCAAACAATGACAGCTTTTGTGGTGCATCAGATCCCACAGGTTTGCCGAACAAAGGCTGTGAACTCTCTTGCTTTTCTGAAGCAGTTTTCTCGTCAGCCAGCTTGACGGACAACTTGTCAACCTCCGAAGAGAGATCAGACTGCTTTGTATCTTGGGGAGTCTCGGATGGCTTAGATTCTTCAAGTTTGCTGAAAGGAGACGGTTTGTTGGCAGAGGGCAGGCCAAATAAAGGCTTCTGTGGTTCTCCCGATGACTGGTCAGTGGGGGCATTAGTTTCCTGCTTTGCTTCCAGAGAGGCCTTGTCTTTCTCTGATGTCGGAGCTGAGCCAAAAAGTGACAGGGACGATGGTGCTCCGAATGGTTTTGCTTCGGACAGCTGACCGAATGGCTTGGAATCAGTCGATTGCCCAAACAATGGTTTGGAAGTGCTAGATGATCCAAATGGCTTAGCAGTGTCGGAGGATCCGAAAGCAGATGCTGGTTTTGAAAATGCGTCCAGTGGCTTTGCATCTGAAGAAGCACCAAAGGAGGACTCCGGCTTCGAAGACAGACTCAATGGCTTTGCATCAGTGGGATTACCGAAAATAGACTTTGTGGAGGTCGAACCAAATGGCTTTGCATCTGTTGTGGATCCAAAGGGCTTTCTCTCTGACGTTGATCCAAATGGCTTTGCATCTGTTGTGGATCCGAACGGCTTTGCTTCTGTAGTTGATCCGAATGGCTTTGCATCCGTCGTGGAGCCAAATGGCTTTGTGCTAGATGAGCTACCAAAGATGTCCTTCGATTCCGAAGAGGAGCCAAATGGCTTTGTACTGGAGTCACCGAAAATCGATGGTTTCAGGCTTTCGTTGGAGATGCTCTGAGAACCAAAAATATCATTCGATGCGGATGTTTTGCCAAATGGAGATGATTTAGCATCGCCACTGAGGGCATTGTTCTTTGAGGCATAACTTCCAAACCCAGATTTGACATCTCCACTGCCTTTGGTCTGTTGTTTTTGACCAAAACCAGATTGGCCAAAGCCAGGTTGACCGAATGCGGACTGACCAAAACCTGCCTGACCAAAACCTGACTTGCCGAACCCTGATTGGCCAAAACCGCTTCCCTTACTTCCTTCAGAACCAAACAGACCAAATGCTGATGGTCGCGAAGAGCCAAACGGTGATGCTGGTGGGGCTGATGGCTTGGAAGTTTGTTCTTTAGCGATTGGAGGTGCAGAGAAAGGACCCAGGCTGACTGGATCAGACTTGACAGGTACTGAGGTAGGACCCAGGCTCACAGTTTCAGACTTTTTTGAGACTGGTATATCCACCGTTTTTAGCTGTGGAATTGCTCTCTCCAAGCTGAGACCATCATTCTTGATTTCTCGTGACTCGAAGACGTCCCAGGCAATCAACATACCATTGTTGTTCAAGCAGAATAATCTTGGTAAAATACCGTTTGCCTCTTCTACTCCCAGGCAAGGCTCCTTAACAACTCTTGTAGTACCTGTGACATCTACCGCCATGCCGACTGGCAAAGTATCATCACCCGATTCGTCGTCAACAGGAAGTTCAGCACGATCCGTGTCATTAGCGTGAGCAATGAGCTTGCTTTCTTCACCATCATACTCAATAGATGCTATTTCGGTGGCAAGTGCAGTGGATACAAGCGCCAAAGTCTTGCCATTAATCCAGTTTTGCAAGTGAGTAGAATAGATTTGCTGGACTCGTTCGACCTCGCCGAATGGTGGTGCTAATGGCACATCGAGGGTATTGAAGCCTGACCCGTCTTTGGAAAAGAGCGTATATGTGGCATCCTCAGGACAAGGACTATTCATTAGAAGCCATTGACCAGAATGTATGGCAGCAATGTCGTTGTATGATTCCTCAACGGTATACGAGGAGAGCTTTTCACCGTCAGGCTTGTAGACAGCAATTTCATCCTTGGTGACGACACCGATAGCAGTTCCTTCTAGGTCCCAAGCGAAACCGTCCACATTTTCAAAAGACAGCACTGTTTCGTCATCCTTCAAGACATTAAGGGTACCGTTTTCCAAAAGGGCAGCAGCCAAACCTGGAACCGTGGGAGACACTTTAAAGTTCTTGACATCTTTCGCCATCTCAGTGAAAGTCTGTCCTCCCAGAAGCAATTCGTCAGTGGATACTCTATTTAGCGTTCCGTTCGTGACAACATAAACATATTCATTATCGGCGCTTATACCCACAATTGTGATTGCGTCAAGGTCGACGTACTTTCTGTCTTCCTCCAAAGTCTCAACATGGCCAATGACAAGCTGGGACGTGTTGGATGCAATGTACACTTTCTTGATGTTTCCCACTGCTAACAAGTTCAATGGCAGGGTGGCGACCTTGGAATTGCCAAAATCAACAGGAGCATCAAACAACTTGACACCATCCTTATGACTATCTAGATGGAAGCCGTACGTTTCGGTGAACTCCTCTGGGATTTCCGCCATGTTGTGGAAGAAGTAGTTGATTTGAGCGTTTGATGTGCAGGCTGATGAGCTGCAACCACCGGAGTATCAACACACGAAACAGCACGAATGTAAGATATACGGGTGTTTTAATTTTATTCATGACTCATGTATTTATACGGGCTTTTGTTCATCGAAGGTACCGACGGCCTTCTTGTCATCACCCTCATCTAGAATCTTCTTGATGGCATCGTCCACTTTCGCCTTAGGACCAAACTCGTTCTCCAATTCAGCCTTGGAAGCTTGGTCCAAGATTCCGTCAACACCACCCTGTCTGTTGGTGAAAACCTGCCAAACCGAAACTAGGTCCACAAGAGGAATTGTGGTGTCACCGCCCTTGTACTTCTTGATCAAGTCTGGGTTCTCGGTGAAGATGACAAAATCATGTTCATTGCCTTTGTAGAAAATCTTGTGTGGTTGTGGAGACATTATAGTTCAGAATTGTTGGAAATTGAAGCTTCAGAAAAATAATTGTTTAAGCAGCATTTGTAGAGTGAGAATCAGGTACACTTTACTCTGCAATATGAGTGAGCTTTGATGGGAGCTGGCTGAAGGTACCGTTGTGACACATTCCGAAGCACTCGGGCTTGTTTTGGACATAACCGTAAAAATGAATTATTTTTTAAAAAAAATCGTTATGATTCTCTAAAATTAAATTGATCCTGACAACTTCATCATATCTGGTACTTTAAGCTCTTGTTGTAGTGTAGCTGCCACCAAATGACATTTTCTTAGACCACGTGGACTCCTACTCACCAAGCATGACCTACTAGTGAAGCCCAAGAGCTAGAAGATGGCCTTCTCAGCCAAATAACCCCTTCATACTGGCTTTGGTTTGCACCCATCGACACCTCTCGTATCCGCACCTCTCTTATCCGGACTGCTACCTCAGCAGCAGACACCCTCCGCCAAAATCACCAAAACATCACAATTTCAAAAAACTAACCATACCATTGCAATCTCTCAACCTTAATGAACCCAAAAACCACATTCATTTTCTCCAAATCACATCCCCAGGCCATTCCGCAAGTTGCCCACTTTTATCCGAGAATGACCATTTCGCACCCATCACCTCATGGTTACGCCGTGATATCTCCTCAAGACGACGATATATCGATGTCATACTTTCTGAATATGTCCAATCAACACATACAATTAAGCTTTTTTGATTCACGAGTCTGCACGGTCCAGGCGGCCGATCCGGAAAAAATAGGCTTGTAATCTCAAGAGCGGCCTGCGTGGCGGTCGCAGCATTTCTTATTCTTGCCTTTTTCGGCATGATTTTCCAGGGCATGAAAAAGGGGTTTCTGGTCCAGCACCGCTAAAATTCCTCGAGTTCGCTCGAGATTTGAATCTCATAATTCCTTACACACTTCTATTGGGATTTCGAAATCTCGACCGTTTTCACCAGTGGGAACCCTGTTTTCGATGGGCATCCCGGAGAAAATCCGAAGTCCTGCGTCTTCTCCACAGTCACAGTCTCCCCACAGATTCTCACGAAAAATAATCAAAAAAAAAAAAAACCACACACATCGCTTCACCAACTACACCTCGAGCAAAACACTTTCAAATCTTCAAAATGTTCGGCGTGCCTGCCAGGAAAAACTCACAGGCGTCCCTGCCGCCCTCCCAGTTCCGAGATTCCGCCAGAAACGCCATCTACCAGCAGCTCCCTCTGCAATCTTTAGGACTTAGTTCGGCCACTTCCGTCCGTTCAGCTCCTTCCCAATTTAAGCATCTCCATAATCTGCATCTGCTGCACCGGCTGCTGGCACTGAGTGTATTTTCGTGGGGAAAAAGGTCGGTCAGATCAGCTCCCTCGATTTACCTGTCCTCAACAGCCACGATTCCGAAGACGCTGAACAAACTACAACTACGGTTGAGCAGTTGATCAACGATATCGCCTTGCATGAGAGCTACGCTCAAGACCAGTTCACCCAGTCGAAGCTGCTGCACGACTATCCGAGACCGACGACGATCTGGAAATGTACAAGATCTCCTTGGCTCAGAGCTTCAATATCAAAACGTGCCGGAGTCTTTGGTGGACTGGAACCTCAACGTGACCCGCTGTAAGCTCATGCTCAACCATATGCCCATGGTGTCGTCATCTCCAGATATCTCATACTCCGACCAGCAGCTTCCTCAACTAGTCGGCGATCTTGCACAAATCTGTCAGATCGTGCTCCTCCAACCCCATATTTCCGATAAGGAGCTTATTTATACGCTCTACTCACTGAACTTATACACGGAGCACAAACTTGACAGTCTGTTCAAAAAGTCTGTGGCAGAGATCTCTGTCAAACAGTCCAGACTACTACAAATAAACCAGCCCAAGAGACAGCTTCCTTCACCTCCCATCACGCAAGGTGATCAGTCCCACCTCACTTTTCAATATAAGGAAATTGCTGTGAGGAATTACTTGGTCAACCTAGCAGCTGCGGCCACGACCGCTTACGAATACAAGGTCAAGAGCGACAATATCAAAAAGGAGCTCAAGCTGCAGCTGGCCAATGGTGAAAAGAAGAAGTTGACCAAGGACGCAAAGAAACTCTTGTGGGACGAGGTGCGTCTGGATGTGTTCCGCCGGGCTGGTTTGGAGGAATAGCTCACTTACTTTATAGACTTACGATGTTACGCTCAACCCAATGCTTATGTATTTACCTAGTAGCCCTGTCTCTTTTTCTTGAGCTTCTTCAAGTGCTTCTTTCCTCCACTCGTTCTCTCGCTCTGGATCTCGTGGTACTTTCTCTTGAAGTACTTTCCACCCTCCTCATCATTCAAGATTTCTTCAGCAAGGGAACGGCCTCTGTTTCTCTTTGCGAGTCTGGCGGAGTAATATTCGGTGTTACCTTCAATGATGGTACCTGTCTGGAAGTACTTTGGAATTTCCCACTTGTCCTTTTTGTAATGTCTCTTTCTGTCTAACACAGCTCTGTTTTTGATGACAAGCATGTCACGCTTGATTTCAGGCGTGATCTCTTTCTTTTTCATATTAAACCATTTGCTGCCTGCGTCAGCATCGATCTCCTCTTTCGTCTTCTTGACTTTGTGTGCGATGGGGTCGTTGATTTTGACGGAGGTAGCTGGAAGCACCTGTTTTTTCGCCTTGGCAGCTTCCTCAAGCCGCTGTTCTAGATTGCTGTCAATTTTTGGTAGTTTTTCAAGCCCAGCTTGGATCTGCGAGAACTCGTTCTCTTTGGTGCTTTGTGGTTTTGTTTCCTGTGCGAGCTCATCGAGGAGCTGATCTAGACTGAGGGACTCGTCGACTATGTCAGTATCGTCTCTGCCAGAATCTCTACCAGAGTCTGTCTCTGTGACCTCGGCGATTTGTTTGAGTGCAACTGCCATGATGGTTTCTGGTGAGACTCGATGAGATGAGAAGGCAGATGTAGGTTGATATCTGGTGTACGGGTGTATAAAGTACCACCACCAGACCCAAGCCGTATCGAAGTTACCAATTGATTTTCGAATTGACAGCATAGGTAAATGACACAAATAACGAGTTTCAGCCGGTTCGTGTTTAACCTCGTTCCTCGAACAATGATTGTTCACACTGTCTAACATCGCTGATAACATTTGATACCACCTCTTCCGCCAAATCAACATTGTTTGAGTCAATTAGTTTCCCTCGCCTTCCTCAACTCCATCTGCTAGAAGGATTTTGTCAAGCTCGTCGACGTTGACTTCACCCTCGGGCAAACCAAGCTCCACATTGGCATCGAGCAAAACCTGGGTCAAAGCCCACAACCGCCTCTTTTCCTTCTTGGCCTCCTCAAGCTTCCGCTCGGTGATTTTCTGTACTCGCGTTGCCGTGGCAAGTTTGTTTGTAAGCTTGCTGTATGAGTTATAGAGCTTCAGAACGTCACTTCCCTCGTACACGTTCAATGTGTCAGGCCTGTAGTTGGCCACGGCATGCTTCACTTGACGTGCAGTGTCGTCGCTCATTTCTGTCAAAAGATCGTCCTTTTGCTGGTTTTTAAGGTATGTCTTGTAACGAGACAAGGCCAAGTCATACTGCCTGAGTTCCAAAGGCTGATCGTAGAGACTCTGCAAAGTAGAATCCTCGGCTTTAAGCGAATCCACAAAGCGCTTGGAAAACCACCATGGCATCCGCAACTCGTAGTCTCTCCGCAAGAACATCGCATACTCCTCCTCGGTCAAAGTGTCCAAGTTCTCCTCCAAAAACACATCTCCTTTGTTCCTCTCTTTTCTGTACTTCATCAACGCAATGGCGTCTCTGTGCTGGTGCAAATCGTGCACACCCTTGACGTGCTTGGCCAAGGCATCCGATCTGGTGAAGTGCTTGTCACACTCGGGAATAGGACAGAAGTACGGTTTTTCACCAGTGTGGGTCCGGCAATGTGAAATAAGGGCAAAACGGGAAGGCTGCTCCACGTCAAATCGAGAACATCCCTCCCACTGACAGCTGTAGCGCATCTGGGAAGCCGTATAGACCTGGGTGTTCTGAGCCAAATGGGCGTTGCTCACGTGGTTGACCAAAGAGGCCAAATTTGGGAATTTGTCTTCGCTGCATCCGGCCCAGCGACAGGCGTGCTCCTCGTCAAGAGGCTTTTTGGGCTTTTTTGACTTTTCAACCGCAGACGACATCTGGTACTACTCGACGTTAACTTTGGTGATGTGCGCGCAGAAGGTGTAGGTGAGCCGGTTCGAGCGGTGAGAATGGCTCGAACGGGAAGTGAGGCACGGAAATGGGATTTTTGAGATTCAAAGATTTTGATGAAAGTTGGATTCTGATAAGAAAGAGGATGATGTAATTTGTTGACTCGAGGATGTGGTGATTTTCGTTATGGGTGGGTATCAACCAATGGCTGCGAAATGTGGAACACCCTCACAAATTAACTTCGGCATTCACGATAGGGATGAACGGTGACACAAAAAAAATCATAAATCTAAAATTCGAAACTGAAGTCGCTTCATGCAACTAGTTCCCAATATCTGCTAAATTAAAGTTGTTGGTCCAGTTCATCCGCCACACCTACAAAAACTCTCATGCTGTTGCTTTCGTATATATGTATTGCAGAACCACCCTTGCAGCCTCCACTCTCCTGTGTCATTATGTGCAATGCTCAACCAACCAAGTCGTCGTCCAACCTGGCAGCAGGGTTTGTCTCTATAAAGTCCAACGACACCTTGTGACCCAACAACTCTCTGATGTTCGACACACCATACTTGATCATGGTGGGTCTCTCCAACGATAGACCCCAACCGAGCACACGCAAGTTCTTGGGCAAGCCCATGGGCTCCAACATCTCGGGTCTGAACATACCGGAGTTACCGATCTCGACCCACTTGCCGAGACCCTTGTGGTAAGCGAAAATCTCCAAAGATGGCTCGGTGTAAGGGTTGTAGGCGGCCTTGAATCTCAAACCGTCCACACCCATCTTGGAGAAGAACTCGTCCATGAAACCGATCAAGTCTCCTAGCGTAATATCGTAGCCTGCAAGCACACCCTCGACCTGGTGGAACTCGGCCAAGTGAGTAGCATCAACAGCCTCGTTACGGAAGACTCTGTCGATGGAGAACAATCTCGTGGGTTTAGGGTCGTCAGCCAATTTCTTCAACATGGCAGAGGAAATGGCGGTAGTGTGAGTTCTCAAAACCATTCTAAGAGACTCGTCCTCCTTCCATGGGTAACGGTAACCGATGGAGCCGTAGGCACCGTCCTGGTGCACGTCTCTGATGTTTTCAAAGTAGGCACCGTCCTCAGGGATCTTGGCATGCTTGGGGTCCTTCAAGTAGAAAGTGTCCTGCAAGTCTCTGGCAGGATGCTGCTGAGGAACGAACAATGTGTCGAAGTTCCAGAAACCAGACTCAACGTACTGGTTAGAAGGCATTTCCGTGAAGCCCATGGAGAAGAAAATCTGTCTGAATTCTTCTCTGACCTTCATCAATGGGTGCAAGGCACCGGAGTTGGGGAACACACCCTCCGAGTTGAAGTTGTAAGGCTTGAACTCAGCGTCCTTCCAGGAGCCGGAGGTGACCATATCGCTGGTAATGTCGGTTTCGTAAGACTTGATCTCCAAGCCGAACTTTGGTCCCTTGGTGACCTTGTAGCCGATCTGCTTGGTCATGGTAACCAACTTTCTCTTTTTGAGCTCGGTCAATTCCTTCTTGTCGTCCAAGGTGCCAGTGGCCTTGATCTGCTTCAAGTTCTCAACCACAGCATCCTCCGGAAGCTTGTCCACCTTAGACACCAACTTGTCGCCGTCCTTGGCAACCCAGCCGTTCTTGAAAGCCTTACCCTGGCCCAACTTACCCACAGCTCCTAGTTTAGCATTGACATCGCTGATTTTGAGACCGTCCAAAGACTTCAAAACCTCATCTAGCAAACGAATTTCGTGAGATCCAGAGGTCAAGAATTCCTCGGCCTCTTTCGTCAAGGCCCAGACGTCTTTTTCAATCTTGTCAAAGACAATCATCTCTTTGGCCCAGAGCGAAGCCAAGGAGGCGTGTAGAGCACCTGAATCGACATTTTTGAACTCCTCGGCTTCCAAAGTGTTGCCAATAGAGCCGTGTTTATCCACGGCCTGGAGGATCTGGAGGGGTAATTCAGACATTTGGTTGTTGAGTTCGTGAGTCAGGTTGGAAATTGAGAAAAAAAGTGCGGGAACGACGTTTACGCTGCACAGCGAAACCGTGAGCATGGATCCAACGGACGGTGAAGACAGGTGCTGGAATTGATGGCATTTTCATTTTGATGATGGTGAGTTTGAGTGTGAAATTCAAATTGCATCCAGATGTTTTGTGAATTTTTTGGTTATGAGGTGTGATGGGTGGGTCGGATCAGTTTTGCGCGATCAATGGTTGCAAAATTTGGAGATATGATGATACCTCTAAAGTTAGCTGATCGGCTTATTTGACGTCTTTGAGTTATTTATAAGGATGGTAGGCGGTGTGAATAAGGTCTTATAGGTTTTACAGTGAAGGGCCGAGTCAAGCGTAGGGTCTTGATGGAGGTGTCTCCATATGCTCTCTACCACAGGCAATAGCACCATAATCCAGGTAAAAAGCCGGTCTATTCAAAAGACGAGTCAGTCAATTGAAATACTATTTGCTGATAATCTCTTAATTGACCGCCCCAGAACATTTCTCTCCAGGACTTGACGATCTTCCAGCCTGGCAAGACAATGCTAGTAACAATGAGACCGTATCAGCAGTAGAACAATACGCCGTCGAACACGACATTACAAGGTAGTAGGCTAAGCACTTGACTTAAGCCGTGTTTTGAATTAGTAAATGGTCGTCGTCAATATTTGTTCAAGGGCAATTGATAGCCTAGCTGTTTAGCCAGGGGTGTACTATCTAACCATAAGTCATGTTCACATCAATGGCACTGAAACAGTCCCTGTATTAATACTACGCAGCTTTCACTTACATATTACTGGAGAGTTTTTTAAGGACCTTCCACTTTACACTCTACCTAAATTGTAACAGCTGAAGCCCTCCACCTACTGCAACAATACGAAGGTAGGCCCAGCCACTACACACAATTCCCAGATCTACCAAGCCCTACAGTCAACCAAATCTTTTCAATCCCTCAGTGGCCCAGGCTGGAATTCCAAACGCACCCACCACTCCGATTTCCCAATCCCGCAAAACCCTCCCTATTCAGCCACATTCCATCGCCAAACCACCCTTACAACGCTCCACACGGCGGATTCAACACGCCCAGGGTCCGGCTTTTCTGTGGAAATAGGGAAGATCTCGCCAGAAGCCGCCCGGCGTTTAACCGCCCTTGCTTGCTACGCCAAGCTTGGTCCATGACGATTGGCTTCGCCTTGCTGCTATTTGCCGACCGGTGCCGGGAAGTGACGTTTTGAAGGAAAAACGGAGAAATTTAAATTTGGAAACCAGGGTCCGTGAACCCTGCGTGGGGGAGTCATCCATGTTTTTTGAGCCTCGCCCCATTTTTGCAACCATTCTCGCCTGCGCCTATCTATGTCATCGTCTCGCTAGCAAGCTGCAGCAGCGCTATAATTGGGGATCGCAACGTCTGCGTTTCGGCGTTACACAAGGAACAAAAAGGAAGGGACCAACCAAAATTTGCCTTTTTCATACAAAAGTCAAAACAAATGCAATTCTCGAAAAATACACAAAAAACAATAGCTCGTGCCTAGGCAGACCCGTTCTCTGTCAGCTGCGATGCAGATCAATTGTCAGCCTTTCCATGCGGTGAGGCTGTACAAGATTGCTGCGAAAACGAGTATAAAAGGCGCCGGGTCTGCTGCTCTTTTTTTCTTGCTTCGACAATTTAACATGGTTTGCGGTGACATTATTAAGATCATTGTGGCGATCTTCCTTCCTCCCTTGGGTGTCTTCCTCGAGGTCGGCTGCTCCGGCGCCTTCTGGTTGAACTTGATTTTGACCTTCCTCGGTTACATTCCCGGTATCATTCATGCCCTTTACATCATTTTAACTCGGTAGTCGGCAGGCATTGGCCTGGTATATTCAATGAATAATGCAATGAATAATGTTACAATGAAAAGTTTACGATTTGCGATGTAGACGAGATGGCTGTGTGCAATTGCCCTGCCAATTGAACAGTAGACTTTGAACTAGGCTCTAAAAGCCAGACTCATCGTGTCTTATGACCATTGGAAGGAGACATCATATCCTTGCTCCGTTCGATATGTACCTGCAGAAATCATCGATGCTCTTCGGCAGAAAAGCCACCCTTAATCGAGCCGCTCGAAAATGATTTAAATTACTCGTCTGTAACTCAATTGAGTCAGTTACTATGCAAGCTAAAAGCTTCTCTCCATTTGTAGCGCTGAATAGCCAGATCTCCGGCCTTCTACAATCAGTCAATCTCATCAAACGTTGATTCTATATGCCTAAGCGTTGAGGGGCTTGTCAAAGGTAGCCAAGGCAGCCTCCTTGAAGGCCTCAGACAAGGTTGGGTGGGCGTGGCAGGTTCTGGCAATGTCCTCGGTGGAAGCACCGTACTCAAGAGCCAAACCACCCTCGGCAATCATCTCACCGGCGTTAGGACCGATGATGTGGACACCCAAAACACGCTGGGTCTCGGCGTCAGCAAGGAACTTGACGAAACCATCAGTGTCCAAGTTGGTCTTGGCTCTGGAGTTAGCAACGAATGGGAACTTACCAACCTTGTACTTGATGCCGTCAGCCTTCAACTGCTCCTCAGAAGCACCGACCCAGGCAACCTCAGGGTGAGTGTACATGACAGATGGAATGTTACCGTAGTTGACGTGACCGTGGCCGTGCTTGATGTACTCAGCAGCAGCAACACCCTCCTCCTCGGCCTTGTGGGCCAACATGACACCAAAGGTGGTGTCACCAATGGCTCTGATGTGGGGCTTGGCGGTTCTGAACTGGGAGTCAATCACAATTCTTCCCTTCTCGTCTTCCTCAACACCAGCAGCCTGGTGGTTCAAGCCCTCGGTGTTTGGCTTTCTACCAATGGCAACAAGCAAAACGTCAGCCTCCAAGTCCTCAGTCTTACCGGACTTGACCTCCTCGACGGAGATGTTGACCTTGTCGCCGTCTCTCTTACCGCTGGTGACCTTCGTGCCCAACTTGAACTTGAGACCCTGCTTCTGCAACAAACGCTGGGTCTGCTTGGCAACCTCGCCGTCCATACCGGCACCGATGGCGTTCTGGAACTCAATGATGGTCACATCAGAGCCGATTCTGGAGTACACAGAGGCCATCTCCAAACCGATGATACCACCACCAATGATGGCCATCTTCTTGGGCACCTCTTTCAAGGACAAGGCACCGGTGGAGGTGACGATTCTCTCCTCGTCGATCTCAATACCTGGGAAAGGAGTTGGGACGGAACCAGTGGCAATGGTGATGTTGTCAGCGGTAACCTCGTATGGCTCAGCACCATCGATTGGCTTCACGGTCAAGGTCTTCTCGTCCTTAAAAGCACCGTGACCCTTCAAGTAGGTCACGCCGTTCTTCTTGAAAAGCATCTCCACACCCAGAGTCAAGCCCTTGACGGACTTGTCCTTAGCAGCCTGCAAGTTGGCCACGTTGATGGAGGCCTCACCTGGGAGGTCAATGCCTCTGTCCTTGGCCTCGTGCTTGACCTGGTGGAACAACTGGGTGTTGTTCAAAAGCGACTTGGAAGGAATACAACCAACGTTCAAACAGGTACCACCCAAAGCACCTCTGGACTCAATACAGGCGGTTTTGACGTTCAACTGGGCCAACTTGATGGCGTGGATGTAGCCACCTGGGCCACCGCCGATGACCACGGCCTCGTAGTGACCAGCCTTGGACGAATTGTATCTGAGAAAAGCTCTCAAGGGCGCTGAAGTTCTCAACATGTTGTAAAGAAGAAAAGCAAGAGGTTGGGTTTTTTTTTATTTCGCGCCCGGACAGAGTCGGGACATAAAAGTCCGCAACAGAGGCAGTCCGACTGTTTGACTCTGTCCGGGGCAGTCCAGGCTTCTCCGCCGCATGCTTAAAAACTACTTTTTTCAATTTTTGGGGTTGCCTTTTTCTTGACATCTTTCGTGTTTTCTGAGTGCGGCACGGGTGGTTTTTATTGGTGGGGTTTGACGGCCACTTCGGCTGCGAACTCCGAATGGGTGCAATGGATGCAAACCGCGAGAAGACATGCTGACTCTGTTTCAGGGTCCAACGGTAGGGCATCAGATGTGCTCAAATAAGGTTGGTGAAGGTTTGAGGTGATGATCTCAGATCAGTTTTGTAAAAGACGTAACTTTAAAGTTTTGCTGGAATGATTGGTGGTGAGCTGACTAATGCAGGGCTTGCTTTTGGCAGCGATGGTTCAAAGAGTCGATGTTGAATTGGAAGATGGATATTGTCAGGATTTTCTTTTTTTTTTTTTGCTTTCTTGGAAAGAGGGCTGTACTGGCGACTTCGGCCATTCTGCTCATATGTGGCGATGTGCCTAACGGGCTGTACGAAGGTGAGGTTTGTGCATTGACTTTGAACCCACAAACAATTTTATTTACTTGATCGGCACGTCACACTAAAACATTCGATTCTCGCATTACTCATTTCATAAGCACGCTAATAGCTATCATGAAGTTCAAATTCAATCACAATTATGGTCAGATGAAGATCAGCATGTATACTCAGCGATGTCAGACCTCACCTAGACCAAACGAATATAATAGAAAAAGCCAACAGTAGAAGAATTATTAATCCATTGCTTTATTGCATTGTATGCCTACTCAATTCATCTTTTTCTCTTGTGTTATGCTATGTACTCTGGGGTTGCATCCATGTGGCTGCAAAATGCACGTATACCTCACAAATTCGTGATATCGATCTTTCCATGAAGCTCCTTGAGCTCGGCTGCTGAAGCGTCGTTCGTATCCTTCTTTAACGTCTTCACATAGTTTGTAATCTTCTGACAGAGAGCCTTCCTGTCCACCTTGAAGCTGTTCCAGAAGTCTTCGTCGGTAAACTCATCACAGACTATCCACTTCGAAAGAGCATGGATTCGGAGCTCGTGGTCAAAAGTACCCACCTTATCGTTGTACTCGCCGATCTTCCTCAAGTATCGGCTTTCGTAGTCGTAATGTGCTTTGGTCGAGAGCTCGTTGTAAAGGGGGTTCATCTTTGGCAGGTGAACATGAAGGAATAGCGCTTCTGGTGTCTCGAGATCTTTGTTGGCTTCTGCAAATTTCTTGAAAAGATTCTTTGTGTAGTCATTTTGCTGGAACATGTAGAGTCTTGTGTCTAGCGGCTCTGCCCTGAGGAATTGCCTCCACCTTCTTGCAAATATGTCTGACTGCTGTGGATCCCTCTGGATTAACGTACTCTCATCGAAGTATGTTTCCTCGGGTTCGGTAGGCCTTGTACGGTCCAATCCCATGAACTGAACCTCATACTCGCAAAGGTAGTATGGTTCTTTCATGACGTGCAAGGCTGGAACGAACGTTTCTCTGTCGCCCGAACCGTGAACGCCTTGGTAGAGAAGTGGATAATAGAAATTCTTGTGAAGATTGTAGTAAGCAGCGAGTGCCAAACTCCTGAAATGCTCCCTCTTGGAGAAGACCAATTGCCCACTTTCCACGCCCTTTCCAGGAGGAGTGCCTTCCAAATCATGGAAGTAGATCTCCGTGTTGTAGTCTCTGGTGGTATACTCGTGGAAGGGTCTGGAGTTATCAAGTCCCTGTCGTTTGACGGCATCGCCAATGTCGAAGCGAGCTAAATCATAGTACACTGGCGAGGTGCCCTTGTGCCAGATATCAGGCCATAGCAAGAAACGGGTCTGTAAATATGGCCATGAAGTCAAAAGAAAGTCGATGTTCTTCGTCGCGTAGTTGTCAGCATCCAATGCAATAGTGTTATCAAAAGACGAGAGGAGTAGGGAAACGGCCTTAAGCTGGAATGGTTCTTTCCCAAGAAGCTCGAACAATGAGTCTCCCAAAATCCGCTGTGTCACAATGCACTTTGCATTTAGCTTTGGAGCCAATTCCTCGCATGCTTGCTTATTATAGTCAGCCTCGGAGTCAAGCACTATCTCTATGGGAAGCTGGGAGCCCTCTTGCCTAAGTTGAGCAGCCAACATTAACGCTCCAGGAAGATGGAGCTTGTTTGCGCTGATTGCAATACCATCACCGTGATAAAGATCGTCGGGAGGTCTAATGATCAGCCGAAGCTCTCTGACAACGCTATCGTGGGCTGATTGGAGATCCTCAAACTTCTGCTTATCCAAGTTGACTTTCCGCCTTGTCAAGAAACGCTTGGAGTAGATGGGATCGGTGATTTCGTGGAAGGCATTGCTCACGATATCTTTGCCCTTTTCAGAGGCACTGAGCTTTGACGTCCTGGGACCGTGCTTGATGAGAATGTCGTTGAATAAGAACTGGAAGTACTTCAGACGGTCAAACTGTAGTTGGTTACCCTCCTTGAGCTTCTCCTTCAACTTCTCATCCGTGGTGTCCTTCAAGTAGTCCGCAATGATCGCCTTCTGGATATCAGACTCGTGCAGCTCGAGGTACCGAGACTTTAGTTCTCCAAGCAACTGGTAGCTCTTCTGGAGCGTCTGGAAGAACAAGTACGTATAGTCGTTCTCCATCTTCTTCTTCATCTCCGCCTTGAGGATCGTCTTGTACTCCTCGTGGTACTTGTCTGAGACATCCTGGTAGATCTTCTTGAGGAACTCTCCGCCCTCCTTGTCGAGCTTATCCGTCAACGCCCGGGTCAATTCCTCCTTGCTTATAGGCGCCTCTTCCAGAAACTTGGCGACCTTCCGTAGCGCCGGCTCGCCTTTCACGAACTCGTCATCCACAATATAGTACTGGGCCAGGTCGGTTGCAAACCTCCATATTCCCACGCCCGAACCAAGAAACAGCGTGTCGATGCCAACTAGGTAGACCAAGTTGAGCAAGACGATGGCCGCCACCACGGCGATCAACCCTTTCGGTTCCCACTGGCGAATTTCAAAAGTTCCATGGCGTGGTGGTGAGTTGATATTTAGGCTTCGCGCCGAGCCTCTAAGAATAGTGCAGGGTCCCGGGAGGTGGATTCTGAAGTTGTATGGGAAAGTTGTTTGGAAAAGTGATAATTGGGCTATTTGCGTTTTGGTCTTGAAACACGCCTAAACACGATTTGCCATTGAAAATTTGTTTTGTGTAAAACAGGCAATTGTGGTGTGGTGAAGTGGCTGCGAAAGATAATGCATCATTTAGCGCCGATCGGCCCATTCGGTACTCTAAAATGTGGGTCCTCAAAACGGAGCCTCAATTCGAAAATTACGATATTGTGAATAATGAAAATGATTTGAAGTGTAGAAAATTTCCAATAGGTGACAAAGGCCGAAAAGGGAAATCATGGAGATTTCGGAATGGCAGCAAACTCAGCCTCCTCGATATGCTGTGGAGTAGGGCTTATGTAGCGAGGGGTAGTTAGCATTCATATACAATTTGCGCTTTAAAGTAAGGGCTATGGAGTCTTATCTGTTGTCAATATCCATATTACCGAGTTCATAATACACCCTCCTGAGTGAATGTAGCACAAGTAGTCATTCTTCAGAAAGTCGACCATGGTCAACACAAAGTACTACGCCTACTATTTATCCGCTTGGGCGATACCGAACTATGTTACAAAGCTATGCAAGGGTTGATGCAACGTGATTTTAGTGATTCACGGCCCATTGGTGTCCGCACTCGTCGAGCTCGTAGACTCCAAGCAAGTAGGCCATTCTTGTCACCACGAGGTCGATGGCCATTTGGATCGAATCCTTGGCCAAGTCCACCTTGGACCCGTCCACCTCCTGCCAGTTGACGGCAATCTCGGCGATGGGGATCTGCTGGAGCTCCGCTAGAAGGAGCACCTCAACGTCAAAGATCCAACGCTCCGTGTGCATGTGTGGGAAGATCTCTTGCACGGCGGCTCTGTTGAACATTTTGAAACCACATTGCGTGTCCTGGATCTTACGAATGCCAAAGATGTACACCAAGGTGTGGAGGCCGTACATCAAGAAGTTGCGGATGAATGACCGCTTGACAACAGCATCTGTGTTGACCATGTGAGCACGCAGTCCGATAGCAACAGCTGGCTTTTCGTCCTTGCCATCGAAATAGGCAAGAAGCTTTTGAACATCGCTAAACTTCGTGGCACCGTCTGCATCAGCAAAGAGCATGTACTTTCCAGAACCATGCAAGAGTCCGTGTCTAACGGCACCACCCTTACCTCTGTTCTTGGTCAATTTGACAACCTTCAATACATGCGGAGCAAGTTTTAACGTATTAGCAACCTCCAAGGCGTATTCGGCGGTACCGTCCTTGGAACCATCGTCGACAATGACGATCTCATACTGGTCAGGGTGCTCTTCTTGTAAGTACAGCACAGCCTCTTCGAGCATTTTGCCGAGACGAGCAGTCTCGTTATAGCATGGCACAATCACACTCAAGAGAAATTTCTCATCTCCTGTTGCCTCCTTCATTGAGGTAATTCTGTTGGGCAAATGGTGCACACTGCCTTCTTCGTCATTCGTGGCGTACAACAGCTCCTCAGGATGTGCTGAACGAGGCTGATGGCTAAATAGAATCACAAGACCATATAGAATGGCCAATGTGGTGAAAATCGTGGAAACCGTTACAAACGCCCACGACATGAATAAATAGTGCTATATCAAGCCAGTAGATGTAGATTTCGTTGACAGCAGGAGCGCGCTGCGGTGCCATACAGGAAAAGCTATCTTGGGCTCAGGCGTTTGCAGCCATTGAGAATTACTTAGATGCCAATTTCGTCACCCTGTTGTTTAAGATTCTGGCATTGTTGAGGAAGATTTCAACAAGCTCTTCAAATCTGATTGTATCGGAACCGTCTCTGATCTTGTCGAAACCGCGGAAAATCTCCACAGGGTCCATCTCCAATTCGACCTCGTGGGAGGTATCATTCTCCATGACTGACTTGCCCAGTTTGTTCTTCAGCGCCTTGGGCACACTAACCTTGGTGAAGTCAAAACGCGTCACTGTAGGCGCGTGGTTGTATGTGTTTCTTTTCTTCATTCGCGTAAGCGAGGGCTTGTTCTTCTTGAGAATTGGCTCAACATTGTTTTCAGGAACAGGAAATTCAAACAGCATCAGGAATCGGAGGTCATACATGGACATGGGGTTGTGAATGTACAAGTCTGAGATTCTCTTCTTCTCGATAGCCTGGTAACGAGGCGGAGTCAAGGCATTGTCCTTACTGATTCTCACCTTCTTGGGTTGTTCGTTACGTTCTGTGATTTGGAAAAACTGGTCCGTCACGTCCAGGTCCAAGGTGGAGAACTTGCGGCCCTTAGTACCAGTTTTGCGTTTCTCTTCTTGGAAAGCTTTCTCCAATTCATCCAAGTAGGCTGTCATTTCCTTCCAGCCCACCTCGTGAACGCCCATCTCAAAGCGAACATTCGACAGCTTGGTGTAGATACATTCCGTAGAGACGCCAAGATCCAAGCGTCTGCCTGTTGCCTTATCGATGATTGTGCCGAACTTCAATTCTAGCTCGAGAAATTGTCTGTTGTCCAAGGGTATCTCTACAAAGTTTGCATATATCCACTCGGCAATGGTTCTTACCACAGACAGAGGCGGTATCACTCCAGTGACAGAACACTCCAAATCCAAAGAGGTCATTTGACCCTGGTTGAAAACGTGCTTATCGGAAACTGCCATACTGCTGCCGTTTTCCACTGGTCCGGCAGGATGCTGCTTCTGAACGTGACCTTCCCATTTTTGCGAAGGAGGGTTCCATTCTTGTGCCCAAATTGGAGGTTCAGTGTACCGGCGCGGTTTTCGATTTTTGGAGCTGGTCCGGAGTTTATTTAGCGTAGCCAATTCCTTTTGGTCCACCACAGAGGACTTCTTCTTTGGAGGAACATACTTTTCTTCCGTTTTTGTTTCAGTTTTATCACCATTTTTTGCTTCGTCATCCACTGGCTCTTCCAGCTGGGGTGCCAACTCCTTCTTCACTTCAGTTCGTGGAGAAATCACATTTTCGGTTTCTTCTACGCTGTTTCTGCTGGCATTCGTCGTTTCCTGACCCGTGGCAAAATCCACGTCCTTGTCGTTTGTAAGACTAGCAATTGAACTTCTGTAGGGACGAGGTGTCTCTGTGAAAGAGCTATCGGAATCCTTATGCGCTATGGCCGCTGGAGCAGGGTCATTCAACAAGTTGTTGATGGAATGTCTTTGGTGCGGGAAGCTATTGGTTTGTTTTCAGGATTCTGGGACTCCTTGCCGCGAGACTTGTCCGGCTGAGACTCGTTTAGGATCGATCCGACGTTCATTGAGGTGGAGTTGTGGCAGTTGGCTTTTCGTGATGAAGTTGTAATGTTTGTCCACGTGAGTTGGCACGTGACTTTGGTGCAGGAGCTAATCAAGTTTTTGTAGGTAAGGTTCTCGCAGTGCTTGCCCGTTGCACCTTGCAACCTGTCTCACCTAGTACTGCGCTTCACCACTTTATATATAAGGTTCTCTCACTGACAGATACTCTTATCTTCCTGATTTCATACTGTAACACTACAACTATGTACTTGAACCTGCTTAACTATTTCCTTCCTGTAACCGACCCTATACAGAAGGCCTATGGCGTATCTCAACTAAAGAGGAAGCCGAAGCGGCTGATAGGGTCCAATACGATGTTACCTTCCAGTTGAAATTGGAACATAAAGCTGGCATCATCTGGTGGATGGTGAAGCTTGAATCCTTGGCCCTGACTCTTGTCGGGGAAGAAACTAGAAACCATATCTGGAAGTATTTGAGGGATCCCGAGAAAGCTGATGAAGAGTTTGAAGAGTATGACGAAAGTACACAAAGAATTATGAAAAAGAATGTATGAAAAGTTATTGATCTCATAACTCAATCAAGCGTTATTCTGTCGAATCTCTTGCATAGACGTGACCCAATTCAAGAATTAAAAACATTAGAGAGTGGCTCGTCGATCATGGTACTAAATTAAATTGGTCAGATTTAAGTACAGCCATTACAAGATGGCGGCAGCAATATGACAACTGCAGAGAACTTGAAGAACATTATAACAAAAATGTTGTATCTCAGTTCATTACCACACACATTTGACAATGATGAATTTGTTCTTGAGACATAAAATCTACAGCAGTGTCACGCTGATAGAAGCTTTTTGCCTAACACCGACGCCGAGTGCTTCCATGTAGCGCTTTTTAAAATCTGAGGTACTACAAGAACTCATTACTAACCTCAAAAGCTCATGATCTATGCAACAGGACCCCTTGAAATCGTGTTATGCTAGCGGCAGTTCCATAGATCTGTCAACGTGTGCACGATTTCTTTAAACCTCCTTATGATGCCTCCGTCTCTACCATCCGTAACCATGTGGTGCTCTCACTTAGTATGTGAGCTGAACGTAATTTTTGATTCCGGCATTCCTTCTTGACAATAGGAAGTAAATGTTACACCAAGGTAAAGAGGATTTTAAATGTCAGATTGTAACTCTTTGCTGAGGCAATACTCTGTGATCACCGAAGTCAAACCAACCTGTTAAGCTATGACCAAGGACTAGAAGGGAGGATCTGAAGTGTTTACCTTGCATCTGCCATCGTGATCGTGGAGGTCCTCCATTCCGTCGCACACAACACAATTCCTCAGTCCCATTCAGTTTACCTCTTGATGGAGTATTTGCTATTCATGTCAATTTTAGCAAAAATTCGTAAAACATTTTCTGCCATGAGGCCTAAGACTTGGTATTCAATTGTCTCAGTTACTTGCTCACCACTAATTCTGACCTATCCTTACTCTGTTGCACTTGTAGTACCCTCTGCCTCTGCCGCCGTGTTTTACTTTTCCAAACTGTTTACCCCTAGATCTAAACTTATTGGCGTACTGACGTCTTTTCCTATTTTTATAATTGTTGTAATACCCAGGGTTATGTTCAATGGTGGGATCACGCTTCATGTAGTCGCTTACAATCGTCACTAAGGTATTATCGTTGAGACAGTTGTATAAAACATCGTACGCAGACACCCCAAGCGACAGGAGTAAGCTATCTATCGCATCCCTTTGATCAGACTTACTCCAGAGCTCGAGTCTATCGATAAGCATTTGAATGTTGTGGTCGAATCGATGTAAGGCATAGAATGCTGAAAAAGTATCTGAATTTAAGGGCTGCTCCAGATTTCTACAGTAGTCATACTGTATTTTCCACCTCTTTACTGCTCTAACCAAATCAGATGAATTAAGTTTCGTCGCTGAATTGACATACCAGTCTCTGAATGATTTCAAGTCCCCGATCGGTGTCCTAAAATGAAGATAACCACAGACAAATTTTTGGCTGCAAAGCAAGGCAATGAACTTATCTGCGTTCTTCTTCATAATGCGAGCTCTTTCGGCGGGAATACTTTCAAGTGTCTTTTCATCAGATTCGGGATCCTTTAAGTATTCCCAAATATACTTGGCTGTGTGTCTACCGAGTACAGGCAAAACTCTGGTCTTGAGTTTAACTGTCCTCCACATTATATCGGCTTTGTGTACCAATCGGAATGGGACCGAAACCGTATGTTTTTCATACTCGTTTGTGAAGGGGTCTTTCAAACTCAATTTTTCAAAGACCCTAAATGCCTCGAGGGCTGGGTCCTTTTTATCAAGAAAGTAATTAAAATTCATTTGCGTGGTTGAGTAATTGTGGAAATAAGGAAGTCTACCATGACGCACTTTTAACCCTTCTGCGGCTTATCTACAGTGCACACCTTGCGATAAACAGCCCGCATATTTTTGCAGCCATATCCTACCACGCTTTATCGTGCAATTCCTTACTATATAAAATAATTAAATCCCGCTTACTTACCCAAGGCCAGGGCCAAGTTCTTGTCCAAACGCACCTTGACGGCATCAATGAACTCCTCGGTGGTCACGTATGACAGACGGTCGGTCTTGCCCTGGGTCAAGGCCAAGTCCTTGGTCATGATGTTGTCAATGGCGACAGTGTCAATGACGGCCTTTTCAAGGTTCTCGCCAAAAGTCACCACATCTGGTGTGTTGTCCAACTTACCTCTCTGGATGATACCTCTGGTCCATGCGTAGATGGAGGCAATGGAGTTGGTGGAGGTCTCCTTGCCCTCCTGATGCTGTCTAAAGTGTCTGGTGACAGTGCCGTGGGCGGCCTCGGACTCGAAGGCCTTTCCGTCTGGGGTCATGAGAACAGAGGACATGAGACCCAAGGAGCCAAAGCCCTGGGCAACAATGTCGGACTGGACGTCACCGTCGTAGTTCTTCATGGCAATGATGTAGCCACCCTTGGACTTCAACATCTGGGCCACCATGTCGTCGATCAAACGGTGCTCGTACCAGATGCCGGCAGCCTCAAAGTCCTTCTTGTACTTGGACTCGTACAAGCCCTCAAAGATGTCCTTGAAACGGCCGTCGTACTTCTTCAAGATGGTGTTCTTGGTGGACGAGAACAAGTTCAACTTTCTGTCCAAGGCAAGCTTGAAGCTCAGCTCGGCAAAGTCCGTGATGGACTTATCGGTGTTGTACATGGCCATGCCGACACCGGGAGCATCGTAGTGGAAGACCTGCTTCACCTCTTCAGCGGAGCCGTCGTCTGGCTTGAAAACAACGGAGAAAGTACCGGGCTTGGAGAAAACAAGGTCGGTGGCCTTGTACTGGTCGCCAAACGCGTGTCTGCCAATGATGATGGGCTTCTCCCAAGTAGGCACCACACGGGGGATGTTGTCAATGACAATTGGCTCTCTGAAGACGGTACCGCCCAAGATGTTTCTCAAGGTACCGTTGGGGGACAACCACATCTTCTTCAAGTTGAACTCCTTCACTCTGGCCTCGTCTGGGGTGATGGTGGCACACTTGACACCCACGCCGTACTTCAAGATGGCCTCGGCAGCGTCGGTGGTGACCTTGTCTTCGGTCTCGTCTCTGTACAAAATGCCCAAGTCGTAGTACTTCAATTCCACGTCCAAGTAAGGATGAATAAGCTTGTCCTTGATGAATTGCCAAATGATTCTGGTCATCTCGTCACCATCCATCTCCACGATGGGGTTCTTCACTTCGATCTTCGCCATGTTGCTTGGTAAATGCTGTGCGTTGTGGAAAAAGGCACAAATTCTGGAGGGGGATCCGCGTGGTTATATACTACTATCTCCGGGAACAAATGCTTTGTCTGGGGAAAAGTGATGCACATCCAATAGTAGCCTCGGCGAATGCGAGCTGGGAGAGCCACAGACGCAGAAGGAATTGTGCCCCGATTTGGCAGGACCTGACGCGGAACATCCACGCCCCACCTTATCTAAAAGCTTTACTGGTTGATTTTTGTTAGTCCGAGCCGGTGACGTTTGACTCCGGGGTTTGACAGATACGATATCTGACTCTCCTGCTGCTCCACGCCACTTTCGGTCCTTGAGGGGTGGCTCTCCTTAGGGTGGTGCACTTCCCCACCTCGGCCTGCACACAGCACAAGAGTCCCGCGCTCCACCTTGGCCCTCATTGTCAGTGCATCACTGGGACCGAGCGGAGGGGCCGATTTACCTGGAACGGGGATGCGCCTTTGCTGACCGCGTGGGCCGAAACTTTCCTGTATCTAAGGCCGTTCCGGCTGCGTTTGATTGGTCAATTGCTGGAGAAGTCATTCGCAGTTGTGAATAAACCGGCACGCCGGTTCGGAGTCAGACTCTGACTGCCACCGTAACGTTCCGAAGCCAAGGGCGCGGGGCTTCCGAGTTTGTCCTATTTTTTCCGAGGCCAGACCCGCGCCGTTACCCGATTTTGGCCTGCGATGAGTGAGTGAGTGAAAAAAAAAAACGAGAAGTCCAGATACATACTAGTCTTTAGTGATGGCACATTTTCTTGTTTAGCACGGTATGTCGATCCTCGATGTTGTGATGATAACCTAACTCAGCTCACTCAGAGTGCATCTATGCTGATAACTTTTCCTAATCCAACTTTATATCTGACCCATCGATTCCGAACGTATAACTAACTCTCCAGCACTCTGCTCCTCACGAAGGACTCTTGGGCCTCAATCCCTCAATCTCCCGGGTCTGCGGCACCAAGTATTGTTGTACTTGGCGTACGCCTCCCGAATTGATGGTTTTTTGCTTGACCGTCAGCTTGGCCTTGATCTGTTGCTCATACTCCTCTGGGTTGAAATTGTCGACAAGCACGTCGGGCAGCACAACCACCCACCCTCTTCTCATCCTCACCGGAACCTTGTAGCCCGTGCGACATGGCACAATGTGCAACCGCCTATTTGAATTGGAGAAGTTCTCCGCCACTTTGTAGATAGCCTCCGGGACAGCATTATTGTACGCGATGCCGGGACTGCCCTTTGGCGACATTTGCAAGTCCGTGTCGATGTTGCAGTGGATCAATTCGGCGTCGGTGGATCTCCGCACGGTGCCTGTGATACACATCCAGCAGTGCCATTGAGTTCTCTTGAACAACGACTCCCCGTTCCCATTGGGTTTCTTGCCGAGAAAATCTCCGTGGTAGAAGCCATCGTTGACGCGTCCCGGGAAGTATGGGCTGTCTTCGTCAACAGGAACAAAAACAAGCTCCTCAGACCTTCTGAACTTTTTGTTCCATTTCTCGCTGTTGAGAAGAAACGACAACTGCTTGATGTTGGCAGTGTTGGTCCAGATGAAAAGAAAGCCCGGTTTGGCACAGAGCTTATACAATGGCAACAGTTCTAAAAGCGGCAACAAGAACTGATTCTCAACCAAAGCCCCGATCATGATAACGTCGAATTGAAATGCATGGTCGCGGACCCAGCTGTTCAACATTGGCACAATTTGTCTGGGGTCAATGCGTACGCCATATGGTTTGATAGCATGTCTGTCAACCTGCTGCTGTTTCAATTCCTTCAACTTCTTCAACTTGGGGTACCCCTCCGTAGGACAGTCGACATTTCTCACGTATTGAGTAGAGGGTTGTCTGGAATGAACGTAGTCGTTTTGGTAATCATTGACAAACGGCTTTTTCTTCGGACACGCTCCTTCAGGCAAGGGGGCATTGACCCTTTTAGGCTCCAGTCTGGGTTTCTCCTTCTTCTTTTCTTTAGGAGGCTTGTTGATCAGTGAAGGCGGAGCATAAACTTTTGAGGTAGGCAAACGGCTACCATACTTGGAATAGGTATACATTTTGAGAATAATGGGAGCCAAAAATTGAGGGTAAATCCCTGGGTTTTATAGTATTTGCCCGAGAGGGTCTGTTTCAGGAGTCGCGCACGGACTTTTTTGCAGCCAAATTGAAACATCATGCACGTAAGCGAGCATCCGAGACACAGCATCTCTGACAAATTGGAAACATATATACGGCTCCTTTGGGCTATATTTAGTGCTTGTGGGGTCTGCGGCAAAAATCCACCAAGGCTTTTTTGTGAAGCACTCCATAATATTTTCCGTCCTTCTGCAACACGACAATGCGTGTTCCGATTCGGTCGAAAATTAGGTGCGCCAATGTCAAGGTCGCATCGTAGTTGATGAAAATGGGGTCTGTGTTGACGTACCGGATGAAGTTTGTAAGAGATGTGAGGTGCGCCTCATACATCCTTCGTTCATTTTCAAAGGTCACATATTCCTCGTTGCTGCGGTAGTTGAAGTAGTCCTCTGTTGGCACGTCTCTGTATGAGTTGCTTCTCTTGTTGTCCAAAGCTGCAACCAATACTTTTTCATTATGATATTGGTAGGGCTTCCAAGCTGAATCTTTGTAGACGCTTGTTCTGAAAACTTTGCAGTAAACTTCCTCGGTGATATCAAACTCGTGTGAGAACTCGCTGACTCTATCAAGACAGAACTCGAGCTCCGAGAAGAAGACAGTACCAACACAATTTCCCTCCTTGATGAGAGGGATGCAGCCGTCAAGAAGCGACTTTTTCGTTAACAATGTGAGCTTAGACCAAAGAACCCTAGTCGACACATAGGGTGTATCTGAAACGTCAATGTGGAGCTTTTCGTCTAGACCGAATGAGCTCAATTGGGAAATGTCGGATGGCTCATCCGAGGAGCCCGATGCGCTTTGGTTTTTAGAACCACCTTCTTCGTCGTCCACTTCCGATCTTTCTTCTTTCTTGCAGAAATCACCATCTGGCAACAATTCTCCCGCAGAGGCAAATGGATCAATGGCTTCGGACTCCGGAGACAAAAATGGATAATCATTGGCAATAAGGAGTGCTTCGTACAATGAGTTTTCCTCGATAAGACCGCCAACCCAATTGGCAACGGCAATTGCAATAGCGATAGGCAAAACATAAGTGTAAGAACTGGTGAGTTCAAAAAGGATCGTCACTAAGGTGATGTTCATTCTGGTTACACCTGCCATGAAAGCGCCTGCGCTGATCATGGAATAGATGCCCAAATCCACGCATTCACCTGAGTTCTCAGCACAAACGTAGTTCATCACCTCAATGTTGAGCTTCTCGTCAATTGAGAATCTCTTATTTGCTAGTTGAATAGACATGCCGAATATACGGCCAAATAATGCACCCACCACCATGGATGGGACGTAGATTCCACAAGGAACCTTCAAGCCAAAAGTAATAAAGGTAAGGAATATTTTGATGACAAATGCAATGATCAATCGCCATAGCTCAGAGACGAATTGATCTTTGTTAGCCGGACACAATGTGGTATCTAATTCGTGGGCGCTACAAGAAGTAGCGAGATCCAAAACCAACTCCGAAGATGCTTGCTTTGTGTATGGGTTCCAAAAGGTAATCACACCAGTTGCTAAAGCGACGCAAAATATATCCACCATGGGGTGGCCCTTAATGAACTTGAGTTGACGGAATGTCTTGGGCCACCATTTTGTAAATCTGACAAACAATGCGCCGAAAATACCACCGGCAATACCAATGATAACAAAAAATGTAAGTTCGGTTGCTCTCCAGTCACTCTCGTAGTTGAGCTCAAACAAAACGGTCTTGTTGGTGCCGTATGGATTCAAGAACTTGAGGAACAATGTGGATGTCATGGCACAGATGAAGATAAGGAAAAGCTGGTGGGAGGGTAAGTAATGGTTGATTTCCTCCAAAATGAACAATACTCCGCCTAGTGGTGAGCCGAATGCAAGTGCCACTCCAGAGGATGCTGCGGCGGAAAGAACTTGTTTCTTGAGTAAATCATTACCGTTGATATAGGGAAACAATCGGGTGAAAATGTTGCCCACACATGTCGCTAAATGAACGTAAGGGCCCTCTTTTCCGAGGGCCATGCCTGATGCTATAGCAAAAATAAGTGCAATTGTTTTAGCGAAAAGAGTGTACGATCCCAAAAAGCGTCTAATGACAAAGCCAGAAAGAATGGTTTTCACTTCAGGGACACCAGAGCCTGCTCCGGAGTAGATCACTTGAGGAGCCTTCTCGTTACGTTCTGCTGGGTCTAGCATAACTGACTCTGACATAGGGCTTTCATTTCCGGGGTATGGGAACCTTGAGGGAATCTTCGTTGTAAGCGTAATGACTCCAGCCAAAAGGGCCAATGCTAAGGTGAGCATCACGTAGATGGCAAAATCAAGGCGAAGGTATGCGTCGAAGTGATTACCTTGAAGGAGAGACGACCACGATACCCAATCTGAGCATTCCAGCGAAATGTCAGAGAAGACGCTTTCTCTAGGGATCGAGCAGCACGACACCTGAGAAGCAAACCAGTTGGACTTGCAGAAGCCGTGCTTGAAGCCCACGAGAAGCACCTCGAACTTGTCGATGAAGAAGGCAATGACGGCGAAAAAGAACGCGATGATGGTGATCAACACCCACTTTCCCAAAAGAAGGTACGTCCGGTGGACCAATGAGAGTGGCGACAGGTACACAGCGCTTTCGTCGTCGCCATTTTCAGGGTCTGACGGCTCTCCCTGCTTGAAATAGATGCCATGGTGGACTCCATAGTTGAACATGTTCATCAGGGTGAAAGCCTTGGCCCAGTCGATGGTAGTAAAGTCATCGTAGTATCTTTTGAAGCTCGACAACGGAGTATTCACAATGGAGAAAATCCTCAGCGCCATGGTTCTGACCGTTCTATGGGTGTGGACACTCTCCTCGTAGTATGACGCATAAGGCTCCAACCCACTAGGTCTGTGGCGATTCAACATCGGCGACCTGAGGCCGATTTTGTTAAGCAGCCGGATCCGCTCCAAAGAGGAGCCAAACTCCTCCGTTCTGGAGAGCCTGGCCATGGAGCTTTTCGTAGTAGGGCCTCTGAGAGGTGTGCTTGGAAGCGTAACACTGCCCTTTTGTGTGTTTTCCGGAGGCACCAGTATGGTCACGCCGAGCCCGTCGGCGGTCAGTTTGGAGTGTTTGGGCGCTGGGCGCATTTTTCTGGACTTTTGGCTGAAAGAGCCTGATGTTGTTTTCGTGATCTGAGATTCACGAAATCTGGGGTGCTGATAACAGTGCAGGTTGAGAATGTCCCCCTCAGCCAAGACACAGCGATCCAGGCACTTCGGTTAAGACGGGAGATTTTTTTGACGGTGGCCAAAATGGCTCAAAGGGAGTTTAACAGCTTTAGTTTTTCAAAAAAAACCGAACTTCTGGTCCCGGTCCACCATCCTCGGAGCGATCCAGCAGTGAATGATTTCAAAAATAGAACAATGGTTTGAGGGGTCGATTGGCGAGGCTTTGTGGATTGTCGCCGTTGCCGGTGGGAGTACGTGGCTCTGCATGTTCTTGCATCTGACTGGCGCCAGTTTCTTATTTGCTGTGGCTGACGGCCGACATCCTGTGACTCTGCCGACACATGCGCTGGTTCTTATCTGGCGATGAGTGATTTCTTGAATTATGGGATTTGAGTTTTGCTTTGGTTTGATGATTTTGGCGATTTGTTTCTGTGGTGGATTTGGTGGAGTCGTTTGTTGAGTGGGTGGTCTTGCAGTGATTCGCAGTACGGTGATGGTTGAGATATGAAGCCCTGCTTCCGTGATCTGGTCCTGATCTTCGTTTATCTTTTCGAATGAGCTGATTGGCATCACTAGTATAATAAAAGAGGTTTCTTTTCTCTCCAATTTCGTGTTGATGCTCTTTGATTTTCTTATCAAGTGGTCTCCACCATCTTTCCAGCGGCATCTCCTTGGTGATTCTTTGCGTGAGTCCAGTGCTCGGTGCTGTTCTTTTCATTTAAATTATGAAATGTAAGAATTATTCTCTTGGGTGTTTGGCTTGAATATGTGCCTGCCACCACGGGTGTTCAACGTAGAATGTGCACAAAGATGCCTTGACGTGTAATTTCTCGTAAAGCTGTGTTGCTCACATAGACTCGATCCAATCTTGAATACCCATTTCTTTTTGATTTCATTTTTTCAACCTCTTCAAGGTAGTCTCGTTTTCTTGTTGCAAACTGAGCTTCAGTAAGCCAGATTGATTAAGGAAAAAGTTGGCTTGGTTTTCAATTGTTGTCTACAGCTGTGTTATTTCAAGTCTTTAGCTGAAACCAAGCTCTTCGAACAAAAAACATGCACATGCCTCTATGCTTGATTTTAACGAAGCAATATGTGTTTATCTCGGATGTCAATTCGAGGTAGCTTCGCCACTGACTTGATTTTGCCAATTTAGCTATGACTAATTATAGATGTCCAAGTATTCTTCATGACTAGAGCTGTCTACTGTAAGTATCGTTTCAAGGGTGTGAGGTCGATCGTATCGTTGGGGCTCAGAGACTCAGTGGAATGGAGCTGGGAAGAAAGTAATTAGAAAAAGACCAAAAGGTGGGAATTCTTCTCTCATTTATAGTCATCTGGGATAACGTAAAAGGTGTAACCAATTGTGCTGAAGTTTCCGATCTGGTCAATGAGTTGGCGACCAATGCAAGTTGAATTTACTGGGATCATCCACACCATGAAGTAAATGATATGAAGCTACAATCAGGATAGAGTAGCTTGAGCTGAAAATCTAGAGAAGCTCGGAGGTTCGGTTGTGGTTTGGATGTTCCAGAATTTGACTAATCCCGCGGATTAAACTATTGAAATATCGAATCGAGCAGCTCAATCGAATTGAAACCCCAGTGCGTATTAATCAGCTGGATAGTCCGTCCTTTTGGCCAATTCAAACCCCAATTCAACTCTTCAATTATCTCTCGTGATCACTCAATGCGTGAAGGCTCTCTCACCTTGCCGGGTCACTGATCCTGTGCTTTTCAACGTAATCCACACAGCTCCGACCCATTCTACAACGTCCATTCATCTTATATGTTCATTCGATTCTATCTAGCTCTGCTGCAATCTGATGCCGTGGAAGTTGTTTGCTCTGAAAATAGCGTCACCCTCAGAGTAGCCTCTGCCCAAGCCGAAGCCGGTGCCGATCCACACAGGGAAGGCTCTTCTCTTGAAAAAAAGGATGGAGACCAAAACACCACCGCCAAAGCCCATGGCGGTTTTGATCAAAGTGTTGGACAAGACAAGGTCCCACTGCGGTTAGTACGGAATTGTGAAAATCATTGAGCGCAAACATACCTTGTTGTTGAGTAGGTTCTGAGAGGTGTTATCTTTGTCGGCCATTCTGCGGTTAGTATATGTGTATTTGGTGTTGTCGTTGCTGGACATACGTATTGCTTGTGAGTGAATGAAAAACAAGCGAATGGTTTTGGTTGGCCAGTGGCCGTGTGTGCAGGCAGCGGTAGACTTACCAACCGGTTGACAGGGAGAGGCCCTCAGCCCAGGGCCTATTTGAACTGAATAATATAATTTGGGTACAAGAGTTGGTTGAATATTGCAATTTGGCTGGTTTTAGACGTTTTCGGAATTGAGTGGGGTGGGGTGGGTTCGAATGCTCACGAGACCAGAAAGCTCACCGTGTGGACGAGTGGAGCTTATGAAAATTAGCTCGCATGAAGGTGCTTGATTAATTTGTCTTCTTTTCCTGTTTTTCTTTTTTGCCTTAGAAACCGTAATCTTTCTTCGTAAATGACTTGATCCGTTGTGGTGCGTTCAGTCTATGTTTCCTGTTTCGCAGCCAAAAGCGGCAAGACAACCTGGAGGTGAAGTACCCGTGGAAACCTTCTTTTTGTAATAAAACTGGATTGTCAATATAATAGGCCTGCGAGTTCCTCCCCCTTTGGCTTTTCCATAGACCGCTTTCAATTGCTGTATTTGTCGATTTTCGACTTACACTGACTAATACACAAAATTGACAGATTCTTAGAAACTAAGCATATAGAGCGATACCACATAATGCCCTCGACACCATGGAGTCTTCACAACAGAACCTGGTGAACTTTTTTAAATCACAGCTCATGAACCTTGCACAATAGAGCCCACCTTTTCAGGGATAAAACCACAATTGCCCAACCTCTTCCACTATTCCACCCTCACCATCCCGATTCATCAAATGCCATTGAATGCGAGGCTTATGGTGGCTGCGAACGCCTACCACGATTTACGACACCCGAGAACAACCTGAGGGCAGTCCAAGAATAGCCCAAGAACAGCAAGATCCTCCCACTAGCCCCTGACATCTCCCCTTTTTCCAAATCAAAACCTTCTACATTTCTTCACCCAGCCGCACCGAGACGAATCCAGCTTGGCTGTTCTAGACCTACCTCGACGAGCACCGCAAGCCTCTACAGTTGACGCAGTGACAATTTACGGATTTCTCCAAAATCAATGCCACGTCCAAATTCCCAAATTCTTACCAAGCTGGAATTTCCACGTTTCTGGCGCTTCCGCGGCTGTTTAGCCAGATGGTCGGGTCCAGGGCGCATTGGCACATTCCATTCAGCCTTGGAACACGCTGATTCGCAGCCATTCCGGTTGTGTAGAGGCCACTACGAGAGCAGACCACACGGAAGAAAAGGCGGCGGGTGAAAATGCCCAAGTGTTCAAAACCCTAAAATTCTCTCCATTGTTGATTTTCTTCGTTCTTCCCTCGTCATTGGCGGATTCTCAAGCGAAACGAGTGGCTCGACGCACCTTGTCTTTAGTCCGCAGATGTCAGACAGACAGCCTTGGCGGAATGCGACGGAGGAGCATGGACCACGGTGGGCGCTCCCAACATTTCAATTTAATTGATTGAAATGAAAAGAGAAAAGGAATAGATTTTAAAGAAGGTAAATTCCATCGTCAATTCCAAGATCGCCCCGCCTTGTGCTGGCATCTGCCCATGGGGCTATCCTGAGCCACGGATTCTCGATTTGCGAGAACATGCCATTGTGCAACGGCTGAGGACAATCGGAGCGCTAGGTAGAAAACGAAGAGCCGAAAAGGGAAAAAATCCCACTCGACACCCGTTACTGAAAAAGCGTCCGTTTTGTGGCCACCAAAACCCGAGAAATACAATCGCCTGTTTTAGCTGGCTTAGGCAGCCGTGCGACGGGTTTTTTGTTTTTTTTTGGGAACCCGCACCTCTCTTATCCGGACTGCTACCTCAGCGACTTTTTGGTCTTCCGGGACGATTTTCGAAACTTTAAGAGCACCATTGGAATCAGCAGAATTTTACGAGTCCAATGGTGCCCTCAAAGTCCGGAAAACCGCCCTCCTTACCCGTTTCGACTGGACCATCCACGTCCGGATAAGAGGGGTGCGGCCCGTCGCGATGCCAATAAGCAGCCCCACAGACAAACCCCAGGCCTTAACACTGGTCCTGGCCAAGTAGAAAACCCTCTTTTCCTTCGTTCCAACCTGGCTTCAGGCGGTCTCACCCATACCCCATTCCCGTAATTCTGCCCCCATTCTGCCCGGTTCCGGGTCGTCCCCATACCTGTGCGAAATATCAACTCCCAACTACTACTTCTGTCCACCACGGGTAAAACCACCTTTTCACAACACAACCACTCCGCTTTTCCCCCAATCCCAGCATGAGCTCCAGCGCGTCGCCGAAACCCGCCACGAGCCCCGTGGTCCAGGTGATTCTGGCGTTTGAGGCCTCTCAGAAGGACCACGACGAGCCCCCCAACGACCCCATAAACGTCAACGCTATCGATACCGACGAGCAGCTCACGCCGGCAACCGACTTGCTTGTGACCGATGCAGTCGACACGGCGCCCATTGGGCCTCCAAAACCACAGGACTCCCTGGCGTTCCTGTCGCTACTGAGCCAGAACGATGACAACACGGAAACAAATGAGGAAAGCTTCAATGACTCCACGCCGTCTGCGTTGCCACGCATGCCGGGCACATACGACTTCAACGGGCTAAAAGACGCCATGTCGCTGGAAAGCATAGGCGACTTGGAGCCCCCGGCAAGGAAAGACCTCGATCTGAAGTCCCTAGGTAGCCCTGTGGTGCTCGGCGAAAAAACGAAAGAAAAAGAGGCGCCGCTCGAGAGCGACGACAAGAGAGCGGATTCTGTTGGCTTGGGCATTTCCACCGAAAACACGCCTTATGTGCCTCCTCCAGCTGAGGACCCCATCGAAGTGCCAGAGAGAGGTGACCTTGCCACTGGCGAGTTGGATATTTCTCGTAGCCCTTACCTCGGCACGCCTGAAATCGAACAGTACAAGCCTCAGCTCGATCCGGGCAAGCCTCGTGCCCTGTTGGACATTGACGAGATCTTGAACAGAAACTCAACCGATACCGACCAGCTGTCGATGGAAAACAAGTTGTCCGACACGCTCAACAGAATCCCCACCGTTCAGGACAACATTGACGACGACAAGGACGATATGATGAACATGAGCCACTCGACGTCGATCGACGAGTTGGGTTTCATGGATAACCAGCGCTCGCTTTCCAACCTGACCGTTATCAGAAGCCCTCCTCCACCTCCCCTGAACGCTCAAGGTTACAATCCCACTCCGGCCATCACAGGAGGAAACCAGACGCCTCGCACAACCTCTGCTAACCGCACTCCCCAGCTGAATAGCACAATAAGGTATCCTCATTTGGCCCAGAAATCGCCTCGAGACCTCGATATGGGCGTGATTCACTCAAACGCCAAACTCTCGACTCCGCAAAATGGCAAGAAGAGACGTTCAGGCAGCAGAGTCAAGGGCGTCTTCAGTCTGATGTTTGGCAAGTCCAAGAGCTCTCAAGGATCGCCCGAATTGAGCATGAAAATCAGTACGCCTTTCAATCCGCAGCACACCCAGCACGTTTCTGAGGCTCCAGATGGCTCTTTGGCCGGTTTGCCTGCTGAATGGGAAAGACTTCTTCTGTTCCAGGGTATCTCCAAGAAAGAACAGGAGCAGCATCCTCACACAATGCGTGATATCATGGCGCTTTTCTTCGAGGAGAAAATCGGCGAAAAGAAAGGCCCCATGGAAGAGGCCGGCTCTCAGAGCCCTTCCCTCGGTTATGCCAACGAAAGCACTTCCTCATTTGCTCAGTCGTCACCGCCATCAACACCTACAGCCAGCTCCAGTCTGTCTGATGTCAACAATACGTCGCAAAACGGTCCTCAAATTTCCACGCCAGTCCAGCAGGTCACCCAGAAAACGCCAGGCACAAACCAAGATGGCCAGTTTATCCCAAGTCGCCCGGCTCCAAAACCACCATCAACACCTCTGGCATACGCTCCCACTCCACCCACAACGGACACTCCTCGCTCCAAAATGTCTATGATGGGCCGTCGTTCTTTATCCAGCAAATCGCTTAAAAAATCGTCCCAAAAGCCTGACATTGCTCCCCCACCGCTTCCGAACATCAGCGGTCCAATTCGTGTTGCTCCTCAACCACCTTCCCAAATACCAAAATCTAAGTCCCACAGCTACTCGCTTGCTCAGCAAACTCAGGCGACCAACAAGGGCTCAACGACAGCTCCAGTTGCTCCAACCTCGAGATTCCAGGATCAACAGGCATCAGACAAGGAATTCAAGGCTCATAGAGCTCCACCTCCTCCACCAGTCCACAAGACGCCAGCTCAGGCCCTCGAGCACATCACTTCAGACAGTGCGACGTATGAACGCGCCAAGTCCAGCGATCAAAAGAAGCCTCTGGGTAACGATCAAGCTCAGGTGTCTTCCTCGCAACAGCAGCCTATTAGAGATGCTAAGAAAGCTGCGCTTTTGACGCAAAAGAGAAGAGAAGAGAAGAAACGCAAGAACCAGCAAATCATCTCCAAGTTGCAAAGTATATGTACCGAGGGTAACCCTAATGACTACTACAAGGACCTCAAGAAGATTGGTCAAGGTGCCTCCGGTGGTGTGTACATCGCTAGGTCTGTGGCGGGTCCATCAGGCAAGATTGTCGCTATCAAACAAATGAACCTCGAGCAACAACCAAAGAAGGAGCTCATCATTAATGAAATTTTGGTCATGAAGAGCAGCAGGCATGACAACATTGTCAACTACATCGATTCATTCCTCATAAAAGGTGAGCTTTGGGTCGTCATGGAGTACATGGAGGGTGGCTCTTTGACTGAAATAGTTACTCACAGTGTCATGACGGAGGGACAGATTGGTGCTGTTTGCAGAGAGACATTGAAGGGTTTACAATTCTTGCACAGCAAGGGTGTCATTCACAGAGATATCAAATCCGATAACATCTTACTTAATGTGGATGGTAATATCAAGATGACAGACTTTGGTTTCTGCGCTCAAATCAACGAACTCAACCTCAAACGTACCACCATGGTCGGTACTCCATACTGGATGGCTCCGGAAGTTGTTTCCAGAAAGGAGTACGGCCCTAAGGTGGACGTCTGGTCCTTGGGTATCATGGTCATTGAGATGATCGAGGGTGAACCGCCATACTTGAACGAAACTCCATTGAGAGCTTTGTATTTGATTGCTACTAATGGTACACCCAAATTGAAGGAACCCGAGGTATTGAGTTACGACATCAGAAAGTTCCTCAATTGGTGTTTGCAGGTCGACTTCAACAAGAGAGGCACTGCTGACGAGTTGTTGCAAGATAAGTTCATTCTCAAGAGCGACGATGTCTCCTCGTTGGCTCCATTGGTGAAGATTGCTCGTATGAAAAAGGCCAGCGAGAACGCTGACGATTAGTTGCAGAGCCTTTAGTTCTGACTTGTATTTAGGATTGAGTATTGGAAGCAGTATCATGATTACCTTGTAGAAGATTTACGATCTTGCTAAGTGTCTCTGTGAATATTACTCATATAAGTCATTCATGTCGTGTATTTGCACTTCATGGAACGGCCCTCATGTCTATAAAAAAGGACCAGTGTGCTCGAAAGACGTTAAAACCCGCCAGTCATGTCTCTAATCTTGTCGACTTCTTCCTGGAGGGCCTTCAAATCGTCTAGTATGTTGGCTGTACTGGAGCTGCCGTCCAGGTTCTGGTATATCTGCTGTTCGGGTACTTTAGGAGGCAAAGGTGGCCTATCATCAGCGACAGCGTTGGAGTTTCCTCTTCTTCTTGAAGGTGGAGGAGGTGGTGGTCCAGGGCGAGAGTTGAGCGGAGATCTAGGCGGAACTGGAGGTCCGTTAATTGCTGGCGAAAGAGATGCTGATCTGTGACGTTGAGATGCTTCGTTGTTGTAATCGCCGTTAGTGGGTTCATGCTGGTAGGAATGCTGATCGATCTGAACCGAGTTTGGCTGCGAGACCGAGCGAGAGCGTCTTGCAGGGACCGGTGGTGGAGGTGGAGGCAGCTTTGCATCAGCTATGCGTGCGTTATGGGCGGTATTGTCGAGAGTATCGCCGGTCATTTGAGAAGTGAACGATTGAAGCGAAACACGAGGCTGGTTTTCGCCATTCTGTTCGGGCGGTAGGAAACGGGCCATGTCGTTAGGTCCCGTAACTTGTGATCGAAGCGGCGAAGGCTGGGGCTCGTTTTCGGGGCGTCCAATGAGTTGGGCCATTTGCGCTGGTCCAGTCATGTTCGGCTGGAGAAGCTGGGGCTGAGGCAGCAGCAGGCCCTCTTGGGGCAGCGGAGTGTAGCCCTGTCTGCCCAAATGGATGTTTGCTGGGACACCGTCGACCAGCATGGTGTCGACCGAGTTCAAGTTCTGGAAATGGTTCATCTGGGGCTCCATATCACGAAGAATTTGCTTTTCTTCAGGGTCGGGCGAGTGAATTGGGCCCGGTGACGAGCGAGGCACCTGTAGACTGCTTCCAGAAGGGCCTGCCTTGGAGGCATTGAGTCTATTCATGAGCTGGTCCATAGGGAGCAGATAGTCGAGCTCGCCTGGAGGTTGAGCGTTCTGCTGTCTGTCGGAGGCGGGATCGTGGACGTCTGTGACGATCTGGTCGCTGAACTTGACCAGCTTGAGCTTCTTGGAGCGTTTCTTCGGTATTCTTTCGTCGGGACGTTCACCGGTGAGCATGAACTGGGTGAACAGGTCGAGGTCAAGAGGCTTCGAGGGCAGTTCAGCCACCGGCTCGGGCTCCTTGGGCTCCTCCTCGTCGTCATTCTGGCGCTTTTTCAGCAAAATCGACGGGGGCGTAGGCACCGAGGTCTGGATCTTGATAAGCCTTCGACTGGGCTCCTCGCCAGCCAAGGTATGCGAGACAACCCTTAGCAAGGCAAAGAACTCGCCAATGTTGATCAGATGTAGGATCTTGGAGAACAAGCGGTTGATTTTCTCCTGAGCGTCGGCCAGAAGCCGGAAGTTGCTGAGAAACTGGTACACGTCGTTCATGGAGATTGTCCGCAGATTGGTCCGGGCCAAGATGTCCAGGTACCAGCGCATGTACGTTTTGCTTTCCTCCAACGTAAGCTCCTGTGCCGTGAGCGACAAGCTGATGGAGTCCTCGGACTGGGGGTGTTCTGTTCTCTGTAAGTTGTCAGCCAGAGCATTGGCGAACATGTAGGCTCTGTTTTCGGGAGTTCTCTGCAAATCGGTATTGCTGGCGTGGCCAAACAGCACCGGCGGCGGTGCAAGGCTCTCGCCCAGGTCCCGTGTTTCCTGAAGGGTCAGGTCGAGCCACAGAAGCCTCGGATCCATACTTGGTGGTTGTGGTTGATTCTGCAAACTATGTGATTTTGGTGCACGGGCCGCAGCGCCTTGGCTGGACCTTGTTGCCAGGAGGGCTAGGGTGAAAAACGGGAAGATTGGGGGAAAGGGGGATAGGTTGTTTTGAAATTTGATGATTTGTAGTCAATTGGTTGTTGTGGTGTGTTTTGGGATTCGGCGGTGGTGGTATAGGCCTGCTGTGGCCGGGTGCAAATCCAGGTATTCCGAGGCACCCAGGGTAGGGATGAACTTTTGACGGAGGGTGGATTTTTGTTAGTTTTTTGAAAGTTTGGTAGTTTGGTGATATCTGATTTTGGCTCGTTTGGGCCGGTTTTTGTTTGTATAGGAGGTGCCTCGGTGGGTGCAAATGGTGGACCCAAGCCTTGCTACATCCTTATGCATGCCACACAGGTTGCAAGGCAAGGTGACTAGGGGGGGCAGTGTAGCCCTATTTTATTAATTTTTACGCATTTTTGACTTGATTGGCTGTGAAGTTTCGAAAATTTAGTGGATTGACGGTTATTCCGTGGTTTTTCCGTGGTTGGCCTGGTGTAGTCCGTTACCTTATTGGAATGCACCGTGAGGTTCTTCTCAGTGGACAAATAGCTACTGTATTTCATGTTGAGTGGACAAAGATAACTGAATTCTGGATCACTAGAAAAAGAAGTCCAGAACCTCTGATGCTAAAAAGCGGTAATGCTTGCAATTCTGGAAACCGACTGGACTCTTGATGGAAGAGTTTCTGCAGGTCACTGGCTTCTGGTTTTGGTCTCAACGGTTTCAGAGATGTAGCTAGCTTAAATTGAGTCTATAATAGTCAGTGGATTTAGGGAGTAGTAAGTTCACCTTGGAACATAGAACAGGGTCAACTGAGTTTCCAAATTGCAGCCCTCTAGCACAGCTTTCTTGTTTTTGTTTGGCTCTCTTGAGCTCAGAAATCTTCTTATAACCACTCAATATCCCCGTCGTTCACCAACTTCTACCCAGAGTTGAACCTCTGTTACAAGGCTATCGAGCAACATAATTCACCTTTACCCCCTTCGTACTTCACCATTACCTAGATCCAAGATTGCTTATCTTCTTTAGCCTTTTTGCCATGACAATGGCATCCTTTTCCCGATTGTTCGACGTAATCGCCAATTTTGAACAAAGCTTCTCCACGTCCCAAGACAGCTACCCCACAGACCCGCACACGATTGTCAGATTGGAGGGCAACATCAGGAACAGAAAGTCACAGGACACAATTCTAACGAATCAACATAAGCCAAATTTGTATTTTTGATTGCAAGAGCGCAAAACAGCGGTTATGTTTCGTTCCATGCAAATGCAGTGGCGCTTATGACGCAAGGGTCTCAAAAACGTTCTTAAGCGAAAGCTTCTTCACATTTAGTGGACTCAGTGGGGTGTAGTGATATAATTGATAGTTTTTGTTACTATGAAAAGAGCTTGTTGTATCAATGGTGTGGAAGGAGTTTCCTGGCTCTTTGCTTCACTCATCATGGAAATACTACCTTGCTTCTCAATGCCTCTCAGTCTAGGGATGCCACAGGGTCATAACATAACCATCATCAATTTTATATGCTGTCATACCACATTTCAAACCGTCACACAGTTTGAAGAGCCCTTAATCAGCCACCTTGTTGAGCTGTAAACACGCAATAAGTTAATTTCTCATAAAAGCGGCCTTTTATGTCAGCTAATCAAGTATTGGCATTCAGAGTGCTATCAGTAATACTCTCCTTCCTCATATCGTGGCTTCCACGTGGATTACTATGACGGTCTGCAATGGTTATGTCGAAGATGAAAATAGTCTTTGTGGCCTGGTTTCATGAAAACATTAGTCCTTACTGGTGGGATGCAATTCATTCTTCGTGCCTCACTAGTTAATCAGATTATGTCTATATAACCTCTACCGGCGCTATCATCTCTACCTTTTTGCCCCAAATGCCAAGTACAAAATCTTCTTTAGGAACTTTTGATTGTGGTCGCTATGGCGGCACTATGCTCCCCGACATGACAGACGACAAACAACAATTCTACTTCTGTGGAAGGAACTACGGATTGGATAAGGCCCATTCTGGTAGTAGCAAAATGTCCCACGCATGGAAATTGTTGGTACTCGTCCTCTTAGTTACGCCACTATTACTATAAAGCTGGACTTGGATTTTGTGGAGCTGTGGCTAAAAAAAGTTGGTCAACTGGAGAGTTTGTCTTCCAACATCGTGATAACTTATCCTGTCGAGGTGTATAACGCAATATTCGCAGGAGCCCATACCTTGCACTTCATTGTTTGACTTCACTTCTGAAAACATTTGACTTTGTACAACATAATAAATATCAATGCCCAGGAAGTGATTTCTAAACTTTCATGAACTGGCGACACCAGCTATCCATATCAATCCAGACTATGAGTTCGTCATATAAGACTTCCACCATGAAGAGCAGCTACAAGACCAGAAAATCATGACGGTCGCTTAAGTCGTAAGAATCGTTTATCTCCATTATTTCTTTGCACATCCGGCCATTTCTCATCGCTTTGCCATTTTCTTGTTGCAGATTTTATTTCGCAATCTTTCCGTAGTTCTCACTACTATAGCAGAAAATTGCAAACTAGCCGCGCTTTATCAACTCCACCATGTTAAGAAAGGCAGCCAGTGTAAAACGAGCCAGCAGCGTGGCGATGCCGGCATCGTCTGACTCCGAAAGTGACTCTGACACTTTTGAAGCCGCCATGAGAAGAAAGTCTCAGAAAATCGCCAACCTGGTGCTGAATGACGACGAGCTACAGTATGATATCGATACACCCATTAGTCAGGAGCAGAAGGAGGAAAAACAAGAGCAGGGCTCCAAGTTTCTCAAGAACATCCTAGCTCTGAAAGACATTCGTGATAAGGAGCGAGAAAAGACAAAGATTGAGTGGCAGCGAAAGAATGCCAAGGGTATGGTGTTTGAGTCTGAGGAATATAAGCAAGTCGCAGGTGACTCCCAACATACCCCCAAACAGGAAGAGAAGAACTACGGAACAATCTACGACCTAATAAAGAGCAAGGTCACGGAGCAGGACTTGGCGGAGGCCAGACTGCGCTACTTGGAAAGAAACTCGTGAATAGATTAAAACATATTAAGGTCGAGCACAGCTCGATAAGGTCATCGCAATGGTTACTTCATAGCCTCTTGCAAGGCAATAGTGTCAACTAGGTGTTTGGTGTTGTCCTGGCCCGTGGCATTGGGGCTCACAGGCTCCTCCTCGATGGGCTCAATAGGCTTTCCTTGTGTCAGGCTCTGGTTGTGGACAATACGCTCAATCTGGTCGGCAGATGGCATGAAGATGACTCTGGAGCCAGAGCTCTTACTCATGTTCTGCAAGGCGTCCAAGTATCTGATCTGCAAGGCGGCAGGAGAACTCAAAATGTCGGAGGCCTTTCTCATCTGCTTAGCACTCTCGACCTCAGCCTTAGCATTGATGATCTTAGCCTCACCAATACGCTTGGCCTCGGCGGCCTTAGCGAAGGAGTCCTGGACAGTACCAGGCAAGGTCAAGTCCTTGATCAAAATGGCCTCAATGTGGACACCCCACTCGGCGGCGGTTCTGGCAATCACACCCTGGACGGACTCGGCAATTTCGTCTCTCTTCTCCACCACATCCTGCAACACGCGAGAGCCAATGACGTCTCTCATGGTGTTCTGAGTTCTCTCAGTGATGGCAGAGTGGATATCGGAGATGGCAAAAATGGCCCTCTGAGGGTCCACGATGTTGTAGTAAACGACAGAAGTGATGGAAACGGACAAGTTGTCTCTGGTGAAACACGATTGTGGGGGCAAGTTCTTAGCGTTGATCTTGATGTTGACTCTTGACAACTTCTCAGACCATGTGTTGACATACGAGGTACCGGGCTCAACGGTTCTGGAGAGAGCACCGAAGGTCTGGACCAAGCCAACCTCACCCTGGTCGACGGTCTTGTATGGGTTTTCACAAAGGAAGCAGAAAACACCACAGCAGCCAAAAATAGAACCCATCAGGCTGATAAAGTTCTGGTAGGCATCCCTTGGTGGGGTGTCGTAAGTTTTGGCAAAGTTTTTGACGACCATCTCGGGCTTGACGTAGCCCTCGGCTTCATCTCTGATGGGCTGGTTGTTAGGCTTGACTGGTTCAGCGGACATTGGAAAAAAATTGGTTGGTGTAGGGAAACAAGGAATTCCATAAACCTTTATATGCTATATGCCCAGGCTACGCAGCCCTGGGTATTCTGCAGGATGGGGGAGCCGTGTTGTGACACTGTCTGCAGGACGGCAGCGGCTTTTGGGCCGACAATTCGGGAAAAATATCCGTCAGGTTTTTTGAATCCTCGAAGTAAAACCGTCAAATGTTACTAAGAAATATTCGCTTTTCACCGCTGCCCCTCAGTGTGACCGCCCCTTCTGCCACTTTTCTTGGAGCAAGTGCTCATGCATCGTGGGCTCAAATTGAGCGTACTGCAGATAGACAAGCGTTAGTGTCATCAGCTCGCGGCGTCTTTACGAGTTTATCGCGAGGCTGAACCGAGCCGTGTGTGATCATCATGCAAAGATTCGGCTATCCACGTGGATTCCTGATTTTGAATATTTTTAGGGAAGAATCGTGACTGATTTTGATGATTTCAAGTCGAAGGGCAACAGCATGATCATTTTTTTATTTTTGCGGCCTCGTCTACCTCTGACGTCAGCGTGACCTGCTACAGATCGAGGTACACCTTCAACAACCCGCTTGGCTTTGAATTTTGAAAACTAGGAAAGAGAGTTCACCTGCAAAGGCCAGATTTGCACCCCATAGCAAGTCACATTTTTCAACCGATAAGCATTGTGATAAGGCTATCAATTTGACAATTGAGCTCACAAAAGCAGGGTCGCGAAATCTTAAGATTTAACGGTATTGGGGTGGAAAATTTCTCGGCTGCCATTGTGGAGGTGGAGTGCTCAGTGGATGATTTGGAAGGGGCTGATTTCTTGAAACTTGACCAGAAAGTGTGAAAATCACCATTCAGCCGCAAGGATCTGCTGCAAAGACCATGAGCACTGGGTGCAATCAGTAGGGCATTTTGTGGAGCACTATCCACAAAGCCTCCTGAATTTGGAGAAACGGAATTACATCTGCCCCGCTTATGCTGGAGGGTTCGTTTCTATAAATATCTGCAATTTGGCCTATCCAACATAAAGGTTCCAGCCCTTCTCCTCCACCAAGGCGGCCCACTCAATCACGACATTCCCGTCTGGGTTCCGGACCCAGCTCTCCTCCACCGTCTCCTCAATTCTCGTCAAGTTCTGAACATGGTATCTCAATTGGGCCTTCTTGAACCTTTCTCTCATTCTGTCCCTGTCGTAGCTTGTGCAGCATGCCATTCCACACACCAAGATCAGAAGCGACAACAGCACAATCATTCTTGTGTCTAGGAGCTCGTCAATGAGCTCTAGTGCTTGGAAAAGCAAATCCTGCTGCTGGACCAGCGAAGGCGGCAGACGCATCACAACCGTATTGAGGTGTATTTGGCAAATGAGAACGTAAAGCTCAAAAAGCTGTTTCTGGAGGGTGAGCTCTTTGGGGTCCAGCTCGAGAATTTGTAGATGCAACAGACTAGGCACGCAATTGGAGATCTTCTCCATGAGAGACTTGTAGGTGGTCCTGACCGTGGCAAAGTAAGCTCTACGGGCTTCCTCCAAATCAGGCGATTTCTCCACCAGAGTCTCGATCATATCCTCAATTTCTGCCCACTGACGCCGAAGCATCACCTGGGAGTTTCCAATGTCACCGAATAAATTGTAAACGCCTCCCAAAGTTCCCTGGAGAGGATCAATGCCGTAGTTGACGTCATCCTGAAGAACCGCCTCGTACTCTTCAATAGGCATCAAGGTACCTTGTCTCACTGCATTCAGCGAAAGAAGATCATGAAACTGGAAGTTATGGAGAAGCCATTTGATGTCGTTGTTATGCATAAACATCTGAGCGACGGCTTCGAGACCACCAAAAGAGTTAATAAGGTTCGAGCACTGCGTGAGGAATCCTCCCCAGTGACACACATCTCCAGTAGTCACCTCGATACCGATAAATATAAGGTAGAACGCCAAAAGCACGAAAAAGTCCTCGTTATTCAGCGGCACCAAAGAGTCACCAATCTCTTTGCAGATCAACTTGGCGGACTTTTGCATGTAATTCCACGGCTGTGAGTAGTCGATCGAGGACTTATCACGAAGCTGCAACCAGAATCCACCCCATGCACATAAGGCATAAAGAATGGAGTCTCGGGATTGGGCAAGCTGCATGAACGTCTTGAGAAAGTAATTCAGCGAGTCCGTTCCGATGTGAATGAAAGAGCAAAATGCTTCCGAGTAGTGCAGTAGAAACTGGACCCCTGTATCGTCCAACTGAGGCACCACTCTTCCAAAAAGGATATTATCAAACGGCATGTTGAACAAATCAAAAAGATCAGGCAGTTCCTTGGGCAGGGCCACCGCAAGCTGAAGCTGTGGATCCACCATAGGCTCTATCAGCTTGGGTTTCTGCCTCTTAGCTACTCTATCGTGAGGAAGCGGCTTGGACTCGGGCCATTCACAGTGCAAACCCATCCGTGAACATCCGCCACATGTGGGGACGACCTCATCACACTTTTTCCTGAGATTAGTACAAGATCACAGAAAAAATATTGCAAATCAACATACTTTCTGCGTCGACAGCAAAGACAACCCAGGTAAGATCGGGCTCTAGGGCCGAAGAATTTGAAACCGTGGGCGTTTTTGTTCCTGTGGCGGACCAACGGCAACAGCTTTGCCTCGACCGTCAGCAAATCCATCGAAAGGGTGTGAAACATTAGTAGTTTCTAAAAAGTTTGGAGCCAAAGTCCATGTAGATAAGGCGGCGCTTATTGCCTATTTGGGCGCGCAACTCCACATTTACTTGTCCAGAAACTTAGCGGGTTTTTTTCAAACCAAAACCAGTTACTTGTTCTTTCCATGAGGTGTGTGGTAGTGGGTTCCGGCGGCGTGGGCTCCATGGCTGCCTATGCGCTTAGCTTGAATTCTGAAACGACTGCCATTGTGAGATCTGATTATGATCAAGTTTCCAAACATGGCTTTTCCATCGATCTGGTCGATTACGGCACGATCGAAAGTTTCAAGCCCCAGCATATCGCCAGGTCAATTGAGGATGCTACACAGCTAGGGAAGTACGATTATATCGTGGTGACCACGAAAAACATCCCGATGTCGCTAAGGTGGAAGAGCTTATTGAGCCACTAGTTAGCGCGGAATCGATTATAGTGTTGGTGCAAAATGGCATTGACATTGGAGCGCCATTTGTGGAGAAGTACCCGAAAAATGTCGTTCTAAGTGGAGTTTCGATGATTTCGTCTACGAATTACAGTGGAAAAATTACCCACGTCGGTCACGACGAGTTGATGGTGGGTATTTTTCAAAACCCTGCTTTGGAGGATAAGCCTCAGGAAATGGCTGCGAAAACTTTTGTGGACTTGTACAAGAACGACAAGAACGATTGCGTTTTCGATGAAAATGTAAAACTCACTCGCTGGCGGAAACTCGTCTATAACGCCACGTTAAACACAGTATGCACTTTGACAGGTGTAGATGTGGGGCGTTTGGAGCTTTTTGGCGGTATGGACCTTGTCAGGAAGGCCATGAGAGAGGTGCTTAATGTGGCTAAGTCAGATGGAGTGGATTTGCCGGAAGATATCATGGAGTTTATGATTCGGTCGGATGACGGAAACTACTACGAGCCCTCGATGTTGGTGGATATCCGGAAAGGAAACTACATTGAGTTGGAGGTTATTTTGGGAAATGCCGTGAGAATTGCTGAGCGCAATGGCGTGGATGCCCCACTCTCGCATTGGTGTACGACTTGTTGAAGGTGGTACAAAACCGGACAAAGGAAACCAAGGGTGCCTTGGAGGTGCCCAAGGAGCGGCCAATCCCGGGTAAGTAAAAGTAAAGAAGTTATGAAATGATCAAAAGTGGTAAGTGTGGGGATATACCGAACAGGAGTTGTTTCGTATTACCACTTGTATTCGGCGTCTGTATAGCATGAGTGAAGTTTGAGCACAACGAAGACGAATAATCACTTATCTCTGACAAGAATGCTTATGAATGTAATTGGTTCATTCACCATGTATGGACTTTTAATGGATCTCGACAAGACCCCAACAATGGTCGTGATCTTAGACAGTGCGTGAAGTCGATCAACGCCGATCACAGGCTTGTTCCTAGTATCATGGGAAAATGCCTGATATACTTAGGGGCAAATAGGATGGTTGATTTTGCGGGGGCTCGTTATCTTTCAGTGTAGGTGACATCGTACCCTTACCAGTGAAAAGACGGAATCCATTGTCCACTCTTTATTGAGGCTAACGGAGTCTTGGACAATGTGAGTAACCTTTTTTTCCAAAGTTCTTATCTCTGAGAGTGCTCCCAATAAAGTCACCTTGCCGTCGTTCGGCTCATCTTATCTACGGAACTTGACCACCTGATAACCATTTTGGCGAGATACAGACGGTTCACAAAGATCTTTTTCGTAGTTGGTCTCTTTCAAGTGTGACATTTGAGAAACTGTAGCTCCATTTATGATCTCCATTTTGGCCTAATTGCCTCAATCCAAAACTTTCCTCTAGAACTATCTCAAGGTAACACTTTCAAGGGATCGTGTTATCAGGATCATGCGGACTCTATAGACGAGCTCCTGACGGACTCTATAGAACTAGCCCCTTGATATGAGCCTTTTTTTTTTCAAAAAGTAGTAGTAACAGTGGTTGTTCATACTATTTCATTGGCCCCGGTGACTCAGACACAGAATGACTTAGTCCACTACACAAGCACAAAAATCACCAAATCCAAAACATCAAGTTCAAACTTTTTATAAAAAGAGCAAGGAGGACCACGAGGCCCGCCCTAGGCTAGTATAGAGGCCAGACTCTATGGAGAGTGGTTCCATAGAGGACTGGTGGATATGGAGGCCGTTTCCGTGGCGCGCTTATTTCTGTGTTGGGACGTATTTTGCAGCCATTTGTGGAGGGCCATAAAGTATAAATACGGGATCGATTCCCACTTTTTTTTCTTCATCAATGACAGCTTCTTCTTATCTCTTCTCTTCAAAAGTCAGCGAGCACTCCCCATGGTGGTGGGAGGCAAAGGCAACATCCTCACTGTTGAGGACCCTGCTACTCATAAACGCAGGGAGGTGTTTGATGCTATGGGAGGTGCTGCAGTGGCAGCTTTGGGTTTTGGTGATGAGGAGATCGAGGAGGAAATGGCCAAGGCCGCTAAGGAGTGTTCCTACTCTTACTTGGGTTACATGACCAACTACTGGGCTGAAGAGTTGGCCAAGTTCTACATCGATAAGTCACCCAATGGAGCTTTTGCAGCGGCGCTTTTCACTTGTTCTGGATCTGAGTCAAACGAAAACGGCATGAAGACCGTTAGGCAGTACTGGCTTGAGCGTGGTCAGCCACAAAAGACCGTCTTCATCTCCAGAAAACAGTCCTACCATGGTTTCACCATTGGTGCTCTTTCACTCAGTGAGTCAAACAGAAAGGACAGCTTCAGAGCCATTACCTTGCCTGCCGAGCAAGTGCCCAAGGTCTCGTGTGTGTACCCTTACAGGGAATTAAAAGAAGGTGAGACTATGGAGATGTACTGTGAGCGTCTTTTGAAAGAGCTCGAGGATAAGATCTTGGAGGTTGGACCGAAGAAAATCGGGGCTTTCATGTGTGAGACGCTTACCGGCTCCACTTACGGAACTTCTCCTTCCATTCCAGGATACCTCCAGGGAGTCCGCAAGATCTGTGACAAGTACGATATTCTCTTCTGGCTTGACGAGGTGATGTGTGGAACAGGTCGTGCTTGTGCTACTGGCGGGCTCAATTGCTGGGAGTCCTGGCCAGATTTTGACGGTCCAGATCTTCAGCTGATTGGAAAAACCTTGGGAAGTGGATACGTGAGTGTGGCTGGTCTTTTGGTTTCCCCGAAGGTGAGACAGGCTTTTGTGGAGGGATCCAACTACATTCCTGGTGGTCAGACCTATCACCAGCACGCTTTCAATTGCCGTGTTGCCTTGGCTGTGCAGAAGAAAATCGACAGGTTGGGCTTGAGAAAGAATGTGTTTGAAAACGGCAACAAGATGGGTGAAAGACTCAAGGAGTTGGCTAAAACTACCGAAATCGTTGGTGATGTTCGTGGTCTTGGAGGTTTTTGGTCTCTTGAGCTTGTGAAGAATAAGAAGACGAAGGAGCCCTTCCCTGCTAAATTGACTGTGGGCGTTAAGACCACCGCTAAGCTTTTTTCCAATGGAATGACCAGTATGGGACTTGGAGGAACCGCTGGAAACGGTCAAGGTGACCATATCACTGTGGCACCTTCTTATATCATCACTGAGAAGGATGCAAACTACATTGCTGAGATGTTAATTCAGGCTGTGAAGGAGATTGAGGATGATTTGCGTGCAGCAGGAGAGCTTTAAGTAATTTTGTAAGGAATGGATTATGATAGAACCAAGGGTAGATTTTGCAGCCATTTGATGGTGTATGTAGGAGTGAGAACTTCAAATTGCTGTAACTCCGCAGCTATCCATTTTTTTTTTTTTTTTTTAACGATTATTATATTAAGAGGACGCCAGAAAGAATGAATTCTTTCCAACAAAACCTATATAGTTTTAAGACCTACATAGTAAACCCCTTAATGTGTTATCAACAGAAGCTGAGTGAACCCGGGGAACGCGACTCTCCTCTCAAAGAACTTCTCAAGCCAGAGAGTCTCTAAGCCAAGGTAAAACGCTGAGACTCTCACAATCTATAGTTTAATGATTGAAGTAAACTATGCATATCCCAGACTTACTTAATTTCTTCAAAAAGCATGAATATATTTAAAGCGTATGCACCATTTCCTAAGATAGCCGGTCTAGTATAGTGGTCAGTACAGTTCGTTGTGGCCGAACAGACCCAGGTTCGATTCCTGGGCCGGCAATTTTTTTGGAATTCGAACTCTTACTTTTTTACATTCTTGAAGAGAATCTCTTTACAGCTTTTGAATGGTTGCACTTCTCTAGCCTTCTTTCCAGAGGAAGTTCTCTTCTAATGGGACAACCAAGAAACAGGAAAGTCTTGCCGTTCAAACAATTCCAAGTCAAAGCCAGATGTGTTGGTCATGCAAGTATATTTTCAAGATGTTTTTTCCACTCTTCCTCCACCTTACCATTAATTATTCCCAGAGATGTAACTGGTGGTTTACATGACACCACCGACTTATTCATTGCCGATCAATAAAGCATTAGGCAAATATTCGTAGGAATTGTAGCACCATAAAGATTTGATTCGCCCAAGCACAAGCTAATTTAAAAGGTCACGCAGGGAAAATCCTATTCAAGAATATTTTAAATGCCATAAAATACTCAAAGGCTGGCAACATTCATCTATATACTTACCTTTCACACCTTCGTAAATTGGCTCGAGACGAAATACTAATGTCGACTCAAATTCTTCACTTCATTGAAAAGAACGAAAATCAAGATACCGTTGATCAGCTCATCTCCAAATCGATTTTCGATTCAACATACATTTCACACGACACCACCTCAATCAAAATAAATTCAGCTAAGTGGAACTTGACATCTCTTCGATTGAAAGATGTTCCCACTCTTGACGGCAGCAAGGAGAACGACTCTTATCTAGAGCAAGTTAGAAATGAGGAAGGAATCGACATCATGGGTTCGTGCCCTAACCTCAACGACGGTAACAGTAGGATTTACTTTTCTAATTACGAAACGCCAAACCCAAAGCCTCAAGAGTTTGTTGTACACCGTTCAGGAACTTGCTTCACTACCGGGAATGAGCAGGTCTATTTTTCTCCTAGCACCAAAGTTAACGACTCCTTCCCTTCCCAAATGCATATGGTCAACACGATACATTCAAAGCAATTACGCCATCAACGAGGCGATTCAACCATTCAAGGCAGGTTAACGCTTACATTTATGAAGCATGACTTTGATTCATTGGCTAATGATTGTTTCATGGTAAGGCCTAAAGAAAGACTCAGTCAACGATTTTCCCTCACGTTTACTCAATTCCAGCCATCGTGGTGCAGATGTATGCTGAATGTTTATATCAAACTGCTTCGTGCTTTAATCGTTGAGCATACAAGTTGTAAGGTGCCACTTGAAGGAGGGTTTGGGCTACAAACAGAAATGAGAGAAAGGCAGTTTTATTATGTAAACTACGGAAGCTCCGCTTATAAAGCGCCATATGCTGAGTATCATAGCCCAACCTTCAGCATCCTTGACCACTTCAATTGCAGCCTTCCAAACCTTGGGCCCACTTTTGTATCCAAGAACTGTACAAGAAGTTATGCTCTTAAGTTCAAGGTTACCTTTGGTTGTCGAAATAAGTGCACCTCAACCTTCACTGTTGCCACCAATATCATTGTCCCAGTGGTAAGGAGTGAAAAGTTCGACTTGAAGAATGTTAGGGAATTTCTTTTTCTTCAAAAGCTTCCACTTTCTACACTTGGTGCACAGGAGTTTCGATCGTTGGTGGACAGGAAGGTAAAATCAATCGATGGTGATGCACAAGTTTCCCATACTTCTGCAACCGCAAGCACAAAAGGCATTTTTGGTGTTGTGACAATCGTTTCATCCAGGTTTGATCCGGTACGTTGCAAAGAGGACATTGACGTCAGGGAATCGACACCTATTGACTACTCCGAAGCAATAGTCTATAAAGAAGGAAAGTATGCCATTCACTCTGGTGATTTGACTATCCCTCTTACCGCTCCGAAACTAAAACCACCTTATGACTATCAGAGAGTAATGGGACAATCTCTGTCCGAGCATCGTATATCAGGGATCGAAAATCATACATTAAAGTCCGGCGAGTCGTTGAAGGATTTTCGGGTATTCGACCGAGAGGCAATTTTACGGCCGTTGTTGATGATCAGAAAGGTCTCAATAAAGATAGTGGAGGCAACACACAGGGTGAAAGGACAGCAGTGGTACACTGAGTTTAAGACACATCAGTTACTTGACAGGCGATACTACAAGATTGAATGGGGCGGTTATTCTAACCTATTCCAAAGAAAACCGCTCTCGAGGGACGTGAGTCGAGTAGTTATTCCAAAATTAAATCCTACCGTCGTGACCACAGCTGTTCAGAGACACAATATCATGATAATTGAGTTACAAGCAGGCTCATTTTTTTCCCCTGAACAGTCTATCGTTTTGTCAAAAGAGCTTCTTGTTGAGGGCGACTACGACGAAATGATCAAATCTACAATGCCACCACCGTATAAGGAGGAATTTTTTGAAACAACATTTGAAGAGAAAAGGAGTTTGAATTGATGAAAGTTTGTTGATAGTTTATTCCATGCCAGTACGAACCACAAGCCATACAATTAGACCAGGTCCATTAATACAAAAAAATACCGCACTTTTGAGCAAACTGGATCATTTCAAATTTAAATTTTCAAGCCATGTTCAAAGAGGGTTTATACTGAACCGGACCAACTGTCTTTCGCAGTATTGAGCATCTAGTGCCCTGGCTAATTCACAGAAGTGAAATTCTTCAAAAACAAATCTGATAGCAACGTATCGAAAGATATCGAAACAACGTAAAAGCAAAAAAATTGTCTCCTACAAAAATACGTTCCACATATTCACCGTCTACCCTGTATCCTACCCTAGCTTCTTCTCAGTGTTACCCGCACAGAGGTATAAGGCTCACCAGAAAAAAAAAAAGTTCACTCATCATGACTACTACACTAGCTTGAAGTATGTTACCAATTTCCGCCGAAGATGACAAAACAACATCGTGTTGCTCGAAGGTCACGCTGTGAGCCACAAATAGACTACTACGGTATCTGAGGCGTTTATTCCAAAAAAACATCACTAACATTAGATGAAGAGAAACCGCAAGGAACTCAACCAAATCCACCGTAACCCGCTCCCTGTGGAGCTTTCCGTAGATACACGCGGCGAGCTCCCATTGGTCAATGTGACCAACGGTATCTCGTGGCTCTGGCTCTGGATTCGTATAGCCACTTTGTACTTCACCTCACCTCCTCGAGCACCTAAAATGAGGATCTCTTTGGAGGATCCAGGGGTTTTTGCTCTTCGGAGTGAAGGCGATATGCGTCGGGCGTGGAATAATGGCTTTTTCGGTAAAGGGACTCTTTCTCGACTGGAACCTACTTTTGGTGCTAGAGTTCTGGGTCAACTCAAGTCCAGCGAGGCTGTCACCAGCGAAAGGAGACGTAAGAGAAGAGAGTTCAAGGAGTTGAGGGCACAGTTTCAGAGACTCGAGGCGGAGCAGCGGAAACGAGAGCTTTCTTTGGAGGAAATGCAGAAAATGGAGGAGTTGAAGGTGAAGATGGAAGAGGTGAACACGGAGGCATTGACGTTTAAGGATAATGAAGAAACCGCCGGGTCGGAAGACTTAGCTGATTTGGAGTTTCTGCAGCTTGATCCTGTTGAAGCTTTCTTTTTGGCGTTTGCATTGGAAGCTGGTGAGGTACTGACCGAGAAGTCTGTTCTCAATGACATTGAGCTTCTTCGAAGCATTGCAGACCTTGACCACAGTCAGGAGCTGTTCGTTCATCGTCTTCTGGCCTTTTTACAAAGATACGTCGTCTACCACCACTACCGAAGTCTAGGCTGGTGTGTACGCAGTGGCATCAAGTTTGGATGTGAGTATCTCCTCTACAAAAGGGGCCCTCCATTCCATCATGCTGAATTTGGAATTCTCATTCTGGCAGCAGACGAATCAAGACTGTGGGAGGACACAATGGCTGTAGCGAGGGTTATTGGAGGTGTGAAAAAGACACTTATTTTTGCTTATGTGGAAATGCCCACTTTGGAGCAGGTGAGCGAGGTTTGGGAAGGGAAGAAGTCTCCAAGACAAAAGGTCATGGATCTTTTGCAGCTTTACAGAATCAGTGAAATGGTGTATCGCCGCTGGAGCCCTAGCAGGACTAGGGAATAATGAAAGGATAATTATAGAGTAATGAAATATGAGGTATCGAGATGTAGGCTGAAATGGTTTGAATTATATATAGCAATAGTTTTGGCTATAGTTGTGCAGCTACTTGACTATGCTTGTTCAGCAGTATTCTAGAGATGAGTTTGAGGCATTCACATACCTCTGTTACACAAATCCTCAACAGTACAATGGGAAAGCAACCTAGCAATTTTTGAAGTAAAGCATGTTCGAAAACTTCACCTATTATTCTTCTTGACCCGAGAAAAAAGTCATTTTTCTACTCGATGTATGAATGCTTATTTTGTGTTGACAACCACACATTGGCTGCGAAATGGACCAGTATCCACTGGGCATCGCAACTATTTTGAAATCTCAAAAAAAGGCTTTTAAGGGCACATGACAAAACAGAAAAGCAAAAATGACATCACTTTCCCTTTGCAAACATCTTTTTAATTAAAGTAGCAACATAAAAGCAGTATCGGAAATGGCCAGTGAACGGCTTAGATGGAGGGGAGCTCATCACAACAAGACCTGCTTGGAGCGAGGTGCGCCGCAGCCGATGCTGTAAACACCGCTTGTAAGCGAAAAAGAAATAACAGAAAGAAATATAAATAAAGCGGATCTCGCACTTTTAAAAAAATTCTAAAATCATTTTCAGAAAGAAGGCAGAGGACAGAGATGTGGGTAGACGAAGAAAAGACAGGGGCTGGAAGGGGTCCTGCGCAGAGGGCGGTGGCATCGGTCGCCAGCGCGGGTATTTAAGTACGCTCCATTCCGCCAGATTTACCCTCCTTCTATGCAGAGAAAGCCCTTTTTCTAACTTACCCAAAAACACATTAAATGGCTGACATTAGTTCGTTGATCAATCCTCCCGACGAGAAGGAGGAGCAGGCGCCCGTTGCTCCCAAAACGGAAGATGGCAAAATCCCAGAGGACACGATATTGGCCTCGTTTGACAAAATCAAAACACACTTTCCTGCTGCCAGAATAAAGAAAATCATGCAGTCTGACGAAGAGATAGGCAAAGTTGCTCAGGCCACGCCGATTGTTGTGGGTCGTGCATTGGAGATTTTCATGGCCAACTTGGTGGAGGCTGCCATCAGTGAAGCCAAGTCGTCGGGTGTCCGTCGTATAGCTGCGTCCCACGTTAGAGCTGCTGTGGAAAACACCGAGCAGTTTGATTTTTTGGTGGATGCGGTGCTGAAGTACCAGCTGAAGTAACGTGATCGCGCACGTGATGCACGTGACGCACGTGATACAGCACACGGCCCCTCTCACCTGATCTCTCCGCAGTTCAGGACTTGCTTAGTACGTCATGGCGCGGCTCGGGCGGGACCCTTCTGAGGAAGCTCCAGCTGAGGTTGCGTGGGCAGGTCATCTATTGCTTTGGAGTTTCCATGAAATTCGGGGGAAGTTGCCAAAACGGGAATTTTTTCGGCCCCGCGTTGGTATCGGATCATTCGCCCCACTTGGACTTTCCACCTACCATGGACTGCACAATGCGCCAGCAACCTTATAAAGGGGCATTACGTTCCATTGAACTCCACTTTCATCTATTCCAACTATTCGAGTATGGTTTACAACATGTCACACACCAGCTTGTCTTCTAGAAAGTCTTCTTTCTTTAACACTCACCAGTTGAACAACCAGCCCCAGCCCGACGTTTACTTTGTGGGTGTAGATGTGGGTACTGGTTCCGCCAGAGCATGTATCATCGATACCAACGGTTTGATTTTGGGTCTTTGTGAGAGAGCCATTACTCGTCACGAATTGAAGAGAAACCACATTACCCAAAACTCCACGGAAATCTGGAACGCCATTTGCTTCTGTGTGAAGAGCGTTCTTCGTGACTCCGGTGTCGATGGCTCCGAAGTGTTCGGAATTGGTTTCGACGCCACTTGTTCCCTTGTGGCTGTTTCCGAGTCCAAGGATACCCCAGTTGCTGTCGGTCCTGATTTCACCGATGACAAGACCAACATCATCTTGTGGATGGACCACCGTGCTCCCGATGAGACTAATGAAATCAATGCCACCGGCGATAAGGCCCTCAAGTATGTGGGCGGTCAAATGTCCATCGAGATGGAGTTGCCAAAGATTAAGTGGTTGAAGCACAACAGACCAAACGGTTTGGACGACTTGAAGTTCTACGATTTGGCTGATTACTTGACCCACAAGGCTACCGGCTCTGAGGCTCGTTCATTCAACTCTACTGTGTGTAAGCAGGGTTTCGTGCCAATTGGCGTTGATGGCTCCGAGACTGGTTGGTCCAAGGAGTTTTTGGAGGGCGTCCAGTTGCCAGAATTGGCTGCGAACGACTTCCAGAAGTTGGGTGGTGTTCCTGGCAAAAACGGTACTTTCTTGAGTGCCGGTGACACTGTCGGTAAGCTTACTGCCAAGTCCGCCGAGGAATTGGGCTTGACCACCGAGACCATCGTGGGAAGTGGTGTCATTGATGCTTACGCCGGCTGGGTCGGTACAGTTGCAGCTAAGGTTGACCTTCCAACACACCCAGACTTGTCTCAGGACTCCAACGGTTCTATGGACACCGCTTGTGGCCGTATCGCTGCTGTTGCTGGTACATCCACATGCCATGTTTCCATGACCAAGGAGCCTTGCTTCGTTAAAGGTGTGTGGGGTCCATACAGAGACGTTATGGCCCCAGGCTACTGGCTTGCTGAGGGTGGACAGTCTTGTACTGGTGCTCTTTTGGCCCATGTCTTGTCGACTCACCCAGCTCACGGTGAGTTGGTTCACTTGGCCGACGCCTCTAACTTGTCCAAGTTTGACTACTTGAACTTGGTGTTGGAGAACATGGTTGAGGAGACCAAGTCCCGTTCCGTGGTGGCATTGGCCAAGCACATCTTCTTCTATGGTGATTTCCACGGTAACAGATCGCCAATTGCTGATCCTAACATGCGTGCCAGTATCATTGGACAGTCGATGGACTCTTCTGTCAAGGATTTGGCCGTTCAGTACTTTGGCGCCTGTGAGTTCATTGCTCAGCAGACTAGACAGATTATCGAAGAGATGGAGAAGGGCGGACACCAAATTAAGTGCGTCTACATGAGTGGCGGTCAGTGCCGTAATGGTTTGTTGATGAGATTGCTCGCTGACTGTACAGGCTTGCCAATCATTATCCCAAGATACATCGATGCTGCTGTTGTCTTTGGATCCGCCTTGTTGGGTGCTGTCGCTGCTCACGAGGCTGTCGAGGAGCACATTCATAGCGGCGGCCGTGCTAGAAGAAATTCTTTGGCCAAGTCGCAGACCGACTTGAAGAACGCACAAAACAAGGACGGCAGCTCGCCAGTGGGCTCTCCTTACACCGCCCCCTCTGCAACTGCGTCTCATACTAACTTGGGCCTGATTGGTTACGGTGGTCACCCAATGCAGATGAGCACCGTGGGCGAGGAGCCACAAGATTACTTCAACCAGGGCGCCCCACCCAAGTCGCCCAAGTCTGGCCGTGCCGCCTCACTCTCAGGCAGTGACTCTGAGGACGAGCAGACCTTGTCCTTCGGTTCGAAGCTGAACACCTCCCAGAAGGTGTCCAAGGGCTTGGCAGCTAAGGCCAAGAGCGAGTTCAGACCATTGACAAGCTTGACTGACGCCAAAAAGAAGGAAAGTGCCCCTGCCAAGTCTACCAACCCAGGCGACCGCTTGTGGCAGACTATGGAGAGGCTTACTGGACCAGGTAAGGTTGTGATGCCTCACAAGGAGGACCAGCCTGACCGCCGCTTGTTGGCGTGCAAGTACAAGGTATTCTTGGATCAGTGCTACAAGCAGCAAGAGTACAGAAAGTTGGTGGACGATCTTGAAGCTTCCAACTAAGGAGGTGGCGTCGAATAGAGACGAATGTACATGAAGAGCAAACGAGCACTTTCCCGGGAAGGAAGGGCTGATTAACCCGCCCTCTACCCCATGTAATTTTGAATTGTGGAGGCCTGACGTGATAAGCTGATCGATCGCACGCACAGTGAAAAAAATGTGCTTACAACATTCAGTGACATCAACAGACAGGCGTCCACATTTCAGCCGTAGTATTCGCCTAAGTTTTCCTAAATATCTCGCCCTGCGTCGATTCGAAGCAGCTGTGGTCCATTGGCATAATTGTTTAAGTGCACCTACATGAATACGCTGAATGTATCACGAATCGACGTTTCAAAAGAAATGCTTGAAATGCGCTTTTAGTAATCTTCTTTTTTCCGCTGCAGATGGCACTTGCATTGCAACAACGCACGTGACCAGATGAGATAATCCGCAGCAATTGCTTACTATGGCAGTGCAAGGTATAGTGGAGATTGACGCCCAGGAAGTCAACTTTTCTTAGATTTAATAATATTTTTGAAATCAGCGGGGTCGAATTAGCCATTGTAGCGAGTCACCTAGCAAAACTGCGTAGTAGGGGCGACGGGAAACCGAGAACACGTGACATCACCAAACTGTGGATGCTAATACCCATATATATAAAAATGTTGCCACAACCACACCAAGCACACGCCTGAAGGCACGACGTCTTTTGTTCCCGCATCTGCATTAGTTTTAATTAGGTTAGGCAGATTGTCCGCCCAGCATATATTTCATCCTTGCCGTGAAAAATCTTTGCATTATATATAATAGCCGTTTCTTGGACCTTTTTCGCAGCCATTTTTCAAGACTCCAAGAAGCCTTTATTCCCCTGCCATGACGCTCCAAGACAGATTCTCTATGGAGGATGCTGTTTCTAACGTCCCAGAGGTGCAGAGATACGATTCTTCAAGAGCCCTGAGGGTTCAGAGTCATGAATTCCAGAGAGAACACCAGCCCATCCAAGACCCATACGACAGCAGCGTTGTGGTGCCTGAATACTTTGAGAAGGACCCCAATGTTGTCGACTACGGTAAGCATCTTGTGCTGCATCCCGGCAAAAAGGTGAAGCACTACTTCAAAACGCTTTTCCCTATTGCCCAGTGGATTCTTCATTACAACGGTAAGTGGTTGTACGGTGACCTTGTTGCTGGTATCACTGTCGGTGTGGTGTTGGTGCCCCAGAGTATGTCGTATGCTCAGTTGGCTGGTCTTCCTGCTGAGTACGGTTTGTACTCTTCCTTCGTCGGTGTTTTTATCTACTCGTTTTTCGCTACTTCCAAGGATGTGTCTATCGGTCCTGTTGCTGTGATGTCTTTGCAAGTTGGTAAGGTTATTGCCAAGGTCCAGGATCACGTTGGTGACAAGTACAGTGCTCCCGAGATTGCCACTTTCCTATCGTTGATTTGTGGTGGTATCGCTGCTGGTATTGGTATTATTCGTATTGGTTTCATTCTTGAGTTCATCTCGCTTCCCGCTGTCATGGGCTTTATGTCCGGTTCTGCCTTCAACATTATTGTGGGCCAGGTGCCTGCTTTGATGGGTTACGGCTCGGCAGTCAACACCAGAGAGAGTTCGTGCAATGTGGTGATCGGCACACTCAAGCATCTTCCAGACTCGAATGTGAACGCTGCTTTTGGTCTTGTGCCTTTGTTCATCTTGTACGTCTGGAAATTCCTCACTGAATATGGTATGAAGCGCTGGCCTCGTTACAAGCCGTGGTTTTTCTACACTCAGCAGTTGAGAAATGCCATTGTGCTTATCGTGGCCACTGCCATTTCCTGGGGTGTTGTGCACCCAGAACTTACTCGTTTCGACGGTACTAAGAAGCAGTTCAAGGGAACCATCAAGACTATTGGTGTGGTGCCTTCTGGTCTTAGACATGTCGGTGTGATGACTGTTCCAGACGGAATCATCAACGACATGGCTTCTGAGATTCCCGTTTCGACCATTATTCTTCTTTTGGAGCACATTGCCATCTCCAAGTCTTTCGGCAGAATCAACGACTACAAGATTGTTCCTGACCAGGAGCTTATTGCCATTGGTGTCAACAACTTGATTGGTACCTTTTTCAATGCCTACCCAGCCACTGGTTCTTTCTCCAGATCCGCCTTGAAGGCCAAGTGTGGTGTCAGGACTCCTCTTGCTGGTATTTTCACAGGATGTGTGGTGCTTCTTGCATTGTACTGCTTGACCGACGCTTTCTTTTACATTCCTAAGGCCACGCTTTCCGCTGTCATTATCCACGCTGTTTCCGATTTGATTTCTCACTGGAGAGCCACCTGGAACCTCTGGAAGATTGCTCCATTGGACTGTGGTTTGTTCCTCATTGCTGTGATTATCACTGTCTTCTCGTCCATTGAGAACGGTATCTACTTTGCCATTGCTGCTTCTGCTGCTATTCTTTTGTTCAGAGTGACCAAACCTCAGGGCCAGTTCTTGGGTAAGATCAAGGTGGCCGAGGTGGTGAACCCAACCATCAACTTCAAGGAGACCTCCTCCATTTCCTCCACCGACTCTGACGTCGAGATCCAGAACGTCTTGTCCAACACCTCCTACCAGTCCACTGGTGTCAAGAAGTTCAAGGCTGACGCTGGTGAAAAGATCGTTCCTACTGCCGGTGAACTCATAACCCTGAACCCTAACATCAAGTTCCACACCAGATGGGTCCCATTGAGCCAGTACAACACCAACAAGGAAGTTCAAGTTGTTCCTCCACCTCCTGGCGTTATTGTCTTCCGTCCTGTTGAGGCCTTTGCCTACCCTAATGCTTCTGAACAGGTTGACCGTGTTGCTGATGAGGCCAAGAGACTTACCAGAAGAGGCAACCCTAGACTCTACGCCCACCCTGGTGACAGACCATGGAACGATCCTGGTCCATTGACATGGAGATTGCCATTCTGGAAAGAGAAGTTTGGCAGCAGGATCGAAACTCACCTTGAGGATGACACCAGACCAATCTTGAGAATTATCCACTTTGACTTCTCCTGCGTTCCATCGATTGACGCTACAGCCATCCAGGCGCTTGTGGATATCCGTAAGGCGCTTAATAACTACGCCGACAGAGAAGTGGAGTTCCACTTTAGCGGTATCAACTCGCCATGGGTCAGAAGAGGATTGGTCCAAGCTGGTTTTGGCTCCTACGGTGACAACGAGTTGGTCAGTGAGAGAACATATGTTAATATTGCTACACAAGAGGATGACATTGAGAACAGCCTATACTACCCTGCTGTGGGCACGAATACTCCATTTATTCATTTAGAGATTCCCGACTATGTCTAGAGCATACTTATTTATTTCTCGCATTTATTTTAGCTAATTGGGTCAATACATTTTACGGTAATATAGTCGTAGATGCAAGGGATTCAAGGGTCCTCTCTAAGTACTAAAGGGGGTCTTTTTGCATTCACGAGGATCATAAAGTGTGGAAGCGCCTGGAATGCCACATTCACCAAGATTCACATAAACTGCTTCTTTTAAACAACTGGAGTTGGAATTTACTTTTGGTTCCTAGCAACCGTAGGGTATTTTTCCGAGAGTAGGTGGTTTTACTCTTTACGCATAAGTATGATTTCGTCAGTGTCCACAGATATTGCCTCTTTCGCTGTAATTATGATGCAACAAGAGATCTACTTGATCATCGCCGCAAGACTATTAACCACAGTGTGACCGTAGCCATGTTAATCATTAAGCCACATCGAGGGAAGCCACAGGTACCATAAGCTTTCCTAATCGGTGTTCAATTTTTCTTTTCTTTGTGTAACATTTTGAAGAGAGGTGACACTGGGTATTCTTTATTGCCATTACCAGAATATATCTTCTTGAACTTTGCATTTATTGGAAGATGGCGTTCATCAATCTCGATAAATCCTAATAGTCCCTGCTATACTTGGTATTATTATATCTGACGCTTAAGCATATAAATATTCGAGACATTGAAAATATAACGAACTGACTTCCCTTCTACTGTCAGAGTTTTTACTTTTCCAGTCCCAAAAGGTTCTTCGGCTTTGAAGAAATCGACTTGGTGGAATGATCGATTCGAGTATAAGAGTGTGCATTGGTAATATTACCCTATCTGAAGAAGAAACGAAATATTCATTTACTGGTTTCTCCTACTTCAAGGACTTACGGTCATCTACACCTTGTCAAACATATTTTTCAATTGTAGCAATGATTAAAAACGTAAACACGCTATACGCTGTATGGTACATACCGCTTAACTGAACAAAGAGCCAATGTCAGCAGGCATCTCGTCAATCTGGGTAGAGTAGAACTTCTCAATCTCTCTCATCATACCAACGTCCTGGGAGGTGACGAAGTTGATGGCAACACCCTTTCTACCGAAACGACCACCTCTACCGATTCTGTGGATGTAGTTCTCCTTGTTGGCTGGCAAGTCGTAGTTAATGACCAAGGAGACCTGCTGGACATCGATACCTCTGGCCAACAAGTCGGTGGAGATCAAGATTCTGGAGGAACCAGATCTGAACTCGTTCATGATGGTGTCTCTCTCACCCTGAGGCAAGTCGGCGTGGATGGCGGAAACAGTGAAGTTGTTCTCCTTCAACTTGGCCATCAAGGACTCGACCTTAGATCTGGTGTTACAGAAGATAACAGCCTGGGTGACAGAGATAGAGTCGTACAAGTCACACAAACAGTCGAACTTGTACTCCTCCTCCTCAACGTTGATGTAGTACTGCTTGATACCCTCCAAGGTCAACTCATCCTTCTTGACCAAGATACGGACAGGGTTGTTCATGAACTTAGAGGTAACCTCCAAGACGTCCTGAGGCATGGTGGCAGACAAAAGGACAACCTGGGTGGTCTCTGGCAACAACTTAAAGATGTTGTAGATCTGCTCCTTGAAACCGGAGGACAACATCTCATCGGCCTCATCCAAGATGAACATCTTGACTCTGTGGGTCTTGAAGTATCTTCTGTCGATCATGTCGAACACTCTACCTGGAGTACCAACGACAATCTGGACACCAGATCTGAAAGCCTCGATGTCGTCAGCCATGGAGGTACCACCGATAGAGGCGTGCACGGAAACCTTCAAGTACAAACCAATGTGCTTGATGACGTTCTGGATCTGCAAAGCCAACTCTCTGGTTGGAGCCAAGATCAAAGCCTGGGTGGCCTTTTCGTTAACGTCAATGTTCTGCAAAGCAGAGATGGTGAAAGTGGCAGTCTTACCGGTACCAGACTGGGCCTGGGCAAGGACATCTCTACCCTCGGTGATAGGCAAGATGGCTCTCTGCTGAATAGCAGAAGGAGACTCGTAACCGTAACCGAAGATACCTCTGACGATCTCGGGCTTAAGGTTCAAGTCATCGAAAGAGTAGACGACATTGTCGTAGTTAGACTCGATCAAGCCAGCGTCGACTTCCTGGAGCTCGTTGGACATGTTGGATTAGTTGGTGGTAGGAAGAGTTAATGGTTTTTTGGTGGTGCGGTGAGAAAAAGTTTTTTTCATGGCCGGGTAACCCCTGCTGCCTCCTTCCTGCCATGGAGGTGGTCAGACCGAATTTATGGGAGAATTGACGGACACTCAGGTAAGCTGATTTCATAAATCGGGTAAATCTACAATTATTTCAAACACCGAAGGACGGAGAAGGGAGAAATCAGGGGATGAGCTGAGACATCACGTGACCTGGAAAGGCCCCTTGATTTAAAACCGGGGTCCTTGAATACGCTAGATTTTCATAGGATCTGCTCAATTGAATGGCATTTTGAAGAAACAGCGCAAATAGTCAGAATCGAAGTATCCAGTTTATGATTCCGCTCACCTTCCTATAATAGCAGGCGAAGTCGGATCGACAGGGTGTATTGGTGTTTCATCCCGGAGGCAATTTTGCTTGAGGCAAAAGGGGTGTATTGAATTAACAACTTTGAAGGATTGAAGTTGTTTTTTTCGGTCGATCTTTGTTAATATTCGAAGATCGATGGGTCGCAGAAGTTTGCAGCCGTTCGTTCGCATTAAACGACCCTGCTCACCAGTCTGTCGGACACGATCGACCCATTTTTCATAATTCAAACTCATAATGTTCTGGAATTTGCTTCGATGTAAGTCATTTGTGGCTATGCGATAATACCTTCATGAAATTCACGTTCTCTTTTAGTTGGGCCACTGACATCACTTGATGTATTTTTGACTCTTCCAATGAGTTATGCAGACTTGAGGGCTTCAGAAGTATTCCGATTGCGCTCGGTATAAAGCTACTTTTTTTTAAACGACTAATAATGTTATTATGGGAAGTGCTCTCAGGTTCATGAATTCATATCTCAACTCCGACGGATCGAATACTCCTTTCTTTGCTAATATGGAACAGTTGATAACTTCGTGGAGTTCATCCTCGCATTACCCAATGGTGAGCCAAAAAATTAAGAAGGACAGCTTAGTATCTCGTCAAAAGTTATGGCCACCAAGATTTTAGAAAAACAAGAATTCAGGAAAAGGCTTTGATTCACCTAAAATGTGGCTTCATAGAGAAAACACTCGAAACTTTCGATTGATCTTGATTGAACTGACACTAATTTACCCAGGGCCTTATTAATTATGCGACTTTAATTTCATCCAAATTACTGATCAACTTCAGACCAAATCACTTCACGTTATAAAAGTCTAAAAGTTGCCGCGGCACTCTAAAAGCCCCGTTATGCCGCTTATACTATATATCAATGGTTTGATGTATGCACGGCGTGCATAGATATCTGTCATCCGAAAAGTGCGGCTGGACCATTCAACAAACCACATTTTTTTACTAAATCCAACGATGAACGATATCGAAAGCTTGGAGCCTTAAGATTCTTCCGTTCAGCCGAGAATCAATGCGGCCATCACAGCATTGATGATTTTGTATGCGCTATTTGTTGTGCAATTTGAATCTCATCAGGAAAACGCTCCAAGCTACAACCTTCTGTTTCCTGAGATCCTATTCATTGCATGGAACGCACTCATAGGTCCAGTACTATTACTATTGTTGGCTCGTTTGACGTTTACCTTACGATCAGTCACGCTTACGGGATACCTTCTTTTGGTTGTTCGCTCTGTCGCATTGAAGCTCTTGTTGTATCATGAATCTCATGCATTGCAAGACCTTGCCTTCTGTCTTTCCATTTATTGGATGTGTGCTTTAGTGGGTTCAAGTTTCTTTATCTTTGCGCACCTGTCTGGGCTGGAGGCAAAGAAGGTCTACTTTGTTTTAGCTTGGCCATCCATTTTGTTTTTTGGGCTGAAGATTGAATATTTTGATGTGTTCTCGACGGAACTAGGTATCGACATCGCTTGCGTTTTCTCATTTGTGATGTTTTTGATCATATACTTTGCTCTCCCCAAAACAACAAAGATGGATAGGAAAGTGGACAGCTCCAAATTCTTGCCTGATTTGGCGGTCGTCGTGGGCATTCCATTGAGTAACTTCTTATGGCTTCAGTACAGGGGTACGATCGACTCCAAGGACACCATACCTTTTTATCTGTGCTTCACTTTGATAACATTGCTTCTATTAGTTGGACTGGTCATTGTTCTGGTTCGTATTGCCTTAAGAGCAACCAAAAACAGAGCCACAATCAATTGAGCCAAGGCTTTTGACTCAGTTTAGTAACTGGTTAAAATTGAAAGGCCTGGTAATCGGTTTGTCAGTTGCTCGCTGTGCATCAGCTCGAATTCAAGGTCCTTTCTTTTTATGGGCTACCAAAACCACCATTAATCCAGGCTTGGAAGGTTCCACCTCCTCATTCACAATCTTTTATAAAACCTCAATAGACTGCTCCACTTACCAACTCTAGCATGACGAATTTTATTTTCAAATATGTATCTTCATCGTACACATCAGTCAAAGGTCCGTTCTGGAGCATGAGCAGGCCGGAGTTCCCAAGGAAAGATTGGTGCAAGACGACGAACAGGTTCAGGAGACTCTACCGCCTCATCATCCTCAACTTCCATGGGCTCTTCCTCGGCCTCTTCTTCTTCAGCCTCAATTTCCTCAGCTTCGCTTTCCGTATCAACAATCTTCTCCTCGGGCTTCACTTCCACCTTTTTGGGCTCCTTCTTCTGCAAAAGCGAGTGCATGGGGACGTAGTCCGACCGGTCAAACACTCTTTCAGCCACCTGATTATGGAAGATACTGAGATTTTCAACTGGAGGCTCCAATTGAAGCGCCTTGATGGCTTCCACAACCGTGGGAACGGCTTTTTCGTGTTCTTCGATGATTTCTGGAGCTGGTCTAGGAGCCTCCTTGACTTCCTCGACTACGGCAGGTTCCTGGATTTCGTGGCTTTCAGACCACTGGGTCCGATAAGCCTTGAGGTCTTCAGCAAATGTCTCATTTTTGGGAGGCTCCTGCGGTGGTTCCTCTCTCGTGGCATCCCACAGGGCCTCCTGGGGTGTAGGTCCAAAGGCCTCGATGTACTTGGCTGGGTCACAGAGTTCGGATCCTGAGTTTCCAGGAGGTTCAACTGCTTGTTCCTTGTTCTGCTGGAGCTCGGCGTTCAAATCCTCAAACATGTCTTTGAAAGCGACAGAAGGAGCAGCAGATTCTGGCTCGATAGGCACATTTTCCACCTCTGAATCCTCGATTTCCACGAACACAGGGTTCGAGCCAAGCTGGGCTACCTTCACCTCCCCGAGAAGACTCTCCATATTGCAGACTCTCGCTGCCAGCGAGGAAAAAGCCGTTTCAAAAGATTCCACGCTTCTGCCTCGAGAGACCACATCGTTCCATGCTGCCCACCATTCGTCACTATACGCTCCAGAGCCTCCATACCACGGTTTCCGAGGCCCGACAAAGTGCACACACACGACGTCCTGGCGAAACCGTTTTTCTGCCGCCAGAGCGTAAAAGCTCAAAACAGGGCCCTGGAGCTCTGCCGCCGTGTTGAACAAGTACGGAATTTGCACCCATCTCCGAGGTCTCTGGGGCTGCACCTCTGGCTGCGAAACACTCCAGTGCGCAAGCTGGGGCCACGACGGATCTGGGTTGAACACAGCGTTCAAAAGCGCCTGGTCGCCGCCGTCATAGAGAAAAGTCGCGCCGAAAGCGACCTTTCTGATTTCATTGGTCAATTCCTCGTGGGTCTCCCGCAGCGGCCGTAGCACGAAAACGCCCAGGTTGAAGGTATCTGGACACCCGGCGTCTGGGGCCGCGACGATCTGGTCTGGCGCGAAGTCCACCGCCAAAAGGTCGGCCACAGGGGCCCGCGGGAGGGTATCGGCGTCGAGAAAGAGCACTTTTTCATACGGCAAGCGCCAGAGCTCGATTTTGGCGAGTGCCTCGGCGTGGCCGTTTCGCCAGCCGGAAAAAGTGCCGTCGTTGCAATTTTCATTTTGTGTTTCCTGGCTTTGTTCTACCGGGACTACTTCGTCCCAGAAGGCTGCAAGAAGCTCAAGCTGGCGGCGCGAAAACCGCCCTGGCACTATAAGAAGCACTCTTTTGGCGCCATGAAGCCGCTGCTGCCGGAGCCGTTCTCCAAGCACAAGCGCCCCTGGAATGTAGCCTTCCAGGAAGATCATCAGAGCGACCGCCCACATTCTTTAGCTTTGAAGAGGGTTTTTGAGTTGAGTGGGTGAGTTTTTCAGAATCAGGCTGGTCAGTCTGCCTCAGCTATTGATTGGCCTGAAGTATGTGCTTTTAGTTTTGGGCCTCTGGTATTGGCCTTTGATTTTTATTCCGTTTTCTATCCTTTGTAATGATCCCTGGCCTTATGGCTGTAGAGCTTTAATGGTCACAACCACTATGGTCTGCAGATGCAAATGCTTGATTGATAGGATGTGGTCCGAGATTACCGTGGTGGTCGTCTATCTCAAGTGAGCTTGTTGATTATGCTGAAGAAGCTTTTTTCTTCTCCTTGTTCCTCTATCACAATCGCTTATGCCAGAAGAACTCTGTTTCCTAATGATCACTATCTGAGAGCCGGCTAGATGCTCTCCGGTGGGGTGATGCCAGAGTCAGACGAGTATGCGGTGGCCCGAAAAGCTGGGAAAGTCACCTTAGATGTTGGATTCTGCCCGCAGAACGTCTTTTCCACCTGGCCCGGTGCTGGTTATGCTTGGTTTGACGGGTCTGCTTGCTGTGTGTAGGCGGATGCAGAAAGGGCTATCGAACACAGCGATATACGAGCCTGGCTGGGGCTGATTTTTGGGGTAGGACAGTCAACAAGACGTATATAAGGAAAACGTCAATTTTTCAGGAGTATCTCCCAGGCCCTGCTGTCAATGCCTCAGATGCGTATGTGGTGGTGGTATGAGACAGTTTCACCAGTGCTCCACAGATCTGGAAGGAATGAAAGATGTTTTGAACTTTTCCGAGATCAGTAGTGCTATTTACCGAGCGAGTGGCGGCGGTTGGTCAATTGGGCTTGTTTTGGGCGTTTTGCCAGAAAAAGCGTGGGGTCTTAGGGGTGCTTGTCTAAGCGTGGGGCGAGTCACCTGCCTCGCAGAAGTGCCAGATTAAGCGAACTGCTGGCCCTGGCCGAGTCGGCTGATGTGCGTTTTTCGATTTTGGAATCTTTTTGAATCTTTTTGAATTTTCTGTTTCGAACTGAAAAGCCTGAATTCAGGGTATCAGGGGCTCGGTGGATCTCGGACTTTGACGGACAATGGCGTGGTGAAAAGTTGAGAATGCTTCGGACTTTTTGGGTAACCGGTCACGGGAGATTTGGTTGAGTTTGGGGTTTTTAGGTTTGGATGGTTGGTTTGGTTTTGAATGAGTCCGATAAAAGCCGATAAAAGCCGACAAAAGCCGATAAAAGCCTGTTAAACGTGCTGGGCCGACTGTAGAGTTGTGCTATATTGGTGAAGCTGGTGGCCAGATTGGGAAATAGAGTTAGAGGGTGAGATTGCATTTCTCTAGAAATTCATTGAAGTTGCTGATTGTGAAAATTTTGCTTCCTTTAGCTGTGAAAACTGTGCTTGAGCTTAAGTATGTGGTACATCTCTTCCAGTTTGGATCACCATTGCAGCACCTGTAGGTCCTTATTAACATGTTTGCACTTTTCAAAACTCAGAATACAATTTCCCTTGTAGAAAATAATGAGAACCTGTAATATTGTGTACTGTTTACGATAGAATTTGTAGGTACCCTGGCATGCTATTATGCATCTATGACAGCTTCTGGCTTGCTTATCTAGTGCTCATTTTGCAGCCATCAAATGCCACCAAAATACGCAGACTTCACTTATCAAAGTAATCTTGATAACTTCAATCTCAAATCATGAAAGTGTGAAGATTTCAGTGTTAAGTGAAACCTGGGAAGTCCAAATCCTGACCTGATGTTTGACAATCTCTAGATCTGAAAACGGTCTATTTCAGCATTTTGTCCTAAGCATGAAGCACTCTTGTAAATTCAAATTAAAGACTGCTTCAGAAAAACCTCTCCTACATTCTTCTTCGATTAATGACATTACATATACAAAGGCGGGTGCTTAACGGGAGTAAGACCAGACGTTCTTCAACAAACCGTCCTGCTGGGCCAATCTGTTGATAGAGTCGTCACCCTCACCTCTGGCTCTGATGTAGCCGGACAAGGCGTAGGTGGTGTTGGAACCAGCGACGGCTCTGCCCTCCTCATCGACGTTGGCGATGTTGATCTGGACGGAAGCGTGGTCCTTGGCCTTGATGATTCTGTTGGAAGCAGAACACTTTCTTGGCACGTACAATTCGACCTGGCTGTTAGTAAAGGATTTTGGGTGATTTGGCGTGGAAGTGGACAGAGTGGTGGAGTTTTTGGATTGTTCGAGGTTGGTGGATATCTGGATTTCTTGATCTTCGAATGAATCAAGACCTCATAAAATGACCAGAGCAAACCTGGCCGTCAAAGAAAAAGCATGGACGTGCTCAACTGACGTGGTTCATGGATGGGAGCTTGGACTGCTTGTTCATGGATTAAAATTGGTATAATCTGACATGGATTCACGGGAAATGGCATATTCTGTCTCTGGACTCTGTCACAACCTCTCGCCTCGACGATCTAGTCGGTGGTTTCACATACTAATTGACCCTTATCGTTCTCCATTTTGGCTGATTCTAGATGATGCTGAAAAGATTTCTATGAGGGTTTCAAATTTTTTTCGGTATCAGCGCTGCGAGGATTCTCGCATTGTGTGCAGGCAAAAAGCATTCGCGCACTGTATGGAGGCCTTAGGGCTCGAGCCCTAGACCTTTTGTCACCACCACTTGTCTATCAATTCACCAAAATCTACTTCAGTTGTCGTATGTCTTTAAATTGAAATGCTAATTAAGTGCTAAAACGGCGACAGACTCCACGTGGTGGGTTTGCGGGAAAAAGTCGAAGCCCTTGATGCTCTCCACATGGTAGTCCTTGCCGTGCTCTGTATTGTTGATGAACCACTCCACGTCTCTGGCCTGCGAGTGAACATTACAACTGATGTAGACGATCTTTGCAGGGTGGTATGTGCTGAGCTGGTTGAGGAAGACATCGTCACAGCCCTTTCTTGGTGGGTCCAAGATCACAGATGTGCGCTCAGCTGGTGTGTCAATATTGGCGAAAATCTGCTCTGCTTTGCCAACAATGAAGTCAGTGTTTTGGACTTTGTTGATTTCGGCATTTCTTCTGGCGAACTTGACACTATCAGCGCTGACCTCGACACCAATAACACGAGAAACACCACCAGAACAGGTGATCGAGAAAAGACCAGAACCACAGTAGGCATCCACCAAGTAGTTGGGCTCATCAGGCTTCAGGTTGGGGATTTGTAGGTTGTCTTCCACATACTTTGTCACAATGGGCAAAATGGAGTTGTTGTTTTGGAAAAACTCACCGGCACTAAACTCGAAAGTGAAGCCGTTGACATACTCCCTGACAATAGCTCTTGATTCGGTGACGCATGTCTTGACCAACTTCTTACCATTGTCCTCCACCTCCACCGTAGAAATCTCATCGTTTGTGTCTTTGGAACCCTGATCGACCTCAATCTTGCCTTCTGCATCAGGCATGATGGTGTTCTCCCTTAGAAGCACAGTGGCACCTCTCTTATACTTCAAGTATTCATCTTCAAAGCGACGTCTCTCGTTGGTCATACCCTTGAGAACTATCGGCGTGCCGATCGAGCACTCCTCAATGTCCAAAATGGATCCCTCACCGCCAGCAGTCTCTCTCCATTGAGGTCTTCCCTTGGCACCAAAGCCCATGCTGGGTCTGTAGTAGTTTTCAGGTTTCTTGTTTGGCACATTGAAGTGCGGCGTAAGCTTGGTTCTATAGTTGTACTGTATTGGCGACAGCTGGGTGTTGGAGATTGATGGGAGCTGGCTGTTTTTGGAAAGCACTGGGGCAAAGAATCTGTATGCGTTGGCGATGGTGTTTCTCTTGAACTCGAGCTGTGTCTCGTAGTCAACATTCTGGTATTGGCAGCCAGAACACTTGCCAAAGTACTTGCAGTTTATGAGAGAATCGTCTCTCTTGTCACCTGCCTTCACTATGGAAAGAAGGTCAGACTCCACGTACAACGGATGCGACTTGAACACTCTGATGTTCACAATGTCACCAGGTAATCCAAACGGAACCATGACTATCTGCTTGCCGTCGATTCTGACTGGATGGTCAATCACTGCGAGGCCATCTCCATTGGATGATAATCGTAGGATCTCCACATCCTTCACTTCTCTGTGGTAAACTTTCTCGACCGAACTGTCATTCAAGATCTCTCTAAGATCGTTGGCGATATGCTCCTCGGTGAGGCCAATTTCAGCTAGGATCTCCTTAACCTCAAATTGGAGAACGCCCATAGGCAGGGTGGGATCCACATCTTTCGCCTTGTACTTTTTCTTGTATTTCTTTTGTGGCTTTTGTCTCTTGTCCACAGGCTGGTTTTCAGCAACTGGCCTTTTGGCTTCTTCCATCTGGATCGGACTCATGTTTGGTAAAGATGGTGGAGATTTCTGCCTCATCGCGGTGCGTTACGTAACAAGTATCATGGCCTACTCATTGGCTGATAACCTGCAGATAGACCACACCCTTTTGCAACCAAAGGGGACTTGGACTAGCTCAAGCAACCTTGCAAAGCTCTGTAATTGTCTTGAAACCCCACGTCGCCATAAAGGGGATACCTGCGTAAACGATGGTACGACCAATGATCTCCACATCGTAGCGCTTTCTGAAAACACCACTGATGCTAACCTCAACCTGCGGCTCTGAAGGGTGACTTTTTCTATAAGCAAGGAGCTCGTAGGCATCAATGTCGTCGGTTGGGCCGACTTTGTCTTGGTCGCCTTCTCTTACCGATTTAAGGGCTTTGTTGACATCCAATAAGGGCTCGTTGGCCATGTTTGAAAGCGATTGCGATCTGATCTGTCTAGAGGTCAGGTGGGAGTGTGCTGTTGGCATAAACTGACTGCGAGGGAGGTAAATACCGAGGAATTTGTAGATTGGAGGTAAGATGGTGAAAAGCACAGGCTTCGAGATGGCTTTCCAGATGACCACTAGAACGATTCCAAGCACCATACGCACAGCACTAAAGATAACACCATGTTTGTCGAACGAGTAAGGAATGGAAAGGATTTTGTTGAGGTCTCTGCCTGGGGCAATGGCTTCTGTGATGATGAAAAAGTAGTGACTGGTGTCGAGACCGATAAGCACACCGACAAAGGCCACCGAATCGTCAAAACATGGACAGTCGTCGACGGGCTCGGGGTAAATGTGGATGAGGTACAAGTGTCCAAGCACTATGAGGATGACCGTACCTGCTATTCCCCAAACAGTGTCGTTTCTGGACGAGAGCATAAGCCAGGCATCGTAGGCCAGGCCCAAGTAGCGCCTAAAGGCAAACAAACTGCTTCCAATCAAGGCACCCGTCAAAATGTCGAAGAATCCGTGCATACCACAGTATAGACGACCGATGATAAGCGAGAAGTAGTATAACAAGAGCAAAAGCGATAATGCCGCCATCTGGAGCACCAGGAACAGGTCACGGAAATCCCACAATTTGGCAAACAAGATCAACGTCACCGCCGTGGCGTTGGCCAGGTGGGACAGAGGCCATCCGTACTCCTGGGTTGTATATGAGGACATGGTGATTCTATGAAGCGGAGGGGACCTGGGTCTGGGCAAGCACAAGAAGTCCTTGAAAAAGCCCGAAATGTAGATTCCGTAGCCAAGCACGGCAACAAGGTCCCTGGCTATCCCACTGCTTCCAAACCAGATAGGAACTGGGAGCATGAGTACATAGAAAGTATGGGAAGCCAAATTGGCGGTCCAGGCAAAATAGAAATCAAGCCACGGGCGTCTCACCTGGAGCTGCAAATCCGCCAAGATCTCCGTCTCCATTCTGACCACCGGAAGACACATTTGTCTCAAGGTGTATCTCAAGGTTGAAAGCTTGGACTTGTAGTGGTCTGCGGATTTATTTCCAGCGTCATTTTCGCCAATCTGGTCTTTTGTAGTGGAAGATTCCGAGGACTCCTCGCCCCTTTTTCTGTGTTTGAGCTCGCCTAGCTCTGTGGAAGCCTCTTTCATGGAGTTGGTTCTGGTGATCTTTTGACTTTCGCGACTGTGTAGGTGTATGCAACAGAGATCTAGAAGTCCAGGTGGGGGGCCCAGGTTGCCCCAGGGTCGTTATAAATAAAGACTGAAGTTTCAGAAGAATTTGAAATTTGAAGAAAAACATCTCTTTTTGTATTTGGTTGATATGGATGGTGGGGTGGCCTTTCTGGACGTATGTGGTGCACTGTAATGGCTGCGAATTGGTCCGAGGAGGAACCGGCTGTGTGAAAGTTAGGGAAATATTATGGTAAGGTGATTCCAGGTTGGTCCTGCTTATCCTATAATTGGAGAGAGGGAAAATCTGGGTGTCGTGTTTTCTGGAATGTTTTGTGGGTTTAGATTGACCAGGTTATCATGTAAGTCTGAGACATAGCTGCTGGTGATCGGTGGGAGTTAAGAAAAGAAGAAATGTTCTTGTCAACACGAATCCTTCAATAGCCGTTATTGGCGTATAATATTGCAATTTAGGTCTATTTGGCGAATGAGGCGAATGTCAATGATATTGATACTCCTCCAAGCGGTTCGATACACTATAGTACTAAGATTATAAGGTGATGAGGTGATCAATTCGAACTGTTCATTCTTCGTGTTTGCTTAACTGAGCAATTCTCTTCCTTTAAATATTTTATAATGAGAAAGCAATCTTACCTCCAATTACTAGGGCAATCATACCATTTGAAAGTACTAGTACCGTTACCTACTCATTGAAACTTGTTATTCCAGAGCTTCTCATTTTAAATCTTGTCCTCCATTTTCTTGTTACTCATGTCAACTTCTAATCTCAAACAAAGTGGCAATTCATCTCTACACCACCCTACATCATGCGTTCATTCAATATGCTAGTGTTTATGCTAAAGCCTACAATATCACACACTTGCGGCTGCTCTTCTTCCTCCGTGCAAACGCCAACTCGTCCTCATTATACTTCAGTTGCGGGTTGGGACTCAGCTCGTACGGGTTTCGCTGATAATCGTCCTCCACAAGGGGCAGGTCCAAAAGCACACTCAGCCCAACCGAAGCATGCGGGAAATGCTTGTTGCTCTTATTACTGCCTGTTCGAGAATGACCTCCTCTCAGATTGCCTCTCAGGTGGTTTCGCAGGTGGCTGCCGCCCATGACCCTGCTGAGTCTGTTTCTGGACTTCTCCACCTGCTCCTCCATCTCCTTGCCTTTCTGAAAGTGGTTGAGTGCAAAGTTGAACACATCCTGGATGTTGAACATGGTCTTGGCCGAGCATTGGATGTAGCCAATGGCATTGATTTCGTGTGCAAGCTGAAGCGGTATGTCAGGGTCAATGTCATTGGGCAAGTCAGACTTGGTGCCCACAAGCAAAACAGGCACACCGGGGCAGAAGTGGTTCACCTCGGGAAACCACGTATCTTTGATATTCTGCAAAGACGTCAAGTTGTCCAAGGCGAAGCAGATGATAATCACATCAGAGTCAGGGTACGATAATGGTCTCAAGCGGTCGTACTCCTCCTGGCCCGCTGTGTCCCACAATGCCAATTCAATGGTCTTCCCGTTGGGCGACTGCACACTGGTGACGTAGTTTTCGAAGATTGTGGGCACATATATCTCAGGAAACTTGTTCTGGGCGTAACTCACCAAAAGACAGGTTTTACCACATCCACCGTCACCTACCACGACTGCTTTCATATTGTACAGCGCCTTTTTCGCCACTTGTGGCATCATCTTATATTTGGGGATAATCGGACTATCGTTTATCAACGGGCTCCTTGGAGACTTGGGGGTCCTTGTAGGGGAGCGATTGTAGGGATTGACGTAGTCATTCTGGAGGTCAAGCGGCAGTTTGAATGACATTGTGGAGATGGAAAATGAAAAGCTAGATTATGGCAGCCAGGATGGTGGGTGTGTGATTTATCAGATCAAGAGGCGTGGATCAGTGTTTGTTGATGTTTTCTATATTTGGCCTCGCTTAGCTCGCAAGAGTGCACAGATAGACGGATTAGTTTTGGATAATGGTCCACAGTTCGGGTGTACCATTGGAAATGATTATTGAAAAGTCGAAGATTTGCTAGTTGTTTTATTCTGTTTGGAATTGAACTGGTTTTGTTGTTTCTGGCTGCCTTGATTGTGGAGTCTCGCCTCACTGGTGAAATTCAGGGGCCTCGTAGAAATATGGCTTGAAAGTGACATCCTCGGTTTCGAAGATCAGGCATTTTCGTCGAAGAGTCGGGAAATTTGACATTTTGATTTTAATTGACTCTCGTTGAAATGTCATTTTGTTGGTTTTGTGGTGTTCACTTTTTGGAGGTGGGGCGGAATTATTGGCTGCAAATGCGATCTGCACCTTGGCTTGTGTTAAACCGACCACATCAAAAGGCCGACGAAAATAATCATACTTTGATTAAATGCAATTATTCTCATATTTCGTACATTTTGAAAGCTAGTTAAAACCCTTCTCACACGGCGATCCCATCGGACTTAAGAAATGTTGAGTTTCATGGTTGTTTCAACTTTCATGGCAGGCATGAACTAGACCCAGCTAATAAAACCTGGTTCTTTAGATTATTTTATTGTTTTACTTTGTACCTTTTCTGAGCCCATGGAAATCACTCAATAGCATTTTTTGCTTAAACCGTTGCAACAGAGTCCAGACCTTAAGTGCTCCATTTACTCATGATCTTGCAGCACATATGACTGTTTGGTATTATTTACAAAACAATTTACCGAATTACTTCTGTAGCCTACGGTGGCTGAAGCGAAATACGTCATTTTCCCGTAAACCCATCAGCCGATAACAAGCCTGAATACCCACTAGAAACAGACTAAACTATCCCTGGTTAACTACCCAATTAACAATAAAAATCTCTACAATTCCTGCTACTCCCCCACCCTTTTTCCAGCGTTCTAGCCTCTTCACCTAACTTCCCCTGGCTCATCTCATTTTTCAGACAAGGCTGCCTGGTTACACAAAAGCAGCTGGCCGAAGCTCATCGTAAATGTGCACATCGGGCTTCTCTCACCGACCCAAGAAATCATCAAATCTAGACCTTCAAGAAAATAGTGCTGCAGCCGTTGATGGTCCAGCAGAAAATGCATATCCACCAAAATCGGCCCGAGCCGGACTCGTAGATTAGTGCTACTAGCAGCGATGCCATCGGAGATGGACTCATGAAAAAAGCGTTGGGCTAAAGCTCTAGTCAGAAAGTAATACAGAGTTTTGCTTTAGAGAATCAGAGAAAATACAGAAGAGGTGGTGGATCGCCTGGTTTGCAGAAACGACTCAAATGGGAAAACGGTCGCTTCCACAGCCTAGGACATTCCCAGACCAATCAGACCTCATCCACAGATCTAGATCAGAGCCGCTGAAGTGACATGATGTATCTTGCCCCAGCGATTCTGTTTATTACTTGCAGCTGCTGCCTCGGCATCCTCGGCTACATATCGGAGTTGGACGCCGTGCAAGAAAAAAATCGTAACCCATGGAAAAACCACCCAGGGTCCTCATAACCGGGCTGGCCATCAAGTCGTTGTGGAGGTGAAGAAAAACGGCCAAAAATGAATGCAAAAAAGAGTATGTAAAAAACCACATGAAAACCTCAAAGAGCCCTGTTTTTCATTTCCCTAAAATGTCTAACTCTTAGCGTCGGGGTGGTTCTAGAGCAGCCGCAGAGATGAGAAAACCGTTAAATGGATGCGGTGCGGGTGACGAAAAAAAAAAAGAGAGGTCTACCGAGGCATTGGAGAATGCTTGACGAAAGGCAAGCCGAGTCACAAGAAAGCATGTCACGTGGGGCTTCGTTTGCTAAGCTTTCTTTCCGTGGATGTGTAAACAAGGTTTTGTTCTTTGACGATCGTGCTTTTTTGCCTTGGATCTACTTTTCTCGGATCTGTGCAATTCACGATGCCCTCTTGTACTAGTACAATGTAGTGCCTTTAGGTGAGCATTGGCGGTTGCAGAGAGGGGGGCATTGTGAGAAGGAAGCGAGGCTTGGCTGCAGGAATTTCGGCGTTTGAAGGGACAGTGTACCGCGTTTTGTGCAGGCCGCGCGCCCGGGATGAAAACAAACCTGGCAGTGCTTGCGTGATAATCTGATTATGTGCAGGATGCAACCCTCTTCCGCTCGCCGCGAGCGCCGCGCATGCAGGTGGGCGAAACTGGCCCCACCGTCCCTACTATACGACACATGGTTTTTGACAACCAGAAAGCAGATTTTTAAAAAAATTGTAATTTTGTAAAAGCATTGAAAACGGAATTGAGAAGTCACTTGAGGGTGGGCCCCTCGTGCGGCGGGCAGGGCGGGAAATCACCCCCTCCCAAAAAGGGACGTGCCCAGCAGCTGGCTGTTCCACACCAGCATGGAGGCTTCGCGGGAGTGCACACAAGCGGCATTTCTCTGTTTATGCTCCTAGTCCCAGCGTCCTGCACGCAGCGCGCGTGCCCACCCAGGCTCGTGCAGCACCACTGTCGCAGAAATACCAGCGTAAATCTCAAGACTTTCTTCTTTCTTCAACCACTACACTCTTTATCCTAACTTCAGTCATTCCTTTACAAATGAAGTCCACTGCGTTGTTGGCCCTTGCTGCCTCCCTCGCTGTCGCCTCAGCCGGCGATTGCTCTTTCGAAGAAGGCTACCACTACTGTGCCAAAACAAACAAGGTCGCTTTCCAAAACGTCGGTTTCCTGGACTCCTACAAGGACGTTGTCGCCATGGACGAGGACTCCGGCAAGTGTGAGCAGAAGACCCACGAGTTCTCTGGTAACTTGGCTCCTTTGAACGAGGAGTTGTCGTTCCACTTTAGAGGTCCTTTGAAGTTGAAGCAGTTTGGTGTCTACTACCAATCCGGCTCCAAGAAGAACAAGAGAGAGGACGACGAGGAGTGCACCACCACCCAGCACGTCCACCACAAGCACGTCAAGAGAGCCACTGCTTTCGTCACCCAGACCGTGTTTGTTGACCAGTTTGGAAACACAGTGACTTCCTCTGCCACCGCGACTCCTTCCACCGCTGCTAGCGAGAGCTACGACACCACCGAGACCAACGTGGCCTCTGTCTCTTCCGACGGTGGCGCCAAGTCCTCCAACGGTGCTGTTGACGCTTCCTCCTCTTCCTCCTCCTCGAGCTCCTCGTCCACTGCTTCTGCTAGCTCTGGCGACTGGGTTCGTTCTTCCTACTACAAGCCAGGCACCGCCGAGAACTGTACTTTCTTGAACCACCACGGTGGCTCTGGTTCTGGTGTCTGGTCTTCTGCTTTGGGTAACTCCCTTTCCTACGCCAACAGCGACAACTCCAACGGTGCTTCTTCCCCTCAGATCTTGGACGACGTCACCATCAAGTCCGACACTGAGTTTGTCATTATGTCTGGCCTCAAGTGTGGCGACGACTCCGAGAACGGTGACTGTGGTTTCTACAGAAAGGGTATCCCTGCCTACCACGGTTTCTCTGGTGATACCAAGTTGTTCGTTTTCGAGTTCTTGATGCCTTCCGACGGTTCCTCTGGCTTCAACGCCGACATGCCTGCCATCTGGGCCTTGAACGCTAAGATCCCAAGAACTTTGCAGTACGGTGAGTCCACTTGCTCGTGCTGGAAGTCTGGTTGCGGTGAGTTGGACTTGTTCGAGATCTTGCACTCTGGTTCCAAAAAGTTGATTGCCCACATCCACTCTGGCCAGGGCTCTGGTGGTTCCGGCTACGGTGGTGGTGGTTCTCAGGACTACTTCGAGAGACCAACCGAGAAGGCCATCAAGGCCGCTGTGATCATGACCGGCAAGGAGATTGTCATCAAGGTTGTCGACTCTGACTTTGACGAGGTCTTGACCGCTGACACTGTCGACGGCTGGTTGGAGTCCTCCGGCACCGTCGCCAAGATCGCCAACTAGATATGATATCCTGTCTGCCATTTACATTCTGATTTGTTTTACTTAGTTGATATGAAAAATTTACCCTAACCTGACTGTAGCCACCAGTTAACCTCGGCAAACTGTCTCTAAGCCACTGGCACGAAAAAGCACCATTTTTTTCTGTGACGACGAGGCTGAAGAGCAACAAACAAACGCATTGCCTAATTCTACGCTAAGGCGGTCTACACTATTTTTTATTTTTCGCCTCCTTGTTTACATCGCAACTTATGCTTGTTCTTCAATTTTACCGCAGCAATAAACAGCCAAGCCAAATCTTCCACCAACGCGTCCGCGTCGACCCTCAGTGGAACGGAAGATTTTCTTTATTTTATTTTTTGTAGATATTTGGTCCGTGGTCGTGTTTTTACGGCGCCAACAAAGCCGGAATCTGTAGATCGTGTGGATGTACGTGGGGTAAAAAAGGGAAGTGGTCAAGCAGATGGATTTGTTGATTTTTGCAAAATTTGTGTTTCCATTGTAGGCTTATTGTTGAAGGTTTCTTTTTGGTTTTGGTCATTTGGTGGTGGTTGGTTGACGTATCTCAACGGAATTGAGAGAGTACAGATGCGTCAAGATCAGAGGGTGGATTTGCAATAAGAAGATTTGAAATTTCTGACTACAATTAGAACCCTTTTCTTGCAATCACTCTCTCTGTAACTTTCAAAGTCAATTCGTCTAATTCCTTTGTTTAATTCCTTCGTCTACCGAAAACAATGGCTTTCCAAACTCTAATGCGTTGACGGTGGCTGCGAATGCTATATATCTAGAGCACAGCCGAGGTGAAGTAAGAATTCGTATTTTTGGGAGGAATGTGAGTTGAGAGCTTTTTTGTCGTTTATAATCGTTGTTGCAGGTGGTTCTCGTCTTGAGTTTTCAAGTTGATTGCTTGGCTTGATGGTAGCCCAAGACCTCTTAGTGTCTCTGGCTCATTGCTATATTCATGGAGAGGGATATCACATTTTATCCCCTTACCAAGTCAACGGATGTATTCTGAGTCTCAATGGGCTTCAAGCCTCTGTTATTTAAATCACTTCGAATATTTCTCTGGTAGATTCTTTCTCACTGTATCTACAATTGGTAAGCCCAATTGAGCCTTTCAAGGCAATGCAAGTGTCTGCGATGAGATGCCACCCAAAACAACTGTTTGATAAAATCTAGGCTAGAATTTTGGCAAGATTGCTGTTCAACTACGATGCTGCACTAGTTGCAAAGGTCCTCTGAATTTGTGTGCTGTGAACTTCTTGTAGGGTCTTTCCTATCACTACATCCATCAGTTCTGCTATGCCACTTTACTTTTGGAATCAAGACTCTTCCTACTGCTTTTGTAATATTTCTTTCTTTTCAGTATTGCCCGCTGAATAAAATATTTATCCCTTCATGCACTATGCGTTCCCCGAAAGGTGAATCTCTTGGAGTATTCAGACCATTTGCATGACATATAATAACATCTCCAACTCTTGAAGATCATACGAAGTTGACAAATTCTGTACTTTTTTCAAACAGCCCGACTCCGTTAAGCAAACTCCTCAAGATGGAAAAGCATTCTCTATACTTTATCCACAAGGGAAGACAGCTTGATTCTATCACAGCTGAATTTACGAAAGAAGTCGAAAGTTACCCCAACTTCGATTATCTCAAAACGCATACCACCGTATTTGGCGGTCAGTATTGGGTAGTTCACATTTCCTCATTGACCAACCTACCTCTTCACATCAGCAAAGAACCCATAGAAGAGGTTCGGAAAAAGGAAGGTATTCAAGGTTTTGGCGAGGGTCCCAGATTGAAAGATGTAAATGGCAAGGTTGTATTTTCAATTGCCAGGTTGGACCAGTTTTACATAAACCCTATTCCAGAATCCAGGAAGGCAGATCGTGACAGGTTGTGGGGCCTGCGTTGTCTTCAAATAAAAGATGAACGGATCCCACTTGATTTTCCTATTTCCAGAATTTTGCTGGACAATCCACAAAAGGTTTTCTATGATCTGAAGCTGCTGTTTGAAGAGATCGACTCTACTATACATGTTGGTCTCGAAGCGAGATACAAGAAGCCCCAGTGTTTTGAATCGATGACTCCAGGTAATATTGCTTGTCCTGACGCTTCACTATCTGAATTTGTACAGCTTCAGTTGGTTCTGAAAGATGCCGAATTTTCAGAAGGTTCCCTTGACTCTCTATCTGTGATACTAGAGGAGCACACAACATGTCCGGTTGCGTTCGAAGATGAGATTCGAATGCTGAAAGATGTTCGAAGTATGAAGATCTGTCAGAAAAACATCAATATTGACTTTACTCTGCGTCTGTTTTCGAGTGTTGACAACAGTTTTACTTTTCCGCTTCAAATTTGCGGTTGCAAACTACCAAACCTTGGTCCATCATTTTACTCTAACAACTGTGCAAGAAGCTACACTTTGAAGTTTATCTTGAGCATCAAAGATCCTCTGAATAACTTAAAGGTATCCGCCCTGTTGAATATTGACGTTGCATTGGTGGATTACAAAGCACAGGTGGGAAATGTAGCACACTTGAGGAAAGAGCGGGATTTTCTTCACTTGGAAATATGTGATAACTCATCAGCAGCTCATGATATTTCAGCTTCTGTTCTGAAAAGAATTAGCAATTTGCCGTGGAGCTTTTATGGTTTCCAAACAATTGCAGCCAAAAGAGGCGACCGAGTTTATGCAATTACTATATTTAACCTATCAGAAGTTAAAATTCGGGACCTTTCTTCTCTCTGGTTTGGTCAATATCGCAGACAAGCAACCATTGCTCAAAAGAATGACTTTTCATTGGTTCCCACTGGTACATGTTGGGAAGTTCGGGATCAATCACTCAACACTTTGGATGGTACACTTCAAATTGCAGTTTCGGACCGTTTAGCAGTATTCAAAAGCGGCTATTACCCGCTAAACATCCTCCACTTTCATGACTTGGACTTGATTGCAACATACTTAAGAGGAAAGTATGTTCTTCCAGGTATGTCGTTTGAATCAATAGTCTCGCTCAAAGTAGACTACTCTGGCGAAAAGGCGCCTAAGGTCGACTACATTTCGATACAACTTATTGAACAGACGGTAAGGCTCACCAGAAGTGGACCGTTATCTGAGAAAAGACACATTCACTTGGCGTACCAGCACGAGGTCAAAACCACCGTATATCGGAACTCATCCTCTCGAAAGTGGTATTCCAATATATGTAAGGTTCCCAATTTGGCCCCGACTGTGTATTCAAGCACCTTTCAAAGAGGCTATAGTATCTCCATCAGAGTTGGGTTCATGGGTGGACGGTTTTTTTCTCGTCAGTTGGAAATTGTGATTTGTGGTCCAAAAGTCCGTCCGTTGGTGGAGTGAAGTTTTTTTAAAAAGCAGGATGGGGATTAGTCGAAGTGAATGGATTGATTTTATTTTAAAGTAAGCAATGGACTGGAGCTGTAAATGTAGATGATCTTGCTAATGAGTCGAACAAGCTTTACTCTTATTTTAGCTGCATCTTACTTGGAAAGATAAGAAATCTACGATGAAAGTCATCGAGGCTAAACGGTGCAAGCCCAGGTCCAGAGAGGGAGGTCGATTTTCAACTCTTTTACAGCTCATACCAAGTTAGCAGTTTTTCAATTGTGACATAGGCAAGGTTGCAGTGGAAATCGAGTTAGTAGAGGGTTGATACATATGGCTGCAAATGGCTGCAAACTGGTCGCACCATGTTAGGTAGCATAGGCCATGAACTCAGGCATTGACGGTGGTATAAGGTAGAGCTTTTCCTTGATTCTGGAAAATCGTAACTCCAATCAAATCAGCCGAATGTACCGAATCCATAGAAAGTGTCTTCATGTAGCAGGCTCAATTGTAATAGCATGCTCACCATACCCCAGACTCTGGGGTCTATCCATCTGAATACCAGCACCACTCAGTGTCCATTTTGCTAGTGCCTATTTCCATTAGCCTCTTACTCGCCCCATATCCAAATTCTTCACATCATCTTCAAAACCAAGAGTTCACCATTGCCTCTTGCCTCCGCTTCAGTCTTCCACCATTCGCACTCACCATCAACTCCACCTTCTTCATGATAGGTATCGACGTCGGCAGCAACGCCGTCCGGATAAGCTACAATGGCCGGGTCGGATCCAAGCCGTTGGTCAGCACGGTCAGCGGATCCAAGCACACCTTGTCAATTGGCCATCTCTGGCTGCAGATCACCACTTTGCTCCAGGAGCTTGAAGGGGAGTCGAAGATGCGTGAAGCAGACAGATCTGAAGAGGAGGGGATCAAAAAGGGATCAGGGGGCGACGATTCAGAGGAATTGAGGTCTGGAGGTGCTGGAGGTGCTGGAAACAGCAGTTCTGCTGGAATCACCGATTGTGCTGATATCAACGGTTCTGGTGAAAAACAAGGCCAAAGCAAATCTAAGGAGGACAGCGTCCAGGAGCCCGCCGTCTTTGTCGCCGCCACGTGCTCAATGGCGGTGGTGGAAAAAATCCAAACGGAAAACGGCACTTTCTACGAACCGCTAGACGAGGAGATCATAGTGTGGATGGACTCTCGCGCCAAACGCCAGGCCAAGTGGTTGAACGAAAAGCTCCCGCAGGACGTTCTCGCCCAGATCGGCGGCCGGGTCACGCCCGAGTTGGGCATCGCCAAGTTGAAGTGGGTCGACGAAAAATACAAAAACAGCGGCCGGGACGTTGTGGTTTTTGAGTTGTACGACTGGGTGAGTTATCTTTTCGCAGCCGGCGGGATGGCAGACGGTCTAGTGCGGTTTTTGGCGCCGGAGGCGCTGTTTGGGCCCGGTTCGCACGCCATGGACGGCCTGGCGAAGGGGTGGTCTGACGAGCTCTTGGAGGAGTTAGGCATTCTGGTTCGCGTAGGGGCGCTCTGCGATGTCGGTTTTGGCGGTGGATTTGAATCTGGAGGGGAAAATAGGGGTGGCAGTGTGGAATCAGAGGGTGCTCTGTTGGCTGGGTCCTGTACCCTCGAAGAGGCAGAAGCGAGGGAGGTGAAGGTGGAGGACAAAGTAAAGGCAAAGGCGGAGGCAAAGGCGAAGGCGAACGTGCCAAAGACAAAGGCCAAAACAAAGAAGAAGGTGAAATCAAAGACGATTGAAGAAGCAAAGCCAGAGCTTGGTGCTACTTCCCGAGAAGATGACGATGTTGGTTCTGGGTCACTGGCTGCGAAATCTGGGGAACTGAGTCTGAGGGAGGAGTCTGCCACAAAACCAAAATCTACGCCAAAATCAAAGAAGGCTCTGAAAGCTCCAAAGTCTCCGAAGGAGTCCGTGGAACTGACCGAAAAGCCAGCGACGAAGAAGCAGTCCAAGCCCAAGAAGGCCAAAGCAGAGGCAGAGAAGAATGGTTCAGGATCTGCGTCTGAGAGGGCTTTGAGTACCCAGAGGACCCCGAGTGCAACTCCAGAGCAGAAAGCTGATCCGAAGAAAAAGAAGCCTCCAAAGGCTTCAAAGGCTCCAAAGGCTCCAAAGGCTCCAAAGGCTCCAGCACCAAGTGCTCCAGATCCAGAGGTATTGACTCCAAAGGTTCCAACTCCACGGGTTCCAAAGCTGATGGAATCAAACGAGAGTAGAGCCGGCACACCAAAACATGGTAAGGCTCCGAAGTCTGCAAAACAGAAAAAGGCTCCAAGTCTGGGCACTGTGACTCCAGAACCTGCAAAGAAGAAGTCCCCAAAGCCGAAGAAGAACAAGGCAGCCGGAAAGCCAAAAGAGAAAAAGGTTGATAGCCAAGAGGATTCTGGAAGCAAAGTACCGATTGAGAAGTCAAACCTGCCTGTTCCCAAGAAAGCTAGCAAAAGCAAGCCAAAGAAGGAGCTCCCAAAGAAGGAAAAGCCTTTGGAGAATGAGTTTTCTTCTAAGAATGAAGCTTCCTCGACGCTGGAGAAATCTTCAAAGAAGGGGAAGACTCCGAAGGTTAAGACCCCACCAAAGGCCAAAAGTCCTTCTCCAAAAGCAAAGAATCCTCCAAAAGCGAAGAGTCCTCCAAAGGCAAAGACCCTACCAAAGATGGAGCTTTTTCCAGAGAATACTCCAAAGACAGAAGGCCCTCCAAAGGCGAAGAAATCTAAAAAGCCCTCGAAGTCAAAGGAACCACGATCCAAGTACCTGCTTGACTTCTTCCCCAAAGCTGGCGAACCCATTGCCAAAAATCGGTACCTTGGAGGAGTCGTTTTGCATGGCTGCATTGACTGCTACGCTGGCGTCGTTGCTCAAAGTAAACTTTCTTCCAACAATCAAAACGACATTGCCACTTTGGATATGGTTGCCGGCACGCTGACATGCTTTATTGCCTCAATTCCTAAATCTACGGAACCAATTGACGGTCTTTGGGGACCGTTCGATCAGCTCATGTCCACGCCAGTGTACGCCTTTGGACAACCAGCTACAGGCAAGATGTTTGCCGAATTGCTGAGCGAATCAGAAACAGATTTTGACACTTTGGAGAAACACCTCAGACATGCGGAAAAAGAGACAAGGAGGACCATGACGAATATCGCAAAGCACCACTTGTACTATGGAGATCGCTACGGTAACAGAAGTCCCTATGGAGATTTTGGTATGGATGAGATAGTAGTCACTGGACATAATGCAGACCCACGTTTATTCAATCTTGAAGCCAACAGTCTCCAGTACTACTGCCTCATGGAATTTCTTGCATTCCAGACGAGGCAATTGGTGGATAGACTAGGTCCTTTAGATGTGGTGAGAGTTAGTGGATCACAGGCGAAGAACAAACGGTTTATGAGACTTCTCAGTGAATTTTCCTTCTGTGGAAAGCTGCGTCCTGAAGTTCGTATAAGCGGTGGTGATACTACGGTTTCCGGTGCCATTGCTGGGTCTATCATCGGTGGTGACTATGATGCTGCTGTTGAGGATGAGGTTTTCGAAGCAAAGCCTTTGCTGACCGTGGAAAAAGATGTTTTGGAGAAGAAGTACAAATTTTTCCTTGAACTCAGCGATTGGCAGCACCGGTTCCGCCAGGTCATGAGGGAAAAACCTCCAAAGCGTGAAGGAAACTAGGTCGGTTGACTCCATTAGGGCAGGTGTTACCAAAGAGGGGAATTACGTACATGCTGCAAGGATAAGGGCCCCGAACAGCAAGCATGACATTCTGTTTGATGTGTTGATTTCGCTGGCGAGTCTGGGCTCCTGATGTTTGGGTTGTTGGCTCATAATGCTGCGCTAGTTTCGCAATGAGCCGCTGGAACAATAGGTATCAACAATGAAGGTTGTTGAAAGAAGGATTTGATCAAAATAAACAGTGGAGCGGCTGACCTGTCGCTGGTTGTTGTGAAGTGTCTGAATACGGGGATTGTCATGGTGATACGTTTGGCTGCAACTACAAGCGGAAGCCAAGAACTTGCATTAATTGCGGAACGTTTTGTCAAGGCTTCATTGGGCTGATTGACAGACTTTCGCAGTGTGATTGAGTTTAAACAATGTGTTGTTGACGTTCATGAATCTCGAAAGCCACCTCGGTGAATGACATTCATTGTTTTAGGCTTTTGGCAAGATGGACAGTTTGATGAAGGTAGATTTGCTGGCGTGGGCAACCAGACTGGATGGAGAAACGTTCAATGAACTGACTTGTTGATTTAACGAGTCATGAAGCAAATGCTGAAATCTACATTGACAGTCCACCACAAAGCGTAGTAAGTGTACCAAACACTAACCCCAAAGCGACTGTCATTGCAAGCACCGTATAACATTACATTCATAAACATTACATTTGACAAACTCCAGTCGTCAATTGACCCTTGACTCGACCTACTCCACCTCTGACTCTGAGACATAAATTTTCAGCCGTACATACCCACCCCAGGCCCCAAACCATCACCACCATAGCAACCAATTATCAAATTCCAATCACTTTGAGCCACTCTCGTCCATCGAAAACTTTAAACTCTCAATCGCCTCTCCTCTTCAAACGCTTCCTCTGCACCCCACCATCTCCATCTCATCGACTGCGATTACCCATTCCACAGCACATCATCAGCCACCACCAACCACCCAAAACCCCGAAAAACGCCCAATCGCCAAACCAAAACATCAGCCCACCCTTATGAAATGACATCTCAATCGAAATATCCAAAAACTCCAAATTAGCCTGGCTTCCCCTCCTTACCTTCTCCAGGCCATCTCCGCACACCTCACAGCCATCACCATCATGTCCAACTTGTACTTTGCGTACTCAATCAAAAAAGAGTACACGCTGCCGCCGCTCGGGCATCCGGCGATTCTGACTCCGTCGGGTAACCGGAAGAAACACATCAGAGCCTGTGACGCCTGTGCTGTTCGGAAGACGAAGTGTGAAGAAACACGTCCTTGTCGAAACTGCCGAAACAATGGACTCGAATGCACGGAATTGCGGCAACGCAAGAAGATGGGGCCCAAGACGTTGCGGAAACGGACGATTGAGCTGATCCACCTGTTGGAGCGGCGGCTGCTGGGGGACAAAAGTCCCGATTTGGCTGGGTGGCTGAGGCGGTTTCCAGTATGAAGAGGGAGGCCGTGGAGGCGGTATTTCCGCTTGTGGCGCCGTCGATGGTGGATTCTTTGGACGAGGTGGTGAAAGTGATTGTTGGGGGGGTTGCTAATGGCGGTGAATCTGGGAAATCCAGCGGTTCTGAGAGTGCAGCCAATGGCGATGGACCAGGACAGAGATTTGATCCTCAAGCTAGGGCAAAGGAGCTAGCATACAATTCATTCGGCCTCCTCCTTCTATCGTCATCCTCAACCCCAAATTTGGACGACTTTCGTGACCATGTGGCCCTGTTGTATGGAGCTTTCGGCAGCATGCTGCTCTCCAGCCAAAACTACACCTCTGCCACCCACTACTACATGTCCTTGACGGAGCTCCACATGTACGGTATTCTCTTGTTCCAGGGAACGCCGTTTTGTGTTAGACAATTGGTGCACCTACGGAGTGCCATCACTCATTACCAGCTTATCGCTACCTCGCTGGATAGCGACATCAGCGGGCTTCTGGAGCTACGACGGATTCTATACACTGTCGAGCGAAACACTGCGTTGTTTGCAATCGAGGAGGCCTTCAAATCGGGGTGTCTAATTAATACAGGGCCGTCCTCGCCGTTTATGTCCAACCCAAACAGCAAAACCTTGGTTTTGGACTGTGCTCACGATATATTCAAGCTTTTGGAGGAGCACGGTGTCTACACGAGGATCTCCAGTCTCCCTAATCTTTTCCTCTGGCGCTATGTTACGTTTTCAAACCAGACTGGTGTTTACGGAAGCGTCAAGATGAACGCTCAAAATGTCACCCAGGCAGGAGCCCAGACCCCTTTCGTGCAGCTTCTTGTCGCCTTGATTTCATTCAAGGTGCTTGTGCTTCATGCTGGTGAGTATACTCCAATCACTGTGAGCAACGAGCTACTTGAATTCATCACTCGGGCCATAATAGCTCTTATAGCTGCCAAAACCGATCCTTACTTTACCACACGCCTCACAGCATTCTCCTTAGTGCCTCATCTATTGGACCTTCTTCGCTGCTACTTCGAATCTGTCAGCAATGCCCCACCTCCAGACGCCGTTGATCGGCTCAGAGAGTATGCCCATTTGATTTTTCCCTTGTGCGCCAAAAGCTCGTATATGGGAGCAGCGAAGTTGGATCCGGTCTTGTCTGGTTGGTTCTCGAGAGAATTCAGCGATTGGGAGTCTAGCGCCCCCTCCAGCGCCTCGACGTAGGGCACACGTTGTGAAGAACCTTTTTGGCTAAAGCTCCATTTTGCACTATTTTAAATGCTATCACTCCCTCAACTTCAATTCGATGCATACATTGTGGCTCTTTGGGTGCGAATGATGTCCTCAGTACCAGCCATTGCCGTGTGCAATTGGCATTTTAGACGTTAGATGATGAGCGGCTACTTGCCCTAATTCAATTCCCCATTTAATCTCATTGCTGATGCCAAAACTTATATAATAATTACTAACCTTACCTCACTGCTCGAATCCCATGTACTCACTCTCCGGTCTCGGCAAGTCAATTCCACCACCACCCCACCTTTACAAAAAAAGTGATTTCACCATTTTTACATCAAAACATTAAAGCTGCAAAAACCAAAAATTAAATAAAATCTGTCACCTCCTCTCCAGTTCGGCCGGTTGCTGGAGCCATAGTGTGCTTCGCACGACCAGTGTTCTGTCCTAATATGCGTCGGAAAGATAAGATTACCACCAACACCATCATGTCATTGACAGACGACCAGGTATGTACAAAGCCACAAAACCATATCCAATCATCCACTAACATTAGGTCAATGCGGAGCTCCGCAAGATGAAGGCCTTCATTGAGAAGGAGGCCCAGGAGAAGGCCAAAGAAATCAGATTGAAGGCTGACGAAGAGTACGAGATTGAGAAAGCGTCCATTGTCAGATCCGAAACTGCTGCCATTGACAGTATCTACGAGCAGAAATTGAAGAAGGCCTCGTTGGCCCAGCAGATCACCAAGTCCACCATCAGCAACAAGACCAGATTGAAGGTGTTGGGTGAGAAGGAGAAGGTCTTGGACGAGATCTTTGAGGACGCCAAGAAGGAGTTGGCTAAGATTTCTGGCAAGAAGGGCGAGTACAAGACCTTGTTGGCTGGTTTGATTGAGGAGGGTGCATTGGCCCTCATGGAGAGCAAGGTTTCCGTTAGAGTTAGAGAGTCCGATGTCTCTGTGGCCAAGGAGGCTGCTGAGGAGGCTGCCAAGGGCTACCAGGACAAGTCCGAGCAGGAAATCTCCATCAGTGTCGACGAGAAGGAATTCTTGCCCAAGAACTCTGCTGGCGGTGTGGTTGTGGTGAGCGAGCTGGGCAAGATCGAAGTCAACAACACCTTGGAGGAGAGATTGAAGTTGTTGTCCGAGGAGGCATTGCCCGGCATCCGTCTTGAGTTGTTTGGCCCATCGCCCACCAGAAAGTTCTTTGACTAGTCTGGTTGTAGCATTCAGTTCCGTACTTTCTCTTTAAAAAACATTTTACGATAGTGTGGTGTAGCTGGCTAGTGATAGTGAAAGGGTCATGCTGGATATTATCTAAAGGCTGTGCCTGTTGCTGAAGTGGTGGTTGCGGTTCGATAGACTGGTTTGAAGTATTCCCAGCAATAGACTACGAAGTTGAGCAAAATCTCAATTGGGTATCTGATGTGAATGGTTACTTCCAAATCATCAATAATTGTGGATTTGACAGATAACAGTCCAGAAATTCGAAAGCATATTCATGAACTTCCTCACTGTGTTGGTCAACTACAGTATTCCATCCTAGTACTGCCAAAATACCAATACTTAACTTTTCCATTCCACGACAGCAATAATCAACTTCTTTGAAATGTCCCCTCCAAAGAATTTCTTTACTTCATTAATCCCCACTTTTTTATCGACATCTGTCTTTTTCACTTCTCTCAGAAACCAGCCTGATGGTTGCGAAATACTAATCAACCTCGCATACTAAACTACACCATAAACACAACCCGACCCATGAAAATCCACAAAATTACATAAAAAATCTCCAGACAACAATTCTGAAATAAATACTACCGAAGAACTGCTTTCCTCCACTTTCGTCCCCCACCTTGTTATCATCGCCACTCGGAGAAACCGTTGAGAAACGCATATCGCACTCATCTCTCATTGCTACACCATCAACACTTGCATACCCCATGAGCTTTCTACGGCTGGCCCGGTGGCTCCAGCGGCCGCTACATACAGGAACTCGCCGACTAAGAGACGCCAATGTTCACAAATTTCTGACGCCGCTCTGGGGGCTGATTCCCGATAATGTGTCAAACGAAGATCTAGGAGCCTTTCATACTATGGTTCAACCGATAGTGCCCAGCGACCAGTTTGTGCTGTGTACGACATTTGACGCTGCCGGTAACGTCACTGCTGTCTCGAAGAAGTACCCGAAGATGTCGTTTTTGAAAGACAACAGCTTGTTTCCTCGAGACCTACGGAAAGTGGATACATCGCTGATTGACGTGGTGCCTCTGATCATGGTTCGGCCGGGAAAGGCCATCATCATCAACTTGCTCCATATCAAGGCAATTATCCAGCGGGACAACGTGAAGGTGTTTGATACGGCAAACCCGAAAATGGCCCTGAAGCTAGGAATCTTCATGTACGACTTGGAGATGAAGCTCAAGGGGCCGGGCCTGGCGCCCTATGAATTCAAGGCTTTGGAGAGCATTTTGATTTCCGTCTTGAGCTACCTTGAAGCACAGCTACATGCACAGAAATCCAGTTGTGGCCTTATATTGCTGGAGCTCGAGGATCATATTAGTAGGGAGAATCTACAGCAGTTGCTTATCAAGCTGAAAAACTTGACAAGTTTCTTCCAGAGAGCCACGTTAATTAGGGACGTTCTCGAGGAGCTTCTAGAGAATGACGAGGACATGACAGGCATGTATCTCACGGCTAAACAGGAGTATACCCTGGAGGTCTCGCCCAACGACTTCTCTGACGTTGAAATGATCCTTGAAACGTACTACACTCACTGTGACGAGGTGGTTCAGCAGGCAGGCTCCCTTATATCCGATATCAAGGCCACAGAGGAGATCGCCAACATCATTTTGGACGCCAACAGAAACTCCTTGATGTTGTTCGAACTCAAGGTTACGATTTACACTCTAGGGTTCACTGTGGCCACCTTGGTGCCCGCTTTCTACGGTATGAATTTGAAGAACTACATCGAAGAGTCCTACTACGGTTTTGGCGCTGTGGTGGTGCTTTCTATCATCCAAGGCCTACTCATCACCGCATGGAACTTTAAAAAATTGCATAGGGTACAAAAACTCACCATGATGGACCACACGCCAACTCCAAGTGTGAAACCCTCTTATTACTACTCCTCCTCATGGAAGCGCAAGAGATGGTGGCAGCAGTTGCTTTTTGGTGGTAAAACAAAGTACCACAGACCTACCAACAAGGAACGAGACGTGATATGGCGCATGTTGAGCGACGACAAACTCCCCAAATGATGTAAATAGACTACTTAGACGTTCACGCTATGTGTATATTATGTGCTATTGTACAACCCAAATGCTCTGTTCTAGTCGCTGCTTTCGTCGCTGGAGGAGTCGTTGTCCTCTTTATTGTCGTACGAGGGCACCTCATCAGCAGCAGCTTCGGGGATTTCGGTAACTTGTGGAGCCTCGGTAGGATCGCTCTCATCGTCGAATCTCAAGTGGTTGGCTCCAGAGGAGGCGGCAGCGGAGGTGGAAGATTTTCTTCTTTCGTGAGACACTGGCTGAGCGTCAAGCTCACTCTCTGGCGACACCAACGTACCATCCAACGAAACCATTCTACCGGCGGTGTTGACGTTTCTGACAGTGAACTTGATCTTGCCCTCGACCTTGGTGCCGTTTTCGTCGGTCCAGTACCCGTATGATCTGAACTTGGAGTTACCAGAATCGCCTTGTTCTTCGCCATACTCGTCGGCCTGGCTGGGCACAAACTCCCAATCTTGAGGGAGGTTTCTAACCTTGATCGATGCATTAAATGTGTCGTGCACAAGCAAACCAATGTGGGATTGCGTTTGCATGTAGATGTAGCCTTCCAACACATCGCCGGGCTGGGGCTGCCATATGAGAAGGTCAACAGTGGCCCATAAAAATGCAAAGGGGGTAACATCGTTCACCTTGACCAATGACGTCTTGTCGGTCGAGTCTCTATCGTTGGACAATGTGATGTTGAAGTATCCCAACACGACACCTCTGGCCTTTGCATTGTACTTCATGACCAAAGGCTCCAAGTGCTGTGCTTTGATACCGTTGATAGGATTGCCCAAATGGCATGGTGCTAATGAAAGGTAGAATTTTGTGCGGACCACCTTGAAGGTTTCTGAGATGCCATCATCGTTGACTTTGTTGGTTGTTTTGGCGATGTTTCTTTTTTTAAGAGGGGGCTCGGCCACGTCGGGCGAGCTTTCCCTGACCTCTGCTGGCATGGTATCTATAAGTGTGGGCTTTAGGATGCGAGCCGATGCGACTTAACGACAATCCAAGCTTTTCAAATTTGGTGATGAGGGCCTCATCATCGTACTGCACACGACCTCCCTGGTGGTGATAAATGGCTGCGAAATCTACCTTGGACTGGCCTGCTGCTGTCTGAACAGGATGCTTTCCTCTTTTTTCAAAACATTGTCACGGGACTTGAACAGGCCGGTGTAGCGGTTTGACATGAGCGGCTGCTTGAAAATAGCAAAGTTTTTCATGAGGCCACGAGCGTTGCGAGTTGGTGCGTCTTCCTCTGGAGTGTACTCAGGAACGCCAATAAAGCGTACTTTCTTGATAATGACGCCTTCAACGCTGGAAGTGGAGTCTTTCGTGGGTGTATCTGAAAGTACAGTGTTGGGCGTTGACGAGGCAGATTCGGCACTGAGACGAGGCTTGACTTCGTCGTTGAAAACAACGCTGTTTCTTTGTGTGTTCAGCTTGGTGATCTGAGCTCTAGTGGGAGGACCTTTCTTCACAATAGGTTCCTCTATAACGGGCGGTGGGTTTTTAGGGGCCTCAGGGGCTCTGTGGATCTTGGTGGCGCTGGGATTGTTAGGATCAAAAACGACACTAGTGAATGTTTCTCTCTGCTGAGATAGGATACGACCGCTTTTGCTGGCCTCCTTGAGATGGAGAGCGAATTTTTGGTTGGCCGTCAACTTTGGCGCAGAGACCGGCTCTGCATCTTCTTCGAGCGGAGTAAGCTGGACGGTTTTGTTAGCGAGCGGCGAAGTTACATCGGGTGTGTTGTTAGATCTCGTGATACTTGGAGAACGACGAATGCTGCCCGTAGGAGACCTCAACCCGTTTGCCTTCTTTTCAGCAGGATTCAAAGCAGCAGCAGCGGCATTAAAGGAGATCGGCAGCGAGTTGGATCTTCTTCTGCCCGCGGTGGTGTTCACAGCCGCACGCTTATCAACGGCTTCGGCTCTTGGCGGCACTTCGGCAGAGCTGATGGAGGCGGAATCCAGGGTGAGGAAAATTTGGCTGTTGGGGCGTCTCGTGATGGACCCGTTTCTGGTCCTGACATTGCCGATGCTCTCGTTTGTGAGAGACGACGTTCTTGGAGCCGGGGTCTGAAAAGGTTTTTTGTCTTTTGGAGGTGGCAGAGACCTAGGCAGAGACAGAGGCAGGGGCGGCTCGATAGTGTCCTTTTCGCCTGGAGGCAGGAGCAACTTCATTCTTTCTGTGGCCCTCTGCTTCTGTGGAGGTGAAGCCAAAGCGGCGGCCTTAGCTTTTTCTTTTTGCAAGGCGAGATCTTTAAGCTTCTTTTCGTTCTGTTTCTTCACCGCCTCAAGTCTCTCCTTTTCGTTGATTTCGTTGATCTTCAAAAGGTTCTTGCTGGGCAAGCTGTAGGCGTTTCTGAAGCTTATTTCTGCTGCAATCCAGGCCTTACCGAGCTGCTCGAGCGCCTTTGCGAGGTTTTCCACCAAGACAAAGCTCTGTCCAATGAAACCAAAGAACTCCACGATGTACTTGACGGAGATCTCCACTCTGCTGCTCAAACGGATAAACCGCGTGATCGTGGCCACGAGCACACCATTTTTCTTCGCTGTGTTGAACAAGTCCTCGATCGTCTTGAGCGTCTGAGTCTTGAAAACCGTCACATTCGACATGTGCGTCAAAAACTTGGGATCGTGCAAATGGTGGTAGTTCGAAAGGTATATCTGGCGGCCAAAGCGGCGCACCACGGTGTATAAGTCGTTGAGTCTAAGCGCCCAAACAAGCACTCTATGGAGGGCATAACCAGATTGGGGCATGGCCTCAAGAAGGGCCCTTTGGTTCTGCTTGGGCGCCGCCTTCAACTCCTTGAATTTGGCCAATGGCGCTCTGTGGTTGCGGACCACTTGCAGAACCAGCCGTGTTAGCACGAAAAGCGCATGGAGGTCTATATCTATAAGCAGGGCCTCCATGCCATCGGGGCTCTCCAGGTACTCCTGGTCTATGGGGAAAAGAAAAGCGGGGATCAGGGAGTCCTCCGCATGGAGCGACACGTCAATATCGGCTGGTGGATGGAACATGGACGCTATCAAGTTGTCGATGTCTGTGCAGAAGTTGTCGTTGCCAATCTCCCTTTCTGCGTTGGAAAGGCGTTTTTGGTATCCTTCTAGACAGTTTTCGGCCGTTTTCCGCAACGCCGTGACCGCCTCAATGGTGGTTTCTCTCAGAGGCACCTCAGACAACGGAGTCACCTCCAGGTCTTTCAAGTCGTAGGGAACATGGGTCACCACCGGAGATACAGAAACCGGAGAAAGCTTCACAGGCTTGAAGTTCTCGAGAGCAGCAAGGCGGGGTCCGAATTTCTGCTCATTGATGGCAAACAAGGTGCTGGAAAGGTGGACTATGTATTGAACCAAAACCACGCTTTCTGTGGTGGAGTCGGATTTGAGAAGAAGCTCATCGATGGCTCTGATCAATCGTTCAAGTTTGTAAATTGCATACTTGTACTGTATGGTTCGGGCGTCCAAGGAGCCAAAGTACAACGGCTGGTGCTTCATGGTGTGGTTGATAAAGTGTTGATATCTCGGGCATGAAGTCGCACTGCACCAGCATTGAGTGTGAGGCGTAAGTCACGAATATGGATGACGAAGAAAAAGTGGTCTTTTTTTTTTTTTTTTTGAATTTAGAAATGAAGTTTTTGAAAGATAAAAGAATTCAATCAAAATGGAGGTTTTGCTGGGGTGATCACCGCTGGACAGTGTTGCTGGTGGGGTGCACGTGATAGGCAACCGTTTGGGCTGGTGACCTGCCGTTGCTTTTTACGAGACTGGCGAATATAAATAAGAGAGAATCCGCTTTTTTTGGTTTGGTTTGTTTTTTGGTGTTCGCTGTCTGGGTGGTCAGGGGCAGTGGCTGAGAGCAAGTCTGCCGACGCAGCGTGGCTAATATGGTAGAGTGGGAGGTGGACAACGGCGGACTGGCGCGGGTGTAGCGATTTTTGCATTTTCGTTTCAGAGATTAGGGTGAGTTGGATGATTTTTGAGTCTGGTTAGAATTTGTGGTGGAGGAGGTTTGGTGGTGAAGAAGTTACTAGATGTTGAAAGGAGAGGTACCACCAATGAGCCTCGAATGGCCTAGACCATAGGGCACATTTGAACGCTGAAAAAGAGGCATTGCAATTGATCAAAAAGACTAAGTTTTCTGAACTTGTTCGAATTCGATTTCACAACTGGCTTCTCCGAATCGGTTAGCCAAGGCCGTCAAGAGCACATAGCCATTGTTCACGCGATGAGCCGAAATTGACCGAAACCGAGGTGTACCTTTGAAAAACGGCTATGAGACTTTTTGGAAATGAACCGTTTCTGCTTCCTGCGTTTGATCACCGCTTTGTTGAAGGTAACTCATTCATGAACATCAAGCACTTTCTCACAAAACGCGAAATTAAAAGCCAAAAACCAACCCAGCCACAACCACTAGTCTCAATTCCACCAAAAACACTCAAATCTGTCCAAAACGCCATCTTGTGACTGACATTTGAAGGATCATGGCATCCACTACCATTACCTCCTGCATATAAGCGTTTGCAACCAACGCCATGCAGTAGACATCAAAACAACAACCTCCTACTACTGTGATCCAACAGAACATCAACACAAATTCCATTATTGCTGCTTTCCATTCTTTCTATTCTGCATACTGATGGATCCACAGCAGCTGCTTTTAACTGAGCACCTCGGGTTCGCTCCCTTGACTCTCGTTGATGAAGTCATAAACGCTGTCAACCATATCATGTACAGATGTACAGACGCCTTAGAGGTTTTTCTCAAGAACAGGCGAAATAGTCAAATTCAGGAGCTCCGAAATAAGCTGACGGACGATTCCGATATCATGATGGACGATGCAGAACCCACCAATCCAGAATTCAAGAAGAAGGTGTTTCCTTTAGAGGATATCGAAAAAGGCACAGCTGAGCTTGAAACGCTACTAGTATCGCACGTGGACCGTGCTTTCGATAAGTTTGAGCTTTATACGCTCCGTAACATCCTTCATATTCCCCCTGATCTAGTGAGTGGAGGCTGGCTAAGACTCAAGCACCATGAGGGTCTAGATATGCTGGCCGCTGGGGACGCCTCTGCAGACGAGGAAATCAAACTGTTGATGGAGAAAATCGACCTTGAGCTTACGTTACGGAAGGTTCTTCAGGTACAAAAAGCCAAAGCTGTTAAGTTAGTGCTGGCGCTTAAACACTATAGAGGCTGCGTGGCCGCCATTGTTTCCCTGGGCCCTGCTTCGCAACTATCGCCTGGAAAGAAGGCCATTCTCCGTCAGCACTTGGAGCCTATGAACGAAAACTTGTACTATTTGCTTGGTCAAACAGATACGCTACTAGAGCAGACGCTCAAATTGGAGCGGAAGCTCAGCACAGGCCAGTTCCAGGAGGAGGGCAGATTCGTGCCGTCTTTGCGTGATATGTACATGAACCATAAATCGGTGAAGTTGTTGAACGAGTGTGGAGTTTTGGGTGACCAAGGCAGTCTGCTGCTCATGTACTCGGCCACAGCACAGCAGCCACAACCGCAGTGAGAATGGAGCAAAGAATCATCTCCACGGATTGAAAAGTGGATATTTCCAATTGTATTTATTATAGAACCTGGTGTATGAGGCTTGTCTATGGTTCATTTGCAGCCAGTGCCCAATGAAACCAGCGAAATGCCTCACGAAACGGCAAGCATACGTATCACCACACACCACGAGCAAACTAACGAACAGCAACGAATCAATAAAAAAAAAAAAAAAACCACAACTCTGCTTTTTCCAACCTAAAGGTTTGCAAACGCGCTTCTCCGCATTTATGAGCAGCGCACGCACAGCCATCCAATTAGCGAGCATCAAATGTAAAGAAACTAACGACTAACCCAGCATGGCCGGAACTTTAAGACCAGACCCCGACCTCCAGCGGTTCAACACCGCCAAGGAGAAGATGGGACACTACTTCCGTTTCAGACCCAGATCCGCTTTTTTCAACGTGCTCTGGATGGGCGTGGTGCCTCTTTCCCTCACCTACTTGGCCTACTCCTACGAGGGTCAACTATCTTTCGGCAGAAAGTTCAGAAAGGAGGTTGTTTTGGAGGAGGACTACGTGCCTAGAAAGAAGGACCTTTAGGCGCAGCATTCGTATAACAATACATGGCATAGATACCTGGGCCCAGCCCGTGTAGAAGTTTGGAGGGTATTGAAGAAGCAGATTGAAGAGGCAGATTAAAGGAGCAGATTGAAGAAGCAGATTGAAGAAGCAGAATATGAATGAGAAGAGTTCAATGAAAATGGTATCATCACTGACGATTTTGATCATCTACTATGGGTATTCACTGGATCTATCTTGAAGAATCCAACTATACCACTTGTTAACGTCATTGATGAGACGATATATAGAAAATCTCACCAACTATTTCCAGTTCTTTAATTCTGACATCGAAATCATTATTAAGTGGTCGTAGATACAGTCTAGATACTCTAATTGTATGTGCTTTTGCTGAAACTAACATTTATCTCTACATTCCACCGGCTCAAGTAGTGGTGCTAAATCATGTATTGCTCGAACGAAATTCACCAAGCGGACGATTCAAGTATTAGTTGTCCTTGATGCTAGAAATTCAAAATGGTATATGGCTACGGCTCGTCCCTGCTCTTCTGTCACTTCGAATTCTTCAACTTCACCTGGAACAGCACGAGCCCCAGCTCCATGTTGTTCAACACCTTGGGGTTACGGCACACCAGGCGAGGCAGACACAAGTTTGAAGTTGTTTTTGATTTCTTGAGCACGGGGCGAGTCTGTTCCGTGCGATTGTTCTTTTTAGGAGCCAAGCCGGGCCCCAATTGCATGCTGAGACGAGCTGTTTCGTCCTGGAACGAGTAGTTGCCCTCGGTGACATGAAACTCGTTGAAACACTCCTCGAGCGAAAACGCCGGACCAGCCGTGTTGTTCGAGGAGAACTTCAGTGAGGTTGAGAAGGACTTGCACTTGCGGACATGCTTGGAGTTGCTATTGTCGGAGGCCACGGCGCTGAAAGTCGGGATCTTGTGACGGGGCGGCTTGGTAGGGGTGGTTGCTGACTTTGACGATCTGTGCTTCGTTGATGGCGGCGTTTTCTTTGTCGGCGTGTCGTCGTCAAAATCGAAAAACAGCGATAGCAGGTCGTCGTCGCCGTCGTCTATGCAAGAGAGAGAGGGCTTCTCGAGATCAGCAAAAGGCTCGTCCTTGAGAAGGTCCTCGATGGTGATAGGCTCGTTGCTGGACTGCAGCTCCTTCTGGGTGAAAGGCGACGTGTGATGCAGAGGGAAGCCCTGGTGGCTGATGGGGGAAAATGAAGGCAGGCAGTTCTCCTGTTTTACGTAATTGGGAGGAGCGTACTCGGCGGATTGGTCCGTTTTGACGCTTGCCTGGTTCTGGCCATTGGGCAGCCTGTAGTCCGGGTACTGGCCCTGGAAGTACGGCATCCGGGGCATTTCCTCCTCGGGGATGGTGTCTACGGAGCCTTGCTCGTTGAAGGAGTCGAAAGCAATGTTCAATCCGCCAGACATGTCGAATTCACCCGGGGAGTAGTGGATTTCCCGTCCTTCAAGCAGATCAAGCCCGTTCGGGGCAAAAGCGCCCGCCAGAGCCGGCGTCAGCTGGACGTTCGAGAAAGCAGGCGTGTGGAAGGACCCAGGAGAATGGAAGCCAGGCGTATGGGGCCCCTGGACATAGGGGGTCTGAGGAAACGAGCCGTTCTGATTGGCCACCGGCGTGTGCAAGTAGGCGTCAGCTCTCTGCGGGAGCGGTGCCGGTGGATCAGGCGCCCACGGTCTCTTTTCGAACCGAGGCAGCGTGAAGACCCGTTGGTCTGACATGAGACAAAGGAGGTAAGCGAGTGTGGAAGCGAATGTGGAGGCTAGAGCCTCAAGCGACTGTGGATGGGGTAGGAAGGGGTGGGCCTAAGGAGGCGTTTTTGGGTGGCAAAAGCTGGTTTTGAGTGGTAGCTGTGTTGGATGCTCTGGGGATCGGTTTTCAGGACTCAGCCGTGGATTCAGGAGTTGGATGTGGATGAGATCCAAATAGGCTGGGCGTGGAGCTCAGGGGTATAAGGAGGTTCTGAGATGACCAGCGGGACTGTGGATGTGATCCTAGGGATACGGTTGTTGAATGGTTGATGGAGGATCAGAAACCAGGGTCAGTTGTCGGGGAAACCAGTAGTTCAAGGAGAACCGTTCTGAGAGCAAAAAAAAGAATTTTTTTCAGAATCTCTTTGTTCAACCTTCTGCAATATTAAGAAAGGCACCGGCCGTGGCAGCAAAAAGCCCAATGGGGAATATCAGCCAGTACTTTTTCGATTCGGCTGGGGATATGAGATTATTTCCCGCGAGGCAGGATCCCGAGTCTTGACAGGAAAAACCCGTACACCACCTATATTACTTGCAGCGAACAAAAATAGCCGTTTCCGTGGGCACTTTTCTGGGGCGGAGGTACCCGGGGGATTGGAGATTTTTTTTTTGGTCTGATAGAAAAAGGAGGTTTTCTTCATCGGATGTCCTCTTTCGGATAGTTTTTCCGAGAATTCCCCGACGTTGCTATTTGGTCCGCTGGTTGTTCCGCACTGGGACCGCCAGCCGCCTGCCTACATGTCTCACTTGGTTGCTAGGACCTAAAAAATGGGCAATCTACCAGGGACCCTCTGCCGGCTGCAAATCGTGACACCTTTGTGGGAAATATTTTTTAGCTTTCAACAAAAGGCATTTTCGTGGAATTTTGTTTTTTTGAATACGAGATGGTTTAGACCAGCAACGGGTTTGCCGTGATGCAGCGAGGCACCTTGCCAGCATTGCCGCAGAGGCTGTTGAAGGTAGGTTTGGAATGAGAGATTTTTGGATTGAGATTTGTGGATTGGGATTTTTGGATTGGGATTTTTGGATTGAAGATTTGGAATGCGAGATTTTTGGATTGAGCGATTTTTGGATTGGGAGATTTTTGGAAGTGGACTTGATGTCAGACGATAAAAGTGTAGAGATGAAGCTGGATTCCAAGAAAATGAAGAAAGCGGAATGTCAATTCTTGCAGCAACAAGGCGGTGCCAGGCTGGTTGGAGTGATTGTAGATAGGCTTTTAGCGTAGTTTAGTGGATTGCTTTGGCGGAGGCTTTGGCGGAAGTTTGTGAGTTGAATGGAATGGAGATTGAGGTGGTCAATTGTGGAGGCCCAGCTGGTGTAGATCTGAAATGACTCAGAGGGAGGCGGAGGGAGAAGAGTTGGTTGATTGCATTTCCGGAGGCCGTTGGGTGGAGTAGATGGTAGTTGCTTAGTACAGTTTGACAGAGGGGGCATTGAATGGAAAGTAATGTGAATGCTGGTGAAAGGCATTTTTTTGATAATCCTGACAAAGTGAATTCAGAAATAACAATCATTTTGATCCTCCTTTCCTTTGCTGTAAAAACGCCTCTTCATCTTGTTTCCATCTAATGAGGTTCACTAGAGACTTCTTGAGGTAATCAGCTTCGGGGTTTGAGTAGATCGCCTACGTCGATGCTTTAGGCTTTCAAATAGCTGGTGAAAACCCGGTCAGCCGGTTTGATGAGGAGAAGGAGAAGAAATTGTGGAACTTGATTGGCTTCTGCTGGTGGATTTAGACTGAGTTGCCAGCAAGAGGACAGTGCTGGATCACCGAGCCAGCAAGAGGGGTGGAGTAGGTTAATTGAGGGTGAATTTTGATCCTGGAGAAATTCCTATGAACAGAACTTCATGTTTGTCATTTGCTTGATGTAGATTGAGCCAAATAGGAAGCATGGAAAGAGAAAGAGGGCCAGAAATGCATGCTCATCAAAAGCTACTCATCAAGAGCTTCATCCGAAAAGGGCTAGAAAACTCCCCAATGCATTATTCCTTGAAGAGCTCGATACACCTAAAGGCATTTTAGAAACCAGGACGCACAGATCTATTGAATCTCTTGAACCCCTATCCTGCCACATCCCGTTTTACCAATTACAGACGCAATAAAATCATATGAAAGTAATGACTGGTCAAGCAGTACATGACTTCAGTTGACATTACTTGATCGGTCGATGCTACCCCCCTCTATCACTCTACTAAACCTGAGAGTAGCAGGTGAAGAATTCATAAAACCGTCAACGCCAGTACTCGATTGAAAGGACAAACATGGCTAATTTTTGGGAAAGCAGTTTTGATATCTGGTGTTGTGTGTTTTAATTGCATATGTGCTCTCACCTGGATTTGCAGCTCTACAACACACAAACCAAAACCCATTACAACGTCATACTACTCCCAATACCAACATCAAACTCATGTTCAACAACGAATAGACATCGTAATTTTGATAAATTTTGAAAATTCATAAATCTTGCTCTAAGAATTACCCCAGGTTTCAACACCTGATGCCCCTGAATATGACTCATGAGAACTTCCTAAAACAGACACAACAACAATCATCAAAATACCATAAACCATCAAAATGAAAACCCAAACCAACCCAAACCCATACACCCCAAAAACTCCAAATCCTTATCTTATCAACATCGCCAATTTTCACATGATACTACCACCTTATCAGCTCGCCGCGTATTCTTTGCATGCTTCCATGCGCCACGCCTCACGAACCTAATCAATCTCTACAAACGTGCCAATCTCTACAAAAACATCAGTCAATATCCATATCCTTCCTAAATAGTGGTTTGAATCCGAATCCGTCTATCCCAAACCATAAAAAAACCAACCAAAACCAAATAACATATGTAACAAAGAAGTAAACAGCAAATGGAGGCTACCCGCCTCTCTAAAGGAATTTCACAAAGTTCTTGTCGTCGAGCCAGCCAACCTTCTCGAACGCGGCAAAGAGCCGACTGGCCTTATTCACGTCGATCCGACACGCCTTCTGGGCGTCTGTTCTGCGGAATGGCATGTCCCCCGCATTCTGTTCACCTTCTCAAAGAAAAGGCGTCTCTTGGAATCGAGGTACACGTTTGCTGGCAATCTCAACGTCAGCGCCAACACAACCTCTGCAGGGTGCAACTTGTCGGCCTGAGGATCATTCTTGAGATCCATAGGCTGGCCCTTCCACTCAATCTTGAGACTACGGTTGTTGCCCTTGGGCAAAGTCTCCTCTGGATCAGGAGAGTAGTCGGGGATCGACTCGTCAATGAGAGCAGCTTGCTGGGCAGCCAATGGCGAGCTGGCGTAAGAGGTCTCCTTCTTCACCTTTCTTCTCTTGGGCGAAGGAGAAGGAGGACGCGAAGCGTCCATGTCAATCTCTGAAAGAGCCGCCAGGTGCTCGCGCACCACTCTACGTGTTCTGACCTTCTCCTTGTCGTTTTCCGACTCAGACTCCGAGCTGCTTCTCTTGGGCTCGGGTCTCTTTCTCTTGTTGGAGACGGCTGCAGCTGCTCTCTTTTCGGCCAAACGCAACAGCTGGACGTTCTGCTGCTCCTTGGAAACAGCCTGGTATTGGCGCAAAAAGTTCATCTGTCTCGCCTTGTAATTACCGCCAAGCTGCGTCCAGGGGCTCACAGTGAGCGTGTAGCTCTTGTAGTTTTCTAAAGTGAAGGGCTTCTCATTATCCATGTACACCTTCAGCGCTCTAGGCACGCATCCCAGGGTAGATGTGGCTGGGGCTGGGGAAACTGTGTATGTGTTTTCGTGTCTTTGGTAAGGAGAGGCTGGAGGTGAAAGGATCTCGTGGTTTCTGGAGGACCCGAGGGTGGCCTTGTCGTTTTTGAACTTCATGGTTTCGTCCTGATTGCTAGGAGTAAGACATCCATCTCTTTGCCCAAAGGTTCTCGAGATGGGCTGGTATAAAAGGGTCATGCTTGGATGAGTGTGGATTATGTAGTGTGAGCTTTCAGTGATGAGATGGTCTGGGTCAGTTGGTCCTAAAAAGTGTTATATGCGGAAGGTCTTTTTTGTGGGGATTCCGTGTTTATATATGGAATATGTACAGAAAATAAAAGCACAGGTATTTCTGTTTCTTTTCTATGGTGTTTTTTCTTTTTCTTTTTTTTTTTTTTCTTCTATATATGGTCTGAATTTCTTTTTCTTTCCTGCTGCGTTCGCCAAACGTGCAGCATGCGTCATCGGAGGTCCAGAGCTGATTTTCAAAATCGGCGATAAGACGCCGCACGGGGTCAATGTCGTCAATTTCAACTCCAGTAGTAATAGCCCGTTCGCCTTATGTAAAAATTACCCTTCAATGGCGAGATATCATCGAGTTAAGAGAGAAAACGAGAGATGTGACCGTTATACAGCGCATGATCGCTGCACGCCCCAGACACTATATGCAGTATGCGCGTCCGCCGCCTGCAGAGCAGAATTCTTTTGTGGAGCCCATCTCGAACAGGAATTTCAGCGTGATGCAGCGGCGACGTGGATTCAAGCCGTGAAAATGGAAATCCAGATTGTTGGGGCAATTGCGGGCAATTGAGCTGGCACAAAACCCATTGAGGGTCAATGTCGCAAACACGACATACTCGGTTGAAGCGAAAGCCCATCGATAAGCCGTGGTAGGTGCAGGACACCAGAAAAAAACAAAAAAATAAACCGAGTGATAAGCATCCATCGTCCTGTGCGATCCTGTGTGTGACTGCCGCGGCTCTGCACGAGCGCATCATGTGCTGCACACGCCCACATTTCTTTTGCACTTTGGATGCACCCTCCTCATTTTTCTGTTTCGATTGTGCTTCCAGAACCACACAGAAATATGTGACTGCTAGCAAATCTTGCGTTTTCGCTGTTTCATCTGGGGTTGAGGGGTCGTTTCGGCTAGAACGGGAAATTCCAGGGCATCACCTGAAACTGCTGGACCTTCCCGTTTCTTGCAATCTCATACGCACCTTCTTTTGTATATGCCTGCTTATCGAATGTCGCACATATAGATGTGCAGCTGACACATGCGCTCGTCCCCGAGGGCGGGCCTGGACACCGAGGGTGGGCTTTCCAGTCTATGGTAGTAAACACCCTCGGTTTTGGCAGCCTGATCAGAGTCAAAAAACGGGCTCAATTGGCCGCCGTGGTGCCACCCAAAAGGTGGAAGTAGCGGGTTTCCAGAGAAATGTGACGTACTGCACACAAGCAATTTTTGGTCTTCTTTTGCCCTGCTTATTCTATTTCCCTATGAGTGGTCCAATCGCGACGATGATCCAGACGGTTTCTATTTGCTGCTAGGGCTCTAAACACGGTAATGTGTGACTCAGACCCGTGATTGGCGATTTTCGCCAATTAGGAAAAATCATGCTTTTTTGGGACTTTTTAATTTTGGACTCTCCTGACATCACGAGATTACCAATTCCACTAATCAATTGCATCCAACGGTGTTTTGTAGAATTACCTTCCTACGCCAATTTACTCAATTCCTATTTTCGAAAATCCTCTAATTCCCACTCGTACGAATCGTCGGAGATCGGACTTGAGCAATCGCAGATTCCGCTGTGTGGTTTGTTTCTTTTGTCTTTGTCTGTCTAGATCGAAACAATCTAGAGCAATGTCTGGTTGACAGGCAGGACACGGCAACGGTCGATGCTGCGATGACCAATGTTTGTGAAGTGTTTTGTTTGGATTGTTTGGATTTGTTTGATTTTGGAGGTGGATGACGGTTGCAAATGTGGGAATTTGGAGAAATTGAGCAATTGAGTGATGGGTTTATGGGATTGCTGTTTGGTAGAGAAATTGGGGTTTTTTTATGGAATTCAGGAGTGTAGGTGGGTCAATTGAGTGGTGGGGATTTGGTGGATACCTTATTGTGGTTGGGTTGGTCTGGTTGTGGGTTTCTTTTATTGGGGGATGAATGGGTATTATTGTGTATCATTTTAGGCAAGCTGACGAGCTTTAAGGAGCTGAAAGGAAAGTGACTGCCATTATTTCAGGTTTTGAAAGTACGCTTAAACGAGATTTTGAATTGGTGGAGCTCAATTGATGGGGTAATGGGTTCGAACTGAATCAGCGAATTTGCATTGAGGCCTCATTCACTCTGGGCTGAGCGGGGGAATAGGAAATCCAACACTTCAGGGAAGAGCCAATAGAGTCAAGTGAAGAAGCAAGTAAACTTTGCAATCGAAGCGGTCCATACTTTTCACTGGATCATGGCTCATAGACTTCTTGTCAGAAAAAAACCAGGAATCTTGACGGCTTCAAGACAAGCACAATAGCAATTCCACAAAGAATTGGAGACTTCATTGATTTTGCAAAAATCTAATTTAAAGTATGCTTCAGCTTATCAAAGCTCATCATCGTTCTGGAAATGAGGCATGTGAGCGTATCACAGACCCCTAAAGCTACAGAGCACAGTAGGAAAACTTGCCTTAATGCTTCAAATTACCAGCAAAAAAGAATCATTTTAAATTAACGGAACTTCCTGGAATTCAAGACCCAGGAACACAGCTCCGACCATTGCTCCTACATACAACTAACGTCACCTGATCCGCATCACCTGACCCCACCCTCATCACTACTCCATCACCAAATCTGTAGACCATGTTTGGGAAACCCAGATTCCCTTTCAAACCTGCATATTTCCGATTTTACACCACCAAAATGGTCGACTTTGCAGGTAAGACGTGTTTGGCGCCCATGGTGCGCAGCGGAGAACTCCCGACCCGGCTTATGGCCTTGAAACACGGAGCTGATCTCGTGTGGCTGCCCGAAATCATCGACAAAAAGCTCCGAAATTGCATCAGAGTGGAAAATAAAGAACTCGGCACGATCGACTATGTCGAAACTCGAAACAACGAAATTCCCAAGCCGAAACCAGGAAAACAGGTTCCTGTTGTGTTCAGAACAGATCGGACCAAAGAAGAGGGCAGATTGATTCTACAAATCGGGTCTGCTGATCCGGAAATCGCCGTAGAAGCAGCTCAAAAGGTTATTGGAGACGTGGACGGCGTCGATCTTAATTGCGGTTGTCCGAAACCGTTTTCCACCCATGCTGGTATGGGTGCAGCTTTATTAAGCACACCTGAGCTTTTGACGCTGATTTTGCTGAATCTCGTGGAAAAGGTGGGCAAGCCAAATAACAAGCCAATCAGCGCTAAGATCAGGCTCTTGGACGAGAAGGATCCACAGCCTACGCTAGAGTTGGTGGAGAAAATATGCAAAATTGGTATCGCCAATTTGACCGTTCACTGCCGGACCAGGAACATGCGGAACCGGGACTTGCCGATTCGGGACTTTGTGGGCAAGGTCTACGATGTTGTGTCGAAGCACGGCGTGACTTTGGTGATAAATGGTGGGTTCCAGTGCAGAAAGGAGATTGAGAATTTCCAGAAAAGCATAGGTAATTTTGCGGTTGGCGGCATGATTGCAGAGGCTGCCGAGCTGAACCCCACGGTTTTTGAGGCCGTTCCGTCGCCGTGGAAAAAGGTCACCACAGAGTTTCTCCAAACGTGCATCGCCTACAACAACTTCCACAGCAACTCCAAGTACATTCTTTTAAACCAGATTCCGGGGAAGCTGCCGGTCTACAAGGAGATTTGCAAGGTGAAGACGAATGAGGAGTTTCTTAAAGTGATTGAGGGTGTTCAGGACGAAGGCGATTTGGTATTTGTGAGAACGATGCAGAAGGCTGTAGCCATGGACACCGAAAGCTTCATGGCGCAGTTTGATGCCAAAAGAAAAGTTACCCCGAGCCGGAGATCGTGGAGAAGAGGGCCAGGATCGAGGCCGTCGCAGGGTAAGGGTATTTATAGACAACGGATAAAGGATGGTGAGATTGTTGTAGGGAAAGGGTTGAGCTTTTAAAGCTATGGTATGGAGTAATTTCACGAGTAGTCAAGCGCTCTTGACAGAGATTATTGACTTTAAACGAGTGCAAATATAGATGCTCTAGTAATGCCATTTGCTGAGGATTGTACCATTCTGTGCTGTGTTTTCAATTAAGTTATGAACGATTCTCCGACAATTAGAGTTACTTATAATCCCATTTCACATCGTTAATGCTTATATTAAGACACTTTCACCTCTATAGAACAAGCGTACGTAAACAATGTAAATTGTGCAAATACGGGTCTTTGTTACCTGTCACCATTAGTTTCAAAAGCTACAAAAGACATGAAAATATGTGAAAACCGTTACGATCAAGAGGGAAGGTAATTTAGCCGTTTAAGGAATTTCAGGTTAGGGTACCTATTTGCTTTTTAGCCTTTTTAATCACCACTTCATTACCTCTGTTTTGACAGTTCAATACGCATGGGACAGTGACAAGACCTCTTGAGCCAGATCAAGTACCTTCTGACTATATTTTAGATCTTCAATTTCAACCCTCAAAATTACCCAACCCCATATTCACAGCATTCTTTCATATTATCACTTCTATCACTCCTGCAAAGCTCTACCCTTGCTTCCACCTACAATACCTCATCGTAAAGTTAACATTCGCCTGACGGCTCACCCAGTGACTTGCCCAGTGGCTCACCACTACTCACCGCCGGCTCGGTCGGTCTTCGAGAGCAAACTCACGTTCCACTCCACCTCAGACCTCTATGTACATTTCTCACTGCAAAGATCTCCTCACAGCACACCACGCGCCCGCAGCAGCCGTCATCAAACCCGCCAGGTACATGGCCGGCTTCACACCGGCAGCCAGACGGAAAAGAGCACCGGAAATGGCTCCGGCAGCCAACGAGTTGAGGTCGTCGTGCTTGCCCCTCCAGTTGTCGATGATGGCGTCCACGAGGTTGTAGCCCATGGCGAGGCAGCCCGCCGTGTTGCCCAAAAAGGGGCCTCTTTTGGTGATGTGGTTCAAAACGGTGTTGAGCTTCAATCTGGGAGGCGACTCTGGGGCATCTTTGAAAGACCCTCCTGGAGCCCGAAAGCGCCTCCGATTCCGAGACCCAAAAGGTACACCGTGCCTGTGCCGTAACAGAGATCGTCCTTCCAGTCTCTCAGAGCAATAACACCCTGGGCTCCTTCCAAGTCGCTGATCTTGTCATCCTCAAGATCCAAGTACTCTACACCCCTGTCCAAGCCGGCTTGGGGGTGGAGCCTGGCTGCGTCTGCATACGCCGCCAGCAGCACAAAGCTGTTTGCGCGGTCGAGGTTGTTGTCACTTCCTAGGAGCCACGACATGAAGAAAAGGTGTAGTTGGAGTTGAGAATAATTTTTCGCGAAGACGTCGAGGATGGGTTGGCAGAGAAAGATGGACAATGGAGGTTTTATGGTAAAATTAGCATTTTGGGGGGCAACGAGGGCAAGGATTTCGGACCTGGGGCTGGATTTGGGGAATTTTGGGTTTTTGGTGGTTTTGACGGGGGTGGTTGGAGGGGCACTGCACATGGCGTCGATGGTTGCAAGAGTGGGTATGAGAGGTGGGAGATCTGGACGAGGAGGGGGTTTTTGGGATCGGGGTGGTTGGGAGTGGGTGGTTTGGGAGGTAAATTAAGGCCAGGTGGGGTCGGGTTCCGGCGAAGGGAGATTTTCGGGGTTTCGTCGATTTGAAGGTACTGCATACAACACCACCGGCTGCAACTCGTATGGCCTCCAGTGGGCCGGTTCAGGGATTCTATATACATTATGTTTTATCGAAAAGAAATGTTTTGTTTCTGTTAATTCTTAAAATATCTTTCTTATGCTTTGATATATGTCGAGTCTTGTATTCTTTCGGTGGATCGCAATTCCCGGCCCTCAGTCAAACGTAATTGATAGTATGAGTTGGCTTGATATAGGCCTTCGAAACTTTCTAGTAAATTTTTCGATGGTATGCATTCAACTGATGAAGATATTGAAAATGCGGTTTTGGAAGCAGTCAGCACTGATCTGACTCCACTAGGTAGCAGTCAAGTCCAGAGTTCAAGTGGTAGATGTTCTGGTGGCCTTGGTTCACCGAGACAGTTGTATTTGAGAGTTCTTCGTTATCTTAGAAGTACTGCCGATTTTGCATTAGTTTACAAACGAAGTTTGAAACCCAAAAGTTATTTGAACGTGAGATGTTTCAGCGATGCAGATTCGGGAAACTGCAGAGACGATAGGAAGCCTGTTTTTGGCTTTATGTTCATGATAGAAGGAGTTCCAGTGTTTTGTAAATCTAGAAAACAAACGATAACAGCTTTATCTACGTTGGAAGCAGAATACTATGCTTTGGCTGAATCTATGAAAAACGCTCTTTGGTTGAAGTATGTTCTGCTTGATCTAAAGCTATGGTCGAGAACAGGTGGATCATTGTTTATAATGATAATCAAGGATGTGTTGAAATTTTCAATCAGTCTCGTGTTTTATATGATCACGATGTGCTGCAGTGGACAACCGACACTCGGCCATTATGGTTTACGCATAGTGAGTGACATGACTAGGTATAAGATGGTGATGAATGATTCAAGGAATATTGTGGAAGTGGCTTCGTAGTCCTCTGTTGATTTTGGTCAGTCGCTAATCAATTTGTTGAAATGATCAAAAATCGATAGACAGATTCGAGTGTGAAACTTATTATACTGGTAGAAGGATGGATAGAAGGATGGATAGAAGGATTATTTGGCTATCATGAAAACTCAACAAAATCGTTGTCGTTGATTTCATAGACCAAGAATCCTGATATCAAAACCATCAGCCAGCCAGTCAGACCCGCTTCACACAGCCAAGTCGCTCAACTAACATTTCCACAGGTATTATAGTGTCCTTGAGTTGAGGGGAAATTTTGGTGTGCTTTCAAGTATTCAACAGCTCTAGTACATTCTCAACTGCTGCTTCAGAGGATTGTGTATATCAAGAATTGTTTCAAGCACTAACACAAATCTCAGCTGAAGAAATGCCATTACAAAATGTGGCTTCCCGACTCACCCAACTTCCAATTCATTTTGAAATCAAACAGTAGCCACACATGTAAAGCGCTAAATCCTTATAAACACGGCTGCCGTAGGGGGTAAATCCAGACTAGGTACCAGTTTTCCACCGTAAACAGAGCTTCCAGGGGCATATAGCTCCATAGCAAAAAAACCATAAGATCGAAACTGTAAAAGCGTATTCACCATTTGCAACAATTCCGATCCATTCAACAATCATGAAAACCCATTTGTCTTAAAGCATCCCTTCCCGCGTCGAAACACGATATCAAACCTCCATGGCAACTTTTGGCGATAGGAACCAAGATCTGTAGCGGCATGGCTGCAAACTGCAAAAGCGCCTATGCTAGACCGCAATTGATCATATGAATAGGTACTTTAAGCTTTTCCAAAATAGGCTTATCTTGAGCAAAGGAGGGATGTCTTTTTGGTTTAGCCGATGCAAACGCCGATCTGGAGTTGAGTCTTTGTTTCGTGAATTATGACACAATCTCTAGATGTGGAGATTTTCTAAGCCATTCTGTGCTCCAAACCGTGGATCCGTAACTCAGTGCCATACGGCCATTCCACATGTGTACTGGTTTTTTGCATCCTTCTCTGTGGCTTATGGAGGGGCGGAGACACTATCGGGATTCCATAGAGGAACCATGTTTGTGTAGGAGTTGTGAGTACAACAGGTGGAGATAATCTGGAATGAAGAAGATGGAAGGCGTACTTGGGTTTCCGATGGCCTTTTTGATTTGACGTGGTTTCAGTGATTTCGATTCTCAAAACTCTGTGGTGATGCTTGTGGTTTCAAACGATCGTTTTTTCTAATGTAGTGGCTTGGGTGGAGCACATCAGCGGAGTATGTGTCCGCCTATACGCCATGTGGTTACGTGGGGGCACTTTCGGGATTTGGAACAGTTCCCCGAAATCAGATCTATACATCTGGATTAGGCCAAGATTTGTACTCCTCAGTCTAGGTCACTAGAAATGACTTAGCCTTCATTTGTCATGGCTTAAATTGGAGCCGGATTTTACCACGGCTTATCAGGCGTTGAAGTATGAAGCGTTTGAAGAAGTAACCAATGATCCAAGCCAACTTCTCCCACGAACTAATCGTCTTATACTACATATCCAGTGTCTTTCAAATAATTCAAGCTATATTCGTTTCAACTCTTCAATTCCAATTCTTTCCTCGTCGCCTACAATCCAATCTCTCTCTAATGTATTAAATATTCAATCAATCCAGACCCTTGGACGAGTCGTAACCGTGCTCAACGTGCTCAAAGTTATTCTTGAGCTTCTCGACATCGGACTTTTCGATATCGGAGTCCTTGCCTTCGTTCTCGTGGAGATATGGCAAAGTGGCCGCAATGTGGACAGCCTTCCATGGCTTCCAGACCGGGGTCTCGGCGAAAATAAGGTCCACCTCCTCCAAAGATCTGCCCTTGGTTTCGGGGTAAAGGAAGTAAAACACGGGAATCATGAGTAAGTTGATTCCAAAAAAGATGAGGTATGTGTGGTGGTCGATGGCGTTGAAGCAGATTGGCGTGATCATGACAACCATGAAATTGAAACCCCAGTTGCAGGCGGTGGAAATGGCAGTAGTAGGAGCTCTGACTTCAAGGGAGGACACTTCTGGAGGGTACAACCAGGTGAGTGACAAAAGCGACATTCCAAAGAAAGTGTTGAAAGCGAAAAGCAAAAAGGCAGCACCGATTGGAGCTCCAGGTTTGTCCTGCTTGGCCATTTCCATGGAAACGTAAAGGAAAAGCATACTCAAGCACTGACCGGTGGTGCCGAAAAGGAAAAGCTTTCTTCTGCCGACTTTTTCAATCACAAAAATGGGGATCAAAGAAGCCAAAAAGTACTCGGTACCGTTGCAGGCGGCCAAAATACGAGACTCCAAGGGCTCCATGCCGATGTAACTCTCGAAAATCGTACCGGCGTAGTAGGTGATCAAATTGATACCACAGATCTGCTGCATCACCTGCGACCAAGCAGCCAAGTTGACTCTCTGGAAGTTCTTTCTGTCGCCTTGTTTGATGAGGTTTTTGAGGGAGAACTTGTTACCGCCAGCCTTCTCCTCAGCGTGCAAGGAAATCCTGATATCCTCGATCAACTGCTTGATAAAAGGGTGGTCTGGAGTTTTGTCGTACAAAGAAGCAAACACAGTAGCAGCCTCCTCGGGTCTGGACTGTCCCATAAGCCATCTAGGCGATTCTGGGAACTTGAACAAAAACGCCACAATGGCAATAGGGAAAACGAGCTGAAAAGCGATGGGGAATCTCCAGGACACCTCGCCAAATTTCTCTGTAAAGTAGAAAGCAAAATCGATCCAGTACGAGATGCAAATACCAAAAGTGATCAAGGAACCGTGGATACAAAGAGACTTACCTCTGTTGTTGGCTCTAGAACACTCGGCAGCGTAAAGGGGCACCGTGGAGGTGAGCAACCCGTTGCCCAAACCAGAAATAACACGAGCCACAATCAAGAAATCCGTGTTTGTAGCAGCGGTTTGCAAAATACCACCAATGATCATAATCACACAGCCGGAAAAGATCATCTTCAAACGGCCAAACTTGTCACCCAAGTACATGGTGGAAAGCGCCGCAGACAAACAGCCGATTTCGTAAAGTCCCACCGTCAAACCTTGCATTGTGGAGTGATGAAGGTCGTCGTTGTCGACGGTGTTAATTTCGGGGAAACGGGATCTGAACGTCTCCAACGTTAAAAGCGAGCCCATGACACCCTGGTCGTAACCGAACAAGAGGAAACCGACACCACAGATGGTGGTGATGGCAGTATTGAGTTTCTGGCCCTTGAGCCCCATGTAAGTGGGCACCTTGCCTTCGGAAGAGGCGCTAGCGATTGAACTGTCGGACATGGTTAGAGAAAAAAGCAGAAGCGAGAGATTTGGGGAGGAAACAGGCCGGCTATAAATAGTGTGGAAAACGCCGCAGTATGGGGTAAAGCTCGAATATATGCGTGGGGAGTTTGCAGCCACTGGTGTTGTGATAGCGGGGCAATGTGTGCAGATCGTGACGTAAGGGTGCATATAGTGCGGTGCTGCGGTGCCAGAGAGGGAGGCCGTGTGCCGGAGGGACGTCTGTGTGCCAGAACGGGCGGCTGTGTGCCGTACGCGGTAGCTGGGGTGCAGCGGCCTGCATAGGCGAAACCGCCAGACTTTTAAAGAGACTTGCCGTATTGTAAGAGCCCCGAAAACCGTGTTCGCATGGCATGAAGCATGCACTAATCGCGCCGCACCCCTCGAGGTTGCTGCCACCCCCGCGGGACGGAAATGGTGTTTTCCGAGGGAGGGGCACCTCCGCAAGGTTGCATTTCTCGGACCTCGACGCAAGAAGCTGCCATTTTTTCATATAGCCCCCAGCCAAGCTCTTCTCGAGGTGTCAAACAACATTTACGGGAACTTGGCAACGTAAGGCGGAGGGTTGGCACACGAAACACGAATCGTGCCGCATTGTCCAAGAAATGCGCGCGCAGGCTCATAACCTGTGGCCCCACCAGGATCTCTGGAAAAAGAATAAACTGTCGGATACACAAAACTGTAAATTCCTCTATAATACGTGCATGCCTTGCTTGTCCGGCTCTGTTTGTGTCGTGGCCAGTTAGCTCATTATACATTCGACCACGGAAATGGCGGGTTTCCTGGGATAGAAATATTCCCAGTCGCAAATCGCCGAGGCACTCCGAGCGCCGTTTCTAGACTTTTCCACTTTTGCCTTGTTGTGCAGCGGTGATGTTTTCCGAATTTTACAAATTGCCGCCACGCCGGACGGCTGGTGGTTGCTCAGTGAGGTCACTTGGTCTAGCAACCGAGACCCTGAGTGTCTCAGAATTGGTGAAACAAGTCGATTGTAGGGATTTCGATATTTTTTTGGATTATTTTTCTTCGAAAGACTACTTACAATTAGAAGGTTGGCCCACCCGGTGGCAGGCCCACGCAGCCCATTCCGATGTCCTCATCCAGGGAAGCCGTGTTTTCGTAAATAGCCTGTTTTGCAGCCGCCGCGAGGGTTCTAAAGCAGCTATGCTGTTTACGGCGTATTTCCTTGGCTTAGGCGGCTTGCTATACAGCTGTTTTGTGGATTGTGGATTTTGTAGTGAAGTTGTGGTGGAAGTTTGCTTTTGAGGTGGGTGTGGTGCATTGCAGTGGGCTAATATCGGATGCGTGAAGCAAGTAGAGGTTCGTAACCAACGAGAAGTTGGAGGTGGCGGTGGCCAAATTAGGTTTGGGATTGGGTGATACAAAGTTGAAGAAGTAGTTGAAAAAAAGTAGATTCTACAGATGGGTGACTGGACAGTTGGGTTTCAAATGGCCGAAGAAAAGTGACAGCCGTTTCACCTGAAGCCGATTTCAGCGGTCTTGGGTGACACATTCGTGCATCGGAGAAGCTGCATCGGCTTCGGCTGCACTAACCGTGGGTGGCCTACATTAGCGACGGAAGGAATGTGGTCTGAGACATTTGGCTTTGAGGCTTGGGGCAAGGCGGAATGGAGAGGATACTGTAGCCAATGGCGCAATGGGGTTGCTGTTTTGCCGCATTTGGATAGACTTCTGCTTCGGTAGGATAGCACGGTTGCTTGATGTCAATAAAGTGATATTCTTGAGGCTGGTGCCTTTGAACGAATGAGCCCAGGAGTGGAGCAAGGAGCCCAGGAGTGGAGCTTTATGGAAAAGACGAGGAACATACGATAGTGGAAGGAATAGCATGGAAGGGGGCGAATAGCGTGGAAAAGTGGCTCATGGCCGTTGAAGTTGGCAAAACTTGTACTATTTTCAGAATGGCTCATGGTGGGCTGTAGGCTGTGATGCAGTTTTCTTTCGTCTCTATGGAGTCATTCGGTATTCCAAGGCTTGAGTTTGAAAAGGGTATAGAAGCAGCCAAATGATGGTATGGCCAAGTTCGGCAAATATTAAGTTAGTGCCATCTAGACCCATTTCCAAGATGGGAAGCTCTCAAGTGTGACCCTATTAGCCAAAACATAAAATGTGAACAAAGAGGTACCATCTAGAGGAATCACCAGCCATGCCCTTTCCACTTGGACCTCCATTGTTGACGCTCTAGTCCATCCTGGCGTCTTTTTAGCGATAGCGTAGTCTTTCTGATACTGAAGAAACGGTGAACCATTCATGCTGGGAGCTTTGAACATCCACTAACTTGAACTTTCTAGTGAAAACAAACCAAACCTCTCAGTACGGATTAATTCAATAACCTGAAATCGGTCAACTCAGATTTGCCCATCTATCCACGCTCCATTGTCGTAGTTCGACAACAATGAGGCCTCCTTCAGATTCATGTGACTAAAGGCCCTCTGGAGATCGGAAAGCCTAATCGATCTAGGCTGACGATAACAAATTACGTCAGCGGGCTAAAGTGAAAAATATACGCATGGCGCTTCTCCGTCAATACAAAACAGCTACACGAGCCACTGATTGCACAAGAGGATTTGAACAATGACCCGTGGTAGTAGGATGACCGCTGGCGGACTTAGCAGGTGGCAGAATAATCAAAAATACTGAAGTTATTGCCGATTTGAGGGGAGTTTGACTTTTCAACAATGGCTAAACGCCGAAGCATGGTCGTAGATGTTTCGGCTAAATGTGCCTCATTTGTTGATAAGCGTCACTGGCTATTTGATAAAGAGGTCGGAGAAGCCCCACTCAAATAACTCAAAGTGCTTAAAAAGGCGGAGGTGTTCTATCAAGCGTTTTCAAGTGATGTTGATTATCTTAGAGCATTTTTATGAGATCGGGTTTTCACAACAAAAGCGTTTGGTGACTTAAGAAGGGAAGTTCAGTATTGAGTGTCCAACAACCGAAGTCCACACATTTCATGGAAAAGAGAATTATACTTCAAAATGGACCTTTCCTAATATTGTCTTCAGAGTGGCATCCGCAACATCTAATACTTCTAATACTTACCTAGCAAGATTGATCTCCTGGCAATAATGTGATACCTCAAAGGCCCAACTTGTGAAAAGTCCCTAAATGACCCAAATGTTTGATAACGAATCTCCTCAAGGTATTCCTTCCAAATGATCCACAAGGGTTTTCTCAAAGCACGCAATTTTTTTTATCGATTATTAAATTAAGAGGACGCCAGAGAACAACTTTTCATTTATTGCTTCAAACAGGGGATACAAGAACAGAAATGAAGGAGGAAGGTATACACATGAGGTGTGTAATGCTGATTCATACTACTATGTACTAATTAATCAGGCCGTGATTCAACAATTTGCGCATTCCCCAGAGTTATCGATATTGCCTCGAAACTCAATCGGTGATTATTTCAACACACTCAATGCCGGCAATGTCGACTTTGCCCGAAGAAACCACTTCTCCAAATCAGATATAATTCGAAAACCCCAATTTCATGAAACCTACACTCTCCAATAGTGGCCAATCAGATTAAATTCAAAATCCTCCATTTAATCAAAAACCTACACCCTCTCCAATGGTGGTCAGATATAATTAAAAACACCCAATCATGAAACCTACACCCTGCTCCAATAGTGGTCTATCGATATATAACTCTAACTAATGTACAGCGCTGGAGAGTGCTTGGTGATTTAAACAGAGGGGTTTTCAGTATTGTGTGTCCACCAACTGAAGTCTAGACATTTTCATGGAATAGATCACACTTCAAAACGGGCCTTTCGTAATATTGTTTTCAAAGTGACTTCCACAACATCTAATAGTTCTGATACTTTAAGGTCCTAGCCAAGATCGAAGAAAAAAATCTTGGCAATGATGTAATGCCCCAACGGTTCGTGTCACACTTGTGAAAAGGCACCAAATGACAAATGTCATAGAATTCTTCAAGGTGTTCCCGAATTGTCAACAACGGTTTTCTCAGAAGCATGCATACCCTCCTGCTTCTGTGTCCAGTGATTATTGAAAGCGGCCTATTTTCGATAGTCAAATATCCAAGTCCACTTGACTATCCTTTTTGACACCCTCCTCGTCATTACCTCCATCTACACTCTGCTCCAATAGTGGTGTATCGATATAATTAAAAAACCCCAATCATGAAACCTACACCCTGCTCCAATAGTGGTCTATCGATATAATCCAAAATTTTCATCTGAAACCTACATCCTCCAATAGTGGTCCAATTAGATATAACTTGAAATCCTCCATTTCATTTGAAACCTACACTCTCCATTAGTGGCCAATCAGATATAATTCAAAATCCTCCATTTAATCAAAAACCTACACCCTCTCCAATAGTGGTCTATCGATATATAACTCTAACTAATGTACAGCGCTGGAGAGCTAATTCTCGTCGAGCTTCTCGTCTCTCTTCACAGAGCCCTGCTCCAAAATACCGTTCTCGCCTGGGCCCTCAAGACCACCGCTGCTGTTTGAAGACGAGTATGGCTGGTCGTCGTACGCCTTGAGGTTCTCCTCATCCACAGCAGCAGTCTCGTGACGGAAGGGCAACTCGTACGCAATCTTGACAGCCTTCCAGGGCTTCCAGGAGGGAGTGGCAGCGAAAATAAGGTCCACCTCCTCCAAGGATCTGCCCTTGGTTTCGGGGTAAAGGAAGTAGAAGACGGGGACCATGCAGAAGTTGATACCGGCGAAAATAAGGTATGTGTAGTGGTCGATGGCGTTGAAACAGATCGGGGTGATCATGACCACGAAAAAGTTGAAGGCCCAGTTACAGGCGGTCGAGATGGCCGTGGTAGGAGCTCTGACTTCAAGGGAAGAGACTTCAGGTGGGTACAACCAGGTGAGCGACAAAAGCGACATACCGAAAAAGGTGTTGTAGGCGAAAAGCAAGAAAGCAGCACCAATGTCACCGCCCTCGTGGCCCTGGTGGTACATCTCCATGGAAACGGTAAGGAAAAGCATACTCAAGCAGCAGCCGACGGAGCCGAACAAGAAAAGCACTCTTCTGCCGACTTTTTCGATGATCCAGATGGGGATAAGCGAAGCAAGGAAAAACTCCAATCCGTTACAGGCCGCCAAGAGTCTCAGCTCCATGGGACCCTGGCCAATGTACTCCTCGAAAATGGTACCGGCGTAGTAGGCAATCAAGTTGATACCACAGATCTGCTGCATCACCTGCGACCAGCCGGCCAAGTTGACTCTTTGGAAGTTTTTCCTTTCGCCTTGCTTCAAAAGAGCTCTTGGGTTGAAGTTGGAACCACCGCCTGCTTTTTCTTCCGCCTTCAAAGAGGCCTTGATATCGGAAATAAGCGTCTGGATAAACGGGTCGTCTGGGAAAGTGTCGTACAAAGCAGCGAAAACAACAGCAGCCTCTTCTTCTCTGTCTTGACCCACAAGCCATCTGGGAGACTCGGGGAAGGTGTAGCCAAAAAAGGTGATACCGAGAGGGAAAACAAGCTGGAAGGCAATGGGGAATCTCCAGGAAACCTCTCCGTGGGGCTCCAAGGGCTCGGTGAAGTAGAAGGCAAAATCAATCCAGTAGGAAACGCAAATACCCAAGGTGATCAACGCACCCTGGATACAAAGCGACTTACCTCTGCTTTTAGCCTTGGAGCACTCGGCAGCATAAAGCGGCACGGTAGCGGTAAGAACACCATTACCCAAACCCGAAATGACTCGAGCGACAATAAGGAAATTGGTTCCGGTGGCCGCAGCCTGCAAAACACCACCAATGATAATCACCACACAGCCCCAGAAAATCAAACGAACACGGCCAAACATGTCACCAATGTACATGGTGGAAAGAGCACCACAGAGACATCCCACGGCGTAAATACCAATCACGAAACCTTGCCAGATGGCGTAACTCTGTTCCTCGTTGGATACGGTATCCATTTCTGGGAAGGTGGCTCTGAAAGTCGGAAGCGTCAAAAGCGAACCCATGACACCCTGATCATAACCGAAAAGGAAAAAACCAACACCACACAAACCAACGATGGCTCTGTTGAGGGTGTCACCCTTGCACTTCAAAAATCTGGGTTTATCTTCTTCGCCACGAGCGGCGGAGATTCTCGACTCCGTATCAGAATTCCTGGACTTGGTATCAGACATTGGAGAGAACAAATAAATAGAATAGCCTATCTGGGGCTGGCGAGAGGTGATTCTTATATCTTTTTCAGCAACAGAAGCTAGACCCACTTGGCTTTTTCTGGGCAGCTTCCCGGGCCCGCAACAAGGTCCCACCCCCGCTGTCATTGAATGCCAAGTGTTGTATGATGTAGTTATGCCTACAAGTGTGGCCCCGGGTGGTTTTGCAACCACAAGTATGGTGTTGTTCCTGGCGCATGAGTCCATGTCGGAATAACAAGGTGGTGCATGAAACGCCTGCATATAGTGTCCCGGTGTGCATGCACACCGGAAGATTTTTCTTTTGCGTGAGGCTTTACGCTGCAGATCCCTGTGTTACCCTAGATCTTCCCCGGACCCTCGCTTCGCGTAGTACTTAGAGGCGCAGAAGGTGCGTCGATGTTTCTTTTTGCAGGTGTTTGACGGTTGCCCTCGGCGCAAGATTTTTCCGGCTTTACCCCCTACCACCCCGCCCGTTGTACCCCTCGTGCCCCTCCCACAACAAAACATCGTCAACCGATTTCATCATTGTAAGCGGGATACCAAGAAACTAGGAGGTTTTTTTTTCTTCGTCCAAGAATGCCCCGTACTTGCGGTTTTGCCCAGGCGCTGGTTGAGCTTTTTCTTAGGCTCCTCCCTCACAATGGTCTCTGCACCACCACCGAGAAAAAACCACGTCTTGACACGGCTTCGTTGTCATAGTTCGTTTGTTCTCCAGGTTTGGGGATTGCGTTTTTCGGCATGGTCCGCGAGAAGAAGAAACGGTGCAACAATGCCCGTCCACTTTGGGTGGTGGTTTTCGAGGTCGACCTTCATTTCTTTTGATTTTGGGATTTTGATTTTTGGTTTTCTACTGGCTGGCTACGATTTTTGGTCGTGGCTTTTGGTCGTGGCTTCTGCGATTTTGGTCTGTGATTTTGGTCCCCGCTGACCCTGGACCCATGGCTTTAGAACATTCCTCTTGGCTCTCGGCAGAACCAGCCCATGCAGCCATGACGTAAGGGCAAAAAACGAGTAGAAAACGAAGAAAATCGGGAAAAAAGTGTTCGTCGGTGGCCTTGGTCGACCAGGGATTGTGAATGACCCAAAATGCAGCGTCTTTACCGCCTCTACCACAGCAGAAAATCCAGCCAAAACGTGGAGAAGCGGCTATTTTCGTGGAATCCGCAGCCAAGGCCTGTTTCATCCCGGGACCGATCTATAGCCCTGGGTCGGGTGCATGGAGCTGATAAACATACAAAGGCCAAGGCGTCGAGGTGGGAAGCCGAAGACGAATGCATCAATGACGAAATTGTGAAAAGGCGGGGGATCCGCTGGCGTTTTTTTTTTTCTTTTGCTTTCTCTGGCGATTGTGTGCTTTTCTTTTGCTCCGGTGGTCCAGGGTACCACTGATGTGATGGCACGTTGCACCGATAACGATAAGGCAGAGGGGATGGGCCAATGAGAGGGGAGGTATAGCGTTGGATTATGAGATGGGAGGGTGGAATTTAGGTTTTTGCCGAGGTCGACTTTCCATATAAGGCGCTGGAATGGTGGATGGTTGGATCCAGTTACGATTTAGTTGGTGGAACGTTTTTCTGACAGAGGTGCTAGAAATGGCGGAAACGGTTTGATAGAGAATTTTGGTTTTGGAGGGACAAAGAGAATTTGATATGGATAATCGTTTTCTGTGGAAGTTCAAGCTGTTCATGGTTAGAAATGCCGAGGAGCATATTACGGGGTTCAGTGAGGGATAGGTGATACCTTGATGGTAGTTCAAAGTCTGAAGTTCAAAATCGTGAGGATCAGAATCGTGAGTTCAAAATCGTGAAGATCAAAATCGTGGAGATCAAAGTCTGAAGTTCAAAATCCTGAAGATCAAAAATGGAATAAGCTTTGCAAGCCACTTGACAAAACTTAGTATGGTAATGTGATGTCTCGAAATTGCTCAAGATCCTAGATTTGGAAGCTCAGTTCTAAAACGACACATGCTGACAAAAGACTTCACAGGCTTCGTAATGGGATATCTGATATTTTTTTTTTTCCTCGAAGCTTTTCAAAGCCTTTTCTTGGATTACACATGCCGAAGATGAACCTCCGGAAGCTGATCAAAATGCTCCAGTCTCCATTATCACAGATCCCTGAAAATCCAGCGTCAATCCAATTCCAAACCGATAACTTCACCAGCCTACACCGCCGTCGAGATCCTGTCTCATTACTATAAATACAACCAGTGTCGTCTATGCCGTTCTAGCAAACTCACACACCCCTGGAGTCTCTGGAGCTCTCCTCCCTGTTGGTGTCTTCCACATGCTTGGCATCGGCCTTTTGGTCCATGAGCCCAGCGTCAGACTCAGCGGAATCGGGAACATGGGAGTACTGCTCGTGAGAAGCTCTGGCCTTGAAGCTCTCGAGATCGTCCTTTTCGTGGAGGAAAGGCATGGTGGCTGCAAGGTGCACAGCCTTCCAGGGCTTCCAGGTGGGCGTTTCTTCGAAAATCAAGTCCATCTCCTCCAAGGTTCTGCCTCTGGTCTCGGGGTACAAGAAGTAGAAAACGGGCACCATGAGGAAGTTGATGGCAAAGAAAATAAGGTATGTGTGGTGATCGATGGAATTGAAGCAGATGGGCGTGATCATCACAACCATAAAGTTGAAGCCCCAGTTGCAGGCGGTGGAGATACCGGTTGTAGGAGCTCTGACTTCAAGGGAGGACACTTCTGGAGGGTACAACCAGGTAAGCGACAAAAGCGACATTCCAAAGAAGGTGTTGAAAGCAAAAAGCAACACGGCAGCACCAATCGAGCCTCCGTCGTTGCCCTGTTCGGCAATCTCCATACACACATAAAGCAACAACATACTCAAGCACTGGCCCGAGGTACCGAAAAGGAAGAGCTTTCTTCTGCCGAATTTTTCGATAACGAAGATGGGAATCAAAGAGGCCAAAAAGTACTCGGTGCCGTTGCACGCGGCCAAAATACGAGACTCCAACGGGTCCATGCCGATGTAACTCTCGAAAATAGTTCCAGCGTAGTAGGTGATCAAGTTGATACCGCAAATCTGCTGCATGACCTGGGACCAGCCGGCCAAGTTGACTCTCTGGAAGTTCTTGCGGGGGCCCTGTCTGACCAAGGCTTTCAAGGAAAATTTGTTACCGCCGGCCTTCTTTTCAGCGTCCAAGGATCTGGCAATATCGTCGCAAAGCAGCTGCACATATGGATGGCTGGGCACCTTATCGTACAAAGAAGCAAACACTTTGGCGGCTTCTTCACGTCTGCTCTGGCCCATAAGCCATCTGGGCGATTCCGGGAACGTGGTGCCGAAACAGCAGATCCCCACTGGGAACACAAGCTGGAACGCAATGGGGAATCTCCAGGAAACCTCTCCGTGGGGCTCCAAGGGTTCTGTGAAGTAGAAGGCAAAGTCGATCCAGTACGAAACGGCAATGCCGAATGTGATCAAGGAGCCGTGGATGCAGAGCATTTTGCCTCTGCTGTTGGCTTTGGAACACTCGGCAGCGTAGAGTGGAACAGTGGCAGTAAGCAAACCGTTGCCTACTCCCGAAATAATCCGAGCCGTGATCAAGAAATCGGTGCTGATGGCAGCGGCTTGCAAAATTCCGCCAATCACAATAATCACACATCCCCAGAAAATCATCTTGACACGGCCAAACTTGTCTCCAATGTACATGGTGGAAAGGGCCCCTAGCAAACACCCCACGGCGTAGATGCCAATGACGAAGCCCTGCCAGATAGCATAGCTCTGCTCGTCGTTGGAAACGGTGTCCATTTCCGGGAAAGTGGCTCTGAACGTCGGAAGCGTCAAAAGAGAACCCATCACTCCCTGGTCATAGCCGAAAAGGAAGAAACCAACACCGCACATGGTGGTAATCACCTTGTTGAGCTTTTCGCCCTTGCACTTGAGGAACTTAGGCACCTCCTCTGTGGTCTGAGAGGTTTTGGACTCTGTTTCTGACATGTTGGATAGGGAAGGAAAAGGGTATTGGGGGTGGGGCTGGGGGAGATTTTGCAGCCATTTATACCCCGGGCTCTAGGGTCTACAATCGACCCCACACAGTCCGATAGACACAGTGCGCCAAGCCGCGCCTCTACACGTATAAACTGCTGTTTCCACAGAGTGGGTGGACGTCATTTTCTTGAGGATCTATGGAGGGGCACCTGGCTCGTGGCGACCCACTATGTGGGCCATTACGCAATTGTACTGCACCCAGTCCTGCACACAAGACGGGGTCTGTTTTTCTTGTGCGTGGCGATTCTCCGGCTTGCGTTGCTGCCTCTGCAGCCCCGTAAAAAGTGCTTTAGCCGTTTGCACCACGCAGCAGGCCGGAGAAACTCCGCTACCCCAGATTTTCCGGCTTCTCTAGCGACATTTCGCCATTTCTCATCCTCCCCAAATCCCAGCTATGTCATATGCACCTGTCATTTTTTTCTGTTACGAGAAGGCCGTGGTCAAGAAAAATTCCTTCTAGGTGCCGGTGGTCATGTACACCTCGAGACGTGTTGCAAGTCGATTTTTCTTGTCCACCGTGAACAAGAAAAGTGGGCCTTCGGACGCCGCAGCACAGTTCCGTTTTCATGGAATCCCGAGCTGCAGAATCTGGCCTCGACGGTGAAGCCGAAGCCTTAATCGACTTTTCGAAAAGATGGTAAATTCTACTTTTCCATATTAAATTATAACAGTAGGAGCCTCGGCGTTAGCCGTGCTGGAGGGGTACGCCGTCAGTCTCTGGACAGACCTATTGTGTTTCTATAGAGAACAGCAACACCACATTCGAACAGGACACTCCCGAACAGGAAACGCATTCGACGCGGGATTGTCTCAATAGCTGTCGACGGACATATTGAAGCGAGGCGGTGATTCCTCTTTCTTTTTGGTTTTTCTGTGTTTTCATGTTTTGCTTACCGTGGGGCTCTAATTCCGTCTCCACCCTCTCACCCAAAATTAACTCAACAGACTGAAAACCTTAAAACCAAAAACCTCACGAGCTTCGCTTTATGCTCCGGCTTGGCGGCTTGGGCCATCACTGGTCAAACGCAGTAATGGTAGTTGCACTGGTAGTTGCATAGAAGCGAGAGATCTGGGCTCCGATTGTCGCTACGCTACGAAAACGACAAAGCACAAGAAATACACAATACAGAGGCCTCTGCCGATAAAAACTGATACGACTGGTGGCTCGACAAGCGTGAATGCTGCGTTCGTGCTAAGAAATCCGCAGCAGAGCGGTAATCCAGATGGGCCAGGTGTGATTGACTATTTGTTGTTTTTTTTGATTTTCTGGAGGTTTGTAATTGAAGGAGACGTTTGTAATTGAAGGAGACGTTTGTAATTGAAGGAGAGGTTTGTAATTGAAGAAGAGGTTTGGGATTTATTAGGTCTGTGTGGTGGTCGAGGGTGGTCGAGGCATTATCACGTAGAGAAGAAACCGCTATGCAACACAAAATAGAAAAAGTGCCAGGCAAAAATAATTCCCGACAATCACAGCAACAAACAGTGTTCAGGAAATCAGGTGGACGTCTCACCGGCTATGCTTGCTTTTTCTGGACTCCGATAAGGATGTGTAGGGGTGTGAGTCTGTGTTCGTAACGCCGATGCTGATCGGAATAGTTACTGGTTCAGGATCGGGTCTTTGGTTTCAGGGCTCATGAACAATAGAGGGTTCCAAAGGGCCTGGTCTAGCTCGGCGATAGCAGCTGGTGATTGAAGGAATCTCGGGCCTAAGAGATTCCATCGAGGGGAGGGGCAGATGGTGTATTTAAGCTTGGAGAGCTCCTCGTTTGGAGGTGGGTTTTCAGGTGGGCCGCCTCCCCGTACTTGTCTCCTCCTCACCAATTCCTCCGACGGCCCAACCCCACAACCACCATGTGGTTGAAAACCACCGAATTCTTTGAAAACAACAAGATATTTGTATGATCGAAGGAAATGGTCTATTTTTTGAACACAACCCGATTGCAACTGTGATTTGTTCATCGTTACAAGTGGGTTGAGGCAAACAAGATGACGATAACTTGATTGTTCATATATCGCCTGGAATCGCTGAACCTGTGAAATCCCCATACCCTCTTCCTCAGTCATATAGATTCTAGGTATTTGATATCATAACTTTATCTCATGAATTGCAGAGATTGGGCTTTATACTCTCCAGAGGTCTACCCGTGTTCCAATCACGACTACATGGTAACACTATAAACCTCCTGAACCAACAGTTGCAGCACTGGTTCCGTTAGTATGTTATTGAACTGGTCTCGTCACAGCTCAAGAGCACAGTAGTGGTCAGCAAGACTCAATAAAACCTCAAGGGGCATAATATCGTGGATGGTCCTGAAGGGGGGTGGGCTCCATTAGGTTTTTGGTTTGGGGTGTTTTTCGGTGGATAAGGGATCGTATTTTGGATGTTGCATCCCCGTATTGGCCGTATTGAATTCTGAAGGATTGTTATTTACGAGCGATGGTTTTGGAATAGAGGCTTACGTTGGTGTTAGGGATTGGTAAGCTGATAGACAGTAATCAAGCAGGGCATTAATGCTTTTTCAATGTCAGGCCTTGGTTTGAACATTGCTTTTTGGGGCGAATTGGAGGGGTGGTAAATCGGTTTATTGTATTGATTAGTCAGTATACGGCAATTGCTTGTTCGGGCAGAAACGCTTACTCTTTTGTATTGATTTGTGGAGCTGGCTTGACAGCTATTAAGAGGCATGAGCTTTTCGATGCAATGAGCAAAAACTTGGAGGTCCAATCTATCAAACCTGTTGATATCACGATATTAGCGTCAGAAGCAGTAGCATACGCATGAACCGTAGATTGGATCTCAGATCCAAACCGTAGATGGGAACTAAAGATATGAAGAAAGTAAGGCGCTGCACGAATTCAGCACTAGTCTAAGTTTATGATCAGAAATCAACATCGATTAGACGACACTGATGGAGCAAACAAGCATTGCAGGAATCTTCATTTTTGAATGCAACGAAAGCGGAAGCTCCAGCCAAACCAGTGACTGTCAATCACAGGCAATGCGTATTTAACAGGGCCAAATGTGTTGAAATGGGTAGTCAAGGATTCCTTGTGTGCGTCGTAAGGAATGTTTCTGACGAAGGTAGATTACGCATCTTTATTCTGCTCTTCTTTCTCCTCCTCCTCCTCTTTTCTTCCTCTTCATCATCCTCGTCCATGTCATCTTCCTTCTTCACCTTGTCACCATTGAGTTCGTCGAACTCAGAGTCATCTTCGTTTTCGGAGTTAACCTCAGAGACCTCTTCCTCCTTCACCTCAAACTCCTCTTCACTTCCCTCCTTGACTTCTCTCTGTTGTTTCTTGAATGACGGATGGACATCTGATTGTACCTTGTCATCATTAGGCCGTAAGCTTAATTTTCAGAATACACTCATGAAGGCTTCTTGAACAATACCGCCTTAAACCAGAACATAACATTCTACTTGATACCCCAAAATCTTATAATCGTTCTTTTACTTGAGAGCAAATCGAGCGTTTTAACATCGCTAATTTGGTAGCTAAGGATATGATCAAAGGAACGACGTCTAGACAGTGGGGAGAGTGAATCTACTGTGCCTTGGGTGCAAGAGAAGCAAGCGGATGCCTTGGATAGACGCAAGAGGGGCAAGCAGATGAAGGGCACCTTTTGTTTCAATTGGACGTTTACTACAGCAATCACGAAAGATAGATCGTCAACACCTTTGTATCGTAGTGTACTTCCTCCTAGCTGGAGACCTGAGAAGTTCCCAAACACTAAAAGCGAAAATGTTTAAATTAAGCAATGTTGTCCTTCATGACTCAAGATCTAAAAAACGCCTAATAATGATATTCAACCCTAGGGTATAGACCTTGTCGTGCATGCACCTAAGAGCACCAGTACGCCCCAATCTCGGCTCGGAGTTTTCCACATCCGGGCACACAACCGTCCGTTTGGATCCAGGCCAACCAACGTGGCCAATAGCTTATTTTGGATTTCAAAACTGATTTTGAGATTCAATGTGATAGCATAGCTCAAAACAGATACAGATTTAATAATTTGTAGATTGCTTTCGATGGGGCCTAGTAAGCATTGAAGGACCTTCCATAATATAGACGTTCACGGACAAGTCCCAATTGATAAAGCACAACCTTTCCAAATTCTGAACTTTGAATCGATAAGCCACTCTTGAAATGGCACTAGTTTAGAGATCTACAGAGAAGGCTTTCATGCAGCGTCTACACCGAGACCAACAAAGCAAATGTCTGGATCCCTCCAGGCACCAAAAGCCCATGAAGCATATCTATTTACGGGTACTCCAAAAGCTCCAAAAAGGCATTCCTTAAAAATGCACAAAAGCAGCTGTTTCAGAATCCACACCGTGCACAACCTCAGGCTGTTACCCACCCGAATCCACCGTTTTCCATCAATCTGCTTTGTTTCACAGTAGACAATCCGTACTATACCTGCTACGCCGCTACTACGCCGCTTTCAGGGGCCCAGACTTAAGCCTCGACGACCCAAACTTCCCAGATCTCAGAATCTCAGAATCTCGAGATTTTTCAGATTTTTCAGATTTTTCAAACCACCAAAACCTCATATTTGGCGCCGTCGAACCCTCTTTTTTTGACACACCCGGCCAGTTGGTGACGTCAGGCGGCCTGAAGGCCTCGTTCTCCGTCTGTCGCTGGATCAATGGGCGTGGATCGCCTAGAATGGCTGCGAAAAAGCACGACAACGGTGTCACTGCGCCTGCAGCGTTGGGCCACATTTTGGCCCTGTTTCAGAAACGTTTGAAAAGTGGCGACGGAAACAGAAGACTGAAAAAACCACGATTTGGGGAATCCGCTGCTTTTATAGTTGTTTTTCGAATCCCGTGGGTTTCGTGTTTTCCGGGGTGTTTCTGCCTCGGCGATGCAGCCAACATACTCCGAGGACTATGCACGACGTTTTCAACAAAACATCTTCAGAACCAAAAAGCCCATCACCTCTACATGGCCATTTCCTAATTCTTCGAATCCTAAATCCTAGATCTTCCAAATCCCAAAATCCTAGAATCCCTCCCTTCTCCCAATTTCCAGGTTTGTGCCTTGCAGATTCGCAGCCAACGATTCCTGCGCCCAACTTTCTGTTGTTGGGATGCACTGCATTAGCTTAAATACTCCGGCTCGCCTTCTTTTCCCACCAAGTCTTTTAGTACGTAAAATCCGACTTACAGGTGGGCGGAGCACGGAGAAACGGGAATATCGAAGAATCACAATTTGGAAGAACCCCAATTGAACAGTCAGAGTCGCCCCAACGCGTTCCAATCTGACCCAGCCAGCCAGCACTACCACCCAAACAAACCAACTCACCCAAACAAATCACGATCCACCAATCAAAATTGGCACAATATCTCTTTTTGACCCCCCTTGACTCGTCAAATCCAAAATTACCCCTATTCCAAATTCACCCACTGGCTCCCTGGTAGTCCTGCGCCGACTCCTACTACTCATTGTGCGCATCACCAAAACCAAACCCACCTCCACCTCCATACCCCCACCGACTACGGCCCAGCTGCATGCGCACGGGCGTTTTCCGCTTTACTAACCTCCTCAGCCGCAGACACCTTGTACATACCTGGCACCCGTGCCGCTCTCTATCCCACAGAATGTCCTCCCAACCGCAAATACCCAGCTCCTTCTTTGGGCTCAACCTGGTGTCCCGGGCGGAACCGGGGCCCGTCACCGAGTTCGTCAAGGCCCACCTGGGCCATACCGTGATCCTGAAGGTTTTGATTGCCAACAACGGTATTGCTGCCGTGAAAGAAATACGGTCCGTGAGAAAATGGGCCTACGAGACGTTTGGCGACGAAAGAGCCGTCCAGTTTGTCGCCATGGCCACCCCGGAGGACTTGGAGGCCAACGCCGAGTACATCCGCATGGCCGACCAGTGTGTCGAGGTGCCCGGCGGCACGAACAACAACAACTACGCCAATGTCGAGTTGATTGTCGAAATCGCAGAGAGAACAAATGTCCACGCCGTGTGGGCCGGCTGGGGCCACGCCTCGGAAAACCCCATTTTGCCCGAGATGTTGGCGGCCCTGCCCAAAAAAATCGTGTTTATCGGCCCCCAGGCTCCGCCATGAGGTCCTTGGGTGACAAGATCTCCTCCACAATCGTTGCACAGCACGCAGACGTGCCCTGTATCCCTGGTCCGGTACGGGCGTGCTGGACGTTGAAATTGACAACGAATCGAAATTGGTCTCGGTGTCCGAAGAGACTTACGCCAAGGGCTGCTGCACGAGTCCGGAAGACGGCTTGGAAAAAGCCCGCCAGATCGGTTTCCCCGTCATGATCAAGGCCTCCGAAGGTGGAGGCGGTAAAGGTATCCGTAAGGTCGACAACGAGGACGATTTCATCTCCTTGTACAACCAGGCTGCCAACGAGATTCCTGGCTCTCCAATTTTCATCATGAAGTTGGCCGGTTCCGCCAGACACTTGGAGGTGCAGTTGCTAGCGGACCAGTACGGTACCAACATCTCGCTTTTCGGCAGAGACTGTTCTGTCCAGAGACGTCACCAGAAGATCATTGAAGAGGCCCCAGTCACCATTGCAAACCAGGAGACTTTCCGTGGCATGGAGAATGCCGCCGTTCGTCTAGGAAAACTTGTCGGTTACGTTTCCGCCGGTACCGTCGAGTATCTTTATTCCCACGCCGACGACAAGTTCTACTTTCTTGAGTTGAACCCACGTTTGCAGGTCGAGCACCCTACCACCGAGATGGTCACCGGTGTCAACTTGCCTGCTGCCCAGTTGCAGATTGCCATGGGTATACCGATGCACAGAATCAGAGACATCAGAACGCTTTACGGTGTCGACCCTCACACTTCCACCGAAATCGACTTTGAGTTCAAGCTGGAGTCTGCCTTGACCACCCAGCGTCGCCCCAAGCCTAAGGGCCACTGTACCGCTTGTCGTATCACCTCGGAGGACCCCGGTGAAGGGTTCAAGCCTTCCGGTGGTTCTCTTCACGAATTGAACTTCCGTTCTTCCTCCAACGTCTGGGGTTACTTCTCGGTGAGCAACCAGTCGCTGATCCACTCCTTTTCCGACTCCCAGTTTGGTCACATCTTCGCTTTTGGCGAGAACCGTCAAGCCTCCAGAAAACACATGGTGGTGGCTCTCAAAGAATTGTCCATCCGTGGTGACTTCCGTACCACCGTCGAGTACCTTATCAAGTTGTTGGAAACCCCCGACTTCGAGGACAACACCATCACCACGGGCTGGTTGGACGAGTTGATTACGAAGAAGTTGACTGCGGAAAGACCAGACCCTATTCTTGCTGTCTTGTGTGGTGCTGCCACCAAGGCCTTCATTCTTTCAAGAGACGACAAGAAGGAGTACACCACCTCCCTCGAAAAGGGTCAGGTGCCCAACAAATCCCTTTTACGAACCATCTTCCCTATCGAGTTTATTTACGAGGGACACAAGTACAAGTTCACGGCCACCATGTCGTCTGAAGATGCTTTCACGCTATTCTTGAACGGTACAAGAGCCGTCGTCGGTGTCAGATCCTTGTCTGACGGAGGCTTGTTGTGCTCTATCGGCGGCCAGTCCCACTCTATTTATTGGAAGGAGGAGCCCTCGGCCACTCGTTTGTCTGTTGACGGAAAGACCTGTCTTTTGGAGGCCGAGAACGATCCAACCCAGTTGAGAACTCCTTCCCCTGGTAAGCTTGTGAAGTACACTGTGGAGTCTGGTGAGCATGTTCTGGCCGGTCAGCCTTACGCTGAGGTTGAGGTCATGAAGATGTGCATGCCTTTGGTTGCCCAGGAAAACGGTGTGGTTCAGACCATCAAACAGCCTGGCTCCACCGTCAATGCTGGTGACATTTTGGCCATCTTGGCTTTGGACGATCCTTCTAAGGTCAAGCATGCCTTGCCATTCGAAGGCCTCTTGCCTGAGATGGGTGAACCAAGCATTCAGGGTACCCGTCCAGTTCATAAGTTCAAGAAGTACTCTACTATTTTGAGAAACATCTTGGCTGGATACGACAACCAGGTCATCATGAACTCGACCTTGAAGAACTTGACCGAAGTCTTGCGTGACAAGGAGTTGCCATACTCCGAATGGGCCATGCACTGTTCTGCTTTGCACTCCAGATTGCCTCCTAAGTTGGACGAAGCCATGACTGCTCTTATCGAGAGATCCCACTCCAGAGGTGCTGAATTCCCAGCCAAGAACCTTTTGAAGCTCATCAGCAAGGCTGAGAAGGAGAGTGGTGACTCTCTTTTTGGTGCTGTTGTTGCTCCTTTGGTTGAAGTTGCTACCAACTACGCCAGTGGTTTGGTTGAGCATGAATACAACTTCATCGCCAGTTTGATCAACGAGTACTATAATGTCGAGTCTTTGTTCTCTGGCTCCAGCCATCGTGAGGAGGACGTCGTTTTGAAGCTCAGAGACGAGAACAAATCCGACTTGTCCAAGGTGCTGACCTACGCTCTTTCCCACTCCCGTGTTTCCGCCAAGAACAACTTGATTTTGGCTATTCTCGAAGACTACCAGCCTATCTTGCAGCAATCTGCTACCATCGCCTCTCCTATCAGAGAAGCCTTGAGAAACATCGTTGAGCTTGAGTCTCGTGGTACTGCCAAGGTCGCCTTGAAGGCCAGAGAAATCTTGATTCAGTGCTCTTTGCCCTCGATCAAGGAGAGATCCGACCAGTTGGAGCACATCTTGAGATCCGCTGTGTTGCAGACCTCCTACGGTGAGGTTTACGCCAAGTACAGATCTCCAGCTTTCGACACTATCCGTGAGGTTGTTGACTCCAAGCATACCGTGTTTGATGTTTTGCTCCAGTTCCTCGTCAACGCTGACGAGTGGGTTGCCATGGCTGCCGCTGAGGTTTACGTTCGTCGTTCCTACAGAGCTTACTCCTTGGGTCCTATCACCTACAACTTCCACGACCAGGAGAAGTTGCCAATTATCCAGTGGGCTTTCCAGTTGCCTTCTCTCTCTTCTCACGCTGCTCCTTACGCCAGCTTCAAGAAGGACGAGTCTAGCTCCATGGGCAGAGCTGCCTCTGTGTCTGACTTGTCTTTTGTTGTTGACAACAAGAAGGAAGGTAAGATCAGAAGCGGTATTTTGGTCCCTTGCAAGCACATTGACGACATGGACGACATGCTTCTTGCTGGTCTTGACAAGATGGAGCCAGCTGACGCTATCTCTTTCCAAGCTGGTGCTGAACCCGAGTACATGAACGTTGTCAACGTTGCTGTTACCAACATCGATGGTTACGAAACCGAAAAGGAGGTTTTGGAGAAGGTGCACGAGACCATTGAGGATAACAGAGAGGAGTTGAAGGCTGCTGCTGTTCGTCGTATCACTTTCGTCTTTGGAAACAAGGTTGGTACTTACCCCAAGTACTACACCTTCACTGCTCCTGACTACATCGAGAACAAGGTCATCAGACACATTGAGCCTGCCTTGGCCTTCCAGTTGGAATTGGGAAGAATGGAGAACTTCGACATCAAGCCAATCTTTACCGACAACAGAAACCTCCATGTTTACGAAGCTGTGGGCAAGAACTCGCCCTCTGATAAAAGATTCTTCACCCGTGGTATCATCAGAACTGGTGTTATCAGCGAGGACATCTCCATCAGCGAGTACTTGATCGCCGAGTCCAACAGATTGATGTCTGACATCTTGGACGCTTTGGAGGTCATCGACACCTCCAACTCCGACTTGAACCACATTTTCATCAACTTCTCTGCCGTTTTCAACGTCACTCCAGAGGATGTCGAGGCTGCCTTTGGCTCCTTCTTGGAGAGATTCGGCAGAAGATTGTGGAGATTGAGAGTCACCTGCGCTGAAATCAGAATTTCTTGTGTTGACCCAACCTCGGGCCAGCCTTTCCCATTGAGAGCCATCATCAACAACGTCTCCGGCTACGTCGTCAAGTCAGAGTTGTACATGGAAATCAAGAACGGCAAGGGCGAGTGGGTGTTCAAGTCTATTGGTCATCCTGGCTCCATGCACATGAGATCTATCAACACTCCATACCCAGCCAAGGAGTCCTTGCAGCCTAAGCGTTACAAGGCTCACAACATGGGTACGACTTATGTCTACGACTTCCCCGAGTTGTTCCGTCAAGCTACTATCTCCCAGTGGAAGAAGCACGCCAAGGATGGTAAGGTCCCAAGAGACTTCTTCCTTTCTGAGGAGTTGATCAATGACGACAACGGAGGCTTGACTGCTGTTGAAAGAGAGCCTGGCTCGAGCAAGATCGGTATGGTTGGTTTCAAGGTCAACGCCAAAACGCCCGAGTACCCTCATGGCCGTCAGTTCATCATTGTTGCCAACGACATCACCCACAAGATTGGTTCCTTCGGACCTGAGGAGGACGAGTTCTTCAACAAGTGTACTGAGTTGGCTCGTTCCTTGGGTGTTCCAAGAATCTACCTTTCTGCCAACTCTGGTGCCAGAATCGGTGTTGCCGAGGAGTTGCTTCCATACTACAAGGTTGCCTGGAACGAGGAAGGCCAGCCTGAGAAGGGCTTCAAGTACTTGTACTTGACTTCTGAGGACAAGACACTCCTTGAAGAAAAGGGCAATGCTGCTTCTGTGGTAACCGAAAGAGTCGTGGAGAAGGGTGAAGAGCGTCACGTTATCAAGACCATTGTCGGTGCCGAGAACGGCCTTGGTGTTGAGTGTCTTAAGGGTTCTGGTTTGATCGCCGGTGCCACTTCCAAGGCCTACAAGGATATCTTCACAATCACCTTGGTGACATGCAGATCCGTCGGTATTGGTGCTTACTTGGTCAGGTTGGGTCAGCGTGCTATTCAGATCGAAGGCCAGCCTATCATTTTGACTGGTGCTCCCGCTATCAACAAGTTGTTGGGTAGGGAGGTTTACTCTTCCAACTTGCAGCTTGGTGGTACCCAGATCATGTACAGAAACGGTGTCTCCCACTTGACTGCCTCAGACGATTTGGCCGGTGTCGAGAAGATCATGGAGTGGATGTCTTACATTCCTGCCAAGAGAAACACTCCTGTTCCTATCTTGAACAGCACGGACCCATGGGACAGAGACGTGGAGTTTGCTCCAGCTCAAAAAGTGCCTTACGACGTCAGACACATGATTACTGGTCGTGAGAACGACGACGGTGAATTCGAAGCCGGTTTGTTCGACAAGGACTCTTTCCAGGAGACTTTGTCTGGATGGGCCCGTGGTGTTGTGGTTGGTAGAGCCCGTCTTGGTGGTATTCCAATTGGTGTCATTGGTGTGGAGACCAGAACCGTCGACAACTTGGTTCCCGCTGATCCTGCCAACCCAGACTCCACTGAGATGATGTTCCAGGAGGCTGGTCAAGTTTGGTACCCTAACTCTGCTTTCAAGACCGCCCAGGCCATCAACGACTTCAACCACGGTGAGCAGTTGCCATTGATGATCTTGGCCAACTGGAGAGGTTTCTCTGGTGGTCAGCGTGATATGTTCAACGAGGTTCTCAAGTACGGTTCCTACATTGTGGATGCTTTGGTCGACTTCAAGCAGCCAATCTTCACATACATCCCACCACATGGTGAGTTGAGAGGTGGTTCTTGGGTCGTTGTGGACCCTACCATCAACGCCGACATGATGGAGATGTACGCTGACGTCGAGTCCAGAGCTGGTGTTTTGGAGCCCGAGGGAATGGTCGGCATCAAGTACAGAAGAGACAAGTTGTTGGCCACTATGGGCAGATTGGACCCTGAGTACCGCGAGTTGAAGGCTCAGCTCAACGGCAAGCTTGATGCTGATGAGCACGCCAAGGTGGGTGCCAAGTTGGCTGCTCGTGAGAAGGCCTTGATGCCTATCTACGCCCAAATCTCGGTCCAGTTTGCCGATTTGCACGACAGATCTGGCAGAATGTTGGCCAAGGGTGTCATTAGAAAGGAGATCGAGTGGGTTGACGCCAGACGTTTCTTCTTCTGGCGTTTGCGCAGAAGATTGAACGAGGAGTACCTCTTGAAGTTGATTGGCGAGACCATCAAGACCGGCTCGCGTTTGGAGAGAGTGGCCCGTTTGAAGAGTTGGATGCCTACCGTTGACTACGACGACGATGAGGCCGTCAGCACATACATTGAGACGAACCACGCCAAGTTGCAGAAGAGAATCGACGAGTTGAAGTCGGAGCAGAACCGCCACGACTTGCACAAGCTTTTTAGAAAAGACGGTGGTGCCGCCAGCGCCGCCATCAAGGATTTCTTGAGCTCCATGTCGGATGCCGACAGACAGTCCTTGCTCAGAAACCTCTAATCATTCATTATGGCCTATAGATAGTAATTAAAAGATATATGAAGGGAGGTGTAGTTCGGTGAATAGAATGACAATTGACAGGATTGTTTTTTGTCAACTCTGAGTATTCTAGAATTTCCGATGATTCTGGAGTTGTTCTAGTAGTGTAGTTGTTGAGAATGGAGATTACTTGGTTATGTTGAGAATGGAGATTACTGGCCTATAAGTTGCCACAATTGCATTATTATAGCAGGAGTGAAAGAATCGAATTTGCAATGAATTGAAGCCAACCAAGAGGCTGCTTTCATTCTATGCTTTTTGTGGTCCTCCTATACCAAAAATCACTTCCTCAGTAGATGCACTGTACTACTAGAAGTGTTGATACACCTAGCAAATCAGCCAAACAACACCGATTTACGACGCATTTCTTCATGGTTTCATTTCATCAAAAAACACAATTTTCTCTTTTTCCCCAAAATCCCGTTGAATTGTATTCTTCCTCACTTTAACTGGCCTCCACCTTCGCATTTGCAGCCATTCGTACCATGCTTCTTTTCAACCTCCTCCACACGTTTCTCCTCTTTTCCGTCGTCGCCGGCCTGAACCGCCACCTCGTGGTCCTCAAGGCCTCCGAGACCCTCGATCTGTTCATGAAATACGATCTTTCCGTTCCCAAAGCCCACAGAGCTCGAGAGTTCATAGGAAAGCAGTTCCAGATCGGCAATCTCCACGGGTTTGTGGGCAATTTCCTGGCGTCTGTTCTAGAAAGACTCAAGCGGTGCCCCATGGTCGCCGAAGTCACTCCCGATATCGAGATTCTGGCTTTTCAGGTTGTAGAGCAGCACAATCCACCTACACACTTGGCACACCTTTCCAGCCGGGACAAACGGGTCACGCAGTACAGACAGCAGCCGTACTACTACGACGACGAGGAAATGGGGAAAAACGTCAACGTGTACATTGTGGATCTGGGGATGGCGCTTGAACATGGCGAGTTTGAAGGTCGAGCGTTTTTTGGAAAAGACTTCACCAACGAAGGCAGTGGCGATACCAACGGGCACGGGACGCACGTTGCTGGGATTGTTGGGTCTGCTACGTACGGCGTGGCAAAAAAAGTCCGGCTTTTCGAAGTCAAAACCTTGGATAAGCAGGGCCAGGGCACACTTTCTGGGATTCTAGGAGCCATGGAGTTTGTGGTGACCCACCGGCGCCGGGCCAAGGTTCCTGGGGTAGTTAATCTTTCCCTTGGAGCGGTGAAAAACAGCATTTTGAACAGGGCCGTGGATGCTGCTGCTGCTACTGGGGTAGTGGTGGTAGTAGCAGCTGGAAACACCAATGAGGATGCCTGTCGAACCTCCCCAGCGAGTGCCAAAGGTGCTATTACCGTTGGCGCTGTGGACGAGCTGACGATGTCCTTGGCGGAGTTTCTGAACTGGGGCAGTTGTGTCGATTTGTACGCTTCTGGCGTGGAGGTGTCTTCTGTGGATCCACACGGTGAGGAAGCCCAGATTCTTACCGGGACGTCCATGGCGGCGCCTGCTGTGGCTGGAGTGGCGGCATCTTTGCTTTCTGGCGGGATTTCGCCGTATGACGTGAAAAAAGAGTTGGTTTCGTTGGCGGTGGATTCGATGATTCCGCTGAAGAAGGCGAGAAACCGGGTTTTGTACAACGGGATGGACCCGTGGAGAGTTCCGAAGAGGGGGAGTTTAGTGAAGAGAGCGAGGAGGAGGGAGGGTTCTGGAGAGGTCCCCGCTGGTGGTGGGGCAGTCGAGGCGGCTTGATTTGATTGGGAGGTGAGAGTTGGATTGAAAGGTTAATTGGAATTGTTCTGATGGAGTTCGTGGTAGGTTAGGGATTTCAGGAGGTGGCAGTTTATTGGCGAAAAATTTGACTTGATGAGTTTCAATAATATTTTCAGTAAGATTCTCTCCATCCAAAAGTAGACTTCTTGAAGCTTTGCGATCCTGAGAATAACCCAATGAAATGCATTTAGCTCCAGGAGGAAAGAATTTCTCACCAGCCTTAACCTTGAGTTTACGAAAAACTCCCAAGCATCCGAATGGAGATTTATCCCAGTTATGGAATACGTTCCTGTTGGTATCAGATAAATAGTGGAATGTTCCAATAATTCAGGGAATTCGGACAGTTGTTTAGGGTATAACATGCTGCTTTAAAAGCTTCAGGCCAGAGACTTATTGGTAAACCACTGTGTAAAAGTAAAACACGACCTTTATTCAGTAAAGCCCGAATAGCTCTCTCAGCGATACCAGGAGGGAAGGGCCTGGAAACGGGATTTGTGTGTTTGGTCTGCTCTCTGGTCCATGTGTAGTGGCTACTTCAGGAGATCCGTCAAGTATGACACTCACTTTGAGAGGCGGGATTTTAGGTCCAATGGCCCAATTCTGAAATTAATCGTAGCTTCAAAATCATCATTCAATAGAGAAATGTGCCACTTCTTGAGTCAGGGTAAACCCAAATCCGTCTGTTTCGGCTTCCCATACGTCGATACTCTCAAAATCTTAAAGAAGTTTGGTCCGGCTGCTATTTTCTCGGTCATGGTGCTTCCTTGGATGCCCTCGAAGCCGAATTGAAGTCTGGCGAGACCGAAATCTCTGCTTTTTTCTGTGGGTGTCCTCGAATCCACTTCTCAAGACGCCAGACTTGCAACGTATCAAAGCTCTTTCCGAATAATACAACTTCCTTGTGATTGTGGACGAGACTGTGGGTGATTTTTTGAATATTTCTGTGTTGCCATATGCCGATATGGTGGTATCGTCGCTTACCAAGGTTTTCTCTGGAGATTCCAACGGTGGCTCGCTTATTTGAACCCATTGTCGGAGAACTACAAGCGGTTGAAACAGTACTTCGATGAGAACTATGAGGATCTTTATTGGGCCGAGGATGCGCTTTACCTCGAAAGGAATTCCAGAGATTTCGAGGCCAGAGCACGCATCATTGACCAGAATGCTGAAGAGGTTGTCTAATTGCTACAGGATAGCGATATCATCTCGGAGGTTTTCTACCCACGACTTTTAGATCTCGAAGTTGCCAAACGACTGTGAGCTTTTACGGTAAAACTGGTGAAATACTTTGATGTTTATTGAATTAACACCAAAAGTGGCACTTTGGTTCAAATGCATAAATGGTACACACCACCACTTCTCTGAACCAAGAATGAGTCTATATTGGTCGAATTCTGTTGAGAATGGAGAAATTGGTTAGTTTCTAGTTGCAAAGGGTTAGAGAGACTCAATTTGCTTTCTTTATCCTGATAGCAAATTTCTATAAATTGTCACATTGCTCATTTCTTATACTGGATTTCCACTTTTCGCCTAATGCACCAGATTAACCACAAATTGTAAAAACCTACAACCATAAAAAAACACCGTAGCTCTGAAAATCATCAAATAGTACGCCCAATCCCAGCATTTTCACACTTTCTCTTCCAAACGGACAAACGGATCATTTCAACTCATCCTGGGGACCCTTTTCCTACACGACTCCTGGCGGGTATCTCACCGTGCGGCTCACTCAACTATATAAGGACCCCTGTTCCGCCACTTTTGCTCACTCCTCACTTTTTTTTTTTCTATGGCAATTAAACGAAAATCCCAGAAAAGAAAACCAGCGTCACCCAGTATGACCCACCCCACTCGTAGCCGCCTCTTCTCACCCATCTAACCAACAGCCCCACCGGACGCGTCTCCAGATCAGGATGCCCAAGGCGATAGAGGATACAACACAGCTGCTCCCTCAACGGTGGCCCCTTTTTCCGCTTTCCGTACTCCTTACCTCAATTCGAGTCATTGGGCGGGCGTGGAAGGCATGGGCCATGGGCCCGACCGCTTCTATCGAGTTTACGGCGACGACAAGCTGTCTGCCAAGACTGAGAACACCCAAGCCGGCGATGCTGCTCTGAATGGCGACCCGTATCCAGCATGGGCACCAAGCGAACAAATGCCTGTTTCACGCAATAAAATTGGGGCCATCATGAACCACTTGACCAAGGTGTTCGGCTTCCAGGAGGATAACGCTAAGAACATGTATCACTATTTGATGCGGATGCTTGACTCCAGAGCCTCCCGAATGGGGCCTCAAAACGCATTGCGTACACTTCACGGTGACTACATCGGCGGGCCAAACGCTAACTTACGTAAATGGTACTTTGCTGCTGAGATGGATATCGACGATGCTCATGGCTGGGCAAACGTCAAGAGAAACGGAATCATCAGGCAGACTAAGGAGAGAGTTACCTCTTATGAACGTGCCGTTGAGCTGTGGTACAAGAATATGCTGCGCTTGACCCCAATTGACTATGTCACCCAGCTCTCCCTCTTCTTGTTGTGCTGGGGAGAGGCTAACAACGTGCGTTTCATGCCTGAGTGTCTTTGCTTCATCTTTAAGTGCTGTAATGACTACTACTATTCTCTTGATGAAGAGAACGAGACGGAGTCCAACGTCCCCTTCTTGGATCGTATCATTACTCCCATATATGATACCTATCGCAAGCAGTGCTACGATGTCAAAGGAAACGACATGAGCAGAAGCGATAGGGATCACTCCTCTATCGTTGGTTATGACGATATGAATCAGTTGTTTTGGCATCGTGCTGGAATTGAGCGCATCACATTAGGTGACTCAACTCCTCTCATGTACTTGAATCGCGAGGACCGGTATCATCTGTTTGGTGAGGTCAATTGGGAGCGGGCGTTTTACAAAACATACCACGAGACACGTTCTTGGCTTCATGTCTTTACAAACTTCAACAGAGTGATTCTCATTCACTTTTGTGTGTTTTGGATCTATACTTCCTTCAACTCGAAGCCTCTCTACACTCCAAACTACTCGATAACCGTCGATGAAAGAACTCCAGCCCAGGCAACTCTTACTGTGATGGCTTTGGCTGGAAGTTGGGCATGTCTTATTTCGCTCGTAAGTTTATTGCTTGAATTGTGCTTCGTTCCCAGAAAATGGCCTGGGGCTCATCCTGTGCTACGTCGAATTATCTCAATCGTGATTCTTTTTGTCATCAACACAACTCCTACCATTGTTTTATTCTTCACGTCTAGACTTAACGACAGAAACACACTTTCAGTTGTCGTCACATCTATTCAATTGGCTTTTGCCTTTGGCGTGATTTTATACTTGGTTTTTAAGACCCAGGGAAACCAGTTCGGCGCTCGACCCATCGGACGCACCGCTTTTGCCTCAGAAGCTTTTACTTCCAACTTTTTTACCTTAAAAGGTTCTGATAAACTTGCATCGTATGGCTTGTGGGTGTGCGTCTTCACTTCAAAGTTTTTGGAATCTTACTTTTACTTGACTCTTTCACTCAAAGATCCTTTGCGGGAGCTTTTCATTATGAGGGTCAACAGATGTGTCGGTGATGAGTGGATAGGCTCCTGGCTTTGCAATGCACAACCCCGTATAATTCTTGTTTTGATTGTGGTTCTCGACTTCATCCTTTTCTTCTTGGATACCTATTTGTGGTATGTGATATGGAATACAGTTATTTCTGTCCTTCGGTCATTTTACATTGGAGCATCCATCTGGACCCCTTGGAGAAACATATTTTCGAGACTACCAAAACGAATTGCCTCCAAGGTCTTGGTGACAAACAGTAATAACAAACATGGCCAAAAGATTCAAGTGTCGAAAGTCTGGAATTGTCTCATCATTGCGATGTACCGAGAGCATTTCTTATCAATCGAACAAGTGCACCGATTGCTCTACGAGTTCACGTACACTTGCAATGACGATGGTAACGTGGTGATTCGTGAGCCTACATTTTTCGTCTCACAGGAGGATGACTCTATCAGGAATTCCTTGTTCCATGATAAGTCAGAAGCTCAAAGAAGAATCACTTTTTTTGCTCAATCATTATCAACACCAATGCCGGACATCAGAGAGGTTAGGGCAATGCCATCATTCACTGTCTTAGTCCCTCACTATACGGAGAAGATCATTTTACTGTTGAAGGAAATCATCAAGGAGGAGGATAGATTCTCGCATGTCACGATGTTGGAGTATCTCAAACAATTGCATGCTTCTGAATGGGCAAACTTCGTTTGGGACACCAAGCAAATGGCAGAGGAGGATGACTCAGAAGAATCAGTACTTTCGCTTTCCGCTTCTGAAAAGCACGATGATCTCCCATATTATTCTGTCGGGTTCAAGACTGCAACACCTGAATACGTAACAAGAACGAGAATATGGGCATCTTTGAGATCACAAACGCTTTACAGAACTGTGTCTGGATTCATGAATTATACCAGAGCTCTTAAGCTTCTTTCAGATTTAGAGATTAGCAAAGATCATTATTCGGATTCCAATGACGAGGGCAAATTGAGGATTATCAATGAGATGGCAGCTCGAAAGTTTCGGATCATTGCATCGATGCAACGTTTCAAAAGATTCACTGAAGAGGAGAAGGAGAATACGGAATACTTAATGCGTGCTTACCCAGAACTTCAGATTGCATACATTGACGAAGAAAGGGACGAGGAAACGGGTAAGGTAACATATTACTCGGCGTTGGTTGACGGTACATGTCCCGTTCTGGAATCAGGAGAAAGGATACCCATCTATCGGATAAGGCTTTCGGGGAACCCAATATTGGGTGATGGTAAGTCTGACAATCAAAACCAGGCGCTCATTTTTGCAAGAGGGGAATACATCCAACTTATTGATGCAAACCAGGACAACTACATCGAGGAGTGTCTCAAGATACGGAACACGTTAGCTGAATTTGAGGAGCAAAGAATCTTGGATCCATACAGTTCGGAAGCAAGAAGATCAATTTGTCCTAACCCTGTTGCAATTGTTGGCCTGAGAGAATACATTTTCTCGGAGAATATTGGAATCTTAGGCGATGTCGCTGCTGGTAAAGAGCAGACTTTTGGTACCCTTTTCGCTAGAACGTTGTCTCAGATTGGAGGAAAGCTCCATTACGGCCATCCTGATTTTCTAAACGTGATTTTCATGAGCACTCGAGGAGGCGTTTCAAAGTCTCAAAAGGGCCTCCATTTGAATGAGGACATCTATGCTGGCATGAACGCGATACTCAGAGGTGGAAGAATAAAGCATTGTGAATACATTCAATGTGGAAAGGGCCGAGACCTTGGCTTCAGTTCAATACTGAATTTTATCACAAAAATTGGAGCTGGTATGGGCGAGCAGCTTCTCTCGAGGGAGTACTTTTACTTGGGTACCAAGCTCCCACTTGATCGGTTCCTTTCATTTTACTATGCCCATGCTGGGTTTCATCTCAATAATGTTTGCATCATCTTATCAATCCAGTTGTTCCTTCTTGTGGGCGTCAATATCGCAGCATTATCCAACGACTCTTCCATATGCGAATTCGACAAGAACAAGCCGATCACTGATCCTCGGCGGCCCCATAATTGTTTGAACCTTGTTCCTGTTATTCGTTGGCTTGAGAGATGTATTTATTCTATTTTTGTTGTGTTCATCATATCCTTCATTCCTTTGGGCGTTCAAGAGATAACCGAAAGGGGATTTTATAAATGTTTTGCAAGACTTGGAAAGCATTTCTTGTCACTTTCACCATTGTTTGAAGTCTTCGTGTGCAAAATCTATGCAAAGTCTATTACCGGGGATATTGCCGTGGGAGGAGCACAATACATTGCGACAGGCAGGGGAATTGCAACAAAAAGAGAGCCCTTCTCGAGCTTGTTCACAAGGTTCGCTAACGAATCCCTCAATTCAGGAGCCTTTTCGTTACTCCTTGTGATATACATCTCTGTATCTTGGTGGAAGTTTTCGTTCCTTTATTTTTGGATGACAGTACTCGGCCTCCTCATTAGCCCCTTCCTTTTCAATCCAAATCAATTTTCGAGAGCTGAATATTTCCTCGACTATGGGCATTATTTGAAATGGCTCTTCAGCGGTAATTCAACTGTTCAGGACGAGTCGTGGATACGACACACAAAGATTGCAAGGAGTCGTTTCACAGGATTGAAGCTGAGACTCAGATACGGAGATGAAGATGTTAAATTTACAAGTGAGGTGAAACCGACTAGATTCAACATTGTACTTCTCAGCATCATTCCAGAGGTATTCAGCCTTGCGTTCATTGGCTGTGCATATCTCTTTTCAAACTCCCAGGCTGAAACCAGAAACGCCATACCAAGCCTTTCTGTTTATCGAATTCTTTTCGTCTCAGCGGCTCCCATAGTTGTCAACATCGCAATTTTGATTACATTTTTTGTGGTTTCTGTCATTTTGGGACCACCATTGAGCTTTTGCTTCAAAGGGTTTCCGAGTGTAATCGCTGCTACCGTTCACATCTTAGCATTTTTAAACCAAATTTTTTTCATTGAGTTGTTATGGGTCTTACAAAATATGGATGTGCCTCGAACTTTACTTGGAACTGCTAGTATGATCCTTCTCCAGCGTATCATCTTGAGATTTGTCAACGCGATGATGCTTACCAGAGAGTTTCGTCACAGTAAGTCAAACCAAGCATGGTGGTCAGGTAAATGGGTGACTGCAGAGTTAGGGTGGTTGACTTTGACGCAGCCGATCCGTGAGTTTATTTGCAAGATCAGTGAGCTCACATATTTCACTGTGGATGTGATTGTTGGTCACACAATCTTTTACATTCAACTTCCAATCATTTTTTGTCCCTTCGCTGATACATGGCACTCCTTTATGTTGTTGTGGGTGAAGCCTGGATCTAGCATCCGGCGCAGGCTTCTTTCGAAGAAGCAAAGAAGCAGACAAAGGATGCAGGTGTTTTGGATAGGGCTACTCTTTTTCTTCATCCTTGTGATTTTTGTGGGATTCATTTTGGCACCGATCCTTGCAAGCAAAGTATTCCATGTTGACTTTGGTGAAATGCTTCCTGAGATGCTTCAAGATTTGAGACAGCCCGAAAACTTATCCTTTAGGCACAGGGGAATTAGGAAAACCTCACGTACGCAATAAATCCCTGATCTTCTGAGCTGCTCTTTCGTCATGAACAGACTCAATAACCCTATTAATGAGTGAGCCAGGCGCAAGCAGCTTCACTAGGTCAAACCTCTTTAGAGTCTTCATATACTCAAGTTTGTCAACAAGCTGCTCTGCTGTAATTTCTGAATGACGGGGAAGGAAGTACGCTGCAGCTTCGAGGAAGAAGTCAAAAAACTCTGAGTCCAATCCTGAATATGCAAACATCTCATCTATTTGGGTCTTGTCGAGCTGGAGTACGACTTTGTATCCATTGGCCTTGCGTTCAGGCGGTAGAGAGCTGAGCTTGCTTAAAACATGCATTGTTGGAATATCAGCAAAAGCTGTTTTGGGTTGAGGAGTTGATGTTTCCCGTTCTGGAGTCTTCTTTTTATTCCCAAAGAGTTCATTTGCAATTGCATCGACGTCGGCTGATGAAGGTTGTGAAGGTTGTGAAGATCTCACAGCAGGCTTTCCATCGAGTTTTCTTCTGAACTCCTCGGGCAATTCGTCAACGATCTCGATAGGCACGTTGACAGGAGCTTTAGTTTGAGAAGAGTTTTCAGTCTTAGGTTTCTTTGGTTCCAATTGTTCAAGTTCCGAGGCAGCAGCCTGGTTATTGGGATCAAGTTCGAGCGCTTCAGTAAACGCACGTTTTGCCATGACAACACTTCCAGAACCTTTAGCTGTCAATCCCTTGCGGTACAAAAGCTTGACTTTGATCTTTTCGTTAGGATTCAAGCGCAATCCCACCTCTACGTCATTAGAGGCTCTGATCCAGTCTCTCAAATTGAGATGGCACTGGGCTCGGTTGGAATATAGCACGGGGTTCTCCTTGTCCAATGCAATGGCCTGAGAATAGAAATCAATGGCCTTTTGATACTGCTTCTCGACAAATGCCTTGTTTCCCTGGGCCTTGTATTCGTCCAGCGTCGGCATGAAGAACCTACCGTGAAGAGTACGCAGTACTTTGAGGTTACTACTTGCGCGAGTTGATAGTGGATGCAAAAGACATAGATGCCTTCTCAGGAACAGATTGAGGAAATTGACGCCATAAGGGCGATCTACCCTGAAAGTGTGAAAGAGCTCACGCCGTCCATATTCAACATCGTCATTCCAGACCACGAGGATGTGTTGGTGCAGATGAGTTTTCCAGACAAGTACCCAGAGGAGAGTCCGAACATAGTGCAGGTGAACACCACGGATGCCAGGAAATACTTTGACAATGACTACATCGAGAGAAAGATAATTGAGTTGTTGGAGCTGACGTTTCGTCCTGGCGAGGTGGTGGTGTTCGAGCTAATCGGTGAGATCACTGCTTTCTTGGAGGAGTATCTTGAAGAGCACAAGCAACAGATCGAAGAATTGGCTGCTCAGAGAGAGCAACAGAAGATAAAGGCTTCCTCCCCATTGCCTGCTCCATCGGCTCCAAAGGTGATATCCAATAGTACGCAAGAGGAGATTGACGTTTTCGAGGGTTGGATCAGCTCGGAGCCTATTCTTGACAGAGGCTCTACATTCATTGCATACGCCCGTGAAGTACACTCCGTTGATGAAGCAAAGCACTATTTTGGTCTTCTAACAACCGATCGCAAGATTGCCAAAGCTACACATAACATGAATGCGTGGAGAATCAAGGGCTCTAACGGAGTTACTTTTCAGGATTGCGACGACGATGGGGAAACAGCCGCTGGAAGCAGAATGCTACATCTTCTTACGGTATGTGTTATTCGGAAATTATTGGTTCTATTATACTAACTTACAGATTATGGATGCGTGGAACGTGATTGTGGTGGTGAGCCGATGGTTTGGCGGAACCCACTTGGGGCCTGATCGTTTCAAACATATCAATTCGGCCACCAGAGATGCAATTGTGAAGGGAGGCTTTGAGACAAAAGTCAAGAAATGAGATTGACCACAGCCGGAGGGCGTCTACCATTTAGGAGTTTTGCTTCTTTGGCTTTTTGCTCTTTTTTGGAGGCTTGTCTGATTTCTCTGATTTCTCGGCTTTCCGCTTCTTGCCCTTCTTGGACTTGCCCATGATGTCCTTGAGGAATTCATCAGCTTCTTGCGATTTGTCCTTCTTGAGTGCTGGTTTTGCATCTTGGGCTTCTTCTTTTTCTGGTTCAGAGTCTTCAGCAGTGAACGAAGCTATGCTTCCGTATCCAACCGTGCTGACTTTCATAGCTGGTTTGATCTTTTGTTGAACTTGCCCACGGTTAGGAAGAAACCACTCGGAGGGGTCCTTGACTCGTTTGTATGTGGTAGGCTGGCTACTGGGAGGGGTCTTATTGTCCCCTCCTTTCATGAATTTCATGTTCAACACATTTTGGGAGAGACCGGCCATTGTTGGTATCTTGGAGTTGATGCGATGCTACCATACATAAGCCATAGTACAAGAGATGCACGTGACCACAAGCAAAATATTACAATTAGGAGCGATTTTAAGGCCAGAAACGAGTCTATTCGTTAACTCTTAAAATTGGACTTCGAAAGTTCTAAAATCTGTGATAATCTTGGTATTCCTGTGCTTGCCTAGCTGTACAGTGGCCCTTCAAAAAGCAGTGTGACCTTGCTATTCTGACTGGAGAAGTCAGCTTTGTGAGGCAATGACAGCATCCCAATATTCTAAAGCAAAAATCCTTTTCCACTCTCGAAAACTCTTGAATTTGGCCTCGTTGGTCAATGGTGTGCTTCGGATCGGTTGTGATATTCCTGCATTTGTGAGAGGCCCCATCGCTCTCATCGCTGAAAAACGCAGGCTTCTCAAAAAAGGAAACCACCATAAATATGAAGTCCGACTTTAAGCTTTCGAATTTGGTCGGAACCGTTTATCGGGAAGGCAATCTTGTTTTCACAGATGACGGTACCAAGCTCATATCGCCAGTGGGCAACAGAGTATCGTGCTTTGACTTGATCAACAGCAGATCGTTCACCTTCAACTACCAGCATCGCAAGAACATTGCCAGGATTGCATTAAACAAGCAAGGAACCTTGATGATATCTGTTGATGAAGATGGAAGAGCCATTCTTGTCAACTTCGTGTCCCGTGTGGTCTTGCATCATTTCAACTTCAAAGGTACTGTGAGGGATCTCAAGTTCAGTGACGATGGCCACTATTTCGCCGTCGCTGTCGACAGATACTTGCAAATCTGGAAGACTCCAGATTTCACAGAAGACAGGCAATTTGCCCCTTTTGTCAGACACAGAAACTATGCTGCACACTACAACGACGTACTTTCTGTGACCTGGTCCCCAGATCTGCGATTTGTCCTTTCTACATCGAAAGACCTTTCAGCCAGAATCTTTTCGGTTGACAATGAGGACAAAGCTGCTGCTTCTACCCTCCACGGACATCGTGACTACGTGATTCTGGCTTTCTTCAATGCCACACAAGAGATCATCTACACCGTCACCAAGGACGGTGCCTTGAACCGATACGAGTACATTGAAGGCGGTGACGAGGAGAATGAAAATGAAAGCAGCTCAGACGACGACGAGGAGATGAAGACGGAGGAAAACTCTGATACTGGACGCTGGCGCATAACGTCCAAGAACTTCTTCCGTGTTGAAGGCGGCAACGTCCGCTGTGCAGCTTTCCACGCTGTCTCCAACATGTTGGTTGTGGGATTCACCACTGGTGAGTTCCGTCTCTACGATCTTCCAGAATTCTCCCTAATTCAGCTGTTGTCAATGGGCAAGAACGCCGTTGACACTGTCAGCATCAACAAAAGCGGCGAGTGGTTCGCCTTTGGATCCTCCAAAGCCGGCCAGCTTCTCGTGTACGAATGGCAGAGTGAATCCTACATTCTCAAGCAACAAGGCCACTTTGATGCCATGAACTGCTTGTGCTATTCGCCAGACGGTTCCAGAGTTGTGACTGCTTCCGACGACGGCAAAATCAAGGTTTGGGATATCAACTCGGGCTTCTGCCTTATGACATTCACCGAGCACATTGGCGGTGTCACCGCTGTGAGCTTTGCCAAAAAGGGACAGGTGATGTTCTCTGCTTCTCTCGACGGTACCGTGAGAGCATGGGATTTGATCAGATTCCGTAATTTCAGAACCTTCACTGCACCTGAAAGAGTGCAATTCACAAGTTTGGCGGTCGACCCCAGTGGAGAGGTTGTGGTTGCAGGATCTCAGGAAGAATTCGAAATCTTTGTTTGGTCGGTCCAGACCGGTGCACTTCTTGACTCTTTGGCTGGCCACGAGGGTCCTATTTCCTGTCTTGCCTTCGGTGCCGAAGGCTCAGTTTTGGCCTCGAGTTCGTGGGACAAGACGATCAGAGTTTGGAGCATTTTCAGCAGAACACAGCTTTCAGAGCCCATTGAGATGGAACACGATGTTTTGGCATTGGCAATGAGACCAGATGCCAAAGAAGTGGCCGTGAGTACGCTCAACGGTTACATCCTCACACACGACGTGGAGCTGACGGAACAGACACACTCTCTTGATATCAGAAAAGATGTTTTCGCTGGGCGCCACATGAACGACCGTTTTGAGCTGAAAAACAGCGCCAGGTCGAAAAACTTCACCACCATTGCATACTCCTTCGACGGCCAGGCGTTGGTTGCCGGAGGAAACAACAACAGCATCTGTCTCTACGACATTGCCGACGAGGTCTTGTTGAAGAGATACGTCGTTTCGGAGAACATGTCTCTTGACGGTACGCTCACGCAGCTTAATAGTTCCAAGATCACCGACGCCGGTACCTCGATCGATGCCGTGGATGTTGCTGGAGAAAACTCCGACAGAGAAGACCGCATGGATACGTCATTGCCTGGATCCCACCGAGGCGACCCTGGTGCCAGAAACTTGCGCCCACAGGTCAGAGTCACTGGAGTGCAGTTTTCACCTACCGCAGGAGCTTTTGGAGCCGCCACTACAGAAGGTCTTCTTGTTTACAGCACAGACCACACCGTCGAGTTTGACCCATTTGATCTTGACATGGACGTGACGTACGCCAACGTCGTGGAGAGCATTGACGAGAAGGAATGGCTACATGCGCTCATCATGGCGTTCCGTTTGAACGAGCACCACTTGATCGAGAGAACCGTGGAGCTGGTGCCCATCAAGGATATCCGTTTGGTTTGCGCCGATCTTCCACACATTTATGTGGGCCGTCTTTTGGAGCATCTTGGGCGCAAAATGAACTCTGGCGAAGGAGCCCAGCACATTGAGTTTAATCTTCTTTGGGTCAAGGCGCTTCTTGACAGCCACGGGCAGCACATGAGTGCCAAAAAGGCGGAGTACGTTCTGGGCATCCGTCTTGTGCAGCGTTTCTTGAGTCGTGTGGCCAAGGATGTGGTTTCTGTGAGCAAGAAGTCTGGATACCTCTATGGGTATTTGAAAGAGAACAAGCAGGAAGAGGAAGAGGAAGAGGAGCTCGATTTGGACGAAATCAAGGTGGACGAGAGTTCTGGCGATGAAGAGGAAGAAGACGAAGACGAGATGGACGAGGACGAGGAGGAGTGGACCGGATTCGAAGGAAAGTAGCCATATAGCATTATAGAGTCGCATAGATACGAGAGGATATGCGGGAATACGATCGCAAGTGCACGCCGCGTTTGCAGCCATTTCTTGGAAGCGGAAGTAGTAGGTGAGGCTGGCGATCGATTGTAACGTGGGGCGGGTGCATGGGGTGACGTTGCATTTTGCAAACAACAAAATATCAAAAACAAAGAATCTTAGAGTGCTGGTGTAGAAAAGCTTATTTAGATGAATTTGGCCCCTGTTCTGGTGTTTCGGCCGAATAGGACTTAGGGTTTGGTGCCCCATGGGGACGCACTTCAAGCGGAAAGGTGAAGGATTAAGATCCAGGTGCATGCAATTCCTTGAAGGAGTAGGAAGGATGAGCTGTGGATTGGATGTTTCAAAATGGAAACAAGCATAAGCCATGGACGTCATGGAAATGTCATGGAAAGGTGCGTGCACTTTTCTGGCTGTTTTGCCCAAAATTGCGGTGAGGCTCGCCCCGCGCCGCCCGAAACATGTCCCACCTTCAAATCGAGGACCCAGCGGCCATTGGGCCCAAAAATGCTGGCCGTTCGGTGCTTTGCGGTCCGAGATTCCGCCTGGTGACACTGGGTTTGCAAAAAAATCGCCCGTTTCCACGGCCAGCGTGGGTGCAAATAGCCGCTCTGCGCCGGGCGACCCCACACTAAGGTTTCAGTGAAAAAGTGACAAAAGCGAAAAGGGACAAAGCGAAAAGGGACAAAGCGAAAGGGGACAAAGCGAAAAGGGACGGAAAAAAGGGACAAGCTGAAATCTTGGAAAGTAGCGAAAAAGCAAAATATGTATAGTAGTGCAATCCAAAAAAGGATCGTATTTGGGCCGGCTGGCGTGCAATTGTTGGACCATTGTGCGCAATGGCGTCAGCAGATACTCGGTGCTCACTCCGGCCCGGTCAACAAGAGGACAGTTTCACCAGTTGCCAATTCACCAACGGACCGTGAAAACGGCAAAAAGAACAAAAAAGCCAAAATCAGCATCACCGGTTTCGGCGGGAATTTCAAATCTCAAGTCCAATTTCCACATCCTCCCCAACCTTAACCTAGTCCACCCCGTCTTATCACCTCCCTCGCTTCTCTGCGACAACCACCTACTTCTTCTTTATGCCCCGAGACATCCAAAACCACTTGCTCTTCGAGGTCGCCACCGAAGTCGCCCACAAGGTGGGTGGCATCTACTCGGTGCTCAAGCTGAAGGCCCCAATCACCGTGGCCGAGTACAGAGAAAGGTACACCCTAGTGGGTCCGTTGAACTATGAGCTGGCTCAAATCGAGGTGGAGGAGATCCCATTGAAGGACGGCGCCATCAAGGCCGCTTTGGACGCCATGAGCGAAAGAGGCATCCGCTGGATGTACGGCCGCTGGTTGATCGAAGGTGCTCCCCGGGTGTTGCTTTTCGATATCCACCTGGCGGCGCTGAACCTCAACGAATGGAAGGCCGACTTGTGGAGCACGGCTGGAATTCCCACTCCTGACCACGACCACGAAACCAACGACGCCATTTTGTTGGGTTACATCGTGGCGTGGTTTTTGGGCGAGTTGGTCTACAACGACAGGGAGCGTGCTGTCATCTGCCACTGCCACGAGTGGTTGGCAGGCGTGGCGTTGCCCCTCTGCAGAAAGAGGAGAATCGACGTGACCACCATCTTCACCACCCACGCCACGTTGCTCGGCCGGTACCTCTGCGCTGGTCTGACCGACTTCTACAACAACCTCAAGCACTTTGACGTGGACGCCGAGGCAGGCAAGAGGGGTATTTATCACCGGTATTGTATTGAGAGGAGTGCCACCCACCTGGCCGACGTGTTCACCACCGTCTCGCATATCACCGCCTACGAGCTGGAGCACTTGTTGAAGAGAAAGCCCGATGGTGTGCTTCCCAATGGTTTGAATGTGGTCAAGTTCCAGGCCGTGCACGAGTTCCAGAACCTCCACGCCGTCAAGAAGGACAAGATCCACGAGTTCGTCAAGGGCCACTTCTACGGCAACTACGACTTTGACCTCGACAACACCTTGTACTTCTTCATTGCCGGCCGTTACGAGTTCCGCAACAAGGGCGCCGACTTCTTCATCGAGTCCTTGGCCCGTTTGAACTACCGCTTGAAGCAGGCCGGCTCCAAGGTCACCGTGGTGGCCTTCATCATCATGCCCGGAAAAATCAACTCCTACACCGTCGAGACCTTGAAGGGCCAGGCCGTGGTCAAGTCTTTGGAAAGCACCATTTCCGAAGTTCAGAAGAAGATCGGCGACAGGCTTTTCGAGCACTGTGCCCGTTTCCCCAACAGCAACAACGTTTCCAGCACCAATGGCCAGGAGGTGCCATCCATCGACGACCTCATCAAGCCCGCAGACAGAGTGCTTTTGAAGAGACGTATTTTCGCCTTGAAGAGAGACGGTCTTCCTCCAATTGTGACCCACAACATGACCGACGACGCCACGGATCCCATCTTGAACCACATCCGTCGTGTGCAGCTCTTCAACAAGCCTGAGGACAGAGTCAAGATCATCTTCCACCCGGAGTTCCTCAATGCCAACAACCCTATTTTGTCGCTTGACTACGAGGAATTCGTGCGTGGTTGCCATTTGGGTGTGTTCCCCTCTTACTACGAGCCATGGGGCTACACTCCTGCTGAGTGTACTGTCATGGGTGTGCCTTCCATCACCACCAACTTGTCTGGTTTCGGTTGCTACATGGAGGACCTCATTGAAAACACCAGCGACTACGGTATCTACATTGTGGACCGTAGACAGAAGTCCGTGGACGACTCCATCAACCAGCTTGTTGAATACATGTTCGACTTTACCGAGAAGACCCGTCGTCAAAGAATCAACCAGAGAAATAGAACCGAGCGTTTGTCCGACTTGTTGGACTGGAAGCGCATGGGTCTCGAGTACATCAAGGCTCGTCAGCTCTCATTGAAGAGAGCCTACCCCGACAAGTTCAAGAACGGCGCCAATCCGTTCCAAAATTCGCTGAATTTGAAATTGACGCGGCCATTGTCTGTGCCTGGCTCGCCACGCTCTAAAGCCGGCGTCATGACTCCTGGCGATTTGGGTTCCTTGCAGGAGGCTGCTCAGGCCCTCAACACTGACGACTATGTGAGCTTCAAGTTGGGTGAGAACGAAGACGACGAGGACGAAGACACCCACTACCCATTGACTTTGCGCGGTCTGTCTGCGCCACCGCAGGACGAGTGATCTAAAAAAAAAAACAACTTTTTGAATCGAAACAAATCCATATTAATATTGCCAAAAAAGCGAGTAGTTTTGCAGCCAGGCGTGCGCGCACCACAACATCTAAATATCACCAAGATTGCACCAACTATCTTCCTCATTCAAAATGGTATGTTCAAACTGCACAAATCACCCAAATTTTGCTAACTCCAGTTACCTCTCTTTATGCTCACCAGCGTCAAGAGCCAGGAGATTCTCGTTGAATTGAAAAACGGCGAGAGTGTCTATGGCAAATTGACTGACTGCGATTCGTGGATGAACTTGACTCTCTCCGACGTCGTCGTCAATTACAACAAGGGCGAGAAATTCAACAAACTCAATGAAATCTACATAAGGGGAAGCCACATCAAGTTCCTCCGGTTGCCCGACCTGGTATGTACCCTCAGAACCTTGCAATATTTCAATTTATACTAACCCACAGGTCATGGACCACGCCAAGGAGCAGACGCTCTTGAGTCAGGAACAGAGAAACAGAAACCAAAAGAGGAAGGGCGGATTCCAAAACAGAAGATTCAATGACCACCGCGAGGGCCGTGGCGGTCACAACCGTGGAGGCCATGGAGGCCAGAACAGAAGGTACAACCAAGCTCTGGCCTAGATACGAAGAAACGACATTATCATAGTGAGGTGTATTAACCGGACGGCCGCGTTTGTGGCAGTCTGGTCCCGGTGCCAGTGCACTGGGTCTGTATAATAATAGACACTGCGACCTCAAGCTCATTTGCACCCAAAGTGCAACCAGCTTCTATTGCTTTCATCTAGTAGATCTCTTGCTATGTTTCGCTATGACCCCAGTCGCAAAAGAATCATCCATATCCGGAAACGCACCGGCCGAGGGGGCCTGGAATCAAGACCTGGCAGGGTAAGAAGAGGAATGTACAAAGGCACCAGGGACACAAGACACTCACGGTGCTTCCAGCGGAGATGCCTCATTCTGAAACGTGCCATGTGCCCTTGGTGTCGCCACCTCTCGTACGTGCCTTCTCTGCTTCAAAAGCAGTACAATCCCACCGCAAGACAGTCCACTCTTGCGAATAAGTTGGGCTGTTTAATGGCACAACTCCAAAGTGCCCAGAATGACCTTTTACAAGAAGTTTCAAAAACCGATACTATAGTGGTCGGCCCCACTATGGTCACATGCTCCACGTACCACCCACCGATGATTGTTCGAGCCAAAGAGCAAATATCCAAACTCACCAGTCGATTATGGGGCCAACAGAAACGGCCACACAGCGAAAAGCTGCATTGTGACTTGGCCAGAAGCCGGGTAAAGCCACGAACGAGGAGGCAAAGACCAGCTTCAAGTCCGCCCAGTCTGACAGAAACACTCTTTTGTAAGGGTCAGGACGCCTGCGCCGCTTAGACCAATGAAAGCGCCGCTTAGACCCACGAAATCGACCAGCTCTTCAAATCTTCACGGTACAGCTCCTCGCCCACAAGCCCGCTGGAGTCCCTTTCTCTGCTTTTGTCGCTTCTGAGAAGCCTGCCGAGGTCCTTGTAAACAGGCAAGCCTTCTCTCCAGTCCTCGTCCGGTCCAGTATTAAATATGTGCTCCACGACCTTTTCAGGAGGGACTTTGAGCAATTCAAGCATTTCCGGATCCCACGCCGATTCAAGCACGTTTCTGTAGAGCCCGCTGACGATCGGGTCCATGATGATATTGTCGTAGGTTTGTCTGGGTGGAGTTTCCTTCTGTTCGTTTTGCGGCTCCTTCTGCTCCTTTGGCTCCTTTTTCGACTCATTCTCCTCACCAGACGTCCTGTGGCTTTCCTCTGCGCTCTGTGAGTTGATCACACCGTCCAAACCGCCTAGAACTGCCTTTTTCAGGAACAGCGGCACATTGAAGCTGGAGTCGTTTTTCTGCAGTTGGGAGGAAGAAGCCTGAGTGGAATGGTGGTTAGAGTCGTCGATTTGAAGCTGGGTCAGGAACTCAAAGTCCGACGGGAGTTCCGAAAGTCCCACGCTGAAGCTCAAAATCGAGTTGACCTTGGAATCCTGAAGCAAGTACTTGGCGGTGACGGGACCGGAAAAATTAAGGTATTCAGCCAAATTGAGCTCCACTCGCCCGAGCTCCTGGTTGCCTTCAAACTTGGACGACTTCTCGCCCATATAGTACACCTTGAGCAACAAGTACTTGTTGCCTATCATGTTATCCTTCTTCTTGTAAGGAAAACGCAAATTGCACGAGACATTGTAGTTGAACAGGCAGCGGAAGTTGTGGATTTTCCTTTTTGATGTCCTTACATGAACGTGTCCCGATGTAGACAGTTTGGACTCAGTGTCATTGGAGTCATCCTTGACTGGTTTCCACAGAGACAATGCTGCTCGGAATCCTCCGTGAGCGTCCTGGACAAAAACATCAACATAGCAGTATCCAGTCGTATGAGGGATGTTCGAGAGCTCCTTGATGTTGAAGTCTAGCTTGAACTTGGGTTTTTTGGTAGAAAACATAGGTGTTGATACTTCGCAACCTTCACTGCAGATATCGGTAAAGTCGGTAGGGCATCATGGTTGCTGATACACAAAGGCGGGGAGGCCCTTTTTGAGAATAAGTTACCGTTGGAGACTGAATTATGGGATTGGCTAGATGAGGAGGTTTTTAAAGAAATTTGTATTTGGGATGTTGGAGTTTTGGTAAAATGTACCGATGAGGTAGGTGATGATGGACTGGATGAGGCCGGAATCGCAATTGAGAGAGTCTGAGGGAAAGATTGTTGAAGCTTTGTTTTAAATTGGGGTAATTAAAAATTTCATAGCGCTTAGAATGTTGTGGGTACTAGCGTAGTTGGATACTGGTGCATCGTACTGGTTAGTGCATGCGATGCAGATACCCGATAGTCTGCTTAACGTTGTGATTACTAGGAAGGAAGCTGGGGATTTTGATATATTGCTGAAATTTGTCGCTTGTTTCAACGTTCTTGTTGCCTCGAGAACTCCTCTATTTCTGTTAATATGTCCAGCTTTGGGTTGGCTGACTTGATAGAGCATGGTTCATGAATACTACGGAAGGGAAATGGTGAATTGGAGCTATCATTGAAAAAAAGAAAAAAAAAAAAAAAAAAAAAAAAACAACCGCTCTTGCTTGAATCAGGCCTACTGATGAATCTAATCTAAACTCCAGCACACAAAGGCCAATTCCATGGAATTGTGGCTCTTGACCAGACATCACTAACATGCTGCTACCAAAATGATGATTAGTTCAGTCAATCCGAGCTTTACAAGTTCACAATACTTCAGATTAAGCACACTCTTCTGTCAACAAAATTATCCTGTATCACCTACATAGCATCATATTGATACCTGTCATACCTGAACCGCCATATCCATCATCAAATGTCAAAATACCACCTTTCACATACATAAACACGTCTTATATTGACTCCAATAACTTCAACACAGTTAGTGTTTTATCCCCTTGGTCCAAACTTAATTTCCATAAGCCCACTGACATGCTTCCTGCCGTCTCGGTTAGACCCCTCCTTTCAAGCTGTCACCAACCAATTCCCATTAAAACCACTTGCAGCCTTAAATACCCCGCAAAAACTATAAAGACAGCCCATTTCCTCCCATTTCCACAAAAAATTAAATTTCTCCCCGTCCCTAGACCACTTCACGCTGCACCCTCCGTATGTCGCATACGCAGTTGCAGCCACCCTAGACCCACCAGCCGGTCCACCTGCCCCGCCACACCACCGAAAACCCCCAAAAACTATAAATACCCGGCCCTCCCACCTCTTCGAAACAAATCCTCTTTTTTCTTATTTTCCTCTGCCCCGTGCTCCCCGTACACCACGTCTCATTGTCGTCGAGTGGAATGTCCAGCCGTGCACACACTACAGACGCACGAAAACACCATCGTCAAACGGCTGGATATCAAAACGTCTATTACTATGTTGGCTGACGGCGATAGAGCATACGCGGCTCCCGCGTCGCTCAAGCTGCTGAAATACGCGTTCATGCTGATGTTGTTGCTACGAGTGCTCAATTTGGACGACGAGCTGGAGATAACAAAACTGTCGGGTTTGAAGGAATCCTTGAAGGGCTCAGAGGCCGAGGAGGTTCTCCCACAGATTACGGTACCGCCGACCTTGTGGCTCGAGGAACACGTGGCCTTGACGGAGCTGAAAATCAAGGTGGCCTTGTTGAAGGAGATAAACGGCATGCTCTGCAAAAACGTCCAGACCTTACAGCTGGACGAGATCTTTTTGTTGGACGACACGACGCTCTTGTACTACGAGAAGCTTCTAAACGCGTACGACTTCCTTAAGTTTAACCGGACGGTGCCTCTGTTCGAGGCGTTTCGGGAAGACGACGAGTACGAGGACTACGACGATGTTTCCGTGTATCCTGAGATGCTGCGGCGTACTTCGGCCTCAGACCTCGCCCGCCCGGGCTCCTCCGCCAGACTGGTGAGCTCTGGAAGCTACAAGTCTCGCATGTCCACGCTCTCGAGAGATTTCCGGAAACTCTCGTTTTTGGGGCTCAATGGACACGAGGAGAAGGACGAACAGCCGCCCCTGCCCATTCTGCCCATGTCGGCGCCGCCACAACGGTCTTCTCTGGGCTCTGCTACTCTGCCACATCCTCATAGAGACCAGTTCAACACGCTTTTGCTGAAGCTGAAGTTCTACAACAAGTTGCGCCGGCGAGATTCGGGAGCTTCGTACTCGAGCGCTCTTTCAACGCCGACAAGCATGACTAGCAATACGTCGAACTCGTCAATCAGACGCAAGTCGTCGCAAGGGTTCCAGGATAAATCACCCAAAGACCGGCTCACAGATGCACAGAAACAGGAGAACCAGCGCAGCAAGCTAGAATACTACGTCCAGGTACGGGAGCTTGCCGAAAATACCCAGGTGCTAGTGAACTATCTTGGCAAACCGGGCTCCCGAGCCTCGCTCGTACGTCTTATGGACTTTGTCAAGAATAATGTCTTTCGGTTGGTGCTTATCGACATCTCCGCCATGATCGTCGAATACGCCCACCTCAAGGCCAGCCGGGTCATCTAGCCCGGAGCTACATCCCCTATGAATGACGATTGTATTATATAACGACTAATATACAGAGGACGGTATCTACTTGCAAGACGAGAGCATCTGGGAGATGACGCTGAGGAGCTGGTCATTCTCACACGCAGCAGCCACACGCTCCTTGTCGTTGAGCTGCTTGTTGACCTGGTTTTCCGACTGGTGGGTGCCTTCCTTGATCAAAATCCTGATTCTGAACCGAGGTGGAAGGCATCTCTCCAAACGGACTCTGATGCCGAGGCCGATGAGCGTGGCCAACGAGCAGTGTGTGATGGTAGGGGTGATCCGGATGAGTACCTCCGAAAGATCGTTCTTTGTGGCTCCGTGAGTCACTGTGATATCCGGGAGGTTCACCACAGCCAACTGAGCCAAAGTCAAGGGATGTTCAGGGTCAGAAATGGTAGCAATAAGATCAAACACCTCCTGGGCATCGATAGGGTCCTCCTCCTCTTCAAAATCCTCATCGACAGATTCGCCAGAGTCCGAAACCAAGTCTGGAGTTTCCTCATCTGAAGCAGCGTTGAGGTCATGAGGCACCCTCAAGGAAAGGGAAGTAATACGTTCCACAAGCTCCTGGCCAGGGTCATTCTTTTTGATGTGTGTGTCACGCGTAGGCAAATTTGCCACGTCGATCACCGTGGGGTTTGCGTTGATCGGGTCGGACATGGAAGAGAGAAGTTGGAAATGGATGGATTCTGATTAGTGATATTGCGAGTGCAGGACCCTGATAAGGATGAGCAGGAGAGGGTGGTGATTTGGGAGGTATTTGGGAAATGGAGGGTCGGATATTGAATTAAAGGGGCAGGAGATGATAATAGATTTGTTTTTCGGTGGTTTTAGGGTGTTGATGGTTTGTTTGTGGTGGACTTGGTAGGGTCATTTGGCTGCGAATTGTACTACAGTGATGGAGGGAAAAGCTGTTGATGATTCGTGATCACGAGAATATTTTTAGGGTTTGGACAGATAATATTTTTATTTGCTGCCTTGGTAAGTGAACCCCTGGCGTGTATGTGAGACAATATAAAAGGCAGCATACCCAGGCGTCTAGACACATTGTTAGCACAATTGGTCCATCTGTCAGGGCCCTTTGTTTGCACTGAAACGGGATTCCTTACTTTTGAAATCTACGTCTCCATAGCATTTATGGCCATGAATGCAAATGGAAAACCTAAATGAGTTCCATTGCCTCTCTGTAATGCTCTCTCGCGATGGATTCGTTGTAAGGCATTTGGCCCAGTTTCGTAGTTTCTCGTGTAATTTGCCGACCATAAAACCAGAATTCTTATAGATTCCTAACACGTCTTATTAAGCTACTCCACCCAAAATGAATGACCATATTCTCGGTCCTTTCCATCAAGGCAAGTCCAATTGCCAGGGTACATATAAAGGCTACTCCCCCACTTCTTAACCCTTTCTCCCACTTTTTCAAATCATACCAATCTTTTAAAAACAAATTGCAAAACCGAAATGTCCATCGTTTACGACGACCCTCCACCTAGCTACGAATGGGTGCAAAGTGAGACACAGGAAGTCCAACCAGCACCCAAACAGGAAGACAAGCCCAAGGAATCTCCGCTCAGAAGAATCAAAAACAACATCTCCAGGGCCTTCAAATCGTCAAGCAACACCAGCTCATCCAGAAAATAGGTTTCAGGCGGAAAAACCTAAAACACCCTAGGACCCACCCTCGGTCCTGTCTGCTGCATTATCAAGACTTAGCAGACTACTACTACCACTTTTCATGGAATTCTACAACACACACCAGATTCAGCAGCTAGCGCCGCTCGTGACGCTATCTCTTCATGATACCGATGCTGCAACTCATTTGAAATCACATTTGCAGAAATCAGACATTGCCAATTGCATCTGGGACAACAGCATACTCAAGAACCGTCTACTGAGCGCTAAGTATGTGTTTCAGTTTTGCGACGAGGCAGAAGCCAGAGCTAAGATAGAAAGAAAACCAAAAGAGGAAGGCACCCACTCGGCCACGTCGCCGTTCAACACAGAAAGTGACCTTTTTCCAAACGGCATACTCTCGGAAAAGTGGTTCACCAAATACACCCGGAACTTGCCTTTTGCGCTCGTGCAAACACACATTTTGGGTGATCCTGCTGACGACGAAGCCTTGGGAGAAGAACTAGCTGCACAAAGACAACGGTACGCCGATTGGCGTGTCAAGTATGTGGCTGTATTGCTCTCAGATGGAGACCCCATAGTGGATCAGGACAGGATCGACAAGCTACGCTTGCTCTCGGGGCTTCCTCGGCTCACGGGTGTTTTCTATCTCAATTCGGATAAGGACACCTTGGAGAGAGACTGTGGAATCCTTGCATCGAGTCTTTTCAACAACTTGAAGGCTCCAGCTGCAGACTTCTACTCAGGCGTAGAGGCCAGACTTAAGCAGAGGTACAAGAAGTACTACACAATGCCATCCTACGATGCTGTGAATACCAAGGTCGACCTTACACCCAAGGTCTTGGAGGTGAGGAACATGATCAAGCAGGCGATAATCCTTCAGCTCATACACCCACATAATGTGGAGTCCAGCTTTGCCATGTTGGAACTGTCCTACGAGAGACTCATTGACTTAACTGCGGAACATGCTGACGTGTTCTTTAGTGAGTCTGTTTCAGATCATGATGCTCGTTTGTACGCCCAGTTCAGGCAGCTTTTGGATGTCATAGCGATCCACCTCATACGCGGGTACCTTTCCACAGAAGAGCCCACTGCAGCATTGAGAAAGCATGAAGCACACATTGCCAACGTTCTTTCACTTTGTAAGGACCAGTCAAAATCAGACAATACCGCATGGGTTTCTGTTCAATACCAGTGGCTTGCCGAGTTGATGCAAATGGTGCCACCCTCTGTTCTAAGTGACCTTGAGTTGAGCCACCAAGTCAAACAAAAGTCTTATCAAAATTGTGTCGCCTACTTTGGCGGTTCTACGTTTCACGATACGTTCAATTCTACCATCACAACCCAGGCGTTTTTGATATTCCTTAAGGCGTTCACCAAACTGAAGGAAACCGAAGTGGGCCAGATCCGGCTCCCTTACTTGAAGAAGCTTGATAATGCCAAAGAGCTACAGAACAGGAGAATTGAGCTTTTGGGTAAGGCAAAGGATGCACTCCAAGCAAAGGTACAAGACAATCAGCTTGATGGTGTTCTGAGTTATTTGGACTGGCTTTTAGCGGAGGAGCAGTATTACAACGAGCAGTATGAGGATGCCGAGCAGACCTATCGTGCAATCTTAGATCAAAAGCTCCCACATGGGTGGAGAAGTATAAGACAGCTACTCACGCACCGTCTCGTCGATATCTACAAGAAGCTTAACTCTAGTGACAAGCTCATTGAGACAGTCGCTGTATTGGCATCCCAGAATGGTGTTACTCATGGTCCGTCCATTGAGAAGCTCACATTGGACCGGTCTGCTGAACTTACTTTTGATGCTAAAGAGGACTTCTTTAACGTGGAGGTCAATTTGTTCAACTCCAACTTGAAGAAAGAGTTCTTTGCGTTCGACACCATCGTCACTCAGTTAGCATTTAGCCAATCCTTTTCAACTGATCATTTACAAGAATTTATCACCGATGGCGCAGTACAGCTCTCCATTGAAAAGGTCTTTGTCAATTACGAAGGTCGGCCAATCCTGATCAAGAACCAAGAGGCAGGGAACAATTTCAGTCAAGTGCAACTTGGAAATGTGTCAGAGTACAATGCCGATCTTTCAATAACAGACAACAGTCATACCCTCCAAATTCTTGACGAGGTCATAGAGCCTTGCAAGTACAAAATCGAGTCAGTGGAAATATCGTCAGTGCTCTCCATCAAAGCAAGCGGCCATACTGTAACCTTGAGAAAGTCAGAGATCCACTCTCTTTTGACTAGCAAAAATCAAGCTCAATCTTTCACGGCATTGATTAAAGATGGCGATAACTTGAAGCGAAACGTTATACGTGCTCAGGGCCAGGATGCCCTCGAATGCACAGTTCAACCATACAAACCAGATGTTAGTCTCGCCTTGTCTCAGCCACTTGCTTCGATCATCATGGGTGAAAAGATTGAGATACCCCTTAGAATCTCATGCAATAAGGCACCCAACCACAAGGCAAACTTTTCATCGTTGAATATTCAGCTCAAGAGCAGACTTCTAGAAAGAGAGCATGAACAGGAATACCTCGTTCCCCAGACGAACTGGAAGGACTTGAAAGACGACGAGGACTTGAGCATTCTCGATCTGTTTGGTGAAGGTGATGGTAACGTTGAAAGTTCGATTCAGGTAAGCATACGCAAACCACCAAGTATGCTGCCCAAGCTGGACATCAAGCTCGTGCTTGAGATGCAATTGCTCGTGGGAGAGTCCAACAAATCGTTGTCGGTGTACGATCTCAAAGTCATCGATGTACCTGTTCTCTGGAGGCCTTTCCTGACTAAACTCGGTGTCACTCCTCGGTATAGAGAAGACTCATCGCTTGATATGAAGAATCCGTTTATTTTGTCAGACAAGGAAGGGGATGTGGACAAGAACCTATCTATGCCATCCCCATCCCGTGTTTGGGCAGCAGAAGCAACCATCAAAGATACCCATCAGCTTATTGAGAAAAACTCTATCACCATCAAACGTTGTCTGTTCACATTGAGGTCAAAGAATCCAGAGGTGGAGGTGCAAACCATTGAAGATGTTCGCCAAAGTGCTTTCCATGCATCTCAAATGTTTGTTTCAAACTCTCGTCATCGGTACTCGCATAGGCTGATTGGCGTTGTTGTGTCAGCACTTTACATTTGGACAAGAGGTGAAAATGGTCCCGAGAACGAGTTTGAAACGGACGAATGGGAAGTCTCTTTACCTTTACAAGATCCAAGAGTGCTTTTGCACTCTGCTATGACAGAAGACGGAAAGTCGGTTCTCAAGTACGTCATCGAGAACCCCACATCGAGAATCTTCACCTTCACGACAACCTTGACTACAGAAGAAAGTGCTCTTCGTGGTGTGAATTGGAAATTTGAGGACGACAGCAATATCGTTCCCTTGAAGCAAGGAGCTTTCCCTGTATTGCCCTTCAGCAGACATGAGATGGTATTCACTGGTACCTACGAGGTCGACGAGGATGAAGCCATTGAGCAGGTGGAGCTTCCGCAAATGCATGTGTACGACCTAAACTACAAGGTGAGCCTTCCAACACTTCCCGTTAGCGAAAGTGTGGTTGCCCAAGGTGAGAGGTTGTACATGAAGACGTAGCGGTTGCGATCAATTGACTATGACGGGAGCTTAGTTAACGCCCAACAACTCGACATCGAAGACCAAGGTGGCATCAGGAGGAATGAGACCTGGGAAGCCTCTAGGACCATAGGCCTCGTGGCCTGGAATGGTCAACTTGGCCTGAGAACCAACAGACAACTTGGGGATACCAATGTCCCAGCCCTTAATCACCTGACCAACACCGATGGTGCACTGGAAAGGCTTGCCTCTGTCACGGGAGGAGTCGAACTTCTTGCCGTTCTCCAAAGTACCGGTGTAGTGGATGGTGACGGTGTCTCCGATCTTTGGGAAGACCTTTCCGTCGCCTTCCTGGATTGTCTCGATCTCGGTAGTTTTAGGAGCCATTGCGATAAAGGAGGATGAAAATTGTCTGCGGCAGGTAGCTATGGAGGGGTTGAATACGGCAGATCTGCTTAAGCGAGCTAGCATTCAATGAAGAAGAGAAAGGAATGGAGCCGACATTGCCTGAGTGAGGGATAGCCGTATGGGAGGTACGGGTGTGTGGGAGATGCGAGCGACGCTTTGGGCCAGGAGTAGTGACGTCTGAGAATATTGCTAGCGGTTGTGGCCTTGTGTGCAGGACGTAATTAAGGCACCACTTTGTTGCAAGCTGGAAGGTGCTTTGTGGAGGTGTGGAGGAAGGTATGAAGATCTGGGGCGCTGTGATGGCGATTGCCGTATGGTTTTAATTCTTGGATGATGCACGTGACTGGGGTCAATGGCTGCAAAGCCTCCTTCTCCACGCATCTGGCACCACAGCCGCTGAACCAACACAGCCCAATTCGGTACCAAACCCTACCATTCGTTTAAGGTTCTGTACCTGGCTGTTGCGGTGTCCACCACGTCATAGGATTGCTTTTTTGTGTGTTTTGGGTGCAGCTTGCTCTGCTGGTCTGTCTACACAGTGCGACTTATCGCAAATTCAATCAATAAGCCTAGTGTGCAAAAGGGCAAAACAGCTTAGAACTGCGTTATCGGCGGCTCTACAATTGCACACCCGTCAAAACTGCCATATACAGCTAGAGTGAAAAAATGGGCATAGACGTTCGTGTGGATGTGGACCGGCGGGAAAACGGCGGGACCTTCACCAACTATGATGTGATACAGGGAACCGTCCGCCTCACCACTACAACTTCGATATCGTTAACGTACATCCAGGTGAAACTTGAAGGCGTTGCTACAACGCAGATGACGGTTCCTCGGACGTTGAAGAAGCGGAAGGAGAAGGAAAATAGAGAGAAGCTTCTTCAGGACGTGCACAAGGTGCTCTACGATTCCGTCATTGTCTTTCCGCCAGAGAACATCCGGAATGTTTCCAACTCCAAGGAATTCACCTTGACGCCGGGCGATTATACCTATCCTTTCCAATTTAAAATACCTTTGAACAACTCGTGTGTAAAGACACTGGGCATCACCAATAAAGTGCTGTTCAGCAGAGACAATCGACTGATCTTGGTCAACAATGGCAATTTCAATACAAGTTTGATCAAGAACGTTGCCCAAAACTATTTTCAAGCTTATCCCAACCAGGGCCAGGGTCCTCCGGAGGTACCCAAGAATCAGACGTATCATGTAAATACCCAGCTTCCACCGTCCATTAGTGACATGGGTCTGTTCGCCAGTGTGCGTTACTACATCAAGGTGACGTGCAAACGGTCCTCTGTTTTCAAGACCAACATCAGAGCGTTCGATCCATTCACGTTTCTTCCACTTGATTTAGACAGTCATAACCGCCCGCTTTTCGAGGGACAGCAATTTGAGGAGTTCCGGGAGGTGTTTTACAGGAAAGACATGGTTTTCAAGAACCGAATCCCCGAGATTGTGGGCATCAAGGTGTCGAAGAAGCCGGCTGCTGACTACAAAAAGGCCCTCCCAAGCACACCTCCGCTACCTCAGAGGAAGAGCTTTTTATCGTCATTTCTTGGAGGTACTCCATCGCCTCCCACTCAACCGTCAAGACCTTCCTCTTCTCGAAGATCCAGTAATAGCAGCACGACTACACGCCAAACTAGCGCTGCTTACGAAATCAGCGCCTCCAATGTGCCTTTCAGCTTTGAGGTTCGCTTCAAGTACCGCTCCTACCTTATACCCTCGCATTTGCCCACATTCAAGCTCTACTTGTTGCTGCACCACAACCCTGCCAGGTACTCGCTTGCTCAATATGGATACCAAGAGGAGTCGAACGGCCTTGGTGTGATTTACTTCCAGAAGCTTACAGTTGAGTTGCGTAGCACCACCAATATCACTGTTTTAGAGACGGATGGTGCCGGAGAAGTTATCCACCAGGGCAAGTCGGAGGAGGTGATTCAATTGTGTAACAATACCTACCAGAACCTCCAGTTTGACCTTCACGATGCCAAAAAGCTGCGCTCGTCTTCAGCTACAAGCAGCAGCTATGTCGACACCAACGTGCACGAGCTCGAGATTCCTCGCAAGTACTTTGACAACTGCACCCTTCCAGATGGCCTTGCACCCTCCTTCAAAACGTGCAACATCACGCGAAAGTACAATCTTGTCATAGTTGGCGGCTTTCTGAGCGAGCGCATCAACGATTTCAAGGACCGTGCTGAGGTGGAAAAGAAGGTTCGTTACGTGGACTTGTTCTGTCCTGACGTCCAGGTGCTTTCTGGGCTCAAGCTTACGTCGTGGCTCCACTCGAATGCCTCCGAGTCAAACGTGAGCAGGACGTCGGATCTGAAGCCCTCGCTTCCCGAGAGACCTCCGTCCAGCCTGGGAACAGAGGAGCCTGCTGCCAATGGAAAAGAAGCCGAAAGCCGGCTTCCTACGTATGATGATGTTGTGAGAGAGAGCTCGTACCAGGATGACGGCGAGCACTTGCGGGCCCGCCGGCGGTACCAGAACTAGGTGAATTGGAGGGATTGGGAGTGAGACGAGTGGCTCCTTGACAAGTTATGTGAGAGGAGCTTATTGATGATCCCAATTGTCTACGCTCATCAATGCACTGTCACCACAGCATATCAGCATTTGCTGAACCCTTCACAACTAGATCGCCCCAACTCCACCGCCAGACCAATATCAGTCGCCCTCGGGCTTATGGCTGCAAACTCACGCCGACCTGCATATACCCATCCCACCGTCCTCCAGCTGGAGGCCACCGCCACCGTCCCTAGACTAACCCTAACAGACAAAAGACCGTTTTTAGCCCCAGAACCGCCTCTTGTTTCCCCTGCCTTTTCCCAGGCCAGCGCCACCCTCCTCGGCGCGCTTGCGCTCTCCCTATTTCTCGACTTCTCATTCGCAAGTTTTTCAGGCTACCGAAAAAAACCACTCCAAAGATCAACCAGTCTCTTTTCCAGCGATCATGGCCGAATCAAGCTTTTTCGCCAGAAACAAGGCCGCCATAACCCTCGCGGTGCTTGCCAGTGCAGGTGCCGTCGGGCTTATTGGTACTATGCCCAGCAACAGGAGCAAGGTCCATCTGACAAAGACGAGTCCAAGAAGAAGAGAAGCAAGAAGAAGAAGAAGACCACCGAGGAGCTGGCCGAGGCCGCTACCCCTGGTGACGAGCAGCCACCTTACCCTGTCAACAGCAAGAAGGAACCAGACTTTTCCGACGAGCAGGTTGCCGAATTGACGGATGCTCAGAAGGAGGAATGGGCTGTCGCCTTGAAGACCACAGGTAACGCTCTTTACAAGCTGCAGAAGTTTGCCGATGCCATCAAGTTCTACACCGCTGCTTTGCGTGTCAAGGAGGACCCTGTGTTCTACTCGAACCGTTCCGCCTGTTACTCCTCGTTGGACGACCACGAGAACGTCATTGCGGATGCCAGTGAAGCCATCAGACTCAAGCCCGACTACGCCAAGTGCATCTTGCGCAGGGCCTCTTCGTACGAGGAGTTGGAGCGCTACACGGACGCCATGTTCGACTTGACCGCCTTGACCGTTTACGGTGCTTTCAACTCCAAGTCGGTCGAGCAGCGTTTGGAGCGTGTTTTGCAGAAACACTCCATCAAGCTTGTGGAGGAGCAGATGCGCAACAGAGTGCCCCAGTTGCCCTCTGCCGTGACTTTGGCCTCTTTCTTTGGCGCTTTCGTGCATGAGACCAGCCCCGAAGGTGTCTCTGCTGAGTCCACTGGCGCCGACCGTCTCTTGTGGGAAGCTGCCGACGCCATCTACTCCAAGAAGGCTGAAAAATACGACGAAATCGACACTTTGATCCACAAGGCCACCACCGCCTACGAGGACGAAAAAGTTACTGCCTCTTCTCCTAACGCTACCAAGGCCACCATTGCCTACGAATACGCTGTGCTTATTGCTTTCTTGAAGTACGACCGCGAGACTCTCGCCACCGTGCTCAACAGAGCCTTTGAGTTGAAGCCCAGAGCCAGAACCTACGTTGTAAGAGCCCTTGTGAACGCCGAAACCTCCACCATGGACCTGCTTCTCTCCGACTTCCAGAAAGCCGAGAAGATCGAGCCCGAGAACCCAGACTGCCCATACCACAAGGGCCAGCTCTACTACCTCCACGGCGAGCTCGACAAGGCCGAGGCCTGCTTTGTGAAGGCCAAGGAGTTGAACCCTCAGAACCTTTTTGCCTACATCCAGCACGCCTGTGTGGTCTACAGAAAGGCCCACTTTGACGATGCTGTTCGCTTGTTCGACGAGGCCAAGCTCAAGTTCCCTACTTCTCCCGAGGTGTTGAACTACTACGGTGACATTCTTGCCGACCGTGGCGACACTCCAGGTGCCATCAAGCAGTACGACATTGCCATTCGTTTGCAAAGAGACTTGCCTGGTGTCGGCGTCGGCGCCACTCCTTTGATCAACAAGGCCACTTTGTTGCAGAGAGACGGCTTGGACGAGAACGGCGAGACTGCCGATTTGCTCACCAGAGCTGCTGAGATGGACCCTAAGAACGAGGCTGCGCTTATCTCCCTTGCCCAGTTGAAGTTGACCCAGGACAAGGCCGACGAGGCAGTCGGCTTGTTCGAGGAGGCTGCTCGTTTGTCGCGCTCCTTCGACGACAAGGTGCTGGCCACGTCGTTTGCTGAGGCCACCAAGATGCAGTTGAGAATCCGTGCCGACCCGGAGTTGACCAGAAGAGTGAATGAGATTCTCCAGTCCCACGCTGCCGGTGTTCTCCGTTAAGCCGACTGTTGAAAAGGGAGAGCCACTGCTGGCGCCCGCCAGCGTCATCTGTATATACGGCCAATGCACACTATACCGAGAGGGAGTTTTGAGTAGCGTAGTTGATGTTTTGCAACCATTTAGACACCCGTACACCAGCTTACCCCAGGTCGTCAGACCCTCCGCCAAAACCACCCAAATGGGGGAAAGTTGGTGGGATGAGTATTTTGTATGTTTTGCAACGTGATGCTGACTTTGGCAATGGCCTTGGTTTCTCTGTACGATCACTGTGTGTGGAGAAAGACCAACACATGGCTTAAAGGTTGATCTACAAAGACAATACACAGATTCTATTCCCATCAAGAATCCAGCAAACAGTCGTTATTCAGCATAAGCGATGAACTGAAGTTAAACTTTTGCTTTCGACTAATTTGGCTCAAATCCTCTCTCAGCTCCTCTTTGTGTCCTCACTCATTCCATGCATTTTGCAGCCATTCTTAAACCACAAACCATGTACTTCATCAAGTCCGTTGTTTCCACGCCAAAACACACTTTCAAAACCCCTCACACAACGCTAGATCTCACCTACATCACACCTCGGCTCATTGTGGCAGCTGGTCCTACAGATACCTCAATTAAAGCAGTTTTCAGAGACAACATAGCTCATGTTGTAGCCCATCTCGATAGGTCCCACGGACGAGGCAATTGGCATATGTGGAACCTCAGAGGCGAAGGTCCAGGATATGCTTTAAACGCCGTGGTCGGTCCCCATTGCTCGTTCAGGCCGTTTCCAGATCACCAGGTGCCCACGCTTGTGTTGATGGAGCAGGTTGCGCTGGAGATATACACTTTTCTTCAAAGTTCAAGCAATAACGTGGCATTGATCCATTGCAAAGAGGGCAAAGGCCGTTCAGGCACTGTTTGCTGCGGTTATTTGATGTACGAGGCCCAGAAACTGGGTGTTCTAGCTGGAGTGGAAGAAATGGTTGCAAAATTCACCGTGCAACGAATGCGCCGGTTGTTTGGACCAGGGGTGTCGATTGACTCGCAATTGCGGTTTTTGGGCTACTGGAAAACGTACCTTGAGGCTCTGGAGGAGCTCAAACTGGGATATTCTGAAGCTCCCTTGGTGCTTTCTAGAGTTGTCTTTGATAAGCCTCACAAGTTGCTCAAACGCCTGCGGTTGGCTTTTTATAAGCACCAAGAAGGCGATTTGACTAGTATTTGGAATTTTCCATTTTCTGAAACCTCCAAGAATATACTTCTTGACGTGGATTTGCCGTTGAAGGGCGTTTCTCTCGTGAAAGTTCTGGTGGAGTCTCCTGGCACCAAATGCTACTGCTGGATGAGTCCGTATTTCGAGACCTTGGCGACCAGGAAGAGGCCGATTTCTGAAGGCTTAAAAGGCAGTTTGACCTTCTCCTGGGACGAGTGGGACGGGTTCTGGGGAACGAAATGGAAGGGTCCAGTGAAGTTGTTCAAGTCAGCAGAGATCCACTGGGAGGCGAGAAGTTCAGAGGATCGATGAAATTGATATAGCCCAGTAATGAAAGTTTATTTAGGACCAATTGGCTTTGCAGGGAGTTGTGTAGTTTTAGCTAGGATTGTAGCTTTGTTTTGTGGATAGTTCTCCAGGGTACTTATGATAAGGACCTCATTAGCTAACGACGCCGGAATTGATGTCCACTTCATCTTTTCGTTTTCACCTCCATCAATTGTACCCTCCATATTAACTCTGACCCCAAAAGCCATCTTGCACCCTCAATGTGGCCCCAGCCATCTCACATTCCACACCACATTCTGAAACACTTCTCCTTCCCACACCTTCTACAAACCTACTTCCAATGCTATGCGTATATTAACCACCCCGCTTGCCGGGCCCGACATCCAAGAGGATCTCCCTCAATGCATTCTTGACCTCCTCGGCCCTCGGCGACCGCTTCCCGCCCATCTTGTTCAATGTGTACGGCTTGGCAATCACCACATCCTTGAAAACATTGATCGAGTCGTTCGAGAGCCACTGCACGTTTTCCTTGCCGAACTTGGCCGTCAAGTTGTTGAAAATCGTGAGGGCGTGGGCACTCGAGTCTCGTCTTTTCAGATGCTGCTTTTGCGTATGCAGAGGTTTGGGCTTGTCCGGTTTGCTTTCCAGCTTTTGCTCTGGCTTGGTCTCGGGCTTGCCTTCCAGCTTGCCCTCGGGCTTGCCTTCCAGCTTGCCCTCGGGCTTGCCTTCCAGCTTGGGCTGCTCAGGCCTATACCTGGCAATCGACTCGTTCAAGTCAGCCTCGAGCTTGCGGAGATCCACCTTGGACGGACGGGGATGCGAGTATTTATGACTATTGTTGTATTTTTTGTAGTGAGGCGGCACCACTTGCACGGCCTTGACAAATGCAGTGTTGATGATCCTGATCTTGGAAGGATCCAACTTTAATGCTAGAACAGATTGCGACGGGTTGAACGAGTGGATGATCCCTGTGATCTGCTGATCCAACAAGTTGGTGACCTTCACCCGCACGTTGACCACGTCTGACATGCTGGAACGAGGAGTTGCGTAGTTGGTGCTTTCTTAGTTATGCGATCATGGTGGTTCTGCAATGTGCACGCCACGTACCTGGAGTCTCCAGTTGTGGTAGTTGAGGGTCTCTCTGAGACCAAATTATTCGATTCCAAGGAGACGAGGAAATGAAGAGAATAAGGGTTTGATGTGAGGTTTCGTGTTTGGACGGTGTTCGTGAAGAGTCTGGTGGCTGTGTTTGCACCCATTCCTACAGAGGTTATGGCCCAGAGGAAGTCTTAGTATAGAGGTGGGGGAGGCATTTCGAGAAATCTCTTGTTTTTTGCTATTTCAGCGATTTTATACATTTTGTGTTTTTCCACAGATAGGCTTGGTGTGCCGATCTGGTGACGTAAGCTGTAGACTGATGCGCAGAGATATCGGCTAGGGCTGATCGACTGCGGCGGTATTGGGTGATTTCGAGGAGTGTCAATTTATATTGATGGATCTTCACAGAATGCGTGAAAGGAGTTATCGCTACTCCCCCCTCTGACAGACCTGCGTTGTGTGGAACCTGCGTTGTGTGGAACCTGCGTTGTGTGGAAGTGGTAGGTGTTGGATACCGAGTAGCTGAGCTGCAATCTTCGATCAGGCAGCCCTGGTTGTAGTTACACTCGTGAAGGTTGATTAAAAGGCAATCGAAAAGGCCAAGTTTGCTTCTGACTATATTTCAGAAAAAAAGAGAGGAAAGACACCGCTTTTGCCATTGCATACTACAACACATACTCACCTTTGGATATGGCTGCGAAATATCCAGGGTCCAGGGTCCTGGTTGCAAACCATACAAATCTTCTAATAAACCTCCACAAATCATCCCAAATCCAACAAACTACGCTCTTGCCAATCAAAGTCCCGGATTTTCGTGGCTTTGCATTGTTGAGCATGTGTTTCCTAAGTCAGATAATTCACGTTTTCACGTCAAACGTGGTGTGCGTGAAAAAGTCACAAACCCAACGGGTCTGCCGAGGTAACACAAAGAAATCCTCTGCACCATGAACGTCATACTAGGCCTTTTAAAAGAAAAGATACTGAATTCTTCTAAATTCATTAAACTGTATATCCCAAAAACCTCTACTGCCTTATCGTCCGTCGCAACCGGATTCGCGCCGTACTGCTGCTAGCAATACCACTGCTTTTTTACCAAACTACATCTTCCATCTACAACACGGTTCCACCATGGGCGTCTACACTCCAGCTAACAAGCTTGAAAACTTGAAGTTGTACAAGTACTCGTCGGAGGACCAGTCCTATGTCTCCAAGTACATCCTCAAACGGTACTGGAACTGGTTCACCACGTTGTTCCCGTTGAGCATGGCTCCCAACTTGATCACCTTGTTGGGGCTTGTCTTCATCATCGTCAGTGTGCTTTTGGTCTTGTACTTTGATCCCTACTTGGACACCCCTTCGCCCAGCTGGGTCTACCTTGTCCATGCTTTCAACTTGTTCATGTACCAGACCTTCGATGGATGCGATGGGTGCCATGCCAGAAGAACAGGCCAGCTGGGCCCCTTGGGCGAGTTGTTCGACCACTCAATTGACGCCATCAACACCACTTTGCTTGTCATTGTCACCTCCTCGGTGTTCCAGTTTGGCGTCGGCTACAAGACCCTCTTCTCGCAGTTCTCCGTCTTGGCCAACTTCTACACATCCACATGGGAGACCTTCCACACTCACACATTGTTTTTGTCTTGCGTGAGTGGTCCCGTGGAGGGCATGCTCCTTTTGGTGTTTTGCTATGCTCTCACTGGCTTCATCGGTCCAGGCTTGTGGACGGCTCACTTGTTTGACTTGGACTTGTCATCCTTGGGCTTTGGCTTGGGCGAGTACTCTCTCGATGTCTCTCACTTCCTTATCGGTTTTGGGTTTGTCGGTATTTACTTCAATGTAGCAGCTGCAGCTGGCAATGTCGCTAAGAAGTACCGCTCCAACATCAGGTTGTCTAGAGACACGGCCGAGACAGAGATCGCCAACGCCAAGGAGGGCTTGCTCCCATTCGCTGCATACTTTGTCTTTTTGGGATTCCTCATCTGGAGTTTCCCAGACGTTGCATCCACCTACTGCTACGCTTTGGTTTTCTCCACCGGCAGCACCATGGCATTCTGCGTGGGCCGTATCATTTTGGCCCACTTGACGTTGCAGGATTTCCCCTTTTTCCAAATCCCTACGTTAGTGCCGATTTTACAGACGTTCTTGGCACACTATTTCATCACTTTCTGTGATTACAGACCTTCTGTGGTGCTCCCGCCGTGGTCTGGGTGGCACCGGCTTGACAATTGGAATCCACATCATGTTCATTTCGGAAGTCATTGTGGAGATCACCCAATTCTTAGACATTTACGCATTGACCATCAAGCACAAGAAGATCTAAACACATTAGACACTCAACGCCGCAAGCGGTTGCCGGCACCGTACACATTATATCGTAATAAACTTACTATGAAGATTCATTTGTATATACAAGTCATCAAAACGTGACAACTGCCCGGTGGCTCATGAAATGCAGTTTGCTGTTGGTGATTGGATTTTACTTCTGCTCCTTGGTGCCCTCAGCAGCAAGGGGTCGGCGCCAGAGGCAATCAAGTCCTGGGAGCCCTGCTGCATGGCAACACCCTTCTCCAACTCCTGGAGCTGCATCTCGGAGAAAAGCGCGATAAAGAATGGGAATCCCAACAACAAACCGGTCGAGGTGATGGCCCACAACAAGGAGCCCGAAGTGGAAATACCAGATGAGGCATAGCTCTTCAATTTGTTGACGTAGTAGTTGTACTGGGCTCTCTTCTCTGGAGGAACAATGTCCTTAAGGGCCACAAGTCTATCATACAAGGTTTCATTTTCAATGTCGTCCTCGTCAAAGTCGGACTCGGAGTCGGATCCGCTGTCTTCAGCGTAGTCGAAAGTGTGTTTCTGCTCGGTGGCGGCAGCGGTCTCGTCGTCGACCTGGGTTAACTTGACCATGTTATGGGAAAATTGAAGTTACTTGTTCTGAGCGTTCCTCACTGTAAGCAATGTCCAAAAAATTTTATGAAGCGCGCACGACGAACGCTTAGTTAGGCACCCTATCGATATGATCCGGGGAGATGTTTGGTGATAATATTGAGGATGCTGAAAACTCACAGTGAAAGATAATGAAACCCAGCTATTACATACCCTCTAATAGGTGACCAGACTTTCATCGCTACGATATGGACTTTGCATAGCATTACACTTGCCGTTTTGGAAGCAGAAAAGGCTTCTACTGCTATTGAGCTCTTGGACCTTTCTCATCAGGCAGCATTAGAAACAACAATTGCGTGACCAAAGCATATTTTTGTCAGGAGTTGCCATTTTGGCTCGCTTCGAAAACCAGGAGGAATATAAAGAGAAATGGTGTCGTGTTTCCAGAGAGCACCGCACCTAACCCATACCATGTCGAAGAGAGAACTAGTTGAAAAACCCAAAGTAACGTGTGGTGAAGGGGCCAATGAGGTGACTAGAGTAGACACAGTTTACGCATTCACGAACTTCGGGTGCACGTTTCATCTTATGGTGGAGAACTTTGGAAGAGCAGTTGGAACCAGCCTGTACCCATTCCAAGAGTGTTGGTATAAAGCTCTTGAAGACTTCGTCCAAGTAACTGAAACGCAAGTTTCAAGCTCAAACAAACGTTTTGATCCTGAACTGAAGGTCAATTTAGAGTATGCCCGTCTGAACAATGGCATTACTTCGATAGGATCCGGACCTGAGGACACAAAGAAAAAGTTGGTGTTTGAAGTTCGCCAAACTCACCTTAAGTTTAATGATTCAAACCATGAGTTGCCTGCGCCCTCAATCGGTTGCTGCTTTTTGGTTATGGGGAATCAATACGAAATGTTTCCGGGGCCAAAGTTCCCAATGTCTCATCTGATTTATGGGGTTGGATCTGAAGTTTCTGCTAGCTCGTGTCATCACGTCTGCGATACCATGAAGGTCGATCTCCATGCTGAGTTTTTGAATCCGTCTTGGTTTAGGCAGGAGTCCCATCACAGAATTGTTCTTCCTGGGATGGCTTTGTCTGAATTTTTAGCCTTGAGCCTCCGAGTCTCAGGAGCATATAAAAGCAATGAAAAACCCCCACAACCTTTTTACATTTCTCATTTAAAGGTTGATGTACAAGAATTTATAAGTGTGTCGAGGAATGGACTCATATCCAATGATGTACGTCACATTACAATTCTCGACTCCGAGGCACATCACCTTGTGCCGCTCGAGTCAGAGTTTCTAGTGCCTCCCGATTTATTGAAATGCTCACTACCTCAATTTGGGCCATCGTTCTTCAGTGATGATCTTTTGCGGAGCTACGGTTTGAAGATTCTGGTGACACTTTCACGCGGCTGCCTCCCACACATCGTTTTGAGTAACTTTCTTGAAGTCAACTTGGCGCGAACAAGAACCGAGGTAATCGATTATAAGGACTCATTTAATTACGAAAGATACATAGGGGGTTCTCCATCTATCTTTCCCTTTTATGTTACCAAGTACTCAAGTGACGATCGAACCTTGCAAAAGTTTTTGAGCTTTGCGAAAGATAGTTTGTTTGACACAGAGAATCAGTTCATTCGTTGCCAGTTGCGGTGTTATCCCCATAACGAAGATAACAAGGTTTTACTTTTCGCATTAGAGGGATTGGATTTTGTATTTAGGCGTCGTCATCGTTACGACCGAGGTCCGTACCGCCTTTTCAGGCCTCGTAGACCTTGGCATAGATTGAGAGGCTGGAAAAAACTGCAAGGGTGTCTCGAGCCCCACGTGGTGGTACGTCTTTCAAGCAAAGCAGAGCATGGCGACCGACCATTCTTGAAGAAAAATCAAGTCTTTGGGTGCTTGATGCTCGGCGAACAAACTCTTGAGACTCTAGAAGTTTTCCCAGGTAGACTGTGGAATCGAGCTTCTCCGGGCAGGTCTTACCTAATTGGGGAATCCAAGCTTCCACTCTTCGTCCGCATTAATGATCGTGTAAACGGATGCCTGGGAAGGGTATGGAATTTATCAGCCGTCACAACTGCAGGGGCGAATGTATCCGCTTTCATGGAATTAGAAATGATAATAGCCCAAGGTGACGAGGAAGCGAATTGCCCTCGGGCTCTGAAGGATGTCTGCATTCAACTAGAGCACATCATGATAGAGTTGATAGAAGTAAGCAGCATGCAAGGCAGAAACAGTCTTAAGAACAGATCTTTGCTTCAGAAAGATCTCAACCCTGCTATAAAACCGTTTTGCCGGAGTGATTTTACAGACAGAACTCCCGGCGATCTGGGCTCTTGCTCAATGATACTACCCGATGAAATATTGGACTGTAAGATCCCGGGCGATGTTGAGCCGTACCTCTTCTGCCCGATGTCGCAGAATATGAGAAGTTGCGGATTGTTTGGAAGGGTACTGTTTTCTATCAATGGAACTAAAGACTTCTATTGGTGGTACATGGATCTTCGTATCGCCATCGAGACCGAGGAAGTGAAATCGTGTTTCGATGTCAAGCGCTGGCAAGACGAAACCCACTTTTGCTTAGACTGATTTGGAATGGCCTGGGCTCTAGAAGCTTGACAGATGGGTTTAAACATTCTGCGCTTCTTTACCGCCATATATGTTTAAATAGCGTGACCCTTAATATCGATTCGTTTTCTTTTACATTGAAGTTCGTCTTCCTCCGCCTCGATGATAGACAAGGATAATTTGATCCATGTGCTGAGAAATTTGTGCCATGTGTTGGGAAAGGTTGAGCTTCCTGGAGTTGTCAGCTAGAGTGGTGCATGGGTGACTGGAAAATTTAGACCGATTGTTGAGCCCCTGCAGTAAATACTATTCCCTCAAAATATGGTGATCTTGTAATACTACCAGGGTCGTATATACAGGACACTATAAGTAGCAGTCCGTATATTGCAAGCTACACTTAGCAAGATCTGAGGGAGTTTGAGAAGAGAGGCTATAGCCATAGTTTCATAGTCGCGGAGCCATGAAGATGAACCTCGTAACACTAGTGAGCTGTAATTGAAGACTGTCAGGAGCAATATGGGTTTCTAATGTCTAAGGTTCTGATGCAGTGCTACCGATTACTTCAAAACTCCACTATCTTAGCCACCAATTTGACTGTACTGTCGAACAATCATGAAATGCAACCCAAGCCGGCTCTCGTGTGCTTGCAAATACATCTGAGTGTGGAGAGGATAGGGTCGGTATGATCTACTTGACCTTGTCAGATACGAAATGGCTGTTGATTCAAACAGCCTCTAATACACTTAGAAACAACACATACCATGCGATTCCTCGCAAGAGCTCGGCCCTGTCTCTTTTCCCCGAGTTTCCGCAATGAGCTGTCGGTCTCACTATGGCCAGGCCGTGGCTGCAAAATGAGAATGGGTGCAAAAAGAGCCCTCCCTTTTTTGGTCACACATACTACTATTCCCAACACAAGCTGATACTCCACACCATCCAAATACGTTTATCAGTACCTCAAACACAATTTAAGTTTTACCAAGCAAATTCAGTCAATCTACCTAGGATATGCCCCCAAGGTTTTTGATTTGGAGAGAAAGGGAGAATGGAAACAACGCTGGCGGAAACAACCAAGCTGGCGGAAACAACCAAGCTGGCGGAAACAACCAAGCTGACGGAGAAGACCAAGTCGGAGAGGTCCCAGTTAGAGCCAGAAGAAACGGGGATCCAGAGCGTCCCGCTTGGTCGAAGCCTTGCAAAATTCTTTGGAAGGTAATTGTGTCGGCTGCAGCTTTGATTGGTTTTCTGGTACTTCTTAGCCTTACATGTATTGAGTATCATAACTTCCCCAGTCACGAGAGATGCATTGAGAATCAAGGCAACAGAATTGAAGAGGTAAACACCCAGCTTGGTGCCTTGCACACTTCGTCACTCGCTGGCCAGAGAACAGCCGATTCCAGGAGTCAGATCAGTGTGCTGATGGGTTACTGGAGCGAGTCTTATACGTCCCACGCCTTGGGATATTCTGTATTCACTCTCGTCGAAGTTGGTGGTGGGAAAGAAGTGAAACTGAATAGCCCGATTGTGAGCCAGGATCAGGCGGTCGGAGACGAGGCGACTCAGGAACCCTCAGTGAATTGTGACCAGCTTTATGAGGACTTTAAGATGAAAGAGAGCACAAACCTACTACTGCTTGGAGTGCTACTAGCTTGCCTTCCATGGCTCTCTAAGAATGCCTGGTTTCGACGCGTGATCGCTGGTATTTATATCCTGGGAGCTTTGGCCTTCTTTATTACCTGTTTGGTTGTGGATTCACACGATTCTACGAAGTTCCTGAACGAGTGGTTCGTTGCAAGGGCTTGTCTAGCGATATGTGAATATTTTGTTGTGGCAGCGACTTCTACCATCGTGGCAATTTCTCATGCTGACCAGCCAGCTCCGCCTCGGGATGAAGAAGCGAATGTTTAATGATGGCGGCACATTCATCCACACGTATGCCGAGGTTGGTTGATCGAGCGATAAGAGGCACTCTCCGAACGTGTCGGGCTCGATGAAATGTTCAAGCATGGGAGTTGTAGAACATATAACAAGTATGGCTTCGCTGTGGCACAAAGTACCAATAGCATTCCGTTTAATAGATCCAGCGTCAGCTATAAAGGAAGTTCTTTCCAACGTAAGTCCAAGTCTAGCCTGCTCTAAACAACAAGCGGGTGCTGTTGTTGCCATCAGGACGATATAGTGGCGTGAAGTCAATATAGCAGATCATGGTTCCGCCTCGTGGGTGTCTTCGTATCCTCCCAACAGCCACATCTTCAGACCTAAAATAAGTACCGTCTTTCCTGTCGTGAGCTCTTCGAAAACTGAGATCTTTCATCGTTACATGGTAGAAGAATGTGGCGTTCACTTAAGGACAACGAGAGTGATATTTGTGAACGTGTGAAGTAGACGTATGAAGAGCGCCAAGCTTCACAAGAGTTGATCTAGCTCAGAATTTTGGCCCAATGGATCCATCATTGTATATTGTCGATCATCAAGACAGGCTCACTAGGAATGAGGATTCTTGTGAAACTGGCCTTGTCAGTGACGCATCACAACGTTATCTCCATCAGCTCTATACTGGTCAGACAAACCCGTCCCATCTTCGCTTTTCTCTTCTTGGTATGTTATTCTACTGTTTTGTTGAATCAGGATAATAGTACGGTCTACGTACACGACTTTTAGAGTGCTACCACAGGAAGAAGTCTTCATCCCTTAACTCAATCGTCCTGTCTCCGCCCTCTTGGAATCAAGCGAGGAGTGCACTTCAATAGATTTGATTTATTTGTTCTTTAAATATCTCCTTTCCTAATGTTTAATGGTATTATCTTCGTCATCATAGTGTTGGTGAGCGATTCCTGTGTAGAGGCAGGAGCGTAAAGAGGCATGGTAATGGTGAAATATAATATTACTGAACCTTAGAATGAAAAATCTGAGAAATAAGTGATGCTTATCAGGATACTGAAGTGCTCTTCTCACTTATAAATCAAGAGGTGGAGGCTAGACAAGGAAATCAGGGATGAAAGATCAGTTTACCAGGCTCAGTATATAACTCGTCCTTCCAGAAGTCTGCGTTTCTAGGGCAGGCTTCGTTAATGAATAACGTCAAATACTGGTAATTAGCGACTCCACTCACGACGGAGCTCATTCGGTCACCACGAGAGATGCCCCGCCTTTCGTGTCATCAATAGCTCGGCTTCTGATTTACTAGAATGCTGGCTGCATATGCTCCTTCTATGACCGTTGATGAAATATTATCTGATTACGTTGAGGAATGAAATATCGCTTGAGCGTAGTCGTTATGATGAGTCACCAATTTCATGGTAGTGTCTATGAGGCTCACAAGAGGCCTTTAGCTCCATGAACACTCATGTTGCAACCTAATAGACAAGAAGTGCCTCGCTTATGGGGAATGTTTAGTTTTACTTATCGATCCGAATTGATACCAGCGTTTCGCATGACCATATCACATTTGGGGGTAAAAATTATTCTAGCAACAAGTCCTTCCTTTTTTGGCTCATTTTGCTTCAGGTGACTTATTTGGATATTAAAGTGCATTATCCCATTCGATTTCTGACAACACCTTAACACATACTATGTCGAACAGTGAACCCACTGAAGACCTCAATAAAATGTGCGGTAAAGGGGCCAATGAGGTGCCTAAACTAGAGACAGTTTACACATTCACAAATTTCGGTAGAAATTATCATCGTATGGTGGAGAGTTTCGGAAGAACAGTCGCTACGGGCCAATACTCAGCCAGGGAGAGCTGCTACAAGATTTTTGAGGACTTGCTTCAAGTCACTGAAGCTCAATTTATAAGCTCAAGTGAGCTTATTGATCCCGAGCTGAAGGTCCATCTAGAGTCGGCTCGCTTGAACAATGGCGTAACCTCATTCGGATCCGGTCCGGACGATACCAAAAGAATGTTAGTCTTCGAAGTTCGACAGACAGATATTACGTTTAAGAAGTCACAACATGCGATTACTATGCCCATAGTTGGTGGGTGTTTTTGTGCTTTGGGAAACCTGAGGGAAGTATTTCCTGGTCCAATGTTCCCAATGTCTCATCTGCTTTATGGGATCGGGTCTGAAATGTTGGCCGCATCAGACTGTTGCATATCTGATACTTTGTCGATGCAGCTCAAGGCTGAATTTGTGAACTCGTCTTGGTTTTCACAGTTGTTTCAACACAGAATTGTTCTTCCTGGCATGGCTTTGTCCGAGTTCCTTTCCTTGAGTCTCCAAATTTCAGATTTGAAGAATGACGATAAAAGCCGTGCAGAACTATTTTTCATATCCAATGTAAGGGTGGAACTACAAGAATTTACCAGTGTCTCAAAAGATGGACTAATGTCCAAGGATACGCGTTCCATCACCATAGTCGAGTCCAAGCCTGACTGTCGGGTGCCAATTGGGTCAAAATTTGATGCAATCCCCATATTGTTGAAATCTTCACTACCGCAATGTGGGCCAACCTTCTTCAGTGATAATCTTTTGCGATGCTACGGTTTGAAAATTCTGGTTGTTCTTTCACATCAATGCATTCCACAAGTATTCTTGAGCAGCTTTCTTGAATTGCATATGGCACGGCGAAGACATGAGAGGTTCGACCGTCAAGACGTGGCAAATATTTGGATAAAATACCCAGGAGGTAATACGACTCATGTTCCTGCCTACGTCATGAAATTCGCTAGTGACGATCGAACACTGCAAAGATTTTTGAGCTTTGCGAAGGATAGGTTGGTTGACTTGAAGAATGAGTTTTTTCGTTGCCTGTTGCGCTCTTATCGCCATACTGAAAGTAGCAAGGTTTTTCTCTTCGTCTTAGAAGGATCAAAATACGTTTTCCAGCGCGAGGATCGTTATGACCGAGGTCCATTAGACCTCTACAGACCTCGAGCATTCTGGCACAGATTGGAAGGCTGGCAGAAACTGCAAGGGTGTCGTGAGCCTCACATGGAAGTACGGCTTTTGAACAAAGCGAGAAGTGCTAATCACATTTTACTGGCAAAGCTTGAAGCCTGTCTGTGTTTGATGTTTGGAGATCAAACTGTTCAATTTCTTGAGATTCTGCCACATAAAAAGTATAGGAGAACGTTTGCGGATCATTCTTTTTTCCTTGGCGAAGAAAAGCTCCCATTCATGACCCGTGTCACTGAACGTGAATATGGGCACTCAGGAAGGTTCTTGCCGTTGGAGCATGCAGCAGTCACATTTGCTGGAACAAGACTATCGGCGTTCATGAAAATTGAAATGATCTCTGCTGTCGGGTTCGAGGAAGCGAATCGTAAGAAACCCATGAAGGATGTCTGGATTCAGCTAGAACACATCGAGATCGAATTGATCGAGTTAAGAAGACTTCAGCGCCGTTCAGATTATGAAACCACAGTTTTGCTTCACAAAGATCTCAATCCTCTCACCAAACCTTTTATGTGGAGCAAGTTTGGGGACAGGACGCCCGGCAATCTACGTGCTCGATCCATGACATTACCTGAAGAAGTGTTTGACTGCAAAATCCCGGACAATGTTGAGCCTTACCTATTTTGTCCAATGTCGCAAAGTACAAGGACCTGTATTTTAAAGGTCAGGATACTGTTTTCTTCAATGGGACGGAAGTTCCTACTGATGTGGCAGTTCGATCTTCGTATAGCGCCCATGAATGCTGGAGAAAAGAGGTTGTGTTTCGATATCAAATGCAATCGATCGATGTACGAATGAGCGTTGGAGTTTATTCTACAGAGGTTAGGTCAGCGCAAATTGGGATCTAACAATTCGAAGATTCATTTGATTTTTTTTTTTCACTTCGTTCGTAGCAATATTCGGTTAAGGTCTGTAAAGTCTAATCCTAATGGCTTCTTGAAGTTCGAGAGTTTCACAGGGATGAGTTTGAAAGGAGAGAATAGTCAAGATCTAACGCGCAGAGTTAACAATTGCTGAGACCACTTTGCTGAAGTATTACCCATACAATTAAGCGGAACATCCTATATGAGGCATATTTTGTTGTAGGATATTGATACTGCTAGAATTTGTCCCTTTCAATGGCACTAGCATCTCAGTGGGCGAGAAGCTAACAAACCAGGGCACATAACGGATAACCATCCTCATGGATCATAAACGGTCCACTGTGATCTTAGTCTTGGTTTGTTTGCCTTTTGAATGACTCGAATTTCTCATTCGGTTTACGTTCTTGAATTCAAATGAGTGAATTATCATGCTGTGTGGTAAAAACAGCACGGGTTATCAGGAACCTCGGTTCTCTTGAGAAAAGATTCACTCACGGACCGGGGAATATATTGGTGTCGATGAGCCTGTTCAGCTAGGGACGATATTTTATTCATCTTCGGTGTAGGGGCCACTGAGCGCTTCATTCGTAACAGTGTAACCAAGCTGTCTCATTTCCTCTGGGTACTTGCGTACATTGTAGAACTGGAGTAGCGAGCGAAGGGCAATTTCCTGATCGAACGAATTGTTGAAATCACTTTCAAGGTCTCTGCCGCTAAGCCAATTATCTCGGATCGTGAGCTTCAAATGAAGGTAGACTTGTGAAATCACCTCCATGTTCATCGCACGCCACTTGCGGCCTTGGAATGGTATGACCTTTTTGAAGACTTTGAGAATTGGAATCTTGAAGCTGTCGTTTATGTAGTTGAGTAATATGAACTTCAACAAGTCTGTTGGTTTCGTCTCGATAAATGCAAAAATCCTTTGAGTGACTCCTTTGATTAAAATCTTGTTCACGATATGCAATTGGTTCGCCAATATATGGCAATAGGTTTTATTGAACTTTGTCAAGCGGACGACATTATGATTATCATCGTCAACTTTTGATGGTAACTCGGAAATCGGCGTTTTGTTGATGAGGTGAACTGGCGCATCCTGGAAACTCTTAAGGCTGCAAACAGCAAAAAAGTCGAATTGAGGTATGCTTATGCTTGGATTCATAAGTCTATTCTGTGCCATAACAACTTCATTGGGCGCAAATGACTTATTATTCTCTTCATAATCTTGAAAGTCGGTATTGTTGAGAGAATTGTTCATAAAGTCAACGAACACATTTAGATATTGCTCATCGAACAATATCGAGCCGAAGTAATGACTTTTGATGACATGACTGGCTTTAAACCATTTGAGTAAGAGACTAATGATGGATGTTGCTGCCTTAAGCGTTACTTCCTTGGCGTGAACGCCCTCGAGCTGTTTCAACATATGTTGCCTCAATTTATCATATGAATTAGTGTTACCGTCGCTGTATTGGAAAACCAATGAAGAGGTAGAGTTGATCTCTTGTTCAATGTCACGAAAACTAAGGTCAGTTTTGTATGACTTGATGATCTCAATCACAACCTTCACTAGGGACGAAAAATACGGAAGGGAGGTCTTGTAAAAGCTGTCAACTCGTTGGAGGGAGCGAAGAGCGGACAGGTCTTTTGTGGCGTCGGGTAAGTCACCACTTTCCGTGTCTGAATCGTTGTAGTGATCAAGAGTACCACGTTCTTGGGCCATGTACTTTTGGCGTTCTCGCCATAGTCTTTTAACAGAGTAACTCTCGTACACAGCATCTTGAAAAAGCTTGTCTGCCTCCTTAATGGCTTCAGGCAAGGCATCATTAGATCCACTGGGGTATATAAATGGCATGCTTTGGTTGACGTGGTACAGCTTGCGGACCTTTTCACCACCAGACATAAAGTCGGAAGGAGTGCTTGGTGGAGACGGAACAGGAGTGGATATGTGGAGTGTATTGACTGGTAGCTGGCCCAAAACTGAATGTGCTTTGTTAGTGCGTGGTATTTCAAGAAGGTTTGAAAGTGATGCTGTGGAGTTGGCAGCCATGAAAGCTTGATGGTTCTCAGTATCTTCATCATGAGCATCTGATTCCTCATTGAGTGGCGGCTTGTAGCATTTGGGAACATCTTTCGATAGTACCGGGTACTTGTCCAATAGATCCTCTCTAAAAGTGTAGTACTCCAAGGGAGAGCAAGTAAGGCTCTTGGGGGATCCATCCTTCTTGCCAATCAAATCGTGTTTCCGATTGAGGTACTCATCAACTTTGGTCAAGTGCTCACTGTTGCCGAATTCAAGTAGTATGAGCTTCCATATGAGAAGAATGACGTTTCGGATGCGGACTGGGATCTTCGGGTCAATCTTCCACTCTTCCACGACCCTGACAAGTCTGCCGAGTAAATTCAGTTCCAGTAGCACCGCCAAAGCGGAATCTGAGTCTTTGGAAATCTCGACACACACGATAAAGTAGGTTATGGTTAGCAATTTGAAGAGTCGGTCTGCTGTTGGAGATGCATGCTTGCTTGCAAGGTCAATTGCGGATATAAGAGCATCGACAATGCTAGAGAATTTGCCGTGTTCAACTAAAGCCTGGCAGTTTCTTTTGATCCATTCCAATTGGACTCTTTTGTGTCCTTCCGGCTTGAACTCACCCATGACGAAATAGACAAGATCATCGAGCGGGCCTTCCATAGTGAAGCTATCTAGATCAAAAGCAAGCTTTCTGCCCGGCAACTCCTTTATTTGAAGAATCTCGTAATCTGCTGAAACGAACCACTCGCTTAGTTCCACACCCAAGGTTTCGCAATCCTTGTACTCATACTCGAGGTAAGGCTTTGTCACAAGAAGCAGGAAGATGTTTCCAAAGCCCTTCTCGCCCTTGCCTCCGCTAGACGCGTTGTACATTTGCTCAGCTCTCTCATTGAGCTTTTTCTGGAAGGTCTGATCATAGGACAGCTCAGCTAGCTGTTGAGTTGTAGACGCATCGGGGTTATCGATGAGCTGGTCCTCGAGCTTGTCGATGGAGATGTTCAGTTCTGACTCCATCAAGCAATTGGGGGTTTTTATTGTTTGGAATCGACAGTTATCAACTTGTGAAGATGTGTGGTTGTATGCGTCTGATATCGCGAGGTACAGGTTGATCAAGGCCCAACGGTTGGGGCTATGATCTGATGAATGGAATAAGTGGAGATTGAAAAACTTGTAATTTAAATGATAAGAAGACATGAAATAAGCGTTTTGTTTTTTTTTTTTTCCAGTTGGGAATCCATTGTAGTTGGGCCATGTATCCATGTTCTCGCTTATTCCAGACCCTTGCAGTGATAGAGACAAAATGGAACTTTCAACACAGAATTGAAATTTAGAGACAAGATAAAATCTCGAACAAAATAGAACATCAACTTTTTTTAACTTCTGGCTGGGTATGGATCAAGGAGTATCTGGGTAGTAGGCACAGCTAGTGCAACTGACACTGTATGGATAGGCAGTAGAGTAGTCCCACACCCGCAAAAGTGTCTTGAAGCTTCCATTTCCATTTGATGTCCTTATTTTTAATTATTTGAATGCTGACTCCTACGACAAATACGATTGAGCTCTACTTGCTCAAATTAGCTCCATGAGGTTCCGTCTGTTGTCTCACATACTAGAGCTCCAGCATCTATTCGTCGGCTACTGGAAACGAAACAAGAATTCACCTCACATTCCACCTACGCAATTACATCCTGTTCAATATCCACATACTCGTATCCAACACCTACTTTCTAGTGCTTCTACAGATCCATGCCCACAAATCCCTTCTCGTAATGAGCCTCACCGGTAGTCACCTCCCATTACACGATCTACCCGTGAAACCTTCATAATCTTTCAAAATCCCGTTTGCTTCATCAATCTGTGAATCTTCACAACTGAAAATACCGTTTTGCTTCATCGATCGTCAAAACCGAGATCACGCCTGTGCTCCTGCAACCCGCCCTAACTGCCCTCATAACCCGGATCAAAAGACGCATGTTCTCGGCGCTCGATCCAAATCACCCAAGGAAGGAAATCTGGCAACAACACCGAAGATCAACTTAAAAGGAAAAGCTAAAAAATAGAAAGACTGACTCCGCGATCTGCTCAAACCCACGCACCCACTTCACCAAATCAAACTCCCAAACAGCCCCCTCCAGCATCCGTTTGCAGCCACAGCCCAAAGCCAACTTGTGACACCCCAGTACACATCACCAAAACATTTCAAAAAATTGAAACATCGCCTCGGAAAATGCACGGGGCGAGCCTCGCCAAGCGAAACAGGACGCCTCGCCTGGCAGCAACCGTCGTACATTTAGCAAGCATACTGTTGCGACGCCCCACGCTGGGGCCACTTTGAGGAGCGAAAAGAAAGGGTTTATCCGGCGATTGAAAAATGGCGCATTGGGGCGGCCTCATAATTGGAGAGTCGGTAAATTCAATAGGGCCCTTGCGTTTTTTGTTTTCTTTTGCTATCTTTGTGGTCCACAGGGTCCGCAGCATACCCTGAAGCACAATGTGTAGTGTGGCAGCAATACACACCACGGGTTCACCTGGCGTTGGAAGTCCGCCATGGGGCTTTGCATGGCTATCGTAGACATGCAGTTGACAGGTTGGATTTGGTAAGAAACAAAAACCATCTTTAACTAATATCCATCACAGGGAAAGCGAGATCAGCCCCACGGAGGGGCATGCCAAACTCCGAGACCGAACACAGCATCCGTGTGTGCTTTTCAACATCTGTTTCAGATCGTCTCTGGAAAACTCCAAAACTTGCTGCATTGGTCCCAAACACCGCAATGGTCTGAGAGCTCGATCTTCGATGCAGCTTCCGTGGACTTCTACTGTTTCCTCGTGGAAGTTCTGCGCCGCACGGCCCCAAATCCCAACCAATCAGATCTACACAAAAAAGTCATTAAAAACTCTAGCACTGCGAATCGCCACCGGCATTCCCCCACCTTATATAGCTTCCAAACTAACCTCCCCTCATTTGCAACCATCGCCCTAGTTTGCTACATGGCGCCGGCATACCTAATACGTGGTACTGCACACACTGCCCGGCGTGCGTGGCTCCTCCCTACTTTTCCCACACGGCATGCCCCGCGGTAATGCACACAATTACGTAGGTGTCTCACTCGGAGTATATAAACCAAGTGCCTCCCAGGTTGCCCCGTCCATATCTATAAATCTATAATGCCAAACTCCCCAGGCGAGAGCGCCGTTTCCGAATCCCCCGCTTTCCAGTCGTACCTTAACAACGATGGCATCGACCTGTTGACCCCTGCCTCCAGAAAACACAGGGTGTCGTCGTTGTCGCTTTCCGACTTGAACCAGTGGCAGAATGGCTTGACCAAGCTTTCCTCCTCCACCTCCTTGAGCAAACAGGGCTCCAACGCAAACTTGAAGAAGGTCGACTCCTTGGCCAAGTTGTCCCGTAACTCCTCCATCATCAAGCGTAAGAAGAAGTCCATCATCGACCACCCCAGAGTCGCCTCCTACGCCTTCTGCTTCGATATCGACGGTGTTATCTTGAGAGGCCCCGACACCATTCCTGTCGCCAAGGAAGCCATCAGAATGTTGAACGGTGAAAACAAGTACAACATCAAGGTTCCTTCCATCTACGTCACCAACGGAGGTGGTAAGCCCGAAAAGGTCAGAGCCGAGGACTTGTCCAAGAGATTGGAGACCGAGATCAAGGTCGAGCAAATCATCCAGGGCCACACTCCAATGAGAGACTTGGTTCCTCTTTACAAGAACGTGTTGGTTGTGGGCGGTGTCGGTAACGTCTGCAGAAACGTGGCTGAGTCGTACGGTTTCACCAACGTCTACACCCCATTGGATATCTTGAAGTGGAACCCTGCCGTGTCTCCTTACCACGATTTGACCGAGGAGGAGAAGATCTGCTGCAGAACCGACGTCGACTTCTCCAAGGTCTCGATCGACGCCATTCTTGTGTTCGCTGACTCCAGAAACTGGGCTGCTGACCAGCAGATCATCTTGGAATTGCTTTTGTCCAAGAACGGTGTCATGGGTACCGAGTCCAAGACCTACAACGAAGGTCCAGAGATCTACTTTGCTCACTCCGATTTCATCTGGGCTACAAACTACAAGTTGAACAGATACGGTATGGGTGCCTTGCAGGTCTCCATCGCTGCCTTGTACAGAGAGCACACTGGCCTCGAATTGAAGGTGCACAGATTCGGTAAACCCCAGGCTGGTACTTTCAAGTTTGCCAACAAGGTCTTGAAGAACTGGAGAAGAGGTATGTTGGACGAGCACTTGAAGAAGCTGAACGTCAACGACCCAGACGCCCAAGACGCTGACATCTTGATCAATGACGAGGGCGAGGAGTTCATCAACCAGGCCAAGTTGGAGTCTGGTAACTACGAGAGCGACGACGAGAACGAGTCCGATGAAGACGAAGAAGGCAAGACAATCGGCAAGTTGGGTGAATTGAGCTTGCAGGACAAGATTCAGTTGCAATTGCCTCCAGCATCGACCGTCTACTTCGTCGGTGACACCCCAGAATCTGATATCAGATTTGCCAACTCCCACGACGACTCGTGGTTCTCCATTCTCGTCGAGACTGGTGTCTACCAGGCTGGCACCGAGCCAAAGTACAAGCCTAAGCACCAGTGCGACAATGTTCTTGAAGCCGTCAAGTTCGCAATTGAGCGTGAGCATGAGTTGGAATTGGAGGAGTGGAACGAGACTGCTGACTTCGACGAGGACAGTAAGGTTTCCTCCAAGATCAACTTCAACGACTTCATCATGACACCTAGCGAAAAGAAGGAGGCCGAGGAGAAGGAGCAGAAGAAGCTCCAAAAGGAAAAGACAAAGAACACCAAGACTGTGGAGGAGTCCGAGTCTGTCGAAGTCCCCGCTGGCCTTACAGCCGAGCTCGACAAATTCAAGGAACAGTGAGCATAGCTCCTCCACTAATCCCATTTGCATAGAAGTGAATAGCCAACCCGCGCGCATACATAATAATACTGTAGTACATGAACATCAACAAACAAAGCATACTATGGCAGACATTGAGCAAATCGGCCAAAACACGCTGATTTCTCAGGCCAAAGAGGTTTTTGAAAGTGTCACGAATGCCTCAAATTCCAGTTTAAAAAATCCGGCCAAAATCAAAACAGAACTCGCGCATCTAAAACAGTTCTTATCAAAGCTCAAGTTCCAGTACCTAGAACAAGAAACCAGAGATAAGTTCCTACGGCTGTTGCTTATAGATGAAAAGAATATCACGAAGGAAGATGTCGATCTGATTTTGTCCGAGAACCAACAATTCAAAGCCACCCTCAAGCTGCTTAAACGAGAAATTGAAGCTCTGACGGAACAAGCTGAAAATTTGGCAGAAGAGGTAGTCACTTTAAATGATCAACTTCAAAAGCATAAAGCTGAGGTCAAGGAGAGTCTATCGGAGGCTGCGCAGCTTCAGGAGGAGCTAGATCAGCTTATGAACGAAGGAGAGAACGAGAACTACAAAACGCTATTCAACTTCAAGAAGCTCATAGACTCAGACGACATTGGACTCAGCGAGGCTATTAGTATTGCAAACAGTGCCGTTGAGAGCGATGAAACTACACTCAAAGAGCTTGATGAGCAGCTCAAGGAAGCTCAGAAACAGAGCGAACAGAAGAGACTGGAGTTAGAGCAGTTGGAGAAGAAGACACAGGAACTCGAGAGCCAGGTTGGCGAGGATCACACGCCGGTGGAGCGGAATGAGCAGCAGGAGTACGCTCAACAGTTGAATGATATCAAAGCGGCACTTGCCAGGTTTGTGTCTTCCAGTTGAAGCGAGATTGACATAAGATAGTTGATAAGGCTAAGGTGAGCGATACGATGGTCGCTAACGCCGATATATTGACGATGTGGTTGTTCGGATAAACGTCTTGTTGTTCGGATATACGGTTTGAGTTGAGAGTGGTCTTCCAATTTCTACATAGTTAGACTTACCACTCCACAAATTTCCGTCAGAAATAAGCTCCCTATTAATTCAGCAAAGATTCAACACTGTTGGAAATACGTGCCCTCACGACCTACCTCACCCCACACATGCTACTGGTGGCTGCGAAATACACGAATTGGGCCAGGCCCCCATCATAGTTATCCGATTTCTCCCACAATTAAAAATCCTTACTAAATCTAATAAACCAGCCAAAAATATCTGTTTTTCTGACACCCCCAAAATGGGTGCCCCGCTTTGCTAATACCTTGTTGTCTAGTGGGCGCACATGCCTCGGTTCGTCATACAACCATTATCAACATTACTCGCTTCAACCTCCGAGGGCTCTTTTATTTTCCTGACATGGCCGCTACTCTGGTACTTCCAGCCACTACAAAGTCTCCTTTTATAGCACCCACTGCGTCTAAAGCCCCTGAAAAGAACAAAGTTGTCGAGGATCTTCTCAAACTCATCGAGAAGGAATACAAGCAGGGAAACTTGACCGTCACCAAAGACAAGTACCAGCAGCTTTTAAAACTCAAGCAAGAGCAGAATCGGAAACTGAGACAGGGAACGCCTCCTTTGCCCCTCCTTTATACCCTCCGATCTTCCACAAGTTCAACGTTCCCAACCAAGAACCTCCACTGAGTCCTAACCCCAAGAAGTTTAGGAAGAGAAGACTGAAGCTCACGTTTAAGAAAATCGAGCACGTGGTGATTCTGATTTTGGAGTCGCTAGCTAACATTCTTGATAACTTGCACCTTTTTTCAAAGCTCCCTATGTTCCCAGAGAAGTTGGTGGATCTCTTGAAGCACACCAACCGCTTGTGGGTGCTCATTTTGGTCTTTTTGATCAGAAAGACTATCTCGCAGCTTCTTAACCTTATAAGAAAGGAGCGCAAGGTCAAGACCGAGTTGGGTATTCTCAAGAACCAGTCCAACTCGAAGCTTTTGGAGGAAAACGACCAACCTGAGAACGAGAACAATGTGCTCCGGAAGTACGAAAAGGTTCTCCGCGACTTGAAGTTTGACAAGATGATGCTTCGCTTTGAGCTCTTGGGTAACTTCTTAGACTTGGCGTTCAACGTCATCGAGCTCTATGCTATGGTGGTGCCCGACTGGTTCATGAACTTCTTGAACTTCGCCAGCATGGGTATGACCATCTACAGAATGAACAAGGATGATGAATACGTTGACGACGACATCACCGACGACTTGATCTAGAGTATTTATTAATCGTATGTATGGGTGAGATGGATGTAGACTTGATGGCCGATGTGCGATTGAAATGATACAAGAAGTTTGGAGCAAAAATCTTCTGTGTGAAGCGATAACAAGAAAACATTATAAAATACGGAATTAGAACGTTATATTTAAAAGTGGTGTAACGAGGTACTTAATGAGGTAGGTAGAGTTTGATATGGGGTAGCCCAACAACTTGTCACGTCTTCAAACACACCAATTAAGGGATAGCATCTAGTTAGCGGCGTTCTTTCAAAAACAGCGTAACAACTTTATTAATAAATTCATCGTTTCCTGGATCCCACCCTCTTTCATCAAATGGCTGCAAAGGCTGTTGGGGAGCCGTCTGCAGTACATATCAACCACGACTAGTTCCATAGACATTGCTCGTCTATACATCAGCCAAAAAAGGCATGCTAGCACAACGCCTACAAGAAACCGAAAAACAGCTACAGTCTGTGAATAGCAGAATTGCCCAATTCGGACTGTCCATTTCGGCTGCTGACCTCATCGCCGAAGATGTACCTGAATTCCATAACCAGACCCTCTACCAGCTAGATCAGAAGTATAGAGAGACCGATCTGGCTTCGAAGCACCTCCAGCAGCTTTGGATTATCAAGAACTTGGTTCACGAGCTTCAAGTGTCGTTTGACCCCTTGGAGGAGGGCAATTACGTCTGTGACATTACTGAATTGCAGGGTATCTTGCAAAACATCAAAAGCTTGAAGATCAAGATCGGGCCGTTTGTGAAGGAGAACTTCATCATCGGCTCAACTCTTCAGGAATCCTACGAAGACATTGTTGAGTCATTCCAGAAGCAATTGGACTCGCTATTCGCCAGACATGTACTTCAACAAAACGGAACCTTTAAAGTGCTCACCGCGCTAACCATAATTCAGCAAAAACACCTGCTCAAGGAATTTTTGAGCGTGGTTTCGGATTTTGAAGAGTTTACGGGGAATTGCAATGTCACAGAAAAGTTGAATGAGCTTAAACCAAAGTGGGACAAGAAGCTCTTGGATCCTCTTGTCAACAAGAAGAAGTACCTTCTGCTAGTGCCTGAACTGGAACACGAGTACACCATTGAGCTTGCTGATGCACTTCCGCCTGCCCAGTTTCTTTCTAGTTACTACTTTGACTCCGTGCGTAATTTCGTCACCTTTGTCAACTTGCTAGACAACCAGTCCTTCAAGAACTACTACCTGACAAAAGTCAGTAATAACATTGTGAACACGGTGTCCGAGAGCATTGAGCTCTTTTTACAAAACAGAGATCAGCTTTCCGAAGATTTAGTCAACACCATAGAGTTGGCGTCCAAGTCAGGTTGGAATGTTCAGATAGCACGCTCCTTAGGCTCTCTCGATCAGATCAACAACAGCATCAGCAGACTACACCATGAGTGGGTCACAGACAAGTACATAAACAACTTGCGTGTTTACTTCAACGGAACGGAATTCCCTCAGGACCTCCAAAACTTGAAAGAGGTGGAAATTGAGGTTGTTCACGAACCCGAGCCGGTCCATGAGCCCGAGCCTGAACCTGAACCTGAGCCAATTCCACAACCTGAACCTGAGCCTGAATCTGAGGGAGATGATTGGGATGATGAGTGGGGTTCCGAGGAAGAGGAAGAGGCTGCCGATGGATGGGATGAAGACTGGGATAACGATTGGGACGATGACGACGAGCCAAAGTCACCAGTTAAGCCAAAGTCACCGGCAAAGCCAAAGCATCATGGCCCTCCACTGCCAAAAGTGCAGCAGAAGCCTCAGCCTAAGCCAAAACCTCAGCCCACTGTTTCTGTTGATGTTGTCACCCGCAGTGCTGTTGTGGAGTCCGTGAGAAGTATTGTGGATGCTTATCGCTCAGAAGTTGGTGTGGAGGATCTTTCGGATATCCTTTTTGCTGTCAGCGAATTTGCCCTTATGTCCTACCCGCCGCTACACGAGCTGTTCTTGCTTTACAACGATCTCAAAGCACTTGAGTTTGAAGAAACGACAAGATTTGCCGAAACTCAATGGAAGCATACTCGTATCCAACTTTTCGGTCAGCTCAATGCATTTTTCACAGCAATTGACTTTACAAACGACGACGCCTCGGATGACGCTACAGACGATTCTACGGGCATTACAGGCGCCATCACACAATTCAGAGAATGTCTTGAACGTCTAGTTGACTCGAACATGGCAAAGACCAACAGGGCCCTTCTTCGAACTACGGTTTGTGACTTATCCAACCACGCAAACACGTGGGTTGTGAACGGCATCATATCTTCCAAGGAGATCTCCGAGTTTCAATGTGAAAAGTTCACCAGGGTACTTGAAAGTCTTGACGAGGTTGAGGCTGGTGTGCTTGCGAGGGTCGGTTCCGAGAGCAACCGACTTGCAACATATAACAAGCTGAAGCAGGCAATTCTCCTCGTGAACAACCACCTCAATGACATCATGGAGCACTTCTACCAGGGTGACTTCTTCGACTTCTCTACACAAGAGTTGATACTGGTGTTGCAAAGTGTATTCGTACAAAGCGATCTAAGAGAGCGTTGCATCCTGGAGATTCTCGAGGTGAGAAACAGCTAATCAGCTGATGGTCTTACCGTCAACCACCTTCTTGCCGGTTTTGGCAATGGTGTTGTACACAGAGTCGTAGTCAAGAGACTCGTTGGTGGTTACATCGACAGTTTGAGACTCCAAAGAGATCTTGGTGTCGGTGACGCCATCCAATCTGCCCAAAGCCTTCAGCACGGCATTGGAGCATCCTGAACAAGACATTTTCACATTGAATTGGTATTGGTGGGACATTGTTGGGTGTAGCTAGGGAAGAAGCAGTGTGGTTATTCGTGCTGATGCTATCTCCTGCAGGAGATTGCCGGTACCGCATCGGCTTCGGGCACACCGGGTTGCAGTTATGGAGGTGAACTAGGGGGATTTTTTGGTGATGATTGGAATTGAAGGCTTGGTTTTGATGAATTGAGCCCTGTCGTTTGGTTCAATGGTCCGGGCTGTCTTTTTCACTGTCTCGCATAGATCTCCTGGGGGTGCCTGTGACACACAATGTCGTATTAGGGCCGGCTTCCAGGCACAAGTGAAGAATTTGAATCTTCATCATGAATTCACTTGCCTCTATATCTACTCCATTCTATCGGCTTCAAGGCAATGCCATCTTGATGCATTTGTTGTCAATCCTGGTCTGTGACTTCGGAGGTGTAACGTGCCGCTGCTGACTGCAAATTCATTAATTACTACCACATCCTGGCACTTATGTGAAGTTTGACTGGTATGAAGACACTAAGTCCCATTTAAGTGATTCATTGGAGTTTCTCAGCAACCCGCGGTGGTTCATGAGCGAATAGTGTCGTGCTATTGAACGACGCTGTTATAAACTATTAAAAAGCATTGAATAAATATACTGCTAATATATTACTTCAGTAGTTGGTTTGAACAATGTTCATGGTCATGCCATCGATATATCGTGACCGGTCGTTTAAGCCTCTTTGGGGATGACAAGACTATGCATGAAAATCGACAATCACAGCTACAACTACTCAAAGCTGGGTAAGGATCTTATGAATAGAATATTGAAAGCTGTAGATTTTTTAAATCCAGAAGTCAAGATTAGTGGTTAACCGTGGCTACAGGTTCGACCTCGGGCATGGTAAAGTTCAAGTCAATCGTCAAGTGGCATTATTTAATCAGAGAGAACAAGTGTGCTTCTTTAAATGGTCAGCTTATTTAATCATCATCCACTCTCATACGAGTAAGTCTTGTGTGAAGCCATTGAATTGCTCCCTCACATGGCTAATGGCCAAGAGCAATGAAGCTCAATCCGTCCACGCCATTGAAAACCACAAACAACCATTTTACAATTCAATTTCCGTCACATCTAGCAAATGGTAAAACCTCAATTTAAAACGAAATCCATCTCTCTGACCACTGGGGTCACCGTTTTCAACCTGACCCCATATTTCGCAGCCACGAAGTACCTGGACGCCTCAGACCAACAGATAACCGGTGAGCGTCTTCTTCGTGAATCTGTGATTTCCATATTTTTCCAATTTCTACAATCTTCACGAATTTTCATCAAAACTCTCAACCTCCAAATCTCGCAATTCTTGTGTTTTGTGCCTCAGCGAAAGCTGGTCCTCCTGCGCCTTGCACTAACAATCGTTCGGTGACAGACCGTTGCTGCACGGAAGCTTGCGGAGGGGTGCATCTCAAATCAGAACAAGCCCATAAATCACAAAACCGTTCTCAGAATGTCGATAAAACTGCCTCTTCTGATCACAATGGTGTTTTTAAATTCCCAAAAGGACCGCTGTGCATCGAAATAGGTCAACCCCCGGGTGGCTGCGAAACCACGGTTAAGTTTCCCCAGAATCCAGGAAACCTTCAGCAACCAGAACATGTCCACGCAGCAAACGTTAAAAGAACAACTGATGCAAAACCAGCGCCGTCAAAATATAAAACCAAATAATCTGTCCCTCCTCCCTCTCACATTCACCTGTATTCCATGTCGATCTTCTATGACGCCCCTGGCGTGCACATGCCCATCATATCTTATCTCTCACTACTACTCTTTCTCATGTTTGGTATCTTCAAGTACGTACACTAGGTGTTTTTTTTCGCCATTTCCTACTAACTCCAGCTCCTTTGTCGGGTCCATTTACCCCGTTATCGCCTCCTACAAAGCCTACGATGACTACGCCCGTGTGGCGTCTCTGTCAGCTGCTTCGTCGGTTCAGATAGGTAGCGTGTCTATTCCTTTTGGAACCATGCTTAAACGTGCCACTGCTGCCGAAGGCTCTGTTGAAGAAGACTACTTGAATTCCCGTTTGCTTACGGTCCAGATGTGGTTGATCTACTGGATTGTCCATGTGAGCATTGGCATTGCCGAGCTGATGCTCTTTTTGACCTGGTTGCCCTTGTACTCTCTGTTCAGGCTCCTCGTGTCTGCCTGGCTCATTTCCCCCATTGTCTTGAGCTCCTTGCGTCTTAACAGAACCAAGGCATTGACACCCCAGGAGGTGCAGCAGGAGTGGGCTGGCTTCTCAACCCAGGGCTGTGGCTTGGTCTACTTCCAATACCTCAAGCCGCTTTTTGACGAGCAGCTCAAGGCTCTCATCAACTTCAACTTTGAGCCGCTTTTGAACCAGCTCGCCAGATTCTCCGGCGCGTCTACCATATTCTCGTACGCGGGCACCTTTCTTTTGAAGAACCAGTTTAAGAACTTCGCAGGCCAGGATGACGGTTCCAGAGACGTCAATTCCAGAGACGTCAATTCCAGAGACGTCAATGCCCCTGCTGACTCCTCTGCTCCCGCTCCAAACCCTAACTCCCCACCTCCTCAAGAAAACGCCTTTGCCGCCGCTGCTCAGAGTGCTGGTTTTGGTGCCGCTGCAGGCCACATCCAGAACTTCTCCAACCTCGCCAAAAACTTCCAGTCCCGTGGCGAACCTGCCAGGGAAGATTTAGCCGATTACGACATGGTCAACACGCCATCTCCGTCGCCCGAGGGCCAGGAGGGTGTCAAGCAGAGAAACGTCTCTGGTGGCAAGGAGAAGAAGCTGTGGTGGTAATAGAGCGGCCCATGTGTATCTGGTTTCTATGGCTGTATACAATGTATTCTCTTACTTACGCTGGCCTTTGGCGGTTCATAGAGTCGTAGAAGTTTTGATTACTGCCTAAATGGCCCACATTGATCTCCTTAATTCGACATCTGCTGTAGGCGGCGCCCAAATCTATATATTGAGTTAAAGCAATTGTGGCAATTACTTGAGTAGTCGAAAAACAGCACCTAAAGCACCCATCTATAATTCTCATGATACACTTCTTTCCTAAATCCAAAAAGCAGCTGCCTTCCCTACACTCTCTCTAAATGACGTTTACTATGTACATTGGTTTACAAGTTCAACAACTTGGCAACAGCGGCACGGTCGGCCTTCTGCTCCTCCCTAGAGGTGATGCTCTCCACTTTAGCCTTAAGAGCCTTCTGAGACTTGGCAGAAACAAACACATTGGGCAATTGTGGCTTGTTGTAGAGTCCGTTGTATGCGTTGGTGGGTCTGTCGGCGTTACTTCTGCCTTCGAAGTTCTTGGTGAACTCCATCTGGTTCAAGTCAGACTTCTGGCCTGGGTCCTTGGCACTCTCAGGCAAGTCAGGCCAAACAAAAGGCTCTTCCATGTCAATGGTCATTTTCTTCATCTGACGAGAACGGTGGCGACCGTAGTCCATCATGGTTCTGCGCCACACAGCGGGCATTAGCTGGACAGTGATATTAAGTGCTCTCAAGCCGTAGACATGCCAGAGGTAGTCTCTCAAGTCAAGCTTGTTGAAGCTGCGGGGCACGAGGAAACGGGCCTGGTATGGAGTGTGCTTGGCCAAAGGAGGTAAAAGGACAACACGTGCCTTGGGCAAGTATACCTGCTTGTTACCCACTTTGAAGTGAGGAAGACCCAAGGCCACCTCTTCCTGGAAAGCTTCAAAGTTTCTGCGGGCCACCTCGTCGTTGTTGCCCTTGAACTTACGAGGCACGGGTTTGCCCGCCTGCTTGTACATTTCTTTTATCTTCTGTTGTGGGAAAAGCGTGTTTTTCACCTTTTGGGAGAGAAGTGGCTTTCTCTTTCTGCGGAAACCGTATCTGGGAGGAGTAAGGTTGACGTCGGCGGCGTTGACCTGTGGGTAGCTCTTGGGCGTGAGCTTGTGGTGCACTAAACGCCGAGCGCCAAGCGACAAGCCGGCCATGGCTCGGGAGATGCTGTTCATGGTGGTTGATCTGGATGAAGATTTTTGAGAAGCGGTTGAAGAAAGTTGGTAGTGTCACGTGCTAGACGTCACGTGTGTTGATAGTCGTGTGCGCACCACAAACACCCATGCGAAAATTCAAAGGCGACAAACATTAAGACAGCTACCTCCCAATGTCCACCCCCATCGCCACGGACGACCCTTATGCTTACGAGGAAGACGACTCGAGCATCACGCCCGAGGACTGTTGGACGGTGATCCTGTCGTTCTTCCAGGAGAAGGGTTTGGTGTCGCAGCAGTTGGACTCGTTTGACGAGTTCATCGAATCCACCATCCAGGAGCTTGTCTGGGAAGACCTGCACTTGATCTTGGACCAGCCTGCCCAGCATACTTCGGAGGACCAGTACGAGAACAAGCGTTACGAGATCACGTTTGGCAAGATTTATATTTCGAAGCCTACGCAAACCGAAGGTGATGGTACCACCCACCCTATGTTCCCACAGGAGGCCCGTTTGCGTAATCTCACGTACTCGTCGCCTTTGTACGTTGACATGACGAAAAAGAAGTTCAAGTCGGATGACCGTGTGCGCAAGGGCACTGAGCTCGACTGGATCGAGGAGAAGGTGGAGAATGAGGATGCCCAGACCAAGGTGTTTTTGGGTAAGGTGCCCATCATGTTGCGTTCCAAGTTCTGTATGTTGCGTGACTTGGGCGAACACGAGTTCTACGAGTTGAAGGAGTGCCCATACGATATGGGTGGTTACTTTGTCATCAACGGTTCCGAGAAGGTTTTGATTGCCCAGGAGCGTTCGGCTGCTAATATTGTGCAAGTCTTCAAGAAAGCGGCGCCTTCCCCTATTTCCCACGTTGCTGAGATCAGATCCGCCCTCGAGAAGGGTTCACGATTGATCTCCTCCATGCAAATCAAGTTGTATGGTAGAGACGACAAGGGCACTTCCGGTAGAACCATCAAGGCTACCTTACCATACATCAAAGAAGATATCCCTATCGTTATCGTCTTCAGAGCCCTCGGTGTTGTCCCTGATGGTGATATCTTGGAGCACATCTGTTACGACGCCAATGACTGGCAAATGTTGGAGATGTTGAAGCCCTGTGTTGAGGAAGGTTTCGTCATTCAAGAGCGTGAAGTTGCGCTCGACTTCATCGGTAGAAGAGGTGTCTTGGGTATCCGCAGAGAGAAGCGTATTCAGTATGCCAAGGATATCCTCCAAAAGGAACTCTTGCCAAATATCACCCAGGAGGCTGGTTTCGAGTCTAAAAAGGCTTTCTTCTTGGGTTACATGGTCAACAGATTGTTGTTGTGTGCCTTGGAGAGAAAAGAACCTGATGACAGAGATCACTTCGGTAAGAAGAGATTGGACTTGGCTGGTCCTTTGTTGGCCAGTTTGTTCCGTCTTCTTTTTAAGAAGTTGACCAGAGATATCTACAACTACATGCAGAGATGTGTGGAGAACGATAAGGAATTTAACCTTACGCTTGCTGTCAAATCACAGACTATCACCGACGGTTTGCGTTATTCCTTGGCCACCGGTAACTGGGGTGAACAGAAGAAGGCTATGAGTGCCCGTGCTGGTGTGTCCCAGGTGTTGAACCGTTACACATACTCTTCTACATTATCTCACTTGAGAAGAACTAATACTCCTATCGGTCGTGATGGTAAGATCGCGAAGCCTAGACAATTGCATAACACACACTGGGGTCTTGTGTGTCCCGCTGAGACTCCAGAAGGTCAAGCCTGTGGTTTGGTCAAGAACTTGTCGTTGATGACATGTATCTCCGTCGGTACAGCCTCCGAGCCTATTCTCTATTTCTTGGAAGAATGGGGTATGGAGCAATTGGAGGACTACGTGCCCTCTAACTCGCCTGATTGCACCAGAGTGTTTGTTAACGGTGTCTGGGTCGGTACTCATAGAGAGCCAGCACAGTTGGTTGACACGATGAGAAGATTGAGAAGACGTGGTGATATTTCGCCCGAGGTCTCGATCATCAGAGATATCAGAGAAAGAGAGTTCAAGATTTTTACCGACGCTGGTCGTGTCTACCGTCCCTTGTTTATCGTTGACGATGATCCAGAATCTGAGACCAAGGGTGAGCTTGTCTTGCAGAAAGAGCATGTCCACAAGTTGATGAACTCGGAATATGACGAGTTCGATGATGATCCTCTGTCCAACCACTACACCTGGTCTTCGTTGGTGAATGACGGTGTTGTGGAATACGTGGACGCCGAGGAAGAAGAAACTATCATGATTGCGATGACCCAGAGGACTTGGAGGCTTCCAAGAGTAGCTTGTCCGAAACACAACACAAGAGTTTGCAAATGGAGGAACAAGACCTCGACCCAGCCAAGAGAATCAAGCCAACCTATGTCTCTTCCACGCATACATTCACTCATTGTGAGATCCATCCATCTATGATTCTTGGTGTTGCAGCCTCCATCATTCCATTCCCTGACCATAACCAGTCTCCTCGTAACACCTATCAGTCTGCTATGGGTAAACAAGCTATGGGTGTGTTTTTGACTAACTATGCCGTCAGAATGGACACAATGGCAAACATCTTATACTACCCACAGAAGCCTCTTGCCACTACCCGTGCCATGGAGTTCTTGAAGTTCCGTGAGTTGCCTGCTGGTCAAAATGCCATCGTCGCTATTGCATGTTACTCTGGTTACAACCAGGAAGATTCTATGATTATGAACCAGTCATCCATTGACAGAGGTCTTTTCAGATCTTTGTTCTACAGATCTTACATGGATTTGGAAAAGAGACAGGGTATGAAAGCATTGGAGACTTTTGAGAAGCCTTCCAGATCTGACACATTGAGATTGAAGCATAGTACTTATGAAAAGTTGGATGATGATGGATTGATCGCCCAGGTGTAAGAGTCAGTGGTGAGGATATCATCATCGGTAAGACTACTCCAATTCCTCCAGACACTGAGGAGTTGGGTCAGAGAACACAATATCACACCAAGAGAGATGCATCCACTCCTTTGAGAAGTACCGAGTCTGGTATTGTTGACCAAGTTATGTTGACTACTAATGGTGATGGTGCTAAGTTCGTCAAGGTCAGAATGAGAACGACTAAGATTCCACAAATTGGTGATAAATTCGCCTCTAGACACGGTCAGAAGGGTACGATTGGTGTTACTTACAGACACGAAGATATGCCATTCAGTGCTCAAGGCATTGTTCCTGATTTGATCATCAACCCTCACGCCATCCCATCGCGAATGACAGTGGCTCACTTGATCGAGTGTTTGTTGTCTAAGGTTTCGTCCTTGTCTGGTTTGGAAGGTGATGCTTCTCCATTTACAGATGTCACCGCTGAGGCTGTTTCTAAATTGTTGAGAGAGCACGGATACCAATCCAGAGGATTTGAAGTTATGTACAACGGTCACACAGGTAAGAAGATGATGGCTCAGATTTTCTTTGGTCCTACTTACTACCAGAGATTGAGACATATGGTGGATGACAAGATTCACGCCAGAGCAAGAGGTCCAGTGCAAGTCTTGACCAGACAGCCAGTGGAGGGTAGATCCAGAGATGGTGGATTGCGTTTCGGAGAGATGGAAAGAGATTGTATGATTGCCCACGGTGCTGCTGGTTTCTTAAAGGAAAGATTGATGGAGGCCTCGGACGCCTTCAGAGTGCACGTCTGTGGTATCTGTGGTTTGATGTCTGTTATTGCCAACTTGAAGAAGAACCAGTTCGAGTGCCGCTCGTGCAAGAACAAGACCAACATCTACCAGATACACATCCCTTACGCTGCCAAGTTGTTGTTCCAGGAATTGATGGCCATGAACATCTCCCCAAGATTATACACCGAAAGTTCAGGCATCAGTGTGAGAGTTTAGGGATAAAATTAGCTTGTATTATAAAACATTACAAAAGGAATATACGGAAAAGAAAGCGAGTTGTAGGCCAACAAATAATATGACCTCAGAGATACGCTTTACAAGACTGTCTACAAAACTGCCAAGGCATCTATCTTAACCGTATGCTTACTATTTACAACCTTTTTGTTCCCTCACTTGGAGAGGTAGCTCTTCCGGAGCTCGGCAGAAATGGCCTCCTGGCGCTCCAACTCAGCGATCTTCTTCTTCATGTCTGGCACCTCATCGGCATGCGCAATCAAGTTCTGACCGTATGGGTGCTCGTGGCCATCAAAAACTTTGAGTCTGTCCATTCTGGCGAGCCTAAGCTTGTTCTTTGGAATCATGCCCTTCACGGCTCTCTTCAAGATCTCACCGTAACCCATGTTGGCGATCATTCTCTCCATAGGAACGAGCTTCAACGAGCCCGGTCTTCCCGTGTGCGACCAGTAGGTCTTATCCGACATCTTGTTACCCGTCACCTTCATGTGGGAGCAGTTGGTCACCACCACGTAGTCTCCATGGTCTCTGTTTGGAGAAAAGGTGGGTTTATGCTTGCCTTGCAAAGTCAAGGCTATGCTGGCGGCCAAACGACCCAAGGTTCTGGGATCGGCGGCCATATCCACGTGATGCCAGACCCTCGTTAGGGCGAGCGTGGAGTTACCGATTCTCTGGGACATGTGTAGTGGGTGGTTTAGAGCAGTGAGGGTGGAAAAAAATGTGAGGAAGAAGTAGGCGCTACGTACAGGAACCTCACCAATTTCTCACTCCACCAACATCCTATATCTCCACTGGTTCTTCAGGATTCATCGACCATGTTCTTCCTCAAAGACCTCTCGTTGAACTTGACGCTCCATCCGTCCTACTTCGGTACGCAGATGGACCAGTACTTGCGAGATAAACTTCTTCTGGACGTCGAGGGCACTTGCACAGGTCAGTTTGGTTACATCGTCTGTGTGTTGGACTGTATGAACATTGACGTGGGCAGGGGTAGGATCATCCCGGGCCTGGGGATGGCCGAATTCGAGGTCAAGTACCGTGCCGTTGTGTGGAAGCCGTTCAAGGGCGAGGTGGTTGATGCTGTGGTGACGACGGTGAACAAGATGGGTTTTTTCGCCGACGTGGGGCCCTTGTCTGTTTTCGTCAGTACCCACTTGATTCTGTCGGACATGAAGTTCAATCCCTCTGCCAACCCACCTGCGTACGTCTCTCCAGACGAGACTATAGAAAAAGGATCCCGTGTGCGCTTGAAGATTGTGGGTACTAGAACCGACGTCAACGAGATCTACGCCATCGGCTCCATCAAGGAGGACTACTTGGGACCCAGCCCCTTGTGATGTATCATAAAGTCTACAGCAAACCCGTCCTGCCATTTTGTATATTACGTGCCCGTGGCACCTGAAAATAAAGTATATCGTGTATTGGACCAGTAGCTAGTCGTCGAGCTCAATGATCTGTGACGAGTTGATTTCGCTGGGGTCGAATTTTTTCAGGCTCTGGCGGTTGAGTCGCTTGTTCCACGATCTTTCTGACGACGAGTTCAGGATGGACCGTTTCTTGCCGGTGGGTGTTTCTATCGACATGCGCTCGATCCGGCTATCTATAGGTGAGGTGCTTTCGCCGCTATGTTCTTGCACCCGCTCGACCTCTGGCGTAGCCTGAGGTGGTGTTGGTCTTTCAGATTCACCGTCTTGTGGAGGTGCCCTGTTAAACGGGCTTCGAGACCGCCAAATGTTACCAGTAACTTCAATGCCAAGTACTCCTCTGATTTTCTCCAATGCGTCTTCCTCTGTCAACACGTCAAATGCAGATCTCAGATAATTTTCACTCCGAGCTGGTGCTTGTGGTGCTGTGGGTTTTGTGGGCTCAGACTGTCTGTCGGGTTCATTCTGCGTCCGCTCGGCTGCTTTTTCTGGCAATGAATCTGCCTTGGTTTGAACCAGAGCTCGGGGCGGTTCCTGAACCTCTTGTTGTTTCTCTTGTGGTTGTTCTGCCAGCTTCTCTGATTCTTTATCAACTGCAGCTTTATTAGATGTTGTTAAAGGACTCACAGAAACGGTCTGATCTTCTCCATTGACATCCTTGTTGAGCTTAAACTGCTTATTCACCACACGAGGATGCGTTTCTGACGAGGCCTTATTAGCATTATTGTTGCCGGTAGTATTTGCTGGAGCTGTGGCGCCACTTGCTGTACTGCCGCTTGCAGCACTAGCTCCTGTTGCACTGGCACCAGCTGTACTAGCACCAGCTACACTGCCACTAGCCTCACTCGCTGCTGGAGTGTTTCCCGGAGTCTTTGACGCCCGATCCTCTGGTTTATGCTGAGATCCGTTGGTCCCAGGCTGGCTAGGAGGATTGAGTGGAGGACTGGACAGTTGTGGAAGCGAAGGTAGAACAGGTATGCCGCTGTTGTTTGGGAGCGTACTGCTGGGGTTGAGCGCCATTCTGTTGTAGTTGTTAATGAGGGATGACGACGTCAGAATGAGCTGGCGGTAACGTTCGGCTATAGCATTCTGGCGCAGAGTTTCCGAATTGCTAGAAAGGCTGCCCGCAGAATGAGGACCTTGATGAAGTGACGGTCTCAGGTTATCGGAAACCTCAGTAGTAGATGGGCGCTGCGGAATTGAGGGCGTTGACTGTGCCCTATTCTCCAGGCTGTCGGATCTTAGAGGTGTTTCTTCAGCAGAGGCTGATTTGGAAGCTACTATAACCGGCGAGCTTGTCAGACGAGACTCGCGTCTGCTGTGAGACTGAAGTGGTTGTGGTTCTGGTTTCTGGGGCGCAGAAATGGGCTGAGTTTCAGACGATAACTGTGGAGTTTGAGTGCCAGAAGGTGTCTGTCTTGCTGATTCACTTGCAGATGGAGCACGGCTTTGAGGATGCAGAGAGGGCGTTGTGTTTCTCTCTTGTGGTGTTTCATCCACAGGTTTCGATGCCTCTCCTTCGGGTCTGTTCTTATTTCCATTGTTCAAGTTCCAGCCAAAAACAGGCTTTGGAGCCAGTGGCTGAATTGGAAGCATGTTTTGTTGATTGACTGGAGGCTGAGGTTTGAACAGATTACCTTTCCCAAGTTCAGGAACCGCTGACTTTTGCACCGGGTTCTCCTTGGCCCAAGGCACATGAAAACGATCATTCGGTGGATGTGGTGGATCCTGTCGCGTTAAGGTATTAATTGACGGGAGTCTGGTGGCACTCTGCTGTCCTGAGGAGCTTGGAGCTGGTAGAACTGGAGATCCGTGGTGAGATAACTGAGGTGAGTGGAGGGATGTGACCAGAGTCGATCTATTAGAAACCGGAGGAGGACTCATTTGCACATCTCTTGAAGGTAGGTTTTGCTGCGTTCTCACCGGAGGCAAAGAAGGACGGGCTTCTGTTCCCAGATCCAGCTCCTCTGGGATAGTAGGGGCCTTGCGACGACTAACGTGGCTGAGAGGTACGTCTTCGTGACGAGCCAATGGTTCGTTATCAGAGGAGGAATCCTCCACTTCCACTGGCCGAGCTGCACCATTCGCATTTCTCTCGCTACCATTTGAATTAGGTGGCTTTGGAAGACTGTGGTTCAGGCCGTCGGGATTGAATAAAGAAGGTAACAGTGGCTGGGGTAGTTGAGGACGCCCATTGCTTGATTGAGGTGGCGACTGGTGTGGTGAAGGTTGGTGCTGATGAGATTGTGATGAGTGACGAGACATGGGCTGGCGTGATTGATGCGATTGAGCCGATGGTGATTGCACTGCTGGAGGTGTCCTATGGAAACCAGGGGCATCTCTTGTTCCATGATATCCGTTCATGTGTGCTGGACCTCCTCTCATGCTGTTCAAGGCACTCAACCCAGTTCTAGCACTCATGTTACTCAAGCCGCTGTTACCACTAGCACCACTAGCACCACTGAATCCACTCATTCCACTGTTTGCACTGATACCGCTGAGGCCACTCAATCCACTCATGCCGCTCATACCACTCACACTGCTGGCGCTGCTGTTTCTTCCACCATCATTGAGCCACGGGGCTTGTGAATAATTCCTATTCGTATTCGTCGGGGGCGCTCTGTATGGCGGTCCAGAAACGTCTGAGTGTGTGGCTGACGAGTTGCTTGATGTTGCTCGGTTATGCTGTAGAACATTTTCACTAGTGGTTTGATGCTCGCGGTTTATGGGTTTTGGTACGTTTGGAGCCGGAACTTGTGAGTGCGTCAGTAATGGAGTGTTGTGCTGGGTTGAAGGGCTAGCCTGTGATGGGGTTTGCTGTGGAGTTTGCTCGTTTTGGGTAGTAGGCCTTGCTGGTGGGGCTTCATCCTCACTATCACTGTCAAGGGAAATAACCTCAATTGACTCATTGGCAGGCTCAACTGACTGCTCTGGAGGAGGTACAGAAGCTGCTGCGCTAGGGCTCTTGGGAGCTGGTGAGGACTCATTCTTCGCATTGCCTTCAGTCTCGGTTTGGATGGCCCACGAGCCGTCCGTATTTAACATGACCGTGTCGACTTCTTCTGACGTTTTTTGCAAAATGTCGTTCATGTAGTCCAGTACAGCAAGCGAATTCTGGTCCATCTGAGCGGAACAAACGGGACAAATCCACGAGGGAATTCTTTCTTGCATTGTGAGGAAAGACAAGCCGTCAAAACACTGGACGTGATCGCAAGTGGTAGACTTCATTGGGTGCTTCATGCGGGCATATGTCAAGGGACATCGTAGGGAAATCGAAGATGTGTCCATGACGATATCGTCATCTTGGTTCAACTCATAGTCACGCTGGATTGTCTTTTTGGTAGCATCCACAGGAATATGCTGCCCATTCTTCTCTATCTCTTCCACTAACGTCTCAGGCTTGTGAGCATGCACGATATACATGTAAAGGATGTAGGGCTCCATGGCGTCTGAATACACCACATTGACCGTAAACTGTCTTCGGAGATTATTCACGTACTTTGTGAGATCAGCCGGCCGACAGGTTCCGGGCTTTCCCTTGAGGCCCTTGACGTACTGCTTCGTATTAATGCCATCAACATGGATTTCGATAGGGGGAAACTGGATGGGCGTTTTGCCTGGGTTCGGCGTGGAAGAAAGACCTGAAAAAAGGTACAAACGGGCATCTGGATTCAGTTGTAGCACCTCCACCTCTTCGCTGTTCAAGCTCACTGGCACATTACAAACGTTTCTGCCCTTGGAAGCAACCATCATGTATGGAAACCCATGAACCATTCGTATTAGACGGTAAAACAAGGTGCTCTGAAATAGAAGCATGGGTCCCGTGTACCGTGGGTAGTAGACCGAGCCGTGCAGAGTGTTCCCCAGTGAGTAACCTCCAGCCATAGGATTGGAGGGTTGAGGCGGTTTTCTATGTGTGTGAGGGGACATCCCGTGCGTGAGCCGTGTATTCTGTTGGCTGTTCTGCTGCAGTAGTTTCTCCGTATCTATAAGCCCCAGCTGCAAAGCATGGCACAAGGTGTGGAAGTCTGGTACCGGGTCGTGATTGAGCATCTTGAGAACCACCGATCTGATGGCCAAAAGACGAATGTTCTCTCCGGCAGCGTAGCAGGAACGAGTATACTGCTCCAAGCGGTCCATAAGATCCTGTTTCTTGCCCTTCAAGGCCAAACCCACAGATTTGCAGAGGTCCTTGAGTTGGGTCACTTTCAAAAGTCGAAAGAAGGTGAGGGTGCTTTCGAACTCCGTGGCCAGCAACGCCAGCCGCAGTTGGACTGTGCTGCTCGGTGGCTGGCTCATTGTGACGGTGTATGCTGAAGATTTTCCGGCCTTTTGGCGGAGTTGGAAGGTTTTGCTAACAAGCTAGTGTTTAGGTGAGTGTATATGGAGCAGCAGCAGTTCTGCAGAGAGTTACCAGAGACACCAGATGGATGTTGGTGGAAACGGGAAATGTGGGTGCTTTGAATGGATATTTGGACTTTTTGGGTTTTATTTAGGGAATATTTTGTCTACTGTGATATGACTTTTGCTGTGTGGTTTATGTTGGATTGGGCTGCAAATCGCACATTTTAACAGAAACCGTGAATTTAGCAATAGTGAGAAGAGGCACTTAGTAGATCCGAATTTTTTTCACACTTAAGAAAAGACAAAAAAAACCATAACTCTTTCAGATTTCTTATCGAGAACTAAAAATAAACAATACTAAAAATTTGGTGTCCATCACTCAATGGAAAACTCTTATCTGGTACTGCTAGTTGATGGCTCAATGTAGGAATTTTACGTCATTGACCTTGCACCTGGTCATCTTCATCCAGACTCGAGCACTCAAGTAGACACGGCTATTTGAATAAAAAAAAAAAAAAAGGAGAGGAAGGAATATCCGACTTTGCACTACTATTTAAACTCCACACTTGGTGCTATTTCCACTGTCAGCGTCTTTATTCAGCCTCTATCTATATTACATTCTCTCCACCGGCGTCAAGCCCAACAACTTCATACCGTTGTTCAAGACCTGCTTGGCAGAGGCGTACAAAGCCAATCTGGCGGTAGCCAATTCCTCCTCCTGGCCAGCAACCCACAAGATATCATAACACAGAGAGACGATATGCGTGAGGTTGAACAAGTAGGTGACGATGGCAGAAGGCTCGTTGGTCTTCAAGGCCTTCTTGAGAGCGTCTGGGTAACCAGCCAACACTCTGACAAGGGAGGCAGCGCATGGCTCGGTCAACAAGTCGAAGTTGGCGTTCTGCAACTTCTCCTTTGGAATGTTGGCTTTTCTTTGCATCGAGCTCAAACGGGAGTGGGCGTACTGTAAGTATGGACCAGTGTCACCCTCAAACGAGAGCATTCTCTCCCACTTGAACTCGTAGTTGTTGATTCTCTTAGCCAGCATGTCCTGGATCATCACAGCAGAGATACCAACCAAGTCGGCGACCTTCTCAGGCTCCTCGATCTGCTCGTACTTGCTCTCGTTTCTCTTCATGACATCGTGCATCTTGTCCTTGGTCTCCTCCAAGATGTTGTCCAAGAACACAACAGTACCCTTTCTGGTGGACATACCCTGGACCATACCGAAGTTGACGTGCTCCAAGTTCTTGGCCCAGTCGAAGCCCATCTGCTTCAAGATCTCGAAGAACTGAGCAGTGTGCAAGTCTTGCTGGGAGGCAATAACGTAGATCATCTTGTCGAAGTCGTACTTCTCCTTACGTCTGATGGCCTCACCAACGTCTCTGGTCAAGTAGAGAGAAGTACCGTCGCTCTTCTCCACAAGACACTTACCCAACTTCTTGTTGAACTTGGTCAAGTCAATGAGCTTGGCGCCTCTGTCCTCGTGGATCAAGCCCCTCTCAGTGAAGATCTTGGTGACGTTCTTCATGGATTCCTGAGAAACCTGGGACTCACCGGAGTAGGAGTCGTACTCGATGTTAAGACGGGCGTAGGTGTCAATGTACTTCTCGATAGACAACTCTCTGAATCTCCTCCAGATCTTCAAGGCGCTCTCGTCACCGTCCTCCATTCTTCTGAAGTAGGCTCTGGCCTTGTCGTTGGTACCACCCTCGACTTCACCCTCGTCGGTGATATCCTTGTTGACCTTGACGTAGACCTCGAACAAGTGGTTGATTGGGTCAGAGGCCAACTTCTCCTCGTCACCGTACTTCTCGAAACCGACAGCCAAAAGACCAAACTGCTTACCCCAGTCACCGAGGTAGTTGATTCTCTTGACGTCCCAGCCGGCCTTCTCGTACAAGTTGGACAAGAAACCACCGATAATGGTGGATCTCAAGTGACCAGCGTGGAAAGGTTTGGCGATGTTAGGAGAGGAAAACTCAATCACAACCTTCTTACCCACGCCGAGAGGCAAGTAACCGTAGTCGCCCTGTCTGACCAAGGAGTCCTTGACGACGATGTTGAAAAGGGTCTTGGGCTCAAAGAAAAACTGCAAGAACTGGCCCTCAGCCTTGACTTCAGAGATGAAGCCGCCCTTGTTGAACTTCTCAGCGATCTCTGCAGCCTTGGCCTTGAAATCAGTGCCCTTTGGAAGCCTCAATCTGGGCAAAGGCACGAGCAAGTCACCCTTTTCCATAACATTGGGCTGGTCCAAGGCAGGGAAAATGACGTCCTTAGCGATGCCAGTGATGGAGTGAACCTCTTCGGTGATGTAGTTTCTCATAACGTCAATGACGTTGTAATCTGGGTGGGAGGCGTCCACGGGGGACTCCGCTTGTTTGAGACCCAAAGAGGCCAACGACTGTGTGATGGTGTTAACGGACATTCTCCTGGTTCTGGGTAGGTGATGTAGAAGAGTCCTGCGGTACATGGGGAAATTTTTCTTTCGCGGTCTGAGTCATGGGACATGGGTCGATGGTGCTTTTTTATTTTTGACGGGAAGAGAAGGGGAGATTGTGAAGGGAGAGAAAAATTGTTTATTGAACTTTGTCAATTTCGTTTTTATTGTTGTCTGGTTGGTTTGGGATGGGGTTACTTTTGGTGACTAGCGCCGCACTGGGTGCAAATGCTCGATGAGCTGAGATGGATGGAGTAGGATAGAGGATGGCATGTATTTTCGAGGTTATGGGGGGAATTGTTTTGTAGATGACTAGTTGTGATTGGATATTGGTTTGGTTGTCACTTCATTGCAGTGGATCCTTTAAGCAAGTTTACAGTAGCGTAAAGAGGCTGGTCTGAACAATTCCGTATAAATAAGCATTTCTATTCTTCAATTTCATGGTTTTGGGGTCTTACCACCTCCATTCTCATTTGAAATCGTCTTCTTGATTTGCATTTGAACCCACGAAACTTGAATTCTCTCACAAGATCTGGAGGAGTGAGCTCTTCCACGTTCAGCTCATCCGGTGAAGATCTTGCGTTCGGTAGTTCAGGGATATTATTTTCCACTAACTGATTGCTATGCTTTTGACTTAAAAACAGACTTTTGGTGTCGAAAATCACTGATACTGGTGATGAAGAATTGCCAATTTTGCTGCCAGTTGATGCAATGAAGACACCTTTTGTAGCTTTGGCCTGGCGGGTATAGAATGCATTGGAATAAGTTTCAAGTTTACTATCGCTGACTTCCGAGTGTTTGAGTCCGTAGCCTTTCCAGTATTCCAAGCCATTGCTTGATTCTGACGATGGAAAATGGTGCTCTGATGCTTCTTGTGGAAGTAGAGGGGACGATTCAGACCACGATACAATCCTTCTATAAAGATCAATGGCACTGTGAAGCTCCTCTTGAAGAATGGTGCCCAAATTAGGCTTTTTGGCTGGAAAGGTTGCAAAGGTTATACTCTCTCTATAAAGAGGTTTGGGTATAGAATGATAGGAATTGATGGGAACTTTCATTGATAGCGTGAGATACTAAAAGAGCTAAAGACGCTCTTGTGAATGTCTATTTCGAGCTACGAGCGTTGGTAGTTGTGTTTGTACAAGGCGTGCTGATGCTCAGCTATGGGCAGTATGACCGATTAAGATTACTGTTCGAAATCGACTACTTCAATATAATTTAAAAAGGTTTTCTTCACTTGAAATAAATCAAAACCTTTAGAGAATAAAGGCAGAGCTCACATTCACAGATTGCTCAACTTCTAGTAACTCCATCCAGAAGCAATGATATCACATCTCGAGCTTGACGAAGAATTATACAGAACGAACATCGGACCATCTTTCGACCGAAAATCCTCCTTCAGCCCCATCCTTGGCCCGAAATCCTTATCTATGGTCCAAACCCGTGCCCCATCAACAACACTATCAGTGCGATATCTGATACAGTAGTAGTTGAGCATCACGAACCACACCTCAATGGATACAGAATCTCAAATACAGACCCTCATGGAAATGGGGTTTCCTCGTGAAGAGGCACTCAGTGCCTTGAAGGCCACGGGCCATGACCCAAACAAAGCAATTGCCTATCTATTTGGTGAACTACAGGATCCACAAGGGCAAGGAACCGAGAACGAACCCATAGAGATTGATTCAGAGCCCAAATCACAGAACCAGTATGACACCGTGGACGTGCAGGTACCACAAGACTTGCCTGAGTTCTTGGGTCAGTATGCCCAGAACCCAGAGAGTCAAAACACAGCAACTGAACCACCACCAGTTCCATCAGCTCCTCGTCCACAGATATCACAGTTTTCACAACCACTGGTGGATTTCATAGAAGTTGGTCGCTCAGAGCCAATGAGCTCCGAGGATGACGGCGTTGTGGCTAATAGATATAACGCTATATCCGATAGCGATTCCGATAGTGAGTCGTTGCCTAATATCAAGACAGAAGGACACCTTGTGCCGCAATTGAGGAAAAAGATTCCAGGCTATAGGTACTGGGTGCCTATTCTAGCTGCATTGTGCCAGAACAAGCAATTTGTAGATGTCGTTTTGCTGGTTGAAGGTGACGATGTGTCTGCATTTGTGGAGGAGCTTCAGAAGATTGTCAAGTTTGTTCAGAACTTTAGGCAGTCACAGGAATGGTATATTCTCGTGGACGATCTTCTTCGGAATATCTCCTCTACGGGCCAGGATGACGCTTTGTCGCCGGAAGAAGAGGCTATTGGTAATATCTACAAAGAGCTCGTTGATGCCATTCCTCAACTTGCAGAGGTGTTGAATTCCAACGTCGAGAGCATCGAGGAGGAAATCAGCAATGACCTCAATCTTCTTGAACTTGACCTGGATGTGAGAAAGCTGAGCTTGTACCTCACGTTGAATGAGCAATTCTGGGGTCAGAATTTTGAGCGACTCGGAGTGGTGAAGTACCGCAGCGTGGCGCCAATTGTCACGATACACTTGATGGACGACGACGATAACACACTGCATCCGCTTTTCCTTCGAGAGATCTTCTACCCCGAGGTCTACAGTGACAAGGCGCTTGAGCAGGTCCAGAAACATGTGGCTTCAGCGCAACAGGCTGACCACGAACGTCGTGCTATTTCACGAAACCTCATTGACCTCAATTTCTTTGAAGGCAAGAGGCTTGGGCATCTCTTGCGTCAAGCCACAGCTATGCTTAAACCAGCACACGAGGAAGCAAGTGAGGATCTCGGAAACCTCGCGGAGCAGGTTGAAACGCTTCGTGAGCAGCAGGTGGACAGGCAAAGCGAGGCACAGAGCACCATACACAGTGTTCAGCAGCAGATGGCTGATTTTGCCGGGGTGATTCTGGAGACCCCTCTGTTGAACAAGTACCGTCTACAGGGTGTGATAATGAACGATCGCTGGTACTACTTCCGTCAGCGAGACGTCTGGGTGAAGATGGAGGACGCCGAGCTCATTGATTTTGAGCAGGTGGAGGCCGATGTGTACAATTGCACAAGAAACGGCACCCAGCCCGTGACGCTTTTGTATGGCAACGCAGAGGATGAGCCAGACTGGAGCGACTACGAAAGTGACAGCGACAAGAGCGACGATGATGTCATTGAGATCAACAGCCAGTCCGACGAAGAGTCTCCTATCAAATTGGGCAAATCGGAGGAAACAGAGGAAACAAAGGGAGCAGAGAAGGACGACAAAGACGACGAAGCTTTGATCGACTTGGGGTCATCGTTGGCGCTGAGTTAAGCCAAACCTTATTAAGCTCGCTGACGTCAGATCATCAGGCCAACTGGCATCTAACCGCAGGCAAATGAAAAGTCCATATCTAGTGCCGAATATTCGGTCTCCAGATCAGGAGCCCAGGTTCAAGACAATCGAGAGTAACAATGGTGGAAGTGTGCCAAGGTCCGGGGGCTCGGCTAGGGGGCTTGCACTACCACAGCCAAGACCATGTTCTACAGTTCTGGAGCTTGTGGCGTAAGTGGGTGCCAAAAGTTGGCTTAGTGGAAAATAAGCCGAACCGAGCAGTGTAATGATGGAGGTTCTTCGGCCAATCGGCCGCGGCTTTTCATGGATCTGGCTAATGCCGCGAATAACAGACAAACAAAAAAAAGCCCCCGCGCCGCGCTAGCCTACTAACCCCATACGGGCCAAAAATGTCCTTGTTCGGGGGTCGCGGCAAATGAAAATTCGGACCCTGACACATTTTCAAAAACAATTTGAGTCTTCCACAACAAAAAAAATTTGGCCATTTTGCAAAAAGTTTATTTCCACGCAAAAGCCACGAATTTTTTCGCTCTCTTGGCTGCCAATGTGTGCGGCCGTAAGCCGCCTCGCTTTTGGCACCAGCCGTGTACCAAGGTCTTGTCTTCGCGCGCTGCATACCTGCCTCCCTGGCCTCCCGGGACCAAACAAATACTACCTACGGCGCCTGCTTAGTTCTTTTCTTTCCAGCAACGCAATGTCCCTTCGGTCCACCACAGGGTCGCTTTTGCGGAATAGGAAGGTGCTTTTCCTCCTCTTTGTTGGCCTTTTTTTCACCGTCACCATCCACACTTTGCACGGTCAAGGCATCTCAGTCCAGTACCGTGAAGAATTACCCCATCAAAAAATCCTCGACTACGAGACAGTGCACCTGACGCTTTTGGAGAACTACTTGGTTACCGATGTCAGGATCCAGAAGTGTGCCAAGGGCTTCTCGTGTCTGGCGCCCAAGCAGACCTCTGACAAGGCTGTTTGGCACAAGATTGACACCAAGCTCAATTTGCACGCCAAATCCTCCTCCATGTTCAACTACTACCTTTACGTGGAAAAGACTCACGCCACCAATACCGGCCGCTATGTCACCGACATCCAGTTTACTCCCTCTGCCAAGCAGCCTACGGATAGGAACAAGTGGTTTAGTCACAAGGTAGCATCCTCGCTTTACATCTGGATCAATTACATGGAAGTCGCTGATTTCGAGACGCCATTGGTTCGTGACTTCAACATTCTCTTTGGCACCCACGACATGCAAGACTCCAGAGATCACTGGCACTACCAAACCCTGCCCATCACCTTGCCTGTTGAACAGACCATCTACCCCCATGCCTCGCTCTTGTCCGTCTCGATCAATGAGGAAATGCCAATTATAAACCAGTCCATGGAGTTCGAGAACGTTCTCAAGAAGAATGGTATAATCACCACTGTCGATCCCAAGTTCAAGATTGCCCAAATTAGCGACTTGCATATTGGTGTTGACCAGGGCCGTTGTATTGGAGACGAATGCAAGTTCGACAAAAAAACCTTGGACTTCATTGGTAACCAGCTTGACGCTGAGGCTGACGTCAAGTTGGTGGTGGTCACCGGTGACATGATTGACTTTGAACGCGTCAAGCACCTCGAGTCTGCCGTGCTCAAGGCACTCTCCCCAATCTTGAAGCTCAAGATTCCATTTGTGTTCACATTTGGTGATTCGGACTGGGACTGGGACAACTACCGCACGAAAATCAATATTCTCAACTTTGTTGCCAGCTTGCCTCGCTGCTACAACAAAAACATCAACCATGTTGACCACCGTATGCATGGATTGACTAACTACAACATCAAAATCTTCCATGAGCCACCTGCTGCCGAGGGCACCACCTTCGATTACAACCTGCTCGATCTCTCGAAGCCTAATGCAATTGCAACTGTGTTGGATTCGGAGCATGTCGAGGTGGACAACACCCAGACAAACTTCATGTATCGGGCAACACTGCAGCTTCCTCCTGATATGGAGTACAGACTCTTGTTCTTCCACTACCCGCTTCCGAACTTCCGTCCTGACAAGGAGTTTAAGCTTATCGGTACATACAATGAGAAGCACAAGCTTGTGACTCCCACAGACAAAAAGGTTCTCGACGATGCCGTTGCGTGTGGTTACAAGGCCATCTCTGTGGGCCACGAGCACGAAAATGATGCTTGTATATGGAAAACTGTGCAAGGCAAGGACATTTTGCTCTGTTACAGCGGAATCGCGGGTGAAAGTGGAGTGACGCGACTCGACAAGAATTATGAGAGGCGTTTCAGAGTGTTTGAGATGAATTTCGAAAAGCAGGCCATGTTCAGCTGGAAGAGAATGGCTTCCAAGTCTTTCGACCCACAAGCTGTCTGGCCTCTTAATAAGTAGATGGCCGCTGATGGGCGATGCTGTATTTTAGTACATAATTTACGATATGGTGCAAGAAGGTAATAATTTTTAAGCCAATTTTTGAAAAATCAAAAACATTGAATCAGAAACCTATTCGTCTGTCTAGGGTGGTGCTAGTGTGTGGTGTACAGGTGCGATACTTGAGCGATGAGATGCGATAAGATCTGATTTCAGAAACAACCAACATGGGTAAAGCCAAGAAGACAAGAAAGTTCTCGCTTATGAAGAGGGCCATCAAGGCCAACGACCCCAAGCTACAGAAGGAAAAACCGAAACAGAAAAAGGACGATCCCGAGCTCACGAAACAGGTGCCACAAGTCTCATCAGCACTCTTTTTCCAATACAACGAGGCCATCAAACCACCCTACCAAATTTTGTTGGATACCAACTTCTTCAACTTTTCGATCCAGAAAAAAATCGACATCAACCGTGGTCTCATGGACTGTTTGTACGCAAAGTGCATTCCTATAGTGACAGACTGTGTGATGGCTGAGTTGGAGAAGCTTGGACCAAAGTACCGTATTGCATTGAAACTTGCCAAAGACCCCAGAATTAAAAGAATCAGCTGTTCCCACGGAGGCACCTATGCCGATGACTGTCTTGTGAACAGAGTCATGCAGCACAAGTGCTACATTGTGGCTACCAATGATGCGGATTTGAAAAGACGTATTAGAAAGATTCCTGGTATTCCAATCATGGGTGTGGGAGCTCACTCCTACGTGATTGAGCGTTTGCCCGATGTGTTCTAGTGGGATACAAATTGCATGTTTAGCATAGTTGAACTGATGTGCTTTGTTGAAGGATAGTTTTCAAGATCATTCTACCGCTTGGGGCCTTGGCCCAGGGACACTAGCATTGGCCCGATTCTCGAAGTTCAGGGTCTCCACAAAGCAAGCCCCAATGCTCATTAGAAGAAGGGCGCAGAAGAGGATGGAAGCGCAGTACAGCGTTGTGAGCTGAGGTTGGCTTCAATTGGATATAGACGTACGAGGCAGCCCAGGCACCTAATAGATATCGCCGGTCGACAGCGGTGTTGAATACCGAAATCCATAAACGGACAGTTTCTAAAAATCGATGATCATCTTCATTTAAGTAGCGGTGCATCGTCAATTGTATGGCACTGAGTGACCTCATCACCACGGTACTTCTTTCTTATCAGTAGGCAGCGCTGCAGACGATGACCACAGTGCGCCATGCCTACTCTACACTTGAATAAACGCAGCATGAAATTATTAAATCAGGGCCCCGGGGCCATTAACTAGCATGCTGCAAAAACAAACTAACAAACTTGGCGCCAGCGCTTACAACAACAAGGCAGCGGCACCAGCGACAGCCAAACCGGCACCAAGGGCACCAGCAGAGGCTGGGATGGCAGCAGCACCGGAGTCAGAACCGGAAGAAGAGTTGTTGGCAGCCTGGACGGAAACAGCAGCGACAGCAGCGACGGCGATCTTGGAGAATTGCATTGTTAATTTGATGGTGGGAAAGAAAAAATGTTCACGGGAGCCAGAGCCTACTTATAGTTTTTCCCCAGCCGCAAGGCTGATTAGGCAACGGTGGAAAATGACGGATTTTTAGCAGCCGCGCTGACGGCAGCGTTCCGCCAGGATAGGCGAGGTGCATTTTCCAGAAGCAACCCGCCGTCACTTGTGACCTAGTCACAAAAAGTCACCTGCAATGGCGATAGGCCTGTGAAAAACGTGGACCCAAAAAACATCCAATACTTTTACCGTCGCAACCCCTAGATTTCCGGAGCCCCGCAAAACGCCTGCTGTTTGGCGCCCCCAAGGTTCCAAGCGAAGGGCTTTTGCACCCAAGCCGCGCTCGCCTCACCAGCCTCACCTCAGCAACCGAGCGGTCGCCCCAGGTGGTGAGGCATTTCGCAGTTGCTTCGCCACAGGCGGTCAGCAAGCGCCGTGCTGTGGTGCGGTCGATTGAAGCCGTTGAAATTGGCGGGCGAGGATTTGAAGGAATTGGCGAGATTGGGAAGCTTTGCAGCTTTTTCCGTGTTTTCGTAGGCTGTGATTGGCTATTTATTGGTCCCCCCAAAGCCTACGGTGGCTGCGATTGCACTAGCTTCTTCGCTCGCAGGCTCTTTTTTTCGGCACCGCCGAGGCACCTGTGAAGTTGACGAGCAGTTTTGCTGCGCAACGTTCGTTGATCCATGGCTTCTTTCAGATCCATTGCTGCCGTTTGAGATAAGCGTGAGATTTCCGAATTAGAAATTATTTGACGTACCGGCGTTGCGCTCCTAGTCACGGCAGGCGCCCATAGGTTGCCGCCTGCAGCCGAATGGGTGCAAAACCTCACTCGATTGGGTGACAGATGGGGAGCCAGGCCAAGCGTTTGAGGTGCCTGATCGAAGGATGGGCTGGACGCTGCAGACGCTGATGAAGAATTAATTGAGTAATTGACTTTGGCGTGGCGTAAATGGTAGAACGTTCACTGAGTGGGCCGCCTATTGGGGCCCCATGGGCCTGAGCAAGACACTATCTGTGGTGCAGACGGTAATGTTGAGCAACGCTGAAGCAACGTCGAATTAGGGGTAAGCTTTCGACTTGCGGTGACGTTTGACAGGTCCCCTGGCACATGCAAAATAGGCTTTCGGCAGAAAGGTTATTGGGGTGGTGATGGTGCGACGTAGGGAGCTTGCCATGAATCAGGCCAAGAGACTGTTTTTGCGTGGATGTCGATGGTTGGGATGTAGAGATAGAGAAGGAGATATGAGCAGGTCGTGGGTGGAGATGTAGCTAATTGAGGGAATTGTTGACATTTCAGGTTTCTGTTTTGCGGTGGATATTGACGGGAAGTGAGGTTCCTGGGGAGAACCTGTGAATGCGCTACGGTCATAGTTTACCATACGGTGCTGCTAGTCCCGAAACCTGATCAAAATAAAGAATAAAGCATTTTCGAGCCCAATTGATCACTTCAGTAACATAGTTACCTCTTCATGAATGAATCTTCATAAATACTGTATGGATCCCTGCTTGACTCCATCACGGAATTCGCAGACCGGCGGCTTGGCTGAAACTCAGCGACCGTTCACCCATCGACTATCGACAGCGCAATTAACCTTCCTAAAACGAAAATACCAATTTTTCCAAATTCTTCAGGTTTCTCAATCCCTCCAAAGCACGCATTTTTCTCTCACACCCGAATTCTCTCGCCCGTTCCACACCGGTTTCAAGGCTTCTTGTCGCAGCTGCGAATGGCACAATGAGATCCACCAAACGATCCAGCATGCCCAGAGCACCGCCAACCTGCCTCGGTAAAACGTAAGAGAAAGGAAGAGAAATGAAATCAATGAAGCTAAGAAAATGAAACATTACATCAGAAGGGGCAATGGTACCGTGCTTTAGGGCTTAGGATACAGATCAGCCCGCTTGACCCATCCACCAGATCACTGCCTACTTCTACAAAACCATCGCCGATCTTCTCATCAACTTCTTCGCTTGCGTCCGCAGATCCCCATCCTCTGCCAAAACATACAAGGTTCGATTCCGCCACGGCAGTGTCGCATTCCCTCATGTACGTTTCGAAATGGCTGCAAAGTTCTCGCCAACTCCTTATAACCAGGGTATTCCCCCGCCTCAGCTCCCCATGGCCTGGAAGCAAATAAAAAGAAGCGTCTCCAATTGGAGCTTGAATCTGCGTGTGGCCGTCAACGACGACCTCACCAGCATGGAAGTCTACGATCCAGCTCCTCACCATCTGGACGAAGAGCCTACCGAAATGCACCTGATCTTGCCAAGTATGCCCAGCCCAGGTACACCGAAAACACCCATATCTATGAGTTCCGTGGCAATTTCGCCTTTTACACCTTCGCCAGTGGTTTCTATGGGAAACGGCTTCAACAGCGTCGATATCAAACGCAACCTGGCCTACATACCCAAGAAGAGTGCTCCACCTCCGCCTTCACCGCCAACTCCACGAAACGCAAAATTGAGGAATTTCTTCAAGATATCGCCCAAACCGCTTCTGGAGGCTCCCGATGTGGTCAAGTCGATTCTACAGCGAGCTGGTACAACCAAAGGCAATTCAAAACGGCGGCTTAAAGACAGGGCGCCCAGTTTGATAAAAAGGTCGAAAACGGTGAAAACTGAGAACAGAGAAAAGGTCTGTTTGCAAGAGAGTCTGAGTGAATGTTCCTTTGCCACGGCTACTTCTTTCGAAGAAGAACGCACACTCAATGTGGAGAAGCCTTCAATCAAGGCCATGGCTGAACTCACCATGGAGTCTGATAAAAAGGGTAAGTTGGACCCTGGATCGCCATCCAAGGCTTTTGCAAACGGCAATGTCGCCGAATTGGGGCCTCCAATGCAACATGGTGCAAATTCCAATGGGAACAGTAGCGACGATTCATTCAACTTCTTTGAAAATCCCGCCAAGGCGCCAAGCCAGAAGACACACAAAAAGAGGATTTCCAGAACCTCCAAGCACGGAAGCGATATCAACTGGGGCGACGAATTGGCAAAGGAGATGGTCGAGATGCTTGAAAGACACCGGCTACAGTGATGTCACGATATCGATTCTGCCAGCTGTCTTCCAGCGTTCCATTCATAAATACTTCTTAGATGCCAGCATCTAAACACCTACTTACAATTCGATCCTTCTTCTTGAGAAATATATATAGCGCATGTATCGCGAGTCTGTAGTGGCTGTGGCAGAGATAGATTGGAGTATCTTGAATAGAAGCGAGTTTCACACAAATCAAACCAGTTCATTGTACTTTTTCACGTTCCTTTCCCAATCAGACTCCACAGTATTCTTATCGGGCTACACAGTCAACAGCCATTGTGTGTATTTTGCAACCATTGTTCGCAGAGATAAGAGTCGAGCATCCACTGATAAGAAACCTTGAACCAGCGAATCGCAGCGCTGTAACAGCAAACATAAATTTTTCAAAACTTTCCAAGAAAAATCACCACACGCCACTTTCACAGTACAAATTCCCTTACGCACGGCTGTTTTCCGTAGTTCTTCTTCCTAGTGTAGATAGCCGATGAGCCTTGCGGCAAACGGTGCACCGAAGGTTCGCCAAAGCAGGGAACCAAAGAGCCGTAGAAAAGTAGAAACATTTCAAATTCCAAAAGCCGTTTTCTAAAAAAGCTGGGCCACTGGCGACATATCGGCGTTTTCTTGGAGGGTCACGTGCAATTACCGGAAGCACGCCCCAGCGTTTACTGTGGAGTGAACCCCAGATATCACCAACTTTTCCACAACACATGGTTTCCACGGGCAGAGGCGGCGCAGGGAACATTGTCTCCGAAAAAGAGCCCGAAACCCACCAGATAACTTCCAATCACAAGCACCATAACGATCATAGACATGAGGACAGAGAGGGCCGTTCTCACGACAAGCAATACTATGTTTCCACAGGCCGTGGAGGAGCAGGCAACATCAAGCGTTCCTCCTCGATTCCTCTGCCTAAGCTAGTGCCTCAAGGCAGCAATACGCCCGCGATTACACAGAACAAATTCACCACAGGTCGTGGAGGATACGGCAATATGGTGGAAAATGAGGACCCAGAGTTCACGCGGAAGCTCCAGGACGTGGATGGCAAAAAAACGGAGGATGATCTTCAGGCAGTATCGTCTGCCAAGTCGTTCAGTGTAGGACGGGGTGGTTTTGGCAATGTCGTGTCTGCTGAACACAGCGGCGACCTGAACAACAGCAACAACTTGTACACTGTGGTGAGCCAGGGGTCGAGGCACCAGGAGGAGAAGAAGGGCTTCGTGGAGAAGGTGAAGGGCTTCTTTGGGTCCTAAGCTGGCGACAGCAATTATAGATGACCGGGCGACGCATCGGCCGTAATGACGCTACACTAGTAAATTGATTAGACGAAACCGAGGAGAAGATGTAGTGCAAAGTAGCTTGGGCACCAATTTTGATGGTTGATAGAAGCATTACTTTTGCTTCCGTTTATTTTTCAATGACCACAAGGGTTTTGCTTACCGTTTTGTGAGCTCTCCCACTTGACATGTTGAAATCTTCAACATTTAGCTACAGCTCGGTAGAAATGACTTCTGATTTACTTTCCGTCTGAAGCGAACTGTACCTTATCATCTACATTGTCTCCCCTCGCCTCTACAACAAGTTCTATGGCCTCATTTTCTATATTCTGCCAATGCATACCCAACCTCTATTGCAGGAGAAGGTAGTCTCTCAACTTGTCCAAAGCTCTGAACCTATGGGAAATTGAGTTCTTCACGCTCTTGTCCATCTCGGCATACGTCTCTTTGAAACCCTCTGGCTCAAATACAGCATCCCAGCCGAAATCAGTAGGGCCTCTGCTGTCCACGATGTTACCATGAGTGATTCCTTGGAAAAGCTTCACTTCACTGCCTGGACCTTCACAGTAGCCGAAAGTGCACACTGCCTTGGCCCCCTTGTCCTCAAACTTGTAGAGCATATCCACAAGACCTTGAAGACCAACAGCCTGAACAAACCATTTGATATAAGGACCAGGCAAGTCGTTCATGGCATTGAAAGCAAGACAGGTGTCCTCAACCAAAACAGCACCGTTGACCTGCTTGGCAGCTTCTTTAGCCTTGTGGATGGTCACTGTCTCAATAGTGCCCTGGACCTCATCCAAGTCTAGGGACTTGTTGACCACGGTAAACTTGCCAACCTTGGATCCTTCAGAGCTGGGCTCACCACCCAAAATGGCAATTACCTCCTTAAGCTTGTTACTGTTGCCTGTAACGAATGTGATGGTAGACATGATGAAGTAGATTTTCGCACATCACCGTGGTATAGATCTGATGTGGACGGGCCTTACAAGTGAACCGTGGGGTAGCATTATGGGCAGTTTAGATTGAAGCTGGTTTTGTTGATGAGCAAAAGCAGAGAATTAGAGATTTTTCAGATTTTGATTTGGAGGACTGCTGATTATTGGTAATTTTTCACCTCAGTGGAGTCCTCTGTCCATTGTCCTAGAGTGAAAAGTTCAGATTTCAGTAACCAAGATCACAAGCAGGACAGCCTGAGGATAATTAAATATCAATATCTTTTCATTTCACAATAAAGAGTGCTGGGTCTCCCCCGCTACACCTCTCTCTATGGTCCCTGTATTATATGTACATGATTACTGCGTGGCAGCTATGCTAATCCTTCACCTTGCCCAACCTCTTCAACAACGCACGGCCGAGTCTTCTTCTCTTTCTCAACTTATGTTTCTTCATCTTGAGTCTTCTCTTTCTCTTGACAGAGTCCATGTATACTGTGTTGTCTGTGACGGGGTTCTCCTGCTCCGCCTGCTGGGCCCACGCATCCTTGGGCATTTCTAGCATGCTAATGGTTTTTATGGTTTGCTGGTTTCTCCAGCTTTGTGGAAGTTGGAGTGTTTCTGGAGTACCAAAGCCAAATCTGCTGAGGGTGCTGGCTGGTGCAGCCACAGGTAGCTGAGGTCTGGCTACCGAGACTAGCGTCCTCGAGCCAATTCCACGTAAAAGCCTCTGAACGGACCTGAGCTGTGGAAGCTTGAACATGGCAAGTGTAGGATTCGAACGGTTTGTTAGAGGTTGATCGCTTTTTTCTTCAATTTTTTAGCGTACCGCACATCCGACCTCTGTACACCACACTGAGTCCACCTACTGGGTGGTGGAGAGTTGGCTGGGTCTGACGTGAAAAAAGCAAAGTTTGGAAAAATAAATAACTCATACAATTGGAGATATCGTATCGATTCTTCCAAGGATGTGTGTTGGTAGATTTATGGGGAGAAGAACTTTCGCAGACTAGAGATTGGGAGTATGGCTGCGAATAGACCTGGAGCCAAAGGTTTAGATAAGTACCACCAATCCTCTAGAACATGTAAGCCATGCTATAGCAGTGAACCCATTTTGCTACTCATTTATTGATCTGTGGCCATTTCACTTGCTATCTGGAATATTGATGCGCATTGTATATGGCCTCTTTTGATAAATTTCATTCGATAAGTGGTTTCTCTAAGTCATGAGTGCAACGACTCGAAAACGCTCTGCAAATTGATGAAATTAACCGAATGTAAGCACGGGAGTCACTATTACGTAGTAATAAGGTTGCTATCTCCTGTTTACCAAGAAAATAATTAAAAAGTATCAAAGCCTGGCTCCCTAACATTGGGACTCCCTCTTGAGTTAGCACCATTTTCCAAATAACAATGTATCCGTCTATCGAGTAATCCACCTAGACCTGCCCAGCAACGTGAGAAATCTCAACATTCACGACTATGTCGTCTGAAGTGTCAACAACAAAGCCCGTCGTTCCAGAAACACCATTACTTGTTGATACATTTGCGCCAACCTCACTCACCCAATCGCGAACATCGTACTTCAAGCCCGTCGTGGACAAAACGACACGTTTGCCAAAAGGCAAGAGACCCAATTTGGGGACTGGGTCATGCTGGTTGAAGAGCTTTTTGCTGGCGTACTTGACGTAAGTGGTTCCCTCTGGGACAAGGAAGATCATGTCCGTGTCGGAGACAAAGAAGATACGAATCTGTGGGAACTCAGTCTTAGTAGAGTAAAGCAGATTAATCGAGTGGAAGGTTTGGTCGAACCTGCCGCCAATTCCACCAGCCACGTAGGCTGTAAAGGGTTCGCTCTGTTCGTACTTTTTCACCAAGTGAGAGAGACCATTATCGTCGTCCACTGGTTTGTAAAGGTCGTTTTTTCCACTGGTATGCATCAAAACGGCCACTTCTATAGCCTTCATAAAGTCAGTAGCATACTGTGTGTATTGTGGTAACACCACCGTGCCTTTCAGGAGATAGTACTGCCTCACTTCCTCCCTGAGAGAGTCCAAATCACCCACAATAAAATCAGGGATATACCTCTCACGCTCCTGGTCATTTATGAATCTGTAATACAAGCGATTGGCTCCTCCATCGGCACAGATCCTTACGGAAGTGCAGCTCCATAACTGGTGAAATGGAAGCTTTTCTATGGGGGTGTTGAGGATGATGAGTACGGCCTTTTGAACAAGCTGATTGGAGTAAAAATTGAATGGTTCCAAAGTCAAGTGGTTTTTCTGTGGTTCTTCAACGACATAGTCGTCTGGCCTTTCCACAACAACTCCTGACATGGCCAAGTAGGAAGAGTATCTGGTCCACAGTGGCTTTGTTGGTCACATGATGAAACAAGAACATCACCACCTCACAACCACCTCAACAACAATCACTCAATCTATACCTTAGACGAATCTGGCCATGTCGACTGGTAATACAGAATCTTCGGACGCGCCTGTCGTTCCTAGAGACGTAAGGCTTCTCCACCTTATTTTCGCAACCCAGGGTATCCAAAATTATCACGACCATGTGCCGCTACAACTCATGGACTTTGCCCACAGATACACGACTTCTGTTTTGAAGGACGCCGTGGCATACAATGATCATGCTAAAAACAATGTTAACACTACAAGCTCCACAAGTACGGTGAACACCGACGACATTCGTTTGGCCATAGCTGCCAGAACCAACTATCAGTTCAAACCCACGCCGCCTAAGGAGCTCATGTTGGAATTAGCACATGAAAGAAACGCCAAGCCGCTTCCGCCTGTTATTCCCAAGTGGGGCCTCAATTTGCCACCTGAGAAGTACTGCCTCACGGCGAGAGACTGGGACAGTTTGGAAGAAGAGCAGGAGGAGAGCTCCAAGAAGAGAAAGCAGTGATGACGTATTGGAGATTGCAGCAGAAAACGATAGCACCTTGCTATGCCAATGGATATTGACAGCAGCATTGGTGAGTTTTGACTATATCGAAGCACTCCGAGTTGGCTACAATGGTCAGACAACTTGGCGAATTGAAGCGAATAGAGCTGACCCTTCAATTAGAGGACCCTTATGCGATTAGTGGCTCCCGAATTTGGCCTCGGCTGATCCTTTCAGCCAGTGACTTGACGCATTATTTGCAAGGGTGGCTCTGCACCAAGGGTGCAACTTCTTGTGAGCTCTGAAACCGCCAGCCTATCGAGTTGTTCAATGCAATTGGCGAAAAGCTTCACAGTCACTCGAAGTACAGGATCCCAGTGTTACGCTGTCATCTTGAGGTGTATCACTATGTATCTAGGCTATGCAAAGGCCCACTCATCATATGGGCCTAAAGTTGACACCTACAGATACTTGCAATGTCTACTACCTAACTCAAAGGCCCAAAGGCCCTGTGGTGTGTTGTCATCCACGAGCTTGTCAAAAAACGTGAGGTCAAGCGCCTAGCAGAAGCTGGCTTTCACTATACGCGTACACCAAAGCACCATATAGAATAACCAGAGCTCTAACACTCAATAACTAATCCATTATTCGTAGCTCACCGAAATAATCGGATCCCTGGACTCCATTCTACCTATCGGACACAGTGCCCATGTCCTGCACATACACCTGCCCCAGCCTCTTGGAAACACTTGGTCTCCAAATCAGTCTGTTCTCAACACTTGTTTACAACGTTAATCTTCCCCACAAAATGCCCCAAAGAACATTGGCTTCGATCCCAGAGTATGTCTGACACGTTTCCTGTACAATTGAATTAATTCTAACCTCCAGAGCCAAGGAAGAGTACTTGGGCTCCTCAGTAATTGAGAGAACCAGTCGCCTTGTGGGCCTTACTGACCTTGGTCCTGCCGACTTGTGTAATATTCACAAACAAGGTGTTAACCTGAAAAAGCCAGAGTTTGGCACTTACTTATACTTCACAGGTGTGGACACTTCGAATTCGGCGTCGATCGCTGCTCACTTACAGGGTATGGCTACGTTAATGTCATCAAAAGCTCAGTATTGGTTTGGTGAGAAGAAACACTTCAGGGTGCCTGAATTGACATACTGCTCCTACAATGCCTTCAGCAAAGTTGATATGAGAGTCACTGTCCACATTCCAGGTAAGTTCCAGAGTTCGGTGGTGAACCATGAGGGAAAACTTATTCATGAGAAGCTCACCGAGGCGGAATTGGACAAGTTGTGGCTTGAGACCTTCGTGTGCTCTATTGTGAGGTGTATGCTTGACGGCGATGAGGACGAATCCAACAAGTTTGGCAGTTTGGTGGAAATCCGCAGAGAAAACCCATTTGATCTTGGAGTTGTTTCGCAGGAGCTTTTGGCCAACTTTGTCTCTGCTTTCGAGAAGTTGTTCTGGGAAGGACCAAAGTTGGGCTGCGGTGTCGATTTGCCTTCACCCACATTGATCTCCAACTACCTTGTTGACGGTTTCCTTAAGTGCATAGAGTTGACACAGAGCTTCGACATGGCTTTAGATGTGTTGAAGAGATTGGAGGAGAAAGAGCCTTCCGTATCAACTTTGATTGCTCAGGTGTTGCTTCTAAAAGACGAGGAAGTCAAAGCCATTCAGGTGATGAATGATGCGATTCAAAGAGACGAGAGGGACTCAGAACTTCTCTTGTTGCAAGCTCAGTTCCTCATGGAAAAGAAAAGATACGACTTGGCCTTGCACTTGGCGAGACAGGCGGTGAAGTCGTCCCCTTCGGACTTCAAAGTGTGGGCAGTCCTTGTCAGAGTTTACACCAAGCTCAATGACTTTGAGAATGCTCTTTTGACTTTAAACTCGTGTCCTATGAATTCTCACAAGGAGAACTTCACACTCAAAAGAATTGTGGCCTTGAGAGGGGCCGGCGAGGAGTTGCACTTGCCTTCTCCCGTTGATGTGTTCTTGGATGAGGTGTCTAACTTGCAGAGTACTTCTATTGCCGCAGAACAGAGAAACCTTGACAACCAGCTTGCTCATTTGCCAGCTGCCAACTTGAAGTCAACCTTCGCTAAGGCATATGATCTTCTCACTGAGATTGTTATCAAAACCGGTTGGGAAGCTTTGTTGAAACACCGTGCCAAGGTTTTCGTGATGGAGGAAGAGTACCGTAAAGACAAGTCCAGCGCAACTCACACTAGAACCACGTCCGAGGTCAATGTTCCTGAGTCGACCGAGGAGGACGAGCCATCGGGTGAGGCGAACGATGATTCGTCCACTGTGGCCGTCAAGCTGCCCAAGAAAGAAATCAACGGCAGCACCGATGACAGTGAAATTGAAAATGAATTCAGAAAAAAGAGGCTTTGTGAAAGATGGCTAGATAACTTGTTCATGCTCTTGTACGAGGACTTGAGAGCGTACACGATGTGGCAAGCCGAATACGTCCACTTCCAGGCCCAGCAAATGGAATACAAAAAAACAACATTAGAATGGGAAATTTTGGGTCTGATTGCCTTTAGACTCAAGCATTTCAAAGAAGGATCTATTGCGTTTTCTAACGCTTTGGCGGGCCGCTTCTCGTCAAAGGCTCAGCGAGAGATGTTGAGATATTACGAGATGGAGAGATCAAAAATAATCTCGAAGAACTCCAACACCGACGCTCCTGTCAGCAACGCCCATAACTACTCAAAAACCATTGTGCAGCTCAACGAGAAGATCTTGGAGTGCTGTATCAAGCTTTTGGTTTGGAACCACAGATGGTATAATGACTTCTCGCCCGACTTGATCTCGATAATATGCGACTTGGTCGCTAAAGAAGGCTTGATCAAGATTCAGTCGCTCGTGCAAGCGGTGTACTCCAACAACATCAACCACAGTGAAGGTTTGACCAACCACGGTATCACTGACATGATGGAGGACATTTACAAGTTCTGCAAAGAGTATAATGTCAGCGGCGCAGACAATTAGAGATCGGAGCAGAGTGCTTCGGACTTGACGCATAAGCACGTCTTCCGTCACGTGCCATTGCTAAATCTGCACCCTTGATCCATCTACTGCCCTCTACCACACTGCTTGCCATGTCGTCGCCAATGGATAGGCTCCGGATGCTTCAGAGCCACATCAGGTACAAGGAGAGGCGTGAGTTCCAGCCTGAGTTCCCCATGATGCACCGGGTGGAGAGGGAATACTACCTCAGAGAGCGCCAGGCCAGAGCGCCACCGTGCCTCGTTCGAAAACCATAGAGATGCCTATAACTAATGATAATCGTCAATCGTTGTCTTATGTACATGAAGTTCAGTTCTTTGAGGGAGGTGCCACGGAGTTGCCGTCAGGGAAGGAGTCTCTCTCCTGAGAGTTCAAAGCCTTGTCAGCTTCCTGCTGGAAACCCTCACTGGCCACCTGTAACAACTCCTTACGAGACTCCTCCAACCTCTTCTTTCTGTCTTGGATCACCTGGTCTCTTCTTTCCAACTCCTCGATCCACATCCTCTCTCTCAACTTGGCTTTTTCACGAAGCTTCTCCTCGCGAGACTGCTTCTGAGCCTTACTTTCAGCCTGGTAGTACCAGCCACCGAAAACCAAAGCCAACAAGGTGAAGCCCTGGAAACCGACTCTGTATCTGAAGTACTTCTGAGTGTCGGCTTGTCTGCCTTGTCTGATGGACTTGGTGGCAAGAATGATCGCTCCCGTTGTGAGCAACGTTCCTATAGGAACCAAAGGCTGCTGCTTGCAACGGAAGATCATTCTCTGAAGAATATCCATTTCACTGGGGTTAGCACAAGCAAAGAAAAAAGAATCTTCAAACATACTCTTCATCATTGGAGTCTGTGCCGTCGAACGACGAAGGCACTCTGTGGGACATGGGAAGAAGTAGTGATTGGTGTTTGGTCAGTGCAGGAGCCAGTAGTATTGCCAGAACCAGTAACACAAAGTGGAGACGAAGGAGAGGAGGCGAGGGAAAGGAATTGAGCGATTGAGGAAGATGTTTGTTATTTGTGGTTACAGTATAAATTACTTAAAGTGGCCTTCAATTCGGTTGTTATAGTCGGTGGGACTGGAGTGACATATGAGTCCTTGGCGATCTCGCAGGCAGCTTTCAAGTCCACAACGGAAAAATCACCTCCATTATGATATTTGGATTCCAGACGTTAATTTACATGCTGACTCTGCTTCATTGTTGCTGCTTCTGCCGTCTTCAGACGCTGCTAGGTGGGCCTTGTATGCTTAGTCTACATCCACCTTTTCGTCCCAGACAACTAAAAAACGGCTATATCGCGATATTTACGAAATCAGCAATTCAAAAATGATCAACTTACATCTTCATAAGGCGAACACGCTTAGCGATATCTTATTGGTCGAGCTTGTGCTTGAATGGCATCGAGCGATTTCGCAGCCGCAACTCGCGGTGAGGTCCATTGTTAGCGGTTTATATTTTCCAGTTTGAGAACACCGCTGATCCAAAATGGGGTGATTTTTTCCTCGGCTGCGAGTCTTTAACTTTTTTGCAACAGTGAAGTGCAATGAAATACAGTAATTTTGAAGAATATTCGTAGAAAACGTTGTTGTTGGCGGCATCGATAAAAGGGAAAACCAAACAATTTGCTTTGCGTGAGCTCCTTTCGAAACTATCCTATTCTTCCAGCCCAGTCTGTAAGAAACAAATATTCCTCCGATATCAATGCAATGAAGTCGTAATAATTCTACACCATCCTCCCATTATGAGCCATCACAGCTTGCTAGTTCTTCAGATTCACTGCCAAACTGCTTGAATTTTTGTTGCCTTTTTATTTCATTTCCTAATTCTCCAATCCCACTATACACTTTTCAATAGCTTCCCATTTTCATTCACGTCCTTCCATTTTGCAACCATTCCTGCGCAGCCGCTTTCTGCACATGCTGCGCTTATACCACCTACTACCATGAACCCAGTGATCCAGGAATACGCTGCCCTAGCAGGCAGAATCGCCCTATTTCCGTTCACCCATGTCTGCTACTACATATTTTATGCATCCTGGCTCGCTATAAACTACATCTTGGTGGTTCCTTCCACCTTAGCATTCCAGTCGGCCAAGGTGTACCTTCCAGCGGACCTTGATGCCATGGACTACCAAGAACAGGCTGTTTTTGCTGGCAAGCTAGCATTGAGAGTGGTGTTGTTTCCAGTCACTCATGTTCTTTACTACATTGTTTTAAGTGTGTGGCTCGTGGTGAAACACACCATCGTGGTGCCGCTCTTGCTCATGCTCAGAATCACCCTCTTTGGGTTGGTATACCTTCCACTTACGCCTGTTCTCACGGCTGTTGATGTGGATTATGACCAGACTGTTTCTGTGGAAGGCCTGCTTTTGCAATTGGTGTTCCACTCCATTCCACACGTTGCGTTCTTTGCATTGCACCTTCTCCACTACGTGATCATCGCTGCCGTCACAGGAGTCATTGTTGGCTGGTTCACAGGGCTCAATATCAGTGTTGTCAGCAAGGTGCTCACGCCGCCGCCATTGGAAGAGGCAATTCAGGAGGAGCTCGAAAAGACCAAAGCCAAGATGGAGGAGTTGAAGGCCCAGCTTCCCAACCTAGAGGCTCCCGTTTTGCCCAAAGTTGAGGCGCTTGTAAAGCCTGAGCCCCCAAAGCTGCCCGTCAAAGTCAAAGAGGAGCCCAGAGAGCTTTTGGTGTCCGATCTTGTCCAGAACGAGCCTAAGCGGGTTCAACGAGGCAAGGTCGACTTTAGTGAGGGTGGAGCGGAGCATTCCTACGAAGACGACGACGGCTACAACTTCATGCGGTACCTCAGAGAATCGCCCGAGCCCCGTGTGGCGACCATCAAGGAGGAGCCTGAGGAGCCGGAGGAGGCCGAAACCGGGGAGAACTCCGAAGAGCTGAGCAGCGAGCAGGCGCTCACCAAGAGCCAGAAGAAGCGGAGGCTGAGGAAGAGAAGGGAGGCGTCCCGGCGGCTGGGGCTGGCTCTGACGCCAGGGACGGTTGAGACGGCAGCGTTCAGCGAGGACGGAGACGAGCTGTCGAGAACGGAGACGGCCGAGACGGAGGAGGCCAACGAGAAGTAGGGAGTTGAAGAGGGAAAAGAGATCTGGGAACATTGACGAAAGAGTACGACGAAGGAGCCGATAGGCATCAACGGACATCGACCCACTGAACGAAAGATAATACGTAATAGCATATGAGATCAAGTTGAGTGTAGCCGGCAATGCATCAACAGCGTCAAAAGGCGATATCCAGCCACTGGCATGTACACAAAAGGGCATCTCATCGATGCATGTCTCACTGGGATCTGAAAAGTCTGTAGCCCATCTAAGAACTCTCCAATCGGGGTTTAGCCGACTTGAAAAATTTCTAACTGGCGATCTTCTAACTGGCTATTCTCGGCGGGCTCGGCTTCCGCTGACGGCTTGATGCTCCGCTAGCATACCCAGGGATATGCCGAGAAGGCGTTGCAGCGGCTCCGTGCATTGCAACACCCCTAGCACCCCTAGGTTTCTCCACGATAACCGAGAATGTTCCGGAAGGACAGTCAAATTTGAAAATCAGCAATTTTGAAATATTCCGTCTCAACAAATATGTATTCATGCGGACTTTTGGGGGCTGGAATTGGCTGCAAACAGTGGTTGCGAGGCTCGGTGCAGCCGCAGAGGAAGCAGCGAGATGAGGGATTTACGATTTGTGAGGCAGGAATTTGTCGAGCAGGCATCAGACACCAGACCATGCGGTGGTACAAGATTCGAAAATAGTGAAACGTGATGTTTGTGAAGAGATTTTGGAAGACTGGAAAGAAGTCTTCCTTTGTGGAAATTTTTGAAAGAAGAGTGCCTTGGGATCCCGCCCTGGTTGCTGACCGCAAGGCTCCTGAAACAGGTAGCTGAAACGACGCAGCCGCAGATTGATCATTATTTCCAGCGCTGCTGCCGAGGCGCCAGTGCCTAAAACTGGCCGTAATTCGAGAACTCAGCCCGATGCCGTATTATGCCTCGAACAGTTACGCTGCCGCCTTACAGTTACGCCAGGTAGCCCATCTTTGTGGAACGGTGATACGAAGTGAAACAGAGAATCGATTTGAAAAGCCCATTTGAAAAAAAAAGCCGGTTTGAAGGAAAAAGCCGATTTCAAGTAAATCCGAAGAAGTGCAATTACCGCTTCGCCCTTGAAACTTGCCCGAAACCTGGGATCCCCAAACCTGGGGATCAGAGGGCTGCGGCGCCTGCTCAGCGCTTGTTTGGGCCCTGGCTGCGAAATCCACCTACTCCACGAAATTAAGCCAGATCATGGAAGAAACGATTCGGATCGCCAAAGGCTACGCCTGCAAATCGGTGAAATACGACAAAAACGGAAAAATCCCCTGGCTCACTCATGTACAGCTGATAGGCGTCAACGACACTGTCGCCCACTTGGAGCCTTCTGAGGACCCCATGGTGGCTATAGGGAGGGCATTCACAAGGAACTTGTGGGACCTGGGGCTCTTGGACGACTATGTGCCTTCGCCAAATACCTTGGTTGCGTCGACCCACACTTGTGTGCTCAATTTGCTGTTTGTCAGTGGTGGAAAGCCGTACAATTTGAATGTGGCCTTTCACTATGGAGAGAGAGAGCCATATCGAGAACTGAGTGTGGTTGTGAAAGACAGGGATTTAGCTGAGCTTATGTACCAGCGGGTCGTGGAGGGCAACAGGCTGTATCTGGCTGTGGAGGCACGGGCGAGGTATTTGTTGAAGCTTCACTCGGTGAATTGTTCGATGAACGGTTTGGAGTTGATCGTTGCGTGAGTGGTTGATTTGGAGGGAAATTCATGTATTTTCTGTGAAAGAGGCCGTTCAGTATCATCACGAACGTCTTCAGTTGTCCATGCATCGTGAGTTGACCTTGCTTTCCATGAACAACCGATAGCCAACGAACGACCAATAGAGCAGAAGCATTACATCACGTCGCTTCAAGCATCACACCAAACGTCACATCATCCTCACCATCAAAAGAAACTCACGAACTCGTTATCTACTTCTTCAAATTGCTGTGCAATCTACCCAACCAGACCATCCAGAACCCTGTCACACCAACGGAATACCGCTAAATGCCCAAAAGGTCAAGCAACATTCATGATTGTCCGCAAATTGTTTCCCTTGCGTTTTTCAAACCTTCAGTTCACTCATATCCCCCACTTACGTCACCCCCATCACACGGCTGCAACACCATCACCACAGTCACTACAATAAGCACAAAGACCTTAACCAAGGCCTAGGCCGGACCAACCTGCAAATATCTACCGTGAGGCCGCTGGCAAGCTGACGTCATACGATTCTTGCTGATTTTTCACTAGATAAGGGTCCTTTAGTTTGACTAAGTTTAACCGCCGTGAGAGTTGCTCGTCTGATGTTGCCAAATAGGAAAATGCTCCTCCACGACGATAATAACGTTTAAACGGAAATTCCGGACAGCTTGGCAAGACGTGATTGTCGACCAAAAACCCGGAGATGACCTTTTCGATTTCCGAATGGGGAGATCCTCATTAAGGTTTGAACAACCAGCACGAGACGACATTCCGCTGAAAATCAGGCTACTTTACTGAAATATATCTATTCTCTTAAATTATCATTTTTCCTATATGCAAATGGTTATTGTCCCTTGTAATTGAAGTAAGCAGCAAAACAAAAATATCTCTGAAGAAAAAAAATATAAAGGTGGCCTAGTGTTGGGCCTCGTCATAATGTGGTAGTAATGAATGGGGGGTGACCATGTGGCGTAACACATGGCATGCAAATGTGTCGTTAAAAAATTGTTTGGTAATAAGGGGTCGCTTGTTACTGCTGCTCGATGATGCTTGTTCAAAGACTGGCCTTGTCGTTTTTCACATAATTAGTGTAGTACTCGCCAAACACGCTCCAGTGGAACTTAACCAACGTAGAAATTCTCGATGCAATGCTAACCATTTCCAGATCAGATTTCTTGCTCTTGCCCGCAGAGCTCAGCTTCAAATCGTTGCTCAAACTGCTAGCAGTTATGGCACCGTCAAAGTTGAGATTGACAACAATCTCAGTCAAGAGCTCCTTGAAGATCTTGTCTTCCATGAGGCCATAGACGTCCGAGTTTGGCTGGATTTGCTTGATCAACCAGTTGTAACTGAAATCCACCATCGACTGAGGCAAGTTGTTGGTAACCTGCTTTCCTGTCAATGGGTTGGTGACGACATTCTTGACTAGCTGTAAGGCAATCGCCTGGACGTTTCTCGTCCACTTCACATTGCCGTTGTCGTCAGTAACAATGGCCAAGATCTCCTCTTGGACCTTTGTAAGATTCTCAGGTTTGTAGCTGGTAGCTCTGTAAGCAGCAGCGGGCAGGTAGTTATGAAGAAGCTGCTTGTATAACACAACACACAACTGGACACAGACCAACTGTCTAACGTCAGCTCTCAACAAAACCAATCTGGTGTGGTCGAACGTCAAAGTCAGAGGGAATTCCGTGGCCATGTTGCGGCATGAAAGCAAGTCGATGATGGCGGAAACGATGATAGCCTTGCTCTGTTCGGCATCCAGCATATTTTCCTTGTTCAACAGCTTGGCAATGTCGCTCTTCTTGTGGTAGTTTCTGTAGTACCACTTCAAAGAATCGGTGATGTCAATCTTGCAGTGGTTAATAAGCTGGTCAAAGTAGTCCTTCTCAAATTCGTTGGCAGTTTCAATCAAAACGGGTCTCAAGATTCTGATTTGATGGTTAGCCACGTCCAATTTCATAGCCTCCAAGATGAAGAAAATCGTTCTCAAACCCTGCACGAGCTTTTCGACCGAGTTCTCCTCAAAGGACTGCTGGAACTTGGCAATCATGTCAGACACCCACTGGTCTCTCATAGGGGCGCAGTGGGACTTGAACACCTCTCCGAGCCACTTGGCCATGGCGACAAAGTCAAAAGAGCCATGGGACAACTGCTGGACGAGAAGGTCAATGTCCATGATTTCGTTCACAGGAGCGCGGTCCTTAACCGGAAGGAGCGACAACAAAATGTCTCTCAAGGTGGTGAAAAGAACAGGCAAACGAGGGAGTTTGACGGAGTTAGGCTTAACGGTGCCGGCAAAGAACTGCTTGCACTCTGCTTCGATCTCAGTCCAGTACTTCTCGATGATGGTCTTCTTCCGTCTGCCGCGCTCGCCGTCCAAGTTGGGGCGGAACTGCAACTGAGGGTCAAAGAGAATGTCGTGTCTCAACTGAGGATTCTTCAAAATTTCGTGAAGATCGATCTCCTTCAACAGCTGCAAGTTGATGGGTGGAAGCGACGGGGTGGCAGGGGAATGGTAGTGCAGGGAGGCAGGGGCAGTCGGTTGCAGAAAAAAGGACGAGTTTTGGGAGGAGGCGGCCGACAGGAGCTGCTGGTGGGGCACGCGTTGGAGCACATGATGCTGGAACAACTGGGAGCGGGAGGTGTAGTTGATGATGGGGAGGGAGCGTGAGCGGAAACGTCTGACAAACTTTGGAGCTTTGGATCCCTGGGATGCCACCGGCAGCGCTCTGACGGCTTTCTTAGCCGAACGGTGGGCGGAGCGCTGAGCAGCCTTGACCAGCAGCAGCGGCAACTTGGGAGTCAGCAGCTGGGGCGTGGCGGGTTGCTTTTTGGAGGACTTGTCCTGGTCCATGTCCACGTCCACATCCACGTCTCCTTGGTCAGCAGCCGAGGCGTGTTGCTGGTCAGGGGTGGGCAGCGAAGGCTGGGAAAGGAGGTGGTGTTGGAGGAGGAGGTGGCGATGATGGAGGGATGGTCTGTGCTGGTTGAGGATGGGGCCTGGGTTTGACAGTTTGCCTGGGGACGAGGCCAGGGGCAGCGGGTTGGGCTGGATGGGGTCCTGTTGCCTGTCCTTGGGGGCGATGACGGAGGCGTCAAGTCTTGCTCTTTTGGCCGGGTCGGAGGAGGCCAGGGAGGAGTTTCGTTTGGCGCTGGAATCGAAGAAGACCGGCCGGAAGGTGTCGGTTTCCTGGAAGACCAGGTCCTGGTTTTCGTTTGAGTTGTTGAGCTGGGAGTTCATCCAGGCAGCACGATTAGCAGGGAGGGGTGGGCGTCTGGAAAAAACGGGGGTGATAAAAAAAAAAGTGGATTAAAACAGGATGGGTGTTTGGGGGATGCGTTGGAAGAAGTAGGTGGAGGAAAAAAAGGGCGAGGGCGAGGCACAGGGTTAAGAGAAGGAAGTGACTGAGGCAGCGAAAAAAGAAAAAAAAAAGGTGTACGGAAAAAAGAAATGGGCCACAAAAGAAGGCAGAGAACAAGGAAACCGTGCGGGCTGAGGAATGCCCAGGCATTAGCAACCACAAAGCAAGGAGACATCAAAAGAAAGCAGATTAGAAAAAAATGCCCATCATAGGCTGGAAGTGGGAGATGTCGGCAGGGGGGGTTTGCATTTCCAAAAATATTTGATGGAAAGAAAAAGAATAAAGAATTAAAGAGTGATAAAATTGATTTGTGAATTAAGAGAGCCTCCAAGGAACGTCTTCGGGTCGCTGTTTCAGTGGTTGTGAGTCACCTGGTTTTGGAATTATTGAGTAGTTGGAATGGCGCGGGCGCCATAGGCCGCTGAAACTGCCCCTGGGGCGGCGAGCATGAGGCAAAGGCGAGGAGACAAAGGCGAATGGGGCCTGGGGGATTCCGACGGAATAAGCCGACAGCCAACAAATTACAAATACGTCGGCTATAAAAGCCAAAAGAAAAAACAAGATAATCATTTCAAAATGCAGAAGCCGGGGATTGCAGCGAACAAGCCAACAATAACGCTCTGGCGGTGCAAGTTGGGGTGGGTTGCTACCGCGGAACGGCGAGCTTTCTGGAAGCCCCCGGTACGGCCCATTGTGCTAGCAGGAATGCGGCCGCGCCGAGGAGCCGGATAAGGAGCCCCAGAGGGAGATGAAATCACACAAAACGGCAGCCAAGACAACCACTGACGTGGGCAGAGGCTGACGGAGGAAGGTTTTAAAAATGACAGCAGAAGTGGAAGAAGATGAAGTAGACGAATAAGAAGAAGAAGAAGAGGAAGAAGAAAAGAAAAGGTAGATGGTTGTCGCCGTCAAGAAGGGTGGTTGCGACAATGCGATCGGACGTGCGGTGACGCCTGAAGATCAGACAATTCTTGGTGGCAGGGTGGCAGCGGCAGGCAGGCGGTGAGGATAGGCGGCGTGCAGTTCATGGAAGCAATGGGCCCGGTTACACAAAACGAGCACGAAAAGAAAAATGGAAAAGCTGAGGCCCCACCTCGCCTGGTCCGCGGAAAACCAGACCATGCAGTTCCCCACGGAGGCACTCTGGTGATGAGCTTTTGCGGAGCCTTGGTGGTGAGCTTTTGACAAGAAGTTTTTTTGACAAGTTGTCTTTTTTGCTTCATCTTAAGCTTCGACACTGTTCTTTTTTTTGCTTCACCTTGCTCCACTCTGCCTTCGACTGCCCTGTGACATCATTTTAGCGAGCAAGCAGCTGGCCGGTTTGAGTAAAAATCTCCGATTCGAGGCCGCCAGGCCTGACGGTGCTGGTGTTTGTTTGTTCTGAAAATCTGCGCCCGTGCGTTTTTCGTCTGATTTCACCAAACGCACGTTGCAGCCGTCGTCGCTAGGTTACGTTTTCGCAGCGGTTAGTCGGGCGCTGACGAGGCTTGGAAGTGGCGCCAGTCCACCAACGGCGTCCTAGAAAATGTACACAAAAAGCACAGGATGAAAAGCTCAGGATGAAAAGCACAAAAAAAAAGCACAAAAAAAAGCACAAGATGAAAAGTGACAAGACAAAACAAAAGGTTCTGCTGACTCCAGGCCAAGGCTCGTCTACGTCGTAACCGGATTTACGCTACACTTTAGCTCTCTTGATACGGCATTGTGTCCTGTGCCGTCCTGGGCACCTGCCTAATCGGCCCAAATAGCTCGAGCGGAACAATCGAACATGCCCGCGGCGAAGGAACAACGGCCCAACAAGGAAGGACTAAAAATTCGCAACAAGGCTCGACAAGAGCACAGAAAAGACAATCTGCAATTTGCCTGGCGGCCTCTTACTGTAAACTTCAAAGTCGGTTTCTCGGCTTCTGATCACTGGCACCCACAACTCCTAATCAGCCCCATCACCAATCAGCTAATTCCATCAAATTCACCAAGCCTGCCTCTGGCCCGCCGCTGGCCTGCCGCACTCTCCATTCTTCGGACATTACGAAATTATTTCATGTATTTTTTCTGTGCCAGCTTCTATTTTTTTCTGCCGCCGGCCGGGTCTGTCCCCCGAAATGCACCCTCCAACGCTGCCCTGAATTCTTCCCCTATTGTATCCAACCGCCTGTTCCTTCTCCCAGGCCCTCTTCTCTTTGTCTGCAATTCTGTGGTTTTCTTCACTTCTCGATTCGGGTTTCCAGATTGTTCCGATTTCTTGCCTTTTTCTCGCAAACGGCGACGGTTATGGCCTCCTTGGCTCTCGTCCTGGTCTCCAGCCGAGGCGGTCCTGCCGCGTTTCTAGGCGCCGTTGACTAGCGGCCCGCCAGATTTCACCGGGTGTTGGAGATCCATCGATAAAACCAAACTTTTTTTTACACTTTTGCAATTTCGTTAAATTTCCTATTATCCCACCCCCATTCTTTCTGCCTCCTCGCCTCTCCCCTCCACACATTCCATTCACGGGAACAATGGCTGGGGTGGTCACTGGATGTGTAGCAGAAGACCCTCACCTCTTCTCGTCCTGCTTCTACTCAATTTTCATTCTCACCAACCACTCCACATTTTCCCCTGCCACAGGCCCCCCTCGTTCACGGCCCTTCTTTCTCGTTTTTTTTTTTTATTTTTCCCTTTTTTGCCTGCTGCGGTCGGAGCCCTTAGTTCGAGCCTCACCGCCCTTGCCCCACCACCGCTCCCTGCTTCGCTTCCTAGGAAACGAGCCTCGAGAAACACCTCCAGAAAAAACTCCCAAAACAACCAAAAATTCCTTATCCACTCGGTTCCATGGCCTTGCCCACCCCTGGCGAGTCCGCCAACAATAACGACTTGCGGCACCAGCCACACCACCCTCACCAGCCACAACCTGACCTTCTACCCCAGGAGAACACGGACGAAAAAATGAATCCACAGAATCCTCCGCTCGAAGATGCCAAAATCCCGGGTCCCAAGACCCAGACCGTGTTTATCCACAAGCTCTACGACATGTTGGAGGACCTGAGCCTCTCGCATCTCATCTGGTGGCTGCCTTCCCACGATAGCTTCTGTCTCTATCCGGGCGAAGAATTCTCCAACGTTTTGGCCCAGTACTTCAAACACACCAACATCGCCAGTTTCATCCGCCAGCTCAACATGTACGGCTTCCACAAGGTGAACGACTCGTTCCACAGCGACGAAAAGGGCACGCTGAGTGGTCAGACCCGCTGGGAATTCAGACACGCCGCTAATCAGTTCCGAAAGGGAGACGTGGAGCTGCTCCGCCTCATCAAACGTAAGCTGTCGAAGGTCATGAGCACTCCGAAGGAAATCGTCAATTTGAAGCTGCTCCCGCCCACGCTGAACCCAGCAACAAGCAACGATTCAGACTCGGAGACCCCGGACCCAGCTTCCAAGCAGCAGTACCACCGTTCCCTTTATCAACAGCTGTGGAAGCAGCTGCTGGCGCAAAAACCACATACGCCTTCGCTGCCCAATGGCCATCCTCTGAATCCGCCTGGCCTGGTCTACTACCCCATGCATCCTTATCCAGGTTTCCCACACTCGGTGACGATGCCAGTGCCTGTGAGCCCAAGCTCTCCACCTTATCCTGACCATCCTATCCCCACGCCGCTGTCGTATGTTTCTCAGTCCCAGCTGCGGCAGCCATCGAACCAGACCGCTTTGGCTGTGGACCAGCTGATCAACTTGAAGTTGATCGAGATGCTGACGGCAATTACAACGCTCCGGGCCAGCTTCGACGACCTTCTGCAGAAATACGACACCGTCTGTGCCGCCCAGCAGCAGAGCCAGGACGATATGGTGCAGCTTCTTGATATTTTGGATAAAGATGAGCTACGACTGGAAAACTTGGCTGCGTTCCGAAGCAAACTCGTTTTGAGAAACCCACAGCAGGAGAAACAGCCTTCGGTGAATGGCCAGAACGGACAACCTCAAAATGGCCAGAACGGCTCGGCAGAGGAACCACCTTCCTCCAACATTGTGCCCCAGCGCTACCCTCTAAACCCAAACTATTCCTTGTACAACAACGGCGAAAACGGCTTTCGTCATTTCAAACTCGGCGAGGACGGCCACCAGAACCGCCACTTTTCTGTCCTTATGGACCCGCTTCAAACCAAGGCGTTGAAGGGCCCCGATGAGCTCAAATCGTCCAGCCCGCTTTCCAACCAGAAAGACGCCAGGGCCCCTCCCCATGTCCAGCAGTACCAGCCCAAGGTGAACCAGCAGGCCGCTCCGCTGCTCTACCAGCCCTATATGCGTAATGATACGGGGCAGCAGAGAACGGTTTCTTTGCCTATTCTCGATAAGAACATGCCGCAGAGTTTTTCACCCCAGCAGAGGCATTCTACAACTGCGCTTTTGAACGACGACAAGAGGCCCATCTCGCCCGGTCACGTTCTCCCCAAAACCTACACGCTGAACCCAATGGTCACTTCTGTTCCTTCTAAAGCGCCTTCTCCAGCTCCCAGTATACCGCTGACGCCTTTTGAAGGCAAGAGCGTGCTTCCTTCTGTCCAGGAGCTCGACAAGCTGATCAAGAGAAGCGCTTCAGGAAGGCTCTCCGATTTGCTTTCTGACGACGACCTGAAGGCTAAGAAGCTCAAGACCGAGGGATCTCAGAGCTGAGTGGTTCTACAGACTTAGTGACAATGTCTACGGAGTCTGCCTGACCATTCCGGATAGGCAATATGTTGGTTTGCAATTGACTGTCAATTGCATTGTTCGTGAAATTTGGACATTTTCCAATTCCTCTTTTTATGGGGCTGCCCATACTTTGGTCGGTTCGCTACTCAGGGTCTGCGCGCAAATAAAAACACAATTTGCATCTTCACCAACTCCACATCCCATGCCTGGATCTGCACAGTACCCCAGAGCCGGTTCAAGCGGGTGCTCAAAAGCAAAACCGACATGCCCATAGCCAACGACAACACAGACACGTTGGTTTATCTTGTCTACATGGACTACCTCAGCAAGTTGATGAGTGAAGAGGACATGTCTGAGCGGCTGCTAGAAGCCAAACACGAGGAATTGATGCGGTACTACCGGGCTAGGCGCCCGTTTACTTTCTTCTATGTGTTATTATTTCGGATGCAACTATATACAAGGGATCAGAATACACTATTAGGGTTTTTCAACGTGTCGATCATGGCGTACGCAGCCTGAGCGTCCTTCTTGTTGTACACAAACAAGCCCTGGAGCTGGGCCGTGCTGACCTTGCCCACAAGCTCTAGCTCCCGGAATTTCTGGACGAACTTCTCGCAAAGCTCTTTTTCGTCCTCGTAGAAACGCAAGAACATCCGCCTCACCTGCTGCTCTGTAGCGTTGTTGACCATCACCTTGAAGTCCACACGGCCTGGTCTGAGCAAAGCGGGATCTAGCCTTTCTGGATGGTTTGTGGTCATGAAGGTGATGCACTCTTCTGCAGAGACAACGCCGTCCAAGGCGTTCAAGAGTCCCGAGAAGGTCACCCCAGACTGGTAGCCTTGTTCGTTTGTCTGTGCACGTTTGTTGAACGCAGCGTCAATGTCTTCAAGAAGCAAGATGGAGCGATTGGGGATGTGGTTCATGAGGTGGTTGAGTCTGTCGTCAGTCAAATGGCCCTCGGAGAGGTTCAACACACAGATGTTGTAGTCGAGCTCACCAGCCAAGGCCTGGATGTACGAGGTTTTACCGCTTCCTGGCGGTCCATAGAGCAAATAGCCTCTTCTATAAGGGATGCCTCGTTGGTGGTACCACTCGCCCGAGCTCAAAAAGTCCTTGACGTCGTTCACTATGAGCTCACTCACGCCATCGTCTAAAACGACCGAACCAAGCATTCTTTTCTTACGAGGCTGGCCAAAGGGACGCCACTCGGGCCCCATGCCGTGTACAAGACGGTTTTGCCCTCCTGAGCCTTGAGGGCCATTTTCTTGGCCTCTGCTAGCAAGTCCAGGAAAACATGTCTATCGCTGTACAAGGTGGTCAAGGTGACGGTTTCGAAAGGCGTTCCTGAGGTCATATCCAAGAGCTTTCCAGAACGTTCTCTGTTGACAAGCATGTAGGCGCCTTTGTACTTGATCAAGTGCTTTCCAGGGCCCGGAACCAAGGAGAATTTCGTCGTGACAGCGCCGTTGTCGTGCTGAACATAGTTGGTTTCAACGGACAAGTGTCTCAGCGACCGGTGCTTGTACTGGGACATCCACTCCAAAAACCACAAGTACAGCTTATCCTTGGAAGGGATCTCGAGGTCCACGAGAAGCTGTCTATAAAGAAAGCCCGAGGATCTGACGATACCCAGTCTGGCCAAAGCTAGACCAGTACCCAAAAGCATAAGGCCACCGCCAGCAGCGAAATATGGATTGTTGACGACGGCCTGGTCAAACATGGTACGAGCCATGCCTGTGTACGAGCCATCGGACTCTGCTCTGATTTTTTCTAGGTCGAATTGAGGAGGAGTAGCCATGGTGAAGAATGAACTTAGCGAGCGATGCAGATGGTGCAGGCACTGTGCTGGACACCGAGTCGGTTATGTTTGTGTGCAGTGGATTGGAGGTAACATGGATTCGGTGAATATGATAATTGGGAGTGGTTTTGGAGGTGGATTTTTATACCATGAAAAGATTTGATCTGTGTGGTTGGATAGTATGGGTGGTTGTGGTTGCAAATGCGAGGCAGGGGTTCTGCGAACAGGCCCCACAACCAGTACGGTAATGGTGTACATTTTTTAACCTTGAGTTATGGAGAGAGCATTCTCTATGGCGCTATTAGCTGTTAAATTGAAATGTGTCATAAATACCAATTAGTTATTTCCGCATCTTTGGACTCTTTAGATTCCGTAGTCTCTAGTATGTGCGCAAGTGCTGCTTGCATTGTTGCCCCAGAAACCAAGGTGGCGTTGAAAATCCAAATTCCAGCATTCTTTTAGGTTAACTCCTGGATCAAATCATACTCCTTCCTTTTCTCCTCTTCAAGCCATCCCCACTTTGAGCACCACCTGGGTTCCTCTTGTGGATCCTGCATTAGCGAAGCATCACCAGGCAATCAACCAACTCCACGTTTTGTGATATCCGGCCAATGGAATCCAATTCTCCTGATATGCGCCCGGCACAGCCCGAGGCCTCCACTAGTGCCGAGTCCAAACCCCCTGCGGCTCAAAATCAGTCCAATTACAAGTCAAGCAACCCATTTGCCAACGGACAGTTTGCTACTAGATCCTCGACTGAAACCACAGAAACGCTGTTTTTCACGGAAAACGACAACATCCAGCACGTGGCGACGCTGCTTCCAAGAGATGTCTTGAAGAAAGCGCCTTTTAAAACGTCAAACAGGATCTTTAGTGATCTCAAATACACCCCGAGGTTCTTCCAGCTTAAACTGCTGCTGGCACTCAGGGACTGTAAAGCAGCATCTTTATTATCGTCGAAGCCGGCTGATTACGCCAAACAGCTTCTGCTGGTTCTTGTGACGGAAAATGACCACTTTGAGCCGCTTATCTTGAATAATGCCGTGGAGTACGTTCCAGCTTTCCACAAGGTCGATCTACCAGAGAAGTCCTTATCTGTTACGGTAATTCGTGGTCTCTTGGTAAGGAAGATTTCACACGAGATCTTCCACTTCCGATTGGCTATTCTTGAACAGAATAGACCTCCCGTATTCTCAATCGATAAACACGAGTACCATGTTCTTCTGCGTGAACAAGTCTCGCCAGACGACTTTGAATCCTTAGGCGAAGACAAATTGGCAGCTGATTCCATCGTGGATGATGTTTTTTATAAATCTGCCAACACACCGCATAATCACATCTTGAGAGTCACTGTCTTCCATCCAGAATTCACCAATGACGAGCTGCATGCCATGACCGACGTGAATGTGGTCAATGAGCGTTTTGCAGAAAAGATCAAGGAGTTTCCTGAGTCGCCGTCTGCCCAAGTCACCAAATTCGATCCCATTCATTGCATCCAAACTCTCATAAAGGTGCTCAAGGGTCCAATCGTGTTGCCTGAGGACCAACCACTCCAAACTATACCTAGAATGAAGTCTGCTCTCGATGCAAAGTTGGACACTTCCTTGCTTTTTGACAAATTGGGCTTCACGTTAAATGAAGAGGAACAGCTTTTTGTTCCTCCGAACCTCGCTAAGGACCCAGTCCTTCGTGAAAGTTTCATTCGAAAAGCCTATGAGCTTCTTTTTATCGGAAAACTTCTCCGGACCTCGCTGCCAAACGACTTTGACAGACAATTCTCATATAACGACTCCATGTCACGGGCATTCACTGCTCTTGGCGAGGTCGATAAGTACTCATCTGTGACATCGTTTAGGCAAGATAGCTCTGATAAGTTCTCCTTCTTTGTGGCGTTGAGTTCGTTTACGTTCTACCAAGATGAGTTGATCATTCGTTGCTTCGAGAACACTGTTTCGTCGGATCCTTCTAACAAGCTCTATTATGTTGACTCGTTCAAGAACTTATTGGCATTCCGGTCTTCTAGAGCGGGTAGCCGGTTACAATCCTATTACCAGAACCAATACAATAAGGGCCTAATGTATGGCTTCTCGGAATACAAGGATGCTTTAAAGTCAATTGGTATCGAGGGAGTATCTGTGGAGGACAACGTTGACGACGAAGTTGTCATTGGCATGTACAAGCAAGCTTGCAAAAATGACCACAAGAATTACACATACTACAACAAGCAGTTGAGGATAATTGCTACCATCAAGCATAGCCCTGAGTTGATTAAATTTCTCGACAAAGAGCTCATACCTGCTCAGATCGCTCTTGAAGAATTGAGAATTGAGGAGCTCACCGAAGATGACGTGGTTGTTACTGCTTACGAATTCCGCTTAGATGAAGTTCTCCAGTCTGTGAACTTTAACACTGAGTCACAAGAAATACGGTTCCTCAAAAAATGCTTACTTTCCATCGCTATCAGCAGAAAAAGTTACATTCTCATGAACTATATCGAGCTCAAGTCTCCCGACTTATCTCAGGAAGAGCCACAGTTGAGTGTTGACGAAGCGCTTGAGTTTTTGGATTCTGATAGACAAACGAACGACTTTGAGATTACTGCCAAATTCCAGGACAAGATGGCAACATCTGAAGTCGGTGACGTCGGCGCTTTTATGAACCTCAGAGCAAGTCTACGAACCTTGGCGGAAATAAAGAAGCTGGACATTTTGGCAAGCTTCTTAAGAAATGGCAAAATCGACTCTTCGTTGTTGCCACCAGAGAACTGGCCAGCAGGTTTGGACAACATTGGTAATACCTGTTATTTGAATTCTTTGCTCCAGTATTACTTTTGCATTAAGCCGTTGCGCGAGACCATCCTTTCGTTTGATGATACCAACCTTGAGAGCTTAAAGGTAAAGAAACGGAGAGTTGGTGGACGTGATGTGGAACAGTCTGAGCTTGAAAGGTCGGGCCAGTTTGTCTTTAGACTCCAAAGCCTTTTTCTGGAGATGATCACTACGAGAAGTCGCTGTGTCCAACCAAGCAAAGAATTGGCATATCTCTCATTTTTGCCTTTATCCCAAAGCGTTGAATTCAAGGATGAGTCGGCAACAGCTAAAGCTGACGAGATCCTCTCATCGGATATGGATGTCGAGCCACGCCCATTCAGTGATCAAAGACTGATTGATGATGTCGATATGTCCGACAAAGAGAATGAGCCAGCCTCTAAAAATCAGCAAGCCTCAGACGACAATCTACTTGACCTCTCAGAGGAAGAGAAGAACGACACCAAACTTCTGAGCGTTGAAGAATTATCGATCAAGGAAGATGAGTCCTCAAAAGCTCCATTAGAATCCGAAGATGCAGCAGATGAGAAACCTCAGAAGAAGATTATGAGCATCAGTACTGACCAAATGGAGAGTACAATTGAAATCGGAAGGCAGCAAGATGTGACTGAATGTATCGAAAATGTGACTTTTCAAATCGAGACTGCGCTTGAACCAACCAAGATTGACGACGATGGTGAACAGTATGATTTGGTCAAGCAATTATTCTGTGGCAAGACGAAACAGACCATCACTCCACTTGAAGAAGGAACAAATGCAACACCAAGAAGCTCATTTGAAAGATTCTTTAGTTTGATCATCAACGTCAGTGATCATCCAAAAGATATATACGATGCTCTCGATAATTATTTCATCGAGGACATCATGAACCTAGAGGAAGGTCAAGTCAAAAAGTCTACGACTATAACAGAACTACCTGAGATTTTGCAATTTCATGTCCAGAGAGTCCTTTTCGACAGAGAAAGACTCATGGCGTACAAGTCTTTGGAGGTCATACCGTTTAAAGAGACCATTTACTTGGACCGCTATCTCGACACTGACGATGAGGAGCTTAAAAGAAAGAGACTGCAAGTGTACGAGTGGAAGACAGAGATCAAGAAATTGCTGGAGGAGAAAGATGCCCTTTTGCAAGTTGACCCCGAAACCAAGCTTTCTGCGATTGACTCTCTCCAGGCCACGAAAAAATTTCTCGAGACAAAGTTGTCTACGTTCCCGGAGTTATCCATCAAGCCTGAAACCATTGAGGCCATTGGTGACCAAATCACGGAGTTCAAGGGCAAGCTTCAGTCCATCCATGACGAGATCAAAGTCTTACAAGAGAAATCCAGCAACCAATTTGATGATTATCAAAAGGTTGGATACACACTTTTTGCCATTTTCATTCATCGTGGCGAAGCTTCATATGGCCACTACTGGGTCTACATCAAGGACCTCAAGAGGAACATATTCAGAAAGTATAACGACGATAGTGTGACCGAGGTGCCGGCGCTGGAGGTGCTTAATTTTGCAGAAGGTAACACAGCCACACCTTATTATATGGTGTTTGTGAAGGACGAGCTTAAGGAGACCTACATCGAGCCTCTCAAAAGGGAGATCCCTGAGTGATTCTGGATTGGCTGCGAAATAAGGTTGGTATTCCCGACTGATAAAGGAGTGTGTATACTGCACAGAGGACCGGTTACCTACTTATTCTAAATTGCTCTGGGTATCTATCTATCAAGGTGAGACATTCGCCACTTCTTTACCATACACACTAGAATTCCATAATTTCGAACATATATCCCATCATTCATTGAAATAAAGCGAAACTTACATGAAACTTTTGTCGCTTCTCCCAGCTCTCGCTTATCTAACTGGGGCGTTAGCAAAGGAGCCACTTGGACCAAAGTCCTGGTACTTAGAAGACTCTTTCGATAAGTTTCAGCAAAATGCCATTGTTAACAATCTTTTTGAGGTGAAGGAGTTTGGTGAAGAGGACAAAGATAAAGACTGTCCGCCATGTTTCAATTGCAATCTACCTAATCACCGGTGTGCTCAATTCTCGAAGTGTAATACGTTCACGGGTATGTGTGAGTGTCACGAAGGCTTTGGTGGTCTGGACTGCTCAGAGCCTTTGTGTGGCTCTCTTGCCAGAGATAATTCAAAAAGACCACCTCGAGGCAACGAGACCTCATGTTCGTGTGACGATGGCTGGGACGGAATTAACTGTAACATATGTACAGATGATTCTGTCTGTGATGCTTTTATGCCCGAGGGCCTCAAGGGAGTTTGTTACCAGCGAGGAGTTGTCATCAACGAGATTCACCAGATGTGCAATGTGACCAATCCCAAGATTATCAAGATTTTAGAGGGTGAGATCCCCAAGCTACCTTTAGATGTGACAAGAAGAACAATACTTGCGATTTCCAATTCTGGATTGATGAGGTCGAATCTTTCTTTTGTGACTTGAGTCTGTGCAAGTTTGATTACGACCTTGAGTCAAATACAACCCGCTACAACTGTGACAATGTGGCTTGCGAGTGTTTGCCTGGGCGAATGCTCTGTGGCAAATCTGGCTCAATCGATATCTCAGAGTTCCTTGAAAAAACTATCAAGGGTCCAGGTGACTTCACTTGTGACATTACCGGTGGAGAGTGTCGTTTCTCCGAACCTAGCATGAATGGATTAATTTCATCGGTGTTTGGTGATCCGTATATCATGATCAAGTGTAAAGCAGGCGAATGTGTCCACAAGAGTGAAATTCCAGGATATGACCTTCCTGACCGCAGCAAGTTCACTTGGTACAATCTCTTCACCATTGCAGCAGTAGTTGCAGTTGTTGGAGTCGCTATAATTACCTCGATTTACCATATTAAGAACAGCCCGCTTTTCAAGACTGGCTCTTTGCTGGGCTATGATGATGACAATGATTTCAATCCATTGAATGAGAACTTCACGCCCACTACTTTATCCTTCAAGGACGTCTCTTATCATCTTGGTGGTGGTTCTCAAGTTTTGAATAGCATCTACGGTTTGGTCAATCCAGGTGAATGTCTCGCCATCATGGGTGGGTCAGGTGCTGGTAAGACTACTCTTCTCGATATTTTGGCAGGTAAACGCAAGAGTGGTAAAACGTCTGGAGAAATCTTTGTGAACGGCCAGGTGCTTGATCGTCATGATTACAGAAAGATTGTGGGCTTTGTGGATCAGGAAGATCATTTGATTCCTACGCTAACTGTATACGAGACTGTCCTCAACAGTGCCTTATTGAGACTCCCTAAAATCATGCCTTTGCATTCTAAGATTTCAAGAGTCATTGAGGTCTTGAACGAGTTGAGAATTCTCAATATCAAGGACAGGGTTGTTGGTTCTGATTTCAATAGAGGAATCTCGGGTGGTGAGAAGAGAAGAGTTTCGATTGCTTGCGAACTTGTCACCTCTCCATCTATATTATTCTTGGACGAACCAACCTCTGGTCTTGATGCTTATAATGCTAGAAATGTTGTTGACTGTCTCGTCAAGTTGGCAAAAAATTACAACAGAACAATTGTGTTCACTATTCACCAACCAAGGTCCAACATTGTCTCATTGTTCCACAAGCTTTTGTTGCTCAGTGAAGGTGATTTGATCTACTCCGGAGACCTCATCAAGGCAAACGACTTCTTTTCGAAACATGGCTACAGATGTCCCCAGGCTACAACATTGCTGATTACCTTATTGACATCACAATGGATCATAAGAAGGTTGTGCGGGTTCCCGATACTGAGGAGGATGTTCATGCGGCATTCACAAACCCGAAAATACCGACGTGGATGAAACCGCTGAGTGGGAGCACTATGCTACTCATCGCGATGAATACAACTTCCAGCCCTTAGCGCAGCGTGATAATGGTGATAAATTAATTCAGCTTCATAAAAAGTTGCCTCAAACATTTAATGAGTCTGTGCTCGCTATAGAGCTCAAACAGGAGATTGAAGAGTCCAAACAAAGCTCTGCAGCTCTCGACGTGCTGCATCATCTTTTGAAGAAGGCATCGTTGTTCACGCAGTTTACAGTCTTGAGCTCTAGAACGTTCAAGAACTTGTACAGAAACCCGAAGTTGCTTCTCACAAACTATGTCTTGTCTTTGCTTGTTGGTCTTTTCTGTGGTTCGCTTTACTACAAGGTTTCTAATGACATAAGTGGGTTCCAAAACAGATTGGGTTTGTTCTTCTTCGTTTTGGCGTTGTTTGGTTTCTCTTCCTTGACTGGATTGCACTCATTCGCAGAGGAAAGAATCATCTTCATTCGTGAGAGAGCGAACAACTACTACAACCCATTCAGTTACTACGTTAGTAAAGTGTTGTGTGACATCATCCCATTGCGTGTGTTGCCACCCATCATCTTGCTAAGCATTTTGTACCCACTTGTGGGTTGACAATGGAACACAACGGTTTCCTCAAGGCTCTTTTGGTGCTCGTTGTGTTCAACGTTGCCATTGCGTCAGAAGTGTTGATTGTGGGTATCTTGATCAAGGATCCTGGCACGTCCACTATTCTGGCCGTTTTAATCCTTCTCTTCTCGATGTTGTTTGCCGGTCTTTTCATCAACAGCGAAGACCTCAAGGTACAAACCAAATGGTTGCAGTGGATCTCTCTTTTCCACTACGCCTATGAAGCACTTGCAATCAACGAAGTGAAGGATTTGATATTAAAGGAGAAGAAGTACGGACTCTCTATTGAAGTCCCAGGTGCTGTTATTTTGAGTACCTTTGGTTTCGAGGTCTCTGCTTACTGGAAGGATGTAAGCTATTTGATCGGCTGGGCCGCTACATTCCTTGTACTTGGCTATGTCTTCTTGCATTTCTTGACCTACGAAAGAAGATGAGCCTTAACTAGAAGAATCATTTGATTTATAGAATCTGTCAAATATGACGAGTTACGAAGTCTGAGAGTGTAGATTTTATGGTTCAGCAGAACTTTGAAGATGAATGATTAAGATTGTGCATTTATCCATTTAATTTATTGGAACTTTTGCTTTTTATAAATCACAATCGCTAAAAATAAAATCATTCATTCATCCTTCCCTCTTCATATGTCGAATAGCTGTCGCTTAAGCATTGCAGCCACCTTCCCAATCGGTCTAGTATAGTCCTAAACCTGGAAAGTGCTTGACCTTGCACGTGATATGGAGCACGTGCAAGTCTTTCACCATGCAGCTCTAATTGTTTTGTGATGTAAGTTTCCGCATAGAAGGCAACTTGTCCGAGTGGTTAAGGAGAAAGATTAGAAATCTTTTGGGCTTTGCCCGCGCAGGTTCGAGTCCTGCAGTTGTCGTTATCTTTTTTGCAGCTTTTAGCGATCAATACCATCCACCTTTATTTACACACTGCAATTTTTTAAAACCTTTCTATTTCATCAATTTATTTTATTGTTTGAATCACCAATTTCGCTCATTATGTGGCCATAGGAAACTACCCTGATCACTGACCATGGAGAATTGCCTCCCTCTCCTACGCCCTCTTTCTAATCTAATTCATTAACGTATTAAATCAAATATATAGTATGGGACCAGCGGGAGGTAAATTAGTGCTGGGGACCCACTTTACTTGTGCAGCGAGAGACCTGGAGCTATATGGTTTTTTATGATTTATGCGGTCGCTCAGCCGTCGTTGCTTTAGTCGGAGATGAAAGTAGCCTCGTTGAAACCGATACCCTCCTCGGTCTCAGAGCCATACTTAATGCTCAATGGGTTGCAGAACTGGTAAATGTATGGCTTGGCACCCGAAACGCCAGAAACGATGTTCTTGACGAATTGAGGGATCTCAGCCATCACGTCCACACGCTCGACCAACTGGTTCAACTTACCAGAGACAACGGCCACGGTTTCGGAGTCTGGGCCGTCCTTGGAGAAGTTGAAGGTGATGCCCTTGGGGACGTTCCAGCCGACTTCGTCGATCTCAGCGTCCTCGTGGGTCACCTCGTTGTCAATCGACGTGAGCACCACCTTGTCGTCCTTGGCAAGAATGGCAATGTTGACCTTTGTGGTGGCGTAAGAGCGAGGGGTGGTGAACTCCATCTGCACGGCGGAAAAGTGTGGGCTCTGGAAATTGAGGAAGTTCCAGGATTTGGCAGCGTGGTGGGGCTTCATGCCCTGCAAAGCCATCACAAACATGGTGAAGCCGTCAATCTCAAGCTGCACGTTGTTCTTCAACGAGAGCTTACCCGTGACGCTACATCTAGGCCAGAAGGCGTGTCTCATGGAGCCCCATGGGTTCTCCAAGTCGTCACCGTAGAGGGTGGTACCGTCTTTTCCGAAAACGACACCAGGGGTCAATCTCTTGACGGTCAAGTCGACCAAGGAATCCTCGTTGACTAGCGACTTCAAGTGGTAGGTGACGCCATCGTCAGCAAGCTCAAAGGACAAGTTCTTAGCGTAGAAGTTGGAACCCTCAGCACGGAACTCCTCCAACGCGGTGGAAGTCCAGATGGCGTTTGGGTCATCGGCGCCCTTCTCGTTGTTATACAATCTGAAGGTGAACTGAGCAGTGGTCTTGACGCCCATGAGATTGGAGTGGATGATCTGGGCAAAACCAGTGTATCCCGTTTTCAAATCGGAAAAGTAGAAAGTCTGGGTCTCCACGTTGGTGTAGCCAGGCTTTCTCCAGGCAAAGTCCTCAGACGTGGTTTCTCTAGAAACAGGGTCACCCTTCTTGATGAAATCGGTGATTGGATGGATGGCTTCACGGCCATACTCTGGCTCGGCGGTGCCTGCGACAACGGAAAGACCGGACTGGACCCACTTCAACATAATATACTAGATTGAGTGGAAGAAAGAGGTGAGACAAGGCAACTGATGACTGCGGTTTGCTGTGGGCTGGGGGGGTGCTCGCGATAGCCGCTATGAGCCGCGCACGACCGGTTGCTGCTTCAAAGCCATTATAGCAAAAAGCAAAAGAAAGGAAAAAAAAAAAAAGGGGTCTGTGTTTCTTTTATTTTGACAAACGGCTGTGTATGTGGTGCCGTTGGGTGGTGCCGTTTTTGTGAGGCAGGGGCGGGGTGGCTGGACCATTGTTTCGATTGTCCTTCTTCTTGTCAACCTCTGTCTAATGGGGCGATGGATCAGGTCATGGTGGTGGATGATGGAGGGGGAGGCTTGAAGTGACAGCATAGTAAATTTTATGGAATCAACTTCTGAAGCATTTTTGAAAAATCTCTGGGGTCGCTTCCATGACTGGTTGCTCGTTTCGCAGCCAAAACATGAATCTGCATGGCTGCTGAAGTGGAACAAAGCGGGGCCAGATAAGAAAAAGTTGGTGAAAATATAGCAGTTTTTTGTAGGACAGGTTTTGAGAAAAGTCGTTTGGCGGTGGTTGGCGAGCGGTCTGGGGCTGAGCGGGTGGGCTTTTCTCGTCTAGAGGCTCACGGTGCTCCGGAATTTCCCATTTTAGCAGTGGCAGGCTGCCAAACCAAGGGCATTTTGATTATTGAAAGCAATCAGAGAAAGTTGCACCATCGGCGAAATTTGAGATTGGCAATTCATTCTCGCCCAAGGTGTCTTTAAAAAATGGCATACTGATGTTGGAGCTAATATTCCTGAGACCACGAGCAGCACCCTAAATACGTAGCACCATCACTGAAGGCCTTGCTATAAATTTCCCCAAATCATGATCATCTAAACTCTTTTCTGCTTTTGCTTGGTTGCAACCTCTTAAATAGAATTGCTTCCATCTCACCAGTCTGCACCGTGAGCTCTCGTCTAGGCGAACCTGAATGATCTGCGGTCCTCGATAGTAGCCCCAGTTTTGCGTTCTCAATAGCCTAAAGCCGCCATTTTCCAAACTCAACCAGGCTAAATACACATTTCAAAAAGGCAAATTCATGCATGATAACCGCCTCTTTTAAGTCAGCCAAAGCAGGGTCGCAAACCACGGACCTCCCTAGTGCTGGTTTGGAAACCCAACCACCGGCTACCGGTTATGTGCTGCTTGGCGCCTATTCAGGCATGGCCCGTCAGACGGTCAAGCCAACCTGCCATTTGCTGGAGGTTTTCAAACAGAATGTGAAGCGTCCCTGATTAATTGCTTTTATATTAATTGCTTTTCATAGTAAAAAAAAAATAATCAACTTCAAATGCCTGCTTGCCCGGCTGGGCCTGCGAAAGTTAAAGTGAAAAGTTTATGGCGTCTCGCAGGGTCACTCAGCAGCTGGTCTACCAGGGCCATGGAGGGCTCGAACGGGTCATTTTCTAAATTCTGAAACTCCAAATCCAAATCCATCGAATTCGAATTTCTTTTCTTTCCTTCCTCTGTGTATCTCGTGGGCTTCTAGAATGGTTGCGCTGTAGGCCCTCTGCCTAAACTGTCTTGGCTCGCTGCCTACAGTTGCACAATGGCACAGCAGCTGGACTCATTTACTCCTGGAGACCCAAAATACGTAAATTCATAATTCAACGGATTTCTGAAAATCACCATATTCCCGTCTCTCGCCCAATACACGACTTCACCGTGGCATCACCCTACTCCTTATCGTCCTTTCACGCCCACGCCAGAACGCCAGAAATAGCACGAAGGTGAAGCGAAAAGGCCAACGACAAAAACACATAAACAAAAAACAAATTGTCCTTTTTTGACATTCTCTTCAAATTTTAAAATCCACACGAATCGATTTTCTCCCAAATTGTGTACCGTTGGGGCATCACCTCCTCCTGCTCAGGGCGTCCCACTCCACTTTTGGCCCATTCGCATTCTGCGGCCTGACTCTACTTCTTCTTCCAGACAGCCCTTCATTTCGTGACTCGCCAGCAATTTCCCAAGGCTGAAAAAGCGTCGTTTCTCCTTTTCACTTCAAAAAAAAACCCGTTTTCCAAATTCCTTGCATCGCCATGGTCCGAAGGTGTCCGTCTTGAACCCACCTAAGGACAAGGCCCCAGAGGCCGTGGCGCTCAGACTCAACCTGGAGGTGCTAGCGCTGCTCCGAGGGCTTCAGAAAAAAGGCACCGTGCCCAAGTTGGTGGTGAAAAACGGCCAGTTTGTATGTATCCGTTGGAATCGCTTCTCGTCCATGACTAACCCACAGCTGATCAAAGTAGGCGATCTGCTTGTCTACCCTTGTTCCTCGAGCAACGAGCTGCTCCGGTTCGATATCTACAATGCTAGGGCCAACAGCGCCTACGACTTTGCCGGAACCGTCACGGAACGGCTCAATGTGCTCACAGACCCTCGCCAGATCAAGAACCACCAAAAGGCCCTGTCCAGCCGAAACTGCTGCTTCCAGAGAAGCCCTCCTTCGAGCACGCCCGTAAGCTGTCGCTACATGAGCACGGTCTCTACGCCGTAGACGCCAGGGGAGACGCTTCCACCAAGTTCCTTGCATTGGTCGCTTTGGGCCCCACCACTAGACGAGAGGTCGAGACCCGCATCAACGCCAACGGCCGGATCTCCCCGGCCGAAATGGACCGCTTATTCCTGACTCACACCCAGAGCTATAATCTGTCCATGCCCAGCTCCTCCTTCACCGAAACAGACACATACCCAAGCGTCGCCTTGGGCCTCACAGACACAGACCAGCATCACGACTACGTCATCCTCAAGGACAAGGCATACAAGGACTTGCGTCCGTGGCTGTGCCCGTTCACGCCCTATGAGAGGGCCCTCGTCATTGAAAATGCCCACCACGCCTTGAGCAGACTAGGGTATCTGGATACCCATCCGCTCCGGCGCCGCATCACGGAGAAGCCGCTAGAGAAGGCTGAAGACAAGAAGCCTGCGGCCCTTGGCGGCGGTCTTCTCTCGGCAAAGCCTGGCTCTCCATCTCCAAAGCGCTCTGCCTCTCCTAGAGTGGAGGAGAAGCGCAAGAGACCTCGCAACGACGAGTCTCCATTGAAGCATTCTGCCGAATCGAGTAAGAAGTTTGTGGCCTCGCTGCTGCTGTCCTCGTCTTCGGAAGACGAGAGACACTCCAAGAAGGCCAAGAAGGAGGGCAAACGGTCCAACAGCTCCGGCAGCAACCAGAGCACCTTCAGCAACGCTACTTCTTACACCCTGCCCTCGCTGATCAACGAGGAGCACAATGACGACAACGACCACAGCGAAGATGACATGAAGCTCCTGAGCTTGCCCAGAGCTTCTCCTGCATTGCCTTCCAAACCGGCCCCTACAAGCAACGACAAGCGCCAGCAGTACTACAAGCGATTGGCGCTGAATTTCTACTCAAAGTACCTGGAGTACAAGAACTTGCATGATAGTTTGCTCAAGGACCAGAGCGGCACTACGCAAGAGAAAAAGCGCCGTGTGATGAAGTTGTTCGAAATGCACAATCTTCTCGCCGGTTGGAAGCGCAAGCTTTGGGACTATTACAATGAAAGCAATATGGCGCAAGGCATTATGCATTTGTCTCGTCATAAGAAGACGAATAGCGGCTCTGGTGTCGTTCTGGCGCCGCTGACAGGCCAATTGCAGAGTCAGGACCGGTTCCAGAGGTCAGGAACTGCTAGTCCACAGGTCAGCTACCCCGACCGCTTTGCTGGAAAGCAAAACGGAAAGCGTCCTGTTGAGCAGCGTTCCCCTCGGCCCAAGGTAGCGCTTGACTACTGAGCCCTGATCTACGCGTAATCATACCGCTCTATTGAGGACAGAGAGACTTTTTGACATTTGATGCATAATCTTTGGCTGTTTCAACGACCATAAGACTCTGGGACAGTGATACTGTTGAGAACAGTTCGCAAATCGACACATGGTGTCGCAGCATTATTTACTTATTTCATATATCATACATCGTTTTCCATTATTGAAAATGGAGCGCTCACCCTTCAAAGTGTAGGCAATGGAATGTGTATGAAAATGTCAATTTTCAATAAAGAAATTGCGGAATGTAGCCTAGTCCAACTAGAATAGAGAATGGTCGATCTATAAAAAGAGCATTAAAGCATGGTTTGTTGCCTGACTACACTACAGAGTAGGTCCCTGGTGCATGTTCAACAGATAAGATATCGTCATTTAGCATTCAATTAGACATCATCATTTAGCATTCAATTAGATCCATTTTTATCCTCAACATTTACCTCTCCCGGCTACTTTTGTCTCACCCTCACCACTACTTTGCAGCCAGTTCGCGATATCAGTGTTGAAAAAACACCTCCACCAACTCAACAGATCATGGACCATTCGGCAACACCTGCCGTAAAAGAAGAGGAGGACGAACACTTGGCTTTGCCTTCGTCGCCAGCACCGGCAAATAACACCGAGGAGGCGACCGCTGGCTCTCCTGAGAAGGAGAAGGCGAATTCCAACGAAGACGAACAGGATAAGAAGAAGCGCAAAACAGCGGCCAAAACAACAAAAAAGCCTTCAGAAGAGGTGTTACAGCGGCGTCGAGAGGGCCGTATTAAGGCGGCGGCCACAATCGCTCAGAACTTGAAGAAAACTGGAATTGGCCGTTTCGAAGAGCACAACGGCTTCAAGCTCACTGCTGTAAAGACAGTGCCGTTGATCAACCAGAAGAACTACTTTGCAGAGTACTTGAAGAAAGATGAGCAGGCTACGTTGATCCGAAACTGGCGTAACGAGAAGCTGAGTCTTCTGAAACCCAAGAGCGCCAACTCCGACAAGAAAACGGAGGAAGATGACGAGGACGAAGACGACGATGACGATAACGACAACGACGAAAATGATGAAGAAGAAACCGAAAACGGTGGCTCTAGAGTGAAGAAAGCAGGACACGATACCATTGTGCTCCAGCCTGGATCTTCCTTTATCCGCTTGGGTCGAGCCACTGATCCTACTCCTGTCGCTGTTCCCGCCGTCGTTGCCTTTAAAAGAAAGCTTGCAGAAAAAAGCCATCAGAAATTGCCTTTGAGAAGAATTGTCGATGGTGAAGTCGATTTTGGTGAACACTTTGAGGAATTGAAGGGTATTGTAACCAAGGACTTCAAGGCCAGAATGAGATACTACAAGCGCCGCGTACAGCCCAACTCCCGAGATCAGGCCGCTGAGTTCAACAGTAAGCAAAGAGGAGAGCCTATCGACGTGAACAACGAGCCCTCGCCCAAGAATTGGTTACCAGAAAACGACGAACTTCTCAACAACGAATTCATTGCCGGCGCTCCCGCCTTGGATATTCCCATCAGCGAGTCTTTCGACGAATGGCATCACCGTTTTCCCATTGTCAATGGTACGTTCAATCAAAGCACAGCGGACTACCTGTCTCCTCAGGAGCTCTTTGGTGATGTGACTCGTCTCACCCAAGCTGCTTTGGAGCAAATCAATGTTGGAAAAAGCCCGCAGGAATTGGCAAATCTCAAGTGCTTGCTTGTGATTCCTGACCTATACGACAAGGCATACGTGGAGACCTGGTGTGATCTTCTTCTTCACTCTGTGTGTTTCGGTAAAGTGGGCATCATTCAGGAAGCCGTCGCAGCTACATTTGGTGCTACTGCCTCTTCGGCTTGTGTCGTTGATGTTGGTTCCGAAATGACCACCATTTCTTGCGTTGATGAAGGTATGATCATCAACGACTCCAGAATCCGTCTTGACTACGGCGGCAAGCACGTCACTGAGACTCTCACAAAGCTACTATTGCAACAAAAATTTCCATACCAGGACATTGATTTAAGCTCCTTCAATGATGACTGGCAATTGGCTGAGGCCATCAAACACGAGTACGGTACATTTAATGACGCAGACATCGCCGTACAACTTTATGACTTCTACAAGAAAAAGCCCGGAAAGCAAACAGAGAAGTATTTGTTCAAGGTTTACGATGAGGTGATGCTAGCGCCTCTTGGGCTCTTCTACCCCGACATATTTGGCATTCCCAAAGAGCATAGGGAAAGGCCATTGCTTCCTGAATCTTTTGATCAGTATACTGGTGAGCCTAACAATCCCTACTCCAAAGCACACGAAAACTTACAAGCGGGTCATGCCTACTCAGATATGACAGATGAGGCATTATTGGTAAAGCTTGCAGAGGAAAAGGCTAATCTGAAACAGGCCAGTGCTCCAAAAGCATTGAACACACAGGGTCAGATTGACACTCTGCTGCCTGTTATAGCGCCTCTTGATAAGGCCATCATCGAATCTATCACCAACGCTGGTATTGCTACGGATTTTGGCAAAGCTAGAAAGCTTTATGACAACTTGCTCGTTGTTGGCGGAGGTTTGGCCAAATTCGATAACTTCGATGTTCTTCTCAATGACAGAATCAACATCTGGCGGCCCAAGTTCTTGTCGTCCAGTGCCTTGGATGATGTTCTCACATACGTCAGCAAAGAGAAGGACAAGATGGACAATAAGCGCAAGCAATTGATCGAAGAGGCCAAGAAGAAAAAGAAGGGAGGTCTGTCGTCTGATGATGTGGAGTTGACGGAGGAGGAACTCGATGCCATTGACAGCGAAACACAGCTTTACGTGGATCTTGATCGTGCTGATGGACTCAGTGATCAAGGTCTGGTTGTGGCTGTGAATGTGCTCCCGCCTCCAAAGGAGTACGATCCAAGAGAATTGACATGGAAGGGAGCGAGTGTTTTTGGGCGCTTGAAGGTGGCCAACGAGATGTGGATCACCTCGGCAGACTGGGAGCTTCTCAACTCGCGGACGCTCTACTACAAGAGTTTGTTCAACTATTAAAAGATAGATACGGTATGAGGAAATTGGATGTAGAATAGCAGCACGCTGGGTAATGGCAGCTATGGTTTCGGACAAGACAATGGCATTGTATTGCCATTATACTCGGAGTTCAAGAAACCAGTTGAGGAACGATGGCCCTAAAACGAGATATACAGAGATTTATTACAGATGTTGGCACCTGTTTAGGAAACACATTGCATCAGCTCTTGTCGAGTAGGAGAGTCCTAGAAGAAGTTGTCAGAGTCAATATCGCAAGAAACCCAAAGCCGATCTGAAAGTCTACATGTTTCCACCAATACTCAATCGGACTGCTACACATCTCAATTGGCTGAAGCGAGAAGTCCGACTGATCCACTGTGGTCAATTGAAAATTTCAGAGATGCATTTTTCAGTGAAGTAGAAAAACTAAGAATTTTTAAATCAACCTTTGATCTGGACTCCAGACAGCACGCGTGGAGATTCAACGGTTTCATTTTTTTTTTTTTTTTTTTTTCTGACTTCTGGTACTCCGACATGCCCCGGTGCGTTAAACGCTCAGAGGACACACCGAAGGGCGCCACGAGTTCTGGTTTTTTCAATTATCTTCACTAAATTAAGAATTCCAAAAACTGTAAAATTCATATTCGTAAAAATTCAATTCAAGAACGCATGGATCAATTGCCGTGCCCAAGTCCGGCTGCTCAATGCATTTTCGGGAAAACTGTTATTCCCCTTTCTGCCACAGGTTTTGCACCCATCCTCGGTGCGGAAAAGCCCACACGTTTTACACTGACTCCGGCACCACTTGACTCCGTTTGACTCTGACGAAACCAGCATGACTTCTACACCTCCCGCTGCCATCGCCCTACAATTCCCCAATTCCAACCCTCCCAAAACCTCCGTCGTAGCCTGCCCGGGGAGAACCGCGGCCTCGGGGTTTCCAGGGAGTCGCGGTGCACGGGCCCATTGGCGGAGACTATACGCCCGACAAAAACGAGAAAACCAACGAAGTTAACAACAACCTCATTCACAAATCAACCATGTTGTCCAAGCAGTTTGCCCGTGGCTTCGCCTCCACCGCCCCCGCTAAAAACTACGCCCTGACCATCAAAAACTTGAAGGTCAACGCGGACACCAAGGTGATCTACCAGGGCTTCACCGGAAGACAAGGTACTTTCCACGCTGAACAGGCCATTGCTTACGGTACCAAGGTCGTCGGTGGTACCAACCCCAAAAAGGCCGGTACTGAGCACTTGGGCAAGCCAGTTTTCGCTACTGTCAAGGACGCCATCAAGGAGACCGGTGCCAACGCTACCGGTATCTTTGTGCCACCTTCCATTGCCGCTGGTGCTATTGAGGAGGCCATTGAGGCCGAGATCGACTTGGCTGTGGCCATCACTGAGGGTATTCCCCAGCACGACATGTTGAGAATTGCCCAGATCTTGAAGACCCAGTCCAAGACCAGATTGGTCGGTCCTAACTGTCCCGGTTTGATTGCCCCAGAGCAGTGCAAGATCGGTATCATGCCTTCCCACATCCACAAGAGAGGTAGAGTTGGTATCATCTCCAAGTCCGGTACCTTGACCTACGAGGCCGTTGCCCAGACCACCCAGGTTGGTTTGGGTCAGTCCTTGGTCATTGGTATGGGTGGTGACCCATTCCCAGGTACCAACTTCATTGACGCCTTGACCTTGTTCTTGAACGACCCTGAGACTGAGGGTATCATCGTGATTGGTGAGATTGGTGGTACCGCCGAGGAGGATGCCTCCGAGTTCTTGAAGCAGCACAACTTGACCAGACCAGAGGGCCCTAAGCCAGTTGTGTCCTTCATTGCCGGTGTTTCTGCTCCACCAGGTAGAAGAATGGGTCACGCCGGTGCCATTGTTGCTGGCGGTAAGGGTGACGCCAACTCCAAGATCACTGCTTTGGAGTCTGCCGGTGTTGTCGTCGAGAAGTCCCCCGCTAGATTGGGTAACTCCTTGTTGCAGGAGTTCAAGAACAAGGGCTTGTTGTAGTTCCATAGAATACATTAGCAGCACTGCTGCAGCGAAGAATTCCATGTAGACTCTGGCTTAACCATCCTAGTACTTAGCACTGATTTGAGCGCGGCACTACCTAGTATTGAAAAATTTAGTACTGAGCGCTTCAACATCAACTAGCCCACATGTTTGCATTTTCAGCTTTGAAAAGCCTGGCCCGCCGAATTCTCCCGGTGAGTCGGCCGGTTTTTCTCCACCAGACCCCCTTTTCTGCATCTCAAACGGCCGTCTCTAGGTTGTTTTCCACTTCACCCCAGGTATTCAGGATCAACACTTCCACCAGAACAAAGGAGAATGTTCACGATTTGGAAACGTTCCTCAAGTTGATCGGAAGAAACTCCATCGAGCATTTGGACGCATTCGAGGGCGATTTGGAGAAGTTCCTTGGTACCTCCTCCAAGCAGATGAAGAAAATGGGCATCGACACCGCTCCCAGGCGATACTTACTAAGATGGAGACACAAGTTTGTCAATGACTTGGAGCCTTTGAGGGAGCACAAGAAGGGCCGTAAGACGAACGGTGGTGAGAGAAACGCCAGATTGGTGAAAGCGAAGAGAAAGGCCTTGGAGAGGCTTGAAGAGAAGGAGAAGTGGGCCTCATCCGAACAGGCAGCTGAGGAGAAGGGCGAGAGAGAATTTTAATTGTACATAGAAATCAACGGACGAAGGACAGGGTTGTAAGGAGATGTGGTGTGCTTGTGCTTGAGGAGGAAGTTTTATCCATATTCATTGTGCATTGTAAGAATGAGTCAACTGATCTTGAAAGTTCGAAGATATACGTTTTCCCTAAAATGTTTTCTAAATTTGAAATTGACCTCTCGAGTGTGGTCTATAGTATACCATGGACTGGTTTATTGTAGTCTTCATCACTGGCAGAAGATGAATCGCTTCACGACAATGAAAGATGATTGAATCGGGGAAAAATTGAAGCCGTATATTGATATTTCACTTCATTTATGCTCCCAGCCTGAGTCCAACATGCTTGCTTTCTCTGCTCGCCTTAAAAGTTGTGTGATCAATGGTAGCAAATCACATACAACAGCAATTGGTACACCGACCATTTCATTTGAAGGACGCAATCAATTGTGATTCATCCAGAGAGTCAATTATGCTAGCACGACTTTTACGAAACGACATGGCGATGCAGCGCAACACCTTCTGGTGTACTGAGCATCCACCTTCACTAGTTCCACATATCATTCTCCAGGAGCCATCAACATACGTTTCAATAAAAAAGTGATTGATCATCTAGCTTTTCCATCAAATTTGCCTCTTCAATGCCCACCTCATCTTGTGGCGGCATTTGCAGCCAGACCTGCCTCTGGCGCGCAGTTGGAGCCACGCATCAATCTCGTCTTTCTCGTTTCTTCCACTTCACCATGATGAAAGCCTTCACTTTTGCTGCGATCATCGCCACGATTTTTGCATTCTTCAAGCTCGTTGCTGCCGGTGGCGACTTGCCAGAAAACCCTCCATTCACCAGCAAGGTCTACTTTGACATTGAGGAGGAGGGTGAGCACATTGGTAGAATCACCATTGGTTTGTTCGGCACTGTTGTGCCCAAGACCGCTGAAAACTTCAGACAATTGGCCATCTCCGAAGACCCTAAGTTCGGTTACACCGGTTCTATCTTCCACAGAATCATCCCCAAGTTCATGCTCCAGGGTGGTGACTTCGAGACCGGTAAGGGCTTTGGTGGCAAGTCCATCTACGGTGGTAAGTTCGACGACGAGAACTTCGAGTTGAAGCACGACAGACCTTACAGATTGTCGATGGCCAACGCCGGCCGTAACACCAATGGTTCGCAGTTTTTCATCACCACTGTCTTGACCCCATGGTTGAACAACGCCCACGTTGTCTTCGGTGAGGTTATCGACGGTAAGGACGTTGTTGACTACATGGAGAAGGTAAAGACCGCTTACGGTGACAGACCCAAGAAGGAGTTGAAGATCGCCGCTGCCGGTGAGCTTGAGCTCACCAAGGAGGAGAAGGCCGCCAAGGAGTCTGCTGTCAAGAAGGACGAGCTTTGAGTGTTGCAGAATTATCTTTTTCTATAGGCTTAACGCGTTGTAAGTATTATCTGCTAGCTGTAGGGAGACAAGTTGATTGACTTCGTCTGGGCAATTGCTAGGAATTTGAGATGACGTGAGATTTGTGAGAGGGTCCTGGTCATTATCTTATGAGAAGCTTTCATATCGCCTCTTCTGAATTACTGTGGTTGGTGGAGATATTTCTTCTTCGTTCCTCGCAAATTGTTGCCATCAAGGCAACAAGATCAATCATCAATCATTTGTTGACGCCCTCTCTTAATCATCATCATCATCATCATTGAGATTAAGCTTGAGTCCAAGCAGCTCTACTGTGCTGCCCTTCCCGTACAAAGGAATATCGTCCAAATACATATTCTCGTTGTTGGAGGCCATTACCGTGCTGAGCAAATTATTAAATGCAGTGGCAGAGACCTCGCTGTTTACGTTGGAAACATTGCTCATGATGGAGCCCAGGCCAGGTTCTCCGTTGGTGCCTTGTTGAGCTGTACCTGGAGTTGGGGTAGGGAACAGCGGAGTAGCCGTGTTTTGACCACTAATATTCGTAGTAGAAGGAAGTGCAGAGGGCGGGTTCGTGTTGATTTTCTTTTCTGTAGTCCCAGCAGAATCCTTTTCTGAAGGGTAAATGTGCCCACCCTCCGAAATGCTGAAGTTTGTCATGTTGTTGAGCAAATCGATGGATTTGCGCATCAGCAAGACGCTTGAAAGAAGCCTAGCGCTGAGTATATCGTAGATTTTAGGTGCTTGGTACACGTTGGCGCCGATAATATAGTAATCTTGCTCTGTTCTGGTTGTGTTGGGGTCTAGTCTGCGTTGCTTTCTGACGATCCAGAAATCAGGCTCTCTGACGTAGGCCACGACAAACTCGATGCCTACCATTTCACTGAGTTTCAGCTGCATGTATTTCTGTGGGTGTATGTTTGGAGGGATCTGTTGGAACTGAAACTGCATTCGTAGAACTTGGTTACTTGAAGTTCTGTCGTAAAATGGCAGCTCAGCAAAATAGTCAAGCACATTGCCTGAGTGGAGACCAAACTGTTGGATCCATTCAGGGGATTTCCACTGGATTTCATCAAGCGGTTCGGTGGACATGATTAATGAATGAACTAATGTGTTGATGGTTTATGATATAGGCGCGCTTCAGTTGTAGATAGACAGAACTCGCAAGACTTAGAGAATAGTTGAAAGTTGTGAAGAGTCGAGAAAAATTGAATAATAAAAATAAATTCGAAAAGAAGGTTGTTTCAACAATTGAATCAAAGTGGGCCTTTTTTTACAAGGACCAAAGATGTCAAACTGCTGCATGGTTGAAGATTACGTTACTTTGCTGTAATCGAGATACATCCTGGGTTGTATTACTGTAAAGTCTATTTCAATTCTTTGCAGCAACTGGCTTATAGCACATCATACTATGAAGCGATAAAAGTCACATTTGTGTCCCCGAGAGCCTTGCAGTACTTCGCTTTACAGGCTTCAAAATGGCTGCAAAATGTTACTTGTAGGGCACCAAAGAGTAGGTAATAACAATGGAGTGAACGGAATCTGGAAAAGACGCCCTTTTCTCTTCTTGCTTATATCCTTTCCCAAGAAAAAGAAAGAACTATCTTCCTGAGGCAAGATGGAGTATGAATACCATATCGAAGTGCCGGACTGAACGATACCTCCTGCTCCCACTAGGACCACCAAAGCTACGGGAGAAAAATCATTTCAATTCATTTTACCGGTAATCTTCAATTCTAGATCTATAAAAGTCTATGGCTGGCGGCCGTGCAAGTCAATTGCATCAAAGCCCACCAGAGCAGTCAGAACCCCAGGCCCTAGTCACGTCATCAAAACTTCTCCTCTCCCTTAACCAACTCCTGCTGGTACTTTTCAAGCTCTGCCTTCAAGTACTCAGCTTCCTTGCTCATGACCTCCTCAGTCCTGGGCTCTCTAGAATCGTCATCTGGTGCTTTGAACGCACCGTCTTTTTGGAATTGCGCCTTACGAGCAAAGAAGTCCTTGTAGGCCGCCTCCAAGTCGATTTTCTCCAATCTCAGGTATATTCCATCGCCGTAACCGTCTGTCTTGAAACGAGGAATCAAGTGAGTGTGGAGATGAGGAACCAGCTGGCCGGCTTCGGGTCCGTCTTGGATGGCAATGTTGAGTGCATCCGCTTTGTAAACCTTTCTTATGAGTCCCTGTATGAGCTGCAACGATGTCATGTAGTCCAGCGACTCAGATGGAGTCAAGTCACCAAAACGAAGAGCAGTGGTTCTCAAGGGCACCACGAGAACGTGACCCGGAACTAGCGGTTTGAGGTTGACTAATGCATAGGTATATTTGGATCTGAAGAAGACCTGTGAGTCCACAGCGAACTGGTAGAATAATGTTTCTTTGGTCATGGTGGTGATAACCTCTATATTCGCGATTGCGATGTAGTTTTGAGTGATATGCTGTTGTGAGGTATGGGTACTGAGCTTTGGTAGAATCGGGTATTTCAATATTATAGGATTATTCTTGAAGATGAAGGATATAGGGTTCAATGGGTATTTTTAGGTTTGCTTGTGTTTTGGGTCGGAGTAACTCTCAGTGGTTGCAAATGTAACCGCATCGGTGTGATAGAGATCAAAGAGGAGCTTCTAAAGAAAAAAATTATGGTTGGGATGACGTGGATCTGACCAATTCGGGTTTGTTAAGCGATTGATAACTCAACCATTTTCTGTAAATGACTCAATTGTTCGAGTAGTGTGATACCTTGTTGGTGGTGCTCATCAGATTATACCAATTGTAAACCATCAACCAAAGAAAAACCATTCAATGTCGAGCTTTAACCAGATTAAACCAGATTTAAGAAAGCTGCATCGCCAAAATGTACTCAATGGCTCAAATTTCCAACCTTTCACGTCCACCAATCAGATGAGCGTGCCAAGTGAAAAATGTCTAACCTTCATGGTCACAACAACATGGCAGTGGTAGCATCCATCAAAATATCCTGTTATCTTACCAATTCATCATCTCATCTACAATTCCCATAATTAGAGCCGTGGCATTAGTCTATAAACTGTGAACTTACTTGTTCACCTTGCCGAAGTACTCCTTGGAGTTCTTCACGTCAGGCTTGATGGTCTCAGCACCCTCGGACCAGTTGGCAGGGCAGACCTCACCGTACTTCTCAGTGAACTGGAAGGCATCAACCAATCTCAAGGACTCGTCGACGGATCTACCGACAGGCAAGTCGTTGATGGTGATCTGTCTCAAGACACCCTTAGGGTCAATGAGGAAGATACCTCTGAGGGCAACACCCTCCTCCTCGATCAACACACCGTAGTCTCTGGAGAGAGAGTGGTTGGTGTCAGCGAGCAATGGGATGTTGACTGGGCCCAAGCCACCGTCCTTTCTAGCAACGTTGGTCCAGGCAAGGAGGGAGTACTCAGAGTCGGTGGAGGCGAACAAAACCTCAACGTCCTTCTCAGCAAACTTCTTGACAGCGTCAGAGTAAGCGATGATCTCAGTTGGGCACACGAAAGTGAAGGCCAATGGGATGAAGGCCAAAAGGACCCACTTGCCCTTGTACTGCTCGAGGGAGACCTCCTCGAAAACACCGTCGACGACGGCGGTCTTCTTGAAAGATGGGGCTGGCTTCTGGATTACGGCGGACATTTCTATAATCTATGAGGAAAAATGGCTGCGAAACGGTGTGGCTTTATATGCCTCGGTGCGAATCTAGACGTCCGCTTTCTTACTAACTTTGGACCACGGTGGGTCTTGTGTGCAGTACACACGGCTTGTTCAGGCCAGCGTATTCCCACCAGTTTCCAATAAATCCAAAAAAAATTGCCAGCATCGTCTGATTCGGCTTTTTGCGACCCCAGCGATGCCAATTTTCCACCCAAAAACGCCTCCTGAACGCTCCCCTACATGACGCCACAGTAACCGCGGCAGAATCGATCCACCACAGTGGTTCAAGTCCGATCGCGGTAGCATGTGAGCCATCCCTTAGTCCAGGGTCGGTGATTAGATAAGCGTGAAGGTGGCGCTTAAAAAGGACAATGGATGCGGGCTGATAAAGCGGAACGGTCCAGGGCCCGGGGGTTTTAGGATTTTTTGGAATAAACGATCGGGAGGTTCAGGAAGGCCATGGAAGCTTGTGGAAAGGCAGTGGTGAGATTTTGGAACAAGAGAGATGAGGGTTGATTTTGATGATTTAAAGATTTCAAAAATTCAAAGTCGTTTTGATGATTATGAAATTCTGAAATTTTTCAGTCACTGTGGTACTGACAAATCAGGTCTGAGCTGGACGGTAACGCGCCACAGGCTGTGTTGGATAGGGGCGCGACAATGTCGTCGCTGCCTCAGCATACCCCGAGTCAATTCGACCAAATTGCGTTGAATTGCAGAGAAATTTTATTTAGACTCTGAAGATTGCGGGGTGTAATTTTCAGAAGATTTGGAGTAGTCTTGGCGGAGATACACGAGGCTCTGCTGAGGCTGCGACGACATTTTTGCAACCACCATATGGGCCCACGAGGCGCCACTGGGGTGTTAACGCAAACGGCACATGAACCGGAATGTGAATTCGTTTTTGTGACTTACTTTGCGATCGGTCATCGAAGTTTGGCTTTTAGTTAAGGCCGAGACAGTATGGCAGCTTCCACTATAGGCTGAATCGTCTAAAGGTGAGAATGTTCCTCTGTGGCTCTGTATTGTGAAATACCAAGAATAAGCCGCATGTCCAGTACATAGGGCTTTACCCGTTTCCTTGGCCGTCGTGGCATTTTGAATGCAATGTATTTCAGGAATTGCTAAAGCCGGGGCGACGTGAGCTTTTAGAGTTTGCATTAATCTTCTAAGAATGTGGGAGCTTTTAAACGCATAGAGATGTTCCCCAATACCTTGGGACAGTATAACGATGTACAGGTCTGCAATTTACCACTTACAACAAAAGCAATACTTGCCATTCATTTTCGACAAAAATAATTATCTGTCTCCCATAATAAAAACCCAGCCTTCAGGTTTCCCAATCCTTCTTTTGCAAAACCCGTTATCACGTGCCAGATCACGTGCACTATGACCTTGTATATCGCCAGGCAAGCTCACTACTAACTACCATGATGGAGAAACTAGGCTTCCACAGAGTACTGAACAACCCCGGTCCGGGTAATCCGGCTATCCACCACAATCAAGCGCCGCCCAAGGTGCCTCAGGTCACGCCTTTCAAAAAGCAGCTCAAGGTCGATAATGCTCCAGGAAACCAGGTTGCGTTGGCCAACTTGATCGCAGTGAATCCAGATGATTTCCCAGAAGCCCACAACAACCAGCACGTTTTGTTGGAAAAGACTTTCGTCTACAGCATTCAGAAAACTCCAGATCAACCAAGAGGTACTGTCGGTTTGGCTGGACATGTGAGAAAATGGTGCAAAACGTCTTTGGGACAGCCTGTCACGCTTGAATCGTTCAACATCTTTGAGAAGCTGGGCGACAACACGCATTACCTCGGAGAAGTCGATTTTGTGATTGATTTCCTTTCGGCCGGTAAGGCTAGGGATGTGCATCTCAGCGAGGAGAAGCTTGTGGAGGTGTTCAAGGGAAGATTCGAGAACCAGATCTTGCAACCTACACAGCCGATCGTGATGGATTTCGAGGGCTACATCTTTTTGGTGATTGTACACGGCGCCCAGGTGCTCAATTTGTCTCAATTGGGCAACACCGAGAGATTGATGTCGGAGGACTTGTCCACCAAAGGCATTTTGATGAACAGCACCAACATCAACTTCTTCGGCGCCGAGAACACCAAGATCAATTTGATCAAGAAGAAGGGCGCTAAGACATCCATGGCCAACAAGCCAAGAGCTAACCCTATCATCAACCCTGACTTCAAATTGGAGAACATGGGCATTGGTGGTTTGGACACCGAGTTCCAGCAGATCTTCCGTAGAGCTTTCGCCTCGCGTATCATTTCTCCAGATCTTGTGGAGAATTTGGGATTGCGTCACGTCAAGGGTCTTTTGCTTTACGGTCCTCCTGGTACTGGTAAGACATTGATTGCTCGTCAGATCGGTAAGATGTTGAATGTGAGAGAGCCCAAGATCGTCAATGGTCCCGAAATGCTTTCCAAGTACGTTGGTTCTTCCGAAGAGAACATTAGAAACTTGTTCAAGGACGCTGAACAGGAGTACAAGGCCAAGGGCGAGAACTCTCAATTGCACATTATCATCTTTGACGAATTGGACTCGGTTTTCAAGCAGAGAGGTGGTGGCCGTAGTGACGGTACCGGTGTGGGTGACAACGTTGTCAACCAGCTTTTGGCCAAGATGGACGGTGTGGACCAGTTGAACAATATTTTGATTATCGGTATGACTAACCGTTTGGACTTGATTGATAATGCTCTTTTGCGTCCTGGTCGTTTCGAAATCCAGATTGAGATCTCTTTGCCTGACGAGAAGGGCCGTAAGGAGATTTTGTTGATTCACACCAAGAAGATGAAGGACAATGATTTGTTGGCCGACGACGTTGACTTTGATGAGTTGGCTAACTCAACCAAGAACTTCACTGGTGCTGAATTGGAGGGTTTGGTCAATTCTGCGTCTTCCTTTGCCATCAACCAATACACCAAGAGCGAGAACATTGCCAAGGTCGACCAGAACATTGCTAAGATGAAGTTGACGAGAAACGAGTTCCTTCTCGCTCTCAATGAAGTCAAGCCCGCCTTCGGTGTGAACGAGGAGGACTTGAACTTGAACTTCCCTTATGGTGTTATTGAATACAACAAGCGCGTGCACTCTGTGTTTGACCGTTTGACTTCTTACATCGAGGAGGTTAAGAATTCTGACACCGAGAGACTCATCAGTGTATTGTTGCACGGTGAGCCTGGTGTCGGTAAGACAGCTATTGCATCCATGATGGCGCTCAAGTCAGACTTCCCATACATCAAAATGCTCAGTGCTGAGAACTTGGTGGGCATGTCGGAGGCAATGAAGATCGCTACTATTGACAACACTTTCAGAGATGTCTACAAGTCGCCACTTAACGTCTTGGTGATTGATAAGATTGAGACTTTGATCAATTACGTCCCTATTGGTCCTCGTTTCTCCAACGATATCTTGCAAATGTTGATTGTCAACTTGAACAAGAAGCCACCTGGAGGCAGAAGATTGCTCATCATCGGTACCACCTCCCAATACTCCGTGTTGAAGCACATGAGTTTAGTAGAGAACTTCACCAAGACGATCGAAATGAAGAAGATCACCGAGATCAGCGAGGTCCGTGTGGTGTTCGACGAGATGAACTTCATGGAGCCTAACCAGCGCGAGCAGGTGCTCGAACAGTTGAGCCGCTACGGTGACGGCCGTGTTGAGATTGGCATCAAAAAGTTGATCCAGGTGATGAACAATTGCAAGTACCTCAATGCCGATGTCAACCTGGCAGTGGAGAACATTCTCGAGGCTCAGGTTCAATAAGCGAGCATGTCACTACACAAGTTGCGGTGACGACCAAAATTGCACAAACATAGCAGAATCCAACCGCAATGAATAGACGTTTTATTTTATGAATCCATTTGTCACATTTCAAATTGTGTCTGACTTTATGCTAGACCAAAGGACCCTTTTCGCGGGGGTCCTGCGTCGCTAAGATAAGCGGCCTAGGTGTGCAGAAGATCGCTGTGATCTACCACTGAAATGGGCGACTTCGCCAAACTGGGAATACAACCCCTAAAAATCACATATATTCTTTCAGAATATTTAGCGCCGATTGCACTTTCTTCCGTTCTCGTAAAAATTTGCAGATTTTTTTAGTAATGCAGCCGTAGAACCTCCTCTCCGACGATCCCTACCATGCATGGTCTGCTTGGCCGCAGTCCAGAACTATATAAACCCACAGATTCCCCCAAAAATGCTCCTCATGTCTGCCCTTCTGGAACACTCCTTCTTTGAACAGGAGTATTTTGCCGGTTTCGGCGTCCACTCCGACACCGACTGGGACGGCATCAGCTTGCCATCTTCACAAACCCTCCTAACTTATCCAAATGTCATGGGGATTTTTCCTCGAGGAAGAGTGTTTTCAAGCTCTCCTCAAGGGTGGATGACCCGTTCTCCAAGGCACTTGCCGCTTCCTCAGGCCTCAAGAGAACGGAGCTACCGGTCTCTGAGCTCGGGTCACTTTTTGTCTGACTACTCTTGTCAGGTCCGTTTGGTGACGGAGGCATTCCAGGGTAAGGATGCCTCTGTTCCTTCTCAAGAAGAGGCCTCAACAAGTTCCACGGAAACCAACTCTGCTCCGCCGATAGACGCGGTGGATGCCTACGTTTCAGGACCTGCTAACAGTAATATTCCTGAGATAACGGTCCCTGACTCTAGGTCTCCCCCTTCCGTTCAATCCGTCAATTTCCCTACCCAAATGTCGCCAGACTCGCAGAAGGAAGTCTTGTTCCCCCAGACACCGCAGCGGACCAACTCCTCGACTATGTTGGGGCACAGTGTGGGGCCTACAACGAGCCAGGCTCCGGAATCTCAACCTACGCCGTGTCCGTGTGGTTACCAGAGTGAAGTGCCTGTTCATTCCCATATCGTCACTCTACAAATCCCGCCACAGCAGGACGAGGTTGCGATTACGCCGGCGGCACAGGGTCCCGTCGATGTCACCTCGCGTTCCAGTCCAGACCTGGAGATGTCGGAGCAGACAAGAGCTTGCAAGGGAATTGACAAAACCCTCAAGAAAAAGCGAGTAATCAGAAACCTTCAGTATCCTAAAGTCCAAAAAGAGCTGCCCTTCGAAGCTAAGGTATTGTCTATGGGGGAGAAGGTTGAAGTGAGGATACGATTTGAGGAGAGGAAGGCATTCTACAAGGTCTACTGTCAATCGCAGGACACCCACGAATACCGCCTTCCCATATTTAGAACTCTCAGCACGTTGCTGCAGATGATGTCCAGTCAGAGGTACTCCTCTCATATCTCAATCAAGGAAGATCCTCACATTTTGGTCATCAAAGAAAGACTGTCCTATCTGGTCAGTCTCAGGCGCTTTGAATCCCGCCTTACGTTTCAACAAATGGCTCACATACTCGGACTCCTGCGGTTCAAAATTACTTTGATCAGGGTGATTGAAGCGATCTTCATCCTTTTGTTTGAGCAATTGTGTGGACTCAAATTAACGAGTCAAAGGTGGACCAAGCTTGAGTCGTCTGAACGTAAAACTATGACAGCTCGTGTTTATCGGTTTTCCAAGCATTATTTCCCAACCATCAACACGACAATACTCGATATAATCATGCGGAGGGCGTCCTACTCGAAAGCCCAGCTCGAGCTCAAAGGTAGAAGGTTGAAGAAGAATAAGTATAAGAAGAGGAAGGATGGGACAAGTCTATTCGACGAGTTTAATTTATGAGGTCACGATACGATGAGCTTAAAAGCGATAAAGGGGATACAAAAAATATGAGTGGTACGGGAATCGAACCCATGTCTGCTGCTTGGAAGGCAGCAATGCTAACCATTACACCAACCACCCTTCTGTGCAAAATACGCTGTGAGGTGAATATAAATCTGTGGCGCCAACAGATCACGTGACCAATTTGGAAATTTTCATTCCTTCAATTTTTTGCATATTCGAAACCCCGCAGTTGAAGTTTGAAGATCGGAGCATCGGGTTTTGTGTTACGGAGCTTTTCTTATGCTTATTTTGGGTTTGGCGCTCTGAATTCGAAATTCGGCTGCTCGGTGGAGGTGTGGCCCTTATCTATGCTCGACCCGCACGGAAAGTTGGAGCCACAACTGATTTTAGCGGCTTCCAAATTGGCTCATTTACGATCTCGCAGAGTTATCCTAGGCACTTTCCTAGTATTTCTACTTTTCTTGGTACCACGAGTAACTACTGGAAAAGCGCTATTTATCCAACAGCGCCTTAGCATCATGACTCAACCGTTGACAGTGGAAATTCCGGGCCCCAAGCTCATTACAAAATCCGGAAAAGAAGTGCAAATTGGTACCGGCTCAGGCACAAAATGGCAAAAAATCAAGAAGGGAAGAGACTCCTCGGTCAAGGATACGTTGGTGACCGAAATGGTGGACTACCTTGTGGAGGCAATTCATAATGGTTTCAGGCATATCGACACGGCCGAGATCTACACCACCCAGCCAGAAGTGGCGGCTGCAATCGCCAAAACCGATGTTCCCAGAGAGGATCTCTTCGTGGCTACGAAGTACAACCCAGGTGTGGAACCCCAGCCTGCCAAGTTTGATAATGCTGCTGTGTGGGTCGACTCTGCTCTTGAGGAGTTGGGTTTGGACTACTTGGACTCAATTCTCATCCATTTCCCATTTTTCAATCCTGAGTTCTCGAAGGGCCAAACAATTGAGCTGGTTTGGAAAGATTTGATAGAGGCCAAGAAGGCGGGTAAGGTACGCTACATTGGCGTATCTAACTTCGCTGTGGAACACCTCAAGCGGCTTTTTGCAGTGTCTGGAGATAAGGACTTTTACCCTACTGTCAACCAGATTGAATTCCACCCATACTTGCAGAACCAGAGCCCGGGGATCGTCAAGTTTTGCCATGACAACAATATCCTCGTGGAAGCCTACGGGCCATTATCTCCACTTTTCAGAATTGTCAAGGAAGGCGAGGATGTCAAGGAACATCCATTGAAGAGCGTTTTGCCTGAGCTCGCCTCAAAGTACGGCCGTGCCGAGTCGCAGATCTTGCTTAGATACACCTTACAGAAGGGCATTTTGCCCATCACCACGTCGTCTCAGTCGCAGAGGCAAAAAGAGGCATTGGCTGTTTACGACTTTGCGCTCTCTGACGAGGATGTGGCGTTGATAGATAAGAAGGGCTCGGAGTTTGAGTTCCGTGGATTCTTCATTGGCCTTTTCTGAGCGCCTTATTACACAGCTACACCTATTCTCTCTGTAGCAACGTCCTAGTGCCTAGTAAGCAATTGTCAGCCATTGCGGCAATTTGAACCACTTTTATGGCACAGCGCAAGCAAAGCAGCATTGACATCATAGCAGGGCTTATATCCTGCGGCTGTCTCTGTAAATAGTTGGAGCTTTGTGTCAAAAGTAGTCTTGCTCAGGCAACAAAGTGAGTTTTTCGCAGCCAAACTGGAGACGAAATCTTCAGAGCAATTGTGCCAATTGAGCCACTTTTTCATAAATGCCTCGTGAAAACAGCAAATCCTAAACCTCCAATTCTCCATGCCACGAGCACTGACCCCATTGAAGGCTAGACCTTCGGAGTAGTTTTGTGGTAAAAGCCACACGTGATCTGCGGGAGGGTCTCTGTCATGGCATTGGGAAGTCGAGTTGCTCGATCTGTAGAGGAGCTTCTATAAGAGGCAGCTCAATTGGCAATTTCCCAGCCTTCACTTCCTACTTTTCTTATGATGTGCGGAAGATTTGCCCAAGGCATTGTATGTGCTCGAATTGCGATTTTGCAACCATTTCTAACCCCAGTCCATTGCTCAATTGCCTGAGCAGTTCAACAAGACGCTTAACCCTGGTTCCGAGAACCAATTGGCCAAGAATTCCGAAAGGGAGTTCAATACTAGGGCCCCTGGTCCAGACGGCCTGGAGCAGGATGTGGCCATCAACATAGTGTCGCTTGACTTTGATGGTTCCTTCAACATTCCTCCTACTTCCAAGGCGATGATTGTCTACATGAACAAGGAGAACAATTACGTTTTTGAGCTGCTGAGCTTTGGCTACGTGGCGACTTTTGAGAAGCCCAAGGACCCTGCTGCCGTGAAGAGAGGCAACAAAAACGGACCAGCCTACTCCAAGGAGATCCAGCACGAACAGCTGAGACGCTTCAATTGCCGCAAGGAGACAATGGCTAGCAACAAGCTGCTTTGGACGGAGCCACGCAAGAATCTGCGTTGTGTGATTCCAATCCAGGGCTACTTTGAGTGGCAGAGAACCAAGGAGAAGCCTGCTTTCTATGTGACTCTGAAGAACCGTCCTCTTGTGTTTCTTGCCGGAGTGTACGCCCACAACTACAACTACAACGATACTGAGATGGTGAAGGACGGCGACGAGTACCTTTCTTCGTTTTCCATTGTCACCGGCCCAGCCACAGGTAAAGGCTCCAACGATCTTCTGTGGCTCCACGACAGAAAGCCCATTTTGCTTGAGCCCAACACCAAGGAGTGGTTCGACTGGCTCACGCCCAACCACGAGTGGAACCCCGAGCTTTTGAACACGGCGTTGAACCACGAGGACAATAAGGCTTACGATGTGCTCACCAGCTATGAGGTGGACAAGGCCATTGGAAACCCTTCAGTCGATGGCCCTGATAACTTGAAGCCAGTGAAGAAGCAGCAGAAGGACATCGGGCTGTTCTTTGGCGCCAAGCCCAAGAAGGAGGCTCCCAAGGAGGAGCCTGAGGTGGAAGAGTCCAATGTCAAAGAGGAGTCCAACGTCAAGGAGGAACCTGATGTGAAAGAAGAGCAAGATGCGGAAGGCAAGGACAAGGACGCCGAGGAGAAGGACGATCCCAAGGAGGAGCCCGACGAAGATGTTCTTGAGGAGATTGACGACGGTTTGCCTGAAGACGGCGTTGAGAACGAGGACGAAGTCGAGGACGACGGAGAGTATGAGGAAAACGCCGACGCCGGCGAGGACGGTGAAGACGATGAAGACGACGGTGGAGATGGCGATGACGGCGAGGACGACGACGAGGTTCCTGATGTGAAGGAAGAAGTCGAAGAGCTCGAGGAAGACGAGGAGGAGGACGAAGACGAGGAGAAGGTCGGCAACGTCGAGATCGAAGACGATGAGGACCTCGGCGAGAAGGAAGTTGGCGACGACGATCTTGCCGATGAAGACGTCAAGGCCGAAGCTCAGGAGCTCGGTAAGGAGGAAGAGGTCAAGGAAGACGAGCCCAAGGCCAAGGGCAAGGAGGCTCCAAAGGACAAGAAGGCCAAGGGCAAGGAGTCTGGCAAGGACAAGGAGCCTCTGGCAGGTTCCAAGCGTAAGAGCAGTGCCCAAGGCAATGACTCTAAGCGTAAGAAGTAAGTGTCTGTATTTTAGGAAATGAATCCTATTGAGGATGAGTTTAGTGACTAATGAATTCTCAATTTACTTGGCTTTTTATGTATTTGTTGTATTGTCGCCAGATGATTGAAATCCACTAGGTAGAGTGATGCTACCTGGTTGCAAATAGGCGAATGGTGTACCTCTAGTCTGGATAAATACAGGTTAGGCGGTGTCAGTTTACCAAAAAGCATAAGTAGAGATACAGAGGAGGAAAACTTCAATGATAAAAAAAGTTTGAAAAAGAAGCCATCCGAATACTTGGTACATCCTAGCATCTCTTGACAGTACTGTTCACACCATGACTAGACGATATACCCCGACATCCATTCTTACGCAGCTTCCGAACACAAAGTCCCCTTGAATAACGCTAAAAAGTACATTCTTACCTTCGAAAAAGAAAAAAATACAAAATCATAGAATCCCATGACACCCACCTGTTGATCATTTGCAACCATTGCGTGCCGCGCACAGAAAAAGTTTCATTACTACTACCTCACCAAGTAGACACTCAATCCCCATGCTTTCTAGAACTATCCACAGGCTGGGCAGGTCCGTCCTGCAGTGCCGTTTCCGCTCCAGCGTGCCCGAGCTGTCTGAAGATTTGGTCTATCTCAATCCACACAAATGGGAGGGTCTTCCAGCTGACAGAATCTTCGAGTTGCACAGACTCAGAAAGACCGCCATGGGCGACAAGTACGTGCCTAACGACAAAGAGAGACAGGCTGTTTTGCTGACGTACGCCAAGTTGCTGGGCAAAATCAGACCCAAGTTGGAGTATGTCTACGAGTTGGACAACTTCAAGGAACACATTTTGAACAACGTGGTGAGACCGCCCGTGCCTAAAATGTCCAATATCGATGTCCGTCCAAGCGGAGAAACCCCTCACATTGACCGCAAGCTCGAGGAGCTCCATCGTATTGCTGCCCACGAGATGCCGCTTTTAGCCAAGTACCGCCAGGCATACGAGCCTCCAGCTCAGTCCCCGCTTCAGTTGAAGTTCTACACGGATCTTTCCGACGATATGCTGTCGACCGAAAACAGAAAAGTCGCCTTGAACGTCGCTCTCGAGGACCTTGGGCTCGACGACAAGCAGGCTCACAAGTTCAAGGTTTTGGCCGGCAACAAGTTCAACCACAAAAACAACGTGTTTCACATGAAGACTGCTCGTTACGGCGTTGCCACACAGAATGCTCGCTGGCTCGTGGAGACATTCAACAAGCTCTTGAAAGCCGCTAAGGACATGTCTGACTCTATGGAAGATGTGCCCGTCAACACCAGACACTCGCAGCCCAGAAAGCCCGAGCCGGTGTTCCCCGAGGAGTGGAAGAGACCACAAGACGCTCCAGTGAAGAAGTTCCTGATTCTGGAGCGGGTTGTCGACATGGTGATCGAGAAAAAGGACCAGGAGTTCATCAAGAAACTCACCCCATAAGCATGTACATAATATAGAAGGCCTTTGGAAGGTTGGATCGTAGGAAGGAGGGGGATATTGAAAGATAAGAAAGATCTAGTGTTCGGAGAATCATGGCTCAATCAGATATGGAGATCTTGATATGCGCAGTGATAACGAATTTGCAATATTGAGACCAGAGCGTCAATGTAGGCAATTCCAAACAGATCTGAAACAAAAGATAACAGAAGAATATTGAATGTAGATAAATAGCAATTGGAACTCAAATCTACTTACTATGGAATTAAATCAAATATCCCAGAGACGGCTTCAGACCAGAGGTGCACCCGTGCACCACCGCATGTTTTGTTCACCGTAGTAGATCCATTATCAGATTACCTTGCATCCATCAGGTCATCTAAACACTACAATTATCACAGAGTTTCATTTCGCTTCACGAAATAGAATCTGATTTATCACAAAACGCCAAATCACCATGTCCTCGGCAACAACTACGCTAGATGATATCATAGACGAGCTCAGGCTCAAGTACGACTCGTCTGTAGGTCTTTTAGACGGCAAGGCGATAAGAGAAATCCCTAATCTCAACACACTTTACAACTTGACAAAGCTTCTAGGGAACTTGGGCAAAAACTTGAAGGAAGCTGAAGACAGAGACCAGGCTTTGCTAGACAAGGTGGAAGCTAAGCTCAGTGAAGATCTGAATACAGAAGATAAAGAAAAAGAGGAGAATGACGTGGAGGACGAGAGTATACCGTTGGCCAAGAGGAGAAAGGTCGAAAGTTCGAAGCTGAAGTCGGACAAGGAGGAAGAAGATGCTATGGAGGTGGATAAGGAAGAGAGTGGTGAAGAAGAGGAGGCAGAGCTCAAGGATGCTAATGATAATTTTGAAGATGCAGAAGAGCAAGGCGAAGAAGGTAAGGCGTCGCCGCCGCCCGAAGAGCCAGCAGAGAGAATCAATACAAAAGACGACCCTGTTCCACCTGAACAGAGAGGCTCTTACACACACGAAAACGATACCAGGTTGAAGAACCCCAAGTCTGAGTTTGTTCCATCGCAAACTCTTTCAGCTGATGCCATCGCCGAGCTTGGTCTCTTTTCCGAGGACAACAATGGCCTCGATACTCAAGGTAAAGACTACCTCAAACGCAAGTATGGTGTGGCCTCATACCCTGAAAGTGACCTTAAGGACTTGCTTCCAGGTGAAATCCCCAATACTGATTTTTCGAAGCACAAGGCTCCCTCCAACCAGGTCCAGTTTACAACATATCAATCCTACATTGAATCATTTTTCCGCCCGTTTTCTAACGACGACATTCATTTTGCCAACGAGAAGTACGTGCTTCCGCCGGGTTTCGAAAAAGGCGATTACGACCCAGCCACAAGCCCTTACTTGATCCCAAAACTCGGGCCTTTCTATGCTGATGTTTGGGCCGAGGAGGATGCCAATTTACGTTCCAAGTTGAGCTCGCCTGCACCACAGAAGCCTCCATTGGAGTCTTATAAACCCAAGGGAACACAGGATGATGTCAATGATGAGAAGCTTCTAACAGAAGATGTATCCGTGGGACCCCTCTCCAGTCGATTGCTTTCTGCAATTCTCAGTATACACGAAGCTAAGGGAGAAAGCGCAAGAGACGACGATGAGGAATCCATAAAAAGCGAAGATACCCGATCCGAAGCAAATATGTCGCTTGACGAGGATGTTGCTACACAGCTTGATAGCGATGCTTACAGAGTCACATCCGAGGTTAATGATTTCTACTCCATGGAGGAGAGACTCAAACGTGAGCTCAAGTACATTGGTATCTTCATGAATATGCCCACAAAGGGAGAGAAGGCCAAGCGTGGAGGCAGCATCATTGACAGCGACGAATGGCTCCTTCACAAAGAGGACGACGAAGTGAGTGCCGAAATACGTGTTCTTCAGGAAGAACTCAAGGGCGCCGTTGTTCGCAACAGACAAAGAAAGAAGGTACTTGTTCCCGTTCTCGAGGAGCAGCTCGCTTACCAAGAATATTGTACTATATTAGAAGACTTGGATAACCAGGTCAACACAGCCTACACGAAAAGACTCAAGGCCAAGAGCAGAAAGAAGAAGACACCTGAAGGCACAGTCAACGTTGCTCAGCAACAAGCCGCTAACAGTGGTTTGCGTGCACTTATGGAGAAGAGACGCAGGTGGATTGAGAGCATTGGTTCTTTATTCAAGCCACCACAATTAATGAAGCGGGTTCCTACAGAATCTATATTTAAGGACCAGGTGCATTCAGATGATGAAGAAGGAGAAGCTGAGGTTGACGTTGTCAACGAAGAAGAACCAGTAGCCTAATATCTCGTTAAATACATGCATTACGTCTATACTTACCAACCCATGCCAGCCGTCAATTCCTTGTGAGAGGGCAATGTCTTGCAGTTACCCAAGGCACAAATGGAGATAGGCTTGTCTTTGAGTCTCCAGTTGGCCCAATCGACAACCTCCTGCTTTGTAACGGACTCAATTCTCTCAAAGACATCTTCAGGCAGCAAACGGAAACCGGTATTGACCAATTGTCTGCCGATATCTTCAGCAATAGCGCTTGAGTCGTCAAGAGCCAAAACAAGGGAAGCCTTAAGCTGTGCCTTGGATCTCTCCACTTCCTCTTCAGTAATGTCGCCCGCCTTCAAACGAGCCCACTCTTTAAGAACAGCATTTGTGAACAAGGACATGTCTGTGTTACTGTCTGCTGTGAAATAGACACCCATCAAGCCTGTGTCAGCGTAAGAGGTGGTGTAAGCCATAAAAGCGTTGACCATAGGCTGGTTGTTTGGGCCTCCCATGGCAGCCTTTACTGTCAATGGGGAAGGAGAGTCCAAGCCCACACCGATAGATCTGTCCCAAGAGCCAATAAGACCGTTGGCGACAGACGAGGTGAAGAAATCAGGGGCTGACCAGCTCACACCTTCCACGGCCAAAGCCACGTGGGTCACTGGCAAGGAATTGTCCTGAATTAGTCTTTCGGCACCGTGGAACACGGGCATATCGTCGCCATGCTGCTTGAATGGAACAGGGCTCTTTTCGATGTGACCAAAGAACTTGTTGGCCGCCTCTACAAGTTTTTCGTGGTCAACGCAGCCGACACCGATGAGCGCCATGCGGTCACCCTTATAGTTTGTCTTGATGTAGTTGACCAAGTCGTCTCTGTTGATGGTCTTGATCTTCTCTCTTGGTCCCAAGATCGTTCTGCCGAGATCCTGTTTGCGGAAGGTGATCTCGTGCAAATGGTCGAAGACAACCTCGTCAAACATCTTGTCAACCTCGTCACTCTCTTGAAGAATGACGGCCCTCTCTCTTTCGATAGCCTTGGCTTCTAGTTTCAGTTTCGTCAACAAGTCACTCAAGATATCCACGTTCTGCTCCAAATCCTTCAGAAGACAGCGTGTGTAGTATACAGTGTTCTCTCTCGAGGTGTAGGCGTTGATCTGAGAACCCAAGTCCTCGATCTCGAGTTCTAGGCTGTACTGTGAACGTTTGGCGGTACCTTTAAAGGCCAAATGCTCTAGGAAATGCGCAGTTCCGCTGCTGATTGGATTATCGGCACGAGAACCAGCGTTGATCCACATTCCGACCGTGGCTGTCTTGGTACCTGGCATATATTCACTTGCCACTGTAAGTCCGTTTGGCAAAACGGTGGTTTTGTATGATGGTGCCGGGGCTTTGGCGGCCAGGGCGCTGGGAGTGGCAGCGGCCGAGGCAAGACCTCGTAAATGTAGAGGTTTTTTGAAAAACAGTCTAAGCATGCTTGAAGGAAAAGAAACCGATGTTTGGAGTAGGTGATGAAATGAAGCGGTTGATATGTCTGTGGTGTACGGGTGTTTCACTTTGCAGCTTTCTAAGACTGTGTGGTCTGGTTCTCAAGCGCATAGACTAAAAGGTATTAGTAACGGAAAAAGCTAAACGGTTACGAGCACCCGGAGATGGCGTCGAAGTGATATTCTCGATTTGAATGATACGAAAAAGATTAAAAATGGAAAAGATTTGACGCTTTTGGTTATTTCATCATTTGTGGTCCGGATAGATTTATCCGTTTTGGTGACCTGCGAGAACGCTTACTCTAGTCATGACAGGACCGGTTTAACTGTTGTGCAGATTTCCACACAAACCGGTCAGGAGATAGGGCAAAGTCGGAAAGTAGTGAATTTATAGAATTGGGACAACTTATGAAAGAAAGAGAGAATGAAAAAGCCAAAAAGTATGAGAAGAATGGAAACCTCATCTACTCCCATGTGAACCTCTCAATGAGTGCCACACTTGTAAGGAATGTGGATGAATTCGTGTGGCTTTTGAAACAACGCAATCAGCTAACGACGTATAGTAGTATTCAAGAACGATTAGCAACCTTCAGAAATTGCCTACGGTGTATACGAGTACGACAGAAATGTACCCCAGAGTAGTCTATACTCACACGATAGTAGCGTACGATAAGTTGCCTCATAGTGAGTCGGTCCCGGGTACGATCGGAAGTAAATCCCTCAAGTCTTCTAATGAAGCTACAAAAGATTATAAACTCTGTCAATGTCGAAATACCCCTAAAAGGCGCATTCATTGTTCACTGGCTATTGGTGTTTTTCATCCTCGGCCACTGCGGGATTGGTTGCAAAAATGTCGTCGCTTGGGTCGGCTATCAAGTCCCATGTTAAACGTACCCTTTTTCCCTGATTCTTTAAAGGTCCCACCTTATCGTATTGTCCCACTCCAAAAGTACCCAATCAGCTTCCTAAACTGCACTTATCGCTGTGGTAGGCTGAAATAACTCGGGACTGGCCGAGGCTGTTACGACAATGTCGCGAATACAATGGCACCTACCTGGCTCAACCGAAGCAATAGGAAACTCCAATTGATATCTCAAAATTTCAAATCTATGGTAATGTTGTCTTCCATAAATCCTAAAAAATCCCTACATTCGCTGCCTGTCAGCCCAGAAACCTCCACACCCGGACTCCCCCGGTCACAGGACATTCGCATTTCTTTTTCCTTTTTTTCCACCATATATACTCACATATCCGCATATTCTTGCCCACATCTTTATTTACCATGAAGATTTTTGAAAGCTCACATTTGTTCAATTACACATGGGAGCAGGTCTCTGCCGCCAATTGGGTCAAGTACCCAAACGAGCTTTCTACACATGTCGTCTCTGTGGACATTCTTAACAGAGAGGTTGACCCAGAAAGACATGTCCTTAAAACAGAACGTTTGATCGCCTGCAAGCAGGCAGTTCCTAGATGGTTGCGTGCCATCATTGGAGGAGAAGAGTACTCCTTTGTTAGAGAAGTTTCCGAGGTGGACTTGGTGAACAGAAAGCTTATCATGAAGCTGGCCAACATGACGCTTCTGAACCTCCTTCTTGTGAACGAAACAGTTGTCTACACTCCGGACGAGAGGATGCCCGCCGGTAGGACCCTCTTCCAGCAGGAGGCCGAGATTACGGCGTTTTCTCCCTTCTCAGGTATCTGCAACAAGATCGAGGACTGGTCCGTGGAGCGCTTTGGCCAGAACGCCCAGGTTGGCAAGAGAGGCTTTGAAGGAGTCTTGGAGCTGGTGGCACAGAGATGGGAGGAGAGCGGCATCCTTGTGAAGGGCATTGGTCACTCTCTCATGAAGGAGATAGACGAGGTGAACGACATGACGCACGAGGTGATCCACGATGTTGGAGAGAAGACCTCGAGCGTTCTTTCGGAGGTCACCAAGCTCAGCAGCTATTTCAGCCGGAGCTAGATTTAACATAACTACAGTTTTGGTGCATGGTTGGTGCATGGTTGATATCGCCGAGCATGGAGTTTAATGCCACGACGTGGAGCCACGGCGTGGTGGCGTTTTGCATGGATTTACGGGACTATTTATTCACGAGACATGATAGACTAGCAATATATTACGTCAGAGAGGTATTCGTATCTGTAGGGTTGTTGTTGTCGTCTGGATCACGTGCGCGGCATCGCAGGCATCGCATATAGATTCCTCTCTGGATCACTTTCGACTTCCATGGATTTCGGCACAATTGCAATGGATGTTCCTGTGGGACAAGAAACTCCGGATATTCAGATGTTCAGTGCAAACGGGGCGCCTTCCAATCTGCTTTACCCGGATCTAGCCATAGACGCCGCTATAGAAAAGGCGTTTCTGGAGCTAGAAAGACCCCAATACGTCAAGCTAGAGACCCCTGAGCTGCTTTCTCCCGAGGAAACCGACTGGACCGCTCCGGAGTTTGCCAACGACGGGCACGGATCTTTGGAATCCTCTCCAGAAGACCCACAGGGCATCCAAAACGGCATCCATGAACAAACACAAGATCACCAGAACCTCAACATCGACACTGTGGCGGCACTCAAGCGGGAGATGGCCAATCACAGCCGTATGGTGGGTACCTACACCACCATGAAGTCGGCTTACCTCAAGCTCTGCAAAGAGTTCAACTATCTCCTTGGGTTGTTCAATGACAACGAAAAGGCCAAGATTGGGCTCATCCACGAAAACAACCAGTTGCGCCAGATGTTGGTGGAGGTGATCAAGCAACGGGAAATTGATAGACAGCGGTACCGCGAGGTGTCGATGGAGGGCTAGCCCTCATAGCATACGAACGAGCATTCATCAGCATATAGCATTATAGACTTGCATTGACAGGGGTGTAGTTGGGGTAGGCAGACAATGTCCATAGAAGGACGTTATGAAAGAAGGGGATTTGAAGGAGTTTTAGGGATTGAATACTCGATAAAACGTGCCTCTGAAGAGTACCCCATCACTCAGTTAGTGGGTAAGTGAGGTAGAGTATTTCTATGTAATGGACCCAAGGTGCCATAGGTAACCTAGATTTGCATTTATATAGCAACTTTAACGATAGTAGTGCCTCTAGCATTTGCTTTAACCTCTCTTTGTGAGTTATGTGATGCTTTCTCTGTGCTTATAGTAGCTATATAGGTTGATTCGATTGATCCACGAAAGAAATCCTCGAATTTCATTATACATGGTCAATTCTCACAATTTACAAACCCATTGTACCAAACTTAACAAATCCTCCAAATCACATCTCTATCCCGTTACTACTCACTTCACTATCGGTGAAAAACTCACCTACACCATCTGTATCCCAGCACCCCAAACTGACAACCACTACACAAAATCCCATCACGCCATGCCATTAATCTATTCATAATCTAAATCTACCCAACTTTTAAATATACTATCGTGGTGACTTGCACCCATGCCATATCCCGAAATCTGGGGTTCGCATAGTACTTCGCAGACACCACTTTTCTTCAGCTCAACTCTTCAAAATACCCCACGCCATGTCCGACGTGTTGCTTGAATTGGAGATGATCTTGGCCACTGTGAGGCAAATCGACCAGAGCGTGCTTGCCAGCATTGCCCTTTTGGAAAAAGGCGTTCCCGCTGGTTCATACAAGCAGCTTGTGGCCAGTAACAAGGAGAAGCTAGAGCGTGTCATGGCTCTTCTCGAGGAGATGTGATGAATGAGACGATGTGTTGTTTATGGATATAATTTCTGTTGAAGCCATGTTCCCGATTTTCTGTTTCCGGGCTGTTGTTCAACTCATGTCGCTGTTCACTGTGCGAAGTAAACAACTCTCTTCATGGACAGAAAGCAGACCCAGGCGGTGGAGGAGTACCAGCGAAAGGCGCTTCGGGCGACCGGAGGCGGCTCGGATAACGAGCTGGATTCTGATTTGGACCAGTTGCTTGAAGAGCTCGACAACGAGGCAGAGGAGTCGCTGGCTCAATATAGAGAGGCCCGTTTGGCCGAGTTAAAGCGTGAATTCGGCAAGATCGACCGTGCTGCTCACGAGCTCGGGCAGGATTTGGGGCTGGTGACGTTTGTAAACGACGAAAAAGAGCTTATGGACCTAGTCACCAAGGCTGATGTGTGTATGGTGCATTTTTACCAGCCTGAGTTTGCCCGGTGCAAGGTGATGAACGAGCGGTTGGCTGCTGTGGCTGAAAAACACGTTGACGTGAGAATATTGGCTATCAAGGCCGGCCTGGCGCCGTTTTTGGTGGCAAAGCTTCAGCTCAAGGTGCTTCCTGTGGTGATTGCGTATAGGAAAGGTAAGGAACTCGCCAGGATTGTGGGGTTTGAGGGCCTCGGCGGCTCAGGAACAGACTTCCCTGCGGAGGGGCTCGAGACGTGGATGTTCCGTCAGAAGTTGGTCAACAGAAGGGCCTTGACATTTGCAGCCAAGAAAGCAACGCAAAACGATGAAAGTGATGATGACGATTGGTATTAGTTTCGAATTGCCTTCTAACTTCGGCAGCACAATACGTCCAAGAAGCGGCTGAACGCAGATGGCCTCCGTTCTTCTGGAAGCTTGAACTCCGGCAACTCCACTTGGCGCCGACGAGGAGCCTTTTCGTGGTAGAGTTTCTGGCGGTTCTTCAAAACAGAATCGCCAATCATCTACAACTGCACGGAAAAGAAGGGACCGGAAATAATATTTTGGTTTTGGTGACCAAACTGAACTGGCTGGATTGCTCAGATCCGTCAAATGCTGGTCGTCCCAGATAGGAAATGACCACGAGATAATGGAGAGGCTGACGATAAAGGCAGGCAATGTTCTACTGTGCCTGGGAGGGGTCGTTCGACAATTATACCAAGATAATCCGAGAATGACCGAGAAGAATGGGTTGATGGGGTGATGCATTTGCAGCCTAAGCTGATGTATTCTCAGGGCGCGAGCCCTAACTGTTGACGCTCGTGTCACGTTCTGCGTCGCGCCGTCACAGTGTGCTGCACCTCGCCATCTGCAAGCACGTGACCTCGTGGTCTGCTCGCGCTGAAAAAGCTTTCGCTTTCAAAACTCAGCTCCTCACCATTTGGTAAGAAAGAAGCACCTTTAGCTGCCGACAAGCCAATATGCAAATTTTCGTCAAGACCTTGACCGGTAAGACGATCACCCTCGAGGTGGAGTCTTCCGACACTATCGACAACGTCAAGTCCAAGATCCAGGACAAGGAGGGTATTCCTCCTGACCAGCAGAGATTGATCTTCGCTGGTAAGCAGTTGGAGGACGGCAGAACCTTGTCTGACTACAACATCCAGAAGGAGTCCACTCTTCACTTGGTCTTGAGATTGAGAGGTGGTGGTAAAAAGAGAAAGAAGAAGGTCTACACCACCCCAAAGAAGATCAAGCACAAGCACAGAAAGCACAAGTTGGCTGTCTTGACCTACTACAAGGTTGACAACGACGGTAAGGTTGAGAGATTGAGAAGAGAGTGCCCTAACTGTGGTGCTGGTATTTTCATGGCCAACCACCCTGACAGACAGTACTGTGGTAGATGTCACACCACCTTCAAGGTTTCCGCCTAAGTGGTTGACTCGAGATAGGTATATACTGAACGTCTTGATCTTCAAGTTGCAAATGTAGAAAATGTAGATCGGTAGCGATTAAACAAGACAAAATATTCGGTGAAAGATTAGCAGAATCGTTGAAGTGCCTATGTTGCCTCAGTATAACTTGAGAGTTAAGTGAAGAAGCAAACTTCTTATGATCTTAGTTGAATTACTATCAATGATTTTTAAATGACTGGTAGATAGTTAGTACTGACTCTGGTTTTCGAGATTCGTAAGAAATGAGTGAATGAGAAATAAATGTAAAACTCACAACAAAAATCAACAAACCCAATAACACAACTATAATTATCAAACTTCCTAGCTTACAAATTTAAAGAGCTCAATTGTCTTCTCTGGTCTAAAACGAACAATCAAGGACCTTAGGTATGAGACAGCTTTTTATACTCGCGAGATCATGGAAATCAACGAACTCACAAAACTCGTCAAACATAAAATATGAACTCAAGGAAATCAATTGAACGAATAATCTCTTTCTCCTAATTAATAAAGTTACCCAAATCCCACGTATCTGATGGCCCGATCGTGCTATTCCAAGTGTTGATGGGTGTACAGGTCTCAACAACACATAGTTCCAAATACACACCAACCTCCAGGTCTTTATGAGTTTCGCCATCTACGACCTTGACGAGGACGTGCGCCGTCTTCTCAGTCTTGATAACTTTCTAGATGGCCTCTCAGTTCATGAGTTTGTGGAGGAATTGAGCAAAGACCATATCTTGAAGGGTCAAGAGGTCAAAAACCTCGAGTACTTGGATCCCAAGCCGTACATTCGTACATTCGAGTCAACGCTTCGTCACTTGAAGCACTTGTCCGAGGAGTCTACCAAGGAGCTCAAGGAAACCGAAAAAGACGTGGAGGAGTTCGAATTGCGTCACAGTGAACAGGTGCTCAAGTTGTCTGGTCAGGTTGAGAAGATTGTCTCTCTGTTTGACGACTTGGACACGCTGATTTCCCATATTTCTGATGTCATTGACCCATTGAACCAGAAGCTTAACCGAATCACCAACTCCCGTGACCGTTCGGTCGATACCATCTTCTTGATTCGGTCCTACCACGGTTTCTATACCAAGGAGAAGTACGATCCACTTGAGAAGCTACGTACCGCCAGAGACACCGAGCTGAAGATGAAGTGTGCCAGAACCGTGAAGAACCTTCTCACTTTGGCGAAAAAGATCGACTCAATGACGGGTAATATCCCCAAGGTGAGCAAGTGTGTTACTACAATTGAGAAGTATTCCGAGCTTCTCGAGCGTGGCCTCGTGGAAAGGTACGAACTAGCCAGCGAGGACTCCGATTACGACGAAATGCGGGAAATTGCAACCATCATGTTTGAATTCAACGGCGGTGCCAGTGTGGTTCTGGCTTTCATGAACAAGAGTGATATATTCAACGAGGCAGAACAAACCGAGGACGAAGAGGAGGGCGTGTCCATTTTGGAAGATGAGGCGATCTGGACGAAGCTCGCTGATCCCAACTTCCAAGTGCATAGTCTCTTTGACGACGAAAAGACTCAGATTCTCCTTGACAGACTCAAGATTTCCATTCGTGGCCAGCTGAGAGTCATCCAACAGGTTTTTGAGAAGCCTGTGCCAGTGCTCAAAATGCTCCTTCAGCGTATCTACGCCCAGATGATCAACAACAAGGTCTCCACTCTTTTGCTGTATTCGCTGCCTCATGGACCTTTGGTCCACGTTCGTCTCCTACATGCCTTGTACGTTCTTGTGGGCGACTTCACCAAGGATATGAAGGAGTACTTCTCTCTCAACGATTACGATGAGAACAATGAACTTGCAGTGACTTTGGACCAGTCCTACTACGATTTGTTTATTGATTATCTCTCGGATGATACATACTTCCGCATGGAGAAGGACATGTTGGAGCGTTATATTTTCTTCCTTGCTACAAGGTTCACCGAATTCAACGAAAAGGCCATCACGAAACGTTCCCTTGAAGATGCTCTTCAGGAATGGGAAAACCAAAACAACCAAATTGCTAGCAATGGCCTAATATCAGGCGATCCTAATGCCGGTGAAAAGCACATGTTCCACTTCATCAAGCGTAAGCGTCTTGACAAATTTAAAGACTTTATGAAAATGCATCTACCAGAAAGACCGCTTTCGACTCGGGAGTCAGCGGATGTGGCCCAAAGAAAAACAGAATACATGGAGTTTGGTGAAGTCAACATCACCAAAGTCCAACAGATTATCAAACTTGCCATCGAGGCCATTGCGAGAATCTTGGAGCTCGCCCCGCAAAAGTCTGCTGAATACTCTCTTGAAGTGCTTGAAATCCTTCTTTTGGATTTTGGTGGACTTTACATTGGTGGTGGCCTTGAGGTTGCTTTTGACAGAGCCAAGTTCGAGCTTTCCGTTGCTGGACTGAAGCCTGAGTGTGACCTCGAATTCATGAAAACATTCAACTTGACGACGGAGGTTTTGCGTCTTCTATCATCTTGCATCAAGAAAATCATACTTCCTTGTGCTGTCAACAGCCCTGCCATCAGAAACAGGATGATCAGTTTGACCAACAACTATGTCGCCCGGTGCGAGAAGAGTTTGAACTTGATCTTAGCGGCCACTGTTGAGCTCGTCACCGAGAAGCTCACATCAATTTTGCAAAAACAGAAAAAGAAGGATTTTGTCTGTGATGATACAAGCATGAGTAACAAGGTGTACACGGATGTCTGTGAGGAAGTCACAACTTTCTTAGACAATGTCTACGAGTACCTTTCAAAGTACTTGAACAACGAAAACTTAAGAGATGTGTTGATCAAAATTGGTATGATTTCATTGGAGCTTTTGCTTGATCACTTCAAGAAATTCCAAGTCAATTCCAATGGTGGTCTTGTTTTAACACAAGATGTGATCAACTATCAGTCTGTTATTGATACTTGGGAGATTCCTGAGCTCACAGAAAACTTCCAGATTCTTAAGGAAATCAGTAACTTGTTCACCGTGCAACCAAACTTGATCAACTCATTGATCACGGAGGGTCACTTGGCCAAGTTGAAGATCTACACTGTCAGACAGTACATCTCCAAGAGAACAGATTTTTCTCCAAACTACCTTGAGCGTTTCTTTGGACGCAAATAATCGAGGACAGACGTTCTTATTTTCTATTGTATAAGGATAAAATGCATAATATCGACCACAATAAGATAGCACTGTGGAAGCCTACCTCGTTCAACCTCCTCCTAAAGGTGTGATGCTTTTCATGCTCAACCATGCAATGCTGCCAGAACCTCGGTAAAACCAGCGAGGATCCAGCTGACTTATCAAGATAAATCTCGATACGTTCTGGGTATACTATGCAAGCGACCAAAATACCCACGGCAAGAAGATAACTGAGTACGTAGATTTTGACACCTGTGTAAGGCGTTGGCATGTAACACATCTTGGTCTTGTAGGTTGTGGTGTCGTCTGGGGATGCTAGCTTTGACTTGGGGTTGGGATCGTAAGGATTGTTCAACGAAAGAAGTTGTATAGCCGGATACTTTATACCGTTAGTCATGGAGGCGGACTTCACGGAAATCTCCCGAGCCAAAGTCTTGGAATTATCGGTGTAATCAACATGATGCATATCGCAGTAGTCGTGGTCGTCTCCACTGAAGACTATCTCAGGCGACAATTGCGAAAGGATTTGCAGGGTATACGAAAAGTCAATCACAGTTTGATATTGATGTCCTCTCATGAGGGGAAATGGCCGACTTTTCTCCCTTCCAATGCCACACGTTTCAACGTTGGGATCTCTGTAAAGCGGAACGTGTGTCAACACCATTCTGGGCATTGTTGGGTTGATTTTCGAGTTCAATGAGCTCAAAAACTGTCTAGATGGTGTATGTATGGCAGGATCCTCGTGTGACATAGATATCGTGTCCAATTGAACGATCGTGTGGTTGCCTAACTCAAAGAAATCATTGGGTTCACCAAAATATGCTGCGAAGCGCTCGACATTGTGAGAGGTGATGTTCTGGAACCCAATGTCGTGGTTCCCAGGAAGCGAGCGAATGGATCTTCTGTTTGCTTTCTTGGGGAAAATCTTGTTGAAGCGCTTGTACTCATCTAACCACATAGGGTCATCCCACTCACGTCCTCCGTCAAACATGTCACCCAAAAAGATAACCGTATCTGGATCAAGGTAATGCTGCATGAATTTGTAGTTCGTGTGGAGGTAATTGTCACTCATCCGTCTCAAAATATAGCCCAAGAGCCTGGGTAGTTTGGGATACGTATGATCATCCACAAGTTGGGGATCAGCAATGAAAGCAATTCTATGAGGTATGTTTTCAGCTTTCTCGCCGGTCCAATTCTCCCAGTTGTCCCATTGGCAAACGTTGACGGCGCTTTTTACCCTAACTCTTTCGAAAAAGTGTATGATAACGAGGAAATACACCAAAAGACCCAAGATCAACTTGGGAGATAAAAGCCTGTGACCGCGACGGGGCCGCAAGATTCTAGCCTCCGATTTTTCATCCGACGACACCGGGCCATCCGGCTTCCGGTCTCTTCTCCGGAAATTCATTGTGGTGAATCCTGATATCTCGCGGAGGGTTAGTTACTGGTAGCTTTTTTCTAGGGCGCGCTAGGACCAACACAAGCGTAGCTGAAGCACCGTTAATGGAGAAGAAGCGTCGCTTGCGGCTGCAGGAGCGGTCTAAAGGGGCCTCCAGGCTTTTTGACTTCGACGGCTCCAACGCTGTATTATATAAGGATGCCCCGATGTTTATCGACCAAGGAAGCTCCAAAAGGCGTCCATTTACATACTATGGCGAAATGAGCCGTTTGCCAGAAAGGAAAGCCACTCTGAAATCGACAAAGATATCCAGGAAGGAGATCGTGCTTCCGAGAAGGCAGCGAACAAAGGGCGATCCACTCAGTGACGATGTGTATCTACCTTTCCACCGGAAGATGAAGCGAGATGAGAAGTCCATGACAGGCTCTGACAAAAACAGAATCGCCAACGAGGTCGACAACTTCAGAATGCAATTGATGCTCCTTCAGCAAAACAATTGGGCCCGTCACTTGCCCAAAATGACGTATATCAACGATAAGTCGGATGCTGCAGAGCTACTGTGGAAACGCCATGCCACAGCCGCCGAGCTTCTGCGACTTGTGCTGAAGTATGAAAACTGGGAAGCCCGTAACGAGCAATGTATCGCTGACATCAAGGAATTTGAAAGCAGGAAAAATCCCAAAGCAGCTGATAGCGAACCTGTGGAGGAAGATGATAGTGACGAGCTGATCTTGGCACTGACTCTGGTTCAAGAGGAACGAGAACAACAACGGCTCGAGGAGTATGGGCCCCTGCTGAGACTTCTATTGCATAACGGGTACGACCTTGTGTTTGGTCCGTTGCAATTCCCACGAATTGAACCTCTGATTCTGTAATTATCATCATCTCACAAAGTGAAGTCTTTCACGGAGGTGACAAAGCGAGTGAAGAGCGGCCCAAAGGTACTTGGGTGCGAGATGTTCACGTCAAGCTCTAGATTCTCAAGAGGAAAGTCAATAAGCGTGACTGCTTTTGGCTGTTGTCTGAGCTCCACATCTACCCGATTTGGCAGAAAGCTCTCCATCACGTTATTCGAAACTGCAAAGGCCGCTGCGAGTGTCTGACGAAGATAAATCAACGCAAGATAGCACTGGGAGTGGACAAAGAGGAGTTGGAGATTGTCCACCGACATTCCTTCTCCGCTATTTGATCCAACTGTCGAGAAGACTCTGTCTGCTAATTCGATGCCCTCATGAGTAATACTCCTGTCCAAATGATACAACACAAGACAGACTTCCTCGAGCGACAGGAATGGCAACACAGAGAGGTTGAGAACAAGGAATAGAATCGTGTCTCTGGTGTTTATGCTGGCTTGCAAGTCACTGACCGACGTATCAATCGTAAATAGACGTACAAGAGACAGGATTAATCTCTTCTTGCTCGAGTAGCTTCTGCTGACTACTTTGTAGACCGACCTGAGGAACAGAACATTCTGCCAAATATTATCACCACCCACCTTTTTGTTATAGTTGACTGCTAGTTTGAAAGCTTCAACATAATTCCTGTCAGCTAAAGATTCGTGCTTCTCGAATATCTGCTTATGGAGACCAAATGCAATTTTCCTCACAAACTTGTTTGGCGATGCTTCCAATGCAATAATTGTTGGAGCGCATACTTTTGGATTGGCAAACCCAAGTTTCATTATGAGTTCGAGAAACCTTACTGGTGTAAGTGACAAAGGACTGGCATCTTGTAAGCAAAGCTCGAGAGCAGGAGTAATGAAACTTTGAATGAGACTCAGACATACACTGTCATTGATATAGTTGTGTGAAGTGCCATGAAAAACTTCAACATCGAGTCTTTTTTCAGATGAATGTGTCTCGTCTAAGCTACGCTTTCCAGCATCATCATCCTCCTTCAGTAAAAATGAATTGAACCCTTCCAAGATGGTTAATTTCATTCGATAAGAGCCATTCGCAAATTCAGCATTGAGAAGTCTCATAACTGGCTTCAGTAGAAACATTTTTGGATGATAGGTGCAAATCAACAAGAGACTCTTCATTGCGGCCGATCGCGTAGATAATCCTTTATCTTCCTTCAAGAAATGCAATGTAAATCTCATAAGGAGGCTGGTGACCGTCTCATCGCATTTGAGTCCCACATTAGCTTTCTCAATTAGATCTCTCGAGCCTTCAAGGTCACAAAATGCCCCAAAACAGCCGAATAACTGCAATAGCTTTACGACGAGGATTTTCTGATCCAGTTCCTCGGGCTTGCCGATGCGGCTTCCCAACAATTTGATGCAAGATGCTATGGCGTTAGATAGCCTATTTTGCGAATTGGATCGCTCACATAAGTCATTCAAAATGGGGACAGCTTGATGGAGCTCCCGAACATTGAACTTTGTCAACCTTTTGAGAAGAATGTCCTGAAGATCTCTTGTGAATCCCTCGCTGAATGCTGGACTTCGAGCAGAAACAGACCGTATTATCTTAAGGGAGTAAAAACAAACATCTTCGCTAGAATCTGCCATTGACAAGTAAGGTAGAAGCGAGAGGAGACTATCTTGAGCCACGATATCCATATCAATTTTAGCAAAGATAGAAAGAAGTTTCAATGAATTTTCAGCCATCTTTTGGTCTTCTGTGTCAATCAAATCAGTGGCAATTGCCAAAGTTGTCTCTGCAAGTGGAGCTAACTGATCTTGCTTGATTAAAAGTTTCCCCTCTTTGACGTCCGAAAGAATAAAATGCTCGAACAAGCGCTGACTTTGATAACTGTGTGTGATCACCTGTATCATCATAAGTATCACATCTTTGCGGCTTGCAGTCAGAGATGAGTGGAACCAGATTCTGTACAACGTTTCCTGAGCAAGTTCCCTCATATTCTCTTCCACATCTTCCAAATTTCTCATAAGTCTCATACAAAAATGAGATTTGATATCGACGTTTGAAGTGAGATCAAGAAATTCCTTCATGATTCTGATGACCCTTTTCCTCACGGCCACGCTCTCATCCCCAGTTCTAGCACAAATAGGTTTGTAGTACCTCTCTAATAAATCAGTATTGGAAGAAATAAATTTTGCGAGCAAATCTATGATAGCATCTCTTGACAGTGCTGCGTTACTCTCTAGAAGCCTGGAAATGGACACAGTGATTTTCGGGATCTTGAAAATATCCAGGTCCAAATTGACCAAGCTAGACAAGACCTTGATTGCTTTGGTACTGAGTCGTACTTTTGGGCTCTCTAGGGTATGTGTTAACAAATTCAAAAAATCATCGTAGCACGCATCTAGAGAATGCATAAGATTGAGTTTTTTATATGAGGCCAGCTCACCTTTGCCAGTAGAAGGTGTCGTTTGTGAGAACAAGAGATCAACTGCCTCGTGAACAGCAGATTCTGCGTCTGAAACTCGTGGTTTTTTGTCCGGGCTTGAATGGAAATAGCCATGTCGAGAGGTTCCAGAGGACTCCCTAGAGGAGATAGCAGCAAGTTTTGACAACGTTCTCCATTTGATGTAATCCCTATTGGTTGCAACTAGGTGCATGCTTTGAGCAGTGAGATCAGCAAGTTGTAAGATTTCAAGAGGCTCAGAGCAGCCACTTGCAACAACGCCTATTTCCTTCTTGAGCTTGAGTATATTTATACCAACACGTCCAATTATATCAAGTGCGAGAGGTTCATTCGAGCTTTGGATCGAGCCACTGGTCAATTCTTCAATAATTTGGGTAGTAAGGGATACCAAGATCGTTTCCGCTCCTGGATATTCGGGAGATACAAGAAGATTGAGAAGGTCATCTAGGAGAATATTCAATGCGGTCTTGTATTTGGTCTCCGATGAGATAAGCTTCTCGGTGCAAAACGACGCAATCATGTGGGCAAGATGCTTCACTTCCGTGAACTTGCCTGCAAGATTATCTAGAATACGTTGACGTTTTTTGTTCACTTGAGCTGTGGGGTTTGAAGACTTGGGAAGTTTTGTGTACTCATTGATTTCAGTGTGAGGGTAGTCCAGATCGATGGACTGGATGAATTTTACAAGCGACATGGTAAATGAAGACACTGTAATACCCTGAGATGTTGAAAGCTGGGTGGATTGGCCCAGACGCTCGATTCGACTGAAATTGTTCAAAATTTCGTGAACAAGGAATTGACGCTGGTGATCATAGGTCCGAAATATGGCCACAAGAAGCTGAATCAGGGAAAAACAAATATCCGTTGACTCTTTGGCCTCACCAAAGATGACATCGAGGCACGAGTATTCAATCTTTGTGAGAATTCGCTCATCTGTAGTCGCTGAGCTGACGTATTTCGTTAGATCCTGGAAAAGTTTGGTGATAAAAGAAGCCTTTTCGTCAAAGGCATTCTCATCAGTAGTACTCAATTCCATGAGCACAGTCGATACATAGTCGACTACACTTGAGATATAAGTCTCAGTGTAGAGGCGCTTCTCCAACCCACTCGCAGAAATAATAATTAGAAGTAGTCTTGTAGCCTGGAGTGACCTCAATGTTGCAAACTCGGCATCCTTGATGAGATTGAGACAAAGCCGTTGTGTTCTTCTGATATAATCCAGGTGCAACTCTGGGACTCTGTGTGCTTCTGCCAATCGTGTAAAATGATGGAGCAACAGGCGGGTGGCTTCCAGACTTAGAAGACGCTTATTACCCTCCACTGAGCATACCTGTGTATCAATGACTTCGTCAGCATCATCGAGGCCCACCTTGTCTATAAGATCGACTATGCCTGCAATGGTCGAATCGGTGAGCTGCTCTGAATCAAGATGGATACGCTTTCTGGACTTCAGGGAGGAGATATTTAGATTGCGTTTCTGGCTTGAGAATTGTCGCTCGATCTCCTCGGCGATTAGTAGGTCGTATTTCTTTGCAGAAGCTGCACCATCGATATGGCTCAATTGTGGCCCGTTAAGGTCAGCAGTTTGCTCCACAAGGCTATCATTAGACACATCAGGAACTGATTCAAGGACTCGAGCATACAATGGGGGTAGTGAGGGCACACACGGTTGACCAAGCCCTTCACTAGCGATCACGGGTTTCTTGAACCTGATATTTTCCAACTTGACGTCGTCATTTTTCCCAAAAGTTTTCATCATCGCGTCAATCGCGTCTTTATACGCGTCAGCATCTTCATTAACTGCCTCTATCGCTCGGTCCATGAGGCGTTTGAGCCGCTGATTTGATTGTATGTGGACATGGGGTGCTGGATGATCTGTACTGAAGTACGAAAGGAGCGGAGTTATTTCCCGATTTGGAAGAAGATGGTAAAATGGGCTCACTGCCAACGCCTCGACCAAGTCCCGAGGACCCTCAGTCGGCAGCAGGCTCATATATTAGAAGGAGATGGTGTTGATATGCGACTTAATGAGGAAATGTAATAGCGCGCGTGGGTATATCGGATACGACTTACAGATGAGCATGAAAAGTGATGAATTTAAAAGATAATAAGAGGTGGTGTGGAATTTATTATTACTATTAGGTGAAGCTCGTGGCTTCGATGCGTTTCTGGTTAAAATGGGATGTCGTGACCTGGAAGTGAAGAATGGCTGCAAATGCTGGGATGAGACACCTCAATCTAATTATGTAGAACAGTTTCAGGCATTAAATGGTGAAATACCAATTCTTGGTCATGGTATAACATTCATCAAAAACCCGGGAGCCCGTTTCTGGCGAGGTTGAAATATTAATTGACTTATCCCCACTCACCTGCTCAGTCCACCTCCAACGATCTGAGAGGCTCGTTTCGAAGATCGCCTTTCTCGTAAACTCCACGGATGTTGCGTGTTGGTACTCCCTGTGGCATGGCCCACCAGGAGTTCCACAAGTTGCGGAGAATGCCGCGAGTATCATATATATTAACATAGCGCTCGTCCTCAGGAAGCTTTCTTGTTGTGAAAACGGAGTTGAGGTATTCTCTCGTTGTAAGGTTATTAGCAGACAAGTAGATATGGAACACGAGGAGCATGGCTGGGTACACGAAGGCACAAATACCATACAATGCTAGAAGAAATGCAACGGGGTTTTTGGAAATAGACGCCAGAAATGACGCCACTGCCGGGTCCTCCACCATCCTGTAGTGGTAAACATGGACCCAGCCGAGAATTGAAAGCATGGCGGATGTCAGAACCACCATGAGCAAGAACCAAAGAAAATAACGGTAGTTTCTGAAACCAACGCAGTTGTTCAAGAACACACAGTGATGATCGTGGATGTATACACACGAGTGGCAATGGTGACAGTGGCTCATGCGAGGCGTTCTCCAGATGTGGCAAGTAATGCAATATTTGACTGTAGTTGGTTTTTGGGTTCCAAAGTATGGAAGTGAGACAGTACTATAGAACTCATCAGGAGCACGATGGTCCTCCTCCCTGATCAACTCAGGGCTATATGATACATGGATATTCCTTGGAGCAAAACCTGGATCACAGCCAGCGGTTTTCACCATAAACATAATGGTCAAAAGCCAAAAGTATGTGAATATGATGACCAAGGCAGGCAGGAGATTGTGCCATAGCCAGGAGGCTTCAAACACCCAGAAGAGCACCCCACCTACCACTATGGCTAGAAAAACCGCAATGCTGATTGGCCACAGCTTCGACGTGGCTAGCCTTCCTCCACATATGTATATATGGGAGGTGTTTGCTGCAGTTTTTGTATGGTAATTTTTTTTAGGATCCCCGAGCCGAAGAGCCGGATCGGTGATAAGCCAGTTTGTAGCGATCCACAGGAACACTTTGGACGCATACATGGCGCGAAGTCACATGAATTTGGGGTGAATTGGTAGAACCTTGTGGTTGTTTTTTGCTAGTGTTGATACAGACCTGCACCTCCCTCCCATGAGCATCACCACCAGCTACTACTCATTTTGACTTGTACATATAAATCAGGCCTACGATGCTTCGGTTGGCTCAAAATTCGGGAAGGTTGCTTCCTAGAACACGTGCATCATTAAGATACCCTCCATTGACGAGAAGTCAGCCTCGCCAGCTCTCCTCAAGCACCATAGGCTCCTTGAGATCTGGAGGTCTTATAGCTAACATCATTGGAGGAGCCTATTTAGGCGGCTTGGTCGTCTGTTTTGGCTCCTTGTACCTATTGTACCAGGATGCAGACAAAAGACAACACATTCCGTTCCTGGTGGGTTTGGAAAATACAGTGACTGCTGTGAAAGGCATTGGTAAAGATGACGTGCTCCAGCTGCCTAGGCACGCTGTGAAGCATTACCGTCGTTTGCTTGTGAAGTTTGGTGAAAAAATCGACCCAGACTTCAAGTTTGAGGAGGAAGTCAACGGAGAAAGAAACTACCTTGTGCCGTTGGTTAGCAGTGAAGCATTGCTTCAAAAAAAGGGAGCTGACTTCACAAACTTCTACATCGATATCGTTTTGAGATACTCGCGTGCCCTTTTGGCGAAAGAGAAGCATTTGGAGTCCATCAGCATGCTCAAGCAGGTAATTGACAATGATGAGATCTTCTACAGACTAGGAGATGCGGAGAGGATGAGTCAGTGCTGCCGTCTTTTGAGTGACATTTCGACCTCGCAAGAAGAGAAAGAGCTCTATCTCAAGCGTGCCGTTGACATGTTGGCACAGACTTTCCTGAAAGTCCACTTGGACAACTACCTTCTACAAGACGACCTGAGGGTATCTGACGAGTTGATCCGCTCGCTCAACAGTCTAGCGTTTGTGTACGCCACGGAGAGTAAGTCCAAGGGCAAGAAGGAAAAGGAGAAGTTGCTCTCGCAGGCGCTCAACATCTACTTGGCCAACTTGAAAAGCGTAACGACGATTGCCAATACCATTTCTTCCGGTGAATTGACCCAGGCATCGTACCCTCTCTTTAACTGTGACGAGGACAATCTCAAGATGCTCAGTGCCGAGATGAAGAGTCACATTTCGGAAATCTTATGGGCAAGAAACTACAAGAAAAGTGCTGTGGCGTGGGGCGAGGAGGTCGTGGATGAGATTTACTTTGACCACAGAAATATTGCCAGGGCAGCTCCAGTGCTCAACACGGTCTTGGAGAATTTGATTGTCATGTATGGCAAACTCAAGGACAAGAAAGCTCAGGAGCGCTGTGTTGCTCTCCAATTGGAGTTACGTGGGTTTGATCGTGATCCTCCTTCGTGGTACGACAGCGTTGTGAACCGGTTCAGCAAAATAATATACTACAGGGGACCGCTTGGAGTTTTGGAGAAGGCACTTAAGGAGAGATTCGGACCGCCAGTGAGGGTTCCGGAGCTCGAGGAGCACGAGGATGAGGACAAGGAGTAGGTGTTCTAAAATTGGTTGAGAAGGATATCTCGTTGGGGGTAGCATCTATGGAAGCTGGATGGTAAACCGTTGTTCTGAGCCGTCAGCTTTCTAGGTATCTGTAAATAGAAGAATTCCAAGAATCCTGTGGAGTAATTGGCTGGCTTGTATAGTAGCAAAAAGAAGAAAAGGAGAAGTACACTTTCTATTCAGATTCTTCGTAATCCATGTTCCGCTGAACTTTCTTCACTGACGTAAGCGATTTATACCTCAGATCGGTCCTCCCTGATTAAACACATATCAAATATTCCATGAAAAGGTTTGGAACACTTTGCTACATTAGTAGAATTGTCCTGCTAAATTCGATATAACCTTGACAAAAGAAAGAACCTTTTTCATGGTTTCATATGCTGCTACATTTTCTTCTCGGTCTTTAACGAAGTCATTGCCCTAAGGACTGTGGAACCAACCAAGAATCGTTGACTCACTCAAAAAACATAACAAGCTAGACCTTTCAGCTTCATGAATCTCAGATTTTCATCAAACCAGTTAGTACCCTAATCACAACCCAATAATGGCTGCGAAAAGCCGAAACAACACCCACACCACAACGCCGCACACGACCTGCCATAAAAACCTAAAAGACAGTAGGCTCTTCCTCTTCCCCTAATATTTAAAAATAAGTCAATCAATCTTTTTTGATTCAGTGTTTGGTGGATACCCGGGAGCCTGGTGCCCCGGAGATGTACGGGTGTTGCACCGCCAATCAACGCGCGGACAAGTAAGGCAGGTGAAAACCCGGGGAGGGAGGTTCTGTGAAGTACCTAAAAAATCAAACTATCAACTCCAACTACTTCTTCAACCATGTTGTCCCGTGTTGGCCTCCAAGCCCAGAAGCTGATCGCTAGACCCTCCTTTGTGCAGGCCGTCCGCCACATCAAAACCATCCCCCAGCCTCCCGGCTACATTGTTGGAACCGTCAACGACGCTTACGAGCATCCTAAACCACAAAAGAGCCACGGTTCTGCCCACTGGACCGCCGAGAGGGCTATTTCTATTGGCCTTGTTCCTTTGATTGGTGCATCTTTCTTCAGCGGCCCTTCCGTGGTGCTTGACTCCACTTTGTCTGCCTTTTTGCTTGCTCACTCCTGGGTCGGTTTCCAGTCATGTATCATCGATTACATTCCTTCTAGAGTGTACGGCTCGTACCACAACTACGCCATGTACTTGTTGACGTTCGGCACCGGTGTTGCTGCGTACGGTGTGTACGAGATTGAGAAGAAGGAAGAGGGCGGTGTGACTGGTATCGTGGCCAAGCTCTTCACTGCGTAGATCGCCTCATGGCAAGCATATCACGACTATTTATCATAATACATTGAGGATTCATTTGGTGTGGCATCAGGGTTGATTCCCGAGTGTAGAGTACATTGTAGGGTTTTAGATTTTGTACTTTAGAAAAAGGACACTAAGTCGAAGTTCAATTAGGCCCAGTTTGAGAAAGTCGTGATAGAGAGGAAGATTGTTTATGGCAGCCTAGATGAGGTTGTTTGTTTTGCGTGGGTATCATATCATGCAATGGCTATGTGATGCTGGGAGACATAATTATGGGCGACCACTTTCCATAGGAGATGGTCTTTTCTCGATAGACAGTTGACGGGACAAAAACTCGCTAGACTGCTCTCAATTACATGCAAAGAGGGCCTCGCTGCTTTGGAAAATGTCGAGTAAGTCAGTACCTCTAACCTTCACTAGGCATCCTGAAGCTCGGCCTGGGCTGGAATAACCTTGGTATCGAGCCAATGCTGTAAGAAGGCTTTTGCTTCCGAGACTGATCTTTTCCGAACGTCCTCTTGGTCAAGCACCCGAAGAGGATACTTCCTATCATTGAATGCATCTCGCAAAACAAGCGATTCCACAAACTTCACAGACCTCTGCCGCTCGTCAATTTTGGCGACTATGACGTTTTCATCGATCATCTCCATAATTAGCAGCTCCAAGTTCTCCTCCCTCCCCTCTAGAGCCTGCTCTAGGGAATACTCCTTTAAGACGGTCTCGAACGGGACAAGTCTGCCTTCGTTTTCGTTACAAGCCGATATCAATGTCAACTGGACGAGCTTTTTGGTTAATTGACCCAGCAAGTCGAGGAATTGGCCTTGGTGTCGGAGGAAGCTACCATAGTTTCCATATGCAAAGAGCTCGAGTGTGTTGATGGCCTTCAGCAATTCAGCCTCGGCCGATGGCCAAGTAGATGCAGCTTCTAGAGTGCCTCTGTAGCTGTATTCGCCGGGCTTGGCAAGTGCAGTCACAATTTCTTCAACGGACATGTTGGTGATGTTTGAGATACACCAAGCTTATCTGACGCTGTGACCTGCACCTAGGTGCCCAGGTCTACCAATTCGGGATATAATCTGGCAACTATCAAGTCGAGGATTTGGATGATTAGAAGCTGATTAAGTTTGCTGGAGTCAGGAAGATCGTTGCAGATTTTCTGGCTCTCAAATCTCGCCAAAGCATTGACAAAACAGGCCTGGATATCCTTGTCGGTCTCTCCATCATAGCGGAACAACAGAATCGGGATACCAGAGTTGGCAAAGATGGTTTGAACGTTTGAAAGTAGCTTCTCAGCAACTTCTTTGGTTTGGGGCGGCACGCTGCTCTCTTTTTGGTCCTCGAAGAGCATCATGCGTAGGTTTTTCAAATTCTCAGCCATGCTTTGATCTTCGAGAATTGGGCTGCTGGAGACCAATTTGAGCAATTTCAGCGAGCAGTATGCGTTGATTTTGGCGGACACCGATGTAAGCGACAGCAAGATGGCTTGAGCTATACCAATGCCGTATAAGCCGATGGGAATGCGTCGTTGAAAGGACGAAATTGAGTTTAGAAAACCAAAAATGGCGGAACCAAAAACCAGCCATTCAGACAGTTCTTTTGTTTGTAGCACCTCCTGCTTCTTAGCCGAAGCGACCAGCGCTAGGATTGTGAGAGAGGAGTACATGTTTTTGGCACGAGTAACAAAAGATTCTTTGGCCTGAGGCTTGGGTTCCACCGTGGAGATTTCAGCAATTTTCGCAAGCACGGTTCCAATAATAAATGAAGGCGAAGAGAGCTTCTCAAACGCCTTGTCCAAGATGAAGTCGCCCACAAGGCCTACCACGAACGTATCCACAATGCCGGATTCCAACGGGTTATCCTTTCGCCCGTAGAAGACCGCTTCAAGAAGCTTATGTGTGAGAACCCGTAGATAAAGGTTTCGTGGTTCCTGTGACGCTTCAATTGTGGTCTGTGGGTCGAATATCGCATGCTGGGAAGCCAAATAGGCATCGACCAACTCCTCGTCGGACGCTTCCTTACGAACCCGATTGAGCCTCAAGTTCTTTTGCTCTCTCAAAAATGCAAATTGTCCATCAACCACCTCTGTTGCCTCAACATGGTCCTTCAAGATCCTGGCAAAGTCGTCCACCAAGAACAAAAAACGGTCACCTTCAACGGCCCGCGTCAATCTCAGCACTACATCTTCAACAATCGTACACATGTGGCAGTACACCTCAGCGATAAAGTCGTTGTTATCGGTGCCTAGCTTGGAGTACCATGAGCAGATGTAGTTGGTAGCGATGGTCGCCAAAAAGAGGTGGATTTCAAAGTTCAATTCTGGAAATTCCACCAAACGTGGCAAATGCTCCATTATCTGCCTTTTTGAAGCCTCATTCAACCTCAGAAGCAGTTTTCCTGGAGAGTATAGCTTCAGTAGAAGGGTCATCTGGGAACACTCCAATTCCACCTCGTTTTTGGCGATTCCCGACCCTCCTATCTTCACCTGGTTCCCCTTGAACCGTTTCAGGTCCCGGATCTGTTTTCTGACGCGGCCCCTTTCGACTTTGACCATTCTGTTTGGTGTATCAGTTCATACAGCAGGTGGCAGATAACGGATTTCCACGACTCCAAGTCAAATGATAGTTCAAGATCCTTTTCGCTGATCAGATGAAACCCCTTTTTTTATCTCTATAGACAACTCAGAGGCCTTATCGTATTGTATGCTTCTCGGGTCGGAGTATCAACACCTTATCGTGTATGGAGGATTGTGCGTAACCGAGTCAGAACCACCATGCTAAGGATTCTGACCAGAGCCCAGTCCACATGCCTGCGGTTTCATCCCCTCAACGAAAACTATAAAACGCTCAGGCATGTCCACTTTCCTGGAATCACGCCCTTTCAAAAAGGAGAGGCCATCCAGAAACGAATGGTGGCTGCTAACTTGGACTTCAAGAAGATGGAGGCCAAGATTCGCAAGCAGCTGAAGCACTTTTTGGACCAGGGCTTTGCTCTCAGTGAATATGAGGATAAGTTCTTGAAGCAGGTACTCTCGATGAAGCCGTTTCCGACGCTTTTGACGTTTGAGTTCAACAATGTGTATACTGGAGGAAAGCAGATGAAGCAGGACCCTCTGTTGGTGAAGAAAGTCGCTGAATACGAGGCTTTGGGATGTGAATATCACCAGCTTGAGCGTGGAGGTCAGGTCACCTGGCACGGAAACGGGCAGTTGACGGCATACTTGATTTTGGACTTGAAGCAGTTTAGTCAGCTTACAGTGAAGTGCTTTGTGGATGCCGTTTTGCTCCGGGGAGTCCAGAACATGTTGAGCAAGAACTACGGGTTGGAGAGCCACACGAACGAGAATCCTGGCGTTTGGATGGCCCCTAACAATTTGAAGATCGCCTCGGTCGGTTGCAATATCCAGAGGGCCATCACATCCTACGGTATTGGCTTGAATGTAAATCCCGACATGAAGTTTTTGAATACGTACACGATGTGTGGTTTGCCGGGCACGAAGGCGGCGTCTTTGAAGGAGTTGGTGCCTGATGCTGACGTTGATGTGAAGAAGGCAGGCGATTTGTTTGCCAAGGAGGTTGCCAGGCTCCTCAATATCGGTACTATCGAGCATATGGACGGCAAGGAGCTTCTCGCAGCTGAGGAGGCCGATGCCGCTGAACAGTAAATAGGTTCATGGAGCACCATGAATAGCACTCTAGTACATAACAACAGACAGCATTTAGATCAGCATGGTTGAATGGAGGCTTCTAGGCTTTGCAGGGATGTCGTGGTTATTTTGGTTGATAACTTGCACCATAGCTTCAAAGGAGAAATAGCATTCCAGCTGCTCATTCTTCTGATTTCATTAGATATCCCTACCATATGAACGACGCCAAATATTCCAACTCAATGGCTCAATGACAGCTCAACAGTTCCCTATGAATCCCTTCCCGGAGGCGGAAGCAGAGGAATCAGCCTGTAATTCTGCAACCTCTGGCGAGACAAGCTGTACTTGAGTCTATCCCTCTTTGTCCTGAGCATTCTCAACTTCTCGTACTTGGCCTCCTTATCACTATCAGCACCCTTGCCCACCATCTCCAAGCGAACCTTACGGAGATTAAAGTCCGACTCTAGCGACATCTTCTTCCGTTGTAGACGAGCTACTTCCTTTTGGAGCTTTTCAATGAGATATGTGATTTGCGGGTGAGTTTCGTTTTTGAGCCGAGCCTGGGCGTTTTTGAGATCCAGCTCGGGCACAAGACCGAAAACCTTCTGTGTATCGAGCACCTGCTTGAGTCTGGGGATATCCTTAGTCGCCAGTTCTAGAGACTCAAGGGAGGACCCTAGAAGATCAACCAGGTCTTCGAAGATTCTGGAAGTTGTGTAAAGCAGCGGCTGTGACATTGCTTTTGATAATGTGGGAGTTTTGGTTTTGTGGAGGGGTAACAGGAAAATGCAGTGTGGATCTGTTGGATGTTTTGATCTGTTGATGTTGATGTACCTCAGTTTCGCGACTGGTATCAACAGTCCTACAACACTTTAGAGAACCCATCCATACATCTTTCGCTAAAGTGGCCAGAAAGTAACCTCTTTTTTTTTTCTCGATTTTTTGAAAGCATCGACAAATTCAAATCTTCAACACTTTCTTTCTTTTTCTTCCTCCTGACATCACACCCATACCGCTCTATTGCTCGTCTAAACCCTAGTGCGACTAACCGAGAAACCTGCCACAAACAACCTACCTACTTTTGAAAAAAACCACCTATTTCAAATTCAGTTTACCTGCCTCTGGCCACTCCCAAAAACCCTTCCATTCATCTCCGATCACCGCTTCAGTACCCCTGGTGTACGGATGTGCTATATGTATCACCACTGTGATTCAATCCCAAATCAAACACTTTCCTTCCATTCCAGCGTTGTCATGACCGCTACGTCCATGCAGATGCACAAGGTGCCTGCTTCTGGAAGAGATTCAGGGCATCTTGCCCCACCGAGGGATAATCTAACTCGAAAACGGTCCAATTCTCAGTCCCAGGTGATTTCTACTCCAGTACCTGTTCAAGCACGAAGTCACACAAAGACTGTTTCTAATGGTAAGCTTGCGGCTCCAAAGAAGAGCAAGGCTTCAAATGCGGTCCAGGAGCGCCATCAGGCCGAGTTCTACGTCACCTTGGTGCCTTTAAACGACACGTTTGTCCGAAAACATATCCATGTTCCTTACTTCCCAGATCTGTGCAAGTTAGGGCGTCCTACAGGGCTGAAGGTGAAACCGTCAGTGTCGAATGGCTACTTTGACCTGCGTGTGCTCTCGAGAAACCACGCTTGTCTTTTCGTCGAGCCCAAACTGGGTCAACTCATGATTCAGGATATGGGCTCCTCCAATGGTACATACGTCAATCAGGAGAAGATCGGCACCGAGCCCGTGCCTATTAATATTGGCGACCGTGTCAACTTGGGCTTCAATATTCAGGTGGAAACAAGCCACAAACAGATCAGTGCTGTCGTCGAAGACATCAACATTGTTTCCAATACACCCTCGGTCCCTGCACTCGAGGGAATGCCCAAACTCACGCCTGACGCTATTTCCAAACTCACGGGCTCCGAGAAGCGCCACCTTGATTTCATCCAGGACGTCTACGAACAGATTCAGGGGAAGAAGAAAGAGCCGGAAGAAGATGACGAACTTTCGGAGTTCAGAACTACAAAAGCATTCGAGCAGGGCATGTTCTCCGACGTTACTCCGTGCATCGACGACGTTTTTACTGCATCCACTGCCGATCCGGTTAGCAGTGGCATCTTTGTGAACTCACGCCTCACAAAGCCTAATGACTTGGAGACAACGCTAGACACACTAATTGCCAACTTGGCAAAGGTCAAACAGCAAACTAATTCCCTCCGCTCTCTCGAATCGTTTTTGGGCAACTACCGCAAGAAACTCCATGAATTGAACGAGGCTTTCTTGAATGAGGAGAACAAAAAGAGAGAAGCCTGTTTTGATCAGGCGCTAGAGCAGCAACTGACCAAGTACGAGGCACAGATTGATGATCACAAGAAAGACTTGGACGAAAAGAGCAAAGTCATGAGCTTCCTTCTGGGCGAGGTCGAGAGATTGCAGTATGAGAAGGCAGACTTACGCAAAGAGCTTGAGGATAAGAAAAACATTTTGGAGGCTAAGCATGGGAATGGCTTGGCCCCGCTTGATAACCAAGATAGCCTATCACGCCGCATCTCCATTGATATCTCCTCATTTGACTTTGGCACAGGCAAACTCATCAAGAACTTGTCCTCGGGGTCCGAGGAGGTTGATGAAATCTCCAACAGCTCTGATATCGGCAGCGAAGATTTGGCGCCAAAGGCCAAGTTACAGGCCAAATTAGAGTCTCCTGAAGGTGCAGTCGTCAAGAACCCACAAATGGGTGAGCTTTTTGAACAAGCCAATCAGTTCCGGACTAAAGGAGTTGCTGTTGGACTTGTGGTGATTTTGGCTGGATTCGTATATCAGTCGTGTGAGCGCTAACCCCGAATGGTACACTTGTTCAATAATGTAAGGGGGCCTCTGGTTTGCAGCCATAATGCGCGAAGGTGCACTTGAAAAAAAGTGTTGATCGTACCACTATCTCCAACATGCTCCAGGCCAGAAAGCTCGCCCTTACACAGAAAAGAAGCTTCATTTTACCCACGGCGATCACAGCCTTGGGCTCGTTGATGTTCAACGAAAATAATAGGCTTGCCTCCAAGATGGAAAGAGGTGAGCTTCACTATGACGACCCCAACAAGGCACTCAACAAGTCCAACCAGACGATGCTTGAGTACAAGTACTGGAAGCGTCTGGAGCCTGAGTATCCTGGCCACGTGCCACTCTACAACTTCGAGAAGGCGCTCATGTTCCTTGGCTCCGCAATCGGCTCATACTTCCATCCCGAGAGGAACGAGAACATTGTCGCTTTGGGTGAGTCCACCGCCATTCGCCCTGTCTTGCGCCGTCTCCAGAGGCAAATGTTGCTGGATCCCGTGGGCAGACAGATCTTGAAGGAGAGACCACGTATAACCAGCACATCTCTTGACCTTGACTACTTGCGTTCGTTACCAGACACATCGATCGGCAAAACTTACATCAACTGGCTCGATCGTGAGGGCGTATCTCCAGACACCCGTGTCCCCGTGCGGTACATTGATGACGAAGAGTTGGCATACATTTTCCAGAGATACAGAGAGTGTCACGACTTCTACCACGCCATTACTGGGTTGCCAATCATCATTGAGGGTGAAATTGCAGTCAAGGTTTTGGAGTTCATGAACATGGGTATTCCTATGCCTGGGTTGGGAGCTCTCTTTGCGCCGTTGCGGTTAAAACCCTCCCAGAAGGAGCGTTTATACAATATCTACTACCCATGGGCGATCCGCAGCGGGCTCAACTCAAAGCCATTGATTAACGTGTACTGGGAGAACATTTTGGAGAAGGACATCAACGAGCTTCGCCGTGAAATTGGCATTGAGCAACCTCCAGACTTGAGAAACTTGCGGAAGGAGTACTTTGCCAAGTTGAAGGCCGCAAAGAAAATCTAGGCCTCTGGCAGAGTGCCAGAGTAATTCACGAAGATATGCATTCACGAGTAATAAATACATCATGCCAACGTGTACGAGCGGAGGTGTAGGCGGGCGAGCTTATCGAATGTAGGAAAAAAGCGGAACTAGGTATATTCGATACGTTATTGATTCAATAACCCGGTTTAATGACATTTCCTGGGAATGCTTTTATCTGCATTTTGGGACTCAAAGGTTTTGTGTCTCGATTGAGGTATTCGAACCGCAGTGATCCTGGCCACCTGAGCAACGTCATTTGACGTGTTGATGCGTCTTCGGTTGCATGGCTGCAAAGCCCCACCTTCGAGGCCACCAAACCGACAATGAAGCCTCGTGTAGCAATTCAATCAAGAAATGTCATAAATCTCGTTTTCCCCTCTTCTCTGAATTCCCATCGTCCAAGCCTGCTTGCTCTTTTGGCATATGCGGCTGACGTGCGAATATGGCTGAGCAGGTTGCTCAGAATCCACCATCACAATGTCACTGCTTCTCTACAAATATTTCCTCCAAAAAGTACGTATCACCGACCAATTCCCCAGCTTTGCTGACTCCAGACAAATCTAGACCATTTGGTCGCCATGGGTCCCGATGAGGACCCGTACCATGAAGAGATCCCAGAACAGGACTTGCACTTCTACCAGCGCAAGGGCGCCAGACGGAAGCGGAAGCTCCCTGAGTTCATTCCCAAGCATGACCTCAAGATCCTTGGGTCGGTCAAGCGGAAAGCGTACCGGTTGGATTTGCAGCTCAGTCTCTGTGGACTTCGTATTGGATGGGCCGGGCTCATTGGACTTATACCGGGCATTGGCGACGTGATAGCGTTGCTTCTAGCCCTTCAGGTGGTGAAGAAGGCGCTGAAGATCGAAGGCGGTTTGCCTCCAGGGCTCCATCTGAAAATGATGGCCAATGTAGCTTTCGACTTTGGTATTGGTCTTATCCCCGTGGTGGGCGATTTCATCAATATCTTGTACAAGTGTAACCTGCGGAACTTTGTGCTTTTGGAGAAGTATCTTGTGGAGAAGTACCTGCGAGATAACCCGATACAGAAAGTGTAGTGGTTACAACGCGTCAAACTCCTTTTCAAGGCGGGCCACCCTGTCCTTAAAATCGTCCACAAACAGATAGAGCTGGTCAAGCTTCATGAACTGAAGCTCCAAATCATCACACTGATCAAGCAAGGCCTGAGCATCGGCAATGTTCTTGTCCAACTGGAGCTGCTGCTGAAAGTAGTCCTGTTCGATAAGACGTTGTTTTGACTCGACCAGCGAGAAAGTTGTTTCCAGAAGCAGCGCTATATGGTCGTGGATCTTGTACATGAGGTAGTCATAGCTGACGGCGAGATCCTTGATTCTTAGAGGGTCGTCGTCCATAAGAAGAGTAGTTCGCACGGTGAGAATATGTGGGGTGCTGAAATAGACGGTATTTAGAAGACGATATTTACGAGTGTTGATTGCAGGTGGGGGTTTTTGGGTTTTTGGATGGGCGGGGTTGTAAAGGTGAAACTAGATATATGAACGCTTTTAGAAACAAAATTGGTCATCGTGACGTTGGTGATATTGGGACCCTGGTATGTAGTGTAGATCAAGGGTCCACAATCTGGGATAAAGCGTAGATGTGAAGGATGGTTTGAAGGAACCAGACTGCTTTGAAACATTTTTCTTTTTCCTTTTGCAGAATACGGCTTCTCGTGTTTTTACCTTATTGCTGTTTATTGACTGGTCTGGCTCTACATGGTGGTAGATCAAGGGTCCAGTGATCTGGGGCCGTGGTTGAGTGATACTAGGTTTTGAGGATATTTTAGAGGTATGCTTTTCATTTTTCATAAAAAACGGCTTTTCGTGGTATTTACCTTGATGTTGTTCATTGACCGGTCTGGCTCGATATTAGTGTTGACGAGGTGATGGGGGTTTTCAACCACAATGAGCCATTGAGGACAGTGTTGATCATAAACAAACAATATAAGAAGGATCTTTTCATGGAAGATCCCTCAATTGCATTTTCAGGATCCAGGTTCAAGAATCCGAATGAGTTCAATAATGCAACCGTGGATATTGCATAAGCTGCCAATAGTAATCAGCACTACGATTTGTAAGTGTAAGCTTCGGGCATAGCTATTCCGGTTACAAAATATTGATTTACCAGCCATTGACCTATTTGATCGACATTTGGCCTCCACGACTCTTCGAGATCTCTCTTCCTACGACCCTTGAACCCACCACCTTAATCTGACCTGGTCACCATAAAGACATACCAAACTCTTTCTTTTCTTCAACACCCCACAGAGCTTGCTTTTCTTGCTTCTCCAATTTCCTCCATCACTCCTCCCACTCTCGACCTCCCATTGGTTCCCACGTTGGCTTATCTATGAGATCTCGCATCCTCTCCACCAATCCAACAACCACCCAAAATTCTCCCAAAATAACCATCGGTATAAAGTCAATTTAAATCGAATTTCCCTTTCAATCCTCCATCCTTCCGTTCCATGGCTCCCCGCAAACTCCCTCCTGGAATCTCTCATTTGCAGCCATTGGACAGATCTGCAAGATATGCACCGAACCGCAAGGCTCCCAAAAATCACAAACCGTCTCAATTGCAAAGATGCCATCCAAAAAAGTCTATTTAAACAAAACCCTAACCCCTAAACAACTACCCTGCCAAATTCACCCACAAATCAATTGGGGTACCCGAGTTGCTGGGCACACCCGTGCACCACTATCACCAGCACATCAGCACCGATACGATACCACCTCATCCAGAACCACCATGGGAGACTCGTTTTCACTTCTGAAGATCAACCCCAAGCTCTTGCGGCGGATATGTATGTACCAATGCTTTTAAGCAAATTCAAATTATTCTAACATCCAGACCGGGCTTGCAGACCCACCCTTACAGAACCCAATTTGGCTCTCAACCTTGAGATCTGTGACTATGTGAATGCCAAACAAGGGTCATTGCCCCGTGAGGCGGCCATTGCCGTTGTGAAACTCATCAACCAGAGAGATCCACAAACATCCGAATTGGCCTTGGCTCTTTTGGACCATTTGGTGAAAAACTGTGGCTATCCTTTCCAGCTCCAGATCTCCAGAAAGGAGTTCTTGAACGAGTTGGTCAAGAAGTTTCCCGAAAGGCCCACCTTGCGCTACCTGCGTGTCCAGCGCCTCATCTTGGCTCAGATTGAGGAGTGGTACCAGACAATTTGTAAAACTTCCAAGTACAAGAGCGACTTTGGCTACATCAGGGATATGCACCGTTTGTTGGCCAACAAGGGCTACGTGTTCCCTGAGGTCAACGTGGAGGACGCAGCGGTGCTTAATCCAAGCGACACGCTCAAGTCCTTGGAGGAAATCGAGAAAGAGGAGGCCGTGGTTCACAGTGCCAAGTTGCAAGAATTGATCAGAAGAGGCAAGCCCCAGGATCTCCAGGAGGCCAACCGCTTGATGAAGCTCATGGCTGGGTTCAAGGATAATTCGGAGGAGAACAAGAAGAAGGTCAACGACGACGTGGCTCGCTTGAAGCGCAAGACGGAGATTTTCGCTGAGATGCTCAATTCGGTGGAATCTGCCGGTGGAGGCGTCACCGACGACAACGAGACGCTTTCAGAGCTCTACGGGCAGATCAAGTCGTCGCACTCGGTGGTGACCAAGATCGTCGAGGAGGAGAACGACGACGAGTCCTATGTTCTGGAGCTTTTGGGCCTCAACGACTTCATCAACCAGTTGTTGCTGAAGTACCAGTATTTGAAGACAGGTGATGCTGCTCAGGCCGCAGAAATCAAGGTCAGCGGTGGCGCCTCGGGCGCTGCAGCCGCCAAGGAGTTGAACTTGATTGATTTTGATGATGACGAGCCTATCAGTGGCGATTCCACAGGCAAGGACCAGCAGGGCTACAACGACTTGCTCAGTGACTTGGGTAATTTGAACTTCGGTGGTGGTAGCACCAGCTCCTCCACCGCTGGCGGTGTCAACCCATTGGACCTCTACGGAGCCGGTGGTTCTATTTCTCTTGGAGGACCAGCTCCTGCCCAAACAGGTCCATCCCTGTCCAACTCAAGCGTTTTCCAGCAACAAGCTGCTCCCTCCACGCCATCTGCACCATCTGCACCTGCCACAAAGTCTGCTTTCGACTTTGATCTCCTCTCAGACTTCAAACTGCCTTCCCCAGAACTTCAAAGCAACAACAACACTTTCAACTCGGCTAGAGCTTCCCAGGTGCAGACATCTGGCAAGCAGAATGCTCAGAACATCATCGAAACCGACGGTCTCAAGATCGAGGCCGAACCTCACAGAGATTCTTCCCCTACCTTGTACAAGGCTCGTTTGTATATGAGCAACACCCTGGACGTGACCAAGCTGGGTGTTTTACTTTCTATTGCTGTGCCTAAGGGCTGCAAGTTGGATTTGAAACCACAAAGCGGTAATCTCATCTACGGCCACACTACAAGACACATCACCCAAGACGTCACAATAGAGAACCCTACGAATAAGACGTTGAAGGTGAAATGGAAGCTCACATACACCGCTGCTTCTAGCAATCATGAGCAGACGGGTGTGACTGTGTTGAGCGAATAATTAGAATGTTGACTAAAAAGATAATGAACGGGCTTACTGTTGCAGATTCTGATGGTCTCGACGTTGGCATATCATATTGTAGAACTAAAAACTGTGAGGGCCGTGCCCTGCTTGATTATTCAAAATTGGTGAATTCTCGTTTCGTTGACCTGTTTCCATCCTCAGGTCTCCCTCCGGCGTTGCAGCAAAAAGTTTCATGCTAAGCAAGCCGTTATTTCACTTTTCTTCCTTGAGGCACATCTAAAATTTGGGCTTTTCTGGACACACCTTATCTTCTCGTAAATTCGTCATTTCGTGGCTTTGGTAAAGCCTCGGCAGCCGCAGACGGCTGAGCCTCCAAGTTGGTTTTCCGCACTCATGGCTTGACGAAAACATCGTCAATGACCAATACGGCACCATCGTCGGCATGGTAAACAGCCAAGACATCAACCCACTTATCTCCCAGCTTCACTCTGAAAGCATCAGTGGCAGCGTCGTGGCGAATGACCACCTTCTGGCCGCTCAACGAATGAAGACTGACCTCGCTGTCGATCTCTTCAAAATCGCCCTCGAACTTGACCAAGTGGGCCTTGACGAAATCATTGATGTTCTTCTCGGCGTCCTCTTCATTCTCAGGGTCTCTTGGGAATTCCCATGGCTTGTGGCCGTTCAACTTGTTGGCCAAAGCGTGGTCAGTAGGAGCGATGATCACGGCAAATGGGGCCTTGTGCAACTGATCCAAGAGCGACTCCAGGTCTCTCAAGTAGCCAGCAATGACAGAGACGTCCCTGACTTGCGTAAGCACATTCTCCACCAAAGGACCCAGGAAGGTGATGACATTCTGGGAGCGCTTTTCATGGTTCTTCAGCTCAAAGAACAGACGGGCGTCTCTCTTATTGTTCTCCGCAGACTCCTGTGCTTCTTGGAGGAGATGCTCCAAATGAGCCAAGTTGAAGGTGTTCTTTCTCTTCTCGTTTTGATGGTCTTCTTTGTAAGCTGCAAAAAGCTCCTCTAAAGCAGCAACATTCTTCCTCTTTTCATTCTTATGGTCCTCCTTGTAAGCCTGGAAGAGCTCTTCCAAAGCAGCAACATTCTTTCTCTTTTCAGTCTTATGGTCTTCTGCGTAAGCGTGGCGAAGGTCGTCCAAACCAGCGACATTCTTTCTCTTTTCGTTTTGGTGATCTTCGTCATAAGCCTGTTGGAGGTCTTCTAAGGAGGCGACATTTTTTCTCTTTTCATTGTGGTGGTCATTCTCATAATCCTGGAGAAGTTCATCTAAAGCAGCGACATTCTTGGGTTCACGCTTTTCAGCGGCTGCATGAACAGATAGCACTGAAGCGCCAAAAACGGCAAATGTGGAAAGCTTCATGAGAGTAAAAAGTGTTGATAACCCGTCAGGAGGGATTTCGTAGTATATATTGCTGTTGTGTGCAGGTCGCCAAGGGGGAGTAGGGACGGTTTTTCTGGATCGGTCTGGAAGGTGGGTAAGAAATTTAGAAGGGTGATTGTTTTTGGGGTCATTTGATCTTTGTTGGTCTGTTTGTGAATTTCTTGGTGAAGAATTAGGGCAGTGGATGGTGAGATAGCCTTGATTGAGACAGGAAAAGGAGAGAACAAGAATTGAAATAGTATAGAAGATCAGCGGCGATTCAGATCATTTCTTGGATTTTATAAACGTATGATATTTTCCACTATGAATTGTCACCGGTCGAGGAGTGTACTTACAGAATTTGTAACCTGAGTGTTTCATGGCGAAACAGGTAGGTTATAGAAGCAACAAGATCAAGGGAAACGCCCAACTGTTTCGATCTCTACTGATTTAACTCTCTGTCATTGTCTCATAAACTGGATATGTAACCAAGCACGTCCATGTGCTTTACATCTCATATCTTCTGTGAATGTCCTACTAATGTCCCAGGACCACACTCATTTGCTCACTGAGAAACCACGAACCTTCAATCGCCTTCCTGTGGAGAGAAGGCTGTCCGTTTTTTGAATTGACATCATAAGCTCTCTTTGAAACATCGATATGGTCAGAACCAATTGTTTTCAAATGACGGCGAATGAGCTCTTTTGGATCTTCTATGCGATAATCTATGTCCAGCATAAGATCGAATTCTTCAAAAGTGAACCCATTGAGTTCCTGCGAAAACTCATACGCCTCGTCCTCGCCTTCTATATCCAATATCTTCAAGACCACTGCCCAGTGACAGAACCACCGTTCAAGATCGTCAAGCTTGTATTTGCAAAAGTCCTGATGAAACTTCCTGAAACAGTCCATCGGCTTGAGGGCACGATCGCAATACTCCGTGTTGTAAGCCATGCAAACACCGTAGCCGAGCGTGCTGTAGATGACCGAGCTGGCCAAATCGTAGATTTTTACTTTTTGTTCTTCGCTAGCAAACAAAGAGTGCAATACGTCGTTGCCATTGATATACTCCACAACATAATTAGCAACATTCTCGCCATACTGGGTTCTTAGTTGACCGATAAAATGGAAAAGCCAGAGTAAATATTCATCCTTGCCGCCAAGGACGAAAGGTATGGTGAACTTTTCAAGATATCCTGGGACGACGTTGAGGAACGGTTCACCAAATGGGTTGACGCTGCCGACATCTTTTCTGAATTGGTTTGAGAAGGTATCCTCAAACATTGATCTTTGAGGGAAGGATGTCAGGGTCAATTGGTCCTTATATATATGCCTATTTTCTCGTGCAATATGGCTCTGCATGATGCATAAGGGTCCAGCTGAAAGTCAGCCCGAATATGTTCTTGGTCGCTTGTTACAAAATCCATAGGCAATAGAGATGTTTCACAATGAGTATATCTACTGTCTGAGACTCTCAATACCAATTTCTAGATAGTACATCTACTATGAGTACACCATAGATAGTACGGAAACTATGCGTCTCAATTGAGTGGAAATACTCTCAAAAGATTATAAGCCTTCTTAAACAAGTACCCCTGATTAGACTTTATGAGTATGCGGGGGAATCGTTGAATGGATGTAGCCACCCTGGGGTGCATAATTAGAAACTATGCGCATCGTCTAGTTTCGACGCTGCATAATCTGAAACCACCCGAAACAGCACCGATGAAGGCAATTGGCGCCGTGGAGCACAGATTTTTAGTTTAGGGTTGCTTAAAAGCAATTGGGTTCTGTGATCTGCGAATCTTCCTACTGACCTCAAAAACTGCCTCTCCAAAATGCCCATCATGAATCCTTCCCACTGTAAGAAGTCTTCTTTCTGGATTCAATCAATTCTCGAGGGAAGTTTCAGTATAATACGTGTTGGAAAATCACTTTCATCAAAAGCCTCTTTTACCTTGATACTGCTGATAAGTGGAGCACATGGTGATGAGTAGCAGACTCATCGAGATACTTACAGAGTAACAAAACCAAAGAAGCACGTTTCAGTCCCTCTCTTAAATGTTTCAATTGTTCATTTTCTCATACAATCGTATATACGGCTCTAATTGTCCATGTCTTCAAAGCCCTATTCTGGACCAACAGCCTCGCTCAATGGCTTGCTGAGGAACCAAGACAATTCAACGGCCTTCTGGTGAAGACGAGGCTCCCCATGCTTGCTAATGAATGCAGAAGCTCTGTCAGAAATATCAATAACGCCAGAATCAGTGCCCTGCAAGTAACGGCGAATGAGTCCTTTCTTATCGTACAAGCCAGAGGCCATGTTGTCGAAAAGCTCCAATTCCTCATCGGTGAAGCCATTGATTTCTCTGGAAAAGTTATACACCTCAATTTTGCCCTCGGCACGCAATTTCGTCATAATCACCGCCCAATTGCTAAACCATTCCTCGTCATCGGCAAGCTCATACTTGCAGAAGTTCTGGTGAAACTTTCTGAAACAGTCCAAGGGCCCGAGTTCAAAGTCACAGTATTTCTGGTTGTAGACCATGCAAGTGCCAAAGGCAAGGGTGATCCTGATCACAGATTTGGCCAAATTGCGGATCATGATCTGGTCTGCTAGGTCTACAGGCAACGACTCCAAAGTCGTTGCCATTGATGTATTCCATGATGTACCTGGCAACATCAGGGCCGTAATGGGTTCTAAGCAGGCCGGCAAGATGGAAAAGCCAAATCAAGTATTCATCCTTGTCGCAAAGAGCAAAGGGGATGGTGAAGTTACCGTTGAACTCAGGAACACCGTTGAGGAATGGTTCACCGATAGGTCCGACAGTGCCAATGTTTTTTCTGAATTGGATTCTTGAAGACATTGAGTTGTTGGAATAAAAAAGAAGGAAGATGTTGCGGCGGTGGAAGGATACTTGTATTAATGAGGTGCTTCGCCATCTCGGCTCTTCTTGCATCGAGCTTGGTAATTAACCAGCCAAGCCCAGCCGGTCTGTATAAGTTTACGTTCTGAAACTTAATCGACAGGAGATGTAACCCGGTTGTTCTCTGACGTTTATTGAGACTGTTTCTTGAATTTGGGTCAATATAGGCCTTGGACAATGTGTGTAAGCCTTAAAGCTACCTAGGTGCTATTGTTACAGTGTTCCGAAATCGGAGTAGCATCAAGGTGCTTCAAGATGCGTTCAATATGGTTATTTTTGGGGTAAGGGCTTCGGACATACTTTGAAACATGAATGGGAAACTTGAAACCGCCGCAGCTGTTCGGGAGCTGAAACCAACGCACCTCCACTTAGTGTTATCAAACCGCATAATCTGAAACACACCGAGAGCCAATATATTTCCAGGAAGGATTGTCACACTATGCTCGTAAAAACAGCATCATGTTACCTCCCATCGTAAACTTCTACACTCATCTTCATACTTTTCATATTTCTACAGACGATAACGCGATGGACTATATTAAAGCGTGTTCGTAACAACAAAGTTGGAAGTACCACGAAACGAAACATAAGCAGGCGAAAGAAGAACAAATATTAGGGGCTGCCAAAGCAGCAGGTTTTTTAATGTCACATCCACGCAGTAATAATCAATCCTCTAGCTCTTAGTACAGGACCACACCCACACCGGAGAAGGCCAAAACGAAGGTGACCAAAAGAACCAAGGAGGAGGAAACACCAGCAATGCCAGCAGCGCTGTTGCCGGAAGAAGAGGAGGAGCTGTTGGAACCGGAGCCGGAACCAGAACCAGAACCAGAACCACCAGAAGAGGTGGACTCACCTTTAGAGTTACCGCTCTTGGAAGAAGAAGAAGAAACGGTAGAAGAAGCACCTTGACAGTAGAACTTGTCACCTCTGACGTCACCCTTGGAGTTCAACTTGGTGAAGTCGTCACAAGACAAGTCACCGGTAGTGGAGAGGTTGAAACCACCAGAGATTCTGTTGATCTCTGGGAAAGTTCCATTGTCAAATTCACCGTCAATGTTGACAGAGCCGCCAATGGTCTCCAACTTAGGGAAGTAGGAGAAAGAGTTGAGCTTCTCGTTGTCAAGGATGTTCAAAGCACCGCCAACAGACTTCAACTTAGGGAAGTCGAATTCCTCCAAGTCATCGTTCTCATTGATAGAGAGAGACTTACCAATCTCAGTAAGCTGCTTGAACTCGAAGCTGTCGAAGCTGTTCTTGGAGATGGAGAGAGAACCGTTGATGGAGGTCAAGTTAGCGGTGGAAAGAGAAGAGATCTTCTCAAACACAACATCGTTGGCAGATTTCAAATCGTCCAAGACAACCTCGACCTTGTCGGCGTTGTAGTTAATCTGCAAAAGGTCAGTGACGGACTGCAAACCCGAGTCGATGGACTCAATGTCGGCGTTGTTGTTCACGTCGAAAACCTTCAACTTGTAGACGTTGATACCGTCAAGGGAGTGCAAACCAGTGTTGGAGATGGTGATGGACTCGGCAGAGGTGATACCGGAAGCCAAGCCGGTCTTCTCCAAAGCTGGCAAACCGTCAAAGGTCAAAGTACCGACGGTGGTCAACTGGGCCAAGTTGGCGGTACCCAAAAGAGTGGACTGGGACAAAGACAATTCACCAGAAACCAATTGCAAGTCTGGGGCGTTGAAGACGGTGGCCTTGGTACCGTTGATCTTCAAGTCACCGTAGAATTCACGGACACCGGTCAAGTCGAGCTGGTCGATGTTGGAACCGGAGATGAAAACGTCGCCGACGGCGGTGGCACAGGCCTGGACGGACAGGACCTGGCCATTTTCGGTGGCGGTGAAGTCATCGAAAGAACAGCCGCTGGAGACCGAAGGGGTAGCGGTGGTCAAAGTAGAGTCTGGCTGTTAGTAACAATTGCCTAAAGGGGCGTTTTTCTTGATTTCCTGCGCAGTCTGAACAAAGGTCCGCTGTTGGCGGTGTGTGTGTGCAGGGAGCGGAACCATTGTGTATCGGTGTTTTGGAGAAAAAATCTGTCGGGTTGGCGATCTGTATTTACCTGGCTCCCATAACGGAAGGCGGATCAATCAGCCGGAAAAAAAAAGCATCCGAGAAGATGCTGATTTGGCGCAGGGCGTCTGCGTGTGCGTGTGCGTCGCACCAAAACAAACGCATCAATTACGTCCGCATTAGGCAGGCGAGCACCCGGATCCACCGAGCGCCACATCCGCCCGGGCTGGGCGGTCGGAAACGGCGATTGATCTCGGATTTTAAACTGGGCTGAAGGAGTAGGCTGAAGGGCTCATGGGGGGCTATTTCGAATATACGATCTGGGGAATTAAGGATCACTGGTTTGATGGCACGAGGGCCTTTTCTTATGGTTTGGATTGGACTGGACTGGACGACCATCAGGAGACGAACAAGAAATCAAAAGGGGTAACATACTATTGGCGACGGCGAACCCGGAGAGGGCAGCCACAGCAAACAAGGACTTGAATTGCATAGCGAGGGACAAGCAGAAACACGGGTTGTAATCGAGAAAAAGAGTAGGCTAGAGTGAGGCGGGCATGGATCCTATTTATACTTGTGGGGCGAGTTCCGGGCAGGAGGGAGAAAAAGACTCAGCATGCAACTGCAGATGCAACTATGGAGAGCTCACGAGCGGATTGTGTGCGTATGCGGGAAGAGGGACCTCCGAGGGTAACAAATAAAAAAAAAAAAAAAAAGTGAGGAAGTGGCCACTTCCGAGGGCGGCTTGGGCGACAGCCCCGCTTACGCAGGTGGGCCCACTTCCGGGGTTCCTCTGCCACCAATTGATTAAGAGCAAAGCAAGAAATAAAAGGCATGGAAGGCATAAAGGAAGGAGTAAAGAATCGGGAAACAGAAGTTATGGAAAAAAGTAACCCTAAGCTCGCACCCGCCAAGGCGGTGTCTCAGACGACATGGCATAGACAGAGCCAGGGAGCAAGTGGAAGGTTGATTTTGTGATTCCAAGACCAACCTGGCGGCTATAGTCGAGCGATTAACGCAAACTGTGTCTAACCGAGGCCCTGGTTTTACACCTTTTGTATGGCTTTTTGGCAAGCTTTGTATGGCTTATTCAAAGCTAAAATGATAGCTCCATAGGGCAATGCGAAAGGACCCAAAACCCGAAATAAAGCCACAATATTATGGCTGCAAATAGAGCCACCCCAACAAGCCCCATAGATAAGGAAGGAGTTGAGGAGTGAAGAAGGAGAGCGGAAGTGAGCGGAAATCAGGGTCAAGGATAATGTTGAGATTGAGGTTATCCACATTTTTCAGCGTCTCATGCCCCACCACCTAAACCAGCCAGACCTATGAAACAAGACGAAACTTGATGAAACCTGATGAAACCCGATGAAGCCAAAGACTTTCCCCTTATCACCCGTAATCTTTTATTTTTTCAAAGCCATTTACCCCAGGTTCTCCCGGGCTGCGCCTTCATTCTTGTGTTTGCGCAAATGCCTCAATTTATCGACAGCCAGCCGCCCTGTCCTACAACTGCCGAGAAACCGCAACCAACAAAAAGGGCATTTGTCTGATCTGCGCCGCAACGGAGCTCCACTGGAACAGAAGATAAAAAAATATCCACGCCGAATTTCTCGATTTTGGGAAAGTCTGCGTTTTTGGGGAACTCTACGATTTCGGGCAAATGGCGGTTAAGGAGTTAGTTGCGTAATGTTTCCGGAAAAACGTCAGCTGACACACCCTTGCACCATGGAATAGTTGACTTTTATGGTTGTAAGGGTGCTTCAGTTTCCTGCTTATCTGCCCTCGGGCGAAAGTGACGCTGCCAATAACATATCCTGATTCGGCGACAGCGTCGTGCTAATGCAGCGGCCGAGCAGGGCTTCGGACTGTGTGCCGTACCGCCCACTACAACAATACCACTTCCGAGGGTATGCCTGTGTGCATTGTCCGTAATTATGCACTCTTCCATCACCCACTGTTCAAGGGCAACTTTTGCAGTGAATGACAACAAAAAAGGGTCCCTTTTTTTGATCCCTATGTAATTTTGCAATACTCTCCAAAGGCCCTTGTGGCGTGGCACCTTTTTTCCCTGCTTTTCTCGGCCAGCGTGCGTCCATCGGTAATTCTATTTTTAGAAGCAGCACCTGGGCGTCCCGATTGTTCTTTCCCTGACAACGGGTAAGAACGTTCCTCCCTCGCAACAATTGGATCCTCTTCTCTTTATTGTTTCAGAAGGTGTTTCAAGTTAATGGGGCGGTGCAGATTGCGTAGAATGACCTTCTGTGGTGCCAGTGACGGATCAGATGGTGAATTTACTAATTAGTGGGTATGCTTTAAGCCACGTGAGGTAATACCGAAGGGTATGTAGGATCAAAAGTGATTTAGATAGGATAGGGTTTATATGTAATAGGGTTTGAGGATGTTTCGTAAACGACTAAAAGTGTTTCAATGTGGTGATTTGAAAGTTTCTTGTGAGGCTTAACGACTTATGGAAGCATACCATAATGGCTGCAATTTATCGATTTTCTTCCAACTTCCACCCTCAACTCATACTTCAAAATCATTCCCTACCTCTGAATGCCCAGCATGGCACATTCTAGAACCTGTTGCCGTCCCCATACGTTGACGAATATGTAGAGCGCTAGACCGAGTCAACGAGCTAACTAATAAAGTACTCGCACAAACAATAACAAAAACGCTCAGCAAGCCGCTCGAAACGCATTCTGTTTTGCTTTCCTGACGATGCCTAAAACTGACACTTTCTTCATTGTCTAAAAATCGTACAATGAAGGAGGCTTCGAGCATGCTGCGTCGGACTTCCGTATATGGAGACCTCGCCAATAAGCTTTTTGGGCAAAACACTCACTCGTAAACGCCCTTCAGCCTCTCTGCGGGCCGCCGAAAAGGGAAAACATCAAAAGTTGTTTGCAGCCGTGGTGTGCTTTTTAGATTTAGATCGTTGGGAGTGGTTTCCAAAGGGCAGTGGTTTCTTTTTTATTTTATTTTTTTTTTTTTTTTTTTTTTTTTTTTTTTTTTTTTTTTTTTTTTTTTTTTTTTAATAGAATGTATTAGCAGGACACTTCTAACAGAGGATTCCCCTCCATTAGGAGCCAAAACTATATCGCTATAGAAACACAACCCACTAATAAAGCACCCAAATGTCTTCTCTTACCAGAAAGGAGCGACAGACTTCATCCTGAACTTCAGGCCCTGGTCCATCTACTGAAAGGCATTTGTTAGTGGTGTCTGTCTTGTACACTTCATCTACCCATTGGCAGAACTTGGCGTATGGCCTTCTTCATCTCCCGAATCAGAAAGATGGACAACTGTCCTCCTTCTGCTTCAGTTCGTTGTCGTTTGCCGTACATGAGTTTCACCACTTTAACAAACCAGTTCAATTTCCGTAGATTGTCAAAGGAGGTGTCCTTAGGGGCTAGCATCTCTCTAAGATTCATGTCATTTGTAAACCCCACTCTTTGCCACCAGAATCGTGACACTGCACACTCATTGTATATGTGTGAGAGCATTTCATTCGGCAGCTGTTGATTTAAACACAAGTAGCATTTTTCTTGTTCTGAGCTTTCTCTGTCATGGATTGACACATATGATCCGAAGTTGAAATGATGAATAGCTCCGAGGTCATTGGGTTTAAGCCGTTCTTCCTTATAAAGGCTTTTCCAAAATTTATCCCACCTTTTGATCGGTTGTGCTTCTGGACAAATTTGTCGAAACCTATTCGGCATGATTGGTGGCTTCTTCTGTTGATTCTTGCGGCTTAGGGATTTGAAAGTTTCAATTGTTCTTCTTCTGACTCCCTCGGATGCCCTGGAAGACTCAAAATAGCATCCACATCTTCTATCCTCATTCTAGAAGCTATAGTATAGTGATGAGTTTCTCTGGTTCCTCTCACCAACTGGTACCATGCTTGAATTCAGAATGGTAGTGGATACGGTAACCGTTGATGGTGGATACTTCTTTGATGATTGTCAATTGACTAGATAGATGAATTCTACATATTCAGCCTGGGTGCTGTTCTTGATAATTGAAGTGTTTCAGTGCTCGTAAGGAGCTTGCTGGTATTATTGGAAGACCCATAGTCTTCAGACTGCTCTTTCGTCATCTAGGAAACAGAACAAAAGAAAAATTGAATGAAACTCTTCAAAATGTTAAGAGAGATACAGTTCGAGCTAGCTCAGTCATTTCCTAAAAAAATCTGATAATTTTTTCGGCTTGGGATACACCTCAACTCTGGCAGCTTAGGACATGATTCTACCATCATTTGAGATAGTCTCAACCTAGAGCTTCCCGATAACGATGATACAAGAATCAAGGAAGAGGTGATGCCAACAAAGCTGGTCTTTTGGTTAATGTCTGACGTCATCTAGTATACGGAGGCTCAGAGGTAAGCCTCAGAAGTAAGCCTCAGAAGTCCAAAAATGAATCGCATGAATTGCCTCAGAAGCATTTCCAACTGATGATTTGCAACTTGGGATGCACCTCACTTCTTGCAGAATTTGGACTACGTTTCTTCAGAACTATCATTTGAGATAGTGAAGCTTTCCGAGAGCAGATTCGATATATGAAGAGGTTTATGAAGAATTTGAATTAGCCCTACCCTTCCGCCCCTTCTGATACGTCAGTTGAAGAAGGCCGTAAGACAGATATGTTCTATGGGTCGATAAACACGGCGATACGTTCGGGAAACTGACCAGTGTCTCGTGAAATTGAGAATAATTAGATCGTATTGGGGGTTGTTTCTATAGAGATATAGTTTTTTTACTCTAACAAAAAGATATCAGTTAAAAAAAAAAAAAAAAAAAAAAAAAAAAAAAAAAAAAAAGCTTACAAAACTCTGGCTACGAGATTTGCAATGTAGAAGTACGAATTGTGCAACAGCGGTGATAACATACACGAGCTATACATCTCTTCAATGAACAGAACGTACATCTGTGAACATGTAGAGACGCAAACCCTAAAACCAAAAAGCTAGTCATCCATAAAAATCAATCGAACCCTCCATCACCCACAAAACGCCTACACCTCACCCAATTCCAATATGTATTCTAAAGCAAAACGCCCATCCCGGGCTAAATCCGTCTCCAAGCTGCTCAGACCTTCTCCGCAAGCTCCTCCAACAACTTGAAGTTTCTCTGCTCCACAGAGCCGTTTCCTGGCAACCTCGTGGCGCCCATAAGGTAGTTGTCCACCTCACGAGCACACTGGCGACCTTCCTGGATACCCCACACCACCAACGACTGGCCTCTCCTACAGTCGCCGGCAGCGAAAAGGTTCTCCTGGCCGGAAACACGGTAACCGCTAGGGTTGGCCGTGGAAATGGTGCCTCGCTTTGTCTTGTTCACCGAAAGCTTGTCGGTTTCAGGGCCAAGGAAACCCATGGACAAAAGCACGATATCGGCAGCAAAGAACTGCTCGGATCCAGGCACCTCGGCCATCTGCCAGGCGCCAGAGTCAGAACGCTTCCACTCGACTCTGACGGTCTTGATCCCCTTGACGTTGCCCTCACCGTCATCCACAAACTCCTTCGAAAGAATAGAGTACTCTCTAGGGTCCTTGCCGTAGTGAGCGGCAACCTCAGAGTGACCGTAGTCGACTCTGAAAACACGAGGCCACTGCGGCCACGGGTTGTCCTTGGGTCTGGCATCTGGAGGTGTAGGCAACAACTCAAAGTTGGTGACGGACTTGGCGCCGTGTCTGGTGGAGGTACCCAAACAGTCGTTACCGGTGTCGCCGCCTCCAATGACGATAACGTCTTTTCCAGAAACCTGCTTGCGGATCTCCTCGAGAGTGTTATCCAAAAGCGCCTTGGTGTTGGAGTGCAAGAGCCTCATGGCAAAGTCGATGTTCTGGAGGTCTCTGCCGGGGATGTTCAAGTCTCTGGGGATTGTGGAGCCCACGGCAAAAATCACAGCGTCGTTGGACGACTGCAACTGCTCCACAGAAATGTCGTCTCCCACGGCGGTTTTGCAAACGAATTCAATGCCTTCAGCAGCCAAAAGATCCGTTCTTCTCTTGACAAGACGCTTGTCCAACTTCATGTTGGGAATACCGTACATCAACAACCCACCTGGTCTGTCTGCTCTTTCGTAGACAGTCACCTTGTGGCCTGCCTTGTTCAACTGGTCGGCAGCAGACAATCCAGCAGGACCCGAGCCAATCACAGCCACGGACATGCCGGTTCTGCGGGTTGGAGGTTCTGGCTTGATCCAGCCCTGTTCGAAACCGTGGTCGATAATGGCACATTCCACGGATTTGATGTTCACAGGGTCCTCGTTGATGCCCAAAACACAGGCGCCGTTACAAGGAGCAGGGCAGATTCTGCCGGTGAATTCAGGGAAGTTGTTGGTCATCATCAAACGCTGCAAGGCGTCGTACCATCTGTCCTTGAACACCAACTCGTTCCATTTGGGAATAACGTTGGAAATAGGACATCCAGTGTCGGAGGTGCAGAAGGGCACACCGCAGTCCATACAACGAGCCGTTTCGTGCTTGAGCTCGTCCTTGGTCAAACGGGACGTCATTTCGTTCCAGTCCTTGGTTCTGGCCTTGGCGTCTCTGTACTTCTCGTTTCTTCTCTTGTACTTCATGAACCCACGGAGCTTGTCCAACTGGGCCACGGCCTTCTTTTCCGTTTCCGGGTTGGTGATGGTGTCCTCGAGATCCAACACCTTGGGCTCCTTGGATCCGGCTTTGGCAGGTGTGGCACGGTGCACATGGCCATGCTTGATTTTGGCCGCTTCGCCGTTGGTAGCGTCACACTCGGGGTCCTCCTTGATGTTCTTCATGAAACTGCTCAACTCCTTCTTCTTGGCCTCCGCCTGCTTCTGCTTCTCCTGCTCAAGCACCTTCTTGTAGTCGTGAGGCAACACCTTGACGAAACGGCTCAAGATCCGGTTGAAGTCGTTCAAGATCTGGCCAGCAACTTCCGAACCGCTGTAGTGGCGGTGGTCCTCGATCAAGCCTCTCAAGAAGGCGATTTCTGAGGGCTCCGTGACGCTGGAAAGCTCCACAGTCTGACCATTTACCTTCTGGTTGAAATCCTGGGCCATGTCCAAAACATAGGCAATACCACCACACATACCAGCGGCAAAGTTCCGGCCCGTGGAGCCCAAAATCACCACACGGCCGCCGGACATGTACTCACATCCGTGATCACCGGTTCCTTCAGCAACGATAGTGGCTCCCGAGTTTCTAACGGCAAATCTCTCGGCAGCTACACCACGGATAAAAGCGGCACCGGACGTGGCGCCGAAAAAGGCCGTGTTACCGGCGATAATCTGGTCCTCGGCCTTGAATTTCGATCCAGCAGGTGGATACACAATAATTCTTCCTCCCGAAAGACCTTTGCCGATGTAGTCGTTGGCGTCACCCTCAAGCTCCAAAGTGATGCCTGGGGCCAAAAAGGCACCGAAAGACTGGCCGGCAGATCCCTTGACGTTGACATGAATAGTGTCGTGGGGCAAGCCTTGCTCACCAAAAGTCTTGGACACTCTGTACGACAAGGTGGTACCCAAAGACCGGTCGGTGTTGACGACATTGCAGTCAATTGTGACCGGCAAACCCTTCTCCAACGTCACCTCGGACTCGTCAATCAACTTGTTGTCGATTCTGACGTGCAAGCGGTGGTCCTGCTTTCTCACGCAGTAGGTATCCACACCAGGCCTGATGGTGTGGGCTGGCGTCAAGATAGGCAGCAAGTCGATGTTGGCGTTTTTGGTGTTTCTCAAGTCGTCTCTGACCTTCAACACCTCCGTACGCCCGACCATCTCGTTGATGGTTCTGAATCCCAACTTGGCCATGTACGATCTCAACTCCTGGGCCATGTAGTAGAAGAAGTTGATGACATGTTCAGGTGTACCCTGGAACTTCTTTCTAAGCTCTGGGTCCTGGGTGGCAATGCCCACGGGACACACATTGAGCTCACAACGACGCATGAAAATACAGCCCATGGCGATCAACGGGGTGGTTGCAAAACCCCACTCTTCAGCACCAAGCAAGCACGCAATGGCGATATCACGGCCTGTTTTGATCTGGCCGTCTGTTTGCAAAATCACACGGCCTCTGAGGTCGTTCAAAACGAGCGTTTGGTGGGATTCGGCAAGACCCAATTCCCAGGGCAATCCAGCGTACTTGATGGAGGTCCACTTGGCAGCACCAGTGCCACCGTCTCCACCGGAAACAAGAATATTTTCCGAGCCGGCCTTGGCCACACCGGCAGCCACAATACCCACGCCGACTTCGGAAACCAACTTGACCGACGTTCTGGCTCTGGGGTTCAGGCACTTCAAGTCGTACAACAACTGCTTCAAGTCCTCGATCGAGTAAATGTCGTGGTGGGGAGGAGGCGAAATTAAGCCCACGCCGGGGTCGAGTGTCTGGTTTTGGCAATCAGTTCCGAAACCTTGTGGCCGGGCAACTCACCACCTTCTCCAGGTTTGGCACCCTGGGCCATTTTGATCTGCAACTCGTCGGCGTCCGCCAAATAGTACGAAGTGACACCAAAACGACCAGACGCAATTTGCTTGATGGCAGAACGCATCGTGTCGCCGTTGGCGTTGACCTGGGATCTGGCGGAATCCTCACCACCTTCTCCGGTGTTGGACTTACCACCCAATCTGTTCATGGCAACGGCAAGCGTGGAATGGGCCTCCATGGAAATGGAACCGTACGACATGGCACCGGTGAAAAAACGACGAACAATCTCCGTCCAGGGCTCGACTTGGTCAATGGGCACCGGTTTGGCTCCCTCATAGTCAAAGTCCAAAAGACCTCTGAGCGTACAGTTCTTGATGGCCTCGTACTCCTTCTTGCAGTAGGCGTCGTAGGCTTTCTCGTTTTTGTTTCTGACGGCGTCTTGCATCGACGCAATGGCCGCTGGATCATTAACGTGCTTCTCTCCTCCGTCTCTCCAGTTGTACTCACCGGTTTCTGGAAGCGCCACAGGCTTGACGGTCTCTCTGGTAGGGTATCCTCTTTCGTGGAGCGAGAAGGCGTCCTGGGCAATGTACTCGAAAGTGATACCCTTGATTCTGGAAGCAGTGCCGGCAAAACAGCGGTCAATGACCGAATTATCGATACCAAGCGCCTCGAAGATCTGGGCACCCTTGTAGCACGCCAAGGTGGAAATACCCATCTTGGACATGACCTTCAAAATACCAGCGTCCACGGCGTACTTGTAGTTTTTCACAAGCTGCTCGTCGGAAAACTGCTTCTTCAACAAACCCTCGTTCTTCATTCTCACCAACGTCTCGATCGCCAAATATGGGTTAATACCATCGGCACCGTAGCCCACCAAACAACAGGCATGGTGCACTTCTCTGGCTTCGGCGGTTTCCAAAAGAATGGCCACCTTGGAACGCTGCTTCTGTCTGACCAAGTGGTGGTGCACAGCACCGGTAGCGATCAAGGCAGAAATGGGCACTCTGTCGAACGAGGTGGCTCTGTCGGACAAGATGATGATTTTGCGGTCGTCGGCAATGGCCTTGGAGGCGTCCTGGCAGATTTCGGAGATTTTGTTGATGTAGCCCTGGATGCCTTCGGACTTGTCGAAGGTGATGTCGATGGTGGTGATGGACCACTTGGGTACACTTTTTCGATGTTCCGAATGGCATTGAGCTCGGCCGTGGAGAGAACAGGCGATTTCAACAACAAACGGTTGCACTGGTCGGGCTTCATTTCCAAAAGATTGCCCTGGGGACCCACGTAGCACTCCAACGACATGACAATCTCCTCTCTGATCGGGTCAATGGGAGGGTTTGTCACCTGGGCAAACAATTGACGGAAGTACTCGTACAACAACCTGGGTTGTTCTGAAACACACGCCAAAGCGGCATCGTTACCCATGGACCCAAGAGCCTCTTTACCCTCGGCCATGGGCAGAAGAATATTCAAGATTTGCTCGTGGGAGTAGCCGAAAGCCACCAAACGGGGGTCTGTTTGCACGGTGATGTTCCCACCACTCTCCTCGATCTGGTGCTCAAGGTCAATCTCCCTGTCGGTCAACTTGGCATTAAGATCGTCAAGCGTGATCATGTTGGCGGTGACCCACGATTTGAAATCGAATCGGGAAGCCACAGACTGCTTCAACTCACGATCGTCCACAACTCTGCCTTCCTTGGTATCCACAAGCAACATTCTGCCTGGCTGCAAACGGCCTTTCTGCAACACCTTCTCCGGGTCGATGTCGATCACACCCACCTCGGACGCACAGATGATCCTGTCGTCGTCGGTGATGTAGTATCTGCAAGGTCTCAAACCGTTTCTGTCCAAGTTGGCACCACAGTACCTGTCGTCGGCAAATGTGAACAAGGCAGGACCGTCCCATGGTTCCATGAGACACGCGGCCCACTCGTAGAAAGCTTTTTTCTTCATGTCGATGTTCTTGTCGTTCTGCCAGGCCTCAGGAATCATGGTCATGACCGCCTCAGGCAAGGAAAGCACGCCGTTGATCACCAACAACTCCAACACATTATCGAACGCCGCCGAGTCGGAACCGCCCTCCTCGATGACCGGGTACAATTTTTCCAATTCCTCGCCAAACAACTCCGAACGCATCACACCCTCCTTGGCACGCATCCAGTTCTTGTTTCCTCTCAAAGTGTTGATTTCACCATTGTGAGCCGCCATTCTCAACGGCTGGGCTCGGTCCCACGAAGGGAAGGTGTTTGTGGAGAAACGAGAGTGGACAAGGGCAAAATGGGCCTCGAACTCGGCATTGGCCAAATCGTAGTAGTATGCGTACACCTGGTTGGGCGCTAATTGGCCCTTGTAGACAATGGTTTTGGCATTGAGCGAGCAGATGTAGAACCAGTTGTGGAGGCCAATGGTGTGGGACAGCTGCTTGCGCAAAATGAACAACTTCTTTTCAAAGTCCTTCTTGTGCAATTTTTCAAATTCCTCGTCCGACACCTCTGTTCCGTAAACGTCCGCAAGCACCACGGCTGGCTGCAAAATCAAGGGCTCCCTGGAGAGAGAGGCCGGGCCCAAGATGGAGGAGTCGTGAGGAACCGCTCTCCAGCCCAAAACCCGGAGGCCAAGCGAAGAAGCGATATTTTCAAAAGTGTTGCGGGACTTCTCGTACACGGCCTCGTCCTTCTTGAAGAAAACGTTACCGGTACCGTACTGGCCCAATGGCGGCAAGTCCACGTCGCAGTGGTACTTGAACTCTCTTTGCAAGAACTTGTGTGGAAGCGACAGCATCAAACCAGCACCGTCACCGTCCTTGGGGTTCAACTCACCGCCTCGGTGGGTCATGTTGCACAAGAGGTTTCTGGCATCGCTGACGATTTTATGGGACGCAGCGCCTTTGAGGTGGCAGGTGAAACCAACACCACAGGCGTCTTTTTCATATTCTGGGTTATACAAGCCTTTGGCCACAGGGAGGGCTGCCGCCCAGGACTTGTTTTCAGGCACTTCGTCGTAGGCGTAGACCTTGGGCGGAGAGAGGTCTGTGTCCATGGCAAAGTGGGTTTAAAGAAGAAGAAAAAAAAAAAAAAAATTAAAAAAAAATAGCGGAGGTCGAGAAATTGCATGTTTAAAAAGCCGTGCTGCTCGCGCAGAACCGAGAAGCATGCTAGAGAGACTTTTGGTGTCAAGCAGGCATATGGAGGCGTATAGTTACGGGCCTGCCATTGTTTGCAGTGCAGCTGCCCGCGGGCCCGTGGGGTTGTGTGCAGGACAAGCGTTGTCATCGTCCAATCGGTGCGGGTCTTTAGTCAGGTTGATAGATAAGGCCTTGAGGGCGAAGGGAAGGCTGGTTGATAAAAGGTGGCCGTGGGGCAAGAAGTTTTTATACTGGGGATTTTAATGAAATAAGGCAAATTTTTCAAACTTTATTTTTTTTCTGGGCCCCCCTCCGATAAGGATCTGGCGGCCGCTGCACGCCGGGATTGTGCTCGTTTCTTATCAGCCAGCGCTACGAGAGCATTTCCACTAGCAACAGCAAAGCAAAACGAAAAATGGGGTTTTGAAAAATCCCCAGATCTCCACGTGTCAGCCGTGTCTTCACATGAGCCGAGGTGGTCAACGGCCATCCGGCGCGGGAACATGGAAGGTGGGGACAATGAGCCCCGTTGTGATTGGGCCTCTTCGGTAGATAAGACACATGGGAAGGGAGGTGGTTTAGGTTAGAGTTGGGAGGTAGAGGTTGGAAGATAGGGACTTGGCTGGATTGGAGGTTTTGATTTTTTTGGTTGCCGCTGGTATGCTGCTTTTATTTTCTCTTTTGTATTTTCTGTTTCGTGATTTTCTGTTTGGTTCAAGGGTGGGTCACCCGGTGGTGATCTGGCGGCTAAACGGCAGGGTAGGTTACCAGAGACCGTTACCGCTGCCCAGAAGGGTTATTGATTTCGGCTTTTGGACATCGTTTTCTTGGGCTGCTAAGGCTGACCCTACCATTAGTATTTTGAATCTGCTCTTCTGTTTTTAACACTTTACTTTTTTTTTTTTTTGTTCATCAATATCGGTGTTTGGCGGGAGGCTCAGCAAATTTCTGGGTATTCTGCGCATGCACCATCCAGTTGCAAATTCCCGTTAGCCCAGCACGGGCTGAAAAATCGACCGACCGAGAAAACCAGCAACTTCTCGGCGTTTGGGATTTTCGTGCTTTGGAGGTTTCGGTGGAAAGCTTTTTCTGAAACAGGAACGTGGTGGGGTTACTGACCGGTCTCTGAAGTAGGAATCTGAGACGAGGAGAGAGGGTTTCAAGGCTTCATTTTTCGAATCAGAAGAAATGATAGACACTCAAAATAATGAAGCATTTTGGATTTGTAAGAAAAATCACCTTCTTGTGTAGTATCGCTTGAGTGATGGTGCTTAGGGTATGCGATAAGGAGGACTATTTAACAAAGCAGAAAGCCTGCAATTCAATTTCAATATCTACCCTGAAATCAGCAAAGCTATAGGTCTCTATTCTGACTGACCTACTTCTTCGCTTCTAAGGAATTATGCATTTGTTTGGATTTACCATCGAATTTATTGGACACTCACTGTGAGCATATTTATCAAGAGTGATGAGACTGACCTCAGTTGCATTGCTTCCAATGGTATCAGCAACTTTGGTCATTTCGATAGTTCTCGTCAGCAAGCTCGTGTTATCTCTTTCCCAAATAATTTTGTCCAGCAAAGGAAATGCCATTCCACCTTGAGAACCGGCAGGTCCAGTGCTACACTTTCCTTCTTCACCAAGAACGACTTTCTGGTCATTCATCGTGAAAACCTACAAAGCATAAATACAGACACTTTATCTCTTGCTTTTAATTCATCGCCCACCACTAATAATACATACCATGAGCAGACTTTCAACGTTCTTCCGCCTTTCCACCAACCTAAATGCCATGAAGGCAGCCGAACAAAAGCGCAAGGGATTCGTCCTCAGCATTTTCAGCAGAATTGCTTCTTTTCCTGAAAATCTAGAAAACTGGCTACTTGGACCACTCTACCTTTTGCTGCGCTCCGAAACATCCATTAAGCCTCCGCTTCCGAATGCAACAACCCAATTGCCATCTGTTCAATTAGACAAGCAATCAGACAGTTCAAGCAATGATGAGTTTTTTGATTGTGACAGCTCCGAGCAAACAAACTCTGATTTGGAGTTTTCAGCATCGAAGCTTCCAGACCAGAAGTCTCCTGAAAGTACCACCAGAGAACAAGGGACGAGTACCAGCGTTAACCAAAATTATCATATCGAAAATGAGGATAATTTGGATTCTGGAGAGTGGCAGACGGTACGGTCACGCAAGAAGAAGACTGGCAAGGCTATTACAAAGGCTCGTGCTGCACCATCCGTTCCTAGCAGTTTGAAGGCTTTGAGACTGGATCATCACGTTGTGGGAAAGTCCAGAGAGCCCATTCACGACAACAGCAAGCTCACACAGGAGAATATCTTCAAGTATCTTCTGGTTTGAGCGACTGGGGAGGTAACGACGAGGTGCTTAATAGGTAATTCAAAAAGATAAACGAGCCGTAGATAGAGGGATTTTTTACAAGATTAGCACGCAAGGATTCAAAGGCTTGGAGAAAGTGTTTTTCTAGAATTCATTGTATATGAAGAGAAAGAAAACAAGTATTCTAGAACACTCTGCTTCTCAATTCTGTCCTGGTCCAGTACACTGACCTCGCTGTCTCTGAGGTCCATCAACAACCCGGCACAAACTAACTCTACCTTTACGGTTTAAAAATACACATTTTAGTCCTAGAAGCTCTCTGGACCATTAACCCACTTGCAGCACTAATGATGGAGTCCTTGTTCATTGACTACGTTGACCATACTCTATCAGCAGTTGTGAGACCAACACTTTTGAGCTATTCGGAGAAAGCCAAAAAGGTGAGGTAATTGAAAAAAAAAAGAGACAACAGAAATGAGTTTCAAAAAAATCTGACGCTATCCCTATCTTCATTTCCGTTACATGCTCATCTACCAGTCCGTCTGCGTACTTGGTAAACTTTTCGCAGCCAATCAGCCCAGCATTTGCATCAGCTCAAACCGCCGAAACCAGGACAATTTCTACCAAAAGGCTTTCCTCAACTTCCTCTAGTACCCCGAATTCAATTACCCCCAAAATCATCTCCACAAGCGTTTGGGGTGGTACCTCCAGAATCCTCGCACGTGACTCTACACCCATCGCATATACCTCTTCTCAGCTACATCTTCTTCCTCAATGGCCACCGAACAGCTGATTGTGTTTCCGCCTTCGGTATTGGCGAGAATCTCCCCGGAGCTTACGCTCCAAAGACACTTGTCCCAGGGCTTGAGACCCTCATTGCGTGAGTTCACAGAATTTCGCCAGGTTGTGGCTTCTCAAGGTAACTTGGGAAATGTCAGCACAGATGCCGTTGTGGGCTCTTCTGTGGTGAAACACGGCGGTTGTCATGTTTTTTGCGGCATCACTTTGGGTATAAGCGAAGTGAACAACCTGGACGAGGACTTTGCAGCTGCTGAGCCTGAATCGTCAAAGTACACTTCGGTGTACCCTGTGGTGGAGGTTGCCAGAGGAAGACAGGGTGCTCCTAGTGACGAGGAGCAGATTCTCCTGCAAAAATTGTACAACTTCGTCTACCACCTGCGGATGCTTCCGTACCTGTCGTTGGACATCAAACCAGGTTACGAAATCAAGGACGAGGCTTCTGGAGAGGTTTCCATTATCTACCCAGACGACAAGTCGTTGAGCGAGGATGAGATTCTGACGTTATTCTCGACTGTCAACGTCAGCAAAAAGCAGCACAAGTTTGCTCTCTACGCCCACATTAAGGTGTTTTCCCGAGACGGACCGCTCTTCGATGTGGTGAGCCATGCTCTAATAAACGCCTTGAAGAACGTCTCGCTTCCCAGAATCTACCTTGCTGACTCGGGTGTTGATCCTAACGTTAGAGTGCCTGTTCGTTCTAGAGGCAATTTTGGCCATTTGGACCAGCTGTCCAGCATTTTTTGCATTGATTCCAATAAAGAGATTGCTACACCTTTGCAATTGAACGAAGATGAGTTGGCCACTTCGTCCAGTTTCGGCTTGGTCGAGATTGACGACGCTGCCGGCCAGGTTGCACTTTTGGCTGATTTGGAAGGTGAAGCCGAGGAGGCGAGCTGTGAAAGCAAAATCAACATTGTTGCATCCAAAAAGAACCTCAAGCATGTTAGTATAGCCGGCGGTGGCGCCAATGTCACGCTAGACACCTTGCGGAAGGCTATCAGTTTGGCTTACGAGAGAGCCGCCTAATTTAATTCAGGCTTTTTCGATTAGCTATTTACGCCTGCTATGTGGTGTCCTCCTTGGAGGGCAGTTCGACCTCGCCGCTCGATCCAATTGGACTGGCAAGGTTGGAGACGGACGACGAATAGTCATGGTTGATGTTGACGGACCGAGGCAGGTCGGCCCCTTTTGAGAGCAAGCGCTGCTTACGCAGATTTTCAAAATCAGTATTGCCTGGCAGCACCAACGTTGGCCTCACTTTTCTTGGCCCTTTGGTGCTGGCGTCAGCGTAAAGGTCGTCCTCATCGGAGCTGGAAGTGATTGCTTCATCATTCGCTTCTTGCTGCTGTTCAGCAGCTGCTTGCCTTTCAGCTTCGGCACGCTGCATGATCTCGTCTCGGGCTTGATTGAAGAGCTCAACTTGCTGTCCGATGGCAACCAGCTGCTCCTTCAAGTTTTGTAATTTAGCCTCGAAGGAATGGCGACCTTCATTCAAAAGCTGCTCCACAGACTGGCCGCCGGCAAATGCGGACAGCTTGCGTTTTTTATAGAATAAAAGATAGGCAGCTCCCTTGATACATTCACGAGGATCCTTCACCTCATTGACTCCACTGTCGTTGAAGTAGTACCACTTTTGATCTCTGAAGTTTTTGGCGTAGGCTGTGTAATGTCCACCTCCCAAACCACCGTAGTGATTATCGACAGCGACCAAGTCGTATATGAGTGGTTCACCAGTGCCGTTTTGAACGAACTCGTTCATCTCCAAGCCTTCAATGGGGAAGTCGACAACCATGTTGATTTTGTCGCTGAAGGCTCTGGCAGAGGAAAATCTTTTCAAGTGGATAGTCAAGATATCTCCAGTAGACCAGATTTGAATGGTTTTCGTGGCACGCTTGTGGTCTTTACAGCGGGGCAGTACCATAAGTCCTGTTCACCCAAGACTTCTGGGGTGCTGAAGTTCCTGAGACAGTCGTAAAGGGAGACAGTCGACTTTTGCTGCATCGCCAATTTTCTTTTGTTGTCTTCCAAGACAGGATTGGGGATGTATGACAATTCCTCCCAGGCCTGGTGGTCACGGTCTTTGAAGAAACGGTCAAACACTTCTGAGTCCCACTCGCAGACGAGAGTGGTTTTGCTGTTGACTAGGATAGGTTTAACCTTTTCTTGCTTGACAACCTCCTCAGCTCTATCTTCATGATGAGGGCTGCAGTCCACGCTGTTCGCATCGTGGTCAGATTCGCTTGATGGTAATGGGGGAAGGATCGGTGGTCTGAGCGAATCTTGGCCTAAAGGTTCGATATCTTCGTAGTTTGTGTCGCTATCTTCATCCTCATCCAGCTGAGCTCTATCATTGGCGTCACTTCCTCCCGTTGCCTCCACAGATTCTTGCCTGTTATGCAAAATCGAGATAGGCTCCGGCTCAGCGAAATTCGATTCCTCGGAAGTCTCGTTCTTGGTGTTTTCAATCCTTTGCATCTCCGCAGCATACTCAGGGTAGTGGTAGTATTTCCGCTTGAGCTCAGGAAGCTTCTCTGCCAACAATGGTAACTTGAAGAACGAAGGTCTGCCTTGAGGAATGTGAAGCGGACGTCTATTGGGGTCACTTTCCTCCTGAAGCAGCAGCTGATAACGCATTCTCATACCTGGTTGGTACCTTCTTGGACCACGAGTGTTGACATGGCGGGTGCCATCTTCTTCGTAGTATTTGATTGTGAAGCCGAAATCGGCACTAATCTGTGGATGGGCCAACGAGATATCAGAGTCGTAATCTTCGTCTGCTGGTTGCACTTCTGCATCCGCATCGGCCATGTTGAGATCAGCAGACGCTTTTTGCTCTCTTTGAATTAGTGGAAAGCTGTCAGCTTTGAAACGAGAGCCATTGTTGTCACCCTTGATCTCTTTATAACTTGCTTCCATATCAGCATTCGTGAGGAGCTTCACAGTCTGCTCAAGCTTCTCTCTGACAGTTCCAAAGCTGAAGACATCAGTTTCCTTGTTCAATGTAACAAAGAGGGGAATGCCAAATGGGTCTGCTATGTCGTAAGAAGAATCTTCCTCACGAACAGTATTAAGCACAGGCACAATCACATCAGTTTCGGGATTATGAGGAATGATGTAAGCCACAACGATGTCTTTTTCGTTGATGAGCTCGTTGATGGGGTAAAACTTTGAGGCGGCACTGTTCTCCTGGAAGTCTCTATAAAAGAAGTTCGAGAAGAGCTCGAACAAAAAGAGATGCTCGGCCGGTACATGCAAGAAGCTGCTGATGTAGTTGATCAAGTCGTCAAAGTTGGAGGACTTGTTGAGTTCAACTTCCAACCTCGAGAGTGGCTGTCTTCCGGAGGCAGCATGGTCTCCCGAGAGGTCGACGATGATAAGCTCATGATACCATTTTTTGTTGACGGGCAAAGGAAGCGTCAAGTCGTTAAAAGGGTCGAAAGTCATGGACTCCTTGTTGCATGTGGGGCAGACCAAGGTGGACTGGTACATGCCGGTGAACAAATCGACAATGACGGAATCGTTTCTCTTTTTGTATTGATCCCAGCAGGTGACGGCCAACTCTCTAATGGCCTCTGGGTTGTTGACATCCTCGTCTTTGAGCTCGGGCTTCTCGCAGTATGGCTTTTGGTGGATTCTGTTCAAATCTTCATGAAGGGCATCCAAAAGCCAGGAAACGAACTCCTGAGAGTCCTGTTGCTGAAAGCCATGGAAAATAGACGAATGACGGCCCACAGTGTACTTGAACTCACGCGGAGTCACAGCTGACGGACTGCCAGAGCCGTAGAGCTTATGCAATAGACTGGAGAAGGCCACCGCCACGTCGCCTTTGTAGCCCAACGGGTTGTTGGTGTTCAACTCGCGCTGGTACAAGTCAAAGAAAAAATAGTAGTTGAGTTCCGGGATGTGTGTGAGGCACTGGAGGGCCGAGTTCATGTAGCAGGTGTTGCCCAAGTTGGAGAGACCGCAATGGCCACCCAGAGAGGTGACGACGTCGTAGTCAAGAACGGAGTGGCTGGCCAAGTACGAGTCAACAAGGAACGTCTTCCGTTCGGCCGGCTCCACCACCAAGTGGAGCTTCGACGCCTCAATGCCCTGGCTTCTTAGCGTGCTTCCGTACAAGTTCGGAGTCACGATGGACTTTCTGGCCGGAGCGTCGATGAACGCCGCCACGGAGATCTGCGACGCCATATTGCGAGCCGCTTCGTTCTCAATAAACCACAACCGGAGCGGCGCCACTGCCCGTGGGTTCTTGTAGACATGCGATCTGACGGTATCGTGGAGCTGCTGAAAAGTGTTAGCCAGCGAGAGCGAAAACACCTGAGAAGGCCGGGCACGCGGACTAGCCTCTTTGGCCAAGACGTGAAGCACAAAAAGCGGAGGCACGCGTTCAATCAGCACGCCGTTTTCGTCCACAATCATCGCTCGAGCCACAGGAGTACCGATGACGCCAAAAACCTGGGCCAAGCTGTGGAAAAGCTCCGGTTTCACCGCCAAGCACGTGCTTTCGTCTTCTGCTGTCATTGCCCCGTGTTCGTCCACGAGCAGCGAGCAATCCAAACGACCGACTTTTTGAGCTAGTTCTTCAAATGACACAGCTTCTGTCGAACAAACTTGCTCCCAGAAAAAACGGGGAATCACCAGCCACACGTCGCCGTTCTGCGGTGTCGCCTGGATCATGGCGTTCCACAAGTCACGTGTGCGCTGGAGTTGCGCTGCCGGTTCCATTTCTGCCATTCCCCAGATCAGTAGTTGGTGATGTTGATGCGCGACGGTGAGGATGTGGGATGTAGGGTGAGGGTCCTTGGGGGAGGGGCAGAGTTTTTGGGGGAGGGGTTTGATTTGATTATTGAGGGAGTTGGGGGATGATGGGGGAGATTGGGGGATTTGGAGGTTGGCGAAATTGGGGGAAACCCGGGGTGGTGGTGGAGGTTGGTGATGGTGCGTTTGCAGCCGAGTAAGGTGGTGGGTAAGGGGAAACGGTTTTGGTGTGGGGGTTTTTGGAATTGGGGTTTTGTGGTTTTTGGAGGGGAATTGGAGTTGTAGGAGAAATGTGTGAGTTTGTGAGATTGTGAGATTATGGGTTGGTGTATTTTGGGATTACTTCTGTTGGTGAGGGCGTGGAGTCAGCAGAGAGAGTCAGTGGAAGTTTGGCGAGAAGCGGTGAATAACGTATTTTATGTGATACATGAACAATTCTTAAGCAATAACAATGGAAATCGAAGTTTTGTTGGATCCAGCTGAGTCAATTGGTTCTGTCTGTGTGCTTCTAGTTCTACTATGGCTGCGAAATGAGTGGTGATAATGAGTATTAGACCAATGAAGCATCGAAGTTTCTGTAAGCTCAATGCCTTTTTTTGAGTTTCCATTTCTGCCAAGGTAAGTCGAATCTCATAAAGCAAAAGCATTGAGTCCCTTTTGCTGGTCTGTCAACTGATCACCTTGATGTTACGCAATTATGGCTGCAAATTAGGAAGCTAGGGTCCCTCTCATTGGCCTGATGCAGCCAATCGACTTAGCTTTCGAAAAGTGTTTAGATTTCAATTCTTGACTAGGTAGTGAAAATCATTCGATAATTCAAGGCACAAAGGATGATAATTAATTTCTACTGTCCTGCTCCTTCTCCCCTCTTTCAAAATGGCTGCGAAATATAACTACAAGACCAGACCTCAAACCACCAACCCCAGAACCTCTAATTCCATTGCCGAGAGACTTTTAATTTATCTATAAAGCGATTATTGCATTATTTTAAAAATTGAGCCCTACCCAGTATCCCTCGGCTCCTCGGCTCCGCCTCCTCTCAATGATAGCCCCACCACGGCTAAACAAAACCACCCAAGTGCCCACAATATTCACCATTCAAAACAGAAGCATATAAATCTCCCCCTGACTGCCACAATGTGACTAGATTCCCCAAAACAGCCCCATTCCAGAGGAAATCCTACCCTCCACACGTGACCTATCAACCCCATGATACCGATGACAGGTGAATCCTCCTACTACCCCAGACTCCATTGAACGCTGGAAACACACCAAAACACCACTTTTCATGTCACAAAACACACAGGAGCCCGACTCCTCCCCCGACTTGGCAATTGTCGACCTCGTGACCAAATCCGTGCTTTCCAATTACACCATAGATGACGAGATCCTCAGAACATGGCTGACGGAGCTTGCAGATGTCGCTGGAGACAGTAAGCTTTTGGCGACTGCTATACAAAACAGCATCTTGGTGCTGTTGCCTTTGGAAAATGCGTTTTTCGACCACTCCCACGAATCTGCCTGGTCCAATTGCTTATCTATGTTGAATGACCTCGATAACGACGTGTACCTGGACTTCAAGCTGATTATCTACGAGCTTCTCCTCCAGGCTATACGCTCCAATACCGCTCGCTTGCAGATGCTAGAATTCGATTTCATAGATGTTTTTGCCGACGACTACCTCGCCAATCTAGAGGACCTCCATCTGCCTCAGAAAACGGCGCTTCTTTCGGCATTACTAGAGTTGAACTGCCCGGTGAAGACGCTAAAGAAGCTTCTAAGTCCGCTCCTCGAAGGATCTGCAAGAGTCTCTGCTTCGTCGAAACTCATCTTGCTTGAATATCTCACCTCGATAGTCAGAGAGTTTCCTTCCCATTTCACGGCACTCACACTCAACAACTTCCGCAACAAAAACTTGCCTCTTCCGCTCAGCAAAGAATTCAATTCCAAATGCTTTACCGTGCAAGCGTGGCTTAAGGTTGATGATCCAGTCGAAAACCTCGAGGAAGATGGTTTCAGCGTGATTCCTCTTTTTCTGCTTGCAGACGCTTCAAGCGGTGCCTCAACGTCAATACGAGTTCAGCTTTTGAACTACACCCAGTTCATGGTGGAGGTGGTGAACAAATCGACCGGCTCGAGAATGCAGTATTCCTTCAACCAGCACCTTGACCGTCTGAGCCCGACAAACCAGGGTTTCACGCTCTTCACATTGACATACGACTACTTGCGGAACATCAATCTTTTTATCAATGGCCAAAAAAGCGAGTCGATTCCATGTACTTCGATTGCAAAGGAGATTGGCTCCTGGAACAAACTCTACATCGGCAACCCAGAGTCCGAAGATTTCCTGAAAAGCAAAAGAGACGAGCTTCTTCTCAAAGACTTGATCATTCTAGATTCCGCCTTGAGCGAAGAGTGGATCCTCACCTCTTGTGCTTTGGGAGTCGGTTTCAATTGGGGCCTGAAAGACCTTACAGAGGAGACTATCCCCGACTTGTTCAACCACTTGAATCCTGTCGAGCTCACGGATTTGGGTGCACAATTCAGCACTTTGGGCTTGAGCAGTGATCCACGCAGACAACACTCAGGGAAATCAAAGTCGGATGATCAGATCGAGGTTCTCGAAAAGCCTGACATTGTTCATTGCCTCAACAAACTGAAATTTAGCAGGTCTAGCATTCTTTTTGACAGCAATGAGTCCGACTTTCTCGACCATGTTCGAAAAGCAAAGAGCAAAGAGTACATCGCTTTGGTTCCTGATTCGCTAAATGGCGGGTTGTATTGCCTTGGAGGAGCCAGTTTTCTTCTTACCTTGGTAGATACAATGTCTAACGATCCACAGCTTGAAAGGGCAGACAGAGGGCAGCTCACATTCAAGTCTCTTGAATTGCTACTAGAGTGCTTGAGAAACAGCTGGAGAATCTACAAGGAGTTCGAGAAAAATGACGGTTTTTGCATTTTGGTGCTCTTGCTCAAGCAATACAAGGAGCGCTACAATGGACGTCTTGAGTTTGATGGTAGTCTTCTTGAGCTTTTCCAGTCATTTGCAGGTTATGACGCAAATACTAAAAGAGGTTTTATCAAAAACGCTCTAGCCTTCAAGCTTCTTGTGCTAGATTTCCATCTTTATGACGGCACAGTCGACCAAGAGCTCCTCAAAACCTCCATCGTCGATATGGTGAGCTCTGTTGAGACCAGAGACCATAATCTTCGGATGCTTTCAAGGTTGAAGCTCCTCAAGCGTCTCGTTCACTTTATGGAGTTCAAGCTTCTTAGTAAAAAGGCGTCTGACAAGGAAATCGAAGAGTTCAGTGATGTTCTTGACTCAATTCTAAGGACCGATATATCACTCGACACAATCAGGTCCTTCTCTCACTTCATTATCTTTGCGATCTACAGAAGCGAAGAAAGTGGTTTGATTTCCCAAAAAATCGGCTATGCCGCATTGGACTCACTCACCAGTCAACTTTGTGATTCAACCGCTTCAGTAAGACAATTGAAGAAGTTTTCCCGTGCCCTCACCATCCATTGGCTTCTTTTATTGTTGAATTTTCGCTCTGGAGGAGACGACGTGGAGGCTAAGCAATTCGACAAAAAAATTGTATGTCGTGGACTTACCCTTCTTATTCGTCTTTTGAGGATTCTTGGTCCTCGTATCCTGAAGAAGTTCTTTCAGTTGAGCAGGGGCCTTGATGTCTTGACGCACTCTCTCAAGGTTTGGTGGAGTGATGACGAAATCATCAGCTTGCTCTTTCTTGCAGGTTTCGGGTTGGATACTCGTGTTGAGGAGCTTCCTATTTCGACTCTTCCCCAGATTCTCGAAGTCGATAAGGTTAAGAGCATCAAGACATTGGTGGCACCCGAATTCATTCTCTTGTTGAACAACATGGTACTCAGTTCCATGTACGATTTGAGTGTTCGTCATGGCAGGGTACTCAGTGTTCCCAACTCTCCTCAGAGATCTCAACACAAAAATCTGCAAGAGGAGGAGAATTTTGCTATCACATTCAATGCTATTCACCTCATCAACCAGTATATTGATACGATAAAGGCCGGGTTTAACGTATCACCTGCTTTAACCTCGTTTTTCACGAGCAGAGAATGGCTTGAAGGTATTTATGAATTACAGGGACATCTCAAGCTTTCCATCGATTGGTCTGAACCAACTTTCAAGAAGAGCTTCCGGAAGGCATCCGAGAAGCTCAGTGCTGCTTTGAGTGATATATTCATATCAAAGATGCATGACGTGAAGATGCTTTTCAGAATCTTGGAGCCTCTCAATGAAAGCACCTTAAAGATGATATTGGATTCAACGTTCCCAAGAATTTTCAGCCATGTGAACCATTTCTTCACTGATTCAAGCTCAATGGGAAACGAGGCTGATTTATTGGACGGAACATCGGATCTTCTCTTGTTTTACTTTGAGCATTTCATTGACGCAAACTACAACGTGAGCAATGAGGATATGGACACATTTGTCAATGCTGCATTAAATGTTCTTGAGGCCAACAACCAATCCAAGCGCCGTCAGCATGGCCAGCAGAAACTCAAATCAGTGACTGGCCGTGCTTTGGTCCTTAAATTGTCCAAATTCCCTTCAATCGGCACTGAGTCCGATAGCGAGACAGAAGGGGAGGAACCCCTTAAGCAACAGCTCGATGAGGTTGTGAAATTCTTGCTTTACAAGCAGATTGTTTTCCTCGACCCTGAGGTGTTGAACGAAACACTCTTAGCTCAGGTCTTTGAGGTTTTGATTGTTCAATTCTCGAAGCTCAAGATGGAGAAACAGTTTGAGATAGCAGAGCACTTTATTAACTTCTTGAGAGCAGCATACATGATGCGTGAAGGCACTTTCGACAGCGTTATCGAGCAGCTCACCAGCGCTTCAGACTACTCAAATTCAGACAACCTCATTCGAG